TTATGCTAAGTATATATAGGGCCTATCCTAAATAATAATATTGGCTAGAAGCCTTAGATATAGTATAACGCGATTACTATAGGACTATATAAGTACGATATTAAGGCTAGTAATATCGCGAACGCGGATAATCTACCCCTTAATCTACTTATCCTCCTAAATAAGGAGAATAGCTTAGTATATATACTATATACTTAATATATATTAGCTGAATACTAACTATATAATCCCTAGTTACGATATTTTGATTAATAGTAGCTAGACTATATATGGTCTTATCTTCGAGAAGTAGCTTACCTTTCGCCGGTATCTATATAATAAGTATTCTAGAGCTAGTTAGTCTATATATCTCTTATATACTAAGTATATACTAACGCTAGATAGCTTTTATCCTTAACCGCCGCGTAAAGACTACTCTAGAGATACTCGCTAGATAGAATACTTTAAAGAAGTAGGTATTAACTAGGGGCTAGCGCGATATTATATATCTTAATAAGCTAGGCCGTGGTCCTAAAATAGGCCCGATTAGTCACTAATACGATGCTTTAGAGTATATTATATAAGTATTTTATATCTATAGTTTATATACGCGGAGTATATACTAAGTTTATATTTAGTCGAGAGGATGCTAATTTCCGGCGTTAATTTAGTAGCTATTTCTATCGTTTCTAGTAGCCTATTACCCTAATCTCTAGTAACCGTAGCTATTGTGTAAGTTTATCCTTCAGAGATACTAAGTATATATTAACGTTTTATAGCGTGAATATAATCCCTCTTCTAATCCTATGCCTTTCCTTAGCCTAACTACTACTTCAGAGCCTATTAGTACCCCTAATACTAGCGATTATAGTAATAATAAGGAGGAGTAAGAGGAGGAGGAAACTAATATAAGTATTCTTACCGAGAATACTCCTAGAGATAAAAAAGAGGGACTTAAGTCGATAGACTCCTAGATATAAAGGAGTTTATATATAGATTATAATAGTTAATAATATACATAGATTATATATAGAATATATGCCTAAATCGCTAGAATTTTTTTTATTCTAATTTTTTTTTTAAAATATTTCTAGTAAAAAAATTAGATATTATATAGTATAATTTTATTCTATACTATATTATTTATTTATTTATATATTTAATATATACTAAATATATATCGAACTTACTATTCTTATATATTAAAAATACGTAAAAAATAATTTATAACTAAGCTAAACTCCTAAATAACTCCTCTTTTTGTCTCTCTAGCTCTTTAATTTAATTTAACCTCTATAGATAGTTAACTTTAGTTTAAAGGGCTTTAAGCTAAGATTATAATTAATCTTCGATAGTAGATCTTAGAGCCGGTAAATTTATTTATAGGCGTAAAGTATATAACTAAGTACGTTATTAAGATAAAGCTAATACATTAGCTCTTGTTTATAAAGATTATACTTTTATATTTAGTATAGCTTATATATTTAGTATTAACAATCCTCGAATCTCTAGGGTATTAGCTCGAGATATTAATTATATTAAATCCTAGATAGATAAAGTATCCTCTTTATTATTTTTATATAGGTTCGTAATATCTCGAGCTTATACTAGATTCCTTTCTTATCGAAACGTAATAGCCTAGCGACGTTTATCTAGATTAAGGTTAATATATACTTAATATATACTTCGTATAGTTATTAACCCTTTTTTTAATTCTATTTTGCTATATAGATCACGATATTATTTAAACGCTAGATAGAATTAATCCTATACTAAGTCTCGAATTTATTCTTTTAAAATATCTTATAAATATATCCTTTCGTTCTAAGATAGTATTAGTAATATTTCTTAAAAAAGAATATAAAAAATACCTTAGAATTACTATAAGAAATACCTATTTTTGACTAATAGCTTTATTATTAATAAAATAACTACTTTTATAGATCCTTATATAATAAAGGGCTTGAATCCACTAATTAATAGGAATCTTAGATACCTTAGATATAATACTAGAGAGAATCTAATTAATCTATTTATTTTTAACCTAATTTTCTATATCGGGAAACTGTGAAATTATTTTATCTATTAGGTTTAGAATAGCCTACTTTAAATCTACTTCCTAGATATAGTTGATTATCGTAGTAACGGGATAATTATTAAACTTTTTACGAAAAGCATATTTAATATAGGTTTAATAGAAAATTAATATATATTAAAGATATTCTAACTATATCTAGCGAGGATTAAGTCTAGTAAGATAGTCTCTAAGCCCTATATTTAAAAACTAGTAAGAAAATAAGTTTAATATATATTAAGTATATATTAAACACGTATCTAGAGCTTATTTTTTATATATATTAACTATAATAGTATAGATTCCCTTAGTAATATTAGAATTATAACTCTAATATACCTATCGGACTTTTTTCCTTCTAGTATCCCCTAAGACTTTAAAGATCCTCTCGAAAAGGATATAATATAATTTACGCGTTTTATAATTAATAAAAGTATAAGTATATATATTAATCTCTATAATTTTATTAGTAAATATAATATAGTTTTTATAAAAAAAAATAAAAACTTACTTTTTATTAAAGGGTTAGTTATAGTAATTAAGAATACTCTTATTTTTTTTTAGACTATCTTAAATATAAGATCTATTTTAATATACTATACTCTTTAAAAAAGCTTAGCCTATATATATATATAATATATAATAAGATAAAGTTGATGATCCTTATTAAAGAAATAGATATCACGGATCTATTATTTATCGTTTAGTTTTACTTAATTAAAAAGATATTCACGTTATATACCTACTAAGCTTATATCTTTAGGATAGGCTAATAGCCGCTATTTATAAATTAAAGTAGTAACTCTATCCTTAATATTTAAACTCTAGTAAATATAACGTAAAACTAATATTTTATACTTTTTAATAAGCTGACTGAACTTTAGCGAAAATATAAACTTTCGGGTAGTTAATCCTAGAAGTTTATGCTTTAAAATAAGATTCGTAATCTAAGATCCAATCTCTAGTAGTATCTTTATTAGTAGAGGTAGAAAATAGGTATAATTACCCTAAGCGACGAGAAGAACAAAAGGAAATCGATCCTAAGAATATAGAATAAAGAGACTGAACTTAACCCTATATCGATAAGAGGTTATACGTCCTGGGCCTCTAAAATAAATAGAGTCTAAGGAAAATATTAGTATAAAATATTTTAATAATATTTTATATATATATTAAATATATATATAATATACTATACTAGTATCTTAAGTGCTATCTTTAGTAAAGAAGAAAATAGTAATCATGATCCCGGATATCAGTCTCTCTTAACCTATCTTTATTATAAAGAATCTTTAAGAATAGGATATTAATTCTAGTAGTAGTATATAAGACTAACTAAGCTTTGTGCTATTTCTAAGTTAGTACTAGGTTTAGATAACCTAACTAAGTAATCTAGAAAAAGTTAGTAAGAATATAGAATAACTAAGAGAAAAATATACTTTATCTATTATCTAAATTGATAGTAGCTACCTATAATATATTTATTAGCTTCTATCCTAATATTTATAAGGGCTATTATCTTTATTCTAATTTCGTTAAAAAGCCTAATAGTACCTATAGAAAGGATATTTTAGTACTATATATAATATATATCTAGTATATAAAAAACTTACTCTTTAGTTATATATTTAATATCTTACCGAAGAGTAAAAGATAGTATTCGAGATATTTAGATTCGAAGTTAGTAGAAAATTTATAGATTAATCCGATTATATAAAGATAACGGAGTAATTAGTTCTAGATAGATTTACTGATAATACTAAATATCTAAATAAGTATATAGTCGATACTAAATAAAGGCCTATTTATCTTTAGGATATTTTTATAAATATTTAAAAGAAACTCTTTTTAGTTGATTAATCTTACTAATACTAAATTATATCTATTAGATTATAAGTATATATTTAGTATATATTAAACCTCTATTTAATATACCTTAGATATAAGCTTAGTAGATACTTCGTTTGTATTTTATTAATCTTATTCCTATCTTTTAAAAAGGTTCTCTTTAAGGTAAATAAGATAAAGAACCCCTTCACGATCTATTACTAGGTATTCTAGTAATAAAAGATATTCTTGGATTTTAGAAGTAATAACTGATTTATACATATTTATACTAATAGTAATACTATACTTATAAATATTAGTTTATATTAACCCTATATTAAATTAGGATAGAGACTACGAGGATTATTTATCTGATTCTGATTAATAAAAAGACTATTTATCTTGTCGTTGTAATTTAGATAAACTATTATTTTCTTCTTTATCTAAAGAAACCACTAATAGATTATCCTCGAAGGTATAGTTTCGCTATTTTATATACTTAATATATATTTAGGTTATTAAGGGTCTAAAACTTATATTAGTTATATTATAAAGGATATGATTAAGAGTATAAGTCACGCGTTGTGTGGAAGAGAGGAATTTAGATAGGTGTAATAGTGGACTAATAATTTCTGGTCGTCGAAAACGAGGTCCGAATGACGGACTATGGAAATACTGTGAAGATGATATAGTGAGGTGATAATAATATAAAGTTGAGAATTTTCTTTTTATATATATAAAATAAGATTAGGTAATAAAAATATTTTGGGGCCTAGTCGACTTAGCGAGCTAAGGGGGCCCCCAAAAGTCGGCGTAATATTCCACCGATTTTTGGGGCCCGCTCAGTAATTTTTGGGGCCCCCTCAGCTGGGTGCCCGAAAGCACGAGCCTCCTGGGCTGTTAGCCCGTGGCTGAGTCAGCTGCATGTCACTCCCATCGGGAGAGTTGTTTACCGCAGGTTGCCCCGCGCTTTTCTCTCGTCGCGATTTCGAGCTCCAAATTGGAGTGTGTACGTTGATCCCAACTTCAATTCCTGTTTGGTTGTGCCAGCGCATTCCAGGGTGCGCTCTCTCCACCCCCTGGCGGCACGCGTGCCTCCCGAGATTCCTTCGCATGCGCCATGTCGACCTCGACGCGCGAGTCCAGCTCCTCCCCCGATATCTTGGGTCCTCCAGGCGATGCCGACTACCTAATATCATCGCCGATCAAGCCATTTGCCGGCCGTCAAAGTTGGCTATCTCCCGCCAATATCAGACGTCAACAAACCCCGGCTAAGCGACCGCGTGTCAGCCTAAGTCCCGCGAAAAGCGCGCATTCGATTCAGTTCAACGATGTGGTGCTTCCTGGATCGCCGACAATGAAGCTCAACGGTCGCCAGAGGTCGCTGTCACCCGAAAAGATGCAGCAGGACGGCAATGTGAGCCCGTGGCGCATTCGAGTCACGCTCGAGGCTACGCAGGATGAGGAAAACCAGGGCAGCCCGGCGCGCAAGCGATTACGACCGTCGACCATGACAACCAAAGTCCCTTTGAAAGATGATAGAAGCCCATTGATGGAGAAGACGCCTGCTCGGCGACGGGGCCGACCAAGGAAACCAGATATTCAGGCGCAGAATGGGTCGCCGTTTCCAGGGAGTCCGGGCCATACCCCGGGAGCGCGAGGGGGAGTCCACAGAAAGGGAAACGAGGCAGGCCGCGCAAGGGTACCCCCAAGCCCAAATCTCAGGAGCTGCTGCAGGTTGATGACCAGCCAACTCCCACAGCCCAGCTCGCTCAACATGGAAGCCCAATGGACATCATTGCCGATGGGGCTGGGGATGGTGATGCTGTTCGACAATGGAGTCCCATGAACCTTGCTGCCGACAGAAGCTCGGAAAGCGACTCACTGGGTGGCGATGATTTCGCCGTTGCGGATCTCACGATACCAACACAGCCTGGCTCCGAGGTCTGGGACACCAGCGCCCGCCATGAATATGACCGACAGACCTACGACACGCCTACCATCGGCGCCACAGAACATCACTTTCTTGATCGTGACGACGAGAACCTACACTCCACTCCTTCCAAGATGCCATCGCCGACTCGGGATAGGCTGACCTCGTCGCCAAAATCCAATCATCGTGCCAGCCACACTCCACCACGAAACTATCCGACACCCACACCTACCTCCTCGCCGATCGAAGAAGATAACCAAGCCGAGGAAGCCGACGTGAACGAGGAACCCGGGACAGACCAGCACCCGGAACCCGACCCAACCGACGACCACCAAGAATTTGATTCTATCATGGAAAGTGAAGGGTTTACTATGATTTCCTTGGACACTCTTCCATCAGCCAAGCAGCATGGGTTGAGCTCCAGCGCCAAGATGTCTACAAGCGGCGCACCCAAGCCATTCACGGATCGCGAGAACGGCGTGGGACAGCGATTGAAGCGCAAGTTACCTGGAACGATTGATGACCTGCGAAGCGATTTTCATGCCCAAAAAACGTCTAGTCCAATGGCTAAAGATTTTTCTCCCGGCCCACGGAAGCAAATTGAACCAGTGTCAGACCATTCAGCGACGAAGAAAAGTCTTGTTGATTATGATGTTTTTTACCCCGAGATCCCTGCAGCGCATCTGTCCGAGGTATCGGCTGCACCGAAAAGAAGGACCTTCACAAGCCTAGCGAGGCTTGTTCGTGTGGGCATAGCCCTCCAAGGACCGTTCCAGCCTCGAGCGGATGAATGGCCCGGTAATAGCAATGCTGACCGCAAGAGGCGTCTTGAAAATGCTTTTAGCACCTTCAGCCCTGAGACTCAGCGCGAGTTGAGGGTTGCATTGGGCCTGGGACAGGAGCTTGCTATGCGACGGACATTGGCGGAAGAGAAGGCCAGAGAAGAGATGGATGCGGAAGATATGGTTGCGCCGATGGAGGAGGAACAGGAATACGATGAAGACGTCGATGAGAATGCAGCAATGCCAGAGGACGAAGAGGAAGAGCAAGAAGAGGAGGAGGAGGAGGAAGGCAACTTCGATGAGGAAGATAATGACAGACCGACCGAGGAAGAAGAAGATGATGATGAATCTGGGTTGTCATCGCCCCAGCTAACGCAAAGGGGCGCATTATCCTCCGCAAGAGCTCAACGGGAGGCCGAATGGCAACAGACTCGAGAGGCCGTCAGTCGCCACGCCCAAATGGCAGCCAACGCGGGCTCGACCATCTACATCGACAGCGATGGAGAGCTAACGCAAAAGGATGGGGTTGACGCCGAAAATGAGGACGCCAATGAATACGACGCTCAATCCCAATCCGAGATCGACTCTCACCACGAAGAGCCTCTAGATGCGGAGCCTGAACTTGTACCTGAGCCTTTTTCTACCGTCCAGCCAACAACGGCAGGAGACGAATTTGATGAGGGCGAGGATGGCGAAAACGGAGAAGACGACGGAGATGATGATATCTGGCAATTGGAGGCTCGGGACCACAGTCAAATCTCGCATCATTCTGGAAAGGATCACGCGCAGCTTCTGGCAGAGGAGGCCGCTAGTCCTTGGCGGCAGATTGCTGGACAATCTGCACACCAAAATGGCTTGAGTTCTTCTCCAGCCTGGAGGAACGGAGAAGAGCGTGATACGGCGTACTTTGGACAGTCCCACATTCGCAAGTTGCGCGACGAGGAGGTCGACTTGTCGGCCGTGCTTGGGCAAGAGAACACGCCAAACCGTGCCCGCTACTACAATGGAGGTAGCACGCCTCGGAGTATCCTGAGCCATCGATCCTGGGCACAGCCTTCCTCGATTAATGGATCTGCCGCGAAAGGTTCTGCGCCGCATTCGACTGGGAAGCGTGTTCGGTTGCAACCGCTCTCACCGTCCCCAGACGAGATGTCCCAAGAAGATGAACTCAGCTCTCCGGTGGCAGCCAACGAGAGTCCTCAGCTGAAACGGCCAGCGAAGACTAACGGCGATAGCCACGTCTCTGATCATGCCCCCAGTGAAATTGGTCCTGCTCAGGCAACCCCGGAGCCTTCACGGCCGCCAAATGGGGATGCTCCGTCATCATCTTGGTTCCAGCGGATCACGGATCTCACGCCAAGATGGTTGAAAGCTCCCATTAGATTCAGGGATGAAAGTGTCAGTGCTATCTCAGACGAAGTCGAGGGTGTTCAAGAAAATGAGCAAGAAGACGATTCAAAAAATGACCGAGAAGATGAGCAAGAAGATGAAGAGGCATTGGCCAGCATCGAGCCTGCTCAGGAAATTTATGAGGATCTCCAAGAGGAGCCGCCTCTCCAAAACTCGGTTGAATCCCCTGCGAGATCATGGGATGAACGACCGATGTCCCCGCCATTGGAGGACCACGTGTTTATCCCGGAGGCAGACGAAGAAGAGGAACAGAGCGCTGAGCAGAGAGATACTTGGAATATCGCGGAAGACAATGTCGACCAAATGAAGGGCTATGACCAGCCCACTCAACCACGACCACTGGCGGCATTTGGCGACTTCTCTAATCAGCATTACTCGGCTCTTCGCCGGTTCTATCGAATGGCCAAGCACTTCCCCGAACGCTTTCCATATTATGACGCCCCGGGACGTGCCGCGATCATCGGTGATTGGATTTGGACGTCGAATGGGCGTCACGGGGTGCCCATCACGGAGCTCCAGTTCGCTGTCATCGACCGCTTTGTGCAGGAACTCTCTCGCGCCGATCTCCAGTACGGCGGAACGGGGCAGGTCGACTGGACCGAAGCTGATCTGCACCGACGGTTGATTAGTGTTGCTATTGGCGAGCAGATCCGAGAGGAAGAGAAAGCCAAGGCGAATCGTGGGGCATCCGTTGACACTTGGCGATGAATGGACCCGCCTTGTATCTTTTCTTTTTCTTTTTCTTTTTGTGGTTCTTTTTGTTGGTTTCCGGCGTGGCCCACAGTTGGATATGCGGTTTCTTGGCGATGGAGTCTGTGGTTGCATGCGTTTTATTTTATGATTCCCTCTCTGTTGATGGTTTATGGGTGTTTGATATACTCACTTGTATGCATGGTGACTTGGACTCGTGAGCGTGTACATGATTCTTTCTGATTTATACTGCCAAACCCCGAGGAATCCTGCGAACTCCTTGTATCTGCGTTGGATAGTGCATCGCATTAAAGAATCGCAGCCAACCACAACTCGATCTGCCACCCACAACGCTTGTTTTCCCGAGGATTGAATGTATCATGGATCAAGTGTAGTTGTGAGAACAGTTTCAGCGGCATGCGCGACACAGGATATGATCATGAACCGGTTAGATCCTCGGATTCAACACATTCAACACTTGTGTTTCAACAACACGGAGTCTCTCCCCTTTCGAGCATATCCCCTAAATAGATCAATGTGCAACCCCCTGCTCCTCAGCACTCTCACGAACACTACAATCCGAACGGGTCCTCGTTGCAATCTCAGCCGGCTGCAGCCCATCAACCCGTCTGGTCCAACCAGGATTTCCTCTGGCAACGCCCCGAATGTCTCTCGCGTGGGCCAAGGAGAGAGAGAGACACAGAGAGGGCGCCTCCGGCGGCCCTCGGATTTGCATTCCCCCCACTCTCGTGCTGCATCCTTGTTTTCGTCGTTTGGGCCCCCCCGGCCTGGGCTACAAGTCTATGGTCTACTCTCGTGGAAGGATCGTGTTTATAAAAACGCCAGGGGGTGCACCCACTACCGAGCAAAATGTACAGTTTTATTTCTAGTTCCAAGATCAGTTCAAGGTTGCGATTGCACACCCAGAGTCTACAGCGTCCAATGTCTACCCGCAGCGGCCATGTCGATGTTCGCAGTTGTCCAACGAGCCCTGCCCTTCTCGTCCTTTCCCATGCCGTGGAAACGACAACAGAGCCCAGTTCCTAAAGAGACAAAAGATACAAAAGAAGAAGAGGGTATTGAACCAACAGAGTCTACCCTGATCAGGAGGGATCCTGCATCCCTCCCCCCCGGCCCCGACCCGGACCTGCATCGTGACGTCGCTCATACCCTGCATGTAGCGGTGAAGCAGCATGTTGATCCCGCGAACCACGCGACCCATGAAGATGTGATCGAAGTCTGCAAGGACGACTCGGAAATAACTGCCGAGCGCTTGTCCTATCCGCAGACACCCAAGCAGCAGCAGTCCTCCGTTCGCACCCGACTGGCGCGCGTCGTCAGCTGGGCGAATATTGTTCCCAGCCAGTGCCGTTGGACCAGCGAGCAAGAACGCGAGCTGAAGACCGCGCAGAGACAGCTTGCGCGGTGTCAAAAGGCGTGGAGCTCGGAGCAAGAACTGTGGTTGACTTATGTATGTCCTGGCTTTCTTTCTTTCTTTCTTTCTTTCTTTTCTTTTTTCTTGAGACTACTGTCCGAAAGCAAAGATACCGAGAAGACCACCTTTCACGATATGATGCTTATTATTCTCATGTCAAGATCGAAGCCCTAACCGACGAAAAAGAGGCCCATGATGATTTCCTTCTTCAGCGATCCAGACAGCAAGAAGAGGAGCGGAACCAGTTCCGCAAGGCGTGGAAACGGCGTCGGTCTGTGGAGAAGCAGGTCCAGCGACATAAAGACGCGCCGGTAAAAGTTAGGGTTACGGGGCTAGGGAGGCTGCGCCGGCTGCAGCGGTATAGCTATCTCGGCCCGATGGCGACGACCGGGTCCGCGGCTGTGGCGTGTAGAGGGTGAGAGTAACTCGAAAAATAGAAATAGGATGTGAATCTTGAGAAACAGACTGTGTGCGGATGGCATGAGGGAGATGACTGGCAGAGTCGAGAGTACTCTACTCTATAATATACCGCAATAATTCAACTAAATTAACTTCACTCAATCGCCTATTTATTCTTTTTCTTATCATCCTGCACATGCGGCCACTTCCGAAAGATATCAGACACCAGATCCATGGGCGCAGTAAGCAACCCGACAGCAGTTTCAAAGGGCGGTTTACTAGGAGCCAGCGGATGAGACCTAGACGGCAAAAACATCTTAGTCCGCTCGAACGAGCGAGACAAGGCCTCACTATCCGCCTGCGAGAGGGCCTCCTCCAGCAGCCCAAGATCCTCATTCTCCTCCTGCCGAATATGGCGATCAAGGTCGCGCATCAGCGACTGCAGGGTCGGCACAAAGCGCGGATCCGTAGACGGCAGTTCCTGAAACGTCTTGAGCTGCTCCTTGATACTCTGGTGCTCGTGTCGGTTCTTGGCCGCGATGTCCGGCCCGTCCTGGACGTGCTTGGCGATGGCCGGGTAGACGACCAGCTCCTCGCCGATTGTGTGCCGCGCCAGTTCCCAGATGAACTGGTTCTGGTAGCGCGTTTGCTCGTCCGGGTTTGTTGAGGTCAGGATCTTGTGGCTGTGTGAGGATAGCTCGCGGTGGTCGTGCTGGATTGCGGGTAGGATCCGGACGTGGGCGGCTGGGGCTGCTGCCGCGTCGGTGAAGGTGCGCAGGGGCGGACCGATGTTCCCGCGGAAGAAAGGTGAGTGTGATGGGCCTGATGTGGGTGCTGCTTTTGTCGCTGGGTCGCTGGAAGCTGTTGACATGGTGGGTTTGTGGACTCGGATGTTGGGAATGCGAGGGTGTACGGCGAGAAGGAGCCGGATCATGAGCTCGGGGGGTGTTTTACAATTGCATGAAATGAGATGGACTACAGACAGTAATGCAGAAGACCATACAAGAGTACTGGACGGAGACCGGCGACGAGTTCCGTTCTCGTCATCATGATAATAGTACTTAGCCCTAAGTGGTCTGAACACCTCGAGGCTCCTTGGATCTTCATAGAGAGCATGACATGGATTAAAAATAGCTAATAAGACATAAAATGCACCACATAACACTCATAATACATCAATAGTGACCGTGAACTTGCTCCAGGCTTACCATGCATCCCAACCCTCACCCAAATACCAAAGCACGCACCTCAATGCTCTCCCTCGGTCGAGCCCCCTCAGGCGTCCGAGGATCCCAAAACGCAGAATGCGGCACCCACTGCCCAATAGCAGGATCCGACCGAGCCTGAGTATCAGAGCACTTAAGCAGCAAGCGTTCCTCCCCCGTCATGCCAGACCAATAAAGCCATTTTTGTGCCGGGTTAAACTGCACGCCCATAGTCTCGCCCGTGCGATTCGGGTAGCGATGCTGGATGGGAACGAGATCAGCGGCATCGACCGAGGCAGCTGAGGCAAACGCCAGCGGAGCCGACTGCACCGGCTCATCGCTGAGGGAGCGCCACACATTCACGATGCGGTAGCGGCCCTGCAGCAGGGCCTCGGCCTCAGCAGGGTCTGCGACGTGCAGCCGGACGCGCTCTTCTGCCGCGCGGGCTGTCTGGTCGACGTGCGCGCGGGTGACGGGCTGGCGTGGTGCGTCGGGGGTCTGGCGCCGGATCGTGTGGTCGAAGAGCACGATTTTGTGGGCGCCTGGGAGGTGGTTGAGGAGGAGTGCTTCTACTTCTGGGTAGTAAGTGTCGCGGACGGCGGCGTCGGAGTCGAAGGTTGTGTAGGTGGTGGCGGTGGGGATGTGTTGTAGTGCTTGGAAGGCGTCTTTGTCGAGGGTGAATTGTGCTTCGTCGCCGCGGATATCGTTCAAAGACACGTTGTGAGGCACCTCGCGATAGTTGCGCTGCGGGTGGCCCGGTGGTGGAGTCTCGACATAGTTGAAGGGCGCGGTCTTGTCCGGGGGAGGCGCATAGAAGGTGAGCTCGGCGGCGGTTGGGCCGCGGGGGACATAAGAGGGGACGGTGGTGGTGATAGTAGTGGTCATCTCAGATGGTAGTGTGGAATGTTCTGTGTGAACAAATGGATAGATTATGAAGTACAAGTGATAGACTGCAGAGGCAGACGCAGATCGTCTTAAATATTGACACCGCTGTATAACCTCGGGATTCGCAGTGAATTAGTGAGCATCGTCGAAGCTTGCATTTGTCATCTTGCGGAGAGAGCACGCAATAGGCGTGGCGCGATAGATTGTATACTTCCGAGGTCGTGACTTCGGCATTATTAAGCTTCTTTTCACTTCGACCGCACCACATCTTTAGCCAGGAAACATCGACTATTCTCACTTCTCCGGTGCAGGGATCTGCTGCGTCATGCAGTGGATACCACCGCCATTGATTGCAATTTCCATCGAGGAAGACCTGGACCACCTTTCTCTTAGGAAAGAGATTCTGAAGAATCTTCTTGGCCTTCGCATCGGCTTTGTAGCTCCCAAATCGTGGGGCAATGACAGCACCCCTCACAGTGCAGATAGTTGACATAGCCTAATACCATGTCTGTCTTTGATGTGTCAAAATCATTCACATCCGCCTCGGGAAGTTCAGTGATCTTAAGGCGTTGTCCCTTGGCATCAGTGACACGGGACAAGATATGCTTGGTTTCATCGTAAACCTTTGTCCACACCCCACTGCCCGGAGCAGGACGACTCAAGACGACTTTTCCAGGGGCATCGATGTGCGCATCAGTGACGTCCTGATCCCTCACGCCGGGGACCCAGATGATCTTGGAAACATTCAACACCCGGTGGAGTTCCCGCTCGATGGCATCTCGAGACATATGCAGGTTGCGGTTCGGGTTGAGGATCGAACTCTCTCTCTGTCGCCATCAAGGTTCCTTCGCCATCATTCTCGAGAGCTCCGCCTTCGAGAACGATCGACGACTTCACACGGGGGATCTGGCTATCCTGGAGGAACCGAGCAGCCAACTGGGAATTGTCGGCCGACGGATACTGTCCTCCCCAGCCATTGAAATTGAAATCGACCCAATGGAGATCGGAATACGGGTTCTCGCTGAACACAAATGTGGGAGCGATATCACGCATCCACGGCTCCAAGCTACCGCTGTCCATAGCTTTAATTTCCACGGCGTGATGGCTCTTCTCTTGAAATCTCTGCTGAGCATCAGGCACCTGGTCACGACTAACTAGAAGAATCACCGGCACGAATTCGGATATGGCTTTGGCGATGGCCGTCAGCTCGTTCCTCATGCGTACAAGGCTGCCATTTTTCTGGTAGTTGGGGTTTTTATTCCCCGGCCAGGCCATGATTGTCTTTTCGTGAAGTGGCCCTTCACCGGGCATGAAGAAGCCATTCACCGCAGCCATGGAAACACCGACTGTAAAGAAAAGACGAGAAATTAAGGAACACATGAGGGATAAAAGTGGCGAATAGCCAGATATAGAGGCCAATGAAGAAAAGAGTGTAGAGAGGATATGTGCAAAGTAGAGGAAAACTGCACAAAATCCGGAGATAGGATTGTGAAGAGATGCTGCTAAGGATGATTGATATACGGACAACAGCGATCTTTCATATGCTATAATTATAATCATATTATAAAAGTCTGGGTATGTCGACCTCGGCTGTTTCTTTCTTCATTCGGAAAACCGAGCGAATACAAATAATTATATTATATTGTTATACACGGCTGGCAAGGCCGGATCGACTCATCGCGAATTAACTTTTCGTCGGGAGATCAAGCAAATGGAAATAATTACATATTATATATATTGACGCCAAGCCAGTAGGCAACACAGTAAGTAGGTAGAGCAAGGCTACTCGGGAAGCCAGGCGAATAGAGAATATTATATAGTATATTTATTGTTGCTAAGCCTGTGGGCAAGCAACACCCTGGATCAGAATAAAAGGAGTAATATAGGGCTAGTAGAAGACGATAACGCCTATCTTCAAAGTCTAGAAGCCTAGGAACGTAGCGACAATTCATGTGAATAGCCATTGATTGAGGACCCAATCTCAGAAAGAATGCACTTGATTTAGTCTAGTCTCTTCTCTAAAGAATATCCATGTATTCGGTCCTGTATAGTAGCAAACAATACTAGGCCTATAACCATGACCTAGAGACCTTTCTCGACACCTCTTTTAGGGATGTGACATGGCATGGAAAAGACATCAAGATCAAATCCCACACTTATGGTGCGAGGCACCAAAATGGTTGTTGCAGTATTTGAGCGTTTCACAGTATTCTGGTCCACCGCATTGTTGCGTGATTTGATTCTCGTCTTGGAGATAGCACCAGGGCTGGCCGTCTTGCCAGTCCCCAGAAACGGGGTCCATGCTATCGGTGCTGCATTTACTCCAGCAATATGTTTTGCCGCAGTTGGGGGATTTCTCTGGAAGCAATTTTAGAACTGGATCTCGCTTCTCTTCTTCCTCCTCCTCCTCCTCCTCTTTTATTTTTCAAAGAGTAACGTATATACTTACCAGCAGCTACAACAGTCCCCAGAGCGACAAAGGCAAACCCAAGACTAGTGAGCAATTTCATCGTTGAATATATAAAGCGGAGGATAATTATAATTGATCAAGAAGTGAGTGATAGGAGAATGAAAGAGAATAAAAAAAAACATATCAAGGGAATCGAGAGAATGATAGCGGCTTTTTTATATGCTCTCTGGATACAACACTCCACGCCAGCTGACGGCCCACAAGTTCCAAGGAGATGGATGCTGTTGGTTATCAAGCGGTGTACATAAAGATTTTCGACCCCAACTGTTGGCTTATTTATTCTTGGTTACATTGCGCATGGTTATTTAGGAGGGAAGTAGCAAGAGAGCTTTTGAAAAACAGTACTATATATACACTCGTGCCATGTTTAGCAAAAGAAAGCGAGAGAAATCCTTGACTACAACTACCCCAGGGCTACATTGATCGACAACCTCTTATATCCATAAACTTGTATCAGGATCTGATAAATGCAATCGATTCTGTTCGCTCGACATAGCCCCAGAATATAATAAGGAGATGGGCCGGAGCAAGAGGAAAAAATAATAATAAACAGAGAAACCCCCATAAAACCCACCCTCGTAGATCCCGGACGCCGTTTTCGCCAGTTACCAGACGAATAATGAAGTAAAAGAGAGAAGGGAAAAAAAAAACAAAGAAAAAAAGAAAGCCTGGACCCTTCCCCGCTTACAGAACTCCGTCGCATACTCTAGCATACACCGAACCCCCTATGCAACCTCTGGCAATGCATGGTACTAGTGGTTCCGAGTACGCTTGCTGCTGCGCTCGCGCTCCATCCCGACGGGAAACATCTCGGCGCCATTGTGATGGCGAGCCGGCTGCCACTGGATGCCCATACTGGGCGGGAAATCCGGGTGCAGGGCGGAGTGGCGGTCCGGGTTGGGCGGGTGGTCGTCGACGGGGCCGGAGGGCACGGGCGCGACGGTCAGTTCGAGGAGGGAGGAGTCGATCCAGCTGGAGGGCTTGGAGGACAGCCGGTCCATGCGGGCGCAGTCGTCGTCGACCTCGTCGTTCATCAGCGAGGTCAGCGGGGGCGCGTTGCCGTTGGGGCGGGCGTGGTAGTTGGCCAGGACGTGGTAGGGCGGCGGCGGGCGCGTGGCCGGCTTGTCGGCCAGCTCGGCCAGGGCGCTGAGCGCTGGGTGCGCGTTGGTGCGTGTGGATCGCGTGGCGTGGTAGTTGTGGCTGGCGGTGCGGATCATGTCCGCTGCGCTGGGCGTGCCGTTGTCTTCGTGACCTGTGCCCTCGGGCGTGTCTTCGGCATCGGTGTTGTTGCCGTTCGTGGCTGCGCCTGATCCCTGGTCTGCGCGCTTGGAGGTCGCAAAGAAGTTCGTGGCGGCCACGTGTGCTTGGTTGGCGTGTCCGCTGAGCTCCTTGTCCGTGAAGAGAGAGTGGATCGAGTATGTTGGTGCCGTCTGCTGTGCCAGGGTTGCCTTGGACCGCTCTGCCGGTGTTGTGCCGCCCGTTTCCCGCACGGGCGACCCAGCATCTTCCTCGGGGGCCTTGCGCTTGCGCTTATTCAGGTCCGAAACGATTCCATTGTCCAGCTCGAGGTCGACTCGGTGACGCGTGTGCCGCGTCTTACGGTTGCTGTGAAGGCCGCCAGGGCTGGCCGGGTTGGTGATGCTGAACTGGTTGGGATGGAGGAGCAGCGCATTGGTGTCGGCGATGTCAAGTTGCTCCTTCTCGCGCATCAGACGCGCCCGCTTCCCGGAGATGGTCTGCACCAGACGTTCCCGAAGGGTGGCTGACAGCAAACTGAATTCCTCTTTGGCAAAATGTACCCGGAACTCGTATTCGCTCTCAAAACGGGCCAGGTTATTTTGATGTCGGTTCTGTGCGAGCAGAAAAGAAGGAATTAGTGATCCGGCCGGGGGAAAAAAGTGGGAAGGGGTTCAAATACAATTGTCTGAGCCAAATCGGTATCTCTCTGCTCCTTAACCTTGTTCACATCCTGCACAAACTTGGAGTACCACGTCCCCGACAGACTAGCCATCTCCTTCGCAAACTTGCCACCGCCCACGGTCTCCTCAATCAACTGCGCGATATCCTCCGCCGAGTCCGGGAGCGGACCGGGCTGGTAGGGGTCGGAATTGTTGATGAGGGTCATATCGCACTGCAGCGAGTGGAGCTGCTGACGGAATTGGGTGTCGCGGTTTTGGCTGAACGAGGCCGTCAGGTCGTGCAGACGCTCCTGGAGAGCGGTGCGCCGCTTGTCGCGTTTCGAGATGGGCGCAGAGCCACCGACACCATTTCCTCCAACAGGGCTTCCTGAGCGGCCGCGGGAGTGTAAGCCGCCATAGTAGCCGGGCCCCGTGCCGGGGGAGGGGGACCGGGGGAGTAGGCCATAGATTAGATTGACGGGTTGGGTTGGGTGGGGTGGTTAGGAAACTGTAGAGTTAGGGAGGGAGGGTGATGAACACAGGGAATTGACTCTTGAGATAGGGTTAACCTAGGACAGCGAGTCCCTGGAAATGTAAAATGAAGAGAATCGCGAAGGTTGTGGTAGCAGAGAGCAGACGGCGTCAGAAAAGCGGACAGCCCGTTGTAGTTCCTGATGCGGTTTAGATTCGGGAGGAGGTTTCACCGCGCCGATTTATAGTCTTCTCCCTGTGGACCGAGTGAGGGTTTATTGACGTGAATGAGCATTGTGAATAGAGCTGAGATATAGAGTCTACCATGAATGAATAGAAAAGATGTCCATTCATATGACAATCAAGTCAATATCCCCCATTTCTATTGTCTGGCCTCAATACCCCAGCCGCCGGATTGCCAAATGTTTGCAGCAGGGAATATGAGATATTCAATTGGAAAAAATGAACCCTGGATAGCTTTCAGACTATCCAAAGTCCACACAATAGCCCAGTAATCCCATTAATTATCTGGAAGCTTTGTTGTTCCTCAGACAAAATCAGGTTCTGTGTGCTAGAGGCTATGATGCCTGAGGCTATGCAAGCACATGGCATCAGCATCAACTTGGGCTGTCTAGGTAAACTTAGTAGTGCTACTGCTGCTATGCCTCTTAAATATCATCCAAAATTCATTTGTACTAAATTCCATCATCAAGACAGACCGTTCATCAATCCTTGCATCGCCAAATCAGTGGAACCAACAACCAGGGTATTCAGAGTCATTCCCAATGGGGTCAACGCAGACATGCAAGGTGGACAATCACCTCAAAACTCAAAAGAGAGAACCAAATCCAAACACCGGGGACTATTAGCAAGGGTCTCATGTCATATTTTGGCAGCAATCGGCCGCTGGAAGCCATTTTTAAAACACGATATTCCATAAAAAAAATGTGAGGGGGAAAAGAAGAAAAAAAGAATTTACGCGAGGCAAATTTCTAATGGGTTCGGCGGATCACAAAGACACCCAACTCGACGCCATCGCGCGGCTCACTGTCCTCGCCGTAGGGTCGTTTGCGGATGCCATCGAAGATCTCGCCGAGCAGCATGGCAGACGTCACTTCTTTGTCTGCCATGAAGCCACCCGAGCCTCCAGAGCCCGAGGCTTTGTGTAGTGAGGGTCGGCGGCCATTCTGCCAATACAGGCTGAGCACCTCTTTCATCCGGGCCTTTTCTTGGTGGATGTACCACTCGGCCCAGAGACTGCGGTCGAGGTGGGTGCTGCCCCGACCGGCATCGGCCAACTGGAACCGCGATGAGGGCGAACTCAGGGCCTCGCACAGGGTGACGATGTTTGCCCGCATCGTAGCGAAGTCATCCATCTGCGAGACCGTCGAAAGCTTGCCCAGGAAGCGGCCCACATCGGCCGACAGTCCATTCACCACGACCAGCTGGCGGAGCAGTGGGTCGAGGATCGGACCAAGATATTGTGATTTGAAGGTGGAGGCCCCCTTCTTGGTCGGGTAGATAAGGAGCATCGAGCCACCATCCGGGGAAAGCTCGCATAGTCGGTCCACTAGGAACGACGGTCGCGTCGAGCAGAACAGATCCCGATACTCCTGGGCAGAAGGGGGCGGGAGGTACCGCTCGAGGACGGAAATGTGAACACTGTGAGGAGGAACAACAGGCATCGGGGCATGGGAGAGTTGCCGTTGCAGCGGCCCGCGGAAGTCGTGGTAGGCGCCCACCACTGCGGCACTGGAGAAGATAGTTGCACTGAAATAGTCTTGGGTGGCATTCAGAGAGCGAGGGGTACTAGGGGGGAGTGGGGCAGGTTGGATAGGCTGAACTGCTCTGGCACAGCATGGGTGACATTGATGTAGGGTGATTGGCCGGGCTGGAGGTGGTTGTGCACGGCCTGGACGATGGAGCAAAATACGCTGTCCTCCTTAGGCAGCGACACGGACTGGTCGGCTGTCCGAGGATAGGGAAGCGTCTGGGAGACAATTTTGACAGCCTCGCCGCGTGGGTTGGAGCGGGCGAGAGACGATACTGGAAGGTGGTCAGAATTCGGTCGATAATATCTTAAAGTCTGGGGTAACCAAAAATACAACTTACCAGTTACATTGATGCCATGATCCAAGGATGACCCGGAATCCTGCTGGCAGTCCATCTCGTCATGGGGTCCAGGACTTCCCGAGCTGGACGATCCGTGAGAGAGCCCGTCGGATGGGCTCAAGCTATCCGAGGCACCGGTCGCAGAAGAGTTCTCCACACTGGGGCCCTCATCCATCATGGGCATGGAGCCCGGATCGCGGGGAGGTTGAGCGTCAAATAGCAGCATCCCGGACTTGGGGTTCCACGCAACAGGGCTGTCGTCATCCGGGGGCGTGGGAGGGAGGGTGGTGGGGTAATCAGCCGGGAACGACGCTGAGGAGTTCCACGAGGACGAGGAGTGCGATGTCGAGGGTCTCGGCCCGCGAGACACAGTAGTGGACAAGCGCAGACGGGAATCGGCCGACCGAGTTCTCGACTCGACCCGCAACGGCGAGCCCGGAAAGGCCCGGTGTTCCCAGGATGGGAAATTGACGGCGACGCTGCCCTTGGACAAAAAGCGAGAAACAGGGGGAGGGTCGGGTTCGCAGAGATCCTTGCGAGGCTCGTCGGCGAAGTTTAGATGGGCTAGCTTCGCGAGAATGATCGATGAGGGAGCGTGGTCGTGATTGGGTCTCGGCTTTCACTGTGGTTGATTGGGGGGTTTGCATGACCAGGTCGTCTGGGACGGAAGAAACAGGCCAACTGGGTCCATTGCACGCTTGGGGATTCATCCAGGCTGTTGGATCAGGAGGGGAGGCAAAAACCGCGGTCGGCATGGATCAGAGGCCGTAGGCGATGGGTAGGAGGGAGAGAGTGAGTGTGAGTGTGAGAGGAAGCGTTGGCAGCTGTCGAAAGCGACCGGGGAAAGAGGCGAAGCAGGAGAGAAAACCTAGGTGACGGGAGAAGAAGGGGGGAAAAGGAGCAAAGAGGAACAGATGGAAGATATAGAGGGATAGGGGAGGAGAGGACGTTGAAAAGAGAAGAAGAGAAAGCGAGAGAGAGAGAGAGAAGGGCTGAAGTGAATTGGAAATTGGCGGATGGTTAGGAGTGGAGGGAGAGGTAGCAGGTACATCATCTGAGTAGGGGGAACACAGAACTAGCGAAGTACCCAGTACGGGGTGTCCGATGTAGTGGATTGGGCCAGACTCGCAGCAAAGAGGGCGGGTTCTAGACCGCGGAGTCGTGGAGTCATCGGCATTTGGGTACAAGATTTACTATGAGGATGTGCTGTGTCAGCGAAGTATTTCCGAGGCCTGTATTGGTGTCACTTTTAATCAATCTGAATATACAATCATATACAACAGAAGAGAAAAAAAAAAACATCATCATCATATTAAAATAATCATAATAATATAAAAAATAGAAAGGTGCTTGGACTCCGTTCTAGACGACTCGCTTCGCCCCACGCGGCTGAGCCGATCATTGGGGCTGCGTCGAGTTGATGAGGACACAATATAAATGGATGAGAGCCAGAGAGTGGTGAGTAGTGGTTGAGCAGCCTTCATTTCTCTTGATATTAGCCATTTCGTGGGTGATTTACTCGAGTATATTCTAGTGATAAGGAAGTACTCGGTACACGCTGTCTGCCGGGACCATCGCCCCGACCAAAGTACTGTGTACCTATTTCTGTTTCCGGTCGCACACATTCAATCCCCCGTCATCCATTGCCACCGGGTGCCCCGGACCATGCAGGGCCCCCCAAGAGTTTGCAGTCCGCAAATCATCCAGACTCCGCAAGTATCAAGTATCAAGTTGATCAAGGCTGATCAAGGTTTCTGAGAGACGGCGTTGGACCGTTGTGTTCAGAATTTCCCGTTGGCCCGGATCTGGTTCGCATCGCATCTCCCGGGCTCCACTGGGGTCTCAGATAGAATGGGGTTGCCACTCTTGTTACGGAACTATGATATACTATTTTACGCACGGGTGATCGAGATAGATTAAAAGGTGGGATATCCATGGATAAAGATCATTATCTGATTAACATTATATCTAGTAATACGTAGGTGGAATCACCACAAGTGGCTTTGTTTTCGGACCAAACAGCTAAGCCGAGGCTGGGGAGTCTGGAAGCTCAACGAGTTTCCAGTATCCGTGGTTCTGGGAGTTTCATGGAAGTTTCATGGATGTCCCATGTCATACGCTGAGACAGACTTTGGGCGTTTCAAAAGAAACTCTCGCGTGGAGGTGGGTACTCGACGCCATGTGTCTCAGGCAGCGGGTGTGTTTCTGAGTGGTCCCCGAGTTCTGGAACTCGAAAGTTCATGGAACTTTGGGGGATTCTGAACACTCTTAGATTTGCCCGAGTTGAGCTGGTGTCATCATGGGGGATGCCCTAGTGATGAAGGTGGAGAAGGAGGCTGCAGAATGGCGAATAGAGGCAGAGCATGCTATATGGTGTATGGTATGCATATCCGCCATAACCATGCAGCCCTCATGAGGTCAGAGATCGTCGGCGGGACTGTGTGGTGCCGGTGGTAGTCATCGGCTGCCGCATCTCGAGGGAGCAGTTCCACGCCACCGACGATCGATAGCGCTGCTCCTCGCGGGAGAGCCGGACTTGTTTGCGGGCAAAGCTCGAGGGGTTGAGAGCGATGGTGCAGGTCGGAGCAGCGACGGGCGCGGGGGTCTTAGCCAGAGAAGGGATTGGACAGGAGGGGTTGTCCAGAGTGGTGCGCAACTCGTGGCACTGACGCACGAGTTGCTGGACACCGTCGGTTAAGCGAGAGGCACGGTCTTCGATGTCGGGCCAAAAGGCATCGCCCCAGAAAGGGTCCTCGCGCACCGCGGTCTCGAGAGCAGCAAGCCAGCAGCCGAAACCCGAGCGCGCACCGGCCAGCTGTGCCGCGACGGTCACAAAGCGGATGGTGGGTTCAGAGTTCAAGACATGTAGCACGATGCAAGCGGGGCACCGGGCTGTCAGATACCAGTCGTGCTCCTCGGTCAGGATGCAGTGCAGCCAGGCAAAGGCGCTGCGGGCCTCGCCGCGGAAGGCGCGCTCGGGCTCGGCCCCCTTTTTGCTGGCCAGGGCGCGTGCGGCGGTACGTTCCGCCTGGTGGTTGATCAGGAAGAGTGGCACGAGGAGAGTGTGGATAATGTCACGATGCAGCCGGAACGAGTCTTGGGCGGTGGTGGACGAGTGTTGGTGCACCGAACAGAAGCTCGGCCCTTCTGTGCCGCATTCCTGGCGTCGCAACTGTTCTCGCATGGCCCTAAACGCTTCATTGCGCTCCATGCTGGCCAGTTCCTGGCGCGATATACGGAATGGAGAGATGGACATGTCGTGTAGAATGACAAGCGTATTATATTGTGTGATTTTGAAGAAACCGCGATATCGGCGAGGGGAGTTGAGAATAGATAGGGTGTATAATTAGAACATGTCGAAAGGAGGAGTGGCGAAGAAAGGTCGAGAGTGTTGAGAAGGGGAACTCCTTGAAGAAAAAGCGATGTGGGGATGTCCGGAAACGGAGTCCTAATATACCAAGGCATTAACCACCCCCCTTTGCGGAAACGTCATGGGAACGTGTTGATCAGGGCCTTTGCCTCAGGCAAAGGGTCACCGCAGATCGCAATGGATGTCGCCCCACTGCTGACGAACGCAGTGCCCCGGCGAGAGATGATTGGTGGAGTTCAACAAAATTGGTGGGCCGATGGAGATTGGGAAAGAGTCTGGACTTGTCAGGGTTTTTTTTTTTTTTTTTTTTTTTTTTTTTAACTTTCTTTTCCCCCTCAACAGTATGTCGTACTGAATAGTTACTATCAGATACCATGTATATACTATGATATCCATGGATGTACCATAGATAGTAATGGATATCAGATACTCATATGTAACATAAGAGTCAACCCTTGAATTCTACTTTCTATGACTATGAAACATCCAAGGAGAATATGGAGAGTCCCGTGGCCTCGCACGGATGGCATGCTGGGGTTGATCTCGATTATTCTTAGCAGCTAGAGATCGGCATGTCTGCCCAATAACTCAGACCCCTAGAAGTATTATTATTATTATTATTTTTTTTTTTTCTCTTGTTTTGCACTATCGATCGGCAGGATCCAGAAGCTTGCGATAATCCATAAAAGGGGTCTCGGCTATGGAATCGATCCAGATCTGAAGATGAGACTATCTACATCTATAGTACCTACAGCATCCAGTGTCTACACGTAGCGAGGGGCTATCTTTGGCCATAATCAACGTGTTATTGTGAGGACCGTGCGTGGTTACATGTACCTTGGGACGGGAAAGATTTTTCTTGATTTTTTTCCGAGTGGAACTCGGCAGTTTCCGGGCGCTCGGAAATGAGGGCTTCATTTGGTTTTTCTTGTTTTTCGTGTTTTTCGTGTGGTTGCTGTGGACACATCTTGTTGATGAAACTGGAGATAATTTCTACTTCCCTTGGTAATGCTATGGTGATCTTATTTACTTGGATATTTACTTGGATACAATTTCCACCTTGTCTACAGTGCCAAGTACCAAGTAGTCCGTAGCCTTGCAAACATCCACTATATCCACCATACCCATCTCCTACTTTTCCCTCTGCATGTATGTCGGACATGATATGCATCTGCATCCCACATGGGCCAGGGTGGTTTTGATTGTCAATCCCCGGATCCAAGGGTTAATAGCACATTCTTTCTCCAACTTTATCCTCCCCCAGGGAATTGGCGATAGCCTCCCCCTGGCATGTCGCAGCATGGAGCGAGGAATGAGACTGGTGGCGCGCTAGCGCAATCTGCCCACAACCTGGCTACATTTTTCAAGGAATTTGGGATTCAGAATCGATTTCCTCTGCTGGTCGCAAGTGCTGGTGTTTGGGGAAGACTTCTTTGTCTTGCTCTTTCCTTACGGGAAGTGCCTGCAGTTCTTTCGCGACAAGAACGTCCCCCGAGGGGAGACGCTCGACTCTTCTCTTCTCACCAATCTACTGGCCATCGAATCCCTTTATCTATTGCACCAGTGTTACCTTCACAGACTTAAAATCATGTGGTCTTTCCTTGCCCTCGCAGTGCCCGTGTTGCTGGGTAGCTTGCAGGCTGTGACTGCCGTGCCAACCATCTCGGCTGTCGGGTCCAAGTTCTTCTATGAGAATGGAACCCAGTACTACCTGAAGGGTGCGGATCTGTGGATGCGATGGACACAAGTGACCAGGACCCGATGGCTAACACCGTGCAGGTATTGCCTATCAGCTCACTCCCCACGACCCGCTCGTCGACACTGCCCAATGCAAACGCGACATCGCTCGCATGTCCGAGCTGGGCGCCAATGCTATTCGCGTGTACCACGTGGATGCTTCAGCAGACCACAAGGGCTGCATGTCGGCCTTTGCGGATGCAGGGATCTATCTGTTTGTCGATCTGGATACCTTCAACACGCAGATTGAGCAGGTAGGCGGGTTTGACTATTCCTGAGCTTGACCCAGCACTGATACTCTTCCCCAGACCGACCCCCACTGGAACCAGACCCAGTTCGACCGCTTCAAGGAGGTGCTTGATGAGTTCCAAAAATTCGACAACACGGCCGGGGTTTTTGTCGGGAACGAAGTCTTGACCACGGCGGATGGCTCGCAGGCCGCGCCCTATGTCTTGGCTGCCGCTCGCGATATCAAGGCCTACCGTGATGAGAAGGGCTATCGCCAGATCCCCGTTGGCTACTCTGCGGCGGACATTGCTGATCTGCGGCCCATGCTGCAGAACTACCTGGCGTGCGCTGGCAACCATTCGGACCGACTGGACTTTTACTCCTTGAATGCCTACGAATGGTGCGGCCAGTCGAGCTATGAACAGTCAGGCTACAACATCCTGCAAAAGAATGCGACAGACTACCCTATTCCCATCTTTTTCTCCGAGACCGGCTGCAACACCCCGGCTCCTCGCACGTTCCACGACCAGTCAGCCATCTTTGGCAAGAAGATGTCGGGGACGTGGTCTGGGTCCATCGTCTACGAGTGGATCGAGGAAACCAATGACTACGGCTTGATCAGCTATGGACCGTCGGTCAAGGCGGCCGCTGCCACCAACTCGATCATTGAGGACGGCTTCACGCGAAAGGGCACCCCGACCCCGGTGTCGCCTGACTTTGGCAATCTCAAGGCTCAGTGGGCTACTCTCCACCCGACGGGCGTTCACCTCTCCGACTACCGCAAGGTGGCCTCGGGTATCACCAACATCAAATGTCCTGCTTCCACCTCGGGCGGCTGGGCCGTGGACCCGAACTCACCACTTCCCACTCTGGGACAAACCTTGAGCAAGGAAGCGGCCACGACGATGGGAACCTCGTCTACTGACGGCAAGGCGACTGCTGCTGGGTCGGGCGCCAGTGCGACGGCGACTAAGAAGAGCAGTGCCAGTGCATTAACCATCACCGGAACCACGGCCACAGAACGCCTGCTGGCAGTTTCTATGCTGCTGTCTGGAGTAGTGGGAGCAGTCGCCTTTTGGTTGTGACGTGGTGAGAATCACTGAGCTACGGGCAGTGGAACGAGGACGAGGTACTGTATTGATTATGCCATCCCTGAGATCACAGGATAGACGAGTTTTGATGAAGCTACTGCGAGACAGTGGACACGCCTGTTATGTTTGTTATCTTGAGCTCCCGGCTTTCACGAAGTGTAGGCAGAACCAAAATTATTGATATTGGAAACCAGCGCTTGTCCCATCTATTAATTGTACAAGCGCCAACCGACGCCAAATATCTCCCAGCGCCTTAACATTTTGCCTGCCTTATTTACTTGCGAGAGTCAGCCCCTCTATGCCTGTGATATTAATATCAAAGTCCGGCAGAGCGAGCTGGGGCGATTCCCGCTGGGTCTGCATCTCTGGCTCTTCCTGCTTGATGGATACTGCCTCGGCATGGTTGGCATTGTTCTCCTCGTCGTCATCGATATTGGTGTCGCTGCCACTGCCGGGGTCCGAGAACCCGAAATCGAAATCCGACACCGACGAAGCCGAAGCATCGTGACGGAGCTTCGACCTCGCATTCTTCTTCTTTGACTTCTCCTCCATCTCCCCCATCTCCTTATTCACCAACCGCTTCTTCTCCTTCACCTCATCACTACCACTCTTCCCACCCCTACAATGCAACGCAACAACACCCCCGGGAATCTGCTGACAAACCGCGTTCGCAAAACACCTCTTGACGCGCCTGGCCTCCGGTCTTTTCTCAGCGTCCGCATCCAGCATCGCCCTCAACACCATCAACAGCCGCGGCACCGCCCAAAACGGCTTGTCGCTGCCGCGGTCGCGCCGGCACCGCTTCAGCGCGTCACCCTCTAGCAGCGCGATCCACGACTGCACCTGCACGACGTTGCGCGCCAGATGGAACGATGCGTCGGCGATGCCGCCGCCGCGGCCGGCGGAGCGGTTGCGTGCACTGCGGTGCGAGGCGAAGGAGCTTAGGCTGCGTTTGCAGAGGTGGGTGAGGATGTTGAGGGTTGTTGCTGCCAGCGAGAAGATGTCGGAGGATTGTGTGGGGGTTTGTTGGTGGGCGTGCCAGGTGTGTAAGGGGGGTTTGATTGGTTTGATTTGGGGTTGAAGATGATGTTGTGGATGGGGTTGTGGATGGGGTTGTGGATGGGGTTGTGGATGATGGTCTTGGTGATAGCGATGATGGTGATAGTGGCACGAATGAAGATTGCGGTGAGGCTGGTGATGGGATCGAGTATGAGGAGGCGGAAGAGGAGGAATTGGACGAGGTGAGTGATGGCGTTGCGATCAGTGACTTGGGCATTTTGCTCCAGATGCGCGTGCGGCCCTGCTGCGATTCTTGTTGTTGCGACTTCTTTTCGTGCCGCTGTTGCTGCTGTTGTTTCCACGGATCGACATCCTGTCCTGCGCTCGAGGACGCCGCCGACGAAGCAGACGACGACGAAGACGAGAACGCAAACGAGAACCGTGACGGCGACCCCGGCAGCCCGATACGGATGACCGTTCCCCGGGACGCGGCTGAGTCCGGCCGCGGGAAGTCCGGCGACGACGGCGGACTTTCATTCAATGGGGTCAGCGTGAGGCGCGACGGCCGCTTCTTGCGCGCAGTACGGCCTCCCGATGGCAGGAGGATGCGCGATGGCGCGGGCTGCGGGAGCGGCGCGGCAGACCGGATCCAGCGCTCGGGCGCCGAGTACTGGTACGCCTCAAGGTCGTCGACGCGCGGCGGCGCCAGGAGCGAGTCCAGGGCCTGGAACTGGCCGAGGCGGATGTGTAAACCAGCGTCGACGAGGATGTTGGATGGGCGGATGGCGCCGTGCGAATGCCCCCGCGCGTGTAGCCATGCCAGTCCGGATGCCAGACAATGCGGCCACTGAATGAGGGTTTGGCGGCGTTGCTCTTTGGACTGCCGCTTGAAGGCCAGCGGCTCGTCGGTTAGGAAGCTGTGCAGGGTGCGGTCGGCACTGGCGCCGGTGAAGAGGACACAGATTGTATCGTCGGCCTGGTACGAGCCATACACGGACATGACATGCTCGTGAGCGAGCCTTCGCAGCGCCCGGATCTCGCCCAGCACCTCGTCCGCCTCAAAGAAGTGCGGCGCGCCACCGACCTGCACACAAGTACGCAGAAACACGCGGCACACCGACCCCGCCAGCACAACCCTATCGACCGAGTTATCGCGGCCCTGCACACTAGTACTGGCGCTGGACCCCGGGCGCAGCACTTCAACGGGGACGCCCTCGTTAGCGGTATAAGCAACATGCTCACCCTCGGCGATACCGCGAACAAGGAACCGCCACTGAGCATGAAAGAAGCGGGAATCGAGCGCCGGGTCGGGCGCGCCGTCGGCGGCAAGCTGGAGCAGGTCGACGCTGTGCTCGGGGACGGGCAGGTCCGCGTCGTCGCAGGACTCGTCGACGAGTGCGAAGATGCGGTCGGGGATGCCGATGGCCGACAGCGTGAGGAAGAGGCGGCCGGCTTTGAGCAGGATCCATTCCATGTATGTCTCGCTGGTTAGGCCCTCGCCCCAGCGCGGCAGATCAAAGAGCCGTGGCACATTGGCCGGCTGCAGGTGGCTGACGATGTACGTGGTGTCCAGGGTTGAGGCGATGCGGTCTTCGGGCCACCACAGTGATGTGGGTTCTTGGTGGGCCATGATGGGGCATGCTCTGTTAGAGTACGCCGTTGAAGTATCAGGGTATAAAGTATAGAAATACAGAGGTATAGAATAGAACAAGTCTTTATATAAAGTACACCCCCGGATCAACACCAAGAGTATATAGAGGGGGGTGTCTCCCATGGAACGATTCACATTATGGGACCAGCTTGTTCGCAAATCTGAACGCCTACTGGCGGACACTCCGCTTATCTCGGGCTCGGCAAGGGGAGGAACCGAGCAGATCGATAGTGGGAATTTCAATCTACAGCATATCTGGGGAGACATCATTGACATAGGTGGTGTGTGTGGTGGTCTACAGGCTATGGTTTGTTCGTCTTAGTGTGGGCTGTCAGAAATGGGCGAACGGTGACTCCCGGGGCCAAGAAATGATGGATCTCGCAAAACAATAAATGCAGACCATCAGAGCCAATGTGGACAAAGATGCTTATCTCTCTTCTTTTTCTGTGTCGAACCGAGATAAGCGGATTGAACTGACAGGTGGAGCCTCTTCTTGCAAGGTTATTCCTCGGTGATTGTACTTGGCTTTTCCCTTTAGGGTTCTTCTACTAGTGCCATTGCAAGGAGGTTGTCGCTAGTCTTGTACAGCATACTGTGGATGTTCTCCGCGGAGAAGAGGCGTGGCAATGCAGGGGAGATCATTGCGGAGGGTTTTTCTTTCCTTTTTTTTTTTTTTTTTCTTATCAGGATCGTCGCCGACTGGGACTTTGGTCACTTGCGTGGTTTCTATGTCTACGTACGGAGTTGTGCAGTTGCGTAGTTACGCAGGATTGCAGTTGCAGTCTACAGAAAGGAGAAATAGTCTTTAAGATCCCTCAATTCCCTATTTGCAATTCCATAGACGTGGTGGCGCTCGACTAGAGCCTTATACCCTATAGTTCGGTCAATAATAGAGAGAGCACTTGGTAGGGATAGATAGAATATCATCCATGAATATCTCCCTCCACTTCGACCTCGACCCACTGATCTCATCGGCGCAACGCATATTTGAGGCTGAACGAGGATATATGAAAAAAAAAGGAAATGAAATAGAAACAATCCAATTGATGGATACTATCTTTAACAAGTATCAGTTCACAGTAATGGGATTACCAACGGTCAGTCCCCTTGGGGGTCCATGGATCCCGTAGTTAGGGCTTGGGTTCGGCGACCGTTGATCTACCCGGACCTCGGGTCCTGAACGGTGCTGAAGGCGTACCTGCGAGGTGAAATCCTGTGAGATCAGGAACCATTTTTGGGCGGTCTGATAATACAAACTACATTGGTACCAGCAAAAACAAACTCGGTCTATCGTATCCATTATCTCGATAGAGTTAATTATACAGTACAGACTGAATCACAATCAATGTGCACGGTACATGCATATGAACAACCTGGCAACGTTACAATGAGAAAGAAAAGAAAAATAAAATAAATCATTAAACACCGTAGAAAACAGGGTCACATTTAAAGCATAATGGCAAAGAACGCCACAACAGACCCCAGCATCAGACTCCAGGCCATCGACACCGACGAGGCCGCGCTGTAGGCGGAGGCGCTCGGGGTCCCGCTGGCGCCGTAGGAGCCGGGGCTGGCCGTGGTGATCAGCTTGGACGGGTTGGCAGACACGGACGGCGGGGTGTTGCTGCTGCCGTTGGTGGTGATGGGGGAGTCTGGGTTGGGGGTAGTGGCGGGCGCGGCACCGCTGGGCCCGCCGGCGTAGAGGCCGACGGTGGGGGAGTCGCCCTTGTTGCTTCCCGTGTTGGTGACAAAGCCGACCAGCGGCACGGTGACGGTTGACGAACCATAGGAGATGGTGGTGCAGGGAGCGGAGGGCGCGGTGGTGATCGGGGCCACGGGGAGGGAGGAGGGCACGGCGGTGGCGGTGCGAGGGCCGCCGTTGGTGTTGATGATGCTGCTGGGCACGGGCACCGAGACGCTGGGGATCAGCGTGATGGTTGAGGGGATGCCCGTCACAATGCCCGGGTTCTCGGACACCCAAGGGGCGCAGATACCCGTGAAGTACGACATGGCTGCCGTCACCTCGTCCTTGCCGGCACCCCAGGCTTCAATGCAGGAGATGACCTTCTTGGTGAACTCCTTGTTGGGGCAGAAGCACTTGGCGTCACTGTTGGAGTGGCACTTGGGCGTCAGTGAGAGCCAAGTGTTGATACATTGAGGGACAGTGTTCGGGCAAGGTGCTGACGCCGACGGGCTCGATGCTGGCGCGGTGCCGCTGGCGGCCGGGCCGGCGGGGGCAGTCGTGAGACCAGAGGGAGCAGGGGGCGAGTCAGAAGATTCCGGAGCCGACGGAGCAGGCCCAGAAGACACTGGTGCAGACGGAGCGGGGCCGGAGGAAGCAGGCCCAGACGGCGCGGGACCAGACGGCACGGGACCGGAAGGAGCTGGGCCAGAGGATGCCGGCGCAGAGGGGGCGGGACCAGATGATTCTGGAGCTGACGGTGCTGGGCCAGAAGACTCTGGTGCAGACGGAGCGGGGCCGGAAGGAGCTGGGCCAGAGGATTCCGGAGCAGAGGGAGCGGGACCAGAAGACTCGGGGCCAGGAGATGGGGATCCAGTGCACTTCGCACAGATAGTCGAGCTAGTAGTCAAGATAATAACCGAAGTACTGCTAGACGTAGTGACATAAGAGGATCCTCCCGAGGAGACGGTGCTGGTAACAGGGCAGATCGTAGTGCTCGAAGTAGTGACAACTGTGACAGTCGAGCCCTCAGGCACAGGCGAGCTAGAGGCAGGGGCAGGCGGCACCGACGTCGTACCAGGAGCTGGCGAACCAGCAGGCGAGCTGGCGGGCGGGCTAGCCGGCGGAGGAACGGGAGAGCTGGCAGGCTGACTGCCACTCGGGACAGGGGCAGCCGGGGTGGACTCGGCCGGCGGAGGCGTTTCGCTGACGGGGCAGATAGTTGTCGAGATCGAGATGGTCGAGGTCGTGACGCCGGTCGAGTGGGCCGGGCAGTCAGTCACCGTCGGGTGGCAGCTGGTCACGGTCACCTCGCTGGTGCTGTAGATGGTGGAGGTGGTCATTTTAGGCGGCGCGGAGGCAACAGACGTTGTTTGACCCGCAGGCGGGGGACCAGCCGGCACCGAAGACCCGCCAGTCGGGATCTGGGGAGGCGCCGAAGACGACTCGGGAGCAGGAGGCGGTGCCGAAGAAGACTCAGGGGCAGGGGGAGGTGCCGCAGAGGACGACTCGGGAGCAGGAGGTGGTGCCGAAGATGACTCGGGGGTAGGAGGCGGTGCCGAAGAAGATCCAGGAGCCACCGACGGACCAGGAGCAGGCAGCGTCTCGGTGACAGGGCAGATGGTCGTCGAGATGGAGATAGTTGAAGTGGTGACGCCAGTCGAGTGAGCCGGGCAGTCAGTCACCGTCGGGTGGCAGCTAGTCACAGTAACCTCGCTGGTGCTGTAGATGGTCGAGGTAGTCATCTTAGGCGGCGCAGAGGCAACAGACGTGGTTTGGCCCGCAGGCGGGGGAGACGGTCCCGAGGGGGGACCAGGAGGACCAGGAGGAGCCGAAGACGAGGCTGGAGCCACGGACGAAGGGCCAGGGGCCGGGCCAGTCGGCGTCTCGCCAACGGGGCACACAGTCGTCGAAACCGAGATGGTCTTGGTGACGACGCCGGTGGATTCGGCCGGGCAGTCGGTGACAGTGGGAGCACAGCTGGTCACGGTAGCCAAGCTGGTGCTGTAGACGGTGGAGGTAGTCATCTGCTGGGCAGGGCCCGACGAAGCAGGACCCGAGGGCGCAGGCTGGCCCGGCGCCGAGACAGTATTACCTTCCTTACAATCGAAGCCGATGTTGAAGATACCGAAGCCACACTCCTGGTGCTCGGCCTCCTCGGGGAGCTCGAAGTGCACGGAGGTGGCGCCACCGCACTGCTCATTGTTGATGGTGCTGCCCTCGGGTGAGCACGGCGCGATATTCTTGCAGGTCGAGCCATCGGGCATGGTGTAGATGATGTGCAGGTTTGTCTGGACGGTGGTCGACATGTGGAAGTGCGTGATGGAGAAGCCGCTCTCTTCCTTGCCGCACGAGAACGACGGCGCGTTGGGGTTCTTGCCGATGATTCCGTTGCCAGCATTGCCGTTGTCGTTGGCATGAACAGTGTTGCCGTTGTTGCCGTTGGGTCCGTTGTTGCCGTTGGGTCCGTTGTTGCCGTTGGGTCCGTTGTTGCCGTTGGGTCCGTTGTTGCCGTTGGGTCCGTTGTTGCCGTTGACATTAACATTGACATTATTGCCGTTGTTGCCGTTGTTGCCGTTGTTGCCATCGCCAGCCTTGAACGCGGTACCCCGGATACATTTTTGCTGCAAAGCAATCAACATCATTCTTTGGCGAATTCAACAGCAACGCAAACTCACATCACGCTTGTTCTTTCCAGACCCAAAGCCATTGGCACACTTGAAGTTGCTAAAGTCGAACCCGCCGAACTGCTTGAAGGAGCCGACTTCCAGCTGTTGCCAGTTGAAGCCGCTCTTCTGATCCTGGGTACATTTGTTGGCGGACCGGCCGGGGCTGCTGAAGAACTTGTCTGAGCCCCAGAACTAGACCAATACCAATGTCAATATACATATGCCCACGTTGCCAATTCAAGCTGGTTTCCACTTACACCACCAGTGGCCTGGGCAGCAGCCAGTAGAGAGAACAACGCAACCGACAGATCAGCCCTCATCTTGGGAAGATACTGTCAACAAGCGATTGGAGGTGGGAAAAAAAAAAAGAGAAAGAGAATACGGCCAGAGAAGGGGCCGGGCCAGGTGGGAAGAGCAAGAGAATTATAATATCTGGAGAGATGAAGATCGGACTGGGGCCGGGAGATCAAACATCAGGAAATAATAGAACAAAAGTGGGACACAAGGAACGCGATCCCTGATGTTCCTGGCCGAAAAGGACAATAGGATGCAATCCTTCTGGGGGAAGATGAGATCTTCTTTAATAAAACTGCCCACATACAGCTAATATGATATTTCAACTGAATAAACAGGAATAACACAAAGAACTCATCACCCTCTCGAGCTAGAAGCATATTGTGAAGAGTAAGACATCGCGTCGCAGAAGCGCCCAGGGCAAGCCAATGATGAAACCGGGTCTAGTGCAGGAACGGTGTTGAGAGAGAGGGTCCGAGAGAGGGTCAGGCTTCGGTTGATTCACCGAACATCCCAAAGATTATAAAAATAGAATACAATCGAACTGAGGGTCTTCTACAACCCGCAGGAGCAACCACGGCGTGTCGCCCTGAAACCGTAGCGCGAGGCATGGCCCCACTGAAGTATAGAAGGATCCAATGTTGTACCCTGATTCAGGGATAGCTTTTTTTTTGCTTTTCTGGGGCCGATCGAGGGATGATCACGATCGGCAATCATTGTTCCTTTTCTTTTTCTGCTCTGTCTTTGTAGAAGCGCCGTGCATCACGGTGTGATTGCCTACGCGCCCAAAGCCCAGCGGCAAGAAGTATGATTCATGAGTATAAGCCAAGACAGCATGGCTGTCGGTAAAGCGCCACAGGGTTCTTTTTTCTTTTCTTTTCTTTTTAACTGGTCTTACACATTGTTCCTGGTTTTCATCCTGCCAAGAAGACAGTTGGATCCTTGGCCCCCAGACAAAAAAAAAACCAAGTGGAATGATTTCGGCCCCGTGAGGATGCATGCGGATTTGGGGTCGAGTTCCTGCGTCAGGGGAACTTCAATCCTCATTCCTTGTATTCAATATCTTTACTTACTTCTAGGAGAGAAGTAATAATCATGGATGACAATATCAAAAACCGAAGCGTATAGTTGATTGACTATATATACTATACTGTATATACTGTAGAAACGTGGTTCAGTCTCCTGTCGCTAAAAATATCCACGGATGGGGCCGGGGCCGCACTAAGTATATCCATTAGGGAGAGATGTGATGTGACGCTGGGGCCCGATATTTCCCCTATTCGCTCGGATGAACCCAGAGGCCATCCATGGATAGCTCGGGAGAGGCTTGCGAGGTATGTATACTGGGTAATCAGGAATAGGGAGATTTCAGGGTCCTCGGGTTGCATTGTTTCATGTCTATCCGGCTGTGCTGGGCAACATGTGGGTTAGTTTATGTCCCCGGGCTTTACTGAACTAAACCTGGTTAAGATGTCAGGCGGTACTGCCACAATCATATCATGACCAGCTGGGCTGACACTAGTCATCAAATACATGCCCTCATTGAATTTTTCATTAGTAAGGCTAGTATTGATCGTGTCGACCACACTCAACTACTCCTACAATCCCTAGATAAGTAAATAAGAATTTAAACTTTTTTTGACATTGACTCTTATAAACTAGCCACACAATCCCGTACAGAATCCCCGACAAATAAACAAGCATCAACTCCATCTGATCCAGAGGTATCACCACTCACTCCCTCGGCGAACGCGAAGGGGAAAAAAGTAAAATAGAACAAATGACCAAAAAAAAACACACAAGAAAGGAAAGACAAGGGAAACGAATGATGGCAACATATAACAACCAATGCAGTGGCACGAATCAACTTTTTTGATCGTGAAAGAGAAGCAGCATCGTTCTTCTAGCTGGGGGGACAAGGCTGCCTTGCGGTCTACCTTTTGATATTTAAAAGAGCAGACTCGTCAACAGAATGCACTTCAAGTGGGTGCACATGGATCCGGAAGAAATAAATCTTGGAAACGGAGGCTTTCAAACTCGTTTCCATCCCCTGGCCTGGAAAAATTATCCTTTGGCTCCTCTTCAGGTGCCAATTCTGCCCGCAACTCAAAAGGACATAATAGGGGCCGTGTGTATCATGCGATCTTGGTAAATCCAAACGTCGTGGAATCGTAAGAAATCGAACATCTTTGTAAAATCCGATTCAAGCACTCCTCATGCCTGGGGCACAAGGTGAGATGCGAATGTCAGGCTGAGAGCTCAGAGTGGAAGCTGAGTACGGCGCTGGGCGTCCATGAGCTTCCGCCGCACAGCCTCACCACCCGCGAACCCGCTCGCCTTGCGCTTCCGGGTCGGTGTGCGTTGGTCGGTGTGCTTAGCGTGCCGGAACACACTGGCCGGACGCGAGGGTGAGTTGGCCGGCATGAATTCGCGGTGCTGCGGGAGACGGAGCAGTGTTTGGTACCGGTTGTGGTTGCGACGGAAGGCGGTCACAATACCCTGGTCAAGGTGGTTCAGGAACCGCTCTGCGTTGTTGGCCTGCTGGGACTCGGGGTTGCGGTTCGGGGTCGGCGTGCCCATGGGCTGGACAGTAGGCCCACCAGTCATGGGTGATGCCAATGTATCATCATCAAAGGGCTTGTCCATCTCCTCTTCGTCCGAGGACCCATTTCCAAAGTCGATGAAGTCGTCAACATTCAGAGCGGACTCTGGGTCATCATCGTCATCATCTTCAAATGAGCTGTCGATGGTGAAGTCTTGTGAGGGGTAGAAGGCCTCGGGAGGCCCCATAACTTGGCCGCCGGGAGTCAGGTCGTTGCCGAGGGCAGTCATCATGAGATTAGCACTGGAGGCCAGCATCGGGCTGAAATCGGTCTGGTTAGGCGAGGCGAGTGCATCCGTGTCGCTCTCGTCAACCAGTTGCAAGGTGGTCTGGCGCGGGCTGTTGTTGGCAGTGCCCGGCATGCTGTTGGCAGCAGAATCCAGCCAGTCGTGGCGAGAGGAGGCATAGGCCGGAATGATCACGAGGTGCTTGCCCGTGCAGTCAACCAAAGCCACGGGCTTGTGGGGGTCGGCAACAAAAGTGCCCATGATAGGTCCGCGGCGGCGCGGGATGTTGTCGCTCTTGTCATCACCCGGGGGAACCAATGAGTCCGTCGAGTCCCGGCGAAGGAGGGACCGCGGATGGGTGATGGTGGCCGGCGGGGGCAGGTCTTCATCTGTCGTATCGCCATCGTCGGCTGGAACTGGGTTAGCAAAGAAACGCAAGAGAACATCAGATAGACAGCCATCATACTTTCATAACCACTCAGGCTGCCCTCGGATGACCCCTCGGACTCGACATGGTAAATGTTTCCATGACCATAGTCCGTGTCGCCAAACATTTCTTCTGATTGCCGGCGGTGGCTGCGGTGAGTTTCGTTGTCGTTTTCGATCATCCGACGCAGCTGCGGGTCCAAGCTGTCCTGCTGCAGGAAATCACTGGGGATCTCATCGTCTGTGTGTGAATCACTGTCGGATGACGAGTCGAAGCGCTCTTCAAAGTGGACCCGCCGGGCGACGGGGGTTTCCACGGCCTCGCTGGCCCTGTCGGTCTCCCCGAAAGCGTCCATTGCGCTATAGAGCTGTTCTTCGTCAAAGAATGAAGCAGCTGGCAGGAACATGTGGTCATCAAGCACCTGCGGGCTGGTCCATTGATGCTCTGGTGCCTCGGACGAGGGGAGGGCACGGTGGTCCTTTTCAGACCGCATAATCATCATCTCTTCTAACTTTTCGACGTCCTGGTCTTCATCATCGGCGTCTGTGATGTAGTCCACAGCAGCATATATATCATCCGAGCTCTCATCCGAGTCACTGGCATTGCTGCTCATGGGGCCCTCGGAGTCTTCGTCATCCGAGACCCGTCTTCTTTTGTTTTTGATATTTTGATGACCCGTTTTCCGGGCATTTTCGCGGCGACGAGCAAAAGCCCGGACCCGGGCCAATGGCCGGTCTTCTTCATCGTCCGCGTCGTCTTCCGAGTCATCCGCCTCGTCGCTCATTTCCTCTAGGGAAGACACAGATGATACACTCGAGACCGATGAGGCTCGTCGTTTTCGGTCTGAGGCTTGGGTTATCGGACGGCTGCTACCCGCCTTTCGAGGATGGGTGGCAGCCTTGGAAGACATATCGAGGTGTCGCATGATGCTGGATTCGGGGGTTGCAGAGGGGTGGGGTTTTTTCCCGGAGCTCTTCGGGATCCGTTTCGAGGCGTAAGAGCTAGACTGAGGCATACCAATGACCGTAACAATCGATCAGAGGCCAGAAGATTCCCGTGGGAAATCGGGGTTTGTAGGGTTGAGCTTTTAGGCTGAACTGGTTGGTGTCCAGCTGATGTCCAGAAAATAGGGCTACTGGGGTTGTGTTGGATCTTCGAGATGCTCAGGTTCTTTGCAATCCGGATGAAATAAAGGTATTCGGAGGGATCGAGTCACCGAGGGAGGGGTATGTCGGAGAGGGGAGAGAGGGAGAAGAGTTTTTCGCTTCTGGTTACCACACAAGCACGTCCAGTCCGGCCCGGACGCTGCGGTGCTCCTTCTGGGACTGTACAGGGGGGCAATTCCGACACTTTTCAGGGCGTCGAAAGAGGAACAGATATCGTCAAGTCGAATTGGGGATCGGGGAGCTGCTGGACTGGAGAACCGGGACCCGGTTCCCCAGCGAGGAGTTTACAGCTCAACGAAAGCCATGGCGGGAATTCTCGACGATATCTAGGAAGTTACAGTTCAAGGAAGATGGGAAGTAAAGGAAGCAAGAGGCAATGTGAATGGGAGAAAATGGTGAGATGTTGAAGAGAAGAGAAGAGAAGAGAAGAGGAGAAAGTCGAAGTTTTCCCGAAAGAAGTGGGGAACGAGCGCCATTCGCTGGGCAGTTCACCGCATGTTTCGGGCCAATCGCAGCCCGCGAAATTAAAAAAAAGTTGCAAGACACCATCGCAATTCCTACGTTACTCATTCTCCTTTCTCCCTCGATTACTCCTTTTATTACTCCCTATCTTACTCTCCTAAAGGGGGCAGGGGTGTATAATATCTAGACTGTGCTACTGTGCTACTGTGATAACCCGACTATCCCTCGACATCCCTCGACGAAATCAAAAAGAGAAAGAAAAAAGAAAGGGCGATCTCCAAGAGAATACAAGCGCATACTTGGCCGATCCTGCGGGTCCACCCCATTCGAGTCTTCGCAATTCCATCAATTGAGCAGGGAAAAAAAAAAAGAAATAGAAGGTTTCAGTCTGGATTGAGTCTTGGAGGGGAATGGCATGGGAAATTCTTGGACGTCAAACGCGCCCGGTGCAGGAGCTGACCTGTGCGGTCTGCAAGATGATTCATAGTCCCGACTATGACACATGCGCATGGGATGAATCATATTTTGGATGTTTGATTTCTCTGTGGCGATTTCTTTGGCTAGCTGCCTAGATTTGAAGATTATTGTAAGGTTTAGTATTGTAGATATAGATTTACACTCCCGAAAGCAGAAACTCCTTTCTCCCCCATTGCCATGCCAGGCTGCTTGGCAATTCCCTGCGAGACCCGGGAACCTGCAGGATTCCGGGCACCCTCGATGTCTATTTTCTCTCTTTGCAGTATTTAGGCGCCAATTAGGTGCCAATCAACAAGCGGTAAAGAGCGCCAGCATGGCCGTAGCGCTTGCAGGAAAATCAAGATCCTATTGTTCATGCGAGATCATCTCTGCCCCGCAGTGGCGGTGATGGAAAATTCTACTTTGTGGACTCCACCGGAAGATTCGTGCCCGTCTTTTTTGGGGAGGAGATTCAAGGCCACTTACGTAGAGGGTGTTGACTCCAGATGCAGCATCCCCTTTTTCAGGAATACTCGGAACGAACAAGGTGAGGGAGATAACTACTATGATACTATATACAATCACACTAGAGAAGCAGAAATAGATTAACACAAATTATATGCCACGTGTATTCTAACAAAATCGGATCTCGATATCAACATCCATGAGTCATCATCGTCACTGAACTATGGGAAGAAAAAATGTGAAAACAAAAAAAAAAAAGAAATCGGGCCAACGCCACTCGTAACCACGGTCCCACGCATCTCCGCTCGGTCCGACCACTAACCACGGTACACCTGCCCCTGAATAAAACAATGGGAGGGTTTGACCGGGGTAAAAAAAAAAAAAAAAAAAAAACATGTTCAAGTCCCCGGGTATGGTGTGACATTACTAGGCGGTGGTTCAGGCTTGGACCGACCCCAGATAGACAGACGAGATTTCGACCGGGTCGGCAGCCCAGCTGACCGGGCATTATTCTCTTCGCTGGCAGTTGTGATCGGCGGCTCCGAGACGGGTTCTGTGGAAGCCCGCGCCTGCTCCACCTTCTTGACGCCTTCGCGGACCTCATCGGCCGATGCACCCTGAGGCGCTGTGGTGGTCAGAGTCTCGGTGGGGCGGATTTTGCCATCGGCAGAGTCCTCTTCGTTGAGCTTCCGGACCTCTTCCTCAGTCACTAGACGCTCGTTCTCGAGCCGGACCTCGCGGCCCCGTTTGTGGCAGTACCACAGGACGAATAGGAGCACTGCGAGAATGATAGTAGTCAGCGCATAGAACTAAAATCTGATTAGCATAAAAGTCAAACTTACAGAACAATGCCAGCGACCAGAGCACATTCATGCCCATCACGGCGGGGAATCGGGCCCGCAAAAAGGCCATGATCGACCGCAGCATGCCAACCAGCGCCGCCGGCTTCGAGACTAGCTCCTTCAGACTTGGCATATTGATGCCCATCTTCTCGGCGGCGGCGGCGGCCTTGCCCACATTCTCCATGTTAACACCGCTTTGACTGGCGCGGGCGCTGGCGGCTGCGAGCATCTCGGGAGCCAGGGACTCGGTCCATCGCTCCGGCAGCTTCTCAATCAGCTTCTGGAGAGGGCCGGGCAGCTTGGTGTAGGTGTCTTGGAGTTGGCGATTGCCGTTGGTCAAGAGCATTTCCAGATCATGGTAGGCAGTTGGGACACCGTTGACCAGATCTTTGAAGATCAGCTTGAACTTGCGTAGAAGCTCTTGTGTCTCGTCGCTGATCGAGAAGACGCGGTTGTTATCGGCAGCCAGGTTCAACCGTTCCAGGATATCGCTCATGTCCTCTGCATCCTTGCCTGTTTCTGGCTTGGGGTCTGGGGTGGCTGCTCTTGAATTCGAGGTAGATGTCGAGCGTTTCGCTGAAGGTTTATCTGCAGTTGTTTGCTTGTCCTGGATCTTACACTATGTCGTTAGCTCGAAATACAATAAATGCATACATTGGACAAGGAGTCCAAGGAAAGTATACCCTCGTTTCATCTGGATTCTTCTTCCTCTTGAAGATACTACTCCATCTCTTCTTTTTCTCTGGTGGGCCTGCACTTTGCTCTTTTGGTGGCTCTGGCTGCGCGGCTGCGTCATCGGAGGTTGTGCGCTTTTTCTGTTCTTCCTCCGCAAGCCCTTTACCAAGATCGTCGGCCGGTGACACGGGCAAGGGGATATCCTGAGCCTGATTATCCGGCGCAGGCTGTCGCGAGCTCTCGTCTGGGGTTTTTGTCGCGTGGTCGGCTCGTTCAGGGGAGATAGGTGCAGGCTCAGGTTGCGCGGTGACCTGCTGCAAGAAAGCCTCGTCCTCGGCGGTTAGGACGGGATTGGGCGCTTTCAGGATTTGCGACGAGCGGCGCCGGTTCTTGATCTGGTTGATATACTCCATCGGTATAGTGTGAAGACTCGTAGGAATTTGAAAGAAAAAAAATAATAGAAATATTTCTTCTCTTTGTTCTGGTGGGAATCGTGAACGAAAAGAAATGGAAATAAAAACAATCCAAATAGGGCGCGCGTGGGTGAAGTAGGGGTCAAGCGCGCGCTATATGTTTCTTGATAGATCAACCCTCTCAGCGGCTAGATGATGCAGGGGGATAATCACATGAAGATCACGCTGTAGGGGGGAGCTGTGTTCTATTTGATGGATGCGCACCAGTTTATCTTCTTCTCATCTTTGCTTCTCTGCATGATATCACCGGTGGCTGGTGGGACCCGCACCCGCCACATTCCGCGCCACACGGTATGCACCGCCACATGGAGCCCTAATTGGGGCTCTAGTTGATTCTATTTTAGGCAAAGATGGGATGTATAGAAACGAGATAGACTAATTATGGCTTATGACATTAGTGTACTAGTTTATAATTGTAGTAGTATAGTCCTGGTTATTCTGAGACATGAATACAGTTCAAACATTGAGATATTTGTAAGCAACTGTAAAGTGTTTATATAGATAGCCTTAATTATTCTTTATATGTATATATTTCCTCATTCTTGTTAAGTAAATATTATATATAGCTTAAATTAAGTGAACGAAGCACCTGAAGCACCTATATTCAGTATCTCTACCGTTGGTGTCTATATACGTCCTGGGAGCAGTCGCGGGGCGCAGAATTTAATCTATTCGATTCTGGTATATATCCATAGATGACCTTTGTTTAATGAATAACATGGCCAAGAAGGTTGAGCCTCGGTTCCTAAATGCCGAATCCTTTAACTACCGATCCGAGCTCTCGGTACTTGACTTTCTGCAATTATAGATAGGGGCTTTAATACGGGAGATTTGCAGTCCTACGGGTGACTAGCAATTTTGTTTCATCTATGTAGCTTTGGATCAGTTTGGGTAGATCTTGATCTTCTAGTGTCAGGGACGGGTCCATTTACTTTGTCAGCGTGAAAGAGACTGATGTAGACTATACGTAGATGACTGACCATACGAGTTTGATAAATCGGTAAAAAACGGAGATTTGATCTTATTCCATCAGGAGCACCATCCACTCGGAATTAACAAGAAAATCTGCAGCTGACCACGTCCCCTCGGGTGTCTGGCTGGGTTAACTCCGGCACTGTGCCCTAATCAGAAATATCCCTCTTACCGCAGTTGCTAGAGATGGGTTACAATGGATCAGATCTCACTCGCATAGTACGAAACCAACCTGCCAAGTCCCCAAGTCCCTTGGCTTTTAGCATCTAGGCTTGTGGACCGAGGCATTGGCATTTTGAGGAGAGGAATGGACTTATTGCAGGGGTATTAGTTGTTTTAGAGGCGGGGTCCGTTTCTCGACCTGGTCTTCTCCACAAAGCCTCTTCACATGCCTATTTAACAGAAGAGTTACTTGCATGAGGTGAAATTGAACAGGCAAAACTGACCGACAGCACTCCTACTGTAAACATCGGCGCTCCTCAAACTGGACTTGTTGATTCACAGTATTTTCTGTTTGCTTCATGCTCGAAATACCATGGTTTCGATGAGCCAGCGAGTATAAGTCACTGGCCATGTTAAAAGCCAATATCTATAGTTAATTCGACGTGAGATTGTGATAGAGCCCTCTTTAATCTAAATGCTGTCTAATATGCTTCATCGCGCGGGGCCCCACGATCTTCAGCCTGCCTAGCCCTGCAATCTCCACTAATATATGCAGATTCCGAGGACGCCACACCGGAGATTTCCTCGAGGGTCTACGTGCATCGGAGCCCTTTAGTGTGAGACACTGCCTTTCAATTTCTGATATGACCCCCATGCCTACATCCGCGGTTGAGTACCGGCAATTCCTCCAGATATCCAAGATATTTAAACAAGCAGAATGCCTGGCCTTCGACCTTCCTACTCCGAACACTCAGCTCTCTATAGTGTGCTGGCTTTGCTATTATACATTCAGCCCATCAACATTCTTCTGTCTTTGAAGAACATCAATCCAACATGCTGTTCTATTCTGTGTTTGCGGGAATCGCCCTGATCTCCTATGCCACCGCTATCCCGACGCTACAGTCGAGAGCCACTGATGGTGTGATCTTCATTCACTCTGTCGAAGGTGTGAAACAACGTTTGTTTTAACTAACATGACACTAGACCCCGACGCATTTGCCGGTCTTCGCCGTGCCGCCCAGCTGTCGTCTGCTGCCTACACCGGCTGCACTAGCAAGGCCTTTGATGTCAAAATTACCAAGAGAATTCAGGACACCCTGACTGATACCCAGGTAGGTTTGTCCATTTGGGGCGTTATAATCTAGGACTCACACCGGAATAGGGCTATGTCGGCTACTCCGAGACCGAGAAGAAAATCTCCGTTGTTATGAGGGGCTCCACAACCAGTCAGTCTTGCCTATTTTATTCTCACACTTGAAATTACCACTCACATGCTTAGTGACCGATATCCTCAATGACATTAACACTACCTTGGTTACCCCGACACTCTCGGGTGTGCAATTTCCCTCGGGAGCTAAAATCATGAGAGGAATCAACAGGCCATGGTCTGCTGTGCATGATACTGTCATCTCGGAGGTCGAATCCCTCGTGAAAAAATACCCTGACTACATCTTAGAGTCGACAGGCCATTCGCTTGGTGGTGCCCTCACCTACATCTCCTATGTTGCGCTGGCTTCCAACTTCCCTGGCAAGGAGACCACTAGCAATTCTCTGGCTGCATTTCCTATTGGAAACAGCGCCTTTGCGCAGTTTGCGGGCTCGCTGAGTGGAACCATGAACCGGGGCAACAATATCGCCGATGGCGTGCCGGTGAGTGTTCTTTCTTTCTGTTTCTCTAGAATTTTTCTATATGAAAGACAACCCTTCTAACTTTATTTATTCCTGAGAATATGTACGTGACTATTCCCTACAGTTTTGAGCACTATGGAACAGTAAGTACAACCCTAGAGCCGATACCCGCATCGAATTTCTGACCAGAGTGGACTGTCAACAGGAGTACTACAGTTCGGGCACCGAGCGCTCCTGCCAGAAGTGCGAAGGGCAGCGAGACCGATCTTGCTCTGCTGGAAATGGCAAATTGGGTGTTACCTCTGGACACTTCTCCAGCTTTGGAATTAGCATGGGCCTCGCTGGGTGTGGCATCCTCTAAACACTTGGATGCACATGGAGCAAGATAAGCCTCGGATTTCAACGAAGAACTGTTGAGCGTTGAATGGGGGAAGGTTCAACGAGAACCAAGAATGTTTGACTCACTGGCGAGGAAACTATTTCGACTGCTTCGCTCTTAGCTATCTGGTTACTTGGTGGGCCACCCAACATATGCACACCATGTGATGTTGTGTTCTATGGCTTTTCCTATTTATTCATGGCCATCCCACCTCTTTCGTGCTCGGTAGCCATCTGTATAAACCATAAATAGTTCTGAATGGGCTGGCATGGACACGATGATCCTTGCCCTAATGCTTGCTTTGAAATGCATCCGCATCTGCCTGGGCCCCCGCCCAGCAGACTAGGCAACCTCGGACCAATGTCACTTCAGCATCTAGTGCCGAAGCCTCAAGGGTTTTCAAAGCAGCCAAAAACCACTAAGCCATACGCAAATCCTCCACAAAATCACGCTCAGGGACGATGAGTCCGGTGTGCGTTTCCCGTGACGGGGATAGTCAGCCGCATTTGATATCACCTGACCGGCTATTTAAATCTTCCCCTCTCCTCTCCGTCTCTCTTTTCTTTCTCACGCCTGCCAGAGTCGACAAATCGCTGCCTCGTGGGTCTTTACGACTCGCGTATGCAAAGACCGTGCACCGGAATCTGTTTCTTCCCGCTCTTTCGATAAGACTGAATCGGGGGGAACCATTTTCGGGCAAGGGCTTCCAAGACTCTCTCTCACATGCTTTGTGTGCATGATTAGCAGGGTCGGTTTTTCTTTTTTTGTTTGACCAACTCATATCATTCCTTCTGATCACTCGGGCCTTCCCCCTGTTTGCCGTTTGGGCAGCCGGACTAGGCACGCTTCGAGAAGGAGCTTGATCATACTGTCATGTTCAAGCGCTCGTTCATCTCTAAAGACCGGGCGGGTAAGACCGTCAAGGTTTCTAAGAAGAAGCACGAGCAGGCAAAAGGAAAGATGCAGCCCAAAGCGGACAGTCCCTCGATGGACAGGTGGGTTTAGTAGACCCGATAATTAAATACCGAAGAGATCTTGAGCCATCAGAGACTGATGGTATGAGTTTACAGCCCTCTTACTAGTCCCATTATCACTATGGTGGTGGGACAGGACCAGCGTCTTTTCGCCGCCCATGAAGATGTCCTGTCGGTTTCGCCGTACTTCGGTGCTGCTCTCAAGGAGCAGTTTCTGAAAGACGGCGCAAAGCAGCTGGCATTGCCAGAGGAGTGAGCATTAATCTCCATGTAGCTTTTGTGTTTGGTGGCGCAAATCTTACACAAGGCATAGGGAGCCCGAGATTCTGTCGTGCGTCCTCGAGTTTCTGTATAAGGGCGACTACTTCCCACGCTTGCTGCACGGCAAGCGCCGAGACTCTTGGTACCTCGAGAACGCGCACGATATCCATAACACCGGTGGTCGCGGGTCGAGCGAGGCGACGTTCTTCCACCCCGCAGTGGGAGACGTTGTGCTCCGGGACACGGTTGTGTACTGCACTGCCGAGAAGTACGGCCTGGAGGAGCTCAAGCGCCTTGCTCTTCGAAAGCAGGGCCTCCAGAGCGGAATCCCGGCCGACGTGATCCTGCGGTCTGCTCGCTTTGCCTATGACAATACGCCTGATTCCGAGTCTCGGCTGCGCGCTCACTATCTGGCTCTCATCATCCGAAGCCGCAAGACATTCAAGCGGAGTGGGACCATGCAGATGGAAATGGAAAACGGCGGCAAGTTGTTTTTTGATTTGTTCGTGGCAATGTGCAACCACATGGACGACCTTGCGGAGATGCGGTAGGAATCCCCCTTTATTTCCTTTCTGGTTTTGTATGATTCTTTTTACTGCTAACCCTATCCATGGATCCTACTTATCTGGCATTTTTTTCTTCTTACAATAACAACCCAACACGGACCATGAGTGCTTACACTCTCATCTTATAGCAACAAGCGATCTCCGAGGTTGTTCTAAGCAGTTGTGACAACATGCCTCCAGAACAAATCGAGCGGCAGGGAGATTGAAATCGAAACCTGAAGGGACAAACTCATTTTTTTTTCAACCAGAATGGCTACCTGCGCAGTTATTTGTGTGTGTTTCTTGCTTTGACAGCAGACCGAGATTCTCTTCTCTCGAGGTTGGCCGCTACTTTTGGTCTGAGTTATCAGTCCTATCCCTTTTTAATCGAGCTCTTCCTGCGTACGGTGACTTGCGTTAAGCTTTATCTTCACTCCTTGATGATGCATTGAGCATCGACAACAATTTCCTTGTGTTATCTGCACCATCTCTACTTTTTCTTTTCTCCTCTTGTGGTTGTTGCTTGTCTTGCGACACAGCTTGTGTATCCGCTCCTTGATGCGGTGGTGGCAGTCCACCGTATAATATACTCTGGGGCAACGAGCCTGAAGTTGATTGGGAACAGAAATTGAGAAATTCGGCCTCCTCATAACGTTTATATTTCTTGTAGGCAGAGTATCTAGCTAGCTTTTATGAGGACCCATACTTAGCCCTAATCGGTGATCTAATGTTGATGAGTTGCATCTGCTGTTGCTCACTTAACACTCTATAGTGATATTTTATTAAGTAGGGAATGTTTTTCTTCTTGAATATCAGGGTTTTCTATTTGCATCAACGCTCTAGCTAGATAGTGCTCCCTCGATTCAGCTTGAAAATTCAGCATATGCAGGGCAATATCGTCTCGAACATAGACCCCGTAAAACCCTAGCCCGTATGGAAGCTATGCTGGGAAACATCCCACAAGAGATGGAATACTAGATAAAGAAAGGCTTAATAGAGATAAAACCGGAAAGATGAGCTGGGAACCCTGATACTTATTCTTCCTTGCAAAGGCTTCTTAGACATTACCACTCCCAAAGAGGCTGCGAGCCAATGTCAAGACAGCTTGCATCTCTGAATCAGCCGAAACTAGCACTATCGCTTTTATAGCTGTTCAAAGAGTCATGATATGGCTATTTACAGATTTCAACTTCTCCCGAGATTCTTCTGATCACTGGTTAGTATCTTGTTCAAGCCTTCCGAGAAAACTACCCTACCCTCTACACTTTTATTTTGCCCTCTAATTTGCCCTACACTATCTTATTTATTTTTGCTATTGCGTCACCAGCTTCTGTTTCTCACATTTCGCATAATACCAGTTTGCTTTGCTCTTCTGTGACAGATGTCCAACGTCCACCCATTGCTTGAACCAGCGTATACTTCTTGTCTCTTTACTTTCTCTCCCCCGCACATACATACCATTTCGAACTGGAGCCTTCGGGCCATCTGCCTTTTGTTTTATTCCTATAATCCGCATGTCTTCTTCATATAGTAGGACCGATCTACCTCCTGCCTCATCTACTTTATTCACCAACTGCTCCACGATCTCATCTTTCTTCTGCCTCGCTGACCATTTCTTTCCTCGCCGAAATTCCAAATCCTCTTTTTGAATCGTTTTCCAGCCATCGTCTTCCTATCCTGAAAGACATCCTTACTATCAACTCAAAAGCCATCTAACATCTTTCACTTCTGATATCTAGATTTCTCTCTGCGGCGACACCCAAAGAACAACCGGGCTTCGACGGTACGATACATTTATCTATTCCACAAACAAATCACCAACAAGGACATCTCTCACGCAACTCTTTGCTTCCTTCTTCACGCCGTCTCTTTTATTGTGTCCTTTTAGTTTGAGCTCGCCTTACCAGTTCAGCCGAAGTGGGTTACCCATCCAGCACTCCAGCACTGCCAGAAGAAAACCCTATCAAAAAGGGATATTCAAAGTCCTTTTTCGAAACAGATTACCCGCTTGATTTCACGTTCACATTCTCACTCTGCATTCTTCGCACCGACCAGGATCCCCGTTACGCTGTGAGGACCCAATGCCTTCGATCTGAAAGAGCCTGCTGCTAATCAAACCCTGAACCCGCCAGCACATACCTCCAAAATGTCTCTCTACGCCCCGCTGGCTTCGTATTTGAAGCACTTGAGAAAGCTGCGGGAGCTGATCCCCGGCGAAGTCTATATCGTGCGGTTCAAGAACTCGCTGCGCAACTACAAGACTGACATATGGGTCGGGGTGATCGCCCCCGAGAACTTCGGGCCTGAAAGCCACCGCCAGCGACGGCCCGTCAGCGCACGACCTGACGAGGGCCCTTGGATCACGCACCTGAAGGACCGCTTTTACTCGGTGTATCTGCCCGGCCGAAACCTGTTGTGAGTGACTACCCCCATCAAGATGTTTTTCTTTTTCCTTTCCTTTTTATCTCTTGTCCCCATCCCCCTTCTTCTGTCCTTATCTGGCCTATATAGTGCAAGATTTGAAGGATGCGTGTTGCAGGTACATGTTCCGCTGACACATTCTGTAGTCGCTGGATCGGACTGAACGACCTGTTTCTGTTGGAGGAGAAGACACCCAACCTCTTTTCCGCCCTCAGCCGCCAGACGGAGGCGGAGGTTTTCGAGGACCTTCGGAAAATCGTCCTGAAAGACCCCGGCCTGACCTTCTGGAAGGACATGAGCAACCAGGAGATCGGCATCAAGGGCAAACGTGGCAGAACCGTGGCGCTGGTCCTGCCGGAGGGATATGATGCCATGATCGCTGAGCTTAAACTCTCGCATGCTAGCCTGGCCACTAGCTCCAGCGACGAGGCCAGCACTGCCGGATCTGAGTCGCGGGACGAATCACAAGACGTGAAGGAGGCAAAGCCCGAGAAAAAGGATGCCGCCACCCAATTGCCCCCGGCTAAGGTGCAGGCCAGAGGGGGTTCCTTTTCGGAGAACCGCCGCTGGAAGCCTGCTGAGTTCCAGAGCGCTTCTGCTTCGAAGGGGAAGGGTGTTCTCAAGGATATCTCTCGATCACCCCAGAACCAGAATGATAAGCCGTCTTTCCTTGGTGCTGTTGCTGAAGGGAAGATCCCCGGGCCCTTTAATCTCACGGCCAACCAGTTGCTGCTCGACAAGGAGGGCTTCCCTCGGCCCATATTCGAGCAGACAAAGAAGTCCAACCCAGCCGGGTCCTCGGCGACTGACGCCAGAACTTCGGCCTTAGGTGATGGTGTGCCACTCAAGAAGGAGAAGGACGAGAGGTCAGCCAGCTGTATATCCTGAATCTGTCCTCGAACCATACTAATGAACGTCACAGCAGCAGCACCGATCTCAAAGCAACTGACAAAGCCACCCCAGAGAACACGTCGGTCTTTGGTCTTACACTGCAAACCGCCCTGGAGCACGTCTACCTCCAGAAGTACGACTCGGCCGAGATCCTGGCCATCTTCCACGAGATCGTGGACAACCAGAACAAGCCCGAGGCAGCCCAGATCCGGTCCTTTCTCACGACGCGCGAGTTCGCCCCGCGCCTGATCCAAGTCAACAGCCCTCCTTTGCTAACGGGCCCAGCAAAAGAAGCCAACTCTTCGACAACCACGTACCGCGTCGGCGACCTGTGCGGCACGGGACACAAATACCAGCTCGAGGGCGTGAGCAACTCGGACAATCTGTGCAGCCAGATTCTGTCATTGGGAAGACTGTACACGCAGGCACGTCGGTTCGGGCTGACTGCGCTGATCGGTCTTATTATCCTGAAGTTGCAGGCGGCCTGGAACTCGTATCCGGGTTTACATCAGCTGGAGCCGCTGCTTGAGGTGACTTCTCTGGTTTTCAGTGGAGAGGGTGGACCCGATGGTGATGATATGCAGTACTGGCTCGTGAGCTTTATTGCGGATGCTAAGGATCTGTTTCTTTTTGAGTGCCCTGCCCGCTTCTGGGAGGTGATGTGTGGGAACCAGACCTTGATGAACGCTGTTTTCCAGTTGCGGAATGATACACAGCGCAAGGATCCGGATAAGTATGCCGATTCTCGAGTGCTGATCCGGAGCCGGGGAGTTGATCAGTTCTAGGAGATGGTTGGAGATTTTAGGGATGAAGAACAGTCAGGACATTTAGTTTTGGAGGATATTCGGAGGAGATACATGGTTGCAATCGTTTATTCCGGGGGGTTTTTTTTTCTCGAGATTGAACGAGGACCGGGCAGATTATCCTAGTCAATATATGCATTGCTTTGACTCTTGACTTTGAAATTTTCATACTTTTTGACACTTTTGTAAGCAAAAGAACAGTTGATGTAATTCAATTCGCCGTCCGCTTTGATGAAACCCCCACTATTGATACAGATTGCCATGATGCTATTCCCCATCATCCATGGCCGAAATGAACAAATGAAACCGCAAAACGAACGGCAAGAACAAATCACCAGCAAAAAAAAAAAAAAAAAAAGACCCAGTGACCTATCTGTGTAGACACATAAAGAAGACAAGAGAGATCCGATGAGGAGTACTGCAGCAAGCCAAACCACAAAGCAAAGAACGAACAATGTCAGACCAGGCCGGACTGAATACAGGTTTGCAGAAGTGCAGGCTGAAACAGAAAAAACGCCAAGGCGAGTTTAGTTGTCCTCGGCCTTCTTCTGGCGACGACCCTTGGGCTTCTCCTGCTCCTCCGAGACAGTCGCAGACTTCTCGGCGTTGGCAGTCTTGCCACGAGCACGCTTGGGCTTGGGCTTTTCCATAGTCGCTTCCTCGGGCTCGTCGTCCTTGGCTGTCTTGCGCTTGGTGCCGTTCTTGGTGGGCTTGGGCTCGACTTTGTCGGTAGCTGCGGCCTTGGAGGGACGGCCGCGCTTCTTGGGCTCGGCCTCGGCATCCCCATCAGCAGGCGAGACCTTGGGAGCGCGGCCACGTCGCTTGGGCTGGGTTTCGGCTTCGGCGTCTCCATTAGCAAGCACGGCCTTGGAAGCACGGCCACGGCGCTTAGGCTGAGGCTCGGAGGTGGCATCCTTGTCGGCATTCTCAGCGGGCGCGGCCTTCTTACCTCGAGTAGCCTTGGTGGTCTTCTTGACGGGCTTCTCTTCCTCCTCATTGGTAGTGCCATTCTCAGTGGCCGGCTCGGCCTCCTGCCCATCGGCCTTCTCCTGTTTTGGGTTAGTTCTAGATGCATCCAAAATAAAATGAAGGACCGTAAACTAAACGGCATACCTCCTTCTCCTCAGCCTTCTTCTTGCCGCGAGCACGGAAGCCACTCTTGCCAGGGCGGTTCATCTCCACATCCTACACACTGTTAGTCAACGTGACCACTCCTCGCTGGCCAAGTAAACACCAGAGCCCCCCTGGTGCACGAGCTGCAACAGGACTTACTCCCTTCCAGTCCTCGTCGTCAACATGACCCTGCTCAAGTCCCTTACGGATCTTGGCCTGCAGCTCCTCGGGCAGCTCTTCGTAACCATCCAGGAGGTTATAGTCCCGGGTCTCAGAGGATTGCATGTCGTTCAAGGCCTCCACGACATTGCCGATCATGCGGGGAGTGCAGCACCCCCTATCGCGAGTTAGATTTTGGTTTCTTCTAAATATTGGGGCATAGTAAAGGAAAGAAAAAGACTTACCAGTGTCGCCAGTGCCAGGACTGAAAACGCTCCGTTTCCACCCAGGTACCGACACGGAACTCATCCTTGGCGATCTTGACCTTGTTGTCCTTGCATTCCTTGTTCTGGCAGCCGGAGCGGCCAGTAGATGCCAACTCTGATTATTGTTAGTACTGGGACATCAATGTGAGATTTCTTTTGTGGGTTGGGTGGAACGTGTGATATCCAGAAGCTTGCATTCCTCCAGCCCGAGCGCGCCCCATGGTTCTGAGGTCAACTGGACAACGCCAGAACCAGAGATCGACATCGGACATCCCATGCCTTGAGAGCTTGAATGTGGAAGGCAGGCCTTATGAACAAGACAACACGGGAAGCAAGAAAAAAAGAAAAATATCCAAGGGCTTATGCGAATCAAGCAGAAGAGAAGAACTCACCAAAGCGATAGGTACCCATGATTGGCGAGTCAAAGGGTCAACGCGACACGGATAGTGAAACGCGAGAAAGAAAAAGCTGTGCAACCTGTGATGTGCAGAAGCTGATTGAATGTAGTGGGAAATCAAAGGAAGGGAATTTAAAGGAAGATGGATAGAAGAGTTGAGGGAGAAGAAGAAAAAGAAGTGAAGGCGATGCGACTCGCGTAAAAGAGGTGAGCAACACAGAGGCTTCAGTCGATGAGGCACCACTCTGACCCGACCGTATTGCTTTACCATATATAAATACTTCAATATTACTAAAATTTATCGCAGTGGCCTAGGTATTCTTGCTTACTCGCTATGGATTATTTGTGTCTTTGTTTATTGCGACGCCGCCTGTGTCTGGGATTCCACCGTAAGATGATGCAAAAGCTGTACGATATAAAAGATTATAAAAAAAAACTAAAAAAAAATCACAATAATAAATTGAATATCTAGACTTGAGGCATTGGTTTCCTTACCACGAAGAAATCAACTAATCCGAAGAATCTTTGAAAGCATGGCGACTTTGAATGTGCAGCTAAATAACGTCCCAGTCTGAAACCTGCCTGGAGCTCGTTAATAAAACATCCACGGCGATCAAAATAGACTTATTCTAGTAGAAGACTCTCATAGACAAAATGTCTCTATGGATGAATATAAAATGGGTTAAATATGTTAACAAGTATTGAATATCTTCCATATCACTGAAGGCAGCCTGAATAGATTCCAGGCTAATCCCGAGACGGTTAGTTTCGAGCCAGATCAATTCCTCGCGATTCAAGATCCTGTCGCATCCAACTGACTACCCTCAGTCCCCAGCGCACTAACGCCAGACGGGCTCCGTGGCTTGACGTCAGCCGAAGGCCTCCGCTCGACCCGACAAAAAAGAACAACACCAACGACAGAGCATCCACCCCGGGATCACCAACCAATTTCTTACATCTATCCCCTCGGCCTTATTCCCTCGCTCTCATTGTCCCTCTCTCAAACCACCACCATGTCCGAACCCGGCCCCGAATCAATCCCAACCAGCGCCGACCCGCGCAGCAAACGCCCCGTCAAGCGGCGCGCCATCACCCCACACTCCGAACAAGCAACCCAGATCAACACGCTCTTCCGCGACCCAAGCAAAGAAGTCCAGCTGCCACAATCCTCGACCGCGCGCACAAGCGGGTCACTCGCGCCGCCACCCGAGATCGTCGCCAACGTCCAGGGCTCGTCGGCAGGCGCGGGCTCGGGCGAGTTCCACGTGTACAAGGCGAGCCGGCGGCGCGAGTACGAGCGGCTGCGGCTGATGGAAGCCGAGGTGGATCGCGAGAAGGGCAACAGTAGCTGGGAGAAAGAGCGCGAGGACGCCAAGCGCAAGGACGACGAGAAGACGGATAAGAATCGGCGGAAGCGTGAGAAGCGGCGGGCGGCGAAGGGGAATAATGCGAAGAAGGGCGGCGCCGCTGCTGGTGGTGGTGATGCGAATGCGAAGGCGGATAAGGCTATGGATGTTGATCCGGCTTCCTCGGGCAAGGGAGGTAATGCGCCGGGCCGGGGTGACAATGCGAAGAAGGATCAGGACCAGTCGGCTGCTGCGGATGGAGAGACGCAGGAAGTCCCCGGTGTCATTATCCATGATGAGGATTGAATTGGCCGGGCAGATCCTTGCTATAGAGGGTTGAAGGCCATGTACGATACGAAGATACCCATCTGAAAAACTGCTTTTTTTGGTTTTGGATCTAGGATATTCATACATAAAAAACACCCCAGAGGCAAATCGTGTAGCATTATGTACGGACATTCAAAGTCCCCGTGAGTCATTTTGCTGGTTCGTCTCTCATTCCTCGCCACCGCCGGCGTGGCCGGCCTGTTGTGCGGACTTGCCGCTGCAGATGTCATCGACACGGAGGAGCAGGCACGCGGACTACAGACGGGAAATTTTAGTGGAATTGCGGATGGGTAAGAATGAAACAAGGCCAGGGAGCTTACCTCGACGGCCGTCTTGATACTCTGGAGCTTCACGGCTTCCGGCTCCCAGACACCATACTCCTTCATATCGACCAGGTTGCCAGAGTCACCGTCCAGACCCCAGGAGGTGTGGCCCTCGACGTGCTTGGCGCGCAAGCGAGTCAGGACGCGGATGGGGCTGGCACCGGCGTTCTGGGCCAGCGTGCGGGGAATGACTTCCATGGCGTCGGCAACGGCCTTGTACGGCCATTGCTGGACGCCCTCAATCGAACGAGCCAGCTGGCTCAGCTTCACGGACACGGCCATCTCAACGGCACCACCGCCAGGCGACAGACGAGGGTGGAAGATGACATTGCGGGCGACGGACATGGCGTCCTGCAGGTTCCGCTCGATCTCGTTCAGGATATCCTTCGACGGGCCGCGCAGCAGGATCGTGCAGGCCTTCGGGGTCGTGCACTTGCGCATGAACGTGAAGTATTCGTCACCAATCTTCTCGATCTCGAAGAGTCCGCACCGGGTACCAATGTCCGAGTCCTGGATGTCATCAACACGGTTGACGATAGTAGCACCGGTCGCCCGCGCAATACGGTTGTTGTCCGTCTTCTTCACCCGGCGGAGAGCTGTGATGTTGGCCTTCATCAAGAAGTGCTGTGCAAGGTCTATCGATATGGGTTAGCAGCATGCTCATCTTGCTGGAAAGACTGACCTCCTTACCCGAAACACCCTTCTCGGTGATAACGACATCCGGCTTCAAGGCCAGAATGGCCTCGCACATGTGCTTCACCTGCTCCTCCTCGATCTCCAAAATTCGGTTCCAGTCGTCCTCCTTGGAGACCTCGATGTTCGTCTGGGACTCGCCCTTCTTGTACTCAAGTGGGCAGTCCAGCAGAAGAATCCGCGGGTTCTCAATGCGCCTCCGCATCTTGGGGTGCGTAATGTCCTTGTTGACCATCACACCGTCGATAACCTCAGAATCCTCAATCTGACCACCAGGAATCTTCTCAACACGAGCGTAGCGCTTGATATCGACCTCCTGCTTTCCACCACCTGCTTCGAAGGAAACTGTTCGCACCGCCCTCAATGCCAAACTGCACATGAGTTCTGACCAGCGCGAGACGAATTTGGTGCCGATGGAGGACTCGATGAGGGTGTACATGGCCTTGTCATCGTGGATGTCGACGGGTACCGAAACCTCTTCAACAATCTGAAGAGCGTCGGCGAGGGCACGCTTGAAAGCCGAGATGATCACGACGGGGTGGATGTTGCGTTCGAGCTGGGGAAGGGCCTGAGCCAGCATTTCACCGGCTAGCATATATAGTTAGAATCGACATTGCCATATTTGCTTGGAATCACATCGGATGGAATGTTACCCAAAATGATGACGGTGGTGGTTCCGTCTCCCACTTCCTCGTCCTGCGTACGACTGAGCTCGATCATGCTCTTGGCTGCGGGATGCGACACCTCGATCTCTCGCAGAATAGCGTGGCCGTCATTGGTCAACACAATACCGCCCATCGGGTCGAGCAGCATCTTCAACATGGCCTTGGGACCGAGACATGAACGGATGATATCAGAAACCCTGTTGTTTATTTCATCAGCATGGAGCGGGGAGGGGCGGTCGAGGATGGAGGGGCGGCATACGTCTTCGCCGCAGTGATATTGGACAGCTGCGCTCGGCGACCGACCTGTCGGTCACCGGCATTGGTGTCTGGCGAGGGGTCAGCATGTACAAGGGGGAGGAGCAGTGCATGGAGGGGGACGTACTCATCACCACCACCGGGGCCTGCATTTTGGCGGTGGGTTATCGTGGGTTCGACTGGAGGGCAGGGGAGAAAGCAGTCAACTCAAAGACTTCCCGGGATCAAAAGAAATTCCAGGTCGATGAACGGGATTGACAAGAAACCAGAGCAGGAGTTCCACTTCAACGCTGCCCGCACTCCATCAAATTTCCAGTCGGCCAAGTGGGAGCTCCCTGGCGCTAATCCTGGAATGGTTAGCGCTGACACCTTCAAAGTCGGGCAGAAAGTAGTCAGGCATTCAGGCATAATCTCATCCACAGCCCTAAAATTGTTCCGCGAATATCGACAACTCAAAAAGTCAAGTGTCTATGAATTATTTCAAAGAAGGACTACAGTCTAAAAAGAAGTTTATTCTATCTAATATGCGCCACTGGGAAGGAGTCTGATCATAAAAATCACCGGTTATGGCAACAAAAGACGAAGAATATGTGGTCGCCTTCTGCAGGAATGCTATCTGGCAACAGGAGATGATGAAATCATTAAAAGGGTGCACTTGTTCCTTCTCGAGCACATGTCGTATCAGATTTGGCATAAGGAAACGACACAAGAAACGAAGAGTCCAAGGGACAGAATGGACCATCAAGTAGATACAGGATACATTAACCTCCTTGGATCCTCAGAGTGTCACATTTTCACAACCATCACATTTATCTTTCCCATTTGCTTTAACCGTCTCGTTGTATCATCCCGGCTTGAAGCAGTCAAGTCTGAGGTGGGTGTCGGAATGGCCGAGGTCTGCCGAGAGGATCGTGTGTTCAATAAATCGTGACTACAACGCAATGTTGGCCGCAACGTCGTAGAGGTTGCAATAGAGCCCATTGTGTTGCCAATCACCTCTCTCGAGAACTGGCTGCCATAATGGTTAGCTATTAGGCTTTGAAGGAACTCCAGAGTCATGAAAAGAACACTGACCACATGCTGGGGATTTCCTCCGCTCCCAGAAAATGAGACTAGAGGGCCCTGAGATCATCTCCCACATGAACTGCTGTATGAGCTCTCAAATTCTATGGGGTGATACGCACCATTTTGAGGGACCTGCCTTATCATGGGTCCCACTGTTTCGAAGTTGCCATTCCCATTGCCTTGTCCCGATGGAAACATGCTTGCAAGAAAGATGCGGGTTATCAAGACTTACCGAAGCCGACTCACTCACTCTGTAGAAGAGCAAACCGCTGCTGCAGACAACGGAATTACTCCCTCAGAGCCAAACACCGCAGTTCTCATTGACTTTGGCGAGCTGGAAAGCCCACCGCGGAGGGGCATCTCGAGCAAGCGATACCTCAGACATAGCATTTGTTTCGTACTTAGACGAACTCATCATGGTCGTAAAAGACAATATAGCGTCAGCATTCGAGTATCCCAGTGCGAGCTCAAAACAGGAAATCATTGGTTGGTTGGGTTTTTGGACTTACGCAGGAATAATAGGTAAATGGAGCTCCTGTGCGGGTGTTGAATCCCACTGCCTGGAAAAACCAGGGGAGCCTCACAGCGACATGATATCAGGTGCCCTATGGGTCATTCAATTTGTAAACTGCCGCCGAGCCCTAATCCTTCATCCCGCCCCGAAGGACGACCTACCACTCGCCCAGCCCTAAAGAAGAAACAGTGGGTATCCGGTGTCAGAAAGTGAGAGAAGTTGTTAAGGTCACTTACCGACAAGTCGAGCAGAACCCCTTATCACCACGCCGGATGACCTAGAGACAAAGGAAGGCATAGGTAGATGGTATACTGAGAGAATGGAGTGTAGTCCAAGAAAATAGCTCCAATGAGGGAGGGAGGGGAGAGGGGAGGGGTCACTCACCACGCAAGACTTGACTCTCAAGACCTTACCACCAGTCCCTGTTGTGTCCTTGTCAGTATCTTGTCAGTTTCAAAGTACTTCAAGCACTGAGCAATTCAATGAGAATGGCAAGATCCTTGAAGATATCTGTTAGCGGGACACGAAAAGAGAAGATGAGAGTTCGATTAGTGTCAAAAGAAAGAGCTGAGGGGAAGAAAGAGAGAAGAGATAACTAATATAGGGAGAAAGAAGAAAGAGAGGGAAAGATAGTATAAATAAGAGATTGTGGGCTCACCAAACCTTTCAGGCAGTCAAGGCATGGATTTCCTGTTTAGGAAAAGATGAAGCATGGGCTGGTTTTGGTTGCCTCACTTTGCTTCACCGACCAAGCATCAATTATAGGCCTATTGAAAAACATGATTGCCTACAGAGTAACAGAGAAGCAAATATCAAATGACTATTTTCAATTGTACATCGGCCACACTATTTTACATTGTTTCGAAGCACAGGAAGGCAGCTCTCGCCCGTCCAGCATTTCCCAAGACCCAAGGCAGGGGAAAACCCACTGATTCACGGGTTGAAAAGTCGACTCAGCTGGTGAAGTCCATTTCTCACACGGGCTCGGGAGGCAGCAATGGCAGAGTTGATTTTTGTCGAAAAAGGGATCTCGTCTTCCTCGAGATCAGCCTCGTCGTGAGTCTTCAATTCCTTCCTTTCGCATCCAGAAGTCTGTGGCGGGCGTGTCGACTCATAGTAATTTTTGTACTCGTCGAACCAAGTGACTTTAGCTCTTCCAGGCTTTTCGGGCTCTCTGGGCACCTCGAAGTTCCTCTGTCGAGACCAGTCAACCTCGTCGAACTGGTACCAATACTTCTGCCCAGAAACACTGCCAGCATTACTGGGCAATGACGAGCCCGGATGCAAGGGTTGCACAGGGCGTGGGCACATCCAAACTGTACGCTGGGCAGTGGCCTGCACTGGGCGGACTACGCCCAGGCTGATGTTGGGTATGGACTGGCTTCTTGCCAACATTCGCTGTAGCCCCTCTCGCTGTGTTTCCAAGGCTCGCCTTCCATGATAGGGCGGCTCCAAGTGTAGTGAATGGCGAGTTGTAGTGAATCGAAAAGGCGCTCCCTGTCGCTGGAGACGCCGGATTCTCTCACAATGAACGACTCTCATGGTGTTCTGGAGATTCAGTGGAAGGGCAGCCAATGCTCGCTTTTCCAGCTCAAAAGCAACCTCTTCTTCATCTTCGGTAGATGAGTCGGGGTCTTTGGGGACAGCGGTTCTGCTCTGAGGAGTTGTTGGGGAATCGAGGTCGTTGAGATTGAACCTGCTGGCTGCGCTGCGTAGAATAGGATGTTCGGCCATGGCTTTGTTTTGTTGGCACAGATGAAGCAATGGAGGACCAAGTTATGGGGAGCACAAAATAAATGATGAAGAGGAATAGAGCACGTGCTCTATCTAGGCAGAAGACAACCAAGTATAATGCCAATTGTATAGTACAATATTCCAAACAAATTTCAATAAAGCACACGCTGACTGTCCCATGCAATCAAGAAGTCTCTATATGCCACATCTCAGCCTCATACACAGATCAATATATAGAAACAAAGAAATCCAGGGCTTGCATCAGAACTCCCGGCTCTCCCCGATATTAAGTATATCAAAAACACCCTTCTCAGGTATGTCATGCTTCTTCAATGCAATTTTCAGCTGCTCTGGGGGCTCAAGAACATCCTCCTCAGTGAGCACCCAGGTTCCCCAGTGCATGCCCAACGCCTGCTTGCACTTGGTATCCTGGAAGATGTTCACCGAGTCATGCGGATGAGCATGAGCAGCACTCCAGATGAAGCGGGGCGCATAGGCCCCAATGGGGATCAGACCCAAATCAAATGGCCCTCGGAACTCGCCCACCTGTTTGAAAGCGGGACATACAGGGAAGTTGTGCTTGGGGTCATCGTAGTCTTCCCCATCAGGGAGCTCGTTGACTCTCTTATAGCCAGTGTCACTGTGGCGAAGAAAAACCAAAGTCAGTAAACTCATACGATCAAAAATGATTCAGTGGAGGGTTACCCGGCAAAATACAACTTCTTGCCACCAGATTCAATGGCCCAGGACGACCACAAAGTCTGGTATTTGTCGAAAGGACCCCGAGCGCTGACATGCTGGCACGGCAAGCAGCTAATGCGCGCCTTGATATCGGCCGCTATTGAAGCGGCCTCACCTACTGCTTCCACTTCCACACCTTTGCCCTCCGATGGCGACATGGTGATATCGTTTTCGTCCCACCAATCCAGCTCCGTGACACTATGGATCCCCGCACTCGCAAACCAGGGTTTGTTGCCCAGCGGGACGAAAAAGTGGCAATTGGGGTGTCGTTTGGCAACCTCCGTCACCGTCTTGTAAGACAAGTGATCGTAATGATTGTGGGATATGACGACCGCATCGATCACCGGGATATCTTTGACCTGGCACGGTGCCTTGGTGAAGCGTTTAGGGCCGAGCGTGTTGAACGGCCCGCAGCGCTCCTCAAACACCGGGTCGAAGAGCACCCGGAGACCGCTGGGAAATTCTACGTAGTAGCAGGCATGGCCAAGCCATGTTGCGCGCAGGTTGGGGGTATCTCGACTCGGGAGGAACTCGGGTTTCTGGACGGGAACCGTTGGACCCGTGGTATCGGGGATATTTCCTTTGCCATTGAATCGGCGTCTGGATGAGGAATCACCGTAAGCAATTGCCTCGACAAAGCACGAATGGAGTTTACCGAAACATCTGCGCCGCGTTTTTAGGCCCAACATCGCGGAACGAGCTACCATGTAGAATCCTTGGTTAGTCCGATTGCGACAACGCCAATTAGCCACCAACACTCACTCCCAGGGGTTTCTGAAGCCTGACTTGGCGTGATGGCTTTTTTGCAAGGCATCCTCGGGACCCGGCCGGGCTGAAGTAGGAGCCACCGTCAGGGCATAGAGTACAGTGGAAGTTGTCGTGCTCATGTTGCGGACCGAAGATGAGGCGCACCAGTTGTTTGTCCGCCAAAGACGGGGGGAGCGCTGGACGAAGCGGCGCATGGGAATTCAGGGGCTTTTTATGTACAAATCACCCCCCTTCGGACCAAACACACGGCGCGCCTCAGCTTATGTTGTGTGAGAAAGGAATGTAAAAGGAAAAAGTCGTGTAAGCCCCGATAAGTCCGCTCGGGGCCGGTGTCTTCCCGACTCCCATGTGAAGCTTTCGGCATTGGAGTTCCCCCGACATCTCCAGCACTAGAAGTATGGCAGATGATTAGTTCAAGAAAAAGAAAATATCCATGGATAATCACCAGGCAGACTCCCATGGATTATTGTATCGGTCGACCGCGGGACAGTCGGCCCGTTGTAACTCCGATATCTGCCATTCTTATCGTTCGGCCGTTTTGACGCTGACATCCACAAGATCCGACTCGGCATGGAGCCAAATGCTGCCTCCAATGCTGCGCCATCTGCCAGCGATGCGATCCTGAAACAGAGAACCGAGGCGCTGCAGGCGGCGCAGACAGGCGACGGAACTCTTTTGTCGCAACTGACCAACAATCCCTTTTTCACGGCTGTACGAGAGCCACCCCTCCAACGACCTGGTCTGGTTTCAAGTGCTGACGCTGCTTTCTTTTTATCTGAACAGGGCTTTGGTCTGGCGGGATTGGGTGCTGGATTGACGTTCGCTCAGAAAGGGCTTCGCCATTGCGCGGCACTTCTCCGTCGTCGCATGCTGGTGGACGTCGAGATCAGCATCAAGGACGACTCGTACCCCTGGTTCCTGCACTGGATGACTCTCTATCAACGATCGCAGCTCGATGCAGCCCATACAGCGGCGAGTAGTTCCGGCTTCGTGGACCGTCTGCTCCAGAGACTGACCCCCGGAATGCGCCACCTCTCCATCCAAACCCAAAAGATCGAACGCTCGAACGGAGCCATCCACACACACTTTTCGCTCGTCCCAGGGCCCGGGAAACACGTCCTCCGCTATAAAAACGCGTTTGTCTTTGTCAACCGCATGCGCGAGTCTAAGTCGCGGGATATCCAGACCGGAAAACCCTGGGAGACGATCACCCTAACCACCCTCTACTCGCAACGCCACATCTTCGAAGACCTCTTCACCGAAGCCCATGCCTACGCTGCCAAATCCCACGAAGGCAAGACCACCATCTATAATAGTTGGGGAACCGAGTGGCGGCCCTTTGGACACCCGCGCCGGAAACGTCCGCTGGAGTCGGTTATTCTCGACGAGGGCGTCAAGGAACGGATTGTGGAAGATGTGCAGGACTTTATCTCGAGTGGGCACTGGTACCACGACCGTGGTATTCCTTACCGGCGAGGATATCTCCTATATGGACCACCAGGCACGGGCAAGAGCTCTTTCATTCAGGCGCTGGCCGGTGAGCTGGATTACGACATTGCCATTTTGAATCTGAGCGAGCGTGGCCTGACCGACGATCGCTTGAACCACCTCTTGACTATTGTCCCGAACCGAACACTGGTCTTGCTGGAGGATGTGGATGCAGCGTTCTCGAACCGGCGCGTGCAGGCCGACGCAGATGGCTACCGCGGGGCCAACGTGACGTTCTCCGGCTTATTGAACTCGCTGGATGGTGTTGCCAGCGCGGAAGAGCGCATCGTTTTCCTCACCACCAATCACGTCGAACGGCTCGACGAGGCCTTGGTTCGGCCCGGGCGTGTGGACATGACCGTTCGTCTAGGTGCCGTAACTCGCTACCAGGTTGGCCGTCTCTGGGATCGATTCTACGAGGAGATCGATGCCAATGGGTCCCATCGGGAGATCTTTTTGAACCGGCTCCAGGAGCTCGGCTTGATTGAAGACGAGCACGGCCACAAAGCGGACAAGTCGAGGAGTACCAGCGCAGCAGCCCTCCAAGGCCTGTTTTTGTACAACAAAGGCAATATGGATGGTGCTATCGCCATGGCGGAGGGACTTACGTATAGCGTGTATGATGAGGCGCAGGAGCATGATCATAGAAGTAACTAATTGTACAACATGATGTAAATATAAGCCTGAAATGCTCAAATGTTGTCATACTAGACATCCATCTATCTTTTACTACTTATCCGATGGGCAACGATAGTACTTGGTTGAATATTGACGCTCTGAGTAATTCGCTTTGATATCTTTCCCTTATTTGGGAGTCCCCGTTCTACGATGTGTTCATGTCTGGCTAATTTACATTCGGCATATCAAAATATCTAAACCACGATGTCACAGAAGTGTTGCAAGGTCCGAAACACTTGAGCCATCCACTCTGCGCTTAGAACAGACCATCTCCTTGGGCAGCCAATCGCTCATCTTCCCAGCAGGTATCCCAGCAGTCTCTTCAAGGACTTTGTCCTCATCTCCAATAACCATCAACCCAACCGCAACACCAGATAACCACGCCATAACCATACCCTCACCCTGAAACCCCGCCGAGATCCATTCAGCCGGCTGTTTCGCCTGACCAGAAGAGCGCGGCGGTAACCTCCGCCCAGTCAGCTTGGGGTCAAGACGACCAACAAAGGGCAACAAATCCGGCGTAAAGCCCATACAACCAGTCCAAGCCATACGGACTCGACTCTCACCACGATCGGCGCCCCAATTCTGCGCCCCAAAGATCGTGGGCAGTAGACCGTCCAGATAGGCGCGGATCGAATAACAGCTCTGGTCGTCGCGCCATACCCCGAACTCATCCATTCCCTTGTCAGGGGACTGCACCATGCCCCCGCCGACGAGAAGTTCGCCCGCTCCTGGTCGCTGGCTGATGTAGTCGAAGCCGCGTTGGTGGATCACGCTCCAGGAGCGCGTACCGTCGAGGGCTGGGAAGAGAGACCCGGGTTCTTGGGCTGTCATGTGCCCTCGTACTGGAAAGAGCTTGCCTGTTAGGCCGGGGACAAGGTTCGCTGTGAAGGCGTCGGTGGCGTGGACGATGTGCCTTGCTGAAATTGCTCCCCGGGGGGGGTTTGCACTGTGAATGGTCTCTCGGAGTCTTCTGGGTTTACTCGTATCTCAGTTGCCGGAGTGTTGGCCTCGAGAGAAATCAGCTCTGGATGGGCTGAAAGAAGAGAGGAATAAAGGGCTGTGACGAAGCGATAGGGCCACAGTGTGGCAGCTTTGTAGGTGATGATGCCGTAACAGTGTTGAGGGTCGACTCCAAATTCCTATAGACCAGTCAGCTTTGCATGTTTCCAGAGGCAATTATCATCAAAGAGAGAGCGATTAAACCCACTGTGCAAGCATCCACGCCTTCATGGATGACGACATCTCCTGCGAGGTCAGGAACATCCCGTCTGAACTCTTCCACCGTCCGCTTCGTCTTGACCCAAGTCTTTTCATCTGTGAACGTATCCACACTCTGCACCTCCCTTGCCTCAGCACATTTCAACTCTTCATTTCTCTGTATCAGGTCCAGCAATATTGGCATATGGCTCAACTGAAACTCCAGCAAAGCCTTCGCACGTTCCTTTCCAAACCTAGCCTTGAGCGACGCATACTCCAGATAAGCCGAGCACTTGATGTGACCCCCATTTCTGCCCGTCGCGCCACTGCATATACTTCTTGCCTCCAGAACCACGACTCTGGGCGGAGGTTGAGGGTGTGCATGGCTGTGTGCCTGCTTCAGCGCCGTGTATGCCACACTAGCGCCCGAAATCCCCGAGCCGACAATCAAGATATCTGCGGTTCCTGGCAGTTGCTGGGACTGGCAATTAACCAGATCTGGAAATGGTGGGTACTGCTGCCAAAAGGCGTTGCTGGGGTTCGGTACGGGGAGCGCCAGGGTCGACACGCGGGACAGCAGCGCGTCGAAGCATTGCTTGGTGGCGCTGATTTCTGACACGAGTGCTCGCAAAGTCAGGCATGCGTTGCGAATGATGGAAAGAATCGCTTGCATGGTTGCTGTATGTATTTAGCAACGCGTTTCACGCTTCCCTGTGTGCTCTGGTGATGCAGCGCTGTTTCTCGAGTGGGCGAGAAATTGCCGGTGACGATCTATCTCGGTATCTGCGGCGTGGGGGATCAACATGTCGATAAAGGGGGCCGTCACGCCAACGCTGGATAATTGAGTCTTCGTACCAACAAGATTTGATATAATTATATTCCCGTAGTTCAGAATTCACATGTAAATTTTGACCAACACGGGTAAATGGGCGAACTATAGGAGCGTCGCAGACTGTCAGCCCTCATCCCCCTCATCCTGACAGCCAAGGCCTTGCGCTAAAATGAGCCGTGTGGGCTTAAGGTTAAGCTAGAGAGCCGTTGCAAAAAGCACTGTTGCTACAAAAGGGAAAGATACTCTTGTGAAGTGGATAATCAGGAATCGACTTTGGGGGCTAGCTCCGGAGATGTATTGGCCATCAACAGTACAGTGGTTAGTGAGGGAGAGAATTAGCCCCTAAGCGAGTTTGTCGAGGTCAGTAACTCTCTGTGGTACCTTGCCTGCTTGTATAAATAGCCGGTGGGCCTGCATTTCAGGGAGAAGAGAAAGAAGAGAACACCACTAGCTCCAACCACTATTCCAAGAGAGCGGCTTCAATATGTTCCTTCGGCTTTCTCCTTTTATGTTCCTGCGACTTCTTATTAAGGGTCTGTGTTGCAGTGCGGTTGATCATGTCTCATGCTTCTCTAAGGCCTGATAATGAGTAGGACATTCCAACCAGTTCGCAACTTGATCGGTAATACTAAGATGCTGCAGGCTGTAGAGTTGATGGTATATGCATGTCAAGCTGGGTTGGATCAAATCGCTTCAAGTGGTAATGTCTTTCATATCAACACTTTTGGGGTACTTTGGCTGATGGTATCAGAATCGACACTTGGTGGTGACTTGTCTGTGCTGGGATTATCTTGATCTGTGTCTGGCAAATTATATTTATGTAATAAGTGCTATGTATTAATGGTATCTTTATTTGAGAAGAATTGATTAATATGCTCAACATCTCGGGTTCGACCTATGTCAAGGATAGAGTGTGAGCTTGAAGGCCGTGTTGATGAAATCAAAATAGTATAGGATACAGAATATGCCATAACACTGTGAACAGAGCAAGGTCTAGAAACAAAATGTGTCCGTATTCTCCTGCATCACCCCAAAAGTGTCATTTCGGAAATCATCCATCAGAAGCTCTGTCCGATCCGCGAAAAACTGCATCAAGTGCTGATCCTTCTTCCACTCCGGCCACTATTTAACATCTCCTCGTCGGGAATTCGGGTCCAGGTCATGCACAAAGCTGAAGTAGTATGTATAGAATGCCCGTGCAGCGTAGTTGGGTAGGAGGCCATAAAATACCTGCACGATGTCGGTCGAATGGAAGGTTCCCAAGATTGCGGTGCCGTGATCATAGGATGAGAGATAGGACCATGCACGCACATGGGTAGCTTCTCCGTAGCATGTATGAGAGCGAGAGATGTCAAATTTTCTTCGTGAGGAAATATGGAATAATTAAACTCATCAAACTTAGTATGGCTATTTCGGTGTCAGTCTAGACTCCGGATCATCCAAGGGGTTGTTCTCGCAGTTGCTAGTTGTGATTGCCCAAATTTTTCAAGATATACACTGACTGTGATAACTCCTGAAAAAAAAAAAACCAGAAGATTATGGCCGTTAAAGCTGCCGCTTTTAGAGCCTATCGATGATTGAAGGGTTAACTCCCGAAGAAGTCCAAGCTTCGAGAAGATGTTAAATACTAACTGTTTGACCGACTACAAATTCGCCAAAGTTAAATATACTAGATCGCGAAAAAAATAGAGTCTCAGCTATCGTAAGCAAAAGAAGTGATATCTATAAAATATAGCTTGTTGCTTGTTCTTCTTTATATATAGTCAAGAAAGAAACTGTTCGATTAAGTCAAGATTAGGCCGACTAAAGCTAAGAAACAAGACTTACGTTAGTAAGAGCAATAATTTAGCGATAAAAAAAGATAATAAAAATATAGATTAACCAGGAATCTTAGTTAACAAGGCCTAGAAACTTATGGATATCAGCAGGATCTATATCGAAGTTGGGTATACTTACCTCGTTTATCGGTAACAGAAGAAGTAAAAACCCTAGTTTAATAGTCAAAGTAGGCCTCGAAGAATTTGTACATAGGACTTATCAGCTAATAAGCTAGAAGGCCTTAACGATACTTACCGCTTCGGAGGACTGGCTAATAAGATAGACCAAAACTCCTACTACAACCTATAAGAAAATGTAGGGTTTTTGATAGAGTAAGATGAGTCGGGACGGTTGTCCGTTGGATATCAACGCAACCCAAAGTAAAAGAGATATACCAGGATATAATAATGTTATCGCTGAAAGGATGACTTAGGAAGAATCAATTTCTGCTATTTTGATTTTATTATTTTGATTTTATACTGTCTGTTCGTTAGGATACTTATGATAGTTTACTTTAAAATATAATATCAGAGGACCCGGGAAAGCTTCAGGTTTATAATATTTCTAAAAATAGTTGAATATCTTGGAGGCTATAGTTCTTTGTTAGCCAAGAAATTTATGACTTATAAAATAGCAGAGATAGGCGTAGATCACGGCGGTTGTTCCTGTTACACTAGGCCTTGAGGATCAATGAAGGTGAACTAATTAATGGCTGAAAGAAGCGTAGCCTGACAGGGGTAGGGGGTAGTCCAAAACCTCTGATAGGCCATTAGTATCGTGTATCATTGGTCACTAAAGCTGCGGGACTCTGCACATTCATCTCGCGCCAACGACATAACTCAAAGAATTGAGAGATATTTTTATCTCCTTTATCGAACTTCTTTTGCCTCCATTTCTCCGCGTGATAGGGCGATGAGTCAATCGTTGTCATTGGCCATTCGGTCGTTACGCCCGCATTATTTATGTTCCCCAGTCATTTCTCCTGTCCTTCGTAAGGGGCATATGCCACCGCTTCATCACAAGCAACCCCGCTGCGCGTTGACTTTCACTGCATTCAATTTAATGGAGACCAACGAAGGCTTTGACACAGGTCTCCTCTACGAACCTCTTGAAGGAGTCGAAAGACTTGAGAACTATCGACCAGGGGGCTATCACCCCATTCAAATTGGAGATCACTTTCACGGTCGATATCGAGTGGTTCATAAGCTAGGACATGGGTCTTATTCAACTGCGTGGCTGGCCCGTGATGAACAAGCCCATAAATACGTTGCAGTGAAAGTTTGCACAGCAAACGCGAATCCAAAGGAAGTGGATATTATATCCACTCTCACTCGTCCTCGTTGTCCTTCAGTCAACCATCCAGGAAAGATGATGGTCCCTTCGATTCTAGATGGGTTCACCATTCGCGGCCCAAATGGAAATCATGCTTGCTACGTTACCGCGCCGGCGAGCGCTAGCCTCTCCGGAGTGAGAGATGGTTCATGGATCCGCTTATTCCAGCTTGACGTAGCCCGGTCATTGGCTGCGCAACTCGTTCTTGTTGTGGATTATGTGCATGCCCAAGGAATTGTCCATGGAGACCTTCACCTCGGCAATATTCTTCTCAAAGTTCCGCCCAATTTTGACCAGCTCTCACTCAACCAATTATATGAGAAATATGGAGCGCCGGAACTAGACCCAGTTGTTCGTCTAGATGGCAATCCGCTTCCGCCTGGTGTCCCATCCCACGGTATTGCGCCTATATGGTTGGGGGAAGCGAGTGAGGAAATCACACTTCCAGAACCCAGGATCTTGCTTACAGACTTTGGTGAAGCCTTTTCCCACTCAGAAGAACAGAAATATGAATCTCGCACCCCGCTTGTCATCCGTTCCCCGGAGGCGCGGTTTGAACCAAACGACCCTCTGTCTTTTTCATCGGACATTTGGACTCTCGCCTGTACCATATGGTCTATCATCGCCCAACGGCCATTGTTTGAAGGATTTCTCGCGACGGAGGACGACATGACTTGTGAGCACGTCGATACTCTTGGTGTTTTGCCACTTGAATGGTGGAGGAGGTGGGAGGCGCGGCGACTGAAATTTACCGAGGATGGTAAGCCAATGAACCGCAGCCCTTTTCGATCTTGGGACGATCGGTTTGAGGATAGCGTGCAACAGCCCAGGCGAGATAGTGGCATACCGTCGTTTGATGCAAGGGAGAGGGAAGCTTTCTTCGACATGCTAGGGCCGATGCTCTCATTCAGACCTGAGAATCGCCCTACTACTAAGCAAATTCTCGAGTCAGAATGGATGCTAAAATGGGCTCTTCCTGAATATGGCAAGATCGAAAGATAATGATGAGTTATTCTAGGGTGGGGCTGCATGTATCATTTTCATCCGCTCCCGAGTATTCCGGGGTCTGTTGCGAAACATAGGATGCCTGCACCTGAAAGAGATCATGACTGTAAAACGTTCTGCCACAATAGATCGAGCTTACCCGTCCCAAGCAAGGTTCGCGTTTGGCGTGTGGCCTGAATCTCTTTGTCCTAGCGAATTTGTTGATGTAAGAACATTGTAGTTCGCGCCGACTGAGCTAGTTGACCATAGATTCTTCGGGTTATTGGAACGTCTAGGGGCCTGCTTCCGCGCCAACATAAATTCCTGTCAACGGAGCAATTGACTCAGGAAGTCAGGTCCCGTTATTACACAAAGAACCAATAACTTTGCCCAGGACTTTGGGTGGGCCTTGGTTTTGTTCGATTGCATCCATGTGTCTTGTTCGCCTTCGATAACACAACTATTTCTTTGTAGATCATTTATCTTATTTACTAAAAAAAATTTTCAATTAAACTGGCGTAGTATTTCCTAAAGGCGAAAGTTAGCAGCTCGCCATACATCCATGAACAAGGCAGGGTTGGCAACCACAAGCACTGAGCTGGCTATACCTCCTATAGACAAGCCTATAGACCCAGATAGATTTCTCATCACCGTGTGATGACTTAAGTTCCTGTTTCTTGCATAATCCTCGTTTCTGAATATTCAATCAACGTCATATGGTTCTACCGTGAAAGCGCTAATATTGATCCTGGCGACTCCCTTGTCGCCCACGTTCTTCACACTATTGCACCCACCAATGCGAACCCAAGAACTAGATAATTATAGCATGTAGATGGGCAGAGAACAAATCACCGATCGTGGTCGACGCGCCGGTGCTGCAGCTCGAGAGCCCCCCAACAAGGATCATCGCCAATCACACCGGCCATCTCTTAAGCGCCGACCCTCTCAAGCAGGGTTATCACATCACTCAACACCATCGGCGCTGCTTATGAGCTCGTGGGGTTCGACATGAATATGCCAGGTGAAATGGCCCATATCTCTGTCGCGGTCCGCAAGGTTCGCTTTGTGCAACGCTTTTTGACTTCGAATGTGTCGGACACTCAGGCGTATTTCATTCGCCTTGACATTGTGAACAACTCTAGACTGTATCGACCATCGATACCATGAGTCAATTTCAATTATTCCCGCCTCCCTCTCCAGGGACGAAAGGATCCAAGAATCCGTTTCGGAAGGGTCTCAAGAAGCCGGCTGCGAAGGCTGAGCCCGCAGCGTCAATCCCCCTCGAGGAGATCAAGGACTCTCCTCGCACAGAATCGGTGATGTTTCAGATCATCGAAGATACGCAGCAAATCTCACCACCGCCACCTGCGCATATGCCATCCTCTACGTCCCCATCAGGGAGAGTGGCATCCCCGGGTTCGAGGTCACTTCAATCCTCGCGCAGCCGAACCCACCAAGACAACGTACCCAGCCACCGAGCCTTGCCTTCACAAAGAAGCATGAGCAACAGCAGTAAAAGCAACAGGACTGCAATGACTGCAACATCATCAGGTTCACCGCAATCATCCCTGTCGTCGATATCCCCGGTGCCAATGAGATCGATGTTTCCCCAGTTTAATCCACAGCTCCCGCTCAACAAGCAGCCCTACCATCCTGAGACGTCGGAGCAGCCTGTCAAGCCTTCTCGACGCCCAAAGCTGACGCTGTCCCCGTCATCTGAGATTGACCAGGTACTCGGTCCAAAAACCGTCCCTGCCAGTGTGGTGAACTTCCCGACCGGGGTCCTTGAGCCAGAGGAAATCCGGTACTCGTCTCCCCAGGAACTCGGGATGCTCTGGGAGACGGCCAACGGTCAAAGACCCCCGAATCTCTGTGGGTCATTCAATCTACGCATGACAAGGTGGGAGTCAAGGGTCCTGCACCTTGAAGTATATCGCTGATTTCTTGCAAGAACCGGACCGGCAACGTTCACGTTTGGGAATTCGCCGCAGCCGTTTTACACGCTGCAAACCTACTCAAATGATGAACTGTCCATCAGTCGAGGAGACCCGTCGAAGCCAAACAGTGATGTCCCAATCATGGGTCTAACCCTCGAGAATCGCCTTCGTCGCGAACACCCCCATGACGGACTCGTGGCGCTCCTGTTTTCAAGGTTAGCCGCCATGCTCGCCATCGACCAGGCAAAGGAAATCGGCGTGGAGCACCACCTCTCTCCCTCAGAGGCAGCCGAAGTCGAAAGCAGAGCCCTCAAGCGCGCCGCGGCGCAAGAGTCATGCCGACTGTCCTGGAACACTCACCAACGACTGTATGAACTGCGACACCCGTCGCTGTCAAAACGGAACCCGCCCGCGTTAGTCGGCGCCGCAGGGATTCCTCTGTCTCCCGTCAGATCCCAGTCGTCCGGCATGTTGCACATCACCGTTTCAGCGCCATCTGGAGATGCATCGCCTCATCAGCCGCCCACGATCATTGTTACGGGCCCGGTATCTTCGACGGCCTTTGAGGCCGCACAGCAAGCCGCCACCGCGCGCACGTCAACACTGCCAGTCACTGACTCAGATGAGCCGCTGGCCTCTCTCGACTTCGGGACCAAGACCCTTTCCATTTCCCCCGCAGCAGTGATCGCCACGATCCCGTCACTGTACGCCATCGACTCCCTTGTCGCGGCCATGCTGGCAGTCGCAGTCTCGGACGAGGCCACGAACCCGATCCTGGCTGACATGGTACATGGCTCATCCAGTTCATCGGGGCCAGGAACTCTCCAAGAACCGTTAGGTCTCGCAATGCCGTACCGCGGTCCGCTCGTGACAACCCTCGCCGAGCGCGAAGACGCGGCAGAGAGCTTCCAGCTCGCTTCGCAAATTGAGTCAGCACAATCCGGGTCGGCAGATGCATCAAAAAAGAAAAGCTTTTTCAGATTCTGGAACCGATCTTGGTCTCGGTCCCGGTCTCGGTCTACATCACTAGACAAGAGTCGGCCGTCAAAGAAAAACCAACAGATAGTGGTTGAGGAATTCGATCTGGAGAAGTATGGTCGCTATGGTGCCAGCTCGTCTCGCGAGAGCGAGAAGTTGCCCGGGATTGTTCGCGGGATGTTGCGAGCGTTGTTTTGGGGACTGGGTCTGGTGGTCAAGGGCTTGACGCTTGTCGTCAAGATTTTGGCGTGGGTGTTGGTCAGTTCCACGCGGTGTCTCACGAGCGAGAAATTCTGAGCTGGTCTTGGGGTTCTCAGGGATCTGCGCTAGGTTTTCATTGGAGTTCAGTGCTGGTTTTTTAATGGGTTTTTGTTATGATGAGCGAGTCAAGTATGCCCAAATAGCAAGATCGAGTCTAAGTTCCTCACCCCCACATCGACCCACAAAACCTCTGATCCTCGTTCTATCCTCCTTTCGAAAAGCAGGAAGCAATTTTCAAAAGAATCAGTAGACATTGAAATACTCGCAACTTTTCCCATTCTGGTATGGTGGCACTTCAACCGGCATCTTCAGGCGGTGAGCTCAGCATCGCGTCGAGCCCCTGGCTCTGAGAGCATCATCACTTTCTACACTTACTTTCTCCATGGCAAAGACTCTTCCCCTTCTAAGGGAGGAAATCACATACTCTAAAGCTCAAAGAGGAGAGGTCGATATTCTCCATCGCCCTCAGTATCACGATCGACAGTATGAATTCTTTACTAGTCTCTCCGACAGGCGGGATTGGATTAAAGCTGTCATAGCTCACCATTTAGGGCTACCCTCAACCAACCGTTGCCAGGTAGCGGACGTGGAGGATTGGCTTCATGGAAGTTTTAGTGCCTGTATCCCGGCCTCTATCAGCAATTGGGAGAATCGAACACAATCGGGAACTCGGGTTCTCCGTCGGCTACCTTTTCCATGCCGACTTGGCGAAGAGTTTTGTCCTGGTAATTCTGATGAAAAGATTCGTTGCGAAGCAGGAACATATGCTTAGCTTCAAGAAAACTGTCCTGATGTTCCTATCCCGCGAATTTATGGCTTTGCCACGTCCGATAGAGAGACTATACGGCTATGCTCCGATCACCACCAAAGCTGTACTGATGAGGATTCTATAGCTCACACATATTAACGAGCTCCCTTTCTGGAATCGTTGCTTTCAATATTTCCGTTGCCTGTTGCTTTCATATTTGCGTTTCCCTCTTCCTTCCTTCTATATCCCCCATTGTCCACGAAATTCGAAACACAAACGCGATGCTTTGGCTACGTCGGACTTGAGGCCGACAGTTGCCTGGTCTCCCTTGGCGGGAGGTGTCTAACTTCAGAGAAGATGATCTTGAAAATATTTGATCACCGTCGGCTAAAGGTAAGCTGTTTGAGCAAGGATCTGGAATTTGTGCTCGGTATGCTGGGTGGATTTTTCGGTCCCTAGGGAAAGGGAAGCAGAGCCTCCTCAAGTACCAGCCAACGGATGTGTAATTTCAACTGAATATGCAAGTGAATTGACTACATTTGATCTGACTCGCGATGAATAGCTTTACAAACACCACTTTGTGACGTGGCGCCTTGCCGGGTGTGTGTGTGTGTTGAATGAACTGTCGCTTCTACAATATCAAATTGCCGCAGCCACTAATCTAGACTCTTAGTCCTTACCAACTGTATTGAAGATTTCAGATATGAATTTTATACCAATGATGGGAAACTATTTAGCTGTTGTAGGTACGTAAATATATATATATGAAGGCTTTCAATTTAGATAATACTAGGTTAGCAAAGAACAAGGTAGGGTAACAGAGAAGAGTGATAGAAATCCAGGACACTTAATCTGTTCATTGTTGCGTTGGTAAGTCTCCAGTGTTAGCTTTGATAGTACTGAGTCAAATTGAACACCTAATATAAAATATAGTCAAATTAGTCACTGTTCCAAATTGCCATATCCATTAAGGTCTTCCATTTCACGAGCAATTGGGTTCGGGTCGAAGAATCCCACTCGAGAAAGTCCCTGTTGATCATTCCAAGTCGATCGTGTCAGGTGTCAATCCAAGTCATGGGATGTGAGTGTGGCAAATATATATTTATTAGAAGAAAATCCAGCTGCCATATTGAATAGTTCAAGTAAATGTTCACGATCCGTCAGGATTTTCCCGTTGAAGTCGATAACGACGTACCAGCGTAGCCCTAACCCAGACAACCCCCCCCCCCCCCCCCTTCGCCAGGCCAGCTACCCCTTTCATCTCCCACACCACACCCCCTCTTGAAGCGCTGAGAAAGCCCAAGTCAGACCCAAAATTAAACTAGTCAGCTCGATGACATGGGACATTCCACGGAGGAAAGGGTCACTAGAGGGGTGATGGGCAATAGCGCGACAGGGACCTGGTAACTGGCACATTCCGGTGGCATTCCAAGCCGAGAAACAAGAGTCCATGAGTGGTTTGGGTGTTAGTCCCCCTAAGCCATTAATGTATGTTATGTGCAATGGCCATAGATAAGACGAATTCCAGGCAGAGCTTATGCCGACTCGTAAAGCCCCTCCTACTCGATCAAGCACCGTGGGTACACTGCCAATGTACACACACAGAATGCCACAACGTCATAAACCCGCCCAGGGGATCAAGGGATACAGGAACAGACTCAAATATCTATGATGTTTGTTGTGATGATAGCCAATCTACTTAAATCATCTGGTTATTCCCAAGTCCGCGCTCCCACCTTCCCCTAACATACCTTCTCCACCCTATACTCTCATTCATTCTATACCTTTCTTTCTACCACTTACCCAAGTCCCAAGCAAATCAGTCAAGATGCGTTCCTTCCTCGCTACTCTTTTCATCGCCGGTGCCGTCGCCCAGACGACAAGCGACTTCTTGAAGTGTGCGGTAAGTATTCAGCATGAAGTATGGAACAACGGGCATAGATCTCTAACATTATCTAGAACGCGGCCTTTGGAAGCGTCGACACCTCCAAGCTCAGCGACTGCTCAGACAAGGATAGCACGGACTGCTTCTGCGCCAACAAAGACGCAATCAGCAGCCTGACCAAGGACGCCGAGGATGTCTGCGCCGACGCCGGTGTTGGTAAGTCCACCTCACCCACTAACCAACCAAAGCAATTCAAGCCTAACAATTGCATAGACTTGAACGACCTGTCCAGCTCCCTGTGCGGCGACAGCGACCGCATGGCCAAACCCGCCCGCAAAGCCAGCCACCCCATGGAGCGCGTCGGCAGCAGCAACAACAACAAGCGCGCCTACATGCCCGAAGCGTCGGCGGCCTCTGCCGCGCCGCGCGTAGTCTACGTAACCGAGACCCGCACCGAGTGCGCCTGCAAGAGCAGCAAGACGCCCCTGGACCCAATGCACATCTCCCAGATCCCCGTCGACGTCCCCGCCAGCAGCAGCATGATGGGCGGCATGGCGGCGGCGGCGACGCCGGCGTCGTCGTCGTACGGCGCGATGGTTGTCGCGTCGTCGGCTTCGGCGTTCGGGTCTGCGTCCGGCACTCCCACGCCCAGTGGTGCTAGTGCGCGCTACAATGCTTTCCAGGGCGCGGCGCCCAAGGTTGGGGCAGTGCACAGTGGGGTTGCGGCATTGGGGGTTGCTGCTGTTATGGGGTTGATGGTTGCCCTGTAAACCTGGAGTATACTACCTACCTGTGCCCGGCGTTGTATGCTTTGGTGAGGATATGTTGTAATTTGATGGGTTGGGATTCACGACTTGATTGCTTTTCTCTCTTTGGACTTGGCTTGGGGTTATGTCGGAGTCTATATGGTGTATCTGGTGTGTCTTTTTTGTTTGATGCTTGATTGCAAGGTTGAGGGAGTAATGATCAATGAAACCACGTTTTTTGTATTTGCATTCGCATCTCCGGTTCCTAGACATATTAAGAGGTGATTGTTCCTGTTCCCTCATAATTCATACTGCAATAACAACAACCGGCGGGTCCCAAAGTCCCGAGGTCTAATATCAACTAAGAGCATAGTCTCAAATGAGCGCATCCATGTTCTGCACCATAATAAGCCCGCCTAAGCATGGATCGCCTGCTGCACACGCGGGTACAGCTGGACAAGCTTGTAGTAGATTTCGGGATGATCGTTGATCATGACCTGGGGATCCCAGCCCATAGCCACGAAGATGGTCTCGACGCCGCTGCCGATGGGCGTCATGAAGACCTGGCAGACCTGCAAGCCAATGACGAACGCAAAGGCCATGATAACAGGAGTGAATGTGCCGTCAGCGTTGTAGGCAGGCTTAGTGAACTGCAGGTACAGATAGGCCAGCAGGGCGCAGACATACGAGACGAACACGGAGCCCATCGTCAAGACCGGGCCCATCAGACAGTCTTGCACGAGGGCATCAATGCCGCGGTCGCGCATCATCTTCCAGGTATCCTTGGCGGCGGGGATATACGCCTTGCCGTAAAGGGCGATGTGGCAGAAGGCGTAGCGGTTGAACAGCGTGACCAGCCAGTCCAGCAGCGAGATCACGCAGCCGAGGATCCAAATGAAGATACTGCCGACCAGATTGCCCTGCCCGGCCTCCTGGCGCTGCGCAACCGAGCACGCCTGGCGGAGCATGTTAATCAGCGCGATGATCAAGCTACCGAAACTGATACTGCCGAACGAGTAGGTGGTCGCGCGCCGGAACGCGCCGCGCGTCGAGCCCTTGGGCATGCCGCCAGCAGACTTGCTCCAGAAATACCATGATCCGTAGACACCGGCGATGGTCGAGTGCACGGTATTCTTGATCCACTCGCTGACCCAGTACATGGCGAAGGTCGCGTAGACGGTCAGGCCGATCACTTTGGCGGTGCTGCAGCCCCCGTTCTGGCAGGACGGGTTGATTCCACTGGAATTTGGCTCGTAGGCCACGTAGATGGCGACCAACGTCACCGAGAACCACGCCGCAAAGGCCACTGTGACGATGCCACCCAGTGCGCTGACCAGGAATACATGGCCGTAGCCGCGCGCGACGTCCATGGTGGTCTGCAGCATAAACGCAGTGAACGGAATCCGCGGGATCCAGCTAATGAAGCAGACGATGGCGAAGACGCCGAACAGCAGGAACACGATCCCGCCGCCATACTGCTTCTTCGCGATATAGTAGATGCCGGTGGCCAGGGCAAAGACGATGTTTAAGATACCGGTGGCCCAGATAAAAGTCTTGGTAAAGTAGCGCGCGCCCAGAAAGTATAGCCACGAAAGCACGAGAGCGACGCAGAGCACAAAGATAAACAGCACGAGCGTGTTGGTGTTGAGGGAGAAGTCGTTGGCCGCATCATAGATGCCTCCACCGCTGAAGCCCTTGTGGCTCGCGTACGAGTGGATCGTCAACCCGGACACAGCCACGTACCCCAGGAAAACTGCGATCAGCTGTGTGACGATCAGCGCGTGTCCCCCCTCTTTCGCTTCTGTGTGATCGACGGCACATCGCACTTACCAGGAGTCCGGCCCACAGATCATTGAACTTGGGTTTCTCGATCTTAAACGCGTCCTCGAAATTGTAGCCCGACTGCGGCGCGTTCGGTGCGTTTGGCGCGTAGGGGGGAGGGGCAGGGGCCTTGGGATCGACGGGTTGATAGTTGGCATTGTGGTTGGGATCGTAGGGCTGATCGCCCTGGGGGGCGAAGCCCTGATTGGGGTTGTAATAGCTGGCGGCTTGTCCACTCATTGCATACTGCGATTTCAAAAGAAAATTGGCAATAAAGTAGCAATAAAATGGCGGGCAAAGAAAGAAAAGAAGAAAAAAAAAAAGGGGATGCAAGGAGATTTTATTTCCGAATCGGAATCCATGACGACACGGCCTGATCGCCGATAGTCAACCTTGTGGAGACCTTCGCGATCTACCGAAATCAAATACCCAAATTTCAGTAAGTTGCTTGGCATTTGAAGTCTGTGTTTTATTGCTTTATTGCTAGTTCAATATGCGATTGTTCTATTCCACCTCGAGACGCCGACAATGCAAGAAACCCCCCTGCTCGGTCGGCCGGGGGATCATGATTACAGACATTAAAGAAATTAAGAGGGTTCCCACCATGGATACCCGCTTGGCAAGGAACGGACGATCATCGATCGCGAAACGCGTGCTGCTTGAGTTGACGCCAGGAGTCCACCACACGATGCTCGATCCCTGGGATCGGAGTGCGTCGACGGACCGGGAAATCGTCGGTCGCAGGTTTGATCTCGCCCTTGCTGAAGGCCACCGACCGACGCAATTTTTCCTGGCGAACAGCGGCCCCACGCGACGCTCTGAGCTCGTCGATCCGACCCTGACCCACTCGGTGCCGTCGCACAAAACACTCGTCGAGCAGACTATTGGCATCCAACAATTTCTTGGGAATCGTCTGGACCACCTGGAAGACTTCCATGGGATCCGACACTTTCAAGATTTCACGCTCGCACGCCTTGAAAATTCCGAGCGAGACACGAAAAAATGTTTTGGATCCCTCGTAGAAAAAGACGTCCCATACTCGCAAAGTGGTTTCCAGGGGCAATGTGCCAATAAACACCGACATGAGCCAGTTGGTCAGTCCCAAAGTGATATCGGGTAGGCGGGAGTGCACGCCGAGCGCCGGGGTCTTGTTGCGACCAGCCGGAGAGTCCCCCATGCTCGCGATTTTGGCGTAGATATTGGGCATGGAGTCTTTGAGCAGCACCATGAGCACCCACAGGTCGATGTTGGCCCCTTCCAAACTGATCTCATGCGTTCCAGGCAAGTAGACCGATGTGACAATATGCAGCATCCAAAATGCCTTTTCTTCTGGAAGGAAAAGAAGGAGCATGCCAGTGATGAAATTAAGCGACTGCGTATACCCGACTTTGGGATTGTGGAGTGCAAAGGCGTAGAGAACACGGCGCAAGGACCGGATCATCTGCGTCTCCGTAGGCACGTCTTGATTTTGTGGGTTACTGCTTCCAGTAGGAGCGTCTGCTGTCTCGGGCTTGAAGTGAAGATTGTCCGGAAAGGTACGATGTAGATCACGCTCGATGTGCTCCTTGTCATCATTGCTTGGCGAGTTCATAGCACGCTCCACCAATTGATCGTAGTGACCGCGGTTACGAGTCAAGAGCTTAAATCCGCCGGCATACCAAAACCACGCTGCTCCTCGGAACTCGGACGGGATCCCTTTGCGCACGAATCGCTTTGTTTTAGACGACTGCGGAGGAAACTGGACGGGGTCGGTGGTAGACAACCCATGCTCTTTGAGCAGTTCATACCATTTAAATCTTCGGTGGGCTGCATAATTGGAATAGGGACCTTTCCAGGTTTCATACTGCGGTAAAGTCACATATTGCGTGGCCTTGCGAAACCCGTAGTTGTCTCGACTGTCCATTCCAGAGAGAAGTGGCGGAGGCACCGGGCCTGTGAGAATAACTTTCGACTGTTGACGTTGGTGCATGGACTGAAGATCGGTTAATGGCGTTTGTGATGGCATTAGTTCTGGTGGTTCATTTTCTAGCACTGAGGGTCCTGTCGGGACAAGATCTGGTGGCGTGGACTCTGAGGGTGGGATGTCTGTTTGTGTGGGCGCTGGCGGAATGAGCTTTAATGGCGGATCTGATTGAACGGCCGCTAGCTTTGTAGACTCTGGGAGGGTAGATTCGGGCAATGGCGGTATAGGCGGAATATCGTCTAAGGGGGTGACCTCTGGGGGGCATATTTCAGCCACGTGAGCATCTCGAGAGGGTGGCGGTGTCACCGATGGCGCCTTGCTATCAGCGCGGGACTTAGGCGATGCGGGCTCTTCGGTGACATCGCTGAAGCCGTCGAGATACATCGAGATGGCATCTTCGACACTCATATCACCCTCCATCCCATAGGGTGCATTGGGGGTATCAGGGGACAGGTCGATGATCGAACTGCTCTTGGTCAGAACACTGCTGCGCTCTGTCCCACTGGCCTGTTCAATGCTGGACCGCGAGGTCATGGTAGAGTTCACACTCGATCGGGGGGTATTTTCATCTGCCGGTCCATTGGATGGAAAGCGTGGTAGCGGGAGGCCGTGGGAGGTCAGCTCCTGCGGGCGGCGATCCGGAGAGTCGTAGCCTCTTGGTCGCCAATTATTTAACCTGGATGTCGACATGGAGACGCGCATCCCGCCTCGGGGTGGCGGGGCTCTGCGATGGTTTGTCCGTTCGATCTCGCTGTCCCGAGAAGGCCATTTGGGGTTATGAGGATCGGGTGTGGTGTAGGGAGGGCGGCTAGGGGATCTGTTGCGCTTCCACTCATCCCTCGAACCCTGCGAGGGAAATTGGCGGGTCTGCACTGGATAGAGGCGTTCATCGGAGGAGTGGTGCGCTACTGGAGGCTTGGGGGAACGCGAACCGGGAGGACGCGAAGAGTGGAGAGAGCGAGGTGACGATCTCGGGGCTGGTTTTGTGGTTCGCGACGCCCGGGGATCAATCTTCAAAGAGTCTAGCCGCGGTGGGTGAGGCACCCTGCGCCGGCCGGGGATATCGGATTCGCCTGGAGGCGGCAGTCGAAGATTTCCATTTTTTGTGACCATGGCCACGAGCTAGCACCCAGTTCCCGCTGGACATTGGTTATCGTGACTGGAGAGGACGCGTGGGATCGAGCGGTCAACGACCCGGGAGAAGGCGAAAACAAGAAAAGTTCAGCCGTGGCACCAGGGTACTCCGTACACTGGCAAGGAACCGATAGCTTGGAATGTTCGACGTGTTGGGGAGAAAATGCGAGAAAATGCAAGTGGAAAATGCAGGGGGAAAAAAAGAAAAAGAAAAAGAAAAAAGAAATAGAGAGCGGATAGCTAGGACACTGAAGACTTCAGCATATAAAAGGAGAGGACTGGATACAAATCCATCAAAACAAAAGAACATGGACAGCCTGCCAGAGGACTGGAGAGAAGAAGGAGAAGCTCCAAGTGAGACAAAACCAACATGCCCTGATTGAGAGTCATGTGACGTAATTGTTGACCAGGGATGGTTTCAGACTGCTCGTTTGTTGTTCTTTGTTCTTGGTGAACTTCGATACATTCGACCTTCGACTGGTTTTGATAGTTTTTACTCTTGCCCCGTCTTACCCCGAACTGGTGTTCCCATCGACACATCACTTCAATCCTGCACAACGGGACGGCTGCACCGCCGATCAGGGACCCTGTCAATTTCGGCCTCTGTAGGCAAAGCGCCACATTAATCTTGTTATGCATCACGTAGATGGGTAGTAGGGATCGTGTGCTACTCTAAATGTTTATTCTTGGTGATGCTGTGGTATTCGGGGTTCTATAGACTCGAAGAGCATAGTATACCCCCTATCCTACCTGGGTACATAAGTTGTTTAAATGCTGGCAGTGGCATATTCAGGAATGATCCTAATACTAGAATAGCAAAAGTCCACTAAACCTAGCAAAACTATCTCTATATACTTTAACATAAAACCCTCAACCCTCAAATATCTGTATTCTGGAGAGCATTGGGCAGCATTGGGGTGACAGTTGCGACCCTGGAAATCGGGTGTATTTGGACGACAGCAATAGCTCCAAGGCTGGTGATAGTTGTAGTGGTTTGAGCGCATCTTATTTGCAATCAGTGTGTAGAAAACACCTCGGTGTTTTCTCTATTTTATCTCTTCTACTTTATATTCTCTGTTCACTGTCAGTACGCCCCACTATCATTTCCCCGGTCGCCGACGATATCCGAGGGTGGTTTGGGGTTGAAGCTATACTTCGAATTTTCTTTTTCTTCCCATTCCTCCCCTCTTCTACCAACCATTTGAAGATCCTCTCACACTAGAGCCCCCCCCTCTGGACGAGCTATGGCCTCCCATCCACAGTCAACATCCACAGCCATCGAGCTGCAGGACGTCCACCGCATCGATGAAAGAGGGGCAAGATCAACCATTGACACATCCCAAGCACCACCATCGGACGATGTAATGCAGGCCTCTCTCCTGGCCGATTCCCAAGTCCCCGAGGGCGGCTACGGCTGGGTTGTCATCTCAGGGTGTGCCGTGGTCACTTGGTGGTTCATTGGCACATCCTACTGCTGGGGGGTGCTGCAGGCGGCACTAGTCAAGGAGGGAGTATCGACGTCGTCCACGTTGGCGTTTGTCGGTTCCCTTGCTCCGGCTTGCATATCGTTTCTGGGCATCCTCAATGCAAGAGTCATCCGCAAACTGGGGACCAGGGTATCGGCGATGGTGGGCATGTTCCTGCTCGGCTTGGGCGAGGTTCTCAGTGGGTTTGCGATCAAGAATATTGGCGGCTTGTTTGCGACGGCTGGTGTGGTGATGGGCATTGGTATTAGGTAAATCAATTCGTCCCTCACCACTATGTATATCTCGTGCTAAGGTCAGGGCAGTCTCTGCTTTATGGTGGTTTCCATCACTCCGTCACAGTACTTCAAGGCTAAACGCGGCATCGCAAATGGCATCGTATATGCCGCCGGCGGACTTGGTGGTGCCGTCATCAGCTTCATTTTGAATGCGCTTCTGGGCAGTGTCGGCACGGCGTGGACATTCAGAATCCTCGGCTTCATCACCTGGGCTACCGGCTTGCCGGCGGCATACTTGATCAAGCAGCGGGTCGCCATTCCCCCATCGGCATTGGTTGAGTGGTATGTCATTGTCTTCCCATCAGCCGACCAGCACCTGATCTATATCTCTTTCTAGGCGTCTCCTTCACGACGCCCGGTTCGTTCTACTTTTCGCCGCCGGGGCGATCGCAACGTTCCCGCTCCTCGTGCCCCCATTCTTCCTGCCTCTGTATACCGACACCATGGGAATGGCATCGAGTGTCGGCGCAGGAGTAGTGGCTGCGTTCAATTTCTCATCTGCCCTCGGCCGACTTATGTGCGGATTCTGCAGCGATGCCCTCGGGCCGCTGAACACGTTGTTCGCATCTCTGTTGTTGAGTGCTCTGAGCATGCTGATCATCTGGCCGGTTTCGACATCCATTGGTCCTCTGATTGTGTTCGTGATTATCAATGGAATGGCGAATGGCGGGTTCTTCTCGACCATGCCTACCGTGGTCGGCACGGTCTTTGGCTCTGCCCGAGTGTCTGTTGCCATGGGAATGATTGTCACTGGCTGGGCAGGGGGCTACCTTCTTGTAAGTCTGGATACTTTTTTTTTAAAAAAAAAAAAAAGACAGGGAATCAATACTGACAGCTCAACTTCAGGGCGCGCCGATCGCAGGGTACATCTTGGATGCATCTGGCGGCGAGGCCAGTGGGATTAGCGCCTATCGTCCTGCCATCTTCTATGCAGGGGGCATGGCTATGGCTGCAGCTATCATGGCTATCTTCATCCGTCTTAAAACTGACATGCGACCGTTCAAAAAGTTATAGATTGTGACATTTGAGTGTGATATCGGATTCGGGCGCAAGTATAGAAGAGGAATAGATCGAGACGTCCATAGATCCCCAACGACAAAACTTGTTTATAGCTCAATCACTATCTGGATATTCTGGCTATTGAAACCCCCATCTCAATATCAGTCCACAGGAAGCAGCTGTAACTGATGAAGTTGAAGATGTTGGGTATTCACCCATTTCCTACCCGCGAATACCCGCACTCGAGGATACTCTCACGCACAATCAGCATTTAGAGGACATCGCCTCGAGTTTTATATCCCAATATTTATTTAACTTGCGAAATTCGGACCGACGGAAGTTATACCCAAAGAGGGTCTCCAGTTGGCGACAGCGTCACGATGCTACGAAGTACGCCGCATTCACCAGACCACTGGGTCCGGCATGGAACGCCAACACTCGGCAAATAGGCACTTTCCTGTCACTTCCACATACCTCTTGCAAGACCGAATCTCTCGAACATTCTTGAGCGATCAAGTTCATCTCTTATTCTTATCTCTTCACAATTTCATCTCCTACCGCATCCAACTTGATTGAGTTAAACCTCACGCGACAAATCCTCACAACTGTTACAATTTGCTTTCTCCGCAGGATGGGTTCGAAATCGGCCCTCGGCTATCTCCCACGTCTACGGCCATGTGCCAAGCCACATTTCTCCATTGTTCAACGAGCACATGTGCCCGCTGGCAGCTGGCTCGCGAGACATAGTTCGCACTCGCCGATGGGCAAGTCCGATGGGCCATCTCGCAAAAAAGTAACGACGCAAACGCTGCGAAGTCTGTATGAAAAGGGCGAGCCGATCAGCGTACTCACGGCGCACGATTTCCCCAGCGGACATGTCGCCGATGCAGCTGGGATGGAGATCGTGCTGGTGGGCGACAGCCTGGCCATGGTGGCGATGGGGATGGAGGACACGAACGAGGTGACCATGGATGAAATGCTGGTCCATTGTCGGAGTGTGTCGCGCGCTGTTAAGAGTGCTTTTACGGTGAGTTGCGAGTGGTGTTTTTCCCTTCCCCCTTTATCCGCGACATTCCGGGGAAACCATCCCAGAATGATATGATCGAACCAACTTGGATATGATCAACTTAACTAACTGCTGCACCGCACAGATGGCAGATCTCCCCATGGGATCTTATGAGTGCTCGCCCGAGCAGGCAGTCCAGTCCGCCATCCGCATGGTGAAAGAAGGCGGCATGAAAGCCGTCAAGCTAGAAGGCGGACAGGAAATGGCACCCACCATCCAAAAAATCACCCAGATCGGCATCCCCGTCATAGCCCATATAGGGCTGACGCCGCAGCGGCAGCATTCCATCGGCGGTTTCAGAGTGCAGGGGAAGTCTGTCACGGGCGCCGTCAAAGTCCTGCAAGATGCCTTGGCCGCGCAAGAAGCCGGCGCATTTATGGTCCTCATCGAGGCAGTGCCTCCGGAAGTGGCTGCCATTGTCACTCAGAAGCTTCGCGTTCCCACGATTGGGATCGGGTCTGGGGCTGAGTGCTCCGGTCAGGTATTAGTGCAGGTTGACATGACGGGCAATTTTCCGCCGGGCAGGTTCACGCCCAAGTTTGTGAAGACTTATGCCGATGTTTGGGGTGAGGCGCAGCGAGGTATCGAGGAGTATCGCCGCGAGGTGAAGGATCGGGCTTTTCCGTCGCCTGGTCATACGTATCCCATTAGCAAAGAAGCGTTGGCGGAGTTCCAGGGTGTTGTTGATGACATTTCTGTGAAGAAATAACCTTGAAAAGGTAAACCTGATATCCATACCAAACTCGGAGGAGGCTTTTTAAGTAGTACATATTATGGTTACAATTAAAGCGACCCATATATACATCTATTGTATTGTCTGTATAAAAAGCATGAAAATCTGGGGTGTTTTCAACCATTAAACCCCAATGGTTCAAAACTAAAGTAGATGAATTTGGAGCTCGCTGCACAAAACAGAGAAAACTTTCCCATATAGCTGAAATTTAAGTCCAATGCAGTTATCAACACAATTCAAATGCACTTTGTCAAACTCTGGGCTCCTCGCTCCGTAACCAAGAAGTATGTTATTCAAATTCCCTTGGACAATACAAACCAGATCCAGGGATGATACTCGGTCTCATCATCCGCCCGGTCAAGAAAAATAGGCAAATACCTTTCACGCCATTCATCCAGTAAGCCCCGATCAAAGGCCTCTTCGGCCAGATAAAGCCACCGTGCTTTGCACCACTCCCAATAGGTAGGATACCATCCCGATTAGGACCCAGTCGATAATCGCTGCCACTTTTGGGCTTGGACCAGGAGAAAGCATGATATTCGGAGGTAGAAGGTCATTGTGCTTCGCTTCTGGCTTCGATCCCACGGGTACTTTGGAATTGCTTCATGGCATCTGCTCCTCTCCAAGGACCTGCACACTCGGGGTGGCTAAAGAAGAAATTGTCCTGGAGTGGAGCATTATCAAGGCTGCCTAATATAGCTGCTGGTTAGATATATAGTTGATTTATTTAATAAAGCTGTTGTATCAAAGTGTTCTTACCAATATAAGATTCGGATGTATCCGGTTGGAGACCTCTCCATTGCTGAACCATATATTTCAGCTCGAGGGAAATGTTGTGTCTCTCATCGTCGTTCAGACCATCCCATCTCTTCATCAAAGTATCACCTTCGATCAGAGCCATGTAGATAAAAACTTGGCCTTTGTCTTCGGCCCAGCCAAAGACTTCGGGAATGGGCACTACATCTTTCAATGTATTGTGGACCATTCTTTGCGTTTTTGCCTCGACAATTGATATACCACGTCCGTATTTGACAAATAGACCCAATGACGGGATAGTAACAGGTGCCGCTCGCTCGAAATAGTTTTTCTTAAAATCACCCGACGCCTCGTTGATGGCCCTAATTTTGGCCGGCGTAGGGAGCGCAATTTCTTTGTTCGTTTGGAAGAAACTGGACTCGGGGAAGACTTCCATCGTGCACACTAATGGTCCTCTTAGAGATGAACTATATACGGTATGAAACCATGAACACCCAGGCTCTTGAAGTGGATCAGGCTAGTTTGGGGCTCTTCTTTCGTGGAAGAGAAAATAGGGGTTCAGCTGATTCGGATTCGGATTAATGCATGCTCCAGTGCAAGTCGTCAAATCACATATCAAGAAAGGTATCCCCCTGTAGTTAAGATGCATCGCTGCTAATCATATTTCTAAAACAGCTATATCCTATAGATCATGTCTAGGCCATAGTCAAGGAGTATGTAGACAGTAAAATAAAACATAAAATAAAACATCAAATAAAACATCAAATAAAACATCAAATAAAACATAAAATAGCATCTATAGATAGTCCCGCAATTGTTAAACAACAGCAAAGACAGGTTCCCAACTCAATGACACGGGTATACAATGGAATCTAGACCTACCCAGATAGTATATCCAATAAGCCCACCCAAGATCAACCACCTATATATACCCCTGGTCTCGGCCCCATGGCCCGGGCATCAGCAACAGGACCGACCGTTCCTGTCTCGGCGGTAGTCGGCAAGCAAATCGGCCCGACGCTCGAGACATCGCGCATGCAGTGCGTCAGGCGCGTGCACAACCCGACAACTAGGTGCAACAACTTCTCCATCTGGACATTTACATCCATGGATCCTTATCTAGGCAGTTACTTATTCACTGCATACATCATATAGCCTAAATATTACATCTACATGTTGTTTTTAAGATTAAGGACTTAACCATAACCGAGAGGCTCGAGCGTAAGAGGTTTCTAAAAAGATTGCAAGCTGGCAGGCGCTGACATTGGGTAAAGTGCAAAGATATGATACAAGCATGAACATCCCCATAGAAAAAAGTACAAGTACAAGCGCGCGTGCTGGCAAAATAAGCAAGAAAAGAAAAAAAAAAGCAGACAAAACATACTATTGACCGCGAGGTCGAAGGTCTAGGTTCCTCTGGTATCAGCCCATGCAATCCCATATAACAAGATCCGTCCCGTCTATGCCCAACGCCGTAAAGTCAAGAGTCAAATAAAAAGAAAAGGAAAGGAAAAACAAAGAGACAAACACAGAAATGACAGGAAAAAGAAAACGGGAAAGACACTTTTGAAAAGTCGAGCCGTGAGCTCTCGGTTGAGTCATGTCGGGGGTGAAGTTCAGGCAGAGAGAGATGTTGAGGTGAGGGGAGAAAAAGAGTCGAGGGCCCGGAATTAGAAGCCAAGTCAAGTAAGTCGAGGCATCGAAAGAGTAGTCGAAACAAGGTCAAAAAAAGGTATCCACGCTGGAATCCGAAATCGAGGTCGAACAGGATTAAAAAGGGTATAATGTCGCGCAAAGCCAGTGGCGGAGAGATCAAAAAAAAGATGTAAAGACCGAAAGAACAAAAGAGATAGTGTTACAGATCCATGGATATCTGGGAATGAGTTAGCTGCTGGTCGCTAAGAAAGAACCATATGTAAAGTGTAACTCACCGAAAGAGAGTAAACTCCGAAACGCAGATGCGTCAAACTCCAGCCACAATGGGCGCCAGATAATAACCGTTTTTTCCCCGCAGAGACAATACAAAGCAACAACATTCAAGGGTATCCGCGCGAATCGTTTTATTGTGGTGGTGGCGGAGGTGCGCCGGGCTTCTTGACGCCTGTCGTGTCGTAGGCGCCTCGGCCCATGTTGCAAGCCGACAAGTCTCGGAGAATCATATTGAGGTCTGCGTTGGAAGTCATGATTAGAGACTGGAAGAGATATAGAGACAAAGATATAACAAAATAAAGATGCTCTGGCGAATTCGAATGCGAATGCGACGCGCAGGGTTAAGAATGAGATGAGGAACTTACCAGGTAAACACCAAAGCCCGCGAACGGTTTATATACTTTTTTTTTCTTTTGAAATTCAGGGATTCGAGCACCAGACAAACGAACTCCCAATCCACCCCCCGAAGAAACAATAAAACGAATAAAAAAAAGTTATAGACAAGGATGGCGCGGATGTAAGATGCAGTCGAGATCGGGAAAGGCGATCCTTTTTCAAGGATGACTGCTGGAACAATGCGGGCGCCAACAGATCGTAGGGCAGGAATGTGACGACAGAGGGGCCGAAGAGAAGTAAATTGGTGGATGTTTTTTTTTTCTTTTGCAGGTCGGGTTGCCGCTCGTTGCTTTTTAATTGCGGATCGCGAACCGGATGTCTCTCAAGACAATAAAGCGAGAATATTCAGGCTAAGCGCGAGGGTGGCTGCAGCACCGGATCCATGAAATCGTGATCTGAACCAAGAAAAACGGCGAGGGATTGCGAAAAAGCTACGGCCGGCAAGGGAGGCCCTGGGAGGAAAGGAGAAGTGCCGCGGAAGTGAGTCCGGTCGATCCGGGACAAAAAAGCAATCGCAAGGGAGAAGGGAGAAAGAAGGGGAAGTTTCGGTAGGGGGCAAGTCGAAGGGAGGATTCAACGTAGTCAAGTATGTTGAGAGTAGGGAATTAAATAACAAAATCCGCTTACGATCGAAGGGGGGCGATTGCGTAGATATAGGATTCGGAGAGAGGCTAAGATGATCTTCGTTTTTTTTTTATTCTGATTTATTATTATTTTATTTAATTTCTGAAAATAAAATCAAATAAATCCAAATTACCATCCACGGATTCTCCATAATTTTCTTTGTTTAGCAAGCGGCTCTCCCGTCCCGGGGAACAGGAAGCCCCCTTTCTGCGGTCTCCAACGTCCGTCTTAAGTCAGTAGTGTTGCAGTAGCGCCAGGGCGATCGGGGCTGGTTTTTGCAATCAATCCAAAATGCCCAATTTTCCACTCTTGGATCCATCACAAGTGGTTCGTCGATGCATCTACTTGAGAAAAAGAAAAATCAGGACAAAGTACGAATATGTATCAGGTCTGAGAGCTCCAACTCATATATTACATAGCTAGTAATTCTCCAGCCTTTACAGTGGAGTCAGGGGAGCCGCAGCTAGGCACAGAAACGGATCCATCCGTAGACCTCTCGCGTGGTTGGGCTCCATTTACTAACCCTAAAACCAGGGGCTGACATGATACTGTACTTACTGTATAGTAGAGCTATCATCCCCCAGCCAACACTGTCCTCTTTTTTTTTTTTTTTTTTGTAAGACCAGTCGCAAAATTCAGCGAGGTTTCGGGAGTCTTGTTCTAGCCCATCTTCTTTACCATACTTCATCTCCTCAATCTGTCACACCTATCAGAACAAATCCAATCGTTCATGATGGCTGATCCCCCCCTTTGGCGCCAACCACGTTGGGAGCGAGACGCCGTGTTTGAATCAAGATCACGGCTTTCCCAATGATTCGGTTAGGGATCCATTCATCATAAGGGGGGTGGTGGAGTGGGTCCCCCGGGGCACTATCACCCAGTCAGGGCCAAAAAGCCCCCATATTCATTTTACGGAAGAGATGGTTTCCCTCCGTATTGATTACGTAGGAGCATTCTTTTGGTCTTCTAGCCTTTCTAGTTTTCCCGGGGGCTTGGGTCCGAAAGTACCCAGGCATGTATACTGTAAATCGGCGTAATGTCTATCGAAACATTCTGGAACTCCTTCTTTCTCCGTCCACAAGTGCAGGGCTCCACCCCCATATTGTATCCATATTGGTATCCCTCAGTAGTTCAGGGTACAGCTGTTGTCACACTGGAGTTCGGAGGACTTCTTACTCCATCTCTCTGCCGGGACGCCTCGGTCGCTGACTTTCTTACCCATGTGTTTTACCCCCCTGCCCAACGGGCTTCTCAGCTGGTTTCAGCCTTTCCCGCGGGGCCTGAAAGACATTGGGCGTCGTACCAAGAAGTTTGAGAGGGAAAGTTTGAGAAGACACGACATCTTTGTCTTACGCGCCTCGTGGTCGATGCCTAACGATCTACAGATGACCCTCCGACAACGAACGCCCCGGCAAGAAACCGCGCGCGAGATTCCGCGATGTCGGTTCCTGACACTGATCGTGTTTCGCATTTTATAGGAGAAAAACAAAAGTCGTTCAGCTACTCTCAGCCCGTCCAAACTCTGGTGGCGTTCGTTTCCTGGACACTCACACTCACACCCACCCGGCAGGGTAATACTACGTTTGGGAAACAGAATCGATGATCACTTCCCGTGGGCCACTTTCGCGGGAAATACAGGCCACAAATAATAGAGCAAATACGATTTCAATCGGGGAACAACCAGCTTCCTTTTCGTTCGGTGGGACCCCCCTAGCTAACCCAGCTCCATCACCTCGGGAAGGGCCCCCGTTTTCCATTACAGCTAGAATGGCGCTAGAAACGGGAGAACACTTTGGCTGGCGACCATTCTCTATCGGCAACTTAAACGGCCCTAGTCTTTCCGGCTATGATTCACTTTGGCCCCTTTCTTTTTTCTTTCCCGGTTGGGGCAGATAGTATGTGGGATTTGGATTTCACATGGGCGCAGGAATCAGGATTCCTTGGGGCATAACGGCGAAGAAAAAAGAAAATCCCAAGGTGCTGGTTCCTGGCTGAAATAGTTCTCCTGTTGGATCAATGAGTTCGCCACCAGTTGATGTGTTCCTCTCTCTCCCAGGCGGCTTGATGCATTAGTTCTTCGGCTGGAAAACAGGCTCGGGATGCTCCGTCGCTTGAACCGCGGTACAACAGCATCTACCATTTCTATCATTTGCTTTCTGGAACGTCTCCCGTCTTGGTTCCCTCTCTCTCTCTCTCTACACATCCCAAATCGGTCGATTCGACACCGCGTTTCGCAATTCCCGTCCGATATACATCAGATCGCATCGCATTCCCGCTACCCGTGCGCCTACATCCGATGCAGCGCGCTTACGGAGTGGCGCTCGCAGAGACAGGGGAGAGAGACTCGCAAAAAACGGTGTCGCGAAAGATGACCCGCTTTGATCTGGTCGATTGCATTGCATCCCAGGGGTAAGTCCCTGACTCGACGTCTATGCTGGAATAGAAAATAGATTCTATGGCGATCACTAAGCACTTTTTTTTGCTGATGACTATTCGGGCTACTCTGTCCTTTCAACAAGGTACTCAAATGAAATCAAATCATAAAAATTTTATGACAGGGCAGGGCCGAATCAAGCACGGCGCACTAGGACCGCGGAAGTAAACCCGGGCGATCTTGGTGGATTTTCAACCATTTCCTTGAGTTTGTTCCAGACAAGGAAAGTTTCTGGAAGGTCATACACCTTGTCTCTGCTTACTTCCAAGGTTTTAGGTAGGATAGAGTCCACTTAGCCCAAAGTATTCCGGTATCCCGCCAGCCGAGAGACTCTAGAAGAATCAGCTTCTAGCTACATAAGAAGCAGTTTCTATGCATTTACCCGAGATTCTGGAACTCGCATGATCCACGACTCTGAGGTCTGGAACCACCCGTAACTACTGTAGGAAGGTGGAAATGTAGACTTGATGACGAAGAGACAGCCTCGTCGCGCCCCCCCCTTTTTTTTATTTTTATGTTTTTTTATTTTTAGGGTCTCCAGGGCTTTGGGTCCCGAGAAAATCCAAGACGCAAGAGGACCCATGGAATAGCGACAATAACCTGATAGCAGATGCTGAACGAGCCAGCCGGAATGCTTCCTAGGAAACCCCCCGGTGGGTTTGCCAGCTCGACCCGATTTCTCAACTAAACTCGCAGCTGCCAGGAGAAAGATGACGATCGCCAATGCTCCACGGCCCGACATCCACTGTGTCGGGATCGATCGGCCTTTTTTTTCTTTTTTTCTTTTTCTTTTTTCCCGTTCTCGCTTTCCCCCTGACTGGTACTTTTGCGCGGACTTGATCGCCCCCTCCATCAGTATCTATCAGTATCTATCAGTGTCCGAGATGTGACGCAGCTTATTCTGAAGCACGGGGGCAGATGCTGATGATAATTCTTACAGATGGATCAAGCCACAGTGCAATGCAGTTACACTTTCATGGGCGAAGGGAGGGCGATGACCCACTGGGCACTCTCTCTCTCTGCATAGGACCCGACGGGATCCTCAACCAGGCATCCGCCACCACTGGAGCTCGAACGGGAGCTATTCCCTGTCAGACTAACGCCCGGCAGTGGAGATGATGTGCCCCGAAAGCTGTGAGGTTGGGAGCCCCTGGGAAGGAGATCCTGTCGTTCGCCCAGTGACTCGGGAAGGCATGTTTGGGAATATGACACACAGCCCAACAAAATGAAAGAAACAGCTGTGGGTATTATGCACCATGTCGATCGCTGCGACTTTGTCCGTCCTCATTTCTCGGATGTATACGCCGTCATTTGACTGGACTTGACTTGCATCGACCGATCGATTTGCTGCAGGATGCAATTGTCTTTTTGTCTTTGATGCAGTCAATACATACATTCAGACAGAGACAAACACTGAGAATATGCAGCGGGAGCTTGCTAGTCTGCAGATCATCTCTCCCTCTACCATGGTTCGGGCATCGCGATCTCACAGCTGCCCCGGGCGATCCCCGATCGCGATGCATGTTCTTAGAATTAGATTGATTATTATTATTTGCGCTCGGCCTTCAACCCTAACCCCTGGGAAACGGAAGGGAGGACCGTGGAACTGGCTTCCCCCCGATGCAAGCTATCGACTCCGACACGGTGGATTGGATACATCACATACATCCTGTCTCTTCTTTCTCTTGACTTCCCGGATGTATCCATAGAACCACTGTTATACATATGTACGGGGAACTCCGAATCCTCGGCAGATTTCAATCTGCAAAAAAAAAAATGGCTGCATTATTGGAATGCAGGACCCGGCCCTTTCTCCCCGAAGAATGACATGGCGTGAACTGCCCACCAATTCAACAGTATACCTGTCACCCCCAGCCACTGTTTATTTCCCGAGGCTGGAGAATGCCAATCTGTCACATCCGACCTAATTTCAAATATGTACAGACACTACTGTACATACATGTAGTTAATTTGACAGCATCGACTCCATTCTTTGTATGTTTGTGTCTCCCCCGCGGAATACTCAAGACCGCGCACAAACGCAGTGATACGCCATTTCGAACTGTGAGGAATCAATCAAATCAGCCTATACAACCGTGACATTCATGCTTTCGAGTCTGTACAAAAAAAAAAAAAAAAAAAAAAACCCACCTGCTCATTGGTCTGACAAATAAGCACCCGCGGCCCCTTGCCGCCTCCTCCTTCTCCCTTGGAGATATCCTTCACAGTCTGGTTCTCGTCCGGCCCCTTGTCGTTAGCCACCGAGTCGATCGCCATGCCAAAACACGCACACTTCTCCGCCAATATCCGGCGCAATAGTGCACTTTTCTCGCCAATGCCGCCGGCAAACACCAGCCCGTCGACCTGCCCACCCAACTTGGCGTAGTAGTTGCCGATATACCCCAGCATGCGGTCGACCAGGATGTCGAAGGCGAGCTGGTGGCCTGCTGAGGGGGGCTTTTCCACGGCGATTTCGCTAAAGTCTGTCGTGCCGGTTAGGGCTTTCCAGCCGGATTTCTTGTTTAGGATTTCTTCGGCCTGGGGAGGGAGCAGAGATACAGATTGATTAGTTTTTTTTTTTTTTTGTTTCGCCAAAGTCAATGGGCTGTGGGCTTAGGTGATTACCGTGCTGATGTGCATTTCTTTGGTGCTGCTCGGGCTCAGATTGCTGGCTTCGTTGGTATAGTGGAAGACTAGACTAACAACATGATCCAAGTAAGCAACTATATCTATGATATACTGCAAGGATATGGCAGATACACTCACGAGGGATCAATGTCGCCGCTGCGTGTAGCACCAGGCAGTCCGGCCAAGGGAGTGAGCCCCATACTAGCCATATCATCAGTCCTGACTTCGAATTTGATATTTGAATGGTTAGGACATACGAAGTGTCAATTGATTTGCCTTCCTTGATGGCACAAACCGAAGCTCCGCTCCCGATATGCATGGCAATCAAATTGGTTTTGTCTTGCGGCTTTCCCAAGAACTCGGCCACGGACCGTAGAATAAACGAGTAGCTGATCCCATGGAACCCATACTTGCGCAGCCCGTTGGCCTTGGCGACCTCCTGGTCGATGGGGTACGTCTTGACGTAGGCGGGCAGGGTCCGATGGAACGCCGTGTCGAAGAACGTGACGCTCTTGACTTTAGGCAACTCTGATCTGCAAAGACGGATAATTTCCAGCGCGGAAAAGTTGTGCCTAAGTTCGAGAATGGTGTCAGTGAAGCATCCCGATAGCCCACGACTAGCGAAGGTAGGTATTGTCAATGTATAAACATCACTTCCACATACAGCGGCGCAAGGTCCTCTAATGCTTCCAAATGATGAACTGTCTCGTCGGTGATTTCCACCGCTTCGTGATAGTCGCCGCCGTGAACGACTCGGTGGCAGATATACGACAGATCTTTGTCACTGGCGACCTCCGATAGCTCGGGGTCGTTGAAACAGCGCTGCAGGAGGTACTTGAATGCGCCCTGCGGCGTGTTCAGCTGCTCCTTCAGCTCCTCCTTGTGTTTCGAGGCTCCCCGCTGATACTTCAGCATCGAAGGCGGTGCCGTGATCCCTGATACCTGTGCGTCGGCAATTGTCTTGGGTGGGTTGTCGAATGTATAAAAGGTGATTTTAACAGACGACGAGCCGGCATTGACGGCCAGAATGGACTTGGCCATGATGGATATGGAGTGTTCAGCAGTTGCTATTTACTTGAACATAAAAGTAAAAGCCATTGTAATTAACAAACCACGTCGAATAGAAGCGCTGTGTCGACTGTCGTTGATGATGTCAGGATGTTGACGGGTGACGTCGCCGACGGGCGAAACAGGTTGGATTCAACAGCCCAAGCTGGATGGCATGATCCGGCAGGCAAGTATTTGTCCTTTCACTTGAGTATTTTTTTTTTCCCTTATCACTTTACCTTGAATTTTTTTGAAATCTTTTCCCTTCTACACTACCTCCCCGCCAAGCTATTATCACCCGCCAACTATGCCCGGCGAAGTCATCGACCGGCCGAATCCGCAGCCATTACCGTCGCATCTGCCCGATGGTCTAGAGAAACTGAGCATCAAGCTGTCTCACGAGACGCTGGATCCCAAGGCATGCGATGGTCTGTTCAAGTACCGGCGCGCGGCTGCTTACATTGCTGCGGGTGAGAAGCTATAGTTCATCTCTAGAAACATATTTGGGAATCATGAAACTAAGACACCTCCCAGCAATGATTTTCTTGCAAGACAATACACGCCTGGAGAGAGATTTGACTTTCGATGATGTTAAGCCTCGATTGCTCGGTGTGTCGCGTCCCATATTTAACATTCCAAGTCATATACATAACAGGCCATGAACTCATACCACATCCTTGCAAGGCCACTGGGGAACATGTCCCGGCCTCATCTTGGTCTATTCCCATTTAAACTATCTCATCCGGACGATGGATCTCGACATGCTCTATGTCGTCGGCCCAGGCCACGGTGCGCCGGCGATTCTGGCCGCGCTGTGGCTGGAAGGCTCACTGGAGAAATTCTATCCCCAGTACTCGCGCGACAACAGCGGACTGCACCGGCTGATTTCAACGTTTAGCACTACTGCTGGTTTTCCCAGGTCATTCATTCTATTCACTTCAACACTGTGATCTTTATCATTCAAACTGACACTTTTTTTCAGTCACATCAATGCTGAAACCCCCGGCGCCATCCACGAGGGCGGAGAACTGGGCTACGCCCTCTCGGTATCCTTCGGTGCCGTGATGGACAACCCGAATCTGATTGTTACCTGTGTAGTTGGCGACGGGGAAGCCGAGAGCGGCCCGACTGCAACGTGGGTGTATCAGATTATGATCATTCGAGCGGCATTCTGACAACAGACAGGTCCTGGCATGCAATCAAATATATCGACCCCAAGGAATCTGGTGCCGTCCTGCCCATACTGCATCTGAATGGATTCAAGATCAGCGAGCGCACCATCTTCGGATGCATGGACCAGAAGGAGCTGCTGGCTCTGTTCAGCGGCTATGGGTACCAGGTCCGCTTTGTCGAGGATCTCAATGATATCGATACCGATCTTCACTGCTCCATGGTCTGGGCTGTGGAAGAGATCCGGAAGATTCAGGCGGCTGCTCGGGCTGGGAGGCCTATCCTCAAGCCGAGATGGCCGATGCTTATTTTGCGCACTCCTAAGGTAAGCTCTTTCTTTCTTGGATTTATAATGTACACATTCGTATCAGCAGGTTAACTTATCTGCTAAAAGGGATGGTCCGGCCCAAGACAGCTCCACGGCCAATTCATCGAAGGCTCGTTCCACTCGCACCAAGTCCCATTGCCCAAAGCCAAAACCGACAAGGACCACCTAGACCTGCTCCAGAAATGGCTGGCAGACTACAAACCAGGCGAGCTCTTCACACGGGACGGTGACATCATCGACGAGATCAAGACCGTGATCCCGGCCGACAACGCCAAGAAACTGGGCCAGCGCATCGAGGTCCACGGCAGCTATATCGCGCCCAAGCTCCCGGACTGGAAGATGTTCGGCGTGCAAAAGGGCCAGAAGGAGAGCGCCATGCAGGCCATCGGCAAGCTGATCAACGAGGTCTTTGTGCTGAACCCGCACAGCGTGCGGTTGTTCTCTCCGGACGAGCTGGAGAGCAATAAGCTTGATGCTGTGTTTGATCAAACTGGCCGTAACTTTCAGTGGGATGAGTTTGCTAATGCACGCGGCGGCCGGGTCATCGAGGTGCTGAGCGAGCATATGTGCCAGGGCTTTATGCAGGGGTATACTCTGACGGGCCGGGTGGGTATCTTTCCGTCGTATGAGAGTTTCCTGGGGATTATCCATACGATGATGGTGCAGTATGCTAAGTTCATTAAGATGGTAAGCTGTTGTTATTGTGTCAGGATGTTTGGCTGTCCCCACGGGGTGTACTCACCTTGACTTTGATGCAGGCTCAAGAAACAACATGGCACTGCGGCATCAGCAGCATCAACTACATCGAAACAAGCACCTGGACACGGCAGGAACACAACGGATTCTCGCACCAGAACCCGTCGTTCATCGGTGCCGTGCTGAAGCTCAAACCAACCGCCGCACGCGTGTACCTGCCACCAGACGCCAATACCTTCCTGACAACGGTGCACCACTGCCTCAAGTCCAAGAACTACGTCAACCTAATGGTGGGCTCGAAGCAGCCCACGCCAGTGTACCTGACCCCCAAGAAGCAGAGAACCACTGCCGCGCAGGGGCATCGGTATGGAAGTTCTGCAGCACGGACGAAGGACTGAACCCAGACGTGGTGCTGGTGGGGATCGGCGTCGAGGTGATGTTCGAGGTAATCGAGGCAGCAGCGCTTCTACGGCGGCGCATCCCGGCGCTGCGTGTGCGCGTCATCAACGTCACGGACCTGATGATCCTCGAGAACGAGGGCGTGCATCCGCACGCGTTGTCGACCGAGGCCTTTGATAACCTCTTTACGGCCGACAGGCCCATCCACTTCAATTACCATGGCTACCCAACTGAGCTGCAGGGCTTGCTCTGGTGTCGCCCGCGTCTGGACCGGATCTCTATTGCCGGGTACATGGAGGAGGGTAGTACCACCACCCCCTTCGATATGATGCTCGCCAACCGCACCTCGCGCTTCCATGTGGCCAAGGCGGCTCTTCGAGGGGCTGCGAGGCGTAATGAGAAGGTTCAGGTGCGGCAGCATGAGCTGGCCACGGAGATGGATCATGATATCGTCAAGACGAGGAAGTATATTATCGACACTCACAAGGGTTAGTTGCCCCCGGCTCCTGTCTGTATGTCTGTCATGGGAGAGTAGTGACATGCTGACTTGTCTTTCAGATCCCGATGACATGTATGCCATGCCCAAGTTCGACTAATTTGCAGGAATTCATCCATCAATGGGCACAGAATTGGAGGAATGGAGGAAAGCCAAGGCGTTTATTCGAGCACGTCTTTCAATGATCTTTTTGTTCTGAAAAAAAATCTGTAGATATAAATCAATGAGATTCAATTCCACGTTGCAGCCAAGTAAACCATCAAATTCCAAGAAAATCACCAGGCCGTGTGTCCCCCATCGACCTTCAAATCCGCCCCGGTCATAAACCCACTGCCATCGGCGAGCAGAAATACCGCCGGCGCTCGGTACTCGTCGGCAAACGACAGCCGGTTCATCATGTTCAAATCGGCTATATTCTTCTCGGCGTCCGGGAAAGCCCGCAGCATCGGGTTGAGCATCCCTGTCTTGATGTATCCTGGACTGAGGGTGTTGACGCGAATCAGCGGGAATCCAGCCTGGCTGCTCCACTCCTTGGCGAGCGAACGACCAAGTCCAATAGTGGCAGCTTTGGACGATTCGTAGTCGGCGACGTCGGAGCCCTATGTACCACACGGCAGTATACCTTGATTAGCGGGATCCCTCTCTCTGTGTGTCTGCCATCCTTACCCTCATCGCCACAGATCCCGCCATACTCGCAACCAACACCATACTCCCACTCTGCCCATGCCGGCGCATCTCGCGCGCAGCCGCCTGCGCGACCAAGAATGTCCCCGTGAGATTCACATCTAGCGTGCGCCGGAACTTGGCGACGTCAAAGTTGACCGCCGACGTGCTATTGCCGATGCCCGCGCAGGCGACCACGCCACGCAGCGGGTACCGCAGACGGCGTAGACCCGCGAAGACAGCGCTGATACGGTCGGCGTCGGTGACGTCGGCTTGGTGGTAGGCGATTTGGGTGCCGTGCTGGGCGGCGAGGGACTCGAGACGGGCTGGATGGTTTCATGCGGGTAAACAAAGTTTGTCCTTTTGGTGTCTTTTGCTGCATCCACGCCTTGGTAGACGGGAATGAATCATTGTTGCTTCGTTACATACCCCATGGCTCGGCGGGCGGCGTCTCCCGCAGATCGAGGCATACCACGTCGCCCCCGGTTTCCAGCACGCTCTCCGCCACTGCCAGGCCCAGGTCGCCTGCTCCACCGCTGACTGCGAAAGGATCCGGGTCAGAGATAAGTGGCTGTGCGATGGTCGGAGGAAGAAGAAGGCTCACTCAGCACGGTGCGGCCGTCTAGCCGGAATAGCTGCGCGGTAGTCATCTCTGGGCCACCGAGACGGGGTTTGATGTCTCTTCGGTCGGCCATAGTTAGGAAGGATATGAAAGTGAGTCTCACGTGGTTAGAAATTGATGATAATGATGATAATGATGAATGTATGCCAAATGCCGGCGAGCGAGCTGCCTATATTTACCGAGATGGACACATTCTTGGGATCGCGCGTGTTTGGGGCCAGAGCCACTTGCATACCAATAAATAGTCCATCCAACAGCTCTGGAATATGGAAGTTAGTTCAGATGATGAGTCTCATGCAGGGGAGACTCCATGGATAGATCTATGGATATACTCATCATATCCATGAAAATCATGACAGAATGATATGCATCTCAGCCTTGAAGTATACAAGGGACGTAAAGACAGCCCGCGAGGGAGCAATCTGGGGACGAGGGGCCGTGATATCAACACCTCCAGCATGTAGTAAGTTCTGTAGAACAAGAATAGAAGAGCGCGTAAAGCAAGCCAAACACCCGAATCCCGTTGCTTGGCATATTTCCTGCGCTAAACCATAACAGGCTAGTCTTGCGAGAGCGCGAGCAGTCGGCCCGATCAGATTTTTGCCGACGAGTCATGTCCATCACAACATTCACAATATTGGAGCCATGAAGGAATTATCATGCTTCTGTTGCTTTCTGTGCTTAATGCTATCTTCCATAGGGCAGAATATTCTGGTCCCGATCCACTGCCAACCAATTATTGCCTTTTTTTTTTTTTGCCTTATTCTTTCTTGCTAAGTCTCGGCCGGTGTTCCATTCTATGTAGTTATCCCCGAGTCAGAATGGACCGGTCGGGTTTCGTTACCTCCGATGGCCAAGGTCTTCGCTGTAGATCTAAAAGACCCTCGTGGCCCCCTCGCAAGGTCTTCCTTGGAGGTTAGTGCAGCTTGTTATCCGTGCCTTCGTTTTCTTTTTTTATATACTTCGGGCTGCAGTCATTCCCGCCTTATAATTTGGAGTATTCCTTCTAATCTGGACGCCTGATTCCTTTCTTTTTTTTTTTTTTTTATTTTATTCTCCTCGTTTCTATCATCTTTTAATAACTATCCGCATCTCTCGCCATCACCCACGTTTCCTATCTGTCGATCCCTACGAAGACTACCCCTCGACCTCCGTTTCTTTCCCAATTTTATTTCAATCTAGACATCTCCGTCTATAAAAGCAAACCGCCAAATCAAGATGATGTCCAAACAAGAGCTCGGAATGGGCTGTAAGCCCTTATACCCGGGCGTGTCCGTGTCTTATGGATATGTCCCCACGCTGGGTGCGGGCATTGCCTTTTGCACGCTGTTCGGACTGTCGATGATCCTCCACACGGCGCAATTCTGCTGGAAACGCACATGGTGGTGCAGCGTGTTTAGTATCGGGGCGATGGGTGAGTGGCATACCCTCTGGCCGACCCCATCGACGAGAATTATCACTCACTCACATGCAACAGTCGAGGTGCTGGGATGGGCCGGACGAACATGGTCGTCAAAATGCCCGTATAATTCAAATGCATTTCTGATGCAGATCTCGACGCTGATTATCGGTGAGTTGACGGTGAACACACACAGAGAGAGAGAGAGAGAGAGAGATAAAAGAATAAGGTTGCCGCCGTAACCCTAACTAACACCGTCACAGCCCCAACCTTCTTCACAGCGGGTATCTACGTCCTCCTGGGCCGTTTCATCCAAATCCTCGGCCGCGAATCCTCCATCCTGAAACCAAGCCTGTACCTCTGGATCTTCTGCACCTGCGACGTGATCTCGCTGGTCGTGCAAGCCATCGGTGGCGGCATGGCCTCGGGCGAGTCCAACAAAGTCAACGGCAACACGAAGCCCGGCACCGACGTAATGGTCGCGGGGATCGTGTTCCAGCTGTTCTCGATTACCATCTTTGTGCTGTGCGCTGCCGACTTCATCCGCCGCTCGATGCGCCACCAGCTGCTACAGAGGCTGTCTGGGTCTGTGGTGCCGCTCTTCGCTGCTATGCTGCTCTCCATCGTCTGCATCTATATTCGGAGCATCTACCGTACTATTGAGCTGTCGCAGGGCTGGACCGGGTATTTGATTACCCATGAGTCGTACTTTATTGGTCTTGATGGCGCCATGATGGTTGTTGCTGTTGCTATCTTCAATGTTTTGCATCCTGGTTGGCTGTTGCCCAGCAGTGAGTCGGTTGGTGAGAAGAGGGATATTACTTCTTCGGCGGATGGGGAGGAGACGAATGGTGTCTCTTCTTCCCAGCTTTGATTCTTTTTCTGTCTTGGATTTGGCATATTTTTACTTCATCTGTGCATGTTTTGCTTCATAGACACCTGTATTCACGTCTTTTTGGAAGCCCATGCACATACTTGGGCGTGGTGGCCTTTCGATCATTTAGCGTTAATGGCCATAGACTTGTAATTAACATTGTGTACTCGACGCATATACTAAGGTACCGGATCCGAAAAACGAAACACCAGCGTAAGGGTAATCGATGTGGTTTCAAACAGAACACAAGAAAACGCAGTTGAAAGCAGGCCCCAAAATAATCAACAGAACACAATCAACAAAGTAGAGGGAACTCCACCTCAAACCCACAATCAAACAGCAGAGGAATCCGTCAACACCCTTTCCATAACACCTCGCTTGGGATATTACAGATTTATACACCATCCACAGCTTCAATCCATCCAAAGGTAGCCCCCACAGTCAGCGTTGCGACAGCCCAGACGGCTCCCCAGGCAGAGGCGCCTTCGACCGAGACACTGCGAATAGTACCCGCCACCTGTACGATGGTATTGAGCAGCACCGCGGTGGTAAGAACCGCCGTCCGAGATACGAGAACGCGCGTCTTCTTCGACAACTGGCCCCAGGATTTGTGGTAGAGGCCCACAATCAAGTACTCGCCCTCATGAGGCGTCGGCGGTGGCGTCGGTTCAGCAGCACCAGTCGAGTTGCCTGCAGAGCTCACGAACAAGAAGTCGCGCACGGCCCAGCCAGCAGGGACGAGCGTCAGAAAGAGCACAGGCAGGCCTGCCGGTCCGGCATGGGCGGCACTGATATCGGGGATGCTCTCAAAGTGCACGACAAGTTGTGCCGGTAGCCAGCTTGCGTAGCTGGCATACAGCACGACGGTGAAGATGGAGGTTGCGGCGAGAGTCGTGTAGATCGTGGTCAACCGATCTTGCAGAATGGACCGGTTGGCGACCGCGTCGGTGGCGGCATGGGAGAGATCGTGGACTGATGCGGGCCGGCGCAGGAAGATGAACGGCACGGCGGACGAGGCGACTGTGATCGTGTAGGACACTAATGCCGAGGAGGGGCGCACACCGTAGAAAAATGACAGGAGCGAGTATGTGGGCAGATGGGTCAGGAACAAGAACGATGCCACATCACGGCCTGCGCAGCAACTCGAATTAGTTCTCGGTATCTCTCCAATGAATCTGCAGAGCCTCGATCTCAAGGCAAGGGGGAAGAGCCTACCGTCGAATCCCAAGCTCCAAACCAAGCCGATCTCCACGGCCCTCCAAGCTATCAACCCCACCACTTCCCACCACTCCTCTAGGTGCTTGCTGACCAGTCCGAGGTCACCACGCGTCAAGCTGGATGTGAGCGTGAAAAAAACCGAGCTGGCAAGGAGGCTGCCGAAGACTACCAGCACAAAGCGGGCGGGCGAGGGGATGTGTGCCAGTCGAGACGTCAGCGCAGGGGCCATCACCGCCGCCTTGAGCTGATCGCGTGCGGGCTGCGCGCTGCCATTGCCCGACGTAGTTTTCTTTTTCGGAGGCATCCTCGGTCGCGAGATCAAACGGGACGTATTTGAAAATTGCACAGCTGTACGGGTTTGGCTTGAGCAAAGCTGAAAAAAAAAAAAAAAAAAGAGAAAAAGAAAAAGAGCTGGAAGGTGGAATGTTGTTTGCGGTGAGCGTGTGATGATGTCACGACGCGAGAATACAAGAATTGAAGAAATGCCATTTCTACGAGGCTCCATCATAATATACAACCAATTGACCCACTCCTCTAATCCTCGTAGTCTTCGTTATTCTCTCGCTCGGCGACAGCAAATTCCACTGTCCCGCTCTCGCGTCCCTTGTTGTCCCGCACAACGACCCGGTACTTGCCTTGGTCCCAGAGGTCCTTGATGGTCAGCTCGCGAGTGCGACCAAGGCTCTCGATATCTCCGATGCGCTCCAATGTACCCTCCAAGTGCTTGTCGAATCCGGGTCTAGAGCAGATCTCCCGGAATGCATGCTGCATGGGCACCGAGTCAGCTCGCACCATGGCCCGTGAGTCAATGGTGAAGATGTTCTCGTGGTCGTAGGCCTGGATGAAATCGGCGCGAGTCATGATCTCACGCGCTTCGTGGAGCGGGATCTGGGGTAGAATATGCCCTCTTTCTGGATCGTAGCTCTTTTGGTTTTTATTTTCGAGGTCTACCAGAGCCTTCGCCAGGACCATCGCAGCAGACTGTATTGTGTTTGTTAGTACGGTGCTCTGGTGATGTTCGGGGGAGTATGGAAACCACTCACAGAATACTTTTGCTGATCCATCACGTCGTCGTCCATCTCCTTGCCAAGGATCCAGCACTTGTTGAGCAACCATGTTTTCTCTGCCTGGCAGATCTCATCGCAGGTCTTCGCGACATCGTTGGACTTGGCAACTCGGTTCAAGTAAGACAGGCGGCCGCCCACTTTGTTGTAGACATCCTCGAGAGTCGAGGACGAAAGGTTCTCGTTCCAGAATTGATTGCGATATTTTTTCAGGGCAGCCATCGCCTTGTCTTTGGGCAGATCTGTTACAGGGATGATTTCCATCCGCTCCGCATAGCGTTTCAAGCGTTCATATACCCAATAGTCGTCGCTGTTGAGAACTTCATTTTATGGCGCTGTGGTCAGCGGTGTTCGGCTGAATGGTTTTCCATAACTCACTGGTCGTGACCAAACCGCTCGCGGCCCATTGTTCGGCCCGCTGCTGGATCATCTCCAGCAGATCCTGTCCGTCATGGTCATCTCGAACCAGGTGAGCGCTATTGACGATCAGTACCAATGGCGGCGAGCCGCCGCGTCTTCTGGCCATCGCCACCTTCTCCAGCTTGTTGAAGGCCCGTTCGATGTCCAACAAGGCCGTAGTATCTCGCGGGCCGCGAATACTAAAAGGCTTCCAATGTAGCTGTGTATACCAGTTAGCGCTTCATTTGGATATATTGACACTGAAAACGGCATACTCTTCGTGGAATTCAAAGTCCAGCGCCTTTCCCAGTCGGATCCGGAAAATCTCGAGGTCGGCGTGCGCTTCAAACATGGCACAGCCGAGCCCATTGATCTTGCGCATCCCTTCCAGAAGCATGGATGTCTTTCCCGTGCCCTTCTCGCCGATCATGAGATAGTAGTGGCCGCCGACGCGCCCCGAAACGATATCGTCGATCAGGTGTTGCTCATCCCGGACGACCCAGGGCTCCTCATGGCGGTAATGCTGCTTTCCGGACACGACGCCCGCAACCTCCAAGGCGGGATCACCGGGGTTAAATGCGTTGTCCATCTTGTACAAAATCAAGTACTTGTAGTACCGGTGGTACGAATAGCCCGCCGCCCTGTGGGCAAGGTTAGCTGTATTTCTCGTGCCATCGCGACGAAATCTTACCCTAGGATGGCAATTGAAGCTGCCGTAGTAGCTGCAGTTTCGAGCATCTTCAGAATCGTAGATTTGAAGTTCGGATCTGAATCGCTGCCGCGACTCCGGCCCTTGTCCTCGTCTGGATCATTCTGGTCCGTTGGGTCCGGGGTGAATTGGCCGGTACTTTGGGGATTGCTAGAATTGAACCGCTTGGGCATGGAAAGTACAGTTCGGTTGTTATAGCCGAGTGGCCTTGACAGGCCCTGTCGGACAACGCACGACCTCAGGGGTTGTGCCAGTCGGTTCCATAGCATCTCGATTTTGTCGCTTGGCGTTGGTACACGGTGTATCAGTGTATCACGCCCTTTGCCCAGACACGGTGTCTGAGCAAAAATACCTCGCTCAGAAAGTCAAAAACACCACGTGGATCTGCAGATCAAGGCTGATCTGATAAAAGAGGAATGGTAAAAAGAGTGTACTACTCGACTTGTACAGCCGCTGCTCAATGCAAAGCCACGCCACCTAGGGATGATTCGTAGGGGGGAAATGAATGTATCAGTGAGAAGGAATAATGAACAAGAAGGCAAAGGACACAAAAGAGAGATATAATGAGAGACTGAGGGTATACAGAGAAGTGAAGTTGAGAAGGAAGATTGTGGCTGAGTTGAAGGGTGGAGCCCCCAGCCTCAGCGCGGGCGGTGGAATCGGGCACTGAGTCGACTATACAACACGTCCACTTGGCAGATATTTTCTAACCATGTTTAAGAATTAAACGGTGAGGGAGATGGACTGATCGTGTTTCTATTTGGGTTTCAGATTTTTGGTAGTATGTAGAACTTGTAACATTGAACAATTTACCATCCATGGACATCCCAAACTATGCTATGTCACGTCTCCATGTGTCAAATATATCTTGAAGCAGAATCATTTTCGACTACACCCAAAAACTAGTCAAATGGATCAACGAGAGCAGTCAATTAGTTCAACTAGCTTGTCCGGTTTATTGCTACTTTTTCTGGGTGTAATTGAAGGTGGTGATGCCTGACTATATACATCAAGATCTAGTTCTGAAGTATCAAAAAGATCCAAAATGTATTACGGAAGAAAATGAAGTACAATTCAATTCATAAGTCTGTTCCATTTGGACACATACTTGAATTCTCATTGATTCTTGTATGCTTTTGTATACCCATTCTCGTCCATACATACTTGTTCGGCAAGCGGAGATAGCATAGATAAGTGTGGCCTAGGACTGGACATATGAAAACTGATGAATATGCCAGACCCGCGAATATGCCAGTTCCCAGAGACCTGTCTCCCTGCAAATTGTCCTGGATGTGGAGCACCGGGCTCTCTCTCCGCGGTGGCTTCCCCGAACCCACCGCCCGAGCGCTTCCGAGGATATTCACCCGCGAAATTTTCTCTTGCCCGATTTCCCCGTTCCACCGCGACTTTCTCGTTTCGAATTCCCTTTCTTTTTGCATTTTATCTCTTTGGGGTACGGGGTTTTTTGTCTTTTGGTGTTCAATTGCCCTCATTGTACCATAGCAAATTCCTTTCTCCCTGCCGAATCTCCCCCGCGGGTCGTGTATTTGGATTGTCTCGCACCAACGGTTGTGAGATAGCGTCTGGTTGCATTTTCCGTGTCGGAGCTTTACTGTCCACCGACTAGACATAATGGCGCAGACCAATGGGGAAATGGAGCACTCGAAAGGTCCGTTGGCCCTGTCTCGAAGCCCCGAGTGGCCACCACAATACACCCAGCATCGATACACTTGCTGATCAGAGGAAACAGAGACTCCCCAGGAGCTGACGAATGGAAACAATCCCGAAAGTGCGGAGGAAGACCCCAACGCAGGCGGTATGTCGAGTTTCTGGAGACAGGATTGTGTGGCGGCACTCTGACTTGGTTCAAGGTCTCTTCCAGATTTCCGTGAAGCTTCCTCATGCGCCATACAAGATCCAGGTGATGGTTGGTAATGAGTTGTGTGCTATTGCAGTAGAGAGAATTTCTCTGACTCATTCTGTTTATCTCAACAGGTCTCGAGCCAAGAACAGGTTCAGGATGTCCGTCAATCCGTTGTTGAGCTGCCGGGAACCTTCCAGTACACGTGTTTCCATCTGGAATTCAACGGGAACCGCATCAACGATTTCGTCGAGCTGTCCGAGGTGCCGGATCTGAAGGCGGACTCCGAGATTGTGCTGGTGGAGGACCCCTACACTGAGAAGGAGGCCCGCATGCATGTTGTTCGGATGAGGGAGCTGGTCGGTGCTGCGGCTGACCGGGTTGACAACCTCCACGGTATCTCGGCAGGCTTGTCGCTGCACGACTCGATCTCGGCGGAGGCAGAGAATGCCAATGCATCGGAGAAGGATCACTCGCTCTCCAAATACGACTTGACAGGTGCCTCGCCACTCCAGACGATCCTGCCTCAGCCCCAGGGTCCCCTTCCTAAGACGGTGAAATCGATCTCGCTGTCACCGTGGAACCCGGCCCCGTACCACCTTCGCCAGAAGGGCCACCTGCTCTATCTCCAGGTCACCACCAACGAGGGGGAGCAGTTCCAGATCACCTCTCACGTGTCCGGGTTCTTCGTCAACAAGTGCTCGAACAGCAAGTTCGACCCCTTCCCGAAGCCGATGCCCAAGAAGGCCAACGCCCACTCGCTTCTTACCCTGATCTCCCAGCTGTCGCCCTCGTTCAACACTGCTTTTGAGGCTCTGCAAGAGTCCAACAATCAGAAGGATCTCCTGACGACTTTCCCCTTCCAGAATGCCATCCCGAACAGCCCGTGGCTTGTTCCGTCGGCTTCTTCCAGCCTGAACGCCCACCAGCCCGACATCACTCGATCGCAGGAAAACTACTTGATCTCTGGTGTCGACAACGCGGAGACCCTGCGTGACTGGAACGAGGAGTTCCAGACCACTCGTGAGCTGCCTCGGGATACCGTGCAAGACCGTGTGTTCCGCGAACGGTTGACCTCCAAACTTTTCGCCGATTATAATGATGCTGCTGCTCGCGGAGCGGTGTTGGTTGCCCGGGGTGAAGTTGCCCCTCTGAACCCGACCGAGGCCCGCGATGCCCAGATCTTTGTCTACAATAACATCTTCTATTCCTTCGGTGCGGACGGTGTTGGCACTTTCACCTCCGAGGGCGGTGATGAGGCTGCCCGCGTGGCTGTGGGCAAGGACGTTTTGGGAATCAAGGCAGTGAACCAGCTCGACATCCAGGGGCTGTTCACCCCGGGTACCGTCGTGGTTGACTACCTGGGCAAGCGAATTGTTGGCCAGAGCATTGTCCCTGGTATCTTCAAGCAGCGCGAGCCCGGCGAGCACCAAATTGACTACGGTGGTGTTGAGGGCAAGGAGGTGGTGGCCACCCACCCTGACTTTGTGTCTGTCTTCGAGAAGCTGTCCAAGGCCTTCCGCATCAAACAGCACCCTGTTTGGGACAGGGACGGCAAGCGTCACGACCTGGAAGGCAGTGTCGAAACAAAGGGTCTTCTCGGCACCGACGGAAGGAAGTACGTCCTGGACCTGTACCGTGTGGCTCCGCTGGATGCCACATGGCAGGAAGAGGATGGTAGCGACGTCTACCCCCACAACATGTCTGTTCTGCGGCAGGAGCTGATCGAGACGTACTGGAGAACCCAGATGAGCCAGTACGTCAAGGCCGAGGTGGAGCGTCGCCGTGCCTCCAAGGCCCAGGAGGCTCCTAAGGAGGGCAAGTCTGAGGAGGGCTCGGAACAAAAGAGCGAGGAAGCCGCGGACCAAGAGCGAGTTGACATCTCTGGCTTCGACCTTGCCCTCAACCCGGATGTTTTCAGCGGCCAGATTCCCCAGACCAAGGAAGAGAAAGAGCAGTGGGCCCAGGATGAAAAGGAAGCGCGCGACGCTTGCAATTTCCTGCGGTCCAAGGTCATTCCCGATCTGATCCAGGACCTGCACGATGGCGACGTTGGCTTCCCTATGGACGGCCAATCGTTGACTCAGCTGCTGCACAAGCGCGGTATCAACATCCGCTACCTTGGCAAGCTGGCGCAGCTGTCGAGTGAGAAGGGCCCCCGGGTGCAGGCGCTGTCGACCCTTTTGGTTCAGGAAATGATCGCTCGTGCCTTCAAGCACGTTGCCAACCAATACCTCCGTGATGTCCCTGCTCCGTTTGTGACGTCGTGTGTTTCCCATCTGCTGAACTGCCTCCTGGGTACTGGTGTCAACTCTGCTCCTCGCCCGGAGGTGGACGCTTCGCTGCGCGATATCTTCCCCGAGGGCGACTTCTCGTTTGAGAAGGTCACCCCGGAGTCTCTCCGCACCGAGATTGAAAAGCAGGTCAGTATCCGCTACCGGTACTCCCTGGAGAAGGGATGGGTCAGCTCCCTGAGACATCTGCAGCTTCTGCGCGATATCTCCATCAAGCTGGGTCTTCAGCTGGGTGCTCGCGACTTTCCTTTCACCAAGGACCAGGCCAAGGACCAGACCCCTGCAGCCAATGGAGCCAACGGTTCCGGCCAGGACGAGGGCAAGAAGAAGAAAAAGAAGGGCGGCGACACCAACTCTCCGAGTCGGGCGGCGGTGCAGGCAGAGCCCGCTACCTCCTTCACCTCTGATGACATTCTGAATGTCGTGCCATTGGTCAAGGACGCCTCTCCCCGTAGTGCCTTGGCCGAAGAGGCATTGGAAGCAGGCCGGATCTCGCTTATGCAGAACCAAAAGCAGCTGGGCCAGGAGCTGATTCTGGAATCGCTGTCTCTGCACGAGCAGATCTATGGTATCCTTCATCCCGAGGTTGCTAAGCTCTACCACCAGCTCTCCATGCTGTACTACCAGACTGATGAGAAAGAGGCCGCTGTGGAGTTGGCACGCAAGGCTGTTATTGTCACTGAGCGTACTTTGGGTGTGGACTCATCCGACACTATCCTGAGTTACCTCAACCTCAGTCTGTTTGAGCACGCTTCGGGCAACACCAAGACTGCTCTGGTATATATCAAGCATGCCATGGATCTTTGGAAGATCATTTATGGCGCCAGCCACCCCGACTCTATCACGACCATGAACAACGCCGCCGTGATGCTGCAGCACCTCAAGCTGTACTCTGATTCTCGCAAGTGGTTCGAAGCTTCGCTGTCCGTCTGCGAGGACCTGTTCGGCAAACAGTCCATCAACACTGCCACCATCCTTTTCCAACTGGCCCAGGCATTGGCTCTGGATCAGGACTCCAAGGCTGCCGTCGGCAAGATGCGCGATGCTTATAACATCTTCCACGCTCAACTGGGTCCTGAGGACCGCAACACCAAGGAGGCCGAGACCTGGCTTGAGCAGCTCACGCAGAATGCCGTTTCCATTGCGAAGCACGCTAAGGACATCCAGGCTCGCCGTCTGCGTCGCATCAACATGAACCCTCGTGTGTCGTCTCTGGGCACCCGCGTCCAGCCCCAAGTTGGCCAGACCGCGCCCGAGGTTGCGGGCACAGCCGGTGCTTCAGGTTCAAGCCTGGACTCCCGCAGTGTCGATGAACTGCTGAAGTTCATCGAGGGCGGCGACACCAACTCTTCTCGCTCGAAGCAGAAGAAGCGCACCACCACCAGCAACCCCAAGCTCCGGGGTTCAAAGCAGACGCCCAAGGCATAGACTGCACTTTCTTTTCATCCGCCCGGTCTACAAATCTCGGCTGTTTTTTGTCAACCTTTTTTTTCTTGGTCCTTATTTGTTTTAACAGTAAAATACTCTCTATCCATTGTCACATTCCGGGGCGGTGGTCATGTTTGATGGGCGAAAAGACCGTTGTATTTTAGATCTCTCTCCTCTCTTTTCCTTTTCTTTTTTCTGATCTGCCAAGTTGATCTTGCGGCAGCGCATGGGACAGACTCGGTTGTACTATATATAGCCCTATATCTGGATGTGCATTGACGATGCGACGGTATCCGGGTTTTTGCATATGGCACTATTTGGGTCATTCATTTCATTTTCCTCTTGGGTAGCATATATATTTTTGGACATGGCAACTTTCTCTCATCTTTAGGCCTGGTAAGATCCCACATAAGACATGATCGATATAGACACCTCAGGTACTAACGCTTTACCACATCGGGCAACCTTTGTTTACTTTGTTTTGTTCGCTGCGGCCTCCGAACTCTCCTCCGACAACATTCCAATTACCACGCCCTTTAGCTTTTTTGGTTGCAGATGATATCGTTTTATCTTCAGCATTGGCATCTTAGAACCCCTTGGGTGGCAGTGTTCGGAGACTGGATTTGGAGCTTCCTTGTTACTATGCATGATTGAAGATTAGGTTTCGACGGCGATATTATTGCAGTGCGCCCACCCTGGCGGACCGATTTTATGATGCAAAGACTGATTTGTCTGCAGTTGTATTAATTTAGTTGATATTTTTATATCTCCTCGGCTCCCATGGAAGACGTTCAAGCCACCGCAAAATGGGCAAACCGCATGCTGCGACCCTTGACCTCTATCTACCGCCGGCTCGAGAAGCACCAGGAGACGCTTTCAATCATCGCAGCGGAATCGAGGGCACGCGAACCACCAAAAGGATCCAATGCGCACGCCCCGAGTACGACTCAATCCGCGAGCGCCCAGGACATCGGCTCTGGATCGGATGCGGATGAAAACGACCCGGTCTGGATCCCAGGGAAGAAGCCTGCACAACGGCGGGTCAGGCGTAAATACTCGTCGCGTGGAGAAGACCATTGCGGAAGAAGACGGAACAGGCTGTCCATGCACAGCCCGGAAGCACCGCGCACACTGCCCGGCGCAATCGAGGTCGCAACACCCCTGATCACGGGCAAAAGATGGGAGCCGCCTTCGAGTGCCCGGTCGCAACTCTCGGCCCAGAAAACCAAGACTATCCACTCTGAGATACAGCTGAAAGCGTTCCGCGATCGATACCCGCTTCACAAAAGCCCTTGGCAGGAGCTGCTCAATCAGTCTGGCGACTCGGGCTTCGCCGATATCGCGCACAACCTCGACCGTGTTCTCCAGAACTTTCTGCACAACACTCGGATTCCCAAGCGCGATGCGAGTCACTCATCCCCGAAGCCCAGCCTTGGCGCACGCTCTCTAGTCTCGATGATGGTGCGACGTCTGCCGGAGTTTATTGCGAGCGAGCAGGAGACACAGGACGAGATGGACGAGAATGGAGGTGAGGATATGTGCGATGCATATTTTACTGAGTTGGAGGCATTTTATGCGCCTCACGGAAGAGGATGGAGACCACTTCGTGAGGCCGTTCGAGCACAGGGTATCTACTTGGTCGCAACGATGATACAGAATCAATGGGTTCCCGATGCAGTCGCCTGCGCCTTGATTGAAAAGTGCCGATATCACGAAACTGACGCGTGTGAATCGCTACTTGCGACCTTTCTTTCCATCTGCCAAACATACCCTTATCCCTTGGCCTTAAAACCATCCGTCGACCGCAGCTCCCCCGGCGATCCTGTCCGATTACTGCGAAGCTATGCGCATCATGGCGCGGCGAACCGCTCTTATATTTTTGATGAACTCGCTAAGCTTCTTCTACGTGGAGTCCTCCCCCCGGAGTGGATGGCAACCAAGCAGTGGACCAGTTGGATGGCTCGAGCGACTATATCGTTTTCTAAAGGGGATGTGGACTCGGCCGCGGCCTCGCGACTTATAGAGGCAGTGCTCGTCTCAGCCAGCGGCGCCCTTTCGTCGATTAGCACCACAAACCCCATTCAGAGACATTCAAGCAAGTCACGAGCTGCCCGTAGTCAAGGGAAACTCACGCGGGCTTCTTTCACGGTGTCTGCCGACGACCCTGAATTGAAGCGCGCTTGCCCCGTACCAGTGGAAGATGCCCTCAGCAACCATGTCATGAGTCTTATGGCAGCAGTATGTGGTATGCACATTTCTCGGTCTCGCGAAGCCAATGCCATCGATTGTGTGGATGGAACGCCAGCAAGTCATATCATCAGCTATCTTTCCTTTGTCGTGGAGCGTGACATAGCGTTGCGACCACTCTCTCGTCATCCCGAAATAACATCCCATGAGCTATCACGGCGTGGTTGCATTGTGGTGGCCCATTGTCTTTTGAAATGCAACGATGCAGTTTTATCGGGCAACACACAATATGAAATAGCGCCAACACCCAGTCTGGATGAATGTTCACAAACATTGGCCTCTCGCCCCGACTTGATCAAGGAACTGGTCTTGTTCATGAGACAAGCGTTCCGCTACTTTGGGGGCACAAAAGACAGCGAACAAGCTCACACGGGCAGAGAGATCCGGCGCATGGTCTCGCGGCTTCCTCGCATGACCGATGCATCTGGCCTGTCGGCGCTTCTTGGTCGAATCGCCGCGGAATCCGCCATGGAGTTTGCAGAGGGCACGGGCGATCCCGATGATCATGTGTGGGCGGTCGAAATTCAGGAAACAGTGGTTGCAGTTCAGAACGAGAGGGAACCAGGCCAGCAGTCTATGAATGATCTGGAGGACCCCGGCCGGGAGCGAGGCTTGTATCGCTGGGAGGAGAGTATTGGTGAATGGGTCGCCCGTACACCGGCACTCAAGACAAAGACAGTGCCTGTGAATTGGGTCCGAGGGCGTGTCTCCATGACCCCGGAGTCGTCGCCATGCATCGCATGCTCTACGGACAGCAGCTCGCCCGGCTCGGATCGTTTTGAACAGCCAGCGTCGAGCCTGACGTCGCCCCCCTCATCAGTAGCCACAAAGCGGACGATGGAGGATCCCGATCCCTCGCCTCCACGGCCAGCCAAACGACGACGCCGAGCATCCGTGGTGATTGAAAGTGACGGGGATAGAAGTGGATCTTTGCCTGCCAGCACTGGCCCGAGATCCACGCCTGTGGAGTCCGTCTATTCACGCCGTCGCATTCTGCGGGAAATGTCGAATCCCAATATATCGAGCACGGCTCCCAAGCGGACGAGGTCCGGAGCCAAGATCGAGGTGGTCGTTATCAACAAAAAAGAGACCGATTCGACCGTTGAGGCTCGTGCACGGCCTGCTCCGGAGCCTGTCGAGAAGCAAGTTCATCGTATGGTCGAGCGGCGTCGGCCTGGTCGTCCTCCAGTCTCAGCTCCTCCCATGACCGTTGCACCCTCAAATACACCGCGCCGGCCTATCATTCCCTCCTTCGAGGGCGAGGACAGCGACGACGAGCTCAGTTTCATGTGAGCTGGTGCCGGCGCCCTTCTTCATTGGGAAATATGCTGTACTCTATCTGTCTCAGCCCGGCGACCCGTTCATTTCTAGAGTCTCGGAGTCTCTCTATGCACAGCTTTGACGTTCTATTACTTGTTGGCATGGTGGGAATTTGAAGTCCTCGTCTGGCTGTTTGACCGAACCTGAACCGAGCCTTGTTCATTTTATTTGGAGCGGTGGATATGCGAGGCCCGCTTTTTCTTTGTTTGTTGGAGACTCGGTGTTTTGGACTTGTTATGATCTGGCATGATACCCCTGGCCTGGCATTGGTGTTTTTCTTTCTTTTTTTGCTCATACTCTTTGGATCCATTCTTGGGGTCATTCTTATTTGTGTACTTTGCATGCTAGAATCTATGGATTTAACAGACCAAGAATTGAAACTCGACCCGGGGATGTGTTCACTCAACACAGGAACGATACGACTACCAGAGAAATATGACACGACAAGCAAACCCCCACATTGACTGGTCTTTGCAAGGCAGTTCTCCCGAGAATATCCACGAGAACTATGAGCTTGGAAATATTCGACGAAGATCGCAGTCGGAAGTAAATGAAAGTGGTGGGAGCGCCAAGGGGGGCGATCCACTACCGACAATCGTCAAACCAAAGCACCAACCTGCATTGAGATCTCTGTGTGTCAGAACACACCAGTGACCTTCTCCACTGCGGCCCAATAGTCATGCAAGGGCCATTCATTCCCAAGCCCTGACTCGACGATCAGCACCGGCCTGACGCCTGTTGATATTCAAAACTCTGCCGCCCGGGGGTGTTTCAGCGTGGGCCAGTCACAGCACCCCATCGCGTCCCCGCCACATTCTTGTTGCGCTGGAGTCTGCTTGACCTGTTGCATCTGGTGATGTTTTGGCGGGAAAATTCTTGCCACTGCCCTGGATTGGTCTTGTTGGATCTTCGTGTGACGGATCTTCCAGGTGCAGATGAACTTGTCCTCGAGCTCGGAGCCGTGGAGTGTATGTATTTGGCCTGGCGCCAAACACTTGCCTCCCCTTCTCCCTGTAACAAGAGACGGAAAAATCTTGTGAGGGGAAGATTGACAACATGATCAGTCCTGTGACATGATCCTGGGGAGTGGGCCTGCCTTGCTTGTTTGTACATATTCGCTCTTTGAGAGAGCCTTGTCTCACCATCTTCTTCCCCAGAATGAGCGCTGGGAACAAAACCGTTGTTTCTCTTTCTCTGTCCCCCTTTCGCAGGCGAATCTTTGTTTTTTCTCATTCTTTTTTACACAATAGACATTGTCTTTTTTTTTTTTTTTCTTTCTTTTTTTTTTTTTTTACCTTCTCCCTTTCTTTCTGCGACAATCGTCATTGGGCCGAGGATCAGCTCCATCCTATTGCCCTTTACAGTTGACTGGGCCAGCATTCCTTTCGTTGCCCACCGACAAGCCTCTTGCAAACATCTCCCCGCTGCGTCATTCTTTTGGTTTCTCTTTTGTGCTGGACACAATTGACTGGGAAGAGACATCAACCGGCAACTTCCATGCGTTTCTCGCTTCTTTCCATCCGATAGATCTAGGGCAGGTCCTGTTGTCAACGCCAGCCACTCCCCCTGCCATATCTTGGGACCAGCTGAATTTCCCTTGCTCTTGCTATTTGATATTTCTCGCAAGCAACCTGGTGTTGCTTTTGTTTTGCAGTTTGTTTTCTGGCCGGGTTTTTGAGTGGAGGCCTTGATATCGATTCTCCCTGCTTCTACTTCACGCAACTCCCCTTGAGCGAGCCGGTCTCGCCAAGCTCCAACTGAAAACCAGCCCTAGATTGTGAACTGCTGACGGACTTACTTTCCTTTTCGGTGAGATACCAATATCATGAAACACTTTCTCCTGGCACTGGCCCTCGCCGGCCTGACTGGCGCATCGGATATCGAAAAGCGAGAGGGCCATTCCAACCCGCTGAAACATCTCTACGAATCGCTCAACGATGACCTGGCACGCATTACCATCTTTGCTCTCGGCTGCGCCGCGGCAGCCATGTACGTGTGGCAGCTGAGCTTCCGATTCTCAGCCCACCTGCGTCGCCTATCAAGCTTCAGCGATGACCGCCAACGCTACTTCGTCTCTGCCCAGGACACCTTTGCCTGGCTCAAGTCACACTTGATCTATGCGCCGCTGTTCCGCACTCGGCATAACCGCGAGTTCCAGCTCTCGCAGGCTGTGAATATGGGGAACTTGCCCAGCCGGTTCCATGCCCTCCTGGTTGCGGGCGTGGTCGCCATGAATGTTGTGCTCTGCATTATCACCATTCCGTACGAGTCTAAAGAGAAGACCGTTGCTGGAATTGTACGGAACCGTACTGGCACTATGGCTACGGTCAATTTGATTCCGCTGGTTCTGATGGCTGGCCGCAATAACCCTCTGATCGCTATGCTCCATGTGCCCTTTGATACGTGGAACTTGCTTCATCGGTGGCTGGGCCGCATTGTGGTGCTGGAGTCTCTGGCACATGTCTTTGCCTGGGCTATTCCTAAGGGCCAAGAAGGTGGGAAATCCTGCACACAGTCTGTTGTGTTCATCTTGAATTAGAATGATAACTGACCATCTCAGCGGGCTGGAGTATTGTCGGAATGGCTCTCGCCAAGAGCAATTTTCTGTTGACCGGCTTGGTGGTATGTCGTGGATTTGATCTGACGACATTGGAGTATTGGCTGACCCTATCACGCAGGCTGCTTGCGCTTTCACGGCACTCATGATCCACTCGCCCTCGCCCATTCGACATGCTTTCTATGAGACATTCCTTCACTTGCACATTGCCATTGCAGCCGTCTCATTCGGCTTTCTCTGGGTTCATTTGAACGGCCTGCTCGCGCAGACCTATCTGCTCGTCGCTCTTGTCTTGTGGGCATTCGAGGTAAGCTACACCACTGGAGTATGAAAACACCGTATCTAATGGCATTGTCTTCAGCGAGCCACCCGCCTTTTGTCCATCTTGTACCGCAACTGTGGCCGGGAGTCCACCACAGCCACTGTAGAGGCTATGCCCGGCGACGCAATGCGCATCACATTGCGCGTGGCGCGGCCATGGACTTTCCGGCCGGGCCAACATATCTACCTCTACATCCCAGCGATTGGATGGTGGTCCTCGCACCCATTCTCCGTTGGCTGGAGCGAAGTGGACGAAGAGCTCTCCGACGAGAAATCGCTGCCGCTCACCCATCAAGACTTACTCGCAGCACCCCAAAAGGAAACCATCTCGTTGCTGGTCCGCCGCCGCACCGGCATGACAGACAAGCTCTTCCAGCGGGCAGCGAACTCCGTCGGGTCGCGCGTCACGCTGCGCGCCTTCGCCGAGGGCCCCTACGGCAACATCCACTCGATGAACTCGTACGGCACGGTGATGTTGTTTGCCGGCGGCGTCGGCATCACGCACCACGTCCCATTTGTGCGCCATCTCGTTGCCGGCTTTGCCAACGGCACGGTCGCTGCCCGTCACGTCACGCTCGTGTGGATCATCCAGTCCCCCGAGCACCTGGAGTGGATTCGTCCCTGGATGACCAGTATCCTGGCCATGGACCGCCGCCGCGAGGTCCTCCGCATCATGCTGTTTGTGACGCGGCCCCGCAACACCAAGGAAATTCAGAGCCCTTCGGCCACTGTCCAGATGTTCCCTGGCCGGCCCAACATCGATACCTTGGTTGGTATGGAGGTCGAGAACCAGGTCGGCGCCATGGGCGTGCTGGTTTGTGGCAATGGCAGTTTGAGTGACGATGTTCGCCGTGTTTGTCGCAAGCGCCAAGCTGGTTCGAGCATTGATTATGTCGAGGAGAGCTTCTCCTGGTAGTTTGGTGGATCTGTTAAGTGACGAGTCATGTTTTTTGTTTTGTCATGTGTATGGAGCATGTCCCTCTCGAGTCATTAGTCGCTGTCCTTTTTTTCTTTTCTCGGCCTCTCCTTTGCAGCCCCCCTTTTTTCTGTTGGTTTTTTTTTTTTTCTGTTCTTGGTTTGCCAGTGGTGACCAAGTATACTTTTTTTGATTCTCGCCTTGATGTTGTCTTACTTTGTATATTTTATTTCATTTTTGCATTTTTGGCAGCGATTGATCGACTTGGACGTATGCTAGTTGTTCATGAAGTGTTGTACAGCCCTTCCCACGAATGCAAGTATGAAAAGTGCCCTCAATTTTGACCCCGGTTCCCTCAAAACACCGAAGTAGAAACAAAAACTCATTCAGCGACCCAAGCTAATCCGACAGCTCTACCTGCCTTGTAGGTGGCGTTAAGATTACTACAGCGGGACCCCCAAGTCCGCGGGGATGTCCAGGGCAGACAGACATTTCGGTGTCCGGCCCAAGCTCCGCTTAACGGGACGGAAGTAAGCAACGGCTTGACAGGGCTCCACCAGTCTAATCCCCGGTTGTTCTTTACTTTTCTCCACTCGGTTTGTCTATGGTAGCAGGATACTGGAAAGCCGAAGCATATCGGGTCTTCGTTGCAATGCCATGAGGCCCCGCAATGTCCATGTTAAATCCGGGTTAGGGTTTCGCGATCTTCTTGCTTATATAGAGGCCCAAGAACCGCTGTGTTTGATGTCTTCCAAGAATACATCACTTCTATTTCTATTTATTTTTCCATTGCCTACTCGAGTGAAATGTCTCTATCCGGCCAAGTCATTCTCATTACCGGCTCCTCCCAGGGCATTGGTGAAGCCGCCGCCCTGCGACTGGCAAGCGAGGGCGCCAGCTTGGTGATCAACTATTTCTCCAATGCGGACGGCGCCCAGGCCCTTGTGGAGCAGATCGGCTCCGAGCGCGCAGTGGCCGTGAAAGCCGATGCCTCGAAACTATCCGATCTCGACCACTTGGTCGACGCGGCGGTTGCAAAGTTCGGCAAGATCGACGTCGTCGTTCCCAATGCCGGTTTGCTTCTCATGCGGGATGTGGAGAGTACCACTGAAGAGGACTTTGATCAAACGTACAACCTGATGGTGAAGGGGCCCTACTTTTTGGTCCAGGTGCGGTTTTACTTTGATTCTCTTGATTCTCTTGCTTTTGTGCGCCACTGACCTATGTGTATAGAAAGCCGTGAAGCACATGCCTCCAGGAGGACGCATCATCTTCTTATCTAGCAGCGTTACAGCCTTCTCGGGCATCCTCCCCCCCTACCTCCTCTATGCCTCGGCCAAGGGCGCTATCGAGCAGATGACCCGGCTGATGGCCAAGGATCTGGCGCGCAAGGGCATTACTGTGAACACGGTTGCCCCCGGGCCCACGGCCACGGAGCTGTTCTTCAAGGGCAAATCCGAGCAGGTGCTCAAGGCATGTGCGGCATTCAGCCCGTTCAATCGCATCGGAGAGCCTGATGAGATTGTTGGGGCTATGGCGTTCCTGTGTGGGAAGGACAGTCGTTGGGTGTCCGGGCAGATTATCAGAGTCAATGGCGGGATGGCATAATAAACATAAAGAGGGTAGTTGTTTAGCAAGAATACTCTCTTTTGAGGGTACAGGGTCAGGAATTGGATCATAACTCATACTCATGTTCTGTCGCTCCCTTGTAGTGCTGATTGGAGTAGAAATTCTCCGAGCCTGACGGGCATCAGCCTTGTGAAATGTTAGAAGGTTTCAGAACATCATCGCAAGAATCGCGTAAGCTTGAGAAACGAGTGTCTGTGTAATTCTCTCGGGGTAGCCATGGCAGATGCCGACGATTGGTAATTGCGTGCGCAGGGAAGACGCGGGGTGAAGCGCCTCCGGGCTTATAAATCCACAGGTGGGGGAGCTGCGATGACCTCAACTGTCGCAATGGACCTCGGGAGTATTTAAACCCAGTGGACCTTTGGCTTCATTCACACCCGCAGCAGTCTATACTACCTTTCATCGTCCAACATGAGCCGACCTAACATCACCCTCTACACCACGCAGACTCCCAATGGGATCAAGATCTCCATTGCGCTGGAGGAGCTGGGGTATGGAGAGCCTGCTCGGACAAATTGCCAATGGAGCTGACAGGAATGACAGACTGCCATACAAGGTCGAGAAAATCGACATCTCCAAAAATACGCAAAAGGAAGAGTATGCATCCTACAATCCTAACAACTAAACCCTCATATCTGACTGAGTCGACAGCTGGTTCCTGAAGATCAACCCCAACGGCCGCATCCCCGCCTTGACCGACACCTTCAGCGATGGCCAGACAATCCGCCTGTTCGAATCGGGAGGCATCCTGCAATACCTGATCGACCAGTATGACCCCGACCACAAGATCTCCTTCCCCAAGGGCAGCCGCGAATACTACGAGATGAACAACTGGCTCTTCTTCCAGAACGCCGGCGTCGGTCCTATGCAGGGCCAGGCAAACCACTTTTCACGGTATGCGCCCGAGCGCGTCGAGTACGGCATCAACCGATACGTGAACGAGACGCGTCGGCTGTACAGCGTCCTGGACAAGCACCTGGCCGAGTCCAAGTCCGGGTACCTGGTCGGGGATCATGTCTCGATCGCCGATATTTCACACTGGGGCTGGGTGGCGAGCGCGGGATGGGCCGGTGTCGATATCGACGAGTTCGTGCACCTGAAGGCGTGGGAGGATCGTATGGCCCAGCGAGCTGGTGTGGAGAAGGGCCGCCATGTGCCTTCGCCACACACAATCAAAGACCTTCTCAAGGACAAGGCCACGGCGGACAAGCTCGCAGCCGAGACCCGCTCGTGGGTGCAGCAGGGAATGAAGGACGACGCCAAAAGCAAGGTGTAAACTACTAGTCGCAAATAGCTACTTCATTCCATGGATACTTCGAAATTAAAGAATCTTCACCGCCTTCCTCTTCAATAATATCACGTGCTGTGGCCACCTCTTCTGAGAAAAGGTGGAAGCTCCCATCGTTCTCTTCTTCATCTTACACCTCGTCACTAACCGGACTCACCTTTTTCTCTTTTTATTCAGAGCCATGGCTTGGCGCAACCAAGGAATCACTGGCTCCAACAACATTCCACTAGGGCGGCGACGCTTCGGTGGTGATGATCCAGAAGACAGCCGAACCGCGACTCCCTCTTCCGCGGGGGCCGATGGCTACAAGCGTGGTCGTAGCCCCGTCCGAGGTACGTTTTTGATTCAAACCGCTTTTTTTTTGGAATATTCACCTTAAAACTAACCTCTTCGTCTTTCACAGCGGACCCTCCAGCCCCGGCAGATGGCATCAAAAGACGCAAGAAGCGCAACCGTTGGGGAGACCAACAGGAGAACAAGGCTGCTGGTCTCATGGGCTTGCCCACGATGATCATGGCCAACTTCACCAGTGAACAGCTTGAGGCCTATACCTTGCATCTTCGGATTGAGGAGATCAGCCAGAAGCTTCGGATCAACGACGTTGTTCCGGCTGATGGCGATAGGTATGTGCTTTCTCTCATTCTCGTTTTTTTTTTTTTTTTTTTTTTTTTTTTTTGGTACGGTTTTCGCCACGCCATACTAACAGTCGAACAGGTCTCCCTCGCCGCCTCCCCAGTACGACAACTTTGGTAGACGTGTGAACACTCGCGAGTACCGCTACCGCAAGCGGCTCGAGGATGAGCGTCACAAGCTGGTCGAGAAGGCCATGAAGACCATCCCTAACTACCACCCGCCATCTGACTACAGACGTCCCACCAAGACCCAGGAGAAGGTCTACGTGCCAGTGAATGACTATCCAGAGATTAACTTCAGTATGATAACTAACCCTCTAACTCCTAACTGTCCCTCCACCGTGTCCGCCATGACTCCAAGCTCGACTCGAGTTGACGAGACATTTCCCTGGATGTCCTCGGCTCGTTTCTTGCTAACCCCTTTTGGTGCTTGAGCTGCACACGCGTTGCTCTCTTGAAACAAGTACTGGATGACTAACACTTAGCTCTTTGCTATCTTTTTCAAAGTTGGCTTACTCATAGGTCCTCGTGGCAACACCTTGAAGAAAATGGAGACCGAGTCTGGTGCCAAGATCGCTATTCGAGGCAAAGGCTCCGTCAAGGAGGGCAAGGGTCGCTCTGATGCCGCTCACGCTAGCAACCAGGAAGAGGATCTTCACTGTTTGATCATGGCCGATACCGAAGACAAGGTTAACAAAGCCAAGAAGCTTATCCACAATGTCATTGAGACGGTAAGCTCCCCCTCCAACACCCCCTCCTGTTATGCCAAACAGCTGCTGATGTCCGTCTCTTAGGCCGCTTCAATCCCTGAAGGTCAGAATGAGCTCAAGCGCAACCAGCTTCGTGAGCTTGCTGCTCTCAACGGTACGCTTCGTGACGACGAGAACCAGGCTTGCCAGAACTGTAAGTAATTTCTGCCAATTGCTTTATTGGATTATTGAGTCTGACCGTGGTTCTAGGTGGTCAAATCGGACACCGCAAGTACGACTGCCCTGAGCAGCGCAACTTCACCGCCAACATCATTTGTCGGGTTTGTGGCAATGCCGGACATATGGCTCGCGATTGTCCGGAACGCCAGCGGGGCAGCGACTGGCGCAACAACCCTGGCTATGGTGGACGCGACCCCCGTGCTATTGGCACTGGCGATGCTGTGGACCGCGAGATGGAGGTAAGTCTTGCATTAATTCTGGGCTGATTTAATATTCAATACTGACTCAATCACTAGCAACTCATGAACGAATTGTCTGGAGGTGCTCCTGGCGAGCACCCGCCTCGTCGGATTGAGGCCGGTCCCGACCACGGCTATCCCGACGACCGTGACGCGCAGCCCTGGGAGCGTCGACTTCCGCCGACTGATGCGGCTCCTTGGCAGCAGAGAGGCCGGGAGAACCGTTCGCGCGACGACTACGCACCCCGCGACCATGGTGCTCCTCCCCCTTGGGCTGCGCAAAGCCGCGGTGGCGACTATGGCTACGGTGGATACGCTGCGCCGGGTACCGCTTCAGCCCCTGCTCCATGGCAACAACAGGCCCCTCCTCCCCCTCCCGGCGGACAAGCTGGGTATGGGTACGGTTACGGTTATCCTCCTCCCGGAATGGGTGCTCCGGGTACTGGCCCGCCTGGAATGGCTGCTCCGCCGCCGCCTCCTGGCATGCCTCCATACTATGGCGGGGCTGGTAGTCCCCCGCCTCCGCCTCCCCGGGTGATGGACCGCCGCCGCCGCCTCCGAGCGACCAGCCTCCTCCTCCGCCGCCTCCTGCGTAAAGTCGATGCCCAAGTTTGCCGATTTTTCTTTGCGTGGAAACAAAAGATACCAAAAATGATAATCTAGTCGCGAAAATTTGTCTCAACGGTTCAACGGCTGTCATGGCAAGGAAGTGGACATGTTTGATCTTGCTATTATTGCGGATTTTCCGCTCTTGACATTCAAATTGTGATTGTTTTATTTCTTTCTCGTAGTGTGATGTCTGGTAGTCTCGACAGTCCGTAGTCGGAGTGCTGTTAATTCAGTTGATGCCTCAGGCCTACACATCTTGGCTTCTCCGACGACTTCTTCTCCCCGCACAGCACCAATTGCTATCTGCGTACATTTTTTTGTCTCTCTCGATCGACACTTACATAATTCGCTTTCATTTAGAGGCCCGTGATTGTTACTCGGCCTCTTGATCTCCACAGATACTACCCCATGCAGGGCCCGTCGCACGGGGACTTCTCCCTTCCCTCGGGTCCCAACATGCATACGTCAGTGTCCACTCCGCGAAAAACTTCGTGGCAGTCGCAGCGCCTGTCATCTCTAAGGTCTGGTCGTTCGAGCCTAGCTCCGTCGTTGCATCAATCTGTGTCGCCTGCGGACCAGCATGGTTCTGCCCATGCGGACTCGCAACGCCGCGCATTGGCGTCGGCGTCGGCGCGATCGGCGCAGCCAAAATGGTGGCGCGTGTACCTGTTCCGCGGCATGATCAAGGATGTTAAGCGCAGAGCCCCGTATTACTGGAGTGACTGGACTGATGCGTGGGATTATCGCATTGTGCCAGCTACGGTCTACATGTATTTTGCCAAGTATGATAATCTTTCTGTTGTCATGATTTTTACATACGGAGGCGGTGGTCTGGATGTGAACATTTTCCTACTATTGAACTTATGTCACCGTGTATTCTTGATCAATTGGCTGACAGTATATTTAGTATCTTGCCGGCACTTGCTTTCTCGTTGGATATGTTCGAGAAGACGAGTCAAAGTTATGGAGTTAATGAAGTCTTGCTCGCGTCCGTCCTGGGAGCGGTCGTATTTTCTCTTCTTGCGGCTCAGCCGCTGGTTATTGTCGGTGTCACTGGTAAATATGCCCTTTTTTTTGGTACTTGGAACTCCTAGCTCATGGCGTGGTAGGCCCAATTACGGTGTTCAATTACACTGTTTACGACATCATCGCTCCTCGAGGTACACCATTTCTCGCTTTTATGTGCTGGATTGGCATGTGAGTTTCTTTCTTATCAAACAAAACCACTGACATAACTGACCTCTACCCCAGCTGGTCGTTGACTATGCATTGGTTCCTTGCTTTCACCAACGCCTGTAATGGACTAACCTATGTCACTCGGTTTTCGTGTGATATCTTTGGATTCTATGTTGCTTGCATATACCTACAAAAGGGCATCCAAGTCCTGACCCGACAATGGGGAGCTGTAGGAGAAGCCTCAGCCTATCTGAGTATTATGGTTGCGCTGCTCGTCCTGATGAGTGGATGGATCTGTGGGGAGTTGGGAAACAGCAACCTCTTCCAGAGATACATTCGGAAGTTCCTTGAAGACTATGGCACGCCTTTGACCATTGTTTTCTTCACCGGATTCATCCACATTGGCCATATGAGGGACGTCGAAGTGGCCACGCTGCCGACGAGTAAGGCGTTTTTCCCTACGGTGGACCGGCCGTGGCTGGTGCATTTCTGGGACATCAGTGTTGGGGATATCTTCCTCGCCATTCCGTTTGCGCTCCTTCTTACGATTCTTTTCTACTTTGATCACAACGGTGCGCATTCCTCGGCAAAATAACAACGCAGTTCCCTCCCACTGATACATCCCCTAGTCTCATCTCTGATTGCCCAAGGAACCGAGTTCCCCCTCCGAAAGCCCGCTGGCTTCCACTGGGATCTCTGGCTTCTCGGTTTGACAACATTTATAGCAGGGCTTCTGGGGATCCCATTTCCCAACGGACTCATTCCGCAAGCGCCCTTCCACACAGCCGCGCTTTGCGTCACACGCCAAGTAGCCGACGAGGACGACACAAACAAGGGCAAAGCCATCCGGGTCACAGACCATGTAGTGGAGCAGCGCGTCAGCAATTTCGCGCAGGGCCTCCTGACCCTGGGCACGATGACCGGGCCACTCCTCATCGTCCTGCATCTGATCCCACAGGGCGTCATGGCGGGTCTCTTCTTCATTATGGGCGTCCAAGCTCTGCAGGGCAACGGCATCACGCAAAAAATGATCTTCCTCGCTCAAGACAAGCACTTCACACCGGGCTCCAACCCTCTCAAAAGAATCGAGCGCCGCGCCGCGATCTGGGCATTTGTGATTATCGAACTGGTCGGGTTCGGGGCTACTTTCGCTATAACGCAAACGATCGCCGCTATCGGGTTCCCGGTTATCATTCTTCTTTTGATTCCCGTGCGCACTTTCCTCATGCCTCGCTGGTTTACTCGCGAGGAGCTGGCTGCGTTGGATGGGCCTACTGCCAGCCCTTTCACCATGGAAAGCGTCGGTGGCACCTACGGGCTGGAGGATGAGTCTGCGGAGGCGATAACCAGTGGAGTGCAGGACTCCGCGGACGCAGGTAGTGCGGTTCTGAGAGGCCGGGCCTCCTCGTCTGAGGAATCTGCCGTCGAGGATAATGATCTGGAGAGAGGAGAGGCGTATGAGCTTCCGTCCCGGTCTGCTGTTCGGAGGAGAAGCACGGCCAGCCGGATAGACTAATGTGGTTGGTTTTTTTCATAAAAAGAAGAAGAAGATCTTGGGCCATTTGCTAAGACATCCATGAATAACTTCTAGTGATGTCTGGTTTGGCTGTTGTCAATAGGTGAAAAATGCATTTCTGGGGGTTATATCACTTCTGACCCATTTTAATGACGCACAAAGCCAGACCCCCTAAACAATCCTATCTATATTTATATCTTTTTTTCAATATTCAGAAGCGCCATCTATTGCTGCAAGAGCAATCCCATCTTCGACTGTATATGCTCACGTGATAGATAAAATGCTGATTTGTCGGTGGTATTCACCGCCTAGGAACGATAACTTTTCTGCCGCAAAATTATTTCGATTCCAACACAGTCGCAAACACAAAATGGCGCTCTCGAATGCCGCAGAGCCGGAAAATGAGCACTCAGATGCATCCGAGAACTCTGATGTGAACACACCCGAAATCCAAGACCGCGCCCCCAAGCGCCGGCGCCTCTCCGAGTCCTCGAACGACTCATTCGTCGCTGCGGCGCCGCTCCCCGCCCCGTCACGCATAAAAAAGAAAGACAATACCGAGAAGAAAAAGCCCGCACCGACGGACGAACAGAACCCGGTCTTAATAAAAGATGCATTGGATATCGGGTTGCGGAGCGAAGAGTCGAGCTTTGCGGCTCTGGGTGTAGCGCCGTGGCTGGTGGGTTCGTTGACGACGATGGCGATCCGCCGGCCGACGGCTATTCAAAGCGCCTGTATTCCGGAGATTATGAAGGGCAGGGACTGCATTGGTGGGAGTCGGACGGGTTCGGGGAAAACGGTGGCTTTTGCGGTTCCGCTCATGCAGAAATGGGCGCAGGATCCGTTTGGGATCTTTGCGTTGGTGTTGACGCCGACTCGGTATGGTCTTCTCGCTTCGAGTGTCAACTGGATGCTGCTTTAGAAGATTGTTTGCTTACATTTTTGCTTTTCCTTTTTTTTTTCAGAGAACTTGCGCTGCAGATCTTCGAACAGTTCAAGGCTATCTCTGCGCCGCAGAGTATGAAGCCTATTCTCGTCACTGGTGGCACGGACATGCGGCCGCAGGCGATTGCGCTCTCCGAGCGACCTCATGTGGTGATTGCGACGCCAGGCCGATTGGCCGATCACATAAAGACCTCGGGCAAAGACACAGTAGCCGGGCTGGGACGGGTGAAGATGGTCGTGCTGGATGAAGCAGATCGATTGCTAGCCAGCGGACCGGGAAGCATGCTTCCGGACGTGGAGATCTGCCTTTCCGCACTGCCGCCCTCATCGGAGCGCCAAACCCTACTTTTCACGGCGACGCTGACGGCCGAGGTGCGGGCGCTCAAGTCCATGCCGCAAACCGGGGGCAAGCCCCCCATCTTCGTGACCGAGGTCGGCACCGAAGACCAGGGCAGCATCCCGTCGACTCTCACGCAGACGTACTTGAAGGTGCCGATGACGCACCGTGAGGCCTTTCTGCATGTGCTACTTTCCACCGAGACCAACGTCTCCAAGCCCGTCATCATCTTCTGCAACCACACCAAGACTGCCGATCTGCTGGAACGCACGCTGCGCCGGCTCGCCCACCGCGTTACCTCGCTGCACAGTCTTCTTCCGCAGTCTGAGCGTACTTCCAACCTCGCCCGTTTCCGTGCCACCGCTGCCCGCGTGTTGGTCGCCACTGATGTTGCGTCCCGTGGTCTCGATATCCCGTCCGTCAGCCTCGTCATCAACTTTGATGTGCCGCGTAACCCAGACGATTACGTGCACCGTGTCGGTCGTACCGCCCGTGCTGGACGCACCGGTGAAGCTGTGACGCTGGTCGGGCAGCGCGATGTCCAGCTCGTGCTGGCCATCGAGCAGCGCGTCGGCCGGAAAATGGAGGAGTGGGCTCAGGAGGGTGTCAATGTGGAAAGCCGCGTGGTCCGAACCGGAGTGCTGAAGGAAGTTGGCTCGGCGAAGCGCGAAGCGGCGGGCGAGATTGAGGAAGGCCGAGACGTGCTGGGTCGGAAGCGGAATAAGCTGAAAAAGGTTCGCTGAAGGGATCTAGTCTTATACCCATGTGCTCGGGTGCTCGGGTGCTCCCTTATGTTTCTTTGATACCATCGCTGGCATAGTCAATTCAAATTTAGCGCTTTTCTCTTGTTTCTCTTTTCTTTTCTTTTCTTTTCTCTCTCTCTTTCTTCACTAACATTGTCTTTACTTTATTTGACTTTTTGGGCCATCGTATCAAATTGCGATATGACAGTCTCAATATCCAACGTGATAGCCAATTAAACATCTTCGAACCACTTGTGTGCTAATGCCTCGCGCGCCGTGATTCTATTTTCCGGATCAAAATTTGTCATAGCGCAAATAAGACATTTAAAGTCTTCGTCAACCCCCTTCCAAAGGGAGAATGGTTTGCGCGGGTTATCTTTATTGAAACCATCCCGTAGGACTTTAGAAACGGGAACCCAGGGATTATCGCCAAGAAGGTTCAAAAATACATTCAGTGTATCATCATCTCCAAAGTAAGAGATTTGACGCTCAATTACAATAGCCAGGGGATCCACTCTCTCATCCAATTCCTCTTCCCCCACAGCAAAGATGATGTGTTTATGCACCGCGTAAAGGCACTATATGAAAAGGCAATAGCCCCCTTAAAAAAGTAAGAGAGTTTATAGTTAAGGAGATTCACAACAAGAGCAAAAGAGAAGATATCAGACGGCTTTCCCAGTCGATGAAAACGTTGTCTGCCTTCATATCTGTTGAAATAAGCTATCACTCATCACACCATAAAAGGTATAACCTACCTGTGTGGACAATGTCCTGATCATGGAGTTCTGCGATTTCACGAAGAGCATCTTCAAGGATCTTATTTTTCACTTCAAGAGGCAGGTCCTTCTGAGCAAGCTCTAGAAGATGATCCTCAAAATGCTCGAAAACGAACATCGACTTCTCAAAGATGGTGTCTTGGGCAAGACGGAGTTAGTACTGCGTAATCTATGATTGATGTCTTGTAGGTCCTCGAAATTGGCCGTGTAAATGTACTTCAGGATAAACTGTTGGCCCCCGGCGCTAAAAAAAACAGTCAATAGGTAATCATGGGCGACTAATCTAGGTATTGACAACTTACGTGGCTTAGGCAAACCCGGCGTGGATATATTCTATTTCATTATAGTCTACTTTTGTTGATTTTCTTTGACTTGACTTGACTTGACTTTGTTTACTTTTCCCTGAGCATCAGCGCATTTGTTAGAATCTAGGGCTGGAACTCGAGAAAATTGACCTACCGTGGCACCGGTGACTCTATTACACTACGCGGCCAAAAGTCTGATTATACCTTATAATTAAACCTTCCTATATTTCATATATAGCTTTTTTGAAGACCTCCTAATCTAATTTAGACCTTCTATTATCTAGCTTAAGGTATAATTGAAGGACTTTAATCTTTAGAAGTCGCTATACTAGTTCGATAGGGTTTAGGTTAGGCGAATACGGAGGCTAGTCGATAACCTAAATCCTATAATTTTCGAACTACTTTTGCGAGATTTCTGCTATATAAACCCTTGTATTATCTTGTTGGAATATCGAGTATAGTTTATATATTAGCAAAAGACCTTTATCAAGAGTATCGAGATAGGAGTTCGCAGTATAAACTTACCGAGATACGTTTTTATCGCGATTTATAACTATTATCCTTATTCGGCTACTAATCTAGATTTCAGCCTAAATTATCTACGATCGACACCTGTCTACAGGTTATCTATACTAGAACAGGATGGTTCCTTCTAAAGCATGCCGAATCATTAGGTTAAACTTGCAAATGGTATCATTGATTGCTTGCAGCCAGGAAGAGACAATTATTCCTGTAATGCTGTTTAACCCCCAAACTATAGGGGTGCTCATGGTCATCTCGCCAGACACTCGACAAGGTCTATCAACATGGTGGAATGTGTACAGCTCATTTCGATAATGTGTTTCCAATCAACAGCAGGTACCCTCTTCTCGACTGAACTCCGGCTGTGTTTAAAGAATGAATCTTCGAAGCCCATTTCACCCAGGCTGACTGCTGCACAGGCAGGTCAGCATGTGATATCGGAGCCCACATCCAGTTCATCGAATCACCCAGTCCAGTTTTATAGCCTATCGTGTCGATCTGCTGTGTTCATAAGCTTGAGTAATCCATCGACCGCATCACCCCGCTGTGACGGCGACATTGTTCTATGCGTGGGTTCGTCCTCGGCTTCTGCGTTTGGACTGGGTTCACGGTCCCGTCCATGACGGACGACCGTTGCAGGTGGACTGCTTAGCTGCATTGGAGAACCAAGGGGACGAGGTGGAGTTCTCTGGGCGGGAGTCTTGGTGGAAGCAAAGCTGGTGGCCATGGGAGAAGGCCGTCCAGGGAGATCGGGGGTGGATTGAAGCGGGGTAGAGCTCAAGTCAGCAGCAGAGCCCAGTCGAGGAGTCTTTATTTGAGATGGAGTGTAGGCCTTTTTGGCTAGCGATGGTGTAGAGAGAGCGGAGGAGAGCCACGCGCACTTGCGGCTGTGTGCGTCCAACTCCGAGACTCGGCGGTCGAATTGGTGGTCCGGAACGTTGCGCATGGCACTCTGGAGTCTGCTCCGGAGGAGAGTTGCTTTCTATATCAAGTATATCAGAACGGGCCTTGAAAAAGTATATGAAATTAGTGCCCCGCATACTTGCTGAATGAACATCTTGCGCGCGTTTGGGTCTGCTGGAACGGTTTGCGTGCTCTCTGAATCATCCGACGCCTTAGAAAGACGCTCAGGATCGATCTGCTCCTCGGTCTGGTCGCGTTCGGGTTGGAAGTGTTGTGGTGGGACACGGGTCTCCGTGGCGTCTGGTGTTCGAGACGTCTATGATCGTGCAGAACGAGGTTAGCAGTTCAATTCATTTGTTCTAAATCATTTTCATAGACAATATCCAGATTTCCACACTCCATTTGAAACTCACCGAGTCTCGGGCATATTGGGTTGTGGACGAGGTGCGGGTTTCTAGCAAGTCCCGCTGCACGTGTCCGCTGTTGACATTGACATCGACCTCGTCCACCTGGTCCCTCGTTCGTTTTTGGCCTGCAAAGATCGGCGAGGGGAGGAGCTTCTTGGGGGAAGCTGCGGGGAGTGTCCGTTTGACTGGTGTGCCCGCGACCGAGTGTTTGGTCGGGACCGGGGACAGACACGCGTTGGAGTCTTTCTCGCCCAGGATTCGTCGACCATCCTTGACGGGACTGAATGGCATGGATGTATACTGCATTCTGAAGCTTGAAGCTTGAAGTCCTCAAGCTCTTGAGATTTGAATTGAAGAGGAGCTTCAGTGGAGAGAGATGGGGGGGAAGGAAAAAGATGAGAGATGACGGGGAAGTAGGTCCGAACTATGCGAACCACCGAGACCGAAGAGCCCAGGCAAAGAAACAATGGACCAAAGAAAAGAAACACGGTCTATGGACTTGGAGGAAGTGGCAATTGCAATGTGCAGGCAAACAGAAAACGGGCGCGTCGATCGCGTATAGTTGGTACTTTACCGCACGGACACGACTCCACTACGTGTTGCGCACGCGTCCGCGCGAGTGACGGCGGAGTCGAGCTGCTTATGAGTTGAATTGATACGTATTAGAGAGCTATGCGTGTATTGATATACCTGGAATTTCACCTAAGGATACATAGATAAATGTAATGAGGTGTTCATCGACTTATTTCAAGTTTGTACTTTGCTAGTCTCAAGTAGTCACTAGGTTACTTGCTGTAGATTTATGCAAAGACCAATAAAAACCGCATGTAATATTTGGTATCGAGGAATATAGGCATAAAGCTACTCGGAAGCAGAGAATGCTTTCTCATCCAGAGTCTAATCGCTGAGTTGAGACGGTAGTCCCAAGCTACCTGATCGGGGGGCCTTTGCAATCAGCGAGGTTACATATCCTCTGTGCTAGTATAGCAAGCATGCCCAAGGAACCTTTTATCCCTCACGAATATCTTTAATTAGTTAAAGTACTACATAAATCTATGTTTGGTCTTAAATCATATATTGTTACGAACCGGCTACTTTCTCTAAATTTCAGGCTGGCAGCATGCGAATAAACTATCGGTTTTTTTGATGGACTGTATGGTTTCAAGTTATGCTTAACTGACGGCAATTTTTGGTTAGCTTGCGCAATATAATCAAATGGAATAGCTAATTTCGCGAGAATTTTGCATATCTGCCTTCACAGGTCTTCTGATTCTGTACGCCTTCACATCGATTGTAGCTCCACCGCTATCTCTTTTAATAAAATACAGCGACTTGCTACATGTGATACTAGAGTTGATTCAAATAAAGTAGTTTGTCTCTGTCTCTAAACCGAGACCTAAGCTTTGCCTGCTCTAGGACCCTGGCAAGATGGGGCTTTCTCAGGCGACACGGTGCCAATTTCTCTTGCCTGCTCATCGCAATACTTTGCCATAGCAATGTCTTTGTGTGAAAGGCCCGGGGATGAATGGGTAGTCCATTCGATGGTAACAGAAGAAAATTTCTTGATTGCTCATTAGCTTTCTACTGAACCCAGAAATGGAATAAGGTAAGACCTACTAGCACTGTCACCGGATGGTGACTCCGTGATTTGCACCTCACCCCCACGATATTATTGAAATCCTAAGGATTTGATTAGGAAAAGAAACACATGTCATCGGGCTATGGACCTACCAAAACCTTAGTGTAGGTTGCAAAATGATATGTCTTCCAAATGGTGTCGTCGTTCGCTAATTCCCAACCCGATTTCTCGATCAATGCCTGGACTTCGGCCTGTATCGAATGAGCATCATCTCCTTCGGAAACCTTGATATTTATAGGGGAAGACATTGCGATTATTATGCGTCGGGTGCTGAAAAAGAAACGTGGAATATGAAACAAGTTTGATATTGCGCGGGGTAAACAAGCTGCTTGGAGAAAAAAGCCCCTCACGTGTGCTGATGACGCAACATTCAATGAAAGATGCAACAGAAATCAAGGGTAGCATCTAAACCAAATTCATCTTATATATAGTATGCTTGATGTGCTAGATCTCTCAAATTAGAAGGTCATCATCGAGAGCAGCTCATTTCACGAAGGCTGGTATCGGATCCATAACCTCAATCAGTCATTGGGCAAATGAGGTCTGCCCAAAGATTAAATATAATACAAGATAAAACCCAAGCAAATGAGAAGTAGCACAACGGACCACCGCTGAACTTCAGGCTGGAGTCCACATCATACACGAGGCTGCAACTGACTTGGATATTTGTGTCGTAATGTCAGAAAGACACCATTTCCCACAGTCTAGCTCGGTTCTGCAGACTCTAACCTTGATAAAATGTCGGGTATGACAGTCTTAGGTAGTATGGGGACCCAATAGTTAATAATCTCGTGGACAAGAACAGCGCAACCTTTGTCGAAAATTTGCCTCGCATCAGCACGCCAAGTTTCCGAGGCAATGCTACGATCATTGTCTGTGAAATAGGCAGACTGGATGCGTGCAAGTGAAACGGAGAGCTGACCGAGACTGTAGAAAACCCCTTCAGGCTTGAAAGTGTCGGAATATTGTTTCAAAAGCAACAAGACTTTCTCCCACTCACGCAAGATATCCTGAAGCCGACATTGGGAGTGCAAAAGTCGGGCAGATGCAACAATGGCGCGTACATGTAACCACTGATCGCTGATGTCTGGCGATGGGACTCTGATGAATTGCTGTTTCAGCCATTCAACATTCAAAGAGGCTTGGTCGTATTTTCCTTCGGCAATGTCGACATCAACCAGAGACACTTTCAAACGTCGGAGGGCTTTGGCGAGTTTGCCATGGTTATGGTTTGAAACCGACTGAATCTCTGATTCAATAATTGACCGTGCTTTGGCGCAGCGTCCCTCCGCACAAAGAAGATCTGCGAATCTGCAGATGATCTGGAATCGGATCGGATCGGCTCTGAGGTGTTCTGATTGAATAAAAGGATAACAATGGTCAGGGTAGAACCTTGCATCCTCTAAACGGCCACAAGTTTGGTAGATCTTTGAAACGCTAGACCACTTGTTGAAGCTGACAGATAGTTCCATTGTTGACCATTGCGTGCCGCCAATCGGCCTCCAGTTATTAATATCGCCCATTGGTCTGCTTGGCTCCCAATGCTCGAAGTCGTCAATTGCTTTCTCGGCATTTTCGTATTCTTCAAGCTGTACCAAATTCTCGAGACGTGATATCAAGACCAGACGATTCAATGAGCGAAGTCTCGCGTCGGGAAGCCTGTGAGACTGGGCTCAAGTATCGCTGAAATAACAACTTGGTAACTTTTGTTGACCATCCACCAGTTGGCCATAACGGTATAAATACAGTATATAAATACAGTAGGAGACCGTACAGTATTATAATTTCACCCATCAATCTCACTCCAATGCGCTCGGTTTAAATTACGTTGGCGCCCACCAATGAGTCAAATAACCTTGATGTGAACGGCGTTTGCAGTCCCACTAGTTCTGAATTGGCCATTATTGCGATTATTGCGGGGCGTAGCGAAGTAGTTTGTGTATAATTTGTGTCTTAGTTACTAGGAATTACTGACTTCTCCTATAATGCAAGTATGTTAGAATATCGACTATCTATTGCTTTTATTTAGTTTCTTGAAGCTATTGCATTCCCTGCCTCCCAGGATTCATCCATATGCTAGGGTCGGGTCTCCTAGCTGGTCCCGGGGGTGTTTTCTGGTAAGTTATTCATCCATTGTGACCTTGCGACCGTCAAGGCAAGGAGTGCAGAGAAATAAGTATAGCAAGTGGTCAAGTAGAGGAGAATTGCAGGAAGTGAAATGACGAGCCTTTTGAAACCGTTTAAATGCCTTGAGTTAAAGGATATAACTCTAATTTCGCCTCTTCTCTCTTAATTGAACGTCAATCAAGATACTCTAGAGGACAATCATGAAATACAACTATGGGTTGAATAAGGTATAATAGGAAATAATTCAATTCCAGTAGACCCGAAATATATATTTAGTTGAGTTTTAAGACAGGATAGTGTTTAACAATACAGGAAGCCATAACCACTATAAAAGTTTATGTTCTCCACACATTTCTTTAGTTGCTTAACTTGATCATGCTGTAGAAGACGAACAAACGATAGCAAGGCTCTGCCGATCTGCTGCATCCGATCCGCTGGGTTTACGTACTCTGTTTACACAAGCACGAGTCTGGTCAAGCCCAAAGTAGCGCCTGAACTTGGTGCCTACAAGCACAATTACTTCTTCAGGAAGAAACTCGACAGGCAGGAAAGTCCCATATTTGCCGATTGCTTCACTCCTAGTCCTTTCTGTTGAGTCAAGATCGGCAATCTCCAGGTTTTTGAAGCAAAACAGTCAATATGCCACGATCCACATGAAATGATCATCTTTAGAGTGCAGCTGCTCGGGATTATAGTAGTGGATGCCCATGGCATCTTCACCAAGGCACGTAATCTCACCCGAGGAAGAATCTTTTCCACGCAGCACGGAATATAATGCCAACATTAGGTGCTCTCGAAGAGATATCCACTCCTTTCGAGACTGGTTAATATCATACCCAAAAATATGTATGATTGGTCCTTACCTCACGTAAAGCATCCACTGAACCTAAAAATTCTGTTGGTGGTTTGTCCTTATGGCCATTGAATACATCTCGAGAGGAGAAGTATATGCTCTCCTTGGCAATGGGAATCTTGCCACGAACGAACCCTGTATGAGAAGGGCAGTATCCATTTGTGGAATCTTTCCTTCCAATGTCTTTCTCAAAAAAGATTTGCGTCTATTGACGTGGGTTTAAAAGACTATTAGATAGACTATTAGATAGCTATAGCGAGACTTGATGCCCACCCGTGAAAACATATTATCGCAGTGGAACCAACTTATCTGAGGCCAAGCCAACCAAAAGGTACCATAGCGAAATAAGAAAGTTCGGAATTCTCTAGCGGCTTTTGGATTGAGTGGCTTAGAGACATCAATAAGAGGCAAGAATACTCGAGTCGACATGACTTCTGTGCTCGGTTAGAAGGGTAAGTTGAAGTGAGAAAATGCATTTCATATTTACCTCCCCTCTATGGCAGACCATGGCCACCAAATATGCAACCTGCTTCGACTGTATTTAGGCATGAGCCTATCTATTTACTCCGCTATTCTGGAAGCCACTTTGTATGGTCATCTTTATCCTCGATAAAAATAGAGTTTACATGCCGTAGAGACGGAAGACCAATCCCGATCTGAGCATATCCGAGTGAAAACTGGATCGCTGAATGTCGGAATCCATAAGCGAAAAGCCACTGTATATTTGGCTTTCCATTAAAGATTAAAATAAGCTAAATGATCAAATCTAAGGTCTCTCGTTTGGTTCGCTTTCTAGAAATTGGCCCCGATCAGTGCTGTCTCCACATGACATCATCGCCAGCACCGACGAGCTGAAAAAGAAGCTGAAAGATCGCGGAAATCCCAGACCGAAATACTTCACTGTCCCTAAAGATATATGTGGAAGTATATCTAAATCGATAACCACCTCGCTCAGTACCTCCTTCCCAAGGCCAGCCACAATCCCGGGTTGGCCTTCGCTCGGTCAGACCTTCCCCCGCATTTTGGCTCGCGTTCCGGGGAAACTTGGGTTCTGCTCATCCCTGGACTCTCTCGTTACACCGCGAACCCGCCCACATTGATATACTGTATCTCTCGCGTCACTCCTTCTCGAGATGCGTCTGTCTCTCGCCGTGGCCGCGGCCGTCTGCCAGGCAGCGGTCAGCACGGCCTCGTCGCTCACTCCCCCCGTTCTGCCGTTGATCGTGCGGAACCCCTATCTCAGCACTTGGCTGGGCGATGCGCGCGAGGCGCCCTGGTCCAAATGGCCTATGTTTTACACCGGAGAGGAAGTCGGACTGTCATTGATGGCCCACGTCCCCAGTCAGGGTTCCGTGTATCCCCTGCTGGGCAAGCCTCATGATTCCCTGGCCTCCGACGGAGGGTATGAACCATCTCCTAGCTTTTTGAACACCAAGAAATAAATTGCTCACAAAAGAATATAGATATGAACTGCAATTCCCCGAATACCTCGGACACAATTATGACTCCTCTACCACCAACTTGACTTATCGCATCGACTCGGGGGCCTCGACCCCTCTGGATATTACTATTTCATTTCTTTCCCCCATCACCCCGACCTCGACTCTGCGGCAGTCGATTCCGGCCTCGTATGTCACAATCGATGTCCAGGGCGATGTTGACGTGAACGTGTACATGGACCTCGACGGCCGCTGGCTTAGCGGGGACCCCGGAAGCCCCATCAACTGGCAGCGGGACACGCTGAATGTCGAGGACAAAAAGCCCAGTCTCCAAAGATGGCAAATTCGCAAGGAGTCTGAACTCCTGCTGTCAGAGATCCGCGACCGTGCCGAATGGGGCACCCTTCACTTCACTGGACCTGCGGTAAGCTTCCTCATTTGGGTTTGGATGTGTTGATTCTAACTTCGAATAATAGGATGTTCGCTACGAGTCCGGTGATGCGGAAAAGGTGAGACGAGGTTTTGCAGGCTCTGGAGCGCTTCATAACAAAAACGATGATGCATTCCGGCCCATCCGTGATTGGCCCGTCTTTGCTTTTTCCAAGTCCTTCAAACTCGGACAGGCCTCCAACTATACTGCGGATAGTGTGACCTTTACGGTTGCTCTCGTCCAGGTTCCCGTCGTTCAGTATGCTGCTGCTCGCGGTCTCACTTTGATGCGGCCCCTTTGGGAGTCCTGGTTCCCGACAACCGAGGAGCTGTTGACGTTCCACTACAATGATCTTGCGGCGGCCGGTCTTCTTGCGTCCAACTATTCGCAGCAAGTGGCCCAGGATGCGTATCTGTCAGGAGCTGATGACTATGTTGACATTGTGGCCCTCTCTGCGCGACAAGTGATGGGAGCCACCACGTTCTCCGGTACCCCCGAGAACCCCATCTTGTTCTTGAAAGAAATCTCTTCAAACGGCAACTTCCAAACCATTGATGTCATCTTCCCCGCATTTCCATTCTTCCTATACACTAATCCGCGGTGGTTGGCATACCTGCTGGAGCCGCTGATCGAGCACATGCTTAGCGGGCAGTATCCGAACACCTACGCTATGCACGACTTGGGTACGCACTTCCCCAATGCCACCGGTCACTCTGATGGAAAAGACGAATACATGCCGGTCGAGGAGTGTGGCAATATCCTCATCATGGGCCTGGCCATTGTGAACTCTCTTCGCTACGAGAACTCAGGGGCAGCCTCGTCCATTTGGTCTTCGCACGGCTCGGCTCCTCCAGCTATCTCGAGCACGTCTTCTCAAATATTCCACCTTAACCATCTTCAAGCTCTCTCTGGGATTGCCCACCAAGACGGCAAATGGGGTGGTGGCTTGGATGGACAGCAATTGGCCAAGAAATGGGTGCAGCGCAGCTACCGTCTGTGGAAGCAATGGACTGGGTACCTGGTGGAATTCTCACTGGAGCCGGCCAACCAACGTAAGTTCCTATATCATTGTCTTCGTTTCCACGACAATCAAATACTGACATTCTTCACACAGTGTCTACCGACGACTTTGCCGGTTGGTTGGCACTGCAGACCAACCTGGCCCTCAAAGGAATTGTGGGGATCAAGGCCATGAGCAAGCTCGCTGAGGTGGCCGGGGAAGAGGCTGACGCGTCTTACTTCAAGGTACGGAAAATAAACCCTTCAATTGCTACCCAAGCAGCAAAACTGATAAAGTGCAGGAAATCGCCGACACCTACATCGCCAAGTGGGAGGAGTTTGGCATGTCCCGCGACGGCACGCATGCCAAACTCGCCTACGACTGGTACGGCTCCTGGACTACCATCTACAACCTGTATGCCGACGCCCAGCTCTGCTTCCACCTCGACGGAACCAACGTCTCCTCGTCTCAAGAGAAGGCGCCGGGCTTCGTGCCGCGTCACATCTACCAGAAGCAATCGGTCTGGTATCACTACGTGCGCCAGAAGTTCGGCGTGCCCCTTGACAGCCGACACTTGTACACCAAGACCGACTGGGAGTTCTTTTCGATGGCTGTTGCCTCTACCCCTGTTCGTGCGGAGATCCTCGAGTCTGTTGCCCGCTGGGTCAACGAGACCGTCACCGACCGACCCTTCACGGACCTGCACAACACCGAAGGAGACGGCAACTTCCCTGGCCCGAATTTCTTTGCCCGGCCAGTCATTGGTGGCCACTTTGCATTCCTGGCTTTGAGCCGTGCCTGTGGCGGCCGTGCCCAGGAGGGCTTGTCCTTCCTGGACGACATTGATGATGAAACCATGGCTCTTTGGATGAAGGATGCCGAAACGGCCGCAGCAGAGTTCCAGGGCCCATGGAGCAACCACCATGGCGCTGGAGAACTGTAGAGGAAGAGCTCATTCTTTTTGGGGTTCAACGAACCATTGCTGGTGGTAGTGTGCTATCAGTCAGTGCTCTCACTTCCCTTTTTCTGGTCTTTTCATCCATACTCTGGTTCATTCATCCTATAGGACTGGGTTGAGCACATTGTTACCTAGGTATTATATAGGTCTGTAGGCTGGAGGGAATATCCACGCACGTTGACCATGCCAAATGCAGTTTCTGGTCTAGATGTCCAACTTGGTAATTGCTCTCGCTGTATATAAGTAAATCTTGGGAAGTAGTATATATACTTCTCCAAGAGATAGCTCACATATTCAGTTCTAGTCATCTCATACCCTAGCCGGCACAACCTTGGACTGTCATGTATATATCTACCTCGATATATAGAAATCTGCATACGCAATGCAAAGCAGCAACCGCATACAGTGTATATAGCAGGGATATACTCTAGGAATCCTCCAAATTCAGTGAAAGATGTAGTTGCGTTTCCTGTTTTAGATTTTTTGGCTTCTGGATCGAATCAAATTACATGGGCCCATTGAATTCATCCAATTCACGTTTGCACAACCCCCTCCCACATCCGAAGGCACAAGGTTAAGAGCAGACACACAAACACAGACAAGACACACGAGAGTTTGAACTCCCCACTCGCAAAAACAGAGAGGGAAAAGTAAGAAACTCATTTTCGTCCCTCATATAAAGAAACAAGGGAGAGATAAAAAAGAAAAGACAAGGCTGGTTTGTGTCCCACGAGACCGAATCCCTCCCTCCCCACCGTCTTCTGAAACCCCCTTTTTCCCCTCCCTTCCGAACCTCAACTTGAAGAGCCCGGGCAAACACCATCACATATCATGCGAAGATATCCATGGAGGATTGAACCGACCCGAAAAAAAGAGGAAAAAAAAGTTTAGAACACAAGACAACCACCATCTCCCATAGTTGAGAGGGAAGAAAAAGGGGGGGAAACTACAGCAGCATCACAGAAAGGGGGGTGAAATAAAGGGGAGACCCGGTCTGAGAAACAAAGCAGCACCCCCGTCAATGACCGGTCGAGCTTAGTTGCCGCCGAGGCTGGGGAAGTTCTTCTCGTCGACGGTCGGGCCGGCGGGGCCACGGGGGCCGCCGCGGCCGCCACGGGGAGCACCACCATCGCGGGGAGCACCACCACCGCGGGGAGCACCACCACGGGGGCCAGCACGGCCACGGTCACCACCACGAGGGCGGTCACTGCCACGGCCGCCACGGCCACCACGGGGTCCGTTGGAGGGGCCGCTGCGGGGCTGCTCGACGAAGCGCAGGTCGACGTCCAGGAAGTTCTTCTCCTTGCGCTGCTTCTCACGCTTGGTCTTCTCCTGGGTGGCCTGGATGTAGGAGTCCTCTCCCTCGCCACGCTTCAGCTCCTTGGCCTCGGCCCACTTCTTGTCGGCCTTGGAGCCCTCGTTGGCGGCACGGACGGGCTTGGCAGCCAGAGTATCCTTCTGGGCTTGCTCGGCAAGGTAGTCGCTGTAAGACTTGGAGTTGTCGACCAGCTCCTTGGCCTCCTCATCGGCCGGAGTCTGGGGGGCGGTCTCGTCGTCCTTGGCGATGTTCTCGGCCTGACGCTCGTCATCCCAAGTCTTCTCGCCGCTGTCGGCACCCCAGCCCTGCTGGACTTGCTTGCGGGTGTCGCTAAAAACAAGCCAAGGGATTAGCTTTCAAGATCACGCCTTGCAGCTGAGAAACCAATGAACAACAAAAGTTCTTTGGACTTCTCTGCCCACGGAGGAGGCAATCGCTTACGTCTGACCAGTGCGAGACTGGCGGTCGCCACGGCCACGGCCGCTGCGCTCACCACGTCGCGAGGGAGGAGCAGCCTCGTCAGTGGGCTTCTGGCGGTTGTTGATGCGACCAGCGTTGCGGTCACGGAAAGCTAACAGGAAGTTAGGTCCAGAGTGTCCCCATAAATGACAGCACCTCGGATTTCACAATGACGTACCAGCCTCGTTACCGCCGGTCACGCGGCCACCACGGCGGGCGTTGGACTCCGAGAGACGGGGCTGGTCGATGGGCTCCTTGGGAGCATCACGCTTGCCATGACGGGGGACAGGGCGGTCGACGGCCCTCGTGGGGGGCTGGGGGGGGTCTGTTGGGGTCGAGTTCTGGATCATTGCCTGGTGGAGACAGAAAAGCAGGTTAGCCGACAATTGCAATTGACCTGGGAAAAGCTTTCATTTCGATTCGAAACAGTGTAGCTGTTCTTCCTCCAGTGGTTGTGGGAGTAGGTTTCAAGGGAGGGCCAATTTACCAAGAAGCTCATAGAGGTTCTGTCGATCGCCGATAAAAATAGCCAAGGTTAGCCACAAGATTTCAAGCAAATCACAATCCCTTCTCCAGAGAACATAGAAAGCGAAACGAAGAAAAAAGATCCCAATTTCGTCTCGAGACGCAGCAGCGTGTCGCCAGGAAGTCGTAGGAGAGCTCTGATGTCAGCGTACCTTGGACCGGACGTCCACCATGACGCCTGGTGTTGTGGAGGCCTTCCGGGGTGGGAAGGCACTCGACTCTCGCAGACGGATCGATCGGGAGAAGAAGATGGGCACAAGGCAGAACCCTAGCAGATCCGGCCTTTTCGAGATTGGTGATGATGAAGGGGGGGGGAATTGGAGGTTTGTGGCTGCAGGGACGAATCGGGTAAGCGCGGTAGCGGTTAAGCGAGCTTAGCTAATCGTTTGCGTAGAGTCACGTGAGGACACCTCACTGTTGACTAAGTAATTAGTCAACCATATAACTAGTCCCCGGCCCTGGAGCGGGCCTTTGGTCTACTATGTTGTACCTTTTTTTTTTTTATTAATTCAGAGCTTATACTCATCTAGTTGTTTATAATCGTCCATCTGTATGGTAGCAATGCTATCCCATTGGATTTGTTATGGCGGAAACCACTCTGGACTCCAAGACCCAGGCCCTTCATCATTGCTTCATCATGCATGTTTGCACGAGAGCGACCACTCATCCGTCGACAATTATCAAAGACCTGACGTCAGACAGGAAACAGACTTGCGACCTCCGCATTAGTGTCCAGGCCATTGTACTACTTTCTGCTGCAAGAGTCGAGGAGATATTCTCACCCCCCAAAGCCACCTAAGTATATATGCATACAGTGGGTGAATGTCTTTGCTAACTTGAGACGAGCCCAGAATAGAATATACACAGCAAGAGCCAGAACTCTGCAGCTTCCATTCACATACACAAGACATAAATATACCGAAGAAGATAAAAATTTCGCTGGTATCAAAATCCCTCGGGAAAAAAAAAAAACGACAAACACAACGCCAGGCAATGCTCCAATCGAACTTTTCGGGGAGTGAGGATTCATTGACAACATTCTCTTTTTTTTAACATATCCTTTTCTCAATATCTTTGCCACTCCTTTTGTGTGCTATTTCCGTACTTCCCCCTTTTCCTTGTGAAGGATAGGGATGTTGTGGTGCTCTTAGTGCCGGGAATTGTTCTGTTCGTAGTTGAATGGCGTCGGGAAATGCATGCTGGCACTCAATCCAAAAGGATCCGCATCTAGCATCGGCTCATACTGACCCAGCAGATGGCTCGTGTTTCCAAAATCCCCCGAGGCTCCATCGCCCGGTGGGGGGTTGAAGCCTGACAGAGAGTGAGAGCCTGGAGTGACGGACTGTGGTGTGAAACCAGGTACATAGGGGGTATTGACAGAGCCCTCGTGGTCCTCGTCCACGAGATCTGCTTGAGCATCATATTCGGTTTCTGGAGTAAAAGTGTCAGCCATGATGGATCAGAGGTTGCTGTATACTGTTGGTAACCAGGTCATACCGAGTTGGTCGTAATGCTTCTGGAAAGGCGACGGGTAATACGCTGCGGCAACCCGCCCACCCCTGGGCCCCATGGCACGGGATTTGGGATCCGCCGGCTCAGTCTGCGGCATGCTAATGGCGGGCGGTGACGTCTGCCCAAATGTGCGAGGCTGCGGCAGAAGCTGCGGGCGGCTGCCGGAGCCTTGGGTCTCGGGGGACATGGCGCCCTGGAAGGCAAAGCCGGGCGACTTGGTGTGAGAGGGCGAGGAGACATGGGAGGACGGGGTGGCCTGGAACTGAGGCGAGGGCATGCCATATGCGGCATCGCGCTGCGATATGCCGAAGGCCTCGGGCTTGGAGGCGATGCCCGTGGGGTGTCGTTGAGCGGAGCGGGAGCCGGCTGCACCGCCCGCTGCTGCAGGTTTGGTCGAGGCCATGGGGGTGGACTTGGTCGGGGCGCCCGGCGCCCCTGTCTTCAAGCGCAGCTCGGCCTGCACATCGATGCCCTTTTCCAGCAGGATGCGTTCCAGCAGCGAGTTCTTATACCGCAGCATCAGACATTCATCGGCTGCGCTGCGGTGGCTCTGCTGCAGGCTCTGCAGCGAATCCTCATTGCGTTTGATGGTCGTCTCTAGTTGGCGGATGTACTCGGTCCGTCGCTCCCGGAAGGCTGCCTGCGCCTGTCTGTTGCGCTGCTTGCGTTCCTCTGAGGTTGCGTAGATCTAACGGCATCATGAGTGGGTGTTCTCAACCACGGAAAGAAAAGAAAAGAAAAGAAAAGAAGAAAAGAAGAAAGCAAAAGACACGAGGCCAGCAATGTGACACGGAGGCGGGGGGAAGAGGTGAAGAGTGAAGTCGGGGATGGCAAGAATGTGGGGCCCCAGATTCGGAAGAAAAAGACACAGAAAAGAACAGCAAAAGAATAATCAAAGATTTACGTACAGGTTTCCGGCCACCCTTTCGTTTCTGAGTCTGCGCAGCATCTTGCGTCAACGGTTCGGCCTCGGCATCTGGCGTCGACATCGAACTGATGGAACCGTCGGGGATCGGTTCAGTCTTGGGCATCGGGTCCATGACCATCTCATTGTGATCGGGAGAGGCCTCAACCATAGAGACCATTGGATCTCGCGAGATGTGTTTTTATTCTTTTATGATTTTTTTTCTTCCCCTTCACTGTGCCTGCCAGTCTCCGCACATCGACCGACACAGACACAGCAACTTTCCCCCCGAACCACGGGGTTTGGGAACGGAAAAAAAGAGAGAAATCAAAAATAATAATAAAAAAATATAATCAAGATAAAATAAGAAACGCAACCGCGCGGCTACGCGGTTAGAGGGGACGTGCGAAGTCGAGCGAGCGTGACATAAAGAAAATTGGGAATTATGAGAAAGGAAGAGTCAGAGAAATTGCAGATAAAGGGGAGGGAAGAAAAGAAGATGTGAGGTAAAGCATTTGACTAAGTAAATCTTTCACGTAAAAAAATTATGGGAGGGGCTCGCCTATTGACTTTTTTTTCTTTCTCCCTCCTCACACACTCTCTCTTTTTTTCTTTTCTTTTTTTTTTCTTCGACACGCTACACTCCACGTTGCTTTGACTGGTTGCCTTCTTTCTCGACTCCACCGGTACCCCCAGACTGGCAAATTCCAAAGGACCTTGGCGATTTCCGAGAAGGATCTGGCGGCTCCTGCGTGTGGGGGGAAAAAGGCCCCTTTGCAAGTGAGATCGTGGAGATTGTCCGCGGAGAAAGAGCAGCGGTATTGGTTCAAGGGGCCGGAAAAGAAAAAGAAAAAGAAAAAGAAAAACAGAACAAAACGTGTGTGGCCAAGAAACATGGCCGAATAGCCGATACCGGGGCGAACCGGGGCTGAGTGAGAGGGGGCAAATCTGGGATGAGATGGAGAGATTTTCACTCTTCCCCCCTTCCGCCTATGCTGCTTCAGGTCACCGACACACATCATTTGACTTGACTCGTTTTGGGACTGAAACTGGGACTAAAACTCTTCAATGCCTTCGGTGAACTTGTGTTTCCCCACTCTCTGGGGGCGTGCGGGAGGCGAATCACGCGGATGCGCTGAAGGAACCGCACATGATGCAATGGTCCTTTACCCCGGACTGCAACAGGCTCTGTGCGGTGCAGATTCTCGCCCGAATCCATGCGGGGGGCTGGACGATACGAGTTGTCACCTACTCAGCTTGGGAGGTACTGCCCACTGACCGGATTTCCTTTTCCAATTTAGTGCTCATTCCTCGCCCTTGATCACCCCCGAATCAAGCAGGGTATTGATCGGGAGGGACACGCCAAAACCTTAGGTCAGTATTGTATTAGGCAAAGATTTACCAATCCCTAGCTCAATAGTGATATAGACCGATATCATGATTCCTGCCAATCTCATTACCTTAATCATTTTTCAATATCTACCTCCCACTATTGCCCCCAACTTCCTTTGCTATCCGAATTATATCCTCCAATACGTCCTTTCCGCGTCGGTGAAGTTGTATACATGGTCAGCCGATACACAACAGACGTTTTTCCCTTTGAGCTTCCAAGAACTGTCGTCGTCAAAAGTTCTTGGCTCTCTGATAAACGCTTCGAACCCAGTAGGGCTTTGATCTTGGTTCGGTGAGAATTTGTGCGGTAGCAGCCAGCCGTTTAACTACAGTGGACGGCTATCCACCTAGCTTAAATTAGCCTCCACTATGTTGTTGCGACATGGTACACACTGCTTGAACATTTGAGGGTAGATGACTATGCCATTCATGACATTAATTCGAACGATTATTGTCTGGCCAAAGCAGATGGCATCATAACCGGAGATAATTCTATTTCGGACAAAACCGCATCCTTTGCATATAAAAATGGGCAAAACTTCTAGCTTGACAAGCCGTGAGAATTACGATATGGTGTATGTATGCAAGAGAGAAACATTGTTAGACCGAAACGCTACGAAATGCAGTAGACGGTATTACTAGTAATTATGTCGCATGTTTCATACATCTGTATCTTTTGAAGCTAATTTTCTCTCATCTGGAATTCCTTCCTTCTCCTCGTCTGTCAGATGCACGTGAAAATTTTCAGCTAGAGCCTGCAAACGCTCGTTTTCCGTCTTGCACTCCTTGATGACCCTGCGATTAGTGCCAATGGTTTCTGTTACGGTGTCCTTGAACAAGGTGACATTGCCCACAAGCAGCTCCTTATCCTCGTCCATGAGCATTTTCGTGCAGGTGACGTATCTGGTGAAGAAGGATCTTGGGTTTGTCGACGTGAACCAGGACATGACTTCATAGTCTTGGGGCAAGAATTCTGTCTCTGTGAAGCAATAGACTGGCACCCAATCCTTCTTGGCGTCATCGTCTGGATTGTGGCAGACATCGAAGCACCACAGTTTCGGCGGTCCTGTCCGGTTGGCAGAGTTGGTCGCATACGACTCGGCGATCGGCCGGAGCTGCACGCGTATTAAACGTGGGGCAATGCTGGTCGTCTGGAATCCGTCGCGCAGCGGATACGGGAGGTTGGGGCCAATAGATCCCATCCCTACATCCACGACGTACCACTCGTCGTCCAGCAGCACAAGATTGAGCATATGGTTCCACCCGTCATAGGTCGCCCTCTGATTACGCCGGACGTCTGGGTAGGGACTCATTGCCCGCGCCACGCGGCCTGCGCAGTTGCGCACTTCATAGCCGAGCGAGCGAAGGACGGTCCCGAAAAAGCTGTTATTTTCCATACATCGCCCGCCCAGCCGCCGACGGACTACCTTAGTGTAGAGCTCCCTTTGATCAAGCGTGACGGTCTTGTGTGCGGAATAGTGAAGGACGAGGTTGTCGAAAGGAACATTGCATACGTGGTACCGTGTTAGGGCCCGCAGTAAGGGCAGCCCATGCTCTTTGGTTCCAGCCTGAGCAGCGTCCTTCAGCACAATCGAGTCCCGATACCTTTGTGGGAGCTGGATGCACTCAAAGTAGTCGCCCAACTCGGTATCGGAGTAGCGTGGACGGGCGTTCTCGTCCAAAGGGAGCTGGGTAAGGGCAGTGGGCGCGGGGTTTGTCCACATTATGGTTGAAGGTCAGGCCAGTAATGGAGGACACTTGAATCGTGCGGAGCAGAAGGATCCCCCAAGAAATACTAGTATTTAGAGTGGAGGAGTCTTTCTGCCGGAATAGCTTCTGTAGCCGGACCGGAAATCCGCGAGCAGAGTGCGAGTCGTGATTCAAAGGGCACCAAGCAGCTTTTCATCGATATTTGCGCGCGATATTTATCAATATAAGAAAATGTGAAATAGGTCCTTGAAAAGTGGGAGGATTCGACTTCGCTACCCCTCACGTGACCCTTCTAACCCTCTATACGCGTTATGGCCGTCCCCTATAGTCAGACCTACACCTTCGGTGCTGGTCCTCCACCGCTCAATATATATTCTCGTCTCAACACACATTCTTTATTTCTGTCTGCTTTCTGTTAATAATATAATACATTTCTTTGTCTGATTAGAGGGTCTTTAATAGCTAATTCGCCTTTTTTTTTAATATAGGACTCGCTTCTTTTGAGTATAATAGCGAATTACTAAATAGCTATGAAGGCTACTGCTTCCTTTTTCGTCGATCTGCCCACTACTTCTCTCACTCGCTACGGTCCCTAATTTACAAGTAGTATCTCGTATATATAAAATACTATTTTGGGAAGCTACCGACGCGGTTAAGTGGTTTTTTCTAGGTTAAATTTAGCGTAGATATCATACTAAATTAGTTTAGGTTTACGATAGCGAAGCGATATATCCAGTTCTTCAAAATATATGGAAATATATATTCTGCAGCGTTTTACTTTAAAATCTAGTTTGCATACTATTTAACTATACCAATTATATACAGAATTTATAGAGAATTAAGCTATCGAATCTAATGAATATATACTTTTTCTTATGAATTATTGAACGATTTATTAGTTAAGGGACAAAAGATCGAGATTCGCGACCGTAGAAGCGAGTATACAGTCAGCAATAAAGAATATCGAATTTACGCGCTAATATAGAGATATTTGGTCTTGTTTTTTTTTTCGTTTACTAGCTTCGCAGGTATCAGGGATTCGCTTTTCGATATTTCTGTACGATTGGGACATGATTAATAGAGGTAAAAAGCAAAAAAGCAGATTGAAATGAAGAATGTATGTTGAGCGGCGGAGGACCAACAACGAAAGTGTAGGTCTGACTCTAGGGAACGGCTATGCCACCTTGACTGGGAATGGAAGCCTCAGCCTTGGACAACCAAATGTCACCATAACAAACACAACAGATCATTCCTACCTGGCCGATGACCAATTGGGACATTGTCCGCTGTGATTCCTTGCCTATTGATGACCTCGAAATCAATTTTCCAAATGCGAGAAAAAAAGGCAGAATAAGTTTACCTACCAAAACCAAAAGGATATATCCTACGCCCTTTAGGATATTATGATATCTTGTTAAGTATTGAGTTGTGCTCTGGATAATATTGCTTAATGTTATATTCCACTCTATCACAATCTTTCAAAAGAGTTGGAGATGATTTTTTCTCGATAACTACCGTTGTAAACGCCTAAATTAAAAATGAAGTACAAAAGCCTTAATATCCCAGAAGGGAGGCATAAATAGGTATATAATAGAATTCACGATCCTAAATAGGGGCAGACAACTATTCAAACATAAGCACTTCTTTATGATGGGCCCCTATGCACGTACCATTTGGCCGCCACGCGTCTCAACAATCCGGACGCCTTAAATTTCCAATTCATCTCCAGATTTCGAAAATAGTGGGATATGTGATTCAAGCCGATTATCCAATCTCGTACCTGTACTGGGGCCAACTTAGTGACGTGAAGGGGTGCTATGATTGCAGTGGAGGCGATGCCAAACCCACGTCAGTTCAATTTATTTTAAATCCCTCAATATAATTTATATTTAATCGAGAACTTAATTTATGAGAAATTGACATTGAGGGATTTACAACCAGCAACTACGCAATAGGGCGGCCATGTTGTCCCGGAAAGGTGTGATATTGATCAGGGGCCGGCATTTTTAACACCTAGTGGAAAGTAACGCACCAGTGAAAACAACCATGCTGTGTAATTAAATCCGACTGCAGGGTAGGAGTATATCAAACCAGGAAATTCTATGTGTGAATCCTGCCCAGCCGTTTGATGACGTTACCTTTTGAGTAGTCCTCGGCGCAGCTTAACGAAAGTGGAAATATGGCAGACCTTTGACCATGGCACCTACCAACTCTGGGGACTCATCCCAGCTTAGTTTCCCCCGCATCTGACACTCCACTTTATCTGGGCCAATGGATGCTGTCAAATATCAAACTATATATTTACCCCCCGTGGGACATGGAGCAGTCGCGATATATTCTACATCTTCCCAGTCTATCTCAGTCTAGGCTAGTGAATCCAAGATTTTGTCTCTTTCTTTTGGGATAGCACAAAACATCTTCATCATGGCTAAACCAACCAGCTCCTCCTCAGACCATATTGAGACAATCGCTCCACCGGAGAAAGAGCACCATCGAGAGCTGGAAGATATCAACGCTATTCCATTGGGATGGTTTATATGGGTGGTGGCCTTTACAGCCTCCATAGCGGGCCTATTGTTTGGGTATGTTATACTGGAGTGGACCCTTTCATAAAATTACTCACGACAGAGTCTAGATATGACACTGGCATCATCTCCGCAGTCCTGGTGTATATCGGAAACGACCTTGGAGGACGGGCTCCAACGCATAGCGAAAAGGAACTGATCACGTCGCTCTGTTCCGCGGGCGCTTTCTTCGGTGCCATCTGTGCAGGTATGACCGCCGATAAGGTAAGAAAACATTCAATAATCGAGCGGAGAGAGGAGACAAAAACGGTACATTCTCATTAGGAATTTTGCAGTTTGGCCGCAAGAACCCTATCTATGTCGGCTGCTTCCTGTTTACCATAGGCGCCGCCCTCCAAGCATCGGCCTACACTATCGCCCAGATGGCAGTAGGCCGCTTTGTTGTCGGTTTGGGTGTCGGCTCCGCGGCAATGATAGTGCCTCTTTATGTCGCCGAGCTGGCCCCGGCGCAGGTCCGAGGTCGACTAATTGGTTTGAACAACATTTCTATCACAGGCGGTCAGGTTCTCTCGTACGCGATCGGCGCGGCATTTGCCTCTGTTGATAACGGCTGGCGGTATATGGTTGGTCTAGGTGGCGTCCCCTCAATCATCTTGGCTTGCTTGCTACCTTGGTGCCCTCAGTCTCCACGACAACTGGTTTACAAGGGGCGAGTGGATGAAGCTAGGTCCGTACTCCGTAGGATCTACGGACAGGCTACGGAGCACCAGATCGAGATCATCCTGGGTTCGATCCAAGATGCATGCAACGAGGCGCGTCGCCTGAACGAAAACGAAAGCAAGTGGGATAAGATCGTCCAGTTGCACCGTGTTCCCGCCAACTTCCGGGCATTGTTCAGCGCCTGTGGGTTGATGGTTATGTCCCAAATGTCGGGCTTTAACACTCTGATGTACTACTCATCTACGTTGTTCTCTATGGTGGGGTTTGACCAGCCCGTGGCCGTGGGACTTATTGTTGCCGCGCCAAATCTTGCCATGGCCTTTTTGAATGTCCTACTCGTTGACCGTCTCGGTCGTCGTCGTCTCCTTCTCTACACCTCATGGGGTATGTGCGCTGGTCTAATCGCCGTTGCAATAGCATTTGCCTTCCTCCCCGTCGATACAGAAACCTTGGAAGTCCACACAGGCGGGACGTCGACCGAAGCCATCGTTATCCTGGTCTTTGTTCTATGGTTTGTCCTCTTCTACGGCGTGTCAGTGGGCAACACCGCCTGGATGAGCGCCGATTTCTTCCCGCTCGAGGTGCGGTCTATGGGGACGATGTGGATGACTTGTTCTACTTGGGTGAGCAATGTCATTGTTTCTAGCACCTTTCTCTCAATGATGCAAACCATGACCCCATCGGGTACCTTTGGTTTCTATGCTGGTATATGTGGTCTTGGTTGGGTGTGGATCTATTTCTTCTATCCTGAGGTATCGGGTTTGCAGCTCGAGGAGATTCGTGGAATATTCGAGAGGGGCTATGGAAAATCGATGAGAAGTAGGAAGGCGCCGACTATGGAGCTGGCTTGAAATCAGAGACGGGAATAGGAATGGAAGCAGCCAGATTGTATTTACTACGTGAAGGGGTTGTACTCAACCACAGATATCAAAGAGAGCGCGATGTATCTCAGGCTCGGAGGGGGTATAACCATGGCTATACTTAAGTGCACTTAAATGCCCGTTAAGAACCATTCAGATATTCATTAACCACAGTACACTCTCAATATATCCAAACATTTAAAACCGTAGAACCATAGCTTTGCGTCTTCAGAGTTGGAAACCACTTAACCCAGTTCACGGAGTCGGTGTCGATAAAGAGGCGAATTACACTACTGGTCGATTTGAAAGGACCGGAGAAATAATATGATTCCCTTCTAGTTTGGAAGGGCATTGTAGGGGAAGGGGACCCGATTTTTACTTAGAAACATTGACCATGACCAACTCAATGGCCCCACGGGGAGAATCTCCGCATGGTCGTAGAGATCGCTCACATCACTTTGAACCAATTTCAGGGCCGGGGAAAATTACTCTTCTTCTCAAAGGAAATATTCCCCGTCCTGGACCCACATTGACTCGCGGTATACATGCAAGACATGAACGGTTATTGATGCTGATTCCAATGAAGATTATCGGAGAGTATTTCTAAAAGACTGTTGCATCACCGGTTACTGCCAACAGAAATGAGGGTCTCTCGCTGATCTTCAATCGTCGCACTCTTACACGCCGACACATACATTGGCAATGTGAGTTGGCCGAACTCCACGGTTGCGGGGAAGAAGATTGTTTCCTTTTCGAATGCTCATCGGCGAAACTAGCTGAGACCAGGTTAACTCTCGCCGAAATATACCTCCAACACACAAAGTCAGTGTCTTATTACTAGTAATCTCAAAATTTATATTAGACGCCAAAGGTTTCCCTCTTTCTTGCCAATGAGTATCTTGAACTCTTCATTTTCTTCTTGAGGCGCACAATGTACGCACTCGCATTATCACTGGCCGTGCTGGGGTACTTTATGGTGATCCCCGTCATCAGGTACTTCCAGGACTCAAAGGGACTCAGGAAATATCCCAATTACTATCGATTGTCCGGTCTATCAGATCTGCCTTTCATTTACGAAGCACACAAAGGCTTCCGCACACGCAATCTGTTCGAAGCCCATAAAAAACACCCCGTTTTGCGAGTTGGTCCCAACTCGCTATCCTTCTCTGATCCCAACGCCATCAAGGATATCTACGGCCACACGACCAACTGCATCAAGGACCGCTTCTATTCCGAAACGGGGGGCAGCCACTCCCACCTTGCCGATGTCGTGAACAAGAAGGATCACGCACGGAAGAGAAAGGTCTTGTCAAGCGCCTTTGCCATCAAGAACCTTGAAGAATGGGAGTTCAAGGTGGCCGCTGTCAGTGCTAAACTCATCAAAGCCTTTGATGATCGGTGCACCGATCCACTGCCTCCAAATCAGAATCCAAAGAAGGAAGACTTGACAATTGATTATCGCAACTGGACGGTGCTGTGGACCGCAGCTGCCATCGCCAATATTGCACTCAGCGAAGACCTCGGCTTCCTTAATGAGGGATCCGACACAATCAAGTCTGAAAGCAAGGACGGCACAGTGAAGGAAGTCTCCTTCCGTGATTGCCACCTTGCTACACAGACAGCGTCCTACCTGCTAGTCTGGTCCTACGACTGGTTCAAGACCCTCCGCCGACTTAACCAAGCGATCTCGTCAAGTTATCGACGTCTGTGCCAGTTAGATGGCGACTGGGGTGGTATTGTTTATAACCGCGCGACTACACGGATGAAGCGATATATGGCTGGCGAGAAACTAGACGACTTCTTCGCCGTTCTGATGGAAGACAAGAATGGATCACCGCACAACCTGGAATGGGGCGAGATCGTCGCGGAGATTAGTATCATGATGAATGCGGGCCACGATACCACCGCTATCTCCCTTCGAAACGTCCTATTTTTCCTTCTGAAGAATCCTAAATGCATGGCAAAGCTTCGTGAAGAGCTGGACGAGGCTCTGGAAGAGGATGAGGTCGTTGCACCCTACGGCAAAGTCAAGCATCTACCCTATCTTCGGGCCTGCATCGATGAGAGTCTTCGAATGCTGCCGCCCATTGTTTTCGGCTTGCCTCGGCGAACGCCTATGGAGGGAACTTCCATCCTCAATGAATATGTCGCCGGAGACACGTCTGTCAGCATTTCGTCGTACGTGATGCATCACCAAGAGTCAGTTTTCAAGGACCATGATACCTACAATCCGGAGCGATGGCTGGGAGAGGAGGGCAAAGCTCTGCAGCCATACTTCATTCCCTTTAGTACCGGAGCTCGAGGCTGCATTGGCCGGAATATTAGCTACCTCGAACAAACGGTTCTCATTGCTTCTTTGGTGCACCGGTTCGAGTTTGCTTTGCCAAACCCCGATTGGAATCCCCCGATCCGCGAGACGACAAATCTGAATCCGGGTCCGATGCCGTTGAAGGTTTGGAGACGAGGCACTGCCTAAGCAAGAATTTACTTCGTTATGATAGGATGAGACTAGAATGAATTGAAGCGAAATTACATGAGATATTGTCTTATTGCTATTTGATATAGCTAAATCTCCTTTGCTTTGGATATTTTCATGCGCTATAGATTGCACTTGCTTGGGATATAGATGCATGCTCCGGTGTCAATGGACATCAGAAAATTCATGTCCTAGGATTGTAAAGGACTGCACAGTTCTTTTGTTTAGAATAAATCATCGAGTACTTCTGACAGTCTGGCAAAAGATCGCCGACGTGACTGAACCCCCTTTGCCCAAATATTTCCCTATCCGCCAATGCCTTTATCTGCGGCTCCGCAATGACACGGTTCGGGATTCTAGCTCTATTCGCAAATTGGAGCTGAAGGACTGCGGCTCTGACCAGAGAAAACGAAATTTGTATCTTCTACCCTGCGACCCCCGCGTTTTGAAGGTCCACTTTCCTATGGGGCACAGCATTACCGTATTCGGAAGGTTGCGGCGAACGGGAAACAACTAAATTCTTGAACGCGGGGGTAACTCGCCCACTGGTTACTCCGTCAGGTAAAAAGAGCATCCTGTGTGAGGACAAGCTGGCCGACATATCTCAGGTTACAACCGGGCAACCTTTCCCTGAAGAGGAAGACCAAACTTCCGCCGATCTCGTGTCCGGCACTGAATTGCCTCTCAACTATATAGAAAGGGTGCCCTTGACACACTTTTCTTTTGTTACGTTCTGCGTGTAGCATAAAGCCACGGGTCTATATATTTTTGTCTTCCAACACTATCATCTCCCACTATCAATATGGCACCCTCAACCCATTTCAAGCTTAACACCGGCGCCCGAATCCCCGCTGTGGGACTTGGTACGATACAGGCACTACTTCCTGCGATGTTTAGCTGCTTTTTACTAACCAAAAATACAGGCACTTGGAGATCTCAACCTGGCCAGGTTCGCCAAGCAGTCTCGTTCGCACTCAAGAACGGATATAGTCACATTGACGCGGCATTGTAAGGTTCTCATGTGTCTTTTGCTGCGTATAGACTTGGCTAATAAGTCACAGGATCTACGGTGGGTTGTGGCAAAGAAAAGAAGAAGACAAAAGCAAGTTTGGGTCTAATGGGATATCTAGGAAACGAGCACGAAGTCGGCCAGGGAATCAAGGATAGTGGTGTCCCTCGCGAGAACATTTTCATCACGAGCAAGCTGTGGAACACCCATCAGCCCAATGTTGCGGAAGGTCTTCAAAAGACACTTGATGCTTTGGGCACGGACTACCTCGATCTTTATGTAACCCAAACCTCTTCCTTCTTTTCTCCTTTGGGGCAGACGCAGCAATCGACTAACACAACGATCAGCTCATCCACTGGCCAGTCCGACTTGTTCCTGTCAGTATTTCCCCTCTTTGTCTCTATCTCGACATTTGCCATGGCTAATTTGGTACACACAGAACGAGTCGAGCGCACTTCTCCCAGTCAACCCAGATGGCACCCGATCCGTCGACCGATCCTGGGACCAGAGCGAGACCTGGCGCCAGATGGAAGAGGTATACAAGGCCGGAAAAGTGAATGCAATTGGCTTGGCCAACTGGTCTATCCCGTATTTAGAGGAACTCAAAAAGAACTGGACCATCGTCCCTGCTGTCAACCAAGTCGAGTTACACCCTTTTCTCCCTCAGCACGCACTGAAGGAGTGGTGCGATGAGCATGGCATTCTCCTCGAGGCTTATTCACCACTTGGCTCTGAAGGTGGGTTGCTCACTTTCCCCTTTTGTCTAATTTGACGAACGGTAGTTAACTTGATCGTCCAGGCGCTCCGCTCATGTCCGAACCCGCAATCCAGGAGATCGCTCAGAAGAACGGCGTTTCGCCTGCCACGGTTCTCATCAGCTACCACGTCAACAGGGGTGTTGTTGTCCTGCCCAAGTCTACTACGGAAAATCGAATCGTGAGCAACAGTCACGTTGTTCCTCTCTCCCGCGGGGATATGGATGTGTTGAATGGCCTGGCTGTGCAAGGAAAGGCGAAGCGTATCAATACGCCTCTATTTGGATGGGATCTTGGTTTCGATGACTGGTACAAGCAGTAAAATGCCCAGATTTGGATCTAGAATCTTTGACTATGGGAAATGTCACTCTTTATAGACTGAAAGTGTTTTCGATGTTGGAATCTGTTTAGATAGAATGTAGTACAATTGAAGAAGAGAAAAAGAAGTAATATAAAGCAGAATTTGACCTGAATAGTTGCGCTTGCATGTTAAATAGTAAGAACCCTTTGCCTAGTTTCTACTTATGCTCCTTGGGAAGTATATCAACTCACTAAAATCCCTCAACTCAGATGAACAAAAACCCGGTCCTTTTCAGAGACAATTCTTTGAACGCAGAAATAATCAATTTATTTCATCTATAAAACTAAACTTTGTAAGGGGGTGGGGAGATGCCTTCCTTGAGCGCTTTCAGTCGCAAAGCCAACAATTTCGAGGCATACCGAGTCATTGGCAAGAACCCAACCATGATCCACATGTTGGGCACTCCCGTCTCACGGTACGCCGTCTTGTACTCCCCTTCCTCGTCAATACCCCAAATAGGTCCGCATTGGCTGGCAATCTTCTCACCGAGAGTGGCTCGGATTGAGTCGATTGTGTTGGAGAATCCAGTGGCAAAGACGACCAGGTCAAACTCCTTCTCACGGCCGCCGTTTAAGATCACTTTATCTTCGGTGAACTTCTCAATGAACCCTGGCTCTACCTTGATGTTCCCATTGATGATTTCATCGCAAGCACCGGCATCAAAGTAAAATCCGCCGTTGCGAGTCTGGCCTAGTGTGGAGTTGCCGGTATCGCGCTGGCCGCGCCATGTTCGCAGACCTCGAGCGTTCAGAGCTTCGAGCAGGGGCCTGTCAAGGTCCTCAAGGGTCTTGGCGGTGCGTTTGGCCAGTTCCTCGCCGGGCCCAACTGGCGTAGCGAACATGAGCCGATCCTGTACGTCCGTATCAGGGAGCTTACCATTCTTGTCGGGTGCGTAGCCTCCAAGCATGCGGGGAACAGAGTGTGTCAAAGACATCACGTAGGTCGGTGACCGCTGGAGGAGTGTCACATCAATTCCTAGGCGAGCGCATTCGTACGCTGTATCAAAGCCCGAGGACGAGGTCCCGACGACGCAGACCTTCTTTCCGACAAAGTCGCGGGCACTATTGTGGCCACTGGAATGACGGATCACGCCCCGGAAGTCAGCCATGCCAGGCACGGCGGGAGTGGAAGGAACACCACAGAGCGATGTGGCCATGATAACATGCTCAGGGTGCAGTGTGCGAGTCTCCTTGCCCTCCTTGTTGATGACAACGGTCCATTTCCCCTCGGCGTCCTGCTCGGCCTTGACAACCTCTGATTTCGTCCAGACATTCAGCTCCAGAGCCGAGGCATACCACTTCATGTAGAGACCCTGCTTCTGGGCCGGGGTGTAAGTGGGCCAATGCTGAGGGTATTTGAAGTATGGCAGGGCGTCAGGCCAGTGGGGGAAGTGCAGGGAAAGGTACTCGTAACGCTTCTTCCAGATATCTCCGACTTCGTCGCTGCGTTCGATGATCAGGTTTTTCATACCAAGAACCTTCAAGCGTGCTGCCATAGCGAGACCACTAGTGAAAAGGAAAGAAAAGAAGTTAGGGCTATGTCATGGAGCGCACATGCGTGGTTGCTTACTTTTGACCACCACCGATAATCAGCACCTCCGGGTCAACAGTGTTGATGGCCTCGGATCTCTGACTCTCCCAGCTAGTGATACCAGTCATGTGTCCATCTGGTGCGGCCTGCTCGGGGAACTGCTTGAGGCTTTCAGCAACAGTATGCATGGTGTAAATTCTCCAGCCATCTTGAGTGAGAACTGCATTGATGACAGCCGACGCAAGGACAATCTCGGTCTCGAAGGATACAACGAATTGCAGCTGAGAGAAGTCAGGGTACGGGCGCGACACCGAAGGCGCAGGCTCGAGAAAGTTGAAGTTTCTCGCCTTGGTTTGAGGCAAAAGGTCGGTGGCGGCTTTTAGGATGGCGTCTTTGAAGTTGAATGTGCGGAAGTCCCAGGTGAATGAGAGCTTGTCACGCCACACGCCTGTATATCCGAGGTCAGTCTTAAGTCGAAATCGTGGATCTTTTTTGTGAAATAGTCTCACCATAATAGAGGAACAGATCAGCGAAGGCTTGCGCATCTTCCTCTGATGTGGCCTTAGAGAGACGAGCTACAATGCCCTCGGCCTCATTCTGAGCATCGCAATCGGTGGGAATGTCAATGCCTAAGATGTCCGTAGTGGGGAGGCTGTGGTTGTATTTGAAGTCGTACATGAAGTCGTCCGCGACGGGCTTCGGCACCTGGTCGTGGTTGAGCACCACGTTCTCAGGCCGGGTAGCCTTAGAGACTGGAACGGTGCTATTGAACTCTTGAACGTAAGGTACCATTTTCTCTTGTGATGACGAGAAATATGTGGACAATGTGCCTCTTAGGCGATGTTCATAGTCTGATCTTGCGAAAATAAGAGTGCTTCAGAGCTGCTGATAGATACCGTTTGACAACAAAGGTATGGAGCGATCTATATATCTGCTGGCCTTGAAAACAATGAATATCTAATATCCAAGTAGTCCCTAAATGAGAAGTTGATCTACTAACTCCGAATCGGGAAGGTCTCGCCGCATTCCAACTTTTTACACCCCGCACGAGGGACCTTTTGTATAATTACTGTTTCTGGAAATGCCCCGCGATGTCGTCCGAGATTGCCTGACTGGGGTATGAGGGTCTGAGGGTCTGAGCAACTCGGATGAAGGCGATCCTTTCCTTGTCTAAAACCGGCGAAAAAGCAGTGGCCTACAGAGAGTGTCCTAGAGCTACTCATACGCTGCAGGCGATCATCTGTATTCCACGTCGAGTACTAGGACTGGCATGAAAGGTGCCATTCATAGTCACAAAATACCAGCTCTAGGATTTATCCTTGATCAATCCCTGTCGCAGTTCAAATCATGCGGATTTTCATCTGAAATGCACTACTATAAACTTGAAACATAGTACAGTCCATTTACAAGTGCCATAAAATTTGACATGAAGTCTACCAATCTTATATCCATTTTCTTTCTACCTGGTAATATATGCAATGACTCCATGACTTACTCCATGATAGGCAGACCATTGTCGTCGAAGTATACAGGCACGCCCTTCCGGAACGAGTACTGCAAAGCAGCACAGATCTTGCCCGCCTCGAAGGCATCCTCCGGCTGGCAGGTCAAGGGCTTATTATCCAGCACCGCATCAGCAAACTCAGCAAGGTCTGTCAGGAACGTCGCGTCGAAGAGCGTGAACGCATCAGGCACAGATTGCGTGCGAATGCCCAGATGGTCGCGAATCTCAACATTCGAGTTCGCACTGATGATCGAATGCCCCTTGGTACCACACAACCGAGTCGTGTCTTCGAACCCACTAGTGAGCGTGCGGCCCAAGTAAGTCTTGAGAATCTTGCCGTTGGCAAATTCCACCAGGCCCCATACATTGTCGGCGTCGCCGTACTTGGCCAAGTCCCCGTAGACAGCCAGCTGGCCGAAGGCAATGACTCTGTTGACTTGCTTCTTGGGGTTGTAGAGGCCGGACTTGACATCCAACAGGTATCGTCCGGCGTCGACCTGATTGTGTTAGTTAGATTGGATAGTGAGTGAGGGAAAGAAAATACTGGGACTCACAGTGTGGATGCCAAAATCCAGGAAGATGCCGCCAGACTGTTCAGAAAAGGACACGAAAAAGGCTGAATGCAATGGTCAGTCTATCAGCCTGTGCGGAAGGCAACGGATTCAAAGCAATATTTCCATACCATTGGGGTCTGCTTGATCAATACCAGTCGTCTCAACAGCGTGAATTTGACCCAGGTCTCCATTGTCGATCAGGGCCTTGGCCTGGCGGTAGGACTTGTCATCTGGATACAAGTCAGTGTCGAGACTCCGCAACGTGCAGGACATATGGTAACTTACATCGGCGAGTAAAGGGAACAAGAAACTTGAGATCTGGCCTAGAAGCGGACTTCTCAACCACTGCCTGGGTCGTAGCGATGTCCACAGAGACAGGCTTCTCGCACATGACATGCAAGTTTAGATCAAGGGCCTGCAGGATCAATGGTGCGTGTGTAGCCGTCGCAGTGCAGATGAGGACAGCCTCGGCGCCACTGTTCTTCAAGCATTCTTGAGGGTCTGAGAAATACTTGACAGAAGGGGGCAGATTCTCTGCGGCCCATTTGTCCGTGCCGGGCTTCGTGTCGCAGACGGCGACAAGTTCGATCCGAGGCTGCTGGAAGGCGAGGATGCGGGCTCGAAGGACTCCCAGGCGGCCGAGGCCGAAAAGCGCAAACTTGATACGTCGGTTGCCAAACGACATAGCTCAGGGTGTGTGAGTAAGGGGACGGTCTTGTATTAGACGAGGCGGTAGGGATTGCAGGAGTGATGGAAGAGTGCAGACGTCTGGGTAAGCGGTAGATTGCGACTTTGCACGGCGTGAGACCAGGCTTATTTATTAACCTCTGGTCTCTGTGAACAGATCCGTACTATCACTCGCAACCACGGGTTTCCCCGCATGGTGGACACATCGTGGATCGTGCAAGAACTCATGGTTGACCACAGGACTTCTCGAGTGGGTTGCTTGCCAGGCACTTCGCAAAACCTGTCGCGTAGATGTCGGAGGATCGCCGCACCAACGGCGGGTCTTTAGTGTCGCCGCATTCTTTCCATACCAAGTAATTTCTCGAGGCAGAGAGATTACCTGTTATAGAAGTCCATTCCGTGATCTAGGGCCCCGTGAACATGCACTGAATTAGTGGAGACCCCAGATTTTGAGATGTGGCACTCCGGGGGAAATGACCGGCGACGGTTTCCCTTCTTTCAGGAAATATAGTCCGTGGGGTGCCTTAGGTACTAGGCAGGCTTGATCGGCCAAATAGTCCCAATGCCTGAACTGTAGACTGGAGGCACCTCCAGACAAATATTAGTATATGAGATACACGTAGCTGTCTCATACTCGTTCAAGTACATACAGTAGCTACAATCGTAGGCGCATGAGTAGTCTTAAGAGTAGCCACGGAGTGTATTCCGAGATGATCAACTAAAACCTCGATGCTTCTGTCACCAGATTGTCTAAATAGACTTTCTCATAATCATATATCCCCAAAATATTCTCTCTTGTCAATTCGATTTCTTCGTTGACAGCCACATCTCCCAGGCTCCAAAATGTCGACTCGGCCTGCGCTCGGCGATCGGCATTCGGTTCCCCGCCAACCCGTCACATGCTCCGACCAGACTCTCTCTCCTTCTAACCAGAGTATCCCAGTGACCGGCCTGCGCACTGTCCCAGCAGAAGAAAAACATGGAGAGCGTGTCAGATCACAAACAGCCCGAGAATCCAACGGCATCGGCCGGGGAACAAGAGACTGCGCGTGCCCCACAGCCACCGAAGCCGAGGGCAGACGACGACGATGATTCGGACTTTGACGAGCTGGACGGTGAGAATCCTAAGCACTTGCTCTTCTAAGTCTCTTTTCACAAAGATACCTTCTTCTCAACAACCATACTAACCCGTGGATGTGTGCACCCAGACGTCTTGGATGACTTCTCCAAACCCAAAGCCCAGCCGCCCCCGGCACCAACCGAGCCCATGACAACGGGGCCGACGCCACCTGATTTCAACGAAGATGCATTTCTAAAGCAGCTGGAACAGGACATGGCCAAGATGATGGGGCCCGGGAGCGGGGCCCCCGATTCGCAAGGCATGCATGCCGCCGTGAACCAAGAGGCGGATGCATTCACCAAGCAGCTGGAGGAGAGCGGGATCCCGCCGGGAGATTTCCTGAAGCAGCTGCTTGCGGACGTAATGGCCGAGGAGGGCGGCAACAAAGACAACAGCAGCGGTGTCCCTCCGTCCCAGCCACAGCCTTCTTCAACTTCACACCCAGCTCAGCCGCAACAGCCAGCTAGCGCCGAGGGAGAAGAACCCTCCGCGGAGTCCTTCAACGACGCCATCCAGCGCACCATTCACCGCATGAAAGAATCCGGGGACCGAGCGACAGCAGCAGCAACCTCCGATGACGACGTCTCAGACGACATGATGGCGCAGCTACTCAAGGCCGTCGAGGCCGGGGCCGCGGGCGCCGGCGACGACGGCGACCTGACCAAGATGTTCATGGGCATGATGGAGCAGCTGTCCAACAAGGAGATGCTGTACGAGCCGATGAAGGAGCTGGACGGCAAGTTCGGGCCGTGGCTCGAGAAGAACAAGGCCGACGGCGGCGATGCCAATGTCTCTGCTGAGGATATGCAGCGCTACGAAATCCAGGCGCGGGTCGTTAAGCAGATTGTAGCGAAGTTTGAGGAGGAGGGGTATTCGGATGAGGATCCGAAGTGTCGCGAGTATGTGTGGCAGCGGATGCAGGAGGTTTGTCTCCCTTTCTCTCTGTACTCTCTTTGCTTTTTTTTTTTTGCTATATGCCGTGCTATATGCTAACATTTATCTGTAGATGCAAGCTGCAGGCAGCCCGCCCGAGGAACTCATCTCGAACCCGCTTATGGAGGAGCTGGGGTCTGCTAGCGCCGGAGGAGTCCCGGATTGTCCGCAGCAATAAGAGATTACACCTTGGTAAATTGGAACCGAGGAAGTCATGCATGATCCATTGGCCTGCTCTGTACTGTACATATACGCTACCGCGTCGATACCCTTATGTACTCAACATGAATATAAACATCGCTGGAATCACAATAACCTTAAAACACCGTCCCATGCAATAGTCTCGACAAGACAAAAACACTTCTCACGACATGTCCATGTCCTGAGTAGAGTGTTTCTGTTCAGACAGACTCATAAAGAGATCATCGTACTCATCATCGCTGAACGAGGGATTGGGGCCCGTCGATTGCAGGTGGTGGGTATCAAGACCAGCCATTGCCATGGATTCTTCCTGAACGAGATATTCGTCCTCTGGATCAACATATTCCTGGTCTATAGCAGACATGTTAGTGAATAAATCTCCAACAGGTCTTCCCGAAAAAGATCAGGGGATGGAAAAACCTACCAGGAAGCATATCATCCTCTTCAAGCTCATACCCCACCATAACACCATCCGCATCGCGCGCCATCGACTCCTCCCAGCGCCGCTTCTCCGACAAATGCTCCATCATCATCATCTGCTCGCCGCGCGCCTCAAAACGGCCCGTGTCGCGGTCATTGCGCACGCGGTTTAGGAACATCTTCCGGGTCTTGGAGCGCGCCAGCGAATTCGATGTCTTGAGCGGGTTGGCAATCTGCGCCGAGTAGCGGTTCGCGTACTTAGGTTTCATCGAGCAGGGAGATGGTGAGCCGGGCGATACCGGGGCCGGGGATTGGTGGTGCTGCGTCTGCGTGGAGAAGAGCGGGGAGGAGAAGGTCCCGAATAATGTGGGTGATTGTTGCTGCTGTTGCTGCTGCTGCTGTTCTTGTTGGTATCGTTGATAGTGACCTTGCTGTTGCTGTTGTCGCTGGTGCTGCGGATCACTGTGAATGGTAAAGGCAACTCGCGAGCCCTGCGCGTTCTCGTCGGCTCCGGGCTTCTGCGGCATGGCTCCCATCGTCCATGGGGGCGTGGCGATGTTCGAGCTGCGAGGGCAGAGCGGGGACGGTCGCGCCGGCGTGTAGTGGCCCGTTTGGCGGAAAGGGGTTAAGGGAGATGAGGGTAATGGGTGTGTCGCGAACATGATGGAGAGAGATTTTTTTTTAGAGTTGCAATGAGACTGGTTCTCGGTCGGGTTGTCCGTGGGTCGGATGCGGAAGTCTGTTGTGGGTTGTTTCCGGATTGGGATTGGGGTTTTGCAGATGCGTTGAAAATGCAGAAGATATCAATTTCAGCTTGGGGGTTAACGTAGGATCAACTGCTTCTCTGGGAGTGCAGCGGTTTTGGATGATGCGGGAGGCTGGGAGTGCCATGTCGATCCATTGCGCGCGTCGACACACGCGACTGACATCCATATCACGTGACATCCATACTTGGCTGCGGTCAGATTCACTCGATCTGGTTATACTCGACGGATTTCTAGGGCAAACTGCACGGGGTTTTATTTGCAAGTGATTGATTGTTGCTGTCTCAAATTACATACATAGAGATCAAAAGGGTGATCAAAAGGGTGAGCCCTGCACAGCCAGACACTCAAAGGATGTTCAGTGCCGGAGCCACAGGCAGAAAATAAAAGGGGGGTTGTCGAGACAGAATGCCATCATGGGGGGGAGTCCAAGCGCTTCGACACGGGGAATCAAAATGAAATATGACAGGGATGAGAAAACAAGGAAACAAAGTGCCGGTATTTTGTCAGACGCCGCGCAAGGATCAAGGGGTGCGATTGCAGAAAAAGGAATGTGGTTGCGAGTCAATGAAAAACGCTCGAAGGAGTGCTGTACTCGAAAGATGTCGAATCTATGCTGAAAAAGGAGTGGAGGGCAATCGGTACCCGAAAATAAACAGAAAATCGCCATGACCTCGCCTGTCCTGCCCATAGCGCCTGAGGATCGCATAATGATCGTACACACAAAAAGACTTTACATGGGAGCCGCGTGCTGCTTCGAGTTCAAGTTTAGAAGTTCGACGCGGCATTGACGGGACCCGGGTTGTGGTACTGGTCCAGTGTGTTTTTGAACGGAGTGCCCGAGTTTCGGCCCGACGAGGGGCTCGGGGCCTTCTCGCGCGGCCCAGAGCCGACAGCAGTTCCGCCCATCAGATCATCGTCTTCATCGCCGGCCTGCTCGTTGCGCTTCTTCTGGATTCGCCAGATTACCAGGCCCAGAACGCCAAGCACGATAGCACCACCCACACCAACGACCACACCAATGATGATCTTCTTGTCCGAGGAGGACACGCCGCTTGGGCTGCCCTTGTCCCCATTGAGAGAGGGAGAAGTTGCCCCAGCAGCTGGCGACGACGTAGAAGTCAAGACAGTGGGCGAGGTGGTTCCGCTGATTGTCGCATAGGAAGTGTACGTCTTGACCACGGGGGTGTTGGTGGTGGTAGTGGAAGGGCCATCGGTTGTGCTCGAGCTGTCCGAGCTGGATGAGGACGTGGATGTAGGACCATCCTTAGTAGTAGTAGAAGAGGTTGAGGTGTCAGAGGATGTGGTTTCTGCCGGTGTCGAGGACGAAGAGGAGGAGGTGGAGGTTGTGGGGGCCTCCGTAGTGGAAGTAGAAGTCGGGGTATCGGATGACTCGGATGACGAGGTTGGAGATGAAGACGTAGAAGTAGGATCCGCAGCTGAGGTGGAAGTTGCCGTGTCGCTGTCAGTAGCGACGTCCTTCAATAGATTCAAGTCCCGGGGGTCAGCACTCTTTTGGGCCGCGACCACCGTCAGCAGCAGAGCCTGGGCGAGAAAAACACGGGCGAAACGCATGACTGGAATCCGTGATGTGTGGGGACACCAGAATAGAAACGAGAATTGAAATGGTCAGAGAAAGAGAGACAGAGAAAAAGGAAGAAATGGAACGAGAGACAAGCAAAGGGAGGGAAAAAGAGGGAAAAAGCACGACGAGCAGAAGGAACAGGCTCGGAGCCGCTAGGGGGCCCTAGTTTCAGGCCTCACACGTTGATTGGCCGCCACGTCACAACAGCGCCTTGGGTTGCAGCGCAATGTTTACTTGATTTTGCATAAACACGATATCATGAACAATATCACTGAGAATATAATATTGAGGGTTGAAATCGTGAGAAATCCGGGAATTCGTGGCTATAAATTTGTGTGTTGGTCGAGAACTTTTCACCGTCTCCACCGCACATCCGGTCCTTGCGCCGAAACGCCCCATAATTAGCAACTGCCAATATGTGCTTATGCATGGTCTTTGCGCATGCACTGGCCTCTTGTCAAGTTGCTGATAGCCTGGCCCCTTGAGTCCTCAAGTCTTCAAATCTTCAAAGCCTCAGGTCCTCAAGTCTTTTCTTATAAGTGAATCCTTAGCCCATGTAACACGGTCGCACTGCTTATGCTTATGTTCATGCATGGACTGAATCCAGAGTCTAGACTCGGAGTACACGTACAACTTCGTCAGCTCATTCCACGGGTGCACAGGACCGCGGTTGTACACGTTCTTGGCTCGGTACTTGAGGTTCCCGGTTCCTGGGTCCCTACTATAGCATAAAGTGAAGATATTACCTGGGTATAGGTCATGATGCTAACATACAGTCGAATTCATAGCTTATCTTCAGATATCCGAGTCACAGCGGCTATCACGTCCAATCTCAACCTCGTTTATTTCAAATCCCAACCTGACAGTCTTCGAAACTCAGAAAAAGCGGAATGGAACATTCTTGTAATCAGTCTCCGGAGCAAGTGAGGGGTGCATCCCACAGGGCATCAGATGCGTCCCACTGTGTGTCCGGTCTTGATCTACAAGACGCCTAGGATAACACAAAAAAAATGTTGATGGATTGTTGTTTAGGGGTATCGTCCAGTGCCACGCCCGCGCAGCTCAAAGTTTTTTCGGCGGTTTCCCTTTCATCTGGTCCTTGAGTTCTTCCTTGAAATACTCGAGGAATTGCTTGAAGTCGGATTCTAATTACCACGGATCAGTCAACTTTCTTGGTTTGTTGTCGGGTATTCCACCCTCATACCATCCTTTTGCAGCTTCGTACCTCCCATCTCCTCTCGGGGGGTGCCCTGTCGGAGATTTTGGACCTTCTGGTGCACTCGGCCCACCATCCTGTGGAAGATACGGCTCTGGAGGAGCTATAGTGATGAAGTTAGAAAAAAGAGACCAATTCAAGTGAAAGATAATAATTCGATACCACATACGCGAGAAGTAAGCCAGATCTATGTTAAACGCGCTGTCAGTGGGGAACCGAACGACCGAGGGGCGACGGTGAGCACTCACCTCCAAGCCCCGAAGCCAGAGGTTATTGAAAATCATCTCCAAAGCTGTCCTTCGGTCGATCACGCAAAACAACTCTTGGGAAACAGTCGCGAAATGCTCGCAGCAAGAGCCAGAGCTCCTTGTCGAGGGAGAAAACGAGACCTGAATTTCCTGGAACACTTGCGGAGATATTACTAAGCCCTCGCTCTTCAACCGTAAAGGGTTCCAAGATTCCATTCCAAAGAACCCCTCAGGAACAAGTTGAACGTCTCAGGATGCCGACCTCGACTGATTACACTTGGTTCTGACCGTGCTAGTTCTTTCCCATCGGGGTCTTCACTTGCGTTGACGATGAACGACCGGCTCTATCAACCTTCCATTGAATCTTGACCCTCGCTGATGATGGCGAGTTCGCACCACACGAACTTTCCGAGTGGCCAGGACCTTCGCAATCCCACACAAAAACCCCTTTCACTCACCATTCGATCATGAATAAGGGCTGCTACACCTGCCGACGTCGCCGCGTGATCTGCGATAATGCCCAGCCCACCTGCCGAAAGTGTCGCAATGCGGGGAAAGAATGTCTGGGGTACCAGAAGCCCTTGGTCTGGGTCAAGGGCGGCGTGGCGAGCCGGGGTAAAATGATGGGGCGCAGCTTTGATGATACGAAGAAGCTGGCTCCGGACTCGAAGCAACAATTTCCGGCTGAGGCCCACGATCCCACAGGCAATACCAGCTTCGGCTTCTTCTCTGTCGTCGCGCCCTCTGATGCCGAATTGCTGGGCTCGGGGATTCAACCCAATCTGCAGACGAACATTTGGGATCATGGAATGCCAGAGGTCGCACTGGCTGGATCAGAAGAGCCGGACACCCGCGTGGTCCACGTTCGCTCGGTCACTCCTCCCGAGTATATCTCGGCACCCTGGGGACTAGTTGATCCCCTGCTCAAGGATCTCGGTCCACTCTCCAGGCACTATATCTTCCATTGTATGATTCACCTCATCCCGTATTGAGAGGCTCGCTGACCGGTCCGGGTTTTAGATAATCAACACATGGTCGGCGATTTCGCGTTGTATTCGCAATTCAAAAACCCGTTCCGTGATATCATCTCGCTGGTTGGCCACTCACCCGTTCTGGCGCACAGTATCTCCGCCATGGGAGCTTTACACTATTCCCTGGTCTCAGATTCGGACACCACTTTGATGCCATGGTCGACCAACAACCTAGAAACGGTCAGCTGGGTCCTAACGCCAGAAGAAATCGAAAACGTCATCACGCCTGCGGCCTCGCGCCGCCCGTCTTCAAAGGTCTATCAGCAGTTCTTAGAATTCAAGCAGCGCGCCCTGCACCAGCTGTCCATGGACCTTGACAGCCCTGTCATGCAGCGAGACCACCGGACGCTGGCAGGCATTGTCGTCCTTGCACTTCTGGATCTGTTCGAGTCGGGTAGCGGGGCGTGGAGCTATCACATTGAGGGCGCCAAAAAGCTGATTAAGAGTCGACCGAAGGACGAGCTGCCCCAGGGAATCCTCGAGGGACTAGAAACATTTGCCATTGATGGGTGTCTGATGTAGGTCCCGACTCGTCTGATGTTCGTTGATCTTTCAGTTCCTAACCTTTGCTCTAGAATGGAAATCATGGGCTCCACGCTAGCACGCTGCGGCGCTCTCTCCCCGCCATTCTACTCGTGGATGGGACCAGTGATCCTCAAGCGACTCGAAGAAACCTCATGGGTTGGCTGCCCCGCCTACCTGCTAGAAGTCATCTTCTTCATCCACGCACTCTGGTACCCAGAATCGGAACCCGCCATATCCATCCCCCTACCCGCCGCCGTTCAACCAGGCCAACCACTCACACCCGAATCCTTTGCAGCGCTCCTCCAGGGAATCCGCAACTTCGACCCAGTAGCCTGGGCCGAGGAAATGCAAGCCTTCTTCTTCATCCCAGACCTCTCCTCGCGCATCGCCCTAGCCGCCGCCTACCAAGCCGCCGTGTACCTGTACACCAGCCGCGTGCTCTCGCGCCCACGCCCGGGCTTCTCCCCGCCCTGGTCCGACCTCGGCCTCCCCGCCGACCACGAGCGCGTCGCCACAGACCTCCTCGCCCAGATCTGTCTCATCCCGGTCTCCGACCCACACTTCAAATGCCTGATTTGGCCCTCGTTCATTGCCGGCGCCGAGTCTCATCGCCTCTCGCAGCGCGCTCTCGTCCTTGAGAAACTCGGTACAATCTACCAGGCCGTGACTAGCGTTAATGTGCGCAATGCTGCCTGGGTCCTGCGCTTGATGTGGCAGAAACATGATCTCAAACGCCGTGAGCGCCGTCGTCTTTTTCGTCCCTTCTCTGTGGACGACTCCGCCGGCGAGGGTGCTGCTGCTCAGGATCGTGTTAATAGTGATGACGATGAGGATGACGATGATGAGTATGATGATATGTTCGACTGGGTCGAGGAGCTGGATCATTCAAGATTGGACTGGCTGTTTATTTAACCAGTTTTCTTTCTTCCATTCCCCCCGCCTCTTAAAAGAATAAGCATGCCCGGGCTTGAAATGTCTATTCTTCCTTCCACCTCTTATGATGTACGGGCTGTATCCAGATATGTATTTGTATATAATACCATATTTACTTTTTCCAAGTCCTTTCCATTACTACTGTTCTTCCCTTAATGTCGAATCAATGGGGTGTATATAAGTATCATGCTGAAAAGGCCGGGTATATCATTTCTGACATCGAAAAAAAAGCAGCTACTACCATCTGCCACGGAAGAAAAGAGAAGGTGCAAGGAGAGAAGAAGAGAGGAGAAAAAAAAAAGAAAATAGATAGTAGACAAAAGAAAAGATGAGAAGAGGGAAGGATAGGGAGAGGGAAGAAAAAAAAAAGTCACAATGAAACCAGGGTGGCCTGCACAGGCGAAGAGGGAAAGAAAGAGAAAAGGGGAAAAGAAAACAAAACCAGTAAGACATAGACCAAGTAGCCCCAAATACTAACTGTATTCTCCAGCCCACACAAGGAATCAAAAGAGCAAGAGACAACCTTGTGTTGTATAGACAGAAACTCACAACAATGACTCGGGCACGGCGAAGTGGGCAGAAGAATAGAAAAACTAATAAGGGTTTATCAGGGTGTTGGGCAGATATGCTTTATATCAAATCAGAAGAAGGGGGGATATATAACGAGAAAAAAGGGACGAAATCAGGAAGGGGGAAAAGAAGATAGAAGAACAAAAGAACAAAAGAATACGCATGCTCCCTTCCGATTCTAGATGCAGAAAATATGTCCCAACACGACACAAACAAACACGCTCGTCATGGTAAAATGCAAGGGAAGGACAACCAATATGCAAGGGAAAAGAAAGAGAGAGAAAGAGAGAGAGAGAGAGAGATAAAAACACTGTGTGGCAGGGCTGAAGCCGACAGCCATATCGGCATTCAATATGCATCAGAGAAAGATAGCAAGCAGCCAAGGGCCCAGGAAAGCCACATAAGATTTGTTTTGTCTCTCCTTTTTGAGGGGATGCTTAAACAGCCACCTTCAACTTTTTTGGTGTTTCTCGTTTTCAAAAGGAATGGAAGAGCAAAGCTGAAGAGAGGGAAAGGCAGATGCCAACCCTTTAGAAAACAGCAGCAAGGCCGTTCTTAGAATGACGCCGACTAAATCTCTTCTTTCCCTTAGTTGACTCCGAGTCCGTGGCCTGATGTTTGACCAAAGTGTGCCGGCTCGGTGGGGGCGGGCCACTGCTTTCGGTCTGGGGTTCGGAGCCGCGGTCAAGGGTGTTAGCATGGCTCGAGAAGCCAGACGAGAGGTCTCGGAAGGCATCATCAGCCGAATAAGGGCCGCTGGTTTGCTGTGTCGCGGCCATCTCTCGGGCTCTGTCCAGTGCGTCCAGCCACTCCTGAGCGGATACGGCCGTGGTCCCAACGTTGCTCGAGGACGGCTTGGAATCCTCGAATACAAAATGTTTGTCCCTCTGCAGTTGATGTTAGATCAGATAAATCAGGATCCTCAAAAAGGACAAACATACCGTATCAACAACCCAGGATGAGTGTCCTTTCGAATCAGTCATAGTCTTGTAGTGCGTCCCTGGAGCGAGGAGAGAAATTTCAAGCTTTGCTTTCTTCGTGTCGCCGCCAGATGCAGCCAGAATGATCCGGCCCGACGAGGTTACCATGACCAAGCGGTGTCGTTTTTTAATCCCGCTGCCGGAAAAGAAACGAGAGAACTTCTTGGGTGCCTCAAACTCGCCGCTGCTGTTTTTCGATGTCGGGCTATGGGATGCAGCCGAAGATAGCACCACCAGATTACCAAGCTTCAAGATTCGCTCGTTCGACTTGCTCAGCACAGGCGACCACTCAATATCTAGCTGACTCGGTGGGGGCAATTCTGTCACCACGCGTGGAAGCGCACGGGAACTGGCATTGGGTGCGTTGGAAGGGGCTGTCGAGATAACAGGAGGGAGGCTATCACCACCCTCGCCGCTACCGTTGAGCTTGATAGGCTCACGCGGGGGTGGGACGTAGGCCTTCAAGCGAGGTGCTTTGTGTTTCCACAGGTCCGGTCCCCAAGTGATCCCATCAAAGAATTCGTGGTTTTTAATGTGTTCAATCTGAAGACGTTGAGCCGGGTCCAGGACAAGAAGACGTTCGACGAGGTCACGAGCGACGGTAGGAAACCCAATGGGGAATTCATAGTCTAGCGCAACGATCTTTTGGAAAGTCTGGTACTCATTACCCGCTTTGAAGGGCGGTCGCCCCGCCAACAGCTGGTATATGATGCAGCCAAACGCCCACAGATCGCTGGCTTTGCACGCGTTCTTGTCGGTTAAAAGTTCGGGACTGACATATTCGGCGGTGCCCACAAAGGAGCTCGCCCGTTCCTCGTCGGGGAGTTCCGTCGAATCGAGAGGCGGCATGGCGCTGGCATTTTCATCCGGTCGTCGAGTATTTTTGAGGATCTTGGCCGTCCCAAAATCGGTGATTTTGACGAACATCTGGCTATCCAGTAAAACATTTTCCGGTTTCAAATCCCGATGAATCACTCCGCGCTTGTGCATATAGTCTATTGTGTCGAGGATCTGGGCGCCATAGAACCGAGTGCACTCCTCGTCGAAGGTAGACATCCGCTTGAGGACGCCTAGCAGCTCTCCTCCTTTGCACAAGTCCAGCACAAAATAGAGCGAGCGCTCATCCTGAAAGGTGTAGTAAAGCCGGACGATGCCGGGGTGGTCGGTCAAGCGATTGAGGGTGTCCTTCTCGATATTCACGTATTTGACCTTCTTTTCCTTGATGATGTGTCGTTTGTCGAGGATTTTGATCGCATATTCCTTCAGAGTCTGGCGGTCCGTCGCGAACACCACGGTACTATAGGAACCTTCGCCAAGGGTATTGCTAAATGAGAAATCCCGTACACCCTTTTTGATGTAGCGAGCGACTGTCTTGCCGTTGGCATCGATCTCTTGCCGCACAGAAACTGCAGCACCGCGGTCTTGCCAGTCTTCGCTGCTGGGCATTGTCCCGTTCTCCATCACGTAAGACGATCGTTGTAACTGAGCTGTCCCTCCACTCCTGGCATGCGCTCGAGATGACTGACGCATGACTGCCGGTCCATTAGCTGGGATCTGTGCTGTGCGATAGGACCGGTCGCTGTGAGAGCTATCGCGCACGGGGACGCCTGCCTGGAGGGCCGCCGATCCGCCTCGGTTGTCTACGCGCGAGCCCGATGTCGAGGAGGCACCGGAATCAGTTCGTATGCGGTAAGAGGTGTCACGGGGGAGCACAGAGGAAGTCGACCCATTCGTATATACGGAGGAAAGGGGGCGGTTGGAATTTGGAGGTGTTGAGTGCTGCTGAGGCGTGTACGCCTGGTAGGGACCGGACAGAGGTGGTTGTGTATCGGGGAGGGAAGACAAGGCAGAAGCCCGGTGCTCGTTCTCGGTCGACGCAGGCGCTTCTATGGGTGCAGGAGGGAAAGCGGATGGGCGGTCATCGTTCGGCGCGGGATCCTGTGGAAGGGTTGATACCGAACCGTCCGGGAGTCCAGATGGGCTGGGTCCCGAAGAACCAGCGGTCGTACCCTCGGATAGAAGAGGGGAATCATCAGGATTCGCTATTCGAAGCCCTCCCAATGACTGGGATAGGCTGAGATCCACGGGCATGGTGGTAGCGACCGAGGCCGGGAGGATACCGGAAAGAAAAACAAGGGGGGGAAACGAAAGAGAGCCGACAGACTAAGGCGGCGATCGGAGACACGGCGGATGCATGGCCAGTGAGAGAAGGGGGAAAAGAGTGAGAGTTGACGTTGAGAGAGAGAGAGAGAGAGAGAAAGAGAGGGGGCAGAAAGGATCAACAGGAGGCTCTCCCCGTCTTAGTGGGAATCGGGTCTAGTGTCGAGGGCTGAGCCTGAAAGCTATTAATACAATGTGAAAAGCACTGAGATAGCAAGTATGCTTCTCTAGGAAAAGAGACACCGCATCTTTTTGGAGTACATCAATTAAGCAAGCAAGCGAGAGAGAGAGACAGAGAGAGGGCGTCGTCATGGTATGGAGCATGGCATATCTGATTTGTCCGGTCTCGCTGGCCTCTCCATGGATGGCCCCGTCGATATTGCAAGTCTTCACTCTGTAATCCTGGGCTTGTCTCATCTACGATGGCTCCTTCTCAATGTGCTGGGTCCCCGGTGCCGTGCGACCTGTGCCTCCTCTCTCTCTCTTCCTCTCCCTCTCTCCCCGAGCATCCAGAATGATTCGACGTCGAGCAACAATCATCTCTCTCAGGGAAGACGATATTCAATCCAATCTCCAGCACATCTTTATCCATACTTTGACCGCAGATTTAGAACAACTGCGTCTGGATGAACTTCGCGGGGTTTCCAACAATCCCAGCGGGGACTCACCCACCGAACCATCATCTACAAGTCCCTACGCATGGTCCCAGGAATCGGACTTGCAATTTGATATGAAGCCCGATTATGAGCCAATCAACGACTTATTGTGTACGGGACAAAACAGCAAAGACACATGCCCTTCATTCGATGATGAGACTACAGTCGAGCTTGCTCCGCATCCCCATGGCATCCCATCTGTGACCCCGAGCATCTCCCCCAAGCTGCCATCTCGAACGTCTCGAGCCGTGGATACAGCGCTGCAGAAACTGCCCATGGCGATCTCGCCACGAGATCTGCTAAGATGCAGTGTTCTTCTGCGGCAGCATGAAAAAGAAGGTCTGTTCCAGACACAGAAGATCATCGTCTTGTATCCGATGGGATGATGACCGTGTCGTTGGCCTCACTTCTGAGAATTGACATACAGAAAACCGCAGACACAACCACAACCACCCTCGTGCCATGAGCACCACACTGTCGAGTGAATTGCTGTCGACTACACCGGTCACTCTCTTGTCACCCAGTGTCTCATCGAACCTTATTGTCGACAACGCCCAACAACGGGACCCAGGCCTAGCGCTGACGAGATTCGACGAAGCTGTCTTGGCCGAGCCGGTGGTCACCAGAGCCAGGGCTGCTGAGATTGCTGCGGACCCCGGTGCGAGTCAGTCGAGCACGATCATCGGGCCCGACGGGGATTGAGAATGTGGCTGTGGAGAGAGAGATATGCCCCCTCCCCGTGGCGAGCGGCGCATTGCCTCTTTTTTCACCGTGTATCCACAGTGGCATTCTTTCTGAAAGGTGGAGCAGAGTGACCATTCTCACCTTACAAGTATATCGGGACACGGCCTGCCCTAATTATATCTTCAAATGTCTTACCCAAGGTATGTATATTTAGGTATTGTTGGACTACCAGACATACATATATCAAAAGCAGACCCAGATTTCCCCAAGTGATAAAATCACAAAACAAAACAACGAAGTCTAGAAGAGGCGATAGCCTGAAACAGAGCGATCTCGGCAAGCCAATTCTATCTATAGCCCAGTGGAGAGGCTCCCATTTCCATGGATACGTTCTTCACGCCTCCAGAAATCTGGCTGCCTTTTCGGTTAACAGGGCACTGCCGCATGTCCGCGTGTACACCGACTCATCTACAGCAGAGAGATAGACAATATACGATAACATAGGACTATTCATTGGCCAGCACAGATTCTTTTATTACATATAAATGTAAATATTTCTAGTTATTCGCCTTTTGCCGAGAGAAAAAAAAAAAAAAAAAAAAAAAAACTAGTCACCAACGTTGTTCTTGCAAGTGGAGAAGACCCACACCGCCACCCACGCAACAAAGAACAACGTTGAGAATAGACTCGACTCACCTTCTCTTACCAGCGATCAGAAGGGTCCGGTCGATGGAAAAGTCTACTTTTGGATCTGCGAGTCAGTCCAGGGACTGTAGATACAGGGAAAACACCGCAGGTGATCCTGGTGTTATCGCGTTGGATGTGTATATATGATATGAGATTTACGGTAACTCTCAGGGGATCATCGCGTGGCGACTGCATGAGGCGGAGTGTTTTTGTAGGAGAGCGGTGAGTACTGAATATTCACAGAGGAACAACCGGATCTCGACTTGTATCCATCAATCGGATTCAATTAAAAAAAAAAAAAAAAAAATAAGCAATAAGCAAAGGAAGTCTAAAAAAAAGGCATGTATAACAGCGGGGCGCGAAGCAAACCAGCTCAATCTGATCGGTCTGACAAGGGGAAAGAAGAGAAATATAAAAAGGAAAAATAGAAGGAGTTGGATGGGGTTTAAGTAACAAAGTGAAACGCCAACAAAGATTGTCTCCCAGATGTCGCTTCAGATGCTCCCTTTGCAGGTATATTTTTTTCCCGTAATGATATGATCTCGTTCAACTGTATCAAAGCTCCTCCCAATCACGGAGGGCAACCAAGAGAAAGACAGAAAAGAAAAGAAAAAAGAATTATCTACTGCTGAGCCTTGGCAAAGGCCTGGGCACCGTCGACCAACCGACGCTCGGTGTTCTGGCGACCGTTGACAAAGTCGGGGTAGTTGAGGGTCAGCTCAACGGCACCGTTGACAATGTTGTCGGCAGCCTCGACACCCAACATGAAGGAGTGGTCCTGGTTACCGACCTCGTAGCGCCAGCTACCGAAGCGGCCACGCGACCAGATACCCTTCTCCTGCAGCTTGGGCAGGATCTGGGTGAGCGCACCCTCACGCTCCAGGCTGGGAGTGGGGTAGCCGTGGTCGAAGCGGCGGTGGTAGGTCGAGACGATCTCGTCACCGGGCTTGAGCATCTCGGTGTTGACCAGACCCTGGATCGAATCGGCCAGGAGGGTGTCGTTGTTGACGGGCTTCATCGAAGACTCGGACACCTCCAGCATGATCGACCAGTAAGGACCCTCCTGGGGCTCAGCGCTCTTGGGCTTGGTGCCGTCCGCGAGCTGGAGAGTAGGCAGCTTCTTCGAGGCCTCGGGCTGGTTGTGGGGGAGTAGTTGGAGAAGATGGTGGCACGGTAGAAGGGGCAGTCGTCCTCGGGGAAGTAGAGCCAGCACTTGTCACCGATCCGGTCGGGGCGAGCGCCACGGATACCAACACCAACGACGTGGGTGGACGAGTAGAAGAGCTGCTTGGTGAGGGGCATCAGCTCGGTGTCGCCCATAGACTCGGCGAGGAAGTCGACGGCCATGGTGGAGATCAGCTTCTGGTAGCCGATGGTGGTGCCATCCTCCATGGTGACGGTCTTGCTGTTGGCGTTGACCTTGGAGACCTTACCCTTGTCACCGAAGCGAGTCTTCTCCTTGGGGATGGTGTTGGCAACGGCAATCCAGATACCACCGGTACCATCACGGGCGGGGAAGCGGAAGGTCGCGTTGGGTCCCCAGTTACCGGCGGTCTTGTTGAGGATGACGTTGGTGGTCACAGCCTTGACATTGGGGGCAGCGACACGCTCACCGAGCCAAGCGCATTGCATCTGGAGAAAAAGAATGAGCATCGCTGCGATGGATATTATACAATGGAACAAAACTCACCTTGGTGGTCGGCACAGCCCAGACCTTGTAGTTGTAAGGTCTCATGAAGAGGTCGGCGATACCGACACCCATCATACGGACGATCCACTCGTCGAAAGTCTTGGGCTTGGTGTTGGACACACGGGCCTCCAGGGCAGCATCGATCATGCCGTCGATACACTTCACCTGCTCCTCCTTGGGCAGCATGGAGATGTTGTTCTGGAAGGGGTAGGGGACCCATTGGCCCTGGCAGCGAACGTAGGAGATACGCTCGTGGGTGTACCAGTCCTCCTCCTTGGGGAGGGCCTCGTCGATGCAGTCATCGAAGTACTTGTAGTGGGAGAAGATAACGTGGCCACCAACATCGTACAGCTGTGTTTCTAGTTAGTGGCTCTGAGAACACAAAAAAGAAGGAAAAAAAAAGTCGGGTCATCACATACGAAGCCTTCAGGGGTAACATCAGTCGAGGCGAGACCACCGGGAGTTTCGTTCGAGTCGACAATCAACCACGAGGGGCCATTCTGGAAGGTTGTGTTAGCTGGCCAAAAATTCTTCCACTGCCCCTCTTTGCCCCCCCTTTTTTTCTCAATTCTCCAAAGACTTTGACCATGAGATCACTTACGATCTGATTCAAACGCTTGGCAGCACCCAAACCAGTTGGGCCAGCACCAATGACGAGAACGTCAACAGAACTGGGAGGGATGTTAGTGGACAGCATTGCTATGAGACGAGGAGTTCCTTACATGTCGGGGTGGGTCATCCTGCCTTGTAGGAGGTCCTGGAAACTAGGCACGCGTTTAAAAGTCTTGCGAGCGATGTTCAGCATAGACGAGAAACTGCAGAAGACTCTGCAGAAAGAGGGCGATGGAGGGGAATAATAAAGGAGAGGGCTTGGGGGGGGAAGAGGTGCCAGTGGGGGAGAGAACCAGAGAAAAAGAAAGTGGGAGACCAACGTGACAAAACAAGCTAAGCGTAGTTAGCGTACCTCGAGGTACCTGGTGGGCGGCTACCGTGGGTAAAGGTACGGATCCGGTACTTGAGAGTGGAGAGAGCGTGGCTGTTTCAGGTCTACGATTGGTAAGAAAAAAAAAAAAATCCAGAATCACATTGTTGCCAAGAGTGGCTCAGGGGCTTCGATCATTATTTTTGTTCTGCATCCATAGATACAGGGGACTGGATATCCGGAGACCCTGAAACCGTCTCTGTCCACTCTTATCGGGATTCCGACATGGACGTGGAGTGCATCGCACGCGGCCAAATCCAGAATTTGGATCTTGGCAGGGTCTATACAATGTATCATTAGAGTGATAGTGATTCTACTATGCAGGAAAATAAAATCAAATAAAAAGGGGGATGCTTAAATGTTTGTATAGGGGGGCGTATCAACCCAGACTACAGTACTTACTACTGTAGATAAACTCCCAACGCCACCTGGCGGTCCATTGGAAGTCCCAGCCATGTATGTCACCACATCTCGAAGGGATCCTACCTAGGACTTGGGTTGGTTCTGCACGGTTAGACGGCTACTATCCCGGCTGATCAACCGTCTTTCATGAACGGAGAGAACTTCCAAGGTTGCGGCAGATTTCAGGGTGCACTGGTCATCTCCACGGGGTTCCACTGATGGTCGCATCGCAGAAATACCAAGTTCTCGAATCAGCATCTTCCTCACAAGCACACAGGGAGGGCTGTCTACTGCGGAAAGTGCAAAGCTTCTTCGGAGACTCCACTGAATCTGATCAAACAATTCCCGTCAAGCGGATCGCCGCATTCTCCACCGGTAAGGGACCTGCTGGGACCAGAGGGTCACCGAACGCGGGTCCCAGCGGGTCCTAGCCCCCGACTGCTTGCGTAATGCCGGGCTTTGAGTCTCTTGAGTCGCACATTCTGTTTAATCTCAAACTGATGCGTCTGGTGTATAGAGAGAGGGAGAGAGAGGGGGAGAGAGAGAGGGTGATAGCCTAGATAGACTTAGATAGACTAGGTGCTCTCTCAGACTCCAATTTCATATTATCGGGTGATATATAGAAGAGAGAAAGATGGATAAGCATTAAGCAGGGAAATAGGGGGGAAACGGAGTGGGTCGAAGGGAAAAGGAGTCGCCACGAGAGAGTTGGGATTGACAAAGGGGCCAGCTGGCCCTTTCGCCGCGTCACCAAGTCTTGTGCTGTTTGCGGCTATTTTTACGCCTGTTTTTTCAGGGCAATTACTGAATTACTGAATTAATCTTTATTCTTTTTATTGTATTTTTATTATATTTTTATTATATTATTCTTTTTTTTATCGAGTTGCCCTCATTTACCAAGAACATCCCCTAAGGCCTCGAGGTGGTACCAGAGAAAAAAAAAACGTGTTCCATCCCTTTAACGGTCATCATTTCTTCATCTCTTGTCTCTCTCTTTCTCTCTTTTTTTTTTTTTTTTTTTTTTTTACCAACCTTTTTCTTTTTCCGGTCCAACTCCTGTCTCACTCGTTAACTGATCTTGAGCACTTTTTATAGTGTTCATTATCCTCTTAAGTCTCATTCCTCGCATCCCTCGTGGCTTCCTCCGCCTTTACCCAAGGAAGCCTGTCCAGGCCACGACCCTTCGAGTTCCGCAGTTTCATCGCCGACCAAACTCGATCATTTGCCATGAGTTCTGACGGCGAGAAGGCCCGCACCTCCGGTGAGGTTGCGCGCGAGCAGACCCTACCGACCGTCAACCCGGACACTGAGAAGTCCGAGCCTCCCCAGGCCACTTTCCACCCGGCCGTCTATGTAGCGTGAGCATCACCTGGTTCAGAGAAGAGAGAAAAGGAACAGGAGAGGCTGATGATGTGGCAGTACCTGGATCTCCCTGAGTTCCGGTGTCATCCTGTTCAACAAGCACCTTCTCGACTATGCCAACTTCCGTGAGTGACCGTCCATCCTGGAGATGTAACAAGCAATCGCTAACTAATGGCCTCAAATAGGTTTCCGTACGTGTTGATTTTTGGAACCTTGCAACTTGGCGATATGTCCTAACCCTCTCTGCAGCAATTGTCCTGACAACATGGCACTTGACCTTTGCGACCATCATGACCCAGATTCTCGCCCGCACCACCACAATCCTCGATGGCCGCAAGAATGTCAAGATGACTGGCCGTGTCTACCTCCGTGCCATCGCCCCCATTGGTGTCATGTTCAGTCTGAGTTTGATCTGCGGTAACATGACTTATCTCTATTTGAGTGTTGCGTTCATCCAAATGCTCAAGGTATGTTCCCACGCCTTTGCCTGAGTCTCTGTGGCCCAGACTAACCGCTATTTCCCCTCTTCTCTAGGCTACCACCCCCGTCGCCGTCCTGATTGCTACCTGGGTCATGGGTATTGCGCCGGTCAACTACAAGACTCTTCTCAATGTCTCGGTGATTGTCATTGGTGTGATCATTGCTTCGTTCGGTGAGATCAAGTTCGTCATGGTCGGCTTCCTGTTCCAGCTGGGTGGTATTGTCTTCGAGGCCACCCGTCTGGTCATGGTGCAGCGCCTGCTCAGTTCCGCCGATTTCAAGATGGACCCCATGGTCTCTCTGTACTATTTCGCTCCCATTTGTGCTGTCATGAACGGTGCCGTGGCTCTGTTCCTCGAGTTTCCCCGTCTGACTATGGACCACATCTACGGCGTGGGTGTCACCACTCTACTTGCCAACGCGGTGGTTGCTTTCCTGCTGAACGTTTCGGTGGTTTTCCTGGTAAGTTATTACCTGCATTTTCCCGATGGCATTCTCGTCTAACAATCTGCAGATCGGCAAGACTTCGTCTCTGGTCATGACCCTGTGTGGTGTCCTCAAGGATATCCTGCTGGTGGCCGCCTCCATGATGATCTGGGACACTCCCGTCACCGCCCTCCAGTTCTTTGGCTACTCCGTCTCCCTCATTGGTCTGGTTTACTACAAGCTTGGTGGCGAGAAGATTCGGGAATACACTGGCCAGGCCCACCGTGCCTGGGCCGAGTATGGCGCTAACCGCCCGGCCCAGCGCAAATTTGTGGTTGTCGGTGCCACTGTCCTGGTCCTTATTCTCTTTGTGGGCTCGATGTCGCCCGGCTACGCTCCGGAGCGTGTCAAGGGCATGCTGGGTGGTGCGGCCACCGGCAATGCTTAAATGCACGCGATTTATGTCACATTATCGATGGGTCCCAAATACCGCGTTACCATCTCGATATGCCAATCTCAATGGAGGCGTATATCATTGCGACTCAGAATGGCTGCTAGGTCATGTCTTAAAGGAAAGAGGATTGCTTCGACTGAATCGGCAACATGCAGAGCATGCAATCCCAAAGCCCTCGTGTCACGGAAAACGGGGCTCCGGTGTGTTTTGGACGGTTCTTTTCTTCGCCGTTTTCTACGATGTATACAGTGACTGGGAGTTGTTGCTGGCGGTGTACTTTTTTTTCACCTTTTTTTTTCTTTCTACGAACATTGATTGGATGTTAGACTTGCACAAGCTCTGGTGTTTGCCTTTGGGCTCTTGATTTCTTTAACCTTCGTGTCTTGATAGTATTCCAATAGATTGTCCGTTGGATTCCAGTCTTCAGGGAAGGTCCCACGTCAGCCGAAGGGCGAATTGCAGCGTATGGGGCAATACCGTCAATACCACCACCCACCAATCGGAACTTTGCTCCTGGGAATCTTACCGTATGGTACAGTGACTCCGCATTTGATCGCATCGTCAGATCCACTGCATCGGCCCTCCACTCGTTCGCTCTCTTCACTTTCTTTCTTCCGACTTTCCTCTTTCCCTGTCTTCTCTCTCATCTTCCCCCAATTTTCATCCTCTCAATTGGATCTTTTGTCTTCTTCTCTTTCTTCGTCCTTTCATCTTCGATATCGCCTTCTATCGACGTTTATTCTGCCGTGTCTTGGGCGTGATCTACAGGTTGTAGCTTATAGTGCACTGCTCATCTAACCCAACAGCACAGTCTCCCTCATCTACCGGGGACACCCACCAACAATGTGTCCAATGATCCTCAATCGCCTTTCCGACGGTCCTACTATGGTCCTTTCTCCTCCCCAGGAACACGCTTTCGCTCAGTTCCCTGCCCAGTCGCTGCTGAATACCCCCGGGAGCTTCCATGGCTACCCAGCAAGCCCCAGCTCCGTCCTTGCCAACGCCGGTTCGACACAGCCTGCCCCATCAACTTTCGATTCGTCCGTCCCTGCCGCGCCCAAGCCCTCCCGGAAGAGGTCGCGTGACGAAGCCGCCTTCGAAGAGGCCCTCGCCCCCGGCGCGCCCGCGGCACCGGCATCAGCCCCCGCCCCCAAGGAAGAACCCATTTATGGAGAGGGAATGGTACTTTTGAATCCACGCACGGGACTCGCCATCTCTGCCGAGAGCCAGACCGGTACATGGTACGAAGAAAAGACCGAATCGCAACCGGCGGCTCCCGTCTCGTCGCGATCAAATGCGCTACTCTCCGATGCCGCCGATCTCAGCCGCAAGTCCCAGCGGTTGGACCAGTCTGCCCCGGGCCTGGATGACATTGCACTCTCCTCGATGCACCAACGCCTCAATGGGTCCAACTCCGACGCCCATACCGGACCCTCGCCACCCGCCGAACCCCTCATCGACGACGCGACCCGCCTCCTTGGTATTAGCTGGCAGCGCATTCCCACCGACGACGACATGGCCCCCGCGGTTCGTGGCTGGACCAAGTACATCAACAACCAGTACGCGACCCACCTGCGCGACTCGCAGATCTTCATGAAGAGCCGCGCGTTGAACGCGTATCTGGTGGCCGCTACGCCGGTGTCGGCGCCTCTGCCCGCCTTCTATTTATTCAGCGAGGACCTTACCCAAGCCCAGCTCGTGGCCTCTTCCTGGGAGATTTGCCTGCAGAACCTGCGCTGCAACCCCGTTGTCCTCGAGGGTGCCCCCTTGCTCGCCGCCGATCGATCCGACACGCCACCCGCCTCCAACCCGTTCACCCCCTCTGCCGACCAGGGCGTGCCGCTCCTCCAACAAGCCCTGCCGGATCAATCGCAAATTCCCACCGGCATTGATGCTGGCATGGGACTGAGCGAAGGCGTAGGAATGGGAATGGAAATTGACTCGTAACTTCCTCAAGAACGATTCCTCTCATCACCACACAACACCCCGGGAACCACTCGATCGACACACTCGACATTAGCTATTCACCAGCTACGACATTCCGCCGTCCGATCGCCTCCGCATCCCACCATTTCGGTTGATTTTCGTCTACTGTCGTTCTTTTTTTTTTACTGCTTCTTCTAGTTTTTCTTTTCTTTTGGTTTCACTCACGTGTGCCTAACTGATCCAGTTCGGCAGCTACGGTCAGGTCCTCGCCCTTGGTAGGCTTTTATGGGCATGGTGGTTTTTTTTTTCCCTTATATGGGGGTTGGGTTAGGTTTTGGCGTCGTAACTGTTGGAGTTTTTTTTTTTGTTGTGTTTTCTGCATGTATTTTCTTCTGTGATGTCTACTTATGTCTATTTACGATTTTTTCAATGAATCAAAAGTATGAATTAAGTACGTTGCGGGGAAGCCAGTAAGAAAGGCACAGTGGCCGTGCGCGCGTGTCTCTCCGGATTCTTCCAGTCATGGAAGAATACCCCAGGGCTCACCGGGGATTGTTCGGTATCCTTCACTGCCGAGGAACTGTTAGCAATCGAGCGAGAATACAAGGAGTATTGGGGTTGGCACGAAATTCGGGACTTTGCAGCTGAGTATCTCAGCACAGACGCAGATGGCTGGGTATCCCCAGAGGATGACTTTGACGAGGTCCAGCGGCTGAACAGAACGATGTTTGGGAGGTATATGAAAGAAATGGCGGAGAATAACGTACCCCTGGGCTCTGCTCGAAGGAACTGGCCCTTTTTGGAGGGTCTCTAGCTAATACAAAAAAAAAGCAACAGTTCTTTCCCGGCTGATTTACTTGAAACATACTAATGCCTTGCCGAGTGTTCTGCTTGATTTGTCCTTCGAACCCAGACCAGACCAATACCTCCATATCTAATGCTCGCCTTGCTGCTTTTCCTAGCACAAACTCATAGGTGAAAAATCTGGTATCGCGAGCTGTGTATATTCAGACGAACATATCCTCTCTCTCTCTCTCTCTCTCTCGCTATGTTATCTCGAAATATTCCTTGAGTAAATAATAATATATATAGATTTGTGTGTGTATACAGATTCTGTGCAAGGTCATTCCTTTGCATGATCCTCCCGCACATCCTCCGAAAGAACACCCGCCCCATCCACATCCGCTCCCTTAAGACCTGCTTCTGTGCCGGATCTGACCCTAGAATGGAGAGAAGGGTGTCTGGCGCGGTCTGTGAAAAGGAAGTCGATTTCTTCGAGGGTGAGGTTTGCGGTTTCGGGGTAGAAGAAGTAGACGATCTGATAGCGTTAGATGAGCACGCAATGTACATAGTTCAAAAACTCGACATTAGAGGGAAGAATAATGAAAAAAAAGGAAAGAAATAAGATACTCACCGGAACAAAAGACATATTCAAGCACATGAAAATCAAATACCCTTTCCAGGCGAGATTTTGGATGAGGGTTGGCGTGATCATCACCACGAAGAAGTTCCAGAGCCAGTTGGCCGAGATGCCGATTGCTTGTCTTTTTTTCTTGCAAGTAAGCATCATGTTGAGATGAATTTGTAGACTAAGGATATAAGGATGTAAACCCACCCCTTCGCTCGTACGTGCAGCGGAAGAATCTCCGGCCCATACACCCAGGGAATGCAATTGACCGAGGCGCCGAAGATAAGCATGAAGAGGAAGAAGAAGGCGACGGAGGCTGAGGCGGTTGGTTTCTCGACGGAGGTCCCTGGTAATCAGATAGTTGGGTTAGTTGTTCGCCCATGTCCATGTATGTATACGAATGACCAAATAACAAAATTTAATTGTAACCGGCGAGAGATATACTTACCCTTAAACGAGAGCAGGATTGATATCATCATCATCGAAAAGAACAGCCCGAACGATCCCCACATCATGGGCTTGCGACGACCGAAGCGGTCGGAGAAGAATGTGGGATAGAATGAGCCTTGCCCGGTGATTGTCAGTTTGCCTTTCCACAAGAAAATAGAAATCTGGCGACTTTCAATGTTAGGGCTAACATACCAATCACAAACATGACCTGGATGACTCCTCCGAGCAGGAGACTTAGTTTCCGGGTTAGGCCGACATTGTATTGCAGAACTAATACCATGTTAGCGTGGAATGATAGGGGTGACATGGATTTGTTTTTAGGGTCTCACCTGAAGTGACGTAGTACTATGCTTCCCACGTTAGCCCTAGAGGTATATCCGGCAACACATCAAAAACAAAACAGACAGAACTCACCACGACCAGGTTAATCCCCCCATCTGATTCATAAACTGTATCCCATACGCCAGCAGCACGCGCCGACCCGTTTGCACCTCGTCACGCTTGAGGATCTGCGACCAGCGGTACTCGCCATGCAGCGTCTCCAGCTCGATGGCCTCGAGAATACCCTCGGACTCGATGACAACCTTGTGGTCATCGGGGCCCATGCCATAGACATCACAGAGGACCTGGAGAGCCTCGTCGGGTCTGTTGTGGCGGTAGAGCCAGCGGGGACTTTCAGGCAGACTGTAGCAACACAATAATTAACCCAACAGTCAGTTGTATCCCGTCCAGAGAGATAGATAAGAAGTGCATATATTTCTGTGAATTACTCACCCAAATACCAGCAAAATCACCATAATCGCAAATATCATCTGGCACGCCACCGGCAGCCGCCAGCTAATCGCCCCGTCGACGTAACTCATCCCGTAGTCGAACCAGTAGGCGATGACGATGCCCACGCCCACGAAGAGCGGCTCGCTGCATACGTACTTGCCGCGCTTCTTGGCCTCGCACAGCTCAGACTGGTATACCGGCACGGTGGTTGTCTCGATGCCGGTGCCGATGCCTGTGACGAAGCGCGCTACTAGGAGCTGGGCCCTGGAGAAGGCGGTAGTTTGGAGGGTTGCGCCGACCTAGACAGTGCAAATTATGAGTATTAGCATGCACCTCTGAAAGTGCTTACAATTATATATTTGCATGAGAGAAGAAGGGAAAGAAAACACATACAATAATCCAGCCCATGGCAAACCACATCGACTTGCGTGGCCCCAGTCGATCCGTCGTCAGAAACGACACGATCGTGCCAGAGAAACAACCGAGATTGTAGATGGATACGATGATGCCCAGGATGCCGGCGCTCGGATGCCTGACGACCTCCAGGAAATCATCGTTGCCCACGATCCCCGAGAACACGCCTTGGTCATAGCCGAAGAAGATAAAGGCCAATTGGCATGTAAACATGATGGCCATGCGTAGCGGGAGCCCGCGGCCGTAGATATCGAGTTTGACCATGGTTGCCGGCCACGGTACGTAGAAGAAGAAAGGGAATGATATGAAGGATATGAATCGCTATGCTATACAAAAGAGTGGAGAACCAGGAGGGTCTATACGTACCCCACATTATTCTCTTCCCAGGGCTAACTGCTCCATTTTAAACAAAAAGCTGACTCTTCCTGCCCCGCAATCTACACCGGGGGAATCCTTCATGGCTGTCCCGATGCGGTATCTCAAACCGCCAGTAACAAAGGGGGGAAAGGATCGGAGTTACGCCGTGGGACAAACCGGCGAAAGAAAGAAACAATTTTTCGAGAACGAAAATCCCACCAATCCTCGATGTTTCTGATTGCGGGGATGGATGCGGGGAGGACTGTGCGGGTCGGGGAGGAGCCGAGCCGAGCAAATGAGTGGATGACATGCTCGAGCAATCATCTCGTGGCAAGAGTTGCCTTGATTTCCTTGGGGAATATTTGCTAGCTGTTTAGGGCAGGACTTGGCCCCCGTGGCTGGCGCTTCGGATTGCCTGATTGAATGGTCCCTGTGGCGTTGATGACTCGAGTGGGATGGAAATGAGAGTATAAGTCGAAGGAGAACAAGGATTCATTAGCGTCTTCTTATTTTATTGTGAATACCTAGAGGATGTGCTTGTATGTAGCTGGCCCACCTGGGCAAGTTGTCAATTTCTCTTGGTTGATTGATCAGCGTTGAATGAGACCTGTTCTCACACCTGGAACTCCACGCTGTGTCTCCACTGAAAGAAAGAAAAGAAAAGAAAAGAAAAAAAAAATAATCAAGAATGGTCTAATAATCAGAATCGCTTCCCTCGTCGTAATAATCACCGTAGGCATAGTTTCCAGCGAAGGCATCGTCCACATGGTCCTCCTCGCCGTCATCGTCATAACCATCCTCATCCTCATCGGGATCAACTCCATCTTCTGGATCTGCATCCAGCTGTGGCGTCTCTTTGGCCGGCTCCTGGGTGGCAGTGGGTGCGGTAGGAGGCGGAGTAGGTTGGGACGCGGTGATGCCAGCGCCGAGGGGTTTGCTGGGATCCGAAGAAGTTGCCCGCCGCGCGCGCCGAGAGATTGCTTCCGGCTCAATGCTGGCGCTACGGCGCGAGGCAATGCTTTGGCTGCGGCTCTGGCTTCGACTCACACTCTCCGCCTTCGCCTTCTCCGAGTCGGTGCCCTCCCCGCCGTACAGCGTATCCAGGAGTGAGTAGTTGATTTTCTTGCTGTATCCGCGGCGCTCCAGCATACGCCGCGTTGCCTCGGCTGGGGTGGATGCGCGTGAACTGCGGCCGTCGCCATCTTCGCCGTCCCCTTCGAGATAGGTGACGTCGCCGAGCCGGCCTCGGCGGCGCTTGCGGGGCTTACGGGAAGACGGCCCTGTAGTGGCTTCGGCCAGCGCGCGTTTCAGGGCCTTGGCCTGCTGCGTGCGCAGATACTCTTTGTTCTCATGGACCCAGATGCGCTCCTTGATTTCGACTTCGGAGAGCGAGAGGAGGCAGTGGGCAACTTCGGGATCATCCTCAAACTCAGCCTCATCGATTTCCGTACTGTCGGAAACCATCTTCTTCGGTGGCTCAGTGACACTATCGATCATGTTGGAGCCTTTGGCTAGCATCGACCTCATCTCATCCTCGAGAGCTTCTTCGGATGCAACTTGTTCCGCAGACGGAGGTGGCAGAGGCGGTTGCTTCCCGCCCCTGCCTTTGCCCTTGGACCTGGTCGCCTCTTGCTCGGTATCTTCGATGACTTCGCTGACAGCCTTGGAAATCGATGCCCGTCGACCCTGGCCTGCCTCTATCAGGGCTGGGTCGATCGGCAGATTTGGAATGGCAAACCCATCAGCGTCGACACGCCGCGGTTGTGACCAGTCCGCTTCACCCTCTTCGGGAGAATCGTCTTCAATTTCTGCTGCAGTCTCCGCCGCCTTCCTTTTGACCCGAGATGGTTTTCGGCCCTCTCTTGCACGGGTAAACGAAGGAGGGTCATGGGAGCTCTCCAATTGAACGGAGCGAAATTGGTCAACAGTCAGCTCGCCACTCTCTGTCGAGCTGAACTCATTCAGACGTTGACTGATCGTAATTTCAGTCACCTTGACGACATAAACAACTTCCCGCACGGTTCGTCGAAAGTTGTTCATACGTGCCGCAAGAATCAAGGCTGCACCACACACACCGGCCGGGCGACGACCCGTAGTCATCCAGTCACGATTCATGCGCTGCACAATCCGAACGGCTTCACTAGCCACTTGCATCACGGATTGTCCAAATTCCAACTGCTTGGCGAATCTGAAAATCAGGCTTTCAGGATCGATCGGATTCATCAGAAAGACGTTACCACCTAGACGGAGTTCGTCGAGGAGCGCCTTGTAGGTTCGACCAAGCTTGAACACATTGATCTAGATAAAAGTCAGTTGAGTCTGCAGATATTTCGGAAGGTGAAACCACTCACCATCAGCACATCAGCAAAATCGATCAGCATGACTGTATTGCCGTCCTGGCGACGGCACGCGATATACAGGGCGACTGCCGCCACAGTTTTGGTCCGGCGACCTTGGATGAAATTCAGGCCGACGGCAAGTTTAAAGACTTGACCAGCAGCCTTGGTTGCACTGTCAGGGATATTCAAGGCTCGCGAGAGCTGATTGATATATCGATTACCTGGGGGGAAATTAGCTCGGGCCTAGATCAATTCCTATCAGAGCATCCGAAGCACATACCATTCTGTTCGGTCATTTCTCGACTCTCCATGGCACCGCCTCGTTGGAAACCAGGGCCGAAGCTGCGCACATGTGTTTGGTCTTCTCCCACGAACGTTCCCTGGACGACAGCAGCGCCGGATGCGTTTTCACCGAAAGAGACCTCGGACACAATATTTGCTTCACTGATCACAGTACCGCAGCCAGAACACACCTTCTGACCGTCATCCTCGACGATTTGCGGTGCTGGACAGCCAGGATTCGGACAATTCGAGGTCTTTGGATGTGTTGTAGGCCGTGGAGGCTGGGGACGTCCTATCGGCTGAGGACGCTTGATTGGAGTCGCACTCGGAGGTTTGAGGCTGGCCAGACGTCCGACTGGAGCTCGGGGTCCGCGAGAGGGGACCGAGGGGCGAGCGCCGGGCTTCGAGGTCGACATGGTGGCGGGAGGAGGGGAGGTCCAGACAAGGTAAAGAAACGAAGAATCCAGTCGATTGCCCCACGACAGAACCCCCCAAAATATTCAGATTGAAGCCGAAGTAAGACTTGGATCGGTGCTACGACATCACAGTCGCGCGGGTTTGCGATAAGGATGGATGGGGGAAAAAAGCACAAAAAGAATAGTGCCGGATGGGGTCGCGGGCGGTGATAACTTTGGAGGATCGGGACGAGGGTGCTTCAAGCAGGTTGTTGAAGATGTTTCCTTCCCCTTCCTATCCACACGACTCGAGCAGAGGGATCGGAGAGAGAAATCAAGGCACTGTTTCCTGAATGATGAAGGAGTAAAAGATAACCGATAAGAGACGATGGGGGTGGGCGGACTCGTCGCGAGTGAAGTTGCCGATCGCAGGCGATGGTGGCTCAGTGGGGAGATCACGTGGATCACATCCTCCCAGGTCCGCGTTCAATCCAGGCAACGAAAAACCTCGAATATTTCGTTTGTGGTGATGGCTGGTTGAATTAACTGTCTGTCAATCAGCACCCACATTCCTCCCATGTAAAACCCAATTGGACCTCACATTTCTTTTTCCCACGTCCCTTTCTTCCAAGTTGGTGGTCATGTGATCTGCTCCTAGGTTGACTCAGCGGAAGGGAATCGTTTGCCACTGGGTCTCTGTCTTGCATCTCAACGCTTGGACATTTTCGTTTGACATTATTGATCTGGACTATTGACAAGGTGGAATCAGACCAAAGCTGAGTCTCCATTCCTGGACCAGTCCGGGCTAATGGGCTAGTGACATACTGCAGAGGGTCATGGCCTCAGATGACTGGAATGCGGCATTTGCGCGTAGTTTGGATCGCGCACAAATGTCGCATCGCCATCGGGTTCGCCCATTCTGGCGCTTTCTTCTCTTTTCTTCTTTGTTTTTGATATAAGACACTTCACTGACAATCCTATTTCTTTTTGAGCCCTCTCTTTTTGTTGTGTAACGGTCGACGCCGACGAGTCTGAGGATCGCTGGTATTTCAAGCAGTTGCTACCCGCACGGTGCTTTTGAGCGGAGCAATAGTCGATCACACCAGCACGTTCCCTCCGCTCCCCTGACTATCTTTGCTTGTTTCAGAATCCACAATCTGGGGTGACAGCCGGAGTATCTCGTGCGACCATGTCCGGTCCCTCAGGGAACCCCCTGAGGCCCAATATGAACCTCGATACGCGCCGGAGCGTATTCTGGGTGAGCAATGTACATTGCTCATCCTGTGTGGCATATGTCACCGAAGTCCTATCCGAGATTCCAATGGTTCATGATATTGATGTCTCGATCCTAACTCACGAGGTGCGGGTCGTCCATGGGAGTACTGCGCGGCCGGCAGATCTCGTTGCAGCGCTGATTCATGCCGCGTTCGAGGTTTACCATGCAACATCCTTCGATGAGAGAGGGGTAGTCATCGCCGATCTCGATACTGCATCCTGGAACTCTCGTGCGTCCTTATTCTCTACGCCGCGCACGTCCTATTCTAGTATCTCCTCCAATTTGAAGGAGCGCTTGCAAACCAGCAGAGAGAAGCGACACCTTGCCAACTGTGATGCTTGCAGGAAGGAAGAAACTGAGAATCTTTCTCGCCATTCCATTCATACAGAAACAGAATGTTTGCCCGAGAAGTCCCCGCAGACTCTATGGAGACCAAGTGAGAGCCTCGAGCGAGATCAAGACCAAGACCCAAAGCGTTTGGAAACGCCACCGGGGCATGCAGTGTACCCCAATTTGGCTTCGGTTGCCCCCTCTGAAGTTCGCGTTGAGCATGACCCTTCTCTGCCGCCACAAGTACCCACTGGATTCAACGAAAACCCCCAAACGCCTTCATTCAATTTGGACGAGTTTACTGCGCGAGTAAGCATTGGGGGTATGAGCTGTGCATCCTGTGTCAACAGCATCACTGGCGAAGTGCAGCAGCTTGAATTCGTCACAAATATCACGGTCAATCTTCTCACTAACAGCGCCACACTGCGCTACACTGGTCCTCGAGAAAACATTGACAAAGTAGTTGAACAAATCGAAGAGACTGGATTTGAAGCCTCACTTGACGAAGTTCACCCGGTTCACAAGGCTGCTAGTCCTCAGCCAACCCCGACAAACTATGCCAGCGAAATTGCGATAACTGGCATGACCTGTGGATCTTGTGTCGGGGCAGTCACACGAGGACTGGAAGAGCTAAATTTCGTCCAAGATGTTTCAATAAGCCTACTCTCGCATAGCGGGCGAATCGAGTTCAGCGGGAGGGACAACCTCGACAAGATTGTGGAGAAGATTGAAGACCTGGGATACGATGCCGCCGTCAATAGTGTTCATCCGTTGATCGGAAGCAACAGCACTCCTGACCCGGTCCAAACAAGAACAGTATCCATTCGTGTAGATGGGATGTTCTGTCATCACTGCCCGGAAAAGGTCCTGGGGACCCTCAAGTCGCTCCCGGACATGATCGTCGAGGAGCCGCTGTCTGAGAAGAACCCTGTCATCAAAGTCACATACATACCCCAACAACCTAATCTCACCATTCGTTCGGTACTGTCGACCATCAACGCGACAAATGACTCTTTCCGCGCCAGCATCTACCATCCACCCAGCATCGAAGACCGCTCGCGGCAAATACAGCTGCATGAACGACGCCGGCTGCTATCGCGGTTACTATTTGTCTTTGCTGCAACAATTCCCACGTTTATAATTGGTATCGTGTTCATGTCACTCGTTTCTTCTGACAACCCGATTCGAATGTTTTTGGAGCAGACCATGTGGTCCGGCAGCGTGACTCGCATCGAATGGGCACTGTTCATCATGTCGACGCCGGTGATGCTCTACGGCACCGATGTGTTCCATGTTCGCGCCATGAAAGAGATTTATGCCCTGTGGCGGCCTGGGAGTCGGGTGCCCATTTTGCGAAGATTCTATCGTTTTGGCAGCATGAATCTTCTGATCTCGGCAGGAACCTCGGTAGCCTATATTTCATCATTGGCTGTGCTCATCGCCGATGCTGTTGTGGGTACCAAGTCCAGTGCGCACAGCACTACTTACTTCGACTCGGTTGTCTTTTTGACTCTGTTCATTCTCGCTGGCCGGTTCCTAGAAGCGTACAGTAAAGCCCGAACCGGTGATGCAGTTACATCGCTGGGAAAGCTTCGGCCTTCCGAGGCGTTGTTGGTTGACAACGCAAATGCCTTGGATGGCAGTGCGTCCGAGAACACCGGGGCCGAGGGATTAAAACGAACCCCTGTTGACCTTCTGGAGATTGGTGATGTTGTCAGCATTCCTCATGGAGCATCGCCTCCTGCGGACGGCGTGGTGGTAGATAGCGCCTCTTGCCAATTTGATGAAAGCTCTTTGACTGGAGAGTCGAAACCGGTCAAGAAAATTGCGGGAGACCAAGTCTACACTGGCTCTGTCAATGCTGGCCAGCCAGTGCAGATCCGGATTACCGACCTCGGAGGATCATCCATGCTTGATCGGATTATCGCCGTGGTGCGCGAGGGACAGAGCAAGCGTGCGCCTCTCGAACGAATCGCCGATCTGCTCACGTCGCATTTCGTTCCGGCGATTACTTTTGTTGCTATTATCACTTTCATCATCTGGCTTGCCCTTGGACACTCGGGTATGCTTCCGGCTGAATATCTCGACGTTGCACACGGTGGTTGGACCTTTTGGAGTTTGGAGTTTGCGATTGCAGTGTTTGTAGTGGCTTGTCCCTGCGGCGTAGCCCTCGCTGCTCCGACGGCCCTGTTTGTTGGAGGAGGTCTTGCCGCGAAGCATGGCATCTTGGTCAAAGGGGGCGGTGAAGCCTTTCAAGAAGCGAGCCGCCTTGATGCCATCGTTTTTGATAAGACGGGTACGTTGACCGAAGGAGGAAGCCTGAAGGTTTCCGAGCACGAGGTCTTGACGAAAGCCCCCGAGCTCGAGAAGGTCGCATGGGCTCTCGCCCTGAAGATGGAAGAGAGAAGCAATCACCCCATCGCACAAGCAATTTCTGGATTCTGCAAATCACAGCAGCAATCCGTTCCAGTCCTTTCTTCAGACATTCACGAGATTTCCGGACACGGCATGAGGGGAACGTTCACCGTGTCTGGGAACAGCTCCGAGAGCGAGCAATACGAAGCCGCTATTGGCAACGAGCGCCTTCTCCACAGCCTTTTGTCCACTGAAACGGACACATACTTTGTTTCCAACCTTCTTTCGAAATTCCAGTCCTCGGGAAAATCAACTGCAATACTTTCATTACGCCATATTGACCCGCAATCCCCCGAACCATCTCAATTCTTGCCTGTCATTGTTTTTGCTACCTCGGACACGATTAGATCAGAGGCCATCGAGGTTATCTCGCAGCTCCAGAAGCGCCATGTCGATGTCTTCATGTGCACGGGCGACAACCAAAAAACCGCTCATGCTGTCGCAGATATGCTGGGTATTGCTCGGTCAAACGTCATGGCCAACGTTCTCCCCGGCGAGAAAGCCAGCTTTGTGCGCCAAGTCCAGGAAGCAACCTCCAGTTCAGAAGATAAGCGAACAACACATCGTCAGTCCACAAAACGTCCAATCGTCGCCTTTGTCGGCGATGGCGTGAATGACTCCCCAGCTCTGGCAGCTGCGGATGTAAGTATCGCCATGGCCTCCGGCTCCGACGTAGCCATCAACTCGGCCAGCTTCATCCTCCTCAACTCCGACCTCTCCACTATCCTGCAACTGGTCCTGCTCAGCCGGCGCGTGTTCAATCGCGTCCGCATGAATTTCGGCTGGGCCGTCGTGTACAACCTCTGTTTGGTGCCCGTGGCAGCCGGCGTCTTCTATCCTATTGTCAGTGACCACCACCAGAAAACGGTTGGTGGCGAAATGGTCACAGTCAATGAGCATTGGAGGCTGAGTCCCGTATGGGCAGCGCTGGCAATGGCGCTGAGTAGCATCTCAGTTGTCTTGAGTAGTCTGGCGCTCAGGGTTGATCGAGAGAGCATCGTGAAGATGGTGCGGCTGGGGAAATAAGGCTCACAAAGACTCCTGTATTTTGTCTCCTGTACTTAGTACTTTACTTTCATTGGATGTGAAATTTCCTAATAGTGGACCGCCATTTCATGTTATGAGTCCTTCAGGCGTTCAATACAACGAATGCATCGTGTGCTAGCTATAGTATGCACCCCTATATTAATTGATAGTAGAGAATTAGGAAGCTCGCCAGGACAAGCTGTATTTGTTCTAGGGAAACAACTATAACTTAATATATAAGCTTCGTAAAGACTCTAGAATATTATATCTCGACATGTCCTTCCATGTCCAGCATGTCATCCCCTCGCATACCGCGCCACCACTCGCTCTGCCGAACAAGTTCTCCATCTTCACCACCAAGCCAAGCCCAATACTTCTTCAAAAACCACACCTTCGCCTCCCAACTACGGGCATCCCATGGCGTACCCGTCGAAGCACCTCCAGTTGAATCATTCCGATCCCTCCCGATACCCGCACCGCCCCAGCATACTAAGCCCGTAAGCATATCATGAAAGAACTCATCCTCGTCGATTTCATCTTGATGGGCAATGAGACTGTTCCGCAGTGTCGGAAATGGAAGAATATCGATGTACGGATGATGCTTGACAGTGATTTGCTTGCTGCTTGGCCTCAAATCTGGTTTCAGGGTCTTAAATATCGCCTTCACGGTGCCTATCATTGTTGCTTTAATTGCTTCGTCCATTGCTTCGGCGCTGAATCGGAAGAAGGGGGAGAGGGATTCATCGGCGCACATCATCTCCTCGGTGAGGCCGATGTGCATTCCGACTGTATAGAGGGCAGATACAGTACAAATAGATTCGATGCGGAGATTGTTGGCATATGGATCTGCGGGCATTGCACTGGGGAGAAATTTGATCATTTTGACCTCGTTATAACTGAGAGGGTCCGGCCCTCGTGTCTGTGTTTGCATTTGCACGTGGGGGCTGGAGCAACCGCATTTGATGGTGGTTGTCCGGGATGGAGTAGAGTTGTTGTTGTTGTTGTTATTGTTGTTGTTGTGTTTTTCGCACATCAGAAGAGAAGGGTCAATATGTGGGATAGAGTCCCATATACTCGTTGCTGATGAGCTGTTGCCGGAGACTGGAATGTCCAGTATTGTTGAATCCCATATGCTTAGGGCTGATGAGGTACCCTCTGACTCTGGAAAAGGTTGATATTCTTGCGGGTTTGCTGCAGACAAACTGAAAACAGAGGCTTCCGGAGCATCACAAACGTAGAGACCTTCTGTCCTGCTACTGGATGCAGTACTGGATGAGGCATACGTGGGGACTGCCTCAGATAGACATGTACCCCCAGCCGGTGTTTTCTCAATGCCGCTGTGCGCGGTAGATGCTGCTAATGCCTCGAGATGATCCAGACGTCCACGGAGCTTTTCTCCTGTACGAATGGTTAGTACCCAACCTTTCCGGAAAGTCCGGTGCCCATGGGCCCATGCCGATGACAAAGCATTACACTTACGGTACTTTCTTTGCGCTTGAGCATTCTGTTGCCGTCGCTTCTCTGGGTCACGGCGGACCGGCTTTCGTTTCTCTTTTTCGGCGCTTTCACTCCGCATCACTCGGCGGGTATGTGATAGCATTGTAGGCATGGCTTATAATCAGGCGATTTGTATGGACAAGGAAGGGCTGGTGGGGACAGAAAGCCAGAAGTGGGTATTATGGTCGCCACAGCGGACTCGGATTTATATTTCGCCCGCTGGTTGAGCTTGGCAGAAGACTTCGCCTCGACCGATATGCCACTATACCTATCGGGGTAGGTACGAAGACCTTTCGGTCTACTATGTCATTACGGCACGAAATCCGAATAAGGTAAATTAAACGAGATTTCAAGAGGTCTATGTATAGTATTTATATAGTAGAATTTCGAGAATTAAGAATTAGGCCTTAGTAGGTCCTATGGGTGTTAGGACACCGTAGGTCGCTAGTATATATAGTAGCGTATCCCACTCTGGGATCACACTTTCTTTTTCTATTATTATCTAATAGTTTTACTTTTTTTTACTATATTTTTATAGAGCTATTACTACAATTAGTTACTAATTAGTTTCTATAGTTATCTTAACAAAATTTAATTTTATATTATTAAGATATCTCTGACTATCACTGGGTTTATAACCAAAGTTCTGTTACATGACATGCTTGGGAAAGCTTGAAAATAGAATCACCAAGACATAGACCATTGAGGGTACAATTAGGATGAGAGTTGACTGTGATGCAGTTGCGCCCCTTGCCTCTTCTCACCGACGATGATAGTGATATCGCTTGACGGACCATGATTATCCATGGCTTACGTTATCCATGACAGCCCTACTAGGTATGTGATAGAAATTATAAACAATACCCGAGGAACTGTTAGTTTATTCTGGTGATCAAGAAATTCATACACTCAATTGTGTATGGGCAGCTCGAGGTTGGAGTTGGTTCGATGAACCCCCAAGGTTGAAGGAATGCCGCCAAATAGGGGCCGTCTTGGCTGGTAAAGCCCATGCGGCTTGAGCGGGCTGAATGTCTTATCTTTTTCTTTTCCTGCCCGGTTGCGCATGACTCGGCGGGAAGAGAAATAAGAGGCCAAAAAGTTAACCGAAAGAGAGAACAGAGATACTTGGGGTTGTCGTACTAAGAGAGAATATACATTTGGCTGCAGTAGAAGCATATATACTCGTAAGCTGCTCCGTGATGAGTGGAAAGTCATTACATAGAATCTATCTTAATTTTATTGCTCGTCAGACTCAACAAAAGCAGGGCTCTAGGAGTAAGTATCTCCAGGACATGGAATCATGCAAGACGCACCACAAAACGCTCAAATGAAAAATGAAAGGGAAAAGGCGAGTACAAGAAATAAAAGCCAGAACCCCAAAACAAACTTGTTATATCGAAACACAACTAGACCGGGCTCTCGTCCAAGACAGTCTTCGGTCTCACCGCACCAGAGGTGTCTTTCCAGACAAACCACGATAACGTAATAGCGCCCTTCAAAGCCACAGCCAGCCACAAGCTGCTGGCCATAGTGGCAGCCTTGGACAGCCCACCCGCCGTCATGGCACCCATAAACAGGGCCAGGAATGCCGCGATCCTCCGGTTCCGCTTGGGATTGGCCGACCAGGGTCTGGTGTAGAGCTTTGTATCGACCAGCAGGTCGCACAGGAGGGTGGTGAGCACGACGGTTGGGATCTCATCGAAGGCCAACAGGCGCGAGGCACAGATCTGGCCGGCAGCTTGGAAAGCCATGAGCGTGATGGGCACAATTTGGATCCATTCGATCGGGGCGCGCGGGTTTTCTGGCTTGGGGCTAACGATGCCGGCCTGGACCACGGAGGCGGCGACGATAAGCGCGGCTGTCTGTAGACCAAAGGAGAGGATGAGGGTCGATCGTCGGAGTGGGTTGAGTGCGCGCGAGAGGTGGATGAAGAACACGTTGCTGAGCAGGAACACCACCAGCGCAATCAGTGATTTGGCCCACAGGAATGCTGGATACTCAGGCTGGCCGGATACACCGAGGGCGATAAACACCGTGTTCCCTGTTTGTCTCTGGTTAGCCGGCGACAGGTGCCAGAGTTAGGTCATGGCAGTGGACAACATACCTGTTTGCATACTCGAGAAACTGCCCCATGCGTTGAAAGACAAGCCATCGACGAGACCGCTAACGAACCCACACACAATCAGAATAATATCTGCACGTCTGGGGTCCAGCTCAACGAGAAAGTATGTTGTCATCTGGGACGGCCACGATAGCTTTTCCATAGAAGTTGTGTTGTCTGCAAAAGATACATCCGTACTATATTCTGCCGGTCGAGGCGTCCTTTGCGGACCATCGCCGGCATGAATTTGATGAACTGTCTCGCATTGACTGTCTAGAGGGTCCCGGATTTTGCTATCGGGACTGTTTTCCGTGGTGGCAGAAGAGAGAGACCGCCTGGGAGTGTGCATTTCGTTTTGATTTCTTTTGGGGGAAAGGCAACGGGGCCAGACTGAGACTGCTGGACTAAATGATAGATCTTGAACCGGATCCCGGGATGAGATGGTCCCTGACTCGGCTTATAGACCTAGACTTCTCGGGTACCAATGGCGAGGAGGAGTGGTGTACAATGACGCCCAGCAGGGATCTACGAGCGGATAGTTTTCGTTGCCGTCTTGGACTTCTTGGGTTGTCTCCACTGGTCTTCCTTGGTATTCCATGTTGTTGCTTTGAGTCCTCGTCAGAGAGAGACGCGCAGGGGGTGACACCTGCAGGAAGACATGAGCCAGGCGCAAATGGCAAATCCTTCGAATCCAGGCCCTCTCTGCCCATTCATCCTTTTAGCAGCCATGTGGCTGGCATGTCGTTATCCCCGACAGGCATGGCCAGCATGTAGAAGTTTGAAGGCAATCCTCATTCCGGCCCAATGAAAGAAAACTTGCTACTATTGACCTTGGCGGGGACTTGGCGGGTGTCCCGAATCGGCGTGTTGACTTATCGGCAGACGTTGACAGGCTGACGACATCTGTTCTGTGGTTTTCTCCAGGCTTGGCGGGCCAGCCCCGGGGAGAGAGAGCTATTGGCGCCAGGGTAGATTGGTGGATGTGCCAAGTGCAGCGCCTCATCGGACGGCAAATGGGGCCCTGATTCGGCAGATAGCATGGTCTCGTTCAGGAATAGGGGGTGAGCCAAGGCCGGATCAGAGTGATCGACGGAGAGGCAGGGATTCTTATCAAGGTTTCGGCGGGAGACTTTATGCCAAGGCTGTTCCACCGAGTGGGAGCCTAGACGTCAAGGCGGAATCCCCCCGGGAGGGAGTGAGTGTGTTTGAGGCTGCAGCTCAATGGGTCTCTGTCAGACACGATGGATCATTTCTTGAGTCCGTCCCAATCTCAATCATCCTGACCGACACGAGGCTGTGGGTCTTATTGGCACAGCTCTGGAGGATAAGAAGACCATGAGCTCGCAACCCCCGTCTGTGGTGGGGTTGAACCCCTAACGTCTCTTGCGTGGGATAATGACGATATGACGATATGGCGAAGGAACCTATCAGGACCCATAATAGGATCGACACCATCTCCAACCCAACGGTGTCGACACAGACCGTGGTCTTGGATCTCCAGATCGTTTCAGACGCAATCCTGACGGGCAACCGGTATACGCACCCCATGTGCTGTGATTATTGGCCTGGGACTCCCTCCGCAGCGTGGCTGAGTCCATCACATACGCAGCCCACGGAGGAACAGGAGCCTTGGCGAGTCTTGGAGGAAGGCAACACGCCGAAGGGCCAAGCTCGTCCGTTCCAGGGCCCGGCCCCCCGATGATCGGGCGACCTGGGCCCAATTGTAAAGGAGGCATTGCTCGAAATACTTTTCCGATGACCATGGGTGACATGGCAGAGACAGAGAGTGTGTGGGGGAAGGTGGCCTAAGGGGCGGATTTGAGTAACTGCTAGGAGGGTTGAGCCGCTGAGAATCCGCTAGAAAAAGAATACGAGTCCGTTCAAACCATATCCACTCCCCCGACACTTTTCTCTGTGCTCCATCGAGAAATTCTTGCGAGTTGCTGCTCGCCATTCGGGTGTTTCAGCTGCACGCATGAGTGTCTCACTCTCGTGGATTTCCAACTTCGAGTGACGCCCGGGGTTTGGCAACGTCATTGCCCTCAAGTGGGTAATGGATCTTGCACTCCCCGACAAAGAAAGACTGGAAACCCCCGCAGATTGCACTTGACTCGAGTGGTGGTTCGGGCAAGTGGAGAAGAGAGTCTTCATGGCTTCATCGAAGGGGGTGATGTCCTTGGCATCTCATACTGGCCCCCTTTGCTCTCCCGACGGTTGAAGACCGACAGGCTTCCGCCGATATTCCATGGACGTGCCTCGGGGACAGTCGCACTTGCGAATGTCCGATATGTCTGCCTAGGAAAAAAACCCCCATTATCCCCGTTAGCTGTTTAGTGTGGCGGGTTGTCGATCCCCCATATCGACCCACTTCCCCCAGGAATGGGTGGACATTAATAACAGAAATGACTTAAATTTCTTTCTTATCTACACTCAGATCTGTGCAAGGGCTTAACCCTACATACATGGGCATGAATTGGTCTACCCGGTTTTTTGCTCCCATGTGGAGGATCTGCTGCGTCGACACCATGTGCCGGGCCCGGGGATCTCGGACTGCACTTGTCCATGATCGGTTTGTTTCCGACGCACGGTAGACACGCTTTTTGGTATCACTTCATACTCCGGATTGATACTGGCTGCGGCTGTTGCGCTGCTCATCAATGATAACGAAAACTATCCGGAGGTGCAGTATGATGCCCTCATGTATAACCTGCTGCCTGGAGACTCCGTCATTTCAGCTGCTGGATACACCCAGGGATCACTGTGGACAACATGCTGAGCCACCGAATAGACACGGCTCCGTGAGGCATCTAGATCTCTTTTCCAAAATCCTGCACTACCCCAACCTGACTGCTCACAAATGCGGTATTCCTCCCTCCCTCCCTCCTAAGGTGGATACCCTGGTTGTCTCTGCTATTTCATTTTATAGCTAATATTACCATGATTGTCCTAGCTCTAATCATTTTACTCCTACACGTCCTGTCACTCTCCCACTCCCTCTCTCGGGAGAAGTACCTATATCCCCTGATTCCCAACCATGGATCATAGACAGAGTGGATCGGTGTGAAGTGACCAAAACAGTGTAATAATGAGAGCGTCCATGAATGTCCCATGGAAAATCGAAAGCCAAGCTCCAATACCAAAAGTGGATACTTTCGTGGCCAGAAATTAGGAGTCTATCCAAGGAGTACAAGTCATGGGCATAGTAGCAGGAGTGTAGCAGAATAAGAATCACCAGCCTTTGCTAACATTCAAGTGATCCCCCTTTACCTCAAGGCATTTGTCCTTAATATCGCCTGGAATCTCAAATAGAGTCTCAAATACTAGTTCGATCCATGAACATTCCTTGCATTTAGCCCATTAGCTGTGAGATTCAGGACCCTTAGATACATTTGACATCATTATCGTTTCCTTCTCTCTTCTGTTCCTTCTCACCCTGGTTTTATGTTCCGGTAACACGACGGTATTCGGCGAGGAGTTGTGGCATTCTCCAACGCTCTCCTTGCCTGCATAACCCGTATTTCATCACCTTCCTCTTCTCGCGAGCCAAGTATTTCTTGCCTCGATCAAACTTATCATATAAAAGGTCGTCCATCTTCTCAGCAGTCAGGCCAATTTGAACTCCCTCTTTTGTTCTTTGAGACAATGTTTCTTTCCAGAAGTCGTCGTGTGTAGCACGATCCTGCATAACTTGCCATTGATCGGCAACCAGCCACATCATCGTAAACGAATAAGCATCCGCTAGGGGGCTCTATATGTAACCTTGTGATATAACTCTAAGCACCATCCAGATTAGCTCATGCTTTCTCCACAGGATGAAAGGGGGAGGCTTACCTGGAGCGCTATAACCGGGTGTCCCTGGAGCACTGTATTGTCGATGCCCCTCTGCTGCAGCCACATCCAAAGCATGACCCCAATCAATTATTTTGGCCTTGCCATTTATGAAAACCACATTTTCGGGCTTCACATCCCGATTAGCAACGCCCGCAACGTGAGCGTCGACTAGTCCCTGTCCAACATCCCGCAGCGCGCGGCTCTTGCTGATTCGATAGTTTCGTGATAGAGCTGTGAGCAGATCGTAATCGGCTTTGGGCATCGCCACCACCGATTGCTTCAGATCTGGTTCCCATGCTATTTTCAGGTTCGGCAAGACATAAGCACTGCGGATACGGTTGGCAAGGAGGGACTGATCCACATCGCGACCTCCTCCTGATATCTTGACTGCCACGTCGCGTATGGAATCATCTCTGTTCTTTCTGTAGAGCACCATTTGGGCTTCGTAGACTGTTCCTTGACCTCCCCCGCCCAGTCTGCTCCTCAATGACAGCTCTCCGCTGTCCCCACCGTCAGTAGGGAATACATATTTGGGCACGCCGCGGAGTTTCTGAACTTCATCATAACAGCGGCTCCTGGGCGGTGCGGTTTCGGCACGACGAACAAGAGAAGACGAGCCATTGTCGGAGTCTCCTGGAACCAGTTCACCCCCAGCGTCAATTGGGGAACGGTCGAGATTCTCTTCCGGGACCGGAATAGCGGTGATTTGGGGAATGAGCAAGGAATAAATCCCCCATAATACCAGTCGGGAATTGAAAAGGTGCATGGTGGTGGAGGAGGATGGATGGGGAGGTGGGGGAGTGAAGCATCAGCAAGCAGACAGCATTTTATGACAATAGGTTCCCCCCCTTTTTTGTATTGCGGGTGCCCAGAAGTAGAGAGAAGAAAACAGGTTTGGTGAAAATTTGAGGTTTGCCCCGTAGTCGACCTGTGCGTGATTGACAAGAGCTACCACGGGGCAACCCGTGGAAGAATCATATCAATGTGTACATATGGCTGGAAATCAGCGGCTCGGGCAAGGACAACGAGATAAATGGGCAGCGATCAGCATGCGAAACTATATCGAGTGGAGCATCTCCATGTTGCATCGAAGGATTCAGGGCAACTGTGGGGCCTGGATGGTTCCTGTTAAGCTGATTTTAGCGTGGAGAAAGATGCGTACAATCTCCAGGGTTGAGAACCCCCCCCTAATCCACTTTATTCTTCGCGTCGTCTAGCAAGTGCGATAGTTGTGAAATAAACCACATAGTGAAATCCGAACTAGTTCGTGTCCAAGTATGCTTGACGCGGTTTTCACAATGCAGAATTTTTTTCTCCATCACCTCCATCCTCAGAACCCTCGGTTTGGGGCAACGGGGGCAGTGGGGGCCTTTTCTGCTTCAAAAACTGGTAAGCGAGCGAGCCAAAAAAAACTCAGAATATAATGATATCAAAGAAGATTTAGATAGACATTAAAGCATTGATTGTCCGAGGACCTGGAATCTATGTCAGTATACTACTACTACAATGATTTCGACACCAGCCTTCATTCTATAATACTGTTTTTCTTTATCCCCCCCATTGATGGATGGATATATACATACAGCATGTCTATGGAAAATATCCATAACACATAACATGATGTAACATCTGGGGCCGCCCCTGATTTCTTTAGTTAGCTTGGGGCGGGGGCCGCTGACATGGTGTTCAAAGAGTAGAGGATGGATACTTAGACGTAGATCGCTAGAAGAAGAGGATAAATAGAAGAAACATTTTTTAAATAATAATAATCGTAGTAGTAAAAGATAGAAGAGACACGGACGAAGGCAAGAACAAGCAACCAAGTAATTAAAAAAGACATAGTCTACTATACTCTTCGAGAAAAAGGACCGTCTGCATAGTGATCTAGCGGGCTTAGCGTGCTCGGTTCCTTTCTCTTTCTGGTTTTCTGGTTCCTGGCGTCGTGAAATAGTGGGGCTAAAACCTGCAGCCCCGGTGGACCCTGATCAGATGGTGACATCAGACAAATTACTAGGATTGGAATCCCACACATCTTGGAACGGGGTTGTGGGGAGGAGGGAAATAGGAGTGGGGGGGGGGGGGGGGGGGGGTCTAAGGAAAACGCAAGCTTTGGTCAATGATATTTACATAAATCTGGGGATTGACATGGCCTTTAGGATTGGTGAGCCCGAGACGTCTGTAACAGCCTAATTTTCAGAGTAAATGTGGAGGCATGCAAGACACAGGGTGTGGAGAACAGGGCGTTATGCCGGATTTACGTTATGGACTCTTCCTGGATACTCTTCTCAAGGGATAAGTAAGAAGAGCGCAGTGAAGAGGCTGAGGCGGGGCGTCTGTCCTGATGCATATGTTGCTTTGGTTCGTTTCAATCGCTGCGGAGAATAATTTATTCTCTAACCAAGATCGAGTTCCCCTCCACTCGTCTGAAAAAAGTTTTTTAGGTAAAGCAGACAGTCTAGTGTAGAGACTTATTTACATAGTTGATCCAAGATTGGGGGTTCGAACTTCATATATCATGCGGACTTTTTTCTATCGCTATATCTATAGTAGAAATCGTAACGTATATAGACGTGCGCCCAGAAGTCGCAATTCTATCTCCCTGACTATATCAAAGCAGCCGGAACCCCATTCGTGCAGATTCTTTAGTGGAGTGATCGGTCCACTTTGTAAAGTATTCTGGAATCTTCCACAGGTATGTTGGTTGCTCAAAATTTCCATCCGAAGACAACCCTGGACTTGGGAACTGAGCTTGTGGGGATCTAAACGGCCGGTTTCTAATGCAAGTCTCTCTGATCCCTTTTCAACGGATGAAAACTAATGACAAAGCTTTATTAAAGTCTCACTGCCTCCAGGGCTACGTGGTACGCTCAGTAACTTGGATGACCTTCAAAACGGCATAGACGCTGTATTTTGCAGCTTTCGCGGCTTGCGTAGTGAGAGTCCTTGTACTTGTTGGCTGGGTCATTGTAAGCGAAAGAATTATATCAGGGTTAGTTGATATATCTCACAAGAAAAAAACCAAAGGTAAACTTATAATAGTATATAAGGGTGGTTTCCGCTCTTAGATAGATTATCAAGAGCTAGAGGAATGAAAATAATTGTTTCTAGAGAGTGAGCTTAAGTATATATCCGGTTTGTAGTAACATCATTTATCTCCGGCAAATCCTCAGACAGTGATATTAGGGGTCGGTATGTGGTTCGAGTGCCTAGAAACCTAGAGAATAACTAGCGATGTGAGATGACTAAACCCGAATAAGGTAGCTTCTAAATGCCTAAAAAGCTATTCGTGGATCTAGTGGGCCTTTGTGAGCGTGTGGTCGGCTCCTAGGAGTAACTCTTCTAGAGCCCTTAAGTAACCTGGTGATTCGTATCCTTTTCATGACCCATTGCTTACTCATTGGTGAGAGAAGTATTTCTTTGTCTTATATCCTGAGCAAGTCTCTCCAATTTAGTCCTTGGCTCAGAGCAAGCATGTAGATCTTCGAGTAAACTTATCTAATTGCCCTGGCACCAGTAGTCCTCCAAACTCTGATTAGGAGATCATGGGGTTAGTGAACGAAGTATCCCCGGGAGCACGTAGGTCTGAAATGCACAATTCGTTAGTTGACCAAGTAAGAGGTTCTATTGTAATGCAATAAATCGCAGCAAGTTTACTAGGAGAGAGGGGGGTTTATAAAGGGTGCCAAAAGTCTAGCGACACTGTGAATTTTTGAATTCGAATATCTTAACAACAGTGAATAGTATATCTCTAAAGCTTACAAGTATCATGTAAAACTATTTAAATTATATATGTAGCTAAGCTATGGAAATCGCCCCTGCTTAACATCATTACAAGTCTTATTTCCAAAATAGTAAGAAGCCAGTGAGTGGGGTCCATATCCTATTATCCTAATTCAGTAGATATCTGAGCCGTGCCTTCACGCTTGCCCCACGTAGTCTAAGAATAAATCCTATCAACGCCCCCATTGCTTGATTCTGCCCCCAAAACTCCCAAAATTCTGCTAAGCCTCGTCTAAGCCATCTATGGATCTATTCCCTAGAAAAGTATATCACTGTATTATATACTAATATTACCACTTGCTAATAGCTAAATTCTTCAGCTTGCTGTTATTTACCACGATATTACTATTTTAGGCATTTATGCGTTCCATCTTTACGGTATATGATAATGCCGGCTGTGAAATTGGAGGGACCAGCACCAGTTGCTATAAAGGCCGTCGTGTGCCTCCCTCCTTGATCTTCCCGAATATCATCTCTCCCAGAAACATCTCATCAGCCCTATTTGCATTTGCATCTGCATATTACTCCCAACTTTAATCTCCATCATGGGTCTTCTCCGCACTGGTCTTATTGGAGCCATCGGCTACCAGATGGGCAAGAAAAGGTAAAGATTTTCTCGCTCCAGAGCGGAGTCATAACAGTCACTAACAAGCGATACAGCGACGGCAGCAACAACAACAACAGCCACGCCTATCAGCAAGGCCCTCCTCCTCAGGGCTACTATCAACAAGGCCCTCCTCAGGGATACTATCAGCAAGGCCCTCCTCAGGGCTACTACCAGCAAGGCCCTCCTCAGGGCTACTACCAGCAACATCATCCCTACGGTGGCTCGTCTCGTGATATGGACTTCAACGGCCAACAAAATTACCGGCAAGGGCCCCCTCAGGGCTACCATCAACAGCAACAGCCCTACGGTGGTTCATCCCGTAAGAGGGACTATAACAGTCAGCCCAGCTCCGAACGGGACGCTCCTCCCGCCTACACTGCTGGCAATGGCGGATCCTACCGGCCCAGTGAGAAGCGCTAAGCTGCCCTGGGCATGATTCGGTATCTACCCAGAGGGATTCTCATAGAGACGGAGTCATGGTGATACTTTTTTGTGCATGCTGAAATTGTTTCTTAAGATTGTTATGGTTTTTGCTTTGGCTTTTCTTTTCTTTTTTTACGGGCTTATTTCGATCTTGCGTACTCTGTTCTGCCTCATATATCCATGATAGAAATTGTTACTGCGACATGAAACAACTTCACTTTCTACTCAATTTACGATTATTCTCAGCTATGTCATGTTCATTGATACTGTGGTGTTGAAAGACCTGACCTGGGTTGACAGGGAATGGTGTAACTATAGGCTTCATGGATCGCTACTGCTAAAATCCCTTCTTCAGACGAGAAATCCAGGAAACTCTCGTGGGTACTATCATGGATTGAAACTGGGGCCGATCTCCGCATTTCAAGGCTCTGGTCGATGCAAAGCAGTGTTGTTTCTGAGAGATCCGTTGGCCCCTGAAGCTAACCCTGCAAAGCAGGATTCCATGTAGATCGAATGAACAAGCAGAGCAGCAATTCAAACATTTCCAGAACTACCCTGGAATACGCACAATATCGGCCTTTCTCATGTCCATTTCTTTAAACAACCAAAGTGGGTGCACACGAAATTGGCCACCATATTCCATGGGAACCATCCTAACTTGGTAATAGGCTCATCAGCCTAACATCGAGTCAGGATTCCTGCGAGCCAAGAAATCGGAGAAGAAGCTCCATTTTCTTGCGTAAGTGGATGTGACCTGGGCTTTTGCTTCCGAGTATGATGGTGAAGCAATGGCCATTAATCCCAAGCGAGTCCGCAAATTCTCTCGATATCCGTCCTTTTCACAATATGGCATTTTTGATGTTGTGGATACAGTTGCTCCTGAGGAGCATTATCGGTCCTGCCGCGGTCAGCTCCTGCAAGAACACTCCGACATAGTGATCCTGCTGGGATGCATATAATATTTCGACAGACTACTCCAAAGAATGGCCCGATACGGGCGTTGTCGGAGAGGTAAGGCCATGGACATCTGCACACTGTTGGCATTCACAATTAGGAGCTGGCTGATTATGTTTAACTCTAACGCTGTTTGATGTGTATAGTACTGGCTATCTGTACAGAACCGCACCCTTGCCCCAGGTGGCTATGAGCGACAGATGCTTGTTTTCAAATGGCAGCTATCCGGGACCTACGCTCGAGGTGGACTGGGGTGATACGCTGGTTGTGCATGTCACCAAGGAGTTGCAGTACAATGAGTATGAATTTGCATCCCCCCCCCTGTTCTTTCTATGAAGACAATAGCAGCTAACATGAAATAGCATCTCGGTTCACTGGCACTGCATCACACAGCTCGGTTCCAGTCAATACGACGGAACCTTCGGAGTCAGCCAATGTTTGATTGCCCCTGGCGAAGCATTCACATATAAGTTTCGTACCACACAATACGGAACTGCATGGTACCGCTCCCATTTCAGCCTTCAAATGGCCGACGGTCTCTACTGACCGCTCGTGATCAATGCTCCAGCGACGGCCGACTACGATATTGATTTAGGGCTTGTCTTCATCACGGACTGGTTTCATAAGAGCGCATTTAAGGTGTGGTCCGAGAGAGCCATGTATGAGGCAACCCATATCTATTTACTCATCAGCCCGAATACTTGTTCTTATTGCTGATGATGAAAATAGTTATGGCGGAATACCAGCCGGTCTCAACGGGATCTCCCAAAACGGTCTTATCAACGGGACCAACACCTTCTCATGCTTGGGAGAAGACCCAGCCTGCACGGGGAATGGGCGCCGCTCTGAAGCGGTGTTCCAAAAGGGCAAAAAAAAAATACCGCATTCACTTGATCGATTCCGGGATCGACGGCTGGATGAAGTTGTCTATTGATGGCCACAAGCTTACTGTGATTGCTACCGATCTCGTTCCCATCGTGCCCTACGAGACCGAGAGTGTTCTTATCACCTGGGGTCAGCGATACGACATTGTTGTCGAGGCGAACCAAGACTCTGGTAACTACTGGATGCGTGCGGTATATCAGACTCCGTGTAACGGGTTGAAAGCTGAACATAACGATATCCGCGGCATCATCCGGTATGAGCAGACGTTGAATATGTCGTTCACCTATAAAAGTGGACATGTCTACCAGTGGACGGTCAACACTAAACCGCTGAATATTGACTGAGAGAAACCGACAGACATGCTGCTCTATCACAACCATTCGGCCGTTTTCCCAGAGGAATACAATGTATACAAGCTCCCCGCCGCGAACAAGGTGTGTTCCTGGGATGATCTTCACCTTCCCATCTCTCATCTTACTTCCCCATTCCTCCTATCTATATCATATAATACTTGACAGTGGACATACTGGGTAATCCAAAGCAAAGGCTCCGACTCAACCTGGTACCCCTTCCACCTCCACGGCCACGACTTCTACATCCTCGCCCAAGGAGAAGAACGCTACAATCCCCACACCGTCAAGCTCATCCGCAAGAACCCTCCTCGACGCGATACTGCCACCCTGTTCCCGAACGGCCATTTAATTATTGCGTTTGAGAACGAAAACCCCGGCTCCTGACTTATGCACTGCCATACCTCCTGGCACTCGAGCCAGAGTATGGTACTGCGTTTTCTTGAGCGTGTAGCGGAGGTCCCTGCTCTTATCAAGCCTGTTGCAGACACATTTGAACCCACTTGTGATAAGTGGAAGAAGTATTACAACCACGCTGCGTACGAGCAGGATGACTCGGGGATTTGAAGAGGGACACTGTGTATTAGCTTATGATACCTGGTCAATCTGTTGACTCTAGATGACACTCAATGCTAACCATACATGTAAGCCCTAGCCCATCTACCCATCTCATTAATCAAAGGGCTCTTCCAGAGCGGAGCACGCTGTCTATTCGCACCTTCACCCAAAAGCACCCCAGTAATAATTGTATCTATCATCCTCCCTCGCCCCAAACTTCGGCAATTTTCTTGCTCAGTGCCCGGGTGACCTTCTTGCGTCCTACCAGGGACTGCAGTCGATCCGACACCATCACTTCCCGATCTTTGGGCTCTAGCGCCATATATGCTTCCACCAGCTGTCGAGGGGTTTGCCATCGGCGCTGGATCTCAAGAGCCTTTTCACCCGTCACGCCACGGGTGCACATGAGCATTTTCAAAAAGACATCACGAAGAGATAAAACATTAGACTTGGATGTAAGGGCAGAAAATGTGGAAAATGTGACGCCGTAAGTGAGAGAAGGGTCTTGAGTACGGAAGGTGTCGAGAGTAGTAAGGTAGGATTGAGTGGAGGAGAGACGTCGGCTAGGAAGGAGAGCAATTTTCGAAGAAGCATTATCAGATTGATTCATTTCCGTCTCGACCGAAGGCGAGCCGTGGACGCCGTACAGTCGCCGGAGGTGGAGAGTCATACGCGCCAAATAGCGAATCGAGTCGTCGAGGTTGCGGGTTTTCTTTATGAAATAGCCATTGACCACTTGGGTCGAGGCAATGGCCGAGGAAACCATCTCCTGGTACTTCAGACCACTCCCGCTGCCAGAGTCCGGGTGTGTGACGTTGAACTCCTCGACCAAGTAGATGACATTCTTGATGCCGGAGCGGCGCAGTCGGAATTTCTGTTCGTGGAAGCGTCCGTCTTTGATGGATCCAATCAAGTCATCCAGCCGCTTTCGCTCAATGATCCAATCCAGCATCACCTCGTCGCCTTCTTCGCCGTACTGTCTCAAGAACGCGGGATCTCGGCATTTTGCCACCCACATTGCGTCGCCCAGCTCCAGAGCGCGCACCTGAGGGGTAATCCCCTGTTTCATAAGCTCGTTTGCAATGTAGTCGCGGTCGGTAGATGTGCGGACTTCTCGTGTATCTAGAACCAACTGGATCGTGAAGCTATTGAGTGGGAGAATAATAGGTTCGGTGGAGCCACTGTCGACAGATTGGCCTTCCTGGGCATTCGTAAAGGGTGGAATTGTGATATCGTCATTGTCTTCCAGAGCTTCGGGGATGCCGATGTTATTAGGTAGCGACGGATGGATTTGAGAATCACTGCCTGCAAAGGACATCATGTTCGAGGCAGATCCCGGGAGTGTTTTTTGAATGCGCTTGGCGACCTCCCAGCCATCCTCGGTCAGCGCATACTTTCGAAGCGGTCGACCATGCTCATACACTAAGTCTTTCTGGACTAGGGTTTTCATGGAATTCCACGCGGTGTAGAACTTGGTCGGGTCTGTGGGCGCAGTGAACGAGCTGTCGCAGTAAGGCTGCGCCACATCAATCAGCTGGGCTTTGGTCATGCTCTGGGATGCATGCTCGTTCAAGGTGCCTAAACCTAGAAGAAGCGCATATGGACCAGATCGCAACGCCGGCACATAGGGCTTGGGTTTCCGTGGCTTCTTTGCAGGCTGATCGGCAACACCGGCGTCCGATGTCCTCTTGTTTGCTGTTGGCTTACTGTGAGCAACAGTTTTTCATGGGGAGACAAAAGAATTAGCACTACTAACCATGACCAGGTACCTCGGGTAAGGGAAGACCATTCTCGTGACAGTAGGCATTCAATTTCTCCGTCAAGCGGTCACATAGTTTGGGCCCCAGCCCGTTCAATTGCTGTGCCTGAGATGGATGCTGGAAGACCAACGGACACGCCTTCATCGACTCATAGGCTTTCTTGTACCTGTAAGCCAGTCAGCTTTGGCTATTTTAAAGCCGGAATTACTCAAGAAAGGACAGACACTGTCACGCCTTTGCTGTTTCGGTCTCGCGCTTGATCCAGCCATTCTTTGATCCACCCCAGCAGCAGGGGATTCGCACATTCCTCGCTCATAGTGGGCCCATTTCCCGCGGACAGACTAGCGCACAAGATATGACCATCTGGGTTGAGTTGATGGACAGGACGCGACGTGAGGTTTCCTGTTTGGGAACGCGACGGTCACGTGTCATTCTTATTATTAGTAAGCAGGTCTATAAGGTGAAGAAGTTGGGAATATAGACGTGTGTGGGAGGAAGTAAAGGTGAGACCTTGGTAAAAATAACGTGACAGTTGCCGTTCAAATAACAGCATTTTATGATCGTGCTCTGGAATTTTCCCCGCGTTTTTTTCTCGTGATGTTCACCAAGACCCTGGTCCCCAGGCCAGATGACGTCGACAACTCAAGGGTTGGTACTTGATTGCATCCATGGAAGCTGCTCTTTGTCTCTGTAGTACTCACTTGAGATACAAAAATATCTCCGTCCTTTTGAACCCACACATATTTCACACTCATGTCAGCAAAGGACATCCCCCTTCTCTCGGCTGATGGGGACAAGGCTGAGGCTACAAGCAACCAAGATAACCAGAACAACCATGTTACCCAGAGCTCTGAGGACATCGAAGGTCCCACAGACAGCCACGTTCTTTCCCAGGTAGAACAGGACGAAAAAGGCCTATCACAGAAAGCCGGTGACACAACGGACATCACCGATATTGGCTGGGGCCAAGGTGCCGACCACATCGAGGAACGACTCGTGGCCGGGCTATCGAACGAGGATCTGTGGATGCTGATTAGGCGATTTGATAAGGCGAGCCTGGGACCAGCACCCAGATGAGATATCACTACTCGGGCTAACGAAGCCCAGCAAGTCTACAATGTCAAAGCAGTGCCAGATGCTCCTCTCCAGAGACTTGATCTTACCCGAGCGGGTGACGACGAATTTTCGCCGGATAAACTGCGCGCCACACTTGAACGGTTTTATATAACCGTTATCGTGGGATTGACAAGCTTTGTTAAGCATATTGCTCGACTGCGGTCCTGGAAGGAGCCCCGGAGAACAGTCGTCTTTTGCACGGTTAACAGCCTAGTCGCGATTTTACTCCTCCTTTGGCGTCTAATTCTGATAGTTTGCAGGTTTATTTTCTAGCGTGGATGGTGGACTGCTTTGTCCCTACATTACTTGCTGCTCTTATTGCCTTGGTCATCTATCCACCATGTCGCCCCGTCCTCTTCCCCACCGCGCCTATCGCCCTCGTCGACAAAGATGCGGGGGGCATACAGAAGCCCAAGGCAGGCATCCTAGGCTCTCACGATAGTATTACCGGAGCCCCTGAGAACTTCAAGGGGGAGGCGGCCGAACAAGAAGCTAGCAATATGGTTGCCAGCGTTGCCAGTGTTGCTGTGGGGAGTGCAGTCGGGAAACACGATCAGGGCATACCCGAAGATGCAACACTGGAGAATAAAGTGCCCGACGCGATGGAAATCGTGTCTGACACGGCCGATGCGCAGAGCGCCGCGCAGGGGAGGGTTCCCACAGACTCTCATGACAAGACGCGCCAGCCGATGCGAGAGGCCGTCATGGATGCAGCAAACATGTCGATGCAGGTCATCAGTGAAATTACAGACACATATGAGAAATTTGGGAAGTAAGTCAACATGTGTCCCTTGATATGAGAGTGATCAGGTCTTTGATTCATGCTCTCAGTGCCCTGTCTGCGACGCCCCCGTTTCATCGAATATCTCCTCGACTACGCCTGGTGGCCGTGTTAGGTCCAACTTTTCTGGTCTCGACATTAATATCCAGCTATGTATTTATGAAGATCAGCACCCTTTGCGTCGGTTTGGCTTTCTTCGGAGATCCAGTCATTCGACGAGGCATAGATTACTTGAATCGCGAGTTCCCACACTGGCAGAAGCTCCTCGAGCTGCAGAAGTAAGTTTGGAATGTAAAGAATTTATCTGCGCATACTGACACTTTGAAATAGTTCACTTCTCAAGGGAATCCCAACAAACGCCCAGCTAACCCTGACGCTGCTGCGAATCGGCGAAGCCAATACCTCGCCACTCCCCCTCCACCAATCTCACGCGACAAAGCCCCCTCACGACCCGCATCTCTTCACCCCGAGGGGCTGTCACTCGGTGCCACGGATGAGGAGATTGAACAAGCAGCCTCCGCGGAGCCACCCGATGACCAATCACCGGAATCCGGACCTATACCAGACAGTCACCACAAAAATACCTGGGCTACGAAAGTTGTTAGTGTCTTCCGGGGTACAACCGCCACAGGCGTCGAAAGCAAACGAGGTCTCGACCGCATGCGCGCCAGTGTTGGTTCCCGGCATGCCAAAAACAGGGTCGGGGTACTGCGCCGAAAAGGCCAGCCAATTACACCCATTGGTCCTGTGGAATTTGATGCCCGATACAAGGGCAGACACGGTGCTGTGGTGATCGACTCATCGAGTATCCCCAGATAGAATCAGACTATACCTGTGCCTGGTCAGTAGAAAGTCCGCCAGCTATATCAATTCCAGCTCCCAGACTTACAACAACCACTCAAGGCTCATCTTTTGCCTCCAAACAAGCATCCATCATCTGAGCAATCGCCGCTGACCGTTGCTCTTCCGTAACACAGCCAATTTCCACCAACTCCGAGAGAGCCTCGCCCACCCAGTTCTGGCAATTCCAGTCCTGGTGGTGCAGATCATTCCGCACGGGGGTTGCTGCACAGGCCTTTTGGATGGCCCGCTTGGCGATGGTATCGGGGGCCGATGCCACGGGGATCAGAACGGCCAGCTGCCTCGTGGTCGTGGGATCCCTCTCTTCGTTGGTGAAGATGAAGAATGGGTGAGCGCCCACCACATGCACCAGGTTGTCTTCGCCGTCAGCAAACCGGATGTGGATGGCTACATGGCGGAATTTGACGAAGTCGACGGGGTCACCGACGAAGACTGCGATGGTGAATTTGGTGGGCATTGTGCAGGCTCTCGGGTTTTTTTCTTTTCTTTTTCTTTTTCTTTTTTTCTTTCTCTTCTGCAAGAATGCCAGGACGTTGGAATAGCAACAGTTGGAGCCCCACTGCGAAGGAACTGAATAAAAAAAATGGAGCGGGATGATCGAGTTCCACCCCGCGAAGGAATGACAGGAAAATGAAGAAAAGAAAACGATGGAATGATAGAAGAAAGAATCAAAATAGCAAAGGCCTTTCAGCCTGTCTTGTTGAACTGTCTGCGTAGATCTCCATGGGAGATTGTAGATGTCGATGATGGCATCGCTTGGAGACAAAAGTCACCGCGTGTTTGCTCCACGCGGGCGGTGGCCGAGTTTCAAAGCTGCCCAACCCACGCCTGTTCTCCCTTCCTTTCTCTCCCACTCGGATCCCCTTTGGACTTCGAATGGCCACACCAACAGATGAAGGTGAGTCGCAATTCTCCCTCTCCCAAAGCATAGAAAAGTGGGGTTGGCTGATCGGCCCTTGTAGAACCTCGGGTAATTCACGAACTTGCATCCCGCAGTGTGACGGTCCATCAGGGCCGAGCGGTCAAGCGAGGCGGACGACTCTTCGAAAATGAAGCCAGCAACCTGCGCTTTATCGCTGAGCACACGACCATCCCCGTGCCACACGTGTACGGCATCGAGCGAGATGACCGTGGCAAGGTGATTTCCATCGAGATGGACTATATGCCCGGGCGACCGCTCGACCAAGTCTGGGAAGACATGACCAAGAACCAAAGGGACTCGATCACGCAGGAACTGCACGGCTATGTCGCGCAGCTGCGCAGCCTGAAAGGCAACTATATCGGCGCGGCCGACCACGGCCAAGCCGTCGTGGGCGATATCGTCTCGCACGAGGCGGGGCCCTTTGAAGACGAGCACGCCTTCAATGAGTTTCTCTTCTCGAAAATCATCGATATTGTGCCCGATGCGCTGCGATACTACGCGACCTCGACTTTCCGTGAAGACCATGAGATTGTCTTCACCCACGGTGACCTGGCGCCGAGGAATATCCTGGTCGACGACAACGCTTGCGTGACCGCTATCCTCGACTGGGAGGAGGCTGGCTGGTATCCCGCCTACTGGGAGCATGTGCGAGCTTACCGCAACCTGGGCAGTGTCACGGACTGGTCCCACTATCTGTCTCTCATTCTCCCGCCTCAATATCCGGCTGAGTTTATAGCTATGGCATACCTGACGAGGATCTCGAGCTAGTCCAGGCCTCGTGCAGATCTCGGGAGGAGAGGGTGTTAATTATCGGTTACAGCGCAACTCCTTGCCATTGCGCGTGCATTCCTCACGTAATTCATAATATACATTGGTCATGACTGCTCCAGTTCTTGCTTGTAGTCCCGGACGGTCTGCTCAAAAGACTCGTCGCGTTTGAATCCTAGCGAGATGGCCTGTGTGTTGTCAAACTGCGTGGGCCAGGATTTGAGGATGGAAACCAGCGACGCATCCTCCCTCTCGATGAGCAGGGCCAGCTTGTCCGGGCCACCCACCTTCGCCAGCGCGTCCATCATGCCCTGGACCGTGACGCAGATCCCAGGTACGTTGATTTGGCGAATATGCGGCGGGACGGAATCCGCGGGCAGCCGGAGAGTCAGGAGGAGGTTGTGCACCAGGGTCTTGGGCGAGCACAGCCACGACTTGAACGCCCGGTCCTCGATGGGGATCACGCACTCCTTGCCATCAAGTGGCTCCCGAATCATCCCGGAGAGAAACGATGAGGCCGCCGCGGTGGGCGCGCCGGGGCGGACGGAGATGGTGGGGAACCGCAGCGTGAACCCCGTGATGAACTTGCGGCGCGTGTACTCGTTGACCAGTGTCTCGCACACGATCTTCTCGGCGCCGTACGAGGACTCGGGCGTCGGGACCACGCTGTCGTTCACCACGTCGGGCAGCGGTTGGCCATACACGGCCTGGCTGGACGAGTAGATCACCCGTACCCCGGGACATGTGTGTCGCAGCGTCTCGAGTAGATTGCGCGTGGCGTCCACGTTGACGCTCATCCCCAGATCGAAATTGGCCTCAGATCCCGACGACATGATTCCATGGAACGCGTAAACGGCGTCGAGGGAGGTGGCGACTACATCTTTTGCACCTGCAAAGAGATCCGTCTTCACCGCAGTGGCATTCTCGGGGTGGCGCACGCCTTTGGGGATTAGCGGCGGATGGATATCGGTCAGAGTGACGCGGTAGGCGGGGTCATTCAGGAGCTCTTTGGCTAGCAATTGGCCGATGAATCCGGCGGCGCCGGTGATGAGAATGTGCATGTTAATGGAGGATGGGACAGGGTGATGGCAAGACGGAAAGAGAAAAGAGAGCAGAAGCAAGTTGATGTGGCCCTTGGACGATCACTTTTTCAGTCTGATTCTCCGCATTCGCAGCAAGTCCGAGGCGAGTGCGAGCTGGTCCTCCGCACCGGACTTGGCCCGGTTTGTGGATCTGATACAAGGGGCCTCTTGTTCTGAGGTTCTGAATTTGATGCATTCGTAATATACCGGGCAATGGATTGATGGGGCAGTCAGGAATGAGGTATGATTGCGTAGGCTCAATGGGAAGTGGCCGCACACCTGTCACTCGGTTGTCAAGTCGAAGCAGCTTGTACCTCTCTCTTTCGACATCATGCTAGCTGACTGTAGCCAGTGATCAGTAGTAGTACTGTAGTCAGAGATAGTCAACATAGTCAATACGCACCTCAGACAATGCGCCATTCGAAGCTTCACGGGTGCATCCGCTTCTCCGGCCCCGCCCCCGGGCCTTTTGTCCCCCTAACCCACACGGAGCATCCCCGACTCCTCCTCCACGGCATTATGGACGGCACTCCTCCGCTGAAGCGGTCATCCCACGATGCTGGACTGGAGTCGCCTCGGTCAGGCAATCGCTCCACAGAGCCACGGTCCGCTCCGAGGATCTCCAAGGCCCGCGCGTGTGAGTCTACCCCCTCACGTTGAACACCGGCGATGATGCATCTGACCCTGAGAGCCAGGCGCGGAGTGTAAACGCCATAAAATCCGGTGCGAGTTTCGCCCAGGAGAATCTAACTGCACCAAGTGTATTCGCAGCGGCATCAAATGTGTGGTGAACGACTTTTCGCAAAAATTTGTTGATGATGATGGGGCGTACGTGCACCGAGACAGACAACCACCGCCTTGCCCTCACACACCCTGGAAGAACCCAGCAAATTTTCACTAATTCGGTCGCTTTCATACAGATGGAAATCACAGGCTGCTGCCACTATTCAACAGCTTCAGGCAGCTGTCTCGCACATTTTGGGGCAAGGTGGACTACCGGAACTCTCGACTTTCTCGGCCGGCGACAGTCGCAATGGCCCGAGCCCTGCCGCCTCTCATCATGGCCATCGCCCGTCTGTCGATGGGTCGCAGACACACCCCAGTCACCATGAGGGCCCGGGGGTAGTGATGGACATCACTCGCGAGCCATCTCAAGAACCCGACCTCCAGGACCCAGAGTTGGTGCCGGCGCCCATGCGCAGTCTATACGAGGTTACCAAGTTGCGCAATCTGCGGAACAACCACATCGAGGCACCGAGGCAGACACTACTGGAAGAGGACTTCATCTCGCGGGGTTTAATATCGTTGCATGAGGCGGAGGAGCTGTTTGCCTACTTCAGTCGCACGATGAACCAGCTGCTGTGGGGTGGGATCATTCTCGTGCACCGCGATCTGACCTCGGTCCGTCGCGCATCGACTCTTCTCTCGGCTGCCGTTCTGACCGTTGCGGCACTTCATATTCCTAACCGTACCGAGACCTTAAATCGGTGCTATGGCGAATACGTATCGCTCGTGTCAAGTATGGCCCTCACCCGCGCCCACACGCTCGACGATGTTCGCGGTCTCTGTGTGGGGGCATTCTGGCTGTCCGAGTTGAGTTGGAAGCTTTCTGGACACGCGGTGCGGATTGCCACTGAACTGGGTCTCCATCAGAGCTATCAACGACTGACTCGCGGGCACACCGATCAATATGCGCGCGCGCAGCTTTGGTATCTATTGTATGTATGTGATCACCATTTCAGCATCGCGTATGGGCGGCCACCCGTGATTCATGAGGATGTGGCGATCCGCAACTACGAGACTTTTCTGGGGTTGCCAATGGTGGTACCGGGAGATATCCGGCTGTTGGCTCAAGTTGCCTTGTTCATGCTCCTCACCGAAGCATACCGCATGTTCGGCAGCGACACCGAACAAGCGCTGACCGAGGAAGACTTTGGACAGTTACGAGTGTACAATGTCGCGGTGGACCAATGGCGACTACTGTGGCAACCTCGATCTGGTAGGCTATATAGTATCTCTTGAAACCCCACGCAACCGTTGGTGCTAACTCAAAATTTTCAGCCGACAGTCCATATGTGCGGACCTATCCGTCCAAGGGTGTAGTGCTGCACTACCATTTCGCCAAATTCCAGCTCAACTCGCTCTCGCTCCGTGCCATCTCACCATCCAACACTCCAGTGTTTTCCATGGACCGCAAAGAATCAGCCAACATCGCCATTTCGTCAGCCATGGCATGTCTCAACATGGTGCTTGAAGAACAGGATATCCGAGATGCGATCGTCGGTGTCCCGATCTTCACCCACACTATGGTCACGTTCTCTGCTGTGTTCTTGCTAAAAGTCGCCATCAACTGGAACTCGGCCTACCTCAGTATCAACGCGCGCCAGGTGCGCCGCCTGGTCGAGCGTGTCATTGATCTCATGAACTGCGTGTCAGCCGGCGAGCGGCATCTCACCCGACACATTGCGCGCGGGTTGGGCAAGATGCTCGAGCGCTTTGACTCGTGGGAGGCTTCGTGGCAAGTCGGCGCGTCCAACGGAGGCGCCGTCGATGGGAGCGAAGTCCCCGGCGGAGCAAATGCCATGGCGCAAGGGTTCCCACCGCCGGACCTGATCTACGACATGGTCGGCACGTATGGGTTCGGGCTGGATGAAAACCTGCTGGATCCGAGCATGGCCAACTTTGAGTATTTGGCACAATGACGCTGATTTGCATGCACGCCAACTACGTCCACCACTAGTGGGCTCCACCAGTGGAATGTAAATAGCATGTCGCACAAGAGAGAAAGGAAAGCAGAAGAGAGGGAGGTGTCCAAATCCTGCCGAGGCATGTCCATACCATACAAACTACTCGCACGCACCACCTCCACATCGCCACGCACGTCTCCACCTCCAAGTGTAAGCTATCACTTCCATGTCGTCACCTCAGCTTATGAGTGCGCGCCCCCTCTCCCTTGGCTCCCCTTCCCTCTGGAGCTGCCGATGACCCCCAAACCCTGGGGGAACCTTCCCTTCCTTCCCCCGTCTCTCTCCCCCCATTCTTTTTCCCTCTCCTTTCCTCCTCTCTCAATTCCTGTATATCCCGTCCGCGGTAGCTCTCAAATTGATCCTTTTATACTCCTACCTCTTTACTTCTCTCCCATTACAACCCTTCTCTCACTCCAACCTTAACTTCCTCCTTCTTCCACCCCTCTCCACATCATGTCTACCCGCAAGAGAAAGCAGGACCCCGAGGAGGAGCTCCAGGCGCTCCCTAGCGACGAGAGCGAAGAGGAAGAGGAGTGAGTTTCTTTCTATCTTTCTTTTTCTTTTCTCATTTTTTTGTTCCTTTGATTCCATTCCATTGGATTGGATTGCGATGACCCTTCTTCATCCATGTGGTCGCGCAGCGATCGCGATGCGATGAAGAGTTAAGATATCTCCAAAAATCCACTTGGGCTATCACTAAGCCCTTAAACAAAAGAAACAATTGCTAATATTCTTGCGCAAACTCTAGGTATGAAGACTCCGAGCCCGAAGCCTCGGGCGTGAGCGACGAAGGCGAAGACGAGGGCGAAGAAGGCTCTCAATCTGAAGACGAGGACGAAGATGAGGGAGAAAGTGGTGATGAAGGTCAGTAGTCTCTACCACGCCTCTCCTATAACAACCCTTGTCTCCGCTCTTCTCATGTGAAAGTGTTTCCCGCTGACCGACATCTTCTCCCCATGGTACAGGCCCTCCCAAACCCAAGAAACAGAAGACCGAGGCGGCCCCTGAACGGGGCGTCGAGAACGGGACTAATGGAGACAAGAAGGACGACGAGGAGGAGGTAGAGGGTGAAGAAGAAGAGGAAGAAGAAGCTCCTGCTGAGACGGCTGAGACGAGTGCGCCTGCGGCTGCTGCCGCTAAGGCTAAGGGTGATCAGGTTCCGAAGGAGGCTGATCTGCCTGAAGTCGAGGCTGAAGAGTAAAGAGCTTCGTTCTTGTTCTTTTTTTGGTTCTCTTTTTTGCTTCCTCTTGGTTATAGGGTATTTGGTATTTGTCATTACAATCAAAATGCTGGCTGGTATGTTGGCCCTCGGTAGGGTCCATGGATTGAATGTTTCTTATTCTTGTAGTCTGGTGGTGTCTTCGGGGCTTGTAGATTGGTTTTAGGGCTCGGTGGTGTTGGTCCACTTTCAAGTTAACGAGGTAGACTCTAGGACTACAGAACATTCGACAAGATCAGGGGAATTAAGAACAACACTTGATATATATACTCTAAACTACCTAACAATGGAAACAGTGAATTATGGAAATAGCAGGTGTCATCAATCAATGTTCATTAACCCTGCCCCGCTCAGTGTATGCCCCAAGTTGGGGAAGACAACCAGCCCACGGAACACTTTTTTTTTCTCGAACGTCGGTACATGTCAAATCCAGGTTTCCTAAGTGTCGCTACCGCTGCTGCGGAAGGTCGCACAGAGCTGACAGTACTGATGTGTGAGGTCGAGAACCGGCTGCGGCAGATTGGTAGCCTGGACGATACTGCGGACCTTGACGGCACCTTCGCCCTCGATGAGCTTGCGGACCAAGAGCAAGAGCTCGGGCGAGAACTAAAACAAAACACAAATCAGCATGAGCCAATCTCAAAGTTTGAGAATCCTAGATCCAACATACCTCCGAGTACCAACGATACTGCCACGCGATAAGGCGAATCAGCGCGCCCAGCATTCCTCTTGTGTCGTTTTTCTGCTCGTAGAGCTTAAGAATCCCACGCATGGCCTTGGGTGAGAACCGCGTCACCAGGCAGTTCTGGTAGGCCTCGATGCTCTCGTCGAAGTGGTGCAGACGCTCGGCAAGCTCACCAAGAATCTCCCACTCCGTGGCTGACTTCTTGTATTCCATCGCCTGCTGACGGAACTGAGCCATCTCAGTACGCCAGATGGTGTAGATGCGGAGATCTTCGTAAAGAACCATGAACAGGTTGTCCAACCATCGCTCACACAGGCGCTTATTCCGGAACTGTGTGTATGTACTATGAGATGGGTCGGGCTGTGCCATATCAGCTGTTAGTAAAAGATATCGCAAATCTCTGCGTGGCCAACTTACATCCTCGCTGCCAGACTTGACGACCTCGGAAGCCACTGTTTGCTCGGGCCGCTCAATAGAGTTATCGGTCTGGTTCCCTTCACCATTACCGTTAGTGGCAGTCTCTGAGGATTGCCCCTCCGAGGGACTGGGACCCGAGACAGAGCCCGAATCGGCCTCACGCTCGGCAGAATCCCCATTGGTCTCTGCCTCGAGTGACTGGGCGGGCTTGGGCACATGGTTTCGCTCCACCCGGTATTCCTCTTCCATCACAAAGACTTCGCTGCGAACCTTCAGAAGTTGGTCCCAGCCAATGGCAGCAGCGATTTTCGTCAACAGATTGTACGCCTTCAAGAATGTCCCCTGGTAGCCCGCCGCATGCAGTTTTCGAAGAGAAGGATGGACGTAGTCGTGAGGGTCTCCCTGCTTCGGCTGCCCTTCATCAATTTCATCAAGCATGCTCTCAGCAAGGATCGGGAGCATGATGCGAGACGGCTGCGGCATGCGCGGGGTGTCTTTATCCTGATAAGTGAACATAGGGCAGGAGTTGAGAGTCAGGAGCGCCAGATCCCACTGTTCCAGACCAACGTATACCTCGGCCAGACGAGCCCAGGTGCTGAATTCACTCGGCGCAGCAGTCACCGCCCGTTTAGCGCATGCCAACGCCATATCACCTTCGCCCTTGCTTTGGCAAAATGCTGCCTGGCTGTCAAGCAGGGCATAGTCCATTGGCACGTCTTGCAAAGCATCGTACATCAAGCGCACAGCTTGTACCTCCTCGTCAGCCATAAGCTGTACTCGAGCCAAGAGCGATGAGACCTCCACATCTCGTGAACGGAGCTTCTCGAAGAGGTTGATCCCGGAGGTGTAGCGACCGGTGGTATGGACGTACTTGAGGATCCCCGATGTCAAGTGGTTGCTCACGGTGTTTGGAACCTGGGTTTCCGGGTCAGAGCTCAGCTGGCGTCCTGGGAAATTGTCAGCTAGATTACGGGTGTGCCAAATATAAAAAGGCACCTACCGTAGAAGAAAAGCTTTTCGGCGGCGTCCAAGAATTTGTGCTCCATCTCCGTATTCGTCACCGGATTAAAGCGTCGAACTCCAACAATCTTCTTGATGGCATCTCCACTCCCATCATCCGCATACAGGTAAGCTCTGAGGACGGCGCAAAGGAATGTTTCAAGCCAGAGGGCCTCCGTAGCCACACGCTTGTCACCTCGCTCATCAATGCAGTAGCTCTCCAAGCTTCCGGGAATCTTGACTTCCACACGCATATCGAGATGGGAGAAGGCATTGTAACAACAGTAAATCCCCGATACCACTTTGTGCGTTTTGTCGAGAGGTGAAAACGTGAGGGTGTTGACGTAGGCTGCTAGACTGGCGGACGAGGAGGCATCAATTCCAGTGACATGGTGGTAGACACCGGTCTGGCAGGAGCGCAATTGAGTCAATTGTCAGCAAAGCCTCAATGCACAATAGGATGTCTTTCATAGGAGTACCTGACGGGTTGAATTGGCCTTGGGCTGCTTAACCAAATATACCAAGTCCGGGGGTCCTAGTTCTCGCAAGGTCTGCAAGGACTCGGTGCGCGCATCGACTGCGACATAGATATCCTCCTCCTCATGGATCCTGGCAAATGGTTTCGGTATTAGCTACATTCTCTGCAATTTGCGCAGCTGCAGCCCTCGCCGATCGCAAACAATGGGCATGTGCACGAATCCTGGGGAACACGTAAACGAGATAGAAGCCACATACTCAGGGACAGCGGGCGCAACCATGGCACCGGCACAAGCGCAGTAGATTCAAATAAAATGAGGGTATCCCGACTCCGGAATCGGAATATAAGCTGGGAATCAGGGGAAGTGAAGACGGGGGGAGTCGAGACTGAATGGGGAGCCGCCAACACTTGACAGGCGTCAGGCTCCAAGGCTCCAAGGCGGCCAGGCGCTCAGGCCATCAACGATTCCTGATTGGGCCGACGCGTGATGCGTGTCCGATAATGCACTTATCGTCTTCTCTCCGCATCTGCGAGATCCTCTGTGGGTGATGCCGCTGCCTTCCTTTTTGCCTGTCCAGTGAGACGATTCGAGTTTGTCCGCCTGGTGAACAGCTCGCACCATGTCGAGCTGGGTCGCACTGAATGTCGAGCCCGACGAAGCTATTGAGGAGGAGGTTGACGACACCAAGGAGCTCCAGATTGAGGAGGCGCTGAAGCTGTATCACAATGCTTTGAAACTACACTCGCAAGGCCCTGATTTCTATCCTCAAGCGGCGGAGGCATATGACGCTCTTCTGAATTCAGAAATCTTCAAATATCCCGAATCCCTCTCCGATTTCAAAAGGGGCGCTTCGCAAGATGCGCCAGCCACAAGTATCTCTGACGAAAGTGCGGCAGAAGCTATTGCGGAATTCAATGTCAGTGATTCCACGTCCAGCCTATTCCAGACCCTCTATTTGTCCTACAAGAACTACGGAAAATATATTCTCGATTCGGTCCAAGATTCGGCTCAACACGTCCCCAAAACACCCGAGACCGGCTCGGAAACCACAAGAAAAATTGTGGAAGCTTCTAGAGACGCACTAGGGTCATTCGCGGAGGCCCTGGAGCGGGATGACACCGATCTCAATCTGTGGCGCCAAAGCGCCAGGCTTAGCAGTGCCTTGCATAGCTACCGCCTGGCCCGGTACTGCTTGGAAAGTGTCCTCGCAGATGACGAAAATCGACTAGAGGTGCGGTCCGAGCAACTTGGCTTGGAGGAGATCTTTGCGGAGGAGCGCCTGCGAAGCACACTGCAATCTCTGTTCGACAAACTTTCTGCTTCCCAGGTCCCAGTCAAAAAGCCGAAGAAAGCACTGGTGAAATATCTCAAACAGCATGCTGATCCCTACCCATACTTGCCTACTGCGCCAGTCGAATTGCAAGATGCGGATCCGTCCAAAGGGCCTCTTGCCCTGCATACCTCCCGGCGGGAAATTACTCCTTCTGAATCAACCTGGGAGTCGGTTGGCGAGGCCATTTTACAGGCGCTCGATGACGAGGAACAAGGTTCGCTTGCCGTCGCCCCAAGCCGGTCTATTACCATTTCATTGCCACGCAAAAGCCCGGAAGCTTCCGAATCCACAGCCCCAGAGGCAGAAAGTGAAACAGCACCAAAAGTTGAAGATGAGCAGAGCAAGGTCGAGCATGAGGATGTCGACATGCTCCAAATCAGCGAGCATAATGCTGAGCCTGAACAACCAGCTTCGAAGCCCACCAAGGGGCCATCTGAAACGGGCGAGGAACACTCCTCTATCGACCAGAGTGCAGAAAAACAATTGATGGAATCATTGGAGCGCCAATCGGCCCACCCACCCGAATCGCAAAATGGGGAGGAAGGTGCTAACGCAGAGGAAGAGGATTCTAATTCTGCGCCAGGCGCGCGCAAAAGATCATCCGCATCGGCGGCAAACGAAGACCAGCCAGAAATGGGAAGAATGAAGAGCCGCCGGACACGAGCTCGCGAGTCGATTGTCGACAGTATTGTACAACCGGATGAAATCACATTTGACCAGGACAAATATTACGAAGACCGTCTGGAAATCTTCGTCAATGCCGATGACTGGATGTTTGCTACCCTTGGATCTTTGTTCTCGAAAGTTGGTGTTGAAAGCCTGGGGAGCATTGAAAATCTGAGGGGGAAAGCATCATTGAACAACACGGCCCATCCACCCGAAGACCCCGAAGTAAGGTTATTCCAGGATTTTCGAGCCCTCATCAAGACCTGGAACGACGAAAAGTCGCGGTTGATGCAACAAAAAGACGATTCATCTGCTTGGAAGGACATCCATGGCACAAGCAAGTCTGGCCTAGCTGTCTTTCTGGAGCACTCCCGAAAGGCTTCTCGGAAACCCGTACTCGAACATGCGCTACCCTCGGGTGAGGAACTATATGCCTTTTCCAACACGGTAAATAGCGACTGGCTGCATCCACACGAGACCCTCTTTGAGTGGCTCAAATGCCTCCTCATGCCCGATTTTGGCAAAGAATCCACAGAATGGTCTGCCATGAGATCTGCATATGCCTCTTTTCTATGGCCGGGTCAACTGAAAGATATCGTGGTGCAACTTTTACTCCGGGAGGATGAAGCTGTCTACAAATTGGCCAGCGAACTTGTCGAAACGCTGGAGCGTCGGGTCTTCGAGTCCAGCGCTGCAACCCTCTTCAAATACCAGGCGCATGACTTCTCCGAATTGGTCATGATACAGACTATCTATGAGCTTCATCTGGATATCTTCGCATCTGTGGAAAATCCCGGCAGCGAGGCTAGCTCGGAGACAAAACTCGCTCAGCGTGACCGTCTGGCTCGATGGGGAATGCTTGCTCGATCATCCCTAGATCATTTCATCGGCCATGGTCCAACCGGAGAATGCAGAACAAACATCGCACTTCGTCACTTGTGGGCATCAGCATTTCACGTTAATCTTGCCGGTGAGGCGCAGCGAGAACATATTTTGCTTTGTCTTCAAGATCTGAAGCACATCCTTCAGTCTATTGGAGATTCAAGCATCAGTCTTGTGAACAATTCGATCATGTCGGAGCTGTCAGCTGCCGCCATAGACCAAGAGGTCTTGAAGCTCAAATGCATGGATTTCTTTGCCAAGGTATTCAACGCAGAGGCCGAAGATCCCGTCTCTCTCATCGAGGCCATTGAACCCATCCTGGAGCCATTGTCAATCCAATATTCTGAAGGATTGCATGAGAATCATGACATGAATCATCCGTCCTCCCACCTCAACGAGATGGTCTCCTTTCTGGACCGCGGGGACGCGACGCTACGTCTGTTCCTCTGGCGACGACTCCAAGAAGCATACCAGGCCATTAACTATCCCCCAAAAGTCGTCTCTTGCTACCTCCGAAGCGTCGAGGTGATTATGGCAGAGCTCGAGGCCGTGAAGCACAATGAAGAAACAAGCGAAAATCGCCAAATCGCCCTGTTGGGTTGGCTGAAATCGGTTGACAGCATCATAGTAAAAGCTATATCACTCATCCTGCAAGAGTCTGAGAAAGCGTACGAGTGTGTCGACATGGATCATTTACAGGCTTCCATGTCCGCGGTGGCTCGCCTTACTAGAATTGTCCACAGCTTTGTCTTGTACGAGGATTCGGTGCGTGTGGGGCAAACCTCTGGTCGTGAATTTCGGGGGGCTTTAGCCAAGTCCCTTGAGAGCTTCAAGGAAAGGATGAGAGAACTGCATGTTCGCTGCTGGATCCTGCAATATACACTCTTTGTGGAAGCCATTGCTCAAAACAAGGAGATTTTTGATGAGCCGCTTGAAGATCGCATTCATTTCCTCCGCTCAGTGCATAATGCATTAGGTGTCCGGTCTCTCTGCAGATATTCACAAAAGCAGTTCCTGAAGCTCATGAAGTCTGAGCTTTTGGATCTCGAAACCAAAGGCGATTATGAATTCGATGTCTGTCAGATTCTTTTCGATCTCCACGGCATCAAATTCTCGCCATTTGACGGGACGACTGATCACGGATGCCCCTCTGAAAAGTTGGACCGTGCAACAGCCATCATGATGATCGATTTCGTGTTAAGACAAGCAAACAGGATGAACATGAAGGATCTGTCCAAGTCCGAGTTGAAGACAACCATTGAAAAAATGCAGCAAGCCATCGGTCCTGCCAAGGCCACGTCGCAATCGCCGCAGTTGTCTTTCAATAGACGGATCATCAACTCATACCTCAAATCACCTGTCAACCCAGCGAATCTTTTACGAGCTGTTCAAGGAGTAGCAGAGCTTTCGACGACATTCGTGCTCAGTGAGAATGCCCAGATCGCCGCCAAGGGCTGGTATTTCCTCCTTGGTCATGCTGCACTCACAAAATTCCGCTCTCAAAAACGTCTCAGTCCTGGGTCGACTTCTGAACTCGATGATGCCATCAGCTTCTTCAGGCAGGATCTCGATCATGGATCGGAGCGGTGGGAGACCTGGTACCGACTCGCACAGGCGTACGATTCGAAACTGGATGAAGACATCACCTGGACTGCCGACAAGATCAACAACAACCGTGGGGACTTGGCCGCCACCCAGCGGAACACCATCCACTGCTACGCAATGGCCGTGTCAACTGCAATCCGGACTGCAGAACCAACGGCAGAAACCCGGTCGATGTTGTCAGACCTGTACAGCGACTTCGGCATTCGCATGTATTCGTCTTCTCGCGAGCCGCTCTCCATGGGACCCTTCAGTCTTACCGAGTTTGCTCGACACTACAGCAGTGAAGAAAGTCAGCAAATGTACAAAGCACAACCCTTCAAGGAAATGTCTGTATACTCGGTGTGGAACTTTGCGAGCAATCTTCTCAAGAGAGCGGTTCGTGACAAACCGAATCGACGATGGATGTGAGTGTTGGGGGGAAAAAACGGTCTGGCTCTAGACTTTACGAGTACTAATCGTCTACCAGGACTCAATATACTCTCAGCAAATGTCTCTGGAAAATGTACAGCTGTGATGATTCGATGAGAACGAATTCAAGGCGGGTCGAAATGCAAGATGTGCTGGACACGCTTCTCGACGCCGTTGCCGCGCTCCCGCAGCGCAAGGATTCGCGATCAGACCCCATCTTTGAGCCTCATTTCAAGCTCTTGTCTGTGGTGTGCAAACTGGTCCTTCGGGGCGATTTGGCAGTAAGTTTCGCCCTCTCATCTTCCATGGGCTTGCTACTGATATCAAAATAGCCTGTCGAGGCCAGCAAAACCCTCCTTTCCACTCCTTGGGCCCGCAAAGTTGATGCTCCCGATACGATTGAGGGGTGGAAACCGTATATACTCGAAGTTCTTCGGAAGTTCAAGAGCGCAGATAAGTCCAATTGGCATCACCGGATGAACGTCAAGGTGATTTGTTCCTCGCACCATCTTCTGCCATCAATCGGCTAATCTTTTAACTAGGCTGCCCATATCATCTACGATGATCAACAAAATGCGACAGCAGCGGCGAATGCCAAACAGGAACTCTCGCAGATATTCACCAAGACGTTGACCATTCAAGTCTGGCGACCTGAATTTGAACGCCCTGGCCGACACTTTGTCTACACGACACGATACGTGTACTTTTTTGTTCGGCTGCTTGACCAACTGGATGATCGCGCGAGCTTGGATCAGCTACTGCGGCGTGTGCGCAAGAAGCAGGGCGATTTCGTCAATCATGCCAAATTGTGGGAAGATATCTGCTTGACATACGCAAAGGTACGACTCCACTCATTGACTGTTGACTGAAGAGATTGTCTAACCTAACTCTCCAATAGCTCATCCGCAGAGCAGCCAAGATCAACGAAGGGCACGAGGAAGGGGTCTTCCGACCCATTGGCTGGGAGGAATTCTCCACGAACACCGCTCGCCTCGAAAGCCTAAACCAGCTGACCCCAGACAGCCAGTCGCTCCTCGAGCTGCTCCGAGACTCGCTGGAGCTGAAGAAGCTCAACAACAACCTGATGAAGGTTACCACGTTCGAGGATCTGATCGCAGACCTATACTCGCGCGTATACGAAATGAACATGCCGCTCCTGGTCGAGCAAGCCAACGAAGCAAACAAAGAAAAGATGAAAGTCGACCATCTGCTCATGCCCGGCGACGGTGGTCCCACCGAGCCATCCACGCCTTCAACCCCCGTTCCGGCAGCTTCGGACACCCCCGCTCCGCGCGGCCGCACCAAGGGCATCGCGCGCCGCGACATCCAGAAACGCGCCGACACCATCGTTTCCCTCAAGCTGGCGCCGCGCGCCGTCGCCAGCAAAATTGCCACTGCCCCAGAAGCGGACCAGTCCGCTGCTATTCCCCACGGCCCCAGTATGGCCGCTGCGCCTACGCCCAATGAGCCGACCTCTGCTCCGCGCGGGCCGCCTAAACAGACCACTGCTACGGGCGCTATCGGTGCGCATGCTAGCGCCGACGAGAGCGACCTGAGCGACGTCGACGACTCCAAGCTCCCCAAAACCCCCGCCGAGCGGAACGCCGCGCTCTTCCCGAGCCTAAGCAAGACTGAGCCCGGGGAGTCGGAGGCAGATGATGCTGGTAGTGGCGACGAGGGCGCAGACGACGAGGCTGACGATATGGAGGGTGATGGCGACGCCGCTGCAACGGAGGCTGAGACCGGTGAAGAGGCCCTAGAGGGCGAGGACGAAGGCGAAGAGGCTGGTGAGGATGAAGAGATGCAATATGGGGATGGTGACGGCGAGACTCGGCTCGGTGATGACGAAGAAGAAGAAAAGGAGGCAGACCACGCCGTCAAAAAGGACGCGGCGGTCAAGGCTACAGAGAACGAGTCCTCTGCTCAGGAGGAGGCGATGCCGGATGCCTCGGATCCTGCAGCCCACAATGAGGATGCGGCCGAACCCGAGACAGCGGCTGCTACACCTGCTGAATCGTGAGGCTCTGGTCGAGCATACTTTCGAACTTTTTTTTCTAGATCTATGTGTGTCCCTGGGGATTGGTTAAATTTCAGGTTTGCGGTGTTTAATTAATCGGTTTGTGAGGTCTATTTCTGCTGGCGTTCAGAGAAAGGGTTGTCGGAGCATGGGGACATGGGAGTGCCACCAGAGAAAGGGGGCTTTATGAACTAGCATAGCATGTACTATATTCAAGAATCTGCAGTCATTAATTGCGAATTGTAACATTATCACTCATGACAAGATATCAATCAAGTGTACCAGAACGCCTCAGCCGGGGATATCTGTGCCCATATCCAATTAGCCCGAGAGAGCTCGCGACGTAACTGATGAAACAAAAGAAAAGCAATATTCAAGACAGTGCGAGAAGAGAAGATAAATCGTAAGTCATGAAGGCATCCAAGCTTCTTAGATCTCGCTCTCGGGAGCCAGGTCCCATTTCCGCGTCGCCATCTTTCTTTGCTTCTTGCCGGGCGACGAAGCCACTGGGGAGGCAGGGGAGAACATGCTGTCCGTGAGTTTCAGCTGGTCCATGCGCTGCAGTGCGTTTTCGATATCGCTCTCTCGGCCCAGTAAGTTCGACGATCGAGGAGGCGCAAGGTTCTTGGGCCGAGGCTTGCGGGTTGGAGACCGGCTGTTGATTTCACGCTCGAGGGTAGCAATACGGCGGCGAAGCTGATCGTTCTCATTTTCGAGGTCTTCAACGCGCTCGTCTGCAGATGGCTCGGGGTCTTCATAGACTAAAAAAGGAAAATGTCAGAACCAACCATTAGAGAGCTCCTTGGAAGCTGAGTGTACTTACTGTGGAACCCGCGAGAGACAAGCTCGATCTTTTTATCGATGTGCTCGTCGTTGCGGCCAATCTGGAAACAATTAGCACTAGCCAACTCATTCCGGTCACGGCGTTTCAACTTACCTGCTCATCCCAGGCATTCTGCCAGCGTCGCCTTTCCTCCTCCATTTTCTCGTCCATCTCAGCCCAACACTCTTCTCGAACTTCTTGCTCGATCATGATGCATCGTTCCTCGGCAGCCTGCAAACACATCTCGACCTCGGAGCGAGCGATTTCTTCTTCTGCGAGCTTCAGAGCAAATCCATGACAGTCTTGTGTCAGCCGTGAAATCTCGGCGGTAGCCCGATCGAGCTCTTCCCCTGATGCGTATTGAGGGGAGGTGCGTCCGCTAGCGGATCGGCCTCTGCCAGATCCGGTCGAGAGGATTGACTCCGTCAGCGAAGGCACGCGTGGCACAGTAACCTCACGGGCCAAGGCGGAATAGCGCAGAATCTGGGATGTGGCATTGAAGTCCCCCAAAGGATCGGCCGTCACAATCATAACCGCCTTTTGTGGGTGGTGGCCACGGGACATCTGGTTTGGCGAAGGGAAGGAATTGGAAAACAGGAGCTCCGTGAGTTTGCACTGGCGGAATGGCACGAGGGCAGTCTGGAGATATGAGCACTCGTCTCACAAGGAAATTCTCAGCCGTGATACATACCTTGGCTCCGTCTTGAATATTACTCTGCATTTGCAAGCATTGGCCCAAATACATCAAACTTTCGTTGATCTTGCCAGCCTCGGCAAGAGTAGCACCGGCCGTTTTTGCATTTCTCGCTCGTTCAGAACCTGTCTTCATAAGCATTGAATAACTTGTATGGTGTTTGGGAAAGCAGCTTACCAGCCAAGTCCACAACCGTCAGTGCGTTTCCTGTCCAGTTTACCTCGCCCGTTCGTTTGCTGTATGACCGCTTCTTGACCTCGAGGCTGAAGAAGCCATGGCTTCGGGAGCTCACACTGTTGGACCCTGTGCCGGTCACTTTTCGCTCGGTCAGACCAACATCCAGAATAGCCAATGCTTCTTCGTAGGTGCTGCAGGCAATCTTGCGCAAGCCGGCCACGACTTTTCGGTCTGGAGAACCTTCGGTTGGTTTGAAGAGCAGCGGGCGTCGGCGATCCTTTTGACTGTTCCCACGCGACATGGTGTTTCCTTGCCCGGTAGTAATCGCCGGTGAGAGCAGATCAAAAATGCGATCATTGTACACCTCGTACATGGAAACCAAAACGACATAGTCCGAATTCGGGTTCATGTCCACGGCAAGATGGCTCACATCAGGCAGTCTGGGCAGTACACTGGGTCGCTCACGCACATTCCGGCGAGGGAAAATCAATGCCGGAGTCGGTTCCTTGAAGACATAAAGTCGAGATTTAGCAAAACGTGATTCCTGTAGGTTCGGGCGAGTGAAGGGAAGAAAGGATGAAAACCCCGGGGCGATCCTTCCAGACTGCTCAGTCAGCGACAGGCCAGGGCCGTATCGCTCTGTCCGATTGGAACTGGGGAGAGGATTTGCGTCCGCTTTGTGGGGGCTTCCAGGTTTCATGGATGGCATAGGGAGACCTGGTCCAGGTGTATCCGGCCGCGTGGTTGGCGATCCTTGATAGATGTTTAGGGCAAGAGGGCTCCGTACCGTTAAGGGGGTGTGAGTGCGAGACGGACTCATGGGGGTTTGAGCCCTTGAGTTGCGACCGCGGTCACCATTTGGTTCGCCGTACACGGCTTCCAGGAAGGTTGGGGCTGAAAACAGCTGTGCCTCAGAGGTGTCCGATGCGGCCAGCGAGGCGAGCATAATGGGGCTGATACTTCCATCTTCGGTTTTCACGGTGGGCTCCAGAGACCGGAAGATCACATCGAGGGCCATTTGGGTCATTCCACGCTGGGTTTTGGATCCAAGTATTGTGTGGCTCTGCAATCACCCGTAAAATTAGCACCAATGACTCCCGTCTTGCTACTGGGGACTTGACCTTTCCACTGCCTGTGACTCCCAACGTAGCAACCAGGCCATCTCGGCCCTCCTTCAAAACTCCGTGGAGCAACGGCTCCATTCCGGTGTCATGGAACACATCCAACTGCGACGCAGCCTCTTCGAAGACCTTTGTGAAGCCAAACTTCTCTATTGCGCGTTTTCTCGAGTCACTGGGCGGCTGCAGAGTGATATGGGTCGGGACTGCTGGGACGATCTCCCCATTGTCTGCAGACTCGGGAGATTCGACAGCAAGGAAGCGTTCGGATTCATTGTGTCTTTGCGAAATAGGCGGGCGCAGACGAAGATAGACTTGGAACAGCGAGGTTTGGGGCTGTTTCGAAGGCATTTTGGCAGTGTGCAGATGCTGTCTAGAAGCAGTCGCGTCGAAGTCGAAAAAAGGCGAGTGTCCACAGATCTCCATGGCACCTGCCTCATTGGGGTGTGTCGGGGTTGTCAGGGCAACGCAGTATGTACCTGATGCATCTGCCACTTACCCAAGCACTCTACTTGGATATCTGGTTGATAACTATGATAGTCAGAATAATTAGAACCATCAAAACTCAAGATCTCACTTTTCTGATGGCCGCATGTTCTTCAGATCACTGATCAACCCGCACGGCTCAGCCACGAACTTCCATACGAGACTTGCCATCTTCAGGCAAGCCCGTAGAATGAGTCATCCTCCATCACCACCTGGGCAAGTGCATTTTCAACCAAGCATCATTCAAGCCTTGGGTTGCGTCGATCAAGTGGGCCCGATCATCTCGTATTTGACCCTGCGCCATACTCAAGGGGCGTAGTCGGGAAGCCCTTTTCACTGCCCCATCTTTGGGGTCACTCTCACTGGCTGCAGAGAGCAGAAGGCGTGTCTGCATGAGGCAACTCGTTTTCGCTTGTGCTTCACGAGCCATAGCTGACATTAGAGCTAGAAGAAGAGGTGTATATATTTCTCCTTCTCCCCCCGTGTTTTATATCTCAGTAAAAAATACATCCGATTACATTCATCAAGATTTGCATGCTTTGTTTGAATCTCCAATATATATCCTGTCTTTGACTGTTGAACCAAGTACACAACTACGATACCCACCATGCTCGAGCCACGGTCTTCATACCGTGAGTTCCACCTCAACTTCATACACAGAGGCTGTTACGACAAAATATTAATATCGCACAGAAGACGGCAGTCTCTGGTTTTATGCCCCGAACAAAGGCGCCGCGATCGCTTTTGCGATCCTGTTCGCGGCCTCGGGGAGTATGCATTTCTACCAATGCTGGTATGCGCCCTCGGTGAAACGCCGACACACCCGGAGAAACTGACATCTGGGTAGCAAGTATAAGTCCTGGAAAGTGACCGGGTTACTGCCATGGTCGGCCCTCCTCTTTACCGTGGGCTTTATCATGCGCGCCATCGGCGCATTCGGACAATGGGGCAATGTGGGTGTTTTTATCTCGAGCACCGTTCTCCTGCTGGCTGGGCCGTAAGTTGTCCCTTTTTAATGGCATTGGAATACTCACGCTAATGTGACACTTGAACTCTGACAGTCCCGTGTATGAAGGCGCCAACTACTTTATCCTAGGCCGCATGCTCTACTACATCCCCTACCATTCGCCCATCCACCCAGGCCGCGTATTCACGACCTTTGTCGCATTGGGCATCGCCATCGAGGCCATCACGGCCAACGGAGCAGCACGAGTTGCAAGCTCAGACGCCTCGACCAGCGACCAAAACACCGGGAAAGCGCTTCTCAAGGCAGCCCTGATCATGCAGATCGCGCTGATGGTAGGATTCACTGGGCTGGCAGGCAAATTCCATTGGAATTGCTCGCGCGATGGCGTGCTGAACCACAAAATTAAGCGCACACTGTGGGTTCTGTACTCTAGCTGCACGCTGATCACGATCCGCACGATCTACCGCACCGTCGAGTACTTCACGGCTGCGAATCTCAGTGCCAGCGCCGACGCTGAGCATGTCAGCCCGATCATCAAGAACGAGTGGTTCTTCTGGGTTTTTGAGGTGATGTTCATGTTCACCAATACCGTTTTGCTCAATGTCTTGCATCCCATGCAGTCGCTGCCGCACTCCAACAAGATTTATCTCGCCAAAGACGGCGTGACAGAAATCGAGGGCCCGGGGTATGAAGATCCTCGTCCCTGGGTTCTGACTTTGGTCGATCCGTTTGATATCATTGGCTTGATCACGAACCGGGGTAAGAAGGTGAAGTATTGGGAGGTGAATGAGGCGATTCCTGGGTCTCGTCCGGCGCAGGTCTGAGATTGCCTTGGAAGACTGATAAGAAGCGTGTCCATTTTCATATCGATTTTTGCTTTTTTTGTCTGTTTCGATTCTCATTCCTTTCTTTCTTTTTTTTCTCTAGATTATACACTTTGTACCGATATGTGGATATACTCTCTACCACTGAATATTGATCTGTGAGAATTTACTTAGTATTTGCGCAACATCTACTTGATAATCTAGAAAATTCCAATCACATATCCTCCTCCTTTACCATAACCTCCTGAATCTGCCAGCTATACCTCGCAAACCGACTTTTCCTACGAATCCGCTCCCCATAGCACAGAAACAACGGCGGCACGAGACAAAACACTGTCGCCACCGCCGCCAGCACCGAGACAGCGACATTAGCACCCAGGCCATGGAACATCTGCCGCGTAAACAGCGGAAAAGTGCCGGCGAGCAACGCCCGCAGAAATGCAATAGCAGCCAGCGCACTAGCCGAGTAGCTGAGGTAGCTATCGGAGATGTAGCCATAGAAGACAGTGTCGAGCTCCGTCAGCGCATACCCGACCAGGACAAGGGGCAGCGTCGGCACAATCCATGGGATCTCGGAGCCCTCCACCTCGGGCGGGATCGTCCACCCGAACCACCATAGACCGATGGCTAGACAAGGGGCGCCGATGGCGAGGCCGACGAGCTTGTCTTCTGGGCGGATGGGGTGGCCGTGGCGTTGGCGCCGGTTGAAGAGGTAGTGGTCCAGTATGCGGGTCAGCGCGCTGAAGCATGTTCCCAAGCCGATGGCTGTGAAGATAAGCGAGGCGTCGGAGGCGGAGAAGCCCATGGACTCGTAGATGGGATGGAGTGCTTCGGTGAAGATGTAGATCAGGGACATTGCTACGGCAATCATCACGGCGATGGTCATGATGATGGGCTCATAGATGAAGAGCTGCGCGGGCCGAAAGATGGCTTCTGTCATAAAGGTGGACAGGCCCGGGGTGTGGTCGTAGTTCAAGGCTGGGGGGATGTTTGGCATCTTGCGCCGGAGGTGTTTCACCTCATAGGCGAGCAGGAAGGATGGACGAGACTCGCGAATTAGAAGGAGGAGGCCGGTGACGATACCGATGATGCTAGCGTAGATATAGAACACCCATCTCCTGCAAAGGGTAAGAATTTGGGCCGAGGGCTAGCAAAACCCCTCAAGACAAGATCTAACATACCAGTGCAGAGCAGCAATGATGTGACTACTCATGATGGGCCCTATAATCAGGCCAATGTTGGATGAGACTGTCCAGGCAAAAATGACCCAAATACGACCCCGGGAATTGAACATGTCCTCGATGCTGCCTCCTATGATAGTGTATGGGATTGCAGAGAGTAACCCTGCCACCACGCGCAGGATGATGATCGCCGGCAAAGAATGGGCTAGTCCGACGAACATGCAGCAGATACTGCTGAGCAGTGCACTGATCATATACATTCTCTTGCGCCCGAAGGACTCAGAAAACGGAGGGAACACGATAGTGCCCACCACCTGGCCGAGCAAGAATCTGCCAAAGCGTCAGATGAACAGCCACTATTGAGATCCAGAGGGGAACATCTCCCTACACGGTCACAAAGCAAAAGATGGCCAAAGTGTGATGCATGTCATACTCATGCTTGGCTTCTGCAGCAGCGCCGGCCTAGCGAAGTGGGAGATGTCAGAGTGGCCTGGGAATGTCTAATATATCAAAGGATCGACTCACTCCCGCGGTGCTGGTGGCTGTTCTGTATACAACCACATTAGCAGGGTTCAAGGTCTTCTCCACGCCGGCAGGCCGTACATAACAAGATCCAACAGACAAATGACTCCCACATCGTATGACTTGCGCGCTATGGACCAATTGCGCGGGAATAGGGGGTTATCCCGCGACCATCGTACAAATTGGCCATCCGGGGTGACGTCAAGACAGTGCTTTTGCAGTCGCTCTTGGATAGAGGGCTTAGGCTCTTCGGTGATGGTGAGTCGTCTGTTTTCCATCTTAGGCAGTTGAGAAGAGTCGTCACGACTGCTAATTGCAGGATCAATGAACCATGACCAGATCGATCACAGTCAAGCCAGCAGTACGGTTCAACATATTCATATTGGCAGGGGAGGGCTTTTCTTTAAACAAGCTCAATGTACCCCGAAGAATGAAGCCACCCCCTTGCGATCGACATTGCACATCTGGCAGATCCAGTGGGGGGGGGATGGGATTGACGATGTCAATGAATCGTGGAGAGAGTCGGCCATGTTTGGACAACACGTTACAGACAGCATGCGGAAAGGAGGCACATTTTCCAATCAAAGACGGGAGTCAAATGACACTATTGAAATCCAAGCTCCATCCTCAAGGAACGACAAATTCCAATTCCAATCCAGTGATTAGGATTTGCAGGGGTAGATTACTTGCATTCTTGACAATCAAGGAGACAGGAGACAGGGGAGACAGGGAAGACAGGGGAAGATGGTGGATTTTCAAGGGCGAAGTATTTTTTTTTTTTTTTGGCGCGATCGGACCAGCCGATTGTCAAATCGATTGAGTTCCACGGGTACCTTGCATCCCCCCGATCTATATATATACATAATATACCCAGGTCGAATGGCGAGACATGTCAATCCTTGCATTTCAGCCCCAAGCATGATAACCCCCGGGGCCTCACCGATAATGTTAAGGGGGCAGGCTGGGTTAAATAAAACTCCGTTCGGACCATATCTCCGACCGAACTGAAGCCGAAGAAAAGTCGCTGCCTGCGGGATCCCGGTGGGATCCCGGTGGGCATCCCGGTGGAGAGGTGGCAAGACAACTAACTATAGGGGCCGATCATTGGGGGCTGGAAGTCACCTCTCCAGTATCACGCAATTTGAGCATTTTACTTCATTTCTCTCGATCGTATACCTATAGCCTTTTGGTGCGGTATGTGAAGTCGTGTGTGGATTATATTTTACTGCGGAGCGAGGCGAAGCACTCTAAACAACCATCCCGGATCACCTGACCTTTGCCTCTTTAACCCAAGGTAGGCTCAATGTATGTCATGTGACTTAACCCGGATTCTGGCGCTCTGATTGGTCAAGTCGAATCGTCATCAGTGACTTTTGTAGCCCTGTACCCTGCATAAACCAGGTTTTGGTATAGTTAAAATCTCGGAGGCTGCTCACGTGATAAGTTATGTGATAAGAAGCATGAACTATCCCTCTACTGATCGTCTATTCAAAAATCAGACGGGGGTCCTAGGGGGCCGGTAGCCCCCTAGTGTATATATATATATAATATTGTATAGAAAAAAATATATAGAGAGAGACAGAAAATAGATCTTATTATATTATACTAGCCGTAGGCGGGGTCTACGTCTTACCGGCCAGCTAATGCTGGGGGTTCGGGGGGGGCCCTGCCCACTGGTACTTTATATTCGGATACAAAACAACTTTTGAACTTTCACCTTCATTGATCGGCATTCGCTCTAACATAAGATTATAGGATTGCTATATTTGAATAATATATTTTAATAAACAATCCTCAATAATTGGAGAATCTATCACATAGAGTACGTACACACATACAGCCTCTATCTGTCTAACATCTCCACACCCCATAGCTCTCGCCAAGTTCACCTTTTCGGGCACGTTGAACATCGGCCTGCTGTGTATGTAAATAGCTTTCTCGCTCGGCGTAGTGGTAATATTGGACCGACACTACTCCAACTCGAAAGATAAGGAGTTGGGGCCGCGCGTTTATACACCAACTATACGCCTATTATAGAGCAGGTGGGGTCACGTGGGGCCCAAGGGGGCAGAAATGTGGAGAGAAATGCTGGATGGTGCTGACATCCTTTCCACCGCCTTCGATATCGCACAAAGAGAGAGAATCCTCCCGAGATGTCTTGTGTCATCATTAATTGATTCCTTTCTCTGCTTCCGTCTTACTTTTGATGATCCCTGATTGCCCTGCTGCAGTCTTCTAGCCCAATATTCATACTCGGATTACATCCTTAGATAGAAGAAAGACGATTAGATAATGGGAATTGATGTCCAATAAGAGGGCTAGGATTGAGCAGCAGTCTTCCAGGGGGTATATCATATCATGCATATAAGCGCCCTATTTATGTATGATGTCATGGGAATAGGCCAGCCTTGGAGCGGTGTTGCGATACGGATACCCTGGTTGTCTATCCCCTCGTTCTAAATAAGTTTGCTACTAAGAACGCTATATCGCTATGGTAGACCTCCCTAATCATATAATAGCTTTATAGATATATTATTATGCCTAGTACCTAAGTAGCATATAAGCATAGCTATATATATACTATTTTACGACGAGGGGTATAGAAAGCCCAATAAAGCTCCATGTTCACAAGTCAAAAGATCCGCGTAACTCGGTGCAGGAATCACTTCCATGGTTATGGTTGATTGCAACCGTAGATCCCACAGTCGAATCCTGAAGGCCGCCCGTGCCGATAAACCACCAGTTCTCTCACCGCAAGGAACGCCGGGCACCCCCAAGGTCGGATGTCCGACGGGGACTAGCTCCACCTCTAAGGGGAGTGGTGCGATACGACACTCTGATTGCACCAAAGCCGAGATCCGAGATGGGTTGATTGGATGTAAGAATTCGCCATGCAGCCTTGTTCCTGGATTCTTCTGGAGTCCCCTCGTCAGCCTGTAAGCCCTAGGCTAAACCCTCCCGAAAAAGTGAAAGTGGGGGGAGTGGAAGGGAGAGGGGGTAAAAGAGAGATAGAGAGAGGGGCATTTGGAGTACTCCAGAAACCACTAAAACCCCCAGCCCCCAAACTTGGGGGTGTGGGTGGGGGGGGTTGCGTTTTCTCCATAGAAATGAGTTGATTACCCCTACGCTCTATGGAATTCGCCAATCCTTCCATCCTTCTAAAGGGTTCAGTGCGTTATGCATGTATGCATGTATTACTGGAGGGGGATCGCCTCCGGAGACACACACGGCCAGCCGACTCTCCTATCATTTCCCGAAGATCATCACTCCGGATACATATCCATGATAAAGCAACTCTTATGCCTCAAATGGGGGCCGGCCCCAGACCCACTCGTCTTTCCTAGGGGGGCCAGTCCACATACTTCTGATACAGTAGAGTGAAAGCTTCCTGCGTTTTAACTTGAATTAGAAGAAGGAGAATTACCGTTTCAACTATGACAGGATCCAACCCCATGCAGATATACTATAGTAAGTTTATTCCCTATCTTCCCTGAAGGATTTGACAAATGCAAGCGTATACTATTTGGGTTAAAATGTCATCTCTATTAAAGACACTGTCTCAGCCTTGAATTTCTGATCTCAGAGAACAAGTCACAATAGCAAAGGGGAAAAAAATATAAGGGCCCCATGTGGTTCCAGAGACCACACCGCACTCCTTCATTGCCCTAGTAACAATTTTGACCCACAAGTCTAACACGTGCGGAATCGAGTCGACTAGCATGTACATTATTTGTGGAACAAAGCCACCTAGACATACTCCATAGCATGCCCCATAGTGCCAACTTAAGACCCGCTTGCATTAGCTGTGACATTTATAACCAAATCAGGATTCCTGCCCTGAATCGACCGTCACCTCTTCTATTATTAATTTAGACTGCCAATTCAAGGGTTTCTACTATATCATGTTGATTGTACGTATCTACAAGCTCATACCTTAGAAAAAGTCCTAGCTACAATCAAAAGTTTTTAGGAGGTATTCACAAAAGAAAGAGTGTGTATGTCATCAGGAATATACTGGTCAGGGTATGATGATGCCTGTCGATCGGGTAACAAAGCCAAGATGTATGCAAGATGACGAGAATCAGAGTATGATTGGAGCGAGGGATTGAATATTGTGACGTCCATTATTTTCTGCAACATCACAATTCGTTGGCCCCCTGGTGTGATGCACGGCCCCCGGTTGGGGGCTATCTTGGTGGATAATATAGAATATTTGGCTTATACCGCGCGTAATACTATATATAATACCTCGGATCTATATAACCCAACCTTGGAATAATCCACCGGCATTACACTGATCTCATTTATGCTCAGGAGTCTAGATTTCTTTTTGATTTACTTTTCTTACTTTCTTCTTCTTCATCCTCTCCGACACCCCCCTCTCATTTTCTCTTTGACCTCACGAAAACCTCCCCTCTCTGAACCTTGCCCTCTACAACGGCACCTACCATCCCACTGTCGTATCGTCGCCCGAGAAACGGCCCTCCTTTCTCGCCCTTCCGACGATGCGCTGGTTTCGCATCCTTTGCTTCCTTCAACTCCTCTTTGTCATTGCCATAGCCCTGCCACCAAAGGGGCCATCAATACATGAACCCAACGCCCTGGCCGTTCGAGACCCTGGCGATGTGGAGGCTTGGGCTTCTCAGCACGAGAACCCGCTCCATTCCAGAGCACTCACTCCACCAGCCAATGCACAATCGTGGTTCTTTGTTGCTCTCCTGGGCTTCGGAGTGACCGCAGCAGCAGTTGTCCGCTATGGGATTCCGACCCCGGAGGCTGAAGCCGTGGTTCTTTATCTGGGAATTCCTAGCGCGGTAACCTTGATCATTGGGCTTGTCACGTTTGGCTTCGAGATGATGGACTATGGCCTAAGGCGACGGTCTGAGAGATCAAAAATGAACCACGAGATCTACGAAGCCAAAAGAAAGAGGATAAAGGATCAACATGACGACGAGGATCGGGAAAGAAGACTCCTCAAAGAAGACAATGATGAGGTTTATAATGATGCGGAAAGGGCGTTGAAATTAAAAAGCTTGGAGCTGGGTAATGAGAAGTTGGCTGAGGAAATTCGGAAGTTGCGACGAGAGAACAACAACGCGGAAGACATCGAAAGTTGGACAACCGACTTCACCAACCGATTGACCGAGCTAAAGAGATTCATCAAAGATGGAGACCGGGGGGAAGATGCGGCCAATGAAGCCGAGAAGCAATTGAATATCGCATCAAACAAGAAGCAGAACATGGACGCTCGTTCAAAGGCCCGCGACGAGGCAGAAAAGCAGATTAAAGCCGCCGAGGACGAGCACGGAAAGCAATCCAAAGACTGGCAGATAATGTCCAAGAACCTTCAAGACAAAGGGTTCAATATCGATACCGCCCTCTTGGTTCAAATCCTCCGAAACAGCGGAATCAATCCCGATAATGACGCGAAGAGGAGGCGACGAGGCCTTCGTTCTGACGGCCTTCCTGTCCTTGTCCGGGAGAAGAACACCAACTGCGAAGAGGGAGATTGCCACCGAATGTGGTACACCTCGCATGAGTCGAGCATCAAGAAGCGGGACTCCATACCCGATTCCTCCCCGCTCAATCGCATCCACGACATTCGCATCACACCGCATGACTTTGATTATCGGGACCACTTGGTGCGACGCGATATCAAGAACAATGAAGATTTGGGGGTTGGCCGATTTTCATATGAGGAGGACTGCCACGACGAGGAGGAAAAAGTGGTTGACGGCAAGAAGCTCAAATTCAATATCCGCTACGTGACCGAATATGGTGGTAGCCTGGTTGATCTGATCCTCTTGGGCATGATGGGTCCCAAGGGAATCGAGGAACGGTGGTGGGACAGCTTGAAACAACTTGGGACCTTCAAGCAGGGCGGCCACGAATACTATCAGGCGATCAAACCTGGGTTGTCATGCACCAAGTTCGATTTAGATGGAGGTGATCCTGCTGCCTGGCTTGGCTTTGTCCTTGATTACCCCGAACTCAGCAAAAAAGCCCACCTCAAAGACGCCAACAAGTACATCGATGGCAAACCGGAGGACTTGCTGAACGCATGCAAGCACCAAATCACCTCGAACAAGGGTATAATCAGTTGAGTGGTGTGTCCCAATAAGAGAAATTCCAGATGGCAAGTGGCTTTCCCCTACTTCGAGTTATGTTGGTCTCGATGGAGGGGGCTCCCTTCTGGTCCATGTTACTATGATTGCATTGAAGAGAAATGAGATAATGTCACTACTTGATGATCATACCTTCGACGACCTAGAAGTAATTGTGCTCCACTTGATAACATTGCCAACTCTCTTTTATTTCTAGCCTTTTATTTATTTTCTTTTTTTTTCCAGTATGTGTTCTATCAGGACTGAGGCGTTTCTCGACCGGCATGGTCTGTTCGTTGTATAGGCCCTGGACAGCTCGACTGAAACTCGGTAGCGAATTTGAGAAGCAAGATCTTAGTAGACGACTTGGTTGTGCATGAGCAACAGTAGGGGACCTCAAGCCCTAAGCTGATACAAAAGGTACATCTAGTCAATTCTTATATATCTCAACTATATTACAAGTTATTAAAAACAGAGATTTATTGTTAAACTCTAATAGATATAAAAAGTCTTTATATTTAGGGTTTTAATTTAAAGATAAATAAATAATTGATTTTATCCGATGGAAGTACCTTTTGTATGGGCTACCCATACAAAAAGTACATTGTTATTAGAATGGAGAACACAAACACCAAAAGGTGAAGGGGGACTCGAGGCCACGAATCCGGATGCGTAGCTTTGTGAAAAAGGGATAGCCAATATTAAATCCTATATATTTTTTTATTCACTAATTATTTTTCTTATTATTTGGGAAGTCTATATGTATCGACACAAGACTATATCCATACGTGTCAGCCTCACTTCTCAGCTGGTTTATATTTCTTCGATTTCCCGGTTTTGCGTGATAAATTCGCCTAATATTGCCACTGATCCACCCTGGTGAGCTGAGAGGTTTGCGAAGATCAGCTTGTGATGGTCGGTTGAACGAAACTCATCGTCTCCACATGGGGCGAGCAGAGTCATACCTAAACCAGTAAATTCAACGATGATCCAAGCAAGTTCGTTACGTGAAGCATTGGCAGATCCAATTTTAGGTCAAAATCCCGGTTCTTTGGGTCATTATGTGCTCGCACCACTACCCATCGACCCGCGAGCCGATGAGAGAAGGGGGCGAGGAACAGGTCCACTTTAGTTAGGCCCGAGGAAATAATAGTCGCCATGATGCGCCGAAGTACCCCAACTTTGGACCTTCAATAGTGCGCGGACTTGCCGATGAGATTGGTGGTTGTTTCCTTGGTTTCTTCCCTTCTTTTTTTTATTCGAATACGTACCTCGTGATGGGCTAAACAACTTGATATTATCGATATCTTTATGCTGTAGAGAGAGCTCTTTACGAACATGATATACTCCACCTTGCGTTCCCCTGGAAGAACTGCTCTAGAGCTCATGTCCTCTTCGAAGAGCATGGCATATACCGGCGTTTCTTGTAGATGTAGTGACGGCTGATTTTAACTGGCGTGCAAGGTCATCATGCAACCTAATTCGAGTTACTTCTTCGAGCCGCTTCCGCCATGCGTCTCCAACTTGATCGAAAATCAAGTCAAAGTGGACCGCCGAGGAACTCCTAAGAGCCAATGACGAGAAACGTGTGTGGGTAAAATATTGGCCCAGTCCCACATGATCATACAAGCAAGAGGACATGGTCGTTAGTCTGTCGACTCTGATTGACTGGCCACCTGGGGTTGATGGAGAGGCACTTGCGATGAAGCGTTCACCCGCAATCTGGGTTATGGCCCCCGTGTTGATCGACATCTATCGGTCTTGTCCAAAATCCTGCCCAAAAGGAAATAAAACAGTAATTTGTTCAGTAGTCCCGCGTAAGTGAAGAGTGCGAATGAAAAAAAAAAATCACTCACGAGTCAAACAAGAGCCCACTCGTTTATGACAGCTCCTTCGATCCCATCTGCAGGCTGGGGAAGAGGGAGCATTCGACTATATGAAAAAAAGATCATGGCCGGCCCCGACGAATCCAACACTTACCGTGAGCTTCAGCCTCGCAGCGCTCGCTTGCTGAGCGCTGCGAGCATTGCATCCAGCCACCCATTCATGCGTCAATCGTATTCTACCATCCGACATGCCGGCCAAAAAGTAACAATCGGGCCCGGAAGAGACGGAGCATTCACCTGGAAGACCGGGTTTCTTTCTGCTTTCCAGCTGCCGAATTCGTTGCCGGCCAGCTTCACGCCATGGGAGGAGACATTGCACCGACTGCCGTTTCTTTTGCGGCAAGGAAAAGCCCGCAAGGTTATTCACTCATTGCCGCCTTTGACCCACGAAATGCATGCCCTACCCAGTCAATTCTTGACCCGAGCGTCGATCGTCATCAGCACTTTGCTTCATGGTTATGCCTTTGAGGTCCGGCACCGCGGGGATGGAAAAACACTCAATTCGCTGCCACCGGACCTGGTTGCGGCATGGAGGATGATCTCGTCGCGACTGAACCGACCCATCATGAATCGATCTGCGGGGGATGACATTCTCAATAATTTGCAGGTATCCGGGTCATCGGCGTATCTGCGTATCGAATACTTCAAATTCCCGGAAGAGTATCTGAGTGCAGGTACACAAGGCGAGATGGAGCACGCCTTCGCTCCAGTACTGGAATTCATGACCAACGTCCAGAAGTATATCGGGTTTGATGACGAGCGAGGGATCACACAAGAACTGTGCAACATCACGAGTAGCATTATCGATTGCGCGCGAGTGTTTCTGTCCACTCGGTGCCAGAATACCAAGGATGGCCTCGACTTCGTGGCCTGGGGCAAAACCTATCCGGAGATCGGGAGGCCGCTGTATCCTGAGGGACTTAACAACAGCGGGGTCAACTCGCCCCTGTTCCATGCCTTGGATACCTTTATCGGCATCGAAGACGTGAACCACGAGATATACGAACAACAAATCCGGCGCCGTATTCTACTGCCACCACCGATCAAGTTGTTCCTCGAAGCCCTGGGCGATCGTCGATATAGCATCCGATCATATGCAAACAAATGCAAGGGCTCGACTGCCGCCACTGCTTTTGATGTCCTGATCCAAACATATATTTGGCTCCTGGAGTTGCATCGGATGCGAGCGGTTGGCGGGATCACCATAGCAGAGGCTTCTGGTCGTCAACAGACAGCCGGCGGAATGCATTCGGGAGGCCAGGTCACTTTAGATGCTATAATTAATGGCCAGCTGACAAAATCGATTTCTTCGCGCATTGGCACACAACGGCAGACTCTCCCAGCGACTATCATCTCCGTGTCCCAGTCCGGAACAAAAGCCTCGGTGGTGACCTTGGCTTATGATCTTCCATTGCCCGCCAGAGCTGGAGACAGGATCCAGATTTGGCCCGAAACCCAAGATTCCTCTGCTTCGCAAGAGCCTCGCCATTACTCGGTAGCAGATATCAAAACACGTGGTCTTGCGAGTCAGGTTTCTCTCACAGTTGCTCAATCGGGAGGCCTCTGCGCTGAATTCCTTCGGAATTGTGTGCCGGGGCAACGCATCCAAACAAGACTGACTCCGGCTCCCAATTTTTGGTCCCCGGAGAATTCGGAGGCACCTATGCTGCTGGTCGCGCAGGGGGTAGGATTAGGTCCATTCCTGGGGTTCCTGCGACAGCGAGGAAATGCACAAAAGGAGGGAAGGAGAACGGGAGATGTGATAATGATTATCAGTGCAAAATATTGCGAAGATATCCCTTACTTCGCTGAGATTGTCGGTCTAACTCGTGCTCTGCCCCTGACGGTGTACTGTGCTTTACCACAGAGCAATGCGCGAGTGGTTCGGCATGGCACAGAGCAGCAATACAACCGTCCTGCCAAAGCACACGATATAATCCGGAACTTGCACGAGAAGATCCGATCCGATGTGTTTGAAAAGCAAGGACACATGTATATCTGTGGAAGCATGAGCTTCGGAACGACGATGCGGTCTATGCTGCAGGCACAGCGTCTGGTCGACCTCGACCGGTACCACGAAGACTGCTTTGGCGGCCGCACTCTGACCAGGACGCCCGCAGCAACAATCTCAATGGCGGAGCTTGCACGCCACAACAAACCACACGACCTCTGGCTGGCCATTGGAAATGTGGTTTTTGATGTAACAACCTTTGCTTCGACTCACCCTGGAGGTGTGAAGACATTAATGGAAAGTGCTGGCATGCCTGCAGACCGCAAATTTGCCCAGGTCCATTCTGGGGATGGCAGTCAGGGAATTGCGGCTCAGTTAGAGCAGTACGCCATCGGTGCTCTCAAGCCAGATAGCCCTCTGTCCTCTGATCGCATCCAAATACTTCACAGCGTCGTCCAGATGCAGAATGTACTCGCGAATAACACGTACTTCGCTCCAGGGCGAATAATGCCGTTCTATGTCTTTGCGGACAGCTTACTGGTCACCTGGGGCAGTATATGGTCTCTTTCCTCTGCTGTCAAGGGCGACCAGAGGGCATCCCTTATCATGCAGCACTTGAACGACACGCTTCGAAGCTTCAAAGAAGAAAGTTGGCAGTTTTTGAGTCAAGACTTCGGCCCAGGGTTGGAGAAGAAAGAGCTTCGGCTTCGAGCAGCTTACGCTCCGATCTGGGACCACTTCGATTCCGTTTTCGACCAGGCCAAGACGTGCTGCGTGCAAGGCGACATCGACGATACACGATTCGCGGAATTGTTTGACACCATCCTCCACGATTGCATTTTGAAGACTCAGCGATCTGTCCAGGGTGGAATTGAGTCATTTGAGCCGGCAAATGTATGGGTGCAGCTTGAAGATCGTTGCAAGGATTTCCAGACGCAGCTGAGCTTGCTGTACCCGAACTCCAAATGGTTTTCGGTGCACGACGAGCTCGCTGTGGTTGCCCTACTGGTTGTGATGATCGTGCTGCCCTGTATATATCAATTCCGTCATGTTTTGACCCCGTAGATATTTATGACGATGACAACAACAACAATAATAGTAATGATATCCCACGAGTTTTAGTTTAATGCGGAAGATTCTTGTTGCGTGAGTGTAGAGAGAGAGAGAGAGAGAAGAGTAGCCAAGGCGGAGAAGCTCCATGCCCAGCGCCGGGACTCAGTTCAACGAGGCCACCTCTCCGCAACTCTCAGGACCTCCGCCATCCCAGCTTGATCGTCATCGTGCGTGGTCCTAATTTGTTCTATTGGATTGATGAATACAATGTACTAACCTCGATCACCAATTCTACCAGTAATTCTCCCTGGGTGTCATCCTCCTTCGATTACTCGATCGCCAATCGCCCACCATGCTATCAGCGCTTTCCTCCAGCGTCACCAATGTCCGCCAGACGGTCGCGCAAGTTTTGAACTTTGCGCTTGTTCTCTCCACGGCTTTCATGCTATGGAAAGGTCTTTCCGTCTTTTCGGCATCCAGCTCCCCGATTGTTGTGGTGTTGTCTGGATCGATGGAGCCAGCCTTCCAGCGCGGAGATCTGTTGTTTCTGTGGAACCGCAGCCCCCGAGCAGAAGTGGGCGAGGTCGTTGTGTACAATGTGCGCGGCAAGGACATTCCCATTGTGCACCGCGTCGTGCGGACCTTCCCCGAGGTGGAAGGCAGCGCGAAGAAAGTGAAGGAGATCACTGTGTACGTATAAGCCTGTTCATATTGAGGGAGATCCTTGCCCTGGCAATTTGTTTGAATGCTAACTGGATGATCTAGCGATTCGGCACCAACCTCCCACATGCTCTTGACCAAGGTATGATGTTGACTTGCCCCGTCCTTTTGTTTACCGTCAACTCACCACGGGTTTTCTAAGGGCGATAACAACCTTGCCGACGACACCGAACTTTATGCGCGGGGCCAGGACTATCTAAACCGCAAAGAAGACATCGTGGGTAGTGTGCGTGGGTATATCCCTATGGTGGGCTATGTTACAATCTTATTGAGCGAGCACCCTTGGCTGAAGTCGGTGATGCTGGGGCTGATGGGATTAATGGTTATGCTTCAGCGGGAATGATCGATATTCACCAAAATATGACTGATAAATTGGGGCCGTCGTTGGCGTGTTTTGGAGTGACCAGTGCTGTAGACCGAGTCCGGGATGTATTAGGTGCTCCTATCGATGGGTTTCTTGTGCTTCAGTGTTGCTGGTGGTCCTCGCCGATCCCATGTATACTCTGTGACCCAGAACGTCGCCGATGTAGTGCCGAGAGTCAGCATTTCACGATACTCGTGGGATTGAAGCAGGCGTAAAATCGGTGGACAAAAAGTAGCACTGATTAGACACTGGGCGGACTGAGGGGGGACCAGGACACTTGGAACTTCACAATTGCACATTCACGCGTCCAAAATTGTAGTTTCTTGAAAATCGTCAAGGTGTTGGAGAGATCTACAGAGTAGACCATCGCATCAACCGATCATTGACGTCTCTGCCCCACCGCACTTCTGGAGCTTCGAGCTTCAAGCTACCAGGCAACTGCCCTCTGCATCTTTGCTGTCCTCCCTTCCACACGATCTGCTTGGGTATCACCCCTCCCCAGATTCTTCTTTGCTGCATCGCAGACGCCCTTGTATGGACGCGTGTAGCACACTTCTTTTCACCCCCACCAACTCCCTGCACTCAACGCGCGCCCCGCCAAACTCGAAGTCAACACACAAAATGGGCAGCCAGAAGCGCATAGCCAAGGTAGCCATCTCTCTACTAAAGACATTATTTTGCGTGTCATCTCGCTGAACAACCGTGTTTCACAGGAACTGGCCGAACTCGTCGAGACCCCGCCGGAGGGCATCACCGTCGAACTAGCCGATGAATCCAACCTGTACGAATGGACGGTCCACATGGAAGGCCCCGATGGATCACCATATCATGTACGTGCTTTTCTATTATATCCTTCTCTTGCGCGGCCAAATCTTTTGTCGGGTCCAACCCAAGAGACACGGAGCAAAGCCACGGGCCTCCGAAGAAGGGGTCTCGCCAACCTCCATACTGGCTACAAGAAACCCTTAGATCTGACATTGACTGAACCACAGAAAGGAAAATTCCGGGTGAAGCTCTCCTCCCCACCGGATACCCATTCAAGCCGCCGGCAGTCTCGTTCGCAACGAAAATATACCATCCCAATGTGACAACCGACGAGAAGGGTAGTATGTGCTTAGGCATGCTCCGGCCGGATGAGTGGAAGCCCAGCTCCAAGATCTCGGCGGTTCTGCAATTTGCGCGCCAGCTGCTGGCGGAGCCTATGCCCGATGATGCCGTCGAGGGAAGGATCGCGGAACAATACAAGAATGACCGCAAACGTTTCGAGGAGATCGCGCGCGATTGGACTCGGCAATATGCGACCTCATAGCAGGGCTGGGGTGGGCGGGGGCGATGGGTTTGAGTTGCAAAGCTGAATGATGTGTATCTTGTAAACTCGGGGGGATTATGTACATCTGAACATGGCGTCCATGGCTTTTAATGTAGCCATCTCCCGACTTCCATGCGAAAAACTCAGAGCAAGCCAAGGATAACTCAGGTCCTTGTTTACTTGTCATGGATCAAATGGGGTTGTCTAATAGCATACATAAGATCTATCAAAATGCATCGTTTTCCTAACTTTACATGTAAATCTATAAGTAGCAGTCTGGAAATCCTCCATAGGTGGTTCCATGTAAGACCATATACTACATACCACCCACTTAGCCGGACCATCAAATGGCCTGGCCTGACTTTTGTCCTGAAAAGGCTTGAGTTTCTTCCAAAAGTCCTGTGTGTAGATCGCATGTACAGTTCTCTACCATAATGTACCGAAATACACTCAAAAAGGGTGCCAATAATCAAACCGATAGTCCAATGCTGGAGATGTTTTATTATGATGACTTCTATTCTTGTATAATGACAAAGTTATACCCCATGAACCCCCAATTTTATGACACTTGCCACATATTTAGTCGCCGTGCTGCACGATAGGGCTGATGGAGCTTGGGGGTGACTGCAAGGCACGAGCTAGAGGAGAAGACTCAATTAAGAGGCTGCATAAAACCGATTGATTCAAGTAAAATAAACTTCCAAGACCCTCAGCATCTTTTGCAGACCCCGACAAGGCTTGTGTGTGAATAAATAGAGGAAGGGGCCAAACACTGTTGGTGGAACCCCCAGACTCAAGTATAGACATTTTTTATTTCTTTTTAGTTTCCAATATTGTGCCTGCTGGCGATCATTAATGAGATCAGAAGTGGTACCACAAAAATTAGAGATGGCTCATTTATCCCTTCCTCTTGGACTATTTTGTCCAGCTTACTCCAGTTCTGCGGCGTGATTTGCATGATGCTCTCGTTGCGCCTAGCTATATCATTTGCCTGGTTGGGGGTGATCATCCTTGCGCTTACTGCATCTGTGACCCATACTCTACCGGCCCAAAGATACTCAAGCACCGAATCATTCGAAGATACCAACGACATAAAAAGAGGCCTCGGCTCGACAAGCCTCTGCAGCACGATGCACCAATCTTTTTGACAAGCACCTCGCGGCCTAAAGAAAGAGTTTCAAATGGAAGGAGCCCTTTACCTAAAATCATCATAAAGCCGCCGGCGAAGGCTCAACCGTCTATGTCATCGTTACGGGATTTTACACACCGATCCCGGAATATCAAACTCTACGCCATGAGCCCAGGTGGCTGTTCATGGAACCTGTGTTGTATCACTTATCGCTGGAGAAAAGTTCGGAGTTGCAAAAAACGCACTGCTGGTGATTGCCTAAATTCAGGTGTGTCAGTAGAGAAGGGGTTTCCCAATGAATTGTAGCGAAAGAAATACGACGACAATTTTCTCGAGGGCCTGGAACTCGTCTATCGCGATATCTTGGATACTCGGCTCGTCGACCTCGAGATCAGCGGGGAACCCTTCGTCAGTATGTCTGCCGGCAGGTAGACAGAATTCGTGGAGAGACTGTGGACTCCAGAAAACAGGGCACACTTCAAAGACCTCATGCAGAAGCTCGATAAAGTGGCCATGGTATACCTTTCTGCGGGGAATACTCATGACTGACCGGGGGGAATCTGATGAACTTGGTGAATACCCGCAGCTCTGGCACCAACAGCTCCCGCGAATGACACTGGTTGGCATGGCTGGTCAGTTGGGTCGCAGGAGTCTGATCTCCAAGGTGCCCCCCCCGAGGGATCTCTCTGGGAGATTGGTGAGGATGTTAAGTGTGCCGCTCCTCGTGGTGACCACCAGCATGCCCAGGTGCGTCGGGACGATATTTTTCAAACGACGATGACTGGAACTTCCGTGTCCACCCCCTTAGCGGCCGGGTTAGCTGCCTCCATGGCGGGCTTGCCCCCAAAGCCAAAAAAGTTCCCAACCCCCATGTCCGACTTTGATGGCTCTGCGACAGAACTACAATCTCTTATGCGAGAGTACTCAGTAGATTCGACCTGAGACGAGACAACATGAAACATTGCATCGCATGATCCGGACGAAAGAGATCGTTGGCCGGTACGTCTCATTTCCAGCCAGCCAGGGGATGTCTGTGACGACGAAGTGGAAGCTGAAGCTGGATGTGGATGTGTGATAATGTAAAAAGTCTCTGCTACAAGGATTTTTTCTCTGTATGCTTAATTGGAAAGAGCGGGCTCTTGATATTCTGGGGTAGATATAAACCTGTGTTTGTTTTTCACCATGTATATAATTTTTTTTTTGAAGAACCGTGTACTCAAGGACGAATCTGCTACGGGTTTAACTTCCCCAAAAAGTTCAAAATCAAATTTTTAGGTCAATCGCTTTCGCAATTCAGACTAATTCGTTTCGGGGGTGAGCTATCAACCCGCTAATGTATACCTAGTAATTAGTCATACCTAGCTTAGCCCTATTAAGGTGAACTGCAGAAATTTACTCCATCTTCATTTATTTCACACTATTCTCTTATTTCTTGCTGCAAGACCTGCTGCTACTCTTTACGTGGCCGGGATTCTTCTGTATGAATGTGGAGGATATGGACTAGACGAAGATGAATGATTGAAGAACTCGAAGGGAAAAAAAAGGAATAATAAAAATACTAAATTAATGCGTTTTGCTATGGAACACCGTTATCTTATTCATTTTTTTTTATCAAGCTGGAAAAAGCTTCAAGATGTATAGGCGAGCTTCGAAAGCAAATTCGAAAAAAAAGCAGCCGTCCATACTTGTGGACAGCAGTCCTAAAATTAGTTAGGCCCATGACTAACCATCTCGTATGGTTGACTACCAAGATAATATTTTTGACCGCTTCAATCCCCGCCTCATGCATCGCACGCCTCGATTGGAGGCATGTCAGCCAGTCAGAACACTAGAATTGAAACCCCATATCAAGTTGGTCAAGTGGAGCCCAATGCTGACCATCTGCCTCGGAGTATAGTAGTCAAAATATGCACTGTATACTCCTTGAGACTCCAGGGATAAGATAAAAGCCGGCGAGTAACAAAAGGAAACCAAAAAGGGGGAGGGGGAGCGGAGTAATACATCAAGCATGATAACAAGCGAACAAGAGCCTTCTGACTACCATGAGTACCATCTATAAGTAAGAAAATCCATGGATATGGTCTCCGTCTTCGAATATAATAGAACTCGTTTACGAGTCATAAGTGTCTCATCGATACCATCATATCTGACCTCACTAATAACGCAATCTACAAGATACTATCTCAAGCCCAGTCCACCAAGGAAATTAAGGCCCGTATTGGCCGTGACTCTATACAAATGAACGCGCAGATCTTACCACCTGAACGTCACCCTGATTTCAGCCATTTCTGCAGGAAAAGGCGCCCGTTGCCGATAGACCAACATTTCTTTCCACCGCGATTCCGATCGGCGGAGACGGGAACTTGCCATCATGACCTCTTTTCATGTCCACGTCAGCCTCCGTTACCGTTCATTGTCCTTTTCCTATGGAGACAGTGGGGTGGTTGCGTTTGGAGTACAAAGGGACCACCGCAGTTCAGCCCCCACTGTGGATGTATGTATCGCATCTTTGGGGGCTGGGGCCCCTTGGAGTTCTCATAAGGATATTGCCAATCCTGTACCACGATTTATCGCGTCATAATCTTGCCAGCCTGTAGACTGTGGAGTATTGCGAGTGAAGAGGAGGGTGTGGGGGTTATCCCAGGGGGAAGGAGGAATGGCAAAGGATTAGCAATTGTGTTGCCTGGTGCACAACCTGACTCGAGACACCCAATAAACCCAATAGCATTATCAGAAACACCCATGACACCGGTCATCGAACAAAAAAAGATTAGGCCATTCGGGTTGCCGAGTGACTGATACCATGGTGATCACAGTAATGTCATACATACATAAGGATGTGGTTCTTCGCAGGATTTGCGAGTCAGCTCACAGAAGCAAGGCTTCCTGCCCCCACTTGAGTTTCTAAGGCTGAAAGCCTAATGTGCATAGCATCATTTCTTGATATTATTCACGAAGTTCTGAGGGGCAAAATCACACAGTATAGCTCTTTTCGAAGCCTGATGGCATTTTACCTTGTAGAGTAAGAAGAACTGGACATTAGGTAGTTGCAACAATGTGGAAGGATTCGGCCGCTAGTCATGTTAGCAGAACTGGTCCCACTTGATCCACATCAAGGAACATGCACACCTTGTTCTGTTTTTCTTGAGCACAACGTGGGATTTCTGGTCTCAGTCGGGGCCCTTGGATTAGCCCTTAAAAAAGAAAAGAAAAGAAGAAATCCAACAATTCAACAAACCCACAAACCTACAGCTTTACAAAACAGCGCCCCCCCTTCCCAAGTCTTTCTAGAAGCTAGAATAGACTAATTTAGTGTACCAAAGATAAGCCCGAGAAGAACTGAGTCTCCAGGCTAAATAATCACCAGGGAATTTCTAAACGTGATGTTCAAACAATGTCTCAATGTTATCATAGCCCGCCTCCAAAACTACTGTACTATAGACCCCCACTTGAGAGTTTCAATTGGGAACATTGACATTGGTACTGGAGCGGGACACGCGGTAATTCCTTTCACTATCACATCATTATGCACATTATGCCCACAAGTATTACTCGCACGAACTCGGGTTGATAGACGATTATGCTAGATAACATGACGTAATATTTATACCTCCGAGGGCATGGTTGCATCGCGCAATCAATATGCATCAAGATGTGAAATATAATTCCTGGACGATAGTGAACATGCATAGATCAGGATATGATGAAATATACCACACATACACACACAAACACACACAAATCTCTTCTCTCTCTTCCACTCGAGCTACCCAATTTTGAACCCGGAAAGAAAGGGAAGGGAAAAGAAATTCTTACGATGTGCAAGACGTTAATTTCCCAAATCCCGATAAGAAAACAGGAATCTATGTTCCTCTTTGGGATGTTGTGAGTGTGGACCGTTGCTCCACAGAGATGACTGAACTGTGAGACCCTCATCTTCCAGGTTGGGGGCTATTAGGCGGAAATAACAATACCTTGCAGCTATACGGAGTAGTATATATTATTATTTCACTTCTAGGTGGATCTGTAGTGGAGACAACATATACACAGATGTATATGACTCGGTTGTGGGAAATTCACCCGTCGCTCAGCACAGGTAGTCATTGCTACTGTATTCAGTATTACGCAATTCAACGATTCCCAGAACTTATATCTAGACGAATAGATAAGAAACGCTTGCCCCATCCTGTATTAAAAGACCGTACAATATCCCACCAGCCCAAGCCCTCTTCTCTCACTCTCCGCGTTTCTACCCCAAAGACCCAATCCAAAGAAGCAAGCCCCCTCATCTTTATCTTAGCCTTGCTTCTCTCATTTACCATGCAGGCTCTCCTAGGACGGTTGCTCCTCTGCATGGCAATCTTTTTGTGCACCCTCTCCGCCCTCCCAACAGACCAGTCCTCGTCAGAGGTGGCCATTCGAGCAAGAGGCGATCTCGAAATCCTTGACACACTCGAAGATGCAACCGGAAAGGGGATTTTCAAAAGAGGACCGCCAACTGCCATGCTGTTTTCTGGCCCTGGATCAATGCTGGCTGTCATGGGCGCGGGTGTCTGTCTCCGAATTCAGTCTCCACCTGTCTGCATTGCATATGTGGCGGTAGTGACGGCAATCGCCCTGTCGGATATTGCAAAGAAGGAATTCTACTTTTGGACGGAAGAAAGGCATAATTGGGCGAAAGAGAGGAAACAACAGGACGCCACCTTGGACATTGCGAAAGCAACGAAGAAGAAACTGGAGGATGAAAAGGTCTTTCAACTGCAAAACATGATGCTGGATCAGAGTGACAAGAAGTTTACCGCTTGGAAAAACAAGCGGATCATGGAATCTCACGAGTGGAAGACCAAGTGGATCCCAAGGTGTGCCAGTGCAATTTACATCTCAGAGGGCTTTGACGATGAGTTCAAGTCCCTGGCCGAGCAAGCGGGAAAAAACATGACTCAATCCATCACTCTCGCCGATCGAATTACATCCAAGGACTTGAAATTGGACCTGGAGGACTGGCAAAAGTGGTTGAAGGGCGAGGAGGGCCATGCGACAGTAGAAGGGTGGAGAGATGTGAGGATCAAGACCGAAACGGCAATCATTAACCTGGAGAAAGGATTAAGAGGCTTCAAGAAGAAGGCCGACAAAGAGAAAGAAGATCTCCAAAAGCAAGTGCAGGATCTGACACCGATCCCCTATAAAGTGCCGGGCGCCTTCCCCGACGATGACGACGATAACCAGAACACCCGGCGAGCAGTTGGGTTTGACTTGCCAGAGCTGATCGGCGAGTTTAACGAAGATTGCGATAACCAAATGTGCCATCGAATGTGGTATTCCCGCTCTGTGATCAAACGACGGAAGCGAGACGGATCCCGGCCCATGATTATCCACAACATTTTCTCGACACCGCTCCATGTGGACTTCCACGCAGGGATCCTCCGACGACGCAATCCGCCGCCCATGCTGGACAACTGTGATCTGGAGCAAGAGGTGATTGGGGGTGATGACAAGAACAAGCCTCTGTTCTTTCGGCTGTCGTCGACGTTTGGCCGCGACTGGAAGAGTCTGGTCAAGATCGCCACCTCCAAAACCACCAAGGATGAACTCAAAGAGCAGCTGGAGAAGGGCCCCGCCAAAGACATGGCCGAAGGGAAGTCAGGATGTTTGAATATTGATACCGACGATGGCGGCGACCCGGCGCTCAAAACCGTTGCTATATTCACCCACGACGAGTCGATATACGATCAGGATCTCACAGATGAGTTCACGAAGTGTGAGGAGGTGAAGAAGAGTTCCTGAGGGACTTGTCGGATGACTGCCAAGTTTCTTATATTTCCATGGGGAACTTTTCTTCTTCTTCTTCTTCTTCTTCTTCTTCTTCTGTATGATAGCGATCTATATTTCATTAAGTTTTCGCCTTAGATGGATTCCATCAACTAGACTGCTAGATCCGAACGAAAAACAAAGCTAACTACATTCCAGTACGAGTATAATCTGCGGGTTGACCAATTTACCTTCAGGTCTGTCAAGAAAACACTTGTCTTTCTAACGCGGAAAGATAATGACATGCTCACTGTAGCTTTAGACCTGGACAGACCGGCGGATAACCTATATGGGTCAACCCACGGGTCAGCCTATGGGCGGGTCGTGGGTCAGACCTCTTGACCCGTCCCACGGGTCAATGGGTTAACCTATTTAACCCGTTTAGGTAGATACCTTACCTATTATACAAGATTTATAAAGTATATAGTTCTTAGCTATATTTTTAGCTATTGTATTTATTTTAGCTAAATCTAGATATTTAGGGCTTTTTATATCTTTTTATATATTTTTATATAGTAGATACCTTAAAAATAGGGTTTTATGAACCTCCCAGGACGGCCCCACTTCCAAGAACATTGAAGATATGTTAGGGGATTGGACCAAATTGTATCAATTAATGGTGCATCCTAGGTACAAGAAGGATTCGTTAAGAGGCATAAAGAAAAGGGGTTATGCGAAGGTTGGGGTTTCGCTAGGAGGAGGGTGGTCAGTTTCTGCCAGCGAGGCCTTTAGGTCGAGCTTCTTTGTTGTATAGGACTTCGTACGAAGGTCCCACAACCGATAGATCGGGGGACTTATCTTAATAGATTAAGTAATCTATATAAATATGTCGAGGGATATAAAGAACTAGATATATAAAAATACTCCTTTATATATATATTTAGTTCTTCGTGATTAATTATACATTATTACTTAGATACTACTTTTAGTTTTATATATAGTTTACCTTCGTAATAACCTATCCTACGAATAGAGGAGCTACTTTGGTATTAACCTATTTAGCGTATACTTAACTAGTACATCTTATTAATACTTAATAGGATCTATCTATATAAGGCCTAACGTAGTATCAGTACGATTAAGGACCGACTTAAGGCTCGTAGTTATCAAGAGAAATATCACCTTTAAGGATCAACTCACAGTGACCAGTTAGACACGCGTAACACAACAGCTAAAAATACTATGGGTCCGACTCAAGGGGACGGTTAGCTGCCTCGATCTGGTTTCGTTTCAGGGCTATTCCAAGTTCATCAAGATAGTCTATATAGCTACAGAGAACTTTTGCTCCTATGTAGAATCAAGCCTTCGATTGGTTGGTGGCTGTTGCTATCGAGATCTATTGCCTTGCCATCGCGATCGAAGCCGATAGTAAGGAACGTCAAATTCACGCATAGTAGCCGAGATATTTGGTTTTGATTGACTTGATAACGCGCAAAGAGCGATTAGGATTCGATTCTCGATAGTTTTAGACGATTCAGTCATGTTGGTTAGCGATAGCGAACGTGATAGAATAGGAGGGTTGATTTAGAAGAGAATTTTGCAAGTGAGTGGCGGACCCTCGCTATGCGAGGCCCGTAATAAATGTCAATTTATGAAAGGGCCGGTTAGACGTAAAGGATTCGCTTTTTGTTTTGAAGGATTGTCTCGTTATACTCGTTGTAGATTAGCTATGACGATCTTTTGTGTTTTGCCTTAACTAAGTTAGAAGTTAGTTTTATTAAAGTTATAGATATTTTTTGCCCTAATATCCTCTATTTATAGATAGCTTCTCTCGATTAGTTTTTATTCTATTCGCTATTATAGGTCTAATAAAAGATATCCGATAAAACGATATATCTAGTTCTTCAAAATATATAACGACGCGTTGTCTATAGCGTTCTGTTGTAAATTCTAATTTACGTAGTCTTTAATTATACTAATTATAAATGAAACATAGAGAATCAAGATATCGAATCCAGCGAATAACTACTTTTTCTTATAAATCGTTAAGTATTTTGTTAGTAAGAGTAGTAGCTATTCTTAATAGACAACAATAAATTCGTGCGAAGGCGACCGTAAGGAATATCGAATTTACGCGCAAATTCAGCGATTTTTGGGACTCTTTCGTATTTCGCTATTTCGTATATCTTATTAAGGCGATTTTCGATATTTTCGTTAAATTTTAGTATATAAGTAGTTATATAGTTATTAAAGAAGATGAATAAAGAGGGAAATTTTCGTATCGGTGTGGAGGACCAATACATAGCTGAAAATGCTATGGGTCCGACTCGAGGGGACGGCTACTATTGAGAGATCAAGCGGATCCCCCTGGCCTGTTTTCTGTTACCTTCCTAATATAGTGTCGGCTGCGCGAGCTGGAGGATTTGGGTATTCCCCTGGCACTTCCTGGTTTCAGGGGCATACGATTAGGGAGCAGGTGACAATCATTCGACCAACGCCTGGGCTGAACATATAAAGTCGAACAGAAAACAAAAAGCAAAAGTGATTTTCTGTTCATCATTTCACTCGCTGTCGTAGCATCGCAGCCCTTGCTCATCTATCCTAGCCTTTCACCCACTGGACACGCCTGCGCCTACGATGCTTCGATTGTGGCTAAGGATCTACCTAGTCCTTTGCAATGTGGTGATCCTCTCCCTCGTCGTTCACGCGGGCCCTTTAGCACCCCGAAGGGCAGTGTCGCTTCCCACCGAATCCTCGGACACGAACCTTGTCCTCGACTATGCCCAACATCATCCCTCGCGTCGCAAGCGTAAGCTCGAAGCGAGGATCAATATATCTGGCTTTTTGAACGATGCCAAAAGGATTGCGGCCGGTCTTCCCCAGCAAGCCCAAGCACAGGCCAAGCAAGCGGTTCAAAAACTAGGCGAAGACTTGGAGAGCAAAAAGCCGGCTCTCCAAGAAGCCTCAAAGAAGGTGCTGAACACCCTTGATATCGCTGGCAAATCTGCAGGCTTGGTAGTGGCATTGACCGCCGCCCATCTGGTCAAGCTGGAGGAGACAACGGACCAAGGGAAGCAAGCCGATGGTCTCAAAACATTCGACGCCGTTTTGGATCGTCATGCCGAAGCCTTCAAGACCTTGCAATCCTTGGAACCCAAGCTCTTACGTCAAATTAAAAAAACGATCTCGGATACCGAGGATATTATTACAGATGGGAGCACCATGACGACTCAGCAACGAGACCGGCTTCTCGACGAGTACGAAGCCGGAGTTGAGCAGAACTTGAAAAGCTTTGAGAGTGCCCGTGAAGAAATCTATAAGGATCTTCTCGAGGCTAAGTTGGTTTCAGGTCCTCCAATCAAAATCGAAGACGCAATGACACTTGACACTCGTGTGGATCTTCGAAAAGCTAGAGAAATCGCCCGCTATCTAGTGAGGTGGGAGCGAGGGGACAAAGGGTCGAATGCGTATACCGTCTCAGATGCCCTCTGTCAGCTCCTTAATATAATTCCGGTCTCCCAATCGCAGATGATTGAAGAAGTCAATACCGATGCAGAGTACTTGGCAACGACACAAGCTAAATATTTCAGGATTTTCATGGAGTATATGCCAACCAGCATCGCCGAAAAAGTTCTCCCAGAATATGCTCAAAAGCACCACCTGACGGCTTTGGGGAGGAGGGCTCACGAGCGGAAAGTTTTCAAAGCCGTGAGTTATGAAGAGATTGAAACCCTCAAGCGCGAGGTTAACGACCTCCTCGACGAAGCCGACAACTTCGTGCAAGTCCACGTTTCAAATGCTTTGACAAAGGGTGCAATCAGCGAGGAAACCCGAAATCAACTGATGAGAGTTTGGGATCGTTCCGTTGATCGTAGGATCACAACGGCCACAAGCGCCGTGCATAGGATCATCACAACTCTCCGGGGCGCGAAGTTCATTGATACTCTCCCTACCGATAACGAGTTTTACGAGGAGGTTGGGGCTACTCCGAAATTGCCTAATCAATGTTCCGTGGAATCCTGGAATAATGCTCGTAACTGCTACTCCTTGCTTAAGGACTGGAGAGCGGGAGAAAAGGGTCTTGACGGGAAGCCGGTGACGAAAGATTCTGCAAATTCTCAAATAAGATCGATACTGGGGGTCATGTGAGAAATCTGGTCAAGGGGATAAGAGGCAGGAGAAGAACTCAGCAAGTAGATCAATGAGTGAGCGTCAAACAGGAGAGAGTGCCGCTCATCTACTACGTTTTACTTTCTTCCTTATGAGACATTTGAACGGCTGTACGTTATATCCGTTTCGCATACAATTCTTGACTCCATCATGAACAATAGATCTGATCCAGTGGCCATTTCATCGAGCATTCACTTATATCACTTTACTCAACAGTGCCTCTTCCCTATTTTCTCTTTGTTTTCAAGAAAAGTAGTTAAAGTCTTTATTTAGTAGATTTATATATAATACTTTTTTAATACTTTTTCAAAATTTTCAAAATTATAATCATATACATTTTTGGTTCTAAAAGTGATAAAAAAACAAGTTAATGCGAAAATAGTCATGTGATAGAGGAAATGCGTTTGTGGTCTATCTCGACCCCTAAATCCAGCACTCATCACACGCCTTATTTCAATATTTTATAGCCCTTTATCGCTTATTTTCTTGTATATTATTTGAAAATAAAGTCTAATTATATTAATAATTCTGACTCTATACTGTTTATAGTAGTAATAAATCTTTTTATTATAATTAAAAGTGTGAAAAAAAAAGATGATGATAATTTGCTTATATCAGAAAATGTTGTGCCAATAGCGGAAAACCTGTTGTGTCCCTATCAATAGCCGTCATTTTCTAATTGTCAGGAACCGCCCCTGGGAACCTGCCAAACTGGATTGATTGTACATTGGATCGTGTACAACCCTGGCCCTTGGTCCCGGGCTTACTGTTACGCCTTATGCCGATTGACTTATTTTTCTTTTTCTTCCTTTTCTTTGGGGCCTGTCAAGCCAGGTTTCCCTGATCAACTGTTGATATCGGTAAAAATAAAACTGAAAAGTCAATAAGCCCCTTACCACATCTTTATCCTACCTAGGTACGCTATATCGATTTATTCTACATGTCCACGGGTCGGTATAGATTTCGGAATGACACAGATAACGGATTGTTCCCATGGCAGGCCCGAGGCACGGGGCGCACGGGAAAGGGGAAAAAACAGTCAGCATATCTATCTCTCCCCCAATAAGAGGGAGCGATGAATGGATTGATTATTTGAAAAATTAGATTGAAAATCCTTTCATTGATAGCGTGCAGTGACGGGCTCTTATAAAGAGGACTGATTTTGGCGTTGTGTTTATTCCATTCCATTTCTTCCCTTCTTCAGGGATGAGGACACATTCAATACATGCAATGGTCTGCTTCAATCATCAATCCCACAAATGGGGGGTTTTGGCGGCGTTTTTGGCTTTGCTTCTGTCGGGCGTACAGGCAGTTGCTATCCAAGCCCGAGATGACCGGCCCTACTGGATGACAAGATCAAACGCTGGTGAGCCGGTTCTTCGCACCTCCTACACAACTATCATTCTAATTAGTTGCACTAGAAATAAACACCGAATACAGGGGTCTTGAACAAGGAGCAGAGCTGGAGAATCCCCCCCGCTGGATGTCATACAACGATGTCATGTGGTGGGATAATCACTTTGCCAGAATGAAAACTTACATAGGAAAGTACCCAGTAAGCCAGGGCGACGAGTTTGATGAGTCGACATTGCCGGCATTCATGGAGAGACATCCCTATCTCAACGCGGCTCCATTGCCAACGTTCGACGGCGAATCCGGACGCTACATCGCGTCGGCGGTATGGCCCCTTTTTGCGAAGATGCCCTGGAGACATGCACAACTGACATGGCTTAGTCGCCATTGTGGCGTGGTGGAGGGATGAAAACTTTGTGGTGGGATATGATCCAGCAGCAGACCTCAGACAACGCGGTGATCATTAGCTTAATGGAGCGAAACGAGGAGCCGGACCCCGACTATATCCGCGAAACAACCGACACGCTGATCCCTCCCAACGAAGCGAATCCCACAGTCGCGTACGAGTTGGAGGCAAACGGAGACGAAACCTGCAACGTGAAATACACCGTGTCGTTAGTGAGCAGCGAATCGCCCATTAAGAACGTCCTCGAGTATCGACAACTTCGTCTGCAGTATCGAGGCCAATCCCGCAATCTTCACTACATCCACTACCCGGGGTGGGCAAACGAACAAGGTATCGGCAACCAAAATATGAAGGCTTTGATCGATCTGGTCAACAAGAAGCAAGGCGGTACAAATCCCATGGTGGTGAGCTGTCTGAGAGGCAAGGGCCGGACTGGGACCTTCATTGAGGCCCGGGAGACATGGAACCTGGCAATGGCCGCAGCCAAAAAGCACAAGAACTGGCTGGCAGAGCAAAAGCAGTCTCCATTCCTCACTTACACCAAGGCAATGCGGAAAATTCGCTCTGGGATGGTTGATAGCTCAAGTCAGTATCGATTCTTGAAATCTTGGGCCCAATTCGTCTGGGATGAGGTGCAAAAGATCTTGGATGAAAATTGAATGGGCAACATGAAGGGGAAAGACACACATAGACAATATATATAGAGGTGTTTCGGCGCAAGCGACGGGTCCCTAGTGGTCTGAAATTTTTCGACATTGAACCACTATGATGAGATCCACGGTGCAAATGCTGATGAATTAATACTGATAAAATTGAGAGGGGCATATACAATGCCCGTATTTGATTGCTTACCAGGAAGGCGATCGAGAGGACCGGAATGCCCTCAAAAGTTGATTCCTCAGGCATAAAAGAGTCCCGTGACCGGCATATCGCCATCTGCCGCTAAACCAGATTGGTACTGCTGCCATCATCGCCGCGCCTGACTTGGCCCAACATCGTGAGAAACAACTCGCACCCCATCCCTCCGTTTCTTTCGCCCACGTCCCATTACCCCATAGTCTTGACAAAGCGACCAAAATCCTCGGGTGGCAGCTTCTGCCTATCTTCTCGGCACTCACTGAGCTGAACCTGCGCAGGTGAACCCACCACATCTCTGCCTGGTCACTGATTCATTACGAAGTACAACGACGACTTGAGACCGCGATCGCGTTGATTTTACTCTGCCTCTCTCATCTCAACCATGTCCGAGCCAGCGAGTGCAAATGCCCCGAAGCCGAGCAGCAGCGTCAAGCTCGTGCTGCTGGGCGAGGCTGCGGTGGGCAAGGTACGTCCGTACTCTTTTAGCCAAGCACAAGTCGATTGCTGACCATGGAACTATTTTGTCTCCAGTCGTCGCTCGTCCTTCGGTTTGTCAACAACGATTTCCAGGAGAACAAGGAACCAACGATTGGCGGTAAGACAATCTGTCCATCTCTCTACCCCGATAGTCACATTCTATCGCCCTCCAAAGATGCGCAATGAAACATCCGCCTTCACCAGCGACCTAGCTCGAGAATGACATGCTAAATATATATCTCTCCTAGCTGCGTTCTTGACGCAAAAATGCTCTCTTCCTACACGCACGATCAAGTTTGAGATCTGGGATACGGCCGGACAAGAGCGATTCGCCTCACTTGCCCCAATGTATTACCGCAATGCTCAAGCCGCACTTGTGGTTTACGACGTCACCAAACCCTCGTCACTGACGAAAGCGAAGCACTGGGTTGCCGAACTTCAACGCCAAGCGAGCCCTGGGATTGTGATCGCCCTCGTCGGCAACAAGCTGGACTTGACCAACGACAGTGGTGATGCGTCCGAGAGTGCTGCAACTGAAAACGAGTTTGAGTCGACACCAAACGCAGACGAGGCTGCTGGGGAGGAGGGTGAGGAACAGGATGTCACACCCGGCGATGCGCGCAAAGTACCGACGCGGGAGGCGAACACCTATGCGGAAGAAGAGGGACTGCTGTTTTTCGAGACCAGTGCAAAGACTGGCACGAATGTGGTGGACGTCTTTACTGCTATTGCGAATGCAATTCCCGAAAGCAGTTTGAAGACTGGCCGGGGCACCGGGGCAGGAACAGGCCAGACTGCGTTGAGCGGTCGATCGGAGGACTCACGGGTCAACCTGGGAGACCGGAACGCGGCGACCGCCAAGGAAGGCTGTGCCTGTTGATTTGCAATTTATGTGGCTTCTGGCCTCCACCATGCTTTGTTTTCAGTTGTTTTGCGTCGCTCCTGCGATTGGCGACTTGTGCTGCTATAGTCTATGCTGCTTCACTTCCCTCGCTCTCCAGTTTCCGAGGAGTGTTATATTTTGATTTCTAGACTGTATACATCCTCATGGACTACGGAACGTTCACAATGCTCTCAAAGAAAAACGAATCTTCAATTATACCTAGTAGGGGCTTGCCTTCCGAGATAGGCAATTCCATATTAAACCCACGGACCAATCGAAAGCGGCCGAGGGCATGGGGGTCACGGGACCACGCTAACCCCGAACGGGCCCAAGCGCGCCCTAAGCGAAAATGTCGATCCCACAGCAAATTCCCGTCGGTTTCTGACTGCGAGATAACCTCCCCTCCGCCGACATCACCACCAGCACTTCTGCAGCACCCGTCGCTCGCAATCATGGCTGCCATCAACAAGATTGCCCTCAACTCGCCGTCCCGGCAGAACCCCTCCGAGCTGGAGACCGCGGTCGCCGGCGCTCTTTTCGACCTCGAGAGCAACACACAGGACCTGAAGGCCACTCTCCGCCCCCTGCAGTTCGTCTCTGCCCGTGAGGTAAGAATTGCCGTGATTGCTTCGCCACAGGGATTTTCTTTTGGGATGGTGTCTGGGGAATTTGCCGTTGGCGAGGAACGAATCTCGATTGCAGAAGCAGTTTGCGTGGGGACTGGATGGATGCCAATTCCTCCGTGCGCGGCAGATATCATTGTTGATATCGAAGGAGATGTTCCTAGCAATTGAGATTGCTACTCGCACCACAGCCCAGACGCTGTCCCGAGAGACAGTCTTTTTTTTCTCTGTGTGGATGTCTTTTGAGCGGAACCAAGTCTGACTTCTTTCTTCTACACTCTAGGTCGAGGTCGGCCACGGCAAGAAGGCCATCATCGTCTTCGTCCCCGTCCCCCTCTTGCAGGGCTTCCACAAGATCCAGCAGCGGTAAGGGCGAAACCCACTCTTGCCCATCACCTATGACGGGAGAAAAAGAAAATATAGACACCTAGGAATCTGAACTGACATGTCGACACGATAATTAGTCTGACCCGCGAGCTGGAGAAGAAGTTCTCGGACCGCCACGTCCTCTTCGTTGCCCAGCGCCGCATCCTGCCCCGCCCCAAGCGCTCGGTCAACTCGCGCACCAACCAGAACCAGAAGCGCCCCCGTTCGCGGACTCTGACCGCCGTCCACGACTCTATCCTCACCGACCTGGTCTACCCCGTCGAGATCGTCGGCAAGCGCATCCGCACCAAGGAGGACGGCAGCAAGACCCTCAAGGTCATCCTGGACGAGAAGGAGCGTGGTGGTGTTGACCACCGTCTCGACGCCTACGGCGAGGTCTACCGTCGTCTAACCGGCCGCGCCGTTGTGTTCGAGTTCCCCCAGGGCGGCGCCGAGTACTAGGCTTCTGGTGTGCTTGTTTTTTGTGACCGTGTTGCGGGAGGGCCAGATGTCGGTGTCAAACGTGGGGTTCGCCCATATAAGCGGGTGAACAAAGAGAACGAACCAAAAACAGGAATAAAATTTTTTTTTGCATATTGACGGGTTTCTTTTTCTTTTTCTTTGTCTCTTTTGATGACCCCTCCAATTGACTGGTGCATGGTTTATTCCTTCGGTTCTCGCAATTTCTGGGTGAGGCGACGGAGCTGATGTCCATCCCGGCTGTGATTTCTGTCTAATGAGGATGGGATGGGATATGTGATAACTATTCCAATTGAACAATTCCGACTTTCAGTGTTGTATTTGAAGTAGTGGTATTCGACGAAACCACCGGTATATCAGATCGACACTATTTCCAGTCCTTAGCTAGCTAAAGACGCTAGAATTGTATAATGTAGACGCATACAAAGCCAAGATCAAAAAGTGAAAAAGCCGGGGTATGAACAAAGAGCATGCAAGAGCACAACACAAACCATCTACAGTGAAGCCTGGATCCTCCCAACCCCCAGAACCATCCAATACGCCAACTCACGACTGACCAGATCATCCGGCTTCGACCCCTTGCCCAAATTCTGCTGCTCGAGTTGTGCCTCCGCATCCCACTCCATATGCACGAAGACAGGGATCTCCAGGACATCTTCGTCCTGCCGCGAGGCTAGGGCGTCATCACCACCACTGGTACTATTTCCATCGTCAGCCTCGGCACCTGCACCTGGCATCATAGGTTGGGTCCCAGGTAGGATCCCCGGGATGACTTCCAGAACCACAGTCGTCCAGTTCCGGCCCTTATCCCACACCTTGCCGGCCTCTGCGACCTTTTCAGATGTCCCGCGCAGTGCAGCCGAGCGAGGATCTCCAGCCAGCGGCGCGGATGCCCCCTGTAAGGCCTCATCCCACACGTCACTGTTGGCGCCGATGTCAAATTGCGGACAGAGAACCGTTACCTTGGAAGCGACGCGGCCGGGCGTGACTGACGGGGTCGCGAGGGTGATGCGGACGGGGTCAAACATGTGGTTCTTCAGCGTAAGGAGCACATGGATGGGGCGGAGAGGGGCGAGCGCATTCAAGTCAGGGGGCGGGATGGCGGCAGAGATCAAGGACGAGGAAGAAGAAAGAGTGAGCGGCCGGAGGGTCGGCAGCGGGATGTAGCTGAGGGCGATGAGACGGATCCGGAACCGCGTGGATTGCGGCTTAGTCTCGGGCTTGACGAGGATGTGCTTGCACAATTTGCAGCGTTTGGCGCGCTTGGTGCGTAGCAGGACCGGGAGAGGGAGCAGATCGTCTGTGAAACGCACGTCTGGCGACTGCGCAGCGCGTTGCTCGGCCGATGCGACGCCGTCCCAGCCACAGTCGGGCGAGGCGAGGCGCTCAATCACGGCGACTTCGGCATTTTCGGGAGCAACGCGCAAGCCTTCGCTAGTTGTTAGGGCTTCACGCATGACCGGGAGCTTGGATTTGGGCTTCTTGCTGCCGCCATAGAGCCCTGCGAGACGGGATGAAGAGGCATAAAGGGACATGAGGCGGTTCAGGGCCCCAGGGGACGAGAACCCAAAATCCGAACTGAGCGGGTCGCTGGGCGAGTTGGACGTCTCGTTAATCTGCGTGCGGTAGAAAGATTTCAGAGCGGCGAATCGCGCCTCGGCGCCCAGGGGAGCCGTGGCTGTCTCTTGGCCTGCAGATTGCTCTCCATCGCCCTCACCAGGGTTCGCTTGCTCGTCGATCGAGGCATAGCTAGACAAGGGTGATTTCAAATCCCCAAAGGTTCGAGACGCCTGACGTGATCGGGTGTCAAAAGTAGGTGCAGGATTACTCGAGTCGGTCATCTTCTGCAGCTGGCTGCGGATATTGGTCGGTTTATCGAACTTGATGCCGACATCCAACGTCGTCCATAGACAGTACCCGCAGGAAAGGACCCAAGGCCCCTGTTGACTTCCATTCCCTGTCATATTCTCAATGGTACTCACGGCTAGCGGGGCCGTGCAGACGGGGCAGTTAAAACAATTTCGGCCGCATCTGAGGATTCGCCGGTCAGAATGTCCATAGATTAGAACGGCGAATTCATGACACATACCGATTGCCGTCACTCTTTACCATACTACTGGGTGTCTCAAACAAGCAATTTGGACAATACCAGCTCACGATCTCCTCCGTAATGCATCGGGGACATTTTATTTGGTGGCATTCTTCGCAGTAGAGGAGCTGCTCGGGGGGGAACAGCGAGAAATTGGACCGTGGCGATCGAGGGTCAAATGTCTGTTCTTCCTCTTCCTCTGCCTCCACCTGATTACTCCCTTGGGCTATGTGTTTCTTGTCTTCGTCAGACGCGCTCGTTCGCTCGGGTGTGGGTTTCTGCGGTGACTCTCTCGATCTTCGCTTCCTGGCCGGGTCGGGGACCGGAGTGTCCGCGCAAGGACAGGAGATGTAAGTGTATGGAAATGGACGCGACATTTCTGTAAGGTCTAAAGCCCGAGATATGCAATGAAGGCGCAATTAGTTGATATGGGAATGAGTCTCCGTCAATTCATGCTTCGTTTCCGCGGGGTTCGATGGTGGGAGAAGGGAGCGCAATCCCAGGGGTAAGTCTCGTAGCGGAGAATTAGAAGATAGAAATCTGTTTCAAGCACAGTTAGTCCGTATACTCGGGGTTCCATTTCTGTCCCTTCGTCCAGCGGCGAGTCGTGGCAGACAAAGACGTGTCGAGGCACGAGGACGTACCATAGAGGTAGCAATTGCAGTAGCCACTGTTACTACTCAAATGAAATACGTACAGGCGATCAAGGGGATCTCTGTCAGAGAGATAGAGCCCGACACGGTTCAATGGGCGCAATGGAGGTCCCACGTCTCGCGGAGAGGGAGCTGCGGAGGTTCCGCATCAACAATCGACGTCAGAACAGAATTTACCACACCAGCAACCTTCGCCTCTAACTTTCCACCACGCAAAAATGGCCTAAAACACCCTCGACTCCATATCGAGGGAGATTATTGTTTAGGCTCTCATCACCATGTTTTCTCTCCAAACCATTCGCACGAGCCTCCCCCGGCGAGGCCTTGCCGTGGCGTCCCCGATCCGGGCGTACGCCAGCCAAACCCCCGGCAACCCCATGCTGGAGATCTTCAACCGACAGACAAAACACCTACAAAAGGACCGGGCAGCACGGAATGTTGAGGAGAGCCGGAAGGTCGATTATCTGAAAGACGAGGTTGCATTGCGGCTATGTGAGCGGTTATTTGTGAGCAGGCCAGCAAAGCAAGGGCAATGAGTTTACAAGAAACCGGAACAGAGTTACTGACGGGGGCATTGTGCTCTGCAATGACTAGGACATCAAACGCGATTTCTCGAATGCACTCGATCTCGGCGCGAACAGCTGCAACATCGCGCGCGCACTCACAACACCCAATATCGACCCGGCAGCGCCGGAGGGTACATTGACACCCCCGCTAGCGGAGCGCATATCGAAGTTGACATGCGTGGACACGTCGCGTGCGCTGCTACACCGGGACGATGACCTGCCGTTCAATAATGAGATCGACATCCAGCGGGACGTGATTCCAAATCTGGAGGCGTTGCCATACGCGCCCAACAGCTTCGACGCAGTGCTGTCGTCGCTATCGATCCACTGGATCAACGACCTGCCGTCGCTCCTAGAGCAAGTCAACATGATGCTGAAGCCAGACTGTCCGTTCATTGCGGCCATGTTCGGCGGCGACACGCTCTTCGAGCTGCGTGGGTCGATGCAGCTGGCGGATATGGAACGGCGCGGTGGCGTCAGCCCGCATGTGTCGCCGCTGGCTGATGTGCGGGATGTGGGGAGTCTTTTGACCCGTGCCGGGTTCAAGATGCTCACTGTTGATGTTGAGGATATTGTGGTCGAGTTCCCGGATACGTTTGCTCTGATGCAGGACTTGCAGGCGATGGGTGAGAGCAATGCCATCATGCACCGTGAGGCTGGCCCGTTGTCGCGCGATGTCTTACTGGCTACTGATGCGATCTACCGCTCCCTCCATATGGAGGAGGGCGCACGCGGTATTCCCGCAACTTTCCGGTTGATTTATATGATCGGTTGGAAGGAAGGGAAGGGCCAGGCGCAGCCATTGCAGCGCGGAAGTGGTGATATGAATCTGAAGGATCTCCTCGGTGGCGGTGATTTTGAGAGGCCATAAACCGTGGCACTACACCGGCCGAAAATAGATGGGGACAAGACGGGGACTATGTCACAATATATCAATGTAAACTACGCTGAAAGCGCCACAGGAGAGATACAACCCATAGCAGAAATGTATGGAATACAATCAAGCCTCTACCAAGACGACGAACAAGAAAAAGAAAAAGTTCGAGTTGTGGTCCTCATTTAAACCGTCCGGCGGTCCGTCATGACCCGCACAATCGACCCAGTCCCTGTCACCTCAACCAACTTCTCGTGCCAATTCAGCAACACGCTCATCTGCTGACCACCGCCGCCTTCGCCCAAGTTACGGGCCTGGATCTGCGAGAAGCCCGTGTTCTGCGGCGAAACGGACTTGCGCGGCGACTGGGCGCCGCTACTGGGGGCAGGCGAGGACATTCCTTTGTATCTGCAATAAAATAAAATAATAATTAGCCCGAGTCGTTGATCGCCACCGGGGTCTGAAAGTATTGAGTGAAAGCACAACGTACAGATACTTCATCAAGCAGTCTGCCCGCTCTGCCCCGCTATTCCCGCCACATACTCCCTCCAGAATGCGGGTCATCTCGCCCTGCCGGATCCCCTGCAGCACCTCCACCACGGTAGCCAGGTGCACCTCCCTTGCGCGGTCGTCGCCGCCCAGCGGCGCGGTGTCCAGGGCGTGCCGGAGGGCGCCCTCGGGATCACCGCCGCGCAGCAGCTGGCGGACTTGCGTCGCGACGTTGGCGGCATCACTCGAGGTCTCGGGTTGGGGCAGCGTGCCGGGGAGGAGGGTTTCCATGGGGAAGTTGCTCGAGGACTCCGGGTCGAGGAGGTCGATGTTGATGGTGCGGTAGTTGAGTTGCGACATGGTGGGCAAGGTGTGCGCTGTGGCGTGCGGGGGAACAGCAGAATCGAATAATTGAAATGGCTCAAGTGAGTTATTTGGGTTGATGATCCAGTCGAAAGCTCCCTTATCGAGAATGGGCTCCGGGGCTAGTTGGCTGTTGGGCGTGATCTGTTCGGAATTGTTGATGCAGTGGGCGGGAAGTGGGCTTTGGGGGGGATGTGCGGAGAGATATTCAACAGTGCGGGGATGGGGGAATATGAGAGAAAAGGCCGAGTCCTGGAAGAAAAAGACAAAGTCGCTGGGATCGAGGGGAGATGGCAGGTAACCGTGAGGCGATGCAGTGCGTCGGGGGAGAGCTGGGGAGGTGGGGCTGGTGGCCTGAGGCAGAAAGCACAACTAACTAGTTGATCTATGAAATGCCGGAAGCGCTGCTATTTTGTTAAAATGTGTGCTCATTCGATGAGCATTTTTGTAAGTGCCAGGTTATATCAAAGGCTTTACAGCACATTATTCAAGACTAGGTGGTTTAGAGGTTCAATGCCTAATCAAGGTACTAGATGACAGTGGTGCTCATTAGAAAAGGCAGCAATTCCGAGATTAACAATAGCTGGGCAGTTCTGCTAAACCATGGCCAATTAGTTTAGGTTTTCTGCAGTCGACCCAAGGGTATTTTGAGCTCTTGGGTCTTGTATTGCTATTTCCACCTTTGCACAATTTGGTAGTGGTAGACCGAAAGGGACCCACCTTGTACAAATCTAGATGAAGTCTTGTAGCATTCAGTCTTGTGAATCGCCCACTCACATATTATGGAACAAAGCATCAATTCAGGTACCCATAGGCAGAGGATAGGCAGAGGGTCGGGACTTGATCTATCCTGGAAGCAGAATGTCTAAGGGAAGGACCAAATTACGGAGACTACTAGGCGGCAATGAGGCCAAAACGTTCCTCTTCTTTACATGGGCAGCAAAATTAATATCTCTACTTAAGCATATCAATTCAGATTCCTTTATTTTATGTGCATATTATTCGTAACAATGCTTATGTACAGGGGGTATCAACATCAACTATCATCACAAGGGGTTGTATATATCTAGTACCCCTAGGGAGAAACTGTCACAGTAATAGGAGGAACCGCCACAGGAGGCGGTGTGGTAGGGCGTTCAGGAGTTTTCGAAGCATGGACCGCGTGCGAGGATGGCGCTTCTTCATCCTGCCCCCGCTTCAAGAAAGCATCATCCTCCGAGCGCCGAATGGGGGAGTCATCATTATCATCCTCCTTCGACCCGCGCGAGGAAAGAATCCGACGGGTGAACCGCGTCACCGGCTCAAAGAGAGCCTTGAGACCACGACCACAGACTTGAAACCCTTTCAGCAGAGGCCGCAGCACAAACGCCAAACCACCAACAACGGCATTAAAGACGACACCGAAATGGCGATCAGGGATCATGCGCAGGACAACCGCCCAGGGAAGACAGGCAACAGCACAGATGAGACAAACCCCCCACTGGAGGCCGCTCAACCGGGTCACGCCAAAGGCCTTGCCGCCCACATACACGATCATGACCTGGCCGCCGACCATGATGGCATTGATGCCCAGGAACCAGTAGTTGCGGAACATTCCCTCGAAGATATTGAAGCGGTTGTCGAGGCGGCGGTTGTTGAACTCGTTGAAGATCTGCATCCATACAAAGGTGTTAAACACGATGGTGGCTAGTTGGGTCTGGCGGAGTGTGGGGTCGTTGGTGGCGAGGTGTGAGCCCAGCAGTTTGTCGCCGGCGAAGTAGAGCATAAAGGTTACGGCGAGTTGGTATACCGCTTGTCCGAGAATCATTTTCCACATTGTTAGGGTGAATAGAGAGGCCCGTTTGGGGACAGGTTTGCGGTCGAGGATTTTCTCTGTGGGGGCGTCGGTGGCTCTGGGATGTGTTAGCGAGGGATCAAAGAGAGAAGAGAAGAAAAGTAGAATGCAAAGACAGGAGGCAGGAAGTCTTACAAGGCTAGTGCTGCAAAGGTGTCCATGATCAGATTCACCCACAGCAGCTGCACAGCATTCAAGACACTGCTACCCTCGCTGCTGTAAACCGACGACACGAAGGTCAGCACCACAGCCGTGATGTTGACAGTGATCTGGAACTGAAGAAACTTGGCCACGGCATCATTAACCGCCCGTCCCCAGGAAATAGCAGTGACAATGGACCGGAAGTTATCATCCAGAAGAATGATCGAGCTCGCCTCCTTGGCAACTTCGGTACCAGCGATGCCCATAGAAAAGCCAACGTCGGCAGTGCGCAAAGCCGGACCATCGTTGGTGCCATCGCCCGTGACTGCCACGGTTTCCCCAAGAATCTTGAGCCGCTCGACCAAGATCCGTTTATCCTCTGGAGACGACCGCGCCAGAACCTGCAGACGCGGAATCACCTTATCCATGTCTTCATCGGCCAGTTGCCGGAACTTGGGCCCTTCCATGACCAGACCGTCTGCGGTCTTGATGCCGCATGACGATGCAATCGCGGTGGCTGTGGCGATGTTGTCGCCGGTCACCATTTTCACCTGGACGCCGGCTGAGTGGCACTTGCGGATGGCTGGCGGCACTTCCGGGCGAAGAGGGTCCTGAATGCCCACAACCCCGACCCAGGTCATGTCCCGAAAGATATCGTCGAACTCAGCCGCGGAAGAGTCATCTTCCAACTTTTGCGCCTCGGTCGGCGGCCACGTCGCAAAGTCTTTGTAGACCATCCCAATCGTCCGAAGAGATCCTTGGGCATACCGATCGATTGTCTCCAGGATGTGTTGTCGCTCTTTTTCAGAAAGCTGTTGCGTAGCGAGTCTGTCATTGGATAGATCAATGTCCATAATTCGTGTCGTGCAGGCATCAACCATCAGCTCGGCTGCTCCCTTGACAAGGAGACGGTAGCCAGCACCAGGATTGCGATAGACAATGCCCATACACTTGCGAGAAGAGTCAAACGGAATCAACTGCTTGATCTCCGCAGAGCCTCGTTCCGAGACGAGGTCCATGCCCAGATAATCCTGAGCCAGCTGAAGGAGAGCAACCTCGGTCTTGCTCCCAACAAACTCCTTGTGTCCCTCTTTCTCCTCTTGAAACGCCGTGGAGTTCAGAGCAACACTCTTCACAATCAGATCTCGAACCGCGGCCGAGCATTGCTGGAAGAGCTCTGAGATGGATTCTGAGTTGCCAGGGCCGTCGCTATCAGACGATTGGCCGAAGCTGCGAGCCGAGCCCCAGGTGCCAGCAACCACGGTCATTTTATTTTGGGTCAATGTTCCCGTTTTGTCGGAGCACACGACCGTAGCGTTACCCATTGTCTCGCAGGCTCGAAGGACACGAACGAGGTTGTTCTCCTTGACCATGCGCGTGGTAGCAAATGCCAGCGCAAGAGTCACAGCCAGGGGAAGGCCCTCTAGAAGCAGGTCAGAATGATGATTTAGCAATGTGGAAGTTCAGGATGCTTACCTGGAATGGCAACCACGATGACTGTCACGGCGACAATCAGGATATCCACAAATTCCTTGCCCTTTGCCGCAGAGGGCATGTCAGGGTGATTTGGGAGCTCGGCGACAAAACGGAAAAGCAAAACGAAGAAGAGAATGATAGCGGCGCTGAGGTAGACAATTAGCCATGAGAAAGGAAAGAGAGGAGAAAGGAAAGGAAAAGTAAATGTTAACTCACGCTGAGCCCAGATACCCAATCCAATCCGCCAGGCGACCCAGCTTGACTTGGAGAGGAGTAGGGTCGTTAGCCGTCTGCAGAGACAGCATGATGCGGCCGTATGTAGAATAGCGCCCAACACTCGTCACCAAATAGGTGCCAACACCTTCAAGAACCTTGCTCCCCGAAATCAAAAAGGGGTCGAGTTTCTTGGTGGCAGAACCATCCACGATATGGTGCCATACTTCATGGCCCTGGGTCTTTTTCATCTGATCGGACTCGCCAGTAGCCGAGGATTCGTCGCATTTCACACCGTGGCCTGTGATCAAAAGGCCATCTGCGGGGATGGAGTCGCCAGGCTCGAGATGGAGCACGTCGCCGACCATGATATCGTAGATCGATACCATAGTGGACTTGCCCGAACGAACAACTTTGACTTCGCGGTCATCGTTCTGTTGGTTAGTTAGCATATGAGACCCGCAGCAGCAGAAAGGGAAATTAGTAGAAGACGAACCCGCTTATTGAGTTTGGCAAACTGCCTCTCCTTCTGCCAGTCATTGGCCGCAGTCACGATGGTGACGATAAGGATCGCCACGCAGATGGCCACACCTTCTACCCAGTCCACGCCCGTGCCTCCATCCACGGACTCGTATATCCCCAAGGATAAAGACACGATGGCGGCAATGGTCAAGAGAATGATGATTTTATCGTTATAAGCAATCCAAAGAAGTTTCAAGAACCCGGTGGATTTGCGAGCCGGGAGCCGGTTCTGGCTGAAAACGCGGATGCGATCTTCGAACGGCGAGCCATCGCCATTTGATATCGTGTTCGGTGGCGGGATGCTAGATTCGGGTGGTGTTGGTAGTGGTGGTTTGCTTGTCGAAGAGTACTTTGTATCAACAGCAGGCGTCACCTCCTGGAAGTCAACAGTGCCCTGCAAGGGCCCCTCGTCGACAGATAAACCGGCATTCAAATCCGTCCGCAGACCCCGTTCCAAGCCCTGCAAGCCCCCCAGCGCATGAAACGCCGCCAGCGACTTCGGGTTCTGCATTTTATTCAGCTGGCCCGGCGAAAACGCAAACCGGTTATCCAGCACCTGGAAATCGGTCTCATTGCGAGGATCCGGCGTCAGAGCATCTGACAGCGACACATCATCATAAACCATTTTAGTGACAGGAGCCTGCTCTACATGTGAGTTGGTCCTCGAGTGGACTGTTGTCGCTGCGGTCGAAGCAAACGAGTCAGACCGCGGCCGCAGGGTATCGCCATCGATCGACTGCGAAAGTCGATGCGAGGCATGTTGGACCGACAGCCGGGCCGGATCCCGGTGCCAGGTCGCATCTGGTGATAGCGACGAGGTCGGGCTGTGGTTTGGGTCTGTTGGGCCCGAGTAGGATGATGAGGCTGCGGCTGATGCCACAGATAGAGACCGCTATAGAAGTATGAGCTATGTTCAGTTGGGAAGCGATAATTTTACTTACCTCTCTGCCCGAAGAGCCTGCTATGCCACCAGGACTCAGCAGCGAGCCCTGGTCGGCCGAATCGGTCTGCTGCGAAGAGGCCATGGGAGAATAGAGAGAGGGGAGTAACCTGGCCGGAGGTTATTCTCTCTGTTGCCGAGAATGATGATGATGATGATGATGATGATGATAATAATAATAATAATAATAATAATATGCCGAGAAACAAGAAACAATCGGTATAGTCTCTGGCACGCGAGTTCCAGTGACAAGGTATCTGCGTGGGATTTGCAGTGCTTTGTATGTTGCCCCTTCTTCAACGGGGCTGTGTAGTCGATGCCCAGAGATGCCGAGGACAGAGAGCGCCCATTAGCAATAATTTCGCATCAACAGACGCCAAGTCACCGCGAGCGATTTTTGAGATGTAACAAAACCTTGAAGAATGGGGAAATCATCCAAGAAGATGAAAATGGGGGGAAGTATGTGATATACTGAAAGGAGCGAGATTACGAGCGGAAAAGAAAGGCTGAGGAACTCAAACACAGCCCTCCTCAGCGGCAAAAAAGCTGGTTGGGATCGAAGTGTATCCAAGACCCAAGGTGTATTATTTGAGCAACGAAAGTCATACCCGATCGAGATGGACATATTGGACTCGAGCTGAACGATTTAGGCGCCGAGCTCATCTTTTTTGATTCCAAGTCCACTCGCCTGTGAGTGGCAGCAGAAGCCCGGGAATCGAAGCGCCCCAGTTCCAAGCGGTGATCCCTTCATTGCGACGCCATTTGGGTTTGCCCAGCAAAAAAAGAGGGTCGACTGCGCCTCGATGCCCCCCCCAATGACTGTGGACAGCAGTCCCGCTTGATGTTCCCCGTGTCTGTGTCTGTGGAATGTTCTGTCGCTGTATGTCTCTGTATGTCTCTTGTACTGTATCCATCCCAGAAAGCAAGGGGCGAGACTTTCATCTCAATGGATGCGTCATGGGGTCCTGTGGCAGCGTCATTCAATCTTTAAGCAAACCCGGGGTGACGCCCCCCGTTGGATCAGAGAATCTCTGCGCCACTCGTCATCATGCTGATCTTGCACGACGCTAACAATCGGCGAGATGAGACAGCCCCCGGGGGAAACATGGACGCCACCTGTGGCTGTGGAGATGTGGCGGTACAATACTGTATGGTCTACTACTACCACGTGACTTTGCTGGAGCTGCAGCCTAACATAGAAGTACAACCTCAGGATTCTAACAGTTTAATTTGAACAGCCACCTCCAAGCTTGAATACTATCTGATGATCTGCATCATGACGAGTCCACAGCGCTGATCTACTCAGCAATCCAATCCAATCCACCTGCATAAGCCCTAAGTCCTGAGCCTCAGCTTTATAGTGATATTTCATTCCACGTGCATATTCCACAGCCTCAGTTCAGGCTTCGATGATATTAGAGACATTCAGGTTTCCAATTACAGTGACAATCCCAGATGCGGTGGCAATGCGAGCCTGACCTCGTAACCATTCCAAAAATAAACAACTTGTTCAAGCTTCGAAGGGAGAGCAGGAGCAAGACAAGAAAAGAACAATCGATATAATCAAGACCCATAGATCTTGATCACAAATGCGATGTGCGGTGAATGCAAATAAATCCAGAAGAGAAAAAAAATATAAAAAAAAAAGTAATAAAAAGGGGTATCTATAAAAGAGAAGAATCGAAATCGTCAAAAAATGGTCAGACAGAGAAAGACGCTCAAGAGGCCGTAAAAGGCGGAAATGAATGTCGGTGGACAGAAAAAGAGAGGGAGACAGAGAGAAAAGAGCTCTGTCAAAGACAAGTGACAAAAAAAAGTTTCCCTCAGTCGTGGCCATAGATCCGTCAGGGCGCACCCCAAGTCCCCGTAACATGTCGGTTTCATATCGCGTAATCCATATAATCAGAGCAGTGCCAGATCACAGATCCAGGCTTTCTCGAAAACGGCTGCCGCGGCTGCCATTCATGCTGGGAAAGCTGCGGCCCAGCCCGTCGGGTCGTCGTGGCACGAGAGGAACCACACTCTGCGGCTCCGCCACGGGATGCGACGGCGTGACGGTGACTGGGGTGGCGACGGTCACCGAGCTGGAAATAGGAAGGTGCACGGGCGAAGGCCGTGGAGGCGACGCTGGGTTCTCTGCGCTCTCCCGGGTATAGTTGGAGTCCAGGGGCCGGCCATAGGGCGAAGTCGGGGGCGCAGGATACGAGGGAGGGGATCGCGGGCCTCCACCTGGCGAGGATGGAGCAGCCAAGCCACCGAGCGATTCAGGGATGGTGGGAGAATCGCCGTCGAGCCCGCCGCCGTAGCCATCGCCGCCGTGGGTGAGAACTGGAGGCAGTTTGCGGCCCGAGATCTTTTGGAAGCCACGTTCGCTCGGATTGGAGGAGTCGACGGTGCTCTCGGTCTGCGTGGTCTGCGTTGAGTGGCGCCAGCGCTTCGCGAAGGCGGGGCCAAAGTACGATGCCCGGAAGAGCGGGTCGCGACTGGAGCGTCGTTCGGTCATTGCTCGCGTGCCAGCCGCGGCATCCTCAGAGGGAAGGGTCTGCGGGTCCTTGCGCTGGAAGAACCCGCGTCGACGGAGAAGAAATAAAAGAAGAAGAATGATCATAGCAATCCCGGCCACACTTCCTACCACACCACCTACAATTTTGGGGGTGGCACTGTTGTTGGACGAGTCTGATCCGGAAGAATTCCCTGAGTCGTTTGTAGACGTACTCCCGCTTCCAGTCGCAGTGCCGGTTTGTTCTGAGCCCCAGAACCCACTCGAAGATGGAGATGATGTACTGGAAGAAAACCTGGACACGGAACTGGAACTAGACGAGGAGCTAGGCACAGAAGAAGTCGATGTCACCGAAGAAGTGGCACTTGAGGACTTGAGAGGAGTAGAAGTCACTCCCGGGGACTTGACCGCTGAAAGAGCTTTTGATAACGGAGGGCCGGGTTGTGACGGATTCGGATTGGATGGCAATACTTTAGGGTGGGAGGAAGGCAAGTTCGACACTGGCGTGGCTGACGGTACCTCCGCAGGGAAAGCCAAGCTGCCAGAAATTGTGAGAGCGCCGAATGCCGAATCCGATATTGTCATAGGTAGATCCGTGGCGGGGGACTGCCAGAGGGTGTGGGAGTCGGTGTCGACGACTTGCACGATTGTTTGGACGACAATGCTGTGAGCCGGATCGGGCTCCTCGCGCTTGGACAGTGACACATCGGAGGCATCCGATGTGTCGTTGACACACGTGTTGTTTTGTGACGCATCGCAGGGTTCGCTCGACAGATTGTCGGGAGTAGGTTTGGGTACTGGAGCTACATCGCCCAGCAGAGTGGAATCGTTTGCAGTGTCTCCCCCACGAGCCTCCAGGCGATGTCGGGCTCTGATAAGCCTGCTGATCCGGGCATGTCGGTAGTGCCCATGATGAGCCATTGTGTCCCACGATGTCGCACGATCGATCTTGAACCACAGAGATATCGAGAAATGCGGAGAAAGGGAGTTGTGTGGATCCTCGCAGAGGTCGGAGCTAGTTCGACGAGCCAAGCGCGATTGGAATGAATGCGATAAAAAAAATGGAGGTACCAAAGTACTCAAGCGTAAGCCGCTGATGCAACAGAAAAGCAAGGTCTTGCCTGCGCGGAGTTAAGCACACAGATCGAATCGGGCCGAATCGGGAGATAAACAAATAAGGGAGTGAATTGAATACGAGCGCGAACAATAAGGAGTGAATGACCGGTGTGCTGTCGACGACAATGGTTCAATAAGGAGTGTATGGCATCAGGGGAAGCATTCCCCGAAGCCTGGAGAAGAAAAGCGCCTGTCAGCCTCCATTCCACACCCCAGGTACTCGGAGCTTTTTCAAGGGAGCCAACCACTACCTCGAGGCAATGAGTACATACCTGAATCAAAGGAACGACAGAGAGAAAAGGAGAAAAGCCAAGCTTTGCAACCTAATCCATGACTGGAAGAACCCTCCCCAATCAATCAAACACGGCCAGGAGAGCCTTGCCCAGGTGAGATCCACGACCCAGCGACAACTGTGGGTCAAGGGCGATTGGCGGGAAAAACGCACTGCGTTACACACACGCCCTCACACAGGAGGATCTCCAGTGGACAAGAGTGGGAATAAATCCCAAGTAGAGAGGGGAAGAAAGCGAAAGCGAAAGGTGAGCGAGGGAAGGGAAAAGAGGAAAAAGCGAGGGAGAAGAAAAGAGGCCAACGCCCCTAATCAGCCAAGGTCCAGGCGACCCGCGTGAACTAGCCCCGGGGCGAGATCGGGGCCACAAATGATTGTTTTCTTTTTCTTTTTCTTTTTGTTTTTCTGTTTTTTCTGTTTTTCTTTTTTTTTTTTTTTTGACTTCCTTCTACTCTTATTGTTTCTGAGTAATTTGTATCTTTTATCAAAAGAGACCTGAATTGTAGAATATAGATTATAAGAAATAGATGGAATCAACAAACAGTTGAGCAAAGAGACCAACGAGCCCTGCAGGTACACGGCGACCTCAGCCAGTCATCGCTGACAGGTGGGCCCGATGGTTCAGGCTCTCGGGCACCCTAAGCCCAGGTGGGCTTAGCGGGCGCAGGTTTAATTAGCACCGCAAGGACTCGGCGAGACTAATGGTCGCGTGCAGCAATTACGTGTGGGATTGAAGATAACCATATATATTTACGCAGATATACCTGAATCGAAGGCTGGTGACTCGAATGGAGAGCAGTGACCAGATAGCCTCTAGTCAAGTATGACATACCTCCCAATGAAGGTGGAAGCGATCTACAAACTACGCTTAGGACGGGTCCGAAGCCCCAAGGTACCTTGAAATCTGAAATATGGATCGTCATGTTCAGCATCACTGGCAGAATGCGCGCATTCGCCCTATCTACGTCCTCCACGAGGCGCTGCAAAGAAACACAGAATCAAGATGGGTATTGAACAACTCCGGGTGGCCGCTTAGAAGGTCTCGAGCTCGTCGGCCGCACCCTCTTCCGCCTCGGCGGGGATCTCGAATCCCTCCTAAATTAAAAAAAAAATCAGCGTCGGATCACCATGAAAGAAAGCAGAATGGAAAGAGACAAAACCTACCTCGGTCGAGTACAGAATGCCCTGAATGTGCTTCACCAGCGTGTCCTCCTCCTTCTCCAGCTCCGGGTCCGCCTCAATGGCGCTCTGCAGCAGCAGCTCAATGTCACGCAGCTTGGCAAAATAGAAGTCCCGCTCCTTCTCGAGTCCGGCGATCGCCTCCTTCTGCGCTGAAACCTCCTGCTGCAACGCCGAGGCTGCGGCTCCACCAGCAGCTGCACCAGAAACGCGGGGTGCACGGGGGGCGGCAGTGGTGGGAGTCACACCGCGGCGGGAGCTACCCGCAGACGGGGCACGCGCAGTGGGAGCACCCGCGGGGGCACCTGAGGCCTTGCGCCGACCGACCGCATCGTAATCTCCACCGGGATAGTGCTGGTCCCAGTATCTCTTGGTCCACTGGAGGAATTCAAGGTTGTCCTGCATGCGGCACTTCGTGAGGGATTGGACAGGAATAGGCTTGTCCACCTGGTGGCGCGCGAAAAGATCTAGATAAGTAGAGAGGAGAAACTGTTAGGAGAAATAATTATAGCGGAGCTGATGCGGGGACCGCGGGTCTTGACATACTCTGGAGAACCTTGAAGTTTTGCAAGTAGGCGTATTCAGTGTTCACGTTGAACTTGACCCGGGACATAGGCACATCCACTAGACAAGGAAAGAGCTTTGTGTCAGTGATTGTTCTTTTGCTAGGAGTCTTGCTTCTCTCCCAGCCAAGATACTCGTAGGTTGTGATCACTTACTGAAGATGGAATCGAAGACCTGGCAAAGTGCCGCACTATTCAGAACCACCCACACATTGTGTCAGCCAGCCCCGCACTCACTAGAACAACTTGACTTTCTTCAGAGAGGGGCGGGGGATCTATCATACCCAGTTCCGCATTGCTCGATCTTGGTCAAATTCAGCTGCAGCAGGTTGTTCAACCAAGCCAGCAGTTCCTGCCTGGATTGTAAGAAGATTGTTAGCAAGCATTGCCCAGTAATTCAGGAGACCATTGCCGATGTGAGAGAAAGCCGAACCTGGATTCACCCATGGTGGGGTAGCGTGGAGATGACAAGGCAAGGGCTATGAAAGAATGGTGGTGGGGATGGGGTAGAAGAAAGATGAGTTGTGTATAAAGAACAGGCCACTGCAAGGTCAGAACTCGCCTCGAGGCTGCTCGGTCGGTGAAGGAGAGCGGCGTGAATTGTTTTGATGCCAAAAACCCACGGATCCCGCTGGCGCTAGCCCGTTGGGGCCAATCACCGTTGGATTATCTAATTTGATGCCTCAGGCGAGAGAGAGCAGCCTGGAGAACAGCAAAAGTAGAAGCTTCAAGTTGGGTATTTGAAAAAGGAATAGAAATAAATAAAATCTATGTACTGATGCGATGTATATGCAACCAAGACAGTGTCTATACTCCCAAATGGCCAATCTAAATAGCCAGGTCAAAAGCCAGAGGTCCCAGCACATGTCCAACTCCCCGATAGCCCATGTATATGCCAGCAATACAACCCCCCCATGAAAATCAAACGCTCTAGGTGAAGCCAAGAACTCAGCAAAATGCAACCAGGTTACTCTCCCAAAAGGTCAATCCCATCCAATCCATAGCCAAAGTCCATGATCACGGCCCGTGAATCCTGGCTGGTGGCCACAATCCGGCGATAGTCCGACTGGACGCTCAGCATCCAACTCGTCGTCCACCCCGGGAGGTCAATGGACAATGCACCATGGTCGGTGTCAAAGACCTTGACACTCATGTCATAGCTGCCGCTCACAATGCGTTTGTTCATGCTGTCCAAATGCAGCGATCGGATCAAGCCGATGTGACCACGAAGCTCGTTGACCATCTCACCAGTGTTAGCATCGAATTGGTAGATAATCCGGTCATTGCCACCCGTCAAGATGGTCCGGCCATCATCACTGAATTCAACACATGCCAAGCCACGATCTTTGCTGAGGAACTCCTTGACGCAGTGGCCCGAAGTCACGTTCCACAGCTTGGCCACGCCGTCCCCACTGGCCGACACAATGAGGTCACCTCGCAGCTGGACCGCATTCACCGGCCCGCGGTGACCAAGAAGCTGCTTAAGAAGGGCACCGGTCTTGCGGTCCCACACACAGATAGTGCTGTCTTTGGAGCAGGAGACAATATAGCGGTCGTCGAAGCAAACATCCAATACGCCAGCCCGGTGGCCCACCAGGCGCCGAATTGGCTGGTAGTCATTCTTGATATCCCAGACAATACAGGTATAGTCCGAGGATCCAGTGACCATGATTTCCTCGTCAAACTGCAGGCAAAGGATCGATGCACTATGATAGTCTGCTGGTTGCTCCATTGGGGTGACAATGCCCTCCAACGGAGTCGACGGCGGGCAGATGGTCAGGAAGGGAGATTTGCCCGTGGCCTGCTGGCCCGGGCTGTTCACCGGTCCAATACCAGGCAAATCACCCGGTGGCGGGCCAATGATCTTCAGACAGGGCCAGGGGTAGTGAGCATCCCATATACGAATTGTCCGATCACGAGAGCCTGTGATAATTTTGTCCCTAAACGCTGTTAATGGGGATTCAAAAAAGACAATGAAAAAAAAAAGGTGATTGGTGCGAACATACTCGTCAAACTGCGCGCAGTAGACACTGTCCTTGTGTCCATGAAGATAAATTGCGGCAGCTTTACCCTGTTTCCAGCGATGTTCAAGGGCCCGCCGGACAAAAAACATCTTTTTCCAATTTTGGTTGGGAACCGACTTCCCCAATCCCGAGGAGTGCTTCTTCTTGGAGGTCGTGGATCTCACAGGGTGTCGGGGATAGGCCCCACGGAAGACATGCTTCCACACGTGGGGAGAGGATGCCTGTTGGTGCCAGGATCGCGATACCAACTCCGAATTCATGAGCGAGGTAGGATCCAGATGAGACATGATGTAAGCCACAATCTCAGCGGGAAGATGGCCCACCGGGTCTAAAAAAAGAACAATTAGCCGTCAGTTCAATCCATATTGAGGGACATGCAGCATTGTGATCCTTACCCATGCGCACGATCGCCAAGTCCACATCCGAGATCTCAGAGCGGTCGCGCAAATCAATTCCGATGCCGCTCTCCGAGTCAGTCGGAAGCCTCAATTCAGGCGTCTTGGGCATGTCCCGTTCACCGCGGACCATCTCGTTCCGGGCCATCTCCATCCTAGCCATCTCAGAGCGTTCATTCTGCGCGGCCGCTGCGGCGCGTGCTGCCGCACCCGCGTAGATGTCATTCGGTAGAATTGGCGGCTCCTGTCCACGGCCTGGAATAGGAGCCGGGACCGAGGCAGTCGGGGCATAGAAGCTCTGCAGGGCAGATACACTGTTCAGGGAAGGTCGCCGATTGATGCTGTGGCCCTTGGACCAGGTGTGCCGTGACCGCGCATCCCAGCTCCCCGTTGCAATATGACGCCGGTGATTCGACTGGCCTGAAAGGTGATAGTGGCGGCATTCATCATCATCCTCCTCCTCTCCGGGAACGCGCAGATTCTGCTTGGACGACTTGCCCCGCAGCGAGACGGACAACCGACGTCCCAGAGCAACGAGGCCATCCATGGGGTGGCGCAAACTCGAAAAACTTTTGGCCCCACGACGCCGGGGCACGGCCGTCGGGAAATTGTCCATATCTTCCACCACCGGCGCATGCTGTTCGTGGCAACCTTCCACCAGGGAAGGTTCCCGCCACAGCTCGACATTGGTATCTTTGGGCGCGAAAGCGGGATGCACCGCCGTGCGCGGGCGTGGGCGAAACGATAACGAGGGGCGTCGCCGCGTCGAGTGGGCGATATTGTCTCGTGGCGACATGACGTGGGAATCGCCTCGGCGAAAACGACAAAGGCAAATTAAGGGCGTTGGAGGCAGTCGCGGCGTCTCCTTGGGGCGCAAGTGATAATCAGAAACAATAAGGGGTCTAATGTATCCGTCGAGAAATGCAAAGACGGGACTTTGCGCGCTGGACTGCAGGGGAGTTGGGTTGAACCAAGTATATATCCACCGTAACAAATAAAAAAAGAAAGATAAAAAAGAAAGAAAACACCAACCCAGGGCAAAGAGAGGGAAATTAAAAGAATGCGAACGGATCAAATAACAAGAAAAGAAAAGGGAAGGGAAATTTGCAAAGGCGCAAGAAAAGGGAGAAGAATTCCAGAAAGAATGAATGAACGGGTCTGAGGGTCGGGCGGTGAATCGCGCAGGAGTGATTGGCTCGCGGGTCTGGTACCGACGGGTACCGGAGACTCCCAGTGGCAACGTGCAAACGCTGGGGCTGACAAGTACTCAGTACCTGCTGAGGTACAGAGGGGCCTGGGAACAGAGATTTTAGGCTGCCGGGGGGGCAAATGGGGAACCGAAATGCGGAGTACCACTACCTCGATCGTCGCGACAGGCTGTCGGTAATCCAAGTACCCAGTACCTCCGCAGACGTACACAAAATGATCCCCGGGCGGCGGATCGGGCAGATCCATGGATTGCACGAACTTTGGAGTCGGGAGAAACAGGGCTTTCCCCCCAATACAGGGGAATTCTCAGGGCGTCAATGGGATTTCTGGCGTGTGCAGAGTGGAGTATTCTCCAGCCCATGTCGATCCCCTGGGGAATGTCGCACGGCATTATCCTCAGAAACATAAGATAAGTGAGACAAAACAAGAATCTTCTAAGATGGCTCCTAAGTTAGCTTATATTTAATGACAATGATTGTTTTTTGTGTCGCAATGGGTTTCTGGGTAAATTCAGAGTAGACAGTTGTAATATATTTCAGACCCCCAGCAAGTAAATCTATCAAGTTCTCACTTGACACACACCAAATATACTCCATCTACTGGAAAACTCAACCACGACACAGAATCTTACTATCCAAATACCTTCTCATACCCCGTCAGGGTAAACCGATAGCGAACTTCGCCCTTCTTCATGCGAAGCATCGCCTCCTTGAGACCCTCTTCGCCAATGGCGATCCCCTCCACCCAGCCCTGGAGACCCTTGTCAGCCGCCAACTGCAGCATCTCCAGCATCTCACGACGACTCCCCAAGTGACTAGCACCGATAAGAACACCATTGTCAATCAAGTTCTGGGCCTTGATAACCTGGCCCTCCTCCTCGGGCAGCCCAACACTGATCCAGCGACCATGCACATCCATCATGGACAGGTAACGGGCAAGATCAAAGCCCTCAGACGAATTGGCACAATTGATGATCAGATCAAACGAGTATTGATGTGGCAGCTCCCAGCCCTCCTCCGCGGTAGCAATATACCCATCAGCGCCCAGCTTCCGGGCGTCGGCCTCCTTCGCCCGAGACCGGGAAATCGCCCACGTCTCCGCCCCCAGCGCTTTGGCAAACATGATCCAGTGGTCTGGGCAGTGCGGGATATCATTCCTAGCGGGGGATTTTTGGAGGCGAAGCGCGTAGGACCCGGCGCACTGAACATGTCGTGTCGGCCATGATAGCAAGCAAAACTAACTTGTACGACTCGTATCAGCTCCGAGGTGAATTTTCCGCCTATGAGAAGCAAAGGGAAAAAGCAGATTCCGGCTTCTTATCGTCGATAAAGCAAGATACCGTGTCTAGGGCTTGGGATTAGGGCTACGGGAACTGGAGGGGCTAGTTGTTGACGGCTGGCATTCTTAAGTGCCTACATTCTCTAGAGAGGAGCAGTTTTGGTACTTTGTAGATGCATAGCCATTGGCATTTCCATTCATTCATATACACATGGGGAAATACGTCGAGCTATATACTTCCTGATTTCATCCCAAATCATGTTTATGCCACATCCGGCAGCGATCGCTCCATCTCAACAAAGCCCTTGAGTTTGCCGGCAATCTCTTGAGCCTGAGCATCACTGATCCGGTTGAGTGGCCGCCGCGGGAACCCACCGTAGCCATAGTAAGACTGGATAGCCGACTTGGTGCCAGAAATAGCAGCCTTGGTGAGGATCCAATCGGCAACGCTGAGCTGCTTCTGCAGCTCTATCGCCTCGGCGAGACGCCCCTCACTCCAGAGAGTGAAGACGCGCACGCACAGACGCGGGAGGACGTTGGCGGTGCCCACAAGAGTGGCAGTGCCGCCCGAGACAAGGGTCTGGAGGGTGAAGTCGGCGATGCCGCCAAAGGCGACGTAGGGGTGCTTAGCGTCGGGTTTGGAGACAGTCGGTGCCGCACGCTGGGCCGGGGCCAGCGGAGATGGTGGCGTCAGAGCGCCGAGGGCGGCAGCAACACGGGTCAGCTTGCCGGTGTTGCCGCAGGTGAACTTGGTCCCGACGATGTTGGGGTGCTGGGAAATGCGGATGATGAGGTCCGAGTCCATGTCGATGCCGGCGACGGCGCCGGGGTAGTTGTACAGAATCAGTGGCACGGGCGATTGGTCCGCCACGGCCGTAAAGAACTCGTACAGCGTCTCGTCGTTGCCCACCGCGTACCGGTAGTAGCTGGGCGGGACGATCAACGCGTACTCGCCGCCTGCGGCTGCGACTTCTTTGCAGAGTTCAATGGTGCCGCGGATGCTCTGCTCACTGGCTCCGGCGATGACCGGCACATTTGTGAACCCAGCCTCGTCTAAAGCTGAGCGAGTCTCGCGCGTGACAGTCATGCGCTCCTCGCGCGTCAGGTGTACTGCCTCGCCGTTCGAGCCCATGGTCACTAGGCCGACCAGGCCGGCCTTGGCCAGGCGCACCACATGGCGCCGGATCGAGGGGACGTCGAGCTCTTCAGTGTTCGGGTCGAAGAAGGTCATTGTTGGCGCATAGGCGCCAGGGCGAAGAGGTGTGGGCGACATACTGGATGGGCAAGATCTGGGGATGGTTGGAGAGAGAAAACAAAAGCGCACTTGGATGATATTAAACACCCCCGCGCCACCCCCACGTCGGCGATTGTTCCGATGCGCTGCCAATGCACGGATAATGTGATTCCACCAATCAGCACGTAGCAGAATGTGGGGGAGACGAGGAGCCCCGCGACAAGATTTTGCTCGGCTTGACATTGCAGTAAATACAGTAGTTTGAATAGTAGTCAGAAGAGAGTAGAATGAGGTGTAGGAGTGTTTCTGTATGAAAAGAGAACAACAGCAATACAATTGGCCGATATTGATCCATTTCCAAGGCTGTTTACTACTTAAGGCTGTAGAAATCCCCGCAGCCGATAAGATATACTATCGGCTATTGCGGTTCAAACGCCGGAAGAATTATATCCAGCCCAACCCCCGGTCGATTCTTGGGTTTCGCTTTTAAGTGCTTTGTGTCCTCTGCTGTCTTCTTAGTCCATATTCTGCCACTCTGCATCAACAATCACCATGGCTCCTCCTAGCGTCTTGATGGTATGGAAAGATGCACCCCGCACTGTTGGTTGTTGCGCAAATTAACAAAACACCAGGTCGGCACCGGCGAGTACACCACCGGCTTTGTCGGCGGTGGTGCGTCTGGCTCAGACAAGAAAGTCGGCGTGGTCGGGTTAACGCTGTTCGACCTGCGGCGGCGCGGCAAGGTGGGCGACCTGAGTATGGTGGGCGTGTCAGGCAAGAAGTTCCCGGGCATCCGTCAGTTGAGACCCTACGACACTATGCAATTTCACAAACCAAGAAGCTAAACATGACCGGGCTCCAGGGAACCACCTGCACCGCAACATCTCGCAAGTCTACAACGGCCTCGACGTGTCATTCAACTCCTTCCCCGCAGACAACCAGACCGACCCGGATGCATACAAAACGGCAATCGATGCGCTGCCCCGCGGATCCGCCATCACGATCTTCACTCCAGACTCGACACACTTCCCAATTGCCTTGTACGCGATTGAGCGCGGCCACCACGTGCTGATCACCAAGCCCGCAACGCAGCGGCTGGCCGACCACCTGGCCCTCGTCGAGGCGGCGCGCAAACAGGGCGTCTTTGTGTTTGTCGAGCACCACAAGCGGTTCGACCCGGCCTACTCAGATGCGCGCGCGAAAGCCCGCACTCTGGGCGACTTCAACTACTTCTATAGCTACATGAGCCAGCCCAAGAGTCAACTCGAGACCTTCAAGGCGTGGGCCGGCCGCGACTCTGATATCTCGTATTACTTGAACTCCCACCACATCGATATCTGCGAGAGCATGGTCCCGGATTACCATCCGGTCCAGGTCACCGCCACGGCTTCCAAGGGTACGGCGGCTGCTATCGGCTGCGTCCCGGAGACCGAGGATACGATTACCTTGCTTGTGGAGTGGCGTCGCAAGGATGATCCCGCCAAAGTGGCTACTGGTGTCTACACGGCGAGCTGGACGGCACCTCAGAACGCGGGCGTGCACTCCAACCAGTACTTCCATTGTGAGTTTACCCATTTGAAATCAAGTCCCCGCTTATCTTCAGCTTCATTTCTCTGACAACTACTGAAAAAAAAAAAAAAATAGACATGGCCGCCAATGGCGAGATCCGCGTCAACCAAGCAAAACGCGGCTACGACGTGATCGGCGACGATCAGGGTCTGATCTGGGTGAACCCGTAAGAAACTGAGCCTTTCCTTGACCATGCAGACCTTTGCACCCACTTTGTTTCCTTGTTTCCTTTTCTTCTTTTCTTCTTCTCTAATTCAGTTCACCAGATTCTACATGCGCTACGCCCCCGACGAGGAAGGAAATTTCGGCGGCCAAACCGGGTACGGGTACATCAGCTTCGAAAAGTTCATCGACGCAGTAACAGCCGTCAACGAGGGCCGCGTAACTCTGGACCAGCTGGACGCACGCCCGTTGCCTACGCTGCGGAATACGATTGCCACGACGGCCATTCTGGATGCGGGTCGCAAGTCGCTGGATGAGAGAAGGCCCGTGGGAATTATTTCTGAGGGAGGGAAGTGGGCGCTTCAGTGAGATTAGTGTATATAGCTTGGTGGATATGATTGTTGATATGTATGTGAATTAAAGTAACAAGGGTGATAAGTGTGGCCAGCTTTATCCGGATTTATATCCAAATCTACATCCAAACAGACCTAATCCGAAAGTCATGCCGCCAAGGCATCTTGCACCGTCTGAACCACACTCTCGAGCATGTTCTCTCGAGACTGGCTAGAATCCAACACAACGAAATCTGTCTCATCAACAGGATCTTCCAACAAATCCAGCTGCGAGTCAACCATGGAAGACTTCATGTAATGCTGCTCAGCCGCAGACGGCGCAACCATCCGACTCTTCAACTGAGACCTATCCCGGATAGACAGCAACAGAAAACTGACCGTGACAGGGGAATCCAGCAGCTGGGTCAGACGGCGCAGCTCATCGCGGTAGGTAGTGCGCAGCGCCGCGGATGTGAGCGAGCCAGTTCCAGCGATCGGAGTCCTGCAGGGGCAGGTTGTTGGCCATTTTTGCGAGGGCAATCGGCGAGTGCAGGTCGTCGCCTTCGATGGTGGGGATCTGGAGACGCTGTGCTAGGGTCTGGGCTGCGATGCTCTTTCCGCAGCTGCAAGGCCCAATGAGGAAGAAGACTTCGCGTGGTGATTGTGTCGGAGCTGTTTGCTGGGCCCAGCACTGGGTGCTGAAGTTCTTCACGAACCGGGCGGTCAGATCGGCGTTTAAACCACCAGCTTGGGCGAGGGAGGGAGGCGACGCTTGGGCCTTTTTGGTGTCGTAAAGCAAAGCGCGACTAGGATCGGTGTTGTCGTATTTCGACGCAAAGAAGTCGAGGAGCTTGATGGGTGGGTTGGCTGTTGGGTCCTGGTTGGGGTCTCGTAGACGTTGCAGCCAAACTTAGGTGGCCAGCTCTTCGGATTCGAGGCCAGCATATTTCAAAAGAGGAAGAAGCTCTTTGGTCCAGTGGCTCAGGGTTGGATTTGTGACGTTTATCACTTCGGGTGCGTCTGCTGCCAGACTGAGCTCGATGACACTGGCCGCCATACCATCCACAGGAGCACAGACTGGCTCGACTTAGCAGTCAGTGCTTCCAACACGGTGAGTCCAAAGTGTTGTGTAGGATTGATGGTACTTGTCTAAGATGACATTAGTAGTAAATAAAAGTATACTTGTCCAGCAGCTAAAATAAAAAATTAATTAAACCCAATATAGTGCCCTGTCCAGCTACAATAGAAGAAGAAGAAAACTCACTCAAGCACAATCCCAAGCCCTAGAACAGGACGAAAGATCCGCTCACGATTAAATTCCGCCTGGCTGTGATTCACCTGCTCCAAGAGCCCGTGAACCATCTTAATGGCAGCAAGATAAATGGATCGATCGTTGGTGGACTCGGTGCTAACCGCAATAGACAAGATCAGAGGCCGATCAAGCCAGAGCGGTGCCTGCGAGATCCATGCATTGCGCTTGTGGATTTCCATAAATGCGTGGTCGACAAGCTCGTAATCGGATAGTTCTTCTTGGGCGGCGGTGTATTGCACGTTTACGTGAGTGACTGCTGAGCTCCGGATGATGTTAGTCGTGGCGCTGTGGGTAGGGTGATGGCTGTGATCGTGGTGAACTCCATGATGGTAATGGTCTGGGGAGTCATGGGAATAATCGTGGTTATTATGACAGAAGTCATCTTGAAGATGAATATGACAATAATGGTGGTGATGGTGTTGAGAGTGGCAGAGCTGATCATGGCCACGGCCGTGGTGATCAGCCACGTACGGTCTCGACACCATATTGCTCTTTAAATTGGGTAGAAACTCGAGACTAGAAGCCTGGGGGTGTTGGATGGTCTGTTGCAAGAGATGATGTGGTTCAATGAGTGTCCCCGAGTTCGAGAAGACTGGACTTCAAGCCATTTAAATAACCGAGACGAAACATGAGGCATGAGGCATGGGCCATCGAACAAAGAAACACTCGATGAGACAGTCAACAACAGGCATTTCTGAATGCCTTTCAAGTATTTCTTTCTCGCTTGGATGCATTGTGTCTTTGTCTGTTTCGGTCTCTTTGTCTATAGTGCATAGCCCTGCTGGGAATCGACAATGGGTCAAGGGCTTGGAAGTGCAGACTCGTGATAATCCAACAGTGATCAAATAAACAAGAGTAATAGAAGAGCCTATGAGATTAGGCAATAAGACAATGTTGGCTTCAACGCGAACAAAGAACCGTAACTCCTGACAACCCATATTACCCCGACTCCGAACAGCGCACTCCAGACAGACAATTAACATAAAAGTACAGAATCGCAAAAGTATGTCGTGGTATCATGTTAACGCTTCCATTCCCAGTTCAAAGTCCATGCTCATCGTCAAATCTATCGTCTCAGCCCGCCCTTCACAATGCCGTCCGTGCCTTTTCGGAACCGCACGCGGCACTCGGGGCAGAACCATTTGGCAGTCCGCGAAGGAACCTCGGACAGGCCGACACAGTCGAGGTGGAACCATTCACGGTCACACTGAGGACATAAGGTCAGTACTATTGCTCAGAAACATGGAAAGGGAAGAAAGCCAAGAGAGAGGAACACAACTTACATCCGGATTTTCACAGCAGATCATCGTTCCGAAGCTCACATCCCCACATATACAGTATCGCGGTTCGTTGGCATCAATCTCCTCCAGTACACCGTCCTCGTCGACGCGGACGTCCTGTGAGCTCCGGACGTTGATGCGCTTCTTGCCCGGTTTGGCCTTGCGGCGCCCGTAGCTGACGGCCGCGCCGCCATCTTGACCGGATGAGACGGGACCAGGCGCTGGGCGTTTGCGCCGGCGAGTGGGAGCGAGAGCAGGGACGCTGGGTGCATGGGAGGGTTCTCGGACGGGAGTTTTGCGGACAGGCGTCGCACTTTTGATGCGCAGATCTCGTCCACCGGCGGCTGCGATGGCGGAAATATTGGTCAGAAGCCCTGTCTCAATGGATGCAGCGGCTGCAGAGCGTCGGGACGAGGGTCGACTGACAGGCGGGGTGGGCGTGTTGGCAGGCTGGGCGACGGATCTGATGGACCGGCGGGATCCCGTGGGGGAGGGCAGGGGAGGAGATACCTTGGTTGCGGCGGCAGGTACCGACACGGCAGTGGTATCTGTGCCCGCAGTAGCTGCAGCGGCTCCTCGGTTGGATCTGCGGCGCGCCGGGTCGGGTTTCACAGGGACGGGAGGTTCCTCGGGCTCGGCAGCAGCGATTTCGTGGCTCTCCTCAGCCGCAAGCTCATCCCGCTTCCTCTTTCGTGATGATCGACTAACAGTCGGAGTGGCTTGAGCCGGGCCAGGAGTCGACTGGACCAAACCCCCTTCCAATGCCGCCTCCCGTGCCAACATCTCGCGCTTCAGCTTCTTAGCTTCGTTCAGCTTCATTCCGCGGTTGCTCAACTTGGTCTCCTCAAGGTCCTTGGCACTTTCTCCGGGGCGAGTCTGCTCGATGTTGTCGCAGTCGATGAACTCGGCACCAGTCTCCTCGGCCGCGGCCTTGGTGGCTCGGTAGGCCTCCCATCCACGACCTGAGAGGGACAGCTCACGATGAACCATGACCTCACTGGGCTGCCAAACAGCATTTTTCTTCATCTTCTTCCGCAACTTCGTCATCTCCCATTCCGTTAATCGCAGCCACGGCAAATCCTCGCTGCCGAGCTGGGCATTCTCCGGTGGTGGCTTCAACATAGCGAGAGCATTGCTCGTCGAGACACCCACCCCAGAACTCGGACGGCGCTGCTTCTCCTTCTTTGAAAATTTCGTAGTTTTCGAGATCGCAGTGTCGAAATCGGCGTCTGCTTCCGCATCTGATTGTTCGGTGCTGGCAATGGGCGAATCTGGGTGCAGTCCTGCCCAATGCTCAGCAGTGATGGCGGAGCGACGCGACCGCGACTTTTGCGTTTTCGGCCGCTTCTTATCGACGCGAAGAGTGATGCGCGTCGTGGACGCGACGTCGACCTTCTTGCCCCCGCGCGCACGCTTAGGGGTGGGTTCCGGTGCAGGCGACGGTTCTCTGGACGAGGGTTTTGGAAGGCCCTCGAGCTTCTTGCGGATACAATCCAAGCGGGTGAAGTGGCGATCGACAACCTCGTACAGGCGACAAGACTCGGCGTAGGCGGACTCACGGGCGTTGATCGCGCGGTCCAACTGAAATGAGATGTCCTTGCGCAAGGCAATGGCGCTGGGCTGCTCATCTTTTGGGAGATCTGGGAGCTGCCCATATGTCTTGGTCAGGTTGTGCACGGCTTGCGCCGAGTCCGAGTAACGGTTGTCGAGGCCGTGGATGAGGGTCAAGGAACGGATCAGGTCGGCAGGAAGGTATTCGGTGTAGTCTATGTAGTCTGTCACAGTTGCCTGGGCATCTGGGTCAAAGGGTCCATCCAGAATGACCCCACCACTCTCATCGGTCTCATCGGTCATCGCCATGTCGCTGGCAGGAGTGGTTGTGTTGATCTGGAGGTGCAGTAGAGGGTGATGGAAAGGAGAAATAATACGCTCAGATGCAAGAAGTCAGGGGTGGAGACACAGCACACCCTGACCCGCGACTATAATATTCGTGAGAGATCGATAAAGATCTCTTTGCCTTTATAGGAGCTGAAACGTAACTTGTCTTGGGGCAACATTAGGTGAGTACAAACAGTGGGGGATTATTATTCCGGGACAAAGTCACGTGTGGGGTGAAAGTGAGAGGTCACGTGTGGGAACGGCTTCTTGATGATGGCCCGTCATGTGATATTGAATTGACCCGCAATCTTATAATGCACGTGCCACATGCTGCCTTCCTAATCCAGTAAATATACTCCTAGACTCTCTGAGGTCTTTTTTATTATGATACCCTACAATAATATTAATACAATTAATTGTTTTGCTGTTCTTCTCTATTACTTTAACTTTTTGAATGTAAATAACTCTACTAAATTAGGGAGACTGGCCTATGGAAGTAGTTAATACAAGCTATTCAATTAACTGACAAGATGAAATCTCTATATTTCTACTGCTGCCTATATTGAAGCCTAGCAAAGTGAATCAAGAAAAGGACTCCTCTGAAAAGACAGCAATCATCCCCTTTTCAGTTGTTGTGGGATGACACCAAAACAGGAAACTGTTATTTTGCATCTTTCACTCCCACACTTCCTCCTCTACCTCTCCGCATATTTGCCCCGCGTCTTCTTTTCTTCTCTGCATCCTTTCCTTTTTCTTCCTATCTGATATCTTTTGTTCCTTTATCATTCCATCTATCGTTCTATCTTTTTTTTCATCTTGCTTGTCGTCCATATTCCATCATGGACAAAGATAAGCACTTGGAGCGTGTCGAGGAGATGTTCAAGAGCGATGAAGCGCTCCTGGACTTGAGCACTGGATTGAACACCCTCGCGAGGACTGAACCTTCCCCTTCCCATGAGTCTGTGCCTTCTATCTCCGCGTCTGTGCCCTCCACCTCCACCGAGTCCGTGACTCTGCTTCCTACTTCGGAAGCGGGCCGTATGGCATACCTCGCAAACTTTACCCCCGAGCTCCGGCCTCCTCTGTCTTACGTTCGCAGCCGGGTCATTGGACGTTCTGTTAATGATCATGAAAAGAATGAGATGTCATTGGTATCGACTGAGTCAGAGTCCTCGGTTTCCGAGTCTACACCGGCTACTGGACCGGCCACTGCGCTTACTGTGCCTGATCACACCAATGCTCCCCGCATCTTCTCTCAGGAGGCATCCACTCAGCCTTCAGACGAGTTCATGCAGGCGGCCTTCACTCCTCTGATTGGTTTGTCTCGCTTTACCTTTCTCTACATCCGGGACCCCGAGCTGTCTCGGTCTGTTCAGAAGCGGTTCTTCAAACATGGCACTTTCTGGAATCGGCCCTGGAATTTGTAAGTGCATATATACTCATCATCCTCTCCCCACACCTCATTATAAGACTGCCACTGACTTTTCTGCCTAGGTACTACGTGCATGTCCCCGTGCGCATCAGTCCTGGACCGGTGCTTTTTGTGCCCACTTTGCAGGCCCAGGCCTTCCTCGACCAGATCAACACTACTCTGGGCTGCAACCTGTCTCTCACGGGACCGAACCAGGAAGGCATGGCCATTTGCCTCGACGACATCAGTGGCCTCGACCCCGTGTTCTTGGGCCAGAGCAACAGCCGCCGGGACAAGGACAACCTGCGGGCATTGATTCACCCGCTTAGCGTGAATTGGCAGGATTGGACCGAAAGATTCGAACCTGACCTCGTCCGAGAATTCGAGGACAAAGTCAAGTCCGCGGTCGAGGCATCTAAGGACAAGCCTCGCACCAAAAGTGCCAAGGCCAAAGGCGAGTGGAAGCGCCAGCAGCATGAGAAGAAGTGGGAGTCGGCTTTGCTCCGCGCTCAGTCCTACTTTGGGGTGCGTCCACCATTCGCCGATGGCACTGATGCCTACCGAGGAGAAGCTCCGCAGGTCAATGTCCTGCTTGCGAGCAAGTGTCCTCCCCAAGGGGCGCCAGTGTTCATTAGCGTCGATGTCGAGTTGAACGAGCTCAACCCGCACCAGCTGACTGAGGTTGGCATTTCGGTCCTAGACACCCTGGACATCAAGAATCTCTCGCCGGGCGACCACGGCACCAACTGGGTGCGCGAAATCCGCTCACACCACCTGCGCGTGACCGAGCACCGCCACATCGTCAACCACCGCTTCTGCTCGAGCTGCCCTGACAAGTTTGGGTTTGGAGAGACCGAGTTGGTGAACCTGGCAAATGTGGGCCGGACCGTGGACCGATTCTTCACGGCTCCGTTCCTTCGCTCCAACATCGTTATCAATGACGAGGGCCAAGTCGGTCACAAGTCCAACCGGACCGTCATTCTGGTCGGACATGCTCTCAAGCAGGATGTGTCCAATCTTCGCGCCACTGGCAGCCAGGTATTTGTCAACCTGGGCACGCCGACCTCGCAGGTCAAGGAGCAGTTCGACACCGCCGAGCTGTACCGCAGCCTGTACAGGGAGCCGCACGGCCGCTCTCTGGGCTACATCCTGGGAGGATTGAACATCCTCTCAGCCAGCCTCCACAACGCGGGCAACGATGCTCGCTACACGCTGGAGGCTCTGGTTCGGATCTTGCTCGAGGCGGCCGGCGAGCGTCCCGGTGCTTGCGAGAAGGCTTGAGGGGTGGGTGAGTGAAGAGAAACCTGTATCAGGAAGCACCTGATAAACGAAACTATGAAAGAAGAAGGGGGGGAATGGAAAAACATAAAAAAAGGAGGAGGAAAAAACGGGAAAAGTGAAATTCTGTGGTCTAACTTAGGGCTGGCTCTGCAGCCGTTATGGATCTGACGCCATCGCCACGATCAATCTTGCCCCACCGGAGCTTCATCTTTTCTTTTCCCTTTCATTTTCTCTCTCTTTAAATTCTGTCCTAATACACTAAAAGCAGACTCTAACGTAAAAGCAACGATAAACTCATACCTGCCCACGTCACCTAAAATGCCCAGTCAAGGCCTCCTCACCTCCTATCTGCTATCGAGCACGCCGCACGCGCTCACCCGAGCTACTACGCATCCATTCCTCGTGTCCGCAGGGCGAGGCACGATACCCAAACCACTCCTCTCGCAATGGCTCTCTCAAGACCGGCTCTACGCGCAATCCTACATCCGCTTCATCGGGCTACTCCTCGCAAAAATCCGGCTACCAGCACACAACCCGAACAGCGCAACGCCGCGAGTCGCCACCTCGGAGCAACACGCCGTCGATGTACTCATCGATGCGCTGGTAAACATCCGCACCGAGCTCCGCTTCTTCGACGATACAGCCGCCGAGTACGACCTCGACCTGACAGCCATCTCCGTCGAAGAGGGCGGCGTCGGGCTGGGCGAGAGCGGGACCGGCAGCTACATCACGACGTCGGCGGATATCTCGACCACCGGGTCGGGCAGCTGTCCCGGGTTCACGGGCGGGCATGCGGGCAAGGGCACGGAGACGGGCGAGCGCGAGAGCGGGCTGCACGGGCTGTGCGGGTCGCAGGGCGAGTGCCAGATGCAGGCTGACGGCGGCGAGGTGTGCTACCCGCCCACGCAGTCCAACAGCAACAGTATCACCAACACGCAAACCACCCAAAACATTCAACAGGGCCAGGACCAGAGCCAACCTGCCAACCTCGAGCCTACACACGGCGAATGCGACCCCGCCTGCCGCACCACCGATACCAGTAACCCGTCCGCCGAGCCGCTCGAGCGCGGCGGGCCCATCTTCTTCTGTGCGACTCGCACCACGCGCGCCTACATCGATTTGTTTATGTCGGCCGGCAGTGCCGGCGTCTCCGTGCTCGAGGGTCTGGCTGTATTGTGGGCGACGGAGGTCTGCTATCTACGCTCGTGGCGGTATGCAAGCTCGTTCCTCAAGGAGCGCGAGGCAAACCCCAGTAGTGATGACACGGACGGCGGGGCGCTGCGCGATAAGTTTATTCCGAACTGGTCGAGTGCCGAGTTCGAGGCGTTTGTCAATGGCATTGGCGATGTGCTGGATGAAATGGCCGAGTCGATTAAGGGTGCCGAGGAGGCGGAGATGATGCGTGGACGGTGCTTGGAGTGGTGGAGGCAGGTTGTGTGGTTGGAGGAGCGGTTTTGGCCGACGCTTTGATTCTCTTCGTGAAAGAACTTGAAAAAAGAAGACTAATTATCTAGAGTACACCTTGGCAGGTAGCTACGAAATAGACTACAATTTCACACTGTTGTATCATACAATTGATGGCTCCCTGTCGTACATACACAGTCCTCGACGCGGCATGGCAAAGTAACTCGCCGTGTCCAAACGCCGATCCACTCAAAAGACAAGCAGATAAATCAGATAAAAAGTAATAAAAAACCCCTCAACTCCATTTCTCCGACCTTGGCAGTCCTTGCAACACATAAGAGAAAAGACATAACAATACCCAACCCTGCCAACACCGTGGAATGCGGAAGCAACTGAAAGACAAACCCCCAAGGGTCAGTCGAAGAAAATAGAAACAACAAACCAGGGAATAAAAACCAAACATGGTGTACATCGTTTGCACTATGTGGCAGTCGCCCGGGCAGCATTGCTCAACTGCCGATGGTAAGTGCCAATAGGTTGGAATCCCCTAGAAACACAAGTTAGTCTCAAGAATATGATATGAAGAGAGCCATGAAGTCGAGTAGCTTCCAACATACCGAGCCAGGTCAAACCCTCCTCCATCATCTTCGTCTTCTTCCTCTATTCGCTCTTCCTTCCGGGCCCCATTTGCGCCCACATCGCCAGTCTCTGGCCGCAGCGGTGGTAGGGTCCGGTTGGACCCCAGCCCGTTGGTCGTGCCGGGTTTGCTGGGGCTTGCCAAGTTCGGTGGGGGAGGACTGCTACTTGGGAAACCACTAATGATACGATCATCAGGTTCGCCCTTGATCGGGCTGATGTCCGGCACAGGACGGGCCGGGGTGCTGCCGATATCCGCAAACTTCCAGAACTGTGCGGGCGAGCTCATGGGCATGAATTTGGACGGAATCTGTGCTGTGCTGGGTGGCGGCAGTCGCGGTTGCTGACGCTGCGGTGCCGGCGTGATCATTGATGAGGGTCCTTCGTCATAATAGGATGATGAAAGCACCGGCGGAGACCCGGCCATATTGTCCGACAGTCCATACGCGCGGCTGAGATTGTTCGTGCTGGTCTGCGCTCGGCTTGGCCCACCCGCGTTGTTGCGTGAGCGGGCTGGGAGCGGGGACGGTTCCTCGTAGTCTTGCGGATTCATGTGCCGGAGCGGATGGTCCGAGCCGACCCCGCGACCGGCCCGAGAACCACGCTCGGGAGTGTAGGCCTCCACCGGAGCCACAGGGAATGAGCTGAACCCGGGCGATGAAACAGGCGGGGACTTTTTGGCAGCAGCCGAGAAGGAAGTGTCCAGCGACGCAACATGGGTTCCGCGTGATGACGATGGGGGCTCTTTAGTGGCAGGCGAGGACGGGGCAGACGACTGGGTGCCTTTTCGAGTCTGTTTTTTCCGGTATTCTTCCCGATACTCTGGTGCAATCTGCCACTTCATACCCTTGCCCGGCTCGTCGGTTCGACGTGGCACTTTTTGGAACGCCTTGTTCAATGACAGGTTGTGGCGGATGGAATTCTGCCAGCCGCTCTGGGAGTGGCGGTAGAAGGCGTATCGCTCCATGATCCAGTTGTAGATACTGTTCAGGGTAAGTTTCTCCTCCTCGCTCGAGAAGATGGCCTGCGCAATGAGCGTGGCATAGCTGTAGGGCGGTTTCAAGTCCTTGGCGGCATCTTTGCTGTAATCGATATCCTCGGTGCTCTCCATCATCATGCCTCGGTTGTAGAGAGGCGACTGCTTGGCCGTTCGCGCGCCGATAGTGTCAGGCGAGCGCGGCGGCGGCGTCACCTGGCGCTTGAGGAACTGCGGAGCCGGCGCCAGCGAGGGACCGCCTGATGAGGATGGGCGCGCCGGCTCGGTCGCCTGGGACGTCGGCGGATGGGCATGTTGAGAAGCATCCCAAGTAGACGAATTGGGGTCAGGCAGCTCGCCATTGGCGATGCGCTGGGCACGCTGGATAAAATTCGGGTGAATGTTCGGTTCATCGCCGGGGGTAACAAACATCATCTGCGAGTCAGCCACCTGGATGATGTCGCCGCACGAGAGGATCGCATCGGTGCCGCGCTTGATGATCGTGTTATTGAGGCGCACGCCGTTGCGCCCGTTGACTCGGATATGCCAGGAAGGCGTGTCTTCGCCATCGTAGAAGATCTCGGCATGCAGGCGCGAGACGAACTTGCTCGGGCCCAGGTCGACATGGACATCCGGGAGCGCGCGGGCAGCAATACTCACGGGGCTCGATTGCTCGTTGGATTTCTGCTCGCGATCCGGTTCCCGGCCAATGTTGACATGTTGTGTCTTGACGTAGTAGGTCCAGCTGCGACCAGCGATCTTCGCGTACGCCTGGACGATGCTCTCCTTATTCCCGGTTTTGATGTTAGAGTGGTCGCGGGCCACGCGCTGTTCTTCGCGCGGGGCATTCAGGTATGAGATCACCAGGTCAACCAGATCCTGGTTGGTTGCGGGTTCTTGATCCCCCGCCGACTCCTCGGCTTCATCACCGGAGTCGGCTGCTTTGACGGTGGTTCTGGGAGGCGAGGTGCGGCGGTCAACCTGCGTGGGGATCGTGGTATGTTAGCCTCCTTGACTTGCGCGGGGCAAAGAATCCTGTCTCCGCCGCAAAATACCAACCACACTCACCTTGCGCTTCTTAGTGGATGGTCGACTAGGTGATGAGTCCGGGACCTCCGCGTCAGACGTTTCCTGTAGTTGGATTTCCTTGCGCCGTGCGCGACGGCGATTCGAAAGCGGCATCTCGCAAAATCCCCTTAGATCCTAACCTTCAAAGTCGCTGTTGCAGGAACCCTCAAAGGGTTTTTTCTTTTCTTTTCTTGAATGCGGACCAAAAACGGGGCTGGTTACTCCGCAAAAAAAAAAAACAACACGCGGGGGGGGAAGAGAGAGGGAAAAGGTGAAGATGAGGCAAAGCGAGGGCAAAAGCCGCAAAAGGAAGAAAAACACAACAGTCCAACTCTGGATCGTTCAGTGCCCCAGTGCTGGAGAGACGCTCACAGGTAGAACCAGAGAACGACAGCGTCAGAGCCGGCCAACGGATCGAGTGGGTTTGCCACCGAAAAAAAAGGACGAAGAGAGAGAGAGAGAAACACAACGAAATCAAGAACAAAAAAGGGAACAAAACATAAAAGAGAAAAAGAGAAAGCAAGGTGAGGCTGGAAGCACAATACGCAACTGATTGTGTGGCTGGATGTTATTATCGATAATCCCTAGGCCGATCGACACGCGCGATGGCGTCTGTTTAGGGTGACCGCCTTGTCGCGTGGGGAGCGTGTGGTGGCCCACTCTCAGGATCTCTCAGGCAGAGTTGGAGGGAGAAAACAAAAAAAAAGGAACAGAAGAACAGAGGAAAAGAAGAACACACAAGGATAAGCACCGGGGTGAGCATATAAAAGAGAAGAAAAGAGGATTCAACCGCAAAAGAATAGAAGGAAAAAAGAAGGCCGTAAACAGTGGAGTGGTCACGAGAGTGTATTGTATCGGGGGTCACTCTGTTCATACGCAGGGAGGGGGCGGAAATACCAATACCAACATTACGTGCTCAACGTGGGATCCAAGATACTTCCGAGTGCAGCGAGGCAGAGAGTGACGGTCGCATCCAGCTCTGATGTTAGAAATAATTATTCCAAACATGACTCGATACAAATAACAACTTCAATCAATCGTCTGGTTCTTCAGCTAATACTAACAAGCTATGTTTATTGAATAGCTATCCTCGACTTCCCTCGACTCATACTCTTCGAAATCAAAATCGCCGGGCCCTGGCATGATAAGGATCGTTTGCGTCACTGCCCCGGATGCAGTTTAGCCCCGCTGGAATGTTGCCTTGCCCCATTGGGGTTTGACATGTCGATCGGAGTCGAGTCTCAGATCCCTATGTAACCTTGCGCGATCGTCTCCGGGGTACGAGAAGAGGATCCACAGACGCAAACATGTCCACGAGTAAACAAGTGTCAAATTGTGCACCGAAGCCCTAATCATACAAATGGGAACTAAAGAGAAGAGAGGGGACAATCCGGGCCTTGAAGATCCGGAGGCCTGGCGAGAAAAGCAAACGAGAGCAGAAAGAAACAAAAAGACTGGATCCATCGCCGGGAAAAGTCGAAGACGACAAAAAATAAAAACAACCTGGGGAGGGAAAAAAAAAACAAGAGGAAAATTGGTAGGCAGCAGAGAAAATAATTCGTGACGGCGTTAAGATAGAGAACCAAGACCGGCATGCAGGCCTAGGCATCGTCGCCCGGCATCTTGGAGTCGCCATCCTCGTCCACGCCGCGCAGCGTCGGATAAAGAACCATCTCGCCCGCGGGCTTGGTAGACTCCTCCTGGGGTCGTTCGGGAGAGGCTCGCGTACTGGCAGTTTCAATACCAACCATGGCATCACCCGGTGCCGGAGTGGACTGCTCACGGTAGCTGGGAGACTCCACCTCACGGTCGTTCTGCATAAGGTTCGAGACCAACCGACGCAAATGGTCGATCAAACGCGCCTTCTCCAACCAACCGACAGGGACATCGCGCTCAGCAACTTCGGTGGCGGCTTGGGCCGTGCGCTGTGCAGCCTCCTGCTCGGGGTCGGGCGAAGTGCCCAAGGAAAGGGCGGGGTCAATCAGACTCTCCGAAATGGGGACACGCTCCTTGCCGGTAGGAGTGCGGTCGCGGTCTTCCTTGCCATCATGCGACGTGTCCATGCTGTCTTCATTAAGCTCCCGCTCGGCCGGCCGCGCACGCTGCAAGGTGCCTCCAGTGTAGCGGCGTCGGTCATCGTGCTCGAATGCTCCGCTCAGGGTGGAGGGGGTGCAGCACTAGACGCGGTCGGGTACCCTGCAGTCATGCTGTCCGAGACAGTAGTCGAAGGCAGGCGGGGATACATGCCGGCACCGCTCTCATGCGGCGGCGAGACACGGTGGGTGTGAGGCAAGGAGATAGGAGAGCGATTGGAAGTGTATGACTGCGCGCTCGAGGGCGGCGTCAGGGCGGGCGTGCCAGTGGAGGGAGAGTGGGCTGAGGTGGCAGACATCATGGGAGCCGAGGTGGCCGCCGAGACATGGCTAGGCGGCAGCTGGCTCGGAGGAGAGTTGGTGGTACGGTAGCTCATACCACCCTGCACGTAGTGCGCACCCGGCTGAGCGACACCAGCGGCAGCCACGTTATCCTCGCTCTCGTAAATGGTGTTCTGCATCTGCTCCAGGAACTGATCAATGTTGATGAGATCACTCTTGGTCCGGACATTGGACATGGGCGGGAGATGATAGGCCGGGGCGTGCGAGCCACCGGGGCTGTATCCACCACCGCCAACAGGGACCGATGCGACCATGGGCTGGTAGTCCGAGACTGGGCCATTCAGAATCGGAAGCTGCAGCGACTGCAAACCCTGCAGGCGCTGGCCGACCGCGACATACGAGTTAGGGTCGAACTGGCGGCGCTTCAGATCGCCAAAGAACTCGTTCAGAGCGTCGTAACCACGCTTGCGATCGTAGGAATGATTGCCATCTTGACCCTGGCTCAAGGCGTAGTACACGTTACCATAAGAATGAGAGTTAGCGGGCTGTGGCGCCGGGTGCGGCTGGTAGTACTGCGGAGCCCCATGCGTGTATGCCGGGCTTGAGACAGCGTTGATCGGGCCTTCGAAATAGTGGGTAGCGGCGGCGTAGCCTGGAGTGTCATAGCATTCAGTCAGCGGTTGAACGGGTGGGTAGATCCAAGTTTGCGAACGCAAAGCTCCAGATTCTAGATAAGGGAGATAGATCCTCCTGGATCCACCAAGGCTTTGAAAATTAAAATTCCGGCCAGAAGGTGACACCCGCGCCATAGACATAGAAAATCTGGCTGCTGGGCGGCAAAAGCTTGAAGGAAAAAAAAAATCCTGGAAAATCGACCAACCTTTGGGGTTCGGGGGGAACATCATATCAGGGTGATGCTTCAAGCCCGGTCCGGGTTCAGGGGACCGGATCTCCGAGTCGTCGGCATGGGTCTTGACGTGTTTCTTCAGATCTTGGGGACGCTTGAAGGCCTTGCCACAGAAATCACACTTGTGTGGCTTCAAGGGCACATGGACTCGGATGTGCGAGGTGATGTGGTCACGCTTGACGGTGGTGGTGTTGCAAGTGCCCCAATGGCAGGTCAAGTTCAAGTTGTTGGTGCTCTTGCGGCCGACGTGGCGCTCACAGACATGTTCCTAGATTTGGTATTAGCACTCCCACGACCCTCCCATAATTCTGTCGAGATCAGCTTACGTAGAGTGCCTCGGCCGAGGGACTCCTTTCCGTGCATCCCACCCACTGGCAGGGCAACTGCTCGCCGGTGCCATTCATTGGGGGGCTGTTAACGGCAGCGCTGGCAGCGGCAGCCGTTGCAGTCACTGATGCCGGTGTGGATGCCTGCGGGACAATCTGAGCCTGCTCTGCGCCAGCAACGGGGGCCGGCAGCGAGGTGGCATGCGCCGTCGCGGTAGAAGGGGGAATGTTGTTCTCCGTCATGTTGCCAAGAAATGGATTCTTGTGCTGGCGGAAATGGCCAGGCTCAGATGACAATAAGAGATGGGATGAAATGACAAAACCGAGAAAATCAAGCCACGAGCTGGCCAGTGACGATGAAAGAAATAGTAGTGATCAAGCGTCTCACAAAATGACAGCGCTCTTGTCAGACGAGCATGAAGGGGAAAGTGAAATAAGAAAAGGGGCAGAAGACAAGAGGGCCAGAGAAAGAAAAGTGAGGGAAGAAATGGGGGAAAGTCTTGGGAAAGGCCTCTCCGCAACAACACGCAACGAAACAGTGGGGGAAGTTCAGAGGAAAAGAGCCGAGCCTTGCCCAGAAAAGGCCGCTTTGCTGAGCCGGGCGGAGGCGTGACAAGAAAGGGACAAGACGAGACAAGACGACAAGACCGGGCCAAGAGTCGGTGCGGACCCCAAGCCCCGACTGGCGTTGCGCCATGGCCTGTGACTGGCTGACCATGGACCAGGGCCCCCCGGGTAGAAACGAGGGGCTGTGCGCCTGCATTCCATCTCACCCGGTACCAATACCGCATACCCCCCTCTCCGGGATTGGGGGGTTTTAAGGTCGCATTTTGTTGAGGTTTGGTGCTGAGAAACAAATCAGCAGGGAATACTTAGGAAGCTACGATGGACTTGACTGAGCAAAAAGATGGTGTGTGAAGCCGGATAATCTATTTCTCCGGGGACCATCGGTGGCCCGAGTCCCGGTACTGGACATGTGGTAACTTTGGTAATTTACCACCTGAATACGGTGGCCTAAGCCAACACAAATGAATCGCCCCGGGGCCCAATCCCCCGGGTAGAATTGACTCGGGCGAAGACACCCTTGAGAGAGAAAGAGGGAAGCACATTTTCAAACCATGGATCACGATGGAGTTGTGGTAATAGGCAACTCAATGCCAAGGACTCGTACCCTTGGGGCTATGCCTCTTGGCAGCCAAGTGTTTCCTCGCGCCATTTCCCGCTCCGAGAACCAAGACAGGAGGGAGAGTCTTGGGTCTTGGTATCTCTCGGCATCACCATGGCCTGAGCGGATGAATCCGGAAGAATACGGCTGCCTGTTTTCTCCTCGTGGCATGCCTCACTGGATTCCTCGGCCAACCCCCATTTTACCGAGCCAGAGTCGAGGGGGGCCGAGGGGGAAGGGGGGTTCACGAATGATGCTGTGCCCATGATTCCATCGGACAGTCTACGTGAGTTCGTGTCGGACACGGTGGCGCGAATCGGTCTTACAACAATGGGAAAAAAAAATCCCATGGCACTTGCGCTGGAACTCTGCGCAATCAAGAATTCCAAGACGCGCCCGGATCCAGCTCGTCTCCCGCTTGGCTTCTTGGTCCTCTTGGTTGTCTTTCCAAATTCAATCGATGTTGATTTTATGTTCTAGGATAAGGATGTCTCTCGTTCGCATTACCCCTGACGCTGCTTTCTCTTCGGCGGCTGGTACCAGCTCCAAATATTCAAGCCCACCTTCGTCCCCGACGACACCGGGAACGCCGCATGCCAGGTCTCCGGGTACCCCGTCCCATCCGGGCGCAGATTCTCCCAAAAGATCGCATTCCCCTTGATAGGCTTGAACGTGATTCCCGGCGGCGGATGCTGGCCGTCCTCCTCGCACTCCAGGAACCGGCACCACTGCTTCCCCGGCGGCATGCGCAGGCGCGGGAAATTCGTCCCGCCACCCGTGCAGTCTGCATCCAGGTAGACCATGAATGTGCTGAGACGGTCACCGCCGTGGGCCAGTGACCCAGTCCAGTCGAAGTGGTGCCGGTAATGGCCCGAGGCGTTGTAGCGTTGCGCCCACATGCGCTCGATATAAAGGTGTGGGCGCCAGCCCTGGAAGGCGCGAGCGCGCTCTTCGAGGCAACGTACGGTGTCGTCGCGATCGAGGAGAGCGCGGTCCGAAAGGCGTTTGGAGGGATCGACTCGTTCGTTGATGCCGTCGTAGACGATGGAAGGGGTATATTTATTCACACTGTGACAAACAACGCAAATAGATTAGCTACTCTCCTGCCATCCCCCCCCCCCCCCCTTCACTACTCTTTTTCATAGAATGGCTTCTTACCTCACATCAACAAGATGGCCTGCCTCCTCATGGTTCAGGAAATTCTCAATATACATCACCAACGGCTCACGCGACAAGAGATGCACGTGGTACCCATCGCCCTCTCCGGGACAATTCGACGGCACACCATCCTCCGGGCTGATAAAGCTATCGTCGGCGAGGTTCAATGCCGGGGCGGCGGTCTTATCGAACTCGTCAAAGGTATCGCCGTCATCGGAAGAAACCGATATCGGCCCGGGGAAAATCTGGCTGAGAAGCGGGTTGAGGACGAAGAGGTATACCGGGATCAAGTAGAAGAACCACGATATCACGGTCGACAGTTTCGGAACCGAAGTCATTGGGGGTTACCAATCACAATAGCCCGAATCAAAAAGATATGCAGAAATAGATAAATAAATAAATAATATACAAGGTCGGTCGAGGAGAGGTTAGGACTTTATGCGACCGAGCCGGACGTGCACGGAAGACTCGGGTTGGCTTGGAAGTAAATATCGGGTCTATTATGCAAATAAAAAATGAGTGGAAGCGATTGCTTTGTGCCCAGGGAGAGCCATGTCGTTTCGATATGAAGTTGAAAAGGTCGAGACTGAGATGAGGTCGATGTGGGTCAGCTCTAGCGCGATGCCGCGATTTGGCGCAGCCAAGCCCTAATGACGCAGATCCATACTGTAACATCCAGTTCAGAGGTATCCAAGTGTTCTCTACGGGCTATTTCTGTTAGGCACATATTTTGAATCTAGTGTAAATTGGTTCAGGACATTCAGGCCGGCTGGAATACTTGGCTGAAGTAATCCACACAAGAATCGCCCGACTTACTACTTATGTGACGTCTCAGATTCTTCTTTAAGCTGGCCCGGCTGGGCACTCACCTTTATCAGACAAGGCAGGGATCTAGACGAGAATTATACCTCCTTTGGTTGACCCCACACTGGCTCCTAATACAAAATAATATACTATAAGTAAAACGAAGATTGTGAAGCTATTCTTATTCTTGATGTGATCTAGTAGATTTTAATGTTAGGTTTCAAAACCCGGTGGTAACTCTAATTATCAGACATACTCTCTACTTCAACCGGCCATTCTTGAATAAAAGGAGTAGATTAGGTTCGGGTTAGAATGGGTCGCGCTGAAGCCTAACCATAGGTTTCCGGATAGTAATAGACGACAGCGCGCGGATTACTTCTGGTAAAACTGCGTCGCTTTCGCTATGCAAAGCACAGGTATGATGCATCTTCCAGTTGGGAGATATGCCGGTCCCGACACAAGTCGGCATAGATATCACGACTCTCCCCAATCATCCTCAGCATCACCCATTGTTCATTGCCCTTGATGAGCCGGGCCCACAGCTTGACAGCAGCAAAGGCCAAGTAGGCACAGTCAGAAGGCGATACGGGACCAGGAAACAAATCCTCGTCACTGGAATTGCGTCCCTCTTCGACGTTATCGGTGATCCCACCGATCAAGCGAGATTCGTGGTCTGCAACACGGCAATGTCAGCATGCATTATCCTCGACTTTTGCATCATTGTCCAACGAAAGAAACGGGAAACGGTGTAATAACTGTATATCCAAGTAAAACTATGCTTCGGATAAACATACCATCAAGCGGTCGCCGAGTTTGACAGTCCCCTATACAATACAGTCATTTGCTAATAAAAACGGCAAACTCGAACCTACACAGCGAATACTGGATACTCCAAACAAAAGCATGGCTGCGAGCCACAAATTCAACCCCCAGCTTGACGGGAATGCTCAGCGCGTGTGTCACATGTAGTATGGCAGGAAGCAGATGAGGTCCGGCCGGGAGACGCGGTACTTGGAGAAGTCTGTGTGCGATCTGGACCGGATCCCGGGACTGCAAGATGCGATATGATCCAATATCAAATGCAAGCCGAACATATGCCAGACCAAGCAGCTGCTTCATGGCCATCCCCGGCAGCAAGTTGCAAGGCGCTACATGTCGAATCCCGGTCCCATATCTATCGCAGACAATAGATCCGCGCCTGCGCCCACTAAAAGCTCGATGATACCAGGCAGTCCGGCCTGTACGGTGAGACATAGTGCTTTGTTTGTCGCTTCAAGCGAAATAGGCGCGTGCCTGGTTTTCCTTAGCAGTTAGCGGATTACAGGTGTTTAATTCCTTGTCGTGGCCCATTCGAGGACAGTGTTTCCGTCGGCGCAGATATGGCTGTGTGCTCGTTGGTAAAGGTGGGAATCGAGGATGCTAGCATATCTCCGTGCTGTGCGTAGAAATGAGCCGACGTCTCGTGTGGCCAGAATGTCTACTATCAAGAGGACGATCTCGATTGGAAGGTCGAGTAGTGGACTTGGCCACGCCTGTCTGATGGGCATCTTGAATTTGAGGCATACTCTGAATAACGCCTTGTGTTATTTCACAAGTTTTACCTTTTCGGGCACTATAAAAGACAGACGTAGACAAGGGGCTGCAGAAAATGAGAAGCGGCAGAGGCCTTGCCAGGCATTCGTTGTGTCCATATGTTTGGACTGTTTTTTTACTTGTTGTCCTATGGGGAAACAGTGAACCTTGAAATGTGGTTCTACTTGGGATGAGCAATCCTAATTCCAGTATATACTAGGCAATGAATATCTGGAAAAGCAAGCTCGGAAATCGATATATCCAGATAATGACAAACATAAACAAGCCCAAAGCACGCCCTAATTCCAACTTGCACCGCCCAACCAGGTATGTAAACCAGCCTATGCACCGAACTTTTTTCTCCCTCGTGAATTTGCATATCCTCGTAAAACGAAAAGAAAAGAAAGAAATCGCCAAGACATCAATCTCAAACGCCAGCATTCATCCATTGCGTCCAATCATCATTCGACTCCGCATTGCCAGGGCGGGGGACAGCATTGTTTCCAAAAAGATCGTCAAACGAGATTCCAAGATCCATACTCGGTTCCATGGTATTTTCATCCATGCCCATGCTGAAACCCTGTAGTCCATTAGGAGCCGGCGGGTTTTGCTGGGGTGTCAGACCCGTGGAGACGTTTGTGGGCTGGAAGTTGTAGCCCTGCCACACAAAGTTCTGGTTCGGGATTGACACCAGGTCCGGACTACCAAGGGCTTCGTTGGGGGTCTGTGCCTGTGAAATCGGGGATTGAAGACGGGAGCCCATGGGTTGCGTCACGGGTTGGAGACGGCTCGGCACCGACGATTTGATCGGAGTGTTAACGGGGAGGTTCGGAAATTTTGTGAAAGCATCGAAGGTGGGAGTGGAAATGCCAGCACCCGATGGGTCGTTGGGCGTGGTGGGTGCCATTCCCGTTGGCTGCGGTGCCGAATCGAAGGGATATTGGGTTGATTGCATTCCCGTGTGGTCGTGTCGGAAGTGGTCATCTTCCAGGGTGGACATGGGTTGTGTGGGATATGCGAATGGGTCATCGGAGGGAAACATGATGGGCATGAGGTCTGGGAGACTGGCGGGGTTGTTGAACTGCTGAGCCCAAGCCAGGCTCGATGGTTCTTGGTTGGAAAAAGGAGGATTCAGAGAGCCCGCTGAAGAGATTTGTTCTGGTGTAGACATGGTTTCCGTGAGCAGCTCCGGAGTCGACGCCATCCAAGCTGACTGGCTACCACTGTCTGTGGACCGAGTTTGCGTATTATCACTGCTTGCTTGCCGACGGGTTGGAGTGCCGGGCATGGTGGACTGGGGCATCATTTGCGTCGGGAATGCACTGGATCGGTGAGGTAGGGTTTGCGTAGACGGCGTAGGCTTGGTTTCGATCTCGACAGATTGGTTGGACGGGGCCGGTCGCTTGAGGTTGACGGGGGCCTTGGAACTCTGACGGTTCTTCAACATCTCAGGCAAAGTCTTGAACAGGCACTATATACTTTGTAAGCTAATTTCTTCGCGGGGGCATTTTATGGGAGAAACACTTACGGTCAGACTCTGGGAGCACCGGTCCGCGGCCATGCTTTTCTTGGCCAACCCGGCCAGGGTGTTTTTGCCTTCCATGGCATCCTTGAGGACCCCGTCCTTGGCAGTCGGCGAGTCGGGGTTCTCGATCACGAAGAAGATCAGAGAGAGAATGGCGAAATAGGTCGTGTACATTGTGAACCAGAACGAGCCATTCAGCAGACCTCGTTTTTGCATTCCGGTGGTGATGTGGACAATGTTCCGGGATACACTGACACACGCCGCCGCGCAAGCATAGGACCGCTTGTCCACACCCCGCGCCTGGGATCCCCCAGAAACGTAATGTAAGAATGGGCGATACATGACCATTTGCACATGGGCGTAGCTGATACGTAGCAGTTGTCGGATACTGGAAGGGATCAGTAAAATCCAGGGATCTAACTAGAGAATAAGGTAAAGACTCACCGTTCCAACTGTGGCGAGACTTCCGTGCCTGGACGCAAAGCCGCAGGCAGTTCTTCCATCCAACCTTGAAGATCACGCTCGATTTCACGGATCTTGGAATGGCTCACCATGTATCGCTGATCTGATTTGGAACGATACCGAGCATTCTTGACAGGGTAGATGTATTTCACCACCTTGAGAATGATATTTGAAAGACGCGTGTGGGCATTAGAGCCCGCCATCAAGGGGGTGTGATTTGACGGCATCTGTGTAATACCTGACGCAGTAATGAAGTCCCCGTCCACTTCCAACGGATACTCTTGATCGATGTCGTCGTCGCTCAGCATCTGAGGAAGACCCAGAAGTGTGCTGACGTAGACGTCCATTTTACGGACAACCCAAAAGATGCGCTTGCGCAGCTCTCGCTCAATGGGGTTAAAGTCAGTGGCCACTGTGCGATGCAGGCCCAATCGTAGTGCGGAGCGAAGGGCGATGCCGACATATGAATAGCATGTGCTCAGCTTGGCCGAAGACTGGAGGAAAAGCACCATGAAACAAATCCCCTGCAGCGATGTCAGATCGCGGCAATCTGTGACCTCCAGTAGTTGCCGGCCGGCCTTGAAGAATTGAAACCTATCTCGAGATATGATCAGCTGACAATTCATGACAAGGGGAATGAGAGAGTCCAAACACCATACCCTTGGCCAATCGCGCCCTCATAGCCGGCTTGGTCGAGGGTCCCGGCTCCGTCATCTGAGAACAGACACCCAACAGCCATGACGATATAGAGGAGCGGCAAAAACGAGTTTTCCTCATTGGTGAATTGGTCAGGCGAGGTATCGTAGATGCGATCGAGATTGGCGAAGAAAGAGGGTTCATGCACAAAGCGCATCAAAGAACAGGCATCGTCAAGCGCATTGTGGCATAGGCGACGAGCGACCGCCCGCGGCGGCAGGTCGTGTGTGAATTGGATGGATGCGTCCTGGGGGGACTCCGAGACGGATTTCGGGCTTTCCAGCATGTGCGTCATCGAGTGTGGTCGCGTTATGGGCCCGGCGATCTCCGCCGCGCCCAGCTGTTTGCGCAGCCGGCGGACAAAGATGATTCCCGAGGTGTGTCCGTGATAGTCCCAATGTCCCTGATCGTCGCGATCCAAGCAGCCTGAATTGTCGACCATAGTTTCGAGCAGCGACTCGTCCCCGCCGTCCGGTGCGGCCTCGGCCTGTGTCCCCGACGGTTTGCTACCCCCTGTCGCTTGCCTCTTCTGAGCAGCGAGTTTCTGCTCGGCTGCATGCACATCTAGTTGCGGGTCATCGAGATTGATGTCAGGGAGAACGGTCCGGAGGAGGGCCTCGGCCTTGTGCAGACGAGTCTCGAGGGCCTCGACATACTGCGGGGCAGGATTCCGACGGCGGTTGGAAGGTTGATCATAAGTACACTCTGTGGAATGTCGGGGTTAGCCACGTGTGACTGCAGAAAAAGAAAAGAAGATCGAGCGATCATCGCACCATAACTATAGACTGTACAATGGGTACATGGCTGCTTGCCGTCGCACTTGATCTTCTTTCGGCGACACTCGTCGCAAGCGCGCCCGACTCTCCGCCTTTTCTGCAAGGGCAACGACTGAGGGGTTAATTTGGGGTCCACGGGGGAGTTGTGAATAGACGTGTCGTGGGAATGCGGATCGACATCGTCGTGCAGGTACTGGTCATTCAAGGCTGCGGAATCATCCTCGTCGCCCGAATGAGGGCTCGTCGTCGCCATGACTCTGGATAGAAGGAAAGTCGAACGGTGCACGGATTCATGTAAGGAGATGGAGCTTGGCAATGTAAACTGCTATCGCCCTTGCTAGGGAAATTCCTGAAACGTATCAAGTCGCAAAAGCACAGGGAAATGCGAGCGAGATAATGCGAAGAATAAGAAGATGAATAATGCGGCGGGGATCCACTGGATGATGAAATAAGTCGAGGGCGGTGTGGACCTTCTTTTTCTCTTTTTCTCTTTGGCTTGGAAGAAGAAATGGAAGAAATGGAAGAAAAGAAGAAAAGAAGAAAAGAAAAGAAAGACTAGCAAACCCCATGGAATCTACCTTGGAGGTCCCATTTGGAGAGCAACCCCGGTTTCTGTGAGTCAGCGCCCCCCTCGGACCTTTTGGCGTGAGACGTGTCTGTGCACTTTTTTCTCTTTTTCTTTTCTGATTTGAGGCATTTTCACTCGGGAGCAAAGACCGAACCCATCCTCGTTCTCGCATACTCTCGGCCCCTCGGCCTGCCAGACGGGAACGCCGGGGGCTCGGTGCTCGGGGGTTACAGCCCGGTATGTATAGTATCCATGGATAGGATGGTTGAGAACTTACAATATATCTGAAAAAAAAAACCGCGGGATATATTGGTTTTTGAGTAATTAGCTCAGGTTTCTTGAGTCAATCTTTTCTTTGCGTAGGCCTATTTCTCTGGAATAAAAGTAAAATTATTATTATTATTATTATACAAAGTAAATAAAATATCAAATATAATCTAGTCGAAGCAGAGGAGAGAAATAGTAAGTAGTACTTACCATAACTTATGCGATACATTAAGTAAATAATAAGCCTCTGAAATATATCACTCTTACTCTCGACTATACCTCCTAAAGCCGAAGTCAAGCGAGGTCAGCGACTCGTATAGTCTAGTCTAGTATATTCGATAGTCGCATGATCTCATAGTGGCATTTAGACTGCAGGGGGCATTTCAGCGTGCATGCCCGGGAAACGGAGAACAGGAGAGGGCAAGAGAAGGGGAACGACAGAACTAGCATTCAGGGCGATCATAGAACGAAACAAAAGCTCAGCCCTGCGACGCGTTGAAGAATGAACAGCTCCCCCCACTTCTCGGCATTTGTGAAACTGCAATTGACGCAATTTACACTCGAGGATCAAGTATCAAGCATCAAAAGTGTAAGGGGCAGAGACTTGATTACATTGTTCGCGATCGCATCTCTCCCCCTTGAGCACGTCCCACTTCCCCACGCATTCCGGCGCGCTCTGGGACTTTTCTGTTCTTTTTTTGCCTATAATTATCAATTATCCGACTCCCCCTCAATCCTTTCCATGGCTACTCTCCAACGGATTGCTGGAAATCCAGTCTTTCAAGCAATGTAGCCATGGCTTTCGTCCTTGTCTCGCTCTGCTGTGCCTTTGCCGCCCTGGGTTCATTCCTGTTCGGCTACGACTCCGGCGTCATCTCGTCGAGTATCAGCCAGGATGCGTTCCTGCAGCGGTTCGGTTCGCCTGGCTTATCTGATGCCGCGACCGGGGGCATCGTTTCATCGTACAACGGTAAGATCATGGTCCGGCAAAAATCGATCTTCCTCTTATATCTAATCTCAATTGATTAGGAGGCGCAATTATCGGCTCGGTGTTTGCCCCCTATGTCTCCGACCGTCATGGGCGCAAGATGGTGGTCCTCATCGGAGGACTGCTCGCCAGTTTCGGGGCCGCGCTTCAGGGAGGTGCCGTCACGATCGCGATGCTGATCGCTGGCCGATTCATCGCGGGCTTGGCAATTGGTCTTATGTCTGCCACTATCCCCGTCTATTGTGTACGTTTCTACCCCGGCTTTCTCGGTCTTATCTTATCCTCAGCCATTCGATCCGATGATGCTAACCCCTTTTCAGAGCGAGGTCGCACCATCTCGCATCCGCGGCTCCTTAGCAAGCATGCAACAATTCATGATCGGCTTGGGAATCGTGGTGGCAGTAAGTAACCCTCTCCCGAAGGTTGCTGGGGCCTCACTGACTCATTGGGATAGCAATGGGTCGGATACGGGTGCTCCCTCCACAAAGGAGACTTTACCTGGCGCTTCCCACTTTCCTTCCAAGCCGCCCCAGCATTCATTCTCACCTGCGGCGTGTGGTTCCTCCCGGAGTCCCCGCGGTGGCTCATCGCACAGGGCAAAGAAGTGGCCGGCCGCTCAGTCCTGACGCGACTGCACCTCAACCGAGACGCAACCAACACGCAACTGATCGAGCACGAACTCGACCAGATCCACGACAGCCTCGTCCACGAGCAACGGACCGCCGTCCGTTCATGGCGCCAGCTCTTCCTCACCGGGCGTTGGCGCCGCCGCATCCTCCTGGCATGCGGCCTGCAAGCCTTCACACAGTGCTCCGGCACGAATGTGATCCAGACCTACGGGCCGCGCCTCTACAAATCCCTGGGATTCAACACCACAACCTCACTAATGATCCCCGGGATCTGGGGCGCGCTCGCGCAGTTCTGGAACATGGTCTTCATGCTCTTCATCGACCGAGTCGGGCGCCGCAAGCTTCTACTACCATCGCTGCTGGGCATGGGCGCAGCCATGTGCGTGGAAGCAACGTTGGCGCACTACATCGATTTCGACACCCGCGGCGCCAACGCAGACGCGCTACGCGCCGCCATCGCCATGTTCTTCGTCTTCTCGTTCTTCTACACCGCGCTCGGCCTGATCTCCTGGATCTACCAGTCCGAAATCTTCCCCACGGCCATCCGTGCCCGCGGCTCGTCCGTCGCCACTGCCACGAACTGGAGTCTCAACCTGGTGTTTGCGCAGTGCTCGCCCATCGCGCTCACAAACCTCGGCTCCAAGTACTTTTACTGCTTTGTCGGCTTTAACTGGGCTGCTGCTGTCCTGGTTTGGTGCTTCTATCCTGAGACGGTCGGCCGCTCGCTCGAGGAGGTCGAGGATGTCTTTGCAGATAGGATCCCGCAGGAGAAGCTGGACTTGGATCCTGCTGCTACCCCGAGTCCGGGGCCGGTGATGCCGCCCCGCTCGCTACTTCGTCATAAGGGCTTGCATCCGCTGTCGATGCATCCCACGACAAGTAGTAGTGGGAGTAGTAGTAACGGGACGCCTTCTAAGGGGTCTGATGTCGATGAGGACGAACTTGTAAAATAAATATAGATAGGCTTCTTGCACTGTGTCGTATCCTTACGATATGCCAATGACGACCACGAAATTTAGAGAAAGCGATAATCTCATGCTGTAGGCCCCGTGACTAGGAACAGTGCTGAATGATTATAGTAGCAGTCAAAGATGCATTCAGATATTTCATTCATCAATCATGGAGGGTATAGTGTCAGAGAGCGGGTATATACAGACAGGTCGAAACAATATGACGCTGGCTTGTGAACACATAGTGTGATAGTACATGGTAATATACAGCAAAGAAAAAGAAAACCAATGCCCCGGAATAGAACAGAAAAAAAATCACTCGATCAAAGAAGGCATGACATAGCTCGTCAATGGTGCCTCGAGGATTTCTTGACGGAGCTCAGCCTCCCAAATCTCCCAGAGAAAAACCGACGAGTCCTGGAGGTGCAAGGTCAAACACGAGAACAAGAAGTCGTTCACGCGATGCCAGGACTCCGCCCGCAGCCGCTTGGCAATTTTCAGCATGCGGCCGGCAAACCACGGGCGCGCGGCGGGGGACGTTGCCGTGGGGGAGTACTGCGAGTAATCTGGGATATTTTCTGGTAGTGTCGTGGCAATTGGATTACTCGCATCGGCGGGCCAGTCGTTTGGATCGCCATCGTTGCATGCGAGCAGGATTTGGAGGACCGCTTCGACAGAGCCGCTCATGCTGACCTCGCTGTCGACAATGGCTTGGTTCAGTGTCTTCAGGAATGCTGCGGCGCGGTCCGGGGTGTATCGGTAGTCCCAGAGGGCGGCGTTCAGCATACCCAAGGCGGTGAGGCGGGCAACCATTTGCTTGCGGTCGCCGGAGGCTGTGAATCGTGCTCCTGGGGGTGCGGCTAGGATCTGGAAGAGAAGTGATGTTTCTTGAACGGCCGTGCGACGCTCTGGGGGCGAGAATTCGGTACTGTCTTTGTGGTAGAGGGCCAGCTGCTCACAGCGTCGCAGGAAGTCGAGGAACTCCTCGCACTGTAGCCGAAGCTCGTCAATTGGTGACGAGACCGCGTAACTGGGTATCAGAGAAGATGCCTTGGGCTCTGGACATGGAGGGAAGTCGGAGAGAACGGAGGAAGTAGAATCTGGTGGAGAAGGCATCGACTGGACATTGTGCAAAGACTGGGATAGAGGTGGTTCACGTTCAAAGAAGAAGCTGGGCCCGTGAGTCTCATACCCCGACAAGATATAGTCTTGCCAATTGATCAGCATCCCGAGGCGCGTGTTTGCAAAGGTCGCCGGGCCGCCGCGGGCTCGGATCATCTGGCGCGCGGCTCGCATATGGACCCAGCTAATCTCCTTGTGTCCTGGCCGCGGATCGAAATCCTCGAGGGCCGCTGCACTTAGACACGAGATAATGGCGACATCGGAGATATCTCGGGGGTTGTTGGTGAGGTGCTCGCGTAACATGGTGAGCGCTCGGTCTCGGTGGAGGAGAGTGTTTCGGGTTTCGGTCTCACTGCGGACCCAGGCCCAGGTGTTGGCTGCATGGACGAGAATAGTGTTCTGGAACGCGACTGGGCCTTTCATCGCCTCTGGGACAAAAACTGCGGTGTACCAATTATGCGCCTTCGTTGACCGGAAATGCGAGCCGTAGGAGCAAGCCGGCATATCATTGACATAGAAATCGAAGAGTTTCTGTCCTTCTAAATCCAAATCAAGAGGGAGAGAGTTGAATGGGTCGGTGCGCGCTGCACTCATCATGGACCGGGGTGACTGTATGAACTCGAGGGGTGTCGTGGGCCCCGACGACCACGACGCGAGGCTGCTGAAATCGGTGGTACGACTTTGGACACTTTGTGGGGATACATCGACCACACCCTGCGATGGAAAAAGAAACCCAGGGGATTGAATAGGAGATGTGCGGAGAGGTAGAGACGGCGCATTCACAAAATGTTCTCTCGGCAAAGGATGTGAGGCTGAACTCTCGGGAAACAAAACGCCATCGGTTTCTTCAACATCGAGTGGTGGGCCTTCTTTGGATCGGGCTGCTGCGCGGCGCTGCCTTGTCGACCTGCGGAAATTCTGTTCGTTGCCGTCATCTTTTCTCTCGAGTTTGCGGGTGGACGCCCGAGTCCTTTTGGGACGCCCGAGTTTGGTTTGTGGGTGCTGGCTGGTATCATCTTCACTTTCGCTGCTGCGCGAGTCGCCTTTCTTCTGTCGCATATATTCTTGCATAACATGACGTTTGACCTGGGTCAGGTTACTCCGGCTGTTGTTCGAAGCGTCGATGAATTGCCACCGCATGTTGGATGGCTCGGGGGGATTGCTGGAGGCCGGCTTGTCCGGGGCCGTGGGCATGTTCCCGAGGCTGTCGCGGGCACCGGTCAATGTGGGTGGGTAAGGTATGAAAGGCGCGATAATAATTTTCGGCAGCCGCGTGTGTTGCGTGTGAAGCAATGGGGGGTTCGCAATGGAGGGGCGCAGATGAATTTAGCCAAACCTCGAGTAGATCGATCGAGGGACTCCAACGTGCGCCCATAAACGCAGAAGGATTCGATTTAAAATCGAGTGACGGAAGCTGAATAATGACGCCAAGGGACCTCATCAATGAGCGGACGACGGAATATACAAGGTCGCGCGAGTGAAAACAAGCAGAGCCCTCGAGGATCCACTCGCACATTTAGCCCACAAGAGAGAGCGGGCCCCGGGCGACTCAATGCTGCAGAACCAACCCTCGAGCCAAGGTGCTGCAGACAGACACGTGTGTTTCAAGAACCAGGGGCAAAGCGATCGATTGGTTCAGGTTGGTAAGATCCAGGGCCTGACGAAATAGAGTCAAATCCAGCCTGCTCGCACTCGATCACCCATCTTGGGGTTAGTTGAGATTGGAGGAACCCAAGGGACTCTCCACCTGTGGGGAATGGCCCCCTGGCAGGACGAATCAAGTGGGGTAGGGCGTATGGACATGATTGACCCACGAGTCATGCGACTATCAATCTTGGGTTGATGTTAAGAAGACCGGAATCACGCCGGCGCTAGTTGAAGTGCGCCCAAAATCTCAGGCACAAATATCACCACCCCTTTTTGCCCTAACTATCCATGGACGATGTCCTCCTGGGTGATCGTTGCACCTGCGTGAACTGAGACTTGCTGGTCATTATGCTGGACTACTCAGGTCAAATCATTCTCGAAGCCCGTGGAGAAAAATTTTTTTTCTGGAAATGAGAATTATCGTAAACAACCACTCGGATGTATTCGGTAACTAAACCAAGATTTATGCTTGGGAGCACAGTAATGTCTCAGCGGCATATCACAAGGACATTCAGCGAGGTGAAGGGAAGCGCGTAGGAAATTGTGAGCATTCTTCATTGCGCTGCGTCTATTTTTGGGTGTCGTTTATCATACCCAATAAAGCTGCGGCTCATCACCATCTTGACGCTGAGTGGTGTTTCAGGCCCTAAGACAAACATCTCTGGTCCTTGCTCCACTGGTCTCCAATTTCGCCAGATCATTCGTTCCCACGACATACTTACCTTGGTATAGCCTTGGATGATCACTTTCCGGGGTCTGAAACTGAAACACAGCCCTGCAACCTACCCCAAACAGAGAGCTGGGTAATTCAGAGAGTGGCTCAAGGAGAGATGGAGGGAATAAGGGGCACCTGTTATCTTCCACTCCATTCTATTATTTTGATTCATTTCGAGTGCTAGCCCAGCGGCACATCATATAGTTTTTGAATTTATTTTTTGCCTTGCCTTCCATTGAGTGACCTACTGCTGGCCAGGTTTTCTATGTTGTTTATATCATGATTGAACCATTCAAAGATGATTTGTATTCTCTATCCTATTTGCAATCTCCAGAGAGTAGGTCTTTTATTATTCAAATTGAGGGCTATTGAATTGATGCCGAGGTTCGTGCATCGAGTGGAGGTGTTTACGCAGTGCTGTCCTATACATACCGGGCTGCAATTTTTCAGGTATCTTGGGAGATGTACATGTAAATAGTATGTATGGATCCTAAATACGATTAGTAGTGAACGCCCCAACTCCCCGCTCACTTCTACAACAACGCCTGGTCGTTCTGCCTTTCTGAAACGATGCAACCATCGGAACAGCCAGATGGAATCAATTCTCATTCTCCTTCTTTGCCTTCTTTCCCAGTCGAACTACTCATCGAAATATTCGGTTTTCTACCCTCGTTTCCCACTGTGTTTGCCCTCGCCGCGACCTGCCACCAGCTGCGACGGATTTGGCTGGAAAATGCGGTTGTGATCTATCCCCACCTGGCAGCCCGAAGCATCCCTTGTGAGACTCATGCTCGCCAGTTTTTGGCTGACCAAGACTTCTCTGTGGGTCGGTCTTCTCAGCTGTCGGCTTTGGGTGTGCGTCGCATGATACGTAATGCGCATATAATCGAAAAGGCCATCCAACAGTTCGAGAAAGAGGTTGTCTGCAAGGTGAAAAGTAAGCCGACAAACGACCACCAAAACAAACGCCCCCAAAAATGGTGGTAACTTCTTTTTATAGCAGGAGGTTTGCCAGCTGCTCCCTTTTACGGGAAAGGTCAGGGCCATCCGCCTTTTTTGACTCGATCGGAGCGTCGCCGGTTTATTCGCACCTATTATCAGCTCTGGGGCATGCTGAAGCTCGATCATGCTGAGTCGCAGAGGAGACTGGAGTCCATGACAGTGAAGCAACTCTACCACCTATGTGAAATGTGCCGGCTGCCACAGAGCATCGGACATGAAGAAGTGCTTCCTGCTGAGGCAGAAGGAAAGAACCTCGAAAATACTCACCTTGTGGAGCGCGGCCGACCCCCAGACCGGGATGTTTTGCTTGAGAGAGCTTGGCATTGTCTCGAGCAGACATATGTGCGAGTCCATGACGAGGACGCGGATGAGCCTTGGCTTGAGGCCAAGTATGAAGGCTACCTTTGGTGGATTGTGATATGGGACCATTGGCAGCCCTCACTCAAAGCACTTGCACTGTGTCATCGAGGGATGGGTCCTCCTACAAGGCTGGATATTGAAAAAGAACTTTGGGACGAGAGCTCCGACGAAGAAGTATACATGGATGGAGAAGGGATTGGAAAGATATGAGCTTCCTCATAATAGTAGATTGCAGCCAACGGTACTAAATACAATAGGAATAGTCAATAGAGAAATGATCACTGATGTATGACTTTGCATAGAGGCTTCTGGATTTTTCCATTTGGGAATTCTACTTTGCCGACTTGTGATATTTGACAATCTCTTCCTCAGCTTCCGAGACAAACGCCGGCAAGTCGTCGGTCTTGGTTCTCCTGAGCCGACGGAATTCAAAGAGAGGGACGAGCGTGTCTGAGCCCAAGATATTTTCCATGGAATCGCCCACCCCGCCAATTGCCGAGTCCATCTTCTTGTCAAGTTTGGTGAGAGCATCTGGAGCGGGGCCGTTCTGCATACTCTTAATCCACTTCTCGACTTTGACTTCCTCGTAATCGCCACCCGCTGGGAAAACGGCAAATCGCTGCTTGTCCATATTGCCATTGGGGCTCGGATCCTCGACAGTTCCAGAACAAAAGTCGGTGTCCAGCCTGGAGCGGTGTTAGCATCTTGCTTTTGCAGGATACTTCAAAGGTATCAAGGTGATACTTACTCTACGTCATCGCCGTTATTCTTGTAGCAGGCCAAGGTCTTTACAATGGGATAAAGATCGCCAGGGATGGAACTCTTAACGCTGTGATAGATGGAGGTAAAGTCGGTGCGAGGCATGATAACGGTGAGTTCCTTCAGACTTTCGTCTTCCTCGATAGGTTCATTGGGGTTAGCCGACGACGCCTTTGCGAACGACATGATCAGCGAGAAGAAGCCTAGCACATCATCCTCAACTGATCCCGAGTCCAGTCCATTGGGCTTGGACTGGAAGAAGTCCTTGGTAACGTGAATCATAGGCTTCTGTCTCCTATTTGGCAGAAGAGCTGAATGCGTCTTTGCGACGTATTTGCCCAAGAGGTCGTACAGGCCAGCAAGAGGCAGTGGAGCCGTGACTTGGGGAGCCCAGGTGTAGCTGTGACCTCCTTTTTTCTCCTTTGGCCCGGAAATCTTCCATGTGCAGGGGTTGTTGTCGATGGTCACTTCCTTCCCGTCCTCGTGAGGGTCCCAGTCGTTCTGAAGTATATCTCCGGGTCAGCAAGTCATTCGAGGAGAACAACAAAAACAACAACAAAAAAAGACTTTCCAAGCATGTCACTCACGATATCTTTTGCAACAGCTTCGGCCGCCTCCTTGGCGCTGCCTGAATTCAACTTGATCGATTTACCGTCCAGGACATATTCAGCATCGAGAGTGCCCTCGGACAAAATGTCGGCAGTGAGAGCCCAATTCTTCCCCTTTCGGCCATTGATCGTCTTGCTCTTAGCCGCAAGAACGTTCTTTTCGGAACAGTCTTCTGATTTTAGTGTGATTGTGGCGGTCTCAAACTCAACGCCGATTCCAGGCGGGTTATTGCCCGTGGGGGCATCGTTGGTTTCGGCGATATCGTCCTCGTCACTACAGAGCGAAAGCCTGGACCCTCTCTCGAGGTGTTTCGAGATGGGAGAGGCCACACTCTGCAAATGCAGCTGAAGCAGAAAAGGGAGTAAGAAAGAGACCAGATGCATCTTGAATAAAGGAAGCTTTCCTGGTAAATTCTCGAACGAGATTGATCTAAACACTACCCATGGGCTTTCCCCGGGGGGGGTGGTATTTTATATGAGACAATCGAGAATCTCAATGGGGGCTATATTTTCTCAGCTAACTATAGACTTACAGGTAGATACATAACCTCTCTGGGTCTTGTCTTCCGTGTTGGTATGTACTACATGCCTTCGGTCCCACCCTCAAACTGCTCGAGAGCGACTAGAGGACCAGGGATGTTTCGCTTCAGCTGAACAGTGTGGGGGCTCTTGCTGTATACTTGCTCTGTGGAGGCATTGAAGCGCCCTTTTGAAAGGTTGATGGCTGACCGTTGTTCGGTCCAAACTCTGCTAGGAAATACGCTGGCAGTAGCCGGCCCCTGAACAGATTCAGCCCGCGTAAATTGCTATGCTAACGTATGTTTGTCGATTGTATTCAACTTTTAGTATTGCTACATTCAGTTCCTCCAAACCTGATTCGTACTCGACTTCTTGGTGCCTGGGTAGTTGTAAACGCGGTAAGAAGCCCCAAAATCGAACATCTACAGCGCATAAATTCGATGAACTCCGTCGTCATGAATAACAACCAAATTCACCCTTGAAATGTACGTAGGTCTTGTAGATAACCCTTCTAGGTGACACCTTTCTTCTATCAAGGATATAGATCAATCATTAAATCATGGATTGTGTAGAGAAAGAATGGCAGCAGACCATTTGGTACACGAGAAAGCAGGCGGCTTCGCCACTACTTCCCACTTTGCACCAAAGTCTAGGCAAAGGCGTATTTTACTCACTATAAAAAGATCTCAAATTATTCTGATTGAAATGATGTCTGTATCTGTATGTGCGCATCGTAAGATATAGGCATGTACCAGCGGTTATGCATATGAACCCCCAATAATAATTCCTATGGTGTGGGTCAATCGAGCATCTCATCCTCTACTTACCCGTTAGCTCCCTCGATTTCCAATTCCCAATTCTGTTTCATGAATTGTCTTCGTAAATGGATAACTTGCTACTACTCTCCAGGCCATAGGACTGCGCCTAAAGAGACTCCAGTGAGGCTCTTGTTGGTATTTTGAACGAGTTCTCCAGAACAAAGTCCTGAGAATAACCCTGGCAGAAGAAATATACACAACCCAGTGGGTCTTCTCCAACGTAGCATTTTTGGTATACAAGAATCGTAAATAGGTTTCCAGTGATAGCTGAGATCGACAGACACGCTATCTTGACGTGGGGGTATCATTGTCCACCGGGCCCACTCCTAGGGTCTGATCTAGCAGGGATCTAAGGTTGAATGGGGGAATTGGGGATGGCCAATGTCCCCTTCTTCAGGATAAATTTAGCAATAAATTTACGAGCAATCATTACCAGCTATATCGGTCTCACCTACTAGATACGAAATCTGGCTGGACAACCTTGTATTCACCCGGCCAACAGGGTGAATTCTTCAGATGTCTAGACACAGAATAGCAAGCGATGGCGCGGAAGAGAGCACTAGATTTAGAGGTCAACCTATGGATTGTTTTGCCACGACCGGAACTCAAAGTAACTCCAGAGCCTCAGGGGCTGCTGATACGAGCAATAAGTAGGACACGCGGGATCGATGGACTTGAATGCCTAGAGTAAGCAATCGCGGTTAGCTACAAATCATGGGTTGTTCAGACTTGGCCAACGTGGGGTCCGAGTCGATCCCAATACTGTATGTTCAAGGATCAATAACAATCCATGATCCACGAACCATCCCGATGCCCTCATCTTCTACTGTTATTTGATGCTCCCACGGCTGGAACATGGTCAATTTGGATAGCCATCGTATGATCATGATAGGCTGCAATGCAGGAACGTCCATTTATATTATCCTGAATGGCCTGTGAGGAAGAATCAAAGCATGGCAACAGCAGCCTTTAAGGAAGCTGTCAGGAGCAGAAAACAGGTTAAGGGGTCCGACTCAGGTCTTCGTAATATATGGAGCATAATCTAAATATGCAGTATGCGCTGTTAAGCCAGATTTAAACCATACCTATTGAGGCAGGTACGGAGTTCGTTTAGTCTGTGACATGTAAAGACCAGGGGGGATGGATGGGGGTTCGTAGGTGCGTGGACGAGGCGATGCAAAGTCCGATAAACGCGGGCGGTGAATAGCCTCACCGCCTTCGCGCCCATCCAAACCTCCGCGACTCCGATGTCCGCGGACCTTAGGATTCCAGAGACCTGGGCATGGAAGTGGATTCAAATTCAGAGTGTCGCATGTTTCATTGTTTTTGAATATCCTTTTTCTCTCCCTCCTCAATTATCCCCACAACCATTCACGGGGACCGGAAACCCTTACATCTCCGAGCGGTGGAGGCATCGCGCAAATCTCCGTCAGAAACCCAGCCATCAACCCAACCCTTGCGACAGACCCTCCTGGCTGTCTACCTGTGGTCGCATCCCTGAAAAATATCCTTTAAGCCTCAATTGCGGACATCCAGTCCATGACGGTCAATGCAATTCACATAATGCCACCCACAGGCTGCATTGAATCTGCGTGGATTTAACTCTCCGCCCGCACTCCCCTTCACACGATATAGACGGAGCCCACATCACACAAATCTTCAGCTGCTGGGCACCGGGATTTAGTTTCTGGCTGCTCGCGCAGCACACAGTGGGACTAACAGGGAGCGCACCTCGAGATATGACGGCGGAGATGGACGCCAATGGGACCCACGTGAACGGGTCAGCGGAGGACACAAAGACAACAGTCAATACGCATGAGAGTGATCCTGCCAGCATCCCTAGCGATAACTATACCCTCGCACAGAGCACAAATCATGGTCTTTCTTCGCAGGTTGGGACTCCGATAGTCGCCAGCCAAGATGTTGCTGCGCCATCAGTGAAAACCGAGCCCGGCAACGAAGCCCTCGAAAGCTTCCCGGGCAGCGATGACCTGGAAACCAAGTCTGTGGGGCTGGACGGGGCAGATGACCACCCCACGTCGAAAAAGCTAGCCAACCTTAAGCAGGGTCTCACTTCGCGCGCGTCATCCTCGGATCGATCCTCCCCTGCCACTTCAGTCAAGCCGGCTGCAACCAAAAAGACCGGGACCAGCACCACCAAGAAAGGCACGGCGAAGAAACCTACAGCCAAGAAGCGCAAGATGAATGATCCGGATGCCGATAGCCTGGATGGGCGCCGTTCGAATACCCCAGTGTCGCGGACGGACAAGATACCCGGAAAGAAGCAAGGCACCGATTCGATTGCCGGATCACCGGCCCCCGAGGAGAAGAAAAAGCCGAAGCCGAAGAAGCGAGGAAGAGGACCCGCCGCTGCGGACGATGAGGACTACGATGAGAACGAGGTTTTCTGCATTTGCCGTCGGCCCGACAACCACACCTGGATGATCGGTTGTGACGGCGACTGTGAGGACTGGTACCATGGGAAATGTGTCAACATTGATCCGCGGGACGCAGAGTTGATTGACAGGTACATCTGTAGGTCTTTTCCCCTTGATTCTGAAGCACAAGTTCTATGTCAACTAACTACCTCTATAGGTCCGAACTGCCACGAGCGAGGTAAAGGATATACCACCTGGAAGCCCATGTGTCGTCTACCGGAATGTCGGAAACCAGCGCGCGTCACGCGCCAAAACCCCAGCAAATATTGCTCCGATGAACACGGCCATGAATTCATGCGTCGCCAAGTCCAACGCCTCACATTGAAGTCTGCCCCGACAGGACTGGAAGATCTCGGCAGCAGGGGAGGAGTTCTCACGGTCGGTGATCTCAAGGCTGCTGTCATGGGAGTGACCTCTGCGCAAGAGTTCCGCAAGCTCGGTGATCGAATCATCTCTCCGCCGCCAGAGGAGGACGAGCAAAAGACCCCCGGTACCGGGATCAACGATGATCAACCACGGGGCGGAAAGAAGCTCGGACTCGACATCGATGCCAAAGGCCTAGAATACTCGGGCGACGAAGCCGCAAAAATCGAAAAGTTGCGCAAATTTCGGGAGGAGCTGCTCCACCGGAAAGAAATGCTGACGGCTCGGTCGACCTTTGTGACGCTGGTGCGCCAGCGGTCCAAGGCCGTGGTAGAGAAACTGAAACAAAACGATCCGAAAGGCGGATGGAAGGACATTTGTGGATTCGATTCGCGCCTCTCATGGGCCGATGAGGAATTCGACGAATGGCGGCTTTCTGATGCAGGAAAGAAAGCGCTCGCCGAGGGCACAGTCGAGGCCTTGGCTGCGAGCTATCCTGCCCCCGCCACCGACACAGACGGCGACACGGCCATGGACGAAGAAGACAATAATGAGGACGAGATGGCGTTCGTGACTCGTGGTATCTGTACGAAGAAGCGATGCGAGAGACACAAGCAGTGGGTCAAGGTGCAGCAACAGGACATTGTGTTTGAAGAAAATACCGCAGATCGGGACCTCGCCAAATGCGAGGACGAGGCACAGTCGGTCGTGGAGAGAGCCATGATGAGGAAGTGGGCGAGAGCCGACAACATGCTATCTGGGACCGAGTAGACCCGTCTCTCCGTCCTGCCTGGTCACAATTGATACCCAGTCCAGAATGGACTGGATTCTGGACTGGGTAATGTTCAGAGATGAAAGAAGTACATGATACCCCCTTTGAATGTGAGAGGCCCCCCAAACAAAAAAGAGTGAGTTCATGAGCTGGAGTTGGTGGTTTTCGGGTTGCGTTTCACGGATTTGCAGGGCTTCGGCCCAACTGCATGGAGAATGGCGCTTTGCGAGGGCGGATCTTGTCAGGTGTCTTTTTTTTCCCTGCTTACATGTGTAAGAATAGCAGCGATTGCATCCAAATGGAACAATAATCTAGCAGTCCTTGAAAGTAATTCAAAGATGACGGCGAAATCCTTAGAGACTCAGTGTTGACGACCCCATATCTCCCATTTCCCGAGTCCAGTCCCGACTCGATCTTTGATGACTTCTACCACCGGACTCCCCTTTACATCTGAGAGCAATAGATGCGTGTCGATGCCCTGATCCAAAGTCTTCATGAGCAGATTGGACAAAAGAGACGGTCCAGCCGTGTGAAATATGGAACGGATGCCATCTTCCCGAGTGGGTTTCGGGGCATCTCCATAGGGAATTGGGAGACTCCTAGTTGACTCTGCCTTCCCATCAGCTTCCGAATGAAATGGGCCGATTCCATTGGTATTAACCAAAAGAACAGAGAGACAAGAGGCGTGAGCTCGGGACACGCGGGTTAAAGTGCGCAGTGTTGCCGTCAACAATGCCGTCCCCTTGACCGGGTTCGAGGCACGGATGACTCCTTCAGCAAGCGAATCGAGTCCGAGGACAATCAAGATAATTGGGTGAGCCGAGTCGCCGGATAGCTGGTTGGATTCTCGTCTTTCTTGGATCTCTTGCAAAACATCCGAAACCTTGCCGATGGCCTGTGCGGCCCCGGGGAAGTTGTAGACGGGCAACAATTGAACAGAGTCGAGGCGGTGTATTGCGTCTTCTTTTGACAACCCGGGTTGGTTTGGCGACGAAGAGAGCAGCTCGTTGAGTAGTGTCCTTGGAGCAAAGGCATCGAAGCTGCCCGGGTGGACGATGAACGCGGTCGGCTCCGATGACGGAAGGACCTTGCGCAGATGAGTGGTAAGGAGATATCGAGGGATCTGGCATGCATGAGTAATTTCGAACAAAAAAGAAAACATATGGAGAAAACAAATAAAGCAATAAAGCAATTTTAGAGGATGTCTTACTTGTCCAATATATTCGTTGCTGTCTTTGCTTGATCTCAACCTAGAGAAGCCCACGACGGCACCGCATCGGAATATCGAGTCATTTGAAGATCGGATGCCTCTTTCCCAGTCAGCCTTGAGACTCCAGTTGGTTGGTTCATCTGAAGGCTGGCTTGTTTCTGCTGCTGCACCGTTTTTCTCTGTGAGGAGTGAATGAGCTAGAACGGGCAAGGCAGGTTCAGCGGAGTAGACGTTGGGGACCGAGGCCATGACTGGATATCAGATTGGCGACAAAAGCCATCAAGAATGACACAGACTTCAATTCCACGGCTTAAAAATGCTTAATCATTGGTTGTCTGCCGCGGTTGAGTTGATGTTGGAGTGAAGCGAGAAGAGTACGGGAGATCCACCGCTTTCTCCCCGCTATATACCCCGGCATGGCTTATCCATAATGTTTACAGCTACTAACATTTCCGATGCAGATTCAATGCGCAGTCATTTTCAGGGTCATTCAAACAGTCATATACAGTCATAAGATCGTCAGCATATTATCCCCGCCGCCAGACTCCGCGGCCATCGTGAACCCAACCCGAGTGGCCCAAATCTTCATTCATGATTCTACACAGCTCCGGCCGGATTGCCTCGAGGTGGAAGTCTCGACTACAAAACTCGCGGAGAACTCCCATCGGGTTGATGTGGAAACCAATCAGGGAATACGCGGTCTCAAGCTCCATCCAGGGATCGTTAGGATCCAACGAGCCCCGTTGTTCGGCCTCGGTGGCATGATTGTTGGCATCCGGAGCCAGCTGCACATTGAATTGTTTCAGATTTCGCATAATAGAGACAACAGCGAGGACAATGTGCGCATGACTATAAAACGGGAAGACCGCCGTATAGGAGAACGCAGTGAGTCGGTCCAGCAACAAGGGCAGGTCTGCCGGCGGCGGTGACTGCGATGATACCAAATTACCCCATTCGCCGATGACCGAAGGGACATGGGAAAGAAAGTATTCATAATGGTTGTAGGCCTTGAGGGAAGAGGCCTCGTTGAAGGACAGAGACGTCCAGTGGCGGGTTGACAATAAACTAGTATGAGACTCCAGGTCCGGTAATGCCGAGAGATCATGAGAGTGGCCATCGCGCTCGAGCTGCAGAATCTGTAGAGAAATACCAAATGCCCAGCTGTGCCCGTCCATGATCGGAGTTCCCAGCGTCTTGCCGATAAATGTGGGCGGCGCCAGGACAGTGATACACGCGGGATCTAGATAGCGCAAGATTCGGCGCCACCAGAGGGGATCGGCCGGGTGATCGGCCGAGTCGTCCCCGACCACCACGAGGGACGTCACATAGCGCCCCAGACCCGACCGGTCTAGAAAAGAGTGGAACTTGGGTTCATCATGGAGGTCCAGACAGGCATGGGTAAAGAGCTGGGGCCGCACAAGCTCGAGGAAGCGCGAGGAGCTCTGCGCGAGATGTTTCAGATTCTTGGTTGGGGATTGCGTGAGCTCCAAGCTTGGCGGGAGATGGAATTTCTCACGAGATGGAGGCTCCGTGGCGAGAAATGAGATGATATTGTCTAGAAGCTCATTGGGGAGTAGCTCGAAGAAGGACGTCATAGCATGTTCATGTCTGCGGGGCTTTGTCTGACGATGAACTTGAGGTACTTGAGCTGTCAGTGAACCTCGGGAGGCCCGAGGTCCATTTGATGGATGACTAAGCACACTCGTTTTTACAACAGATCTATTATATTGAGCTCTATGAAAAGAGGGTTGTACTATAAGTGATAAAAAAGATATCTAATAGATAAAGTGCATGTATCATTCATATTGGAAAATCCATCTACCCAAGAGAAAAAGAATGCCAAGATATATTTGATTCTCGCCGGCGTCGCAACTATATCACAAAAGCCTGAATAATATGGACACATTGAATTCCTCGTCAACCTGAGCTTCATAAAGTACAGTTACGATTTAGTTTCAAGAATAATTCCTCAGTAGCAATCAATTTACAAGGAAATGGCGATATACTTAACCTGACCAGCAAGTCGGTCAAACATAATCAGAGAAGGAACTCTTAAAAATAACATATGTCATGTTATTGAGCGTAAATAGCTATATCTTGAGTTGCAGCACTTGGTAGGTAGCTCTAACCCGAGCTCTCTACCTTTGAAACAGATATCTCACGCCGCTTCGACCGCTTGAAAGAAGTGACCATACACACAAAGACAATCAGTAGCACCGAACCCCCAACCCCCACAGCCAGTCCAATAATCAAGTCTCGATGGTGAGCAGACCACCATGATAAACTATCATTCTCACCATCATTGCTGCCTCGACTCGGATCATTACGAGTGCATTGAGCCTCTCCCTTCCACTGACACGTCAAAGAGTCACAGCATTTAGCATCCTGAGTGTTGCAGGCATCTTGTCCACAGTCGCATGCTTCACCGGGCTCGACAATGCCATTTCCACATTGGCTAGTACTGCCAGTATCATTTCCCGTGCGCGAGTCGACAAGACAACCCGTGTTGACCTCTCTTGACCCTAACCTTGAACAAACGGATCCGATTGTGCAAGGAGAGAACCGGGTCATTCCGGCAGTTGACGACGGATTCATGATGTATTCTCCGTCTGCATCACACGTGGAGGAGGAGAGCGGGCAGCAGTCTGTGGACGAGGATCCACATGTAGCTGAGGTGCAATCGTGGACGGCGCCCATGGTATGAGCTGACTCGTGACTGCTCGATAGAGTCGACTTAGCAAGGCCACTGCTATGTATTTCGGAGGTGATTCTTACGCAAAAACCTCCCACTCATTTTGCGTTCGAGCCACAACATTCGTACTCACTCCAGAGGATCTGAATTGAGAACCAGAGGTGCACAATCCTCCAATCCACGACACGCCCACTTGGCCCTCAAAGGAACATCCTGTAAGTAATGTCCAGTAGGCATTTTCATCGTCGAGCGAGGCTCTCCATGATGAGAATTTGCTAAGACGCCAATTCAAGTCACCGGCCGAGCAAGGCGCATTCCAGTCTGCATCGCCTGATGCGCCATTCGGGCAATCGCTGACTGTAAGGTTTCGAATTTTAATGGAGACATTGAAACTGTTCTCAAAGACCACGGAAGCGGTATCCACGGAATCTCGAATATAATCGCGGGCTGAGTCGGTCGAGTTGAACCCAGCTGTGTAGGTACAGTCGGTCACCACGCCGATGTAAGCGACTTGTCTTGTCGTCGGACAACCCTGGGTACTGCCAATCGTTGAGACCAGTTCACTTTGGCTGTTATCCAGTCCATGCCAGTTATTTTGTCGTGCTCGCAAGATACCACGACTTTCAGATCTGCAATTCGACCGGGGATATTCTTGATCAATAGGATCAACAGTGGCTGAGAAAGCCGATGTGATGAACACTATCAAAGTGCCCACTGAACCCAAACCGACCAATTGAATGAACCTCATCTCATCTTTTTTCAAGGGAACAGTACGTGAAGTAGTGACTTAAGCGCAGAGTTATGTGATTTTTATTTTATACATGTGGGATAGCTCCCTATATACTCAGCGGTTTGTCACCTTCCAGGAAATCAGACCTGATCGTCCGTCCGTGACAGCTCCCACAGCCACAATGTCAGCAAAAGTAGAAAAGAATGCATGAGACAACCATACACTATGACTATAACCTGTACACTGCACCGGTAGTCTCTTGTCTAGCCGGACTTATCCATAAATCCGATGCCAAGCACGAGTGGATAGTTTGCTGCCAAGGAAGACGCGTCTTTGAAGTCATCACTGTTTACTAGATCTAGGAAGAATTACCTGGATTAGTTGCCCAACCCACTTTCTCTTCCGAGACACCGAAAACCGTTAATCCTAGGGCTTAAGGAAACGAAAGATGATCCTGCAGCGCAAATGCCGAGAACTTGCAGACTGGGTCATCGAATAGGCTGTTAAATGATCATCTTGGCGAGTCATCCATGTGGATGTAAGGTCAAGATTGGAATCTTGCTGCCTTCCTCAGCCACACTGAGATGGTATGGCATAAGAGTTGGCTTTTATACCCCAAGGGAGCGGGTCTCTATCGATCTCCACAGATTATCCAACCATTAGCCAGTATCCCTGTACTTCAGGCATGGCATCAGCCGTCTGATCTATCTAGGACTTGGGTAGTAATACGAGACCAACTTTTTGTTCTAGATTTGTTCTATGCTATTTATTGCCGAAAGTACCTATGCAACTTGCATGAAAAGACATTATAACACAGCTATGTGTAGAGTTTCAATATATTCAAAGGCATACAGATAAATTTATAATCACACCATTTGCAATCTTCGTGTACACTCCAGCTCTTCAAATTGTTCAAATTCTTTTATCCTTCGGGCTTCAATATTCACTTTCGATTCTTTATCTCCTCTATACTTTGCTAATTATTTTTCTTTTTGTTTCCCCGGTCTTTTTTATCTTCAGCATTGATTCTCGTTTCCTTTAGGATTCATTGCACTCTGTACAGCATTCTCTAACAGCTTAGCCAGATAGGCTGTGGGGCCCGCTATAGCTAGGTTAGCTAGCGCCCGTCAGCAGCCTGCATTAGCGCACTGGGCCTTGGGATTCCCTGCTGGACCTGCCAAAGTGGATCATCCCTATCACTTTACTTCCACCTTTGTCTAAACCCAAGTTATAGGCCAGCTGGGAGTGGTAGGTATCCTTGGTAGATCTATTATTGACTCCTATATCAATCTACCTAAACTAATTCCTCCGCCTGGGCCATTCGAGACTCTGCTCACCGTTGGAACTGTTAGATATATACACATGCTGGACCGAGCTAGGTCGAGAATGTGCGTGTATATATCGGAGACCGATCAAGACGAGTACTTGAAAGGGGTGTAAAGTGAGAACTAGCATTCAACTCAAACGCAGAGCTTAAAGAATCAAATCAAAAGATTATCATCTGATGCAAATGCCGAGAACTTCCATACTGGGTGATCGAATAGGCTGTCCCATATGGATACACTCATTGTTCCTTGGCTTGTATGCGGAACTGTCTCATCCATTCAGTAAAAACACACATGTCCTACGGGAATTCTTTTGGCAAACTTGAATAGGGGGAACTGTTGAACGTGCTTTCTATACTGCTGTCCCCTAGATTTAAAGAAAGAACTACCAGTATATTGTTTCTTTCATCGAATGTTCCAAGAACTTTCGGGAAACCCCCAGTGTATACACCCAATGGAGCCGAGCCCCACTGCTCTCCACATCATCAGAGCTGCAGAAGCCATTCTGATTCAGATACATGCATCTCTCTCTCTCTGTATACGAGCAGGGTAAAACAATGAATTGCTTCTAAAACATCATGTCCGATCCCCTTCACCTCTTGATGTGTACAGGCATCCCAGACCTCCGATGCCGAGCAGTGTCAGCCCCATATGGTCTGCTTCAGTGAGCACGTTGCGCTACAGCTGCAGCTATTGACATCAGGCCAGAATCAGATCCCCAGCTTCTTCCGTGGCATATCCAATTTCACCTGGACCGTGAATATGGAAAACACAACCACTGTGACACTCCGACAGACCGGGGAGAGTATCAAAATGTGGAGAGCTTTCTCGCTGGTGGGGCTGAATGCCACAGCTCGGATAAGATGGCAACAGCCAGGCGAAAAAGCTGGTTCTGGGGCATGCGTCCCTCTTTTTGCTTCTCCAAAACTGCTCAGTTTCTCTTCTTTCAAGTACACCCAGGACACAGGACTTAGGTGGTTATCGTGTTAGGTATGTCTCGTGCTTCCCCATCGCCTCCATATGGGGCTGATCCCGTGAGAATAAGGACTACTGACTTTGATTCCGCAAAAGGAAGAAAAGAATCAGCAATCACTCAAATAGGCTATCAGAATGACTCCTCAGGTTCACCTAAGACCCCCGTTCCGTGCGGAGCATCTAGGATCGCTTCTTCGTCCCGAGAAACTCCTGGCAACCAAAACAGCCTTTGAGAATGGAGAGATACCTGAGTCACAGCTGACAACGGAGGAGGACAAAGAGATCCAGGCTATTGCTGAAACCCAGCTGAAGCTGGGTTACCCTGCCATCTCAGACGGCGAGTACCGCCGGCACAGTAAGGCCACCGCATGCTACGTGCACGGACCAAACCGAGCATTGCTGAGTGGATTTTAGTGTTTTGGGGCAACTTCTTCCCCGGCCTGGATGGCTTCGAGGAGATTCGAGATGTCGACGCAGGAGCCTTTCGTTCTTACGCCCCGGACGTGGCTGCATTCCTGGAAGCAGGCCACAAACCTGGTGCAAGTGTGTTTTGCATAGGGAAGATCAAGCATGTCGGCAGCACATATGTCGACCAACTCACGTATCTTGCCAGCCTGGTACCAGCAGACGATGTCAAAAACCTGAAGATCACTCTGACTGCGCCTAATTGGTACCACCTACGCTACCGCGAGGGAGCGGCATACCCAGCCGATGTGTACAGCTCCGACGAGGAGTACTTCGGAGACATCGCCAAGGCCTACCAGGCCGAGCTACAGATTCTGTATGAAGCTGGCTGCCGTAATGTCCAATACGACGACCCCAACCTAGCCTGTATAGCACTTTTCCTTGCCTTGTGTCTGATTAAGATCCGGATAAAAGATTGGCTGACCTTCTGCGTGAACAGACTTTTGCTCCGAAAAGTTTTTAACGGGATTCAAGGACGACCCGCTGAACAAGTACTCAGCAGACGTGCTGTTTGCGAAGTATATCAAGCTGTACAACGACTGCCTTGCCCAGGTACCAGCCGACATGCACGTCGGTGTGCACCTGTGCCGCGGCAACTTTGTCGGCAGTCGCCATTTCTCTGAGGGCGGCTACGACCGCATCGCCACGAAACTGTTCCAGGAACTCAACGTCCATACGTATTATCTGGAATATGATACCCCACGCGCGGGCGGCTTCGAGCCGCTCAAGCACCTGCCCCCGCACAAGAACGTCATACTCGGCGTTGTCACAAGCAAGTTCGCTCAGCTGGAGGATAAAGAGGAGATGAAGAAGCGTGTTGTCGATGCGGCTGAGTTCATTGCTGAGGGCAACGGTATCTCCATCGAGGCTGCTCTCAACCAGGTCGGCGTCAGCCCGCAGTGTGGGTTTGCTTCGCATCGCGAGGGTAATGCCATCGATTGGGATGGCATGATCAACAAGCTGAAGCTGGTCCGGGATATCGCTAATGAGCTGTGGCCTAACCAGCCTTGATTTGACTGGTCTGTATATGTATCAGGAGTTTTATATTGGATGGATCCAGGCCGGAGATAAGAGCTTAGGTTGGTCTTTTACAATTTATCAAGGCAAATCAAGCACTAGCAATCTGATTCGATTTCTATCTCGACATTAAGCCCACACAGAAACCCTAACTCCCCAACACCACTGGTCAATCACCAACTGAGCAAGGCACAGTTTATTCGGCGGGACCTAGGATGTTGGACTCTTTGATGGCGGATCTCTTGTGGGTGTGCTCATTCTCGATCTAAACTTATCAGTATAGCTGCCCTCGACTTGAAAAGGGTTATATCAAATGAGGGTAAGTACCTCATAGCGCGGCTCATCTGCCGAGGCCTCTACATTACGGCCAGTCAACTGGGTCGACTTCGTTGCGACTTCGCGGATGACACCGATGCTCTCGGAGGTGTTGGATTGCGGGCCTGTTTGATGCCATTAGTATCTGGTTTTTTTTTTTGAGAACACCCCGTTCCTATAATAGAATGAAACATACCGCCGACGGGCCGGTAGTTAACTCGCTCTCCCTTTCGGTAGTTGGGCATTGTGGCTGGAGGGTTGGCGCGAAGGAATTCCTCTGGTTGACTGGGTTGCAGATGAGATTGGGATGGCACGATGGGCGGAAGAGTCGCAAGTTGTATAGATAGTTCAGGTAAGAGAGCAAGCAAGCGAGATCAGACCAGAACTCTCTCGCTCGTCGATCTCGCGTCGCGGCTCTATTTATGTCTTGTCTGGTGGCCAAGTCGATTGCGACGACGGAGTAGCGTCCGTCCTGACATCGTGCCACACGTCATGTTGACATGACTCTCGATCTCCATTTGCATTGACGGGGATGGAAATCGACGGCGAGTGCTGGAGTGGCGATCAGAACAGCAGCACCAGCCCATTATTGTCTAGTTGGCAGATGGGTGCAGTCATATACACCGCTAATAGCGTGCGCGCCTCCAGAAACATACACCCGACGACGTAACAGTGACGAAGCATGAATGGATAGGAATTGATCTATGGCCTTAGAACTCGCATCTCTCCGTCGGGTGTTGGGTCCGTGAGACTGCTCAGGTGGAAATCGAGTCAACGGTATGTCATTTGGTGATTTTCTATCTGCCACGCTATCTAGTACTGGTCAATGCGATAGTACCCACAAGGTCGAAGCACCCTCCAAGAAAGTTACACGCGGATGGTATAGACCACGATCAACATTAAATTATTAAGTCGGCGCTCTCAGCGAGTCTGTATAAGAACCGAGGGGATATCATAGAAGGGAAAAAGAACCAAAGGAGAAGGAAATAGTCAAGGCCGCACACACCAAGGCGAAAAAGAGACCCAGGAGAAAATGAAAAGCCCAAATGCTGCGTCGTCTTCTCATCAAACACGAACATGAAACGAAAGAGGAAATACGGCTCGGGTGATGCGAGGTGTTGTACACGAGGCTATCTCGGGAGTTGTGCCTCTCGGGATCACGAAAGCTTGCTTATTTCTGCGGCGGGGTCTTGACGTTGTTCGAAAGCCAAGCCTGATGATATGGTTAGCTGTATTCCACATAGTACGGGCATCAATATATCACTTACCAGGCCCTCAAAAATACCTGTGCCGTCCGTAGCCACACTGGGTGCCACGTACCACAGTTTGTCCTTCAGCTTGGTCAACTGGAGCTCGTTGGTGATGTCTTCGGGGCTCAGGTCTATAAACTGGTCAGCCGGCAGTTCCTACATCTAGAGATGAGAAAAAAGCGAGGGGAACGCACGGCCGGGAGTGTCTTGCTTGTTGGCAAACACCAGCAAGAGCGCATCCTTCATTTCGCGGTCGTTGATGATCTTGTGGAGCTCCGAGCGAGCTTCCTCCAAGCGTGCCGTATCGCTGGAGTCCACCACGAAGATCAATCCTTGTGTACCGGAGTAGTAGTGTCGCCAGAGGGGTCGAATCTTGTCCTGACCGCCGACATCCCAAACGTTGAACTTCACGTTCTTATACGTGACACTCTCGACATTAAAACCAACCGTTGGAATCGTGGTCACGTCCTGGTTGCTGAGCTTCAGCTTATAGAGAATCGCTGGAGACATCCACCATTAGCCATGATCAATAATGAGTCCCCGACGAGGTGGGGAAAAAGAAGACATACTGGTCTTTCCAGCCGCATCCAAACCCAGCATCAAAATGCGCATTTCCTTCGTGCCAAATATCTTCCCCATCATCTTGGATACTTGTCCACCCATCTTGGCGAGATTTGACGCGACGTGAGGAAGCGGGTGCGGGAGTTAGGATGTGGATATCAACAAGTTGCAATTCGGAGGAATTGAGCTCGACTGAGGTTTAACCGAGGAAATTGAAGCCACCGAAAGGATCAATTACGAGGTTGCTGTACAGGTTATATTAGAACAAGAGGATAGAGCGAGAGGCCAGCTCAGTCGAGCAAAAAAAAAAAAAGAAAAGTGAAGATCTCAAATCAATTTGGAGGCGGGGGAAAAGGGGCTGGCTGACTCAGCGCCCCCCCACGAAGCACTTTCCATTCCATCGCAAACCTCATTCTTGACTCTTGCGAACTGAACTGTCTTTGAGGCCTTGTCGATGGGGTTGATACTTGGATATTCGGCGGGATGGCCAAGCTCTTCCACACGTGCGCGCGTGGAGAGTCCAACCGTGGTTGTGAGAGATCCTCTACGTCACGAGTGAAGTCACACACCGCATACACAGAACCTCGCTATTGTTAGACCAAATGCCGAATCCTTTTCTTCTAAGCTTATTGATCCCTTAATCGCTCACCGAGTGTGTGTAGCACCATGACCGGCGATGGGCAGGGTTTTGGGCGCCGTTCGTCGGTTTCCCAGCAGCGTCGACTCTCGCAGCAGTTCAGAGGGAATGCCTGGCAGGGACCACCATCGGATGTACGTATGCCGCATGATGCATTCGCAAAGACAACTAACCATCAAACCAGACCATCTATGCCGGTGTCTCCGGCTACCTTTCAGACCACCACCCGTCGACTGTGGCCATCGCGATACGCGATACAACGTATCTACTAGACTTCATTGAGAAAGTGTTCGAGCCCGAGAATCGCAAAACATGCGCTCAAACGGCAGTCGAGTTTATTATCAGCGAGCTGAAGACGTACACCGAGAAGCACCTCGAGAAGATCATTGGGCTGGCAATGCCTCGAGTGCTCGCAGGCCAGTGTCCAACGCTTTGTTCCCGTCTGTGGGCAGAACTCGACATTATCCCCTTGGTCTTGTCGGGATCCAGCGTGCTAGATCGGTTCGCAACGTGGGAGTCCCCAGAGGCCAAGGCGTGGGATTCGAGAACCATTGATGAACAAGCCGAGTCCATGGCGCGGAAATGTGTTCGGCTATTCGGACCAGAGAATATCCCATTGCTGCAAGTGGGCTTCATGGGCATCGTCGAGGTCGACACGAATTTTCGTGTGCGTCTGACGAACATCAACGATTTCAAGAAAACCGTATCTTCGCACACATGGTCGGCCGTGGAGCACTACGCCGCGGACCTAAAGCACCGAAAGGTCAAGATTGCTTTCTTCAGCGCCACGCCTCAGGGTGGAGGAGTGGCATTGATGAGGCATGCTCTTTTGCGGTTCTCTCATTATCTGGGCACCGACATGAAATGGTGTGCCACAGCTTATGATATAAAACACGTCTCGCATTGAAAAGAAAAATCTAATGAATTTCTTCCACAGGTACGTTCCAAAGCCACGACCAGGGGTCTTTCGAGTTACCAAAACCAACCACAATATCCTCCAAGGCGTCGCCCATCCAGGAGACCGCTTGACCGTTGACAACCAGCGGTTATTGCATGACTGGATTGAGGAGAATTCAAAGCGATATTGGAGTTGCTCCGGCGGACCTCTGGTTCCGCCGTCGGAGGGTGGTGCCGATGTGGTGGTCATTGATGACCCGCAGATGCCAGGGCTCATTCCCATCGCGAAACGCTTGGCCCCGGACCGGCCTGTAATCTTCCGTAGCCACATTCAGATCCGAAGCGATTTAGTTGAGCAATCTGGCACACCACAAGCAGAATCGTGGGAATTTCTGTGGAGTCAGATCAGGCTCGCCGACTGCTTCATCAGCCACCCGGTGAGCGCATTTGTGCCGCGGGATGTGCCCCCAGAGACTGTGGGCTTCATGCCGGCATCGACCGACTGGTGAGCTGAATCAATTACTGGACGCTTCAAATTGTTATCTTGCTGACGTGTTCTAGGCTGGATGGGTTGAACAAGCACATGCGAGACTGGGATGTGGCGCATTATGGCCGCATCTTCAATGCAGCATGCAGGAATACGGACATGCCGACAATCCAGTACCCAGAAGGTAGGAAGCAGCGATGCTCGACTGTGATTGGCATATGGGATCTTGCTGAAATGCGTGGGCCTAGATCAATACATCGTGCAAATTGCACGGTTCGACCCGTCCAAGGGCATCTTCGATGTGCTGGACTCGTACGAGAAGTTCCACAACCGGTTGGCTGCCGAACGGCCCGACCTGACTCCTCCGAAGCTGTTGATCTGCGGACATGGCTCGGTCGATGACCCGGACAGCACGATAATCTATGATGAGTTGATCGACCACCTGGAAAACAAAATCCCATATATCCGAGAGCAGATCTGTCTGATGCGGTTGCGCCCTTCGGACCAGGTTCTAAATGCAATTCTCTCCAAGGCGACGATCGCGCTGCAGCTGTCGACGCGCGAAGGCTTTGAGGTGAAGGTTTCCGAGGCGATCCACAAAGGCAAGCCGGTCATTGCCACTCGTGCCGGCGGGATCCCGCTGCAAGTCGAAAACAGCAAGAATGGATTCCTGGTCGATGTCGGTGACACCGATGCCGTGGCCCAGCATCTGTACGAGCTGTGGACCGACACAGCGCTGTACCGCCGCATGTCCGATTATGCGATTAGTCACGTTTGCGATGAGGTCAGCACTGTCGGCAATGCTCTGAATTGGCTCTTCCTCGCGTCCATGCTGTCCAGCGGTCGGCCTGTGCGGCCGCATAGACGCTGGATCAATGACCTGGCCTTCGAGGAAATTGGAGTCTCTGTGGCAGATATCTCACGGCTCACACGAGCAGTCGAGGTCGAAAAAATGGGATGATTGCAGAGTCATGCATCTTAATGGCTCATGTATTTCTCTTTGGTTTGTAACCAAAACTATATGATATCCGTGCATAGCATAGCAGCCACCAAGTGCAATTGAATGGAAACAAAGTCCATAAGCAAGGAAACAGAGGGGTATCTCATGACAAGTAAACAACGAAAACAACGAGCAACCAAAAGCTTTTCTCTCTCAAGGCTTCCCAACAACCCGATACCTCTCTCTAGCCAACCCACCCTCGGCACCCTCGACCCCATAGCCCTCGCCGACCTCACCGACAATCCTCGCAGGCTGCCCACCAACCACACACCAACTGGGCACGACCATCCCCGGCGGAACAACGGCGCCGTCAAGCACGCACGAAAAATCTTTGATAATTGCCATACTCCCGACAGAGGCGTGGGCACCCACATGGACATGGTTCCCGAGCGAGGCAGCCTCGATGACAGCAGACTCGCCGACAAAAACATGGTCACCGATCTTCAGCGGGTAGAAGGAGTGCACACCGCGGTGCAGGCGGCTGGGCGGGCGCAAAATTGCGGCTTTGGAAATGTAGCTGTACCGGCCGACGGTGATGGCGACGCTGGGGGTGTTAGGTTGCGTGGTGGGGGTGGGTGTCGCGGGGTTGTTGGGGTCGCCGCTGGCGGAGGAATGTAGCCGGTAGAGATCGCCGCGGATCACGGCTTCGGCTTGGATGACGGTTTTTCCGCCCAGGATGATATGTTGTGTTCCATGGATTTGGGAGCGGCGCGAGATCTTGTTGCCGGTGTCCTTGGGGGAGGGTTAGCATGCACTTTGGGACTTGTGGGCTAAATTCAGGGCAAGAAACAATGGATCGGTTCATACCGTCTCGATATACTCGCCCTTGGCGACTTTGGGTGGCATTGTGGTGTGCAGGCAGTGAGTGTTTACAGCGCGCGAGCTGTTCGCCGCGGAAGACAATACGGCAGTATCGGCCAGGCGGTGTATACCCACGATCCTTCTTCGAGCTTATAGTATCCAAACAGTCTTTTCCAATTCCAATCTCACCACTGCAATGAGCTGGACCCTTTATGACAAGCAATGCCCTGACAAGCAATGCCCTAATCGTACATGAGTTTAATGCCTCTCGCGGTGTTCCCTTTTCCAGAATACTTCGCACTACTATATCCCGAGTTGGCTTGAAGAACAACTTCATGATTCATTATATCAAGGCCTCGCCTTGTCTCTATAGTATTTTGGGTCGTCTAATTTTTTATCATTCAATCCTCCGGTCGAACATCAGCGATATCCACCTCCTCCGGGGTCTTTCCTTTGCCATAATTCTTCTCGAAGTGATCGGCCGCCAACACACGCGGTTTGGCGACACTGGGATCAGTGGCCTTACCGGGACCCCAGTTCCACTTATCCAGATACCATGCTGAATCCCCATTAGCACAAAACACAGAAAGAGGCCATGGAAGAGAAGACTTACCAACCGCCAGATAGGCGATGTTATCCACGTTGCGAACAGCCTTCCCGGGGTAATTGATTGCCTTGGACACCAAGGTGCGCACACCTTCCCACCCATTTGCCAGCTTGCCATTGCCGAGATCAACATGTTCAACTAAAACGACAGTCAGCTCAGCTTGAACCATTTCCTCAGTATCACCATGCGACAGGGAAAAACATACTCAATCTCTTCTGGCCGACGCCGCGCGTCATCAGTAGCGTCTGCAGCATCCAGAGCGGCGGCGACGAGGTCAGCATGTCGATGAACTCACCCTCGACCTTGCTCTGGTCCTCCTTGATGTCCTTGAGGAACTTGTCGTTGGCCAGACTTTTCAGCCCATACGGACACATAACCAACTGGTCCGGCCGGTCACCGTTGCCGCGCATCACAAATGCTGCGCTGGTCGAGGTGCACAGTTTCCCCGTGAAGGAAACCCACTGGTAGTTGGCCGCGTTCCATCGATATTTTCGTCTGGGCTGTTCGTCGGCACAGGGCGGGGATTTGTTGCCCTCGGGGTCTTCCGTCTTCAGGAAATCCATGCTGCAGTGGATTACCACGGGATTGTTTCGTTCCGCGGACACTCGGCTTAAGATGCCTTCTGATGAATCAGAATAATATCCCAGAGGCTCTCCACGCAAGAAAATAAAAGATAAGAAATTGGGCGGCAGGGAAAAGAAGATCACGTACCCTGCACCTCCTTGGCACTCCGGCTTCGTGGCCCACTCACGCCACGGAGAATAGCATTGCCCATCATGGTGTTCATGGGCATACCGATCCGACGTTTCTTCTCTTTGTCCGAGCTCTCCTCGAACCCATCCACGATCCAGTCGATGGTCGAGACGCCATCTTTGGCCACCTCCATGGCCTGGTTGATTGCCGTGTTGAGCTGGGTCTCAGTATCGCCTGAGCATGACTTGTCTATTGTCAGCCGCTTGACACCCAGATCTTGCATTTCAATGTCCTCTCGTGGCTTCAATGAAGCCGGTGCTGCGTGGGTCTGCCAGAAGACACCCAGCAGCAGCAGGGACAGGACCAGCTTCGTCAAGAAAGCATCCATTGTTGCTCACTCGGGCCAGCTGGTATATGGTTTCTTCCGTTTCCGTTTCTTTTTTTACGGTGACATACCCAGGGCTTATATACCTGTGTCAAGTTTTTTTTTTCATCGGGCACACCCATCCATGGATGATGGCATCTACCGATATAGGTAGAGTGTACATCTACACCCAGACAAAACAAAAGAAAAATTCGCGCACACCCCCAAGGTTCTCTCGCTAAAGCCTCTAGATTGGATGATTGGACGAAGAACCCGCCGAAGAAGAAAAGAATTACGGACAATAAAAAATTGTTCAGGTGTGCCTTGTGCAAAGTGTATCTCACTATTCCTCATTTAGATAGGTAGGACAGGGCCATCGGGGCCGGGGGTCCATAGAAAGGATCCTTCAGGAGCTGCAGCAACGTCAGAAGTACCTAAAATGCAACCTCTCGCCTTCTAGAAGAAGGCTTGGGGCGAGCCTAGTACACCGTTTACAAAGAAAATACCCGAGTCGGGTTCTAAAGGCCCGCTAATGCGAGTAAAAACGATGGATTGGGGGACCCACGCCTCCGGAGGACCCTGAGAGACAACGGGGGGGCCGGCTTAGACCTCTCTCTCCACTTAAACTACAAAGTTAGCCAACAAAGAGAATTTTGTCGAGAGCTTCATTTGCCCGGCTGGAGCCTTTCTTCCCATTCCTGCTGGCCTCAAGGTCGGTTCCTGGCCCCATGGTGCGGGTCTGGTTGAAACTATGAGGCTGTTGACGATGGCAAGAAGGAAAAACGGATGCTTTGGCCCTACATATTCACTAAGTACTTCTATTCAAAATTCACACTAGGATGTAACTATCTTCTCACGCTCCTATGCTGTTGTTGGCTATAGCAGGAAGGAAAAACGGGTGCATTTGTCCTATTCTCGCTGTGGTGGGTTATGCTACGAGTGCCGTGTATAATACTAAGAAAAAAATAACAATAAAAATAAAGAACTTTTCCCTCCTTCGATATGCTAGTGCTCTCTGAAACGAAAAGGACCTTGTGGGTGTAGATTCTGGATCAAACATACCTACCTGCTTACGGTATACCACATTTGAAAATACGCGAGATTCTTCGCAAAGACTTCTTCCAGCACTTGTAGGCTACGCTCTCGGCTTAGCTATCAAGACGCCACTGCTGTTAGAAAGGCAATTGAGTGTTTAAACGTAGCATGTCCGAGCTAGTTCCGAGTTCGACATCACAGTAACCCGTGGCTTATATATAGATCCCTCTCTCTGCAGTCGTCAATTGGAGACTTTTACCACTAGTATTTCAAGTTTCAAGAAGAAGCTGTTTACTGTATTTAGTGCCCCAGGGGGAAAAATAAAAATGCTAAAATTTTTCGTATGCTCTACTATGACCTAGCGTCGTTTGCGTCGTTGGACTCTTACACCTTTGTCCTTTGGTTGAATACTCTTGTCACCTATCTGGTTTTTCTTCTTCTTCTTTCCTTGATTTAATTATTTAATTGTTTCTTTTTTGCGCTTCTCTCGCCCTTCGCATCCCTCTCTGTTCTCAGTCATCAGCCTCGACATTGGCATCCACTCGACCACGCAAGCCAAGTTCTACTATACCTCAAGCGGACGAGAAGAAGATTGGCTTTGGATATTCTAGTCCATTCTTTCTTTCTACTTCATTCCTAGGAATATAATAACAGCCAGAGATCAAACCAAGCTTCAACTCAATTCAACTATACACTACAGCTACAGAACTGTTCATAGCAATTTCCGGATATCCTGGAAAAAAACAAGCCCCCGAAAAGAACTCAAAAAGGATCAAGAAGCAAAAATCAGCACGGAAAACATAATTAATCATCGCCGCCCATGCGTGCATTTCCTCCGCATATATAACCAGGGTATCGGGTGTTATTTTGAGACAAACCGTACATACAATCTAGACTCATCCAGCTCAAGATGAGGACTTTTGGGCTCTCCTTACGAGGAGGTTGTGGCCTTCTTGAGCGGGAAGTCACCGTCCCAGTGCAGCTTGAGGGCTGTATCAAGGAAAAGAAAAAAGGCAGTCAGCAGGCATTCAATGAGGTATGTCACGAACGGAATATAAGGAGGGTCTGGTGGACTTACACGTCGGGAAGGGGAAGTAGGAAGTACCGTCCGAGCGCAGGTACATGTAGTAGCCGCCCTCCTGGAGAACCTTCTTCAGCTGGCCTTGGGCACCGGGGGCGCGGCGCAGGTTCTCCAGACGGCCGACGACGCGCAGCATGGCCACCAGGGCGATCTTGGTGATCTCCTGGCCGAAGCCGGTGTTGGGGCCCTGGCCGTGGTTGATGTACGAGTCGATGGGGCGGTCGAGGCGCACCTCGCTGGGCTCGGGGTAGATGCTGGGGTCGTGGTTGGCCTGGACCTGTTGAGGGAGAAAAGAAATGGTGAGTGGAACAGATCATGAAGATGATGAGGGCTTACGCCGCGGACAAGAAAGGGGCTGGGGGATTACTTACAAAGGAAGCAAAGATCTTGTCGCCGGGCTTGATGTCAACCTTGTTGCCGTTCTCGTCGACGGAGATGCTGGTCTGGGCCTCGCGGTACGAGCCGAAGGTGCCGTTGATGCGGATGGCCTCCAGCGAGTAGCGGTGCAGTTTGTCATCCGACTCCTTCGAGTCCTGCTTGGCTAGGCGACTGATCTCGGCCCAGTGCTTCTTGCCCTCGGGCGAGGTGTAGTACTCGACGATCTGCGTGAAGACCTGGCCCTGGTTAGGGACCAGCGCGACGATGGTCGGCAGGATCTGCGACCAGGTGATGTCCGAGGAGCTGGCGCCGGCCTCGCGCAGGCGGCGGATCACCGTCGTGCCGTACTCGCGCAGAGCGCTTTCTTGCGACCGGAAGCTGTCCATGATGCCGGAGAACAGGCCGTTGCCGCTGTCGCTCTTGACGGCCGACTCGATCACATGGCCGAGCTGCTGCGCGACGGCGGACGAGGCCCGGTTCAGCGAGTACGACTTGGGCGCGTCGACGTCGAAGAACAGCGCGGAGAAGATGGTGGCCAGGATAATGTACAGCTCGTCGTCAGTGAAGAGGCCGTTCTGGTTTTCCTTGGTCTTCAGCGGGAGGCCGAAGAGCGTAGAGGCAAAGTGAACATGGGCCAAGTTGCCGACACTGAACAGATAGTTAGAGGGGATGAATCTAGGGAGAATTGTAACCAAAACTTACTCGCGAGTAATGTCAACTTGGTTGACACCAGCCAGATTGCCAGCCTTCTCCTGGATCAGGCGCAGGGTAACGTCCTCGTAGAACTTCTTGACCAGTTTGGGGAACTCCTCGGTGTTCAGAGCCTGGCCAATGGCCTTGCGCTGCTTGGCATCGTAGTCGCCCTTGCCAAACAGGTCTTCCATCGCGCGGCTCCACGAGGGGCGGAAGTCCTTCTGGCTCTCCAGGACCAGCTTGGTGTTCTGGTGGGAGAGCAAGTTGATGCGCGGTGGGCTGTACGAGGGGCGGTCATACGAGTAGTCCTGCTCGCGGCCGAGGTTCTTCATGATGTTACGGTTCTCACTGGGGATGGTCATCGGGTAGTGGGCGTAGATGGAGTCAGGCTTGAACCAGTTGGGGAAGGCCCGCGTGGCCAGCTTGTAGAAGACACAGCCCTGGTTAATGTTGAGGTCGTAACGAGCCTCGTTGTAACCGAAGTTGGTCAGGTTACGAGGGTTGTAGTCGACCTGGCAAGGGAATCAGTATAGGAAATGGGCCGGTGAGAGGGATGTTAAGCAACATACGGTGTAGTGACGGTCACCGCGGACGAGAGCCACAGCATCAGACAGGACAGCACGAGAGATGGTGTAGGTCGGGGCAATACCCACACCCGGGACCATAGGCTCCTTGGCCTCCTCGGAGACGATACCGGGGTACAGCTCGACAAAGTCCGGGTGGTCATACAGGTGACGAAGAGACTCGGCGATCTCGGGGTTGGAGTTGATCTCCTCGAACGTGTCGTAAGTCTTCAGGCCGAAGTGCTTACGGAACTCGTTCAGGGAACCGACGTGCCATCTACGCGAGGCCTCAATACCAAGAATCTCAATCGAACGCAGAGCCTTGGGCACGTTCCGGGGGCCGAAGGAGCCTGATTGAATGTGTTAATATTTGTGACAGTGCGCGTCCAGCAGGCACAAGAACTTACTGGCCACGTCCTCACAAGCGTGCGTCAGGATCTGAACAAGCTCCTCATCCTTGAAGGTTCCATCCTCCTGACGCTTCAGGTGGGCGAAGGTGCGCTTGGATGGGTCAGGGTCGAGCAGACTATCGACCTTCTTCATGCCCATCAGCAGCTCGTGCATGGAGACCTCCTCGGCGGGCTTGCCCATCAGGTCGTGGTACACCTGCTCAATCCACTTCTCATCGCCCTGACTGATGGTCGAGTGCCAGCGGTAAGCCAGGTTGAACTCGACGGAGCACTGGTTACCAAGACCAGAGGGAGTGGCACCGGCCTTTTCCATTTGAGCACGTGGGTCCTGGGAAAGTCAGAATTCCCTTCTCTATCAAGGGTTATGGGTGTAGATCCACTTACCAAGCACCAGGTGGAGTTGGTGCGGTTCAGGTTGACAATGGTGCGCAGGTAATCATACAGCGTGATGTTGATGTACAGACCACAGGTGATCCTAGCGCCGTGTTAGAAAAAGCTCCGAAATTCGAAGTCTCATGAGAACATACAGTCGCCCTGTCTGGAACAAGTCCTCGTCGTATTTGGCCCATGCCTTCTTAGCCTCCTCCTCGGGGAGACCGTCCCGGGGCTTGGTGAAGCGGCCGTTCTCATTGATCAGGGCCAACTGCTCGACCACATGGTTGTGGAAACGGTTCAGCATGACCAGCAGAACACCGCAAGCCGCAGGGAGCGCCTGCAGACGACCCTCAGAGAAGGTATCGGGCTTGAGCTTTCCGTCCTTGTGGGATCGGATCAGATCCTGTTGCTCTTGAACATCACCGTACAGAATGGAAAGGTCCAGGTAGGCAGAGGTCTTGTTCAGGTGCTGTTGCCGGTAGTCGGTCTGGAAGATGTCTACGGAAAAGTCAGATGTTGCACCAATTGCCTCTATGGCATGCATGCTCGCTCACCGTGGATGATCAAAGAGGCCCAGTCGAAGAAAACACTGGACACCTTGTTGGGGTGAGGAGTGAACTCCTGGCGCGCGTACAGGCTGTCGAAGACCAGCCCCGCGTCGGGCAGGCCGCTGGGCTGGATAGTCAACGGAGGAATGGTGCGGCAGTATGCGGTGTTTGCAGCGCCCAGCCACGGGAGCGTAGGGTTGTTGTTTGAGCCATCGGCAGAGCGATACTTATACTCGTCACCCATGTACCTATGAGATGGAATTAGCCCATGGCTTTGCCGTAATCAATTGAACGTGAAGCTTACGACAGCGGCGGGTGCGGCAGCGAGTTCCACAGCTCATCCAGGAACTGGTTGGTGAGCTCGGTGCGGTTCTTCGAGTGGCCCGGCAGATCGGCAACCAGCTGGATAATGCGCTCCATGAGGTAAGTCTTGTCGTCGATCAGGTCACCGGACGCCTTGCTTTTGATCAAGTCCCTGGCCGTGCTCAGATCGCGGAAGCCCAGAGACTTGATGTCGTTAATCAGACCCGATGACTGGTCATGCTTCAGGTAGGCGCCATCACCGGTCTGGTTGGGCAGCGGCTCGCGCGAGGCATGGATGGCCTGCGCATACTTCTCGAAGATGGCAATGACCTCGGCGCGACTCACGGCATGGCTCTCATCATTGTTGGATGTGGACTTGCGCGACGGCGAGACCTTGGAGAAGCGCTTACTGCTCTTGTCGCCGTTCTTGGAGGGCTCGGCGTCGCCATTGGAGTCCTTGGACCGCTTGAACGTGGTCGAGAATCTCCGTAACATGATGATCTGAGATTCTCTCACTCAAGATCCGACGAAAGACACAAGAAGAAGGAATGGGAATGGCTAACAGGCCAAAGCAGGGGAGGTAGAAAGGAAAGAGGAAAAGAGGCGCGCGACACGGTAGCTCGCCAGAGCATTTAAAACCGAGCTGTGCGGGCGACCCGGGTCAGCAGCTGCAGGACTGTGGAGCAGCCGCAGTGGCGGATTTGTTATCGCCACTAGCTGATTGAGTGTTTTGCGACCCGATCGCCTTGGGGGGATAGTCGACACTAGCTCGATCTCCCTGAACCTGACCACCAAGTTGCCAATCACGGCCCCCGGCGTGGTACAAGCTCGATGCTTTCCCAACAAATGGAGTGGAGTGGCGTGGTTCCTCCATGCACAGCTGAACCGAGTAAGAGATCATCGTGCATGACGGGATCGGAGAGTGGTGCTTCTCCATTGTTATGATGTTACCGTATTAGGGCTTGGATGAGGTGGAGCCAGGCAATGAAATTGAACACGGCACATTTCAGCGTGTCATAAAAAAGCAGTGCTCAATCATTATTACTTCTCACCAACTGACAATTCCCTTCAACAGTACATTATTTTTCTTTTCCCCCGTAGATAAAACCGAGTCGCGTGTTGTATCGACGTCCCCAAGGCCAGGGTATCACCGGGCCACAGGGTATCACAGACGGAGCAGGGAATATGGAGCGGTGTACAGGCCACATTTTGGCATGGAGTCGGCAAGCCCCACTCTGAGATCCAGCTAAAAAGCAGAGATGTGGTGGGGGGGGGGGGGTTGCCGTCACAACTCGTTCTTTGGGTAATAAGGTGGCTGGCTGGATAGCTGGGTGGCTGGAAATGAATCCTGCCAGCCGGTTTCAACTCAGAAAGGAGGTGTGACAACCATTGACTTTTTCTTCTGACTACTTCCAAGATTAGATCGGGGACATTACATGGACATTACATAGACATGAGGCATCACATGCAAGGGAGTATAATGTGACGTTGAAGCGCACATGGACAAGAAAAGAGAAGCATGAGGGTTGTGAGCCTCGAGGGGTACACACGCATCTCTGTTATTATTGTTGTGATTATTGTTATTTATTTCTTCTCCAGCGATCGTCCTCGACCCACCTGTTCGCCCACTCGCTATGGACTATAGCGTCGCACCAAGTGGCGAACGGGCCGCCAGCCAGCATGAAGGACAATTATACTTGCTGTCATTGGCAGTCAGTCGGCAGGAATTATTCAGATTCTGATCTATCGTGTTCCTCCCCTTCTCCCCGCCCAGGGCCTTGCAGCTGTCCACCCCCCCCTCCCCTTTTTGCCTCGTGGCGCTTCACTCGGAATAATTCGTCCAAAACACAAAATCAAATCATTTCAATGTGATTGACATAGTCTTGAGAGAAGAGGAGGGGCCACAAAGAGATCAACTATTATTGGGGGGATACTTGGCTGCACGGGCGATATACTTCTGTCCGACAGAGGAAGTTTCTATACATCTCACCTTTCACATTATTCCATATTGTGCTCTCATTACCCAGATTGTTCATATGCATCGTAAGTCTGTAGACGATCGACCCACGGCAGGATGTTCCCACTCTCAGTCGGGAAAAAAGTGTCCCATTGTTCAGACCGAGGTTATATAGTGTTAGTATATCATGGATTAGGTCCCACCTTGACCCCCCTGGCAAAAGAGAAAAAAAAAAAAAAAAAAAAAAAAACTCTTCATCGTCACCAATCGGCTAATATGGTCAACTATCAGTCTTGATTCCCTCCATTCCCAATGGTTCTCTCGAGAATCGAGGGCGCATCTAAACTGCAGACCACATATGGCATGGTGCCGCCGGGCTGAAAAGAAGTCTCCAGGCCCAAACTTGAGCCCTGCTTCCCCAATCCTGAGACTTTCAGATGACAGCCCGGACAGGTGGGTCTGCCGAGAAAGGACCCGTGTATATGAAGGACTTGTTTCTCTGAACCGTAGGAGCGGATGGGAGGTCCACTTAGCCCGATGGACCCGATCGCAAAGAACCAAACACCCCCTTACGACAACCCATCCGTAATGATTGGCGACGAGCTGCTGAAGGGCGGCGATCGACAATAATGTCCCGATCTCCACCGAACGTGGTTGGTTTCATAGGTCCAGCCTCAATCTCTGGGGCCAATAGTTACTGTGACGGCGCGAGTTGAACTGCAGTCTCTCAGCTTTCGGACCTCTCCCCCCTCCACTTCACTACTGCGTAGGTCCGAGCCGGTCCTCGTGCAGAAACCCCAATGATGGGTTTCCAGCCTGGATTGAAAGGTATGAAATGCCCGAGAGAGAGGGCTGCATTGGGTGAAAGAATGCGCCCCCGTTGCAACATCGTATGTCCGACATGGGCAAGCAAGAACAGAAATGAAAAAACCAACAGCCCTGCATCAGTGCCAGTTGCACATTGCAAATCCAAGCCAAAATCAGAGCGAGTCTCCGTCTTGTGATTGGGAATGTGCCAGTTCCGCAGGGGGGGGGGCCCACTTGGCCTGCCCGCTCCAGCTTGACGTATCTTGCAAAGAGCTGCAGCGATCGACTCCGGTGGGTGGCACATTCCGGGCATTCTTATCCTGCCAAATCCCCCTCCGGCTGTTGGTTCGGGCCATTCGCGTGTGTCGGGGAGCTGACTGCAAATCTCTTGCTTTCGCGCGATTATTTTTAGCCCGGTATATAGTGCTCACTTGTCGCGCTGCACGGTGATTATATCCCTGTTGTCTTTTTTCCCCTATTCGTCCAGGGCGATTTCTTTCTTTTTTTGAAGTGTTCAAATCGAATTGAATTGAGCATAATCATGGCGCACGGCCTGGGGCCCTCGCCATCTCCCTTTCCGAAGCAGTTCGTGCTTTGCTTCGACGGCACCGGTAACAAATTCGCGGGCGATGAGTCCGACAGCAATGTACTCAAGATCTTTCGCGTAAGTAGGACAGACCTTAAGAGTAGCATGGAAATACTGACAAATCCCAGATGCTGGATCGCAGTAAGAGTCACCAGTACCATTACTACCAGCCCGGGATTGGCACCTATGTGACCTCCAGGTCGCTGTCCAGCCATGGGCGCATCCAGCGCATCAAGTCGGCGTACCAAAAGGCCAAGGACTCGGCGATCGGATCCTCGTTTGACGAGCATGTGATGGGCGGGTACAAGTTCCTGATGCGATACTATTCACCGGGCGACGAGATCTACTTCATTGGATTCAGTCGCGGCTCATACATCGCACGGTTTCTGGCAGAGATGCTGGATTATATCGGGCTGCTCGAAGCCGGTAATGAGGAACTGATCCGATTCGCGTGGAAGACGTTCGCCAAGTGGCAGCAGCGAACGGGCGACACGGAGGAGGAGCGCGCCGAGAAGAAGAAGCTCTTCGAGTATATGAAGGCATTCCGCGAGACCTTCAGCCGGCCGACCTCGCGCATCCGATTCATGGGTCTTTTCGACACCGTCAACAGTGTGCCGCGCTTCGAGTCGGCCTGGATGCAGCGCAGCAAGTTCCCCTATACGGCGCGCAGTTCCGCCAAGGTGATCCGGCACGCTGTGGGTATCGACGAGCGCCGCGCCAAGTTCCGCCAGGACTTGATCTCGGGCCAACGGCCGAAGGAACACAAGCGCCACAAGCATCGACACCGGCCTCACCCCCGCCAGCATCTTGAACAACACCTGGCGCGTCATCTAGATGCCAACCACCATCTGCATCTCCACTCCAACGACCACAGGGAGGAACATCCAGACAGTGTCCCGGCCATTCGCCTGAATGACGACGCCGATGAGAAGTCCGTTGAACAACCGGATCCGAACTTCCAAACCCCAGCATGGGGCCCCGCCAACGGCGAGTCGCACTACCGCACCCCGCATGGCTCGTCTCATCAGGGAAGCGAGAGCAACTTTGGCCTTGATCGCGGCAATCGGTACCGTGCGCCCTCTCCCCGACGGATGAGTCTGGCTGTGCCGAAACCAACTCAGTCGACGGAAGATCTCGCGTCTGTGCGCAGTGGGCAGTCCGGTGGGATGTCCATCCAAGTGCCTAGCCACAACGGGGAGGATGATGACGAGGAGGACCAAGACATCCACGAGATGTGGTTCCCAGGTTGCCACGCAGACATTGGTGGAGGGTGGAAGCTGGCCAGCGGCGAGCTGTGGGCACTCAGCCACGCGCCGCTGGTGTGGATGGTGCAGGAAGCACAAAAGGCCGGGCTGGAGCTGGACGAGCGCAAGATGAAGCAGTTCCAGTGTCTGGAGGAGTTTGACGGCGATTACACGCCCATCCAGGAGATGGAGCTGCGACGGCCGAGTCAGTGCCGCGACGGCCACGGGAATGATCCTGACGCCTTCCGCACGATGCCCAACGAAAAGGAACGGTCGGCGGCGAGCCGCGACTTCTGGCACGCGCTGCACACATCCAGCACCAAGGGCCTGCTGCACGACTGCCTGGAGTTCAACCAGGGCATCCCGTCAATGTCGGTGATCTCGTGGCGCATCATGGAGTGGCTGCCCTTCCGCCGTATGGATCTGCAGTCCGACGGCTCGTGGAAGCCCATCAGCTGGCCGCTGCCGCGTGGTGAAGTGCGCGATGTACCCCTGGACGCCGAGATCCACGTCTCGGCCATTCGCCGTATGCAAGCGGATCCCAACTACCGGCCGGGTAATGTCATCGTTGGCGGGGGTGGCAGAGGAATCCGCAAAGCCCCAGAAGATTATGGCATCGGCGAGTGGGTGGTTTTCAAGAACGAAGGTGATCCTGTGCGCGAGACGTATGTGCGGAAGGACGTGGCCAACAAGTGCAAGGACGAGCACCCGCAGACCCAGTGATATCCTTCGTCTGTTTTCTGTTCTCTATTGTATTGTGTGTTTAATATCCTATGGACATGAGTTGTACCAAATGAAATGTAGTATGTTTGCCGAGTAATATATCGAGTATATCGAGTCTATCGAGTCAAGGTCTGACTGGAGGTGAGTGGAAATATACTCCCATCCATGCAGGCCCAATAATAGGAGATATGTACGACTTGCAGCTCAGCTGGGTCTAGACTACTCGAATTAAAAAGTATGAGAAAGGGAAAGAAAGAGAAGTAGAAGAATAGAAAAATACAAGACTCACATACAAAGACATCGTGCAAATGTCAAGTGGAGCCCGTGTCAACCTTTTCCTCTCCCTGACCTCACCATTTCTTCTCCCCGACACTTCCGCTTCCCTCAACCCGTGGATGTGGATGCTCGCTTGGCCGGTCCAAGGGTTTCTTCTTATCTTTCTCGGCTTCACGATGCTACCGGGTTAACACCCCCCCTTCTTTGTACTTCTTCCTTTCCACCGTTGATCGCAGCCATGGATGGGTCGCAACGATCTGAACCCAGGCGCTCCCCTCCCTCCGACTCGCGCGAACCCGGGGTAAACTCCGGAACAACCCCAGAGAAGGTGGGAAAGGAGGACGTCATGATCACTTTATCGCTCTCCCCCGAACCACCGGCACTTTCGCGGACTCGATCTCCTTTGACCCGATCGCATCTTCGCTCGCGCTCACTGGCGGGAATCCCCGGCATGCCTTCGATGACGCGCGCCTACTCGTCTCCAGGGCTGGACTCCCGGGGCCGGTATATCTTTGTGAATGGCCGCGGCGGGTCGCCAGTCGAAAGCGCGAAACGACACTTGCCCCTGCAGATGCGCGTCGACGATCACCTCGAAACCCGAATGAGCTCGCTCAACATCTCCGAGACCATTTCTGAGACCGCCGAACTCGAAACAGCCCCCAGGTCGCCCGTGCCGTCGCAACCTGGCTCCTCCTCGCCGATCATGATGCCGCAGACGCTCCCCCGCGCCGGGCGCCTGCGCCCGACTTCCCCCTTCACCAGAATCCCGTCAATAGTCCGCCCTCCCTGCATTCTTCCCCCATGCTCGGCTCCAAGTACAACGAGGCCTACCCGGTCCATTCGGCCTCGTCGGCCTCATCCGTCCCCTCCACTCCGACGAGTCTCCGCTCTCGCAGCCCCAGCATTTCTTCTCTGGAAACCATTCCCGATATCCCAGACGCCGAGGCCGAAGAGGTGGAAGAAGATCGCATCGCTGAATTAAAGGCCGCGGCTGATGCAGCCGATGCGGCCAGCAACGCGAACCGACGACGCGGGGCTTCGGATGTGTCTAGCCCGTCGAGTTCATTCAACACCATGCGTGGGGTGTCGGGCATTTACGGACCCCGAAGCGACAAGCGCAAGCGATGGAGTGTCTGTGGCGCCGAACGGCGACAGGATCTCGACCTGGAAACCATCTGGGAGGATTGAAAGAAACACGATGCTTTCGTGACTTATCGCCCACAGTTTATTGCTGGACAACCTTCAACCATCCCCCCGGCCTCATAGCAGCACGCCCCGTTTTCAGTCCTGGAGTTGACCTCCAGACTCGATTTTGACATCCTCTTGCTTTCCACCACTTCTTGCTCGTCTCTGAAATTCCTAGATACCCCCCATTTCTTTCTCTTCCGAGCCGTACATATCCCATTCTGACATGTCCTATCTTTGAAAAGCATCTTTCTGTGTTTTCTCTTTCCTCTTTTTCTCTCTTTTCCTTTTCGCGCCAAGAGGAGTTCTATTGCGGGTTGGCTCTACTGTTGCAGGCACGGGAGGATCTTTGACCAGGCACCGGAGTTGTTTCTGGCCTATTCATTATGCTGAGCATGATTTATTGTTTCTGGGGGCTTGTTTTATTGTTTTCTGATGTATGTGGTCGATACCATGAGCATTCTAGATCTTGTTATGGTTAGCTCAATGCACATCCGGGCTTGCTAAAACTCTTTTCTCGTAGTTGTGGAATGTTATGCGTGTGTTGGACAGTAGTCTGTTCTGCTTGCTGCTTGTGTGGCAATGGAGACCACTATTATCTGTGTCTGCATAAATAAAGTCTTATAACTGAGTCAATTTCTCCATCTACAGCACAGCCAAAGAGCAACGAAGGATGTGTGGATCTATCATGATCAGTCTGAACAAGCGTCTCACCTAGTATAGATTCTCGTACAGATTCTCGGAGGGGGGGGGGGGGTTAAAAAAAGAAAGGAAGGAAGGAAGGAAGAAAGGAATACAACGAAGGAATGAAAAGGAAGGAAATATACAACCCATGCTGAATAGCCCCAAATCGCAGCACATACCACCAGTCAGATCGGATCTACTTATAGGCCATCCAAGTTCCTCCACCCCTTCCCTTGCAGACGCGCACTCTCTCTCTCTCTCTCTGCATGTCCATACTTCAAAGCTGTCTCTCTGGCAGTCAGCCCTTTTAGATCGTCCAGCTCCCGCTTCGCACCCTGCCGAAGCAAGAATCGAATAGCCTCAAGCCAGTTCCCACTGTGATTGAGGAGATAGTGAACATGTGGAAATTCGTTGGATGTCGCGGCCAAATTAATCCATGTATGTGGTATTTTATGGGAATCAACTTAGGCTGATTCGTCGGTTATGAGACAAAGGGATATAGATATAGATACAGACATCAAGACATCTTCTAGATAGAAGATTCGCTAATTAATATTCTACCCGTGCCGGGTAGGAAGGCAGATCCATACGGCAATAGTGGATTTCAATGAACTGGAATTGGCATTCACAGTCCTCTATGTAGGTATCTGGGGTCTGTCGCAGCCGAACGATGTTCATTTTTTTACCTTATGGCGGCTAGAATACTGGATGCGGTGTCCGGAGCCATCCTGCAAGTCATGACTGTCGGAACCCACAGGCTATATCTATGTAGGCAGCATGGTAATTGGTGGGACTCAAGCTTAAACTGTTATGTTCTCAGTCATGATGGATGTTTCAAGAGGAAAATAGAATTATGTGCATCCTTTGGCTCAATATGGCAAAATTGTTTGAACAGACCAAAGACTTCATTTTCACGGACTGCGTCCGCATTACCTTTGCTCTAGCATCCCTGAGGATTTACTCAGGTAGGTCTTGCATCCTTGAATGTTCGTCACATTTAAGCTGTCAATTGGGAGGTTTGAGGTAGAGACGACGTGGGGACTGTCAACGGCTTTACAAGAGCCTCATCCATGCGTATATTATAACAACATATGAAAGTTGTTGGACTTTTCTTACTTGGAAGGGCAGGGGAAAATCTCTTAAATCGTCTACAATCTGCATCAATTCTACTTCCATATTTTTCCCTTTGTTAAGTTAGTTATTCTTTTTTTTTAAGATCAAGTTTACTCCCAAAGATCCCTCAACCCTAAAAGCTTGATAATGCTCAAACGTCCCGAGGAATGAACCGCACATTCAACTCAGGCTTCCACCACAAAAAGTGCATCTTGCACGTGTTGATCCAGTCCAGGTCCTGATCCAAGAGCTCCATATCATGGGCGTAGACCATCTTCGCAAGCTGTAGCGCCATTTGTCCAAAAATCGAATTCTAAGATCTAATTTATTTTTTAATTTATTTCCGAGACTTATTGAAGCGATTATAAATCTTATTATTTATAGAAAAGATATTTTATAGATAGTTTAGGCTAGAATCTAGATTAGTAGCCGAATAAAAATATATCTCAGTAAGGTTATACTACGAACTCCTACTTTAATACTCTTAAACAGGGTCTTTTGCTAGTTTATAAACTAGGTATAATATCCTAGTGAAATAATACGATAATCTATATAGCTAATATCTTATAAGAGTAGTTCGAAAATTATAGAATTTAGGTAATAAACTAGCCTCCTTATTCGCTTAATCTTAACCCTATCGAACTAGTATAGCGGCTTTTGAAGCTTGAAATCCTTTAATTATACCCTTACCTAGGTGATGGCAGATCTAAATTAGATTAGGAGCTATTCAAAAAGGCTATATACGACGCTTAGGATCAGCTTGATCAAAACGCTAATAATAGCCTAATTTGGTCTATACCGCGTAGGCTTGCTGCTATACGCGCAACGAAGGGTTAGTATACTAGATATTAATCTCATTTTTTTAGTGTATTTAGTATAAAGTTCTAGTATTTAATATTAGGAGAGTTATTCGGTTTTTAATATAGTAGGGTAAATCTGAATTATAGAGTGTATACAGACTTTTGGCCGCGTAGTGTATTCTGTTTGTTAAGAGAGCTATCGCATTTTATAAATAGGTGAAAAGTTACATAAAAGCACGGCAAGAACATGCTCTGGTTTCCAGTCCGTGTATGCTTTGTCGACAATCTCTGGTGGGTTCTAATAATGCTGACCCTGCTGGCGCTTATGTCGTCATAGTTCAAAGCCCTTTCCGGCGGTCAGCCATCGACGCCTTGCTTCGTGGAAGTTTCTTTTCAATCAAACAGCACAACGGCGCTATCTCGGACGAGCCTCGGCCCCAGAACAGCTGCCAGCTCGGCAATAATGCCCTTGACGGATTGCGGACTATCGAAACGCATATCCTCCCAACCGACGAGATCCTAGAGAGTCAACACCAGAGGCCCTTTTCAAAAGAATGAAGCATGTACTCTATGGGTGAGAGGTGCGAGTTACGTACTATCATCTCCACAAATGTCCCGTGAAACAGCAAGTGCCAATGATCCAGATCTAGAGCTTTCACTTCGTCCAGAGTTAGGACTCCAGGCATGTGGATGTCGAACAATGAAAGCTCCTCTTCGTTCACGTCGGGCTCGAATGGAGGGTTTGTGGACGACTCGGTAGCAGCGGTTGAGGATTGGTCACGCGAGAGGGAAACATAGGGTCGGGTGTCCAGTTTCTGAGCGAGTTCGCCGTCCAATGGGTCCCAGGTATTGGATTCGGGGTCTTGGTTGGAAAGCAGGGTCAGATAGCTGGACATAGAGATTCTTGTCAAACAAAGAGAACTCATCATTTGCTTACCGAGGATATACTGCGGCTTGTAATTGGCTTTGTAGCGCATCTTCTGACAGGAGTGGATGTAGTATCCTATATTCAATGGTCAGACACATCCCAGGACCGTCATGCTTCATCCAAGACAAACCCATGTAGTAGTAGGGATAGTCATTCTCAAGCGAGAACGCAACCTCGCGCAAGGCGCTCAGTTTCCCAAATTCCCACTGCTCGTATTCAGGATCATAGCTAAAACGAGGTACAATCAGTCACGCCATTCCAGAACCCCTTTGAATTGCACTCACAATACGTAGACAGAGCTCACACCACTTGGCATCAAGTCCAGAACGGCCACCGCAATGAGCTTTCCATCGAGGCGATAGCACTGGTGCCATGAACCAAGTTTCTTCTCCAAGGCATTCGACTTGGTCAGCGAAGCAGGAGACCGCTTGATGCCTGAGCACAGAAACCGCTGGAAGTCTTTGACCTTCCAACGGGAGACATCCTCTCGATGAATTGTGGTTTGGTACTTGACGAAAAGTTCAAACTTGGCCTGGGAGACCGAGTCACCTTCAATGTTGACCTCGAAGCGGTGCGCTGGTTCCAACGGGCGTTTGGTCGCAGGGTCAATGGGGCGTTTGACGTTACTGTACTCGGACTCGTGGACAGCAGACCGAAGATTGAAATGACACTTGCGATGTTTCTTTTCTCTGTCCATCGATCAGCAAGTTCTCTTCGCCGCAAACAAGCGCAAACAACTCACTCGCGCGATCGTGGGCAGAGCCGGGCAGCTTTGCGCATGTATGCTGGGCCTAAAATGAATTTATTCCAGCGATTGACGGCCTTGCGCTGGTCACGGCGGGGCTGGAAAGCAGATGCTTCCAGTCTCAGCGTGTAATGGGGGCAGCAGGACCGTTGCAGGTTCTGCTTGTAGTAGAGCGTGCCCGACCTAGTATGGAGTTAGTATAGTTGGGCACTGAAAGAAGGAAGCCCACAGGAAGCATACCGTCTCCAACCCCGGTTGACAAGCTCCTCATAGTGTTCTGGTCGCACAGCCACGGAGCTGGTGAAATATGATGCACCTAGAACTGACGTGTCAACATGTCCCAGTCCAGTCAGTGTGAGGTGGGGAAAATACTGACTTCCATCATCGGATTTACAGTACCCGCAAGAGTTGCGCTGATACCCTAGTCACTATGATGTTAGTGTCTACGTAGTGAGAGAGAGAGGGGGTTGAAGATCCTCAAGCTTGCAGCAAGTTGATATTTGCCCCTCGCCAAGATTCCCTAAGCTGCAGCCACGAGAACCAGTAGACGTGCCACGGGGTGCGGGAAGTCTACGTCAGTGGTTCCCTGCATGCTAGTGGGACGTACCTAGCGGCCGAAAGAGCGACAGCTGTCGCGCGCGTTCGGCGTCAACGGGTTGCATTTCGGGTTTCAAGACGACTGAAAGGGCGGCCCCGACGGGACGAGGGGAAATCCCAGGATGCGAGGTGCAGCAACCAACACGACCAAGTGGATCGAGAGAGAATGGTGTGTTGCGCAGGATGGTTGCAAAGGGGTGGAAAAGAGAAAGGGCACGTTGGCTGAATTTCGGCGGGGTTGTATTACGCTTTTTTATACCTCAGGCTCTACTTGGATCTATAGTTGATAGCTTGGATCTTGACTGTATACCTCTCACATTGAGGTTCACGATATAACTATTCTTAGCTCCAATGCCCGTGCCAAATTGCCCCGATCGGCCAAGGATCTCATTCCTAGTTCGAGTTGAATTCCGATTTTCCTCGGTACCAGGCAATCCGTTAGGGCCACACCAGATTACCCGAGAACTTCCCACTTGACAAGGGCGATCAGAAGCTAGAGATTAGTCTGAGACAGGCCTAAATTTGCTTTCCCTGGTTTCCTGCCTCATCGACTGAAACATGCGTCCCTTGTTATATCCATGGATCGGTCTATGAGAGGATCTGAATTGTCACATGACCATCTATGGAGTGTCTCAATGGTTTCAACGGTCAAAGGAGGATGATAGTCATAGATTCATGAGAACACAAAGTTACAATCAAGACAATTGAGCCATCAGAATCATCTCAAAGATCTATAACAAAAAATAAAAATAAAAATAAAAAAAAAAGTACACAAAGCTCAGTGTATGGTAAATACCCCATTAGTCAGTTCCCCAGGACCCGTGCGTTACCAGTGCCCCTCCATTCCCACTCTTCGCATCCAGTCCTCATTCATGTAGTTCTCTCTCTCTCTCTTCCTCCCTCTCTCTTTCTTCTGATATTTTCCTGACGATCATGCCTCTTTGTCCTCCTCCTCATCCCCTCCCGTCTACGGGTTTGAATGGGAATACTTGATTGAAGTCCCCGAGATCCGCTTCGCCCCCGGAAAAAAAAAATTCCTTTCCCCGACCGCCCACCGTTGTACTCATTGCAAGACTCTTCCCCCGAGACCTTCAGGCTCCGTGGGAGGCGTGAGCTGAGCGCCGTCAATCGCCTGGCCTGAATTTCTCTCTCCCTGTACTATCCGCGACACAGGTCCTTCCATTCTTTTTTCTTTTCTCTCTCTTCTCTTTCCCCTCTTTTTTGAGTTCCGGAATCACCGCCCGGGCACTATTTCGGAAGTCGAATTGGGCATTTCGAATTGAACCCCTCTTACAATGGCCCAAATCCGGACAATGGAGTCCCGCGTAGGGCGAAAAAACCAACGTGAGTTCTTTCCTGATCTACCTCTCCGCGTGGGGCGATCGGCCCCTCCCATTCCTTTTTCTGGGAGACCGTCTAACGTGAAATTCTCCATAGGATACGGTGCGAAAGGTGAACGACTCGTCGCTGGCGTGGTTCCTCTGTCCGTCGACAAGACCAGAGTCCTGATGATCCAGTCCGCGGGACCCGGAGGGTGGGTGCTACCCAAAGGTGGATGGGAGCTCGATGAACAAACCGCCCAACAAGCCGCCTGTCGAGAAGCCTGGGAAGAAGCCGGTGTCATCTGCACCGTGGAGAAAGATCTGGGGCTGATCCCCGACATGCGACCGACAACACTTCTGACGGCGCAAGCGCCCAAGGCCTCGTACCATTTCTTCGAGGCCGTCGTTGATCGCGAGGAGACCGAATGGCCCGAGATGCACAAGCGACAACGGCAATGGTGCAGCTACACCCAAGCTGCCACAGCACTTGCCAACCGACCCGAGCTACTAGAAGCCTTGAAGCGCAGCTCGCTGATGCGGTGACCACCGCTCTGGTATATATTGAATTTACCTTCTATTCTGATACACTGTTTCGTACATTTTGATTCCGGGAACGGCGTCAACCCATCCCGGTGATGACTTGAGATGACCGACCAAAAAAATGAGGGTGGCTGTCTTGCTTGATGCTGTCGACTCGGGCTTCACCCTTTTGCATCTTTCTGTCGCAGTCGGGCTGCTGTTTTACCCGTCTGCTCGAATGTGTTTTGTTGCTTTCTTGCTGTTGACTCTCCTCCTTAGACAGCTTGTCTGAACCAAGCGCTATTAACTAGCCAAGTGGAGGATTACTGGGAATCTGATGTGGCCAGATATTTCTACCTGACTGGTCTGTCTGAGCCGACAAGAGTGCACTGTCTATGCCTGTAGACCAGCTTCCCCCTCTGCTCATTTGAAATATCAATCTGAGCCACATTTCCAGCCTCCAAAATACTTTTTTGATCATTGTAAATGCAAGTCGTAAGGCATTGAAAATACAAAATGTGACAGAGTGGTGTGTCTGGTTCACCGCCCGCGATGTTCCGATTAGGAAAAGCGTCAAAAGCTCCGATGAGCAAATCCGCGTGCCCTTCACCTCCTTCTCCCGCTGTATCGCCCGCTTTTGTCATTCTTCGATCCTTTTATTTCCCTTCGTATGACACAATAGGCCTGTCACTCAAAACGGCGGTGACCAGCGCTGCCCCGCACTGCACATAATGGACTACGAAATGGATCTGGAGCCCACGGGGCCTCAAGTCACCGTTCGTGAAGTAAGTTTGGTCCACTGAGAATGGGAGGTGAGGAAGAGGGCACAGAGACAAGCATCTGACCAAATGATCCAGGCGGAACCCTACCGCGTCGACTTCCGACTCGGCGCAGTCGATCTCGCCTTCGCCAATTCGCTGCGCCGAACCATGCTGGCCGAGGTGCCGACAGTTGCGCTGGACCTGATCGAGATCGAAAGCAACACCTCCGTGCTCCCTGATGAAATGCTTGCCCATCGCCTGGGCATGGTCCCGCTCAACTCGTATAACTGCGACCAGGACCTCGAATACACGCGCGATTGCGACTGCGAGGACCACTGTGTGCGATGCAGCGTGACCCTGTCGCTTCATGCTCGCTGTGGGAGTGGTATTATGCCGGTCTATGCTCGAGACCTTGTTGTTGTCGGGGAGCGCATGAACGAGACTATTGGGGACCCGGTCATTACGGATCCCGATAACAAGGGTCCCTTGATCTGCAAGCTGCGCCGTGGGCAGGAGATTAAGATGACCTGTCTGGCGAAGAAGGGGACAGCCAAGGAACACGCCAAGTGGGCGCCCACAGCCGCCGTGGGCTTCGAGTACGACCCGCACAACAACCTGCGCCATGTGGATTACTGGTACGAGCAGGATCCAGCCAAGGAATGGTGGGTAATCTGTGTTCTGTGTTGGTGGTATTTCTTTTCTTGATTATCGTACTAATGGCTCATCGATGCAGGCCCGCCTCTGAAAATGCTGCGTGGGAGACCGCAGTCAACCCAGACCAGCCGTTTAACTATGACGCCGAACCCAACGCCTTCTACTTTGATGTGGAGAGCATCGGGAATTTGGAGCCCGATATGATCATCCAACAGGGCATTGTCGCGCTCCAACGCAAGCTGGCCACCACGGTCTCGGTGCTTTCCGGTGAAGGCGAGGATGGCCACGCCCCGGGCCCCGAGGATGCGGAGATGATGGGTGCCGGGGACCCGGACGCCTACGAGCCTCCCGAGGGAATCGACGGCAACCTGACCACGTACGGGGGCGGTGCCGCCAGTGCCTGGGGTGCTAGTGCCCAGACTCCGTACGGGGCTACCCCGTATGGACAGAGCACCTATGGATTTTAGGGAGATGCGCAGATGCGCGCAAGCGGCAAACTAGCTCGAGCATGTGGACCGGAGTTGTTTTTTTTTTTGTTCTTTTTTCACTTGCTTCTCTGGCGATTTAGGCGGCGAATCTGGAGTTTTTCATTTTTGTGATACTACGCCACCTGCTGATGATGTCCGGGGTCTTGAGAGGTTGTTCTGTCCATACTACAAAAGCTTTAGTTTCACGATGCTTCTAGGTTACTTATGTACCTATACGTTGCTAGATCTGTGGATGTACCATGCGAACCACATTAGGTATAGCATTATGACAAAGATCGATTCTCAAAATGGGATCATAAACTCAACTATCGATTCAAAACACAATGATGCTGACATCTATCTAGATAGCAATTCTTACCCCTATCTATTTATATACCCTTTCAACTCAACAGCACCCCATCCCCCAGAACAATAACCTCACTCCGAATCAGCTGCTCCAACAAATCAACATGCCTCTGAGCCGAAGCCAGCACATCCAACCGATCCCGAAACACGCCCCGAATCTCCATCAGAAATGCACAGGGCACGGGGCTCTGCTCCGGCCGATCTATCATGAAACTCTGCCCCAGCGTCTCAATCGACTGATCCAGCGCCTCGATAAAGTCTTCTGCAGTGAGCCACCGCTGCCCGGGGGTGAGGGCCATGCCTACCCATTTCGTGGACTCGGCGGGTCCTTTCTTGCTCTTGCTCTTGTTTATCTGGTTGCTGTACCTCGATGCTGGGGTGCTGTCGCTGTTGTTTGTAGTCTCTTTGTTTGCATCAGAGGAAGGCTTGCTGGGGACGTAGAGTCTGTTCAGGGCCGGGTGCGTGCTCAGTGGCAGGAGCTGGTGCTGGTGGGTAGTAGTAGACCGGTCTCTGTGCACCGTTAGTGGGGTTAGCGTTGCGGTCTTGGTTCTGTCTGTGTTCGAGGCGGGGATTAGATTGCTTCCGGTGTAGGGCTCTGAGAGGTAGATGGTTGTTTGGAAGGTACTTCTCTGTAGGGCTTGGTTTTCGGCTGGTGTTGGAGGCATGTTGTTGGTTGTGATTGAATCAGTGGCTTTTTGGGTAAGAGGAATGGGGGATAGATTGAGAGAGAAGGCTGCGAGCACGTTGTATTGTGCTCGAGTGGATGTTGAGTTGAATCCATGCCTCCCGAGTCACTCCCTTTTATATTCAAGGTCCCTGGCTTGGCCATAGTCCAGAAATAGACCCGAACAAAGATCGAGATCGATGCAGTGTCAAAGAACATGGGTCTGGTCTTGGTCTTTGTGTATTCACAATGGGACTGTTCTCGATCATCGACACAAAGACTGCGTCGTGTCAGAGTGAAAGCCATTGTCCATCATTGTCCTGTTGCAAGACAAGGAACCTGCCGATGCCTTGAATCCCATTTGAGTCGAACAGAGTCACAGCCGTTGCATTCCGTCGGCCGAAATCGCTCGGTGGGATGTTTCAAAGAGATTCTATTTCAGGATGCTGTCTATTTCAGGGTTTGTCAGGTGACTGTGCTTTCTTTAGCTTCTCTTCGCGTAGCTAAAACCAGCTTCTTCTATTCAAACTTTTTCTATACCAAAGGGGAAAATAGATCTATTTCAAGATGGTCTATTTCAGGTTAATACAATGTCTTTTCAAGACAATCTATGGATGTCTGCAAATATAGTGGTATCACATGACTCCTAGATGGTCCGGTGGATGTGGTCTGTTGAGGTAGACTCCGAAGTCATTGATTGCTCTTGACCTTCCTTAGCCTCTTCTACCTGTCTAGATGTGTGGATGTGTAGATGTTGTTGTTGTTGTTTTCTTTTCTTTCTTATTAATTTCTACCTAAACTGATCAACAGATATCAAGACAGATATGTAAGGAGTATGATATTATTATCCATAATCTCTTCATAGACAAGGCAGTCGTCCCAGATCCAAACCAATGCTTTCCCCAACGCCATTCAGATGATAGCATGCCACAAATCATGGATGATCTATGCACACACAAGCAAAAATGAAAAGTAAAACCAGTCGCTAGAAATGCACCAGCATAATACACACAACCCTCTAGTCCACACTTAATCCATCAGCTCGACAGGTGGCCGAGAGGTCTTGGGCGGCATCTTCGTGACGGGCATCTCAATGGGACTCATGTCGATATCCATGTCACCATCGTCCGCAACCAGACTCATATCCTCAACCATGACCGCAGGTAGGTTGGGGCTGTGGCCATGTTCTTCGGGATGGTAGATAAGAGTGCTGCTTCGGCTGCGCTGCTGCGAACCCGCCACGGGCCAGCTGCCAGTGCGCTTGTCGGACGAGATCGAGACCGGAGTGGCGGGATCGACGCCACCACAGGGCTCGGAGACTTGGGTGCGGTCGGTCTTCAGCATGGCCAGAGCGTTAGCCAGATCATGGGCGTGTACCTCCTTGTTGGGCGGGTCCTCGTTGCGCATGACCCAGCCGTGCGGCGGGCTGGGCGGCGGCGAGATAAAGAAGAGCTTGTCCATCTGCGGGGCCTCGAGCAGACGCTTGGGCGCCTCGTCTCCGTTCAAGATCGGGGTTGGCTCGCCAAAGTAGATCCGGGGCCGGACGTCACGGCCCAGTAGTGGGGTGCCATCCAGCATCTTGCGGATGGCGATGGCGTCCTCCTCGGAGTGGAACGAGCAGATTATGCGGCGGAGCGAGGGGAGTGGGGAGAAGGAGTTCAGGGGCGCCACTGCGCTGATCTGGGTGCGGATGGCTTCCAGCGATGAGGGTTGGAAGAGGATGAGGTCACGCAGGTCGGTGATCAGGAGGGTGTTGGTGGGAGGTGTAGGCTGCGTGAGCGGGGGGAGGCTGGAGAGGTCGATGGAGAGAGAAGGTCGAGATGAGCGAGATAAGCGGTGGGCGCTAAATGAGGGAGAAGAAGGCAGCGAGCGCGGTGGGGATGCAGATTCGGCCATTTTGTTCATTTGATGTGTGTTGAGAGAAGTTGGTTGGAGGAAGTTGAAGTTGGGTTGAAATGGGAGAGCGGTGGAAAGAGGTGGAGAGAGATGGATCAGGAGAGAAAGATAAAGATCAATGGGATTGCCGGATGGGTTGATATGCTTTGATATGCTTGGAAGTTGAAGAAGAAAGAGGATCAAACCGAGTTATTTATCTGTCTTTGCAAAATAAACTCATCCCCCCAGAAATGCGCAAACGAAGACGGTTGAGGCGCAGCGGACAGCATCATCCGGCACTGCCCATCCCTGATCCACCGGGAATTCGGCGATTCCGCCACCGGCCATTCCAGGGAGATTTAGAATATAAGGGTCAAATAAGTTGAAATCAAAGTAATACAGCTACTAGGATGAATAAAGAAGTTGGAATTGAAATAGACATAGAGATGAATATTAATATTCTCCTAGAATCGACACTATACATCATGTTGGCCTGAGAATTCCGTGGATATTTCCAAGTTCGGACAAGCTGAATGTCTTACTAAGCACATGCGCCACATCCACGTCTACCCCATTAGGCAAGCACAATGTTAAAGCATGCGCCACACCCCGTGACTCAGGGGATCTCCGGGCCTCCGCCTCCAGGAAGTTGTGTCCTGCCTCGGCTTGGCTTGACTTCGCCCGATTGCCATGATCCTTCAGCTTGGACACCGCAGCAGACAGGACAACGTATAAACGAGGCTGGCGAAGCACAAGGCAGCACCTTTTTTCTTTGATACTGCCACTTTCCACGCTTCATGCCCTCTGGTGAGCTTACTTCCTGGACTAGCTAGGATCTGCAATTTCTGGGGTCGGACCGGATGGATTATTTCCTTCTCTGTACTAGTCTACTGACATCTATAGCTTTCGCCTCACATGGAAATCATCAATATGGATCATCTCTTTTTGCCTCAAGCAAGGAGAATTAGCAATATCTATGCTCAAAATAACGTATCCCTCCCAGAATCGTTGATATACACGCAAATACAACACTTCGCATTAAAGGCTGGTTATGGCCCGCAGCCGATCCGCCAGGACGCGGTTGGTCGGCGCAGACCCGGGCGTAAAGTACTCGGACGCATGAGGCAGCCCCGGGTACACGTGGACCTCGACGGGGATGTTGGCAGCAGCGATGCGTGAGACATACTGCAGATCCTCATTGAGGAAGATGTCCAGGCTGCCGACATCAAGATACGTGGGCGGCAGGCCTTCGACACTGGTCGCACGCGCGGGTGCCGCGTACTGCGACACGCGATCGGAGCGAAAGTCGGCGCCCAGGTAGGCAGACCAAGCCCCGATGTTGGCTTCCGTCGACCAGATCACGCGGTCCTTGAGGGCCGGGATGGGCTCGAGGTTAAGGTCGTTGAGCATTGGGTAGTTGAGGATTTGCTTTGCCACGCCGGGTGACAGCCCGCGGTCGCGGGCCATCAGAGTCATGCTGGCGGCCAGGTTGCCACCGGCGCTTTCGCCCATGGTCGCGATGCGCTGGCGGTCTATGCCGAAGTCGGCCGCGTGCGAGTGCACCCACGCCAGCGCCGCGTAGCAGTCCTCTGCTGGCGTCGGGTACGGGTGCTCGGGCGCCAGGCGATAATCCACAGAGAACATCTGCACCCCGGACTGGCTTGTTTGCAGGGCGTGTGCTTTCCGGAACAGATCCGTGCTACCAAAGATCATGCCGCCGCCGTGCGCGTGCACGATCGCCGGGCCCGGGGTCGTCGTGTCGGCAGCTTTCTTGAAGTAGCGACACAGGGTAATTGATTGTCCGTCGTAGGATTCGATAGTGAATGACTGGCGTTCGACATCGGGCGATTCAGGCAACATCGCCATTAACTTCTCGAATGTCGGCTTCGCTCTCGATCGAATCTCGTATGGATCGGTTGTGGGTGGCTGGGGGTTGGCCGCGGCGGCGGCGAAGAAAGGCGCCATGGCTTGGGCGAAGTCTGGATCGAACTCGACAGGCATTGTGACCGCGAGACATGGGATCTTGGATGAATGGAACAGGCTATGGGAGACAACCCTCTGTTATATGCCCCCTCACATCAAGAAAGTCCTTGAGTCGCCCCCAACTCGGGGCCAATCTTTGGTTGCTCCGTCAGATATTCCCGAAGGAATGTTTCTGTGGGCCCTGATTATGGTGGGGTTTGGAATGATTATGCATCGCATGGCTCGGCTTATGGCGTATAGAAGGATTTCCCTCTGACTGGATGGATGCCAGCGGATCGACTGTGCTCGGATGCTGAGATCCACCACTCTGCCTGGTCGGTGTCCACTCTCAAGTTGTCGACTTATGTACTTCTATCGAACCTCGGTACGCGAAGAAAAAGAAAAGAAAAAGAAGCGGTTTATTGATGATTACGCTCGATAGGAACGAATCAGCTTGGTGATGCTCGTCCCATCGTCCAATGTCTCGACTTCCTCCTCGAGTCGGTAGCCTCCCCAACGAGGGAGAACCACCGTCCACACATACCAGTAAATGATCGCGAAGACAATACTGCGGTTGTTAGTGTTGCACTGACCACCAAATCGCAGGGTGCCACTCACACTCCAACGCCAACAATGGCATAGGCTGCATAGAAGAAATTGACATCGCCCTTCCAGTTCGGGGGCGGGATGAACGGCGCTACCAGCAGCGCCAGACACAAGCCGATTCGCAGCCAAACTGCCGGGAGCCACGCTTTAAAAGGTCGCAGTCGATCTGGCTCCCTGTATCGCAGGAGAAGCAGCCCCAAAGTTACGGCCAAGGCAAAGATCTGCCCTGGGTACCCCTCCACATCGAGTATGAAATTGTACACATCTCCCTGCGGAGGCAGTGAGATGACCAGAAGCGATGGCACATAGTGGACAATCAGTCCTCCCAAGGGTGTACCAAAGGGTCGCGAAGAAGAAAGGGCTTGCTGCCATGGAAGGAAACCCTGTCGGGCGATCTCTTGATTGACGCGTGCCTGCCAGAACAATTGGTTAAATGATGCGAATGCTCAAAAGCAAAAGGAAAGAAAATATACCAGAGCAAATGTCACCACCATCACATTCCCCGCCGCCGAAATGGCAATCGCAAGAGGTAAGAGCGTTCTCCCAATGTGGTCGCCGAACAGTCGTTCAAAGAGCAATGCAGCCACAAGCTCGCCACTACTTTTGATTTCCTCCAGAGGAACGACCAGAAAGTACGAGATATTTGCCAGAAAATAGAGACCACCCGCAGTGAAGAGGGCCGATGGACACACGGTTTTCAGGGTCTTGACGGGATCGTGCACCTCATTCAGGACATTGTTCACATTGTTTAGTCCGGCGTAGGAGTAAATGACCTTGAACAGTGCCGTGGAGAGCAAATTCCAGCTCCAGTTCGAGCCCTCCCAGATTGTATCCCATACAATCGGGCTGTTTCTTGCTGCTCCGGGAGAGATATGCGCAGGACCTCCATACAAGCGAAGCAAAATCACCCAGATGCCGGTCAGCGACATGGCGCCGATCAAAAAGATCTTGACCCAGCCGAGCACATTCTGGATCCAAATCCCGGTGCGTAAAAAGCGGCCATGGATGATCGTGATAATGGTTAAAAGACCTACTGCCAGAGCCTTGTGCTGAAACTCGGTCGACTCGATGTTGAACGCGAACAGGGTATATTTGGCGAAAACAATACAATTACTCGCCGTGAAGCCCAAAATCACTGCCTGGGCCGCTACCAGGCAAGAGGCAAGAAATCGCGGTCGAGGATAAGTATACTCCAGATATACCTGCAATGGACAGATTGATTAGTTGGGACATTCTCAAAGGCCCAAATTCGCCGATATCAAGATAATATACCTTCTCGCCCCCGGAACGAGGCAGCATACAACCATACTCCATCGAAACGGCCATACTACAGGCCGACAGGATTGTGCCAACCAGCCATACCAGCAGAGTCAAGCCCACACTCCCAGTGGACTTCACAATCGATCCAGGCGTAGCAAAGATGCCGCTTCCGATCACACGGGAGACCACGAGAATATACGCACTGGACCAGCTGAGACTCTTGCCTGAGGATGCACCCGGCAAGCTATCCAAGTGCGACGGCGATAATTCATTATGGGGGTTGCCGATAGATTCGGGCTGAAGGGTATTGTAGTGAGTGGAAGGAGTGTTCAGCAAAGGCTGTCGTTCGCGGAGATCCATAGTAAGTGGAATGTATCTAACGGTCTCGACACAGTCTGGCCAAAACAAAGTGACCCATGGTCCGATTAAATAGATGAGAGAAACAACATAAGAGCGTAAAAGCAACCTGAAAACAACGAATACTTCTGCCGAGGTGAGAGGGTCTGATTGGAGTTGCTTGGAAATCATCCAGGCACGTCATTCTGGCTGAATGTTAGGTGTCCGCTCCTTGCGTGTAATGGGCTTGCGCCATGAGGGGAGTACCCGGCAGCTTTGCAATGACCCAGTGTAACCACAAGGAGAATATCTGAGGAAATAATGTGCTTTGGGTGGGTTATTGTGTTGGATCGGCCTCCCCGCTTCGAAGTATCTTCTGCAGCCATCTATATCACATCTGTTCTTCCTCTCCTTCTTTCTTCTTTGCTTTCTTTCCTGTGGCTCTTGGGGCTTATCGGAACTTTCACTCGACGAGGCTTCATACTCTATTATTCGATTTTACGTACTCGGTGCTTCTTCTTATTTCAATGCGATATGTTCTTTCTTGGGTGAGTTATTACATCCAATCACTGTGTTTTATTTCTTAAGGTTATTTTTATAGTTAACGTAAACTTTTATGCCCTTCGAAGGTTCCACCTGGACAACATTCTCATGGATGATGCGTCACTTGAACATCTATTAAGTGTCTAACAGACTAATCAGTTGACTCACCAATGAATTCGCCTACACTTTCTGGCCCCATAGTCGACAGGTGCGATCTCTAGTCTGACATAAGATCATATGAGGCATTGAGATGGCGCTTACGTCCAGAACCACCTAGGTCATGTGTCATGGCATAGTGTATAATTTTCCCCAACTCTGACGTGGTTTTTCTTTTCTCCCAATATGTGTCCTGACTTGTGCCATATCAATCACTACAATTTGAACTTCGCAAAGCAACAATGCGCCACGTCTTTGTCGAGGACCTAAAAACCTTCTCTCTACAAGAGACTCCAAACCCCACCATCCAATCCCCCACAGATGTCATCGTCAAAGTCACCGCCACCACCATCTGCGGCTCCGACGTGCATGTGATCGACGGTGATTTCGGCACTTCCTGGGGCTTTCCCCTCGGACATGAGTTTGTCGGCACGATCCAGGAGGTCGGCACCGACGTGAAAACCGTCAAAGTCGGAGACCGCGTCGTCGCATCGGCCGGGGTGTGGTGCGGTCAGTGCGACAAGTGCCGCAGTTTCCAAATCCAATCCTGCGCGCAGTTCGGCATCTATGGGACCGGCAAGATCGGAGGTGGGTTGCCCGGCGCCCAGGCCGAATTCGTGCGAGTTCCCGTGGCCGATAATAACCTCGCGGCCATTCCCGACGATGTCAGTGATGCCCAGGCCCTAACCGTTGGCGATATCCTTGCCACGGGCTGGACGGCTGTCGAGAATGCCTACTCGGAAAATGCCACTCTTGTCGTCTTCGGTGCGGGGCCTGTGGGTCTTTCTGCGATTCATACGGCGCTTCTCAAGAATTTCTCGCAGATTATTGCCATCGATGTCCTGGCGGACCGCTTGGAAGTTGCCAAGAAATTGGGCGCAGCCCATGTTATCAATGGGGCAACTGAGAATACGGCAGAGCGCGTCATGGAGCTCACCAATGGCCGAGGCGCTAAGGCTATCATCGATGCGGCGGGTGCGAAGGCCTCGATCAATACTTGGGTGGCGGTGGCTGCACCTGACGCCCGAATCTCTATGGTGGGCATTCCCTCTGGCCCTGTTGAGATGCCTCTTACTATGCTGCAGCTGAAAGGCGTCACCATCTGGATGGGTCTGGCGAATACTGCCCGGCCTCGAATGGAATATCTTTTGGAGTCCATCCAGAACAAGACTTTGGACCCATCGCCGATTTTTACGGAGACGATTGAGTTTGGGAAGATTGAGACTGCTTTGCAAGAGTTTATCGCTCGCAAGCCAGGGTTGATCAAGCCTTTGATTGTTTTTGGATAGATCTGCATATAGCATGGTCGAGTCAGATTTGAATGACCCAGCGTTCTTTGAATTCTCAGGCTTCTTTTCGTTGCTGCAGCCCTAAAACCTTCTCTTACGCACAATCATTCACTCGTCACTTCCTCGTTTGACAGCATCTTGACAAAGCCAGCACTTTCTCCCCCACATACTCCGCTGTATCTACTACAAATGATAGGTGTTTATGCAAATAAGCACCTTGATCATCCTCAATCTCGATGACGTTGATCTGCAAGACTTCAATGTTGGTATCATCTGCTGGAACGAGATGGTCGAAAGTCACGCCATAATAGTCAATTGCTCTAGTTATATCAAGGGAGAAGTGTTAGCTATAGTGAGACATGGAGGGATATAATGTGGAGGTGCCATTTGGAGAGATAGTGATTGAATCAAGTTCTGAACCTTGGAGAGTCTTATCAATTCTGTGACATGTCAAAAGCTTAGGATAATACACATAGTTCAACTTCTTGTGTTGACAGAATAGGCACACCAGCCAATCAACTTGATGACAAAAATTGAATAACAAATATCCGAAACATCTATCCATAGACCTGAAGCAAACCAGAACCCAGTACACGTCTCTAGGAAAGCGCAGTGCGTAGAATGCCAGCATTAATCAATGCGGGGATGGCCAGCTGATGCGAAACATGGTATCTCTATCCTATTTTGGTCTATATTGTCAAATTCTGAAAAATAAAGAGCTAGTAGGAAAGCTTGACCTCAAGAAAGAACATTCATAGTAGGTCGCGTGCCCATTTGGAGAGGGATTTTATTGAATAGAAGGAATGCTGGGAGCTTTCAACCCTATTCCCTCATCCCACTCAGTAAGTTTGTTGTCAAAGTATTATTTATCTTCCATTTTAAAGAACGCGAACCAATATCAGTAAGAAAATAAGAGCAAAATTGCACGCCGTCCAGGTCGTATAGTTCGGCCCAGCGTTTTTCCCGTTCAAAGCGGTCAGGTGATGCGCGATGAATTTTGACCGATGAACGCCCGCTGCGATCATTTCCCAAACTCCTAGAATTTTCCCTGAACCCTCAATTTCCTAGTTTTCCGTCATCATGTTCCAAAGGGCTATCCTCAGACAGACCCAGGCCGCCCGGTCGGTCCTCTCCTCCACAACTGCTGCGCCGCTGGCGCTCCGACGGACGTCACGATTGCAGCCACGTCTGCCGTCCATTCGGCCTTTCACGCCCCAGCCCACCCACCGATTCTACTCCACTGAAAACAAGGGCGAGCAGAAGGAGGCTCCCCCTCGAGACTGAGGGAGAGAAAAATGGAGAAAATGTCGAAGACCCCGTCCGCAAGGAGCTGGAGGAGAAGAAGCGGGAAGTGATTGACCTTAAGGTATGTTTTTCTCTCGAGTTTTTCTACACATACATAACCAATAGTCTCTTTCCTGTACCTCATGCTGACATTTATTTCAGGACAAATACCTCCGCTCCGTCGCCGAATTCCGCAACCTCCAGGAGCGCACCAAGCGCGACATGGACGGTGCCCGCAACTTCGCCATCCAGCGGTTCGCCAAGGACCTCCTGGAGAGCATTGACAACTTCGACCGTGCACTGCTGGCTGTGCCCAAGGAGAAGCTCAGCGCCCCGGAAACCGAAGCCAACAAGGACCTGCTCGACCTCGTCGCCGGTCTCAAGATGACCGAGCACATCCTCATGAACACCCTCCAGAAGCACGGTCTGGAGCGATTCGACCCCAGTGAGAAGCCTGATGGCCAGGCCCAGAAGTTCGACCCCAACCTGCATGAGGCCACCTTCATGTCCAAGGCCGAGGGCATGGAAGACGGCGACGTGATGTACACCCAGAGCAAGGGTTTCCGACTGAATGGCCGCGTTCTGCGGGTGAGTTGCACCACCTTCTGATATTTACCTTTTTTTTTTCTTGATTTCATCTTCTAACTTCCATTTTCTTTTCATTACAGGCTGCCAAGGTCGGTGTCGTCAAGAACACATAATTTGCCTTTCCACCTCGGAAACATTTTTTGGGCCAGCCCTTCTTCTCCTTCCTCGCCTTCCTCCCCTCGTCTTCTTTCCTTCTGTCTGTACCATATATCATACATCATGATCATGATGGGGATTTTTCACTCGGATGCTTGCTGGCTGTTGGAATCTCGTTCTGTGTCTCTTGGATCCGTCTGTATGATACTCCCTTGTTGCATGTGAATGGAGGCGTCCGGGTTGTCTCGTGTTGGGGTGTCTGTTCACTTTTGTCGCGCAATCTGTGTCTCTGGATAACTCTCTCCTCCCTATCTGTATAATACACACCGTCTTGGGGGCGCATGAACCATCGCCTCTGGTTGTCTCCAGTGTTGTCTTGCTGTAGTGTGTCATAATGGTTGTAGTTTTGGGATGGGAAATGCAACATCCTATTTTATACAATTGCTTGGAGCAGTGGTAAATCGTCTATAGTACACGTTGTTCGAGCTCCCCTAAAAGGCTCCCTCAATCACCTCAGCTGGACACCAAGCTCTCCGACCAGCCTCGACCGGACCTTATCATGCATGTCATTGGCCTCCTCGTTCGTCAAGGTGCGTTCCAGGCTGCGGTAATTGATGCGGTAGCACATGCTCTTGCGGGCAGTCTTCGGGTGCGTAAACTCGTCAATCAGAGCAACATCCTCGACCAAATCCCCGCCAATCCCGCGCACAATTTCCATGACATCGTTCTCGTGGAAGGGCACAGCACCGCCCGCAGCACTGCTCCCACCGCTGACAGCGGCGGGGGGCAACCAAAAGGCGACGTCCTTGTAGCAAGCCGGGTGCTTAGAGAAAGGCTCGAAGCGTGAGATATGCCCCGCACGGAACTGAGACAGGAAGCGCTCATCGCGCGACCAGAACAGGCGGATGTCCGGGATGTTGAATAGCAGCATGGCGATGCGTTCCAATCCCAGCCCAAAGGCCCAGCCGATGCGGTCCGGGACGTCGGAGCTGATCAGAAGGTCTTGCTTGATAACGCCGCATCCCAAAATCTCCAGCCAGTCGCCTTGCCAGAAGACTTCCAGCTCCCACGACGGACTCGTGAACGGAAAGTAGGCCTCGACCCAGCGCACTTTCAGAGGCTCCGGGTCGACTTCGGTCCCCGTGCTGGCCGCCGCCGCCTTGCTGGCCTCAGTGAAGATCCGGATTACCATGCGTTCCAGCGACCGTTTCAGATGTGTGGCGACCGCCTCGACTTCCTCGGCGCTGTGGTGCTCCGCCTGGAGCGGGTTTCGTTGGGGGTGGATAGTCGGGTTGGGGTCTTCAACGACGACGTCGTGGCGTGGGATCTTCTCCAGGTCTGCCGTGATCTTAGCTGCCGTGTCTGCAGAGTGTGCTAGTGGATCTTTCGATGGGCGCTTCCACAACATCGCTCCCTCCATCTGGTGAAAGACCGGGTAATGACTGCGGTCGATCGCATCGCGGCGGAAGACATCCGCGATGACGGTGTAGCCGACCTCCTCGGGGCGGGTCTGCTCGTTGCGATTGATCTGCTGGAAGTACGCCTGCTGGTGCGCGCTCGTGTGGGTGCGCAGCACCGTCTTCTCGTTGATGTAGTAGGTATCCGTACGACTACGACCCGGGTGGTCTGGTGGGAAACCAAGAACGTCAAAGTTCTGCGCCGTCGACACAACCGGGTTTTTTCGGAGTAGTTGCCAAATATTGGGGTGGGGAACTGGCTCTCAATGAGTTGGCGAGTAATGGCGAGAGGGTGGTTGTCGTCGAGGTAGAGTCGGCGGCCGACGTGCGACAGGATTGTCTCGGGGGTGTTTGTCCATTGGTCGGCGGGGTATGACTTGCCTTCGATGGTGAGATTCGAGGGTTTCTGGGATGTCGGAGAAGCTGTGCTCATCCCTCGACGTGCCTTCGTGTCCTGCTCGGCGGAGCGGCGGGCTGTGGTTGAGCTCCATTGGCGAACAGATGCGATGGGCTCGTGCAGCGCATATGAACGTGCAATGGGGATCCTGCAAAACGAAGTAATTGACCAGCGGCTACTGCTAGCACGCAGGGCTCGGCCGGTAGTGAACAGGCGCATGGTGGGTAGGTCTCGCCTGGAGCTTGTTGCTACCGCAAGCCAACGAGCTCCAAAATATCGCCGGCTCGGGGAAATGAGTCCCCGAAGTACTCGACCATGTCCATGTCCATCATCCTCCCGCAGCAAGTCATGGGAGTATTTTCAATACTGTGTCTCATAAAAATGTCTTCTTGCTGCAACCTGTTTTTACACCCGTTTGGATTTTGCCTTCACATGCTGTGCCGATTCTCGGATGTGATGGTTACTAGTTTGACATGGAACACGGTACTTCTCAAGTTGTCTCTGGGGTCCTATATTGCTTTGAGGTGCTGGTGAAGACTATGTGCGAAGACTATATGTTTAAATTGGTTCGTATATGAATGTCCAGGGATGTAGTTCCACCATAAATCAACACTATAAATCGTAAAATATATAATCACACCTCACTACATCGCAGCATACTTGATGAGAAGTGATAACTATATCTACAATGCAAATATTCAAGGGCAGCAAGCCCATTGGACCTCTCTTTTACATTCAATGCTCCATCGAGACCCAGCAATATCTACTGCTTCTCTGCACTCCATTGACCCGAGACTGACCCCTCGTCCCTCGGTAATCCGACTCCCAACACCCGCAATTTCCCCGAAGATCCCCGCGCCATGATTCCCAGATCTAGTCGCCGACTTGGCTCACAAATAATGCAGTGACTTCATGTTCTCGGCGTTCATTTCAATCACCGAGAAGGAGCAGAGACCATCCGCAATCTACTCGACCGAGCGGGTGTATGCCCCTTACAGACGGGACGATGCTGGGACGACGGCAAAACCGAGGATATGATTGGCTGGAAATACAACCCCCACTCTTATACCAAACCTGATTGGGGCAGCCGAGCGCCTTCGGAGGCCTGATTTGTCTCCGGTATTTGACTGCAAAATTACGTCAAAAACGTCACGAAAAAGCCGAAAAAAAAAAGGTAAGCGGACCTTCTTTTTTGCTTCTTGTCTTATTCTCCACTCTTTCTCCCCCTCCCTTTATTTTTTTTTGGTGAATCTCCCGGGGGTTTCTTGTTTCATCGGGAACAAGATGGCAGACAGTGGCAAGTTGTTGGAGGCCCATGCTCCCTCGCGGGTTGCGCCTGTCTCAACGTCCGCGCCGAAGTCGAACAAGGTGCATTACCCGTTTTGGTTTGGGGGTCGGCGTCGTGCTTTGCTGCGGGCGCGACGCATCCGTTAGATCTGAGTAGGTGATTGTGATTTTATTACTTCTGGGGGAGGGAATGCGTTACTGACTATGCACTTGCAGTCAAGGTACTTTCTTTCTTGCCCTCGGCATTCTGCCCGAGACCACTCGACTGAATCGTGATCCTTCGCCTCGACTCCCCTGCTAATCGCACTCTAGGTCCGGTTACAAACGCGCGCGCCTGATGCGCCGAAGACGATGCTGGGTACTTTTGGGCATGTGGTGAAGAACAATGGGATCCTGGGGTTATACGGTGGTGTATGTGGACTCCCCCGCGGCAATTTGGATGCCGTCTTGACAATCGTTATCAAAAAATGGGATGGTTCGCTCACCAAGGGGAAATATAGCTTTCCGCAGCGCTATTGCGCCAAATGACCTATTCCACGACACGATTCGGAATCTACGAAGAATTGAAATCACACTTTGCCTCGCCCCCAACCTCGTCATCTTCTTCACCCGGTCTTTTCACCCTCGTCGCCATGGCCAGCACATCAGGCTTCATCGGCGGCATCGCAGGCAACCCCGCAGACGTGCTAAACGTCCGAATGCAATCAGACGCAGCACTTCCACCAGAAAAACGCCGCAACTACCGCCACGCCCTGCACGGGCTGGTGCAAATGACACGGACAGAAGGATTCAGCTCGCTGTTCCGCGGGGTGTGGCCCAACTCGACGCGCGCGGTGCTTATGACGACCTCGCAGCTAGCGTCGTACGATACCTTCAAGCGCATGTGCATCGAGAAGGTCGGCATGGCCGATACCATCATCACGCACTTTACGGCCTCGTTCCTGGCGGGCTTTGTCGCCACCACCGTCTGCAGCCCTGTCGATGTCATCAAGACTCGCATCATGAGCGCTTCGCCGGCCGAGAGCCGCGGCCATAGCATGCTGGGCCTGCTGCGCGATATCTGCCGCAAAGAGGGTCTTACTTGGGCCTTCCGCGGTTGGGTGCCCAGCTTTATTCGTCTGGGTCCTCATACAATTGCTACTTTCATCTTCCTCGAGGAGCACAAGAAGCTCTATCGGAAATTGAAGGGTATCTAAAAAAATATCACGCCTTTGCTGTCTCATATTGTTGACCGTGTGATCATTCTACCCCGTCTCTTCCCGGGATATATACATGATCTTTTTTTTTCTGTGGGATTCTGCTTTTTTCTTTTTCTTTTTTCTTGGGCGCATTTTGGGGACTCACGAGTAACATTTTTGGCTTGTACATATTTTTGCATTCTTGCTGGCTTGCTTTTTCTTCGTCAGCGACTTGGGTGGTATTGACACACTCATGTTGGACGCAGTTTCCGTTGGACGCTGTGTATAGGGTTGGCTGATACATTTGCTGCGAGACTGGGATCGCATAGACTTAAGATACATCCTGAATTGAATCCAAAGGATTTCCCGCGAGGACAAACATGACTCTTTTTCAGGGCTCGTCAGCAGCTGTTGGAGCAACTGTAGCATCAACTCGCCCTCACCAGAATCCAGGTGACTACTCGATCTTACATACTCTGCAGAGGTCATGTACTCGGGCGTAGCCCAAGCAGCGTCAGCTAGTCAACACATCTCTCTTTGCAATACGGCGAGTCTATAGACATCCTTTCTCCCACAGGAAGGGCGGCGATGCCCACAAGGAAAGGGAATATCCCCGCATGACCAGGTAAAGTACATTGGTAGTTGTCGATACAAAAAATTCGAAAGAGTCCAATTCATCAACACAAAACTGGTCATTGGTGATTTACCGGTCCAGGTGAGCAGGGAAGTTGCCAGCCTCTGTAAACTCCACAGTTAGCATGTATGCACCAAAATTTCAACACCGCATCAAATGTGACATACCGCGCTGACCGTCCCATCGGTCGGTCCAGGCCTTGGGGCAAAGAGAACGGAAAGCGTAGTAGAACTGCAAGAAACATGGTTAACGGCGAGGAATTCGATTGCTGATAGTGTTCAATGGTCGATACCTGACGGCACGGACGGAAGTCCTCGCCCTTGGCGGTGGTGCACTTGTAGTAGTCGACGTAGTTCTGCCAGCAGTGCTTGGTCCTGTCGAGAAAATCAACATTGCGCTCCATATGGCACCATGGAAGCCGAGAATGACATACTGGTTCTGCTGGGGGAAACGGGCGTCGTAGCCTGCGATTCGGAAGATGTCAATTTCACAATGCCCCAGCCGATCAGGAGATCGCCCGCCCGAGGGGTCTCCCGGTGGACACATCACGTCGCAGGAAAATTGGTCATAAACGCACCAGCTGCATAAATATTAGCCATTGATTCGAATTCCAGGCCATTGACACTGGCTAACGAGAGAGAGGGGGGGAGTGGACTTACCAGTCACGAACTTGAAGGGCTTGGTCTCGACGGGCTCGTCGGGGTCGGCTTCCGGAATGGCACCCATACTGGCGATGCGTAGCTTTCAAAGAAGAACACAAATAACGTGACAATTGGCGGGGGGTAGAAAGGGAAAGAGGGTGAGGGAGAGGAAGAGACGTTGGGTTGAAGCTGTGCCGGGTACGACCGCGGGCGGTCAAGCGAGAGCCACTGAGCGTTTCGCTTTTCGCAAAACACCCGAGCCACTCAGGCCTTGGGAAAGCTGCCCGTCACTTCGACCTCATCCCACTCTCTCCTGCACTTTCATTCTTCCACTTCTCGTCTCGTCATGTATCCCACTCGGATTCTGCGGATGCAGGCCGCTCGGCCTCTCTACCACCCTTCTCCGGTAAGTGTTCGCTGTATATATGATGCCTGGTTTGTGCTAACTCCCTGTTTGCAGAAGGAGCCTCACAGCGGTATGAATCTCTGCGATGCCTCGTTTTCGCGTGGAATTGAGCCACTAGGCCTCTTTCTCTAGATGGGGAAGGATGGCAATTGACTGACTGTTCGCCCACAGCCCACACTATCTCGCAGCGTTTGCGCCAGATCAAGAGGACCCCCCCGGAGTTGATCCCTCTCGGTATGACTCTGTGACTGGAATTATTCTACTAAACAAACTTCTAATCTCTATCTTGGCATCTAGGTATTGTCCTTGGGTATGTCACTATCTAATCTCACTTGCCGCTCGATCCCGCGCTGCACATGCACAAGTTTCCTGCCCCTGTTCCTCGCATTTCGCTAGCAACCACCCATCTTCTTGACATCCGGTATTAATATAGCCCTTCCAGTGTCGCTGTCGGTGCCGCCATCTACTCCAGCGCCCACAAGCTGTTGTCTGACAAGACCCTGCGTCTCTACCGCAACAGCCCCGAGAGCCGTGAGCACTAAGTGTACCATGTCTCTGTGAGCTCCGATAAATGCGATCCACCGTTGTTTTAAGTTCTTGCAGCTTGTATTGTTGATTCTGAGCATTTGGCCCCGTGGCAACGGGAGAGTGGAGAAAACCGGCGAGAAAATGAAGACGAGCTCGGAATTTGAGCATGTGTACATATTCCGGCTTCGCGGGTGGTTCGGATGCGTGTAATCCAGCAAATTGTAGTATCGTGTGGATGTTCATCATCATGGCTATCGTAATCGTGTCCTTCACTCGGGCTTGGGCCCGGCAACGTCCAGTTGCTCCAAACCCTGCATCGGGTCTTGGGGCCGGCTGCTTGCAGCCTGGGCCTCTTCGGCTGCCTGCCGGTCCTCCTCGCTGACGGCATATTTGGCCAGGTAGCCCTCCTACGTAAGGATTTCGAGTTAGCCCAGACATCGCGATAGAACACAGCCGGTTTCACGTACCTGTTCCCAGATGGCCGTCTTGCTGCCCAGTCCCTCGTTGGCGTCCTTCTGGGGCTTTGCTGCGGCAACTTTAATGGTTCGCCCGTAGAGCTCGCTGCCGTCCATATTATCGATCGCCTCTTTGGCGTCTTGGGGGAGATCAAACTCCACATATCCGAATCCGCGATGGGTGTCGGTGGAGTTGGGGATGTCGGGCTTGGGCAGTGAGATATCGACCACCTCGCCAAAGGGCACAAATGCTTCGGCCAATGTGTGTGCTGACACTGCCTGGTCGAGACCGCCCACGTACACCGTGCTCTTGAGCCGTGTGGTTTCGCTCATGGTGGATGTGCTGTTTTTGCCCTAGCTCCTTCGCAATGTGCGCTGATTCCGAGGCAGTTGTCCGACGACAACTAAAAGTGTATGGGATGCAGTCGACAGCAAAAAATAAACCCAGAAAGTGTTCCGATCCCGCCTGGAATGCCTGTTCAGTGAATGTCGCAAAGCGGAAGAGGCCTGATATCACGTGCGACAAGCCTCGGGGGGTGTTTTGGCGAGCCCCCAAATGAGTTTAGCGCGGGTTCCCCGGTCCTCCCAAAGTCCCAGGAGGCCACTTGGTTGACTTGTATACTGGGACCTCTTGAGCATCGCACCCCTCCGTTGACAATTATATCTAGGGGCGGATCTTGGTGTCTCTTGCTTTCTCTTGTTGCAGCTTCTCTCTTTTTCCTTTGAATGATTCTTTGACTTTGCTCTGTTTGCCCCTCCTACCCAAACATACCCTCGTCATGGTGCGTCTAAGGGAAATCCCAAGGACGGCTACCTTTGCCTGGTCCCCTGGAGCAGCGTCGCCATTGATCGCCACAGGAACCAGGGCTGGGGCTGTTGATGTCGACTTTTCCAACAAGACATGTCTTGAGCTCTGGGACCTGGGCCTGGACCGCCCAGACGCGAGCGAGGAGCTACAGCCGGTAGCTAAGATCGATACCGACTCGGGGTGAGAGAATCCATTATTAAAATTTCATGATGACTGGCATGCTGATTCAAGGATGTGAATAGTTTCAATGATTTGGCGTGGACCGAGTTCGACAACAGCAAACGTGGCGTGATTGCGGGCGGTTTGGAGAATGGCTCATTGGACCTGTGGAATGCCGATAAGCTGCTTGCTGGGTCCAGGTGGGTTGATACCGTGCTATGATCTATACTCCCGGTGGTAACTGATTGGTTTCAGTGACTCGTTGATGTCGAGGTCCTCCAAACACTCCGCCGCCATCAAGGCTCTCCAATTCAACCCTAAGCACTCGAACCTCCTGGCAACCGGTGGTGCGAATGGCGAGGTATGCTCAACATCGAATTCTTCACACCGATTTGCAACTCGACTGATGAGATGGGGCAGCTGTACATTTCGGACGTGAACAACCTCGAAAACCCGTTCCGGCTGGGGAACGCGGCGGCTCGCACCGATGACATTGACTGCTTGGATTGGAACAAGAAGGTCGCTCATATCCTGGTCACCGGTAGCAGCGCCGGCTTCGTGACTGTCTGGGACGTCAAGACCAAGAAGGAAACTCTGACCCTGAACAACATGAACCGCAAAGCTGTCAGCGCAGTCGCCTGGGACCCTAACAACGTATGTGATGATATACTAAACCATCTGCCTCCCCCCGCGTTGCTAACAACATGTTTGTATAGTCCACCAAGCTCATCACAACGACACCTCTCGACTCAGACCCGATGATCTATGTTTGGGATCTGCGAAACTCCCACGCCCCAGAACGGGTAGGTCGCTATATTTGTATGTCTGCATTCTGTTAGAGGCTGACTTATCCCTTATAGACTCTGCAAGGCCACGAGTCTGGCGTGCTTTCACTTGCTTGGTGCAACCAGGACCCAGATCTCCTTCTCTCTTCCGGCAAAGATAATCGCAACATCTGCTGGAACCCGCAAACCGGCCAGAGCTACGGTGAATTCCCCGTCGTCACCAACTGGACTTTCCAGACTCGCTGGAACCCACACAACCCGAACTTCTTCGCCACTGCGTCGTTCGACGGCAAGATTTCCGTGCAGACCCTTCAGAACACCAAAACCGACACCTCTCAGGCCATTGCCGACCAAAATCAGGCCTTGGATGGTGAGGACTTCTTTGCCAAGGCGCAGACGCAGCCCCAGGTCTCCAAATTTTCCCTTTCCAAGGCTCCTCGGTGGCTCCAACGGCCCTCTGGTGCGTCTTTCGGGTTTGGAGGCCGGGTTGTTTCTATTGGTCTAACTGAGAAGGAACCTCGCCTTTCCAAGATTAAGATTACGCCGTTTGAGGTCGATAAGACTGTTGGCAATGCCACTGAGAGCTTTGAGTCAGCACTGAAGGAGGGCGATATCCGCAGCCTCTGCGAGACCCGAGCTTCGGGCGCATCAAGTGAAGAAGAGAAGGCTGACTGGAAGGTGATCCAGACCTTGCTTTCTGACAACCCCCGACAGAGCCTGGTCGAGTACCTGGGTTTCAAGGACCAGACTGATGAGACCGCCGATAGTCTGGCAAAGCTTGGATTGGAGCAGAAGGACGAAGGAGAAGAAGGAAAGGAAGAGACCAATGGCTCAACTGAGAAGGCCGGCGGGGCAAAGAAGCACAAACGCTTGCAGTCCATGTTCGATGCAAACCCCGAGAGTGATAACTTCCTTTCCGACCTGGCTGCCTCTAAGGGTGCCCGCACCAACAACCCGTTCCAGATTTTCAATGGCTCGGAAAGCGAGGCGGAGCAAAAGATCACTCGAGCATTGCTCTTTGGTGAATTCGAGAAGGCTCTCGATGTCGCCCTCCAAGAAGACCGGATGTCGGATGCGTTCATGATCGCTATCTGCGGTGGCCAGAAGTGCATCGAAAAGGCTCAGGAGTACTACTTCTCTAAGCAGACTGGTGGTCCGAACTACATGCGTCTGCTGGCGTCAATCGTGGGCAAGAACCTTTGGGACGTGGTCCACAACGCGGATCTGTCGAACTGGAAGGAGGTCATGGCCGCGCTGTGCACCTTCGCTGATCAGAAGGAGTTCCCCGACCTCTGCGAGGCGCTCGGCGACCGACTTGAGGAGCAAGTCAGAAACACGGAAGACAAGAGCGCCCGCAAGGATGCCTCTTTCTGCTACCTGGCCGGTTCAAAGCTGGAGAAGGTCGTTGCTATCTGGGTCGAGGAGCTGCGTGAAAATGAGCAAAAGGGAATCGAGAAAGATGCCGACGACTCTACTTTCTCTATCCACGTTCGCGCTTTACAGGGCTTGATCGAGAAGGTGACTATCTTCCGACAGGTCACCAACTTCCAGGATACCGAACGAACCAAGGAGTCCGACTGGCGCCTCAGCAACCTGTACGACAAGTATATCGAGTATGCCGATGTCGTCGCCACCCATGGACGCCTGCAGATTGCCCAGAAGTACCTCGATCTTGTGCCTGAGAAGCACCCGGAAGCCGAGGTGGCTCGCAACCGTATCCAGCTGGCTACGAGACAGCCACCGCAGAAAGCGCAGGCAGCTACCACGGCCCGGGGTGGATACAAGACCCTTCCGCAACAGCCCAATGCTTACCAGCCTCAGCAAACCTTTACCCCGGCTGCACCAGCGGCTCCTTATGCTCCTACGGGTGGTATTCAAAGCCCGTACGCGCCTCCTACGGCGGCCCCTTCGCAGCCGGCCAATCCATATGCTCCCACAACGGCAGCCACGCCATCCCAGCCCCCCAACCCGTACGCCTCTGTCCCTAGCGGTCCTACCGGCGGCTACACGCCAACTGGATACCAGCCAACCCAAGGAATGAGGCCTCCAGCCTACGCCCCTCACTCTGCGTTTGGACAGCCAGCAGGTGCCGCTGTCCCGCCTCCTCCGCGCGCATCTAACCAGTCCCCGGCCAACCACATGACTACATATACCACGGCCACCAACCTTCCGGCATGGAACGATTTGCCCGAGGGCTTTGCCAAGGCTCCTACTTCGCGTCGTGGTACCCCTGCCGCATCCGCTGCCACCATCACCTCCCCGTTCCCCAACCAATCTCCGCCGTTGGCCCAAGGTCCTCCGCCCCCAGGCCCCCCGCGGGCTGGTACTCCCCGGGCACCATCCGTCCCTCCTCCGCCCAAGGGTGGGGCACCCCCACCGCGCATGACCTCGCCCCCTTCGGCCGGCGCGCCTCCGGCTTCGGTTCTTTCTCCTGGGGCTTCTCCGGCGCCACCGGTGAACCCATACGCCTCCCTTCCCCAGTCTCCGCCCATGGCGTCGAGCATGGCACCCCCGGCATCGCTTCCTCGAGGCCCGTCGCCTTACAATGCTCCACCTAGCATGCCGCCGCCCAGCAACCGGTATGCGCCTAACCCGGCGGCTCAGGCTCCAAGCCCCCAGATGCAAACTCGCGGGCCGGTACCTCCCCCGCCTCAGGCAGCGGCTTCCCCATACGCCCCACAGCTCCCGGCGGTAAACCCGTACGCGCCCACTCAGCCTACTGCCATCCAGCCTCCGCCGATGGCTCAGGCCCCGCCGCCACCCCATGGCTCTCGGCCCGGCACTGCCCAGTCGCAGAGAGCAGCTCCCCCGACTCCCAAGTACCGTAAGTTCCATACCGGTTGAAGCTCACTTTTGATAAGCTCGCTGATTTTCTCTAGCCCCCGGTGACCGTTCACACATCCCTGCCAACGCAATGCCTGTGTTCGAGATTCTCGCGGCAGACATGCAGCGTGTCAAGTCCCGGGCTCCATCTTCCTTCAAAGCACAGGTGGATGACGCGGAGCGCCGCCTGAGTATCTTGTTCGACCACTTGAACAACGAGGATCTTCTCAAGCCCAACACTGTGGACGAAATGGCGGACCTGGCGCGTGCCATTCAGGCTCGCGATTACGAGACTGCCCGTGCCATCCACGTCAACATCATGACCAACCGAACGGATGAATGTGGGAACTGGATGGTGAGCAATTTCTCTTGGATTATGTTGGAATGCTGTTACTAACTACGATGATTCTAGGTTGGCGTGAAGCGACTGATCAGCATGAGCCGAGCCACCCCATGAAGTGGGTGTTGGGCCACTGTTTAAGACTTAAAGTCAACTCTATAGAGACGGCATATCCCCTTTGTCAATGAGGGGGGATGCAGGGAATTGGTATAATTTGCGTGCTATCTTTGAATCCCCCCTTTTCTCTTCTATTCTTGAGTGCTTGACTTTCTCAGGCTGTCTTTTCTCTTTTCTTTCTTGTTTATTTTACCATTAATGTCTGCGTACTCTTTTTCGTTGTTCTCCCCCGGGGGTTTAGTCTGTTCAATCACTTGCGCGTCACGAGAAAAGATAAATTCCAATGTTGTCTGAAAGTGATTTAGATGGTCGATGTCATATACAAAGGCTTTAGATTGCTAAATAGATATGCGACTATGTGAAAACATATATTTTCGGATATATCGAGACAACCATCCCTTAGAAATAAATAGAGACATCATAATCCCACATCTTTGCTTGCCATTCCATTCCATTCTATTCTCTGCCTACAGTAGGAAGTATATACAAACCACACCGCTAAAAAGAAGAAGCCATAGCTTCACTACCAATTCCTCACCTTCCTACAGCAGGAATACTACCGAGTCTCCCACCCCGACTGGACGGAAAGTTGCGCGCACTCAGTAACGCACCCTTCACACCACGAATATCAGCCCGGAAGCTTGCAATGGCCTCGTCTTCTGTCTTGCGCACACCGGCAGCGCCACTATCGAATCCTGACATGTTTCCGCCGTAGACCCCGTACGAAGCGCCGGGTGTACTATAGTTGGGCGCGCTGTAGATCAACCCATCACAGTAGTGGTGGAGCTCGGAGAGATGAGAGCGCATCGAGTCATCCAGGGCGCTGGCGTCTTTCTCGGTGTCGGCGAGATCTCGGAGTTGGTTCTGGATAGACTCGAGCCTGGTAAGGTGGGTAGTGACCGCCGTACTTGGTGAAGGCACTGCATTTGGAGAATTCGAGGACTTTGAAGCCGGCGGGAAGTCTGGGCTGGTTTGTGTGGCGACGTCGCGGTGGAAGAGCTCTGTGGGATCGGAGGTGACGGAGTCGGTGTCTTCGTCGGCTTCTTCCTCTTCAGAGGCGGTACGCGATTTGCGGGCTGTGAGATGCGCCGGGATCACCGAGACATTCTGCTCGAGCTTCTCGTTGAGCTTCTGCAGGTTCTCTTGGGCGGTAGTGGCCAGGTCATGGCGCGCGCTCGAGAGGGTTGCCAGCATGGGTTTTACTAGATATTCGCTCGTGCTATACGCGGTGGCGCCGAGACCCGCGGCACCGTAGAGCGTGTAGAGTACACTGCGCATCGTGACTAGTGGCGGTGGTTTGGACTGCTCGTATAGGAATTCCGGGTAGGTGATGATCGGGGGCACGTCGCGCGGAATCGAGGCGGGTGTGGCCGCAGAGGGCGAGGGCGACATTGCGTCGGAGGGCGCGGGTGCAGATGTCAGAGAGGAAGAGGAAGAGGGAGAGGAAGAAGATTGGGCCTGATCGGGGGACGACTGTGTTGCTTCTTCCCGTGTCTTGCTCTCGGCAGCGTCCCCGCTATCGCTGCTCGCCTCGACGTTTCGGGACACACCGAGGAGCTGTTGAATCTCGACAGAGTTCAGGCCTTTGGATTCGAGAAACGAGATCTTGCGATCAGTGGGTGCATAACGGATTGATTCATCTTCCAGGAACCGGGATGCTTGGTCTAGCAGGTCTGGTCGTGTGGATGCGGATGCGATGGCGGGCGCAGCGTCGGAGCTCGGCGACGGTGAGGATGACGAGGATGGGCCTGAATCAGGCGCATTGCCTGGCCGTTGCCACGAGGAAATAGAGGGTGGTTTTGTTGAATCTGACATGATGTTTGGCGAGTAGGAGAGAGGAAGTGAAGAGTTGAGAGTAGAGCAGGGAACTTCCCCAGGCTCATGTGAGCCGACCTCGGCTGTTGCCAACTCGGACTCCACCGCGCCAACTACACTCTGACTTGACTCCCAGGATTATCAAAACCATTGATTGCCAGAATTTGCTAAGAGGAAAATATAGACATCTTGTAATGGCTAATGTAGGTATTTTTCTAATTATTTTTTTGATTATTTCTCTAATGTGGGGATTGTGCAAGCAGGAGATTCTATAATGACCCTATGTTGCACTGAGAAGTTCCTGCACAGGATCCAGTGCCAGGATAAATTGAGATTCTCATACTAGTTGCTATACTCATAAATGTAGCATCGTGACTATTCCCATTGATCTAAATATGATTCCATAGAAGTATGCACATCTCCAAGCCTGACCGCCCGGCAGAATGGTGCGGTAGCTTCATTCGTTCATCCGGCGTCAGCGACACCGTTTGGAGATCGGAAACTTTGCAAGTCCAACGCCCCGGTGAGTTACCCCTGCTGGGCCCCTCGGGGCCTGTGTCCCTCTTTTATCCTTTGCGTTCTGGCCCAATGCATCCCAATTCTCCCACAATCCGGGTCAAATTCAGCTAGGAGACCATCCCAACATCCCCTGTCACTTGCGCGTTGTTCGCACGTCGAAAGCTCCGACGCGGTGGCCTGACCCTGTGGCTTCCCGGTTTGCAGGTGTCAAGACACTCCTCCGGTGGCATGAAGTGATTGGGTTCTGGGACATCGCAGTCTTCCAGTGCTTCCTTCCCCGCATCGTATCTCATCGCTGGAGGGTTTTGTTGATTTCTACTGCCACACACCTTGCTGGTGATCTCCTCTGTGCTGCACCGTCTATTTCCCTCAGCTTCTACCCCCAGCTTTACTTAGACCCTTCCACCCAATCTCATTCATTCGGGCATTATTCCCATCATGCTGCTCCGTCGCTCTCGTCGATCGAGAGGAGCTGCCGAAGAGGCTCCTGAATCGGAGGCTAATGTGGGAACCAGGTCTACGCGGCAAACTCGGAGTGCTGCTGCTTCTTGGGCGACACCCTCACCCTCACCATTGGAAGACTCTACCCAGGAGCCATCCAGATCTCTCCGTCTCACCCTCAAAATGCCTTCCGGCAAGCTGCGAGAGGCGACGGGTGGCCGCTCTGGCCGGCGCTCAATCAATGTCTTCGAAGAGAATCCCATTGTGTCGGGACCGCGGACCAGTCGAAACCGCAAGAGAATCGTGGAGGTGCCCACGAGTGATGATGAGGATGATGACATCGACGATCAAGAAGAAGACGAAGTCGACGATGAAGACGCCCCCGGAGAGGATGACGAGGACGCTGATGCGGACGGTGATATGGACATGGATGATGCTCCCCCGCAAGCACCTGCCAGACGACAGGCCAAGGCAACTGCTCCCACTCGCGGGAAAGTGCCCAAGAGTGTGGAAGCCAAGGAGATGGAGGTGGATGAAGAGGAGGAAGATGAGGAAGTTTCCGACACTGATTCTGATGCTGAGGGCGAGCCCGATGATCAGGATGAGAGCGCAGTCCCGGAGACCAACGTCGACGACCTGGACGAAGAAGACGAGGAACTTGAAATGGACGAAGAACTCGACGAAGATGGGCTCCCCATTGATAACGGCAAGATGACCAAGCGACAGCGTGGAAACCTGGGGAATGATTTCCTGCAGCTTCCGATGGGTAAGAGGACCGCACTGAGTCAAACAAAACTTCCCTCCACACTGAGCTGATCCGTCGACAGAACCCCAGGTTAAGAAACATCTGACAGCCGAGGAGCGCGCCATGCGACGGACCGAGATGGCTCGGCGAAGGAAGAACCTGAGTGAGAAGCGGAATGAAGAAGAAAAGGTAAGTTACATCATACGATACGCATTGGGTTTGGACCCAATGAATACAGAGCGGAAACTAAATTCGACATCAGATGGATACGATCAACCGATTGCTCCGAAAGCAACCTCCCAAACGGCGCGGCCGAGCTGCGGCCGTTGAAGGTGCCGATGGCACGCCCGCCGACCAGGAGGCTCCGGAGCCCGAGAAAGCGGACCCAACAATGGTGCGATGGATCAGTAACTCGAAAGATTGCACTCTCAGTGTGCCAGAAGAATGGTTGGGCACGCCCGCTGGCAGGCTGTTTGGCGCTCCCCCCTGCTCAAGGGAACGGAAAGCTAGTGGAGGAGCTCTGATATGGCATACATACTCGACAGGGATCACAACGAAACGAGGCGTACTGGATACTGGGGAATGGGTCGGATCATCTTCGTTCTGGAGGCTATTACATTTTGGCTCTCCGTGTACAATGGAACTGGCGTTCAAATATGTGTTGGTTTAGAATATCGGAAAATACGCATACGGAATGGAAAATGCTTGCATTCTGATTCTATACGTAGTGCTTCCCGTCTCATAGGCAAAGCATTTTTGCTTTGGAGTTGCCGAGTACCCTGGATATATGAGGACCACTTGTGGTATCCTGAGATATACGGGACCCCACGACATTATGTTTCTCTGCACATTCTATCCGACCTTCTCGCCCTTTTGCCCGCACAACCCGCGGGATATAGTTTTTCTTAAGCATTGACCTGCAGGGTGCTGGTAGTATGCCCATCCCAGCGAGACTGGCGCAATGGGAGGACGGTAACCCAAGGCGGCATGAAATATCCTCTGTGGATAGTAGGGCGTAAGTAAATACAGGCTGGAAGACCCGCAGCCTGTCTTTTGATTTCAGATTCCATGTCATGTCGCCTTGTTAATTTTCCGCCCCCGGTTTCGAGCCAGCAGCTGCGGCTTGGGCCTGGGATTGTGACGAAGCCGAGGGCTGGCTGGACGCATTGGCATCTTGCTTGGACAAAGAAGACTGGCGAGCATTTGCCTTCTCGAACTCGAGTTGCTGGAAGGCCGGTTGGAATGTGTAGTAACCTGTGTCCGATAAAAGAAGAATTGGGGCGGTTAGTGCTGCACGATCAACGGATGGTAATTGGGTGTCGATGGAAATAGTACCTGTGAAAACGCCCACGCCAATAGCGAGGACTGCGGGGAGAAAGTTGCGACTCATCGTGGAGGATTGGAGGAAATTGCTCGCGTAGAGAAGCGGAGCAAAAGAAAAGATGGTCGACGTTGGGGGGTGAGTAGGTGATAACGGCGAGAATCGGTTATCGGCGATTAACGCGTCGAGAATTGTTCGCTTATTGACGCGTCGCAAATTCCCTTCATTCACACTGGCACTGACTCGACTAGTCTCCCACGGGTTCTCTTGTGCGGGTATTTTGTCTATTCATTCTTATGATAACTGGCCATTGTCCAAGCTTCCGCAGTCCTGAATGTCGCCAATGAGTTGCTAGAGACATGGGCGATCCCCGCCAAGGATGCAAATGGAATCATGGCGGGAACGAGGATTTGTCCCGGACTCGGACGAGGAGGATGGATTCGACTCTCTGGATTTGAAGAAGACGAACGCTGGCAACGATAGTCATGACGACGAGCTCGATTATATCACTGTCCCTTCCTCCACGCCGGCCAATGCGAAGGATGCCGTGAAGGGACCACGCCCAGAAACCGGCTCGATTACGCTCTCAGACATCGAGGAGACACTTCAGGGTACCGAAGAGAAAGAAAAGGGTGTTTCATACTCCGTTGCGAGTTCAACAGCCGAGGATGGCCAGGCGGAGAAGCAGACTACGCAGTCTTCAGACACCGTGGATGGAGAAAGGGATCATTCAAGGGACGCTTTTGACGATGATGAGACACCTAAACCACGTACGGCTCGCAAGAAATATGGAAAGCGTTCATCCTCGACCAAATTCACGAACCTCCATACTCCCCAGTCGCGCAATACCCCAGAAAAGCAAGCACGCAGCATATGGGACTTCCCTAGTTCACCACCACAAGGAGACGAGCGTCTGTTGGATTCCCCAAGCCTTGGTTCTGCGCCAAACCATACCAATCCCGAGCAATTGGCTCGACTGCAATCCCCCCAGAGACCACAGACCCCACGGGCCAAACCACCGCGTGATGTATGGAGCGTTCAGAGCTCTTCGGATGATGAATTAGCCCTGGACACACGGCCTGCGCCGAAAGCACTGCAGCGGTCCATTCTCGCCGTGGAGGTCAGAAATATGCCGCAGCAAAAAGACTCAGATGACGAGTCCCCGTTGTCTTCGCCGCCATCGAACGTCGGCTCTGAGCCCGATGCTAACGACTCTGGCGAGAAGCAGACAGCGGCCGCAACACCTCCCCATCAAGATGCTGATCCCATGGACGGACTGTCTCCGCAAGATGTTCACGGCGACCTTCTGGGATCTCCCGAGTTAGCGCCTGCCCAAAGAAGGTTCAGAGAGCGCAAATTTAACCAGCTCCATCCGTACCTCTGGGAGGACGCTCATTACCAAAAGCAGATGAAAGATGGAGGCTATAGACCCGTGCGCGCTCCTCGGCCGCTGCAACAACCGCAACAGACAACAGATGAAAGCCAGGAGCAGGATTCATATAATCCAAATCAATTCCAGTCAAGCCCCGTTCGCGAGGAGAATCTCCCTCCTCCGCGGTCTGCACGGCACAAACTATCTCCTCATCGGCAAGCGCATGTGGTCAAGCGACGCAAGATATCACACGTTGGCTCCGCAGACAACCCGCATCGGTCCCATGCTGAGCTCGAAGCTCGGGGGGCGATTGACAGCACCACGGCGCAGAGCCGTCGCATCAGTCTATCTATATGGGATATTTCGCCCAGCCCTCCACGTTCAGGGGATACGTCTCCGGCAGCAAGAACTTCACGTGCCCCCGAAGGATTTCGCTTTCCTCTTGGATTTTCGCCTCCGGCGGCCACGGCGTCTCCCAAGCAACAAGAACCGAGGCCACAAGAGGCAGAAGACACCAACAGAGCAGCATCTCTTGGTCCGAATGGCAATGATGTCGAAGCGCTGTCCTCATCAAGCAGCCAGCAGGGTTCCGATGATGAATCTGAGCCCGGTGACAGCGAAGAGCGTCTTGTGCACCGACTACAGCGAAAAACGCGGGGAGTTTTACCTGCCTCATATCACCGCATCGAATTGAAAAACCAAGAAAAGAATCAGATGCATACATGGCGAGATCGTCCTGCTGCTTCGCAAAGGGCAGATGCCAAGGGTGTTGCGCGAAAGGTGACTCGAAAACCTAGTCTTTCAGGACCGTCAAGCCCACCACGGCAGAATGCCTTTTTCGACCTGGAAGATTCTGAGGATGACGATAGTGCTGGTGTTCAAAACGCCCATGAAAACCGCAGCAGTCCACCAAATCAAGATGAATCTCAGAGAATGGCTGATCTGGGACTCGCAGACTCGTTCCGTCAAGATGGCGATGATATCCCCGAGGACAATCGCATCGACTACATGTTTGCACCCGTCTCCCGCGGGCCCACTGGTCCTCGCAAGAAAGGAAGTTTGAAGCGACAGAAGTCAAAGGAGATCGCAAATCTGGACGAAAGACAACGGAAAAAAGCGCGCCTAAAGCGGCAAACCAGGCTCACCGATGCTTCGTATGGAGGACGCAGAGCGAAACAATCTTCATCTTCAAAGGTATCTGTACCGAGGCTAGGCATTTTGGATGCCCCAGATGTTGCTACACGGCCTCCTAAGGAGCAGCCTCAGTTCCTCAGGGTTGCTGCAAGAAGAGTTCGCTCCCGTCGAGATGGAGGGAGACGAAGCCCGACTCGAAAATTCCTCAAATTGGGCTCAAAGGATGACACGACAGACGCTAACGAGTCTCTGCGAGAATGGCGGAGAGGAGCAATACGGCAGAGCAAAATCAGTCTACCTCAGCCTCGACCTCGCAAACGTCAGCCACTGGTGGATCTTTCGTCCAGTGGCCCACGCGCCATAACAAATGTCCAAAACACTCGAATACCAAGCCACTTTGCTGCCACAGATCCCGACACAGTGCTACCGGATGATGCGCCAGAGCCACCGGAGCAAGCTCCACGCGCGGATGGTCCAGTACCCGACGTAGCATCCAACGAAAACAAGGGCCCTGGCCAACCGGCTCAGCCGGAGAAGCGAGGCATTCAATGGGTTGCTCGCAGAAATGTTGCGATCTCATCTCTAAAGAGAAATAATGCCCGACCCGCTGCGATCAGTCTAGCAGGGCCTGCCGTAAGTCGGCAGGTCTCTCCGGCCGAGTTCCGCCAGTCACTGTCTTTGCTCAATCGTGACTTCCGAAGCAGACGCACGTCCCGGACATACAGGCCTAGCTTGACCCTGGATCGGTATTTGTCTGATAGTGGATCTGCAAGTGCTGCAACCAAAACCACCCCGAAACCTGTTCCAGTCAGGAACACAGTTTCCCAGTCCCAGCCGCGCCCTGTCCGCCGTCGTGGAAGAAAGCAGACTCCCAGGCACATCAATCTTGACTCGGGCGAGTTTCACCAAAACCAAGATCCCATAACAGTGGATTCTGATGACTCTAACCCTCCTACTGTGCCCCACAAGGCGCACGCGCGCTCTTCTGCTTCAAGTATAGGTGGATTGTTCAACTGGAAGCGCTCTTATCTAATTGACTTCGGAATCACGCCTTTGCGTGACGGCACATTCTTCCATGAGTCTACCTTCATAGGGAGCGGGGAGTTCTCTCGCTCATTGGAAGTTTTAAAACGGGACTTGGACCGGGATGCCGGGTCTATATCCATCGAAGCTGGTGAGCGGTCATTTCAATGGGGTGTCTGGAATGATACAGTGTCTTCAGAATTGGGCCATGCCTTTGACGTCATCATCGAGAATGTTGAGCAAAGTGCTGTAACCTCACCAGAAATGGGCCCTGGACCATCTTTAACGTCAGCGTCCATCGTTTACCGGTCACTGATCAAGTATGTCACGAAAGCTTTGCAATTCATTGATCCTGTGGATCGGACGGGCTTTGTCTCCCGAGCAATTGGCCTTGTTTGCAAGCTCAAAGATCCCCTGGTTGCCTTCGTCACCGGCAGCGAGTACAACACAAAGGGTCTTGTGAAGATTGCAGCCTATAATTTGGTGTTTGCGAACCAGATCCATCAAGTGGCTTCCCACAGCCTCGTGAGCCCAGTTCTTGCTGGAGAAGCCCTGGATCTCACCAAGACCTCCGCCAAGGACGTTGCTGCGTTTATCTCTCGCGAAGCATGTTTGGCCGAAATTCGGCGGCTGATCGAAGACAACAAGAAAGCGGAGTGGCGCGAAATGGGTCTTCGTGAAGACTATCCATCAGCGGAAGCTTATGTTATCACCAAGCAGCTGTTGCACGGCTCTGAGCATTTCAAAGGTTATTTTGAAGAGCTCCAGTTTGAGGCCTGCGCCAGTGGCATAACCTCTGATCAGAAGAATGTCAGCGATTTGGAACTTGGATGGCAGGGACTTTTTACTTTCTTGCCTCTCAATGAAATCAATCCCCTTGGGATTGCGCGCAGTGGATCTCGATTTCAAGACGGCCATGAAAACTGGAATCTCATCAAACAGTTCTTGTCTCCTGTCCTGGATTACTTTGAAACCAACTCTGCGACTCAGCCCATCTCGTACAATACCTACTGTCGAGCTCTCTTCCACCGATGCCATCGTATCATCAATGCCTGGGGCTGGCGGGACTGCAAGCCTATTCTCGACACGCTTTACGACTTCTTTGCCAAGAACACGGTGTACAACTTGAGACTTGAAGAAAGTCGCGGATCTCCTTCCTTCCTTGACGAGCTGGATGGCAATCCCTCCTTGGATGCCCAACCTGGAGAACCATGCTTCCACACATTGCTCAAGATCATCGCCAGTGGTCTGCGCTTCCTAGCCCAGCAATACAATGAGAGGAAGATCCGCAATTTCGCTTGGCGCCTGTTGCCAAACCACGGCAAAATGTACCCGAAGGAGAAGCCCCTGCGGCATGAAGACCTCGATGCATTAAGAAACCACCATGACCTCCTTTGCACCCTGTACTGGGCTGTCCCTGACGGATGCCGTCCCCGTGTGGAAGCAATTCGCGATCTAGTTCATCCCGCCATCTCGCATCGCGAAACATGCAGCATAAGCCTTCGCTCTTGGATGAGGCTGGTTCGATTCAAGCTTTCCACAAACGAGGACATATCGGGATTGGATCCGTTCGCAGACTGGTACGGCTACTTTGTGATGGAACTGCGGCAGCAACATTCGTATGCTCGGAAGGAGATCGAGGCGCAGAGCAAGAATGACAGTCGAATCTCTCAGCAGCTCATTGAGAGCACGATCTCACAAAATCAGCGCCCGTTCGAATCATTGCTCAGCGCGGCACTCGATGGGATGCAGGCGGCTGTCAAACAAGCGCCATCGTTGGAGCATGCTCACAGACTAGTTTCAAAGACTCCTTTCGACTCCATAATAGGCTTGTTCAACCCCAAGCTTGCGCGGGTGAACGTGGTTGTGTCCAAGGGTTTGCAAGTAATGTTGGCTTATGCACATAAAGACGCTAGCGCTGAACCTGCTTCTGCTGCGCCTGCGTTCGCAGCCGTCGATGAGGATAGCCAGGAATTCGGGGATTGGTCTGCCATTGAAGCTGTTTTGGGCCAGCAAGAATCTCCAAGCGAGGAGATCGAGTATGTGAAGAAAGTTTTCCATCCGATCGTTTCTCGCCTTGTGTCAAACTGTTTCGGTGAAGACCACTGTCCCGAAGATGCAATTCTCCTGAACGTCGTGGACTGCTGGACATCTATTGCCCAAGTACTGGTTCGACATGGGCTTCGACACTGGGACAACTACCTTAGCGAGCATGGTGACGAGTCCTGGGAACGACTCCGGAAGACGATTCAGACCAGAAAGTTTGCACCCCAGTTCTTAGTCGCATGCATCGAGAAAGACACGCAGACTTTGTCCGATTGCCGAATCCAAGTAATGCGCATGTGGATGTCGTCGTTGGTTGAGCGCTCTTCAATGCTGAAATTCCAACATCGTTTGACGGCCGTGCTCCTTAATAAAGCTTCCTCCGATCCTTTGCTCGTGAATATTCCATTCTCCAAGGACAAAGCGGACCATCAGTACTCGATCTCGTTGGAAGAACTCAGCGCAAGGCGACTGTCTCTTCTATCAAGTCTGCTGTCAAACATGCGCGAACATCTCCAGCACCTCGAACTTGCTGGCAGCCGGGACTTCTCAGTCACGAAACAAGAATACTCTGAGCTGCTCCAGCTCCTGATGGCAGCCATGAAAAGCAACTATCGCGAACTAGGAAACGGGGCCACCGAGTCCGCCCAAGGAGCATATGTCGACTTTGTGCATCGCGTAATCGGGTTCCTGCAGCAACACACGAGCGACATCCGGCCTATTGACCCCTTCTTCACCGATCCGGCGTCGTTCCCCTTGCCGTCCAGCGACCCGCGCTACATCGTCGCCAAGCTCAAACGCTACGAGCCGAAGCTCACGTCCAGCAAAGAGGTCCAGACCCTCACCATCTTCATCCAGAGCATCTCGGAGCGCGCCGCTATTGACGGCCAACAGGGTTATTTGGTGGACCAGCTGCACACGTCGATGAAAGACACCTACGAAGCCGGAGACCCCGAGAGGCCGACGTTGCGCGCCACCCTCCTGCAGTGCGTCTTCCCGGCCTACCTCGAATCTACATTCCGCAACCGCGCCGCCTGGATCCTCGGCCGCCCCGTCATCCAGACAATCGCACTTGAATTCAAGGACCTGATGCTCAACCTGAACACTACGGACCCGGCCTGTGTCTCTTCACTCGTGAGGATCTTCGGTGCCGTCTTCGAATCCTCGTTCCGTGCCCTGCATCCCCTCTCCACTCGTCCAAACCGACTGAATGACCCCACAGTTTTGTCCATGCTCGCTGCTTTCCTGGATATGGCTTCGTCCGCTCTAGTCGTGATCGACTACATCAACCGCATCGCCGGCGCCGAGTGTCTCATCGCTCAAGTCCAGTGGCTCCACCAGTTCACCGTTGCCATTTCCGACCACTTACCCAGCCACAATGTACCCACTACCGCGCATCCAGTCACCGCTATGATCCAGCTTGCAGAGCCGCCGACAAGTACCGCGCCTTCGACTCATGCCCCATTCATTATCCAGGCCCGCTGCCTCGCCCTGGAAGATCTCCAGTCTTATCTCAGGAGATGGTCTTTCCATGAAGGTCGGTACTATTTTACTCGGCCGGGCCATGAGTCGCAGGAGATCAGCGTTGAGCCAGAGATAGCATCGGTCATAGACAGTAGAGCGAAGGCGCTCTGTGCATTCAAGGAAGCTGCTAGTCGATTTACAGAGCGGACGACGAAGCTACAGTTGGTTCCGCTGTGAAAAGGGAGAGAGAGAGAGAGAGATCTGGTGTGATTATAATTATGATTATATACGCCTTTTTTGTGTTTTTAGGGCTGGAGTCACCAGGGTGTCGTATTTGGGATACTTTTTTTGCTGGGCTCCGGCGCATGGCGTTTGTCGCGATGGGGAAAAGTAATTGTCGAGGGATCGAGGCATCCGGCCCTGCGAGATTGCGTGTATCTTACCTAGACATGTCGGATTACTTGCTTAGCAGTCGTAAAATCCGGTCAAGACCTGCTTGGTTTGCGTCTGAAAAGTGTGCTGCGAGACATGCGTAACATATAAAATCTCTTGATAAGCATGTCAAGATGGGGAACAAGAAAGGGAAAAGAGAAAGAGAATCCAAATGAAAACACCAGCCTGTCCGTCGTATCAATCACATCATGAAGGAATCATAAAGTTCGAGGGCGACACCCGGGGAAAAGAATAAAGACACAAAAAAGGAAAAAGAAAAGAAAAGCCAACACCAACACTGGAAACAGAGACGCCAAGCTCCAGGCAATGTTTATAGCCTCTAAACAACAGGACCAGTGCCATTACCCGCGCCGGCATCATTGCTGTTTGATCCCCGACGGTGGAAGGGGTGCGATCCGAAATGGAATACCTTGCGCACGGCATTGGTGATGCTATTTTTCCTCCGGGACTGGGACGGCGTTCGATCAGCGTCCTTCTTAGGGACAGTTGCGTCGTCGGCAAGCACAATCGACGACACGGCAGGTTTGGGCGGCCATTGTCCGTCCGTCTTCCAGCCCTGGACCATAGACTTGGTCAAGTCGGCGAGGTTGACGGGGATAGTCGGGGTCATGCCCTGCACGACGACCTTGGTGTAGATGGACGGGTAGATAGACGGGTTGATGGTGGAGCGGATGGGATTTGTGGGTGAGATGAACGAGGGAGCCACAGGGAGGAGAGGCTCATCGAGTTCTTCCTCTTCGATTTCGTCTTCGTCTTCGTCTTCATCGTTGATTGTCGGAAATTTCGTCAGTTGGGTCGGATCAGTGGACGAGGCCTGGGCATCAGGCTCGGTGATGCTGGTTTCCGTCGACTCTTTTCGCTTGGTCTCTTCGTCTGGCGCAGTGGATTGCTCTTCTTCCTGGTCTTGTGCTGGCTGGCGTTGCAATTCTTCATTCTTCTCTCGGTCCGCGGCGGGAGCCGAATCCGTTTGTGCTGTTTGGGCAGGGGCATCGTGACCTTCCACATGGTCTTTTTGATCCGACGACGGCGAAGCTGTGCCAGCACCAGTATTATCCGAGGAACTGACACCGTTCACACCATCTGCTTGATTGCTTTTATGGGGCTGCCCTCCACCCGCCCTCTTTCGCCGGTCCTCCGTAGCCCGAAGCTGCCGCCGTGTCCGGGCTCCTGCCCACACATCCCGTCTCGCCATCCACATTCGCAGGCCCTCGTTCCACGACATCTCTTCCTCCATCTGCCTGCGGCGTTTGCGGCGCCGCTCGATCCCAGGGTCCCCAGCCGCCCTCAACGCAGAGGGCGACTCCATATCAAGCTCATGGTCCGATGACTGCGGCTCGAGCTCCGAGCCGGAGCTGTCAAACTCCCGCACGCGCCATTCAGAGACCTCGCGACCATGCGAGAGCGTACTGGACTCGTATGACGTTGAAGAGGCGGGGGCGGGGTGTGAGCTGTCGGGGTCGGCGGGGTTGAACTCCCAGTCGTTGCGGGTCACTTCGCGAACGAAGATCTTGGCTTCGCGGATAGCCGTGTCACGGGTTTCGGCGGACATGGTTGCTTGCGAGCTTCGTTTGCTCCTCTGCGTGTTGGGCTCTGGAGAATTCCGAGAGGAGTGGGAGCTGTAGGATGTTTTTTCAAGGAGGATACTTGTTCGTGAAAGGGTCAAAAGGGTTCCTGGCTGCCTGAGCAGGCCCTTGAATGAGGATAATTGTGGGAAGAACTTGGCAGATCGTGCGGAGTAGAGAAACGGGACTCTGAGGAAATCGCCCCGGAGGCGGTGGAGACGGATGTCATCGCACGTGCCTCGAGTGTTTTCTTTGATTTTGGGTTGTTAGTGTGTATAATGACTGTGAGAAATACTCCTGGAGGGCATAATGACTTGGATAATGCGGATAGCGTACGAAGGCCCGAGGAATGTAATGTGTGGCCTATATCAGCGTGGCAGTTGCTCAATGCGGAAATATACTTCATGGGCCAGACATAGAGCTCACCAGTCCTAACCTCGGGAAACCTATGATATTTAGCTATGTGTAGTCCGCACCATGCTCCAGAAGAATTTCGAGAATGTGCAAGTGGCCAAATTCTGCAGCCCATTCAAGGGCCGATTGATTCTTTTCTCCCACTTGATATACCATAGCAACGAGATCAGGAGAAAAAGCTGACCTTGATGGGAGTGCTCCTCGGCACCCAAGCAATGAACACAACCCTACTCCTGATCATCCCAAACCAAGTATCAGCAAAAGAAAATACTTCCAAGGTTCCAATCTCAAATCCCAGAAGGTATTCCATACCGTTTGCCATCCATCCCAAGATCATACTCTACGTCGTAGACCGCATACCTCGGAGCTGGGTGTCCATTGCCGTGTGTGGCAGAAGAAAGCTTCTGCCGGAAGACCTCATAGTCTTGTTCCGAGGAGACTTCGTCGACAACCGCCTGCTGCTCGTCGTCTGAGATCTTGTAGATGATGAATCGGGGTTTGTTGGCGCCGCGGCCGGATCGAAGTTCGTTGAAGGTTGTGATGCACGAGTCTGTGATGGTGAGTCTGGGAGGAAGATTAGTAGATTAGGGGGGCGTGGTTTTCAAAAGAGGCGAGTGTTTGGTTTGATACCCAGATGGATTCTGCAGCTCAAAATGTTAGTGCCATGCAGCCTCGTTGGAGAGGTATGGGATTTACCTACAGACATATTGAACGAATCCAAGTCAATGCCATATGATGGTATAGTTTTCTGGACTAAAGCGATGGGCGGGTGGAAGATCAAGTGCCCGTCTAAGGATTTGACCCCTTAATATATCAGAGAATCGACATGTGCTGCCTAAATAGGCTGATTAGTTTCCAGAGCACCTGAAGTATAGGGAAGCGTAAGATGGGAGACCCGGTCCATCATGAACCACTCCGAGAAATGTCCCTGCCTGGAGTTTTTTTTTAGTCCGAAACCAAGAACAGTTTTGGCTGAATGCACAAGGAACTCAAAAGTCGTTATATAATTTTGGACTATTGGTACATGTCTATCGTATCGCTAATACTACACAAAGGGAATGAAAACAGAGACCCCATATGACCCACATAGATAACCAAAAAGACTCGGATGACGTGAACCGCTGCGAGGAATCATGTCCGAACACGCGCGGCATCGGCCGTGGCCTCCTCGCTGGGAGCCGGTATGAATCCCCAACCGGGACTCTTCTGGCGCCGGCCCTTCCGGTCACCATACTGCTCGTCGAATTTGCGGATTGCAGACAGCGACGACATATCCTCGCTAATCGACGCGCTGATCTCCCCAATCCCCCGCTCGAAATGGGCTGGCATCAATGTGCGCCGCTCCGGGTACTGATAGGGCTCAGTACTGCCCTGGCGCCGCGCTACGGCTGCGGCCTCGTTTTCTTCTCGAACGCATGCCAGTGCAGCGGCCACAGACAGATTCTTGAGGTCGGAGCCGGAGTATAGCGCAGTTCGACGAGCCAGCTCGGCGAGGTCGACTGATGAATCGAGCTGTTCGTCCTTCAAGTGGATTTTCAAGATGGCAAGACGGTCTTCTTCAGTGGGAAGGTCCACCAAAAGTCGGCGGGGAAGACGACGGAGAACGGCATCGTCCAGGTCAAAAGGCCGGTTGGTGGCGACCATGATGAAGGCCGAAAGATCATTCATTCCGTCCCATTCCCGCAGGAACTGGTTGATCAACTCTCGGTGGGAAGTACGGCTACTGGCGCCAGTGCGCGAACCGAAGATGGCGTCGGCTTCATCGATAAACACCACGCACGGGCTGAGTTTCTTGGCAAGTGTGAAAATGGCTTTCACGTTCTTTTCACCCTCGCCGACGTACATGTCATACACATCGGACCCGCTGACCTCGAGCACGGTTGCTCCACTCTCGCGCGCGACTGCCTTCGCCAAAAGCGTCTTACCCGTACCTGGGGGACCGTAGAGAAGGAGACCAGGAATTTTGTCCGTGGCCAAAACGCCGTAAGTGAAAGCCTCAGGGCGAATGAGGGAAAGCGAAGTCAAAGTCTTCAGTGCGTCAATGGTTTCGGATGGCGCACGCACGTCTTCAAACGTCGTTCGAATGCTTCTGGCATCGACGACGCCATTGAGAAGCTTCTTCTCGTGGGTATTGCATGTTTTGCGTAGCGAGCTCAGCAGCTGTTCGCGGTTATCGTCACTTCCCGACTCTTTTGACTTGGGAGACTTGTCCTGCAGCCACTCGTGGGTGACCCGGTCGCCTTGAGCCATGAGCTCGATGCCACGCCGGATATGTTTGAAGCCGAACGGCTCATTGACCTCCGCGCAACCAAGTGCTAGTGTGGCAATCCAGTGCACTTGGTTATAGGTCCAGTACCGATCTTCGATGCCAGATTCCTTGATGGTGGCTGGATCCAGCGGCCAAGCACGGCCCCCAAAGATATCATCTTCTACAGGGGAGGCCTGTTCGTTCAGTCGGAACCGTAGCATATTCTGCAAATGGCGAGTGTTGATATCTATCGTGCGTTTCTTTCGATCTTCGGCGAAAGTCTTCGCTGCATCTTTCAGCCCCATGGCAGGAGTGACGACAAGCGTCTTTGAGAAGTGGTCATCAAAGACATTTTGCAACAGCCTTAAGCCATCCGGTAATCGCGAAGGGTGGACGTCCTGGGAAGTAGTCCCAATCAACACAATCTTTGCCCCGTCTCGTCTTCGATCTTGAATGACCCTCTGCAGCATCGAGATAAATTTGGAGCCCTCCCGGGTACTTTGAATATCGCGATAATCTTGGATGTGCACAATCACGTCTCTAAAGGATGCGGGTTTGGCGGCGTTCACCTCAGAAGGGTTGGTAGGTTCATTGGAAGTAGGCTGAACCGGTGCACCGGACGAAGAAAGAAGCTCGTTGACCAGACGGGTCCAGCGGTTCTCGAGGCGGTGGCCAGAAAAATGCGATGCTGCGGTTTCTGGGTCCTGGTCCGGCTGGCCATTGATCGATGCCACAAGTGATTTTAGCCTCAGCCAGTTTGGCATTGGAAAGTCGGTCGAGTCTTTTCCATTCTCGATGGTAATGAACTGAGGACTGGCAATTTCCCCAGGTATTCCCCTCGAAGAATCTGACAAGTCAGAAGCACCATCCTCGCCATCTCCTTCGGTGTCTTCCACTTCTGGCCAAGCAGTGGGAGCTGAGGGACGGTACACTTCATACCCAAGAGATCGAATCGGGGAAGTCACGCCAACGTCTGTCAGGTCCTGCTCGCTAAACAACTGAGCAATATCCTGCGCGTTCATTGTCACGAGATCAGTGCTGAGCTCGTGTGCGAGCCTCTTCACCACCGCGTCCAAAAATAAGATGCCGTCGGTACCCGGATATTGAAGGACAAGGTGTGATTTCTTCACTGACGGCTCTTTGGCATACTTGGCGGGCGGAAGTCGCAAGCCCGCATTGACCGATGCTCGCAATTCGTCCCATGTTGCCTCAGCCACCGCGTAGCGATTCTCCGCCCCTGGAGGATTACTTGGGGAAGACGAACTCCCACCGTCTCCTCCCAAAGCCAAATTTTCCTTGGTTGTATCTTTGGATTCCGAGCCTGACTTTGCTATCCTGACCTGGCGCAACGAATATGCCGCGGCATGGTCCTCGGCACTGTGAACCACGGTGTTCCGCTCATGAAACCAGTTGGGAACCGTAGCTGCCGGTGGAGAGGGTTGCTGCGCTAGCTTTCGATTCCTCATGGCTCTGCGCACCGCAGACCCGTACGGCTTAGCGTCTGATCGGGCTGACCGCTCGGAGTGGACTGTGGCCTCTGAGTCATTGCTGGTCGCAGTCGCGCCTTCGGCGTTGGACGAGGGAAGTTCATCGAAGACGTTCTCTGATGTGGAAGCCCCAGCGGTAGGGGGATTTGGCGACGGTGATGACAGCCATGTGCGTGACTGGTGGAGTTGGCGCGAGGCCAGGGACGCGGGATAACGGCGGCGGGCGATGAAACGGCAGGGGCGTGCAATGGACAGCCGGGCCTGTTGCATTGACAGATACATCCGGGGTAAGAAGCGCCACCGGAATTCAAGAACAGATGGCGCGGGAAGCAGAGATATGCATCGGCCGCGAGTGGTGAACACGGAGATTCTCCCGTCGCCAGGAACTTTGCGAGCATTTAGGGTCACGTGATCATAATCTTTCGATCTTTTTCGGTCAATGCTTCGTGCAAGCAGAGAAGAGATGAGATTACTGAACAATCGAGATACTAGCTTTGGGCTTCTACCAAGATATCGGACATCTGGTCTCCTACTCGGGAACAACCTCAAGCCTCGGCGCTATCGTGATCGCCGGCCAGGATTCGGATAGAGTTCCAACTACAAGCGTAAACAGTACTACAAGACGCATGTTTCGACATGGATAATTCATTGTGGTTTCTTCAATTCCTCTCACTATAATTCCAATAGGCAGTAGTAGATCCTTCGTCTAGAAACATGGCATTAGCAAACATCCCATGTAACACACAGTTCGCAAATTGCAGGCAAGGTAATGGTTCTCAGACAAAATATACTGGCAAGTAGCAGACCAACCGGGAAAGGAAGGTCCGGATTGTCTCGTCATGGTCGACTTGGAAGGTAAAGAAGAAAAGAAGGGTTGACATCCTTGAACCGAAAAAAAAAGAAAGAAAGACAAGTGCTTACCTGACTGAGGCTGCCAGGATGGCCTGACCTGTCGGTTAGTGACAAGAACGAAGCATCCGCAAGTCTAGGAACAGCTTCATCAACTCATCATGAGACTCTGATGAGCACAATTGGTCCAGAAAAACAGAAGAGAATGAGAAAAATCGAGGGCACAGAAGTGGGCAGAAGAGAAGTTGAGAAAAAAAGAAAAGCCCCAAGAAAAACGCGAGGAAAAGATTTCGCCCCACGTGACCGCCTGATCCGGTATAGCGCGTATTGGGAATCGGAGCAGAACGAACGACAAGAAGAAGGAAAAAAGCCTCATCCTGGGAGAAAAAAGTCCAGCATTTGATCTGAACATCTTAAGATGTCACTGTGACTTTGTTTGGTGTGTATCGTGTTGTTCTTCTGTTCGGTAGATCCTCCACTTTCGGACCCGGAGCCTCCGTCCCCAGCTCTTCTTCGCTCCCACCGGGCGATCATCCTGACAATTCCTGACTGGATGGGCGATCGCGACACCCCTATCACCTTGGAATAGTTGAAGACTCGGACATCCCAGTGAGTTGTGAGTCGTTGAAGCCCTGATCGCCTGAATAGCCCAGCCCCTCCACGCCTCTCTAACCGGCCCCCCCGTCTCTTTTGACCGTCTCCCCCAAGCCTTCTCTCTCTTATCACCTCTCTCCTTCCCACCGCCCCCACTGATTCCCCCCGGCCAGGTCAACGAGAGGTCTTCATCGCGGTGACTGGGCAAGTGATTTGGTCTGGCTGAGGCCCGATCGATGCTTCAGCCTTGCGCGCCTTCTGGATCCCGGGATCAACTCGACTATCTGCTCCGTCTTGGCCCTCCCCGACGCTAAAAGCGGCTGTTCTCGCAACCCCCAAGGCGCGCTCCTCGTCGTTCACCACCCGGTCGCCTCCCCCTAGGCGTCGCGGCCAAGATTTTTCTGGAGGTCTCCCGTCTTGTGGTGACTTTGCCGCTCAGCAATGATGATGGCGCAACCGTTTCCCGCCCACCAAGGCATCCCGCAGCCGGGTATGGCCCCGGGTCACCCAATGCCCGGTCAACACCCGAACGCCGGACACCCTGGGCCTGGAATGGTACAACAAATGCATCCTGGTGTCTCTGCACCAGGAGGGCCTCAAGTAAGCCAAGCGGGTCCGATGATGGGTGGGATGCCTCCTGGGACGGCTGGTCCTGGGGGCCCGGTACCGAATGCTCATGCTCTATCCCATCTGAATCCCGCGCAGGCGCATTTCCTCCAGCAACCTCAATTCCCTCAAAACTGTGAGTAGTTATCATTATTTTGGCTTTTGGATGTCTTGAGACTTGGCTCGATTCATATAGGCGGATGGCGCGATCGGCTTCCCGTCATCGTCGATTCCTTGTCTTCTGGTCACCCCGAGTGGCTCACAGCAATTTACTTTGGTCGAATGCTAATTCCTCTGATTCAAATTTAGTTGCGAATAACCCTCAATTATTGCAACAACATCAACACCAACAGTTGATGCGACAGCGGATGTTCCAGCAGCACCAGCACCAGCAACACAACCCGCAACATGGGGGTCTTCCGGTATCTCTACCCAATGGTGCCCAGGGATTGAATGCTGCCCAGTTGGCTGCAATGCAAGCCAACCCTGGGATGCGACCTGTTAATCTACAAATGCACCTTCAACAACAAGTGCCCCATGGCCAGCCGCAAAATATGCAACAGCAGCAGCTTTTTGCTCTTCAGCAAGCGCAGGTGCAAGCGCAAGCTCAGGCAAATAGCGCAGGTCAACCGGGTCAACATACGCCCCAGCGTTCATCGGCACAGCCCCCGAGTCTGCACGAGACCCAGGGTGGTACTCCCCAGTCGCAGCATGGTCCGCCCCCGGGAAGCGGTACACCCCAGCCGAACCCACCTTCTCAACCACCATCGACCCAACCCCCACCATCGCAGGTCGGACCGCCGCAGGCTCAGGCCACTCCCAACCCCCAGCCGCAGCAGCTGCCGCAGTCTCAGCAGCCAGGACAACCCGGTCCGCAACCCCAGCCGCCACAGGGTGCGCAGGGCGCGCAGGGTCAGCAGTCGGGCCCACCCAATCAGCAGCCAATGACTGCCCAAGAGGTTCAGATGAAAGCGCAGCAGCAGCAGCAGAATGCCAATGCTCTCATGTTACAGCAGAGAATGAACCGACAAGGCGCGTCGATTTTATGCCTCAATTCCTACGCGGAGCACTTGAGTGGATTCTCGGTATGCACTGTCGAGACGTTTGGAGTTGTAACAACACTAACAAATTATGCAGAGTCGAGGCGAGGCCCAGGATTTATTCTACTGGCAGTCTTTTGTCGATCGGTTTTATTCCCCAGGGGGTGTGTTACGACAGGGAGTGTGGAACCCTCAAGTTGGATCCAAGCAGTTTGAAATTGCGACACCCGCGCTGGCCCGATACTATCTCACCCAATATACGAGTGGGATCCGCCAAATTCAGATGGTCGTGGAAGGCGCTCGCGAGCGGGATTCAGCCAATGGGGGCCGCATCGTGGAGAGCCAGCGGACTTCATTCATTTATTGGTTTACGAATGATTGTCAGGTATGTTTCTGAACGCTGATCATTCTTTGAACGGAACACTGACGATCTTTGTAGCTCTTCACTAGCGGCACGCTGCGCGCGCATTTTGACGTCAACAGCAAGATCGAGATGCTAGATATCAACGTCACCAGTCACAATGAGTTTGTTCCTCGGAGTCTGGTGCATTCTTTGGAGGCTATGGAGCAAAAGCAAAGTCCCAAAGTCCCCAAGAATGCCGCCAAACGTGCTCAGCAGAAGCAAGCTCAGTCAGTGTCACTTCCAGAATCCATGGTCACACCCAACGGGGTTCCGACGCCAGTCATGGGCTTCTTGGAGGTGGCCGAGACTATTTCCCAGATGCAGATGCTGTTCCAGTTCTCGCAGTCGAACCCGAACATGTCACCCCCCGAGGCTTTGCGCAACCTTGTCACCACTCTCCAGACTCAAAACCCCAACCCTGGGTTTATGCCGAGTCCCATGAATCCCGGCATGCAGCCTGGCCCCAACATGCGGGCTCCTAGTATCAATGGCCCATCGCAGTTTGCGTCCCCCGCTATGGCCCATCTAGGTCTACCCGGGGCGCAAGGCTCCCCTCATCTGACTGGGTCAGCGCACGGTAGCCCAGCTCAGAGTCAGCTCGCTGGTCCACCGGGAATCCAAGGAGGTATGCATCCCTCCCCGGCCGGCGTGAGCAATAGCCCAAACGTGGGCGGTAACAAACGTCGTCGAGCGAGCACGGTCAAGATGGAGTCCGATGAAACTGGTGCCGAGATGAATGGCGCCGCCCAGCAAGGTTCTGGCAAAGTCAAGGCTAGCCCTCGTGTCCCCAAACGACAGAAAGGGGCCGCTGCCTAGGCCCCACGGACTCTGCTTTAACTAATTTTTTGATTTCATCGTGTCAAGAAAGTGCTGAATTGGCGTACGATTGGATACCTGGGCGAGAGGCCTATTCATCCTCTGTTTTTTTTTTTTTTTTTTTTTTCTATTTTTGGACCTCCCTTTTTGACCATACTAGAAGACCTTGTTAGGCTTCTTTTCTTTCGGCACATTGATGACAACGCAATTGACCGTCGACGAGATTTTAATCGGTGCGTCTCTGGTCTCTCTTTCCTCGGCTGGATGCTTGCCGTTTGGCGGGAGGGTGAGAACCCTGGCGCCCGGCCTCTTCTCGATTGACTCCGACTTTAATGTACTCTATCTCCCTTTCAGCGTTTGTTTGGTTGGCTTGGGATCATCGCCTGGCTCTCTCTGCATGCTTGTGATTTGTGAACTTCTGCCATGCCCGGGATTTGACGACTTGTGCTGGATTGGCTTTTGTTTTTGATTTTTTTTTCTCTATTTGAATGGGAGCCTTTTTCCTCTCCCTGTTTGCTGTTCTTTTTGATGGCCTTGTTCCCTTGGATGGTCTGACCGAATCCTTGATATCTTGATATCCGTGCTTGTTTGGGTGCTTGAACCGGCGTCGGGCTTTTTTGTTTTTTGGAGCTACGTCTTGCGTGCATCTGGGGGTTTCCATGAGGCCGTTCTGGTGGACTTGGGAATCTGGATGATTCTGCCATTGGGGCTCCTCTTTCCGCTGCTGTGTTGACGAATCCATCTTGACCTGCTTTTTGTCTTCTGTCTTCCAAGGTTGTGCACCGTAGCTGTGTAAGCTGTGATAAGCTCGCGGAGGATTGTGGGGGAACATCCCCGGATCGGCAGTTCGACCAAGGAACAAACTGGTAGAAGGGGAGGTCCATTTTTTGAGATTGACGTTTAATACTTGAGTAAAACCAGCTGCCGTCAGCTAAGAGGGTAAATGATAAACATAAAAGAGAAAAAAGAATAGCGAGGCCGGCGACCTCCGCTCGGCCACCGGCCAAGTCGATAAATGGAGCTCGGCATTCCTATCAGGTCCCCACCTGTTGACCTGCCCCTCCTCTGTTTCTTTAAATTCCTTCTCCTTCGGCTGAGGTAGTATACATCTTCAATTTCTTTCCCATTGGAATCACTCTCGCCTCCTTTCAAATCACAGATTCAATCAAAAACAAACCATGGCCCACTCCCACTCCCACGACGGCGGCCTGAGCCACTCCCACGACGACCCCTTCAACGGCCACGGCCACTCGCACGATATTCTCGATGGCCCGGGCTCATACGTCAACCGCGAGATGCCTTTGATTGAGGGCCGTGACTGGAAAGAGCGTGCGTTTACTGTGGGCATTGGCGGGTATGTGTGGAACATGGACTCGAATTCAGACCTCTCTATAATTTCCCTGGGATGGCACTGACGTTGTTCTTTTGGCCTACAGACCCGTTGGTTCGGGCAAGACAGCCCTCATGAAAGCGCTGTGTGGGGCAATGAGAGACGAGTATAACATTGCGGCGGTGACGAACGATATCTTTACTCGGTGGGTATACCTCGATTCCCATCTATGAAGATATAAGCTACGAACATTCGCATATATGAACTTTTCCCCTATGAAAATATTCTAACAAACCCCAAACCAAAAACAGCGAAGATGCCGAGTTCCTCACCCGCCACAAAGCCCTCTCCCCGAACCGCATCCGCGCCATCGAAACAGGCGGCTGCCCACACGCCGCCGTGCGCGAAGACATCAGCGCCAATCTCCTCGCCCTCCAATCGCTGCAAAAGCAATTCCAAACCGACCTACTGCTCATCGAGTCCGGCGGCGACAACCTGGCCGCGAACTACTCGCGCGAGCTGGCCGACTTCATCATCTACGTGATTGACGTCGCCGGCGGCGACAAGGTGCCGCGCAAGGGCGGGCCGGGCATCACGGGGTCGGATCTGCTGGTTGTCAACAAGATCGATCTGGCCGAGGCTGTAGGCGCAGATCTGGCGGTGATGGAGCGCGATGCGGCGAAGATGCGTGAGGGCGGGCCGACGGTGTTTGCGGTCGTTAAGGATGGGAAGGGGCTGGATCATATTGTTAATTTGATTATTAGTGCGTGGAAGGGGTCGGGGGCTTATGAGGTTAGTTTGCAGCGGTGGAAGGAGGGGGCACCCAGGGGGTCTGGGAGTATTGATGCGTGAGGGAATAGGGAAGAGTGTGGAAAGAAGTGAGGGTTTTGATGCATGAGGAATTTCGGGATTCTGAAATGGGGTATATAAGACTGGAATATACAAGGGAAACTGTAGTCAGGTATGTGAAATGGACTGCTTTTATGCCTCGAGTTATATAGAAAATCATTCAATCACCCCCAAACGCCTGGAATGCAGCAGTCGCCAATTCTCCTTCATCATGTGAATATTCATACAAAAGCCACGGCATGGCTTGGGTATCTGGACGAGAAACAAATTCAAGAATCCTTCTTGGCAAAGCGAGCCAGAGCCGGACCCAGATCCTGGCGCTCTTGCTCGAGCTTGTCCTTGGAGCGCGAGGCATGTTCCTTGCGCAGAGCCTCGGCCTTGAGCCGCTTCTCGTCGATGACATTGCGCCGGCCCTTCTTGCGCATGTATTTGCGCAGTGCGCTGTTGCGGCCCCGACCCCGATTCTTGAGTTTCTCCATGGGGTCTTCGGGCTTGTAATCCAGGTTGCGGCGCTGCTGGACCTTCTCGTTATTGATGGTGTCGAGCCGGCCAATGATGTTGGGGTCGAGCGCAATCATGTCGGGCTGCAGCTTGTTGAGCAGCGAGTGCACCTCGGCCTCCTGGCGCTGGCGCGTGTTTTCGTACGGGTTGGCTTCCATCGAATCGAAGTTGGGCTCGCCAGCGCCGGGGACGAGCATGCTGGCAAACCCTTGGTCGTGGGTGACGCCCAGCACATCTTCGAATGGGCACCAGCGCAGGTTCTCGATACGCTGTCCATCGCCGCCCCACGCCATGTACGGGCTTTGCACCTTGCCTTGATCGGCGAGCGCAGCATCGAACAAGCCCCGCCAGACGCTCACCTGCGTGCCCCAGCCGACGGCCGTGAGGCCGCGGTCACTGATTGCCACCGAGGCACCGGGCTGGTAGCACGAGTATGAATGCACTTCTCGGAACATCCGGATATCCCACACATTCATTTTTTGGTCTTGTCCCGTCGACACCATATACCGGCCTTGGCGGTCGATTGCCAAAGACCGGACGGGCCCGCGATGTACCTGTGCCTTCACGAGCGCGGTCTGGGAGTTGGGTGACCATAATGTCACATTTCCGTTCTGGTGTCCGACGTGAAGAATGGCGTTCCACGGGTTCTGGCAGAGGGAAGTCGGGCGGCCTAGCCGAGTCGGCAGTTCCGCTACGGTTTGGCCGGTCGAGGTATCGGTATATTTAAGGTATCCGCTCATTTGCTGCAAGACAATTTAAATTAGCTCCAAAGTCATATCATTTTGGTCTTGACGGAACTCACAGCGCTGGCAAGAAGGAAATGGTAGGGCAAAAACTCCAGGAAGAGCGGCTCCACATGCTTGCTGAGACAGTGCAGTTCGACTCCGTTGTGGTCGTAGATATAGACGTATTTCTTTTGGGCAACCGCAAAGTACTGGTCGTTATGCAGCCAGCGCGCATCGCGCACCGTCTCATTCAATTGGAGTTCGCAACCCAACTTGCCGTCCCGCCAGTCCATCGTCGCAACATGTCCCTTCCGACCCGCGAGCAGCAAATTGCGCCCATTCCGAGTGTAGTCAACACGGTAGGGTCCCGTATCGGGGAGTCTCAACTCAAAGCCCTTCTTGGCGGTCTCGATGCCCACGTTTTCTTGGATCTCATCCTGTCGAACCTTGTATGTCCGCTCCAGCTCGCCTTCGGGCTCAAGAAACCCGGCTTCGTGCTCGTTAAGGATCTCTGCATCCTTGGCTTGGAGAACAGCTTGCTTGTGTTTCGACTCTTGGGCTTTGAGGTTGCTGCGCAACTTCTTGTCGCGCACACTCTTTGTTGAAATCGCTTTCCCTCGTCCATATTTTTTCTGGGCCTCGGCCAGCTTCTTCTGTTTTTCGCGATCGTCGGGCCCTGCGACGGCCATCTTGACTGGATCCGCCATTTTGTTGGAATTTTCTGAACAGAAAAAGACAAATCGCAAAAGAGGCGCTGCAGTGAGGACCGAGTGAACCTATGAAGAAAAAAAAGTTGCGGACCTTCGGCGCTCACCGCTCGCTTATCCCCACCGAATTTTGCGTTCTTATCGCTTTTTTTTTGTTTTTATTTTCACCTCGACTTGAGCATTCAGCACTTGTTTTTTGGATTGTCTGACTTGGCTGGAGACCAGAAGAGATCCTCTGGCCTCTCTTCAATCTGGCTCTTCCATTTCGCTTCAAAGGGTCCGCCAATATGGCGCCCACTACCGTCCACCACCACCGGTCCACCACCAAGACATCCCACAAGCCGTACAAGAGCAAGCATGCCTCCAAGAGTGCTTTGAAGGACAAGGAGAAGGGTATGGAAAATTATCAGTGACCTATATTTTCTTCCATAAGACTTACACCTCCCCAGGCAAGGTCGAAAACCAGGAGCGGGGCACTCGCAAGACCCCCCACCAGCAGCTGATGTCGAAACTCGACCGCCGCAACCAAGCCCGCCAAAGACAACAATTGAAGCACCAGGAAAAAGCGCAGGCTACTAGTATCTTTGCTGGCCAAAATGGCGCTCCCCGTCAGGTCGCCGTCGTGCCATTGTCCGTCGATGTCGATGCGGCCGCCGCCATTCAGGCGTTGAACGAGAGCGTTGATGTGCTGAGCGATGCCTCACCGGACAGAGCCTCTCGGGTGCGGATCGACCGCTTCCGACAAAGCGTCCTGTACCTCCCGGCAAAATATGATGTGATAAACGCCCTGGATGTCTGCCGAATGGCCGACTTTGTGGTGCTGGTGCTGTCGGCTCAAGTGGAAGTCGAAGAAGAGGGAGAGGTTTTGCTGCGCTCGATCGAGAGCCAGGGTATCTCGAATGTCGTGACGGTGGTGCAGGGTCTTGACAGGATCAACCCTCCTAAGAAGCGCACACAGGTGACCACTTCGCTCAAGTCGTTCATCAACCACTTCTTCCCGACGGTGGAGAAGATCATGTCGCTTGACTCCCGTCAAGAATGCTCTAATGCCATTCGCTCCATCTGTACTGCAACTCCCAAGGGTATTCGTTGGCGGGATGATCGCAGCTGGATGCTCATTGAGCAGGTCCAGTGGCCGGAAACCAACGACGAAGTGGTGGATGACGTTGTCGTCACCGGTGTTGTCCGCGGCAAGGGTTTGAAGGCAGACCGCATTGCTCATATCCCCGGCTGGGGTGATTTGCAGATCGGGTCAATTACGGCGGCACCGCTGCCCACTGCGAAGAACAAGCGGGATGATGCGATGAACGTCGACGGCAACGAAACTACACAGGTCCTGGATACCCCTAGCTCGGACCAGGATGATATGACCGCTGTGGCACCTGAGGAGATCGAAATGGAAGACGATGAGATGGCACCGATGGCCGACACGGAACGTAAAGGAGTCTTGCTCGACGACCACCATTACTTCTCGGATGACGACTCACACATTCCTTCTAAGCCCAAACGCTTACCCAAGGGTACTTCAGAGTACCAGTCTGCCTGGTACCTCGATGACGTTTCGTACTCCGGGTCTGACATGGAAGACGAAGATGAGGAAATGGAAATGGATACAACTGGGGCACCGGAAGATGGTGTCTTCCCCGACAACCAAGATGCCATGACGGAAGGCGGGCCGTCGGAGTACCCGCAATCGGAGATGTTCCTTGACCCATCCCCCGAGGACGAGGCCCAGCAGCTGGCAGAGTATCGGGCCAGTCGCCGAAATGAGGCCCAAGAGGATCTGGAGTTCCCCGACGAGATTGAATTGCACCCTAACGTGCTGGCGAGAGAGCGCCTGGCTCGGTTCCGTGGACTGAAGAATTTCAAGCTCAGCTCCTGGGAGACATCCGAAGACCGACCCTTCGAGCCGGAGGACTGGCGGCGACTGCTGCAGTTCGCGGACTACAAGGGATCAAAGAATCGGATTATCCGCGAAGCCTTGGTTGGCGGTGTCAACTCAGGCCTCCGCGTGGACGTGCATCTCCGCGCCGTGCCCACTGCTCTTCGCAACAAGCCGCAGCCGATCTCCCTCTTCTCGTTGCTGCGACACGAGCACAAGCAAACTGTGGTGAACGTCAATATGACCTTGAACTCGAGTGCAGAGAAGCCTCTCAAGTCTAAGGAGGAGCTCTTGATTCAGTGCGGACCGCGCCGCCTGGTCGTGAACCCCATATTCTCGTCCAGCGATAACACCCCCAACAATGTCCACAAATTTGACCGCTTCCTTCACCCAGGCCGCAGTGCCATTGCATCCTGGATCGGACCCATGACCTGGGGTGCCGTCCCCGTCCTTGTGTATAAGAACAAGCCAGCCGAGGACCCCGAAATCCTCGATTCGGCCGACGCCAAGGAGGAGCCGCTCGCCATGGACCGGCTGGAGTTGATTGCAACCGGAACAGTCGTGGCACCCGACCAGAGCCGTGTCGTGGCCAAGCGCGCCATCCTCACGGGCCACCCGTACAAGATCCATCGCAAGGTCGTCACGATCCGATACATGTTCTTCAATGCCGAGGATATTGCCTGGTTCAAGGCCCTGCAACTGTGGACCCGCCGTGGCCGCAGCGGATATATCAAGGAGAGTCTCGGTACACACGGCTACTTCAAGGCTATGTTCGATGCCAAGATCAACCCGCAGGACTCGGTGGGTATCAGTCTATACAAGCGGGTCTTCCCTCGCAAGGCCAAGGCTTTGGAGGATGTTGTGGCTTAAGTGGCGTGGGTATGAGGAAGATGAAACGATACAATTGAATTGAGTTCATGACATGATGAGAGTCCGCCTGCTGATATCGGAGGAAATGGAATTCGCGTTACGATACACCCCAAAAAGTATATAGAGTCAAGGCAGTTTTCAAGAGATGAGTAATGATTCTTCGCCGCTCGTTCGTCCATCGATATAAGCCTTGTTAGGCACCCGTAGTCACGGTAGGGTCATATAAATCGACAGACCAAGATATCCATTTCTCACTGTCTAACACAGAGGAATGCAAGGAAAACACACAAGCCACTGAGCAAAGTCGTCCTCGTCCTTGAGGTGGGCATTCGCCGCAGACCACCAAATATCAAAATAAAATAAAAAGAAAGACAGCACAAACCACTCCTGCACAGCACACGGGGAATCAATGGGAGAAATCAACCAGCATCTACGAAAAGTCCTCCTCGGCCTCCTCAATACTGTTCTTGATCCGCAGCAAGAGGGTGGTCTTCCACTTGTCCAGCTTGCTGAGCTGGTCGTATTGGAAGAGTTTGTCAGCGAAGCCCTCCTGGTCGCCGCTCTCAACCGCCTGGAGCAGGTCCACGAGCAGCTGGTGCTCTCTCGTCGACGAGAAAGAGGGATCGATCTCTCGGTATGATTCCAGCGCACGGTTGGTCTCGACAAGGTCCTGGCGTAGTGTTTAGCAAACATAACTCCGGCCTCAAGATCAAAGTATGCCAGAGAAGGTAAGGAATCAACTCACTTTTGAGGCAAGGTGGCAGATGCCTGCCTTCAAGAAATAGTCCTTGACCGACCACTTCATCAGGTTATTGTTGATGGAGGCTCGACCAATGCGCTCGTAGTTGGTGATGGCTTTGTAGTAGTCTGATTCCAGGGCGGCCAGGTCGGCCACCTTGAGGAAATGCTTGTTTGCGAGGCTGTAACGAAAGCAAAGAGAAACAGGGTCAGTGGTATAGCTTCACAACGAACAGGGCGGAGAGGTGAGATGTATGGACATACGCCTCGGCATTATCGCTCTCGAACCACTCGGCGGCCTTCTCATACGACTCCAGCGCCTTCTTCATGTCCCCCAGCTCCACCTCGTACACCTCAGCCAGGTACTGTTGCTGCGTTGCAGCACGGCGCAGGTTCCCACGTAGTACGTAATGTTGAATGGCACCGGAAAGCACGCGGGCTGCATCCTCGGGATCAGTCTTGCGGTAGACCTTGAAAGCTTCCTGGAGGCTGTTGGCTGCGTCATCGGGCTCGTTGAGGTTCTGGGTCTGGAGAGTAGCGGCCTTTTCAAAGGCCAGACCAGCTTCCTTGTCTGTTCTCACAGTCCAATACCGAGCAGTCAGTCACCATGGCATATTCAACCATGACGGGCGGCGGGTGGAGGGGTTTCTCACTCAGCTTCTGGACCCGAAAGGCATTTGCCGCCTGTGTATACAAGTCTGCGGCATTTTCATATTTCTCTGCACGACCGCCAAACCAGCTGAAGCCGCCCGAGGCGCCTGATAACGCTTTATCGGCCTGTGTGGTGACAATGTGGTCAGCTATGCGGACTATCGTCATTGCCTGGGCATGCAAACATGGCGGGGAGGAGGGGCGGGTCCGACTTTTTGGAGCAGAACACGGGGATCTTGGGCCATTTTGATGTCGATTGAAGGGGGGAAAGGTGTGGTTCGATCTTGAGAAAAGACAGTCGGCCACAGAAGTCTAAGAGGGGGAGGTCGAGTGGCCAAATGGGGTTTATCGTGATTGATGAGAGCATCGATCGGCGGACCCGCTGGAGGCGGTGTCTCGCTGCTTTTTCCGCGTGTTTTCCAATGTCGCCTCCATTGCGATCAACGAGCATCAACACATTTGCACAATCCTGTTGCTGCTGGAAAATCTAGAGGAAAGTTTCTAGCCACAGCTTCAGACACAATAAATTTGCACTTTTTGCGCCATGGCTTGTCTTCGCGCGGGCGCTCGACTGCCCCAGTTGTCCAGTCGCAATCCATTCCGACTTGGTGTCTCTCGCTTCTGCTCTGCCAAAGCTCCAGATGCAGATATTGAGACTATCCTGGCCACCCCGAGCTGGTCTGTCCGGTCTCTGCTGCCCGACCAAGCTTCTCAGCCGTCGTCACCATCCGTCACTCCCAAGCAACTCCATCACCTCCTTCGCCTGTCCGCTCTGCCACAGCCAGCCAGTAAAGAAGATGAACAGTCGATGTTGAATACGCTCGAGTCGCAGATCCATTTCGTCAAGGATATTCAACGCGTGGATACCACTGGTGTTGAACCACTTCGGAGTATTCGCGATGAAAGCGCCGCCGCCGTGCAGGAGACTACGGTTGGAATTGAGCATCTCCAAGCCGCCATGGCTAAGGAACAAGTGATTGGCCGACGAAAGAGAATCCAACGCGTGCCTGGCGACAAAAACACCCGTCCGGATGGCAGCATTTGGGATGGGAACGCACTGGGGGCAGCATCGCGCACGAAGGGAAAATATTTTGTGGTGGACACCGGCAAATAACCTGCCTCTCGTCTATCTAATTCCTTTGAGCCTCGACTCCCTCAAGCTCCCGGGCTGGTATGTATCGTCGAGTCAGACAGCTCTCCCTGCCTCAGGCATTGAGATGACTCAGCACATAGCGATGACGACATCCGTGGACCCCCTCCACTCAACTTGACTTGAACGTGTTTGTCCTGGTTTACCATTTTGCATATACCCTCAATTCCTTTCCCAATGTTCAAAAACCTGAAGGAGAAGCATGCGGCCCTGTTCGACTCTAAGCCATCCAATGAGTCCCAGGATGGTGACCGCGGTCAAGATCTTAGCTCGATCCTGGACCGGTCGCAGCGTGCGGACTTGACCATGCTTGTGGCAGAGATAGCCGAGTCAATGCGGGTCAGCGTTCTGGAGGTCTTTGAGCATTCAAGCGATGAGCCTCCCAATGACTCTTCTCCGCCTTGGTCTCCGCCAAAAGATGAACATGGCGAAGATAGGCCAACGCTACCTCCTAGACCCCAGAACAGTGCGACTTCTGGAGATGAAAAGAAACAGCAGTCTGGGGCTAGTACCAAGACATGGAGACCCCACGATAAAGTGACTGCGCTCTCGCATTTCGATGACTGGAGAGATTCAGTATTGCTTCGGATTGGCGAAGTCGTCAACAAAGATGATGAGGGTCAAGGGCAAGATCAAGATAGCGACAAAGAAGATACTTCGAGCGTTGTCAACTCCGACAGTCTTCCATTGGACGAGGATAAGGGTCGAATGGAAAAATTGCAAGAAATTTATCATCCTGTGGAGACACCGCTAGTCCATCTTCCAAAAGCGAAGCAACTTCTGATTCTTTATTCGCTCCTCTTGTTATTGCTCAGTCTCCAGCACTACAGTGCCTATTCCCGAGTCTTGATGCTCTATGTCACATCCAGTCTGGAAATTGACATCAACATACTCAACCAAGATGAAGTCAAAGTGGCACGTGGGCTGCTCGATACTGCCCTGGCACTCTCGTCTGGCCCAGAGAATAAAGAGCAACCAAAGAAAAAGGACGACATGAAGAAGTGGAAGGTCGGCATTGCATCTGTGGCCGGCGCGGCTCTCATCGGCCTGACAGGCGGGCTCGCCGCCCCGCTGGTGGCGGCGGGTCTTGGAACCATCATGGGTGGTCTGGGACTTGGTGCCACAGCTGCCGCGGGCTACCTGGGTGCTCTGGCCGGCAGCAGTGTGATTGTTGGGGGTCTGTTCGGCGCCTACGGGGGACGCATGACTGGTCGCATGATGGAAAAGTACGCCCGTGAAGTGGACGACTTCGCGTTCATTCCGACCCGCGGGCCACGACGGCGGTCGGAGAAAGAGAGTGACGCGGCCAAGCAAGATCATCGACTGCGAGTGACCATTGGCGTGACGGGATGGGTGAAAGAGGAATCGAACTTTGTAGTTCCTTGGCGAGTGCTCGGTGCTGACTCGGAAGTGTTTGCTCTGCGCTGGGAGATGGAACCATTGATGAATCTGGGAAATTCCATTTCGGCCTTGGTGACGAGTGCCGCATGGTCTGTAGCTGGTCGAGAGGTCTTGGCCCGCACTGTATTTGCGTCGCTCATGTCTGCCGTGATGCTGCCACTAGGTCTTATGAAGGTTGCCAGCGTTGTCGACAACCCGTTCAGTGTTGCTAAGTCTCGAGCTGACAAAGCGGGAGAGGTGCTTGCGGATGCGTTGATCAACAAAGTCCAAGGCGAGAGACCCGTCACCCTGATTGGATACTCGCTCGGATCTCGCTTGATCTTCTCCTGCCTTCAAAGCCTTGCAAAGAGAGGGGCATATGGTATCGTGGAATCGGTCATTCTGATGGGATCTCCAACACCCTCCAACGCCGAGCACTGGCAGCGCATGCGCAGCGTGGTGACCGGGCGGCTGGTCAACGTTTATTCAGAAAACGACTCCGTCCTTGCCTTTCTTTACCGCACCAGCAGCCTTCAGCTAGGCATTGCCGGAATCCAGCGCGTCGAGAACGTTCCCGGTGTCGAAAATTTTGATGTCAGCGAGATGATCAGCGGTCACCTGCGCTACCAGTATCTACTGGGAAATATTCTGTCGTCCATCGGCCTGCAAGATATCGATGCTCAAGAAGTGAAGCGCGAGGAAGCCGCACTCGTCGCTGAAGACCGACGACAGGAACAAGAACGTCTTCACAATGAGCGTGAAGCCGGGGTCACAGATCGTGACTCGTCGACTGCCCGCGAGACGTTGAACAGCCAGAATGGGTTTGGCGGCGAAGATGCTCGGCTACAGAAGCAGGTGGAGAGCCGGACGCAGGAGAACATGACGAATCATCGGATTCAAATGTTAGACTTGGATGATGATTACTCGGCGCCCTTGGACGAACACCCTTCCAAACACTCTGTGTTGTAGGATATGGAAACGAACTAGATGCTGGTACATAGAGCCTCCTCCTTGAATATCTGCATTCCTTTCCCTAGTTTTTCAATTATTCCCAACCACTGCAAATAGCATCACCACTGCTTGTTCTCTGTATAGTCATTTTGACCTGACGTAGCATTTTCTTTCATCCCACGCTTCTCTCCCCAGCAAACTTCCCTCGTCTCTGCCCAAGCCTCAGTGCTCCGGCTCTTTCACTACCCGCCGTTTGAGGTTCACATTCCCAGGGGCGAGTCGGTCTCTTTCCTCAACGACGACTCTCAGTGCCGTCACTGCCAGCTCGGGCTCCTCGTTCAAAAACTCAACCCCCGTGTCGGTATTCAGGAAAATGCGAGTACGGAAGAGAATGATGCCGGTGATGCATTCGAGGAATCCATCATCTTGGGGTAAGATCGAACGCCGTATATTGCGCAGGACACCAACCAAGTCTTCGATGTCCCTAGCTTCATAGTTGCGCAGATAGACCAGAAGTCTGCTCCGCGCAAGTTTCTGAAGAGCAGGGATGTGGAATTTGTCAGCTGCCACCCATACCGCAAGCTGGGTGCGTATCAGTGTCTCCAAGTCACTGAAATCGACAATGTAGCCGCCGGGGTACATGCTTTCATCTTGCAGATAGCAGAAATTGAGAACGCGCTCAATTATCTCCGGGTCGTCTTCTAGTAACTCAATTCGAGATGTGGCCCCTTCCTGTTTTTTGAGATGTGAGAAATGACATGGACGTTAATTAGTTAATTAACTAATTGATGGTGTTCCGCTCACTTTGAAGCCACCTTTCATCGCAGCGTCGAAGAAGGTCGACTGAGAGCAGACCACTGCGCGGTGGACTGCAAAATCACGCCCCTGTGATGAAATCACCATGTCGGAGTACTTCCCGTTCGCGAGAAGATCTTTCATGGTGGCTTGGAAGGCTGAGAGCGCCATCGTCGGGATGGGTGGCTTTTGGATATTGCTGGTTCGCGAGAGGAGTTGCCGAAGATAAGATAAAAGTGTGGTGAGGAAAGGATGAGAGTAGGATGAGAGTAGTATCCAGAAAGGAGTACTCGCTTGAAGAGGCGTGAGGATGTTGGCCGATCGAGGGTGCTTGTTCAAAGATTGTGGCGAAGGGAAGAAGAGACGTGAAGAGAGGTGGTTAGTTAGGTTGAGTGGCCTGGGTTGAGTGGAGAAGCATTCACTTTCCACTTCTTGCATCAGAAGAAATCCAAGAAATTCATGGTATCTTTGGTTTGACCATCCTCAGTAGAAGTAGAGAAAGTGTCTAGGGCTATGTGAGATGACATTCCCAAATAGGTAATATATTCGAGTCATAGAGTATATTCCTCTAAAAGAACTATTTCGACCTGGAGACTGAAGCTCATACTGGGATCCACAATCAGATAGCGGATTAGTGGAAATAAATAAGCATTATATATTAAGCAGATCGATATAGTATGAGGTAGATTAAACATCATGAGCATGAATACATTGGCTGCAATATTCTACATGTGGGTCGAGTGTCTAACACAAGAAACCTCACAACTCCAAACAATAGTTTATTAAGCGAGACAGACTTTGCAGAAGATCGACTTACTCGGACCAAATAAATACATGGCGGTTTTTGTTGGTCTCAGGAACAACCATGGATATCTATTTCTGTTAACGGCTCACAACCATACATTATGATCATCGTGGCAGAGGTTTTCACTCACCATATATGGGAGCTCCGAAATCTGACATGGTAGCCTTGTGTCTGCAGCCGGAAAGGAGCCGGGCGCATAGTAGTAGCATAGAGTTGGTGTTGGCCCCATCATTGGCAGTGGAGCAGAAGGAATTCCGGGGGCCAGAACAAATGGGTGAGATGACGAGATCACAGGAGGCCGAAAAAAGAGCCAAGATATGTATGGGTTCCAGGCAATATCTCATATCTTGTCTTCTCGGTCCGAAGAGGACAGAGGCGTCCTGGCACTTCCCTCTCTGATCTTCGGCCAGGTCCACATCAACACCTAGTGCATCTGCAAAACCAGCAATTGATTTTCACGGGCGCTTGAATGAGAGAAAGACCCACTCAAAATGGAAATAACCCAAGTGAGTTAGGGGCGTTGCAAAGACCGGGGCAAGGTGGACAAGGCGCAGACGGGGGGGGGGGGGGGGCTGCCCTACCATAAGAGAACGGCGGGACCCCCTCGCAGCCTCGTTTCCACTCAAAGAAGAAGGAAGAAGAAAGAGAGAAAGACCTGAGAAGTTGTGTTCAGCCCTGCGGCCCCCAAGCAGCATCGCCGGCGATAATGCACACGTTCAGCCAGACCCTGGTGGCTCTGCTGAGTCTCCAGGTGCTGCTCTTCTCTCTTGTCTGGGCGGCACCCGCACCGTCCATTGCCAGCGAAACATCATGGGAAATACTCGACGAGGAATTCGATGATCCAGACTCATCGACCACGTTATACAGTCGAGCAGATACAGCGTCGTTCGAATCAGCCGATCTTTCCCTCTACGACCGAGACTCCGACGACGACAGTATCGAGAACGCGGCCGAGCTCGAGCCCCGAACCAAACCTGACGATAAGATACCACCCAAAGCACCCATCTATTCAACCTGGAAGGTGTGGCAAGCCTGGCATGAATACTACAAGCGCCGGAATCAAAACCCACCGGAGCGGAGAGTCCCGCGAGGAGTTCCCAGGGGATCTCTGAAGAGCAGTATGTTCAAGAAAAACAAGCCGCCACTATGGGAATGGACGGATGGGTGTGGCAACAAGCAGACCATGGTACTCGGCAAAACATTAGGCACTGGTCATTTTGGCACTGTCTACGAAGGCACATTATCCGACGGCAGCAAAGTGGCCGCGAAACAGGTGTCGACAAACGCGGGCGACATGATTTCTGGCGCGCAGGTCGAGCAGGTCATCAGGAGCAACAACGTGGTCCAAGTGGTGGACTATTTCCAGCGCAAGGACGGAAAGGGCGCGTTTCTGCTGATGCCCATGGTCAGGGGCGGCGACTTGTTCGACAAAGTCAAGAAGTGGGATGCGGCTACACGAGACAATGCCTTCAAGCAAATCCTGAATGGGGTGAAGGCCATCCATAACCCGGAGGCCTTTCCTGCCGCGAACGCCATTCATCGGGATCTGAAGTTGGAGAATGTCATGATCGACGGCAACACGATGAAAATCGCGGATTTCGACCAGGCCGAGCTAACCGCCGTCGATGGAAAGCTGGATCGCTTCAACGTGGGCACGCCGGGCTATGTTGCTCCCGGTATGGAATATGCTCCCTGATTTAGTCGATGCTCCCTAGAGACTGATCCGTTTGACAGAAATCTTATACGGGAAACCATACGGCAAAGAAGTCGATATTTTTTCGTTGGGTGTCATGCTGATGGAGATGTGGGAGCCCTGGAGCTCCCAGGACAAGCGCTATAAAATCTGGATGGCGTTGGGCGCTAAACGCGACGACGATCACGTTGGCGTGGATCGAACCGAAGTGAAAAATATCCTGAAGAAAATTGGCAAATTCACCAACATCGACGGCGAGGTGCTGAACGATGACCAGCTGGACTTGCTGTCCCGTGTTCTGTGCGGGCCCGATCGTCGCATTGACATTGATGAGTTTATATCGCGTTTCGCGGCGATCTCGAGAGGATGAAAGGCCCGTGGAATGATTGTAACGAAATACGAATATATGCAAAACCATCCAAATATCACACGAATATCGAAATCGTGTCGCCAGTAGAGAAGGAAAAGTGAGGTCATGCCGATCTGTCAATGTTTGGGAGGCGGGGTGGGTCGAGCTGGACCTGCCATCGACAACTCTTTCCTGGTGTGCATCAATCCCGCCATGGCCACATCCCAACCATCCACCATGAAATCCTGGCTGTATTCCAGCACGACAAATGGCCTCGAGAAGAATCTCCACCTCGACGAGTCCGCGCGCACCCCACCCAGCCCGCGCGCAGAGGAAGTGCTGATCGAGGTGCTGAGCGCCTCGCTGAACCCAGCCGACTTCAAAGTCCCTGAGATGGGGATCGTCGCGCGCACGGTGATCGGGATGCCTGCCGCCCCGGGCATGGACTTCTGCGGGCGAGTAGCAGCCACGGGAACGAGGGTGCGCGACCTGGCACCGGGGCAGCTCGTCTTCGGGAGTCTGGATCGCCCGTCGCAGTTCGGGTCTCTGGGCCAGTACCTGATCCATCCGGCTCGAATGTTGGCGCGCGTGCCGGACGGCGTGGCGGTTGACGACGCGGCCGCGGTCGGTATCGCCGGCCAGACGGCGTACCAGTCGCTGGCTGGGTATGTGAGCGCGAACGACAAGGTGTTTATCAACGCTGGTTCCGGTGGCTGTGGTGTCTTTGCGATCCAGATTGCCAAGGTCATGGGATGCCATGTCACGACGACGTGCTCGACGCGCAACGTCGAGCTGTGTCGTGCGCTTGGTGCGGACGAGGTTATCGACTACACGGCCGAAGAAGATCTTGTCGCTACTCTACGCAACCGTGGCACTGTATTTGACCATATCCTCGACCATATCGGGGCCCCTGCAGCCTTGTATCGTGAGTCGCACCATTTCCTGCGGCCTGGGGGTGCGTTCGTGCAGGTTGGCGCGTCCTCGTTTATGACGTTTGCCGAGAGGCTGGTTCGGCCTGGGATCTTGGGCGGCGGGAAGAGGAAATATGTCATATTTTTTTACCGCAATACTCGCGAGGATCTCGTCCAGCTGGGGGAATGGCTTCAATCGGGTGCCGTCAAGGTGCAGGTCGACACGGCCTATGAGTTTGAAGATGCGGTGCAGGCGTTTGAGAAGCTTCGTTCGGGACGGACCCGGGGGAAGATCGTGGTGCATGTGGCGAAGCAGTGAAATTCAAAAAATGGAAGCGCGTGTATTTCAACTACTATCTTTTTGGTCGTGTGAGGAAATCGTGGCAGGAATGCCATGCTCTGAATTAACTATTAACTACGATCCCAACCTTGCAAAAATCGCCATTTATCTCGACTGAAGGAACGTCATCGCTCCCAGCGCCATGGCGTCGACGCCCGTGCGTAGCGTGGTCTCGATCACCGGCGCAAAGAAGGGAGAGTGATTGGTGGGCAATTGGTCGACGGTACCGTCGGCGACAGCTTCGTCCCAGGTATTTTGATCAAGGCCGCCAAACAGCCACATGACATAGGGCGCGCCAACAGCGGTGGCCAGTAGCGAGAAGTCCTCGCTCGCAGCCGGCGGCTCCATGTCGATAAGATCATCCTGGAAGTACGGCTGGAAGGTGCCGCGGAGAGCAGCAATTGTCTTTGCATCGTTGATCGTGGACGGGGTCGAATAGGTGCGGGTGATGCGCGGCTTCTCGACGGCGCCGGCGGCCTGGCACTCGGCCTCGATGATGCGGTGGATAGCGGCGCAAACATGCTCGCGCACGTCCGGGTCATAGCTCCGCACGCTCAGCTGCAGGTCCAGATATCCGGGGATGACGTTGGGCGCATTGCCGGCGTGGATGCTGCCGCACGAGACCACCGCCATTTTGCCTGGCGTGACCTCGCGCGAGACGATAGTCTGCAGCCGCATGACGACAGCGGCACCGATCATAATCGGATCGATGGTGGCTTGTGGCGCGGAGCCGTGGCCCCCGCGGCCGAAGATACGTACGTCGAAGGCGTCGGCGGCCGTCAGCAGCGGACCCGCGCGAAGATGGACCGTCCCGGCGCGCATGCGTATGACATGTTGCGCGAGCACCACGTCCGGCTTGGGGATCTTGTCATATAACCCGTCGTCCAGCATCGCCTGCGCGCCGTCCAGCTGTTCCTCCGCCGGCTGGAAGACACAGATCAGTGTCCCACTCCAGTGGCTGCGCGCCGCGTGCAGCAGCTCTGCCGCCGCCATCATCGTCGCGACGTGCGAGTCGTGTCCGCACGCGTGCATCACCGGCTTGAGTTTCCCTTCGACGTCTTTAGCATGTTTTGTGCTGGCGTATGGTAGCCCTGTCTGCTCTTTCACCGGCAGCGCGTCCATATCTGCCCGGAGCAGGATTGTCGGCCCGTCGCCATTGCGCAGGACGCCGACTACACCGTATCCGCCGATATTCGTCTGCACGTCATACCCGACTCTTGTGAGATGCTCGGCCGCCGTCTTGGCCGTTTGTTCCTCCTGCCTAGAGAGCTCGGGGTGGTTGTGCAGGTGACGATATACCTCCTCGAAAGGCTTCAGGTCCGGCCTGAAGCGGTCCAGGAGTTCATGTAAACGGATGCGACCATCTCCAGCGGTGGATTCTAGACTGGTCAGCATATTCTTTTCGTATTTCGGATACGTATATTTTCTCTCTTCTCCTCCTGTCTCATAAATATAGGGGGGCGCGGAACTCGATCCGGATCTCAAACCAGTGCTGCCATACCTTTTAATTGCATAGTGAAAGAATTTTTGAATTAAAACAAGAGCCCAGCAGGGGGGCCTCTTCGACGGCCGTCGGCTATATAACGAAGGTCCATCCCATGGAGCGAAGAGGGGGCGGTCGCATCGCCAGCAGGGAGGGGGGTCCCTCTTCGTATATGCCGGCGATTCACTTCATAAGAGACCATCATAAGAGGGCCCCGGGCCCATCAGCCAACCAAGTGCCCCCCGCAATTCGATCGGAGATACTATGCACAAAGCACAGGGCTGGGTCTGACATTCGGGCATACGAGGGCCAGAATATATTATGCTCTTGTGTCTCGCATGGATGTCCCAATTTGCGTGTTCTTGGTGTTGGTTGGTTAATGTTCGGGAGGACCCGATGTATGGACTTTTGTTATGTGCTTTGTTAGTGGAATCTGTGTCGATATCACTGGTTATTGGCTTTCTTTGCATATGCTACCCATCTTACATTGTGTGCATAGTGGGTTATGCTGGCCATACTCGACATAGGGATCGGGCCAATTAGCCGATCGGACCAGAAGGTATATATATATATGTATGTATATACATATATGTATGGCCCATCTAGTCCATAGCAAGACTTCGTATAAAATGGACGACTATTTTTGTCTGACATAGACAGATCTTTAGTGGTATTCAAATCTGGTCATTATCACTCAGGCCACCAGAATCCTTCCAAGTCCAAGCAAATTTAAATGCTTAGAAAGAATAGAAACCAAAACCGCTTTACGCATTGACCTATCCACATCCAGTCCTGACAGGCAACAACAACAGCCCTGGAGGGACCAGGGCCTGATCGACACAGCTAATGCTTTTACTTTTGTTCCTGTGATCTTCTAAAGCAAGTATAATCAGTACTCTGCTGCCTTTCAGCCTCTGGCATTTCTCCGATTCGATCGTAAATGATGGTCTCTGCCCGGTCTCCACCCGTGGGGCTTATCGCTGGTGCAGCCACTCAGCGCGGATTGCGGCTCGGTCTAAGGCGAAAATTTCTTTCCATCCAAAAACACCATAGATTTGGATCAAAAATGAAAAAAAAAGAGCCGAACGCGGGGGTCGAACCCGCAGCCTTGAGATTAAGAGTCTCACGCTCTACCGATTGAGCTAGCCCGGCTGTCATTGAATGGATGATCGAGGTGGCGATTCACAGTCGCCTAGTCCACCTATTCCCTCGGGGGATGGCTGAAGATCATGACCACATAGTAGTGGTTTGGTGGCGCGACAATGTACAGTTTCTGCCGCGAACACTGCATAGATACTGGACACTTCTGTCGCAGCGATTCGCGTATCCAGGAAAAAGGAAGACCAAGTGTTCTTTTGGGTGTTGTACTCTCTCTGGTCCCCGCCTGCCCTCGGACCCCCTCTGGACGACCCCAGTTCATGGGTGCCTCCCAGGCAGGCACAAGACCAAAGATCCCGATTTAGAATCGAGGAGCCTGGCGCGCGGCATCCGAGGGCGAGGAAATCAACACCGCGACGATAGCAGTTAGAAGCTATTGACCCCTTTAGCAGGGGTCTAAGCGTTGATGCGGCGAAGATGGGAGAAACAAGGTCAGCGCTAGACGAAACGAGACGAGAAAGGAGTGAAGAGCACCGTGGCTGGTGGATCGAATCACGGTTAGCAGTTGGGGGGCGGGGGCGCAGCAACTCTCAATTCAGGATGGAGTGGGAGAATAGGGAGATTGCATCACAGCGAATGATTTCTATACGGGATGTGGCGTGCGGCTGAGAGGGTGGATTGGGGCTGGTGCACCCTCACCACTGGTGGGGGCCCAGAATCAATGCTCGAGGAGAATCCAGACTATTCTTAGACCTTGAAACCGCGATTTGTATCACCAAGTATAGAGAACTCCATTGAGGGTCTCGGAGTTCTCGAAGTGGGTGCGAGTTCCAGGTTTGTCTGAGCAGACGCCGTAGCGATCGCCGCGGTTGCGGAGCAAATGAGCGTGGGGAACGGCCCGAGGGAGAGCCTCAGATCAAACCACTTTCAACCAAAGGAATGGCTGTCGATGAATCTTCACGAAAAAAACCTATTTCGGGGATGGCGGGTGTCCCTCTGGTACCTCTTGGGGGGAATTATTATCAAGACGTCAACCTCTAGAGGTGTTTTCGGGGGTGACAGGGGGGGAACACGGAGGGCGCAGGAACACGAGTCAGCCACTGAAACCGCAGCAATGTCATCATAGGATGGCATCAATTCTTCATACTGGAAAGGGCGAATCTTTGAAAAACATCGAGGATGGGAACAGAAGACCGTACTGTCCGTTGGTATCGCAGGGCCAATCACTCAGGAGACGCCGGTACGGCGGTGTTGGCTGAGCCACGGGGGGAGTGGGGAGAGAGTGGGTACTGGTAAGTTACTGTCATTCACCTTGGACACCAGACCCTCCAGGCTGCACTCGATGCAGTCTCCACTTCTTTTATTTTACATAGTCCATCGTTGACTATATAACTCCCCTCCCCCTCCTACCATATATTTTTTTTTTAGTTTCTACATCCCAACTCCTTGATCACAGTCTACTCAAGCATCTATATTTGTTCGAACACTCCATTCACAAGTACCCTGTCTCCCGCGTGACCCCCAGACATCCGTCACGGTGTCGCCTTTTCGCTCGACCACCTACTACATTGACCCCCTCTCCTCGACCATAGGAGGAAGACCTCCTCAGCGCAGCACCTCGCGCCGTCTGTCTGGACTGCGCCGTTCATTCACCATGCCTGCTCCCATTGAAAATGTCGACCACCTCGTTGTCATCCGCGACCTGCACGACGATGAGAACCTGGTGATCAAGGAGTTCGAGCGTCACGCCCGACGCTGCTCACTGTGCAGCGATCCCCTCCAGACACACAAGCAAGGACGCAACCTCTGCGAGCGAGGTCGTCCGCACGCACTGGACGTCGAAAAGTACCTGTACAGCAAGAACAACAAGCATTTCTCGGTCGTGGACCAAGAGAACGGCAAGTCAATGCGGGTCAAGCTGCCGCACAACAATCTCGCCGTTCGTAGCCTGCTGGCGGCCATCGAGGATGGCCTGCTCCTCAGCCACGACCGGACCTACCCCGTCAGCTCTCGTCGGCCTGTCATCCAGCAGATCCGGCCTCGCTCGTACTCTCCTGCGCCTGTCCGCCCTCGTTCTCACTCTCCCGACCCCGCCCACGAGATCATTGAGCGGGAACCACGCAGGTCCAAGCACCATGTCATCGTCTACCACTCTCCACGGGGCTCTCCTAGTCGCGGCTCGCCCAGCCGTGGCTCGCTGTACCACACCGACCGCATGGACCGGGTTGAGCGCCGGTACGAGTCGTCGCGGGTCTACCGTCCGTCCGACTACCGCCGCTGAAAACCATACGACTGGCTATTCTGATTTTTATATTCTCACTCTCTCTTTGGTCGCCATTACATCGCGCTGCCCACTAGCTGCACGCTTCACTTCCATCCACGCTTCGGGCATTAGCTCCGGGCAGACTGCTAGCCGGTCTTTACTATATGTGTACAGACCCCATCAACGGGGCCATCTACATTTGGTTTTGGATGTCTGGAATCTGGACTCGAACCGCAGGGCCTGCCTGGATGCGCCCACCAACCCGGTTCAGTCCACCGATGACTCTTGAGCTCGGAGTCCCACCTTGGAAAAGGATCTGGGGCCCGGGTGATCTGACTTGCGAATGGCCTGTGCTCCATCTTGCATGTCTGGCTGGTCCATTATTGGTGCCATTCCCCACTCTCCATCTGCTATGGTATAGGGCGGGGAGCAGCCAATGGGATAGACGGAAAGTCGCCGCTATTCCTGCATGTTTCTTTTGTGTGTATGTGCTGGATATCTGATTGGAAGTTAGTTGTGACTCACGATGGATGTGGAGAAGCTTACTTGCTTATGCTTTGAATGTTTCGAGATTCTGTGGATGCTAGATGAATTTCCTTTGTGCTTATTGAGTGTTACGAATCTATGAATGCGGAGCTAAGAAGCCCTAACGTCCAACCTCTGGTGAGGTTAACCATACAACATTCAATGATCCTTAGCTTATGATAAACATGACATACATGTTTTGAGTCAGGTATTTGATTCAATACTTCGTCTACGATACACATACAATTATGATGAAATTGCGCATGGTGAGGGGCAGTTATCTCTGAGTCACTCTCGGCGGGCCTCCCGCGCATCATAAGAACGAGCCGTAAATTGGATTTAGTGGTTCCTTAATCTTATCCACTTTAGTTATATTGTTCACATGATGGCTTGCTAGCTGCACTTATTACGGGGTTTCGCACATATATTCTATGCAAGATGTTGAAATTCCAAGAGCCTATCTACTTAACATGCTACTCAGAGAGACAAAGAGCTCACGACAAGCCCTCTAATTCTGGGTCTTGGGGCCACACCACCGGAAAACCCAGCTTCTCCCTGCGGGCTAAGGTCTCCTTCTTCCACTCCCAGAAAGTAGCAAGACGTTCTTCCGGCAACATCTCGCCAAAGGTATCTCGTGGGCTAGTAAAGCGAAGCGAAGCGAGTCGACCGGCAAGATTCACTTCAGTTTTCCCTCCTGGCGAGACGATCCAGAGTGTTCCAACCCGCTCATAGAGAATCTTCCCGTACGATGCCGTGTGGTAGGACATTTTGAGAAGACCGTCGATCTCGCACAACAGATAATCCGCCAGCCATTCCGGTCGCGAACGATACTGCTCCAGTCTCTCCCGGGGGTAATTGTCACCATACAGCCAGATAGGAAGGAAATGTTGACCTTGCCATGTATCGTACTCGATATGCTCTGGTGGAGATGGAAACACAGACTCGGCGGATTGGCAGTCGAGAGTAAGGGTTTTGATGGTGATATCGCGATCCTCGAAATTTGGATTGCTAGAAAAGGAGGCGGATTCTTTCTTTTCGGTCATATCTGGATGGCGCTTCTCCTTTTTTTCGTCCTTTTTTTCGTCCTTTTTTTCGTCCACTGGTCCATAGCGCAGAAACCGTTCAAGTAAAGCATAGAAACTCCAGTGAAATCCGAGCCGGCCCCCACTCCCCACGAGCCGATCAGCTATTTCGGACGGGATGATACTACCGAAAAGCCGTATGTCTGTGTGTAGCTCATGTACACGGTTCGTGAGAGATGGAACGGATACCCAGGTCGGGAACAGATCGTACTCATTCAAGACGGAGACGTCCAGAATATAAGGAAGGTTTTTGGACTTTCCGCGATGGAGGACGGATTGGGTTTCCCCATGTAATTGGCGATTCGTCAACAGCAGAGGAAGACAATTCGATGGGCAGTGTGTGCTGCGCTGCTCATGATATATTTTTGTACTGCTGCGCCATGCCTTATAGTCAATATCGTGGAAGTCGATTCTGTCTGACTTTGACGGATAACTTGGTGGAGTTTGGCGATCACATAAGACTTGTTCAATGATGGACTCTCGGATCTCCAGGGGGAGGCTGAGAAATGAAGGCATTTTCGGATATACTGGATATACTTGTGCAGCTGGAATGGAAAGCGTCTCTACCACGGTTTTTGATCTGCTTCCCACGTGAGATAAGCGAGCCTTAAATGATCCCCGCTGATGTGCTGTTCTTTATCCCTCGCATGAGTGGAGTGAGTGAGATGATCGATTTTATATAGTTGAGAGCCTCAATGCCCTGTGTGATCTCTCCCTCCATATCCATAATACTGAAATATTTCTTGATAGCCTAGGTCGTAGGGATTTATCTATTATAGCCCGAGGATTCAAGTTACTCCTTATATATCAAAGTCCACAAATTTTCATCCGTGCTTATTTATGGTCATCAAGAGTCTGATACAGTTGCTCGTACCGATTCACAGGGCTTCTTTGTCTCGCGGGTGATCTCATCATACCAATAGATGCATATAGACTTGTCTCTGCTAGTGCGGAATTTCGAAAAATACGAACGCCAAAAGTAGTAGATTTCAAGTATACCGGGCCACCAAATTAACCAAATCTTCTTCTGACAGTTCCTTTACTCCAAGCAACCCATTGGCAAGTTTCTGTGGGTCAAACAACCCCCCAAACCCTTCTCCAAAGGCCGCTTGTTTCAGGAAGTGTGTTCTCACGAGAGATGAGTCCGGATGCTCTTTTTGTAGCTCCGCATAGCCCTCGAGCGCCAGCTCTCCAGTCTGGACATTAATCGTGGGAAGAGTCAGACCAGCCAGTTTCAACAACTGACTCTGAGTCAAATCCGCCTCTCGCACATACACCACCGTGTTCCGGGTAGCTTCCAAATTTTTCAAAATGCTCACGACTGCCCTCGCCGCGCCTGAAACCGTGGTGGTGCTGAATCTCTGATGACCGCCATCATAGACCTCGACACCGGACCCGGAGTTTGCACCGGAGAGTTTTAAGAGATGTCCAGACTGCAGACCAAAGTCCAGAAATGGGCCATTGATCAGCAGAGTATAGCTCAGCGACGCTGTGCGCTGACAGATGTCTTTCAAGTGGCGCTGGACATCCACTTTTGTTTGGAAAATCGGCAGCTTGGCCGCGAGGGGGTTGGTCGTGTCGGAGCCGAATTCTGAAGGCAGGATGCGTTGCACGCCTGCTGCGAGACAGGCGTCAATGAGACGAAGATGGACTTCTACTGGCGCCGAGCCCAGTATATTTACCACCACGTCTTGGCCTGTCAGTGCTGCTGTCAGTGAGTCGAGTGACTGGAAGTCGACTTCGGTGACTTTGGCACGCGCGTCCAGTGGCTTTTTGCCGGATCGAGAGAGAATGGTCACTATGAACGAGGGATCTGACAGGAGGGCGTTGAGGATGGCTGGGCCGAGATTGCCGCTTGCCTGTGGGATTAATTGTGAGACATGAAATGGGATGTAGAGAGATAGGGGTGAAGTCGAGCAGTGTTGACTTACCCCGGCAAGAGCTACTCTCACTGTAGTCATATTGATTAGTGTTGTGAATAGGGTCGATGAGTAGGATGATGCTGCGTGTAGATGATAGTTATGTCATTATGCTCTTCTTGGGCCTACCATGGTTCTAGTCCAGCCCTAATTCAATGATATTTCAATGAGACACAATCCAGTAGAAACAACACTGCTAGAGTTTGGCCCGGACTAGGCTCTTATATGAAGACCTGACAATAAAACAGGAGGACGAGGTGGATCAAGATTTCTATCACCCAAGAAAACGCGTATACCAAAGATGTCGAGAACAGAAACGACCTGGTATCCAGATATATAGGAGATCACCACGGCCAGCAACCAGCACGAGCAAAATATTGACAGCGAGCAAGTGGAAAAGATCAAGCATTATACCCCTGACTGAGAAAAAAGAACACACTACAGACACAGTTTCGACCATCAAATGGAGAAGTAAACCGCCGACGCAATTTTCCAAAAAGGGAAAACGAAGGGAATGACTAATCACATGAAAAATAGATGAGTCACCCATCCACGTGACACTACAGGTCTTGGACCCGCGAATTTCCTCATCGCCAGAGCACCGACAGCGATCCCGCCAGACAAGCACAATGGCTAAGAAAGGTGAGTCGCAACCTGATATACTGTGATGGAGCCAATGTATTCGTCGTCCCAATACCCATTCCTTGTCTGGTCTTGCGCAATGGCGAATGGCGGATACCAGGCTGGCACCCAATCCCGATGATGAGATGGGGCATGGAAAGAAATAACTGACGTTCTCTCCCTTGGAAATCTGCAGTCAAGTCCCGTACCACGGCCGTCCGGCTGATATCCATGGCAATGACGGGCTACTATCGCACCCTGATCCGGCCGCGCACGCACCGTCCCCTGAGCATGCTCAAGTACGACCCCGTCGTGAAGAAGAAGGTGCTTTTCCTCGAGGCGACCAAGGGCGGAAAGGCGAAATAGAGAGTCAAGATCAACTATTGGCGGTTCTTCGGGGCTCTCGATTCGAGTTTCTTTACCAATTGTCTGTTACCGCCAATGAGACGGGGAGAACGGGTCTTGCAATGGCTTATTCTCTCCTTGACACTTCGACCCTCTTCTTGTTTCCTTTCGATCATCGGTCCTTGTGCGTGTCGCTGATTCCCCCGTATGAGACACCATCTGTTATCTGTTGCGACCACGGACCGATACTCGAATGCATTGTGAATGCCTCGCAAACTGCGGCGGTGTCGTTTCTTGGACTGCGCCTCCTGTGTACATTATACCTTGGGAGGAGGAAACCAAGGGACCACGGGAAACCGATCCCTCGGTTCTCTTCCCGGATCCTTTCCCTTGATTGGAGCATTGTGTTTGGCGTTGAAGAGCAATACAGCTTTGGGTTTCATTGATAAAATATACATTCCACTTCACCATTTCCTTCTCGTTAGTCTGCATTTTATCGGATGTTTCCACCCTTCGCACTCCTTGGCCAGCCAGCAGAGCTCCGTCAAAGATATTGCTGGCCATGTCACTGCTGTTCCTAAGGATAGCCGGGCAAGCAAGCGTCGTTTCACTCACAAAATCATAAGTAGAGCCCTGGCTGGAAAACTGAATTCGTCGACTCAGACATCTGCCGAAAACTCAATCGTCCTGGCTAAATCGGGCACTGTACCGCTCACCTATCGACTGTTAGCAGGATCAATCATCCCCGACCCAAGGCCATACGTGCCTCGAGATCGACGGCGCTCGCGACCCCGTGTACCACTGGTTCGATTGTCTACATGACTCTTGCTGCTGCCAGCAGCCAGTCCCTTAGGGCTGGGCCGTCGCTCAAAAACTCCCGATGCCTCGCGCTGCTCCCTCACGGACTTGGATTGCGAGACCGCAGAACTCTTGGCCTTGTTGGAACCGTATTGTGAACTTCTTGAGATCTCGCGACTGGTAACGCTGGTAGCCCTGCTAGCTTGAAAGGACATCTGTTGTGCCATTCCGCTCGAATGGTGAATGCGACTGTAGGTCCGCTTGTGCGTGCGCTTTGCCTTCTTGATTGTATCCTCCTTCTCCATTTCTGTGTCTGGCTGAGTTGAGTGTGATGATGAATGACGACTTACCGCTGCTGCGGCTGTGTGTCGCGCTCCCTTGAAACTGACTGCTTTGCGTTTGGTGCCCAGAGTTTCAGGACTTCCAGTGCCACGAGGCAAAGAATTGCTTTGGCTTTGAACTGCCTGTGTCTTGTCACGATTGACTTGACCAGCCATACATTCAAGCCTTTGGCTCGAGGGTGTAGGTTCACGCGGTTTGCTACCTGAATCCATCATCATTTCAGGACTCATCTGACTCATTGGATGCTTCGGGATATTCAAAGGGGTCGAAGGAGCAAGCTCGTCAGGTCCTGACATAAAAAGCATTGCAAAGTCAGTAGCATCGTCGTACTGCGACGAGGCATAGTTCGGCGATAGTTCGCGCTGAACAGTTGCGAATGGGACAATATTGCCAGGTGGAACTTGTGGCTTGGGAATGGTGTCAGGTTGACTGTCGGCAATCACTGATCGCAGGATGTCACCGGGTGCTGGCGAAGACAGTGTACGTGGCTGTATACTGTGAGTTCGATAGATGAGCTCGGTAGTTTGAACCATGCCTTGAGGAGATCCGCCCCTAGGCTTTGGTGTTGAAGCCAGTGCAGGAGTTTGACACACTGTTACATCATTGCAATTTGCAACTGGTGTGTTTGGTGAGTTCTTAAAGGCATTTTTGGCCATTGCAGCTTGCAAAATGATTTCGAATTTCCCCCAACTTTCTTCAAAGGGTTCGTCTGAATCCACGACGGCCAGCTTGGTCAAGGTGTGTTGGATAGTCGTCTGCCAACGTTCCGCTTCTTGCACTCGATGAAGGAGCGAAAGTATCTCGGCTTTCGCCTTTTCCTTGCCTGTTCCAAAATTCGAAATAGCTGAATTCGCCGCTGCTAGACTTTTTCCCATTTCTCGCAGCTCTTCACTTTTCTGGGAGATAACTGATTCCAGGACTGTGATCTTCGATTGCAGTTCCTCCACTTCCTCGAGTGTTTCGACTTCAGTTTTCGAACCCAGCCTTTCTTCCAGTCCACGAATCATCTCACTTGATTGTTGCAGCCCATCAAGGAGAGACTCTTTCTCAGCCTGCAGAGCAGTCGCTGATTCTTGATGGAGTCGTATCTCGTTTGCTTGATCCTCAATCTGGGCAGCGGATTGGGCAGCGGATTGTGCTAAAGCCACTTGGAGGTCTTGGATTTGTTGGTGCATTTCCTGAAGCTATTATTCTTAGCAGGAGTGAATAAAATCTTGAGGCAAACTCACCAAATTTTCCTTTTCCTCCCGCTGAGTCTCAGCCAGGCCTTGAGCTTTCGTCTTCAGTCTGTCAGTATCAGCGTTTCCTTTTCGAGGAATGCCGGGGCTTACCAAAGACACTTGGGCATCTGCAAGACCTGCGGCAAGGGCCTGAGAAGCCTTTTCAAGACCAGCATTTTTCTCTTCGAGTATGTGAAGCCTCTGTTCATAATCAGCCCTTGTCTCCTCTTGTGAGGCAGTTTTCGCTTTGCTTAGTTCTTCCGGAAGGCGTTGCTCGTTTGAAAAAAGTTCATGTTGCAAGGTCGTCTTCTCGATTTCCAGCTCCGTGTTTCGATCATCAGCTTTTCGTTCTCTGTCGACGGCTGCTTGTAGGGAGAGGCGGAGATCTTCATTGGCAGCCTCCTTGTCACCAAACTGTTTGCGAAGTGATTCGAGCTCGATAGAAACCTCTTGTAACTGAAGCTGTAGCTGAGTATTTTCATCGAATTTGCTTGACAATTCCAGTTCCAGAATGGGGTTTGTCACTGGTACTTGAGCCTCAGCCAACCTTTCTTCCAAGCCTTTCATTCCATGAAGAAGGCTGTGCCCGGTGTTTGAGATTGCCTTCACAGAAGCATCAAGGCTATCAAGACTAGGTTGAATAATGTAAAGCCTTTCTTGAATGTCGGAGTACACCTTTTCGCTGCCAACAAGTTGTTTGAAGAACGATGATTCAGGACCAAGACTGCGTTCGACTGACTGCAGGTCTTCCTTTAGACTTTTGGATACCTCGAGATTGGTTTCAGAGCTTCTCTCCACAATCTTCGAAAACTGATCCGCGATGGAATCGATGCTGCAGTCAGCTGTTAGATCATTTCTTCATGCAACATGGCCTAGGAGTCAAATTCCTACCGAGACGCCAGTCTTTGAGTACTGGCTGTGAACTGCTCGACTTCCATTCTTTCGGCGGAACATTTTTCATCCAAGGCTTGAACCGACGAGACACATCTGTCTAGTACTGGGCTGATTTGCGAGATGATAGCATCTTGGGACTCAGATGAGCACCCAGTGATTAGCTCAAATACAGAGTTGAGCTTCTCGATCAGATTTTGCTGGTGATCCCAGACAAGGGATAGCTGTCTGGTTTGATTTCGAGAAGAATTCTGAATGTACGACTCCAGAACCGAGACCCGCCTCTTTTCTTCGGAGAGTTGCATCCTGGTGCCTTTCTCACTTTCCTCCGACTTGCATAATGCTTGCTCCAGGATGACAATACGGCCTTCGCATTCAACTATTTTCTTTTGCTGGCTGCCTGAGTGGTCCTTTGCTTTGGAGACCTGCACTTTCATCTCACCGATGCTCTGCTCGATTTCAGACTTTTCCATCCCCAGAGAAGTGGCGGTGGTTTTGAATGTGTTCATCCGTTCTCTGAGGACATCGTAGTCTTGTCCCAGCTCATTGACCACTTGCTTGAATTTGCTCAGGCTCGCCTTCCAGTTTTTCATTTGCGTTCGATGAGCCTTTGCGTCCGATGATTTCTTCCGCAGCTGTGTGTTACAGGTAGCGAGCTGGTCTCTCAATGTTTGATTGTCCTTTAGCAGTTCGGAGTTTTCGCTTTCGATTTGTTCTTGAATTTCGGCAGCTCTGGCTTCAATTTCTTCGCGTTGTCTGATTCTGGCGATAAGTAGTTCAAAGAGATCATTTTCGGTGAGCTGAACACCAGGTTTGTTGCTCGGTATCAATGTTTGCATCTCGGAACCCTTATGCTTTCGGTTGTCACAGCGTCGCTTTGAGACCCGCAATCCATCGTTTGTAGGCACCGAAGGAACCCGCGAAGAGGATCGAAGAGAGATGTTTGAGTCGATTCTTTGGGCCTTTCTGATTGGGTTAGATTTGGAAAAAGTGCGAGTAACAAGTCTGGATTTCGCAGAGTCCAGTCGTTGGCAGGAGTTCACACCGGTAGACCCGGGTGACTGAATCTCGACATCTGCTACGTTCAACTCCGGTGGTATCATATTGCTTGCTCTGCGAGAGGGTACTGAAGCATGTTCTTGAGGAGAGGTCCTGTCTAAATCATTGCTTGCACTCGCCGCGTGATGCGTATCACATTCATTGATGAGAGTGGATTCCATATTCATTGCAGAGGTTGGTTGCTCTGGAACTGATATCTGTTTGCTTGAACCACGATTCTCGAGGGGGCTCTGTTGTGACTCGAGATAGGAACGAAAGCAGCTATGACGAGAAGGCCACAAGATTTTAGCTATATGAACTGTTTGCATCAATGGCAGGGCATCTTACCGTTCCATTGATGGTGACAGCTGATCATCGTTCTTGTTCTCTGTTGAGATACCTACAGGTTGACTGCTGTCCGATGATACCGATGCGAGGGGGATCGGCTTGATGGAGCCTCGCAATGCAAAGTCCTGCCGACGAGGGACAGGCTTGAAGGCGAACCCTGAGATGTTGATTCCAGAGCTGCGAGGACGTTGCATGAGCATGGACTGGATCTCTTGAGAGTCAGGCCGTGGCTGGGTGTCTTGTGGCAGAATGCCGGAGTTGTCCCTTTCCATGATCACTGAAATTGATGTTTGAATTTGATTGACAGGAATCAGGAAGGACGGCAAGGAGGGAGATGAAAAGACAATGGATGGTGATGGAAATGAAGGCACGTCCAGGTGTCCCGTGACTGTCCTAGCCCGAATATATTAAACACTGCGGACCACCGACGTCCTCGTTTCCCTTGGTTTTGAACTGCACAAAATATAGGGTCTGGTGTCATACAGAGAAGGATTGTATTGGAGCATGAATGAAAACACTATGGTACCGATATCACCGCAAGCTTCCACGTCCCATACACCTATTGGTGCTAATTGCGAAGTAGAAACTCGACGGACTAGTCATGAGCTATGTTTTGAAGAAACCAAAGTTGGCAATAGATGTCATGGTTTTATGCCAGGGCTCATGACAATAGGGGATTGAAAAAGATTTCCGAGCAATATCCCTTTTGCAGAAAAGAAATAGAGGCATTTCCATGTCACTGGGATTCCAGGCGTGGAGTCCACACAGCCAGTGCCGAAGAGTGGGCCGTTTATTTTACGTGCAGTGCCAGGAGACATGAGACAGGAGTCCGGCGTGTTGCATATTCATTCCACTAGATGTCAGACTAGACCGCCAAGTCATGCGCGGGAATGGTCTGATGCAGCCGAGACCGGTTCCAGATTAGTTGAGTGTATATTCGAGGTGGCGACTCAGTCATCCAGGGAGTGTTGGATAGTCCTGATTCAAGAAGAGGCACCAAGGTTTCAGCAAAGCCGACGTCCACTTGAAACGACCGGTCTCACCAAGGCCGCATTTTCTTTGTCAGGGCCCAGTTGATGGCCCTTGTCTGCAGGGATCTCACATATTGCGGAGCCTATATGAGTCTGTTTATAAACTTAGTGCAAATTCTTAGTGAGTGTCAGCTGGTCAAGACATCTTGGCTTGGCAATTATGCGGTATGTATTCCGCTGCAGCCACCGCGAGTTTAGGACGAAAATGCCCAAAAAAAAAAAAATATATGCAGGGGGGGGGGGGGGGGGGAAAGCCGAGATTTGTCTCCCCACCAGACGCCGTCGAATGTTCTGCAGGATTTCTGTGCGACTTAGGGCGGTCAGGCAACGTGGCGGCCACGAAGTCGCGTGGCGAAGGGGACAAGTCACTGCAAGATGATGTGGCTTGGTTGGCTGGATCGAAAACTGTATATCCAGTAATGACGATCTCTGAGCATTTCTCGGCTCTGACAGGCCCTGGCATCTCAGACCAAAGCAACTAAGAGCCGGGATCCAATGCTCCCATTTGGCGTTTGTCCAAATAGCGATCTGCTTGAGAATGCCTCCCCACCGTTTCAGGTTTCCATGTGGATGTAGTGCAGAATCCAGACATCCAATGGCGAGTGTTGCGAGTCGCCCCAAGCCGGGCCTCCAAGTGTTGACCCTCTTGTCCACTTCTCAGTATCACACTCCCATTCCTTGTGTGGGTCCACACGGTCAGCATGCCCAAGTGGTATCTCGAGATTCTTGTTCCTTGGGGCCCAAGAAGGTGATCAGACCTCGTACAGGCGCGCCGTTAGAACGCTTGTCAAGTGCCTCCACCAGAGCTAGCCTGAAAGGGTCGAAGTAGGTAGACTGGACCGTAGGGTGTAAAAAGAGTCTTCGTCTCCCTTCCTCAGTGGGACGCGTGATTGGCCCAGGGTATATTGCCGGTGTGCCAGACCGCTCTCTTCCCCTTTCTTTGACGATCGCCTCAAGAGACACTTCAAAGCCCCCAGAAGAGAAAAAAAGAATTATTGAGTGAAAATTTTCTGAATCGCCTGTTGGATCTGAGTCCAGTTGCCGTGCCTCTGCAACCTTTTTGGCTCCCGTGGGTTGCTGAACCGCCGTCTTTTTAATCCCCACGCCGCGCTCTGGGATCTCCCGGGTCACCTTTTCCTCAGTGCTGGACGGAAGTTCAGACTGCTTTTTTCTTCCCCGTCGCCTTCTAGACGGGCTGTCTCCGATTGTCTTGGTGTCTGGTCGTGCATTTCTACCTGGACGTCCCCCGATCGTCTTGCGCCCGCTCTGAAACACCTTACCCCTCGCCTTGCGATTCTGCCCTCGGAACAATCGCCATTTCCCCATGGACTGCGTGATTTGAACTCGATTCTTAATCCAATTTCCTCTCTGTGACTTCCTGTCGCTCGACACAATCGCTTCGGACGCACTCGCGGTTCTCTGGACAAGTGGGATGTTGCTGAGAAGTTACTAGTCGAAACCCAATCCTTCGGCCAGCGCTCGATTCCCCCAGCATGGGAAACTCGCAAGGGAAACAGGTGGCGTACGACGATGCTGGTATGTTGCCCCGACTATGATATTCGAAAAGATGGAGGAAATTTGCGGTTTCCTGGGCCCGGAGCTGGTCAAGACAACAGCTGACGAATATGCGTCTTGCCAGTCAACCTCAACCACTTCCGCCTTCTACGGGTGGTAGGCAAAGGTGCATTTGGAAAGGTTCGCATCGTCGAAAAAAAAGACACCGGTCTCACATTTGCGCTCAAGTACATACGGAAAGAAGAAGGTGTGTTGCGTTTTGAATACTTGACTGGAACGGCTACTGACATTGAGCCCAGTGGTTCGCTCGGAGAGTGTACGGAACATCATTCGTGAACGCAGAATGCTGGAACACCTGAATCACCCGTTCCTCTGTAACTTACGGTATAGTTTCCAGGACATGGAATACATGTGAGTCTCGTCAAGTCCTGGTTGGAAGCCCAATTGCTGATAGTAATCCAGTTATATCGTGGTCGACCTGATGAACGGTGGTGATCTTCGATTTCATATCTCCCGAAAGTGTTTTACAGAAGAGGCAGTGCGGTTTTGGATGGCTGAGCTGGGTTGCGCCTTGAAGTATATCCACTCACAGGGTATCATTCACCGCGATCTGAAGCCGGACAATGTACTGTTGGATTCGGAAGGCCACGTTCACCTGGCTGATTTTGTATGTGAATTGGGTGATGGTTGGATTGCTTTTTGGAGAACTAACCGTGGTTGTCTAGAATGTGGCATCCGATTTCCGCCCCGGGAAGCCTCTGACAAGCAAGTCGGGGACATTGGCCTACCTCGCCCCCGAAGTGTACGAAGGAAACGGCTACTATTATGAGGTGGACTGGTGGTCATTGGGCGTCACCTTCTATGAGTGCATCTACAGCAAGGTAAGCGGCCCTCTCACCCCACGTCGGGTCCATTCTAATTTTTTTGATCAGCGACCGTTCGAAGGCCGCAGCCAGGATACCTTGAGCGAAAACATTCGAAAAACCCAACCGAAATACTTCGTCACCAACCCCGCCGTCTCGGTGCCGTGCCTACGGGCGTTGGCAGCGTTGATGGAGAAAGACCGAACCCGGCGAATTGGAGCGGTCAGCTTCGAAAGCTTTACTTCACATATCTTCTTTGGGGACATCGACTTTGAGGCGTTGGAGCGGAAAGAAATTCCACCCGTATTCCGGCCGTCCAGCGACAAGACAAACTTCGACGCAACTTACGACTTGGAAGAGCTGCTACTGGAGGAAGCACCCTTGGAAGCCAGAGCTCGCAGACAAAAACCTCGAGCCGAACTGCGAGAAGATGCCACCGCCAAGGAAATCCGAGAGGATGAGCTTCATCGTTTGATCGAGACCATGTTTGAACCGTTCGACTACACCACCGTTGACTTCCAGGGCAAAGCTGCGGAGGCTATTGCTGCAGCGACGTAAGTCTGAGTGTCGAAGCATTCCCAGTCTTTGTTTTCTCGTTCTGACGCTTGTTCCAGGAACCCGGAAGACTGCCTTCCTATCGCTAGGTCGGCCTCCCACGCCCGACGACCTTCTCAACCCGGATCCTCTGTCAAAAACTCGCCTCCGCGTAGTGAGCCATCCATTCGAAGACTTCCAAATGAGACCCTGGCTACGACCAGCTCAGCGCTCGACCCGAACGACAATGCGTCCCTTCCACCACCACCTTCACCTTCCACTCGTGCTTCCGGCTCTCCACCACCCGCCCCGTCCTTCCACCGACCATTGCCCCCGACCCCCGGCCTCGCGGAGCCACACGCCAAACCAGTAAAGGCGGCGGCGTACAAATGGTACTTGATGAATCCGGCAGCTGGAGTGAGCTGGCCAACCACAGCTACACCCTTCCTGCGGAGGGACTAGAAGGTGGCGGCGAGAAGAGCAAACCCAACAGTGGCATGCTATCGTTTTTGAGTCGCAAGAAGGGCCGCGACCGCAGCCCCAAGCCCACCGAGCCAGGTGTTCTAGGCAAAGAAGGTGCTCGGCAGATCATCAGCTGAATAAAGCTTCCTTGAGGGAGAAGACCGATGCCACCGAGATATCGTTGGGTGACTGGGCAAACAATAATGTCTGTTCGTCCAGCCTACTCGATATGACCATTGTGTGTGATTTCCACCGTCTCTGCGTGGCAGGTCAGCTCAGCAGCGAGGACTATCAAGTGTTGTGCCCACAGGGGATTGTGACTCGTATCCTTTCGATAACTTCCTGACTTGGTCCAGTCTATTTGCCTGGGTGCCACCACCAGCTTGATACTACTCCTATGGCTTCACGACAACCGCCAGACATTAGCAGATCCTTGGGGAGATCCCCAATGGCTGCCATATCACCATTGTTGCATGCTTTCTATTCCGCATTGATTCCTGCAGGACGGGCAGGGCTACTGAACCCATTTTCCTTTTTCTAGATTCCCCGGGCTCAGCGAGAATTTGATTTGTGTTCTTGTTCATTACCATTTCCTGATTCCCCTTTTCATTGCAGTGTGGTGCAGATCACTTTCACGACCATGCCCACCCAGTCATCTCTTTGGCATGCTTTCTTGGAGCTCTGTGCGTTGTCTTTTCTTTTTCTTTTCTGTGTTTCCTTTGTCAGTTTGCATACCCTGAGTCGTTGATGGCCGTGACGGTTTCTTCCTGTGATTAGAGTGAACTGGAGCATGGATTCTGTGTCTAGCATGTGGAATAGTACTTAATGTCTGTACTGGGTGCCATGTAAATTGAGTGCGTAGGGACATGGGGTTTACTAGATACTCCCAAGGTCTGATTTACATATCGGTGATTATCAGAATCTCCCGTTGTGGTTGCTCCGCAACAGCTCCACTGTCAACATGCAAACCTTATATATACCCTTGATTATAAGAAAAGGTTTATTGGAGTAAATATACAAGTAAACTAGACTCCTTGCCCAACCTATTCCCACGTAGACCGGGGCATACAATGAGCTGTGCGCAAGCCCTGCTCGTGTGCGCTGGGATTGTTGATGTCTCACTCGCGCGGGGGAAAAGCAAAACAAACCAGGAAGATCCTCGGGGAAAACACAGCATTGACAAAGTACAGGTTTGCACTTGCAATCCCAGCGGACCTCGACCTCAATTCTCTCTGCTTGTGGAATCTCCAATCCTCGTGGCACTAGACACGTTTCGCCAGCCCACGCGCGCAGCCCCGAGCCATTCCATTCCCCCCCACTCATTCTCCCTACACCGATCTTCCCCCCCATCTTCGAATCCCCAAACAAGGAAACAGATCGGCCATTCCCATCACGTCGCATATTTCGGATCAGCGGGAAAAGTCTCCGCCCATTACCCCCGATCCTAAAAGTGTGGGGGACTGGGATGCCGGGCCAATCCCACAGCCGGGACCGGCACAGCGACCGGAAACGCACACGCGAGCGCGAGTATATCCGCGGGCGGTACGAGGATGGCGACGAAGGCACGACATCCAGCCCTAGTAATGCCCGCAGCGGCAAGTACCAATTCGGGCAAGGCGAATCCGGTTACGATTCGTACGACTACGGGGAACGGGACGAGGAAGACGAAGATGCCCTCTACGAGGAGGAGAGACGGCGGCGCGAACGACGTGAGAGGCGCCGACGTCGCGAGGAAGAGCGGGGATATGCAGATCCGATTAAGGGGCGGCGCAGGGAGAGCTCCAAGGCTAAGGAGTCGCCTGCGACGTCGCCGATTAAGAGGCGCGATCGGGAGCGCGATCGCGATGGGCATCGGCGGCGTCGAGGGGACGCCGATGAAGGGAGTCCTGTGAAGGATTTGCGCGACAGGAGATATCGGTCTCGTGGTGATGAGAATGAAGAGCGTGAGCGATCGCGCGATGTGGATGCGGAGGAGCGCCGGCAGAGACGTCGTGAGCGAGAGCGACAACGAGAACGAGACAGAGTCCGCGAACAGGACCTGGAGGCGGCTGCTGCTGTTTCGGCGGCGCGGAAGCACCAAAGCACCGAGTCTGCTAGCAGTGCGTCACATCTTTTGAGTGCAGATGCGCTGGCGCGACTGGCGTCTGAGCACGAAGATGAAGATCGTCGCGAGCACCCTCGTGCGCGTGATTCTCCTCGCAAGGACCGGCGCCAGCGCAAACGCGCTGCCGTTGAGGGTGCAGCGGCAGGTGCGCTTGGTGGTGAGCTGGTTGAAGGGAGATCACGGCACAAATCTGGCGCTCGGGTCGTGTCTGGCGCGTATCTTGAGGAAGGTCGAAGCCCCGATATGAGAATTCGACATCGTGGCGGTGGAGGCCCGGCGATGGAAGACCATTGGTATAAAGAAGGGAGCTGGGACGGGACCGACGAAGGCAGCACTGGGCCGCCGGCTTGGAAATTCTGGTCATCTTGGTCAAGAAAGAAACGGCTCTGGGTTGGAGCGATAGTCGCGGTGATTCTGTTGCTTGCCATATTCATCCCAGTCGGCGTGGTGGTCTCGAAGAAGAAGGGCTCGGATTCCGACTCGAGCTCTGACTCTGGACCGGCCAATTCAAATCTCAACGAGATCAGTCGGGACAGCATTCCTGTAAGCTTATTTTGAAGCAAGCCACCTCACGGATAGATGCTGACGATTCACTCTCCAGGCTGACGCAAAGGGTACTGTCCTGGACCCCTTCACATGGTACGACACCGAGGGCTTCAATGTCACATACACCAGTCACACGGTGGGTGGGCTGTCGGTGATGGGCATTAACTCGACCTGGGACGACTCGGCCCGACCAAATGACAAGGTCCCCCCTCTGAACGAGCCCTTCCCGTACGGCTCGCAGCCTATCCGCGGAGTGAATGTCGGCGGGTGGCTGTCAATTGAGCCGTTCATTTCGCCGTCATTGTTCGAGCGTTACTCGTCTCAGTCCAATGTTATCGACGAATGGACCCTGAGCGAGAAGTTAGGAGACTCCGCAAAGAGGACGATTGAAAGGCACTATTCGAGCTTCATCACCGAAAGTGATTTTGCCGAAATCAAGGACGCCGGGCTGGACCACGTTCGCATCCAGTATTCCTACTGGGCCGTAACAACCTACGATGGTGACCCATACGTGGCCAAGATTGCATGGCGTTATCTCCTCCGTGCCATCGAGTGGTGTCGGAAATACGGGTTACGAGTGAACCTCGACCTCCACGGTGTGCCCGGCAGCCAAAATGGGTGGAATCACAGCGGTCATCAAGGGAAGATCAACTGGATCATTGGAACAGACGGCGCCCTGAACCGGAAGCGATCACTCGAGGTCCACGACCAACTATCAAAGTTCTTCGCGCAGGACCGGTACAAGAATATCGTGACCATCTACGGGCTGGCCAACGAGCCCTTTCTGATGTCGATGCCTGTCGAAAAGGTGCTGGACTGGACCGACGAGGCAGCCAAGCTAGTCCGCAAAAATGGCATCAATGCCACTCTGGTTCACCACGATGGGTTCCTTAACCTGGATAAGTGGAAGCATATGTTCAAGGATCACCCGGATAACATGTACCTGGACACGCACCAATACACGATCTTCAATACTGGCGAGATCGTGCTGAACCACACGGCCAAGGTGGACATTGTCTGCAACAGCTGGCACCCGATGATCAAGGAGATCAACACCACTAGCAAAGGGTATGTATTGATAGTCCACATCCCTCCCACTGCATTTCTTCTCTTCCTCGGTGCTTTTTGCTAACTTCACTTCTCAGATGGGGCCCTACCATCTGCGGTGAATGGTCCCAAGCTGACACCGACTGCACCAAATACCTCAACAACGTAGGCCGCGGCACGCGCTGGGAAGGGACATACGACCCCAAATCCACAACTGCGTATTGTCCAACCGCTGACAACGGTCCATCCTGTAGCTGTGCCAACGCCAATGCCGACCTCGCCGACTACTCGGACGACTACAAGAAGTTCCTGCAGACTTATGCGGAGGCGCAGATGTCTGCGTTCGAGACTGCCCAGGGCTGGTTCTACTGGACGTGGCGTACTGAGTCGGCGGCGCAGTGGAGCTATCGCACGGCGTGGAAGAATGGGTTTATGCCGAAGAAGGCATATTCGCCTGCTTTCAAGTGTGGGGACTCGATTCCTGATTTTACAGGGCTCAAGGAGTATTATTGAGCTTGTATGTGTATATGGCTTACTGTACATTGGATACCATGGAAATATGATGAATGATTTTGATATGGCTTTTTCATTCTGGATTTCAGGGTTTTTGACTTTGCTTCGCATGATCTCGCGCTTCAGCTCTCCAAGCTTCTCTGGTACAATACCACTAAGTTCTGGATTTTACCTCATGCAAGAAATCATCAAGAGCTGGACCCCCCAAGGCCATCCCCATTAATACCACCCCGCTGAAACCAGCCGCCCTGCTCCCACATTCCGGGCTGGTACAAGCAAGCACTGCGCATGGCATCGGACTTGACACCTCCAAGTAGCGTATGAACACGTTGGAAGTCAATTGGCTTCATGATCCATCCGTCAAATCCAGAGTCAATATACGTCTGGCGGTCCTTCTCGACTAGAGAAGCAGAGACTGCGAAGACAGGAGTACATGCATCTTTTGCTAGCGACTGCTCCTGCTCGTACTCGCGGATCATCTTGGTGGATCCTATACCATCGACTATGGGCATCTGTGCGTGAAGTATTAGAATTAGCTGAGACTCTGCCGTTTGTGCCTTTGATCTCTGATGCGTAGTATAGATATATGATTTGATAAATAGAAAAACTTACTTGCAAGTCCATCAGCACCGCATCAAGTGACTGAGCGTCTTCGCGGTAGACGGATGCGCATTCTTTGCCGTTGCTCGTCAAGCGTACCGAATGCCCGAGCTTTTCGAGGCGCTTCTTGATGATGGTGCTGTTGATTGGGTCGTCTTCGGCTACTAGGATATGCAGCTTGTACTCTTGAGGCTTGTTGTCATTCTCCTTGGGATCTTGTGGTGCATTTCCCCTCGTTTGGGCCGTGGTCGGAGATTGAAATGCAGCTTTCGTTGCTTCGTCTAGATCCTTTTTTTCTTGGGTTGTTGGAGCCGGTAGGCCCTGATGTGTTGGATGAGCATTGGAACCCTTAGATGGAGTTTGGAACCGATCCTGTGGTTTGGGAAAGGTGTGTTGCTTTGGCTTGAGGGACATTTGTCAGTGCTTACAAGGTGCCAGGGTAGATATTTCTTAGAAACTTACTCTTTCTGTGCTGGGAGTTCCATCTCTTTGCGTCCCAGATACAGGAAGTACCATGTTCTTCGACTCTCCCGTCTTCAAGCCAACATCAATCTCCACGGATGCATCTTCTTGACCAGGCCCGTAGTCTGCAGGATCACCACAACGGCACGTAATCCCATTATTCTCCACGGGTGATTTTATGTCTGAGCTGCTGTATGATTGTCCCTGTACTTGATCACACGATGCAGCATTGGATGGAGGGTCATCCGAGCCCGTCTCACCATTTGGTTGTGAGCTTGGTGCCGAAGTCGAATGGACAGGAACTTGATCGTTGCCATCGGGGGGCAAAGGGAATTTAAGGCGGATCTTAAAGCAGCTCCCCTTTCCCTCCTCCGACTTTAGACTGAGCTGTCCATTCATATTTCGCACGATCCTTGCAACCAATGCCAGCCCCAGCCCAAGGACACTTTCAGTTTCTGAGCTCGCACTGTCTGATGGCTGCATATAGGGTCTGGGACTTTGCATATAGCCCTTGTGCGAGACCTGCTCCAATTCACAGAAAAGCGTCTCCACGGTCTCCTGAGACATTCCCGCCCCAGTATCGTGGATGGCCACCTCCATAAGAATGTGTCCCGGCTCCAAGCAATCAGAGGGGATACAAGACTCGATTGTGACAGCGCCAGCAGAAGTGTGCTGGATAGCATTGCTGATGAGATTGGTAATCACCTGGCGCACGCGTCTCTGGTCTCCCAGGACCGGGGGCAATGCCGAGTGCTGCACTACCTGTAGGTCCACATGCTTTTGTCGTGCCTCCTCCCAGAAAATGTCGGTAGCCTCGCAGAGGGTATCAGCCAGGTTGAAGACCTCGTCTTTGATCAGCTTTTGTCCGTTTTCGGCATTGGTCAGGTCGAGGAGGTCGTTGATAATGTAGATCAGGGACTTGGAAGCCGAGTGCGAGCGGGACAGGTTCTCTCGCGTCTCCTGGTTCAGTGCGCCGTCAAGCGCGATTTCGAGGTAGTTGATGATGGCGTTGAGCGGCGTCCGGAATTCGTGCGCGGAGTTGGCTAAAAGAAGCCTCATGAGCTGGTTGTTTTGCATTGTCGCCTCTTTCTCTTGCCAGACCTCGGTGAATGTGCGGTACAGAAGAGACAGCATCGACGCCTTCCCAAACTCCGCAGCTGACCATTCGTTCTGTCGACTGGGAGTTCCTGTCGCTCGTCTCTGATTGTTGACAGTATCTCGCCCTCCGCCGGGGTCAGGGGCATCTCGCTTCTCTTCCAAATCAGCACGAAACAAAATAATAAAATCGTGGCCGTCGGCTGACAGTGGTATATACAGCAGGCCGGACAAATGATGGAAGCCTGGCGGGTAGCTGAGGTCCTGGAAGTCGGCTGTGATATCCGTGGACCATAGCACTGTGTCGAGGTTCTTTGCTCTCAAATATTCGAGCAAGGCTAGCACTTCTTGGGAGTCAATAGGCTTACCCAAGATCTTGATCTCTGACAGAATGGATGCCGCAGCGTAATTAGCCCCAAAGAGTCCAAGGAGATCAACCGAGGGAGTCTGCACGTCTTGTGTGAAATTCGCTTCAGAGGGCGATGGCTTCTGTTCTTGTGGTTGAAAAGGTAGAGTATAGGAAAGCCGTTCGATGTTGCTGGAGATGGCTTCTCCCAGAATCCAAAACACTTTTTGAAGGAGCGGGTGGAGTCTTGCGTTTTCATAGGATTGACATAACACAAAGCCCCAAAGCTTTCCAAAGACCTTGACGCGAATAGAGAGCCATGCTTTCACAGGCGTCATGGTAGAACAATTGGAGGGCACGGAGGATCCCAGGAGATAGCAGTGGGACGTGTCCAGACCTATTTTCTGCGCTGGTTCGGAATAAACCAGTTCAGATGAAGTTCTGGTCTTGCTATATGAGAGGCGGACTAGTTGTCGACAGTGTAGATCCTTCAAATTCTCTATGAATGTTGCCTCTTGGCTCTGGATGTTCTCGCGTACTGCATCGGCAACGATGATGCCATTTTGATCACCATCAAGATGGTACATCGTTGTGCGGTCGAATTGGGTCAATCCCTGTAAAGTAGCGACGGTATGCTGCACCAGCGCTTCCAACGTTTGGGCACCTGCAATTTGCTGCAAAATCTGTGGGAGAGAATTGAGGATTTCAGTAGAGTCTAGCGCGTAGCTAGTCACAATGTCTCGAGATCCTCTGGGTTGCTGGGGCTTGCTGGCCGAAGAGTCATGCATAGATGGTCTCTGCTCTTTGCAACCCTGGACGCCGATGGCATCTGAGAGTTCGCAAGAATTGCAAGTATCGAGCTCGAGTTCGCAAATGACATGGTTTGCATATTCTTTTGTTGTATGCATAGTACACCAGAGGTTCCGAGGCATGTTGTCCGAGTCAGATATACGTAGCCGGAATACCTCGGGACCGGACCGTTCAACATCGTACTCTGTGTCCAGAACGAACCTGGCATGGGCGAGGAATGTCTCTTTGTGTGATGGTGTCATAAGACTGCAGAAGGTCTTCATTTCGAATAGCCGGCCAGTGGAATAGCCCATTATGTCCTCGGAGTTGCCGCTCGCAACTCGCACTGGCAGATCATCATCGGATCTGGAAACGACAAGCAATGCTCCAAATTGCTGGATTGCTGTTGACTTGTCATCGGACAGGTTGGAGATATTGGTTCTCGGTTTCTGGGCATCCATGGACTCCTTCCTCTCTTGCAAAGCATTGTGCGGGTGCGCCGAAAGACTAGGTGTCTCACTGGAATGACTGTAGCTAAGAGTTTGCGTCTTGGACTCGGACGACCGGGGCGTAGGGTTAACCTCTGGAACATTTGCCGACGATGAAGAACTGCTCCCAAGCTCGCTTCCTTGCTGATACATGCGAGAAAGATGATCCGGTCTCTTCGAGACAGCCGGCTGCTCAGCGAGATCTTTCACACTAACACCCAGAGATGGAGCAGCGTTCTTCTCTTCCGCCAACGCCGCAGTCCAAAAAGCATCCGTGAAAGGCGACACAGGACTCTCAAGTTTATCCAACGAAGGGGTCTGCAACGCAGACGAGGGCGTAGAATCAAACGAAACGACCGAGCGGACAGGGAACAACCTTTCTGCGGTATTGGTGCCGAGTTGCGGCAGCTTCAGCTTGGGGGAGACGAGCTCCGACACGGTCGAGATCTCAGTCTTGGTGTCAGATAGGATGCACATCGACTTGGGGATCGACAGCGTACGGGCCAGCGTGCGCCTGTCGTCGGACAGTTTGTCTCTCGTCTTGTCGTTTTCGCCATCGTAGACGACGGACCAGTCGCCGCAGCTGCTGAGGTCGGAGGGCGAGCTCATTTCCTTTTTTTTCTGGTTTCGGAGCTGCGGGTTTCGTGAAATCTGTCCTGGGATGAACGATGCACTCAGAAGACCACCGCGATGGAGCTACCACGGCAGGATGTACCCTTAACGATAGTGGGAGTAAAATAAACCAGATCAATAAACAAATTCAACATAAACCTCTGGCGGGAGAGGCCTGGAGCCATAGAGGAAGACGAAGGAGACCAACAGTGTACAAGAAGAAGAAGTGACAGGAGTATACCGAACAACAGTCTCCCATAAGACCCTCTCACCCATTGATCATTCTCGCCCCTGAGAACCAGAAGTATATATTCCCGTCGCAATCTTTCTCCAGACCATTTCCACCTATCAACACACAATCCACACACCAGGAAAGACTTTCCACGAGGCACGAATGTTCGGTTGCTTCGTCTGGTTCGCCAGGGACTACCATCGGAAGTGCACTCGCAATCCTTGAACCAGACAACGAGAAGCCATGGGTGGTCCTGCTAGGCAAGAGGTATTCTTCTCCATCATATAGGCATGGCCATAACCATAAGTGAGATGGGGAAACAACCCTGATAGGGTGAACGGTAGTGTCATAGATGTGGGGTAGGTATCGACTGAGCTTATTCGAAACAAGCTTACTTTTAGCTCCACCATTTATTTTACTTTGAGACCTGCATGAGTTTAGCGATAATCCTTCCCCTGTCCTGTGGTTCTGGCGCGGAATGACCGGATCTCATGCTGCACCCCTGAACCTTGATGTTTAATGTCCTTGACTGCTTTCAGTAGTCTCGTATTTACGGTAGCCTTTGATGGGTTGTATACTTGCCATTATCTTCCGGTATCAAGTGGCATATCGTCTAGCAAGGCAAATTCACTAGTAACACCGGGTACGCCACAGAGTCCCAGGCAAGAAAGGACCTTGCCGCCATTACTATCCCAGATAAATTCGCCCAACTCTAACTTCATTCCCGGGCGAGTGTTCCGGGCCGCCCGCTCCGCCGGAGAGACCTACCAGGTCCGAGATTGGGTTGTGATGTGACTCGCGGGCCTGTTTTCCGGATACATGGGCAGCGCTTTCTCGACCATGACCCAATGTAGCCTTGAGCCTTGGTCTCGTGCTGTCCATTCCAGGGGAGGGCAGATGCAGGTTTGCCGGGCAATTGGACTCAAGCGTGGACACAACAGCATGAAGTTGGCTTTAACTTGGCCATATATATATCTGAATTCTAAGTTGAAAATAAAATCGCAGTCGCGATTTAATCCAAGTTTCTCAAACAAGAGGGCAAATATGCAACAAGAAATGGAATGAAAAGTACCAAAACCAATCGTTTACTCATAACACCTGAACATTTCTACCTATATTCCAAACGTTCCATGCCAGCATGATCAAACCCCGCCCATACTTTCCAATCAAAACGCCACGAGCATCTAAGCCTATTCCAGCTCATGAACAAATAGCATCATATTACCAGCGTCGCCCGTATACCGAGTCTTCGGTTCGCGGCCGCTGAGTTTGGTTATGACGAGGTCTATCACGGGGCTGAGACGCCGATGAAGATTGAGAGGTCTGAGAATTCCGAGAAGAGGGCTGGGAGTCTTCTGTAGAGCTCAAAAGCCGGGTGGGCTGCTTGAAATCGAGCGTGCCCTGCTTGTCGGTATATCCAGACTCGGCATCGCGGCCAAAGAGTGCCATCATGTCGCGCATGGTCAACTTGCCAGCAGCCGATTTGCCCTCGATGGTCATGTTGGCCAGCTCCCGCTTGCGATCCTGCAGATCAACGATTCGCTCTTCCACAGTGTTCTTCACGATCAGTTTGTAGATTTTCACATCAATCGTCTGGTTCAGCCGATGGACCCGGTCGATGGCCTGCTCTTCCACAAACTATATTCAAGATACGTCAGCAACATGCAAAAGGAGAAACCCTAGGAAAGTGAACTTACAGGATTCCAGAAGGGCTCCAAAATCACAACGCGACTGGCAGCGGTAAGGTTGAGACCAAGTGCACCAGCACGCAAACTGCAGAGCAACACACGGGTTCCACTGTTGTTTCTCAACTTGTTCAGACTAGCCTCACGGTGATCGTTTCTCATGCCGCCGTCATAGCGTGCAAATCCGATATTGGCCTTTTTCAAAAAAGGCTCGATCTTGTCGAGCATTGATGTAAAAACTGAGAAGACGATGAACTTGTAGTCCGCTGACTCGTGGTTGAGAATCTTCATCAGATGGCGGATCTTGGTCGAGGGTAGCTCTCCATTTTCACCCTCGTCTGGGTTCTGGTAAATATCCTCTTCGGTTTCAGATTCGTCTTCGGAGCCACTCAAAACGATGGGTTGAGACTTTCTTCGAGAAGGCGATCCAGGCTCGTCGTCATCCGTTTCTGAATCGTCAGAGTTCAGCCACTCGCCGCCGCCTTCAGCATTTTCGTCGTCTGATCCTCCAGCTTTTCCGAGATTCGACATTGCGCGCTGGTCCTCGGGGACAATCCATTCGGCCTCGTCCTCGTCGTCACTGTCGAGAATGACCCTTCGGTTCTTTCGTGAGCGAGCAATCTGGGATTCAGACTTGCGGGCCATGGGGGAATCAGAGGCGTCGACCTTCTTCTCCCGTCGATCCTTCTTCGACTTGTGCTTCTTCTTATCTTTTTCAAAGAAGTTGGTGTTCAAATCGGCCTCGCAATCATTGCACCGAGTAGCGCCATCCTTGGCTTCAGACTGGCCGAGTTCAGTTTGGCACACATCGCACTTCTTCGTGACAACACTAAGCGCCCCGAAGAGATCGGCCACACTGTCCAAGTCGTCTGACTTCGGTTGCGACGACTGGCTGCTGGGGTTACTGTTTTGCAGCAGGACATCCCTGTCTTTGGCCAAATCACTTTTAACCAAATCCGGGTGATTGCAGGACTGACGAAGACGCAGCAGCAGGACCAAAGCGCCCGCATAGTCGACCTTGGAGCCGCCCATGATCTTCTCCAGACTGTTGTCGGTTCGCTCCTCCAGGCGTTTGTAAAAGTTCATTTCACCAGGCATGAACTCTGCGTCCAATCTGATGACCTCACGCTTTGTGATTTGGAACCCATTGGATGATTTTTTGGGTTCACCATCAGCTACTGATTCACCCTTTTTAAGAGCGTCGTTGACTTTGAGAACATCTTTTGTACGGCGCTTCATGAATGCTTTCAAATAAACTTGCAAACGCTGAATAGCGAGGCCACCTCGACCGTTGGCCAACGGTCGGCTGATCTGATCGCGCCAGGCAGCCAGATCATTGTATGGCTTGATACGAAGAAATTTGATCAAACTCTGTAGCTCATCGAGGTTGTTTTGCAGAGGCGTTCCGGTGAGGCACCAGCGGTATTGAGCGTCCAATGCGCAAGCCGCCTGTGTAGCTTTCGCGTTCCGGTTCTTGATGGTATGGGCCTCATCTAAGATGATGCGGTACCAATAGACCCCAAAAATCCCGGACTTTTTGCTCTTTGCTGACGCCGCAGTGGCCGACTCCGATGTGAGAGTTCCGTAGGTTGTGATCACCACGTCGTAGTTATCCAAAGAATCGGCAGTCTTTGTACGGGTTGTTCCATGGTAAACGCATACTCGTAGCCGATGAGACTTCTCGACTTTCTCCAGGATTTCCGATTCCCATTGTTTGATGAGCGCCAGAGGAGCAACGACAAGTGTGCTCTTGCTGATGCCTGGGGGTAGTTTGGTCTCTTCGTTGGTCTCATTCTCGGATTCGTTGTGTTGCTCGCTGTGTTCGTGATTGGCTTTGGAATGCTTGAGCAGCAGGGCAATGGCTTGCACAGTCTTGCCAAGACCCATGTCATCTGCAAGAATTCCGCCCTTGGGGAAAATTCCCTTGGTCGTTTTCCGACCGGTCTCCTTGTCGGACATCCATCTGACACCCTCGATCTGGTGAGGCAAAAGCATGGCCTTCAAGCCTTCAACAATCCCATCATCATCATCTTCAGAATCATCGTCCTCGTTGTCATTGTCGTCCTCTTCGTCCTCTGCCTCGGCCTCACTTTGGTCTGTGGCGGACGTTTCTTCATCGTTAGACTCGGGCTTCACGAGGTCTTCGGTTGTCTCTTCGGATTTTGCGACGGAGCTCTTGGCCTCTTGGGTATCGTTAACTGTGACGCCTTGAAGTTGACTAGCGAGGTCATCGAGATCGGAACTATCATCCATCTTCGCCTTGACGGCTGGAACAGGCTCTTTCTTTTGGGTCTGCTTCTTCTTATGTTTCTTCTTGCCCTTGGGTTTCAGTTCGGGCTTTTCTTCTTCGTCCTCGAATGCACCCTCTAGCAAAGCCTTGATATTCTCGTTTGCCTTGGCTGAATCGACGAAACCATTGACATCCATCGACCCGAAAGTAGAACCAATCGTGGTGCTTTTCCCGGACGGCACACTCTCGTCATTCGTAAGATCGATGAAACTCTGCAAGTTCTTCGACGCATTCGATTGCTTTGGTGGTATGGGATTCGACGTAAAGACCGGCCTTGGAGCACGAGGAGTCGACCAGGTCACATTCTCAGGCCGTTTGATGGGGACTGCGCCCGGGGAAGCCCTGGTCGGGCATTGTTGTAGTCCGATGGCCTCACGGGCTTAAATGGATCCCACGGATCACTGCGTTTGGTGGATGGCGTGGGTGCGACTGCTCCGGACGTCGCGGCTGGCCGATAGCCTGGGGGCGCTGCGGATTGTCCGGGATATTGCGGCTGCGGTCGAGCAGCGGGTCTGTGGTGCTCCGGTCGGGCATGGTTATTCTTGGGGATGTTGAACAGATGGTTGGAGCGGTGCTGGGGTTGGCCGATCGGCGAGGGTTTGCCGAATTCCGGATGCTGAAGCGATGAGTGGAGTTGTTCATTCGCTCGTCGGGGGGTGAAAGGTTGCTTCGGCGCGTCGCTTTCACGTGCCATGATTGTATGCTGGAAGCACGATGATTATGGTTGAACCACGGTGGATGGGTTGCGTGTGTGCAATACGATTGCTCTCAGATGGGAGTTGGCGGGCGATGTGTCTGTAAATGGGTCGCTAACACAATCAATGCCGCGAGGAATGTCTGTGGCAATTTGACACAAGCAATAATACCAGGATACTAGAGATGTCGCGTTGTCAGTTAGAGGTTCTCTCTCGATCTTGATCACATTCCGAGGTTCAGTTGCGACGTTGCGACGTTGCGACAAGTTACTGCCAGTCTCATCGCGCTCGGGGGCGGTTTCAAAGACAAGTACGCGAAGAGATAGAATTGAGAAAGGCAGACTCACTTCAGATAATCATACTCTCTGGTCTGAGGTCTTTGGTGTCGGATGTGGGAGTCGAGAAAAGTGGAGGCAAGCGTTATCGCTATCAATTTGTTTGGGCGGGATTTCCCCAGCAACGGTGGTGGCCCGACACCTCAGGCAGCACTTTGCTTCACTCTTGAATACTCGAACAACCACGATGACAGCAGAATTACTTCTACAGGGTTGAGGATCATTGAGTAGAAATGGAAATATCAAGACACTGGTACCACCCAAATGCAGTCTCGTTTCACGATATGTATCTTTGTATCTTCGATCATGAGCCATCCAAAACTCGAACCAATATCAGCCCAATGCTATCATCACACAAAATCAATCCGCTTCGCCAATGCCAATTTTTGAAATGCACTGCCCTCAAATCTCCCCAATCACGTCTTTCAGAATCTCAGGGACAATGACACCAGCATCACCCTGGAAGAACCAATCGCCCTGATCCAACCCGACCGTTCGTCCGGGGATATCATTAGGATCCATGTTAATCACAGCGACGCGAGCACCTTTTGCGCGAGCCTCGTCCACATACCCTGCTGCCGGCCATACCCGGGAGCTCGTGCCAATGACCAACATTAGGTCGACTTTTGGGGCCGCATGAATCCAATGATCGACGGTCTTCAGCGTGTCCATGGGAAGACTTTCTCCAAACCATACCACGCCGGGACGGAGAAGGCCATTATTGCATTTAGGACAAAGGGGCAGGTCATCCCGGGTTAGTTCTGGAATCGAGTTGCGCTCATCCGAGATATCGATTTCATTGGCAGATGCAGCGTGATGGGTTATTTTCCCTTGGTTGAGGGCATGGTGAAAGGATCTTGCTGCTTCTTCGCCGATTCTGTCGGCCGTGGAGGGAGTCGGGTCGGGGGTTGATTGGGGGATCGCCAGAGATGGAACAATAGGATCCGTGAAATCATTATTTCGCGAGTAATTGCAGTAGAAGGAGGTACATTTTATGTTGAAGAGCGAGCCATGAAGAAGATGCAGCTGGTCAGATGGGTGATGCGCTCGCTGTGAGAGACCTAAGTAGAGTATTAGCCTGCTCAAGGTTTGTGATATCGAAAATTTGACACAATGAAGTGAAATGTAGGCCAGCACCATCAACATTCTGGCTCAGAGTGATGAAATCTTTATTCTTCTTCGATAGTTCGGCCAGTGCATAGTGTGCTTTGTTGGGCTCGGCCTTCAAGGCCATGTGGCGACGGTAGCTATAGAACTGCCACACCAGCCCCGGATTGGCTTCAAAAGCCTCCGGTGTTGCCAAGGAGGTGGCATCATATGAGCGCCACAGGCCCCCAGCGCCTCGAAAAGTGGGGAGGCCCGAGGATGCAGAGATACCGGCCCCAAGAAGAGCCAGGATGCGTTTGCAGCCTCTCAAATACTCGGTGAACGACTGGAGATCTGCTGGAGCGATGACGGGGCGAGCAGCCTGTTTCGCCGCTGAAGCCATGATCAACACTGGGAGATGATCACTGCGAGGAAAGAGACGAAACACCGTGGATGAAAAACTATCGAAAATCGCAAGTTGCAAGAGCAAAATGACGTGGGGTTCCCGAGGGACATGCCGATCAACATCACAGGATCAACTCTACAAACATCACATTTCCGTGATTCTATGCAGACTGCGAGATCTATTCTTGAGATCTCGAGATGATCTACACGATGACTACCCATGCCTCTCTCACCCGGTAAGCCACAAAAGCCATCGAGGATCGTTAGGGTGTTATACGGGCATCCCCGATTTTTCGCTATTGGCACACCTAAATCTGACATAAGCAAAATCGCTGATATAATCGATTTTCTCCCACTTCTATCACCATAGCAACCATATACTGCATATATACTCTGTCTTCTGCTTCATCCATTTTTCTGCTCTACCATTACCCTACTAGTTCCTCGCTTTCTGCCTACCTTGCTTACTTCGTCTACCATACCATGCAAAAACCATCCAAACCAAGCCCACCATGCCTACCCCCGATTTGCCTGCCGCTGCTACTGCTGATTTGCCTGATTCGCCCAGTCTACTACCCCCACCACAACAAACCTTCCCTAATCAGGATGAATTGGTCAATTTCGTGCGCTAGTGGGGTATAAAGCAGGGGTATGCTGCTAATAAGCGGGTCTATATGCATTGCGATAGATCTGGGGTATATTCGATGAATTCATGTATGGTGTCAATTGGTCCAATTATCTACCGAAGATGAATATAAGGTTAATCTTGATAACTTTAATCGGACCTATGGGAGATCTTATCTACTAATTATACGCTATTTCGTAGACACATAGCTTCTCTGTAAAGAGAGAATTGTCTATGCTTGGACCAAAAACCTTACCTATGTTGGTAATAATGCATCATCACATTTCGAGGGGGCCCATTCGATCCTAAAACGGCATATAAATAGTTCTATAAATGATTTATTCACTGTGTGGAAGTCTATTTATATAGCTATTAACAGTCAGTATGCTCTGATTCAATAACAGATCCAAGCAGATCAGATAATATATCTGATACTAGCATCTGATTGGCTATATACCTCTATAAATAGGCGAGTATCTCGATATTCGCTTAGGTATATTGATATGCAGCGATTCTATGATAGTAGGGCTACCCCTGAGGGCCCCGCTTGGTATATGCTTCATTTATTGGAGAACTATGGAGTTACTATGCAAGTATCGAATTACTGATTTACTCGCGAAAAAAAGTAATCCTATTAGCTGATAATCATCCGTCCCGGTGAATCAGAGAGGAAGATTTATCTACTCTTCCTTGGTAGGGTACATATATAGAAGTTGCCCTGTTGCTAAATAGGGTAATCTGTTTTAGGTGGTTGGGATGAGAGTGTCATGTGATTAGAAAATAGGTCAAAAAAATTATATAGATCAAAATTGATTATATAAGCGTTTTGGTGTGCCAGTAGCGAAAAAACGGGTGTGCCCCTATCAACACCCGCCCCTATCAAGATGATTACGGCAGCGTTCAATCCAAGGATTATTAAATACTATGCCGGATTTAATGCTAACCTACAAGCTCAGCTTACATTTTTTTGGGGGCCCCTTCAGCTGGGTACCCTATAAAGCTTACCCTTTTCCCATGATTCAGAGATGCCCAGGGAATAGAGACATTACATATCCACCTGGGGCTGCGGTTAGAACGAAATACCTACAAACATAAGCTGACTAGAAAGAAATTGAACAATTTGAAACAAATTTAACAAATTCAACAAATTCAACAAATCCAACATCTCAATGACTCCTTTAGGAAATAATTAAAAAAAAAAAAAAAAAAAAAGGGGCTGTCGCTAAAAGTCTCGAGATGCCGGGATACTTCATCGACAAGATCCAAGAAGTATACCTGTACATGTTGGTAGGACACTGTATTGAACCCCAAAGTATCGGCAATTCAAGCCCTTGCAATATTTCCGATCATTGAGCACAAGTCCGTGCCACGTTCAGGCCGACAATACAATGAATCGAGGAATATGGGGGGGCCTTGGCCGTCAGCCCCCCAGGGCTATACGCGGGTACGTGGATACGCGGGCCACTCTCATTCATAACAAGTCCACATTAGCATCATTCCACTGGTTTCTTTTTTTTTTCCTATTCAGAGATCCCGCGACTATTCTATCAAGCTGGTACTCCCAAGATTGCAAAGAAAAGAAATATAAATCCAGCTTTTGTTCAACATCTGCTTAACTTCCGTTTCCCCAGAGAACAACACGATCGGCATTGACCCGCAGTGGGTACGTTCCGAGGTCCATTGTGGCACCGACTCAGGCCTGCATTACGTGGGATAAGCAGGGTTATTCACATAAAACGTTGGACATTCCCAAATCTCAAGTTGGTTCTGAAATCACTCCAGACTCCATATCATGGCAGAGAAGCAACAGAAAACCATCCCGTCCTATAGTCAGGTTGCCTGTATCGGCACGGGCTTGTCAGGCATTGCCCTCGGCGCGACACTCAAAAGATGGTATCAGATGGATGATATCCGATTCTTCGAGCGAAATGGCGGTGCGGGAGGCACATGGTATATGAACACCTATCCAGGTGCGCCAGCCTTTCTTCTCTCTCCTTTCCTCCTTTGCCATGCAAATCCGAGTTGAGATTCTGACCGATTGACAGGCTGTGCTTGCGATGTCCCAAGTGCCCTTTACAGCTTGTCGTTTGCTCCAAATGCGGGATGGACAAAGTTGATGCCTCCGCATCAAGAGATCAAAGCATACCAAGATCGGGTCATTGATCAGTATGGTCTGCGCAGCAAAATGTCTTTTCGCACCGAGGTCCGGCAGTGTATCTGGCGGGAGGACGCATCACGGTGGCTGATGGTTCTGTGCAATCTGGACTCGCAAGAGGAATTCTACCATGAATGCCAGGTGCTCTTCTCGGCTTCAGGGGCCCTAGTCAAACCGCGCCCGTGTGACATCCCCGGTGCAGCCTCGTTTAACGGGGCGCTTTTTCATTCCGGACAGTGGAATCACAACGTTGATCTGAAGGGGAAAAAGGTCGTTTTAATTGGAAACGGATGTTCGTCGCTCTCTAGTCATGGTCATTCAACGCCCACTCCATGCTAACCAGCATTCCAGGCACCGCTGCCCAGATCGTGCCCGCGATCGTGGACCAAACGGAGTCATTAACCCAAGTCATCCGTACCAAGCATTGGATCTTCGAGTCTATGAACTTCCCTTACCCTCCGCTGTTGCTATGGATCTTCCAGCATGTCCCGTTGGCGCTGAAGTTCCATCGTTTTCAGATCTTCATGCTCGCTGAGCAGGCACTCCGGATGTTCTTCATGGACTCGCGAGCAGCGAAGCTGCGTGACCAAACGCGAGAGAAGGCCGACAAGTTTATGCGAGATACCGCTCCAGCAAAATATCATGATCTTCTAATCCCCGACTTCGACGTGGGGTGCAAGGTAGGTTGCATACACCCGTGGTTACTTGTCTGCGCGCTAATCCCTTAGCGACGAATTTTTGATCCCGGATACCTAAAATCACTGCACAACGATAAGATTCGCTTGACCGATTCCAAGATTACAGAGATCGTGCCGGAGGGGATCAAGACTGTAGATGGGTTGATCCCCGCGGACGTGATCGTGCTGGCGACGGGCTTCCAAACAAACCATTTCACTCCGTTTATGGATATTCACGGCAAGAATGGAACCATTCGGGAGCATTGGGAGCAGTGGGATGGGCCCGGTGCATACAACACGTCTGTCCTCAGTGGATTTCCGAATTTCTTCCTTCTACTGGGCCCTAATTCAGCAACCGGCCACACCTCGGCTCTGATGGCCTCAGAGAAGTATGAACGATCTTCCCACTAGCGAAAACATTGCTGACTGGTTTATGATTTAGCACCATTAACTACGCCCTGCGGATCTTGAAACCGGTGTTGAATGGCGACGCCGCATCGGTCGAAATCAACGAGGATGCCGAGAAGCAATATGTATACAAAGCGCAAGAGGCTCTTCAGCAGCGGGTTTGGAATGCAGGGTGCAATTCGGTAAGTACTATTTCCCCCTCTTTGACTCAGACCTGATCGCACAGCATGGCTGATCAAATTATCAACTTAGTGGTACATCAACGAGAAGCGGTGGAATGCCATGGCCTATCCCTGGTCACAGGCACACTTTTGGTACCGCAGCCTGTTCCCAACCTGGTCGGATTGGACAATCAAGGTCGGTGACACCCTGAATATTACTCTGTAACCCACTAACCATCCATGGATTCTTTAGAAAGTACAAAAGCCAGCACGATCGAAGGCGCGTCAGGTTTGGCTCCTAAGCCTCCTCGCCGTGGCTGGGGGTGTGTTTGCAGTCCGGAACCAATCTATCTGGCCTGCCTTCTTACCCCAGTTGAGCAGCTTGAAGGCCTGTTTGCCTGGGTTGAAATAACTCAATAAGGGAGTTGTTCCCAGAGTCGGCTGGTACGTGGATATAGCAATGATTTGCTTTTGGTGGATGTATTGAGTGGGAAATTAATTATCTAGATCTTGTGGATGGAATTATGAATTTTATTTTGTGTTTGATTCGGTGAAAAAGGTCTGGCATCATTTCTTTTTTGTCTATTATCAATGTCCATGGATGGTTTTGGTCATAGCATTCTCCATAAGTACCACGACGAAGTAGACAGTTTCCTATCTAGGAGGTAGACCTATATGTGCGGACATGGGGCATTATATTGCTTTCAATCCCACTGCCAGTGCAGGTAATTGGAGGTAGCCCTCCAAGAGTTTGCGGGGATGAAGTCATTCCCTTGACTCTACGTTTCCTTTGGTTCGTCAATTTTTATAGAGGTGCTACATTTTGAGGGTCCCTGGTTAGGTGTGGCATATACGTGCTAAAGAATCTCACCTATCCTTAGAAACCATGTGGAAGATCGAGAAGAATAGCATGCTCTCGAGAATCTTAACATTGTTGGATGTTGAAACGGGTGCGAGGCTGAGGAGCATCACAGGGAAAAGAAAGCATGGTGCCGAGCTTTAAAAATGTCACTATATATTTTCCCATAAATTTCCCAAATTTGGTTCACTTCTATATCTTGTATTCTTTGGAGAGAGAGAGAGAGAGAGAGAGATAGAACGGACTAACAAGAATAAAATAGGAATTAGGCCCAGATTTACCATGCGAAAGATAGCACCATGGCCAGATTGTCAGTATAGTTGGATCCTGGCAACTGTATTGATTGGGCTGCTCGACAGGGCACCTTCATTGAATTTACCAACTAAAAACGTTTTACAATCGTGGTGACTCGATGGTACCAATTCCAGGCCATGATCTAGGTTCGATGCATCTTTCATTGAGCTCAGTGCTGTTCCTCTGGAGGCAACTGAACTGTGATTGCATTCTCAGCAACAGCACGGTTCTCGCTATTCTTGTGTGCAACAAAAGTAGAGATATACTCGGGAACCTCTGCCACTATGTTCTCAGGGCTTGGGACCGGCTCTCCAAAGGTCTCCCAGACCGGAACCACTCCCGTCCAAACGCTGCCAGTGACAGCATCATTGTTCTTGTCCTTGGCCTCATCGGAAGAGCTGCCATCCCGGATTTTGCCACTGCCATCCACCACCGTAACCTTGAGTATCGTTGTCGATGACATCTCAGCCTTGTCCGGAGGCACGCGTGAGTGGTCCCAGCGGTCCTCGAGCACTGAGTTGGTGATCAACTTCATGGCCCACAGCTTCTCCTCCTCGTTCGTCACAAGGTTGGCGTACCCATGCAGCACAGCCGACCGGTAGTTGTAGCTGTGGGAGTTGGGCGTGAGTGAGAGAACGAGCCCGTCTATCTTGCTTGCGGCCACGCAGATGGGGAGTCCTTCTCCCTCGGAGTTACGTGCCAAGTTCATGATCCGAGAGCTGACATAGCCGTGGAGGTAGCATTCCAGGGGCTCGTCTATTCCAGACGACGGATAGTCAAATGATCCCACTTGGCCGATCATGGGGAGAATGGTCGGGAATGGGTCTGATGGTCCAGGACTGAAGGATACATGGAGTACTTGCGACGAGTTGATGATGGAATGTATGGCACGTAGATCATATGTCGCTGTAAAGAATTGTCAGCTATAGTTAAAACAGGCAGTTGCATCAATAGGACAAAGCAGAGGCCATACCACGATGCTTGTATCGATTGACTGTGTTGGATGACCGCTTAGGGTACGTCAATGTTCTCCCCATGGTCGAGTATTAGCAAGGCAATTCAAGGTAAGAAGAGTGCACGATGCTTAGTTGTAAAATATTCAACCAAAGAGGGAAATGAAAGCTCAGCTAGATGTCAGTCTTTAAATGTAGAGAACAAAGCACATGTGTAGCGATGAGGATCCTCTTGGACCGTTTCGAGTAGGTCCATCCGCGCAACTCTTCCCCGCCAGGGTTTAAGAGGGGCCAGGGTGATGCGCACAGAATTGCTCGGCGACACCCGGTCGGACTCATTTCGTCAGCATCAACGATTCGCTCGAGCGCGAGTGAACGAGACGGCGAAGGGGTAAACCAGTCCCAGTTGATTGGCCTTCACCGCCGACTCGGACCTAACACGCTCTCTTCCGATAACAACTCGACTCGACCGAGTTCGACTTCGAACGTGTTCGAGCTGGGAGAATGGCGACGTCCAGGTTCCTTCGCGCCCTGCAGCTGCGCATAACCCCACGCCCTTTGAGCAGCCTCTCGCGTCATTGCCCTGCACAGCGCCTCCCTCGCCGAACCTACGCTACCTCGGTAGCCGCCGCGGATCTCAAGTTTGGCCAGGCCTTACACGAGACACACCCGCATATTCTCAGCCCCGGAGAACGTTGGTACCATCGCGCATTGCGGAAATTGACTGGTCCGACTAATGTACTGTGACCAGTTACGCCCGGCATCACTGCCCTCGAATATGCCCATCGCCGATCACGACTCGCCAACAAGCTTCCCAAGGGCGCAGTCGCTGTGCTAGCCGCCTCCGAGGTCAAGTATCGCGCACCCGGAATTTTCCATGAATACCGCCAAGAGTCCAGCTTCTTTTATTTGACGGGTAAGTGCCGACGGGCGCGTGGACAAGGACCACCGGCTCACAACATTATTTCGCGCCAACAGGATTCAACGAGCCGAATGCGCTGGCGGTCATCGCAAATGACGGGTCCGGCGACAATCACATTTTCCATCTCTATGTGCGGGAAAAGGACGCTAGCGCTGAGCTCTGGGACGGGGCACGATCTGGGACCCAGGCCGCGGTGGATGTCTTCAACGCGGATGAAGTGAGCTACACTGAAATGAAAATGGCGCGGGGGCAGAGTTGACGAATTGGGCTGCAGACAGGGAACATCGAACGCATTGGTGACATTCTACCTAACATCGTGACGGGGGCTACTGAGGTTTATTCGGACATTCCCGGTTTTGACGGATCGAGATCGACCTTGCACCGGTACCTGTATGGGCCTACAGTTGCGTCCGAAAAGTTGAAAAAGGTTGTCGACAACCGCAAAGTCAAGCCATTAAAGCCGCTTCTCAATGAGATGAGAGCCTTCAAGACCGAGGACGAGGTTGTCCACATGCGACGAGTGGGACAAGCATCGGGGCGATCCTTCACTGAGTCGATGCGCCAGACGTTCGCTCGAGAGAAGGATCTCTGCTCATTCCTCGAGTATCAATTCAAGGCCAATGGATGCGATACTAGTGCATTCGTCCCGGTTGTCGCCGGTGGCCAGGTAAGTCGTCCGGTATACACTGACCAAAGATTCGGAAACTGATGGTCATAGAATGCCCTCAGCATTCATTACACCCGGAACGATGATGTCCTGAAGTGTGTATGCCGCAATATCACCATGAAGACTCCAGGCTAACATGGATTCTAGGGACGGAGACCTAGTGCTCGTCGATGGCGGTGGTGTAAGTGCAATCTTCCTCCGAGGAAAATTCAAGATACTAATTCCGTACAGGAATTGGGTGGCTACATCTCCGACATCACTAGAACGTGGCCAGTCAATGGTAAATTCACTGCGCCTCAGCGCGATCTATACAACGCTGTACTCAATGTCCATCGGACATGTGTTTCTCTGTGCCGGGAAAGCGCCCAGCTCTCGCTTGACAAGCTGCACGGGATTGCGGAGAATGGGCTAAAGGACCAGCTCCAACAGCTTGGATTTAATCTTTCAGGGAATGTATGGAGCAGTGCACTGTTACTTCTTACGTGGAATCGCTTACTTATTTTCTTGCCAGGGTCTGACTACCCTCTTCCCGCATCACCTGAGTCACTATGTCGGTCTCGATGTTCATGACTGTCCTGGGTACTCCAGAGGTTATAACCTCAAGGCGGGCCAATGTGTAACGGTTGAGCCGTGAGTCTACCTGCCACCCACTTTTCTGTTCCTTGCATTATGCTCATTTAATTACAGGGGCATTTATGTTCCAGACGACGAGCGGTGGCCCGCTCATTTCCGAGGGATTGGGATCCGCATTGAGGACAGTGTATGTGTGGGAGACGATCACCCGATTATTCTGACTCCCGAGGCAGTCAAGGAGGTAAGTTGACGATGTTGCTCTTGGAACTTGTGGGATGCTAACATGGACTAGGTCGATGACATCGAGGCCCTGCGCAGTTAGACATGTAAAGTAGTTGTTAAATACCCTTTCAATCCCATGTACAACACTGTATAGCCAGCCAGAAACCAATTTCCCATCGAACTGTCCAATATTGTTTTATTCAAAAGGTGAAATTTGCGGTGGCTGGTGGTGGTTGGAGTCAATCGACTCCTCGATGGCCTCGGACAGGGCTGATCTGTACGGGGTGGGAATAAGAAGTAGGAAAAAAAGATTAGCATATTTTAGATGAAACGTTAAAACAGGACAAAAAGAAAAAGAAAAAGAGAAAAAGCCTTCAGTCGGCACGTCGCGCCCATACAAGAATGCAATGTTGATGTTCATGCTTCGCGCGACGCCGTTGGTTGTCCGGCGCACGCCCAAAACAAACTGAGAGGCTCCACACCACACGACTTCTTGTCTTCTCTTCTTCTCCCCCCAATACCCACCTCCTCTTCCTTCATACCCCCGAGTTTTGATTTCTCTTTTCTTACTTGTGTCGGCCTTGAGTTACCTGTTTGTGATACCATGACCAACCTTTGACCTCGCTCGAGCCTTGCCAGACGTGTAGCACGTCGCGTGCTCGACCTCAAGAAACCCCTCTCTGCCAGGCAATTGTTTCTTTTGACCAAGCTATCGACGCGTTCAATTCTTTCTGGATATCGTTACCTGATGGCAACCATATTCATACCCCCATCGCCTCAGACCTCCTTGAACATGTCGACTCGCCGCCCGCTCGCCAACGTGCCGAATGCAACCAATTCTCCCCACAGGGCAGGACTCGTGCCTGCGAAACGAGCTCGCTCCACTCAGATTGAGATTCCTTATGGCCAGCCACCACCTAAGAAGCAGGTGATGGAGGAGACGGACCAAGATGCTCGTTCTCCTCGCAGCAAGTCGACCGCGTACCAGGGTGCCGAGTCGAAGCTCTTCGCCCGCCGGTCGAATAATACCAACCCGAGCGCTTTCGAGAAGAAGCTGGTTGCTGCCCGAGAAAAGGAAAGACAGCCACAGATGAAGGGGACCAGACAGGAGAAGCCCTCCGCCGAAACTTTGGATACTATTCGACAATGGCAGAGGCACTACAGGAAGGCTTTCCCGCAATTTGTTTTCTACTTCGATGGCATTCAAGAAGAGGTTCGACGAAAATGCTCTCGCCAGGTCATTGCTTTGGGAGCTGTAAGTGTTCGATCCTGCATGATTTTCATGAAATCGCGTCTTTTCAAGTTTGGGCGTGTCGGCCACCTTTCAAGCAAACCAACCTTAATTTTTGAGTCTTCTCATCGGAGCTTTTGGTCTCACAGTACTGACTACTTTACAGCGCGAGGAGAAATTTTTCTCGCGTCTAGTCACCCACGTTGTGACTGCCCGTCCTATTCCCCCCAAGCCACCACAAGCCCAACAGAGCCGGAGTCGGCCGCAGAGACGGCCAATGGTGATGTTCATATGCAGACTGTGGATCCTTCGCTGCTGGAGAAGAATGGGGAATCCCATGGGGTATCTCTCAAGAATGAGAACCGTCGCGATCAGGGTACCATGGATGTGCTGCAGCGGGCTCGGCAGATGAGCATGAAGATCTGGGCATTGGAAAAGCTGCAACGGATGATTGCCACGATTAATGATAGCGACATTGGGAACCAGCATGATACTACTCGCAACAAGGCTGTTGGCAGCACCACGCACGGCAAGGGCGAGACAGACCTCTCGCGGGTTCTTCGACAGGAACTACTGAATGGGCCGTCTGACCGTGATCCGTTGTCTTCGATGGAGATGCTCATGTTCAAGGGCCCCTTCGTCTATATTCACGACATGAACGAGAAGACCAAGCCGGTTATGGTGCGCGAATACTCACGGGTCACCCGGCGGCAGGATGGAGCGTGGCCTCAATTTCGAAGTGCTCCCTTGGGCAAATGCCCTTTCATCGATGAGCCGCCGAGCCGGAAAGAATACGATCGACTCCGAATGCGTCAACTACAGAAGGAGAAGAAGGCGGCCGCGGCCACAAATGATGATTCCCGCAGCGCCAAACAGACTGCGGCGCCTGCCGTGGGAAAGGTCCCCGAATCGAAGCCCGCGCCGGAGTTCTTGAAGTCCAAACAGCCCGATGAGCCAGAGCAGCGCGTATCGCCTCCCACTCAACCAGAGATGGCAAAGCCTTCCTTTGATGAGACCCACGAGCGAAAGAGCTCCGAGAGCTTCCTTGCACCTCATTTCCCTCGGACTGGGGCTTTCTACACTGGCCGTGAACCTGCCGCGTCTGGCGTGCAGCCATCGAACATTACGTCCGCAATTCGGTCTCAGATGATTTCGTCTACTGCAGCAGCACCGGGAGCAAAGGCCGGGTTGAGCAAAGAAGTCCACGGACTGAAGCGCAAGGTTCTCGAAAAGGGAACCGCTGGTATTGTCACCGGGTCGATGGCAGCTCCGCAGCGCCACGGAGATGGATCAGCGTTGTACCCGTCCAAGACTCAGAACAACCACCCTACCAAGTCAACTGTACCGGAGAAAAATGGTCTTGCACATGACGATAGTACCCACCGTTCTGAGGCTGCGGGCGCTAAACGACGACGTGATGATGGCAAGAACAACAGTGAGCAGAAGAAGCCCGAGAGACGGAGGGATCCGAAACCTGGATATTGCGAGAACTGCCGAGACAAGTTCGATGACTTTGAAGATCATACCCTCACACGAAAGCATCGTCGGTTTGCCGCCAACTCCACCAACTGGGCTGAACTGGATGCGTTACTGTTTGAGATTCAACGACCCCTGAAGGAGGAATATGAACTTGATGAGTAAATCGTCAATGTTGCTACTTGCCATTGTCGATGACTTTTCGAAGATTCGAGCTGTTTGCTTTTTCTTTTCGTCGCTGTCGCATCGCAGCACCTATCGAAGCTCTTTCTTTGCTCAACATCACTTGCCATCTGCTGCATCGCCATTTTCATTGTCTACCACATCTTCTTTGGAACTTGATACATGCCGGCTTGCATGATACCCTCGGCCTGGACGCGCATGCATACCGTGGCGTTTGTTTTTTTTTCCATTTTGCATCAGCACCGTGCAATGACCAGCAGATTCAACTGGCTATGCCATGTGCTCTTTAATCTCTTCACAGCAGAGATCGACCATTCGTTCTGCACCTTTTACCATTCTTACCACTGTATTTGATAATTCATTTTTGCATCAGCACCATCCTTCGTGGAAGGCACTGCACTCCACCGTCTTCCTCGGTGTGACTTCTTGGAATTGTGTTTCTTTGTTCCTCGGGTCCAGGACCAATCTGTGGGGCCTGTCTCGTATTCCCCATGTGCCTGGTTAAGTCCACAGTTGAGGAAAGGCCAGCCATGGTCTGTGAGGCTGGCCGTATACAGAGGGTATAATGGACACGGGTGGGCTTGGCGACTGCCATGGGCCCACCGCAACATCCTGTTCTTTCTGTCTTTTCTCTTTTTCTCTTTTTCTCTTTTTCTTTTTTTTTTCTTTCTTGTTATCTGTTTCCTTGTCGTGTCTCGTTCTCCATGTGGTGGTGTCTTGTCTATTTAGTCCGGCCCATGCCCGGCGGCGGTAGTGGAGTCTTTTCCCCCCGAGTTTCTCGTGATATCACTTATGTAGCTTGAATATGCAATTATTTGGCCTATGCGTGGGGTCTGTATTGTGGTGATCTAATTAATTTTGGTGTCTTGGGGCTGAGTGCTGGGTTTTGCCAGGTGTCATAATCTATAGTCTAGTCTGTAGATCTGTAGAGCCTCTTCTCCCCATCCTACAGTGCAGGTAAGTCAGTCATGGTCGAACCTGTCCAGGTGATCCGGCACCCGAAAGGAAGCTCCTGATCTCCACTGCCGTTCTTAGAACCTCTTAGCATATGGGGGCGTGGGCCGTATCTCGGGATTGAAACGGGAAAGTCTTGTAGCCCGATCGACTGGATTCTCCCATGTCGAATTATTGAGTCCTGCCATCCCGCCTGCCAAGAAAATGGCGGCTCCCAAGGTAGATACTGTAGAAAAAGAGAGGAAGAGAGAGAGAGGGGGGATAGCTGCAGAGCGGCAAGCCTTGTTGGTAATTACCCACATCTCTCTTCTCTCTCTCGGCGAGAAGCCGACCCTCCAGGGAGTCAGAACCCAATTCAAGTGCCAGGTGGGAATGCCAATTCCCATTACGTGATGGGGTCCAGGATCAATTCTTGTACACACAGGTTATGGATCTTGGCCCCTCTCCTCCATCATATGGCCTCGATCAACCCCGACCCAAACCCAACCCAAACCCACACTCGATAGGATCAGAAAACAAGAACTGCGCGCCCCGTAGTTCCCAAATGTTTCTCATTGGAGGTTGTATATACGCACCTCAAAGTCTACACGCAACCCAACCACCGACTAGCAAAGTGGTAATTGATATTTCGAGGAAGTGTAAATTCAGAAAATGCGGATCCCATGTTCTGCAGCCACCACCAACACGCCGGAGATTTTCCTTGGATGATTCTGTTTTAGGTTACAAGACACAGATGCCACTCCGAATGACATCCTTCCGAGAGATAGTTACCTTATTTCTTTGATTCTGTCTCCTGGTGCCGGTAGGTTTTGGCCCCCAGGGGAAGAAGGGGGGTGGCTATCATTGCCTATATCCACCAGTTCAGACGACAAGGAATAAGTGGAGAATTGGCTTGACATGGCGACATTTTGGACTACTTGCAATTATAAACTCTAATTCCGATTGACAGAAACTGTGTACCTACTGGCAGCATATAATGTAGGATAGGATGGGATTCTTCCAAGTATATTATGGTGCGGGCGTGTTATACTTCGGCCCCTTTTCATTGGCGAGCCTTACCTTCCACATTGGAACAATCGACCTCGGCACAGTTACACAAATAGGGCAAGCGGTGAGAGAGAGAGAGAGAGGACCTGACGGTAATATCCCTGTAGAGAAAGGCTATTTTGACTGTCGCGAGTAAATTACATCCTTTCTCTCTTGAGGGGCGGCCAGCACCGGCCAAGAAACAAGAAGATCAGGTTATCAACACACAGAGTGTTTTACAAAAGGATTAAAGTTGCATGAGGAATTCAATAGCGCCCACTCCGAAAGAAAACAACCACCCACCCATGGGGCCGGACGATCCCCAAAGTCTCGGGACGCGCAGCTTCTCCAAACCTTGGAAAGGTCTCTGGAACCAGTATCCGGATTGTAAATTCAACGGGCGATCGGCCACAGCTGTTTATCCTGCCGGAATTTGGAAAAAAAGCACGACCTTAATTTTTATTCACAATCTCTTTCATTTTATTATTATTATTATTATTTTGCCGTTTGTTGATACGGCGCTTGTCCGAGCACGCTTTGGGTGGAGGGGCCAGGACTGGAAATTAAGATATAAAGAGACGATCAGAGACGCGGGACCCTTGAAAGACTGTTCTATGGTATTGCTTCTTCTTGTCTTCTCCCTAGGTATATTAACACCTCGACTTACTTGATCCTACTGATACTTTCTGTCCGCGGTGAGGTCATTGTCGCAAACAACCGCATGAACCATATCAGCCCTACGGCTTCCTAAGTCGATTCTCGTACTGCTGGTCTCGAGTTCAGAGCCCTTGCGGTGCCAATTCTGTCCACACTTTTTGTTTATCTTCTTTTATTCAATCTTCAACACCATGGCTGCGCCGAGTACTGTTCTGCGGCCGCTGGTACGCACAGCAGGAACCGCGCCGTCGCTTTTCAGAACGCCCGCCCAGCGTGTAGCGCCCCGCCATACCCCTCTCGCTTTCCGATCCTCATCCCCCGTTGCGGCCTCGTCGCCGCTCTCCGCCTCTCAAACTCGTTCGAGCACCTACTCCGCCCCGGCCCCAGGCACCCAGACGCGCAAGAAGGTCACCATCCAGACACTACAGGGCCTTCACCGGAAAGGAGAGCCAATTGCCATGCTCACGGCGTATGACTTCCCCAGTGCGCACGTCGCCGATGCCTCGGGCATGGATATCATCTTGGTGGGAGACAGCTTGGGCATGGTGGCGCTCGGCCTCGAGAACACCAGCGAGGTGCTGATGGACGACATGATTCTGCACTGCCGCAGCGTGGCTCGGGCCGCGAAGAGCTCCTTCATTGTATGTTGAGTAATATCTGGTTTTCTTTTCTCGCCCTGGCTGATGTGAATACTTAACCAGGTGGGAGACATGCCCATGGGCTCGTATGAGGTGTGCGCGGAACAAGCGGTGGAATCCGCCATCCGCATCGTCAAGGAAGGCCGCGTGCATGCGGTCAAGATCGAAGGAGGTGATGAGTTGGCTCCGACCATCCAGCGCATCACGCAGGCTGGTGTCCCCGTCGTCGGCCATATCGGCTTGACTCCCCAGCGGTCCAATGCGCTCGGCGGGTTCCGAGTGCAGGGCAAGACGACTTCCAGCGCCCTGAAGCTGCTGCATGACGCGACTGCCATGCAGGAGGCCGGAGCGTTTATGATCGTTCTCGAGGCAATGCCTCCTGAAGTGGCCACGCTCATCACCAAGAAGCTGCGCGTGCCGACGATTGGTATCGGTGCAGGCAACGGCTGCTCAGGTCAGGTTCTCGTCCAGGGTGACATGACCAGTAATTTTCAGCCTGGCCGGTTCCTGCCGAAGTTCGTCAAGAGGTATGCCGATGTCTGGGGCGAGGCCGCTCGGGGTATCACCCAGTACCGAGACGAGGTCAAGAACCGAGCCTTCCCCTCGCAGGAATACACCTACCCTATTCCTCAGGAGGAGCTGGCTCAGCTGGAAAAGACGGTGGATGAGATCTACCAGAAGTAACGGTTGCGTATACCAGTGCGGGTATCTTTCACAACTGACTGTATTAAACATCTGTACATACGTTCATTCATGTGTTCGGGTTCCCAGCCAGGTCGCTGCAGGCAGGGGTCAACCGAACGCTGGCGTCATGGAGTAGGCGACAATCAATTGTTCATCTGTTTTGAAGCACTGCAATGGTCAAGGAAAAAACTGTCAGAATAGTTTGAGCCTAGGTGATGAGGGCAACAACATACTCTCCACAGCCCGCCCACCCCCTCATCTAGCCCAGGTGCGAATACACTATTCACATAACAAAAGACCGAGTCGGTCTCCTTGCAGTCGAGTTTTTTGCGAAGAAACTTGACAACTGTTTCGAATTTCTGCGAGGCGCTGACTTTAAAAACCCGATTCTTGAGGATCGGGGCTGACGGGAGAGGTTGGAAGCGGACCGTGACTGGGTCGACGTTAGTTTCGACGTGACATCACATCTCCACGTCTGGAAGGTATAGCAAGTAGGGCGAGCAAAAGTATAGATGCTGGAAGCTATATCCAGACGTCATCTTGAGTAGATCTTACCTTTTGCCGTATCGATGGCTTCCACGTCGGCGAGGGCCTGATGGGCATCGCGGGGTAAATTGGTCAGCATCACCGACGCTGTCATGTTCATGGGCAAGTCGGCGCCATGCTCATCATCTGGAATCGGCGCACTGCCGGTATTATGCGATGTGGGCTCGGAGCTTGGGCTTTGACGGTCGGGACCTGGGCGATGGCTGAGAGGGCTTGACGGCCGTTGAGACGTGGTCTGTCCAGACTCAGGAAGGGGATCCATCGGGTAGACAGTTGCACGGAATCCAGAACAATACGTAGAATTTGGATTGGGAGATCAAGATGGTGAAATTGCAAGTTGGGATGGTTGGGTAGTTGAAAGAGAAAAAAGACAGGGAAACCATGGCCGGAGACAGCTCTGAGCCGAAACCACAGCGCAAATCTCATCTAGCGGGAACATCTATGTACGCCAATCTGTGATAGCACTACACGTCAAGTTGACTTCTGCGACGCCTTTTGCCACCATATCTTGTCTTGACCATCCTGCGCCGACTCGTTCTTCTCCTGCCACATATTTGCGATTCTGAGGCAAAGTGCCAGTACAAAAAATATTGATGGCCAGAACCCTATGCCAAGAAGGACCGGCTTGTACGGATGAGACGGTTCTAGCGCTTCACAGACTAGCAACAGCGGCCCAAAGGCCCAGCAAGCCTCTCCCATGGCCATTACCGTCCGCTCGGTCGAGGTCTGACGATAGGCACGAATCAAGAAGAGGGTCCCGATCACCGGGATGGCATACAGCACACAGAGATTGATTTGGCCAGCTGTCGAGGCCCGCCAGTCTGCAACCACATCCTCATGGACACTTGTGTAGAGAAAAGGGCCGACAGCCTCCCCAAAAAGGCGGGAGAAGGACGCTTCTGTTGCCTTGGCCAGATCGACACCGCGGCCTATCTGCCACAAGTTGGCGGTGGCTTTGGCTTCATCTTTGTAGATATCATGTTTGAGAATGAGGATCTGGGTCAGATACTCACGGACCTGATTAGGCCCAGCATCGGCAGGTGGGAAGAGAGGCATGACGATGGGTTAATGCGGACGAGAAGTTGGGGATCCGTGGATGCGGGCACCTGGCCCCGGGGCAGTTCACTACGCTGAGTCATCCTGCCATCATCGCGGCCTCTCGCCCCGCTTCTCTTCTTCCTTTCTTTACCTTTCGCTCACTGGATTTCACTGGATTATACTCTCCGTACAACGCTTCAGCCTAAATTTACATTTGCTATATCTCCAGTTGTGCTTCTCTTTGTTTCCTCGCTTTACCGTCAGCCGACTTTCCCGTCTATTGCTTCCCCGCTCCGCCATACAAACGCATCTTGCTCAGTAACTTGGTGGATCGAGGACGCCTGAGCTGAATTCCCCGCTGCAAAGCTCCCCCAGAGACCTTCTGCAGTTCATTGACAGTCTCTTCCCGCTCTACCTCCCTGAAGCCGCCAACATGAGTAGCCCGAAGCGCAGAATCGAGACAGATGTAAGTCATGCCCAAGATAGGCCACCCGGGTCCTCCCAGCTGCTGACAGGGGCTGATTTGACTTGGATAGGTGATGAAGTATGCGCTGCAAACAATGTGCGTTGGTTGATGATATGGCTGCTGACATTTGGCTAGGATGTACGCTCGCCGATCCCCCTCCTCACCCCGCGTTGGCCGCTCTCCCTGGCGACCCGTCGATGGCCTTGAACTTGTCATACGTGGTTATTGGGAGATAATCTAATTATGGATTATAGGCTTATGAGTGACTATGAGGTGACTCTGGTGAATGACAACAGTAAGGCACTCGTCCCAGCACGAATCAACTAGATACTAATATTGCGTTCCAGTGTATGTGCTAGATATCTCCCCACCAACCCCGAGGAAGACTTGGAATTCGAATATCTTCTGAACAGGCAAGAGTTCTATGTCCGCTTCAAGGGACCTGAAGAAAGTGGGTCTCTTGCTCATTCATGACCACCATTCCACCATACTGAGCTCTTTTAGCACCGTTCACCGGAGGCCACTGGAAAATCCACGTGGAGCTGCCCGACCAGTACCCGTACAAGAGCCCGAGCATTGGATTTGTGAACCGGATCTTCCACCCGAACATCGATGAGCTGTGCGTTGATTATATTCCTGGGGATTGTTTCCCGTGTCCCATTCTCCGACTAACCTCGTGTCTCAATACAAAGGTCCGGCTCCGTGTGTCTCGACGTCATCAACCAGACATGGTCACCCATGTACGACATGCTCAACATCTTCGAGGTCTTCCTTCCTCAGCTCCTGCGCTATCCTAACCCATCCGACCCACTCAACGGTGAGGCTGCCGCGCTCATGATGCGAGAGCCAAAAGCCTACGAGGCCAAGGTAAAGGGTATGTATACTGGCAATGGTTTTACGAAAGCAAGTTCGACATGGTCCATAAAACTGACGGTCCCACCAGAATACGTTGCCAAGTACGCCAGCAAAGAGGCAGTGGACGACGCAGGCGAAGACACCGAATCCGAAGATGAGTTGAGTTCCGCAGGCAGCTATGAGTCTAACGGAGAAGAGCCGGCAGGCGCAATGGATGATGTGTGATCGACTCACTCTCTGTTTGCCGCCAAGCCGGGGTCCGATTTTTCGGACTTGCACGAACATATTGCATGACCCTACTTCTTTTTCTACATCTCTATATCTCATCGGAACTGGACCAGCGGGCGTTTCGTTCATAGTGGAGTTTTGATTTCCTTTTAGTTCTGCTTCTTTTTTCCATTCCTTTTTTTTTCTCTGTTCATCTTTATTTTCTCGGTTTACTCGAGCATTTGCTATGGTCGTGAACGGAGTCAAGGACCGAACACGCTAATGCGCGATTTCTCACGGCCTCGGGGATGTGGTACTACTTCTTATTTTTTTTTTGTGTTCTCCATCCGGACGCATTTCAATGGATTGTTATCTATGAAATTAATCCCTAACCTAGAGAATCTCCTCTTTCCGCTGTACTCAACATTGAGACTGCGCCTAAAACCGAGATTTTTTACCCCCATCCTCTTTCCCGACAACTAAATATCTAAGAGTCCCATTTGAACTAGCCGGTCAATCATAATGAAATTGTCTGGATTGAGTCTACATTAACAAGAAAAGACAACGCTGGCAAGCAGAGACTTATACAACAGGAGACACGGTCTTGGGCAGGGAATACGGAAATAGAAACAAAAAAAAGAGAGGACCAGCAGTCGAGCCTGGAAAACAGTTTTGTAAGAGACGAGCCCATATCCAAAGTAGCAGGAACACAAGGCCTGGACAGATGAAAGACAGGGAAAAAAAAGGATGTCTGCGTCAAGGGTATTATCAGACCGAGTAGAAGTGGACAGAAATGAGGAGACAGGAGAGAGAGAGAGAGAGAGAGAGAGAGAGAGAGGAGCGAAGGAGGGAAAGGCTATGTATGTATGTGCAAAGCAATCGACCGGCGATCCATACAAAGAAACCCAATCCAACACCCGGGGGAATGATAATAGAGGATGCGGGGAGCACAATCCCACCCATGCGGTTGCCTCGGATGTAGATGATCAAGTTCATTGCGCGGCCCACCCTTTCGTCGTGTCTATCATCATGGTCATGCGAAAAAAAAAAAAGAGAAAAGGAGAAAGAGTGAGCCCCGCTGCGAAGGAAGGAGGGTGAGGCACTTCAAGTGACCTTCAAGACACCGAAGACATCGCGACTGGCATCGACATCCGTCTTCATATCCGGACGAGATCGCTTCTTGTTCGGGTTGACAACGACTTCACCCCAATGCTTCGGCACGGTTCCCCCCGCGCCAGACGTGGGGCGGCTCGTTTGCGATGTGTGATCGGCGGACAGTGTGGTCGGTGCATGGTTGCCCGACGGGGCGGGCGAGGTTGATGTGGATGTAGGGCCGTTGAGAGTGGCTCGGGGTTGGAGGTGAGGTTGAGGTTGGAGGGACCAGATGTCGATGACAGAACTGCGCAGCGGGGGGCGTGATTAGCCGCAGCTCGAATTTGCTTGCCATATAAAAGGACAAGAGAGAGGAACTGCTTACTCTGATGTTCGCTGGCAGATCGCCTCGAGCGCTTCCCTTTCGCGCCTTACAGACTCGGGATCGGGCTGGTTTGCCTGGTGAGCATGGTTCAATGCACCGTACCCATACCCGGCCTGGTAGGGGTCATCATCAAGCAAGCGCGATGATTCAGGCTACATGAAACAAAAAAGTTAGAAAACCCAATTCCATTTCTGATAAGCCCGGCCTCTACCTCGGACATAAGCCCGGAGCAGGGCGCATTGGACCTGTTTGTCGCAGCAAACGCTCTTACTCACCTCGGGAGAGTCATGGCGGTTACCGCCAAGGCAGGAGGCGCAGGCACCCATTGATGGCAATAAAGATCGGGACTCGGTGCACGAGGTGGTGAGCACGAGGCATTAATCGACCCGGTCGAGCCAGGTGGGACCCTCTTCTTTTTTTCTTCCGCGGCAAGGGAAGGGGAGGCCGGGATGGGGCGGGGATCCTCTTGCGAAGAAAGGCTCCAAAGAGTAAGAGTATTCAGAAAAGACAGAAGCGAAAGAGCGAGAGAAGCGAAAAACAAGAACAGGCACAGTGGGCTGGAGGAAGAAAAATGCAAGAGTCGATGAGGTCGAAGTTGAGGCTGGGGTCCGTGCGATGTCATCGATAAGAGCGTGGCCGCAGCGTGGTTCTGCAGTGGAATTATTCCACTTTTTTCCCCTTCCAACACTCCGCAGACTTTACAGTGTCTACGCTCGCTCTACGCTCGCACATAATGTTCGATGTTCCTAGTGCCAAACGGTAGGTCTAAACCCAATCAATATCAAGTTTTTCTGCTAATCAAAATCCAGCATCCGTCGCGACGAGGTTCTCTCGCCCAGCTCGTCCCGTTCAGCATCTCCTGCGCCCGAGTCCGACCTTCAAGATGCTCATGCGCGACTAGGAAAATTGCTTGATCTCGATGGGCTCTTCGGCACAGAATCAGCTCCGCGGTTAGAGGATGAGTCTGGAAAGCCACCCGTAATAGGGAACAATGACGACGAAGAGCAAGAATTCGAATTTCGATTATTCAGTGCCCCGGCCAAGCCCAAGACCGGTACAGATTCCACGGATACCCAACAAAAGAAAAAGAAAACCACAGTGACCGAGGGGCCACCCAGTGGAGATACACAGAAGTTACGGATCCGCTTGCGGTCCCCGACGCCCGTCACAGGAGACCCCTCGCAGGGCCGATTTGTCAAGTCCTTCCGGGGGTGGCAGTACTATTTTTCGTCCCCTTCTCTTTATGAACCCGGGAAGGAGAAGATTCAATTTGAACATGCGGACCGGATAACAGAGAAGAAGCGCCAATTTGAGGACATGGCCGTGAGTGGTCAGCACATGGAGACCTGGGCGAAGTCACAGGCCTGGGTGAGTGCATTCCCGTTGAAATGCCTAATCACTTTACATATACAAGTGGATCTTTTGTAAGATTAATTACTGATGTGGCAACACAGCCCGGCTGCCATCTTCCTTGGCGAGTCATCCATCTTAAACGCCATCAGACCAAGCTACCCCCGGCGGCAAAGGATGTCCCGGTCTATGTGGTGAAGGATGCTCTGTTGCCTACAACCCCAACATCTTGTAAGAAGCCCGGCAAGAAGCGGCGGGTCCAGCTGCGCAAGCGTGCCGCCGTCGCGCAGGCAGCCCAGGAGACCGAGGCCGAGAAACGAAACCGCAAGAACCGAGAGCGCAAGATCAAACGCCGACAAAAGGCTCGAGAGCAGAAGGCTGCGGCTACATCAGGCGATGGGGCTGGAGATGTCACTATGGCTGATGGCGATGATGCTTCCTCTGATAGCTAGCCGTGGTCTAGGATTGACTTATGAGAAACGGTGTGAAGGATGATTGCTTCCTGGGAACTCTCGGCGCTTGAGTCCAGCTGGGTATTATGCAACTATCAAACACAACGACTCGCGCAACCAAACATTGCCATGCCCCAACGACAGGGGTATAAACGGCGCACCCGAAACGAAGTTGGGATGGATTGAAAACAATGCGAACAACGGCCAGATCAATCTCTGGAGAATGCCGTTCATCTACTTGGCGGGTTCCTCTGCGCATGGTCAGGACTCTAGGTTCGACTAGTGTCTTCCTCAGAGGGCGATCACTCACCCGCCTTGGCCGTCGTCTCCGCAGGCTGAGCGGCACCAGTGTTCTCCGTCTGAGCCTCTGGCTTGGTGGCAGCAGGCTCGGGCTTAGGCTCGGCGGCTGGAGCTGGAGCTGGAGCTGGAGCGGGGGTTTCGGTCGTCTCTGCGGGTTTGGCCTCGGCAGACTGAGGCATTTCAGCGGGGGCTTCCACAGGTGCTGCGGGTGCTATGGACAAATCGATAAATTAGTACCCGGGAGTTACAAATCTCATCGCGTAAAACCGCTCTAAAGGGATCCACCAAAGAGAAGCATTGTACCAGCTGCAGTCTCGGACGCCGGAGCAGCAGCCGCAGGAGCCGAGGCCGGAGCGGGTGCAGGCTCCGCGGGCTTTGCGTCGGTGGTAGTCGAAGCCGTAGCGCCCGTCTCAGCGGGAGTGGGAGTAGGCTTCTGCTCGGGCTGGGTTGCCGCAGGGGCAGGCTCCGACTGCTTGGCCTTCTTGCGACGGAAGAGGTTCTTGAGACCCTTCTTCACCTGCTCGAACGCATCGGGGGCTTAACGACGACAGAGACCCAAAAGGGAACAAGATTAGCAACGAGAGCACTTGCTGCGTCGCGCAGCACACACATCACCGACTTCCTCCCCACATTGCGGGGTCAGGGAGGACTTACGGACACCAGGCATTTCGAGGAGTCAATCAACAACTCTGGTGTGTATGAGATGGGGGGTGTGAGACGAGATTTGAGGTTGGGAGGGAACACGAGGATCGTACGATTAGGAAACAAAATAAGAAAAAGAAGGGAGACGCAGGTGCCAGTCTTGAGGGCCTCCACGTGACATCCCTTGTCATTTTAAATAGTATTTTCGTGATTTCTTTTTTGCTTGTCATCGCTCCTCCCCAGGGGCTTGTAGACTTATCTGCAGCCCACACGCTAATATCATTGGGCCTGGGAGCTCCACCTGGATCTCCCCGTCCCGCATGGTCCATCTTGGCTCTGACAGCTCGTGTGGCTGTGCTGCCCCTACGCCGTTGTGAAACGGTCGATGCCCTCCCGGCGCTTACTTCAGGGGGAGTTGGAATATGTCGGCCTGTCGTTAAGAGATGGGAGGATCCTGCGATAGCCAACGCGATGACAGTGTGGGGATGGATTAACACCGCCTCCCTGCTCAATGCTATATGTTTTCTGGTAAGCTCAGATGGACTTGGACCAAGGAAATTGAGTTGATGAGAAGGAATAAAACTATTGAGTGGCTATAAATAAATAACGCGGGTGCGAGTACTGCAAAAAGGAAATATCCATGGATATAACGCAAGCATGCTCGTCATTTATTGCGTGTCAGAAAATCACCAGAGAAATGGAAGAAACGTAGTCGCCATCGATTGCACTAAGTGAGGGAAAAGATTGTCAGGAAGTATGATCAGACCGGGAATCTGTCGAAAACAGTACAAACCGCAAATCAAGAGAAACACAACCACTGCCACCCTGGGGTTCTGCGCCCCGATAAAAACGATGAGAGCAAGACACACCGTCCACACGGAGTATCTACTGACGTGCAAACCGGGGCCTTGCTGAAACTTGAAGGATGATTCGTCCATCAAAGTGTGTAGATTGGTCGCCGCGAGGGCGACTTTGTCCAGCATGGCTTGCGACACTTGCGCATTGAATCGTATCGCTTCCTGTGCCTGGGACTGCGCGGCCATGGCCTCGGTCTGTAAAGCTTGAGCCTTCTGTAGCTCGGTTGCCCTGATCATGGACTGCTCCATGGAGGTCTCTATATTGTGCAGCCGCTATGGAGATTAGAAACAATTTCTATCCGACTGGGCGCAATCCCATACCTCAGACATCCTGTTCTCCTTCTCAAGCATCATATTCATCCGACCGGTCAGCCATTCCTGTTCGTGTGAGCTTGTTTCCATTTTGGGGTTTGTGTGATAATTTACTAGTGATGCATCAAAGCTCTCCATATTCTTGTAAAGTCTGGCCATGTCGGTCTCCACCAGTGACTCCAGGGAAAAGTGCAATGCCGACGCAAGGTCTCGCTGGGCCAGAGAACTTTGTTCGTGGGCGAGAAGTGCCTCTTTATTTCTGGCCAGGGCCTCTTCGTGCGCGGCGTACAGGGACTGCTGAAGAGCGTCAACATGACTCGAGGCGTTTTGGATATCCTCCTTGAATGTCAGCTACTATATCACGGCAAAAGAGGAACCGAATTGTCATTGAACCTTTTCAAGAACCACAGTCTCAGTCCGCAGCCGTCCCAAGGCTGAAGCCATTACAACCCCCATTCTGTCGATGCCTTGTTCGATGTCACTGAGGAATTTGGCAAAGGTACTCTTGAGAATCGACCCTGTCTCTTCCATGTCTTGGACAAGCTTCACTTGCAGGGATTGCACTGCTTGCAGGAAGGCTTGTTGCTGAGCGGACTCAGTACCCGCCGTCTTTAAAGCTTCCTGGAGACCTGTATTAAGCTTAATACTGCTCTTCACGATCGACCGGTGCAAATCCAGCAGCTCTTCCTTTTCAGTTTCAATCCGAGCAGCCTGGCAGATCACCAGGGCATTTTGTCGGCTGTTGCTATAGGACGTCCACCACTGGGGCCGCGATTCAAGTGCCCTGAGACAATGGCTGAGAACCTCCTTTGGAACGGTGTCTGGTCCCGTATTTGGAGATCCGGGTCTAGTCGCGAACCCAAACCATTGCTTTTGTGCTGGTGGTGATATGGTAACCGGAAGACAAGGTGAAGGAATGACAGCACCAGCACCGTCGAGTTCGCAAATCGCCAGCCGTGCCGCATATACAGACCGAATACCATCTAGAGTCCCAGTCATCTCAGTATCGGTGTCCGCTTGGCTGTTGCTATTGCTTCCGCTGCCATCAAAGCCCTGGCACGATGTCACCAGCCTTGTTGCTGCGATGCGATTGCATGAGGGCGATGACTTCATGGAGTATAATAGTTTCACAGCCTCAGTGAAAATTGATTCCTGCTGTCGTGTTCTCGAGTCCAGGTAAGCGATCGCATCGATGTTGTCTGAGTGGTTTTCTGCAGGGACGGGAATGTTGCCTTTCTTCTGTTAGTGAAACCGTACAAAGGATCAGTTCCTGGATTACTCACCACTCTCATGGATCTTGGCGCAAGTATTTCCAATAACCGCAAGCGCCAGGGTCATTCGATGGGCTGGAAGCAACCTCATCTTGCTTGGATCTTGTAGCTTGCTTTGCACGAAAAGGTTATAGACAGGCCCTGCCTTGTCGTCACTAGTTGAGGTATAAGTTGTAAGTATAAGGGGGAACTTTAAATTTAGATAGAGAGGTGGAAGTCAGAAGAGATGGGTGGAAATGGCAAGGATAGCTTGATGCAAATGAGAGAGAGAAGAAATCCCTGGGTGGATGGTTGAGCTGGGCACGACCCTGCCTAGTCTCACTCGCCTCAATTCGAACCTCACTATCTGTACTCCAAGTAGGGTAATCTATACTCCAAGTAGGGTAATCTATACTCCAAGTAGGGTAATCTATACTCCAAGTAGGGTAATCTACTATTTACTGTAAGTCTTGTTAAGCTTAGTTTATCTTGATCAATTCTTTTGATCTTCAGTCATTGCTCTTGCAGTATGAGATTCAGAAGACCTCATTTCGCCTCTGGAAGGGGAGAATAGCCCCAAACCCAACAAATTTAGTTTACTCAGTAGTAAAATTTATCATTTTATTACAAGTGAGTAAACGATCAAAATATCGAACGAGGGAAGTAGAAAGCGACGAAGGGGAGAGATAGATATATAGATAGTCACGTGGCCACTAACCCGATCGGGCATTCTGGAAACCGACAAAATCGTCCGCTGAGTCTCCGAACCAAACACGCGCCAACCATGTCGTTCTCCATACCCCAACGCTGCGCGCGGCAGCTGCTTCGAGCACCCGTCCAGCGCAGCTCCCTCCCTCTCTTTCTCACGCCTGCCTTCTCCCCCGCTCGCGCACAATGCTTCTCGACCACATCCCCGATGCAGTCCCGAGTCGGGGCCAATGCGATCACCTTCCCCTCCGAAGTGTCCCTTTCGTTCGTCGATCTCCCCAAGCCTATGACTCGGACACGAGGAAAAGACATCCCGACACATGCGGCGAAGATCACAGGGCCTCGCGGTATGTGCTACCACTGCAAAGGAGCCGGAGTCGGAGATGCTAACATATTCCCATTTACCTGCTCTAGGCGCGCTGAGTGTTGACCTCCCGACATTTGTCAACATCAAATGGGATGAAACGGGGCGAAAAGCTACGGTCTCTGTGCAGGACCCGGAAATTCCTCACCAGCGTGCCATGTGGGGTGTGTCTTCCCCTTTCCTTGGTTGGATCTCTTTTATCTTCTTGTCGGGTTTTCTAACCGTTTTCTTTTCTTTTCGGTTTTGTACAGGGACAATCCGCGCACTACTCCAAAACAATGTCCTCGGTGTATCTGAAGGCCACGTCTGTGTGCTGAGTCTGGTTGGTGTCGGTTACCGAGCCAGCATCGAACCACAGGCGACTACGGTGGCTTCGACGTTCCCCGGACAACAATTTGTTTCGCTCAAGGTGGGATTTTCTCACCCCGTTGAACTCGGTATCCCCGAAGGCATCCAGGCTAGCACGCCCCAGCCTACCAAGATCCTGTTGGAGAGCGCCAACAAAAAGCTGGTGACCGAGTTCGCGACCAAGATCCGGGACTGGAGACGACCTGAGCCGTACAAAGGCAAGGGTATCTTCTTGAACGGCGAGAAGATCCAGCTGAAGGCGAAAAAGATCAAATAGTCTCGTCGCTTTTCTCGTCTCGTATCTTTTCAGGGCCTTCACTTTTTGGGTTCCGTGTATTCTTATATCCTCATCATCCTCGACATGCCAAGAATATGTACTTTTTATTGTTCTCTTGTTGCGATGGTATCACAAATATACTTGAGACGCATTTAGCGTGACGTTGCTTTTTCCTGCCCAGCTGGTGGCTCGATAGTTGTAAACGAGCTCGACAATAGTCACCATTACAGCTTCAACACCACCTTGACAGCGTCGATCACTTGGTCCTGGGCAGCCTTGGGAGCCGCAACCACACCCGTGTTGGCAGCCAAGGTCCGGCCCTTGCTGAAATCCAACCGCTGGCCATAGATATCCGTCACTTGGCCGCCGGCCTCGCGTACAATCAGGTCACCTGCGGCATGGTCCCAGATCTTCTCCTGGTAACCCTTCTTGACGGGCAATCGCAGGTAGATGTCTCCCGCACCCCGAGCAATCGAGCAGTACTTGGCCTGCGAGTCCAGTCGCACGCTCGGGGCAGTGATGCCTAGGCGCTCAGCAACAGCAGCGTTGTCACCCTGCGCCGAGTGCGCCGCTTCCACGCCCTCACAGAAAACAGCCTGGGCGATATCGGGGACCGGGCGCATAGAAATCGACTTGCTGGGGGCAAGAACACCGCTCGAAAGCGGCCGGCTGGTGGCGCCCTCGCCCTGAATGGCGGAGAACAGCACGCCGTTGCTGGCAGTCTCTGTCTGCTGGGCGCCCGTGCTCGCGGTGATAGCCACCCTGTCATCCACCGGCAGGTTGGGCGTGCCAATTGCGCCGACCTTGACATCGCCGTCCACAATCAGGCCCAGACACACGGCATACTGGCCACCGCGGAGGAAGCCCTTGGTGCCGTCGATGGGGTCGAGAGCCCAGATGCGGCCCTTGGGACCACCAGAACTCTTGCCCTCGTCAATGATATCCAACATACCCTCTTCGCTAGGCAGAGGACCGCCCAATATCTTGTCGCTCTCCGCATCTTCCAGCTTGATATCTTGGACTAGGCGCCAGATCTCTGCGCTGAGCGCCTTGTCCTCACGTAGGGAGCTAGCCTCCTCTTCGGCGACAATCTCGTCGTTGGGGAAGTTCTTGCGAATGGCCTGGATGATGAGGGCCTGGGCTCCGAAGTCGCCAATGGTGACGGGGGACTTGTCGTCCTTGGAGACGGTGCCCTTGGCCTTTTCGAAGAAGACCTTTTGGGTGAGGAGGGTCGCGCGCTGAACGGCGAGCTCGGCGATATAACGTTCTTGCTGGTAAGACATGATTGCGGGCGGGGGATGGGAGAGAGAAGAGAAGAGGAGGGAAAGGCGAGAGCGGGTCTCCCAGGCCACGCTGAGGGCCACGACGAGGGTGGAGCAGACCACGAAGCGGGACAGCAACGCCAAGTAGGTAGATCGGTCTGTCCGGAAAGACCCACGCCGCATTAAAGCACCGCGTCGGAATAGGTAGAGATGGAAAATCGAAGGCAAACCTGCTTGCACTTGAGCTGTTGGCTTCGTCAGTCCCTTGCCCCTCAGGCCAACTCAGGCAGAGACGCTACCTCAGGCACCAACTCCCCGCCCTAGTCCCGTTTGGGCAGTCACGCGATAAGTGTCTCATTGCTCGATTTCCTGGTAATCACAGGGCCTTTCAGTTTCTCTTTTCAATTCTGCATTGACTTAAGGCCCTTTACCTTATATATTAACTGTACACCCTCTGGGTCTGCAAACCCCGACTCGGCTTATCGGGCAACCGACTAGCGCCAAGATACGGCACTAGATACCCGCCCCTGCGCCCTCCGACGTCACCGCGCGAAGGAATCATACCTTTGCCCCGATCCTACAATTGGTGTACCTTGTATCTGGCGCAGATAAACCAAGGGTTTATATCTCCCGAGTGTGCAATCCTCAATTTCCCTTGATCCACTCAATTCCACGCGGTCCGGTGTAATCCTTGTGCGGGGTCCTCGATATCGCTGATAAACGCGGGGTGGTCTGCGTTTCGGGGGTTCTTTATCACATCTTCCCTGCGGTTCTAAGCGTTCCTCACTCTTTGCGATCCACATCGTATTCAACCAGGCATCATGTTCCAATCTTCAGTAAGTCGCTGTGTGAATGCTTTGTCGGGACAGCTCTGATTGCGGACAGAAACCATACTCGGCGGTGACTGTGCAAATCGAGGTTCTCACGAGCGAGCAATATGAAATCGAAGACTCTAGCGGTATTGTCGATCTTGTCGAGGTGGTCCGCATTCAGGCCACTGGCCCGACGGAAGCAAGCCGGGCTTTGCGCAAGAAACTGTGAGCTTCTCGCGGGCATAGAGAACGATTGGATTCGGGGCTCACGCACACACCTAGTAAATACGGCAATCTTCACCGACAGCTTCGAGCACTCACGATCCTCGACTTCCTGGTGCAAAATGCAGGAGAGCGCTTCTTGCGTGAGTTCGCCGACGAGCCACTCTTGGAACGACTCCGCATTGCAGCCACCGATTCCGTTTCCGATCCCCTCGTAAAACAAAAGTGCAAACAGCTTTTTGGACAATGGGCAGCCTCGTACAAAGACACCCCGGGTATGGGTAAGGTTACGGCGCTATACCGGCAACTGCCCAAGCGAAAACAGCCCGCCTCCCAGGCCAAGGCTAAAGTGCTCCGTGAGGGCGCAAACTCCAATGAACCACCAATGGGGCACTCGGTGTCAGTGTCTACAGGGAATGGGCCATCTACAGTGCTCGGCAGCCCGAAGCAAAAGCCCAGCAAATCCAAGAAAGACAAGCGGGAGAAGAAACGATCTGTAAGCTCGCCCATCAACCTTGAGAAAGAACGGCCGCAAATTCTACAAACCATTGCCGCGTCGTCAGTTGCCAGCACCAATCTGTTGAACTCACTGAAGCTTGTCAACCGCGAGACCACCCGTGTGAGTGAGGATGCAGAAGTCATCAATCGATTCGATCGGTGCAAGGATCTGCGGCACCAAATTCTCCGTTATATCCAATATATTGAGAGTGAGGAGTTCCTGGGTGGCTTGATCCATGCCAATGAGGAGCTAGTGACCGCATTGATGGCGTTCGAAGTGCTGGACAAGAGCGTGGATTATGACAGCGACAGTGATGAGGATGTGCTTGAGGGAAATTCCAAATCCGGCCGGGGACTGGACGACGATATGAACCAGAAGTTTTCTGGGCTGAACGTCAACCCTTCCAAGCCGCCGCGACCGAGCCGACCCGTGGACCTTCCCATTGCCTCTTCGTCTCAAAAGTCTCGCCAAGTCTTTGAAGGTGATAGCGAGTCGGAGGAAGAAGATGACGAGGATAACCCATTTGGAGATCGCAATGCGATTAAGACACCTGGGGTTGAGAAAACGGGTTACAGCTGGTATGTGCTTCCCTGTGGCTTTCTTGATACCTCTCGCACTTGCTAACCTGTCCATAGGAAGGAAGTATGAACAACCCACAACTCTTGAGACCCGGATATTCAGACCTGGGGTTAGTTGTGATCCCACATATTTTTATTTTTGTCTGGTCTGCTCTTTGGCTCGCGTATAGGATACCCACGAGTCAGCGCTGTGACTGCTGTCCTTTTGAGATGATGGTGCTGAGTGTATTTTAGTTTGAGGGTTTGGCCTGCATAGCTCTTAATGAATTGATGTTTCCGTATGTTCTTCATTTATTGTAGTCGAGAATATAGACCGATGGATACATTCAGTCACCCCATCCTAAATCCACCTACAACGTCATCCATCTTCCAAAGGTCCCTCAACACCACAGAATCAGCCAGCAAGCTCAACGCACCCGTCACTTTATCTGGAATCCCAATACCACCACCATAACTCCAGTTTAAACACAGCAGCGCCCAAACAGAGGAGGAAAAGAGATCTTTCCTCCAGGCCAGGATCTCCAATCCTCGAGCTTCTTGTGTCTTCACAGCCATCCTCGCCCCATCAACAGATTTAGTCAATGAAATAGACGATGTCGAGGTCTCTTCCCGTCGACGTCTAAGCGTTTTCTCGCGCCATAGCTTCCCCAATTGCAGAAGCATATGAATGAGCAATCCGCGCGCACTCCACATATACCATCTGTCTATGTCGCTCCATTTTTCAATGATCCGACGAGGGAGGATGTTCTTGGATGCAAGGTAGGCCACATTTTCTAGGAGTTGATACACTATACTTGCGAGAAGTTGGATGACTTCCAAGGCGTGGATGGCTGCGTCTTCTGGTGGTGTTTGTATTATCTCGGATGTTTGGGTCCAGAGCGAGACGAGTCCGAACAGGCGCAATGTGTAGCGTGTGTCTGATAGCAGGGAGGAAAGCAGCATAAGTGATGAAGAGGGTGACCTCCCAACGGATTCTAGGGCAATGTCGCTCTTTCGTCGGGCCGGAAATCCTAGCCTTCTTTGAAGTCGGATCCATTGTTGGGAGGTGAATAGGTAGTGTAGTGCGTGCGAGAAGTATTCAATAGATCCAAGGATGCTGTCTTGGCCAGTGGAGGTTGATAGTATTCTGCCGACGATGTTTGCCATTAAAAACCCCATTCTTAAGTCGAGCAAGAAAGAAGATGGATTCCTTACTTGTTAAGTCTCTGCATAGTCATTTCGATTGACTTGAATGCCCCCGAGAATGTTGATAGTTGACGAGGGGATATTCCGCTCTGCTGAACCCGCGAGTCAACTCCATCGGGGTCAGATGAATTGTCGACCCTCTCGGCGTGGCCATACTTGACTTGGGATTTTGTCATGATATAGCTCGTGAGTTTTTGTTTGCAGTGAATTTATTACTCTCTCATCGGGCCATTCCTGGGGGCTTCGGCTGTTTATCTTGTTTGAGATGTATATCGCCAGTACCTTCCATGTTGGTATAGCCCTAGACACGTTTATGTAACGCCATCCCCGAGCCCACCTGGACACCCCTGGGCAACCTACGAGAATACCCGATGAGGTGTTTATCTCGAGAGGTATATAGTCTTGCAAGCACCTCAACCTGCTCCGCGGTAACGCGGTCAGCCGTTGGGGAAAAGGCCTCGAACAGTGGACGCTGACCCAGAATTTCCCAGACGGTACAGGCAAGGGTCCAGATGTCAGAGACAAAGGAGAGCGGCTCGCCTGAGAATCGGGCCTCAGGCGGCTGGAAGAGAGGAAGAGTCTTTGAGGTCAGTCGGTAGGTGTGGTTTGGATTGAAGATTCTCCAAAGGCGCTCAGAAAGATCTTCTCCTCGCCTATATCAACATCATTGCTGTGAACGCCAAACCATCCCGGCATAAACACGCGGCCGGGAACGCCATTTGACAACTGCTCCCCATCGAGACGGACGACAGCTTCTGATTCTGGCTCTCCAAATCTTTCGTATAGCTCGAACGTAGAAAAATAATCTTTCGCTTCAGGAAATTGGATTAATATGTTGCCAAGATGAAGGTCTAGTAAATCATGTCAGTCAATCAGTTCAGCTGGAAGCATCTGTCTGTTTACGTACCACCGTGCACCGTATCTTTCCCGGGAAGAAGTGCGACACCACGAATGAGTTGGTGCAATAATTGACTGCGCGACCTTGGGTCGAAATAACCCCAAGGTGGAAGCTCATTTGGGCTGGCGGAGTGACAATATATCGATGTCTCCCATTAGGGCCAGCAACCCATAATTCATCGATGAGGCGAGGAATAATCTCTCTGCCCGGCCTGGCGGGCGAGTTCCCAAAAGAACGTATCAGACGGGCCTCATGCGGGCAGCCACTGGAATCAGAAGTAGTGACCTTTATTGCCACATATCTGGCTCCTTGTAGGTCACGGGTTAGCCATATGGTGGAGTACCCTCCATATCCAAGCTTGTCGACCAGTTGATAGCGGCCATCATTCAGCCTGTCTCCGATGTGTAGAGGGTGGAATCCACCTAGGCGGTATCTGTCTAGGTCTTCGACATGTTCAATGACCCCGTACTGAGACTTGCCATGCTGAGACAACAGGGTCAAACTGCCCAGGTGAGGTAGAGGAGTGACGACTAATCTTTATGCCTGAGGTGTCAAGGGACCATCGTCTCCATCCATAGATTGAGCCCTGGAACTCCTCTTGTTATGCTATCGCTAATGAACCTCAGGCTTAAGTTGGGATTTTGCTTCTCTTAGTGGAAGTTATCAAATTCCAGACCAGCCGCTGACCCTCGCTTCGCTCAGGTGGCTTTAGGAAATGTAGTAGAGAATGAAGATTAAAATTCAAAGCCTTGACTAAATTTTCTCTAATTCAAGAGGTTAGTTCACTAATACTCTCTTTTACCTCGATTTTTATATCCGTTTTCTAATCGCTTTTTACACCATTTATAATTCTCTAATTCCTCGGACCTCTTCTCTATATTGAGCGAGGGCTAAGAAACAGAAATTACAATTAGGGAATTGTTTCACTGCGGTCACATATTCCTATATCACAGACGTGGACACGGCTTGTTTCAAGGAACTACCTATCCTTCTGAATCTGATCTATCTGCCATATCCTGGCCCCTCCACAAAGACTAGAAAGCTAGTGTGTCTAGATATGACGTCGGTGCGTTTTCGGAGATCTCCAGGGCTAACTATGAGACAAGATGATGTCTGATCGTGGCACTTACTAAAGAGAAGAGAAAAGATAGTCAAAACGGAGAGCAAAGGAAAGGGGGAAAGAAGACGTGAGAAAAAGCTTGGAATATTCTATTTCATTTTCAAAGAAAGGCGAGGGGCTAAATGCTGCAATAGGAAAATAGGACAGGAAATGGGGGCGGACGCGTAGAGAACGGTTGCCTCAGCTCAGTACTACATTTAAGAGCGAGAGACAACTCCCATCTCTTCTCTCCTTCTATTCTTCTCTAATATCCTATCTCAGTTTACTTCTATTCTTCTACAACCACCAAATGGCCATCACCGAACTTGCCCTCCTGCGCCTCAAATCGCAAGACACTTTCACTACAATAAAGCCAGTCCTACAGGATGCTCAAAAAGCCCAGTCCGAGTACTCGGGCCATGCCGTTCGCTTCTTCCGACAGACCGAAGATCCACTCTGTATATACCTCACGGGTGGGTGGGCGTCGGTCGCAACGCACAACGGCGAATGGACCACGCTGGAGACGAACCAGCAGTTGCTGGCGCGGTTGGTGGAGCATGTAGATATGGAGTGGATGTTCCACTTGGATATTGATGTGAGTATACAACTTTACTTTCAATTTACTTCAGAATTGTTATGATTATTATGATTATTATTTCATCTTTATACAAGAGTAAAGAAACTAATTTCCCTTCCAGCCATCCACCGCAACCATCCCCCTTAACGCCCCCATCATCGCCATCAGCCGGTACTTCGTCGACCGCAACAAGAAAGCCGAGTTCGAGGAGGCCTACGAGGCCGGCATACCGGGTCTCGGCGAGTACACGGCGCCGTTCCCGTATTGCGGCAGCTGGAGGATCGACAAGGACGGCGAGAACGACGAGTTTGTGCTGTTCAGTGGATGGAACTCCGTCGAGCACCACATGGAGTTTACTCGATCAGAGGCGATCGCGAAGCTCAGGGGGATTCTGGGGGCGTTGACGGGCATGGAAGTTGCACATGTGCAGAAGCAGAGCTTGGAGTGAATTGCTCTCTCTATATATACCACCCTGAGGGTTTACTAGCACTACTACTACTACTACTACTACTACTAATATCAAGTCAGGTGTGTCTTGTATGTGTGATAGAATTAAAGACTCAGACAATGCAGGTGTACACCGATATATATCCAGACTTTTTGTACTGCGAGGCAAAAATGGGCAAATGGGTATTATGGGTCGTCATCATCGGGAGTCGTGAGCATAACGCAAAGCAAAGCAGAGCAAAAGGCAAGCAAAAGCAGATATACAACGCATTGCACATTGAAGGCCATGTATAGTCAATCCAACTCCCGAAACAAAGTAAAAGACCCATGGGCGGCTATTACAGCACCTTGGGTTTCATCCATTCGCTCGTGCCAACCCCCAGGTTGAGGCCGTTCCGCTCCCACCAGCGACGAACACGGCCCTCCGCGCCCGAGACCGGGTCCGCGTCCTCGAGGGCCTCTTCAATGTCACAGGTCTTGAACTCGACGCGCAGACCACACGTCTTCCACCACTGCAAAACGTGGTCGTGGCCGTTCTTCGTCGGGCCCACCAGGACCTGATTGTCGAAGATCATCTTGGGGCCCTTCAGCCTGTACCAGAACGCGAGCACATGCACATGGCCGTGGGTGCTGGCGATGCGCGCGACGTTTTCGGCGTGACTGTATGGGATCCCCGAGGCATCCCACCAGGCGAGCGAGGCGGTGCGGCCGGACTGTGCGGCCAACAGGACGGATTTGCCCACTTTGAGAGGGAGTGAACTGTGGACTGGGGCGTTGGCCGAGGCGGTTTTCCACCAGTCTAGAACCTCGACTCGGCCTTCGGCGCTGGCGGCTTCGAGCGCGCGCTCGCTATACCGGAGTGAGAGCCCCGAGTGCAGCCACCAGTCCAATACTTCGATAAACCCAGCCCGGGAGGCCCCGTCCATGGCATCCGCCTTGTACTCTTTGTTGGGTAAAGCGGGGGCGTCGCGCCACCACGTCAATACTTTCGGGTTGCCGTAGATTGCAGAAGCGCGATATGGGATGTTGGTGAGCCGGGAAGTGGTCCAGAGTAAGTCGAGGTGGATTTCAGTGAGATAGGAAAGGATGTCGGTGCGTGAGAATTTGACAATAAGGTGGCAGGCAAGGTCAGAGAGGGGTTTCCACCGAGGCAGCGCGTCGATCCGCTTCTTGATCGCGGCAAAGGATCCCCGCAAAATACTATATTCCAGGGTGGCCGGCGTGGACATTTTCAGTAGATGGCTCTGCCATTCTTGCGGAACGGGGAGATTCGTCGGGATGCCCACAGCCTTGGCGGTTTCCCAGTCCCCCAGCTGATCCTCGAAGACGTTCAGCCAGATCTCTAGAGGGAGCGAATGTGCACTCCCCTCCGGCTTGGGCCAGTGTGTCTGCAGGTGTCGGAGTGCCGAAGCGGTGGCACTTGTGGATGTCGTCGCCGACGACAGCATCGATTTGGTGGTCGGTTTTGCGGGCGGAGTACCGGATCCAAGGCCCGCCCCGTTAACGAGGGTAGTCTCCCACGGCGGCAAGTGTAGAGAGGTTTCGAATGTCTTATGTAGATCCTTCAGACCGTCCCATGGTAGTGGCGTTAGGTCTTCCGGGCCGTTAGACTTCCACAGCACGGGTTGCACAATGCGAATCCATGGCCAGAAACAGCGGATTTCGTCAAGCTGGCGACTGCTCAGCGGGTGATCCCATTCCGAGATAGTCATGCCCGGGATGAGGATCACCGGCTTGGCCGAGACCCAGCCGCGCAGCAGCGCCAAAGTCAAGGTATTGGTCAAGCCGGCCAGCATAGAGCCCAGAGCGCCCGCATCGATGGGGGCGACCAGCAGCATGTCAGCCCACTCGCAGAGCTCAGCCGTCTTTGCCTTGAGCCATTTCCGCGCGCCCGTCTTTTTATCGAAGGTCTGGCTGTCGACCGTGTCCATGTAGTGGGGGATTTTGTTGGTGCCCGCCAGCAGGGCTGAGGGTTCGTCGGTGATAAGGCGGAGTTCGATGTACGGGTTTTGGACGAGCGATGGCAGCACCGTGTCCGCAAAGGCGCTATCGGTTGACAAGAGCAGTCGGCGTCGTCGGGGGCGCGGTGCGGCATCCTGTGTTGCTCGCTCGGAACACACCCGATAGCCTTCTTCATTGCCTATCACCGTCTCTTCGCAGTCGCCCTCCACCTCCATCGCACTCGACCACACCCCCTTGGCGATGCTGCTTTGTGGACTGATTGGTATTGCTTTATCAGACTGAAAATCCACTGCCATGCCCCAGAGAGAGTGCGAAGAGCATGTGAGGATCCGTAGAGCGGGAGGCAAGATCAGACGAGGTAATGTGGGAGGGGTATGAAATCGAGATCAATTGGGCTTCCGACGATCAGGTCTTCAAATGCGGTACTTTTGAGCAAGCGGTGTGTCTCGACGATGCGTCGCCACGTCGAGGTGAGCAGAAGAAAAGCACAAACCAATCAAGGCTGGCGAGTTTGAGGGTCTCCAATTGGGCCCAAGCCGCGCCTGGATTGGTGTTCGGGTCTGACTAAAACATGATTCATGATTGTTCCTCCACCCCCCGGGAGCCATGGAACTTGATGAAAACAGCATCTATTTAGATTGATGCGAACTAGTATGTCTACTTCGGTGTATGTACAAGGTCCCTCTTAAGTGCATGCAAAATCTCAACGTCGCGCCAGGTTGTTGTGCAGCGTATGCTCTCTCATGGCAATACTAGTCAACGCCCCCAGTACAGTGAGTCCCAGCAGAGTGAGGAAGACAGCGCGCAAGGAATCCATATAGGAATTCAGAACCCCCGGGACCCAATCCAAGGGAAGCTTGCGGATCTCATTCAAGCTATCTCGGATCCGCGAGATCAGCTCTTCGGCGTGCTCACGACCACGAAACCGGGACCATAGTCCCAGTTTCAAAGTGTTCTGGAACACAGTCGAGGCGATGGTGATGCCGATCGTGCTTCCGGTGCTGCGGAAGGCATAGGATGCAGACGTTACTACCGCGTGGTGATGATGGTCCACCGCCGAGATGAGTGCCACTAGCGTGACCGTCAGCATGCTTCCGTAGGCGACGCCCCCTAGAAAGAAGTAGAGGAAGGGCAGCCAAGCAGGGGTGGAGAGATCCAGTGTGCAGATCAGGGCAGCCGCGGTGACCTGCAGGGCCATGGCAACCGAGTTGAGAATCTTGTATCGACCACTGGCGCGCATGATAACGCCGCAACCTAGAGATCCGATGGAAGTACCAACCGCCTGAGGGATCAATCGCACACCAGCAGCAGTGGCCGAGAGCCCTTGCACCTGGAAAAATAGGGGCAAATAGAAGAGAAGGCCAAAAACTGCCATCGTCGTAAACCAGTTAGTCAGGCAGGCTGCGGCAACCGTCCGATCCAGGAGAAGGCGAACGGGAATGATAGGCTCCGAGGCAATCCGTGCTTCCACATAGATAAATGCGCCTAGAAATACCAGCGATAGGGGCAACGAGGTGAGAACAATTGGGTGCGTCCACGGCACTTGGTTGCCGCCCATATTGAGCCCAAGTAGCAAGGATACCAGCGCCAGGATCAACGTGAAGGCACCGAGGAAATCCACTCGTCGGATCCGGGCTGTGTCCGAGTTCTTCACCGGGATGTCTATCTTGATGGCAACCATGACGCACGAGACCGCCAGGAACGGGACCTGGATCAAAAACGCCCATCGCCATCCCAGGGTATCATTGATCCATCCCCCAAAGACCCCTCCAAGTCCACTCCCTGCCCCATAGCAGAGATTACCAATGCCTTGCCACACACCACGCTTGCGCAAGGGAACCAAGTCCGAGGTCACAAAAGTGGAAATGGCCGTGAGACCACCCCCGCCGACACCTGCGACAACGCGACCAAAAATGATAGCCGATTGTGTCTTTGCCAACCCGCAGATCACATTGCCGATAGCGAAGAAAACATTGGAGAAGATCAGGCCCCAGCGACGCGAGTAGATGTCGGTTAACCGGCCGCTGAGAGGCTGGAAGGCGGCATTCGAGATCAAGTAGGAAGTAGCCAGCCACGAGAGCAGTGAAAAGGAATTGAAGGAAGAGGATATGGGTGCGGAGAGGGTCGCGACGATCGTTGTGTCTGTGGTCACCCAATTCATTAGTCTCTGAACCAGTGCTCAACGACATCGTCAAGGGTCAAGATACTGCCATACCGAGTGCGGCGAGAAATACTCCAAGCCATATGCTCGATAGAATCACAACCAGCTCTTTTGTACTGGCTTCCTTGGCCAGGGGGGCTCCATTTTCGGGGCCTGAATCGGCGGGGCAGGCCTCGCGAAGCAGAGGCGTTTGCTCCGTTGTCGGGGATCTGGAGGGTTCATCTGTCGCCATGGTGAAGAGGATATTTAGGATAGTCGGTCTTCCATTGGTGTTTTAGGGAAATGCCCACCGAATGGCGTGCTCGGGGTGAGTCAGAAAAGTGGTGGGTTTGTTCGGGTGGATTGCCGATGCGGAGAACGCCGTGGCGTGCGGAGACCTCATGTGCCGGGAACTCGCTACTATATAAACTTGGTGATTTACGACAAGCTTCAATGGAATGATAGATGTCAGAGGAATTACGATAGCGGACTTTACGGTGCTCATTCATTTGTGCCCTCGACATCCTTATGCCAAAGCCCAAGAACGTTACTGCAATCAAGCGAGAAGGAGGGTATTTTGTCTATCACCATCTATCTCTATCTCTTGCTTTTTCCCCCTCCTATAACCACTCACTTATCACACATGCAAAGAAATCATAAACATCGCTCGCAGACGCAGGTATACTTTTAAATCGCCAATCCAACAGCTCCAGCCGTGACCATTAGTCAACATACTTGGGGAGAGTCTTCAAGACACCGTCCCGGGCAATCTCCTCCATAGCGGTGGTGATCTCCTGGATGAATCTCTTGTCGCCGCGCAGGTCATCACCGAACAGGTTCTTGATGCTGAGCAGTTCAGCCGGGTTGGTGCCTCCGGTGCGAGCCTTGGCCTGGAGCATCTCGCGCATGGGATCGTCGACCGTGAACTTCTCGCCGTTGTCTTGGACGCCGTTAATATAGCGGAACCACGCGGCCGCGACGAAGCACAGGCGGCGGAACGGGCCCGTCACCCAAATGGCCTCGGCAATCGACGGCATGATGAACTGGGGAACCTTGCCCGAGGCGTTGAGGCAGACGCGGGGCAGCTGGTCCATGATGGTAGGGTTGGAGAAGCGCTCCATGAGCGTGTTGCAATACTCATCAATGTTGACACCGGGGATGTCGGGCAATGACGGCTTCACCTCCTCCTGCATCATCTGCCACACGAACTTGCGGTACACTGGGTGCTCCATGACTTCGTGAACGTATTTGAAGCCTGCCAGCTGACCGGGGTAGCCAATGGCCGAGTGGCTGCCGTTAAGCAGACGAAGCTTGTGCTTCTCGAACTCCTCGACGTCCTGAACATTCTTGACAACCTGAACCCCGACCTTCTCGAATGGAGGGCGGCCATCGGAGAACTGGTCCTCGATCACCCACTGCATGAAAGGCTCCGTGACAACGGGCCATGCATCCTCGATGCCAAACTCAGTGGCAAGTGCCGTTTTGTCGGCGGGAGCTGTTTGAGGGGTGATACGGTCGACCATGGCGTTGGGGAAGGCACCTTGCTCGACAATCCACTTGGCGATCTCCGGGTTGCGCAGGCGCGCAAACGACTCGAGCATATGGCGCGTGATGGAGCCGTTCTTCTGCATGTTGTCGCACGACATGACAGTGAAGGGCTTCAGTCCCTGCTGCTGACGCCGTACCAGGGCGGCGTAAAGGAAGCCGAAAGTGGTCCGCGGGGTCTTCTCGTTGGCCGGGTTGAGGTCGAACTGGATGTCGGGGTTCTCGCTTTGCAGCTCGTGGGTGTTCTCGTTGTAGTAGTAGCCGCTCTCGGTGATAGTGAGCGACACAATGTGGGTATCAGGGTGGGCCATCTTGGCGATGACAGCCTCACGGTCGTCGGGGGCAAAGAGGTAGGAGTTAATGCTACCGACAACGTTGGCAAGGCTTCCCTTGGCCGAACGCTCAATGACCGTGTAGAGGTGGTCCTGCGATCTCAACACGTCGCGCATGGTGGCGTCGAAGGGCTGCAATCCAACACCGCAAATGGCGTAATCGGTCACCCCATGCTTCTGCATCACCTGGTCGACATAGACAGCCAGGTGAGCTCGGTGGAAGCCGCCTACACCGACGTGGACGATTCCCTCCTTGACCGCGCCACCGCGCTGATAGCTTGGAACCTTGATCTGTGCTTTACCTGCCGTCGCAATTTGCGACAGGTTCTTGCTGGTGAGCTTCAGGGGTGCCATGATGAGAGGAATTGGATAAATGGCAAGAATTGGGAGAGATGGAAAAGGGGAGTCAACAACTGCTGGGTCACCGCCGGTTTTGACAGGGAAATGATCCAGAGCGTTACATCATGTGGTGGGGTTGGCATAGGCAGTCTTGTGGAGTTGACCGCGTTTTCGCTTAATAAAGTCCAATCTTGCGTCAGACTAAAACCCTAACGCCCAAGAAATCCTTTGTTTTCTTTCCAGGATTGTTCGATTTCCGATCTAGATGTTCGTGGAGTGTGTACATTTATGAGACCTCCAAGTGATGGGCCCCAGCAAATTGGAGAAAAACCCACTATTACTAGAACTATCACAGTAATTTCAGCTATCGATCTTCGCATAATCCATTCTTTAAGATTTTTTTTTGGCCGCCACCTTCCGAGCTATCCAGGGGGTGTACCATGGGTGCCCCAAAGTACTTGGCCCCTCCATGTACCCCGCGCTTTATTCTGCTCGCAGTTTGGGATTCAACCACTGACAGGCTGTTAAAACAGGGCGGTAAGGCTATCTTGGGGAAGCGGTGGGGCAAGGTACATCCGGTGTCAAACCTTGTGGCGTCAGGAATCAGGTGACTTGCTCGGGCTGAGACCGGGGCAAGCTGGGCCAGCAGCCACGCTGTTTCTGCCCACTCAAATCTGCCTATCTCCCGCTCTCCCGCTGATCTCAGTCGATCCCCACTTTCCTTGCTCCCCTATCGGTGGGGTCAAGTCATGGACCGGGAACCTACAGAAAGTTCTGGCCTTATCATTAATTCACATTTTTCATTTTTTTATGTGTAATATTTATTGGTGCGACTTAATTCGAGCCGCGCCTTGCGATGGCATAATTTTGACTTGGTTATGCGTGATTCTCAAACAAACATTTGGAGTAGTTTCTGCCCTTGCTCGAAATTCATGGTCTTACGAGCTCCTGTTGTTTTATTTTTTCCTGCATGTCTGGTAGCATCCAAAGTGGCCGTTTACTAGGCGTGGCAATGCAAATGGAGACTACTTTCGACGGGCTATAGTATTTGTTTCAAGTAGTAAGACCATGTATGACTACACCCTGATAGTCTCGGAATATCCCGGTCGATCTAGTGTCTATGATAGCTCTGTCTTAATGCACTAGTGTTTCGGCAATTGCCTTTGAAATTGTCGATTGCCGAAGTCTGAAACATTGCCAATAATCTATCGATTTCCACTATTGGCTCATTTAAGGCTTTCTGGTTTGAACCTTGGGAAGTATAGTAAGAATTATTCAAGTAGGATATTTGTTTCGATAGTTAACTCATGTTCTTCGGTGACTATGAAAGAACAATGTATATTAAGCCAAGAAAAACCTTCAAAGATATGTCTAGGAATTAGAATCAGAGAAACTATGTCTTTGATATGTAGATGCTGTCACTACTCAGCAATCGCTTTTAGATATTTCTAGATTCTTCTAGTGGTATAGATCATATGTTACAAAAAGAAATGCTTTCTCTAGGCTTAAATTAAACATGTTTTGCCTTGGGGCTTGAGAGGCTCAAGGAATGTATTCCATGAGACACTTATGACTGATTTGAATTATTCATATATTTATGTTCATTCATCTTTCTGAAACAACAGTTGAGATATTCAGCAGAACCTTTCTAGTCGAGTGGATCAACCTTCAAAATTAGTTTAGGACCTTTGTTTCAAAACCAAATCCAAGGCTATTAAGAAGCCAATAGGGCAACTTTTAGAGAGAAAGTATTCTTATGAATTCTGTATTCAAAACAAGTGTTAGTCATTTTAAAGTTATCTGATCTAATCGAACCTTGGAAGCACTTCAGCAACTGAGAAAGTATTGGACTAACCAACTAAGGGAAAGCAAAGATATTTTATTAATTCTATGGCCAGAGAGAAATGGACGAAGTACTGGTGTACGCATAGGCAAATAGACATCTTGAGTTCTAGATCAGGTTGTGGGTAGGGAGCTTTGATGTTGGCCCATCCCTCTCATCTGCCTCTCTCATCCGCTGGGACTTCACCTCTGCAACCTCCACTTTTCTCCCCCCTTAAACCATTCATGGACTACGAGTGTGAGTCCTGACACTTTGGTCACAGTCCATGCTCTATCCTCGTCTCCGTCTTGTTCATACCAACCTTGGAACACTCGTAACCTCGATATTTTGCCTTAGGCTTTGCTGACCATTTAACCGTGCAGAGTTTCCAATTCAAGATACTCAACATCCATATCACCGAAAAGAAAATCCAAGCCACCCCCAGAGCTTGTTCCTTTCACCAACGGTCTCTTGCACCCATCCTGCAGAGTCTCATGCGAGTCGGGGTGGCTACTAAGGGGCCGGCCGTTCATGAAGTCGATGAGGTTCTGCAGGCAGCCAAATGGAATGACGTAGAGGACAAGCGTCGGCCCCGATGATGGTGCGCAGATTCCCCTAGCAGATCGCAAGTGCCGATGTAACTCCCATGGCCATCAGGAGGACCGGGTTCTCCGCAATTGTGGGGACCCCTGTCGGATTTCACTCTTGCGGACGCTTCTCCGGCTGGAATTTCAAAGCCAATCTCGGGTTTCCCTGGTCGTCGCCCTCTCCACTCTTCCTTTTTCTGCTGTTCGTCATTCGCGTCGCTTGATTGATCTTCCTTCCCCATCCCTATTTGGGTTGATCTATTTGGGTGAACTGGGAGTTGCCTAATTATGTTTCGTCAGCACTCTGCGGCACTTCCTGTCTCCGCGCTTCCCGAAGCGAGGTATACCATGATCCGGCAGAGACCGCGGTCATAAAAGCCAGGATGGATGGGCCGAGGTGGATCTGCCCTCTTTTAAGTATATAGCACATGGCTGCTCCGCAGATGTGAAGTCTTGTCAGGGGCCATCCGGTCACAATATCGCTGCCAATAACCACCCAGCCATGACTCGTTTGTACGCCCTTCCCCTGCTGGCTTTGGCCTCAATGGGTCTCGCCAGTCAGGATGCGTTTGAGTCCAAATGTACCTCGTTCGCCGAGAAGATCAACATCCCTAATGTCAAGGTCAATTTGGCCGAAGTGGTGAAGGGTGGCACCAACGTCTCGTTGGCCGACAATCCGTCCAGCTGCGCCCAGACCCAGGGCTCGACGCAAAGAGTCTCAGTAGACGTATGCCGCATCGCCATGGCCGTGTCCACTTCCGACAGCAGTAACATCACGCTCGAGGCCTGGTTCCCGCGCGAGTACAAGGGCCGCTTCCTCAGCACTGGCAACGGCGGTCTTTCTGGGTGTATGCATGCCTGTAATCAATTGGAGACTTGGTAAATTGCTGACGCAGAAACAGGTATCCAATACTACGACTTGGCCTATACCGCGCAATTAGGCTTCGCCACGGTCGGCGCCAACAATGGCCACAACGGCACCTCGGGCAAGCCTTTCTACCATCACCCGGAAGTGCTCAAGGACTTTGCCTATCGCTCCTTGCACACGGGAGTCGTGGTGGGCAAGCAACTCACCAAGAAGTTCTACGATGAGGGCTTCAACAAGAGCTATTATCTCGGCTGTTCAACCGGAGGTCGACAAGGGTGGAAATCCGTCCAGAAATACCCGAACGACTTTGACGGCGTGGTGGTAGGAGCGCCGGCAATCAACTTCATCAACTTGCTTTCATGGAGCGCACACTTCTACCCCATCACGGGGCCCCCGTCCTCCAAAACGTTCCTATCCACTGCAGATTGGAAAGTCGTTCATGAGGAGATCCTGCGACAGTGCGACTCTCTCGACGGTGCAAAGGACGGTATCATCGAAGACCCGGATTTATGCCGGCCAATCCTCGAGACTCTGATCTGCGCATCCCACGCCTCGAACACAACCAACTGTCTGTCCAGCGCACAGGTGCAAACCGCCCAGCAAGTCTTCTCCCCACTGTATGGCATCAACGGCACCTTGCTCTACCCGCGCATGCAGCCCGGCTCCGAGCTCCTCGCCGCACCCATCATGTACAGCGGTAAGCCGTTCGAATACAGCGACGACTGGTACAAGTACGTGGTGTACAACGATCCCTCCTGGACTGGCACCCATTGGACAGTCAAGGACGCGGCCGTGTCCCTAGCCCAGAACCCCTACAACATCCAGACGTGGGATAGTGACCTGTCCCAGTTCCAAAAGACCGGAGGCAAGGTGCTTCATTACCACGGCTTGCAGGACCAGCTGATCAGCTCTGAGGACTCGAAACTGTACTATTCGCGGGTCTCGGATACCATGAAGCTGCCGCCATCCAAGCTGGACGAGTTCTATCGCTTTTTCCCCATCAGTGGTATGGGCCACTGCGGTGATGGCGATGGCGCCAATGGGATTGGCCAGGGACTGAAGACTTACGGTGGCAAGGATGCACAGGACAATGTGCTGATGGCTATGGTAAAGTGGGTGGAAGAGGGCGTGGCCCCGGAGACTGTCCGTGGTGCCAAATTTGCGAATGGGGCTGGCTCCAAGGTGGAATACCACCGCAAGCACTGCCGCTACCCGCGACGCAATGTGTTTAAGGGCCCTGGGAAATCTACCGATGAGAATGCGTGGCATTGCGTCTAGGTTATGATGACTTGACTCGACTGTCAGGCATGGAGATAGCTCTTCTGTAGCGAAGGTTTATATCAAATTTGCATATTCGAAAATTTATTCAAGTCCCTTCTTGGTGTAGCCCTTGTTGAGGCGATAGGTAAGTCTCTTAAGTATCACATCCACAGAGCACGTATGAATCCCAAAACTATATCCTTTTCAAGAAATCTCTCCATCTTGACCAACTTCGAAATCAAATTCCCGAATGGCACTCCTCCATCCCTCCTCTGTACACTTAGGTGTCAATCCCAGCTCCCGATATGTCTCTCTAATCTGGGCCGTTAGTTGTTCACCAAGATTTGGCTTCCGAGCGGGCTTGGGCTCCGCATTTTCATTTTCATCCTCGTCCTCGTCCTCGTAGCACTGGCCGCTGGAGCTCGTGAAAACGACAATATCCGCGTCTAGCTTAAACCCGCCCAGTTTCTCGAGCCGGCGTATTTGCTTCTCCAATCCCGGAGCACGTCCCCACCAGATGATTTCTTTGCGGTTCGCGATGTCAAACATCACCTCGTCGTCAAGGAACAGCGCCTCGAAGAAGGTCTCCATGCGGAGACCATTCTGCGTCTTAGAAGAATCTCCCTGTGCAGCAGAGAGTGATTAATTTGACAGACTTTAAATCAAGGGCTATATCAGAACTGACCGGAATCTCAAAGTATATATACGTGTTCCACCAGCTAAAGGATGATTTCCAAACCGCCAGCTTATGAGTGGGGGGCTGCTGGACCAGCATATTTCGCCAGCTAGCCTCTGGTCGGAAATAAACTGCTCTTTTCTCGGGATGCTGAACTATATCGAGACCTTCGAAGCTGAATTCCTCTTCATCCTCGGAGTCGGTATTGATTGTATGGAAGAGCGATGGGAAGGCCGCCGCCAATAGCGGATTGTGGGCCTTTTCCGTGGAGACCCCCTCTACCGGGGTGAAAAAGAGCGCCTTTTGAATAGCCGAGGATTCTCTGATGAGGCTGGTCCACGTCCGGCACACTCGTTGCGCGGAGACTAGCAGCGTGCGCGGGTCCAGCGGGAGCAGAACGGACTCCAGCAACTCGGGAGTCGACCAGACCTGCTGTTGGGGCGAAGCGGCCATTTTTTTTTTTGTCGTGAGAAACAAAAATTTATGAAGAGGGAAACTGTCCATCTTCTTACAGAAACAATCACTTTAATCCCCTTGGCCCCCATGTCCCACGTGACATCATACGCATTGTTTTCCCTGCTCCATGTATATTGTTGTAAACTGTATGTAGAGTTGTACACTCCGCATAATCTCCTGTCTCTCAGGCCCTCTTTTGTACATCCTAAGCATACATCTTATATCCATAGCCAACAGCATTTTTCAAGAACCTCTCGGCAACTGAATCAAGCGGTGGCATTTTTCACTGAAGTAGATTCCAGCCAAAGGAAAGATGTACGAGTCCGAGTTGTCCTTCGACTTTTTCTCATCGCAGATTCCATCTTTCGTCTTATCCTTGGGATCAGGACATCTGACCGGCATCGATTCTTGCTTCTCATCCTTCTTCCATTGCCCCCGATTGTAAGTCCCCTTAGGAAGCTGCAGGTTCTGAACAATGCCATATGCGATATCCAACCCCCTATATTGTTGGGAGCATCGCTTCGTGTTAGCCAAATCAACCCCCGGAGCCTACGGCGGACACTTTTCTTTCGTTGCAAACTTACATCTTCCCCTTGGGCCCTCCACCGAAAACATAGCGGGTGTGGGTGCTTTCATGGCACAGCACTGAGGCGCGGGAGAAATGGGCCTGTTTGAGCGACATTTGACAGGACAACAATTCCTCCACCGTAGAGAAAGTGCCCCGATCCGTCACGTAAATGGAGTCGGGGTCGAAGAAGCGATTGCAAAAGGTAAGCGTCTTGTACCTGGGGTTCATATGGATTGGCGTCCGGGAACTTTTTTTGCACTTCTCGGACTGGACGCAAGTCAATCGCGGATGGTTGTCTGGGTCATGTCCACTCAGGAATTCCACGATGCGGTCATAGACGTTGCGGACATCGGTGCTAAAACCACTCTCGCTCCGCAGGCTTCTGGGGAAGAATAATCGGTAGTAATAGTTCACGCTGAGGCCGGCCTTGTTCCGTCCTGCCTTGGCCATGTCGATCGCAAATCGGATTTCTTCTTCGAGCAATTTCTTCTGGTCGTCGGTGCAGTCTCCACTGCTGGAAATGTAGTTGTACTTGACCTGGCTGGCGGGCGTGTCGGGGGTCGGCATCGTGCACTCATCCTTCTTGTCATCCTTATTTTCGTCCTTGCTTCCACTGCTGCTTCCACTGCTGCTTCCACTGCTGCTTCCACTACTGCTTCCACTGCTGCTTCCATCCGTGTTTATATCTCCTCGCTCAACGATATTCGAGCCCGAGACAATCAGCGCAAACAAAAGAAAAAGTAAAAAAGCCCACAGGCTTAGAGGGCGACGAACAGCCATAGTGACGGGTACGGAAGATCTTTCGGGCCACTGACCGGGGAAAACCCCACGTTAAGAGCGTTTAACATGCAGGGCTCGGGATTATATACACCCTATTCTATTAGTGTTGATCCCACCGAGGAGCGGGCCGCTAGTATTCCCTTAAGAATGGGGCGGTGATCCTTGTGAGCGTTGGAGGTTTTTTTTAGGGTCTTTAAAATACCCACCCAAGCCCGGCTTGACTGCTTCACTCAAAAGGCTCACTTGGTTATCGAGACGGATACAGACTGCCGTGTTTAGTTTAGATTATTTCCCATGGAAAGCGAAAAGAAACGATCGAAATGGCTCTTACATTTTTTGGTGGGGGGGGCCATATCTGACCCAATATCCACTTGAAACTAACACAACTTATGCAGGGGCTGTGGACTGGGAAAAGAATCGGATTGGGAATCGAAAAAGGCCGGGAGATTACAAAGGTAAGCATGCAAAAAAGAACATAAAAAAAACACACCAACCAACAATGAGCCCGAGCCGCAATCCATACCAAAAGAAGCGGGTTTTGTATGACAGATCGAGCGAAGATTGCTTGAATGATGGGGCAATCGAAATTCCATTGATTTTTCTCTTTCGTTCACTTATTTATTTTTTTAATTTAAAAAAAAAAAGCAACCTCATGAAGCGCTACAAGTATCGGCCCGTTGATCTCCAGATGCCCCATTCCGGGGGCCGCCCGAAGTGTTGGCTACGGCGTACCAGGGGTCCGATTCCCTTGGGCTGACGATCACAACAATTATCCTAACCAAGAAATACTGGGCATGAGTTAGGGTTATAAGCATGATTCCCTCTTCCTTCGATACAAGGTGACTACAGCTGGGACCACCATTACTCGAAACCTCAGACCACCATTAAGGTCACGTGTAGGCCAGTAACCGTTTTGGGACTAGTTCTAATAAGGGTCCCACCTCTCAGATTCTCCACTTAGCTTACCTTACCTTACTACCTCCCCCTATATTTCCAAGTCCACGAATACAGTGTTTTTACCTGTTTTTTTACCTCTCTAAACCTCCTCCCTAACTAGGAAGTATCTAGTTCCCTTTCCCCCGAATCCTCGATTAACAAGCGGTAGCAAGATAGCGAAAGTCAAGAAAAATATAAGTTAACTAGTTCTGAACTTATTCTTCTATTTCTTCCCTATTATCCTAGTCCCGATAAAGAAGGGAGTAGATAGTATTATACTCATACGCGAGCCATTAGTCGGGATTAGTCTGGGCGTCCATTGTTGAAAACTAGTTAGTAACGAGCTAGTAACTAGTTTTGGTAGGGTGTAAACAGATTTCAGTTTGTGTGACAAGATAACGATAGAGCTCGGTTAACCATTAGAATCTAATGGTGGTCTGACCTCCCAACACGTGACCAAAACGTGACTACACGTGACCTTTATGGTGGTCGGAGGTTTCGAGTAATGGTGGTCCGAGCTACCGTCTGGATAGAAGGTCCCCTTCATCTTTTTTTTATCTTATCTTATCTTTTTTTTTTCAGGTCTCACAGTGACAACCAACAGCCCTGGGTTAGTTAGAGGGATTGTTCTGGCTCCACCGAGAGGAAGGGTGGCGCTTTGTGTTTGCCTTATGCAAGGAGTCCACGGCGCCCGGGGCCAGTGAAAAATTTACCATTGTAACACATTACTTATATAGAATGATAATAAAATGTTTAGCACAAGAGGTCTAGTCCGGCCAGAATCGCATAGAAACCCGGGTTCCCAGACTTAGTGGAATTGAACTTTTGCTAAAATTGATATTCAATTATCTTAAATAGTAGCGTCCCGTAGCCTCGTACGTCACTTCTCAGCCTGGTTTTTTTTTTAAGGGTTGTTGATCTTTAGGAATCTTATTTCCAGAAACTGTGTTTCGATTTTAGCTTCACTCTTATTCTGATTTTGATACAGTTTTCTAGGACATCGATCCATGTTTCTAAGGTCAAGAGTATACGATGATTATTATAATAGGACTAGCTTTACTATCCATTTCTTTAAATAGTAATGCAGTCCCTGGGTTGATATAGATGTTCGCTCATAAAGACAATCTATAGTTAAAACTCGATTCTCCAGACCTTAAGAAATTATCTTAAACTAGGAGATAATGACTCTACCCTGTATTTTGCGGTATAATCGAATTTCTCAGCAATTAATGACTGCGTAGGCCATCACTATCTAGACAGCATTAAGGACGATCTATTTCAAGTAATATAGGAGTTTGTCTATCATAATGTCTAGTAGTTACTGGTAATTGAAGATCTAGTCTACAATGTATGTATATAATTTAAGATTGAATATATCACTACTCTTATTACGTAGAAGCTATTCCAATAAATAATAGAAATTCCTACTTCTACAGCACAAAAGGCATCTAGGCAGTGGGCATAAGAAGCATGAATCATATCACAACATCACCTTAAAAGAGCTCAAACCAAACTAAATTACATTATTACAAAAGCTATGTAGCCTGAATTATTTCTTTATATTATGATCATCATTATTACTATTTTCGTAGGAATCCATAAGCTGATGTGAGGTAATGTCAGCTATCGTGGTACCACAGGATTCCTTTCAATAATCATATGATCAAATTCTTACATGGAGAAAAGTGAGGCATTTTTCTACAGATGCTGTAATTCCTCTTATAGCCTTCTATTATAAGTCGTTTGTTAACTCTATCTTCTGATAGATGTAGCACCAACGTCATCTGGGCAGAAATGGGCGGCGCTGAATGGCAAAATATATCCTCCACCAGTTGGGCACACCGCCCTGGGGCTGTCCCGGCAGGATGAATCGCAAGCTTAGAGAAGTGGGTTTCGACTCGCGATTTTCATATCTACAATTTCTCCTACTTTTCTCCATAGTCTTTATTCAATTCCCCAGTTCCATGTTCTGTCAGTACTAAGCCAGGCGCAGGAGTTCAGCCCCCCCTCTGAAGGTCTCCGCACGGATCACCTTTTCTCGCCCCATCCAAGCTACCCCTCGGGGGCGCGTGGAGTCGCGTCAACCCAACGAGCTTTCCCATTGACTTGCCAGCCAAGCATTCTGGTATTGTGAAACCATGGCCGATCCAGTTCCTGAAATGGATGAGTTTGCGCAGACCCGAGGCGCTGATGACCTGTTCGACGATGAGATCATCCCCGTCCCCGCGGAGGAGCAGCAAGTACCGCAAGAGGTAATCGCACCGGAGCCAGAGCCTGTACCACAGAAGGAAGTGCTTGAGAAGACGGCTGTTGAGCAGCATATTCCGCGTGGGGAGACTCCGCAGCGGGGCCGTGGAGACCGAGGTCGAGGCCGGGGTCGAAACCGCGGACGAGGTGGTGGACGTGGTGAGCGGGATTCGCATGCCGCTGATCAGAAGCGCTCTGAGAGTACCGCGCGGAGCGGGACTCCGGCAAGTGTTAGTGAGCTCGACGCTGGGCGAGAGGCCGGAGCGGCTACACCTGAGAAACCTCAGGACGGTGCCAAGGAGAAGCCCGGCCAGGACGACAACGCTGCGGGCGAAATCTTGATTGCCAATGGTGCTGAGCCCCAACATGTTCCTGCCGTTCGTGGGGACCGCAGTGCTACTGGCGGTGTAAGAAAGGTAAGCCCAAGCTGAAGTTACCTTGGATGTGAGGTGAGATAGCATGCTAACTGATTTTCTTCTCAGCCGAAACTCACGGAGGAAGAGCTCTCCCAGCGTATCGCAGCCGCCAAAGAGAACGCTGCTAAGAAGGCTGCGGCCCACGCGCGGGCTGAGGCTGACCAGGCCTCATTTATGGAACGAGAAAAGGCGGCCGCTGTGAAGCGCCGCCAGGAACTTGCAAACCGGCGAGTTATGAACAATGAGCGCGAGCAGAATCGACAGCGAAAGCTCAACGCCTTGACGGGTCGGGAATGGGACTCCCAGAAGCGTGAAGAAGACTACAACCCACGCAGTCGTGGAAGCGAGTTCCGCCGGGGCATGCACGGCGCAGTTTCCGGACACACTCGACGGGACTTTGACGACGGCCGCTCAGACGAATATGCTGGCAGTCGCAGCCTGCGGGGTCGTGGACGCGGTCGAGGTGGCCGAGGCCGTCGCTCAACCCATAGCCCGCGAGGCGAACGATCGTCTTCCAATGACCCATCGAATAGAATTGACGTCAAACCCACTGCACCGGGGCTAAAGGATGAAAACGAATTTCCCGCTCTCCCCGAAGGACCCCGGAAGGCCGAAACGGCTGAGAGGAATGACAACCCCGAGAAGCCCGAGAAGACCACCTTGAACACGAAGGCGTTGCCTTCGCTGGACAATCTCGAGTCGTCTTTTTCTCCTGCTTCTGGTACCTGGGCCGACCAGGTTGAGGAATAGTTGCGAGATGTGTTGAAGATGGATTTCTTTTTACGCTTGTTGCTTGTGTTTATCTGTGATGACTTTCTTTTTTTTTCTTTTTTCTTTTTTTTTTTTTTTTTTTTTTTTGCATGGTTCACGACACGACAACACCGCTCTATTATTATTCGAATTTGATATCCCCGACCCTGAGATCAGGCTTGACTCAGGCGCAAAATCGTTAATACATCCTTGCCCAGTGGCATTTGTTATATGATGAACACACTCACCCTACGCTTTCAATATGTCTAATCCACGCTGGAAATGTCGATCATTGGCTCAGTCCTGCTAGTACAAGCATTTCGACAAATACCAGAAAGCTTGCAAACAAGAGCACCCAAGGCTACGAGGAAAAACAATATGAGGAATAGTCACGACTAACAGCACATCATTCTCGACCGTTATAAGCTATCGGAGACCCCCGAAAAACCAAGCTCATCACGATAGTCGGTAGAGCTCGGCTAAGCAGTGCCGGTCGAGCCGAATGAAGGCAGCTTTTTTGCGTGACTAATGGCAAACCCCAGATGCTCCCCGCTGTGGAGACTTGGGGTAAGCTCCTTTCTCCCAGAGGTGCTATATAAAACTGCCAGGCGTGTCTGGGTTGGTATCTCCGTCATGGCCAGGATCTTGTGGCAATGGGCATGCAGACAGAAGAAAAACCTCCGAACAATGACCCAATAACAGCCTCGTCAGCAGCCAAATCCGCCGAGACGCCCGACGCCATCCATAAATCGCGGCTTAATGGTGGCCTGCACGCTTGGCTGAGTGTGCTGGCGTGCTTCTGTGTCTTTGTCAATTCCTGGTGCGCAATGTCCTACATGTGCCTGTCACGATGGCTCTTCTTTTGGGGTTTCTTTTTGGAGACTCGTTCCAAACTGACATCACTTGTAATAGGGGCTTGTTGACCACCTATGGCGCCTTCCAGGAATACTACCAGACCGTGCTGCTGCCAGGGGAGTCGCCGTCAGCCATCTCCTGGATCGGCAGCATCCAGGCGACTTTGATCCCGATGGTCGGGCTGGTGACGGGCCCACTGGTAGACTCGGGGTATCTGCGCCCGCTGATTCTGTCTGGCAGTTTCTTGATCGTCTTTGGGATGATGATGACGAGTCTGGCGACGGAGTACTATCAGGTGTGATTGATCACCCATGACGAATTGACATGATTACTTCTTTGGCTTTCCGCTAACCCGAAGTCAGGTGCTACTGGCGCAGGGCTTCTGTGTCGGCATGGGCGGTGGCATCTCGTACATCCCCGCGCTGGTGGTCGTCTCCATACACTTCACGACCAAGCGGCCCATCGCCATCGGCTGCGCTTCGATCGGCTCGAGTGTGGGGGCCGTCATCTTCCCGGTGATGTTCCGCCAGCTGCAGCCAAAGATCGGATTCCCTTGGGCGGTGCGCTGTATCGGGTTTATCAGCTTGTTTCTTTCACTCGTCGCATGCGCGATTCTGTGTCGGCGGCCAGGCCACAAGACTCGTGCCCGCAGCCTGATCGACTGGAAGGCCTTCCGCGAGCCCGCGTTCATGCTCTTCTCGATGTCGCTCACATGCGTCATGCTGGCATACTACGTCCCCATCTTCTATGTTGCCTCGTACGCGCGTACCATTGTGCAGACCACCACGAGCTTGGGCTTTTACATGGTAGCCATTGTCAATGGCTCCTCGGTCGTCGGTCGCGTCGTGCCCTATCTGCTTGTCGCCTATGTCAAACCCATCGCCATCTTGATCTTTTGCGTCACGGCCTCGGCTATTGCCATGTTCACTTGGATCGCCGCCACCAGCACCCCCGGCTTTATTGTTTGGGCGTGCTATTGGGGAATCCTGAGCGGCGTGCTAGTCACGGCTCCGACTTCGATTGTTGCGCATCCGGCATTCTGTCCTGATTCGAACTATATGGGAACTCGGCTGGGCATGATGTGGGGGATTTCGTCGTTCGGGGCTTTGGCCGGCACACCTATAGCTGGCGCGTTAGTGGATTTGGACCAAGCTTACTTTTTACGCGCCCAGGTCTTTTCTGGGTGTATGATGGTCGGGGCTATGCTGTTGCAGCTTTGGCCGACGTTTGTGGTGTTTCGCTATGATCGCAGCCACCCTCGTAGATAGTGTGTAGTGAATAGGTTTTTTGGATTGGGTGCTTCTTCTCGTTGAATACATTTGGTGCATCCGTTTTCTGTATATGTCAACTCGTTGGAGTTATGGTGCTCCTACTACGGGGGTTATACATTCCAACCATATCGGACAAGTCAACCAAGTAACCGACTTCATAACCACGAGGATTCATCCGGTTGCTGCTATTTACGGCAGGCTGGGGCCACTCGATGTCTGCCGCTGAGAATGGTCCAACAGCGGTTATTTCAACCGGAGCTTCTGTGGCTTTCAACGCCCGGTTGTTTAGTCTCATGCCTCCTTGAGCATAGCGCAGCGTAGTTCTCGGATGTCTCGCTCGTTTCGATCCTACCGGCCCCAACTGTCGGCCCCAAGTACCTAAAGGTTCTCACGACAAGTTAAATTTTGCGAATTTATCGAGCCGGATAGACTGTTCCACAGTGGGTCGATCGACCAGGTGATGTAACCCGCTGGACCTCGGAGATCGCGAGAAAATAAAAGGGCGAGGCAGTCACCACCGTCGTCTCTCAAGCCCCTTTGCATTTTTACACATTAAAAAGCTACATACATCATGGCTCCCTCCACGTTGACCATCCACCACCTCCAACGCAGCCAATCCGAGCGCATCCTATGGCTGCTGGAAGAGCTCTCCATTCCCTACAACCTAGAGCTCTACCAACGCAGCCCACTACTTGCCCCAACCTCCCTCAAGAAATTAACACCGCAAGGCTCCGCGCCCGTCCTCGCAGAAGGCGACCTCCTCCTCTCCGAATCAATGGCCATCGCAACCTACATCCTAACCAAGCACGCACCGCCCTCATCCAACAACAACAACAACAACACCCTGACCATACCACCCGAAGACCCGGGCTACGCAACCTATCTCTACTGGCTGTACTTCATCCTGACCTCGCTGCAGCCCGCCGGCAGCACCTGCATGTTCGTGTACTTCGACCCGAACATCGCCAACGACGCGCCCGGCCGCAGCTTCCCGCGCCAGCGCTTCCAGAAGCAGGTCACCCTCGTCGAGCAACGGCTGGCCGAGGCCCCATTTTTGGCGGGTGATCGCTTCACCCTTGTTGATGTTATGGCTCTCTGGTGCTTTACTACTCAGCGCACGTTCTTGCCCTGGAGCTTGGCGCCGTATCCTAATATCCAGGCCTACGTGGGCCGTTTGACGGATCGCCCGGCTTATAAGCGGGCTATGGATAAGGGGGACCATGGGCTGCCGATTTTGAATGGGGTGGAACCTGGTGAGAAGAAGGCTGTGTTTTGATTTGGTGGTTTATATACTAGGTATGCCCGGGGCTGGGTTTCTGATTCTCTACTTAGATTTGATGTCATTGCAGTATCCATATGAAGGAGATATACCTCACTCAGTCATATATTTATATACTCCGCTAATACTGAACCGTGAATGATCTAAAACCCTAACTGCCCACTTCCTAATTAGGAACGATTCTTTCATGATGACTTCATCTTGGTGGCTAACTGAGTAGAATGGGTGATAACCAAGTATCAACGCCGGTTTTGCTATCTAAATAAATTGCCACTTTCTGTCATCTGGGGACGATTCTCTTTTGAATGTCAGTCAGTGTTCTTGAAAATCGCCAGGGTTAAATTACATTTCGCTCCGTGCATACCAACGTTTATATATTCATCTGCGAAACCTTCGGAATCCGTGACCCTCTTAGAGCCTACTGAGTAATCCACAGCAGCTACCGAATATCATCATGGGCCAGTCAAGCACCGAAGGCACCACCAGCAGCATCAACCACCCGACGGCAGCCGTCTACGGCGGCGCCAGCGCGCACCCCACGGCCGCAAACAACGTCGGCGGCGGCGCAGGTTGGGGCGACCGGAGCCCGCACAAAGGTGGACGTGACGGTCATGGCCAGATCAACGAGGGATTGGGACATATAACTGTACGTTGAAACGGAATGGTCCCTACGAGCACACCTACAGATACACTCACACGAGCACAATCTATCCGAAATCCCACGCTAACAACTCGCAAATCTTCTCTTTCATATACTTACAGGCACACAACGCACGCTCGACAGCGGGCGAGTTCCTCGGCTTGCAAGACCAAAAGACCCGCGCGGAAAACAAGTTCCTGAGCCGGGCGGACTTGGCCGCTGCGAATGTCAAGCCCATGACTGAGAGCGGCGAGCCGACGTGTGCGTCCGAGGATCATACCTTCATGGGCCATTGGCCGGGTGGATCGAATACGTTGCCTGGGTGGGATACGGTGAAGAATGTGTTTGACGGGTGAGTTAGCTTGCTGTGTTTTCTTTTTTCTTTTTTCTTGCTTTCCCCCTTGAGCAATGTCCTGACGAGAGAGTTCAGCATGAGTGGACAGGGTAGATAAAAGGCGATATAAGAAGAGTGGAGGATACGATGTTGTTGGAGACTTCTGATGCGCAAGGGTATATATTCAATTGTGAAACTCAGTAGAGAAGTACAGAAAAGTACTGGGTAACAATGCATTCAACAAGCCTATAGCAGATCACTCTACCTTCGTACCCTTCCCTTTAAATCTATCTCGCAGAGCCACCACCTTGCCCAACAACCGACCCTTGAGAGTCTGGGCGCCCAGAGCAGCGGCTTCGTCCAAAGAAACCACCCGCCGGACCATAATATTGAAGATGGTGCCAAAGGCCAGGGCAATCACCGTGCTAGTGAGGATAATCACGTTGTAGGGCATGCTGAAATCCGGGGTCGGCAGCGGCAAGAGAAGGCTAGTCGAGCGCAAGTAGAGCGGAGCGCGTTGCGCAGGGTCCAAGATCCGGATGACAGCGGGTGCAACATTAAAGCCGCGATTGGCATCTGGTGGATACTCGGTGTACCGCAGAATGGCTTTCTCAAAGTCGTAGGTCAGGGTAACTGTCGATGCGGCGGGCACAGACAGCGCCAGCTCCAGCTGCGTGCCGCGCTCACGGTCGATGGCAGGTCGATAGAAGGTTTCTTTGATGATCTCCGAGGCAGCGACCTCCCGCCGCATGCCGTCGCGGCCGGTGATTGTAGCTCGCAGAGTGTGGATATACGGCCGCAGGAACCAAGGTAGGGTCTCGAAGTAGATGAAGTCAACGGCGCTGGCATTGGATGGGTTGCCAAAGATGATGCGCATGCCGCCACGCTCTTGGCCGTGGCCAACGATCGTCCGCTCGGCATGCAAAATAGGCTCATCGAGCGGGACTTGAGTGTGGACTGGCTGTTCTGGGATCAGGAGATCAAAGGGCTGTGATGGCGCCAGGTTGTAGCACCGCGTAAATCCATCACCCTTCTTGGTCTCAATAGCCCCTTCGGCAGCGAGAACACCACGTTCGTGGGGGGTACGAAGGCAAACGGTCGGCTCGCTAGCGCCATCCGAGCCAGCCAAAGGGCAGACACCGTTTATTGTGCGCCCAAAAATTTCATTCAGACTCCATGCCGTTTCGGTTGTTTTCTCGAGTGGATAACAGGTCTCCTCCGAATTGTATGGCTTAGAAGTATCGCAGACAAGATCTTCGTTGCGAACAGGCCTCGGAATCATATTAGCTAGAGATAGTTAGTAATCTGGCCGAAAAGAATAGTGGTGGGAGATAGCATACAGCGTGGCCGCTTGGACCGTTCGATATCCAAGACCATGTCTACGGTCTGTTCGATTTGGACCACACACTCTCCTTCCGGGGGCACACCGGCCGCACATCCACAGACATGCTCTGCCAAGAAGCATCAAACAGTTTATGTCCATCGAAAAGGGTCGAAATTCCCGCCTTGCCCTTACAGGGGAGAAGCTTCAAAAACGGCGTCAGGTTCTCTGTGCAAACCACTTCGCCTGGGAGCGTTCCATGAAGAAAGTGGAGCTGGCTGGCCGCGGTATGATCCCCGGCCGGCTCAAAAGACACGACCGGTCGAGTCGTCCGGGTTGAGTCGACGAAGTTCAACGAGGCGCAGAAGAGTCCAGAAAGGGACTGTGTAAGAGAAACCCATTTGGAGAATGCCCTGGATCCGTTAAAATTTGGTGTTTCTTGCCATCACCCAGCAGACTTGAAGTGAGATAACATACTCTTCGTCTCCTGGCGCGTCAATCCACGCCCAAAGCTCGACGCCAGTACCCCCCTCCTTTCCGCCGTTCCATGGCCGAGGGCCCCAGCTTTGAGCATCCCATCGCCCCGTGGTAAATCGTAAATGAAGCTCTCTTGTGTGGGCGTGCTGGATAATCTGGCCCAATGCACGTGGGAAATATCGGAAATGCTGATGCTCGAACGACTGTTGAGAGGTGTTGCCCCGGAAATTAAACGAGGCTAACAGGGAGGACTGAGGGAGCGGCTGGAGGAAGAGCTGTTCATGATAGTCGGATGCCAAGACAGGGGAGCTCCATAGCGTCAGAGCGAGCGCGAGGAGAGGAAGAGTGAGGAGTGAAAGGACCGTCATCACTTCATGCCGGAGCTCGGTCTTCGCTTCCTCAAGTCCATGCGATATAGTCAGGCCAATTGACAGGGGCGGAAGATTGGGGCTCAGAGAATGGAGTCCGTGTTCACGCTAGGACTCCGGACAGCCCTTTTTAAATCCCCGAGTCAAGAACTGGCAGCATCCGAGGGAGAACAAGCAAGATAGACCCCCCGGAGTGGCTGCACCTCTGTTGGCGGCTCCTGCTCACCGCCTTCCCTAGCGCCAGAAGCATCAAAAACGCAAGACTTCGTTCGGTTCGTCAAGACCAATCTCGACAGCTTTCTTTAATTTTCTTTCCTTCCACGGACTGGTGCACTGGTATTCATCATGGCTGCAGAACAGAGGAAACTGCTGGAGCAGCTTATGGGAGGTATGTCTTTCGTTCCCCGGGACTACCAGGATCGAATCTCTTCTCCCACCTTCGCCGAACGAAGCTAACCGTGTATGTGTTTAAAGCCGACCAGCTCATTGGTACTGGCGCTCAAGGTCGCAATACCCAACTCTCCATCACCGACGCAAAAGTCTGCCGCTCCTACCTGGCCGGGACCTGCCCACATGATCTCTTCACCAACACCAAGCAAGACCTGGGACCCTGCCCCAAGGTACACAGTGAGGGCCTGAAGACCGAATACGAGACTGCATCCTCGGGTGAAAAGGCGAAATGGGGCTTCGAATTCGACTACATGCGCGACATGCAGAAGTATATTGATGACTGTGACCGCCGAATCGACACGGCGCAGCGCCGACTGGAAAAGACGCCGGATGAGATTCGGCAGACGAACAACCTGGTAGGTTTGCCTGTCCTTCCCTCTCACACCCCCTGGCCTGGTCAGGTCTTTGGAATCGGTGCGCAATGAGCCTGTCTAACCCTCAAAAACAGCTCAAACAAATCGCCGATCTTGCCAACACGATCAACACCGGTCTTCTGGAAATCTCCGTCCTTGGCGAGACAGGCTCTGTCGGAATGGCCATGACCGAGATGCACAAAGTGCGCACAGCAAAGCAACAGAAGGAGACGTACGAGCGGGACCTCAAGAACCTGCAGGATACCTCGGGCCCCTCTGGTCACCAGAAACTGCAGGTTTGCGACGTCTGTGGCGCCTACCTCAGTCGACTCGACAACGACCGACGACTGGCGGATCACTTTTTCGGAAAAATGCACATGGGATATTCGGACATGCGCAAAACCTTCAAGAAACTGAGCACAGAGCTAAAGGGCCGGCCCCCGCCGGTGCGACACCATGAAGAAGACGACAACCCTTATACCAACGGTGGTCGGTCTGGTGGTGGACGTGGTCCCCGGTATGGTGGTGGCAGCGGTGGATATCGGAGACGGGGACGATGGTGAATCGCGCCATTTCTCTTTCAATCTCCTTGATGTCTCTGTTTCTGGTCCTTTGCATAGCGCAGGCGTTTTTTATTTTTATTTTTATTTTTATTTTTATTTTTTTGATTAAGCTGATTGAATCGAGGATTTGGGGGTGGTTTTCAACTGCGCGCTAGAATATATCCTTGTTTTTTTTTTTTTTTTTTTTTTGATATTCTTGTTGTATATCGTGCTACAAAAGTAAGACGTGGAAGCTACATACAACCTGGTTTTTCTGAGATTGGCCTACATATTCTATCCTCCGCTGCCTGCTTGATACTTTCTAAGACGGCGTATGTCGAAGCAAAACTCGATGGAAACTAATTTGAATTGCAACTGAACACCTACTGGGAAGAATAATTCGTGGCCGGAAGGAGTTTGTCCTATGGCTTCGAAAGACAAAACTGAAAGGCAAGACGAGCACAGACTCATTTTTAGGGCGAAGAAGATACAAGACATTCATTTGACCCTTTGGTATCCCACATCCATGAAAACCTTCTCCTCGAGCGTAACATCCAGAACACCAGACCGCAGTTGCAGTCTCACAAAACGAAAGGAGCACAATGGAAAGAAAAATCACAACTAGATAAGAGCTGTACAATACAAAAGGGTAGTATGCCTCTATTGAGTCGTCGGCTGAGGAACGTGGCCATTTGCCTGGGTCTCGAATAGAGCATGCATCAAGGTGTCGTAGTTGGATGCGGCGGCGGGTTGGCGCATCAGGATATCGCGAACGACATTCAATTGCGCCATGTCCACGTTAGGCGCAGTCTTCAGGAGCTGCTGGATTGCAGGCGCATTTACTTGCGGGCCAAGGACTTGCACCGCGGCAGCCACGCCGGTAGCGGTTGATTGTTGTTGAGGTGGGAACTGGCCCGGCAGCGCGTGGCTAGGAGGAGTGGCGGCGAAGTTGGAGGGGGAGTCGGCGCAACCTGGGCACTAGGCCCATGGCCAGGAGTCATGAAATGGGGCTGACCGGGAGTCGTTCCGGCGGCGGTAAGAGGGCTCGCAGTGGATGGTGGCTCTTGGCTAGGTTGGTGAGACGGTGGCTGAACTGACGAAGGATTTGACTCGCCAGTCTTGACCACAAAGACGACAAGGAGCATACGCTCCGCGGCAGGACCATCAAGAGAGTTATTTTCCAGAAGCTCAATGAACTCAGGTTTCGTCGTAGTGTTGGCCTCAATGGGAACGATGTAGGTGTCTTTGACAGCGGGCACTGGGTGCTTGCCAATTACTCCGTACCGCTTGCGGCCTTGGAAGTAGTCGAACAGTCTGTCGAAACCAGCCCGCTCGCTGGGCATGTCAGGGCGGCCGATTGCAACCACAGACACATCAGTGGAGGAACTGAAACGCAAGCCGCAGAGGTAGTTACTGGCCAACTGGACGTCGATACGACCGTCGACCAGCAAAGTCGGTGGTGCGAGCTGGCTCCACGGAATCCGTCCGCTCAAGTCGGCGCCACCCACATGCTTTGCAGAGGACATGAACTCGGCAAGGGGAACCATCGCAACCTTGCCACGCCACACGACACCTTCATCTTGGAAATCTTTCGGCGAATAAGGAGGGGAATCGGGTTCCTCGTCACGAAGCAGTTGATCAATCTCGGCGTCTGCCTGCACTCTGCCACTGGGCACCGGCTCGCGAATGTTGGTGGCGACTTCGGGGAAAACCTGGTCATGGTGTGCGCCATCTGGCGAGTGGCCCCGGGCGTGTCCATCACGCCCCTGGGACTTGATCGGCTGTCGTGCCGTCGGGCTCGTCGGGTGCTGTTCTGAAGGGCTATCCTCGCCCTCTCCGATATTGCGACGGGGCGCAGCGGAGAACACAGAATCATTCGAAACAGCATTCAAGTCATCTTCAACCAGTTCTTCTCCCTTATGGGTCCGCCGGATACGAGGACCCTGTTCCTGCACAATGATATGTTGCCGTTCGGCCTCCCGCTTGATCTCGGCGTCTTTCTGTTGCAACTCCTCGCTGGCCATCTCCTCCGGCTTCATCATGGACAGAGAGTCAGGCGAAAGACTACCTACGAGCAAACGATCCCGTAGAGAAGGGTTCTTCTTTACGTTGAACAGGATCGTCCGTAATTGCAACTTATATGACTCGGTGGGCTCGCCTGACCGTCCGCAGATATTGTGATACATGGCACCCTCGATCGAAAGACCGAGTGGCCGTGCAACCTCCTCCGGCGACTGCCCAGCGCGCAGGGTAAATGAGCCCCTCTTTTGAGCCGCAGCAATCTGTTCTACAAATAGCTTGACTAGGGCCGTGGCAGCACTCCTTCGAGCCGGGATGACGAGCTCGTCGACAGAGGCTGCCACACCAGGCAACTGTGTTGTAGACTCAGCCTTGGTCTGCGGAACAGTCGTCTCCACCGCAGTGGACTGTGGAGATACTCGTTGCTGCTTGATTTGCGGACCCTGATAAGGAGACACGTTAGCAGGACTGGTATAAAACGGGAAATGGTCATGGTCAGCAGTACTTACTCCTTCCGCCTCCGCAGACTCCTCGAGCTTGCGTTTGTTCGTGCTGGAACGTCGCGAGTCACCAGCGTGGCCATTCTTCTCTGGTTCAGCTGATCCCGAGCCCCCCGGTGCTGGTGCTGGGGAAGCAGTTGGACAGGGCGTTGCAGACGCCACTGTCCGAGCCGGGGTGCTAGCCTCCGTCTTGCTCTCACTGGGTCGGCCCTTCCGGCCACCTTTTTTGCCCTTCTTGCGCTTGGACTTTTTCTCCTCAAGCTCCTGGCGCCGTCTCTCAGCAACTTCTTCCCAAGGCCTTTCACCTTGGGCGATCCTGTTGAGGAGAACTTTGTGGTTGGCCGGCCGACATTGTTCACAATAGTATTCATCCGGCTCGTGGCCTTTCGGAAACACGAGGCCCATGCAGTCGTTGTGTTGCCATGCTGAACACTGGTCGCAACAAATCATGTCCCGTTCCACATCTTCCTCTTCTTCGTATTCACCACAGATGCATCGGATGATCTCTTCGTCTTCGCCATCGCTAGGGCCAGGGGTGGGTTCGGCGGATGTTTTGGAGGATTTGTCTTTTTGGCCTTTGCCCTTACCTTTCTTCGGGCCATCGGGGACCATATCGAGACTCTTGTGTTGACCTTTGGTGGCTCTGCCTGAGCGTCGCGGTTCATCTGAGCCCGCTGTTAGCTTTTTGCTTCGTCGTAGGGGTTCCCAGCCCAGACCAAGGTCTCTCGGCCACCTGATGTGTCGAGCGACCATGTCTGAACTTGCACAATGTACAAGAGCTTACCAGCCATGATGAAGGGAGTAAAGATAGGTAAACACCCAGGTGTCCTACGGCGTGTTGAGAGGATAAAAGGTGTCACTGGTTGGGCTCAACAGCAGGGTGCGCGCTTGCCACCCGGCAATCCCAATCTCTCTACAGGCTCAAGGGGCTAAAGTAATACACAAAGAGAAGACGCTGCACGACAGCGCTGGTGCCTGGTCCACGGTATTACTTGATCTCCAAAGTCGCCCCAGTCTCTGCGCAAAGAAAAGCTATTGCACAGACGCGTAGTGGCGAAGAATGTGCCGAGGGGTGGCTGGCTTGATAGACTCTGCAATCCCTTGCGCGTAGATCGCGACACTTGGCGTGGGCGGGGTCGCGTGGAGAACTTTAAACACAGCTGACGCGCCCCGTAGGAAGCGATGAAGAGCACTTGCCTTGAAACAAGCAGGAAAGTTGCTCCGTAAGATATTTGACGCCGATGGTCCTGACGCCTGAGGTGGAGGGAAATTAAGGGAAAAGAGAAAAGGTCAGAGTTGGGACGTCAGGAGAGAAGAGGCTTGAGTGGCTCGGGTATTAGGTCATCAGTCACGTGTGCCACTAGCCACAGGTTCATCGAATCCTTGATGCGCTGAGCTTCTCCAGGTTCCCCACTTGCAATCCAACTGAACCCGATTTTCCTTGACGCCTCATTCCTCCCATTCCACACACAAGAATTTTTACAATACCACTCCGATTTCATCTGCTTTTCTGGAAGACATGGCCGACGTGCGATCGCTACTTCGGAATGAGCTGGCTTCGCGCAAGGGCACGTCCCAGCCCAACACCACCGGGAATCGCGTCACCAAAAAGCGCAAGGTAGACAGTGGCGATGGGGTAGTGCGGAAGAAGCTACGGGGGACTGATTTGGACACCCTACAAGCTTCGTCGAACGAGCCGATTATCAATCAATCCAGTCCCCAAGATGAAGGGGTCGAGGTCGCTGGCGCAGACTTCCCGGAGGAAGATGACCAGGAAGCTGTTGAACCGACTGCAGAACCCTCGCAAGGCGCTTCATTAGTCCCAGATCCACCACAACAGGCTCCTGTGACCGTGGACGAAGATGAGTGGGCCTCGTTTGAACGCGAAGTGGCTGCGCCGTCTCGTCTCTCTCATGCACCAGCAGCTGTCGCCGCCGAAGCCACGATATCGGCGGCGCCAGTATCTGCCGAAGAAATTGCGGCACAGCAGGAAACAGAGAAGGCGTCGACAGCCCGGGCACGGGAAGCGGAGTTAGAAGGGGAACGCGAAGACGCTGCACGATTCATGGAAGATGAGTTCGACGAGATGGATCAGTTGGAGGAGCGAGTCCGAAGACTCAAACAAAAACGAGAAGAACTGCGAAACAAGCGTGCCGAGGAGCGGAGTCAAACCCTTGTGGCATCTGGTGGACCGGGAGTGGGAGAGCAACAGGCTGCGGCTGAAAGCGACAGTGACGAGGACGAAGACGAGGAATGGGATGACTGGAGATTCAAATGATCGCATGGTGAATTGATTATGGTTCTATGTCCAGGGAGATGGGTCTTCCTTAATCTACAATGATACCCTTAGGAGTCGAGTTTGACAAGTTAAAATCCAGGAAATGCAACCAAATACATAGTTGCATGACCCGAAAATGCTATTCAATTGAATTCTTGAAGCTGGCCCTATTCGACCGGATTCTAGTCTTCGCCTGCCACCGTGTCCACGTCCATGTAACTGCGTAGTCTGTCCTTGCGGACCTTCATGGCCTCTTCAATTTCGGCCTCGCCTTCTCTGAGAAGGTCCTTGCCACGAAGAAGATTGCCTCGTTGTCTGCGTTTCTCTTCTTCAACCCGCTTCTGGCGGTCTGCGAAGGCTTTCTCACGCTTCTCTCTTTCAATCTGTTTCCGATCGTTCTCTTCTTGCTGCTCTGCGCTCAATTTCTCGGCTGGTGCAGGTGGCAAAGTCGATATGTACGCCTCAATTAACGGATTGCGCACCTTGGGCGCAAGTGCAATGTAACGAAGATCGATGATAATTGGCACAGGAAGGGCTTCCAGGCTTGATGATCGATTCAAAGAGTGTAGTGGAATGGACTTGAGCAGAGTAGAAAGGTCTGATTTCCGACTGCTTTCGGGCTGCTTCAGTCGCGAAATGTAATCTCGATAGAACTTCTCGCGATCCTTCTCCGAAAGCTGAGAATCCTTCATTTCCGGCTCTTTGCGGTACTTGCGCTTGAATTCGGGCCAGTAAAGCTTGGGGGTCGCATATTCCTGTAGGAGCGCCAGGTATTTGATCCGAGGATCTTTTTTCTCCTGCTTCTCCTTGCGCTCCTTGACTTCTTGGATTCGGTCTCGGCTCCAGTTGGAAAAGATATCCCGCCGTGCCTTCATGTTTGAAGGTGCAGTGTATCTCGGATCCTCAATGATGCGACCTTCCTCGATGACATTCTCCCATGTGGTGAATGGATTAATGTGGTGGTCATCGAGTAGATCACGAAAAAGCGCATCGGCGTCGGCTTCAGTCAATGGCAGACCTTCAGCGCCCTCTTCCCACTCTCCTTCGCCAGGCTCGCCGTATTCGGCTGGGTCCAGTCCATATTCCTCGCCCATGGCCGCAAGTTGATATTCCATGTCTTCCTCGGTAAATTCAACTGGTTGGTCTTGGGCGCCTTCGCTTTCGGTTCGCGCACGTTTTGATGGCTGACCCTCTTCTTCTTCGCTGTCGGTAACCTCGACCTCTTCGTACTCGCTATCTTCTGCGCCTTCTGCAGCCTCCACCTCGGCGTAAGTTTCTGCATGGGTGGTCTCTTCTTGCTTTCGGGGCGAATCCTTTTCTTGTGTAGCCGTGGTATCTTTGTCTTCCTCCACGGGCTCCTCGCCCCGTTCTTTTCTTTCTTTGCGCTCGCGCTCTAGGCGATCATATTCAATCACACCTTTGAGTACCTCCGCTGGAAACTTCCAAAAACTCTCGTTGGTTTCGGGGTTGTGCACGAATCGCCGTCCAAGTTTGGTTTTCACGAGCAGCCATGGGCTGCAATTGGGTATAGGATGCTTCGACTTTGGTCTATCTTCCGTTTCTCGACGCCCACGGTCATGATAACCTCTGCCGCCGCGAAACGCCCCTCGACCACCACGGCCAGAGTGCGGTGGGCCATGTTGCGCAGGTCCCGGTCCGTAGGGTGTAGAAGAAAATGGCGGGAGTGTCTCCGGCGTGTAAAACGGAAGGGTCTGTGTAGCTTCCTGTGCGGGCGGGGGAGGCTGAGGAGCTTGAGGCTGTGGTCGAGTGTATGTCGACTGTTTGGTAGCTGAATTATAATAGTACAAATGGCCTGGATGTCGCAGTTCAAATAGTCATTAGAATCAGATGATGCAACCCAAGTCTAGTCGCAAACCTACCTGAGGGGGCTCGGTGCTCCGACCACCCTGGAGGCAAAGGGGGAGGGGCTGTGTAGGTAGATTTGAGCATAGCAGCCGTAATATTTCAATCCCAATGACACCAGTGGGCGCAAAAACAGGCTTTGCGGTGCTCAAATGCGACCAGCGAAGCTTTGGTGTGGTGAGGTGGTCCGAGCTTGGATGACAGAGGACGCGCCAGGGCGAGTTGCCTGGAGCTCCGTCTTCACCTCAGACCGTCTCCATCCCGACATCTTGCGTCTCGATCTGCCTTCGCTTGACCCACTCGATTCGATTTTTGCTTCTTTTTTGTCTGTCTTGTCTGCAAGATGTCTCGGCGATACGATTCAAGGGTCTGTCGATGCCGTCATTCCTGTCTGTGCAGCTCCAGCTAACCTATGATGCGGGCTCGAAGACCACCATCTTCTCCCCAGAGGGTCGACTCTACCAGGTGGAATATGCGCTCGAAGCCATTTCCCACGCCGGCACTGCCCTTGGTATTCTCGCCAAGGATGGAATTGTCCTCGCTGCCGAGCGGAAGGTGACCAGCAAATTGCTGGAACAGGATACCTCCGCCGAGAAGCTCTACACGATCAACGAGTACGTCGGCACTCTCTCGATTCCGATTCAATATTGGTTCAATATCTAGTTTTTGAGGGTCGTGCGTGAACTAATATTTCTCAGTAACATGATTTGCGCCGTTGCGGGCATGAACGCCGATGCCAACATCCTGATCAACTATGCCCGTCAAAACGCCCAGCGCTACCTCCTTACGTACAACGAAGACATTCCCTGCGAGCAGCTGGTCCGCAGACTGTGTGATCTGAAGCAAGGATATACCCAGCACGGTGGTCTCCGTCCGTTCGGTGTTTCGTTCATCTATGCCGGATACGACCACCTGCGCCAATTCCAGCTGTACCAGAGCAACCCGAGTGGAAACTACGGCGGATGGAAGGCCACCAGCGTTGGGGCCAACAATGCGAGCGCACAGAGTTTGCTCAAGCAAGATTACAAGGAGGAATGCAATTTGCAGGAAGCCTGTGCGATGGCAGTCAAGGTCCTGAGCAAAACGATGGACTCGACCAAGCTCAGCAGTGAGAAGAGTAAGTGATAGTTATCCGCCCCAATCCGGCTTCCATATACTAATCACTTTGATCCGTCTTCCAGTCGAGTTCGCAACAGTGGGGAAGACCAAGGAGGGCAAGATCTATCATCACCTATGGGGTGCCGAAGAAATCGATGCTCTGCTTCGGGAACAAGGGCTGGCCAAGGTCGATGACGAGCCCGAAGCTGGCGAAATAAAATAGAATATAGCACCACAAACCACCGTCGTTGCGTTGTTTTGTCCCAGATATTTCAAAATCCAAACTTCCACCTCACCTTGATCCACCAGTCTTCATGCCCTCATGAAATATCGCTTTTCTGGGCTGTGCTTACAGACTATGTCTCGTGTTGTCCCATGACGTGGCATGCATCAACCACCCCAACCCCTTCAAGACTGCTTCTCTGTCTTTTGTCTCTATTTGGCGCCATTGGTTGTGTCTGGCTCGACCCAGACGAGTCCACGTAGTTTCTTAAACAGCTCTAGCAAATACTTCTCTGATCATATGGGTTGGGAGTATCATAGCTTGGTATATATATTCCCCTGGTATCTTCTTTGGACCACCACTGGAAATTCAGCCCTTCAGCCACTCTTGAGGAAGTTTCGAAGATTGAAACTGTTCACGTTTTTCATTTTGAGGTCATTCCAGCTGATCGTCCACTTTAATATATTTACAGTCCGAGGATATCTATCAAGCCGACACAGACAAATGCATCAACTTGTACGCAGTGCTTCTTGGTAAACCCCTCATTTTGCTTGAATTCAAGACAATATCCACCCAACTCTCTCATTTTTCTGCTAGATATTTTCAAATCGACTACTTGGGCAGCATTGAGGATGACATAAACACATCACCATCACGTGCAGGAATGAGGGGCTTCTCGACGCTGAGGGAGTTCCTCTTCCGGACACTATTGGGATTACCCCCAAGATTCCTTCGAGATTGACTGGCTAGCATCTCGCCCCCATGAAGCTGTTGTGTCTATTTTGTCATCTCATTCCAGTAGCGGCGACCCTATTCTGTGACACGCTACCCGTCTCAGCGAACCGCTCATCCAACAGAACAGGGCGCTTATGACATGGCTAGCCCTCATTGACATCCTCATTGAAACTTGACAGCCTATGGACAGAAGAATTGCAGCCCCGATGCCAATCAGGGTTTGTGTTTGGCTCCCTCAGGAGGAATCAAGTACTTTCATCTTGCAGAAACTCAATTTGGACTTGATGGCGATGTGCCAGACGATGAAACATGAAACTCCGTGCAGATTCCACCAGAAGAAGAGTGGAGTATGAAACAAAAAAGACAAGCCGAGATACAGAATTGGTACACGCGCTATTCGCCCAAGAAACACACCACCGGTTTTCGTCAAATCCGAGCTGATCCTATCTGAGGAGTGTGCTCCTGCGGTCGTCCCGCTCCCGCTGCAGTGTGCGGATTTCTTTTTCCAGCTCCATAATTAGTTTCTGGGACCGGTCCATCGAGGCCACCAGTGTGCCACCTTCGCGTTGCCACCGTTCCAGCCGGTCGACCTCGGCGCTACGCCGGCGGTATTTGGTTTCGATTTTCTCGCAAAGGCGGCATTTGCTGCGATCATCCTCGGTCATGTTGACGAGTCTCATCCCGCATGTTTCGCCGGTGCGGTATTCATAGTTGCACCGGTGGGCAAAGCTGGTCCAGCTCCAGTCCCCACACGCAAATCTCTTCTGGTTGTAAAAGCACATGCCTATCATTTCCGTTAGTGCCATTCATCTTGGAGACACACATGATCGAACCCACTTGCTCACAGGCCTGGCTCGCTGTTTCAGCCTGTATAGGGGTGCGATATTATGGTGTGTCTGACTCTCCCAGCCACGCTCGACGAATTTGATAGGCGAGTCTTCTGACTGAGCTTGCCAAATAACTGGGAATCTGAACTTGTTTGAAACGACTCTCGAAGAAAAAGGTCTTTTTTTTTTCTCGTGAGGGGTATCTCTTGACGTGACTTGATGGCTTGAGACTTCGATTTTGAAACCTGGGATGATTGGAAACTTCACGACATACTGGGGGATTGGGAAGCTTTATTTATGCTCTGGGTGAGATATCCATGTCATGGCTCAATCCTCCCATGCTGCTGTCGTATTGTTGATCAACGCAATGCGTGACGGCTTATCACCCGTGGACCTCAATCGTTCCCACATTACTCCTCCTTGATGCCCGATCCGGTTGGCTGTCAGCAATTCTCCGGGTGGTGGTGACTATTCTTGCCTATGGTTCCTCGGATGGAGCCACCATGGAGCAAACGGTTGCTTCATGAATGCATGCAGCTCTTCGCCGTGGTGATTTCTCTCCCCACAATCATGCACGAAGGGGGAAAATCCCTCAGTCCGTGGCTGTTGTTCTCCAGTTTCCAGATTCGACTACTGCAATAATCCCGTCATCAAACGGCTCGTCCCCGCCTTCATGTGGATGCCGTTCGCATGGACTCGGGATCCTGTGATACTGTTGCGTCTCGCACTGATGATCCTGCATGACTGAATTGCTCTCGACTTTCGCCAGCTGTCACCTTGATGCAGTGATCAGGTTTCTACATTCAGGGATAACCTTGTCTCAGACAAAAGAAAAGGTGCTCTGTTCACGAATGTGAGGAGACTTGCGCGCCCCAACGACTCCACCCGAATAAGATGTTCAACCATCCCATGTTTTTGCCCAATACCGTGATTTTCGATTGGCTCATGGCGTCATTTTATCATGAGCCTTGACACACAGGTGGTGGCCAAAGACCATCCTAGCCCACAAAAGCTACACATGGGTATGCCATCTGTGTGATTGCAGTCGCATATGCCTCTTGAGATGTTGCCCCCCCTTCCTGTCATCCCTCGACCCGTCCCGCGTTGGGCAATCGTGGAAAGAGCTCTTTTGGGTTGAGAATATGGCAATTCTTGCCCTCCCTTCTCCCTGAAGATTCCTGCCAAGCCTTTGTCGCAAGGGTATCACAATTCAGACCTGATTCCCGTCCCACGTCTGCCGCGTCTTTCTGCTCCGTACCTGTCAGCCAATGGTTTCTTGAGCGAGTGGCAGTTTTCGCGTCACTGCGGCTCCGCCATTGGCACCTGCATTCGAGCACACGGGCCACGGAATTGAATTTGTCTTGCTCGTCTCCAGGCCTCCGGGATTCGGGCGAGATAGATCCAATTTTATTCAGCTGATCTCTCCCACCTGCAGAGGAGGGATCCTACATTTGTCCCGTCGATCTGTATGGTTCATTATCACCCACTTGCTCTTTTTGGCGGAAATGATAGGATCTGGCTGCTGCGCGGTGGTCGCCACCGACACGAACTGTGACACCTTCCACATGCCACCGAGTGCAGCTGTACCAAAGCTCAGAGACTGACGTGGCGCTTTGTATCTGGCCCGGTATATTGATTCCTGGCAACCAGGACTGACCGGAACACCGTGCGTTCCCAAGTTCAACGTCTTGGGAGATTGATGAACGCTCCACAAAATACCCTGGTCTCCATCCTGGCAACATGGCAACATGGTGCACGATGGCTGTTTCCCGGTATGGAATGGCAAGTGGCTGCATTCCATCTGATGCCGTTTCTTCCGACTTGTCTTGGGGGGCGGTCATCAAGACAACGTGGGACGGGGCCTTCGGGATTCCCCCTCAATTACGTTCACGGCCTGGGGATAGAGTGACGATCCCTGACAGCAACCTGAGTTGGCAGTCAGCATCCATCGAGTGACAGCGAACAGCCTCATCCAAAGACGTCATTCTCTGTAGAACCGCCCCTTTCATGCGGCGAACGGGGTGTATCAGCCCACCCAATGCTCGAATCAACGGTCCAAGCCCCCCTGTCTTTTTGCCTCTGGCTGCATCTTACTGCGGAAACTACATTGCCCATCCTTGATGTACCAGTGTTTTTCTCCGGCCAGGGTCTGACGAAGAACCATGAATAAAAAAACAAAAAGAAAATATGGATGTCGTTTCCCTACCCAACAGGCGAAGTTTCCGGGCTAAATTCCATAGCCCCCGAGGCCCCCTTTGCCTGATTTTTGCGTATCATGACACAACATCAACGTTGAAATTGACTTCCAGGACCCGCATATACGCTCCCACAGTGTTGGGCTCGTGTGATCCCGTGATCTTAAAGTGAACGGAGACTCCCGCACCCTTCACGCGCCTAGCAGAGACATGCCAACAAATGGAGACCTCCGGCACTCAGTCTGGGGATTGCACAGTGAGAGGGCCACCATGTTCACACCCCCTGGAAGCCCTACGATTGGTCGGTTGATGGAGTTTATGCTCAGTTGCAGCCGAGCGCGGCGGCCAATGACAACCCCTGGCTGGGATTCTGGTCATATGCAACTAGCGCAACTGATCCTCCCCTCTCCTCACCCAGCATGTGCAAGGATGACGGGTTGCATATCGACAGCACTCGCACCGAGCGCACGGCCAAGACCCTGAGATGCATAGGCCGATCGTGCCCCGTTTTCGACGCGGGTCCTCGCATCTGCATGTTGCCAGGTGCTAGCTTCGCTCTCCACTCGACATGTGGACTTGATGACACCGCCCTCGACCCCGACTGATGTGCTTTTGTACACAGCCCGGAGACTTTATTCCGAGGGTGTAGCGGCTTGGTTGTGTTGACTCATATGCTGTGTTTCTCCGCAGCCAACCTACCACTTGCTCGCAGAATTTCACCTGGGATGACCCATTCAGTGCCTATCAAATGCATCGTGTAGGTACCTGCTCAAGCTAATCTCGCAGATACTCATAGCAACTGGGCGCCGTCGTAGTTGATATTGGGTGACAAACGGAACATTGCTATTTAGTAAAATTTGAAATTAGAATAAGGATTCCATGATTCTATATCATCGCTCATGTGTTTCCAAACCAATCTAGAACTTCCATCCATCAAAGTAGGGCTATTCCAGATAATTACTGCATCGGGCTAGTCCAACATGACGTCAGTATGATTTGCCTCGAACAAGAGAACCTTGGAAGATCCTTTGGTAATGGACTATATCATCTTGGTGTGATTTAAAGCCTCGTTATTGCACAAATTTCTCCAGTGGAACCATTTTCTATTTGCATTTTCATCTTGCGCGGAATATCTAGAGGACTGGAACTCTACCTGCAGACCACGACCGCATTAATCAGTCCCTGACATCACATCAAAGTCCCGACAAGAACAGTTCTCCTGCCTCGAATCCTCTCTCATTCTTTTTCATTATGTGGAAAATACTCCTGTCCCACGGCCCTCGTGCCATCCTCCCTTCTTCCACTGGAGCCGGCCGAACAGCAGCACGCACCATCTACGCAACACCACCGCGCCACCAAGCCCAGAACCCGCACCACAACGCCAAAGACCGCGAGACGCTGAACCCCGAGCGTACGGAGGTGACCAAGTCCGGCACAGACAGCGAGATTGCCCACCATGCCTCTGCGTATGACCCGTCCACCACGGCCCCGGAGACCGAGCTGGCAGAGACGGAGGAGGAACATCACCGAGAAGGCAAATCGGGGAACCCGTTGAATATGAGTCCCGCCAATAAGGATGTCAGCGCGTGGAGAGGACCGAAGGAGGAAGGACCTGTGCGTAATGCTGAGAAGGCGAGTCCGAGTGCGAGGGGGACGCCGAAGAAGAACCGTACTGTGCATGTTAAGGAGGATGGGACGCATGTTGCGTATCGATGAGGGCCCTAGACTCTGGCAATGGGTTGACCAGAGCATGTGTGTGTTTGTGATTTCCAGGAGGAAAAGCCATGCTGTATATGATTTCTTCCCCGATGTGTTTGGGAGGTGCCCTGGGACCGAAAATGAATGGCTTGGACATATATCAAAGAAAACAAGAGCAGGTTTTAGCCCTGTTCATGGTGTCTTATTCTAGCATCTTGCCAGGTCAGCCTCAGCGGCTCCTCACCCCGGGAAACCCTCCAGCGATTCGTCGAGTGAATCAAGTCCTCACATCCTTACACGGCCCATGCCCACTTGCATAGAAACCCCGGAGTAGCCTCCCAACTTCCAGCTCGGTACGGCTCGCCCCAGACAATGAGGCCGCTTCTCGCTTCATCGTCACTGCCGCGCGAAAGAATCAGTTTGAGAGTCAGACCTGGCCGTTGCGAGGACTGTGGCGCGGAAAAATGTACATGGTCCATCAGGTTGCCGATTAGATCTTTCACAAACTCAGTGTGGTCAAAGCAAGCCTCCCAGCGGATCAGGGTTTCCCGCATCTTCGGGAACGGGAGCAGGCTGATCCACGACGAGTGGGTGTTGCTCATCTGGGCCTGTGTCGGTGCAAGAGGACCGGGAAAACTCGGCCTCGTGGGCAGAACCATTGATTATATTGGGAGTCTCCCGTCGAATGGCTCGACGCAGTCTGTGCCAGGGTTCCAGGATACCGCGGCGCGGCCCAGGGTGATTTTGTTGTCGTAAAGCCCACGGAAGACATTGTAGTGAATGTGATGGAGTAGATGATAGTAGGCAGCGAGTTGCAAGTTGGTTTAGAGTCACATCGATTCGCTTTTGGGGCTTCTATAAATACCCGGGGTTCGTATTCCGATAAGCTGTTGGTCTATCCTGGTTTTTCCCACTCGACTCGCCAGCGATGCACCTGGTACGGATGCCGCTCACTCAGGGCATGAGCGGGCTTCTCCTCCTTCAGCCGATGTCCTGGCCCGTTGATTTAATATACTGACACGATATCCCCGAATAGGGCTAGTTCCACTCACGGCGTGCTCTTTGATTAAGTCGATTCTGGATTTTCCTCCGCTTCCTTCTCTCCGAGTCCATGTTGGGGGCCGTGTTGAGCAGTGCCATTGTCGGAATTGGGGCGATGAAGAGCGCAGAGAAATGGCCACGAGGCATATCCCCCACCGACCAAGAGTCGCGCTACTGACTCGAGAACCCTAGACCGAAAAGGGGAAAACTTGTCATCGCAGTGGATCCGGTGGGCTTAGGACGACTTCGCGGAGCTTGCAGTGGGGCTCACTTGAAATAGTAAAAAAGTGTCAGCAAGATCAATATCATCAGTGTGTCTAGCAAAAACCATCTTTAAAAAGGTTCCTCTTGTGTTCGTGACTGCTTGGCCATAACCTATCTTCATACAATATGTCCCGATATACTGCCGCTCACGCCGATCCCCAAGGCCGGGAGATGTTCGACCTACAGCTCTCCAGATCGTTGAGGACGAAGAAATGAAAGGCAACCTGACCGGGAAAATAGTCGTCGTCACGGGGGTGTCCTCGGGGCTCGGCATTGAAACTGTTCTCGCCGTCACAAGAATCAGGCTGTACCTGACAGGCCGTAATCTCGCCAAAGCGCAAGCGGCCTTGTAAAAATCATCCCACCAGACCAGATGGAGCTGGTGCAGATGGACCAGAGCTCTCTAGAGAGCGTGCGCAAGGCAAGCGACACGATCTTGGCCAAGACCAACCAAGTCAACATTCTCATCAACAATGCCGCCATCATGGCAATCCCCGAGCGCCAGCTGACGGATGACGGGTACGAATTGCAGTTTGCGACCTACCACCTCTCGCATTTCCTCTTCTTCAATCTCTTGAAGCCTGCGCTGCTCGCCGCCAGCTCGCCGTCGTTCCAATCGTGGGTGGTCATGGTCAGCGCTGCAGCGCACCGGGTGCACGGCATCAATGCGTCAGACAACTACAATTTCCAAAACGGAGGATACAGTCCGTGGGGCGCGTATGCCCCCAGTCGAAGACAGCCAATGTGTACATGGCCAACAAAATCGAGCGCCGCCATGGAGCCCGGGGCTTGCATGCGACTAGCTTTCATCCTGGGATCATTGCTACGGGCATTGCCCTGTTTCTTCCTGCTGAACAGCTCCAGGCCATGCAGCAGGATCCGGTTGTGCTCAAGGTCTTGAAGACCCCCGAGCAAGGCGCTGCAACTACGCTGTAGGCTGCTGTGGGCCAGGCGTGGGAGGGCACCGGAGGACGCTACCTCCATGATTGCGCCGAGGCGGATCGTGGCGCCGAGGATGGTAACCCGGGGTGTGGGATATATGTGAGCCATACATACAAGCCAGAGGATGAGGCTCGGCTGTGAAGGATTCGTTGGAGATGGTGGGCCTCTCCCACGATGAGTAGGAGTAGGATGTCGATGCCGAGCTAGGGTGTCATTCTATCTGATTGCCTGTATATAATATTCCAATCCAATTTGTTAACTGATCATGACAGCTGTGAATCTCCCAAAATCCCCAATGAAAGAATACCGCCCGAGAGTGCACGACCAAACCCGACTTAAGAACAGGAATAAACATTATAATGATCGGGATTCATCCGGGCATGGTGAACAGCCTAGGACGAAGTAGCCGCATCCTCCTGGCTGAATTTGATGATATCACTACCAGCCAGAGTCCAGACCTTCTCGCTCCCAGCAGGAACATCACCCTCAAGCGCCTTCAACCCGGCATTCACCGCAGCCCGCGCAATAACATCAGACTCCTGGGCCCAGCTATCCTTGAGAGAGGAGTGCACCTTGCCGGCCCAGCTCGCGATGCAGCGAACCGCAGCCTCCATGGGTCGGCTCTCCTCACGCGAGCCCGCAATAAGACCCGGGCGCAGGATGACCGTGCGTTCGAAGCCGAGCGCCTTCACGTCCTCCTCAATCTCGCCCTTCATGCGCACGTAGGCCATCGAGGAAGACTTGTTGGCCCCGCTGCTCGAGATCAGCACGTAGGCCTTGGTGCCGGCGTCGCGGGCGGCACGGGCCATCTCGATGTTCAGCCCATGCTCGATCTTGTACTGGTTCTCGAACCCGCCGGCGGCGCCGCGCGTTGTGGCGAATGCGGAAATGAAGATGCCCGGGGTTGGGGTGAGCGAGGAAAGGTGGCCGGCCCAGGTGGCGGTGTCGCCGTTGACGATGGTGGTGAGCTTGGCTTGGGGTGTACCTGATGCGACTGGTGGGGTGCGTCGGGAGATGCTGTCGACTCGAGTGACCGCGGGGTTGGACAAGAGGCTGGTGAGGATGTGGGAACCCTGGGGTTGAGGAGTGGGGAGGTTAGCTTGTCTTCATCGAAATCAAAGAGAAGATAAAATGCAAATGACCTACCACCATCCCCGTGCCTCCGATCAACGCAACATTTGCCATGGTTGGATGGTTGGAGGTGAAAGCAGGAAGAGCTGAGGTGGGCCCTGCCGAGGCTCGAGGCTCTATTGTCACGGGTACTCTACTCTTAGACCCACTCTCCTACACTTTCATACTCCCTGGTTTAACTAGTATTTTCAATATCTGTCCCTAATTCCCCATTTCTTTTATTATATAGTTAGCTGTATGGATGGAACAGATTTGTTCTTCGAACCAAGTACCACCTACTATATAGAAGGAGAGCTAGTACTTCACTGAGGCCTGCTAAGACCAGCATATCTATATTTTACAACTAGAATATAGGGACCTATGAAAACGACGCCGAAAATGACAGCCTCTGGCGTCAGAAACGGCCTCGTTTCCACCCGTAACTTTGGACAGCGAGCCGCCGCTTGACCGCCCGCTGCCCAGTACCGCCCCCTATTCTGCACCCAACCAGGACTGTTAGTCATCCGCCTCTCTTCCTGTTGTTGACGCTTCCACGATCGGGTTACAGCTGAGAGGGCCCCAAAAAATACTGAGCGGGCCCCAAAAATCGGTGGAATATTACGCCGACTTTTTGGGGCCCCCTTATTATTCCACCGATTTTTGGGGCCCCCTTAGCTCGCTAAGTCGACTGGGCCCCAAAATATTTTATGCTAAAATTAAAATTCTTACTAATAATACTTTTTTTATCTATAGATCAACTCTAATATATTTAAAGATTAATAAACTTATATCAGATACACTATAAAAAAAGATGATCTAACGTATAAATAATACGTTAACTGGAAGATAACTCAGACCCTGGCTCAATCGGGGTAGTTTCTCGTAGTGGTCGGAATCGGGGGCTACATACGACCTAAGGTCGTGAAAAGCCTGAGGAATAAATAATAATAATAATGCAAAGCCGCGAGCGGCAAGCCACCCGACCCATTCCTTAGCTCGAAAGCTCTCCGACCAATGATAGATGACAACCATGGCTCTATCATAAGAGGATGCGGCTCAAAGCTTTTCTTCGCAGAGTCGATCTTGACTCCGAGATGAAGCATTTGCAGTCTCAGATTCGAACCAACTCCACGACATCGAACCCGCTCAGGCCCTGTTATTCGCTTCAATGACAGGGTTCCCCGCTGCTTATCAGCATGTTGCCGCACCAAACAGCGCACATGTCCGTTTAAGAACTTACTTTTGGTCCCTAATGTTTGCCTAGGTCAAGATATAAAACCAGGGTGACAGTCCGGACGATTCTGAGAGAATCATCATTCATCCTCCATCGCAAGAATCAGCCATAAAGTGTCCCAAGTGCAACCACAATAACCCTACCTACAAGGACAATTGCGAGAGCTGTGGTACTCAGCTGCCCAAGGCTATGAAAGGTGCCTAGCTCTAACGGTCGATCTCGAGTATAAGGATTGATTTGAGCTCCCGGTATGCTTCCTTCCTTTTACTCAATACCTTAAGCTTATCGAGTACGAGGAAATACTCTTTACTCTCAGTCACACGCAAGAGTAACAGCAGTGCCGTGTTTAAGTACTTCGAGAAACTCTGGGCGTCTTTCTCTCAGTTCAAGTCTCTGCGTTTCTCTGCGTTTAATAGGATATTTGGGAATTCTCGGCTGGCTCTTTGCCATTCGTTTTATATATACAGTTCCGATTTTAAAAATATATCTTCAATCCTTCGGCATCTTCCTATTCTTTCAAGCCTAACTATCCCATCGAAGGATTTATTCAAATTCACTATTGCCGAGCAGTCCTCGATAATAGATATTGAATTTCCTGCCTAGAAAATTTACGTGACATGATAATAGAGAGACGAAGTGTTTGATATACCAATACAAAATCCCACCCATTTAAAGAAGCAAGGCTACACACCTCCTAATGGGCCTCACTTCTTGCCTTCTCTATGAACTTCGTAGCTCTTTCACTGCTGGGATCCCTACAAAGGTAATAATAGTCCAGCCAGAATTCACGCGCGGCGCTATGATCAGGCATGTATTTTCGTAACAACGCCTTCCACTCCCTATCCTCCTCACTATCAGGGACCGAAGTGCACACATATTCCCACCACACTGGGAAGTATCCAGACATCTCCCAATCAATTATGCCGGTAAGGGAGCCATTCTCAACCATAATATTCACATTAGTAAGGTCTCCGTGCGTAAAGGTATAAGGCGTAGCGGAAGGCATGTAATATCGAAGCCGTATTCGTGTAGCCTCAGGGATCGTCTCTTTCAATCCACGTTCCATATTATCCCAGAGATCATCATCGGATGCCAGAGGACCGTGAGGAGTCTCGGAATCCTTATCTTTGAACAGGAAGTTGGAAAAAATCGGACGGCCACCAAGAGATTGAATTTTATCAGACTGGAGCTTGCGAAGTTGTTGTAGATACCCCGCGGTCTGCTTTGCTATCCTCTCTTTTTCATCCGTGGAAAGGTTCGGCCAAGCTTCGCTGAGGGGTTCGCCGGGGATACGTCGCATTAATATGAGGGTGTGTTTGCCTTCCTCCCAAGATTCGACAACGGCGGGAACAGGAATAGATGTCTGTTCCTGCACAAATTGAATATTTGGTACCTCGAAGGTCGGAAGGCTAGCACCTCGATCTTTCAATATCAATTTTGAGCCTAACGACCAGACGCCTCGGTCGCCTGCTTCATAGAACAGTTTGAGGTAGCTTTGGTAGTTGCAATGGTTTTGGCGCTCAGTGGTCCAGCTACACGCTGCGCAAGGGTCTGAGCTCATTTCGAATGAATAAGTAATGGCTCACGATGGAGAAAGATGTGTACTTTCAGTTTCAGTTCTGCGGGGAGCTTGCTTTTTAAGAATATCTTGGGGCACCTTCACACCGCCTTTGTGTATGAAATTGAACTGGCCCCACCCCGCTAGCCCTTCCTGGAATGGGGCTGCCCCTCCTAAATAAATTGATTGGCTCTGGATTGCCAAGACTTCTTAAGGTCCCAGCAGGGCAGAAGACCTTGGATAGGAACATGAACATTATTCCTTGGACAGGAGCCATTTTGCTCCTGAGAGTTTCTGGTTCCTTGGAAGCCATGGCTATACCTTATCTTCTTCCATTGGTGTTCATCTACATATATGTACAACTGAGATTTGGAGCGCATAAGCTGAGATTGATAGAGACCTCCGGGAACATTAAGTGATCGGGAAGCCAACGAGGGGTTCGGTCGCAAGGCACACTTGGTGACAGGGGCTTGGGCTGGGCTAATCTCCAGATGCGAGCCACCTCGCAACAGACTGATGTACTGTAAGTTGAGGGAAATAAGGTAACCGTCCCAGCGAACTAACGGCATCGCCTTTCGACTTGTTAGCGTCAACATGACGAGGCTGAAGACCTACCAGCTCCTGGCTCACACCTCAACCCTCGCGTCCTTGGGCTGTACATGAACCTATCGAACTGAGTATACACTAAAATCCACTTTTGTCACTTGGCGAAATCAGTCTCTTTTTAAGACTGTGAGGCGGGATCCGCTTTCTACATAGTGCAGAAGACCGAAGTCAGCTTCTATCGCCCATGCCCATCGTTCGCCAGCTCTGCTTCCATTCGCCAGACTACGTGATCGTGGGGTCTTGCCGCAGCCCGACCAGGTAATTCATTTCAGGAAGCGGCGTCGCCCTAGGTCAGGCAAGTGTGCGGTATTTTCGCTATTGGCTCGCATCACCGTTGCATGCTGTCGCGATTCATCGATTGGGCGTGAAAGGACCGGAGAGGCCGATGATGACGACAACTGAGAGTGCAAGAGACGTTTGGAAACAAGCAGCCGAGAGTAGATCTGCGAGGGCTGTGCAATGTAACCTCAGATGGGGCGGACGGAGCGGGGCATGCGGCATCGAAGCCATACCGGCACATTGCAGATACGAAGGAGGATAGCGGGCTCAGAGACGAGCAAAATGCACTATCAGAGGGAGACCTAGATGGCTTCGTAGCATGATGGGCAGTCACACTCTTTGGGAAGAAGTAGGAGTCTCGACATGAAACCACACAAATGCGGCTGCGGGCTGGATCATCTCAGTGATTCTGCTCCTGGGCGACTGGTCATTCAAGGGGGAGAACGAGCTGAGCGTCGGATCGAGCGGCATCTCCGGTAAAATGAAAGGGGTAGTGCATCGGGCTGAAAGCCAATGCGCAATGGTCGGTGGGGGCCAGGGTGGAAAAAAGGGGGTGGCGATGAGTGCAAGATAGAGGAGTTGAAGGGAGGGAGATGGAGGAGAAAAGAGGGCGAACGAGGGAGGCCAGGTCTTTTTATGTTCGGCGACAGAGAAAAGAGGTTAAGGAACAGCGTTTAGGGCCGCTAAGCCGGGAACGGCAAAACTAACCGGAAGTAGTAAATCACAGCTCCCAATATTACATCACCTAAAAAAGGATCTCTTAAAGAGAGAAAGGGAGTGGCGGTTTTGCATTGTACGGCAGTCGACACATATACAGAGCTCAACCGTCCGTCTTTAGAAAATAATAATCCCTTAGCCAAATTCGTCCCGAGTTAGGCTCAGAAAATAGCCAATTCCTTCTGCGGGAGGCAATCAATAGGTATATGCAGGGGTAGAACAGATATCAGGACAGTTGCATGATCATGCTTCTTATTCTCTGGAAGCAATCCTGGTTTCCTTTCATCAAAGATGATTGCGTAGTCGGCATATGGCGGCCATCGATCACCCAACCTACCATCCATCGCTAGCTCTACAGGCCGCCTCATGCCCGCGATATGCCTGTGGCCTAATCACTGCGCACCTTGACCACGACCTTGCCGCGCGCGCGCTTGCTGGCGATGCGCTCATAGGCGCTCACCGCGTCCTCCATGTCGAAGACGGAGTCGACAGGAATGCGCATGCGGCCCTCCTCGATTAGGCGCGCCACATAAACGGCGTCGTCGCGCGCCGGTGGCGTGCTGAATATAATGTAGCGGCGCGGTACGCCGCCCAGCCAAGTGGGCAGCCAGCTGTTGAACAGCACGTTGCGCGTCGTCACACCGATGCCCTCGAGCATGCCAATGTTGACCACCGCGCCCTCGGCCTTAAGATAGGCTGGCGAGTTGACAAAGAGCGCCTGTGTGCCGACGCAGTCGAGCACAAAGTCAAATGGGTTGTCACCGTACTGTTGCGCTAGGTAGGCCGGTAGCGGATCATGCTTGTGGTAATCGATAAACTGTGCGCGCATGAGTCATGTTCTTGTGCAAACCCACCGGTAACCTCTGCCTACCTCGTCTACGCCTAGGCCGCGCACCATGGCCTCGTTGCCCCCGCTGGCCACGCCGACCACCTTGGCGCCACGGATTCTGCAAAGCTGCACGAGCACTGAACCAACCGAGCCGCTGGCCCCATTCACGAGCACCGTATGGCCCTCACGCACGCCAGCTGTGCGGATCATCTTGAGCGCGGTGCTGCCGGCGCCGTTGATGCCCGAGGCCGACGCCAGATCGACCGCGGGGTCGATGCGCGCGACCTGGCTGCCAGACAGTCGCACGTATTCAGCCATCACGCCATGGCCCATGAGCACGGCGCCAGGGATGCTCTGGAAGGCGACAACGTACGTGCCCGGGTCGCGCACCTCGGCCGGCGCACCCTCACCCGCCGCTACCACCTCGCCGGACAGCTCGATCTCCGGGATCCACGGGCCGGTGAAGGGCAGGTTGGGCAGCATCTTCATGGTCATCTCGGTACTGAATTGCAACGACACGTGCGACACGCGGATCATCACGTCGGGCGACAAGCCCGTCGGCACGGCCGGCGTGGGCAAGGTGGCCAGCTCGAGTGTACCACGCGCGGGGCCGCGCCGCGGGCGCACCCAGGCGCGCATGGTCGATGGCATGGCCGGGGGCTGAGTCGTTGATGCCATTTCTTCAGCTGTCGGTGGGCGGGGGGAGCGTTGAAGAGGAGGCAAAGTCGGGGGGCCAGAGGAGATTATGGGGGCGGTGTTGAGTGAGACAGAAGCGAGCAGTTGACAATGGCCTAAGAAAGAAATATCACGGTCAGCAGACACGACAGCTGTAACAACAAGAATAAACTAACGATTACAAAAGGATGCTTTAAGACAAAGGTCTTGAATATCACTCTTTGTCAATTTGGTGCTGTCGCCTCCCCAGCGAATTTGCAAACGGACTGGTTGGCAGATGGTGCGACTCTCATTCCATAAAATCCTTACTTGATCTTCACTTCTTCAGCCTTCTCTTGAACTTTCAGAGGCTGAAAATATGGCAAGCGAGAAATGGGTCCCGGCTTGGAAACTGGTCTACGCTGAGCTCGAGCAAGTAATCTCTCACTATATATCTGCTGAAGTATCCCCTTTATTCCTCTCACTGACTTCTTTCTAATGTCATCAGATGACTTCTTTTCCAAATCATCTTGGAAGGATCGAAATGAGAGTTTAACGTCTGCCCCGAAGCCGACAGCTTTGAGGCGAGCCTTTGGCAGATAACCGAAGTGGAGATCAATTTAGATCTCCACAATCCAACGATTCTGGCTCTATGTCATCAAGCTGGCAGGATTTGACAAAGACACGCCTCATGTCGAATACATGCTGAACCTTGCCGAGATGTGGCTAGCCTGTTGTCTGCCAACACTCAAAGCACACGATCTCCAGCGAATTTTACCTGAAGATATCGAGAAGCCATTGGCAGTATATAACCAAAGATGGCTATAGAGTCCATTCGCCAAAAATTCTTCCGTTTATTGTTGAATATATGATTACTGCTGAGTGAGAGAAGCGACATCAGATCCGGATCCAGCCTTATCGCCTTCTGCGAGATGCTCTGATCATGCCCAGAAAAGAGCTATGGAGCTATATAAAGAGGATGATGCTCGGAGCAGATTCTGGAATCAGATACTCGTGATGATCGAGGATGGGGCATCCGAACGACTGGAACAAAAAGTCTCGAACGATAATCAACAGGGTTACCAAGTCCTCACTACCACCGGATATAACCTAGTTATTGTTGGTTCCTCTCAAGAGACCCAGCCTACCTCAATACCAGCCACAATCCCGCATTTGAACGACCAGAATCAAGAATCCGACCAAACTGGAAATTAGCTGGCTGAGAATGTTCCTGGTCCACCTGCCGATATTTTAATCTCGCTTGCCAGCTACGGCAGTCGTTCTCACATGATAGAACTGGCACCAGATTGGAATATCTCGACCGAAAAGCGTTTATCGATGCTCTTCATTCCAAGGACCCCGTCCGAACTCAATAGGCTGCCGACGCAAGGGACAGACACCTTGCTTTGGCACAACCTTCGAATCCACGCTTCAGGCCAAGTTTCTGGAATCCAAGCGCTAGTCAATAAAATATACGTGCAGGAATCTGCTTTTGGGCAAATATTATGATTATCCATGGATATTTACCTACTAGCTGAGCAGGTCTCTGGGATTCATTCAGTTATATGAACTTTGGCCGCAATAGCGTCTGGGGTGCAGTGGATTGGCCACTGTAGTAGTCAAGATATACCTCCTAGTACTTCTTCAGAGTGGCAAACCACGACTTGAAAAGCGAAACCTTGGCCTCCGAAGCCACAGGAATTGACCCCCATCCATTTCCAACATGGTGGGCACTTTGAGTGGCATTAGCCGGATGCCATTGAACCAAGCCCTCGCCATTGGGATCCCCAGTCTTAATGAAGTTCACCCAATACCCATTCATCTTGCGAGCAATGGCATAGTCCTTCTGCGTCCAGGCCTTATCAGTTGCATAAAGATTGTTCAATACATAGTTAATCTCAGACTCATGAGCAGCGCCCTGGTTTTGGCTCGGCGGCGCATGGTCCCAAAAATAATTGTAGACGGGACTCGTGCGAGCCGTCGCCCACAGTCGGGCCCAGAGCCATGTGCCAACATTAGATCGGTCGGTGAATTGGGAGTTGTAAGCGCCTGATGCGGTCTTGGAATCATGCGCCGGATAGAGATCTAGGAACTTTTGCACCCAGTGTCCGCTGTAAGTCGAATTCAGATTGCGTAGATATGTTGCCATGCTGATATTCAGGCCGTATGTTGCGCCGCTCTCGTCTTTGGTGTTTCCGGTCAGCACGGGCACGTCGTGGGCTAAGCCCTTCACCAGTGTGTTGTAGTATGTATCCGGGATAGCGTAGTGGTCCAGGGTGGCAGTGAAGCTCCAGGCAGAGTTGCTGCCAAAAGTGGCCAGTGAAGTCTCGAGATCTTTCATGGGCAACTTTCGCATTTGCGCGAGCGTGCTGACATTTAGGCTGGCCATGTACTTCGTACCTTGCTTTTCCGCCGCGTCCAGGGTTAGGTAGTTCTCGGCCAAGCTGGAGCACAATGGATCTTGAGGGTATCGGACGCCGCTTTGAATAATGGCTCCCTTGATAAGACCCTTTGTCAGGGGACTATGAAGGAGATGCTGAGAGGCGGCCGACCCGGCAGACTGACCCATCACAGTGATGTGATCAGGGTCGCCGCCAAACGCAGCAATGTTGGTATGAATCCATTTCAGCGCGGCGATCTGATCAAGTAGACCCCAGTTCCCAGAGGCCTTCGAGCCAGACTCTTGAGCAAATTCCTTCGACAGCTCAGGGCTGGCGAGCCATCCAAAAGACCCCGTTCGATAGTTATAGTTCACATAGACGACGCCCTGGTCGGCCATTCCAGCGCCGTCAAAGAGAGCGTCCGCACCCGTCGATCCGGCCGGGTAGCTCCACATGACGACTCGCAGCTTTGCGTTTGTGGAGTTTGCTGCACTCCATATATTGAGGTTTAAGCAGTCCTCGTCGATGGTGTAGGCATTGTTCCCTGAAGTGGCCGACGGACAGACGTGACCAAAGGATTTGGCGTTCAGGGTCTTGGTCCATGGACTGGCTGGCTGGGGAGCCCTGAAACGGTTCTCGCCGCTAGTTGTGGCTGCAAAGGGAATGCCCTTCCACACTGTGATGTCTTTCCAATGGGACAGGTCACCAGCAGGGGTGCTGTTGAACGCAGGATAGCCTTGGACTGGGCCATGGCTTGTGTGGATGACTTGGTTGTAGAGTGCAGCCGAGGCACCAGGGACAATACTCAAAAGAAAGGCAGAAGCGACCGCAGTGAAGTAATTGAAATTCATCTTAAACGAGAGAATCTTGGAAACTAAAACGAAGGTTTGGGTAGGAGATGGGCGCACCTTTTAAATATACTCTTCTCCCATCAAGGCTACGCAATCGTGCTCCATACCCAGAGTCATTCCTGCCAATCAGCAGGCAGTTACGCGAATAGCTCCAAGAGACAGCTCCTTAATTTCGTCGTGGATTCTGCATGGTTGTTATCTCCGAGTGCATGTCGGCTAGCCCTATCCCGATCGGGCAGCTCAGAGCGGCCTCGGACATGCGAGATGTGGACCTGTGGGCCCAACGGGACAGGATATCAGATATCTGTGGCAGTAGATACAGATGAAAAAGATGCATAGAGGATCAAAGAATCTGGTGTGTAGTTTTCTTTGTTCAGAAGTATTTAAATTCATGTTTCTTGTTTCTAAGATATGTTTCCTATTGCCAATGCAATTGCCATGAATTGCACTGGTATATTGTGACTGGCATTTACCAGACAAATTTCCAGGCCTGTCAAATGGTCAAATATCAACTCCAGGGGATTAAATCTTCGAGCCCTGCGCGAGTTTCTTTTCTTGGGCTTGGTAGATTTTGACCAACTGGCGCACAGACAAGTCAAGCAACACATCCTCCGAGCCACCAGGAATCCGGGCGCCGGGAACATCGCGAAGAATTGCTGGAAAGAAAAAAAAAAAGAGTGTTAGTAATACTAGGATCTTCCGACAGAATGATTCATTCTTACCCTCTGCAAGTTCACCCTGCCCCGTTCTCGTAAAGCCATTGCCACCAAAGAGCAGAACCGCACACTGGGCACACTCGTTCAGCACCATAGCCGACTTCGCCTTAGCCAGGGCTGTCAAGCCTCCCAGCTGCCGGTCACTCTCTTCCTTGCTGAGATGACATAACTGGTAGAGAATCTGCTCCACCCACGCCCACATGGTTTCAAGCTCAGCGCCGGCTTTGGCGAGTCGGTGTCGCACCACCGGCTGATCCATCAACGTCTTCCCGAATGCCTCACGCTTGAGGCAGTATGCGAATGCAGAAGAGAGGGCCACACGGGCTTGTCGAGTAACACCAACGGAGATGACGAGGCGTTCATGGTTGAAGTTGGTCATGATAATCCGCATGCCATTTCCTTCCTTACCGACCAAGTTCGACACTGGAACCTTGACGTCGTCGAGCTCGATGTAAGTGGTTCCGCCGGTGATCTGGCCCGAGACCTTAAGTCGGCGCATTGTAACTCCCGGCTGGTTCTGAAGGGGCACAACTAGCACTGAGAGACCCCCTGGGCCTGGTCCACCGGTTCGCACAGCCATGGTCGTATAGTCCGACCAGATGCCATTGGTGATCCTGGTTGTCCGGGGTTAGCGTGTACCTCAACCGAGGGTAAGAGTGAGCACCCTCTTACCATTTCTTGCTTCCGTTGACAATGAAATGTTGACCGTCGGCACTCTTGACGGCAGTGGTGACAATGTTCGCAACATCACTACCGGCCTCAGGCTCCGTGATGGCAATGCAACTCCGTTTTTTACCTGTCAGCAGATCAGGGAGGAATCGCTCTTGTAGCTCTCGGCTACCAAATTTGACAATCGGGGGGATGCCAAAAGCAAAGCCAGCAGTCAATGAGCCACTAGGCCCACTGAGACCTGACCGTGCCAGCTATTTTGTGCCACCAAGTCAGTTCTATGAATATTGCTCTCTATCATGAATTTGCTTCTCGCTGACCTCATCACAGTAGATCCCGGTATAGATATAATCCCAGTCTTCCACTTTGACACCTAGGATGTCATGGATTCCCAACCGTTTAAGCCAGTCCACGGGGAGTGGTGCAGGCATGTTGGGCAGCAGCATATTATGCTTGCTGAATGTTTGGAAGACATGGCTTGGCACAGTTCCCTCGCGCTCCCACTCCAATGCATGCTGGAGCAGATTGTCCCATATAAATTTGCGGCATGCTTTCTGGAAGCGGAGGTGGGCGGGTGTGATATATGGGGACGGGAGACCGCGCAGGTATGGCGGCTCGGAAAAGGGAACGGGGTTCAGAGAATTATCAGCCATGGTGAGACACTGAAGAAGCGATGCGATATAGTAAAGAGAATGCTCAAGTGCAGGGTTTGATTAAATATGAGTCCAGCCACACTATATACATCGACATTGCCAGCTTGGCGGATCTCCGCATTTCCGGGGTCGACCGAGGCTCGGTGAGCTGCACAGCCGGTGGGCACAAGCATAAGCACATCACATGATATTTGGCCTGAGGCATGAAAGGCATAACTGAGTCATCACATTCCTGCCACGTCTGACCGCCTACTTATCGATAAGAAATTTCGCGATCACGCAATTAGCGCTAGCCGGATGGGGCAAGATGCCTTCGGGCCTTTTCTTCTATAGCAGCGCAGTTTCGGAGGATCTTCTCCTCCCCCACACTCTTTTTGTTTTGTCTTTCCTTGTCATCTCAAAGACAAGAACGGCTGCCACGATGGGCTCGTCTTCGAATCAAGCCCTGTCAGCCCTGTCGGGCCCGACCTATGTCACGGCCCAGACCCTGATCCAGCAGGTGGCTTTCCTACTGAGTGATAAGGTCTTCTCCTACTCCCCGGAGACCTTTGATCTGGATGCCGCCCTCCGAGAGTGGTCATCGCAGCAGGAGACCAATGCCAATGGCGAGTCTCCCGTTGTAAAGACCCTGGAGACTCGCCAGGGTGCCGGAAACATGGCCCTGGGTTACCTTTTCTCCCAGGACTTCGACTTGAAGAAGCGCCATGTTCCCCAGGGCATCGTTGCCTCTTCCGCCACTCTCCCGTACATGCGGGCTGCTTTGGAGCAGCTTTCTCTGCTGTACTCTGTCGCTAGCCCCGTGGCGGCACACGTCGCCGCAGTTGACTATGCCGGCGAGGAGGGCCTGGTGTCCGACTATGCTTCGGCCCTTTCTCTGGCCGAAGAACTGGGCCTGGGGTTGGTTTCCAGTGGCTCGGTCCACGAATCGCAGCACATGGCTCTGTTCACGACCCTGCTGGCTTCCGTGCTGCCCTCCATTCATATATATGACGGCGTGCGTGTGGGCCGTGAGAACACCCGTGTCATTGATGTTCTCGACAAGAACGGTCTCAGTATCACGTACGAGACCGTCCGCAAAACTCTGGAAGATTCGCGAAACCGCCACCTGGATGCTCAAGGCAAGGTGCTGGACCTGCTGAAGACCCTGAACGGTGAACTTGGCACCGATTACGGCGTGTTCGAATACCACGGCCACTCGGAGCCCATTTCCGTTCTGGTCGCCTTTGGCACTGTAGAGGCCACCCTTACGGCTCAGATTGCACGCTCTTTGGCCAAGGATGGCGTGCATGTCGGTGTCATCAACGTCCGCGTCTACCGCCCATTTGTGGAGGAGGAGTTCCTCCGTGTACTTCCCAAGTCCGTGAAGACCGTGGGTATTCTTGGACAGGTTGCTACGGAGCAAGCTGTTCAGGAGGAGGGGATTCATTCCGCCCTCTACGAGGATGTGCTGGCCGCCTTGACCTTTGCCACGGACCGCGAGCAGTTCCCATCTTGTGTCGAGATCAAGTACCCTCGCTCTCAGCGTTGGGATCTGATCACGACCGCTGCCGCATTCCAGCGCGTGTTCGAGAAGCCCATTCTGCCCGTCAACGCTGAAACCAATGAGACAGCGCCTCTGCAATTGCTGGACCCTGCGTCTGTCCAGGAATACACCTTCTGGGATAGTGACAATTCCGTCTCAGAGGATGCTACCCGCACTCTGAGCCAGGCTCTCGCGGCTGATTCAGCCAGCAATGTCACCATCAGCAAGGCTCATGACAATCTGGTCCAGGGAGGCGCTGTCCGCATCGATATTCGGAAGAGCGCCAAGATTGTTGATGCTCCATACGCTGTCACGGCCGCGGACGTTGCTTACGTCGGGGCTATTCCGCTACTCAACGACGTTGACGTTCTTGCTTCGGTCAAGGATAATGGTCGCATCATCGTGAATGCCCCGGGTATCAAGGACGAGGACCTGGAGAAGAAGCTCCCGGCCACCTTCCGACAGGCCATTGCCCAACGCGGAATCTCTCTTTTCGTGATCGACCCATCAGTTACCGAGGACTCGTCCCTTGACTCCCAAGTCCTGCAGGCTTCCTTCCTCCGTGTTGCTCTGCCTTCTCAAGAGGGCTTGGCCACTAAGAAGCTGTCTTCGGTCACTGGAAATGCCGAGGCCCTGGATAAGGTCACCAACGATCTTGATAAGATGCTGCGCCAGATCGAGATTCCCGAGGCTTGGAAGGAACCCGAAGGTGCCAACGAGGCAGCTCAGCTGCCCAAGGATATCTCTGCCAACAGCTTCGTTGGCTTCGACAAGAATGAGACTGAGCCCCCGACCCTTCTCAAGGATTGGGAGACGGCGGCCCGTGGTATCGCCTTCAAAGAGGCCTATGGTACCAAGACCGCTCTTCGTCCCGACCTGGCCACCAAGACGTTCACCGTCCACGTCAAGGAGAACCGCCGTCTGACTCCCGTCACATATGACCGTAACATCTTCCACATCGAATTCGACCTGGGTGACTCTGGTCTCACTTACGATATTGGCGAGGCCCTGGGTGTCCACGCCGAGAACGACCCTGCGGATATCATGAAGTTCATTGAGTTCTATGGTTTGGACCCTGACGCCATCGTGGAGGTCCCGAGCCGCGAAGACCCGCAGGTCCTGGAGAACCGCACTGTGTACCAGGCTCTGATCCAGAACGTTGACATTTACGGTCGTCCGCCCAAGCGCTTCTATGAGGCGCTCTCGGAATTTGCCACGGATGAGAAGGAGAAGACCGATCTCCGCACGCTGGGTGGCCCCGACGGTGCCACCGAGTTCAAGCGCCGCGCCGAGGTCGACACCGTGACCTTCGCCGACATCCTGCTCGAGTACCCGTCCGCGCACCCCGATTTCCACGAAATCGTCCGGATTGTCGGTCCGCTCAAGCGTCGCGAGTACTCGATCGCATCGTGCCAGAAGGTGACGCCGAACACGGTGGCGCTGATGATCGTCGCGGTCGAATGGACAGACCCGAGTGGCCGCGACCGCTTCGGTCTGTCGACCCGCTACCTGAGTCGTCTGCAGCCCGGCACCCCGATCACGGTCAGTGTCAAGTCCAGCGTGATGAAGCTGCCGCCCAAGTCGACGCAGCCGCTCATCATGGCCGGTCTGGGAACGGGTCTCGCGCCGTTCCGGGCCTTCGTGCAGCACCGCGCTCTCGAGAAGGCCCAGGGCAAGGAGATCGGTGCCGTCCTGCTGTACATGGGTTCTCGCCACCAGCGCGAGGAGTACTGCTACGGCGAGGAGTGGGAGGCTTACCAAGAGGCTGGTGTCATCACGCTTCTCGGCCGTGCCTTCTCGCGTGACCAGCCCCAGAAGATTTATATTCAGGACCGCATGCGCCAGACCCTCCCCGAGATCATCGATGCCTACATCCGCGAGCAGGGTGCTTTCTACCTTTGCGGTCCCACTTGGCCTGTGCCCGATGTTACTGCCGTGCTGGAGGAGGCTATTGCCACCGAGGCCAAGAACAATGGCAAGAAGGTCGAGACCCGCAAGGAGATCGAGAAGCTCAAGGACGAGGAGCGCTATGTCTTGGAGGTGTACTAGACAGCGCGGTTTGTTTTGAACATGTCATGAGTTGACGACTGCTATATTCTTGGTTTTCTTTGTCAATTCCCCTTAGATCTCGATTCGGTCCAGCACAGTTGCACATAGACTTGATGCATTTTCTTCTCGCATGGAAAAGCTCTTCGAATACTGTTGGTAGACAGGATGGATCGTCACAATCAAATTTTGGACTTTTTTTTCTTCTCAAATTTTCTTTCTAGACAATTGGTAGTTGCTGGAAAAGGAATAATCCCCTGCTCAGCCCATATGAATGCCATGTTTCTCGTAAGCAGATCGTTTAAACACCGTGATATCTGTCGATTCCATTTAGTAGCCCCATCAAGCCCGACCCACGCTCCCCAGCTTGGTCCTCCCGTACGCACCACCCTTTTCCTTCCGAAGTTCCAGAGCCTTCCGGTACGGAGGCGCTGTAGGCGGCTGAACCGGGTCCAGGCTGACATGATCGGGCGGGAGAGCGTAAGAAGCGTCCGAATCCCAAGCAGAAAGATCGCCACAGGCAATGAAGGAAGGAATCCAGCGGTTCTCAGGAGCGAACTTGTCCGTTGCTTTTTGGGGAGGAGAGTGATCTGTAGAGGTAGATGGTGGATGAAGATGACGGACTTCTGTGGTGTGATTGGATGGGGGAGTACTGGTATTTGTGGAAGCTTCTGCAAGGACGGGACGGGCGTGCGAGTCTTCGTCTGCTTCATCGCGCACCTCAATGCCCACGTTGCCATCATTCGACAACGGTGTCGGGGGAGCAGCACCACCGAAGATGGGATTTTTGAGTGCCTCCATTCCAGTAATGTCGCTGTCCGAGAACGGCGGGATAAACCCCTCGCAGACCACGAAGGCCTCCAAGCTACTTGCGCGACTGCTCCGCGGCTTGGCGACGCTGACACGCTCGAAAACGGTTCGCAGCTGCGCGTACAGCAGATCGACATCGCGGCCGCGGAAGATCTTGGCGACGAACTTGCCGCCAGGGCGGAGAACACCAAGTGCCAGGTTCAGTGCTGCGTAGAGGAGTTGCGATTGGATGTAGATGTCAAGGTCGTGGAGTCCCGTCACGTCTGGGGCGCCGTCGGAGATGACTAGGTCGACGAGGTGGGGTTGGCGGATTGCCTCGAGGACAGGAGATGAGGCATCAGTCGTGTTGGCAGACGATTCGTATGCTTCGGGGTCCAGAGCGTGCAGAAGAAGAGGGATGGTAGAGGGGTGTGTAATATCTGCCTTGAGCATGGTGATGCCTTCGAGGGGCGCCATAGGCTGGAGGTCGATAGAGACGATCTTGACGTTCTTCCGCGGCTTTAGCTCGGTAGCCAGTGTGCTCCCCTCACTTCCAGCCTCTCGAGCCTGGCCACCGTCTGCGATATTTGCGTTTGCGCCTTCGCGGAATGCCTGCTGCTCTTCGCGCTTCTTTTCGATCCACGCCCGTCGCCCAAAGCTCTCACCTTGAATGAGAACCCGACTGAGCACTTGACTCCAACTTCCAGGTGCAGCGCACAGATCCACCACTCGCGTCACATTGTCCGGGTTCTCGTGCTCGAAAAGGTCGAATCGCTCGTCGATCTGAATTAGCTTGAAAGCGGAGCGAGCCCGCCAGTTCTGCTCCTTGGCGAGTCGGTAGTAGGCGTCGCGCTTGTCTTTGGAAGATTTCCCCATTTTGAAAAAAGGAAGAGCAACGAGGCCCGACGATGTTGGGGTTGCTCTATGGAGGGGAAACTGAGAGCGTGGGGAAGGGAAATTGATAAGATTTCGGGAGGGCGGACTTTTTTTTCTGCCGCTTTTTTTTTCTGAACTTTCGCTTTGCCTTGCTTCTTCCAATTTTGGTCGCTTTTCGACCTAAGAATATTTCGAAATTTACATTCAATCACTATGGGTCAAAAACGAGGTCGCGACGCAAAAGCTCAGGCGCTGCAGTCCAAGAAGCGCCAGAAGAATACCAAGTCTAACCCGGGCTCGGACGACAGTTCCTGGGATGGAATCGTCGGGATCGACGACCTCAACTGGAAGGAAGTTGCTCTACCTGACCGTCTGGAAGATGCAGGGGGGTTCTTTGGACTAGAGGAAATCGATGGTGTGGACATTGTTCGCCAAGGCAGTGGAGAAGTTCGATTCAAGGTGCGTAAACAACGTTCTCCGCTCAATGCTTTGGGCCAAGTGCTAACACATGAATTGGGGAAACAGGCAAAAGCAGGCAAGCCAAAGAAATCAATTGTGAAAACACCTTCTGTCGAGGACACCGCCGATAATGGAGATGAGTGGTCTGGTTTTAGTGACGAAGAGACCAAGAAAACTACTCCACCGGTCGACCAGGCACAGGTAAAAGAGGACAAGAAATCCAAGAAGAAGGAGAAGAAGGAGCCAAAAGAGCCCAAGAAGGAGGCTAAAAAGAAAGAGACCAAACCTGCGCAGGACCCCAGTTTCAAGACCGGGCTTTCATTTGCTGCTCTCGACGAAGCGGCAGAAGATGACGGCATGGATGTCTCAGCTTGGGATACTTTGGGGCTCTCGCCTGAAGTATCTACAAGCTTGTCCAGGTTAAAATTCACCGCTCCAACCTCTGTTCAAAAAGCCTGTATTCCGGCCATTTTAGACGGCCATGATGTTGTTGGAAAGGCATCGACGGGTTCCGGTAAAACGCTGGCGTTCGGGATCCCAATTATCGAGTATTACTTGGAGAAAAAGGGAAAGAAGACCGATGAAGGCGAGAAGGACAAATCGTCCCCAATGGCACTTATCCTATCCCCGACCAGAGAGCTGGCTCATCAGCTGGCCAAGCACATCGGGGAACTGAACGCAAATGCTCCTGACACCGACGCGCGCATTGCTCTCTTGACCGGTGGTCTCTCAATTCAAAAGCAGCAACGACAACTTGCCGGAGCCGACATTGTGATTGGCACACCAGGCCGAGTCTGGGAGATTCTGAGCACAGGGCAAGGGTTGATCCGCAAAATGAAGCATATCCAGTTCCTTGTCGTCGACGAGGCAGATAGGCTTCTCAGTGAGGGTCATTTCAAGGAGGTCGAAGAAATTCTTGGTGCTTTGGACCGACAGGAAAATGGGGATATTCCCGACATTGACGAAGATGCAACGGCCGAGCCCGAGTCCGATGCCCGTCAGACCCTTGTATTTTCGGCCACGTTCCACCGTGATTTGCAGCAGAAGCTCGCAGGAAAAGGTCGTTGGACTGGAGGAGATTTGATGGATAAGAAGGAGTCGATGGAATACCTCCTCAAGAAGCTAAACTTCCGCGAAGAGAAGCCGAAGTTTATCGACGTAAACCCCGTGCAACAGATGGCTGAGGGCCTCAAGGAAGGAATTGTTGAATGCCCTGCCATGGAAAAGGTCAGTCGCGGCCAGCACTCTTGATGGCCGAAGCTTGATACTGACTATCGATCGCTTCAGGATCTCTACCTCTACTCAATTCTCCTCTACCATCCCAAGCATCGAACGCTCGTATTTACCAATTCCATCTCCGCTGTCCGCCGCCTCACCCAGCTGTTACAAAACTTGCAGCTCCCTGCGCTTGCACTACATTCCTCTATGGCACAGAAAGCACGGCTCCGCTCTGTCGAGCGTTTCTCATCGCCCTCCTCCAACCCCAGCTCCATCCTTGTGGCCACCGATGTTGCAGCACGTGGTCTCGACATCAAGGGCATCGACTGCGTCATCCACTATCACGCACCGAGAACGGCAGACACCTATGTTCACCGATCAGGTCGCACAGCTCGTGCCGGAGCAATCGGCAAGAGTATTATCATTTGTGCCCCTGAAGAAGTTGTGGGCGTGGCTCGCCTTGCCGCCAAGGTACATGCACAGAAATCGAACGACGCTGGGCCCACAAAGAAGCTTCCTCTGGAATCTCTCGAGATTGATCGCCGGGTGGTATCGCGCGTGCGGCCACGCATGACCCTCGCCAAACGGATCACTGACTCGACACTTGCCAAAGAGAAGATCTCTGCGGAGGACAACTGGCTTCGTACTGCCGCAGATGACCTGGGTGTTGAGTATGATAGTGATGAGTTTGATGAGTCTCAAGGCAAAGGTCGTGGCCGTGGTGGGGGTCGGCACCAGCGTGAAAAACAAGCAAGCGGCATCACCAAGAACGAGATGGCCGGGTTGCGGGCCGAGCTCAAGCAGCATCTGGCTCAGCGAATCAACATTGGTGTCAGTGAGCGGTATCTAACGGCTGGGCGCATTGATATCGAGGCTCTCTTGCGTGGTGAAGGCAACGATTCGTTCTTGGGCCACCTTGACCCACTGAATTTCTAGGTTGATCGCAGACCGCCATGGAAATGGTTGTATCTCTTCCTGGAATGACGTGGTTATCTTTGATTTCTTCGACTAGTATACAAACATCATACCAAATTTGATTCCCCAATACCATGATTCAGCCATGGAAAATAGGAAGTCTTAAACAAAATACCTGGATATCCTTCAGCATTTCCACAATACCAATGTTTCGATAGCTGAAAGGCGAAGTATGATATAGGACTGTGCAGATCAGTTTGGAAAGGCAAGAGTTCAAGGATACCAATTTGACATCAGGACAGCGAGCCAACAAACCTGGATACCTTGGAAATGACCCGAACTATCGTCGTTCAACAAAGTAGCAGAAGCCTGGCGATCAGCCACGCTGGGACCCCAATTCAATCTACTAAAAGGTTTCCAAGGATTGCCTACCAGTACCGTGTTCTCGCCCAGTAATCATGTGGCGTCAGCCAGCATGAAAGACTCTGTACGTCAAGATTCCGACCATGAAAGAAGGCGCAGTGTCGTAGAGCGCGCCATATGAGAACAGAGCAATTAGTTCAGCAATTGAAACGACACCGATGATATTGGAAAAAAAGTGCAAGGCCCAAACGAGCGAATGGAAGAAGAAAGCAAAAGAAATGATCATGAAAAATAATAAATCGAAAGAACCCACGTCGAGACATGCATTCCCCATGACGAAACCGAGCACTGCACCAACACCACCCCCCAACGTATCCACAGATATCATCAGCCTGACTTATACCAGGATCGACGCAAGTTCCCGTCGCGGTTACTGATATCAGCACCTCGCCGAGAGTATCCGAGACTTCGATCCAGGGGCAGTCACGGTCGCCTCTCCGGGCAGCAGGGCCAACTGCATATGCGGTTGGGGACCTAAAGAGATAGACGAATGAGTTAGAACAACAGGTCCACTCAAGGGAGAAGGCAGGCAAAGGAAATTCGAATCCGATATCAAGAGTAGGGATGCGCCAGAGCAAAAGTCAAAGCGGGCCTGCTGAATGCGAGCAGCGCCCCCAGGGCCCACGGCACACCAGAATCCAGAGAGGGTCAAAAAGACTTACCAAGACTGCTACCCTGCGCCAAGTGTCGACCTAGCAGACCTATTGCTGGCTCCAGTAATCCACGCCTTCCATCTCTTCATCCTCGTCCAGGCCATCATCTTCCGTGTTCATCTCCTGGAAGATGACCTGGTCCAAGAGAATGATGCGGTCCAGCAAGGGACTGCTGTCCCAGGCACTTTCGGCCTCGGCGTCAGAGTCATCGGCATTGGTGATGTGGGATCCGATAGCAGTGATCGTCTGGTCGACCAGCTCCTCCTCGTCGGACATCTCGGATTCCTCAGCCACGAGGTTGAATCGGCGTTGGCCGGGAGATTCCTGGAGGGAGCGGGCAGCGTTCTCGACCGAGGCAATGATGGCACATTCGAGTACATGCTGTACATACCTGTTGTGGATGTCACCGAGGTTTGGTCCGGTGCCGGGGCCCTCAGTTCCCGGGGTCTGGTTGGCGGCGGCCGAGGGGGCATTGTTCGGACCATTGCCGGTGGTGGTGGGGTTGGTCATGGCAGGGTCAAAGGGACCAGGAGAATTTCCCAAATTAGCATTTCCACTGCTGGGAACTGCTCTGGTCATCTTGTCAATGATTGGTCAGATGGTGGGATAATGAGACGAAATGTAAATGCCACCAGTGAAACCAGCAGGGACGTGAATGCGAGCTTGAATGACTGCGCGAATGAATGATTGTGTGAATGCAGCGATGGACTTTCAGGTTGCAGCTTTCAAATAGAATAACTTGTGGTAGAGACAGCACCAGTGAAAAAAAAAGAGGTATCGAATGAATTTTGGAAGGTACAGTGGTTAGGATGAGAAGGATGGGAAGCGATACGAAGTGAGTTTTGAAGACGAGGGGGTATGCGGCAGCGAGCATAACAGGCTCCGACCCTATGAGTCTTACTATTTTACTGAACAAGAATTTTCACTATCTTCATTTCTCTCGATGTTGTTTTTGACGATCTAATATCACTCAGATTTATATACATGCAAAGATCTCTTTATCTTATCGGATTCGGCATGCCGAAGTCTCCGATCCGGCAGATACGCCGGGATCCCGCCGACTTTCGGCTCTTTACTGCCTACTGCCCCACCGCTAGGGCCGAGAAGAAAAAAAAATTAAATCAAAAGTCCAATGTGAAAAGGGAATGCCGAGTCTGAGCGCAAGATGACCTCACCTGTTCCCAGGATATAAATTCTAGCGGACTCCACCCAAACACCATCACATTGGAGGACTAGCACAATATACTGTTGGCTTGTTTCACGTCTCGACTAGCTCTTTTCTCGCTATTCCCAAGGTTTTCTGGCCGTGGGTAGAGCGTTTACCCGCGCTTTTCAAAGAAACTACGAGGTACGGATCTCGGTCTCAAATGACAGGTCTATTCTTCTAACACAAACATAAACTGCAGCCATAAATAGATCCAGGATTGGACGACATACATCCTCAAAGATGCCCAATCTCCCCCGAGCAGCCCGATGGCTCCTCCGACCATACTCAACACCGATCACCCGAATCCCGTTCTCACCTAGGGGCCCAGTCGCCCAGCTGCACCAACAGGGACCGACCCGGTCAGCGGTCGTGCATGAGCAAGCACTCCCTCAAAACCAAACCCATCCCGGGCCCGGGGAAGGAGCGCCATTCCTCTCGAACCATACCCAAAAAGACAGCACAGCGCCCGCATCCCAAAACGAACCCGCAAACCTCGAAACCCTCGTCTCGCACATCCCGCTCGTCCAGTCCCTCCGCAACAGCCACTGCCAATACAAAGAAACACGGCCGCATCTGGCCATCGCACCCGCAATGCGCCAGCACCACTTCGTGGGCGGCAGTCTAGCGGGGAGTGGCAAGCTGGCGTTCGCGCCGTATATGTGGACATCCTCGAAGCAGGCCAAGCCTGAGACCGAGACCGACAAGAACAACAACAAGAACAGTAACAAGTCCAGCGCGCGAGCTAGCAGCGTAGTCTCCATCTTCCACATCGGCCGCGATCTCTGCGGCCACCCGGGGTTCGTGCACGGCGGACTTTTGTCTGTGCTCTTTGACGAGGTCTTTGCTCGGTGCGTGTCGGCTGCGTTCCCGAGCGGGCTGGGCATGACGGCAAATCTCAATGTGGATTTCCGGAAGCCTGCACTACCGGACCGCGTGTATGTGCTGCGCGCGGAGACGGTGCGCGTCGAGGGGAGGAAGGCTTGGGTTGAGGGCCGCATGACTAGTCTTCCGTTGCCGTTGTCGATGCCACTGGATGCGCGTCGGATTGCTTCTGAGGATGCGACGGCGCTGTTGCACGAGGATAGTGAGCAGGCAACGATGGTGGCTGAGGCTAAGGCGTTGTTTGTGGAGCCGAAATTTGCGAGTGTGAGTTCTTCGGTTTTTTTTCTTGGTTGCTTGCTATATTTCTCTTATGGATGAGGTTATATTGACTTTTCTTTTCCCGGTTTCTGCAGTCCATGGAGTCTATATATCGGAACTAGGCTGCAACTACTACTCTGACGAAGAGGATGAGGGATGAACAAAATATGGTGTATAAAAATATAGACCCATAGAAACATAGATATAACTAATTGAATGTGATATTGCATATTTTCTCCCATGACAAGATAAAAGAAATCTCATAAATGCATTTGCAGAGAGGAGACAGAACGCTTCCCTTCCGACTTGGTTGCATGCTGCTATTGAAGAAAGTCACCTAATCACTGAATCGTTGATACTACAGAGAAAATAAGCCGAAGTCATCCATTGCTATCTAATATCAGTATTGTGAAAAGACGGCCCCTCCGCCATGACGCCCCTCGAGATGGCAGAGAACAACAGTAAAGAGAAACAACCAGGCCAAAAACTTGGGAATTGGGGAGACCAGTTCTCAAGCCAGGAGTACAAAATCATCACGTCATTAATAGCGTCCCATTCTTAGGTGAAAAGATAAAGGACAAGTCTTTCCACGAGGCAAAGACAGGGAAGAGAGGACAGTAGGTTAGAGAAGACAGAAAGGTAATAGCTCAAGACAAATGGAAAGCCCCTTGTCCCTCCTTGATGGCGACCGATATCCGTTCCTTGAGGACATCCAGACTGCTGTAGTCAGGCAGCTTGAGGTAATTGACACAGGTCATAACGCTGGGCAGATAGTCGTCTGGGGTGTATGGAGGTTCGCTTGGGCGACACACCACGGTGAAAATGGGCGTGAGACTCTTGAAACCTAAATTCGATGGTGTTAGTTAATTTCGCCATAGTGAGAATCAGGGACATGACAAACTTACCGCCGATGGGGAGCTTGGGGCTACCCGTAACAAATTGCAGGAAGTCCCGGCGTTTTTGGGCGTCCAATTCGCTCATGGTCTGTAGCAAGTTGCGCACGCTCCGGCTATCCATGTTGAAACCATGGTCGGCCTTGATTGAATCCATCAACGCCTCCATAGACCAATCCTCCTCTGCCTGACCGAAAAGCATGACTAGCTCACTGGGCGTGAAGGCCCGAAGGGCAGTGTAAGGGAAGACTTGGGAGAATCCTATGCGGAAAGCGTCCACTTGACGTCTGACCCCACTGCCCAGGGTCATGTCGACAACCCTGTCCACGTAGGAACCAACGTTTTCAATGGTCACAGGAACGTTGGAGCCATCCGGAACCAGATCAATAGCAGGGTAACCAGGGAGTGTAAAGTCCAAGCCCAAATCATCAACGCGAACACCATCCACCACAACCTCCTGTGACGCTTGCGACTTTTGTGATGGCGACAGCGACTTATCCCCGTCAATGGCAGTCTTGGCATGTGCAAATCGCTTGAGCATGATCAGAGACTTGGCCAGATCTTGATCCACAGCTTTGACGGTGCCCAGTGATGGCGCCACCGAGGACAGAGTATCGGCAATTCTGAAGAAGGCCGGGTTGAAAGAAATATCGATGATCCGGGAGTCAAGCATGGAGCGAGCAACGAATTTGCCCAGGATTTTGAATACGTTCAACTGCTTCTTGCCCAATTCCTGCGCCGCTTGCTCGTCGCTCATGGGAGCCGGGAACAGTCCACGTTTACCATAAGCATACTCGACGGCAGAGCTACCATCAGTTTCTCTCCAGATGTTGAGCTTCTTCTTCGAGAATTCTTTTGAGACAGTCGAGTAGAACTCAAGCGTAGGGCCGAGTCCAGTACCAACTTCCTCGAAATACTCAACCTCGAGAATGCTTGGTGAAGACCCATAGAGTTCCATGACCTTCATTGCGGAGTCCAAAATGCGAGCGCGCGAGATCCGCACCTTTTGTCGTTGTAACCGACCAAGGAATGGGCGATCATCGCGACGCAAGTCGCGCCGGCTGTCCTCAGTACTTTGGGAATTTTGCCACCTCATCATCGCTCGAGAATACCCAAAGGAAGTAGACTGCAAGAACAAGTGTCGCGTCTCAAAGGGAAACAAGAAAGAAAATAACCGAGCTAAATCTTCGCTCCAGCTAGGAAGGCAGCTGCTTGCCACGATCAATGGCTCCTCGAGTTGCCTGTTCACCTTGGCCGTGAGCTTGGTGTTGATGAATTGGGCCAGAGGCTCTGGGGTGATAGTGACAAGGTCTCGAGTGTCGGTCAAGATGTCATCGATCGTCGCATTCATCTCATGTAGGACACGGAGTAGGCGAAGGATCGATGCGGTTGTCGCCTCCTTGCTGAGAGAAGACGGCATCTCGAGGCCGTCACCATCGGTAGTGGCGTCTTGCGAAGGTGTCGTGAGAGTCGAGGGCTCCGCAGGCGGAGGACCAGGGACTCGTTTGAAGGTGACGGTATGAGCGAGGGCCCAGACATTCTTAGCACTGACCTCGTCAAGGTGCTCACGGTTGTGGTGGACCGCACGGTAGATGGTTGTATCACTCGAGATGGGCTTGCCATCTACACTGAACTCAATGTGCCAGTCCTGGGGAGTGGAGGCCATTGCTGCGGCGTATGAAGCAAACGGCCGCCCGGCGGTGGCTAGAGAGGTGTTGCTTGTGGGATGCGGAGAAGACGTACCAGGCGCCGATGATGAAGGTTTAGACGCAGGTGTGGACTGAGAGGGAGTTCCGACACGAGTCCCATCCTCTTTGCGTGCTGTTACCTTGCCCGAGGAGCCCACTTCCATATTGACGGCCGTGGGGTCATGAATGTTGTCATCTTCAAGCTCCTCATCAAAGTCATCGACAATTGCGTTGAGTTCCTCGTCCGGTTCACCGCCATCATCTTCATCTTCATCGTCATCTTCATCGTCACTCAATTGCCGCTCGTCAGCGCACTCCAGTGGTTCCTCGCCATGCTCTTCAACCTCTTCCTGGAGCTGCGAACGCTGATGAGGTGGTTGAGCCGCATCCGGGTGATCATGGTCTTGGAACGGAGTGTCAACCCCATGGCCTCGCGGACCACCTGTGCGCGATGGGATGTTTGTTCCCGCGAATGACCCAGGCGAATTGGATGCAAGCTGGTCGCGAAGCCGGGCTGCGTTTGCAATCTGGGAGAGGATGGAGGAGTCTCTGCCCCGAGAATGACGAGGACGTTCTGACATGGCGATTCGTGGTTGAAGGAAGTCCTCCAATGCCTTGAATGTCGCTATAGCGTGGATTGATACCATGATATTTTTATAGTGACGCGGGATGTCTGACTCGTCCTCGGCAACCAGTTTGAGCCTGAGTTGTTTTGCAAGCATATACGCAGCGTTGCTGCGCGTATTCTCCAACGAGTTATGGCTGACAGTGATGACCTCAAAGTGCTCAGTCCGACTCAACAGGTCCTGCAACTTTCGAATCAGAACACTAAAAGGTGTAGTGGCCGTGCTCTGGCTTTGGGCCTTCTCCGAGATTGTTACACCCATAAATGCTTGGAGGAATGCAGCTCGGGCATGGCGTGTGCATGGTGCTGGCGATCGTGAGTGACAGAGCAATGGAAGTCGTGTTTCAAGCGTGTAGCCAGTAGAGGGAGGAATGAAAAAAGGGGGGTATGACTTACCTTGGAAATTACCGAGAACGTCCAACAAAACCTCAATAATTCCCGAGTTAAGGAGTTCTGCGCTAGTGATGCTCTCCAGGGCGTCTCCATCGAAATACGATGCCAATCTTTTGAAAAGGGGAAGACCATTGCCATTACCGCTGGCGGCGTAGGATTTCCGTATCTCGGCGGCGAGGGATTGCAGTTCGGCCAAAATTTTGAGGGCCTCGGTACGCACCCCGCTGCCATGGCTTTCTTCATACACCTTGACAAAGGCATGCGCATCCTCGATGATTGCGTCTTTGATTGCATTGTCTGTTCTTGCTGGGGACGGGAGGCCAGAAACGGCGCTCTCCGATTCCGACATGTCCTCGTCTTCATCTTCGTCCTCATCTTCATCGTAATCATCGGCCTCGTCATATTCCACATCGTGGTCTTCATTTCTACCATTGTTGGCGTCTTCGGCAGCCAAGCGACCTTGGGACGACGAATGCGCCGAGGTGTCCATGTCGACAATGCCAGAGGAATCGCGAGGCTCCTTGGTCGAGGGAAGGGGAGCATCTGCAAGTTTGACGATTTCGGAGATAACACCTTCGCGATGGAACTGGTGTTGATAGACGTGCTCGAGTCGTTGGAACAGCAGCTCAGAGCATCGAAGAGCCAGCGATACAAGAGAGGGGTGGTCCTTCTGCGAGAGGATAGCAGCCAGGAAAGATGCATAAGGCACCGTACGCAAAGCCTCCTCAATCAGAGCAGGCTCCAATATATGCAGCATCTTGAGCTGGGCAAGTAACACCTTCTGGCGGACGTGGAGATTGACCGTGCTAGAGTAGGCATCGGTGAGGGTTGGAAACAAGATCATCGCGAACCGCTTAAGCTCTGTTTTGCAGTCCACCAATAAGGTGCGCCTCTCCTCGGTCGTTTCTTTTGTCTTGGATGACTTCAACCCGATTGACATCGTGTCGTCGAAATAGGAGCTGAGAAGGCTGTCCGTCCGTGATGCTTCGTGGTTGGGAACACCAGGCAATAGTTCACAAACAACATTGAGCGTCTCGAAAACTTGTTCCCGAGGCCGATGGATCAAGGCTTGCATTACCAGAACACTGTCCATCTTGACAGCCGTGTTATCCAGATCCTGAGGGGCAGAGACGCCCGTAAGGATCTGATAGAGGGTATCTACCACGTCCATCTTGAGTAGCTCATTTGACAAACGGGGGCTGGCTTTGGACACGATCGCCAATACACGGAGAAACTGCGTATGAATGTGCGGACCGATAAGATTGGTCGTTCCAGGCAGCAGCAGCCGAAGGACTGCTTTCAGCATCTGAGGGTCGATCAACTCTTCCAGGTTTTGGGATCGATACTTGAAACTCTCGACGATCCGCGAAACACACAAGCAGCCTTGCTCCACGACTTTGGGGTCATTGCTGGAGAGTACATTCAACAGAGTCGCCATAACGTCCCGCACCACGTGAAACGAGTCATGAGGAAGGTTGCGACAACAGTTGGCTGCCGTCGTCACAGCAGTGCGCTGGGTGCTGGTAGGGAAGAAGTCGAGGTAGGTCAGGCATGCCGTCAGCCCGCCCTCTCGAACGATTGAAGCGGGAAAATCGACTGATATTTTGGCCAGAGTCTAAAGGGAGTTTGTCAGTGGTTGATATGCATAAATTAGGCCTGCATCAAAAAGCGAAACACTCACACTCAGGGCCTGTTCAGCCAGATCAATGAACTGAATATCCAGGAGCTTCTGACAGAGGATCGGAACCGCGCCACCGTAGACAACATTGGCCACAGATCCACGCAAGGCTTCCATCAAGTTGGCCAGACAGCGACAGGCAAGAAGCATAATTTCCGGGTTCTCCTCGCCAAACTCATTGGGCTGCATTAATGTCACTAGTTCCTTCACGTAAGCATCTGCCGCAAAGTGGCCTGCCAAATTGTCTTCATTGGACACGAGCAGGAGGTCTGACAGTTCCTGGAGGGCGATCAATTGGAGGGATGGGTCTTCTTTGGCCCTCAGATTACAGAGAATATCCCGAAGCCGCGAAGTCATGCCCGACATCATGCCACTCAGCGCACGAAGCGTATTCTGCAGCTGCATCGGACCTCGGCCTCCAAAAAGGCTGCTACTAAACGGATCCATGTCGTCTTCATCGAATGCTGAAGGGTTGGTGCCATCATTGCTATCGCCAGTAGGAGACGCTTCTTGTTCTTCCTTGTGATCTTGCTCTTCCAGGTCTTCCTCGGCTTCTCGCATTAGGACATCAGGATTTGTCTTTGTCGACCGCTTCTTCTGTCGCCGTGGCGGTGGGGATTGTGTTGCGGTAGGTCGACCTGGAAATGGAAAAGGAAAAGAATCAGCATCAAGTAATCATCGGTTGATCTGCCATCTAGTGTAGCTCCTTAGTGGAGCTTACCAGGTCGGTTCGATTTGCGCCTAGGTGGCGGTGATGTCGTTGACTTTGAAGATTCCTCCGAGGGGTGAGACGATGGTCTACATTCCAACACACAGCCACATCAGTACTCTCTACTTGTATTGATTCATGGAAGTGGCATTCACGTACCCCGGTTGCGACATGGCTGGGCGGCTGCGGAGGCCTCGGCGAGGAGCGGGAGCAGGAACCGCAGGAGCAGTGTTTGAAGCCGCGGTCCGCTGTCGTTTGGATCTCCGGGGAGGTGACGGAGGAGATGGCTGGTTGGGAGTATCTGAATGTCGATCACGGCGGCCCGAGGCCTTACGTTTCCGAGAGGGGGGCCGGACCAGCGGCGAGGTTTGTCGATGCACCAGGGTCTGTAGAGGGAGATGGATCTGTGGCAAGCCTCGTGGAGGAGCGAGTGATTCTGGATGACATGAGAAACTGATTTTCTTTGGGAATGTGGGTGACGTTGGAAAGAGAGAAAAGAGCGTGGCAAGTAGCACAAATGACGGGAGAAGAGAGGTGGAAGTGGCAGAGAAACTGCAGGATCAAGTGTTGAGCAAGTAGGAGTTCCCCCCACAATCCGGAGATCCGGAGTATCAACCCAAAACCCGATCCGACGAAACCCAACGAAACAGGGGGACGAAAGTCATTCACGGGGTTTCTTGTTGATAGTGTATCCCAGGGACAAGTAAGACCAGGCTGCAACCAGCTGGGGAGGGAGAAAGGTGGAAGGCGAAGAAGATGGGCGGGAAACTACCTCAGAGATGATGAGGCGGCAGCCGAAGCTCCTGCGGGGGAGACGGGGTAATCCTCAAGAGGGTCCTGGCGGTGGGTGGAGGGCCTGTGACTGGCCATAAGTTATCGGGTCAGGGAAGATCGATAGAGTAGTCGACGACGCCGTGTCAACCCGCCATCCGCACACCTGTCCAGGGCTAGCCGAGAGAGCAGGAGAGAAGATGAGAGAAGGTCAGTGAGTTCGGGGAGCGGAGTTGCCGTCCAGGTGTCAATCAAAGGAATTAAAGGAATGAGCCAGGTGGGAAAAGAGAAATAAATCAAAGTGCGAAAGGGGAGCGATCAAACGGAGGTGGGGGGAGAAATGAAGAAAGAAGGAGGTTTGACGTGGTAAAGTGACGACTTGATTCGGAGGGCGCCAGGCGGCGGAAGTGCAACATTCGATGATATAAGACACATTTATCCACCAGAATTACCTGAAATTTTCACCATATCCTATATATATCCTATATATATCCTATATTCTATATTCTGGACTTGATCCAGCTTGGATCAGAATCGTGTGCTTTTACCTGTACTGACAGTACTGACTATACCGACTCCAGGTACTGTACCTATTTGCATCTTGCCTGGTCAGACAGCCATCGGGCACTGACTCAGTAGTTCTATCTACGCTTGAATTCTTCGTTTTTCCCCTTCTCTTAAGTATGAAATATCTGAAGCTATTTTCTCCTGTAGTCCTCTGTACAATATCCCCAGACATGAACCCGGATCCCCCGTCTATCGCAACGGCTTCATGGGGCCGAGTGGTTTCTCGGAGACACGCCGATGGTCTCGATTGACTCACCGAGGCGACTGAATAATCCAAAGATGCGCAATTTAGAGAAGCCGTTCAGCAGGGGATTTGTTGCTTTCTGACTGTTCCCGCATTCTCTCCATTTTCTTCCGCCTTCGGTTCGCCCCATCGTCATCAAAGGGAGCAAAGAGAAATTCCTTTTTCTTTCCCATCAACCCTGCCCGTCTTCTCTTTCCTCGGGCTTCATTTTATCCCCAGGCATTTTCATTTCCTTTCCCCAAGGTCCCTTAGGATCTTCCAACCATCCCCGCAGTAAATCATTTCGTTCCTGGCCCCCCCCCCACCAAGAAAAACCATGGCGACGGAAATGGTCGGAGGACAGAGCGACGATGTTCACCAGCAGCCTACCCACATCCCCTCTGCCCCCATGGACGGTTACGGTTTGCCGGAACTTCGTCTGAAGCGAAAGATGAATGATCCGGAGAAGACGCCGCTGTTGCTGGTCGCATGCGGGTCCTTCTCGCCCATCACCTATCTCCACCTGCGCATGTTTGAAATGGCCGCCGATTATGTCAAATTCAGTACCGACTTTGAATTGCTCGGAGGATATTTGTCACCAGTGTCGGATGCGTATCGCAAGGCTGGTCTCGCCAGTGCTGAGCATCGGTAAGGAGTTGATTCGACTGCGTTTGACTCGAACAATGGGCTAAATGGTGGGGGTTTAAAAACAGGGTTGCGATGTGTCAATTGGCGGTCGACCAAACCTCGGACTGGCTCATGGTGGACACGTGGGAACCGATGCAGAAGGAATACCAGCCCACGGCCGTGGTGCTGGACCATTTCGACCACGAGATAAACACGGTCCGTGGGGGTGTCGATATCGGAAATGGAACCCGGAAACCCGTCCGGATTGCCTTGCTGGCGGGCGCGGATCTGATTCACACCATGTCCACCCCTGGGGTGTGGAGCGAAAAGGACCTTGACCACATTCTGGGCAAATATGGCGTATGTGGAAATGCTTTGGGCAAACTTGGAGTCTCTCGCTAACCTGTTTCACAGTCATTCATTGTCGAGCGTAGCGGGACCGACATTGACGAGGCATTGGCGAGCTTGCAGCCGTGGAAGGACAACATCTATGTGATCCAGCAGCTCATCCAGAACGATGTCAGCAGCACCAAGATCCGGCTGTTCTTGCGACGCGAGATGAGCGTCCGCTATCTCATTCCGGTCCCAGTCATCCACTATATAGAGCAGCACCACCTCTACGAGGAGGACGGTACCACGACCGAGAAGGGCAAAGAGCGAGATACCGGGAAGTCGGGGTGATACGGCCCAGACGATCGAGCCGCACGGGAATTACGAAAACGATTACCGCGAGATCCTCCTACGATACCCCCTTTGTTGAGTTACCCTGCCATCGGAATGGCCCTTCTCACGGGCCCAGCAACCCAGCTCCAACTCCACGGACCGATGAGTCCATGGGACCATTGCAAATGGCTGCAACTTGGGCCCGATTGGTCGGCAAGCTGAGTCTGGATGAGAACGATACTATCTGTTATGATGTTTTTTTTTGGGCGTCTAGGAGTCCTTTTGATCTGAAATAGACCGGTTGCAATCCGTCTGGTGCTCCCGTCCGGGTTCACTGGAAGCAGCAGACGTTGAGTCAACGGGATGTACATAGTGCTTTTTTTTTTTTTTTCTGATTTCTCATATACCCTCTGTACATACAATGAGGACTCTCTAATAGACCCCAAGATTTAGATGAATGTACGAAGCCCGTAGCCTCGGATATACTCGAAGAGGAAGACTCCACCCGCACCATCGCAACATAGAATCACACCATTTCGGCCGTATAATTGCAAAGCACAACTTAATTGATGTGTCTACATGCTTGACATGTCGATGTTACGGAATACTCACTAAGCACTAAGCACTAAGCACTAAGCAAGATATGCATCGGCAGAAACAGCACACTCCGATCGCCCTGTTATCATCCGTTATCGACTGATCGGATCTTTGCCTCCACAATTCCCGCGCAATCCTTCAGCGCCCAGGCGTCTCTCCGGGGAGGGGCGCGCCGTTATTTTTCTCTTTTTTGAATTTATTTTGTACATAGCTCCTTCCTGTCCCTCGCGGTCGCTGCCTACAGACAAAAACTCCATTGTACGACCGCGTCCTCCCCCCTGCCCTCCATGTCCGAGGTACCCGGCTCTACGCTGCCTCCGTGGCCTCTCACCCCGCCAGACCTACCAGACCCTCCACCATCACCAATTCAGGATGTGTCCTCGGTGGCCACGGCCCTACATGTCATGTCGACGGAGCGCGCGGCGCTCGCCCACCTCGAGCTCATTTATCAGACGGATGCGCGGGCACAGCAGGACCTGGCGCGGGCCGTGGACCAGATCACGGGAAGTGTGCGCGAGGGCGGGAAATTGGTAGTGTGCGGCGTGGGCAAGAGCGGCAAGATCGGCCGCAAGATCGAGGCGACGATGAATAGTCTGGGCATCTACAGCGCGTTCCTGCATCCAACCGAGGCATTGCATGGCGATCTGGGATTGGTTCGGCCGGTAAGCCCATGCATCTGCGGCATCCTTCAATCCTCCACAGTGGTCTGTATAGACGGGGGGGGGTCAATTGGGCTATAAGACATGAAACTGACTCGTGCAGAATGATACAATTCTTCTCATTTCGTTTTCTGGCCGCTCCCCCGAGCTACTGGCCCTGCTTCCGCATATTCCCCCCACGGTCCCTGTGATCGCCCTCACTTCACATACTCATACAGCATCCTGTCCGTTGTTATCTTTGCATGGTTCTTCGGGTATGGGAATTCTTCTACCAGCTCCAATCCACGAGGATGAGGGGTTATCCTTCGGCGTCAATGCGCCGACCTCGTCGACGACAGTGGCTTTGTCACTCGGCGATGCACTTGCTATCGCCGCAGCCCGGAAGCTACATACCACGCCAGGCAAAGGGCCCGCAGAAATCTTTCGGAGCTTCCACCCGGGGGGCGCCATTGGAGCTGCCACAGCAGCAGGGACACCCATGACTACACCGTCAAGTGGCACGTCGTCCAAGACCTTCGATTCCCCAGCCTCGTCGCTGTCACTCCCCTGGGAAGAGGCTATGAATTCCCCGCCCGTTCCGCCATTTACCCTCCAGCCTCCACCAGATCGACGTCGGATTCCTTTGCATATGCTTGTTCCTCTCGACCAGATTCCCACCGCCGCGCCGTCACCATCATCCTCCGCCAACGATGTTCGATTGCTCGACATTCTCCTCACCGCCATCCAGCACCCCGATGCCAAGTCATGGGTGTTTCTGTCTTCGTCTGAGGTCATTCCTCCTCGGCGAGTCCGTTCTCTTTCACGCAATACCAATGTGGATATGCGTGTTTCCGAAGTTATAACCCAGGACCCTGGTAGTCCACTGGGTGTGCCGCGGACCGATTGGCTGCTCGTACCGGAGTCAACATCACCCACCGAGTTACGCCGTCTTCTTTCTATGCCCCGAGATCAATCCGATCCCATTTCTGTGATTGCGGTGGTCAAAAATGTCGCCCACCCGGCCAGCTGCATCGGGGTGATGGAACCGGAAGATCTCGGTGGATAAACAGTGCACCCATCGGCTTGCCGGGTTTAATTCTTTTCTTTTGGATATATTGAGTCGATAGTACATAGTACGTGTGCGATGATGATGTTACGCCCTTTTTTTTTAGCCTTGGATTTGCATAGATTTGTGGTTGATAGACGATTCGCATCGGAAGACCTCAGCCTTTCTTATATTTTAACCTCACAGGATTCGAGTTCCATCCTGAAATTTGCCTTTCAGATTCATGATAATACAACCGCAATGCAAAATAATTTATTTATTGGTACATGATCCCCAGCTCCAAGATATAGGGCACACACACACACAGCAAACAGTATTGTCTTTCCGAGCTCACCCACCCAATCAAGCCTTAACAATAGGCTTGATTCCCTTATGGATGGCAGCAATACCCCCAGTAAGATTCTCAAAGCCACGCCCAGGAATCATAAACCCAGCGGTCTGAATCATATCCCGAAACTCCTCCTGGCTCGGAAACCGCTCAATACTCTCAACCAGATACTGATAACTATCACGGTCGCCCGCAACGACCTGGCCAATAAGGGGGATGGCACTGAAATTCCAGCGCTTGTAGACGGCATCGAAGAGCGGGTTATCGACCTTACTAAACTCCATGCAGGCAAAGACACCGCCGGGCTTGAGCACGCGGAAGGCCTCGTTGAGGGCGGCCTGCTTATCGGTGAAGTTGCGGATGCCAAAGACGACGGTGTAGAGGTCGACAGACTCGGACGCGATGTGCGGCATGTGCTCGGCGTTGGCCTCGACAAAAGACAGCCGCCGCGTGTTGTAGTACGGCGTGTCGAGCGACCGCTTGCGGCCCTCGGCGAGCATGTCGCCGTTGATGTCGCTGATTGTCACGCGCGTTTCGAGGTCGTGGTTGATGTTTGTTGCGTGGTCGAGCATGCGGAACGCGATGTCGCCGGTCCCGCCGGCGATGTCGAGGATCGTCCAGCCGCCTCCCTGCTGGTTGGGCGTGTCGCAGTCGCGGGCGGGCAGTGCGGATCCCGGGTTCAGTGAGCGCACGAAGTGGTCTTTCCACAGCCGGTGCACGCCCAGTGACATCAGGTCGTTCATGCGGTCGTAGGATGCTGCGACGGAGCTGAATACCGCGCCCACTGTTGTCAATTGCGTCAGTATCGTCCGTTCACTATTTAAACATCACCAAAGAAAAAGCGTCCTGCATACCACGCGACTCCTTCTCCGACTCGGGCACATTGCTGAACCCGAAATGCGTCATGCGTTCATGCTCGGATTTGGGCTGTTCCTGGGCGCGGCGCGCGCACGAGAAACACCGGTAGGGCGCCGGCGACTGAAAAGCACGCCTCTTCGCGCTGTAGTGCAAGGCTCGCCAGGCAGAGCGGGACGACATGGTTTCTGGAGCACTTCGAGCGACAGTTGCGGATGTTGCAAGACCGACGAAGCGCCAGCTTTTCTCCGGTGGATCCACAATTCACTCGGGCCAATTACCGCGCGACGTTTGCGAGCGTCTTGTCGACTGACTCGCGCAACCAACCCGACCTCGATGGCTTCATATTTGGCGGATTTTACGGATTTGGGGGAGTTAGAGTATGGCTTTTACGTATCTCCGAGTGGCTTTTGTTGATCCAGAATGAAGATAAATAGGGCGCTTCGCTCTGCCGATTTCTTTCTGTTTGTCCAACCAGCTCTTCGAGAACTTCATCATACTAGACTATACTATACTTCTACTTTCCCAGCACAAACCGCTGTGCACAACAGTCAAAATGACTTCCAACCAGCTGTCCCACTGCTGCACCGTCGGTTCTCTGCACGAAGGCGAGGCCAAGGGCGAGATCAAGGACATTGGCGACAGTGAGACACCCATCAACCAAGATACGTCCCAACACACGCACACACACACATAGACAAAAAGACATACACAAAGAGACATCGCTAACCAAAACTAGTTTCAACCTACTTCGCCTACCCAGCCAACGGATCCACCAAAATTGCAATCCTAATCCTAACCGACGTGATCGGCCACCGCCTAATCAACGCCCAGCTAATCGCCGACCAGTTCGCCGCGAAGGGTTACTTCGTCGTGATGCCGGACCTGTTCCGCGGCGACACCGTGTCGCTCAACCGGCCTGAGGGTTTCAACATCATGGACTGGGTGAAGAACCACCTGCCGCCGCAGACGGAGCCCATCATCGACGCCGTGCTACAGGAAATGCGCCAGAACCTGGGCTGCAAGCGTATTGGTGGGGTTGGATACTGCTTTGGGGGCAAGTATGTCTGTCGCTATCTTAAGTCGGGCGAGAAAAAGCTGGATGTTGGGTTTATGGCTCATCCGACTATGTTGGAGGCGGAGGAGCTGGGGAGTATTCAGGGGCCGTTGAGTATTGCCGCGGCTGGTGAGTGCTTTCCATTCCCTTTTCCTTTTTGTTCCGAATTTTTTTCTTCTTCTGTATCTTGGGTTTCCTTTAAGCTGACTATTCCTTACAGTACGCGACTTTGTCTTCACTACGGCTAAGCGCCACGAAAGCGAGGAGATCTTGGACAAGCTGGATATCCCCTACCAGATTAATATGTTCTCGGACGTGGAGCATGGCTTTTCGGTTCGTTGCGACATGTCCAAGCCGAGGCAGAAGTTTGCGAAGGAGCAGGCCTTTAGCCAGGCAGTTGCGTGGTTCAATCAGTACCTGAAGGGTTAATTGCATGAACTTTACCGGATTTGTAACAGACATAGAAATGCAAGTATGTTATTTAGATAACCACCCGTTTGGCATGTCTATTGGGCTCTTAATTTAAATTACGAGTAGATGCTAGGAATATCCGGTGATAAACCAGACCTCCATCGGCAGAGCTATAGATCGATACCTCGAAAGACTGTATTGATAGACACTACCCGTGGGCCACAAAAACTGCACTTAGGTATTCAACTCGTTCAACAACAGGCTAATCAGCTGCAACAATCAAGCAATATCACCAACACCAAAACCACATTCTTCAAATCTATGACTTCTGCCTCCATCTACTACCCCTACACACTGGTTGAATGTCAAGCTTCATCAAAACTGTCCAAAAACATCACATTCGAGAAATCATTGTTTTGAAATACAAAAAGCCACCGAAAATTATAAACACAAATAATTAAATACAACACGTTCTACTCTAGTCGAATATGTATTCCACAAACCACACACACAGCTTGTACCAACACACCGAACTATTCAAACGCCAGAGGCAAAAACCCCTCAGAATGCGAAGCATCTAAGGGCCATGGCCAATCGGTCAAGAGCTCCGGCGGCAGCTGGAACTGCATGATCTGGCCCCCAATCCCAGGCGCAGTCCCAACAGGAGGCGCCGGGCCGGTGGGGGCATACGCCGTGGCGGGGATTGCAGGCGCAGGTTTGGCATCGACGGGCGCCGCAGTGCTATTAGGAGGTGGAGGGGGGGCAGTGAGATTGAGGAGCCGCGAGGTGCGCATGTACCCATCGATCCGGTCTACCTGCGACCGGAGTCGTTCACTGGCGCCAGCGGCACGATGGAGACCGGTTTCCAGACGGTGGAGAAGATCGGCCATTTCGAGACTGCATGCAGCAGAAAATTAGCATGGATAGAGGGAACTATGTCCTAAAAAAAAAGAGAGCTTACAGTAATGTGCGCACCCGTTGATAGGATGCTTCGGACAAGTTGCCCTCCATGACCGAACCGAGGATGTAGCCAATGCCTCCAAGATGGTGCAACTAAAAGAAGGTTAGTAAAGGTCTGGGATGGTATCAAAATCGTGACTAAACCTACCAGAGGAGAGCTGATCGCTTTCAGATATTCCACTGGGACTTTCGAGAACACGCTGAGGAGCTCTCCCGCAACGTCACACTTCCGCTCGACCCCAATCTCCTCTGCCGACAACAGAACCATGCGGAGAAGCTGCAGCGTTGCCTGGATATTGGCAGACTGGAACCCAAACAGGTCCTTCGAGAGGTCGCCTGTGGTGGGCGGTGTCTCCCGGAACTGCGACGGCAGCGCGGCATACATAGACAGAACCCGTTCCATAACCACCGGTTCCGACATGGACGCCGGGGTAAACAGAGACCAGAATTGGGTAGTCCCGTTGGCAGAAGAGAAGCGACGTCGGTTGCCATCCACCACGTGTTCAAGAATGCGGTAGAGGTCTGTGGTGAAGTTCCAGCCGCGAAGCCAGGTCACTCGCGAGACAACAGAAGCATCACTTTGGCTAAGCGTTCCTGATTCGGGAGTTACCGGGGGCACGCTGTAGCCGTGCTCTGTGATGAGCTCGTCGTCGACTTCGGTCGGGTATCGAACCAAGGAATGAGCTTCGCGGTATCGAATCACACCTCCCCAGACAATGGTCGAATAGATATCCAAGGTGTAAATCGACCAGAACTTGTGTTTCCATTAGCCAATGATCACGCATCGATAGGTTGTTATGCTTACGAGTCTTCGTCGTTCCTCCGTCTCAATAGAACTCAGGTCTTTTGGCCAGAGCTTCTCATCGTGAAGGCCCTCCATAGTGGTCAGAGTGTGATACATGCCCGAGTATTTCTGCATGTTCTTGATCTGACCATTTTGAATGCTGGCAATTGCGAGAATGGCACACGCGCGCATATAATTCATGCCCTTTGCCGCAGTAAGGTCTCGAGGAATGGAATCTTTAGCTGCGGCATAAAATGCTTCTGAAGGGGGCTCGGCAAGCTCATCTCGATGCCACCGATTGCTATACAGTGCTCCGTCCCGAGCGCGGCCAGAGACCAAGGCGCAGGCGGCCATTGTTGATGCAAATAGGCCTTGATTTCGGAGATGCTCCTGATTATGAACCCTCTCGATGAATGAAGGCTTGTGAAACAAGGGGAATCTGAAATGAAACGATCAATCACTGCACTGATCACGACAGAATGGCAGAGCACATCAAGACTTACATTGGATAGACGATTTCGAAGTATACCTGGACCAAATTCTTAATCTGCCGATCACTCGCAATGGCAAAAGCTTTCCAGGAAGTGGGTAATGTCCCATAATCATCGCCCTTCTCGATGATGGACCAGTTGGGGTTCAGGCTGGCCCAGGGATCGCCCGTGATGGAGTAACGCGGGGCGGAATCGGGGTAATGCGAGCTCCTGGACGCCGAGGAGCCCGAAGGCCGCCCCGCGGCCGGGGGTACAGGTACTGTAGATGTCACTGGGTCGGCAGATGGAGTCATAAATGGTCCATCCCGGGCATTGGCTCTGGCGCCGGCCTTGACGCCGCGACGTTTGGCGGGGCGATCAAAGGTACAGGGCACGTCAAAATCAGCGCAGTTCTGACACCGACCTAGCGAGTCTTCACTTCTGCTGCATTTGATACTGCGCCTATTGCAGAAGTCGCCTAAACGGTTGCATGGTTAGTCCAGATCCTGCTATCTGGGGGAGGAGTTCCGGCGCGGCTAAGCGGTAGCAAGTGGAGAAGCTTGCTGAAACGCGGGGAGAGAAAAGAGACTTACAGGCCTTGGAGACGCGCTGAAGCTTTCGCGGTTTTTGCGACATTCATTAAGTCATTCCCAGGCTGCCTGGAGCTTGGGACTGAAGCAGCAGCGAAGTTTCACGGAGCTGAGAGATTTGCGGGCCCCAAGGTTCGGTTGAAAACGAATTTGGGGTCTGCTTCGACACGATCGCGTGTAGGCTCTGCAACCAGGCGTTAGGAATAGGGACACGGCACGCAAAACGCGGAGTCCAGAGCGAAGGATCCAGGGGTTGACTTTTGCCTTTTTCCCTTTCCCGTCAATGCGCACAGGAAGAATTGCTGAGCTGAAAGTCCCGGACGGTTACTAACTATGCAGAACATCGCTGAGTCAGCATCGTGTCATTGATTCTACAGTTGGGTGGAGCATTCGCCGATCGCTCGGAGCTTTCGCTAAGAACGGGCAAAAAGGAAGCCGATGGAAGCCAGATGCTGCGCAAGTCCCTTATCGTATTGCAAGAATTGAAAATTCTAGGGATTGGTTCCCTGTATATTAACCATGCTATATAGTGAGTGCCGCGGGGCATGCAACTAGACCAGAATTACAGTATAGTACTCTACAATACGTTATGTTGGGGAGGTGACTGGCGTATTAAGCATTCTCCTGTTCCGCAGGGGTAGACGTGAGCTCCGTCTTGCCAGCATCGTAGGCTTCACTTTTAGTGACTCCATGCTCGGCGAGGACATCGCCATGAAGTTTGTACGCTTGCTCCATCTTCCAGTGGAAGGGGCTTGAGGTCGAAAAGAGGGCGTCAATGGACTCGAGTGATCGATTGCGAGTTTCGGGGTAGACTGCCATTCATTAATAAACAATACCATATTGACACAAGTGGCAGACATACACAAGAAGACAATGGGAATCCAGATCAGATTCAGACCGGCGAAAAGGAAATAAGTGCGACTCTGGGCACTAGTTAGTATCGATCCTGTAGTATCGATCCAAGGATGCATGCGAGACGTACCATCATGGTATCGAACATGATCGGGTTGACGAGGGTGGTCATTCCCACTCCAATGGCCCAACCTGTGATCCCGAAGCCATTGCCTTGGGCTCGCAGGTCGCTGGGGAATATCTCCGTGGGAACCAAAAAGGCAACGGTGCCCCAAGTGGCAGCATAGCTGTTGACCACCCCGTTAGCATACTCAACGGAAGCATTTCGAAACCAACTTACCCCAGGTTAAACAAAAACAGCATGGTGACAGCCCCAGGAGCATACTGGGATGCTTTCTCGGGGTTATGGAGAGAGCCCTCGTAGACAGCCCCGGCCTATCAAAGTCAGTTTTCGTTCTAACACCTCCCAGTATAGGCAAAACTCACAATCAGGTTGACGGCGAATAAAACAGCAGCCCCGCCAATTAAACAGACACGCCGGCCCAGGCGATCAATGATTTGAGCACTGATAATGGTACCAATGATTCCGATGGTGTTGATACCTCCCGCAAGACCATTCTGCTTGATAGCACTGTAACCGGCTTGGCGGAGGAGAACTGGAGAGTATGCAGTGACGGCCTGTAAGCACCCAAGTTAGCCAACTCCCAATAGAGACCATATAGACACCAAGATCAGTTCGCACGCACTGTGATACCCGTCCACGAGGCCATAATTTGGAGCCAAATACACAGCCACGCCCGTCGGCCCAAGTTCATGCCCGGCTTCCCACCCTTTCCCAGCAGGATCTTCGCAAATTGGATCGGCGAGCTGGGCTGACTGTCCTGCGCAATAGTGGCGATTTCCAGGTATTCCCGGTCAATCTCGTCCTGCGACGCCCTGCCACTGCGGATGCGGTTCAACAAATCACGCGCCTCTTCCTTGCGACCGACCGAGGCGAGATAGCGGGGGCTATCCGGGAGCATTTTGATGCACAGCACGAGGATCAGTGCCGGGAAACACTGGAAGGCGAGCAAAAATCGCCATCGCACGTCGGAGTATCCATTGTTGACAAAAGCGAGACCAAAGGACAGCCAATACGCGACGGAGATTCCGAGATCTAGCAAGGGTCAGCGAAAACATCCCATCGTGGATGCTTATTTCCGCGGCTCACAGTTGGCAATGAAGACATAACCCAGATATCCACCGCGGTGGTTTGCAGACGAGGTCTCGGACACCAACACAGGGGTGATTCCAGTCAAGGCTGTAACAAAGAACAAGGGACTGCGAGTCAGAACAAGATCTCTCAAACTAAGCTCCCTCCCCTACTAGCAAGGATTCTTACCGCCAGTGCCAATCCCCGTCACCACTCGAGCGCAGATCATGAAATTCGAGTTTTGAATGGCCGACTGCAATGCACCTCCCACCAAGGCAAACAGCGAGCCGATCAGCAGCCCGTTGATTCGACCGATGCGGTCGGCCAGCCATCCGCCAGCGAAGCAGCCGAAGATGGCGCCCAGATAATACACACTGACGATGCCGCCCTGGTGCGTGGTGTCGGTCACGGTCCCATCGGCCTTGCCAATGCCAACCTCGGTCACGTACGTGGGCGAATCATTGACGCCGCCCATCACACCCTGATCATAGCCTTCGAAGAAGATCGAGATGAGCGAGAATGTCTGGATCGCGACGTTCAACTGGCGCGGCGACAACCGCTTCCACAGCGTGGTGTATCCCATGTTGAAGCATGCAAAAGTCACGTCCAGTAACAACCGATCGCGAATCCTTTACGCAGCCCCGTGGATGAAGAGATAACGGGGCGCGGGGGCACGATCGCAAGATGAAACGCGGGGAGGTTCCGATTTCTTAAGCGCGTAACCATTTACCACTCGGCAGACCTTTTTCTTTTTTTTCCACGATGCATCAAATAGGCGTTTTACCGATCATCCCTTCTGGCGCCAACTTCGGCTTCAGGCTAATTGGATATCAGGTTGAAAATGCCTTATGCTGGCAGGTCTCCACCATTTATCAGGCGGGTGTCAGGATCGGGACGACACTGTTAAATACTCCTTGACCCGTCGGCCACTGGTCGCTTTTTTTTTTTCTTTTCAAGGGATATCGACACCTAACCTCGTTTTCCTTGAGTCTTTGTCACTATGGGCTCCACGAACCCTGCCGAGGACATCCCCGGCCATGCTCTGGACATCACGGTCCTTGGTCTGAACAGTGGCACGTCGATGGTGGGTTGTCTTGCAGCTAATAATATTCTTTTGGTACGGCACATGAGACTGACATAGTATCGATATAGGACGGCATCGACTGCGCCCTGTGCCGATTCCGTCAGGAGACCCCCGAGTCGCCCATGCACTTCGAGCTGCTCAAGGTAAGTATCCCGGAAGAATCTCCACACTCGTTAGGAGACTGGACTGACCAAGATCGCAGTATGGGGAAATTCCGCTGGAGCCGGTGATCAAGAAGCGGGTCATGAACATGATCTTGCACAATCACACCTCGCCTTCCGAGCTGTCAGAGGTCAACGTGATTCTGGGCGAAACATTTGCCAACGCGGTGCACCAGTTCTGCAAGGACTATCAAGTTGATATCAACTCGATCGATGTGCTGGGCTCTCATGGACAGACGATCTGGCTGCTCTCGATGCCAGAGCCGGGCGAGACCCGCAGTGCCCTGACGATGGCCGAGGGCTCGTTCCTGGCCTCGCGTACGGGCATCACTTCCGTGACCGACTTCCGTGTCAGTGACCAGGCAGCCGGGCGCCAGGGTGCGCCGCTGATTGCGTTCTTCGATGCTCTGGTGCTGCACCACCCGACCAAGCTGCGGGCGTGCCAAAACATTGGCGGCATCGCCAACGTGTGCTTCGTCCCGCCGGATACGCATGGCGGCGTGGATGCCTGCTATGATTTCGACACAGGCCCGGGCAACGTGTTCATCGATGCCGTGGTGCGCCACTATACCAACGGCGAACGCGAGTACGACAAGGATGGCGAGATGGGTGCCCGCGGCACCGTCGACCAGGAGCTCGTGGACGACTTCCTGACGCACAAGTACTTTGGCCTGGAACCGCCCAAGACCACAGGCCGGGAGGTCTTCCGCGACACGCTGGCGCACGAGCTCATCCAAAAGGCCGAGGCCAAGGGCCTCAAGCCCGACGACGTCGTTGCCACCATCACCCGGGTCACCGCACAGGCCATCGTCGACCACTACCGTCGCTACGCGCCCAAGGACCTGGAAATCTCCGAGTTGTTCATGTGTGGCGGTGGTGCCTACAACCCCAACATCACTGCCTTCATCCAGCAGAACTACCCCAACACCCGCATCTTCATGCTCGACGATGCTGGCATTCCGGCGGGTGCCAAGGAGGCCATCACCTTTGCTTGGCAGGGTATGGAGGCAGTAGTGGGCCGCTCGATCCCCGTCCCCACGTGGGTCGAGACCCGCCAGGACTATGTCCTCGGTAAGGTGGCCCCCGGGAAGAACTACCGCAAGGTTCTGCGGCACGGCATGCTCTTTGGGGCAGGTCGAGACTACCTGGCCCCCGTCAAGGAGCTAGTGAACTACGTGAATGGGAAGGTCTTTGAGAACAAGTGGTAGTGGGAAAACCCATCTGGGTTTTTGCGATCTGATCATCTGCATGGAACGGTTCTGGCAAGCATTTTCTGGGGTTCATTAATTAGTCTGATGCGAACATGATCACGAATGCAATGGATTTATGTATACTTCAGTCCACATTGTGGTAGTTGCAAGTAAAAAGTAAATAAATAATAATCCTTTCATTGTGCCAAGGGTCGAATACGTCTGTGCACAGTCTTGCCAAGTTGGAACTACAATCCAACCTCATTTTCATCGACCGTCCTCAAGCAAGTTGACAGCATCTTCACACGGATCCAAATATTCAGTTGGGACAGCCCAATTTCAAGCATGCGATAGCCATCACCGATAACACCAACCCGCAATTGGGAACCATTATGAGGAATCCAGTCCAGAATTGAGGATCCCTCGCGACCCACACAGGAACTCATTTCCCTTTAACTTGAAGTGGGACTTTCAGCTTATCAGTGCAAGTGCATCTTGGGGCCAAAATTACATATAGGGGTAATAAAGGGGGTAGGGGGGTAGGGAGAGGTGCAATGAACGCGCTTAAAATCCTGATCAAAACCTGTCGAATAAAACAAAAGCTGCAATGCTCTGACAGTCGCAGGATCAATGATCTACGCAGCCGAGGTATCCATGCGCTGGAGTGGATTTTGGATCTCTAGCCCCCTGAACATGTTCTTTCATCCATTGCTATAGCCTCTTTCGCGGTCTATTTTTCATAGTAAACTCATCCAATATCAAAATGATTATATTCTAACTCTACGCTCAACCTTTTACTTGTCTGAGCTGGGTTGTGCCAAGCATAAAGCTTAGCAGTCTCATTGCTCGGGGTTGCCTCGGTGCCGAGTCTTTCCCGGGACAGCTTCTAACCCGGCGAGTCACCGAACAGACTGCAACGAAGGATTGTGAGGATTCAAGCTATTGATTGAATTGAGGGGCCACCTATGATCCTGCCTTCCCATGTGTTCGGCCACCCAGGCTAGCTCGGGGTTCTGTCGGTATGGTCCTATTATATACTTGCCAGGTACCGCGGAATATAAACACCACCGAAGTCACTCTCACTCCACTTATCCATAAATCCATACATATTGACCCAACTTCAATATGTCTCAATCTTCGACAGACGAACACCCAGAGACCGCAGAGTCAGCACAGACCCTGACTCTCCCCCTGCACAAGACCGAAACCCAAGCAAGCCTGCGCAGTCTAGGCATCTCAGAGGTCCCTCCACCAGTGGACTCCAATTATCCCGCCGTCGGACGACCAGAGAACCCATTGTTTCCCGAGGAATATGTCATCGAAACAAGCACCGGTCTTGTCCCAGAAAAGACCCTCTCACAGGTGCGATCGCACGTCTCCTCAACAACGCGAGACGCGCCATCCAGCAGCCCGCGTGACGGCGACCTGGAGAAGGGCCCATCCGGCTCAGCCGAGTTCGTGACGTTCACCATCGGCGATCCCGAACACCCGTATAATTGGCCGCGGCCCTATCGGTGGTACATTACGCTCGTCGCGTCGGCGCTGGTGGTTTGCATCGCATATGGCTCGTCCATCGTGACGGGCGGGCTGGGACTCATCCAGGAAAAATACAATGTATCGTTGGAGGTTGCCATTCTCACCTGCTCGATTATGGTCTGTGGCTTCGCCGTCGGACCGTTGCTGTGGTCGCCGCTCTCGGAGATCATCGGCCGGCGACCTGTCTACATCATCTCCCTGGGCCTCTATGTCATTTTCAACATCCCGTGCGCCCTATCACCCAATATCGGCGGATTGCTCGTGTGCCGCTTCCTCTGCGGCGTGTTCTCCAGCTCAGGGCTTTCGCTGGCGGGCGGCACGATCGCCGACATCTGGAGCATCGAGGAGCGCGGCATGGCGATTGCATACTTCGCCGCGGCACCATACTGCGGCCCCGTGGTCGGGCCGATCGTCAACGGATGGATCAACGTGGGCTCGCACCGCCTGGACCTCTTCTTCTGGGTGAACCTCGCATTCGCCGGCGCAATCTTGGTGATGGTCGGACTGGTGCCCGAGACGTACGCGCCGGTAATCCTCAAGCGACGAGCCGCAAAGCTGCGCAAAGAAACCGGCAACGAAAACATCATCACGGAGCAAGAGAAGCATAAGCTGACCCTCCACGACATCGCCCGCACAAGCCTCATCCGCCCCATTACAATGATCATGACGGAGCCCGTGCTCGACCTGATGTGCATATACATCGTGCTGATCTACTCAATGCTGTACGCATTCTTCTTCGCATACCCAGTCATCTTCGGCAAACTGTACGGCTACAACGACGGCCAGATCGGGCTGATGTTCATCCCGATTCTGATCGGCGCCGCCATCTCGCTGCTGGTCACGCCCGCCATCGAGAAGCATTTCCGTCGCATTTGCGCCGCGCGCGCGCCCACGCCCGAGGACCGGCTGATTGCCTCGCTGATAGGGGCGCCGTTTGTCGCCCTTGCGTTCTTCTTGCTCGGCGCGACGTCGTTCAAGCATGTTATCTGGGTGGGACCCGCGTCGTCGGGCATTGCGTTTGGGTTTGGCATGGTGCTGTGTTACTATGCTGTCAATAACTATATCATTGACGCGTACCAGAAGTATGCGGCCTCGGCGCTGGCTGCGAAGGTGTTTCTGCGGTCTGGGGGCGGGGCTGCGTTTCCGTTGTTCACGACCCAGATGTATGACCGTCTGGGGCTGCAGTGGGGTTCGTGGCTTCTTGCGTTTATTGGTCTTGGGATGGTTTTGATCCCTTATGTGTTTTATATCTTTGGGGGTAAGCTTCGGGCTCGGTTTACGAGGGATTAGACGGTTTCCTTCTTACCGTTGTTTCCTCTAACACAGCGGGGACTCAACGAGGCGCATACAGGAGTGCATGGTGTCTCCGAATGAACTTCTGGGATGATGATGTGGATCTGGGATTCATGATGCAAAGCTGTTTTGATGGTGTATTTGATTGATTAGCATTACTTTAATAAGCTATATAGGCTGCAAATAATGTGTAAAATATCGAGAATAAAGGAAACATCAGATAAAAGAATGCCCATGATCCCTACTAAGCCCGCGAGGAGGCTTCATAGCTGCGAACATCAGATGAAAAATACTATAGCCCAGTTCGCAGTCTCGGCGAGAGGCTGGCCTAGAGATTAGACTCCCTCATGTCTTGGTCGTCTGATCCCATAGACTCCGCACCGTCACACCATGAGCCCACTTGCCACCGGTTTCATCTTTCTGGACGACAAACCGGATCTTGCGCATCTCTCCTGGAGCTAGCACGAATGCATTCTCGTCAAAGTATCCGACCACGCCAGCCGGATGCTCGAGCCACGTATAGAACGAGACGGCCTTCTTCGCTTCAACGGTAAATGTGCCTGACTCAACGTCGTGAGAAAGCTGGAGCTGCGGGTCCACAAGATCGAGGTCTTTGGGATAGGCGGGCGTGAGATAGTTATGGTGGGTGAAAGTAGAGACAGGCGAATGCTTAGAATTCGGGAGGTGGCCGTGTGCAGTGAGAGACATGAGCAGAACAGCATTTTTCTTGTCTCGAAGAGAGAGCTTGGACAAATGGGTGTCATAAATCTTGGTGGTATTCAGAGCTCCGACTTTAAAGCTCTTGGTTCGGGGGGTGCCCGCATTGTCCGGGATGGGCTTACCAGACAGATCGACCCAGGTGAGATTCACAAAGCCGCGGGCAGACTGCCACAGGTCCGACGTGACATAGATGGAGAGGTCATTCTTTATTAGATTCCAGAACGGAGAAACAATAACAGGCTGGTAGATGTCGCGGGTCACGTAGTGGAGGACCTTCCAGCGGCCGTCGTACTCGATCCCCGCCCACGAGGGCGCCTGCCAGATATCCTCGAGCTGCCAGTACAAGGACCCGAGCTGACGCTCGGGCATGCCACTGCCGCGCCGGTAGTACTGGATCTGCGATTTGTACACGTCGGCCTGGAAGAGCTGGGTGGCGAAGCACCAGGCACTGAACTCGGCGACGGACTCGTTCTTGTGCGGGACGGGATAGTATCGCTTCACAGCCGTGGTTATCTGGTCCATGCCCTTAGAGGACGGCCCGGTGTCGTTGGTGCTTGTGCCACCGGGGGAGTAGTGGTGGTTTCGAAGCAGGACGGTCTTGCTGTTGAAGTCCAGGTCTTTGCGGTCGACGGCCTGCTGCCACGTCTGGAGACTTGGCATGCTGTGATAGCCGAATTCGTTGGCAAAGCGGTTGACGGGATATTTCGAGGTGTCAAACGCGTCTTTGCTGTCGTAGTGATAGTAGTCGGTGTCGCCGTAGTACGAGCCCGAGGGCGTGTTGTCGTAGCGTTCAACCATGGGGACTGGTGCGGACAGATTGACCTCCAGATAGCCGTTGGTCGTGCTGCTGGGCTGGTATGAGATCGACCGCGAGTTGTCGTATACCAAAGGCAGAATCAAACTCACAAAGAGCTTCTCATACTCCTTAAGGTATTTGGGATATCGGATCGGATCGACTAGCTTGACGGCGGGCAGAATCAAGCTTTCTATCTCGTTTCCACCGGCCCACAAAGCCAGTGACGGGTGATGGTTGACTCGCCTAACATTATACGTGACTTCACCTGCCACATTCTCCAAGAACTCCTGATTCACAGGATACAGCGCATCTCCGAACTGGAACTCACTCCACAGCAGCACGCCGTGCTTGTCGGCCAGATCATATATGAAGTCTGGGAGATACGCACCCGATGCCCAGACCCGCAGCATATTCTGGTTTCCCGCCACGATGGCGTTGAATAGCCGTTGCATTTTTGCTTCGGTGACTCGTGGCCAGAAAGCATCGGGCGGAATAAAGTTCGAGCCCTTTGCGTAAAATTCATGGCCATTCACTTCAAAGTGCCAGTTTGCCCCAGGGGCGATTCCTTGGGCCCGTTGCGCCTCGGTGATGTTGGATCGGTTGAGGAAGATGGTGCGGAAACCACTCTTCTTGGATACTTTGACAAGTTCGTGTTTTTGTTTATCCCGGATAGTGACAGTGATATTGTAGAGGTTCTGCTGGCCCAGACCATTGGGCCACCACAGTTTCGGTGCATTAGGATCGATAGCGAGGTGGCCAGTAATGGTCTTGTTAACCACGGATACATCATGAACCGGTCCTGACTTGAGCGTTTTCCCCGACTCGGCATCATTAATCTCAACGGTCATAGAGGGGTCGCGGGGAAGAGAGCCAAGGAAGTCGATGCTCGCGTTCACGACCCATGGCTGGCTCTGATCCGGGGCGATATGATTGATCTGGCCTTTGCGGTAAATGTCCAGATCTGTGTTCAGGACATATACCTCTGCTTCGCGCTCAAACTGCACCAGATAGGCATCTTTCCACGGACCCGCAGGCGAGAAGGCTGGGCCCCAATCCCAGCCAAAGTCCGATTGTTCTTTGCGCATGAACCAGCGGTTTGGGAACTCGAATGTCTGCTGCACAACATCAGGCCACTCTGTCGCTCATATTAGAAAGTCTACTTAGCAAAAAGGGATTTGGTAAACGTACTTTCTGCCTTGGGGTCTGCAGCCATGGCATTGACAATCTTCGGCGCGCTGCCAAAGTTGAGACTCAAGACCGGGTCGCGGTGGCAATGGCTCACAGCCTTGGAGATGTCAAAGGTGTATTGGCGAAACTGGTTATCCGTGGTCCCAATCAATGTTCCGCAGAACTCGATTGTTGTAAAAGTGTCGAGCCCATTGAAGACAAGCCATGAGGATTTTGAGGATTTCGACCTATATGTTATTAGTTGGCCATGTACTGGAATTCCCTGGAGACACCTACAGATCACGGAGGGGTTTGCTTGTATAGGTCCAGTTATTGTTGGCAATCCAGCGTAGATTGAAATCGTTCAGCCCGTAGTAACTCCAGTTCAAGTCAGTGGGATGATTCATAAAGCGGCATGGATTTGAACTAACGGATCATCTGTTATTGTTAGCAAATAGCTGCATGTTGAAGTTTTGAGATCCAGGAAACTTACCGATAGCCTTGCTGGCATACAGATCCAGATGCACCTGCGAGGGAAGCCGCCCGGGGACTGTGATGTTCAGCTTCTTGCTGCTAACAGTCCATTCATCACCACCGAGATCCGAGACATGCTGACCCAGCACTGCGGATGCGAGCGAAGCCAGCACAAAATTTGTCCGAAGATACATGGTGACATCAGCAACAGAGGAGCAAACTCCCTCGAAAACATCAGACTCAACTGTTGTGGCGAGGTATGAAGCGGCATAAAGCAGCGTGTGACATTTTCCCACGCCAAGGGATGGACTGAATCTCGCAAGGAAATTCGACCAGCACTTTTTTTCTGGCAAGCGGGGGATAGCAGCCGGAACGTGGAGTTGCGAGAAGGGGCAGGGATAGTTCTCAGGTGATCAGCTCGCAAGGCTCCGATTGGGAAGCACGCGATGATCAGCGCGGTCTGATGTAGCGACGGTGGAGTCGGTGGAGGTCCTCAGGGAGGGTGCACGGAAGCCCGATAAACCCGAATCGCGAGCAGCTCTCTCTCTCTCTCTCGGGAGATCGTCTGGTATGGATCCCTAGATTCTGGCGCATGGACCACGCATGGAAGCATGGTCGAATGTTGTAAGTGCTTCTATTTTACATGTCGGATCAACAAATATCTATCTCTTCTTTCTATTTACACTGACATCCTCTGCATTCTTCTCTCTAAGCCACCAAGTTCTGGTGCATGGTCTGGATATCACTCGCGGAAAACTCTAGTTTGCCGGTCAAAAACCCCTCGATGCCGCCATCGTACATACTCTCGAAGGTTTTGAGAAATGCTGCCATGGCATGTGCTCGAACGCCGCACAGCTCCAGCATGCCCACGGCCTCGGGACTGAGGTGATCGCTGCCGACGTGGAGGGCGAGTGCATGCGTGAGATTCTCTCGCGTACTCTCCAGCGCGACACGAGTGAGGATGTAGTCGGAGATAATCTCGTCGTGGGGTCGACCAACGAGGAGTAAGATGAGGGCTGCCAGAACGCCCGTGCGATCTTTGCCGGCTATTGAAAGAGCGGTTAACATCAATCTCAATAAATAACTGCGCGACCGCAGCGAAATACAAAGGCCGAGTGTGTCGACTTACCAGAACAATGAAACACAAACGGGTCATCAGGGCGATCGCGGATATGCGTAAAGACCTGGGTCAAAGCCGGAGTCGCAGCATTGAGGATACCCGTATACATCTTGACAAAGCCTGTCGTCCCTTTTTCTTCGCCGGCGAATTCGCGCAGGCTCAATGAAGCCGGGCGAGCCCCGTAGGGCATCCATATCGTCTCGATCTCGGGGATGTCCGGACTGGGAGCATGTTCACGCTCTCCTTGGTTTCGGAGGTCAAATATTGTGGTGATTTCGAGCTGGTCGACCAAAACAGCTTTGCCCACGTCTGTGATATCGGACATGTTCCCAGACCGATACACATATCCAGGACGTACATGGTTGCTGTCATGGCTGAGATCGCGGAAATTGGTCACGCCAGGCACAGGAACAAAAGGCGGCAGGGAAATGATCTTCGAGACGGTGGCTTCGGGAATTGGTGTTCGGATGTCAGTGTTCAGCACTGTTCGGAGGTTGTCGGGGTTGATCATTGTAGAAGTAGTTTGTCGAGTAGTATACAACCTCGAATTGGGTTGCGAGGGAACAAAGAGGTGGGCGTGGACGCAATCCAGGAACCTGGCTTTATGGCCCACAATTCCAACGATGTCATAGCATCCACGCTTCCCAAGCAGGGAACTGAGCCGGTGGATCCACTGTCAGCTAGGTCATCGGGGCGTTGTGGGGCCGAGGACTCGACCTTTCTACTGCGCAAGCATATTGCATGCTTCTATTGATCTGAAGAACCCCGTGGTCATATTTATGCAGTGTAGACGCATGATGTTAAATATATCAAACCGAAGAAAGCAAAGTACAAGATCAAAGAAACTCGAGAAGTTGAAGTTGACTGGATTTGCCAGCGAGAGTCAGACGCACGTTGGCCAGATCATTGATCTGCTTGTGGCGAATATAGTGCAGGATGATGCTTGAAAGGAAACCGTTGTGTTTTGTCCACGGGTGGTATACTGATATCGTAGTGAGCCTAGGCGGCAAGGCAGAAATTTCAGGGGTAAACCTTACAAAATTTCATCCAGTTGGTGTTGATTTAATAGGAAAACCAACGCCTTTCTAAGAATCCGGACAGCCCTCCTGGGGCACACCAGGTTTGAAATCCCATTTGGGAGTGCATGGAGGCAGATCAGCGACTGGCACGGCAGTGGCCGTCGCCAAAAAAAAGACCGCAGAGAACAATGAGGGTGGTGGGTTCAAAGAATCTCATTTTGGGAACGGGAAACTGAAGATCAGCGGAAAATGTGGTTTTTCCCAGACAGCAAGTTGGCTTTATTTATACTAACAGCAGGACCCGGTATAATCCACGGCGTGAGAGCCAAGATCGGGGGAAAGAGTGTCCATTGAGCTACATTTGTAGATTAGACTCGATCTGAGCGTATTATAAATCCCAGACAAATCCCTGATCGCTATAAGATCATACTGAGAGTGGTTGGTAGAGCAAAGTTGAGGCTTTCTCCACATCGTCTTTTGAACAAAGAACGCCCGCATGTGAACTTGCGAATCCTGGAAATGCCCCGAGTCCTCCCGCGGTTCCTGCGACTGAAAATGGGGTTCAATAGATTGGGTGGAACTTGAACATTTGACTGGCATTTAGAAACCATGGCTTCGGCCTCTGAAATAGGAGTTGAATAGTAAGCCTTATACTTCTACCGCCTGAAAAGATGGCCCTATATCTGACCCCTGGCAGACCATGTACATGCAAAATTAAATGCTGTTTTTTGAGCTTATCCTTCATCTTTGATTATCTTTTGAGAGGGGTTTACTCCGCATTAAAGTAAGGACCTGGTGTGCCAACAATTGCCTTGCCATCTTGTTCGATATTCAACTCATAAATCATACAGTATATGCCTTGTGTGTTGATATTCTCAGCTTGATTCAGCCTCCTCATATTCTCTGGGCCATTCCTCTCGCATCTCCGGTGTGATACTCGCAGCCGTGTGAGCAAACTCGACCTCAAGCCAGGGATCCCAATCCCAGTCAATCCATTCATAAAAAGCTTCTGTGGAACTTCTGCTTTCCGTCCACCGAAGTAAGGGAGAAATATATTGTCCCATAAAATACTCCAACTGCAAGGCAAGGGGGTCATCTCTCCTGCGATTGAAAAGAGCATGGGCGAGGTCAACGAACACCACGCGGGGCAGATCGCTATCCGGATCCCTGAGAATGACATTCCGCGGCTCGACATCAATGAGCCAAATGTCGGCGTGGTATATCCGGCTTTCGAGGTCCACGATTGACTTGAGAATACTTTGACGAGCAGACTGAGAAAAGTCCTTTGGTTGAGCATGGGACATGGTCATGCCTTGGATATACTCAACCAGAATCATTCGGACTGTCCGTGTCTGCACCGAATCCACAGGTAAGCTCAAGGTGTAGGATCCATAGTATCTCGGGATCCATTGGCCTTGAAATTCGTGGAGACTCAGGTATGCATTGGCCTCGTGGGTATAGTATTTGTCGACACAGGAAAATGGATTAAGGTAACCTTCGCTATCGTTCAAGTAAAGGGGGTCGTATATCTTAGCAACAAGCTGGGTCCCTTTTTGAGGGAGGATCTCGGGTTTTGAATCTGAGGCTAAGAGTCGGGCAGTGAATACCTGAGAGCTGTGGCCATCGCCTCCTTTCAAAATGTCGATAACCTCGAGGCTGACAGCGCCATTCCCTTCCTTTCCAGGCAGGGGAGGGTGTCTTAAACATCTGTCGATTAAACTCTGTTGGTTTCTTTCTCTCATTTCATGGTCACTATTGATGCAGCCGCATTGTATTACCGGGGTTGGGGCAGGGGCAGTGTGAGATTGCGCCTGAAACCTCCAGCCAGGAGTATACGGCACTGGAGGTTTGGGAAGCTCCGTCGATGGAGGCCCGAATAAAGACCGGTTATGTTCAGAGAAGGTCATAATGGTGACCAAAGCTGATCAACCAGACAGGTTGCGCGGTTCTCTGTGACAAGAAAGACCGCAGCGGTTGCATTCGAGTTCGATGGAGATGTGAAGGAGGAAGGGGCCAGGAGGAAACACTGGCGACAAGAGCCATCGGCATATTAATTTTCCGACCACCAACCTACCTCGTTTACGGCAGCAAATAGCGGCACTCATGAAAAAATTACCGTAAGTCATTTTTTGTCTTGCAGAAAATATCTTTAATAGTACTTACATAGCTATAACTCTATAGATTCTGTTGTATTCAAGGGTTAGAAAATTAAAAAGAAGAATAGCTACTATAAATTCATCTTTATATTAATTAGTATAAAAATAGAGGTAAAAAATATATATAAGAAATACAGAGAGTAGAGTAGTTAAAAATAATACATAGTTTATGTTATTTTTAGGGGAGTGCCGCTATTTGCTGCTATACTGGTCTGCCCTTATCGCGTTCGTAAGCGCCGTAGGTTGTTTCATCATTGCTGATCATGGCCCTACTATTCATGTTCCAGCAAGTCAAAGGATCATGATAAATATACTCGCTAATTAATACCAAAGTCTAGCCGCCATCTTGAGTTCATGTGGCCTACAGCGTCAAAAATGATACATATATATGTGTGTGTGTGTGTGTGTTAAGAATAGCAACAACATCGATAAAACATGAAAATGCGAGACAGCATAAAGCTCAATGAGTGAGATATATAAATCCACAATCCTACGGTCAATTCTAGTTAAATATTTGAGTCTACACTTTCTTCTGATATATTTTTCGATCCTCCCATACCTTGTTTGTTGTCATTGCTTATTTCTTCCACCATGGACCCATCGCCACCAGCAATCGCCAGGGCATTCGAAGAAAAATTACCCCGTGAACCCCAAGTTGTATTTGCCAACAACCAATACCGTGCCATTCGAAGCTCAGCCTCGTCGACGGTTGAAGAGGATGCAGCGGCTGTCTATTGGGAAGAAGACATTGAGACGTATCACAATCTACTCGATCGGTATTTTCCACGAATAGGGCATGCTAGCCCATTATCCTCCAGAATGCCGATTGCGGAACAAACCCATCGACTGGAGACTGAATCCGATGTTTTGCGGCTGGCTACTCTCCAGCTTCTCCATCCCGTCAACGTCGCACTGCAGCAGAGTTGCCCACCTGGCACTCGAATATTTTGTCGCACAGAAAATTCTCCCAGTCTATCGAGCCGTTTTGACGTGGAGTGGGCTTTGTTCAACACCAGGGATGAGTGTCTATGCACACTCGCTATCCTGGAGATCAAAAATACCCACGTTATTCTCAAAGACGACTTCAAACACGCAGCCGTCAATGAGAGAAATTTTCAGTCCAAGACGACAATGGCCATGAAGCAACCCGATTTGTCGCTTCTCAAGCGCAACGCCTTTTGGCTCTCCAAGCAAGCTCGAAAGTATGCCAGAAATTGCCCCTATGTGGCAGTATTTGACTGGAATGCCATGTTCATCTTCAGTTTTATCCCGCGTTCCCAAAAGCCAGTGCGCGGGCTTTACTTCGATGAAAATGGACGTACAGGGGATATGACGTTCCGTCGCCTTCTTTTTGCTTTCGTCATTCGGCCCTTGAAGAAGTATGAAGCGACTCGTCTGCGTGGGGGAGCCTAAGACCATTTCACTGAGCTATAAAGCGCGCATTCTTCCATCGCAATACTTTATTCCTAGTGCTGCTGAATCTGGACCAACTATTCCAAAGTGTTAATTTCAATCGTTCTTACTTGATATTAGTATTAGTGTAGATTATGGTTGCTTTGGCGGGGTGTTGATCTATTATCTTATTATCGAAAGAGAAATTACTTAAAAAAGAAAGATTAAAGAGAGTAAAAGAGAGTAAAGGAAGAAGGCTAATAATTATAATAAACTTATATAAAAGGAACAACACAAATAAATATATATCAATTCAAATTAGATATCAAGTTACATGATTTTAATTGTAAGATTAGAATAGTCAAAGGCTTCATGGTCTGTCCTCGGTATTAGAGGTGATTTCAGCCATCGAGCAACTAAATAAACAATTTTGAACAGTGAAATACAGTTTTCATAGGCTCATTCACATATATCGTGGGCGAGATTGCATAGTCCAGATTATTGCGGAGAAGCTCGGTTGGCGGCGGGGATGACGCCAACGCCGACGCCAACCGAGATGCCCTCCACAATGCCCCAAACAGTGCAGGCACACATATCCTCTCTTCTCTCTTTCTCTTTCTCTCTTTTCGAAATATACAGACAACGATCATGTCAATACCCAGTACTCGCACATTACCGTTGAAACTGCTGGCCCAGAATCCGGGGCTCCTTCGCCGGGTCGCACCCGTAGGGACTCGATGGAGTAGCTCTATCTCGCAGCGGCCTGGCTCGGACAGGTGAGAACCATGTTCGGTTGCTTGGGATTCTCAAAAAGCAAGAAAAGGTCAAGCTAACATTGAATGACTTACGAGTAGTGTCCGCTTTCCCGGTGCCGTTAACAGTAAATTCACTACGCAAATGTCCTTTCTCAAAGCCTCGGATCTGCCCGCAATCCCCACATACCGAGTAATGGACTCTGACGGCGAGATGGTTGATAAGACGCGCCCACCAACCGATGTGACCGATGAGGAGGTCTTGACGTGGTACAGGAATATGTTGACCGGTATGTCTTTATCCTTTAGCCTTCGGTTTATCAGAGTATTGATGGTATGTAGTCAGCATTATGGACGTGGTCATGTTCGAGGCTCAAAGACAGGGTCGCCTCTCTTTCTATATGGTACGTCAATATTTCAACAATTGAAGGGAAAAAATAAGTTGCTGATGGAAACATGTCAGGTCTCCGCTGGCGAAGAGGGCATCACAGTAGGCTCGGCCGCAGCACTCACCCCGGACGACGTGGTGTTCGCGCAATACCGCGAAGCAGGCGTATTCCAGCAACGAGGATTTACACTCAAAAACTTCATGGATCAGCTATTTGCCAATTACAACGACACAGGCAAGGGCCGGAATATGCCCGTCCACTATGGACAAAACTACCCACGCATGGTGAGTCCTTGAGATATACTCTGCCCCTGTCTGCTCGAGAGACCTTTTCTAACCATATTTTCAGCACACAATCTCTTCTCCGCTAGCCACCCAGATTCCCCAAGCAGCAGGGGCAGCCTACGCCCTGAAGCTACAAGACCTCCAGAACCCAACCCGGGCCCCACGCATCGTAGCCTGCTATTTCGGCGAGGGCGCCGCCAGCGAGGGCGACTTCCATGCAGCACTAAACATCGCAGCAACACGCTCCTGCCCGGTAGTATTCATCTGCCGAAACAACGGGTACGCGATCTCAACACCGACACTGGAGCAGTACCGCGGCGACGGGATCGCCAGCCGCGGGGTCGGGTACGGGATCGACACGATCCGCGTCGACGGCAACGACGTGTTCGCCGTGCACGAGGCAATGAAAGAGGCGCGGCGGGTTGCGCTGGACGGAGGGCGCCCGGTGCTGATCGAGGCGATGAGCTACCGCGTCTCGCACCATAGTACTAGCGACGATAGCTTTGCGTACCGGGCGCGCGTCGAGGTTGAGGACTGGAAGCGGCGCGATAACCCTATTATTCGGCTGCGTAAGTGGCTTGAGAACCAGGGGCTGTGGAATGAGGATTTAGAGCGGGAGACGCGCGATGAGCTCCGCAAGGCTGTGTTGAAGGAGTTTGGCGAGGCCGAGCGTGGGAAGAAGCCGCCTCTGCGGGAGGCGTTTGCTGATGTCTATGAGGATATTACGGAGGAGGCGCAGGAGCAGATGAAGGAGCTGAAGCGCATCCTGGAGACATACCCGGATGAGTATGATCTCCGGCCATACCAGGATGGGGTAAAAGGACTGGATTGAGCCTCATCTGCATAGAGGAGCCTAACTTGAGAAATGACGAAAAAAGAAGACACAACGCCTTGCTAGTAAGATTTTTGAAGGTTTAATGCAACTGAATACTATGGGATTGAAATGATGGATTACAGGTATATATACAAAGCTGTTCAAGCCACTCTTTAAGCCTGAGCAAGAGCCAGAGCAACCTTTGATACAGAATCAAGCCTCATGTAGTCACCATCATGAGTCAAGTAAACCGCCCCAATACCCAAGTTCGAAGCATCACGAACAATAGCAGCAATATCAGCATCCTCAGGCGTCTGCTTCACAATGACCGCATCCTTAGAGCGGTACTGAGTAGTCGAGAACTTCTCCTCAGTCGACTCAGACTGCCACTCGGTATAGTCCTTCTCAAACTCGACGATAAAATCAGCAGCTTCGAAATACTGCGCCGCCGCCGCATCCTCCAGCTTTGCGCCCGGGTTGAAAACGACAGTGTTCATGTTTTTCGAGCGAGCAGACTGCGCGATATTCTGCATGTACTTGATCTTGGCGTTGTCGTTGGTGTTGGGGGCCTCGTCGAAGAACATTCCGGAGAGTGTGATATTGTTCGCGGTGTACGAGGCCCAGTTGCCGTACGTGGAGATCACTTTCTCAATTTCTGCGTTGGGCTTCTCCGCGTAGGTAGTAGGCACATAGCCGAGGAGCTGGACGTTCGGGCTGCTCTTCAGCTTTGTGATGGCCTGGATGTACTCTTCTTCGGGGGTATTCTATGGGATTACGATGTCAGCATTAAAAAGAGATAACTAAAACATGGCAAGATAAACTCGGAAAAAACGCACCGGTAGTGCCTGGTCCACTGTCAGGGTTGATAATGACATAGAACGGCACCATCGAGTGTGAGGTGATGGCATTGTAGACGGGCTTCCAGGCGTCACCGTTCTCGCCGGGACCGGTATACAAAGGCAGCAAGACTCCTACGGGCGAAGCGCTAGAAACCGCGGACGATGAGGCTGTAGGAGCAACAGAGGTCAGGGGAATATATGATGCCGATGGCGTAGCGGTAGCTGAAGACACAGGACCGCCTGACGACTGAACCGAATCCCAGTTTGAGTTATAGGGTCGTAGCCAGTGAGATCCGCCGTGACCATGTGGGCGAGGATGAGCAGAAACTAGAGTAGATGGCATCGCAAGGGCAGTGCCCACGAGAGAAGAAAAGCCGCGCATGGTGCGGGAGTAGCTGGGCCAAAAAAAAAGTAACTCGATTGCGAGTCAAATATTCGTCTCGAATTCATCCGCAGGGGCCTCAAGGGACTTTATAGTCGAAATTCGAGAAAGAGACCGGGAGATTGAACGGAATTCCCCAGTGCATATAGATGCGACGAGGCACCCAATGGCCCCCAACGAGACCATGAATCCTGATTCCGCATGGTCTCGAGACCAGGGGAGCGAATGGGGTCATCAGCCACCAGTTTCATGAACATAACAATGGCGCTGGTTGGGGTGAGGAGGAATGAAGGATTCGTCCGAAGCGTTGATCTCACCTTGTCCAGGAACCCTAGAGAGCCCTCGGAGGAATCAGCCGAACCAACTGGAGATTGGGTGCCAATTGTACTCAATTGTCTTCGGAGAATTAAGGGAATAAAAGGCATGAGTGTCAGATTCCACATTTCTTCCCCACAGTCCCGGCAGCTTTGTCTTCTTTGGCGCTTGATGAGACGCATCTCACCTTGGCGATGCTCCCATCGCGGACAAGCGCGTCAGCCACCAGTCAACGATGTGTCGGGGGCCGGGGATAATCCAGGCTCATCACTGGTTCCTTCAAGAGCTTATGCGTGGCAGATTGAGGAAATGCCAGGCACAAGGAGTCAGATCCAACGCACGGGTAAAATGAAGGGACATGCCCCATCCTTCGAGGGGTTGAAGGGTGAAGGACCCCTGGTAAGCTGTTTCAAAAATCTACAAGTGATTATCCAGCCCATACTCGGAAATTGCAACATAATTGTCCATCAATTCATACACTGTCGCTAATAATACAATTGTCAAAGGCCGTAAGAACAGCCTTCGTAGGTATCATGCAAAACCATAAAGGGGCCAGTGGAGACTCTCTCATCACGAACATGTACATCCACGAAATTACTCCGCCGAAGCCAGAGCCTGCTGCTGGAGCTTCTTGTTACGTCGAAACAGGCCAGCAAATTTTTTGTCGAGCGCATCAAGATCCTTTCGTGTGCTCTCCAACTCCTTTTGGGAGACGGTGGCAAGGGCCTTCAGTTCCTCATTCGTCATGGCTGCAACATCTTCAAGGGTCGGATTGCCACCAGGCATCCCGGGACTGCCCAACATATGCTTGGCCGTGGCGGCCGCGAAAGAACGGACGGCAGCGGGAGTGGTGTTGAGGAATTCCGCCGAGTTGGCAACAGCCCAGTCATGGCTGCGAGTACTGTCCGCCTCCATGGCCGAGAGCACGTTTGGTGGCAGCACCGATTCAACAACATCCAAAGATGCAGTGGCGGATGCTGCGTTCAGCTGCGCAGAGACATCGTCAATCCAGCAGATGTTAAATTTCTCCGGCTTCGTAAAGAGAGCCTCAAGTCCACCGCCAAGATTGCTGGAGTCGTCACCAACGGGGAGCGTATCGACCGTGCCGCTTCGATTCTTCTCCAGCTCGAGGTATCGCTCCTCTTCCTCCAGTGCCAGGTGACGAAGGACACAGCCACGAGGGGTGATCAAACACCGATTCTTCAGTAACTCGGTACCGATTCGAACAGGCTCGCCGCGGAGCAAGGCTTTCCGATGATCCTCCGTCAATTCTGTCGGTTGCTTAAGCAACTCATAATCGTTTGCGGTGCACTTCATGTCGGTGCGCTGACTGAGGTTGGCAGGATTGAACAACGAGCTCTTGATGAGATCCAGCTCACCAGCCTTGTGCATTTCCGCGAGAAGCTCATGGATGGGCTTGGTTCGCTCCAGGAACAGATCTTTCATAGACCTTCCAGTGGCCTCAGCATCCTTGATCAGTTGTTCCACCGTGTTGTTCGACCGCCATGCCTCTGGTGAAGCCTTGTCCTCACGGGGCTGCTCATCGACGGGCGCAGGCTTTGCCTCCTTGGTAGGCTTGTCCTTTGCCTTCACCTTGGCAAAATCAGGTTTGGGCTCGGCCTTAACAGGAGAGGCATTTTCGGTCTTTGTTGGACTGGCTGTCTCAGGAATACCTGGTGCACTGGTGTCGAGAGTTTCAACGGTGCTGGTAGGAGCCTTTCTCGTCTTGCGCTTTCGTCCAATGATAGGAGCTTGAACAGGTTCTTTAGGAACAGGGGCACTTTCAGCCTTTTTAGCCTCGGCCTCCTTCGCTTTCTGCTTCCTTTCCTTTTTCACCTGGCTCTTTGTCATGGTACGCACAGGAGCTGAGCCGATCCGGGAGGACGCGGGAGGAGAGTTTGTGCGAGACACGGAGGCCGACACGTCAATTTCAGCCTCGGAGCCAAACTCACCCGGAGTGTCTGGTCTGCTGTTGGACGAGACACTCTGTCTCCCAGAACGCGACTTGTTCGCACCAGGGGCGGCAGTGTTCGCAGACGGCACAGTAGCGATGGGAGGAGGTGTTTCCGTCTTTGGTGTTTCAACTACACGCAAGATGCGAGGCTGTCGAGGTGCGGAAGAATCGGAGATACGAGAGGCGGTGGTCAAGGGAGTGTTGGGCCGGGATCCGATTGCAGAGACTGAGCCGGGGGCTGGAGCGAAAGCCGTAGAAGAGGCATGTTCAGGCTTGGCAGAAGAAGGCTCGTGCGACTGTGCGAGGGAAAACGGCAGCTTGAAACTAAATGGACTTGCCTTTGTCCCAGAGGAGCTGCGATCAGATGGATCCGAGGATTTGACAAGGGTGCCTTTCTCATCCGTAGCAACAGTCAGATCGCTCTTGAGACGAGCCTTAGTGGCAAATTTGGACTCGGGAGATCCAAGTGAAATTCGAGAAGCGTCTTTCACGTGGCCGAATGTAGAAGTGGGTCCCGCACTCAGACCGGGACTCAATGGACGAGACATGGTCTCTTCTTGCTTCTGAGAAGGGGTTCCAAGTCGTGGAAAACCGGGTCCTAAGCCCGGAGGTGCCATTGGAGTTGGCGATGAGGGCTTTGATGAGTCCAATTGCTCGTGAAGTACAGATGAACCGGGATGTGCGTGTGGAAGTGGGAGACCAGGGGGGAGAGTTGGGGTACCTGCACGACCAGATGAGTCGTTAGGCAGCTGGGATTTCAAGAAACCGAAACTATCGACAGGTCGACGTTCTTTCGGCTCTACCCCAAGTGGAGGAAATTCCTCGTTCACTAAAAGGCTTGTAGTTAGCGCCGTTTCAGTGAACTAAAATAAGTGTGAGCGAGGGTAACAAGGCTTGATGGGGGGTAGAAGAGCGACATCACACAAGTCCAAAAGGTGAGGAGAGTCAACGACTAAACGAGGATACAAACGGGGCAAACGAAGTAATTACATGAGGCCTCAGAATGCAAGCCGCCAGGGGAAAAAGAGGGCAAGCGTGGGTCTATATAAACAGCGGTTGTGAGACAAATAGTTTCAAATAAGACCCTGCTTCGACACATGACTTCAGGGTAGGGAGGTCTTAACGTACATTAATTCACCATGGCACCATGAGTGGGCGTGAACATGGTGCTGACTGACCACTGCGGACCGAATGCAAAAAATATAGAGGGAATACACAGCCGCCGAATGGAAGGAAGGCCCAAAAGACATGTCAATATGTCCGAGAAATGCAAAGGCACCTTGAACCAGATGGAGACCGGGGGAGGACATGCAAAAAAACAGGGGAGAAAAACCAAAAGCCAGCCGACAACGCCGAAGGCACGTCTGGTAGTCCGCATGGGTCCAGAGTCGTTTGCCTGATCGCACACAAGAGCAATTCAAATGCGCCCAAGACATCATTGGGGAACAAAATCAAAAGAAAAATGATATCATGTCATCAAAGGATGCGCACCCGTCAAAGCAAAGGGTTGATAAAAGGTCATGATAAGAAGCATGAAAAGAGGTGTGGACAAAATCTGATCACAGGAGCACAGTGCAGGGAGGTGAAGAGGGATAGTCGAGGGCAATCACCAGCGGCTGAAGCCACTGCCATACATCATCGAGGGGTTGTACCCACCTTGGCCCTGACTCCCGTACAGCACTTGCCCAGCAGTGGCATTCGCACCGACCTGGTGCATTCGCGCCTGCAAAATGCTTGGGTCCGCAAGATCTACTACACCGCCTCCACCGGAGGAAGTGTTAGCGTGTCTGTGCTTCTTCCCCTTCTTCTTCTGCTTCTGTGGACCACCAGACTCAGGCAGTGTGCCCGTCTGGGACCCATAGAAAGAACCGAGAAGACCGTTGGCGGGAGTCAAGGGAGGTGGGGTTTGGTGCTGTTGGAGAAAAGGGAACATGAACTCACGCTTAGCGGCCTCCTGGCCCTGCAAACCACCGACATTCGTGCCATTTCGGCCACGCAATAATTCGCGCATCAATTCCGGAGTGGCGTCCTGCTTTCCCACGTTCGCCCCGAGTCCGACGTTCGTGTTTGAGGTAAATCCGTGACCCTGCGCAAACATGCCACCGCCACTGATAGGAGGGGTCCCTGCTGTTTTCAACCCGGGAGGAGGGCCCTGAACACTACTGGCATAGAAGCCGCTGGCAAGAGCGTGCTGCGGGCTTGGTGCGGACAGCGGATTGGGCGTCCCAGACTGCATCTGACTCAGCATGCGTGCGTTGGGAAGGTTCTTGGATGCGGCGTCATTGGCGAACGAAAACCGGGAGGATTGCCGGTTTTGCGCCTGCAAGGCATTGAATTGTGCCATCTGGCTCTGCAAAAGACCCTGCCGGACTTGGGCCGCTTGGTCAAGTGCGGCGGAGCTTAAGGGGTCGGCCAAGCCAGCCTGTTGATTTCCCGCAGACTTGAGCAGCATCAACTGCTGTTGCTGAAGAGGGGTAAGACTCCGGCCAGCGAGATTTAACCCTTGAAACTGATGACTGGTGGCAGAGACAGGAGATCCGACGGTTGAATTATCTGCAGTCCCTTGCTGAGACGGAGGCTGGATAGCACCATGCGATTCACGGGTCTGTCGACCTCGCGGAGGGTTAACCTCTTCTGGCTCGCCGCCAAGTTGCAGACTGCCAGCTTCACGGCTGTCCTCCTCAGCGGCTGCAGATTGAAGGAGCTCTTGCTCGCGCTTCACTCGCTCCTGCTCCAACTTCTCCCGCATTGCCCTGCGCTTGACTCCGCCATATGGATCAATAAACGATGGGTAGTGATTCAGCAGTGCAGCCTCATCAGCGGGGATTGCAGCGGTAGAGAAAACAAATTTGAAGTCTGGACAAGTGACATCTCTCAAAAGGGTGTCGAAAGGAGTCTCAGCCGAGACCGGTGGTCGGGTATCACGAGATTGAGACTGGGCAGCAGAGGATGGCACATCGGGCTGTCCCGGAGGTTGACTGTCCTGGGAGACAGGTGACGGTTTCTCAGCCCGTCTGGGCTCCTCCACAGCGGTAGCAACATACACATTAGCGGGCCGAGGACTTTGAGATGCCTGGCTCCCAGAGAGACTACCTCGCCTTGTCCGATTGAGGGGGGCATCTTTATTCGCCCAGCTTGCGGATGAGGGGAGTGCGGGTCCATCTAGCATGGATTGGCGACCAGTAATAGAGTCATCCTTACTTGGCTGACGGCGCATCGGGTGGGTAATGGGTTGAGCAGATCGGGTGTGAGGGGTGGACTGGGACGAGCGTTGACTGGACAATGTGTTCATGGACGAAAGATCTTGTCGGCTATAGCTTTCGCTATCTTCTCCCGTCTCATGTAAGAATGTACAATTCCGGTTGTTGCACTGTTCGTTGCGAAGGAATGACGAGCAGTACTTGGTTGTTCCGTATTGTGCCCTATTGGATTACCAGTCAGTATGGGATTTGATGCTGAACGGGGTCCGGGACTGAAGCGGGCGACAAACCTTAACACTCGGTCCCCGTTCGCGGATCCATCCACTGCTGTAATGCAGGTTGCAGCATCGGCTTTGCGAGTGAAAGTCACATAAACACCAATCCCCTGGTTTGGATTGCCACCTGGCTTTGCTTTGCTGACCACAATCTTTTCGATGTCACCGTATTGCCCGAAATACTCCCTGCCACGAAGCGTTTGAAGCAATTGGTTCTCGTCGCGGATGGTCGGATTAAGGCCGATAACATAGACCAGGTTCTTCTGGACGACACGAACCCCAGCAAGATTTTTCCGACTCGATGCCTCAATCTCGCGTTTTTCGGATTCCTTCTTCTTAGCAGCGGCGGCCTTACGGTGTTTCAATGCCAGATCGGCCTTGAACCTGATGCACGGGAGGGCAGGTTAGTGACCAGAGGTTTGTATGAGGGTGCGATTGGGTAACGAACTCTTCGGCATCGGGAATCTTGTACTGGATAGTACTATCATCGTAGGATCGGCGACAGTTCGGACAGCGGCCTTCTTCGCTGTGGGTTTTGATGTTGTTGTAACAGAATTGACAGATCTAAAGATAAGAACTGTTAGTGCTGCAGCGCACAAAGCTACCATGCAATGCGCCAACTGATGTCGCATGTTCCAGAGAAAGACAAGAATACATACCTGATACCCACAGGGACAAGGTTTGAAGTTCTTGTCCGAAAGATCGAACTCTTCAATGCAAAGGGGGCTGTGGGGTGATTAGTGCCCAAGTCGCGTTTTCTCGGAGCCGGACCACACGTACCAAAACTCATCGTCATCGTCAATGACGGAGTCAATCTGCTGGCGATTCGACATGATCGCAGGAAAATCTATGATAAAAGGAAGAGGAAAACGAGAATCTCAACGCCAGCAACTCAGTAAAGCGCCGGGTAATGAAAACTGGGAAAGGTGTGAAAGCGCTAGTCTGGTAAAAGAAGCAGAAGGGTGAATGGGTAGGATGAGGCGGAAGGAGCGAAGCAGAAAGATGAGGAGGGGGAAGGAAGAGAGGGGCGATGAAGGAGGATGGCGAGGGAGAAAGAAAGGAAGGAAATTGAAGCGCGGCCTCATTTTGCTGGCATTTCCTCATTTGGGCTAGCGTATCCGTGATTATATCATATTACACGTGACCCGTGGCCGACCAACCTCAATCCTCACAATCCGACTTACGAGCCTTTCCCTCCCCACTGAGCTGTGCTATTGCTCCCTCCCCTCCACCATGGCGTCCACACGTTCTTTGATGCGCCTGGGCACTGGACGCTCTGTGGCCTCTGCCACGCGCTCCATGGCCCCTCGCACCTTTTCTTCGACTGCTCTGCAGTCGGCTCCCAAGGCGTCAACACATCCGGGCTCACCGGAGCCCGAAAACATGCGCCAGGCGCAGCGGCCGCGTATGTTAAGACGAATTTGTGGCTTACTGAATGCAATTGAGCTGACTTGGGTTGCTGCCCTCCAGCCCAGGGACCCCTGCGTGCCCCGGTCGTCAACCCTACCGACAAGTACCAGGCCAAGGCCGACAGTCTGCACACCTATGGCCAATACATCATGTCCTGTCTACCCAAGTACATCCAGCAGTTTACTGTGTGGAAGGACGAGCTTACCGTGTACACGGCCCCGGCCGGCGTGGTGCCGGTGATGAGCTTCCTCAAGAACCACACCGCCGCCGAGTTCACGCAAATCTCCGACATCACCGGTGTCGACTTTCCCACCCGTGACCAGCGTTTCGAGGTTGTGTACAACATGCTGAGTGTTCGATACAACTCTCGCATCCGTGTCAAGACCTATGCCGACGAAGCCACCCCCGTGCCTAGCGTGACGGGTTTGTTCGAGGGTGCCCTGTGGTACGAGCGTGAGGTCTACGACATGTTTGGTGTTTTCTTCTCTGGCCACCCGGATCTCCGTCGCATTATGACCGACTACGGTTTCGATGGCCACCCACTTCGCAAGGACTTCCCCCTGACCGGTTACACCGAGCTGCGGTACGATGAGGAGAAGAAGCGCATCGTCATCGAACCGCTTGAGCTTACCCAGGCTTTCCGTAACTTCGAGAGCGGTTCAACAGCATGGGAGCCTGTTGGTGCGGGCCAGAACCGTACGCCCGAGTCGGTACGTGATATGACTTATCGTCCCCTTTTTAACCTTCCAGCTAACATACTCGATTACAGTTCAAGTTCCCCACTCCCAAGCCCGAGGAGAAGGAGGAAGAAAAGAAATAGAGCTTGGTTGTATGCGTATTACGTTTGTTTGCTATTTCTGTATGTACATATCGGTCTGTTAATCGATGGTGTTGTCCGCCGATGGTTTCCGTAGAGGCAGTGGACTTGTCCACTAGTATTCTACCTTGTCATTCGAGTAGGCTGGTTTCTTCGACATAATTGGCGGTTTTCCAACTGTCGGAAATATTGTAGATGTTTTAGATCTGGGATCCTGAATATCTACACATTCACGCAGTACTTGGTCGTTTGGGCGACGGATGTCTTGGCGCAAGATCCACCCAAAAAAAAAGTAAGCTCCTCCGCCTCACCAAGATATATTCAGAGACCAAAACCTCGCGAAAACCTCATTACTCTTTTGCGCAATCATCCTACAATTCCTTCCATCGCAGGATCACATACTGCCCGTGCCCGTTCATCTCACAATCAACCCCCCCCCCCCGGCCCACAGAATGCCAAAACGCAAGCTCGGCGACGTCAACGGCCCCGCGCGGTCCAGCGACACGCGCAAGCTATCTATGCACGCCGTCCGGCTGTCGACCAAGTTCGATCACGGCGTCGAGCTGATCTCGCGGGGCCTCAAAATTGCGCGAGGATTCGAGCGGCAGAAGCTCAGTCGGCGCGAGAAAACGGCCAAGTCACAAGATAACTCGACGACGTTGGCGCGGTTGGCGGAGGAAGTCGATGCTTTAAAGGTAAGAGTTTCCCCTTGGATCTAGCATAAATTCTAGACCATCTGTCTTATGGAGAATGCATTTGCTAATTTTTTGTTGTCCTGCTTTGGAACAGGCTCTCGATTACCACGTCACTGCGGAGCGGTATCTCTTCAAACAGCTCTCCAAAACGAAGCGCATTGCAGAGTCGTCGATATTCCAAGAATTTGCAGAATCCAAGAATATCTCGCAGGAGAGCCCGAAAAGTACTGCCGAGAGCAATATTCTCGCGCGCCTGTTCAAGTCCAACCCCGTGAAGAATGTGCTGCCCGATGTGATGGCTGGCATCCGGAAGCTACTGGGGTTGGAGGAGACGCCAGCAGGGAAGCAGAGTAAACCCGAGACCAACACAACAAAGAAGGAGAAGGATGCGCCATCGAAAGAGAAACTCGGGCGTCGTCAGCAAGAGGCCGAATCAGAGTCTGCTTCAGAGGAAGAGCCAGAACGGACGACGCGCGGCGAGCAGGACTCTCGCCCCGAAAAAGAAAAAGACAATCTGAGCATCTCAGAAGAAGACGGATCCGACGAGGGAGGAGATTTCTCGCGCTTCGATGCGCGACTCGCCTCCGGCTCCGATGACGACTCCGATGCCAGCGAAGACATCACTCGTGCAGACAACGCTGCCGTCGCAGCAGACGACATCTACGACTCTGTTTCTCGCTCTCCTTCACCCTCTTCCCCAGCAGCCGACTCCCCACCACCCAAGAAAACCAAAGCCAGCAAAGTCTCCGCAGCGCCAGCCCAGAGCACCACCTTTTTGCCCTCACTCATGATGGGCGGGTACTGGTCAGGGTCTGAGTCCGAGGCCACAGACGATGAAGAGACCGCCGGAGGCAAACGGCAACGCAAGAACCGGATGGGCCAGCAGGCGCGTCGCGCTTTGTGGGAGAAGAAGTACGGGCAGAAGGCGAACCACGTACGCCAAGAGAGTCAGCAGCAGAGGAAGAACAAAGATAGTGGCTGGGATGTGCGGCGCGGAGCAGTAGACTCTGACCTGAGGGGCGGCCGAGGGGGTGGACGTGGTGGGCGCGGTGGGTTTAGCGCCCAAAGTCGGCGCGATGGCCATGCTGGATCTCGTGCACACCCTGGCAAGAATGAACAGGGTCCACCGAAGGACACGGGGCCACTACATCCATCGTGGGAGGCGAAGCGGAAGGCCAAGGACCAGGCGAACACGGCGGCGTTCCAGGGGAAGAAGGTCACGTTTGATTAGCGGTTTTACTTTCTTCAGCGAATATATCGAGCATTTTCAAAGAATTCAACGACTATCATGTCATTCATGTCTACAATGGGTATTGTATTGCCCGGATTCTTCGGGTCGGCAAGCATAGGGTTCGCACTATAGAAGACTATCGTTCTTTGTCAATCGTAAAGCTCCAATATTCATCGACCAAATATAGGACAAATGCGAAGTGGTATACCAAACATCACCAAGAACGGAAGAAGAACCAAAGAAACAAAGTCAAAACCAAGTCGCTGTTCCAAAACAAGCCAAAGTATCAAAAGGTATATCAGTCGTCAATTAGTCATAAACTGCAACCAATGCGGATCAGCGCCGTCACCAGGAGTCTTTAGCTCAGCACCAACCAGGCCAGACGAGTGGGCCTGGGCATCTGGTTCAAAACACGGAATGGCCGTGAACTCGCCGAGTTCCTGAGGGAAGTTCGAGACGAAGTGGTCGAATCCAAAATGCGGCATTTGCGAGAGCGACTCCTGAGAGATAGAGAAATTTTCCGAGGCTGACAGCCCAGTGCCGGACCCATCACTTGGGAAAACCTCCTGATCAGGGCCATCAGGGACAGGCCCGGATCCGTTGGTGCTGCCCAGGGCAGCTGTCGGGGGCGTGATGGCTATACCAGGGATAATGGCGCCGGAGCCAGACGCAACAGCTGGGGCATGGGGGTTCAACTCCTGCTGGGCAGGTGGATCGCTGGCAGTATACTGTTCCGAGTGCTTCCACGCCATTGTCGACGGAGACACTGGACCGGTCTTCCACAGCATCTCCCAGTTCTTGAAACGGTCGTAGGCGGACTCCATAAAGCCGCCATTACTTTGGGCCTGTTGACTTTCGCTCCAGAGTTCAAGCCGGCGTATCGCCCGCTCGAGGGCTTCGATTACGCTGACTGCTGACCGTGCCGACCCAACGCCCATGGACATAATCTTGATAAGGGAAATGCCCTGGTCGAGAGCAGCGCCGAGTCGCTCAGTGCGTTTCGTCAGTCCCTGGGCCAGGATGACCAGGAGGGCTGCGCGGCACGAGCTGAATTCGGTGAATGAGGCACGAGCAAGACCCGTCTCGTCGCGGAGTAGGCGGCACAAATCGATAATTTCTAGAGCTGCTTCGACGCAGTCTGTGACCAACGTTGCTCGGTTTTTAGAGACGCCGGATGGGCCCTTATTGGAGAGGGTAAAAGAAGGCGTTTGATGCAAGCCCTTGATGTTGCTGAAAAGAAACGGTCGTCCAATGAATATCCGGGTCAGGCAATAGTCGAGCTTCAAGTGCACGTTGGATCGGAATAATGGGCCTCCAGGATTCAAATCACGACAAGTCGTTTCCTCAGGCAATGTGGACCACCACTCAACCAGGTGCTTTCTGAGGTTCAGCAGTCGCTCCAGACAGTCCTGCTGCTGACCTTTCGGGCTTGTTCGCAATGACGTGCTTTTTGTTCGGTCAGTTGATCGAGTTCTCATTCTCGTGCAGAGTCTTGGGGGACTTACATTTCATTTGAAACTTCCCCGAGCTTCAAGGTCAATGTAATCAGAGTCACCATGTTGGTATGGTTAGATATTTGCGTAGCGGGCATCAGCTCGGGGAAGTCGACTGGGAGTGGAGCATCGACATTGGAATCTGCCAACGATGCCGGTCTGCCGTGAAGTATACTTATGCGTCTGTCGCCTGGTTAGTACTTGCAGTTAAACAGAATAAGCCGAGCATACTTCTCAATGGTATAGGCAGTCCAGAACACCCGATTGCGCACTTCCACCATCCGCGGCGATAGCCCCTCGCCATGATACCTTCGATGCATACCATTCTGGATGGCAAGCTTGAGTGCCAAACCGAAATAAGTATAACACAGCCCGGATGTATCAAGCGGGAGTAGATACGTCCCAATCAGCAGACAGGCTTGGACGCTCCGAACCGACGCCGTGGTAATGATCTCTGGCAGCAGTTTCGAGGCGAATTGATAGAAGGTCAATCCGACCTCGTCCTCTGAAAAGTGCTGGTCCTCGGCAGCGGCAGAATCCGATGGCAAGCAATTCACCGGTGTGGGCGATTCCATGTGGGCGAATTGCGTGCCAACGGCCAATACCATCAGGATAGAGCATACTGCGCCCGCGTCATCAGATGACAGACTGGAGGGATTAGTGTAGCACACAGCAAGCTTCTCGCGTAACCAGTCCTCTTCCACGTAGAAATTGTTGGTCTGCGCATACTTGAAGAATATCTGGACGAGAAAATCGGCCACATATCGCGGGGGCAGACAATTAATCGATGCCGATGCCAAGGACGATCCAGACTGAAGTTGTGTGACTCGCCATCGTTCCTCGAATGGCTCTACTTCGGCGGAAGCCTAATTTTGTTAGCATGGCTGGTACCGATTCTCAGGAAGAGATACGCTCCCACCTCTGGCGCCGCCATTTTCATCCACTCGTCGATCTTCTTCCGAATCTTCATGGAGAAATTCAGGTAAGAGAACTCCCCGGAGTACTCTAATTCCCACGTAGTTAGCCATAATTCAATCGAAACACAAGAGATGTGCATACGGGTTGTGTTGTCCGGGAGTGCCTTGATGGTGAAATCTTCCTCGTCAAGAGCCAGGTCCTCCATTTCATGGGTCTCTTCTCTAGTGGAGCGAACATCCGACTCAGAGTCGCGGTGTTTGCTCTGGAGATCCTTCGCCGCCTGACGCAAAGACTGAATATCGAACGTGATGTTCGGGACATAGTGCGCGAGAATGCCTTCCATAAGGCGAACCCGTTCCGTTTCAGCTATTTCATGTCGATTGAGAGTAGCGGCTCGGTCAAGCAGGCTGTTACAAGAAATCCGAAACCATCAGCATCCCAACAGAAAAAGTACAGAAAGAGAAGCACACAGCCGGATTGACTCACGACACAGACGACGATCGACTCTTCTCTTGCTGATCGATATGGGTAAAAATGCACTGGCGGCGATAGCGCAGACACCGGCGACACGGCACACCACCTTCGCATTTCTCTTTCACCCGGCGACAGCCATCGCATCTGCAAGTCGAATATGTTAGCCATGTCGGGTGACAATTCCCGGGGCATTGACGGAGGTGACGGAGGGGACGGAGGAGACGGAGGGGCCAAATGCATACGCTCGAACGGCACGTTTGCGATTTTCCTCGGGCACGCGAGGGCGCTTCTGTGGCTGCGCCGGAGTCGAGGTTGGGTCGTCCATGGCGCGTGTCAAGGGAATGGCGGTTGGGGCATCGTCTGCGGAGAAGTGGAGCGAAAGGCGGAGTCGGATAAGGTTGGCGTGACAGCAAACTCAGTGCAATTGGAAATTGGACAGGAGCAAAGTTGTATTCGTGTCTCGCATTTGAAGATGAGAGGTTGAAAGAGCAAAAAGAGCACAAAGAGCACAAAGAGCACTTATCAGCGGGTCGATAAAGCGCACGCTTCCCACGGATCTTTGCCCCGCATCGGTCAACCCGTTCGAACTGAATCATCTCCGTCTCTCTCCGGCTGTTCCCCCGACACAATTTATGGCAATTGAGATCATCGATCAAAGGGGAGAAATAGCCAACCGGTAGAATATAAACTGGAGTATATGATGATAACTAGTCAAGTTGGAAAAACAGAAAAAAATCCGAAAGTGTGCAAATGAAACAACCGAATATATACTTGTGGACTGCGATTCCGCTTGAGCATCCAGGAACATAGGTAAACCCCTAGCGAAGTCTAAACTTAGCAATCAACAGAACAACTCTAAGCCGCATTCGACCGAGATACGCCATGATGCTTTAAAATCCCTTGACATGCGTGCCCAGTCCCAGGGCAGCCCCAACATCGAGCACTTTCTTGCCAACCACAAGATCCATAAGACCCATACCCACACACTTATAGATGACATTGCAGCCATCTGGAACAGAGATCCCCTCCGACGGACTAAGCGACCCCAGCAAATCACCCATCTCAGTGAGCTGGTCCTCCCGGACCTGCGCCGTAATCAACTCGCCGGACTCCTCCAGACAAGCCGATTTAGAGTCGACATAGATCTTGCCCCCGCCAGAGCGCAGAGTCTCGGTGTCAATCTCGTGCATTTGTGGCTTGTAAGAGCCAATCAGAGAGATAAAGCGCTGCTTGAGCGCAGACTGAAGCGCGGAAAAGGGGAAGTTGGGCTCCAGGGACGGGGTACAGCTGAAGATTACGTCGCATGCACGCAGTTCTTTGAGGAGCAACTGGTCGTAGTCGGATTCACCCTCCTTTGCGAGAGCAATAAATTCAACGTTGGGATAGCGCTGGTGTAGTTCGGCTATCACGTCGTGCTCCAGCTCGTCGAGTCTCGCGCGGCTGCGGTTGACGAAGGTGACTCGCTGAATTTGATCGGGGTAGAGCAGGAGAGCGAGTCGCACATGCCATTCTGCCTGGCGACCTGATCCAAAAATAAGGATGTTTTCTTTGCGGAGGCTGTTGCAGCGTACAAGTAAAGTCATCGTGGCCAATGCTGTGCGGAATGCCGTCACCTCTGCGGCGGCCAGGAGGCCCTGTAACCGGCCCTCCGGAGAGAATACATTGATCACTCCACGGATGCCGCTGTTGCTGACTGTGACAATTTTTATCCCTGTGCTGGCCGTGTCGGAGACAGGCATAAACAGGCTTGTGTTCTGGTCTTTGGTGACAAGCGCCGTGCGCAGCGGTTGGTGGATGAGCTTCTCCGACGCCGGGACTGTGGATTTTGACTCGGCGGAGATGGCTACCAGACCTTCGCCCAGCGCGGTGATGAATTCATGGCATTGCTCCTTTGTCAGGACGCGAAAGACCCGGGCTACATCGGGCTCTGCGAGGATATGCATTCTCGAGTGTTTGAAGATGTTGATTGATGATGACAATAGTGGGGTTTGCGGAAAGAGGAGGCTGCCGACGACCCGGATTTTATGTGACTTGTGATCAATCAAATTGTAGGTAATTTCAATGGCGAGATTTGGAGGTTGAAAGGGACTGGCAGTGGGAGAAGAAACAGTGGAAGAAGCCCCGTGGGATGGCCCATCGGACGGGGTGACTTGGCGGGGCACTTGATCCATCAGCGCGTCGACGTGATAGCTCAAGTAGCTCAATGCACCTTTTAAAATACTGCATTTCATGCTACAGGCTAAGTTTTGTACTGCCTGATACTTTGAAGAAGCTAAATTAGAGTCATTTCTTCTCGAATTCATTATTATCGCCAAACAGCGAAGGACAAGCTAACGCCATTCTATCGATGCATCCAAAAAACACGCAGAATGCAAGAGAAAAAGCAAATCTTTCGCAGAAAAAGCAATCAGAGCAAGCTCATGCCAAACCAAAAAAAAAAGAACCAGCTTTTCAGCCACGGGTTCCGAGAATCTTCCAAGCCCGACGCTTCAATTCCTGGATCATCGCCAGCTGAGATTCCTTCGTACGCCCCACGGCCTCGGTGTTCTCAACGGCACGCCGCAAAAGGAAGCCCATACACTCCTTCACGGATCCCCAGGCCAACAGCTTGTAGACATTCGGGGCCTCTAGCGGGGTCGACGCGGCACCGACATCAGACTCGGCGCTTCTGAAGCCCTGCAACAGCTCACAGCTGACCTCATCGGCCATACCCTGAAGCTGAGCATAGCTGAGGTCCACGCCGTAGTCCTGGCTCTGGATAGCCTGCTGAACGCGTAGCGCGTGGGCCTTGCGCACCGACTCCCGGTTATGGGTGGCGATGATAACATGCACAGATGGTAGTTCAGTTGGAGTATCCGTAGACGTCGACGGTGGTTGCAACATAGCGTTGTATTTTCTGGTCAGAAGGGCCTCGACAACTTCATCATAGCACCGGTCGGTATCTTCCTTCTCCGCCCAGATCAGTTGGCGAGGCTCTGTTTTGAGATAAGCACCACGGACGAGCTTGACTCCAAGTGTGTATTTCTCGCGGCGCGCAACCTCCAGGTGCCGGGCGAGAGTTGCGGGAGTGGAGCGAAGGTATGCCTGGTAAGTACCATAGAAGATAGCACGGCCGGGGGTCTGTGAGTTGCAGTACTTCTGGTACTTCATGATCCATGCCTCGATGCCGGGCTGCACAGCCTGTTCCTCGGCATCGACCAGCAGACGCACACCCCGGGAAATAGCCAAATCGCACACTCCCTGAATTGAGGAATCCATGAATGCAGATGGTGGGGCTTCTTTCTGTAGCAGGCGAAGAGCGTCGGATCCCATACCGGTGAATCTGAAGTGATGGTGTTAGACACGATTCGAAAGCAGATAAGAGCGACGAAAACAAAGTAACTTACTTCAGAGCAACAAAGTCACCCTCTTGGGCCATGTCAACTGTCTGCAAGGTACCGTCCAGCCACATCTGGATTTCAGCTCGAGTTGCCTCGGCATCATAAGTAGCGTCCTGCTGGTTATCTCCCGCAAGTACCTCGCGGGCGTAGCCCAGAAGAACACCTCGGCATCCAAGCTCCTTGATATTTCGGATCGACCGCTGCACTTCGATCTTGTTCTCACCCGCGTTGAACTGCTTGTAAATCGTGTGCTTCACAAGCAAGTTCAGTAACGGGTTTTTGGCCACATCCCAAAAGGCAGTGCGTGGATGCGCCAAGAGTGACAGAGTATATATGCACGGTTTCAACAGAAGCGAGGACGAAGAGACAGAGAGAACCAGCAGGGATCGCAAGACCGACGACAAGGGCAGTTTCGCCAAGGGTGCTGCCAGCGCCTTCCGTGGCGGGGGCGGCGGTGAGGAAGGCTGCTGCAACAAGTTCCCAACAGCCGCGACAGAAGAGCGAGAATTGCCTGTGCCGCTCACAGGCCTTTGGTTGGCCCGGGCAGTGGGCTTAGGCCAGGGCACCCGCACTGGGGGACGCGCAGGTTTCATGGATGTTTTGCGGTAAGGCTAGTGATAGGCAAGAGCGAAGGATTCAAGATGCAGGGTTGGCTTGGAAAAAGGAGATATTAACCGCGAAGAAAGATATACGGTTGGTAGGGATAAGAGAAGAGCCACGGGTAAAGCAGACGACAAGTGTTGTAGACCGAAGGCGTTATGTACGAGTCCTTGGGAAAGAACCGGTGGCAAGGGCCGGTGCCCGGCGCGGTTAGCCAGACGAGATGGTCAGCCGGAACTGCTTGGATTCCACGATACTACAATGGTCTATAGTCCTACGAACCGGAAACACCGCTCGCTGATTATTTTTATTATTCATATTTTCTATCTCGATAAACACTCCACCGGAGTCTGTACCCACGAGAGACCATAGGGGAGCATGAACAGGCAAATCGATCATGAACTATACACACGTCATGAGCAATCATGTTGAAATCTCATAGTCCGAAGAGTCACGGGCCGGTGAGATGCTCGCGTGGACCGGACGATAAGCTGACCGGGCCGGTTCTTCAGCGGCTACTATCGGATCAAATGCCTCAGGTATCTCCCAGGCTCCCAGGCACAATGATAGGGAGATTACCCCGAACCCTTCCACGGAATCCTTGCATTGCATTTGGTCCTTCCCCGTGTCTTCCCCGCCACTTCCCCATCATATGCAGTGGCGATGTTTTTGACAATCTTGGGAGCCAATCAGGGAGACAGCCAAGCCCGCTTCAAGAGGAGCTAAGCATTGCGATGATCGCGGCTAGAAGGCGAGAAGCGCGCAGACAAGATTGACTTGACGCGAGAGGAATCAGCCCTGGAGATAACACGATTTGACATCAGAATGCCTCATAGAAAGCTGCGGCCGCGCCGAAAGCAGAGAGAGATAGGACAGTCTCCGAGCCCCGAAATGGTGCCCGCGCGACGTGGGTCCCGATAAAGGCCGATCGTCACCAAAAACTCCACTTGGTCTCCACAACGGGCGTCTTTTCTGGAACCGTTTTGAAGTTTTTCACACAAATGCGAGGGTCCTGATAACCGCGCTCGGCCAATCCTTGTGCTGAAGTGAAGGAAGCCGGTCTCCGATCGGCACAGTCTCGCTTCCCCGCAAGTCGACCGAACGCGACAGCATTCCCGTTTATTCTCTTTCTTTTTTCTTCCCTGGTGCATATCCTTTCTGGTTCAAGTTGTTTCATCTCTTCTGGCTTGGCGGGTTTGCGGTGACGCTATCTGGGGTCCCAGTCCATCACCTAATAAGAATTGCAGCTCTCCCCAGATCCTCGGTCCATGGCCTGTTGACGTGGGCTAGAATTTTCTGTCCCTTGCGTGTTTTCCCCTCTTGTCCTCTTTCTGTGGCTATACCCTGATTCCCTCGTGTCCCATTGTCACTGCCCATTATGGATTCATCTTCTAAAGGCCTCGAAGAGGCCAGGGCCGAGTCGCCTCCGGTATATGATGATGCGAAGTCGTTGCCGGGTGAGATTACTGGCCTGCCAAATACAGAGACTCAGCGAGGATTGCGCTCTCGCCATGTGCAATTCCTGGCGCTGGGTGGCTGTATTGGTACTGGGCTGTTTGTGGGAAGTGGACAGACGCTGTCCACTGTTGGTCCTGGTAAGACCCTCTGTTGTCTTTTTCTAGGGTGTATACGCGGGGAGAACGGTGGAAACATACGCGCGTGGTTTTGAGAGTCGTCGGGCTGACTCGTGCTTCTAGCTCCTTTATTCATGGGTTACATTGCCATGTCAAGCGTGGTATATTTTGTGATGAACATGCTGGGTGAAATGACCACTTACTTGCCAGTGCGCGGTGTCTCCGTCCCGCACTTTATCAGTCGGTTCACCGAGCCGAGTCTGGGATTTGCAGTTGGTAAGTGACAACCAGACAGAAACGATTTATTAAGAGCTATGCTGACTGTTTTGTCTATAGGATATAATTACTGGTGATTACTTTTACCCCATGGTTGAGACTTGCTGGAAGCTCATTCCTTTGTGCAGGTATTCATATGCGATGTTGCTGGCGTCCGAGGTTACAGCAGCCGCGCTTGTGATTGACTACTGGCCATCGTCAGTCAATGTGGGAGTATGGATTGCGATTGTTCTGATCGGTAAGTTGATATTCTTTGCCCTCAAAGCATCTTAGAAAATTGCTAACCATGGAAATAATCTAGTGATCTTGGTTCTCAATATCGTCGCCGTGTCCTGGTACGGAGAGGCTGAGTTTTGGTTCGCATCACTGAAAATCATCGCCATCATCGGTCTCATCATTCTCGGTGTTGTACTTTTCTTTGGCGGAGGGCCGAATCATGACCGACTTGGGTTTCGGTATTGGCAACGCCCAGGTGCATTTAAGGAGCCATACCTGGTGCCCTCGAACGTCAACACGGGTCGGTTCCTGGCCTTCTGGACGGCCCTGATCAAATCCGGTTACTCGTTCATCTTTTCTCCCGAATTAATCACCACTGCCGCCGGAGAGGCTGTTGAGCCACGCCGCAACATCCCCAAGGCCACCAATCGATTCATCTACCGTCTTTTCACGTTTTATATTCTGGGCAGCTTGGTCATTGGTGTAACTGTGGCCTACAACGACAAAAGCCTTCTACAGGGGGTTGCCAGTGGCTCAGATGGTGCCGGCGCCAGTCCTTTTGTGATCGGTATCCAAAACGCCGGCATTGTGGGTTTGAACCATGTCATCAATGCCGCCATTCTGATTTCTGCTTTCTCTGCGGGCAACTCCTGGGTGTACGCCGGATCTCGAGTGTTGTATTCGCTCGCGTGTGAAGGCCAGGCCCCGAAACTATTCACTCGTTGCACTAAGCAAGGCGTGCCTTATCCGGCTGTGCTAGTCACTTGGATGATTGGCCTGCTTGCATTTTTGAACCTGTCGAACTCGGGTTCGGCGGTCTTTTACTGGTTCACCAATATCACTACAGTTGGAGGTTTTATCTCCTGGGTTCTGGTCGGGGTGGCATATTTGGTTGGTTCACTTATTTCTTTCTTTTTGTCCGGAATCTTTGTCGCTAACATTTCCCTCCAGCGTTTCCGCAATGCTCTACAGTTCCACGGACTGCTCGAGTCGCTGCCCTTCCGGACCCCTTTCCAGCCGTGGGGTGCCTATTACGCCATTCTCGTTATCGGGCTCTTGGCCATTACCAATGGCTACGCGGTTTTCTTCCCGGGCGCATTCACAGCCTCGGATTTCTTGGTTTCCTACATTCTTTTCCCCATCTTTTTTGCTTTGTACCTGGGGCATAAGCTTTGGTTCCGGACCCCGTGGATGATTAAGGCGTCAGAGATTGACATCTTTACCGGCAAGGAGGAGATTGACCGGATGTGTGAGAACGAGGTCGAACGACTGCCCCGGAACTGGCTGGAACGGGTGTGGTGGTGGATTGCATAGATGGATAGAGTTGGCTGTTTTCAATGTTGCTAGATATTCTGCGGCTCTGTATACCATGTTAGGTGCTGGGACTTAGTTAGCTTAAAATTTACTCTTCCTTAGCGACATATCGTCTTACGCATCATCCATGGATAAACTCAAGCGTGCTTCGACTCTGTAGTACCCCATACTACCCCGTAGCCACTTGGCTGACTTCTCTGTCGAAATCGCGGGGAACTGCCCCTGTTCGTCTTTGACTAATGATTATCATCAAACCTTCAATATTCCCCTGTTATCTGGTCAAGTACTGGAGACCTTGCGACGTGCTCCACCCAGTGGATCGCCCAACCACAATCGCCATTGCCACCGACTCCGGGCCGGTCATCTCACCCGGGATCCTTGCCGGCCACAGCTGATTGGCCAGTACAGATGTAGCTGGTACATGGGAAGGAAATGGCCGGTCGTAGCCGGTGGCTTCATCATCGCACATTGGCACCCCGCGTGTATACTTCTTCTACTCTCCAACCGTCGAAGCTCCTTCTTCCCTTCAATCACCAAGACCCCGGGCATTAGCAGGACAGTGACTGGGACTTGCATTCGTTACCTGGTGCCTCGATACATTGTCAAAATGCAGTCTTGTTTCCTGCGCGCCAGAGCACTCCCTTTGTCGCGGCAGTCGCTCGCATGCCGCATCCCTAGCTCCGGCTCGCGTGCGTTGGGCACCTACGCGACCTTCAAGGTGCCTCAGATCAACAACGAACCGAACGTGAGTTTTGAAGTAAAACACTCTCCATCTCTCAACTTTATCTAATTCGCCATTTCAGAAACATTATGTTCCCGGTTCTCCAGACCGCAAGGGCCTCGAAGATGCCCTGGCCACTTTCAAGAACAAGGCGCCTCTGTCAGTGCCGCTTGTCGTAGCAGGCAAAGAGGTATGTATTGAAAATAAAAGAGAGATGCGTACTATTCGAAAAAAGCGCATTGATCTGACTCGGCCTCGCAGATCATAAACTCGCAGACTTTCACTCAGACCAACCCTTCATCGCACACCCCACTTGCCACCTATTCCAACGCCTCCAAGGCCGATGTTCAAGCGGCCATTGATTCGGCCCTGGCTGCCCGCAAGTCATGGGCTGCAACGCCCTTCGCAGAGCGCGCTGGCATTTTCCTCAAGGCTGCAGACTTGATTTCCACCAAGTACCGTTACGATATCATGGCCTTGACGATGCACGGCCAAGGCAAAAATGCCTGGCAGGCTGAGATTGATTCGGCCGCTGAACTGTGTGATTTCTTCAGGTTCGGCGTCAAGTATGCCGAAGAGCTTTATGCGCAACAGCCTGTGCATCATGCTCCCGGCGTGTGGAAGTAAGTTTTTTTTTTTGGATTTTCGATTGCATTTCATTAAGCTAATTGCATCCCAGTCGCCTTGAGTATCGCCCTCTTGAGGGTTTCGTCTACGCAATCAGTCCCTTCAACTTCACCGCAATTGGCGGTAACTTGGCCGGTGCACCCGCCCTGATGGGTAATGTTGTGGTGTGGAAGCCCTCGCCATCTGCGATTGCCTCAAACTGGCTCGTTCACCAGATTCTCCTCGAGGCCGGTCTCCCCAAGGATGTCATCCAGTTTGTGCCTGGCGAAGCCGAAGAGGTCACTAGCACCGTCCTCAACCACCCCGAATTCGCTGCCTTGCACTTTACAGGCAGCACGGACGTCTTCCGTATGCTGTACGGCAAGATCTCCCAGGGTGTGGCGGATGGCAAATACCGCAGTTATCCTCGGATCGTGGGCGAGACAGGTGGCAAGAACTTCCATTTGGTGCACAAGTCCGCCGACGTGCGCAACGCCGTGGTCCAGACTGTTCGCGGTGCCTTTGAGTTCCAGGGTCAGAAATGCAGCGCCACCTCCCGAGCGTACGTCGCTTCTTCCATCGCGGATGGATTTGTTGAACAGCTGGTTGCGGAGGTGCAGAAGCTGAAAGTGGGCGAGCCATCTGACTTCTCCAACTTCTGTGGCCCGGTCATCCACGAGGCCTCGTTCAATAAGCTGGCTGGTGTCATCGACGCGGCGAAGAATGACCCCGAGCTCGAGCTGCTGGCCGGAGGTACCTATGACTCGTCGAAGGGATGGTACATCCAGCCGACTGTCTACCGCACCTCGAACCCGGACCACCCCCTTCTGTCCCGTGAACTTTTCGGTCCTGTTCTTGTGATCCATTCGTACAACGATGCCACCGAGGCGGACTTCACCAAGATCTGTGAGAAGATCGACAGCACTGGCACCTATGGCCTGACGGGATCCGTCTTTGCACAGGACCGCGCGGCTGTCCAGGTGGCCGACGATGCTCTCCGCAACTCGGCCGGAAACTTCTATATCAACTGCAAGAGCACTGGTGCTGTCGTTGGTCAGCAGCCATTTGGTGGCGCTCGTGCCAGTGGGACCAACGACAAGGCGGGAAGTGCGAACCTGCTCTCTCGGTTTGTTAGCTTGCGCTCGATGAAGGAGGAATTCGTTCCTACTTACTCCGTTGCGTACCCGAGCAACGTGAACTAAGGCGTCGAAGTACAGTTTCCAGATATTGCATGCTTTATGATATCGCCGGCGTCAATCTTGCATTTTATCTTTGGCGTTTTTTTTTTTTTTTTTCTTGAAAGAACACCGCCCACGCCTCTTGAGGGCATGCTTTTCATGTTTAAGAGCATCTTGCTCTGTGTATAATCTTGTTCTTTGATTGGCATTGTTAGTCACAAAATTGCATTCATCAGTCAATCACAATCTGTCGCACAGCTCCGCAGCAGTTTCTGCATATTCTCCATGGCCTTCTTCGCAAATTCCTCCATTTCATACTTCTTCCCTTTCCCCTGCGGCCCGGCATCGAAAATCTCCATCGAGAACCACCCCCGGAATCCAGTCTTCAGCACCGCCCTAGCCACATCCTCAATAGGTAGATAACCACCATCATACGGCATAGGTCTATAATCATGACTCCAGCGTCCCCGTGCCCGCAGCCCACCAATAGTCTTATCCTCCAACGGCGGCGACACCTTATACGCATCAGAGATCTGCAGCAAATAGATCTTATCGGCAGGCACAACGCGGGCCAGCTCCTCCATGCTCGCATCGAACCGCTTCCGCAGCTCTTCCGGCGATACATCTTCAATGAGTCCCGACGCCGTTGTCGGATCGCCCCATTCGCTGCCGCTCGTTTGGAACGTGTCCAGACACAGCCCGACATTCGGTCTATCGACGGCATCGACGATGTCCCATACTTCCTTCCAGCCCGGCGCGTGCGTCGACCAGCACCAGTTCTCGTAGGCGAGGCGGAACTTGCGCTTGGCGAGCATGTCGGCTAGCTCGCGTAGGTCGGCGACGATGGTGTCGCGTTCTGTGGAGATTTTGTCGGCGGGTGTATCTGTGGCTCCGACCTATAGTATATATCATGCTCAAGTTAGCTGTTTAAACTTGTTCAACACATCCACTCTCTCAATTGACCATACTTGAAGCAAGTCCGTCCCCACAACCTTCATAATCTCCATCCACCCATTAGCCCTCGCAAACGCATCCTGCCGATCCATGGACCCCTTCGCCCAGCCTTCGAAGTTCGCAAATGGCTGCAACATCATAACTGTCAGTCCATTGGCGTCGCACAGTTTCCGGATCTCGCGCGACGCTGTTATCAGCTCGGCGTAGTTCTCCGGCGCGACGGGGTGGCCGAGGAGATGCGTGCCATGGTCGATGATGTCGGGGAAGGAGAGCTCAATCGAGATGAAACCCGCTTTGCTGATTGCTTCGAGTTTGCGCGGGAGGGAGTCGCTGGGTCTGCAGCCGATGGAGCAGGAGGCGTAGGAGAGCGGGATGCGTTGGAGGGAGCCGAAGTTGATTGGGGTCATTGTTTTGTGTTTTTGCGGAGTTGAGACTGGTTTTTCATTGACGGTGGGATTTCAATCTTCGATATACTGGTTATTGTCCTGGTTAGGGCAACGTGGGATATCGAAGTGCGGATGGCTCCAACAATCAATATGCCTGAGAGTTTTAGGATGAACTCTTTTTTACACAATAGATCTTATCTTCAGATGCCATCCTCTCTCTACCGTCAGTTCCGCTGGGCCTCGTGCTGTTTCATTCTGCGTCGATCATGATGCAATTGGCATGCGTCATCCCTGCATCACACTGGGAATCCACCATTTCCTAATTATCTTCTGAAGACATCTATACTTTGGTATTTTGCCGCTTACACATATCAATTTAGTGAACTTCCACCAGGGAACATAACCCGCAGGTTGGTGGCGCAACCTGCCACTTACCACATCTTGACAATGTCCCGGATAGCAACCCCGACTTGCCACTACATCTTTGTTCAAGTAGACTTGATATTCACACAGGCACTACATTCTCGTTAATATCTCACTGGCTGATGACCCCCAAAATTTGGTCTGATCCCTCTCACGAACTAAACCCAAACTCAACCCGACCCAGACAAACCATCCATCATGCCGTCAGCAGACCCAGTACAGACCTTCAAGCGCATCGGCGTGGTCGGGGCCGGTAACATGGGCTCGATGATGACCTTCGCCTTCTCCGAGCTCGGACTCGACGTGTCAGTATGGGACGTGGAGAAAAAGAACATCGACCAGATCCTCGACTGGGCGAAGAAATCGAAAAACGCCAAGGGCAAAGTCGAGGGATTCTACAACATCGACGAGTTCACAAAGAGCCTGGAAGGCAAGTCGCAACGCAAACTATTTATTTTCTCCATAACGCACGGCCATCCGGCCGATTCGGTGCTCAGCATGATCAAACATGACTTGAAAAAGGGCGATATCATCCTCGATGGCGGTAATGAGAACTATCGCCGCACTGAGCGCCGACAGAAGGAGTGTGATGCTATCGGGGTCAGCTGGATCGGCATGGGTGTTTCTGGTGGATATCAGTCTGCGCGTCATGGGCCCAGTCTGTCTCCCGGTGGAGATGCTAAAGCCCTGGAACTGGTCATGCCTCTGCTGGAACAATACTCGGCCAAGGACCGCAAAACGGGAACGCCATGTGTGACGCGGATTGGGCCAGCAGGATCAGGACATTTCGTCAAGATGGTGCACAATGGCATCGAGGGTGGGATGCTGTCTACTCTCTCCGAGGCATGGTCCTACATGCACCACGGCTTAGGGATGGACTATGACAAGATCGGCAATATCTTCACTAAATGGAACGAGTCTGGGGAGCTGCGGAACAACTACCTCGTCCAAATCGGCGCCGATATCCTGAGGACGAAGAGGACTCCCAAGGGCGACTACAAGGGCGAGGGAGCCAGCCGAGACAATGGGTGGGTGCTGGATGATGTTCTCGACAAAGTGGTTCAGGACGACGACGGCACAGAGGGTACCCCCTTCTGGTCCCTGATGGATTCGGCCGCGCGACACGTTTCCTGTCCGACGCTAGCCACGGCCCATTATATGCGCATCGCGAGTGGTAACCGGGACGAGAGACTGCGCGCATCGAAGAAACTGCACATGCCGAGCCCCAAGCCAATTGAAAACACTCAAGACCACAACAAGCTCCTGGAAAATCTGCGTCGCGCTGTCTACTGCTCATTCTTAGCTTCTTTCTGCCAGGGCCTGGAGTTAATCGCCCGCGCCTCGGAAGACGAAGGCTGGGACATCGACTTGGGGCGGTGCCTACAAATCTGGCGTGCTGGGTGTATCATCCAGTCCGAGTACATTGCCGACCTGCTGCAGCCAGCACTGACCTCAAACAAGCGGCTCACAAATATGAAGTTTGTGGATGAGGTTGCGCGTGAGCTGCATAACAACTTCGAGGCGCTCAAGGAGACGGTCATTGAGGGGACCATGTCCGACCAGTACATGCCGGCTATCTCGTCTAGTTTGGAGTACCTCAAGTATGAGGGCGGTACTGTTCTCCCGACCAAGTTTATGGAAGCGCAGATGGACTACTTTGGTGCTCATGCATATAACAAACCGGGCATTCCTGGCGAAGACCCTGGTCCCGTGAAGAAGGGGCCTCATCATTATGAGTGGAAGCCGGCCTAGATATTGTCGGCATATTCTTGAATTGATTTGTTTCCTTAGCATCAATCAAATTCCTATTTTCACAACTCCCTTTCTTTTGTTTGTCTATATTAGAAGCACTGTTGGCGGGAGAGAGGAAAATTGACCACATAAGGGCTTATATTCCAAGAGACCATCTATCTTACAGCATATGATGGCCTATCTAGTTAGTCGACTAATTGTCAGAAAGCCCCCATCCAAAGCATGCACTATAATAAGCATAGCTCAGCACCCACGCATAGTTGTCGGCTATAGTGACAATTGCCCGAAACGCATTGCATTAGCCAATTATGCACCTGACAGCCAATGTAGTGGATCGAGTGGCTTTGGAACTCACCATTCAGTCGGATTTCATAGTTCACCTTCCTCTCGTCGCCATATTTCCACGCATAGTCGCCACAAAAGGTAGCGCCGTAGACATCATGCTTGTAGCCATCACCCTTGATATCTCGATCTTTGAGATCCACCACTGAACAAAAAATAAGTAATTAACAGAATCCAAGTGAAGAAAACTCACTGTGCCAGGATTGTCCGATCAAGTCAACGTGCATCCATTCATGGAAGAGGGCGTGTTCTCGGGAAATGAGCTTCTGATCACTGAGGTCTTCCTTTTTCCAGTGGTTTCCCTTGACCACATCCACAACCGGGTCCAAGTTGAAAAACCCGGGGCAGAAAGAGACTGTAAAACAATTTGTACAGCCTTCCAGCCTTGTTGGAAGCTTGGGGACATAGGCTTGTCTATGTATGTGTTTAGCTGTGGTAGTGAATGAGCGGTCAAAGGTGACATACGTTTTGGGCTTGTTTCTGCAAGTACTGTAAAAATGTTCATCTCCACAGACATAGGCAACTCTAAGTTGTCGTTCGGCCTTACTCTTCTTCTCGGCGCGTCCATTTTGGATAAAAAATCTAGTCTGGTTGTAGATACCTGAATAGAATTGTGGGCACGATTAGCCGGAGAATGCAAAAGTATGGTAATCAGGAATTCGCTTCATACCAAGCATCGACGAAAACTCCTCGGGATATTGCTAGTTGCCGACCGTCAGAATGGCTGATGACTGGGTTCCAGGACATCTTACCGCTTGCCAGATTTTCCCGTCCATGAAGAAGTGATACCATGCAGGTGATAAACCGAGATCGTCATCGCCATATGACTTCTCTTCCAAACCATTGAGCAAGCCTATGGTGCCGGATGTCGCTTCGTATAAGGCTTTGAATTGTTTTTCGCTGCAGGTATCTCGTGCCGATTTCCACCAGACTCCCGGGAAGAAGTGCTCAGCCTGCTTGAACATTTCCTCGTAGGAAAGATCATCTCTCTTCTCCTCATTTATGGTGAGAGGACTAGCATGGACTATGCAAGATAGCAGACCCAACACTAGGGTAGGCCAGAACTGCATGGTGTCAATGGTAACATTGGTGCATTCAAAACCTGTTCCAAGAAACACGCAAGTAGACACGAGATATATTCCAATCAAAGTCAAATAATAGTGGGAAGACTTCGAGGGCTTTATAGTTTTAAGTGAGCCAAAGTTGGATATTAAATCTCTCAGGACACCCTCCCCCAGGCCAAGAATCAAGAATATAGTACTGGCTGAACAAGCATAATCGACATCTCTAATCTTAGATACGAATATTTAATGCGGAGTATATTGACCAAATTAGGCTGCATCTTGCGCCCAATCATGCCAGGCTTTGCAAATCTGTCTGATCCGTCTGGCGGAGGCCATGGGCCGTTTCTGATTTAGCCAAATCAGCTACTGTTCTTCTCTGCCTCGAAGCCCCAAATGTTGCGTTCATTGAATAGGAGACACAATAATACCCCAGGTATACTGTCTGTTTGTCACCCACTCTGCCCGCTCAAGGCCACCCGCCATGCCTGCTTAGGGCCACCCATATTGCAGGGCTCGCCTACATAGGCGACCTAATCTCGAAAGCCCCAGTTCTTCGAAATAGAACTATCTCAAGGGTCTAGAAATATTTATTTTATTCACACTTTTTCCTGGCGGCTCTCATGATATATACAGCTGGCTTTGAAATAAACTTAGAAAAAGCAATCATTATGCTCAGTCTGAAACCATTTACTGGCAAATTAGGACCGGTGGCTTGTGCCCAATCTTTTGGTACGGAAAACCCCCGGAAAGAGTTCGCCTTCAACTTCGGACTGAAATGCTTAGGGCTAACGGTGGTGAAGTTGTCGCCTTATACCCAAGGCATAAACCCATGGCTGCCTTAGAAACAAACCCCAAGTGGGGCAGCAACACAATCGGAGGGGCCTAAGGCGCAATTGAAATTGACCGCAGCGCGACATGCGCTGGGTCGGTCTTCGCCAACTTTCTTCTCTCTCGAAACCGCTGCGACGAATTGAGTCTGCAAAACAGTTAGCTCGGAGAATGGCTTCTCTTCCTGACACCTATGACGGTGCGTGCGCCCTAGGACTACTTTCCTGACTTATTCACCCCTGCACCCCACTTGCTGGCATGTAAGCGCTGTATGAGCTGACCACTTCGCACTCGCACAGGCCCCGTCCGCATCGCTGTCATCGGTGGCACTGGCCTGCGTGAGCTCCCTGGCTTTACACAAGTTGCCTCGCTGTCTCCCTCAACCCCGTGGGGCACGCCCTCTTCGCCGATCACCATTTTGCACCACCAGTGTAAGCACAATGACAAGGTTGTTGCCGTCGCCTTCCTGAGCCGACACGGCCTCCACCACCAGCTGGCACCCCACGAGGTCCCTGCCCGCGCCAATATCGCGGCGCTCCGCTCCATCGGTGTCCGCAGCATCATCGCGTTCTCCGCCGTCGGCAGTCTTCAAGAGGCGATCAAGCCGCGGGACTTTGTCATCCCTGACCAGATCATTGACCGTACGAAGGGGGTGCGGCCTTGGACCTTTTTCGAGGGCGGCGTCGTTGCTCACGTTCCCTTCGGAGACCCCTTCGATGAGGGCATTGCCAACGTGGTGCGGGCATGTGGACACAGCTTGGAGGGAGACGGTGTGGTGTTGCATGACCAAGGCACTCTTGTCTGCATAGGTATGTATACCACTTGACTTGGAATTTGATTCGTGACTAATCTGACTTTTTGTCTTGGTATAGAGGGTCCCCAATTCTCCACCCGTGCGGAGAGCAAGGTGTACCGCTCCTGGGGTGGCAGCGTGATCAACATGTCTGCCCTCCCCGAGGCCAAGTTGGCCCGCGAGGCTGAGATAGCCTACCAGATGATCTGCATGTCCACGGACTATGACTGCTGGCACGAGTCCACAGCGGGCGTCACCGTCGAGATGGTCATGGGCCACATGAAAGCCAATGCCGAGAATGCCCGCCGCTTTGTGACCACTGTTCTCGACGCATTGGCTGGCGATGAGCACTCCGAGCTTGTCCAGGCCAAGCACCTGGCAGGCTCGATCAAGTTCGGTGTCAGCACCCCTCAGCCCCATTGGAACCCCGAGGCCCGAAAGAAGCTGAGCTGGCTGTTCCCGAGCTACTTTTAATGACACATACCGGTAAACACCTGGTCTCTTTTGGTCAACTACATGGGCTTCGTGGCCTAGTTGCATTTTTCGGTTTTTTGATATGCATGATCAATGGCTTTGTTGATAAAGACTTCTCTGGACAAATAGATATTACAGGCATAATGAATATATGTCATTACTGCATTCAGTGTCCAAGAGGCCTTGACGGGAGCCAGAGCCTCAGAAGCTCCCTTTTAGTGTAGTGACGTGCTAGCTAAAAGTGTACCTTTGAGACCTAAATTTTGTTCCTAGAAAGCTGCCTAGAGCATTAATCCTACCAGATTATGACCGTAGCGAAATAACTTCCGAATGATTTCTTAGCGCTCATGTGACCTTAGTCCAGCTAACCAGGATAATTATAGAAAGAAGAGGGAGAAATAGAAATTTCCAAAGAGTTAGAAAAGGAATTAAAAAGTGAATAGAAGAAATAATTTAAGAAAAAGGACTAAGAAGTATAGATAAAAATAAAGAAATTTACTAAAAGGTTTTAAGTATTTAAAAAAATAAAAATAAAAAAGAAGAAGAAGAAGGAGTAGTGAACTAATCTCTTAAGAAAGACCAGGCGATATAACAAGAAGCCTAGTCTCGGTAGGGCTATCACAACATTGCTATTGAATAGCCCTCGGTATCTGCTGCTACCTTTCCTGCGACTCATAGCAATCCGAGTCTCGAAGATCAACATCATCGAAAACGGGGTCAACCCTCAGTTAAGTATATAGTCAGGTTCAGGCATTCGAGATCGCGCTCCAGCCAACGGTAAGGCTTTCTATTCCAAAGTGAGTAAACATTTATGCTAATTTATATTCTAGGGAACTGCTAAACTTCTTCCAGGTCAAGAAATACACCTCTTTGGACCCTTTCGTCCTTTGTGTGATCCTAGAGAAATACTACTTTAACAATCTGCGGGCCACGAGAATAAACCCCTACCTAATAGGGACTTTCTTGATACTCATTTTGGCTTTATGGAACATAGCATGGCTGTGGTATGGCCGAGTAAAGTGATTATGATTTCAGCCGTTAGGCCTATATCAAACAGGATACGTCTGGACATTCCTTACAAGAGGATGGGCCAACTGACCTCGCTGAGGTCCTTCGGGCCGCATTCTCTAAAGAGTCTTGCTGGTGTAGTTAAAATACTATAAACGCGAAAGCCCTAGGACTAGATTCGCGCTGCAAATGAACCCGCATCTCGCTAATATGGTGAGCATCAAACACTTAAAAGCTAAGGCTAAGTTTTCGGTCGAGATGAAAAACGAGATATTATGACCTGAAGCTGGTACAGCTTTTAGCCAAGGCCAACCACATTGCTGCCAACACAAAGGAACTAATATGTAAGTCGAATAATATACTGGAGGTGCTAAGCCCTTCCAGACAAGCAGCGGCTCATTAAGGCTAGCAAGAAAGTGCGGGAAATCGACAGCGCCAAGGTTGGTAAGCATAACAAATGAATAATATATGGCTTGTTGCATCTTATACGTTTCTTCCTGATACTTTTCACCTAAGCAACCCTGGAATCTGGTATTTATTTTTGGGTACCTACGATCCTTATTAATTATTTTCCCTTTGAGATATCTAGAATCATTGTGCTAACAAATTAAGATCCTGTATTGTCTATAAGCGTGCCCTATATCTCGGCATTATCTTTTTCGCGTTACCACGACTCATATCTATCTATTTCCGACTCCCCCTTCGAAGACTCCTTGAAGTTAAGACCTGCCTCTCGTTATTTTGTTAACAGTATGTTCTCAAATCTTAATTCACTCTGCTTGCTAGTAGCTAAAGGTAGCAGAAAAAGGTTCGTCTCTTCAGGTATTTGATCTCTATCTATCTGCACTTTAATTATACAAACGCATCACTCGCATCTCCTGGGTCACAGTGCTAGAATCTGGAATACATTCTCGCATTGAGCTTGAGAGACTCAAGTGACAAACGAAGAGCAACCTGCATCTGATCCACGCATCTACGCCGGCGCATCTTGAGACCAATAGTTTTGTTCAATCATCCCACATCCCACCTCACACAATAGGTCTTCTCATCAAAAAGACCTCCAATCGCAATGGCAGCCCCAGCCAATGAGATTGATTGCTATCTGAATCCTTCCGGGGATCTTACCTTGGTTATGTCTCTGGAAGACGATAAAGATGATGCTGCTGGTATGTTTCAAGTCGAGATCCTGGATATTGGATAGAACTCACTGATAATTCCGAGCATGAAGACTCCTCAACCCCCCCATGCCTCCAGCCCCTGTCCCACCCAGCAGAGACCGACGGAAATGAAAACAGCCATGATGATGACTCGACTGTGTAGTTCCTTGTTTCGTCCAAGTACCTCACTCATATCTCACCTTACTTCCAAGCCAGACTCAGCAGTCCCTGGGCAGAAGCCAAAACACTTGCTAGCACTGGATCTGTGGAGTTTAGGCTTTGTGACTTCGATCCTGAAGCCGTTCTCATTTTCTCCTCATTGCCGCCTGAGCGAGCTCCCGACCAAAGTCAGCCTCGATACACTCTGTGGCATCACTATATTCGCGGACTATATCCAGTGCTTCAAAGACTTGAAGCTCATGTTTTCAGATTGGCTCAAAGTCAAGGTTGATCCGTCAACAGACTGCATAGACCTGCATGAGCTGGACCGTTGCATTTGGCTGGCGTGGATATTCCGACGACAGAAGGCATTTTGTTACGATACTGTGCTTGCCAAAAGGCTGAGCACCGGCCCCATCATTGACTGAAACTTCCGAGTCTATTATGGATTGTAGGTGAGTTGCGTTCGTACTTGTCTTGAAGGACAAATCTTCCAACCATAGCGCTCTTCAGATCTCCTTGTGATTACTATGTAACCAGAAAGCATCGATCAAGCCCGGCAACAATTCATTAAAGAATTCTTTCAACTGCTTCATTCTCCCATGAACATCGCGGATACTGGCGTGCGTCCCTGCTTTGCCTGCAATTCCATCGCCTTCGGCTCTTTTGCCATCCATCTCAAGTCCGAGGGGATCGATCTGCTTGCACAGCAGACTTACGATGGCATCTCCATTAAAAAATTACTGAAGGCACTTTCGAGCCTTCCAGGCGTGAGATGGCTATGCATGGGAAATCCGTTGGCTGCTTGCCAGCCGACCCTAGTCGACCGGGCACGGAGGATAGAAAAAGAAAAGCCCTCAGTCGTGGGGCTTTCTCTTTGGGGTGAGCAGCACAATACACAAGCTGGGGATTTGAGGATGTGGAATGCCCGTGGATAGCTATGGATATCAGGGATAAAGATGGGTACGGACGGAGGATGGTGGTATATCATAGCGAGAAGTTCCCTCGGCATATATATCCTGGTCTTAAACAAATTACTGGATTTAGCTGGCAAAGAAACTTTAATATATGGATGTCACCTCATATCACACTATATAGTCCCTGGATAGCTACAGGGAGGGAAGCAAAAGTTCTAAAGACGATAGAGAACAAAGGAACCGAAAGAAAATAATGGGTATTCGAAATGGCAGTAAAAGATAATAATAAAGCATTAATAGCAGTACTAACCACGGCCATATATCCGAGGATATAGTGAATCATCAAGCCCCTGAAATACAATAGAGGTTCAGTATGAAAGCTATAAGATTCTAATTATTAGTCTCTACTACACTTCCTATAGCTGAGTGAAGGGAGCGTCAGTGGCTTGTAGCTGGGTCTTATTTTCACTTGTTCCTTTTCCCATTCCCCTCTTTCTATGTTCACTTTTTCAGTCGTTTCATCGGATTGCTTGATATCAAAACACGCAGGTCCGACGGCTTTCAGTTCAATCCCACAAGGAAAATATTTCGGGGGGAGAGCAAGTTCTGAAAACCTGACCATATCTGTTGCTTGAATTCAAGGAGTCAAGACTTGAATTCTCGTTTCAGAAAGACTTTTGTCTACTCTCTCTCTCTCCTTGCCTTTCAACTCCGACCATCTACATCTACCCGCGACTCAAGCTTTCACTGTCTTGTTATTATTCTCTCTACTTCCTTTGTCTTCTTTCATTCCAATCAACCTCACTTATCATCATCACTCTCTCGTTAGTTGATCTCTCTTTTTTTCATTCCCATCTTTCATTCCTTTTCATCAAAGGCTTCACTTTCATCCCAAGAGAAGTGCGGACATGGATATGGATCGGGATTTCTTCTTCTTTTTGTTTCATAATGTCATTTTTCCTCCCAAACTCCCACAGGCAAGAGAGCCGAATGCACCACACCTTGAAGCCAGGCTGCTGGCTATGGTCGAGGATGCCTTGGTATCTCTCGTTGGAAAGAGCCCTTCGGAACACCAACCACGCTTACAGCCTGCCCTGCGCATGCTGGAAAATTGGATGAGGGTCGAGGACCAGGGTACACTCCCCAAATCGTCTCTCGAGACATCTTTGGAAAATCTCAGCTCAACTGGTAAGTGAGCATTGTTGCAATACCTGCCCCTGTCTAACATTACCAGGGGTTGTTGCATTTCTTCTTGCGGCTCAAAATTGTGGATGGATGGCAACTTTCGACCATGATCAAAACATTGTGATCCTCGATGCCTTTGAGGCATCGCCACTGGGTGAAGGCGTATTCAAAGAGCTGGGTAGTCTCCAGCGTCATTTTGCTCCAGCCCGACGCATGCCGCGTCATCGGCGTGAACGAGGTGCTGGCCATCCTTCTGCTGGCACGCAAGTCCGGCGTCCCGATTGTGCCGCACTCCGGTGGTGTTGGGTTGCCCAAGTACACGCAGTACCTGAGCACTATTGACTACGTGGTCGTCACAGGCAAGAAGAGGGTGCTGGAGTATGTGGATCACCTGCATAAGCACTTTGTGCACCCGTCCAGCGTGAAGGAGGGGTACTACGTGACTCCCATGGAGCCTGGATATAGTGTGGAGATGAAGGCTGAGAGTATAGATGCGTTTGCGTTCCCTGGCGAGGAAGGGAAGAGTTGGTGGATGCCGCAGGAGGCGAAGATTATCCTGGATAGACCTCGGGTGGTATAAAGTGATTCATATCATTAAGTTGGGTCGATTTTCTTCTATGTGATTGTCAATAACTATAAGAATTGCCATGTGGCTGAGAATTGATAGGGGCACTGCAGGTTAGTAGTAGCAGGTTTGGCAGTAGCAGGGTTAACAGCAGCAGGGTTGGCAGCAGTAGAGATGGATTATCCCGGATTTGCAAACCCTTTTTGTTGGTGCGGATTAGAAAATCGGTTGGCTCGATGAAGGAAGACGACCCACCGCGCCAACGCGGTTGGCACTCCCTAGGACTCGGGTGCCCGAGCAGGAAGAAATTAGCGATCTTGTATAGAGTGATGAAGACCGGGGAAACCCCTCCCCTTCACCCTGAGGGTCCCCTCAGGATGAACAGGACGTGCTACCAGAATGGCACAAGTTGGTGGATTGTAAAATCTTGAATGGTCTACCTGTAGCTAGCTAATATAGGTGTCGGTCATCTGATAGTAACGGTAGCATCATCCTATGCATATTGAGCAACACTGGGGAAAGCGGCTCGGAGGAATTCAGTGAGATCAGTTGACCCATCATTTTGTAAAAAATGCCCCTGCGTACCCTGTTTAATAGACTCCCAACGCCTAAAATTATACTCACGTTCCTCAGCCATACCGGAAGCATGCCATATTTCACAAAGACGGAAATGAGTGTCGAGAAAGTCCCTGTTAGGTAGGGATTTATTCTCGTGGCCGGTAGACTGTCGAAGGGTAACGGAAGCATCATCTGGGATCACACGAAAAATAAAAGGGTCTAAAGATTTGTATTTCTTGACCTTGTAAAAGTTGGCAGTCTCCTAAAATATAAATCAGTATAACTATTTAATAAGTTTGGAAGAAAAAGCCTTACTGTTGGCTGTAACGCAATTTTGAACGCTTGAAATTGACTGTGTATTTGGCTGAGTAAAGTAATCCCGTTCTCGATCATGTTAATCTTCGAGGCTTGCATTTTTTTGATAGCGGGAAAGGCGTTGTAGATCGAGGCCCATTTGACAGCAATATCATGATGGTCCTATCAAAGTCAACCTTCTTGTCATATATAAAACTGTGAGTTCGGGATATTACAGTACCTTTTTGTCAAAACCCCCTAAGGAGAAGGGAATGATGTGATGCACTTCCAGTTTCCCCCAGAGCTGCCCCCCTACTTCACCTTGCTCGATCCACTCGCTTTCTGTGACGGCTCCAGTTATGACACAGCGGTGATTGTCGCGGTTGAGGCAAGCGTTGGCCCATTCCTGAGAACGGACTTGTGGGTCAGGTAGCTTGGCAGCTACTTTGTCGATACTAGCCCGGCGGTTGTGGTGTGGAGACGGTGTAACAGAGAAGGTCTTTGTAGTTGATTTGACTAGAGTCAAGATATTAGCGAAAAAAAAATCCAAAAAAGAACCTGTTTATCGACTGGGCAAGTAACGCAAACTTACAGGCCTCAAGGACTCCAGTCCGGAAATTGTCGAATACTTCCCACAGAATGGGATCATCGTCTCCCACACCAATGATGTCGCTAGCCAGTTGATCACGACCGCCTTCAGGCAGATAGTCCAGTATTGCCTTAAGTGTCTTGGCCAGGAGGTCGTCCTTGGGACGACCGGCAACCTTGTATTCGTCAATGCGAGCCTCTGCTAGGTTCTTCCGGTTCTGCCATGTGTTCTGACTGGCGGGTTCGACGGAGGAAATACTCGGGACGGTGGAAGGAGGGCGAGGTGGACGATTGGATCGACGCCGTTTGTGGTCATTCGGAGAGGGAGATCGGGAGTCGGTCGACGCGTCAGTTGGGAGTGGGGGCGTGGGGTTGGGGCGAGGGGTGGCCGAATGTCCCTGTCGTGCAGAGTCTGTTCGCTTTCGTTTTGATCGGGTTTCCATTTCAATGATGAAATTGATAAAAATGACAACCCAGAAAAGGTGAGAAAGGGAAGATGACGAGGCAACCATAGAAGTTGGTAAGCTGGGTTATGTGAAGGTGCGCTTGTCTTGATTAGGTCATTATTTTAGCCACATAGGCCCCAAAATTTCGCTATTCTAGGTTGGCACCCCAAAATCTGATATAGTTAAGCAAATTGGCTGATATATTCAGCCATGGCATCTTTCTGCAGAAGCTTCTCGTCTTACGTGGTTTTTTCGCGCATGGAATTTTGAAATTCATCCTCACCAGGAAGCGCTGGCTGGTCAATTACGGTCTACATCCCTCTCGCTGTTCTATGGTCGTTCCATACCGGGCCAAAGGTGTCCCGTCCGACAACGCAGAATTCGGCCACTCTGATGTGGCGATTACTCTGACATGTCTCAGCTACTACTATGAAGGACTGACCCTGGGCCAGCTGCTTGGGTGCTTTACGCGCTTGGGTAAAGAGAACGACCCTTCAATTATTTTCCAGAACTGGATATCCAGATGTGCTCATGAGCTTCCAGATGGATTACGAGCGTTCACCGGGGTGAACATTGAAGACAGCAGAGCTTTTGAAAATTTAATTTACCCCCTATTACGGTTTCAGAGAGAGGTCATCAATTTCTATCTTTCTCAATCCGTGTTTCCAAAAGCGGCAAAGGAGTTCCCTAGGAAGCTTACAACATCGGCGTGGGATATCCCATCCCAGTCGGGTAAGCAACGCACAACAGGCTTCAGTGGAACAAATGACAATCGATTTCTCCTCCCCCATTCAATTCATCAGTGTGACCTCCCCCAGCTGCTCCACAATAATGCCATGGTCCTTGGTCTCTTGCTTCGAGAGAATAATCGCCAATGTGTACTAGCACAGGATGAGAATGGCGGACATCTTAATGTGGATCAGCTTCTGGAAACTATCTGCAGGGACTGCAACGCTCGCGTTTTGATCGACGTGGGTGCACAGATTTTGGAATACCGAAATCAATCTGTTGCCCAGCGCTGGCTTTCTATGACGTCTGAGTCTGAAATTGAAGCGGCAATTTTCTTCAATAATGAAGATGAAGTCATGGTGGTTGATCGTCAAGGACATATTGAACCGTTGTTTTCATCTTTATTCCGGCAACGAATGAATGCTTGTTTGGTATTTCTTGATCAAGAGCATTCGCGGGGTGTTGACCTCAAGTTGCCCTGTGATGCTCGAGCAGCTGTGATACTGGGGCCCCGTTTGACGAAGGATCCACTCGTCCAAGGTTTGTTTATTCCACCAAAATACGGGTATATAGAGTCAGCTTCTAACATCAAGGTAGCGTGCAATAGAATGCGCAAGCTTGACAAAAACCAGTCTGTGGTCTTCCTCGTGCCCCCCGAGGTCAGTCACAGTATGCAAGCTCTTTTCAACACCGAATCGCTTGAAGGGTTTACTTCGGTTCATGTGCTTCAGTGGACGATGACGCAGACCTGTCTCAGTCTGGATAATCTGCGGCCTCTTTGGATAAACCATGGACTTCAGTACCACAGACGGATGCAACTGTGGAGGTCATTGACTTCTCAACACAACTTTCGCCCGGGAATTCTCACTCGCGTTCAGGAGCCTGAAGCACGAACCCTTGCTGAGCTTTACGCTCCCTGGGCAAGACCGCCCACCTCTTCGGCGCAAAGCAATCCCGGATGGGACATCGATAACCCTCAAGTCAAAGATCTCCTGGAGGGGCGAAAATTGGCCACAGATTTAGGCATAAGCTACTGCTCTCTTCACGAGGAGCAGGAAAGGGAGGTTGAGTGCGAGGTTGAACGAGAGCAACAAATGTATCGCCCTCCTCCGCACTTACCCCGTGAGCACATTCTTGATGAGAACGTGAAACATTTCGCCAATTTTGGAAAAGCCAAATCTGGAGGCAGTTCTACGGCAATTCAACGGGCGTTCATGAGCATGCAAAATACTTCAGTTGGTGACACGACTTTCCCCCACTGTCTAGGATCTCAGCTATGGGTCACCAAGGACTTCATCGCCACTGTACAGCTCAAGAAGCGTGACATGAACGATGAATTCATGAAACCTGTCAACTGGGTCTTGTCAAGTATTTACAGCGATGACATGGTCATCGTCAGCCAGCACGAAGCCAATGAGCTTTTGCCTGTGATCCGCAAATCGCCCTACTCTCGTCTTCATTTATACCGTCCACGAACAACCAACACAATGCAGTCTTTTAGGAATCTCGACTTGTTCACCACCGGGGCTGGTGCCGCTAATTACCAGCCTCCCGAAGATGCAGCTCGAGATCTGGAACTGTTCGCCGGAAGCCTTTATTTCGTTTCCTTCGAGGATTACAAAAGGTTCCGCTCCTTCCTTGGCCTTGCTACGGACGACGTGGACAAGATTCTGGAGGAAAATTTGTCCAACGACGGCTTTGTCGACGAGTGGATTCGTCGAGTAATGGAGTGGCCGGTTTTCTCGCCTTTCGTGGACAACCCACTTCCTTTCCTTAGAGTTCTTATGGATATTCGAACTAGGGGGCACAAATACGAGCGAACTCATATGGGTTCGATCGTCGGAGCGAGGCCATTGACCAAAGATAACTTTTGATTGCCAACAAGGATCAAGGAGCTTGGTCACAGTGGAAGCATTGCGGGGCGTGCAGCTAGGATGATATTTTGGCGGGTGATGAGTTGCGTTTCCTTATTATAAATTGCTAGTTACTTTATATTACGATCATTCAGTTTTTTCTTTTTTCTTTCTTTTCAATATGCGAGGTTACATCGATCAGTTCTAGCTATACTTCTGCAGAAACGAAACCCAAAAGACACAAGTCTTATTCTATTTTTTGCGTAAATGGAATTTTCACGGGCTTCAGGACCAGGTTCCAGTAATCCCTTCTCCCCGCTAAGTCGTAAAGCCTTGTGTATTCTCCATACAAAGCATAATGCTCAGCGTTCCACGTAGTATAAAGGTCACCTGAATAAGGTTTGCCCTCGTTCCAGGCTAACACCGCACACCTATACATGCCGTATGTTTCGTCTATGTCCTGGCATGAATCAAGTCCATTGTTCGGAGTAAGGAAAGCAGGTACGAGGGACTGGATGATACTGTGATTATAATGGATTTTATGGAGAAGGTCCGAAGACAGAATGGTTTGACCTATCCACAGCGAATTGAAGCAACCACCTGAGTGATTGTGAAAAGATATTTCTTTTTGTCATGTATATAATTCGTCTGAAACCTCCTTTAAAATGAGAGATTGAGTGAGTTCTACTGAATCAACACGCTATTGGTTTCGATAATATCAAATCCGCTGCCTAGATAACCAGAGCCTAATAATGAGTATCAAGTTTATTCCGTTGAAGACCTATTGAAAGGCATTCTTGATCTCAATCTGGACTTTGAAATTGCTAGCAGCCTTCACAGTAACACTGCACAAGTTCTCGACAATCCAATCCGGATCCGCCTCCAGCAATTTCTCTAGTGGATATGACGCTTGAACCGCGATTACTTTGAATCCCGCGGCCTTTTCGGCCTTGATAACTGCTGGAGCGTCTTCAAAAACACTAATTGTACTTGGGTCTCGGATTTCTAGACGGCTCTTTCCCAGAAAATACCCTTGTGGATCTGGCTTTCCGGTGGTCACGTCCTCAGCAATGACAAATACCTTCGGTTGTGGTAACCCGAACATTCTTATCCAACTATAGATCAACGCGCGCGTCCCAGACGTCACAATTCCTTATTTGGCTCCGTGGAGGTTAAGCGCTGTAAGCAGGTTGCGACTTCCTGGAAGCCCAGCAGCGTCAAAACCAAACTTGACCGTCATGCTGCCTTCAATGGAGCTGATATCTTTACGTGCAAAGTACTGTTAGCATACATGGGCAATTTGGCAAATAAGCACATATTCTGTCGTGACTCACAATCCCAATCGGCCTTTGACTTGTCATTGAACGCGAGTGTATCAATGGTGCGTCGTCCGTGGGACTTGGAGAAAATTTCGCTTGGATCGACACCAAGCTGGAATCCGATTCTGCAGCCACAGTCAGTTAAGACAAAGAACCGTTTTGCACTCACATTAAAGCTTGAGGCTTGGCCCACTGATTCCAAAACTTCATAATTGCTGAATCGTGCGAAGAACGGGCGTAGGTGTTGATTTTTCTATTTTGAAAGAGCACCGAAAATATCTCACCATATGTAGAGCGCAATGAGGTTCCATCGAAGTCAGATAGAATGGCATCAAATATATGAAGCCGAAAATGATCCTAGAGGTGAAAGTAGCATAGTGAGTATAGAACAAGAGCAAGTTCACACTTTCCCACAATGATCTTTGGGATATTCATCCAAGTAAAATAGATATGTCAAGAGAAAGTATCATTTTGGGTTGGATGTATCCCTAAATAGTCGATTTTGCTCCCAAACAGGCAGTCATGTCTCTGATCAGACTTAGATCATTTGAGCTTCCCGAATAGGTTGAATTCCATAGAAATATTTCTCTTGTGAATAAGCGAATTTATGTTTCTATCTATTCAACTATTTAAAGCGCGACAGTCTCCAAGACATCAGCTTTAGTCCCGCGAATCTCTAACCTCAGACGGCCTTCATCGCGTCTTCTATCTTAGTCTGGCTTTGACGCTCAAGCATGGTGAAGTGTTCTAGAGCCTCGTGAAGTCGTCGCTTTGTTTCCGGGTCTTCATCATTCGCCTTGTCCAGCAGGGTCCCTTGATCTGCGAGGTAATCGATATCGGCGCTTGCCAACTTGCCGTTCCATGTCTGGGCAGCCAGCGGATCCAGCTTTGCAATCTCTTGGAGGCGGAGAGGAGTTGGAGCTGCATCGATATATGGATGAACTGGCTTCGGAATTCCTTCACCGGGTTGCTGCGAGCTGTCATAGGGAAGCTTTGCAAGCTCCCTCAACACATAATGGGGAAGGGTCGCCGAATGGCACCCGATCTCACCAGCCGCCATTGCTTCTTGTGGCGAGAGGAAGCTTGCAAGGAACGGTTAGCAATTTTCAATTTTCAATCCTCAATCTATGAGCCAGTAGACATACCCAGCATGCTTGACAAATGGTTGCTCCTTGCCTGTTTCCTCGTAGAGTCGCTTGTACGTCTCCAGAATCTGGATCAATCGCGAAGAAAATGGATGAAGGAGCGCCGGGTCCGCTGATTTCGGCCAAAGTGCCAGGTCCTTGTGTGAGGAAATGTCTGCCGAAGAGAATACGTTAGCAAAAAGAGAGATTAATACATAATCTCATCAGGTCTCCCCCTCTGATTAGATGGCTCACCATTGTAGTAAGGACTGATGTACAAGCAGCCGGCTTGGCTTGCTGCAATCGCTTGATGCACACTAAAAACGGCGGTGGCAAGAGTACGAATTCCCTCGGTGAGGAGAATAGGACAGGCACTCAATGCAGGCCCAGTGGACGGGATCTTGATACAGAATCGGTCTTTGGAGATGCTGACTTTCTCAAACTCGCGGGCGTAGGCACGGGCGCTTTCGAGGGTTTTCTCGGTGTCGTAAGCCCCCGTTGGCAGAGTCTGAACGAGCACGCGGCCTTTGATGTTATCAATATTCGCTTTACACATCAGCGCGACCTATAAATGATGTTAGCTATCCCCAATCGACCTCGACTGTTGAGAGTATAGGATATTAGACCATGCGTGTGTAAATTGCGAGCCATCCTTGTCCCCTATACTCCTCGACGACAGCTCGAAACAATTTCTCATTGTCAGGGTGGCACATCTCCTCATGTACATAGCCCTGGTTGCTGGTCATGTCTTGCGGGATGACTGGTAGAAGACTCAGAGTGAACGCTGGGTTCATGTAGTCGACATCGATGTTGACTTTGGTCCAGTTTAGATGCATGGAAGCTATTCAATGCCACAAAGAAGCACTTACTTTGCCGCGAAAGAGCTTCCAGCCATGTTTGAGTCATCTTAAACTGATTTTGGATTCAATCGGATTGAAAAGAGCCAGGGATTCAACGATGCCAAAGATGTGTAGAGATTGAAAGGTTGAAATGATGTGAGCGGGGGGTGGAGGAAATAGATCCCCCCGCAGAGACCCCCACGGGAAAAGCAATTTCACATAGCGAGTATTCTTGCCAGTTTAGGAAATGTTCCACCCCATTTGGTGGGGTTCTCTTTGGTGTCGACCAATGTGGAAGGTCTTGAATTCTATTTGCGGAAGGCTTTCCTATTTAGACTCCTGCCGCTCTATAGGTGTTGTCAATTATACTGCTGGGTTGAATGCCACTGAAGACATGTCATACACTGAATATCTAAATTATAGACTCACCTTAACCGGGATTCCTTATTATTCAGAGAGCGCCCTCCGCATTCTAGCCAAAAATGGCGACGACAGCAGCCATGACCAACACCATTTTCTTGTTGTACACACACCCATGGGTCCTTCAGAAACTGCCTGGGGATGATATCCCCCCGCCGTACGATATCCTGTCGAGACTGCCATATCTTCGTGCTTGCATTGACGAGTCACTTCGTGTTCGCCCAGCCAGTTCGTTCGGTCTCCCGCGTATCGTCACCGCCGGTAAAAGGAAATCGCGGGTAAGTTTGTCCCCCGAAGAAGTGGTCGTCTCGGTACCAACATACTCGCTTTTACGGGATGAGATTGTCTTTAAACATGCTACCGAGTATAACCCCGATCAATGGTTGACAGCAGATGCGGAAGAAAAGAAAAGAATGATGAATGCCCATCTTCCCTTCAGTACCGGGCCTCGCGCCTGTATTGGCCGCAACATTGCTTATTTTGATGCAAAAATCGAGCATGGTTTCCAGCTTGAAAGTGACTCGTCGATGTCTCCGAACATTGATGGATTTTCCACTGTTGCATCTCCCCCGAGGATTTTTCTTTATCAAGGATATGGGGTTTTTTTTTTTTTTTTTTTTTTTTTTTAAAAAAAAAAAAAAGGCTGAACTAGTCTTTGTGGAGAGTCATTGATAAGTGCCTCTGGTGTCCTAATACAGATGATATGGCTGTACTCTGCAAATTCTATGAAACGCAAGTCTCTGGGCAGCTTTAGTACCATAATTCAAGGGGCTATTCGGCGTTATATGTCAAAATTTTCCATTTAAAACCATCTAGACTGTTTGATCTTTCTCAACCGAGAAACCTGGAACTATCAATAATCCCCTTTAGGAGGCACACAGATAAGAGAGAGCAGTTATCATCTTTCGGAGTTGTTGACAAATCACGATCTAAATATAGGTAATAGGATACACATAGAAATGCCCAAGTCCAGTAAAGTGTCAACGATGACCTCGGTTAGGGTTCTCAATCAAGCTTTTGGGCCTTGGTCGCGACTTTTGCTCTATGTAGGCGCCCTCACGTGGGGGCTGTATTGGAGGTATGAGGCTGTAATTGCTGTCTGCGATGTCCACACGCTACGTGCACTGGCCGTGAGAGCCCCAGTGGAGCCTGTCGATCTTTGCTCCTGTACGTGTATCATCATTTGTGTGGTGGCACGCAACCGCACAAGAGTCCCATGCGGGGCCTGTTCGCCCGAGATCCATTCAACGATCGGTAAGAAGCTTGCCTTTCTGGATGAGAATATTGGACTACATTACAGGCATATATATCATGGCTTCGATGAGAGATCTCCATCTATAGCAATAAAGATACCAAGCTACCTCGAGCACGAGAGAAAGAGTCAGCTCGGCATCGTACATAGTGAACGACTAGGGGTAACACCCGGGAGCTGCCGTCCTCTCCCAATGAACCAGCAGCATGGCGGTTATGCCCCGCTCCCGAGCCCGAGTGGCTTGATGCTATGTTTAGCTCGGCCTTGAATTGGGGGATGATGTGGAGCGAGATATGCGGGCCGAGACAGGGATATTGGTCAATGAGAGGACAAGATGATCAGGGTTTTGTAACCACCGTGTGCGCTAAGCAAGCACTAACATCGGGCCACCCCTGCCAGCTGGGGCCAGTATTGGAAGAATAATACAATCCTGGATGACGGTATTTACATCCAACAGGGCCCCTTGAATAATTTCGCGCATCTCCCCTCTCTCTTGCTTTCTTTCTGTCTGTCTCATCGATTCCACACGTCGGTACATCCGGCTCATTGCGCCATGGCAGATTCACCGGGTAGTCATCGCAGCACGGCATTCACAGATTCTGATGGCTTGGTATGTTGTCTGCCTGATATCCTTTGTTTCTTGCGGCCTCTGTTTCCTTGATGGGATTTGTGTATTCAGGATGATCTCTAACATTACCGGATGGCATATAGACGCGAGGCGCACGGGGTCTACCCGACGATTTGCATGCCCGAAGCCCAGAAGAACCAAAATATCTGGTACAACCGCCTCCTCAACAGATCACAGTCCCCGAATATGTGGACAAACCGCAGCGTCGCATCTGCGGGCTGGTCCCATCATCGTTCTGGCTGCTGCTAGCCCTAATCGTGGTGATTATCGCGGCAGCCATCGGCGGCGGCGTAGGCGGATCACTATCAGTGAAGCACTGTAACGACAACCTCTCGCAGTGCCGATCGCACGCCGACTCCTTAGCCTCCGACAAAAAATCCAGCTCGACCAATTGCCCCTCCACCACCAACACAACCAGCTCATCCGCGCCCGCCGACCCAACCACCGGTTGCAAGCCCGAAGACGGTAGTGGCGCGCCGAGCGGCTCATCGGACGAGTACTCGACGCATGTCCGTTCGCCCAACGCCCCGGCCAAGTTCAAGAAGTACTGTGGCAGCAACATGAGCAACCGCGACCAGGCTGCAATTATCACCCAGAGCTGGGAGAACTGCATGGAAGCCTGTGGTGTGTTTAACATCAACAACATGCCCAACCAGACGTGTTTTGCTGTCGCGTTTGTCCCCAGCTGGACCCAGCCTGAATATTCCCTGGGGAATATCTCGGCATGGGCCAACTGCTTCCTCAAGGCAGAGAATACTTCTATCCAGCGTCTAGATAGCCCTAACACTGTCCTGGCAGTCCTGGAATCGGACTGAGTGTCTTCCCCTTTCTTTCCCCCTGACCACTGGCTGTTCTTTTTTATATACCATCTACGACGTCCTTCTTGTTATGTATAGAATTTATAATGTCTCAAATGTCCAGGGATGAACTGGGCTTTTATGAGTGCTTGGGAAAATCAAGCGGTTCCTTGCTACCTCTAAATCCTTTTCTATATAACATATCGTCTATCCCAGTCGTTTGGTTCTAGAATATAGCATGATTAGCACCCAGAGTACTAAAGCGGTATCTGCGAATGTCACCCACAAACCTAAGGGCAATGAAAGCATAGATGATCGCAGATCATCCATGCACGCGAGTCAGTCGCGGGCGTTGTATTAGTGGGGCGCCGTGTCCACCGATTTCTGCAACTCTCAGCCGCACCTTCATCGAGAGAAAACGAAAACAAAGATGCCTCTACTTTTACTCCCCAACGAAATCCTCCATCACATAATCCAGCATCTGGACTATGCCTCGGAAGTCAACGCCGTGGCACAGACCTGCAGGGCTCTGCACCCTCTAGCCACCGCCCGTCTCTATCCACACTGGGCGACACGATACTCCCCGCGCAGCCTGGACCGCATTATAGAAAATGGCAACCTCGACGCCCTGCGGAAGCTGCTCTCAGCAGGCGTGTACATGGACACGTATCGCAAAGCAAACAAAGATCAACTACCCCTAGCAAAAGCAGCAGCTGAGGGCAAGGTGGCCGTGCTCCAGGAGTTCGTGGACGCATACGGGCCGGCGGTCATCAAAGAAGTAGGCCGTATGCGCCCACTCATGCACGGTGCAGTATGTGGAGGACTAGAGGTGCTCAAGTTCCTGGTAGAGCACGGCGCAAAGCACGACACGGCGGCCGTGCTGCAACTCGGCGACGTGCTGGGGTTCGCGGCCCAGCACGGGTCCTTGGCTGTGATCCGGTATCTGGTTGAAGAGATCGGGTGCGAGGTTGACGCGGTTGATTTTGATGGTAAGACGCCGCTGTGGTGGACGGCGCTTATGGGCCGGCTGGATGTTGTTCAGTTCCTGCTTGTTGCTGGCGCCAATCCCCATTCCCAGTGTCTGGATGAACCCAACGAGACGCCTCTGTATTGTGCAGCAATACAGGGCCGGGAATCTGTCGTGCGATTCTTGCTCGACCAGGAGATCTATCCCGACCTTCAAACTGAGCTCAATATGCTGGCACTCGCCCGGATGGTCGCCGAGGGGAAAGAGGCCATGGCCGCGCTCATTTTCGAGCGCGTGGATCTGGAAACACTTCTTGCGTCTAGCAGTGAGTCCGACCGCTTCTACTTGCTGTTAATTGCATGCGCATGGGGCGATGAGCCATTTGTCCGCCGGCTCCTAGATATGGGATACGAGCCCTTCAGACTAGAATGGGGCGCCGAACCACTGGAAATATCAGCACGCAGGGGCTATACTCAGATTCTTGGACTAATTCTCGATTCGTTGATGGAGTCGCATCCCTTCATGCTCAAGTGCACGCTAGTCCATGCGGCGTTTTGGGCAGCAGACTGCAACCAAGCAGCTGCCCTACGAGAAATCCTGGATCGGGTGGCAGACTGCGTGGGGAAAATGCAGGACGAAGATGAAATGGACATGTTCGTGGGTCGAGAACGATTTCCCACGATAGACGATGGCGACAGGCTGGATGGCATCCTGGAGCAACAAGGTTACGAAGCCTTCATGTATTATGTCTCACTGAAGGTGGGGGTCGTTCATGAACCAGTTACTCGCCTCTTGCTGGAACGAGATGCGCTCGAAACAATCCAGGAGCCAGAGAACGTAAACGAAATCGTCCGCACGGCACTCAAGGAAGGAAACCCAGCGGTGGTTCGGCTGATGCTAGAAAAGACGGGGCTCGGCCCCCTCGACGAGCTGGACGAGTATGAAACAATTCTAGAATCCGCCGCCGCAGACAGCACACCGGAGGTATTCAAGATGCTACTCGATATGGGTGTCACGCTGCAGCCGGGGGATGCGGTATGCGAGTCAGCGCTGACCGAAGCAGCACGCAACAAGAAAGCCGAGATTGTCCGGTTGTATCTCGACTGCGGCTTCGACGTGAATGGCGAATACCAACCGCGGGGCTGGAATCGGAGCCGCGGCCGCCTGTTGACTTTTGTTACCTGCGCTGTGCCCCGAGTAGACGAGGCCGACCACGACCACCACGCCCTGGAAGTGGTGCGACTCCTACTCGATCGCGGTGCTGAGATCGATGCAATTGACGGACGATGCCACACTGCTCTGTCATATGCACTGGAGAACAAGCCGGCTGTCGTCCGGGAGCTGATTGCTCGAGGCGCCGATTCGCTCTGCGGATTCGAGACAGAGGAATCGCCTCTTCAAGAGGTCGCAGGAACAGGCCGTCCGGGGTTAGTCGCGCTGTTCCTCGGAACTTCCAATGCCTACCGAATCAAATATCAGGACTTCGCTGCTGTGTTCCGTCGCCCTTCGAGGTTCAACTGGGAACGGATGGAGTATTGGACGCGGTTCGCGGTCGAGAAAGTGCTGAGACAGCACTACTGGCGATTGAGGTATCCTACTCTGGCTACTTGAGCAGTAGTTAGACAGATAAAGGGAAACAATGAGAAACTCCATTTCATCATGCAGTTACTGGTGACAATACTGTTGTACACTAAGAGGCATCCCAGATGCACTAGATACACAACGCGGAGAGACCTGCGTAGAGACTTTCCTTCCCGGTTACCAAATCTTCTTGGCGATCATCTCATACCGCTTCACGTGGTCAATATTCAGGTCCCCTTTCTTGCCCTGGTCCTTTTCCTCCTTCTCCTTCACAGACCGCAGCCCCTCTGGGTCATCCGCGAAGATCCACCGCCGCTTTTCATCGCCAAGTTCGACCATGCCCCATCCGCCGACGCGACGGCTTCCTCCACATCAAAGTTCCTGCTGCGAGGCACTGGGGGTTCGTTGTTGAGTTTGCTGTGGGAGGCTGAATGCGGCGGTTGCGGCGATTCGGCTTCCAGGCCTTTCATCTTTCGGTAACGAGAGCGGGAAAAGGCCAGTAGAACCATGCCCAACAGCAGTTTGAGGATGAGAAGAGCCACGAATCCCATCAGTAACAAGACCACAGTAAATATCTGCACCGACTGGGCTGGGGAAGGAATGGCGTTCTCCAGGAGGGTGCGGAAGAAGGCGCTGAAATGGGCAGCGGATGCCGGTAAGATGTTTTGGAATGTCAAGGGTGGCGCAGACGGGATCGGAGCTGGCGCATAGTGGCTATGGATAGATGACAGCGAATTCGATTCCATTGCAGTAGAAGAGGGATGCTGCGGGATCAGGGCAGCCAGAAACATCTGGTATGTCTGGACGGAAACTCTGAAAAACAGGCAGGACAATGGAATGACAGGAAGACCGACGCGGCGCGTGAGGTTTTGGTCTCCGAAAGCATTCGCATAATAATCCTTGGCGAGAACGTCGAGGAAGCGTCCATACATGGCGGGGCGATAGTTATTGAATTTGTTGATATAGGCATGCTTCAGCCAATCCACAAGCATCTCGGATCCAAGAACGACCATGAACGGGCCCAGCACCTGCGCCAGTGTTGGAATGAAAGAATTGATGCTGCTGAGAGAGGACAATATTGAAGATGGGAAAAAGGTGAAAGATTGAGGCAGGATAGATGACGCAGTGCGTGGGGGCGTAGACACCGGCGTGCTGTTGGTGCTGGTAGAGGAATGGGCGGAAAATCCGGTTCCCAGCCCTAGAGTACCAATGAAATTGAAGGCCCCTGTCTCCACGATGTTGCGCGAGGCAATGATGGTGAGCATCAGCCAAAGCTGAAAACGTTCCACAACGTCGGAACACGTAAGTTGGAAGAGGTTCTCCTTCTCGAACTTGCGGAAGACGGTGGACTTGATCTCAACAAACTGGTTGGACAGAAGAAGCGTAATGAGGGCGTTGGAGTAAGAATTCACCGCCACATTCAGTGTCATGACTTGGTAGAACAGTGACGTTGCATGGGTCACCGTGTAGACCAGGGCCAAGAGAAACAACCAAAACGGACGGATGATTTTGCTCCGTCCATCGGGGGCGCGCTCGAGTGCCTCTCGCGAGAAAAGACACTCAAGGACATCCTGTCCGACAGCTGCCAGCAGCCGATCACTGACTTCCAAAACATTGTAAATGACGTACAGCTTGATGGCCGCCTGCCCCCGGATCCAATGATACATCCGACTTGCATCGAAATACATGAGAACACAGCAGGTGGTGATCATGAGTAGCCCTGTGAGGATGTCGGCCTTGTCATCCGGGAGAAGCGCCGAGGGCATCGATTTCCTCCGCCGGTGATGGTGTCTGCGAGATTCAGAGGGCCGATGTCTTCTTTTCGAAGATTCCGAGTGCCGAGACCGGGGATCTCGGTCCACCGAGCTTGTTTCTTGGCCCAGCATTGATCCGGGAGGTAGGCGAGGAGTCTCGTCAGACTCGCTCCCGCGTCTTCCAGACTGATCATCCTTGGGCGGTTGAGTTCTTCTTCGCCACACCCGTCCAATCCCGTTGACGACAAAATTCCAGACGAACCGAATTTCAGCCTCCAAATTTATCGCCCATGACTCGCACAAAATGTAGAGAGCCTTTGCAAATCGCAGCGGAAGTATAGTGAATGAATAGAGCCAGGAGTCTAGACATGCGAGGGTTCCAAAGCACAGCACCTGCTCCAGCACCGGTGGGAGCATGAGAAAGTTCATCAGCCTCTCGATTTTCACGCGCGACGACTCATACGGAAAGTCGTCGCTCGCCGAGCGGTGGATATATAACGGCGATGGGCGACCAGACGCTAGTTCGAGTTGAAGGTATGTAGGTAGTGAAACAGGAGGTAAGGGAATAGATGGCGGCATAGAAGGTGACATGGGTGACTCGGGAATCTGAGACACACTCTGATAGGCCTTCGACTCACGATCCGGCGCGAGTCGATCTGGTTTCGAACGAGATGACCATGTTTGCGCAAGTCGGTCATTACTAGGCGTAGAGGGTACTTGGCGCCGTGAGGGTCCTGGGGTAGAAACCGTGCGGGATGGATGGGGTCGATTTCGAGTAGATTGGTGATTGGTATGCCGCGGAAGAGCCGGGCTCGCGGAGGCCGAGTCATCCTCGATGGGAGTATCTGAAGGAAGTCGCATCTTCCGCAGACCATCTGCCGATGCTGGTGCCTCGCTGAGAGGTTGGAGGACGGCATCTGGCAATTCGGTCCTCGCAGAAAGGCTATTTATAGACAGATTATCCGACATCACACGCCTCCCAGAAGTCGTGCCGGGTTTTGCGGCGCGATAGGGGATCGATTCCGGCGAGGATGTAAGCTCTTGGATCTTCTCAGGGGATAGTTTCATGACTTTTTCTTTTTCCTCAGTTGACCGTTGAGGCGAATCGTCGGGAATTTCAGCCAGGGCAGCTGTAAACTTTGGGCCTTCCAAGATATCCACGGCCGATATGCGCCGGCCATTCTTCAAATCATCGCGCGATTGCTCCATGAGGATGCCGAGACCCTGCTCTGGTGACCCGGAGGGATTCGCAATTTTATGCCCGCCATTCATGTGTTTCCCATCGAAGGATCCATTTTGACCATCGGCGTTGGCATTTTCGTTCTCATCATGTCCGTTTGCGGCCTGCTCTTCGATCGCCGGCTCGGTCGGCGGTGTTGAAACGCTTGTGCCGTTTAATTTTTCCTCTCGGCCTGAGTCCTTCTCGACAAACTTCACATTCCCATCCTTTCGTTTCTGTGGGCCATCTCCAACCATCCTGGGCTGTTGATGTGACCAGGTTCCGTCTCTGTCTGCCATGGGACCCATGGTATCCAACTCGAGAGTCCCGCAACAGCAAATCAAATCCTCCTCGTTAGGATTCCCACTCTTGGATCAATTTTCACGCCTCCGCTGAAGCCAAATATTGCGGGCGCATTGTCCGGGCGTGCGTCGAAGATCCACAGGACGCCGCAGGTCGATCAACCCAGACAATGATTTCGGGTCGAAGGGGCAGAAATGGCATGAAGCATGGAAACAGGCAAATGTTGCGGGGTCACGTTGTCTTAGAATAGATATATTGTTCACTCGCTCTGCATCTTCTGGTCAGGAGGTGAGACGAAAGCTGGCGCTGACGCTGGCGATTTCAAGTTGGTGTTATGCAGTGGGAGATAAGCCAGATTTAGCTAGGCTGCGGCCTACTGCGCCGTTTTAGGGCCTTAGGCACCAATGTATCACGTGCCTCTTTGTACACAGTTGTCCTCCCAATTAGGAGATTTTAGGGTTCTCCAGGGTCTCTGGTTGCCTCGAATGCCTTTTTTTTTTAGGATTGTGATTCTGAATTTACTCTGGCCTTCGCTTCGCTCAAGCGGCTTTGAAAGATGTGGTAGAGAATAAAAATTAGATCTAAAAGGCTTATTCTATATTGTATCCTATTTAAGAGGTCCCATTCTTTATTAAATATATAGATAGCTATTTTACTAGGACTATTATTATTTTATTAATAATTTTTTTTCTCTCTCTTAAATTGATTAATTAATTTTCTAATCCTTTTTCTCTATTCTCTCTTTCTTTTGTACCGCGTATTGAAGGTCGGGGGGTTAAGTAGGGGGTAGCGAAATCAAATTCTCCCAGATTTTCTGCGATCCACTTCACATCTTATATTATTAAATTCTCCATATCTATTTTCTTGATCATGAACTCAAGTACCTCGGTATAGGAGTCTGCATCTTACGAAGTATACGAGTCAATCAGAAAGACAACAAACAAGTCAGTTCATCTTATATTTCAAGATGGTCGCAAAGTCCAGCATCGACGAATGGGGTATGTACAAGATTCCAAGAGACCTGCTCACGGGTCATGAACAGGTATTAACAGATAGTCCAGGTCATCAAGCACACAAAAAACATAGAGCCAGCTCGTGCACGGGGCGTCATAACAGAGATCTTAGCAAGGAGGTCTTGAGGGCAATATCAAAAATCAAAAACCAAGAGTCATCAGAATTGGTCGGTATTTGCACGGGTAAATGAGTGTCCCGGCGGAGGACCGTTGCGGTTCATAGCGGAAGGAGAGGCGGTGTTTGCACGAGAGAAGGGCTGGTATCCGGGTGGACCAGGAGCTCGCGGCATGCGAGATTGAGGAGTCTGGGAAGCCAAGGAAGGGTTGAATGTCGCGTATCCCGCGCCCTGCTGAGGTCTAGGAGTGTTGGCCGGAGAAAAGGTCCTGGGTGGAGGCCGTACTGGGGGTCCAGCCGCTGGCGAGGGTGTGCCGCGGTAGCTTGCCGGGGTCATGGAACGTCCAGGCGGGCTCCCACTAGAGGGGTAAGGGGTAGTGCCCGTGCTAGCCGGGGTACAAGACCGTGCAGGGTAGGCATCTTGGGGTGGATAGGCGGGCTGTGCATGCGGCCTGCCTGCTTGACCAATTGGATAATCATCCATGTCATCCATGTCGTGTCCGTAGGCGGTCCACGGGACCCCATAGGCATCGAGGCGAGGAGATTCAGATCGACCATAATAATCATGAGACACGCGAGCGCCAGCGCTGTTTGGTTGGGCATGAGGGTCAACGGCTGGGCTGAATGGGCGATATGGTCGAGCTCCCGGATTGTTATCGGTCAGGTTGCGATAGCCAGCAGCGGGGCTGCTGCGGCCAGTGTTCTGAGCGAATGGAGGCGGACCAGGGGTAGGCCGCGATGGAGCTGAACCCAGTCTAGGCGGAATATTGGCCGGCAGAGGTGGAACCGGGGGTAGCGGAGAGTTTTGTCGATCTAGAGGACTGTATCCCATCGGCGCCGCATTACCCGTCAGCGACGCGGAATCAGACATGGCGGATGACTGAGTCGTGGTTCGAGTCAGTGGCGGTTTGATATCGACTTCAATATTCGGTAACGTCGGGTTCTGCTCCGGAGCAGAAGAGTTGGAACGAGTGTAGGGCGGGAGGGTGGTTTCAGTGGTACTGCGTGACAAGGTGGTCACACTAGGTATCTTGTCCATACTAACTGACGGCAAGGTCGGTTTGGCATCCGCCGCCGCCAAGTTGGGTTGGGTAGGTGCGCGATCTTGCAGTTGGACACCCTTAGCCAAGGCCTTGTTGACCTTGCGTCGCACAATTCGCTTGAGCCGGTTTCCAATCTTGCGACGACAGTATGCTTTCAGAGTACCGTCCTCGGCAGGGATATGGTGGAACAGGAAAATCAAGTAGATGATCACGGCAGAGATCAACTTCAAAACCGACAGCACCCAGATGATAAGCGTGAACAGCATACCGAACAGCACCACTGCTTGAAGGTTGTTGTCTTCAGCCAGGATCTTCACATTGTTGAAGAATTGCCCGACCGGCGAGGTGCCATCGTCGTCCTGGGCATGTTTGCCTCCCGGAATAAGATCCAATTGCATGACTGAATATAGCGTGATTGCATTAATGACTTGACGAGGCCCGTCTGCAAAGACCGTGTTCAACCAAACTGGCATCCATTAGTATCTCTCTCTCCACATCATTCAACCAGACCAGGAAACTCACATTGAAAAGAGAAATAAGTGTACAGAGCCGCGTACTCGGCGCCTTTCTTACTCTTGGTCAATTCGGCGAACACAAGAAACCTCTTCCATCCATGGCCATTCTTGCCGAAGACACGAAAACATTGAACACGGACGGCAAGTGGATCCAGGTAGCTGCGAGTGATGCTGCCGGAGCGCATGGCACGGTAGGCAAGAAACCATCGATAAATCAAAAGGGCAAAAGAGACGATGATGCAGACGGCGAAGATCCATCGAGAGATATTGAACGGGATGGCCGGCTGGACTCTACCGGCCCATCGAGAGAAGGCTAACAGATTGATTGCGGTAAAGGTGTCCACGGCGTAGACAGCAATCGAAACAATCAAAAACACCCAGAGGAAAAAGTACGAAAAGGGTGTCCAGCAGGATTCGGATTTGAAGTCATCCAAGTTCTAAATCAGCCGTCAGCGTCAGCCCACAAAGCGTTCAACCCCCGACCATGCCTGTTCGCTGCCAAAACGTACCACGAAGTCCCATTTCTCCTCCATGGCCACGGCCCCTTTCTCACGGTCTCCACAGCAGGACATTGTGTTGGCGAGCCTGGTCCAGCCAGGGAGCGATCAAGGGGTATCAAACGAGTGGTAGAATCACGAAACTAGTAGTGACGACTTCCTCGGGCCAGCCGGGCGAAGTCGCAGTCGGAGGGTCAATACAGTGTCGGGTCTGAACAATTAAACAGGATATACGTCAGGCGAAAAAGAGCGACCGAGTGAGAGAAAGTGGTGTGGAAGTGTCTTAAGCGCGCGAATGGCGCATCACTGCGAGGGGCCAAGAGGGGGTGGTTTTCTGAATCGAGGGCCACAAAGAAGCATGCACGAGGTGCAAGGTGGCTAAGCGCTGTTTCAAAAGACCATTCACTGTCTCCAGGCAGGAATAGCAGTGATCTTTGACCGGGAATTGGTGGTTGGGGGCCCTTTGTTATCTGAGGGGCCAAGAAAGGGGTGGATTCGAAGGACAGGGTTGCGGAGAAAGAATGTATGCGCAATCGAGGCTGGGATGAATGAATGGAGAGACAAAGAATGAATGGGCTTAGGCTGAAGAGAAAGAAGTAAATGAGCGCATGGAGACGGGGTGGTGCAGGGGATGAAGATGAAACGAGGGTTCGGTGGATCGGGCGCGGGAACCCTTTCACCCAGGTAGGGCTGATCCATGGCGATGACACGATTCGTGATGAGATTCTCTGAATCTTCTCTCATTCTTCTATGTCTATTCCATTCTATAATCAGTCTACTCTATGGACATGTTCTATTCAGTGTCATTTCTAGGCCGTGAATACCCTCGGCACCCTTCATCCTCATTCCCTATTGTCTGACTCGCTTTCAGGGCATCCCGCGTTTCTTGGAGACAAAAGGCACCGGGGCTCCACCGGCCCACTTCTGAAACAAACTGACGCCCCAAACTCCAGTTGCTCGTGCTCCATTTTCCTTCACTTAACCAGTTACTGCCGGAAAACGCCTACGCGTCTGTTGATGTATCTAAGCGCCAGTGGCTCTGGGCGCTAACACGTATGCCATCGCCAATCTGCCTGAAATGGGGATACTGTCAACTTGGTGAGTTTGTGAAACATCTCCATACCATCCATCTCCAACCCGATGAAGACCTTCCTCGAGTCACAGTTTCTTCCGGGAGAAACAAGCCTCTGCGCTCCCTACACCAGCTGAAATTAGAGCCATCAACAAGGAGTCGGGGGATGTCTTTGCCACGGATTTCGATCGTCCGCTTCCGGTCAGAATACCGCCGCTGGGCTTATTCGTGAAGTATGGAGCCGACGTAACTGTGACCGAGGCTGCGACTCAAGTCATGGTGCGCGAGCGACTCTGCGGCCAAGTACCGATCCCCGAAGTCTTTGGATCCACCGAGGATGAAAACCAGAGGTTTATCTACATGGAATTGCTTGAGGGCAAGACCTTGCTAGAAAGGTGGTGCGATATGAGCGAAGATGAGAGACTCACGGTCTGCCACGAACTCCAAACAATGGTGAAGGCATGGAGGGCTTTGACCCCGGACCAACATGATTACTATGTCGGTAAGCGGGTTACCCCAACCCTTGGAATACAATAGGGAAACCATAACGATGCCCCCATTAACCTTGGAAATAGGTAGTATTGGTTAACAACCGCTGCAAGAGGCTATCCTCGAGCATCGCCCTACCCTTGTGGGTCCATTCCTAGGTGAAAACGCCGTCCAACAATTTCAAGACACTTGCGGGATCGTCATCGCCCGTGAAGAACCGATTACGTTCACTCATAACGATTTGGTCCCCCTCAACATCGTTCTTACGCCCGGGCCAAGCCCCAAAATTGCAGCGATCATTGACTGGGCCCAGGCTGGGTGGTATCTCGCGTACTGGGAGTATTGCAAGGCGCGACGAGTCAGGGTACATTCGGATAACCCCAGATTCGACGACGCGGTTCAAGAAGAATGGTGGGCTAAGTACCTGCCCATGATTCTGAATCCCGTGGATGATCAAGCTTACTATCACCCTTGGCTGTGGTTTGTATTGTCCAAGGGCTTTTAATGGAAACAATATGGTAGTATCTGCAACGAGAGCGTCTCAAGTTGCCGTAGCCGTCGGCTGTTTATTTCTTATTCTTGCTGAAACAGGCGTTGCTAGGTGTATTGGTCGATATATGGTAGAAGATCTGGCAATTAAACAATAGATCCGGTGCATTGCCGGTGGATTGGGGTGTAGAGCCTTGACTTCGGGGATCACTTTCCCCAATTTTCTTTCAATCACCAGAGGAACTTGTCTAGCTTGTACATTTTTCACAAGAATTGTGGATGTTGCGCAACGAAAGTCAACACCCTGCGGCTACAGTACAGCGCGACCGGAGCCCTGGAGAGCTCCACTGGCTTATAAATGTGTTCTGCTCCAACGCGTTCTTCCTAGTCGACACGGGCACCCAGCTGAGGGGGCCCCAAAAAATACTGAGCGGGCCCCAAAAATCGGTGGAATATTACGCCGACTTTTGGGGCCCCCTTAGCTCGCTAAGTCGACTGGGCCCCAAAATGGGTATTGATAGGGGCACCTCAAGATTTTCGCTATTGACACCTCATTATATTATGTAATACTCATTTTGACTTATGTAATCTTTTTTTGATCTATTTTCTAATCACATGATAATTTTCAACCACATCTCTAATCACATGATCCTCTTATCCTAACCACCAAAAACAGATTACCCTATTTGGCAATAGGGCAACTTCGACATGTATGCCCAATTTCGCCGCAATTCGAACACTTTGGGGGCGCCTTCCTTTTTTTGATTGGTCTAGCCCCCTCGCTCCCATCTGATATCTGCGTAGATTGCCTTTTTAGGAAAGCAGCAGGCTGAATTCGGGGATTTAGCAGTGGCTGCCAGGCGATATCAGATGAATCTTCAACCCTAATTCGCCAGAATGGATGAATATCAGCCAATGGGATTGCTTCTTTTTTTGCGAGCAAATCAGCAATTCGATGCTTGCATGGTAACCCCATAGTACTCGTCCAATAATTGGTGCATATACCAAGAGGGGCCTCTGGGGTAGCCCTACTAGCATAGATTCGCTGCATATCAATCTGCCTCAGCGAATATCGAGATACTCGCTTATTAAGAAAGGTATATAGCCAATCAGATGCTAGTATCAGATATGTTATCTGATCTGCTTTAATCTGATATTCAATCAGATTATATTGGCTGGTGATAGCCTTATAAATAGACTTCCACACAGTGAGTAAATCATTAGTAGAAGTATTCATATGCCGTTTTAGGACCGAATGCGCCCCCTCGACACGTGATGATGCATTATTACCAAAATGGGTAAGGTTTTTGGTCCAAGCATAGACAAATCTCTCTTTATAGGGTAGCCATGTGTCTGCGAGATAGCGTATAATTGGTAGATGAGATCTCCCATAGGTCCGATTAAGGTTATCAAGATTAACCTTGTATTCATCTTCGGTAGATGATTGGACCAATTGACACCATACACGCATAAATTCATCGAATTGGGGAGTATTTTCGTCTGATTGGCTGATATCTCGTTTTGCCCTCGCTAAAACTGCTTTGTTGATATGCCAAATACATAGTAAATGTGGGGTATGATACCCCCAGATACTATATATCGCATTCATCAAAGCTAATTCGCGATCAGTTACCAAAATCGGACGAAAATCAGATTCAGATGAGAGATTTAGCCAATCAAAAAAGGTCTGAAGCACCCAAATATAGCTTATTGTTACGAACCCTGCAACCACCAATCGATCTGGCCCACATGGAGCGGCGCAACAGATCACCAGACAGAGATGATTAAGATCATCACGTGACCACATGCAGGTGGTAGAAGGGTATGCTGATCAAACGGTAGACGACGCCAAGGTCTCAACTACCACTATACCATCTACCAATCTACCAACCCAAGGACGGAGGATATAAGGACACTCGTTCACCAGGATGTACCTAGTTCTTTGTGATCAATCTTCATACCATTGTTACTTGAGTACCGTTCACAGTCTCGACTATAAAGCCAAAAACCTCAACGATCTTGGGAGCTTACTTAGTGATCTTTGATCCCTAAGTGACTGACTTGATCGGCGCCCTAACTGTCACACCCTGCAAGTACCCTAGAGACCCGAGTCCATCTAAGGCCCTGCGCGGCATTGGTACAGGTTGCGGACTATACTTGGGGCTCGCAGTATTCCAAGAGAAGTATCATCCTTTGAGGACCCTACTCACCGTGACCAGTTAGCGGTTCGTAACACATTGATCACCCTGTCAGTCGAAACTGTGAAGCAACGGTCATCATGTCTTCGCATGGCAGTAACCACAAAGGCAAGGCAGTCGAACCTGTGCCACCGAAAACCCAGACACGTCAACCCGACCCAGAATCGGAAGACGAAGACGAGAAAAGAATCAAGGAATTGGAAAGACAAATCAGCACCCTCATTAGCCAACTCACCATATTCGAACAAAAACACGACGGTGAAATCAAGAACCTTCACGACTCAGTCCAGCAAACCGATGTCCAACTCCAAGCTCCATCGCCAACGGCACCGCAGCTGCCCAAGGCAGAGAACTTCGATGGAACTCGCTCTAAGTTGCGAGGATTCCTCACACAAATGAACATGCACCTCGATGTCAACAGGCATCGATTGACGACTGAAGCGAGCAAAGTCATCTTCGTGTCAACCTATCTACGAGGACAAGCATGGGATTGGCTCGAACCATACGTCCGAGAATACTACGAAAAGGACAGCTCGGAATGGTCAAACACCGCACGAAACATTTTCAGCAGTTACGGCAATTTCAAGACTCATCTTGAAAAAACATTCGGCGACATCGACGCAAAGAAAACAGCTGAACGAAAACTCAGACGACTCCGACAGACGGGATCGGCATCAGCCTACACGGCCGAATTCATGCAGCAAGCAGCGATACTTGGATGGGATGATTACGCTCTGATTCCATACTACGACGAAGGATTGAAATCTCACGTCAAGGACGAAATCGCAAGACATGGAGACTTCGACACTATGGACGCGCTCATCGACTTCGCGGTCCGTATCGACAACAGATTCCACGACAGACAAATGCAGAAACGGGAGGTGGAAGGATGGAGACGAGGCAACGGTCGCCCATCTCATCAGCGGTTCCAACCTCAGCGGACGCAGCAGCCGCGCTCTAACGACCCATATGGCCCACGACCAATGGAACTCGACGCAGTAAGGCTTCCAGAGGAGGAGCAACGTCGACGCAAAGAAAACAACCTGTGCTTCAAGTGCGGAAAGCCAGGACATCGATCGAGAGAATGCAAGAAACGCAACGACAAACCGCATCAAATGCGAGCAACGAATGAAAGGCTCGACAGAGGAGCATACGATACCACCGGCATCGTGAAAGCCGAGAAACGAACCCAGCAGCTCTGCGCAACAAGAGAGCAAGGACGGGAAGGACCAGTGATTGTGGACGGCAGCAAGCCACCACCACCAAAGCAGAAAACACTACGAACACGAAACTTGGACAGTGAAATTAGCCAACTCCGAACGGCTCTGTCAGAAGTACACGATAAAATGACCTCACGAGAAGAAGGACTCAAGGAATGGACAAAGATCCTTGATCAACTGGCCGACCTACACCAGTTAGAGAAACAGCAGAGTGAAGAATTCCCAGAGATTGATTGGGAACGCATCGAGAGTCAAGGATGGACCCAGTACGGTCCCTGGAACGCCATCGACTCCCAGGACGAATGGAGTAACTTCCATGAGCGGGAAACAGGTATCCTGAAAACACCAATTGAGGTCCCAGGAACCCCGGAGATCCAAGAAACTCCACCCGAACTCCTAAGGACGACAACTCACCTGGAAACGCCTACGAGATCCCCCAGAAACAGTGAAAAGCAACCCGAACAGACTCAGAATGCCTTGAGTGACGAGGCAAAAGATCTTCAAGATGAGCCGGCTCAAGAAGAGCGATCCCAGAATGAACCTACGTGTCCATGTGAACATCCACGATGTTCTTGTCGAGGCTACGCACGACACCCAAAACACGACATCCGTGCGGTTCTAGGATGCTACGATCACGATTGCGCAACCCATCGACAAGGAAAATTGAATTATGGGATTGAACCACGACCATTACATTGGGAAAACCCGCCACAGTGGAAACCTGAATTTACAGGCACCTGGCGAGGAAACGAGAAACTGAAGAACCCACGACAGCTTGCAGCTACCCAATGGGGAGCCCACATGAAAGTTATGGTCAACATCGCGTACAAGGATACACGAGCAATGATCGATTCAGGGGCCTCAGGAAACTTTATGAGCCCACGATATTGCCAACAGAAGAACGTTCAAAGGAACGAGAAGAAAAATGTCTCACCCATCATTGGTCTCAACGGAGAGAGGCTAGGGCCAGGAATCACGCACGAGACGGGTCGACTCCCTATGGTCTTGGGAAACCATTTCGAAACCATTAACTTCGATATCACCAACCTTGGAGAGTACGACGTTGTGTTAGGAATTCCGTGGCTGCGACGACACAACCCAGCGATTGATTGGATGAAAGGAACAGTTGTCTTCGACAGATGCGAGTGTCGACAGACCAGTGAGACATGGACCGGACTCGCACGACAGCAACGAAAGGAACCTAGCCCCGGGGAGGCAGGTAGTCCTCGAGACTCTCATGAGGCGGGACTCACGAGAAGTACTCGGCCCAGAGGCGGGGCACAACACAAGACAATGGATGTCAGTGTTATCGCAACAATCGAACAGCGACCAGACATGACCAACGACGAATTGGAAGAGTACGTTATGGTCGAGCACGAATCGAGATCCCTCTGTGCCATCGCGGCAGGAGAAGAAGCACTAGTACCCGACGAGTATCAGGAGTACCAGGATGTGTTTACACCACCAGCGGAAGGAACATTGCCCGCACACGACTCATTTGATCATGAAATCAACGTTCAAGAAGGAAAAGAACCCAGATTCATGCCAATCTACCAGCTCTCGCAGAAAGAATCCGAGACGCTGAAGGAATACATCGACGAGAACCTACGCAAAGGTTACATCAGAAAATCGACATCACCAGCAGGATACCCTATCCTCTTTGTGCCAAAAAAGGACGGATCACTCCGACTTTGCGTGGACTACCGACAACTAAATTCGATAACCATCAAAGATCGACACCCGCTACCTTTGATCAGCGAGATCCAAGATCGGATCCAAGGCGCCAATTACTTCACGAAGTACGACATCACAAATGCCTACAATCGGCTACGGATCAAAGAAGGCCACGAATGGAAAACAGCATTTCGAACTAAGTTTGGACACTTCGAATACACTGTTATGCCTTTTGGACTCACCAACGCACCGGCATCGTTCCAGCGCTTCATTTTCAGCATACTGGAAGAATACCTCGACACTTTCGTGATAGCCTACTTGGACGATATCTTAGTATTCTCCAAAACAGAGGCCGAACACGTGGAACACAACAGAAAAGTGCTACAGAAGCTCAGAGAAGCTAAGGTCACACTGAAACCCAAGAAGTGTGAATTCCACGTCCAGGAAACAACGTTCCTAGGATACACCATCAGCCCACAAGGATTGGGGATGGAGGAAGAAAAAATCAAGGCTATTGTCGATTGGCCTACACCGCAAAGCACCAGAGACGTCCAAAGCTTCCTCGGATTGTGCAATTACTACCGAAAGCTTGTACCACAATACTCGAAGCATGCGGCAGGACTCTACCGATTCACCAAGAAGGGAGAAACATTCAATTGGGACGACACAGCAGAAGAAACATTCCAGAAACTTAAAGACCTGTATACCAAAGACAGGATCGTGAAGGTCTTCAACTACGAACAACCATGCATTTTGGAAACCGACGCATCAGATTATGCGCTAGGAGCACAGCTACTCCAACCCGACGAGGAAAACACGCTACGACCAGTTGCGTTCTGGTCCAGGAAAATGATTCCAGCAGAGCTCAACTATGACATCCACGACAAAGAATTACTGGCTATCGTGTCAGCATTCCAAGTCTGGAGAGCATACCTGGAAGGAGCAAAGCACACCGTGACAGTCAAAACGGACCATCACAACCTGACATTCTTCACAACAACGAAGAAACTCACTCGACGACAAGCCAGATGGGCTGAAACTCTTTCACAGTACGATTTCAGAATCGTACACTGCAAGGGAACCGAAAACGCAGTCGCCGATGCACTCAGCCGACGACCAGATTACGAGTTAGGAACCAAAGAAGCAGAACCTGCTATCCTGGCAACCAACGAACAGGGAGAAATCGTGTACAATCGACAGATACTCTCCGCAACAAGCGAACCCGAAGACGACGACTGGCTCGAGCAGATCCGCAGAGCCACCGTCGAAGACGAATCCATGCAGAAAATCTTGGCAACAGACCAACATGGCACCATGAGTGACGAAGGACTCGTCCTCATTCACGGATTAATCTATGTTCCACGACCATTGCAGAACAAGACTATCCTGAAACATCATGATTTACCCACACACGGACATCCAGGAATCGAAAAAACCATGGAACAGATTTCTCGCAATTACTACTTCCCGAACATGCACCGAAAAGTGAGAAACTACATCAGAAATTGCGACACGTGCCAACGAGACAAGACACCAAGACAACTTCCTCAAGGAGAAATGCAAATCCCGAACACACCAACACGACCATGGGAATGGATAACCATGGACTTCATCACGAAACTACCTGAGTCGGAAGGATGCGACATGATCATGGTCATAGTCGATCGACTCACGAAATACGCATACATGATTGCGACAACAGAGAACATCGACGCAAATCGCATGGCGAATATACTACTTCGTTACGTTTTTGCAAACCACGGAACACCGGACAAGATCACATCGGACCGAGACAAGTTGTTTACGTCCAATATGTGGCAATCATTTGCGGACCAAATGGGCATTGAGCATAGACTCTCTACCTCATATCATCCACAGACCAATGGACAGACTGAACGAGTCAACCAGACGTTGGAACAATACCTGAGACACCATGTGAACTACCAGCAGGACAACTGGGCAAGATTGTTGCCAATCGCACAATTCGCGTACAACAACGCGATGCACGCAACCACGAAGGAAACACCATTCTTCGCAAACTACGGGTATAATCCCAAGTTAATCGGGGAACCACGGAACAAACACAATGTGGCAGAATCAGCGCGATTACTAGCCACCGGAGTCAAACAGCTTCACACACAAATGGCTCGAGACATCGAATTCCTGAATCTACGCATGAAAATGCACTACGACCAACGCCATCGGGATGGTCCTGACTTAAAAAAAGGGGAGAAGGTCTACCTCCTACGACGAAACATCAAAACCAAACGACCAAGCGACAAGCTCGACCACAAGAAACTGGGACCATTCACGATCGAAGAAAAGACGGGACCAGTCAACTACCGACTGAAACTACCGGAGAGCATGGGGAGAATTCATCCAGTATTTCACATCTCATTGCTTGAACCCGCACCGAAAAACGCTGAACTCACTACCAATGTGGAAATCAAAGAAGAAACCGAAGGCGAATACGAAGTCGAAGCAATTGTGGACGATCGCTGGCACAATGGTCAACAACAACTTCTTGTGAAATGGAAAGGGTACCCCACCTCAGAAAACACATGGGAACCTATTGCGCACTTGGGGGGCTGCCACCGGATGGTTGAGCAGTACTACCTTGCGGCGAAAAGGACGCCCCAGCAGCGACAGCAGAGGAAGCGCCGGTGCCAGCGCTGTCCCAAAAAACCGAAGGGATCCGAACAATTTCATCCCACATCTGATCAAAATTCGGATTCTCAGCAGTAGCCGCCAACTGCTGGAGATCGAGAGCAGGGGATACAACCTGCTCTGGGGACGTTTGTTTTTCGTCCAGAATCGCCAACAATTCCGCATCATGCTCTGACATCTTGAAGCCCTTCTGCTTTAAGAAGGCCATTTGTTTCCGCAGACGACGTTGACGACTCATCGTCGCCTGATACTGCTTTTGCTTATCCAACACCTGTTGATGCAACGCTGCGAGACGATCTTGTAACTCGCCCAGCTCAGGCTCCAACAAATCCAACTCTGATTCACTCCTTTCAATATCCGCCGACAACTTCGACTCGGCACGAGACAGCAGGTCCCATTCCACGCCAGTATGGAATTCCCTCTTGCAGGAACGACCAGCACGAGTACACGACGCACACTTTGAATACCTTCGGGAACGATCCATCACGCAATCTTCGCCAGATTCGGCACAATGAGAACACGAGACAGAAGCAACGAAACCGTCGTCCGAAATATAATTCGACTGACGAATACGACCAGCGACTTGATCCCGCAACGACGGAAGCTTGGGGGTACTCTCAATAACTGCGTCAGCCTTTCGTTTAGGCATTGCGAACGAAGGACATACCGAAGGAAGAAGACACCACCTAGGGATAGACAGGTTATAAGGGATTCGAGGGCGAAACCCGAGAAGAGGGGGAGGTGATGTTACGAACCCTGCAACCACCAATCGATCTGGCCCACATGGAGCGGCGCAACAGATCACCAGACAGAGATGATTAAGATCATCACGTGACCACATGCAGGTGGTAGAAGGGTATGCTGATCAAACGGTAGACGACGCCAAGGTCTCAACTACCACTATACCATCTACCAATCTACCAACCCAAGGACGGAGGATATAAGGACACTCGTTCACCAGGATGTACCTAGTTCTTTGTGATCAATCTTCATACCATTGTTACTTGAGTACCGTTCACAGTCTCGACTATAAAGCCAAAAACCTCAACGATCTTGGGAGCTTACTTAGTGATCTTTGATCCCTAAGTGACTGACTTGATCGGCGCCCTAACTGTCACACCCTGCAAGTACCCTAGAGACCCGAGTCCATCTAAGGCCCTGCGCGGCATTGGTACAGGTTGCGGACTATACTTGGGGCTCGCAGTATTCCAAGAGAAGTATCATCCTTTGAGGACCCTACTCACCGTGACCAGTTAGCGGTTCGTAACACTTATTTCAACCTTATCAGGCATAAAACATAGAGCTACAGTGAATGTATGGTTTGATGGCGTCATACCTACTATATGAAATAGAGGCATACCAAACCGATTAGTCTTATATGTGCAGTCCATAATAAAAACCTTAAAATATTAGCCAATAAAATCATATAAAAATAGATAAGATAAATACCTTATTATATGAATTAGCCAATTGAATTGACTAAGGATGAGAGAAAAGAAAAAATTCGATATGCCCTATATTATCTTGCTCGAATGAATATTTATAACCTTCTGAATCGAGTAGTATCTGTAGATATTCAAGAATACTACGTTCTCCTATCTCTTTTCGTCGAATTTCTGCTCGCATATTATAGACATCGCGTGGTATGATTCGTTGACGAGGGGACTCGCTATATAGCGCACCAATGATATGCTTCGGTCTAATAGCAGAGAGTCGTTGAATTAAGGTTTTCTGCGCTAGGGTAAATTGACGTGCGATTGGGTGCGCTATCATATCTTGATCAGCAGAATGATTATGCGCGGGGTTCTTTACCTGAAGTAGCCAATCAGAACTCCTCTGGCGACTCCCATATACCAAAAATAGACAATTTTGCCGCCGAGTACTCGTTTTGCGCCTTTTGGCGCCTGCAGGCGCTTGTATTCGGTCCGAATATACCCCAGATCTATCGCAGTGGAGATAGACTTGCCTATCAGCATTGGACCGCTTGATAGTAGTAGCATACCCCTGCGCTATACCCCATTGGCGCATAAAATCGACCAATTCATCCCGATTAGGGAAGGTTCGTTGTGGTGGGGGCAGCAGATCGGTAGTGGCAGCGGCAGGCGAATCAGCATGCGAATCGGCAGGCGAATCAGTAGGCGAATTGGCGAGGGGTCTAGTAGGCAAATCGACAGTCGAATTGCCAGTGGTGGCAGCAGAGATATCGGGGGGAGTAGCGGCAGTAGGGGTGCTGGGGGTAGGCATAGCGGGGTTGGTTTGCATGGTATGCATGATAGAGCAGACGAAGCAGATAGGGTATGCAGAAAGCGAAGAACTAGCAGGGTAGTAGTAGAAGAGAAAAAGAGATGAAGCAGAATATTGAGTAGATATGCAGTATATAGTTGCTATAGTGATGAAAATTGATTATATCAGCGATTTTGCTTATGTCAGAAAATGAGGTGTCAATAGCGAAAATCTTGAGGTGCCCCTATCAATACCCCCCCCAAAATATTTTTATTACCTAATCTTATTTTATACACACAAAAAGAAAATTCTCAACTTTATATTATTATCACCTCACTATGTCATCTTCACAGTACTTCCATAGTCCGTCATTCGGACCTCGTTTTATATTTTCGCTTACCCCCCCTTATTTTCTTTGTTTGTACCGTTTCTAGGTTTTGCATATAATTTGGAATATAGATTTTTTATATGTATTCAATAAAAAATCACTGTAAATATCATAAATATAGAGATATAAGGTTATATAGAGTTGATCCGTGGATAATGAAAGTATTATTAGTAAGAATTTTAATTTTTGCATAAAATATTTTGGGGCCCAGTCGACTTAGCGAGCTAAGGGGGCCCCAAAAGTCGGCGTAATATTCCACCGATTTTTGGGGCCCGCTCAGTATTTTTTGGGGCCCCCTCAGCTGTAACCCGAGTCGACACAATTTGCCTGTCTGATATCTCCGACGGATTTGGAGTCACTATTGGCCCACAAGTCTTCAGTGACGTCGACTAGTCGCAATTCGGAAATGAAGAGCGCGTTGGAGCGAAACACATTTATAAGCCAGTGGAGCTCTCCAGGACCTCTCAAGTATATGTAAGGTGAAGATGGCCGAGGGGGGAGTCTGTTTGCCACATATAAATCTGTGCGATCGTTGCAGTTCTTCGAAAAGTGTGCCTTGTTTCAGTAAATTGACCATCGAAGTGTGAACGTCATGGCCCAACCCAACCACCCGGATATCGCCAACAAGCCCGCCCAAGGCATCTCATACTTCACCCCGGCCCAGGTGCCCCCCGCTGGATCGGCAGCAATTCCTCAGTCCGATGGATCGCAACCCCCCAAACTCTTTCAGCCCTTCAAGGTGCGGGGTGTAACGTTCCACAACCGCATCGGAGTAAGTCCCATTCTGGTTGCTCTCCGTTCAAGGGAGACGACAGTTTGGCTAATGCAGAGTCATCACAAGGACAGCTCTCTCCGCTGTGTCAATACAGTGCCGACGATGGACACATGACCGACTGGCACATGGCGCATCTGGGAGGCATTGCGCAGCGCGGGCCGGGGTTCGTGATGGTCGAGGCGACCGCCGTCCAACCCGAGGGCCGCATCACGCCCCAGGACCACGGACTGTGGAAGGACTCGCAGATCGAGCCGCTCCGGCGCGTGGTTGAGTTCGTGCACAGCCAGAACCAGGTGATTGGGATCCAGATGGCGCATGCCGGTCGCAAAGCCAGCACCGTGGCACCGTGGCTCAGCATGGCCGACATGGCGACCGAGCAAGTGGGAGGGTGGCCCAGCAACGTCAAGGGCCCAACCAACATACCCTTCCACGACCGATTCCCCATCCCCAAGGCAATGACCAAATCCGACATCGAGGAATTCAAAAAGGACTGGGTGGCGGCGCTGAAACGCGCCGTCAAGGCGGGCGTCGACTTTGTGGAAATCCACAATGCCCACGGTTACCTCCTCATGAGCTTCCTGTCGCCGGCCACGAACCAGCGCACCGATGAATACGGCGGCAGCTTCGACAACCGCATTCGTCTGTCCCTGGAAATCGCCCAGCTGACGCGCGAGAATGTGCCCCAGGATATGCCCGTCTTCCTGCGGGTCTCGGCCACCGACTGGCTCGAGGAGGTGATGCCCAAGGACCCCAGCTGGCGCGTGGAAGACACGGTGCGGTTCGCTCAAGCGCTGGCTGAAAGCGGCAACATCGACGTTCTGGATATCAGCAGCGGTGGGAACCACCATGCCCAGCATATTCATGCTAAGGCCGGGTTCCAGGCGCCTTTTGCTATTGAGGTGAAGAAGGCCGTTGGAGACCAGATCAAGGTCGGTTCCGTTGGTATGATCAACTCGGGTCAATTTGCCAACTGTCTCTTGGAGAACAATGGCCTCGACTTTGTCCTTATTGGCCGTGGCTTCCAGAAGAACCCCGGGCTGGCATGGACCTGGGCTGAGGAATTGGATGTTGAGATCACCATGGCCAACCAGATTCGGTGGGGGTTCTCGAGCCGTGGTGGGGGTGTATACTTGAAAAAGAGACAGGAGAAGATGTAGATAAACGAGTCATAGACGTATAAAGCAAAGCCCTATGAGTGATGATTAGCGTTCCTCGAGTGGTTCCTCGCTGAAGCGACGGCTGTCAGTGATCTATGTAGTAGGGGGAATTCTTGTATAATTCTAAACTATCAACAAGCATATACTTGGTCTGTAGCTTATCAAAATGTAGTTGTAGCTTTGTCTGCAAACTTCAATGATCTCCACTAGGCTGTCTTTGTTGCCGATGTGCTCAGGCCCTTGCAATTATACTGTTAATGCCGACCCGACGCAGCACCGTGTTTACGTATGTCCGACGGGGCCGGTACCAAATAGATAAATATATACGAGCGAGAGAGAAATAGCGCAGGTATACAATTCAACCAAATTCTCGCCGATCACAAAATAATCATAATAATAAACGCCTCGGATGATGTGCGTGGTGGCTCGCATATGGCTTGACCCTGACTGATGTCGTGGATTAAATAATGAACCACATAAAATCATAATAATGCGATGGCTTATTGTCACAAAGAAAGAAAAAAAAAAAGGCCCCCTCATAATTCTTTACAGTGCGATAGGCTCGATTTGCAGTGGAGCGAGTCAAGCGAAAGATCTGAGAACTGGTGCAGATGTCTTACCGCATGCGGTAGTCATTGCGAGCCGAGAGAGAGGTACTTGCGAGAATCCCACGTCTCAAAATAAATATCCACGTGTTCCATGGGAATCACTAAGGCGTTGGTTTTCTCGGCATCGAGTGTCACTGTGTTGCGATCGCCGTCATATGTTGCCCCCCGCATACATGGTACACGAGCCGAGATCCGATCATCTTTGCATACACGCAAATAATTCTGAATTATTTCCACGGTAAAGATCACATTGCCTTGGCCTTGGAGTTGTGCGACAAACACAGAATATCTTTTTATGTCGACATCTTTTATCGCGACACTGCAGGCCCCGATCGGACGAAACCGACGAGAACCCAAGGACCTCGGCACCGGTGGGCGGACGTGAAGTCAACGTGACAAATTGATTAATTGTGCAAAGGGCTGGACCTGATCACTATATTAGGGGCCCTGCTGATCGCAAGAGAGATCTTGGTCATCGCAACTAAATTCTTTGCCTCTATCGCGAATTGGCCCCGACCAGCCACCATGGGTCGCATCAAGGACAACTTTGGCATCCTCTACTTCGGGGTAGCTGCGGCCCTGTATTTCAAGCCAGAGTATGCCATTCGGAACTCGAGCATTGCAACTTTCGCGGTTTTGTTTGCGATCATCACAGTATCGAAGATCATCTATCAACTTATACTATATCCCCAATACTTCACGCCGTTGAAAGACATTGAAACACCGCCGGTGAGTCTGGCTTCTCCCCTACAACATGCCCATTCCCTTGGCTAATGAATTCCAGGTTCGACACTGGCTTACCGGCAACACATCGTCGATGTTTCTGCACACGCCGTATGCACAAATCCAGGAGTGGATCAAGAGTGTCCCCAACGAAGGATTGATCCGATATTACATTGTTGGAAACATGGAGCGAGTGATACCGTTGAGTGCCAAAGCACTGAGCGAGATTCTTGTTACCAAAGTGTACGATTTCGAGAAGCCCGAGGCAGTGCGAGCTAGTCTGGAGCGGATCACTGGGAATGGAGTCCTGCTCGCCGAGGGCGAAGACCACAAGGTCAGAACAAAAAAAAAAGAAGTCCTAGATAAGACCTATTTGCTAAAGCATCAGCAGATTCAACGCAAAAACCTCATGCCGGCATTCTCCTACCGCCACATCAAGGATCTATACCCAGTGTTCTGGTCTAAGAGCGCGGAGATGGTTCGACTCATCGAACGAGATCTAGCGATCAGGAACTCTCCCGACAACACCATCCAAGTGCGCAACTACTCCAGTCGCACGACACTCGACATTATCGGAGTGGCGGGCATGGACCACGATTTCGACTCACTCCGCAACCCAGACAACATGCTCAACCGGGCATACAGGAAGATCATCGCCCCGCCATCTTTTTTGTCCCGGATCCTCCTCGTGGCCGTCATGCTCTTCGCCAATCCAAAGCTTGTTCAGCGCCTGCCCACGCAGCGCAATAAAGAGATCCAAGAAGGCGGAGACGACATCCGCAACGTAGCACGGCAGATGATCCGCCAGAAGAAGGCCAAGATGGCAGACCCCGGTGCAAAGACCGGCGTCGACATTATCTCCGTGGCCCTGCAAAGTGGCACTTTCGAAGAAGAGAACCTTGTCGACCAACTCATGACATTCCTAGGCGCCGGCCATGAAACAACCTCGGGGGCCCTCCAATGGGCCGTCTACGCCCTCTGCAAACACCCAGGGATCCAAACCCGCCTCCGGGAAGAGGTGCGCGCACATCTCCCATCAATTTCAACCGCAGACCCCATCTCCGCAGCCGCAATCGACAACCTCCCCTACCTCCACGCCGTCTGCAACGAGGTCCTGCGCTTTTACCCCTCCGTACCCACCACCATCCGCAAAGCAGCGCGCGACACCACGCTCGTGGGCAAGCACATCCCCAAGGGCACGTTCTTGATTATCTCCCCGAAGACTCTCAACCACATGGAAGAGCTGTGGGGGGCCGATGCCGGCCAGTTCAACCCGGACCGGTTCATGAGTCCTGGGAATGCCAACATGGGCGGCGCGACCAGCAACTATGCGTTTCTGTCGTTTTTGCATGGCCCGCGCGGGTGCATTGGCCAGGGCTTTGCGAGGGCCGAGCTGGCTTGTCTACTCGCAGCTACTGTTGGCCACTTTCACATGGAGTTGAAGTACCCGGATGCTCCGTTGGAGCTTATGGAGGGTGCGACGGTCTCTCCGAAGGATGGGGTTCTTGCTAGGTTTACTCCGCTGGAGGGATGGTAGTCTAGCTCTTCTGTTTGGTCGGAGGTTGGGCCTTGCATTGTTGTTTTCGTTCTCAGCGTCTATCTTTCTGGGGTTTGGGGTTTCGTGAGATATATCCTTTTCTCTTCGGTGCTGCAGCCACATACATATATGTATATATGTGTCTTGATTCGATCCAATACTGTGCCGCTATAGTTGGTCATTCAAATATCCAAGAACATCTCCGATGGGTATACATGTAGGCTGCGAGTTTTGCTTCAATCCATATAAAAAGGTATCATAGTCCCCAATTAGGTATATATCCATTGATATATCGATGCTTTTGATGATCGGCGAGGGGGTGTAGACGCTGTGGAGCTATACTATGCTGCCCTTCATATTTTCGAAGTTGATCACTCCATTCAACAAATCAGGTGCCGTGGTCAAGTGGTTACGATAGTTCGTTGTGGTTGAACAAATCCGAACTGACCCCGGTTCGATTCCGGGCGGCGCCAATTCTTTTTTGCTCCTTGAGAGGCATTCCCTCCCTGTCTTCCTTTTTTCGAGGCTGTGTTTTATTATGACTGAAAAATTATTGCTCATAATTTTTTATTTTCTGATCTCAATCAGTACGTACACAATATATGCTTCACTTTGAACGATATATCTACAAAGCATGTAAATATAACGCCCAACTAGATATCTATACCCCAAGAACTATAGCCATACAGCACAAGGCCTAGAAATATTGCCCTCCGGAGCGACATTTGGTTGAATTAGACGAGAAAACATAGGGAAATAAGCTTAAATTAGTCCCCCCCCGCGCTTGTCACTATAGAAACTTGTTAAGGCAGGAGCTTGCAGACCATGTGACAAAACAACAACGAGGAAATGATGAAAGACAAATCATGGCTCAATAAACACAGTGACTATCTTAGAGACTTTACACTAGAGAATTTCCTCCCTTTATCGTAGGGGAACCCGATGGCACACCTCAACCTCTATGCCCTCCGAGAAAGACTAACGAAACGAGCGCGGAAACCGAGGACAACCCCAAGCCCCTAAGTAGGGCGGGTTTCCTTGCACCTTCGAAGCAGCAAAAAGACCGAGGATGATGGTTTACAGAAGCCGGTCTGGTAAGGCTTGAGCGGCGTTGGCATCAGTCCCTCCCGGTGTCGGAACTAATGATAAGCTCGTCGACATAGCATGTACGCCAACATCGAAACGGGCAGAGCAATAATTCCTAGTTCACGCTAGCGAAATTCCCACGATGGTTGAAGATAACTTGGTACATCCGTTGACTAGGATGCACCGGCCATTAATAGTAGAATACACACAGTCGGTCATAACTAAGTAGTGCTTGCTGCGGATTATGCTCAAAATTTGTTTCTGTGTTACCAGTGGATGAAGGCCGGACTAGATCCGCTATCTCTCCACGAGCTTCTGGGAAGGCTCCTCGGAATGATTACCGTATCCTATTTTTACTATGATAGTACCTACTTGGATTTTATTTTGAGGGATGGGTTCCTTCTCTGAATAGGGGAACCTATTAAAAATGTTGACAACTACTCGTGCTCTATCGTAGTTGCACTAAAATAAAGAAGGAATAATAGACCTTAGCAGTAATCTAGTAAAATTTTTATATTTTATACTCTCTATTAATTTGAAAAAAAAAAAAAAAAAAAAAAAAAAAGTATTAAGGTAGGAAGGATACGCAGTTAGATAGCATGCATGGTCCTAAAAAGGAGGGACGAAAAAGAATTGGCGCCGCCCGGAATCGAACCGGGGTCAGTTCGGATTTGTTCAACCACAACGAACTATCGTAACCACTTGACCACGGCACCTGTTTGATGATTTGCTGGAATTTTAGAAAAATATGTAGATTGCAACCAAGAACCCCTTTAATTTATGGCTCGTAATATGTAGTAACAACATTCTATTTTACATTAGGTAAAGTGGTCGTTCTATTCTCTATATTATGAGCCATAGAGTACAGAAGACATACACTTAGCATAGGGAGCATAGAGTAATTACTTATAGTTATATTTTTTAGGTTCGCAAGAATGCAAACCTCGCTCACGATCTATACATGCCGTTCTTCACCCCACTCAATATCAGAAACGGCAAGGTATGCAACGCAACTAGTTCCTATACTGTAATGATAATTGCCAAATAATCAGATTTTAATAAATTTTATATTTAATCATTTTCCTCGGAGGTTATCCTTTAGTCCGCTTTAGATGTAACCACATAATACACAAAAATATATATCCAGGCTCAATGGACTAGAAAATACGGACAATTAATGAGAAGATTTTGTATTCTTAGACACACCCAGAATTAAGAAACAATTAAAGCTCGAAAATCTTCTGTTGTGTGCATTTCATGATGGCTGGCTCTTCGAATAGAAACTCGAATACAAAACAGCCATGCATCAATATATCCTAGACACAACCTAAGGCCCAAGCTACAAGCCCATAGCCAAAAAAAGATTCAAGTTTTGCTTATACATCTGCCGCATAGTATCTAAATACAAACGCTACCCTCTAAATCCGTGGAATATAAAGGCAGATTTTATTCTGCATTTATGTATCAAATGACGGGGAGAGGCTGGGATAAGTTGAAGCCTCAATGATCCAGAAAATACAAATCGCTTTTTGAGCTTATCACAATTAAATTCCTCCCAGAAAGATCGGAACCCAGGATAGAGATATTTTTTGACTGCCGTACCTGGAAATTCCTTTTTCTCCATCACGGGATGGATCATACTGATCTACCAGGCTTCGTCGGTGGATCGGGGCCCCTAAGGTCCGTGTGCCGTACATGTATACGTAATGAAGGGAATATAAATACAAAGTTACATTCCTAGGAGATTAGAGTCATCCTATTCAGTCTATTCCAAAACCTGAACAAGATTCTTAAGTCAACCTGAGCAGATCGATTTCATTTTTGCTCCATTCAATTGGTAATACACCCCCAACCACTTCAAATGGCCTCTCCTCGCAATGTTATCATTTTTGGCGCGACTGGACGCATTGGCTCGGTCGCCGCCCTCAAGGCATATCAAGAGGGCGCAAAAGTTACACTCGCCATGCGTGATCCTTTAAAGCCTATCCCGAGTCTCGGCGACATCGTGACCGAGAAAGTCCGAGCAGACCTCACCAAGCCTGAAACCGTTCAGACCGCAGTTCGCCAAAGTGGTGCCACGACTGCCTTAATCTATGCAATTCATGAAATGCCCGACGGCATGCGGCGCACCCTTGTGGCGCTCAAAGAAGGAGGAATCGAGTCCGTCATTCTACTGAGCAGCTTCACCGTCCAGGGTGATATACATGCTATACCACCTACTGATATAGTTCCATATATCCATGCCAAGGTTGAGATAGCTCTTGATGATGTCTTTGGTGGCCGGTGGAGCGCCGTGCGACCAGCTTATTTCGCGAGCAATGCGCTACAGTACAAGGACGAGATTATGCAGGGCGATGTCAGGCTGCCAAACGCTGACGTCGAGTTCGACTGGATCTCACCCGAAGACATTGGCCGGGTTGTTGGAGTGCTTTTAGCACACGGTGCACAGGAGCGCGTTGTTCCTTTGGTCGGGCCAAATCGATTGTCCTTGAAGGATGCTTTGAGTGTTATTGGCCGTGTCCTAGGCAAAGAAATCAGGATCACTCTTGTGGGAAAGGAACAGGCAGTGGAGGATATGCAGCAAAAGGGGCTTCCAGAGCCGGCTGCCAAGTGGTTTGTTGAAGCTGTTACTGGACAGAGAAGCTTCATTTGGGACGTGCCGGATTGCCAGGTTGGAATGGACAATGTGCAGAAGTATACCCACAAGACTCCAGTGATGTTTGAGCAGTGGCTGGAGGAGAATAAGGAGAAGTTTGCCGCTTAGGCTGTAAGAAGTCTGGAGTGATATAAACGGACACAAAGTTGAATATTTACAGATAGCATAGCCAATGAAAGCTAGTGAGACTAGGACGGCTATAAACAGCTTCTTCGCGCCACTTAGTTCTGGCGAAGTGAGGGGCGATATACAACTCCATTTTTTATTACAAGATTCTTAAGATTGTTCCAAGTAAGTAGTCAATTTTTCTCAGTTGCACTATTTCCTTCGTTTACTTCCTTTCATTAACACTCCTTGTTTCATCATAGCCGGTTGGATCTGACATAGTCGGGTCGCCTGAACTAACCACGGAGAGCTAGACACAAAAGAATTAACAATCGGAACACCGAAGGAGCGAACACTTTGTCATCTTTCGCCATTCCAAGGTTGTGGCCAAGCTTTCAGCTGCGAAGCACGGAGAACAGAGCACCGAGCACCGACTATGTAACTGATCTGTAAACGCAGGCTTACCCAAAGGGTCAGGCGCCCAGTAGGCATTTATTTAGTCAGAATTCAAGTATTTAATCACAACTAGCCTCCCAGCTGTGTTTTTAATTCTCCGACCTTTGTTTACTGCTCATTCCTCACCGCACCTATACCGCTAAATCCAGTACTCTAAATGGCACCTATCCGCTTTGGGTGCTTGGTATTCGACTACCAAGCGATTGATGTCATCGGCCCATGCGACTTGCTTAATTCTGCTAGCAAACGTCTCATGACTGCCATGAAGTTCTTCGGCCCAGTCGACGAAGAAGCCCTCGCCCGCGCGCCCGATTTCGTGTTCCATCACATTGGAGAAACAAGGGAGCCGGTTCCTCTGCTCACAAGTGCTTTAACACTCGTGCCTACCACCACCGTGGATGACTGCCCGGAGCTGGACTGTCTCTTGGTTGGCGGGCCCAACCCGGCTCGTTTCCAAGTTCCACCGAAATATGTCGAGTTCATTCAGCGTCATGTTGCCGCGGGAAAACTACTGTTTACCACCTGTACCGGGGCAGCGGTTGTTGCGGCCACTGGGGTTCTGGATGGGAAGCATGCCACCGTCAATAATCTGGAGTATAATTGGGTGGTTAAACACTATCCAAAAGTGAAATGGACAAAGGATCAGAAGTGGATTGTGGAAGGAAATATCTGGACAGGCAGTGGAGCGATTGCTGGAATGGATATGTTCGCACACTGGCTGAAAGAGAATTTTGGGTTGAACGTCCTCCGACAGGGATCGCTGTCTCTTGACTACGAGCCTCGTGACAGTGACGGACTATTCAATGTGCTGCCACAGCGATATGATTCGGCCGGAAGGAAAGTCTCCACGCATGTCTTTCCTCAATAGCGTCCATCGATCGATGTTGAAACCAAATCTAAATTTCGTTGAGGATACCCTGCTACAATATTTATTATCTCTTATAATTTGGGACCTAAGTTTCATATGAGGTTGAAGTAAAGACTAGATGAGATCCACAATTAACATAGCCTTCCTAGGCTGTGTATTTCTAATCAACCAAATCCCTTGTCTACCCACATCCTCCATGCTTGCTGTTGTCTTCTTTGTTCAAGCATTCCAAAGTCGAGTCATCGCACTCGCTTTTGGAACTGCAGCTTACCACAGGGCCGTTGGGCTTCTTCAAGTAACACCACGGGTTGCCCTCGCGCCAAGTTGTGCTACCTTGATTTCGCTTCCCGTTGCCACTGCCGTCATTGTCCGGACTGCAGGTACTCCAACAGCCGAACGCTGTGCCTTCGTCCACAGGGATTTGAGTGCAACCCGGGGAAAAGACTACGATAAGACGAGTTCGTTAGTGATGGGAGTCCACAAATAAAGACGATAAAATTGATGAGAATAATTTTTGTCAGGTGTACTCACCGCTATCGGCAGTTACGAGGGTGCCCATTGCAAGGCAGACAGTGCCGAGAGCGACGTGGAGCTTCATCGTGGGAATATGTAGATAGATAGTTGTGGGTGTTTCGGGTGGAGATGGACAAGAGAGATAACCAACTCAAAAGAAGGCCTTTAGGATAGAAAGAGCACTCTTTTATATTGACTTTTCAGCCCCCTTGTAGATCAGTTATTACCGAGGATTCTCAAGCGGTGACTCGAGTCAGTCGTACGCTAGCTTCTAGGGGCCAAAGTATGGCTTATATAGGGCTGGTAGTTTATTGTAGGGTACTGTATCTGGAGGATAAATGGTCAATGGTTCGTCTTTCTTTGCCAATATTCTATACTGCGTCTACTGGATGCACATTATTATTTTATTCTGCCATTCAACACGCCTCTCGGCATGCTAGAATTGCTGAAGTGTGGCTTGAGATATGTACAAAAGTGTCATGATGTATATCTCCGACAATGTTGACCCTCCAAAATTTATGAGCACTGCAAGGAAAAAAAAAAAAAAGGAGCCACCCGCGTCCTGTGATGATCGCTGCAAGCCACAGCCTTGCGCAGTAGTAGTTTGGAGGCGGTGCTTGCTTAGGATCGTGAGATACGTCGGATCGGAGTCAACTAACGAGCTTACATGTACCTACTGTAAACGTCCACGCATATACCGCGGACTTCTTGGTATTTCAGTAAGATATAACTCCGATGCACCCTAACTGAGTCATGCTAGGATCTACGTAATATAGGGTCAGTATATGTAGCCTTGTGTCCTGTAGCCTTGTGTCCTGTATCCTTGTGTCCTGTAGCCTTGTGTCCTGTAGCCTTATTACAGTGGTAGACCTCGGCAGACCCCCCTAAGTCGCTCTATGGCCCAAACCTATAGACCCATGAGCCGGGCCAGGGTAAGGTAGGTCCACCTATAGATTTTTGCCGCCTATAGTCGGCCTATTTCTGTAGTTATAATTATCCCAATTAGTATGTATAATAAGCTGATTCAGCTAGATAGATTAATTAGTTAACTACAAGTAGCAGCCGGTTCCCCAAGGCTTTGAGGTTGACCACCACTCTCATACATTAGCGAGCTGGCCTACAATAGGCGGTAATTCAGCGATACCGCCCTCGTCTTTGGGACCAGGGAAAGTTTTATCCATCAAATTCTTCCAGAATCGGGTGTAGCGATAATCTCGGCACTAGCATCAGAACCAGGCTACTCTGGCTCATGGCCCCAGTCATCGTAAACGTAGATCATAATGGTATAGTGTCGGAGATCGCCGCGCGAATACCTATCCTCACTATTGAGACGATCCAATAAGCTTACTATGTAGTATTATTGTCTTCTATAGGCTGCGCCGCTATTTGCTGAGCGCGACGTAGCAGTATTGCTATTAATTGGTTTGAGCTCTACTTGCCATTTATTCTATCAAAAATTCACTGAATTCCGGCCACTGTGCATAGTATCAAAATTGAACCTGTAGAATAGTGGGGTCATTGGGCGCCCAGGGTGCCTTCTGCCGAACCTCGATTCCCACAGGATCACGCCCGATACGATTTGGTGAGCTGGCCTGGACGGTAAGGCGCTTGATTTCGGCTCAAGAGACTGCAGGTTATTTTTTTATTTTTTATTTTTACTTTTTAACTCTTTTATTTATATTTTTTTATAGACTTTTTTGACTTTTTTTTTTAAAAAAAAAAAAAAGTTCTTGTCACAACCCAGCTTTGGTTCGCCATCACTAGGACTCGGTCAGGTATTTTGCTTCCGCAGAAAGCCTCCCTAGCTGACAGGTCATTATGTCTGGGCAGATATAAGTGAGGCTAGACTTCTCGGATTGACCTTCTCAGACTTTTTTTTAATGGACAAGCTTCCGGGTTTCATGATAGAAAACCGCACAAACACATTAGTGAACCCAGTCCGTTAATATGAATACATTATATATAGTTCATTCTGGGAAGTCATTCTCCGGATCACACTCTGGATCTAGATCCGGAAATTCGCTGTGATCGTCCCAATATAGTGGCACGCGGCGGAGCACATCTAAATCCAAATAATCCGCCAGAACCCAGCGCATCAAGCCGAGAAGTGTCTTCCGTGACCCTTTTTCGTTGCCATACTTACTACCTAGAGTATATCCGCCAGGGCCGTCCACATTGTCGGAAATGAAATGGAGATACCCGAACTGGGCCTTGCCCTCTTCACAGGCCTGGGCGAGATAGCCCACTTCGCAATCCACCCAAGACGCTTTGGACTTCCACTCCCCAAACCAGGTCTTGGTTTCGTCTAACGGTGAAGCCACGTTGATATGCTTTCCTTGCTTGAGGGTAGAAGAAGAAAAATGAAAAGTCGAAATCGTGGCATCGAGTGCACTGTTCCAAACTTGATCACTGCCATCAATAAAACTCCCATGACCCGTAGCCAGCGACGCGTAGGGTTTATCCTCTGGCTTCAACGCCCCCACCTTGCCCATATAGATAACGGAGGTAACAGAGGTTTTGCTGAGCTGCCGCTGAGCTCGCACAACGTTCCCGATGATATCACCCCAGAGGCTCATCTTGCTCGCCAAAAAGGCGATCTTCGTTCCATCCGGGCGGGTGAACCGTCTCCATGCAAACAGCTGGGTCGAACCATCGGAGCCCGAGACACTATCGCCCGTCTCCCAGGGAGCGGAGGGGGCGGGGGGTTTGGTGGATGACAGGTAACCCACATATCCGAGAACCAAAGTGTCGACACCATCCAAGTGCTTCAAATTCGACTTCAAGAGGATATCCATACATTCTTCCGTTGAAGGGAGTATATACTCCAGCGTTGTCGTCGATCTCTTAACCTTTCTCAGCGCTAGATCGGCCGCGAGTAGCTTCGCATAATGTAGCACGTAGTCCCGCCCGGGGAAGCAGGAAATCTCCAGCGTATTCTCGTCGATAATAGTGGCCGTGGGTCGTTGCCAGTTAAAGCCCTTTTTCTTTTCTAGGGACGAGACGTGCACGTTCTCGCCGTCTCGCACATAGTGTCCTCGGATTGTGATCCGGTGCCAGTTTCGACTTTTGACCAGCGGATGGATTTTCGTCCCGACATAGTCTTTGAGACCTCTCATCAATTGGGGTTCGTCGAAAAATGTATCCTGATTAATTGTCTTTGTGGCCGTGGGTTGATTGTCCCCTCTAGTTTGTACCACAGCGCCAGTTGTCGGTTGCAGGAGAACTAGGGAGGTATAGAGTAAGCCATCTCATGTAATATTATGGGATGGGCAATCGATGTGGAGGGACGCGACCTACTCAAGATGCCCAGCAGCATCGTAAATCGAACCATTATTGCTCGATTGATGTGCATGGTCGCAGTCAAGAGTCCTTGATAAAATACATGGGAAACATGCTTCGTTCCGCGCGGATAGAGGATTTATTGAGTAAATTTATCCTCAGAGCGGGAAGAAAGCAGAAACTGCGCTGTGGATATGTCAAGCATAGTCGGGCAAAGAATACAAGAGTAAAAGCCATCAGGATTGGTAGGCACAGCGCCCAGCATATACGATTGCCGTACGACTGGTATTAGGTGAGACTTGGGATTAAAAAAAAAAAAGGAAAATTGGAAGTGGAAATCCCTTCCCAACACGGGAATTTATGGATCTAGCTTCGCTATAGGGGGAGGATCCTACAAAAGGATCAAACATATATATACTGTAGGTGGACCAAGGTGTGAAGACGGGCGGCCCCAAGCTATGACGAGGGGCGGCCCTTCTTTTCATAGGGGTTAGGAAACGAATGATACTGATTGCGCCCAAGAAAGTTCTGTGGGTATTCTATCAAGTCAAGATCATCTGGCTAAAGTCTATTTAGCAATTAAAATATAGTAGGAGTTTACACTGGTGTCCTTCTCAGGTTCTGTTTTCTCTTCTGTCTTCACCTTACAGGGATGCTCCATGCCCCGTGCACCATGATAGTCCACACCTAGTCTTTTTTTCTTTCTTTTTTATTTTTCGGGCGTCCTAGTATATTTCGCGTTCCTGGCCTCGGCGCAGTTGCAGGCGCCCCAGACCTGGCCGACCCTCCAGACGCGAGAATAACAAAATTGCCTTACTAACTAGACATATATAGAAGGGTAGAAAGAAAAGAGAGACAGAAAGGCGGAAAAAAAAAAAAAAAAAAAAAAAAAAAAACCAAGCAGCTAAAACGATGAGAGGTATGACCAGCTGAGCAATTACTTAGGGTAGCTGTAGAGACCTACATGGATTAGTGTCCTTTGGAACCAACTTGAATCTAACAGTGTATAGTAATGGCCCAAAGTACGTGGCATAAGATTGGATTGAGTGTTGAATCCCGATGTCATATGGGAGTACCGGCCTTGTCTTGACTGTTACAATTTCCAGACAGGTCGGCAGAATTACAACCATCACTCGAAGTTCCCCTGACTCCCAGGGGAAACGTGTGAAGTTCACGCGAACAAAATCAATAGATAATGTATAATAGACGCCTTAGTCATGCGGCATAACTCTATATGATAGGCGTATTTTTTGAAAAAAAAAATTCAAATATATGACAAAACATCACGTCACCCCTTGAGAGGTTTTAAATATGAACCTCGGAAGGGGAAACATTCGTTTTCCATATACTACTAGTGTATTGCACATAGTATAAGACTTGGCTAACAGGCCTCATCCATCATAGTGATGCCTCTCTCTAGTCTGTACCGCTCCTTAAATAGATTCGGACCAGTATCGCTTACGATAAAAATTTTAACTGCAAGAATATCCTTCCTCTGATCATCTGATCACTTCATCTCTCATTCTTAAAAGACGAATTTTATATCGGCAATACATCTTTCTACCTCCTATAGCTCGACAAAAATCTATTCAAGCTTAGAATTTTATACAGATTTAACTTCAACGCTACCAAAATAGCTGCCTGGCAAATTCTGGAGCCAGTAACCTTCACTCTACTATCCATTCTTGTCATATACCATGTAATTGAGGTATGTTATATCTAGGTAGTTTCAGGAATTCTAATATCGCTATGACTGGCAATAGCTCACACTAGCCTACGGCAGCTTCACATGTTATCGAAACGGATCGATAAACTGGAAAGCAAGATAGAATCCTCTGGGAGAGTTTGACTGGGCCTGAGAAAATCGTCTTTGAAGGCTGTTTGTGTTGATCGAACTTGTTTAGCCATGAGAAGATAATTTGTTGCTTGCGAGTATTGACCTAGAAGAATATATAGTGGCTTCGATTTCTAGAAAGTTAATCGACCCCAGGACAGTCCGCTCTTCTTGCTTGAAAGACTGGGGCCTTGCAAGGGATGGACCTTGAGGATCTGGATGGAAGGCCTCGATGTGAAGCTGCAAGTTTTATTATGGAGAGTTACTGGTGATCGTTGTTTCTTTTGACTTCAGCTTATAAGATGAAGGTCCCTCATTTCTGTGTTTGAATTCATTGAATTGTTAAAAATTTGCTTTCAAATGATAGCTCTTTTTGCCGTTTGATGAAGAATCCTGCCATACAAGTTTGAGCTCTCATTCGTATAGTCTGTAGATCATTTCTACAGCAGAAAAAGTTCCGGGATGGCCTTTGGACAAGAGACACTCATTGTGTAATTCCTGGGCCCCCATTGATCCCCGATGCACAAGACCCATTCCAGACGATGGAAGCCAGCCACATTTTTCCTACAACAGAAATAACTACAAAGGTAACTGGATTACTGACGACAGCCCTTCGAGTGAAATCGGAGAGAGTGACCTCTATTCTCTGCAAAATGGGCTAAATCTTGATAAGACTGTTCACAGTTATTTCGATGATTTCAAAATAGGGATCGACTCGGATGTAAGCTTCTCTTGAAATCGTGGCATATTCTGTTTTCTGCATCGAAACTGATATTTCGCACACATAGGTAGGCTACAAAATAATCATCTTTCGGGGAGACAGACACGGCAAAACTCGGAGGGAAATGCCTCAAGGACTCTGCTAGACATGGTACCAACTCAAGAAACCGAGTCTGTACACATCTCCTGCGTTGGCGTCTAAGGATGTGCGTGTATCGCAATTTGAAGGCCAACGTCGATATTCAGGCCGTGTGGGAAGATGACCTTGGCAGCGATGATATAGGCCAGATCCTCGAGCAGCCAGATGCTGGACACAGGATGGAGGTAAAGTTGTTCACGCGTCTGGGAGAACAAGTGGCTTAGACAGACGCAAAACCATGCCACCAACGGTCTGGGTCAAATACATCGCACTGGAATCCTACCTAACCATTACAACATAGTACCGATTTGATTCTCCAATGTCGTAAGCGCCATGTTTTGCTGTATATCTTTATGCAATACTATGTTGCTCCCTGAAATAGAACCGAGTACCCGATATCTCGAGTTTGCATCCATATAGCCGAGCAGCAACGCGGGTCTTATTACTGTCAACTATTCCCTGAACCCCCTTTGGTAACAAGGCGACAGGGGTCGGCACTACGTAGATCGGGGCAGATGACCGCGCAAAAAGGTGCCGAAGGTCGAATAAATAGACGTTGCGCGCGATCAACGAAGTCTCCTAGCAGCTTTTCAGATCCGGTGGCCGCTCTGGAGTCTTGACATAGTCCTCGTGGAATCTTGCAGACATCACAAAAGAACATCACTGTGTTTGCTCTTATAAAAACTTGCGAGCTTAGCAACTACTAGCTGATGCGAAAGCAGCCGAGACGGTCTGGCTCGTCAAGATAAGATGAGCAGTCCGGTCCCGGTCTTCCGCAGTTTCAAAATGACACAAGCGCCGTCGGCCAAGGTCGCAAGGCCCCATCCAGACTTTGTATCCTCAAGGCGGATTTGGAGCCCTGCCACGCAAAGGCGATTATCCAAGAATAGCATACGGCGAATGCATCTAGATCTACAGTAGTAGAGAAACCGGGGCCAAGCGAGCGAAGGCAATGCAGATTGCGCTCGAGGGATTGTGGACTTGACAAGTCGCATAAGAAATAACGAGGGTGGCGGAGCTCGGTGTTCCGGATCAATGGCAAAAATGCCTCGTTGGAGAGGTGCTGATGCGTGGAAAGAAGCACAAGAGTGAAGTAGAAATCGAAGCTTTGATCTGGAGGTGATCGAAATCAGTCACACCGCTAGTCTTGGCCTATAATATCAAATCCCACTCAATCATTCTAACAGTCCGATATGGTGTAGTGGCTAACATCGCCGTCTCTCACACGGCAGCCGGGGGTTCGATTCCCCCTATCGGAGATATCTTTTTTGATCTTCTCCCCCATTTTTTTCATCTCGCTGTATTTTTTAGGATTCACTTTTCATCCATCCATCCATTCTCTTATTGTTTTTGTTAAATGTTAATTACCAACCTCAAGCTAGTTACAAGCTAGCCAAGACAGACTAAACGTGTGTAGGTCACGACCTAGAGCATGCAAACATGCCTATTTAGGAGTTCCATAATTTATTTTCATTGATATCAAAATCTTCTTCTATGAAGTAGTCATGTAGAGGAGGCTTTCATGGCCAGCTTGTATCGGAAATGCAAACTTAGCCCCAATCTACATCTTTACTTAGAGCCCACCTCGGAGTCAACGCGATCATCTATACTCGTCTCGAAAGACCATGATCCTCTCGACTTGATCTCCATTGGCATCCTCCTCGATCCAAGCGCGCCACATGCCGCCGCAGTTAAAATCAAAGACGACACGGCCACAACGGAGTTTGTTGCTCGATCCACTAGCCATTTGTGTTGAAGTATTGTCAGCTTCAATTCCAATCATGCCGCCTTCACCCTCGCCGGTCTTGTTCCATCGTGGTCCGGCGGATCGTTGCAACTCCCCACCGGGTCCAGCTATCGCGGTCACCGCCTCCGCCAGAGAAGTCGGACACTGGCCCGAAGAAAACCGCAGCATTGCGGCTGCGGTTCGTGCGGCCGCAACACGGAGGAACGAGTCGCCGTTGCCGGTCCCGGAGATAGCAATGGCGCGCTTTCTAGCTTGTCGTCGGGGGGATGCAGCCTCGTAAAGCATAGAAGCCTTTTCAGATCTGAAGCCCAGTGCGCCGTAGCGGTCCTTGTTCGAGACAGCGGTATACGCTGGAGAGTGTGGATTTCTTAAAGCCCGAGTGATGCAGCAGTCCGCCAGCAATGCCGTGGATTCTCGAACCACGTCATCGATGATAATAGCAGGAGACGAAGACGGCAGGACCGCCTCTTCATCGCCTGCAGGCAACTCATCCCACGCCTCGGCCCAGAACCCCGCGCCCAGCGTAGGCGTATCCCCAATGCGACCAGGAAGTTTATTGGTCATGCCGCCCGTGCTGGTCGCAACGGCCAGATTGCCCCATCGATCCAGACACACGCACCCGACCGTGCCCTGGCTCAACGAGACGGGTTCCCGCACCCCCTTCAAGCCGCGGCGATGCTCGTCCCATCGGCGCTTCGTCCAAAACCAGTCATCCGGCTTGAACTCCAGGCCCCAGTCCCGCGCGAGGGTCTCCACGTACGGACCCGCGAGCTGAGAGTGCAGACTGCCGCCGTCGGATGCCGGCGAGCCATCGGCAGCGCGACCTGTGCGCAGGAGGGACTCGCGCGCGAGCTGGATGGGATGGCGGACGTTCCGCACGGCCATGACACCCGCACCACGTTTTATTGCGCCGTCTTGACTGGTATCGTCGTCCAGGACTGAGGCCACCATTACGGACGCTTCCATTTCAATGGTCCCCGCTGTCGTGAAGACACTGCCGCGCCCGCAGTTGAAGAGCTCGTCGTTTTCCATTAAGGCGACTGCATGTACGGCGGCATCAAGGGCGCTGGCGCCGCCGTTGAGAAGGGCGTGGGTTGAGCGAAGGTAGGATTGGAGGGAGGAGTGGTAGGCCGCGTAGAGGTCTGGCGGGAGGGTGGCCCGCTGGATGTTGCCTGCGCCGCCATGAAGGATCAATGCCGGTTTGAATGAAGCTCGATTTGGCGACATGGTTGCTCGGGAGATTGTTGGGGTCGGAGGAAGTGTTCGGAAGATGCGGGGATGCGGATTCTCTGCGTCTGTTCCAAAGGTGAGTCGATTTTGCTGATCGATAAGCTCCTATATTCTCAAGGCTTCCAAAACATTCAAAAAATCAAAAAAAATAAAGAAAACGCAAGTGTAAGCTTATGACCAAATGAAGCTACTGAGTCGGGCAATCGCTTTTGCCCTAGAATCTGTCCTCGGACCAATCCAGAGTGAAGCCAGTATATGCAGTAGAGCTGCGCATTATGCCTGTTAAGTGTGTATTGTTAATGTACAAGAATCCTCCACGATCCCCCTCCGACGCTTTTGTTGCAGGATGAGTAGAGGAATTCCTTTTGGAGGCGAAAAAACAACCTCGAGAAAAGACACACGCAGATGAGAGGAATCGGCCATGGAACCAGCCGCCGTCCACAAGGTACAGTGCTCCGAAGAAATCGCTCGTGGGAGGCGGTATGAGAGCGTAAGGAAAACGGGTTATAAAAAAGAAGCCAAGAACCTCTATGCCATGTCGTTCAAGAATGATGACCCAAACCAAACACCTGAGAAGAGAGACTCAATGGAAGACGTGTTATAAAGACAAGAGATCGAAGGAGAGGTGGGTTGTCGGCCACCGGAGGGATGAGTCGGGTTGTGCGAAAGGGTTGGTGAAGCAGTTTAAGCAATGGCCTTCTGCTCGGAGGGAGGAGGCGGGGGAAGCTTAAAGTTGAGCCATAAGTCAGCAGGTTCTCAAAATTGTGTTGATGGGTCTTGCGGATCCGTACCTCGAGTTTTGTGTTATCCGCCATCATTCTCTGGAACCCGATACCAACACCCTCGATCACCGCCAAGAAGACGGCACACATAATAGCCGAGTTGCGGGCAGCCTTGACACCACCACGGACAGCCAGGGAGCCACCAGTAAAGAAACCAGCGATAACTATACAGTCAGTTAGAACACTGCAACAGAATCGAGACCCAGCGGACAAAAGGGTGTTGGTAAAGGGTACACATACTAGCATTGTAAGGATCCTCCTTCTTGCGGATACCCTTGATAGCACAGTCGAAGGTCGAAAACAGACCACCCCAGACACCAAAGTTTCCGCCCAGAACAGGAGCGCGAGCCTTGATGGCTGTGATCGCACCTATCCGGCGCTCACCATAGGGGCTGTTGCGGAAACCCTTCACACCGTGCCAGACAGCACCACCAATAGCCTATTCGGCAGAAAAGATGTCAGCGGACTTTGTTCAAGATTTATGTTGGACAGACGTGGGTTGCGTGGGAGACATACACCCATACAGAAAGCACCACCAAAGTCGCTCAAGGCAACCCAGGGACAGGGATCTCTCGAGTGATCCATTGCGAATAAATGAGGAATCGGAGGGGATGGAGGATTGTATGGATAGGACGCGTCGGGTCGGGAGGTGAGGACGAAGGGGAGTGAAGGCTGAGGCGATCACTCGTGGCAATTTTTTTATTGTGGCGTAATGCGGCTCAGGTTTGCGACAAGAAGCCGGAAACAGATACCAGGCCGAGCGAGAGTGGATTGGGTGGCCGACAGATGAGGGTGAACTGCAAGAGTCGAGCAGGTCCGGGGGTGTCGACTTTTTCTTGCGTTTTGCGCCTGGCACGTGACTCCCCGGTTGCCACCGATCGGGCGCTTCAGGGTGCGATTGGACCTCCCCCGGACAAGGGGAAGGCAAGAGAAAAACCCGGGCCAGCTATGATTACATCTTTGCCTGAGCACACGCCACTGCAGAATTTTGCTGATGTTCTGGCCCTCTTCGATGCCAGAAAGGGGTATCTCGGATTGGCTCAACTAAACAAAGAACTATGACTAGGACTACTCCAGCGGTGGTATAAATCATGACGGCAGATTCCAGATGAAATCCAACGCGCCTCCTTCATAAATCGGAAATTGACCTCCGTTGCTCATGCCGAATGGTGCCATCGACGGATCAAATGGCAGCGAAAGCCAGTCGTCTGCTGCAACGTCGTGCAAAGATGGAATAAAGCCCAGCCCCGACGGAAGATCCTGTGACACGGGGCCGTTGGCCATATTCGCGCGTTCGCCATTCTCTGGCCAAGGCGGAGGACCCATGGATGACCTTCTTGTGGTCCCTCTACTATTCTTGATCGTTTTCGATGATGCCAGCAGGTTGTGTCGCAAGCGCGACACATGCATGTCCAGCAGGGTGGCATAGCGAGTGCTCAAATGCACATCATCCAAGGCGTTTGATTTGAGTGCTTTGATACTTTTCTCGAGCACCTCCAGCGATTCCTCGAGCTTGGCTTGCCGGGTGCCTAGGCTGAGCGCTTTCATCAGGAAGATCGAGGCACTGGTGATGCGGAGGACGATGCGGACGGGCGAAAACCGCAGCGCCCCAGCCTCGGCCAGGTGAGTGACTTTTTGCAGGATCTGGCAGCAGCCGTCGATTACCTCCTGGATATATTCGTAATCCGTTGGGTCGATGGTCATGGGCCGCACCTCGTCGAAGTTGTTTGAGTCATTCTCTACCACAGCGCGTTCTACCACAGCCTGCATCCCCACTGAATGGGTGTACACGCGGACAAAGTGATACTCGATAAATAGGTCGTTGTAGAATGCCTTGTCGAGTACCTGCGGCTGGAGATACTTATCTTTCCACTGGTTGAGTAGGGGCCGAAAATGTTCCAGGAGACCAACGTATCGGCCGCTATGCAGTTGTTGCCGTGCGAATGCCGCGGACGGGAAGACCATGTCAGTGACAGACTTGGCCAGCTTGGTCAGCTCAATCCACGAGTCCATAAAGGTCAACCATGTGCTCCCCAGTGGGCTGAGCCCTCGAGGCTTTCGGGCCCCCAGCACCGCGTGGTTCAAGGACTGCGGGATGGGCGACATGCAACCGATCCGCCATGCTAGCTGGTTGATATATACGTACAGGAGACGCTGAACGCGTTGCCTGCGAAGAATCATCTGATCTGTCCATTCTTGCTCTTTTTCTGGATAAGCGATCTCTGTCTCGAATATTCCCAGTTCATGAGCGAGAGAGAGGGCACACCCAAGTAGCATCCAGGACATCTGATCGGATCGTCGAGAGGGTTCAATCATATCCTCCACCCATCGGTTTGCAGACCCCCCCGCTCGCATGGCTATCCTCTGAGGGCTTGGGTGCTGTGGGGATCAGATCGTCATCCCAACCGTCTGTTTCGGGTGGAAAATGTAATGCGCGAGGGTGCCACTCCGACATCAACAAGAGTGCTTCCACGGTACCAAGACCGCGAACCTTTGACTTGGTAGACTTTTCTTGTCCGAATATCAGCCGCATTGTCAACTGCTGGCAGTGTTGCCAGAGCCGGTGGTGGATGAAGAAGTTTCTTGACTCGCCCCCTGCCCCCGGCAGAACATGATAGCGAGAAGAGATCATGAGGATTGTGCAACAAAGCACTGGTTCTCGAGTGATGAGCCAATAATGGTTGTGATGATTTGCATAGAAGTCAGTGAGGATGGGGGATAAACACGACATGTTTTTAAAAAACCTGGTTCAACCTTAGCCCTGTGACCTGTAGCCAGTGCAAGTATACGGAGAAGACTACATACTGATCGATAAATGTGACAGCCTCTCTGGCGGTAAACCAACCCATCTTGACAAACCGACAAGCCTCCCAAACGTTGAGGGTCTCGCGGGGGGCATTTGATATCTCCACAGGACGTACAACACAGGGAGTCGGTTCAAACACAGCGGGGATGTCATGGTTCCTAGGCGTGTTTCGAGCTTTGGAATTTGGGCCTGATGATGTTGTTGTTCTGACTCCAGGACTTTCGTCAGCTGGGTGGTCTTCTTGGCTATGGGCAGTTGCTGCCTCGAATAGAATATTAAGCGCATCGTTCCCGCTAGCCACAACAGTTCGCATCATGGAGTTGGCCAGTGTGGAGTTCGATCGTTGCCGTTCATTCTGGTATACCTGCGGCGACTCCTCAACGTGGGAGTTGTCTTCTGCCAGACTAGACCTCTGTCTGGGGACTGACCAGTCTGGCTGGACAGAGCCCGGACTTGGATTAGGAAAACCATTACTGGAACTTTCCCGTGGTGGAATCGACCGATGAGTGTTTGCTTCGGATCCATGGCGTAGCTGCGGGCTCGGCTCGTGAGTCGGCGTAACATGATTAAGGCTTTCTGGCGTAACCCCTGGTGTCGCTTGCCGAACATTTCGCGGCGACACACTACTCTCTAAATCATCTGGAGAATGGGCTAGAGATACCCAAACCGGTGGAGTTAGAGACCAGGAAAAGCAGTCATGGTTTTAATACTATCATGATCATACATACCTCGTTTGCGGGACCTCTCCCACGCCCGTTTCTCAGGAAACACACAATCCCTCAGCTCCCTCCGACACCGCGCACATGGCGGACCGATCGGTAAGCCGTCTGAACCGGATCCCAAGTCGCACTTTGCCTTGCGTTGCCGGCAAGGGATACATGCCTTGTAGGTGCGCTGATACTGCCGGTCCGGGCGCCTGGCACCGTCCATCATCAAGCGGCCCCGAGGACCGGTCGTAGTACGTTTCCACCGCGGATGAATCAGGAGATCCGGATTTCCAAAGGAAATGCTGTGTGTAATTGCTGATAGTATTGGAGGTGGGGGAGAGCCTCGGAAGTTGTGGAAGAGAAATGCGCGTGGGCAAACAGCCTGGATTAGCCGACGGTTGCCGCTGTGGGGAATACCCCCACATTTAGCCGCTCTATGACAGCTGTTTGATGGCACGATTCTCTACTTGATACGATATTCCTATTCCATGGTCATCTAAGATAAAAAAAAAAAAAACGAGAGCAATTTTGAAAGCTTTGGTCAGATGGCAGCAGTCATCCATTGTAGGTATACTTCAATACATCGGGGAATTTGGTGTTCAAGCAAGGCCCATTCAAAGAAGCTTGCTATCGGTTCTTTCAAAATTAGTTCCAGTTTCTATAATCAATCCCCAAATACGCCGTACTAGGGGAGAAAAAAAAATAAAGCCCCATTCGGCTCTTGATTCTTAGAAAGAGAAAGGGAGCTTGGGGCAAGATATCAGGCCACTTCGCGAACTTGTCTCTTTGAATTATCAGTCCCTGCGCCGACTTAAGAACGCTATTTCCAAGTAGGAAAACAACGAGAAAGCGACTGGTGGCCTTGAAACAACAGCTATGTAACTATAATCATGGTCAAATAGAAGCGGTTACCCATGGTAGCAAAGCCAAGTTCGATCAATCTTTCCATCTTTGTAGTCTTTCGCCTGGCGAGAAGGGTTAGCACTGTCTTATAAACTCCAAATTTCGAGCCTTACCATTTCGCAAACATATTCATCAATGTACAAGCCCTCGAATTCCATCCACTCCTGTTGCTCAGAGGTAATAGAGTCCGGGTTAAATGTTTGAGCTCGGTCAAAATCAATCCAGAGAACTCTATTTGAGTCGTTCTGTACCATCATATTGCGAGGATAATGGTCTGCATGATATACTGACGCGTTGTGAATTTCGGTCAGAATGTCACGAAGCTTTTGCACTCGTTCTTCTGAAAAATTGGACAAGTCGATCATTCGAATGTTGGGGATGTATTCAATCAGAATTGCGTTCGGACGTTTCAAATCTTCGATAAAGCACTCAAAGTGCTGCTCCCACCCCCAGGATTGAGGATCGATATCCTTGATGACTCCATAGAAGTCCGGGATATGTCCTTTTTCACAAAGACCATGTCCTTTCAACCGGGCGTAGGCGCGACTTTCACATCGAAATAGATCCAGATCACGATCAATATCCGGTACAGCCGTTAAGTCCTGATAGTGAAACTAATATAAGGTTTTTTTAAGTTAGCTATATCGGAGCTATGTCGTAGAACCAGTGTTCTTACCACTTTCATCACACAATCTTTGCCATGATAGCGAACTCGAAATATGCAGCAGGTTTTTGAATTTCTCAGTAGCTCAACAAAATCCACTTCGGATAAGTTGATTTCTTCCATTTCACAATCTAGGAGTGGCATATTCGACAGGGATGGAGATCATAAAATGCTGAAATGGAGAAAAGAATGGACGATTGGAATTTATCGGACATTGCCTCGATTTTGTCTTCACGCATGAATTTCTCAGATTGTGCGGGTAGAGAGGTTTAACAAAGGAGGCCACGAGGAGATGCGACCAGAGCGACCAAAGGGTCACATGACCCAGTCCACTCATTGTCCCTTGAACACAGCACACGAAAATTTCTTATAGGAGGCTTTTCAAGAATGAATCACATCCCTGGAATGAGGATGGCAAAAATAATCATTGTGGGTGGGACTCGAAGAAATCCAGTCAATAGAAGGTGGGGGAGGCGAGGGGAAGGCACAAGAAATATGAAAAACGAGATGTTAAGGGAGCTAAATTCGATGACGGGATGAACCTTCTCTAAGCAATTTACAGGTTTTCTAATATATTAAACCGAAACGACAGCGAAAAGAGCACGGTTCTGCGTGGGCGCTTCTGAGGATAAAGATTCCTCGCCGAATTCGGTCTAGCTACCTGTAAAACCATTCTACTGTATACCACACTAAGTCTATGTCTCGGTGACTCTGTTATGGGTAGAGATAAAAAGCCTAGCTCTTCCCTTGAGGGGCTTCAATTCCCAAGTACCACCTTCCAAAAAGAAAAAAAAAAAAAAAACCATAATGTAATGTGGCTTATCTGCATGATTAGTCCCATCGATCCTGCACTAGGTGGATAGAAAGTTTAACTGAAATGCCTTCGTCTATGAGTTGGAGGTGTGAGTCGCTAGCAATCTCGCCGCATGAACTTGGGGAACATACAGATCATCTATGGGAATCTCTAAAGCTTCTTTCAGATCCAGATTTTCATGCCCTACGCGAGGTGGGGCCATATTTTTAGAGCTGACATCTGGGCGCTGATGGAGCACTAAGGGATGAATTTCCCTATATAACTACGCTAATGGAGAAACTATGGGCGAGGATTGAAAATAAGGGGCCGGCGATTAGATCTAAGTGTTAGGGGCCAAAACTTCCACAAACATAAATAGTAGGCGCAACCCTAGCACTCTTTGCTTTTTACTTGGATTCTATCTACTCTTCACAAGAATCTCTCTTCTACCACTTTTAGCCACGCAGGGTTACTACTGGCAATCATATCTATCACGATGAAGCTCCTTGGCCTTTTTCTCCTTAGTGCAATGGCTGCTGTGACCAATGCAGCTGTCTTAGTCGACAGGGATTGCTGTATGTCATTTGTCCCTGCTGTCATTGAATTTGAAAACTTATCCATGAAACTATAACCACAGTCGAGCAACCTTGTACAACCCCAGGCTCTACTGAGCAGTGTTGTGGGGGGTTGATGTGTAAAAACTACGCCAATCCGGGCAACAACGATGGGAATCGTTTGATCTGTAATTGATACTGCCCTTGTTAAAAAAGCACGATTCAGGTATGAAGCATGAACCACAGGCATCTATATCATCGGATTTAATTGACCAGTTATCTAGGTTAGCATCAAAATTGCCAATCCAGAGAAAATGGGATTTGATATAAAAGAACAAGCAATAATGCTTTTTCATAAACATAGACCTGACTATTGCCTCCTAAATAGTAGTTTGAATATAGATCCATTTTTCCATTTTTGTTAAAGGAAGGCAAGATTTCAGTTCTAATGAAGAGAAGTGGCGCCTACAATAAGTTCTGTCTTCATATTGCAGTCAAATTTATTAGAACTTTATTTTTACAATTATGGCAATATTAATGTCAAGGGGAATCAGGATTGGAAATCTAGGTCTATAGATCGGCGTGGTGGATTTATGGGCCAAGTTACCGTTTCTCGAGTGTTATATACGACAGATAAAGAAAATAGGCTGAGACGATAACAAGCAACGTATTTCAGGGACCGCAGATTATACAGGTCGTGCTAGGATAAAAGGTGGGTAGTGGAGGGTATCAATCCAGACTAATAGCAAAGGAATACGAGATCACCGGGGCCATTTATTTTGTACATCCAGGTTAAGGTGGCAAATGAATACTACTGGCTGTCAAAGCCGATGGTGCGTTGATGGAGCCGCGCGCCTTCGCGTCCCTAATGGGTTGCTAACCAACCAAACATTAACCGCCGTGCTCGCTCAGGCCCCAACTGAGCAGTTTCAAATAAAGATCGTTCTACTATTCTAGGGGATTAGCGCCAGTCATTATCTTTTGTAGAAATATATTGTGTTACAAACCCTCAGGGGATCATGCCACTGAGCGCTTATTTAGTGCAACAAATAGCACCCAATTTTTCGAACCCAGGGCAGGCGTGAATATAAAGAAGCACTAGTAGACAGAGAAAAAGAAGTGATATGTCTTTTTCTTAGCTCTTCGCCATTTCAAGGTGGTTGCTTGGGTACTTCCAAGCATCTACTTTGAACCCTTTTTCTGCAGGGCATGGCGAACCAAATAAGTCTATTCGCCTACTTGCAATATGGACCGCCTACGATTCCGATCCTCGAACAAGGAAATTCTCAAGCCAACACGAGTCAAAGTTATTCTCACACCGATATCAAATATGTCGGCTATTGGTCAAATTTTAATCTGGCCACCATCGTACAAGAACATGGTGATCTTCTTTCCACTGCTCGAATTTACGACGACCCTATGCCATCGTCTGTTCCCCATTCAACCAACTGGGAAACCGGTTTTCGGGGTCTGCCTTTTGCATATCTGTACTCCCGGGTAAATCGATCCCTTTGTTGCACTTTCCAACAGATGGCCATGAGCAGCCAACCGCTACACAACGTTGTCAATTTCGGAAGCGGGAATTTAGCTCACACCACCCAAGCATACACCCCAGACCTGGCATTCTTTGACCACCCAAGCCAACCGGCGGCTACCAGATCAGATCGAATTCCTGGTTGTCTTAAGCCATCCTCCAAATGGTGGAGTGACATGCCAAAGAGTCATCGCTTGTTTGACCGAGTCCAGTTCAAACAAATTCTGTCAGAGGTAAACCGGTACATGGCCCAGAGCAACACCCGGATTGGATTCATTCTCACAGACAAAGAGCTGGTTCCAATCCGAAAGCTTGCTGAGAAGGGCCATGTGGAGATAGCCGATTCTATCCCTTGGGATGCTTGTGGTCAAGGAGAGGATCGGCCGCAGCTCACGGTTCTACTTGCTTTGTGGTATTTAGGGATGTTGGCGTCGGATGACCAGCAATTGGTTATGGGATGAGAGAGTCGCTGATTGTGTCGTACTGTATCTGGACATTTTCATCTGTGAACAATGGCATTGGACGAGGGAAGCAAGGAAATAGCCAGTATAGCAGATACAGCGGACGATTGTGGCGATCGGGCTCGAACTTTCAAATTATTCTCTTATTGTCCTCTATTTAAGAAAAACACAGAATGTGTATTGGATAATAAAAAAGGGATTGCGTTATGAAGCCCTTTTTTCGACTTGATTGCTTCTTCAAATCTATATCGAGTCAAATACACAACAACATTATAATTTCACCTATTAGCCTTCCTATTACACGGCACTGCGTACCGCGGCAAAGAGAATTTACTCGCCTGCGCCTCCAGAGTTCTCATCAACCAGTTGCTCCTTATTAGAGATCTGCATGGGCAATCCGTCATTAACAGCCTTCTCCTCATCAGCAGGGGGATGCGGCGACTCATCCATCGGCGCAAACTTGACCACGCCCGGATAGCAGCGCCATACTTGTAGAAGACGAAAGGTATAGGCATCAGCAGTAGGCCGATGCCCCCGATGAGCGAGCCAGCCCCGCCCACACCGAGAGAGTCGAATATGTATTGCGTGAAGAGTGGGGAGGCCGCAACGGCAGAGGCAGCGTACATCAGGTACGAGTCGATGATATAATTTATGAAGATCACAAAGATGAGCAGGATTGATCTTGCGAGGAAGGTGCCCGCCACGGTTGGCACGGCCCAATGGACCGAGTTATATTGCGCTGTCCATGCGAACCAAATTATCGTCACGGCGAACATGACACTAGGAAGACGATCCTCTGGAACTGGTTTGTGGTTCTGGGCGGCCCTTTTCTGGTTTACTTGGCTGATGCTGAACAGCGCCAGGCCACCGAGACACGCACTGATGACCGTACCGACTAGTGGTAGCTCACCGACGCCGGCGTTCCATCCACGCTTCTGCTTGAAGACAATGGGATAGATACTGAAAAGCATATAGAGGAGGGTATATACGACGGCGTAGTAGATAGTGACGAAGAAGCTGATTGGGTCGATCAGAAGTCTCCAAGGCCTGGTTAGGGCAACTTTGAAGATGCCTCCCAGAGAACGATCCGACGCCTCCACTGGAGCCTTAACATTACCGGGGATTTTGCGTAGGCGACGGGTTTTGTTGCGCAAGACCATCAAAGAAGCTTGGTTGACTCAAACAGCATGTCAATCCCTGAACCCAAGGCCGCAAGACTGGAAAATCATAACTCGGGCCACGGGGAGAAATCTAGTACGCAATTACCCACGAGGGATTCAAAAAGAGGCCACGATGAGTCGGCCATCTCGATAGCCCCCAAGTCCAAGGCCGCGAAATTCAATGCACATACGTTGAGAAAACTACAAACTGCTTTCGACAAGAACCCAGAGATTGATCTAACTACACAGATGCCTACGGAATACTCTGTTCGTCTGGTCGAATTTCAGGGAGAATTTTGGAAAAATGTCACCGGGTAAGCCTCATAGCAAAACACAATACACGCAAAGCTAATCGACATTTCTTAGCAGAAAATCCTGACGCCACAAAACCCCCCAAAAAGAGGACATTCGTGATCGTCTTCGCGCTTCAGATTCTGTTGACATCGTATGGCCCTCTATCTTCACCAGTGTTGAGACGACTAGAAGAGGTATCCAAGGTTCCAGACTCTCTGTCGCAAAGCCTCTCCCACCAAATGCTTCAGCTCATGCACACAAGAGATGATGGTGTCCAGGGGTTCGATGACCAGCACACAGCTGATGGCGGAGCGCTTGTTGTCGGCCCAAAAACGGCGGGAATAATTCCGCGGGGCATCGCCAGTCTGAAGATACGCGCCTCCGAGTATTTACTCTGTCGACGGGATGAACACTCCGCGGGCGGTCATTTATGGAGTCACGTAGCACGAGAGACAAAAGTGATATACTCTGAAACCCTAATAATCTCTCCAACCCCCGCATAACCTTTATTACTCTTTCTATCCATTATCCAACAAGAGTATACGCTCAGCAACAAAATGGCCGACATCACACTCTACACCTACTTCCGCTCTTCCTGCTCCGCCCGCCTCCGCATCGCTCTGCACCTCAAACAAATCCCCTTCACCCCGGTCTTCGTCAACCTCCTGCGCGATGAGCAATCCACCCCGGCCCACCGCGCCATCAACCCCTCAGCCACTGTACCCGCCCTAGTCATCCAACGTGGTTCCGCCGCCCCAGTAACAATCCCTCAGTCTCTCGCGGCGCTGGAGTACCTCGACGAGGCCTTCCCCGACAAAGGCCCCACTCTACTGCCATCGGACCCCGAGTCGCGGGCTCTGGTTCGCACGCTGGCGTCCATTATCGCTTGCGATGTTCAGCCGGTGACGAATCTCAAGATCTTAAAGCGGGTTGCGCCGCTGGGCGCCGACCGGGCTGCGTGGTCGAAGGATTTGATTGAGGATGGGTTGCGTGCTTATGAGGCTGTTGTGAAGAGCTCGGCGGGCAGATTCAGTGTTGGGGATCGGATTACTTTTGCTGATCTGTGTTTGGTGCCTGCTGCTTGGGGTGCGGAGCGCGTGGGGGTGGATTTGGGTCAGTTTCCGGTGACTAGCGTGATTGTGCAGAATCTGGAGAGTGAGGATGCGGTGAGAAAGGGGCATTGGAGGACGCAGCCGGATACGCCTGAAGAGTTTCGCGTGAGCCAGGAGTAGACCATGACTCTGGTTTACTTCCATACTTCTAGGTAGTTGGTTGGCGATTATGGCACTGGAGGAAGTACGGTCAATGTTTTCAACTCGTCGAATCATACCAGCTCTTGTATGTCATTGCATATTTGTTTCGCAACTATGGAATTGAACAACACCATTTTATGGCAGCGGATGAGCAGGCAGGATAGTCCCGACACAATCTCCGAAGCCGACATAGTTCCCTTCAGTACCAGCCATACCGCGCAGCACAACCGTGTCGCCGTCCTCGAGGAAAAGTCGCTCCGAGCCATCGGCCAACTTCAGCGGGTTTTTCCCGTTAGTCTGCTCCAGCAAGCTACCCTCAGTGTGAGGCTCCGTACCAGAAATGGTACCAGAACCCAGCAAATCACCAGTGTTCAAATTGCAGCCAGTGATAGTGTGATGGGCAACCATTTGTGAGAAAGAATACAGCAGGTTGCGAGCATTGCTGCGCGAGATCTGAGTGGGCTTGCCGCCCTGGTTGGTGATCTCGACATCGAGTGGGATCTCGTAGGCATTGGCGGCGCGTTTCTCGCGCAGATACGGGAGCAGAGATTCGCGGTTGCCGGGCTCCAGACCCTCGGTGCGGAAGGGCTCAAGGGCGTCAATCAGCACAACCCACGGGGTAATGGTCGTGCCGAAGTTCTTTGCGTTGAAGGGGCCCAGCGGGACATACTCCCAGGCCTGGATGTCGCGTGCGGACCAGTCGTTCATCAGCACCAACCCGAAAATGTGGTCCTCGGCCTCATCAATTGGGACAGGTGTGCCGAGGTCATTGGGCGTGCTGATGAAGGCAGCAAGCTCCAGCTCGATGTCGAGTTTCTTGCAAGGGGAGAAGGCGGGCACTTTGGGGTTGGCAGTCGGGTTGGTCAGGATTTGACCGTTTGGCCGATGCAGGCCCGTGCCGGATGGCACGACTGACGAGGCTCGGCCATGATAAGCCACGGGCAAATGCTTGTAGTTTGGCTGCAACGCGTTCTCCGGTCCGCGGAACAGCACTCCAACATTGTAGGCGTGGTTCAACCCGGCGTAGAAATCAGTGTAGTCACCGATCTGCATTGGAACATGGTTCGTCACCTGCGACAGGGGCAGCAGTACTGACTTCTGCAGCGATGCATTTTCCTTCAACACCTGCGGGTACGAGGTGTCGGCTTTGAGAATGTTCTGTAGATACTCGCGCACTTGTCGGTGGACAGGGCGACCCAAGGCGGCAAAGGCATTCAGCGTAGGCTGGCTGAAGACGCCCAGGTGTGACTGGATTGCAGGAAGCTGCGAGAACCCCCCGAGGAAGCAAAGGCGCTCAAATTCAACGCATAGTCTCCGATGGCGATGGCAGGTACGCGCGAGGCGGACTGCGCCGAGATGATGCCGAACGGGATGTTGGCCAAAGAGAACGGCGAGTTCTTGGGGATCTGGAGCCACGATGCCATACTGAAGGAGTGTATCAACAGATGAATTGACAAAGTTGACAAGACTGCGAGCTCGGCGAACTTAACTGATTGCCCTGCGCACTCCTCGTGGGGTCATTCCGAAGGGCGGAATGGGCCCGCACGGGGTCCTCCAATCGGCGCGGGGAGAACAGCCGAAGAGGAGGTGGAGGATAATCGCGGATGGAGATTCCCGCGCATCTTGCGTGACGTTGGCATCCTGCATGCTGCACAAGTGGCTTCCTTGGTCGAGGTGATGGTGTCTCTGACTACAAAGGCAGCGCTGGCTTCCTCCCCACAGCAACCGTTCACACATCATCATGCCTGTCACCAACTTCACTCATCCTGATCCCTATATTTACCAAACTGGCTTCGACTCGTATCACGAGTAAGTGTTGCAGTCAATCCAGTAGAACCTCCCACTGACCTGCGTAAAGGACCGAGGCCATCAAGGACGCCCTCCCCATCGGCCAGAACTCTCCGCAGAAAGCGCCGTATGGGCTGTACGCCGAGAAGCTCTCGGGGACGGCATTTACAGCTCCCCGCCATGAGAATAAGCAAACATGGGTCTACCGCATTCTCCCTGCGGCTGCTCACGAGAACTTCGTCGCCGAAGATGCCGATTCGTATCACACTAGGATGACCACAGAGACCCACAAACTGCACCATATCCCCAACCAGTTGCGCTGGAATCCTTTCGACTTGGATGAGAAGGTCGACTGGGTTCATGGTCTGCATCTGGTAGCCGGATCTGGAGACCCGACCATGAAAAGTGGGTTGGGCATCTTGCTGTATGCGGCAGGCAAGGATATGGGCAAGGAAGCGTTCTACTCGGCCGACGGCGACTTTCTGATCGTACCTCAGCATGGATTGCTGGACATCCAAACGGAGCTTGGCCGGATCCTGCTTCGTCCGAACGAGATCTGCGTGATTCCTCGTGGTGTTCGGTTAGTAGCTCTTCCTTCTGTCTGCTGCTGGGCCCTCAATTGACTCCAGTAGATACCGTGTGACTCTTCCCGAGGGCCCCGTGCGTGGCTACATTTGCGAGCTATATCAAGGCCATTTCCAGCTCCCCGAGCTCGGTCCTATCGGATCCAATTGTCTCGCCAACGCACGCGACTTCCAAGCACCCGTGGCTGCTTTCGACGACGAAGAGGAGCGCAGTGAGTACCGGTTGTATAGCAAGTTTAACAACACACTGTTCTCCGCGCGCCAGGACCACACGCCCTTCGACATTGTCGCCTGGCACGGCAACTACTACCCGTTCAAGTACGACCTGGGCCGGTTCAACACGATCGGGTCTGTCTCATTCGACCACCCCGATCCCTCGATCTACACGGTGTTGACCGGTCCATCGGACCACGTCGGCACTGCCATCGCAGACTTTGTCATTTTCCCACCTCGCTGGCTTGTCGCCGAGGGAACTTTCCGTCCGCCGTGGTACCACCGCAACACTATGTCAGAGTTCATGGGTCTCATTTGTGGGAACTACGATGCAAAGACGGGCGGTGGATTCCAGCCTGCTGGCGCCAGTTTGCACAACGTGATGAGTGCACACGGGCCGGACTCGGATGCATTTGAGGGAGCTAGCAATGCCGAGCTGAAGCCTCAGAAGGTTGGTGATGGCAGTATGGCTTTTATGTTTGAGAGGTGAGTGTTATATGCCCTTTTCAGAGTTTCCATTTCTGATCGTCGCTGCAGCTCTCTCATGGTCGGAGTCTCAGAATGGGGCCTCAAGACCTGCAAGAAGGTACAGGAAGAGTATAACGAACACAGCTGGAAGCCCTTGAAGCGGCACTTCCAGAACCCGAACAAGAAGGCCTGAGCGCTGCGTGGCTTATGGATTTGCGCGAGTGTATTTTTCTACTCTTTCATCTTAGCATAATTCCGAAATAGCCTGAATAAACCAAAATAAGCTTATGGAAAGCATTTGTCGTTTCAAGGTTGACATCCGCGTAATTTATATTAAACGAATCAAATCAGAATATCATGCACAAGGTAAGAAGCTGTCTTAACCCTCCACCTCCTTCCGCATCGCCTCTTTAACAATAGCTCCACACATTTTCGCGTACGGATTCGTCTGAACTGCCAGCTGCTGCGCAAATTTGTTACCATAGCGCCCCCCAAAGAAGAAATCCCGACTCGCCATCTCCTCGAGCTGATCGGCTCCAAGCCCGCGCAAACGCTCAGGCCCGGCTGCTGCAGCATCGTCCTGTCCAAATGGAGTTTTTCTCTTCCTTGCTGCCTTGAGAAGAAGGTACCCGCGGTGCGTATGTGCGTCAGCTAAGAGTCGGGCCTGCACAGATGATACCGGGTCAGCGGGCGAGGCGGGCGTGGCGAGCGTGATGGCTTGGCCCAGATCTGCCAGGATGCGGGATGATAGGTCTGTGGTTTCGGGAGTGAACAGAGTATCCTCAGACTCTGAATCTGAATTCGACTCGAGGGTTTGCGTGTCGTGGCTTTGGTGCAGTATGTCAACCAGCAAGCGTAGGGTTTGTGCGCGGTTGGTATAGCCCGATGGGTAGGTCGGGTATTGATCGAGGAGGATGTCAAGATCATTGAGTGCAGACTGGACACATTCCTGGCTTGGCGTCTCGCTGGACTGTAGCTTGCGGATGATTTCCGTCTCGCGCTGTTGCAGCGACGCCAGGTCTGCTTGGGAGATATTCAAGCCGGATGGCCATGATGGGAGCGATGGGTCAATTCTAATGCCGGATGAAGGAGAGGATTCAACGTCGAAGAGTGCTTGGAGGACCGCGGCGTCGTTGGATGTCAACGAGGGCCGGGTTGGGGCGATGGTGGTCATGGTGATTGTTGGATGGATTCGTAGTAACGATATGTGGCAACCACCAGAATAAAGAGGAATGAGGGTTCTTTTTTTTTCTTGTTACCTTCAGCGAGTTCGATGAGAAGAGTATTTTGAGAAGAATTATTCCGACTACTATGCAACTCACTCCCGACCTGGCCAGCGATGATATCAGGCCCGGCTGTTGGCGGCTATTTCAGGCAATTTCCCACGACCCGAAGTGGCGACGGCACGCGAAGGACTCGGATATCCGCTCGATGGCCACGGATAGCGGAGGATGGTGAATTGTGTATTAAAGGAAGAGAATGTGGCCTAGGCTAGAGGTAGTCATCATCCAGCAATCCGATGAATATCGTTCTCTTCACCACAGATCGGAAACCAGCACACAAAACAACAGAAACAATAGAACCCATTCAGCATGGCACCATCAGCCATCTCCAGTAGCCCACCGGCATCTACAACCCACGGCTCATCCTCACTAGCCAGTTACCGGGGCTACGACCATGTACACTGGTACGTCGGCAACGCCAAACAAGCTGCAAGCTACTACATCACCCGGATGGGATTCATACGCGTGGCCTACCGAGGTCTGGAGACCGGCAACCGCAGCCAGTGCTCGCACGTCGTGCGCAACGGCGACATCACATTCATCCTAACATCGCCGCTGCGCTCGCTGGACCAGGCCGACCGTCTCAGCGCCGAAGAACAGGACACGCTGCGCGAGATACACCGGCACCTCGAGAAGCACGGCGACGGCGTGAAAGATGTTGCTTTCGAGGTGGATGATGTCGATGCGGTGTTTTTTGCTGCCGTCAAGAACGGCGCTACGGTGATCGCCGAGCCCAAGGTGCTGGAGGACCATGACGGCCATGTCAAAGTGGCGACGATCCAGACTTACGGCGAGACGACGCATACGCTCATCGAGCGCCACCAGTACCATGGCATGTTTCTGCCCGGGTATAATACACAGCTTAGGAGTGAGGATCCTATCACTAAGTGGCTGCCTGGGGTCCATCTCAAGCGGATTGATCACTGTGTTGGGAATCAGGATTGGGATGAGATGGACAAGATCTGTGAATAGTAAGTTTGCGCTGCGATGAGAGGAGCACTAGAAGACCTTTACTGACACTGGTGGTTTTAGCTACGAGAAGGCACTTGGTTTCCATCGCTTTTGGTCGGTCGATGACAGCCAGATCTGCACGTAAGTTTTTGCGAGCCCTCTAGCAACCCCCAGTCCCTGACACTGATGTCCATAGTGAATTCTCCGCACTCAAGAGCATCGTCATGGCTTCTCCCAACGAGATTGTCAAAATGCCCATCAACGAGCCAGCCAAGGGCAAGAAACAATCCCAGATCGAGGAGTATGTCGACTTCTACAACGGGGCGGGCGTGCAGCACATCGCCCTCCTGACAGACGACATCATCCGCGACATCACCAATCTCAAAGCGCGCGGAGTCGAGTTCATCAAAGTCCCGGAAACATATTACACGGATATGCAGGCACGACTCAAGAAGTCTGGTCTGGTGCTGAAAGAAGACTTTGAGACGATCAGAAGCCTGGACATTCTGATTGACTTTGACGAAGGGGGATATCTCTTACAACTTTTTACCAAGGTATGTGTATTCGAAGCGCCTCCTGAGATTGTGAAAAACAGTGATGCTGATTTGTGTTACAGCATCTGATGGATCGGCCAACCGTGTTCATCGAGATTATCCAGCGACATAACTTCGAAGGATTCGGAGCCGGCAATTTCAAGTCCTTGTTTGAGGCTATCGAGCGAGAGCAGGAGCTCAGAGGGAATTTGGTCTGAGCCAATAATGGAAAGCTTGATGATTCCCAGGCCTCGAGAATGATAGGGGGTAATTTGTTTGCATTTGAATTCTCAGCGGAGTTTGTACATTTGCTTCAATATCATGCCACCGGCACGCATACGCAAAGACATCCAAGGACCTCGCTGTTCCCGATGTTGATTGAATTTCAACCAGAGCTGGAGCTGTCCTCCCGAGTCATGTAGACCCCATTCCCATCTACTTTCGTTTGGACGAGCTCGAGCCACCAGGCACGGTTCCGCCGCGCCGCTTATACTTCCGGGGGTCTAGTATTATCACCGATCAGCATAATGCAGTGGACTCCAATAGGAAATGGGGGTCATGCCTTTCCGGCTCATGAGAGCTCTGTTCCGTGTTCCCTTTCCTCCTTCCCAGAATCCACTCCCAGCTTTGCCGATGAGTACTGCTCTGCAGATGCCACAGTTTTCGGGGCGGTAGATTTGTTCTCGGGAGCAAAAGCCACTATCCAGAGTTAGTTCATCATTAACACAATATGCGAATTGGTAGTCCTTCAATCGGAAGGGCTGACATACCAAATCATTCGGTTGGCGTGCTCGTTTGGATGGTCTGTCTCGGCATCATGGCATCTACGCACACCGATCAGTATACTGTTTCTTGTGCTATTTCATGACCACATGTAGTAAGCATACTTATCGCACGGAAAGACCTTGGCACAGCAGCTGAATCTGGTATGTGTCAGTATGCTTTTCAATTCCAAACCCGGTTGGTGGCCTGTACCTGAACCAACGGTAGCTTTTGCCGTAGTGCGAGCAGCGCCCTCGTCGTGGAAGCTCTTGGCCAGCGACAATTCCCAGGACCTCCTTGGGCTATAAAGACAGTCAGTTTTGGTCGGAGTTTATAGGGGGTAGGACACTGACCTTCTTCAAAGGAAGGGCGCCGCGGGAAGAAACTGTTTGATATTCCAATCAGCACTCATTCTTTGGACAATAGGCCCCCAATATAAAGATTGAGGATGGACAATGTTTAAGGAAGGTAAACTCACTTGCTGCGGTCCCCACCACGAGGAACTTTACCTCGGGGATTTTGAAGACTATGATTTCGATACATTAGCACTCGAATACGAAGCCAATTTCGCTGGTACGCACCCATTTTGCGATGGCACTGGCGACATATCGCCATGGCGCTTTCTCCGCGAACTGCAGACACCCCTGGTGCAGGATGTGCAGTTGAGCACTCTGCGCAGGTCGGAATGAAGTTGCTATCAACGGCATTAGCGGGCTGCCACGGCAATAGATCGTTGAAATTCTTACCTTGGAAGAAGGTCCACAATCGTACAGCCATCCAAATCCAGATATCCAGCACGGTTTGCATGAGCATGCATCAGCTGTCTCTGAAATCCTGTAATGCAACACATGAGCTATTTGTAAACAAAATCAAAAGAAAGAAGAAACCAACCAATGCTCATGGGGTTGGCGCATTTCTTGCATGTTTCCATTTTCGGCGCCACATCATTCTGATCCTTGGCCTGGGGTACGTTCTTGACATCCAGCGACTCCTTGCACCGTACGCATTTAACAGTCACAAAAAGATTCATGAGTTCCAGAAGCTCGATTCCGTAGAGCTCCAAGAACGGGAAAGACAGTGCAACCCCGCGTCCAGGAGCACTATCCACAATGGCAGGAACAGGTGCACCGCCATCTTCTGCATCCTCTTCCTCATCCGAATAGTCATCTTCGTAGCTGGATTCACCAGTAGACTCGCCGTTGCTGTTGGGGTCTGGGACTGACCACTCGGGTGGGCGAGGGATGACATGAAGATGCGGCCGATCTTCGTTGTCTTCAGCTGGACCTGTTTCTGCAGGCAGCTGTGGAGGCACATCTGGCTTGGGCTCGAAAGGTATCTCGGGAGGAATCTCGGGTTCTTCTGGAACTGGTGTTTTGGCAAAGTTGTGCATGTTACTCGCCAGGTAGTTGATCTGTGACACCAGGTTCATTTGGGAGTTTTGTTCAAGCCATTGGCCAAATCCTAGTTCAACAGGTTTGGCTTCTGTGCTGTTGACTCCCTGAAGCTCAATTGAGCTCAGTTCCAAAGGATAAAGCTGAGGAACTGAGAGCTTCACGGTTTTCAGTGCCTGAAGAGATATGGGCAGGCGGTCTCGTTTGTTTGGCTGAATGGGAATGATAAACGAAATGCCATCAGCCCGTTTTTGGAAAAGAGGAAGTCTCCCAAGCCGGGCCTCGATTTGTTTTGTTTCTGTTGCTCTTCTCTTTTCAGCCCGAGCCTTTTCTTCGGCTGTATGTTTGTGTGGTGCGGGTTGTGGTCTGAGGTTTTGAGCGTGCACAGCCGAAGTTCCTGTTCCTGTAGGCTGAGACAAGGGTGTCTGTTCCTGGATGTTTCCTGAGACACCTGCAAAATCCTTGGCCACAACTCCGTTGCCAACATTGGCAACAAACTTCAATTTTGGCCCTCTCTCCAAAGTGGTGAGCAAGCGTTCAAGTTGCCGGTCCAAAGTATTCACCCAGTTGAGCAGAGTTCCTCGGTTGTTCGTCCGCAAGGTGAAGTCCACAATATCGTCAAAGCCCCTGGCTACATTGTCTTGGTATGCAGATTCCATTTCAGGATTTCTGACCGCAAGCGTAGGACGGCCCTTCTCCGGATAGGAGTGTGGGACGTGAAGAATGCATTGCAATCTGTCCAACTCAAATGGGAAATCAGGGTCCGAAGGGACTAAACCGAAGGTCAAGGTAGAGCCTTGATAATCGGTCTTTTCCTGTGGGCGAAAACGTCGCCGCAGCTGGTTGATTTGGAACTCTCTTGGATTTTCCTGTTCTGTCTTCGAAATAGGTCTCTTGAGTTGTGCCAGCTTCGAGGTTGTAGGGACGTCTTTGGGCTGGGTTTCCTTTATGGATAGATTCTGCATCCCAGCATCTACACCCGAGGTTGAACTTTGAGGCGCATCAGCTGATGTTCGCGATTCAACCTGCTGTCCAGATTGTCGCTGCTTGGACTCAAGCGCTGAAACATCGTGCATATATGGGCATGCCGACCCAGAGCGACATCCTTGGGATGTTAGCTTTTAATATTGCCACAGGGTAACAAGGTCACAATTCGCAATGACATAGTAGAAGCAAACATCAGTCATATTGCATTTGCTCTGCCATCTCGAGCAGCACCAAATAGAGCAATACCTCTAATCGAAGGCCATGGTATGACTTTCATAGAAGGTGTGTACATAGACCCGAACGACAGAAACCATCCGTATCTGAAATACACTCGTACGCATTTTGTCCCACCCAAAAAATTGCAGATTCCCAAAACATCAAAAGATTCTGACAGATAAACTTTTCATCAGGTACTCACCTTTCTTGGTTGTGAAAAAACGACACTTGATAGGCTTGCATGTAGATGATTGGGATGTAGGAGCCGGCTCATGTGTGGATGCAACGCCATGCGTTGCCAACTCAGCGCCAGCAGACAGGGAGGGTTGCTCGGAGCCTATTCACAAAAACAGGATGAGCGTGTGATCAAAGTAGGTTGCGGGCCGCCATGCCCGCCCGAGGGGGGGATAACAGGGCGCGAGCAAGGCAAGCCCTGTGCGTCAACTAAGTATAGATCATGGTGTGGCATGACAGGCCGAGGCGGGAGCAACATGTACATGTGGGCAAGGGGACATGCAGTAGGGGAAAGGAGAGAGGGGGTGGTCGAATACGAAGTCCATTGACTAGAGACGGCGGCAGTAGATCATACCCACCTAGCCAATTGACATGGAAACAACCTCGCTCACCACATGCATCCATCAGAGCCAATGGAAAAGAGCCGCACTTACGATTGCCTTGGGGTCCCGGACCCGCAGTGCCGTCAACTGACCCCGTTTGCATCCCCATGCTAAATCCTGGACAAGCCGAGGAGGATATCGTCAACGTCAATAGAAAGAGGGGGGTTACGGGGCGGGAGAGCCGTTCTGGAAAAGACAACTTATGGTGACGTTTAGAGTTGCCAACGCAGAGATCGGGTGACCTGGAGTGATCGACAGGACCAGATCGGCGCAGTCAGCAAGCCGAGATGTTGCAAGGTCGATGCAGAACAACGGAGCTTAAATCTGGGCCCGAGGGGCTAGGGATTTCCGCAGGTGCGTGGGCAGATGCAGACCGAGGAAGGTCTATTTGTGAGGATAGAGAGATGTTGAATGCCGGCCACGTGACAACAAACAGCAGCCTCCAGGACTACAAGAAGCGAGTTCGTGCTTTTTGAAGTTATACTGTTTGTTGGCCCAGCGTGTGCCAAGACTTCGGCTGACAAAATGGCGATGATCTCATGGTGGGGGTGATTCAAGTTGACTCATTTGGGTCGTTGAAGTACTATGGTCCATCTTTTCGACACGAGCATTGACGAAGTGACCAACACACAATAAGTGTGAGTCACAAATAACCATAAGTCATGGAATGTTTTGCAGTAGCGTGGTGGGAGATCCCAACTCGGAGACCAGAAATAGCGAAGAGCTCCGCCAGTGTTGAGCCACGATATATAATATAGTTAGACATTGTATGCAGTATGTACGAGGATCGGATCAGCATTGTATTGCTTCAAGGTGATAGACAAAGTGACTATAATTAAACAGTCTTGCAGGTATGCAAGTATGCACATAACACCTAAGATAAAGATAATTTACAATCTATTGAGATATCGAGATACTACTCAACACACTCTCGTAGAAACCGCCACCGAATGATACCCTGGCAATAAACACCACCCCGGTCAACAGATTTCCGCAGCAGCCAGTCAAAAAGCGGTGCGCGTTACGCGGAGAAGATGAGGGGTACGCTTCTAGAACTCCGCCCTGCTTCAGGCTCTGCGTTTAGCCCGGGAATGCAACCTAGCTCCACTGCGAGATAACTAGAGTTTCACTTACAACGAAAGTGTTCATGGATAAAATATGGTCCTGATCCTATTGCAGTATTTATTCAGGTGTCATTGAAAGTAGATGCAGGCACACCATTGCCAAGTCCAGGATTCCCAGCGTTTCTCCGTATTTGCCCCGATATTTCGAGATGAAGCGATCGGTGAGCGACCAGACTGCATACTATATACTGTAATTATATATATAGTCCATTCTTAATCGAGTTGCTCATATTGGATTGATATTAAGACTAGGATCTATTATTTATAAAGAACAGAAATGTCAACAGTAGATAGATTGGTATACTCATAAGGGCAAAGTGCAAGCCTCGACCGAGGCCGCTCACATGGACACGTGCTGTATACGGATACCTCACTCAGGTGTAGTAATATACACAACATCGCCACTACTTAACAAAATTTCTACTTTCACTGCTTTATGTTTTATTTTAGCTACTATATCCTGTCCGATATACCCTTTATACTCTTAAAGACATTGTTGCAATTCAAATACAAGGGCATTAACGGACCTTGGTACTACCGGTAATACCAGGATGAATTTCGGCGTAACTATACCCTACCCACGGAAAAGTATTTCAACGCTACGCCTATCTAGGAAAGCGCCGACCAACCGGATCGTCCTTCCAGAAGGCTTCTAAAAACCCCAGCCATCCGCTGTGTTTGTGTTCGAGATACCGTGGGAGGAGATGATGGACCGCGGTTAAGATAGACAAGAAAAGAAAAGAAAAAGAAAAAAAAAATACAGCTCCCGTAAATTTAAATGACCCCGTTCAATGAATTCTATGTAGCATAGCACATAGACCCAGTGCCACAGTATCTGCTCTTAAGTATGCAATGTGTTGCTTTGTCAAACCGGAGCACAGAGCTCCATTTACACATGAGTCGATGAGTCTCAGACCGATTGGGGAAATAATGCTCGTTATGGTTGACCGAGGCTGTTGTAATAATCTACATCTTGTGTGTATTATATACATACAGTATTTTGTATCAACCCCCACGCATCTCCGATCGGGCACCATGTTCAAATCACGCATCCCACCACCCCAATTGTCGGGACGGCGTGGCTCGATCGGCCAAGAGATGGCGGCGCGTCTTGTCAACCTTGTTTCCTATTTAGATGGAAATATGATTGGTGATATCTTACTAGAATATCCAGTAGCATTATTATGCACATAGTGAAAAATAGCCGTATATATACTGTACCTACTGTAAATCCCTCAATGGCAGTCAACTCAAGTTCCACACTATACACCTTTTCAGGGGCTCAGCTAGGGCGAACTGGCTGGGTTCGAGTCTAGAGCGCAGTGGGCCAGAAGGATTTCCCAGTATAGGGGTTCAGGGCTGCGAGTCGATTTTGGAAGAACGCAATCAGACTCGACTTACAGTAGTTCATTGGCAGTAACCATGCAGATTAGTTCAGGTTAAAGAAAGGGAGGTTGTCTCGTGCTACATCTATGAGTATTAGTACGTCACTATAAACACCCTCTCAATCGGCTCGACAAGTATTAATCCTACAAGTATCGACCGGACCATTCAGGAAGTTGAGGTGTGTCGGCAAGCCGATTCCACACGGGCGCAGACTTCGGGGTCGGGCAAGCAGACACGAAAACAAGAGGATCCGATGCCATTTTCCACATCCACATCCACATTTATTGTCATTTTCATTTTTCGCGCATGATTGTCTCGGCATGTTTCCTAGTGTCAGCTTTCTCCCAAAACTAGCCCTTTTCGTCAGCTACATGTACAGTATAAGGTATAACCACTCCGGAAGGGTGGGGGGAATCCAACATTGATGTATACCGAAAGAAAGAAAGACCAAAAGGGGAAACTCGTCACAGGGATACACGGTTCTCGAAAAACATTTCGGTACCGGTGAGACGAGCGAACCGGACGAGCGCAAAAAATAAAAGGAAAGGAAAGAATCCACACGAATCAAGCCCGGTCCCCGTTTTCTGGTTCGACCCCACCGGGCCCTGACCTCTCTCCACTTGGGCCTGGAAAAGGGAGGGAGAGAGGAGAAGAGAAGAGAAGATCTCACAAGAACTTTGCGACTCTTCTGGCCGGGTAGCTCGAAGGGGTTTAGTTTCATAGGCTAACTGGAGGTGTGAGCACTGCAGATATCGATATTTATGTATTTCACTTCTTCATTTTCTGGAGATAATACTCTTGTTGAAGAGTACCTCTTCTCCCGGAAGTGTACATATATTCAACCATGTTTTCGAATTTACATTCTTACTTCTTCCAGTGACCCCAGAGACAGTTTTCGTTACCAGCCCCACGACCCTCGGGCGTGGTCGGAGACATTTTTGTCATTTTTGTCAATTTCCTCATATTGAGGACGACTCATGTCAGCTGAGTTGGAGAAATTTTTTTTCGCTCGACGGGAAACGGTGTCGGGCATTTTAGGAACGGGGAGGAGTGTGGGGGGTGGATTTGCTAGAGCAGGGGTCCACTTTAATGGATGCAACGAAAAAACAGTCGAGACACACGGATTTTTAGAAATAGATATTCAAATAGTGTCATATATCATATATCATAGTATATCGTATATTGGATAGATTATATAGCATATATCCAAATATAGTATTTACGGAGCAAGATCAAGTGATTCGAGAAAGAAAAGAGTATACAAATCAATGCAACCCCGGAGTCACGGGGGCTCCACTCTGCCACATGACCCGGTTGCAGGACGGCGATGCCCTAATGCCTCGGACATGCGATCAGGATGACATCAAGGTGAATCACACTCGTTGAATGTTGATATAGAATGCTGTCATTGAAAGACTCGATCTAGTTTTGACATGGTCTTAGCATGCGCTTGACTGTGATGCCAATCTCTATAATCTCAGAATCTAAGAATATACATACAAGTCCACCTGCAAGAGGTAAATCACACTTGAAGGAGCCGCAGAATATGCCGAGTCTAAAACACTCTCTCGCCAGCTCCAACTCCAGCCACCGGGCGCAAAGCCGTCGTTCCCCGGTGCAGTGCTATTCTTACAGCTCACTGTTTATAGGGTGTATACTGTGATTTGTGTAGGGTAGGGACAGGATCTGAGCGCTTATCTCGTCGAGTGGCATCCAAGCCACCACCACCATCACCATTCCTCTCTATCTGCCCAAGAAACTCTGGCCGCAGGAGCTAATGTACAAAGTATTGAAAGATGATATACTAAGAAGGGAAAATATCTCGCATGTGAAAAGCGAACAGTGCGACTCTTATCATCATCACTCGGTGTGTTATGTGTTGGAGAACGCAGTTGCTAGATTTTGTCAAGGTACTTTTTGGCGTTGGCCCTTGGTCGCTTGTTGTTGCTATTCCCTTTTCCACATAAATCCTTTCATGAGTATTTTTTTTTTTTTTTTTGGATCGGCCAGCTGACCTGGTTGCCCTGCGATCGTCGATTCCTTTCACTATGAAACATACCCTCTTCTTCTCCGCTTCTCCCCTACGATCGGGTCTCCTAGTTAGTTAGTTCCATTGAATCAGTCCCGGCCCGGTAGTCCGGGTACTCAAAATCTCTCCATGCGAATGGGCTACTCCTTTTTCGCATGGTCATTATGAATTCACCATGACCTTGCCCCCTCCCTTTTTTTTTGTTACGTGTCAGCGCCACCAATACCTACCCTACAGTACCCCTACATAGATATAGTAAGTACTACAGATAGACTCCTAGCAAAAGCTTAGATCGAAATGCCTGGACTTCCTATTTGATATAAGTGGCGCTGCTATCTCATGCCACCGCAGGGATGTGTAGTCCGGAAAACCTTTTGCGGACCTCGCTCGATGGTGTAGACTCGATCCTTTGTTTTACTCGATTAGAAACCCAGACCGCTATTTCATTGCTGCGTGGCGTCGCGCCTCTCTACTCCTACTCTCTTGAAAAGAGAGTGTGTGTGAATACGATGTGACGATGTGCATGCATTCATGTGTTCCACGTCTTTTTGGATTTTGAATCGTAGCGTACGGGAACAAAACGGTCTAGTCCGCGAGACAAGACCATCGCAAAATCAAAGCAGATAAAAAGCGCATGGTATCTCTGGTATCGAATCAAAGAAAATAAAAAGCGAGATGGAGGGGGAAACATGTTTTCTGCAGCCACCAGAACCGAGGCCATGCAGTTGAAGGTAAGAAAGAAACAATTCGCTGATAGAACCTTTTTGTTTTTTGAGAAAAAGCCATCGGAAGAATTAAAACCATGTTTTCCATCAAACCGCTCGAGGGTCCGAAAACCATCCCGTCAAGAAATGATGAAGCTGTACATGAGCATTAAGGTAGGGGAATTAAAACACCCGCATGGGCGGGTCCGTAAGCTCTCCCCCCCATGCAGGGACAACGCCCAGTGGATGCTGTAGAACACCGCAAACCCCGAAACCGATGAGATCTCAGAAATAAAAAAGATAGTGTTAAAAAAAAAAGATAAAATCAAATCCATGGGTGCGCCGAGATGCAATGCATGATCATGATCGGACGTGTCGGAATGCCTCGCGACCGAGGGGGGCATATCATAGAAAGAAAAACACATGAGGCCTAGTGTTCATATCGAAACAAGGCCCAAGAAGGAAAAAAAAAGAACGCCTCAAGAGGTGCAATCACCATCCCTTGACATGGTACTCCCACGGACCGTAATCAGTGGTGTAGTTGGTCCATGACCCATTCTTGGAGAAATCCTTGTCCTTGGGCTGACCATCGGCATCCACATCAGGGCCGGCGCCAGAGTGGCTGCCAATGCCCCGGTGCGGTCCCTTGGGTTCCGGGTACTCCTGAAGGTTTTTCATGTCGTGGGCGGTGTGTCGTCGCTTCAGGAAAGCGTTGGCGGTCGCGCTCTTCTGTTGGCGCTCCCAAAGAAGATGTCGGCGCAAGGACTCGGTCAATTCGGTCGCAAGCATGTTGCGTCGGGTCGTGCGCGGCGAGTGGGCAACCGATTGGGGTGGTGGCGACTTCATAATAATAGGCTTCGATCGAGGAACGTCGGGACCGCGCATGGTCAGGTTTTCGTCGTCGTTCTCCGGCGGGGAGGCAGGAATGGATGGGCCGTTGGGTGATGTCAGACGCGATCGTTGCAGCGCGGGACTGGACCGGAACGCATTGCCTTGCATGCGGGTAGGTTGGTGCATCATCATGGTGAGAAGCGACCGCCGCGACACCAGATTGGGCCGGGAATCCACCCGCTGGAACATTTCCCCCACGCTCGTCGACGCTGGATCGACCGCTTTCCGTCACCGAGTCTTCCCAATCGGAATCCTCGTCGTCGTCGATGGCGCTCTCCGAGACCTCGTCGTCGGTTTCGATGGCGTCCTCGTCCGCGCGACTCGGGCCCTTGGGCGGTCGGATCGTGCGCGACACGACTTGGTCACTGAAGGAGGCGACCTTCTTGGCAGGGCTTGGGTGGCTGGTCACGGGCTTGGTCAATGGCCTGTCGGCTCGATTGTCCTGGGAAACTTGTGGAGCCATGCGATCCTCGAATGAGCTCTCGTCGTCATCCCCAGAGGATCCGCCCAATGTAAACATCCCCCCTTCTTCTTTAGAGGCGATGGTTTCAGTTGCGTCGTAGCACGGGCGGGACTGGGATCGGAAGCCAGCTTGTGTTGCGATCGGAACGAAGATGAGATGTGTGACGGCGAGAATCCCCGCACGACGCTGGGGGACTTGACCAACCCCGGTCGGCACGGAAGAACGCCAGAAGAGGAGACGCTGGTATCAGAGCCATTAAGCTGGGCCGTGTCGCTCTCGTTACCCTCAGGGGCGGTGGTCGAGCACGACTCAGTCGACTCGTGAGGCTGCGGCACCGGTCGCGGATATGTAGGGACCTGACGAGCAGTAGAGACGGAGGGAGGAGTGGGAGTAGGGGTTGATGGGCGCGGCGTGATGTCGACCACCGGTGCAGCGGGCTCGACCATAGGAGTCAGCGGCTCCAGAGTCTTCTTTTCCTTGATGTTAAGAACCATGCGTTCCAGATCCAACGAGGTAATGTGCTTCTCCTTGCCTCGGCCGAGACTGGCCATCGAGTCCTCACGGACCACCGCAGGGCGGTAGTCCGGGCATTTAGGGCGCTTAATGTGAGCTTCAATGCGATCGGCCTGGTCGGACGCCGCCGACTCAACGCTGGCGGAGAGCTCCGGGAGGTCCCCGGCTTCGGAGCGCAATAGGGGCAAGACGGAGGTGTCACTGGACTTTTCAGGCTCGACGCAGAATGTCTCGCGGGTCCACAGACGCCAGCTGAGGTTTTCCAATCGGCGTCCCTGGTCCATGTAGTCGGCACATTTGGAAAACACTGCAGGTTGAGTTAGCCGGGAGACATCCAACCCACACCTAGAAAAACAAAACCCCATCATTCACTTACCCATCCACATGCCATGCAGGCTCTGCGCATTCGCGGTATCCACCTTGTGGATATTATCCGCATCCACCGTCAAAACCGGCGTTGTTAAAGGCATGTTGGCAACGCCACAATTACGACTCGAGAGTATTCGGTGGGTGATCGTGATTGATGTTCCGGGGTCGCCGTCTACCCCGAGAGTGGTCGTACGGCGGCTGAGACTCGGTGTAAGGAGTTTTTCGAAGAGTAATGGCTTGAGGAAAATGCCCGTAGAATGTCGTGAGTCTAGACTCTGCAGTGTGTGGCAGAATCGATCAAATGGAAAAAAAAAGTTGCCTCAGCTGCAATCGAATGCTCACGCAAAGAAAAAAGAAAGACAGCTAGTCAAGGAGTCGAGGGAATCAGTTGCGGGCGAAGGAATCTCGGTTGAGCGTCAAACTTCCGTCAAGACGCCACTGAGTCGATGCGGAGATCCTGATGGGGGCGGAGAAGATCGGAACACCGAACACGTCTGAGAGAGCGGATTGACGTGATTCCGTCACGAATGATGGTCGAGGTGAGGTGGGAGAGTGTTGGGGGGGGGGGAAGTGGAAGGAAGAAGAAAGAGAAGAGAAAACTAAGGCAATCGGAACGATAATAAGAATTCTGATGACGGGGGGCGGCACTTTTGGAGTGGAAAAGAGAGGGGGGGAAAAGGAATATTCAAAAAATGAATTTTTTTTTTTTTAAAAAAAAAAAAAAAAAAAAAGAATTGTATGTTTGTGACAATACGAAAGATACAGGAAAATAAAATAAATTAATGGAAATTAAAAAAAACCCCCCCGGAGGAACGCGAGGGTCGGTGAGGGCGAAAATTCAGTCGCATCACGGGGTGTGTTAATTACCCCGGTACCTCGTCCATACGCGTAGTCCCCGGTATCTCGCCAGTACCGGTAGACCTTGGGCTCTTCCGAAGTTCTTCCTTATTTTACCGGCCTGTTTCCGGTGTTCAATATTCAGTATAGAGATTTGAATTTCAATTTGAAAATATAATATGAAAATATAGAACAATAAGGAATAAGGAATAAAGAATAAAAAGAAAAAGAAAAAGAAAGATCTTTAGAACGCGTGACCGAAGGGAGGCTGACAAGTGGGATTCCATTGCGGCAGTTGTAGGGGCTTCCCGGCAGTCTGGACTCTACTTACTGTGCTCTAGGTACTCTCTCTCTATTTCCCCGGCTTGCCACTGCAAATTACAAAAACATGACCGCTGAGCTGTCGCACCATCGACTGGCCGCCTAATTTCAGCACTTCAGCTGACTTCAACTGGTCAAGTATGTATAAGGTATGAATTTAAGAAACTATTTCTGGTCTGGCACGGAGGGGATCCCTTGGAAAAGGATGTAGATCTAAAGCCACGTTATATTCTCTGAGATTGTCCTGATGATATGCCGATTTGGTAGCAATCCTCATTATTCCCCCGCAAGCAGCTACTATCCGACAGCAAGGGATATTGATTTCCCGCTTGCATACCGGGGAACCAGGGCGATTCTTCCGGGAGTCTTTTGTCTGAAAGATATTTAATTATTTAAAAATAAAATAAAACATAAGGTCGTAAGGCTTTATGCAGCTTCCAGCCCTGGGATAATGACCGCAATGAACTACAACTTTACCGCCCTTTTTTGTTTATCCTCCGAAAGGGCATATCCCGGCACTTTTCTTTTTCTTTTTCTTCTTTTCTTTCTGGACATTCCCAATAGGACACGGCACTCCGAGTGTCACAGTCCAGCAAACACGTCACGAGCTGGCCAGCTGGCATCGAAGGATTTCTCCCTACTGTAGGGAGTCATTTTCTGCCTTCGAATGAATCAGTCTGTCCACGATCATGACAACACCGGTGCAGAGAAAAAAAAAGTTTCTTTCTTTCTTTTTCCGTCACGGGGTAATAGTTCGGTTGATTGTAGCATCTCCACCCGGGCTGACGGAAAGAACTCTTTAAGTAAACCCAAATCTTGGACAGCTTCGGGCTAGTCAATCCCGGGGGAGTGGGATGGTCTGGGGGGCCGCGATCCCCCCTGCTCGGGCAAAGTCACACGGGCCGCACGTTTCATCCATCATGTGATATTGAAAATATTGAATTTCATGTTGAAGGATAATGAAATTATGATTTCTGGGATATACAATGAAATGGTTCTATGCCATGTCAAAAGACCGGTGTGGAGTATCTGGGGGGCGGGGGGCGGAAGTGCATTGCGGGGAGAAAGGAAAACAGTCGGTCTATATACATGCACGTCTGTGGTTGATAATGCATGAGTCAATGAGAAACAGCAGACCAAAATGGGGATGATCCGGGTATATCGACCTGGTGGAAAATATATTGAGTGTTTTCTTGTCCCTGGTTCGTCCCTGCAATGTCTGACTATCACCTACAGGATTGCAACACATACTCTGACCCTTGGCCTGGAGTATCTGCGTCATGATTTCACCGAAACCATGTGGGCATTGCTGAGAAATTTGATCAGTAGATTTACTTATTTACTTGGTAACTGCTGAGATAGTGCCACGCTCATATCCGAGATATATACATATCCTCGGTATATACATCTGAAAGTCACTAGTGATGCCATAATATATAGTATGGATGAACAATACCGAGGTCGGACCAGCACACATCTCAATCCAAGGCAAAGAGGTCATCTGGCAAAAACAATCGTCACAAGTGGCTTCCAATCCAATGAGAAACAGCTGACAGCTGACAGCGCGCCTCGGATCACAGTGGGAAACAATTCTTCGCCCCTCGAGCAATTTGATATGAACACGGCATAAACCCATGTGTATCGTCACGGTAAAGAAAGAAAGAAAAAGAGAAAGAAAGGCCAACTCAGACAAGTGGCAAGGTCACGCGAGAAAGAGAGTGGTCACATGATGAATCCAGGAACACACACGCCACACGCTTATTGAATGAACGGTATCTATCCGCGGCGGTATATATTTTCTTTCATCACTCGAGACACCGGCAGCGAGTTCTGGTTCCCTGTTTGAAATCCCTCAAGGAATTGGTCTTAGGAGAATCATGGGCCTGGATTTCTTCGGGGGCGTCAACCTGTCACCTCCCCCATGTGTTAGATAGAGGGATAGGCTGAGGAGAGGGGCGGATCGACAGCCAAAATCTTCCAGTTGATCGTCTATTTTTATTACTGTTGGTGATCTTCGCGACGGAGCGGCTCTGATGATAACTGCCGAGACCCAATAATGTGGACCGTGTCAAGTATCCGGCGCCCATTCGATCTCTCTTCACTCAGGGGTAATACAGTATGTCAGTCTATGAGGCAGCAAGAAGAGGGGTTTCACTCATACAGTATACTGGTCCAATTATACCAGAGTTGATGGGATACGGTCACTTTTTTTTCAACAGTTTCCAGGACTACTGTCCTGTCATTCATTCATGCTCTTCATGACTATACAGACGGGGAGATCAACACCGATTTGGAACATGCGCCTCACCTCAACAAACCAACGGCCAGAACCGCATTGAATCAGAATGTGACCAGACACAGCGGGTGACTGTCCACCGTTCGTATCAGCCAAACATGAGGCATCTTCTACCCCTGAAACGCAGCACAAAGAAAAGAAAAGAAAAAGAAAATCTCCAGCTAAGACCTAGAGTCGGACCCTCGTGTCTGTTGTTTCTAGGCGCAATTTTGAGCAACAACACTCTTACTGGGCTATCGATCTCATTGTATCACAAATCACAAATGGCAAATCATGTTTGATCGTGCCTTCGCCCTGTTTTCGGGCCGTGTCCCCCGGCCACACTCTCCCATTAAGACTTAAGAATACGCCTAAAAGGGCATTTAGCAATTTACAGTATTTCAACCCCCCCCAACTCTAAACAAAAAAGTAATGAGGCTGTTTAGGGGAAGATGCTTTATGATCGACGGTTGCGATGGGTCCAAGCCGCCGATTCGTCGAAGCAAGGGATATTCGATTCGGGCACCATGGGCGAAGAAGCCGGAACATACTTGGTGGACCTTGAGCAGGTGACTCTAACTAAACAAGCCAGAAATCAAGATCTGGGATGCATTCATGCCGGCAATCTCTTTGCTGTCGTCATCACTACTAACTTAGTATTTGGTGTTTTGATCCATGTCCTCTCCGTCTTACGCTTCCGCCCTTTGCAACGATCAACCCGCAGGTCCTGCATGTGACCCTATTCAAGGGGCTGGGTCTGGGGAATTTTCCAGATCGGAGGAGACTCTTCATAGAAAAGCAGTTAGTGGTGCCGGGATTGGTGGGGACCGACAAAGGGCTCCCAGCCGGAACCAGGACGTGCATATCCGAGTCGATCGGTTCTTTCTCTCAAAGCTTCGATGTCTTGAACTTTTAGATTGACACTGGTCATGGTTATTGACCTGTTCGAAATACTTCTATGGTATCTCTTGCAACTAATATCTCGAGCTATCCTAGCTCTGCTTCTGGTAACACACCTCTATCACATCTACAGATAAGATCTTGGTTTCAGACTGCTCTTATCTTGCCCAAGGAGGATCCTCTCACTGTTAAGTCTGTATCTTTATCACAACTGCAACAGTTGTGGTAATGAACCCAGTCCTAGTTCTAGTGTTAACCTCATCATCAGCCGATCTAAGACAACAAGCTCATGCATACCAACCGGAGGTCTAGCCTGGACAATCGGCCATTTTTGTGGGGCTTTTGCGGTCTGAGAATCAAGAGGATCCCCCTTGATGAAGAGATGCAGGCTAATTTTTTTTTTTTCTTCTTCGTGACCCCTGCGGGTTGGGTCAGGTATCCGGGTAGTTGGGAGCATTCCCGCCTCATTCTCCGACAAGGCAGACCCCACTCGCCGGACAATTCGGGGTTTGTTTCATACTGTTGACTGTTGTTCTTCAAAGGGCAATGACTGCTGTCTCGGTCTTTTTTTTTTTTTGTGTATTTCATTGTCGCAGACTAGTTCTACTAGGTAATGCGAGGGAAAAGCCTCTAGCCATGGTAATCAATTACCATATATGGGACTCAGCAACCAATACTAATTCTCGCTGATGCTTTGTTTTCTTGTATTTGTTCATCCCTACTGTGCCTCAATACACAGCCCCCGGATTTCAGATGCATTCGCCCCCAACTAGGCCCTTTCATCTGACTCGAAGTGACACGATGGAATCCAGCCCTGCTAAATATAGAATAGCCCGCCTTATACCATACAAGCAACTAGATGAGTACTGGAATACTTGGATATACGCAAATACTGGTTACCCAAGGGTCTAGACTTGCTCTCGGAGACCGAGAATTGCTTTTTGTCATAAACAGCAGCACAATAATCCATAATAATAAGCAATCATGTATGCTATCCATGGATTGATAGATATTCAGGGCCCTGCCGATCGGAGCATCAGCCAGCCCCAAATCTCCCAGTCACATCATACCTGCATCGAGGGTCATGTGCATGTACAGTAGTCGATTGATTGGGAGCGTGAGCTTGGGGCGGCTAAATTGATTTTTTCTTTTCTTTTTCTACCTGACACATCTCATTGCTTTTTCTCTCTTTCACTTTGAACGGCTGTGGCGGCTGCCATCAAAAGACCAATCTAAGGCGAACTCGGTGTTTCTCGGCGTGATTGTGGCTGATTCGGTTTGAAATTCGCGGTGTCTTTGATCTTTGATTGCTTTTCTTTGCGGTCTAGACTCTGTCGGATGCCCAGCAAACATCCTTTAGGAGGATTTCAGCCTGATCTGGGCTTTGTTTTCTTGGGGAGTTCGTACAGTGTACCACAGATCGCAGGATAGAATGCCGAAGCTTATGATCAAAGAGTAATCTAGATAGGTGGGGAGTGGCTTGAAGAATATAGATTTTCATATTGTTCTTCGTCTCTTGGATTTATTTGAGCATTCCTCACATTGTAACGACAGTCAATACTGAAATAGTGGAGAAATCGGGGGAAGTCTACTATGGATGTGTCCACATCCTTGGAACAGTCTCTGATCTGTCTAAACGCAGAAAATGAAGAAGAAAAAGAAAAGAAAATGCAACGAGTAAATTGCAACATAAAGACGTATTGTCACTTCTCGAAGAATACATTTCCATACCGGTCAGCCTAAAACCATCTATGGCGACCGCAGACCAAAAGAGTAGAGAGCAACGACCACCAGACTGATCGGATCGACGTCTGTGACAAGTGACAAGCGCCGTACTAGGGGAAGTTGATGTGTAGACACTTAAGAGGTTCCCTTAAGTCGTGTGACGAGGCTCAACAAAATCCCGTAGAAGAGAGAGAGGACTGATGACCGAATAGATTATGTATTTCTTCGAAGGACCACGACAACTATGCAATCTACAATCTAGTATTGACTTTCTAGTCACGAGGAAGAGAATCAGAAGAAACACACAAGATCCCAAGACTTGTTTACTGCGAACCGACCGGAGCCACGTCAATAGGGTCCCGACCATGTGAACAGATCCATGGGATAGGTTTGCCTGATTTCTTGCCGACATAGTTCTTCTGATGGTTCTTCTTTTTTTCCTTTTTCCTTTTTTCCTTTTTTTTTGGTTTCCCTGTCTTGTCCCACATGGAGGGGCTTTACACGACATCAGGTCATCTGAACCGCGGGCTGTGTGACGCTGAGGCCTGGCGCGGCTATGTCGATTACCGAAGATGAGGTCCCTGCCCTATAGAGAGAGCTTGAGTGATGATGTTGAAGTTGAAGCGAAGAATTTTCGAATCCATAAACTCAACGATAGAATATTGATCTATGACAGTCCCTAGCGTATATACGCGGGCAAGAACAACTCAAGTATATTCAAGTATACCATGGAATGACAAAACAAGATTAATCAGAAGCAAAAGCAACAAAAGAAAACACCAGGTTTCACGAAGTCCAATCTCATCGCAGCCAACGAAAATCACCTCCAGATCCGATCGGCCACAACCCTTCCTCCGCGTACCTGTCAGAGTGCGGTCACACTGCAGAGACAGATCTGCATCTGGACTGACTGCAAGAGAGAAAGATAGCGAAGAAAAAAAAGAGCTCGACTCTCTATTTTTACCCGCTTCAGGACCAGCAGACGCAGCCTGACTCCGCGGTGGCGGCGCCTCCCCCATCGTCTTGATTGTAATGCAGCGTTTGCAATTGGACTGGCTGCAGGTCATGGGGAACTTGAATCGATCCGCTGCTCCCGACATGTCGTACACGCGGTGGACTATGTGTAGACTTGCGTTTACTAACTGATGTAGCTGGTATACTTGATAGCGTCTATGAGAGAAGGCCTGGTGCGGGTATATTTATTTCTCTAGTGCTATATTGTTTAGTTTTAGTTGCACTGCAGAATACCGAGTCTGAAGGCTTTTGTTTAATTTGTGTTTCTGAATACGAAGTTATCCGAGTCTGGTTCCTATCCCTAAGTCCATGTCGAATCTATGACTGACCTTAAATACAGATATAGAAACCCTGCATTTGATCTGCTATATTTTTCTACAGCTAAGAAGGCCTTCTAATACTGAATCTATCAAAAAAGAAAGCAAATGACTGCATATCCACTCTACATTCTACACCATCTGCATACGCAAGATGGGCCCAGACCCAGTCTCAGTCGAGCCGCAGTGGCTCGCGAGTTTCTGAACTTTGTGGGCCACGAGTCGTGGGGAACTGGCGTTGCACTTCCGCGCGCTGTGAAACAGTGGCGGCGCCCCGATTCCACCGGGGATCCCCTGCTCATCTGCAATGGTTCTGAAGAATACCTGGAGAACTTCCAGACTGGGGGCTTGCATTGCCTGCTTACGGAAGATCCCGATGATCTTCTTTCTTTCTTGTTTCAACGTGCTAATATCGAGGATAGCATAGGAATGTAAGGCGTGTGCTCGTGATTCTTCATATGTTGACCTGGACGTGTTGGCTAACGGGTGTCGTGGTTATACCATTTCATTCCATGCGGTCCCATAAGTACAATGCTTGGTTGCTCGAGGTAGTTCTCCATAGATAGAATGATACAGCTGGAGCACGAAATTTGGCGAGTATTGCCTTGGTTATTGGAATGGGCCTACATAGTGCTGGCCACTCCCACTACAAGGCACAAGGCTTCAATTCAAGGTCATCAATCCTTTTCATTTTCGTTGCAAGCAAAGAGTTCTATGTGAGGGACCATGTTTATACCTGAGCCCAACAACCATAAATCATTTTTGATGCAGATACACTGGAGCAGTGACCCCCATGTTGTCTGCAGCGGATTAGAACTAAGCTTCCACAATCTAGAATTCTTGCTCTTCGTCCCCGGCGATGATGACGTTGTTGATCTGGATTTCTGTTAGTATAGAGTACAAGCAGAGAAGGTAAGAAAAAATGTACCTTCAGAACCATGCGGCACAGTTGGGTGGCAAGCAGGAGCTGCTGGCGCTTTCCGATCAACGGGTCAATGGCGAAGTGCTCCCTCATGTCTATTCATTATTGTGTTAGAAGGCATATATATGGTCATATGGTAGATATGGGACATCTAGGCTTACCGTTGCTGCCAGTCATCATGCAGTCAACGCCCAGACGCGAGTTCTTCTCCTTGACCTGGCGCGACTTGATCGAGGCGAGAGTCTCGATGGGGCTTAGACCCGAGTTCTCGGCCAGCGCCAGCGGCACGGCATCGAGGGCATCGCAGAAGGCGCGCATGGCATACTGCTCGATTCCAGGGCTCTGTAAAGTCGAGCAAAGTCAGACAACGCCCTGAGCACTAATTGTTAACTTATTATGAAACGTACCTTCACAGCGGCATCCTCAACGGCCAGAGAGCAAGCGATCTCCGCTGCACCACCGCCATACACCACACGGTTGTCGCGGACCAGGTTGCGAACCACACACAGCGCATCGTGTAATGACCGCTTGGCCTCATCGATAATCTGTGAACAAAATTAAAAATCTGATAGGATCTGCACACATGAATCAATACTAACCATCTTGTTGCTTCCGCGGATGAAGACAGTCACAGCCCGGCTGTTGGCACACTCTTCAATCACCAGCATCTTCTCTCTCGTGGTTCCGAAGGTCATCTCGCGGACGCGACCCGCCGTGCCCAGCTTCTCCGAGCTCAGGTCCTCAAACCGCGGCACGATTCGGCCGTTTGTGGCAATGGCAATCAGCTCGATCTCAGGACCACCAACCCACCGCACAGCGGGCAGGTTGTTCTGGAGCAGAAGATGGTTGGCCTCATCGTCGAAACCCCATTGGCAAATGACCAGGTTAGCACCCGAATCCTTCAGCTGCTGAATCATCTCCGTGAACTTCTCCTGCTCATAGTCTTGCAGCTTCTTGAATTCCTCAACTGAGGTGATGTCGAGCTTGTGCTTGGTTTTGGGCTTCGGAGGCTCGAAGGGACAGGTGAGGATTGCCAGCTTGGCGTCCTGAACCTCGTCGGGCATCTGGGGGTGCGAGAAATCTTTATCCACAATGACACCGTTGACAAGCAGAGAGTCCTCGAGAGCACCTCCGACCTTGCCGTCCACCTTGATCAACTCGAAGTCAACATCCTTGCGCTGCAGGTCCGCAACCGAGAGCACGGCATCGACAGCAATCTTCGCAAACTGGTCATGAGATTTGGAGACACTAGAGAATGGTTAGAAACAGGATATAACCCTACACCAGGGAGTGAAGGGTTCATACATCTTGCTGCCCAGACTGGTCTTGGCAACTTGCAGGAGGTTGGTGGTATCATCACGGGTGAAGGGGATTTCGTCACTGATCTTGTCGAGCTCTGCAACGGCAATCTCACAGGCCTGGTCGTAGCCATCCGCTATCCGGATGGGGTGGATGCCCTTGTCAATCAGCTCCGAAGCCTGCTCCAGCATGGCCGCTGCCAACACCACGACACCGGTTGTCCCATCACCGATCTCCTCATCCTGCGACTTGGAAAGTTCGACCAGCAACTTGGCGACGTTGTTTGTAACCTCCATCTGTAATTCCCGCACGAATTAGTATCTGACAAGGAATTGAGTCCAATGGAACTCAAGAGTGGATCGGTGCGGACCTGGGAGAGAATCGTTGCGCCATCGTTGGTAACCGTGATATCGCCGTCCGGGGAGATGAGAATTTTATCCAGTCCACGGGGACCCTGAGAAAACCAGTTAGATCTCACTCAAACCACCGACTATCTAGGCCCGTACCAGAGAAGTCTTGACAATGTTGGCCACCGTCTTGGCAGCAACAATGTGCGACTTGACGGCGTCGGTACCATGTTGTCTCTTCTTCTTCCCCTGGCTATTTCAAGAAAAAAAAAAAGTAAATCAGCTCCACTGCCTCCATAATATATAACCGAATATCCAAAGCGGATTGGCGGACGCACTCTCGAACAACGATGAACGGGCGACCCTGTTCGTCCTTCAGCACCGAGGCTAAAACCGGGAGTTAGTGACTGTTGAAATTCACATAGTTGAAGCAATATTGTCGAGGAAAAAAAATCACCTTGCGATAGATCAAGCTCTGTGGGAAACGTAAGGTCAGATGGTTAGCAATCAGTGCGGAATGAGGGGTATAGGGAGATGTACGCATAGCCATTTTGACGGTGGGCTGCCACCTGGCAGATAAAACAAGTTTCCGAAGAGGAAAACTACCACAGTAGGCAAAAAGACCGAGGCAGCAAAGGAGTGAGTGCCACGGAGAGTGTTGCAGTGACGATTGAGGGGACCCGAAGCTGTTGCGCTCACAAATGAAATTCTAACTGCCCGAAGCGGTATAGCGCCCTCCTTCCGCCTTTCGGCTCGCGCGTCGATCTCGTCGCTTCATCCTTCCCCCCATTCCCCAGTTCACTGGCGCTTTTCAACTGTTTCGCAATCGTGAGGTCGAGGCCTCACAGCCGTCAAGCTGTTCGCTCGACTTTTCAATTTCGCCTCCCCCTTCAAGAGAAACATGCCGCGTGAGTGTTGTTGTCGCGACTTGGAGCACTTCAATTGACCTGTCCCAGCTCCGGTGGAGGAAATGTCGGACAATGAATCCGGCGATATCCCGTTCAATGATGACGCAGGGAGTAATGGAGAGCAGCAATCAGAAAGCGAAGAGGAAGGGGAGGACGTGTGAGTTGCGACGCGCCGTTATCGATGGCCTCACTGACTGATTGAATACAGTTACGTTGTCGAGACGATTACCGAGCACCAGTTCAACGACGATGTACGGTTACGCGCTGATACCAACTGCTTCACTCGATGTGCTAACCATTCACTAGGGTACTCTGATGCTCCTCGTCAAGTGGAAAGGATATGACAAACCCGAAGATCACACTTGGGAGCCTGAAGCAGGATTGAAGTACGTGATACACTCTCTCGCCCCGACAGAGCTCGAGCTTCTTGCATTTACTGATACGTCACAGAGAGGGAGCGAACGATGTGTTGGCGGCTTACTACAAAAAGCTGGGCGGCCGGCCCAAGAAAACCGCAGCAAAGCCAGGCCCCAAGGCCGGCCCAGGGCGCAAGCGCAAATCCATAGGAGATTCCAAGTCGACGACCCCCGCACCAGCAGCCGAACCGAAGAAGCGCCGAAAGTCAGAGCCCAAGCAAACGGAGACGCCAGAGGAGAACAACCACAGTCCCAATTGGGTTCCAAAGGGCAAGAACTGGGAGGATAAAGTGAGCAATGTCGACACGATTATTCGGGACCCAGAGGACGGAGGCCTCTATGCGTTCCTCCTTTGGACCAATGGCAAGAGATCCCGAGTATCGATTGAGAGCTGCTATGAAAGATGTCCCTTGACGGTATTTCTGTTCCATCCAGTTTAGAAGAACCACAGAAGCGCTAAGTCTTACCCAGATGCTCACATTCTATGAGCAGCACTTGTATGTTAACCAGTCCGGTGCATCAATTCAGACAACTTGCTAACTTTGGCTATAGGGTCTTCAAGGATGGTTAAATGCGCGATTCTATCCCTTGGGCTCGTACGGAGCCGACGCAACCGTGACAGGAGTTATTACTTGACAGCGAATTCGCGCATACCGATCCATCGCTGAGCTCAAACAAATGGTGTGTTTCTCTCCTGGTACTCATTGTAGGATAGGAGACGCAAGGCGAATGAACATTTCTCTCGAGGCCTTCGACTTCTTAGGGGAGAAGATGGTTTGGACATTGCAATTCCATATTCCTTTGCTTCTCTCATATTTGTGTGTTTCGGATCTCCCAATATGTCGTGGGTTAATCATGTTTGGTGTTATTGGCGATTGTCTTTTTTTTTTATTCCCAACGGAGCTATCCCATGTAATTTACAAACAGGGCACTGTGATGGTCATTATGCACGCCTCGTCAAGATCATCGAACTTGTTATACCAGGCCCCTTTCCCGGGCCATACTAAGGTAATCCCACCGGGCCTCACATGCGCCCGATCCATGCTTGGTCAAGACGCGTTCGACATCCCGCATATTTTGCCCTTCTAGGCATTCATCGTCATATGCTGTCCAGATCCCAGGTATATTATCAGGGACCGCCTGGCCAGCCAGAAAGTGCTCAAGCACCTTGTCGGCGAGTGTTGGGTCCATGCTTGTGCAGCGGAGAGCGTCGATCACACTGGATTCATCCACATTGCCTCGCGCGAGCCGGGCGTCAATCCAAGCGTCTACGTCGGAAGTTTCGCTTTGTTCAGCTTCTTCGTCGTCCTGGGCTGGCCCCGGAGATGGCGGCAGGAATGGCAGCTCTAAGAATACAGGGTCGACCATGTCGTCCGCTTGATTGATGGGTGGCTCAGATGATTCTTTCTGACCAGGAGCTAGGGCGGAACGTGTAGCTGAACCGGTAGGACGCTCCGCTGGGCGTTGACCGGTCTTTACCGGCGGAGTTGAGAGATTAGTTGGTTGAGGTCGTGACTTGCCACCTTCCGAGTGAGGATGAGGTGAGTTGTTTTCGGCGGGCTGTGGCAATTCGATTTCTTTCCTTTTTGAAGTCGAAACATCTTCGGGAACAGAATCGCGCTTCCTTTTCAACTCTGCTGGTTTAGGTGGTTGCGGCGAAGGTGCTCTTGGACTTCGTGGTTCAGGAACCATCGAAGGTTCTGGCGCAGGTTGTTCTGGCGTTCTCTCCTGAGCTGAGTCGTCAGGAAACCACTCTGACCTAGGCAATGGGGCACCACCTCCCGGCCGAGGTCTACCGCGCAGCTTTTTGAGATATCGAGCTCGCCAGGACTGCCATGAATGCCGCGGGCACTGGAAATTCCAAATTAGTATCCAACCTAGCGGTAAATCATGTTTGAAAGGCGCAGAGGAATTTACCTGAACGGCTATTTCCTGATATATCTTGTTGCCATTGATGGGGGCTCCCTTTTCTTTCTCCAGCGGATGAAGCCAATCAAACAGAATTTGATCGTCTCGCAGCGAGTAGTCAAAGCGAGTGCCCTTTCTAGGGATGTGAGATGCGCCCATTGGGCGAGGTGCAGAGGGCCCGGCGCGATGGGCTTCCAGATCCTCGAGTCGTCCGTTGAGGACTGATCGCTCCACGTATTTGTATGAATAATAGCTGAGACTGAAATGAGTTTCAAAGCCTGTTTTGGAGGTCACAGAAGGAGCTCTACTTGTCACTGGGGATGTTTTTCTTCGTGTGGTCCACCAATTTGACGTCGGCATCTTTATCTAGCAGCACTACTTGGCCACCATGTTTCTATGACAGGGTCAGCCTGCTCATCTGTTCATCAAAACCCCCAAACATAAATAGGACAGTACCTCTATCAGTTCCCGGAACTTCGTTCTCTGCGGGACATGCTGCGATATCCAAAACCGCATGCGGTGGAAAAGCCCACTCCTTCCATTTCCATCTCCGGGGGACGCCATCGCCAGAGATGCTAAATCAGAAAAATGAAGCTTGAGTGGGTTCAAACAGCCTTCCCATCGCTCGGTAGTGGTAGGTTTAGTTGCTCTGCGACGCGCGATCACGTGGCAGCGTGTCGCAGGGGCATTTCCCCTTCAAAAGCGCGCGCAGCTGCTGGAACAGCGTGGACCTTCTGGATCAGAGTAGTATTTCGACTCTCCAAACCAAGGTTCAGTAGTTTTGGTTGTTGTGAAGCTCACAGAGTCGCGCGTTCCTGTCTCGGCGTCGCGGAGGTTATCGGCGCGACACGTGACATCACCAATAAATAACTTGGCCGCGAGGAGACGCTGACCGATTCACCCCAGGGACAGAGGAGCTTGGCTCGGGACTCAAGAAAGGCAGTATGAATCTCGACTAGTTGAAATTCATCGATCATTGGGTAGTTCCTGAAATTCAGCAGAGGTCCCGGTCCTTCCCGCCTCCCACGATGGGATTCCTCCGAACTGCAGCTCTTGTGGTGTTGGGAATATCGGCTTTCACATTTGTCGCCTTGTTTGGGAGACTGCCCGCCTTTAGGTGAGCGATCAAAGGATTGCGCTGCCTATAACCGAAGCTGACAAGATGACAGGAGAACTCCGATTGCCTTTCTTCATCGGGCACTCTGGGTATACATCCCCAACGGCATTGCCTCCGCCGACTCTCGTTTGTTCGACGGACGAGTAGTGCATTTCTGCTCTCGCTCTGGCAATTATATACTGGGCGAAAATCACCCATTGGTTCTTGTCAGTTGTTGAGATAGAAGATCTACGTAGGATGCTCCCGCTAACCTGGATACTTAGATCTTCTTTGTGTCTTTGCTTGTGATTGGCGAGTGCATATTCCTACCGAGTGCCTGGCCTCGGATATCGGGTGCTCATCGATTCTGGGTGCCGATGGTCGTCATCCTGCCATATGTCTTGCTCTATGCATGTGTGGTGACAAAACCCTTCATCACGCCGGAAAACCACGCCAAGGAGATGAAACGGTACCCATATGACCGAGTTCTCTTCCATCCTGGGCACAAATGTCCTACCTGTGACTTCCTCAAACCTGCCCGGAGCAAGCATTGTAGCTTCTGCCGGGCTTGCATTTCCCGACACGACCACCATTGTGTCTGGCTGATGAACTGCGTTGGAGCCAACAACTACGTCTACTTCCTTTCATTGCTGCTTTCCCTCTCGGTGTTATTGAGCTATGGTTCCATTATGGGCCATTTCCTGCTCCACCAGACTCGGGATGAACTGGTGCCAGTGAACATGCGGGCGGCCAAGCAAAACTGGACGACATATCTCAACATCTGGTCAGTCGTGATTGCTGCAGATCCACGAGTCGGGGGAATTTTCTTGTTGATGCTCATGACGGCCCCGCTGGCTGTGGCATTCCTAGCGTATCACACCTACCTCATCTGGGCGGGCATGACTACGAACGAGAGCGCCAAATGGTCAGATTGGAAGGAGGACGTTGCGGACGGGCTTGTCTTCAAGGCCAAACGGAGTGAAGTAGACGGGGCATCGTTTAAATCCGACTCTCACGACCTGCGGTGGCCGATGTACAGTGATCAGATCCTTGTTCTTGACGCGGACCCGCCGACGGAGGGTTCAGTCACTGTGCCTGACTCCAACAGAGTCTCCCATTGTGGTGGTCACGGTGCAGCAATCGACACTCGATGGATGCCCGTTCATAGTATGAGGGATGTGGACAACATCTATGACCTTGGGTTCTGGGATAATCTCCGGGACTCTGTGGGGCTGTCTGTCCGAAAAAGGCCCCAGCTTTAAATTGCTAGAAACCCAACAAAAATAATTCAAGTTTCGGATTATCAAATGAATGATTTTTGTGGACAGACCTGAACTAGAATTGAAGAGTAAAAGCACATAGTTCGCGATGCACGAATGAACGGCAGTATGCGTCCGGGCGGTATAATCCCACTCCAATTCCGCGACTTTTTTTTCCTCCCCACTTCGTTCTCCCCGCTTAGTCGTATGCGCAAGATGGCCGAGAAAAAGCCATTATGTACGCCCGCTGAGTTGATGCTCAAGGTGATCCTGACTGGGACTCTGAGCCACTATGAAACTCGGGGGATGATCGACGAAAAACGCCTCGAGCATATGCTCGCGGCCGGAAAGCAGATCTTGTACAAGACGCATCAAGAGAGTGACGTCCGGTATATTTCGTCTTCCATGCTTTTTAGATTCTAATGTTGAGATTCTCTGCTGACTTGGCGCGTAAATAGCCACAATCTCGGCATGTCACCAGATATTTGGCAGGGTCTCACGAGCGTCCTCACGAGAGCGATCCCCGTCCTCGAGTCACAGTCATTTGCATGGAAAAGCCCACAGGCCACCTTTGAGCACTCCTCCTCTAATCTGATCGCCTATAATTACTTCTCGCTGGTCAAGGACATCGAACGACTCAATGATTTGTGCACGATCGCACGCAACCTCCTCGCCACAACCAAGAAAGCGCAGAACCTCGCCGCAGAAAAGGGCTTCGACCAGAGAATTCTAGCCTTGATCGATACCTGCGTGAGAGTGACGGCGAGGGGCTTCGATGGCGAGACCAACGCGCGCAACGAGGAACGGTGGCAGAAAGTGGTCAACCTCTACAAACGGCTCTTGATTACCTGCCTGCAGTATCTGCACAACTTCATCATGCACAACGAGCAGCGGAAGATGGTTCTGTGGTTGGATCTGTTCGGGTACCATTCCACCGCCGATACAAATATCATCAAGCCCAAGGAGCCGTTGGATCACACCGGCTCCCGAACCGACGGTGTGGCACCTATTGTACACTTTGGAGAGCGTGTGGTCAACCCGCCGATCCGGGCACTCTACGACCAGACTGCCGAAGACCTGCTGCTGGAGACTATTGCCAAGTTTCCGCGGGAGCCCGCCACCATCAAGGAAGAGGCTGCCATGCTGCTCCTAGCCAACATCAAGGATCACATGGAAAGTATTCTTGGACGGGACCTGGGAGCTATCCAGGAAATGGGTCGAGACCCCGACCAGATCAAGGATATTCGTGCCGCATTGACTACCATCCTGGGATCCAAGGTCGAGGGATGGTCTGACCTCCAGGACCGAGCGAGGACGAACGGACTTGCGCCCCGCGAAGAGGAAAGGAAAGATGAACAAGAAGCACAGAAGGAGCCGGAAAGGAACGAGCCGGAACCTCCGAAAAAGAAGTCAATTTTGACTATTGACCGCAGTATGACTGCCGGGTTCCCTCGCCTCTGCTGGGCTGATCTGCCAGAGTTCAGCGATCACAGTGCATTACATGCCCCTGTCATGGAGGATGATACCACCATGCCCCGTTCGGCCCAGTCTGCTGCCGAGACCCTTCAGGAGGCCAAGGATGAACTGATGGCCCGGTTGCAGGAAGCCTCTCAAATTGGCGACGGGGACCCAGACCATGAAACCGCCGATATCAGGACAGTGGGCGACGATGATTCGCGTAGCCTAGAGGCTGTCGCCGACGGCAGCGCCGATGGTGATGGCGAAGAGGATGACGAAGGAGATGAGAGCGAGGATGAAGGTGCCGATGACGATGATGAGTACCGTGGCCGGCCCGGGGATCAGCAGCGAGGTCTGTTGACGGATATTCCTCTTGTTTTGGGGCCAGCGGAGATTGAAGCCCTCCCCATGATTGTCCAAGCAGGCATCGTCGACAGTTTCGGACTCAAGGGCGGAGAACGGAATGGCTCGCGAAACATGCAGTCTCTCCGGTGCCATGTTCTTCTCACACAGGAGACCGGGCGAAACCTGCTGCGTGAACTTCTGATCTTTATCGCAGCTTGGGACCTGCCCGATGATGAGCTTTACTTCAAGATGATGGTCCAGATCATGGAGGCCGTACTCAAGAATGGGTTAATGTCTCACGCATACTCTGACTTTGGTCAACCCAAGGACATTATCTCCCCAGCACAGGCGGTGGTGATCAAGATCCTCACGCACATTTTCCGGGCCAAGTACTCTCCGGCCTCGATCACGGGCTCCTCCCACCACAGCATCCCGCGAACCCCGGCGGAACCTAACCGGGTGGACATTCTCACTGTCCGATATATCTTCACCATCTTCCGGGGTAACATAATCCCGGAAACGTGCGCTCTGATCTATCTACAGGGCCAAATCCGCGCGGAGCGTGCCCTTCCCGAAGACTTCCCGCTTAATATGTGGGATATGGAACGGGTATACGAGGGCGTGTATCAGTTCCTAGAGTTCTTCGCTGTGCTCACTGAAAACAACGACTGGAAGAACTTGCTTGTCCAGTGGGAGATTGTCTACGACCTAGTGACTTTGATCAAGGAGTTGGAAGCCAGCATCCCCAAGGGCCAGCTGAACGCTCTGACGTTCGGGGCTGTCCCGCCGCCTCCTCCACCCCGCAGCACCTCCCCCAACGAGGGATCCCACTTGGCGCTGCCCGCCCCTGTAGCCGTGGAACGTCCCTACGACCCCGGCGACCCAGACCCCATCGACACCGGAGCTGGCAGCGTCGTCTCGCGACCAGACTCCCCGCCTATTACCGAGGATCCGTCCGAGTTCGAGTGGCGCAACCTGAAGAAACTCGTTGTGCTGGTACTCTCGTCACTGGTGTGGAAATGCCCCGAGGTGCAAGAGCAGATCCGCCGCTACGGGGGCATCGAGGCTATTCTCTGCTGCACCGCCTTCGATGCACACAACCCCTATATCAAGGAGCATGCCGTGATGTGCCTGAAGTTCTTGCTGGAGGGCAACCGCGAGAACCAGCGGCTGGTCGAGGAGCTCGAGGCCCGCGAAGTGGTCAAGGATGAAGGCGGCGTGCTGGAGAAGAGCGGCTTTGAAGCCATGATCGACCAAACGGGCAAACTGGCCATCCGCCCCAAGGACGGTCCTCAATGACGACAAAAAAGTATGTATCAACCATGTGATGAGTACATGTAGTCGACGAGAAACAAAGCATATAAAGTGTTACGATTTCTACGAAATTTTGCTTGATTTATTCAACGAAAGAGGGAAACAAAGATCTTGTTCATCAGATATGTCGAGGTTTCATGAATGGCACTTTCCCTGTTCTGTCCTCATCTCCAAACTGTACAACCGCGCCTCCACTCCCCATGAAAATGCATTTAATCAATTCCCCCGATCATTCAAGAGAAATCAAAACCCGCTGCCGGAAAATGATAACACGATGTGGTATAGATCAGTCCGAACGTTTTCTCTCACCCATACATGCCATCCCACTCCTCCTCTTCATCCTCCTCCACGAGCTTCTTGCGCTCTTCAGCCTTCTCCCGCAGCTGCTTGGCGAAATCAAACCGGTCCAGCGGACATGTACCACGCAGTCGAAGCCACGGCCGCACACACTCGAGATCGAAGCGGTGGGTCGGGTGGCAAGGAAGCTGCACGACGAGCGGGTAAGGGTCTTCGACGAAGGGGTTGTTGCAGATGGGACAGATGTCAGAGGGTTTAAGTGAGGATTTTGGGACGCGGTCGAGCACTGTAGTTGCACGGAGACAATGTTAGAGAGAGAGAGAGAGAGGACTGGCAACAGAACACAGATATCCAGGGACAATGCTCCGCGCAAATGAACAAGAGGGCAGAAAAAAGCTTACTATCGCAGAAATCCTCGCTCACTCCCTCCACTTCCCGCGGCGGCGTGTCGGCCTCGCTCAGCAGCGACTGTATCATGCGCGTCAAAAGATCACGACCCGTGTCGTCGCCGTCGCCCGCGCCGGCCGCTTGTTCAGATTCTGGCGCGGCGTCAGCATCTCGGCGCATTACCTCCAGCGCCTCGGCGAGAGAGTAGAAGGCGGTGCTGATGTCTCCTGGGACGGGGACCGCATGAGGGCGGTGGTCGGGGCCCGGGGTGATCTCGGACAAAGTTGCGAAGAAGGTGGAAAGATCGGGGCGACGGCGTCGCGGGGGCTGGGTGGCCGTTGACGGGTCGGTGGTGTTGTGTTCAACTGTCAGGATTGAATTGTGAGCTCTAAACTGTCTTCTTGGGGATCAGACAGAGGGAGGGGGGAAGGGTGATAGGTACTTTCGTAGGTCGACATGGTGGGTAGGTGAAGGTGGGGAGATTGAAGCTGAAGCTGTTGAAGTTAAGCGGGGAGAGCCCGCTGGATTGTTGTCGGTGGCACCGAGCTATGTGCGACGTTACACTCGGTTTTTGAGGGAATTGGAGAAAGGGAAAGCGAAAGGGAAATGAGGAACGTCGAAGAGATAAAAAGCAGAGGGTTTATCGAAGGCAGCAGAGCGATAACGCGGCGTGGGGGAGGTGGGCCGTGCATCGAAGTAAAGACTGAGTCGATCTTTGCCTCTCCGCTCCCTCCTCTCACCAACTCTACTTATGCAGGGGTCGTTGAAATATGCTACGACGAGCTGCTGGAAAGAGACGTCCACTGTCAAATACAGTGGCACAGTCACTCAGGATCCTCTTGAGGATGGTTTCGGAGAGAGCCCCAGCCGGGGACTGATCACGACTCAGTCACCGGCAACAGCCTATTATAGGCCGATTGCATCATGATGAGATGAATAATAAAATCGAAAAGCTTTCTTCCTCCTTTGAAACATTCTTATCGACCCCCCCATCCCCCAATGGCTTCGATCATGGCAGGTACCCTGCCCTAGCAAGACGGCGAGAAGGAAATCCAGCGGCTACTCCGGACTCCACCAACCGACAATCCAACCATTTCCTACTTGAGTCCCCGCGCCGAGTTTTTCTTGAAAACTTCCTTGCTGCTTGCCCCCGGCAGATTAGACTCGCAAGGCCGGCCGTGGTCGACACTATGGGGCGGCTCAGAGGGTTTCGCGAAGCCTATAGCCGACTCTCTGGTTAGGCTCCAGACACAAGTGGACCGCCACTACGATTCGGTAGTGCAGGCATTACTTGGGAGTGTGGCCAACCATGACGCTCCGCAGACTCAGTCGCAAGAGACAGGGAAGATGGTGTCTGGATTAGCAGTTGACCTGGAGAATCGGCGGCGCGTGAAGCTCTTTGGGAGGATGGCGACAGGATCGCTGTCTGGTAGGGACCTAGGAAAAAAAGCACAGCTGGTGATAAAAATTGAGGAGATTCTTGGAACCTGCCCGAAGTACTTGAACAAGAAGCATATCGTTCTTGCGGTTCCCATGCCCAGGCTAGTGGCCGACTCACCCCAACTGAGCCCTGCCGCGGTGGAGCTACTGTCCCGTGCAGATACGATATTTGTGTCTTCATCAAAGGGGGCGAGTACTATGGACACAAATATCCGTGGTGGCCCGCCTGGCTTTGTCCGCGTTGCGTCTAATGATGCCGATGACGTTGTTATTCTCTACCCCGAATATTCAGGAAACCGACTCTACCAAACCCTGGGCAATGTCCAGACCACACCGCGTGCCGGATACGTGGTTCCGGATTTCACCACTGGCAATGTCCTGTATGCTACAGGGCATGTGGAGATTCTGGTCGGCAAGGACGCTTCCGCTGTTCTTCCTCGATCCAACGTCGTGATTCGAGTCACTCTCGCCGCGGCAATCTTCGTGGAAAATGGACTCGTTTTTCGCGGTGAGCCCGGGGATCCATCGCCGTATAATCCGAGTGTGCGGTATCTTATCAGTGAAAAAGACATTCCCTGATACGCAGGACAACGCTGGGGAGACCGTGACACTGATCAAGAAGGAAGAAATCATGCCGGTAATCTACCGGTTCCGTTGTCGCGTCTCCAGTCCCAAACCAGTCTCGTGGATCCCGGGGCAATATGCCACCATGTCCTTTCAAGAAGTAATGGATATGGGCTATAGCCACATGCGAGATGATGACCCGGGCAGTCTGAACGATGACTATGTGCGGACCTTTAATGCAAGCTCAGCCAACAACTCTCGGAAATGTCGCTTAAAGGAATCAATTCGTCGTTTGACGAGATCCTCATTGGCGTTGTCATGGAATGTAGATTCTTCCAAGTGATCTCGAGAGAGTCTAGTTAATCTAGTTAAAGAGCTAGCTCGCTGTTGAATACTTGTAGTATCCTGCGATTCCTCAAGCTTCTTGTTGGTTATGTGGAATGCAGAATCAGCGAAGTAGAACATGAGAACGTGGTTGTATAATGCTAGTCAAGCCAAGTAGACGGGCGATACATGCTTAGCAACCATGCGCAGCAACTCGAGAGGAAGATCTGTCAAGGCTTTGGGCTTTTGCGAGTCCATTTTGCGATGGGAATGACACAAGGAAAGAAAACACAAGTCGAGAAAATCCAAAGGTTGTTAGTTGAGTATGCCTGAGGATCGTTCCTGTTCCAGGGTTCCCAGGGTTGAGGGTTTGATGATGCATACAGTGAGATAGAAATAATTATAATAATTTCTGTGATATTTTATAGTATTTTAATATCATCCAAGATGCATAGATCGACACTATCAATGACGCCAAAAATAGCACGTGTCAAGTGGATCTTGTTTACCTGACACACCTGGTTACCGGGGCATGTAGGGGGGCCATCTCTGCGTTGTGTCTTCTTCCACCCATCTCCAGACCATGCCCTCCAAATCCTCTGTCAAGCCATCGGCATACCCGACCACCCCCTTCCATATCATCCGCACAGTTGCGCTGCTGTCGTCGGTGGTGGTCGGGATCATCTTGGCTGTGTTTATCTACCATCTCCGCAAAGATGGATACAAGTTCCCATATTCGTTTCTCGTGGTGAGTTGATTCGAAGCCATATCCGAGCACATCCTTGAATTATTATTTTTTTTGAACCAAAACTAATACTTATTCTCTCCTTGAAAAAAAAAAAAAGCTCCTCATCACCGCCCTCCTCTCCATCTTCAATGCCGTCCTCACAACCGTCATCCACTGCAGCTGCAGCCTCTCCACCCGGCTCTCGATCACCCTGAACACAATCCTAGTACTCCTCTGGGCGATCTCCCTCGGCCTCCTGAGCTGGAGCATGGCCAACACAATCCTGACAACCTGCACGCCCCAGTACTGGGGCAACGCAACAGGCATGAACGTGTGCCGCACGTACAAGGCCCTCTTTTCCTTCACGGTCAGCGGCCTCGCCGCCTACATCGCCCACCTGTGGCTGGACGCCGTGGTGCGCCGCCGCCAGAACCGGCTGGGTACCTACGGGCCCATGGGTAGCGACGAGCCGGGCCTGCTGGCCGGAGACCTGTACGCCGATGTCAAGCTGGCCGACCGCCGCAGCGAGTCTGTATCGGCGCCTGTGCACGCGTACGAGTCCGTTCCGCCCACGGGCTCGGGCGCCTTGCATGTGCCTCCGCACCCGCCGGCCTACACCCAGACGCTTGAGTCGGACCATGCGGGCGAGGCGCAGCAGTACTATGAGGATGCGCCGGCCCGCAGCCAGCGGGGTGCGCCGCGCGTTCGCTTTAGTGCTTATGATCGCCAGGGGTATCATGCCTATCAGGCCCCCGCTGAGCAGACGAGCTATGATCCGGCGATGTATCGCTGATCCTTGGGTATCTTGCTTCGGTTTGCCAGGTTTGCCAGGGTTCGTTCTTCTGTTTGAAGTAAGCGATTTAAATGTTTATCTGATGGGGACTTGGAATTTCGGGATTCATGGTTCAAATTGCATGATCGGACGGCGTTACGGTACTCGCCCTTGGGATCTCGATAGATTACTCGACAGTAGATGAGATGAGGTACGATGTAGGTAGACATGGCAGGCGTGTCACAATTCATTGGGCTTCATTCGAGCGGAATCAAAACAGAAACACACGGGCTGCGCTTAAGAAGCAAATGGCCATCCAAATAGGCAGACATGAAATCATGACGGAGGTTCATATCGACGACCAGATAACGTGGTATTTTTGTGAACAGAGATCAAATCACTCCAACCCCAACTGGTTACATGATAACCTCGTTGGCGACGTCCTAGAGAATCTCAGTAATAAGCACGAAGGCGCAGAAAGTACAAAAAAGAAAGGATAGTAACAATGGAAGACACGTACCCGCTTGAGCTCCTTGAACGGCAGACACACACAGTTTTGCACGCGGACCTCGTCGCCGACACCGCACTCTTTGCCGAGAATCGTGATGCTCTGGACCTTGATGCCGTGCTTGACGATGCTGGTAGAGTGGCTGCCAATGGGAATAGGAGTCCCCTCGACGCGCGCCCAGGCGCCGACGCGGCTGCTCCAGCCAATAATTGAGTGCATGACGCAGGCGTCGTGGCGGATCTCAGCATCCTCCAAGACAATTGAGTCCTTGACACGGGCACCGGCACCAACGACGACACGAGGGCCAATGGAGACGTTGGGGCCGAGTTTAGCGGTGGGGTCGACTTCGGCAGTGGGGTGGATGTAGACCGGGGGCACGATAGTGGCGGAAGGTGGGGTGAGCTCTTCGGGCTGCGTCTGGAACGCCTTCTGGAGGTACAGTGCGTTGGCAGGCACGGCAGACCCGGCGGTCTTGATCTGACGCCAGAAGTCCTTGGTTTCGTGCACGAAGAATCGGTTGCTGTCGGCCAGGTCTGATAAGATGTCCTGCTCCAGCCGGAGGACCTCGGTCTTCTCGGACTCGTCATCGTCTCCTGCGGCGACGAAGGACGACTCGAGGTTATCCGATGATGGGTACGACAAAAGGCGCGGCCGCATGGTGCGGCGCTTGATGGCGCTGCGAATTGCGGGGAAGATGCACTCTGTTGCGAACAGATACACACCACTGTTGATTAGATTGGAGATGTGCGACTCGGGCTTCTCCACGTAGTGCAGCACGCGCTTGGTGTGCGAGTCCGACACAATACATCCGAAGTTGGTAGCCGCATCATTGCCCACCCGTGTACCAAGAATCACTGCTTCGGCGTCCTTCTCCTCGAACAGTCGCAGCATTTCGCCCAGTGGGAACGAGCAGCACACATCTGCATTCAGCACAAAGCACCGCTCCGGCTTGCCCTTGAGGATAGCATCGCGGAAGTGGTACAGCCCACCTGCGGTGCCCAACGCCGTATACTCGCGCAGGTATTGGATGCGGAACTGCGGGAACTCCTTGACTGAGTCCTTGATGAAATCCCGGAACACCGTCTCATCATAATATCCGACCAAAATGACTTCGCGCACATCGGGGACCTTGGCCAGCGCTTTCAGGCAGTGATGGATGATGGGGTGGCCGGCGACTTCGAACAGGGGCTAGTTCCGAAACTGCCGTCAGTGGGACTGGGGTCACTCTCATCAGATCCAATAACCCACCTTCGGCACATCGAGGGACAATGGGCGGAACCGAGTACCTCGCGAGGGGCCTCCGACCTAATTCACCTGTTAGTTCTGGGTGGGCGGTTGAGGGACCGTTGACGCACCAAGATCACGGCCTTGGTGGAGGCCTGCTGTGGATGTTCCCGCACAGGCACCTGAAGCATGGGGAAGGATATTTGAGAGAAGAAAAGGGCGAATTGGATAGAAGTGGAAGACGTGGGCCAGGAACAGCTCCCCCAAATGCCAAGCGGTGGTGGGGTCTCACCTGACATCAACGTTCATCTTGGACGATTCACTCGAACATTTTTTGGTGTCAAATTTTTCTGTCTTTTTCTGCTATTCACTTGCTTGCGCTCCATCGATATTAAAGTCACAACAATCACAACAATCACACCAAAGGTCAGTCAACAGAGACTATCGAATATCTCAACCCACGCTCCACTTCTATCACGATCATCCCCGGATCCCGAGAACATGATGCCATAGTTCAAGCAAAAATGCTGTCCCACTCCCCCACAGACTTGATTGGCACTTGCGTCGAGTCTTCGTGGTCCAAGGTTTCTTCGTCCTCGTCCCTGCACAAAGGATCGAGCCACTCCTGGGCCTTGGTGAGCTTCTCCCGCTCTCGGAGTAGCTCCGCTCGACGGCGCTGTCGGTCCGGGTCTTCTGCCATGAGCTCAAGACATCGGTCCAGAGCTATACTACTGTCAGCACCATAGTATTTGGTCCTTTCACAGTGGATGTATAGACTTACCGTTGGGTCCGAAAATCTGCAATTCATCGTCGATGGCGCGGATCAAATCATCCCGACACTTCGAGAAAAGATTGGTGTGGACGGATTGGCAAATCACGTCCAGAAAACGGGAACTTGCGATTTCATAGTATCCGCGGGAGCTCTGTTCACGCAATTAGCTGATGATAAAGATTCCAGTCCTCTGAGAAAATCACTTACAGCCATCATCTCGAGCTCCTGCAAATACTGATCCGGCCCCAGTTCCGCAGGGGTGATCTTCTTGATTTTCGACGCCCGTGTTTCATCGTCGGGTCCAATCCCACGAAGTTCCAGGTAGCATCCTGCTCGAGCGACTTGACGAGCGCGGAGAAGATTCGCTGATGCTTCGCGCATGGCCTTCTTGTGCTGTTCCTGGGCCATGGTGAATGGCTTGCTGTGCTCAATCGTGTAGATATCTTTGCCGTGACGAAGATGCTCGGCATGGAGCCGGGTCATGTACACGTTAACGATCCGACAAAGTTCTCGGTACAAGCCTGTTTGGCGGTACGAGGTAAAGACCTCGTCCAGGGTCTGGAAAATCATATTCCGCACGGCTTTGTGCGATGCCTCAAGAAAAGTCTTCATGAGATCGTCCCAATGCTTAACACTCATTCCATTGAGTGCTTCGATCGCCCGTGGGTCGATCTGGTTGGGGATCCCCGCACGGTAGGAGTCCTCCTTGATACCTCTTATCTCTTCTAGCGTAAACCGGCGCCCCGGACGGTCCCAATTTTCAAAGATAGGGGTGGAATATCCCAGTTTCTTAGCCACCGTTGGGGGCGGTTTGATATCAGCGGAGTCAGAGTCCACGGGGGCTTTCCGCTTCCGACAGGGCGAAGAGCCAAGCATCACCATGTCGCAGTCCGAGTCAACTTTTTCCGCAAGATAGTCTTTGTCTGATGTCGCGGAAACAACCACTGTGGGGCGGGTGATAGCAAGGGCTTTCTGGAAATCCGAAACAAGATGGTTCCACGACTTCTGCAGAGGATTGCAGAAGGTGTCCATGCCAGATCCTCCATCAACTAAGCCACGGATCCTCTCGCCAAACAGCGATCGCTGTTCGAACAAAATCCTCTGCACATCCTCGTTCGGGGGATCGGGGAGCGTTTTTAGGGCCGAGTCGACACAGCTCGCTCTGTCATCAATCTGGGCGATGATCGATGGCAGACACCCTTGGATTTGCTGCAAAAGAAGGGTCGAGAGGGCAGCCTGCAGTTTCTTCGTTCCAAAGCGACTCTGGTAGTCTGGCAGATAGCGTATCCAGATATCGCTACCAAAGAACTGGTCTTCCTCCAGTCGAGCCTGGAAGTGGTCCACTTCGGGATTGGGGTTATTTCGGACCACATAGTAGCCGTGACCGAGGTTGAACTTTTGCCCTGACAATATTTCAAACCACTGATCGAACGATTCTCCTACCGCCAGTCGGTCGGGCTTTGTCAAAACCCCAAGCGTGCGTTCCTTGGCGCCCTTAATATCTCGCATGATGCGCGCGGCGCTGGAGTTGGTGGCATCGTCGGTCATGGTGAGAGTAAGGAGCACGATGCATTGCTTCTGGGAGACGAAGTCTTTCACCAGGTTCTCCACAAGGCGGACAAGGTAACGCTCGTCGTCGTGTTCAGCTTGACTGATCACGCCGGGCAGGTCGTAGAATGACAGGTTGGGAAAGTTTGGGGCGGAGATGTCCAGGCGCACAAGGTTTGGGGAGAATTTCACCTGGGTAGTTTGAGGCGTGCCTGCGTTTTTACCAGGGACATAGTCCTGGGAGTTTGTGCTCGGGTTGAGGATTGCCAGCTGGGCCCAAGAGATGGCATCCTTAACGTCATTTTTATCCATTAGAGTGATGAAATGTTCGTCTTCTTGATTGCCATGGAGCATCCAAGGGCCCAAGGGCTCTGATCGGCTCGGGATCTTGGTCGCCTTTTTGTCTGGGTTGAAAAAGTAGCGCCGGGACAGGTGCACAACACATTTCCAGGGTTCATCCGGCTTGCTCTCAGATAAGTTGATCTCCATAGGGCAACGAGTACAAGTTCCCGCGTTCCGGGGGACTTTGATCTCGGAAATGCCCTCGATGAGAGAACTTTTGCCGGTGCTCTGGTCACCGACTACACAAATTTTCGGGAGGGTTATTTTGCTGTCCTCGATGCCGAGATGGCTCAAGCCTCGGATCTTCTTCATCAGGTTCTTCATGTCCATGGCGAGGAGGTCCAAGGGCTCCTCGGTGCCAGCAGGGGGTTGAGAAGGCATCGTCATTCCGACGACCAATGAGTCTTCCGATGCTGAAAAGTGACAGTCAGTCAATACGATGGTGCAAGACAAGTAGAAGGACTAAATACCTCGGTAGGTACTCATATTCGACTCCATTTTTGGCACCGCTGGAGACTGGCGAAAATGTGCCATGCCTCACAAAGCTGATGGGGACTTGAGGAATGGAAACAAGTGAGCCTTGAGATCAAGAATAGAAGTTTACATGTTGTGACCAACGGTAGATGAGTCAAGTCAGGTATGGATGAGTTTCACTTACCAAGCGACTTTGAAAGCAAGCTTTTCGGGTATTAGGGGAGAAAAGAGAAGGGTGAGAAGTGATGTAGGAAAGTCGAGTCAACCGTCGAAACGATGAAGAAATACACTGGATGATGAAAGGAGCAAGAGTGATAGAAGGTAGAGGAGATGGAAAAAAGTGACAGTGAACGAAAAAGCTTGTCCTCTGAGACGAGTCTGAGAAGGGGATTTGGGGGATGGGAAGGAGAGGTAGAAGGGAAGAGGGTGAGGAAGAGAGAAGATGTCAAGGAAGAGAAACAAAGTGATAAACTTCAATCTCGAGGGCAGGAAACACAAAAGCACCAAATTTAAAAATGTTTGCTTTCAAGCACAACGCGTCCCCATCAAATCCCATCATGGGTGTACATGGTCATCAACAAGTCTATTCCCGAGTTCTACAATCAGCGCCATAGTATACGAGTATATCCCACCGATCCTATTCGCCATCAAGTATTCCTTGCTTGTGTAAATTTAATAAATTTAAGATCCTCATCATTTTCATATCAGGAGATCAGGAGCTCTGCTGTGCCACTGCTCATGAAAGAGAAAGAAAGAAAGAAAGAAAGAAAGAAAAAGAAAGGAAGGACGGAAACCAGGTTGAGAGGCTGACACCGTTGTTGTATATATATATATATTATATATATTAGTAAATAAAATCATTTGATGGTTAATTGACTATGCAATATCGATACCATTAAAGTCCCCAGTCCTTCCCATAGCAATTCCCATGGTATTTAGGGTCAATAGGGCATACACTCTAGCATTTATAGATAGGTAGACAACCCAAAAAGGGCAAGGCGGGGTAAAAACCCCACCAGTCTGCCCTAAACCCTAAGTCCGAATTGAGATTGGTGGTCCCGACGAAGCTGTACAGCATCGAGGCTTAAAGTAGCAGAAAGTGAATTGAAACACATATATTCAATGTGAATCACCGGCTCTAAGATATCTTTATTCGCTGTAGATGAGTCATAGTGTTGGTCTTTGGAGTGTAGTTGGGCACGGTCCAATCAGAGCCCGAGGGGATGCCCGCCCAAAATTTCAAGCGGCGCTCCCTCTCATCCCACCAAACACTTTGGTTCCCTCGTTGCCTTTTGCGCAGGATAGCACAGTCACTATGGCGGACCCTAACACTGTCCAGGAAGCCGAGGCTTCCATGGCCAACCTTTTGCTTGACGATGTCACCGGCGAGAAGGTGTCCAAGACCGAATTGAAGCGCCGTCAGAAGCAGCGCGAGAAGGACGCCAAGAAGAAGGAGAAGGAGGCTGCCGCACCCCCCAAGACCGAGAAGAAGGCATCGGCCGAGGAGGAGGAGGCGAACCTAACCCCGAACGTGAGTGTGCCCGCTGGTGGGAGATTTCGTATGTAGATGGCGGGGTTACTGATCTGCGTATTTGGTGCAGCAATACTTCGAAATTCGCAGCAAGAGAATCAACAAGCTGCGCGAGACTAAGCAGCCCGATCCCTATCCTCACAAGTTCCAGGTCACCACCGATCTGCGTGAGTTCCTCAAGGAACACGAGGGTCTTCAGAAGGGCGAGCTGAAGCCCGAGATTCCCGTTCGCATTGCTGGCCGCATCTACACCAAGCGGTCATCCGGTGCCAAGTTGAGCTTTTACGATATCCGTGCAGAGGGTGCGAAGGTTCAGGTCATGTGCCAGGCCCAGAACGCGACTGGCAAGCCTTTTGAAGACCAACATGAGCCTCTCCGGAGAGGAGACATTGTCGGTATCGTCGGTTTCCCTGGCCGTACCAGCCCCAAGAACCGGGCCGACGGTGAACTGTCCATCTTCGCCACTGAAGTCGTTCTCCTCGCGCCATGCCTGCATGCCATCCCTTCCGAACACTACGGCTTCCAGGATAAGGAGCAGCGTTTCCGCCAGCGCTACCTCGATTTGATCATGAACGATCGCTCCCGTAACATCTTCCGCACTCGGGCCAAGATCGTCAGCTACGTCCGCAACTACTTTGACAGCCGCGACTTCACTGAGGTCGAGACTCCCATGATGAACGCTATTGCCGGTGGTGCCACGGCCAAACCTTTCGTCACCCACCACAACGAGCTGGACATGAACCTGTTCATGCGTATCGCTCCCGAGCTGTACCTGAAGATGCTGATTGTTGGCGGTCTCGAGCGAGTGTACGAGATGGGCCGTCAGTTCCGTAATGAGGGCATTGACCTCACCCACAACCCCGAGTTTACCACCTGCGAGTTCTACTGGGCCTACGCGGATGTCTTTGATCTGATGAACGTGACCGAAGAGCTTGTTTCGGGTCTGGTGAAGAGTGTGACGGGTGGATACGAAACCACCTTTCACACACAGACTGGCGAGACTTACAATGTGAACTGGAAGGCGCCCTGGAGGCGAGTCGAGATGATCCCTGCCCTCGAAGAGGCGACGGGTGAGAAGTTTCCGCCGGGCGACCAGCTGCACACGCAGGAGACCAATGACTTCCTCAAGCGGATCCTCCAGAAGATGAAGGTGGAGTGCTCGCCCCCCATGACCAATGCACGCATGCTTGACAAGCTGGTTGGCGAGTTCATCGAGGAGACCTGCGTCAACCCGACTTTCATCACCGGCCACCCGCAGATGATGTCGCCGCTGGCCAAGTACCACCGTCAGAACCGCGGTCTCTGTGAGCGCTTCGAGGCGTTCGTCTGCAAGAAGGAGATCGTCAATGCTTACACTGAGTTGAACGACCCCTTCGACCAGCGCCTGCGTTTCGAGGAGCAGGCCCGCCAGAAGGACCAGGGTGACGACGAGGCCCAGATCATCGATGAGAACTTCTGCACGTCGCTCGAGTACGGTCTGCCCCCGACTGGTGGTTGGGGCATGGGCATTGACCGCCTGGTCATGTTCCTGACCGACAACTACAGCATCAAGGAGGTATTGGCCTTCCCCTTCATGAAGGAAGACAAGACCGCTGCCGAGGGCAAGTCGGCTGCCGAGGTTGCTGGTGTTGAGCCCCAACCCGAGGAGGGAATCCGTATGTTATTGATTTCCTGTAACTTTCATAGTCCCGTCTCACTAACGATGAATCTACAGCCCACAAATAAATGAAATGAGCTCTCCATGATCGGGATTGTTGATCTATTCTGGGACGTGTGACGATGGTTCTTGGGGTTTTGCATGCGGCTTCGCTGGTTTCAAGCATCAGACAAAAATCGGTATCTAAAATATCCTAGCCATAAACAAGAGCTTCTAGTTGTCATTTCTTCTCGAAAGATTTTTATTTTAGGTGCTGTAGTTGTTGGATTGGCCCCTATTTGCATGTTTGCTGAACCCGACAGCCCTAACATCACGAAAGCCTCAAGTGGCTGGGAATCGCCGTTGACCCGCTTGCCAACAATGGCATTTGCCGCAGAAAGACACCATCAATCCAAGATGGTCCTTTCACTCAAATCACCCCCTATGAGTCTCATTGTTTTTGACTGACCTTTCCCCATCTTTCCCACCTTCTCACCTCGTCTTCTCCACTGTTCCTAGATTCAAGTTTCGCCATCATGAATAACAACTCAGGTTCCAAGCGTCAGAGCCCCGAGCTTCAGCTTCCTTCCATCCGTGAGTTGGGCTTGTTGGGGGATGTGAGCCGGTCCAACAGGAATGGCACTGGGATGCCAGCCAACTTCAACGACTACCCTCCATATCCAGTCCATGGAGGAAACAGATTCCCCGACCCGAGTCAGAATGTTCGTTTCCAAGGCCCCCTCTCTCTCTTTCTCTCTCTCTTTTCTTGAAGTTTTGCTGCTTTCTTTTCTTTTATACTTGGTGCGAACTGAATTGCATCCAGGCTTTCTGCGAGTCTGGCTTCTTGTCGGACGGAGTACGCATTTCCTTTGTTTTGATAATATTTCCCTCGAGGGCATGGATGCATGGCTGACTGCTGAGTTGGATAGGTTCTTCGGGAACATCGACGCTTGTGGCTAGTTCCTCCTGTCAATGTGCAGGGCCATGGACATGCTATCGAAAGTAAGTCGACGCCCGAGCTACCACGAAGTAAAACCTCCAGTGCCAACGAGAGTCAATTATTCTGTATAGATGTCAGCCCGGCACAGCAGCCTTCGCTTCCATATGCAACCCCCCAGCCCTCCATCCAGCACTGGAGCCCCAACCCCGAGGCGCGAGCTATGCCCCCAACCAGCGAACCCAGGGCTCAGCCCCGAGTCAACCACAGCCCTAATGACAACGGCAACGGTAACGGCAATGGCAATAGAAATCCCCAACTTACCGCCAACACGAACCCCCAGAGAAACGCAAGCGACAAGAAAGCCATGCTGGTGAAATTCACCGACGTCGCCGCCCACACCGCCAAGTGCGACGTATGCGACAACCGCAACAAGAACGGCATGTCCCGCTGCCAGGCATGCGGCTGGCAGTGCTGCCGCAAGTGTCTGATCGAGCGCCACGGCGACCGCTCGCACAAGTCTTTCACAAACATCCATGTCCCCGAGGGTGAAGGCGGTGGCACCACTAACAATCAAGCCAGCCCTAAGCCGTACCCGTCTGCCACTATCACCAGTACCGCCCCTGCTCCTCTCACTCAGTTTGGTATTGGTTCGTTCACCACTGCTGATGCGGCTTCCACTCTGTGTGGGATGGGATTGAGACCCGTAGAGCGACCTGCTCCCGAGGGAGAACAGCGCCCCCTGGCGCACTCCCTGCTGCCCTGACTGCTGAGCTCTCGGACAACATGGATGAGTCTGGTCTTTCGGATGAAACTTTGTCGTGGCCGTTGACTGATGACGAGGACCGCGATGAGGATCTTCTGCTAAGTGAGGAGTTTATTCACGTTCGTCGGAACCCTGGGCGCGCTGCGAGACCTGGGGCTAATATGGCTGAGTGAGCTCGTTTGAACTGTGTGACATGGCGTTGGGTGGAGATGCAATAGCGAGCATATTTCAAGATCTGGAGAACCTGTTTGAATGGGCTTTTATCATAGGCTTTGTGAAATTGAAATTTGTGAATTGAATAGTTCTCTTTTTTTTTTCACTGACGTGTATATTGCTACAATGTAAAGTAGAGATAACCATAATTATACAGAGGGGCTCTGTGGCATCCACGAGCCCGGAGATGAATGGAGATAGAACATACAAGATGAGTTGGGCCACCTTAGTCGTACACAAAATATCAAGTTTTGTTTACAGCCTCTTCACAGCTGAGGCCGTTGAAGATGAAAGCTGCTGCCCACGGGCCTTGGCAGCCATCTGCAGCAGCTTGGCTGTGCGGGACGGATGCCAGACACGACTGCCCAAGACAAGCACCCAGGTAAGGAGGAACAGACTGCCAGCTTGATGGGCGGAGGCAAGTGGGGTCGGTACAAGGTAGAGCAGGGTGGAGATGCCGAGACCGACCTGCATGAAGGCAAATCCAACGACGCCGTGGATGCCCTTCTTAGCAGGAGGCGGTAAGAGGCGCCTTACGGTCGGCGAGCGGCGGGAATATGCCCATAGAGCCATGATCGAGGTGAAGGTGGTCATGGCGAGAATACGGTGGTCCAGTTGAACAAGAGAAGGGTTCTCCAGCATATTGCGCCACCAGAGATCAGAACAGTCTTCGTGGCGAGAGTAGCGCGCATCCCACAACTCCGGGCTTGGGGGTGCCAGCCCATTCCCCATGTACGGGAACTCGTTGTAGATAAGTCCAGCATCCAGACCAGCGACCAAGCCACCCGACATCGCAGTTGTGAAAACCAGGAGAGCAAGGCCGGCGACCGAGCGTCGGAAAATCACCAGCCGCGGGTCACGGAGTGCTTCGAGTTGTTTCAAGCCCGATGCCGCGTCGGCCAAGAGCTTGTGTGACCGCAGAATGGCAAGCCCATTCCACAGCATCGCCACATAGCAGACAAAAGCAGCACCCAAGTGGGCGGTCAACCGGTACTGGCTGACTCGCGGGTGGCTGCCCGGCGCGAAGAGATCGTCCTTCAGGCCCGACTTGACCATCCACCACCCGAGGAATCCTTGGAACCCAATCAGACCCGCGATACCAGCCAGTCGCCATGTCATGGGCGTGGAGACTTTCTTGCGCGCGACGAAGTACACCGCGGGCAACACAAACGACAGTCCGATAAACCGGCCCCAGAGCCGGTGGATCCATTCCATATAGTAGATCGATTTGAACTCGGACAGGGTCATGTGCGGATTCAACAGCTGAAATTCAGGAGAGGAGCGGTACTTGGCAAACTCGGACTCCCAGTCCTCTGCGTTCATGGGCGGCATGGAGCCCGTGACGGGTCGCCATTCGGTGATACTCAGTCTGTTCAAGTTTGGCCTGTCAGTGCCCATGGCTTTCTATGATCATCAGGTGTAATTCAACATACCCTGATTCTGTTAACCTTGTCAAACCACCAAAAACCACAATTCCAAAAACGCTGGCTGCACTCCCCAGAAGGAAGTATGCCACTGCCTTGTCGCTGATTTTCGGGAAGCTCGATTTCGCCTGAGATGCACCATCCTCCACAGCGCTTGCCACATCCGGTGACGAGGCTGACCGCCTGAGGCTAGATGTGAAGAATTGGCGATTTTGGTTGCTCAAGAGACTCGATCTGAACGTGGTGGGCTGGAGGGACGGCTTGGTGCCAAACTGTCGGAAAGATTTGGCGGCGCTGCCCTGGCTCCGGAGGCATTGTCGGCAAGTGAAGAGACTTTTAGATAAACGCGGAGCAAGACTCTGCCATCGAGGCAGAGCACTTCCCAGAGCAGCCATGGCGCATGCAGTGGGAAATGGAGGGAAAAGAAGCGAAGCGGACGAGACTCGGCTTCGGGGATCGCGCGATGCGAAATGCCGATGACCAATCAGCAGCGGTGGATTTGTTGGTCGACAATGAGCAAGTGAGAAACAACAACCTCCATCCTCGTGGTCAAAATCACAGTAGAAGACAGCGTATAGTAGATATCACTTTCAATGGACTATATTTTACGTGGTTGAACATTCGGCGTTGAACCTTTAGAACTGGTTGCTGCCTGAGGCCAAAACATCCTCCCCTGCGATCGCCGCAGCTTCACCTCTTGATCTGCAACCATTTCAACGTTTCGCAGTGCGACAAACATGTCATACGCCGTTGAGTCCAAGAAGCGGAAATTCCACCGCGTCTTGGAGTCAATATCGAAACCACTTGCGGCTGACACAACCTCCAACCAATCCAATACATCACTCGCGACGGCGCAAGATCGCCTCCCCGCGAATCTCTCCATCAAGAAAGTCCGTCTCAGCGGCGACAATTCCGATCTCCCTGCCGTGCGCAACTCCATCTTGAAGATCTCGCGCTCCTCACAGCGACTAGCATCTACATCTTCTAATAAGCGCCCGACTTTTGTTCCATGGGACCGCGAGCGCTTTCTCGAGCGGCTCGAGACCTTTCGCCGCGTGGACCGCTGGACCTCCAAACCAGCCCCGATCAATGAAGTGCAATGGGCCAAGCGAGGGTGGATCTGCACAGATGTCGCACGGGTGGGCTGTGTTAGTGGTTGTGGTGGCTCTGTCGTGGTCAAGTTGCCAGACGAGATCGATGAGCTCGATGGGTATGACGCCGAGAAGGTGCATGAGCGGAAAGAAGTCCGTAAGTCAAGAGTCTTTTCCTCATGACAACAAGAGTTGAACTAAATGCTGAGTGATGGATATACAGGCGAGAAACTTGTCGAGAAGTATGGGAAGCAATTGAGTGAAGGGCATGGCGAGTCCTGCCCGTGGCGGAACAAGGGCTGCGATGGTGTGTCTTGAGATAACCTCAATTTCTTTCCAGTCTAACTCCTTCTCTAGCTACCATTCAACACCTATCGCTGAACAACGGCGACGCGGCCATCTCGGGGCTTCACAAGCGCTATTTGAACTTGGTGAAAATGGCAGACCAGCTACCGGGAAATAACGTCATTCAGCCCCCCGAGGGCCTTGATCTTGAAGAAATTATTAAAATATTGCCCGAAGAATGGTCCAAAACATCCGATCAACCCGCCGAGGCCATCAACACAGAAAACGAACCAGCCGGCAACAACCAAACCACAGAGGCCGCTGAATCACAATCACCCAAGAATCCTCCTATCAACCCCTCAGCATTCACACTGGCCTTCTTCGGCTGGGACACGACATCAGATGGAGCTGCCGGCTTGGTGGGATGCACAGCCTGCTTCCGTCGTCTGGGGCTCTGGATGTACAAGCCAAAGGAGAACGGCGACGTCACTGTCTATACCTCCTTGGATGCTGCCTCTGAGCACATGGAATACTGTCCATGGATTGACAGATGCTCCCAAAGTGGTACAGGCAAGCCAACGGAGAAAGTAGAGGGCTTGCACAGTGGATGGGAACTCGTGGCACAGGCTTTGAAGGTCAAGCACCGCCGACTACTCCGGTCTGTGGCATCGATGGACACCATCCACACTAGAGCGAGTACACCTTGCATGGAAACTGTGCCCGACGAGGAAAACGAGGAAACAAAAAGAAAGCTGACCGGGAGTGGTGGGCTAAAATCCGGCGGATGAGGCAGCTCTTGACCACCAAATCGCCGCGTCGCAAGTCTACAGCACCTCAGTGATTTTGATTACTGGGGATTCTTCTGCTCATGCCTATCTACCTGCATTATCATCTCATAGGGTCGCGTCCAGGGCATCGGATTTGTTAATCGGGCTCGATTTCAGTATTTCCTATTTGCGTAATCATCTGTTGCATTTCTCTCTCACTTTGAGAGCTTCTTGCCGTCTGGACTGGAGCCTTCGGTTGCTTTGTATTTCTGCCTGATATATTCCGCACAAACGTCTTCAATCTGATGCCTTTCTTCCACTCGAGAGACTCATCCTATCGACATTTCACCCTTACTGAACCCACATTTCATTGTCCAGCAACATTCTCTTATTTTCTCCAATTGATAGCCATGACCCCAGACTCCTTCGCCCAAGATCTCGCTCTGGTGATGGAGGCTATTTCCAAAGGGGAGTGGCCCGAATGCCCTTTTCAATGCTGTGCCAGCGGCACCTCGACCGACCGGCAAACAACGGATCGGCACACGATCGAGTGGCTCGCGCTATCCAGAACTCGCCGGGAGGAGATTAGGGTTGCCTCACGGACTATGGCGCAGCGACTGCGTGATCTTCGAGACTATGCACTTCGCGTGCTTACTGTTTCGGATCGTGTTCTCGACATCATGCACGACTACCACCAGTCTCGGCATCGGGCGTTTGACTGCCCGCCCGTTGAGCAGTGGATTGCCTACATCGGAAAGGAACTCTCAGACTACACTGAGAGCCCCTACTTGCACCGGTTTCCTGACGTTCGATCGCCCCATGAACTCCTCGCCTTGTGCCGATGGACTCAGGCTGAGTCCCGCAACCTTCATCTGCGCGTGCAGGCGACTACTGCCACTGTGGTTTGTGCTCTCCACAGTCCGGAGTGGCTGAATGCTGCTTTCAGCGATGAACCCTTTCATCAGATTCACCGAGAGATGGAGAGCCTTGTTCGCTGGGGATGGCACAACTGCCACAGATCCTACGACCGGTTGGTTGAGGATGGAGTTGAGGTCATCGAGGCTCAGGGGGATGGAACGAAATCCTTGAAACGGGTTCTTGGGTGAAATTCACTTTGTCACTTGATTGCATGGATGAGCTAGGGAGCGCGTGAGGAAGACAGGTTGTTTGTATGGTGCGAGTGGCAATGGTGAATATTTCGGGTTTCATTATCATGGAGAAAAAAAACTTATTAATGCCAGCTGGTAATCACAAAAACAATTGATTGATCTCTTCATCTCTTCGTCTCAATCTCTTTGTCCTTTCTTGCTTCTCTCATCTCTTCATAGATCTGGCAGTTGGCATTGGCAGCTGGCTCGGAGACCCACACCGGTGGAGCTCCCCTTCTCCCGACGTTGCTCTCCCTGGAGCCGATCAGTCCCCAGCGACATTCAACATTGCTTTCTTGCTGTTTTGTCCCCGATTGATATCTCCTGTTACTCCGATATTTGGCTCGATCTTTGTTTATGACTTAACACCAATTCATCTTCAAGACACGCTAGACCTCTCGACGCATCTTCTGCGACGACCACACCTTCCACAATGGATCCTTCTTGTGGCTCAGGATCTCCTAAGCCAACAAATCAAGGCAGCCACGCATCCCAAAGTGATGCCATTCGCTCTTCCGGGCCAGCGGCACGAGAAAATGGTTCTCCAGGGGACAAGAAGCGCAAGGTGACGGAGGAAGAAAGCTCTGCGGCCGAGAAACCACAACCGACTGGACCCGCATCGAAAAGAAAACGACTGCAAGAGCGACACCAGGCCCGGAAACGCGGTCGGACACCGCCATCAGTGTTTTCGCGACGAAACCGCTCAAAGAGCCCGAGCAATGCTACACCACGCGATGAGCCATCCCGACGCTCTCGATCCCCACTGCCACCGCGCTCGCCGTCTCCGGACCCTCAACCGCGACAGCGCAAGCGACCTGGGGGTGGAGCACGAGCGGGGATTGCAGACCGCGAGACTCTCCGGCGGCGACAAGAGGAACGGGAACGCGCGGAGGAGCAGGATGCGATGCGCTCGTCTCGAGATCGCGGGGTGTCGGATGTGGTTCGGCAACACTACAACGCGGTGCCCGAGCGTGGCCGCGAGTGGCGGAAAACCGAGAGCAAGATCAAGGGGCTACGGAGCTTCAACAATTGGGTGAAGAGCACTCTGATTCAAAAATTCTCGCCGGATGAGGAGTTCAGCGCCCGGTTCAATGATACAAAAGACTGGGCCGAGGACAGCATGGGACCGCCTCCCGCAGATGACAAGCGGTTACTAGTCTTGGATCTAGGATGTGGCAAGGGCGGCGATCTGGGCAAGTGGCAGCTGGCACCACAGACAGTTGACCTCTATGTTGGGCTAGACCCTGCCAACATCTCCATCGAGCAAGCGCGGGATCGGTACGACGCGATGCGAAGTGGCCGCGGACAGCGTGGTCGCCGTCCACCGCAGTCAATCTTCCATGCCGAGTTCTATCCCAAGGACTGCTTCGGTGAGTGGCTCGGTGACATCCGCATCATCCAGCAGGTGGGCATTGACCCCAGTGCCGGGCCTGGCGGCTCCATTATGGCCTCGCGCTGGGGTGGCGGCGGCGGCTTTGACGTGGTTACGTCCATGTTCGCCGTGCACTACGCCTTTGAATCCGAGGAAAAGACACGCCAGATGCTTTGCAACGTCGCCGGCTCTCTGAAGAAAGGCGGTCGCTTCATCGGCGTTTGCCCAAATTCCGACATCATCAGCAGCCGTGTAGCTGCATTTCACAAGCGGCGCCAGGAGCGCGAGGCTGCCAAGGCTGCCGAACCCGAGGGCCCCGAGGACGGTGAGGTTGAAGAGGACGACCGCGCACAGTGGGGAAATGATATCTACCGAGTGCGGTTCCCCGGCGCAACTCCTGAGAATGGCATCTTCCGTCCACCCTTCGGGTGGAAGTACAGCTATTTCATGCAAGAGGCTGTCGAAGAGGTTCCCGAATATGTCGTGCCGTGGGAAGCCTTCCGAGCGTGAGTATTCATGGTATCTATATGCGAGGTGCAGTGCTAATGGGATTTATATACTAGTCTCACCGAAGACTACAACCTGGAACTGCAATACCGCAAGCCGTTCCTCGAAATTTGGGAGGACGAGAAGAACGATCCGGACCTGGGTCCGTTGAGCGAGCGAATGGGTGTCCGGGACCGGGCAACAGGCGCCTTGACGATGACCGAGGAGGAGAAGGAGGCTGTCAGTGAGTATTTTCTGTGTCCGCTGAACATTTCTCCAGTTGCTGACCGACTCCAGGCTTCTACCATGCATTTTGTTTCTACAAGGTCTAACCTGGTCTTGTTTAGGTATGCAGCAATTGAAGCTGTAAACTCCTTAGTATATTACTTGCCATTCAATACCAAAAAATGCACGTTCAAAGTAAAGCGTAGACAAATATCTCGACTTGCATACATCCAACTGATAAGCGCTTATCGCCCGATTATAGCCCGAACAGGAATAGCGTTGTCGCGTTCGCGTGTTATCTCGGCCGTGGATCTTCAATCTTTTGTTCCTCGGAATCTTCCCTTCAAAGAGAAGGACTCACCAAACGACGCATGAGTCCCGGGTCCTCAAGATGTCCTCCGCAACCCCAGCCCGACGGCGCACTCTTCTGTCCTCGCGCCCACCATCCAGCGCCCGCAGCCAAAACCATGCGCGATCCGAAACACCCCCTATGCCCACCTACGAGCCACCCGAGGCACCACTAACAGCAGAAGGGCACCATCAACTAGCCTCACTCCTGCAATCCCAATACCTGCGCCACCTGAAAACCCACCTCCAGCACGCGACAGAAAAACTGACCGACTCGGCCGGCGAAGTCAACGAGCGGCTCAGCGACGCGCGGGTGCGGTACGAGCGCAGCAAAGAGGCACGGCGGCGGAATGCGGGCGAGGATAATCAAGACGGCGAGAATCACAACAACAACGATGACGAGGAAGATGATGATAATGACGAGTACCGCCAGTTGGGCGAGACCGAGTTGAGGGTTAATGCCACGACTGCTCGCCTGGAGGAGTCGATGCGTCGCATGGTGGACTCCGAGGTCCGGCTGCAGGGTCTGACGGATGCTATAGGGGATCTGGAGAATGAGGAGGGCGAGGCACAAGCGGCGGCGCTTGGGCAGAGACAGACGCGCCAGCAGCGGCGTCGCCGGGGAAGAGTGGAAGATGAGGACGACGCAGAGGCGGCAGATGAGGATCCCCAAGATCGGGACTATCAGGGCACCCCTGAGCGAGAGACTCGCGAGCGCAATGCGCAGAACCCGCCGAGTCGCAAGCTGGATGGCCGGCTACTTGAGGGGGTAGAGAAATGGGACGGGTTGTCACTGACAGAGAGGTACGTTTGATCTTTTCTGGTCACTTAATATGCCTTTTTCCCCGTGTTGGTTGAACCAGATTCTTACTCCGTCTCTAGATATTCGACTCACAATTCGTATATCGGCTTTTACCGCATTGTGCACGACTCCAAATTCCCCGGCGACGAAGTGCCGCCACTCCCGCACTCATCGACCTGGTTCGCACACATGGAAGACCCGAACGCAGCCTCGCGCGCAGCGTCGACAACCCACGGCTCATCCCACCAGCAGAACCGGCGCACTCGCAACCGCAACCGTGAACCGTCCCCCGCCGACTCCGATGACATTGCCATTCAGCGCGAGCGCATCTCCCTCAAATGTCCCCTTACTCTCCTTTCTTACCGAGACCCTGTAACGAGCACCAAATGTCCGCATAGTTTCGAGCGCGAGGCTATTCACGACATGATCAGCCGGAGCTCTACTACTATTCCCCCTCCCTCTGGTCGTGGAGGTCGACGTATCCGCGTGGTCAAGTGCCCGGTATGCTCCATCCCCTTGTCGGCCGACGATCTGCGGCCTGACCCTGTGCTGCTGCGGCGAGTGCGACGTGCAGAGGAGCTGGAGGCGCGCGAAGAAGAGGAAGATCAGTTGGGAGATGACGAGAATGGTGGGCGTAGGCGCAAACGGGCCGACCGCCGCAGTGGTATCACGCTAGCCAGTGATGCTCCAGGCGACGATGACGATGATGATGCGATGGATGTGGATGTCGATCTTGAGGATGAATCGTCACGTCCCCGGATCAAATCAGAGCGGAGGGAGATTCCTATTAAGGATGAGCAGGATACGTCCCGTGGAAGCGAGACTGAAGATGAGGACGAATAATGAAGGGTCGACATCCATGGATAGCCGAGCATGTAACCCAACAACAGTTTGCCTAATATGGTAATTGGCCGCTATCTACAGCCCTAGCGATCTTGATAAGAAGATGCGCCGGCCTCGGTTCGCCCCGGACACAGCCCGCCTTATCTGCCATGTCTCACTCTAGAAATATCCCACGGTATTCATACTTACTTATCTGTTCCTCGTTTTTCTATAGAATGACTTCGGCACATCCACGATCCAGCCCGTCGGTACTCGAGTCCCTGCGATACGGTTGCACAGAGCTGTCAGAGCACCAGTACCCTATTCCAGACGATGCAGATTAGAGTGTACTCGATGTGACCGTGAACACACAGTAACCAGCCGGTACCATCGCGGCGTGGCTCTGAGAGGCCAATCACCCGACCAGTTCCCCCGCAACCAAGCGCTGTTCTGGTGGCGTTCGAAACAGACCGGGGCCTGATGTGACCCTGCCAGAGGTGGCTGTTCTGTAGTGAAATGCTGCCAATTCAATCAGGCCTCGGATTTTTCAAAGACGCTTTAACTCTTTAAAGCTTTTACTCTCCGCCTCTGTTTTCTTTGTGTTCCCTGCCCTCCCCATTCATCTCTTCCTTTTCTACTCTCACTTTTTATTACTCCCACTCTATTGCTCTCTCTTATTTTCTCGTGTCTTTCGTTTATTCTCTCGACTGCCATCTCATTCGTCGACTGCTCCACAATGGAGAAACAACCCGCCCATGTCACGGCGGACAATCCCTCGGCCTCGGTCGTCGATCCCCCACGCCCCAAAGGATGGATGTACCGATCGTTCAATGTCGGCTCCTGGTCCACCAGCTGGTACGCGTCGCCGCGTATCCAATTGGGTATGGTCGCCTTTGTGTGCTTCCTCTGTCCCGGCATGTTCAACGCGCTCAGCGGCCTGGGCGGCGGCGGCAAGTCTGATGCCTACTTGGCGGACAACATGGTACGATTGATGTTGTTTCTAACTCGAATCCTTTTCTAATTGATCTGTTGATCCGATGGTTACAGAACGTCGCGCTATACAGCACCTTTGCCGTCGTGGGCTTTTCCGCCGGCACGTTTGTCAATCGCCTCGGTGTTCGTCTCGCCCTGTCCTTTGGCGGTACTGGCTACACCCTCTACTCAATTAGTCTGCTGGTCTCGGAACATCGCTATGTCCCTGCGTTTAATATATTTGCTGGCGCTTATCTCGGTGTCTGTGCCGGTCTACTGTGGGCCGCGCAGGGCACTATCATGATGTCGTACCCGCCGGAGCAGAACAAGGGCCGGTATTTCGCCTGGTTCTGGTGTATCTTCAACGTCGGGGCCTGCATTGGCAGCTTGGTATGTTTTATTCCTTTTTCACCTCGTAATATTAAGCCTTTCAGCATTTGGTCCATCCAGTTCATACTAATCACAACTACAGATTCCCCTCGGCGAGAACATCCATGTCACCACGAACAAAACTGTCAGTGACGGCACCTACATTGCCTTCATTGTGCTGATGTTCGCGGGCGCTTGTCTGGCTCTCTTCCTCTGCGACGCTGACAAGATTGTTCGACCCGACGGCTCGCACGTCATCCTGATGAAGAATCCCAGCTGGAAGACCGAGATCGTGGGATTGTACGACACGCTGCGCTCCGAGCCCTACATCATTCTGCTGTTCCCGATGTTCTGGTCCTCCAACTGGTTCTACATCTACCAGCAAAACGGCATCAATGCCGCCCACTTCAATACCCGCACCAAGGCTCTGAACGGCTTCCTGTACTGGTTCGCCCAGATCGTCGCCGCCGTTATTCTCGGCCCGCTCCTGGATGTCGAACGTTTCCGCCGCAGTGTGCGTGCCAAGCTTGCCTTAATCTCGCTGTTCGTCTTGACCATGGTTATCTGGGGCGGTGGCTACGCCTGGCAGAGGCACTACACCAGGGAGACTGTCGCGGCCGACGACTTTGTCCCGACAGACTGGAAGACACCGGGCTACGTGGCGCCCATGTTCCTTTACTTCTTCTATGGCATGTACGACGCGATCTGGCAAGGGATTGTTTACTGGTAAGTTTCTACACTCCCCTAGGATACTATTTGCGTGGGCATACTAACATGGTCAAAAGGCTGATGGGTGCCCTCGGCAACTCGGGCCGCAAACTCGCCAACCTCGCCGGCTTCTACAAGGGCCTGCAATCTGCGGGTTCCGCCGTGATGTGGAGTCTGGACCGCGACAAACTGCCCTTTATGTCGGAGCTGGCCTCGAACTGGGGTCTGCTCAGTGGTTCCATTCTCATTGCAGCACCCGTCGTCTTCTTCAAGATCAAGGACTCGATCCCGGTGGAGGAGGACTTGATGGGCACCGACGAGACCGTCGAGGATGTGCTGCCGCCTGGATTGATTGAGCAGAAGCGTGAGGGCCAGGGCAATCCTTGAGAGCGTGAGAGTAGTAAGGTAGAGCATGCCCGCAGATTTCTTTCATCTATTCATGTCCTGATCTGGGCGAACGGGTGAGATGCTCTTCTTATTATCATTCTCTGCCCTGTTCTTGTGCTTGGTGCGTGCCTTGCATTCCCTTTGCCTGAGGTTAATAAAGGGGATTAGCTATGCTGCTTTGTTTTCTTCTTTTCTTTACGCTGTTAATAGCCATGGTCTGGTGTTTACGATGACATGCTTGTTTCTACGACTGATCCCACGAGCAATGGACAAAGGACTTACAAATGTTTTTTTTTACTACGTAGTTTCTTGTTCCAGTTCTTCTAGGTACAAGAACTAATATATGTAGTCCTTTTTTTGGGGGGGGGGGGGGGGGGAGGTACATAAGCAGTTTACTGGGTAGATAGCTAATGACCAGAGAAAGTGTAGAAAAGAGTAAATTAACATACAACCTAGAAGCCTACCTGAAACAAGCCGAGAGACAATCCATGAAAAAATGGAAAAGCAGAAACAGAACACACTCACGAACTGGAAAGCCATGAGCTGGAATGGAATACAAGACGAATACACAAAACAGACAAGGAAAGACAAGACCGGGTAAGGGGTATTCGCTTGTCGAAGCATATCACAAACAATAAAAGTGAAAGTGAAAAGGAAAATGAGGGTCACCTCGGTCGTTTTCCGCGGAGAAGACCCCGGAAGAGGCTCACCCTGATTTTTTCCTCTTCACCCGGGCCTAGATGTTGAAAGGACGCTCGGTAACTTTTCTTTTTCTTGGGTTTCCGGGGAATTTACCGAGATCTTGCTTTCCCGGGTGTCGCGGAATCGCACCAAGAAAGTTATGGAGTATGGCTGCGAATAACCGGGAACGATAGCCAGTTCACTGGACACGGTATTTCCCAAGAATTTGACACTAATCAAGAAAGAAAGGGAAAGGGGGAAAAAGAATAGCTGAGCGAGTCTATCGATATGGAGCGGAATCCGCTCAACAATAATTCTCGCTGGTAAAGCGTAATCGGGGAAACAAAGACAATATGTTGGGAAACGACGGGCCCACGGGAGGCATCGGGCGGATCGATGAAACGGTCAACTCTATTTGGTGATGAGGTTGAGATAGTCGGCGACAATCAGAGTCACCATACTGCCGATCACGTATCAGTGGGTCAGCAAAAGAAAAACGTCACACCCCGATCGGGAAAAACACAGTGGGGGCAACTAACGCATGAGGCGCGATCCGCACATAGTAGGTGCCAAAGCCACGGTAAAAGCGCAACCAACCCTCCTCCTTGGCGACCTTGCGGGCGCAGTCGAGCACACCACGGTAGGGCAGCTGGCCCGTCTTAGGATCCTTCTGCTGCTTCTGCAGACGGGTCTTGATAAAGTCGAACGGCAGCGACAGGAAGCTGGCAAAGAACCCAGCAATGGCCGAGGCGGCGAACGTCTGGTTCTGCGCCGAGAGGCTGGTGTGTTGCTTGAGCTGCTGCTTCGACTCGGCGAAGAAGGTCAGCTGGCCCAGGTTCAGTGCCATGGCCCGCACGACGGTCGGCAATGCGCCGGCCCACAGTGCGGCGACGCCTTCGGTGCGTGGGATGCGAGCCAGTGCGTCAAAGACCGAGCGGTAGTGAGCGCGCGCCTCGGGCGGCTTAAGTCCGTCGGCCTGCATACGCACGAGGGCCAAGTCCGCTGGATTTCCAATCATGGCTGCGATCCCGCCTGCCGTGAGCCCCGCGGCTGCGCGCTCGGCGAAGGTGACTTTGCGCTCGCGGGCCTCGGCGCGGGAATTGAGAGTCTTAATGAACGTGTCGAAGAAGCCCAGCCGTGCGGTGGTGTAGACGGCCTGGCGGAGCAGTCCCGCGGACAAGCCCGTATAGAGATCCAGTACCTTACCAGCGGCGATGATGTCGCGCGTGATGCCAAAGGCCGAGGGGCGTGGTCCTGTGCGGGCACCCTCACCGGCCAGCTGCAAGCGCACTTTCACCATGTCGACGGGCTGGACAACGACCGTGGCCGTCATGCCGGCCAGTCCGCCGTTGACAAAAGGCAGCACAGTGCGGGTGTACGGATGATGCAGGAAGTCAGTGGTGGTCTTCGACTCGATGGCGGGTTTGGTGGCTTCCTTCGTGGACATGGCTGTATTGCCGGTAGATTCTTTGACGGAATTTGATGCCATGGTGATGCACAAGATGGGGGATGTCCCAGACGATGGATCTAACGGGAATAAATGAGTTAATGGAAACGAATCTCTTTTGTCGCGACAGCACAGCATCCAAACTCCATCCCATCCATAAAAAGAAGTAGTCAAGGGGAAGAGAACTCTCCAGATGAGCGGGTGTTCTCTTTGGGAATTCACAGGCGAGAGGGGAAGGGCCCATGGAAACTCACCGATGACGTACGGAGAGAAGAGAAGAAGATGAACACAGAAGTACAGAAGCACAGAAGTAGAGGAAAGTCAAGGTCAGGTGCGAAGATAGAACCGGGTTGGGTCTGAGCTATACTTGCTCGTTGGACAGGCTTGAGATACTTCAGCGAGGCAATCCCCGTATTTAAGAGACATACATTGTGATTCCCGTCTCCACCTTGATTACGTCGATCTGTACTCAGAGCTTGTCGAATGCGGGGGATTCCCAAGTCATACTCGGAAACTCGGGTTCTTTTCCCTAATTTCTCCTAGCACTTGCAGCCATCAACTGCAACACTCCAACATCACTTTATGACTTTCTCACTCCTTCGCCGCTGTGATATCTTCCATCTGTTCTACTTCAGGGCGATGATGGACCCACGTCATGAGCCAACCGGGGCGGCAGAGATTAGTGCCACGAGCTTAAGCCGGAAACACCCCCACACTGGCCTCCATCTGACCCCGTTGGTCTGAGCGCTGACTTCTCCGGACTTCTCTCGGGGCAGCCCATCGCGGTCGTTCCATCTGCCCGACATTATCCGAGGGAAAATGACAGTCATCTTTCAGGCGGTTTCCTGTTTGGCAATCGCTTCAGTTCCACAATCTCCAAGGTCTGATTGGCGTCCAACAGCATATCGGCAAGACAGAGCCATGCCATCGGCTGTGACCCTCCTCGATAATCTTCACCCGCTCATCTCGGGCCTGTCATCCCGAGGTTGCTACTCCAGGGGATAGTATGTCCGGCAGTGTCTATCGGGCGATCGACAAAAAAAAGTCCGATCCCGCTGCTAGCTCAGATCAGTTGTTATGCAGCAGCAAATTCACGATGGGGGGACTCTTACTATCCCTGGGATCTTCGGCCAATCCTGTGGCATGCAATTATAACCAAGACAACACTAATCACTCGTCGGCCGCAGCAGTGTGGGGAGCTGTCTACTCGCTGCAATCCTCCGGTCTGGGGTGGAGGCTGCTTCTTTTCGCCGATGACCGGCACTATCTATCGGACGATGGCGGTCACCATCTATGCCTGAGCCAATTGCGCTCAACTGGATTGGTTCGTTGATATTGAAGCTTACCCGGTCTTTTGGTTTCTATCGAAAGACTCTTGTCCGCGCATCCTGGTCGGCAATCTCTCGGAAAAGGCTCGAGGTTGGTGTCCTGGCAGCTGACGTGTGTTGTGCGATATTCAACCTTGGATGACTATCCAAATAGTCACCAGAAAGCCAGAGAGAAAGAAGGGCTGTATGAACAGTAATTACTAAATGAACTACGGTCTGGAAATCGAAAATCACTACAACGTCCATATCCAGGAAGATTTCGAATCATCAACACGCTCCTCTCCAACGCTCTTCATTCCCTACAACAATACATCCTTGTATACCGTCAGCAATGGAATGACCGCCCGGACAAATCCCAAGTCCGCAAAGTGATCCTACATGTCTGTACCAGTCAGCAATTCGACAGAAAACTATATAGTAAAGTATTTCGACCTATCACCATTCACTGTCCCTAAATAACATCACACAACAATAGTAGTAGTCAGTCCGGTAGTACCAAACCTAGTGTCAATATCAACAATGACAGCCCAAATAAATGCCGCGGAATCCACTCCGGTCCGTCCCCGGACTTTCCACTTTCCAGCCCACACCCGCGGAAAGACGTCTCGGTAAATTCGGGCCCGTTGCCGACACTTCATACCGGCATTCGTGGATGGATCCCGAGGATAAACCCAGAGGGAGGGGATGGTGCATGGGTTCGGCAATGGGATTGACTGACGGCGGGCTGTTGGAACAAAAGTTGTAAAGGATGAATGCTTTCATAGGTTGCATTTTACTCAATTCTTCGTTTCATTAATAGCGTAAGAGCATTTTCCTGGGAATACATAGAGTTTATACCGAAGAGATAATGGTGGTTAAATACTTTCTACAACTAATGTCCTAACTTGGGGTGATGAAAGTGAACATAAATCGGTTTCATGACTATGGTATAGGCTTTCCATCGGGGAACTCCGCAGCCAGTTACAAGACATGTCAATCGAAGCAACCATCGAAAAACACACATCTGCAACAGAAAAAACAAACAAACAAACCCAGGTCGGGAGGAGACATAACACATCCTGACACTTGTCCCGACACAAGTGCAAACAGGGTAGAAAAGAAAAGAGCAAAAAGCACCAGAGATACCCAGGACATCAGTCGTCACGACCAAGCAAAGAAAAGGGGGGGAAACGCCATGCAAAAGACTTGAGTACAGTCAGAAGTTAAATGCCAATTTTTGAAGGAAAAAACAGAGACATCAGCCTTCCATTTACAGCTGGGGACCGGCAGCAATGACCTCAGGCGTAGCCTGGTCAGAGTACTTCTTGAAGTTCTCGTTGAAGAGGGTACCCAGTTTGCTAACCTCATCCTTGAAGGAAGTGGTGGCGGTCCAGCTGTTCTTGGGGTTGAGGAGCTCTCCGGGAACGCCGGGGCAGGCCTTGGGGACATGTAGGTTGAAGACATCGTAGGTCTCGTACTCGGCCTGGGCGAGCTCGCCGCTGTGGATGGCGTCGAGGATGGCACGAGTGTACTTGAGCGGGCAGCGCTTGCCACCGGTGGTGGCGCCGGCGCCGACCCAGCCGGTGTTGAGCAGCCAGGCGTTGGCCTTGTGCTCCTTGATCTTGTCGGCCAACATGCTGGCGTAGCGCATCGGGTGCAGTGCCAGGAAGGGCTGGGCGAAGCATGACGAGAACGTGGCCTGGGGCTCGGTGACACCGTCCTCGGTACCGGCCATCTTCGAGGTGTAACCCGAGATGAAGTGGAACATGGTCTGCTCGGTGGTGAGCTTGGAGATGGGCGGCAGCACACCGCGGGCGTCGCAGGTCAACAAGATGATGTTGGTCGGGTGGTTGTCGCTCTTGCAGGGGATCTTGGCGTTCTCAATGTACTCAATCGGGTAGGCACTGGAAGACGTTAGAAATGAAGTACAGCACACAAGATTGAAGAACAAAACTCACCAGCGAGTGTTCTCAGTGAGGGTAGAGTCGTCGTAGTTGACCGAACGGCTGATCGGGTCGAAGACGACGTTCTCCAGCACGGATCCGAAGCGGATGGCATTGAAAATATCAGGCTCCTTCTCAGCCGAGAGGCCAATGCACTTGGCATAGCAGCCACCCTCAATGTTGAAGACACCACGGTCAGTCCAGCAGTGCTCGTCGTCACCAATCAGAGCCCGCTTTGGGTCGGCGGACAGAGTGGTCTTGCCGGTACCCGACAGACCAAAGAAGACAGTCACATCGCCGTTCTGGCCCTCGTTGGCCGAAGAGTGCAGGGTCAAGACATTGTGCTTGACGGGCATCTCGTAGAAGAGGACGGTGAAGACACCCTTCTTCATCTCACCGGCGTACTCGGTACCCAGAATCACCATCTCGTGCTCGGCAAAGTTGATGGCCACCGAGGTGGCTGAGGTCATACCCTCCGTGAAGCGGTTGGCCGGGAACGAACCGGCGTTGTAGATGACATAGTCGGGGTGGAAGTGGTCGAGCTCCTCCCGCGTGGGCCGGATGAGCATGTTGCGCATGAACAGGGCATGGTAGGCACGGGCACAGACAACACGCACACGAATGCGGTAGCGCTCATCCCAGCCAGCAAAGCCATCGACGACATAGATGCGGTTGCGGGTGTTCAGGTAGTCTACTGCGCGCTCACGGTTGATGCGCCACACCTGTCGATCAAATTAGATGACGTCATACACATGATAGCCTCGGTTGGGCGGGGAAGGCGCCAGCAGCCGAGGAAAGCGGGAAAGCACGAGGGAGACGAGACAAAAGGGACAGGGAAACAGGAAACAATCCATCAGGCAGACTGGAATGCACCCGGAAGGACGGTATTGACAAGAACTGCCAGAAAAGCTTGACCCCCCGGGTGCATATGCAAGGGATCCTGGTGGAGCGTGCATCGGGCCCATCTGCAAGGACATCCGAGAAAAATGCAACAAAATCACGCATAGAATTTGAGGATTCCAAAAGAAAGAAGGGAAAAAAAATCACTCACATCAGGAGTCATGGGCTTGTTGACTGGTCCCCACCAGACTTGACTTTCTGAGGATTCTTCCTGGACAATACGCTTATCGGAGGGCGAGCGACCAGTCTTTGCACCAGAGTATGCGCTGAGGGCACCACTTGAGGTGATGGCAGTACCGGTCTCGTAGACCAGAGCATCTTCGTAGAGAGCGGGAACCGAGGGATTGGCAATCTAGGTGAGGTTAATCAAAACGAGAACACAGACGGCTATAATCCACTCCCAGAAGGACAGTAACCACCAGAGAGGGGGCTCCTTACAATGGCGACTCGGTCATAGTCGATGTGTGCAGTCTCGTGCAGCTCCTCCTCCAGCTCGGTGTGACCCTTGCCAGGCCTGTAGAAGACAAGTGGTTAGCGACGGGGGGAAGTATAGATGATGAGAGACGAAGGGAACATACTGGACACCACCAGGGTGGAGGGCAGTACGATTCACTGATGTGGCAACCATGTTTCTGAGTGAGGTCGAGTGGTAGTTATTGTTGCGTTGTTTCGCGACTTGTTGTTGGATGAAATCAGTAGCCAAAGGACCAGGAGAGCCGGGGCGACCTGGAGGTATATAATTCTTTCCAGCAGGGGCCATGGGGTTACGAAGAACGAGGTATGAAGGACGTTGCCCAGTGTTTCTCCACAGTTCCACGGGTGATGTCGGGGCTGAGGGCCGAGCTGAAACGACACGCGGGTTTGGTGATGGATGAGGTTTGCAAAGGGCTGGAGATCCGACTTGACCCGAACGGGGAGGCCACGAAATGGACTCGGAGCGGAGCTGGATTCGGCGGAAAGGTCCAGTGGGGGAGAACCGGGGGAATGGAGATTTGGCTAGAATAATGAAATAATTAAAATAGAATAGAATAAAATAGTAAAGCCCAAATGACTCCTTTTGCGTGGTTTTACTAGATCTATAGATGTGAGGGCGAAGCTATGACTTTTATGCCCCGGTTCACCTCGGTTTAGATGTCCAAGTCGTGAATCATCTATTCAAAGTTACTTGCAATTCTCATTCTTTCCCATGAGGTGAATCTTGTGAATTTCGCACTGGAATGACGCGCAATGATCTCACCAGCAACCTTGGAAAAGTCTCATAGTCCCCTAGTCCGTCGCATCGGCTGACATAACCCGGAGCCCCCCTTCCCTTCCTATCGAACACCTCGAAATTCCTTCGGAGCCAAAAAAAAGGAAAAAAAGAGAGAGAGAATGAAACGCCGACGATGACGACAATTTCGGTTAAGCCAACCGGAAGACTCCAATCTGGCGGCGAACCAGCCGAGGATGACCGCACCTGAAAATCCACGGCGGTACGGGCCAATCAGAAGCCGCATATTGGGACCTCCAAAACATTGTTCGGGGGCAGAAACTATTGCCGGTTCAACTGTGTGTGCTTTTTCGTGTTTTTCCGGTCCCTGAACCGCCGAGTTTCTAGTAATCGGCCATTTGAGCCTGTGAACACTGCCGTGATGTACCCGGCCCGGCCTCGGGAACCTCTGTTTTCTTTTTGTTCTCTCCTTTTCTTGAATCCTTTTTCCCGCCAGGATTCCAGTACCATTGTAATCCTGGTTTACGCGATTTGTCTCGGGCGTGCGCGCGTGACACCGAGTACGAACTATGTAGGGTCACCACAGCGAGACTCGCTCTCTAGGGCTGGCTCCCTGATGGATTATGGGCATGTGGAGACCGGAAGGGGCGTGCCTGTCCCAGAAATAAATAATAAAGAAAAAGAAAAAGAAACAAGGCATGAAAATAGATTGACGAAACCCCGGGTCTCGATTTCATGCATCTATTGCCTATCAAACGGATCAACATTCATCAACCTGCAGATTCTCGGCCACCATCTTCTATCAGCCCCCCTAATTCTCCCGCGATATATAAGAGAATTGTTTTTGGGGGCATATTCAAGTCTCAACTATCAGCCGGGTCTCTGCCCAACCAGCATCGCCGGTTTTAAACCGGTCTGGGCCAGAAGATCGCCCGAGCTCCTACTTTCCCCGACGCCTTGTCAACTTCCCTACAACTCACGTCATCGTGGGCCAGGGAAGAAGAAACAAGGTCAATGTACTATACTTCGGCACTGTGCTTTCCCCCACCTCCTATGACTCGTGTGGCATTGGCCATCTTCCGACGTATTCAAGACACAATACACGCTTTGATCCCTTCGCTTGGCGGCTTGGCTTGAATCTGGGGAAACTGTCGCGTGGCCCTCGGGCCCCTAGCTTCAGCCTACATGCGGGGTATATATACTCGGGTGGTTCGAAGCGATGTAGTAAAAGAACATACCAGATAGTTAGATGTGGGGTTGTCGGCTACCGTCGCTATAGTACGTAGGAGGCAAAGGTCATTGGAACAGTGGCATTGATACCCTCGGTTTTCTTCGCTTTTTTTTTTTTTGCATGTTCATGCCCATGTCAATTTCCATGCTCCGTGCCCCAATCCCAGTACCAGTACCACCCTTGAAGATCAAAGGCATCTCCCACCCTCCTTACTCAAGCGAGGGTTGCCACTCTTGCTCGAAAACCTTCCACTCATCCAACCGGGACTTGTCCCACATCACATAGGCCCACCGTCGCAGGGGCTCTGTCCGAGGGGAGAAAAGAGGCTCGTCAAATGGCAGCGACCATCGTCCCCACAGCCAAACGTCCCGGGGACCGGGATTTCGGTCTGGATACCAAGGCTTCATGCGCGATTTGCGTGTCTCAGGGTCGACGTCCTTCACAAGGTAATCACCCCAGGGTCTCGCAGGGCTCAGATAATAAGAACTGAATTCCGGAAGCCCTTCTCTTTCATTGGTGGCGGCAATGATATCAAGACATGCCTGGGGGGTCTCTGCTTCTGCGAAGCGCCGAATATGGGCCAACCCGAGGCACATATGATGCTGTGGAGTGTAGAAAACAGATTTTTCTGGAGGATCAAGGTCGATGTCTTCTTCGTCATATTCGAATTCGTTGGTTCGGGTTTCGGGGAACGCTATCAAATCAGAAAGCTCAGGATGGGGATCATGCCAATAACGTAAAAGAGAATGGATATGGAGTACGAGGGAAAGGCTTTTTTTACCTGGGGTGATGATTCTCAACAAGAATTCATAGATGCAAGCGAGTTGCTCGATTTCCTGTGCCGGGTATTCCTCGGCAAACCGACAAATACAGGCAAGCTGCGCAATTTCACGCTCTTCAAGAAACCCGAAGTATTCGAAGGACCCGTTTTCTGGCAGAGACGCAACTTCAGTCGAGCCTTGCAGGAGACTGCAGTAGATTTCGAAGCGATAGAGGGCACACTGGATTCGATTTCTCTCCCTCCCGGAGAGCGGGCGTGGAGAAGACGCCGATTCCCCAGTGATTGGGTTCCGAGCCAGAACGTCAGAGACGAGTCTTTTTGTAAAGAACTCGACGTGAGGCTGAACTGCGGCGAGTTTTCGGGCATGGGACAGCTTGAACCGTACTGAGCGGCGGAACTTCCCTGATTCTGTTCGATCGCGATAATCCTCAGAAAAGCTATCAAAGAGTTCTGGAACTTCCGCAATCTCTTCAAATTCATCAAATTCATCCAGCGGTTCAAACGCCTCTCTAGCAGCCTTCACTGCCACAGCCTCATGAAGCAGGCTTTTTGGGACTTGTCGTAGCAGAACCCTTTTCGTGATTCTGGTCTGGCTGCGTTTGAAGACTGAATATAGAGAGGGCCCTGATAGGACAGCCAACTCCAGAGATTGGATATCAGGAATGGCCTCCAGGATGATGTGAATCAGCTCAGGGGGAAGCTGATCCAGTCTGGCCTTTGGCTCTTGGGTGTCCATATTGGGATCGGGGTGTGGCTCTCGGTGATGCCTAGCATTGTAAAATATGAAGTGAGTTTGAAATTCAAGCCTTATGTCTGGTGGCTTTACCTTCCGGTTGAAAAGGCTCAAATTTCGGATGCAGTGTGGATGCTGAGAGCTTGAAATCTTCTTGGCCCGTCCTTTCTGGTAGTCTAGAACGACGAGAAAGTAGGAGAAAGAGATTGGTAAACTAGTTACCTCGTAATCAGAAGGGATATGGTGGCGAGTAAAGGGGTAGAAAGAGAACAAGCAAAAGAACGGTATCAAACATACCACCTATTTTTCGAGGCATCCAGGAACTGATTGCTTAAACTTACTGGGTTTCATCAATTCTAGAGTCTAAACGACTACCTCATTTATAGTACTGTCACTTATTTACCCTAGAGATAGAAAACATAATAGTTCTATACTATTACCATAGATAAGGAAATGATATTAATTGTTTTTGCATGCTATAACTATGAAATAAGCATAATTCCCTCAAAGGCTAAGTACTAATATAACTTTCCATCTGGGCCATCTGCCCTCTAGCATTCAAGCCCCCATTAACTAGCTCTAGCCTAGACAGCACCATAATTGGAAGCTATATACATTTGCATACCGGCCTGTTTTTGGTATTGTGATGATTTTTCGTCTCGTGTTTGTTTCATGGGCTTCATTTGCCGTCGAGGTATGCTCTCTATTTCAGCGCCATTGACAATCCCGACTTCCTTCCTAACTTTATGTTAGATAAGCTGGGTCTTGACAGCTTTTCTCTGGGGCATTTGGCGCCTGATCATAGGCCTCTCTCCTGGGAGTGGGATGGGGCCTCTCGATTTCAGCAAGCAGGCATGGACATTTGGCCAAGTCGCCTCCGTATTAATGCTGGTGGCGCCCCTCGTCAACATTATTGGAACTTGGGGACGTGAGTTCTTACAAAAGTTCAACTTGAATGAACTATTTCTAAGACCAGGACCAGGATATCCAAGAACAGACCCAACGAGCGACGAGTGGTTCTTGCCCCGGCAGTTATCAGAAAATCACCAATCCTCTCCACAATCTTTAAATTCTGACGAATCCACTGCACCGAAGGACCCCGAAAGACCAGACACCGGTCATCCCAGCTGTCTTGGCGCCGCAGCTACGTACCTTTACGCGGCTTGCACCTATACCGGGCTATACTTCCTCAGATCATGGGCACACGGAGCAAGCCTTTGTACGTAGTTGGACGGTGGGGCATGGTGATTCCGATGGCGCTTTGCTGCTTCTATTGCGTGGTGCTTTGCGCACTCACTGTTGAATTGGCTGTATCGCAAGATCGCTATTGACTACGGAGGTTTTTTCAGTTCTTGAACTGTGGCTTTTCTATGGGGATTTGGATTTGGTATAGGCTATCTGGGTCTCAGAAAATGTTTGCAGTTATCGGTCTCTACGTGTTGGGTGCTCTGGTACACAGGGCTAATGGGTGGAGCAAAGGTGTGTTCTGGAAACGAGTCTTGTGCGGCGATAACTGAGTTAATCAGGAACAAACTCCTGCAATTATTATGGAATTATCTGCTATTAATGGTTTTCTTTCTGCCACAAACCATCCGCTAGTAATATGACCAACTACCCATGGATATATCGGTTCCTTCCAACCCCAAACTCAATACCAAAGAAATCCCTCTCGCTGACTTCCCTCCCTCTTCCACCGACCAAGCACCCCCTTCACCTCCCCCGCCACAACCCGAGCATACCCCGGCCCAGGCGGCGGTCCACTCGCCCCGATCTGCTTCGCCGGGTCCCCGGCCACCCAAGCAACAGGTCCCGGAGCCCGACCAGCACAAGCTCTCCGAACCTGCTCTACCTCTGTTGTATTGTACCCACGACCGAATATCACTGCACTGGCTGGACTGCCGTAGTTATGCGTGCCAACGTTGTCGACGTGAGGAGAGTGTGGATCACGGCCCGCTAGAAGATGGGGTAGTTCGGTCTGGGCCGCTTCGATGCTTTGGATGAAGTGGATCACTGGAAATAGCGGGGGGGTTAAAATTAACATCCTTCCTCTAGGCGCTCGCCAGATTAACACCTTGATGTGTGTACTCACCTTCGTATTCGGGCTGTAGCGCTTCGGAGACGGGTTTGCCGATATGGGTACTGCGGCCGCAGAGCACGACAGGGAAACGTTTGGTTAAAGTAGCCATCCGTAGTAGCTCTTGGTATTCTAGGATCCAAGTGATACGTAAGAATTTCGAAGGGTTGGGGATGTTTTCAGCGCTCATCGGACTATTTATGGACTGTTCATGACGTCGAGACAAGCCACGTGGGGAACTTGGAGAGGTGGGGGTTCAGCTTATGTATGTGCATCTGCCAACAATCCCAGTGATATTGCTATTGGCTCATGTACGCCACTGACAAATTTCTACTCTTCTGGTGGACAGCGCAATGACTCGCTGGCCAGTATGGCCCTCGGGGCTTTATTCAGCACTCGGCCGACTTTTGGGCTATTGAGGGACAGCTCGGGCATCGCATTGCCGAACGCATTCATTATTCATCTTGATCATGAACCTCGAGATGCGATCCTCAAAGTCGAGTATGTATAAAAGCGTAGGAAATGCCCTAGCATCCCTTCCCTGTGAGGATCGAGGACGGCGAGGACGGCGTTGACGCCATCCTCTGGCTCTGGGAGCATGGCGAGCAGTATGGGCTCGACCGCACGCGATTCGTGTTGAGCGGGGGCAGCGCAGGTGGGAATCTAGCCTGCGCAGTGCCATTCCGACTTCACGAGTATTTCAGGCAGCGGCAGCAGGGACAGCATGAACAACATGAGCCAGAGCAAAAGAGGAACAACCGTATCGGTCTAGCCGGCATCGTCGGGTTCTACCCCAGCACCGACTGGACACGCACCCGAAAAGAAAGAGACGCAACAAACCCGATTGCTGCAAAGAAATCCATCATCACACCAAAAGTGTTCAGCTTCTTCGACAACTCCTACCTTCTGCCCGAGACCCTACCCAAACAGTCCGGCACTAATACCGTGGACATGTCGCACCCTTATCTGTCTCCGGGTCTTGCGCCAACAGCGCAACTGCTTGCGGCTTACCCGCTCTCTGTGGTCCTGTACACGTGCGCCTGGGACCAGTTGCTGGTCGAGGGAAACGCCTTTCGGGAAAGGCTGCATGCCTAGTGGCAGATGGGCACATGGCTCATGTGGGTGGGATGGTCATGGATGACACCTTCCATACATTCGATAAGAAGCCATCGTTCTGGATGGGGAATCGTCTGCGCGATGAAGTATACCGGGATGTAATGGAACAGCTGCGTATCATGTGGAGGACTGAGTCCTTCTGACTCGCTCGGGCTGTGTGTGTAGATAGCAAGAAATCCAGTGGATATATGACTGTGGTATCATTCTTGGTGATTGATGACATTCGACAGAGCGGGGGCCTGTCAGGCGGGGTCAGCTGCATTTTTTCCCTCGACGTGCTCACTTGCCATAAGTTGCTCTTTCGTCCTCTCGTCCTCTCATCCTCTCTTCCTCACTTCCTCACTTCATCTCTCCTCATTCTATTCACGTTCCATATCTCTGTCTCTCGGTATGTGTTCAAACTCTGAGACCTGAATATCAGTGGAGTCCATCTGACGGAACTAGATCCACCGATCACCACCATCAACATGTCTGGTCACGCAAGCTGTCCCAAGTGCGGTGCCTCCATCTCCGGCTCTAACAAGAGCTGCGGCTCATGCGGCGCTGTACGTTGGTTTGCTTTCTTTTGTCTTCAGTTTCTGTCCGACTAACTCTGAACAGAGTTGCCCTGTTTAAACCCTTCCCTCGACTGGGTGGGCTACGATGTCCTGGTGTACATGAGTTGTTGAGAAGAAGAAATGGAATGGAGTCGAGTCGTGGTGTTGACGGTTATCAGGCTTAGGCATGGGAAGGAACGGGACGTGCGAACTTTGTCTTTATTTTACCTAGTCGACTTAACTCGATGATGCTTCTACGAATCGACGTTTTAATCAAGATCATAGATTGATATATACGAGAACTGAAAGACCAGAACACAAGTTCAAACGGAACGTCTGTAGAAAGGAAAGTGCAAGTAGCGGGATATAGGTATGTAGAATAGCAGGCCTCGGCACTCGTGCGTCACCGGCCAAATTCAAAGAGTCTTGCCTCTTCACTCTCATTCTCGGGCTTCCTGCCCTGCCGGTATGAGAACCCAGTTCCCAATACCAGCTTCGAAAAGTCCGTCCCCCTTCCCGGGGGCGTTTTCGTCTCACATGTCAGGCCCAGCCGATCATGCGGTCTTGCGCCACTGGGACCAGACACCGATCAAACTGCTGATGGTACCGCCGATACCGACCAGACCGTCGTCGAGCGACACAATGCCCAGGGTGGCAGCCGGGACAGACAAGTCACACAGGTCGGACACGAGCTGTATGCGAGCGGCAGCGCGTTCCCTGCACGAGCGGGTTAGCTGTCATTCTTTGTCGTTCCCTTGCTTCTTGCATCAAGAAAGCGAGGATGATTATAATAACATACTTCTCGATCTTCTTAGCCTCGACAACGCCCTCGCCCTCCTTGCGGTTGATAGTCTTCTCCTTCTCCTGCAGACGGAACAGCGTGTAGACACCCGCCACAACACTGCACGCCAGACCAGCCCCCAGGCCCGGTACGCGTTCTCCTGCAGGCGCTTCGCGGAAGCCAGCTTCCGGACGCCGATGGTGTCGACGACTGTGATGGTGTCGAGGGTCAGATAGCCCGCATAGCCGAGCTGGCGACCGATAGCCAGATAGCGCAGCACAGGATCGATGGGGCTCTTGTTGTCGAGGGCGATGGCGGCGGCTTTGAGGTGCTCGACGAACTTGCCGATGCGCAGGATCTTTCGCGTCGTGCCGAACTGCTTCTTGACCGCGTTGTACGGGTCGATGGCGGACTGCGGCCGGTTCGTGCGATACAGGTACCAGGCGTAGAAGCGGGAAAAGTATTGGATCGTGCGGAGGAGCTTGTCGCGACCGACTGGAGGTTTTGATCGGGTTGCGTTAGTCGAAGACTTTTAATGGGGTTATGCGACTGCAGCAGAAATGAACCGAGCGGAGAGGGAGCCCACGGCGCGACTTTCTTCCCCTCCTCTCTCCTCCCCACCCAGTCATATCATCTCCATCAAGCCAGAAAATAAAACGATCACATACCCGTCGTCGCGACAAAGCGCAGGTAATGCGCCAGGGCAGGGTGGTAGACCAGAGCGTCGGCGACCATGATTCCGTCAATTCCCGATTAGTTCCCTAAGGAGGCACGCGATCAGCCGGGGCACAGCGGGATACCAGGATCGAAGAGACCACAAGCACACCTACTGATCCAAATCAAACAGATGAGGTTCGAAGCAATGACGGAGATGGGGATTAAATGGGAAAAGGGTAAGGGGGAGAGGAGAGGTGCAGTCGGTAATTGACGGCGTCTGGGGAGCCGCGGGCAACCTCGGTTGAACCGTCGGCCTGTGGGGGAGAGAGCCGGGTTCGCCCCGAAAATGCGTCGATTGCTGTCACGGCAATTCCGTGTCATGTGAATTGCTTGTCTCTGGCTCTTGTCTTTCGGGTTTCATAATTATCCGCCTAGAGTTTATGAAAATCTTCGCTAAATCAAGGACAAGGTCGAACAACACCTGGGCAATGTTTTCTCGCTTCTAAATTATCACTCTCCACTCTATTTTAGGAACTAATCTGAGAAGAAGGCTAGACGAGCTATTGTGCTGGCAAAACCCTTTGGCTTTGAACTCGAGATATTCTTTTTCACTTACTGTGATGTCGAATCTACTTTTGACCATACAGCATGTATAGTTAACTTCTAATGATTTGAAAAAGCTTTCAATTTGTCGGAAATCGTTCTACTACTCTTTGAAAGGTTGGCTATTATCCTATTCTTATACTCGATATTTTCTCAGCGATCCAGTCAATTTACGTCTATGTAAGTCAAGTTGAATACAGACCCCGATGCAACACATCAACATCCAGGGCACTCAAAGCCACTTTGCCTGATCTCCATTATGGCTCAGAAGCAAGCCGGTAGTCTTTGCATCCAGACGCTCAATCACCTGGAGGCACTTTCTCACACTCTCCTCAGGCTGTATCTGCCCCTTACAATCAGGCTCAACCACCTGAAACTGCTTCAGCATGACATTGTCCGCTTCGACCACCTGAGAGGGTTTCTCTCCTGCGATGATATTAGGATCCACCACTTGCCGCAACAAAGGCAAAAAGAAAAAAGAAAAGAAAAGAAAAGAAAGGCCACTTACCTTCCCACGTGTCAACCCATCCAGGGCTTAAAGCCAACGCCTTGATGCCTCGAGGCGCAAGTTCTGCGGCGTACTTGGCGATTTGGACATTCATCCCGGCCTTTGCGACAGCGTACGCGACGGCATAGCTAATACCAGACTTGTTGATAAAATCCAGATCCGCCATAGCGCTGGAGATGTGCACGATCTTCTTCTGGACGCCCCTCTCAATCAGGGGCAGAAAGGCATTTGTCGTCCATAAACCGCCGTAGATAGCGGTACTGAGCGACGGGTCGAAGATTCTCCGGACGGCTTCAGCATCAAAGGGAATCTGGGTCGGATTGGACGATATGCTGGCGATGTCCACGGCGTTGGAGTTGTGAATCAGCACGTCTAGCGTGCCGCCTGTGACGGCGGCTGCGGCCGAGGCAGCCTCAAGAATGGACTTTGGGTCCGTGACATCACCTCGGATAACGTGCACGTTAGGGTGATTAGAGGCAAGCTCAGAGATGTCGGGCGATTCGGGGTTTCGCACAATAGTCAGGACGGTGTTGGTTGGATCGGCAGCGAGTTGGCGCACGAACTCACGGCCAATGCCCTTGGAGGCTCCGGTGACGGCATAAGAAGACATGGTTGGTTTTTCTCGGGAATTAAGAGATTGATTATGGCCATATTCGTTTGGCTCATGTCCCTTTTATATCTTTGGAAGTATATACATTCGGCGGATTACAAACGCGACCGGATGATCCGGTTCCCCCGACTACCCAGCAAACCGGGGGTCATCCACATCAACCGGTCGCTCCGTTTCCTCCCCGGCTCCTGATGCGACACTATGGACTCCCCAATACCTGCAGTCAAGAGGAGGGCCTGCGTGGCGTGCACGGCTGCCAAGGCGAAATGTATGCCGCAGACCCTCAACCTATGCCAGCGGTGCGCTCGTCTGGGCAAGTCATGCACTTACCTTGATCTTCCGCAGACGAAGCGGAAGCACAAGGCTGCACCGAGGTAATCATTCCCAACGCGTATGGCACTTGTGGTATTAATTATGGATACAGCCGTAACCGCGTGGAGGTACTAGAGAAGAAGGTCGACCAGCTGATGTCGCAGCTGGCTGCCTTGACCCGACAGAACGAGCACATATCGCCCAATACGTCGAATACACTCACCAACGAACTGGGCTCATCGCATGATCCCGAGCCGGAATCACCAGCCATTGCGGAGCTGTTAGAGGATGCTGAAAACCCCTCCCACGGCCCTGATCCGCCGACGATCTCTGCTCTAGAGGGCCAGCCGTCTATCGTAGATCGAGGGCTTTTGAGTGAATCCGAGGCTGAGCTCTTGGTTACGACCTTCCAACTTCACTTAATGCCAAAGTTTCCCTTTGTGTTGATTTCACACGGCGAGACAGCCGCCAGTCTTAGGAACCGGGAGCCTTTTCTCTTCTTATGCATCGTGGCCGCGACAATGGGCAGTGCGCATCCTCTGCGCCCAACTGTCACCGAGGAGATTATGAATCACGTTACGTTGAGAATCGTGGCGCGATCCGAGAGGAATCTCGAGTTGCTCCGCGGTCTGTTGGTGCACAGCGCATGGTACTCATATCCTGCAGAGCGATATCACCGGCGACTCCTGCTGTTGATTCAGTTTTGTGTTTCTACTCTATACGATTTGGGGCTTCATAAAAAGCCTAGTCTAAGTTCGGATGAGCAGCGGGCGCTGCTTGGTACGTATTGGCTTTCGGCTAGGTAAGGGTCTCTGCTCTGGTGCATATGGATTGGGCTAACTCTATATCAGCTTCGCCGGTATGTTCGGCCGGCCGAGTATCACGAGGGAAGATAGTCGGACCAACGAATGTATCGAGGGTATAGCATCTACCGAGCATCAGTCTGATCGATGGATTGCGCCTTTCATCCACCTCCAGTCTTTCTTGAAAACAATGGATGAAGTCTACGGTTCGATGCCAACAAGCGGGGGGAGGGTGCTCGTTCAAGTCACGCGCAGCTCGCTGCAGCGACAATTCGATAGCGTGAGGGCATGTGTAGAAAGAGATGTCTCAAAGTGCCCTTTGTCAACAGGTTTGTCTTGGCCCCGAGGTGGTTGAGTGGTTGATGTAGATGGACTGACCGTTCCAGTGAATGCAATCCGCACTGAAATAAAATATGCGGAAATCCGGCTCGAGGAACTATCTCTTCAGAAGGAGCTGTGGATTGCAGAGCCTGCCAGCGCAGTCCGGACAGTCATGCTGATGGGTATCATCGAGCGAAGCAAGGAGCTTATTCACACGATCATAAACCTACCAGCGTCCGAGATCTCCCAAATTACAATAACCACATGCGCTCGTACATGTACCGCAGTGGGCTTCATACCCACAACAGTATTGACCCTTCTCCATCTCATTACTGGTCCGAACGACACCACCATGGAACCCACGGTGCAGGCCGTTGTTGATATGGCAGATTATCCCAATCTTGTTAGAGAGCTTGCCGGCGCGCTGGAGACGAGAATTGAGGGAATGTCTGCCGCAGATAAAGAGACGGATATTGTGGGCAGCCTTTGCTCTAAAATGCGGCTGCTAGCTCGTTGTTATCCATACCAAGTCAGGGAAATTGTTGGAAATGTGCCGTCCCAAGATGCAAGGCAGGATACGTCCATGATGGCAGTTCCCGGCAATGAGGCTGCTATGACACCCCAAGTCTGGCCGTCTATCTCCGGCGATTTGGATGAGATATTTCCTGTCGACGACATCCAGTGGGATTCTCTACTGAGCACTTTCACTGGTCCTAGTCAGCAGATCTGATGCTTCCGTCAATTATGTTACAGAGCAGTGGATATAATTTATGATATAAGTCTTTGTGATCGTAGCGAAACACTTCCCCGATTCGAGTTTCTTGATGCTCGCGTAACTTAGTTCAGCTAATCGGGATAAAGATAAAAAAGAGGGTGGTGGTAAAATTCGTTATTAAATAGCGTATTCTAGTGACCGGTGTAGATATAAATCTGATCATCATCAAGCTTCCTCATCTAGGGCCGATAGGTGGTGTAGGTCCCGATGATTACCTCTCCTATATCAAACGTGGTGGCCTTCCCCTGTGCTGGACCGAGTTGATCTCCAAAGACTAGATCTCTCATGCGCTGGGAGAGTTCTTCCTTGCTAAGCCGGGGTGCCATATTGACCGAACGTGTTGCGAACTGTTTAAAATTGTTTAGATGAGGTTGTTCAAGGAAGTGGGGGGACAGAAGTCTTATTTCTGGAGACTGCAGATTCTGTGAACATGATAGAGACGGCTGGTGGAGGAGAACAGGTCCAAGCTTGGGGCGACACCGACTCGTTTTAAGCGCCGGTAGAGCAGCACATTTGATCCAATCACAGAAAGTGTTCACAACAGGAATTGATCGGATATGTGATTATCATTTTAATGATTAGGATAGCCCTGCTAGTGGTTGAAGTAAATGCTCCCTATTCGCCTTGCAGGAGGAGGAAAACGGTTTTACAGATGGACTTGAGCACTGTGCAGATGAATATTTAGAGATCTTCTCATAATACTTCTAGGCCAACTGTTACATACCCCAAACCAGCAGTCAAATTCTGTCTATGCTACCGCCGGGCGAAGCTAATTGACATATTCTAAAGCCCCTATGGAGAGCTTAAGACCTATTCTAACTGCTGTGCGCCAAAACGTGCCATAATGCTTTCCCCAAATCCATGAAACATAGTGTACAATACCGGGCCCCAACGGGTGGAACGGATGCTCCGGGACGGGACGGGGCGGACAATCGGGGATGATTTCTAAAGGACTAGTCTACGTGGATGCTAGGTATCTGGGATTGTCTCTTTGGCGGTGACCTCTAAACGTGATAAATCATAAGCGCCATTGCACTCACAACTATGTGCACAGATCATCCGTGGATGCCTAGCCCTTGACCAGGATCAGATATTGATTGACCTTGTTACTTCGACTATAAAACCAGTGTGACCTTGGCTATGCAGTTTCGCACTATTGCATGACTATCATTAGAAATTAGGACTACATACAATTGTGGCACCATCGCATCACCGAGTCAGACCACCACAGATCAGCACGGAGGATGCTTGCAATATCACAAATACGTCGCAGGAGGGCAGGATTCACGTCGCTAGGGCTTATCGATGCTCGGGTCGTCGAAGGGCCTCGTCAGGCGTCGCACACGGGCTCAGGGGTTACGGCCCATGTGGGTGGTTGCATGTGGGTGTCGACCCCGTAAAGGATTGATTCATTGTTGGAATAAAGGCTGTGAGGCGCAGAGAGATGGCCTGGTAAAGGGTGCAAGGCTGCGTCGGTATGCGGCGTTCAAAGGGACGGGCGTGGATGGGGCGGGGTTATTCCTGATCTGGGCTGGTGCTCTGGCTGTGGTTGCCCATGGTCCCAGTATCGTAGCCGTTGGCTTCGAGAAAGGCGCGGAATTTGGCGTCTTCGTCAGTGATCGTATCCTGTTCGCACAGAATGTCAGTTCGTATGATTCGAAGATATTCGTAGCGGCAGCACCATACCTGGTCAATTTTCGGCATCAGGAAAATAGTCAGTGCAGCACTGAAAATGCACAGTGAGCTGGAAATGAAGAAGGGATCCTGGCCCTTGCGGATCTCGTTGGGCGCGTTCTTCTGCGCGATCGGGATGACATAGGTGCCGACGAAAGCACCAATCTTGCCAGCTGCCGCCGCATACGAATAATATTGGCCACGGATGGCAGTTGCGCTGGTCTTGGCGGCACACAGACCGATATTGTCACCAGGCCCGAACTCACCGAGGGCGAGGAAGATGCTACTTTTTGTCAGTATGGCAAGATTGAGGCTTGGGGGGAATCACTTACCCGAACACCACGACAAAGGCAGCCACATTCTCCGGAGTGGCAAGCCACTTGTAACAGCCGGACATAATGAACCCAATGACACCCTGGAGGCCCACTCCGATAGCAAGGGTACTTTGAGGGCCGATCCAGTCACTGGCAAATGCCCCGAGAGCAGAACCCGGGATGTAGAAAAGGTTGGTCACGGTGTTCCAGCCAAAAGTCTTCCACATGGGTGCCGTATCGCCCAGGATTATTTTCAACCACGCCGAGGAATAGATGGTGAACGAGTAGGCCGAAAAGTCGTAGACGAACCAGATAAGGGAGACGACGGTCTGCATGTCACTGTTAGTTAAAATATGCTCGGTTAATGAAGGAGGGATTCGCACCAGGCGCTTCCAGTAGAACCTGCAACTGTCAGCCAACGTCTTATCTAACGAGAAAAGGATTCGCGCTCACTTGACGATCAGCCACACTGGGAATTTGTGCATGCGCTCGCGGTTGAATTCCTCGGGTTCGTTCATCTTCAGTCGCAGGTACATCAGACTAAGGGGAGGAATGACTCCCAACCCCAGAGCCACACGCCATGCGGCACGCAGATGATTCTCGGTGAAAATCAAGACAAGAATCATGGGCACAATTGCAGAAACCACATAGGCAAAGTCGATCTGGAAGTTGGTGAACATGATGAACCAACGATTGCGGTGGCCACTCTTGAGTTCCCCGGTGTTTTCTGCAGCCGCCACGGATCCAGCAGGATACTCGCCGCCGATGCCAATCCCCAGGAAAAAGCGATAGGCCGTAAGAGCAGCAAAGAGGCCATACTGGTTGCCACCAGCTCCGTAGGCACCGGCCGACAGGGCCGCAAAGATAAACAGGATCACGGTGGAAACCATCAAGGACCACTTGCGCGACCAGTGATCACTAGTATATCCGAACGCCAGCATTCCGACTACAGTGCCCGCGAAAACAATCGAAGATACGTTCTGACTGGCGGGCGAATTGGCATAGGTGTCGGGGTAGATCGTGCCCAGCATAGTATTGACAGAGCCGATCACCTAGATCAGTGCGGGTCAGTGTCGATTCGATTCCAACCCACATGGCCATCCCTAAGATGCCATTGCAGTCACTGCATACGCTAGGGAATAGAGAATACATACCCCATTCAGATAGCCATCGGAGAAAAGACCGGCACCGCAGGCGATCGTGGGCCAGCTGCGCTCCCAACGAGTCTTCTGCGGGTTTTCCAGCGGCGACACCTCGACCGGCGCCTCTCCGAGGGGGGCGGGGCCCTTCTCCGAGGCGCCATTCTGGAAGTTGGCCTTCCCAGAGTCCCCCGGTGCGTAGGAAATACTCTTGTGATCTGTGCTCATGCTTTGTGACCGGCGATAGTAGCGATTACTGACTCCGATTGGTTCGTCCAGTCTGAAACGCGCAGAATCGGCAAATTTCGAAGAATTGGCGCTGCTTCGCTCGAGAAGGAGTCTCCAAGTGAGCACACGACCAATGCAAAAGGCTAATTCAGGTATCACCCGAAGGCGCGGGGGCGTGATTGAGGGGAAACAGAGATGAGGAGGGGAGGAAGAGCAGGGAGATGAAGTTTACGAGCACCGTGAGAAAGAAAGGATAAAAGAAAAGAGCTCGCCTTATCAGGCTCTACCGAAGAGGCGATTCCCTTCTGGGGGTTAGCAAGAAGCAGTGCAGTAGCCCGATGGACCCCACGCACGCGGGTCGACAGTCCCAAGGTCACAGCGAGAGTGGAACCGGGCTAAGCATCGCCGTGAATCAGGCATGGCCAATGAAAAGTTTTTGTTCTATCATCTGCTCAAGTCAATGCTGGCGGTTCGATCATGTGGAAGGAGCCTTGGGCTCGGGCAAAGCCGAGATTCTAAGATGTGTTGTTCCGAGCTTCAACGCCTTATGGACAGATCGGCCCCTCGGTCCCAGTTTCGGGTGCCTTGCATAAATGGCATCGAAGAATGGGCAAATGTACCTGGTACTATAACCTCAGGCACAGTCACCTATCTGATTCCATTTGCTTGATCGCCGACCATGACAGGATGAGCAGGCACGTGATCTACAGACACGATGACAGGGGAGTAGTTTATATCCCTTAGAGAAGTTGAAGTATGCAAATAGAAAGATAGTTTCAATAATGAGCTCATAGACAGATATCCATGCGAGAATTTTCTTTGATGTAAATTCGACGAATCTCCAGGCATCGAAGGTCAACTGGTGAAGGGACAGTTTCGGTTCGGAAAATCATTCCACCAGCTGAGCTTGGGTCAGCTACGTGATGCACCCGGTGGTCTTCCCTCATCCAGTTCATCCTTGCTTTCTGTCATTCTTTGCCCTCGCCAATCCCTGTTGCTTCTTGCTCTCCACCAGTCCCCTTGTCGTCACCATGGGGTCTGATCCGCAATACATCAAATACCCCGACCTTGCCCTCGCCCAACATGTCTTCAACCTCTCCAACCCTTCATGCACTCCATCCATCCAGCAGACTTCATTGAAGAAACTGCAAGATGCGATCACCGAGTACAAGATGGCGCCATTCTACCGACACCTGGCCCACCCCGTCGAAGGTATTCTGAACAACTCCGGTGAAGGTGTACCGCAGCACCCGCACAACGCAGGGACCTCCAAGCCACTCCTCTCTTCCAACATGCTCGCCTCGCGCAAGTCGCCGCAAACAATCGACTTTCCGTGGAATGAGGAGCTCTACCAGTCTTTAGTCGAGGATAACAAGAATGAGCTGGCAACCTTCCAGAAGGAGGAGGACGACGCAGAAGAGGCCGCCGGTGAGACCGAGGTCCAGGCCGCACGGGGGAAACGGGCTGAATTTTGGGCCCGAGTCGGTGACAAGGTAAGAACTTTATTTCTTGGCCGGGAATCTGATAGCATGTGTTGACTTTCTCCCTCATAGGACAAAGCTATCGAGTCCCACGAAACCCTCCTCGAAAAGACCGGATTCCTGGGCACCAAGATCGATCTGGTGCTCGCGATGATTCGAATTGGCCTCTTTTTCGGTGATCTTGTGTTTGTCAAGAAGACTATCGAGCGAGCGGAGACCCTGGTTGAGAGCGGCGGCGACTGGGACCGGAGGAATCGTCTCAAGGCATACAAGGGATTGCATCTGCTGACGATCCGCTCTTACAGCCTTGCGGCGCCTCTTCTCCTGGACAGTCTGTCTACATTCACGAGCTACGAACTGTGCAGCTACTCTTCGTTGGTGATCTACTCGGTGCTGGCGGGATCGTTGTCCCTCAAGCGCGTGGACTTTAAGGCCAAGGTGGTGGATGCGCCGGAGATCAGAGCGATCCTTGGTGCCGGAGAGGACCAGCTGGCTGCGCTCAGTGGGGAGACCTCGGCTGGTCCTGGTGCGCGGGACGAAGAGATGAAGGACGCAACGGCATCCAAGTCCACACCCGGCGGTGCCACCACTGCGATTAACCTGACTACACTGGCAACCGGCTCGACTTCGCAAGCGGAGAGCGAAGCCCCCGTGGATTTCTCCCCGCTGGCCAACCTGGTGAACAGCTTGTACAACGGCAATTATCGCTCGTTCTTCGTGGGGCTGGCGGCCGTGGAGGACCACTTCTTGACGCAAGACCGATACCTGCACGAGCACCGAGCATGGTTTGTTCGGGAGATGCGTCTCCGGGCCTACCAGCAGCTGCTGCAGAGCTACCGGGTTGTGGGCTTGGGTAGTATGGCCAATGACTTTGGAGTTACGGTGGACTACCTCGACCGGTACGTACCATAGAACCTAAGATTCTCAATAAGTTGATTAACAATCGATTCTAGGGACCTTGCTAGGTTCATCTCCAGCAACCGCATTGCCTGCACCATCGACCGGGTCAACGGTATTATTGAGACGAATCGCCCCGACGACAAGAACAAGCAATATGCAGACGTGGTCAAGCATGGAGACTCGCTGATCACGAAGATCCAAAAGTACGGCCAAGCCGTACGCCTGCGTGGGAGTGAGCGGAGTTAAAAGGGGATGCGTCAATCTGCGAGACCGTGATCGTGATCCATATTTGACTGGAAGGATATCTCCTGTCTGTTACTAGAATTGATGCATGACATACTAAGTATTCCAAGTATTCCAAAGGTTGTCTCCGCGTAGTGCTTATTTGTCTCCGCAATGTCGGGCGGCGCCGGAGTGGCAACTCGGCATCGGCCAGGCGGGCAAGGGAGATTTTCCCGAGGAGAGCTAATCCCTGGGTGGTTTTCAAGTTACGCACTCCGAAGTATACACCCTTTCTTTCTCTACTCACTGTAGCTATAGCCCTTGTAGTCTTCTCTTGTATCTCTATCTTTCTCCCTTCAACGACTCCAGGGCTTGTGGGGAAGAATGCTGAGTCACACATCTCACCGCCGGCGCCAATGGCGGGTTCTGGGAATTTTCTCAATCTCCTGACTCGGTCCACGGTCACGATTCATTAGGCGATTTGTGTTGGGCTCCATTTGACCTTTGGTTGACCAGTCGCCATGTCCTGGCAATTTAAACTCGCATCCAGCGCGCGGGCGTCTCCGCGGTGGCTTACCCGGCCTAATGGGGTCCTACTTCGCCCGGCAAGTGCGGGGAGATTACCCTCAGGTACGTGGGATGATGTCCTTTTTTTTATATATAGATTGCGCTCGTCTTATCTTGCATTTCCCCTGCATCTCGTCTCGTGATTCTCATAGCCCCCCCACCTGCCCCTCCTCTTGAACTGGCGGATTCTCTCTCTCCCTCCGAATCGCCGTTGGGGATATATTCAACCATTTTGAATCCACTAACATTTCCTTGCGCTCGACGCAGCCCCCGCCATGACTCAGACCAGTGTCTCCGTGACTGCCAAGCGCACCCTGGCCGACTACCACTCGTCCAAATGCCTGAACCTCGACAACATTAACCCCTCGGTGCGGGCCGCCAAGTACGCCGTGCGCGGAGAACTGGCCGTGAAAGCGGAGAACTACCGGCAGCAGTTGGCCGACGGCGACCAGTCGCTGCCCTTCGACAGCGTCATCTTCGCCAACATCGGCAACCCGCAGCAACTCGACCAGAAGCCGATCACCTTCTTCCGTCAAGTGCTCAGTCTCGTCGAGAACCCGTTGCTGCTGGAGAACCCCGAGGCTCTCAAGACGTCGTTCGGATACCACCAGGATGTCATCGAGCGGGCTCAGACACTGCTGGCCAATGTCCAGAGCGTGGGCGCCTACAGTCACAGCCAGGGTGCGCCGGGGATCCGCAACAGCGTGGCCAAGTTCATTGAGGAGCGCGATGGGTTCTCTGCCAACCCGCAGGACCTGTTTCTGACTGGAGGTGCCTCATCCGGCGTTAGCACCCTCCTGAACGTCATCTGCAACGGCCCCAAGGCCGGGGTTTTGGTCCCTATCCCCCAGTACCCGCTGTATACTGCGACGCTGTCGTTGCTGAATGCGCAGTGCGTCCCGTACCTCCTTAATGAGCAGGAGGCGTGGGGTACCGATGTCAATGTGATCTTGCAGTCTATTAAGGATGCCAAGGCCGCGGGCATCGAGGTGCGCGCCGTCGTTGTGATCAACCCTGGCAACCCCACCGGTGCATCGCTGAGCGCCGACGATATCAAAAAGGTCATTGATATCGCCGCCGAGGAGAGCCTGGTAGTGATGGCCGACGAGGTATACCAAACCAACGTCTTCGCGGGCGAATTCGTCTCCTTCAAGAAGCGGCTACGCCAGCTTCAGCAGGAGCAGCCCGGCAAGTACGATGATGTCGAACTTGTCTCGCTACACAGTATTTCCAAGGGCATGGTTGGTGAGTGCGGTCACCGTGGCGGGTACTTCGAGCTGGTTGGCTTCGACCCCCTGGTCCAGGAGCAGATCTACAAGCTCGTCAGTATCGGTCTGTGCCCGCCTGTCGTTGCGCAGTGTCTGCTTGAGACTATGGTTAACCCGCCGCGGCCGGGACAGCCCAGCTACGAGCTCTACCAGAAGGAGTACAACGGCATCCGGGACGGTCTGTACCAGCGGGCCCACGCTTTGTACGACGCTTTCCAGCGCATGGAGGGAGTGGAGTGCCAAGAGCCCCAGGTACGTATTCTCTTTTCTTTCTTGGATCTATTCTGAAACAGCTAAACTTATGATTGGTAACAGGGTGCCATGTACCTCTTCCCCACCATCAAGCTCCCCGCCAAGGCCATCGAGGCCGCGCAGGCTGAGAAGCGTGCCGCCGATGAGTTCTACTGCCTGCGTCTGCTGGACGCCACCGGTGTCTGCGTCGTCCCAGGCTCGGGCTTCGGCCAGAAGGAGAACACGCTGCACTTCCGCACGACCTTCCTTGCGCCCGGCACCGAATGGGTCGAGCGCATTGTGAAGTTCCATGCCGAATTCATGGAGAAGTACCGGTAGATGTTTAAACAAAACTGCGATTCTGATTCGCAAATCTATATACTCGACAGGTTCACCCGATTCACCGCCACGCCATTTACGTGAAACGAGTCTGACATGTGCTTGCTCTCTACTCTTGCATTTTCCGTGCTCATATCTTGGGGTCTGATTTCACATCTCCCTTGATACCTTTATAGACTACTTTCTCTATTGGAGCTGCGGTAGAATTCCTTTTGCTTGGATTCTTTATTGATGGGATTTTCGGGGCATCTTTTGCATGTGGTCTGTCAGGCCGGACTAGATAGCTGTCGCTGATATTGAGGTAGCTTGTGGATATTTGATAGAATGGACTCTGCTATGGCAGTAAAACAATTAGGATTTGTGGTGTCTACTCCTATTCTATTGTAGCATAAGGCAGCAATCCATTTTGAATGACACTGGGTCTTGAAGACTAGGGGTTTGCTTACTTCCCTTACCTGAATTCTATTCTTCATTCACACCTCTCCTCAACCTCTTACTTCATTCACTTGCCTCCTCAAGCTCTCATTTTCCTATCTTCTTTCTATCTTCTCACTTTCCTCTCCTACCTACCTACCTCAACTGAAAGAATCACACTATGGCTACCAACCAAACCCATCTCTCCGAGCGCGAGGCACTCGACATCGTCCACAATATAACTGGATACACCTTCATCAACCCGGAGCCCTTCTACCAGGCGCTCCTTACGCCGAGCCCTCTCAATCCAGAAGGAAACAAGGGCCTCGCTTTGATTGACAGCCAGACCCTGCGGCTTGTACTTGCCACGGAAGGCTACAGACGGCAGGCTCCCAGAGGCAAAGGATCCATTTGTTTCTGAGGTTATTGCATCGTGTTTGCTTTTTATTCTTTTATTTATATTCACTGCCCTGTCCTCTCGCTTTCTTGCTTCCTTACCTTCTTCTTATATACTCCCTCACTCCTTCACTTCACTCACCCATTCGCCCTCTTGTTTATTTATGGTGTGCTCCCTATACATGCCCGAAGCATGATCTGGCCAAGGCTAACCCCTGATTCGAAATAGGAGCAATCGCTGCAATGATCCAGCGCCAAGCCAATAAAGAGAATTTGGCAGATAAGGGTGTTGCACATGGCTTCGATGCCTTTGTTCTCGAATACAACGCGCAGTCTCGCACGGTTTCGATCTACGGAATGGCCACAGTGGTCGAAACTATTTTGGGGGCAATTTATGTGGACTGTGACTCAAATATGTTTATCATGGAAAGTGTTATGGTCCGTCTCGGACTCGTGTGGGTTAATTAAGTTGATGTGAATAGGGTGCTTTCTTTTGACTGGTATGAATCTATTTCTTGTTTTTTTTCTCTTACTATCTCTTGGTGCTATGATACAAGTCCCCAATACTTTATGGGCCCTCGCTAGAGTTGAATAATAATTCAGCTTTGGATATCTAGCTGATTCATGAATAGGAATTATTACCCAGGTATCAGGGGTTAGGAAAACCAGGACCATGTCAACGAAGTGACACAGGAGGCTTCGCCCGTGGCCTTAACAGCCACTTCATTACCTTATAAACCCCCGCCGATCCCCGCTAAGCTCACGCAATCGTCCCAGTCCTTCTAACCGAATAACCCCGAAACAAGGATATTCCCTGTAGCTTGCCTTGCTGCTGGCTGCATGCAGGAGCTAAGCCTTTGCCAAGGACATGCACACTCGAGGCCGGAACTGTACTCGCTGTACTCGCTGCAGCAACCTGCTGCAGCTCACGTATACTAGATTGCCCGTGCACTGTACTATATATGATTCGGATCGATCGAAAAAGCTTGGTATATGCTCAAGCCTATTAGATCATACCTTGAGGATCCGGTTTATCCTACTTTTCAGTATGTATTTCATTATAATTCCTTATTTATGCTCCCCAAACCCTGTAGAGGCAACAACAAAGCCTGGCTACAGGTCTTCCAAGGTTGTCTACACACCGCTACTACACACTAAACCAAACCCGGTAGCCCGGTAGACCCCATTCGTGACTCGGTACCCCCGAGCTGAATGCATTCTAGACATGGCTTTCACATTAGCTGCAGGGTCATACGATGATGACGATCTGTAAGCCAAGACCGGGGTTGAACATAGCTGAAAAAAAAAAAGGCCTGTTCAGTGCCGATCAGCTGGACAGCAAGCTGCGTTGTATCTGCTCACCGCCATGTACCCCAGCTATTCAACAAAAAAGTATTACATACTGGAAACTATCCCATTAACGGACAGGATATACCTGGGCATGCCGAGGTTGGCATATATGGGGAAGTGAATGGCTGCATGAGGTATATCTCCATAAAAAGAATAATTTGTACAAGGCATCAAGGGATATATTCAACTAGGTATAGATCATACAACCATAAACCACAGCATAGTCCAAACCAAACCCCTCTAGATTGATGCTATCATGGGAGGAATCTCTAGATTGGCTAATAGAACAGGTCCAAATCAGGCATTTCTCATCATCTCTCATCAAGGTCATGAAGACGGTGTGGAGGTGGTGGTAAAGAGGGGAGCTGCAAGGCAGGCCCTCGGACGAATCAGAGTGGTAACATTTAAGGGGAAAAAAAGAAGAAAGAAAGAGAAGGGGAAGGAATTGGGAAAGACCACACCCCCGCATGGACAACTATTGCGCCCAAGATTGTCGGAAATAAGATTCATCCAGTGGTGGGGTGGATCCCGAATCAGCAAAAAGAGACGCCGGCCACACAGGCACCGAGTCCGGCGGCGAGGGGCCGCTCGTCATAGATGTTGCGGTCGTCATCGGCGCCTGCGACATGCCATAGTTGTCCGGCGCGGGGACCGATTTCGGCTCCAGCCCCATGCTGGCTTGCAGCTGGTGCTCGAGCGCGGCAGTCGACTCATTCGCCGATTTGAGGAAGTCGTCGATGTTGATCGAATCGAGATCATTCGACGACAGAAGCTGCGTCTGAGGCAGGCCAACCAATGAGGACGCGGAGCTGAGGCGGAGGTGATCCATGTCCGAGGATTCGCTCACGCTGTGGAGATCGTGGATGTCATTGCTGCCGGCATGTCCCAGACCCGGAAGTGGCCCAAACTCGTCCGCTTCGGAGAGATCGCCCGAGGAGGATGGTGGCGGAAGACCAGAAGGATAGGAGTGGTCGAAGCTAGCGTAGGATGGGGTTTGCGTGCTGGTGGCTGGCACATCGGACGAATACAAGGGGAAACTGGACCAATCCACCGAGGGAGCGCCAATACCCGCAGAGCCCAGTGGCATGTCTGAGTCAGGGGACGTAAAATACTGCTCCTGATAATGATCTTGGAAGGCCATGCATGTAATCGGCGAGTTGGTCGTCGTATTCGGGAAGGAGGTGAAGGTGGAGACATCGAGCGGCGGCGGCACGCTGGTAATGATTTGTTCCAGCGGAAACTTGTCCATCGTAGCGGGAGCCGAGGTCGGGTTCGACGGTTTATCTTTGGCCTTGTCCAGGGCCGAAGGAGGGAGTGCGGGAGAAGTGAATTTGTCTAGGAAGGACGGGTCAACGGGGGTTGTCGCGATATCGTCGGCAGCCGGCGCGCTGTCGGGAGAACCCTTTTGGGACGCTTGTTGTGATTGGGGTCGCGGCTCCATCGACAAGGGGAGGGGGTCTTTGAGGAACGCCGACTGGGTCAATGGTAGGTGGTCTACCGAGCGACGAGGCATGTCGGAGGGATGGTGGATAGTATGCGATCGCGGGATGGTGTAAGGTAACCCGCACTTGTGGGCCATATCATTATGTTTATGGGCAGGTTTGTGGTGACCATCGCGGAAAATCGTCAGCGTCGACTCGGATTTTGTCGATGTGAGCAAGGGCTTCCGCGGGGGTTCAGCGGGGGCCGAAGGTTGAGACAAGGGGAGGCCGGTCTCGGGCACGGGGTCCAGATGGTGTTCCTTTTTCAGCGCACAGGTGCAGCGCTGGCCATGGCAGCAGCCACAGCGATGATGGGAGTCCTCTGTAAGGAAATCTAGGTCAGGAAAGCGAACCGAGGCAACCAACACCTAACATGCTCACGCTTGAGATCTCGTTTCTCACCGGTATGACAGTCGGACGAGTTCTTCTTCTTGTCGCCGCACTCGCATTTAACGTGGGTTGTCCGAGACTTGCGTAGACCGCGGCAGTGAGTGCATTGAGAGACTGGACGGCCTTTCTTGTTGATGTGGGTCAAAGGGCGGTCTGATCGAGTTAGCATGGGCCCATGCGACACGCACGGATGAGGACGTACCACTGTGGTGACAGCTGCTGACCCGGTGACCCCGGACGCAAGCTTCACAAGCCCACTTCTCACCATCGATGAGCATCGTGGCTACTGTAGAGCACACATGCGACTCGAGGAAATAGTAGGAGAGAAAAGAATAAATTTGAAAGAGAATCTCCGATCGAAACCGGAAGAGGAAGAATCAAGCCGTCAAGGCGAGTTTAGCCGATTCGTGAGGATTCGGACCGAAGGGTAAGAGAAACAGAAGAAGAAAAAAAAGCAAGGGTATCTTAGGCAAAAGGTCCCAATGCGCAGAAGTTCAGACAGAACGCCAGTCGAGCAGTGTACACACGATTAGCCACTGAGGCTACCGTACTGAAGACTCCAACGTAGAAAGGGTGGAAACCATCAAAAGGAAGAAGTTCAGAATAGAAGGGTATAACGGGGAAGGTCGGGTCGAAGAGAGAAAAAAAAGGAAGGGGGACCAAGCCTACGCACCGTTTGGCGCCGGCCGTGAGACAGGACACCAAGTACCGGTAGTGGCGGCCAAGATAGAAAGCGATCGATATGGCGAGCTGGACTCACACCCTATATGGAGGGAAGAAGAAGGAGGAGGGAGGGCGAGGGTTAATAACGGTATTTTGGCGTGGGATTTTCGCTGCGTGGGTGGTGGCTGTGGGTGACCGCAGTCGAGAACCAGGTACATCCAGAGCTACGTTGGCACAGGTGGAGGGGGAGGTACCGGTACCTGATGTATTTGATACTCGACTTTTCCATACACATACAGGACAACCAACTGAATCAGGCTGTCTAATGGAAAGTATAGAAATACTATAGAAAGGAGTTGACTTGCAGCGAAACTACTTTTTTTTTTTTTTTTTCTCTTTCTTTCTTTCTTTCTTTTTCTGTTCAATCTCAATCCCTTTGCCAGTTTCATCCCTTCGAAATCCAGACTGTGCCTTGGTCCCCACCGTCGAGTACATTGGCCATCTCCCACCAAGCGTCACTTGGCTGAAGGTAGGGTTTCGTTACGATTCACACTCTTCACGCAAAATTTGTGGAAGGATTCGTGGATATGCATTGATTCTGGTTCTCTCTAATCCACAGTTCCTTCCCAGACCCTCTTGCCTTTTATCTTCGTACCCTTCTTAGGGTGAACCTTGGATCATTCCCTCGACTTGTTTCAATTACGTATGCACGTACCATGTTCCCCCCATCTCTCCAACTGTCTGACCGCGAAATGACCACGAACTCGATCCCCACCGAGAAATGGATCTTAGCCATAAAACAAATCTGGGGCACATCCCGACCGTGACAGGTTTTTTTTTTCTTTTCTGCGTTTTGACTCTCTTCTCTTATGATCTACTCCCGATGGGGGGCCGAACCAATGTTTCAGGGGGCTGTCTGGCGCTAAACTTCCCGCTCTTCCCTCAGGATTCAGGTACCAGCCTTCTCGAAGAAGGTTTACCATTTTTCTACAATCCCTGCACGGCGTGCCATTGGCAAGTCAACTGGTTTTGGGGCCTCGGATGGGGCTGAAATTGCATGTGGAAGAAAAAGAAACGAAAAAGAAATCTTCAATTACTGCATGGATATTGTACCATCTTACCATACCAGTATGTGTGCGATGGCGTCAGGGTTCCTGCTTCGGGCGGGTTGCAGATGAGTTTTTTGGGTCCCCGTGATCTGCGTATGTAACCACCCCCCTCCACCAATCAGAGATCTGCTGGTGGTGGATTCCGGTGTCCTGACCGTCTCGGCGTGAACGGGCCAATCAGAAGCCCGGGAAACTGGGCCAGCAATTAAAATAGGAACAATTAAAATGACACCGGCCGATCAGGGGCTTGCTTACTTCCAAGATGTATATCCTAGGATCCTTGGATATTCCAGATGTAGATAATCTGAGTAGATGCATTTCTATATTTAGCATGGAAGGAATATAGATATGATCAGCATGGATTTAGCTCCAATACCTGAATAATTGGTCTATCATCACAGGGGACAAGAGAACGGAAAGCAAGAGTAGCAATCCCTAGTACAAACATCAAGGAGCAAGACGGCCCGGGGGTATCCTTCAGAAATCCCATAGCACTCCCTGAGCTTCTTTTCCAGCTCACTAAAATCTTCCTCCTTATACCCCATTTCTTTCTTCTGGGCGTTAATCAATCCCCATCGCTTTCGACTCAAGCCCAGGATCTCATGTTGCAATTCCTGAATTCGAGTTTCAGGCAAATATGGTTTCCTGCGGCGCAGGAAGAGTGCGTCGTCCATATCATCCAATGCACGGAGTCGATATTTGTCCTCAATGCCAAACTTCAAGCCCAAACACATAGGGCAGGACTGGTCCAGTTCACAGCTTCCAAAGGTGTCTGGAAATATTGACGAGAACCCTCCACACCCGGGACATAACCAACCTTTGCCCCGGCAGCGCGGACAGTTACCATGGAAGTAGTGCTCGAGGGCATCCCTGCTCACTGTCTTAGCAAAACTGTCTCAGCAATAAACTCATGGGGTGGAGGAACATCCCGGCCATGGGGGTTTACAACCATGGTGGTATTAGGATCATCCCTTTCATTTGCCTTGGGAACAGCCGAGTCCAGGAAGCTGCTGAGCAAAGTCCTGGGTGCAGGCTTGTTGTGGGCACACCAAGTCATGTCGCATTCAATCTCGTCAACGTAGACAACTTCAGGGCCAGACATCTTCCAGAAGCCCTGACAAGCTGGGTTGTGATAGTTCACTTCCTGCATGGTGATAGCAGAGGCACTAGTCGCACGTTCATTTTCTGGAGCAGTTGTGACGAGAACCATCCATGAGTTGTCGGAGTAGATTAAAATCAGGTCATTTGGATGGACTGCCTGGCTGAGAGTGTGAGTCGTCATTGTAGATGAAAATTAGCTTGGAAATAAGATGGGAATGATCAAAAAAAAGACCGGAGAGGTAGTCGACTCAAGACCCATCCATCCATGGATGCAAGTCCACAAGTATATCATGTAGATCACGTTGACATCAAAGTGTTCAATCAAAACCAGGTCATATTAAATAGTTGGATCTCATTGAAATACCTCAGAAGATTGATAGGAAATGCAGCGAGTTATGCAGTTGACCATGAAAGTATAGCAGAAGAGGGAGGCGGATGGAAATAATTCCCCTCCGCTTCGAAGGGAAATAGTGTTAATCCGCAACGCAGAAACAAAGGCCCGTCCTCCGCGCCAAAATAATATCTCGAACTATACTTTCAATATACTCTCGAGTCTTTCTCTTCATTAGACCAAAATTCATTTTGTCCACGATGGGGGTGTTGCTTAATGCGGCGCTCTCGGCACTAGCCCCTTCAAAATTCCCCGTGCAATTTAGCCCGTAAAAACCTTGCCTCTGGCTCTTTGCGTCCTGCACCCACTCGGCCCCCCATCTCCCGGAACCTCGCTTTTGTTCGAACCCATCATTTTTTGTGTGTTTCTGGGCTTCATCGGGCATGATGAACTCTCGCGAACAATCTGACATGCCTCCGGCCCCCTCTTACCCATCCCCCAACGGTGCGCAGATGGCTCAGGGTGCCATGCCGTACTATGGCAACCGTCAGATGACCACCGACGAACTCCTATCCGCCGAACTCTCACGCGAAGCCTCCGGCCCGAGCCTTGCCGATGGATCGAGTAATGGTGTCCATCACGGCCAGTCCATGGTCCTGGGATCCTCCAATGCCGATGATATGGGTCGAGGCACGCCCGAGGATCAACACCAACACCAGCACATGCTCCAGTTCCCCCCGAGTCAACAAGTCGGTGTCGACCCAAACCATGACCTGAGCTACGGTGAACAAAGTGCGCGCAAGCGATCCAAAATCTCGCGGGCGTGTGACGAATGTCGCCGAAAGAAGGTATGCTGCACTCTGCCGGATCAAACGCGACCGCGATGTCAAGCTAAACGCGTGATCTTTTTTTTTCAGGTACGATGCGATGCGAGTTCGGAATCGGGCCTCGAGTCCTGCACCAACTGTCGCCGCCTGGGTGTGGTGTGTCAGTTCAGTCGTGTCCCGATGAAACGCGGTCCCAGCAAAGGGTACGGGGATACGTGCGCCACCATGAGTATCTCGACTGACGAGTATACAGGTATATCAAAGAGCTTGCCGAGCGACTTCACACCCTCGAAAGCCAGATGCACCCCCCCATGGTGCAAGCCGATGTGCCGTACCAGGGCATGAACGAGGTGTCGCTCCCCCGAGGGTACCAGGACTTCACTTCGCCCGTCGACTCGGGTCCAGTCAATTCCGCCAATCGCAAGAGAACCTACTCCGTCTTCGAGGGTCTGCCTAGCTCGTCGTTCGCGCAGCCCTCATTCAACGCTCGCACCTCACAGAATGCCTTTGATGCGTCGGAATCGTCGGCAGACCCGTACAACCCCACAGTCACGAGCGGCAGTGCTCCCAAACCCGGAAATCTATTCTGGAATCCAACGGGCAATGAACAAGACTTGCCAAGTGGTCTTGAAATGACGGATCTGCCCAAGCATGAAGGCGATGATGATATGACCCCCGTCGCTCTGGACGAGGGGGCCCTTGATGCGTACGTGAAAGTGGGAATTGCCTTATGAAGCTATCATCTAACAGCTATCCGCAGGTACTATCACAAGATCCATACTCTCCTGCCGATTCTCCCCCACACGAAGGAACGGACGCTGGAGCTCCTCCACCAGTGCAATCGCGAGGTGCAAGAGATCTTCTGCTACGCATTGTACACGATCACTCAGACCGACTTGTCTCGCTTGGCAAGCAACTTTGAGAAAGTCACTTCGTTCGACAACGCCCAGGATCTTCTTCTGTACCACACTCGCCAGCCGCTGACGGTCCACTCCACTGCCGTCAATTTGGTTTGCCTGCAGACTCTTCTGTTTATGATTATCGACTGTGACACACGTGGCCCGGACAACTTCATCCTCAAGGATGGTATTCCGAAACAAACTTTGGTCCAGGCTGCTAACAAGCTCGGATATGATTTGGCCAAGAGCCGGGGCCAGTTGAAGAGCAAGCGGTCTGCAGACCCTGACATCGACTCGGATGCCAATATCACTCGACGCAACTGGGTCTCTCTGATTATCCTCGCCCGGTGGTATGCTATTAGTGTGGCAGATGCAACCGTTCTGGGAAGCTATGAGATCGGTGGTCGTGAAGATGAAAGGGTGGTTGGGCAAATCACGATGGGAATTGCTTGTAAGTGGAATCCCTAGATCTATTTTTTGGGGATCTATTGCTGACGATGTTTCTTAGCTTATTCCACATTCCTCTTGGAGCTGGTCACCTTGGCCACTGTCGAGCACAATGTCTGCCAGACCAACACCGGTCTGGGCGGCATGGTTGGAGTCAACTTGGTCGCGTCTCTTGAGCGTCTGGCGGAGATGCAGGATGTGTTCAGCATCCACGAGCTACCCGAAAACACGACCACGCGCCCGCTTTACGAGAGCCTCCAATCCCAACTCTACTGGACCGTTCGACTGCTCATCAAGCGTCATGTCTTCGTCTACAGCCCGTATGAGATCATCTACTGTGCGCAGGAGGTGATCAACGAGATGCACAAGTCAACCATGCAGGCCCGTCTGCCCTCGCCATTTGACCTGCACTGTCTGGCCCTTGCCTCGATGACCCTGCTCGAGGCCACCGTCCTCCCGGAACACGCCAACGGGTGCTGGGACTCCCTGGAGAAAGTCGAGGAGATTCTCGACTGCCGCTCCAAACGCACTACTGAAGCCACCGAGTTCGACAACGTCTTCGGCACCCCGGGCTGGGATGTCAAGCTCCGCATTTTCCTGGAATGGCGCCGCGTAAAATCGCAAGAGAGCCAGCTCCAGGATGCCGTGAGCTCCGGCCCGACCAAGGGCTCCGCCCAGCCTCCCGTCATGGGCCCCAACGAGCAGCGCTCGCTGCAGCACCTCGCAGACCTCGCAGTCGGCGCCGAGGGTTCCGTTAGTCAAAACGCCCCGTCCACGCCGCCGCCCGGTCTGTCTTCCACTGAGCACGGTGACACGTCTCCCAATCTCGCCCCACAGCTAGTGCAGTCGCATGGCGGACCGGGCCGCGTTGTGGTCGACTTCACTTTGCTCACCAAGGAGGGCTACCTGAACGTCTTCTCTGGCTTAATCTATCGCCGCTCCCGCTAAACTCTTGTGTTGATACCCCTGTGGTTTCTGTGCCGTGTCTTGTTGCTGCCCGGAAAAGTTTGCGCCTTCGCCTTCTTCTTATCTGTGGCCTTGTCCGGACTACTCAACTCCCCTTCTTTCCCCCAGTCCCAGATGGGTTAATACTGTTCTCGTGTGTGTTGAGTTTGCTTTTTTTTTTTTCTTCTTCCCCGAGGCTCGGCCTCTCCCTGTATTTTAGTGCTTTTCTGGTTACCATGTCAGCAGGCGACGGAGTCGGATATGTTGGAGTAGCTTGCAGTTCTTTCGTCGAATATCATCTATCTATGTTGAGATAACTATATACTTCTCTTGTGGTAATCAATACTCGAAAATCTGAATATCAGTCAACATCTCACCCCACTTGGGCATAGCCCCAATAAGCAATGCTAGGGCCGCTGCTCCCCAGAAAATCACTTCTGTTGGCACCACATCTTGATCTCGAAGTGAATCTCACCTAAAGAAAAGAAATCTGTTGACTTTTGCTCTCTCTCTGTCTCATGGCTTCTTCCCAAACGCAAATCGCCGCCAGGTCATCTCCACGTCCCGGCACAGAGCCATGAACTTGTCGTCTTCGATCAGTTCACAGATCCAGTTCTCGAGAGATGCGATTCGCTCTGGGGTCGGTGCGTCCAGATACAGGGCTAGGGGGTCTTCTCCTGTACCGGGAGTGGGATGGAGCAAATGATCAGGGGCGATGGTAGAGGGGATAGGAGGATGGCTCTGCACATTAGGCACTGCTACATCTCCAATTACCGGTTCTGGAGGCCGTGGTTCGGTTTCGGTTGTATTTGTAGTTGAAGCAGTCCATGGACCAATTTTCAGGGTCGTAGAGGGCGCTGGTGAGGCAATCTGGGCGGGAGCTTCCTCTGGGTATGGCTGCTTTTGTGTGATAGACTGCGACTGCAACTCAGAAAGACTCGAGTGGCAACGGCTCATAGCCTCGGGCTCCTTTGAAAGCTGGGTTCCTTGCTTTTTACGAGGCTTTATGGGTCGGTCAGTTGCGATTGGTTGTTTTTGAGACTGTGGTTGTTCGGCAGCTTTGCTGGAAGTAGCAGACCGGGATGTCTTGCCGCGTGGCTTCGAGAATGGCAGGTCTCTCTTCGGTGGGAGCATCTGGTTAAGCTGGTGGATGTCGTGATAGGCTGGTGCTGTTGAAGTTCGCACGCTGGCTCTTGCGGGCTCTCTATGCTGTATACTAGATGGTAGGATAGTCGGTAGTTGTCTCGGACCGAATACCTCGAAGCTCTCACTCGGAGCATGGGTTTCTGGGGGAATCGGTGTCACAGTAGGGACAGGGTATTGAATCGTGCTCGAGGAGGAAGATGGTCGGCTAGGTGCTGCCGATATTTATTCCATGTCAGATGGCTCATGCGCCATCAACAAGATAGAGCTATTCGGACATACTCATCATCATCCCAGGTCCACAGGCTGCCGTGGGATAGAATGGGAGGGTAGAACTGTTTGAGGTGAGTGGTGTGCTTGCATCCCTTCCAGGCGCAATAAAAGAGGCATATCCCGAGTTCCATGATGAGGACGAGGGTGGTCTTCGGGGTGTTTGTGCAGGACCACCTTCGGTTAGTGGGCAGTTAATGGAGCTCAAGAGGGCCAGCGCCGTGTAGTAGTCGCGATCCGATGAGAACTTGATCTGGAATCGGCGGATCTGGTCCCACCCAAAAACATGTCTAGTCAGAAAGAATCGATTCATCCTGAGGTTTCTGGCAAAATTCACACACATGGGTGTTAGTCTGGGGATACTTGACTGCCAGACAGGGCGTCTTGACCACGACGGCAAAGGATGGTTTCAATGCTGGGGTGTTCTGGTTCAGGCCGAGCAGCCGCACAAAGTTTGCGAGATCAATTTGTTCGTGCTTCACGCAAGTAATCATTTCTTAGGTTATTCATTGCAAGCAGGCTTTTTGGGCAATGGAGATAGGTACCACGATGCCGCTGTTTTGAATCACCCTCAGCACCAGCTCTGCTGGTCTTGACACAGTTCCTGGGGACTGCTCAAATATGCAGATGATGTCCCCATTGCCATTGATATGGCTCCAGGTAAGTGGTCCGACATGGTCGATGGTGGTGGTGGTGTGCGAGAATTTGGCGAGTGCCAAACGGGTTGTTTGGGGTATATTATGGTGAGGAGGGTGTTGCATCATGGTTGAATGAGATGCTTAGGAAGAACTGGGGTTATAATTGATTTGATGTCGCCTTAAGGTGAAAATGGGATGGAATGATGGAGACGCTGATACGAGAAGAGGATGAGAACTAATCGATGGACTCACCTTTAGGTAGTCACTCTAGACAGTTAGGACACTTTCTGGCGCATAAAAAAACAAAAATTGCCCTAGGAAGCTAAAAACTACCAAACATCTGATTTTTGCCGAATCCTGCAATTTTGTCCTGCAATTTTGTCTGACACAAGGAAATTCGTGAAATTCCTGTTGCAAGTGAATATAGGGGAAATCCCTAGTGAGGCATCTAAGATGTTTACGCCTGAGGCAGTGATAATTCCCAGAGTGGAATAGCGCAGGAACAAATGTCGGTATCGGAATATCTGTTGATCCGCCAACGCGCCTCCAAGCGCGGACTTTTGGCTGATCAGTGCCGCTCCAAGTCCAGCTCCAAGTCCAGCTCTCCAGGGCCGCATCATAGGCATTGGCAATTATCCACCCTTTGCAATCTGTCGCTAACATCTCTTCCATCTGCGCAAACAGTCTACATACCTGCAACTCTGTTTTGCCCCGAGAGCAGTGGGTTGTCTTGCTGTCGCATCCTCGCCGCGAGTCTCGACAATTGGTTGAATGCGAAAACTGCGACCTGCCGTCCACCACGCACGGACTGAGCTCGCTCAACAGCTTGGATCGCTGTGGCCTTGATTCTGTCGCCGACTTACGCCAAATTTAGACACAAAATCACCAACCTCCCTGCGATTTTGCCCTAGCGATTCGATTCCCTCGAAGGAACGCGAAGTATCAAGGGCACCAGCCGTCCAGGACACATTGCCACTGAAAACACAGAGCCTGTGGTATTGAATACTGTTCCGCAATTAGTCGGCCCCGACTCCTTTGAAGTGGTCCTGGTCAATCGGCTTTTCCTTAGGAGACATTGCGTCAATACGCAACCCTGTGCTTCAACCCACCAATTGTGCCTAGTCGTCGCATCTTCGAAAAGTCAAGATGTCTACCCCTCGAACCTCGTTACGACGTAGGAACCCCCATCCTGCGACGTGGGCGAGGTCTTTTTTTGCTAACATAAGAAACAGAGGGCCTACGCCAGGCGCCGAAAGTCAACCAACCCTTTATCCCCGACACCACCCCTGCTCGTCGCTCACACCTCAATCATAACTTCGAATCACCACAGCCAACAGTAGCCCTTCCTGTGAACCTGAACCCGGCTGCCAACCCACAAAGTGCGCATTTCGCCGTCGATAGCTGGGATGGAAAAAACCAGGCTCAGCTCCCAATGTCGACACGAGAGGTAGCCACGCCAGGAAACCGGCCTTCCCTTTATGCCAATCTTCGTGACCGAAAAGGAGCTAGGCAGCCTGACTATTATGACACCTATTTCCCTCTCAATTACCTTGAGGTCCCCAGGAGTGAGTCGACCCACCCATTGCCTGGAATCGAGCATGGCGCTTATTTGGACATTCCAGCGGATCATATCTATAAGCGTGCCCATTACGGTTTGCAATCCGACATACCTGACGAAGTTGACTTTGCGCTATACCACCTGGTGCAGATTTCCAATCAAAGATGGGATAAGTTCAAGTTCGAGGGCTTCCCCTTGCTTGCAGAAACTCTCATGCAAAAGGCGTTAGATATCACTTTGCTCTGCACGGGGGTAAAATGGGAGTTTGAGCACGATCCTCGAGAATCGAACAATCGCGTCAATGTGCTGAACTCATTGCACGGAACCAGGGACATTCTTGATAAACTCCAGAAACTCCCGACCACTCTACCGAATGACACGCTTGAAACCTACGAGTTCAATCATCAGCTTCGAAATATCAAAGAGGCCACTTTGGTTTTGAGAAACATGGTGTTATTGAAGGAAAACGCATTTTACGTATCGCGCTACGCTAGGGGCTTGCTGCGAGACTTCCTGGTCATTTTGATCAATACGCCGAATCAGCCTCGCCTGAACGAGATCAAGAATGACGCGCTTGATATTGCGGAAGAGGTCACCAAATTCCTGAAGACCGACCCTGAAGACCCCCTGTGGATTTCCTTGGTCAAGTGCCTGGACTCGTCAGATCGCGCCCACGTAGTGAGAGCACTCTGGGCTCTCACACACTTCGCGACTGAGTTGGACGATGCGGAGGGAAACCGGGCCATGGACAGCTTGGCCAAACCAACTCTACAACAGTTGTACTACCACACACTCCTGGATCTCGACAAAGATATTCTGAGTGGTACACTGGATTTCTGGTACCAATACACTCTTAGCCGCGAGAACATCGAAACACTGATGGACGTCATCAATTTCCCCATCGTTTTTGTTCCGCGCATGATCGCGCTTCTGACCTACGAGGCTCGGCCTACCAAGCAAGAGACCGTTCTTCAGGAGGAAAAGGTGGCACCGGCACCCTCTGAAATCCCCCGCGTGCCCCCAGAGCTCTTGAAAGAACTGATGGAGCTATCGGAACCAGAACGCAGCTCCCAGTGGCTCCGCTGCTGCTTCGTCGAGGATGCCGACTGCGAAATCACACAGATAGCCCTGTGGCAGGCTTATCAGAGTCGCTTCGCGGATCCTCGTATCCCGGGAGGTGGTGTTCTTCCCGCTGCAGAATTCATCAAGAACGTCAGCAACACTTTCACCAATGCCCAAGCGCAGGTCATCAATGGCCCAGGCACAACCACCAAGTTCATCATCAAAGGCATCCGGCCCTTAGTGGCAGCATGTACTTTTGCAGGCTTCCCCTATCTCTACTGCCGATGGGCGGACAATTCCAAGCCGTCAAAGATGTGCCAACGCGCATTCACCTCTCCCACGGATCTCCGAAGCCACGTCTTTGGAGAACACATGAACCTTGAGCCGACCGAGACCCCAGGCCAATACAAACTGGACACTGCAGAGTCCCCCATTCATGCTTGCCAGTGGGACAACTGCACGCGGTTCCGCGCGTCCGGACCCAGCGCCAACACGGCCATGGTGGCTGGCCATGTCTCGTCCCATCTACCCGAAGACCGCCCCGCCGATGCAACGCCTCCCAGCTCCAAACGCGCTGTTCTCCAAGAACGCATTGTCCGCAAGTGGTATTACATGGACACGCCGATCAACGAGAAGGGTGAGCCATTTGGTGTGGCCTACAAGGCTGCCCTGGTGCTGCGCAATATCGCTCGAGGGCTTCCGAACCGGACTGCCTCAAACTACGGCGGTCTGCCCTGGAAGAAGGCCTGCTTCATCAGCCAACGGCCCAAGATCGCAGAGGTCTGGGACCGCAATCGCGCGCTACGCAAGGAGCTCACCGAGCTGATGATGGTAGTTGAGAAAGAGGTCGACTACTAAACTTTTCTTCATCTTTGCTCTTTATCTTGCGCATCTCTAACTTTTGTACGACTAATACCCTGCTTATTGATTTGTTTTCGTCCGCTTGGTCCGCTATTCCGTTTTCTTACCTGCTTGCAGCAGTGGTAAAACGGCAATGCATCCGCCATAGTGGCGTCTTCTCTCGTGTTTTCTTTCCTGGTTTTTCTGGCTATCTGCTTCGATGGTGGCCGGGCTTGTATGCAAAAAAAGCGCCCTGGAAGAGTGGAGTTCTTTCCGTGGGATTCGGCGGGTTGGTGATGATCTTGATCTTTCTGGCGTCTGTGGTTGCCGAGGACGAATAGAATTTGACTCGAACATGCGTTGTGTCTTGATTTGCCTGTTTTAGATACAGTGTAGTTAGTGGGTAGTATTCATGTCGATTAAGATCCGAGTCTCTATCTTGATTCTGATAATCTACCTAGTGCACAAGCAGACGATGAACCAAAATCGATAATCCATAAATGAAAAAAAACCCAGCCATCCATCTAAAAACACATACATAAACCATCTACACCCCCCTCGCCTCGCTAGTCAACTCCCCCAAAGCCCGCATCGCATCTTCCGCCCGCGCCACAGGGACATAGAGATGATCATGAAAGAACCCACTAACAACATTCGTGCTGATACCGTAGTCCTTGAGACGATTGGTGATAGTCGCAATCAGCCCAATCGCCTCGAGGCTCGAATGCACCGTCAGCGAGATCTTCTGGCACGCGAACACGGGCTCTGTGAAGCCGTGCGCCGTTGCCAGGGCTTCGGTCGTCACGATCGTCGTGCCTTCGGCTTCATGGGCGATAAGTTGTGGCTGTAGGGCTGCTAATGGGAGCGATGAGAGGGGTTGGGTTGTTGTGAGGAAGATGTAGGTCGTCGGGTCCAGCGTTGGGTGCATGGTTGCTAGGAGGGTGCGGAGGTTGTTTTCGCCGGGGGCCATTGTGCTGGTACTGGGGGTTTGTGGATATTGATATTTGGGGATTTGGGTTGTGAGGAATTGAGAGGTGAGAAGCTTAGATAGATTTCCTTTTTATGCTTTTACAGGTTTGTGTGGATGTCAGTCTTCTTTTGGATGTCAGTCGGAGGGCGCGGAATTGATGTTGGAATTGGCTCCACTATGGCGTTGGGGCTAAGAGCAACTATACAACTAGCCAGTTTGTATGTCGATATAAGGTTGCATTGAATCAATAATACAGACAGGAACCAGTCTAATTTCAGCCGCGAAAACTTGTACATAATCCTAGTAATCGCCAGAGGGCACACCGATCTTCGGGATATGTTGTCCATGAAATCCAAATCCTATAGCGCCATTCACATCCGCACGGCCCAGCTCGGTCAAGTCTCGAGCATCCAGACACAAAAGATAGCTTTTGCCTCGCATTCCGTCCAGCACCACACTGAGAAGCACTCCGTCGTCCTCGCTAACACCATCCGGGTTAGCGACAAAGATCGGCTCGCCGGTTGAGTGGCCGTGGCGCGTCCACAGACGAGTTTCGTGGGTATCGCAGTCGAGTTTCATAATACCGTCTATGATGGTTGCTTCGCCACGGAATGTGGTAGAATATACATATCGGTGTTTCTGGGTTACAAGCGTGGGGTTCATCGTCGGCAATTCCGGCGAGAATGCTTTGCAGATGACCCATTCCTCTTTGGCTTGTTTGATATCGGCCACTGGGGCTGAAGGCACGGCCGGCAGGCGGAACCGTGCGAAAGACGAACGCAAAGAATCGTCTCTTTCCTCCTGTAGAGCCTTGGCCGTGGCTGACATGGAAATGAGGTTTTCGTAGTATAGAGTCTTCAAGAATTCGGTACTCTCCAACTTGACCAAGTCCGCAACGATGTCCACCTTGCCAGGGTCCTCCTTAGACGGCTCCTGCCATGCGTTGATGGTGTGGAAGCAAAAGAATGCAGGGCTTTCATACGTTGTAACTAGTCCCCGTCCGTGTTTGCGGTCAATGACATACCATGTCGCCGGCTTATTCGAGTCCGTGGGGATGATTGCATCCATGAAAGACCCATCGGCAAAGGCCAGTGGATTCAGATGCGCATTCCAGACACAGAGCAACACATAATCTTCGGTGATCAGCAGCGAATGAAGATATGCCGGAATTCCTGGGAAAGTAGCAAGGATTGTCGTTTTTCCCGTCGAGGCAGACACGCCGAAAACTCGGTATGTTGAAACTTGACCAACTGTGAGATTGAAGTTGAACACATCTCCAGTGACGGGATCCGATCGGGCGTGCGATGCCGACAGGGGTCCGTTAAGGTCAGGATGAAGATTAGCCTGAGAAGCGAGGCCAATAGGCTCCAAACTCTCCGGGTCGATCTTTGCAAAGGCGTTGTAATCGGTTTTGGCATAGAGGGTCTTGACCCCCTTGGAACTAGCCCAACGCTGGGTTGATTCCTCTCCGGGATTATCTCCGAGTCCGGGCATGTTGACAGAAAGTGTCACGCCAATGTTCATTGAGGATGGAGTGTGATTTGGGACATATTCGCTTTGGATCTTACCGAACACACTCTTGCAGGGATCGCGTTTCTGGCCGAAGCCGAGTTTCACCAAAGATCCCGTCTTCCGCACCTCCTCGATCAGAGCATCGGTTGAGAATCGGGAGTTGTAGAAAACGCGAGTGGATGGGTGGGAGTCATCTGGGGCCATGATCTGGAAGCGATGCATCTGGTTAAACCCATCGAACCAGTGAGACAATTGAAAGGATTCCCCTTTTTCCGTCTCGACTTTGCTTTTTCCAGGACCGGTACGATACAAGGTTCCGGCAGCATAAACTGGGATCTGCCCAGTCACAGGGAGTTCAACCGGCTTGCGTTCTTCGTACTCGGGGTCGAACTATTGAAAGTGAGAATCACAGCTCGACTATAGCGTAGTGCCAACTTACGCCTTGAGTATTTGGCCAATTGTTATAGTGTTCCTCGGCAGCCTGAGTTTCATCAGGGGCCACTGAAGCTGCAGGCATAATTTTAGAGGTGAATGTCTGAGTTGTAGACATCGTGGTTGTGATGAGCGTGAGTAGTCAAGGTGGTAGGCTTAACCGAGATTCGCCACGCCTTGGATCTGGTGAAATTTTCTGGGGTCGGAAGATGCTGACTGCCTTTTTAAATAGCCAAATCTGCGCCATTTTTCGGGTTGTCATTGCGCCGTTCACTTGCGACGTGGAGGAAGAGCGGCGGGGGAATCGCGACGGGGCAGGTCGGCCGTCAGCTGTCATCTAAACTTAGCTTACTCCCTCCACTCTCACGCCCTCAGGATCGCCCCCATTGATAAGGCGAACAGGACTCGATGCCGGGGGATTCTTCCACCGTCGTCTGATTCGTATTCTTGGCTGACGCAGGGTCGGTTCCACTCCTGTGCAGCAATGGACACGACCTTCATCACGATCCACGGCAAGTTGCCTGCGTTCCTGTCCCACTCGGCGAATTTCGACCCTGCCTCAAAATCTGAGGATTCTCAGAGCATCAGCCACTTTCAAGGTATTCAATCGCAGCTAACAAATAGCTACAGACCTTTCGCGTGATGCCGCCATTCGGTACGCCTCCGACAGCATCGAGGTCGTGCTGGGCTACCAGCCTCATGAGGTCCTCAATCGCTCCTGCTGGGACTACTTTCATCCCCAGGAACTGCCCTTTGCACGCACGATCCACGGCCGGGGGGTACAGCTAGACAAAGCGGCCGTGTTGAACTATTGTTCAATCCGGCATAAACACGGGTCGTGGGTGGGGTGCGAGTGCGTCTTCACCGTGGTATATGATGTGTTGATCGCGAGTACTACGGTGTACGGGCAAGGGAAGGGCAGTCAAAGTACGTTATTTTGGTGTTTCGTGGGTACTATAACCTACTGACATGCCGCCAACCTTCTAGAGCGAGCGGTCGATGCCCCCATTGTTCGCCAGCTCTTCGATTCCTCGCCCAATGACCCGCGCTACCATATGCTAACCTTCATATCCAACAAATTCTCACATCGACTTGCCGAGCCCCTTCATGAGCCCCGCGCGGCCCTGTTCGTAAACCGCTTCACCCGTACTGCGACGATCATGTACGCCACAACGGGTGTCGCTGAGATTCTAGGTCTCAGCTCACAGCAGCTGACCTCCAAGAGCTTCTATTACTGCATCCAAGAGCGATGTCTGCGCGATGCAGTGCGATGTCTCGAGAGTGCCAAAGCGAATGACTCGATTGCATACCTCCGCTTTTGGTTTCGGAATCCTCTGCAGGACGAGGTCGCCGGGGCCAATGAGCACGGCAGCGGACTGTCCACTTCCGTGATGGCCACTTCACACATCGACCTATCGCCTCCAATTGAGTTGGAAGCTGTTGTTTCCTGTACTTCAGACGGACTGGTCGTCATCTTACGCCGAGCAAGACCTTCGGTCCGCACTGCCCCTCTCTCACCTCAGCCCGCCCCAGCTTATGCCAACGGACTTTTCGCGGCACCGTGGGCCCTCGAACCGGTTTTCTCCTACGGAGCACCATCGTATTATCATCCGGGCACGTCAGCTCCTCAAGAACCACACCCAGAAGTGAAATCCACATTATGCCGCGAAGACACGGTGGGGAATCCTGCTGCTACACACTACTCCAGTGCCGCCGGCCCTTCAAAACCCCCATTCTCCGAAGAACTGAGAAGTGAGGCCGGTGGTCCTCAGGCACATCACCTCATGGATACGATCCGCGATGTGGCGGTGTTTGCATGGGGTATTGTCGGTATCAATCGATCGCTGGAAAGGCACAGGCGTGGGACTCCAACTGGCGATGCTCTGCCGGCCGAGACAGAGATAGATGATGCCCACGACAATGAAGCTGCGGCAAGCCGTACCTGGGAGTGACTATCAAAGTGTGTTAAATAAAAAGTTCGTACATTCTGCACTCGAACACTTCTGGATTATAGGCAGGTGGAATAGTAGCATCAACAAAGCGCTAGTTTAGATGCCTTTACTCGTGCGACCACTCGGGCTTCTTCTTCTCCGCGAAAGCAGTCATACCTGCGATAGTGTCAGCAGCCTTCTATCAAGGGAATTGTCTAAACGTAATGTTTATTTAACGCGAACTCACCAATCTTCTGGTCCTTACTGCCAAACAACCCATGGAACAAGCTACGCTCGTACTCGACGCCCTCCCGCAGCGATAGCTCCTGACTCTTATTCACGACCTCCTTGGCAGCAAGGACCGCCACGCGACTATACCCAGCGATAGTCTCGGCCGTCTTCAGCGCCTCCTCCAGCAGCTCGTCCTTGCCACCCTCGACCACGCGCGCCGCCACTCCCCACTCGCCGGCCTCCTTACCGCTAAAGTTCCTGCCCGTCAGAATCAATTCCATGGCCCTGCTCTTGCCGATCGCCCGCGTCAAGCGCTGCGATCCACCGGCGCCAGGAATGGTGCCGAGCTTGACTTCGGGCTGTCCAAAGCTTGCCTTGCTGGTGCAGTAAAGGATGTCGCACATCAGTGCCAGCTCGCAGCCGCCGCCGAGCGCGTAGCCTGAAACGGCTGCGATGACTGGTGTGCGGATCGCATTGCTGAGGTGAGACCATGGCGCGATGAAATTGTCGTTGTATGCGGCGGAGAAGCTCAGTGGAGCCATCTCTTTGATGTCGGCGCCGGCTATACGCGAGAAAGATCATTGGCTTGTGTTTAGGTGGGTTGGTTTTGGATCGGAGGAATAATTGTCAACATACCTGCGAATGCCTTCTCGCTTCCGGTGATAATAATTGCACCGATGCTCTTGTCATTGTCGTAGTTGTCTAGTGCTGCGTTCAGCTCCTTGAAAAGCGGACTGGAGAGCGCGTTAAGCGCCTTGGGCCGGTTCAATGTGACTACCGGACGGTTGTCAGCCATATCCGCAACATATGTTTTAACTCTGATAGCTCATACTCAGTCCAACGCCAGGTTTGGGGATCGAGGTGAGGATGTGCTCATAGCTCGGAGCAGCGGACGAGTACGGCCGGACGCGAGCTAAGTACGAGGTCAAGGGCACAGCCGTTCGAGCGATGGCGAGACGGGCACAACGACGGGCAAACATTGTGATGAATTGGCAATGGGAAATTCAGACTGACTCGCAAAACGGAAACCAGGAGAATGAAGATAATCTGATTCTCCGAAACTGGCGCTATGATGTATGGAGCTCCCCGCAGCCGAAGTTAGCCGTCCCGAGGTACACGTGAACTGAGTCAGCAATAACCCAAAGCAGGTTAGCGTTGTGTCAGGTACTGCACAGCCATATAGATCACATGACCGACTGTGGCTAGTGCATAAGCACCCCACTGATTGGCTGCCGCAGTGGCCACTTTGCGTTGCTCCTGAAGTGGCTTTTCTGTCTGGTTTCAGCGATTCTCCATTTGCGCGCCTTTTGCTCTTTCGATTCTTGTCTTTTCTTCTTCTCTGTGTTCTTTTTCTTTGTTTCGATTCTCTTCTCTTGTTCCTCTTGTTCGCTCCCAATTTTCATCATGGATGTCCCTGAGCCCGAGCAGTCTCCCTTCACGGCCGTGACGACCCAGACCAATAAACTGACCCGGGTGAGTATCTCTGCGAGGGGAGGGGAGGCGCTGGATTGCGCAATTCTCTCCTCCTTCGTTTTATAGCCTAGGCGAATCCTTGTACTAATCTATCACAGGTTTATCAATCCTACCTGGACGCGTCGACCCCGTTTACAACCTACCGTTGGGTGGGCACAGGAGTGCTGTTGTTCGTTTTCTTCTTGAGGATCGTCTTCGCACAGGGCTGGTACATCGGTATGTTCGAGACTGAAATTGCAAATATGGATGGAATTGGATCTATGCCTGTGGGCAATAAGAAGAAGAAACGATAGAGCGGGGGAAGCAAAAGAGGTTGACGGTCACAAGCTAACACTTACACTTCCAACTCCAGTCGCGTACACGCTCGGCATCTATCTCCTGAACCTCTTCCTCGCCTTCCTGACCCCCAAGTTCGACCCATCGCTTACCCAGGACGAGGGCCTGGAGGACGGCGATGCGGGCGGCTCGCCCAGCCTCCCGACGAAGCAGGACGATGAGTTCCGGCCCTTCATCCGCCGGCTTCCCGAGTTCAAGTTCTGGCACGCGGCCACCCGCGCTATCACCATTGGCTTTGTCTGCTCGTGGTTCGCCGTCTTCGACATCCCCGTGTTCTGGCCCGTGCTGGTGGTCTACTGGATCATTCTGTTTGTGTTGACCAGTACGTTTCTGTTCCTCTCCCTTCGTATCTTCTCGTATAGCTCCATTGAAACTAACTCGATTCGATCGAAACAGTGCGCCGACAAATCCAGCACATGATCAAATACCGCTACGTGCCCTTCTCTTTCGGCAAGACGCGGTACGGCCGCTCATGAGATATCTGATCCTTTCCATCCCTTCTTCTTATTTCCTCTCTCTTTCTCTCTCTTGTCTCTATATTCACCATCACCCGGAGGGAAAGCGTGTATGTTGTATGTGTGTATGCGTGCTTTCGTCCACAGTGCCACCGCCGCCGACAGACATGACCTGGGAAAAAAATCAACCCACCATGCAGACAGCAGGATTTTTGGACGGGCGCTTGGTGGCTTCCCTTTCTTGATGAAACTTTGGTTTTATTCCCCCCCTGTTTCTTCTTGGAGGACCCTATTCTTCTTCCTTGTTCCTTATGTGTCTGTTTCTCTTATTTTTTTTATTCACCTGTGAGATATGATTAGACTTGAGCCGGTGGAGGTGCCGGCTTGCAATGATTTTTCTTGACTGGTTTTTCACTTGGTTAGCCCCTTTATTGGGCATAATTGGGGTTGTCAATGTCGATATTCTACTATCACCACTAGTGCTGCAAGCGCTCACCCAGGATCTGATGTTCTATGTACAGTAATTAAAGTAGATATTGGGAAGACTACACAGCTCATCAGGTGTCTCCGGTGAGATTAGGTAAAAGCTGTAGGGTTGTCTGCAGAAAAGTATAGGTGAGTTTAGAGCTTGATTGGGCTCTATACTGTCAGCCAATCCCACATCCAAAACAACTTGAAGCTGATCGCTCCAAAACGAAAAAAGAAGAAGTCAAAATTATATTCCCAAATATTCCACCGACTTTTCTATGTCAATCACCTTGTCCCACCATGTAATGGATGGATAAATTACCAGAAACGGCTTCACGATAATTGGAACCGTTTTGATCATTCTATTAGTTGAGCCATATCACCTACTACACCCTCTATACACGAAGAGGAATATAGCCTCCATAGAAGATCACCACAGTATAGCTTTGCATTCAGGTTGTAGCATAGCCCCCCAGTACGCCTAACATATACACAAGCTGCATCCTAGTCCTGTGATGGCCCACAGCCAGCATCACCACCAACACGTCTCGGCATCCAACCATTGCCCATAGGCGGACTACATTCGTCGTTGGCCTTCTCCGGGTCATCCGGATTAGGTGTGCATGTGGCCATTTCGTCGCTGCCGTCTTGTGTGGGCATCCAGCACCAAGAAACCCCTTGTGTGTATATGTTGTTAGAAAGGCGGTTCCCGCTACAAGCTGACCAGCAATGGCCGGGCTTGTCATTTGTGGAGTAGAACGGGCCTGTACCATCTTTGGTGCCTAGTTAAAACAAGAGTGATCGGTCAGCATCTATATACACACCCGCCTTGTATAACTAGGCCAGGGGTATGGGTATCGGCAGTGGGTAAGTGTTGCTCACTGGCCATGGTATAGGCAGAGAAGCCTACCGCCGTAAGGATTGTTGTTGCAAACTTCATTGTTTGAAGTGCTAGGAGCAGAGATGGTGAGAAGAGATAGTCGTTTGTAATGACTTATTCTTGAGGGATGAGGGGATAGAGAGAGATTTCAAAGACAGGGCCATTCGCTCGATTTGTACGCTAATTATTAGCCCAATAGACCAGCTGAGAATAGTCGTTGAATCGGGTTGTCTATACCTAACTAGTCAGCCCTCAATGACTCGGGAACTTGTTACTTAGATCCGAGCCGATTCTTCTACCGGGATATATCACCGCCCCGACCTCCCAACACGCATGCCCCCTTCTCAACTACCCACTATGCCGAGTGTCTGCTCTCTGGGGGAAAGTAAAGAACATAGGGGCTTATTATCCTGAGGCAAGAACGGTGTGGTGCCCTAAACAAATTTCAAACTTGGTAGGGTAGTCTTGGAATCCCAGAATCCCTACTACATAATACAACCGTGCAGAAGCTTCCTGTCTCAAAAGAACCATAAATTACTCCACCAGCTTGCTCCGAGAAGACAAAAGGAAAAATAGATCAAAAGATCAAAAGATCAAAATTGTACGCCCAGATACTCCCACGATATGGAATCGGCATCAGAATATGAACCCCTTCCCCCCGAAGAAGGCCACCGGCAAAATCCTCTATCTATCTAGCCCTATCACTCACTTCCCTTAGATCTGCAGATCCTCAACACTCCCTGATCTCTTCCTGCCTCCGACGGCACTATCTCCAAGAGACAGAGACGAGATAGTCCGGCCAGCCTGCGGACGCGCGACATCCTGCGTCTTGGTGCAGATCCACGTCGAGGCGTACATGTTTACTCTTGATTCAAGTTAGCAAATCATCATTCAAATCGAGAGAAAAGAAAAAGTCAAAACTATCACACTTACCGGTCAATACATGTCCCCGGGAATCGGGCCCCGACGCGGCGCGCCGAAAAGCCGTTCTCCTCGAAGTGCTTGATATACCAGGGGTCAATGCTGGCGGACCGGAGGAGGATGCGGCCGCCATTTTTCAGGGCGTGGTTGAGTTTGCGGGCTTGGGCTGATGCGGCGTCCTCGGAGGGGTCGAACCAGTCCATAGAGTCCATGACCTGAAAAAGTTTGTTAGTATATAACATTATACTAGAGGTTTTCACGCGGAGTGTGTTTCACTTACTACAGCGATGGTCAAGGTGCCTGGTGTGATCCGCTTGATCACCTCGTTGATCTCGTCGGTGTGGATGCGGAGGCCGTCAAAGGCACCCGGGGTGGAGAGTTTGACGTGCGCCTTGGGCGACAGGTAAGTTGGATGGCATCTTCGGAGGAAAATAGAGTCAGTACGGCGGAATTCCGTTGGTTTTAGGGGAAGGGTGGTCAAACGAACCGTCGAGAAAACTGGCCCTGCATACACAGGAAGTAGAAGTAGTTGTCGTTGCTAATAAGCGTGTCGTTGACAACAGGGTCGAGAGTATTGACGACATACTCCCAGATCGACTGTCCGCTAACATCCTTGGCCTGCTTCATGTCCGATGTCAAGCCGTTGCGGCGGAAGAAGTCATCGAGAATCATGTTGCGCTGGTTGCGCGGCACGCCGGCCGCCTTCCAGGCGAACCACTCCGTGCTGACGATAGCCCAGTTAAGGGGGCGGCTCAGCAACACACGGCGGATGCGCGGCCAGATGGCGCGCTGCTCGGCTAGGGTCTGGGCTTCGCACAGCTTGCGGACCTCGGTCTGCAGTCCGAAGATATTGAACAGCCAGCGCACCATGCGGATGGCATGGCGGGAGCCCCCCGTCTCATACAGACCGTGTCCCGAGGACGAGGTGAAGACGTGCGTGTGTTCGAGCCAGTACTGGAAGGCCTGGCTCGACAGGTGCGGGCTCAACTTGGAGATGAGCAGTTCCCGGAACTGGGCGTGTTTGCCGTCGCCGAAGATCTTCCACATATCACGATGACCGAGTGCAATGTAGCTGGCTACCTTCAGCTCCAGCAAGTGGTTCTGGTTCGGGTTCAAGTCCACGGCGTGGACCCGGCGCGGACCCTTTTGAAGATAGTCCAGGATGTTGTCGCCGGCGCTGGTGATTGCCAGGATCACGTCGTCGCTGCCAATGTTCAATAGACGGTGGTCGACGCGCGGGTCCTCCCATGTAAATGCATAGATGTACTCGTTTTGGAACTGCGTGTGCTTGGGCAGCATGTCATTGTAGTGGATGCGATAGTGGTGGTTTTGATAGAAAGACGACGGGAGGGGCAGGTTGGCGCTCAGATTGACCACGGCCGACTCATAGGCCTTGGAATGGATTTCGCGGGTGCTTTGCTCAACTGCCTTGTTCATTTCTTGCTTGTGGTTGGCAGGTAGCAGGTAAGGGGATTCAGTGAACGAAGCGTCCAGCTTCTCGATGGCTGCTTGGTTCGATGGCGTAGACTCCATCTCCTTAGGGCAACCGACAAAGATGTAGTAAGGGATACCGCCAAGGAGGTAGTTTCGGTCGCTCGCCGAGATCACCGTTCCAAATCGGTATTCCAGGTAGTCGCGGCGAGCGGCCTCAAGGCTGACTCGGTCGAATTCGAACCAGGCCCGCCAGAAAGCACGCCCAAGCCAGTTGACGTGACGGTTGAAGGCGCCGCCAGTATAATTGCGAGAGGAGACATCCACAATGCTTTGGACTGCTCTGGACATCAGTCACATTCTTGTATAATATCAGTGGCTCGCCGCTTACCGTAGAAATCACAGACACCCAGGACACCGGTCGACTTCAGACGAGACGTCAGCGAATCCACGACACTATAGTAGTCTGAGAGAAGTTAGCGAATTTTTGCATGCAAAGCATTCCATAGCTGGACACTCACCGGGAATCATCGAAAGACTGTAGCTCATGGTGATCAAGTCCACGCCATCATTCGCTGCGTTGTCTGTAGATCGCGGATCAACCTGCTTCTCTGGAAGACGGAATGATCGTGCATCCTGGCAGATCACAGTGACATTCTTCCACCCAAGACGTTCGAAGCGCTGGCGGGCAACCTCGCAGAGGGACGGGGAGAGATCGACGAGATAGACTTGATCAAAAAACTTGTCCACCGGAAGGAAGGCCGACATGGCTTCGATGTTGTATCTGGCGTGCTAATCAGATGGGGTCCGAGGTTGTTTGAGGGAATTATTTTCTTGAATCGGCTTACCCAGTGCCACCGCCGATCTAGAGACTGGTCAGAGATACTCCTTGGTAGCATGTGGAAGGATTGTAACTTACATCGACCCAAACTGGCTTTTTGGCCTTGATCTCCTTGTTGTCGACTTTGAACTTCAACTGGGCCGCCACAAGGCCGAGCATATCCTCACGACCGCGAAGAAGACGGTGACGCGTGGCATCATAGACAGCGGCCTATGTCTCGTTAGCACTTTGAATGCATTTGCTCTGTATAGTAACGAACCTGCGTCTTATAGAAACTTTCCAGCGCATCTTGCTGCCCCCCGGCACTTTTATCATGGGGTTTGAGAAAAGTCGCCCAGAAGAAATTCAGGTAAGTCCAAAGTCCATTCCGGCGATCAGTCTTGGGCTTTTGAGACGAGAACAAGAGAACCAGAGCGACCAGAGAGAAAACCAGGAACGCAACCCCGGCGATGTAAACGTGCAACCAGTCCATATTTTACACGCAAGAGAGAGAGGATGGAGAATTTGGCGAACCGACCCAGGAGCGGACATTCATATATACAATGCATGCAGGCGGTACGTCCGCACGAGGGCAGTCAAGGGCCATTGCCCACGTCCTATCAGCGCAACACATGGGTGGGGAGGGGAGGGTGGGGACGATGATCGCGGCAATGGAGGGGCATTTGCAAACAAAAAAGAAAGAAAGAAAGAAAGAAAAAAGTCGAAGCGTTGATCCGAGCAGATCTCGTCGATCCAGCGGAGTGCAGGGAGCATCCAACTTTAACCGCAATTGGGTTTTGGTTTTTGTTGCTTGCGTGCTCCACCCGACCACTTATAGTCCGGGCCGTTCCCATGTGCCCTGCACGTCCGGGCGTCCTGGGCCCGTCATTGCCGCCCGTGGGGACTAGGGCCACCAGGGGGAGTGCCCTCGGGTGCCAATCAGCACTGCCAGCGCCGGCACATTGGGGCTTCCCCGGGGTTGATGGGCCGAAATTAAAAAAAAAGGGCCAAAGGAATGGGGGATTGGCGAAAATAAGAGCAAGTGCTGAAAAGGTGACTTGGTCATATGGATACAATATAGATCTCGCTCTTATCTAGCGGATTTGGTCATCGTTAAATATGCAATTAGCAATGAACGAAGTCTATATCGCATTCACTCGAGGCACTCAGCGAGTCAAGACACCTGCTTGGACAGACAGGTCTCGGTTTCCTCCAAAGAAGTCCACTTCCAACACGCCAACCAAAGTGCCTTCATTTTCTCCTTGTCTTGACTCATTGGAGCAGATGGAATCTGCTTCTGTCCTGTGAAATACCCTCGGACAGAATGGTACTTGGGATCCACAGCCAGCGCCGTGAGATCTCTCGCCGAATCCGCATTTGAGCGAAATTGGTAGGTAAAAAGCTTCAAGACAGGGAGCAACAGCTTCACAACCCCAAACAAAGACTTGGCTAGTGGACGCTGGACGGCATGTGCTCGAGAGCTCACGAGAGCGCCCGGGTCCATAGTGGTCACGGTGATGTTGCGGAGCGAGGGGTTCTGGGCAGAGGTTAGTAACATAGTACCAGGGCAATATCAGAAACAATCACAAAAAAAAACCCCCCATACCCGCTCCAGTTGTTGATTCAGACTGTGCATGAACATGACGTTGGCCAACTTGCTGGTGGCATAGCGCCGCCACCCCATATCATGTTCAGTCCCAGCGGGGTCAGGGCCAGGCTTGACCAATTGATCAAGGTCCTCATCGGCGTCAGGCAGATGCGCACCCAGTTTGGAGAGAGGGTTCTGCAGCTCCGGATCATGGACTCCAGAGCCGAGCAGAACCACTCGCCCGCGTTCCCGATCCATACTCGATAGAAGCTTCATCACGAGCAGGAAGTGCGCGAGATGGTTCACTTGGAACGTGGATTCATAGTCATCGCGAGAGAATCTCAAACCATCCTCCAATGACCAGGTGAACGCGTTACAGATGATAGCAGAGATCGCAGGCAGTTCTCCCGACGCCACCTGGCTGGCAACGTCGTCGGCGAAGGATCGCACCTCTGTCAGCGAGTTTAGGTCTGCGCTTTTGAGAACCAACTTGCTGCCGAGGTATTGTGGTGCGAGGTCTTCTAATTGGAGCAGATAAGAACTTTTGGGGTTTTGGCTGGCATTTCGGACGGTGCCCACTATCGTCAGTGACGGGTGGGACGAGAGCAGCTGCTGCACGGCTTCGAGAGCCAGCGAGCCGGTTGCGCCGGTGATGATCACCGTTCCGGTCATGTTCTCAGAGCAAAGGATGGAGTTGAAAATAGAACTACCAAATTTGAAAACAAAGAGACGGAACTTGAGAGGTTTTATGGGGGCGAAATTGCAGACAGCCACCCTGGTGAGACGGTTGCCAAGCGCTTACTCCAAGGGCATGGCGCTTGAGTCAGTGTCTTTTGGCATAAGAAACAACCTGGATACATAAAAAACAATTAGGAACAGTCTGATAAGGCTGTCACAGTACTGCAAAAATGCGTGCTCAAGTCAACGCAGAATTTAAAAACCGAGGTCGATTCGATATATCTGATGAAGCTATCGTACATTCATTAAGAGAAAAACGCCTCTACTCGTCACTCATCCGAGTATCCTCATCGGCCCCAGGGGAAGCGGCCTTCTCGGGCTCCTCATTGTCGGCCGGTTGCTCTGCCTCTGGAGAGCCCTGATCTTCCTCAGCAGTGGGCTCAGGTGGCGGAGGAAGAGTCTGTGCAAACTTGGGGTCGATGTTGGCACGGTGCAAAAAACGCTTGTAGATTTCAGCCTCGTCAGGGTCCCGAACCACCACCTGCATCTGGTCGATCTGGTCTTCCTTGGCCTGAGATGCAGTGGGAGCCAAGCCTGCCTGAGCGATTGTCCGAGCACGCTCCGGCTTGAGACGAGTCTTGCCGAGGATGGGGTAATAGTAAGCGCCTTGCTGTTTGCTCTCACCCTCGGCGGGCTTGAAAAGCGTCAGCGCGATATCTCGTTGCTTCTGGTCAGCACTGAGAGTCTGGGCGCTAGTGGCGTAGGTGCGCGCTCGGTCGTAGCGGTGGAACTTGTTGCCTTCTGATCCCTCGTGCGTGTAGAGATCTGCGTTGTCCCGGTCTGAGTCGGTCATGCTCATGCTTGTGCGGATGTTCTTGGCCCCTTCAGGTTTCTCGGGCAAAAACAGCTCGTAATCCCAGGGAATGGGGCCTGGGTCAGGGTAGAGACGGGGGTTGGTCTTGTGAAGCGCCGCCTTGGAGGCGTGGTCCTGACAAATGCGGTCTTCAGGCGCCGAGGGGTGGAGTAGAGCTACTTCCATGCGCTTATCACGTTTGCCTGAAAGAGCGGCCACGGGTGCTTTATCAAACTTGAATTGTACATAACCTCCCGGGTCCGGAAACCCTTGGAGATCAGGCAGCACCGGAAAGAAGCCGACCGGTTTCAGCTTGGGGTTGTCGGGGTGCACTGGCTTGGCCCAGGCGTCGGTCTCGGCCTTGGTTGGAGGGAGACCTCGAATGCGGCTCTCTGTGTCTTCTCCAGTGTGCTTGCTCTGGGGGTAGGCAATATCGAATCCTTTCTGGATGAATTTCTTAATATGCTTTGGGTCATCCACCGACACCTTGCCTTTTTTCGTCGGGCGCGCTTGTGTTTTGCTCCCTGTAGTGGTAGCCTTGGTTCCTTCAAGAGCACTGCGATCGACAGCTATATGCTGCGTACGCCGCAGGAAGCTGACATTGGCGTTCTTCGGCGCTGGGTTGCGGAGCTGGTCAATGGTCATCAGAAGCGGCAGATCAGCAGGATCGATGGGTTGTGGGTTCTCGGGGGCCATGATAGCTATCGCAAATTGATTAGATGAAACTGATGGAAGCCCAAGGATCAAATCGCGTCGACCTACCACTCTCATCGCCCAGATGCAGACCCGGAAGACCGACAAGGTCAATTGGCATGCCACCCTCAGCGTCAACATCAATGTTCGGCTCCTCACGGCGCGCCAGATTTGACGCGAAACCTGGGGTGAGAAAACGACTCAAGCCCGCGTGAGGAATATCAAGGAACTTCGGGGGCATGTCCGGCGGAGGCAGGTCATTGCGATAGCGCAGTGACGCAATATAATCCTGGTGGAAAGTCCCGGAGGACTGTCCCTCTTTCGATCTGGAAGACATCGTGTCTTTGCCGCAGGCCTTGGTACTGCGACTGATAGAACTTCCTTGCGTATGAGGAGAGATGGGATCGCGGCGGACTGTGGCTGTGAGGGGGTCCGGAGTCGCAGAAGGAATTGAAAAAGAAATCGAAAATGGGGTTGGGAAAGATGGCAGGAACCTGATGTTTGAGGTTTCAAAACGAGTGCAAGTGGCCGAGCAGCAGAAATGCGTTGACTCGGCTTGGCCCGACTTTCCAACCATTCTGCCGTGTCAGACCGCCTGGTCCTCACCGCGTCTTCACAATCCAAGAGAAGCTCATTTGCGACAAAAGCTGAGATGTATTTATTCCGGCTGATCTGTTGACATGGTTAATGAGGAACATGAGATCTGACTACAAGTCCTGAAAAGCTATAGAAGATGTATAGTAAGGAACAGGGAATCATTGCTAAGAGAAAAGCATCTAAATCATACATGAGATTATCTTTTAACCTGCTATTGAATCTGAACAAGACATGCAAAACTCCCATCGCCGAAACCTCATCACGACATCACATAAAGAACAAACTACCAGGCCCACATGCACTTGTACGCCATCAGCCGGTGGCCCAGCCGGTCATATTCCAGCTGTCCGATCCAGCTGTCATTCGTTCCACTCAGCTTGCCAAAGATACTGGCTCCCTTCCACACAACAACCTGAGGATCCAGATCTCTGGGCGGGGCCCCAATCATGATCTCCTTCGCAAATCCCGGACGAAGGGTCTGAAGCCGCTCTTCTAGGAACAGATGGAATCCGTTCGTTAAGCTGCCGCCACCGACCACCATGATGCCTCCGATGAAATCCCGCATTTTCTTCTCGTCGGAGCGCGCAGCATGGGCAATGGAGGTTAAGATAGCATTGTCGAGAGCGTAAATGGGCAAGATATCATCTCGATGTTCGACGGCGGGGGGACGCGGAGCCTGACTCGCTGATGTGGCGACAGCAGGAGTCCCAACACCTCCCGCCTGGGGAGTTCCCGCGACTTCTGGGGCTGGAGAGCCGGCAACGGAGGAGCGAGGGGTGGCTTCCAGCTCCTGCACCCTTCCCAATGCGTTGGGTTGCTGCGGGCGGCTTGGTGTCGCTTGCACACCCGACGTTCCGGGTTGAGACTCATCATCTGCTTTGTCATTGGCGGGTAAGGTGGGAGCGAGGGCAGTCAAAATCTCAGACTGAGCCGCAGAGACAGGGTCATTAGACTGGCCGTCATAGATGTCGACAGATGGCTCGATCAAGCCCCGTCGTCCCTGCAACTTCTCCGAGTTGTCGAAGATAGTGGGCTCAAAGAATCCCATGGGGGCCAAGTGAACTTCATCGTAAGCCTTAAAAGTGTACTTGCGCGTATCTTGGCCCGAAACGCGAAGATGAAAGTCGAACACCTGAGGAGAGACGCTGGCTTCGTTCATGGTGCAGACATTCTTCTTCAGCTCTTCCGCCAGAAGGAAATCGTAACGGCGCCACAGGTTGACATCAGCATAAGGGAAATGACCGTGAAGCATCATCTTGATAAAGGTCTCGGTCACGTCTCGGCCGCCAAACTTGAGATTTACTCGCGAGTTCTCGACGCACATTCCCTCTTCGACACAGCAGATCGAGGTCTTTTGCGCTCCGATATCAACCACGCAGGCGGAGGTGAACCCTGCGCCAAACGTGGCCGCTAAGCTCTCCTGGATGAAACACACTCGGGCAAAAGCAAACTCGCGCATCAACATCTCCAGTGCCTGGGTGACATACGACTTCTCGTAAAGGTCTGGGATGACGAACACGCAGGAATACTGGGCCCACTCTTTCTTACTGGTCAATCCCAGCTGGGTTTTGATCGCATCTTCCAGAATTAGAGAGATGTCCAGGAACAGCATTCGCTTGCTCGAGTAGTCTTTCTCGTTGCACCACCCATTCTGGAATGGCCAGTAAAGTTTGTAACGAGGATTTGACGAGTCCGGAACTCTCAACGCGGGCTGCCCGACGATATACTCTGGTGGAGGGCTGGACAGCTCGGTCCATTCAATGCGCATTGGGTCGTTATGTTCCGAGATGGTTTCCGGTACTGTTCTGCGGTTGTAGTTCATGACCATTTCCTTCGAGTTGGGGAGCATCCGCCGCTTGTTTTGTCGCATGTGTACTTTTAGATCCGCCGACATCCTGTTGTATTGAGATGACCACTATCAACAGCGTTAGCGGGGCTCAGCCTGCAGTAAAAAAAATGCTGCACTAAATGTACCTCAGATCCAAATATTTTCTCCGGCTCCAAGGATTCACCATCGTCCCGCTTGAATCTCTTCGGATTGGGTTCCTCGTGGTCTTCGCATTCGCTGGTCGCTGCCTTCCGAGCAATCACCATCGGAACAGTCTTGGGCAATGCATCACTAGCCAGCCCAATCCGTAGATTCTGGCTACCAATGTGGATGACAATGACCTTGGATCCGGCGGCTTCGGCAGGAGTCTCCTCCGCATCCTCCATGTTGGCATCGCCGTCTGCTTCCGCCTCGGCCTCGGCCTCAGGTTTGGCCATTGCAAGCGCGCGATCCCGGTCCTTGGCGGTTTTGGTCATTTTGGTCCTTGCCTCCTCATTTTGCAATCGGAACGCCAGATACTGGTCATCTCTTTTGAGGTAGTCGCTAACAGGAACCAGGCGCAATCAGTACTGGGTTGCTTTCGCTCGAACCAAGGGGAGACGCGGAATGAGAGGGATGCGCTGGATCAAATGAAGACGTCCACGTACGTGTAGTAATTTTTCTGGTTGATTGCCGGGATTTGAGGCCAGTTGGAAAGTTCCATATTGTTGTCGGTTCGCTCCAGACCTGCGCGAAGCATCGTCAGCCTCTGCCTTGAGTATCGCCTTTGAGAGATACCTACCCTCATCCCGAAGGGCCTTTCCCGACCTTTTGCCAACCATGGCAGGCAATCTTGGTAAGTGGTGGATGGTGAAGTGGTGGAACGACGAATGAAGGACGAATGGATATGCGGCCTGAAACACGCTGTGTATAGGGATGAGACGCTGCAATTAGGTAAATATATAGAGGCGGTGATTGCAGATAAGTATCACAGGCAATGGCAATAGCAATGGTAATGACAAGAACAAGGAAGCTCAGAAGAGGTCCCTTCCTCATCCCCGCCTGACCGCCTTACACGCACAGGCCGATCGCCAGGGACTTCCCATGCAGTGCGGTTGCCACCGAACAAACCCTCCTTTCTTTGACTTACTCTGCCCACATATCCCTGCTTTGTTTGCAATATCCCCTGGGTCTTTTCGGTTCCACGCATCTTTGTCCCATCCCTCTCGACACACCCGCCTGCCATAACATTCACCCGAACCCCCGATCTCCATACTTGCTGAAAAGCATCCGTGATTTGAAATCAAACGGACTCGATTCCTAACCACACACCATGGGAGGCTCATTATCACGTCTATGGTCGTTGATCTGGACCAAGAAGGAGATTCGGATCCTAATCCTGGGACTTGTACGTGGGACTCGACTGGCGCGGGGAGCAAACACCCGTTCTTTGACATGAATCACGAAATTGATCGGATGGGTTCTGGTTTCTAGGATAATGCTGGAAAAACGACCCTGCTGTACAGACTTAAGGTGAGGAATTGATATCTTCCAAGATCGTGTCTTAGGCTTGTTTACGGACTTGGTGTGCTAATGGATCGCGTCCACAGATCGGTGAAGTCGTCACAACGATACCTACCATTGGATTCAATGTCGAGTCGGTCTCATATCGCAACCTGAACTTCAATGTCTGGGTAGGTGACACACTATGGACAATTCCAAACCCTCGACTGATCATGACGGTGCTAGGATCTCGGTGGTCAAACATCCATTCGCCCGTATTGGCGCTGTTACTATGCCAACACCGCGGCCGTGATTTTCGTCATCGACTCCACAGATATCGAGCGTCTGGGTACTGCAGCAGATGAACTGGCTGCCATGCTGAACGAGGAGGAGCTACGTGATGCGGCACTATTGGTGTTTGCCAACAAACAGGACCAGCCTGGGGCGAAGGGCGCAGGCGAGATCTCGGAGGCATTGAAACTAGGAGAACTCCGAGACCGAAACTGGAGCATCGTTGCTTGCTCTGCCATCGACGGCAAGGGTATTAGCGAGGGCATGGACTGGCTGGTGGTTAGTTTTCTGCCCTTTCCTGGAATTTCTTTGATGCTAACCAGTATTCTCCCGGCAGCAAACTATCCAGTCCGAAAACGCATAAATTCTTGGCGTCTTTGAATCGAACTTATAGATTCTGATTTTTGATATACCCTGGTGTCCAGGTCTCTGCAATTTGGGGTTTGCTGCATCCGGGGTGCTGTATCACTTCTTCCATTCGTCTCGGTCCGAAATGGACCGAGTCCTTGTCTTATATCGCTACATGATTTGTCTTTTCTTTCCCTTAGGTGTGCCCTGTGGCTCAGGATAATCGTTTAATGAAACTGCTGTTGAGGCATGACCCAAACAATGTATCCGAAACAATGTATCAAGTGAGTAGAAATCACTCAATTCAAGGCCTCAGTCCCACCGATTATTGAGGTATTTGGGCTATGATAAATCCATTCGTGGATGATAAAAACTCCCATTATCTCTCTCTCCCACATCTACACTGGCCAGCACCGCCTATAAGAAGGGAGCACGTCTGGGCTTGTTTTGGACAGCCATCTTTTTTCTTTGGCGAATTTCTTCGCGCTCGAAAAGTCAGTTAGTCACCAATGGCATCGACAGGGTTATAATCGAAGAACCGTAATATGGCCACTCCCGAGGCCCAAATTGCAGCCGTTATCCCATCCTCAGAACATTCCGCTCCCGCAACGGGTTTCAGTCGGCACCCATACCCAGTGCCGAGTCCGGGGAAAGGCTAGATTAGCGTGAAACTAGAATTCTCCGGAAGTATGACATTCAGGTGTGCACAGCATCCGCGGGGATGCCAATGCGAACCGATGGGGCGAGCCATGAGGGCGTGATATAAGTAGTTCGAGGTAAAGAGTCAATAATCCTCGGTGTAATACGTCATATCAGCGGAGCCTAACATTCATTGACGTGACCCTTCAGTCGGGATTAGTAGCACTATAAATCTAATATAACGTAATCCACAAGCGAGCGAGCCACCCTACTAAGTATATAGAATTCAAATCGATTTATATTCGCCATAAAGCCTTTATATACAAAAAAAAAAACTAAATATAACGTTTTGGATACTGTAATCTTCGATGCCCTAATTCGCGGCAGTCGCTGCAGCGCGGCGGCGCTCGCTGAATTGGCTGCGAAGCTGGTTGATGAAGGTCTGTCGAAGCAGCTGATTGGGTTTCAGAGGTTTGGTACGCCGTCGATATTAGCTCACGAGCCTCTTGGATTCATAGGCCTTGATCTCGAGGTAGCTGTTTATTAGATCTAGCTCGTTTTTGCTTCTGCTTTTTATTAGCTACGCGTAAATCCTTATTTGTATACATAAGGATCGTTACTAGACTTCCGCATAACCCAACTTGGGTCGAAGATCTCGACCCAAAACCCAACCCGGACCCAGTACTAGGGCCTCAATAAAACCCAACATAACCAAATTCGACCCAACTTTTATATAATTCTGATCATAAGCTGCTTAGTTATTAAGATAATATACTGTTATTAAATACTGTTTTCGTTCTGATATAAGTTATAATTATAACTCTTATACTTTATAAAAAGAATATTATATAGTAATAATATATTTAGAATATATAATTTATTAATTTAAGACTTTAAGGTAAAAATTATATTATATAATAGGTATATATAGGTGAAAAAACATATTAATTAACCCTTTTTTATACTAAACCTAAATATATATATGTAAAGTCTATAGTTGTAAAGAATATACTTGGCAGGGTATAAGGCCTGTCGATCAGGTAAAGAAACAAAGGGAAGGAGTAAGGGAAAGTAGTACATCTTCGTTACTGTCAAGACTAAATCTTGTCTTGCTAGCTAGATACGAGAGTATCAATTTATCGTATAGTATCTTTGTGGCTCTATATATAATCGATAATATAAACGACTGGGTCTCTATTATATATCGTAATTATTCCACTGTATTACGTTTATAACCTAAGTTAGGGCCCCGGACCCAATACTGGGTCGGAGTCTTCGACCCAAAACCCAACCCAGCCCGGGTTGGGTCCGGGTTGGGTCCGGGTTATGTTAGGTCGTGCGGATCTCTGGGTCTGGGTTATATTGGGTCGTACGGAAGTCCATACCCTAAATCCTATAACGAGATTAAAATAGAGAGATATTGGTATTAGAAAAAGCGAATTAGCTACTAAGGACTCTCCGCTATTTTTTTCAATTCAATTGGCGAAATTGTTGAATAGTTAATAAAGAGAAAAATTTTCGTATCGGTGTGGAGGACCAACAGCTGAAAATACTGTGGGTCCGACTCGAGGGGACGGCTACAGTATACGACTCGGGACTTACATACAGTAGAGCGTCCGGCCCACCCCTTGTTCCTTTAGTTGCCTTTGGGTGGAAGGATGGAATATGATAGTCGACCCAAAGGGTCTATATCCTGGAGGCTAGGTAGGTATTAATTAACGTGCAGGGGCCTGTGGGCGTAGCTCGTGGCCCGTGGCCCCCCGAAAAATATTGGGACGTGACAAGCCATGGAATTACATGTATGGCCATCGATTGACAACATCCACCCTCGATCTGTTGGACAGGGATCTGTTGGACAGGGCCTTGTGGGGGTTGGGTGGTTCGAGCCCATCTTGAGTCCGGGTGAAATCTATCTGGGGACTGGGGGTTTTCGTGGGTAGTTTTGCCCTGTGCTATGCTATTATGCTCTAGGAGAGTAAAGAGCGGAGATATATATAGAGAGATAAAAGCGAAAAGAAATAAACGAGGGTACCCGCTGAAGCGAAGTCAACGAATATAGATTTTGGATTAGAACCACGTAATTTGGAGGATTCAAGGGGCCAGTGCAGCTAACGCGTAATAGATCTTTGCGCTTTCGAGCAGAGGACCAGGTGCTTAGGGATTTTAGTCCATTCGCGGAAGTACATAGTGAGTTTAGCCTCGTCATGGTTTGAGTTTTTGACGGTATCATATGAAATCTCTATATGAGGAGTGGAGGGCCAAAAGCCAGCAAAGGCCAAGGTGCCACCCCCAGCACACGAGTAATTCCCACTTAGGGGCGAGTAATTTACAGTAGGCGACGAGTATTTTGCTCTAGGTGACAAGTACATATAATTAAAAAAATGAGGTTTACTACCTTCGGGAGAGAAGCACTTTGCAACCATCCAAAATGAAGCTGAACCTTTTTCTCCTGATAGCTTCCACCCTGATTCTTCCATTTACTCTTGCATCGCCCCTCAAGACCCTTCAACCTCGCGCGAGTGTCGATCAAAGCTGCGGTCGGTACTCGCATCTCATCGACGATGCATTGGACAATATCCACGATATGTGTTCTAGCGCGCTGAGTGCAATAGACTGGATAAAGAATAATTACAACCGGCACAGTCCAGACTACTGGTGGAATGTACATCGAGCACGAGTGATGGTTCCTTTACGGATGATGCTGGCTATCGACCTTAACCAAGGAATGACCCAGGAGAATCGAGAAGCATTGAGAAAGCTCAAAAGTACACAGAAGTTGTCCCTAATACCCATTAACACCCCTCACACATTCATCAATTGGTTAGTATGTGACTAACGGGTTGTTTTATATCACCAGAAATCATCCGCGGAGTCCAGCACGCCGTCGCCCATAACGTTGACCTCCCCATCTTTTGCGGCGATACCTGGCGTCAAAAAGGGACCAATCCCCAAGGAACAGTCAGTTATTGGGACCCAATATGGCAAGTCTGGGATACCGAACCTACGTGCGAAGATAGTCCCAGTTTCGCCTATGTACTGCACAAACACAGGGGACACCCCAACACGCCGGAGCGAATCGTTTACTGTACGGACTTTTTGGAGAGCGCATTATCCAAAATGACGCTCGCCCAGTATAAATCTTATCCGCATTATCTTTTTGGCGTCTCGATCGATATTCCCAGGGAAACCCCGGCGGGGGTGGCTTTTCATGAAATGACGCACACTAGATACGCGGGCACACGTATGTATCATACTCCCGGTTCAAAATTAATGAAATTGACCTTTGCTAACATTATGATTCTAGTGAGGGACGTGAAATGCACGATTGGGTCTCAACGTGCTCCTGCCTATAGGTTTAATGGAGTTACCTGGTTAGCCCGGACCCAGCCTCAGGACGCGCTGGATAATGCCGACAGTGTCATGCTTTTTGCACTAGGTATAGTATTTTTTTTTTTTCAATAAAATGCGACATATGCTTATTATATAATATTACAGCGATGTACCTAGACCAATTATACTGGGCTGATGGATATGGTGTTCCACTCGCGAATGTGTGTCTCTAAGAAAAGGATGCCATATTGATTCTTAGGAGGAGCGAGTGACAGGAGGGGCTATATCGAATAGCTCTACTCTTAAAGAAAAAAAGAAGGGGGGGGGGGGGGGGATTCTTACTGTATGATTATTACATTGAAGCTAAAAGATCTAATATATTCATGATGCTAGCTTGGAAAAGAAAAGAGAAGAAAACCCTCGCTTATAACTCTATTGGCCTAGTTGATAGCCAACACTTCCGGAAACAAACGATCACCCTTAATTCCATCAAGTGCAAGCAAGGTTTCAAGAGCTCTAGGGAGAATTGCAACCCCCCAGATCAAGCACAGCCGCCTGACGGACCCCGGTTATCTACCTTCAAAAACAGCTCGATGATAGCCGTCTCCGTGTATCGGAAATCTGTTCAAAATAGACTAATCAATCGTAATTTTAGAGAACAATTCCAAGATATCTCAAATTGTGGTCCCACGACACCCTACGTATCACCCTCTAAAGAATCAATATGTTAGACATCTAGGATATCATACATTGCGTATTAATATTAGATTAGAGGCACCGTAGAATAAAGTATTATAGAAAGCAGTATATAGTAGAGGTATTCGAATTCTAAAGTTGATTAATATACCAAGGATACCTCGCCTATCTCAATTGGAGAAACTTCTTTTCCCTGCAATTATCTTTACCATCCAATATTCTTCTCCTTTGCTCCTTCAATATACCAAATGCCTGATGCTGTGGACGCTGTCACGTCTTTCTTTCTTTCACTTCCAGATTTGGTGCCAACGCTGTGGTATTTACCGCAAAGGACGAGCGGGCGTACAAATAAGTCATACTAATTCCGTGTCCTCTGGAAACGCTTGTCTGCGTGGGCATCTTTGTGCTGGGAGTATGGGACTAGGCAATGCTGACTATGCTAGAGACTAGTCTTACTGCGCAATCCTAGTGCCAATGGATCGATCCCCTATGTGGCTCACGATCGTGGGTAATTCGGCGGGCACTACAGCGGAAGTAAACTAGCTATGGGCAATAGCTGTGGCAGGAGATGTTAAGGCGCATGCTGAGTGAGGTCTCTGACTTGAACGACATTAATGTAGCACTGCAATGGCTAGGGTGTTCGGAAATTGTGATTATTTTTTTGGGATTCTCGTGTGAATAAATAGTTAATAATAACAATTCTAGGTAGGGCATGAAAATCAAGAAAACATTACAAGCACTTGGTTAGTTAGGGCCGCTCATTCCTTTCTTTTTAGTTGTCAGTTAACCTGGGGCAGTAAGTACAGACCCATCACATAAAATTTCAAGAACATGGGGCAGGCATTTATTTAATTTATACCAGTGTATTTTACCACTATATATCAATCTAGTTAGATAGTGGAAATAATAAAAAAGAAAGAGCAAAGAGCAAAAAATGGTTCTAGAGGGGGTAACCCTCGACCTTGGCGTTGTTAGCACCACGTTCTAACCAACTGAGCAATGGAACCTTCCATGTGCTGGGCGGCAGAAATAGATATCCAGACCCTTCCTGCCCCAAAATTCTCTTCCTGTCCTAATAAACCTGGACCTTGTTGTCCAGGAATACGTCGCGCGCCTCGAGCGTGTCGAATTTGCCCACATTGCGCCAAAAGAAACTTAAGAGCTTCCACGCGTGTAGGATATCGTACGGGTTAACTCTCCACGGGGATTTCGTCATATCAGAACGCCCAAAGTAGTGCAGGGCCTACAAAATCAGTAGGCACCCATACCAAACCATGTTCAAGCTAAACAGATCCTCGAGGGCCACGGCTGGGTCGAGTCGCGGGGACGTGCCGCTTGTCATCATATTAGCCCACTCCGAAAATTGGGCGTGGTTGGTTGATCACCGCCGCCTTAACTTTGCCATGCTTTTTTTTTGGTTCTGTGTTGTCCTGCTAAGTATGCCTAAAGTTCCGGTAGCGGTCGTTCACATAATCGGTTATGACATGGCGTACTTCCGTTCCTCGTGTGGTCCACATCTGGAAGGTCTCCTTCTTCTACCGCAGACGCAGGCAGCCTGCAAGACGTGAGGGCGGAGTCGTCGAGTCTCTTGACGCATCTCTGTGTGTAGTCGATGTCGTACCCAACCGGCATGAAGTCATTATCCGTCGTAGCCTCCCGGCCCCGCGCAGGGCGGTCTGGGCTTTGGCCTTGGTTTCCCTCTTCCCCTTCCCTTCAGGGATTGCGGGTGCCTTGCCCTTCTTCGGAGGCATAGTGCCAGAAAGTCAGGGTACTATAGTCACTGTTAGCCAGCCCCTATGATGCGATATAGAGACTAGGATGGCAGCCGATTCGTACCGGGATTCTAAGGGTCACCTTGCAACCCATGTTTCAATACATATGCACGTATTGCCTGATGAAGCCGGAGTGTTCATATCGGGGAGAATCCATACCTGTAAAGTTGAGAGGGGGGAGGGTGTCATGAGAAATCTGCGGGTAATAGAAGTGAGGGATTAATGTAGTTCTAGTTAAGATTTCTGGGTTTAGCCAAATAATTGATAATCCACTCACTGTGTACGGCTGTTAGAGCCGGGGTTGCAAGAATCTAGGTAGTGAACATAGTAATTAGATCTTAATCTTGAATATATATTTATATCACAATCTAATATAACTATTTGCTAAATGGTTTGTCAACAAGTGTATACCCACACCCACTCCACCCGCAATCTTTACGTCGATTCTGCATCTCTTATTGGATTAGACTAGATCTGCTGAAGCTCACTCTATCAAAATATAGAGTTCTCTTTCCCCCTTTTCCCTATCTTTTCTTATACCAATTTAATTATCTTCTAAATTATCTTTAAATCATTGTGTCTACTATTTTTCTATTATCTTGTTTTTATTCTTCTGCTTTATAGTAAACATTAGCCTAGCGGAGTATGCTATAATTATATGTATATATTAAAAAAGAATAATGGAAGATACTTTAATTATATCAGATTTTGCAGTGCCAATGGCGAAAAAAACCTACAGTGCTGCTATTAATACCCTTTGCTATTAGACCGGCCACCTTTATTAAAAAGTACGAATGAGAAGTAAGGAAAGACAAAAAATAGAAGTAGAAATATCTAAGCTATAGAGTACGTCTGGAAATATTGACCACTCTATAGCAAAACTCGTCTTCCTCAGTCTTTTCCAGGTACTAGACCGTAATCAAGTAATAGAAACCCTAGCAAGTTAGCATTTTTCTATCAGCCCTCAGACCCCAACCTAGGAAAGCTTCAAGAGGTGACTAGGATCACCCCCGGAGATGACCAGGATGGAGTGAAGATTTATGGGGCCATCTCTCACCCAATGGTTGTTTACCGAGAACCTTCATAAAAATAGAGTGGGGGCGGGGACGGCATTCAAATTACCGAATTTGGGGATTGAGTAAGATCCCAAAATAAACCATAGGTGTACATTTTAAACATAAATTGTAGGCGAAGTGTCCGGTGTTAGGAACCATCGCACCCTCAAAACTTTCATCTTCTCAACCACCAATCTCGATCATGCATCTCAAACTTCCTCTTCTCACAGCTGTGCTGGCAGGTCTGGCATATGCTTCTCCTGTTGTTCAGAAAGAGAATGGGCCACCGCACGAGGGCAGTCCCACCCATTCTGGTGGAGGACCTTCCACCACGCACAAGGTACTGCACCCAAACGATGGTGCCATAGTCGAGCTCGTAAACGAGGACAACAACTGTCAGGTTCATTTTACCAATATGTTCGGCGAGAAATGCAACGGACAGTTGAAGGAGCCCCTCGGCCCTATCATGGATGGAAAATGCCACGGTAAGTTATGTCCTCAAATTCGGCTGGAATCGTCCTGATAGCCCTACAGGAAAGAAAACCTCGAGAGGCGGCGAAATGCCCTTCGCCCAAACCGAAGCCGTGTTCAAGGACTGTAAATCCAGATCAGTTGGTTACGTTTTCCAGGATGGTCATATGGCTGGCTACAAACCCGGTTCGCTCGAGTACTATACTCCTGAAGATGGCTCCGGCGATTATATTCCTCTTGGATTAGTGCCAGGCAATAAACTCAAGTTTGATGGGAAGGAATGGGTGAAGGCATAGATGGGCTTGAAAACAGATACGGGTCAAACCAGACGGAGTGTCTAGCGCTCACCATTATATATCGGATATGAAGATCGCAGTTTGCACTTTATCATAGCCTGTATTCTTCAGAGCAAGGCATTCCTGAACCTGACCTTTTTGGGTATCTGAGGAGTTTGGAACAAATATGCCAAACAGATGTAAGAGATAAGATCCAGTACGGGTTGGAATGCTGTCATCATGAACCGCACAAGTTATAAGGTGCTGCCGAGGATCGATATCCAGTGAGATCCATGGATATAACTGGTTCTTTCTATTTATCCATATTTAGGTGATACTGACGCTCTTTGCTTGTTAATTTATATGCTGGCTACTGAATGCGATTACTAGAGTTGGGTTGGACTCGAGAAAGCATCTAAGACATTGCAGCGTCTATAGAATGCGACTGGAACCTTTTGAACTCAGGATCTTGGGATTTGTTGATTTAAAATGACTGTACGAAGCCTACGCTGAACTCGAATGACGCTTTTACGAATTCATGTCTCGCCAAAGAAACATTGGATTTCGTTGAGGTATTCAAACTAACCAATACATAATATTCAATGTGCCACACTACACACTAAATCAATATTCGACCTTTGCACTTGAGAAAGAGGGTGAAAGGTCGCTTTGCACTATATATCTATGAGATATCACGTGCCTTGGAATATATCTCACCGCCTGTGATTCTGCCGCGCATCGTCGCCTGAAAAGAAGCCGATTCCGTCGGAATCTGCAAGACAACCGCGAGAAATCTGGTGTCTCGATCGCAACCGTAAGTATTGTGCCATTAGCTGGCGGTGCCCCTTGGTAGGCTGCATTGACTGGCTGGTTCCCAATGGGAGTTACCTGACCCTCAAACTTGACCTCCATCTGAGCCGAGGACCGAACTGAGATGGCAAGCACTCACCATTGTACAGGCTCAATCCGGTGCCAATGAAGGCCAATTAGACACAGCCAGATTGTGCGATCAAGATGGTGTCCAATTTTTCTACAATCGCCTGGCGAGCCAGTGCCCGGGCTCGTGTTCTCCCTGCATTCCGTTGCTCGCAACGGCCGTCGGCATTGTTACCGAAGTGGACTGAGTGCTGCCCCAGTGCCGTGAGATATGTGTCCGATAACACTGCTTCCACTCCGACCACCGAGACAGTGAAAGAAACAGCCCAGGACACTGCAAAGGAGGCTCCCAGGGAAACCCCGAAGCGCGCGGGCCGCCGATCTTCCAGGAAAGCTCTTTACGGCACCTCGTTGGCCTTGACTCTGTTGGTGGGCTACATCTACGGCACCGACACCCGGGCGAGCATTCACAGATACGCAATTGTGCCTCTCATCCGGGCGGTCTATCCCGATGCGGAGGAGGCCCACCATGTTGGCGTGGACAATCTGAAGATGCTCTACCGGTTCGGTCTTCATCCCCGCGAACGAGGCAACCCGGATGGAGATGGTGTTCTGGCTACCGAGGTATTTGAATCGCTACGATTAGACGTCCTTGGGTTTGTTACTCAAATATTGCATACTTAGGTCTTCGGGTACCCACTCTCCAACCCTATTGGTATCTCCGCCGGCCTGGACAAGCACGCCGACATTCCAGATGCGCTGCTTGATATCGGCCCCGCCATTGTCGAGGTTGGCGGTACAACCCCTCTGCCGCAGGAGGGTAACCCGAAGCCCCGGGTGTTCCGACTCCCCTCGCAGCACGCGATGATCAACCGATACGGGCTCAACTCCAAAGGCGCCGACCACATGGCGGCCGTATTGAAACAGCGCGTGCAGGACTTTGCCTATGCAGCAGGATTCGGCATGCACGACCAGTCGGAGCAGCGCGTGCTGGATGGCGAGGCCGGAGTCCCACCTGGTAGTTTGGTTCCCGGCAAGCTTCTGGCGGTGCAGGTAGCCAAGAACAAGGCCACGCCGGACGCGGACCTGGACGCGATCAAGCGCGACTACGTCTACTGCGTGGATCGGGTGGCGCGGTACGCGGATATTCTAGTGGTGAACGTCTCCAGCCCCAACACCCCGGGCCTGCGCGACCTCCAGGCCTCGGCTCCCCTCACCGCGATCCTAAGTGCAGTCGTCGGTGCCGCCCAAGACGTCCAGCGCAAGACCAAGCCCTATGTAATGGTCAAGGTCAGCCCGGACGAAGACTCAGACGAGCAGATCTCTGGCATCTGCGATGCCGTCTGGAAATCGGGCGTCGACGGCGTCATCGTCGGCAACACCACGAACCGCCGGCCTGACCCGCGCCCAGCCGGCTTCGTCCTCCCGGCCACCGAGCAGCAGGCCCTGTCAGAAACCGGCGGCTACTCGGGCCCGCAGCTCTTTGACCGCTCCGTCCCGCTGATCGCCCGCTACCGCGCCCTGCTCGACCAGGGCCCTGCGGCTAAGCCGTCCGATGCCGATCGGCCTTCGGAGACGGCGCCTGCCGCGCCTGCGTCGCGCAAGGTTATTTTCGCCTCGGGCGGTATCACTACCGGTCAGCAGGCGCGCGCGGCTCTCGATGCGGGCGCTTCGGTCGCTATGATGTACACGGGGGTAGTGTATGGCGGCATTGGCACGGTGACGCGAGTGAAGCAGGAGTTGCGCGAGGAGCTGCAGAAGAAATGAGATGCATGGAAAGGGAGAAGGGGAAAAAGAGAAGAAAAAACCAATTCCAAGGTACCAATCTACATACGTCTGCATACTGGAGGCATTGGTAGATTCTGTAAATAGCATCCATGGATGGAATAGTCAGGACACGCCATAAACATGATTAAGCATATTAAAAATTCTCTTCTTTTATTCATTCAAGCCAAAATGATTCATTCATAGATCCTGGCTCAATGACATTGAAGTCATTCTCTCGACCGATAGTATTTTCAACCGACCGACAAGGGAGATCGCCAAAATGACACTCTGCCCAGACATGTTGGACAGTTGTATACAGCACGTCCTGCCTACTTCGGCAGTCCCGCCATGGGGAATCACAAAAAGAACCCACTCAGCTCGGGTTACTCGATCAGTGTGGGCAGAGTCTCCATCAAGACGGGGCAAAAAGGCAGCCCACCTTTTTGGGAACCCACCGCGGGGCAATGATTTGAATCCTATCAAGCGCGCACTTGATCCTGCAGAGAACTGAGAGACTCATGGACATGGACTCAGATAGTGTAGACCGCAAGTCTGTTTTGTATGCAAGGACATGCAGTCATAGCAATTCTGCCAGTCCGCGGGTTAAGCGCAGATAAGATCTAAAAAAAGCTTTAAGGTCATCTGAGAAGCAAAATCTCTGATCGGCCGCGTGACAGCGTGGAGAATTGTTCCCCTCCAAAAGAAAACTGGGGAAGGGGTCTAGGAAGAAAAGCCAGGGGGACAAACCCACATTGTTCTCCATTGTGCTCCATAAAAAAAGGATCAAAGGTGGACTCCCGCAGGAACTGCTCCATCGGCATCGCGGGATCCCCCAGATAGGCTTCCCGAGCGACCGGGGGAAGTGCCCTTACTCGGGAACTGTGCAGTTGACCCACAGATAGAACCACTTTTTTTTTCCCTCTTTTCTTTTCTTTTCTTTTCTTTCTGTTCTGTTTCAATGGGATCTCCATGAGGATTGAGTGGATGTCTTGCTAAGCTGTATACTGTATATTTTCTCGTATAACAGTGACGAGGGTCCGTAAGGTTGCGAAACCAAATATACCGACTGGACTTGGTCACAATTCACAAAAGCCGTAGAGTCGGTGGGAGGCAATGATCATAGAAGAATATTGAAGAAGTGGCTGTTCTTTCACGCCACGCCCAGCGTCTCCTCCACCTCGCGGACAACTTTGCGCACGCCGCCGACTTCGTGCGCGAACCGGCCCAGGAACATGCCGTCGACCGCCTGGCCCAAGCCGCCAGCTCCCCAGAGTCCTGGGCCAGCGCTGCCACCGTAGAGAACACGCACGGCGCCAGGGCGCGGGCCAACTACAGCGCGGATGCCCTCAACGACGGCAGCGACGTGGTCGACACCGGCGGGCTGAGGCTTGCCGATGGCCCAGACAGGCTCATAGGCGAAGATAACAGGCGCGTCAGCCGGGATGGCAGCCAGCACGGCGCGAATGAGCACGGCGCACTCGGCAACAGCTTGGCCGACAGCCTCGGAGGCGACGGCGCCGGGTGCCGTCACCTCGCCGACACACACTAGCGGCACCATACCCTGGGCACAGGTGGCGGCGGCCTTGCGCGCGGTTTGGTCGTCGGTCTCGCCAAAGATCGCGCGGCGCTCTGCGTGGCCTAGCTCGACGATCGAGCAGCCTAGCGTCCGGATCGATGCCGGCGACACCTCCCCCGTGTATGCGCCCTGCGCCTCCCAGAAACAGTCCTGCGCGCCGAGGAGGAACGGCGGCGGCGATGTCGGTGTACCGGCTGTCGCAAGCTTCTTCTCGTAGTCCCGAAGAATATCTGCGCACGGCCATATCGTCAGGAAATCCGGGATCAGGGCCAGCAGGAGTCGCTCGCGGTTCTCGGGGCGGACGATCTCGTTGGAGGGGTCCAGTAGCCCGCGCAGGTACTCGAGAGTGCGGTCCGGAGTGAAATACATCTTCAGCGAGATAAGCAGCAGTTTCTCCGGCAAAGCCGGGTACGTGGTGTTGGAGGCCATGGCGTAAAGTGGTTGGAAGGGGTTGGACGATTGGGGTTGTTTTTTTTACCCCGGATTTCCCGTGTCTGGCCGAGGTGGTTGCGGGTGCCTGGAGTTTCTCTTTGAGAGTCTCTGGGAGGGGTCGAGGCAAGTGTCAACAAGAGGGGGGAGAACCGAGGAAACTATCGGATTAGTGTTTTGGAGTCAAATGAAGGGCCAAGAGAAGTGAAGGAAACTCGGTGCGACCACTTTCGGGCCCGGAGGGGGCGCGCATTAGCGGCCGGCAATCCTGCACTTTTCGAATTGCCATTCTCATGAGGCTGACGACTAGGCAGTTGAATATATCCAGGGATCGGGATCAGACATGATGTCAATGATGCCACGCTAAGTTGGATTGACGATGGTTTTCGTTGAAATGAACAAAGTACGGATTGCTGGAGGACGCGGCTCAAGGTTGCGCCTCAGAAACCTGGCGCCGACGTGATAGGCAGACTGCGCCAGCAAAGAGGGGGGTTGCATCAAGAAACTATTCCGAACCAGACTCTCTACCCAAGACATTCTCCCCCCCCTGGTCATTTTCCCGGGCTTTGAGCGATTGGACTGTATCCTGGTCCGGTATAGGTCGAGGATATCAAAATAATACCTCACACACACACCCTTGTCCCGATCTACATGTCGGGGGAAGCAATCCGGAGTACTCCTCACCGGGTCTGGAGTACTCTACAAGAGATGTGAGTTTGGAGAGAACCGGTTATGCTCTGGCCGCTTGTCACTTATCGTGGCGAGCCAACGGCATCACAGCTGGTGGAGACCATTACAACATAATTAACACGATGCCCGTTGAATGGCCTCACTCTAGAGGCCCGGCAATGGCCCTGAATGGCCAAGAACGAGAGTTGTTGAGATTGGTTCATTGTTTCGCATCCCCAGAGACACGGCGTATTTCAGGCCTCAATTTTATGAGCTTCGGCACGGATCTGCTGCCAGGTTTTGATCTTTCGACTTTCGTGTCTTTCGACTTCAAATCCGGTTTTCCTGCATTTCTCGACGGAGTATACACTCTGACGCTCGGGGACACGCATCGCCAAGTCAGGAAACGGCAAGCGGTTCTCGGACGCAGGGAACGAAAAGGCACACAGGCACCCGATGAAAGAGGGCGTTTCCCCCCTTGCAACAGCCACAGTCTTGTTGCTTTGCACTGACATCGATGGCGTGCATACTATACTGACTGCAGTATGGACCACCAAGCCTTCCCGTGTAATACGACGTATGGCCGGGGTATGGCTAGGGTACGGCGGGCGTACTCAGACTCATCCACAATCCGACCTCGGGCCAAGCACCAAACAGCGACGGCCATTCACAGACCGCAGTCGCTGGACATGACGCCATGGCGGGGCAAGCGAGGGCTCATATCAAGGTTGACCCAGACAATTCGATTCTTGGGCGATTGGTGCCGAGTGGAGTATCAGTGCATCTGGCATTGGCTCCACCCGGGGTGATGGTTGCACGGCTACAAAGGAAGAGAGAGGGGTTGGGCAAAAGATATAAAGAGCCCCTGGAGGTCACTCCAAACCGGATTCCAGCTTTCATTGATTCCCTACATTTCTCATTATCGAACTACCTTGAGCTACTTATAATACCTTGGTCTTTCATTGCCATCCCCCCACATTCCAATTATGTCTGCCGATCTCCAGCCCCTCCGCATTGTCATGGCCTGTGATGAGGCCGGTGTCCCCTACCGGGATGCCATCAAGACACACCTGGAGAAGAACCCCCTGGTTGCCTCCATCATCGATGTCGGTGTCAGCACCTCGTCCGACAAGACTGCCTACCCGCACCCGGCCGTTGAGGGCGCCAAGGTCATCACCGAGGGCAAGGCGGACCGCGGACTGTTCATCTGCGGTACTGGGCTGGGCGTCGCCATCGCCGCCAACAAGGTGCCCGGCATCCGCGCCGTCACTGCCCACGACCCTTTCTCGGTTGAGCGCTCCATCTTGAGCAACGACGCCCAGGTGCTATGCATGGGCCAGCGCGTCATCGGTGTCGAGCTCGCCAAGAAGCTGGCTGCCGACTGGCTCAACTATCGCTTCGACCCCAAGAGTGCCTCTGCCGCCAAGGTACAGGCCATCTCCGACTACGAGACCAAGCTCCACGCTGCTGCGTAAATATGGTTTGGCTTGCCAGGCAATATGGGATCTTACCCTGGCCACCTTGGGGCCAACTGAGACCCCCCAGATTTGCCGGAAAAAGCAACAAGTCTCTCGCCAAATCTCTCATAGCATGACGGCCGATCCAACCAATCGCACTGTCCCCCCACGAAGTCAATGTCTTTATTATCTTGTTATTTACCCCTGATGAAAGCGCTTGATACCAATTTTTGCGACCCCGTTGCTGTCTAGGTCTGGGAATTAGAGGATCATAGAACGTCTCTATACATTCCATGCACATAGTACAATTCAATGAGCCTGCAGTTGAAGTATTTCTCAGAACTGAAGCATTTCTAGTCTGTTATCCATAGATGAGTTAGTTAAATAATTCGACTTAGTCAGATCTTCCGCGGGGGTCGATGACTTTCTCCGAGGGAATCCCACCGCAACTAACACGGCCGTTGCGACTATCACTACTTACACCATTCCTGTCAGTCTTCTGAGACTTTGATTTTTGGTCCTCATGCACCACTCGCTCCTGACCTTCTTGTTCGTATACATGGTGGGCCGCCCCACCCGGGGAGATTGATCAGCGACTGCAGACTTATTCTTAACAACTGAGCTACTTCTGCGACCCACACTCGCTCGCACACTTTCTTCACCGCACATTTTGGCGCAATGGCCCAAGAATTAAAATCCAAGGGCAACGAGCTCTTCAAAAAAGCCGACTACAGCGGCGCCGAGGAGCTCTTCTCGCAAGCGTGAGACCACCAAGGCGGGGGAATGAAACATGCGAGAGAAAACCAAGCAGGAAACTGACAATGCTCGCTCTTCTTCCAATACACCAGAATCCAAAAGAACCCTCACGATCCAACCTTCTACACCAACCGCGCCATCACCCGCATCAAACTCGGCCAATGGCCCGGCGTCGAGCACGACGCCCGCGCCGCCATCGACATTTACGGTCCCAAGAACCCCGTCGCCCTGAAGAGCAGCTACTACCTCGCGCAGGCTCTTCTGGGCCTCCAGCGGCCGCAGGAGGCTTACCACGTCGCGCACGACGCCTACGAACAGAGTCTCGAGGCGAAGAATGCCCAGACGGAGAACCTCTCGCGGACGGTGCTGCGCGCCAAACAGCAGTTGTGGGCGGCGCGCGAGACGGCGCGCCTGCGCGATATGAACGAGACGCTTGGGAGCGTTGAGGCACTTATAGAGGCGGATTTGCAGCGCGCGTTGGCTGAGCTGCAGGCGCAGCTGGACCGCGGCGAGATCGGGCAGGTTGGCTGTACGGAGGATCAGGCGGTGCTGCGGGCCGATGCTGAGACCAAGGTCGGGAATCTTCGCGAGGCGTTTCGGCTGGCCTCTCAGGGTGAGATTCAGGAGCGGGTAAGTGTTTAGTGATCCTCCTGCTATTTTTTTTTCTCTCCCTTTCTCTGCTGACACTCCTAGGTCGTGCCCGACTATCTCATCGACGGCATTACCTTTGAGATCATGCATGACCCTGTCATGACGCCCTCGGGCAGCAGCTTCGATCGCATTGGGATTGTCAAGTACATCGAGAAGTCCGGCGTGGATCCGCTGACTCGGGTCCCAGTGACGGTCAAAGACCTGCGGCCGAACTATGCGCTCAAGGCGGCATGCGAGGAATTCCTGACCAAGAACGGGTGGGCAGTTGACTGGTGATTCTGCTGTATAGTCCCTTTCTTTTCACCCTTTTTTTAGGCTGCCTCTGGATTCAGGTGCATAGCGAGTGATATCCACGAGCAGCGGCATCTTTTGCATCGGCGGGCGTTGGGCGTGATTCTCTATTCTTGGATACGCCATAGAATATGTCCATGTAAATATTCTTATTGTCTGCGTTATTGTTTACTCTAATGTAAGTAGAGACTATCACCTGAGTGAAGATCCATGGATATACTCAAGGAGCAACTGGCCAACGCCCCCCATTATCATCCCCACAAACCTTGAACCCCGTGGACCCTTCCTCTACATCAACGGCGCTCATCAAACCCTCCGAGCCTACATCTTCTCGATTCCTACACCCGAAAAGAATACACACACATACACACACATACAAAACCAAAATAACCACCATGTCCGACATCGCCGACTTCCTCACGGCCCTCGACGCCGCCCAGAAGAAAGAGAAGTACACCTCCGAGGTGCAAGACGCCGCCGGCGGCATCGACGCCGCAACTCTCAAGGCAGCCGTCGAGGCCGCCGCCGCTATGGGCGAGATTGAAACCGTGGCGGACGAGGCGCAGGCAGCCGCGCTCAGCGCTGGGTTCCAGTTCGCCGCCAAGGTTGTCTTGATGCTTACCGCGGCACCGGGGCCGTACGAGAAGAAGGATCTGTATGTTTACTTCAAGGTTGCGCGCAATGAGACGGTGGAGAAGCCTGCCTTCTATGATATGGTGGTATGTTCCCCCACACCTACACCTTAACACATCTTTGCTTTTATATTTACTTGTTGTGGTTGTTGCTGATGCTAACGCTCCCATAGAAGAAGCAGCTCTACGGCGAGTGGGAAAAGGTCAAGCACTACAGTGACCAGAAGGCGCAGGCACTGTATATCCAAAACGTCAACACCCTGATCGGCAAGTACGGGACTCGCGATTCGTGAACTTCTTCCTAAAGAGGGTCTTGAAAGGGACTCTCTATATGAATGCTTGGCAAAGGGAGCTGGCTGATACTGTAACTGGATATGGATTGGGAGTTGGGAGGGTTACCACTGGTGTATGGAGGGAATGAGCAGACCTCTTTTGATGAATTGCCTTTTTGCATCCATGCAGAAACTATTGATACTGATATTAATCCACCCATCTTGCTTCCATCGGTGTCCTCGGGGACATTTCCTTTTTGTCCCCCCCCCCCCCCTCCTCTTCCCCGGGGACCGTGTATAGTATATAACCGAACCTGTGACAATAGCAATACCGCTTCTTGTGCGCGTGGGCTGTGCGACATGGCATGCTCTAGCAGAGAGACTACCATCAACCGCGCTGCCTTTTCCTTTTCCTTTCTTTTTTTCAAGAAATAATCATACTCGATCACACAATCCAGCTCTGTCCTCGCCAGTCGGGAAGATGGTGCGCGGCGGTGGCACACCACGGCTCATCGGAGCCACTGTACGGAGTCAGCGGCAGGTCATATGGCATCCGGAACCCGACCACGGCGGACACTGCATCATCCTCCGCTATGAGTCGAGGCTGATCGTTCTGAAAGCAAGGTACCATGATTGCAGCCTGAGGCCCAGAGACTCTACCCTCTGGGCTGTTCCGCGAGGAGGAAAAGTCGTCGATGATGAACAGCTCCGGCCAGACAACCACGCCAATCTCCCAGCTCGAGATCCTCACCTCGCCCCCAGGATTCGGCGCGGCGCCCCATGCCTGCGTCGATAGGTTCGCAGACGTCGTCATCGCCCAATCGATCGAGTCCATGGTAGCCGCGTCCGAGTACCGGATATACGTCTTGATATGCGGCGCCGCACGGCCACGGCCTGCCTCGCGTTTGGGTGGCGTGTCTTCGGTTAAATCGATACAACTGGAATCAGACGCGCTGTCGCCTGCCCACTTGCAGAGGTGCGGCAGCATGTACTGCAGCTGTTTTTGTTGTGGGGCACTCTGGGTTTTCATGTGGATGGATCCCCCGGAGGCATAGCCCTCCAAGGAGCGGCGGATTTCGTCTGACGTCGGGAATATTATTGAGAATTGCGGAGGGGCATTCGATGGTGTGGGCGCTAGGGCTTTGAAAAAGATTTCCTTGAGCCATTTGTCGGTCTGGCCCAGGGATGCTATCGAGGATATCTGAGGATGGTTCAGAGGCGGCCAAAAACATAAAGCTGGATATGAAAGGCATACCTGTGTGACTATGTGAGATTTGCCTGAAGCATTACTCTGGGTTGCCTTCGTTTGTTGCCGTACTGGCACACGGCTCATCACATCTTTCAGAGCAGGCCAGCCCCATAGCGTGGACTTATCTGAGTCGAGCTCGCTAACCCGCTGTCGAGAGGGCACACTTGCAACCAGAGCTGCACGGATTGCACCAAAGTCATATTTATTGAGTTGCTGGACCAGCGCGCCGGTTTTCCTAGCTCCGTATGCTTTCAAGTACGCAAGGAGGTCTCTCTTGAACCGAGCACCGGAGCCAATGGCTGAATGCGGCTGGGATGTCGAGTGCGTGCCGGGATTCTGTAGAGGAAGTAGCGGAGATCGCCAGACAGCTTGGGTCATATTGGCCCAATCTCCGTAAATCATGTTGGCGGTGTGGATCACAACCCTGGTCCAGTCAGCAATCACGCAAAATACACCCGAAACGACAAGAGTCTCACTGGGCCAGGTCATCGTGCCGAAGAAGTATCATCATTTTCGCATGATGCGTCCCGAAGCGCTCGGGCATATATGCCACGATGGATTCAACATTTGGATGCCGTGCACACGCTTCCTGGGAAGAGATTAGTCCTGCTTGAGTATTCCAGAGAGTGAAGTGGAGCTTTCTATGAAAGGGCTCGGAGAAAAAGATAAGGACAAGCAAAAAATATCAGTAAAAAGAACATACATCTATTCGAAGGCGATTCGCCGACTCCTTCTCCCACGACCCATGCACAACTTTCACCTGCACGATGCTCCTCACATCTTCATCGAACTGGGCCATGAGGAAATCCACATCAAAAAGGTAATTAAACTGCCAGCACTCGCGAACCATCGGGTCCCCGAGGATATCGCGCAGTCGCACCGTGTCAACATTGTAGCCCTTGTGAGCAGGAAAGTCACGGATATGCGTGAGTTGGATCGGAGAAGGGATCAATTGGGGTTTGCTGCGCGAGGATTCAGGCGCAATGGGTGCATCTTCTTGTCTTTTCTCCAGCAATGAATCATTGGACTGCTCGGGACACACTGAGGCGGAATCGCGAGACAACTGCGAACGAGGTCGCGGTGGTGGGGTGATGGACCTGCGTAGGGATACTAAAGGTGTGGTGGCCACGCAGGGCCGATTTGCATCTGTCTCTGCTTCATTTGGGTCTGAGGAGACTCTTGCCCGCTTTGTGGGACGCTCCATTGATGAAGGCTGGAATGGCCTGTTTGGATGCCGGGTTGCTAGACGGAGGTGAGGAAGAGTTGGGTGTGTTGGCCGCGCGATGGATTCAGGCGAGTCGCGACAAACACGACAAAGCATATGGAGTGATCTTTTCCACCATGTAATTGATCGCGAATGCATCCAGTTTAAATGTGCAGGCTTGGCCGTTGGCGTGGACGTCGAGACGCGACTTGGCTTGAATGAAAAGCAGAGTATCGGGACGGCCCCGAGGTCCAAGTATACAGACCCACGTCAACACAAAACAATTAGAACACAAGCACATCGGCGGAATAGCAAATGTGAATCTAATTCAAAATTAAATACATGGATTATTTTACATTTACAAACGACCACATATGGAATTCAGAGACACCAAGTCGCAACAAACCCTTCACCACATGAACCGCTGGATGCTGCCCGGCTCCTGCGGCCATTCAAAGCCCTTGTACAGAAACACATACCCAGTCAGCGCATTGATGAGCACAAACCACAGAGTCTCCAAGAATTGGGGAGAATTCTTGGCCAGATCAGAGCGAGTGGCCTCGCTCTCATCGCGTGGCCGCTGCTGCCGGAACGCAGCGAGAGTCGGTGACGGGGGCAGATGCAGACGCCACATCACCCAGGGGATGATAAAGTAGCGAGGTTCGACGAGCGGCGCCGTGACAAGAGAAAGAGCAGTGGCAACAAACCAGACGAGAACGAAGCTGACATGCGGTGTCTCTTGTTGTTGTTTCTGGCGTTGGAGGAGGTGCTCTCGAATTTTGGCCATCACTTCAGGGGAGTTTGGATCTGGCTGCGGAGCCTTGGGTTTCGGCGAAGATTCAGTCTTGCGGTTTGCCCGGAGGGACTTCCTAGTTTCTTTCGGCTGCTCCTTCCCAGCTGCTTTCTGTGCAGCAGCTCCCGGCTTTTTCGAGGCTGGCACCTGGAGGAGTTTGGGCGGCGCTTGGGTGACAGAGAAGCCCAAGGCGGAGATGACGGCCCATGCACAGAGGAAATAAACCAAAACAGCAGCATACTTCACGGCGGGGTGATACCCCAGCAAAAGACGGAACACATAGAAGACGTAGTGCCGGTTATCGGCGAGAGTAAAGGGATGCACAATCGTGTTGAAATGAACAATCGCAACCATAGCCGGAAGGACAATCAAGGCCGTTACGAGGGTTGGAAGCTTCTTCTGCTTCGCTTGGAAGCCATAGTTCAGATATTTGGGAAGATAGGCGTTCGGGAGGAGAGTATTAATCACGGGGACGACAAGGATCGGCCATGAGAAGAATGCAAAATACGGCCAGATATAGAGCATCTGAGCAAGATGCAAGCCAGCGGTGTGGAATTCCTTGTGTCCTAATGTCCAGAAGAAACAAAAATGTTAGTATTAAGACCAAAAACTACCGGTGCTCGCGCGAGGTGATCTTACCGAGAACAACACCGTCATTCCAGAGCGCAAAGACGCCAAAGGCCCCGAGGATGACGATATAAGGAAGAACAGAAGCAATGGTAGAGAAGGGATTTTTTAGGCCCACTGCTGCAAACGAAATAGCAGTTTTGAAATAATCTAACCATCGCTAGTCAGTGGCTCAGCGCAGCAAAAAGTTGACAGTGCAACCTACCCTGTAGAGAAGCCTCGCCGACCAAAGGGTCGTACACCTCATTTTGCAGACCCTTCTTCACAATTTCGGACACGCTAGTTGGCCGGTATATTTTGGAAGATTGACGAATCTTACGAACAACCTGCAGTCCACCCAGAAACACCGACACCCAGAAGATATTAGTCTGCCGGCAAACCAGAGCAGCCAACCCAAAGACCAGAAAGCCTAGAGTCTGCAACACGGTGTAGCCTTGACTCGAGGCCCGCTTAAGATCCCAATTGTACGCTTCAACCACGACCAGCAGAGCGAGGATGTCGGTATAATACAGCCCCGAGAAGAAGAACAGTGGCGGGAACAGGCAGATATTCAACACGGTATGGCTCAGCCAGGCTCCCAGAGCCCTGTTATTTCGCACACGATGGATCGTATCAAAAAGTGTCTGCAATCTCCAAGGGAGAAAGACCGAGGTCGTGGCGACATTGGTGGTGCGAAGAGCCTCCGTGTCGAGCTGGGTCGGGGAGCCGCGGAGAACCAACAGCCCCGCGCACAGAAGATACGACCACAGGTACAGTCCTGGAGGAGTCGTGATTTTTGGGTCCCATTGCATCCATTGGTGTGCCCAGTAGGCCTGTGCCTGGGGTACGTGGAACACTTCATCCAAGTAGGGCTTCGGAACCACGGCGTTGACCTTGGTCCTCCACGCCGGGATCAGGACCAAACCGAAAGGAACGGCATAACGCGCGGCTCGGCTGAGGCCCGACTCGGAGGCGGAAGTCATTGTCTGTCGGCACGAGACAAATAAAATAGTCGAGGCAGGTTCTCACAAAAGAACAAGGCGGACGAGAGAGTCGGAAAGTCGGAGAGCTGGAGCTTGCGGTGCAAACAGCCCAAACACGGGGTGTTTGGGTCGATGCGGCGAGCGACGGCGAGAGACATAAACCTGCGATGGGCGATGGATTGGCGATTACAAACAGAAGACAATTGAAGTGGTTTATGATTGATTCGATGACCTTTTTCTCCTGCTTTTGTGCCTGCTCCAACCCTCCCAATGGCCTTTCCCCTCCCGCGGGGCATCACGCCCTCGGAAATCGCCTTTCTCGCGGAGATGGAGATGGTGACGGTGGTGCCTCGGCAGCGCCTAGAGGGGCTTGAACTACTCGGGGTAAGTCAACACTGCCTGGAATGGCTTCTCTGCTTGTTACCATGGAATTGACACTCTCCTCTCTCCAGGGCCTGGTAGAACCTCTCGTCCCTCCGCGACGCGCCTCCATTCCTCTGTGGCTCGCCCTCCTCCTCAAACGCCAACGCCGCGCCAACATCATGCCTCCCGCATGGCTGCACCCAGAGCCACTCGGCCTCATCCTCGAGGTCGAGTCCCAGCACCAAGACTACAAAAATGCCTTCTCGCCGCCTCCTCCGCTACCGGGCCAGCCCAGTGTCCGAGACCGCGACCTTGAACCAACTGCTCGGCCGCAGTATACCCCAGACGGCGACCGGTACTACGCGGCGCCGCCGTTTCTGCCCCAGAATACTGCACAGCCCGTGTCGTCGTTCTCGAGAGAGCCGCCCGCGTTGCCCTTCCATTGGGTCGAGGTGAGCAATATGCTGCTCGACGCCGCGAGTGATGATCTCGTGGACCCGGACCAGATCCGGCGACAACTGAAAGATCTGCGTGAGGTGCGCATGGCTAAAATGAGATCTGGTGTTGATGTGCTGGACGCTGCAGCGACTGGTGGCGGAGGCGTTGCGCTGACAGGTGTTGGCGCAATGGAAGTTGGAGAAGAGCGAGGGTTCGTGGCCGGCGTGGTAGATAATCTTCGGTATGTGTGTTGGCTCTTGCGTTAGGACCTTCATGCATCACAGCAAAATGCGAGGGAGATTCCTTGACTAACTTTGTTCCCAGGAAAATCGGTGCGTCCAAAGAACAAGCGCGGCGAGAGCAAATGGCCGAGCAAAGGGCAAACGGCGGCTATGATGGCACTCAGGACGAGGAGGAGGATTACATGGAATTTTAGGCGCCCGGATTGCTTGCCTTGGGATCATTTTCTGTTTTTCATCTTGGAGTTTAAGGAGCATGTCACGCAGATCGACGCTCCCCCCGAACGAATCTTATGTATATAGACTCATATACCCTGTGTCCCGATCTCATCACCAGCGGCTGCAACCAAAGGCTATTCCAATTTACCTAACACCAAACGGCATGCGAACGCTCTAATACAAAACGAAGGTGGGAATGGTATCGCAGGGCAACAAGAAATGAAGGATGAGAAAAAGAAAGGAAAGATTTGCCTGCCTTCAGGGTCCTGATTTTGGTCAGGACCCGTCAAGAGCACCAAAGCCCTCAACAAAAAGCCGCTCATTGAGTGCGGCTTAGGCTATTCTGCGCCGCCATCTTCCTCCGCGCCGCCAGGATCATGTCATCCCTGCGTTTCTGCAGGAGACGCTGGCGCTCCTCCTTATTCTGAGACCAGGAACTTGTGCGAGACGCCGCGGGGGCTGCCTCGGCACCGCCGTCGCTCCCAACCTTGGCGCCCAAATTGTAACGAGATATCAGATCTTGCCCGTCCGACTTGGACGCCGATGCGGCTGTCGCTGTTGCCTGCGTAGCGGTAGGGTTGGCCGAGGGAATTGCAATCTGGGGTTGGAATGACGGAGGCGGCTAGAACAGAAAACGTCAGCATACATACAGCACCGAATCAAAGACCATGCCAATATCCGACAATTGAGCAAGAAAGCAAGGCGAATGAACGAGGCACCACGTACCGTTTCCAGCCCCCGCCCGGTCAAGATCCTCTCAGTGGTGGCGGCCACACTGCCGCCATTGCGCTGCAAATCCCACATGATCTCGCGGGCGCTCAGCTGCGGAAACATCTGGGAGATCTGTTCCACCTGCGCCGGGTCGACGGCATTTCCACGCCCGCGGGGCCGGCCGCCGGCGGGACCCTCGTCGCGATTAAAGAACCATCGAATCACGAAGAACGACACGACCGCTAGCGTGAGGAGTGAGGGGATGTTCAGCGACGGCTCATCGTCTTGCATGGTGGTGCTTCAGCCGTGGGCGCGGAGGTCGGTATGAGTCAGGCACCTAGGTTGCGCTGCAGAGACGGGAATACGGCAACGGAGTGCGAAAATAGTCGGGATGCAGTAAGGTATCGCGTAGGAAGGCAGGGTCGGTGCGCTAGTGTCTATGAGATCCAAGTGAGTCGGGCGTTGGGGGCGCGGATGCGCTCGGGGAGGTGTGGAGGGTCCGGCACGGCGAACGGCGCGTGGGAAGTGGCGTCTTCAGGATAGCACGTGCCTTGGATAACGCAACGCCACCACGTAGAATCAACAACTCAGCAACGCCTTTAGTTACCAGGAAGGGAAGCAGAGAGGGCAATTTTCGAAATAGACAGGAGACGCAATGGCCCCAATGTTCACCTCGCCTCCGATCTTCGGAACCCATTGCCGCTCGGTTCACCGCTGTTGATGGGTCACAGAGCGACTACGAAATCTCCAAGCCATGGAAGGATCTACAAGACCGAACTCAATTATCGAGTCTTGAAAGAGAAAACAGGCCATCATGCATAGATCGTTAACCAACAAAATTCCCATCCTGAGCCAACCAGTACAACCCCGAAACACCAACGGCCAATAGCAGACATAAACAATCCCATGCATCCATGCACATGCTTATTTCATGTCGGCGGGAGTCAGTGCTTGAACAATACTCGTACCCTCGCTGAATCTTGTGCGGAAGATGCGGTTCGCATTCTGGAACATGCCATCCTTGAGTGAAACGACGATGAACTGAGATCCGCGGAAGCGGGTCTTGATCAGTCGGCCGATGTTCTGTGTGTGGGACAAATCCAGCGCCGCGTCGACCTCATCCAGAATGTACATGGGAGCCGGTTTGAATTGCAAGAGGGCCATGATCAACGACAAAGCGATGAGGGAGCTAGAGTCTCAGGGTTAGTTTTTGCAACAGAGAAAAGAATCACCGTAGAGACACATACCGTTGTCCACCACTCAGCTCAGTCAAGCTCTGCTTCCACACCTTACCAAGAGATACCTTGACCTCCAGGCCGTCTGTGATGTCCTTGCCCTCTGGGGGATCGAGCTTGGCAAAGCTGCCTGGCAGTAGTTCCGCGAAAATCTGCCCAAAGTCGCCATTGACCTTGACCCAAGTTTTATGGAGGGCCTCTTTCTTGTACTCATCCAAATTGATGATGGTCTCCTCGATTTTTCGTTTGTCGCGGATCACGGTCTTCATCATGTTCTTGAGCGCGGCCTCCTTCTTTTCAACGCTATCAATCATGTTCATGACCTTCGGATTGATCTTCTTCTTCATGCCTTGAGACCGTTCCGTCAGATTTCGCAGGGTAGACTTGCACTCAGCGATGTTCTGATCCTGGAAGTGATAGGCTGTGTTCGGGCGACCAAAATGCTCCTTCTCATCGGAAATCCATTCGTGTTCCTGCTCCATGTGCGCGACAGCCTGAGCAGCCGTGTGCTGGTCCTTCTGGAGCTTCTCGAGCTGGTGTCCCAGTTTCTGCATCTCCAAGCCTTCTTCGGTAATTTGCGAGGACTTGGATTGCATAGTATCCTGTAATTCCCGTAATTCATCGTCGAAACCGGTCAGCTTAGCTCTCTCATCATCAAGTTGAGCCTGCGCAACATCATGAGCATCCTTAAGTCGGCTCTGCTCCCGCTTGAGGGAGTCAATTTCCTCCACCTGAGCCTTCAGAGTGTTCTCAGACTCTGCCAGCTGTTCCTCGGCAGCTGAAAGGTCACTGCCAACTTGTTCAGAGTCAAGCCTGGAGGTCTGAAGTTCTTTCTGCAGCTCTTTGACCGAGCTGGAGTTCTTTGTGAGGCTCTTCTTGAGAGCGTCGAGCGAAGTCTGAAGTTCCGCCAGCTTGCTATCCTTGTTGTCGCTGAACTCGCTCATGTCCTTCTCAGTTCTCTTGATATCCTTGGATGCTTCGGCTTGGCGAGTCTTTGCGTCGGCGATGTCTTTCTTGAGCTGTTCAATGTTCGCCCTCATTTCTTCGACCGCTTGAATGATCTGAATAAAATTAGCCGCTTGTCCATCTTTGTTGATTAGATGTCAATACATACCGAAGAAGACGAGTTGCTGTTGATCTGCTCCTCAGTGAGCTTGATCTCGTGGGTCTTGAGGTCCAGCTCCTGCTTGATAGACCGCACTGCGTCAAGCTTCTTCTTCTCCTTGTTCATAGTGTCTTCCAAGTTTGCAAGCTGTCGCTCCTTGCTTCGCAGTTCCTTGGTAATCTCATTGAGCTTCTGCAAAGTAACGAGTACGCCGCTTGAATTCGGCGAACTTCCACCAGAGAGGGTTCCAGACGGATCATAGACATCGCCGTCGAGCGTCACACTCTTCATGCGAACAGATGGGTCAAAGGTCACTTTTTTGGCGGTATCGGCGTCATTGCAAACCAGCGTGTTACCAAAGACATAGTTCATCGCTGCAAGGACCTCCTCGTCATGTCCGATTAAGGACAGCGCAAGGTCCACTTTGCCCGGGGCAAGTTTCTGTGCAGCCCCAATCTTCTCTGCAGAAGCCTTGAAGGCTGAGATCTTGTTGAGAGGAATAATGGTCACGCGCTTGCGCAATTTTCCTTTTTGGAGGAGTTGGGTACCGATTTCCGCCGACTCGACAACCACGTTGTACAGGCGACCACCAGCGCAGATCTCCAGAGCAGTGGCCGCCGGGATCTTATCCTTGTTCAGAGTGAAAAGCTGGGCAACCAAGCCCTTGACCTTCGATCGGTCAAAGTTGGGGTGAGGGTCCGTGTAGTTGAAGTCAATATTGGCGGCCTTTCTCTTGAGACCATCGGCCCGTTGGCGAAGATCACGAATGTCCCCCTGCAACTCCTTTTGTTGTTGGTAGATTTGTTCTTCTTTGCCGGGCTCGAAACCAAGCCGGGTAAGTTCCGACTCAAGCTTCTGAGCTTGCGTCTTCAGGCCCTCCAGATCCCGGAGAAGGCCCGAGTTTTGCTCCTTGGCCTTCTTTGCGCGAGGTTCTTCCTCCTTTATCCTCTTTTCAAAATTGCTGACCTTGAGCTTGGCTTGCTCTTGTTCCGTAGCGGCGTTGCTGGCACGGTTGCGGGCATCTTGCAGCTGGCCTTGATATCCGCTCTCTTGCCCTTCTTTCGAAGCGACACCGGTCTGCAATGTCTGAAGCAATTCCTCCTTCTGTTCCACCTCTACTGTCTGTGCGTCCAGTTCGGATTTAGCCGCATCATACTGAGCCTGCAGCTTATCATAGACCTTCTTCTTCTCCTTCAGAACCTTCTCGAGATCACCGACAGTCTTCTGAATGGTCTTGCGCTTCTCCTTTTCCTCGTCAATGCTCGCATTCTTCAGATCGAAAACCGTCGTCAGCCGAACGAGCTCATGGGAGTGGCTTTTGACATCATCTTCCAGGCCTTGGAACTTGCCGCCTTTTCGAAGTTCCTTGTCGCGTGCTGCTCGAACTCGTTTCACATCCTCTTCCAGGTGCACGATCTCGCTCTTCAGCTTTTGGGCGTTATCTTCAAGTGCCTGCACCTTGCTTCTTTTATTTTCGCATTCTTCGCCTGCAACACGCAGCCGTTCGCCGCCGCGTACATAGTCGTGGGCAACCACCAGCCGGGTCAAGCGCTCCAAGTCGTTCTGCGTCTGTTGAAAGTCGAGGAAGGCCCGCTTCTCGGATCGCAGCTTTTCCAGCTTCGGTTCGATCTCTTCCTTCAGAAGCCCTTCGATCTCGCGCAGTTTCAGTTCTTTCTTTCCCATGGTCTTGTTCGCCTTTTCTCTTCGATCTTCGAACATGCGCGTGCCCGCCGCTTCCTCAATCATGGATAGAATTTCCACCGCCTTCATGTTCAGGACCTTCGTAATGCGACCCTGCATAATGAGGAAGTTGGGGTTGTTGATGTTCAGCTGGACACTCTGGAAGAGGTTCTGTACTGTTTGTTGCTGCGCACGGTGGCCGTTGATCAGGTATTTACTCGTTCCTCCAAGAACAATCTGCCGAGTGACGGAAATATTCGCATATTCCTCAAATCCGATCGGCGATTTCGCAGTGTCACGGTTGTCGAAAACGATAGTCACGCTGGCCTTGGTCACACCGGCCTGGCCACGCTTGTAGATGAGATCCTGCAGGTTTTGCGCGCGGACGGTGCTCATGTTGGTGATACCCAGCACGAAACAGATGGCATCGAGGATGTTGGATTTACCGCTGCCGTTCAGGCCAGTGATCGAGTTGAAGGACTCATCCCTGTATCGAGTCGTCAGTCTACCTTCATCGCAACCACTGTATTGAAAAAGGTGGGGACGCAAATGTGGTCCGATACATACCATCCCGAGATCACCGTACGCGAGGCGTACGATTTGAAGCCCTGCCCGCACAAGTCAGCGCAATGTTACCACGTCAACAATTCGGGGTTGGAGATACTCACGTCGATAACGATTTCGGTAATCCTCATGGTTGCGACTCCAAAACAGTGGGCTGCTCGCTCACCGAGGACATGGGTCGAGGGTGACGGGAGATAGTGAAGTGGAGGGTTTTGGCGGGCGCGATTGTTTTGCCGCAAATCAGGTGTTTATGGATTGCCCGTTTGGGCCTGGCGCCCGTAGACTGAGTCAGCGCGGGCGATCACGTGGCTCCATCTATATCCATCTACAGGTCCTCGGCCACTTTTTCTGCGAAGTCTCCGAGTCCCAAAAATATGAGCTGAGCCTCATTTTTGATGGAGCCAGGATTCTGATAAGTGCAATACATGTTCCTCAATAGTCTATGTGCCTCTACTCACTACCGACGTTGACTCGAGTGCTCGACCACTCCCGTCATCCATATGGTCTGCTCCAAGGGTATCCACTGCAGAAGATCGAACCAAGCATAGCCGGCAAGTGATCTTGACTGGGGATCTAAGAGTTTAATCTATGCCATGTTGGGAGGGAGGGTGACTATTCTCTCTCACGCACTCGCGGAGACATTCTCGGACACTTTCTCGCCAGATGAGTACCATGTAGGCGAATGTCTAACTGTCAAATTAGGGATGGGAAATCTATAAAGGCCCCTTGGAGTCCCGGTGTAAAGTGAGGGCCATCCATGATTTCTACATTCCCAAACTTATCTCGTACGATTATTTGACATCCACTTCCATCCTTTCTTCTATACTTCCTACCCCGTCACGGACTTTTCCCAAGCTTCCCAAACCCCAAGTACCGTCTTTCCACTATGTCTCCAAACCAAGAGTGGGAGAATATTTTCAAGGGCAACGCCTTTGTCAATCAATACCAGACCGGCGAAAGGGTCACCGGCACCTTTGCTCGGCCTCTGATCGAGCAGAGCAGGTTGATTGACTACACCAAGTCCAACCCGGACAAGCCTTTGGTGGTCCTGGATAATGCTTGTGGTACTGGAGTTGTCTCCAGCATTCTTCACCATGAACTGGACGACAGTGTCAAAAGGAACTGGCGGTTGACCTGCGGGGATATCTCGGAGGGCATGCTCGAGTGGACCAGACACCGAATGCAAGAGGAGGACTGGCAGAACGCGGAGACCAAGACGGTCGATATGCTGAAGACTGGATTGCCCAATGCGCATTTCACGCACGTCTTCACGGCTTTTGGTAGGACTCCAGATCTCACATAGAAAGCCCTGCTGCGACTTTTCGCTGACCATGATCGTCGTGAATCTTCAGCTTATATGACACTGCCCGACTCTTCGGCTGCTTTTGATGGTAATGCGGAATGCCCTAATGAGCACATTTTCTTGCATGAAAACGAATGCTAACGCGATCTCATTAGAAACTACTCGAATCTTGCAGCCCGGTGGAACAATTGCTTTCTCCACATGGATAGAGCGTAAGTCTTCTGTTCCCTTTGGCCAATTTTGCTGTCACGGAGTCACTAACTCAAGACCAGCCGGTTGGTTGTCCATTGTGAAAAAGGCCGTGGAAACCATACCAGGAAACCTGCCCTTTCCCACTCACCAGGAATTTCTATCAGTCATGCGCAACGGCGAATGGCACTCTGTGTCTTGGATTGAATCCCAGCTTAAGCAGCGAGGATTCGAAGACATCAATGTCCAAGCTGATTTCAAGAAAATCTCTCTTCGGGTGACGCAGCTCGTGGACATGACGATGGTTATGTTCCCGATGGTGGCCAAGTTTTTTTGGTCAGAGAAACAGCGGGAGGAAGACCAAAGCAAAGTTCGTCCGGCGCTGACCAAGTACCTGGAGGATATCTACGGCAAAGACGGGGATGTGCCGATGGACTGGACGGCTATTCTCTCGACTGCTCGCAAGCCATACTAGACGGGAAGGGTTGTCACTATCAGGTGCTAGGGGCCCACAGATACATGTATCAAGCATAAGAGTATAGCTCGCTTTACACCCAAGAGCCTACGTGAATGCCTGCAAATTTTTCTTTTTCTTTGGCAAGGTCATGGAGGTCAATTAATGCAAGACAAGATCTTGGTTTCTCATACATCGCATTTAAGCCCAGTAAATCAACGCAGCCTTGTTCCCCAAACGGCACTATACGACCGGCCACCACCCTGGAGCAACATTGCAGAAACCAGTGAACGCCATTGCTGATCGATTAATTAGTGTGCGCCGCACCCTGCTCAGATCGATCAATTTCAAATTCATGAGGCATGATGCGTGAGACCAACTGCGCGACTCAGGCCTCGGTTCGGGTCTAGTCGGTTGTCCAAATCCTCATATCGCAGAATGAACTCGCGCTGGGAAAACAAAGGAGAATCAGTATACCGGGTTCTTGCAAAACATGGACGGTCGTAAGGAACATACTCGGATCTTCTTCCAGCTGGTAGGGTCCCAAAGCAGATACACTCCGCGTTCGCTCACACCTCGTTCCACATCGACTGGGCCAGGGTATGTCTCATCGCGAGTCAACCAACACCGCTCGAGCTTGTGATACCGCCATTTCCGGCCCATCAACTCCTCTGCAACCAGCTCTTGCATGATGTCTCGGGGCATGCTATAGAAGATGTAGAAGAGCGTCTCGTCACTGAATCCAGGGATGCGAGACTGCAAGGGTTGGATGTTGGCGACGTTGTAGCAAGCCGGCAGGGAGAAATCTTGTTCCAAAGGCACCGCGGACATGGACGAAACGAATGGGGAAGCGAACGACGTGTGCAGAGGCCTAAAGCATTACAAGGTTAGCAAGGCCAGATCCATACCAAAAATCGAGGGTGTACGCACTCGGGCTGATTCAAGTCCAATCCTAATGTCATCAAATCCTGTCCAACAGCAAGACTCGCCACATCCGGACTTTCGCTATGAATCATGCGCAACAGTCCGGCCAGCCCAAACCTGTCAATCTCACTCATTTGCGCAAGAGGCGGCTGCTCAGCACTTTGGGTAGCCCCAGGCACCTCTTGTCCATCGCTCTGTTGCCTTTGCTGCAATTGCGGCGGGTCGCTGAAGTTGCGTTGACCGGTCATCAAGTTGTTACTGCTCAGCTCCTGTGGTGCGGTCAGCGAATGCAGGGCGTGTGATGTGATCGCCGAGGGAATTACTTCTTTCTCTTGTCCCAAAATCCCATTCGGTCCTTGGTTAACAGGCGACCGCGGCGTTCCTAGACCTGAGTACCGTAATCAGCGGGTTGCCCGTTTTAGTCTGCAATCTTCTTCACGTACCACCGGAGCTCGCCGCAGTAGGTGACATGATCCGTGATGGTTCTTGTCCGTTGATCGACGCGGCAATTAGGTTGCGATTCTGCGTGGACTGGGTCTGGTTCACACCGGAGAATGCCATGCCAGAGTTGTAGCTACCGAATCCCGTGTTCTGCATCATGGAGCCTCGACGGTCTTGGGCAAGGTCAGCGGCGACATTCCGGCCCAGAGGAGGAAACTCGTCGATGTTTCCTGTCTGAGGCTGGCTACCGGCACCCAGTTGGCTACTAATACCTTGGCCGCCATTCCGGAAATCGTCCAGTCGATTTGCGAACTGGGCGCCTGAAGGGAACATATCATCGTGTGCTTGAGACGGCTGTTGGCCCGGGAGCGATGGGGTCTGAGAAGCTCGAGAAGGGGGTTGCGATGTCGGAGGATGTTGTTGTCTCTGGACAGGTGTGTGCTGCGTAGCTCGTTGACTGGCGTTGGCCCACATGAGCTGCCCAGGCGTCTGCGATTGTGATTGTTGCGACGCGCCAGATAGAGATGGGAATTCCCTAAGTACCCCAGCGTTTATTAGCCTGCGAATTCTCACACTCGGGCAATTCGTAGACGCAACGAATCCGTAATGCCCGGGGCCTGGCCACTATGGGCTCACTTACGAAAGATCCAGCGGTGCTGCAGATTGAGACCCGCCAAGGCTTTGCGCAAAGCTGCCCATGGCTCCCATGCTGCGCTGCTGATTCCCCTGTAGACCGGATGTTCCGCCCACAGGAAGGTTGAAGTTCCAGTTAGCGGCGCCACCTAGTCCTCGAGCCCATGTATTAGCATCCACCAGTTGTTTCCAAATACTGACTGTCCCAGTCGACAAGGAGGTAATTAGCCGTACCGAGCTTTCCGTTTGGCAGTCGCGCAGAAGCTAATGTCGCATTTCGAGCCTGAGCTTGCTGTTGCGCGGGGAATCCGGACATGCCTCTGAGCGGCTGCGGACCGGGACCTGGCAGAAAGCACGGGGAGTTAGCATGATCTTCGGTGTCTGATAGAACGGCGCCCCTGCTTGAGTCGACAAGGCAAGAATGCATGGGGATTTCCGTGCAAAAATGTCTCGGTCGCAAATGAAGAAACTATCTGCACGAGGCTTGCCATTGGAGCACGAAACCCTTCCTTGCCCAGGATCCGGGCGATCACCTCGAAAACTCGAGCCCAGAAACACGACCGGAGCAAGTCTTGGGAAGTCAAAAGCATTCCACCCTGGTGGCAGACATGGAAAGGGCCCCCGAGGGCATTGCAGGAAAATGACGAACCTGGTCTATTCATGGTGAAGGGTTCTCGGACAACAAATAATACACAAGACCTCTGGGGCCTTCTGAGAGCGATCACAAGAAAGAGTTGGTCGAGTCTCAATCCAAGGGAGAATCCGTGGAGGGATAGCAATCCACAAAGGGCCCTCTCGACGCTTGATGCGGCACTGCTCTGCTGGAGGTGGAGTAAAGCGATTGGGCAGTTAAACGCGCGGATGCTGAGAAGCGCACACGCCAGTCTGGGGCAGCCGCGTACAGAGACGCTCTGAGAGAGTGTGTTAGTTGCTTCTAAAAAATATATAAGACTTTATTTGAAGAATCAGGTCCCAATAAAGGGCATCGCATGAATCGGATGAAAGTTTGACGACGTTGAAATGGAAGAGTGGTCGAACTTGAGTTGCCGCCCAGTCAGGTGATCTTGCCGCCCTTCGAAGCCCCGAAAAAAAGCACTGGCGTCCATCACTCCCTCCATCACCACCATGTATCGGCAGTGCATTGCACGGCTTGCCCGGCACAATGGGGGGCTCTTCTTGGCTGAGCTCCCTCCTCCATATCTGGCGCCTTCGCTCCACTTCTCTCCGCCTTGCTCCATACAATCCTCAAGCTTTTCTTCGACTGCCGTCGCCGCCAGCCGTCGTGGACGCGACTTGAACCGAACGCGCGCCGTATCAGCCATCCACCGAACGGGTCCGAGATTCAAACTCAGCGTATCCAAGTACCCATTGCCTAAGCCCGTGTCGGCGGAATCGATGGAGTCCCGGCCTATGAATCCTGACCATGGACTCTGGGGCTTCTTCCCTCCCACGCGTGAGCCATTGAGCACCCCGGAATACGACATTGATTTTGGTGAGCTTTTTGGACCTTGATTCTGTTTTCCATTCTGTCTATGTATTATCAGAGACATACACGGATGGGGCTGACTGAAGTTTAACTAGGCCGCCCCTGGGCCGTTCAAGAACTCCGCCAAAAGAGTTGGGAAGAGCTTCACCGGCTCTGGTGGGTTTGTGTCAAGGAACGCAACCGCATTGCCACGTCTGACTTGGAACGGCGGCGATTCAAGCCCGGTTTTGGTGACCACGAATCTGGCGAGCGCGATCAAGCGGTATGTTTGTCCACCATGGAGCCCTTGGCATCTTATACTTTGTCCTCTCTTGAGTGAAGGCACTTTCTGGGAGTCATTTCACTTCGAACATGGACTCTTCCACATCTCGTCCTCTTTCATAAGTTTTTCCAGTCGAGGACCGCTGACAATTTCTTTGCTACTAGATTCGAATTACCCAGAAGTCCATCAAGCATGTTCTGCGTGAGCGCTGGTATGCTTGGGAGGAGGCCAAGCGATTGTATGAAAAAGGAGTCCGCCCGAAGGTCGAGGACTACCTGGAGGATGGTACACCCTGATGGGGTCGGGACAATGCCAACCGACCTGGTATGAGTATATTCTCATGTAGCATTATCTTTCCCTTCGATTTCTGTTTGGGATGTGTTGTGTGTGTAAATTAAACCAAATCTTTGTTTCACTTGAGTATCGAGTCACCATGTGGCCATCGATCCTTTCTCAGGGGCTCAGCAGGCATCATAGATGAGCCACTGTCTTCAGGGGTAAACCGATCCTCCAGGCAAACTATGTACAAAAAAAGATCTATTAATATGGGCGACTTTACTGCGATGGTCACTGGAAAATCACTAGTGGTGGATCCCGTCAAATAGTCCCCTTTCGACTTACCGCTTCGTTGATCCGCGGGGACAAGCTACCAGGCCAACCTTCTGCTGCCTCTTCCTTTTTTTCCCTCCTGTCCCATCCCCTCCTTTGCATCCTCGATTACTATCCTGTCTATTCTCGATATCCACCATGGAAGAGATCGCCCCGGAGTACGATGTGGTGGTGCTCGGCACTGGTATGTTGCTACCCCGCCATCCATCGCCCCCAACACTGACCATTTCCTCTAGGCCTGACCGAGTGTGTGTTGTCTGGGTGAGCACTTCCTGATTCGACTCTACTTGGCAATGTTTCGTTTCTCATCGTGCATCTATCCAGTGTCCTGAGTGTGAAGGGCAACAAGGTCCTCCACATCGATCGCAATGACCACTACGGAGCGTAAGTAGACGGCACAGCTCCCCGCGATCCGGGACCGATGTAGCTGACTATAGTATTAGCGAGGCAGCCTCTGTCAACATTGAGACAGTATGTCTGTGGATAGAAACTAAGTGATACCTCTCTGCTGACATCTCTTGCAGCTGTTCAAGAAATATGGCAACGTCCGCCCCGGCGAGGAGCCCTGGAAGAAATACGGGAGGGTCAACGACTGGAACATCGACTTGGTCCCGAAGCTTCTGATGGCCAACGGAGAGTTGACAAACATTCTGGTGTCCACGGATGTCACGCGGTACCTCGAGTTCAAGCAGATCGCCGGCAGCTACGTCCAGCAAGGCAAGGGTCCCAAGGCGACCGTGGCCAAGGTGCCCTCGGACTCCGGCGAAGCGCTGCGATCCTCCCTGATGGGTTTGTTTGAAAAACGTCGGGCCAAGAAGTTCCTCGAGTGGGTCGGTGAATTTAAGGAGGATGACTCTGCCTCGCACCAGGGTATGTGACCAATCTACTGTGAATATGGGACACAACCGCCACTGGACCGAGACTCATTCGCTGGCGCAGGACTAAACATCGGCTCTTGCACGATGAAGGACGTTTACGACAAGTTCGGAATCGAAGATAACACCCGTGACTTCGTCGGTCACTCCATGGCCCTGTATCAATCGGACGAGTACATCACCAAGCCTGGCATGGCCGTCGAGACTATCAACCGCATCCGCCTGTATGTTAACTCGATGGCCCGTTACGGCAAGTCGCCGTATATCTACCCTCTCTACGGCCTGGGTGAGCTCCCCCAGGGCTTTGCTCGTCTGTCGGCTATCTATGGCGGCACCTACATGTTGAACACCGACATCGACGAGGTGTTGTACGATGACAGCGGAAAGGTTTCGGGTATCAAGGCGACCATGAAGGACCGTGATGACCAGTCCACCGCTATGAAATTCGAAACCAAGACAAAGAAGATCATCACCGATCCGTCCTACTTCCCGAGCAAGGCCAAGATCACTGGATATCTGTTGAAGGCGATCTGCATTCTGAAGCACCCCATCGAAAAGACCGACGGCAGCGATTCGCTGCAGCTGATTATTCCTCAGTCCCAGGTTGGGCGCAAGCACGGTGGGTACCCAAATGATGTATAGGCGTGATCTCCCTACTAACTCATTCCAGATGTTTACATCGCCATGGTCTCGGCCGCGCACAACGTCTGCCCCAAGGGCTACTACATTGCGATTGTTTCTACCATCGCTGAGAACGACGCGAACCACCATCTGGAACTCGAGCCCGGCTTCGAGCGCTTGGGTGAGATCGAAGAGAAGTTCATGGGCCCTCCGATCCCACTCTACGAGCCCCTGGAGAGCGGCAAGCAGACCAACATCTTCATGTCGAAGAGCTACGACGCCACGTCGCATTTCGAAACCACTACCGGTAAGCAGTATTCAATTGTTGAGAAATTGTTGGCCTTTGCTAATTCCCTGGGCCAGATGATGTGCGGGACGTGTACCGTCGCGCGACTGGCGAGGAACTGGTGGTTGAGGGCCTTCGGGAGGATCAGCAGCTTGCTCAGGAGTAAACAGACTGTTGAGCCTCGACCAGATAACCTCTTGCTGAGTAGATGAGCTGACTATATCTTCTCTGAACATGTTTTGATGTTCTCTGTTGTTGTTTTTTTTTTTTTTGCTCGCGCCTTGGCGGCGACAGGTTCAATCTACCTGCAACATAAACCTCTTCCTTGTTCCATATCATGATCACTTCATCCTGCGTATTTTTTTTATTTTTTTTTTATTTTTTTTTTAAAAAAAAGAGGGGGAACCCCCCATTTTGCTGGCCTGTCAGTCCAGCGGTGGTTTAGCGTATATACCTCAGCCTCAGGGACAATACCTGGTATCCTCCCTTGTAAATCAGGAGGGTCCTGCGATGGGGCGCAGTTAGGATCGACGCATGTCTATCATGACCTTTTCCGTTACCTACTGTACCAAGCACACCACCGCGTATAAATCACCCTATAAAGATGTGCCGCCAACCGCTTCGATAAACAGGCCTTTTTTTGTTCTCTTCTAACTATCCACCCCAACCGCACTGCCTTCGTATATAGATCTCATATCATCAATCCCTCACCATGAAGTACATCGGTCTTGCTATGGGCTTGCTGAGCTCTGCCCTCGCTCTCCCTCACAGCGCTCCGCCTCTCCCTCTTGAAACCTCCTCCGACCTACCGTCTAGCCTGCTTTCAGGCTGGCCTACCCCGACAGGCCCTCTTCCCAGCGACCCGCTGCCAACATCGAACGGGGTCGAGAAGCGCCGACTCGACAGCACTACCAGCGACACCGACACCAGTGACAATCCCGACGAGTCGAATGCCAGCATCGCCACGACGGTAACCGTGGGGCCTCCCGATGCCGTCAAGAAGCGCCAGTTCTCGTCTACCCTCCCGACGGACCTGCCCCTTTCACTGCCTTTTGAAATCATCCCGCCTATCTCTAGTGGCATTGCCCGGCCCAGCAGTACCTTTCAAAAGCGTCAGCTCGACGAGTCTTCTATCACTGTCGGCCTCGGCATCATTCAGACCGATGCCCCTGAGAAGCGCCAGGTCTTGGATCTGAGTGATCTGCCTGTATCTACTCCTTTGGTTTAGGCTATGGGACTAATAAGTAAATGAGTGCTCTTCTATCTCCACGCTTGTGCGATGCTTGCTGGAGTTAAGAACTCTACACCCTGGTGATCTGGTGACAAGGACTCCAGGAAGAGATTGTGTCTTTGTATAGTTGGTGGGTTTTGTGCGGGGGATTGTGGCTGTTGATTGATTCTTGTTCTCTTGTAACTATATAACTAGAAAGTATATACGGGCCATGGGCCATGGATATAGAAGGATCTAGGGTTTTGACGTGTATGGAGGTTATGCGGGTCCGGTTTTTTGTCTTTGGACTGCAATATACACTCTTCTGAACTGGCGTACACTCCTTAGATTTGAATGTTGCCAGAATGCTGTACTGAAAATTGTATTCCGAGTGTCATCCGCAAGAACTATACCCTCAAGTAATGTACACTTGCATCAACCAAATGAAAACTCGCTCCACTTAGAAGATGAGCATATCTACTATTCCTCCAGTCTTTATGCGAGATTTCATATGCTAAATGTCTTGAAATCTGACGGCAACTTCAAAATCAAGTAGGTATCAGTAATCGGTAGATCTATATAGAGTGCCCAAATGCATAAAATCGAGAAAGAAAAAAAAGAAAAAAAAAAAAAAAAAAAAAAAAAAAAAAGCAACATCTCTATCTGTCTAGCATGACAAAACCGCAATTCTCCAGGCCACTCAAATCCTCTGCGTCACCTCAGGATCTATATTGGCCTTCTCATGCTCGCCCACCACACACACGTCTCCACTGGCAGCCCGCTGGATCTCCGCCCGCAGCAGCGCCAATCTTTTACCAACATGCACCAGCTCGCAGACCAGCCGCACCTCGGTCCCCGTCGGCACGGGACGCAGATAGGTCACCTTGAGATTGCGACTGACGCCACCCAAAGCGAATTTGCCGGGTTCGGAGATACCCAGCAGGATCGTGGTCGATAATACATCGATCAGGGTCGCCGCACAGCCGCCATGGAGGTTACCCATGATATTGCTGAGTCCCGGGGTAATGGTAAAGAGGAATGCGACCTGGGCCGGAGGACCGCGGGTTGCGGATTCGAAGCGGAGATTGCAGCTATGGGGGTCGACGTCCCAGCCCTGTGTGCAGGGTGCATTCCGGAGTCAGCGCGAGATTTACATGATCAACTCTATACATGTATACCGCATAGGGGTCCTAGAAAGGTAGATATGGGAGGTGGACTTACCTCGGTGTTGCCCCCGAGCATCCGGCTGGCGTACTCGTAGACGAGTTCTTCGAATTCGCCCAGTTCCCTGGATGGCCGACCTAATGTGGATTCAGACATGGTGTGCGCAATAAAAGACGAAATGATATTTAGGATTAGATAGGGTTGGAATTGTCTATGAAGAGAAGAGAAGAGAAGCGCGCATGGTCACCCCACAAGGCTCGGATTGGACCTCGGCTGACAGGGCCATTGCTATGGTCGGCTTATGGACCTCACTGCCTTGCCATGTTAGACATATTAAATATATTCAATACATGGATATTATTCCAACCTTGAAGGTTTTGAATTGATTATTTTTCGCTATCAATATTAGTGTCTGCTTTACAGGTCTCTCATGCTGCCATGCCGAGTACATTGAAAGTGACATGCACATGCGACGACATATAATTCTTTGCGAATTCTAGCATCAATCAAGAGACCCATCCAAGTATTCTTTGCATTTCTCTTCAAGCCCTTGGGTATTTCAAGTAGGTATGGTCACTTCCCGACTGCAAGGGAACCTCCTTGTTCTCCTTGGAAGCACCTGACTTCGCGTCACGCGTGGCCTGAGGCGCCAAAGTCGCCCTCCCGCTCCCCGGCTGCGTATTTCCTCCACGCTCGGTGCTTGGACGAGGTAAAAGGTTGGGTGCCTTTGCTCTGTGATTCAAGCTGTGGAAACTTCAACCCATGCTATTTTCTATCCACATCTCAATTGCAGCCAATGGCATCACTCCCGGCTCAAACTGATTATTGACCGCGTCGATGGAAGCTCCTAATTTCTTCCGATAAAACGGTCGCAAACTCGAATTCAACGGTCTTCCATAGGAAAAATATCCCCACGCCACATCTGTCGACGCGCCCTTTTCTTTCAGTTTATCGCCCCTCGACTGTCGCCGGCGATTCAACCTCCCAAGCCAATCGCAAAGATGAAAGACCCACGGGCGTCGAAGAGGCGGAAAGTCTCGGAAGAACTTGGCCAGGATGAAGATGGAGACATTGCGATGGAAAGCGACAGTGGAGATGTCTATTCGATTCCATCATCACCAACCGGCCGAACGCCTGGTGCTGACGGCGAACTTTCCACTCGTTCGAAACAAACATCCCGACGGCGATCTACCCGAGGCGGAGCTGCATACGCACCAGAAGCGGAGGATGAAGATGAATCGAACGAGGGACAAGTCACAGAAACGCCTTCGAGAGCGGGCGTCCGCTCAAGTGGACGACAGCGAAAAGTACCACAAAGATACGAGGAGGACGCCGCCACACCATCGTCGAGCCGAAAGCCAGGTACCACACCTTCGAGGAATAGCCGCGCGACAAGAAGCGCACAGAAGCCAAGACGGGACTCGATTGTGGATGATGCCGAGATGGATGTCGATTACGAACCTTCGCAACCTCAAACCGGCTCGATCACGAGGACCAGATCCAGGAAGAGTACACCGAAGCCCAGATCGAACGGCGCGAGCAATGGGAATGTCTCTCAGGATTCTCACAAGGACCAATCTCCTTCGCCGGAGTACAATGACGGCCTTGACGACCTAGTGGCAATCCAGCTCCAGCAAGATCTTTACCAGAACCAGCCCGAGACGCAAGAAGCAGTAGAGACACTTGAACCATCTCCGGACTATGTTCAACGCCTTCAGGAATTGTCCCATGGTCTTGACGACCAAGCACGCGTGCTTACAACTGCCATCCTCGAGAAGCTATCTGGGAAACGGCAAGTTCCACTTCGAGGGCTGGAGAGTGAATATCACAAAGCCCATCACCTCGTCGAGCAGACGGTCACATCTGGCGAGGGCAACTCCATGCTTCTGCTTGGATCAAGAGGGTGTGGGAAATCTGCCATTGTGGAAACGATCATTTCTTCTCTCGCCAGGGAGCACGGTAACGATTTTCACGTTGTCCGTCTGAATGGCTTTTTGCATACAGATGATCGTCTGGCTTTGCGGGAGATGTGGCGCCAGCTTGGTCGGGAGACCCATACTGAGGATGATGCGGCCAAGGTCAACTCCTATGCTGATACAATGGCAACCCTCCTGGCACTGCTGTCGCACCCGGAAGAGCTATTTGGGGCCTCGGGGAACGGGGGGCAGTGACTGCTGCCAAGTCAGTGGTGATTTTGCTGGATGAATTCGATCTTTTCGTCACTCATCCCCGGCAAACTCTTTTGTATAATTTATTCGATATCGCCCAGGCGCGGAAAGCACCAATAGCAGTGATCGGGCTCACAACCAAGGTCGACGTCACTGAAATGCTGGAGAAGCGTGTGAAGAGTCGATTCAGCCATCGTTATGTCTACGTTCCGCTCCCCAGATCGTTTGACACCTTTTCGAATATCTGCCTGGCGGGACTGGATCTCGACGAGGGCGAGACCGGGCAACTTGCTGAAGCTCTCGACTCTCGGCGTGGTATTATCGAGTCGCATGACTGGAAGAAACTGCTCGAGGGATGGAAAGAGTATCTACAGGTATATCCTGAGACCATGTCTACATTTGAATCCCTTTTCTAATATTCTTCGCAGCATCTATGGAGTGACAACGGGTTCCAAGCCCATCTCAAGCGGATCTACCATCAGACCAAATCCGTGAAGGAGTTCTTCACCAGCGCCTTACTCCCTATCAGCGACATACTTCACAGCACCTACGCAGCCGATGGAAGTGCGCTCCAAATCCCTACACCCAAGCGCTTTACTTCGCAATCCTTGTCTTGCTCCGACCCACCCCCTCTCCCATTTTCAACCTCGATCACGGCATCGTCGAGCCCGTCATCACTGCCGCTGGCCCTGTTGCTGGCCGCAACGCGCTTGACAGCACTCTTTGACCCGGGACTCGACGGAGCCTCGTCCCAAACTCTCGCGCCGCTCGCGCTGTCCTTTCCCGCTGCCTATGCAGAGTATGTCCGGCTTTTGACCTCGGCGAAGATGTCTGCATCGGTTTCGGGGGCGGCTGCCACGCCCGGTCGTGTTTGGGGTCGTGATGTTGCTCGCGAGTCATGGGAGAAGCTGGTTAGCTGGGGTCTTGTCACTCCTACGGGTAGTGGGAATGGCACAACCGATGGACAAATGTTCCGTGTGGAAATCAGCTTTGAGGAGGTGGTGGAAATGGCCGGCTCTGGCGGATCGCTAGGACAGTGGTGGCGGGATGGCTGATGTTCTGGCTTGGGTTCTCAATGTGTGGATTATTCCGAAGACATTTTGAAACTCTGCAATGGTTAGCCATATATGGAATGACAGGCGAGCGTTGGGATGGACTCTGGGGTGTGGTCACCTCAGTCCATATCCATAGCCATTACATCCACGGATGCATTACCAAGCTTCACACTCTGACTCAACAATTCACTTACATACCACTTACGCCGATCGAGGAAGTTTAGCAATCGAGATACACTCGTAAGATTCCTAGCTACCGATCATTACTGGCTGTTTCTGATGACGGATCCCACCGATATATCCCATCGCCACTTGGACTCTGCCGAGGTTAGACCCTCTCATCCTGCCCTTTTCGTAGTCATCGACACAGTACAAAGGTATGTAAGCCCAACCTCCCTCTGTGTATGCCTCTATGTATGTTTCTATAAGGCACCAGCCGCTGATCCGCTGATCCATTCATCCTACAGTAATCCTGACAATAAATACACCTAGGCACCAATGAAGTAGTGTAAGAGCAATCACTTAAAGCTGTGTCGTACTCTCGGCAGATCGGAGACCCAAATACTCCCGAGTGTGGCCCAGAGGTGTTGGGCGTAGATCCTGAGAGGGGGCCGGTTGAGTGGCAACTGCAGGCGTGAAGTGTGACTGACTTGTTAAGGGATGATCAGCAAACTATATAGGAGGTCCACTATGTACAGAGACAGACATCTACTTCAGGAGTGTGATTGGGTCTGTAGAAATATAAAAGAGAAGAGAACTTACCGTTGTTACTTGGAGGATGGAAGTTAAATTGTAAGTTAAATTTTTGTTTATACTTGGGCATATGGCTGGATGGATTCATGCATATTATACTTACAATGTCTATAGTATATACCTAGTAGGTATTTAGGTATATAGCTGTGTACCTATATTGGATATCCATGTATACCTATGATAGGCCTAGTAATACCTAGGAAGGAAGAATACTGAAGTACTGTATATACATACAAGCATACCTACTGTAGGTAGAGTAGACAACCTCAGTCTATAAGCAAGGAGGTAAACCCACCTATATATGTACTCCCAACGCAGTTGTTCAGGGTCTCTCCCCCTTCGAGCCAAGAAGTCTATCTAGCGTTTGAATATTTGAAGACTCTCAAGAGTTGCCACGGGAGGAACCAGCAAAATGAAAGTGTGATTGGGTGGCCAACACGCGGCAGACGTGTGCTCGCCATGTGTCGGAAGTGACATGTCGATTCTCCCGGCTTTGCCCACAAACGGCAAATACCGCGCAGGGATGGGTGTGTATGCAGGCAGACCAGGGTTCCATGCGAGGATGCAAGCATGCCTCTCATGTGGCTTCTGTGCTGCATGGGGCTGCGAGGGCGATTGGTTTATTATTTATTCCTTTTTTTTTTTTCTGTTTCAAGATGCCTCCCTACATTCAATGTATTCAGTATGTGTATATATCCCTCGGATATATATCAAGTCCTCACATCATGCTTATACTATTCATCTCTTTCTTCTTAATTTATTATTATACTAGAGTGTGGTAGAATCTCCAGCTTGTATATCCTAATCCATGTTGAAACTCCACCCCATAATACCAGGATCTATAGGCCCAGGCTTCGGCCGTTGGGAATCCATCCAGTCCATACTGCAGGGCGCAGATCGGCATTCTGGTCTCCCCGGTAAGACAATCATGAGCTACCTGCTGCAGCCCGCAAATCCCCCTCTCCCCCTCTCCCTCTCCCTCTCCATGAGAAACATAACCGCCAGGATCCGAGTACGGCCCACACATCACTTTCCTTCCCCTTGAGAAAGAGTCCAGCGAGGGCCCGAGTAACTGCATCCAGCCGCGGAGAAATCAAGACCGTGCTTTGTGCGACAATCAAGAAACCGGCCTTGTGTGACTTTGCCCAGAGCCCTGAAAAGAGGAGAGAGAGACGGGAAGACAAGAGAAGACAGAGAAGACAACAAGGCTGGGGTAGTACACATGCCCGGGTTGATCCTTTGATCCTTGCTGTACTGTTGTATGTTGTTTTTCCCCGTCTGTTTGAATGTTTGAATGCATACTGTATGCTGAATAAACCAAACAATAAATGACTGTGATATTCTCGGGGAGGAGAAGAAACCACAAATTGGGGAGACGATCAGCATGCCGAACTGTAGCCCCCAAACCCCGCTTTCCCGTGTCCCCCGATGCAGCTCGCAAGTTTGGATGGTGTGTTATGGTGATCGTCTACGCTAAGATCAACGGTGTCGGGGGGAAGAGATCAGGGTATTTACAAGAGAGAAGTAGAAGTGAAGAAGTGGCTAATTAGAAAAGTATACAGTATATAGTACAGATATAGTTAAATATATCGAGGTAGATAGAATAGACAGAAAAACACAGAAAAGAGTGCGAGTAATCAATCTGAAGAGCAAAGTGCTATGACGATTCTCATCGACCCATCGGCCTTCCGCCTTCTCCGCTACTGTGCAGTAGTCAAAAGACACGGAGCAGGGAGCCACCGGGTAACTTCCGTACGTCAGAACCTTTTTAAGTCTATGATCAGAAGAAAGCGAGGGGCCACTGAAGAAACAGAAGGTGCATGCCGAGCCGTTTCAGATGAATTATGGTGCCTCTTCTCGTGCCGAGATCGTTGGGGCTCGTCTAGATTACCGGATTCATCTGGTTGAAGATGCTAATGTCTGCAAACATGGATGATCATACATATATATATATTTCTTCTTATTCTCGGTAAATCATGGCCTCATGCATAAATGTGACCCCGATGTATGTAAAGTATACTAGATGCCTTGGTAGAGACAATCGAGGACGGGAACATAAAGCGGAGTTTTCTCGGTCTAGTGGGGTGTTTGCCGAGTACAGTATGGGATATGTATGCTAACAGTGTCGAAGTGGTGATGGAGATTCAGGGTCTATGGGGTTTTGACAGGATCGTTCATCACATCAAGGTTACAATGCAGATCCGATCCTGCCCGACTCGTCGACCGAATCCTTCTCAGCCGAGACGCGCCCGACCGAGTGTTAAGTCTAGGGAACGTGTATGTTCATAATGATAATAATGTAACAGGCATCACTATAAGTCTTCAGAGGATATGATAATTGCTGCTTTGCCTGAGCCAATTCTCGCCAAAAAAAAAAAAAAAAAAAAAAAAAAAAAGACTTTTACAGTATATACCTGCTAAGTACCGTAAAAAGAATCCTGTAGGAATGAATTCTCCTACATATTCGCTACCCGAGCAAGTAAAACAACGTCAAGCAAATCCTCCAGAACCACATGGGCGCAAGAGATGTTCTCCACAGTCGACGGGTTTAATGCATATCATCGGCAAGCTGTTAGAAGGATTCGTTCTTAGTCTTTTGGCGGGCAACTGCTAGCTGCAGGACACACGGGCTTGAGCATCATACACCCACACTTATAGACCTATGGATCTATGCCTAAGGGGGCCCGATGTAACGATTGTTGCCCGTTAGGACGACTCGCAGAGAGGCCACGTGGAATTGATGTCTTCCGCCCCCTTTTCTTTCTTTCTTTTCCCTGATGTGTTTATATACGGGGCGCACTAGATTCAGGTACAAGGAACCACCACTTGTAGATGACAGGTCGGATCGGAGAGGTCTCCTCCGGGAGGCGAGGAGCATTGTCACAGGATCAGATGTTATGATTATTATAATTATTGTATTGTTATTAGTATATATAATGATTCTAAACGATTATCATTATAATACTATTATGGTTCAATAGACCGCAATTATTAGCCCACTCATCTATCGGCTATAGTGTCCATCAGCTATAGGTCGCTGCCAAGTATTAACCAAGAAAAAGAAGAAGAAATTCAAATATTAAGGCTGTCAATCCAGAGTACCCGGAATCCTTCCGATCCGATGTGGAGCAGAGAAGAATAGAGGATGCAAAGGATGAAAAGTACCAGAGAGAGAGAGAGAGAGAGAGATGGACCCGGAACACAGGATTCTTAGCGTCTTCTAGAAATTTTCTAGAATGGTTCTAGGGCGGAAATCTTTGCCACGCGTATTAGAAGCACGGCTCTCCCACACAGCAGATCTCGGTCGGGGCTGACCTAGACGGGGGGCCGCAATGCCATGGCCCGAAAAAACCATGGGTGAGAAATCTGTGACATACTAAAGAGGAGAAGGAGGGAAAAAAAAAAAGTGGATATTGTTGATGCTCGATTTGGTGGTCTGCTCCGAGTTGAACCAGAGTCTATGACACGTATTTATGATCTCCGGGGAGGTCGCGGTCAATGTCTGCTTTAAGCAGGTGAAAAGATTGTTACAGTTTTTTTATTTCGGATTTTCCGAGGAATAACCTTCGAGTTAGAGAAAGTTAGTACTGTAGGTAGGGCAAAAGTATGTTGTAGTATTCGTCTACCCTATATACTGTATCCCTTACCCTAACCCTAACATGCCAGTTTTGATAAATGGCAATAACTCAAGGTCCATAGAATGGGCAAATACATACATTCTTGTGTCCCCACTATGTCTGCCTATTATGTGTTACGCATGGTGCCATGCTTACCTACCTAGTAGGTAGACTTAAATACAGTACAGTAGGATAATCGGGGGGGGGGGGTAGGGGGGGGAAGGGGGCAGACTTGAGATTCCTTCGAGTGACTTGGTCACCAACAGAAAAAAGAAAAAAGAAAAGTTAAAAATCCAACATCAACATAATCCTCCCCTGCTTCGGTGAGACCGTTCGACAGCCTTGCGGATATACGCACCTAATGGAGTGATGTCTATCAAATTCGAGCATGGGGGTCGGACAATGATTCATGCGCGAATCCTATAACCACTGGAAGATGATTTACCATGATTTGATTTGATTTTATTTTTTTAACTTAAAACGGACAAGATTGGCCCCTCCCCCCTCCCCTCCCCTCCCAGAAGGATCCAACATCCGATGCGGCTTATGACCGACAACTATGTAAGGATTTTTCAATAGATTTTTAAGGCCCCCTCCCTCGTGTGAGGATGGGGATCCCTGCCAAGGGGGGCGGATCAATTTATGATGGGATTGGTAGTTATCACGCAAGTTCACATCATACACCGAAAGCTCTGGATAGAAATAGATTTTGTCTAATCTTACAGGATTTTCGAGGAGCTTGGGGCCATGTGTATATCTGGATTCCACGTGGCAGTGTGTCCCCACACGCGATTCTCCGCACCGGATATATCGGTTTGCTACGGATATCTATACATAAACACAGAATTTTATAATATAATGATAGCTCTCATAAAGTATCTCATAAATGGTATACATATAAGTATAGGAATAGAGGCGATTCATTTCCTGCAGATAGGGCCCTTCCACGAGACGAGACACCGCCACTCGGATCAGATTGAAATATCCATCACCAGGCTATTAGAGTTTGGCATGCTAGGCCAAATTGCAATAGGGGCAAGAATGTTTTTCTCGGATGTTGAATCCTGGAATTCCGGGATCTGCATCCATTGCGTTTGGAAGTATGTATGTTTTGCAACCTCCAGTACAGGCGACACCGGGAGGCAAGGGAGAGACAGGGAATATGTCTGACTAGGATAGTCCTTGTACGACACTCTCATCGGAGTACCCAAACCAGTATTTACCCATACTTCCTGATTGATCCTACATTGTATATTTGTATGTACAGTATATTCCAGACTCTTTTTACATACTCTGTGGAGTTGGAGTGTAAGGAGAGAATGTATGAGAATAGTGATCGTCGGTCCAGCTTGACAGTCCTTTTTTTTCCAAATACTTTGGCCAGCCTCACATATTTGAGGCTGTCAAGGACTTGGGAGTTCCTGGTTACATTTCTAAAAGGGAGAGAAACAAACCAAACCTATAGATATTCAAAGTAGGTCTGACTCGCCAGGTTAGGGAAGCAAATCCTGAGCAGCAAAAGGATCGAGATGATTCTGCCCCTGTCTCGGATAGCATCGATTGGCCTGCAGAAATTCTGTCGCGTGGCAGTCAGGGATGGTGTACGATACATATTACCATACATACCTCTAGTCGATTGCGTGAATCACCGTTGAACATCTGACCGCAAGTTTAGCTTGCACCTCCCGATTTTGAAAAGAGTATAATGATTAAGTAGAACCATCGATGGACTTATTATCGTCATGATTATCGTGATCATCATGATGATTTTACTATGGGTTGAGCTATACAGATATAGAGTTACATGTTCTTCCTCCACCAACAGTAACCATGGCAAGCAAGCCCCAATTTTCAAGTCAAGGCCCACTTTTATCGACGGGAATAGCTAGACTGGGCGGGATCAAGCGACATGCAATCCCGTAAAAAACCATCGGCTCTACCCTACCTTTTGCCTCTATTATTTTATAGGCAGGCAGTTTGTCGGTGGGACTAAAGTTTCCCACTATTCAACGCCAATCATCTCTAGTTCGGCTGGTCACAATCCCCATCCATGGATTGTTGCTCGCACTTCTTAACTTGCTTTTATTTTGACTGTTGGAACAGAGAGAGAGACAGCCGCATAGATGGAAATTTGGGGGCGTCGGACTCCCTCCGAGCTTACTTTTTTTTTTTTTTTCCCTTGTGTTCCCATAGTGAGCAGGGCTGAGCCAAGATCGTGTTTGTATTCTCTCTCTCTTGTTGGCCCCCTGTTTGGCCCCCAAGAATCAATATTTTCTCTTGGTTGCCTAGTTTTTCTTGTATGATTATTACAATAGCTTGAATAGCAAACACTCCATACAAAGTAACCTTTTTATTTCATTTTTTTTATTTTGTTAATCCGTGGATGCCGTGAAACCCGAGACTCTGGACGAGGTATATGTCGGTAGATAGGCAATCTATATTCCCTGTGTAGTTCTCTCTACCTTAATCCACGTGGCCGCAAGGGTCACGGAACCCATAGATTGGAGCGTAGAGTTTATTCTATTGTGGAGAGGTTGATTCCAAAAAATGCCTTGTTTAGTACGACTATACTGTAGTTTATTCCAATCTTGGAACCTACTTTTCTACTGTAAGCTAAGTTCCAAGCATTCGACGGTCAGACGTTATCCCCGAAGACCGAATGCCGCGCAAGTCGCCCTACTCGCCCACACCCGATCTCGCACTGACACTTTTTTTTTTTTGTTGGTTCGCGTGACCGTGATGGCGTGTGGTTGGCGAGTCTAAATTCCTCGAGCACTGCCCCCGGGAGAGGAGCCTAGCTGACGTGTTCGGACAGCTCATCTTTTTCCTTCTCTGTCTTGTCTATTGTATCTTTCTCCATTGATCCAACAGTGGTTCATACATGAAAAATCCTGGGGCGAGGGGTGGTTGATTAGGAAACCGGTGAGGCTGATGTCGTTGAACCGTTAATTGGGTCCGGCTTACTGGGTTACTTGGGTTACTGGGTGTATACGCCTGTAGTTGACTATAGGCATCAGGATCGGCATTTTGCCCCCTCTTCCCTTGTATGCTTGTGTGTGTATACGAACTATGTAAACGTGTCTGACTCCAAATATGATTATTTTTGTGGTCTCTATTACTATGATTTTCATATATCTCAAAAGACGTTACTGGTGAGACCAGACAAAACAACGTGGCGTCAAGGTTGACAGCTTGGGCCCAGGAACCGGGAACACAGTCCCAGAACCAGTCAAATCCCGTCAATTTCCCCAGTTGATCGATGGAAACTACAGATAGAAAGCAAAAAGCCAGATTGTGCTAGCGAGAGTATATCGTAAAAAGTATCGTATACAAGTACGCTCAGACACTCCACGTGTGCCCACGTGGAACCACATGGATGAGGGGAAAAAAAGAAGCCGCGTGGAAAGAGCGTGGACAATTAGGCGGGAAAGCGAAACCCTCAAACCGGTTGGCTCTTGAGCTCAGCCACGCAGGCCAGAAAAGAAAAAGAAAAATCTATGGAAATATCTCCGGCCCCTAGTCCCTTAGTACGTGTACCATATGATTTAATGATTTTCATGTGTCTAACCCGGTGTCAAGATGTCTCACCCTGGGATTCTGGTTGGGTCTTGGATTCATCTCTATGCGACAGACAAGCCCCGTATTCGGCAACGCCCAGGGGAAGGCTTGAAACATTGGGCTTCCCGAGACTCTTGCTGTGTATAACTGCTGTATCTTGTTCTACTCCGTGGTCCACTTCGGAGCTTCGGTTTTTGAAAGGGCCGTGAAACATGTGATACGAGTATCGATCGGTGATCAGTGTATACTGTAGCATCAAAATCAAGTAACAGAATAAATAAAATAAAATCTGAGACTGGGAAATCATTCGGGGGTCTCCCAAATGCGGAGACCCAAAATATGGCATTGTATTGTCGGACATAATAAACATAAAAAGAAAAAAAAAAAAAAAAATATTGTACAGTATCGCCACTGTGATAAGGTCAGTTTGGGTTGGGGGGAATCAGGGATTGCCACGTGGGCTCAAGCTTCGATTATCGGTTACGCTCATCGGCACTCGCTTTTGCCTTTTTAGTCCAGGGCCCACATAATTCATTATTTAATTATTTAATTATTCTATTAAATAGCAAAGAGAGGGGGAGAAGTCCGGAGTAAAGTGGAGACTGGTTTGGTATCTCACTGCCTACACCCTGGACAAACGGAACCCGCTCTCTAGATCTTCCAGTGAAATAGATAGTAAGTATTTCTTTCTTTCTTTTTTTCCCTTTTCTTTTTCTTCTGATTTTGAATGATTTACTGTTGACTCCAAGCTCAACATGGGTAAGCCTGCAATAGGGGGAAGTTGCTCCTTCCGGTAAGGGGATTTCCCGGGCTCAAACTGAATCAAGTCGATGACGATCTTGAATGGAATAGCGTAGGTTACATGACCGTGTTCAGAATGTGGTAATACCAATACCCCGATCACCAGGCGGATCTGTTCGGCGATGGGAATTGGTTCCTTGGGTCGACCACGCTTGGGTCAAGGACCTCGTTAGAAATAATAAAATAAAACCATTGGAAATGGTGAAATCATTGACTGGGAATTCTTATCAGCAGTCCCTCTAATATAGGAAATTTGGACTTACCAAGAAAAAGAAAGAAGAATTATCAACTACTATGTCTGCTATAGAGACAATATAGAACCCACCCTGAATCAATAATCTAGTGGAACTCGCAAGGTAGACAAAAAAAAAATAATAATGAAAATACCAAATACACGCAGCTAGCCGGTAATTACAGCCGGGAACCCACCGATCTTCACCATGAGGCAATCCCTTGGCCCACGTTGTTTGGATGCACCATACTCCTTCCGGGGCTCACGCGTGGGCTGTGGGTCAAATGGATGACAGGCCGAATGGCTGTGATTCTTCACAGGGGGAATATCACAATACCTTTTCTTTTTTTCTTTTTCTTTTTTTTTTTTTAATATTTTTAATATTTGTATTTTTTCCTTAGTCCCTTTCCCTTTTTTTTTCTTTTCTTCTCTTTTTATTTTCTATTGAAGAAATAAAGATTGGAGAGTGCCCTACAGAGAGAAAGCGTGATAGTGTATAATCTCCATTCCCGCCCCTCTCCCCTCTCTCTCTCTCTTTCTTTTTCTCATTTTCTTTTTGTTGTCCTACCTCTCTTGATCTGATCTGGTTTAGTATTTTCGCTCTGATTTTTCTTTTGATTTCTCTTATCCCTCTCATCCCCCCCCCATGTACAGGTTTGGTATTGTTTGACCTTACCCACTTTTTTCCCAAACTGCGGTTCACCCCCAAATCGCCAACCCATTTCAATGCCAAAATCTACCGGGAGCCACAGCCGAGAAGATTCTCTCCCTCTTTCAGTTCCTGACCCTTCATATTCCCTTTCATCTTCTCCCTTCACTGGGTCTGTTGTCGGCTCCATCTCTCGCAATCGTCGTTCTTTTACTGCCTTGGCTCAAAGAACCTCCAACGCCCTCGCCAATCTCTCCATTAGTGGAGCCCCATCGCTTCGCTCGTCGCCCTCCTCCACCAGCCTCAGGAATTCTTCCAAGCCCTCGCGGAGTGCGACCCCCTTGACCCCACCATTGTCCGACAACAATAGCACTGAGCAATTGTCGCGTGCCTGCTCCCCGGCATTGGCCGATCCGCCCTCCAATTCCTTTCGCAAGCGTCGCCTCACCCTCCAGCGCGTGGCTACACCTCCCCAAGATTTCACTCAACTGCCCGGTGCCTCTCCTAAAATGCATCAGACATCGTCGAGGTTGTTGCGCATGACCGAGGATGAGCGTCCTTTTACCAAGGTAGGTTGTGTCACTGCTCCCCACCTTCGCAAAGAACGAAGCCATTGACTGGAAGCGCATAGGATTTTATGGACTTGTTCGCGACGTTGATGGTCAGCTTGAAATTGGATTCGCACCGCGTCCGCTTTACGAGATATGATCACACGTTCACTTCGGAGGAGGCCATTAACAATCTGGGATCGCTCAAGTTCTCGCAGTCCAATCGCATGCCCGACCCCAAGGACCCGTCTCGCATCGTCACAACCACCACAACCACCACCTTCTCCATGGCCAAGGAAATGGCGCGCTCGGTCTGCCAGCGATTCGTCGACGCCCGCTTCATTGAATCAGTCGATGGCAAAGCAATCGCCATTTTCCCGCTCAAGGGCGCTCTCTTTCAGCTCACCCCGAAAGGTATCAACATCCTACAGCGGTTCTGCCAGCGGAACGGTATCACCGCCCGTCACGTGATGGAAGTGCTGGATTCGCCACGCAACACCATGCAACTGGTGAATTTGGAACGCGATACCGACACCGACAAGTTGTCGCATGATCGCGCGACGATCGAAGTCATCTTCCGCCGGTTTGCCGGGCAGGATGGTCCCAACATCAAGAGCAGCATCTCGACCTCGGACTCGGATTCATTAAGTGATTATTCGAATGGCCTGGTTGGAGTGAAAATGGCCCGGGAACGGAAATTGCAGGATGGCAAGATTTACAACAACACCTTTACCGGAAAGGGTGCCGTCGACTGGCTGATGGACTGCTCAACGACAATCGAGCGCCGGGAGACCTCCTTGATCGCAGAATTGTTTTTGAAGTACGGCATGATTACGATGATCCAGGATGACAAGTCGTTTCCAGATATGGGGAGTGCGCTTTTCCAGCCCTCCAAGCATGCCATCTACAGCATCACCGAGCGAGGGCAGCGGGTGTGCGGTTGGATTGCCCGCGACAAGAATCGGGATACGCCTACCTACGACAGTCGTGGTATCCCGCGGGATTCCAACAACGCCCGATTGACCCACATCCTTCAGGATCCGGCCCTCCGTCTCCTCTTCCGAGAATTCCTTCGTTACTCGCTCTGCGAAGAAAACCTGTCATTTTACCTCGATGTTTCCGAGTTCACGGCCAATTACCACAAAGCAGAGAAGTTGGGGACGTTCAACAAGGTTGACTCTATCCGAGAAACCTTGGCTGCCGCCTACGGTGGGTCGCCGTGATCCTTTTATCTGTCTCAGTATGTTACTTACATTTCTTAGGGTTATACAACGCCTTTTTGGCCCCTGGATCCCCTTGCGAGCTGAACATCGATCATGCTCTGCGCAACAGCCTGGCGGGCCGGATGACCAAAGCTGTGGGTGATGACGAGTCCATGTTCAAGAGTCTTCAGGAGGTGGTGAATCTCTTTGAGATGGCCCAAACCTCTGTATTTAAGCTGATGTCCAGCGTAAGTTCTCTTGAGGCTTTGAAAGACCCCCCAAACAGTACTGACGTCTTTTCCAGGACTCTGTCCCCAAGTTCCTCCGTGATCCCAAGTACTCAGTTGTTCTACAAGAACATGACGTGGATGTTGGTGTATCGCGCTCATACTCGCCGACTCCAAGCACGGTAGTTCCAGAACGCACCATGAGTCGATCTAACCGCGCTTGACAATCATCGATGGATCTACCTCGCAAGTCGACCCGCAAATACCGTTCGCTCCGTAATACGAACGTCCCTCAGACATCCATCAGTGCCTAAAACAGATCACTCGAACAACACTCGGGTGCCTATGTGACTACAGCGTGGTGATCTCTCGCCCCTCGAAGCTGTGAACAGCCCTTGCGCCTGTTTCACCATCCTCATGATCGCCTCCGACCCCCCCCCCTCCCCGAATTCTTTTTTGATGTGGCACACAGTTCCCCGAGACTGGCTTGGCTACCACCACCTTGCTTAATCTCACTCGTCACAGGATTCCTCTCCAGACGAAAGACGTTATGATCGACGGCTCATGTTATAGAGAAGGCCGGTTGGGGACATTTGTAATATTTGGGGCATTTTTCTTTTCCCGTCCCCTTTCTCTCTCTCACTCTCCTCGCTTCTCCTCAATTGACATCATCTATACACCCCATCCCATTGATTCCTTCTTGAAAGGAGCTGGGACAGGAGCACTCAAAAAGGGAAGAAAGTAAGAAAAGAAAAGACCACAGGAAATGACAAATTCACGGCCTACATGGGCTATGCATTGGAGTTTCCTGCCTTTTTTTTTTCTTTATCTTCTCGAGCATCCGGCTGGCGTTCTCTGTGTTTCATTTTATTTGATCTGTTCTATTTTTTCTGTTTCTTCCTTACACTTTCTATTCTCCTATACACTTTTCATCCGTGCATCTCATTGTCAGAAGCATTTCCCTTATTTCCCTTATTTCTTTCTTTCCTCTTTTTGTTATTGTTCTTCACCCTGCATCTTCTCTTTGTTCTGGGCACAGCGAGTGAGTTCTGGTCTGCTTGTGTATGTCATATTATTCTTCCAGTTCCTATAGGGAACTGCAATTAGGCATGACGATATCTTTTTCCCCCCATCGATTATAGGTATATCTGAAGCAGTGGGATTTGTAGCTTTGCAATTTACAGCCTGGGAGTAGATGGGTTTGTATACCTTGAGAATGCTTCAATGCCCTCTCGAAGGGGGGAAGCCATGGTCGATGTCTGGGGGTGGATGGGCTACTAATTGATGCAGACTCTCAGACTTTTGTAGATAAAAGAAATCCTCAGACCTTGGATATGATGGTCATGGCTCTCTCTCTCTTTGTGTGGCTATTTGTCGCCAGAGAGCAAACGACAGATTGATGACCACTTCATAGATCCACATCTTTCCTCGTCAATCAGGGTCCTGAACGGGGCTGTACAGCTCATCGGTGTCTTCTCCATAACTACTTTCTCCCTCTTGATTATTCTCTCCGCAAGCCAAAAAAAGGGCTGGAAACTGGAACGGTAGCATGGAATCACCGTCGGCATGAGCATAATTCGAAACTGAATCCCACGTATCAATCACTACTTCACGAGAGACTTCAGAGCCCTCTCCTCCAGAGTGTCGAGATACGCGGGGGCACCAGATGAATCCAAGCTCGGCACCGGCAAGAGACGAGAGTGGCGCAAGTGAGAATCCCGGTCTTCTTCTCCTCTTTAAGGAACGCAGGTCCCACAGTCAGGTCATATAATACATTCATACACAGTCCCGGTTCGGGGCTCGCGTTGATAGGGAGAGTCCATCGATGCATGGTGATCAGACCCGGCACGGACTCGGAGCGCTCCACCCAGCCATAGGACTGAACGGGGGGGGAGGGGATGCTGGACGAACATGTGACATGTGGCGTCAGGTTGCGCCGGGCTGGAGAACGATAGCCTTCTTATTATCCTTCTCCCAGTCAGTTAGCAAACACTGAATGACGCTCGGCCCAAACGCTCGTGTTGGGATGAGGCCTTTTGAGGATGAACCAGAGAGGGAAACAGTCAGCCAGAAGGGGGTTGATTTGCCGGTTGTTGGTGTGCGGCTGAGCTGTGGCAGGCTGGAAGAATTAAGGCCTGCTGGAGCGCTGATGACTCTCGGATACATTGCGCCCAATAGCGGTAGGTTCACTGGGCCAAGAAGAGGGTCTGCAGTCGTTGATTTCGAGCAGGATGGCTTGGAGGATGGAGGATCTCGGGTGGGATTCTTTTGTGAGTCGTTTCTCCCTCTCCCCTCCCTCCCTCTCTCTCTCTCTCTCTCTCTCTGTTTGATGGGGACAAGTGGATGAAGAAGGTGGACAGGCGATGAAGCCGCAATCAACGCTTTTTCTCAAGATGCCTGAACATCACTCGATCCTCACACGATCGGCTCTCCAAGTGATGCCTGCTGATTGAGAGGACAAGGATTCTGAATCAAGAGGCCTCCCATCACCACGGACTGCAGTCAAAAATAGTAGTCCAAGGATCATTAAGTGTGGTGCAGATCTGAAGGTGGGTCTGCCCGAGTCCTGCGTGGGTTTGAATCCTGCGAGATGGTGAGATGTCTATACATCGAGATTTCTATTGTTTTATACAGCAGAACAAGAGAACAAATAGACAGTACTTTGCTGCTGATCATCTCAATCATCTTCAGTACTTCCAGGAACACAATGTAGGCAGAGATCTTCTCACCTCAGTACAAGCCCTCAGGCGTCCTGTCAGGCGGTCTCAGTCGACTCGGCGCTGTTGTTCGCTGACCACACCCCCTGTCAAACAGTGGATTTGTGCACCTGGGATGGGAAATTACCAGCACTGTTGAGGACTCTCAGTGGACAGAGGACGACTCTATCGACATCGAGGCGCCTCATTGATCTAAATCCGGGCCATGGCAATATGGGGGCCAACGAGCTGCGGAATACAGCGTGAACAGTGCAAAGAATTTTATATTTAATTGCCAGGGGGGAGTAACCTCTTGATCCCGGAGAAAAGAAAAAGAAAAGAAAAGAAAAAGGCCAGGAGACAATAATCCATACCCAACAACTATGCATCTTGACTCCCAAAGACTTGCCTTCATCCTGGTCTGGCTGACAGCTTTGCTGCAGCTAGTAACCTGTCTCCAAGACGTGGATATCGAGTCCCGATTCCGCGTGGAAAAGGGCGAGAAAGGGCAAAAGGACTACTATGGAGGGACCTGCAAGGACGTGGACTTGGATCTGAATGCCATGTACAAGGAGACCATTGACATGGCCCAGGTGGCTAAGGATGCCATGGACAACTACTCGCAGGACGAAAAGGCCCGGAAGATGCTCAAGAACTACTTCGGCATCATCGAAGACGGGGACCACCATATCAAAAACGGCCAGGACCGGTTTGACTTTGTCAAGAGTAAGCTTCTCCTCTCCCATTAATACTACTGGGACAAAGATGCTGATCAAAGAAAATTTTACCACCTACAGAGATATTCGAAACTATCCTCAGCGACGCCAAACAGAAACACGACGATAAAACCCCGTCCCTGTTCTGCGATAGTGACTGGCGCTTCGCCACGACATGGCTCTACGACGAGAAGACCGGAGAGAAGACGGACAAAACCCTAGAGGAAACAGGGAGTAAGTTGCCATCCTACCCCTACCACCCTCTATTGTTGTTATAAGAAATTATAATAAGTGTTGGGGAGCAACTCTGCTAGACATCATCGTTAACTCCTACCAACAGAACCAGAATCCACCATGTTCTGGGCTCCCTTCTTCAAGGCATACACGGGGACCAAAGAGGGCTGCAAGGACCAGAAACTGGCCTTCGCATTCCAGGGCGATGCCTCGTCGATTACCATCTGCCCCTACAGCCGGAACATGCCCAAGAAGAAGGAGTCGCTGTCGGCATGGCACTCGGGCGATGTCAAGGTCAAAGATAACGCCCCGTTGGTGGCGGCGCTGTCGATACCGGGGACATTTTTGCATGAGTTGACACATTTGTTGACGCATGGTGAGTGCATACATTCTCATTTACTTCTAATTGGTCATTTCTCTACTTGTCTACTTGTATAGAACAAAAGACTAACAAGTAAAAACTGCATAGGCGACGACCACATCGTCGACGAAAAAGTCACCTGGTGGGAAGACTACGACTGGGACGAAGCGCCCATCGACGAGACCTCGGACGACGACATGAGCGACAGCGACAATGACAACGACAAAGACGACAACAAGGATTGCGGGAAATCTCAATACGTCGCCTACACGCCCCGGCTCTGTGGGCTGCTGGCCAGGAAGTACCCGTACATGGCGATCAAAAACGCCGATAGTTACCGGTGGTTTGCGACGGCTATGTATATTCGCCAGTGTGACTGGTCGACTATGAGATGCAAGCAGACTTCGTGAGATGGGCAGAGAATGTCTGTCCTATCTATACCGACAAGATGTTGGGGGAGGAGCTTGGTGTAGATTAGCCCTGTTTTTAGTCTGGAACTGACTGGTGTGTTAACATTGAAGAGTGGAATACTGCCAGAAAGATTTAAGACTGCTGGTATGAGTCTCGAGAATCAGTCTCATTTTAGAGATGACTTGAATCTTGCCATCTAGGTGATTTTCTGTCTTCACCTGCCGTCCTATACTATGCAATGCAGCCACCATAAAAGATTTGAAGGAATCAGAGAATCTTGATAATACACCCGTGGACAGGCAGCCCTAGAATACACACAACGCCGAACCGCGCTCCTCGTGTCGTATGCCATCAAATTGGATTTTAGAAGAAACACAAGGCAGACACCTCGAGAGGAAAATGGAAAGAGACAGTAGGAGGGTATAACAAAGAGAAACCAGATGTAGAAGAAAAAAAAAAGAACCCAATTTCATCGTCTTATTTCGAGCCCCAGCCGCGAAGTCTCATGCCCTCCTCAATCACCGTCCAAATACCTTCAACCACCTCACGATCCCTCCAGCGACCCAAGCCATTCGTCCCATTCCTTTCGTCCCAGCGCTCTACGGCAAAGCTCTGAACACCACGGCCCCAGCTCGTCACTTGTGGAGGAGGCAGTTCGCCCCGCCAGCCTACATAGATACCCGTTGCATGCTTGAAGAGCTCAGGAGGCGAGGACCACTTGTAAGACTTGAATTGCCAGGTTTGGCCGGTGGTGAACACGGCGACGATGCGCTGCCAGTACTCAGGCTTGAAGTTGGTGGTGCCGTCGACAAGGATGAACCTTGTGGGCTTGATTGACCGGTTTCCGGAGCCGATTGCATTCTCCGTTGGGTTGGACGGGTCCGCCTTGATGCGGAGCGGGCGGGACAAAGTGACAAGATTGGCCTCGGTGGACATGCTCAACGTGGGGTGGTCAGGCGGCACGAACACGCCATCCTCAAGAAAGGACTTGACGTTCGACATGCGGATAAGAGAGGATGCGGATGGAGAGAGCAGGATGATCGGTTCGAGGCGGGAGCTGGATTTTCGGGAAGAGGGCATCGGCAACCCTGCAGACGGCGCGGGCACCGCGCCTTGGGTCTTGCTGCCCGGTCTGGCGCTTGGCTGACCAGGGCGCGTGCGATTGCGGTCGAGGAATAATTCAGCGCTTTTACGGACATGCGAGAAATCCTGTGGTTGCATATTTAGCCAGCCGTTGAGTCAACAAGTTGTCTTATGGCCGGACTCACCGTTGGCTTGATCCCCCGAAGTACTGTATTCCGGTCTCCCGTCTTGCGTTCCCCATTGTAAATCTCCTGCAGCCTGGGGTCAATCGGCTTCTGAGCGCGACCGGCCTGAGCCCCTGCCTGCGCCGCGCCAGGCGCACCACTGGGCACTGAGGAAATACCCCCCGTCGCACCGGAGGCAATGCCTGCCGAGGCATCTGCTTGGGCGGCACCGGCGGCGGCGGCCGCCGCCTCAGCAGCGGCAGCAGCACCCTCGAGAGGCTTAATGTATTCACTCTCGTCGGAAGCTCCCTCGAGCCAAGTAATGAGATCGAGACGCTCGACAAAAACGAGATTCTGGACCTGCTCCTCTCGGCCAGCCTCCTGCGGCCCCTTCTTCTTGAGCGCTTCATTCAGCTCCTGCGCCGAGGCGATGTATTCTGGGATGGCGACATCTTTTTTCTGCCATGCGAAGAAGATGCTGCGCAGGTCGACGGCCGACTCGGTGGATGCGGACACGAATCGCGTCGGTGTCGTCAGGGGAATCACCTGGGGTGTGGGCTGAGGGAAGTACAAGTGTGTGGCCTGGGCCAGGTCGTCGGTGGCGGGCTGGTCTGTGAGCTCGGACGAGGTCGTAGGCGTCGGGAGGTTGCCGGACGCAATGGCGCGCCGGAGCGAAAGGAGAGGATCTTGGATGGTAGGGTCAACCGCAGCCATTATTATGAGGATGGGCAGCGGCCCGGGAGAGAGATGAGATGCAAGAAATTGGGAGTCAATCGGAGCGGTGGCTTCGGCGTTCAAGTCGAAGCTCTGCGGACCTGTGACCACGTGATCTGGCTTCCATCAACTTCATTCTGTTCAGTAGGCGTCTACAACAATCTTGAGTTTGGAAATTTGGATGGTATTGGCTAATTCTTCAAAATATTTTAATCCAGTCCCTTCTTATCACTTTGAAATATCTGGCCGAACCTCTCAATTGACACACCGGAGGGCAGAGCTGATATAGCGCCACATCCAACTCCACGCCCCGAAAAAGGCCGTGATGCCAGTGAAGAGAATCAGGGTTCCATACTCTGTACCGTACCCTGTCCCACTGTTGTGGCCGTGGGAGACACTAAGAGATCCCTGACGCAGCAACACCGTACTCAATGGCCCACTGATCACATTTCCAATCCCTCGTCCACCGGCCAGGAGACCAAAGACTAGCCCAGTCTCCAAGGACGAGGAAGAGTCACTCTTGATCTGTGTGATGATTCCAGACCAAGTGGAGCTAAATCCACCCGCAAAGAAGCCATAGGAAATAGAAAAAAGCGTGAGCAAAGCGACAGCTGCTCGGGATGAACCCGGATCTGATGACGAGGCCAGACCCCAGAAAAGAAGTACCGACAACGCAGACCCTACAGAGGACAGAAGCATGATGTTCGTAACAGCGAAGCGGTCGCAGAGTGCCCCAAGAGCGATTCCGCCGAACACGGCGGTCGCATTAAAGAGTGAAACTAACATCGTGCCTGTTGTCTGAGACAGTCCGACTGTCGTCGTCGAGTACGAGGGCAGATATGTGCTCGGCAAGAAATACCCAAAGCTCTGGATGATGTTGCCGGCTTGCAGCATCCAGAAAGTCACCAACTTGAGGAAGCTGAGGTCCAGACGACGGGCTGATGCAGACGGCGACACGGGGATCCGAGGCTTCATGAACGGCATGGCCATGAGAGTAGATACCAGCTAAGTTCCATCAGCAATTGCATTAAAATTCAGAGAAGAGGCACAGGATCTGGACAGGTGAAAAGGGCTGTTCTTGACAAGAAGCAACTATCCCACGAGTCTGCTAGCACCGTACCGTGGTGACAGTCCATGCTCTCAGCGTAGTACTCGAGCCAAATCGATTCAAACAAATACTGGCAACAAAGGGCAGAGCCACTCCAGTGACACTCTTTGCAGCCCACATGATGCCGAGTGCGAGCCCCTTTCTTCGCACGAACCACTGATCGAGATACATAGTGGACGGGCTGAACAGGAGCCCATTACCGATGGCACACATGACTCCTTGGGTTGCAATCAAATGCCACACGTCCATGGAGAACGAGGACAGCAGAGAGCCCACCACGGTGATGACCAGACCAACGGGGGCACACCAGGACTGCAGACGCGGATATCGTGTCAAGAGTGTGAAGGTGACGGGCGAAAGAAGATACAGGATGCCCTAAGTCAACGCTTTAGATGACCCTCTTCCAGCCAATTGTGGATTTCGTTCCATACGGTGCAGGTGGTTCCCACAGTCGCCAGATCGCCTTTGCTACCCCGCAGCACATCGTGAGTTGAGTAGTACTCCTGGAAGACACCAAAGACCACTGAAAACCCTACACACAATCAGCATCAGTGATGTTCTTCGTGCTTACGACGGTCTAGGGCTCACATACCCCACACGGGCAGCTGGATCAGACAGCACGACGCCAGCATCAGCCAGGCAACTTTGCCTCGATCTGTCGGGGGCAGCGCCGGCTGTTCGATTTCAGGTGCATTTCCATGTGGAGATAACTGGATCTGGTCCCGAATAGAAGGGCTACGCTCGGAGGTCGCCATGTTGGTGAGTTCTGGTGGTGGTTGCAGGATTCAAGTTGCTCGCGTGCTCTCACTCCTCATTTCTCCCATAATTAGTCACCCGATCGTGGGGTACGAAATAGACCAACCATTGTATGTGTTTGATAGATCGAAGGCTTGTCTCAATTTGGGACTTGGTGGGATGATTCATTATCGTGGTGTGACCTTGTTTTCTCTTTCTCACTACAGGTATGACATGAAGTCCGTCAACAATCGCCTGTACTAAGCATCTCTGCTTTTTCTGAAGAGATGGAGTAATCAAATTGATATAGGAAAATTACTCTGGCGTCTCTTTGATGCGGTACACCAATTTTCTCCCACTGACTCGCCCGTCTCTCATGCGTTGCAAGCCGTCAAAAATGCCCAGCAAGCCATTCTCCCCGATCTCTACTGGATGGGCCAACAGACTGCGCTCTTCTAAAAGAGACTCCGTCATGGCTAGAAATTCCTCTGCAAAGGCTCGGTCTTCCATGCAGGCTGGAAACCACGTATCCCCGTACCAAAAAGCATCACCAAAGATCTTGAAAGCACCTACGGAGCTCGAACGGACGTTCTCGCGAGCCACGGTGCGAAAAAGCACGGCACAGTACTGACCGCCATCGGTCGAGAGTGCCTGTTCACAGAATGTGGCGCTCGACTCAATGGAAATGCAATCAAAAGCCATCTCGAGACGGTTATGCGTCTGCCGCCGGATTTCTGCAGCAGCGCCGGGGTCCCGGTAGTCGAACACAGCGTCCGCGCCCAATCGTGAGACCAGGGGGAAGTTATGCGGCGAGCAGGTCGTGTAGACGACATACCCTGACCGTTTCGCATACTGGATGGCCAACGTTCCCGTCGCCGTGGATCCGCCATAGATCAAGATCGGAATGGAGTTTGACAGTGGATTGGTGGGCCATGCAAGCTGAAGGTGCTGATACAAGCCCAATCCAACGGTCACCACCCCCACGCCGAGGGTGGCGGCCTCGTCGAACGAGAGATGCTCGCAGATACGGATCTGCACGTCGCCTTTTACCACGATCTGCTCGGCGAAGGCGCCTGTCTCTGGCCGGACCACGTTGGCGCCATGCGCCATTCCGCAGATTCGGTCTCCTTTGCGGAGGCATTTCCTTACGCCAGGCCCAACTTTCGTGACGATGCCTGCATAGTCGCAGCCGAGCAAGACCCCGGTCGTGGCCATGGTGTCGGCATTCTTCCAGTCGGTGGGGTTGAGCGCCACGGCGACGGTTTGAACGAGGACGTCGTCGTCGCGGGGTATTGGCACGGGACGATCAGTTACCAGGACTGCTTGGAATGGGGCGGCGACGACAATGGACTTTTGCTCGGTCATCTCTCCGGTTCTTGGGCGAACAAGGGCTTTATGATGAACTAGAAAGATTAAGGTATGTGTTCAGACGGGTAAAAATGGGTTTTCGCTCAAGAGCAGGTTGCTTTGTATAAAATGGTTCCATGGAGTTCGGAATCCACTGCCCACTCAGAACTCTTTGGCCTCGAGGCAACATCCTTTTCTGGAATTGCCTGTGCGGAATCGCCCCCAAAGCGCCATGGAGTCAATCTAGACGAGCCATACGCTACTCTGCCAAAACTCCACTATTCTCGAGAGGCTGAGCCTGCCAAGTCAATAGCCCGGCTCACGGCATATCTCAGATAAAAGAACCCATATATGCTAGAGCTTTTGTTGACTTCAGCATGAAATCGTTGTCGAGATCTTGGGAATTAAAACGGAGGAACAACAGGGCTCAAATACAACCCATAGGCCGCATGGACCTTTTCAGGTGGACCCGCCACAGTGGACTGGAAAAAAGAACTAGGATATAAGCCCGGTAGCCTATTATGTTGTTAGTATAGAAGGGAATGAGAGTCACCTGGTGAGAGAAAGAAGAGACAGAGAGATGATAGGTGTGAAGGATGAAGCTATTGAGACATGCCGTGGGTCCCTGCTAGCCCGAGGCACCTCAGCACCCTATTAACAATCCAGTCCAGTTGAGTTCAAGATTATCAATCATATAGAATCCCTAGGCATGCGAGTTACACATCTCAAGCGGGACTTCGGGTACAATTGGGGCCGAGAAAGGATTGCGACACTCACCACTGAAACAGAAGACGGAGAGTCGGGGGTTGACCGGACCGAGTCGAACGCGAAGCTCAACGACCAAGAAATATAAAGATCAAAGTGATACACCAAAAAGACACACAACCAGAAACAATTCATTCCAATCCAATTCCAATTCCAGTCAAAATGTCCATCCGCATCCTCCTCTTCGCCACCCGCAAACCCACCCTCACCCCCGCCGAGTTCAAAGCCCACTACGAAAACAACCACGTCCCTCTGATTCAGCGTCTCGCCGGCGCGGACTTTCCTGCGACACACATTCGCCGGTATCTCGCGCGAAGCACCGAGCCCAACAGCGACGGCGAGTACCCAGCGACTGTCTTGTTCGGCAGCCAAGAGGAATTTGGGTACGACGCGGTCACCGAAGTGGTCTTTAGTGACCAGGAGGCGAAGCAGAGGTTCTTTGCAAAGCTGACTGCGCCGGAGGCGAAGAAGTTGCTTGAGGAGGATGAGGAGTTGTTTTTGGTGAGGGAGAAGCTGAGCGTGGTTGTGATAGGGGACTGTCTTGAGACGAAGTGATGTCCTTCTGCCCCGCCCTACCTCTATGTTGTTCCCTCTAGGAATAGCTTTTGTTGGGACATATAGAAGGTTGGGGTTCTGAGTGGTTTCTGTGCTCCATGTATAGCTGGACTGTTTCTGTTGAGAAGATTGCGTTCATATCAGAGCGGCCCTTTCCTTAATTCCAAGCTTCGCAAACCTCTTGAGTGGAGTCTCTGGATACTATGAAAAAACCTAGTTCCACCCACAGCAGCCCTACAGATGGACCTGTTTGAAGTTGATAATCTAGTTCTAGGCTAAGCATGAAACAAAGCTTCCCTAAGCTCCACCTTCTACTTCTTGATGGTTTCAAACATAAGGCCACTAGAGCTAAGCGAAACCGAGGCCGATGCGGACCAAACACCGAGATTCCATGGTGGCTATCCATTCAGAAACGGTGCTTTTTTCCACCAAAGATATCAAACAGACTCGATGTGGGACATTTCGGAGCATTGCCCTTTCGGGAGGAGACAGGTCAGCCCTAAACCAGATATGATGTATTTCTGTGGAGCTTTTGTTCCTGGACTTTAATCTAAGCTTCATTAAACTACTCCATGTGTGGCAGGGATCAAATTATCCGCGGATATTGAGGGGCTGGCAAGGACACTCACTAGGCGTTTCATCTTGCTACGGCTAGTGTGAAGAGGCGTCGGCTCAGGTATATATGAAGCCGAGAGTCCCTCAGCCGACTTGGAATCGATCAAGTCATTCTTTTTTGTTTTCTCTCGTTCGCGATTGTTTATTTTATTGAGCTCGGCGTTCGTCATCCACTCGTTCCTTATCTGCTGATCAGATAGTTTCATTCTTCGTCCACCATGCGTTCATCTTTGGTATCAATGCTGGCCTTCAGCGCAGCACTCGTCTTTGCTGTCCCGGCTCCATCTCGCGTGTCAAACCTGGTCAAGAAAGCCACCTCATGCACCTTCAGCTCGGCCGCCAGCGTCAGCGCTAGCAAAAAGTCGTGTTCGACAATTGTGCTGGACAACATCGAAGTCCCTGCCGGCGAGACCCTGGACTTATCGAACCTGAAGTCCGGCACCGAGGTAGAAGCAGCAGTCCGTGTTATAGTGAATCCAGAACCAACGTTCTTGCCATGTACAGGTGATTTTTCAAGGCGAAACCACCTTCGGATACAAGGAATGGAAGGGCCCGCTCATCCGCATGCCGGGATCGAACATTGCCGTTTCGGGCTCGTCGGACCACATTATCAACGGCGGTGGTGCGCGGTGGTGGGACACCAAGAGCACGAATGGCGGCAAGACGAAGCCCAAGTTCTTTTACGCGCACGGCCTAGATGACTCGACCATTACAGGCTTGAATGTGACTAACACCCCGGTCCAGGCATTTAGCGTGTAGGCGGACAATCTCATCTTGGACCGCATCAATAATAGGAAACTCGATCGTGTGGCGTTAGAAGCAAGCTATTAGACGCTTAGTGGAAGAGAAATAAACCGTGGGATGGCGTGGGACAGAATATGTCGTATGTCTTATTTTAACGTAAGAAAAAAGATAGTTACGCAAGATAGTCTAGATTAGTAAGAACTAGGAAAACCGTGGTATGGCGTAGGACAGAATGTGTCGTAGGCCTAATGTGAGCGCAAGAACTTAGCATGAACCAGTCTAAGACCGGGAAACCTATAGCGTAGCGCAGGATAAGTACTGTCGCAAGCTTCATGATACGGTAAAAACACAATTATAATTTGATGTTGGAAGCTAGTTTGAATACAATAGCGTAACTTAAGAAATGAGGTTTTACGGAACGTGGGAAAATATTAAAGGGGATAGGGCTGAGAGACCTAAACCCTACTCTGTATATCCTAACGTATTTATCTGGAATGCTTGCAAGGAAATCTAAACCAAAAATCAAAATTTGAACTATCATAATATATTTTGACGTCCGGCTGTAGGACCTAGTTTAATTTAAACTTTAGTTAAATTGTGTCTCTCGGTAACATCAACGCAAGGTATGTAAACCAAAGCTCAAGCGCTCGAGTTGATCACGCGACCCCCTGTGTGGTGGGCTTTTCTCTTTGGCGCCTAAAACCCTCTGACTTTTTGATCTAGTAGATAATCGGGCTCAAAAAATCTGTCACGGGCTGGGCCCGATGGGGTCACATGTATTAAAGTAACCGAATCGCCTACTTTTCAGCCGTGATCCAACATATATATACATCTTCTTCTTCCCTTAAGCTTTTATGTAAACAGATCGTGGTACCGTTAAATTGAATAAGTTTGGCCGTAGCCCTTCACAAAATCCTCGGAGAATTTCATTTGTGCTCAACACGATATGTTTAAGTCTGACTAGGGATATAGTATTCTGAGTACACTGATCGAAGTACTAGGAGCGTTAGAACCTTAGGAAGATTCCTAGGAGACTCCGGAATCGCCTCAGAACCCCCATAAGAAACGAGAAGACACTATCCGGAGAGATAGCGATGAAATCATGAATGAGTTGCGAGTCATTAAGCATATAATAGGATCCCCCTATATAAGGCCTAATACGGCTTTAATACGATTAAGGATAGGCTTAAGGCTCGCGGTCTTCTAGAGAAGCATTACCTTCGCGGAAAGACTCATAGTGACTAGTTATAGTGACTAGTTAGGCATAACACACAGGTCCATGAACCCCAGAGCTGATGCCTATAAGTATAGAGAAGTGCAAAATCAGTCGCATAATCTTACACTGCTTGATTCATTCTGGGCCCTATTGCCAAGATGCCAGCGCAGAAATTGAGTGCAAAGTAGTGGGAGCACTAATATCATATTTAGTCCAACTATATCCCTTAATAGAAATCTCACGTTGACAATTGCTTCCACCGATCCAGTGCTCCACGTGATAGAGGCTCTTTAAGATTCTGGATAATATAGATATTTAGAAACTTTTGTATTGTTAGGGGTGTCTCACGATGCACCTGAGCTATAGGGGTTACAGATTCAGGCAATAGAGACTCGTGGATAAGCTTTCGGAGCGACTCATTTGAGATTCTGAGACTGATCGCTTGGCCCTGGAACATGGTGCTAGCGAGGTATTTATATACAGGCCCGTTACCCCACTCATCAGCATGTTTATACATGAGGGCTTTGTGTATCACTGAGGTAGCAGTGTGCCTTAGATATCCGGCATTAATTCATAGTCAGAGGTCATGGAATACAGGAGCGATACTGCTACCTTCACATACCCGCCGTGACCTTCAATGTCTTGTCAAACTCCTCGATGAATTGGTTAATATTTAGACGGTCTTGTGGCCGGCACAGACCTTTGGAAGCAAGTTGCACCCATTCATTCAGATGAGCGACATTCATTCCTGGCACATTGTCCCTTTGGGCCTTTAAGATACCTGAGATTGCCGATTTTGTACCCATTGGTGACTCGAGTCTCTTCGCTGCCTTCCATACTTGCTTCGCTGGATCGTTACCCTTTTTCACCCTACTCTCAGGAGGGCAGAGGCCCAGAACCTTGAGCATAATCTGTGTCACGGAAAATACATCCATCTTTTCAGAAACAGCGTTCTTCTCCTTCAAGTCGGCCTCTGAAAATGAAGGAGCTCACTGATCAGTAAAGGCTTCTAACCAAGGGGCAGATGCCTAGACGTAGGATTAAAGAGATAGATATTTACCTGGAGCCTTATATATCGGCGATCCCACGTGCTGCTGACCAGATATGGTCCGTTTCGTGGTAGCGAAATCAAAGTCGGTAATAAGATACCCGCCGTGATTTTCTTTCACTAAAGGGTTGGCAGGCTTCAAGTCCCGATGAGTGATGCCCAGCTTATCGTGTAATATTTGCACTCCAACCAGAAAATCCCTGAATGCTTCCCAATTCCGGTAATAAAACCCGTCGGGCCAGGTTCTGTCCAGCACCTGTTCAAGATCGCCTGTTGGGTACCGCGGCGTGAGTAGGGCAGCAACCCTCAGTGGCAGGTAGAAGTACCAATCAACCGCATTCACGAAGTATTTAGGACCGCCTGGCAGCTCGTATACCTGCCGTTGATATTCAGCGCCCTGTAGCATGCTCACGCCATCTTGCAGCATGTCCCATCGTTCGGCTGCATCCGCCATCGAGTCCGCTGGTACTGACGTGTTCTTCACCACGACATTTTGATGGTCTTGGGGCTGCCCCACGGTTTCCAGCACGGCCAGAGCCACCTGCAATGTCGATGCTTTCAATGGTCCAGTAAAGCCCACAGTTTTCTCCTCGCATGAATTGGCACTAGTAAATCCATACCCATCTGCGCGGGCTTCTGCTTCAGGGTAATTAGTCTTCAGAATTCGCGTGAGATCGTGTTCGCTTAGGTCGTAGAGATCTTGTTCGCCTTTAACTAAGTCGCGTTCCTCTAGGGTGCCGTGATGGTACGTTGGGTCGTTGAATATAGAGATATAGACAATAGCGACCCAGTCGACGGCATCAACGGGATTGCTGCCGCCCAGGATTTCGTCCCAAGAGCAACCAAAGATACCCATATATGGAGAAAGGAGGTAAGAAGTAGCGACTGTAAGGCGAACATTGTTGGGGAAATTTCCGCTGCGGATATTGATAGTAGGTCGGCGGCACACTAGGGATTTATGCGCAGTTTAAGAATCATTGGATCGTTAAGGGGACAGTTGAAACTGATTAAAAAAGGGGTAAAATTTAGTTTTCAGACAAGTCCACAAAAGTCCAGTGTCACAAGCAGCCTGCCTGCCAGGGTCATTATAAACATTACTAACATCCTTCAGAAAGTGTCCATCCTTGCATTCTCACTGGGCACGCAGCTAAGGGGGTGCCAATAGCGAAAATTTTGGGTTGCCCCTATCAATAACCGACAACGATAAACCTATAGACGACTAAGGATAGCCGTCTTTTTCACGGAGGGGGAATATCACGATCCAAGTAGCTTTGACGTCCTAGGAAATAGGAGATCTATTAGTTTTTTTGGTTTGATATATATAATTAGTTTATAGCTAAGAAGGATAGTAAAGAAGAGCTACAAGCTTCTTCTCTCTTTCCTTTAGCTTTGTGTCTTCGTTGAATACCACTCTCTACGCTGGATCTTCTATCTAAGCTATAGTCGAACTGGGCTCGTAACACCATCTAGGCAGTTAAAGCCATGCTAGATATTGCCGTTTCGAGGTCACACTTGTACTAGAATCGCCACGCCCATCGGTTCAACATTACATGAAGTCTACTATTTACCCTATATTTAGCTCTCGAACCTGGAAGGGAAATGAGGGTGATTATAAATGCTAGATGTAATATTCTCTCTACACCGGGCCACACACCAGTGGGAGCAGGGATTAAACGCGGCAGAACAACGGATGGGCGGGGAACTCGACTGCGATCCAGAGTCGTTCGGTACCAGGATATAGGCTGGAGTACACCCACCACAGCGACAAAGCTGCTACCAGAGTCGACATGGCAAGACACGCTAGAAACGATCGATTTCTGCCTCGTGGGTTCATCTTTGGTAACTAGAGATCTGGTTAATCCATTCGCAGTCGAAAATGCTTGATAAAGACAAGTTAATGAAATAATGAATATCTCACCTCGTACACCCAATCCTCTAGCCCTGCCACCTGTGTAGTCCACCACATGTGGAATGAGCTCCAGGGGTAGACGGCCCAGTTTTTGCCCGTTTGAGGGTCGATAAACCACTGGGCATCAACTACGTTAACTCAGGGTCCAAGGAAGGGAGGGGGAGAATGTGGGCTTACGCTACCACATGAATTAGTGAAGACTGTCTTGCATAATGCATCATGCAAACGCTTATTGTAGGCTTTCTCGCTAGAGAGTTTGGGTTCTGCGCAGAGGGCTGACCCCTCTAAGATGGGTTTGATGACTCGGGCTATGAGGCCCGTATAGCTTTTCAAGTGTCAGTCATATCCTCGCTGAGCTAGTGTAAATCTGAGCAGGGTTATAGAGTATAACTGTGAATTACCTCTCAATGGAATACACGACGGAGGTGTGTCCCCGCCCGGAATTCGGGCCCAGGACGTAGAAGAAATTGGGAAATTCGGACATGCCGATGGTATTGAACGCCTCGATGCCACCCATGTCCTTCCAGTGTTTACTGCGGCTGCGCCCGCCGCGACCGTGGACGTCGGTGTCATACTGGGTTAGGGCAAAGCCGTTGGCTAGAACCTGTGTGCAGAGGAGTGGAGATTCGTTAGTCATAGAGGAATTTTGCGCTGGTGGATAGTCTGTACAATCACATCTGCGGAGTATTGAGTTCCAGATTTTGTCAATACCGAGCGTTCGTGCAGAGCCACCACTGGGTCGTTGGTTAGATGGACGTTGTCTCGTTTTAGGCATCGGACGTAGTTGTCGTTGTCAAACACTCGTCGCTATATTTCTTTAGTCTATCATATGTGTGCATATTCGAGAGGATAAAATACCCGGCATCCGACTTCGAACTTGGGCATTAAGAGCGGCCAGTATTGTGCTACGGTCCATTGATGACTGTCAGTAGTGGACCTGCGGACAATAGTGGGTTCGGGTTGTTGGAAACTGCTCACCCGGTGCATTATCCATGATGTAGCATCTGCTGACTTCTGAAGTCTGTTTTCTCATTTTTTCACCAGTCTCCGTAAGGCTAAACTGCGGAGTGGCGGTCTCGAGATATGAAAAGGTGAGTAGTCTGACCAGGCGCAGCAACCCAGGTACATAGCGAAACGCGTTTTGCCATAATGGACTTATGGTGTTATTGGCTCTTCCGGGGAGGAAGTATTGTGTTGACTATCAAGATAAATTGTTAGCTAGATACCACAAACCAGCTGTGAATGGCAGAACCAACCCGGATAAACTGGGTGATCGAGCGAACTTCCGCGGCCACTGCCGGTATTAATTGTGTTGCCGATGCTGTAATCCTTCTTAGTCTTTGTCAAAATGCATATCAACTGCAAGGACAGCTACCTCCATTCCCAATGACTACTACACGTTTATCTCGAAGAGAAACATCATGATCCCACCTGCTGGTGTGAATTATATCCCCCTGGAAGCAGTTGGTGCCCGGCACAGTAAGCAGGTTGGGGTTCGTCAACGCCCCAACCGCTGAAATCACTATGTTGCAGCCATGGATATATTCCTGGCCGGTGGACAAGTCCCTCAGCTTGACCAGCCACGTCTTGGTGTCATCTTGCCAGGACGCTCCCACCCACTCGGTATTGCCCACCAGATGACGGGTCAAGTTAAATCGGGATGCCACTCTGTCTATGTATTGGAGGACCTCATCCTGCTTAGGGAAGAGATTCGAGAAGTCTGGGTTCGGCGCGTACGATAGACTATAGAACACGGCTGGAATGTCAACTCCGCATCCTGGGTCTGGGGTCCTTGTCAGTCTGTGTTGGTTTGAAGAATATTCGGATAGTACTATATAAATCTCACACGTGTTTGCCAGCCAGGTCCCGCCGAATCCAGCACCTCGGTCATATATCACAAAGTCATCACACTTCAAGGTATGTCGCAGCTGGTAAGCCATTGCTACGCCTGAGAACCCGGCGCCCACAATGATGACCTTTTTGAAGGGAAGAGATGTTTTTATTGAAGTCATCATAAGGGAAAATATGATTCGTCTGACGATGTATATTCAGGTGAGGGTTCTCGGTGTGAGGTGGGTTGCTCCTAAGTTCATATGCGCGCTTTATATGTCGTAATATATCAAAGTGTTGATTGTCCATTCCGCACAAGTAGATAGCCGTGACGATATCAAACCACGATTACGTCTACGGCTTGGGATCTCGCACCCTGGCAGATACCAGACGCAAAGATACTATGGAAAATTGGCTTCATAGAAAGTTCGGTCAAGCGTCCATGCCTCATCTGTCTACCATGGAAGACTGCTTTCCAAATTAAGGGGGATGCATTGAATGGCCTCTCCACCAGGAGATGCAGCAACGCAAAAAGGGTTATCATATCTCTAGATAATGCCTCTAATTGGGGACACAAGACGGACTTGAAAGTATAAGCAAGACATGGTGTAATGGAAAAGGGTGTGAGACATTTTTGCTCAACTATTAGGAGTTCGCTCGAGTTGGGTGGATGCATTTTACAGCTATTCGATAAATGAGTTCTCGGCATTAGCTACGAATCTCGACTTCCTTGGAGAAATAAATCACCATCGTTTGCAATGTCCCTTGCCATCATACTCCGCGACATTCATCCTTTATCGCATTTAGCTAGCAGCAAATGGAATCATTCTATGGACTACTAGTCAGTTAAAATAGCAATAGGTCTATCCGATCTTCAATAGTTATACGTCATCCCCACCCGGGAATGCTTAGATCTCTTTTCCACCTGGAAAGAAAAAGAAAAAAGAAAAAAGAAAACCAAAAGGGATATACCCCCTATCCTAAGTTATTAGGGTTGAAATCAGGTTGCGACACCACCTCCCAAAAATATCCAGCAGTACCCTTTGACAGGATCGTGCGGAGCCTACACTAGTTAATGTGCAACGCCTGAAGATTCGGGCGATATACATGACCTACTACTTGGATTATGCAAGCCATGACAGGTTTATCTTGTATTATTCGTCAGAATCATTTCCTAGACCGCAGCACTTTGTTCGCTGGCCCTCATGCGATTTTTCTGGAGTACGCCGCTGGCGCAGTTGCCGTAAAGCTATAGGGCTACCTAACCTTTAGTACATTCGCCAACTCGCCCGTTAGAGAATACTCGGAGATGGCCTCCATCATGTTGGCTGCATGCATGTAACTTGCATAAACACCGAAAGAGGCTGCATGCATGTAACTTAAACACCGAAAGAGGCTACATGCAAGTTACATGCATGCAGCCTCTTTCGGTGTTTTTGCAAGTCTCAGAACCAATCCTCGATGGAGTTTCTAGCTGGATGAAAGGGGAAATAGATAGGCAAAACAGAATTATAACTTCTGATTGTACCACCTTCCAATTCTTGTACTCGTGAATAACTAGCATTTCGTGAATTCTATCAGTGCACGTACTCTTATCATTTTGGATTTCAAGTTGGTTGTCACGATGCCCTCGAATATTTCCAAAGCCACCTATCAATATGTTTGCTCCGTTGTTACTATATTCCTGCTCTATTTGGCACAGCTGAGCATGCTACAAGTTATTATGCTCATCGCACTTCTGTGCGCGGGTGCCATCGGGTATATGCTTTTGTGGCTTGTCATGGCTGCCTGCACTAGGGAGGATTTGATTCTCCTCAATACGGATGGACCAAAATCGTTTTTGGGGCAGCCTCTTCTCTTCCCGGCGAAGCTCGCCCACGCTCGTCGGTTTCCAGACATTGAACGATATAACTACTGGTACGACTACTTCGTGGTCGGCATTCCAGTTGGCCTTCGTGGTCGGATTGGGAATCTTCTCTCCATTGATAACCTCCCTGCACACGAGAGCCACCGGGAGAAGTGCTGGTTCACCATCGACCCGGCATATTACTTAGACCGCGGAAGTGGTGATCTATGTCTACGGGAGAAGCTGGATATCTTCCTTGAGTCGCTAGTAAGTGGGAGGTAAAGCAACCGCAGCTAAACGGTTCTGATTAAGCTCTAGGACGAGGATCCTCGAAGCTTTCCATATGCATACCTGATTAGCACCCCACGATTCTTGTGGTGGCAAAAGAGCGCCATTAGCTACTGGTATCTCTACTCGTCGTCGCGAGAGCTAACAGCTATGATTATGGAGATCAATAACTCCTTCTTCGAGAAAAGGAACGTGTTTTTCCGGATCAGTGGTGACATAGGACTGGGAATGAATACACCCCCGCCCACAGAGACGGTGTGCCTGGCCACTATGAAAGAGATGTCCGAGAGGCAAGCGGTGCGCTTTGTCTCGTCAGCCCCTACATCGAAGATCTATAAAGGGACGTGGACAAAACGCATTTTCGCATCCCCGTTTGAGAAAATGGAAGGCGTTTTTACCAATACTTTTGTGGACCCGCTGCCCTCGGAGCCAAATCCTAGAGGTACGCTTCAGTCCACTCTCACTTCAGTGAGCGCAGAGGGCCGAGTAAAGGTTAATAGTCGACTGTCATCCTGGTCAAAACCGGTAAACCCAATCTCGGCATCCTGGAGGGACGTCACTCACATCATCCTACGCTGGACGCATGTCGGCGCCATCTCATCTCCTCGCATCATCAAAGAAGCGCTGCGTATCCGCTTCAGAGGAATGATGGAATATCACAAGAGACCTGAAGTTAGACCGGGAAGTATTCCACGTAACCAGACGGTGGTTGAACGGTATAGACAGGTTCCCTCCTTTTCCATGTCTGGAAGGCTTGCTGATCACTCGTTTCTACTTTGTCCCTTTCAGAGCGCTGGAGCGAGTATTCCGCGAGTATTTATCTCACATAACTTCGCGTTGCCAATATCCCGTAACTGTGGTTTACGCTCCGCCCCGATCGTTGCATTTCAATCGCCTCACGTTCCAATCCCCAGTTCCCCCGACGTCCTCCCCCAGAACCGAGGTCACCGTTCAGCCTCTGACCCCTCGGTTCTACACCCGCATTGCGCAATATCGCGATGTTCGAGAAGCATTCCCCGCGATGGCAAAATCCCATCCTACTAGCGCAGATCACTTGTCTTGCTTCTTATGGGTCTCAGACATGTCAGCCCTGGATCATTTACTGACAGCCACTGCGCCCGCCATCCCCGAGTTGAAGAGTGCTTTTACTAGAGATGATCCACAACGGCCGTTGAGGCTCACCATTTCCAAGGGCGTCATCGCATGGCTACGGGGAAGCAATAATGAGACGTTCATGGATAGCTTCTGCTACTGGTCTCAGTCCCAGCAAATGCAAAGAGAGTATCAAAAAGCGGTAATACATCACCTACTGGCTAATAAGCTCCCGGTCGAGTCTCAGGCTGCTGTGATGCTCTGTTATATTTCTCTTACCACGGTGGTCGTCTACCTCCTGTTGCATCTGCTGGCTGCTTTTGTGCAGAGCTGGCGATTAGGCTCTGTCCTTACTAATAGTAGATATTTAGTCACACCATCGGTTGGAGCGCTCGTGTATGGGGGCTGGGCTATGTTGACCAAATATGTAGGCAAGTACTACCTGAATCCTTTTGCGTGGGGTGACGGACTCTAATGGCGCGCGGTACCGCGGACATTGTGCTTGCTTGTTGTGTTATGGGGATAAACAATGTTTGCCGTTTTTTTTTATCGTGTATGGGTGGGTATAATTGAGTCAATCATAATGAGGGTTTTCGATTTTATACTAAGCAAAAGACTGCTTGTTGTTGTTTTTTTTTTTTTTTTTTTTTTTTTTTTGGCAGCAGAAAATTAGGTACTCCCATACTGCTCCTTAAACATCACAAAGAGGGCTAGATCCGCCCCCAACATGGTCAGGGTCAGGCAGTTTGGATCTCCAGGCCTTTGCCTAAGGATCTCTACTACATAAGCTATCCGGCCCATAGGACTGATGGCGAAACTACTACTGGCACAGCTGATTCTGTGCCTCCCGGGTGTGAGTACCGGATCAACAATATTTGCTCTAATGGTACCTGGAAAGAATTCTTCGTCCTCCCTGGAGGTCGTCAAGCCAAGCTTCGATATAGATCTTGCATTTGAAAACAATGCATGGCGGCAAAGTCCAACCAGAAGCATTGTCTCGATCGCAGTCACCTATTCGCGACCTCCAAGCTGTAGAATAGAGCGCCGATCACAATATATTCAGCTCTTGTCACAATTTTTGCGGTCGCAATTTAGACCCATTGCGAAGCCAGCCTCGTCAAGGTGTATATTCTCAGGCGCAATACCATATTGGATAATAATCTGTTGTACGCAGTCGAACCATTCGCGTGTGACCTTTGGGTCTTCATTTTTGGCACAATGATAATCGTATCGGCGCGAGAACCGTGAGTTGATCTCATTGTGGCACTTAAAGAAAGTCACAGACCCATTTTTTGCCGACTAGTTAAATCGAGGTAGATTCACGCTTCGCGAGTAGAATATTGGCCATTTCTCGCACCGCTGCTGGCCTAGGTGCTGCTCCACGCCTATCCATAGAAAGAATCCATTGTAGAAGCGATTCCTCAGTTTGGGACAATTTATAGCTGTTGGTGCATATGTAGGCTCGATAGATGGGGCCAGCTAAGCAGCGCCGTAGGGTTAAAAGTGGCACATTAAAACAGCGCCCTGCTTCACAAGTAATAGGGATTTCTTGCTTCTGAATAGCTTCGATAGCTAACAAGATCCTATCCTCTTGCTGGGTGGATTTTCTGGATTTTTCGGGGCAAATTGGTGGCATAGTGGGTAGTTGAAAAAGGTTGCGTATGGGTGACGCGGATCATGTTAAATGGCTCGCTCGCTTACTGGTTATTTTATTTACATGGTTAGAAAGCGAGGCTTCAGGGACACACAAGATCGCTCTACTATATAGATAATACTCTCGAGAAGATAAAATACTAAGATATTATATACTTTTAAAATATTAAAGTATGCTTTTATAAATTCCTAAATTAGTACTAGCTTAATTCTAGTAGCTTTAAATTACTAACTTTAGTTCTATATAAAATTGTAAAGGGTCTACAGAGAGGGTGAGATATGAAGCTATTCCCAACTAACGGAAGGGGTGGATCAGGTGATATTATATGATCTCGAGAAAGATAGGAAGTTGGACCTTGTTACCTGTCCTACCCTACGGTGGAATGATCACGATACTTAGCAGAGACCTAGTCATTTATATTATCGATGATATGTGGAGCTATAAAGATGTTATACGATAAATTGATACTCTCGCATCCAGCTGGCAAGACAAGATTCAGTCTTGACAGCAACGAATATATACTGATTTCCCTTCTCTTCTTCTACTTGTTTCTCTACCTGATCGACAGGTTTTATACCCTGCCAAGTATATTCTTTACATTGTTGCTGCGTTTAACTATCGTGCAGTTTCGAGATCGCTGGGTGTTATTGTACTTGACCGGTAGGAAGGATATCTTCTTTGGAATAAAGATAAATATATATATCGACAACTCGGATTGTGACAACGGCGGCCACAATACGGATGCCTTTGATGTCGGCGCGAGTACCTATATCACCATCAGCAACGCGGTAGTGAAGAACCAGGACGATTGCCTGGCGGTAAATTTTGGCAAAGATTCTTCTTCTTCTTTCTTCTTGTTGACAGTCATGCCCAGCTAACCATACCAGAATATCCTCTTCACTGGCGGCTACTGCTCCGGCGGTCACGGCCTCTCAATCGGTTCAGTCGGCGGACGCGACAACAACACCGTGAAGAACGTGACGATCTCCGACTCGACCGTCACCAACTCGGCCAACGACGTGCGCATCAAGACCGTCTACGAGGCGACAGGCTCTGTTTCGGGCGTCACATACTCCAACATCGAGCTATCCAACATCTCCAAGTACGGCGTGGTCATCGAGCAGGACTATGAGAACGGCAGCCCGACCAGGACGCCCACGACCGGAGTGCCGGTCACAGATCTGACGGTGGAGAAGGTCACTGATATGGTGAAGAGTAACGCGACCAACATCTTGATCTTGTGCGGCGATGGTAGCTGCTCGGACTGGACTTGGTCCGGGGTCAGTGTCAGTGGAGGGAAGAGCAGCGAGAAGTGCCAGAATGTGCCGTCTGGTGCTTTGTGCTAGATTGATGAACAGATTATCTCTAGTGGACATAGATAGAAACGGCATCTATAGTATGTTGATCCAGGCATCCATGGTTGAACAGTGAAGGAAGTGTGGATCGACGATCAGCCGGGTCGATGACGCCACCCGCGGGGTCCAAGCTCGAGCATCTCCCAATTTTGTATTTCCTTCAACTCTCTCTGCAGAAGTACATTCACAGCCCGTCTCAAGAAAATGCAAGTCCTTCTCCTCGGTGGCCACGGCAAGGTCGCCCTGCACTTGACCCCGCTGCTCCTCAACCGCGCCTGGAATGTCACCAGCGTGGTGCGCAACCCCGACCACGAGAACGAGATCCTGGCGCTGGGCAAGGGCCGCAAGGGCAAGCTGGATGTGCTGCTCTCCAGTCTGGAGGATGTGAAGAGCACCACGGATGCCCAGAAGATCCTGGACACGGTGTCGCCCGATTATGTGGTGTGGTCTGCTGGTTTGTCTTTCTCTCCCCACCACCCCTCCTACCTACGAACATGGTTTCAACATACCAATATCCCAACTCGTTGCAACCCAACGCACGCCATATATAGAATTTCGCGAGTTGATTGATTACCGGCTAACACATCTTTCTCGAACCAGGCGCCGGCGGCAAAGGTGGCCCAGCAAGCACAATCGCCATCGACCAAGACGCAGCGAAACACTTCCTAACCGCCTCCTTCGCCTCGTCGCGCGTGAGCAAATTCCTCATGGTCTCATACATGGGCAGCCGCCGCACCCAGCCGAGCTGGATGCCCGACGACCAATGGGCCGGGCTGGTGCGCACCAACACCGAGGTGCTGCCAACCTACGCCAAGGCCAAGCTCGAGGCCGACGAGTACATGACCGCGCTGGCCGCTCGCCGCAAGCGCGACCCGGCCGCGTCGGCTCGCTCCTTCCAGGCGATAAACCTGCGCCCCGGTATCTTGACCGACGAGCCTGCTACGCGCAATGTCGAGCTAGGCAAGACCCCCCGTGGTCGCGGCCATGTGTCGAGGGAGGATGTTGCTATTGTTGCGGATCAGTTGCTTGCTCGGGCGGATACGGAGGGTTGGTATGATCTTGTTAATGGGGATTTGCCGGTTGAGCAGGCTGTTGAGCGGGTTGCGAAGGAGAAGATTGATGCCGTTGAGGGGGAGGATGTTGATGGGCTTGTGAAGAGGTTCTTCCCTTAGAGCCTTTTTTTAGAGTGTCGAGGTTCTCGATACAAACCTCTTACAAGTTTCGGGTGATACATATTTACATGTCTGCACATTTACCAGAAATGAACGAAAGAAAGTCTATCATGACGATATATAATTGCTTCTACAGCTCCAAAACAAGATATCTACAATTTGGCCTTGGGCGTTTTGATCTCCTTGAACTTCTGCTTCAGCAGACGACGCAAGATCTTCCCACTCGGATTCTTGGGGATTTGATCCACAAAGTGCACGCCACCCCGCAGCCGCTTGTGGTGGGCAACCTTGCTGTCGAGCCACCGGATAATGCTGGCCGCTTCATCCTCCTCACTCGCACCCGAGGCCTTGCTCTTTGCGCTTCTTACGACACACGCCAAGGGTACTTCCGAGCCATGGGCCTCGCTCTCGACACCAATCACCGCCACATCATCAATAGCTTCGTTATCCACCAGCAGGCCCTCCAGCTCTGCCGGAGGAACCTGGAAGCCCTTGTACTTGATGAGCTCCTTGACGCGGTCCGTGATATAGAAATGGCCCTTGGCGTCCTGGTAGCCGACATCACCAGTGCGGAACCAGCCATCCGGCGAAAGACATTCTTTGGTTGCCGCCGGGTTCTGGTGGTAGCCCATGAAGACGTTGGGCCCGCGCACATACAGCTCGCCGACCTCGCCGGCCGAGACCTCGCGCGCGTCGGAGCCGTCCTCGGGCATGGTCATGTACTTGGCTTCCATGTTGGGCATTAGCCGGCCGACGGAGCCGATCGCCTCGCGCCAGTCACCCCACTGTTGCGTGTGCGTGGTTGGGCTGGTCTCGCTGAGCCCGTAGCCCTGTTTGATTCCGACCTTGATTCGCGAGTAGACCGCCTCCACCAGCTCTTGTGTGAGTGGCGCCGCTCCTGAGTTCATCATGCGCAGACTCGACAGATCGTACTTGTCCACAACTGGGTGCTTGCCCAGCAGGAGCACCACTGGAGGCACGACGTAGCTGAATGATGCGCGGTAGTTCTGTACATGCGCGCACCACCTCTCGATGTCGAACTTGGACATCACCACGAGATGGTACCCTTTGTAGAGCGACTGGGTAATCAGACAAGTCAATCCTAGACATTGGGGAGTCAGCACAGCTTTCTTCTTATTTAAAATGAAATCGACCCAGCCATACCGTAGATGTGGTAAAATGGCAGGAATGCGAGAAGTCGATCTCCCTTGCCATCAGGACCCCCATCCCAGCTCAGATTCGCACCCTCAGCACACGCCTGCTGCGCGATATTGGCGACGATATTGCGGTGCGACAGCATCACCCCCTTGGGCACGCCCGTGGTCCCGGAGGAATACACCAAGAAGGCCACGTCTGTCTCCGGGTCAATTTTCTGCTTGCGATACCGAGTCGCGCGAGAGATATTCAGGACTGAGGTGAAGTGCTTGAAGCGGGCATCCGGGTCGCGCTGGTCGCCCAGCAAAATAATGCGGTCTGTGGGGATGCCGACCTTCTTTGCGGCCTCTGTGGCCACGGGCAACACCGAGGCCTGCGTCGCTAGGACCTTGGCCCCGGAGTTCTTCAGCTGGAAGGCCAGCTCCTCGGCTGTGTAGGCTGGGTTGGCCGGGGATACGATGCCACCCGCCCAGTGCGTACCCCACATCAGTACGGGGGTGTCGATGCTGTTTGGTGTGAATAGGGCCAGGACATCGCCCTTGCGCCAGTCATAGTTGGCCTTAAGACCCTTTCCGAATTCGAGAGAGGCGTCTCTTAGCGTCTTGTACGTGTAGTATCGCTGAGTTTCGGCATCCTGGTAGAGGACTGAGCGGTGTTGGTTAGCGTCCAGGGCATGCGCGTGTATCGACCCTGGGGTCTCCAGGTCTGGGAGCCAGTTACTCACTCTTATCATCTGGAAAGGGCCGGTCATTTCGCTCGAAAAGAAAGGTCCAGAGGTCAACATTGGGGATGTCCACCGGAGGGTAGTTGGAGGAGACGGGCATGTTGCGGGGAGAAAAGAAGCCAAGCGATCGATCCGGGGATGTCAAACGGACTGTGGGGGAGCTCTAGCACAGTAAACAGTAGAGTCGTCAAGAACCTTGAGTATTCATACAAAGAAAAATATATAAAGATGTAAAGATGTAAGGATCCCAAGAGCGAGCGTGCTTATTGATAGGACAGGGTTCTCTCTCCGCAGTCTCGGTACTTGAGCGGGTTGCCTCGGCCCATTTACTTCTCCAGCATACCCGAGAGATCCTCCCCGCGGGCGTTAAGAAGGCGGTTTTTGAGCCATGGGATCGGCTAATGTTATTGTTATTTCTTGTTTGTTGAGCCATTCAATGAGAATTTTTCCTCTGTCTAGGGATGTCCTTTGAATGCAGATATTCATCGATGTACTTCGGTGATCGGCACCTCGGCCCTCTCGGCGTTTTCCCCGTAACGGCCGCAATGCTGATTAGTAATCCTTTTTCACTTGGTATGAATGGATGGATTGTGTATGAATTTCATAATACTTCATACTATATACATGCAATTTTTCAATTATTTTGACCTGTCTATAACCAGGAATGTCAATGGAAGATAATGTACATGGTCGGCATTAGGGCTATTTCACCGGTTCAAGTTCCACGATCAGCCCTGGCTTCCACACTCCAACTTGGTTGCCAAAAATTGTAATACTGGCAACTCTCCAATGGCCAAAGATCGGCCGATGTTGAATGAGCATCCACGCAGCTCCTCGGACGCTTGGCGATCCCAACAACGCAAAGAATCGTTTATCATTCGAAGCCCTGGAAAACTTCTTGAAATTGCGTTTTTCGGCATAGTTCTGCCACTCGGAGAAACTCGCTTCGACTCCAAGGGCTTCGCGCATGGTTCTCACGGAATCCGTATTGGTGACGGGGGCATAGATCAAGTTTTTCAAACTGACGGCATCTTTTAACGTCTCGAGCAGCTGCCCCCATTGCAGTGCAGTGACATCTGACCATTTTTCCAGCTCGACCACATTTTCAGGCGGACATGACATCTTGGAAACGGCATGTCGGGGACTGGAAACATCGAGGACGATGATGAACCCAAAGACAGCATTGTAGAGACCCTTATAGATACCTCGGGTAGCCTGTGGTCATGTTAGAGAAAGAAACAAATAGCAGAGATTATGTTTGGGCCTGAAACACACTTACATCGTAGGTCTTGCCTCCTTTGGTCACGGTCTTAGAGTGGTCCCATATAATCAATCTGCTCTTTTGTTTCAAATTGTGCCCCAACCAGCTCTGAACTTCGTCAAGTCGGTTGGTCGCCTCTGACAGTTCCTCTAGATAATCTTGCTGCGGAAGGGAGCTTTGATCCCAACCCCATTGATTTAATTGCTCGTATTGAGTATAAGGGCTGGTGGCCTGCACCGGTTTCCCTTGGAAGCACTTGGAGATTTCCTGCTGCTCATCGGCATTCATTGCGCAATCCAGCATTTTCCCCGTCGACAAAGATACCGACCAGGTGATGGGTCGGCCATTCCAGTCATCGCGAGGTGCGAGAGCACGGCGCTTTTTTCTCGGTTCATGTTGTACTAGATCCGTGGACTCGTCTCTTATTTCATGATGAGGCGAATCCAGCCGCTGATCTTCGAGTTGAGACTCAACAGGTTCGCCCGGTTGGTCTTTGGGGTCGTTTTGGACCAAATCAACTGGTCTCTCCCCGGATTGACGTTCTACCAGACCCGGTTGTGGATGCCTTGAGTGGTAGTTCGACGACAAGAACAACCACAAAACCAGCGAGACAATGAACACAGTCTTGGTCCACCGATGCAAGACCCAGTCACTGATTGGAGTCATTTTGGCGGTCCTCAGACGGGCGGAGGGCACGAAAAACCCAGGAAACGTCCGTCGACCGCGGGTGCGGTTGCGTGAAACGGGGGGCTTTAAATCCTCACCTCGCAAAGGGCACAGACCTAAAATAGGAGATCAGGAACAGTCCACTCCACCTGTCGTAGAGAACGGTTGAAGGCAGCCGCCAATCGGATTTGCGTGAAATCCAGAGATCCGCTCTGAAGGATCCTGGGGCATCCTGGCGCCACGCAGCCCTTGAAAATCAGCCCAAGCGTTGAGGAAGAGTCGCGTGCATATTCTGTTAAAGTTATTCCCTGTGAGTCTCTGAAGAAGCGAGGAGCAGCTTTTCTACTTAATCAATCACCACAGACATATAGAAAAGATATCTTGTGCCGAGGGCAGACAAACCATGAAAGATTTGATCTCACTTTGTTATTTCTGTGTCTGAAGAGGCATGGATCTACACTACCAGAATTTTCGGTGAAGAAACCGTGTCCAAGAAGCAGGGCAAGCTGGGGTCCCGAAAGTCTATGCATTCCACGCGATGTACAAAGTTTTTTTTTTGGTCTAAGTTTTTTTTTATACTCGCTAAGATCCTGTTTGGCTTTGCCAAGTGTACTCTAATTCGAAGCCCAATTTTGGGTTTATCCGCTGTATACTCTGCAGATTCTACCTAAAAGCCAACGAGTGCAGATAGGAATAATAGCCAAATTGAGAGCTACCTCTATGACCTCGTCGAAACAACAATGTCTCGAAATAATCAAGGCGGGTCAGTCCCTGTAACCCCTTAATTCGCACTGTTGCAAATCGCCCCCAACGAAGCAGAAAATCCCATGGTGGCTATCACAATCTCGCCAGCCCCCGTGGCCCCAGAAAATCCCAGGGCTAGGATTTGCATTAGTACAACGTGGTGTACCCTATAGATTCCCCGCAGTGGAGCCGGTTGTAAGGTCTTTTCTAATAATAATCCCCTGCCACGCTGAAACACAGGGCTTCGAACGTTGGGGGCGTATTGCTCTCAATCAATGGCTAGGCACATCAGGGTCATCGACGATCGTCACTTTATCATTCGACATGGCTGAAATAAGCTCTTTCTCGAAGTCTGAATAAACTGGTTTCTGTAGTATAAGATAAGGGAGGATGCGATACATGCTTCCAGGGCCAAGTCGAACAATTCCTTTGATCTGACTTTTGTTGAGCTCTTGTATACGTCTGTGGGTCAAGTGCTCTGATGCATTTTTCTCTATGTCACTCAGAACGAATGGAAGGTTTCTATTGGTCGTCCTCTAGATTCGAAACTATCTTAGAAAAATAAAATCTTTGACGATATCAAGAACAATGGCACGGTGATCCAGGCGCCATTTTCAGCTCCCATTGCACTACTGGCCCTGACTACTATATGATTTATTGAGGATGAATGAGATCCTTGAGCTTCACCAGCGTCAAAAACAGGGGTTTCAAATTGGCAGAGCATTTATGAGTTTGAGTCTTCTTCGGGTTCTTTGAAGAAATCCAGGAGCTCGACCAGTTCGTCATGAGCATCGCCAAAGATCTTGAACTTTGGAGAGTCGGCCGTATATCGTCATACCAGAAGAGCTTTCCCTGGGCAACAGTTGAATAGCGCCGAGAAATTTGGACAGATTGGTCTCTCGTAAGAGCTCTTAAGTGGTGCGTGAAAAGTCGGTCCCACGCCGTTGATTTCAAGTTGCTCATGTTCTATCTTGACGGTGGCACACGGGGCACTTGTCTTGGACTCCGCAGAGCCTGGCAATATACCATGAAGAGCCAAACCAGCCCGAGCGATCAATTGGCAGACGCGATAGATTCTTATGAGGCGCACATGAGCCCGTGAATCGTGATATGATCCCACCAAGTAGACGTAGAGCCTGGCAAGAATATTCATGGATCACTAGGCCAATACGCAGCGATCCTGTCTACCATGATGTACATCTACGGATACCACAACCAGGCTACAGCCCGAGATCTACAGAACTTACACAATTGAAGTTGTCAGGTCGTTAATTGGACTCCCTTCCCTAGTGATACAACGAAACTAGGGCAGAGCGTTATTTTTTGGCCTTGTCGAGTTCGTCCAAAGGCGGGGAATATGCCAGGTCCCATGTGTTTGCATGCCGACAAGATCTTATATTGAGATGGAAACAGCTGACCCGCACGGGAAATACAAGCCGAATAAATGAACCCAGTTGACGAATGTGCTGGATTCCATGCTTCTTTCCTTGCGCCCTTTCCTCCACACGCCACTCCAAGGGGAATCGTTTTGAAGTTGTTTACTTGAGGGGAATGAAACGGGAAGAGTGGGTGGCACCGATACCGGGGCGACCGTGCTTGACGGGCTTGCTGCGGGGTTGTTAGCACTGCTCGAGAATCAAGGCTGGAAATCAACACATACTAGGAGATCGAGAACTCAGCCAGGTAGTGGCCAACCATCTCGGGCTTGATCTCAACCTGGTTGAACTCCTTGCCGGAGTAGATACCGATGACGCTGCCGATCATCTCGGGAACAACAATCATGTCACGGAGGTGGGTCTTGACGAGGTCGGGCTTCTCGTTGGGCTTGGCCTCCTGCTTGGCCTTGCGGAGCTTCTTGATCAGACCCATGGGCTTGCGCTTCAGGCCACGGTTGAAGCGACGGCGGGCACGGGCGTGGACGACATCGCGGAGCTGCTCCGAGGAGAGGTCGAGGAGCCTATAAGATCTGTTAGACTTTTTTCCTTTCATATTTTTCACCATCGCGGGGTATTGAATATCCATCCACAGTTCGGTACACAGCAGGTAACTCAGAAATAGTGACAGCCACCGCGATAGCAGTGTTGCGATGTACCAGTGTACCCCTTGGTTACCGTGGACAGACTGTGGATGGATTCCAAGAGCGAAAGTGGTTGGGTTGAACGTACTGGTCGAGGTCAATGCCGCGGTAAGAAAACTTGCGGAACTGTCTTCTCTTCTTGAGCTCTGTGTGGCGAAAGCACTGTCAGTGTCTGCGATCTCGTCTTCTGGTGTGTGCGCGCGCGTCTCCAGCATCCAAGCCATTTCGAATTCCCATTCAAATTTCATCACAGATCATCGCAAGATCATCGCATTCATCGGTGTTCCATCTCGAATAAACCCTCCTCTTGTATCCAGTGGTTGATTCGGGCCACTGGTGGATAAAAGGGTTGATGCAAACGTACCGGCAGCCTCCTCGGCGTTCTGAATGAAAACTTGATGTTAGCGCCAGACTCGCGGGGGGTTTGATCGAAGTGGCACTCACGTATTCGTGGTCAGCCATTTTGCAGGTGTTTCCTCTGCGCTCGCTTTTCGATCGGGATCTCGAAAAGCGAAGGAAGATGGGTTGTCGGGATTGTCGTGTCGCTGGACGGGTACCGCTCACACTACGAGTTGGGGAGTGGGCAAGTGTTGGCTTAAGCGACGGGTAGGTTCAAGCCCTAGCCCACTAAGCCACTTTGGGAGGTTGGTATTTTTTTGTCACATATGGTCACAATTTTGTAAATTACACAAAAGCTACTTTCAATGTACGGCATCTGCCACACTTCAGCCCCGCAAAATCCTGTACCTGTCAAGTTGAGAATCTGGTATCATAATGACGAGCTGCTTTCCTCCAAATTGTATGTAAACCATCTTATACAAGTGCTCATACATACAACCTATAGAAGATGATAGATAGCACTTCTCTAGTACCAAAAAGGCAAATTGAAATAGCCTTGGAGAGCACCAACCCCAGACAGACTACGCTAAAGCCACTACATCTTACGAGAGCCAGTAATGGAGGAGGCCAGGTGATCTGTATTGGCTAGGAGCTCATTCCAGCTCACACATGAGAAATTCGTAACTGCGTCAGAACAGCCTGAACCATCCACGCTTGAGAATCCAGCCGGCCAAGATTGCTCCTGAGCCGGAGGTACCAGTCAGACGTCTGTTCCTCCATGTCATAATTTTTGAGTGCTCAGAGACGAATGCGCTTAGTCGAAGAGACCGAAGCCCATGTCCTCGTCGGACTCCTCCTCGGCCTTCTCCTCCTTCTTCTCCTCAGCGGGGGCAGCCTCACCACCGGCAGCGGGGGCGGCAGCGGCGGCACCACCGCCCGAGGGGACGGAGGCGAGCTTGGTGGTACCCTCAGCAATCAGCTGTGTAAAGCGAGTCAGTCGGGTGTATCCCAATCAAAAATGGCGCAAATCACTAACCTCCTGGAGGTCCTTGCCCTGGAGCTCGGCAATGAGCTTGTCGAGGCGCTCGGAGTCAGCGTCAATGCCGACAGAGGAGAGGACACCCTTGATGTCGGCGGCCGAGGGGGACTCGTTGCCGGCGAGGGCGAGCAGAAGGTAAGCGGCAAGGTGCTTCATTGTGAATCTGCGCATGAATTTGGCAATTAGCAGCTGGAATTATTTCAAATATGATTGTTCAGATAAATCATGAGTAAAAACTTACAGAAGTTTTGTTGTATCTGGAACAAGAGAAACAATCGATTTAACCGCGGATTGAGCGGAGACTGCAACGTCGAGTTCTGGAGGAAGAAGGTGGTTGACGAAGAGAACCGAAGCGCCAAAATCGTGGGAAAAGTGCGGTGCGGCGGGTGTGGCTGTTTACACCGCCCGGCAGAAATATCTAAGCGAGTAGCTGTGGCGCAGAGTCACGTGTCATATTGTCGCCAGCTCGACGGTGACAGTTGATAGTCCCTCTCAGCCTGCCCCCTCTTATCTTTGCTCTAAGCCCTCGCCAAGAAAGAGTGCTGGTGAAGCCGTGGCTGTTTTCTCTAGTACCTCTGATTCTCAAGTACCAGAAGAGCATCGCCATCTATCCAACCAGAGATCCGTTCTCATGGTATCCTACTCGGAGTCATGAAGCTACCTCGTCGAACCAACCATCGACGGTGAACGTTCCTTCTTGCCTCTGTCCCTCTTTCACCTTTTCAACTATAGCAAACTTGGCGTATCTTTCTTCTGCAACTCCAAGATGAGTGTATGGATCAAAACTCTTGTCTCCCGTTTTCTTATTTGACACTTTCTGACACCTAGCACAGTTCCTCGATTCTGTTCTCTCGTCTCTCCAGACTGGAAAGCCCTCTCAGACCTCGCTATCCCAGCCACCGGCACCTCCTGCGCCATCTTCGACGACGAGAAAGGATGTCCGGAAGCCGGAAACAAACTCACGAGCACCTGTGGCGGGCGGCAATACCAGTGGAATGAAACGAAAGGCCGAAGACCAGTTGCCTCGTCCCTCACGGCCCGATGCTCAACCAGCTAGCAAAGCCACTGGGATCAGACCAGCGGTTTCCTCCGCTACACCCAAACTTGCGCGCAGGCCAGCAGAAAACAAGACCACGCCCGTTTTCCCGAAGCCTGCACCCAGAAATGGCCCCTCTGCCGGCACCAAGACTGCGCCTGCGAAGGCAGCACCCTCGAAGCCAGCGCCCGTGCCATCAAAGCCGCCGCCAAAAGGATCATTTGCTGAGATCATGATGAAGGCGAAGGCCCTGCAAGACAAGGCTCCCACCCAGGCCGGCATGCTGCGACATCAGGCAGTGCCCAAAGAGAAGCTTAGCAAAGTGGAGCGCAAAAAGCGAATGATTGAGGCTCAGGCTAAGGAAAAGGAGGCCCGTACTGGCAAGAAAGCCACCCCTGGGACCGCTCCCCCAGGCAAGCCTTCTCCAAAGAAACGGGACACCGAGGCACCCTCGTACAAGGGTACGGCCAAACCATCTCAGTCTCTTGACATGCCCGCCTACCGCGGGACAGCGGGTTTGCCATCCAAACGTGGCGCCAATGATCGTCAAAATGGCAAACGGTCCCGTGTGAATGAATACCTTGGAACCGACGAAGAGGACGAAGGCGATTACGGCGATTACGACGACTACTACTCGGATGCTTCGTCTGACATGGAGGCTGGCCTGGATGACGTGGAGAATGAAGAGGCCGTCGCATTGAAGAATGCAAAGAGAGAAGATGAAGAGGAACTGCGCCAGGAAATGGCCGCCAAGCAAGAGAAGATCAACCGTCAGAAGAAGCTGGCAGCTCTTGCATCCCGAGGCAAGCGATGAATTCATACAGAACGCGGCTACATATGGTTTCGGGTTTCATTTATCGTGGGTATGGGCTTTTTTTTACCGGGCATCATTGAGCGTTTCGGGTGTCGATAGATGGCGGACACCCCTGATTCTTGTTTTCTTGATATTATACTCTGCAAAATTCATAGCCGGCGTCATTTAAATATCTACTTGTTCTCACTTGGGCATCATCTCTCCTTGAGTAGTGAAGTAATTCTGAGAGTGCATCCACCTGCAAATGTCCTGGCTGGGCCCCACTTGGCGGTGACATCACCCGCTCACCACCATTTAAAGATAGGAACTGTCTTCTCTTCCACTCGTGCCATTCTCCAATTTTGCCCTCCCGACGTTCACTATGGAGTCCGCTCACCATGTGTCGACCTCGTCGAAGATCCTCTTCGGCAAGGTGCGCAGAATCGTGCCTCCCATGCTGGAGAAGTTCCACAAAGGTTTGTTGACATCGCGGTGCGTGTAGGATGAATGGCAGCTCATGATTTGAATCCAGGACAACTTGGACGTGTTGCGGTCATTGGAGGCTGTGCCGAGTAGGTTGTTCATATTGAGTGTCGCGCATTTGGCTGACCGGCGTCAAGCTATACGGGAGCACCGTATTTCTCGGCCATAGCTTCGGCGAGACTGGGTATGTAGTTGTCATTGAACAAACCGCACACTTCATTATTGACTCGAGAATGCAGGATGTGACATGGTGTGTTTAAATGCCACTTTGCTTGATTGGGAGGTACTGACGATGGCCAGAGCCATGTCCTCTGTGAACGATCAGCAGCACCCGTAAGTCCGGCCATTTCCCATACGGAGAAAAAGTTCCTTATAAGCTAAATACGATACATCATCAGGTTATCAAGGGATATTCACCGAATTTGATGGTGCATCCGTTACTCCCGAGTACCGACACCGTCAAGGACCCCAAGTCAATTGATGCCCACTCCCTCGCAACCCCAATTATCAATATGCTCTCTCGCTTACACACTCTCGTGATTGGGCCCGGTCTCGGTCGCGACGACGTCACACTAAAGATCGTCGCAGAGGTGATCAAAGAGGCGCGATCACGGTCAATCCCATTTGTGCTGGATGCAGACGGCCTACTGATCGTCACCGAGGACCCGGGGCTGGTGAAGGGGTACAGGGACTGCATCCTGACCCCCAACGTGGTGGAGTTTGGACGTCTAGCCAAGGGACTGGGCCTCAAAATCGCTAGCCAGAGCGCCATCGCCAAGAGCCAGGATGGCGATCGAACTAGCCGCGAGTCGGAGGCGTGCGAGCAGCTGTCAAAAGCGCTGGGTGGTGTGACGATTATCCAAAAGGGTCCTCACGATGTGATCTCGAACGGAGTCACCAGTATCATTTCCGATATTCGTGGCGGACTGAAGCGGAGTGGCGGTCAAGGAGACACGCTGACGGGGTCATTGGGGACGCTGCTGGCCTGGCGCGCTGCGTACCTCAACCGGATGTGGGACTCTGGCGAAAAAGATAACGAGAGGGAGGCGCAGACCAAGGAGGATGTTCGGGCAGAGCTCGAGTCCGAGGACAAGCGCATGTCTCCGTCAACGACCCTGCTCCTGATCGCGTGGGCGGGCAGTGCAATCACCAGGGACTGCTCGCGGCACGCCTTTGAAGCCAAGGGGCGCAGTATGCAGGCTAGCGATCTGACCGACGAGGTGCATGGGAGTTTTCTGCGGCTAGTCGGAGAGCCTGAGGTACCCAAGACGCACCTCTAGACTTCCTGGCCTGGAGGCTTGCTCACGGGCCTTAATGTACAGTCAGAATCATTTTTACGGCCAAAGACATGTCCCATTCACACTATGTCGGCTTCTGGCTGATCCTAGGAATATATTCTGACCCCGAAATTACATCCATGGACGGATCCTGCGTACAAGGGAACCGGAGCCTACATCTGTAGCTCTCTGTTAATGTTCGATCCCGACGGTATTTAAATTGCAGATGTTCTAGATGGTCGCACAAAAGACCCTGAATCAAATCTTGTTCAAAAAGAGTAGATAATAGCTTCTGATGACGTTACCAAACATCCCAGCTGTTCCAATCTCACATTGTCCTCGATCCTATTTGCCTGGTTTCCAGTAGATTTAAGCCATATCTCTTGGTCTTGGATAGCCGGTAGCCGGTCTTGGGTAGGTAAGGCGTCCTATAGAGTGGCGGGACTGCCGAGTGCCAACGTGAGGCTCTGGCTGAAACATCGGGCTGTCAGAATAACTAGCTCATACTTTCCCATTCAGGGAGGCCTTTTAATGGTTAATTTTAATTTTAATCTTGTTTTATTTTTTTCTGAATGGACCCAAAAATACAGGCGAGGTACTTGTCACACCGTGCGATGGCGGGCTGAAGGAAAATGAAGAACGGGAATAAAAATAAAAATAAGGTTTGAGTATTCAACTTCCAGTATCTTCCTCTCGCTTAAAATCCCATTTTTAGACCGAATATGCAGTCCAAGGTAAAGCCTGGATGTCTCTTGTAGTATAGTTCATCGAGAGCATGAAGCCGGACATGACCACAGGACAGACACCCTAAACCCGGATAATGAAGCCTCACAAATGAAAAATAGACAAAATAAATGCGGCATAAAATACATGAGAGAAGCTCTCCCCGCATTGGTTTCTATAGATAAATCCCCAGGAAGGGCGTGATTGGGACCCGGATATAGTTAGGGCTGGGCTGGGCTGAGACATTCTACCCCCGCAGCATCCGTCTCTCTTCTAACCTTCTACCACTGCTTGCTCTGTTCTGAGCTGGCAAGTCGTTGACATCAGCTTTTCCAGGACGCCACAGAAAGACATTGGTGATGTCTCGAGGCCTTGTTCCAGATTCTCGTATTCGAGACTCGCCCAATCCCCGGGTCATCCTATCCGGCGACGAGCCGAAGTTCCCCCCCTCCAAAAGACAATCTCCGAGAGCTGAAAAGACTCAACGCCCAAGTCATACCATCGTGTACCATGGGTACCTTCCTTGATCCTGGGGTACTGAGACCTGGCTGGGCCCCGTGATACCTCGTGAACTCGGCGCAGGGAATAAGCTGTTCCGGGAGGCCTGGATAGCCCGGCAGGCAGAGAAACGCAAGTCTATCACCATCTTACTCTCTCACAAGAGAGTGGAGGATATAAAAGCTGGTCACCCTCCCACTCAACAAGACGCCAACATCCCACAAGCAAATCAGACCAATCTCCAAAACTCTGTGTCTTGCAATCTCTCATACCAACCAGCATCTTCCAGCATCAAAACCCCAACACAAACTCCAAACAAAATGCAGCTCACCGTCCTCGCCGCCGTCCTGGCCACTGCCTCCGTGGCCATCGCCGGAGCCATCCCGCCCAAGTGCGGAACCTGCAACCCCATCTCGGGCCAGAACAGCTGCGACCCGACCACATCGTGCATCAACACCGGCTCGACTTTCCACTGCGCGTGCCGCGCGGGCTACAAGGCGTCCCGCCACAACGGCGACATCGCACAGCAGTTCCGGCTGCCCATGCCCAACTACGAGTTCCTGGTCTTTGTGCCGGAGAAAACCAAGTGCGATACGCTGTGTGATGACCCGTATGCTAAGGCTTCGGATATCTGCAAGGAGGTGCACTTGTATGAGAAGTGCGTTGTTTAAGAAGGTTGTTGTTGTTGTGTATGGCCCTATTGCTCTGTATGGAGAGGGGGATTGGCGGTAGAGGGGGTAGTAGATGGGCCAGGTTGAGGTTGATGCGTTTTAGTTATAATGATGTTGAGCCGTATAGAGGCATGTCACTCCTTCAGAATGAATTTGTTTTATTTGAGAGCACACTTCACACAGACCCGATCCATTGAGGATTAGCTTTGATTGAAAATAAGATCTTTTGATCATACAAATCACACCCGGCTACCTGTTCCCCCAAGACACCGAAACACCCGTTGCCCTAGATTCTACCAGTTCCAGTGACCCCTAATGCATTCTCACAGCTGACAGCAGAAGAAAACCAGATAAAACAGAACACGAAAAAAAGACAACCGCAATTACATGCCCATCTCATCATCATCGGCGCCAATAAACACAAGACGAGTGCCATTACCGATCACTTGCCAGACCTGCAGGGGAAAAAAAGTCAGTCATGCTGAGAAAGACCCTGGCGAAACAGCCAAATTGGCAGGGAAAGAAACTCACCGATAATTCGGCATACTCGTTAATAGCCATAGTAAGCTGATCCTCGGTGAAGCCCTTGGCCAGCACCCGCTCCCGAATCCGTCTCATGCTGAGTTCACCCTCATCACCATCGCCCACCGCGGCAGCACCACTCTCCATCAGGCTGCGGATCAAAGTGTAGATCTTGCTGCTGGGAGTGTAGTCGGCACCAGACTCTCCGTCATTGTAAAGAGAAGCCTTGCTGACTTCAATGAGACGCAGCGCCTCATCGACATCCTCGCGCACCACTTCCTCGCTAAAACGGAGGCGGGCCAACGCCTGGGACAGACGCACAATACCCAGCAGAGTACGAGGCGTCACATGGGCAAACTGCTTCCGCTTGGCTTCATCCAGCTTCTGCTTCTTGCGCATCGACACGTACGCACCTACCATGTAGTCGGAGACATTGGAGGGTACGACAGGCCGGAATGTCCGCGCCTTGGCGATGTACTGACGGACCTCATGAGGGGTGAACATGACACCAGAATCTTCCGTCTCCGGGTGCTTGTTGTGCATGTGGACGTAGGTGACGTGGTTGGCCAATTCCTCGTCGGAATCGCGCGAGGGCGTGTCCAGAAGCAGGAACATAACATCAAAACGCGAGAGCAGAGCGGCAGGAAGGTTGATGTTCTCCACGGGCGACACCCGTGGGTTATAGCGACCATACAGCGGGTTAGCCGCGGCCAGGATCGAAGTGCGTGCATTAAGAGTAGTGGTGATGCCCGCCTTGGAAATTGAAATGGTTTGCTGTTCCATGACTTCGTGGATGGCGGTTCGATCACCATCTTCCATCTTGTCGAATTCATCAATGCAGCAGATTCCGTTGTCCGCGAGAACAAGAGCACCTCCTTCCAGCATCATTTCGTCGGTGACCGGGTCTCTCATGACAGCCGCAGTCAAACCAACGCCACTGCTACCTCGTCCAGTGGTGTACACGCCGCGCGGAGCAACCTTGCTGATGTATCGTAGCAGCTGGGATTTGGCCACACCAGGGTCACCCATCAGGCAAATGTTAAGGTCACCACGAATGTGCAAGCCGTCACCCATATCCTTCGTCACACCTCCAATCAAGAGCAACAGCAATGCCTTCTTCACATCGAGATGTCCGTAGATTTCCGGGGCGATAGATCGAGAAAGATATTCGTACATATTGCCCGAACTTTGATACTGCTCGATCTTACGCATGGTCCGGCTGTCCATTCCCATGTCATTGTAGGACTTCTTGTGCTGCGTAATGTGCTGAGCCTCCAAGTAGGTGTCGGTCAGCAGGCCGGCGCGAATGGCCCGGAAACCAGTGTAGGGAGTCGGCAGGAAGATACCGGCAATGTCAACCACATCACCGGGGTTCAGTTGCCGCGTCAGAGCTCCATGGCAGTGAACGGTCAAAGTCCGAGGAATATGCCCCACTGGAACTTGGTCTGCCATCTCCTGAATTTTCACTTCCTGGAAGGGCACGAATTTCGATGCGCGGGTTGAGAGGAACAGCTGGCCCTTTGAGTTGTTTTTCTTGCACTCATCCGACATACACTCGGAGAGGGGAAGGAATTGCTTTGTGGTGATGGGCTGGAAGACTTCGCATCCACAGCGATCGCACGTGTAGGCATTGATTTGGACAGCGGGCTTGACATCGGAAACCCGGGTTGTAATTCCACGAACGGTAATCAGACTTCCCAAGTGTTCACCACGCACATTGCGCACAGCAAGCGCTTTCGAGTCGCGTTCGCTACTCGACCCGGAGGCTGTCAACGGCTTGAAATTGAGAGTGTATCGGCGCGTAAGCTCCGGGGGGAACATCGTCGGAGTCGCAGCAGTGTCCATGTCGGCTTCCATCGCCATTTCCATGGTCTCATTGCGCTTCTCACGCTGCGACATAATCACGTCCAACACATCATCCTTGAATCTGCTCTGGGATTAGTCGCATGTCCACAAAACCCATCCCGCGATCCATATGACCTACGTGATATCTTTGGTCTCCTTGGGCATCACACTGTCGACGGCCTGGGATACAACGTCGATGTAGCGCTTGGTGTTCTTCTCGATGGACTCGACCAGTCTCAGATCCTCGCCTTCTGGAAGGTCCTTTTCAAACTGCCATTCCAATTCGTGATGAGCATGAGCTAGACAAATAACGACACTCAAGAGACCAACTTACCACTGACAGGTCATCCAGTTCAATCACTAGGTCCGCCTTTTCCCGGTTCGCAATGTCCTGCAAAACCTGCATATACTTGAGCTTTGGCTCCCGACGTCGTCTTGCTGCGCGAGTTTCGGTCCCCTCATTGTCCTCGACATCGTCCATGAAATCATATTCGTCGCTGGTGCGGCCTCCATCGATGTTCAAATCCTCTAAGGCCTCGGTCGCAGCCGCTTCCGATGAAGACTGGAAAGTTTTGAAGTGCTTCAAGAAGTCCTTGAAGCCATCCAATTGCTTGGCATAGTCAACCGGTGGGGGGTATTGAAGCAGAGCCATGGTGGGATGAGCTTGGAAACGCAAGGTTGAAGTTTCTCACAAGGAGGAAGAGCGGGTAGAGACGCTGAGCTCCGCCTGGGCAACGCGCGACGCGAAAAACACGCGCCAGAATGCAGCTAGCTTCTCTGGGACTAGTGTGGTTCGGAGCGGATTAAGCCTCGGTCCGAGCCTCGGCCACCGCCGCGTGCCATGTCGGCCTTCTCGTAGTGTGGAGTCCGGGGATTGCCTTCTCTCACACAGCTCGGGGATCACACATCCCACTCCTCTTTCCTTGTGCGCGTGCGACTCTGCGCCTGAAAATGGCGCCCAAAAAGCCCGCCACAACGGCCGAAGTCGCCCTCGTGCCCCTCAAGAATTGTCTCGTCAATCTACCGCCGTCACTAGTCGCCTTGCTGGTCAATGCAAATACGGTCAGTTGGTTGGCTGAAGCCATGTAGCCTTTGGAGCTGATCGCTGACTATTCCAGACTGCTCAAAATGTGATCATTGAATTCCAATATAAATCGACCGGGGAGGCCGGTGGAGCTCCCCCGCAGCGGTCATGCTTCTTGGGATGGACAGGCATGCCGAGCAAGCGAAAGCTTGCGCCAGTCGTCGGAAGAGAGGGAATCGGCAGCGGCTTTTCCAGAGAACAGGAAGTCTCTACTGTCGAGCTCGATACCACGTTCGGGCGACTCCTCGGTCTGACCGAAGGACAAAAGGTAAACCCCGTCCCGCGCCATGCATCATGGTCCACGTGGGGTTCTAACACCTTGCAGGTCGGATTGTTCATACACCTCGATCCCCCAGTTGCGCATACTATCAATATTGAACCATTGACTCCGGAAGACTGGGAGAGTATGTGTCCATTAAATGGCGTTTCTATACAGTAACTGACCACTTGCGCCATAGTCATCGAACTCCATGCCACATTCCTGGAACTCAACCTCCTGTCGCAGATCCGCGCCCTGCCAAATCCTACATACAATGAGGCACAAACGGAGCATATGCACCCACTCGCATTGCATCTTTCGCCGACATCCACTGCTAATATCATCGTCACTTCCCTGACACCGGCTCCACCAACGGCGTCCCCATTTGCAAAAATTGCGTCAGATGCCGAGGTCATTGTCGCTCCCAAAGTCCGGTCAAAGGCAGGCAAAGGCTCACGAGCTGACAGCCGAAGTGCAGCTGGGAGCAGTAGGAGAAGTGCCGGGGGCCGAAGCACTTCGAGCACCGTGCGACCGAAAAGTAGCCGGTCCGATTGGAGCACCCGAGGCGCATTGTATCTCAGGGGCCTAGACCGGCAGGCGGCCAGCCAGTGGTTTGATGATGAGATGGAAGAAGACGTGAACGAAAGTCTCCGTGTTTGGGTTGACCCCGATCTGCTGGCGACCCATGAACTTCGAGGGGCAAGCTGGGTATGCATCTCGATTGTTCAGCCATCCGGCCTCAAACCCCCACCGGATCCCCAACAACAAATTGCCCAATCAGAGCAACAAAAGTCCAGTGATGCTGGCTCCCCAGCAACCAAGCTCGTGGCAAAACTACTTCCGTGGGAAGATGCACCGGACAGTCGGCATGTGGCGATGTCCACTTTATTGTGCACGGCCCTTGGCACCGAGAACATGGTTGGGGGAATCGTACGAGTCGAAGCAGCGCCTCCGCAACTGCATCGCTCGGCTGTTAAGACGCTCAAGCTCTATCCTTTCATGGCAGATGCCTCCAAGAAGAAAGATGGGCTCAAATTTGGTGCCGATACTGCGGCGTCTCGGGATGCTTTAGCAGAGCGACTCAGGCTGATTTACGGCAGCACCGGCTCGGATATTGGCTTGTTCTCCGGGCCTTTGACGGATGGAATGGTTCTGCCCAAGTCCGAGAACCATCCTTCGGTCTCTTCATTCGATGGTGCCATCATCCGGTTTGATCCTCCATTGAAAGGTGGCCCTGATGAAGTCAAGCCGATGTTTGGATGGCTCCTAGGCTCCGAAGCCAAGTTGAACCTGGACGTGCAAGCCGAAATCCCCAGACCGCTCGACACAAGCTCGTCTGCTCTGCCTACCGATGATCCAATCCCAGAGGCCGTCCCTCAAATGGTGGGAATCGACTCAATTATCTCACAGTCTTTGACAAACCTGACCAAGTCATCATCTATTTTGCTTACGGGTGGCCTTGGAGCTGGAAAGACCGCGCTCACCCATCTTTTGGCTCACCGCTTGAGAAGGGAGCATTTGTTTAATGTGAAGTACTTTTCTTGTCGCAAGCTTGTCACAGACGAGACGCGAATCTCCAACATCAAAGAGGTCCTGAACCGTCTCTTTATGTCCGCTTCTTGGTGTGCTCGTCTCGGTGGCGAGGCAGTTGTGATTCTTGACGACCTTGATAAGCTCTGCCCCGTCGAAACGGAACTACAAGTTGGCGGGGACAATGGTCGCAGTCGCCAGAACAGCGAGGTTATCTGCTCCATGGTCCGCGAATATTGCTCGATGAACTCGTCCATCGTTCTGCTGGCTACGGCCCAAGCCAAGGAGTCCCTGAACAATGTCATTATCGGCGGCCATGTAGTCCGTGAAATCATCAGCATGAAAGCCCCAGACAAAGAAGGGCGTCGAAAGGTCTTGGAGAAGCTCACCAGCCAAGACAAAGGTACTGAGTCTCTGAATGGTCATGTGCGGACGATCAGCTCTTCGACACAAGACTCGTGGTTGGATCCTTCGAATCCTGGCAGCCGCCCAAGCTCTTCTGGTGGAGATGGGTTCATCCTCGACAGAGATGTCGACTTCCTTGAATTGGCGGGTAAGACTGATGGGTACATGCCCGGCGATCTTGTGCTTCTTGTTGCTCGTGCTCGCAACGAAGCCCTCATTCGCTCGGTACAGGATTTATCTGCCTCTTCGAAAATGATCTCTCTGGGCAACGAAGATTTTGACAGTGCTTTGAAGGGATTCACCCCAGCCTCCCTCCGCAATGTCACTCTAACTTCGTCGACGACCACCTTTTCGGCAATTGGCGGCTTGTTTGAAACCCGCAAGACCCTGCTGGAAACCCTCCAATATCCTACCAAGTACGCACCGATCTTCGCACAATGTCCGTTGCGATTGCGGTCAGGTCTCCTTCTCTATGGGTTTCCTGGTTGCGGCAAGACACTTCTAGCCAGTGCGGTGGCCGGTGAATGTGGATTGAATTTCATCAGCGTAAAGGGTCCCGAGATTCTGAACAAGTATATCGGCGCCAGTGAAAAGAGTGTCCGGGATCTGTTCGAGAGAGCCCAGGCTGCGCGCCCCTGCATCCTCTTTTTCGACGAGTTTGATAGTATTGCGCCGAAGCGTGGCCATGATTCTACAGGCGTTACCGACCGAGTAGTCAACCAGCTGTTGACGCAGATGGACGGTGCAGAGGGACTGTCGGGTGTCTATGTACTAGCAGCCACGTCGCGGCCGGATCTGATTGACCCGGCCCTGCTGCGTCCCGGTCGTCTGGACAAGTCTCTGCTCTGCGACATGCCATCTCACGCCGACCGCACCGACATCATCCGCGCAGTCAGCGAGAAACTGAAAATGAGCAACGAAGTTGCCACTCGTCTGGACGAGATCGCCGCCCGCACCGAGGGTCTCTCTGGAGCCGACCTGCAGGCCGTGGTGTACAATGCCCATCTGGAGGCCGTCCACGACGCCCTAGGCGACCGCTCGACCGGGACCGACAAGCCCGGCGCGAAGTCCACCACCACCACCAAGAACTCTTCTACAAGCTCGTCCAGCCGCTCCTTTATCCAGTTCCTGTACTCATCCTCCGAGGAGGCATCTGGGTCGGTCTCCATGCCGCCGCCTGCGGTAATCGCGTCCAAGCTCGAATCGATCAAGAATTCGCGCCGGCGCCAGCGTCAGCTTGAGCAGGGAACTGGCGGTCCGCCCGCAGTCCCGGTGACGAACGGGACCGAGCCGGCCGCGGACGAGCTGCGGGACGAGATTGTTGTTCGCTGGGAGCATGTCGAGCGCTCGCTGGCGTCGACGCGCTCGTCCCTCAGCCAGGCAGAACGTCGTCGCTTCCAGGCGATATACCGCGAGTTCGTGGTGGGTCGCAATGGCGAAATGCCCAACGGCGAAGCGGGGAATGAGATCGGGGGCCGGACGAGCTTGATGTGATCTGCTGAGTTTTGATGTATGTACGATGTAGTATACCTAGGAATATATGACCCGTGGGCGCTCTTGCTGCTAAACATGTAGAGATTTAGGGTTAGCCTCTTTTTTATTCAATTAGAGCCACGGATGGATAATTAAAGCACAGCCTTGGACAGGGCAAATAGGAACTGTAGAGTTTGGCTTGTACACTGCATCGCTGTGAGATCTACTCTCCAACAGTACATATGAACAAGGCTATCTTGTCGCTAATCATGAATGCTATGGAAATATTCTTAATCCATGAGTTCCGTTTACCATTCCCGAGTTTAACCTTGATCCTCTTGACCATTCTCTCCATTCACTTTCTCACCTTCAACCATCTTCTTCGTTCTTATCATGCTCTTTCTTTTCTTTTTCTTTTCTTATAGAAAAACTCTCGTTCTCTTCTCCAGCTGCCTTTCTTGCTTCTTCCTCAGTCGCCTTAACAGCCTTCTCCGCACCAGGATTGTTCACATCAACCACGAGAGTATGTCGAGACCGCAGAATAGCAGAATGCATAAGCGGCCAAAGATACTGCGCAATACTCCCTTTGACACCATCCCCAATCCGCCACTTATCTGGCCAGTAGTACTGAACGAGCTCGCCCTTGCAATCATCTTCCTTCTGCGGATACCCATTCCCCTCTTGGCTGTCGATGAGCCGAAGATGGGCTGCAAAATCGAAGCGCAGAACCTCCGTCACGATCGACTGCTCGTGCACCATGTGCATCTTCCAGTGCGCGTACCCCGGGTAGCGGTCCTCTTTGTCGGGGCAGGACTCCCACGCCTCGAACAGCTCCTCGGTGCGGGGCGTTTGGGAGCAAGGAAAGTGAATAACCGGGCAAGCTCAAATTATTAGATTAGGAGAAGGTAAGTGTAACAGCCAGAAGATAGGGGTAAGACTGCAACGCTACTGGAGACACCATCATTACATCTACACATATCTGAATAGCACTACGGGCAGGACGGATCACAGCATCGTTGAACCGAGTTAGGAGGTCACAGATTGGGGACACAATAAAAATAATATAATATCATGGCCACGGATCAAGGTACCACATAAAATTTATTCTATATACTAGAATCCTACAAGAGCTCTGAATGGGTCCTTCAAATGATGAATTGGCCAGCGGGCATCGATAAACCACGCCGAGGATCCTGTGTCCACGTTTTATGAGAAAGCGACCTGAAGACGGACAAACCACTTGCAGGCTTTCTGATTTATGTACATGTCCCCAGTCACACCCTCTCTCCCTCCCTCCACGCCTATTCACACATTCTCCCTGCCAACTCCCAAACCTCGTTTCAAACGGGATCGATCGGCCTTCCCTCTCCCTCTCCACACCCCTCGACAACCGCAGACCTGCTTTACTCAGGCGGTAGCTAAACACAAGAAGAAAGACACCATTAGTTAAACCAGGCAGAGCAAGACAGGACACAAAAGGGTTGTAGAGATTGAAGGAATCAAAGGAATCAAAGAAACCAAAGGGTCAAACAAACTCACAGTCAGGTCAAACGGGTCCGAACACGGCGCGTCCTGGACACAAGGCCGCGGAGTACTAGACTCCGCGGCCTGCTCCAGGACCGCCGTCTCGCACCCCGGGATCTCGATCGGCCTTGGGGCCGGCAGGCCACGACGGGCCCAAATAGGGCCGCGTCGCCGCCGCTCTTCGACGTCCCGGCGGTGGCGGTCGTAGCCTTGTATCTCGCGATACCCAACTGGGACCACAGCAGAGGATTGGCTAGCGCTGGTGGCTGGGTGGTAAAGAAGTTATTGTTAGTCAAGACTGTCAATCATAGAGAGAAAGAGGTAGAGGGGGAGCTGGTGGTACTAGTAGCACTCACTCTTTTGAGTGGTCTTTTCTTTTCTATCATCGGCCATGCTCTGTTCGGGGAACCAATGGCTTGGTAGTGGTGATGGTGTAGGAGGCGGGAGTCAAGGATGCGAGATTAAGGATTTATGCGCGTCAAGAGGGCTGTGCGTAAGTGAATGAAGGAGTGAATGAGGCTAAAGTAGTGAATAGAACATGCATCCAGTAGCGACTACAACAACAACAAAGCGATAGTAAGGCGATAATCAGGCAATGTATTAGGAAGCAGCTCTCAATTTAGCCTTATTAACTACTCCTTCTCTAAAGCCAGACTAACAAGCCGCTCCAGCTTTTTCCACTCAGCAGCAAAAAGCGGCCGTGAAGTACTAGGGTCAACCCCATAGACTTTGAACTCGTTATGTACCTGAGCGAAATGAGACCCCACAAGGTTCTTGAAACTCGGCACTGTACAGCTCTCCATCTGCTTGCTGGCCAGGTCGGCAAGGATATACCAGAGGATGAAATAGAAGTTTATCTCAAACTTTTGTAGGAAGGCTGATTCCTTAGAGTTTGGGTCGAGACTCTGAGACGCGTAAATAGAAAGCTTGACCAGAATCCAGGCATGCATATGGCGGATTGGATGTGCTGAGCTGTATAAAGCGGGATCGACACGCAGATACCGGATGGCGGCTTGGATGAATGCCCGGCCGAAGTTGCCGGCAGAGAGCAGAGACACAATCAGTTGGTCGCGGAGCGAGGCATAGGGTTGGCGGGTAAGTGGCCACACGCCGGTCTTGTGGAGAATGTGGAGGGCGGATTCAAGCTCTGCAATGCTCTCTTCGGGCTTGGTCTCCGAGGCAGAGGCGGACTGCATCAGTTCTAGGGCTTTTCGCTCAGCCGTCTCCAGCACGGACGTATCTTCCGGTGTGCCCGAGAACCGGTCTTCTGGGGTATCGGTGCCCTTGGCACATCTCGTGCACCGGCAGTCAAAGAAGTATCGTTCAGACAGTTCTGTGCGTCGGATCTCGTGCGGTGTGGTGGTGTCGATGTAGGAAATAAAAATCTGCTCGTCCTTTTTGATAGGCCGGACGGCCTTGACAAAGAGCTCTTCGCCATCGAACCCAACAGTGGAGTTGAAGTTACAACTGTGGTTGATCAGAGCAGCATAGGGGTGAAGGTATAGACCGATACGGTCATAGAGTGCGGTAGTGAGATTGAATGAATTCAAGTCCAGCTATATCACCATTTAGCAGAAGATTATAAAGAAAAAAGGAATGATCCTAAAAAATACTAACCTTTGCTGCATATTCAGCGATAGACACCTCGTTCATGTCGGTTTCCGAATAGTTTTTGATTGCTCGCGCTGTTAAAGTGACCCTGTCCAGTTGGGCTTGGCTTTGTTCGATCTGCTGCATATGAGTCTCTAGACCTGAGAAGACATCAAGCTCCTGGGTGCTGTATTTATTACGTCCTGTCCTTAGGACCATACGCAAGATAGCTCGAGCATTGTTAGGAAGCACCATAGGCTTGACCTTCTGAAAGATCGGGCATTCAAGGGAATGGGCAAATTTCCAATCTTTGGACTGGCAAGCCTAGATTAAAGGTCAAGTTAGCAATCACCTTATAAGAGGAGGTAAGGAGGGCATGTTAAAAACATCATGGACAACATTCGAGGAAGTACACACCCTATCACAATACTTCACAACCCGACACCCCGTACAAGCCTTTAAATCTGTCTCGCTCTCCAGCTGCTTCTTTCCAAAGCAGCCCGAGCACGTATCATCAAGACGAGGCTTATCAAGCACCGCCACAAAAGGCACTTTGATATACACCACATCCTCACCGGTCTTGATGTCTGTCGATGCAAACAAACCCTTGCCCATACCATCCGGGGCCAGGCGCGGAACTGTCCGGGTAAAGACTGAGGGCAGAGGAGTTTGAGAAGACATGATCAAACTATTCTTCTCGATATCTGTATACCAGGGAGGGGATTTGGATGCAGCCAGATGAAAACAACTTGTGGATGAATTGGGAGTGCATCGTGTGATTAGTCATCTTCAATTTCTTGGCTTGCAAGTATAAGAATGACAGAAGAGATTCATCCATAAACTTGAAGAAAGAAACTTGGAAATCCTGAAAATTCTTTTATCGCTCAAACACGCAATTGACTACAAACAGATCATCCCTCCAAGTAGACCAAATTTGACCAAGGGAGACTAGATCACAATGGAACAGCCGCAAGACTCAAGCCCGAAACAGATAACTATAAATGAAACAGAGAAAAGAAATGGCACGCCATCTATCAACAAAAATGCCCTATCCACTACACCATACAGAAACCAAGCCCTACAGTGGAGTCCAGATGGAAGGGCCTTGGCAAGGGAGAGGGGGCTATAGAGGCCAAGGAAAGACAGAGAGATAGCAAAAGTCTCGCTCTCTTTCCTTGAGTAGGGGGCGGTTCTGTCATTTTGTGCAAGGAACCCAGATTTACAGCAGCTTGCCACCGACAAAGTTGGACCAGGTGCGGACCTCAGAGGGGATACCCTCACCACGGGGCAGCTTCTCGTTCATGCACTGAGCGAAGAGCTGGGCAGTCTATAGAGAAGGAATAGTTAGCATGTTGATTGACCAGATTCATGTATGACATAGTCCAGTGGACTAGACTCGGTAAAGGCATACCTTAGGCTCCATGAAGAGGGGCACGCTGAAGTCGACCGCGTTGCGGCGCATCACGTAGTCCTCGTCCAGCTGGGTCTTGCCACGGGTCTTGGCAAGGTTGAAAACTCCACGGATGTCGTACTTTTGGAACACCTCACGGAGGGCACGCTTGTCGGTCTTGGGGAACTCGATCACCTGCACCGAGACGTTGTCCTTGGCGGTGGACTCGATGTGGGCCTTGACGTCGGGACTGGCGGCAAAGAACTTGTAACCCAGAGGGTTCAAGTACTCAACAACCTTGGCCAGGTGGGGCTGAGTGATGTCGCCACCAAGCAAGATACCCTCACCGGGCTCCGGCAGGCGGAAGTTCATGGTCGACTGGAGGGAGGACCAGTAGGCCTCGACCAGGTCCTTACCGAAGCAAGCAATCTCACCAGTACTGGACATCTCGACGCCCAGGAACGGGTCGGCACCGGCCAGACGGGTCCAGCTGAACTGGGGCACCTTGGTGGCCACGTAGTCACGCTTGGTCTTCATGAGGTCAACGGGCTCGGGAATGTCACGGCCGACGAGCGCCTTGGTGGCGACGTCGATGAAGTTGGTGCCCAGAACCTTGCTGACGAAGGGGAACGAGCGGGACGCACGGAGGTTGCACTCGATCACCTTGAGCTGAGGAGCAGCACCCTCCTGGTCGGCCTTGATGATCTGCATGTTGAACGGACCGGTGATGTTCCAGGCATTGGCAACCTTCTCGGCGATCTCCTTCACGCGGCCCATGATGGACTCGTCCAAGTCAGCCGGGGGAGGACCAGGGTAGCATCGCCGGAGTGGACACCAGCAGGCTCGACGTGCTCACTGACGGCGTGAAGCAGGAGCTTGCCGCCGGAGGCGACAGCGTCCACGTCAATCTCCTGGGCACCCTCGATGAACTTGGTAATAACAACGGGGTGGTCGGGGGAGACAGCACTGGCGTTGAGAAGCTTCTCCTTGAGCTCATCAACACTGTAGATAACATTCATAGCGGCACCGGACAGGACGTAACTAGGGCGAACCAGGACAGGGTAGCCGACAGACTCGGCAAAGCGCTCAGCCTCAGCAACGGACGTCAATTCCTTCCAGGCGGGCTGGTCGACACCGATGCTGTCCAGGATCTGGGAGAACTTGTGACGGTCCTCGGCCTTGTCAATGTCGGCGGGGTCGGTGCCCAGAATGTGAGCACCGCCAGTCTCCTGCAGGCGCAGGGCAATGTTCTGCGGTAGCTGACCACCGACAGAGACAACAACACCACTAGCACTCTCGAGCTCGTAGATATCCATAACGCGCTCGTAGCTCAACTCTTCGAAGTACAGCTTGTCGGCGGTATCGAAGTCAGTGGAGTACGTCTCGGGGTTGTAGTTGATCATAACGGTCTTCTTGCCCATGTTTCGGAGAGACAGGGTAGCGTTAACAGCACACCAGTCAAACTCGACTGAACTGCCAATACGGTACACACCACTTCCCAGGATGAGAGTGCCGTGGTCGTCGAAGGTGACATCGTGCGAGGAGGCGTTGTACGTAGTGTAGAGGTAGTTGGTGTCCGCGGGGAACTCGGCAGCCAGCGTATCGATCTTCTTCACCCAGGGAGTGATACCGAAGGACTTACGACGGGCACGGACGTCATCCTCGGTGGATCCGACCAGGAGGGCGATCTGCTTGTCCGAGAAACCAAGCTTCTTCGACTGCAGCATGATTTCCTTCTTGATACCGAAGAGACTGCCGATCTCCTTGAGTTCGTGGTGGCAGTCCACGATGTTCTGGAGCTTGTACAAGAACCACTTGTCGATCTTGGTCAGCTCGTGAACCTTGTCCACCGAGTAGTTCTCGTGGAGCATGGCCTGGCCGACAGCCAACCAGCGACGGTCGGTTGGGTTCTGCAGGACCTCGTCGAGGTTCTCGAAGTGGTCACCCTGGAAGCCAACGTATCTGGGGTCGACCTGGCGGATGGCCTTCTGCAGCGACTCCTCAAAGGTACGGCCAATAGCCATGACCTCTCCAACCGACTTCATAGCACTTCCAATGTCCCGGTTGACGTGCTGGAACTTGCTCAAATCCCATCGAGGCATCTTGGTGACGATGTAGTCCAGACTGGGCTCGAAGTTGGCGGTGGTTGTCTTGGTGACGGCATTAGGAAGCTCGGGCAGGGTGTGACCCAGGCCGATCTTGGCCGCGGTGTAGGCAAGAGGGTAACCGGTGGCCTTGGAGGCCAAAGCCGACGAGCGAGAAAGTCGGGCATTGACCTCGATGACACGGTAGTCAAGGCCATCGGGCTGCAGGGCGTACTGGACGTTGCACTCGCCAACGACACCCAAATGGCGGATGATCTTGATGGCGGCCGTGCGGAGCATGTGGTACTCTTCATCGGACAGTGTCTGACTCGGGGCCACGACGATACTGTCACCAGTGTGAATACCCAGCGGGTCGAAGTTCTCCATGTTGCAGACCGTGATGCAGTTGTTGGCCGCATCGCGAACGACTTCGTATTCGAGCTCCTTCCAGCCCTTGAGGGACTTTTCCACCAGGATCTGGGGAGCGAGAGACAGGGAACGGGACGACAAGTTCTTCAGCTCTTCCGGGTTGGCTGCAAATCCAGAACCCAGACCACCCAGAGCGTAGGCGGATCGCACAATAACGGGGTACCCGACTTGCTCGGCAGCGTCCAAGGCTTCGTCGACGGTGCCGACAGCAATCGATTCGGCAATGGGAATATTGATCTCCTTCAGGGCCTGGGCAAAAAGCTCACGGTCCTCACTGGTCTCCAGAGTCTTGATGCTGGTGCCAAGAACCTGGACGCCGTAGCGCTCAAAGATACCCATGCGGTTCATCTGCACACCCAGGTTCAGAGCAGTCTGGCCACCGAAGCTGAGCAGAATACCGTCAGGGCGCTCCCGCTCAATGACGTGGGTAACATATTCGGGGGTGACGGGCAGATAGTAGACTTCGTCCGCAAGCTTGTGGTCGGTCTGGATGGTGGCAATGTTGGGGTTGATGAGAACGGACTGGACATTGGCCTCCTTGAGGGCCTTGAGGGCCTGGGAGCCTATTTTGAATTGACCAGATGTTAGTTGACAGAATTGGCGTGATTTGCCCGGGATTGAGAAGCCCTGTGCATTCCCCGCAGGGGAGCTCGTGCTGGCAACCCCGTAAAGGAAATGTGATGGGTCGAAATCCACGAGCATTTTCAAATCATGGCCCACATACCGGAATAATCGAACTCTCCGGCCTGACCAATACTCAGACCACCACTACCGATGACCAGCACCTTCTTTACATCGACGAGGTTACTGCTGGGTTTCACCACACCGCTGGCGAGATAAGACTCGGACGACGGAGGAGCCTCGGCGGCCAGACGGTGCAGAGTGCTGGAGAATGAACGCAGCTGCTGGGAGCGCGCGGGCGAGGGCAGCTTCTGCAGGCGCAGGGTCGAGGCCGTCGAGCGGACGGAAGAGGAGAAGGCGCGCAGGGAGAGAGCCGGGCGAGCCTCAACGAGGCAGCGCTGGCGCAGCAGGGACGCCGCCTGGCCACAACGAGCAGCAAGAACCATTGCGCACTCCGCCGCACGAGAGAGAAGGTAATGGGGGGGTTCAATTGCTCGAAGGTGGGAATTGCACAAGAGACGGACGTCTCTGGATTTCTTTTTTTTCTCCCCACCGCGTCGCTAATTGGTTCGCTGGCTCACCGTATGGTCCACTTTTTTTCGAAGGAACGGGTCACACGAGATGCGATGTTGGGAGCTTACTATAATACTAGTACTAATGAGAGAGAGATAAATAGAAGAGGTTCTTATTTTCTTATTTAATTTGGGAGGATCTTCTCGTTCCTTTTTCCAAAACTATGACTCAATGCGAAAATTAACTGCTCAAGTGGGTAAAATGGGTCCAGGAACATCGACTCTACGTGACAGTAGTATTCTGCGAGGATAATTGGAAGAATTACGAGTAGTCAAATGAATTAAAGATCACAATTGAAATAGACAGAAGAGTAAAGAGTAAAGAGTAAAGAACAAGAAAGATCAAGAGAGAGAGAGAGATTAGAGGGCGATCGCCGATGCCGGACCCCAACGCCCTACAGAAATGAACTTATCTCTTATCTCGATGATGTCAAGCCTTGAATGTTCACTTACTGTATACTGTAGCTTGAGACTATCATTCTTCCTGGGTTGGATTTGAAAATATATACTCTCTTATTCGAATATGGATATTTCCCGTATTTTTCTGATATCTCACTATATGAAGCACAGGCCTACGTTGAAATCTAACTATTAGCCCTAATTGCCATGTGGATGCAAGTGCACATAGCATCAAAGGGGAAGAGGGAGAAGGAAAAGAACTAGTCCGAGAGCCTGTTCTTGGTGAGGTATTCCTCAACCTCGACAATTCTCGTTCATGGCAAGGCATAATATCAATAGCCCGTCCATCACTCGCCCACTCCCACTTTAGCATTCAAGCCCGACCATGGGCCCTTGGGTCGTCGCTCCGTCCGAGACCCACTGGGTTTCCTTGGCCGAGTCGAGCGAGCTTCGGACGCCCAGATATCAGAGACTTCCTGCTGCTGCCCCGCGTTTTCCTGCATGGCCTCCTCCAAATCCTGATAGAGTGTGCTGTAGATCTCGCCCAATGTCTTCCGTGCATCGTGAGCAACCTCAACGCCCAGAGTGACCTTCTGTTGTACGTAGTCACGCTCATTCGCAGCGGCCACACCAGACGCAAATGCCCACGCGTCTGCAAGAGCTACTACCTCGTCTGCGCGGTTCTGGTCCGGTTGCTCGGTCTGCTGGCGAGTATTGAGGGCAGCAACGGCGTGCTTGAAGCGCGGCTGGCGTGCGAGCAACGGATATTCGGGAAGAAGATGGCTCTCGTCGCTCAGCCGGTTCAAGACGCGTAGGGTAGTGGATTTTTCTTTGGCCAGCAGGCCGGCGAGATAGGATTTCTGTAGGGCTAGTGCCTTGTGACTCTTGGAGAGTGGCATGAGGGTTTCGCTGGTGTACGAGAGTACGTCCAGGGGGTTCGGCGGCGGTGCTTCTTCTGTAAGAAGTTCAGGTTGATGAGTTGATCGGGTTGATGGTTTTGTGGTCACGGTCACAGGTTGACAGGCGCGGGATGCAGCATCTAGCAGCTCTCGCCGAGCCTGGAGATAGGCGGTATATTGCTCTTGAATTTGTGATTTGCACTCTTCCAGTAAACGCTGGGCCTCTTCAATCCCTTCCGAAGGCAAATCTTGCAGGAGGCTCTCCTCGGGATCGCCTTCGCTGACTAGCCGTTCCTCGACCCACTGCACGAGTTCATCACGGGTACGCTGCAGGGCTTGGACTTTGACGGCGGGTGGCACCTCATTCCCCGCAGGTGTTGTACGGGAGTCGTGCCGTGTCTTGACCTGCTCGAATAATTGCTTCTCCCGATCCAATTGAGTCCTGGCACGCACTACCGCACGCTCGAGTTGGTGCACCAGTTCTTCCAGACCGCCGGTACCATTTCGATCCGATCCGTCTGCCTTGGGATCATCTGGCAACAATTCTTGGCTCAGGTCCTCCCCCGTGCCAATGGCTGCCTCATCGACTCCATCCTGCGTCTTGATATCCTCGAGGTAGTGTTGAAACACCTGTAGTTTGGTATGACGGCGTCGATCGCGCAACAACAACAGGTAGCCTCGCAGGTCGGCGCCGGGTTCTTGCGGGCTGTCCTCGTTCGACGGACGAGTTCGAGACACTCTCTCCTGTCTCAGCGAGGCAACATTCTGGGACACCGTGCGAAGGTTCTTCCGGGCCGCGACATTGGCCTGCAGCGCCTTCAAATATTCCTTTCGGATTCCGGGGAGGTCGGCGGGGAAACGTTTGACGTCGACGACGGCGTCGGTTGGGGCGCAGAGGGCCAGGTGGGACTGGGCAAGATGGTTCGACTGGTTTGCATCGTCCGCAAACACAATGAATGACCGCAGATAAGCTGTCAGGGCTTGTCGGATCCGCAGAGCTTCCTGACGGGGCTTGACGTAAGGAGCTAGCGGTTTCACAAAAGCTGGAATGTGGGTGGGATCCAAGTCGTGGGGTCGGGCCATGGTTTCATTGGTTGTGACTGGAGAGCTGTGCAGATGTCTCCTTCGGCTTCTCCGTAAGACTGTGACAGATCTGCTCCTCGCAAGGTTGTTGTTTTGCTGTTTTGGGGGGGGGGGCGCTTATGTAACCCGTAGATCGGTGGGAATCGGTGGAGCTTGAAGTGTTGCAAGTTTGGTGTTTACAATATTTACAAGATTACGATGAAGCATCTGGCACGTCTGATCTATTTGATTTATCGGGTCTGATACTCCTGTGACACAGCCCCAGTGGATATATCCAATATCACCAGGGCACCCAACGCCGTCCGGTAAGGAGGATCCGCCACCTGGATGTAGATCGTGATATGTCAGGATTGCCTGACTCACGAGGTCATTTCAGCATTGCCAGGCATTACCAGGCTCTTCTATCCCAGTCTCTCCGAGTTTCGTGGGTTGGGCAGAATGCCACTGTGAACACCATACGGACACGGCCCAATCGAACAAAGACCGCAACTGCCCAACAGAAACAGGGGGCTCACTTGGCGTCCCAAGTTTCCTTCTACTATCTCAGGAAGATCATCAGGAAGATCAAGACGAAGAAGAAAATAAACAATTCCACTCTTCATCAGCGAGCCACACGAGATTTGCAATCTCCACGCCCAAGGCACCCCTCCATAGCCGGTATGTTTCAAAAACCGCCCTGGAATGTGCATCAAGGAGTGTTTTGATTGCTGAGCCCCCGCCGATCTGATGTTGCCTTTCCTCCCTTTAGACCAGTCGAACAGTTATAGTTCACGGCGGGCCCTCGAGACCCCCATATGCGTGCATATCCTGAGTATCATCATCGAAACATTATCTAGTGGCCATGGCGCCCGACCTAAGTGCCGCATCTTTCCACACGCCACAAAGGCCTCGGGCCGCAACTACGGTGCTCCCGGCGATGCCACCACCTTCTCCTCAATCACGACAATACAATACAACAAGCCCAATCATTCCCCAGGGCAGCCCGCCGGTAGGGTCCGGGGAGGGCATCACCAGTACTGCACAGGGTAAGCGAGAGCATTGAGAGACTGGGTTGGCCTATAGATCCCCGGGACTGACAAGGTCCAGGGCCATTGCGTCACCCCAAACCGTTGACCCCCTCGGACCTTCATTTGGTGCTAGAGAAAGAGCAGGAGGCCATGGTAAGTGAGATCATATCATGTGTTAAATTACACGGGTCGAGATCAAGAAATAACCCCATGTGCCTCTAGGTGAATCGATTGACTCGGGAGCTGTCGCTTCTCCGCCAGCAGACGACCTCGGTGGCATCAACGACCTCCTCGACCTCGACATTCAACGATCCCGCGGATATGGCCCATGCATCCCCATCCCTCACCAGCTCAACACACCCCCATTCTCACACCTCCCGACGGCAGCGTTCTTCTTCGAGCCTCAGTGCACATGCATCAGCAGCCCAAGGGCCCCAAGCAGCGAGTGTGACAGGGATTGCTCTCTCGCGGGATCGAGGACTGTCTTCTTCACGACCTGCAGAGCACACGCGGGGTCTACGGAGCCGAGAATCCTCTCTGACTTCTCGTCGTCCGTCCTTCGGATCGTTATCCTCGTTCTCGCAGCATCCGCATCATGACCACCCCTATTCCAAGAGCCCGTCTCTCTACCCTAACCGAAATTCGGTGTCTCAGACCCAGCTGGTGTACTCTCCAGCAAGCTCCATGTCACGATATGAGGAGACAGCGCATCATAAGTCGGAGTTGGACTCCATCAAACGGGAGAACGAGCAATTGCGCAAGCGGGTACGAGACTTGGAAGATGTGTTGAAGAAGTCCAAGGGAGAGTCTATGAGCGAAACAGGAGCATCAGATTTGAGCTTGTAATTAGACAATATGGACTGCCAGGCGCAGTTAGGTAGTTTGCAGGCAAACACTTTTTTTGACGGCAAAACATGGCAATTGTAGATCGGGCGGTGCAGCTACGTCACCAGTGGCGCGGCCTTTAAAGCAACTTGGAGCTGCGCTTCTGTTGCCTCCTTTTCTTCTCATCCCCCCTTCCTCCGTTATTTCAGATCTCTTATCGCTACTTTTTATTTCACCTACACCATGTCGGGCAACACCGTTCACGTCTCGGGCATCGCGTCCGCCACTTCGGAGAAGGAGGTCCGCGACTTCTTCAGCTTCTGGTAGGTGGGAACCCCGCGATGGGCAAAACATAGCTAACTCGGCCTGCTCACAGTGGAAAGATCGTCTCGCTGACCATCACCTCCATCTCGGCTGAGGCCGATGCACCCAAGTCCGCCAGCGTAACGTTCGAGAAGGAGGCGTAAGCTACCCCGCACCACGCCACTTGCTCAGGTCGTTGTGAGGATGATTACCTGTCTCCGTACTAACATCATCGCCAACACTCTAGTGCTGCCAAAACCGCTCTGCTCCTGGACCAGACTCAACTGGGAGGCTCGTCCGTGCACGTCGAGGCCGCCCAGAACATCGAAGAGATTGCCGGTCCGCAGGCTACTGGCGCCGGCGAAGCCAAGGAGGAAGAGCATGACATCGCACAGGAGGATAAGCCGCGGTCGCGCATTATCGCCGAGTACCTGGCGCATGGTTACGTGGTGAGCGACAACGCCATCCAGAGAGCGATCGCGCTGGACCAGAAGCACGGATTCTCGAGCACGTTCACGTCGACGCTCTCCAACTTCAACCAGAAGTTCAATGCTACCGAGCGTGCTCGCGGCCTGGACGAGAGCTACCAGATCTCCAACAAGGCTGCGTCCGGCTGGCGCGGTCTCAACTCGTACTTCGAGAAGGCCCTTGGCCACCCCTCCGGCCAGAAGCTGCGCGACTTTTACGTCCAGACCGATAAGCAGGTCCGCGACATTCACACCGAGGCCCGCCGTCTGGCTGATCTGAAGCAGGGCAAGGGTGGCGAGACCCAGGGCATTGCACCTCCCGGCGGCGAGGCTGCCAATGTCACGCCTAGCACTGCTCCGTCTTCCGAGCCGGCGGGTGCGGCTCCCCAGGCCGAGCCCAAGGCGTAAATGGTCGATGCTATTACCCTGAGAATGTTGTTTTCCTTTCATTCTTGTCAATTGCTTTTTCTCTTCTCGGCTTTCACGATGCCATGCCCATTGTCCATAGCCGAGCCTGGTTTGGTTTCTTCTGGGCTCTCTCTGGAACGAGTTTACGATTGCGATGTGATTAGTCTCTGCCGCAAGCCGAAGTGATTCTCGATATTGACCTAGGTAATACACGAGCGAATGCACATAGATGTCCACCAACCCATATGTAGACAGTACCACGTTTATTCCTTGACAGCAAGCCCAGAAAAAGGAATGATCAGATACAACAGCACGCCATCTACTGACTATAGAAATAGCCATGAATAGATGAACCCATGAAATAGATATTCATGTTGATCCATTCTCACTTAATACAACTATTTCAAACATTGACTTCAAGCCTCCTGTCTGATTCTGATCCCCACATCAAGATGCACATCACTTAGCAAACTTCGCCGCCTCAATCTTCTCCAACGGATGCTCCGGGTTACTCGGCAGCCGACTCTTCTCCTCATCAGATCTTTGCTGCGGGAACTCCGCCGGCGGCGGGTGTCCGTCGAGGTTGGCCTTGCCGCTGCCGGGCGGGTCGCGCTGCTGGGCGCCGGATTGGCGCTCCTCGGGTGGGGATTGGCGGCCGGATCTGGGGGCGGACATTGTATATGTCAAGAGGAAGAAATCGAGGCAATATAGGAGGTTTTATTTCGTGGTTCAATTGGTAAATGGCTGGCTGCTATGTTGTTAAGAAATATTGTCTTAGTTAGGGTTGCTCCAAAGGATATATTGTGATATCACTGACACCCGATATAGTTTGTTGATATAGATCCAATGAAAATAGATACTCTCGATGATTCGAATTGAATTGAATTCAGATGAAGAAGAGAGAAGGAGTCTGTATGCTCTATCAGACTCTAAATAAGAAATACGCCTAGTCAGATCTGGTTGACGTGACTGTCCTCTAAACCGGACAACTCGCTCACGGGAGAGAGGGCGTTCATCATGATGACGTTGGGAACCAGTCGCGCAATCACCAAAACACTTGCGGGTCATAGGCCTGTCCACTCAGAGAGCAACTCTGGTTATTACCTCAGCTTCTATTTGCGATCTTTTAAGGTATCGCAACAGAACTGACATGACGGATATGACATCATCTGCAGGTCTGCACTTAATCCATTGACATGGCAAAAAACATTGGTCATTGTCGCCAGATCCAGTATCTACGCAAATCTTCAAGGCTTGGGATGCAGCATTTCTAACATGGCTGATGTACTATGTCATGGGGGAGGGATGTTTTCGGGGGAAGCTGCGCATTGGAGAATTAGGAATTGGGTAGGAAGGTAGGACTTTTGAGAGCACATCAGCCGGGGCATGAAAAGTAAAGAGAAAAGAAAAACATTGAGGAAAAACAACACAGGGGTTGGGGGCATGATCTAAACAAATGGGGAAGACATGAAACGGGCATGTGTCTCGTGAGGATGAGAAAGGAAAAAGAGATGGAAAAACACAACACAGAAAAGACACAGCGACCCGCAGAGCCAGAAGCTGTGGTCTATTGGTTTCCATTGGCCTGCATGCCCGCGGCAACGGCGGCTTCTGCGTTGGCAGCTGCCACCATGGCCTTGGCGTCGGCTTCGTGGAAGACAGCCTGGAGAACCTGCTGCTCCTCAGGGCCCAGGACCTTGGTCAGGTTGTCGTAGAGTTGGGGCTGCTCTTGTTGAAGACCTGAAGCTAATGTTAGTCGCGATTCTGGCAGCAAAGAGGAACAACAACATACCCAGCAGAACGTGCTTGAACATGCCGTATGGCTCCACCTTGTCCAGGGGAGTCTCCAGCAGACTCTCCTCATCCATATCGTCATCGTCATCGTCGGCAAACGAGCCGAACTTCTGGGCCTCCTGGTTGAGGAACTCGAGGTACGCGGCGCTCTCGTCGGCAACATCACCGTCAAGGGTCTCCCCAACTTCCTCCTCGTTCCACTCAACTTCACCATCCCAGTCATTCTCCTCGTCATCTTCGTCGCCCTCATCATCAAATGTGAAATCGGACTCTTGGGTAGCATCCTCACGTTCTGTGTTCTTGTCAGCATCCAATAATAGCAAATTCAAAAACGAAAGGGCCAGGGAGGACGTACGCTTCAGGGCAGCAGGCAGAGTCTGGAAAAGTCTTGTCACCCCCTGTAATAACCTGGGCCATCCCTGCTGAACACTGGTGGGAACGTCGGCTCCCTTCAAAGTCAGGAGCGAGCTGATAGCCACAATAGACAGTTTCTTGTCATGAACGCGGCGGAAGCTATCGATGCTGGAGAACCAGGTGCTGAAAAACTTGTTGGTCCAGCCCTTGGCTTCCAGAACCTGGAGACTGAGAACCGGGTTGTAGTAGATGGCGTTGATGATCATCTCCATGAGGTGGATCCGGTACGACTTGGTGGGCGCCTCTCCAGCGTCGATGACTTTCATGGCCAATTCAATGAAGAGCGGGATGTACGAGTCAATGTGGCCGCGCAGGTTGAGCATCAGAGTCTCCGCGAGCTTGCACCCACAGATCCGGTCCACTCCACCGACCTTGTCGTCTCGGAAGATGTCTTCCACCATGCCCACAACGGCGCCAAGGTACACCGGATTTTGAACCAGCATGTCAGAACCGTAGGCAACGTAGTTGTCAAGCGCAGGAAGCATGTCTAGAAGGCAAAAAAATGTCAGAATATTTCGGTTGTACAATCTGATGCACGATGGTTCTTACCTTCCAAGTACAGCTCAGCGCCAGCCTTGAACGTCTTGTGAATCAGTTCAAATGCCTGCCACATCGTAGGAGAGATGGACTTGGACGCAAAGGTGCAGCTGTCAATAATCTCGAAAACTTCGTTGTAGAGATCTGGGATGATGGTAAGTTTTGGTTTTAAAAACAATTAGAGCGGAGCACATTTACCATAGAGTTTATTCTCCAGCGTGATGCTGATGACGGGCATCAGGATGGTCTCAAGGTGCAGAAGCACATCGGGAGTGCTCTCAAGCGTAAGAATGAGGGTACCAATGGTCTGCAACACACCCAATGCGGTGATGCTCTTGTCATCCAAAAAGTCACCGTAGCCATCTTCGTCCCCACCCTTGGTGGCGTTCCTTTCAAAAGCTCGCCGACGATACGCATATAGGTATCGCGCAGCTGCTCGCTCAATGCCACGGCGAATGGCGTGAGCTCGGCAGAGAAGACCTCCACAAAGTCCTCCATGACATTGGCGAGGGCATCCACGTCGACTTCGTTGGCCAGCTTCAGAAGCTGCTGCATGATTTGCGGGATGTTCTGCTGCATCGATGTCCGGATGATGTTGTGACGGATCAGGGGCTGCAGGGCAAGGGCAGCCTCGACACGGACGGGCAATTCCGGATCGGTCATAGACTCGAGGATGTTTCGGTAGATCACCATGAGGTTGTTGGGGTCCTTGAAGTCGAGCTGCTCGAATTTCTCGAGAGTATCGCAAGCACGAGCACGAAGGAAGCCATGAGGACTGCGGAATTCAGGGAAGACATGACGAACGAAGAAATATTCGACCTGGTCCGCAATCGGGCTCTTCTTGCCCAGAATAACAGAAGCGAGCGAGCCAATCATTCGCAAAGCACCCTCCTTCTCCCGCGGCTGCTTCTGGTCGTCTGGAGCAGCCTCATACTTGCTGACAACGCCGTTGACAAAAGTGAGGATCGAAAATGTCTGCTTCTTCCGGTTCTTGGTAAGGGAAACCAGGAAGTTCGTAGCGGCAACATCGGGAGCCGACACCTCCTCGTAGAAGTTCAACTTGCGGTGGAGGTACTCCGAAGGGTCCTCCTCGAACAACTCGATATCTTCATCCGACTGGCACAGAATGGGGAAGACAAAATGAGCGATCAGGTTGTCCATATGCGGCTTCAGGTGATCCCACATCGCCTTCGGCTTGACACATTCCTCCATGAAGGCCAGGGTATAGGACAGCGCGGGATTGCTGAGCCATTGGGTCTTGGATACCCATTTGTCGATCTCCTGCAAATAGCCCTTGAGAATTTCCGGCGCAAAAGTGCTGATAAAGGTCTTGGCGTACTGCGTGTAGTCGGGGGTGGAGGATTTCGTGATCGTGGTGGGGTTGCCGTATCTAGCGACAGAGAAAACATTCAGTGTAAGCCCAAAGGTAGTTGACACTCGAAATGTACCAAGGATGTCTCACCTAATAAAGAGACGGTTCAAGTTCGCGTATGACCACTTCTTGCACTTCCACCAGTGGTTGAGTTCCCTTTCTTCCTTGGAGTCTCCCATGGCACTCGGGGGAGGAGTTTTGGAAATGATCCGCAGGAACAACGTACACCAGTCCACGGTGGCCTGGTGGGTTTGCAAAGCCGGCGAGAGTTCGAACTATACCCGCAGTCTGTCAGCCTTCGTTTGTTTTCTTGGTTGCCCCTGGACCCGGAACGAGGACCACCCACGTAAATGGCATGTTTATAAGACTTCACCACGATGCGGAGCATCTCCGCTGCCTCCAGACTATCCTCATCCACAAGCCTCGACCCGATGCTGAGCAGCTGCGGGAATGAATGCTCCACAATCTTATCGAACTCCTCCCTCTTCTCCCCACCCTTGAACCGGTACACGCGGCAAATGGCCAACAAGCACTGAAGACCCGCGTAAACTGTATTTGCGTCATTGGTACCGAGCAACCGCAGAGTAAGGTCCAGAAACCCGGGCCACTTCTCGGGGAAGTCATTCTGCAGGATCTTCTGGAGGAGGGGAACCAGCTGGGCGCGGACATTGGGCGGCGTCGATGCCAGGGCGGGAATGAGTCTCTCTCTGAAGCTTGGCTTTTCGGATTCAGGAATTGGCGTGCGCTGCGGGTTATCCTCAACAGGGGCCCATCCTCGGTTGATACGGTTCTTCAGGTAAACACCGGCTGAGAGAGAGAGAGAGAGAGCGGGGTCAATCAGCGACAAAATCAAACACCACCTCGGAAAGAGAGCAAGAAGAAGCGAGTTCCAAAGAAAAAGAAGAGAAAGGAAAAACTCACCGGAGAGCTGAACGGCATTATTCTGCTCGCCCTGGAGAATATCCAGAAGCGCATTGATAAAGCCAGGCTGTGTTTCGGCCTGGACGATGAAAAACCACGTGTGAGTCTCACGCATCTGCCCCGCCAACAATGTCCAGCACGTACATATTTCAAGTCCAGCTCCGCTTGCTGGCGAGTGCCCGCATTCGCGTCTAAAGTAGACTGAATGCGGTCTCGGAGGGCAGTGACATCCATCTCGTACCAACCCCGGCGCCAACAAAGACCACAAAACTCCGAGGAGGCGATAAACCGGAAACGGACCGGGGCCGACGAGAGTAAGAGAAAGAGAAAGAGATGAAACAATAAAGGGCGAGGACGAGGGTGTCCACGAGATCTTGTGGATCTTGGGGAAAAAAAAAGTGCAGAGGGGAAGGAATTGCGGATTTTCGGGCGGTCGCCCAGCGGCTAATCAGCGCACACTAATTTTGTATGCGGGTTCGCATTCTTATTCTTTGTTGATTGTCTACTTTCTCTTGTTCTATGCTTATTTCTTTATTTATTTGGAAACCGGTATTTTGTGCATTCGTAATCTACTCGACATTGCTATTCATACCACAGACTCTAATGTGTGGGCAATCGGTACAGAGACAATAACCGAATTAGACATCTTTACATGTACAGCGACGCGGCGAAGATGACATCGCGCTTGATCAATTCCTGCGCCTGCTGCATCTTGGTGTACAGCGACGGGTCGCCGACCAGTTTGGCTGCATTTTTCACCTCCCGACAGGTCTCGTCTAGTCGAGTGATAGTCCGAACAATAGTCCCCTCCATCACGTCGGTGAGGTCCGTGATGCGGTTGAAGGACATGCCCTTGGCCCACTCATACACAACTTCGGCAAGACCGAATCGTGGCGTGCTGGCGAAGTCGTTCGAGTCCTCGCTGGACTGAATGACTTGGTGTAGGATCTGGAAGTCGTTCACCTTGTTCGCGATGCGGACGATTGCTTCATGGCCCTTTTCCAAACGAGGGGTCAGGACCGGAACGTGTGCGGTCTTCTCCTGGAATACAAATGCAGATAGGAGCGCAACGATCTCTTCTGGCTCGTATTCGGCCAGGACGTTCTCGAGAATCAACTCGGTCAGAACAAGCTCGTCGGCGGAGTGGATCTCGCATGCCACCTTGCCTTTGAGCTGCACGCGGGATTGCTCATCCACGAAGCCCAGTTCCTTCAGCACCTGAATGCGTTGTTCATAATCTGGTAGGAGTTGAAGGTTTTGATCCGACATCAATTGTTTCAGTTGTGAGATGTTCTCCTTGACTTGCCATTCGTCATGTTGCATTTCGAACTGCCACAGAGATTAGCACAAGGTATGTTCACTCACAGGGCTTATAATGCTTACATGTTTCAAGAAGTTTGGGCATTTCAGGCAGTGACACGACTGGGCAATATCGGCCTGAGCCTGCCGCTGATCGAGAATATCTCGCACTTGTAGCTCTTTGATACGCCGCCAGTCCATCTCATCCCAAGAGTCCTTGACCCAGGAGGAGCAATATTTGGACAATTCCTTGTCCCCAAACTTGACCGCCTCTGTTCAAAACGTTAGTAGTGCTTGAATTGGCTAGGACATGATTGATTTTCGACCTCACCCTTTTTGATGTTCAAGTACCAGATCGGCCCTCCGAGTTTGACTTGCGTGTTCGTGACACATTCAAGGTCAGAAAGCGGGATTTTGCATACCCTGAGATGCATCTTTGCTGAAACAGCAGGCAATGACTGGAAAAACTGGCGGAATTTGGGCAGAAATGGGAGAATGTCGCTAGGATGGCGCTTATTACTCAATGTCCCAATCTCTAAAACCTGGAGACAAGGTACAGCACCACCAGTGACACCTTCTCGTACGAGGATTCCGGCTGTGCGCAATCCATCCTAGAAATACAAAGTCAGTATAATCCCAACAAGGACCACCGCCAGCAAAATAGAGCAACTTACCTTCCGGTAAACCACTAATCTCTTGAGCGTAAAGAGACGCTTTCCCACAGGAGAGGATAACAGTCCCGCATGCATTTCGGTCGTGAGTCTCTCATATTCCATTGCTGCATCGTGACACGTCGCCAGATCCAAGTCACAGATTTCACATGGCTCCCGCTTGATTTTGGCGAGACTAGCCTCGGAAAGCTGGACTTGCTTTTCGTGTTCCGGAAGTAGAGCTTGCGTGGCATTCTCACTGAAGCTCCGTTTGATCATCTCCTCAATCTTGAGTGCCTCCACCCGGAGCAAGTTGAGTATCATATTGTATGTGAGCCGGAACTGTGATCTGAGCTTGGTCGGGTCTCCCAGTATCATCTTCCTCAGAGCGCCTGCGGGTGGTGCTTCATCTCGTCCGGTAGTGGCAATGAGGACATACCCCACAGTGTCAAGACCTCGGCGTCCTGCACGTCCAGCCATCTGTGTGTACTCTCCGGGCAAAAGATCTCGGAAGCCTTTGCCGTCATGTTTGCGGAATCCAGAAAACACAACCGTCCGAGTTGGGAGGTTAAGACCCATGGCGAAAGTCTCCGTGGCAAACAGAACCTTGACCAAAGACTTCGCGAAGAGAATCTCCACAATCTCCTTCATAATGGGCAAAAGACCACCGTGGTGCACGGCGACACCCCTGCTGAGCAGGTCACGAAGCCGAAGGATCTGGGGAAGTGTCCGATCTTCAGGCTTCAGCCGAGTAAGCGACTTCTCGATGAACATATGAACCAGACTTTTTTCAGAAGCAGTGCAGAAGTCCTGGTTGGAGAGTGAATCCGCATTCTCCTCACATCGCTTTTTGGAGAAAACGAATATGCACCCTGGCAGCAAATCCTCTTTGCGAAGATGCGAAACAAGATGAACCCAGATATTCTTATCTTGGGCAGCAGTCGTCCGACCTCCTCCACGCCCAGTGCGGGCGATGTTGCCCGATCCCCGGTTAGAGGGTTGTCCTCTACCACCAGGCTGACCTCTGCCTCTCTGTGGAGCTCCTCCACGCTGCGAGTTGCCTCGGCCCCCCCCTCTGCCTGCAGGCTGACCTCGTCCCCGCCCTTGATGTCCTCCCCTTTGTGCTTGAGCCTGGGCCTGGGCCTCCGCCTCTTTTTGAGCCTTGATTTTATCTTTTCCGGACATAATATCATTCGCTTCCTTCCAACCGCTCTCCAGGAATCGCTTGTTAGAATCGACGATCTTATGCTTGCCTTTCCCGGCCCAGAGGTAGTGTTCCAGTGGAACGGGACGTTTAGGAGTCGAAATCACGTAAATGTCCTTCTTTTTGGTACGACCCACCCATGATGCGAATTCGTAGGTGTTGGGTACAGTGGCAGACAGAAGAATCAGGGTGACATGTTCCGGAAGCATGATAATGACCTCTTCCCACACAACCCCTCTCTCAAGGTCATTCACGTAATGCACCTCGTCGAAGATGACGAATTCGACATCGCGAATGAGATCAGCACCCCGGTACAACATACTGCGCAAGATTTCAGTCGTCATGATCAGACAACTAGCTTCTGGGTTGATTTGAACGTCTCCTGTCAGAATTCCCACATCGTCAAAGGTGTTTCGGAAATCGCGGTACTTCTGGTTACTGAGTGCCTTGATGGGTGATGTGTAGATTGCTTTGGTCATGTGTTTAGCCGCCAAGGCAATTGCGTATTCAGCCACCACTGTCTTGCCTGCCGACGTATGTGCGGCAACAAATACCGAATCGCCGCCTTCAAGATGATAGACAGCCTCCTTCTGGAAGGTGTCCAACTCGAACGGCCATTCTCTGGCCATGTCGGGCACCAACTCGTTGAAATTGGTGATATCCTTGTTCACGTCCACAACATGTGCCCATTCTTTCCCCTTCTGCTTCTGGACTCCCGCAAGCAATTGACCGTGCGGTTCTAATGCCGGGAACTCGTTCGGTAATAAAGCATCCATGTCTTCCTCTTCTGGATCACTATCGTCGCCGTCGACCTCGAATTTTGTCCGTGCATCGGTTTCCGGGACTGGTTCAGCTTGATCCACCGTGAGATGGCTCTCCTCTTGCAGAAGCGCATGCTCAACTTCCTTGTCACCTTCAGCAGTATCTTTGGATTTAGCTTCCTCGAAATTGAGACCATGGCTGAAACCTGGAGGAGTAGTCAGAAGACCGCCTTCAGAACCAAAGTTGATAATCCGGTCAAGGCCCGATTGTTTTCCATTGCCGCGTGATTGCTCTGCTGACAGGGCATCGGTTTCCATCTCAGCAAGCGCCTCGACGCCATCCAGACCCCCGGGGGCAAATGGGAAAAATCCCGCTGCTCCTCTAACAAAATCGGCACGACCAGCAGGTCTTCGAAGAAGCGACGTTGAGTTCTTAGCGTTCGCACTCGCAGCGGGGACTGTGACTTCGTGGTAGCCAGTGACCCGTCCTTCCAGCCCTTCACGTGTGAATCGAGTAACGGTTCGTGTTTGCGTAGGAGCCAGCTCGAAGAGATCTGTGTACTCCGTTGATACATCCCATCGTCTACTCAAGGCATTAGCCAAATCCACCTTCCAATCTGACATCGGAGCCCACGGGATTAAAGACACACTTTTGTAAATGGTTCAGCCACTTAGGACTGAACTCAGCCGAAGGGGCCATATATTCACTCTCCAACTCTGCCAGGAGGTCATCTGTATTTTGGCGTGTTCGTTTCCGAGGCTGGAGGTCGTCGATTGAGCCGTCTTCCTCAGCGGCGAGTCGCGTGTCGAAGGCTGAGGAGTCAATGTTTTTGGCATTGAGACTCAACTGGTCCATCGACGAGGCGATTGAGTCTGCCATTGTCGCTGCAAGCCGTTCAATGGGCCTACAAGCGTGTTGTGAGTTGTGTCAAATGTTGAACTCGGCAAATAGCCCACCCCACACCGACGTGTGCCTAAGACAATACAGCGACTGCGGGGGCGCTCCGTGACACTTGTGGATAGCAAACCACTTGCCACTATTTTCTGTATTTCACAGATGTCGCCTTGAGGCAACAGGGGAATTTTGAGGGAGGCAGATTTGGACTGGAAGATCATTGAGCCCTGCTGGGTGGGAAGCCGGGAGGCGGAATATCAAGGCAGTATTCGAGCTGCCCTGATGGTATAGTACTGGGAGGCTTCGCGGCATCTCTTCTATCCTGAGAGCCCTAGTGGACTTAAAAGATCCGATGCAATTTCAGCACGACATAATATGACAAGAAAAGCCCATGCATGAGGCCTAGAGTTACAATTTCATGCGACATGATACTAGACTATCCCATATGGTGGAACTTTTTGTACCTCGAACAAGAGACAAATGATGAACTGTCCATCAAATGGGCCAAGTACGCCCCAAAGCGCCGGAAAGATATGCAACGCAAGGAATACACAAAAGAAAATTCAAAGGACCAAAGCTGGCAACTACCCTGGCAGTGATGAACCGGAGGAACAAGCCAACAAGATTCTCGAAGAATTCAATGGCCCTCCACCATGATACCTTCATAGACAATTTTCCCATGTCATCCGAAGAGTTCTGCAAAAGCTGAATTATTTCAACGCGGAAGAAATATTAGAGTGAAAGGAATCCAAGTTGCGTACTAGGCCCAACGCCTCGACAAGCCCTAGGACACCAGGTCCAGGACCTCATCGGTAAGAGAAAACGGGGAAGGTTTTCCGGTCATGTACGTTAAGCTGGAACTCGAAGATACCTTCCAGGGTCGCAATGTACCTATCGAAATTAGCATGGGACTTGTTCGGTTTGCCAGGCTTCGACTTACAAGGTTCTCCCATCGGCACCCCAGCCAACCCCAGCAGTCGAGTCAGGTTCCTCAGCCCCGGGGCCCTGAATAATGCTCCGATCGGGGAGATCATTGATAATATTTCTGATCCACCTGGGCGAGCGCGTCTGCTCAAAACCAAGAAGCTGCTGGCGATGCCGCTGTTCTCGTTCAAAGGAACGGTTATGTACCTCATTGGCAATTTGACGCTGGCGCCGAAGCCGATCGGCGGCAACATTGGCTCGGATTTCGTAGTTTGTGAGACGCGACGGGTCATATCTCCGTTCGGTGCCAGTTGGCAATCGCTCAGAGCGTCGGGGAGTAGAACTCGACCGTTGAGACCGGCGCGTCAATGGATCAACTGGTTGATTTGGTGGAGATCGTCCCGTTACATCATGAGGGAGTCCAGTGACATTTCTGACGATGTCAGGGTCACTCGCTTGAGGAACAACGTCATCTGCAGTGGAATTGATCTCAGATGGCGAGGTTGTCCAACTAAGGGTCATGCTTGGCTGGCGATCATTATTCGGCGTGCCCGATTCAGAGGACCGGCTGCCGTGGGACAGCACCACCGAGCTGGGCCGCATTGTGCTGGATGTACTATCGTTCGTTTCCGTCCGGCCTGGGTGGATATCCCGCGAGCTGTCACCGTGATGTAAATGCAAAGGTGTGATAGGGCGGGAAGCTCGATACCCGGTCTCTGTGGAACCATGATGCCGCGTTCGAGCGGCAGTGTGAGGTCTCGCTGGCCGTTCTGGCCGCTCAGTCAAACCTTCTTCCAACCGCGATGTCCAACGCGCAGTGTTCAAAAACTCCATGATAAGCCTCTCTCTCTCTGTGAGGTCCTGAATGAGAGTCTCGCGCAATGAAGTGCGCTCCGGATCCCCTCCACTTGGCTCATTCAAGGGTTCTTCGGGATCAAGCCTCGCTCGTCGTGTAAGGACATCGTCCTCAAAGCGTTCGTCCTCATAATCTTCCAACATAGGCTCGGTATGGACCTCCTCCAACTGCGGCTCGTCGACCTCCAAATGAAGTATTTGTCTGCGCAAAAATGCCTGGCGGATATCTGCGACCCCGGCTCTGCCGTGGCCCTCCAACCACACCAGCAGATCCCATGGCTCAGGTGAGAACGTCATGCAACGGACCGCACCACCCTCTGAACAAGACCTCGAAGCCGGAAATTGACAAAGGAGAGGGGTTTCGTTTTCTGAGTCATCGACAGGTTTTTGAATGACCCCAACGTCTAAGACGGTGACAATCCCAGATTGTGAGCCGATGGCACACAGGTGACTGGACGGAGAAAATGCGATAGTGAAGCAGCATGCATCATCCGCTCGCAAGCCGATTTCCATCTCCACGCACCGGACAAGGTCCCATTTCCATCCCGTGAGCTTCTCGCCAGATTCCGTGGTCCCGCGCGACTCCCAGTCGCGCGTAATTCCATAAAAATAGGCGCGGTTCTCGTCCCCCACTGCCGCAAGCAGCGTCGAGTCCGGGGATATGATCGCATAGTTCATGCAAGTTGGATGGTGCAGGATCTTGAGAACTCTCGAACGCGTTAGAGAATAGACGGTAATTGTCCGATCATTGTTGCTGTACACGAGGGTCAGCATTGGAGGTCAAGCCAATCTACCACCTTGAAAGATACCTCAGAACCATCATATCTTCACTTGACAAGTCCTGCTCCCCAGGGAAACGATGGATGGTCACTGAATTGACAATACTTCCTCCAAATTTATGCAGCTCGACCTCGGGCATGGATGTTCTGGAAAAACGACGCCCAGACGCTGAATCTCTGCTGATATGACTCGGCGACGCCAACCTTGATGACGACTCGAGGTGCAGAGGGAGCGCACTGTCCACATCGGAGGTCTGGAAAGAGGGAGTTTCGCCACGGACGCGCATGTCTCCATCACCAATCTTGATAAACGCGCACTCGCCATTCTCTGGGCCACCCACGCCAATCCAACCGAATCCAGCGGCTAGACATCGTGGCTCGAAGGGGATGACCGCTATGCTCTCTCGTTTCTGCGCCGATATGTGGATGGAGTACACGATTCTCTCCACAATAACATAGATGCGATCGGGATCGGCGGTACTGATATAGTGACGGAGCTGTGTATGGCTACAAGAACATGCACTTGCGTCAGTCGTGAAGAGGTAAAAGGGGAAGCAATAGATAAGGTGTCGGGTTCACAGACAAGTTGGGGATTTTGAAGGGGATGAACCGTCGCTTGGTCGGAAGGATGAGAGACTCGGTCGGGCGATGTCTAAGACCGGGAAATGGCGGTCAGAATGTGAGAGACAACACATCGAACTAAAGCGACTCACAGCAGGGTCGAATCCGAGGTCATGGTGAGCGTGGACCCCGAGGTGGCATTGTTCGAGCGGGGAAGCGCGAACGGAGACACTGGGGGATCGAACCACCCCCGGTTGGCTTGAACTTGGGATAAGCAGTTCCACGCCGTGTAGATGTCGCTGAAGGACTGAAACTCGAAGGGCGATTTGGACGTTACTCAGTCAAGCGCCCAAGGTCCAGCGCTCGACTGGATGACGTAAGAGAACTGGAGTGAAAAGCCGGGGAACCAGCACATCCACGAATGCGGTCCAACTCAAGAGGCCGGAACCAGCGCCTCATGAATGCATTATGATGGCCGGAGGCAAATGGAAGAAATAATAAAAGTAATAATAATAATAATAATAATATGAAGGACAAATGAAAGTCAGAAAAGAACTCTGATTTCATCTCTAGTTCATGTCCGCCCGATTTTAGTAGGCCATGAATTGCGCGCTTTTACCATTAGGAGCCAAGGTAGTTAGTACCGAGGGCATTGCTTTTGCGCCCCCTCGGGCATTGTTGTGCTCCCACCCAGAGAAGAAAGTCATACCGCGATCAATATCTCAACTGGCAATGGTCTGGTTCCGACTGTCTGAGGTCGGGCAAATCGAGCTCGGGGAATTTGGTGAGGTCACGCAACATTGCCAGCTCAATTGGTCCCAGAACCCCTTGGAGACCAAAAAAAATGATTCATAGAATGCTGCGTGTATGAACAGTGCCGCAAAGCAACCATAGATGTATACAACTGGCTATGTACCTCTGCGATACTCGGGCAGTGGCAGAGACCTCGGGTATCCCCTAGGTATCTTCCAGGTCAAACTGGGCGGTGAGCCCTACGGCTAATGATTGGCTCAGTCCCGTGATTCCACCAGCTTCGACGGGCCGAAGCTCTCCGTGCAATTTCTACCCTTTTCCCTTCTCTTCCTTTCTGCTTTCTATCTCATCTCCATCTCTCCTTCCTCCCTTCTCCCATCACTCTGCGGTTGACTCGTTGGAGTGTAACCCCCTTTTCTCATATCTGTATTAATTAATTTACCTCACAATGCTTGCTTCTCGCATTTCTCGCGCGGTAAGTCTTTTTCCCGAGGGAAAGCAGGGAAAAAAAAATCACGCGTCGCACCGTCACTGACTCGTTTTCCCCCTACAGCTCCCGCGCACTGCTTTCGCCCGCACCCCTGCCAGCAGAATCCCCGGTGCATCGTTCCGGAGATGGAACTCGACAGAGGGTGGCGAGGAGAAGGTTAAGGGCCAGGTCATCGGTATTGACCTTGGTAAGTGATGTGTCCATCTCGACATTTAGAGCAGGTCATTAACATTTTTGCCCTTAGGTACCACCAACTCTGCCGTTGCCGTGATGGAGGGCAAGGCTCCCAAGATCATTGAGAACTCCGAAGGTATGTGAAAAAAATTTTTCGCCTTTGGGCCAAGTGGCCAGAGCTTCCAAAACAAAGCCCACGGAGGCTCTCTGACACTCGGCTCTGATGAATTGAACTTGTTGACTAACATATACCTTTAATAGGTGCCCGTACCACCCCCTCGGTCGTTGGTTTCGCCCAGGATGGCGAGCGGTTAGTCGGTATTGCCGCTAAGCGTCAGGCCGTGGTCAATCCCGAGAACACTCTGTTCGCTACCAAGCGTCTCATCGGTCGCAAGTTCACCGATGCTGAGGTTCAGCGTGACATTAAGGAGGTCCCCTACAAGATTGTCCAGCACACCAACGGCGATGCCTGGGTTGAGGCCCGTGGCCAGAAGTACTCGCCCTCGCAGATCGGTGGTTTCGTCCTCAACAAGATGAAGGAGACTGCCGAGTCCTACCTCAGCAAGCCCGTTAAAAACGCCGTCGTGACTGTGCCCGCGTACTTCAACGACTCGCAGCGTCAGGCCACCAAGGATGCTGGTCAGATCGCTGGTCTGAACGTCCTGCGTGTTGTTAACGAGCCTACCGCAGCTGCCCTTGCCTACGGTCTGGAGAAGGAGAACGACCGTGTGGTCGCCGTGTATGACCTGGGTGGTGGCACCTTCGATATCTCGGTCCTCGAGATCCAGAAGGGTGTGTTCGAGGTTAAGTCGACCAACGGTGACACCCACCTTGGTGGTGAGGACTTCGATATCAACCTGGTCCGCCACATCGTGGAGCAGTTCAAGAAGGAGTCTGGCCTGGACCTCTCTGGTGACCGCATGGCCATCCAGCGTATCCGTGAGGCCGCTGAGAAGGCCAAGATCGAGCTGTCGTCTTCGCTCCAGACTGAGATCAACCTGCCCTTCATCACTGCCGATGCCTCCGGTGCCAAGCACATCAACTTGAAGATGACTCGCGCTCAGCTCGAGTCTCTGGTTGACCCCCTGATCAACCGCACTATCGACCCCGTGCGCAAGGCCCTGAAGGATGCCAACCTCTCGTCCAGCGAGATCCAGGACATCATCCTGGTCGGTGGTATGACCCGTATGCCCAAGGTTACCGAGTCGGTCAAGTCTATCTTCGGCCGTGACGCCGCCAAGTCGGTCAACCCTGACGAGGCCGTCGCCATTGGTGCCGCCATCCAGGGTGCCGTCCTGGCTGGTGAGGTTACTGACGTCCTGCTGCTCGATGTTACTCCCCTTTCCCTCGGTATCGAGACCCTGGGCGGTGTCTTCACCCGCCTGATCAACCGTAACACCACCATCCCCACCAAGAAATCTCAGACCTTCTCTACCGCTGCCGACTTCCAGACTGCCGTGGAGATCAAGGTCTACCAGGGTGAGCGTGAGCTCGTCAAGGACAACAAGATGCTGGGCAACTTCCAGTTGGTTGGTATCCCCCGGCCCACCGCGGTGTTCCTCAGGTCGAGGTTACCTTCGACATTGACGCCGACTCCATTGTCCACGTCCACGCCAAGGACAAGTCCACCAACAAGGACCAGTCCATCACCATCGCTTCTGGCTCCGGTCTGTCTGACGCTGAGATCCAGTCGATGGTTGATGACGCCGAGAAGTATGGTGAGCAGGACAAGGAGCGCAAGTCCGCCATTGAGGCTGCCAACCGCGCCGACAGCGTCCTGAACGACACCGAGAAGGCTCTCAAGGACTTCGAGGACCGTCTGGACAAGGCTGAGGCCGACCAGATCCGCGAGAAGATTGCCGCTCTCCGTGAGTTCGTTGTCAAGAATCAGTCTGGCGAGGGCACCGCTACCGCCGAGGAGCTGAAGCAGAAGACCGACGAGCTCCAGACTGCTAGCTTGAGCCTGTTCGACAAGATGCACAAGGCTCAGTCCGAGCAGCAGCAGCAGCAGCCCGGTGGCGAGCAGCAGGGTGAGAACAAGCAGTAAATGCTTTTCCTCGACTTGGTTGCACCATCTGAGTATTGCTCTGAATAAGCTCTGTATTTTTCTATTTTCCTTTGTTTTTTCTTTTGTGTGTTAGACTCCCTTTTATCTTGGTTTTTTTTTTTTTTTCCCTGTTCGCATTTACCCTTGTTCGCATTAACTGTACACATACTTCAAGGCCCTTGATCCCCTTCTTATTCTGGTGTATCGGTGTTTGATTACCAACTTTTGTATGATCTACTTTTTTTTCTTTCTCTTTGCCCTTATACCTCTGTCAGAGTGTATGCCGGGATTGTCTACCCTTGTATCTAATGACATTACGGCATGAAGGGCCACAAAAGGGATGCGGTGGGCTTTGGCAATTTGGTGCATGTGACAATAGAAATCGGACCATTCTCCTCTCATTGAGCTTGATTTTGTTGATTCTGAGTTAGGGCGCCAATCTCGCAGACCAACGGCGGTAACAAGTAAAAGTACGCTGCATTAGATGCAGGTTGCACCCCCTCTCAATAACACCCTGAGCAACAAAGCCACCCAGATCCAGTAAGCGACTCTTACGTTGCAGGGCTTCGATCTGCGACAAAGACGATAGGTCAGGGGAGCTCGTCTTGTCCGTGGCTGTTTGGTTTCGCCTAGGCTATCCATGCTGGGGCCTCTATAGTCTGAAACCTTAAGAGTCCAGTGTATGTATGATTGCGACATAGAAGAAAAACAGAAAGCTTGCTATCATAAGAGAAGTGGCCGGGCCAATCGTCCCTATCAGCTCGAGTCCTTGCGTTTGTCGGGGCTAGAAATAGTAGATGTTAATTACGCACTAGACCAACGCATACATCCAGACTATTTTCAGCAGAGAGAGAGAAAGAAAGAAAGAGAAACAGTGTATGTGTATGTGTATGTGTATGGATGGTGGGGATATATTTTCCAGGTCTTTCCTCTTCCCTAACAATAAGCACATCAGAACATCCCCTATGAGTGATGTAGTACTTTTTCCATGTCAACCGAAATCAAAGCAGGATATTAGCTTCTGCTGCCAACAGGGATACACACGAGCCAACTGATGCTCTGACCAATCTGGACTCGAGGCGTCAGTGACAGCATCAAGCCATTTTGCAGGACCCTTCCCTGCGGCTGTCGGCCAGCAAATCACCGTTGTACACACACCAGTTGGGCTTCAACAGTGGGGCATTAGCAATGATACCTGTGGATTCTTGATTACGAGGACTTGAGATCCTGGAAAAGGAGGGGGTTTCCCCCCCTGATCCACTCCAAAATACATACATACTGTAAAAGGAGAGAAAAAGAAAGATGGATCAGGGTTATGGGTTTAGGATTGGCGTGAGGGTAACATAATAATATAATAATAACCACATTCCCTCAGGATTAGGATTTTGTTCCTTAAAATTAAAAAAAAAATTCAATGGTCACGCTAGAAAATTTTCATACATCCACCTCTCCTGAGATCATTCGCTGATCACTTTTTTTGTTTTGTGAAGCCATCCACTTTAGCGTGGCCGCTAGTCAAGAGACTGTGGACTTGTATGATTATGATGATTTTGTTTTCCATGTCTCCACCCGCAATGCCGGTTTCTGCTGTACTTGGTGTGTTCTTTTTTTTTTTTTTTTTTTTATTACAAAACTAAGCCCTGGCGTCTGCTCCAGACCCGTTTATATACTCCATATCCAGTTGGACTCCTGATCCTGAGGTCACTCGATCGAAAGGAAGACTTCATCCTGCCTTTCAGGGCTGATATATATTGTTTTTTCTTTCTTTTTGTTTGGTCTAAAGTTAGTGCTGGGGCCACCTGGCCAATTTCCCGAACTCGGATGGAGTCAACTCGTGTTTTTGTTTTCTTTTTTTTGTCTTTTTTTGACATTTCTCTTTTTTGGGAGTGAAGAAACTTCTGGGTTAGAGGGAAAAAAATAGATTGGGGTCCATTTCTAAGAAAAACAAGAAATAGAAGCCATTCCAGGGGCTATCAAAGAGAATGTGCTAATAGTTCAATAAACCGAGTCGTACAGTTTGCCGAGATTGAGGGTTTGGATGTCACACTGTAACACCCCTAACATCAGGAATCTCAATGCATGGCATTATTGGATATACAAATCAAAATTGATTGGTTTTTTTTTTTGCTCCCCTTTTTAAAATTATTTTTTTAACCTTCCCATGGATCAAAATCCCAGCCCCTGTGTTACATAATGATCTCCTATGGGCTTGGCAGTCATGACTGTAGATCTATTGAAATTTATGATGAGCTCCAATCATGGCCAGTGTGATTTGCTTTGGATAATCTTGACCTTGATCTATGGTTCCTTTGTGTTTTGATTTGATTTTTTATTTACTGTATAACTATGTATTGTTTAAATGTACTGTATATCGTCCATATCTCCACAAACGGGAAAATGATCGATCATCCTGGAATCCTGGCAAGATAGCCAATCACTGTCATGGGGAGCTTGCATGAGACTCGTCACGTCGAATCCCCCTGATCCCAATTTCACACTAGATCGACGTGAGCATAAGGATTTCTGTGGATACTATGAATGTGAAGGAGGCCGAATAAGCCCCTCTTATAGCCATTATTATAATGCTATGCTATATATATGCTATATATATGCTATGCCTATTGACTACTGCTCTGTAGCACAATTGTGATTTAATTGCATCTACTAGCGCCGAGTCAATCCATGGCTCCGCTCTCCATATCTACACTTAGCCCCTGATCCCCTTACCTGGCCGTTACCGGGAAATTTCATAAACGGGGCTGCAGCAGGCTCGCGCTAGTGTGGATATTTTGTTTTTTTTTCTTACTATTATTACATATAATTAAATTATTAAAAATATTAAAAATATTAAAAATAATTAAAATTCTTATAATTATTAGAGGGGATCATTTCAACGGGCCCAAATGTCAATCGTACCCTAACCGTCGACCCATAGATCGGAAATGGGCCTTTTCTTTCTGTTTTCACTCTCTTCCCTCTGCCTTCCCTTGACTTGTGTTTACTTGTGTTGTGCCTGTTGTCAGTCGAGGTGCATCATAGGGCTATCTTGAGGTCCCTTATATTCCACACACTTATTCACTTACACACTGTTGGGCTTGTCACCCCTCCGCCATGACTATTGCACCTCCGGTGCCTCACCCTGTCCATGACAGTGTGAATGGCCCCCCCGGGCATCTTCCCAATCTGACTCGTTATCATCCCATTGCCATGAATCCCAATCCGCCTCCGCACCAGATGCCTCCGCCAGATCAGATGCTGCCCAACCCTCATTTCCGTCCTTTTGTTCCTCTGCATGAAACTCACCCGGCCCCCCCACCGGCTCATAGCCCATCATCGATTGACCACATCGAAGCTCGTCTCCGGCAGCTCGAGCATGAAGAAATGACTCGCATGGCTGCCCGCACTCACCTTCTTGCCGTCCGCAAGCGCGAAGACGAGGATTTTCGGCGGATGACCGAGAGTGCCGAGGCCGAGGAAGAGGTGAACCCTTTTAACTATAAACTATAGATCTAGACGCAAGATAGGGATCGACTAACTGTTCATTCTACAGGATCTGAGGAGACAACGCAAGAGGCTCAAGAGAGAATCGATGGGCTTGGGACTTAATGCTGCTGCCGACTCGCCGCCATTACGGCCCACACCACCGCGGAGACTGTCCGAGACCAACGCCGCAACTACCCTGGCTTTCTTCAAACAGCAGAGTCCGCCCGAACCCCGCCAAGTTCCTCTTCCTCCTGCATCGCAGGGGCCGCCGCCTGCGATGCCGCCGCCTCATCTTCATCCGCAACCGCATCATGCGCCTCACCCACCTCACCCGCCTCATACACCTCATACACCTCATACGCCTCATACGCCTCTGCCCCCGGCGCAGCACCCTATTCTACCGCATGATACGATCAACGGCACCATCCGGCGCAAGCAAAAGTACACGATCAAGAATGTCGAAGCCTGGGGCGAACGTCACGGCCGGCCAGCGGCGCATGATCCCTCAGGGCGGGCTCTATGGAAGCGGCCATCGGACGGGAGTCTGGTGTATCTGACGTGCCCGATGCAGGGCTGCGGCAAGGCAGACTTTGTCACACTGCACGGGTTCATGTGCCATCTGACCAAGAAACACAAGGACCGAACACTGGGCAGCCAGTCGCGCGCACTTGAAGTCTGCGGCGTAGTCTTCGACCCGAATGCGCCGCTGCCGCCAGTGACAAGATCCAACCGCGCGTCGACGGAGGGCAGCCCGCTCGAGTCGGCGCCACTGGATGCAGACGCGGACGCGCAAGAAGGCGAGCTAGACTCCGAGTCCGAGGACGGCGATCGACTGCGCGAGGATTCGTTGCGCGTCAAGACCGAGGCTACAGATCGACCGATGCCCGACGCCGTCGACTCGTCTGTCACGCCTGCCCCTCCTGCTACCCTGACTCCCCCAAACCTGTTGTGAACGGCTCCACCAAACAATCCATCTCGTCCATTATCGACCGCATCCCTGAACCCGATTCCCGGGAGGCTCTCGCCTCTCTTCCTTCATCCGAGTCTCTGGCCCAAGGGCCTCTTCCACCTCCTCCCGCTCCTTTGACCTCGTCTGTGCCTTCGAAACGCAAATATGAGTATTCGCCGCCGGCTGCGGAGAAAGAAAACACAGAGCCCAGAGAAGGTTCTCCACGCTAACTTGATTCTGCTTTTTTTTTGTGTGTGTGTTATATATATAATTGTGTATATCCTTGGATATAATCCAGAGCCAGAGGTCTGGTCTCGATTTTGATTTTAGACCTTGGCTCGACTTCTGTCATGTCCTCATTTCCCATGTTCGAGCATTTCTGGTTTTCCTTCAATACCCTTTGTTTTGTACCTGGGTGGTCTGCAGTCTCTCTCTCTCTCTCTCTCTTCCCTCTTTCCTTCCCTCTTCCTACTTGGATGTCTCTGCGCCGCGGATCTTGATCCTACCATTAGAATCGCGGAACTCGTCCATAATTAATTGTATGAGCATCCTCCTGCAAGATTATAATGTAAGGAACATACACGTATTGTGCAATGACCATTTGATATACCATGTCAACCAAGTTAAGCTTAAGAAAGGGAAATCAGACAGTCTATATCTATATACCACCTGTCTCCCCTCGACAATACCAAAAAAAAAAAAAAAAAAAAAAAAAATAGAAGTCTATATCTATGTCTACTTCTTCACCATAAGCAAATGAACCACATACCCCGTCCCACCCCCCAACCCACCCCCCAAAACCTCATCCCGAACCCTCCACACCCGGAACTCGCGCAGCGTCTCGCGCAACCACACATCGAACACCTCGGGCGAGCGTTGCTGCTGCGCGACAATGCAGACGGTGGGCCGGCGCCTTGACTGCGCCCCGTGCTCGTTTTCTGGCGAGGCCGAGGACTCATAGGCGGGCCGCAGCCGACAGATCTCGGCGCAGGTGCGCACGAAGGGGGCGACGAGGGCTTCGTTGTAGATGCAGTCGCAGGAGAGGAGGAGGTCGACGCCTCGGTCTTTTTGGTCATCATCATCATCATCATCATATCCAATACAATCTCGCAATAACCCCGGCTGATCAAGTTCCCAGTCCAGACTGGTAAATGTGATATTCCGGATGTTGTTCTGATTACTTTGATTAGTAGTCGTAGTGGTAGTAGTAGTATTAGTGCCGGTAATAGTACCAGCAGCCTTTTTCCTGGATGACCTAGCGGGCTTGGCCGCTTTCACACCCGTATTCATCCCGGCATTGGCGTCGACATTCGTCCGGAACAGGCGGTGCACGTATTCCTGGTCTGTTGCGATGTAGTGGCGCACCGAGGGCGCCAGCGCCAGCGCCACGAGGGCCGAGATGCCGCAGCCGAGCTCGGCGACAACGGAGGACGGGGTGAGTATGTTGTGGGTGCGCAGGGGGTTGGAGGGGGCTGTGAGCCATTCGGCGAGGAGGGGGGTGATTTTCCAGAGGACTGATTCGAGAGTTAGACACAGTAGTACAGTGTAGTAAACATAGTATAGCGTACTAAGTGTGATGATATCTAGTCAAATGCAAACGCCACACCCCATAAACCGAGGCTCTCAGGCGCCCCCCCCTCGCCTCGGATGATAGACGCCAACTGCGGGGATAAACACGAGAAGAAGTCCGTGCTTTTTTTTTTTCAGTTCTGCTCTGGGGCCGAACTAGGGACTTCTTCTGTGGGATGTGGGTTATGGGATGAGGGGGCGCTGGAGTGCAGATCATGCAGGGTAGGAAACACTAAACACAGAAAGAACAAAAAACCTACCGGCGCCAGTTGTTCCTCCAGCTCGCGAAGACGAAAGTAATGACGGCGACTGATGGATGCAATATTCGGTATCATGGATGATAATGTCTACGGTGGTTGCGCGCGAGTCGACAAAGCCCAGATTGGCGGTTGTGATGTCCTGGGCGAAGAGCAGGAAGAATTCTAGGATGAGAGCTTGTTTAGCGGGAGGGGAGGTCCCAGGGGTCGTGCAGGGACCTGTGTGCGTACCCTCATCTGCATCAGTGACCTCGTCGCCGATCGAGGCGAGGAACGTGGGGATGGACATGGTGTTGTCTTTAGGTTGTAGGTGTTGTCACCTCCATAGATAGAGTGGATGCGTGGTGTCCTCAGGATTCTACGCAATCACGGGACTGTGGAGATATCAAAATCAATCAAAATGCCCATTTGCATGATTTCGGCCGAAAAACAACGCGAAGACATTTTGTATTTTGCATCTTGAGCATCCCACCCAGCTCCATAGCTTATGCTTAAGTCACCGTCGATCGGAGGCTTCTCCGCAATGTGTTGGGCTCGGGCCCCAACAGAAAGTAAACCTTGGAATGGCTGCGATCAGCTGGAGAGACCGAGAGAGAGAAAGAAAAGAAAGAAAGAAAGAAAGAAAAAGAGAGCGATTGGAGTAAATAGGAAATAATAGTAAACAGTAATTTAGGAACAGGAAAACCCCGAAACCAAGCAAACCATCCCAGGGCCTTGCTGCGTCATTGCTCCCAGCCACTCCAAGTAAGCTCTGCGCACTTCTCCCCTTTTCTCTTATTGCCAGCACCCTCCTCTTTTGCATTCCTATTTCCCTTTTCCTAGCTCGACTGGCACGGAATATCGGCCTAATCTCCGCTTTTATTCTCTCCTTGGCAACGTCACCCCCCGACCAGAGGATTTACCCCCATTTGCCTCGACCCTCCCACCCTCTCTACCGTTCCTTGAGCGAGCCCTACCCTCAAGATGTCGAAGCGCGACCTCCACATCCAGCCGCGCATGGTCAAGAAGGGCCCCTTCTCTGTGGAGGCCCCTGGCGCTGAACCCGTCCCCGGAGAGACGATCCCGCGCCGACACCCAGCAGCCAAGGACGGTCTCATTCTGCGCCCTTCAGAGGACGTCGCCACCACCTACGATAACTTTCGCCGATCTGCTCGCTTGTTCGGCAATGCCAAAGCTGTTGGCAGTCGTCGTTTGATCAAGACGCACGTCGAGAACAAGAAGGTCAAGAAGATTGTGGATGGCGTCGAGAAGGAAGTCGACAAGCAGTGGACGTACTTTGAATTGAGCGGCTACACTTTCAAGAGCTTCCTCGAATATGAGAAGCTGTGCCTGGAGCTCGGCTGCGGTTTGCGCAAGCTGGGCCTGGAGAAGGACGACCGCGTGCACTTGTATGGCGCGACAAGGTGAGACACCCCCTCGAGCTCAGCTCTCGGGAGAGCGACCAAGAGTGCCCCAGAACAATATACTAACCAGGGTCTTTCAACAGCGCTAACTGGCTGGCCATGTCACACGGTTCGATTACCCTCCTGTATGACTGAAAGTATCTCCCGACTAATTTTCACAGGCGCTGCTTCTCAATCCGTAACTATTGTGACCGCATACGATACCCTGGGCGAGGAGGGTCTGAAGCACTCAATTGTCCAAACCTCCAGCTCTGCCATCTTCCTCGACCCGGGCCTGATCAAGTCTCTGACCAAGGTCCTGAAAGACGCCCCGTCGATCAAGCATGTCATCTACAACACCGATTCCGAGGCCAAGCAGGAGGACCTGGACACGCTGAAGAATGATTTTGGCCACATCACGGTGCTGAGCATCGAGGAGCTGCGCAAGCTGGGCGAGGAGAACCCCGTGGACCCGGTCCCGCCCAAGCCGGAGGATCTCTGCTGCATTATGTACACGTCGGGATCGACGGGCCCGCCCAAGGGTGTTCCCCTGACACATGCCAACGTGATTGCTGCCAGTATGATGGGTTTTTAACTTGATCTTTGGGAACTGCGCTAATTTGATTCTTCACAGCCGCTGGTGTCAACGAGATCGTGGGTCCTTATATCGGCCCCAAGGACTCGCTGCTGACCTACCTCCCGCAAGCTCATATTCTCGAGTTCATGTTCGAGAACCTCTGTTTGTTCTGGGGTGGCACCATGGGGTACGGCAACCCCCGCACGTTGTCCGACGCGTCGATGCGCAACTGCAAGGGTGACATTCGCGAACTCAAGCCTACTATCCTGGTCGGTGTCCCGGCCGTGTGGGAGTCGGTGAAGAAGGGTGTGTTGAACAATCTGAACAAGAACAACTTCCTGGTGAAGGGCATGTTCTGGGGTGCCATGTCGGCCAAGAACTTTTTGATGGCTACTGGTTTCCCGGGTGCTAACCTTGGTGCTTGGCTCTTGGATACCGTGGTCTTCCGCAAGCTTAAGGATGCCACTGGCGGTCAGCTCCGCATCATGATGAACGGTGGTGGCCCGATCTCAAAGGACACGCAGAAGTTCCTGTCGATGGCAATCGCCCCGATGATTGGTGGCTACGGACTGACGGAGACTTCGGCCATGGGTGCCCTGAACGACCCAATGGCCTGGAACCCTGAGGCCCTGGGTGAGGTGCCTGCGTCGGTCGAGGTTAAGCTTGTGGACTTCCCGGATGCCGGGTACCTGACCAAGAACACTCCGCCGCAAGGTGAGATCTTCATCCGGGGTGGCAGTGTGACATCGGGCTACTACGAGAACGAGGAAGAAACCAAGGGCGCCGTCGCCGGCGAAGGGTGGTTCATGACCGGCGACATTGGCGAGTTCGACGCGAACGGCCATCTCAAGATCATCGACCGCAAGAAGAACCTGGTCAAGACCCTGAACGGCGAGTACATTGCCCTGGAGAAGCTCGAGTCTGTCTACCGCTCGTCCCCCGTGGTTGGCAACATCTGCGCCTACGCTGCACAGGACCAGGACAAGCCCATTGCGATTATTGTGCCCGTGGAGGTGGCGCTGAAGAAGATCGCCAGCGACAACGGCATTGAGGGCGACACGCTCGAGTCACTCGTCCACAACGAGAAGCTCAAGTCTATTGTCCTGCAGCAGCTGCAGACCGCCGGCCGCGCCGGTGGTCTCAAGGGCATCGAGATCATCAACGGCGTTGTACTATCGGACGAGGAGTGGACCCCGCAAAACGTGAGTAACAGACATCTGCAAAACTTTCAAGGCATTGGTAGACTTATCGAGACTAAAATGACGCGTTACAGGGCTACATGACCGCGGCGCAGAAGCTCCAGCGCAAGAAGATCGTCAACAAGTACAAGTCCGACATTGACAAGGCGTATGGCAAGAAATAAGCAGCCTGCTTTTTTTCTGTGGTGGATCTGATCTCTGCTCTTGTTTTCTTTTCCCTTTTCCTTCACCTATTCTACTTATGTGATATCGCTCTGGTACCCTCTGTGTTGGATTTGCGTTGCGCTCGAAGCTGATGTAGTTCCTGATGGACTCGGCATGCCTGTTTGTTGCCTTGCCATGATGTAGACGAGACGGTGATGAATGCGGACATGATGTGCCGATATTTTGTAGTGCGCAAGAGATTACTTATTATACCTGGCCGTGCCAACAAAGAGCCAAATGAGCCATCGTTTCAGTTCCAATGGTTGATCCATCTCATATCTGGGGAGCATAACTCGATGGACTGGACAGTTGACTGCATAGTTACAATGGCTAAATCAAATCACATGACCCCGTCGCAAAGCAAACCAACACATGGACGTCTGCCTCTCTCAAGAAAACAGAAAAGCAGAAACAAGAAAAGAACAGAAGACAAACACAATACAATGTCTCTCTGGAAGTACGTACCAAATCCACCTATCCGCAATTCACACTACAACCCCAACTATTATCCCCTGTCACCCTCGTGTCCGTCTCTATCTAACCCACCGCAACACACACTCCAGCTCCTACCGATCCCTCACCCCCAAAACCCGGGCCCTGTTCGGAATTGGCGTCATGGCCTGGGCCAGCATTGGACTGTGGACGGCGCCGCAGGTGGAGAATGCGTTGGGTATGCAGGCGTCGAAGGAGGAGCAGGACGCGCTGGAGCGGAAGATGGCGGTGCGGGTGTCGCGTGTTGGGGAGGAGAAGGAGGGGCGTGCTAATTGAGGTGGTATCTATATTCTGAGAATCTATGGATCTGAGGGTTCATGGGTTCATGGGTTCATGAGTCAATTGGCAAATGTGGTTATCGTCCGACGAAGGGTGTCTGTTTTGGACTCCATTGCAACACGCGGCACTTACACTCGACTCGACTATCAGAGGGACTGAAATACTCAGCTTGACGTCGACTCTGCAGTACTTTCGTCTGAACCCCATCAGCCGGAAGTGATGTGATTGCATCCCCTCCCCATTTTCCTCCTCTTCCTTTCAAAAGTACTTCGAGCCCGTGGCATTCGGACCGGGATTCAGAAGGGGGCTCGGATTCGGGGAGGATCAAGACCTCATATGAGGTCATAGCCCAGCTGGTCTGCATTCCTTCTTTTTCTTTTCGCCTTTTTCCTTCCGGTAAGGGAAATTCATCTCTGGACCATGCCAACCAGGGCAGGGCGAGCAAGTTGTCTGTCGTGCACACATTGCACTTAATTATCGGAGGGAGGACTCTTCCCTGTTGGCGATCAGTACTGAGGTTCAATCCTAAAAATAAGTTCAGATCAAGGTCAGGGTTTTGCCTACGACTATCTGATTTGCCCGGTTGTCTTGGATATGGCACGTCACTTACCCATGCATACACAGACAGACATACAGACAGGCAGGCAGACAGACACCCCTGCTCTATCGGAAGATCCTTGCGGCTGAGAACAGACAGAACAGACAGCCGCGCGGGCAGATGGCAGCCCGGTCCGGATCGTGATGGTCTCGGGGCCGAGGAGCCAATCGCTGAATTCTGGTCGGCTCTAATCTCAGGCTGGAGTGTGTCGGAATGAGGGAAATGATGCGAGAGGCAGATGGGCAGATGATTTATCTTGATGTTATGTACTTGGAGATGCTCGCAGATGTTATGCAATCAACAATCCTTAATTCATAGCATTTTGAATCTCTCGTTACTGCCCGGGTAACCCATAATATCTTAAGACTGATCAGGTTCATGTCATACTCATCCCCACGTTTGTGCTCAGGAGGATCTCTACCCCGAAGAAAAGAAAGGAAGACAAGACTCAAGTCTCGGAAGCCGTTGACGTGGAACACAATGCAATCATCGGCGGCAATGCAATAAAACCAGGGCTGCAAGAACGAGGAATCGGACAGATTCCGATTTGGAATTGGCGTTATACATGATGTGCCCCAAAAACATGACCAACCACGGCCATTGTCTCGCGCAGACTGAAAGCAAGACATGTAGAGATAGTCCGAATAGATTAGAGTAGAAAGGAGACCCTTGGGGTGTCTATAGCTAGCCAATCCAGCCAGGCAGCCTTAGTTTCTTCAAGGATATCTCTGGAAATCAGTCTAGTTAAGGCCCTGTCTACATACATCCATGGATGATCACTACTGAGCAAAGAGGCATCTATGCAGACAAGCATCAAACCCATCAGCAACCAGCATCCGATCTTCCTTGGTCGTACCAACAACCCAGGGTCCAGAGACACACATCTCGGATCCTGGTACACACATGCTGCTCGGGCGTCGACCAGGATTTGGGCACATGTACCCGGTCACTGTTATGATGTTTTTTTTTTTTGCTCCTGTTTTGTTTGTATGGTTCTTGAGGTATCTAGTGCAATTGTCTCAACTGCATCTCAAAGTTCTATATATAGTGAACATTGGATAGAAATAAGATGATAATGTCGCCCTCCCCCGTTCAGAAACAAGAAAGAGAAGACTAGCGCAAATAATTGATTGACAATGAATCATTTTCACTTCGGGGTCCTTTTCTTCGCCTCACACCTGTCGTGCAACACGCTCTCGGAACCCGACTTCCTTGTCGCAACGGTCGAGGCAGAGACCCGGGCATGGACTCACTATTTTGCTTGGATTGCTTGGAACCTGTTTGAGACATATACCATCCCCGGCGAGACGCTGACATAGAATGATAATGAAAAAGAAAAGAAAATAAAAGAAAAGAAATCAGAAGCGCAGTTGCATGGAAAGATGAGGTGGCTGTCCGAGCGGAAGTCTTGTGCGACGAGCCGAAGTGCTCTTCCGATCAGGTGGCTAAGAAAAAGCAGAAGATATACCATGTAAATGAATATACAAGAAAAGAAATAGAAAAAAAGAAAAAGAAAGAAAGAATGCATTAGTAGAATGTTTCTTTATTCTGATTTAGAAAAGTACAGGATAGGGTTGGTTACATTGAGTCTATATGGACAGTACTGACAGTACACTTTGACAGCCTCGAGGTATACAGTACTTAAACAGTATGTAGTTGCATACTTCCAAGTTTAGTTTCTATTAGAATGATCTCTTAAAGGTCTTGACAAGATACCCAATAAGAAATAAAGTGAAATAAAATAATTTGTCAATATCAGTATTGCATCGCCAGGACCACCTGCACATGTCGTCATCACAAGGCTGAGCTGAGCTGAGGAATTCCATGGATGTGATGTGTTGATGTACTGTCGATCACGGCGATCGGGATCGACATGCCATACTGCAACGACATACCCCCAATGTACTGTACCTGCTAGAAGTATTTGTATTTGAGATTTTAAATCAGCAGGTTCAAGTATCAAAGTGTAATTTCGAGGCACATGCACTTATTATCGTGCTGCCTAGAGCCCTAAGCTGGATGGGCGGCGTGTCTGTTGATTCTGCGACCTTTATTAACTAGAAAAATATAAAATAGAAATCAGAAATAATAATAATAATAATAATAATAATAATAATAATAATAATAATAATAATAATAATAATAATAATAATAATAATAATAATAATAATAATAATAATAATAATAATAATAATTTATAAACAGAGAAAAGCCAAACCAGCCACTTGCAATCCTTGACAGCCGCTCTCTAGCATGACAGCAGACACTAGACAGCAGACTACAAAAGCATGCTGAGATTTGTCTCTGCAGATGTGAAAAAAAAAAGAGCAGTGGTTTGTCCATCAAAGAAAGAAGAAGCCCACATAGAGCATTTACCAAGAAAAAATAAATAAAATAAAATAAATAATTTCATTAAATTGTTATTTTTATTATTATCGAAGAAAGCAAAAACTGCATAAACACCCGCCCATTACAATCCCAACCAACAAGCCCTGCAACGCAATCTCGACTAGGACCAGGACCGCCGCACAGAAAAAAACGGTTTCTGGTCGGCGAGCAGGGCGAATCGGGGATTTAGTATCTAGTAGGATCATGATCCTTGGATTATCTTGAATAGATTATGTTGGAAATGAACAGAACATTAGAATGACCAAAAAAAATGAAAGCTAAGTAAGTAACTGGTTTACTTCTCGTAATGGCATTGTTTCCCATGGCATTCTGTATGCTCCGGATAAAAAAAAAAAGAAGTAGATACCCAAAGAGAACCAAAAACTGCTGTGCTATTTTTCGCTGCACGCAGTATATGCCAATGCCAGCAGCCACCTTCTCAACACCATCGAACGTGGAAATCGGTGCAATCCGACGTGCAAGTGACGTGCAAACAGAACTTAAAAAAAGGTAAGAAAGAGACAAGAAAAAAATGACGTGAAAATAAGATTAAGACATAAGCATAGAAAGAGTCAAAGCCGAATGTCTCGGAAAATATCAATAAAGAACATAGAAAAGAACCTTGGAAAAAAGAAGAAGAAAAGCTATCAACCATTGCTCACGCCTTCCTGCACCGGTCCCATAACCCCATCCGTCCCATGATTTCCCATTGCTAAACGAGATCCTCAAACTCAGACAAAAGCAAATTGAAAATATTGCAGATTGAAATGAAGATAAAATGAAAAAAAAAAGATGAAAAAGAAAAGTAAAGAAGAGAAGCGAAGATGGAAATATGGAGAAGTGAAACCATCTAGGTGCACAGACTGTGCTGAATAGGGTCGTAACGGCCATAGGTCGAGTAGACCGGGTGATATCCACCAGAACCCGAGTGACGGGGCTGGGAGCTGGTAATTCCCGCAAATGTCGGGTCTTGGTACGGATCCGTAGTAGAGGTGGGTTTGATAGTGTCCATGGGATCCATGGTTTCATTCATCATGGTGTAGTCGAATCCGGACGACGAAGCAGACGAGATCAGTGGGCTATCGCTCAGGGGCGAGTGCTCGGCAGCGGCCATCTGGCGGTAGTCCGCCCTTCCATAGGGGACGCCACTGCGGTGCGAAGAAGAGTCGTACATGAAAAGGTGCGAAGGGGGGCCCGGCTGGCCCAGCACCGGAGGGAGGTTGCCCGCACTTCCATCGCCGCTGCTGCCGTCGGGGCCCATGCTGGCGGTGCTGTCGCGGCGCGAATCCTTGTAGTGGCCGGGCGAGCGGCCACGCACGACCATGGGGTGAGAGAGGCGACGTGCGACCTGCACCCACTGCGTCTCGCCGGCAACCGGGCCGGCAATCTCGGCATGGAGTTCCACCACCACGTTGAAGCACTGCTGCTGGGCACGGCGCTTGCCGTTGTTGGCCGTGGCCTTCTGGAACTGGATCCGCTCGAACATGTGGGAGGTGGGCGGCTGGCAGGGCTGTGGTGCCCCCGCGAAAGAAGAGTTGTAGTCCAGGGACTGCGAGCCAAGTGAGAAGCCGGTGTGAGTTCCATTGCCAGTCGAGTTGGCGGTCAGCGAAGCGGGAGGAGAAGGCTGAAGAATGACTCGCTCGGGCTTCCGCTCAGACTGCTTGTCTCGCTTCGGGGTGTGCTGCACAAGTTCACGGGTCTCTCCATACTGGCCGTTCACAATGGCAGAGATAGCCATGGAAAAACGGAAGATTCTCTCGAGGCTCTGATCATTCATGCGGATGTAGAGAGGGACGTTCGAAAGAAACGGGTGAAGAAGGAAGCTGCAGTTGACGGAAAAGTAGTTGCGGCGGTAGCAGGTCCACCGGCCCTCGAAAGGGAAGAAACCCCGGCCCATTTTGGCAAGGAGCTCAGGCTTGATAGTCTGCTGTGCTCCTCCTAGTTCCGCAACAATTGACTCAAGGACGCTCGTTTCTTCAAAAGGAGGAGCCTCGACCTGTGTCTGCTGCGAGCGTTGGGGGGTCTCCGAGACGGGATGCTGGAACAGACCATTGTGGCCCCGATCCACAGCGTTTTCAAGGATACGGGGCGTGCCCGAGTAGTGATAACTGCGAGAGACATCATTCATGCCCGTCAGTGGGGCCATGCCTCGACGAACAGCATATGATGAGGTCGAATATGCGTGGTTTCGAGCAATCAAGTCCGGAACGGAGTTTACGGTGTGACTTGGCATCTGCATTGCGTTGGACATCCCAACTGGGGGCTGGCTAAAGACTCCAACCATTTCCCATTAGCTTCCATACTTGAAAGGTAGAAAAGAAAAAGAGGAGATAGGACAAGACTTACAGATCTGGAGCACGCCGGAAATCCGGAAGTCTGTCGAAGGGTTGCTGATGCAAATGCGAGTACATGGGGCCAGTGGTGGGAGAGAATGAATCTGGTTATGATCACAATTGTCAGAGGACAGATGACTCGCATTTCGTTTGACAGAGAGAGGACATACCAGGGCAGGAATCTGGGGGAGTCATTGCAAGAGCACTTGAGCCAGAAAACCTAGAGGGACACACAAGAGAATTCAGCAAGGCATATCACTAAAAATCCTCCCTGCGCGATGGCCGGAGATAAAAAGCAGCCTCAAAACAATAAAGGCAGGGTCATTTGAGTGGAGATGCAGCACGGAGACCATGATGCGGGAGAAAGGAACGGAAAAGAGGACAGCAAAAACAGGCAATAGCCCCAAGCACACGAGCACAGATAATAAAAAAGGACAGAACATCGGAAGAAACGTATGCAGGCGGCGGATCGGTATGGAAGGTACAGAAACCGGCTGGACTAAAGTCCAAGCTGCCCGGACCCGGAGGAAGCGCAGCGACAAGGGGTGGAGAGGCTGCCCGAGTGGAGAGGGCAGTTCAGATTGAAAGGGAATAAAAAAAAAGATAAAAATAAATAAGAAAAAATCACTTACTGCAAATCATGCATAGCAGGCTGTGCATGGTACCTCACGCCGTTGGTGACAGGCATAGAGGCAAGTGCCCCGACTCGCTGGTTATCGTCCTCTGTCGGAAATCCTGTCACATGGGAACTGATATAGCTTCCATCTGATGTGACAGGACAATCCATAAAGGTCTCGGGCAGAAAGGGGGCTAGGGGATGCAGTGGTTAAAAACCAAGTCCACGAAAGCAGCAGAGCCATCCGCAATGATGACGGCAGAACAGCGCGAGCCCACAAAGATACTTACAGGGATTCATCTTGATTGTGCTGATGCTAGGTGCCTCGAGGACCCTGAGGCGTGGTCAACAGAGGTAACACCAACGAGGCGTCAAAGCTGTCTGGCCTTGTCGTATTGAGTATGGCAAGGGTAGATTGTCTAGAACAGTCAAGTTAGTGACCAGTCTCTTCAGGCGGGCTATGCGTGCTGCTCACAACACTCGCCGTGCTGTGGAGGTCTCCAGAGAGTGTCTGTGGTCTTGTTGAGGCAGTGGGTTTGGAGGCGGCAAGAGAGAGACAAGCTGGTGGAGTCGCGCCGGGATATCACCCAGGGAGCTTGTCCGGAAGGAGAGAAGTCTTGTCAAGTAGGAAATTTTGAAAACAGGATGGGGAACAAGGACAAAAAAGATGGGGGTGGAAGAAAGTCACCAAGAGGGGATGAGTAGAAGAAGAAGAGCATGTTTCAAGTGAGGTCTCTGCCTTATTGACAGCGCTAGAGCGTCGCGCGACGCTGACTCGGCGAAAAAAAGGATGCGTCACCGGTTGGTAGACATGACATCCTATTTAGGGATCCTCACAGGTGGGTCATGGGCTCTGTTCTCGGCGTCATTGGCAGCAATCGGGGATCTGAGTGCACCATAGCCTAGAGATCTCAAGAGTCTGCAGAGCTTAAGATGACATTGGGGCTCCGGAATAAGAAAAGCAAAAAGAAAGAAAATAAGAAAAAGAAAAAAAAGAGACGAATACAATCAAACAAATCACAAGAGGAAAAAGATCCCAAAAGAAATAATAAACCAAAAGGGAAAAGAAGAAAACTTACTGATGTAATCCAGTGTGACAGTGTGAACAAATCAAGCCGGCGCGGGCATTGATGGGCAGAGTTTCTTGCATGTATTGCAGAAGATCCCCAAGCTTTGCCAACCGTGGACTTAGGGCATGAAGTGCCAATGCAAAGGAAAATGGAATAATTTCTATTGCAGGTCGGGGAGGTTGTGGCTGGGCTGATGTTGAGAAATAGAAAGAAAAAAAAAAGAAAAAGAAATAGATCCTGCATGGAATTGATATTGGATCTCAGGGTTAGTATCCAGAGATCCTGGTTGATTTTCCCCAATACCCCCCAGAAGTATACCGTTTAATTTCGCCACGAGTTGGTGGGAGCCCTGCCAGGGACGAAATACGTTGTATTCGGCAAGGCGACAATGGGTGGCAGCAGCCACTTTGCATAGGGGTCCAACCATAATGATCCGGGCAAGATCCATCTTCCTTTGGGGCGATCTTGGATTTGTTATTTTCTTTTCTTTTCTTTTTCTCTTTTCCTCCCCTTTTGGCCCCTGGGCCTGTTCCGGAAGGCAATAAAGCACTGGAAAGGAGGGGGGGGGGGGGGGCAAAGACTCCATAGTAGCATCGAATCATTGGTCCAAGCTCCAAACAGTTTGATTGTTCAAGGAGCATGGCATTGGTTGAACTCCCCATGTTACGTGCCCTGGGAGAACCCGATGCCGGGCTGCACGGACTGTGGGTACTGCAACGACCCTCTGGATGTATTTTCCATTACACGCCGATGAAGTCAGATGTCCCGGCGTGAACACCCGACAGACGGGACGCTGCAGGAAAAACCAAATAAGATGAAACTAGAAAGGATAGAGGAGATGATCAACCGGGATATCCGTGCAGAGTCTCTCCCCCCCCTAGTCGCATCACAAAAGGTGGTTGATGTATCAGACTTTTTTTGTCAGATCCCCAGGCCAATGGTCAGCCAACCCAAGGGAAATCGATGTCGAGTGGGAACAAGACAGGGAATAGAATGTCCTGGGAGTGGTCCGTGGTCATAGACTGGGAGGCCTGTCGGAGTGGTCCCGGCAGTGAATGTTATGGAATATTGAATATTATTGCCTTTCCCCCCACCCTCCTTCCTCTAGGAGGCTCGAGGCACGAGCAATGGTGCTTGCATGAGAAAAATATTGCAGAGCAAGCGATCGGCAATTTTTTTCATCCATGCTGCATTGACAGTGTTGGCCATGCATTCACCGACAAAATCCAGCAGGCAATAAGGCAGTAACTGCGAGTTGATAATTGTACCGGGGTCATCGAATTCCACAGTATGGGCAAGCTCTGATCGCACCGGGCGCTCATTTGGAATCCAGGTAATAATGCCCCGAGTAAGAAAAAAAAAGGGGCTCCACATGGATGCCTAAAAACAACTGCAACAGAAAGTGAAAAAAAAAAAAAAAAAAAAAAAAAGGTGTGTCGACCGGCAAGTGCTTCCAGAATGGAGATTTAGGACCCACAGCGAAATTGAAACATCGAAGGGGGGGGGGGGGAGGAGGGCTCTGGAATCATAGATCCAAAGATCCCAGTCACCATGAGTGGGCCCCAGTCCTGATCGTGTCGGGAACCGCATTAGTGGCTGGGTGATCGGCCATCCTGCAGGAAGCTAGTCGGCTCAGATGGTGAAGCGCACACTGGAAATGTACTCTCCAGCTCCTAATTGGTTGATCAAGGCCAAGATCGATTTGTACTGGAGACCAAGGGTGACGGGGATGGTATGTTGTGCAGCTCCCCTCCCATGGAAAAGGCCGTGCTTGCACCAAAGATAATCCTAGATGTAGGATTAATATCCATTTCTGGCTCGACCACAGAGAAAAACCACTCAATGGAGTTGATTAAGGCTATCGGGGAGGAAGTGACAATGATGGCATGGTGTGGATTTGATCAAAGGGCGATGATCTCCATTCCCGCGGTGGCACGTGCACCAGGCGGTGAGCAGGTGCTTACATTGTTGCTGGACCTTGTATATGGCAAGTACTGGAGACATTTCTATAGATACCAGTACTTTAATTTACATCTTTGGTAACTATCATCATAGTCATAATATGGTTGCGTGGATGGTAGATGAGAGTCTGATCTATATGGAATTATCGGGGCCAGTACATACATGACCTTGAGATCGACCCGTGACGGTCTCCACCCTCTCCGGCCCCACACTTGTTTGATCTATCACACTCCCCCGAGATGTTGATGCCAATGGCATGAGATACATAAAAAGAGAAGAAGGCCTTGAACACAAAATGTCCGACTTCGTGCGGGGAGTCCAACAAGCCCTATCAGGTACCCGGCCGCTTGTCACTGCAGGTACCTCTCATCCTGAAGTGTAATTCCTTTTCGATGCACTAATAATATCCTGATTTGAGTTTCCTAGTGAAGAGGAGTTGAGCAGAAATGCAGGAGCTCATTAGCCTAACCATGGTTTCCTTTGCTTTCTTGCATGCAGCTCTGTCCATGCTACCATGGGAATGCAAGAAAAAGCAAAGCCCCCATGTCTAAGACAATTCTTGACTTCGAACCAACTTTGGAAAAACAACAACCCCAGTCTGTCTTAAGACACATGCTCTTGCTTTCTCTTGTCAGAGAGATCTGGCTGCCTGTCAGTGGCGGGGGATGATTGATATCTCGACGCGAGAAGACCTTTGTACGACTCCCGACCCATTCGCACAACAAATCGTGGTCCATCCCGCAGCGTCCATGCCTGGAATGCACCTGGCCGGAAGACCTCCCCAAACTCTGACCGGGAAAAGAAAGACAACCTGACCTGCAACTGTCAGGCGACAGAAATGTCTTCATCGGGGAGATCGGGAAGAGACTTGACCCTCATTTATTTTGCCTTCGGGCGCATACAATGCCAATCCATTGGCCGTCGAGAGGACTACCAGGGTGCGATATTCTAGACTGTCATTTGTACCCTGGTCTTTCTTGATGATTCCAGCCCCGGTATGCCCGTTGACCTAGGATCTTTTTTTTTTTTTTTTTTTTGATTATGATTTGTTTTGACTTTTTCACTTTTCATTGACCATACGATGGGTCCGACATCCGATGTCTGCAAAGCACGCCCAACTACACCCCTACGCGAGTCAAGTGCAATTCCCGGGCCCGGATTCTCTTCGTGTCGGCATCTGAAAGGATTCCTACCCAAGCTTCTCCAGCTTGGGGGCTCGAGCCGTTGACCTTCTACTTCTGGTTCCGTTGATCCACCGGGGAAACCCACGGCACTCGAGAACCTGGTCCCTGGCAATTGACTTTTGCAAAGGCCCAGCCGATCACACTCTACATGTCTCGACCTCTTGTTTTCACGCGAGTTTATACCCCCGACGATCTCGTTCGCGTTGGCTATATGGATATATGCTAGAGAAGGGTATCCACGTTCCTTCTCGTATTCACATTGAGTGGTCAGTTCATCCTTCGAGATTCAATGCTAATTCCATCTACAGCGTGACTCATGGTGTTGGCGGGCCCGAACACAAGGTTGAGTGGTTGTTACCTGTGTATAACGTATTGCGCCGGATGACGGTTACCTCCTGTGACGGTTGACCTGACTGCTGTTAGTCCCGCTGCAATGGACTAGATGGTCCTTGCCGAAACGAGATCAATTTCGCCTCCTCAGCCTCCCCTGTCTTTTCTGTCTCTCCTCCCTGTTCCAGGGGCTGGAGGGAAGTTTTCATTGGCAGCCAGAGCCGTCCTGTCACTCCAAACCTTGATCAACCTGGATCTACAACCCGGTACCCTCGATACTGTAGCGCCGATTGGATTACGACCAAGACAGGAGACTTTCGCTGACAAAGAAACAGAGAAAGAATCCCCACAACCAGACCAGGGGCGGAGGAAAAGTCTCGCAAGGCTTTTTTTTCGGAGGGCAAATGATCCACCGCTAGTCCCAATACCGGCCGAATTCTCGGAAGGAAGCTTTGTTGGCTGGGTGGTATAGACATGGCCTGAATGCAAGAACCATGCAAGACCCGCTTCCTTCAACGCCTTTTTTTTTTTTTTAATTTCATTTCCCAGCCATGTGTTTGTTTCTTTGGAGGGGGTGGAGTCTATCTCTCCCTCCCTCTCTGTCTCTGTTTTTTCCTTTGCAGCTACCAATTCCCTCAGCCTGCTGCCGGAACAATCCCTGACTCCCTGACAGCCGAACCGACCAACCCGGGCTCATCCCCGAGTAGCACGGAAGAAAAGAAGAGCCAACCAAAGCAACCAAAGCAACCAAAGCATGCTTTCCCAGCAACGAAGCCGTGACGTTTGCTGATGAAGACTTGCCTTTCTCGGTGGAATTGTCTCGATTGTCTCACCATCCCTCTCTCTCTACTCTTCCGGTATGACTTTTTTTTACTGGGAGATGATCTTTCTCTAGACCATGTCACTTGGAGAGAGGGACATCGGGAACAAGTCACGAACGCCTTTCACATGTGTGGATGTGTGGATGGCTGTCATACTGGCAGCCGCAGTGGCGGAACAAAAAAAAAAAAAAAAAAGAGTGGTGACCTAGTGATATTTCGAGGGAAATCATGAAATCAGAGATCAGAAATCATACATACATTCTTTTATTCTTTTCCTTTTTATTATTATCAATTTTACCAATTTGGCCCTTGTCAATCAGTGGATCACCCGGAGGACCAAATGCCGGAAAACTAGGGTAAGCTTTGCAAGGCTGGCCTTTTTTTTTCCCTGCTCTAAATGAAACGTTGATGCTACGCTATGCAACCCGATTTGGTGGGAAATTAAGGAGAAAAGGAGGGAAACTTTGTTATTCCTTTAGGTGGAGGGCCCCCATTTCAATAGATCGGCTGTTGTGGAGGCTCTCATGTTGATCTGGGGCGTTCGATGTACCAGGGCGCAGGGACTAGGGTTATGGTTCCATCGCGGTCTTTGTCAGGCGAAAAGGACGATATTTCTCTCTCAATTGAATAATATTCAACAAAAATTGAATGTTGAATGAAAAATAAAACTAAAATTCGTAGGGGTGCATCTGACCGTGGAGCAGATTCTATGGCCATACCATCTCTCTTTTCTTTTCTTTTCTTTTTTTCCCCCCTTATTCTGCTTGTCCGCAATCAATTTGCCAGATGACAGGAGTCATGCTGGACACGAAGTTTTCTTTTTCTTTCTGCCCCCATGGTCATCCCGATTCTGGGACAGCAGGATTCTAGGAGTGGGACTATGCCAAGTAAACCATGTGGGAGTGTGTTTTTAGTCCAGGAAGAAGAAGGATTCTCCAGCCTCGGGACTCTATAGATCCGACCAGCCTCATGGCGACTCCATCGAGCAACCATAGTTTGGGGGCCCTTCGGATGCAGCGCCGTTGGGGGATCCGGATATTCTCGGTGAGTGAATGTGGTACCGAGGGTGCATTGGACAGATAGACAAAGACGGTGTGGAGTAAAGAGTAATTGATCAAGGTCGACCATGCAAAGCTACTCTTTTGACCAACAATCCCGAATTCAGTGGGTTGATTCCCCTACGGAGTATGGCTGATCTTAAACCAGCGATGCACATCTCTAAAACCATTGCTTTTGTATAAGACTGACGAATGCAAGTAAATGACATGGATGTCTTTTCAGAAATCATCATTAATCAGGTCATACAGTACAAAAGAAAAGAGCTAGAGCCAAACATGAGGCCCGCCTGATGAGAAGAAAAGAATCCAGCCAAAGATGTCGTAAAAGAGAAAATGAAATTCGAAAGACGATGTCTAGGTCGACCGCTTGGCAAACTCGACGCGAAGAATCAGGTGTCGGTAACCAACTGCAAGAAAAGAAAAAAAAAAGTGTCAGTACTCAGGAGCCAACTTGATATCAAGGACAAAAACTTACAGCCGTCCACTTTCTCGCAGGCCAGCGCCGCATCGCCCCGATCCGCATAGCTGATAAATGCGAAGCCCTTGGCCCGCTGGGTTTCTCTGTCCCGGGCCAGGAAGACTCTGGTGACACGGCCGAACCGCTCGAAGAGATCCCGCAATTCCTGTTCCTCTGCCAACTCGCTGACCTGTGCGTCGAAAGAGAAAAGAGATTAGAAAAATGGAATCCAAGACCAAGTCAAGTAGGAGTAAACGTACGTTTGTAACTCGCAAAGTCGCCAGATCGTCCTTCTCGAAACGGCCACCCATCTTCTCGCCACCACCAGCACCACCCTTCCGCAGGTGAGGCGGCACGTAGCTGGACGAGCCGCTCCCCAGAGCGCCAGCCTTGTCTTCGTCCGCATCTCCGCCAGCACCGCTCGTAGGCTCCTCGACGGGGGCCATGGTGTCCTTGAAGGGACAGCGGGCCGTAAAGTGCTCGCCACTGCAAATACGACACTTGACCTTCTTGTCCTTGAGCTGGTCCTTCATGCTGCCCTTCTCGCCGCCATCCTTCTCGGCCTCCTTAGCCTGCGCCTTCCAGTTGATGCTGGGCCGGAAAATGATGTTCTCGCCGACCGAGGTGGTGTCGAACGAGGGTCCCGCGGCGTGGCCCTTCTCGAGCCCGAACTTGGCCCACGACCGGCGCTCGGCGACCTGCGGGTTAACATTTTCGCGCACAACGGTGGTCTTGATGCGGCGGGTGACCTTGACTTTCTTGTTCTCGTCGTTAAACCGGTAAGAGATGACCGTCTTGGTGCCGTCTTTGTTGGTGATCACTTGTTGCGCGGGGAGTGCGGAGGGGTCGTCGAACTCCTCATCGTCGGCCCAGTCGGCACGGCTAGAATTTCGAGGATTTTTGTTAGTTCAAAATTTCACGGAGGTTTTACTGAGGTAGATACTGACTTTCCGAGTCGAGACATGGTGTTGGGGGTTGCTGGTGTAAACTGCAGCAGAATTTCTGGATTTCTTTGAAAGGCGAATCCGTTGTGGATTTCCTCGCCGCCATTTTACGTGTGGCGCAGCTGTGGCTGGTTCCCTATACAGTCACGTGAAATTGTTCCTTTCCGCTTCTATCCATCTGCGATTGAGAACAGCTCATATTCGAATTCCATTCAATAATATAAGAAGATGTGAAGTGTGGGTTGCAGAAAATCTGGGAAAATTCGACTTGGCTACCCTAGGGCTACGTGACCCCTCGACCTTTAATATGTGTTACAAAAGAAAGAAAGGGAAAAAAAGAGAGAGTGAGAGAAGAGGTAATTATAAAAATAGATTAGAAAAGGAATAAGAAAAGGAATAAATTATCTTAAGAGAGGGAAACAACAATAATAATAATAATAAAATAGCAGTAGTAAATAAACATCTATATATCTAATAAAGAATAGGACCTCTGAAATAGGATACAACATAGAATAAGCCTTTTAAATCTAACTTTTATTCTCTACTACATCTTTCAAAGCCGCCTGAGCGAAGCGAAGGTCAGACGCGTGTTTCTGTATTCTCTCATTTCTCTCAGCTCCTTTTTTTCTCTCTCTGTTTTCTTTTGTTCTTTTGTGCAAAACTCTCCTAAGAAACATGTTCCATTCGCCATCTCATCTTTCTCCCTTGCTCAAACTTGCCAGTGTCGAAACACCAGTGCTCCGCCGGAAACGAGAATGCCTGACTGAACATCTTCAGACGTATTCGACCTTGACGCCTCCGTGATTTTTGCCCTCAAACCAGAGTGAATATTCACAATGTGCTGAGTAGTAAGTTGCATGGATCTGAAAGGACACTTCGTAGTAGTCCTCTCTATCTTGGCCGCGAACAACCGGAATGCGGCTGCTGAGAATGAAGTACAGCATGTTGCTTCATATCTGGCAACACCAATGGTTAGGAATATGGGTTTGAAAATATCGAGCGCCCTACTTACGACGATTGAAGTACAGCGGCGCCGTGGTCCCATCTGTTGCGTCCAGCTCATAGAGAGTAACGTAGATTGATTTGAATTGACCGTATTACTTGAGCTGTTGCTGCAACCAGAAAGTGATGATGGGCTGTGCTTCTTTGATGTCGTCGCCCTGGTTGTCATCAGCACTTTTATTTTTATATTCTGTATCATAGAAGGAGGTAAAGGGCCCTCGCCTTTTCATAAACCACTTGGTCGCATTGATGTAGTACTTCCCGTAGAACTCACTCCAGTATCTAGATGTTTCAGCCGAGGGATCACACCTGGAAATATGATAGTTACTTTTTTTGCCTGGTCATGGATGGATAGATCGAAAGGACTGGACGCAATTATTCCATAATTCTTCCGGGCAACACCAGAGTCAACAGAAACTTGGGGGACTATAGAACAAGTTTCTGCCAGAGTTTTCGCCAGAGCGTCTCTGGCAACAGCTGTCCAGCCATCAACAAGCGCAATAACGGTGATCACAGAGACAATCTTCCGGAGATACCGGCAGAGAAATGGATTTTGCCCGAAGCCACCAATCAGGAAGACTGATTTGACACGGTTCTTTGATATCATGATCTGAAGGTCCACCAGGTCGCGAATCTCTTGCAGGACTGGGAGAAACAGATCATGCATCTCTTTCCCTGTGACGCGAAGATAACCCCGTCAGACGCCAAGGTCTTTGTTGTCAGCAATTCCTGGAACCGGGAACACAAAGTCATCGATGAGATCCCCAGCAAATCTTCGCTTGGCAACTGTTTCAAAATCCAGCATGGCTTGCTCTATGGTGTCACTTTCCCAGCCTTCACAGTAAGACAATCGCCTTTGAAGGAAATCTTCAAATCGTTTGTCCAGGAAAGTACTGTCGCTAAGTCCTCCTGCACCCGGGGCCGCTTCCTGGAGGCGGAGAGTCGGTCGAAGCTCAACAATCGTGAAGGTGATCAAGTCCACCATTCCCACCCTTGCATCACAAAGAACGATTGTATCATCAATCTCCAGGCCATGCGGATTGCTAGCCTTTAGCACATGAATGACCGTAGCCTCCGGCTCAGAGATGATGCGAATATTAGACGCTGCCCCCAAGCCTGCCTCTTCTGCACATGTAAGGGTTTGAGCTTTTGCCTTGTCTAAGGTAAATGTCATCGAGTCAAAAACCAGCCGACCTGGGAGTTGAGAACCTGTGAGACATGCTGCAGTAGAGCACGAAGGTAATCAGTGACAACAGTCTCTGGGGTTGCGTGATGAGGATATTCCATTCACCTGGAATCGTGGTGTTTGACGGACAGAGAGGTTCTTAGGTGGGGCTTTTGTTCAGGCTCAAGATACAGCTTGATCCACTGGAGACGTGGCATAGCCTCGGGAATTTGGAAGCCCCAGATGACTTTGGGCGTAACGCCATCATAAGTGAAGGCGACTTCGGTTGGCACCTTCTCGCTTGTCATTCCATCGATGAAGCTAGACACGCTGCTAGGCCATTGATTGATGATGTAGTGCTCATTTGGCTAAACCACTTATGTTAGTGATGGCAAATATTAAGGGGACATAACTCACGTTGGTCACTTGGGCCCATGCTACACCCGAAAAGGTGGTCCCGAAGTCTAGTGCCACAACAATAATGCACGCGGTTGTTTGTTTTTTTTTTTTGGAAGAAAATAAGAGAAGAACTGTGTGAGAAAAGACCCCAAGATGGATTCTTTGACATCTACATATCTTTTCAGGGGTAGCGCAGCGGAACTCGGTGCAATTGATTTCCGCTGGATTTCTTTTTTTCATAGATCCCAGTAACCCTGGATATCAGACCCACTTTATTGGGTCTCTGCCAATCAGAGCATCGTGTTTCCGAAAACTCGGAATGCCAGATCAAGACAACCTCAATGGCAACATCCAACGCGGCCATGCTGGCATTTCTAAGCAGTTTCTTAGAAAGTCCTCGAACTAGAATTTGGTCATGGTTAACTCTGACTATTTTTACATGGCGAAGGGGATGTATTATGAATTCTTCGGCTACTACTAATGTGAATACATGGACACCAACCGAGGCACAATCAATCCAAGATCAGAAGAAAATAAGTATTCCCATGAGATAGTGGTACTTGAAAACATTCCACTATTATATATTGTAACAGCATATAACAACCAATTAGATCTACCTACCCACCATCCGGATCTCAATCGGCCTCAATATACAATACGAGACAGCCGCAAACGAGAACCCCAGCTCAAAACCCACGTCTCCACCAAACGGAAGCTCGCCCGCGTGTTGGGCAATAGGCCCAACCCACCACGACTGACTCATACCAGTGACCATACCAGCGACACCAAAACAGAAAGCAACAGACGCAGCAAGACCCATAGGCAACTTGCCGCGCTGATCATACAGCTCCGGGCAGTATCCACCGAACCCACGCTTGAAGACAAAGTGGTCGGCGACAGCAATGCCGGAGTAAATGGCTAGCCAGTAGGCAATGAAGTTCATAAAGTTCTGGAGAACAGTTTCGAAATGCGAGTATCCCGGGATGGCGATGGCGAGAGAGACGCATGACGCCAGGAACACCCAGATGAACCGCGGCACGCGCTGCGTGTACCGGCTCATGACTTGCAGAGTCAGCGAGACCGAGTAGATGTTGGGGCAGTTGTTGGCAATGATTGACAGCGCCAGGATCACCAGACAAAACTTGCCGAAGCCACCCAGCGGCTCGAGGACGGCGCCGAGTAGGCCCCCGTTGACGGAGGCTGCGTAGCCGGCTGCGTACTTGTTGTGCCCGTCGTTGAGATCAGTGGCTGTCATGACGGCGATGCCGAGGAACTGCGTGAAGAGCAGTGGGGGAATTAGGCCGAGCCAGGTCGCGAGGAATACCTTGCGACGGCTTCGGTCTGACGGTTGGTAAACTGTGTAGTCGGCGGCGTAACTGGTCCATCCTGTTGCGAAGCCATACACCGTTGACCCGAAGGAGAGGCAATTGCCCAGCTCCGATGTCCCAGCACTCATGGGGAGGTTGAGGAAATCTCCCGAATGAGCAAATGTGCCCATGACAATGATGAAGACAATGAAGGTCGGGATCCAGCTCCAGTACTCATAAATATGCACGACCTTATACCCGGCGAAAGTGATAAAAAGGGTGCAGAAGGTGATGATGAGAATGCCAGCGAAACCGGGGACGTCCGTGTTGACCGCGTTGAGCAGCTGGGCACCCACGATGGCATTGGCAGCCGACCAACCAATACAGGCCAAGACGTTGAGGATGGCGACTGCAGAGAAGTCCAGGGTTAGCGTCGCTCGCAGCAACTTGCTCAGAACACCTACTGAATTTCACAGCCCACCATCCAAACCAGAACCGCGACAGCACCATCTGACGCAATCCAAAGGCCGGCCCAAAGCACGAGAAGAAGCAGACCGTCAAGACACCCAGCAGGTTAAAGAAGAGACACACCAGGATCGCGTCCACAAATCCCAGGTAAAAGAGGGATTTGCCGAGAACGCCGATGGCGAACGAACTGACGACCATGTTTGCCGCCAACCACTAGGTCCAGTCAGTGGGATAGGTCTTGCAGTGAAATCCTGAGCTCAGGTCTGAAGAACCCACCATGCTGCCAATATTGAAATAGGATGTATCTGTCCTCTCGCTCTCCGGCACTCGCTCGATACCTCGCTGTTCGATGTTGAACTTGCCGGCCAGGCGCTGGACCTTTGCATAAAGCGAGTTGCCGTACTCGAAGCTCTCGCCGGGGACAGCATGGTCGCTGATGTGGTCTTCTTCGTTACTATTGGTAGCATAGGCATTGTCCACCTGAGGAGCCTTCTCCAAGTCCTCGTCTGCCCCAATAGGTATCGTACTGGATTTTGAGGCCATCGTTGGAAAGCCGCACTCCACGATAGAGGCAGTCCGATCGGGGTAGAGAGCAAGCAAGTAAGAGAAGAAAATCCCCAGGGCTCACGTCGAGTTAAAAAAAAAAAAAGGTGATGATTTTCCGGATGCAAACCAGCAAAAGAAAATGCACAGTCCCATTTTCTCTTTTCCTTGGGAGCGCGCTCTTTATATCTTTGCGACGCCCAAATCCTCGAGTGCGCGTCGGTCCACTCGCGATCTCCAGCGTGGGCCCGTTGGAACACTTCCAGAAAAGAAGCAAATGACAAGCCTTTTTGCCCCCATCTCGCGGGGCTTGTTGGCCAATAAACAGTCGGGTTGGTCTTGGCTTATCACTCGCTTGAGCCGGGCGCATTGGCCGAGATGATAAGAGACGGTGGGAAGTAGCCGGTACTGTGCGCCCTGCCGTGTGTATCTGGCGTGTGTCTGGTACCTAAAAGGATAAGAACCCTCTTATCGCCGACAGGGGGTTCTCAGTCGGCTTATTGGCACAGAATTTCAATCAATCTAGTGCAACCTTCGGATCTTTACTAAGTCAAGATTTTCTGAGACGGGAGACGCCGATGTGCGGGAATCTCGAGTGGAAAAGTTGCGGTTTTCGCCTCGCCCTCAGCCATTTTCCTGGTGCTTCGACCCCTTGCGGATGTTGTTTGCAGAGCTCATGCAGGGAGTCACAATGGTCAATGCTCAGATAGGGTTCTTGCAGGAGGAACATTATTTCTCGGCTGCTAACTCCTGGTTGCTGTCAAGGCCTCAGCTGGACACTGGCGAGGAAGGTGATGGCGAGGGACGGCTGTCCATCAATGCACCTCTCAATACAGAAGGTTCATGCGGACGCTGAAGACACACAGCGGTGGCTTTCTCCGGAACTTCATCTGCTGGGCTTGAGGCCTCATTGCGCAGCGGAGATCACAAAATACCCCGGATCGGTCGATCAGCCCGCTCGTGTCAAGTTCAACCGGGGCAAGCGACTGGCAGCCCTTCAGTCCTTCCCCGGGGCCATGCCGCATGGCCCCGCAAACAGGTCTCGGGGGGCCGGTAATATATAGGAAAAGGCGTTAAGTCTAGAGAAATATATTGTGTTAAATAAAGAATTTTAGTAGATGTAGTAAGTATAATAAGTCATTAGTCTTGCGGTTATTAATGGTCTAGAAAGAGCCCTAAGACTCGGTATAGGGTACTTCTCATCTCTCTCTCTCTCTAACCCCCTATCAGAGGTCAGATCCGATCTACTTTATGTGTCTATATTGGGGCCGGAAACAACGGTTGAGACACATTCAGCTAAAGATAAATTATTTAAGACGCTGGTTCCCCGCGTGTAGGAGCATTAGTGATTTTTGTTTCTTTCTCTACCGACTATCCTATTTTCCTCCCTCCTTCTTGCTCTTCTCCTGTTCACGAACAGCTCAGGAAACCTATTATGGCAGCCCACAAAACCATGAAGGTCCTCAGCCTTATGCTCCTGGGTCTTATGACCGCCTTATCCGCAGAGGCCTGCATAGCCGGTATGTGCCCCTTATGATACTCTAATATATATATATATATATAAACCCCCGAGCTAGATAGTAAGGATACTAACCAGTTTTGTTATATGGCTACATAGACGGGAAACCAGGCTGCAACTCGAACCAAGACTGCTGCGGCAGCAGTATCTGCTCGGGGAGTTCGTCTCCAAATGGCCCGCCGTCGACGTTTTGCATGTCATAGTAGTGATTAATTTGTGTCGAGAAAAGAGAGAAGGCAGAATAATTCTGATGTTCAAAATGCATCACCGACGGTTACATTATGAATTAAATGGGAATGTGTTTAAAAAGATGTCTTTTAGGTGTGCTCTTAGTAGAGCCCTCAGCAGGTGCGACGAGTTGATATCTTTTTCAATTTTTTAGTTTCTTTTCCAACTTATATTCACGTATCTATCGTCTATGAATTATAATAATGGCCTTAAAATCCTATAATGAGAACACCCCTACTGTATAATATAAATAGAGAGATAATAATCTACTTTTACTCTATGGGCTACATCTAATTTACTCTATTAGGAATCGTGTCCACGGCACTATTAGTCATTAAACAGGTATTCGTGGACTAATTTTGAACTCGGGCAAATCACTAGCTCTTGACCTTCCCAGGGGCCGCCGCACTTTGCAAAGGCAAATAAGTGAAATCTACAGAAATATATTAGAATATAGTCAATGAAGAATCTTTGTAGAGGGAGTAAGTATAATAAGAGTATAGTCTTATAGCTATTAATAGCCCAGAAAGAGCCTTGAGGATAAGCTGAGTTACACTCGGTATAGGGTGCTTCTCTCTTCTCTCTCTAAGTCCGATCTACATGCCAATATTGGGGGCGGAAATAACGGCTGGGACAAATTCAGCTGGAGATAAATAAGACGATGATTCCCCGCGTCCCACTGGTGTGCATTGGTGATAATTTTCTACATTTCTTCCCCTTCTCAATAACACCTTAGGAAACCCATTCCAACAAAACCATGAAGATCCTTAGTCTTATGCTCCTCGGTCTTATGACTGCCCTGTCCGCCGAGGCCTGTATAGCCGGTATGTGCCCTTTACAATACTCCAGGTGAAAAGAGAGAAAGAAAAAGAAAGACCAGAACTAGATAGACGGAATACTAAATGGTTTTGCTACATGGCTACAGACGGGAAACCAGGCTGCAACTCAGACGAAGACTGCTGCGGCAACAATGTCTGCTCGAAGAGTGGGTCTCCAAGGGGCCCGACGTCGACGTTTTGCTCGTCACCGGCGTGATGAATTTGTGTCGAATGTGTTGAAAGAAGAAGAAAACAGGCCAATTCCTGTGTTCAAAATTCTTGGGCAGTACCGATGACCATGGCATAGATTGAATGGGGTTGTGTTTACAGAGAAATCTTTGAGGTGTACTCTTGCCAGAACCCTTAAGCAGATTCGAAGAATTGATTTCTTTTTCAAATTATGCTCGTGTTTATCGTCTATGAAACTTTGAGAATGATCTTGCCATCCCATAGTGAAAACACCCTACTATATAGTGTGAGGATAGAGAAATTTTTGATTCTACTCTATCTCCGTCTATCTTACTATATTAGGGATCGTGTTCATAGAGATATATTATAATACAGAAAACAAAGAAGTTTAGTAGAGACAGTAAGCATAGTATTCAGGCTCTCTTAGTATGGGTAGTCTTACAATTATTGATAGCCTAGAAAGATAGTGGCGAATAGTAGATAAATAGAACACAGTAGATGTTTTGGCTGCATATGAGAGAGGGCTGACATTAGAGGAAATCACCGAGAGATATTCTTGGCTATAGTTATAACCTTGCAAGTATAAGAGTGCCCCAGTCACGGGTTGTCTGCCTAAATCTCCATCCTTAGCCAAGGATCAAATTGGGTTGCACGCCACCGAGGCTCATGGATCGACAGTTAGGGCAAGGCTGCTGGACTGGCTGGCCCTATGAAACAACAATATCGCAATCCTTCCCCCACGGCTGCCTGGGAGGCTGATCTCAGAGGGCTCCACTAACCACTCAACGACATGATTTAGGAAGCTGCCAGAGTGGAAAAGAAAGTACAGGAATAACACTTCTCGCGGCAATCCTCTTTATTTCTTCTTATACAACAACCTCACACAGAAGAAACCTTACATAATGACCGAGCAACTCAGCGGTCGCATCACCCCCGACCCAGTGTTGACCAAGGGAAACACAGACAAGAACACACTAGTGATCGCCATCTTAACATATCTCGATGAGGCCAGCGAGGCAGAGCTCGTCCAGCACTTTCAAGAGATATTGGGCGACAGCATCAAGATCCACACATGGAAGCCATCGCGATCATTGCTGCAATCCATCGCCAAGCAAGGCCCCCACCTGGACAGCCAGGCCAATTTGTATGCACTGGCAGTCCTGGCCTACCGGTCTGAGCGATCAGCCTTCCTGGTCGCAGACGAGCTGACCAGGCGTCAACTGACGGGGGAGCGCCGCGTGGGCGAAAGCGATTCGATCTCGGTGGTGATGATATCGACCAAGCCGCAACCATCGACAGCCGCGAAGCAAGATGATGAAGTTATCATTGTCGCCAAGCGTACCAATGGTGATGGCAAAGAGATTCAAAAGCTACTTGAAATGCCGCTGGAACCCCTGAGCATCAATCCACAGGCTCGCGATATCGAGATGTTCCTACGGACCTCGTGTGGATTGGCGCTTCACGATCCGGATCGAGCTGTGCTTACTGCCGACACAGCGTCGTCACTGGGTCGAGAGAAATACTCGGGCGCCGTGGCCGAGGCATTGTCCACATCCCGTCGAGGCCTACCCGTGGAGCTGGTCACGGATATCGTCTCACGAGCAGACAGCGACAGCATGACAGAACTGGTCCAAATGCCGGTATGGGAACGCGCCATGAGCTATCAGCATTTGGTTATCTTTCTCTTCTTCCCCGCCAGCGAAGACAAGCTGCACAAAACCCAGTCGATAATCCAGGATGCAGTGCGAAAGCACGCTGCAACCAAAAAGCCAAATCGCCAGAACACCACGGTAGAACTGATTCCATGGGAGCGGCATCGTCTCGCATCTCGACGGAAGCTAGCGACTTTCTACAATGAATACCGACACTGGGTTGACCCCAACACGAGGATGGACCGGCCGCTCCATTTTCTGCGCGAGCCCATCCGCGGCATTGACTCGGCTCAATTTGGGAGTGTGTTTTCACGCTACGAACTGTTCCCGTTCGTGAGACAGAATTCCCTGGAAGGGCTTGTCACAAAAAACTGGACATCGGACGATAATCCTGACGAAGAGTCGGAAACCTTGGACATCAACAGCGCTGAGAATCTCTCGCACCCTGACGAGCCGTTCTATTACAACCCTCCGCCCTGGATGCCGTCCGGGTCGCAGGAAGAGGAAGAGACAGAATTCGAGTGGCTGGCTGCGTTCTATCTCACCAACCAATTGACCAAAGAACAAGATGAATCCATCCAAACAGAGCTCAAAACCAAAAACGATATTGACGAGGACTTCGAATGGGTCAAAGAAATCGGCGTGATTCCCTGGAAGAGCGGCCCCGAAGGCGACGTCGACGGCACGATCGAGGACATCTGGGAGATTGTGTGGAAGGTCTGGACATCCGAGGGTCGGGCTGGCAATTGTGGCACTTTTGCTTGTGTGGACCAGCAGTCGGCTGTCGATCAGACGGTCATCTTGGTGGATGCGAAATGGTACCATGGCAGCCGGGAGCAGGAACTTCTCCAATACCTTCCTAGTCCCACCATGAAGGGATTCAGATACACGCGCGTTGCTGCCCGAGATGCGCACCTTGACAAAATTAATCTGGATATTGCTAACATGGGCATCGATGAGTGTGGTGAAGGGGCAAAGTCATTTCGGAGACCTGACTGGCCATCACCAGAGCTCTTTGATGACGACGATGACGATGAGGATGAAAATGACGACGGAAATGAAGATGGAGAGTAGCTGAATGACACTCATTATCGCCTTGCGAAAGGCAAGGCATCTTCTTGGCCTATGACTACGGACTTCTGAAATACCAAGAGGGAATCTCGATAATCGTATTCGACTATTCAACGCTAGACATGACTATTTATATAGAACACAAGTAGAGAATCATTGATTTACAGCTTGGCGAGCATCTTGTTGCCCTTCTGCAGGAGTGCAGCAGCATCTGAAACGAGCTCATCAACAATAGCCTTGGCGGACTTCTTCTCGTTGACTACGGCGGCGACCTTGCCCATCAGGTAGGGACGGGCATTGTCGAGGGTGTCGTCGTCAACATCATCCGGCAGGTTCTCGAAGTCGTGTTCAACCGGGATGACACCCTTGGCCGTGAGTTGCTTGATCTCCTCGGCCCGGTTCTCCTCCCAATTCAGGATGTAAGCGTTCTTGCGCACACGTAGAGGTCGGCCCTATAGCACACACGTTAGCGTCAAGTGCTTAAAAACTCTTGACAGTGAAAAACAGAAACATACGGTGAAGATGATTGTGCGGATGTTGTCCTCGAAGCCGGAGGTGCGGACAGCCTCCTGGTGCGCCGCAGGAGCACCAGCTTCATCAGACAGGATGAAGCGGGTGCCAATCCAGACTGCAGAGGCACCGAGCATCAATGCGGCGGCCACAGAGTTGCCGTTGTACAAGCCGCCAGCCGCGATGACCTGCACCGGCAGGCCGGTCAGGGGGCTCTTGCGGCCCTGGACCAACTTGGCAACAGTGGGAATGAGGACGGTGGTCGGCACATCACCCGTGTGGCCACCACCCTCACCACCCTGGGCGCAGATGATATCGATGCCGGCATCGAGGGCCTTCTGAACGTGCTTGGGGTGGCCGATCATGTTCATGCAGAGAATACCCGCCTTGTGGAGTCTCTCGACCACAGCATTGGGGGGAACACCGACGGCGGAGACGAAGAGCTTGGCGCCGCTCTCAATGATGATATCAACGAGTTCGTTGAGCTTGCCCTTGGTGTAGTCGTAGCTGGTTTGCGACGAGACCGATTAGCTTTTGTGACGACCCACCGCAAGAGCAGCAGCGGGAACTTACTTGGTCTTGCGGGCACTGCCTCCGACCTGAGGAAGCAGCAGGTCGACACCAAACGGAGCATTCTTGTCGGTCAGATATCCCTTGAGCTCGGCGATCTGTTCCCGGAGCATGTCGGGAGTGTAGCCAACACCGCCAATCACACCCAGGCCACCCGCGTTGGTGACAGCGGCGGCGAGTTTAGGGCCCGCGGCCACGTTCATGCCTGCCAGCAGGACGGGGTGGTTGATCTTGAGCAGATCAGTGATCGGAGTACGGATTTGCTCTGTGTCACGGGCATGGTGAGTTCTCCGCAGAAAAAAGAGATGTCCACACGTGGGAAGAGTGGCTTGATATTCTATCAAGCCGGGGGCAGGGGAAATGCTTACGAGGAGAAGCCATAGTGAATATGATGTCCGTGCCAAAGAGATGGAGGATGATGAAGAGAAGAACCTGGGGAAGGAGGAGCGGCGCCTATAAAGGGAGGCAACCGAGGCCGGTTCACAGTCTCCAGATGAGCCGAGGCAGTCGCAGCTTGGGTCTTCCCCAGGTAAAACTACCGAGTGGGCGGGGTCCGCATAACTCGACACATGACTATGAATTATGATATCCTATTTCTACCACTATTTCTATTCATTTTATCTTGACCAGTAGAGATGTTTAATCCAAATTGAAATTGTTCATAAAACCAACCCAACAGTGAAGTATGTTGGGTGTATTATCACTGCCTGAGGCCAGATATTACATCAGCAGGCATCAAGGCACCAATATAGCAGTCACCTGATGTCGTGCCCATGCGCGTCTGCTTCATTGGTGTTTCTGCGCAACAATGGGTTCCCTCAGAGTCGGCGGTCGCGGGGCTTCTACAATAGGCCTGTGTATTCACAGTGTCCCTCGTTCATCCCCTTTATGGCAATTCTCGAGTGCGGTTCGATTCCCGCCGTTGCCGGGGCCTCCGGACACCTCGGGGCGGTGCAAGACACATTCAGAAGAATCCTGGACAAAGAGGCAGGTCCCGAGCTGGCGCAGAGTGATCAGACAGAGTCTGACATATATAAATCAATCCAGAGGCATCTCCAAGACAATTTCAAGTAGGTGCTGTCCTCGATCTTCGTGTCAGCCTTATCGGCCATTATCTGTATCATGCAAATCATGCATCACTGTCCCGCAATTTTTTTTTCTTCTTTCTTTTGCTGCATCGGCGCCACAAATACTAAGGCCACCCAGGAAAATTGTCTTTTTCTAGTTCGGCACTTACGAGCCCATCCCTCAGAAATGGCCGTTCAAGTCGTGTGACTACATTGACAGCGCACGCGAGGAATTTCTCGAGCGGGCGGACCGCCCGGTTGAACCCCAAGATGCCCTTGGTCCAAGACAACCAATCGATCCACCGGGCTTTCATTGCCCTGGGTAGTAATGTCGGAGACCGGGTGGAGATGATCGAGAAAGCGTGTCTCGAATTGGACCAAGCCAATATCAAAGTCAAGAGGACTAGCTCGCTCTTCGAGACCACGCCCATGTATATGCTTGAACAGGGCACATTTATTAACGGTGTATGCGAAGTATGTATCATTTGATCTAGATAGATGGGTAAATGCTGACTGCTATTAGGTAGAAACAACTCTCGCGCCACTGGATCTTCTGAATACTCTCCAGTCAATCGAGATCGCGCTGGGCAGGAAGAAACTTATCGAAAAAGGCCCACGGTCAATTGACCTGGACATTCTTCTGTATGACCAGGAGGTCTTTTCGCACGAGCGTCTGAACATTCCGCACAATCTGATGCTGGAGCGAGACTTTGTGCTTCGGCCTCTTTGCCAGTATGTGGCGCAGGTTCTCCCAAGCGAAGAAGAAAATGAGACTAATGCCCACCCAGATTAATCCCCCATGAGCGCCCCCTCAGCTAGGGAAAGATGCACAAACATACAATACATACCTGGCTGCTTTGCCCCCACCAGAGCCAACGCCCCTGTCGACAACACCGATATCACCGCAGTTCCCACCCCTGCACGCAACAGACCCCAAGCGCAGCACACACGTCATGGCAATTCTCAACCTGACGCCCGACTCCTTCTCCGATGGCGGCGCGCACTCACCAATAGACTTCACGCAGCTCAGCGCAACAGTACGCGACTTCATCGCCGCCGGCGCCACGATCATTGACATCGGCGGCGAAAGCTCTCGACCAGGCTCCACGCCTGTCGGCGCCGATGAGGAACTCGCGCGCGTGATCCCAGCGATCCAACACATCCGAACCTCAATCCCAGAAGCCGCACACGTAGCCATCAGCATTGACACGTACCGCGCGCGCGTCGCCGAAGCCGCCTGCGCCGCCGGCGCAGACATCATCAACGACATCTCCGCGGGGCTGCTCGATCCAGACATGCTCCCCACCATGGCGCGCACGGGCAAATCCGTGATTCTCATGCACATGCGCGGCTCCCCGCAGACTATGACTTCGCTCCACGACTACCCGGCCGGCGTCATTCCCGAAGTCGGCGCCGAGCTCCGCGCTCGTCTGGCTGCCGCCGAGGACGCCGGCATTCGCCGCTGGCGTATTATTCTCGACCCCGGACTGGGCTTTGCGAAGCATCAGCCCCAGGATCTGGAGATCCTACGTGATCTACCGCGGCTGCGCGCTGCCGATGGTCTGGACGGCCTGCCGTGGTTGATGGGTCCCAGTCGGAAGCGGTTTATTGGCAATCTGACTGGGGTCAAGACGCCGCGTGAGCGGGTTTGGGGTACCGCGGCGACGGTCACGGCGAGCGTTGCTGGCGGCGCGGATATCGTACGGGTGCATGATGTTCATGAGATGTGGCAGGTGGCCAAGGTTGCCGACGCCATTTACCGCGTGGACTGAGAACATTCTTTCGGCGTCGTTTCTGGCATCCTTGGTATATTTTATGATTTTCCCCTTCAGATAAGGGGGTTGTCTGATTTCAACATTGCATTTGGCTTGTACTATGTCTCTTCATTCATCATGGGAGTTCATGAGGCTCGGGATTATCAAAAAGGAGTTGGGTTCTTTGGCACTTCACCGAATACGGTAGACCTGCAATATTTTGCATGGCCTGAGGTCGATTCGCATACTAGCAGATCATTGAGAAATAGGTTCTTCCACGACTATAGACTTGTTGGCATCAACAAGCTTACGGAAATATATCAATTCATGAATTTCTCAATTATCTCGAGCCATACCGACAAATGAAAACAAGAAAACAACAGGAAATCCCTAGAGCCATCCGCCTGCTACTGAAGATACCGTTGAACAACCATCAAATCACCACGCCAGGCTGCATTTTCGATAATGTGGAACCCAATTTTTGCGGACTGCTTGCTCACGGGACTTTCAGATGGAAAGGACACAGAAAGGAAATCAAACAATATGCTGGCGGGGAGGGGGCAAAAGAGACGAAATATACGTCACGCATCAGGGGAAGGAGATCAAATGGGGCTTGCTAAGGTATTCGATGTGATACAACGTGTGAATATCGAGGGGAAATGAATGGCAGAATCAGCTGTTCAGATAGTTACGAATAGCACCTGATGGAAAGTTAGCAAGATCATCCCCAGTATAATGTCAGACGAAGTAGCTCACCCTGTAACTTGGTCGCGCCCTCACCAACAAGATGAGACAGGTTCTCGATATCATCTCCAGCGGTAATGCCAAAGCGGCGAACAAAGTCCTTGGCTGCGGCCTCGATATCCCCGTAGCCGTCATCAATCTGGGGGAGCTCATCCTCGGGCCGGCCGAAGTAACTGTTGCTGGAGATCGAGGTAGCTCCATCGAAGTTCCGGAGTCGTTCCTTAGCCTCCGCCTGGGCGTTGGAGTCGAACCGCTCTCGCCCGAAGAATTCGTCCGAGGAGATACCTTTTTGGGTGCCGAATCGGGATTTGGTCTGGCTAAGTTCCTCATCTAAAGCGAATGTTAGCTCGTGTTGGAATGTTCAAGAAAGAGACAAGAACAAAAAAAAAAAAAATTACCATCGGCAGCGGACCTGGCAGGGCCAACAGCACCAAAGCCTGCCTTTTTCGGGGCCGCTGCGGGCTTGGACACCTGGCCGAATCCAAGCCGGCCCATTCCCATACCCAATCGCTCCACGTCGCTGGCACTCCGTTCGCTTGGCTTGCTGGTGGCCCCGAAACCTCCCCGGTTGGGGCTGATCGGGGTGGGTGAAGTGATTGGTGTGGCGGAAGACGCCGTCTTGGCCTTGGCCTTGGAGTCGGCTTCGGCCTGCTCAGCCTCAGGGTCGTATCCAAGCTTCTCGATGCGCTCAGCCTCTTCCTTGGCCTTTCGCTCGGCCTCGTCGAAATCAATCACATCTGCCGCCGCAACCTTCTTGGCCCCAAGCTTCGGTGCCTTCTTCGCCCCAAGCACACTGCCCTTCTTCGCAGCGGTGGTCGTGGAGGTCTTTCGAGTAGAAGAGCTTGGTCGGATGGCGGTCGGCGCGGGAGACGAGCTCTTGTCTTCGGAGGCAGACAGAGGCGATTTGGATCGAGACCCGTTGGTGCCGGCATTCAAGAATGGAGAGCCAGTGCGGTTCACGACAGGCGGCGTGCCGGTGCGAGACGGGGGGTTGCTGGGGCGCTTGATCGAGGGCTTGTCCCAGGAAGAGAAGAAGTCATCGTCTTGATCCCCAGCAGGGGTATTAGAACCATCCGACGGGGTGCCAGCAGGGACATCCGTGATGACAACTTCCTCGGGATATCTAGAAAAGCCATGAGTACCCTCAACTCATTGTCCACACAAAAGAACCGAAGATTCACTAACTGTTGTGCATCCACCGCGGCCCGCTTCTTGAGTTCTTCCTTATACTTGACAGCCGCATTGCTCGTGTATTTGACCTTGGAATCCTTGCTCGCGAGCGCGGCAGATCCTCCGTGCGATTGGAAATACTTGGTGGCGGATTCGTTTCCACCGACCTTCATCACCCGCAGCTGTTCCCATTGCCATTCTGTGTAACAAGTATTAGTGTTTGGCCCATCGCCAGGTCCAAATTACCGGAAAATGGCTTCGGGGTATACATACGGTCGAGATTTGTGGAGCGGACAAAGGAGATGTGGACACCGAGATTGCGGTGGTTGGACGAGCAATCCAGACAGAGGTAGATTCCAAAGGGAACCGACGACCAGGTCGGATTCTTAGAACCGCAATCAAAGCATACCTGCCAGCAGAAAAAGGGCTGTTAGAGCACAGGGACCAAATCACGCAAAAAACCACACGGGGGGGCGGGGCTTGCGCACCTTGTTTGCGGGCTTCAGCTTGAGTTTCTCAAAGATCTTTTGAGACTGCGCCTTCGAGGCACTCATGGTGAAGAAGCGGCAGGATTCAATGGGTGGAAGAGAGAAACCAGAAAGGGGTGGTGCGAAAGGGAAAGGTCTCGAGGAGGGAAAGAGGCCAAAATGCGGCGAACGTGGTCGGACTGAGAGACGCTGGGCCTGTAATTTGCAGTTTGGGACAAGTGAAACTGGGTGACTGATGGCGCAACCAAAGTGCAAACTTACCGTACCGTAAATTTCAGGCAAAATGCCACAGCACGTGACCCTCTGGAAATGACGATCGCCGAGACGATCGAGGTGCGACACCTCCGAGCGTCTATGAGGACCTGAGTGCGCCATGAAATCCCTCTACCGAGCTCTTCCTCGCGCACCACCCACGGCGTTTGCCGCCTTTCTTCCAGGTACTCGCCCAGAGATCACCCGGCTATATGCCACACACAGCGATCTAGGCCGAGGCCCGTGGCCGACCCCAAGAAAGAAGAATATCACGGTGCTATCAGACGATGGACAACTTCAGTGGGGTGAACTGAGTGGGAGAGAGAAAGTGTCGCGCGCAACACAGCAATCGTTTAACTTCGTGATCGTGCTGGCTGGGGCCGTGCTGACGGTATGGACCTAATCCCCACTTGCATACTCGGAGTTATGGACTATTGGGCTGATGATTCGAACAGGGCGGAGTCTTCACACTTCTCTATCTCGAGGTCTTCTCGCCCAACAGCCGGACATGGCAGTTTGAAAAGGCCGTAGAACGCATCAAAGACGATCCTCGATGTACAAAGCTCCTCGGTGACCGACGGGAGATCAAAGCATACGGTGAAAATACATGGAGTCGTTGGGCACGGAGTAGGCCTATTGCGTATGTGCTATGAATTGGACAACAAAACTTGGGACTGGGGTACTGATAATCACCAGAACGACTGTTGAGAAAGATCGATTGGGTCGCGAGCATCTGCGGATGAACTTTCACGTATGGCACCTCGCTTTTGACAACTATGTTTAATTGATGGGAAAGAAATGTACTGAGACTTTTTTCTAGGTCGAGGGGCCTTTGAATTCCGGTGTGGTCATCGTTCATATGATGAAGCCCTTGGACAAGAGCGACCTGGAATACCAGCTTCTTGCGCTGGATGTCAAAGGACACTCTCGAATTATTCTCGAAAAGGCATCCGACAAGCCCAGCGTGGCAAGCTCCCTGAAGCTCTTTGGAATTCAATGGCGTTGATTCGGGTTTACACTCGAAGTCTCCTCTTCCATCTCTACCCATGGCGTCTGCGGCTCCCAGCCTCCAGCGCCACGTCCGTGGAAGGGTTTCTACCACAAAGAAACCGAAACCCTCCACATGACTGTTCCTATGATAACCTGTTCAGAAACTGGTCCATCAAGTGCCAGCTGAGCGAGGGCTCCCCGTACTATGTCAGGATCGGCCATGAGCCGTCCAACTAAGGTTGTAATTACAACCTACTTGTATTATACATCGTGCTGCAATTTCGGATCGATGCCGATGTTTTAGCAACCCGGGAAACCGGCGAAATACAAATGACCACAGCCACACTTTTGTAGTTATTGACAATCACCCGGAAGAAAATCGACCCAGCTCAATAATATGAAACACTTTATATCACCCGAGGCCCATTCAGGATACTCTTCGCCTCCTGCGACGTCCACCAGCTATTCCCTTCCTCGCCAGGGAACGCAAACGCATCCATACTCTCAACCTTCATCTCCACACTATACCCAGGCTCCATGGGAGTCACGTAGTACCCTTCTTTGACGCTAGATGGGTGCACAAAGTGCTCATGCAGGTGATCCACATACTCCAGCACGCTCTTCTTGCCTGTGACGACCACGTAATCAATGGTGCTCAGGTGTTGCGTGTACTCAGGCAACCCAACACCGCCCGAGTGTGGCACAATCGGGACGCCAAACTTGCGCGCCAGCAGCAGAATGGCCATCACCTCGTTCACGCCGCCGACGCGGCATGCGTCGGGTTGGAGCACGGTCAAAGCGCCCGCCTGCAGCAGCTGCTTGAAGATGACTCGGTTCTGGCACATCTCGCCCGTGGCGACGCCGACGGGGCCGTGTGGCGTGTTTGACAGGGCCTTGCGGATCGCCGCGTGTCCGAGGATGTCGTCGGGGGAGGTTGGCTCTTCGATGAACCAGGGCTTGAACTCGGCTAGTTCCTGCATCCAGGTGATTGCCTCGGGGACGGACCAGACCTGCGCACCGCGTTGTTAATTATAGATCATTGATGGCGCCACCCATGTTTAGGAGCAATCACATACCTGGTTGGCATCCACCATCAGGATATTCCCCTTGTCATACCCAATCGCCTGCCGGGCAATGCTCAACCGCTTCTTATCGTCCTCAAGATTACCCCCAACCTTCAACTTGAAATGCCTGTACCCCTGCGCAACGCTCTCATCTAACAGTGTCTTCAGCTTCTCCTCATTATATCCCAACCAGCCCGCACTTGTCGTGTAAGCAGGGACAGCCTTGCTCGCCTCCGCCTCCCGGATCCGGTCCTGCTTCCCGGCCTCGACCTCCTTGAGCAGGCTAATTGCTTCCTCCGGCGTAATGGCGTCCGTGATATAGCGGAAGTCAATGCAGCGCACAAACTCCTCGGGGCTCATGTCGGCGACGATGCGCCACACGGGCTTGCCCAGGGTTTTGGCCCACAGGTCCCAGAGCGCATTGACGACCGCCCCTAGTGCTAGGTGGATCACGCCCTTTTCGGGCCCGATCCACCGCAGCTGGCTGTCTGAGACCAGGTACCGCCAGGTCTTGCCCCAGTCGGTGGTTAGCTCATCCAGGTCTTTGCCGATGACGAGCGGGGTGAGGAGGGAGATGGCCGAGCAGACGATTTCGTTGCCGCGGCCGATAGTGAAGGTCTAACTTGAATTGTCAATGTCATTCTTTTGGCTATCTTTTGGCGCCGAAGTAAATTCATTCATGAGAAATCGACACGGTTAGGGTCGACATACCATGCCGTGTCCGGCGTAGGGCGAGTCCGTGTAGATGATGCAGTAGGCGGCAGAGTAATCGCCTGCTGCATTCATGGCATCTGAGCCTGTTTTATCGAGGGAAGTCTGGAGGATTATCAGCATGCATACGTTGTAAGACTAACCACTTCCCAAAGTAGAGAATCCAACATACCGGAAACCTCACGTCTCGCGTGGTGAAGTCTGTGATCTTGACCATTGTAGGCAGTCGATAGTAGATGCTCCCAAAGGTCTGTACGGTGTCAATTGCAGGCTATTCACGCAGATTCGGAATCTCCAAGAAACCGCCGAGCAAGATGAAATAAGGTGGGGTAGGAGGCAGAAGTAGATGCAAGACAAACCTCCCAATCCGGGAAGTATAAGAAGTTAATAGAGAAGAAGTATACAACCAACAATTTGCCCGTCACCGATGAAAAACAGAAACAAAAGAAGAAATGAAAATGCCCCCCGCGTGTCCCCCCAGCGCAGTATATACAGCAAATCCGCCTCGCCCCACGCCCCTCGGCACCTCGCAATTCTCCCCCGCAACGGCCGCTGGTTGGTGGGCAATTGGCTGCGCCGGGGAATTGGGTTTGTCCGCCAATCACAGGTCATCGGAGGACCTCCGGTAGCCCTAAGAACATTCCCGTCAAGAGAAACAGCCTCACGCCAGTAGAACGACAAAATAACTACAAATGGTGGAAAAGAACTCATTGAACACCACTCGGTGAAATTGAGATGAATACTAGACGCCTAATTGACCGATGCAATCCTAGGAACATGGACAATCCACGATTCGACAGGCTGCACGCTGTTACGCCGACAGCCCTCGTTTCTCGCTCTCCGAGAAGAAGATGATCATCCGCCAGAGCTTCCGGACCAGCACCTCGGCCTCCTCGTCCAAAGCCTAGAAACACCAAAGTCAGTATGATCAATTTCGGCTTGATCCAGAATGCGTAACTCACCTCTTCCAGCTGTTCCACCAGTTCCTGAGGAGACCCATGCTTGCGCACATGTTCCTCCACCACGTCCACGAGCATCTGTTCCTGCACACCCAGATATTCGACGATCTTCTTCTCCACAAACGGCTTGATCTGGTCACTGAGGACGGCTTCGTCAACAAACTCCCATTTGACCTCCCACTTCCACAATCCCTCCTTGTCCGCCGGGATCTCTGCGGCGAGTTGGCGCGCGGCCTGGGCTCGTTCCTCTTCCGACAGGCCGGCGGCTTCGGCAGCAGAGTCGAATTTGATCGGGATGAGTGGTCGGCGCGTGGTTGCGGCGGGCTCCTCCTCGTCCTCCAGCAGGCCTTCGACCTCGGCCACGGTACGGCGCGAGGTTGCGGCTTGGGCCTTTTGTGCGGCAGCACCCAGTGACAACTTGAAGCGCTGGGGCTCGCGGGGAGCCTGGGTGCGGGCCTCCAGTTCCTCTGCTTGGCGGGCAAGGAAGTCATCGGCCATGCCGCGGGCCTGTTCCTGTTGGTGCGCCGCACGGGCCCGTTCGCGCTCCTCGGCAGCACGGTCAGTCTCGTCCAGGTTCGCCTCGCGAGCCCGGAAGGCTGCCCGACTCCGGAGCCAGGCCCCACGGTCAGCGTAGTACTCGGAGGCTTTCCGGCTGGCCTCGTTGTCGTCGTTCCAATTGCGGAGCCGATCTTCCATCTCGTCATGCGCTGCCTGCAATTTCCCGTCTTCCTCCTTGTCCCGCTTCTTCTCTCGCTCAAGAGCTGCAGTTCGGCTTCGTTCGCGATTGAGCCAACGGCGCTCCTGATCCAGGTATTGCTTTTCTTTTTCGGCGTCTTTCTTCGCTTGGTGCCGGCGTTCCAGCTCCTCGTCACTAGCATCGGATTCTTCACCTTCACGATCAATGTAGCCTGTAGCTCCGTTTGTCGACCCGCCATTGACAAATGACACCCCTTTCTGGTAGTCCTTAGGAATCTGCACCCCGAATCCTTTCGGACCGGCCGGTGCGTTGGGCATGCCCCGGTCACGCGCGCCCAAGGGAATGCCGTTGGCATCGCCAGCGGGGCCGCTAGGAGCCGACGCAGGTGGGGAGGCAAGCCGGTTGATACGAGAGCCCGCATTGCGCGCACGCTCCATGGACTCGATCTCCTCCTCGCGCCGCAGTCGTTCGATGTCCCGACGATTGCTTCGCTCGCGGAACGCCGCAATTTCCTTGGCCACGTTGGCACGCATTTCAGGTGGGATATCGGCCAGTTCGTCTTCGATGGTGATGGGGATGGTGACCACCTCTCCGTCCTGTGTCACCTCGCCCTCCTTCATCTCGACGTCCCCTTCCCGATCAACCGCCGATACATCCTCTTTTTGGGTCTGGGTAGCCGGGTGGAAGAGTCCCGCTAGGACGGTTTGTAGGGTACTGCGGGAGAGATCAAAGCGCGACTGGCGCTCTTCGGGATCTTGCTCGCCTCGGCTGGCATTGAACTGCTCCAGGTAGTTGGTCGTGCTCTCGTCTACGACAACCTATGGAAAATGATGTTATGTTAGTCTTTTCCAAGCCACATGCAAGATCACATAGATACGCAGATACGCACCAGAAGCGTGCTCTTTTCAACTTCCTGTTCCTCTTCGCCCTCTGCGCGCGGTGTCTGTCTCTTCACTGGCACTTCGACGTCCTTCAACACCTCCACCGCCGTCTCCAGACTCTCGGGGTCGTCGTACTCGGCAAAGCCAAACCGGCAGGGCTTCTCATCGGCATCCGTTGCACGAATCCATCGCCGTAAATGTCCCGCCGATCCCATGATTCGCTCAATGCCCTCGTCTCCACCCACACCCTCGGTGATGCCACCGACGAAAAGCGTGCGCACAATCTCGTCCCGCGTCGGGGGCTGGAGCTGCACCATGGCATCGCGAGGGTGGTGGCGCTGACCCTCCATGCTTGCCGACCCAAGACCCCCACGCCGGCCAGGGCCCTCCGGTCCACGCTCCCGGCCCATCTCTGGCGCTGCGGGTTTCGCAGGGCCCGAGGTGCCCAGTCGAATGACCGGCGCGGAGAAATTGATGTTTGGCATATTCGGCGGGGGCTGGAAATTCGCGGGGAAGCCCCCGGGGCGACCAGGCTGCTGGTTGTTTGCCTGTTGCATGCCCGAGGGGGGAGCGGTTCCGGGCGCGGCCATCCCTGGAGGAGGCGCTGGAGCTGGTCAGCCAATATTGCAAAATGAAATCAATGAATACGGTCACTCACCCATCCCCGGAGGTGCGCCATATGCGCCATAGTCAGGCGGTCTCCCATAAATTCCGGGAGCTGCAGATAATCAGTTGCCATCCAAGGTTTCCAGACCGAGGGTGATCGGAGCACTCACGCTGGTAAGGATTGTACATGACGAGAACGATGAGACCAGGATTGGATCTCGGAAAAAAGAAGCTGCAAAGGCCCTGGTTGCAGGTCACACTGGTCCACAGAGTCCAGTCAGAAGCGCAAGAGTAAAAGCAGTCGGCGCGGATGAACCAAAAAGAAAGGCGGTACAGCCTTAGCGCGCCGAGCTTCGCAGCAGCTTTCACTCCGGCTCACCGGCAACTGATCGGCCTGGGTCCGCGAGTCTGGTTAATCGTGGTTTTTTCTTCTCTGTCGCTGGGTAATTTCCTGGAATTTATCCGGGTCGAATATCGCCGAGTCAGAGCCAGGTACTGTGGATATATCCATGCATATACTGCGGTGCGTGGAAGTACTCGGTGACCTGAGGCACCAAGATAGGATGCCTATAGAACACGGCATCATTCGGAAGCAACGAATATGCAGCGGATAAGTCTGTGGTCGGCAATGCGATATACGTTGGGTTTCGAATGGAAATCTTGCAATTACAATCTATTCTCGACTTGGTCTATAGATTTCATGGCCATACATACTGTCTCTGGCTAAGGTAATACAATCCATAACCAGTGAGTCCTGCCTGTGAGAGTAATTCCGGTAATAATTCGCCAGGCCCGGCACGTCGAATGCGGCAATGATGATGATGCCCCACGGCCCCTCCACCGGACCCCAACGCGCCGGAGTCAAAAGCCCGTTTACTTTCTTCTTCTTTTCTCTTTCGTTCGTGATACCCTCATTTCTTGTTCGATTGTTCTTCTAGGTAATTCTTCACCCTCGTTTTCTGTCTTGTCCCCAGGCTTTCCCTGCTTCGAATCCATCCACGCCCGCTGCCCCGCACTGACGTCTGCGCTCATAGTCCCATAACCGCCATCATGCCCGGTTTCTCGCAGGCTTCGGATCTCAGCGCTTGGAAGAAGCTCCAGGAGCACCATACCACCCTGGGTCGCAACATTGTGCTCAAGGAGTACTTCCAGAAGGACCCCCAGCGCTTCGAGAAGTTCAGCCGCAAGTTCGCCAACCCCGTGGACAACTCGGAGATTCTCTTCGACTACTCCAAAAACTTCCTCACCGAGGAGACCTTGAGCCTGCTGGTTCAGCTGGCCAAGGAGGCCAATGTCGAACAGCTGCGGGATGCCATGTTCAAGGGTGAGCACATCAACTTCACCGAGGACCGTGCCGTCTACCACGCCGCCCTGCGCAATGTCTCCAATGAGCCCATGCAGGTGGATGGCAAGAGTGTCGTCGAGGATGTCAACTCAGTCCTGGAGCACATGAAGGAATTTTCCGAGCAGGTGCGCAGCGGCGAGTGGAAGGGTTACACGGGCAAGAAGATCAACACCATCATCAACATTGGTATCGGTGGTTCCGATCTGTAGGTTTCCCACGGTCCCTTGTCATGGAAGGAATGCAGCTGACCTCTAACCAGCGGCCCTGTTATGGTCACTGAGGCGCTGAAGCCATACGGACACCCTGACTTCACGCTCCACTTCGTCTCCAACATTGACGGTACCCACATCGCCGAAGCCCTGAAGAACTCGGACCCGGAGACCACCCTCTTCCTGATCGCCTCCAAGACTTTCACCACCGCTGAGACCACCACCAACGCCAACAGCGCGAAGGCCTGGTTCCTGGAGTCGGCCAAAGATGAGTCGCACATCGCCAAGCACTTCGTCGCCCTCTCGACCAACGAGCCTGAGGTCACCAAGTTCGGCATTGACAGTAAGAATATGTTCGGATTCGAGTCGTGGGTGGGTGGCCGCTACTCGGTATGGAGCGCCATCGGTCTGTCGGTGGCTCTGTACATCGGCTTCGACAACTTCCATCAGTTCCTGGCTGGTGCCCACGCCATGGACAAGCACTTCCGCGAAGCACCCCTGGAGCAGAACATCCCCGCGATTGGTGGTCTGCTGAGCGTCTGGTACAGCGACTTCTTCGGAGCCCAAACTCACCTGGTGGCTCCGTTCGACCAGTACCTGCACCGGTTCCCGGCCTACCTGCAGCAGCTGTCCATGGAGAGCAATGGTAAGGCGATCACGCGCTCAGGCGACTATGTCAAGTACACCACGGGCCCGATCCTCTTCGGTGAGCCGGCCACCAACGCGCAGCACAGCTTCTTCCAGCTGCTGCACCAGGGCACCAAGCTCATCCCTGCCGATTTCCTCATGGCGGCCGAGTCGCACAACCCCGTTGAGAACGGCAAGCACCAGCGTATGCTGGCATCCAACTTCCTCGCCCAGTCCGAAGCTCTGATGGTTGGCAAGACCCCCGAGCAGGTCAAGGCCGAGGGTGCCCCTGACCACCTCGTCGCCCACAAGACCTTCCTGGGCAACCGCCCCACGACCTCGATCCTGGCCCAGAAGATCACTCCGTCCACGCTGGGTGCTCTGATCACCTACTACGAGCACCTCACCTTCACTGAGGGTGCCATCTGGAATATCAACTCCTTCGACCAGTGGGGTGTGGAGCTGGGCAAGGTCCTCGCCAAGAAGATCCAGAAGGAGCTGGAGACCTCGGGCGACGGCGCTGACCACGACGCCTCGACTAGTGGACTGCTGTATGCATTCAAGCAGAAGGCCAACCTGTCGTAAATGTTTGTATGTTTCTTTTTTGCAAAGGAAAATGGTGAAATAGGCGGATTTGACGAGCAATGAATGATACTTCATGTGATTATCTTTCTGTCCATAAAAGAAAGTCCTTTTTTTGGATTCATTCCAGAGTAGATCTGTAGCATGCAAATTAGTTCGATGCGATCAGGTATACCTTGCTATGGCTCAGGCGTCATGGTAGGCGAATGTCCGAAGTAAGCGCATGCAAGGAAGGGAGCGTCAAAGGGCCAACGTTGCGGAGTTGCCGATGCCGTGGCTGAGACCTCCGTGTGCCCCTGCGCAAATCTCCTGCTTTCCACCTACTCGCCGACGCGGGGCGGCTACCCTCTCCCACAGCCATGAGATTCATGAGAATGTCTCCTGTACGCCAATTGGCTCGATTCCCTGCCGTGCTCCTTTCCCTGGGCGCGTTGTGGCCAGTTGGCTTCGCGGCGGGGACAAGCGGCGGGGAGGGATACAAACTGGGCGATGAGATCCCGGTGTCGTGTCTGAACCGGACGATGTGAGTGTCTTGCGGATGAAACCGAGTGGTCCTCGGGTATTGGGAGCAGTGCTAATCACAGTGGATCGTACAGGGAAGGAGAACATGTATGCACAGCCTTATCTCCTGAGCGAAGACGAAAACAACATCCTCGACCACACGGGCAAAGACAAAGAAAGGGCTAACACAAACAATCGCAATCAGATCACCGACAGTCTCGGCAAGCTTGAATACATTCCATTCGCAACCTGCAATGAGACCTCGGGCCCGTTTGCGCTCCACTACGGCGTGTCCGAGACCATCACCTGCACCATCCCGGCGCTGACCGACTCGCTCTACCACCTCCTCGAATTCTACGTGCACTCCGACGTCCCCGTCACCTGCCGCGTGCCGACAGCGCCTCTCACAGGACCCGGCAGCAGCGCCGTGAAAGAACAGAATGGCGAGTCCTCCGAGGCCGGCGAAGGGGCAGATTCGCTGGCCGCGCTGAGCGACAACGGGCCGGCGTTCACGCCGCTGACCGTCGCGCTCCAGGGCACACTACAGCTGAGCCACCTGCACGTCTGGACGGATATGAACGTGCTGATGCACAACATGGCGTCGGATGCCGCGGCGCAGCAACCGCGGCCTCAGCGTGGCCAGACAGGACAGCCGGGCTTCGCGGTGGCAGGGACGGCGTACTCTCTTCCCGAGCTCGAGACTGCCCTGCAGAACAAGAAGCTCAATGAGGATGACCGCGCCGTGGCGCTTGTGCAGGCTGCGCGGGAGCCCTGGACGGCCGGCCATGGGACCAAGGTCGTGCGCGGCGAGCCGCTGGCTTTTACGTTCCATGTTGCCTGGGTGGAGGGTGGCGCTAGTATCGGGTGGCCGGCGCGTTCGGCGTCCGAGTCGTTTCTGCCTGTTGGCAAGGGCTCGTCAGCTGGATCGCTGTTCTCGAAGCTGGTGTTCTTTGTGCTGGCGGCTTCCGTGGGCGCTTTGTTTGCCCTGTACTGGGAGCGCAATGGGGGCCGTTGGAGCAGGGGTCCTGCCTGGTATGGCGATGGCATTTTGGGTGTGCCATCTGGTCGAGGGAAAGGGTCTGGGGTCACATTTGGGAATGGCGGAAAAATCAATGGCTATGGAGGCTATTCGGCGGCCACGACCAGTCCTGCGGCTGGCGGGGGTTATTTTGGGTATGGAGGATTTGCCGGTGGGAAGAAGGATTGATTGTGTACGTCCGGGGGTAGTAGGGAGTACATAGGCACTGTATACCGTCTTGTTTATATGGCGTGTATAGCCTTCCAGATTTCCGACGGTGATCTTCAATTAAACAAAATGCATTCCGTTTTCAATGCAAAACAAACTCTAGAAAGACATCAACTGATAGTTGTACAAATAATAGAGGAGAAGAGGAGACCTCCCCTTTCCACTCCCATCATCAAGTCAAGATGCTCAAATCACCAGCAAAGTCCCAGTGGATATACAACAAGACCCGAATCCCCCCTTTCACCACCCCTGCGACTGCATACGCTGAATCTTGCGCACAGTCTCCCCAAAAGAAGTCCGGAAAAGTGACCGCCACCGCTTCATCCGAAGCATCTTGCGCTGCACACCCCTCCGCACATGATACTTCTGCTCATAGACAGCGGCACGAACCCTGTTACTGGTGCAGAGCATCTCCAGGTTGCGAATACTGTTGCCGAGATCCATACCGCGTTCCGGCTGCACGAAGATCATCCGGCCCAGTGCCGGCTTCAGTTTCATGTGGAGCTTAGTCCGCGGCTGTCGCGACTGAATGGCCGTGCCGCCGCCGGCCCGGGTGCCGTTGAAGATCAAGCGGCTGCGGCTCTTTGAGGGTCTGGAGAGGGCATCTTCGCTGCCGCTCCTTGTGCCTGTGCTCAGCTCGAGTTTGTTGAGGATCTCGTCGAAGTCGGATGTGAAGCTGCTAGTGGTTGCTTGTGTTGGTGCTTGCTTAGGGGGTCCGCTGTTGTTGCCATCGTTGCTCTTGTTTGATGTTGAGGGTGGAGGTGTGGATATGGAAGAAGAGTATCGGAATGCGCTGGAGAGGAAAGAGGTGGAGGGCTGTTGCAGCATCGAAGGTTGCTGTCGAGTGGCTTTGAGCAGCCATGGCGTCGGCCTGGTATGAAAGCCTCGGGACAGGAAGCGGGCGTCCATTGTCAGGACAATTGTACCAGACTTTCCAGTCTAGATGAAAAACCGCCAGACGGTCGTGTTTGTGGGTGGGCGACGTGGACAGGGAGATGGTCAAACTATGTCCGAGGCGGAAAAAACGACCCCATCGCCAATGGAAATTGTATATCACGTGCACCATCCGCAATTCTACAGCAGGATGGAACACAACTCAACTTCCTTTCTACCTCCTCCGTGGTCATAGATTTCTTTTAAATATTGCCTGCCACTTGGGTTTGGGAAATATCTCCAACCTAACTGGCAACCTCCACCATGTCCTCGATCACCATTGCCACCCTCCCTCGCATGACCCGCGATACTCTCTCGGAGCTGCTGCTTTCTAGCACGTCTAGCAAGTTGGCAGTCATTGATGTGCGGGACAATGGTGCGTACAAGTCCCCTGTCTATTTTATGCAGCTCCATGCATTACTAACAAAACCCTAGACCACGTCGGCGGCCACATACGCTCTTCTACCTGGGTCCCCACCTCAACTCTCGACTTCCGCATGCCTGAGCTCGTGCGCACGCTCCAAGATAAGGAGAAGGTGGTTTTTCACTGTGCACTCAGCCAGCAGCGTGGGCCCTCTGCAGCTCTGCGCTATGCCCGTGAGTGCGAACGCGTCTATGGCCCGGGCGAGAGCCTCAAGCAGAAGGTGTATGTTTTGGACGGTGGGTTTGTGAAATGGCAGGAGAAATATGGGAAGGATAATCGCCTGACTGAGGCTTATGCTGAGGATATCTGGCGTGAGGATTAAACTCGCATTCTCTTAGGGGGGGCGAACCGGGGGCATTTCTGCTGGCGTTTTGCACATTTCATGCTGCGGCCTGTACTTGATGAAGCCATGATTCTAGATCAGCGATACCACAGAGTATTGAACAATTTCTTGGTTTTTTCCTCCTTTTTCTACTTCTTTTTCACTTCTTTTTCTTTTTCTTTCTTAATTTCGAGGACTATTAGCATGTATGTACTTATTATTGCATCTAGTGTACAGAGAGTGACCTCGATGATACACTTAGAGTGATCAATCTGGAACCACATGAACTATTTATACACAGGACTTCCTTCATCCCAGGACACTACCACCAAACCCAACAGGACGTCTCCGCCCACCATTCTCCGGCACGATAGCCATTACCTTGTAAATCCGTCCCATAGACCCACCACCCTTCTCGACCAGCCGCTTCCACCCTGTCTCGAGGTTCTTACGTCGCTCCTCGTCTTCAACTCCACGCAGAAGCTGCTGCATGCGCTCCGCGATACCAAGTGTCCCCAGGAAATCACCCTGCTCCACGGGGCCATGCACCTCAACGCCCTCGCTACCTTCAATAGCAGCTTCAGCCAGCGACGTAAAGTCCACGTCTGCACTGACGTCGACGCGGCCCGGTTCCGAGAGCGGGGGCACTTTCTCATGATTCTTGATTCCACGGAGCGAGTTGATGGGGATCGTGGATTGTGTCCCGTAGTCCATGATCAGGGCTGCACCGGACGGGGTTTTCTTCGTCGGCGGCGTGGTTATACTGGAAGTAGAAGTAGAAGTAGAAGTAGAAGTGGAGGTGGATTGAGATGGCTGCGACGGGGCAGTGTCACCGCCAATGCGGCGGGCGAAGTCCGCGGCGTAGATCCGGCTCTCGGGACTGACTTCGATGGCGGATCCCGGCTGCGATTTGAGCGCGCGGTAGCGCGTTGAGATCTCGGGGATCACTAGAGATGAAGGCGTGGATGCTTTGGCTTTGGTTAATGCGAACTCGGGCTCTCCTTCGATGTTCTCGTCCACTGCCATTGGGTTCAGCGTGACGAGCAATTCCCGCCATTGCGGCGTGTTGGCAGGCTTGGGTGGGTTGTGCAGCTTGGCTGGCCCCGTGGGAGTCATGATCTGCTGCGGCTGGTCTGGGGTTTGGTTCTCGGGTGCCGGGGGGATAGACTCGAAGGCGTTGATTGGAAGGGCATCAAAGAACTCATGCGCGAATATAAAGGGCGTCTTGCCTTCCTCTTTATAGGACAATTGCTTTGATCAGTACTGTCCAATCATTGTCGGGGATTTAGATATTGCTCCCTTACCATGTGGCAGCAGGCGAATATCCTCGACCCAGATAACCGGCACATCAAAGAACTTGCATACACTGCGATGACCGATATCCGTTTCCTCCATAGCAGCCCGGTCTCCACACAGAAGCTGCTTCTGCACCTCTCTTAGTGATGCACTTGCTTCAACCAAATAAATCGCCTCGACACTGGAAGAGAAGCTTTTGAAGTTCCGGAAAGTCTGTTCCACAGCCACAGCCCTCTAGGTCAGCCATTGTTGATCATCAAGTATAGTCTCGCGCAAACCACTCACCCGAAGCATATCATCCATCAAAGTGCCCTTCCCCGGTCCAACCTCCATCAGCTGAACACCGGTCTTTTTCCGGCCCTGGGCCATCCATTCCGCTATCGTCCATATGCCAACCAACTCCCCAAAGACCTGCGAGATCTCTGGTGACGTGACGAAATCACCGTGTTTGCCAAAGACCGAGCCGCTCTCTCGTGACGTGTAATATCCGCCTTCTGGGGAGGTCAAGACCTGGCGCATGAAGGCTGCAATCGGGATAGGACCGGTAACCTAAACTCGTTAAAACAGTCAGGGATTGAAAAAAAAAAAAAAAACATGGGTGGGGTGGTTTGAAATTACATACTTTCATGGCCTGTGCCAGTGTCCGCGCAAGCGGAGTCGACCATTGTCTCTGCTCAAATGTCGAGTTCCATCGTCGGCATCCTGTCGCAAGTCCTGAGGAGTGAGATCTTCGGAGAAGATGCGACGCTGTGCGCCTGGCGACCGGGTTCATTTTCTATTGCATTTATGAGTCTCAAGATGACCCAATTAGAGAAAACGTGGACTATATGTCCGATTGCCAGGTCCAAAGTGCAGTCAATGGCCTCGCGCCATGTCGTGGTGCTTCTCCAAAACCTCCACAAAAGCTCCGCTTCACGTGATATCAACAACGATGATTATCATAGATGCCATTTCTAAGATGGGAATATGTGACTATAAGTAGAAAAATAACTAGAAAAATGATCAGAAAAAGGATTAAGAGATAGATGAAAATGTATTAGTGAAACACTGATAGTAGTAAAATGGCTATCTGTACATTGAATAGACGTTGAAACCTCTTAAGATAAAATTGAGTTGATAAGTTTGAATATCTATTTTTTTTTATTCTGTACTACGTCTCCTCAAGCTGCCGGAGCGAAGCGAAGGTCAGCAGCTTGTGGCTAATTGATTCACGCGATTCCTATGGCGTATGAACAATCGTACATGTCATGATATTAGCTGGAAATAATACATGGGCTTTGAATCCCAACCCGCTCAAAAGCCACACTCAGACCTGCCAGCTGACCTAAAGTGGCAGCATGAGGAACGAAGATCTACCGTCTCTTCCGGTTCTGTGGTTTCTGCGGAGCATCCACCATCATCTGATCACTGTACAGGCCACTGGGCTGACCTTGTTTTCCATTCCGTAGCAGGTCGTTCTGGATCCCAAATCCAAATCGGCCGTCTTGGCCTTCTGGATTCGCCCGGCGATTGCGCCTTTGCCGATCAGCTTGTTCTCGGTGCTGGCTGAAGAAGTTGTTGTTGGAGGCATTAGATCCGGCAGGCTTGAGCTTCATCGACAGAACCCTCCCATCGGCCTATGTTGTGTCAGCACTTCTCTTTCAATACCACATACACGGTAATGCAGATTGGACATACCCGTTGGTTATGGAAGTTGGCAACCACATTTTCTGCCGTCCACTTGTCCGCAAACTCGAATTCAGCAGTAACCGTCGGATGATGCGAAACTACCCGACAGCCAATCATGGGACCAGAGACAGGCTCGAGGGCTGACTGGATGTCTGCAGCAGTCGTGCCAGAGGCAAAGTTGCTTCCCACAACTATGAAGGGACCAGAAGCACCCTTGATAGACAGGCCGCCCCCAGAGCCTCGAACGGTAGCCTGGTCGCTATTTGAACTGAGAGCAGACAAAAGGCGTTCGGCATGGGGACGTTTATTGGTGTTTTTGTTACGTGGCCGAGTGGATGGGGCAGTCGCTGGGGCAGGGTTCTTCTGGTTGGGTTTGAAGGAGGCAGAGGCAGAGCGCTGGACATCGCGGGTTGTTAGAGGCCGTTGGTTTAAAGTATCACAGGCGCATATGCGCAATCGCATGCATGGGCCGGTTCTTACCTTGGCTACCCCGATGCGACTTGCGAGGCTCCCCGGCTTTGCGGCCTGTGGCTTGCTGGCTGCGCTCGACCCCGGTGCGCTGGATCGTCTGTTTTTGCCGAGAAGCTGGCTTGCAAGCTGCTCATGCTTCTTCTTCTGACGATCTGCAATGGTGAATTGAATGTTAAGGGGGTTTCTCGGGGAGCAGAAGTGAAGAATGCGGAGAGCGCTGAGTGCTTACCAGATTGAATGATCTGGTCGAACGAGACGGGCTGCTTGTCCGGCATGGTTCAAGCGGTAGCGGGAATTCCAGAGGCAAAAAAGAAAGGAACAAAAATTCAGCGATAGAAAGATTTATAAGGAGGATGTCACTGCAGTCAGAGCGGGTTCGGGTGAGCAAGGGAGAGAATGAGAAAAGGAAGCTCGGGGCAGCTGCTATCGGGGCTATCGGGACGCCCAGTTGACACTTGACTATGAACCCTACATTGTTATAGTCTTCTTTTGTTAACAAACCACTATTTATTTATTCTTAGAGTAGATACTGTATCCATGCTTATATACAAAAATATTATTTGATCCCTTTACTGCTTATATTACTGACACAACATGCAAGTAGCTAAGTTGGACAGCGTAGATCTGTAGACTTCGGAGTAGGCAGTAGCAGTAGCCGTACAATCAAAGGAAAATACAGTCGCCTTGCTCTTTCCCTCATCGGCCGGTTGGTCTCTTTCGCTTCAATCTTTTTCTCTCATTCAATCCGACCTGCACCCCTGTCCTTCTGAAAGACCATTCGCCTGTAAACTACTTCCATATCACGTTGACTGATCCATACCTCTTGCTCGTGCATCTCAGTTCAAAAGGCGATGAGTCCAGTCAAGAACACCAATACTGGATTAGGCCCTACACGTCGTAGCCAGGCCTTTTCCCTGTCGTTTGTTTTCCGGGGCTCAACACGAAAGAGGACCAGGTACACTCCAAGAAGCTCTGTGGGGAGAAGAGTGAGAATGGGCATAGCTGATACATGAATAGCACCATAGCCGATCTATCAGAGTCACCTCCAACCTGCGAAGAGAAAATACATTACCCTGTCTTCAATCCTCATGATCCTCGACATAACCCGGGACTTACCCCCATATGGCACTGTGAACCCCAGACTGCACCATCTACACCTCCCCAGACTCTTGAGACCCAGAGCCTTCCCCGACGGTCATTTCACAAGGCACGATCGGGTTTGCTGGCCTTGAGATCAGGAATGCTTCGCCGCTCAAATACACAGGACAGCGCCATTGAAGAGAACCCTGGACCTGTTGCTCCAGTGGGACTGGTAGATCTGGGACATGGTCAACATGGTCGACATGGTCACCTCTTATCGGGATTCTCAACTGCTACCACCCAAGAAGACTTGAACTTCGGGGCTCCGCTGTATCGAACTGGCAGGCCTTGGCCTTCTTTGAATGAGGTGGACGATGAGACCCTGGCCAATCCATTGACAAACTCGATTTCTGCACCTGGGGTGCTCGAAAGTCACCGTGATGCCTTTCCTGGCTTGCCCTATGCAGAGAGACACGTTCCAGGGTCGGTCTTGGTTCACCCAGTGAGTCTACCCTTTGATGAACCGCATATGCATGGTTTGGGCCATAATGGCCATAATGGCACCCGCAATATTCAGCTCTCCAATGAGATGAAGTTGGATGCTGAGGCAGAACCATCGAACAGCACTGAGTCAAATGTTGCAACCAACAACCGTCTTGCTCACTATCCCCTGTCAACAGATTGGGGAGTAATTGAATCGCCCGAGGAAGTTGCCAGTACCACGAGTCCGGTTGGCAGATGCTCTTGTCAGCTGGATGGCCCTCGGTCTGTTATTCCAGAACAGAATCAAGTTCCCAACTTGTCAGAGGTCCCTTTCATTTCCTTGCCATCCATTTCCTTGCCATCAAGTGATGAGCCCATGGAATCTCGAGAGGACAATGTGCGAGCAGATTCGGATTCGCTGAGTAGTACCTCCAGCTCAAGCATCTCTTATCACCGAGCTTCTCCTATGACAAAACTGAAGCCACTGATCACTCGGTCAGGGCTTGACGACAGACACTCTATGAGCTTTCATACGGCGGCGTCTTCTGTACCGGTCTCGAGAAACTGCTCTGCGGAGGTCAGGTTTGCCTTTCCGGGGTTGTACCATGAGTTGCTCGACCAGTGGATACGACAATCGCATAATAACTGCGCCAATGACGGCACGGGTGCAACACCCAGCCCTTCCCAAACAGAAGCAGTCACAGTATCGGCCCAGGAAGTTATCGAGACACCAGGCACGCCATCTAATAACCTACTTCCAACCCGTGAGATGCTTGTTTTGGGAGAGGGCATAGAACAATCCAACTCCGCACAGACCGAAGACCAGAATCCTGGTCTTGACTTGGAACCACTTCGATCGTTCAATCAATCGACCGCAGCAAGTGGTCCGAGTACAATTTCGCAAGATGCAAATGTTCATCCAGCAGAAACGAGTTCTAGCGACGTGTCTGATGAACAATTGGTGATATGCACATCACCGACGACGACCGAGTCAAGCGCCAAAACACGCCACTCGTTTGGGTTGCATATGTCTTTGAACGACGTAAGTTGAAGCCTTGAAACAGAGATATTTTGTACATGCTAACTGAAATTTTGTTCAGAAAATTGGGGTCGGGACTAGGCAGACTGGACCGAGCGAGAAAATGCTTGAGCACCAGATCCCCGACGAGGTCCGGAATTATTCTCTTGTCAGGGAGCGTGATATGATCAGATCCCCAGGTGATGAAACTGAATCGTCAAGCCATTTTACTTGGGACGACACTACTTCTGCAGAAGTCACATCAAGGACGTCTATGTCCATCGGTCCATGGTCCCCAGTCGACGGGGAGATCCGTTTCTCAGGATCATTCAGGGACGAATATTATCTCGTCGACGGCAAGGCTAGCGGAAATCATCCTGATCGAGGTGATCAGCCCGTCAAAGCAGGCCAACGTACCATTTGCGACGGCAGCATTCACGGTGGGCCTGGACTAGACCGGACCCCGTCGAGCAGAATCCGGGAGGTGACCGAACTGATGTCTCCGATGGTTTCGCTCAGGGGCATATTGCAGTCGAGCAACGAATCCAATTTTGAAAGGGAAAGGGAGGAGAGTGAATCAAACGACGAATATATTCCTACATACCGCGCGCAACCGAGGCATCTTCATTGATGGCGTGTGACTGCCATGGACACTAGAGTCGTTTTTTGATGTGCTGTCTTCGGGACAGTTTCCAGGGAGACCACCCCCTTGTCTGTATGCCCAGAGTCTCTATCTGTATCGCTAGTGGTGTATGCTTTATGTATCTCAGCGGACCAATGCTGAGGATGGGGGCGCTGTCCGCGCAAGCCATTCTTTTGAAGAATCCAATTTGAACAGCAGGTTCATTCTGTCAAATCCCAATCAGCGCGGGAATTATCCATAGATGTTTCTGATGGTGCGTGGGCTCAAAGCGCCGTAGCTAGAAGCCGACTAGGGTTATAATCCTCTACCCTAAACGAAGCGTAAACCCTGCTCCCACCTCGCCGGTATCCCCGCCGGGGGCACCTCCGAAAACGCCGGCAAAGTCCAGCTCGGGAGCTTCTTGGCCGCGTCTGGGGGCCTCGGGGGTGTGGTGGCGACGACGCTTCTCCATGCCCGCCTTGGACGGGAAGGTTGGGAACATCTCGCGCGGTTTCGGGCGCGGATCTTCCCGGAAGTACGGGTGAGCGAGGCACTGCTGAGCCGAGGGCCGGGCAGCGGGATTCAGCGCCAGCAGCGAAGAGAGCAAGCCGAGGCCGGCATTAGTGAGGTAGGGAAAACGAGAGCGAGGCAACAGAGGCAAGGAACCCGATGATGACGGGGCCGGCGCGGACGGCGGAAAACGCAGGGATTTAGCATTGGGCAGGGACCGGAAGCCGGGCCAGGACTGGGAGTTCGGAGGCCCCGTCAACGCAAAGATCTGCGAGACCTGGTCGACCTCGTTCTTGCCCTGCAGCAGGGGCTCCTTGGTGAGGAGCTCGCCGAAGATGCAGCCAATGCTCCACATGTCGACCTCGGTCCCGTACTTGTCGGCGCCTAGCAGCAGCTCCGGTGATCGGTACCACAGCGTGACGACCAGCTGGGTGAGTTTGGGTGGCGGGTCGCCGTAGTAGCGAGCCATGCCGAAATCTGCAATCTTGATCTCGCCGCGGTTGTTCATGAGGAGGTTGGAGGTTTTGAGGTCGCGGTGCATGATCCATTGCGCATGCAGAAACTCCAATCCTCCGACTACCTGCAACAACAGGGTCTTGATCTCGGATGGGAGGAAGGGCTCGCGCATTTCGTCGAGGAGGGTCTTGAGGTCGTGCTCCAGGAAATCCATTACCAGAAACACACTGATCAGAACGAAGCGGGTCAGCAATCCCTAGCGATACCCAAAATGTGATAAGCACCTAACAGCGCCAAATCTCACTCACTCGTCCATTTTATTCCCCATGACCACTTCCCGTAAATAAACCACATTCGAATGTCGCGCCTCCAAAAGCGTTTGTATCTCCCGTAGCCCCGTGACAGGGAACCCGTCCGGCGAGTTCTCGATCTTCAGCTTCTTCAGCGCGACGACCTCGCCCGTGTTGATATCCTTGGCGCGCGACACCCATCCATAAGAGCCCTCCTCGATATGATTCAAGCGCTCGAAGTTATCCACATGTCTGCAGGGCCCCCATTCACGCACGGGGAACCGCAACAAGCTCGACTGTTTCTTGCGGTCCTGCTGGTCGACCTCGGCGGTGGTCGGGGGCGCATCGGGGTCATTGGATAGACGGAGGCGCTTCTTCGGGGGCCCTGACTCTCCATTGATTGCTGCCTGGGTGTTCTCGTCATTATTCTTCTTCTTCTTCTCCTTCTCTTCCAGCTGGCGTTGTTTCTCGGCTTTGGCGCGTCGCTTTTCCTCCTTTTCGCGTTTTTGTTGCGCGACGATGGCTTCGGTCTCTGGGTCGTCGTCGGCCCATCGAGATTTGGCCGACATTTTTTTTCTCTTTCTGCCCCTCTCTATCTTTTTTGAGAGGTAGTTACTTGTGTGTTGCCTCTCAGGGCCTCCGTGCTGAGAGGATCGAGGGTCGGCAGGGGAGAGATTTCGGGATGACGTTTCTTCTGGGGAAGAAACGGGCCGAAGTCCATCGCCGATTTGAAATCCAAATTGCCCCCGCCTTTTCTTGACCACGACTATACGCGTATAGCAGACAATTCCTGGGTTTCATTGCTCTTGTCTCTTCTCCTATCGTTATACTCTCATTTCTTCTTCCTCTTTCCCCCTTCATTTCCCGACATAACCCAACAGCGGATCTATTCCCTATCCCCCCGCCATGATTGAGCCATTCCAGGTGAGCTGGTCCCGGACTAGAGATTCGTTCGCGACACCAGATACTCATGAATAATTCTGCATATAGACGACCTTTGCGGTCCCAATGACCTGCGGCGGCTGCGTAAAGGACATCTCCAGCTCCCTACACAAGGTCGAAGGTCCGTTACCAATGCCGATAGATCAGTACCTCTGCTTTCCTCAAACAACAATCTGACAAAAAGTGGTTCGCAACATAGGCATTAACAAGGTCGAGGCGAGTCTCAAAGACCAGCTTGTCTTCATCGAAGGCACCGCGCCGCCGAGTTCCATTGTATCCGCGATCCAGAGCACCGGCCGGGATGCGATCCTCCGCGGCAGCGGCACAACTAACAGTGTGTCTCACCATTCTACTTTCTACTTTCTTTCTCTACTTGATCAACTATTCTTGAAATGCTAAATCTAATTCTCGCTCGCTTCCCAGGCTCAGCTGTCTGCATCCTCGAAACACACTCCCCCAGCGTCTCCAATAAGATCCGCGGCCTAGCCCGCATGGTGCAAGTGTCTTCGACCATGACCCTCGTCGATCTAACGATTAATGGCCTCTCTCCGGGCCAGTACACCGCCACTGTGCGCGAAGCCGGCGACATCTCGCAGGGCGCCGCGTCAACAGGCGGCATCTGGGATTCTTTGAAGGCGAAGGTGTTCGGCGGCGATGCCATTGCACCGCCGACAGGAAAGACGCCCCGCGGAATCTTTGGGAGTGTCGATGTCGACGAGAAGGGAATGGGCAATGTCTTCCTCGACCGGCCCGTGGCCATCTGGGAGCTTATTGGGCGGAGTATGGTTGTCTCGAAGAGTACTGAGGGACCGTTTCGTCGCGAGGACGAGAATACCCTCGTTGGAGTTATTGCGCGCAGTGCGGGCGTGTGGGATAATGATAAGATGGTGTGCTCGTGTTCTGGGAAGAACGTTTGGCAGGAGAGACAGGAGCAGGTTGGGCAGGGGATGGTTTAGTTTCTTTTTCTTTTTGTGATTGAGGTTTTGTGTGATATGGGGTGGGGTGGTGTTCGAGGTTGGTGGAGGTGTAGCGTGCTTCAATACCCTAGCATGAGTTGGCGATATCTTCTAGTTTGCAATATTGACTGTCTGCCTATGTGTGGATCATCTTTGGTATGGAACAACTTAAGATCTTGTAAAGATTTAATACTTTGTAATAGTATTCTGCATATATCATATAATGTCTTGATTCTCAAAGTCCAATTCAAGGATCTCGTCTCTCTCTTCAAGTCATTAAACGTATCCCAGAAAAGCAGAGGTATAAAAAGAACTCCCAAGAAACACCGAGTCAAACAAACCACCACCCAAGAAAACGCCAAAAGCCAAACCCATCATAAAAAGAAAAAGAAAAAGAAAAGAAAAAAAAAAAAAAAGGGTAGAAGGAAAGAAAGGTAGAAAGAGAAAGAAAAATATGCAAAGAATCCAAGCAATCACCCAAGACCATCAGGGTATATCTTTAGACAACCTTGTTCTTGGGAAGAATAAACAGCGCCTTCGCTTTAGCAGCAGGCACCATCTCGCCAGTCGTCTCCTCAGGGACCATAATCGAGCCCTCCATAAAGATCTTGCGGCCCTCGATCTTAGCCGGCCACACATCCAGCAGCAGAGTGGTCTCGGGGACAATGGGCCGCATGTAGTCGATGCTGAGGTTGGCCGTCAGGGCCGGCGAGCAGCAGTCGGCGAACAGCTGGTCCATCAGGAAGGCCTGGTATCCGCCGTGCAGCTTGCCCGGGTAGTAGCAGATCTTCTGATGCGGGGCCAGGGTCAGGGCGGCGTTGGCTTCGCGGCCGCTGCCGTTGGTGCGGATGTCCGGGCGGTAGCCGTGCAGCAGGCCCTGGCGCAGAGAGAGCGTCTTGGGGCGGTCTTCTGTTGGGGGGACGGTGGGGGGCACGGCGGCGGACACGGTGTTGGTGGTTGGTGGTGGGGGAGGGGCCTGGAGCCAGGGCTATACATGAGATATGTTAGCGATTTTGCACAAAGAAAGAAGTAGAAGTAGAATAACATACCTCGACCAGAATGCTCTTCATGTAGCTGCGGCGGCCTGGGGTCTGCAGAGCAGCGCCGTAGGAGCGCATCAGGCCCAGCTGCTGGCCCATGCGGGACATATATCTGAAGATGGAGGCCATGATGGAATAAAAAAAGTAGAAATTAAGATGGTGAAGTATGTGGGAAGTATAAAAGAGGATTGATATAGAAGTGACCAACGAAACGAGTGTCGTCACGAAGCTTTGACTCGAAGCTCAAAGCAAACAGGAATATAGTAGAGAGGAGAGTTTCAGATGAATGGATGCCATACCACTGAATCACTTCATGAACCAGGGGGGTCCTGCAGACTAGAAATACCCCGGAGTCGAGGAAATTGGTCTGATAAGCAATTGACCCAAATGATCCACATGGGAAAAAAAAAAGGCCTCGAAGAGCAGCAATGAGACAATGCATATGCAACCAGATTCCTGGGACAGCCTCGAAGGATCCGGGTCCGCTGTACACGTTTCCTTAGCGCGGCGGCCATAGCTGCAGTATCCCACTTCGTGCCAAATCCTTCAAGGTTGAAGACGGGCTCCACTTGTGGCATAAAATGAGAGCACAGGCTCATTGGCTTGAAACTGTCGCAGCTGCTGATCTTATCAGGTCTCGAGTCATTGACTTGCTTTGTTCCGATTTTTCTATTGTTCTGTTAGTCTTCTTCTTTTTTCTCATAGTAAATGTGCAAGAAACAGAAGAGCAAAAACCCCCGAAACAAATCATCAGGTCCCACAAAATAATCAAAATCTTCGAAAATGCAGGCCGATCCTTTGGCACCCGTTGACCATCAGCCCGACTTTCGGCATGCCATTTCGATCGCCATTGGGGGCCGGTCCAACACAAGCCGGTTTCTCTCACTAGCGCGGCCCCCCCCCTCAAGCCCGTGCCCCCCCCTTGTTCACTCAACTTGAACAAAAGATACTACCACGGGGGCCAGAGAAGGAGTTCCTGGAGCCCAGGCCCTATGTTGGGTAAATCTCCCGGCGTTAAATCCTCACTGAGAAAGTGGGGGGCGCGCGCTGAAGCTGGATGATAGTCGACTTGTGGCGTATAAACACGCCTTCATCCGCACCATCTGGGAACCTTGGAAGGATTTCAAATTACTCGATGAGCGAAATATTCCGTGAATGAAATAGGCTCAAACTTTGGAGATTCAGTGAGAATGATGAGAAGAAAAATAGAAGAGAAAGAAAATAAAATCTAAATTTTAATCTGCGATTGCAGGGTAAGCAGTGCCTGTGGCGTCCACGGGTATTGATATCGATGATCCGGATTTGTCCGCGTTGCGAGGCCACGACTCAGGGTGCATGCATATGGATTTGGGACGTTTGTCACTAGAGAAGAGAGAGAGAGAGAGAGAGAGAGAGAGAGAGAGACGGAAGAGGGCCGAGCATCGCATGTTTCCAAAGGAAAAGTGGGGAGAGACGGTTCATAGTTATGTAGGGGCCAAAACTACTGAGGACCCCCCCCCCGACATGCGCGCACGTTATCAATCCATTGCAATCGAACGGGGAGAAAAGAAACCAAAAAAATAAAAATGAGTTTGGAAGGATTCAACGGAAAAGGGGGCCGGGGCCATAGGCCTTGGACAATTAGTGCAATTAAGCTATTTAAACTATACCATACGGTCCACCATTTCTTGGGGGCTGGTGGTGTGTACTCACAGTCTATACAAGATAGAAGTGAGCAATTCTTATCTCCAGACTATCTCCAGGGGTGATCAAGCATTCTACCTCTACATCTATAGATAGTGATAGTGAAGACATGATAGAGTGTCATTCCAAATAAGCAGCCTGTCAGCGTAACCCAAAAACCAGCAATTGATAGTCGATTAAGTTCGTCCAAGATTCCAGCAAACTTTGGAACCTCGTTTTCTTGGCTGCAGCGCATTGGCAGCGATCGACAATCCAGGGACCAAACGCCATTATTATTATCATTATTATTATTATTATTATTTCTTGTCTCCACTTGTCTCTGGGTCAATCCCTCCCTGGCCGTTCATAGAAGAAATGGCGTGGGTTCGTCTGGATTTTTCGACTTGACTGGTACCAGGGATTGTGTTCCCGCTTTATGACTGGTATTGGGTGCATTTATTGAGAGATAGCGACCAAGTCTAGAATACACGCCGGGACGATCATCCTAAAGCAAGCAGTTCATGGTCGGGAATTCCCCTTCTAGCTTCCTGTTTGGCGTGGTTTGAGGGCCTGACTCTCTCTTAAGTACACTATGACCAAATGGAGGCATGTAGTCCTGGCAGGGCTCATGCAAAATTTGATTTGAACTGATCATCTCTCAGCTAACTTCATCCAGGATTGGCCCCAGGGAATTGGGATGGCGGGGGAGAACAAAGCTTACATGGTATCCAAATTCAAAATCATGGCCACATGGATAGATAAAGTCCTATTATTAGATATGGTTTTTGTGTGCCTACGAGTGTATGTGAACAAAAGTATCTACATGTACATCATATGAGATATTGGGAGCACTAACTTGCTGGGCAATAAATGGTGTGATAGGCACCGTGTCCATTATTCGTAGACCCAGAAGGCAACCAAAAAAAAAAATCTTCACTGCATTTGCAGGATTCCCTAGAGAAATGGTGTGATCCACATCGGTGCCTGACACCACCTAGGCAGTGTCTTTCTCTTTCTCACATGCTTCATACCCAGGACCGGGTTGGACGTCGAAGGATGAGCCTCAATATTGGGATTCTACCCAGGTAGTATTGCCAAGGACGACAAGCAATGATGACCCAAGATTGCATGAGATATGCAGGAACTGGTTCAGGGCTATTGTACCTGCCTCTGGCTGCCTAGGTATACTTCCCGGGTGGTTATGCTTGGGAGATCTGATCTACACCGCTCTTACTTTTTGCTTATTATTATTATTATTTTATTATTGTGGTTTCTTTTTTCTACGCAAGCAGGAATAAGTGGGACATGATTGGCGTGGACTGCGGCATTTGCTTATAAGAGGGGCACACTTCGTTCTCTTCGGCCCTCGTAGCCCTAAGACAGTATGTAGAGCAGGGATAGGTATAGCCTTGAAACCTATAATACTGAGCCCGTCATTCTGATCATCATCATTATTATATGACTATTAACATAATAGTAATGAGGGGTCTTACGACTGATTATCTTGTGGGGTGACAGTTGATCGGCTTTGGCTATAGATGTATCCAACGCAGGGGCCGCAGGATTTCACTACCAATATTGCGATATATATTGCTAGTCTCTGCGGGTCTTGAAGCCAGCCAACTGCCGAGGTGCTAATATCTGTTTGATTATCATTATGATTATCATTATCAGTATGGCAAAGGAATAACTGTCATCAGGAACTGCCCCCCTGTACCTACCAAAGTCGCCTGGGGTATAAATGACGGTGAGATCTCCCCGGAAATTGCAACTTTTTTTTTTCCTTTTTTTATTATCCTTGCAACATGTGGGAATCGGAAGTGATCCCTTTCCCCTGAACCGATTCAGGCAATCCTAGCGAGTGCCCCTGACTGACAAAAGAAGGAAAAAGAAATGAATATTAGGCTGATCATGTCGCACCATGTAATCTCTCAGGCAAATTGGCCATGGTGATAGATCCCCCGCATTCTCGGATCCCAGACGCGGCCCGTCCGTACCCAGTCTCCCAAACGGCTTGTTGATGGGTCTCGAGGCCCACTTCAAGGTCTGGCTGACTCGATGAAGTCGAAAAATCAAGATGTCGGGAAGAAAAGTCCAGATGTCTGGATTGCCCCAAGTCAGAAAAGCCCATCACAGGCCCATCACAGCGCATAAATGCTGCAGCACGGGCTATTTTTGGGCCCATCACCCCTGGGCGCTTGGGAGCTTCCCTGCCCCTCCATTTTCTTCTTTTCTTCTTTCTCTGCTTCTTGCTCCCTGTGACTTACTGCTTGCTATATTCTTTCTCTCCTTTTCTCTCCTTTCTCTCCTTTTCTCTCCTTTCTCTCCGATCCATGCGCACCCTCTCCTGGGGTCTTTCCACGGTCCAGTGCCCGCAGATCAACAGTGAAGTCATCCGTGTGCAAATATTCTCGATCGCATCCACTTTCTTTTCTATAAATATATCCCTCGGTTCAATTTGCCCTCGAGCTGTCACTCCCTGTCACTCTCTAAGCGACCGAGGCTTTTGTTCTCGAAACCGAAGGGGCTCCAGGCTTGCGACAACTCTCTCTGATCTCGAGTATCCCCCGCACCAGCTCGGCCCTGGATTCTATCCAGCCTCGTACGATTTCTGATTCAGCCTTGGCACTTCTCCGTGGTCTTCTGTCCACTTCATATCCGTTATCCGGTCACTTTCCCCGAGTCTGACAACTGAACTCTGGTACGGCTTGCGCTGAGTCGTAGTTCACCTCGCCCCCACGGAAACCACGGTACTTGAATCAGGAACATCCCCTCTTTGCCGTTGGAGTTTGGATGGACAGAATTTGTCGACTGTGAAATCCTTGTACCATTCAATATGCCTCCTCAATTCGGCGCAGGAGGCTTCGTTGAGCAGACAACGCCCGACCCGGGCGCCATGTCCTTGAAACAGGTCAGAAAAAGTAAACTGCGACATCTTGGAATCTCAACGCTGACGACAATCGCCGGTACAGGAGATCGAGATTTGGGTCCACGCTCTAGATGCCTATGATAACCAGGAATTTGAAGAATCACTGCGGTTTTTCGATTTGATTGCCGACACATCCAAGATTCTGTTCAACTGTGGAGTCATCTATGCGACACTCGGCGAACATGAGCAGGCAGTACGTACCATTGGAGGCAGGATGATTTGATTTCTAAACTAAGGTGTCGGTGTAGGTGGAATGCTATCAACGCGCGGTTGGGTTGGACCGATATCTTGCCATTGCCTACTTTCAGCAGGGCGTGTCGAATTTTCTACTCGGGGATTTTGAAGAAGCATTGGCTAACTTCAACGACACTCTACTCTACCTTCGGGGGAACACGTCAATCGACTATGAGCAGCTAGGCCTGGCATTCCGACTGTTTTCGTGTGAGGTGTTGTTTAATCGCGGACTGTGCTATGTCTATCTGCGGCAGCTGGGCCCGGGCATGCAGGACATCGAGTATGCGGCCAAGGAGAAGGTCACACCGGACCATGATGTGATCAACGATGCAATTCGGGAAAACGCAGAGGTAGGTCGGCTCGATTCACATACCTGTGATTGTGTGGTTAACATGCCATCAGGGTTATACCGTGTTCTCAATTCCTGTGGGGGTTGTATATCGCCCAAGCGCAGCCAAAGTCAAGAACCTCAAAACGAAGGACTACCTGGGCAAGGCCCGACTAGTTGCCGCATCAGATCGCAAGCAAGGTCCAGACCCTCGATGGAAGCCATTGATCATTGACCCAGCGGCCCTCGAGGGCCGTGAAGGAGTGTCATTTGCCGCCACACATCTCGTCCACAAGAACCCCAACAGTCGCAGTCGCCAGCAGTCAGAACCGCCATTAAACCGCAACGTCTTCCCGCCGACGCCGCCGCCTGAGGACCGAACAGCCAACGATGGCTCAATGATTGGAGGACAGGAGGGTTCTTCTACGCATCAGCGCTCATCATCTGTTCGAGCCGCCCGCCCGCCTCGACTAGACCTCGATCGGATGGGGGCTGGGCTAGAATGCCGGTTTGGGGCCCCGGAAGCAGTAGCAGCCGAGAAACCGCGCATCGGGACTACACGGACCGCATCAGAACCTCGAGGCCCGCCATCGCGCCAAAACATGCGGGGCTTTGGCCAGGAGCCGAGTCGAGAAGCATATTCTCGCGAGCGGGCTGGTCATCGAAGAAACCTCAGCGACACGAACTTTCCGCCTGAGTCGGACTATGGGAGTAATGCAAACGCATACGATCCGTACGCCAACCACTACCGCCCGACCAACACCGGCTGGGGTCGATTACCCCGACACCAGCCACCACAATTCATCGAAGAAGAAGAGGAATACGACAGCGACGTTTGCGACGGCGAGCCCCTGCACGACGGAGGCTTCGAGATGGTAGGCATGCCGCCGCCGGTGCCAGCACCACTCGCACCCCAGCAACGGCGGCCACGGTCGCCAGCGCCGGCGCCGCGAAGACCTGAGATCCGCAAATTCCGCACCAAAGTGCATGCCCCGGATGACACACGGTATATCATGATCGGGGAGACGGTAGAATTCGCCGAGTTCGAGGCCCGCATCCGGGAGAAGTTTGGATTTCGCTGTGCGTTGAAGTTGAAGGTTCAGGATGATGGTGATATGATTACCATGGTGGACCAGGAGGATTTGGATCTGCTCTTGAGCTCGGCTCGTGAGGTTGCCCATCGAGAAGGCACCGAGATGGGGAAGATGGAGGTGAATGAGATTCAACCCCGGGAGTTTCTTAGCAATGCCTTATACTGACGTTTTTTTCTTTCTGAATCTAGGTCTGGGTGGAAGAGCGGTCCATGATCTGATACGTGACGAGATGCTGCATTTATGACGTTTGATATTAGCCTTTCGATTGTCTATACCCTGTTTGCTTAGATACACGAATATATTGAAATATCTTGGATTTTGAGAATACTCATAAGCATGAATGGGCACCTACTTATAGGCATGGTGTATCATCCATTACGGCGTTCAAGTAGCCATATATGTTTTGATTTTAGTCATAACAATATTCAGTTTCGACTCTAATTACACATGTTTTGGGTTGTTTGGAAGTAACAATCCAATACCCAACCAAATGGTATAATTATTCTTCAACTCGAATAAATATATTCATCTTCTGTCATATTCGATAGCAGAAATAGGCTCCCTGTATTAAGAAGCCTCATTTGGAATCTGCCAGAAATTTTCATCTTAATCTTACTGCTCTGTTTTATTGTATAACTGCGGGTTGAACCAGAAGCTACCACATCCAGCAGCCTGGTAGATACAGGGTTCCCTGAATAGGAAGGAGTGCAGGGTGCGGCACAGACCAAGAGTGCAGTGACGTTGTCTTGTTGACAACCCACCTCTCTTGATCACCACCAGAACTATGACCCAAGCCTGTTCACCATGACGGACCTCACACCAGCCCTGAACCAGCTTCTGTCCACCAAACATGGCTCTTCAATTCCGAGCCCGAAGACCCGGCGGCCCTCCACCGAGACCGCCGACGAGTTCCTGAAAGAAGCATATCGAATTGTGAGTCTGCGAGGCACACCAATGCCTTCGGGAGAAGATAGTACAGAGTGAAACGAAAAGAAGAGAGTTTAATATGCTAACAATATCTCCCCCAGAACTCCCACATCCACTCTCTACTCCAATACCTCCAATCCATCCGACACGCCTACCTGTCCACAACAACAGCAGCATCGCAACGCCGCGCAAGCAATGCCCGAACCCACAAAACCTCTCCATCTTTCTCCTCACCGTCATTTACTCCCACCGGAAAGGGAACCCTCCCACCACAGCACCAGCACACCCCCTCCAAAACCCAAACCCACCTCACCGACCCCGAGCGCGACGCCGTCGACTCCTCAACCGCCCTCCTCCTCCGCGACCTCGCCGCCTCCATCGCCAACCTCGCCTCCGCAGAATCCCTGCGCCAAGAAACCGAGTCCACCGTCCTCCGCAAGCAGTACGGCCACAGCGCCGCCGGCGCGCTGCTCTGGCGCTGGGCCGGCGGCTCAGGCGCCCTGGGTGACAGCGGGGCCGAGACTGCCCCCGATGGCAAATCCGTGGAGCAGATGCAGGCGGAAGAGCGCGCGCGCTCGGTCCGCACGGTGAGGGAAAGCGTGTTGTGGTTTTTGCGCCGGGGGCTCGAGGGTGCGGCGAGTGTGCAGCGCGAGATGGTTGAGAAGCGTATTGAGCGTGTGCGGGAGAAGGAGAAGAGTGTGCTTTATAAGGCTACTGCTGGCGGTCTTCCCCCTTCTTCTGCGGCTGCACGGTCAAGGAAGGAATCCGTGGGCCCGGCCGAGGCTGGTCGCCGGCGTTCGGGTGCAGGAGCTGCGTCGCCGCCTTTATCTGCTCCTGATGCGGCGGTTCTCAGTGATGCCGATACCGCACAGATCGAGTCGCAGCTCTCGCCGGAGCAGTTGCAGCTGTTTGCTGAGGAGAATGATTCCATGCTACGGCATTACCAGGATACGTTGGGGAAAGTCCAGTATGTTATTCCTTTTTCCACCCTTCTATTTTCTTTTGGATGTCATGATACTAACTATATTATTTAGAAACGCCGAGAAATCTCTCGTCGAAATCTCTTCGCTCCAAGAAACCCTCGTCTCGCACCTGGCCACCCAGGAAGAGTACATCGCGCAGCTCGTCACGGACGCAGATACCACGCAGACGAATGTCGGCCGCGGCAATCGTGAGCTCAAGCGTGCCACCGAGCGGCGGAGTACGGCGCAGGCGGTGTTCTGGGGGACCGTGGGTCTGTGTACGTGGCTGGTGGTGTGGGACTTGGTTTTTTGATTAGCATGGTGTTTCTATTGTCTAGACAGGGATTCCCTCCGAGTCTGTATATATCGCATCATCATCTTCATACTCGGTGTTTACATTCAGTGGTATTCATCCATGGTCAGCTTATGAAAAACATGCACTCAAGTGACTCCCTCTTATGATTTAGTATGAGGTATAATAACTCGATGATAAATTGCATCCAATGCTATGATCTACACAGAAGAGTCCACTAGTCTACCCGGAATAGCTCTGGAGAACTAGTCCGGGGATCCTCAAAAATTCATTCATGACAGCCGTGGGGAGAGAAAAATGATACACAATGTTTTAAAAGGACAAAGAGTGAAGAAGAGAAAGAAAAAGAGAAAGAAAAACGCCCGGTCCATGTTGGTTGAACGACACAGAAATAGACCCATAGACCTCCAGAGCCTATGAGGTCTCGCGGACGACGCTGTCGACTGCCTCGGCGAAGTAGTCCAGGTTATTTGTGTTGAGGCCTGCCATGGAGATGCGGCCGTTCTTAGTCTGTTAAATTATTATTAGCATTGAATGGACAGAGGGAGGGGGAGGGAGAAAGGGAAATGAATGGATAAAAAAAAAAAAAAAAAAAAAAAAGAGGAGAGGACATACCATATACACATGCCACTTGTCACGCAAGATCTTAACCTGGCCCTCCGTCAAGCCCGTAAAACTAAACATGCCAATCTGAGACGTGATATGGTCCCACGAACCGGGCGTCCCGCGGGCCTCAAGACGCTCGCGCAGACCCGTCCGCATCTCCTGGATCCGGCCACTCATCGTACGCAAGTCGACCTCCCACTCCGCAAAGAGAGCGGGGTCATTGAGGACGCGGCCGGCAATGCGGGCGCCGTACGCAGGCGGATTCGAGATCTCGGAGCGCTGCAGGATAGCCAGCTGGCTCGCGATGTGGGACGAGGCGGTGGCGGCGTCGGGACCGGGCGCCGACACGAAATGGAACGCGCCGGTGCGCTCGCCGTACAATCCAAAGTTCTTGGCGAACGACTGCGCGACGCACAGCTCGAACCCTTGCGCGATGAAGTAGCGGATGGCCCAGGCGTCGCGGGCCAGATCGCCTGATGCGAAGCCCTGGTAGGCAGTGTCGAAGAAGGGGAAGTGTTGGCGTTCGCGCATCACGGCCGCGATCTGGCGCCACTGTTCTTGCGTCGGGTCGACGCCTGTTGGGTTGTGCGCGCAGGCGTGGAGCACAATTACGGATCCCGTTGGTGCGGTTCGGAGCGTCTGGAGCATGCCGTCGATGTCGAGCCCCTTCGTCTGCGCGGAGAAGTACGGGTACTGGGCGAGTTTGAGACCGACATTGGTGAAGATCTGGTTGTGGTTGGCCCAGGTTGGGTTCGAGACGTAGATGGTGGGCTTCTGGGGGTGGAACTTGGCTAGGAAGAGGCCGCCCAGGTGGACGGCGCCTGTTCCGGAGATGGTTTGCAGGGAGCAGACCTGTTCAGAGAGTGTCAGACCAAAACTACATCAGAGAAACATAACGCGTGGCGCCAGAAATCAAGAACATACCCGCTTCTCTTGAATGGCAGGGCTGTCGCCGCCCGCGATCAGCTTCTGCGCTGCCGCCGTGAACTCGGCCAGACCGCCGATGGAGAGGTATTCGTGGTTGAGATTGGGGTCATTGTGGATGGCGTTATCAGCCTGAGGAGTTAGCCTTGAAGGGAAATAATAAATAGAATGTATAAGAACAAAAGAGAAAAGGGACACGCTGGGTGATTGTATACCTTCTTGACAACAGGCAGAATCCAAGGCTTCGCGTTGTTATCCCGGTAGGCGCCAATGCCCAGATCAACCTTCTTATCAGAGGGGTCTTCGCGATAGGCCTTCATCAAGCCAAACAGCGGGTCTTCGGGGGCCGCGGCGACCGTGGCCGCCGTAAAGACAGACGAGCTGGAGGAAGCCATGATATGTGATGAAAGGGAGGCGAGGCGGTCGCGGGCGGAAGAGGGGGACATGGCGAGTTATATAAATAAAACCTGGGAAGACCCCGGAATTTCAAAACTTGCTGCTTGCGTTCACCGGATGGAGGAATGAGGGGGTGGAGCCCGGTGGGAATCAGGATGCAGGCCAGTGAGAGTTGGGTGAAAGTAATATTAGATATGAGATAGATCTTAGAATATATAAACTGAGTCTTGTTATTCCCTTTTTATATGATGTGAATTCATACCTCGGCCATCGCAGCCGAGGAGCTCCGTGTGTCTTCGCGATTCACATGAAACTACATTACTTTACCTTGTATGTATATCTTGTTGATTTTGTATGATTCTCCTGGACTTTTCCTCGAAAATTGAACAATAGTAATAATATAATAATAAACACAGAATTCAGAACCAGACCCCAACTCATCCTGTTCTCCGACAGGCTGCCCACGCCGACTGAATCCCGTGTGTCATACAAAGTACACAAAAAAGGCGCAAAGTGGAGCCATTCTGGAATGCCCTGGACGATATCGTAAGGTGTTCCGACCGTATCCTTGCTTCCTTTAGCCTGTTAGTAGGAAGTAGTGGCTGGGCATTGATGTACCGCAAGATTGCATGATCCTAATAGATTATTCCCAACAATACCCTAATATACTCCCCGTTTCATGCGGAGTACACTTTTTTTTTCATTTCTTTTCCTTCTCCACATGAGGAGAAAACAGTCAGGTACACGACGATCTTGGGACTCCGCAGATTCGAACGGACTTGGTCCGACTCCAACCGTTTTCCCCGGCTAATTCTTGACCCCAAGGCGATTGGGGTTTTACCCGTTGATGTATACTGTACACTGTACACTGTATGCTATGTATATGCAGAGACTGGCCAAGATGTCTGGTCAACTACTGCTGCATATATATTGTAACATCGAATGCATGCTAATTCTTCTGTAAATATAGAAATAATATATCCGATTGATCAAGGTACTAAAATCCAGCAATTTACATACTCTCATCCCATCATAACACATACTTCCATACAACAACTCGCTAATAAAAAAGAAAAGTAAACATCAAAACTAACACCAGCAGGCAATCTTCTGCAATACCATGCACTTACAAAGTAAGGACAACCGCCGCCAGCAGCGGAATACCCATCCTTCCCCCCCATTCCAGCCCAGGCCGGACCCCCGAATTGTCCTTGTCGGGAGCAAAAGTCATGGAAGCAGGATTGCCCACTGAAGCCGTGGGTTCAGCATTCGAGTAACCAGAAGCACTGTCGAGTTTGGTGGCCTTGCCGTTGCTTTTGCAGGATGCAGATCGCGAGATCTTGATATCTTCGAAGATGGAGCAGTTGATATTGGCGTCGCTGGTTACTTCGAGACTGCCGTCTACACCTTCCAGTGCTGGTATGGTGATGCTGCAAGGGATCATGTTAGTCGAGGACAATATAATGCAGCAGCTATACAGCAAGAAACAACCTACTTTGTGACATTGCCGCTGACCACAAAATCCCCATGGACCGTCCGCAGAGACGGGAAATGAACCGACATCCCCTGGTATATTTGCAGACTGATACCCGAAGCCCGGCGCAGAGCCGGGAAAGCCATAGTAGACGAAAAGACACGCCGGAGCGCAAGATCCCCGGTAGTAGTCTCCAACGACGACAGATTCACGCTCTTCAGCGCCGCAAACCGAGACTCACCGGCCGCCGTCACGCCCGAGAGATCCACCGCCAAGCGCGGACTATTGCCATCAACGCGAAACGACTTATACGTCGTCAGAGCAGCAAGATCTGCCCGAGCCAAGTTCTCATTCCCGACAAGCGCCCACCCATCCACAGACCTAGTCCCCAGCCCCGCGACATCGCCGAGCCCCGTGTACATGACACTAACATTGCCGACCCTGTCGAGCCCGGCGCCCAGATCGAACCCGTGCAGATTCGGCAGCTGCGCCCATTGGATCTCGCCGACGCTGCGCAGGGCCGGGAAGTGGAGCTTGTCGAGCGAGGTGAGGCCGCTGAGTCGGAAGCTGCGGCCTATTGTTCGTAGTGTGGACGAGGAGATTGCGGGGATGCTCCCGTTCTTCGATTTGAGGGCGGTTTCGTCTTCGCCGTCGCCGCAGGTCAGTGAACCCTGGATCTCTTCGATGCCGTCGAGGTTGATCGAGCCCTGGAAGTTGGGGTCGATGGCGATGCTGCCGGGGAAGGTTTTGCATGCTTTGTAGTGGTTGGCTTGGGACTGGGTTGATACTGATACTCCGGCATTCTGGCAGTCTTGTCATCGATTTCAAAAGTCAGGTTGTTGGTTGGTATTGGGCGCAGCGGCCTGAGAGAGCGTGTGTGTTACTTACAATCGGCTCTGGTCAGGTCTATGAGCAGAGGGCTCAGTAGGATACTAGCGCACAACAAATGCATCACTCGGGGCCGGGTGGATAGTGTGTAGTATGAGCGTCTTGTAGTCACTTAGCAAATACCTAAACACAAAATTGAACAAAATAAACACCCGATATTCGATAACAGCCGGTTCAAAAGAACCTCAGCCTGTGAACAAGACAATGGATACCCCACGTTACATACTCGGGGCCTACCGGTGATCCGGGGGTTTCAGCCCCCAACCGCCCCAACGCCAGTGAAGTCATCGGATGCCTGCCAAGCGTGAGTTTTTAGCTGATTCGTTCGTGGAAGAATATGAGTTGCCTCGCCAAGATTCGGTCCAAATCCAGGGCGCAGAAATGGACGGAACAGCACAGCGATTACAGCTGGAAACAGGTTAAGGGAGTACATGGAATGATCGGAATGATATGTGTCTACAACCCTATACCTCAACTATACACATCTTGTATATGCAACAAAAGATAATAGGTCACAGAGAAGAAAATACAGTCTCTTTTCCTTGTACAAAACGCCAATGCCAACATATCCACAAAGAGATCCAAAAAAAAAAGAAAAGAAAATCGTGTCATGAATCAATCCCAACGCCGTGCAGGGCCTCGCCCTCGCTTCAAGAGTTAAAAATCATCTGGTCGTAAATGGCAGTTCAAAAGAAAAGAAAAGAAAAGGATCTTAGGTATTTGATGCCGGCGGTCCAGCCGTATGAGTTGCAGCGGGGGCAGCCGGAGTAGTTGGAGTGCTCTCGCCCTCATTGGATGCTGGTGCAGTGGTGGGAGCCGGTGTCGAAGCCGCCGGAGGGATTGGGGTGTTTTCGCCATCGGTGCTAGGCTCTTCCACGCCATGGGCACGAGTGCGGATCCGGAATCGGTCCCGGAGTCGCGTCGTGAGGCGAGTACGGCTGGGCCGTGTCGCATCGTCGCCCGTCACAGCGTCATCTCGAATCTCGGCGCGCACGCGGCGGATCGCAGCCAGGCGCTCTTCAACGGAAGCATCACGCATCCGCCGCGCGTTCAGAGAACCATGCAAGTAGTTGGTCAAGCGGCGGTGAGGCCCAGTCTGTGCATCAGTTGCCGGAGTGGCCGTGCTGTCTGGCTGCGTCTCCTCAGTATGCTCGCCATGCTCGCCATTCTCGCCGGGTTCGGCATTTTCCTCAGACTTGGGAGGGTTAAGATCGATACGACTAGTGCGGGAGTTAGCCAGATTCTCTGCATGCGCAATCCTGCGGTAACGGGTCGATAAACATACCAGAGAGGACAGGTCCCCGAGACGTTAACAAGCCAGGGATCAATGCAGTCGGGATGGAACTGGTGGTTGCAGGGCAGAACCCGCAGGTCCTGGCCCTTAGTGAAGTCATCCGTACAGATTGGACAGGAAAAGTTGCCTGCATCAGGAACTGGCTCGGGTCGAGATTCAGAGGCGGCCGTGGTAGTATGATTCTCGGTTACTACTTTGCTTGGCAATTCAGTTTCCCGGGGAGTAGTTTGACCAGTGACGCTCTCCGAACGAGGCGGCGAATGATCGCGGGCTGGATCTTCGGGACCTATGGACATCTCGATGTCCCGTTTGGCGGGGTCGACGCCATCGTTGTTGTCGCCATATTTGACGATTGGGAGCGTATCTAGCATGGCTCGAGCTATCCCTCTCGCTCGACTTTGCCGAGGTCGTCCTGCGACGCGGCGGGGCCCATACCGTTCGGGATGGCGGTGGGCGCGGAGAGCGCCCGTGATGATGATGCCCAAAAACAAAGCCGTGATGATTCCCGTGATACTATAGAGGATGATCATGGCTGATAAATGTTAACCGAGCGAGCCCGTGGCTCCAATGAAGACGAAAAACTCACCCGTATTGGGACCGTTGCTGGAACCCCCGCTATCCCCGGTATCCGCGCCGGACGAGCCTGACATGAAAGACATGGCAGAGACAATGGTTACAGAATCACTGTCCGAGTCACTGAAGGTGTGCTGCAGGGCCGAAGTGGCATTCGATCCCACAAAGGTGAAGATGTTGGGATACCGAGCTGTGGTCTGGTCATCCGCCGAGAAGTTGCAGTGGCCCGACGAGGCACTATACAGCAGAATTGCCGAGGCCTGCTGGCTTTGGATGACGTTATTGACGGTCTCGTCAACCGTGACCTCGCCCGGATAGTCCTCAGGATCGCAGATAATGCAGGCAATCTGGGAATTATGGAGGTCAACGGAATCGGCGGGATCGACCTTGGTGAGATTGCCACGGACTTTAAAGGTCTATATGATCCCAATTAGCGAGAATGGTCCATTGACGAAGCAAATTAGGGATGGGGGACGGGACCCTGAGTTGACTCTGAGTAAACTGGGCGAGGGACTTGGACCACGGGGCAAGCGAGAGGCCGTTCAACGGGCCGGAAGCCTGGAGACGAAACCGCACCGATTGCGACCAGTCCAGGTCGTGGGTGTTGTTGGATGGGAGGACCGTGAGACCGTGGACAGGGGAGAAAAGGAACAGGAAGAGGAAAAGGAGTGAGAACTCCATGCCCGAGAGCGAATAGCCGGGAGGCGGCGGAGTTGGGATGTGTGGGGGTTCTTGCGGATCATTAGTCAGGGCAAGATTTGGAGGTCGAGAAGCGCCCTGGGAGAAGCAAAGAAAAAGAAAAAAAAAGGGGAAAAACGAGAAAAGGAAGTGGAGGGGAGTGGAGCAGGGCAGAAGAAGAAAAAAATGGGAAACAAGGAAGATGAGGGGAGCACTAAGGCCGATCGCAGTATGGATCCCCCGTGGAGAAGGGCGATCTGATGACGATGACGACCTCGAGGCCTCCATGGGGATTGGCAGGGATTGGCAGAGCCAATTCTGGCAGAGACAATTCTTGAGATTGATGATCATGATTCTTCAAAGAGAGTCTGGACATAATCAGATTGTTCTTTTTTTTTTTTTTTCTTCCCACGGGAGTTGCGGGGATGGTTCGATGATCGCAATGGTTGATATCACATTGTCCCCGAACCCTCGGGTACGGACTGCGCCCGAGGTATTTCCAAGAACTGTGACGTGACTTACATCAGGTTGATGGCTGTGAATGATCTGAAGGGGCCAACTTCCCCGATCGATGATCCGCAGTGGCAAAGGGAAGTGAAGCAGAAAAGAGAAAAAGAGAAAGTAACCCGGGTCACAGGATATCGAGTCCGCACTTATTTTATAGTCTGGAGATTCTATACTCTACCTCATGTTTTGTAGAATCTATACTCTTTACTCTATACTCTTACACTTCTACACTCTTAAGATTAAAGTAATATTCTTACATATAATACTCTCCATACTATTACCTATTCACCTATCTGTCCGTTGACTCCCAGTGGATCCCCCCAAAGGTCGAGGCTCTCATCGACTGTGGAACAAAAAAGAAAAGAAAAAAAGAAAAAAAAAAGAGAGAGGAAAAGCGAGAACAAAACGACACTAAATGCGAATCCCCCTCAGGCCACCCTGCAATAATAATAAATAAAAAAAAAAGAAAAGAAAAAAAAAATCTCTACCTTCTCTCCATCTCTTCTCCGATCGGCACTCCACTCTGCAACTCCACCAGCCTGCCATGATAGCCCTGAGTCCCTAATCACTTCTTGTCCAATATGTCCTCGGATCGTCTCCCAAACTGGGGAGGGCGCTTTGATGTCAAGCCCATCTCGTCGTAAGTGTAACTGGTTTCCCCCCGAGTCGGTAAAGTGGTCTCGCTTCTTGGTTTCTCACTTTCATCTCACCCCCCGTTAGCACCCCCGTGATTGCGGAACTGGACATCGAACGCAATGAACTGGCCCAGGCATGGAAACGGTTCATCGGATATTTACTTCCGGAAGATCAAGTGGAATGGGAAAATCGCCCAGCAACCGCCCAGGATGTTCTGGCTCTCGTGCGCAACATCCAGACATGGTGGGTGTCCCGCCCGAGACAACGCGTCTTCGGTCACTCCATGTCTCTCTGTGATCAACTCCTCCCGACCATCGATACCCATGTGGCCTTGCTCTCTGCCTTGCCACTATCCGACCGCTACTATACCCCCCTCTTCTTCGGGGTTCTCCAGTCGGTGATCAAGGTCGGTACAGGTCCCTGCTCGATAGGGGTACCAGTTGGCTAACCTGGTGGTTGTCGGACTTCTAGGCTTCCTCAAACTACCCGAGAGTGATGGAAGGCTTGGTCACGGCGTTACTGAATATCCATAGTGCCCTGAGTGTCCCAGACGACAGCCGCCTCTCCCATCGGAATGCAGTCGAGCCCATTGCGAAAATCTACACGCTCACCTTTTTCTTTCTGACTGAGTTTATGGATTGGTATGTGCGACAGTCGACGTGCCAGCTCTTGAAGGGCCACTGCCAGGATGTCTATGCCGAGTTCCACCACCTCATCTTCCAAATCCATCGCCAGGCTCGGGCTCTCCCCGGGCAAACCGACATGGCAATGGACGAAGACAATCAGCCCGAACCCTCGTCCAGCCCGCAAGTGCTCTGGGAAGAGTCTCAACTGAGTCAAGTCGGGCGCCAGGGCACGGATCGCCGAATCGCCGCCCAGAATACCATCACCCGCCGCCTCATTTGGGAGATCCAACAGGATGCCGAGGAGCGCGATCGAATTCGACAAGTTCGGGACCAGCTATTGACCCAGATGCTGAATTCCGTCAGCCAGCAACTCCAGCCAATCAGCGAGCAGAGCAGCGGCATTGTCTGTATAACGACGGCCGCCCCAGACCTTGGTATGGAGCCAAAAAAAAAATCAATCCACCTGCAGCCCGCCGCGCAATAAAAAAACAAACTAACTCTGTTCCAGTCACCTCTCAGTTTGAATGGTCCCGGGGGTCCAAGCGCCGCCTCGCCCGTCTGGAGCTGCAAAGTGCGTCCAAGCACCTCCAGGCTTTCTTCGACAGTGACGATCAGATTGCCGACCTGGAACCGGATATCCAAGTGATCGCCGAGAATAGTGTGATCACGTCTTTACGGCAATGGGTCACCAGCACGAGGTCTCAAGCTCTGGCAGTGGGCGGGTCTCAATCCACCGTCTTTCCCAGCCCCGTGGCCCTAATCTCCACCTGCTATGCCTCCTTCGCCCGCCAGGCTCGACTCCCAGTTGTATCCCACTTCTGCGCGCTCCCTGCTCAAACAACCCCAGGACTGAATCCGCATGAACAAGGATTAATCGCCCTCACATACAGCATTATCCGGCAATTGATCGATTGTCTTCCTCCTGTGGTGGACAGCGACTCCCTGCTGGACCTGAGTGCAGAGCGATTCCGTCAGCTAGATGGAACCATTTCCAGCTGGAAAGCGGCCCTGTCGCTGGTGGACACGCTCCTACATTTCTCGCCACCCCTGCTCATATGTGCGATCGATGGCCTTGACACAATCGAGGACGCATCCACGGATGCTGGGCTTCGCGATTTGCTTCGTGTTCTGCTCACACACACTCGGCACCAGCCGCAGGCGGATGACAACCAGGGCCCAGTGGCTTTATTCAAGGTGCTCTTTACTGTTGCCGGAAGGCCCAGTGCACTGGTGGATACGATGTCGGAAAACCACCTTACCCTGACCGAGTCCAACCAGACAGACCAGTCCGCGTCTGACCCGGTCCTCACTTCGGACCTCGGCGTGGTGATGATGAATGCATGAGCCAGATGGCGCCCCCCCCCCGTTTGTACGAATCTCCCTTATTTTGGTATTTACTCGGGCCTGAAATGACGATTGATTCGAGCATGAATGTACACGTCTGGGATATTTGGATATGGATTGGATTTAAGGGATCTGGTACTGAAGATATTTTGCTTTTTCTCTGATTTGATTACTTTTGTGCATGGCGTGTTGACTCGATACCTCGAATGTGTTTTCCTGGCGTTCGCTTGTGCTATTTGTTTCTGTCGGCGTCCTGGAATGGCCATGTCCTGATTCAGCTGTGCCTAGTAGATCTGTACGATACTGCCTGAACGCTGTGATACCCTTGGGGCTAGATGAACTTGCTGTGTGAATGTGTCGGGAACCATTTTCCGTGAGCAAAAACGAAGAGAAGGAAAAAGAAGACAAAAACCATGGCGATGGCGACGTCAAGGCGGGTCTGAACTCGGCAGTGAATAATGCGGGGAGCAGATGGAGATTGGTTTCCGCCCGACACATATTTAAAAGGACGGTCATGTTCAACCACCCACACTCATGTATATAGATCCATAACACCATGAATGGCCATTCGGTGGTTACCTCGCGACTCTACGATCCAGAGTCTCCGCAGCTCGCCGAGTTTCAACAGATTTGCTCGCGCACGGTAGACCCATCCGTCTATCCGCTCGCTTGCGCGGTCGAGCACAATGTCCCCATCTACGACATCACAGCCCTGGAGGCACACACCGTGACGGCTGAGACCATCTCGCACCTGCAGGATGAATGGCACCACATCCTCCACAAGGGGCCCGGAGTCTACGTGCTGCGAGACATGTACGCTCCCGCGCGGTATGGCGACGTGCTCTCGGCCACCAACGAGGCCTTTGATCGGATCATAGCCAAGGAGCGACAGCAGTCGACTTCCTCCAAAGGCGACCACTTCGCCGCCAGCGGGAGCAACGACCGCATCTGGAATGCCTTCTCCAAGCACGCGCTGGACGACCCGGCCTCCTTCGTGGACTACTATGCCAACCCCTGGCTGGCGGCCGTCTGTGCCAGCTGGCTGGGCCCGGGGTATCGAGTCACGGCCCAAGTGAACGCCGTGCATCCGGGCGGTGCGGCCCAGGAGAGTCATCGCGACTACCACCTGGGGTTCCAGGAGGCGGATGGCTGCGCGCGGTTCCCGGCGCCCACGCAGCTGGCATCCCAGTTCCTGACGCTGCAGGGAGCCGTCGCCCACACCGAGATGCCCGTCGCCAGCGGACCTACTCGTTTCCTGCCCTTCAGCCAGAGATACGACCCGGGGTATCTGGCGTACCGACGCCCTGAGTTTCGCGCCTTCTTCCAGGATCACTACGTCGCGCTGCCGTTGCGTCTGGGCGATGGTGTCTTCTTTAACCCGGCGTTGTTCCATGCCGCCGGTGCCAACGAGATGGACGCGGCTGCGGGGGGATTCCGACGAGTCGCCAATCTCCTGCAGGTGAGCAGTGCCTTCGGGAAGCCCATGGAGATGGTGGATTCGGTGCCTCTGGTCGACCGCTGCTGGGAGCTGCTGGTGCAGCGGTACCACGCCGCTGGGAAACAGCTGGCGGACCCTGACCTTGACCCTGTGCGGTCGTCACTCGCGGCGCGCGAGATCAGGGCGTTCATTCAAGCTGTCGCGGAAGGGTATCCATTCCCAACGAATCTGGACCGTCGAACTCCTGCACCGAGTGGCATGGCCCCCGAGAGTGAGCAGGATATTGTTGTTCGAGGACTCGAGACCGGGTGGAGTCGCGCTGAGGTGGTCGCCGCGCTGCAGCAGATGCATCAGGACTCGCGGCCGTAATTAAGGAGTTGCCCCCGATGGGGCCCTGGAGGATTCCCAGGCATTTTTGTATCGACGCTAGCAGTTGCCCCTTCAAGATCTCGCTAGTCATTGTGATCGGACGACGCGATTGGCGCATCACTAATAACCACCGGTGGAGACGGGTGGACCTGTATCCATGGGATGTCAGAAGTTACGGCGAGGACCGAGGACATTGGTGAGACACGATGGCAATTCGATTGTAGCTGTGTATATCCATATATACATAGGTAGCTGTATTGCAGAGATTGGAGACTGACATGAGCAGAATGCCATCTTCCCAGGGCTGTAGAATGTAGAAGGGATCGTGGATTCCACGCTGCTCACATTTTTCTTGCTCCCCCCCAACAGACGCGGTGAAACATAGCGTCCTCATTCTTGTGGCCGGTCGTTTCAACTTTTTCTCCCTGTGCTCCCTCTCTTTCCTTTTCTTTTTTGTACTTCGTATATCTCCGAGCATCCCACTGTCGTTCATTCAATTCGCAATTCCTGATTCCTGATTCCTGATTCTCCAATTGTCCATAGACCCCTCGGGCATTTGCCGATCACCGTCTCCACCGAGAGCTAACGCCAGCACAGTCGATCGGCACCCACCAACCCACGAAAACTGGTCCCAGAGCCAGAGTCACTAGCGACACGGCTCATCAGTGGCACGGACAGGGAAAAGACACAATCATTGGACGTGTTATTGGTACCTGGCGACGAAGAGGGGGAAAAAGAAAGAAACACGAAAGGAACCGTTAGGGGTTTCCTCCTTCTCCACCAGGAGGGGCCTCAGCCGAGCCAACCACGGACGCTCAAGGGGAGAGACAAGCCCTCCCGATCTACAGCTGCCAAAAAAAAAAAGATAAACCTATAAAAGAGGGCGGCTCCCGCACCCGCGGCCATGGGAGGTCGTCCGGGGTTCGTACCCAGCCGATTGACAACAACGCACCGATTCGAGCAAATCCCCGACATGCCGGCCGACGGGATGGGGAATCCCCACGACGTGATCATTGACATTCCCTTGAATGACGCTCCCAGTCGAGGCGGCAACCTCTCCTCCTCAGACGCCCGCAAATGGAGCTCGCACAACCAAACCCCCGACGAGACCATTGTCAGCGAGAAGGCCGGCCTGGTCACGACGCGAGGCCCCGGCCGCCGCCGCCGTCGCCGTGAAGACACCTCTGCTTCCGACAACACCATCACCGAGGCGATGGGCAAACCTGCCGAGTCGCCCGAGGACGGCACGCTGAACCGCATGGGCCGCATCTACCAGGCTATTCTGAATTTCTCCATCGTCACTCGCTACCTCATCTATGTCACTCCGATCGCCGTGCTGATTGCGATTCCGATCATTGTCGGTGCGACGGCTGCCAAGGAGGCCCGTATCGGCGGCGTTCATATCTACTGGTTCTTTGCGTGGATCGAGGTCGTCTGGCTGAGCTTGTGGGTCGCTAAGATCTTTGCTCATTTTCTGCCTTATGTCTTTCAGTTTCTCTGTGGGATTGTCAGCTCTGGCACGCGCAAGTATGCGCTTATTTTGCGCGCCCTGGAAACGCCCATCAGCCTGGTGCTGTGGTCGGTTATTTCGTTAGTCACGTTTCTTCCGGTATGTCTAGCCGTCCGAGATTGTCAATATTCGATGTGAACGGGCAATGGCTAATGAATTACAGATTATGACCTTGACCCCTGGAAAGAAAGAGAACAATGACACCGACGTCAAGTCCTGGGAGAAGAGTATCAAGAACATTCTGTTCGCGCTGCTTGTGTGCAGCCTGATCCTGCTTGGCGAGAAAGCCATCGTCCAGCTCATTTCGATCAGCTACCACCGCAAGCAGTTCGACACCAAGATCAAAGAGTCCAAGCGCAACGTTTACCTGGTCGGCCTGCTCTTCGAAGCCTCCCGGAATATGTTTCCCGCGTATTGCCCCGAGTTCCGTGATGAGGATGCCATTATCTTCGATTCGCTCTTGGCCCAAGGTGGCCAGAAGGGCGGCAAGCGCGGCTCTACCATGCCGTTGCGGATGATGCGCCAGGTCGGGCACAACGTCGGCCGCATTGGCGACAAAGTCACTGCAGCATTCGGGAATGTGGCCTCTGAGCTGACCGGCAAGCAAGTGTTCAACCCGAATGCAACGCACTCGGTCGTGGTCCAGGCGCTGGAGCGCAAGCGGTGCTCTGAGGCGCTGGCGCGCCGTATCTGGATGTCATTTGTTGTCGAGGGCCGCGAGGCTCTGTATCTGGAGGACATTGTCGAAGTGCTTGGTCCCGACCATGAGGCCGAGGCTGAGGAGTGCTTTGCTTCTCTGGACAAGGACGGGAATGGCGATATCAGCTTGGATGAGACGATCCTGGCCATCACTGAGTTTGGTCGCATGAGGAAGTCCCTGAACCACAGCATGCATGACGTCGACCAGGCTATCCATGTGCTGGACAACCTACTTCTTGGTGTTGCCTTCATCATTGCTGTTCTGGTTTTCATCTCCTTCGTCACCAGTGGATTTGGCACTGTTATTGCCGCTGGAGCAACCACGTTCCTTTCGCTGAGTTTCGTCTTCGCAACCACCGCTCAAGAAGTGCTGGGATCTTGCATCTTTCTGTTCTCCAAGCACCCCTTCGATATCGGTGACCGCGTGGACATCAGCGACAAATCCTACATTGTGGAACGCATCTCGCTGCTTTTCACTGTGTTCCGCAGCGTCACCGACCACCGGATCACCCAAGTGCCCAACAACATTCTGAACAGTCTCTGGATCGACAACTTCACTCGGGCCAATGCCATGCATGAGCAGCTGACGGTCCCGGTCAGCTTCGACACCACCTTCGCCGACATCCAGATGTTGCGCGAGGAGATGGAGCGTTTCGTCCGTGACAAGGACAACTGCCGTGACTTCCAGGAAAACATTGACATTGAAGTCGTTGGCGTCGGCGACATGGACAAGCTCGAGCTGCGCGTCGACATTCGCCACAAGTCCAACTGGTCCAACGAGACGGTTCGCGCGTCGCGCAGGTCCAAGTTCATGTGTGCGCTTGTGCTGGCCGTGCGGAAGATCCCGATGCGGGCTCCGGGTGTTGCCGCCGAAGAGGAAACCAAGTCTGATGACGATGATGGCGACGACAACGGCGATAATGCCGACACAAAGTTCACTGGCAACCGCAAGTCCACCCAGGGCAGAGGCGCCGACCAACCCTCATCCCGGAACGACGACTCTGGACAGATGGGACTGACTGCCGCTGCCGCTGCGGCAACCGGAGGCATGATGAAAATCGACTCGACCACCCCCAACTCGGCCCAATCGACAGGCTTTGACCACGGCCGATCTGGATCTGTGTACCAGCGCGGATCTGGCGCCGCGGCGCAATCCCAGCGGGAAGCCGCATACGCTGAGCAGCTCAACTCGCGCGCGCCAACAGTTGATGCTACTCGCGACGAGCGCGAACAGGGTCTCTACCGCACCGCGACTAACTCCACCCAAGGCCAGCAGCCCAACGCACAGGGAGGCGGCGCCGGAGACAACACCAACGCCCCCTCGCGCGGCCTGTCGACGGGCCGGCGAAAAGAAGGCACACGCACCTCATACAATGAGCATGGCGTCCCGTCCCTGCCCGCGCCATCGCCCCTGTCCCCCGTGCACTCAGGCCTGACCCCGTCAACCAGCGACGTCCCGATCCTCGGCGCGCCGACTCCTCCCTCCCGCGGTAGCGCCCGCTACGAGCCCCGGCCTCTATCTCAGCCCCAATCCCAGGCACAGGCACCTCAACTCCCCTACAACAACAACAACAGCAACAACCAGGGCATCGTCTCCCCGAATCCGGCCGCCTACAACACCTACTCGCCCGCCAACGCCTACGATCCCGTCCACGTAACCGGCGTCAGCGCCGAGCACACCCCCATGCGCAACCACCGCTTCGACTCCGGCCCGCCCATCTCCGGCATCACCGCCAGCAGCAACTACGATTTCCACGATCGCTATGACCCCGTCTCGCCATCTTCGCTGCACTCCCCACCGCCGCCGCCCGCCCCGGCCCCTGCCGCTACTGCTCCGGCTCCGGGCCCGACATCGCCGCCGCAGTCCGAGGCTGTGAATCGTCGCTCATCGTTCCTAGCGAAGGCTCTTCGGAGGGATCTTAGCAGGAAACCTTATGCGGAGCATTAAGGTTGATTGTATTGGTTTTTGAGTGGATTTGAGGCTTTGTGTCGTTGTTTTAAACAAAAGAATTTGGGTTTCCTTTTTGGTGTTGTTGATATATTAATTGCTGTGGGAATGTCGATAGATGATATGATCTATGTTGAAATTGTGGTGGCGCCGACTGGGGGGGGATTTTTTTGTCTTTTGCTTTGTACCAATATTCATTTGTTGAATGATGTGGTTCTTTTCTCCAATATGAAGACTGGGTTAATTGAATTTATACCGAGGTTGTCTTGCTTAGTTTTTCAATAATGATCTACCAAAGTCATACAAGCCAATCGAGCTGAGATGCAATTATTAGTCAAATATCTAGCGATTGTCACTGGCTCTTTCATAGATCTCAAGAACAAAACAATCCGACAGAGTATCATACAAGAAAAAAGAGCAGATTCAAGCACAATCCATCTATCTATCGACTCCCCGTCTCCTTCCACGGATACGTCACCTCATCGTCCTTGCGCACCCAGATCTTGGACTTCTTCTTGTTCACGACGTGCTCGACAAATACATCCCGCGTGTACTTGGCCTTGAAGCGGCGGATCCAGCGTGGATCCCACAGCTCGCTGGCAATGCCCAGATCCTTGCAGCAGCGCACCAGCGCGTTGGAGCGGCAGCCCTCGGTGGCGGTGGGGATGCCGTCGGGGGAGAAGTAGTCTTGTTCGCCGCGGGCGACGGAGACCAACCTATTCAGCATTATGATTAGCATTCCACGGAAAAAAAGGATAGAAACAAAATAGAAACAAAATAGCTCAATTCAACTCACCGCCCGTTACAAACAAGAGCATACTCCCGCGTCACAGCCTTGGGCGTCACGATACTCTCCCCGCGCGGCACAAGCCCCCAAGCGCCAGGCCCAAACGCGCGGTTCAGAATCCGTCGGTACTTGATCTCCGGCAAGTAGACGATGCCGTCGGGCTTGATCTCGACTTCGGCGGGATCCAGCTCCGCCAGCAGGATGTCTGCTGCTTCTTTGGGGAACGGCGCTGCCGACAGTCCGTGGAACGAGCGCGTCCAATCGATCTTCTCTTCGGGCGAGACTTCCAGCTCGAGGGGTTTGTCGGCCAGCCCGCTTTTGGAGATATTGTCTGTTGTCGGTCGGCTTGGGGTTGGTGCAGTGGCTCGGTTGTCGTTGGAGGGTGCTGTTGTAGGTGTTGTGGTCGTGGTGGTTCTTGGGGCTGGGGGTGGCGTAGCGGGTTTCGGGGTTGGAATCGTTGTCGATTGGGCCCTGCTGTAGTTGTTGTTGCTGCCGTTGGTCTGTTGCCGTGTCGCGGTGTAGCTTATTCCTCGTTTGGTGATGGGCTGCGCAAGCTCGGTTCTGGGAATCACCCGAGCGCGCGGAGCTTGAGATGAGCGGGTTGCTGTTGCTGCATGCTGAAGTACTTCAGCTGCGCGCCAGGGGCGGCATCGGAGTGGAGCGGCCATGGTGAGATGGGATGTCGTTTGGACGGAGAAAAGCAGCTGTGAAGTCATTGGGTGTATGAATCACGTGATATTAACATGTACAAGTACTCAATTGGGGTATGAGATGCCCATGGCCATTGAGATGAGATTGGACTATATAGCATCCAGCTAATAAAATTGGTTTCAAATGCGGTCTTCCTCTACAAGGAAACCTCATGCATCCTTTGTCTGTGTTCGCTGGTTGTTGCCCTGCCGCTTCCAACACTCGCGGAAGGCTTCCATCTATGCTAGTAGTCAGTCTTCAAACGTGAAATGTCCTCGGAAGCATTCAGCACAGTCATGCTTTGGGTGTAGTCAGATGGAGAGAGGATAAGAGCTTCGAGTGGCTCCAAGTCGCGTCGTCTCAAACAAATAGCAAGTCCACCTACCTCCTTCTTGCATGCGCGCCAGTCCTTCTTGGTAAAATAGCAGTCGTTCATTTTATCTTGCTCAACTACAGCACATCAGAACGGCGTTCTCCGAGTATCAGAACTCTAGAACTCACCTGCGCAGCCGGTGCTGAAGATGCGCTTGTCCCTATCATTTCGAGTCAGCACCTCCAAGCTCATACAAATACGGGCAAAACAGGCCAATTACCACTCATCAGGCTCATCATCATCCTCTGGCACTGTGCGAGACTGCTCAGCGTTGTTCGACATGGCTAGAAGTATGACGGAAGGAGAAATGGAACAACGCGGTTTGCCTCGGAATTTTTTATCTTATCGGCCCTCCGACCCCGGACGATTTTCTCCCTTGACCAACCCACCATGGCCACGCCGACAGGCAACAATGCCAATACAACGGGCAAGAAGCTCAATGTCCTCGTGTACTCCGGTTCGCTCACCTACTCCGCCTGGCAACTCAGCCGTTTTCTGACCGACGATTTCGCCACAGGAAACGGAACCACCGTCGACTCGGTGCGACACTGTCTCTACACTCTGCGCCGGCTGCTCGCCCCCTACTATGCCGTCATCCCCGTGACGGGCGACATGCTCCTCAAGGAGCCGTGGACCACCACGTGCGCCCTGCTGGTTATCCCCGGCGGTGCTGACCTGGGCTATGGCCGCACGCTCAACGGTGCGGGCAACCGGCGCATCGCCCAATTCGTGCGCCGCGGCGGCCGCTACCTAGGGTTCTGTGCTGGAGGCTATTATGGATGCAAGCGCTGCGAGTTCGAGGTTGGGGACAAGACAATGGAGGTCATTGGTGATCGGGAACTCGCGTTTTTCCCTGGCACTTGTCGCGGCGGCGCGTTCCCCGGTTTTGTTTACCACAGTGAAGCCGGGTCTCGGGCTGCCGCGCTGGATGTCACCAAGGATGCCTTGAATCAGGGCTCGATACCCACGAACTTTCGCTCGTACTACAATGGCGGCGGGGTCTTTGTCGATGCGCCCTCGTTTGCCGATCGAGGAGTCGAGGTGCTGGCAAACTATAGTGAGAAGCTCAATGTCGACCCGGGGGAAGGGCAGGCCGCTGTTGTCTACTGCAAAGTGGGCGACGGGGCTGCAATTCTGACGGGGCCACATCCGGAGTATGTATGAGTTGTGCATGGACTGACAGCAGTCTGACTGACTCTACCTAGATTTGCAGCCGTGAATCTCGACCGGAAAGCCGGTGGGCCTGAGTTTGCAGAGCTAGTTGATGCTCTGGCTGCCGACGACAAAGAACGCACGGATTTTCTGAAAGCCTGTCTTCTGAAACTCGGTCTGCAGGTCGCACAAGACACTGCTTCGGTGCCTTCGCTGTCGTCTCTGCATCTTTCTGGAGTCGACGCCGAGCGCCCTTTGGAGATTCTGTCCTCGCTAGGCGAGTCATTCACGCAGGAAGGGCAAAACGAGTATCTCAAAGATGAGAACGATACCTTCCGTATTGAACGACCTGGTGCATGGAACCTGAGCGATTTGGAGGACTCATTGCCTGGGGAATCTTCGGAGCCTAGCGAAGGAATCATCGACTATAAAGCTATTGTCAAACGTCTTGTTATTCATGATGACCTGCCCTCTTCAAAGCTGACCCCATACTTCAACCACCATGCATTCTATGCCAACCTCCGACAGTATCAGTCTAAATCCCGGGAAGGTTCGTCGGAATTTGGTTCTAATCTCTTGTACGGCGAGGTAGTGACCAGCACCAACACCATTCTGGAGAAGTAAGCCCTACCGCTGTCGGTTGAATTTTGCCATCGCTGACTGTTTAGGAACACACAACTCCTGCGTCGCCTACCACACGGCTTCACGGCCACGGCCACCATCCAGGTTGCCGGCCGCGGGAGAGGATCTAACGTCTGGGTGTCACCGTCTGGTGCACTAATCTTCTCTACAGTGGTGCGACATCCAGTCGAGAAGATCCAGTCGGCTCCAGTGGTGTTCATTCAGTATTTATCGGCGATGGCTGTAGTGAAGGGCATCAAGAGCTATGCCAAGGGCTACGAGAAGATTCCGGTCAAGCTGAAGTGGCCGAACGACATTTGTGCGTGGGAGTTGACCCATTGATATTGATATTATGAGTTACCGCACATTGCTTACACATTCTTGCAGATGCGTTGGACCCCGACGACCAAGAGCAGAAACGCTACACCAAGATCTGCGGGATCCTGATCAACTCTCACTTCATGGCAAACGAGTACATCTCCGTCGTCGGCATCGGCATCAACGCCACAAACGCATCTCCGACAACTGCTCTCACCACTCTAGCAGCACGCTATGCCACTCCCGGTGCTGCACCCGTACTTCTTGAAAAGTTGCTGGCGCGCATCCTGACAACCTTTGAGGATTTGTATACCCGGTTCCTGCGCACGGGCTTTGACCGCGGCTTCGAGGGCATGTACTACGAGGACTGGCTCCACATGCACCAGATCGTGACACTCGAAGAAGAGGGCGGCGTGCGCGCCCGTATCCAGGGTATTACGCGCGACTATGGCCTGTTGCTGGCTGAGGAGCTGGGGTGGAATGACCGGCCTACAGGGCGAGTGTGGCAGTTGCAGAGTGACAGCAATAGCTTCGACTTCTTCCGCGGGCTGGTAAAGCGAAAAATTTAACGCGGGTCTCTACTTAGGACATATAGAGCATATGATGTATTCTCAACGAAATATCAACGCACATCTCTCTCCCGCTGTAACCCCCTACTTGTATATTTATAATACCAGGTGCACCTCTCTTGGTGTCTTCGGACAATTCCAGCGCCAGACTGGCCATCTATTGCGCTGCCTTCTCAGGATCAAATATCCTTGTCTGTTTAAAATCAAGCAAGCGGACCTCGCCACTAGCACGATCAACCAGAAAATTATACCGATTGACATCGCCATGAAAGCGACCTAGAGCCCTCTCGCACGCAGCCAGGTCATCGATAGACGCAAACCGCCCCTCAACCTCCTCCATCAAAAATCCCATCACGCAACCATTCTCTGTGAGGTGTGCCAGAAACCCGGGAGCAATGGGAGAGATTTCATCGCGGGTGTCTTGCTCAGCAAGCAGCTGGTAAACGTAGGTCTCGTTTCCCAGTCGCGGGATCTCATGGGCCCAGCAGGCGATGTTGGCAAATGCAGGGCCGCTATTGAACAATACTTCGTGGACACCCGATCGATAGCGCTTGGGTTTTCGTAAAGAAAGAACATCCACACATTGGGGATGCCATACCGGCTCAATACCTGGTAGCTATTCGTTTGACATTCTTGGAACGGGGATGCCATTCTCGCCACGAAAAATCTTCATGCTTGTCCATGTACCCTCGGGGAGTGCTGGGAGACGTGGGATCAATAGAAATGGGATACCCATGGTGTCTTCATCGTAAACATCGCAATCAATTGTCAAGTGATACACGCGGTTGCCACTTCGAATTCGGTAGTATCCTTTCTCCTGGCCGATCTCTTGCGACAAGTCCTCGAGCTCGCTCTTTGGTATGAATTTTGGCTCTTTCGGGAGTTCGGCAAGATTTGGCGTGGATTCCCTCATGGTGAAGTGGATGAGTGATAGATGTGTTTTTCAACGGGAGATAGTTTCTCGAGATAATTTATTCTTGCTGGCGTGGTCTTGCTCGGAGAACTGACTAGGTTCAAGTTCTAGTGATCATAGGCCTACGGAAATGTTTTTCTTTCTTTCTAATTTTGGCCTGCTAAGCGCTATGAATGGTGATCACTTGAATCCTTTTTCTGTTGAGTTCTGGGCGGATAGATCAGTCCCAATTAAAGCCTGATATGAAAGGTCATGCTAGTTAGATCCATATCTGTGGAGGCTAACTTGAGAAATAGTTTGGATAGAAGACAATATTGCAGGTGAATAAATATATCCAAGCCCACACTCAAACAAGATCATCTATATCGTGTGGCTGGCTAATTTACACTCTCACCTAACTGACCCCCATCCAGAGTCTACATATTTATTCATCGGTAAGGCTTAATGTGGAAAACTGTCCATGCGGTTTTATTACAACTAATAATGTTCTATATCCTTCACTCCCATAGCCTTGCCAGGATAGGGCGGTATTAGAGAAAGGTCTCTTGTTTGGCCGAAGCTTCAAGGAAGTGAGCAATGAGAAATACAATAATAAGATAAGGGGTATGACAGGCAAAAGATCAAGCAATTACATCCGTTAAGCCGGTGAATCGTGGACATCATAGGTATCTATCTATGTACGCTTTCAGCAGTTTTCTAAACGCATAGCACCATTAGCCCAAGAAACTGTCCAACCATGCATTGCCATATACACTCCTATAAATCGTTAGTAATGGTAGCATTTCAAGAAAAGAACCATTATCACTCACCAAGCCCAAAAAATAAGTGGTTATTGACATTTTTACGAGCCTTATTTATGTCCCTAGCAGCAAGGGCTTTTGTTGGCAGGTACTCGTATGCCTCTACTGTTTTGCCCCTCCACTCGGTTCTAAGATCCTTCACTATGAAAAAACATTAGCCTGTTAAAGGGCAGTTTTAGCATAAAGGAGGACGCAAGACATACATTCACCGGCTTGTCTGCTATGCAAAGTCTCATGCGACAATATTCCAGTCCAAGACATCAGCAAATGATTCATATCCGTTTCACCGTTAAGCCAGATAGGCTCCAGAAGGGCTTGGAAATATGGTTTGTTTATCTCGCTCTTGCAGAGGAGGATAATTTGCGGATTCCACGTAAAGAAGCAGACTCCTAATCGTTCTCCCGACGGGCAGGGTGGATCAGGCACCCACCCCCATTCATGGCTGCCAGGAATCCACATCATTTTATAAGCAGGCTCAGTGGTCAGCTTCTTCCCTGTGTCTTGCTCATAGCTTTTGCCTTTGTGGGTGGCATTCGCAAAGCTGGCGTCGCAATAAACCAAGATGTCCGAACGCAAAGCATCCGAGAAGCCCTTAAACGTATCTAATTGCTCACAAATGAAATTTGAAACAAACAAATCAGCCCAGTGCCTTTTACGTAGAGGAAGGAAAGGGGGCGGGGGAGAAAGAGAAGTATCTCCCCTATGAAGGCTCACTTAATATATCCTCTGTGCGTCTTTTGAACGACTTCGTGCTGCTAGTGAGCCTCGTGCTGCGAGTGAGCCCAAACATGGCATCCAACCCTTTTTCCATCACGCGGTACATTGAATCTGCTTTGGCTTTTTTATCTGCGTTCACAAACCATTCAAGGCGGTTTGTCACTTTGGTGGAGAAATCGAGGGCGCCACCATATGCGTCTGTCATAAAACCCCGGTTGTATTCATGAGACTTCTTTAGGTTGCCGCAGGAGGAGTGAATCCTCATTCGATTGGATCCATCGCGCGGAGAAAGGAAAGATGCGTCGGAGGTTTCGGGGGCATCAGAGAAATAAAAACTATCGGACACGTCGGGAAAATCGAAAAAATCGAAAGGATCAGCCGACGCCAATGATTGGAAAGACAGAAGCAGTAGTAGTAACAGGAGAGGTCGTTTCATTGTACAAATGAGAGAAGCGCTTCAAGCATGAAAACGCCTATATCAGGAAGCGTCGAAGTCATAAAGAGGAATTCAAATGTTCCAGGGCGTTGTGATAGTCATTTCCCCAGGTGCTTTGGCTATGGGGCAACGATTTAAATCTTGTTCCGCCCCCTTTGGCCCTAAGTATATCCTTCAGGAGCGAGGGTGAGAAAGAGAGTGTCCCGCTAAACCCATTATCGCATCTATGATGACGATCATGGAGTAGCCTTGCCCCACAAGAAACCTGCTGGTAGGCAGTTTCTTGTATTCTGGTTATTATGCTTGAGGCTAGAGCTGCTCAATAACTGTATTTCGTTGATCGAATATCGCTTCTCTGAACCAATACCCCAGCCACATCATGTTGCTAGGGCAAATCGGGCAGTTAAAAACATTTATTTTCGACGGATAAATGTCAAAGCGCTTTTTGGGGCGATTATGACCCACTGGGAAATCTGTGATAGTTACGGGGGCTGAGTTGAGTGGAGGAAAGCTCGTGTCAGTGTTGGATTGATTGTTCGTTATACCTCAATCATTATTCAGTTCTTTATCACGATTTTGATATTTGGTCTTTGAACGAATTTACCTTGACGTATTCTCTGAAGCCTACCCGACCTACACCTTCAAATCGCCCCCGGGGCCTCTCCTTTGAGTATACACTCATGTCATCCAGGTCATTCGCTCTCTTGAATTTATGAAAAAAAAAATGAGATTGATGTCAACCTCGCTTCAGTGATTGTAGCTAGGTATACCTAGTTCCTAGCCTCCCCTTGAAAACAGTGAGAAAAGTTATACTTCGTTCCCCACATGCTGTTGGCCCCTGCATTGTACCTTTGTATGGCCAACCTCAAAATCTCATGGAGTACCGAAAACGAACAGGGAATGGGAGGACTCAAGCTCTTGGTCCAGGGAACCACTCGATGCAACTTCACCATATCAACGGCGTATTTGGAAGCCGTTTAAGCAATTTTTCGATTAACTTATGTTTGGAGCCTGAGGCTAAATACGACAATAAATGTTACCATTATCTCACGTGACATCTTACTTGGTCTTAGCGATGCTTCGTCCCTGAGCAACCATCGAATGTCATCCACAGCTCCCCCGACCATGAGCTGTGACCTGAAGGCATTTCGGACTAATCCTTTATTCTGGACGAGATTCCATCGGATATACATTTTGTATTTCCATAAGACGCTCATATCTCGTTTGCAGCCATCTTGTTTTTCCTCATACGCCATGTTGCAGAGTCATGATACTAAGGAGCCTTGCTTCAAGTACAATTGGATTGATGGCGTGGAGACACTGGAAAAGTACACATGATTGGCGACATACTACGCGGTCGATACCGCATTGTCGATAAACTAGATTATGGGGGGCTACTCGACTGTATGGCTCGCTCAGGACACTTGGTCCAAGCGCCATGTCGCCGTTAAAGTTGGCATTGCAGATTCGTCTTTGAACGAAACGAAAATTTTTCGAGCACTTTTTGAACACCAATCATCGTCATCAGTCTTACGTCTCAGACGCGACACAATGCCATTTCCCCTAGACGAATTCGAAGTCATTGGCCTAAACGGAACACACCAGTGCTATACAATGATCCCAGTACAATGCAACCTCAAAGAAGTTTCCTTCAATCATCTCTTTCCCCTCGAAGTCACTCGGGCACTCTCTTACAGTCTCACACTAGCTATTGCATACATCCAGTCACGGGGTTATCTTCATAGAGTTTTGTCGCGGGAAGTATATCTCGGTATACTCTGAGTGTCTATGGCTTACATTGAGATATCTTGTCTAGATGTTTATATTCGCAACACTCTAGTCAAGCTCCACTTTGCAATTGATCAGCTCTCAATCGACGAATTCTACGAGTTGTATGGTGATCCAGACACTGTACAAATCACCAAACGAGATCGAAGCCCACCCCCTTCCAATATTCCAGCGAAGGCAGTAGTTCCACTCTATTTGGGCAAAATTGCAGAAGAATTTACGCTCGATGACACTCATGTGCTTTTGAGCGACTTTGGCGAGTCCTTTAATCCGACCTCAGAACCTCGTCGGAGTGAAGATTGCCATACGCCACTAGCAGCGCGACCTCCAGAAGCCCTCTTTGCCCCGCAAGCTCCGCTCTTATTCTCAGCAGACATTTGGAGTCTCGCCAAATCTATCTGGGAGATCCTCGGCATGAAAGCTATCTTCAGCAGCGAACACTATTCGTCAGATGAACTAGCTTCTCAGCAAATTGATATTTTGGGCCCTTTGCCCCGAGACTGGTGGGAGCAATGGCCCGAAAGAAGCGAATTCTTTCACGCTGACGGGCGCCCAACCAAGGGTCGTTATGTGTGGCCTCCGATAGAGCAGGCCTTTGAAGAAGGTATCCAAAATCATCGACGAGTGCGCCAGGTTGGTGAATATTGGAGCGAGGAATCGATTGCGATTCTGGACTTGATGCGGCGAATGCTCACGTTCCGGCCGGAAGACCGACCTACCGCTGAGGAGGTCCTGAGGTCGGAATGGATGGCTAAATGGTGTTTACTGGACTTTGAGCGGAGCTGGAATTCATCGTAGAACAAAAAAAAACCACTTAGCTCTTGTTGATGCCGAGGCTAGGCTACAAGGCTGAGCGAGTAGAAAGATGAGGAACACCATAAAAGATACAATAAAAAGTTACCCGATATGATATAGATATACTAATTTGGCGCACACTGCTCAAGAGCACTGCTTTTGCTTTGCTGCACAGCTCGTTTCTGTTTCGTCCAGATCAGGATTATCGGAACAAGCACGTAATTCATAGAGATTGTTGATGAAGATGCCTTGCAGTGGGACTGAGTAACCGCAGTAGGCGACTCGCAGCCGATTTACCTCGGGAGTGACAAGCGGAGAAACCCCAGGTGTCAGTCATCCCAGAAATCCTTCCCTATCAAGTTCATTCAAATTCACAGACATCTTGAACATATTCATAGTCATCAAATTCTAGAGAGCAATGTCTCAGCCGGCTTCATCGACAAACCCTAAAGGACCGCCTCCCAATGAGACGCGAACCGAGCATCTAGCTCGCTGGGCCGCGAATCTGCAGTTCTGCGATATCCCAACTGACGTCGTGGAACGAACAAAAGAGCTATTCTTGGATTGGTTTGGCTGCACTGTCGCAGGACGCCACCATCCTGCTGTTTCTGCGATCCGACAGTTTGCTGTCCAAATGGGGCCTTCCAGTGGCAGAAGCGAGCTTGTCGATGGATCCATCGTTTCCGGAACTAGTCCGGCATTTGCGAGTCTGATTAACGGTGCTTCTTCTCATGTCGTTGAGCAGGATGACCTGCACAACCGAAGTATCATGCATCCAGTGGGTACTCCAGAAGCTTGAATATTTAGATTGCTCCTGAGACAATCTGCTATTTGTTTCAAAAACACGAGGTTGACTTACTCAGGCAACTGTTATCTTTCCTGCCGCGTTAGCTGTGGCTCAAGATATTAGTGCCAATGGCCAGGAATTCATCACGGCCTGCGTCGTGGGTTATGAGGTCGGCTGTCGGGCAGGAGAGTATCTTGGGAAGGGTCACTATGAGGTACGCAGCATGGCTTGTGGTGCTTTCTTGCAGAAGCAGTTTTCAAAATCAATTATTTCCTACGCCGCTGAAAGATGCTAACCCAAGCCCAGAAATTCCACACTACTGGAACGGCCGGCGTTCTCGGGGTTGTAGCCGCCATAGCTCGTCTGCTAAAGCTCAACGAAGACCAGACCTTGTCGGCGATCGGGACAGCAGGAACTCAAGCGGCTGGTCTCTGGCAGTTCTTACTGGATGCAACGCATTCAAAGCAAGTACATACCGCAAAGGCATGCTTCGATGGCATATTCGCGGCCTATTCAACCAAAGACGGACTGCTGGGCCCTCGAGATATTCTCGAGGGACCGCGCGCGATGGGAGTGGCATTGGCTCCAGGAAGCACAATTCCCGAGGCCATTGATCGAAACCTCGGCACGGACTTTGCCATTCTGAGCTCCAGTTTCAAGTGGCATGCGTCTTGTCGTCACACCCACCCCAGTGTTGACGCTCTCTTGAGTTTGATGCACAAGCATGCGGTTGCGTTTGATGATATTGAGTCTGTTGTTGCTCGCACATATCAGGCTGCTATCAATGTATTGGGCTTGAGTGGCAGTGGCGAGACGGTTCATCAGAGCAAATTCTCAATGGGATTTGTTCTCGCTGTGGCGGCTAAAAAGGGCCAGGCTATGATTACTGATTTCACAGAGGAAGATCTGAGGAATGCTTCTCTACGTGACTTCCAGAGTCGAGTATCAATGGAATATGACAAGGAGATCGATGAGAAGTTTCCGGAGAGATGGCAAGGCACGGTTATTGTCACCTGCAAGTCTGGGAGAAAGTTTACGGAGTCCGTTTACTTTGCGAAAGGAGATCCAGAATTTCCTCTGACAAGGTATGATATGTCTCTCTGATAATGTGATGTTATCTTATAAGGCTGACAATTACCCGGAAGATCCGAACTCGAAAGCAAAGCACGATCCCTTTTCGCATATGGAGATTTCCATGAGCATGAGACAATCGACCGCTTGATCCAGAGATCATGGAACCTTGACCGTAAGAATGACCTACATGGATTTTCCATTACGCAGAGATAAGGTGCATTCTTGGGTTTTTCTCTTCGAAATCGTGCCATGTCCATCATGACCTCCTGCAATGTCAATTCCCAACCACAGCCGGCTCAAAAACAAGCTGGAAATTTAATGCGCAAACCTGAAATCCAGTCTCTTGCTTCCTTGTACCTTCGTAGACCTGAGATAGTTGGCCCGCTCCTGTTCAGTCATGGCATTCCAAGCCTTTTCTCTTCTCCGATTTTGGAACACATAGTATGCTTTGGCTGCCAGGAACAACACGATAGCCAGGACATTGATAGCGATGAGATCGGTATTCCCGCGTCGGTATTTCGGCTTGTCATCTTCTCTGTAAATGAAATAGGCAGCGATATCTCCTGCCTGGACTGACATCTGTGAAGATGGTTAGTGATGATGTGGTCGAGGGTTTTTGCATGGCCACCTACATTGTATAGTGCAGCCGACACCGAGCGATTGCCGACATTATTGGCATTTCTAGACACCCAGGCGACCACGATTGCTGTAATAAAGCTCAGCATTTTGCAACTCGTCGCAGAGAAGGCTGTTTTGTACTTACCATGGCAATAGGGATAGCTCAGCAAGACAGTCACCAGGGCATATGTTCCCCAAGCATTGCTAATAACCTCACTCCAGAAGCGCAAAGCAAGCAAGCACGGCAGTGTCCAAATAGCCTGGAACATAGCAACCAAAGCCCACTGGTTAAGCCAGCTAGATATCTTAGTGAGCAGCAACAAGTTGAAAATATGAAACACACTCGACGGGATAGTGAGCAAATTCGTATTGAACTTGTTGAACCCCACCGAGCGAAGAGTCAGCGTGAGATACGAGTTTGGCGGCGACTGAGGGATATATGCGACCACTCCGATAAAATATATCGGCCACATATGGTAGTCCTTGACGGCATCCCAGAGCCTGGACGGCGTGATGGCTTGGCGGTTGTGCATGTCGCCCTTGGAGGGATCGTCGCGGAGGACGCGGTTGGCGACGATGGCGACCTCGCGGTCCGTGAACCACCCGTTGGGTCGGAACCATGTCTTGGTTTGCACGACGGAGGCGGGCATCATGAAGAATGAGGCGAGCCCGATGCTCAGCGTGATCACGCCTTCGATGAGGAACAGCCATCGCCACCCGGCCATGCCGTGGACGCCTCCGAGATGGAAGACTGCGAAGGCTAGGAGGGAGGTCACGATGGTTGTGACGGAGAGCGACGTCCAGAAAAAACTGATGGTAGGTCAGCACTCGTACGGAGTTCTCTCACTGACGCTACTCATACCTTAGACGCACTGGCAGCTCGCGAGAAGTATAAAAGTACGAGAGCCAGAGGACGATGTCGGGGATGAAGCCACCCTGCAGAAGTTAATAACAATCAAAGCAATATTTAGGATGTCACTAACCTCTAAGATACCCAACAGACTCCGAGTAATCAAGAATGACCTTCGATCGGCCAGGGCGCATTGTGATACAGCCACCACTGACCATAGCACGATTTGAGTGGGTATCCACCGGTCTGGTCCGATTTTCTTGGACACTAATTGCGATGGCAGCTCTGCCAGGAGAAACGAGACCCGGAAGACAATGTTGCCATAGTTGTAGTCTGTAATGTTAGTACCGGAAGCCCTTTCTGCTACTTGCTTGGGCAGTGCTCGTATATAAAACTAGAACATACCATTTGTGTTCAGTCCCAAATCCTCGAGAAGCGTGTCAGAAACCGCCTGAACGAGGTTTCCTCGATCGACCTGGAGAGCGAAGAACATGACACACTAAAACAGACAGCAACAAAGATAAGCATTTGAAGCGCAAGAATAAGAGAGACATAGTACATACCGCCCATAAACAAATCCTCCAGTCAAGTTTGCGTATCAATTGCTTTTCTTCTTCTGCGGACCACGTCAAGGCAGGGTCAAACACATGGCGACACTCATACTGCGCCTTTTCATACACTCCACTCCAGTACTCTGCAATCTCAGGGTCGAGAAAGGGGTTTTGGTCATTTGGGATGGCAGTGTCGTCGTTCGACTCCCAAGTGCCATAGTACTTTGAGTGATCTTTCGAGGTCGCTTCACTTAGCGTTGTTACCGCAGTGGTTTTTGGCTCGGTATTGCCCATGGCTGAATTTTTGTAAGGCACTCAGAATATTAGTTGTACCTGATTTCGATGTCTGGGCGGAATGCTACTTATAAGGCCATGATGTTATCAACACAACGGCAGAGGAACCCCTCAGAACTCGGTCTAGTAAGTATGGCGTTTAGCACAAAAGAACCTAATGAGGATTGCTGCAGCGGCGTAATAGGATCCCTAATTGGCAACGGTGATAACGAATATTGAGATGTAGCAGTTCTAATTCATGATGTGAATTGCGTGCTCCATGACTACAGAAGGAAAGCCATCCCCGCATAGCCAGATGTGAGAATCTATAGCCTTTTGCATTTGAATCATTCATGTCTCTTTTTAAACCAAATTGACGATAATTTCTTCTCGTTATTAAGGGTCTAGGTGTCTTTCTGCTATCTTATCCTGCTAAGAAGATAGAGTTAAAGCATTACTGCCTTCGCCGGTACGATGGAAGCTTAACCATGTATTGAAGCAAGGGGAATCTATGTATCCAGAAAAGCAAAATTGCGGCAGAACATAGCGTGATCACATCATGCTCGGCTGAACGTCTAACGAGAGATAGGCTACTTCTAGTTATACAACTAATTATCTTAGGGATAGAATGAGCAGATTAGAGGGAGATCAGAAGTAGAATATAGGTTAAAGTGCTAAATATACTACCTGGAAAGATATTCTATACCCACGTTTAATAAAGAGAGTGAGGAGATCCATAAGCGTAATGTGTTATGGAAGCTTCGAGTCTAGGGAACGAAAACCTTAAATAAGCCGCGATAGAGAGATTCAGCTCCCAAGCTTGAATGTCTCCCTGTCTGCTGATCCTTTATTTTATCCTCTGTTGGGGGAAGCCTCGCTACTCTCTATGATAATCGGAAATTTCTCGGATGCGTGATTGGACACTTTAGGGAGTTGACGAAACTTGATTTGAATGACTTAAAGCAAATCAAGTCTTATGGTGTGTGGAAATATAGCATGGCCTTGTGAATTTTGTGAAATCATTTAATAGAAAAGTAGTCGCTTGGATGACTCTTTTCTTCTTGCTCATTGTCGGAATTCGGTTAAAAACAAGCATCTGTTTGTTTTTTTATGTTCGAGATGGCGATGAAACTCGTACCCGAGCTTAGAAGTCAGTATGCTCAAGTGTATCAATCATATAATCGGTGAAATAAAAGAGCTGTATATATTGTGAGCTAAGGGTTGAACATTGGTTTATGTCAAGCCTATATTATGGATAACGATGAGATTTCCAGCCAGGCTTAGAAAGTAGTAGAATCGACCAGCGAAAAGAAGAGGTTGGTAGGGCCCAAAAGAGGGCGTAATGAATGGGAAAGATATCGGTTTCAAATTGGTAAAATACGCATTCTTTCTAGCGTGTTCTGCTCAGTCCGCCGAGGCCCCAACAAGGTTTCTTAGATTGGAGTTGTCGCGGACCAACACAACGCTCGATGTCACGCATGGACTATGGTCACCAAGGCACGGCCTCGTCCTCAGTTTCTCTCGAATGCATTGACAGCCTTGCCCGAGGCCACCCCTTTCCCTCTTGGAGAATAGAGGGCTTCACCGTGTCCCATTCAGCCCTAGCGTTAGCCCCAGGCCCCCGGTCATCTGTACCCCGGACATACTTTTTCTCCTCTTTCCCTCTTTTCCTCTCCTTTCCACAACCCCCCGTTTTTGGCTGTCGCCCCCACCGCCCCTCGGGCACTGGAGGATCTAGCGTGATGCGCATGTGTCAGTTGGTGGCAGTTGACTGCTCGGCCGTTCTGGCCAGTGTTGGCGAGTCGTGCTCGGTCGATCGAAGCCAGTGTGACTCGATCGACTCAAGCGAGGGAAATTCAGGGGAGTGGTTTGAGGTAATTTTGGGCCAACATTTCTCCTATTGTGCCAAGAAACTAGTGCACGGTTGAAAGACTTAATTAGAAATTGGCGTATTATCCGGACGAGTGTCCCCCGCTCTCCGTCCAAGCGTCCGGGGGACTGAACCATGGGAAATATCCAAGAAAGAAAAAGAAAGAAAGAAAGAAAGAGTCTCCTAATTAAATTGTGAGGGATTTCTGATCTCTTCAAGCTATCAGAAATATCTCAGTTTGCCGGTCATTATCATTCTGGACTATAGCCAGACATGTTACCCCGTGGGTCCGGAGATAAAGTTATCGATTAGCTTCCTATAGATTCTGTACATTCCACGCGACTCTCCCATGTGAGTCGGGCAAAGATCCCTGTCCAAATATACATATTACAAGCAACATGGACAGAATCTTCGAATCCTTAATCCTTCTCCTGTGGCGTTTTGAACGTCAAAGAGTTAATCGCGCACTTGGACTCTCTTTGACTCTTGTTAGTAGGGGTATCCGTGTAAATACACTGCCGAGAACAGGCTGCCGGTCAGCCCGGCGTTTCATTTAGTTCTTTTTTCTTTTTTCTTCTTGCTTCCATGTTTCTACTATAGAGTAATCTTTCATTCGACGCCATGGGCTCACCTATCCATGTGCCGTACTAGCGCGTACCAGGATGAAGCGTACCAGGGCTCAGATCTCTCTTTTCTAGTGCTTACCAGGATCCTTCGGTTGTTTCTTCCTGTCTGTTCCCCCATGGGGAGCTCGGAACGGTGTGGGTTATTTGACCCAATTTAATCCCCACGGGGGTCCTGTCAAACTTCTGGGAGCTTCATTGTGTGTGCCATCTCTCACTTCTCTTACTTCTACTTCCCCCTCCCTCATTTTCCTTTCAGCTTCACTTCTTTCTCGTCTTCACTTCCCTAAACACTTTCCACTGTTGCCTACCATGACTGAGAAGGCGTCTGTGGACGTGATCTCTCACGATGAGAATGTGGTTCCACCCACCAAGGAAGAGCTGGTCGAGGAGACTGAGCGCCGTCAGTCGCTGGCGGTCAACCTGATCGAAAACCCTCTGATGGTGAGAGCTTCTCCATTTCTGGCCTTTCACCAGGGTTGAACCTGACAATTGTTACCCCCCCTCCAGCGCAGCACCAGAGAGCAGGCCGTCTTCAATGCCCGGACTTTCGCCGAGTCACACAACATGTCCGAGCATGTCGATCTGTTTGGTCGGGCCGCTCTGGTCGCCCGTGACCCCCATCGATTCGAGTCAATTACCGAGCTCGATGATCAGGAGCGGCACGCCCTCGCCTACGAGAGGGATCACAAATGGCACGGCCCGAAGATGCTCTGGTACTCCATCGGTCTGTGTGCCGTCGGAGCCGCCACTCAAGGTTGGGATCAGACTGGTTCCAATGGTGCCAACTTGTCTTTCCCCCAGGAATTTGGTTTGACGGGTAAGGGCAGAGATGAGTGGATTGTGGGAATTGTCAATGCCATCATCTTCTTGACTGCTGGCCTTGTGTGAGTATCTTGACAATGTAATCCCCTTCCCTTCCCCTGGTATTGACTTGTGCCATAGTGGTGCTTTTATCGTCGACCCACTGAACCACTACCTGGGCCGACGCGGCGAGATCTTTCTCACAGCCCTCTGTCTTACTGCCACTCCAATTGGATCAGCTTTTGCCCAGTCCTGGCAGGGACTGTTTGCTGCGCGTTTTGTCATGGGTATTGGTATCGGGGCTAAGAATGCGACTGTACCAATTTACTCGGCTGAGATGGCTCCCGCTCGCATTCGGGGTGCTCTCGTGATGTTCTGGCAGCTTTGGGTTGTCGCAGGTACGTCGGTCTTGGACTTTTCTGCTGCCTTTTCTATACCTTGCTAACCTTCGTCGTAGGTATTTTCCTCGGCTTCTGCGCCAATGTCATTGTCAAGGACACCGGTGCCATCTCGTGGCGTCTGCAACTCGGCTCGGCATTCATCCCCTCCTTTATTCTCGCCGTTGGCATCTACTTCTGCCCCGAGTCTCCTCGCTGGCTCATGAAGAACGGCAGACACTCCGACGCATTCAAATCGATGATGCGCCTGCGATCCCATCCCATTATCGCCGCCAGGGACTTCTACTACTCGTACATCATCTATGAGGAGGAATTGAAGGAGGCTCGTGGTGCTGGCTATTTCGCTCGTCTGTGGGACTGCTTCGCCGTGCCTCGGATTCGCCGGGCCAACTACGGTGCCTCAACGGTCATGATTGCGCAGCAGATGTGTGGTATCAACAGTAAGTTGCTCGACCCGTGCTGATGACTAGTACCTAACCGACATATTCCAGTCATCTCGTTTTACAGCTCCACCATTTTTGAAAATGTCGGCTACTCCGCAACCGAGTCTTTGTACGCATCTCTTGGATACGGTGCCATCCAAGTTGTTGCGACTATCCCGACGTTGTTCCTTATTGACACCAAGGGTCGACGAACGCTGACGTTAATTGTGAGTTGACTTGAAGCTTTGCGCGCAAGAATATACAGCTAACCACCTTTCTCTATAGACTTTCCCCGGCATGTGTATTTTCCTGCTTGCTGCAGGTCTTTCTTTGTTGAACGACAGCGGGAGTCGTGGTGCTCAAATTGGACCTGTTGTTCTGTGCGTTGCTTCCGAAGATTTACCAACCTACATGCACTAAGCTAATCCGTTTCTTTATCTAGGTTCGTCTACCTGTTCACTATCTGCTACTCGCTGGGTGAAGGACCCGTCGCATTCCAGTACTCCGCCGAGGTCTTCCCCACCATCCAGCGTGAGCAGGGCATGGCTTGGGCCGTGTGCATCAACAACACCTTTGCCGGTGTGCTAAGCTTCACATTCCCTCGCATGAAGACTGTCATGACACCGACTGGTGCCTTCGGCTTCTATGCTGGACTCAATCTGCTCGCTTGGTGCATGATTTTCTGTTTCGTCAGAGAAACCAAACAGCTGACTTTGGAAGAGCTGGACCGTAAGTGAACCCATCCAGCTTAGATATGATAGTCGATATATGGCACACCACTAACGCATCTTTCTTTCTTGCAGAGGTCTTCTCCGTTCCGACAAAAAATTTCATCCACTACGAATTGACCGTGTGGCTTCCTTGGTTCATCAAGCGATACATCTTCCGACAGAACATTCCCCGCCCTCCGCCGATTATCGCCACTGCTGAGAAGGCCGAGAGCATCCACATCAAGGGTGTTTAGACTTTTTGCGTGTGTGAGAAAGAGGCTGAATGCACACAGGAGTTTGGTATGGAAAATGTGAGAAAACGCAACCGCTTTTTCTTGGAAATAGCGGTTGATAGATGAGTCGAAGGTGCAGAGTTATGAGGAAGCGGTGGTGAAATGTATCTGCTTTAGACACCGAGTGATGAGGATTATGGTAGGGCAATGAGGCCACGGGCAATGAATCTCAATTCAACTGTTCCTCACTTGCAGATTCGTAGCGAACCCTGTTCTTGAAGGGCATGTATTTAGTAGCGTTTGCTTGATTGCCTTGAAGCATGATTCCTACGAAGATATCTTGGACAGCCATGTCCATCTCCTCAAAAGGTATGGTCTTCATCCGTGCAACGCTATACCCCCCCGGTATACCTACGAAGATGAACGTGGGTAGGGTTACATATAACTAAAAGCCTGCAAGCAAAAGCTCTACGAGCAAGACAACACAACAAATAACCCCCAACCCTCGTCCAACCCACGGATAAAGAGAAAAAAGAGGGGGGGGGGGGAAAGCGAAAACACTTAAATACCGGATTTAACCTCCAAGCCCCGGGACTGGTTGTCCTAGTAGAGGAGCCACGGATCAGAAGGGGTGCTTTGGTCCTTCTAAGGGTATGTATGTCACGGGCATATAATGTATAGCTCATAATGACCAAATTCATGAAAGTCCTCAGGAGGTTATTTCCTTTTGTATGCTCCTACTCGCCCCGCTACTACCTCCGTTTCCCTTTTACACACCACTGCTATGGGCTCCCTCATGTTTGCTCTCGGTATAATTTTCATGTTCTATTCTATTTCCAATTCCAGTACCCCTTCTCTCCCTGATCAATCCCCCATGAGCACCGAAGAACACAGCACCGGCGGCATATGGACCGCATGGGCTTTTGGAGTGATTATAGGCGCGTGCGCACATTCGCTCTTCAAGAAATGGCGCGCCTCGTGGCGCTCTGCAAAGCAGCAACAACAATATTACCATGACTCTTGTGATCTTGATCTCGAAGCTGTGAAAATGAACCGTGGGTGTGGGTTTGATGCTGCTCGCTCTGGAAAAAGTAGCAATAGTTTCAGCGCCGAGATGGAAGATGCTGCTTCTGCTATTGCTACTGCTACTACTCCCATGAAGAGAAAGATTCCGTTGGCAAATTCGAAAACATATTGTGATTTGCAGATTCCCAGACCTGTGAGGACTCGGGCTAGGAGGTTTGCTTGAGGGTTGCTCTGGCTTTGAGGGGGCTGGGGTTTCTTTTTGTTGTGGGACACTTGATATAATATGGACTATTGGCATGGCTCAGGCTCACTGTCCTCGTTTGATATATGGGCTATTGGGTTTTAGATCAGGGCTTTCACTCCGACATCCAGCTATATCGGCTCTGATACCATCCGGACTCGACATCGGTTGCTAGATCAAACGATTTGGGTGGACTTGCTGGATCGAATAGATGGTTCTGGCATCCGTATGTAGTTCCAATATTACTTGCAAGCAAATTGATATGATACAACCAGAATCGCATAGACAGTTCTGATTAATAGCTAGCAGTTTACCAGAATAAAAGCGAAAGGTTATTTGGTTCTTTGCTTTCTTGTTCTACCTCGACTTTTTTTTCAATCGCTATACCTATTGCAATATATAATAGCTTTCTCCATATAACTCAGTTTACACATTGTTCGCACATAAGAAACTGCCACTGCCGGGGTTATCATGAATCGCCTTCCCGGAGCTATAAAGACCAAGACCGCACTGTGTCACCATTAACGTTATATCGATATTATCAGTCCGGGTCCTGCTTACCAGAATGATACCAACACAGATGGAAAACGTATTGACGAATGTCAAGAGAAACTTGCGCGTTGATGAAAACCACAGACCCTTTGTTCATATACGGCCAGAAAATGCCGGTGAAGCCGAAGGTAAACCAGCTGCCGAATAACACTGCCTGTGTCAGGGAAAAAAGAGAAATAACGGGTTAGAAATATGCTTCGAGGTCTGTAAAGACAAGAAAGAAATATACAAGAAATATACAATCAAACTGAGGAGATTGTTAAACACTGGAATAGCAGATACAATGATCCATGCAATCACCCAGTTCCGCTTGTGCATGCGATCCGTGCCAGCGAAGAGCCGGATATAGATAGAATTGGCGGCAACGTGGGTGTTGATGACTCCAGCAAGAAGAATCTATTTTAACGCGATATTAGTTATCAGTCAATTCCAGAAGCTCCATGCGGCATATGGCAGACAGAAAGAAAGGACGTACAGTGAGAAGGGCAATTCCATAGGCTATCCTTGAGATCAACGGACCAGCGGATCCCAATGCAGGAGAGGCAACGTCGGCCCTGGTATACCGATAGATGACGATGGAAGCGATGATATAGAGGGAAATATCGATGGTTTGTAAAACTGCTAGAGCTTTCGGAGAATCTTTCGGATCTTTCAGCTCGGCCATGAAGGTGAAGAGCGTGTTGTGGCTGACTGTGCACCATTAGCATGTCATTGCATTGGAGTTATTTCTTTGCATTCTGTGTAGAGGAATACCGTATGAGAAAGCAATCTTGGCTGCCGAGGTGAAACATGTTACAAGATTGGTTTGTATAGTTGGCTGCAAGGATACTAGGAAATGCTTTTTATAGTCAAATTCAAGAATTTTGCAAGAGAACCAACGAAAATGGGGGAGGGAATGAATCTCGCACACCAAGGAAAGCCAGGACAACTTCTCCAAAGTCCGAGGTAGTGACATGAGCAACGAAACGACCAACCCCACAATGCCAAAGACAGTGGAGCAGATGGCATGCCGAGTGATGGTGTTTAGGGCCACAGTAAAAGTGAGGATATGACTCGCCATGAGAAAAACAAGGAAAAGCAGCTGCGCAGTCCCAAACAGCTCTCCGGCCCATCAGCACCTCGCCAGCATCAGCCATGCTGGAGGTATGGTGGTATCTCCATTTGAATCGTCCAACCACATAGCCTGTGTAGCTGGCTAACAGCCCTAACCCGACCAGAATGATACTTGCTGGGACTAAGCTCAGCCCGGCCACGGCAGCTGGGAGGGAGAGGATGCCCAGGGAGATAGTCTCAGCGACCATCAGAAGGCCTCCTTGCCTGGAAATATAGCCAGAATACACAATAAAAATAGATACAGATAATTGTGCACGCACCACCAACTCAGTGTTCTGTACTTGACTTCTGCGAATCGCTTGTCTCCAAAGGCATCCTGGCGTTGCTCGCCCGTGAGATCGGGCCTGTCTTCCACATCTTCTGGGGACTCAGTTGTATGCTGAGGCTCTCTGCTTAGTTCGAGATTTGTAGGGGTAATTCCAATAATTTGTGATCTCATGCTATATCGTCTCATTGTGAAATAAGGAAAGATAGACATGAGAGCTGTCCACGCACAAGCAGCCGAACCAAGCGGAATAAAAAGAAATGACAGGACTCCCCCTGACATCTGCAAAATGCGGGGGAAGTATTTAGATAGTCTGAATGGTCGCAGGCTCAAACTCATTGTTGATAAAGAGGCCGGTGGGCTGCTTGTAGCTGTGCCCGTTAGGAGTGATAATATCAACAAAAAGATCCATGTCGTTTGAAGAACATAGCATGCTGCTGCTCAGAGTCAACGAGAGCTGGTTAAATACGCCGGGTATATATCCAAGTGGTGCCCGCCGCTGGCTTCCTAGTCCCGCTTAGGGCGCGTTTATAAGGAAAGTCCTTCCTTGTAGTCTCATATTGAAAACAGCAGTTGATTTGTCTAAAGTAACTAGCAGGGGCCGGTAAGGACAGAAACTGGGTGGGCTGGGCATCCATCATATTATCGCATCAAATCCAATTCAATACATCATTACCTAGGTAGGCCGATGTCCTTTGCTTTCCTTTCCTCTTCTCTTTCGTTAGACAACTTCCTTCTCTCGCTTGGTGAATATCAGGCCCAATGAACCCGGAGTCGCAGTAAATTGGTCTCTCATCATCTGCTCGACCTGTCGAATACTGTCCTTGCCTTGGTCCAGGGGGAAGCTAAGCCGGTACTTGGAAACAAGAAGGGCGATGACAGTGAGCATCTCGGCCATGGCGACATCCTTGCCCAAGCAGGTGTAGCGACCTGTAAATACAACAACCATTAGATCATGTACCAGAATAAATGTCGATAAAAAGACGAAAGATAGTGATAGTCAAGTATAACACCTACCCTGGGCAAAGGGGAGAAAAGACCGGCTGTCCTTGACCAGCTCGGGCTCCGTATCCCATCTCTCTGGGAGCCATTCATTGGGTCTTTCATAGCAGCTCTCCACTGATCAGGGTTAGTATATTGCTCTGCAACCAATAACTTCAAAGAGAATCACTTACGCCGACCCAGAGTATATCGCGGTGCAACGATCGTGGTCTTTCCAGGGATAAAAGTTCCACCAATTGTCATTCCCTCTGGCGGAGTATCACGATAGCCACCTGTCGGGACCGCAGGATGCAGACGCAGAGTCTCCATGATAATCGCATTCAGGTATGACAGTTTCCTGAGAGACTTTGTATCGTTGATGTCGATGTCACGAACCTCCTCATAGAGCTTATCTGCTTTCTCCGGGTTCAAAGCCAACTCATAGAAAGTGAAGACCAAGGTCGGGGCAACCGTGTCACTAATCACCAAGGTTCGAGCTTAGTACACAAAAGGCTTCCATCTAGGAGGGGGGGCTGCTTACCTGCCAGCAACGATGGCCACAACCGCATCACCGATCAGTGCGGGGTGGTTGCTGTCAAGCTCGTTCTTCTTTTGGAAATCGTCGATAATCGCCTGCGACACGTCGTGGGATTTGGGTTCCTGTTGGATGTTGAGACGTTAGCATTCACCAGTGCAACCGACCAGATTGTGGAAAAGGACCCGGGGTAGGGTACTTACGTGAATGCGGTGTTTCATCTGGCCGGCACACCACGAGATCATTGTATGCCAGTCCTTGACAATCCAGTAGCCCTTGAGCAGCCAGAATCCGATCTGAGCCAGCCAGGGAACTGAAGAGAGGGGGCCCAGGATTTTCATTGCACGACGCAGATCCCGAACGGCGTAATGCCAGTCCTCCTTGCTCAGCATATCAAAGGAGCGGGAAAAGGTGAAGAGGCCCATGATATCAAAGGAAAACCAATAGAAATATGTCGAGAGGCTGGAGATGGCATTCCTTTTGCAATCGGCAGCAATGAGGCCTTCCAGGTCTCTTGCGTGTCCCCGGATGTGCTCCTCATAGTGCTCCATGGATTTGCTCGAAAATCCCTTGACCCAGAGGCGCCGGCGCTGGTCATGAAAAGGGCGATCGCGAGTGGTGGTGACACCAACATGGGGGAGAAGGAAATCATACCAGTCCGACTTTTGGGTTTTGTTTCCAGGACCATCGAGTCGAGCTAGCACCTCCGGGTGGAACACAGTGACTTCACTGGGTCCCGTCCGAACAAAGTCACCGTACTGGCGATAGAGGTTGTCCAGTACCAGGTGGTTCTGTCCATTGCGACATTGGTACATATGCCAGAGCTTCGACACTCCAGCCAGACGAGGACCTGGGAAGTGACGAGTGCGGTGCCCAAAGGCACGATAGAAGGCAATGCTCAAGAACAGGGACAGGATGAAACTTCCCAGGAGGAGGGCAGCATGGCCCAAAGCAGCTATCTCCAGACTCTTTCTTCCCTCCAGGAGGGCCAAGACCACATAGGCTGCAGCGGTGAACTTGAGAATCCGTGGCCCTTGCATGTGCCACTCATTCTGTTTGAATACAGTATGGTGGACTAAGACCCCGAAAACACTCAACAGAGCACATCTCATGAGCAAAGGTCTTTCTACAATATACTCCATAGTGGATGCAAGCGAGGACTTTTCCAGAATCTGATCCATGGAAAAGAAAGCAGGGGAGATGTATACCTCGACTGATTTAGGTCTTGGTGCAGATGGTGGGCCACCGGACTACGGCTCGCCACAAATAAGAGACCGACGTCGTCTTTCTGAGCACAAGTGGCAAAGAAATGATGCCGGTAGTAGATAAATAGGGGCCGGGTGACGTGGTTCGAGTCAGCACATGTATCGGCTTGGAACCGGGGCCATCCAGATGAAATCAGGGTTGAGCACGGCTAGTCAAGGGAGACCCTCAAGACGACTCGAATGGATATAAATTGGGCCAGCACCCTTGGCTTGGACCAGTATCTTGTGGGAAATTCCACTTCGTGCATAGCCCGAAAAAGGGGTACCTAAAACGATGTCTGCCTTAACTTCTCCCTGTCATGCGGCCAAGCCCCTAAGGATTCAACGGTTCGTGGATCTGATACATACGATTGCGCAGCAGCCGGGGCGATTTGCATATTCCATATGGCTGTTCACATACAGCGATCTCAAGACCATCATCGCCACCAGCTTTGGATTCGGCTTGTTGTCGGCATTGGGAGCCGTCTCCTTTGGCATCCACCCTTCACCTGCATGGACCTTGTGCGTTCAACGGATACCACTAGTCCTGCTGTGGGCATGGCTGAACCTCCTTCCTTTTACGATCGACAATCAGCGCCAACCAGATGCCATCATGGAGGATTCCATCAACAAACCGTGGAGAACGATGCCGTGCAGACGAATGACGTCCGAGCACGCCAAGCTGGTCATGTACATCTTTTACCTCATCGCATTGGGTACCAGCAGTCAGATCGGTGGACTGATGCAATGCGTGGCCTTGATTGGGCTCGGGGTGTGGTACAACGATGCGAGGGGCGCGGATGTGAGCTGCGTCATTCGGAATTTGATCAATAGCGCGGGGTTCCTCTGCTACACTTCTGGCGCCTTGCAGGTTGAGCTGAGTCCGTCTCAGTGGCAATCTTTTACCAACCCCGAGGGCCCTGGACTGCAATGGCTGGCCATCATTGGCGCCATCGTGTTTACCACGGTGCAGACACAGGATATGAGTGACCAGGTTGGAGACAGCGCTCGAGGACGGAAGACCCTGCCCTTGGTCATTGGCGACGCTAACGCCCGCTGGGTGACAGCTGCATGGATGGTGGTTTGGGGCCTGTTCGATCCCTGGTACTGGGGCTGGCTGCAAGGTAACGGGGAGAGCGGGATTCTGCGCTGCGCCGGTTTTGGCCTTGCTGGGTTAGCTGGTGTCATCGCGATCCGCACCCTGTTCCTTCGCAGCGTGGCCTCCGATAAGAGGACCTTTGCGCTGTGGAATCTGTGGCTGGTCAGTCAATATGGATTGCCAGTCTGTGCAGCTCTCAGAAGAGCAGGTGGGGTTGACGTGGCTGTGTGAGCTGCGGTGTTTGACGGATCAAGCTTAAATCCAAGGACATCGAGTTGGGGATCTGCAAGGTGCATCTCTCGGGGTTTCCTTTTGTGACGTTGGGCGATACATAGTAATATCACGTGGATGCTAGTGGTTCGATCTACTGCACGCCGTAATGCAGGCCCTTGCGCCAGGAAAATATGAAAGAAGTCCCAAAAGTCCCAAAAGTACCTTAACACACCGCGGCTGTGACCAGGTTGACCACGAGGTCACTTCACCCAAGGCCCCCCGTTGATCTGGGCTTTTATTTTCTAGAACTGGTAATTGTAGATCTGATCTTGAGATGCATCCACTCTTGTTGATTCATTCCTTTATCTCTCTCTCTCTCTACCAGCCTGTGTTTATATATGGGGAGGGGGCCAGTGGGTCCTCAAGAGTCGGCAATGCAACTGCGCCAACTTTACAAACCGGACTTGATGATATCGGCCGTTCTTTCAGCTACCGCATACACCGTGGTCATGATATTCGCCGCTGGGATCAGCGGCATGATGCTGGCGTCACAGACCCGCACGTTAGTTGTCCCGTACACGCGAAGACTGTCATCCACCACGCCCCCACTCTCGAGAGGAAGCATTGCCGCAGTGCCAGACGGGTGATAAGTGGTGGTCGCCGTGTCTCGAAGATACTTCTTGGCAGACTCGAGATCTGTGAGAAATGCATCGGGATGGTTCCGGCGCCCATTCGGCTTGACGTATTGGGCTAGTGGTTCGTGCCGGTGCATTCTTTCCACGTCCATCAGATTGCGTGCCATGATATCCTGGTCTAACGGGTGCGAGAAAAAGCAGGGATCTACCGTCTGCTGGTCCTCAGGGTTGGCCGAAGAAATGTGCACGCTACCCCGGGAGAACGGCATACTCTGAATGAGACCCAGGCTGAAATAATTCCCAGGAAGGTGATCATGGCCAACAAAGCTCTTTCCGTTTTCATGTAGGTTGGCCTGGGCGAGGAACATAAACATAGAGCAGGTGGGTGAGTCCGGCTGTGCGAGAATATCGCGGATCGCCTGGTCTCGTCCAGTCGGGTTTGATAGAAAGCGATCCATGTGCTCGCGCATGGACCCCTGTTTCTTGATGCCATGATAATCTTGAACAGGCATATAGGCGCTCGATTGGACGCCTCCAATCGTCATCGGACCCGCGTTATGCTCGGCATGCATCTTTACGGCGGCTTGCATGGCTTCAGGCTCTTGCCGCAGCAAAGGATCAGCCGTGGGGACACCGTCGACGGTCTCAAAGCTAATGCCTGTCATCAAATGATCCTGGAGATTCTCGCCAACGTTCGAGTTGTGGACCACGACAGGGATGTTGTGCTGCGCCAGGATGGTTTCGTTTCCAATTCCCGAAAGCTCCAAAATCTTAGGCGTGTTGAGCGCGCCAGCCGTGACGATCACCTCTTTCGTGGCTTTCACCGTGAGCATTTGGCCTTGAACAACGGCCTCCACTCCAGTGGCCGTCACGCCAGTCTGGTCGGGGGGATCGAATAAAATCCTGTGTACCAAGGCTTCGGTCACGATATGCACGCCCGGTCGCTGCATGGCCGGAAGACCATACTCTGTGGCCGCATAGCTCCGAGTTTTGGCCTCGCCATCGACTGCAGCCATGTTACTGTAACCACCAATGGAGCTGCCAGAAAAAGGGTCGGCGGAAATGCCGCGGCCGATCTTCTGAAAGGTGTCCACCCAAGCCCGCGCCAATGGATTCTGTATGGTCGCGGGGAACGAGATCTTGAGAGGACCCGACGATCCATGATTGCGGTCGTCTATCCAACTGACCCCGATATGCTCGCGCGTAGCCGGATCGGGCAGTTGGAGCGTGTATGATTTCTTGTAGTAGTCGTGGAGGATCTCCCACGTCCAACCAGTGGCACCCAACTTCGACCAGGCATCAATGCCCTCGCGAGTCGCGGCAATAAAAGCCTGGCCGTTGATCCCTGAACCGCCTCCCAGCAATTTTGCCTGCGTCATCTTGATCACTCGGTTTCCCAATGCGGCCTGCTGCCGTGAGAATGGACTCCAACTCTGCGCGGGGCAACTCCACGCACCTGAGGGACGGACTCCAGCTGCCAATCTGCCTCTGATCCCATCAGTGTCGTCCACAGTCCTGGAATCCGAACTCTCGGATCATCAATCATATTTTTGCCGGCTTCTAGCACCACGACCGTTTTGCTTGGGTCCTCGGACAGTCGAGAGGCGAGGACAAGGCCAGCCGTGCCCCCGCCTACAATGACATAGTCTGCTTCCAATGAATGACTTTCAGCCATAATGGATGCGCCTATGGGCAAAACAGAGCAGAAAGAAACAGATTAGAGTGGAGAGCATCTCCTAATGACTAGGCCATCCCGTGCCGTTTATATGGTGAATCTTCAATTTGCTCCACTCCTCGATGTGCTCACCAGTCTTGTCTCTTTTCAACCCCCCGACTCTGGTAAACTCCGAGTCAGATCCAGGGAACCACCGTGTTATCTTGCAAACGTTCAACCTTGGAATAATCAAGCAATGCTGACCGTGACGGACCCAGCTCCGCTTCGACCGCTGCTTACTGTAAATGCAGTTATCTCCGGGTGTTATCTCTTGTGGTTGGCACATGGCCATCAGCCGCTCTTCCTTTCAGGGCACACCTGCAGGTCCTGGTTTGGGCCTGGGATCCCTTGACGCCACATGCATGATCGTTATGATCATGACCAGGGTTCTCTCTCTCTCTCTCTCTCTCTCTCTCTCTCTCTCTCTTCGCTCTTCTAATTCTGCGCCCCACTGCTCCCTTGGCCCCAACTCTCTCCCGTCGCCCCCGTAATCACAGTAATAATCACATCCTTCAGACGTTCTTCGATCTTACAATCATCCCCCTCCAGGAAAGACGCAACTTAAATTCAAAAAGTGTCGCCACTCTCACTCACGGTGGCCCCCATGTGAACTTACACATATTCCTCAAATTGTGCCAGACGGTCGCCATCCATGGATGGATTGTGTGACACGTGATCTGCCAAACCCTGTCGAGATGGGGTCTGCGATGGCTTGACTCGCGCGGTTTGATTCCCCCAGACGTTCGACGGGCTTGTTGGATGGGAATCTGTCATCCGCTAGCGATACGTAGGGTACGGAAGACAGGAGAGCATGGCGATAGCCATCGAAATCCCGATGGCCTACAGTACTGTACTTACTGTAGGGGACAAGCGCCCCCCCCTTGCTGAGTACACGCGTGCACATCTAACCCCGAGTCCCGAGTGAAAATTTGAAAGTTTGAAAATTTTCAAGACGCCTTGCCGATCCCCAGGAGACGTTTGTCCAGGGTTCGTCGGAGTTTTTCCGGGGCCAAGGTTCATATCTCCAACCGAGTGTTCCGGAATGGGCAAGAACCAAGTGCCAGCCGACACCCGCTCGTCGATAGGGCCTGGGAGAGGAACTGTCTGAAAGAGGGGATCTTTTTTAGAATTTGAATTTGTTGGATTGGTTTTTTGTCTTAGTGTATGCCTCGATCTGGCCGAAATCCACTTTTTTTTTTATGTGAATTGTATGTTCTCTGGTTGGTTCGCAACCAACCCCGGGGGGACCGGGGGGCAAGTATCCGCTTTGCCCCGGCTGTCAAAAAGGGATCCTACGGCACGGGACGAGTAGGGCTCCTGGAGAAAGAAAGAGACAGCGAGATCGCTCATAATTCCAGCTCATATTACTGTCGATCAATCTTACCAGGAGGGCCGAAAATTGTGGAATAGCTAGGGATCGGGGGAAGCGGAAATGCGGTGGGGCCAACAAGCCCACGGTGCCACTAGCTGGTATTAGAGCCTTGAATCCGTGCCAAGTCGCATGGAATGCGTCGCGACCATCGCGCATGATATCATCCAGTCTCCAAAACAGGGGCCAAAAGAGGCAGATCAATGGATACTCCCAAACCATAATTATAAATCTTGTCAAAAAAGAAAAGAAAAACAGCCGAACGTATCTTCCAAGGGGTCAATCACAAAGGAACCAGCCTTCGTATCGTGTGGCAGCTCTTTTTCTTTTTTTTTTTTTTTTTTTTCTCACGCGCGTCTTATAGCTCGCTCTCTCTCTCTCGGGGAGGGAACAAGGCGGGAGGCGCATTAGCGTACGAACCATTCTCATCTTTTGACCCGCAGCGGGTTGCACGGCATTTCTCTTGCTTTCTTTCTTGACTCGACAGGGAATCAAACCCTTGTCGAGGATCCATGTCATGACTCCCAATTGAGCTGAGTGATTCCCTTGTGAAGTCTTCCAGGTACTTGAGAGGTAAACCACCTCTTGATCCTTTTTCCCCTTCTCAAACTCCACCCCTCTTGGTCCTTCCTGGAGCCTTTGTGACTTTCTTTTTCTTTCTTTCTCTTGGTGTGTTCTTCCCCCTTGTGCGCCTCATCCACCATGGCGATCTCCAATGGCACCGAGCCTTGGATAGAAGGAGGGAGAAATACAGGGGGCGACGATTGCTCCCCCACATTATCGACTATTACGCCCGCAAAGAGCCCGATCGCGTGTTCGCTGCGATCGCCAAGTCAGAACAGATCGCCGACGGCTTCCAAGATGTAGACATGAAGACAATGGCCGCCGCGGTCGATTCGGTCGCGTGGTGGATTGATCGCACGTTCGCCAACGTCTCCAAGCAAAAACGCACGCTGGCCTACATCGGCACGGCCGACCTGCTCTATCCCATCATCTTGTTCGCGGGCATCAAAACTGGGTGGAAGGTAAGTGATCTCCACCCGAACAAATAGTCTCGGGCTGAATCACTGATCTTCCCTAGACTATGTTCGTCTCTCCACGAAACCCCACCATCCAGAACCTTGGCCTGCTCCAACAGGCAGATGTGTCTGTGCTGCTTTACGGCGAGGCGATGTGGCCCGTGGCCAAGAATCTTCGCCAATTCGACTCTTCTATTATTTTCACGCAGGTGCCGCCGTTGGCCGAAGTCCTCGAGTCGCAACCCCCTCCATACCGATTTGAACACTCCTTTGCCGAAGTCAAAGACGAAAAATGTCTCATCCTCCATTCCTCGGGGTCAACGGGTCAGCCCAAGCTTGTGGCCCTCACACATGGCACATTTTCCTGCACCGATAGTGACCCCTCTGTCCCCGTCCCCGAGGGACGCCGTCCACAGAATGCCGCCCAATTCGACTTCTCTCCGCCGGGGCGTTTCTATTCCTGCTTCCCTCCCTATCACCTAGCTGGTGTCCAAGCCTATATCATCTTGCCCACATTGGCGCACACGGCCACGATTGTCATGGGCCCTCCGTCGACACCACCGAGCGGTTTCATGGTGGATGCCATCATTAAACAACAAGATTTGCGCGCCATGTTCATTCCCCCGTCTATCATCGAGCAGTGGACATCGGGTCCCAACGCCTTTCACCAAGCCGAACGCTTGAACTTTGTCCTTTTTGGTGGAGGGCCACTGGCACCAAGCGTCGGGAACAAATTGAGCCAAGTCACCGACGTATGCCAAATGTATGGTTCTTTGGAGATTGGCCAGGTGCAGATGCTCGTGCCGCAGGCAGGGGAGTGGGAATACCTCGAGCCCAACCCAGCCGAGGAGTGTGATATGCAGGAGGTGGATGACGGTGTCTTTGAAATGGTGTTGCACCAAGATGAAAAGTTCAAGAACCGACGGTCGCTTTCACATACCTATCCCGATGTTAAGACGTGGCGCACAAAGGACTTGTTTGTTCCTCATCCCACGAAACCGGGGTTGTGGCGGTTCCATTCCCGCACCGATGACATTCTGGTCCTGGCGAGTAGCCACAAGGTGTGGCCCATTCCCATGGAAATGGTCTTGCAAGGGGACCCTTTGGTCGCGGGCGCCTTGATGGTGGGCAATGGTCGCCCGGAAGTGCTGCTGCTCATTGAACCTCGCAAGTCCCCCGAACAGCAAAAGATGAGCAAGAAAGAATTCATCGACGCCATCTGGCCGTCGATCGTCAAAGCAAACTCCATTGCGCCTGATTATGGCAAGGTTCGACGATCGCGAATCCTTCTCAGCGATCCCAACCTCGGCTTTTTCAGAACTCCCAAGGGTACCATTTCGCGCAAACCGACCGAGTCTTTGTATGCGGAATACATTGCTACGGCTTTCATTGATGGCGTCTCCGACGAGCAGAGCGAGATCGGGATTTTGGAGAATCACTGGATGAACGAGACCAAAAACTTCATCCGGTCAATCGTCCACGATATCCATTCTGACAACCCACTTGAAGATACGGATGACTTCTTTGTTGCCAAGGCCATGGACTCTCTTACCGTGGTCGAGCTTGGTCAGAAGCTGAGATTGGGGCTGGTGCGACGCATGAAGAGAGAGAGCAACACGCTCAACTTCTGGCTGCGCACAATATTCGAAAATCCATCCATCGACAGCCTGAGCAAAGCCACTCTTGACATCACGTTTGGTCAGGGCCAGAGTGAATTTGGGTACAGAAAAACACATGGAATGGAGCAACTACTCGAAGATCTGACAGCCGACCTCCCTGAACCCGCCACCCCGCGTGCACAGCCGCCCTCTCCCTCCGACGGTGTCAGGGTTGTGCTGCTTGGATCTCGGGGACGCCTGGGGCCGTTTATGGTCAAGGACTTCCTCGATGATCCTCAAGTAACCAGTCTCAAATGCCTGGACCGTGGGAACAATGGCCGGAGCGCCTTCCAGCGACAGGCCAATGTGCTCGATCTTCAGATCAATCTTGATGATCCACGGCTGGAGTTTGTGTCTGTGGATATCTCCAAACCTGATCTCAATCTTCCGCAAGAGCAACTAAACGACATCTCCAAGAATACCAACGTGATCATCCACAATGTCTGGGCTGTCAATTTTGCGCTCTCGTTGCCGTCCTTTGGGCCGGAGATTCTTCAGAGTCTCTCCACCACGATCAAAATTGCAAATAATGCCGCGTCTCGGCCCCGCCTTGTTTTCATGTCAAGCGTAGGGGCCGTGCAGGGATGGGCTTCGGCCATCAGCCCGAATGTCGCCGTGCCCGAAGAAGTGATCCGGAGCCCCGAAGTCGCAACGCTGACGGGCTACGCGCAGTCCAAGCACGTCGCAGAGCGACTGCTAGACATCGCAGGCGAACGGCTCCAAATCCCAATCTCTATTCTCCGACTAGGCCAAGTGGCCGGCCCAACCTCGATGGGCAACGCCGGCAAGTGGGAAAGCAACGACTGGATGCACTCGCTCGCCATCATGTCCAAGGCCAGCGGGCTGATCCCGAACGACATGGGCAGCGTGGACTGGATCCCCGTCGACATGGTCTCGCGCGTCGTTCGCGACATCACCCTCCAAACCCGACAGGACCCCAGCGCCGCTGGCGCCCGTCTGTACAATCTCGTCCACCCCAGGCCGATCCCATTCACGACCTTTGCCGATGCGCTGCAGGGATGCATCTCCTCCGGCCGCCAGGTACCGTTCTCCAAATGGGTTGAGCTGCTCTCCAATCTGCCTCCAAACTCGCTGTCCAAGAATGCCGAGGCCGAGAAGATCCGCATCCTGCCGTTCTTCCAGTCCGTCGTCGGTTGCGAATTCCCGCACTTTGCGCTTCACAATGCTCAGGCGGCGAGTCCGACCATGGCCCAGTTGGAGCCGCTGGACCTGAATCTGTTGCGCAAGTGGTGTCAGCAATGGACTTGATTTGGCTAATCTTGGTGGGGGGCGGGTTTGTTGCTCTTGCTTTACGGCAGTTTATAATGACTTTATGATTAAATATAATTTATTACTGGGAAGCATCTGAGGGATTGTCGATATTGAGTTTTGAATGGAGTTTATTCTCTCTGTATAGCTTTGTACAGGTAGTTCAGTAACCCTTTAGGTATTTTATCCCTCGGCAGAAGGTAAATTCCTCGAGTGACATATTAAGGCTGCATAAATGCTTACCTACCCTAGACACATCTTTTTCCTGGGTTGACTCAGTCCTCTTCCTCTTCCTATGGGGTTAGTTCAAACCCCCCTTTCTATGAAGACAATAACATAAAAGAAATATGCGCGGCAAGTGCGAGACTTCGGTTAATCATGTCACTGCGCCTCTCCCTAATAGTTTCCTGCATGAACATCCCGAGATAGAAAGCCGGGATAGCATGATCTATTTTGGCTCGATAGATCAACATTCACTGGTGGTCATCGCCCAAGCCATGTACTCCACTCATCCACTACGTAAGCCCTAAATTGTTTCAGTGAACCCCCTTCCCCCGAAGCTCCAGAATTAGTATTGTGGCGTGCGATAGTCAAATGTCAGGGTGTTGTCTATAGAGGCTCCATCCAGCCCCGAAAGTCATGTCTCCACAGAATCGTGGAAGTGCAGAAGTACCATTGTATCTTCGGGGTCTTTAAGATGAAATTCTATGGCCCGGGTGTCAGCATTCCTGGTCATGGAAGTTGCTCTATATTCTTATCGGGATTTCCTTGATAGCTTTACCTGGATGGAAGGGAATGATTAATTTTAGAAACAAAAAAGAAAGGGCAAGAAGACTCTTATAGCTATTTTTTTTTTCGATTCTTTTGACGTTAGTATTGTTATCAAAGACATCGTCGGTTCGAGCTGAAATACTCTCTAGTTGGCCTCTTTGTTCAAATGATGGTCCTATTCTGGATATCTAAAGATGCTTCTTGGAACTCGACAAAGAACTCTAGCGAAAATAAAAGATCTACCCATGAATCCTTTGTTGCTTTCTCCTCGAGTACTATTTCGAAGACCCTTCCCTGCATAAGTAAGTAGCGCGCTCTTTATTCTAAACAAAATATTTCATCTTCTTCTAGCGCTCAGTCCCTCGAGTCAAAGAAGTGATTAAAAATAGATAAACCGGGGAATCCAAGAGATATACTCTCACTAATATAATTCTAGCTACAATATCTCTTGAGAGAGACTATCCTCTGTTAGCCCTGATATCCTTTCTACGCCTTTTCGTTCCTTATTGATTCCTACCACTATGCCAGTCTCCAGCACCAAGGACCGAGTTACCGGCGCGGAGCCAACGGCCGATGTGGCCCGTATCCTCGACAATGCGCAAGTTCCCCATGTTCTCTGGGGTCGGTTGGCATTTGGCTTGGTTGGGCAGTTTTACCGGAGCAGGTAAGTGAACCCTGGAAACAAATATTCCTAGAAGAGACACCCCCTTAACACACTCACTCTAGGAAATTGAATTCGTGATTCCCGATGACCATCTCGAGTCTGCCACCAACACGCTCTCCACGGCTGGATTCCCGCGCTGCACCAATCCCAACCGTATCAATCTGGGGTATGGTCGAGCGCGTCCGGTTCCGGACATACATTTCCACATTGAATTGAGATACCCGGACTGCACAGTTCTCTCCCTCCTAGCCAAGCCGGTCACGCTCTGGTGACTTCCTGATTTCCCGCTCAACGCTCCACCTACACATGACCCGAACTTGGTGCTCTCCGATGATCCCCGGCTTCCACGCCGCATCTTTTACGGCAGCACGGCCCGTGGTCTGATCTCTATCCGATCAAGATCCTGAACCCAGACTCATTTACCGAGGCGGCGATCTTACTTCTTTGTCGAGATTGGCATCACGCTACTGGTCTTGATGGTTGCTGGGAAAGATATGCTTTTTGGTCTATCGGGGGGCCAGGAGGACCCCGAGACGGTAGTTCCGAAAACTTTGCATCCTCGGTTTCAGCATTTCTGGAGCGAATATAATAGTCTGAGACCGACGGGGAAAACTGTTTGGGATCCTATATATCAGCTTCGAGATGACTTAATCGCTAACAACGAGCTCCCTGCTCCGCCGGCTTACAATTTGTATGGAACAATTGAGCTTGCTCAAAGGATGTGTACTTATATTCCCTGAACGCAGAGTTTTTGCTGTTATTGTATTGGGCCTTTTTCTTTCTTGTTTTATTCTCTTTTTCTTTTCTCTCTCTCTCTCTCTCTCTCTCTCTCTCTTTTCTTTGTTTTGTTTTATTCTGTTTAGATTCTTTGCTGGACCAATTACCGTCCCGATTTGACTATACTCTTTAAATCATATTCAACATATCAAGCTACACATGACTCGCTCCGAAACGATCAACTAAAGCAAGTGGAAATAAGTTCGTTCGATATACAATGGCATCTTAAGTGGACTACACTAGTCCTAGTGATGCAATCGATCTCAGATTTGATATACGGCTATTTCCTGCCCTCTTTGTGGTAAGTCTGTTTCTCTGACAGTCAGGAGAGTTTCAGAAGATCCTGGGCTTCAGAGAGAAGGAACGGGAATAGCTTTATAAACCAACCAGCTAGATCAAATTCCCCTCCCCCAAGATCTATGCTGATTTTTGATCATGCCCAAACCTAGTTTTCCTCTCTTAGAGGCCACAGCTAAGAATGTGATACGTCGGCTCCAACACTTTCTTGCATTTCAAAACGTTCGAATAGTCATCATTGGGGGGCCTGCTCTCTGGCGAGTCCTACCCTCTAGCAGAGGGACTCTGGTTTGTGCTCACTTCCTAGCCTATCATTGCGAGCAAAAATATCTAACCCTCCCCCCTTAATTAGGATGTGGACTTCCTTATCGATCTAGGGGACGGATTCGATGACAGGATATTCGAACTTCCCCCTCGGGACCCCCAGAGCACTTCAAACTGGGTCTATTTCTAATGCATCCCGGTGAATTCCGAACAATGGCCAAGCAATTTGAACCCCGAATGTCTGAACATGGGGATGGTGGTGATGTGTCTACAGGCTTTACCCCGAAAGAGATAGTGAGTGAGCTATGGATTCCTATTTTATATGCATGATTGTGAACAAAAAGAAAAAAAAGAAAGCAAACAACATGCTAACTTATTGGCCCAAGTCACCTTATGCCCCCCGAGGGAGCATTAACAGTTGCAGAAACTCGATGGGCTACTGATCTGCCATACATGTCTGCACTAGATCTCCTTGTCTTTAAGATCCACCACTGCCTCGGGAAACGCATGAAAGACGCCCGCGATGCTCAGCACCCTGTGGGGTATCTCTGGTCGAAGAGGACAGTTCAGTTATCCACACAGCAAAAGAAAGTCGTCGAAGCTGGCTTGAATAGCTTTCTGGAATATTCCCGCTTTGACATAAAATGGTGGAAGAGTAACTGGGCCTTAATTGAAATCATTTCTCCCCCCCCTTTGAGTCATGAGCAATAACCACTCTCTAGACAAGAAGCAAGAAAAAGGCTGAACTACAGAGTACAGCTATACATGTACTTTGACTTTTTTTTCCTTGAAATACCTTTCTATACCCAGATATTTTAGACGTGTCTCACGTACCTGACGCCGGTCTTGGACAGGTCCAAGATTTCCGATATACAGCATCTCAGAGAAATCATGGGATCCTTTCGCAAATTATGGTAGCCAGTCACAGTCTTCGCGTTATGAAGCAGCTTGCATCGAAACAGTATATAGCCAAGAGACCCTGCACAAAGGTACCAGAAAAGTGGGAATACCCTATCTATACGTGTTAGTTGGGTTTAATATTCCAGTACATACGACCACAGGGTGTGGAGAACAGGGCTTCCCGTCCGCTCAGCCGTACTTAAGCCACACGCCGGCCAGTTAGTAGTTGGGTGGGTGACCACCAGCGAATCCTGGCTGTTGTATGTTTTTTGTTTCTTACTTTATTTTGGCTTGTTCTTTCGACGTAATGAATGCCCTTGCCGCCGGGTATTGATAGGGACATCCCAACTTTTTCGCTATTGGCACCCCAAAACGCTTATATAAACAAATTATCTTCCATTATTTCTTAATTTATATTTTATAATCATATTTATAGGATTTTTTATAAGCAGCTCTACTAAATATATAATCAAATACTCTATTTTCAAACGAGAATATTATATATATGTATTATAATCGGAGCTTATAAAATCCAAATATAAGGTCTACCTGCGCGAGCTGAAGTACAGGAACCGAGATAGACCACTAGTGTACTTTTAAGGTCATGATTCTAGCTTGTTGAATCCTGTAGTAGGCCTTTTGATCTTCCCAAGTACGGAAAAACCAAACGAGTGGGCTCTCCAGTGCAATATAAATCAACCTAGAATGTTCCTGTCGAATAGCCCCTGGTCACTCTCAAAACTAATTATTTCACCCCTAATCCCTTATGGCTTCATAAATGTATCTAGTAGGGTTTGTCAACTCTTGTCCACGCAACCAGTCCCAGGCATGTTAATTGCGATCAGGTATCTCTTCCATTCGGATTCAGTCCCGCCGCCTCCCACAAACTAGCCCACCCTGACGGCGAAGTGGCTACCTCCCAGGCTGCCGCGAAATTCGGGATCTGCATGGGATTGTCATCTTATTCGAATTACTCTCTCGAAGATGTCGCTGCTCAAGGACTCGGCAACCCATATGTGATCCAGATGTGTGCGTTGCGAGATCGGTCTTTTACGCTGCAACTACTGGATCGCGCGGAAAGTATACCACCCTTTTCCTTTGTTTTCTTTTTTTAGGCTCTTGGCTGAAGCTTACACCTTTCTCGAGAGCAGAGGCTTGTTACAAGGCACTATTTCTCTCAGTAGATGTCCCCGTAGTAGGGAAACGACTGCACGAATATCGCAATGAATTCCGCATCCCCGAGGATATGCCATGGCCCAACATTCTCAGCCACGGCAGCGATACCTCCGTCCGCACAGATTATGGTTAGTCTGGCAGCGACAATGTCTCTGATTTAAACTGACTTTGCTAGATGCAAGCCTGGACTGTGAGAGCATCATCCCATGGTTGAGGGAGCACACCTCGCTGAAAATCTGGCTCAAGGGGGTTATGAGTCTATACAAAGTACCCCCTTTATTTTATTTGATTTGATTTTAATTGACATGCCATGGCAGTGAGCTCGCCCGAAGATGTAGAGCTGTCCATCCGGTACGGTGTCGATGGCATTGTCATTTCGAATCACGGAGGCCGCCAGCTGGACGGTGGGCCGTCGACACTGGATGCACTTCGAGCCTGCGCCCCCGTTGCACGAGGGCGGATCCCGCTTACGATTGACGGAGGGATTCGGCGTGGCTCGGACATCTTCAAGGCCCTGGCGTTAGGGGCGAGTTACTGTTCTATTGGAAGGATTCCAATCTGAGGGCTGGCGGCATGTTTCTTTTTTTTTTCTTGTGGTTGTTTACTATGCCACATGTCGGGTATTGTCCGTGAGTATGAGAGACTTCCACTAACCAATGATGCAGTATAACGGACAGGAAGGGGTGGAGCTTTGGATCAAGACTCTGCAGCAGGAACTTCGCATCACCATGGCATTGGCGGGGTGAGTATCCTCTTCTTGTGCGGTGGTATGTGGTCCATCATCTGACCGGACAGCAGGTGCCGGACAATCGGCGAGATCCAGAGGTGTTACTTGTCGGTTCTGCACGCGGACGGTGTTTTGTCCAAGCTTTGACGAGGGTCGAGATATATCGAGTTGAAATATGACCCTTTTCACCTATCCACTGTGCATCTACCAGCAAAAGAAGAGTCTGACAAGCTAACTCTTATCACAAATCAATTGCAAAAAACGTGGGCCGCCAAGCCCCCTTGGCGCGTCGCCCAGGGCTGAGTTTAGGGCTGAGCCGTCTTCAAATTTGCGACTTTGTTCTACCAGACAATCAGAAGAATCTTGAACCCTGGAATCTCTATTTTAGAATCTAGCATGTATAATTATAGCCAGCGACTCCTTGCCCATCGCATCCATCTCCATCCTACACAAAAAGCCCTGTGGCGGTGTGAGTCGCGTCAGATGCCGCAGTCAGCAGGCAGCATGATTCCGACTAGTGTTGACACTAGCTATACTTAGCATCCCCGTCACTTTGAACCGACGACAGCCGATTGGAATGCGAGAAAAAAAGAAAGAAAAAAAAAAAATAGATGGACTAAATTTGTTGGGCGCTAATGAAGGCAATTAGGAGCCGATCCTCCACATTGGAAATTAACCACCGGTATATATAGTCTCCTTTCTCCCTTTTCCCCCTTTTCTTTCCTTAGCTCTTGTCCACTCTAATTCTACTTATTCCTCTACTTCTTCTTTATTTACTACTCTTTTCTTTCACGTCCCTCTTTCCGACGCGATACCATGTTCAACTTCAACTTCTTCAAGTCCCCCGTCCCCGAGGCTCACTCCGAGTCCAACTGGAACCCCGACACCCTCACCATGCAGCAGCCCTCCAGCCCTGCGGCGCCCTCGAGCAACCAGAACGTTGTGACCGATCAGCCAGTATGCGACATATTTTATTCTCTATCAGCACATAACCAAAACTAACACCCCATCAGACCAGCCAGGAACAGATGCAGCTACGCGGTGGTGGAAATGGCGGCGGTATCTGCTGTGGAATGTATGACTGAATCCCACGAGTATCTTGAACCTCACAAATTCCTAACTGACTTGTCTCCAGTTGCGCCGGTATCGCTTGCTTCGAGTGCTGTGAGATCTGCTGCTAGATGTGTCACCCCCCCTCGAATCGATTGGACCATGGCAGAGGCGCGTTTAATACCGGCATAATGAGCTAGCGATCTGCGAAGCCTATTGATCCTTTCTCTTTAATTGCGATCTGTGATGCTGTGATTCATATCAGACTTTTCTTTTTTACGATATACCCAAGAACAATACCAGTGACGGATTGCATTTTACATTCATGGTTTTATATTGGTTTCCAAGTCTTCTATCATTCCCGTCATAACTCATAGTATCCAATCTCTGGCTCTATCAGCCAAAAGGCCGACGGTGAATTGCGCCTCGCAGAGCAGCATCGACATCCCAGAGCCGAAACCCAGGAGCGCGGCCCAGAATGCGGAGATTGACCAGAAGCACTGGTTATAGTGTTAGCGATGATCATAAACACAAAGGACTCGGATGGCTCACAATTAAAGAAACACTCCACATCCAGAACATGTGTCGACGGGGTCGAGGATTGCTCCTTGATACTATCATCGGGAGAAATTTCCTCGGGAGAAGAGTATGGAAAAGAGACAGCGCGGTCCAGCGAGAACCCATACAACGCACCCACCGTCGCAGCAGGAACCTCCAGCCGCAGCGACGAGCCATCCAGAACAATGCCCCGATGCTCAAGATACCCCTGCACATCATGACAATCGAACCAGTCTCCATCTAGATCCAAAGAACGGAGTCGATCTTCCTCACTGACCCTCTTTCCCTTTTCCTCCCCACACCAGGGCTCCTTATCACCACTCCAATCCTCATCCCAATCCTGAATCCCACCCCGACACAGAATCCTCGCCAGCCGCCGTAGGATCTTCCCCGGCCGCCGCATATTATCCGGGTAAACCGGCTGGCCGTCCTGGTCACGGCGCGGGAAATGCGTGCCCGCGCCTCCGAGAGTGTAGAAGGGCAACTTGGCCATTTCCAGGGCGCTGCCAATCTCGGATTGCAATACACGCCGGAGGCTGCGCTTGACGCCTGGCATGTCGTGGATGCAGGGGAACAGTCCGAAGACGCGGCTCAACAGCGCCGGGTCTGAGCCTGGGTCTGTGAGCCAGCGGTAGATGTGTTCAAGGCTGAAGCGGTGCAGTCGGTGGGAGAGATCGCGCTCTTGGTGGCTGTAGGTGTAAATGGTTGAGGTTGGGAGGAGGCGGTTGATTAGTGGGGAGGGAGATCGGGCTCGCAAGAAGGCTGGGTGTTTTTGTGGGTTATTATGATGATGATGATAGTAGACGTGTGTGTGTTTTGTGTCGGCACTGTTCGCCGCTTGCAAGACGTGGTATCCGAATACATCATCATCATCATCAAGGCCCCCGCCAGCCCGCTCAATCTGGTTGTGTTCTCGGGGATGTCGCGTTTTGTCGATCTCCGCTAGCACCAGCTCTCTCGTGCGAGCCATATAATCCGGTGCTATTCTCGTAGTATTGCCACCGTCCTGGTGAGCCACGTCCAGCAAGTCAGACACATTCTGCAGCGTATGCTCCAGCACCGCTACACGAGTCTTGAGGGTCTGGATGGTTGTCTCTTTCTTCAGACGATAGGTCCGTTGTGCCCGTCGGATTTGCAGCCGCCGTTCCTGTCACTCTCGGGTCAGGCATGTATGTGGGGGGGATCAGTCATCGGCACGTTTTTTTGTTTACCTCTAGCGCAGTGGCATCCTTCGCCGTATCCAACTTCGGCCGCCCCCGTTTCCGCACGGGTCGATCCGGTGAGTCTGGGGTCTTGCTCTCGGGGGCTTGTTCGGGAGTCTTCGGGTCTCCTGGCGGTGGTCTTTTCCGTGGCCTTAGCCGCCGGTTGCCCTCGATCTCGGCGTTGGACTCTCTCGATTGTGGCTCCCGTGCCCTCAACACTGTCTCCTCGTCGTCCTTTTGAGACCCTTCGCGCGGTGTTTCAAAATAGGATCGTGCGGACAGCATGTCCGACAAGGTCTGGTCAGACCGTGGGCCCTCGGATGCTGGCATCGGGACTATGCAGCGATGCAGCTTTCAACTGGTTGAAAATGGAAGACAATGCTACAGGGAAAAAAAAGAGAGAGAAACATCGATAGGAGTCAAAGATTGACTGAGCTCATTAACAGCAAGCAGCTATCCAGAATCCCCTCCAACCTTGGAACTTTGCTGATCACTAATCGGCTCTGCCTCGGTTGGACCGAGGGGCCATCACGCAGATTCATGTTTATTTTTGTATTTTTCATCTCAGTGAGGTCTCACTCGACATGGCAGTTCTGGCCTTTTTTCAGGAATGACAACCTCTCCGGTTTAGGCAAAAACTCTGTCTCACCGGATCTGGGGGATCACCGATCCCGAGAATCCTTCTGCTGATGCTGATACGCAGTTCACAGTGGAGACGGCCAGTCCGATCAAAGTCATGGAATGCGGCCCCCAAGAAGCACCAAATGACGAAACCAGTGCGAATTGCCCCGAGCCTCCGGCTGCGATCGATAATCACGACCGTCGGGGCTCCTATTGGCGCTGCATGGATGATCCTGCGCTGCAACCAGATGTTTTCTCCACTTGACGGGCCGAGGTTGGGAAGCTGTGGACGACATAAATATACGCCGGCGCCCCAACAGTGAAATTTGAGGGAAAAAATTATCCAAAAAAAATATCAGCACATTTTAGTCGGCATCATGACGGTCTCCTTCATCTTGGGTTTCGCTGTCGCGGCCGTCGTGCTGCATTTCGTCCGTGTGCTGGTCACCTCCTGGATCCATGCTCGCAAGGCTCGCGAATTGGGCTGTGGCAGCCTGCCTCTATTTCCATGCAAGGATCCCTTCGGCGTCGATAACCTGAAGGAGACGCTCGCCGCCGTCGGGGAGAAACGTCTCCCTGAACTGGGAGAAAGACGTTTGCGGGTCATCAGCGACCAGGAGAACCGTTACGTCACAACATATCGCATCCGTAATCTAGGCCGCATGCACATCTTCACCGTCGACCCTAAAAACATCCAAGCGGTGCTGGCCACTCAATTCAAGGAATTTGAGCTGGGCGAGGCCCGTCGCCGCAGCATCCATCCCCTGCTGGGCACTGGAATCGTGAGTTTCGTGTTATTTTTATTTTTATTTTTTTTGTGCGCCCCGATTGAGATGGGCTCGACAACTAACATATACGCAGTTCACCGCCGACGGAGAGGAATGGTCGCGGTCGCGATCCTTGCTGCGACCCCAGTTTACCCGTGAACAAATCAGTCAGTTGGATCTGGAGGAACAACATGTCCAAAAGGCCATGCATGCGCTCCCCGCCGGCGCCAATGGGTGGACCGACGCGACCGACATCCAAACCATCTTCTTCCGGCTGACGATCGACTCGGCGACCGAGTTTCTCTTTGGCGAAAGTGTCGAGAGCCAGCTGGGCGCGCTGAACGGCCTGAACCGACCGGAGGACTCGTTCGCCAGCTACTTCGACCGATCGCAGGCGGTGGCAGCACAGCGGACGCGGCTGGAGAAACTGGCATTCCTCGCCGAAAACAAGGAAACCCGACACATGACCAAGCAAGTACATGCGTTTGTGGACAAGTTCGTCGACAAGGCGCTGCGCACAGCCGAGACCGAGAAGAAGCTCCCCGACGAGGAGAAAACCTCGCAGTACGTGTTCCTGGACGCGCTGGTCGCCGTCACGCGTGACCCGATCGAGCTGCGCTCGCAATCCCTCAACATCCTGCTGGCGGGCCGCGACACCACAGCGTCGCTGCTCAGCTGGACTGTCCTGCTGCTCGCCCGCCACCCGGAAGTGTTCCGCAAGCTGCGCGAGACGATCGTCGACACCTTTGGCTCGTACTCGTCCCCCCAGAATCTGTCCTTCGCCGCGCTCAAGGCCTGCCAGTACCTGCAGTACTGCATGAACGAGTCGCTGCGCCTGTACCCGGTCGTCCCATTCAACCGCCGCATCGCCACCCGCGACACCACCCTGCCGCGCGGTGGCGGGCCCGACGGCCAATCGCCCATCTACCTGCCCAAGGGCCAGTCCGTCCTCTACAGCACGCATGTCATGCACCGCCGCAAGGACATCTGGGGGGCCGACGTCGAGGAGTTCAAGCCCGAGCGCTGGGCCACCCGCAAGGTGGGCTGGGAGTACCTGCCGTTCAATGGCGGACCGCGCATCTGCATCGGCCAGCAGTTTGCTCTCACCGAGGCTGGCTATGTGCTCGCCCGTCTGCTGCAGCGCTTTGACCAGATCGAGGATGTCCATCCCGATCGTGAGATCCGCTGGAACTTGAGCTTGACCAGCGCCCCTGCGGATCTGGTTACCGTCCGCATGCACCAGGCTGAGGATGCCAACTAAACTTGGTGTGCTCGTTAAGGGTGGATTACTTGAACGTCACCGTTCGGATAGTCTGGGAGAGTGCGGTTCACGATAATGACGACAATGAAATCTTCTTCACTTATGAATGTATCTTTATGCATACCCTGCTCAATCAAATTACAAGTGTCTGTCTTGAATAAACTTGTATTCCATCTCTCTTTATACTCTTGTTCCAAGTCAACATCTACTTTGCCGTCCTTGAAGTAGATCACCCTTAATTTTATCTTGTGTTCACCCTTCGACGGCTTGAGTAGTAAGTTGTCAAAATTAGCCCAACGAAGGGATACAAATAAAGTAAAAAAAAAACACTTCCCGCTAAAAATATACTAATCCATTATTTCAACCCCCTTTGTCCCTTCTTTTCTCTCTTTCCCCTTTACTTCCTTGTTCTCTTCCCACTGGACCACCAATCTCCAAAACACAGCAGTAACAAAACTCGTTTTTTTAATACTGCGCCGTAACGCATTCACCTGCAAATAGGCAAGTTGCAGGAGACTATCCCAGTGACGAAGCCCTAACAAAGGTCATTAGAATAAGGCATGGATGCCAAGGACGAAATAGAAGTCAGCGTATCAGCAAGGCCACCCGCGCTAGCAGAGGGTTAGTTAGAAGACGAGCTGAACAAGCCAAACGACCGTGCAGCTGCTTCGACGCGGCCATTGCTGTCCAGAGCTCTGGTCATGAAGGGGCCCGGAGGGGGAAGGGTATCAAAGGGTGGTAGTAGACTTATGGGAAAAAGCCAAAGTCCGCAGAGACAGAACTCGAGAACACGATCCACCTACCACGACGTCTTTCTTCAGGATAGGCAGGTAATGAAGTCCTGGTTTACGACGGTAAACTCGCCAGTTCAAGCCCTTGTTGCTCTTTAATTGTTCTTTGTCCGATGGTTTTGATCCCGGGCATATTAGAATCATGTATTGGCGAATTGAATGGGAACTGTGTAGTTTGGTGTGCTTTGGTAACAGCACAAACAAGTTGACTTGTCAACATCCTCAATAGATATCTCTCTCGTTTGGGGCGTAGCCCTTGCTCCAATCATTAGCCTTCATGAACCATGCTAGATGTATTGCATCGACTCTGATCAGCTATCCATAATACCACTTGCGCTGCTCCAATAATTGCCTTGGGCGATATTCTCAACTTACACAACAGCAGTATACTAAGGTTGTCGTCATTAGTGTCCACTAAATGTGGCTTTCTGAAAACTAGCTCGGAAGATTTGCTGAAACTATATGCCACTGCTCTTGGGCTTTTGCTAAGCAAGTGGTCGTCATCTGTTAAATAAAAAAAGGATTCAATCAGCTATAGTTATGGTAGTGGCCATCTCGCTAGTAGGCAAGACTCACAGTGTAGAATCAAATGAAGCAACTCGTGCTGAAGAACAACGCTAAGGTACCATCTCCAATGATCGTCTAGGTTCCGAAATTCTGGAACAGTAGAAGAGTTCCAGTCGATCAATCGCTTGTTGCCAATCTTAATCTCCCCTTTAGGAGAATCAATTGTCCGCCTACAGACGATGATGTAAACGTCGTCCATACTATTAGCATGCCTTGCTGGATCTGCGCACACATGTCCATCTTCCTCAGATCATGCACCTCTCCCCGCCGCTTCGAGGAGAGGAACGTCTAAGATGGCTGTTTGAGCTCCGTCTTAACAACACCAAAGATTTTACTTTAGCGTGGCCAAAACATTTCCAAGACATACCTCGATATTGAAAAGTCACAATTTGGTCTTTGTATTCTTTAGGCGCTGGTGTTGGGAATATTTGTCTATTTCTGAGCACGTCATAGCGTATAAGATATTATCTCCGCAATAAATTTTGGGCGATGCTTTGCGACGTCTCTGAAGAATGGAGTAGAGTTTTATCACACTATCTATAAGATATCATCCATGCTTAGCCAGGTATGAAGGGGGAGAAAAGAATAAGAAATGAAGAAGAAATAAAAAGGGAAAAGAATCTTCCTTACCGTAAACATCCTTCCAGCGTGGCTGCTGCTGAGCGACTCCCACTCCAGTATCTCCCTGGAGAGCGTAAAAGGTTCCCCTGGTCCTCTTCTTGTCAAACGCCCCGGCCGTGCCATGTGTCCAGATACTAAGCAGAATTGTCAAAAGAAAAGAGATCTGTAGTATCCAGCTCAAGTCGGTCATGATGTAGAGTCATCGGAAGATGAGATTCCAGAAAGGTGAGGGGGTCAGGAGGGAAAGTGAAGGATAACCTATGTAAATAGACAACATCTGAGGCATATTTTGTTCATTATGTATTTGGGGACTGTTACAGGGAGATTTCTATAGCCGAGTCGGGTTAAGCCTCTTGATTTGAGACCCCCTATAGTCGCAGTTTCCACTAGTACATCACTATGTATCGAAGGCCTAGATTGATTTTCTTCTATGATATTCCTGATATAGTAAGTAGTAAGTAAACACGATGTGCGAGTTGAAGGATTTCGATGGGACCAAAGGAGTTGGGGGCAACGGCGAGGGCCAGTACTCTGTAGCTATTCAGAGAATAATGGGAACAAGGCTGCATACAGTGGGTAGATCAATGCACCCCCTCGGTCCCGCCCCCAAGCAGCTACATACAAAGGCCGCTCAAAGCCTTGCTCAGTGCTCCTTGGTGAACCGAGAATTCAAGCCGACATAGGGAGCCAAGAATTGTCGGGCATTATTTGGTATGGGTATCTGAAGTGAAAGTCGGGGGAAGTCTTACTACTCGTTTTCCAGAACGTCTAGAGATACTGTTGTGGTACTCCCCGAGATACATACAATCTATGTCACCACTTGTCTAATAGACTACTTGCCGTCTTCTCCAGTTTTGAGGATTCAGAACGGTATAGCTCTTGCTGTCGGTGACAACTTGACAGCTTTTTGTTGATAGTCAGCTGTGTAAGATACAGTGGCTGATCATTAGTGTTAGTACCCTATCCCAACCCACTTTGTCTGGATTGCTCTCGGGGGATATCTTTGCGAACAAATTAAGTCATAAAATAACATGACTGAATAACTCAAGGTATACGGAATGAAGAATATCAAGGACATGGGCTCTGGTCAGAGTCATCCAACAGGTCTGCAATGGAATCCTGTACTTCATCGCGCCATAAATTCAGGCCAAATCAAGTCATCATCTCGTGACGCATCAAATCTACAATTGACATTCACTTAACGCCATCCATTCCATCTGTTCACGTCAAGGCTGGGGTCCGGGGTTATTGTGTGATGTCGAATTCAAACGACCGGTCGCCTTGCCCCATGGGCACAGCCTTGGCCTGGTTATCGTAAAGCGTCCGCTCAAAGTATCGCACTCGCCCATCGGGCCGAGCCAGAAGGATCGTCTGCTTCTGGGTGCCATAGACCCCACTGGTGTAGGTCTGATCGAACGCCCCGTTGGTCGAGGTCTTCGTCTCGTCCTCGACGCGTGCTGCTGCGATTTCTTCAGCGGTGTGATCGGCATCATCGGGGGCACCAATCACAGGAATAAAAATGCTCTTGCGCAGGTGGTGAATATACGTGTCGATGCTGGCGCTCTCTTCCGCTAGTCGTGGCAGGGTATCGATACTGAGCACATCGAGCAAGCGCTTGATTAGGGCATCCTCGTCCTGTCCATCACGCACATGTTTCTCGATCTCTTCCTGCATGAACTTTTCTCCCCCAGGATCTTCGGCCAGCTGCGATCGTCCACACTGGTATTGCTGAGTCCGCGCGTCTGGTTCTTCTCCGTCGCCACCCAGGTGATGTGGTCCATATCGGAGGAGCGGTTGGAGACAATAGCTAGTGGCTCGTTGATGTGGCCGCAAACCAGACTGAATCCGCCCACCTGCTTGGCCTCTGGGCTGGCGACCAGCGCTTGGACAAAGTCGCGGGTGGCCTGCTGTTTGTCCACAGGCCCTGTCAACCAACTGTTGACGATGACCCCTCGACTATATACCCCGACGGCCTCGCTGGCTTTGTCTTCACGATAGTTGGTGAGCACCGCCACCTTGCCCTGCTTGGTCACACCCATCCAGGTGCCGTGCGTGGCTCGGGCCAGGTCGCGTGAGCCGAGGACATGTGAGTTTGGTTCAGGCCACCAGTCGGGCGAGGATGTTGGTCGATGGAGGAATTCCTGGCTGTAGTCAGTTACAAGCAGCGATTCATGGTCTGGGGAGGGCACGCAGTACATCTCGGTTGTCGATGATGATCAAAGAGTAGGAAGGGTGCGCAGTCGAGATCAAGGCGATGCACATTGTGTTGTTTCCAAGGTCCCCTCAAGAACTGAAGACATACGAAACGAAATGTAGTGAGGGGTTTCCCGGGTTAGAAAGAAAGAACAGAAAACCAAAAACCCACAGATCTCCCGTCCTACAAACCTCCCTTGGGCACCGGGTGGTTGGGCCGATCCCGTCTCCGCCAGTTGGCTATGAAGTAGGAGAGTTGGTAAATGAGAGTCCACGGCTGGATGTTGCAAAGATGTGGATAGTCCACGTACCTGTAGCTCCAGGGCTCCCTCCAAGCCACGAGCTATCCCCAGCTGCTTTAAGTCTGGTCTCGCGTGACGTCAAGACGAACCGTTGATCGGCCCCCAAGTTGTTCCCCCGACTATCGTTATCGCACACCTCGCTTTTTTTGCCCTCAGCTTAGAAGTCTCTCAGCGGCCGGCCGCTGTCTTCATTGTCTGTTTTTTCCTCTGACCCACTGGGCTTTGTCTTCTGCAAGATCAGTGTTTCCGGTGCCCCCCCACACAAATCCCCTGCGGGGCCCCTAGGATCCAAAAAAATCAGCTATAACCCACTCCCATCTGGCCTCTGGAGAGTAGAGGCTCCCTCAGTCCTAGCTGCTCATCTCACCCAATCTCGCCATCATGTTTGGAATCTTTGCGGACTTGATGTCGTAAGTGCTTTCTATCCCAGGTGCAATACCAGGCTAATCCCACCTCTGCTGACAGCTCGGTGATCACCATCCTGTTCCCCGTCTTCGCGTCCTACAAGGCCCTTCGTTCCTCCGACCCCTCACAACTGGCTCCATGGCTGATGTATTGGGTGGTACTGTCGGTCGTCTTGCTGGCTGAATCCTGGACCGTTTTCATAATCGGATGGTATAGTCTGGCCCCTTGTCCATCTCCCCGAGCCACACACTAATGGCCGATGACATCTGCAGGTTCCCCTTCTACAGTTGGATCCGACTCTTCTTCCTGTGCTATCTCGTTCTTCCCCAGACGCAAGGGGCTCGTCTGCTATACCAGGACTACGTGGATCCGTTTCTGACCCACCATGAGCGGGAGATCGAAGAGATGATCGGCCGCACCCATGAGCGAGCCAAGGCCCTGGGCCTGCTATACTTCTACCAGGCAATCGATCTGGTCCGAGAGAAAGTCCTTGGTCTCCCTCCACAGAAATCGGCGCCACCGCCACCGACGGGACCCGCGGCCTACGCACAATCTCTCCTTTCCCGGTTCAACCTCCCCGCCGCTGGTGCCGCCGGCGCACCAGCTACGCCCGCTGCCAATGACTGGTACTCGGTTTTGAGTTCCGCTGTGGGGTCTGTTACCGCCACAGGCAAATCTCGTGAGGCACGAGCTGAGGAGCTGTCGGCCAGTGGCAGTCTGCTCCAACGACAGATCCAGTCCATGTCGGGCGCAGAGAAGGCGCAGTATATATCATCCCAGCGGGAGCTACTGGATTTCCTGCGATCAACTCTGGCTCGTGAGGAGCAGACCCTGAGCCGCGATGACCCCGAAACTGACGACCTGGCGTACGGTGCACCGCTGCGGAAGAACCGTAGCGACAACTCCTTCGATGTGGTCGACGACGAAGACCTGGGCAAGACCCGACAAACCAGTGGCCGATGGGCATCTGGATGGTTTGGCAACGACCATGATTCTTCGGGCTCATCTGGCACCGATTTCGCGGCGCGCGCCGTCGATGAGATTGCTCGGTCGCGGACCACCGGTCATGATCGCTACTAATCTGTATGGGGGAGATCCATCGCCGGGCCGAGTCGTGTTCGGGCAAAGAAGAAAGGAAGAAAAAGAAAAAGGGGAAAGGAAAGTAGAAACTCGGCCTTTGCTATTTCTGATCGCTGAATCCAATCCAACTTGCTCCAAGCGACCTGTGCGTCAGTGTGTAGATGGGTCAGATGGGACCGTCGGAAGAATTACGTGCATATCCGAGTTCCCGCTGCAAGGTGTCGGGCACTCGGGACAGGAGTCGATCGCAAGAATGCCACCGGGGTTTGAGGCCAGGGGTGGAAAGGAGAGATACCAGGGACGCGTAGAGAAGCGAGACAAAGAGAAACAGGATTGGTAGACGCTGTTTGTGACGCTGTTTGTATGCCGGGTGTCTGGGGATGGAGATTAGATTGGGAGTCGAATGCATTGTCCATTCACTAATACATGAATACAGACAATCAGAGTTGGTACCTGTTGCTTTTAATAATGTGAGTAACTACAGCAGTAATGGCCCGTCCAGTAAATCCGAGGTACTTTCATTGTTCGAGGACAATACTTGGATTGTATGCGCGCGATGTCATGGTGGCGGCTGTAGATGCGGAATCTTTTCTTTTTTTTCTTCCCCTTCGAAATTTGATCTTTTTCTGATCTTCTTCAGATCTCTCGCATTCTTCGAGTGCTTTCTCTCTTTCGATTCCCGAGGTGAGTTGGGCGAGAAAAACCCCTCCAGACGCGGACTTCCCTGTCGTTTTTTTTTGTTCCTCCACAACGAATTTTCTTCCCGACTTTTTTTTTCCCTTGGGATTTCTTCTTCCTTCCACCCACACAAATCTTCTTTTTCTTTTTTATCAACATCCTGTGGACCACACGCTGCTTTTCCTTGCTGCGTCGGTCTTCATCAAGGATTTCCTTCAACCCCTTCTTCTCCCTTTGATCTAATCCCCAGTGTGCAGATTTCAGGTTTGGATGTGGCCTTGTCGAGCCTCTTCCACGCCTTGACATCACCCGTCACTCTCTCTCGCCAAAAAAAAATCCTCTCTGCACGTCTGACGAGGACACTACCTGTCTAATGAGCTCGATCCCTCCTCAGTCGGGCCCTCAACCTCAAGGACAGAGCACCGCGACCACCGCTTCCTCCCAGCCCGCCACCTCTACCCCCCTGGCTGCCACTGCTCCGGCGCCGGCCAGGTCCTACGCCAACGCCACGAAGAAGTCCGCGACGGACTCGACCGCCGCTCCCGTCACCGTGGGTGGCTCGGCACAACATGGGAAGTCGACTTCGGTATCTCCTGTGAGCGGCAAACCCATGCAACCCCAAGAACCCCAGCAATCCGCGTCGCCGGGCGTGACCATTGTCAATGGCGCCCCGACGGCCCCTGCTGCATCTCAAGGCGATCACTCTCGGAAGCCCTCCGTGACCATCACCTCCGCCGGCACCTCGGGCTACATGCCCAACGGTGGGCCTGCCAGTCGTCCCAATAGCCTTCAGTTCGGTTTCGCCAACCAGCAGAGTTCGCCCAGCATGGGCAACCATGCCGTGCCCGCGTCCAACCAGTCGCAGTCTGGTCTGGGTGCCCCGTCGACGAACCCGCGTGTCACCTCTCCGCAGACTTCTCCGTCTCCCATTCCTCAGCCGGCTTCCAGCGGTGGCCGTCCTCCGCCATCCACTTACCAAGCGCAGGGTAACGTGCCCAACTTTGGAAGCTTCGGTGATGCTGGCGATGCCAACGTAAGTACTCTTCCTCGGTGCCTTGATCGAAACTGGGGCACGCGATCGCGTGTGAAACGTGAGACGCGACCGCGCGCACGACCTCCCCACCCCCTTCCCTTTTTTTCCATCTTGCACTCCCTCAAGTCCCCCACGGTTTTTTAACCTGCTGCTCACAAATAGACGCGCCCCACACCACAGGCACCTCTCGGTCCCGGTCCCCAACATTTGCGCCGCGAATCTTCCCAGTCGACGCACAGCGACATGAGCAGCCACATGGGTAGTGGCCCTGGCCGTGGTGGGTATCCACACCAGGGCGGTCGCGGTCGTGGATACTCTCAGTCTGGCTACCAAGGACAGATGCCATACTCGCCCGGTCCCAACTTCCGACAGACCCCTAACCAGCCTCGTGGTGGTCCCAACATGGGCCCGCAATTCCACGGTCCTAACCAAGGCCGGCCGCTGGCTCCCTTCCCCAACTCGCCGCACCAAGCCAACCGCAGTCCCGCCCTGGCCAACGCACACCCTGCGACGCCTCAAATGAACCAGGTCCCCATGGCCCACCCGCAGATGCCCCCGCAGCCCTACGGCGCGTATGGTCAGCACATGGGCCCCCAAACTGTGAGATATCCATCTTTTTCTCGTAATCCCTCCAACAAACCCGCCCGGCGTGGCAATTTTTCCAGACATAGAGCAAAATCGGCCGTGTCACTCAATTTTCCCATCCCGGATCTTGCGCCTGAGAGCGGCCAGTTTGAACGATATCTAACAATGATGAAATCCCACCAGGCCTATCCCCCTGGGTATGATCCCAACTACGGCTACTACAACCCGGCCTATGGCATGCAGCAGATGCAGTACATGACCCCGCCATCGCCCCAGCCTCGTCCGGGCATGCCCTACAATCCTCAGGCTGGGTATATGCCCGGGCAGTACAACGTCCAGCCGCCGCCCCAGTCCACCCCGCTTTCGCGCACCCCCTCCCAGGTTTCTACTGACCGTCCAGGATCAAGTCTCGGTCAGGGACCCGCCCCGGCAGGACCCCCGGCCCCTGGTCACGCCCACTCTGCCAGCCGATCGTCCAACAGTCCCGCGCCGGCCAAACCGCACTTCATCATTCCCTCCGCTAAAAAGAGCCCGATTGTCATCAAAGACCCCGGCAGTGGTGTGGTTAAGACGTTCGACAAGACTCCTGCCTCTCCGGCGCGTGCCACTCCTTCGCCTGTGAAGATCGCCACCCCTACGTCGACCCCGCCACCGCGGACAGCAAGTGCAACAGAGCACACTCGATCAGACAGCAAGGCGACTGCTGCGAAGACGGACGAGGAGAAAAAGCAAGAGCTGAAAGACGCTGTGCGCCAGAAGATCCAAGAAGATGAGGCGGCGCAGAAGCGCCAGGCCGAGTCTACTCGCAAGACTACTGACGAAACCGAGCCGGCCAAGGCGAAGGAAGGAGAGACTGAGTCTGCCCGTGCTGCGCTCGAAGATCTTAGCCTGAAAGACAAACCTGCGCCCCCCGAGGAGCCGAAGAAGACTCCGGCTCCTGCTCCCGCCAACGATGATGAGATCGACTTCGACGCCATTGAGCGTGAGATGGCTGAGATTGAAGCCAAGGAACTTGCTGCGGAGCAGGACTACAACCGCAAGAAACAGGCTAAGAAAGACGAGGAAGCACGGAAGGAGCGTGAAGAACGCGAATCTTACGAGGCCAACATGAAGAATGCCGAGCGAGAGGCTGAAGAACGCGAGATCGCCCGTGAGACTGCTCGCACGCAAAAAACCGAAGTTGTCGAGGACGAGAGTAGCCGCAAGGAGCGCGAAGACCTGTTCGCCTCGCTCAAAAAAGGTGGATTCCAGGCCACAGAGTCCTCCACGCCTGCCGACAGCGGCGCTGCTACTCCGGTTTCCTCGGATGTGTCCATGGGCCCACCGGCGAAGCCTGCCAGTGCTGCCAAGAAGCCCGCCGGCCTGAAGCTCGACACTCCCAATCCCACCGAACCGCCGCAGCCGAGCGCCGCTATGAAATCGCTACACAGTGCCAAGTTCCTGGAGGACCTCAGCAAGGTTACTTACCCGTCCTCAATCACTGCTCCTAACCCGGCCCTGAATGCCGCCGCCCCCGCCGGCCGCCAATTCCACTACGACAGAGACTTCTTGCTCCAGTTCCAGACCGCATTTAAGGATAAGCCTTCCGTGGACTGGGACTCGCGCGTGCGGGAGACTGTCGGTGACAGTGAAGCCTCTTCGCGCCCTCAGTCAGCTCGGACCCCTAGCATGGGTGGCCGCGCTGGCTCGCGCAATGCCCCCGCCACCAGCTTCCCCATGGGAATGGGCAACTTCGGCCAGCCGCAGTCTCGCCACAGCATGCCGCCTGTCAACCCCTCGCTGGGCGGTCGCAACGCACACCCCTTCGGACCTTTCCCCCGACCAGGTATGGGTATGGGCCCTGCCATGAGCCGCACCAACTCTTCTGGTATGCCCATGTCTCCTCGTGTGGCCTCAAGCAAGGGTGGCGCGCGTGCGGGCAGCAAGCGCGACAAGCACTCTGCTAAGAAGGAAGAGGAGGGTAACAAGTCGATGCCTCTGACAGCCGGCATGGACCTGAAGGCCCTGACTACCTCATCCACTGGCTGGAAACCTCGCAGTATCGGACAGGCGACTACTGGCCCCGCTCCCGGCGGTGACACTTACATGGCACCGGATGTGGTGCAGCGCAAGGTTAAGGCCGCTCTCAACAAGATGACTCCGGAGAAGTTCGAACGTATTGCCGCCCAGATTCTGGAAATTGTTTCTCAGTCAAAGGACGAGTCCGACGGTCGTACCCTTCGCCAGGTTATCCAACTCACATTTGAGAAGGCGACCGACGAAGCTCACTGGGCTCCAATGTACGCCAAGTTCTGCAAGCGTATGCTGGAAAGCATGAGCGTTGAGATCCAGGACGAGAACATTCGTGACAAGAACGGCAACGTCGTTACCGGCGGCAGTCTCTTCCGAAAGTATCTACTCAACCGCTGTCAGGAGGAATTCGAACGCGGCTGGAAGATCAACCTGCCCGAGAAGCCCGAGGGTGTCACAGAAGAGGTGGCCATGATGTCAGACGAGTATTACCAGGCAGCTGCGGCCAAGCGCCGTGGTCTCGGTCTTGTCAAGTTCATTGGTGAGCTGTACAAGCTCGGCATGTTGACTGAGCGAATCATGCACGAGTGTGTCAAGAAGCTGGTCGACTACGAGGGCATTCCCGATGAGGCTGAAGTCGAAAGCTTGACCAGTCTCCTGCGCACGATTGGTTCCAGCCTGGATGCGTCGGAGAAGGGTCCTGCCATGATGGACGCATACTTCGCCCGTATCAATCTCATGGTTGAAACTCCTGGACTGCCCAGCCGTATGAGGTTTATGTTGATGGTACGCAAATTCTTCTGGTTGAGATTCCTGCACACCACAACTAACTTGATTTCTTACAGGATATCATCGATCTCCGTGCTTCTCGTTGGGTTTCCAAGGACTCCGACAAAGGTCCCAAGACCATCCACGAGATTCGTGAAGCAGTAAGCACTCTTTTTTTTTGTTGTCTCGCTGTGGCAGTTGATTCTAACCATTGAAATAGGCTGCTCGTGCCCAGCAAGAAGCCGACATGGAGCGGATGCGCCAGCAGGCCAACCGTGGAGGCGGTGGCCGCCCCCAGATGGGCCGTGGCGATGCGCGCAGCTTCAGTGGTTACGGCCACCAGGCGCCTCCGCCAGACTACGCCTCGAGCAAGGTCGGCAGCGATGACCTCCGCCGCCTGCGAGCCACCCGCAACACCAACCAGCCCATGTCATTCGGCCCGTCGAGCCTGCTTGGCTCGCGCAGCAGCAGCGGCCGCAAGAACCTGGGTCCCGGCGGCAATCTGGTCCGGGGCAGCGATGACAGCGCAGCCAGCAGCCGCACCGGCACACCCCCTGCCGGCAAGAAGGAAGACAAGGAGGCCGCCTCGTCGATCAATGCTTTCAGGTATGTTGTCTCGTTGAATGGTGGTTGGTGATGGGTTTATACTCATTTTGTCGTATCCAGTGCCCTCGCCAGTCTGGAAGACCGGGACAACCTGGCCACCTCGCCCCCGTCGAACCCTACCTCCCCCATGCTCACCAAGTCCCAACCGGCCGCCGCTGAGCGCCGACCCTCCAAAACCCCGTCGAAGGATGGCGAGAACGCAGCATAGATTCCTTAGGAGTAATGATCAACGCTTTCATTTCTTTTTTTTTCTTGTTTCCGACAAAAGAGTTTCTTGTTTTTTTTTTCTCCCATCTTCCTCCCTTTGTCCCCATCTTGCTTTCTCACCCATGCGTTTGTTCTTTTCATCTGCTTTTTTACCAGTCCTGTTCCTTGCATTTTCCGACTGGTCGGTTCATGGGACTTTCTTCATAGTGTACAATTTTCACACTTATTTTTTTCTCTTCCAACTCTTCTTCTTCCTCTTTTCTTCTTTCCCGCTGTTTCTCCTCTTTCTCCTTTTCTCTTACCTATTCTTGATTCTTCTTCTTCTGTCCCTTTTGCTCTGGTTCAATGGAGAGAGGGGGGGAAGAAGAATGTAGCGAACATTGCACCTAGCTAGCTGGGAGGAAATACTTTCTTCTTCTTATTTCCGGCTTCATTGCAATTCGTAAGTTTCGACAGGGTAGTGAGAAGGAGGCGGGGTCTTTGAGGACATATCATTCATCTCCATCTATCTATCCTGCCAAGAGAGGGAATCTATACGATGAGGGGAATGAACGGTATACAGAATCAGACAGAAAAGAGGATGATAGGAAGGAAATGGGTTTGCTTTCTCTTGTCTCTCTTTCCGTTCCCCCTACTATTTAGAATGAAGATTCTTACCTTGGACTTGGTTTTGTAGCTTTGCATACCCAGACTATTTATCGGCCTATAGGTATCTGCATACCAAGATTAAACTACGGAGGATTGTAACTACCAGCAGTCCGCCTCGTACGAGACTATTTATGGCCACAAAGATGTCATACAGATAAAAATAACTTGTGTATTGCATCACGATCATCTAATCTAAAACCACCCAAGGTCAAGACATCGGTCGAGGTTGTATTCCCAGGTGAGACATGGCTCTCTCAAGACAGACGCCATTGCATGCGAACAAACAGTCATTTTCCGAAAAAATGGTTTTGTACCGTAGTGAAGGGGGGTATAATTTGCCAGGAATGGGATGGCCCTGGCTGCTGTACATGAAAGAAAAAGCAGATGTATGTAACGGTGTCGTAAACTCGGCTTCGTGTGCAACGTGATATGAAAGAAGCAATCCCAAAGGCAATGCATGACAATAACACTAGTGCCAATTCGGATGCTGGTGGTGACCGACGCAAGGCCATGGATATAGAAAAAAAAGAAAGAAAGAAAAAAAAAAAAAAGAGGAAAAACAAAGTTCTCACGGAGTTCTGTCACGGCTGTGGTTCTTCTGTCTTCCCCTTGTCGTCATTGTCGTTAGAAACTTCGATCAAAGGAATCGATGCTCGTTGCTGCGCTGTGTCGGATTCCTCTTTGGTCGACTCCTGTTGATCAGCCTCCTGGTTAGATGGCTGGCCCTCATCAGACGAATCCTGGTCAACGGGGGGCGACATGTGGACAGGGATCGCTGGGGACGGCGGCCTGCGGGTATCATCACTGACGACAACGCTCTCCTGGGAGCTAGCGGGACTGCTTCCCGTCGGACTCTTCATGAGGACCGTGTCATGTGGATGCCGAGCCGGGAAGGTGGAGTCGGAGTCGTCATGGCTGAGGCTACTCTGATCAGACACTGACAGCGAACTGCGCGAGTTGGCATTTGAGTATGAGGGGGAAGGCCCAGGGCCTCAGCAACAGCTGCTTCCTCGTCGGGGAGCCGCGAGATACTGCTCTCGGTACTGGAGCTGGCGTCAAAGATGCGGCTGCCGCGCTGCTCGCTCATTTCAAGAATATGGTTGTAGCTCCGCCGCGTAGGGTCTGCGCGGCGTTTTTTCTTCTTCTTCTCGCGTTTGAGGGTCGGCCGGACGACAATAACGGGGATCGGCGATTGCTGGAGACAATACTTGGAGACTGAGCCGGGTAGGAGGCTGTGTACGCCCTTAAGGTTGCGGCCACGCGTGCCCACAACAAGCATTGCGGGTTCGTATATACGGATCTGAATCATGTCAGGACGGGGAAATTGCTGGTGATACACCAAAAGAAGACTTACCATGCGCTGGATAATATTCTCGACTTTGCCCACGGCGAGTTCAAGCACCAAGCTGATAGCCTTCTCATCTTGGCTGTTCTTTTGTATCACCTGCTCAAACAATCTTTCGGCCTCCTTGCGATACTTTCCTTCTTCAATAGCAGCATCGCTGGCCATGCGCGAGTCCTTCTCCACAGCTCGAAGACAGACAATCTCGTCGCCATCGTCCACGAGTTCATCGATCAGCCACTCGAGGGCAAACTCAGAGTAATCATTCTGATCGGTTCCGCACAGAAAAGTCCTGCTGCGACGTGTGCTCTGGTAGCCTTTGTGTTTATAGTTGAGGGTGAGAGAGAAATCCGCCGCGTCACGGTTGTCGAAGGTATCAAACGAGACACCGCGTTCGTAGGTCCTGCCATCAGTCAGCACATAGCACACTTCATCATCAAAGTATGCATTTCCACGGATAAACGCACTTTGGCGGCGGTGGCGATGGCCCGCGAGGTGTCAGGGCAGGCCGATGGTCCTTCTCGTCTACTTCCCTGGACAGCGGATCACCATAGGATCGCCGCTTGTCCTTGAAGCTGTGCGAGCGGGTAGGTAATTGGGCCTGAGCAAACTCCACATTGAATTGAATGGATCGCCGGCGCGGACTGCGGTTTCGGGGTCTGTCGTCCGAGGAGGAGTTGTGCGTCGGGCTGGACCCTGCAGGAAGTGCGGGGCTCTGAGCACGAGGTTGGGGGCGTCGGTCAGACTCGAACGAGGATTTGGGAGACGTCGGGGCCGACATTATGCGGCGACGATCGATGGAGATATAGAAACAGGCAAATTGCGAATCTGGCGGGTGGTTTGTGATTCAACAGGTTTCCTCGGGCGGGAGGGGAGGTATGTAACGGTGCGGGCCGCACTAGGGAAAGGAATGCTTGGGGTATGTAGGTGTGTATGGTTTGCAAATGGCTGGTAATCAGATGATTCCGAATCAAGGATGCGCAATGGCAATCGCTAGAGCACGAGACATGCGAGTGATCTGCTCAGACGCGCATCTCAGGCGGGGACGCTGGAGATTCCTCGAAGCAGGGCAGCCCAGAACATGGTTTTGAGCGCGTTAGATTTCAGGGAAAGGGTGGTCGTCGCAATAACTCGGACGAGTCTCGAGAGGTCAATGATCAAGTCCAATGGTATAAGTGCTAGTCTCGTGCAGAGCGAAGGAAAGCACGAGAACCGGATGCGGCGCGGGGTTCGCCTAAAAGCGCAGGCGGTGGGTTCTTGAAGAATCCAGTATTTATCCATCAAGAGCGAACTACTCCTGACGCTTCATGGGGAACTACATTGTGTAAGACTAAATAGAAGAAACTTCAACACGTCTGGTCAAATTATGCTCTGACCACTGGCACCTGGATCTGTAAAATTCCCAAAACATAAAATGAAGCCACGAAATATCAAATCCCAAGACAAGATGGCGGGGAAGTATATAAAATAAAACCAAAAGTACAAGTAAAAAGAAGGATGAAATCTCGAGTCTGCAGAAGGTCTCGAACAAGAATCTCGACCAAGTAATTCATCTTCCGCCAGATGCGCAAGTACCCAAGCACCTACAGCACGTAGCCCTAACCCACGAACCGCAGCTCTTGGCCGATCAGCGCCGATCACGGATAGGGTCTGTTCTCCGAAAGATAAATAAAAGAAATAAACATTGATACCAGAGGTATGTTGTATACATATACATATACAATGTGTATATGCCGTATATAATATAGCATACTGAAGTATACGTAAAAAAAACATGCACCACTGTGGACTCACCGAAAATTCAACGCCCTCGCTGATATCGATCCACGATCATCCCGAAGGATCTCCTTGCGCCAACCGCTCCGCGGGGTTTCCCTCCACAAGGATAAACCTACCCCGGGGCGACGCTATGAACGATAGTGTCCCCTGACCATGCCGACTTAGCCGCGAAGATCGGAGAGACTATTACCCAGGTAACCCCCCTTGGCTTTCTGACACATCCAACACAATACACCCTCCATTTAGCGGTGACGGGCCCGGGTGCGCTGGACACCAATGCAGAGACGATGTGCTCGGGTCGCGATCGACGAGGCGGGGGGTCAGCTGGCCCGGAGGGTCGGAATGGACGAAAATTGCATGGAGCGACAGGGGAAGTACAGTATTCAAAAATCTTACGGTCAAGTGTACACTATGTATTGTATGTAGTAGAAAAGGTGGAAATTTCGCATAAGACATTTTTCGTCTATGTACAGATGTAAGATGCGGTTGGGATCACAATGCATTTTGCCTCTCCCCTCCATTGGGAGTCTCGACCAGACGGAGAACTGCCCAATGTCCCAGAATGCAAACCCGTAGGGTCAGAGATGAGATGATAAGAACAAAAAAAAATAAGAAACAGATCAGGGTTATATAACGGTTTTTGCCATCACATGCGACCGGGTCCAAACTCCAGACAAGAAGCAAAAAAGAAAAATCCACAGGCTCGCTCCCAAATAGTTTCATCGTAAGGCGTCAGGGTATCACAGTATGTATCGAAAAGAAATAATGGTACACAAGGGGCTCAATCGAGATCAATATGCCTCGATGAGGGTGCTCTGCTCCTGTGAAACGTAATACCCTTGCTCAAACAGATGGGGCTGGTCCGAGCTGGCCAGTGGGAGGGCGGTGGTGGCGGGCGCCTTCTCATCGAAGGCCTCCAAGGTTGGTTGAGGCGGCGAGGGCGGGAGGGCATCGTCCTCGGATTCGTCGTCCGAGTCGGCCAGCAACTCGGGCGGGGACTGATGTGAGGAGGACCGGGTCAGGCAAAGTTCATCCAGGTCCTCGGCATCGTCGTACTCAAAGTCCGAGTCGGTGTCGGTGTCGTCGTCCTCCATCAGCACCTGCTCGGGCATGGGCGCCACGGGCGAGGGAGCGCGGCGACGCACCGGGGGTGCGTTGATGACAAAATCATTCTCGTCGAAGTCGGAGTCGTCTTCCTCGTCGCTGTCGCTGGTTTCGGAGTCGCCGTCCGAGGCGTCCTCCGGGTCCCAGTCTTCTTCGGGGTCCTCGACCACGGTGGAGGCCCACTGGATGTGCCGGGGCTCGTCCTGCGATGCCTTGGTGGCGCCGCTGACCGTCTGGTTAAACCACCGCTCTTGCTCTCGCTCGGCATCGGCGAGGTCCAGCATCAATGAATCCAGGAAGTTGGCGTGGCCCACGAGTAATCGCAGGTCATGGTCTGCGCGGGAAGCCTCACGGGTGAGCTTCTTCCGAGCAGTGTGGGCCAGGTAGTAGGTCTGGGTGATGCTCATTTTCTTTTGTTGACGCCTCCGGAAGAGAGAATCGAAGTAGGGGCTGGCAGCAGCGGCGAGGGAGGATGATTGAGGAGTGACGGAAGAATCCATGGCGGGAGGAGCTTGTTTTGAGCTGGGGGTGTGACTCAAGTGACTCAAGGGTCGCGTCATTCACAGGCGGTGAGGAAGTAGATCTGTGATTGATAACAACAAGGACTTGGAGAGATAGTAGGAAGGGATAATCAATGATATCGAGAATATCAATAATGGTGAGTGCTGTATAATGTTCGATGTGTGATTAAAGTCAAAACAAAATGCTTTTCCAGGGGATCTGGCGAGATTTAATATGATGCCTTGGCCCTCAGAGGCAGTCTCTTTTTTTTTCGTTTTTTTTTGTAAGCTCCGATCACCCGGACTTAGACGGACGGACGAGAGTCCCCACCGAATGGATGCCGAGCCCGAATTATGATTAATGCATTTCATACCGTATTGTAATGTAATGTATTTTTATTTTTATTTTTCACGTTTTTTTTTAACCATCTGGCTGCCTATATTACTATATTCTGTATATCTCTATTAGTATATCAGTCTATTTGTATATGACTATATATTTCTATACTTCTATATCTCTATATTTCTATAAGTATACATCAATTCCCATCTCCCTGCTCCATGTAATATTGTTTACAAGGTGAGTCACGGACCCAAACTCACCGCTCCCTTCGGAGACATCAAGCAAAGGACCGACGGGACCGGATCGGACCCCCAATCCTCCGATCACCTTGATGACTTTTTTTTTTTTTTTCCCCTTTCGATCAGATCCTTGGAAGGGTCCTGGGGAGTATTTACTCAGCAATCTATCACCTCATGATTTCCAAGCACCTTCATCATTATTCATCTAATCATCTCTAATCACTTACTTCCATGGATATATGCCTCGTATCATAGTTACTACAGGTTACTACAGGTAATATCATGGATATTCGTATTCGTGTGTAATACCAAGCTGCATGATCTCCTCATGACCGCTCTTCCAAGGGCGTGTGCATCCATCGAGCACGGTGATAAGGCGAGTACGGCCAAGTCTTGGCCGGTAACATTCCCCAGGAATTGGGATTGGCACAGGATGCATAATAATAATTATAATAATTATGATAAAATTATCATTATTATAATGGGCTGTGCACGGTTGGTTTTCAGCCTCCACAAAGGCAACGCAGTTCTTATCTCGATTATTTGCTTATTTGATTGGGTTATATACATGATTGACGCGTCTCATTCCTCGAATGCTTGCTGCCTTTTTTTTCTTTCTCCTTCTATGTATATCCACGTTGCTCCTTGCAGGGCGCAGGCTCTGACTGGATTTTTTTTTTGCATACTCCGCCTATTTTGTGGGGTGAGGAAACCCAATGGGTTGTGTCTCACTTTGGAATGAGGTGGAACAAGGCAATGGGATTGTATACAGGGTATACCTTGGTAAGCCAAGCCTGCAAGGCGAATCATGCCTACCACTACAAAATGGCAGACGTCAACACTTCGAACAAAGTCTTGTCTTGGGGCGAGTTGGCGAATTTCCCAAATCAGCTTATCGTGCCGAGACAGCCAAGCCAGATGAGCCTTGGTGTGGCTTTGCTGGGGCCCTCGCAGTGGGTTTCCTCCCTGTGTAGCCCCCCCCTAATTCCACTATTTATCCTTTCTAGGGAGTTATAGTTGCTGGGGCAGCCCTACCCCCCCCTAAACGAGTAATACGAGTGTATTGGGATATCCTTGGAACCAGTTTCTACCTAATATCATATCATACTAAGAATATCACATGTCGGCATTGCCCGATTATATGGTTATGCTCGGATTATTGATCAACTTTCTTTTTAAAAGATAGCGAACGAAAGAATCAACAATCGATAGGCCCAGGCCAAGCCACGTCCAAAGTATATCAAGATCAGTCATCACCAGGGACTCCATGGTTCGCGGCGATCGGCGTTTAGCCAACCCCCGAGGATCCATCCGGTGATAGGTGGATGACATCAAGACAGTCATTAGTCAAACCCGGTAGGAATTAGAAAGAAAATAAGATGGATTGAATAGGGGAAAGAAAATAATGTGATCTTGTATACACAAAATGCATGTACTGTATGTAGGCGGTTGGTTGAGAAAAACTGAAAAAGAAAAAATTCCGCTGGGGCGGAGTCGAACCGCCGACCTTCTGATGAAAGTGCTATTACAGTCAGACGCTCTAAACCAGCTGAGCTACCCGCGGGTGTTGAAGATCAAGTGGCCAATTTAAGTTCTATCAAAATTAGGAGTTATTCACCAATTTATCACCATTCATTCCTCCCTCTTCAACGCTAAGAGCCTCCTTCACTTCCTTACACGGTTAGCTCCTTAGTCCACTTCATTCCGATCAGCTTACACACAAAAGCATAAAGTGCTCACTAGTCCCAACAAGGATAAAAAGAAAAGAAGAGGAAGAAAAAAAAAAAAACAATGGCCCCACACAAAACACGATGACTCAACGGCTCCCGGAACTTCGGCCGCGCGCAAAATCCTCCGATGCCGAGGCCACCCGCGGTAACTCCGACTGATCCGTCCACGGGTGTATGAAGGGTGGGTCCTCGGTGCATAATTTTCTTCTTTCCCTTTCTTTGTGATGTGCTTGTTCTACCCGTACCCTGTCCATAGGGCTGATTTCACCTGCCATGTGTTTTGAGGACTGATGATCAGCGGATGAAAAACATACCGACGATCTCGGCTGCTTCGGCCTGGTTGCTCCGAAACTCGGGCTTGTGATAAGAGTGTGCAGCATCATGACTCCCAAGGTTGGTTATCACGCCAGTACTGCCACTGCTAGTCGGAGTGGATGGAGCTGTCTATTCCGCATTGAGGAAATCGTGAATACCCTATTTTCCCAATGTGACTCACATGCTATTTTCAGTATGACTGGGGCCGGCACTCGGCTTATTGTTGTGGAGCTGGGTTCCTCTGCTCTGTCCAAGTACTCAGTGTTTTCCACTTGGGCCAGGGTATAGTGTTGGTATTAGTGCTGATGGAAATATTTTTGACTTGGCTTTAGCGACTATCTCGATCTTTTCTAGAAGCTGACCATGACTCACTCACCTTATAACCTCAGTTCTCCGAAGCTGGATGCCTGATGAATAGGGAACGTTATCCTAGGGAATTGTCGTTAGATTAATTATGCGACTTAATGTGATAGGATAGATACATCATGAAAATTAGCAACATCTTGGTTGTTAAAATGATTAAACCGAATTAAAAATTCGAATGAAATTTTCATTGGCAAAAAAAGATCCGCTGGGCTGGAGTCGAACCAGCGACAACTAGATAGCAAAGTCTATTACAGTCTAGCGCCATAAACCAACTAGACGACCAGCGGGTGATTATGAATGAATGGCAACAACTTGTATTTTTTATGCAATTCTGCATCTCGTATACAGATTCACTATGTAAACTAAGTGATCTACAAACTCTGGTTTATGGCTCCTATAGGGAATTAATGACTACTTATCATGTTTTCCTTATAATAGCGATTAAATAGTACATAAGAAGATAACAGAAATGGTTGTTAGACTAAAATTCAAGCTCTGTGTGGCAAGGTATCAAGTACTTTACTTTATCTACAACATTAAGTAGATATTGAAGCTAAACACTATTGATTCAGCTATACAGGACCTAAGTAGTATACCCAGATATTAATGGAAGCCAACTGCCCAGAATGTGTACGCCACTTACGGGCAGAAGCCATTTAGGTAGAAGGACAAAGGTGGTTATAGTCATCCACTGTCTAGCATCAAGAGAAAGCAACAAGTTCACAAAGAGTCCTTGAGAATCATATCTTTGTTTGCTTGCCTCTTCTCTTTCTCTTTCTTATCCTCGAACCCCTCTTTCATTCCCCATACATACTCTTTTTCTCTCATACCCCCATTAATTTCCCATCCATCACCGATGACCAGGCTCGCCGTCTCACCAGACCACCGGACCACCTTCTCCAGTCCATCCTCAAAACCCCAACCCGAGTCCAAAATGAAGCCAGAAGAAACCACACCCCACGACTTCGCAGATGACGCAGCAAACGCCGTGGGACTTTTCAAGCAAACCTTCCCCAGCTTCTTCACCTCATTCGAGCTCGTCCTCGATCCTCTGATCCGCTTCTTCGTGGGAAAATTCCAACTAAACATGAACCGCAACCTCCTCCCTCCAACCGTGGACCAAGAGGACCCAGATCAGCAGAAACTCCGCCACGCGATTGTCAACAGCCTGATGCTTCGCTTCGCCAACACGGGTTCGTTTCAGTTTGACCGTGACTACGACCACGATATCTTCACCTTTGTTCTCTACTGGTACCTGCGAGACCGCTGGGCTGCGTGTATTCGCTGGCAGATCGAGAAACATGCCCCTGGAACAGACTTGGACTCCCTGCTTCGATTTCCTTACATGCCCAGATCTGTTCCTGGGTGGTTGCGGCCTGATCCTTTTGTTTACAGTCCGTACCACATGGAGCGCATTGAGATTGGGCGGCTGCGGGATGGACTTTTCTATTGGGGTCGGCTGAAATGGCTGAGTAGAAATATGCGTTGGATGAGGTGTGTTTCTCTCTCTCTCTCTTTCGGGTGCTGGGCAGTATTTATACTAACTGGTGGTCATGAATGACAGTGAGGATATTGAGAGGGTTGATGAAACCCTGTGTTCTGATACACCAGTACTCTACTAGCAAGCATGCTTGTCGTTCTATCTTTTTTTTTTTTTTCCTTCCTTTCCTGTCTCCTTCTCTGTCTCTCTGCGTGGTTTGTGTACTGTTATCTCTCTGCATCTTCGAATGCTTATCGCAGCCCCGGGCATTTTCGAGGGAAATACTCATGAACTTATTAGCGGTTTTAGTAGTGATTTGAACATCCAGGAAAGCCCTTTTTTTTCTTCTTTTCTTTTCTTCTTTTCAACTTTCCCCAGTGCCTTCTCATGTATGTTTGATAGAAGTACCCGGGTAGTAGGCACCCCCATGCACAATCAGCCCATATACAGCAGGCTTAACCAGAGGGATATCCATGGAAAGGTTTCCCGACGGTTATATCCCTGGTATTTTGTTAGGGTTGAGTCTAAGTATACTGAATATCTGGCATTTGTGTAGGGATTTTGTTCGCATGCTAAAAAAATACTTGTTAATCACCGAGATATATATGGCTAAGCACCCATCTGTCGCTACCAGCAAAACCACCGATTCCACCTAACCCACACAATATATAACATGTGCAAATCATCTCCGAGTCCTCAGGTCAGCCGCTGGGGATATTTCCTCAAATGCACCATGGACGCAACATGCCATTTGTCGGACCCCCCTAGGACTTCAGGTCCCTAAACCCGAGGACATATTTCCTAGACTCAGTGGTTGTCGTACAGGTCAGGTCGATTCATTCTCGGTATTTCGATATAGCCTGCTTTTCGGGATATTTGAATAACTTTCGGTTGACTTCTCAGCAGCAGCAGCAGAATCCTGGTATCAATGCATCATCCCCCGCCTCGGATGCTCTATATTTACCACTACAATTAGCTAGGCATCAGGTCTCACTGTCCTTGAACTATATAAAAAGCTGATATTTTGTGATTCGAAAGCGATCAACAAGAAAAGAAAAAGTTGATATCATCATCATAACCCAAGAACCGAACCATTCTTGAACAGGGCATTTAATTCAAATTAAAATTTTTCTTTGGCAGTCGTTCTCTTTACTCTAACCGGGGGTGAGGGATAGAGAAAGAGAGGCATGGATACAAAGAAAAAAGTTTCAAATGTTCCCCCTAGTGGTGGAACAGACGGATGCCCTGCTCGACAAACACAATGCCCAGCTTCTCGGCGGTCTCAAAGACGGGGCCATCGTTCTGGCTGCCGCTGGGGGCGGCGATGTACTTGACGCCGGAGCGAGCGGCGCGGAAGACGTTGTCGATGAAGGGGAACTGTAAGGAATGAAGTTAGTATTGAAAAAGCCAACAAAAAGGACAAAAAAGAAGAAAGGAAGGAAGGAAGACATACGAAAGCATCCGACGAAACGGCAACCTCGCCCAGCTTCTGCAGCCAGGACTCGCGCTCCTCCTGCGTGAACGGAGCAGGCACCTCCTCGAAGACGCGCTCGTACTCGGCCTTCTCAGCATCGTTGCGCGGGTTCTGGCCCGAGCAGAGCAGGTCGATAGCGTTGCTCTTGTCGGCACGCTTGGTGCCCTGCTTCCACTTGATGTTGAGGACACGGTCGTGGAAGCGCATCCACCAGTTGTCGGCCTTGTCACCGGCCAGACGGGTGCAGTGGATACGGCTCTGCTGGCCAGCGCCGAGGCCGATAACCTGGCCATTAAGCGCGTAGCAGACCGAGTTGGACTGGGTGAACTTGAGCGCGATGGTTGCGACGGTCAGGTCGCGCAGGGCCGCCTCGGGCAGAGAGGGGGAGGTCCTTGGGCGTGACGATCGTGCTGAAGGTCTTGCTGGGCGAGATGACGATGTCGTTGCGGTGCTGCGTGAGCTGCACACCGTACAGCGTGCGCGTCTCCTCGGCCGGTGGCGTGTAGTCCTCGTCCATCTCCAGGACCAGGTACTTGCCGCCCTTCTTCTTGGACAGGATCTCCAGCGCTTCGGGCTCGTAGCCTGCCGCAATCACTCCGTCTGATACCTCGCGCGAGATGATCTTGGCCGTCGGCACGTCGACGACGTCACTGAGCGCCAGGATGTCGCCGAAGCTGGACATGCGGTCGGCGCCACGGGCACGAGCGTACGCCTGTGCCAGGCCCGACGACTCAATACCCGCAATGTCGTTCACCATGTACACCTTGCGCTCCTTCTCGGTCAGTGGCACGCCGATGGCCGCACCAGCCGGCGATACATGCTTGAAGCTGGCCGCCGCGGGGAAGCCCAGCGCCTGCTTGAGTTCCTTGACTAGGGGCCATGCGTTGAGGGCGTCAAGCAGGTTGACATAGCCGGGGGAGCCATTGCGCACCTTGAACGGCAGCTTGCCCTGTTCGACGTAGGCAGAAGCGGGCTTCTGGTGCGGGTTGGTGCCGTAGCGCAGCGAGAGCTGCTGCACGCCGTTACCGGCGTACTCCTTGCGGAAGAAGCCCGAGATGGCCGAGTCGTAGTCGGCGGTCTGCTCAAAGGCCTTGAGCGCATACTGCTTCCGGCTGGGCTCGGTGATCTCGCCGGCCTCGAGCTCCTTGAGGAACTCCGGGTAGTCAAGCGGGTCCGACAGGATCGTGACGCGCTTGTGGTTCTTGGCCGCGGCGCGCAGCAGCGTCACGCCGCCGATGTCGATCTCCTCCACGGCCTCGTCGATGGTGACGTTGACCTTGGCCACTGTCTCCTTAAACGGGTACAGGTTGCACACCACGTAGTCGACCTTGGCGATCTTCTGCTCTGCGAGATCCTTCTCGTCGGCCTCGATGTTGCGCGCCAGAATACCGCCGTGCACCGCCGGGTGAAGGGTCTTGACACGGCCGCCCAGCATCTCGGGGGCGTGTGTGATGGCCGAGACATCGCTGTCGTGGATCGTCAGTATTTCGAAGTTGGCAATGACATGGTTGTATAGATCCTTTCCCTCCCCATGTGTTTTCCTCGCCTCTCTCGTGCGTAACCACACAACCACCACGCACACACGCAGGATAGACTCACTCGACGGGGAATCCAGCCTCACGGATCATCTTGGCCGTGCCACCGGACGCGAGCAGACGAACATTCTGCTTCACCAGACCTTTGGCCAGGTCCAGCAGCCCAGTCTTGTCATAGACGGAGATGATAGCTGTTTAGAAATCCAACGATAAGCATTGGCTGCGGAAACAGCTGGGAGGGAAAACCGGCGGCCAAAACCCGGGGAATGCCCGATATCAAGAGCCAAGAAGCAAACCTACCGGACTTTTGTTGAGACATGATGGATCCGACTGTCGATAACCAGCGCCGTTAGAGAGAGCGAGAGCGAGAGCGAGGCCACTGGCACAGGCCGCCATTGCGCAAGGCAAGTAGAACAGCCAAACAAAACGACCACATACCTGATTCCAAGAGACAATCCGCAGAGGATGGCAGATATCACGAAGGGTCATCCTCTCGCGAAGAAATCTTTCTGTCCCGCCGCGGGGCACCGCAATCGGCGTCACATTATGGTTATATTACCAAAATGACCAAAATAACATACAAATCACATGACATGGACATCCGATCAGCAGAAAGATGATTCAGCAAGTCACCTGACCAAGACCTTCAAAAAGTTTCTGTTTGGGGATCCCGTTTCCTCTTTTCTTTTTCTTCTTCATGAACAACGCAAAATCAACATTCTTCTCAAAAAGCGTTCCTACGAGGATTCGTCTCATGAAGTACGGAAATCGTCATAGAGAATGGAGATCGAGTGTGGCTTGACCGCACAGGGTCGATCTTGGGTGCAGTGCCTGCCTGACCATCGGTCAAGTGGTAGGAATTGCAATGATTGATTCTACAAACCCGTGCTATATACCTATGCCTCATAGATATAGCTGTCCTTCTTATTACATTAAACAGGAGTGATCGCTTGGTAGCCAAGTTGATTGCCATTTTACCATGGATGCATGGGAATGCTGTATATTCCGTCCTAAGAATTCCTCCGTAGAATCTCGACGCGGCAGCCCTCGACCATAAAATTCCTTTTAGATTGTCTTCACGGCTTCAGGGTATCTCTGTTGCCGGCCCCGATGGCCAGCTGGCGGCCAATGTTGCCAAAGCAGACGCACGCGCAGAAGATTACACTGGCGATCCATGTGCGGACCGCCATACTCTCCTGGGTGATTCCCGTCCCCAACGCATTCTCCCACCCGGTCCCATTCAGGAGGGTGGCACCCACTGACGAGCCGGTCGATGCGGGCACCAGTTCGGGCTTCAAGCCCAACACCACTCCCATGCCGGTCAAGCCAATTGTGGTGGAGAGGAGGAAGCCGGTGGTGGTGCGATCGATCAGGTACCACAGAACGGGGTTGGCGAGGGCAAGGGTGAGCGATGCTTGGGTGGTGGATTCCCAGGGGAGTCGGCGCTAAAAAAAAAATTCACACATTAGTATTCGAGCCCGCGTAGAAGTTGGGGGGGTTCTTTCTTGTCTTTTTTTTCTTTCTTTCTTTTTTTTTTTTTGATTTTACTTACCATGGCAAAGGCGATCCCGACAAATGCTCCGACGCTGCGAGCAACAGTCACCCACGATGGGGTGCGATCCCCAGTCTCGTCGTCGGTGGCTGCGTGCTTGGATCGATTGACCTGTTCCAATTTGTCGTCGCGCCAGCTATCGAGCCAAGGAAGCACATTGCCCAGCGCAACGCCAGCCAGCCCCCAGAAACCCAAGTATTGCCAAGAGTCGTAGTAATGGATGTTCTCTAGCTTGACAGGGGTGATCCAATGGTTATCATGGAGATGGACAGTGATCACCCCGTAGACAACGCCGAAGCCAAACAGCAGAATGCTGCTCATAGCCTGCGGCAGGATGACGCCGCGGAACAACCCCTGACTGAGCCGGGACCGTGTTCGCCGCAGCGCAAACTGCCGTGGCTCGGTCGCCGACTTGACGGCGGCACCCTGCGACGGCTCTGGCGGGTGCTCCGCGGCAGGCGTGTTGGCCTCGGTGCCCCAGGGGCTGGACTCGTCGCGGAACCCATCGAAGGCCGTGGGCGAGTAGATGCCGTACAGCGTCGACGAGGTCAGATTCATGACTGACCCCGTCCGGCTGACGCTCGGCGAGTTCGACCCCATGTTCACGCCATTGGGGGTCAGCAGGTCGGGGTTGGCTGATTCGGCTGGTGTGGGTGGTCCGGACGACTCGGCGGACGCGGGCGGGATATCGAACGGTCGTCGCGGGCGCGGACGAAGGAGACGAGGTTGATCGGCCATCATCCACAGATGGTGTTCTGGTTTCGTGTTCACGCTCGTCGCTCAAATGTCTGGCGACCTCAGCCTTCCGGATGATTTGGAGAAAGAAAGATTAGAGCCTCCGATCGTCGGTGAGTCAGAACCAGGCTGAGTCCGTGCTCCCCGTGCGGGCGGCCCGAAAAATTTTCCCAAGAGAAGGTTGGTAAGAGGCGGATGAAAACTCGGTTGTAGGTGTCAAGAAGAAAGGAATGACGGGGAGAAGTAAAGATCAAGGATCCGAATTAGGTCGGGAGATGCGGTGGATGGCCTTTTGGTCGAGCTGCTGTAATGCCGAAGACGACTCAAAGAGAGAAGAAATGAAAAGACTTAGAAGACGTCAGGACTGTTGGGCCTGAGGATTGAAGAGGATGAAGTGTAAATGTTGGGGGGAAATTGGAAATACGTCAGTCCCTGCGAGTGCTCAGTAGTTTCGGGTCTTAGCAATCCGCTCGCCGCTGTTGGATCGTCGGGATCACCAACTGGATCTTCTGGACAATGCACAATGCAGTGTTTCCTGCGGCCTTTTTGCTTGACATTCAATAGCCGTATACCTTCCTAGATGCCAATTGGTCTTGTATCTGCAAAGTGAGAGCCAAGACAGAGGGGGGAGACTTCACATGTTGAGCCTCGGATTGTTTACGAGAGCGTGGAGAGAGAGAGCAAGACATGCATTACTCAAGACGTAGCCATATTAAAAATCAGAAATGACATAGACATCTCCTGGACCCGGGAAAGACATAGAAAAAAAAAAAAAAAAAAAAAAGAAAAAACCACTCGTACGGAGTATAGATCATGATACACAGGTGAAACGAAAAGAAAACAACGCCGACTCCAATCAACCTTCCATCATCTCGTCACCGTCGTCTTCCCGACGTCGATCAGCGGGGTGGCCCTCGGGAGCAGGCGACGAGCTCCCATGTCGGGCATAGCCATTGGGTCCGTCGTAGGTGGATGAATGCTCATCGTCCACATCATCGTCGTCCTCTTCCTGGTCGTCCGAGAACTCTCCTTCGTGCCCCATGTAGCTTTCTTCCAGGCCTGGCTCAGCGCGACGTGGCGCGTGGCCGTCGTCATCGGAGCCCTCGCCCAGCAGCTCGCGGTCGAGGTCGTCCAGCTCGCCCTCCATGTCCTCGTCTGCTGCCGCCGGCCCCGAGTACCAAGATGGGGTGTCCATGGCTGATGTTCCGCCGCCGATGCCGGAGGGACGGCTGCGGTTGCCCTTGGACCGAGAGGACCCCGCGGGTTTTTTTGAAGCATCCGGAGTAGCGGTAGGGCCGGTAAACTTGCGCTTCGCGGCGCTAGGACGAGAGGGGCGTGGGCGAGACCGGCTGCCGGGGGCCCGGATATCCGCTTCGAGAAGAGTTCGAGCCCTCTGTCGGTCTTCACGATCCTTCTTGCGATCCTTCTTAGGCCCATTGGAATCCTCATAGTCCCAACGGTCGAGTCGCCGAGTCGCTTTGCGCACCACGGAGAGGAAGAAACTGGCGCACTCGCCAAAATCATCATCTTCATCCGGGTTGGGGAAGAGGCCACCCTTGCCCCACGAATTCTCCTCATCCTCGGTATCATATCCCTCGGGCAGGCTTTGAAGCAGGCGCCCGTAACGGCCAAAAGGAATCTCGCTTTCCCGCTTGGCGCGCAGCACACGAAATGCGTTGGATTTCCGCTTGGACAGCAGGTAATCGATTCGCTGCCGGCGATTTTGTTCAACAGCAATCTGGTGCTGCGTCAGTGGCCGCGGTCGACGGCTGGGTGCTTGAGAGAGCGAAGGCTCGGGAATGAAACGGTTCATCAATGGATGATTAGATCCTGGAGGACCGGGAGAAGCGTCTGGGGTATGGTCCATCCGTGTCTTCAGAATGAGTCGCTGTTGACCCATGGCTCGATTGAGCGAGGACTCGCGCTTGGCCTGCTTATTACGTGGCCGTGATGATTGACCGTCATCATCGTCATCATCTAGGCTTAGTTTCGCGGAAGGATGGAGGGGGGTAGACATGGCAGAGCCGCGGCCTCCCAAGCCTGAGTAATCTCCAGTAAATGAGTCTTCTTCGAAGGGATAATCTGTATTGCACCGGAAGATAAAACATTAGCATTGGTAGAATATAAGACTGCGGGAGTCATCAGGACAAACCAACATACCTTTCTTGAAGCGTTTAGGAATACGGGGCATGGGTTCCTCCTCGTCCAGGATTCCTGTGAACAGTATGTCAGCCGTGCTATTACCGGACATGGCTAGAATGATTGACGAAAACTCACGCTTGCGCTCCAGTCTCTTGGACTCTCCATATTCGAGTTCCTCTTGTGTATCCACATTCTCTTCGTTGGCCTGTTCTTCTGTCAAGCTCTCAAAAGCAGGTACTTTCAGAGGCAAGCCCTCGGCACCGTCGCCTTCCAGACCGGGGCCGAACGGGTTACTGAGAGCCGCCTCGCGGCTGAAATCACTCTCCAGATACCACCACATGAGCCAAAGAAACGCTCGAGCACGACTTTGGCTGCTCAGTGTAGACCTCATGACCAGATCGAAGAAGTCCCGCGGAGGGAAGAAATGCATTTCCGAGACCTTGGGCGCATACTGCGCCAGCACAAAGATGAGGTTCACCGGGTTTGTCCGTGGTACGGCCTGCCGCTTGATCTTTTCCAAGGTATTTGGCTGATCGACGTCCTCTGATGCGCCCTTGAGGATGGATTTCAGGCGAGGGGCATCTTGTAGTTGTTTGTAGGCATTGGAGTCCTGGTGCGCCTGGAGCGAGGGGATTGAGTGGTAGGTTCGAAGTTGGGCACGCATTTCAGGGAAGACTAGACAAGAGAAAAGGCGAACGAGTTAGTCCTGCAAACGCCCTAGCCATAACAAAGGGGGTGGAGGGAGTCGAAAAAGAAGGCATACAGTTCAGAGTCGTGTTCATGCGACCGAAGTTCACCAATAGACAGACCATGGCCATACTGATAGCGGCGGGCTTATCATTCTGCAATTTATCCTTCAGGATCTTGCTGGTTTTGCTGCTCCGGGCCATTGCGTCGATATAGACGTCGGCGAAGTCCATGTTCTTTTGTCCATCGGGGTATCGCGTGAAAACCGGGGTCTTGTCCTCGAAGACGAGTTTGAGGAACTGGTATTGGATATCTTTGCGCCAGAGAGGGATGCCATCCTCCTTTTTGAGATGTCGAATCTTATTGCCCGAGTAGACTGACCCAATCGTGCCGTTCGCCTGGCGTCTCGTACCGACCGTTGCGCTGGCCGTGCCGGGGTTGTCGTCTGCGGCCTCGGACACGGCGAAGGAGTCCTCCATGATGGAGTTGTCGATCTCGGTCATGGTGGATGACGGTGGTAATCGACGATGTCACCGTTTGCGAAAGCTCTCGGAGCCGAAGGATCGGATGGGGGTGTGTTGTCGCCCCCTAGGAGGCAGCTGATGAAAGAAGCGCGCGAGTCAAGAATTCAAGAAGACAAAAGAGGGTGGGGATGGAAAAAAACAAAGGAAAGGGAGGGCAAACTGATTGGGGAAAAAGGGGAGACTGGAGGGAAAATGGGCGAGGGATTATTCGCCGGGCATTATGTGTGAAGGTATCGCCTTGTGGTGATAGCTACCCGGGCACCCGCGATGCCTTGGCACGCAGGGCTGTTCTTTTATGGGGGGAATCACTTGGTCTTTTATGAAAAGATTAGGAATTAATTCGATCAAGTGCATGCCTATTCATTCAGTCTTATGAATACTGAAGCTAAGAATATTAAGGATTTGGAGATATACGCGAGGTACACATACAAACACCATTCCTATACCTGCGAAGTCTTGACCAAAAATATGAATATAGCCTGCTCATTGATTTTTTCTATCTTTCTGTCTTTTATTTTACTTGACTGTCCAGAAATTATTGATGGATAGTTCACTTTTGATTGAACTGCATCTACATGTCTACTGCAAGGGAGAAGTGTAGAAAAGCACTACATGGTTCCCCAGTTTATCAACTCTTCAAATCTACCCAAGATCCAGCAACCCACACAAAATCAGACTGGAAACACTTTTTGAAATTGCATTGGATAAGAGGGCTTTCCTTCTCACGGCGCGATCCCCTTTTTCTGGCTGTCTCTTCAGCCTCTTAACCTAACCCCATGAGCAACCCCTGCGAGTGATTCATGCAGCGCCGGCGACAGCGTCCCATCCTCCACGGATCCGAGAAAAATGAAGTGAAATAAAGAAATCGAGAGCTCCCCTTCGGAGACAATCAGCAATCAGCCTCCGCGGACCCGGTTGTTGAGAGGACATGGTGGATGCAAGTCAAGCCAACGCCATACAGAATGCAAAGAATCCCTTCCCATTCGAAAATAAAACCACTTGCAGTCAAGCCCGGAGAAAGAAAGCGTGATTTTTGGTTGTTTCGACAATTCAACTGCAGAACGCACAAGGGCAACAGCAAATTAAACAAGATGAAACATAAACATAAGCATAAGCATGGAAAAAAAAGGTCCGCCATGAGATACCGACGCTGTCATAGTCTATGCTGCAAGGCCCGACTGATGCAGCCATGACAACACCGAGAGATGGATGCGACAATGAAAAAAGCACTTTTCCGGGGTGATGAAAAAGCCGGCATTCTTCGCTCGGCGCGCGTCATTCGAACGTGGCCCCTAACCCTGGGACGCTCGAACATAAGGGGGTATCTGGTGAGAGCGGACACAGATAAAAAAAAAAAAAAACAAAGACAACGCATTCTATCATGTTCATGCAGTGCCGACCATGGATTGCTCCAAGAGAAATGTCAAGGACCAGGAGCAATGAAGAGAGAATCGGACTGCTCGAACGCCCCTGCGTCGAATCAAGCAGTAAATAACGAAATGAGAAAAGTCAAAGGGGATGGAAACAAGATAGCAAATCGAACACGCAGCAAAACATGAATCTAAAACAAGCACAGGAAAGTCGTGGCAGTCATGACAAAGCCGTCCCTGAGAAACGACAAGAGAAAAGAACCCAGGGACTCGTTCTGATCGTATCCGTCAACGAGAGACAAAAGAAAATAAGATGTGGGAGCCAATCAGACCCGACGGCCTCGTCACGAGACCACGACCGATTTACCACCAGGAAGACGGGCCGGTAGGGCCAGACGGGTTGCCGTAGCCGCCGCCGTAGCCACCACCGTAGCCGCCGCCGCCATAGGAGGGGGTACCTCCATAGCCACCACCACCGCCGCCGCCGTAGGACGACGGAGCGGGTGCGTAACCGCTACCACCACCGCCGAAGGAAGACGGGGGACCACCCATGCCACCGTAACGACGCATGTCACGGGTGGCATTGGCACCACGGCCACGGCCGCCACCACGACCACCACGACCACCGTATCCGCTACCTTCACGAGCAATGCTCTCCAGGAAAGCAGGAACCTCCTGGTGGGCCTCCTTCAGGAGGTCGAGCAGGTCACGGACCACACCACGGTTGCCACGGTTGAAGAAGGCAGTGGCAATACCAGTGTTACCAGCACGGCCGGTACGGCCAATACGGTGAACATAGTCGTCAATGTCGGTAGGCAGGTCGTAGTTGATGACGTGGGTGACATTGGGGATATCCAGACCACGGGCAGCAACAGCAGTGGCAACCAGGATGGGGCAGCGACCGTTACGGAAGAACTCCAGAGCACGCTCACGCTCGCGTTGGGTACGGTCACCGTGGATGGCGGTGGCCGGGAAACGCTGGTTGATAAGGAAGTCGGAGAGTGAGTCCGCCATACGCTTGGTCTCAACGAAGATCAAGGTCAGACCGCTGGTGCCGTGAGTGTGGAGGATATCCAGCAGGACCGAGCGCTTGTCGTGGTCCTCAACGTATTCCACCTTCTGGGTGATGTTCTCCGACGTGGAACCGACACGACCAACTGACAAGAAAACGTAGTCCTTGAGGAAGTCTCGGGCCAGCATCTGGATGTCGCGGGGGAAGGTGGCCGAAAACATGAGAGTCTGGCGGTCCTCCACACGCGGCATGTCTTCACCCTCAACAATGCGGCGAATCTGGGGCTCGAAACCCATGTCCAGCATGCGGTCAGCCTCATCCAGGACGAGGTACTTGATGTTGACCAGGGAGATACGGCCACGCTCAATCAAGTCGACCAGACGACCGGGGGTTGCAACCAGAAGGTCACAGCCACGCTCGATCTGGCGCAGTTGGGAGCCAATGTCGGCACCACCGTACACGACACAGGGGCGAACCCACGAGCGGTAAGCGAACTTGCGGGCCTCGTCGAAGATCTGAGAGACCAGCTCACGGGTCGGGGCAAGGATGAGCGAGGTGGGGTAAGCCTTGCGCTGACGACCGTAGCTGAACTGGCCGGAAGCCTGTGGGGGGACCACAGACGGGCCATTCTGGAAGGCCTGGGAGAGGATGGGGAAGAGGAAACCACCGGTCTTACCCGAACCGGTCTGGGCGCAAGCCATCAGATCACGGCCGTTCATAACAATGGGAATCGAGTACTTCTGGACAGGAGTGGGAGTGACATAGCTAGCGAGCTTGATGTTCGAGATCAGGTGGTCGTCAAGCGGCGGGTTGGTGAAGGCGTTGACGGGCTCCGGGACATGGTTACCGGACGCCTCCACGGGGATGTCATCGTAGTTGGCAAAGTTGATGCCGGTTTGTTGCTTTGCGGGGTCGTTGGGAACTCCGAACAGGTCACGCTCCACACGGGCATTGGCAGGACCGGGGATGTGCTTGCCATCGCGCCATTGGCCATCACCCGAGCCTCGGGGAGAGCCACCATGTCCACCACCGTACGAGCCGCCTCCGTGTCCTGGGTGTCCGTAAGCATATGGGTTGAAGGGCCGGTTTTGACCAGTAGAGTTCCAGTTTGGGTTACCATTGGCGGGACCGCGAGGGCTGAAGTCAGGAGCGTTGGCGTTGGCCCAGTTGCCGCGAGGACCACCCCTAGAGAACCAGCTTGGAGTTAGCGGAAGACCTTGGAAATTATAAACACAGAATTAAAATGGACACTGTACCGAGGACCACCGTAGCCAGGGCCCGGGGGAGGGGCAGCACCGTCCATGTTGGCACCGGCGTTACGCTGCTGGCGGAGGTGCGGAGGGATGTAGGCAGCACGCCCGGTGGGAGCCTGGGGCGCGTGCTGGGATTCGTTGAGGGAAAGGTTTCCCATTTGCAGACCGTCGGCCATGATTGCAGTTGAAGGATTTCTGGAACGTGTTCAAGGCACCAAAAGTCAGTGGCTGTGTTGTGACGGGTTTGACACAGGGGCGAGTCGTAAACGGACAGTTTTTTTGTCTGCTTCACCAAAGATGTTTCTCAGGTCGTCGATAAGGCGCAAGCGATCCCAAAAAAAGAGAGCTCGCAAAGAAAAACCCCACCTAAGAGATATTTGACGTAAAAAGAGAAGGAATGTAAGGAAGAACGTGTCGCTCTCTTTTCCACTTGAAAAAAAAAAGGTCAAGTGGCGAACAAGAAAACGAGAACCGAGCGCACAAGAAAGGATGAAAAATGCAGATCCCCCAATTCTAGAAACTCTATGGGTAGAGAGAGAAGAAAAGAGAAAGAGGGATGGGTGGTGAAGAGAAAAAAAGAAAAGGGATGATGGACGAGATTAAATTAAGGAAGATGGTTGTGGGAAGGAGGCAAATCGTCCAAGTTGCAGTACTTGCTGGGTACCGCCTATGTGTCGGGGCAGAGCAGAACCAAGGTAATACCTGGCACACAGGGACGGGGAGATTGACAGTGGCAAACTGGTGTGGATGAAGGCAATTACCATGTATTTACCGCGAGGAATTTTTTTTTATTTACTCGCCAGTTGGTGTGGAAGTCTGGGCCTTGTTGCCTCTCTGACTAAGGACAGAGGCACGCGATCTGACTGGATAATTTTGGGAAGTGCTCAACTGTAATTCATTGGGGCAGGCTAGGTATAGTCCACAGGTACACCCATGGATAACTTATAACCTTAGAATATAGTCTTGGTCACTCCAAATCACAGTTTATGTCTGATTCTGCGCAGCTCCTACGCACTAAACTCCTTATCATTCAGCTGGCTTTGGCGACGGCGACGGATCCAGAAGCCAATCAAAGCCCCTCCAACCACCAAGATCACGACCGGCTGGAACGAAGCGAATGGCGTGGCGGCCTGGGGGGCCACCGGGGTTTCGTGGGCGATGTCCGGGTTGACGACGGGTTCTTGGGGAAAAAATCGAGCATCATCAGCCCACCTTCGACCAGCGGCGGCATACAAAACAGCCAGTTTAAAGCTCGTCGCGGCTACCTTTGTCCTCGGATTCCGATTTGTTCTCAGACTCTGAGTCGAACTCCAGCTCTCCACTCTTCAGGATCTTGACCGCAGGCTTGGGCTGGGAGCCGCTCATGGGAAGATTTTGGATCTTGTCGACAATGTCGTAGCCCTCAAGCACCTCACCGAAGACAACGTGCTTGCCATCGAGCCACGAGGTGATAACGGTGGTGATGAAGAACTGGGAGCCGTTGGTGTCCTTGCCGGCGTTCGCCATGCCTGGAGAGGAATTAGTTTTATCCAATGAGACTCAAGCCTGGATCAATTGCATACTCAGGAGACCCGGGCGGGTGTGTCTCAGCTTGAAGTTCTCATCCTCGAACTTGTTGCCGTAGATCGACTTGCCACCAGTGCCTGTGAGTAGTTAGTATTGAGGCACTCTGTGCGGGCAGACCACGACACGAACCATCACCCCGGGTGAAGTCACCACCCTGGATCATGAAGTCCTTGATGACTCGGTGGAAGGTAGAGCCTTCATAGCCGAAGCCCTTTTCGCCGGTGGCTAGAGCACTTGCAATTGGGTCAGTACAAAAGACAAGAATTTTGTAATTGTCGCTCGTGGATCGGAGCAATTGCCATACCGGAAGTTCTCAGCAGTCTGGAAGGAAGAATGTCAATCCTAGCTCGCAATTGCTTATTGGATAGGTAACACAAACTCACCTTGGGGACAGTCTTGCCGTACAAGCCAAGAACAACTCGGCCAAGAGACTCATCTCCATGCTGGATGTCGAAGTAGACCTGATACGATCAATCAGCTTTGGCTGCATGCAGGGCCCCAGCACCAAGCATCGAATCACCTTGTTAGTGATCTTGGGACCACGAGGCTCTCTCTTAGCATCCTGGGCCTGGGCCAGCGCGAAGCCGACAGCCAAGACCAGGAAGATGGACAGGAAAAAGTTGCGGAAATTCATGGTTGGTGAATTGGGCCTGCTCAGGGATGCAGTGGAAGGGGAGAAATCGAGAGGGGAGGCCAGCTTGCAATGGCGTGCGGAGAGGACACTTTCACTCCACCCGGTAATTTTCAGGTTATGGTTAAGGGAAATAGTTGGAGTTGCAGCAATATTTACATTAAATACATTGTCAGTCGCTGCAAATTTGAGTGCTGAGATGAAATTACATACCGGAAAAACATTGTTGCCGGTCGATTTCTCCCGGATTTCCATTGCGCATTGCGACTCGCTTCAAAGTCAGAGCATCGGAGCAGCCGCAATACACACAGGCCAAGATGGTACGATTGCACACTTTCTTCAATACCATCAACTCCAATTTGAGAATGTCACGCTAACATTACTTCCTGCAGGTTTTCCTCATGGGCGTCAATTTCTCCGAGCGGAACCTGCTCAAGGCAAGCCTTCCCTTTCAACGCCCGCACCCAACACTGCGTCTCGACCCAATTGATGGGAAGGTGTTTTTTCTCTGGACTGACCGCGGACACAGAAATCCCTCGAGAGCTTCTTCGGAATTGGCCACCACACCTCGTCCCGCCTCCTCGCCCGCTTCAACATTCACCCGACCTGCCGCGTCGGCGAGCTGGCCAACAAACAGGTCCTGGACCTTACTGCCGTGCTGTCGGATATGAAGATCGAGAATGAACTGCGAAGAGAAGTTGTGAATGATATCAAGCGCCTGAAGGAGACGGGCACGTACCGCGGCCGACGCCATGCCTTGGGTTTGCCGGTGAGGGGACAGCGGACAAGGAACCAGGTGAGTTTTGCTTTTGTTGCTGCGCTTCCTTTTCATACAAAGCCCTACAAAAGGTCCTGCTATAGGCATTGGGCGGCACAACTATACACCCCCCCCCCCCGGTGTTGGAAGAGTTTGGGGTTAACGAAACCGCAACAGAACAAAACTCCTGTCAAGCTGAACCGCATGGAGCGCCGTCTTTAAATTCGATGGTGGGATTTAAACTTCTGTTTTTTATTCTCATGGGGGAAATCTCACCGAAGTGGGAGAGAGGCATGGGCACGGCGTTTTGATTTCTGGATATCTCTGGCACTCTTCTTTTTCTCTGCCAGCTTGTATGTGAACGCAACCCGCTCTATGGATGTATTATAGGCTAGACATGAAGTTGGAGCAATATGCAAATTGTTTATTTAAATCAAAAAGAAGAATCTAAATCCACCATTCGACCACATGTAGATAATTGACTGATCTATCCAACTGAGCGAGGTCCCAATATCAACATTTGAATAAAAAAGCAAAAGGCAATAGTAACTTTTCAACCCTCGACCACATGCAAAACGCCAAACTCATATAAGATGTGTCGTAGGTGTGCTCTACTTTGTCGAAGAGAGCACACCCTCGCCGCGGTTGATTTGGATGCGCTTATCCTCACCCGCACTCACAATGCCCACCGTCTGGTCCCAGCCGACGCTGAATACCTTGACACCCTCGCCGCCAACGCGCTTGCTCTCTGACTTGCCTTCCTCCTCGAGGCTCTTACGTGAGATCGAGTACACGCTGTCGCCCACGACGCCGTCTTTGTCAGTCTTGGTCGACCGGATATCCCAGATCCGGCACGTGCCGTCATGGCTACCACTGATGAGGCCGTAGGTGCTATGCGGGTCTCGTGCTAAGCTCACGACGGCGTTCGTGTGACCGCGCAGGGTCATTGCGGCCAACGTTGTGGCGGAGGTTCGCGGGTCGATCAGTGTGATGTGGCGTGCAGAAGTGCCTGCTGCGAGGAGATGGAGGTCGGGGAGATGCTCAAGAGAGAGAAGCGAGTGTGATGTGGTGCGAGTGTCGACCAGAGACGCAGTCACCAGGTCCCAGGTGCGCAACGAGTGGTCCCAAGAGGCCGAGTAGCCCACCGTCGAGTCTCTCGCATCAAAGATAGCAGAAGAGACCGGTCCCGTGTGTGATGACAGCAGCGCGAGCAGACCGCGTTGGGGCGTGCTCACGGACGAGTTCAGCTTCCGTCGCTTCGACGTCCGGGCGACGCTAGACGGAAGCAGGTTTTCGGGGGCAGCAGGCGCATCACTCTTCTTGGTCGACCAGAACCCAACGCTGTGGTCTGAGGACGCAGTCAAAAGACGGTTTGACGAGCCATGCACCGCGAGCGACTCGATGCCCGCCTTGTGCCCGTATAACTCCAACTGAGGAGAGATCTTGCCGGCGAACCCGCCGTCTTCTTCGGTGTACTTCCACAGACGCACCGTGCGATCCAGACCCGCCGATGCAATCTGGTTCGGGGAAACGAATTTGGCGGCTTTGATGGACGCGCTGTGGCCACCCTCCGTGACTGCGGGCGAGGTCGCAATCGTTTCAGAAGACATATTCCATACCCGAAGCAGGCCATCGTAGCTTCCCGACAAGATCCTCTCATGGCCATTGGCAACTGTCGCACCCGAAGCCCAACATGCAGCTGGCGACGTAGTGGACAGAACATCTGCCGAGCTGACCCAGTCATCGTGCTGGAAAGATGCGATATGCAGCGGCGGAATGAGAGCGCGGACATATTCAATCTCCAGGGTTGTTTCCGCAGAGATGCCATTCGCAGTCAGATATTCATCGATCGAGGTCCGCAGAAATGTTCCGTTGATCAAAAAATCGAACGGGACCGGCTTCTCACTCCCCAGCAGATTGTTCACCAGCGTCGAGAGCGCATATCTTCGGAGGCCTGTTTTAAGATGAGAATCAGCATTTAAAAATTTCTAAATCTTTAACAATTCAAAAGAAGAAGTCATTCTTACCGGTAGGAACGAGAATTGGACCGGTGCTTTCGGGCAGAGCAATATCTTCTTGCTTGCTGGTGAGATGCACACGAACTTGTCTCTGCGCCGCCTCAGCAGCAGCAGCAGAACTTGCCTGATCTCCGCTCATGATGGCGAAATTGGGTCGAAAATGGGCGTCACCGTGGTCGACGGGGTCTGCGCTGGTGGCTGTCGCATTTTGAAGCAACCGGCGCAGGTGAGGAAAAAAATACGGTGACCGGTGCGGCACACCCGTGCAAAGCGCGGAGATGGCCCCGCGTCCCGAGAGACTCTTGAATGCTACTAACTACTCACACTGTCTTGAACTTGGCTTGAGAATATGAATATTTACTATGGTTGGTTCAGTCGATGATTTTCTACGCACCGGGGGCCCTTCGAATCTCCGCAATGGCCCGGCGCCGGTAGTCCGACTCGGCAAACAAGGCCTCGATCAAATCCACCACCTCCTCGGGGGAGAACTCCAAACGCAATTCTCCTTCAAGCCACAGGAACTTGATGTCGGCCAATGAGCTCTCCAGGATGTTGACCAGGTATTGGAAACGAAGCCAGTTCGGAACGTACACAGCAGTCACTGGCACGGCCTCGACATCGCTTGCGGTCTCGGGTTTGAAGAGATCCTCCAACTTGGATACCTGATTGCAGAATGAAACCAGCTGCTGCGACTGATCCTCCGAGATATCACCCAGATCCTCAATGTCGACGATGATTTTATTGATCACAGTAGACAAGAGAGACCCTATGGACTGGAGGAGCGCTGAGTGCGATAGAATGGGTTGCCATTCTTTGTAGACGTCGCGGATGCGGTCGACAGTGGCGCTGACTGCATTCTCGCACTCTGTTCGGAAGGGCTGCTCGGAGCACTGTCCGAACCCCTGGGCACCGTCGAGCAAATCGGTGACGATGGTGCGCTGAGTCTGCATTTCCTTGCTGTAGGCCAATTTACCGAACTTCTCCAGAGCCTCAACATCGGCATTGAGTCGGAAAAGGCTGTGCTCCTCTACCAGCTCTCGAACCTGGTTGGCAAGGTACAGGCTGTCATTGTAGAGGAACATTTGTCCTGCGTGGAACTTCAGCGAGTAGAAGGAAGACGATGTCGCCTTGAACATGGCCAGAATTAATGCAGGCAAAGCGAGAAGCCCCGGGCCGGAGGAAGCAACGCGTGAGGTGGAGTGTCTGGAATTTTGTTAGCGTGATAAAACACCAACTGAGCAGGGTACTCGAGGGACCACAGCGTACGCAGGCTGTGATATATCCTTTGAATCGGCGATTTGCTGCCGCAGAATTTGGAGGATCGAACCCGGGATATCCGTCACCGTGTACACTTCTTTTAGCGTGACTTCTTTGGGAGAGGCAGATGGGGCTGTGCTCTCTTCGTTCGTTGGCTTCGAAGCTGCAGCGGCCTTGGGCTTTGAAGGACTGCCATTGCTCTGTTGATCGTCCTCATCACCCCAGCCCCAGGCATCACCGGCATCATCATCTTCTTCTTCGGTTGATGTGGCTGCATCGGGCTTGGCCTCCTCCTGTGTGGCCTCCTCTTGTGTCTCTTCATCGAGACCCCACGCACTCACATCTTCGTCATCATCGTCGGGCTGCGCGGTCGTTGCTTGCTCCGGTGCATCTTCCTTCTCGTAATCCCAGTCAGCATCCCAATCGTCAGTGGTATTCTCCAAGAGAGCCCCATCAGCCTGAGAAACCTTCTCTTTCTCAATTCGCTCAACTTGTCTCGTAGTACCCTGGCTGGCCGATAGCACCTTGCGAACACTGTCCAACGAGTCGACCCGACGCCGTGTCAACCACAGGCGTGGAGCTTGGTTTACCCAAGAAACAAGCTCTTCCTGGCCATTCCATCCCCAGGACACGATCGTCTGAGTAAATTGAAGAACATTTTCCAGGGTCTTCTCAAATCTACCCAAACCGTCCAGGTCGGTAGGGATCGCAGGGGACAGCCATGCCGAGATCGCTTTCGAAGCGATGCCCGGAATCAGGGACTCGGGAAAGGTGGCTGTGATGGAAGAAGGCAGATTTTGGCGTAAGTAGCCAAGGACGTTGGTGATACGGTCCAAAGTCTCGGCGATCGTCGCCTTTGAAGGCTCAGAATCCACTCGGACTCCAGAGTCCGTCACCACAACACCATAGCTGGTCCCGTCGGGACGAGCTAACAGGATTGGGTCGATTATTGCAAGAATGAAATTTTTTTGGAACTTGGCATTGGCAGGTGCGAGCACGTCGAGTCGCGAAAGCGACGTAATGATATTCTCCAGAGAGTCTGCGCCCTCGACCCTGGAAACTTGAAATTCGCCTTTCTGTCGGTCAATCTTTAACAGATCTCCCCAGCGCAAACGCAGAGCTTCTACGATCTCTTGTCGCAACCGTGCCACTTCGGCTGTGAGGATGCTCATCACATTGGTATTGGTGAAGAACGTATCCTCGCTGATAGCTGCCGTAGTCGACTCCAGTTGCTCAATAGCAGCGGTGATCTGGCCATTACCAAGTGCGGTTCGTCCAGTATCCAGTTGCTGGCATAGTCGCTGGACTTGCTCCAATGTCCCAGCTACAGCCTGGTTGAAGGCGATCTCCGTCTCAATTAACCCAACTTTCGCACTCGCGTCGTCCACCTTCGCCTGGAGAGGGTGGGTATGCTCATGCTGCGCAACAATTTCCCGCGCTGTCAGCCTCGAGCGTTCAATGTCTGCGTGGAGTTGTTTGGCCTGGACAATCCAATCGTCGGCGTCGAAGGTGTTCTCGCGACTGAGGGAGCTGATTTCATTCTACCACAGAAAAGCAACAATAGTCAATAAACACAACGGTGGTCAAATTTCGGAGGTCCTGCTTTCTCTCACCTCGGCCTGTTCTCGTGCCTTCGAAATGAGCGCCAGCTCCTTCGCAAGAGCTGCAGCTGGGAATTCGGCAGCAACGACCTTCTCCTCGGGATAAGTGCCGTCGGCGACAAATCCCAGCACCGCCTGGCATACTTCTTCCTCAGACGTCTGAGGCATTGCAGGGTAATTCGAATCGCAAAAGTGAGCAGGGCAGACGCGGAAAGCAACGCTGTCAACAACCCGTGACCTGGTCACCGCCCCACGTGGATGTATGCGCTCGTCTTGGCTTTTGGGCGATTTTGTAAGAGCGAAGAGCTCAAGAAGAAAGAAAATAAAATAAACCCAAGGAAGTTATAGATTCTCCAATATGACTGGCGCGAAATAATTTAGCGACAAGCCACTTCGACTCAACTATCAACGCCAGAACACCCGCCCGCTTTGTAAGGAACGGGACCCAAACTCCGCCTGGATCCAGCACACCCGTTTCCTCGCATCTTGAACCCACCGTGTCTCGGTTTCTGTTGCGAGGCCTGAGTCGGGCGCATACTTCTTGGTCCTTGTGAGTGAAGTGTCTCTTTGTTTTCGGTCCGCCGTTCTCCCATGACATCAAATCCCACATTTTTGCCTGCCCCGCCGATGTCACTTCTTCCTGACTGCCATGTCGCGGTGTAATCCTCAGATTTCCCAGCAGGAGCATGCTTCGCTGTCACATTCCATTGTCTTCCTATTTCTGTCTTTTTGTCCTGTTTTTCTCAGTCAGCTATGGACTCGGTGCATATACCTAGCCTCCATAACGGCTTGTGGGAGGTGATGGACGAGAAAGACAGGTCGCCTCCCAGCGACGTTGTCGCTATATGATGTAAAACAACCACCTAAGGTTGAACGAGAAAGGCTAATGAACAGACAGAACCTTGATCTTTCGGCGAGATATTCTCACTGGGCCAGTCCCATTGACCAATATGTCGCCCGCGGTGCAGCAGAGTCATTTCAAACTACTGCAGCAGTTCAAGCCAGACTACTCGCCTAGCGAGTTCACACAGTATGAATCCGAGCGCACTGGGATGAGAGTGGTCGTCATCGACCAGAAGGGTCCCAAAGTGCAGGGGTACTTTGTACTGGCCACCGAGATCCTGGATGATTCGGGAGCCCCGCATACATTGGAGCATCTATGCTTCATGGGCTCTCGGAACTACCGATATAAGGGCTTCTTGGACAAGCTGGCGACCCGGGTGTATTCCAACACCAATGCCTGGACAGCGACCGACCACACAGCCTACACGCTGGACACAGCGGGCTGGGAAGGCTTCGCACGTATCTTACCGGTCTACCTGGAGCATGTGATTGCTCCAACCTTGACTGATGAGGGTTGCTACACTGAAGTGCATCACGTTGATGGCTCTGGTGATGACGCTGGTGTCGTGTATTCCGAGATGCAGGGAGTGCAGAACAACGCGGCCGAGTTGATTGACCTGACAGCTCGCCGCTTGACCTACCCCCACGGTGTAGGCTTCCGGTATGAGACTGGAGGTATGATGGAACAACTCCGCGTTCTCAGTGCGGAGCGCATCCGTGAGTTCCATCGCGAGATGTATCAGCCCAAGAACTTGTGCTTGATCATCACCGGAGAGGTGGACCAGCAAAACATGCTGGAGATCTTGGATAAGTTTGAAGATACCATCTTGGATGTCATCCCAAGCCCAGATTCACCCTTTAAACGACCCTGGGTGGATTCTGAGCAGGCACCGCCGCTGGAGAAGTCCATCATCAAGACGGTGGAGTTCCCCGAGGAGGATGAGTCTTTTGGAGAAATAGAGATCCGGTTTGTGGGACCGGATTGCACTGATCCTATTCAATGTATGCATTCCCCTGCATGTCTACTCTTTGAAAACAAATGCTCACTCGTTCACAGCCGGGGCATTGAATGTGGCACTTTTGTATTTGGCGGGCTCGTCTGCGTCTCTGCTGGAAAATATCATTGTCGAAAAGGAGCAAATCGCCAGCGCAGTCTACTACGCGACCGAAGACCATCCTAGCATTGAGATCCGGTTCACGCTGACCAGCGTTGAAACCGAGAAGCTGGCTCAAGTGGAGCAGAGATTCTTCGAGATTTTGAAGGATGCCATGGCTAAGGACTTGGACATGCAGTATCTGCAAGAGTGCATTGACCGACAGCGTCGCACCTGGAAGTTCTCGACGGAGAGCTCAGCTTCATCGTTCGCAGAGTACGTCATCTCTGATTTCCTGTTCGGAAAGCGGGATGGATCGACCATGCTGGATGTTGCGTCTCTGAGGGAATACGACGTGATCGAGAAATGGACTCAGGGTGATTGGCAGGCTTTCATCAAGAAATGGATCGCCGATGCGCCCCATGTCACTATCTTGGGTGTGCCATCCCAGAAGGTGTCCGAGACGTTGAAGAAAGAGGAAGAGGCTCGTGTTGCTGCACAGAAGCAGCGCCTCGGTGAAAAGGGCTTAAAGGAGCTTGCCGATAAGCTTGAAAAGGCCAAAGCAGAGAACGATAAGGAGATTCCGAAAGAGATATTGGAAGAATTCTGCATCCCCGGAACGGAATCGATCCATTTCATGGATACCACGACGGCCCGCTCCGGTACTGCACTGAAGGCCGGGCACCCTGACCATAAGATCCAAAAAATCGTCGATGCTGACGAGTCTGGACTGCCTCTTTTCATCCACTTCGAGCACATCCCCAGCAGCTTTGTTCAGCTGTCGGTTCTCATCTCCGCCCAGTCCGTCCCCGTCCAGCTTCGTCCTCTGTTGTCGGTGTACACCGAAGCGTTCTTCAACATCCCCGTCCAGCGCGATGGCAAGACGATTGACTTTGAACAAGTGGTCGTCGAGCTTGAAAGAGACACTGTTGGCTATGGGCTGGAGGGAGCCCGAAGCCTCGGGAACTCGGAGATGCTGCGCGTTTCGTTCCAGGTAGAGCTAGAGAAATACGAGACTGCCATCGCATGGCTCCAAGAGCTGTCCTGGAGCTCGGTCTTTGATGTGGACCGTCTCCGGGCCATTACCTTGCGCCTCTTGGCCGACGTCCCGGAGTCCAAGCGCAGCGGCGACGATATGCTCGCCGCAGTGCATGTGATGGTCCACTATGCAGAGGAGTCCATCGTCCGGGCTCGCTGCACTCTGGTCAAGGCCCGCTACCTCAAGCGTGTCAAGCGCCTTCTTGCGGAACAGCCCGAAGTCATCGTGGGCCGGATGGAGGAAATCCGCCAGTCGCTTTTCCAGCCGGAAAACATCCGGGTGGTGGTGATTGGCGACCTGGAGAAGCTTCCTCGACCCGTTTCGTCGTGGAAGCCATTCGCCGAGCGCCTCGGCACCAGCGAGACTCTGAAGCCCATCACTAGCCGCCGAGCCCTGCTGAGCGATGCAGGCCAGACCGTGGGCGACAAGTCCTATATCGTGCCCATGCCGACAGTCGACTCGTCATTCGCCTACGCCACCGGCCGCGGTCTCGACTCGTACGACCACCCGAAGTTGCCGGCCTTGCTGGTTGCAATCGCGTATATGAACGCCGTCGAGGGCCCGCTCTGGGTTGCAGTCCGCGGCACGGGATTGGCGTACGGCACCAACTTCGCCTACAACATCGACACGGGCTTTGTCAACTTCGATGTGTACCGGTCTCCGAACGCGCACAAGGCGTTTGAGTCTAGCAAGCAGATTGTCGAGGACCACTTATCGGATGCCACGCCGTTTGACCCGCTGATGCTGGAGGGAGCGATTAGTAGCATTGTCGTCAGCTTTGCTAACGAGCAGATGACCGCCGCCAGCGCCGCCCAGGGCAGCTTCATTCGCCAGGTCGTGCGAAACCTGCCCGCCGACTACAAGGAGCGAATGCTCAAGAAGGTGCGGGATATCAACGTCGACGAGGTCAAGGGCGCCCTGCGTGAGATCATCCTGCCGCTGTTTGCGCCGAAGACGGCGAACCTGGTTGTGACGTGTGCAACTGTCATGGAGGATGTAAGTGACTTTCTGTGTTCTTTGTGTTGTGGTTTCAGTTAACTAATGCTGCTTGCCTGTGTGTAGACTATCAAGCAGGGCTTCGAAGCGTCCGGGTTCACCCCGACAGTTCGACTCCTCAAGGAATTCGAGGACGACTACGGCCTCAAGCTCGACGGGGACGAGGAAGAAGATGATGACGACGATGACGAAGAGTATGAAAGTGGCTCTGAGGAGAGCGACGAGGATGACGAGTGATGTGTAACGAGCGGTAGACCTGGTAGATCACTAAATGCTAGAGTTGATGATAGGGGGATGTATCTACCACTTCTTAAGTGTTCAGTAGGTATTTATCCTATATGAAAAAACAGGAATAGCAACAAATTAAAAGAAAAGAAAAGCACTGCTGAATTGACTTGAATAATTCACACACCCTCCATATCCAAGAGGTATTATGGTACACACGCGCGGACAAGATCCGACAAGTCCAGTCTCACATCAGCCAACACTGTCTGTTCTCGAAGAGATGCATAGCAAGAGTCCTTGGCTCAGGACTCAAGGGAACTGAAGATTTTCCCATACAATTTTTGGCTTTGAGGAGAATATATATCGGGGAGATATATCCGTACCTTGCCTCAGCAAAAGAATCTCCCATCACCAGCTCATCTCCTTCCTCCCATTCGATCTCCGCCGCGAAATAATCTTCCGCCCAGTCCGTGCCTTGGCTCGCGCCAGGTACCCATGGCGCCGCTTCTGTACCCGACGCGACGGCCGGAAGGTCACGCGACGGCCGGCGAGGGCGGCACTAGCCGAGAACGCGCGGGTCTGCTGGGGCTGCTGCTGCTGCGACGACAGGAGTGATGTACCCCAGGAAGAGACAGAAGAAGAAGAAGAAGAAGAGACGAACGATGATACAGAAGACGGGATGAGCCGGGACGAGAAGAGGGGCTGAGTTGGTTGGTGGCGGGTTGGCGTGGAGAGGAGGGTTGAGGAGAAGGGTCTGGATGTGAGAACGGCGGAGGGTGTGCGGGTGGTTGGCTGGGTGAATGGAGAGATTCTATATCATTGGGAAAATACACAGTTAGTATATTGGTTTGAAACTGTTTCTCGCTGGCAGGGGAAGACGCAAAGAAGAGGAGGGTCTTCTTCCCCGGGGTTAGGTGTTGCGTACCGGTTCATCGGGGTTCGCATGGACATGGTGGTCCGGGTGGAGGGCAGGGCCCTGCAGCGTAGACAGAGCATGGTTGGAGTGCTGGAACAGAGAAAATGCCCCCAAGGAAAGAATTGGCTCTCGGAAGAGTTGCGGGCCCGGGGGATAGAGAGGTGTAGCTTGCGGACAAGACGTGTCGGAGTCGAAAAGAAAATTAAGCGCGGAGCCGCCGAGGCGCGGACCCGCTGGTCGAGGCAGTGAAGTTGAAGGCCTGATCTTATACAAAGATATCTGAGAAGATTTGGATGCACTGGATTCTCAATTCTACTCATTTTGAATTAATTTATTTAACTTGACCAATTTCACCCAAGAGCAACAGCAGATCCATAGCACATTTGACTGCCAGTCCAGATTACCCGATTGGGTTAGCGTCACCGAAACATTTTTTGATGCGACTCGAACTGGCTCGTTCTTTTGCTCTCTCTTTTTCTCACGCCAATTCGCAAACAACCTTGAGTCCAAGACTCCCTCTGTGTCCCGGGAGTACTACAAACACAATCCTACACTCCGGTGACACTAGCCACCACCCATTCCTCTCCAGCCCCGCGTCTTGCGGGCAAAAACCACCAACCAACCAAAAAAAAAAAATGACAACCCAAGGCCCAACCCCGATCCCACCCACGACAATCCAGTCGACCCAGACAATCAGCCAGGCCGCCGCACACGATTTCCTAGCCGCCTACCTCGACCGAGCAACCAACGACCCAGCACTGCAGCCGAACGCCAGCATCAGCGAGCACGGCCCAGTCTCGCGCACGACCGCCGCGGCGCCGAACCTCATCCTGCACAATCTGAAGCGCGTGCAAGCCGGTTTGGGCGGCGAGACGCTGGGCCGCGACTTGACCGTCGCCAAGCAGAACCCCGGCGAAGACTACCTGGATGTCGGGACCGGGGCTGCTGTGCCGGACACCGCCGCGGCTGACGGTCAAGGCCAGGCTACGGATGCGGATGGTGACCAGGCTATGATGCATGGTGGTGATGGCGGTGACTTTGTGAATGGGGATACGGAGCTGCAGGGCGAGGCGGAGGCCTTTGCAGAGCAGGAAGGGAAACAGGCGGTTTTGGATAAGGAGGAGAGGAAGAGGAAGAAGAAGGAGCGGCGGCAGGCTGAGAAGAAGGCTAAGGCGAAGAAGGATGGTGATGACAATTAAAAGGTATTCGACGGGGGTTGTGCATGGATTCTATTGTTGCATTGGGTCGGAGTCTTTTATGTTTAATCTTCTATATTCTTGGTTGCTCTGCCAGGCTGGTTTTGTCTTTTTTTTTTCTGGATATACGCTTGCATTTTCATGTCTGGATAAAAAAAAAAAGGGTCGTTGAGAGCCGCTTGGATTTTGATTCCATCCTGGCCATTCCGTAGAACGTTGGAAACATTGCAGTCCCTTTTCTCCTTTGCTCCCCAATCTCCCCGCTCTATCCCGTCCACTCCTTCACTCGGACATAAAGAAAATCATCGCTCGAGATACCAAATATATAAAGACACCATGAAGATAAAAAGAGAATCTTCAAGCCCACACGACACAACTCTACAGCTCGCGGTCAGCCGCCTTGACCGGCTGATCACTGTCCTGCTCCTTGAGGCCAGTGACATTGCCGCCCTTCCAGCCGAGCGCACTGAGGCGCTCCGTAAGGATGGGGTGCGAGTAGTGGTAGCTGGCGTACATCCAGTCGGCATCCATGGTGCTCAGGTTCTGGATCTGGAGCTTGAGGAGCGAGGAAGCAAGCTCCTTGGAGTATCCGAGATTCTGGGCGAAGGAATCTGCAAGCACATGGTGCGTCAGTAGCATGAACAGAAAAGTGGTAGGAACAGCACATACCCGCTTCAAACTCGAACTTGCGGCTGAGGATGTTCATCAGGAGCTTGACGATGGCGTCCATCGGGGCCAAGGCGTCCGAGAACAGGATGAATCCGATCATGATGGGCTGCTCCTTGATAAATCCGAACGACTGGTACAGAGACTTGTTGTTGACGAAGACAGAGAACAGCGCAAAGATGTAGAACATGTGGAACTAAATTGGAGGGTCAGTGGGTTCTGCGTTGATGGAGATGAAGACATCGTAACAGTGGAACTGAACTGAATCAGCCATACCTGCGCAATACCGAAGAGCTTCGTGGTGTGGCTCAGACTCCAGTGGCCCAGCTCGTGGCCCAGCACAGCGACAACCTCCTCTGGCTCGCTCTTCTCAACCAGAGTATCGTAGAGGACGATGTGCTTCTTCCACGGCAAACCATAAAAGTAGGCATTGCTGTGAGCACTGCGCTTGCTGCCGTCAATGACATGCAGCTCCTGGAGCGGGAAGTTAAGTCTCTCGGCAAGTTTCTCGACACCAGTCTTGAGAGGACCAGGTTCGAGCGGCGAGAGCTTGTTGAACAGCGGCAGGATCACAATCGGGTAAATGGTGATGGCGAACACCTGAACGAACATGCCGAAGAGCCACAGATAGTAGAAGAACGAGTTGCCGGTTTTCTGGATGATCTTGAGAACAGCGCTAATGATGGGTGCTCCCAGAACAATTCCCAGGAGCTGACCCTTGAGCATATCCGTGACCCAGAGCTTGAGCGTCTGCTTGTTGAACCCGAATTCTTCCTCCAGGACAAAATGCTGATAGTACGAAACGGGAAGCGAGAGAATGGTACTGATGATGTTGAAGCCGAAGAGGAACACAAGTGTCTGCGAAACTTCGCCTTGAAACCGACTGGGGAAGTACCGCGCAAGCAGGAGACCGCCGATGCTCCAGAGCTTGGGCAGGACATCGCCATAGACGAACGCGAGATTCTGGATCTGACCATACAAACCGGAAACGAAACTAAACTTGGCCTTGGCGCGACCGTATGCCTGTATGTATTGGAAGCAATCAGCGTCCATCGAGTATTTTGGGGGGTGCTTGTATTGCCGTACCTGACTCTGGTCAAAGACCTTTTGCGTGACTTCTCCCGCCAGAACCTGAGGGGTCTTCGTTCGCTGCAGGACCTTGTACTGGCGAAGCGACAGCAGACCCTCCAGGACAAACTGCCCCAGCGAGAATCCCACGAGCACGTTCTTCCATGGGAAGAGCGGCCGGTCAAGAAGACGCGCAAGTTGCTAGCAAACAAGTCAGTTCATTTCTTGCCTCAACTTTGGTACAATCCAAAAACACCAAGACGAATGGCCAACATACTTCGAGAATATACATGACTGGGCGCGACAAAGCGAAGGGAGGGGGGTACTTTGTTGAAAGACAGAAGAAGCTACTTTGTTATTGCCGGGCGCCTTAGTCAGATCTCAGGCACCTCGGGATGATCGGCGCTCCGGGCTCTTTCAAGCACTTGGATTGCTCGGACTTCTAACGCTCTGCTTTTTCTCTTCGCATCAGATCTATATCTACATATCCCAGGTACAGTCCAGTCAACAGTAGGAAATCTCTTCAATACAACTCCCTAGAACACATGAAAGAAATAAGAAAAAAAAAAGCACTTCGTCTTCAACGTCACTCGTATCCCACTACCTAGGCAGTCTCCATTCCTCTGGCTAAAACTGACAGCACTCCATGCGCGAACCAAAAGATCGCAGGCATACTTGAGGCAGGTCGTTGGCCAAGAGAATGCAGTAGGACTCGTCACCTCTCTCCCTCTTTCTCTCTCTCTATTCAACAGGGGGAATCTGTAATATCATAACTTCACTTTTGTTGGTGACTCGTCGTGACCGTAAAACTTTTTCTGCGATTGATCGCCGAAGTCATGCCCAAAGGTCGGTGGTTCGGGGTCGTTGGCGAGTATAGTAGAGCTCCCGCCGATTCAACAGGCCTCTTTCTAGAGCCTCCGTACTCCGAGCTGGGACATCGTCCGGTGTGGACCTATTTACTGCTGAACGGGCTCGAGGGTGTTACCACTATATACGGGGTACGGTTAGTAAAATATCCATCAGCGGCACGATAAAGACATCAACTTACGCAACAATGTTGGCCCACCCAATGAGACGCCAGTGCTTCTCAATTCTCCGACTGATGGCAATCTTCTCACCAACTTCCGTGCAAGCCGGGCTGGTCAGACTGAGCTTGGCGGCATCGGCCTTGACACCCAGGACCTTGGCACCGGTGGCTGTCGAGCCAATGTTGACCATCAGCACTTCGTTCTTTGCCAGCTTGGCAACTCTGGCCTGCTTGCCATCGGCAGTCTTGACACCCAACAAGCGGCGCAGCAAGAAGTAGTTGACCTCAATCTCCGTGTAGATGGCGGGCAGGCGGCCGCGGTGACCCAGGACGAAACCAACCAGACGGTCCGCACGGCAAAGCGTAGGGTCGACCCGAGTTCCCACACCGATCAGACCACCGGGAACGGCGAACTTGAGGTCGTTGTGCTCGGCGAACAGGGACACAACACGGGAGAAAATCGGGCGGCACTGGATCTTGCCGTGCTCGTCCTTGGTGACAAGACCCGGGCGGATCTCGATCTCATCATTCAGCTTCACCACACCGGTCAGAATGGAACCACCGGCAACACCTCCCTTCAGCTCGTCAATCTCCGCACCAGGCTTGTTCACATCGAATGAACGGATAACCATCATGTGAGGCGAAGCGGTGAAGTCACGAATAGGAACCGGGATGTGCGACACGAGGTACTCGTTGACGGCATCGATGTTGTATTTAAGCTGAGCAGAGATGGGAATAATGGGCGAGCCATCGGCAACGGTACCACGGATGAACTTGAGAATGGACTGGTAGTGCTGCAGGGCGCCATCTTCGCGCATCAAATCCACCTTGTTCTGCAGAATAATAATGTGGCTAAGCTTCATGATCTCAATAGCCGCCAGATGCTCCGAGGTTTGAGGCTGCGGGCAGACTTCGTTTCCGGCAATCAAGAGGAGGGCGGCATCCATGACTGCGGCACCAGACAACATCGTAGACATGAGCTATAGGACATTGGTTAGCAAGACCATCCAGAAAAGAAACCAATTGGGGGTTTTTTACAATATCGTGACCCGGGCAATCGATGAAGGACACATGGCGAAGCAGCCGGTATCGTCCTCCGCATCCATCGCGCTCGCAGGGCGGATCGATCTCCTTCTCGCTCTTGAAACTCTTGTAGCATGTCGGGCGGGGACAGGCGGAGTTGTCGCACTTATAGATCTTGGCATTGGCGTAACCCAGCTTGATTGTAATGTTTCGCTCCAGCTCGTTCTTGAAACGAACGGTTTGCACCTCCGAAATCGCCTTGACCACGGTTGATTTCCCGCTATGTCACAATCAGCAAAAAATTCCACGAGATTCAAGGTTTGGGTAAGACGAACTGTGCCACATGGCCGATGGTGCCTGGGTGATTAGACGAGTTAGCAAAATATTGGATCCGGGAAGATTTTGGGAAAAGGTCGGGCAGAAGGAGAGATAGGTGGATGTGTGGTGCAGACGCAATTATGAAGAGCCCAGGCTGGCTGGGATCTGCATTTCTGCTATTAATCCTCCAGGCAAATCCACATACCGATATTCTGAGTAGCTTGTCGGGCAATAATCTCAGGCGACAAGGGCGTCAATTTCGACAGGTCGAGGGTTTCGGGGTTGGGTTGTTCGGGGAGTTCTGGTCGCTTCGGCTGGAGCAGCGAGGGCTCGGTGGACTTCTTCATCGCCGACTTGATCGGCTTCTCTCCCTGTTCAAGCGGCTCCAACCCCTCAACGTCACCTTGGGCATTGTTGGCGTCGAGCATGGGCGAGCCGGGCTGGGACTCCTCGTCGGAGAAATCGCCGTTGGTAGCCATGGTTGCGGAACAAAAAAATCCGAATCGGGGCTCGGCGACAGTCAGATCAGTCGAGGCGAGTGTGGGTTCAAGGAGATGGGAGGCTGAGAGGTGACGGATGAAATTTGCTCGGAAGTGGGCGACGATATGATAATGGAAGAATGTAAGTGGGGGGGGGGGGTTTGTGCAGTGGAGCGAGAGAGGGCGGTGTCTGGATGGCAGCACTCGACCAGTTGCCAGGATTGGGATCTATGAGGTTTTTGATTGATTTGAAAATTGTTTATTTGATTTCTGGGTATCATTTTGTTTTCAATTTGATTGTGGCCTCTCTACTGTCTTTGATGTTGCCTTCAATAGTTTCTGAATCACGGCGTGTTTCCAGCTCGGCTATCTCAGTGGATGCCTCTGAGAGGAAAGCCGTCTGCGATAGAGATGATCCCCCAGGACATCAATCAGTGCCTATAATCTGCCCCAGTGACTTGCTCCCCCCCCCCCTTCGCCTCCCCGGTCTGGTCATCCGTGGGAATGCGCTGCGACGCAAACGCCAAAACCACTGCCTCTCAATGCCCGTCGTCAAAGCGGAACAGCAGCGCCCCATCCTCGTTAACTTAACCTCATTATCGAAGCGCGGCAGACTCCCCTGGTTCATATGCACATCGTGCTCTTAGCCTGGTGGTTTCTCCCTGTACTTTGCAATATGGTTGGCTACCCGCACCTCGCCAAGTATTATGACACGGACTGTTGACTCACGTCGTTCATATCCTGCATCAATGACAACGTCTATCCCCGAGCCATACGAAGACCCGAATATGTACATATGTACATGGTCGCCTCCTTGTCGATCGCATTCTTCAGGTCGGCTCCATCTCATCCAGCACATCGTTTCTCGGGCCGGGGATGTCGTGCGGGAGCACCCGGCCAGTCTCGAGCTGCAGAAGGCCCTTGGTGCGCAGGAAATCGAGTCTAGTTAGCCTGGACGACAAATCGTCGGGGATATTGTTGTTACGGTTTCTGTTGTTGTTGCGGTGGCCGCTGCTTCGCCCGAGCAACTGAAAGCCAGATTCGAGCTGCTCTAGCTCCTGGGTCACTGGGTGCGAGAAGTTATGATTGAACCACACCACGAGTCGAGACTCGGCACCGATGGACTTGACGTTGATGGCAGCTTGGGGACGTTTGTTGACGTGGTCATCGTCCCGGAAACAGAGCTGGGTGTGAGAGGAAACGGGGTCGATGGAGGCTCTCTCGGCGGTGTATGACATCGGCTGGCCGACCCAGTGTGGGGGTTTGGTTATGGAGGAGCGTAGAAGGAAGGTGGGAGTTAGATACCCGTAGATATTGGTGCCAGCTCTGACAATATATTTGCGTCACGCTGTCAGACTGCGGATATCATCACCGGTGGCTGCATGGATAACCCGAGCCAATAAAGAGCACTGGATAAGGATGGACCAGTGCTCAAAATCAACTATGTTGAAACAAAGTCCAGCAGCGGAGGAACCTCGGCATCCAGAGGAACCCTGGTGGCATCACATATAGAGCCAGTTGGAACCTTCCATGAGAATGGCTCATGAGCGTCATTCTGGCCGAGCATGTCCTCCAGTGCGGCTTCTTGGCGGCCTTGCGCTCTGGCAGCTCGCTGCATAAGAGATGATATGGGTCTCAGCATCATCCCTCCCTTCTGATTGTAGGGTAGTCTTCCCCGAAATAATCCCGGCACTACTATAGCTTTATACTAGTAACGGCTACAAAATACATGGCAAAGACGACTGTCTCGGAGCGTCGATCGAGATGCTCGAAGTTGGTTAACGCCCTATATGTAAGCCTACAGAGCGTGGGTTTATAAAAGATCATTACTATAGGTACCAGATTTCCTCGTAGGAGTTCTATAGGAACTAGCTACTGATCCGACTAGGGTGATAATCGTGCAGAGAAGATACCCCGGAGGAGTATCCAAAAAGAAAGAAATTACCACTTTCTAGGTAATCTAGTTCTGACTCTTCCGGTATATATGAGCCTTCTATTGGGTAATCCGCCGAATCCAACAGGTCCTATAGCTCTTTGATCTTGGCCACGGGAAGCGTTAGCAGGGGCTGCAGTGGCCAGGGCCATGTTAGAATCCTTTCGGAATCTCTTACCTGATCCCCGAGACTGACTAGCGCCTTATGAGAGCGACTGGACCCTCGACCGACAACCAACCTCCCGCGCCCGCTGTCTGCGTAGCCCACCTCGGGCGAGATCGGGTCTACTGTGTGGGAGTCGTCCTTGTCTAGTCCACGAGAAATGACGGAATCACTAGCACCTTGACCGGGGAGCTCGGCTGCCCTAGGTCTTCCCTCGATCTCCTAGATTTCTTGTTCCAGGCGGTTCAATCGGGAAACAAGTTCAGCCTTCAAGGGCCGTTTTCTTCGCCGCGGTGCACGGCCCGGACCGGGGAACACACACTCCACTCCAAGCTTGAGTCAAGTATCGCATGGCTGGGTTTTGTTACATCGGATCTTTTTCCGATTGCATGTCTAACAGCTACGCAAGCTGGGTGTGGGTTCCCTGCCTGCGCTAGCTGGTTGGTCCGGGAGTGGTTGGGCCATTGTCGATAAGCTGCCACAAACTGCGACGCATTCACGTCTCACCCCACGAGATGCTGATATGGAGGATCAAGGGATCGGCACTTGGAAGTGTAGTTGCCACGAATGAAGAGTGTGGGTTGAAACATTCCGGGAATGGCCCAGGGGTAAATGGGTGCTTACCAAGGACGATATATAAGCTCATCCATGGATGTTAGATAGCAATGTTCTGATAGACTAGAGAATTCCCCTTCATATTTGTATTTTATATACTCCGTATGTCTCGATATTTATTGATTATTTTAAGAGACCCGACAAATCAAAAGGTGATAAAAAGAAAAGCAAAAACATACAACAGCCAGGATTCGCTGGTGGTCACCCACCCAACTACTGACTGGCCGGCGTGTGGCTTAAGTACGGCTGAGCGGACGGGAAGCCCTGTTCTCCACACCCTGTGGTCGTATGTACTGAAGTATTGATAGAAAATAATTATAGCCCTAATTGATGGACTTGATATTGAAACAAGTTAGGGTGAGCCGAGTGAGAATGGGTGAGATCTCACCCTCGCCACGATCCTACATAGTCTAGTGGACAGGCCAGAGCAAGACACTTGGAAATATCGGGTTGTTCCATTGTCATTGGCTCCCGCAAACTCCAGTCAACGACCCCATCGATCTGCGACTGCTGATATGGAAGATATCCGCGCAAAAGATCCATTGTCACGAGTCGACATGCTCGGGGTTGGATGTATCATCTACCCTATCGCAGCCTGACGATTCTTCTATTATGACTATTTTGAACACGATTGCTGGCCGAAGCCAGAAAATCTCCCTGCAGCATGTGGCCTACTCTATGAGGATACTATGTGTAAGACTCCTCGAACTATACTACCCATCCGAGTAGAGGCGCATCTTGGGAAAGAATTGGCGTCTTAGACATTAAGAAACAAACATAAGCAAGTAAGGCAAACAGTGTAAAATATTGCTAAACTGTCCTGACGTGCTCATTTGTCACGCGTCCCTTAAGAAAAATAGAAATCGCAAGAGGCGAGTAAAATCCTATTCGCTCAATTTGTCCTCACGAGTCTCTGAATGCTAGATCACGGCAGCTTTTTACTCAGGACAGCGCCATAGTAGACAGTGGCAATCATCAAGCTGGACACGCCATGCAAACGCCCAACCCTCTTGTTCAGGGCCTGCATCTCTTTCGAGTGAGGACCAGCATCGTGACTCTTCTTCCCATCCCGTGTTTCTGTGTCGAGTTAGTTCAGGCATGTATTTCCAGAAGATTCGGGGAAAGCAAATGGTATAACAAAAACCTCAAGGAACCAGGGAAAACAAAAAAAAGACTTCTGATCAACTTGACATACCTTGATGCCTCCGCTCGCGCATCACATTGACCGTCAAGGGCCGCAGCACCAACTGATTAACCAGTCCTGTCACCGCCACAGTAGCCAGAGGCAGCAAGGTACTGTAGCGGTTCTTGGGTGCTATCAACCCCGACAGTCCCACTGATTTGAATTGTTAGCTGTGGCTCATGGTTGCAGGTAACCCTGGAAGAGCTGTACATGCGTGACTCAGTCTTTGCCGCTCAAAGAAATATATTGTTCTCGGCATATGGTCCCCAAGTTCCACCAGTAACCTGTGTTATGCGGTACGCATGCTGGAAATAAATGCAAATGGAAAGTAGGATTAGACTTTTTGGAATAAAATACAAGACAAAAACATCGATCTTAATGTATGTAGCTTATATACAAAGTATACTAATGCATATTCCCTACCTAGGTAGCTGTGGACATACAGGCATTAATGATTGATTCAAGTAACCCAAGGATGACTCCTAAGCTACCTGATTGGTCAAATTTGAAAATCAAGCATCGGATTCACTTGAGGACTCCTCCTCGCCCTCGTCCTCGTCCTCCTCGGAATCCACAAGCATGGACGGATCCTCTGCCGGTGACATGACAAAAGATGCTAAGCAGGTGATCCGATTACCGGTCTCATAAGTGGTCAAGATCTTCCCAATTTGAGAAATTGAGTCTTTCTTCTCCTTCTCCTTCCCAGTCGTGGCCTGTGTTGTGGGCACAATGTCTTTCCTGGCAACCTTCCAGATGCGAACTGTCCCGTCACTGTTGCCAGTCACAGCCAAGAAGTGATCTCGGAATTCCTTAGCCTGCGCTTCAAGGCTCAGAATTTCAAAGTCCTTGATGCGCCCGGGTAGTTCAGCCTGTTTACCACCAATCTGGGCGACAGCGGTAGCATGGGGAATCGGGGATTCAGAATCATCCTCGACCTCTTGCAATGTCTTGGTCGAATAAAAGATGACTCGGCCATCCTCTGTGGAGAGGGCAAGGATGTCATCTTGACGATCATCGCCCGTAGACAGAGAAACATATTTCATCTGGTGAATCTTGCTCCGCGGACCCGGGACGAGTCTGCACTTTGGGGACGAGTCCTGTACAACAGTCAGAAGGTGAAACCATTTCAACGTGAAAGCACAAACAACTTACAATGCCAAATACCACGGCACCCCATTCGAAAGCTACAGCAAACTCCTCACCCTCGGGATTCCATGCAATGCGCCGTCCTTCTCCGCTGCTCCATTTGCCTTCCTTGACACTTTGTAGCACATTCTTCCCAAAGTTCAGCACACCTGCTTTTTTGCCAGTCACCAGATTCCACAACCGCATACATCTCTCGCCCCGGCCTACACTTAGCATAAGCTTCATGCTGGGATGTACTGCAAAATGATTGACCCCGGATGGTGCAGCGCCGGGGGGCGCTGTATCACCGCTGGGTCTGCCCTGGACCTTGGGGCGCGGCGCTTTGATAGTCGAAACGACGGACCAATCACGGGTTTTAGACACAGAGATGGTGTTGTCTTCTGCACCTGCAAGCAACTTGCTGCGCGAGGGAAAACTCAGGGCCGAGATGCTGGCGGAGTGGTGCAACAAAGATCCCAGCTCACGATTTCTGGGGTTCTCGAGAATCTTATTCCCGGCCAGCGTCGGGACTGAAGGATAATCGTCGTTCACGGCAGGTGGTGCGACAGATATCGAGTACAGGTTGATACGCTCATCAGTACTTCCACTGGCGAGGATAACCTTTTGAGCTTCGGGGGAGTCGGTAGCTTTGGGGAGTGGGGAGAGCGCCAGACAGCGAATTGCAGATCCATGCGCCTCAAACAAGAAATTGTCGATACATTGGACAGCAGTGAAGTCAGGCTTTGTCTCACCAGCAACTGAATTCAGAGTGGAAGCTGGGATGCCAGCCGTGAAGCCATGCAGCACTCTCTCGTAGGAGCCAGTTACCACTTGCACTATCACAGCTGCATCGGGAGTTTCCGACGGGGTAGGGGTGGACTTGGCAGTTTTTGAAGGGGCCTCTGCCAATTTACCCTCCTTGGGAACATCATTTCTCTTTCGCTTGCCCATGATTTCGAGTAATCAGCTGGTTTGTAGTCTGCAAATATCGACCGCAAACTGAAGGGCGGACAACTTTTTTTCTGATTTTCTGCCGGCGGTTTATCGTCCGCCTGATAGGAGTGGTGCCTTGCTGCCTGGATCGGTTGATGCCTTGGTGCCTAGAGTTTTACGCCTGAGGTGTTTGTTTCCTGCAAGCGGAATGTGCATTTTTCCCTCTCCCTGGTATTTGCTTGTTATAAATTACCAATTGTCGTGATGCCTCCGATGTCCAAGGTTCTTTATCTTTATTGTCAGTACCTTTATATTTGAATGATACTTGAATATATTACAAGACGAAAAACAATCAGTCGCCTACTAAGCATGAAATCGCAATCAATTTTCAATTATTGATAGTGGTCACGACAAAGTACCAGATAGTTTGCCCAGGTCGGAGTGTCCACCAAGCGAGGATAACGTGTATTGGTGATGCTAAGGCCTGGTTTCCAACCTTCACTAACCTGCTGTTTTATATAAAAGCACCTATAGATCAAATAGATGACCTACAGTATCCCGCAGTGGTTTCTTCTGATCTTCGAATTCTGGTAGTTTTCCAAGGGCTTTTCCATGAATCTCCTTGGCGGAATCTGCTCAGTTACTGGGGCGTAACGCACCGTCCACTCCAAAACATCTCGTCTCCGGTACACTCCGTCGTAACAAAAACCTCTTCCCCCTTGGACGGACAGGACATCTTTCCATCGCGTCTCAGTCCACCATCAACCTTTTTTATCATTTGCACCGATTTTTCTGACCCGGGCGACTTCGTTTCATGCCCTCCCCTTTTCGCCGCGTAAATCGGATGCTTCGTTCCCATATTAGACTCCATGCTCCGCGACGAGCTCCTTCAGTCTAAGAACGATGAGATCGCGTGAGTATTAATTTTGCAAAGGCTTGGTCTTATGGTGACTGACTGATTCCTTGATTATTTTTTGGTGTAGAAGCTGCTTGCTGCGTCGAAAGCGAAAGCTTTCAGAGTTGTACTTTGCGACCGTGACAGTTGGCGGCGCGACCGGTGACTCGCTGTACCAGCAGAAAGAACAGGCATTTCTCGACGCCAACGATCTCTCCAAGTAAGTTTCTTTACTGAATTATTTTCTCCCTTGCTCTTGGACCACCGAGAAAAATCAATTTAAATATATTTTATGTGCCAATGCTAATCTCCAATGAAGAGGTCGTTACTTCAATGAAGCCACTCTGCCTGTGCCCGCCCATGCGCGAGCGCGTTCAACAGGAGCTCCTGATTCAAAAGCACAGCCTGTCGCCGGCATCACGCCACCACCAACTGTTGATGGTGGTGCCCCTCCAACCGAAGCTCACTCTCGTGGGACGTCTGCCTTAACTCAAACTGGAACTGCTACGCCAGATGTCGCATCGACTCCAGTGGATGCGACAGGGTCAAATCTGTCATCCGCCACTAGTCCAAAGGCATCGCATGGCCTTGACGTCCCGACTCCGACTGCACCCTCGATTCCATCCCCACGCGCCCAGAAAGCAACTGCACCCGTACCACAGACGACGCCCAGCGCCCAGAATCGCGATGGAGAGAAGAAAGTTCCACTCGCCACAGGCACTGCGCAGTCACTGGAGATTCCTCCCGACCCCTTCCCCCGCAAGAAACCCGACATGCGATCATCTCTTACTCTCGGACACTCGCACCCTGAACAACCAATCTCCCCTGCCTCGTCTGCCGATCCTTACTCTAACAATACCCCTGTCCCTGTGGCCGCCTCCCCCGACACCAGCCCCGCGGAAGAAGTTGCCGATGTTGGGAAGATCGAAGTCCCAAGTCCTAAACATGATCGATCCGTGCAGGCTCGCCCAAGCTTGGTTCCCTCGACCCCCGATGAGCAGTTGCGGATGGAGGAAGCACAATCGATTCAACAAAAATCTGGCGATGGGACGGAAACTGCGGGGTATCCTTCATTGAGCCAGGTGATCCAGGAAAGCGTGGGCGCAGCGGCAGACCAAGATCAGATGGAGGTTGATCAAGAACCGACAGTGGAGACTGCTGAAGCGCGGCTGCCTGATGGGACAGTTGCCGCAGCGGCTGATGCATTGTCGCCAACTGCGCGCTTGCCCGAAGAAAGCCAGCCCGCAGACGCGTCCGCGAGGAAGCTCGTATCCATTCCGCCCACTCAACCTGAAGTCTCGCAACCGGAACGCATGACGACTCGAGTGTCCTCTGGTGCTATTCGACACAAGTCAGTTTCTGAGATCCTGGGCGAGGCCCCGAGAACACTCGTGCATGAGAAAGGCCATGCTATTGTCGTCGCCGATCAAGGATCACCTGATGCTGTGGCAAGACTGCGATTCAAAGACCGCAAGGACCGAGAGAAGGAAAGAACCAGACTCTCAACCGTTGTCTTCCCGAAGCAGCCGCCTCAGCAAGACAAGGTTGATTCCATGGATCTCATCCACCGAGATACTGGTGATGCGGTGGCTAAGTTGAACGAGGAGCAAGATTATCTGTTCACACTGTTTTTGAATCGCGCCTATGCTCCACCGCGCGGAACCAACCTGAGCACACTCCTTACCTCCGCCCATAAAACCCTGAGCACGGGGAACCATCTGCTTGAATATCAGGAGCAGATGGACTGTCGAACCCTTCGGCGGATTTATGCGCTCCAAAATGCGAATAGATGGCCCCTGCGGCAACTCAAGCGCTCGGTGGAGCCCCCACGCCAGGGGACCCATTGGGATGTGATTTTGGATCATATGAAGTGGATGCGCACTGACTTCCGTGAAGAACGAAAATGGAAGCTTGCCGCCGCCAAAAGCTGTGCCGATTGGTGTGCGGAGTATGTCAATAGTGACGAGGAACACCGCACTTTGCTTCGTGTTAATGCGAAGATCCCTACGCCGGATCCGGGGGAGAAAGCTGCTCAGAAGACAGGCGTGGCCTCCCCCTCCGAAGACATGGGCGACGAAGCGTTCGGTGCCTCCCATCCTACTCCGGATCTTGTGCCATCTGCCGAGGAAGAATCGGTCAGCGATGGATTCAATGATGAGCCACGGCATGATATCCGTGACACGGTCGCCCCTGCTGCCATCTTCTCTCTCGGCTCCGATGAGTTCAACTTCTCCGTGGACATGACTCCTGCCGCTGAAAAGTTGCTTGACGAATTGCCTATCTACACACCGTTACAGGTTCCGTCAAAGACGAACGCGCCTGTTTTCAAGGAATGCCCAGATTCGGTTTGGAAGACCGAAATTCTGCCCGTATCGAAGTTTGCTACGACGAAGGTCGCTTTCCAAGATGAGGAGCCTCCTCGCAAGCGGAGTAGATATGACTACTCGCAGTATGACACCGGATCTGAGCACCGCGTTACTGAATTACCTCCTGAGCAGAGCAACGTCGCACTTTTCCGCCCTGAAAACAAACACATCCGTGACAGAATCCATCCTGGTCACTCTTTCAGACCGCCAACTGAGCATCCAATGCCGTCTGTCGGGTTCTTTGAGTCGCGGCAGTCGTCGCAATGGACTCCCGCAGAAGATGATGAGTTGCGCTGCTTGGTGAAGGAATATTCTTACAATTGGTCTCTGATTTCTAGCTGCCTGACTCCGTCATCGTTGTTCACTTCTGGAGCTGAGAGGCGGACGCCATGGGAATGTTTTGAACGCTGGGTGGGGCTGGAGGGTCTTCCGGCTGATATGTCGAAGACCCAGTACTTCCGGGCTTACCATCAACGACTTGAAACGGCCCAGCGCACTGTTGTGGCCCAGCAACAGGCTGCTCAGCAACAGCAGCAGCAACAGCAGCAGCAGCAAGGCAATGCGGCCCAGCCGCAGCCGCCGATTCGTCGGAGGACGACCCAGCCATTACGTGTTGACCGCCGAAGATCCTCGAAGCATCTTGCATTGCTTGATGCTATGCGGAAATTGGCCAAGAAGCGGGAGACAATGCTTCAAAAGCAGCAGCACGGTACGTTCGGCGACTGGGCAATACGGTCCAGGAATAGTATGGTCTTTGTGAAGACTTTGAATACTGATATTGTATCTTCCAGCTTCTCATCTCGCTTCTCTGAGAAAGGCCAACGAGGCCAATCAACCCAAACCACCGATCTCATCACCGGCGGAATTCAGTCGACTCAAGTATGACCGTGAAATGAAGCTGCAGGAAAGACAAGAACAGTACCGGCAGCAAATGATCGCCCAGCAAAGGGTTAGTGTTCCATTGTTCTACTTTATTGTTTTCTCTCTAACATCAATTCAGGCTAGTCTCAATGCTCAGCGTACCGGTCAAGCGCCTAACCAGCAGCAACTGGCGAATGCGTCTGGACGAAACCCCAACTTGCCCGCCAACTCTGGCAATCCCGGCATGTCTGGCGCTACATCCAACGGGGTGCCTAATGGCGTGCCAGCTGGGGTTGGCGTCAACCAAAGCCGCCCTCACCCTATTCCGAACATGCCTGCGGGGGCCCAAGCCAACGGCCAGATGCCGCCCAACGCCATGGCGATGAAAATGATGCCGCAAGCTCAAACGCAACAGCCCGCTGGGGCTCGACCTGGGATGCCGATGCAAACATCCCCAGATAACGCGCGCGTCATCCGAGAAGCGAATCGACTGCAAGAACAACAACGCATCCTGCAATCTCGGCAGCAGCAGCAACAGCATCCGCACCAGCAGGGTCAGCCCCAGCAAGCCCAGCAGCAATTTCACAACCAACAACAGTTTGGCCAGGGAACCAGCTCGCCAAGCTTGAATATGCCCAACGTCAACGGGGGGCCCAATAATCCTGCCATGATGGCCGCAATGCAGGCACAAGGAAACATGCAAAGCCCATCATTCCATAGCGGTACGCCGCAGGGTGTTTCGACCCCGTCGCCTCGCATGGGTCAGCCCAATCCGCTTTCGAGCGGTGTTGTGCCGACTATCAGCAACATCCAAAGCCAGATTCAGCGGAGCAATCCGAACCTGCCCCCAGAGCAGGTGAACAAGTTGGCCACCGAGCGTCTCAATCAATACCAGCAGCAGCGCATGTCGCAGCAGGCAGCAATGAACGCGGCTGCCGGTGGCATGAACGCGGTTCAGAACAATTACCAAGTCCCGCATGATGGAGGTTTCCAGACGCCCTCGCAGCCCGGAATGCCTAACGGAGGCCCCGCGATGCAGGTTCCTCAAAACCAAGGATTCTCACCGATGATGCGGGTTCCTCAGCCTGGTCAGCAGAATCGGGTTGGCGTCACCAGCTCACCAGCCATGAATGGTGCAGTCCCTCAACCCAGCCGGAGTGGAACCCCCCAGACCCAGCGCAGTGGCAGCGCTCAGGGTGGCGCCGTGCAGGGCTCCAACAAGAGTCCGCATCCACCGGCGGCTCAGACAGCCAGCAGCTAAAGGCTGACATGACCACGTCGTTCGGACCTAATCCTGCCACTCTACCTTTTCTTCGATTGTACATATTTGTCCCGACATCACCCTCTACACTAGTTTATTGACCCTCTGCCCTTCTATTACCCCTGGTTTTCGCATACCGTGCCGCTTCTTGTCTTACTCACTTCTTTCCCCCTCGACCCCTTTACTACCTCGTGTCGTGTCTCTTTTTATTTCTCACCTGTTCGAGCTTCCCGCCCTGTTCACTCATCTAATGAATCAGCAACGCACTGGCTCCCTTCTACCAGTGCCCGGAGAACTATTTGGTTGGACCTGTATTATTGATGGGATGGGCGAAAACTTCGGACTCGACGAATATGAAATGTATGATTAGTTTGGAATCTACCGTAACACAAGAGTCTTTCATTCATTGTATAGCCTTGGTTAGAAGATGATCCGGAGACATGCTCTCTAGTTACTGAGAGTGTTAACTGGCCAAGCCTAGTTGAAGTCAAGTCGAAGATGGCGGCTTTTCATATACTAATGTAAAAGATATTTTTACTTGGAGATGAAATAGTCATCTATGAAGCTCTTTAGGTCTTTCAATCACAACAAATTCACTCTGACACCAATTGCAAGTCCATGTAGGGCTGGGAGCGAGCCATTGTTGGTATACCGAAAGGTAGGCGCGCGCTTAGTTCCGCATTCGCCACCGCCTCTGGAGCTCATGATCCATTTCTGTCAGCCTCACTGCATCTCGAGTCTACACTCCACGCCCTCAGACTCTTAGGATCGTCGTGATGTCTTCATCACGGGCACCGCGCGACCGCAACGGTACCGATTCTTCACGACCATTCTCTATGTCAAAATCCAGTTCGGGTCCCTCTAAAAAACCCGCCTTCAACCTCCAATCCTCAAGTCGCAGTCGTCCCACCAACTCCCCAGCAGGCCCAAACCGCTCTCTTCCGCGGCGGCCCCACCAACTCGGTCATGGCGATGACTCCTCTGATGAAGAAGACCGCGCCCCAGTCTATGAGGAGATCTCGGGCTTCGATACGCATACCGGTGGCGCCCTGGCCGCCGACGGACAAACTATCAGTGACGCCAAGCAGCCGCTGGTGATTCCCGTCTCCAGCAAGAATAATTGGCGGGAACGAGCCGGCGTCAATGTCAAGAAGGGGAAGAAGAACCTGCTGCCTCGCGAGGTGCAGGCTCTCCAGGAAGCACAGAAAAATGGGCAAGTACCCGGCAGCGAAAGCGCCATGGAGACGGAAGGGCCCAGCATGGCATACGGATTGAGCTTTGCGCAGAAGTCTGCCGATGAAACGAAGACAGATAATGATGCAAGGGACAATGATCAAGCTATGGCGGATGCGAAACCCCTTCTGCCGCCTCCTGTCGAAGATAACAAGCCTCTCACAGACGACCAGATTGCTCTGCAGGCTTTGATTCGGGAGAGTAAAGATGATGTGGAGAGACGATCGGATCTTGTGATTAAATATGCTCAAGGAAAAGCGCATGACGAAGAAGAGGAAGGGCCCGCGCGCCCCGACGAGGCGGGCTCTTTCCGTACGGATGTAGCCTCGCGCCCGGAATCTGCTACCTTGGATGCATACAATGCCATTCCAGTGGAGGAATTTGGAGCCGCGCTACTACGAGGCATGGGTTGGAAGGATGGCCAACCCATCGGACGAGGCCAATACGGCACCTCTGCCACGGCGGACCGGGATCAAGCGAACAAACCGCGTGTGCCCGAGCGACGCCCTGGATTCCTTGGTATTGGAGCTAAAGACACGTCTGGCGGTAAGGGCGCCGAGGCCGAATTCGGCGCGTGGGGCAAATCAGCAATGCGCAAGGCGTCGAGGAAGCAGGGCGAGGAGAGTGCCAACGGCGTCAAAACAGAAGGCGTCTACATGCCGGTGATGATGCGGAACAAGAAAACGGGCGAGAATATCACCGAGGACGAACTTGCGGCCCTTCAGAAAGAGGCCAAGTCCAAGCCCGCCGCCAAGGAGGACGACTGGCGCGAGAGACGGGATCGCAATCTGGAGAAAAGCGGCCGTGACAGGTATCAAGATAGTGACCAAGACCGACATCGCGATAGAGATCGTGAATACCGCAGGCGCGACTATGATGACGAGGAGGATCGCTCTCATAGGCGGAATGGGTCTTCGCGCCGTGATCGAAGTCTGTCTAGTGGCCGCCATTCTTCTCGGCGCTCACGGTATGAGGATGATGATGACGGCCGCCGAGACGATCGGTCGCACCGGGAACATCGGGACCGTGACCGGGAGCGTCGGAGGGATCGCGATGGGGATCGGGACCGCCGCAGAGACAGAGACCGGGACCGGGACCGCAGTCATCGATATGCGGATGACCGGTATAGCAGCTCGCGGCACTCGTCTCACTCTTCTCGCCATGATCGCGACCGCGATTCCCACCGCAACCGGCGGAATGACTAGAGATTTGCTGGACTTGTCAATATGATGTAAATGACGAATTGGAATGCTGCAAAGCAGCATTCATTTCCATCTCAAACCCCATGTATGAGACTGGTGTGCAATAGAGATACCCCGATGGACGCCCAAATCCCTCATTAGAATAGAAACCAAGCTTTCATGAATTCATGATGCACGGATAATACATTGTCCACTTCAAATTCTATACTCAGGTGCCGGTCTGGCAGGTGAAGCAGATAGATAGCTTTTTATCCTTTCCCGCCCAAGAAGACTCCCAGAAACATAGAAAGGAAAGGAAAGGAAAGAAAGAAAGAAAGAAAGAAAGCGCCAATGAATATACAAGACAGACCAGAAACTGCTTAGCTTATGCCTCCAACATAATCACGTCCTTTTCATGCTCGGCGTCGCCGTTGACAGCACCCAGTCCGCCGAGTGCAACACCACCATCCATCTCACCGAGCACCCACTCGACCAGATAGCTATCATCGACCAGCTCCTCGACCCGGCGATAATGCCGCTCCGTGTACATGGTCAGCGCCTGCAGGATATCCTTCATGCCAGCAGCAGCGCGGCCGTTCTTCCCGCGCACAGACTGGGTAGCCAGCTCGACGAAGGTCGAGGCCGGATAGGAGCGGAACAGCGCGAACAAGATACGCTGCGCGACGCGCGAGTTGCGTGCGTTGGTGTTCCAGTCGCGAAGACGGAGCAGAAGCGTGCGTAGGTTCGTGGCATCGAGACTCTGCAGGACCTCGTCGATGGACGGGTTACCTGAGAGACTATTGGCCGCGAGCTCGCGGTCCTCGACCGGCAGAGTCGGGTCGTCGGCGGCGTCGATGGCCGTCTTGAAGAGAGAGAGTAGCCGGCCTGGGTGGTTGAGTTGCAGGGCTAGGGTGATGGCTTCGCGGTAGGCGCCGGCGCGGATGTAGTTCTGGAGTTGCTGGTCGTGCTCCACGCGCGCCGAGTTGGCGTTCACGCTGGCCGTGTACGTTGCTGAGGTAGTGTCAGCCCAGAACGAGACCGTTGCGTCGGCGGAGCCCGAGGCAAGCGCGTAGGGGGTGGTGTTGAGTTTGGAGGAGGTGGGTTTGATGTCGGAGCGGGAGCCGGAGGGCGTTGGACTGGCCAGGGCCCAGACTCGGTCGGTGTGGTTGTCAAGGGTCGTTTCGACCTCGCCTGTGTAAGGAGACCAGATCTTCACCAGACCGTCGGCGGCGGCAGAGGCGATGAGAGGGCGGGTTTGAGTTGCGGTGTGACTTGCCGATGCGGCTTCTTCGTCGTCGTCGTCCCCGGCTGGGTTGGAGACCTGTGGAGGAGGGAGCCAAAGAACTTTCAAAACGCTATTTGTGTGTCCTTCGAAAGTGAGAAGGCAGCTATAGTCGGAAAGGCTCCACAGCTTGACCGTCTTATCGCCTGAAGCAGTGACAGCCAGCCCCCGGCTAGTGCTAGTGCCCGACTCTGAATTGACCACTGGCGTGTTTGGCGGAGCGAATCGTACAGACCAGACACCTCTTTTATGACCACGGAGAACACCCACTGCGGATCCTTCTTCGGTGGACCAGATCTTAACCGTGCGATCCTGTGATGCTGATGCAAACAGGGAGAGTGATGAGTCGATATCGATGGCATTGATATCTTTCTCATGCGCCTTGCGAGTGTAGATCGCCTTAGGAGTGTGCGGCTTGGACCCCTCGAGCGGAGCCAGTTTGGCAATATCCCATCGCTTAATGGTGCGGTCTTGCGAGCCAGTAACCAGGAACGATGGCGGGTGGTTCACAGGGTCGTTGTATGCAGAGCTGCCAACCGGTGGTGGCACTCGTGGGAGGGCAATCGCTCCCAAAGACTCGGCATGGCCGGTGAAGACTGCAAAACAAGAATACGACGATTTTTGAGGATCGAGTCGCCACAGACGAGCGCTGTTATCCTTTGCGCCGGTTGCTAACCAGTGCCCTGACCAGTCGACATCAATGCAAATGATGATATCGTCATGGCCTTCCAGGTGCGTCACATCGGCACCAAAGTACTCCTCGACCTTCTCTGACCGCCGATGCTCTGACGGGGCAACCGAGACCACTCGAATACTTTCCGTGTTTGTGGCCAAGGCAAGCATCGAACGATCAGGCCCAACATAAGCCAAATCGATGATCTCGTCGTCGTTCCCAGAAATGCGCCGGGTAACTATCAACGGCTCCAAACTCGAGCCCGGTTTATAGTCGGACAGGGTGTCCAGCGAGTGCAGTCTGAGTGTTTGGTCCGCGTGGACGGTCATCACGAAGGACAAACCAAGCGAGTACTGAATTGCGACAATGGTCTCAAACTCCTCGCCCGCCTCCTGTTCTTGCGTGACCTCACTGCCTCGATTGCAATCGAAAACTCGCAATTTGCCGTTCTCTCCACCAATAACACAGAGCTCAGTGTGGGCAAGAAAAGCCGCGGCTTCGACACTTTCAAGCACAGGAATGATCCTGCGAATCTTCCAGGTGCGCGCATCCCAGACGATGACGGTTTTGTCCCGACTTGCCGAAAGCAATGCGTTTTCTGAGAGGGAGTACGAAAGGCTTCGCACAAGAGAGACATGCGACTCGAGCGAGGCAATGGATTTTCTCTTGTGCAGATCCCATACGCGCACTCTCCCCTCTTCGCTACCAGACGCTAGCCGGAACCCGGCCGTCGAGTCTGTGGAAGCTGAAGTAACATCGCCCATCTCTTCATCCTCGTCACCCAAAGACTTGCGCTTGGACTTGTTCTTTTTGGAGCTAGACTTTTCGTCGAAAGTAGACACCTCGAAAAAGCAGAGCGCGGAGATGACACCGCCATGACCATGGAAGGTGTGTGTGACATAGCCGCCTCTGATATCCCAGACCTTGATCGCCCCGTCGGCACCACCAGTCGCGAGTAATGTCCCCGTAGGATCAACGGCCGTGGTCACCACGGGAGCTGTGTGGGGTTTGACCGTTCGGAGTAGTTCGGTTTCAATGGTTTGAGAGGAATCGTCGAAGAGTGACAGGGAGTAAATGCGCATGGACATTGAGCGCGAGCAGACGATCGCGTGTGATGCAGATGGCGTAACTAGAAACATTGGTTAGTATCGGCTCTTCCGAGAGAGCTCAACAACCACGTACTCGCCAAACTAGTAATTATTTCTCCATCCTGTAGATTTTTTGGACTTCCGTTAGCATGGTGCAATTGTTTGAAAGACAGCGACAAAACCTACCCCTTCAAGACTGGCCAGCTGATCTCCAGTCTCCATATCCAGAATCAGGGCATCCTCGCCCACGCATGACAGTAAGATGCGGCCACTGGCATCCAGCGCGGTGCTTCCGCCCGTGTAAATGGGGCGAAGAGTGCGTGTCGCCTCAAACGTAGTTTTTACTATGGCTTTCGACATGATTATAGACCAAATGTTCAGCACACCATACCCAGAGAAACAAGTCGGAGCTTTCACATCAAAAAAGAAGCCCGCAACTTTTTTTCGAGTTTGCACCGTTTGTCCGGCGATAAGATGTGGCCCGTGCTTCAACCGCCGCAGCCGCCGCAGCCGCACGTGGACGTCCTACGTTGGTGGCTCAGCTACACCTCAGCTTGCCACCATTTTCTCTCTCGACGCCGAGGCTCATCTATCTCGACTTATGATTGCTAAACCCAGGTGCCTTGACATGTAGCTACCTCGAACACTTGGTGTCATCGCGCGCAATGGGTCGTCAAGCTTATCTGAATCGGCTCGCTTTGGTAAGCCTTCGCCCTTGGTCATGTTGTTTTCGCACCTTTCCATGGAAGTATTTCCGTTATTCGGAACCGTCTTGACTGGCTTTATTGGCTACGCAAGGGGTATCATACTTGTGGATGCCCATGACATGATCCCATGATTCGTGTTCGACCATTCCTGTACAATAAGCTCGCGCCCAAGAAACAGCAGAACGCTATGTTTTATTTTGATTATCTTTTTTGTTGCTTGCTTTTTAAAGATATCTTGAGGTTTTAACCATCTCCAAGGGCCGATCACCTTACGAAGCCCCCGAAATTGATGCGGTGGACCCCTCGAATCCAGTACGGCGGGTCTCCAACGTCCATGCCGACAACTACATGCAGCAGTATGATGCACGGGGCCACCCAGTCAATCTCGAGTCCAAAACTCTGGGCCGAGAACTTCGGAGAGCGAAGAATGACATTCTCTCTACCATGGGGGTTGTCGTCAGTGGAGAAGACCGTAATGCCGGCAGCCCCAACCAACAGCAGAAGATCAACCAGATCGCGGCCGAAAATGACTTTGGCTTGGTGATCACTACTCTTGATCAGCTATTTGTATTCTTCGGGACCTGGTGGACTTCTTCTCTCACAGGCCGAATACAGGTGGGACCATGCCCGAACTTTGGATTTTTATTCTTGCTTGGCTGACACGTGGCTTTCGTGGTATAGACCTATAGAAATTACACCCATGCTGCATTGTTTGATGTGATCCGCTCGGAGCGTGGATCAACAGGAATCCTTGGATTCTATTGTGCCGGGATCCCGGCATGGGCAGTTTCTAGCAGCTTGGCAATCGCTCGCGACAATCCGCTGAAGCGTCTCTTCGTCTCTGCTCGAGACTATGTTCTATCTTTTACTGGTGATGGCGGACTTTCACTTGGCACCCGATCTTTCTTTGGACTTGCATTCTCGGTGTGAGTACTCTTATCATACAAACACAAACTGCAGACACTGATTTCATATAGAGCGAGGAGCTCGGTTCTTATGTTGTCCGTCGAGGCCTACATGTACTCCCTGCTCCAATCCATTTCAATAGTCCCTGCGAACTCCATCCCCAGCGCCCGGCTTTTGATTCCCTTTGGCGAGCAATCCTTGATTCAGCTACCGCCATTCCCTACCGATTTATCTATTCAATCTATAGGGAACTCGCTCGCGGGTCTGCTCACATCGCCCGGCGTTCTGGTTTTCTTGTACGCATACTACCTTCGCCCGGAGCTAGAGGAGCGTATTTATCGGTTAATCCGCCGACGTCTGCCAAAGCCCATTGTTGCAGATGAGCTTTCTATCCGGGTGGCCTTTGAAGAGAATCTGATCGAATGGGTGGTGCCCACACTTGGACGCAGGTCGGAGGAAGAGACTCACCGCTCCAAACTCTCACTCCTCGAAGATCTCAAGTGCGAGTTGGTTGTTCTTCGAGGATGGCTGCTCTCCTTTTTCGGCCTGAGGTCAAGACAAGCGTCAGACACAGCCCTCGAGCCTTCTCGAGAAGAGAAGATTGAAAGTCTGCGAAATTCAATCGAGACGCTGCAAAACGAGCTCGAGGAAGCACAGCTCTACAATAATATAGCCGACGACGAGCCAGAAAGCTCTAGAGCCCAGCCCTCAGGCAATGCTCCCGCTGCTGAGTTGGCCCAGCCTGAATTGCCAGACTCAGGCACAGATGGATCCACACAGGGAAATCAAGCAGATGCAGGCTTTGGGATGAACCGGGTACTTCTAAATGAGCATCGCATGGTTGAGTCCCCCGGTGAGATGAGTAGCGACTTTTTCTCCGAAATGGCCACGCTTGGACGGACGAGCGCGCCCTCTGCTGCCTCCAACCCACCGGACCAGCCGACAGAGCCACCACAAGGCGAAAACATGAGCACAGATCGACATGATTCTCGTTCGAATACGCTATTCTCGCGTCCCTCGTCCCCGGAGACGTCTCCGCCCACATCGCCCCGTGTCAGGGCGTCCTTAATTCACCAGAGTTCTGACATCATTACGATGCAGCTCGAACTTCTGGGAAACCGCAACCGCACTGCGCTGAACCCAACTTCAGCCCTATCTCATCCGCTAGCCGGACTCAACAATGATTCTTCTCACTCTCGTCGAGGGTCAGAACCAGCCGATCGCCGAACGATCACCGAGTTCCTTGAGGCTCTGGTCTTGAGCCAGGCCCAGCGCCAAGGACTAATCCCACAACCAGACACAGATAACAACGTGCTCAATGCAACTGTCGATGTGCCCAATGCAGCAGTCGCCGAGTCAGAGCCCCCAAATGTGGTTCAAGACCTCCAAGCTGCGGATCATCCAACTCTCCACCCTATCGACAATGCTCCAGAACCCAACAATGTTCCAAACATTCTCCCCGATGGCGTGGAAGAACCATACGACGAAGACACTCGCAGCAACCCGCCTCCCACCACAAGAGTAGACCACAATGCCGCACCTCAGCCCGAAGAGCCCCTGATCCGCCCACAGAGACCAGTCGAAGAACCTATCCAAGGGCAGCCAACAGCAGACCACTCTCTCGCCCATCGAGTAACCCTTCTGTCCGCTTACCCAGTGGATTCCCTTGCGTCTCACCTTGCTGCTATCATCAGCAGTATCATCCTCTGCCCGCTCGAGTCCCTATCGCTCCGCTCGCTGGCCCACTCCTACATCGCGTCGCACCCTTCTTCTGTGGCTCAGCTCCCAGACCTTATTCCTCTGGGTTTGTGGTTTGGCGGCTACACTTGGTCCGATGCGCTGGCGTATTCTGGGCGAGTGGTGCTCATGAGAGGCATGCAGACTGCGCTGCGAGCAGGTGCCTGGGGGTTTTTGGTTGGCTCGACTATGAGGATTGGGAGGAAGTTTTGTGGTTGGGGGAAGCTGTGACCTGCGGCTCAATACTGTGTTTATTTATGGATGTATCTTTTAATACTCGGGCTCGAATTCACAAGTCCAGTGCCTAATCTCAGCGAAATCAAACATGAATTCGTCATTATCCCATTGTTACAACAGATTCGCCACCTCCAGGTAGATAGATGAGTTGGAGTATCCAAAGATGAGCCTGTATAAAAAAAAGAATCGGCAAACCGTCTCCGCAAGTTTCGCTTTTTGGGGCATATTTCTCAAACGGCTCCGATCCGCACTACGCCCGGCCCTTCCCCTTCTTTCCCGGAGTCTTGCGGCGCTCCCAAACCATCAGGTAGCCCTCGCGTGTGAACAGGGTTTCACTCTCGGCACGCTTGACAAACAAATCCTGAACCTCGAGCCACTCAGGACCGCGCTGTTGCGGCTCTGTAGCCTCGCTTGGTTGGTGGCGGGTATTCTCAGCGGACATAGCCTTGTCATGCAGCTGGACCAGCCAAGACACTTTCTCGCTTCCGGCACCGGCACCGGCACTGGTGGAAGGCGCACCGCCTGCCCCCGATGCCGCGCTGACACCCTTATCGGCGGCGTCTTCGGTGGCACCGGGCGCGGCGACGGTAGGATCAAGGATGATGTTTGCAACGAGGTCATACATGATGGGCTCGCCCGGAGGCCATATCTGTGGGTTGGGTTCGACGTAGGGAGACATGTCGAGGGAGCGGGGCGAGGGGAAAGTGACGATGGTAGGATTCCGCTCGGAGACGAAGCGGTTCTTACTGAAGCGTTTGATGTGGAAGAGGAGGTAGGGAGGAAGAGGGTGGAGGAGGCGATGCCGGACACGATGAGCTAGTTTTTCGGAGGCCGTGATGCCGTTGTATTTGTTGAGGAGGGTGGTGAGAGGGATCTGCGGGATGATAGATTCCCGGTTTGTGGATTGGAAAAGCGGTGTTGGGGGCAGATCCAAGGTGAGGATGAGGAATGGTGTGACTTGACTATTGATCGTGCCAGACTCCGTGAATACCAAACGGGCGTTCTGGGTGTCCGAATGCGCAGTAATGGCCTGGCTTTCGATTCGGAGCTGACCCTGGAAAGCGGCTTGGACGATGCTGGTGGGTGTCGATGACGGCTTCTTGGAGCCACCAAGCGAGAGATGCAGGTTGTTCAGGAACCACGACATGAAGTCTACCGGGTCCGATTGCTGCGTAAGCGTAAATCGCTTTGAGGACCGTAGAGCAATCTCCTGTAGCAACTCATGGGGAGATACATGGGACCGGAATGCCTTAGGGTTCCAGAGCTTGCGCACGAGGGTGCTGAACCGAAGAGCCAGCTGTGGCGTGCCGGGTGTTGGGAATTCGTGCAAGAGGAAAAAGTTCCGGATGGGGTGGACATGCGCCAAAAGCTGAACGACAACGTTGAGATAGTCATTGGCCTTGATGTTGTTCATACCAACAAACCCTGCGCTAGTTAGTATTTGCCTAGTAATAGTCTCGGTGGTACTGAGGTATTTTACCTGGTCTGTACCGGGACCCAGAGAGATCCCAGGCGTCATGGACCTCTTTATCGAGTTTCACCACCTGGTCCTTGGTATAGTGTGGATCTACCACATACTTGATGTCGTCCAAGCTCTGGTTCTTGGCTTCGTATCCTTCCGGTAAGACGAAAACCTTCTTTATTCCCATATTGATGAAGACATGGTGTCCGACCTCGAGAGCGTGAAAATAAGCATGCGACTTGGGACCGCGCCCTTGGAAATATTTGCCGCAGACGAGACACGCATAAACGTTGATGTTTGATAAGCTGACCGAGCATAGCTTCTCGAAATCGAAATCCAGCACTCCTCGGTTGATTGTGTCCAGGTAGAGATCGCCGTAGCCTTCCATGGGCGCGCTCTGCCGCTTCGGCGCGCTGATGGCGGGTGCGTCTTCATCGATGTCCGAAGACCCGGCATTGTCTTCCTCGCCTTCCCGCAATCCCTCCCCCTCTATGTCGGCAGCGGCCAGAATGTTCGAGCCGTTGCGGTCATCCTGCTCTAATTCCTGGCTGCTGGCTCGTTGCGCGGGTACTGCGCCATTGCGGGGGTCGCTTTCGGGGTCTTCCTCCACGCGCACTTTTTTGGAGGCTGGTGATCCAGGGAAATTGTCCTCCAAGGGGAGCTCTGCTTGCCTTTTCGACATGATAGGGCGGTTAGAGAAGGAGACGAGGACAACGGGGTTTCCGCACTTGCGATGAGACATGAATGCAAACAAGACAAACATAGCTACACAACGAGGCGGCACCTGGCGTCCATGAGCACCCCGGGGCCGTCCATGCCTTGGAATATGCGAGGCCATTAACTTATAAGAATTCCTCGCTTCACACATTTATGCACTACGGTGTCTGTACGTCCTGGAGTCAAGCTCGGAGATTTGCCGACCAGTTGAAGATTATCCCGTCATCAAAACTAAAACGTCATCGGATATGATACAACAAAAGCCGTTGCATGTCGACCATTACGCACTGCGGACGATTCTATCGTTATCAAAGTCCACCACCTTGACGCCTTCCTTGGTCACCACCTTCACCAGGACCTGTGAATCGAGTCAGTACGGCAGTATGCGACAAGGACAAAGTTCCACTTACCCCCTTGTAGTCAATTGGTAGTCGGCGCTTGAGTTCGTCTGTACACATTCCAAGAAGCTTGATTCCCTCGTCAAGAGAAATGTTGGGGTTGTGGTGCTTGTCGAGGATGGAGAGGCAGTAGAATCTGGAGGGGTCAGCTCGAGTCCGCTCATCGCTCTGAGCATCCAACGTACTGGGCATAGCCGTGTGCGGCATATGGTACTGGCGCCAAAGATGCCAGGTAGTCAACCCAGTACAGGTGCGGTTTTTCAGTGATTGGATCCATTCCGCCCAACAGCAGGTTGACGGTGTAGGGACTCCGTGACCTCAAACTGCGAGCCAATTCCCCCCGGACGAAGCTGGAAACGGCAGACGGGCTGAGTTCGGTGTCATTGCGCATCGTGTACAGTTGAATATTCGCTTGGATGTATTCGGCAAATTGGACTAGTCATGGTGTCTCGTCAGTATGCTGCCTTATGCAGACCGATTCCCATCGCAGGAGCTACGAACCGGTGTCTCCAGCCTCTCCCGAGAAGGCCATGAGCGTGTGCTTGTTCAGCTGTCGCGTCTTATCATCCTCAGCCTTGATAATCGTCGGACCTCTCATTGTAGCCTTGGATGCGGCAACAATGACGAAGTCCTTTCCGGTGATTCCCAAGAGAACCTCCCTAGCAACCGAAGTTAGTCAATGAACCGAGTCGTACACATCAACTGTTAGTAGCCACGGCAGACTTACATGTTTGCAGTATAAAGAAGTCAAGAAAAACAAGAGTAAAGAGAGGTTCGACGAGACGAAGAGAGTGGTGAAATGATGACCGCGCGGCGAGCTTGACGCCTGGAGCTCCGGTCAGCTACGCTGATGACTCAGCCGCCGCTTAGTCCGCTTTTTTTTTCGACGAAAAAAAGTTGATCAACTTCTCTGCTCGAGCCATTTCAGTCACGCCAGCTTTTTTCCACAGGAATTAGGGTCTGACAGATCTTCTTATCTGAAGATCGCCATGTCATCCTTCTTCACTGTGCCCGCTTCACAGCGCAAGCGGAAGAGAGAAGACCGCGCCGCCGCTCCGACGTCAAAGAAACGAGGCGTGGGTGCCAAAAGTGACGGCGCAGGTGGTCAACGGACCCGGGAAAGAGAGGAATCGATCTCTGGTAGCGACTTGGATGAAGATGACGAGATTGCATCGGGAGGGTCCGGGGAAGAGACTGGGTCAGATTCGGACGAAGGCGAAACGGCCGCAGACCGACGATTGAAACTTGCCGAGCGGTACCTGGAAAATGTCCGGGACGAGGTCGATGATTACGGATTTGATGCTGCGGATATCGACCGAGATCTAATTGCGGAGAGATTAAAGGAGGATGTGGTATGTGCACATTTTGCCGTCGTTGCAATTGCCGACAATTAACAGACATTTTTCAGGACGAGTTCAAAGGACGAACTTTTCGCCAAATCGCCTCAAAATTGTCTTTTCGCACAAGTTCCTCCTCATTCTTCCGCTCAGATACCCAGACGACTACCTCTATCGCGATTCATGCACCGTATGCCTACACAGTATCGAAGGACAGGACTTTGATCAAATGGGAATTGGCAACCCCCAGTGCACAGGTGCCTGCCGAGGCAAATGTTTCTATTGAATCTTCAAAACGGCCTCCACGACCCCAGCGCAAGAATCCTAGGCGGGTGAGGTATGCTCGAGGTGTGCGCAAAATTCCTGAAACCGGCGAAGAGCATGGGCACACGGGGAGCATTCTATCGGTTGCCGTCTCACCCTCGGGGCGGTTTGTGGCAACGGGAGGAGCAGACAAGAAGCTGATTATCTGGAATGCGGAGAACCTAACGCCTGTCAAAACATTCACACAGCACCGCGACTCGGTCTGTGGTCTCTCTTTCGCGCGGCATATCTCTACCATGAGCTCCGGAGAGCAGCTGTTTTCTGGATCGTCTGATCGCACGATCAAAACATGGTCTATAAGCGGAGCGGGTCATGCGTATGTCGAAACGTTGTTTGGCCACCAGGATAACGTTGCTTCGGTGGCAGCCATGACCATCGACCAATGCGTTAGTGTGGGAGCCCGGGATCGGACTGCCCGAGTGTGGAAGGTTGTCGACGAAACACAGCTCGTATTCCGCGGCGGCGCTTCCAGGAACGCTCAGTACCACGAGAACAACCTCGATTGTGTCGCGCCACTTCCACCCAACCACTTCGTCACTGGTTCTGACTCTGGCTCCATCTCACTTTGGTCGATTCACAAAAAGAAGCCACTGTACACTATTCCTCTCGCACACGGCCTGGATCCCATCCCGCCCCTGGACGAATTGTCTCCAGAGCTGGACGAAGAGACCGCCGCTCACAACGCGCGGCACATGCGCCGCACGCCTCGCTGGATCACGGCCCTGACCACTCTTCCGGGTACGGACATCGTCCTCAGTGGTAGCTGGGACGGCTGGATTCGCGCATGGCGTATTTCAGAGGATAAGAAAACGATCATCTCATTAGGCCCTGTGGGCACAGGGCTTTCGGGGCAATCGACGCCTGACACACCTTCACAGCAGTTAAACCAATCGCTTGCGCTCGACGCCACTCCGGAATCGGAACAGATAGCTGTAGACAGCAACTCTCAGTCTCAGAAACAAGAGCCTGGGCCTTTGGTCAAGGGTGTTGTTAATGACATCGCGGTCTTTGAACGCCGCCCGGACAGCAACTCGGCAAGTCAACCCAAATCCAAGTCGGCATCCAAGTCGCAGTCGAACTCCCAACCAGAGCCGCGTGGTCTGTGTATTGTTGCCGCCGTGGGTAAGGAACACAGACTAGGTCGCTGGCAGTGCTACGCCAATAATTACTTCGAAGGGAACACTGCCGGTGGCCGCAATGGCGCCATTGTGTTCGAAGTTCCATTTACCTCTCTCGACGTCGAGACCGATGTATAAAATTCTTCATCCTTGATTTACCATAGCCTCACTTCGATTTGAAGCTCTTTCCTCGATCTTCATTGGCCGTGGGGGAAATGCGTTGTTTAGGATGAGGTGTCTCCGGAGTCGGATTTGTGTATGTACCTAGGGTGTCAACTTATGGTTTAAGGGTTCAAAACATCTTTTTTTTTTTTTTTTTTTGCATATATTGGGCACTGTTTGGATTTACAGGTTTTAAGTGATATTGGCTGGAAAACAAAGACCAAAAATGACAAGACTTCAGTAAAACACCGTCATGGCCATCGCCCAATCTGCCCGAGACTTTAAGTGTTGATCAATGCATGCTCCTAGAAAAGATCCTCGAATCCTCCTTCTCATGATGCAGGTGGCTATCTATTCTATGGCAGTTGTATACAAGAAAATGTTTCTATCTGTTCTCATGGCTAGCAGCTTTAAACCCTATACTTGTGAGCATCGGGTATTGAGAGGGGCACCTCAACTTTTTCGCTATTGGCACCTCATTTTCTGACATACGCAAATTATCTTTCCAAATATTATATTTTGATTTACACTTTTAATCATATCTATAAGATTTATTGTGATACTAGGCATACTATATCTATACTTTATACTCTCTCTTTTCATAAGACACAATAATTATATATATATCTTAATAGGGGCTTATAAAATATCAATATTTAGTCTGCTGCGCGAGCTGAAATACAAGGGCCGAGATAGACCACAAGCGCACTCCCAAAGGTCATGTAGATTATATGATTATTTTCTCGCAGCGAAGAGATTACGATATTTCTACAAGCATAGAAGGGGTAAAAAAAAACATTTTAAAAATAAGTATTAAATAATAAAAAAATATAATAATAATAAAAACGATATATTATTACTAGTTAAAATAAGGGCTTTAATCAGTGAAAATAGTTATAAGATAAAAATATCATACGGATAGAGGTAAAGTCGAAAAAAAACACGTAAGTCAGAATAGGCATCATATAAGAAAATGAGGTGCCACTATCAATATCCGTGAGCATCTGATAGATGATGCAAATCAAGCATGGTTCCTATTCGACCACCCAAGCAGTCTAATTATTTTGATATCGGATATATTGACTGATGAGACAGAATATAAGCTAGTGCATTGCTTTTTATCTCTTCATGCTGGAGGAGCCGGTCAATCCTTCTGTCTATTTCTTCGCTCCCTCCTTCTTCCGGTCATGTAACTCCCCTCGCTCCTTCACCAAAGCCGAGATAGCAGTCCCAGTCTCACTTCCCAGCCCCGCAAACCCCTTCACCACGCCCTCCCGATCCCCAGGACGCATCTCCTGACTCATCTTAAACTTGCCCTGCACCTTATGCACGCGGATCTCAATCCCAACGATATTCCTCTGCATCAGCTCGATATAGCGGTCCGGCGCATCATCCACCTTCCAAGGCCCCGGCCGATCGCCGCCCGTATACCCCATAATCGACGTCTCGGTATGCTGCGACAGGTCCCGCAGCTGCTTCGCCAGGAAAGCGCCGGCCTCGGGTGTTTTGGAGTCGTAGTACAGCGAGAGCTTGCCATAGACCTGGACGGCGGAGTAGTTCCATGTCGGCACGACCTTGCCCGTGTCGGGCTTGGTCTCGGTATAGTATTTCGGGGTTACGTAGTGGTTGTGCTTGGCGTTGAAGAGGACCAGTACGTCGTCGTCGAGCTCCAGCACGTTCGGGGGCTTGTTGTCCACCTGGTCCATCATCGCCTTTACTTGCGGGTTCTGCTTGGCGATGTGGGCGCGGAGGCGTGGTGGCTCTGCTGTGTTGGTTTCATTTGGTAGGTCAATTACCCAGGGGATGTGCGTGCATTGTAGGAAATCTTGTTGGGCGGACTCAATGCCCGTGATCAAGATACCCAGCGGGTTCTCACTGATGAATTGGAGGAGCACTCCCTGGTCTGTTTCGGCGTGCACACTGGGAAGAAACATTTTCGAGGTGATTCACTTGGAGGAAAATAACGGAACAGAGGAAAATCTTGACATCTGCAATTCGAGGCACTGGTGCAGATTTATATGGGCAGTGCAACCTCTTGAGTCATCGTCCTCGATAAAATATACTTGAAAATGTCTCCCATCTGACTGGCTCTTCCCATGAAGACTTGCGCCGAGGAGAAGCAAATCCCGACAAGCCCGCTGATTCCTGGGTATTGGGTCGAGTTTTACTACTGTGTCTCCGTCCAAGCCCAAGGGCGCCCAGTTAAAATTAACTAATTGATATTCCAAACTCCATGGAAGATACAGCGGGGTTGGCAGTGCAACAAGCATCGTTCTCGCGCACCCAATTTAGTTAGGAGTGGGGGCAATGGATGCAAATCCCGGTGACAAGGCTGATATTCATTGCTAAGGAACATACGAACAGATCCACATCCATGTCGACCGAAAGTACCAAAGGGAAGTCTTTTTCTTCTTCTTTTTCTTTCGCAGAGTCAGCGAATAAGAATGTCCGTAGCAACAACCATCCATGGATACTGAAATAGAGTCCAGGTATAGATCCACACTCCAACAGTCATTGTTCTGGGTGATCTTTACCTTAGATGGTATGCACATCCGACGGTCTATGATATTCGTTGATTTGCGGTCATGTTAGATTCATCTATACACAGAGCAAGATTATTTGGTAACAGATGTATATTTGATAATTATATTATCTATGGCTAATTACTTAACATATTTTATTTATTCAGTTCAACAAAGGGGGGTGTTTCATGAGCAGAGCAACCACAATCTTTCCCTTTAAGCGTATCCTCAACTATAAAATGGTATCGCGAGGAAAATGGTGTTTAAAGATGATATTTACAAAGGGATTGCTCGATACGACTCAAAAACTACGGATAGCGTTGAGATATTAGAATAATCTCCGTTAAATTGGATGCAAGAGTGAGCACGTTGGGGGGTTATTTGATATCATCCAAACAGTGGTGTCGAAATAAGGCTCAGACTAACATAGCCAGATCGGCGTAGATGGTTTACTTATCTATTTCTAATTTAAGCTTTGTTGATTCTTTCCTTAAAAATACTTAGATACATAGAGTGATCGATGAATATCACAGCCAACCCAGATATCAACTGAAAATGTAGTTGCTAACTCGTACTTAGCTAATCTGGCGTAATGAGCACTCTGGGAGTTTTTAATATTCGAACTGAGGCTATAGACTTTGTTATATCAAATATTACCCCTATATGTAAACATGTGTACAATGGGAGCCAACAAATTTGGTGGTGTCGGAGAAAATGCACCTCAACCCTCTAGCCCTTCCATGAGGAAACTTTGTAGACGGTTGATTTCCAACGGAATCGGCACTATTTCAGACCTGGAGCGGACAAACGAAAAGCCATTAGCAGCAACACCCCAGAAGAAAAGATATACATAAATATCAAGCAAGGTCGTACAATAACCAATTATTTCTAAACAGCTAGGAACGACACATAGGTGCCCTGGCTAGGATCACCCCAGCATCCCTGGGGAGGAGTGAAAGCGTCCCCCTTGCAACCAGGCTGGGTGTAGAAACTGATCTTCACGCCAGAGTCCAAAGTGCTCTTGAAGGTCTGGTGCTCGGGCAGATCCTGGCACTTTAAATTCGTCACAGTCGTGAAGTCTCCGGAGCCCGCGCAGGAGTTGTTGTCGAAGACGGTGACGGACGACGCGGAGGTGCAGGCCACGAGGCCGAAGAGGAAGGAAAAGTCGAAGCGCATTGTAGTGGAGAGGAGAAGTAGGCAAGATATGGAGAGAAAGAGAAAAAGAAAGAGTAAAAAAGAGTCAGGCTGAGTACGTGTGGGAAGACTACTAGCTCCCCTTTTATACTCGCGGCAATCGTCTAGAAATAGCTTGCGAGAACCTGCTTCACGATTGAATATTCTTCTGAGCTATGGGCACGCTAAGCAGGAGGGGGGTGGGCGTTCATGGGGGCGAAAGATATGCGGGTAAGTCGGTCAATTAGAGAAGCAGATTGTATCTCGTTTAAGCGTGGTCTGAAAATTGGGGGTGCTGAAGGGCCCACTTAGGACACTGCAAGTCTATATTTACTTTAGTTACATCTAGCCTCAGGTAGGTGGGCAGTAGTTGCTCGCCCCAGGGACCAACCCAATCTTATAACACGGTGGGTTGACTGGGGAACAATGTAGGACCATGAATGGTTTGCAAAGGCGGTTTTATCACTTGGACATGGCGAATATAGCCAGTTCATACTCTGTTGCGATTTGAAAAGAGCCAGATATGCTGGGATTGAATTATATGGTTCATGGACATTCAAAACACCTGCACTGGGGATCCAATCTCGCCTATGACCTTGAAAGATGGAAGACAAGGTCAAATCAAACAAAGAGACTATGGGTATTCGCAGAATAGGGAGATGATCAGGACAGGACAAGTTGCAAATAAACACCTCGTCTTCGAGGTCACTGCACCAGCCATAGATGAGGATTCCCCCTTCAGCACACAAACAAATAAGAAAGAATGCAGTGAGCAAAGCGCCAAGCCATTTGTCTATCCATTTTTTCAAAGCGCCGCGCTTTTTGAGACCAAAACATAACACCGAAAATGCTGATAGAAGAGGGGGAAGAAGGAGCAATGGAACGAAGATGATCGGATGTCCCTTTCTAGTATGGGGAGTATCGGGCATAGCGCCGTTGAGGTCTTCTTCTCACAGGCGCAATGGGTTGGTCGTCTTCTTCGGAATCATCGATGGTAATCGCGTTACGAGCATTGGATCCTGTATCCCGAAGGCGGCCCATGGGTCTCGGAGGCGAGCTGGAATCCATCGATTCGCTGTCGTCGCCACTTACGGGACTGACGGTGGAGCGTGCATAGCGGTAGCCGGGCACCAGAAAAGAAGAGTTGTCTGGGACCTCAGGCCCGGAGGATTCCATTGGAGATGATCTCGTGCCGTGGGGTGCAGTGCTATTGGATTCCGCGGACGATGATGATTCAGCGTCACTGTCCGAGTGATGACCGTCAATTTCCTCCACTTCATCATCGGAATCGTCCGTATCGACATAAGCGGGCGCGAACGTAGGATGGGTCCTATTACGCCGAGCGCCTCCCACCACAGTGGAGTGATCTGATTGCGATTCAGGCTCTCCGTCCTCTTGCTCATCGTCAATGAATGAGTCCATATCATCATAGTCATCGTCATCTTCCTCTTCTTCTTCGTCATAGTCACCACTGGGAAAACCCATGGGAGGGTAAAAATCGAACGATTGTGACGGATACCCCAGAAAATCTTGGAGAGCCCTGCTCCCTGCCGGCACACCCCACAGCATACCAGCCTGGGGTTCCATATCTTCGAAATCTCTGTCATGACCTTCGACTCTCCTAGTAAGGCTGCTCAGATCTGTATCACTGAAGTCCGAATCGCTGTAGTCCGTGTCTTCTGACTCCGCCTGATATACATAGCCACATCCCTCGCACTCGTCGCTTTCCGAGAGCTCCCACTGACAATTCGGACAACGGACCACCCCGTCTTCTGGGTCCATTAAAGGCCTGGGTTGGGCAATCTTCGGCTTAAAAAGCCCCCCAAACAAACCACCCGTGCTTGGATGGAGGTTTGCCTTGTCCTTTTCTAGCCGTTCCGCCTCTTCGCGCTGGTTTTTCGTATGCTCCGCAGTGGTCTCGCCTTTATCCAAAAGTTCCGCGCGACTAGTAAACAGCTGTACGATGGCACGAACCTAGTGTAGACATGACGCGTCAGGGAACCTTGTTCGAAGGCCAGATGTCTAGCACACTTACCAGATACGCCGGCGCAGGCTGGGTTTTCACAGGCGCTCGACAATCGGGACATGTTCTTTTTGACTTCCCCCGGAAAACCATGATGTCAAGCACTGGGCGGGATTAGATTTTGTTCAGAGAGGAGGAAAGAGAGAGGGGGTGGCTTTACTGAATAGCAGAAAGTATGACCGCAGGCAAGGGTGAACGGCTCGTACAGGGGCCGGATGCAAATCCCACAGTGTATCAAATTCCGGATTCCATCGACGTGTCCTTGAAGAGTGTTGACGAGCTAAATTTCATGTCTCAGTTGCGCCCTCGATCGTCTCAAGCAAAACTGTGAAGTTGGGCTTACCCCCGCCGCCTCGATGTCTGCGCCACTCCCATCTACCATGATTCTTGTGCGGGAATTGACTGAGTGTTTCGGTGATTATGCGCGCAGTGCAACCCTCGATCAAAACGCGTTTGAGTCCGTCTTGCGTGGAGGCACAAGATCCGGAGAAAAAGATGCGGTGGGGCGTCACCTGGTAACAAGCTTTCCAGAGTGGTAAGGCGTAGAGGGTCGGGCAGTTGAAAGAAAGAAACAAAACACAAATACCGAAGGGCACCACCAAGCCTCCCGAGGAAAGATGGGGAGCGAGGAGGATGTTGTCGCAGTTCTACTCGCGCTTTGATGGCAAGAACAGTGTTGTTTAGCGGCCTCAGGCATAAATTTATGTAATCCTCATTTTGGCTTACTGGAATTCCGCCAGAATGAGATGAGTATCTTCTATTTCTTCTGTTTCTCTACCAACATTGACCAATTCTGGATCTCAAATGGCCAGTAAATGATAATTAAAGAGGAATAAAACACCCAGGGCTATTCAGAGCCATTCCAAACTATTTCCAGGACACTAAACCCCTTGTGGAAATTCTTAACAACCAGGAAGTCAACCCTGCCCTCAGGGCCATGAATTCAGTCTGGTCAGTTATCCATGGAATCAAGTTTAAACGAAACTACATACCAATTGAGGACATCTGACTGCTGCTCCGAAATGCCAAGCCAAGCCTCGCGAACTGAAACCTGGCTCTGCGTCATAAGACACTGCTTTTAGTTTAGGGTATTCGGTCTAACATACATACTTTTCCCAAGTCAATACGGCATCCCACGGATTTTGAAACACGTTGAATCAGATTGTGGGCATCTCCTCTGGGTTAGGGGCCATAGCTTCTAAGAACCATCCACACTACTGTAGAGCCGATATGCTCCTTTGTATGTACCTACATTCACCGCTTCCCTGTTTCAGACCCACCGCCCATTAATGCCAGCACCTGAGTGGTGGGTCAACCAATTGCCGACAGAATCATGAGCGCGGTACATGAGGTGCGAACTGTGCGAGTCATGATACTGCATAATCAGAGGATCAAGAAATCCTCTGGCCCCACCTTATTAGGGACGAGCCTTCCAGTAAGGAAATTGCGTAATGGCTCCTGGCTCCATTATCGGTAATAAGGAGGGACAATAAAACGGGCAACCCACAATGCTATACGGATACTTAGCTGAATATATCACATCCTTCTCTGCTTAAGACCAGCCAGGGAGGCCTCTGGTCCAAGAAGACGACCCAATTGGCTTGCAAAAGAGGAACGCCTCTCACAAAAGATGAATCTCCTAAGAGCCTTGCTGGTCTTTACCCAACTCTTCTCTTTCACCTCTGCAGTCGTTCCCAATCCCTTAGACCGACGTGTTGCGTTCGATCAATCATCATGCTCGAGCCAATCCCAGAAATTAAACGACCTAAAAACCACTATCTCTGACATGAGCGACGCTGGTGTTGATTCAGTGAAATGGATCTCGAGGACTTGGAATCGCAAGAATCCACTTTCAAGCTCTCGCAAAAAACGAAGGCGCATCAGCCAAACCCTGCTGTCATTCTTAGCGATTGATCTCGATAAAGATGGCTTTAATTCAGCAAACAAGAAAAAGCTCAAGAAATTGCAGAGTAAGCTCCGACTCTCAAGCATCCCTTTATTGATTTGTTATGAAGCTATATCGAGTCTAACACATACACACTGCTCTATGACCAGAGATTCTTGCGGTGCCAAAACAATTAATCAAGAAATCTGATCTTCCCACATTCTGCAACGATGATTTTCGCACCGATAAAGGCCCAAACAACCAGGAACACAAAATCAATGGGGAAAAAGCATACTGGGATACAATATGGAAATTATGGAGTGTGGCGCCCACCTGCAAATCAATGTCGGACCTTGATGGCTATATGAGCTTCAAGGAAAATCCTGACGAGAACCCAGGAACTGCAGAGAGACTCGTCATATGTCCTAGTGGCTTTGGAAAGCCAGATACTCTCAGCCAATTAAGGTCTAAGGGTGTGCAAGAGGTCATCCGTCAAAAAGTGGAACTGGATGATGTCTCGGAATATGTCGCTCTGACCCTTTTCCACGAGTTGCTACACTCGCAGGCGGCCGGTTATTGTAAGTCCACATTCAGTGGTTTTATCCCACCACTCCCACTCTCTCCTGTTTTCATGGTACTGATAGCAGCTTAGTGGAAGATTATAATGTCCATACGGGGGAGTCCATTTTTGTAGGGAATAGCAACGACAAAAGCAACGAAGACGAAGAAGAGGAGGCAATTCCAGCTTATGGCCAAGTGGCGGTTCCCATTTTTGCCGAGAGCTTCCCTGACAAAGCCATGAACAATGCGGATAGTGTCGCCCTGTACGCCGCTGGTACGTCCATACACCATTCATTCTACCATCTGGACAGCATACTGATGGTAAAGCAGCGATGTACCTGCATAAATGGTCTTGGTGGACTGGAGAAGCTCAAATCCCAGATAAGGAATCCTGTGATGAGGGCAGTGACGATGCTGATTGCTGCATTCAGTGAATTGAATTGCGATGGAGTCACTTTGAGAGATTTGTTCCGGGAATGCATTGCCCTGGAACGAGGATAATCGCGTCCAGGCCAAATGCTTCAACGAGTTTTAATAGGGGAGCAGCTTCCCCGTGTTGACTATTTATTTACTTGCACTAATTAGACGTTTTTAAAGGGCTCAACTCTCCCTAGGTATTTTTGGCTAGTTTTGTAGTTGACTACTTATAGCAGGCAGTCTAAAGAAGTTGAAAAGAAGACCTAATAACCCCAAACCATATAGAACAATCATTTTCCATCATCTTGTTTACTCTGACTGGGATTTGATGTCTTTTTACCATATAAGGATTTAAAAAAAAGAAAGATATAAAATATTACTTATATCATCCACATCCCCTGGCCCTGAGATCTCATCTTTTTAGGTGAAGTCTTCGGGATTTATAGAACAGGAACTATACCGATGTCCAGACATATTCAATTTATCAGCATATTTGCATTAACCCAGTGCAAATACATGGAATAAATAAATTATTAGCAGAAAAAAAAAAAAAAAAAACCTTTCAAAAATAACATTAAAATAGAAATTATTAACACGTAACTGATGAAAGGTGTGCTGGACTCTCTGGAGGGGGTGGATCTCGCCAAGATTCTGCGGATCCCCAATTCTTTGTGGACCAACTACCTCTGCTGCATCTCCAATCAACCTCGCGCTGTCCTCCAGTCTGTGTCTGATCGGTTGGGCATTTGATTTCTTTCCACCACAACCGCCCTTTCATTCTTGTTATTTCTAAGGCCACGTTATCCATTGGATATACCGCATCCATGGCGGCCGAGTCCACCCAAGATGACAACCACGAGCGGGCGTGGGAGAAGGCCGAGAAGAAGTTCAGCCAGTGAGTATTGTGTTTCTTTCCCCCTCATGTGCTCAATATCTCATATACTTTGGGCCTGGAATTGCAACGCTGTCATTCCTCTTTGATGGCCCCTCTTGACTGGAAGACGCGAATCAGCTCCACGTGACCAATCCATCCATGGATATGTGGATGATAGCCATAGACCAATATTTCGTGTTCATGGGAATCTATCATGTCTTCCTGTCAGTGACTGACTCGATGGGTTTAGCAAAAACGCCAGTCAATATTACGACCCGTGCCAGGATTTCGCTGATCGAAGTCTCAAATGCATGAAGCGGAATGGCTTCGACCGTGAGATGTGCCACGACTACTTCCAGTATGTTGAGTCCAGATGAACTGCGCACCCCTAATAGTTACTTAGTGGTTATCTTGCTATTGGTATGATTGATCTGGTGTTTATGACTCCATCACTGACTTTCTTTCACTAGAGCTTATCGTGATTGCAAGAAGAATTGGGTAAGCATAATTCCTTTCCCGGGGTCTGTTTCTTGACCCAGGTTTCAATTTGATTATCCAGAATAGACATCTCGTGCCATATATTGCACTTTGTTGACATATATAACAGTTGACTCAAAAGAAGCTTGGTCCATCCCAGTCCAACTAAGGCTGCTTCGACATGCTCATCCGAATGAGCCAGGATAATTGCGCCACATCCACTATTCTTTGTCCATTCAATTTGGAATTACCTCAGCATTGTGCATCGTCCGATATCTAGCATCTGCAGCTTTCAAGCTTTTTTTTTTTTTTAATCTTGGCGTACTAGGTTTCCTGGTCCTGGCAGTCTGTATTTTGGAGGCTCTGTATACTAAATTGTTGGTTTTATCTGGTCCGTTATTTCTTCTTTCTTCACCAAGCTACTTGTACTCTAAATCTTCAATCTGATCTCAATCAACTTGGGAAATATCACAGACATGAAGCCAATTGTTAGGCATATTATTGATTCACGTGACAGCTACCTAGGCAATGCAGCTGGCCCTGACGTTGATGTGGGCAACACTCACCGCCTTCCAATCGACTTGCTTCCCCGCCAAATAAAAAAGTCCCGCCGGTACTCAGATCCGCTTCAGATCTCCCTCGACGATTTCCAGCAGGTGCTGTGCCTGGCACAGTAAAGGAATTACCTCAATTTTCCTGTGCTGAAGCATTCCTGCCCAAACTAAGCCCTGCACTATGCCTCCTATTAGCGACGCGGTGTTCTACCGGCGCAACAACCAAATCCAAGATGCCATTGACGGGCAGAATTTGAAGCAGGCCCTCCAGCTGATTGAGAAACGTATGAAGAAGGGCGAGGACAACGTTTACATGAAGGTAAGGGGCTTTCATCTGTTGCAGGAAACATAAGCCGCACTCATTTATGTACTGAATGTGTACAACAGGCATGGAAAGCGCAAATCCTCTCCCGACATGCAGACAAAACCCATCACAAGCGTGGGGTGGCAGAGACACTTGAATTGTGTAATACAGAGCCAGTCATAACCGATATAGACACCCTAGACATGCTTCATCAGACGCTGCAACAGATGGATGAGCACACGCACGCGAGGAACAGTCTATGGGAGAAGGCAGCAAAGGAAATGCCGCAAGATGTGGATATCCAGATGAGATGGTTTGGCTATGCGTTTGAAAACAATGATTGGAAGTCCGCGCAAAAGGTCAGTGGCTTGGATCAACAACTGTACCCTAGGGCTCAGGCCCCGAATCGAGAGCCACTTGCTAACACTCGCCTCCAACGGATGTTAGGCGGCCATGAGCCTGCAAAAGAACTTTCCCCGGGACCGCAAGTATTACTTCTGGGCCATCTTCCTCAGTCATCTCGTGGCAACCGACGATGCAAGCTCGGACGGAGAGCGTAAGCTATTTGGAACGTTGGCATATCGCATGATTTCAAAGGCGGCAGATGATGTTCCAACCAACTCGGTACGTCTCTGCTATGTGTGGATCTATACACCACATTCTTGGTCCAACCTTTTAAACGATAGTGTGAACTGACAGATTCCATCGGGGTGCATGATTCACGCAGACCGATTTGCTCAGCCACCCCAGAGCCATTCAAACAGCCGAGGAAGTTCTCTTGCTCATTAAGATCTTTGAATCCCAAGGCCGCTATGACGAAGCTGTGAAGGCTCTTGAACGTGAAAATGTCGGTCTTAGCTCTAGCATTGTGCAGAACGATCAGACCTTCGTCTCCCTCAAACTCAACAACCTGGGAGCGGCCAAGCTGTGGGAAGAAGGGATATCCTTTGCACAAAGTCTTCTTGCCGTTCCTGATGACCCGAACGAGCAAAAGGCACTCCAGGAGCGCGATGACTGGTCAACCTGGAATCTCCTGAGTCGGGCCACACGAGAATTGGGAAATCCTGAGTCAGTCATCCAAGTCCCACAGTCCAGAACTTAACTAACCTTGTTTTTGTTTTGGATTTGTAGAATCGCGGCTGAAACACAGAAATTCATTGAGAAGTTCATTGAATTCAGCCCAAAGTCTCGGAATGCCCATCTGGCCCGCATGGACACAATCCAGACGAGGATCGCCTTGGGGGATCTCACACAAAACGACCTGCTCTCAGCTTGCCAGGAATACTTTTCTGTCCACAAGCATAAGCTTTATGCTTTCGACGATATCCGGAGAGCCTTCGAGGGCAATAGGGCTATGTTATCCAACATGGTTGATCATAGCTTGAAATGTTCTCAAGATGAGCAGACGGTAAGATTGGTCTCCCTTGGCGTTTTGCTCAAGTGCTGATTATTCAACCAGACGATGGTTCCCACGATCAATGCACTCAAGCTCGACTACTGTTTGAACATCTCAAGAAATGAAAGCAATGTTTCTAGGGAAAAGATCGAGGAGTTTGTCGCCAAGTGCTTGTTGCTTTATCAACAGCCCGCCCACACTGACGAAACGGAGAAGAAGCCAACGACTTCTTCTACAATTGAGAGCCAGCCCCGGGATGATCTATGTGTTCTAGCAGCGACAAGCCTGCTTTGCCCTTACGGCGCACAACCTAATGATGTCAATTCCCAGATCCCCGATGCTGCTCTCGTTCGCGCTGCTGGAATTCTGGAACGCCTTCTCCTCGATTCGCCCCACAATTATGAGGCCCTTCTGCTCTTGGTTCGCATCTATCTTCGTCTGGGCGTGGGCTCACTTGCATTGAGCACGTTCAGCAAGATGAATATCAAGCAATTGCAGTATGAAAGCGTTGCTCATCAACTTTTCACCCGCCTCGCTACCATCCATCCTCAATCGGCACCGCCAATTGAAGGCGCAGAGCTTAGGGACTTCCACCCACAATCAGCATTCGTTCAGGCTCTCAACTTCTATCGCAACGCGGAAGTCACCTGCATGAAATACAGAACGAGTGGCTTGGATCATGGAAGCTACTTGAATGTGGAGGAGACAATCGAGCTCCGGAGACGCTTGCAAAACAGTATCTGTCGCAGAATGTACGCCCTGGACGTGCGACGCATGCAGAGACTCGTGGGAGGAGACCCGATGTCACGTTACGATGGGCTTGGTCAGTATCGAGTCATTTGGCTTTAATTTATCGTAACTATGTGTTGATTTCTTACTGACCATTGTTTAGCCCAGGAATGTTCCCCCGCCGTTGATGGGCGGAGTCCTAGTGCGTTTGTGAGCTGCGAATTCAAGGATATGCCCTCAGTCGAAGAGCGGCTTCGTCTAGGACCGCTTCCTAAAGTGAGATTCTTTTCTCCTTTCTTTTGGTCCAAACACTAATGTTTTATTTTTAGGAAAATTGGCTGGCCTCGGCTAGACTTACCGATCGTCTTTTCGGTATCATCAGAGGTATCTCGATCCAAAAGCCATTGACTCCGGAGATCGAGCTGCCGGCTTTGGATGGATTGTCGCTTTCAAGAACTGAAGAGGATCGGACCGACGCGGAGAAGGATGTGGCCAAAATCCATGGAGAGCTCCTCAACGTGGCATTGTTCATGGCTGGGTCGAAGACCATTGCCCCGGAACAGGCTGATCGTGCCCTGGGAGAGGTGGAGGACTGGATGGTTTCTAAGAAGAAGGCTCTGGCCCTCAACGAAGCTAAAGTCTCGCCCATTATTGCCAACACAGCGCTTTGCCTGCAAGCAGACACCCCCACTGCACCGACGTGGCGATACTTCCATTTCATTTTCACGCTCCTTGAAACTCTCAAGGCCCTATCTCAGCTAGTTACATTGGCTTCACGAAAAGCCTCCAAGATTGTGAAGCTGCCCAAGGAACGCGTGGATCGATTGGCTGCTCTTGTGCCGGAGGTTTTTGAGAGTGTTCGTGCCAACACGCGAGAGCTGAAGCTGCGCGTCTCTGGATCGGGTCTTCTCGGATCCTTGACAGACCTGGTGACGGAGGGTGACCAGACTGGTAAGTACGGGGAGCAGTACCGTACTGCTCACACAAAGCATCTGGACATGCCCGCGGTCGAGCTGTTCTGTGCTTCCTTGATGGAGAGCTGGGAGGAAGCACTTGACGGAGTGATGAGTGTGAAGCTGTGATTATGAGTGAGTAGACTTGTATGTTGTAGAAAAAAAAATCATCATAGGACATGAAATGACATACACACATCTATCTACCTCGCTATCTAACAGACACTGGCGCGAGTCAGGGCAGTTTAAGTCACGTGCAAACTTTGTAGAGTATTCATGCCTGAGGCATTAGTATGATTCCACTAGCCTGATTTGGTGGTTGCCCTAAGCCCTAGTGACTCGCCTACGCACCAACGGGGGCGCCAAGCCTCCGATTGTGCGGTTACCGGCAAAGCGGTGATTTCCTCACGCCTTCATTCCCTCTCTTTTCGACAACCACCGCCAACCCCTCCAGTCACCAACCGTCGAGATGGCGCAAGAACGCTCCGGAATCGTGGTCGGCATCAACAGTGGCCGGGTATGTTGAGATCCTCCTCTCCCTGCCGTCCGGGTCTCTTCTTTTCCGTCGATCTGTCGGTACGCTTTGAATCAAGCCAAGCTAGGGTTCTCGTGGATATTCGGTCTGGAATATTGGGCACAGCATGATACTTGCATCCTGTTCAAGCGAAGGGAAGAAATATTGAAGAGGAGGAAACCAATTTGGGTCATGTCGGACAAAAAAAATATTTCGATCTTCAATCGTGACACGGACATTCGACCTCCACCGCTGAACCCTGACTCTGCTTCGAATTCAAAGCGTACCGATGTAAAGACAGAATGGAGAGATTTGGCATGGTTATTTTCTACACGATTTTCTGGGCTTGGAACTGACGAGTGGCTTTTTTTTTCAATACAGAAAACCACCCCCCTCAACACCCCCAAGAACAAGATCAGCCGCACCAAGGGCCAGTCTTCCCGCCGCACTGCCTTCGTTCGCGACATCGCCCGCGAGGTCGTCGGTCTTGCCCCCTATGAGCGCCGCATCATCGAACTGTTGAGGAACACCCAGGACAAGCGTGCCCGTAAGCTCGCTAAGAAGAGAGTACGTCACCCTTGAGTCTTTTGGTTGTGCTCGTCTTCTGGCTTGAATTGGTCGTGGGAGTCGGCGTGATGTCGGTGGTTCCGGGCTTGGATGACTATTGCACACAACATCCGCTTGTTCCGGAAAAAGAAACCACTTTTTACAGGGTTTCGCCCGCCATTCACTCTCGAATCCAACACAAGACCAATTGAGACACAGACGGGCAAAAACAACTAAACACCCTAATCATCTCCAAATTTCCTCACAGCCACAAACGCTAACACCCCATTCCAGCTCGGCACCTTCGGCCGTGGCAAGCGAAAGGTCGAGGACATGCAGCGCGTCATCGCCGAGGCCCGCCGTGTCCAGGGTCACTAAACGAACCGATCCGTTCCGAATTTTTTCTCTCTCTTTCGTTATGACGACTTGATTACCTGGCGCTCGCGACGGGAAGTACGAATGGAAAAGAAAAACAAGATCTACCGCAAGCCTGGTTTTCTTTTATATCTCCCACGCTGGCTGGTCTCTACGGCCATGCAAAAAAAAAGCGTCTGGCTTGCGGATCGGAATGAGGGGGCCGGCTGTTTTGTGACTACATCTGGGGCTTTGCATGTTGGCGATGGCAAAAGTGGAATCGCTTTCCCGTTTTGTGTGGAAGAGAATCCATAATGAAAACAATTTTTTCTTCAATTTTCTTGTTTCGTGCTCGTAGTGGGTGTGCTGCGGTTTTGGGGTTGCTACCTTTCTTCCTCTCACCACATGAAGGGACCTGCCAGTTGTTCGAGAAACAAGCACTGGTCGAGGCTTCTGGCTCATACTCCGGGGATCTACTAAGCGATCATCCAATCGTCTTGGCTGGGCAGTCTCCAGTCTACGTGAATATGTAAAGCAGGCCAATCTCAAAAGGTTGGCATGCAGCTACCAAAGGTATAGGCCAAGATGTCCACGAGTATGCAAATTCAAGTCTATCTGCATACACAAGACATTCGCCGGATGAAATCAAGTCATGATCATCAAAAAGAGATCTCCAATTCGTCGTTACGATATAGTTCATTTCTTTCCCGGAAGCTTCAGCCACTTAGGCATACCACCGCTCTTCCGAAGACCACTGGACTTCTCGCCCTCACGAGTCCCACGCGGTCCAGCCCCCTGCGACACCGACGTCGCCGGTTCTTCCACAAATTCCGGTGGCTGTTCAACCTTCAGCTCGCGGGCCTGGCTCCGGAGCTCCGGACGAAGAAGATCTGCGCGGCGCTGGTGAACAAAGGCGGCGGCACTATCGGGCCAGGAGAAATTGACCAGCACGCGGCCCACCAGTCCCAGGTCCTTGATCAGAAGCGTTTGGCTAGAATCTGGGATCACGTTCGCATTCGGGTTACGTGGTGCCGCATGCACAAAGGCATTGAGGACGAACTTCTCGCTTATAAACAATGGGGACAGGCAGCTGCGCACAAAGTCATACAGCGACTGCCCCGTGTCGGGTGGCCCGAACTTGGCTACCACTTGGCTTTGGTCTGGGAAGCGAACTTTTACGTCCACTTCACGGATCTCGGAGCGTCGCTTCTCCTCTGCAGCTGCTTTGGCGGCAATCTCGGCGTCGGTGGGCAGGCGGATTGGGCGGGAGGACTGGTTGAGCTGTCGCTGGTGGGCTTTTGCGTGCTCGATTGAGGGGACATAATCATTTTCGTTATAAGGGATTTGGGCGGACGATGGAGTACTGGCGGTGGGAGGGGAGAAGACGGTTATGGGCCGGGAAGAGCCCGGAGCTGAATCAGACGCCTCAAGCGCTGGTGGGGGTGCTCCATCCTGATCTGGGACTGACGGCGCGGTGGGCGCGGTGGTGGGCTCGGGGTGCAAAGAACTGGGAGCTTGCTGTGCAAACGGCTCCTCCGTTGCTGCAACTGGAGGCGCTGTGGGTGCTGGATTAGGTGCTGAGACAGGCTCGGCATCCTCAAATGACTGGAAGTATTCGCCGATCTTGGTCATCGCCTCTTCGAGGGGCTCGTCTGTGCGCCGGAAGCTGAGTCGAATAAGCACATTTCCACCGTTGAAACCCAGCTGCGCAAGCGACTTCTGCAGATCCGTAAAACTTGATAACTCGCGCTCCAGGATTTGAAGCACTGGGCTCTCATAGTAAAGGCGCCCCGCTCCAGTGCCGCCGCTGGTGGTGGGCACACCACGCGCCGTGAGATTCCTGGTCTGTCCACCACCAGCTACTCCAGCCTCGAACTTGCGCAGAACCAGCCAAAGTGTGGTTGTGCTGGGGAATTTGTCCAGTATACGGCCGTTCGGGGCGCCACGGGCTTCAGATTCGGGTATTTGCAGGGCGACGGTTACAACTGAAGGCGAACGAGAAAGTTGAACAAGCTCCAGTTTCGCGCCAGAGCTGAGACCAGAGAGGCGAAATGAGAGGGAGAGGTCTAGCTGTTTTCGATTGTGCCTTTGAGATGCGGGCAAGCCGAGTCAGTATTGCCAGGCTTACTAGGGCGGGGTGGACCAACTCACTTTAATCCATATTGATTGGGATTGTATCCAAGCTTCGAGCATGCCTCTTGCAAAACATCTGTCAAGTGTTTGGCGGGCGTTGTCTTGATGGTTGCCCTTCTAGCCGTCGCGTCGATCACCACGACGTGGGCGCTCATCGTCACAACCAGATGGAACTCGCTCTGGATAGTGAAAAGACGGGGAGGGTATGTAAAAAGTAGCCACAGAAGAAATCAGATCGTAAAGATGATAATAAAATGGCCGAGACGTCAAAATCCAAGAGCTCTAAAGAAGAAAGTAGTCGAAGGTCGAGGCGGAACAAACAGGCAGCGGTGCGGCGTCATCCGAGCTCTCGCGTACTTCCCAGCTCTCCGTCATCACCTCTCCTCCCCCCATCCCCCAACTCCCCCCGCCGCAGCTCACTCGTCTCTTCTTGAATCATCTTCGGAAGCTCCAGAGAATTTGTTTCCGACTGGTTTGCTGCAAAAGACCTCAATAATGGTATGGAATGGCGTCCCTGTCCCCCGGTCGTCAATGGGCGCTGGAACTCCAAGCTGACCACCTCCCATCGCTAGGCCAACCCCTTCGACATCAGTATGCCGGAACTTGCCCCCCTGATCGACAATCGATCGAGATGCTAACTTGTATGTAGATGGCGGTGCCTGTGTCGCCATGGTGGGCAAGGACTGCGTCGCCATTGCTTGCGACCTCCGCCTGGGCATGCAATCCTTGACCGTTTCGAACAACTTCCCCAAGATCTTCAATTACGCTCCCTCCACCTACCTCGGCCTGACTGGTTTGGCCACTGATGTCAACACTGTCTCCGACCTTTTCCGCTACAAGGTCAACATGTACCGCCTGCGCGAGGAGCGCCACATTGCACCGCAGACCCTCGCCAACCTAGTCAGCTCATCGCTGTACGAGAAGCGCTTCGGTCCCTTCTTTATCAGTCCCGTCATCGCGGGTATCAACCACACATCGGGGAAGCCGTTCATTTGCGGGTTTGACAGCATCGGCTGTATCGACTTGGCCAAGGACTTCATTGTCAGTGGAACTGCCAGCGACCAGTTGTTTGGTACATGTGAGGGTCTGTGGGAGCCGGATTTGGTATGAAGCCCTGTTCTTTTTTTTTTTTAATCTTTATCTTCTACCCTGTCTTTCTCATGCTGATTTCACCCTCAGTCCCCCGAGGACCTCTTTGAGACCATCTCACAAGCACTGCTGAGTGGTGTCGACCGAGACGCCCTGTCCGGTTGGGGTGCACAGGTTTATATCATCGAGAAGGACAAGGTCACCCAGCGGCTACTGAAGGGACGACAGGATTAGAGTGGGCCGAGCAGACATGGTTGTTTTGGGCTTTCTGTTGGTTTGGGGGACAGATTTCGGCGTCTGCGGTCTTCACTGGATGATATGTGCTGTCTACAGTCACTACCTCTAATGTGATAGCACAACCGTGGCGCGAGTGCGGTCGACGTGTAGACTGAAGGATGCATTTCTCTATATTGTCTGAATCCTATCACGATAATACAAGCCCCGTTATCACGTCACAGTATTGCCTTCCGTATATTCAGGAATTTATTAATAGCCTTCCTTGCCAGCCACCGCCCCATAAGCTGGGCCATTCTTCCCCAGGAATTTCTTGACGTCTGCCGCCAACATCTCCGGTACCTCCCAGGCAGCAAAGTGACCACCACAGTCGAACTCGGTCTCTCTCACCACATTCCCAATAGCCCGATACCATGCCAGGGGCCACATGACCAGCTCTTCCCGGAATTGCGCCACCGCAAACCGCACATTCTGCGGTGCGCAGGCTCCTAGCACTTGGACAAGGGAAATGTAGTTCGTCTGTGTTCCCTGGTCTCCCGTAGTTCCAGACCCCTCATCTTTCGGCGCTGAAGCCTCGTAATAGATCCTCGTCGAAGCCATCGGGCCCGCAGTCGAGAACCAATAAACACTCACCCAGGTCAAGATCTCCTCGTCGGTCCACGGATACTTGTCTGTCCAGGAATGAAGCTTATCATAGATCCAGGCCAGCAGCGCAACGGGGCTATCGTGTAGCCCGTACCCCAAGGTCTGGGGCCGCGTCTCCTGCTGCTTCATATACGCATTGCCGCGAGTAAGGTAGTGCAAGGAGCGGGCGATGTACCCGCGGTCTTTGGCTGAGAAGGGCACCGTTAGCAAGGACTGCAGGAAGCGGAGTGGGTTCCGCCATGGATAGGGTGGAATGACGGGGATGAAGTTTAGGTGGATGGCTTGGGTGTGTTCCGGGTAGAGTTGTGACATGCTGCGTGCAATCATGCTGCCCCAATCGCCGCCTTGGATGACTGCAAAGCGGGAGAAGTCAGATACTGGCTGTCGTGGCTTTGTGGAAGAGTTTTTTTTTTTTTTGCGTGGAGGTATCACTTGCCATAATTCTCGTACCCGAGGGTAATCATCACGTTGTGAAGGGCTTCTGCGTACTGCGCCAGTCCAAATCCTCGCTGTGCATTTGGTTTCAGTGTTAGAACATTAATGTGACCTCCTTTTCATATAGGGTTGGCCAAGCTGAACCGACATACCTTCTTGACACCCTGTGAAAACCCGAAATTGGGCAGCGAGGGCACCACAACATCAAAGACGGGGCCTTTGCCGTTCTCTTGGGTGAGCAGTGGAATCAGCTTGGTGGCTTCGAGGAAGCTACCCGGCCCTGCTCAGCGTAATTAGTGAACGGACCATAGTAAGGGTCATCGGCCTCGGAAGCGTAGAGCAATACATACACCCATGGATAAACAGCAATGGTATAGCACGCGGATTCCCACTGCGATGATGGACAACATGTAGATCCAAATCCTCGAATCCAGCAACTGGCACCCGAACACTGACTTGTTGGAGTTGCTGGTTGAGCTTCTTCTCTTGCGCACGCCAGTCAAACTTCTCCCGCCACACGGTGACAAGTCGCTGGATCTCACTCAGGGGCACACCCATATCCCAGTCAGCTGCATCAAGCTCATCTGGGAAGGTCGTCTGCTCGAGCTTCTGGTGGAGCTGGTGGAGTTTGAGGTCGGGGACGGCGATGCTGAAGGGGTTGACGGTGCTCATTTTTGCTCCATCGAATTCTTCCGTCCTCTTGCCTTTGTTTTTTGATGATCTTGGGGTATATTTGGGACGAGTTGTTCTCAATAGTTTTCCACGCTGAGTGTTGAGTGTTGGTTGAGAAGCCGTGGTTCACTGCGATGGCCATTGCTTAGGGTGATCGGCGGAGATGATCCACAGCCTCGGTTTCACGGTGTGCACATTCCACTGGATGAGCATGTCGGTGGATCCGTCACTTTTAGGCTTATTGAATTGTACAGGGAACAAAAATAGAGATTTTGCTTCATTTGGTGATTTTCTAGAAGAAAACTGCAAACACAAGTCTACTGGCCACTCGCATCTTGTGGATAGACCGAGGTATTGACGGAATGTCTATACCAATTTCTGAGTTTCATAGTAAGCTTATCTATTATTTAAGCTCCTTTTTCTCTTAGTAAAAAAGACAAAGCCATATTCAGACGGGGAGCATTCCATTCTCGGGAGCATCTATAAAGATTGACAAGTCGCTAACCTTCGCTTCGCTCGGGAGACTTTGAAAGAGATAGTAGAGAATAAGAATTAACTACATTGAAATGACTTATTAATTACATTGTATCCTATTTAAGAGGATTTATTCTTTATTAAATATATAGATAGCTATTTTACTACTACTACTACTACTACTACTATTATTATTTGATTGATATTTTTTTCTCTCTTAAATTAATTAATTAATTCTCTTCATTTTCTATATCTATTTTCTATCTATTTTCCAATCCCTTTTCTAGTCCTCTTTTAATCTGTTTTTATAACCATCTCTTTTCTCCCTTGCTCTATTATGAGCAATCCAAGGATGGGTTCGAAGAAATCGACCGAATCTCAACCTGTCTCGATATACATGTCTACCTACCTTAATTCTTTTGGAACCCGATGTGCTGGTTTCAATTACCCTGCTATGTACGCTTAGAATGAGAAATAAAATAGAATATTTCTGAATCAAAGACTCGAGCAGCTAATACGAGATATTGTTGTCGAAGGCAGGAGGACTGTAGTATTGGATTCGATTCGGCTCCTCAAGCTGGCAACGTTCAAGCCATTGACAAAGTTTGTCGATCTCTTAGGCGCTGTCTGCCTTGTAGGTTAAGAACTTTGTCCAAGGATGTGAGGATCCCACAGTGAGTTTATCCATGGCCAGATACTCGACAGTTAGAGTAGGTATATTCCCTCATCTTCTGCCGAGGCTTTGATGAGGTTACTGAAGGATACCAGGGCAGGATAAAAATGGAAAAGGTGATTCCGGAGAAGTAAGGCTAGAGAAACTGCCAGGGTTTAAATCCAAACAAGACCACAACGGTTAACATAACGACCTTGCCATCTCTCATCTCTTCCCTGTTCTACCGGGGGTTCGCAGTAAGAGCCCTCTTTCTCGGTAGGCGAAGCTATCTGCCCCAACCTGCAACAGGTAAGGGTGAATTCCAGTACTGGGTTGAGATGGAAGATTCGAATGGACTTACTAGCTCTAGGAGGAGCTTTCGGCAAGTTTGACTGATTTCCACTTTGTCGATGTGACACAGTTATTGGCTGTATCAGAGTTTACAATCATACCCTCATCGCCAAGGTTACAGCCAGGATCCTTTTGGATCTCAAGTGATTGACCTTCATCGACGGTCCAGGAAAAGGATTTGTAGGAGGGAAGATCGAGACAATGCCCAATGTCATTGAATCCATTGGAGACACTCGAGCCTGTACAGTCCCCAGTTTGGAAGGTTTGAATTGTCCCCAACGCGAAGATGGACGTAGCGAGTCCTAGAAGGGAAGCAAGTTGGAAGCGCATGATTGATAATTTGGCGGTAGAAAGTAAGAGTAGATAAAAGGAAAGAAAAAGCACAGCTGAAGTTACGGAGGGGAAAGAGGTAGGTTCTTTAGAGCAGAAGAATTGGTATTTATAGGCGAGATCCCCCCATTGAATTAAATCAATCGGCTACGGTATTGACCGCGTTGCCGGTTGCTCCGAGCTGGCTTGGCCACGCTGTGGCATCCGTTGTCTGGTTGAAGCCTTATGAGTGGGGGGAGTCTCTTTTTTCAATGCTCGGCTCGGTGATAGTTGCGAGCAGCTAAGGCTGTGAGTCTGTGGGTCCTGAGGTTCTACTTGGTCTCGGATCTTGTTGTCTCAAGGACAATGTTAGTGGCTTTTTGCTGGGCGAGGCTGCGCTTAGTTCGTTGGGGGTCAAGTTAGCTTGGATTCATTGATATTTGCGAGCCATCGGTGGATCTTTAATATTACCTTTATTTAATATGGAAAAAGGACAGAGCCCAATGTTATTGTTTCTTTCAGTGTATGTATAGGTAGGCTTAGACCCGGTCAGATGGATTCTTAGTGCCCTAAAGGAATGATATACTTACGGGACCTCTTTATTGCTCCCTTATCAAGGTGGCCTATAAACTTAATAACTTAATACCCAGAAGTAGTTGACTTGGTCTATATTTGTCGGATGTCAAACCAGATTGTAGGCCACAACGTGGATCAATTGCGGGCAGGTTATTGCCGAAAGTTGGAGGCTCAACACAATCCATGTGTTGTTACATATTTAGTAGCTGGCTTGGAAATACTTAATCAACAGGATGTCGATCTTCCTACAAGGCTGTGAATCTAACCCCTAAAACGTGTTGTTGAGTAGGCATAAAGATCTGTCACTCAACTTCTCTTCCATTGCCTCCAACCAGTCACAGACACACAAGCTTCTCTCAATTATTATCACCATTCTATACCTATCTATAATGAAGCTTACTGCGACCGTCGCCCTGGTTGCCCTGGCTATCTCTGCAGAAGCCAGCGCGTCTGGTTGGTTTTTCCTTTGCCTCTTGAATCTACCATCGCCCAAGCTGATTCTAGTTGCTAACCCATCCATTATTTAGATTCCTCTGCCGCCATTGTTGACAAGAGATCGAACTGGAAGAATTCGTTCGATGGACAGAGGGTCTACAGGACCCCCGGGTGTGAACGCGATGATGGCGCGAGCTATGCTTATGTCTGGTCCAGATGTGTGCCTTCCACCGAGCCTAACGGGAAGGATGAGTTGGCCAGTGCAGGTGACTGGCTCGAGGGTCAGCCATGGTGCTGGCTTGTTGATAAAAACAGCAACTGGCAAAAGTGTGGTGGCTCTCATGAAATCGTTGACTGGGCCATTCAGGAATCAGCTTGCGCTACCAAGGAAATGTCCCCTCGCGGTGGCTGCTCAAAGGACACTTATTAGGATTACATGGTCGACAATCCAAATGAATGGATACAGAACACGTGTTCCAAAGCTAAGGGAGAGGTGATTTCTCATGCTTGATATTGAACAGATATCAGTGAAAATATTTCTCACACTCGGGTTTAGGGGGTACAAGAAGAACTGGGATCTGAGCTATGAAGCAAGAACAGCAGTCTCAGAGCTGGAAGTATACAATGAAATATCTTCTCGTCTCAAGGGTTTTCTTTGTCAAGGCACAGAGTAGAATCTAGAGGATCAGCAAACCCCTCTCGGAGTGACCCGAGCCCTAATAAAGGCAACATCTGTCAGCTCAAAGTTGAGAATTAGTAGCTCCTAGCTCCTAGCTACTACATCTACATTTTTAACTCGGCTCTGGTTGATGTTCTAAATTCCACATAGAGAGCTACGCGAGGACACTTGATTCTAGTTTATATAACCTTGAAAGCGTAGTCTAAGAGTAAGCACTAAAGCAGAAAAGGAAACCATTCCATACCCCTGTCCACGAATGTAGCTAATGGCACTAAAAAGACTGTGGATAATTAGAATACCAATAGTTTGTCACCAACGATTAGATGCTAAAGAATTACCGGCAAAAAGGCAATATAACAATTCTACATAGATTATGAGGTCAGTGAGTAATTTAGATGTGTCGATGCAGGACGCTCAGAGAGGGAAACGAGACCGTGGGGCTATACTCAACTAGAAACCGGTAGAGTATAGGGTAGCAGTGCGGGGCGTCAATTATTAATCCCCGCACACAGGATCTTTCATTTTTTTCATTCTAACTGACGAGATGTTCCATAGATCCAAGGTGAAGTCACAACCTTGAGGCCTTGGAAAGCAACTAGGACTGGCGTGGCCCTGAAATCATGAGCGTGCTTGAGTCCTATTAAAAAAAGTCATTTGGGTTTCGATTATCTTGGATTGGTGTTTTCTTTTTTCTATTCTGGTTTTGTAATCTGATGAGTGTCCTTGTACTTGGGGGGTGTTCACTATATATACCCATGCTTCTTTTCATATCATTCTAAATATTCGTAATTAGTATAGACATAGATACATAGATATATATTAAAGAAGAAAAAAGAAAAAAGAAAAAAAAGAAAAAAAGAAAAACAAGACAAACAATTCAAAAGGCCTCACTCGAGGTAAGGGGAATTAAAAACAGGTACCCGGTACTTGTCTCTTCCAATGCTTGGCGCACCAAGCAGAGGTCCCCGGTACCCATTTTGTTATGGTCTCGACCCGCCGATCGTGTCCTCCGTGCGCCTCCAAAAAAAAAAAACCCGGAGAAGCGAGAGAATGGAGATGGGAGACGCAGACAATTTCTACTTCTTGTTTTCTGCTTCGACATTTACCTAGAGATTTTACTACGGTATATCCACGCCTATACGGCCACTACATCAAAATTACTTGACCCACGAACTCCTGTTTCAGCCCGCGTCTAGACCGCCCCCATCGAAGGGAAAATCCCTCTCTCTCCCCTCCTCACTTCCATTGACGGCATGTATATGCCCATCGCTTCACTCCTTGACTCTTGACACTGGCCATGGTGGCTGTGCCTAGATAACTCTAGAGCAAGAAAGACGTCTCAAAACTCACTTGTCACCCTCCGTTGCCCTTCCACATGGACTATGCCCGACACGCCCGAACCCGATGCCTCAAATCTTGTGCAACCCCGTCCCAACATGTTCCCTTCCTGCAAGGCCGAGTGTATCCCAGCCGACGGATTGACGACTGTCCCTGACGATGTGCATCTCGACACCTCGGGGGGATGGAGCGATGGCGCCCAGACTACCGCCATGGAGCAGTTGGTGACGTTGAAGCAGGGGCTGAGAACTTCGGATACCGAACTGTTTTGGAAAAGGTTGATGGAGGATATCACATCGATCACAAAATCCCAGTATGGTTTTGTGGCCCGCCGGGTGCACGGCGAAGATCCAATGCCCGAACTCGGTGGCCGTCGACCATCGCTGTTTGGGGCCGTGTTTTACTACAACGATGGCTACCAAACCGTCGGCCTGCAGCGAAACCGCTATTTCGCCGGCGGAAATCCACTGTTGCACATGGACCATGAGCGGCCCTGCCTCATCCCCGAAAACCTCAAGTCCCTGCTGTCGTTCGGTGATGACCTCCTGCCCTTCGGTGCCGAAGCTTACCTGGCGATTCCCCTCTTCTCGGCTGGCAAGTGCCTGGCGCACCTCGGGTTGATGTGGAGCAAAGAAGGTCTGCTGAACCGAAATATGTCTTGGTCTTTTCTCGAGATGATCCTTCATTCTTTGGAGGACTTGATTGTTCAGCGACTGTTGCCCGGGGAAGCCCTGACAGCCCCCCTCAGCTGCGAGCCCCCCTCTACCAGCCCATCGATTGTTCCGAACACGCAAACCGTTCCCCTCGACGACCCCTCCGATTTCACCTCCCAGCCGCTAAAACCGTACGCCCGCAGTCTATCCCATGAGTTGCGGACTCCGATGCAAGGAGTAGTGGGCATGCTCGATGTCATGCATGCAACCGTGCGGGAAGCGATGGAAAGCAAGACTCCGGTGAAATCGGGTGGGGTCTTTCAGGCCCTCAAAGAAGGCATTGAAATGGTACAGGATAGCGCAAGGCGAGCCGTCGAAGCGGCAGATAACGTCGTTCACGCCTACGATCTTAACATGCAAGTCCCCAAAACACCGCAACGGGAACAAGAAAATGAAATTCTCGGAGACCCAATACCAGACCCAATTCCTCCGACTGATGTTGCCGAACGTCGCCCGAGCGTTTTCATCGAAGGAAACAATATCGCTGTGAATCCATACAAAAGACGACGAAGCCACCCACTGGATGTCACTTCTGGCCCACGAAAGCAACGAGTACGCACATCATCGCGACAGGAGCTCTCGCCCCGCAGCGAAGAGGTCAAGAATGCTGTTCACGAAAGTGACCAGATTGTCCACGCCACTCCAGCTCGCCAAATTGAAGCCGTTATGGCCAACATGGTGGATCCTCGACCGTCCCTGGCTGTTCGACGGTCCGCTCCTCACCTTCTCCTGGAGGGCATCAACATGAATCTCAGGGGATCCGCTCTGCGGTTCACCAAGCTACGAGACCTTCTTCGCCTAGTGATCAACGAGTCTCTTCATGTCGGTGGCCGCCCAGATTCGGCAGTCGGTAACGCGACCGAATTTGGCGAGAGAATTGAGATTCGATCGCGGTCCTCAAATGGGGGATTGTTTACCAAGACTGTCGATTGGTCTGTTGACCCAGCGCTGCCTGAGTCTCTCCTTGCCGACGACCGGGACTTGGCTAAACTGATTTCTTGCGTCTTTCTCAACGCCATCAAATTCACTAATAACGGCACCATCACCGTGTATGCCACCATCGACTCCAAGACCAACGATGTCTTGATCCTTGTTCGTGACACAGGCCCGGGAATTCCAGCAGCCTTCCTACCAAATCTTTTCAAACCCTTTGCCCGTGAGGATGCTTCCACAACCAGAAGTAAAGATGGCCTGGGGCTGGGTCTTCTGGTGGCCAAAGGCTTGTCCCGCAAGATGGGAGGTGATTTGGTCTGTGTGCATTCATCAACCTCGGGCCCGGGTCACGGATCCGAGTTTCAGATCCGAGTTCCCGTGAATCAGCGCGAGCCCAATAGTCGTCCCGGGACCCCAGGCGAGAGGACTTTGACCCCGCCCAGTATCAACGACCCATCTCGACAGGGCAGTGCGAGCAGCTTCATATTCGAACCCTCAACTTCTATCTCCCCTTCCATCCTCCCCCAGAACCACCAGTTGCAACAGCCGACACCAGGCCTCAGCGACGAGAACAGATCTCAAAGCTCAACACCCCCACGACCTCTCGCACAAGCCCCGCCTAGCCGAACACCTATTTCAAGAGACGCTTACGACAAGAAGCTCGGGGAGAAACACCCGCTGCGATTCCTCGTTGCAGAAGACAACCGAATCAATCGGCGCGTGCTGGTCAATATGCTTCGCAAACTGGGCTACCGTGATGTCCTCGAAGCTGCCGACGGCAAAGAGGCCGTCCAGATTGTTCATGGAATTCTTTCCGCATCGACGTCCTCCGATGAGCCGGTTATCGACCCCAACGCTACGAAAGAAACAAATGACGTGACCGACCCACGGGGCTCTGTCACAAAGATCAAACCAATTGACGTCGTTCTCATGGATCTCTGGATGCCCGAGATGGATGGATATGAGGCCACCGCTCGGATCCTGCAGATGGTTCACGACCACCGAGGTCAGCCCTCTGGCCCGGAGAGTGACTCGTATCACCCGGAGCCTACTGACAGCCTTGATTCAATGGAGGTGGATCCCACTCCAAACACCCTCTGTGCACCTCCGCATCCTACTGTTTTGGCCGTCAGTGCGGATGTCACCGACGAGGCACTAAGCCGCGCCTCCAAAGTGGGAATTAAAGGCTACATGACAAAGCCTTACAAGCTTTCTGATCTGGAGCGATTGATCCTGGAATTCTGCGGTGGACCCAATGACCAGACTTTTGCAGCAGCAGCATAAGCTGTAGTTTTTGACTGAGCCTGCTGCTGCTACTTATTTTTTTTTCTATGCACCCATGCCTTGGGATACCCCAGGACTTTTCATATTCCCCCTATAGACCGGGCCTCTTCTCTTGTTGAGCAAGACCTGTGTTTTTCTTCTTCTTCTTCATCTTCTTTCGGCTCGGCGGTCACCGTGATGTCCTGAGAGATAGCATATATAACCCGATGGTGAAACCAGTTGTGGGTTGGTTTACGCCCTCGATCTGGCGCCCCCTTGCTTTCGGTCTCTTCTTTACTTGCCTGCCATATACGATCTGCGGCATTTCAAGACCTATTGTTTTTTATTACCTTGTATATAATGATTGATGATGAAACCTCACCAATGAACACTCGTTACCGACATTCATACTGTTCATGATGCACCCATACATAAGATTCGATAAAATTGTTGTGATATATATATGGATGGACCCAAAAACTAACGTTGATTTTGACCCAGTGGTTCTTAGCAGCACTCTGGCTCAACTCTAGCTGTTACACCTGGTTGAATATCTCCTGGAAAGTCCAGTTACAAATTCGAGAACGGACCAAGTAATGCAAGGAGAAGCTGTCATTACATCCATTATCAAGATCGATATCGTTCTAACCACGAGGATTCAAGCACTCCACACCCCCTTGTTCCTCCCTCCACCGACATGCAAACCAAGTGCTTGCCCACACTGGCTTTGCCAATCCAGAACCAGAGAAAACATCTTCAAGTCAAGAATCTACCTAGAAGCAGGTACACATACAATGCTTTTCTTCTTCCTTAAAAAAGCTTAAAGCGTCCCCATAAAACAAAAACCAAGTGATCAATATTCGCGTAAACTGGCGTGCATATGCGGGTCACAACAAGAGATACGTGCAAGATGCAGAGACATGAGAAAGATGCCGGTTGAGGCCTCCAAAGATACAAGAGAAGAAGTAGACGTAGAAAGACACCTGTCTGTTTCTCTTCTTCTCGACGAGCACCCCCACCCCCATTTTCTCACGTCAGCTTTTGCTTGATGAAGAATGACCGCAGGTGCGAGAGCTGCCAAGCGCAGGCGGCGGACAGAACGGCCAGCTGGATCAGGGTCCAGCGCACGACACGGCCGTTGGTGATCTCGGACTGGTCACGGAACTCGGCCTCGCGCTCCTGGATTAAGTGGTGAACACATTAGCGGGATGCCCTTGAATGAAACTTAATATAACACAGAAGGAAGGGTTCAGCTCTTACCCGCTGGTACACCTGCTCACGGCGGATATCGTGCAAGCGGCCGTTCAGGTCCTTGACGCGCTGAACGATATCCTTCATCTTGTCCTTGTCTTCGGTCTCGATCTTGCTGGTCTCGCCAATGGCCAGGTCCACCACCATCTTGACGGCGCCCTTGGATCCACTAAATAGGCCGTTTGTGGTGACGTCGGTCTCGGGCGTAAAGCAGATCTTGTGCTGGCCCGAGTCCGCGGCCGAGAAGGTGAAGCGGCCGGAGTGACTGTCGCGCTTAGACACGACGCGGTGGTCGTTGTCGAAGGTCTCGTCGACGGTGATGAGCACCTTGAGGAGGTGGTCGATGTGGTAGGTGTGGGATTGCGTGTCGATGACTTCAGTTTCAAAGCTGCCTGTTTATTTTTTTAAGAAAAATCCGGGTTGTCAATCAAATGTTCTTTTGGGTGATCATGAACAACAGAATCGTCTGGAGAGGTAGGTCGCTCATACCGGCCACCAGAGTGTCCTTCGGCAGGTCTTCGTAGAAGCACTTTGTTTCCCGGCCATCCATGTAGAAGTACAGGGCATTGGCGGGGACGAGAAGTGAGAGCAGGGAGAGCAGAGTCAAGGCCGACAGCCATGACGGCGTAGATGCTCGCGACAGAGCCATGGCGAAACAGTCAATTGAGGGAGACTCAGCTTTCTCCTTGGTCGATGGTGTTTATGGACCATCTGGCACCATCCCTCACCGCCTGCCGTCTTCATCCCTTCCAAACCAACCGTGGGAACCCGCGCCGCCCATCGATTTTCATCGTCCCTTTCATCGCTTTTTTATCGAGTTGCACGGCTTCTCGGAAATTGAGAAGTCGGTAATTCCGGGACTACGTTTTGATATCACTGACAGGAAGAAACACTGGTGGAACGTCTATATTTATCGCATCGCGCCCGAGGAGACTTCCGACCGAATCGCCATGGCGGCCGCCGATGTTCGCGACATGCTGGATCTGCCCGCAGAAGGGCAGCCCAGACCGCACAAGAAGCAGAAGGTGGTCGAGAAGCGTCCAGGTTCGCATCCCTGTTATCTGGATATCTTCCCTTAAGTTGTCGCTGACAGTTCTGTCGCAGAGGGCATCACCCGCGAATTGTTCGCGCTGCTGGGCGAACGGGCGCCACCGATCGCGATCAATGAGAACAAATACAAGGGGCGCCCGAAATTGATGAACAAGCTCCGAGTCCGACCATGGTAGGTCTTGGGTGTTTTGCTTGTATCTCCGAAGGGTTGACTCGTGCTGATTTGAATCCCCACAGGCGCATGTCACCGTTCACAAATAATGCTCGTTCCGACGGCCTTGTCCTCAAACACTGGCAACGAAAACATGAATCAACCCGGCCACCTGCACCCGAGAGGTCTCAGATGGAGGTGGATGAAAACAAGGAAGAAGGGAAGGAGGAGGCGCCCAAGCCGTTGGAGCAGGAGTATACATTTGCCAAGTACAACATCAAGGCACGGGTGCCTCGCCGCTACACGGACGAGGAATACAATCGACACCTGCGAAGCGATGACTGGACACGCGAAGAGACAGACTACCTGGTTGACTTGGTTACGGAATATGACCTCCGCTGGGTGGTGATCGCAGACCGCTACGACTACCAACCGCGGATGGAAACCGAGCCGGATGCGAACGCGCTTGTCCCGGCCAAGCAATACCGGACCATGGAACAGATGAAGGCTCGCTACTATTACGTTGCTGCGACGATCTTGGCCTTTGAGCACCCTCCCTCCGAGATGTCCGAAGCTGAGTTCGAGCTGCATGAGAAGATGCTGAAGTTTGACGCCGATCGAGAACGGGACCGCAAAGAACTGGCCGCATTGCAGCTCAACCGGACAGCAGACGAGGTGCGCGAAGAGGCAATGCTGCTGGAGGAATTGAAACGCATCACCAGCAACGAGCAGAATTTCATCTCCGAGCGCCGCGAGCTCTACTCTCGGTTGGAAGTGCCCATCAGCGTTGGGAACACCGCCATGTACCAATCCAGCCAGGGTCTTTCGCAACTCCTGCAAACCCTTTTACAAGCCGATAAGACCAAGAAGCGCCGTTCCATCCTCGGCGGCGAGGGTGCCGCGCCCAGCCCCGCCGGCCAGACCCCGACACAAGCCGGCGCCCCCGGTGACACTCCGGGCGCCGCCCCCTCCATCTCTCACAAGAAGGGCGCCGCTGCTGCCGCTCGCGAAGCGCAACAGCCAGTGCGCACGCTCTCCCCGGCCGAAGAGGCCAGGTATGGCGTGCAGCACCACGAACGCCTCACGGCCGGTGTGCAGTTCCGCAGCGACCGCGCCCAGAAACTTACACAGGCCAAGTCCAACGTCCAGACCCAGAAGCTGGCCCACGCCCTGGCCGAGCTCGAAATCCCCGTGCGCCTCTTCATGCCCACCGAGCGCGTCTGCAAGGACTTCGAGAAACTCATCCAATCTGTCAACCTGCTTCTCGACACTCGTAAGGTTGCAGAGAAGGTCGAGAACGAGATCCGCGTTCTCGAGTCGGCCAAGACAGAGCGCGAGCGCAAGTCCAAGGAAGCCACGGCTCCTGGCTCCTCTGCCCCCAACCCCGGGCACCCAGAAGTCAAGATGGAAGCCGAAGATGGCGCTGCCGGCGTGCTGGCACCGTCTACTGGTGACGCTGCTGCTTCTGCACCCCCCAACTCCTCCCAAGGCGGGAATGCTGCAGACCAGGCTCAAGGTGATGGAAGCGTCGATGCGCCCACAGAAGAAACTCCTGCCAAGGAGGTAGAAGGGAATCACAAGCGGTCTGCCAGTGTGCTCAGTGGTGTCAGCGACAAGAGTTCCAAGCGGCAGCGGCGGTAGATGACATTGGCATGCGTCTTATGGCATCTCCCTCTGTACCTCAGGATCCGTGGCACTCTTTGCATTTTTGATACCTCTGTACGATTAATGACTCTGCTGGAAGCTACACTCATAATCCCATTCCCCTTTTCCTGCGGGTAACAATAATAGCACAATCCTGACTCACTATAACTGGGTCATTCCAGACCTCGTATACTTTGTACGCCAATCCAACCAATACTCAACTCACCCGTCGCAGCTCAAATCTTCCTCCTTTCATCTCGACTACAAAACCCGACTCAGTCGGCTTGCCCACTGGCTGCCTTCGAACGACCCAGGCATCTCGATGCATTCCTGGTACATGCTCGCCAAGTCCTCGGCCCGATTGCTTCTTGTAGAGTCGGCCCGGTCCAGGCTGTTCGATGTGCAGTCTTGATACTGCCCCGAGGAGGCCTGAGATGGACCTTTTGGGTGTGCAGTTGATATTCTCCTACTTTGCCTGTGCCTGAAGAACATAAATCCCCATCGATTGCTTCGGGGGGCGCTGGGAGGTGAGTTGTGCACCTTGGATGCGTTCTTGTCGTCTTGCGCCGTCACACGACATTCTTCGGGCTGAAGGCTCCCCGGTTGCTCGATTGAGATCGAGGTGTCTTGTCCCTTGTCGGGTCGTGAAGCTCCCAGGACCCATGTCTTGCGCCCGTGGTGGGTATCTTCCCTGTCCTTCCGGGGTCGTGGCTGTATACTTGGATTGCGGCTCATACGCGACCATCGGTTGACGAGCGTGTCGGTCATGATACCTGTGATACCGGCGTTGGGGGGAACATCACCTTGATCGCTTGGGGGTATTACCTGGGGGCTCGGTTCATTGGTCGTGAGTGCGTGATCGTGATCTCTGCTGGAGCGATTCCTCAGTCTCGCCCACAAAGAAGCTGAGACAGTGGTTTCGCGAGTGATGTCAGCCACGGTGTTTCTCTTGGAGAGAGTGTCTGCTCCAGATAGTGCCTGGCAGTCAGGCTCATCAGCGGTCATGCTGGAACCATGTTGGACAGTCGAAGTTTCTGCTGGTTTCAGTGTGTTGTTTGAATGCTTTGCAAGCTGGCAATCTTTAGTTTCCTCGTTCCGGTCGACGGCTGGCACTTCCTGCATTTTCTCGTTTGATGTTTGATTCTCATTCGAAGTATCCTTTAAACGTGGATGCTCTGACCCCTCTTCAGCCCCAGAAACCATGGTATAACCATAGCCCACACGTCGACCCCCCGACATCCAGCCGATGCTGACTTTGCGTGGGGACCCTAGTTCACTTGCTTCACTGGAGACGGCGCGGACGCGGTATGCCTCAGCGCTTGCAGAATCAAAACGCTCAACGAACTTGCTTTGCAAGAAATCAATTCGCTGGTCCGGGTTATTCTCCACGATGGCACTTTCACCCAATAAGTTATCTTTGCTTCCTAGCGTGCTTTTGAGAATATTGACCGCGTGGACCTTGGGCGACTGAGGATTAGTGGGTGCACCTGCCGAGAACGGACTGCTTGGACGTGAGTAGATCGAAGATGCGTCTCGTTTATGGGGAAAAGCCTGGCTTTGAGATCCCGACCCGGCATTGGCGGACGTTTCTGACTTTTGGTGAGGGCGATTCTTCTCGTTCGATGAGGATAGTAGCATGCCATATCTATTTGCGCGCACCAAATCTACTGTTGATGGATTGCCGGACAAAAGTTCTGACGACATTGATGGGGCGGCCAGCATGTGCGAAATCCCTAGGTCGCCCAGATGGAGCGATCGAGTTCCTGAGAATGATCTGGGAGATGTGTTTGACTGTCGGCTTTTGGGCACTGTGATATCCGCTGCTTGGTTGGTCAAAGACCCCGACGACGTCATACTGTGGTTTTGACCTTTCGTCTTGAGAAATTGGACCCAGTCAGCCATGAGGTTTTGTCCATTAAAACCAACTGGGACCTCAATGGTCGGGAATCGCTCCAGATGTGAAGGATTTGATCCGCCTTGACTGAGGGGCAAGCTCGGGAGAGATCTCGCAAAGTCAGGTCTGTTACCGGGATGATCCTCGAGTCGTCCTTCCCCGAGTGAAGGCAGAGACCGAGTTCCTTCGTCTGTTGCACAAGGGGTACCGGTACCACGCATGCTCAGAGGAAGATTCAGACTGCCTGGTGGTGTGAAGCACATTCCCGGGGGTGCCTCGCGGGTCTCCGAGATCATGTGGTTTCTCTCGTTCGCCCCAAACCCAGAGCTCGGCATATCGTGACTCTGTTCGATCAAATTACCTAGCCCTAACCGACGGAAACCTCGAGCAGCAGGTGATCCGGCGAATCGATCCATGTGTGTGGGTGTGACAATGCACTGTGCGTCGCTGTCGTACCCCCTCGCACTCATCAAACTGCCCCCGAAGTTCTCAAGGACCGACAACTCCGTATTTCCTCTCGAAGTGCTGGATCTTGATGACCTGAAAGGGAACGGGAATATAGCGCGGTGCTCCCCCCAGGGTTTTGTTTCTCGGGAGAATCGACGTCGCAGCCTGTGCGACAAACTGTCGAGTTGATTTTGAGATGGCAAAGGAATCACTGGCGGCGGCCTCTCTGTGTGTATCCTTGGTGTTAAAGAAAATCTTCTTGGCCTAGGGACTCATCGTACCTGGCGCACACTCCCCCGCTGTCACTTCCTCTACCTGACTACATTGGTAGGACCGAGCAATGGAGGCCGGCGAGGTCGACCGATCTCTTCGGAGACGAGGACAGAAAAGAATCACCATTGGGAGTGGTTGGCAAAGGTGTTGAACAGTCCTGGGGCTGTCTTCTTCCCAAGGAGCGTCTCATGCATTTTGTGTGGAAAGGGCACTCGACGTGCCTTCCTGTGCTTTTCTTTTAATGGGCATTCGACACACAAAATACCAAGAGACAATGACATTCCAGCATGATGCTCGAGCATTAACCTCGATACTCGATCTATTCATTAGTGTTTTCTAGTGCAGTTTCTTCTCTATACATTTTTTTTTTCTATACTTACGGGCTTATCGCCAATGGCGTGATTGCCCGCCGATCACGGAGCCCATCAGTACGGGGATGTCAGTACCCGGTCAGTACATGCCGGGCCACGGGGCGCAGGCGTTGGCGCCAGGTACCGGTATGGTACCGTACTGCCCCTCCGATGCCCCCCCTCCCCCCAACGTGGCTTAGTCGCTTTTTCCCCTCCATTTTTCTTCTCAGTTTTCGCCCGCTCCTTTTCTCTTCTTCTTCTTCTCCCCCAAGGGCAGGTTCTTTCTTCTATCTGTTCTCATCAGTCTTATTTATCCTTTCTTTTTTTCCCCCTTCTTTCCCACACATCCGTCAGAATGGTTCAATCGTATGTGTGCTACCCTACATCTTCTCTTTTGCGGTGCTAACCCCTCATTCTTAGTTCCGTTCTGGGTTTCCCTCGTATGGGAAAGCTTCGTGACCTGAAGAAGGCCACTGAAGCCTACTGGGGTGGCAAGATTTCCCGTGATGACTTGCTGGCCGAGGGTAAGCGCCTCCGCCAGGAGCACTGGAAGATCCAGAAGGATGCCGGTGTCGACATCATCCCCAGCAACGACTTTGCCTTCTACGACCAGGTCCTCGACCACATCCAGCTCTTCGGTGTCATTCCCGAGCGCTACAGCAAGTACAACCTCCACCCCGTCGATGAGTACTTCGCCATGGGCCGTGGTCTGCAGAAGCCCGACGAGGGTGTCGATGTTCCCAGCTTGGTAAGTCACTGTTACCAACATCCCCTTTTCATCAGAATTGGTAGGAATTGATGCTAATGCCGACTAGGAAATGGTGAAATGGTTTGACTCCAACTACCACTACGTCAAGCCTACCCTGCAGGACAACCAGACCTTCAAGCTGGCTGCCAACCCCAAGCCTGTGGTTGAGTTCCTGGAGGCCAAGGAGGCCGGTGTGGTGACCCGCCCCGTCATCCTGGGTCCCGTCAGCTTCCTCGTCCTCGCCAAGGCCGACCGTGGCCAGAGCGTTGATCCCATCACTCAGCTGGACAACCTCCTCCCCGTCTATGTGGAGCTTCTGAACAAGCTGAAGGCCGCTGGTGTTGAGGATGTCCAGATTGACGAGCCTATCCTCGTCTTCGACCTTGCCGCCAAGGCCAAGGCTGCCTTCAAGCCGGCCTACGAGAAGCTGGGCAACCTGGGTGCCCAGGCTCCTCGTCTGACCCTCGCCACCTACTTCGGTGACATTGTCCACAACATCGACGTCCTCTCTTCCCTGCAGAACCTCCACGGCATCCACGTTGACCTGGTCCGCAACCCCGAGCAGCTCGACACTGTCATTGGTGCTCTGGGCCCCAACCAGGTCCTCTCGGCCGGTGTCGTTGACGGCCGTAACATCTGGAAGACCAATTTCCAGGCCGCCATCGAGAAGGTTGAGCTTGCCATCCAGAAGCTGGGCAAGGACCGCGTCATCGTGGCCACCTCTAGCTCCCTCCTGCACGTTCCCCACACTCTTGCCAGCGAGAAGAACCTCGATGCTGAGATCCGTGACTGGTTCAGCTTTGCTGTCGAGAAGACCGCTGAGGTGGTCATCATTGCCAAGGCTGTGACCGAGGGTCCTGCCTCCGTCAAGGAGCAGCTGGAGGCCAACGCCAAGTCGGTCCAGTCTCGTGCCTCGTCCAAGCGCACCAACGACCCTGCTGTCAAGGCCCGCCAGGCCTCGGTCACCCCGGAGCAGCACAACCGCAAGTCTCCCTTCCCTGTCCGCCACGCTGAGCAAGGAAAGTCCATCAACCTTCCTCTCTTCCCCACGACCACCATCGGCTCCTTCCCTCAGACCAAGGAGATCCGTATTCAGCGCAACAAGTTCACCAAGGGCGAGATCACCCCTGAGGAGTACGAGAAGTTCATCGAGAAGGAGATCCAGGACGTCATCAAGATCCAGGAGGAGCTCGACCTAGATGTCTTCGTCCACGGTGAGCCTGAGCGTAACGACATGGTGCAGTACTTCGGTGAGCGCCTGACCGGCTACGTTTTCACCACTCACGTAAGTTTTATCCTAAACCTATTGATGGGCTGTCCAGATACTGACGAATTATCACACAGGCCTGGGTGCAATCTTACGGCTCTCGTTGCGTGCGTCCCCCCATCATCGTGGGTGACGTCTCGCGTCCCGCTCCCATGACCGTCAAGGAGTCGAAGTACGCTGTCTCGATCTCCAAGAAGCCCTGCAAGGGTATGATCACTGGACCCGTCACTTGCCTGCGGTGGTCGTTCCCCCGTGACGACGTCCACCAGTCTGTCCAGGCCCAGCAGCTGGCCCTGGCTCTCCGCGACGAGGTCGTTGACCTCGAGGCGGCTGGTATCCAGGTCATCCAGGTAGACGAGCCCGCTCTGCGTGAGGGTCTGCCCCTCCGTGCCGGTGCTGAGCGTGAGGCCTACCTCAAGTGGGCTGTCGACGCTTTCCGCCTGGCCACCGCCGGTGTCACCGACAACACCCAGGTCCACTCCCACTTCTGCTACTCGGAGTTCCAGGACTTCTTCCACGCCATTGCCGCGCTGGATGCTGATGTTCTGTCCATTGAGAACAGCAAGTCGGACGCCAAGCTGCTCAAGGTGTTCATTGACGAGGCCTACCCCCGTCACATCGGCCCCGGTGTCTACGACATCCACTCGCCGCGTGTCCCCAGCGAGCAGGAGATCAAGGACCGCATCGAGGAGATGCTGCAGTACCTGCGCCCCGACCAGCTCTGGGTCAACCCTGACTGCGGTCTGAAGACGCGCCAGTGGCCCGAGACCAAGGCTGCCATCACCAACATGAACAACGCGGCCAAGTACTTCCGCCAGAAGTACTCTTCTTAAACACTTTCTCCACCCACCATTTATTTCCCTTTTATTAATGGGTGTTAATTGAGAGAGGCTGGCATTCTCAACCTGTCGCCTCTGGCATGGGGAGTTTTGATTTTTGATGAGTTACGACGATGATACCAAAAGTTCAACATATGGGTTTCAACGGGTTTTGCGAATCTAGAGAGCACCAAAAGTGGGTTACTGGAGTTTCAACATGAATGAGGGGACTTCAACATCGGCGCCACGCCCTGGGGATGATGGGTGGCGTCGGTATCCCATTTCAACAATTTGGGTGGTTTTCTCACTGAGGTGAGGACTGCCGTGGATGGATTCCATCTATTTCTTATGTGTAGCATCAGCTGTGAATATATTGTTCTCTGACTGTTCGAAGAATGAAAGATAGAAGGATAACAGTAGACGTAGATGCATTTCGTGGATATAAACTATTAAGATATCGGATGCTACAGCTTGGCGTACTCGTCACACGCCTCGATGAGCTTCGGTTGGGTGCCCGGTTCCTGGATGAAGAGTGAGCTCATGGTTTGTCTGATTGATCTGCCTGGCACTCACCGTTCCACTATGGCCTGCAGCTGGGATCCAAATCAACCGCGACTTGGGCAAGCCCTTGTGAAGCTCCCAAGCCGTTTGAGGCGGGCAGACGAGGTCGTAGCGACCTTGAACCAGAGTGACTAGACATTTGAGTCAGAAGCTGGCAGTTCAACAGCAAAGACAGGGAAGAGAGAAATACCAGGAATATGCCGAATGCGCTCCAGATTCTCTTCGCGCAAGATCTGGCCCTCCTCCAACCAAACCCCATGCACAAAATAATGCGCCTCTAGCCGCGCATGCACCAACGACAACTGCTCATCCTCTTCCAACCAAGCAAAACTCTCCGGCCCCGTGCGAAGCGTTCCAATCCAAGAATTCCACCGATTCCACTCACGCGCCGCCGCCCGCCGCTGCGCCGAGTCCTCATCCTGCGCAAGAATCCTATAATATGCCGCAATATCATCCGCACGATCTTCTTCTTCTTCTTCTTCTCCCTTCAGGAAATTCAGATACGCCTCATAGGCATCCGGGAACAGCTGTGACGCGCCCGTCGGACCACGCGACCACTCCAGCTCGGCGCGCCGCGCCGTAAAGATGCCGCGCATGACGAGCGCGCCGCCGATGGCATCCGGGTGGGCCTGCGCGTAGAGCAGGGCGAGCGTCGACCCCCAGGATCCGCCGAAGATCAGGTGCCATTGTGGGATTTGCAGGTGCTGGCGCAGGACTTCGATGTCGGCGACCAGGTGCGCGCTGGTGTTTTCGCGGAGCTCGGCGGAGGGTGTTGAGCGGCCTGCGCCACGTTGGTCGAAGAGGACGACGCGGTAGATGGCTGGGTCGAAGTAGGCGGTGTTGGCTTTGGAGGTTTGGCCGCCTGGGCCTCCGTGAAGGTAGAGGGCTGTTCTGGATGTTAGAATCACGATGGGGGTTGGAGGGGAGGGAGAGAGTAGGTATGAAAGTAAGATTGGTAGCTTACCCGGTTTGCCGTCCTTCTTGCCATATTGTTCGTAGTGTAGCTTGTGGATGGCGCTGACGGGCAGCATGCCCTGGTCGAATGGTGCCTCATGGGCATATCCGGAAATTGGGCTGCTCATGATGGAAAATTGAAGGGTTTTTTTTACTATGCTGCGCGGACAGAGGGGCAGCGCAGGGTTAAATACTGTCTAAAGAATTCAGGTGAGCATCGAGCATGCATGAATCATGTCATCTGACACTGGGGGCCAATTGTTCAGTGGGCTAATTTAGGTGTAGATATGCGGGGATTGAAAGCCTTTTTCTTAATACCAAATACAAATTCGCGAGACAAGGCCATGGGAATACTGTAGAAGCAGATTTTTTTTTTTAAAAAAAAACAAGCAGTATGTTATCTATTCAAGGTTATCAAAATAGCCAATGTGAAGCCCTACATCTTTCAGCGTGTTTCGGCCCCATCATGACTCACGACCGTATCTCCAGACTCGGGAACGAGTACGGGAGCCATGGGCAAGACGGGATGCCGAGCCGACAATCCGGTTGACGGCGGATCACCACATCATGGACTGGCTAGTCTTCTGTGCGTAGATGCTTTAAGAGATCGTGCCGATCCTATTTTCTCCCAGCCCTACATTACCCCATATATTGAACTACTGTAAATTAGTAAAATCTCGGGCTTAGTCTCGGGCTTAGGGCTTAGATTACATGTCAGCAAAGGGTCATCCAGACTAACCGAAAGGCAGAATGAAAGGAACTCTCCTTCCAAGGTAACGATTTTCGCATTGGCATATCCCCCCCCCCCCCCCCCCGCCCTTGGCATGCCAGTCTCCGGCCATGAAAAACCGGTGAATAGGAGAAGCCGTCAAGGCCATGTGCCCCGGTAGATCGACGGAAATAACAAGTTCTAGACAAACTCCGCCGGGACTCGATGACGCAGCTCTTTTCCGCCCCGTGAACAGCTTGCTCACGATGGGCCAACATATAAGAATTGCAAAGGATTCCAGGTCGCGTCGGCTGCGCCGGCTTTAATTAAAGCCTGGGCGACAAGAAAATAATAATATGACCGGCTTGGATCAACGTTCAAGGGGGCGAGTTCAACAGGTTCTGAGAACACCCGGTGACTCAATGCTGCGCTTCACGAAGAAGGGCACGTTCCAGATCTCTGTTTTTGAGGACTTGCACTTTGGCGAAGGTGTGTATGCATCTCTTTTGTTGAGGACAATGTATCCCTACAAGATATATACATATATCTGCGGGCGATATTCTAACTTCATATCAGATGCAAGCGCCGACACCAAGTCAAGCAGAGTCATGAACAAGGTCCTCTCAAAAGAAGACGCCCAACTAGTCGTGCTAAACGGCGACCTGATATCCGGCGAAGCGACCAACTCAACCGTGTCAGACCAGTACTTCGACGATGTTGTCGCGCCGCTGGTTGATCGCGATCTGTCATGGGCAACGACGTACGGCAACCATGACAGCGAGACCAACCTCGACCCGTGGGCCATATACAAGCGCGACAGAAACTACCCCAACAGCCACACGCGCAGCATGGTCTCAGCGCCCGATGCCGGCATCACCAATTACTATCTGCCGGTGCTGGCCTCGAACGGGACGAGCAAGAGCACCCCGGAGCTCATTTTGTGGTTTTTCGATAGCAAAGGTGGAAGCTATGCCCGCGATTCAGAGCATGATTCGGGGGCGAGGCCGAATTGGATTGATGAGTCGGTAAGAATTGCAGAGTCTTTTCATTATCTATTAGGTACTTGGCTGATCTTGCAATGCGTTTTTGTGTGTGTTCAGGTTGTCGACTGGTTCACAGCAACAAATGCCAACCTGACAGCCCACTACGGCAAGACCATTCCGTCCCTGGCCTTCTTCCACATCCCCGCCAACGCAATGCTTGCGCACCAAGAATCGCGGCTGGGCTCGCGTCCCGTGCGCGGAATCAATGGCGAGCGGGTTAACCAGCAGGGTTATAAGGGGGGATTCCCCTATGACGGTCAGGATCGCCGGTTCATGGAGGCGCTCCTGAACACGACGGGGCTGATGGCGACCTTTAGCGGACACGACCATGATAATGATTGGTATGGATTCAAGAAGTAGGAGAAGCTCAGATATCCCGGGCTGCTTATTCTTCCTCTCCTTTCTCTTCTTCTCGGAATATCCCCGGAAAGACGATGCTGATGTCCATTTTAGGTGCTTTAAATGGGACGATCAACTCCCCGGCGTGCCCTTCCCCGGCAATGGCATACACATGTGCTATGGCCGGCACTCGGGGTACGGCGGCTACGGCAATGCAGCCCGAGGTGCACGGCAGATCCTGCTTCAGCAGGGACAAGTCACTAAGGGGTTGCAGACGTGGGTGCGTTTGGAGGATGACTCGATCTCCTCGCCGAGTAACTTGAGTACCCATAGCTTGCATCGCATTGATACGCCAGGGTACAGCGCTGCCTCGTCCCCGATGGGAGCTGCAAGCCCCTTGGTTTCCATGGTGTATATGTGGGCTGTTCTTCTGCTATTTTGTATATAGTTGATATACCTTATTTGCGGATATAGATGCTCTTATACAATAAACTCATGAACTTTTTTTTTTTAAAAAAAGGAGAGAGAATAAAGATACCGTATTTCGGAGATAGTGTACAATCCCTTCATTTCTGTCATTATACACATCCAGATAGGTACGGTAAATGGTAGTCTATTGATTAGCCCTTATATCCCACAATTTAAATATACACGTAACAGAAAGGTCCATCAGTCGTGCTCATCAGCTCGCGCATGGCAATAGGCCCGCCATTAGCATGGCCGATATCAATCACCGTGTCGAGCGTAGTGTTGGGTGAGGGCGGGTTGTTCATGAAAGTGCCAGTACCCGAGATGTCATGCAGACGGTGCTTCCGATCAAGGTTCTGCCAGATCCACCACACGCGGTCGATCATGCCGTGGTGGTGCCAGAACGCGGGGTCGCCGGGGCTGGTGTAGACGTCGCGGCCGGGGTCGCCGCCCATGGAGTAGTGGCCGCCGCCGTGCACGCCAATCGATCCGCTACCGGGGATGCCCTGCATAGCCATCTCGAAGTTCCACACGTTGTCATTCTCGGTAATCAGGCGCACCGTCGACGTGTAGTTCGCGTACCGCTGCAGCAGCTCGGTGGTCAGAGACCGCTTCAGGCATCGCGGGTTGTAGGCGAGCGGGTTCTTCGAGGTGGACACGTTCCCGCCGGGCAACGACAGTGCCGCGGGTCCCATGTTGACCTTGTAGTCCTTGAATGGGCCGCTGGTTACGCACCCGCCGCCGGTGCCCGGTGGCAGGTCGATCGGTGCGTACTTGCCCAGAAGGAGCTTGACGTGCTTCTGGTTTGGGATGTAGGCTCCGTTGCCCGACATTGACGTGTTGCTGCCATCGAATACCTCGGACTTTTCCATCCCACCGGCATCAGCGCCCCACACCCAGTACCTAGAGAAAGGCAGAGCCGTTAGTCGGTGATTCATGACGAATATCATACAGAATAGGACACACTCACGGGTAATCACCGGTGTAGTGGCACTCGCTGCGCAGCGCCTGTTCAAACTCGAAAATGAAGTAACGGTGCCAGGCCAAGAAGGTACCCTATTTAGAAAGTCAGCTACCAGTTCAATTCCCACATGAGAGCCAATGCCGGGATACATACCGTGTAGTGAATCTGCTGAGTCTGGTTGATATGCGTAGCCAAAAAGTCATCATAACGAGTCCGCGCCCCCGGCGCCACATGCTTGGGCGTGCGGGCCGGCAGTTGTTGCAGACAGCGCACCGACTTGATAAAGGCCTTCTTGTCGGGCGCGGAGAATGCGCGCCAATCGCGACGAACGCGCAGGTTCTTGGCGGTGCAGGTCCCGCGATTGTGGCTCACGGAATCTTGGCCGATGGTGTGGTTGGCGACACGGAGCGCGGCCTCGTGCAGAAGGTCGAGTTGGTGCGATGCGGCTGGCCACGAGGGCGAGGCAGACGTGGGCAGGCCTTGCAAATGGGCGTTTGAGGGCTTTTGCAGGGTGAACGTGGCGTAGGCCTGTGAGACTATAAGTCCCAGCGTGAGAACCTTGAACGCGACCATGGCGAAGAATGCTCTCTCTCTCTCTCTCTCTTTCTCAATAGTACCAGCCTCAACTGTCGAACTGAGGGGAAATCCGAAGCAATGGCAGAAAAAGGAGAGAAAGACTCTCGGGGCTTGCCGTCAATTTGAACGAGTACTTGGAAAGACCCTAATCAAATCTGGAACTAGGGCTCGGCTAACGTGCCGCTTTGCCTTTGAAGATGCCTGCAATTGGAGATATTTTCCCTTCTCAAATCACTGTGGAGAGCAAGAGGGAAAAGACCCACCTGTTCTTCGGGGCACCAAGTCTCCAACTGCACTCTCCACCGCATGTCTCTCCATTGGCGAGCAGCTAGTCAGCTTCGGACACCCCGAACAAGATTTGATCGGCGTGAGGCTGTGGATCACTTTCCCATCGAAGTTTAACCAGACCCTTACGACCCTTGGGTCCGCTCGATCGGATCTTGCATTCGGGTATCCCCCGGCCTGGGAATTAATGAGAAAACATAGCAGCCTTGAATTGTCCGTGTGAATAAACAGTGTTTTGTGGCGTTTGTGTTCACGGGGGTGCGATCATAATCTCAACCTCCCCCCTATCAGTCCTAACGCGGACTCGCAAGCTCAGCCATCGGCAGACACTAAGAGGTGAGGTTGCATGCGCCCAATGTACTCAGCCTGTTTATTGGTTAACGGAATTACTCGGCCCCAGAAGGATCGCCGAACCAGAGAAACGGTGATTGCATTCCAAGGGTCCATTTCGGGCCTCGCATCGGTATGATTCAAGTTGCGTGGTTCAACCCGTGGGACCAAAGCAGCGAGTGGCCAAATTTGGGGCCACTCTACTATGAATTGGGGGCCGACCCGAGGACCTGAAGAGAGAGAAAGAGGGAAAGACCCCGGCCAGGGACCGTCGATCATCGAGGGGGATTCCAAGAAGAAAATCGCAAGGCATTGCCGGGCCAAAAAGGTCCAAAGTCTTTTGGAGATCAACCTTTTTCTTCTTTTTTTCTTTTGCTGGGGACATTCACTTCGTCTTCTTCCTTTTCTTCTTTCCTTTCACACTTCCGTTCTCTCCTTCATGACTTCCTAACTCTGATCATGTCGGACAGCGCTCATCCCGGCGGCGCTGGCCTGCCCGACATCAACCACGGCCCACGCATTATCGTGGGTACGGCGATCACTACAGGATTAGCCCTGCTGTCGGTGCTGGCCCGTTTGTACGTCCGCTTCTTTGTGATTCGCAATGTCGGTCTCGACGATTATACAATGGCCTTTACCATGCTGCTGTCGCTGTGCGGCTTCGCCATTATCATTCCCGAGGTCAATTACGGCGCTGGTCGACACACAGTCTATGTCCAGGACACGGCCACCAAGGCTATTCAGCTCAACTTTGCGACGCAGGTGATCTATCTATGGGGGGTTGGGTTGGTCAAGGTGGCCATTGGGCTGTTTCTGTTGCGCTTTGCCCCGCGGCGAGGCTACAGGATCTTCATCTGGTCCGTGATCGGTACGTTGACCTAGTCCCTCGATCTGTGTGGGTCCGACCTTGTGCCCGAGGTGGCCATAGAGCCTCGGTATGTGTTTGACATGATACTAAACGATGAGGTCCTTGATAGTGTTTATGATGCTATACACAACTATCTGTTTCTTTGTAAGTGTTTATGTTCCCGCTTTCCAATGTCTTCCAGCGCTAATAATACACGCAGACGGAAATCTTCCAATGCAAGGACATCCGGGCCATCTGGGACATGACGGTGAAATCAAAATGCTTTACGCCGAAGCAGCTACTGGAGCTGAGCTATGTGAATGCCGGTATGATTGCTCTGGATTCTTAATGGTTTATGATGCTAGTTTATGTGCTTGTGGCATTGACTGACCTCGACAGGGTTCAATGTCCTGACCGACGTGGTTTTTGCAATTCTACCAATATTTATGCTGCGGTATGTCATGCTCAACTTGACTACCGAATTTTCGGGCCCGTGCTAATGTTTGGTTTGTGGTCAGCCATCTTCAAGTCAACAAACGAGTGAAGGCCTCGCTGATCTGTATTCTGGGGCTGGGGTTGTTGTAAGTGAACCATTGCCATGGATATTCTCTACGACCAAACGGTTGTTTTCAAAACGAAGAAAACCCCTTTTCTAACCCTCGACCTCCTGATATTTAGCGCCTGTGTCGCTGGCTGTGTCAAGATCTCCATCCTAACAGACTACGGCAAGACGGGCGATTTGCTCTGGGACTATACAAACCTGACCATCTGGGTTGTGTAAGCACTCCACCGCATCCAAGACTATATCAAACAAGTCTTTATTATTTTATTTTTCTATTTTTCTTCTTCTCGAGAGCCCTCAGAACTGACTCTTTTTAGCGCGGAATGCAACACCGGAATCATGGCCGGCAGCCTCCCAGCCCTAAAACCCCTCTTTAAAACCATCCTCAACACATATGGCTCGCGCTCCAAAACTCGCCAGTACGGCTACGGCAGCAAGCACTACCGTCTCCGCTCGCTCACACGCTCGCAACACGGCAAACAGCAATCCTTCGGCGGAAGAGGTGGAGGCGAAGGTGGAGGCGGCGGCGGCAGCAGCAGCGGCGCACACGGCGCAGTATCATTATCACGCAGCGGCAACCGCAGCGCGCTGGGCCACGAAACCGATGATGACCGCAAGGGCCCGCAGGCGCACTACGCCGAGGCCACGACTATGACGTCGTACCAGGGCCAGTCTGGGAACAATTCCAGTGAGGAGCGGATTCTGCCACCTGCGGACTCGGCGGGGATTGTGTGTACGACTGAGGTGTCGGTGTTGCGGTCTTTGGAGGCGGCGGAGGGAATAGGGATTGCGCATTCGGGGGATGACGGGGAGGAGAGGGAGAGGGAGAGGGCGAGAACGTTTCAGGGGACATATTTGGATGTTGATGATCGGGTTTGAGGTTCTTTCAACAGAGAGAGGATCATGTCTTTGCATATATATCGGATTGCGTTGGGAAGGGGGATGTATATGTGTTCATGAGGTTATGTATATTTGATAAATGGGATTTGGACCGGGTGTATCATATCATTAGGGTCTTGTGAATAAATGGGAATCAGTGACATGAACAGTCTTTTCAAAGTGTCTATAGGAATAATATGCTATTCCTATGAGAATAGCTACTGTTGGCATTTGCAGAACTGGGATGTTAAGCCTAGCATATACACATTGGACCAAGATGAACCATCTTTTAGCGTTGAATATTCCAATATTGGAAAGACAAGTAGAAATAACTAATAGCATCGTTGATCGACCATGTCCTCGCAACATACTGCAATAACATTTTCATCAGAGCCCTTGCTCGACATGGCACCTAAACGAAGTCATAGGACACACTGCAATAACAGCTCGCAAGCCTAAACCTAGAGACCAACAGTCTCTCACAACCACGAACACCACGGCACAACCGCCCCCCTGCCAGCAACAGCCCCCTCTCCAAACCTCTCAACATACCACTTCCGGCCCCAGCGCGCATGAGGCAGCATATTAGTAACAGCATTAATAACAAACAGCACAGCCGGCAGCGGCAGCGGCACCGCCCAGCGATCCGCAGCCCACGCAGCGGGAACCAGCCAGGGCGCAAGACGGAGTGGAGGGGCAACGGAGGAACCCGCGGACGAGGCGGAGGTCGAGAGAGTAGAAGTAGCAGGGAAGACGGCCGTGCCAGCGAGCGCAAACCCGACCCATTCCAGCCACTCGAATGCGTAGTGCGGGTAGAGGATTGCGCGGAAGACGCCGCGCTGGGGCGGGATCACGTAGACTTTGTGGAACTTGTTGCCGCCGGTGTTAGTGTTGGTGGTGTCGTCAGTCTTCTTTGAAACTCGGCGCTCGGCCTCTTCGCGCCGGAGTCGGAATAGCGCCGTCTCAGAGTAGATGTTGCCAACCATCCCGATTACAAAAAGCGCCACTCCCGCTGCAGGGAGCAGTTCTGCCACCGTGGAGATTGATGACGACGAGGAGCCATCAGTCTTGAACCCCGGCACAACAGGCAGAGTATACCCGCGCATCCAGCCAACCAAACAAGAAGAGTTGAACCAGTTAAACAGCATGGCCGACGACATGACAAAGAAGTGGATCGGGGACATGCTGGGCGCCGAGAAGAAAGGCGAGATGACGGCGCGGTTTAAGTAGTGGATGCAGTAGAGCGCTGCCACCAGCTGGTTGGGGCACGGGAGATCAAAAACCGATGGCGATGTCGGGGATGGCAGGGCCAGGTTGTAGATTAGGTTGATAGGGCCGACGATCTCCATTGCGCACCAGGCGAGTCGGCCGGGGATGTTGAAGATGGAGCTCTTCAGGGAGGTTTTGCCTGCTGGGTGCCAGGAGAGAACCCATTGCAGGATTGTGACCTGTTCAGAGGGTGTTAGATGGGTGACTATGTCCATGGTGGTTGGATATTTGTAAACTAGAAGCTAGGCTTGGGCTGAGCTTACCAGAGGGAAATACTGGAAGATATTGAGCAGAGCTGTGTAGGCGTCAGGGGTGGGAGAGAAGAAGTCTGCACTAGCGGGCAGTGCGCCCCAGACCGTGGAGATGGTTGCACCCATGGCGGATGAGAAGTGAAGATTGAAGAGTGTAGAATGGAGACAGACGTGGGGAGAAGGAAACACAAGAAAGTTGATGTAACCGGGGAGAACCGTGGGCGGTCAGCCGATAAGAGATTAAGTACAGCGACTCTATCAGTCTTCTATACGCGAATATAGCTACATTCAACTTGTGTCCATCGCGTCCGCTGGTGCCATTTCTTTCCTACCGCTCGTTCGCTCCGCTTTAAAGGCTTCGATCTTGGCTTTGAGCTCGGTGTCTACACTCAACAGTTAGCGATGTACTAGTGAAACAATAATGGGCCGATCTTACCGGGCACCACGTCTTCCATCTTCAATGGAACACGGTTAAACGGGTCATGCGGGTCGCTGAGAAGATGCGAGCGAATAGTGGCGCGGTCGATGGACATCCGCGAGTTGGGGAGAATGACCGGGTCTTCCATCAGGGTGTACATCAGAGGATCTGAAAGAAATTAGCAATCAATATAGCAGAGTGACCGTGTGCATAACAAAACATACCCAGGAAATCATCCGGCACCTCGCCGAGATCCTCCTCGGCCTGTTCGTCAGCCGCCTTGGCCTCCTCAACCTTCTTCCGCAACTGACCCCAGCGCTGGAATTCCTCGGGGGATTTCAACGACCACTTGCGCAGGATCTCCGCGGCTTTTTCGAAATTAGCCGGTTTATAAGACCGCCCGTCACGCGCAACCGCGAGGACGAAATTTTCCTTGTTCATCAGATTGAGATACACATCTGTGATCTCACTAAGAAGCGCTCGCGGGTTGAACCCATACTCCTGCAGGTTGTTGACCCGCAGGCTGGAGCTCTTGGGCCCCACCATGGCATCCAGGTTGTAGTCCAACATATCGGCCAGACGCTGAACAATCTCCGGCATTGTAAAAGAGTCGGCCAGGGCGTGAGTAAAGAGCTTGAGCATGGCCACGGTTTCATTGGTCAGCTGCATGTAGGATTTGGCACTGCGCTGGGCCGACGACAAATGCTCCTCTCGTTGTTGACGTGTGTTGGGATCCATCGAGCTGCCCTCGCGGCTGAGCTCCAGCTGCGTGTTGTTGATAGTTTTGAACGCGCCGAAAGACTCATCCAGCACATAGGTCACATCATTCAGAAGCAGGTTGACGAACCGGACGAAGAAGTCTAGGTTCTGGTTGGCTTGGTTGGACAACTTCTCTCGGTAAAGGGGATTTGGCCAGATGCACTTGATGATCTGGAAGATTTCGAACCGGATGTTGAACTTGTCGTAGAACTGGGTGTGCGTGCCCATGTATTCTGCCTCGATATAGAATTTCATGACCGCGTGGAGGAGATGGTCGTTGGCAAAAGGCATCGAGTTGAGCAGGTCCACCAGAACACCGCGGGCGCCGCCAGGGCGATTCCATGTTCCTCGGAAGAGGATGGACACAAGACCAGCTTTAAGATACGGGTTCTTGATGTAGCTGGAGCTCTCCAGGAACGTGATGCACAGCATAACCAACTCATCACCCTGGGTGGCGGTAATGATTTGCGGCATGCACCACATGATAAACTTGAAGTTGCTAACAATGTCATCCAGGAAATACTCTGGTAGACATTGGAACACCTCCGGCTGCTGCTCGGGGAGAGGCAGCTTGATCTGTTCCTTGGGGAAATTCACCCCGGAGACGAGCCGAAGCAGCCAGACGGTGACATATCGCATGAACATCATCGAACGAGCCTGCCATTGATCATCAAACAGCACACCCTGAAGACTGTACTTCAAGGCCAGGCCCAGGTCTAGCTTGTCTTTGTATTTCTTGAGCGCCTGTTCAAACACCCGAAGCTGCATCGGGTTGCCAGCCCACCGGTGCCGCTCCAGCTCGAACTTGTTGATTGTTGATTCCATGTGGCGCAGATCCTTCTCCAGTTGCTCCATTTTGGAGGTCAATGATTCGCTGCCATAGTGATGAGCGGCAACAGTTAAGAAGAAGATTTCAGTAATAAAATTAGAGGCCCCGTCGACTTTTTTGGAATAAAACTTGTCCGAAGCATGCTGATCCGCGTTGATCTTTGTCTCGTCCCGCATGTCCACCCGCGAGTCCCGATGGAGATATTCGGAGTCGATCCTGTCGATCTAAATAATGCCCAATTAGATTGAATTAATCAGAACATCCATTGAATCAAACACACCTTGGTGAATGTTGCGTCCATGAAAGGCTCACAAAGCTGGTCCAGACACGTCGTAAGATTAAACATGAATCCGTCCGACGATACCTGCTCTGGATCGACCTGCATCGCACGTCGCTTGTGGTTAATGTTCAGAGCCGCTGCAAACCAGTCAAGGACCCTGTCCCGCGCTTCTTTCGAGGCTCGGATCATGTGGTTGATAACATCAAGAAGGTCGGAACTGAGGATCTGTTGGGTCATGCGAAGGGAGCGTTGCGCGTTCAGAATATATGCTTGGTCGCGGGTCTTGGGGCTCGAGAAATACGACATGGTCACGTTGCCCTGCAGCGGCGACAGGCGGAACCAGGGACCCAAAAGCGTGGCCTTTTCAAACTGGGCAGGGTCTCTTGACGCATTGAAGATAGACGACTCTGTGATAGCGGCCGCAATGGATGCATGGCGAACAAGGTTTCGCAGTGCCTGAAGAAATCATTAGTACTTATATACACAACAAGTTTTAGCTCTGCACTTGAAATCCACTAACTGTTGCATAGGGCTTGTAGTCGTCATTAATGTCCTTGGAAGAGAGCTCGGTGCTTAGTTCCTCAACAGCCGTAATAAAAGCGGGCTTGATGCTTTCGTCTTCGTCGAATCTCCGAACAGCCTCGCTGATAAACTCGAAATCAACCCCCTTGTCATCTTCAGGGTCCAGCAGCAGATACGGAGCCAACGGTGATCGCTCAGGGGAGTCGAGCCTAGGAATTAGTTAGTTGGGATGCGCCTTCTCAACGAGAGATTTCTCCCGGGGAAAAACAACACACCCAAACATTTCCGGCATTGTAATGGCAAACACAGCATAACTCATGCACAGGCGTCGTGCCTCACACAGCACCAGGAACTTAGGATCGTCATCTCGAGCCCGGCGGAACCCCTTGTGAAGCTTCGTGATGCGCTTCCAACACGGGAGAAGATAATCGAGCGGGCGCTGTCGCTCAGCCTTGGAGGCGGCTTCTAGCAACGCCTGGTCCAAGACAGCCGTCTGGATGCGCAGCTCCTGGCCCTCGCTCTCCAACTCACCCCGCAACCCGGGGAGGTAGGTCCGCTGTCCGTAGGCATCGCGCTGGCCCTCCTCCTTCAGAGTCAGCTTGAACACAGCGCTCAATGTTCGGTCCTCGAACGCCTCGATGCTCTCGGTCTTCTGCGGCGGCGGGGTACCCGAGGCGGACAGCGCGGTAGAGCGGGGTCGCTCGGGCGTTGGTGCGGCTGGGTTGATCTTGATCCGTTTCCCTTCGGTCTGCGGGGGTGTCGGAGCGGCGGGTTCTGGGGCGCTCTGCTGCGGCTGAGGGGGCAATGGCGACTGTGAGGGGGAGGGGGAGGGAGGGTTCTGCGATGGCGATTCGGAGGCATCATCGGTTGAGGAAGATGGAGTCGGGTTTGAGAGCTTTGCCAGACGCTTGTTGCGGATCTACACACCACACACAGCAAAATGGGACCAGGTTAATGAGGTGCTGCGGAATAGAGGCAAGATGACTGTGTGGTGGTGAGGACGAGGATACTAACCTTGTCCGCGTCAGAAAGGGAGTCCGACATCTTTGCCTTGGAGAAAATTAAGGGCTTGACCACCACGCGGGAGAGATAGCTCCACTCCTAATGTGGTGGGAGGCGGATAGGCACAGTATCGGGGACAATGTCGGAGGGCCGAAGCAGACAGGAGGGGCTACCCGGTGAGGTTGTTTGCTGGCCAAACAATGTGAAGTGGAGGCAGCAAGATGGACCAAACCCGGATGACGGAGTCGAAGAAAAGAAAAGTACAGGGAGATTCGGTCCTGATCGCTGGGATTCTCTCGCTGTTCTGATTTTGGGGTATGATGGTGATTGACTAAGCAGCTTGTACACCTGCGGTACCTGGAAGATACGGGATATATGACATACAGCGATCAGCTACTATGGTTGTTACAGGGAAGTCACTGAAAACTGAGTTGCTTGGTCCAAGATTACCACGGGTATATATGCACATCTGGCGCTCGTAGACGTCGAAAATCCATAGAAAACATCAAACTCTCAATATATACGGCTTCATCACCTCGCCAGTGACATCGCGAGAAATGGGATGCATTAAGAATCCAAGGTCATGTACAGAAGGGGAAAAAAAAAAAACCAAAACACCCAACAGACGCCTGTCGCACGGTCGATTGACATAGAAGCGCACTTTCGAGATGATTCTCAAGGTAAGGAACAATGTCCGAGGGCTTCACACAACCGAATCCGCATGGCGCTCCCCATCCCACTTATTCCACAAGCTCAATATCTCCCCTTCAACTTGTCTAACCGCCGGCAGTTGGTCAGCTCCATGGCCCGGGCTTCCTTCATCTTCTCGACATCCGGGAAGAACCAGCCCTGTGCTTCCTGCATCTTTCGTTCCCGCGCCTGGACTTCATTCTCGCACTCATACCGCAGTGATGAAACATAATCCACCTCCACACGTTGATCGAGCTGGCGTAGTTTCCGGGCGCTGTAATCCTCCACGTCGACCGGGTTTACGTAGTAATTAATATTGAGCCTGGGAGTCGTGCGGTGCTGAGTGTGCGGCGGAGCAGGAGTATCAAAGCGATATGACGGCCCCGTGGGAGCCGACGGACCAGAGAAAAGAGACGAGAGAAGTGGGAGGACGAAGAGAAGAATAAGAGGCAATAGTTGTCGTAGGAAAGTCCAGCCATCCAGGGCAGGCTCCGGCTGGCCATCGGTGTTCGTACGGGGGCGTCGGCGTGGCATGGGCCCGCCGAATTGATGTACCCGGAACCCTGGGCCTCCTCCCATATTGAAGACAAATTGCGGACCGCCTGACAAAATTAGCAATGAACGAGACCCATGCCTCGATAAGGGTTGATCATACCAAATGGACTGCCCATCCCCCCAAAGCCACCATTGAAGAACCGGTTGAACAGCTCCTCCGGGGAGATCTCTTCATCAAACCCTGGACCAGCGGCCCCTGATCGCGGGAATCCTCCTCCACCAAAGCCACTGAATGGGGACGCGCCACTTGAGGCGCTTGCCCCGGGGTTGAATCGGCTGTCGGGGTCTCCGCCGAACTTGTCGTAACGAGACTTCTTATCGGAGTCGGAGAGGATCTGGAAAGCACGCGAGACCACTGCCAGTTGTCAGACCAAAAAGATGGGAAACAACCCCAGGGTCATCTCCAACTCACTCTTGAATGCCTCGTCCGCACCATCGTACCCGTTCTTGTCTGGATGTGTCAACAGACTTTGCTTCCGGTATGCCTTTTTAATCTCATTGTCCGTCGCAGTCTTTTCTACCGACAGAATCTCGTAGAATGCAGTCGCCGAGCATTTTCGGATCCGGATCACGGCGGCCTCTTGCTCTGGCGTATATTTGCGGTCCTGGTTGCCCTGGTTATGCTCACGCGATCGCGCGCCTCCGCCATTGGCATCGGATCCTGACGCCGTGGCTGACGGCATGGTGATAAAGTATCAAACGGTCTCGTAGACCGCGGGGAAGAGTGGTTCGAGGACAGAGAGGGAGGCGATAGCGTCTGGGTGGGAAGGTGGTGGAATCGCGAAGGGGGCACTCCGTCCCGCAAAAGATCGAGCAGACAGAACCAAGTCTGTCGCGATCAGGCAAACGTATCGAAACAAGCGAATGCCGGGCGGTGGATGAACGGGCGGTGACAGGCGTGGCTGACTCGAGGGGAGGAAGTGTTAACTGGGGGGAAAAGCATAGTCTTAGGTGTCTTTGCCAAGCGTTGGAACATCCGCGCGCCGTTCGGGATGCATACGCAACAACTCCCCCACGTCGCCTTGGGAATTGTCCCGCTTTGAAATCAATATTGAGAGGTAGGTTTTGAGACATTTATCTGTATGTAAATCTATTTTGCTAACATGACACCTCGCGAAGGAAACTCGGCCACTCTCGTACACCCTCACTATCTCGAGCGCGGACTATCACCCATCATGGCGAAGGACTCGACCGTTGAACAAACGAAGCAGACGCTGGTGCAGCGCTTCCGGGCCTGGGGAGGTATGCACTCAGAACTTTCCAAATTATTGCTGCCCATGTTAGCCCTCAATGAAATGAGACTAATTGCTCTCCGTACTAGAAAACTCCTTCCCACCGACTCTGCTCGCCTCGCTCATCACCGCGCAACACATGCGGCCCTTCCAATTCTTCCCAATGATGTTCCCGCCTGTTCTTCTCTTCACCAGTTACGCGAACCTACAAGGCTTCAAGACCGACAGTGCCGGCATCAGCGCGGCATGGTCCGGCTTGTATCTGCTTCTGGCCGGGCGGCGACGGCAACCGTTCATGAAGAAGCTGGGGGCCCGGGGGATTGTGCGCGGGGCGACAATGGGTCTCTGCTTGGTCAATATGATTGGGGGTGGGCTTGCATACACGTTAGGGAAGCGGGAGGAGGAAGACGATGAGTCTTGATGGCCATCGACTGAAAAATAAAACAGAAGGCAGGGCGACTCGTGCTGTGCCTTGGGGTGTACGATCTATGTCTTGGAAACTCGAATTCGTTACATGCTTGGAGCAGGGACTCGGCGTCGGTATAAATTCTTGATGGGTTCATGTATCATCAGAAAAGTTGAATGTGGTGTCTGTGCCCAGATACCAGATATCTGTAGAGCATCGACGTCCATTTACGTTGCTAGTGGCTCTCCATATACGAGACACCCTGTCCAAACCAGAGATGGCTCAGCGGTCCCTGGAATACGGTTGCTCTGAGCGCATAAAGTCCCGGACACGATCTGGGACCAGCCAGTCGAGGTCCTGGGACGTCGCCTGCACCGCCTCCCGTGCTTTGGTGGAGCTCACAGGCGGTTCCCCGGGTGTCTTGCCGGGGACGAGGTGGATGCGTTCAGCCCACTCCCGCCGACCACCCTCGTTCTCGCGGTCACCGCGCGCCAGAGCAGCCACAAACTCCTGCTGGTCTTCCGGGCTGCCCCACTCGTCATCCGGCCGCATTCTGACGCGCAGTCGATGTCGCGAGAAGAGCACATTGAGAGGCTGCAGATTATACTCGGGCGGGTAGTACTTGGGATTGAGAATGCGGATCAGGGTATCGTAGCCCGTTAGATGGACCTGCTCGAGTGGGGTGGGATAGGTCCCAGCTGCCTCGATCGCCGCAGCTTTGTCGACGAAATACGGCTTTTTCGTTACGCCTATGTCAATCGAGGGAAGATGTGTAGTGGGGTGTGCATGTCCCGATGATGTAGAGGTTGCTGTCGTGGCCAAGTGTGAGCGCAAATCGTGTGCGAACAGCTCCATCATGATGAGCCGATCCTCGAACGAGGCGGGCTTGGATGGCTTATCAGCATTCTGTGTAGCCAGAAGCAAAAGCAGGCGCGAGGTTGGCTGCAGCCGTTCCTGGAGAGCGGAGCTCGCAATGCGGAGATGAGCGAGAGTCGGCGGGTTAAAGGACGAGTCTAGGACATAGAGTGTCTCTGCAGGCGGGGAGGGATCGGTGGGGATGCTGGTGAGGACCTCGAATTCTTTTGTGGATGCAATAAACTGCTTCAGAAGCGAGGCATATTGGGCTCGAAGAGCGTGGAAGGACATGCTTGGCAAGTTGTCGCAATGACAGGAGGTGATAGCCCGAGCATCGCGATAAGAGAGTGGGGAGCCACCGCCCTCAAACTTTCCACGCTCCTTACCCATCACCAATTCTCAAGAATCAGGTAGACTCCGAGTTCAACCACAAGAACTACAGCTAGAAAATGTAAGTCGAAAAGGGAAATCAGTTGACCACCTACCTAGATAGGTAAACACCCTGACTCAACCCGGCTGTGTTTCAGGAAAAGCTTCTCCATATGGACCCTGTCGATGATAAAATCTGCCCCGGCTCTCACAGGATCTGGCTTGCAAGGCTTTGGGTGCAGCAATTGAGTCAGATTGAGGCACGAGTGTCATCTTCCAGGCTGGATATGCTCCTATGCAAACGGGCGCAGAATTCAGCTGCATTTTCAGTCATCTCCACGAACCCGGGACTGAGATCAAGTCGAGAGATGGAACTTCATCTACTTGATAAAATGCAGAGTCTCGGCCCTTGTGATGACTGAAGGAATCCAAAAAAATGCGACCACAATATATGAGCCGAGAACAAAGTGGGGAGCGGGACGTGGGTGGCGCAGAGGTGTTTTATGTGAAACGGTAGACTGCAACAACCGGCACCAGGAGGCATTTTGCCAGGAGATGAAACGGTGGTTGCACCAGAGGATCTGCCAAAAAGTCCCGGATGTGCGGCCGTGGCTGGAACAAGCAATGATCACCTTCTGATCGGCATGGATGAAGTATGGGTTGATGGATTCTGATCCCGGCTGTAGAGATTTTGGGAATTATCGTCTCCACTGCAGTCTGGACGGGCCAGAGGGTTTGGGGTTTGGAATCCAGTGTCGCACCACACGGGTAACGGTGTCGGATATTTTCGCTCTGTCCACAGGTATCTCCAGCAACTGTTTTGCTGACTCTGTGTTCTCCCCCAATGACCATGGAGGATGGAGATAATCGCCGAGGCTATGCACGCCACACAAAGGTGATGGGAGAGCCATCATGCTGTAGATGAAACAGCAGAAACAGCAGAAATGGCAATCTTAAGCAGAGTCGTGGGTGGAGAGAAGTGGATTGCTGCCAATAACGTGGTGCCTGAGACAGCGGGTCCTTCATCTACTCAGGCACCGGATATCCACTCGGTCTTGCAGAGTCTGAGCTTCCAATAGATGAATCATTTAGTGAATTAATTAAATAATAATGTAATTAAATAACGAAGTAATTCAATAATTCAATAATTCAATAATTAGATTAATTCGATCAACAAGTGCCTGGTCAGGTACCCGAGGGCAACTGAATCGACTATTTGTCTGCCTCTCTTCTCTCACTCTTTTCCTTTCTTTCTTTTCTTCTTCTCTTCAGGCTTGTAGCTCACCTTCACTTCGTCCTCGCTGTGCCAGAGACTTTCTTTCTTTCAGTCATTCTTTTCCTGCGAATCGACTTCGCACCCTTCACTCACTTTCAAGCATCTTGCTATTTCTCTTCATCGTTCCATCTCCATTCTCTTCCTGACATTGACTGTCATTGAAAAGCAAGCCCAATCCTCACCCCACAATGCATGTCAACAAGATCTCTGTTGCTCTGGTGGCCTCGATGGCTGCGATGGCTGAGGCCAACCACCAGGGTCTCCATGCTCGTCGCGTCAATCTCGCTCGTGGACACCCGGAGCCCGAGGCTGCCACTACTGGGTTGACCTGGTCGGCTACTCAGTCCCCCGCAGACCAGACCTCTGATGCTGCTCCCACCAATGTGGCTTTCAGTGTTGTTCCCACTGGTGCTGTTTCGACTGGTGTGCACAGTGTTGTACCCTCGGGTGCCTCGCCCTCTGTTGCCACTCCCTCGGGTGCCTCGTCTTCTGTTGCCCTCTCTGGTACTGCCAAGCCCTCTGGTGTGAAGCCTTCTGGAACTGGTCCTGCTGGAACCAAGCCCTCTGTCTTCAAGCCATCGGGATTCAAGCCCTCTGGATTCAAGCCCTCTGGATTCAAGCCCTCTGGATTCAAGCCCTCTGGATTCAAGCCCTCTGGATTCAAGCCCTCGGGTATCAGCGCCTCTGGCATCAAGCCTTCTGGCATCCACTCCTCGGTTGTCTCGCCCTCGGCTGGAAGCACCAACACTGGTGATGTGGTTGTCACCTACACTTTGGGCTCTGGCACCTCGGCCAGTGTTGTCACCACCACCATCCACAAGACCACCACTGACCACCACACTGTCTACCAGGTACGTATCGACTTGGGCATCTTCAAACACACAATCTAACTGAACTCTAGACTGAGAGTACCAACCCTGGTAAAATCCCTGGTGGCGAGGAATCTGAGCAGACCACCACTATCCACTCCACTTCGACTGCCACTCAGACTGTCACCGTGGTTGAGACTCCCACTGTGTCTGCCTCTCAACCTGCGGGCAACGGAAATGGCGAGGGTGCTTGCAACCAAGCTACTGTGACTGTGACCGCCACCCAGACCGTGACTGTCGTATGTTCTCCTCATCGTCAATCTATGCTGCACAGAACTAACCCTATCTAGAACGCCGGCGCCACCTCTGCTCCGGGTGGTGACCACCACCAGGGACACCCCAGCAATGGCCAGGGTGAGCACAACGGCCAGGGTAACGGTGATGGCGAGCAGAACACTACCTCCACCGAGACGTCCTCGACCACTGGCGCCACCATCCCCACCATCCCCACTGGCCGTCCTCCTTACGGCACGGGCAACAAGCCTTTTGGCACCGGTGCAGCCCGCCCCACGAGCTTTGCAACCAGCAAACTGCACCACCCGACCTCCATTGGCTTCAAGCCCACTGGCGGCAAGCCCGTTCCCACTGGCGCTCCCAGCAGTCAAGTTTCCTACCTCAACCACTGGCGCCGCCGCTTCATCTAAAGACGAGGCAACTCTTAGAACGAGGAAGGCCCCAGTTGCCATCTGAAGCTCGTGATGCGACCGTGTCGTTGACCTGAGAGAAACATTCCGACTTTCTTCTTTCCGTGCACTTTGTGCGCTGGTGCTGTGCCGATTTGCCAAGTCTTGGTACAAACGGACCTTCTTTTTTCTAACTTCATTTCTGATTAACCCCCTTTTTTCCTGCCATTTTTCACTTCTTTTTTCTTCTTGCAATGGTTTTTCTCGCGCGATTTGCTTCCGGCTTGCCCTGTGCTACGCTGCTGCAAGCTGGACCTGGCCAAATTTATCTAGCCTCTCGGCGAGATACTCCATTTGCCTTTTTTTTTAATTTCATTCTCCAATGAGATATTGATCCAATCCTTTCGTCAATCTCTATTGGACTCGGAGTTCTCTATCGTATCTTCTGACGGGTTTTGACGCGGTGTCTTCTACGGGGAATGGGGGCCTTTTCCTTCGTCCTTTTTTTTCTTTCTCTTTCTTTCTCTATTCTTAAGTGCGTGGGAGGACGCACACGATATGTACAAAATTCGGATCTTCACGTCGATTTGTTTTCAATTGCCCAGGGATCGGTTTTTTCCTGGATGGGCCGGCGATGACTCGGGTGTTCATGTCACGAAATCAAATGAATTCGTTTGACTTGCAGTTTTTCAGTAAATATACACTACGTAGATTGGCTCGTTTGCGAGGCGGGAGTATAGGTGAGAATGTTGATCCGAAGCTGTCAGGTTAGAGTGGACCTGTCAACGGGTGGATCATGTGGAACCATGGTTCAGTTGACAGAACCAAGGATATAAAAACCTCTGCCTCATTAGAACAAAATCTGTAAATATGCTCCTTGTAGGGCTCCAATAGTAAAAATCTTGAACTTTCTTCCACCCGCCACTTGAGCTACATAATCGAGCAAGTGCAAGCTAGCATCTATAATGGCTTTTTTTTACAGGGAGCCACACCACAGACCCAACACCAATACAATTATCCGGTCAGATAAAGACACCACTACATAGCACAATAGTTGTATCACCATATCCAACCCTCTCGCCAAAAGTATACCCCGTCCTCGAAAGACGGGCAAGTCATGTGACTAGGTAAAGCTTAGTGAAATTTGGCAGCCAAAAAAAAAGTTGAAAAAAAAAATACTTGAAATTGTGTAATTGAGATGCCATTGGAAGTCCTGCCCCCCGGGATTCTTTGCATGATCCTTCGGTTTGTGGGCAGTAAACAACTCCGAAAACAAGAGGCCTGCTGGTTACATGTCTGCAAGTGGTGGTACAAGCTTGCCGAGCCCATTTTGCTGGCAGACCTTGTGTTCAGCGCCAATCAGCTGGCACAACTCCTTAGACCCCTCTCTGACTTTCTCTTTCTTGCTTTGCTTTGCATATGTGAGCGACTATGTCTTTTTATATTGTGTCTATACTATTGCAAATAAGCATACCCTGCATTGATATCCTCGAAGCAACATTGGTCTATTTACTCCCATATTCTGTGACAGCTTAATTTATTATTTCGCAGTCCAGAGCTAAGAAGTATTTTGGACGGTTTATTGGAAATCACATACTTCATACCACCAGTATATGGTCTATTAGCTATTTTCAGTGATGTGTTGATGTGATCAGCTTAACTCGGGTGATTGAGAGCTGTAAGATGAACCCCGCACTATACACTCTCCCTTTTCACTCGAAATGACCACGATGCTCGATAGATTCTTTGATTGTGAATTCGCAGACTGCATACTCCCAAGTGTGCGGGGGTTCGGACCCTGTGAGAAATGCAACCGCCACCTCTGCGCAACCCACCGTCGCCTACCATTTCATACATGCGATGACACGGTACAGTCCATGAACCTGCTGTCTATCTACTCAACTCCACTCAACTCAGACCTAACAACGAAAAAGCCCCTCCCAGAAGAGCAATTCGAAGTCAATATCCACGCGGAAGTAAAAGATCTGCGTTCCAAAATCAACGAAAAGGCATTGTGCGAGCGTGCCTCAGAATTAAACGGCGGCCACAAATGCACGATCGAGCACCCGCCCGCATGGGGGCGTGGATGCCTCATGGGCTGCGCCAACTATCATGCTGGGGTTCGTTTTATGGACGATGCCTCCACCGTCTGGCTGATCCGAGTACCACGACTGAATGGAAGTATCCCGCAACCACTCATCGACTACCTCATTCGCAGCGAATACGCCACCCTCAAATTCCTCGAGACGACTAAGGTGCCCGCGCCTCGAGTCTTTGACTATGGCATTGCTAGCGACAAGAGCAACAAGGTTGGTGTGAGCTATCTGCTCATCGAGCAAATGCCCGGTCAACCCTGGAACATGCAAGGACCACACGGGAAGCGCTTTGCAGACGAGAAAGACAAGGAGAGGGTGTGGAAGGACCTGGCAGATATTATGATTGAGCTGCAGCACCATCCTTTTCCCAAGGCTGGATCTCTTCTTCCTGGTCCTACGCCTTCAGAGCCCGTCGTCTCTGCTGTCGCCAGTGAACGATTCCTCGTCCAGAGTCCAGTCGGGCCTTTTGATACAGCTGTTGACTATTATACTTCATTTGTGGAGCGGAATATGGCTCTCATTGCTGATGGACAGCTTTTTACTTCGTTTCCTGTGAATGCGTACTTGGTGTTTGCGTTCCTGAAATCCCAGGTCCAGGCTCTTGCAACGACATCACCAAAGCCTCATTCCGTGGATACTACAGAGCAGTTCTATCTCAAGCATGTGGATGATAAGGGTGATCACCTCATGGTCGACGACGAGCTGAATATCATCGGGATTATCGATTGGCAAATGGCTCGAGTAGTCCCCGCAAGTGAAGCATTCGGGCCGTCTTTGGTGACGGCCGAAATGGGTGATATTTATGATGGCATGTCATCCTTGACTGCTCATGACCAAGCACTGGCTTGCTTCTTGAGAGCGAAAGGGGCGGAGGACTTGGCTGATATCATGGGCAAGGATGAGAGACTTCGGAGATTCTTCTTTGGGCTTGATGTTGATTTCCCTTGGGAGGAGACATTGCCTTTGATTCGTGGCATTTGGACTGCGTTTGGGATTGAGAAGAATACGTACTGGGAAGTGTGGAAGAGGGATATGCTGGAAAAACATGCCCATGATGGACGGTTGAAGCACATTCAAGATAGGTTTGGACCAGGGCCATGATCAACTTTTATTGGATATATGTGTTTTTACGTTTTTCTTTTTTTCCCTTTTCTTTTAGAATTCCTTAGGAAAAGCTTCGAGTTTGGCGCTCATGAAATGTAGACGATATATACAAAACCACTCCCACAGACGTCATGCCACGCTTGAGTCCAGCGCCTCAACGCCCTCCCGGGCAATGCGCTCCCGCATGACCTGCCATTCAAACCAAGTTACTCCCTGCAACAGACAATCCGCAAGATCATCCAGCTTGCCCGGATCAACCAACAGAGCATCCCCAGCAGACGCCGTCTTCAAAGAACGGGAACCCTTCCGCTTCTGCGACTGTCCCTGCCATTTCCGAAGATACGCGCGGGCAAGATCATGCAAGACAGGCTTGTCTTCAGCCAGCGAGATTTTCAAGGGCTCAGCCACAAAGGCCGATCCAGCGCTTTTCTCATCTGTTTCTGTGGTCTCTTCACCCCCTGGTACCGGCAAAGACGCCGCCAACCAGCGTCCCACCAGATCAATCTTGGCCTTTTTGACTTCTCTCGCTGTCAGATTCTTCTTCTTCTTCTTGCTCTCCGTCGTATTAGCATCAGCCGGGGCCTCACTCTCGGTCCAGTACCGTACTACCCGCCGCGGCTCGATCCCGTGGACCTGAACAGACGCCAGCTCGCCGCCGCGCTCCTGGCGCAGTGTGTGCAGGACGGCGTACAGCATGCCTTCTAAGACCCCGACTCGCAGCGTCCACTCCAGCACGGTACTGGCCCCTCCTGAGCGGAAGCGCTGGCGCTCGATCAGGATGTGGGTGGGGCGGTAGGCAGAGAGGAGGGTTGTGAGGAGGGTGTATGCATTGGCCGCATACAGCTTTGGAGAGAAAGAGTCTTTTGTAGACGAGGAGTCCTTTTCCTTATTCGAGGATGTAGTAGTGCTTGGCGAATTGGGGTGGATGTCTATTGTCGGAGTGATTGGTGTCGATTGTGGGAGAGTAGATCCAGCACCGGGAACAGCATCATCATCAATACCCGTAGACCCTGAATCTGTGTTTAGATTGAGACTCGCAATCTCCGAGACAGCGAGTCGGTGCCACGCCGTTAATTCCGGGGTTGGGGGAGGGCCACTACCACTACCACCATTCCACCTAGAGGAAGGGGGATGAACTCGCAGATGAGCGAATGCGAGGTTCTGAATCCCCATGTCAATGCTGAGGATACTCCATGGCTCGGATGGCCTTGCGTGTCCTGTCTTGAGTAGGCCGTATCCCCGTTCTGATGGCGGCTGTTGGCGCTGCTCCCGACTCCCCGGCTGCAAGAGCAACTCATTTTCGATACGATCGACAAGGATCTTCTTCGTGCCAGACGACTGGACCCCCGTTGCACGCGCGAGGCGCTGCAACTGTGCCGATTTCAACAACGGGAGCCAGGGGGCGCGCGGCCCATAGAGAGCCGCCGAGAGACGCATTGGGACGCGTCCCAAGCATATAGATCTTTTGCTGTTTTGGGGGTGGGGGGGGGGTTCTTCCCCGAATCCTTACAAGGCTCACGGGAATGCGATACCCCAGGTGCTGATCATGCTGGATGCATTGAGGGACGAAATTAATGGAAGTGCTGGGTTTGGAGATTTGCATGGAGAGGTGTTGATGTCGATCGCGCTGATCGATGCACGGACCCGTGTCCGCTCGCGTCGAGGGTTTTCTACGCTTCACTCTTACTCTCCGCGCTTCACTCAGTCTTAAGCAAAATAATGGATTATGCTATACGGTCTACTATCAAAGAGTGAAACCGACAAGAACGCCTTCTATTTTTCTGACCAAATACCCCCATTCCCACAACTCACAACGCCGGGGTTCTCACAGTAAACGCCGAGTCTGGTCAAAACAAAGACACAATGCAGGGCGCTGAAGAGCAATTCGATATGAAGAGAAAAATTGAGAAACACAGACAAAAATAATCAAATCTAGATTATACTAACGCCGGCTGATCGAGCTCCGCGATCTCGTCGCGGAGATACAGCAGAGGTGCCCACACGCGCCAATGCAGGATTCCCATGTGGGCAAGACGCATGCTGATGCGCTCGATATCGTATTGTTGAGGGTAGGGAGTCTGAGATTGAGACTGAGACGGGGATGGATTTGCCGAGGAAGACTGGCTCGTCGTGGACGGAGCTGTGCGCTGCGACTCACAAATGGCCAGAGGTGAGAGCGGCAGGTATTTGTGAGCATAACCAATAGTGGCGGTGAGGATTCTGTCGCGCATGCTGTTCTGAAAGTAGCGGAAGAGGTCTGAGTCATGGGACAGGTGCCATTCGAGGGCGGCCTCAATGGGAACCATGACCTCGTCGGCGACGACGACATCCAAACAGCAGGCGGCACACGCAAACCGAGCAACCTCCAGAGCGATGCAGCGCACATTTCGCAACCAGCGCGAGCCATTCCGGAGACCGGCATCGTCGTCGCCTGCAACTCGGCTGTCAGGATCCATGCCGTCCTCCATGAGCGACCAGATCCGCGCCCGGAAAGTGGAGCTGGTCTCGTCACGAGCCGACAAATACCGTTTCTGGGTGTGCACATACGACTCGAAGATATACCAGGCGATCTCGAGGTTTATCAAGTTCTGCACGGTTGCCCGCAACTGCCACAGCCGGTCGGAGTCGAACAGGAAAGTCTCGGGGAAGTCGTCAGGCGGATGAAATTGAAGCAGCTGCTCGGATATCCCACGGAACAGTGCTTCCAAAGGCTTGAACGTGTCTTCGGTGTCTGTCGTTGTCGGGTTCTTCTCTGCATCTTCCTCTCGCGCCTGGTCTCGTGCTGCCAGGTACCAGAGCCGTGCAGGCTCGACCTGGAAAGAGCCGCGGCTAGTTTTGCCCTGGAAATATTCCTGCAGGAAAGGCACAGTGTCTTCGATGAGAAGTACCCGAAATGCGCGAATCTGGTGATTGGCGACATCCTAGAGAAAAAGAATGAGTTTCGGACCATAACAGTCAAGGAATGGAGTTGCTACTTACCAGCTTCATAGCCTCCAGGATGGCAAATAATGTCTGTAAACCATTGACAATCTCCTGCGGCTCTTGTGACTGCGATCCTTCGGTGATTTGCTCGACCATCCGATCCACCCACTCATCGCGCATCGGGGCACAATGTGTTTTGAGAAGTGCGGCCAACCACGTCGCTAGCGCTAGCATGTCCAAAACGCCTTTCCGGATCTGCTGCATGAGCAGGGGCACTTCCAGGTTATGCATGACACTCGGGTGATCGCGCTCTGGAACAAGGGTCTTGATAACATCCTGGAGGGTCTCGAACATGGCGGGCAAACGGGGCTCAAATGTGCGTCGAGCGCTTTCATTCGAGGCATCTTCTCCAGTGTCGTCATTCGAGTGAGCAGCGCGGAACGAGTAAACGGCAATCTCCGCCGCCATTGCATCCCAGTAGTCGGCGGCTTCTTTCCGTTTGCGTTTGCCCTTTTCGCCGTCCAGATCTGGCTTGAAGTGTAGGTCACGGTCAAAGTTGGCATCCATGCGGAGGTTGATGTTGTTCATGATACACGGGAGATCGAGCTCACTAAGCGTCTTCTTCGTCACTGGGGGATGTCGTTTGGCTTTTTGCAGCAGCCGCTGGTTGCGGGAGCTCAGACCTAAGACCTGCGGAATGCGGATAGCCTCGGGCGACGGCGATGGCTGTCGGGGGTGCGATGCTGCAGTTGTCGCCGACGATGCCGGTTGTTGAGTCCCATGGGGATATGCGAATGGCGGCTGTCGGTGACGAAGAGGGCGCACGTTGTTGGGGTCGCCATGGTTGTGGGAATCTTGCCCCTCCTTCTTGGGATACTCTTTGGACCGGCTGCCCCCAGCTCCGTAGGCCTCAAGCGGACCTTCGGCGCCCTCGTCTTGGGCCCGGGGTTCCTTAGTGCCCTGGAGATCCATCACCAGCTGAATGCGATCTGACCGTCTTCCTTCTACTCACACTGTTAGATAAGGAAACCTCAGGGATGGTTAGGCGATGGCGAGGGTTCTACGCCATAGCCTTCACCGGGGAAAGAATCGCAAATGCCCTCCAATTCCCCCGTTGCAACTCACCAAATGGATCTCCCCCTGGTTCGCCTGGGGAAGGCGGCCAATCCGCAACCACAAGTGATGCAAGTGAGCTGTCAATTGCGGTGGAGCCGCCCCGGATGATTGGATCTGCACCTGATTGCCTCGTGGTTTGGTCAGGGAGGCCCGGAGATCAGAAAAAGGAGCTGAAACAGAAAAAGAATAGTAAATCCGAATTAAATAATAATAATAATAATGAAAATTGTGTCAGACACTCTCAGCCACTGAAATCACAAAGAACAAAGTCCACATGGGGGACTCAGGAGAGAGAGCCGTATAGAGAAGAGAGAAAGAAAAAACACGGGCAAACAACACAAAACCGCCCAGGTCGATGGTGCAGGGGAACAAATCAAGAGAGGGAAAAAAAGGAAGGAAATCAAAAAGGAGAAGAAGATTGGGAAAGCGACCGGGTTGCGCTGATATAGCTCAGGTTGAGTCTCCAGATCGTTTTCGAGATACACCGGATCCGGGTGGACGCAACCAGGTCTTCAGTCGGGCTCACATTCCAATGCTGGTACCCGGATGAACACAGACCTCGATGGTACAAACACCGCGATCGATTCCCGTCTCCAAACTCCAGATGGCACACGATCTGTTTCGAGAGTGGTTGGAGGTATCCGATCCCCGGCACAGGGGGCGTTTCTCTCAACTGGCATGCCCCCAGCGGCGCCTCACTTTGAAAAAAGAAGGGCCAAAAAAAGGCAGGATCAACGCACTGGCCACCCACGTGAGGGACTTGCTCCCCCGAATTGATCGGGGAACCACTGACCCAGCGATGATGCAGTCTGGTTGGCGATTGAAGATGTTCGCCCTGGTCGACGCGGTCGGGTTGTCGGGTGGTGGCCTTGGCGCCTGATATATCAGGTGCCAATCAGGCATCAATTCACTCTATTTCCAATGCTGCCAAACCCTGAAAAGACCACCAGGCCAGCATCCCCAAGGTTTAATTACAATTAAACAGAGACTCAGCTGCTTATAGCTGCGTCTCATGGCCGGGATTGTCTATAAGCCGGTGTCTTGCTCTCAATAATCTCAATCACGGGAGTGGGCCTATTGACACCAGAATCGGGAAACTTCAATAAGATCATCAGCCAACGACGGCGAACAGTCAAAAAGGGCCGTCGCCATGTGGGAATAACTTCCAAAGCATCCTGCTACTTTTCTCGAATCTTTCTATTTGGTATTTCGTGAGATTGCGACTTGATCGTGGTTGAATTCGAAAGTCGTGCTGGTTCTGCTTTGTCGACTATGGATATCGCCGCAATTTTATACTTCTTTCATGTGGTCTGGGCAATACCACGATACTTCTTTTTGCCAGTAACACAATCCTCAAATATCTCCCAATTCAAAGTCCACGGCCTGCCGGACAGTCCTACTCTGCCGCCCAGCTGGGCTGGGCGACTGCCAGTGCCCGAAACACAAGACGGGAATGAGATCTTTTTCTGGCTTTTCGAAGCAGAAGATGCAAAGTACAACGACAATCTTATAAGTCAGTATAGAGTCTAAAATTGGCTTGGGTAATACTAACTAAATCTGTGGATAGTCTGGTTCAATGGCGGTCCTGGCTGCTCCTCGCTCATAGGGCTGATAACCGGCAACGGGCCCATCTCCTTTGCCGGAAATTCTACTCGGCTCGAGCGCAATCCGTATTCATGGACACGGCTTGGGAATGTGCTGTATGTGGATCAGCCCGTGGGTACCGGCTTTTCGACTGCCAGCAACCCTTACCCGGTGAAAGACAACGAGCGAGTGACAGCCGACTTAGTCCGGTGGCTGCATTCCTTCTTGGTCTATTTCCCACACCTCCAGTCCAAACAGATCCATCTCATGGGCGAGTCGTATGCAGGAATATACGTACCTTACTTTGCAGAGGCTCTGATGGAGGGCAAATATTCGCTTCCGTTGGATATACGCTCGATGTCACTCGGTGATGGTTCCTGGGGCAATGCGGCGGCCATGTCTTCCGTCGCAATGGGCGCCTACATCCACTCACAGTTGAAGCTCCTCAAAGTCCCCCAGGATATCCAGTCCACATTTAGCGAGGCAGACCGCACCTGTGGCTTCGACAACGTCCTGGACCAAGCCGCCATCTATCCTCCTCGGGGCCGAATCCAGATCCCCGGGAATCCAGAGAACATCAACTACCGCCGAAAACAACACCGGGATCTGACAAGTGCTCTCAACGACGACTGCAATATTGCGCCATCAACGCCGGCCACGGTCCACTCATCTATCTTCAATTCCACCTGCTACGGCCCCTGCGCCACCTTCTCCACCGCATCAGACTACATGTATACGGTATCTGCGGCAGGGTCAGGACCTGAGTGCTTTGATATCTACGATATTCACAATGACTGCAGCACCGTCAGCCCGCTCCCGCTCCTAGGAACGTATTTCAGTCGCGCTGACGTCCGGGCCGCTCTGCACGTCCGCGACAGCGACGCCTACAGCGCCTGCAATGCAACCATCCTCGCTACCCTTGTGGCAGCACCACCGCCAGTCCCACCAGAGTACTCGATCCTTCCGAAGCTGGTTACCACGCACAATATTTCGCTGCACATCTACAACGGCGAGTGGGATATGCTGATCAACCACATCGGCACGGAACTTTCTATCCAGAACATGACCTGGGGTGGCGCGCAGGGGTTCTCAGAGAAGCCTCACCAGCTGTTTTATGCCGACAATGCCGCTCCAGCATCGACGAAGAGTTCTTCCAAGCACACAGCCGCTACTACGCTCACAGCTGCCACGGCCACGGACACCGCTGCGGGCACCTGGGCTGCAGAGCGAGGAGTCTCATATCACCATTTCTGGGAGGCCGGTCACAGCGTGTTCGTCAATAAGCCGCGTGAGGTCTTTGCCTTCGTGCGGGATGTGGTGGTTGCACCGAAGAAGGACTGAAATTGGGCGATTTGATGATGGAGTGACTGGCTGGTGTTTGGTGTAGATCAGTAGCTGGGTGTTACTCACTGGACTAATACCTTTGCATTTGAATTCTCATTTTCTTGTTTCGCAGTCTGATTTCCCTCTGAAAGCATGACTTTTTAGTTAGAATCATATTTACAAAAAGTGGACAAAATGCTTCGGCTCTCTTTGTGTGGATTTATAGCTTTCTCGGTCATATATCACTGTTGTTGGGATCTGGTATATACGGACTCGAAAACAAAACAAGAAACTACCACGGCCATGAGCCAGAGCCATCAGTGCGCAAAAACTGGCCCGCTTCGGCATCTCTTCTCCCCTGCACGATATCCACAAGCCCTTTCGCCGAGTCGATCGGATCCCCAGCCGCGCCCTGCGCAGTAATCGCCTCCTCAGAGTCCCCCCGAATCTTCGACCGCACCAAACCAGGACAGAACGCAAAGACACGCACGTTCTGCGCACTGAGTCGTTTATGGAACTGGATCGTCGCCATATTCAACGCAGCCTTGGTCATGCGGTACTCATACCAAGCAGTGGCATACCATGTATCATTCGGGTCAGACGCCAACCCAACAGAGCCCAAGGCGCTGGAGACCTGCACGAGGTAGGGCCGGGCCGACTGCAACAGAAGCGGAATAAAAGCCTCTGACACGAGCAACGCGCCGAAGACATTCGCGTCGAACATCTCGCGCAGCTGGGCGCGGCCGCTGCTCTGCAGGGCTAGCGTGCCGGCATTGCTGATGAAGGCGTCGACTCGTCCGAATTGCTGGCGCACGGTCTCTACGGCGGCGGCGATGGAGGAGTCGTCGGTTACGTCGAGCTGGAGCACTGATAGTGTGCCTTGGATTTTGTCGCTGCTGTTTTGGATCTCGGTTAGGGCTTGCTGGCCCTTGGAGACATCGCGGCAGGCCATAATAACATGGTGCTTGGGCTGAGAGGCTAGCAGTTGGGTGGTGGCGTAGCCGATGCCAGAGTTGGCTCCTATGTTTGTTTTTTTATAGATTAGTTTTTGTGCATGTAGCACACATCCCGACATATAAATCTTGGATGGTTCAGGTTTGTTAGGGCTTGGTCTTACCGGTGATGAGGACGATTGTCGAGTCAGACATCTTGCACGCACGAGGAACACAGAGTATCTGTAGCAGAATAGCTGAATATTGGGAGACTATTAAGGACGAATTGGTAGTGGGGGTCGATAATCAAGGGCCTAGTTGTCTGACTCGTAATCTTCAATTTCGACGTGCTTCAACACAACAGAAGAGATTTCCTAGCAAGTGTCACCAGGAGGAATCCCATTGAAGTATTCTCAGTGAACCAAAACATTGCGCCATTAAATAGTTCTGCAATCTCCGCCATCACATATGATGTGTCACAACTAAAAGAGTGACATCCTCTGCCCCGCTCACTAGGGCCCGTTGCCAGTCACTCGGATGTGCCTGGTAGCCCTAGTAATAAACGGTCTCCACTGCCGGTTATATGATCCGCAATGACACGTAGGATTTGAAATCACTCAAGGTCCCGTGCTATTTTATCGTTTGATTATTGGACTGACGGGGCCCAAATATCTGGGTCCGGCACTTATGAATGGTATTACTGAATCATGTGGGCTTCGGTAGATACACGGAGAGGGAAAAGGGCTTGTCAGGTTTGTGGTTTAGCTTATCTACCCGAAGGATCTGATAGAATGATGGACTCAGGGGTCAGGGGTTAGAGAGTCCCACTTTCTAAATGCCGTCAGAAAATAATGTCCACAACTTCTTGTTTTATATTAGTTCAGTTCGAAGAATTGAAAATTGCCCTCCAACAGCCAAGCACCCATCTACCTCAAGTGGATTGTAGATAATCAACCTCTAGACGACAGAAGATCAAAGCGTTGCGAATAGCGGTGTCACTTCTGTACAATAAGCCAAGACAGGAATGGTGATAAATAAGACAAGTATCCACATGCCTATTAGTTATCTTCGCATTACAAGGCATGTTACTCGTAGACCAAAACCAGGCTCTGGTTAACTGTCTTTAGGCTTGAACCGCCAAGGTAGGGTTTGACCCCCACAGATAACTTGTCGACAAACCCAATTACTGACGGATACAAAGCAACAAAAAAAAAGCAAAATATATTAGAGAAGAAAAGGTAGATATCAATATTATATATATCCAGCCACAAAGAAAGGCAAGGCGCGGGTACGGCGGCATCCCTGATGACCCATGCACATCACCTGCCATCCTCCGATAGTTTTCATCGGCAACTCCTATTCATATAGAAAACAAATACCCCCCGCTCCCAAAAAAAAAAAAAAAAAAAAAAAAAAAAAGAGGGGGACAGGAAGGGTTCGGACGATGTCGACAAGAATCTTGCATCAATTAGAGTAGGAAAAAGACCAGAATTTGAAAATAGTTTCTGGATTCAGAGATTGGGTTTTCTTCATCGCCCTTTTTCCCATGCTGTATTTTCCTTGCTGGAGCAACAATTAATCTTTTTTTTTTAAAAAAAAAAAAAAGAGAGAGAGAGAGAAATTGCTTACTGTTCTACTCCTGTGTTTAGGCATTTAAAATTGTCGCTTTCCACGGAAGGATCTAGTAATTCCTCATGGTACTCAATTTGATTTCTAATGTTTATATATCTCTCTTGATGGCAGCTAGAAGTATTTATATACTTGCCAGAATAATAACCACCCCAATTACATTCGCAATAATTAATAGAATATTGAATATTGAAATCCTTGCTATCCCAACCGGCTGGATCTGTAGTTGCGATAACTCCATAGAGTGGCACGGCCATACAATCATCCATACTCATAACTTATCATTGACACAGATAGAGTAATCAAGACTACAAATTATGCTCATACGATGTCACTATTGTCCATGACAGAAGAAAATAGGATCAGGGTGAGCCAGGATGAGTCATGATGCATCAAGATGGATGTCTACAGGTATATCCAGGTGGGGTGGGTTGATTGCCAGATGGAGTCAAATGTGGAGAGGAGAGCAAGAGTAATATAGGATTTTGATCTAAGATTCCCCTCGCTGGTATTCCATGGACGAGATATTTACTTACAACAGCACTATAGACGGAAAGACTATCGGGCCAAGGCTATCGTCAAGAGAAAGTAGCTTTTTTAAAAAACATTTGAAAAAACAAATTGGCAAGCAGGGTTAGCCACGCTGTATCTATTGTGTCATATTCTGAGTTTCTTCCAAAGGAGAACAAGATTTCTCGCTAATTCAAAACAAGTGCCCAGACCAGAAAATTCAGTGACCAGATAGACCCGCAATAAACAACAAAGAACAAAGACATCTATCTACACATAGATCCGGGCCGTGGGTGTGCGTGACATGGTTCGTTTCCATCATAACGAGAACGACACGGAGCAGAAAGGAGACGCTGAAACAGTCATGATACATGGAGGAATTGAGGATCAGAACCTCACAGAGAATACCGGCTCTTCCCTCGCTTACCGACGAGAGTAGATTGGTGCCTGGCTCCCCATCGATAGCAGGGAATCGGCGCGCTGGAAAACGTCGCCTTCAAAAAACTTGTCGCTGTACGCGCTCGCTGGCGTGGTGGGCACGGTGGCCTGCGCAGCAGGGCCGAGCGCCGCGCTCAACGGGGTGGAAGGAACAGTGATGGATTGGGGAGACATGCCCATGGTGAGTGAGAATCCGTTTGGAGGAGAGGCGAGGGCGGACGTCGAGGCCGATGTTTGGTGCTGCGAGTGCGGAGTTTGCAACGGAGGCCCATACAGATTTCCGGGTGCATGCGTCGCGGCCATATCTGCGAGATAGGACCAGGGGGAGGCCTCGATCAGACGGCCTGCCTCGCGGCTGGCTTTCTGAACGGGGCGCAGGATGATGATGATATCCCCCGGAAGAAGCTGCATACTTCGCACTTCGCGCATGTCGGTCACCAAATCCACGAATGATTGCATGAATGTCTTGCAAAGTAGCCAGAATTCGCGCTGGTTCCGCAGCCCGCCACCCGGCTCTTTGACTTTCATCGTGGAAAGGCGCACCCCCAGCGCCTCGGATACTTCCAAGCAGAAACGACAGCGCCGAATGAGATTGCTCCAGAGCATCTGAACTCCCTCAGACTCCCGCGACTGCTCTGCCACCTCGAAACAGCGAGCAAATTGTCGGCGCGCCAATGGCAGCGCCTGCAGTGCTGCGGTATAAGCGGAGGTGAGTTGATAGAAAATCTTTTCAAAGATGCGCTCCTCTTCAATTTCATCCAACCCGGTCAACGGGTTGATACGAGGAGCACCTGAGGAAGTAATGGGAGGAAACGTCTCCCCGGAGCGAGGTGTGGTCATCGATGATGGCACTGAGGTGTTGATCAGATTGGACCGACTGCTCGATCGACTTCGCGAGTAGTTGAAGGACGGTGTTGTAAAGCCAGGCGAGGTGGTAGGAGTCTGGTTGGCTGCTGTCAATGGCAAAGGCCCACCCATGGGGAACTGAGGATGCCGAATTGTAGTATCACTTCGCAGGCGTCGAGTTGGCGGTGTCCGGTCCCTTGTGGGGGTGACCATGGAAAGTTGGGGTCGTTCCGGAGCCGAAGGAGCCTTGTTGGCTTCTGGCAGAGACGGCTTGGCAGCGGAAAGCCGCTTGTGTGCCGGTCGAAGAGGAATGTTAAGACCGGCACAGGCATTCCGCAACTCCACCAGACTGCCGTACATCATCAACATGAGCGATCGTACATAGCGGGAATCACCATTGGAGACAATCTTGGCAGCACCGTTGCGTAGTTGTGTACCCACGTGGGTATAAGCTATGATGCATGTTTCGCATTCGCGCTTGACCGTCTCAGTGACCGCCCGTATCGAATCTGGATCATCAGACAAAGAGGTTTCCGCATGCTCCAGTGCTTCATTAAGCCGATCCACGTGTGTGGAAGCATTGTAGAAGACGAGCTCAAGGCTGTGTCGTCGGGTATCGTCACGCTTGATGACATTTATCAGTGTGGAAATGTGGGAGTGGATCTGGAAAAGCGCGAAGAGAATCCCTTTGGCACTCTCAATAATCGGTTCATCTGATCCTCGTTCACCCTTGTGTTCGGGAAGACTCGACATCCGATTAACCCAGCCATCTCGCAATCGCCGACGTTCCCTCGGGCTGCTCGGACTCGAAGAACTACTACCGCTAGTAGGGTTTACCCCAGACGGCCGAGCTCGAAGAACAGACCCATGACTCAAACCTCGCAAATGACTGTTTCGATATGGGCGGGTCTCATCCAGCGTGCCTAGATCTGTATTCTTTCGAGTGATAACCCCCATGCGCTTGCTGCGGGCAGCAAAAGACGCCTGGATAATGCCTTCGCTGTTACTTCGGTTGCGTTCATTGACCGTGTGAGGAGTCACACTGGACCATTGAGAACTGCCCATGTGGTAATTGCCACTCTGATGCCCGGATGTCATGCGATAGTGTGACTTTACTGGAACCGGCGGTGGCCGGGATATCGACGGATTTCTAGAAGAAGCCGCCGAGCTGTCGCCAGTGCTGGGGATAACGGGAAACCGACTGCTAAGCTTGCGTTTGGTAGGTGCGGGTCGGGGAATCTCAACAGGACTCTCGCTGTAGTTGGGCTGAGAATTAGCTTATTCCTATAGCACTGATATGTGGAGTGTGATCAACATAATTAACATACCTTGCATCATTACTTTCTGGCTCCGGGGTTGTGGCGGCTTGCCGGGTTTTCAGAAATCTCTTTAGTTCCGCAGTAACCTCGACTTCCTTCTCATTGTCCGTCATGGTAGATGGTGTCATTTCGGACTCCGAGGACTCCAAAACGCGGCGCAGTGGATACCGCAATGGATTGCCAGCGATCTTGAGAATTTGAAGCTTATTCATATCAGAGAGACCGAGAGGGAGGTCATCGAGGCGATTTTGCATCACAGAGAGCACTCGCAGCGATTTCAATTTGCTGATTTCTTCGGGCAAAGCGCTGATTTTGTTCCGGCTTAGATCGAGGATCTCCAGCAACGGTAACTTATAGACCTAGGGGAGAGTCAGCACCAGCTAAAGGCAGGGAGCGATATCTCTACATACTCCCTTAGGAAATTCACGGAAGTTGTTTGCTCGGATGTTGAGATATCGAAGGTGGGAGCATTCGGCAAAGCGATAGGGGATATGAACAAGATGGTTGTTTGACAGAGATAGCCTTCGAGAAAGGTTAATCGAGTCCCAAAAGAAAGCATACAGATCTCCCAATTTGAGCCTCGGGAGGCTACTACATACCGTTCCACTTCATCCTTGATGATGTCTACCACTGGCTCCGGAATTCGCCCAATGTGAGAATGGCCCAGATCAATCGTGAGCTTCGGCTTGACCACATCGGTGACGGCCTCGCTTCCAGCCAAAGAGCGTTTGGTGTCTTGAATCCCGCTGTCCACTGCATTCCGCGCGAGCTCAATCGTTTCCTCGGGGAGAGCATCTTCGGACCGACCGCCGGTCTGCTGTTGCCACTCGGAGCGTCCTCCATAGCTGTGTTCGGCCTCGACCCATCGTCCTCCGGGTGAGAAAAGCCATCGTTATGCGAAAGTGGAGGTGGTACAAGTGAATCGGACGGGCCTTTTTCCGCATCGTCTTCGTCCGCCTCGCCACGGTAAGGGCGGGGCCCGCGTATTGTGTCTTCAGGACGGCTCATTGTGGAAATCATAATCGATACACATCAGGCATTGGCAATTGGCGCACCGGAATGTCGGTTCCCGCGAATTGCAGATGCGCCCCCAAGATTCCCCAATGCTTTAACCACTACCAGCTCAAAATGGGGCGCGAACCGGGGCAACACATCCTTGGGCACGTCGCAATCGCGAGGGGAGTTGGGTTATTTCGATTTAAAATCCGACGCAAGCGGGCGTGCAGAGACGGGTCAGACAGCGAGGTCGAAGAGAAGGGATCGAATTCGTGGGACTAATCGAGCACCCTGGATTTGTCTCACTCGGAACAATCAAGTGGCACCGGAGGGAAATTCGGTGCAACGCAGCTCTCACGACCGGAGATGGCGAATCGGCCACTCGAAGAATGTGGTTATCGAAGGGAAATCGAGTCCGATAAAGCGTTGATCGAGGGATGTTGGAGGGAATTGCATCAGGAATGGAGAGGACCGTTAGCCCGCCTGACAACGTGATTGGGCGACACGCCAAGACGATTACTGCGTCAGCAACGATTTGGCGATCTGCCGGGGATTGTCCATTCTATGAATATATGAATATTGCCTTGTAGATATATCTATTTGAATAGATATTTACAGATAGTAACAAATTTACAAATCTATTCACATGCATTGCTCGAGGAATTCCGACAGCATTCGCATCTACGTTCAATATGGATATCAGTCATGTAACATAGAGTTCGGGGAATACAGCTGGATGATTCAAATACTATACATGGACCCTGCTCTTAGGCCACTCAAAAACCAAATATTCCAAGCCAAGTCCTTCTACTGGCCGGCCTCCGGGGGTTCGCTCTCTGTCTCCGCGGCGTCGCCTTCTTCTGGCTGCACAAGTTCTGGGGCTCCAACGAAGGCTGCTGTCCGCTGGTCAAGAAGCTGAGCTTCTTTCCGAGCCCAATCCTTCCATTGCTCGAAATTCTTGTTCTCCAGCTCCATTCCAATGTCCAAGTACGACGGGCCGAAGTTCGCACCAGTCGCTTCGGCCTCTTCTGCGGCAACTCGGCGTTCAATGTCTTCCTGCAACCGAAGTCGATAGAATTCTCGGCGAGCAATGTCGTATGCATTGCTCTTGGTCATATTCTTGACGTTGTTTAAAAGCCAGAGTTGTCGTTGTACGACACTAAGGGAGTAGAAGGTGGGATGTTAGATCCGAGAACAACAAAATCATCGAGGAGAACCAGGGAGTTGGGTATAATAGAAGGCAGAGGAAACGTACCTTTCACCATCCAATCGCTTTCCAGGCTGCTGAAGACGACGCCAGTCGTAATTTTCAAAGTCCTTGCCCATGCTCTCAACGAGAACACGAGGCCGGGCAAGTTCCCATGGGTGGTCGCGAAAGAATTCCTTTCGTAGTTGATCTTCCTCGTATTTGATCTCGACGGGCTGGAACAGGCGGCTAGGCTTCTTGGGCTTCCGGGGCTTCTCTTCGACCTCGAAGACGACTTGCGACTTGTTCTCAATTGTCTTCACTCGTTGCCGAACGAGCTGGTGCTGAGGAGGACGATTACGAACGAGAACTTCGGCCGGAGGAAGGTCGCGCAGTGCAGCGACCCAATTTGGTAGTACACCGGTCTTTCCAGTGGCCTTTTGGTTGATCGCGGCCTGTCGCACCCGTAGGGCTGTGAGGTTGATTTTGGTCATAGTGGAGGAGACAATGTCTATAGACAGAAAAGCCAGACCCGAGCCAGATCCGACACCTCGAAACCAGCCGTCGCGTGTCGCGGATTGCGAAGGGGAGGAAGGGAGATCTGGAGGTGAAAAAAGCTGGGATGGGCAACGCCCGGCCCCGATTGGCTGGTGCGGGCTCCGCTTCGAAAGCCAGAAAGTCCGTTCGCCTTCAGAAAAACACACCAGCTCTTCTCTTGCGTCGGCGACTACCCTCACGTTTCGTTCTTTTTGTCTGCTTCTTGGGCCCAGAAGTGGACGTTTTGCTTTGCAAGTGGCTCGGGCCCTGCTTCTGGACATGAATGGCTGGCCCGATGCCACAATGTCTGTCGTCTCATGTCTGATCCCAATAGGTCCTCCAGCTCGCCGAGCCTGCGAAATCTCCCCAAGCAGGCATGGGATGAGCTCGTCTTTTCCCGCACTCAGTCCATGTCTTCTTCGAACCCTTCTCCGTCTAATGCCTCAATCCGACGACTCTCCCGCCGGCCTCGACCCTCCGTCGCTTCAATAGCGGACGCCTTTGTCGGCTCGCTGGTTCTGGCAAGCTTCTGCCATGAACATTCGCCGCATGCTCGGGGGCTTTCTACAATTTCCTTGGGGGCGTCGGAGAATCGGTTGCGGAGGGTTCGGGACAAATCTGTGGCTGATCGCAGGGAGCTGCCACCGGGGAGACGTTTGGAGTACTTGGGCTCCATGGTGCATCTTTCACCGTCCCAGCGGTTGGTTGGGGAGGGATTTGCACGCCCTGAAAACACTTCTATGGACGAGAAAAATAATTTTTTTGGGTTCTGGGGCAACACTGCAGCTGGCACTGACGGCGACAGTACGTTCGATCCCACAGAAAATGCAAAGCACAGCTCAATACCTGGATCTCTCCATGCTATTGAGCTAGGGAAAAGGAAATTTACCGAGTTGAGCCGGAAAGGCAATTCGAGTTCTTCGAAATTACTGCGCTCTCCGTGGATTTCACCCGACGACGAAGCCTACATCTCCACGTCGAGGTTGTACCAGAGGACGTTAGGTGACAACTATGATTGGACAGAAGCAGTGAAGGCCGTGGTTCCGCACGAGAAGGTGGTCAAAGTACCAAGCACATCGCGAGATGCAGTTGAAAGTCCGTCCGTCGCCAAGCTTGTTGAAACGTTATGGGGGCCCTATGAACCATCCACCCAATACCTCTTTCGGCTCTACCGTGATATTTCCTCTCCAGGGGTCGCACAGCTTTCCAAACGCTCTCGCGGTGCTATGTTGCGCCGATTTGCAAACCCCCAAAATCGTCGGTGGGTCGACGCTCGTCGCTATCTAGCGTTGGTAGAAGATATGGTCACTGCTGGTCTCCCGATATCTCGTTCTCTTTGGGCGTCTGCAATTCATCTTTCGGGCCGGGCAAGTGGGCCCGTTTTAAAACGTGATTTGATTCGATCAATTGGTCTCTGGCAACAGATGGAACACGTTGCCAAAGTTCAAGCGGACGATGTCGTTTTCAACATCTTGTTCGACATCTCTATCAAAGCTGGCCAATTTACGGTTGCCGATCGTTTGCAAGAAGAGATGCGGAGACGTGGCATCAGTTTTTCGCGCTGCGGTAAAGTTTCAAAGATCTACTATCATGGGCTGCGGAAGGACGTGGAAGGAATCCGGGAAACATTCGATGATTTTGTGAGGTCAGGGGAGCTTGTTGACACGGTTGTTTTGAATTGCTTGAATGCCGCATTTCTTCGGGCCGGTGACGCCCAAACCGCAGAGCAGCTATATGCACGCATGCTCGAGGCGCAAGCCAATGCGCCACACCCATCGAGCAATGACCCTGATTCACCCATCCGCCCAAACCTGACGTCTGAATTCACGGCCTACCGCACCAGGACCAGAGAGCTGGGCCGGTTGCTAAAGAAATCTGCGGCGCTCAAGGAACGGCTGCCGGAATATCACCGCGCTCTTCAAGATTCCCTCCCCATGGCTCCCGACACAAGAACCTTTCACGTTTTTCTTCGACATTATGCATACCAAAGTGGCCAGCTCGATAGTTTCATGGCCGTGCTGCGTGACATGGAACGGACCTTCTCTGTGCCACCTCGTGGTATCATCTATCTCTTCCTGTTTGAGGGATTCGCTCTTCATGGCCGAAGGAAGAAGTCCTGGTCCGCGGAAAGACTCCGACTGACATGGCATGCGTACCTTCGGGCATTGCACGACTCACGGGCCAGACTTGACGGCCTCTACCTTCACGCCCCAGAGATGGTTTGGGAAAACCCACTCGCTGCCAGCGTCGCCACCGATGCCGATACAGAGCTCCCGGTGACTGATGCACCTGATGGGCTGTACATGCCTTTGCCATCTGCAGACACTAAAACAAATCCCGACTTTGAGGGTAATTCGGGAAATTCCCCGCGAACTGCAATGGATAGCACGACCACTCACGGCTTTCACCACGAGCAAAACCATGATATCGAAGAAAACGAATACGACCAACGCGAGGAAGGGGAGGAGCTAGACCTCGACGAGATCTTCAACCCCGAATCGACCCCCGCGCACCAAGCTGAACCGGAACTCGATCACCTCGAGCGTCGGGTCGAGAACGGCGTTTTCATCGGTCGTCGAATGATTGTGGTCATCTTGCGCGCGTTTGGCGCCTGCTGCGGTCCCAAAGAAGTTCTGGAAGTGTGGCTGCAGCTGGAACGGCTTTGGCATCCTCACCGACGCAAGGCTGTGGATGTTCTCGCTGTCAAGGAGGAGCTTGATAACCAGATGTCGAGGAATCCCCCTCGGATGTAAGATGAGATTGGAGGGAGCTCGGCGATGAAGATAGCTTCGATGCTTGTACATTATTTCATAGATTTCCCATATACCGAACAATACTTAGCGAGATCATTTGACGTTATTAATGTGGTCTAGCTCTTCCCTGTGATCAATATCAACAGCTGTGGAGACAACTGACAGTGATGTGGATTGGAATATTTGTATTTTGTAAAAAGAAACAAAGAAACAAAAAGGGGAGGGCCCTAGAGGCTCAGCGCCTCTAGGCCCCTCACCCCCTCTTGGGTTCGAACCAGGGACCCTCGGCCTGCGTGAGCTTGGTGTACCGGTTACCCCTTTGGGGAATGGTGGTGCACCATTTCCGCTAGGCTACTAGTCCCTGGTTCGTAACTGGAGGAAGATTATCGAGAGTATAAGGGAGCAGAAGCAAATAATTGCCTAATTAGGAAGGAGGCCTCATGAGACAGGCCACCAATAGTCAGCCTGGATTCCAAGGTTCTTTTGGACTTTTGCCTAACTATTACCTCTTTCATAGCCCTTGAAATACGATATTTACTTAGTTTTGTCTCTGGCGTGGGCAGGGCGAGCATATATGAATGATATCAAAGCCGCAATGACCGGCCACCGATATGCTCTCATTATATCACAAATAGATAATATTCCCAATATCTTTACTTATATTTTACGTATACAGTGTTCTTGGGTTTGAAGGCATCAACACTGCCAGAAACTTTGAAAAAGGGCAGTAAATCCCCTGCCGCAGTAGCTTGATGTTGGCGCTGTGACTCAGTGGAGCACGGCGCTTCGGCACAGCAAGGTCGAAACCAGCAGCTGAAAATTGGCTTAAGCCACTAATTCTCTTAATTACTCAATTAGGATTCTTTCTCTCTCTTGAATCTGGCCTGTTTTTCTGTATCCTATCCCTCCTGTCTCCCCCACACCGATATGCCGAACACGCCCTATCCTACCCCATTGACCATCCCACCGCTGGGAACCGAGCATACACATACCATGATTTTTCTCCATGGCCGAGGAAGCAACGACGAGCGTTTTGGCCACGAACTTCTCAGCTCCACAAAGCTACAGTCTTGACTTCCGACCACGAAATTCGTGTTTCCCACCACGTGCAAGCGCCGCTCAACGGTACGCAAAACGATGCCCATCAAGGAGTGGTTCGACAACTACTCGCTCGAAGATCCGGGACAGCAGACGGATTTGCAAGCGGAGGGTCTCAGCGAGACAGCAAAGTTTCTTCGAGTCCTGGTCGAGCAAGAAGCCCGGATATTGGGCGACGATGGCCATCGCAGGGTTGTCATCGGTGGGCTCAGCCAAGGCTGCGCTGCAGCTATCTTCGCGCTGCTGGGTGGCGATATAGATGGAAACGAGGGCAATGCGCCAGGAGCATTTGTTGGGATGAGTGGTTGGCTGCCCTCTGAGCAGCGGCTCCGCGCGATTCTCTAATGTGATCTCAAGTCCCAGGGCCCAGTCAAGTCAGAAACCAGCAATAATGACACCGAGAATGAGAATGACTCCCGCAATGAGATAAAAAACCACAGTGACAGCGAAGAAGACATTAATGACGAGGATTCAGAGACCGCTTTCTCAGACGACAATGATTCATTTGCCAGAACCAGTCCAGAGCAGGATGGTTTCAATCCATTCGAAGAGAGCGAGAATGCCCTCCTGGCTATCCAAGCTCTGAATCATGTTCAAGATATGCTTGACCTTGCACCCATGTCTTCCGACCGGTCTCTGGATGACGTATGCCGAACTCGTGTCTTTCTTGGTCATGGCTCAGCTGATCCGAAAGTATCAGTTGAGCTTGGGAAGAAAATGGTGCAGATGCTGTCAGAAAATTTTAATATGAATGTGACATGAATGAATTACGATGGTTTTGGACATTGGTACAAGGTCCCTGACGAGATTGACGACATATTGTGGTTTCTCAAGGCAAAAGTCAACCTGCCGGTGAGAGAAGCTTCCGATAATCTATAGGTTAGAGCATACAAGGCGACAGTCTTCTAAGCTATTATCTGACATGGAAAGGAAATTATATAGCCCCGTCTTTGACTCTTACGATGATCTGCCTCCATTCCATGCAGCAGTAGTCCTATGTCACCCAAATAGGAAGTAAGTAGATACTCACGTGACACCGCGTCGCCCCGCAAAGACGCGTTCGAACTGACAACTTCAACTTGAAATTCACCTCTCTGTGTTCAGCCTCGTTCTCGATTGGCATGTTTCCCCATGGCCAGCAGAGGAGGAATTCTACGGCGCAGGGTAGACCTGGAATTCTACCTTCACCGCGTCTTCCGGAAAACGTCTTTTCGGTCAGTCGGCGGACGAGAAGCTTTCGAGACCGAGGCGATGCGCTGACTTGATATCGACCAGTCCGCTGCAACGAGAGGTGATCAGCGCAGTTGTTGAGGGGCACGATGTATTTTTACAAGCGTCGACTTCGTTTGGAAAGAGCTTGTGTTTTCAACTGCCCGCGGTCATCAGCAACGGGCGTGAGTGACCCTATGAATGGTTACACTTCCTGATACACCCATCACAAGTCGGGTTACTGATTTTCGTTCCTTCTGGATAAACAGTGACTATTGTCATATGTCCTCTGCTTGCATTGATGGTAAGTGGGCTAGTCATGATCTGGTGTTTACCAGTCAATACCAAAACTGACATCGATAGATGGACCAAGTCAATGCTCTTCAAGCCATCGGTGTAGCAGTGTCCACCATCAACTCCAATACGCCAATAGCGGAGAGGCGTCTCATTATGGAAGACATGCTTTCCGGGCATCCGCGCACACGTCTCCTCTACGTGACCCCTGAGCTGTGCCAAACAGACAGCTTTCGACGCAATCTCCAGATCGTCCATCGGCAGGGCCAACTCACCCGTGTGGCGATTGATGAGGCCCATTGTATTAGTGAATGGGGTCATGATTTTCGTCCAGCCTATCAAGAACTCGGTTGGTTTAAGAAAAACCTTGCGGATCCCGCTGTGCCTATCACCGCCCTCACGGCCACCGCCACGCCTCGAGTTCGCTCAGATATCATTAATATGCTGGGACTGGACCCCTCCCAGCTGAGACTCTTCAACACGCCCTCTGCCAGGCCAAATATCCACTACGAGGTGCGCTACCTCGAGGATTCTGCAAGTGACGCAACTTGCTGTGAAGATTTTCAAGTGCGAAACCTCCTGCGCTGGCTCAAGTCAATCCGAACTCGACGAGAAGCTCGCATCGGCGCAGAAGCAGCAGCGCGCCTTCCACCAATGTCGGGTATCATTTACGTTGGGCTGCGCGCAATCTCCGAACACCTCGCAAGCCAGCTTTCAGCAGACGAAAGTATCTCAGCAGTAGCCTACCATGCCGGGCTGGCCCCACAAGAACGCACTAGCATCCAAGCCAAATGGACATCCTCGCAACCAACCCAACAACCAACTGACGGCAAACTCCCACTAGCATTCTCAATCATCGTCGCCACCAACGCATTCGGAATGGGTATCGATAACCCGCACGTCCGCTTCGTTGTTCACTGGACGCCACCCCGCTCCTTCGAGGGTTTCGTCCAAGAATCAGGCCGAGCAGGCCGTGACGGCCGCGCTGCCGCGTCCCTTGTTTACTACAATACCCAAGAGCGTGACCGCATCTCCGAGCGGATCAGTCGCGATGCAGAAAACGTCCGCCACCGCGGTGGACCGAAGCACTACATTAATGGCCTTATCCAAAACCAGCAGGCTCGGCTGGAGAGTTTTAACAAAGTCATACGATACTGCGAGTCTATTACCCGGTGCCGACACGAGCTGATCAAGGATCTCTTTGGTGACTTTGAGCTCGAGGAAATGGGTTCCCAGATGCCGCCTTCCTCGCAGGCACCGGCGCATGCAGAGATCTCTGGCTCCTTGACCGCGTCTCCGTGTGACTTTGCTTGTGATTTCTGCAAAGAAGGCCGCGCGAGCCTCGCCAAGCGCAAGGCGAAAATGGTCTCGGAAGTGCCACTGGAGTATATGGCGGACTCTATGGTGCCGATCATCGTACATGACATGATTAGGCGTACGGTTCCCTGATCAAAACGTGTGCTCTTTACTCCCACTATTATTGAATGTATTAAGTGGGGAGGGATTCTGTTCTGGCATGTTCGGACTGCATTTTCTGTTTTTCAGTGGTTCTTACTCGGGTGTTTGGATTCTGGCGTATAGAGCAGGGCATTCGATGAAGGCGTCATAGAAGAGGTTTCATGCGAACTCTATGTTGGGGTGGGCATGAAAATTGAATCAACGAGTGATGAATTTATGCTTGATTTAAGGTCCCCGGATGATACAAAGGACAGTATATGTATTCCCAGCATCAATTAGCTCAACAACTTTAATCTCTGTATGGTGGTCCCTCCCCGTTCTCAAAAGCAAGACAATCAAGAAGAGTCCCAAGAATAACCGCATCCTGGATAAGGTTGATGTGTTCCATCAAGTTTTTGCGAGTCTCCTCTGGCATCCCATCAAACAGCCCATTCTAAAATGCGCGTTCTGCATCCTAGAACTCATCGGGAACCCAGAACTCGCCGCCTATGTATTCACCGGCGTAGGTGTGAATACGGCCGAAGTTCACACCAAATGGAAGTGGAGTGGAAAATTACCAGTCGATCAAGCCGGTGACATTGCAGTCGTCGTCGATGAGGACGTTGACTTGGTTCAGGTCATAGTGGGCAACCCATAACGGCAGCCTTTTCAGCTCGTCCTGCTTACCCAGGAAGCCCTGGAGCTGATTCCTATAGGGATTGATTTCCTCTAGCGGTGACGCTAAGAGGGCTTCGAGATGGGCTCGCACTCGGCCATCTACGGCGTCCTAGCTGGTGTCTGCGAGACAGCCCTTGGATAGAACGCGGCCGAGGGATATACTGATGGTGATGTGACCCTCGGCGCCTTTGCCTGCAATCCTGTGCACCCACATATTGCCTTGCAAACGATTGAAAGAGTAGGCCCAGACGCCTGCGTTGAGAAGCTCGTCGTCTTCTAGTGCTGTGGCTTCGAGCATAATAGGGCCCAGCACTTTGCCTACGAGCTTGAATGTGTTTAGGTCGAGTCGTTCGGTGTGAAACTGTTACACTATCTCACGGCCATCTACCAGAGTCAAGAATAGGGTCCGGCTGAACATTCCCTGCATAGGAGGCCGGTTGACTAGCTTCACGGCGCTGCCCAGATGCTTGAGGACTAGCTTCTTTAGCCATCTGACTTGCTTGGTTGGTATGTCGAGCAACTTGAGGTCTTTATCAAAGGTGATCTCTGGCATTCGAGGATGAAATTGAAATCGGTGTTGAGTCTGTGAGTTTTGGATGGGATGTGGGAAATCGGTTCGGTTGTGGGCGACAGGGGGTTTTATAGCTGCGGTGAATGCGGCTCTTGCTGGTCTCCTCACCTTACTTCTTCCCTTTAAAGCCTTCTTATAATTCTTGGGAAACACTTCGGAGGCATCAGAGAAACTCAGGTTAGTTGAGATGAAAATAAAAATGATCATGATCATGATCATAATCATAATAAAATCAAAAAAGACAAACAAGTTCGCCAGAGGCTATGAAATAGTCCTTTACCAGTAGACCCCCAATGGGTAGGACGAGTTTCGAACCCCCTGAGCAAGGTCTATTTCGGTCAACCCAGGTCTCCTATTCAGGGTAGGAGGCCCAGGCACGACTTGCCAGCTCGAATATACACCCGGAGTTGATGATGGGGACGCCTTTTGTCCCTCATCTACTCACTTTTGCTTAGAATGGCATATGGGTTCGATTCGTTCACATGGCATCTTACTTGCGCAGGCCTCTCTAGGGCTACACCGATACCAAGCAATCTAGGGAACTGCTCTCCACTCACCCCATAGACAAAAGAGCATTTTACCACAGTCCCAGCATAGGCAGGAGTAATCGAAGAAGTAGATGAGTGGAATAAATTCAGACTTGAAATGAACGCTCAAGATCATATACCAAACCCTTTTGTACGGGCAACCCGACCTACCATGACAAGCTTCAATTCGAGCCGAGTTCGCTGAGGACTTGAGCAACATGATCTGCGACGTTATACTCATTCACCCTTCGGATTTGATCCGTCATTAGACTAGGGAACCATCCTATTACTATGATCAGTATGTTTGATACTATCCCATGATCTTGTCGGACAACACTCACCTATGATTTTCATAACAGCGTACATCGAGTACTCCTGGAGCAAGCCCATATCGCGCTTTGTGCTTTGCATTTTTTGTGCATTTTCCAATATCTCGGTGACGCGTGGCTGGCGCAAATTTATGTATTGTTTCGCTGCCGTCATGATAGCGCGCTTTTGAGCTTTTGCCACACAATCTTCATTTTCTTCGTCATCTTTTCGTTGGTGCTCTTTGTCCTGGCATTCTGCACGAAGATAGTGGGCCAAAAACAGTGCCAACGCCTCCACATCCTCCAAAGCCTGCGACGAACCCTGTCCCGAACTCGAAGGTAATGCATGGGCCGCATCCCCGACAAGAACAACACCATCGCGCTCCCACGTCCGGAGCGGCGGCGACGTCCATGTGGGATACATGTTCTGCACACGGATGGACTGAATAACCTTCTGCACAACGGGATCCTTCCAGTAAGCATGGCGCTCGCGCAGCTGGCGTGTCACATCTGCCATGTCGAGGGTTTTGCCGTTAGGGCATTCTTCAATCGCGTAGGTCGACCACCATGCGAGTAATTCTCCGGGCTCGGAGATGTGGTATGGTGAGTCGCGGTTTGCTGCTGCCACTGCGCTGTCGGCGAAAAAGTACCCGAAGAACCCGTTGCCTCCGAAGATGAAGTTCATCGACCCTTTTTCTACGAGATCGCGCACTTCGGTCGTGGGGATGAAGCCTCCGACGCCGACGAGGCCCCTGTTGAGGCGATTAGAATGGGGTGTCCTGAAGAATAAGAAGATACGAATCTTCTGGTGTCGGTTTGAACTCACTCATAATGAGGCAGATATGAATCTTCTTCGGCGTCTGCGAAAATCGCCCGTTTGGTAGTACTGCGCACTCCATCTGCGCCAATCACCAAGTCTGCCTCGACGGGGGCACTGTCGTCGACAAAATGAACGATATTCCTTTTTTCTGCGTCAGGGACGACCTCCCGCACCCGCTTGTTGATGATCTGGGCATCCGGGATTCGAGCACGCAGAGCCTTCCAGAACGCGTGGCGGCTGCTCGCCACCATATGCATCTTTTGGGTGTCAATATTCTCTTCAGATGCACTCGAGACATGGGATTTCAGAGACATAAGCAGCGAGCCATGCTTGTTCTTGAGGTTGGAGGTGGACACGACGTATCCGCCGCGCACGACACTCTTCAGTAGATCTGGATCCAGGCGCCGTAGAACATTCAGTCCGTTGGGTGCGATGCCGAGGCCGCCACCTACTAAGAGTGTTGAGGGATCAGAGTGCTCTTCCTCATCTCCATCGCGCTGTTCCGAGCTTGGGTCTATATCCTTGTAGGCTTCGTAGATGATGATCTCATGGTCCCCGGTGGCTTCCGGGAGGTGTTTCTGCAGCTCCAGGTATGCGGTGCATCCCGCGATACCAGCGCCGATAATTGCAATCTTCATTGCGACTAATGAGATAGGCCCTGCAGAAATCACGGAAGAAAGGAGAGATGAAGAGGCGAAAGTGTCTACTCAGCCAAGGCCGAGTATATACGATGGTGGGTCTCCGGTGCATGACTAACCCGATGCTGCCACCCACTCGCAATGCGTGAAAATATTCACGCCCCGATATACAAAGATGGGCGAAACAATTATTGAAAATGACCCCAAAAACTCAACCTAGTAGATCCAAGGGTTTTGACTACACGGTGAAGATGCTGACTCTGCAGGTTTTTATACAAGGCAGAAGCGAGCGCGGTTCATTCAATCAAGAATACAACTTAACGTGTCCAGGGACTCGGCATAGAAATACATACGGACATAAATGGCCAAGTCAGGCCATGGAATCTACACAGAATCAGCGGACAAACTCCCATTCAGCAAAGACCAATCCCATAAAACAAGATGGCCCAGAAAGGCCCTCAGTCAGTGTATCTCCCAAAGTTTCCTCCTTTTTTGAACTTGCTATTACCCTTTCCTACTTTTAGGGTTCCTTTTCGATTAGAATCACAGCATAGATTACCATTTCTTGGCTGTATTTGCACTACAGACCGGGCGGGGGAGGAACCTAGAAGAGAAAAAAGCTGTTAGTGATGAGACCCAATTTTATCAGATAAGCTATTGATCATACCGCGCTGTAGCCGCCTCCACCAGGCGGCGGTGGTGGAGGAGACCCAGATCCCGAAGGCGGAGGAGCCTCGCTGGGAGGGGGCGGGGGAGCAGGGCTTTGAGGCTGTTGTTGTTGCTGCTGCTGGGCGGCGGCAACTTGCTGGTAATACTGGTAGTAGGCGACGTAGTTCTGGTATCCACCGTAGGCGGCGTACGGGTCAGACCCATAGTACTGGGCATACTGTGCGCTGTAGTCAGCCTGGCTGCCTGCTCCAGCAGAGGCAGGGGCAGGGCTGGCGGAGGTCCCGGGCGATTGCTGGTGGCGACTATAGCCACCGCCGTAGCTGCCGCCCCCGTGGTAGCGATCGCCACGTTGACCGTAGCCGCCATAATTTTGCTGCGGCGGATTCTCCTTGAAGCGCTGGTGCTGTTGCCGCACATTGGCTAAAAGATCTTCGCAGAGTTCCTTGGCCGCTTTGACGTCGTTGGGGTCCGGACCACTGCATCAAACGGTTAGTTGGAAGAAAGAATGGAAGTAATGAAGGCGACTCACGCGACGTGCAAGAACATCGGATCATCGCTTTCTCGTCCCGTGCTGGTTTCGATAAAGCCGGAGCCGCGACCTTTGATCTGAACACGACAGCGGGTCTGCTGTTGAATGTGCTTCACGTAAGCTCCACCCTGTCCGACAACCTGCGCGCGAAGATTAAACCCGGGGAGGGATTCAAGATCAATTGGGATGCGTTCCTCAGGCCATTTACGCTACATGAAATTAGCGGGGGAGCTCCTTGTGTCAAAGTTCAAGGTGCGGACTCATACACGACCATATTCATCCCGTTCCACGGGCTCAGGCTCCCGGCGACGGAATCGACGCTCGTCGACTAGATTTGGGAGTTCTTTCTGCATCAAGTCGTCGATCAACTCCACAGCTTTCTCGAGCCCTTCCTTGTTGGTGCTCGTCACATGAAGATAAAGAGGGGGGTTCTAAATCGAGTGGATCAGTATCTAGGAACCAGAACCGAAAGAGACATCACTCACAGCAGCAGTCGCCATGTTCTTGTCCGGGTAATAATTTCCTCGGGTGGTGACATCTTAAAAAGAGTAAGTCATGAGCTTCTTCGTCAATAGCAGAGGACACGAAAAGAAGGCGTACCAGCGCCAGTTTCATCTTTGATCTAGAAGTCACGCAGCCGAGGTCAGCAGATGCAACAGAGGGGAAGGCTATGGATTTAGTTTCGCTTTGGGTAAGCTTCGTCCAGTCACACAAAAGGAAATGTCAAAAAAGAAGAAGGATGTAACAAGGGTGATTCCAAGCAAGATGGACCTTGTCTGATCCTTCTGGAGTATCAGCAAATGACAGGAGTAATTACCATCTTTTGAGTTGACCCCTTGGTCAAGGTATAGCGGTTGCGCAAGTCATTGATCTCGATATCGCGAATGTAATCACCATCATCGACATAAATCTCGGGGTTCAGCTTGCCTGACGCATCTGCGTTCGACGGCGACTCGGTGTTCATGGCAGGGCTCGCGGCCTATTCAGAGCACGTTAGCCGAATTGGACAAAACCAGGGGGCCAATGTGTATTTACCGAGCGAATTGGAGGGACGTCGACATGCTGAATGCCTTTCTTTGCTTGCAACTGAGCATTGATCTTGGCCGCAGCGGCAGCTGTTCCTCGATGGTTAGGTTGACCACTTGTTCCTCGACACAAAAAAGCCACAAAAGTGACACATACCCGCAGCGGCAGCAGGGTCAGACGCGATTGGTTTTCCTCCAGAATCAGCGCCAGGGCTGCGCGGCTCGCGACTGAGTGGGCTGCGTGTCCGAGTTGACTCCGACTGTTTGGCCGATGGAGACCGAGACCGGCGGTCAAATCGAGAGCGACGGGGTTCGGGTTCTGTTTGGTCAAAGCGCGAGCGCTTGGGTCGGCGATCGTCGTCCGCCATGGTGAAGGGCACAGGAAGAGGAGGTGGTGTAGAGCAACAAGAAGGCACCTTGGGGAAGGGCGAGGTCAATTGCGGGAAGGAGATTTAGTCGATCACAAGCGGAGACTTTTTTTTAGCGGAGCACAGGAAGGGGCCAAACGGGCTTTGCGATCCTGAATGGCACAACAAGGCATAAAATGAGAGCAGAACCCTTGTGTCTAATCCCAATGCAGTGAAGTGAATGTAAAACAAAACTGCGAGTTAAATCTCCTTCTCTCAAGTCGCGCAGCCCATTTTCAAGTCGCATTGGCGGTCACGTGGTTGTTGAGGTGCCAGCCTGCATTGGGTTTAGTCTGTTCTGAGTCAGCACTCGCCGAGGTCGGAAAGATAAAAAGAGAAAGTTGGAGCCCCAGTGATTCATCGCATTCCCACCTTCCTCATGGCTTTCCGGCGACCATTGACGCTGGCTGCCTCGTCAGCGTCGCTGCTGTCTACAGCGGCTGCTCGGTCGCGGGCCGTTACTTCGATGCCTCGATTCAGCACCCGTTCATCGTCCAGTTCGACTTCCGCTCTGGCTTACAAGGCATTGCACCGCCGCTCTCCGCTGCCACTGCCTGTCTCGGACGCCTCTCCACAATGGGACGCCCCGACGGCTGTCTCGTCGATTCTGTATGAGACACCGGTGCCCCCGAGCAACCCACCGAAGCGGCACGTCCTGAACTGCCTGGTCCAGAACGAGCCCGGTGTGCTGTCACGGGTCTCTGGAATTCTGGCTGCCCGTGGCTTCAACATTGACAGTCTGGTGGTGTGCAACACCGAGGTGGAGGACCTCTCGCGCATGACCATTGTGCTGCAGGGTCAGGACGGTGTCGTTGAGCAGGCTCGCCGCCAGCTGGACGACCTCGTCCCCGTCTGGGCTGTGCTGGACTACACCGACTCGGCTCTGGTGCAGCGGGAGCTCCTCCTGGCCAAGGTCTCTATCCTCGGCCCGGAGTTCTTCGAGGAGCTGCTCCAGCACCACCGCGAGATCATCACCCCGGCCGAAGCTCTCGGCCAAAAGAACAAGGCTTCTGAGGCCCATGCTGCCCAGCACAAGACTGAATATCACCCCCGTCACCTGCCCCAGAGCCAGGCTCTGCGCCACAAGCACGAGCACTTGGATGCGATCACCCGTCTTGCCCACCAGTTCGGCGGCAAGGTTCTGGATATCAGCACCAACAACTGCATTGTGGAGGTGTAAGTTTTTGATTTATCAACCAAAACTGAGGGTTCCTACTAACGTCTCCTTAAAGCTCCGCCAAACCCTCCCGTATCGACTCCTTCCTGAAGCTGATCAGTCCCTTCGGTATCCTCGAGTCCACCCGGACCGGCTTGATGGCTCTGCCCCGTTCTCCTCTGTCCGAGCCCAGCGAGGAGATAGAGAAGGACGCCGCCGACGTTGTCGACGCCAGTACTCTGCCCCCTGGCTAAACTCTACTAGGGAAGCCTAATCCAAAAATCGTACACACCCAATACGAGTAAATTGGTTTATTTGTTTCAGTTTTCAGTTTTCAGTTTTCAGTTTTTTTTTTCTTCTAAATTCCTCCGGAGTTGAATTTAACGAGTGTTTTCATCTTGGTGTTTATTAAATCTATGTAAAAGTTCTCAATTTGGCTGGATATACGGTCTCGGGTGGATTGGTTGCCTTTATTTTGTGTGAGCTGTAGGCCGATATGGGTCTACGAAAAGTAAGTAGCGGTGAGCTCTATATCAACGATCTTCCATTGCGATGATGACCCTGGAAAAGAAAAGAAAAACAAGCCAATGGAATGCTGAATACACCCCATCTTCCTCGATTATACTCCAAACCAAACCCCATAAACGCCCATGGGTTTGAATATTCTATGCCGATCCAGCGGCAACAGAAAGTAGCCAATGCCAACGCCCCCAGAAGACCCTTCAACTCTGGACTTCTTCCCTCGAGGATGACCGCAGAAAAAGACAAAGGCAAAATCTAAATCCGCACTTTGGCCGCAATGCCCTTTCCTCGGTAAAGCACCACATCCACATAATTAAGAATCCTTACCCCAACCCTAGCCACCGCATCCAGTTCCAAGGATTGTCCCAGTGCCTTGCGTAAAGCCTCACGCCCGACCCCTCCAAGAGCTAGATCGACTGGTAGGCGTGGAGTTTGCGAGAGACCCGGTGGCACTTCAAAGGGCAGTCTGTAGTGGATCCGGCCCACGGGCTCGTCCTTTTCGTGGAAGGCGGCTGCGTCTATGGTGGTGATGAAGATGCTGGTTTTTGGGAGGGGAGAAGAGAGGATGAAATCTGCCGTGGAGGACCAGAGATAGAGCTAGAAAAAAAAACAAGACTTAGCAAGAGGATTATTGTTGGGGTAGACGTGGCTCCTGAGCAATGAGGTAGAACCAAACAGCTCTGGGACAGATAGTACCGTTGCATCTTGGATGAAATGAGAGCGCTGGCCATCTTTTTTGTCATCTTTCGGGGAACCAGGAAGTGATAATCGAGGAACTGGGATTTCAAGAGAAATTCGAGACAATGCTTCGCCTAATTCAGGGAGGGCTGGGATGGTTTCCCGGTGGCTTCGAATCGTCACCGTTGTGTTGGATCCTGAAATAGAGCATGAGAATGGATCCTCTGTTTATAATGACATATTGTATGTCGACTGACCTGACACATATGCCGAGAGCAGTGCTCTTCCAGCTTCCACGCCATGAGATCCACCGGTGTTGAGTGGACTCCATAGAAAGTCAACAGACACGTCGGTATTGTTCCCGGGCACCACAGATATATTTCGAGCGACGACATGAGCGACGGCTGTGTCGTTGTGGAGCACAAGAAGATCAACAAAAGGCACCGTCGCCGCATACGAAGTTGGATTGGTAAAATTCAGTCGAGCAAGCACAACTATTGAGGATTCAGTAGTATTGCCTAGTGCCAAAGACACAAGCCGGGGATGCAGTTGGTCAAATGTGCCGGACGGAGCTAAGACCAAGAGTCAATCAAAGAGCAGAACACTGGATTTATAACTAACAACCTAATATCACGAAAACATACTCTTGACACGGACCTGCCCTTCGGCTGGGATGCTGTGCACAGCGAAGCGACCCAAGCCTGTTAAGACCTTCGTGTCTACGGTGGCAGCGATCCGCAGCTCCACTCCTTCGCTACCAAACACCATCGCTTGAATGACTTCCGTCAACAAGTCATTGTCCGTGACCTGCAGCGGTGCATCTTTCATGGCAAACTCCACTAGAAGTGCCGACGAGCCATCATGGTCCTCCACGTGGGTCGAGTTGGCGTTTTGCCATTTGTCGAGTTTCAAGACTCCAAGGCGCTTTTCCTTATAAAAGACATCCGCAGTGGCTCGAACACGCGGGACATCGACACTGAAGTTCATCTGCTTGGGCAATCTGATCAAGACTTTGACCAAAGCGGACACTCTGGGTTGCGCTTCCGGAGTATCTGGCTCCGCAAATGGATCCGGGAGAGAGAAATGCGTGTCGGACATGGTAAAGTTTTTCACGAGATTGTCCAGGGCATGTCCCGTGACTGGAAGTGGTACCGTGACTCTGCGCAGAAGATCCACTATCCACGCCGGAGTGTTGAATAACGGTGCGTCCGCTCCGCGGACGTAGATCGTCGTCTCGCGGCCCTGGATGTAGCTTGATACCAGGAAGTCCAAAGGAGAGCCTTCTTCTCCAGGACAAGTACTGGTCAATTCTTCAGGTAGTTTTCGAATAATACCGCCAACGCTGACATTGCTCGCTTGGCCAGGTTGGATCTGAACCTCGGCTGTCTTCGCATTGGCAACCAAAATGTAGGGGTCGCCAGGCGAGCAATTTGGTACGAGGATCTCAAACCCAAGACCCGGAGCTTTAAGAGAAACAGGGGAGTCAATCCACGCCGCCAGCGACACATCGACCGCCATTCCTTCTTTCTCCGTGTCATGCACATTCAACCTGGTGACACTAATGTCAGGTAGAGCTGGAAAATCGCTTTCTGTCAGGGGTGTTAGTGCCGGATTCAAGACATTTTACCATCTGATGGTATAGACAAACCTTCGAATATTATGGTGTCTGTTAGTATTTGAGTTCCCAGGCCGATCAAGCCCGACGTGGGATGCATGATTGCCTTGCCCTTGACACTGAGGCGGCCCAGCCTCCCCTCTATCCAATCCATAGCAATCGCTTTAATTCCATGAATATCACCCGCTGTGATGTCTGTCAATAAGTCGATGTGATTATGGTGGCCATTGCGAATATCCATTTTCAGAGACGGTAGCGTCGCGTTGCCAACCGCAACATTGCCGTACTCTGGCAGGTATACCTCAACTTCCGACGGACCTGTTTCAATATCCTTGGCAAGCCAAGTGACAAACCGGCCGATATCACGAACTGGTTTGCTGTTCACGCGGCCCGAGTCAATGACGAAGTCTCCCTGGACCCTGGCGCGAACACCTTTGGGGGTTGTCGAGTCAATCGAGAGTGCCGCTGGCTTGAAAACGGCGGCTTGCTGTGTATAATCTTTCACCACGGCAGGGGTAGCAAAAGCGATGGCCAAAATCACCATGATGGCTGTCAGGAGGAGAGCGAGTGCAACCAACGTCGGCCATCGGACTCGGCTGGTCTTAGTGGAGCCTCGATCCGGCGAGGCATTTTCCGATGCAGTAGATGGTGATCGAGATCCCCTTGTTTGTGTACCATAGTTTGCCAGGTCATCATCACGACGATGAAGAAGAGGAGTAGATTCGGACGATAATTCGAAGGGTGGCGTAGGGCGACTATGACGAGATCCTCGAGATGGGTCAGGAGAAGACGATCTGGACTCCCCACCCAGCAGGGGCCGATTCGCCTCGTCAGCCATCACGACTAGTTTATGAGAAAAAGCAGATGACCACGCAGTATACTGATGGCGCAGAGGTGACCCAGCAATGACAGGAGGAAGAGATGGCCTTGATGACGATAAGCCGCTGATAACGGACGATGGACTGTGGAGATTGACACCTGAAGTGTTGGGGAGTAAGGCACCAAGGCATCCACATACCCGCTGGATTTTCTTGACTCATCCAGGTCTCTTTTCACTCTTCAATTCCCTTGCCCCCCACTTCACCTCCCCCTCACCCAATTCCTTTCACATCCCTGCCAGCCCATCATGGCTAGTGGTTTACAAGCTGCCGCCCGTCATGGCGCCCAAAGTGTAACTCAATTGGCCGGCTCCACTTCTTCCCTGCGTCGAACAATCCAGGCTAATGGTCTCCGACGATTTGCCCACCAGACACAAACCTCCCCTCCTACTTCACCCTTCGCCCCCCGTCACCTTCTTTCCATTGCGGACTTGACCCCGGCCGAGTTCGCCACCCTGGTCCGCAATGCCGCGTCGCACAAGCGCGCGATCAAGTCCGGGGCCATCCCGCAAAGCCTGCTGGGATCGTTGTCCGGCAAGACCGTGGCCATGATGTTCAACAAGCGCAGCACGCGCACCCGCGTGTCGACCGAGGCCGCCGCCGTGCAAATGGGCGGCCACCCGATGTTCCTGGGCAAGGAGGATATCCAGCTCGGCGTCAATGAGTCACTATACGACACCTCGGTGGTGATTTCGTCCATGGTGTCGTGCCTTGTCGCACGAGTTTCGAAGCACTCGGACGTAGCGGACCTGGCTAAGCACTCTTCGGTTCCGGTGATCAATGCGCTGTGTGACTCTTTCCACCCGCTGCAGATTATTGCCGACTTCTTGACCATTTACGAGGCCTTCCCGCCCAAGGCGCACCACCTTTCAAGCCTGGGACTGGAGGGACTCAAGATCGCCTGGGTGGGTGACGCAAATAACGTCCTGTTCGACCTGGCCATTGGCGCCACGAAGATGGGTGTGGATATGGTCGTGGCGACGCCCGCGGGCTACGAGATTCCGGCGGACATGCTCGAGATTATCCAGCGTGCCGGCGAAGGTGTTTCGAGGCCGGGCAAGCTCACTCAGACCAATGTCCCCGAGGAGGCTGTTAAGGGCGCCGACCTCCTGGTGACGGACACGTGGGTGTCAATGGGCCAAGAGGAGGAGAAGATCAAGCGGATGCAAGCCTTCAAGGGCTTCCAAATCACCCCAGAACTGGCCCAGCGCGGAGGTGCCAACGGGGGCTGGAAATTCATGCATTGTCTGCCCCGACATCCGGAGGAGGTGAGCGACGAGGTCTTTTACAGCCCGCGCTCGCTGGTCTTCCCCGAGGCCGAGAACCGGTTGTGGGCTGCTATCGCGGCCTTGGAGGGCTTTGTCGTTAACAAGGGGAAAATCGTGGAGTAAAAAAGAACTACAAGGAGTCTCGGGGATATATCCAATCCATTGTGTATATGATTTCAGAAACAGAAAATAATTCAAAAAGCCCAATTTCCACTCTGTCCAAAGATGAGGTGCCGTATACTACACTACTATTACACTTATGCTAGCCAATGACGACTGTGATGATTCTCCCGGCAGACTCGGCATGCCAGGGCCTTGATAAGATACGCCACCCGACGCTCGGTGGGGCCTTCGGATGCTGAAATGGCGGGGTCTTCCGATTGCAATGCGTCTATGGGGATGAGAGGGCTATGGAAAATGGTATATAATTATGCAGTATATACATGGCTGATCTTGTTAACCGTTCTCTGCTATCTTAACTTGTTTCGCAAAAAATAGAACCCTCTTTAGGGACCGGGAACTCCGACTGACAGCTATATTCAAGGAGAGTCAAGTAGAATAGCTTGCTAACAGTCTATTAAGCCAATGAGTAGAATAAGATAGTAGTGAGGAGGCGTGTTGCAGGCTGATAAACAGCGGGGAGGCGAGAGGGGATAAAGAAGACACCCCCGGTTCTCTGTGTCTTTCTTACTTATTGCACCTCAAAACACCATGGCCTCAAGCGATTCCCAAACATCTACTCTTCAAACAAGACTCAATGCCTTAATCGATGGATTTATCAATGCAAAGCCGCTCTCCAAAGCCGCAGCCAAACAAGCCCAAGAGGTCCTCCCAGCCAGCAACACACGGTCAGTCCTCAACTCAGCCCCGTTTCCTCTGGATTTGAAATCCGGAGAGGTGTACTCGGTTACATCGGTGGATAGGCGCAAGTATATCGATTTTGTATCCGACTACTTGGCTGGGATCAAAGGGCACTCGTATCCGAGCATCAGCCAAGCTGTTTCGGACTCATTACCGACGGGGCTTAGCCTTGGTCGAGTCACCACGAAGGAAGCACGGCTGGGCGAGATCCTCTGCAACAGGCTTCCGAGTATTGAACGAGTGCGGTTCTGTAACTCGGGAACCGAGGCCATTACCTTTGCGGTGGCCACAGCTTTGGCCTTTCCCAAGCGGGAAAAGGTGCCTTATACAATAGCATTATCAGGGACAATGATCGTTCTCTTTTGATTAACATCTCGACCACAGGCACTTGTCTTTGAGAATGGATATCATGGTGGCACAATCAGCTTTTCAATCGCAGGACAAGCAAACCCCCTTAACCTGCCATACGAGTTCATACTTGGCAAATACAACGATGACCAAGCTACAGCGCCATTGATCGACGACAGTATCGGAGCCATATTGGTCGAGCCAATGCAGGCCGTTGGCGGCATGAGGCCAGCATCTCAAGAGTTCCTCCAATTTCTACGCCAAATGGCCGGTCGCAGCGGTGCGGTGCTCATCTTCGACGAGGTGGTGACCTCTCGTTTCCATTTCCATGGTTTGCAAGGTGCCTGGAATGTGATTCCCGACATGACCACTTTGGGCAAATATCTCGGCGGTGGCATTCCCTTTGGTGACTTTGGTGGCTCGCGCCATATAATGGACTTGCTTGATCCCTCGGCAAGTGGGAGTCAGAGTCTCAGTCACTCGGGGACATTCAACAATAACATCTTTACTATGACGGCAGCGGTAGCGGCGGCGCCGTTGGTGACGGAGGAATCGCTGGGTCCAATAAATGCATTGGGAGACCAACTTCGCATGAGTGGAAATGAGATAGTGCAGAAAGCGGGATTTGGTCAGATGGAGTTGACTGGTTATGGTAGTACAGTTGAGTGCATTTCTATAGGAATGAGGGATCGATGCTACGAGATGCATTTTACTTCTATCTCCTGAGCCGGGGTATTATGACCGGACGCCGGGGGTTTATCTCGTTGAACCTCTAACACACCGATGCGTTGATCAACCAACTTCTTCAGCAGATCCAAGGGTTTGTGCACGAGTACAGTCGAATTCTATAGCAATCGATAGAGCAGAACGAGCAAGACCTCTGTTGCGATGCGAAGATTCTATGATATAGTAGCAGGCAATATCCGATGCGTCACTAGTGAAGGAACGACAACAAAAAAAAACAATTCAAATTACAGTGGGGAAGACGATTTGCATCCGAAAGCCATGCAGATCCCGCGATCGAGTTTCCGGGAGCAGATCCACTTGAGACAGTCGGGATATCCGCAGAACTCGGAAGACTCCCCACACTTTCTCTCTCCACACTCCGACTGTCTGACGATCGATCGGATCCGTCATTCTTGCAGCGGGGAGAACCCGGTAAGCCTCTGCATACTTATAGTGCGCTGGACAGACTATCTTTCTCTCTTGACATTCTCTACAATTCTGCCTTGCGGTACATACTGGCCGACAAACAGCATAGATTACACCCGACAGAACCGGAATCTCTCCTCTGGCAGCATGGGCTTCGACGACAAACGAGTCGCCATTGTTGGCGGCGGCCTGGGCGGCATGTCTTTCTTGAATGCTGCCCTCTACGCCGGACTAAAGAAGGTGCAACTGTACGAGCAGGCGCCGCAGTTCGCCGAGGTCGGCGCCGGGGTGAACATCACCTCGAACGCCAATCGAGTGCTAGATGCCTTTGGGCTGAAAGAAAGCATGACACGTCGGTCTTCACGCAAGCTGCCCTGCTACATGGAGTACCACAGCTACCGCACGGGAGAATATCTGGGGCATATCGACGAGTTCTCACAGCCATCCGCACGGCTCTTGCACCGCGCCCATCTCCTGGAATCGCTCAAGGAGCGCGTGCCGCAATCGAGCCTGAACCTGGGGAAGCGATTAGCATCGATTGACCGGAACAACGGCACCGACACAGCACCCTACACATTGCACTTTGAGGATGGCAGCTCTGCCGAGGCCGATATCGTGATCGGCTGCGACGGGATCAAGTCGAATGTCCGCGACAGTATGGATTTATCCGATACACCCAATTACTCGGGCCAGGTGGTGTACCGTGGGTTTGTTGATTATAAAAACCTGCCGCCGGATACGGCGCAGTTGCTGCGCAGGACGGTTAATTTCCGAGGCCCCAAGCGCCATGTCTTGATCTTGCCCATTGGCAACAAGGAGACGGACACCGACCGTGCAGCAATTATTGGATTTATGTCGGAGCCGCTGGAGGCCTGGGACTCGGAGAGTTGGATGTCGCGCTCGGATATCTACAGCCTGCAGGAACATGTCCGCGACTGGTGCCCGCAGGTCCAGGATATCATCGCCGGGCTGCGCAAGAGCTCGCCGGATGGCCGCATGCTCAAGCAGGCGCTGTATGTGCGTGACCCGCTCGACAAGTGGTATGAGATGAAAGAGGGCCAGAAAGGTGCAGGGATTATTCTTCTGGGTGACTCGGCGCATTCGACGCTTCCACACCAAGGTAAGTGTTTTGAGATTATGTTTTCTCATGTGCTAGCCACGCCTACTGACTCGTATCTTCCAGGCCAAGGAACATGCATGGCTATTGAATCTGGTATCGCTCTTGCAACCATCCTCAAGCACTGGAAGTCCGACGACTTGGAGGCCGCTTTCCGCTTCTATCAAGACCTGCGCAAGCCCCGAACCGACCGGGTCACACAGACGAGTTCTGAAGCGGGCAGGCTGGCCAGCTCAGATACACCGGATCAACTGACGAATAACTTCAATCCCCAGGCGCTGATGGAGCGGATGAAGTGGATTATGGAGTATAATGTGCTGGATGATCTACGGGCCAAAGGTGCGGAGTTCTTGGATTTCCAGGGTTCGCGATTGTGATAATGGATGTTTGTCAAACGACTGTATATATTTGTATATGATTTCCAAATTTACAAAGAGAATTCGAGTCAAAAATGGTGGCAGACGAGTCTCGGGCTGAGCCGGATGTTGTTGGGAGTTGTATAAGTACATTCATCAGACCAATAGACGCGAGCCCAATCTTTAGGGGTAAAATGTTGATATGTTCTTGCCTAATGAGGTCCTTTTGCTGCAGTTGTATCATCCAAAGCAGGTCGATCAAGCTGCCTCCATTTTCGAAGCTCCATCTCATTCAGAAGCCGTCGAATTGATATCGTTTTGACTGTATAATCGACATCAGCGAGCAGGTCTTGGTGGCGTACGTGAGGGTCAGTAGTAGCTCTCTTATATATTCGATCGCGATCATCTTCATCAAGTTTGCGAGGTGCTCCGGAGCGATATTTTGAATGATTATTGACCCTTTCGCTCTCTTTATTGATCGTATATCTGATAGTCGATAATGGGATTGAAGGGTAGGCCTTATGAATCTGCCTATAGCTCCATTTGGCAGTTGAATAAAGCTCGCAAATACGAGCGCGAAGGATTGGGTCGAGTTCTTTACCGCGAGGCATTGGTAAGGCGAGTATGCAGCGAACTGGCAAAGCAGTATATCTTATATTAATATTATATCTATTCTATATCAGTATGATGTTCAGGGGTTAAACGCGTCGATATAGCGCGTATATACTAGCGTGTCGACTCGCGTGAGGTAGGCAGCTATATTAATAGGCAAGCGGTCAAGAAAATGCGGTGAAAAATATTAGGTAGGTCGACTGTGGGGGTGGGCAAATACTTTTGATCAGCCACTGTAGATATATAAGACCTTAGGGTTCCCCTTAACAAAATGGGTTATTCTTCTTATTATCTTCCCTCCTCCTACTTCCAGTCTCTTTATTTAAACCACCTGTACAATGCGTGGCCTTACACTTTTTCTTGCACTTGTTGCACTTGCTCCTTCCTTTACAGTGGCTAATTGGACACTTACTTGGTATAGCGATCATGATTGTACCAAGCCCCTTGGCCATATTGAACATGGGGATGATGATCAATTGGACGGATCTTTTGACTCTAATGTCCATTCCCTTATCCCCACCTTTGGCTCGAGGAGGACATTCATTTTTGGATTCTCTAATGAGCTAGAACCCCAAGAGAGTTCTGGAAAATGCTTATCTTTTCCAAATGGCATGGAACACTGGGCATATCGAGTTACTTTTGGTGGATACTAGCGGTAGGCCTATTTCTCAGCCTTTTTACTTTCTACAGATTTCTTATTTAACCTATTAGGCCTGTCTTCTAGTATACTATTCTAGATGTAAAGAATTTCCGGGTTTCCCTATACCATAAGAACCTAAGGAGAACTACTGCTATTTGTCTATTTGTCTATTTGTCTATTTATTTATTTAGTAGTCTCTGTTTTTGATTAAGACTCTGTCTTCTGATAAACAAGTCTTGCTTAACAATTGCTCTCTCTTTAACGTTATTTCTGTACCTAATCAACAGCCTAAAATTCCTAAGAGGTAGCTCTCTTTAACTCGAGAGCTTCTTAGAGAAAGAAAGGAAAATCGACTCCTAGAGAGGTAGAATGATCGTACTCCGGCTGTTAAAAGCTAAGGCTCTAAGAGACTAATCGTCTCGGTTTTTAAGAGTATACCTAAGCGGGTAGATTAATATGGGGAATAAAAAATGGGGAATAAAAAATGGGGAATAAAAAATGGGGAATAAAAAATGGGGAATAAAAAATGGGGAATAAAAAATAGGTGGGAAATAGTGAGGGGGGGAGGGGAGAGTCTTACAGGGAGGGATATCAACTCGATATCTATTTATATCACCCACCGGGAACCCAGAGCCGAGTCGACAACTTAGCGACAGACGTACATCTTTAATTGCGTTCGGCTGATTGAAGCTATCAACAGGTTCATTGGGCTACAACTGTTGTAGACATAAGGCAAAAACGAATGTACTCTCCTTTGAATTTTGCTCTTTTCACAATAAGTAGACTGCTGTTCGCTTCCAACCTCGACTGACAAGTCCATCCTTCTATCACTCAGAGCCGTTACGTATTTCCAAAGTCCCTGGGTTGTGTGCTACTATTCTGCCATCTTTGTTATTGAATAGTATCTGCATGCGAGCGTCGTCAGTATGACTTTGAAAATACTGAGTTCAATACTTGGTAGCCTTACCTTTGGAGGATGCTTTACGGATTTTTCGGCAGCTAGATCTTCATCTACAATGATCTCTTCGACCTTGATTAAAAAGAAATGATAAGCGTAAAATAACGTATATGACTGTCTGCAACTCGGAGACCGACGGGATCATGGGGGTTAACAAACCTTGCCCTCGTGCGATCCTCCACGTATTCTGGTAAACACGTAATCCCCTTTATGAATAGGGTTGCCATGTTTGTCGCGTATATCATCAGCTTGCATCTCCTAAAGACAAAGACTCGTTGTTTTCCACTGAGGAGGCTAATATAAGAAGACAAAACCCGTAGTTGTATTTCAATGGCATTAAGTCGGGCTAATACATCAGACTGACGTATTCACTAGGGTATGGACCTCCTAGCAAGCCACGTATTTTTGAATGCTAAAAATTCCAGTTTACATGGAATCCACGTAATACAGATTGGTTTCTGAGATGCGTCTTGATCCAAGGCCTTAAACGCCCGGGAGCAGAGCGTTGTATCTTAGGTCTCGAGAAGTTGGAAATTCATCCACAACATTTGTTTCTGCTAAAGGGCCGTGACCCAACTTGATTTCATATGATATGCACATACGAGAATAGTTCTTTGTTGGACTTGAGCATATTCTGTTCCGCTTTTGTATTAGGGATAACATTTAAACCCTATGTTCAACTTGCACGCCTGATCACGGATTCGGGAGCCAGCACAGTGTTGAACTCATCGGCGCCTAGCCACCTGTAAAGCCAGTTCACTGGAGTATCCCCGCCGTGAAATTTCTTCCAAGAGCACTTTATCTTGATCTTCGTCAAATATAAATCACAAAATCCCGAATAGCACTATCGCCGCCATGAATGCGACACCGGCATTACCTCGGCACCAATTGGCTGCAACATAGTAGCCAAGTTATTCTATCAAGGCGTGTGACGCGATAAATGACGCAATCAATATGTCTTGTAAGGTGGTGAATGGCTCAGGTTCGAGCCTCATGCGCGAGGATACAAATAGCTCGCGGAAACCCTACAAATTACTCATGGAAGTCTGATCATATACATCTATTAGACGCCTTCATCCCTTATGAATACCTTCAGAGTAAGCGGAAACATACTACCATTATGTTATCCTAGACTTATAACTTGACTCTAGAACACTGCGAGTTGCGTCTCCGACTTTGATAAGGGTATCGCCAACGAGGGTGCAAATGGCATCACTAAGAATGCTGCGAAGGGCTCCAACGTGAGGCATGACCGCTTAGGAAGCACCGCAAAGCAAGCCGCTACCATTGAGAAAGATGAGAGCGTGGACGTTTTAATCATCGGGGCAGGACCTGCAGGGCTCATGGCAGCATGTTGGGCAGCTCAGTACGATATGTCGACACGTATCATTGATCGAAAAAGGGGTCCAACGAAGACAGGCCATGCCGATGGGCTACAAAGCCGAACCTTAGAAATACTAGAGAGCTTCGGCATTGTCGATTCCATCTTAAAGCAGGGTGTTCACGATGCCGACACATGCCACTGGGTAAATAATAGGCACAATCCAGACTTGGGTTCGTAACTGACTTGCTAGGCAACCAAAAACAACGAAGGGTTTATCGAGCGACAGAAAATATGTGGCTCAGACCCTGGGGGAGCTTCAAGATTTGGGCGAATGTTGCTAAACCAAGGCGCTATCGAGCGAGTGCTCAATGATTAACCTGATCAGCAAAGGGATCGTGCTTGTGGAATGGAATAAAGAGGCTGAATCCTTACTTATCTCGGCAGCTCCGGATGACAATACGCAGTTATCACCAATTACTGTTGGAGTGAAAGGTGCCGAAGAATATGGTATGAAGTCTCTCCTTGGTCATTAATTGTGAGTGTTCTGGTGGGCTAACAATGAATTTCAATCTAACAGAAAGAATACACGCACGGTACCTCGTTGCTTGTGATGGCGCGCATAGCTGGACCAGAGACAAACTGAACATCCTGGCCGACACAATATCGGAAGACTCAACCTGGGGTGTGTTGGACATAATCCCAATCACTGACTTTCGTATGCTATACCTTCCCGTTCAGGCGACTGAAACTGACCGGAATTTAGCTGATATCCGGCGATCCTGCTCGATCAACTCTCAGCCTCACGGAAGCATCATGACAGTACCGAGAGAAAATCGACTCGTTCGGTTTTATATCCATCTCCGCGAGCTTGAAGAAACTGCCATGCAGCATCCCGGCTGCTCTCCCCAGGCTATGGTCGAAATTGCCAAGGCGATCATGAAACCGTATGACTTGACATATAAACATTGTGACTGGTGGTCTACTTACCCAGTAAGACAGCGCATGATATTACAAGAACTCTATGCTAATTATGATATCAAAGATCAGCCGACGCCTGGTCAGACATTACAGACCTCAAGAGTGGTAAGGAGCAATCTTAATTCCATGCACACCGACGGCTTATATATATATATATGGTTTAGCGTGTTTCTCGCCGGAGATGCGGCCCACACACATTCGCCGAAGGGAGGCCAGGGTATGAACGTATCGATCCAAGACACCTACAACCTGATATGGAAATTGGCTGCGGTCGTTACCAATGGTGCTGACGCCATGATCTTGGCAACGTACGATAGTGAACGGCGTCCGGTTGCTAAGACACTGATGGATCTAGACTCCCGTCTTGTACAAGCGTACGAGATGGAGGAGAAAGATACCTCGAGTGGAATCTACGAGATTCGAAACCGGTATGCTGGGTTCATGGCTGGTGTCGATGTCACCTATTCCGATAGCATTTTGGTGACTGGAAAGGAGACTGTCGACCCAAACCTTGCGCGCAATATCAAGCTTGGCGCACGGTTACCGTCATTTCTTGTTGTTTTTCACTGTGATGGAGCCCCTGTACAACTGGCTCAGAGGCTTGTGAGTGATGGGGCGTGGAGACTACTGGTTTTTCCGGGTGATCTACGTCAACCAGAGACGATGCACGGTTTGACTCGTTTCGCGGAAACCTTCCGCAATCGCTCTCATCTCGGTCACTTACAGAAGATTCAGTCTCGGGGGTGGCGCTGCCCGACTATTGAATCTGCTGGATCTTCCGGAGCCTTTCCACCCGTATGATGACTTCCTGGGATGGGACTACTGGAAGGTGTTTGCCGATGATCGGGATCAAGCATACACAGGATACGGTATTGACAAGCAAGACCCAGGGTGTCTAGTACTCTGTCGACCGGATCAGCATGTGGCATGGGTAGGAAGCATGGAGGATGTGGCTGGTTTGGATAATTATTTCTCGATCTTCGTTGGGTCATCGCGGTAAAAGAAGTAGCATGAAAATGAGACTTTCCTGTGGACATCATTACCTCGTAAGACCAGAACTTGATGCCGAATTTGCTCCCTGCTGGATAGACATTAGGACGCGCCTTGAAAGCTTCAACGGATTCCGCACGGACGGTTGTCCATATAATTAGCTGGCCCGGACCAGACAAGCACGCTGTGCCTTGTTAGCAACGAACTATTTTTTACATATCCGATGATGACGTTTACTGGGGATGGGCAGCTCAGTATATTGTTCGCTCCAAGAAGGTTTTGGCTCATTAACTCAAGCTGCGTGTTTGATTGTCGCAATTCGCGTATATAAAGATCATGTTTTTGAGATACCACAACTCTTCCTTGAGCATATTGACCTCGGCCAAGAGCATTTGCCGCCTGGCCGTTTTGTCGTTCAGGATGCTTTGTATTTTTGCATTCTTCTTCTTTTCCGTTCGAGGTGACTAGCTCTGTCTGGGCTGACACCGTCGCTTGGACGATGGGCGAGGCTTTCAGAGGGGCTACAAGGGGAATATGTCGTTATGGCCTTGGTCAACCTCCATGCTAGTTCTTGTTCTTTGCTCGCGCAATATCTTCATGAAGGCATCTTTATCACTCTGGGATCAATTGACTGGACTGAGCCAGAGTGGATTCGGATCGGGAAGAACGGGCGTACGAACGGGCGTCTGGGTTCAGGAAGTTGGCATTCGAGTTGCCAATCAGCAGCGCCATTGGGATTCGAAGTTGGTGGTTTATACAACTTGATTGGTCAAAGTATATTTATTTACCGGTTCTGCGATATTACAGAAGAAATTACTGGGGGAGCAGCTCACGACAGGAGCCAGAAAGAATAAGTTATCTATACTGTACGAACGCAGAGCAAGGTTAACAAGCAAAGGTGAAATAACCGGATTGCGAAACCGATTGGGGATGATATAAACATTTCGATATCGGAATCGCTGCTCTCAGATGGCAGCTTTTGAACTATGGATATGATTAGCAGAGACTCCTGCACTTTTCTCAGCGGGCGATCGCTCGCTCCAATCAAACTATCCATATGTATGTACCGTGGGATCGACTTGGGGATCTTTGAATCCAACAATGGAAAGCGAATGACGTCCAAGCAGGAAGAACAAATATGGCAGCCTCCATAGATCGACCCCAAACGCCAAAGCAACCCATTAGGTCCAAATCAAAAGCCATGGGACTCGGTTATAGTGGGTGCATGCCCAAATCCAATGTATCCCCAAACTTACGTTTACAATAGAATCCATCGTCAAGCTGGACCAGCGACCCAGCCCAGGTGAGTGCCAATACCACCTGGTATGGTCGTGCGGGTTGTGGCGTCATGCTGAGAGGAATGTTTGGTTCGAGAGACTCTCGACCGATCGTGTGCAGCACTCACACCTTTCTATTCGAATCTCAAGCCCAATACTACCTCTGGGGGACGCTTAGCCATGTCGTCCACATAACCGAACCCACGACAGTACCGGGGATCATGGATGCGATTCGGAAAAGGGGAACGCAAGACCTCAACACGCAAATCGTCGAGCTAATCAAGAATAGAGGCAACGACGGGCTCCTTTCTTATAATAAGATGATAGTCACACAATAGCTGACCTCTTTGCCCCGCTGAACCGTGGCCTTACATCATGATGAGTTTGTAATCTCCAGGATCTTGCCAAAGCCTGGTTCGATCGATTCGAGCGTTAGCTAACCTTTGAAACCCTCTTAAGCAAGAAACCCATGGATCTTGGAACAAACGCAAAGTCGCAATATCACCTTGCGATCAATATGATGTCAAAATTCATTCCACCTTTCTGTCAAACCTCGCTAGAGTTACCTGCAGCACCAGTAGGGTCGGAGGCGGCCTGGCTGAGATTTAAAAAGCCAAATTTCCCATCGACAATGCCATCTAATTATTAAAAGAAATACTATTAAAATTTTCTTCCTGAACGTCACTGCAAAAGATGTCTGCGCAAGATCATAACGAGAACTTTAAGCTGGAGAATGTCTTCAGCGTCAGGAATAGAGGTAGGGGACATTTGGCTTAAAAAGGCTCTTTGAACAGTGCTAATGAATTATAGTTGCTCTTGTCACCGGCGGCGGTTCCGGGATTGGCTTAATGGCAACCCAAGCACTCGCTGTGAATGGTGCAAAGTCTACATTACCGGTCGCACCGGCGAGAAACTTGGCCGTGTTGCGGAGCTGTATTCCAAAGACATCCCGGGACAGATTATTCCCATTGCTGCCGATGTCACCTCAAAACAGTCTATCCAGCGATTAGTGGATGAAATCTCGGCCAAGGAGAGCAAATTGCACATCTTGGTCAACAACGCTGGTATCAGCTCTTCGACTCGGAACACAGAGCTGGAAGATCCCAAGCAGCTCCAACAAGAGCTATTCAAGAACGAAGACTCCATTGAAGAATGGGAAGAAGTAATGCGGACAAATGTGACGCAACTGTTCTTCACAACGACCGCGTTTCTTCCATTGCTTAACAAGGGCACTGTCGAGGAGCACGGTTGGTCCAGCACGGTCGTGAATATCTCCTCGATTTCTGGTCTTGTCAAGTCCTCTCAGCATCATTTCGCGTATAACTCGAGCAAAGCGGCCGCTGTGCATCTAACTAAAATGCTTGCGCACGAGGTGGTCACATCCAATCTCAAGATTCGTGTCAATAATATTGCCCCGGGTGTCTTTCCATCGGAAATGACCACCGAGGGTAGCGATGAAAAACAGAAGAGCAATATCCCCAAGGAGAAGTTTGAGGGCAAAGTTCCAGCTGGACGCCCAGGCAAAGACGAAGATATGGCCGGGGCCATTCTCTTTACTACATCGAACCAGTACCTCAATGGGCAGACTATTGTGGTTGATGGTGGATATTTGCTGGCAACTGGCTCTGTCTAGATAGTCCCTATACAATTTCATGGGAGTATCGTGTCTTGACCACGCCTATGCTTGAGAGCTGTTCATCGGTTTTTTTTGTTCCAAATCTCCAAATTCTCATACTCCCAACGGCACTTTTCTTAACCCGCCTACGGATTAAGAGGTCTGACCTACGGTCTATCTATGGGCTAACCCGTGGGTTGACTTATATAGGTTGTCCGCGGGTCTGTCTAGGTCTACTAACAAAGATCGAATTCTAAATTCTAGATTATCTTTTAATTTATCTCTAACGGCTACTAAAGTGATCTTATCAATCTTATCAGTTATAGAAAGGGTATTTTATAGATAATTAGGCTAGAATCTAGATTAGTAGCAGAATAAAGATAATAATTATAAATTGCGATAAAAATATATCTTAGTAAGGTTATAATACAAACTTCTATCTTAATACTCTTAAAAGGGTCTTTTGCTAGTCTATAAACTAAGTTTAATATTCTAGTAAAATATTATAAGAATCTATATAGTTGATATTTTATAAGAGTAGTTCGAAAATTATAGAATTTAGGTAATAAACTAGCCTCTTTATTTGTTTAACCTTAACTCTATTAAACTAGTATAATAGTTTTTAAAGCGTAAAATCCTTTAATTATATCCTTAGCTAGATAATAGTAGATCTAAATTAGATTTGGAGTTATTAAAAAAAAAGGCTATATACAACATTTAGGATCAGCTTGATTAAAACGCTATTAATAGTCTAATTCAGTCTATATCGCGTAGGCTTACTACTATACGCGTGGCGAAGGTTTGATATACTGGATATTAATCCCTTTTTTTAGTATATTTTAATATGAAGTTCTCATATTTAATATCAGGGGAGTTATTTAGTTTTAATATAGTGGGGTAAATCTGAATTATAGAGTATACCTAGTATATTAGGGTGAATCACCTGATTTGTCAGTTCGACAAAGTGTTGAAAAGAGTGCTATTTAACCTTACTAATTGAGAACCATCATGGAAGCCTTGAAACAAATGAGATCGGTTAAGCAATCTATACACTCACTTCCGCCAAAGCGGTCATTTTCGTCAATTCATAGGTCCTCAGATTGTAGTTGTATAGTTGTAAATCCACGATCAAGCAAACCTGCGCGAATTCGTGCTCCACTTTCACATGCACGTGCAGCACCTCCGCATTTTCCCTTTGGCGCTGGTCGACTTTCGCCTTCTTCAACCTGACGGAGAGTATCCACGATGGAGGTAAGTGCTATTGGATCTCAAGTGCAAAAGGACCATCGCTCTGATCGACCAGGCCAATACATCCTCGAGCTCTCGATCCCGCCGCTCCTATCCATCTCTGCACCCAGTCTCGCTCGCTCCTCTGACCCCGCGATTCCCCATCGACGATGACCCAGAACCAGTAGACTACTTCAGCCCGCGCGGCGATGGCGAAGTATCCGGAAACGGCACCAGAACCCCACCGAGAATGTCATATTTCTCCAGCGTCTCGGTGCCCAGCACGCCGCCGATTCTCTCGCACTCGCGCAGCGCGTCCCGCACTCGACACTCGCGGAGCAAGAGCTCCAGCCGGGCCGGACCCCTGAGTGACACCAATCTGCACAGCCGGGACCTTTCGCACCCGCTACACCATCATCACCACCAACAAGCTAGCCATAAGAAACAATCTAGCGCGACGCATATTCGGCGCCGCTTTGCGGAACCTGGAAACACCCATGCTTCCTCCAAGTCCGACACTGAATGGATGCTCCGCGCTGGAATTGCCCTGGCATCGTCGACGCGCGAGGAAAAGGGCCAGAGCTGGCTATCCAAGCGCGAGAGCTCGACGAGCTTGGTCTCCTTCAACGAAACTCCTCCGGCATCCCATCCCAACCGCCACCATCACCGCACCAAATCCGGTGCTTCGTCGCGCAAGTCTCACTCGGGTGCGTCCACCCCCGGCGCTGTATCCCGCCGGAGCTCACGCCCCCGCGGCACAAGCAGGCGTGGTAGTCGAGCCGGGCTGACTATGACGACCATCCCGCCCGCATCGGCCATTTCCGCCTCAGAGGAAGAAGCTGGGAAGGATCCCAGTCCTGGGGCTGGGACTACGAGTCCCGAAGTCCGCGGCCGGAGTACCGCATTCGTACCAGACTTCGTCGACGAACAGATCCGCGCGGAGATGGCCTCGCTGCAGCAGCGGGAGCGGGGATTCTCCGACGACCAGTCGGAGTACTGGGACAGGGATGGGGATGGGGAAGAAGACGGCGGTTCAGACTCAGAATATGACTCGTTCTCCGACGACAGCCGCGACGACTTCGACGAGGCCGATCTGCAGCGCTTGACGCGCGAGCGCGGGTTCGGGCTGGGGAGTTGGATCGACCGGCTGGTCGAGTGGACACTATTTGGAGTCGAGGAGTTACCGGCTCCCGCTACTTCTACCGCTGCTGCGTCTGCTATTACAGCCGCAGGCGGCCCTGCTCAGATCGGTACGGCGGCTACTACCACGACGGTTACATTCGAGGAACCCGTTCTCCGCCCCGAGTGGGACTCCCAGCCCCATGAGACCCTGTCTTTGGTGTCTGCGGAGGATGACCATCCCGATGACCATTCGCACACGGATGCTGAGTCGGCTGGCTCGGTGGAGAAACCGGGTGTGCAGGGCGGCTGGGAGGATGCTGGGTGGTTGTTCCGGGTGATGAAGCGCACGCTGATTTGATTTAATTTGATGGCTACGATTGGGACAAAAAGCATATCATTTCTCATTGGGATTTATCCATGGATGTACATAGTTTTCTGTTTTCGTTGTTTTTCTGCTCGTTGGCATTCCCCTCCCTACTCCTGTTCCCGGGTATCATTGGGAATGGCCACTCCCTACCAGAGGATATAATACATTTCTCGGGATTTACAACCCAGTGAAACGTTTCAACGAAATCTGGAGTAATCGAATATCTATTTCAATTCCTATGCAAACCGTGCCCAGGCTAGTTCCCTTTCCTATCAGTCGGTCATGATAATCGATTGTGGGAGCTGGCACTGAGTGATAGCAAGTGACTCTGCCGTAGCGTGGAGTTCTAATCAAAGGAGAGATCACCTCCTGGCAAGCAGACAACCAAAGGCACAGCTGAAGATGCTCGGCGATGGTAAACTAATGGAAGGGGCTCGGAATCCAAGCCACACGAGAAAGAAAGAAATCGAGAAGAAAGAAGGGATAAGGAAAAAGATAGGAAAAGTAGTCATGTTGAAAAAGAGACAAAGGGGGCAAAAAGAAAGCAAAGGAAAAAAAGGCAGAGATGTACACAGCTCCAAAGCGCCGACAGAGTACGCCATCGAGACAGGAATGAAGTCACAAAGGAAAAAAAAAGTGAAGAAGCAGGACAAGATTGGAAGCCGAAGAAAATTCCAGCAATTTGGGACACGCCCGGAGGCAAGTAAATCAGAAAAGCACACACAAGGACAATAGAGCCTTAGTTGTACTGAATGGGTTCATTGGAAGTCGAGTAGCACGAAAGAAGCAGAAAAAGAAAAAAGAAATCCAAGTCGGCTTTGTTCGCCTTTGCATACTATAAACGCCAATCTGAGACCATGTGGATTCTCTAGAGGTCATGCAGGAGGTATCGTGATCGTGGCATACGTCGAATTTGGTGCGATTCGAAAGGGCCGGGCCCGTCGGTAAAGTGCACAGCGCAATCCGTGTCAAGGTGGGTGAAATGCGAGAACGGGCCGCGGGAGGTGCGGTGGCAAGGGTGTCGGTGGAGATTATCTCGAGAAGCCTTCGAGTTGGGAGGGCCATGTCATCACCACGGTCCAACCTTGACGGGCGTTCCAAGCCCGTACGTTCCCGACAGAAGCTGGTCCCGTATGGAACCCAGTTCACTGCCGCCAGCACCGTGAGACTGAGTGTCCGATCCACCCATCCATCCAAGGCTCGAGCCCAGCTCGTTGACCGCAGCCTGGAGCTTGCCCCCAGAAGACTGATTGTGCTTGGCCAGCTTCTGGTCCCAACCTCCGTACTGCAGCTGGATGCCACCGCCGCGCTTGGCAGCCTCGCGGATCACCAGGATCCAGGCTTTGCAGATCTCGTCATAGGCCGAGTCACGTTCAATGTTGTTCTGTGGCGTGTTCCAGCGTGGCAGGGCGTGGATGATGTCTGTGGCACCGTCCAAATAGCTCAGGGAAATCGAAGCCTGAGATTCGTTGGGGGAAGGAAGTTAGGGGTGAAGTCGCTCAGGGCATCGAGCAAGTTGCTGAGCGGCTGCCGGACTCGGTTGTAGGCGTAGTCGGAGGCAGTGTTGCCACCCAGCGGAAACGACGAGTGCAGGGTGGCCTGGTAATTTCGTAGCACCTGGAGGGTCGACGAGACGTTGGGCCGTGGCGATGTGTGCACGACCTCGTCGACGAGCTGGGGGTGGCGCTCGCACATGGTGCGGACTACCGATCGGAGCGCATCTGTGTCGAGGGTCTCAAGGAGGCGTGGTAGGGAAAGCGGTCGGCCTGAAACGTTTGGTCGGGTACGCTTCACATTGCGGAAGGCAGGGAGCTGGCGAGGAGTGAAAGCAGGTGAGTTGGTCGGGGAGGCAGACATGCGTCCATCGTGGTCATTGCCATCATCGTCGGCTTTCCGTTTGCGGCTGGTGTAGGAAGATGGTGTCGACACTATGGCATCGATTAGTATTTATTCTCTGTACCAGAACAGAGAGCTTCCTTTGGAGAAAAGGAGCATAGCATCAAAAAAGGGATATCTTACTTATACGGGAGGGAGAAAGTCGAGGGGGCTCGTAGAAATGGGGAGGGACAGGAGGCGTGGCCACCAGGCTGTTCATGATGACAGCCGGATGGCAAAGGATAGGAGTCCAAAGGTTCTGAAGCTGAAGAGGACAGTAGATGGAGGGAGGGGGAGAAGGAGAAGAGCCAAAAGGGCAGGAATAAAAAGTGCCCAACAGGCTGAGGTGGGGAGAAGAAGTTTAGAGAAGCAGAGAAGCGGTGGAGAAAGGAAAAAGGCGTTGCGGGCGGCAACGCAGTCCGGCTGCGCAGGTTGATGTTACCGAACATTTCATGTACCTGGATGGAACCAAAATTTCTATTACAATAACTGGGAGAATAATAAAAATAATGACTAGAGTAATTACTATTGTCATTATTATCTGCTCGAATCGTCCAGTTCAATATGGCCAACTACACCCGGCTGTTGTCGGAGACGCAAAGCTCTCCCGAGAGAAATCCAGCTTGACCAAACTTGAACAGGGTATTTTTTTGGAGTCTTGAACATAGTATCTACAGGTACAGGGACTGGGCTGCAACAATATCACGTCGCACCTTGGTGAGTGCCTCCTCGAACTTGCTCTCCAGGTCCTCGCTGCCCATCACCTTGGCAGCTTGCGCCATCTGACGTAGACACTCCTCCAGCCGCCGGAACACACGGATTAAGCTACCCTCGTAGACATCGGTCATTTGGCTGGGGTTGAATGTTAGTTTTAATCAAGACAAAATCGAAGCCAGAAAGAAGATGCTTACCAGATGTCGGCAAAAGCCTTGCCATGGGCCCACTCGTAGATCACCTCCATTAGCTCCCAGTGGAAGCTCTGGACATACTCATCCTCGTTGACTGCCATCTTAGACTCTTGCGAGACCTTGGCAACAATCCGAGCCTGTGATTGGATCTCCTTGAGCGGCTTGGCAAGTTCGTCGCGGGTCAAAGCAGGGGTCTCCTTCGTCTTCTCCTCGAACACGAAGACACTGATGACAGCCGCGACCTGCTCAGGGGTCAGGTTGTTGAAGAAACCGTTGAACAGGAGCTCGCTAAGCATCAGTTCGTCACCGGTACTAATCTCACAGGCGACTCGAGCTTTCAACTGAACAACCTCTGCATCGTTGATGAACCCGAAACGACGAAGCACACGTTTGCGGCACTTGAGCTCGTCGAGCTGCAAGACGGATGTAGCTTCGGAGATCTTTTTCTTTATCGTTTTGATCTCTGTGCCCAAATCCACTTTCGCGGCATATTGTTCGTACAGCTCGGGCAACCGGGGTGAGTTGTGCAGAGGGTTACCCAAAAGGCGAGATTCCAAAACCTCCATTTTCTGCACTGGAGTTAGCAAAGACTACTTGCACGTACGACTTATAGATTCAAGTCCACTTACCCGTAGCAGCTTCTTGAAAGACTCATCTTTAATCCCCATGTTCTCAATCGGGTCGAGGACCGCAAGGCCATCCGGGAATCGTTTCTGAACCTCATCCAAAGACTTCCTCACGCCGTTTCGCGAGTCAGCGGACGAAGTGTCTTTCGGCAAGAAGATTCGGACGTGGGAGATCGCGCGAATGCAGTTGAGCGTAAGAGGAACATTTTCCATGCGGGACGGTTCGCCCTCCGCCGCCGGTCGAACGCCCTTCGGGATGTCATCGAAGGTCTTGGTGCCCACTGCTGGTCCCTCGGCAATCTTGAGAAGCACTTCGACGTAGTATGATTTGTGTGGAGGAAGCTCTTGGGTGGAATTTTTTGGTGCCTTCTTTTTATTGGCAACCACAACACCCCAGCCAAAATCATAACCCTCATGCTTGACATGGACAAGCCGGCCCGCCTGAAGGTAGTGCAGAGAGTAATTGGGGTGGGTGATGACGGCCTGGACATCCTCAGAGAACCCATCCAGCTGTTTCTTGAGGTCGTAGTATTCCCGGATAGTCCCTTCGTCGGGGATGTTGATATTGGCTTGCTTTTCTTTCAGCTCCTGCACCTCGGTTTCCATGCCGGCAACATTTCCCGTGTTTTGGAATTGCTTGAAGCATCTCTCGAGCATGAACTCGGGCGAGATACCTTCCACGCGCATCAGGTTGAGAATCATGTTGTAGCCCAGGTGGAATGCAGAGTTGAGCCGGTCCTGTTCGCCACGCACAATCTCCTTGGCCACTGCAGGATCCATCTCTTCACCAACCATCATGATCACAATACCTCGGTCATCGAGACCTCTTCGACCCGCGCGACCAGACATCTGGATGAATTCAGATGGAGTTACCCAGCGCTGGCTTGTTCCATCAAATTTCCGGACGCTAGTAAACACGACCGTCTTTGCAGGCATGTTGAGACCGATGGAAAATGTTTCGGTAGCAAAAAGAACCTTGATGAGACCTTCTTGGAAGAGAATCTCAATGGTCTCCTTGAGAATGGGTAACAGACCAGAGTGGTGGACACCGATACCTCTCCTCAAAAGGGGCAAAATGTTCTGAATCTGGGGCAGTTGCCTGTCTTCATCGGACAGCATCTCGATGGCGCTGTTGAAGACTTTGGACACCATCTCTTTCTCGGAGTCGTCGTTGAAGGCCAACGTGCTCATATTGAGAGCACCTGATTCACATTCACGCTTGCTGAAACTGAAGACAATGACAGGGTTATAGCTCTTCAGCATGATCATCTTCACGATCTTGTAAATATCCGACGGGCCCTTGGTTCCGCCCTTGTTCAACTTCTTGTCCTTGCCCTTACCCTTCCGCTTTGCCAGAGCATCAGCCGGGTCATCACCCTTCTTGTCCGCAATTTTACCCATAGCGTTTTGGAAATTCTCCTCGCGGAACACGCCCTTCTCGTCGACGATGAGATGAATACCCTCGCCACCGGCCGGGAAGAAATAGTGTTGGAGGGGAGTCGGTCTGAAATCGGTGTAGACAACATGGCAGGGCTGGTTGTGCATCTGCGTAACCCATTGGGCGAACTGCATGGCGTTGGGGATGGTGGCAGACAAGAAAACGTATCGAACCTTGTCGGGCAGGAGAATAATGGTCTCCTCCCAGACCACACCTCGATTCTGATCGCGCATATAGTGAATCTCGTCAAACACGACCCATCCAACTTCGCGCATGATTTCCGAACCACGATACAACATAGACCGAAGAATCTCGGTGGTCATGACGAGACAGGTGGCAGTGGGATTGATGGTCACATCACCGGTCATCAGACCGACGTCGCCAAACTCGGCCGCAAACTCTCGGTACTTTTGGTTGCTCAGCGCCTTGATCGGACTGGTGTAGATCACTCGCTGGTTGTACTTCAAACTTTGCGCAATCGCATATTCGGCAACCACGGTCTTTCCTGCACTGGTATGCGCCGAAACCAAAACACTCTCTTCTCGCTGAATCGAGGCGACGGCAACCTGTTGAAAAGGATCGAGTGTAAAGGGCCATGTTTTAGCCGGGTCGTCGGGTTGCTTGTGCTCCGAGATGGGCACGTAGTTGTAGTTGGGGGGGATCGCGACTTGGTGGCGCACTTGATGCGACACCACCACTGATGACGGGTCTTTTGTTGCTTGCAACCCAGATGATCCTGCAATTTCGCGCTCTTGTTCTGTTTCGAACGAGTCGGCGAGCACAGGCTTGGGTTCCTGGTCGAGTCGAAGTCGCTTTATTTCCGGCTGCTCGCTTTCTGCGGGGGTCTCGGGGGCTGACTCGGGATTCACAGCAGGCGCATCTGTTAAAACCTCATCCTCTTTCTCAGGCGCATTTCCATTCGTTTTTAAATCTCCATTGGCCTGGCGCTTCTTGCTCTTATCTTTCTTAGCCCGCTTAGGGACAACCTCTGAGGGTTTGACCGCCTGAGGCTTGTCCTCAAAGACGTCAAAGAGCTCATCCATCTTCTGTGAATGGCACTGAAGGACTGAAGTGAAATGTGAAAAGGTCTGGACTTTCTTTTTTCGGGGAAATTTCAGAGTTCCAGATAAGGCAGGCGGTGAGGTGCTGTGAGAGAACCCTCGCCGATGAAATGATTTCACGTGACATTTATGTCATGTGACAAGATAACTCGGCGCATCTTGCAATGTTCGCTTTAGCCTCGTCCGTCCAACCCCGATCATCCACTCCTTCCCCTCTGTACCTCAAGGTTGGTGTCTCCTGCCGCAGTTGTCCTTGTTGTAACTTACCACGGCTAATAATCGATCCCAAGATGTACGCCACTGCTATCCGGGCCAGAATGGCCACCCTCGCTGCCCGTCGTGGCTTCTCCACCACTCGTGCCCAGCTCGGTAGTCCCTACCACTACGCTGAGGGCCCTCGCACCAACATTCCCTTCAACCCTCTGACCAAGCACTTCTTCTGGAGGTACTGGGCTTTCATGAGTCAGTATTCCCCAGTGGCTCATCGCGTGGTAACAAGACTAACTAGGGAGGATCATACAGTCACCGGTTTCGGTAGCCCTTTTGCCATTGCCGGTATGTTTCGACTCTCCAAGCCTTCTCTTTCTTCCGGCTGTACAATTCTAACTTTCTGGTCTAGTCTGGCAAACCTACAAGACCCGCTAAGCCGCCCACCCTATATTTTCTCCGCGATAGCAGTCTGGGCGACCAGGTCGCAACTCTGGATCGGGTTCAAAGCAGGATATCATGTACAAAGCTAGAGAATATTATGGTTGATTCCGTCAATTTCATTGTAACCAGCGTAGGGAGGCAATTCATGTAGCTTGAAGGACGTTGAAATCTGAATGAAGTCATTGGCTGAGCGGGTGGAAAATCAAAAATCTTTGGGTTGGCGTTGATACACCACCACCACCACCCGCGGCAACCAGCCCGATTATTGCTGGGCAGAGAGTTGACCTCTGTCAATTGCCTGGTCTTTTCTTTCTTTCTTTCTCGCTTTTTCATATATCGACGGCCTCGTTGCTTCATGGCGGGGTAAAGAAAAAACCCGGACATATCGAGAAAAAAAAGATACCCCATCCGTGCAATATGCGCAACCTAAGAAATGTGCGTCTTACGGAGACTCAAGTCCAGAGCGACCTCCCTCTGACTGCCACTGCCTGGGACACTTCGTCAGATGCAGTAGTGGGCACCTTCGGGCCTACAGAGAACAATGCAGTCATCGAGCTGCGAAGGAAGCGTCCCGAGGTCACGTCTGCGGAACCGCTGACTCTCGATGCCTTCGAATGCATTGCGTCCTGGGATGCTCCAAGCCCGCTACCAGACCTTGCTTATGATCGAGTACTGTCGCTGCATTATTTTGCGGATAACCTGACTGCCTGCTTGGTGCTAGAGGGCGGTGATATCGTCGTTGTGCGCGAGGAGCCCCTCCCCGGTGAGGACAAAATTGAGATTGTCGGCTCTGTCGATGTGGGAATCACCGCTGCTGCATGGTCCCCGGACGAGGAACTACTGGCTCTCACGACTAGAGCCCGCACATTCCTGTACATGACCCGAGAGTTTGAGAATGTGGCCGAGATTACTTTCACGCCAAATGATATGCGGGCCTCGCAGCATGTATCTGTGGGCTGGGGAAAGAAAGAGACGCAGTTCCAAGGAAAGCGAGCCAAAGCTCTGCGAGACCCAACGGTCCCGGAGAAAATCGACGAGGGCAAATTGAGCAGTTATGATGATGCCAGCACGACGATCAGCTGGCGGGGCGATGGTGCCTATGTCGCAGTTAACAGTGTTGAGACGGGAATCCGCCGTGTCATCAGAGTGTACTCCAGAGAAGGCACTCTGGACAGTGTGAGTGAGCCGGTCGACGGGCTAGAAGGTGCTCTCAGTTGGCGGCCATATGGAAACCTGATCGCAGGAATTCAACGCCTGGACGACCGCATCGATGTGGTGTTCTTCGAACGAAATGGCCTACGCCATGGCCAATTTTCTCTGCGTCTGACTGAGGCCGAGCGACAGTCCTGGGCCTCGCAGATTCACTTGGCTTGGAACATCGACTCCACTGTGCTTGCCGTTCGGTTCAAGGACCGAGTCCAATTCTGGACCGTGGGCAACTATCACTACTATCTCAAACAAGAGATCCCGATTGTGGTAGACCCCGAATACCCGTTTCCGTTCTCTTTTGAATGGCACCAAGAGAAAGCATTGCGCGTAGTCGCCGGTTCTTCAGGTGTGCCACATTTCAATTTTTTTTCTTAGGATGAAAGGCTAAATATATCAAGGCTCGATATTGGATTTGGGCTATGTCTTCGACATTAGCCACGGGTCCACTGTGATTCCAGATGATGTAGGAGCTGTCGCTGTCATTGATGGGAGTAAGTCTATCTGGAACAGAGCTGGCTTACTTCAATTCTGACATATATAGGGATTCTCAAGCTTTCACCGTTGCGACTGGCTGGGGTTCCACCTCCAATGGCACATAATGAACTGACGCTCGACTCTAACATCATTGACGTTGCATTCAGCAAGTCAGGCACTCGCATTGCTGTTTTGATGAGCGACAGGTTTTCCGTTTTCCTGTGGTCTTTGAAGAGTCGTCCAGTCGCTGTGCCCATTCTCGAATCCAGCTATCCACTATCAGATGCGCCGGCCAGCCGGCCCAGACAAATTGCTTTTCTGAACGACAACGAAGTTTACGTGCTCAAGGACAGTGCACCGAGCACGAGTCATATTGAGCGGACGATGCTGGAGATACGGGTGACTCAAGTCGTTTACCAAGCTTCCGATGCACAGCAACTTTCTTCGATCTTCCCAGGCATTGGGCATCAAGCTCTGTGGTTCTCACATGCTCGCCAGGCGGGACGCCCTGTCGCCTACTCGAACATTAGTGCGCCAGCAGGCGAGGAGGTTGAAGTTTCTTTGTGGGCCGAGAGTCCCAACGTTGAGACACACTGGGCCCGTGCCGTTTCGATTTCCGAAAATGAGGTATATCCCCAAAATTTTCCGGCTTCTTACACAGGTGCTGACTCTATCAGCGGATACTGGTGACAATGACAAGAACTGGAGCCTTGTATGCGAACAAGCGAGTGATTGCGAAGAACTGCACATCGTTCCTCGTGACTCCCGCTCATCTCCTGTTCACCACGTCTCAGCACTTACTGAAATTTGTTCATCTCAATCGGGTCGAAGGTAACGAACTTCTATTGCCATTTCCTTTGGGCTAGGCTAAGATTATCATAGAAATGGAAGTGCCGGGTGATACCCCAGAAACGGATGAGCGGTGCAGAAGCATCGAACGTGGTTCGAAATTGGTCTCGGTGATGCCATCGATCTTCGCCGTGGTTCTTCAGGCGCCTCGAGGAAATATCGAAACTATCTTCCCACGCGCGTTGGTGCTGGCTGGAATCCGCACCTTTATCGACCAGAAGAACTACCGGGCCGCGTTCCTGGCTTGCCGAAGCCAGATGGTTGATCTGAACATTCTCCATGATTATGCTCCCCAGCAGTTCATGGAGAATATTCAACTGTTTATTGACCAAGTAAAGAAGATCGACTACATTGACGATTTTCTCTCTCGCTTAATGTACGTGGCCTCACCGATCATGTCTGGTTTCGCTAGCTAACCTGGATCCAGAGAGGACGATGTTTCCCAAACGCTCTACAAAGACACTCTCAAGATCTCCAAGACTGAATCTGCAGCTGCTACTCAATTGGAAACCCAAGCGGCACCCTTGCTGCCCAAGACTACCAAGAAAGAGAGCAAGGTCAACCAAATTTGCGACTCATTCCTCGCGGTCCTTCAAGGTCGCGTGGACACCAACTTGCAGAATCTGGTGACGGCACATGTGTGCAAATCGCCCCCCGACCTGGAGGCGGGCCTGGAACTGGTCGCAGGTCTCCGAAGTATGTCGCGCGCCATTCAGCATACACAAGCACTGAACAACTGCTAACTAAAATTTAGCCCAAAATGCGGAACAGGCAGAAGATGCCATTGAGCATATGTGCTTCTTGACTGACGCCCATCAGCTCTACTCACATGCCCTGGGCCTATACGATTTGGAGCTTACTCTGCTGGTTGCCCAACAAGCGCAGATGGTAAGAAATTTCATGATTCTTGTAGCGGCATCAACTAATAATTGTTTGATCTAGGACCCCCGCGAGTATCTTCCGTTCCTCCGCAAGTTGCAGCAGCTGCCGGAGCTTCGGCGTCAATTCGAGATCGATAATCACCTCGCCCGTTTTGCTAAGGCTTTGAAACACCTGTATGCTCTCAACGCACATGACGAGATCCAGCCATATGTCACCAAGCATATTCTGTACAAGGAGGCTCTTGAGATCTACAAGTACCAGGCCGAGCAACAACAGGAAATCACACATCTCTATGCCGACTATCTCCAAACGCAGTCAAACTACAAGGATGCAGCAGTCGGTAGGTAGCTACCTAACACGCACGTTAAAACCAAATACAGAAAACTAACCGTTGCCAGCGTACGAGTCTCTTGCCATATACCACGAGGCCTACAGGTGCTATAACCTGGCCCACATGTGGCGCGAGTCCCTGTACTGCGCTATGATGGCCTCTCTCTCGGAGGAGGACCTGGTTGCGCATATCACCAACCTGGCATCGACGCTAGTCGACGAGTCCCGAGACTACGTGTCCGCAGCGACCATCCACGCAGAGCATTTGTACGACGTCGTCACAGCCGCACGTCTCCTGTGCCGGGGCTCGAAGTTCGCCGATGCCGCACGGCTCCTCACACTGCACAAAAAACAGGATTTGGTAGCAGATATCGTGGACACAGGACTTGCCGAGGCAATGGGCTCCATGACCGACTTACTCGCCGACTGCAAGTCACAGGTGAACGCCCAGGTCCCGCGAGTCCGCGAGCTGCGCCAGCTTCGTGCCGCCGACCCACTCGCCTTTTACGGCGGCGACCCAACAGCCGGCGAGGCCGGCGCCGACATCCCCGACAACGTATCTCTAGCCCCAACCGAGACGTCGACGCTGGCCGGCCGCACCATGTTCACGCGCTACACCAATAAAACAGGCATGTCGCGGCAGACATCGCGCACGCGCCGCCGCGAGGAGCGCAAGCGTGCTCGCGGCAAGAAGGGCACTGTCTACGAGGAGGAGTATCTTGTCAACAGTATCCGTCGGCTGATCGAGCGGATCAACTCCAGTGTCCCTGAAGTCGAGTCTCTGGTTGATGCACTGTTGCGTCGCGGCATGCGCGAGCGAGCTGCGGCTATTGGTAAAGCGCTTGAAGAGGTTTCGGCCATGTGTGCCGACTGCCGTGACGAGATTTTCGAGGTCCCTGAGGCTCCAACGGAGCAGAATCCCGATACCATGGAGGAAAGATTACATCCTGAAGAGACGATCCCGCTACATGGCGGCTCTGCTGTTCTCGCGGAGAGCGCTGCCATTGTGGGCGGTACTGCGCCTGGACGTGGGAAGGATTTGCCTACCGTTAAAGAGATCAAAAAGTCCTCGTTGCTTGTTTGAAGTTGTTTCGGTCGAGAGTTTTGTGTGTTGTTTGCGGCAGTTTGTGTTTGCCATGAGATGCATGAAACTTTATGTTGGATAGAGTAACCTTATGATTCGTTACTCCTATCTCGAGTCTCTTATAGCACAGAAACTCCTTTTCTTCTTTTTTTTCTCTGGAAATAAAAGACTGGGCCATGCATGATAATATCCGAGGACACAGGGATTCTACGACTTGGACTGTAGACATCTACTTGCCCACTTGCATGTTGACCATGACACCAGCAATGCCAAGTTCTCTACTGCAACCTCTTGCAACCAAGCCGCCCCGTCTTGAAACATCGAAGCTTTTGTTACACTGATTCATGACGGAGTGCACATTTTGAGGCTATTCCAAATCGCGGGTGTGGGTTTCCCTCACCCGGACGTAGTATGCACTAAGTAGATATAAGGTGATACAGACGACCTAGTTATTTCTCATGTGGACAATAAGATGCCACATTCATTTGTTGCACAATAATGACAATACAATAGCCGAATCCGAGTAAATATAGGCTTCAGCTCTGTATACCCGATGCCTCAACTCCCCGCATGGGTCGTAATATAAAAAGACTGTAGAATACCACACCCAAACCACCGGGTCCAGCTCAAATGAAGGAAAAGGGAACCCCCCCCTAAATTAGCTGTCTGTGCAACCTATCCCAAATAGCATAACATCGTGAGTCATCTTTTGGCACTGGTTCCCACAAGTAACTAGATTCTCACCGAGCCCTATTCTCCCAGGCCATGCAGTTCCCTCTTACCAGCATCCTAAACCTCCTTCTCCTGGGCCTAGGTGCACTTCCTTCAGCAGAGGCCGTCAAATGCGCCTGTAACGGAGGAACGGCCAACTCGCGCCGAGCCTGTGACCAGATCGGGGCTAAGTACGGGGTATACGGGTGCGGGTTCACGGGGTGTTGTGTCTACCCGGGAAATCAGCAGAGACGATTTATCGATATGTGTAGGACGCTTGGGTTTGGCTTCAAGCGTTGTGATGATTGTCCGACTTGTTGAGCGGGGCAGATTCTCGAGTCGATCCTGGTGTTTGGAGGAAAGACCGCACGCCGAAGTAGTTGAAGTGGGATATATATCGGCGAGAACCGGGAGTATGAAGCGGCGGAGACTTACTCTATACGAAGGGTATAATGGGGGATTGGGAAGGAAGGTAATCGCAATGGAAGCACACATAATGCTGCATTTTCATATTCACGAAGCATGGGAATTATATATAAGAGAAAGATATGTGCACCGAGAAGGCCCTGGTGGATTGGCCCTGGACAAAACATAGAAGTATGGGGTATCATTTGAGTCGTCTAGCCGTGGTAGAGATGGCATCTTATACCATAGTCCTCAGACTCTGATCCTCCTAGTGGATGATGGCCTCACCCGTCTCAGTGACCAGATGCTCCTTCACGCTGATGGGGCCCTCGCCAACACCGGTCAAGATGACACGGCTTACGCCATCCTTGAGGACATTCAGGATGCGAGAGTCAACTTGATCCAAAGCAACACCGGGAGCAGTGACATTGGCCACACTCTCGTTGAAGGGGCCATCCCAGCCCTCAGTATCCGCGCCCAGAATGGCCTTGACGGTGCCAGCAACAAGAGCTGAGTCCTTCTCCTCGTAGTAGATCACGGCATTTGGACCGGCGTCAAAGGTGTAAGCACAGACAGTCCGGCCTACTGCCCGGTTGATGTCGTGCACGAGACGGACAGCAGCACGCGAGACGTCATTCATGTAGAAGATCGGGGGCCACGAGTCTAAGCACGTGGCGTGGAAGGTGTTAGAGTCCCGCATGGTGATCTCGGCAAATCGAGGGAAGTCCCGGTTCTGGATAGCCTCTTCAATGGCGGTCATGCGCTCGGGGACAACGGCCTGGGCCCGCGTCGCGAACAGACTCGAGGTTTCAACAGTGGTTTGCATACCCTCCGTGCTGGGAACATCCTTCTTCTCGGCGCTTACAACCAGAACCAAGGCACGCATCTCCGGCCAGTGCGATGCGGGTGCGACTTCCTCCGCCAGGCTGTCGCTGCCGTCAGCCAGCTCACCTGTGCGCCAGGCGACATAGCCGCCCATGAGAGAACGGCAAGCCGAGCCGGAGCCTTGACGAGCAATCCGACTCAGATCCCGCGGGGATTGTGGCAGCTGGTAAAGGTTCGCCACTGCACGCACCAGGGCAGCAAAGCCGGCGGCCGAGCTGGCAAGACCGGCTGCAGTGGGGAAGTTGTTCTCGGAAACGATCCGGAGAGGCAGAGCGGAGAGTTTGGAGAGCGATGAATCGGCATCTTCAATAGCCTGGCGGAGAGCACGCAGATTGGAGAGACAGGCGAGAGTCCGCTTTGAGGATTGAATATCCTGGGGCTTGCCGTTAAGGCTGAGGGTGTCTGCAGTCGGGTAGTTGGCAGAGCAGGAGGCGGTGGTCAGGGTGCGAAGAGAGCGCTGAGAGAGGGTGACAGAGAGCGAAGAATTGGTAGGCAAGTTGAGAGTGACATCCCGCTTGCCCCAGTACCTAGTCAAATGCTACAGTCAGGGACCAAGTTTTGGGTATGCGATGAGGGGCAAATCAGGAACGACATACTTAATGACAGCAATGTTCACCGGGGCGGTGGTAGTGGCCCGGTAAACAGGTTGGGAGGACGAGGATGCCATTTCAGCTGCTGGTTATGCGGGATGAAGATGTTTTGAACGATATTCCCAGCGACAATGGGAGGGAAGAGGAGGGGGATTTCCTAGGGAGGGGGGGAACGGAAAGACCGTTGGTGGAGCAGGCGGTGAGGGCAAAATTGTCTTGCTGACACGCCGATCCTCCAATCCATCTTTCTCCGTTATCGACTCCCTCGACTATGGGTGCCGGAGCCAGCACTCCCTCTGCAGAGCCGTCGGCTTCCTGTCCGGTCGACCATAAAACCCGTGAGGTTTGGTTGCAGCAACATGGAAATTCACCTCATCCTACGTCTGGCGCAGCCTCCGAGCAACCGCAATCCCGAACAAAATCACAACGGCCGCTGTCATCAGATCGCGAAGTAAGCAGTATACCCCGGGCCGGTGACCCAGGTGCAGCGAATACCTGCCCAGAAACTGGCAAGGAGCCTCCATCCCCCTATGCCGCCTCGCACGGCTGTCCGTCGAACGCCGAATCCGAAACTGGCCAAGACCAGACAACAGGGAATTGGGTTTATCCATCCGAGAAACAATTTTTCGAAGCTTTAATGCGCAAAGGTAACACACCAACATCCACATCCTCAGCCTCCGAGCTGGCGACATCGGTTGCCTCGATCATCCCGATCCACAACGCCGTTAACGAGCGCGCGTGGAAGCAAATCCAGGACTGGGAGCAAACGGCACCATCATCAGATCCTGGGAGCAAGAAATGTGGAGGGCCCAAGTTATATTCCTTTCGCGGACTCGGGGTCGACCCGCAGTATCTCAGTCCACGCGCGCGGATCAATGGGTGGCTCGGTTACCAGCTCCCGTTTGATCGACACGACTGGGTCGTTGAACGCTGTAGCGGGGAGAAAGTCGAGTATGTGATCGATTTCTACCAGGGGAAGTCTTCGGGTGGCCACGGCAACCCATCAGGATTGGCAGCCAACGCCGGACCGGGCAAGCTCAGCTTCTATCTGGACGTTCGACCAAAGCTGAATAGCTACGAAGGCTGGAGGATGAGATTCAATCATTTTACTGGCCTGTGATTGCAGCATTCATTCAAAACCGGATTTTGGGCGCAATGCTTTTGCATTTCACTCGACACATCACACACGACACCTCACAAGCGACAACGGAGCATCGGCAAGGCATGGGATTCAAATCAGATGTATAATGGTAGTATAACAGAATGTACGATACTATGCGAGGGGACGACGACCAAAGAAACATTCTTCTCCCTTCCACGGCATTTATTTAACGGGAGTATATACCCCCCGAAGTCACCTAGACTCGACGTGCAGATGTGGTCTTGGCTCTCGCCTCTACCTAAAGCCCCTCCCTTTGCCACCCTCTTGATCACTTCCATGGCTACCCGCTATTTCACAGAATGATCATATATTCCGCCAGTGAAAACTTTCCCAGAGCTGGGAGAATATCCCATCCCCCGGGCTCCACTACAGGCGCCCATTCAAACATTCCGAGAATTGGAACAGTTTTGAATCCAAGGCGACGTCGAAAGATTTAGAGACTGCTTGAATGGCAACTCTATCGCCTCTGGCTCTGAAAACTCCGCCATATTCGGATTATCGAGAGTGATGGTTCAAGCCATCTACTTATCTACTTGGGCAGCATATGCTTTGTAAAAGAGCTGCTCTATCAGGAACTGCCTATAGCGCCACTCTATGTCTATGAGGCCATCAATGCAAACGCAAAGGATGTTTTGGTGACGTTATTTGAAAACGGATGGGATATCAACAAGCCGATGGGCTCAATGCATCCTCCGATTCTCAGGTGAGTCGAACTGCCACTGTTCAAAGTTACTTCCTAGTGACAAATGGTCTTTATAGCAATACCCTCGACAACATTGAGATGACAACCTGACTACTCGATCATGGAGCCGATCCCAACCGCCGATGTGACATCGATTTCACGCCGTTCTCTCGCGCCGTCGAACACGCCTCTCTACCTGTCGTCAATCTTCTGCCTAGTCGTGGCGGCAATGTCACACAGGGACAAATTTTGCACCATGCAGTCAATAGAGATTCCGACGCAGTCGATGTCTTGAAGCTTCTCATTGCTCGGGGTACTCCAATTAACGCCCTCTTGTACCAGAACCACCAACCTTCTTGGAACATGAATTTCTTTATGGGAGAAACTCCTCTCCACAAGGCTGTGTTTCTTCGCAAGCTGGATGTTATTCATTACCTTCTCAGCGAAGGGGTAGATTTGAACATCCTCGACGTCAGAAATCACAGTGATACAATGCGCAGATGGGCAGATTCGAAAAGAAACCACGGGAATGTTAGGGTATTAGCTATGGCACCTTATGCCATCAGTTATGTACATGCTTCCAGGTTGCCAGTTTATTTATGATGAACTTCGTTTTGATTGATTGTCAAGATCTCCCGAACTGAATATGCCGCCTGGGGACATGGGGACATGGACTTCCGCAAGCCCCAACATAAAATTTTGTAAATGAAACCTCGAGAGATCAATTCTTTTTCTTCTTTTTAAGGTGTACTAATGTAAGTGCTGACCAGGCAATGGGAGATTGAATATATTCAGACCTATTCCAAATAGCTAAGGTGCCGTTCTTCGATTCCATGAAACTCCGGCGAGGTAGGCAAAAAGACTGTGCTGCTAATTAAGGGAACAGAATCGATCATACAAAAGGGATATCATGCACACATATGACAGAGAGTGGGAAAGAACAGAAACCGCGAGTCGAGAGAAACAACAAGATAAGTCCAAGCAAGGCCATCTATCCAAGAACAACCGCGAGCACGATAATAGCGAGAATCACAGCGAGAATCACGAGCAGGCAGCATGCCTTGTTGCGGGCATTTTTCTGGTATCGACTGGCACCGCGCAGCTCAACGTTGGCGCCCCGGGTGTCCTGGGTGACGTTATGCACGTTCTCGCTGATGATGTCCAGTTGCCCTCCTTGTTCATGCACGATATGCGCAACGTCTCGGAACAACTCATTCAGTTCGCCGACACTCTGCTCGATATTGCGAATTTCCGTCTCGCGTTCGATGATAAGCGTCTCTTGGAAATCCACCTCGCCCTGGTTTGCCAGGCGGCCCTGCTCCTGCAACTGCAGCTGTTGCAGCTGGCCCTCGGCCTCGGCTGTTGTGGGCTCACCGTCTTCGATGGCAGTGCGAGCAGCGACTGCGGATGCACGCTGTTTCTCTAGTGCACGACGCTGGATAGTCTGGAACTCATCCAGGTTTGCCCTGAACTCGGAGGAGAGTTTCTGCTGGGTCCATTTTTGGGAGGGCTGAGCGAGTCGCTCGTCAGTAATCAATATTGTCAAGGAAGAAATGGAGCTGCAAGCTTACATTGACGTCCTCCCATGTCTGGATCTTCTTGATCCCTTCTCCGACGTCCTTGAAACCCGCACGTGTCTCTTCCAGGAGGTTATGGACACGTTCGCGCACACGCTCTGTATCTCTCTTAGTGCCTAGAAGGGCAATCTGGTTGGACAGGCTGGAGATGCTGGAAGTCAAGGTGAACAACTGATCCGAGAGACCCTCGGCCAGATGGTCGAAGCCAGGATCATCGCGGTACTGCGGGTCCTCGGACCGTCGCATGGTGGTGGGCTGGGCCTCTAACGAGTTCAACCGATCGAAAGACATGATGGGAATGTTGACGCGACGTGAATGAGTAAACAATTGAGAAAGAAAAAGACTGGAGCAGAACAGTTCCAAGGTTATCACCCGTCAGCTGTTGCCTTCGATAACCGCGTGGATGCCCGGAACAGCAGGCCGCCCTCACATGACGTACCTTGCAACACCAGTCTAAAATAGGCTAGCGTCCCTCGCGCCACAAGAAGCTTGCGCCATAGCGGTCACCTGACTTTATGCGGCTGGTGTGTTTTGATACCTCAAAATATTCCATCATGAACTGCGCCATTAACCTTGACCCTCTCTCGGCTCAGCACCGGCTCTTCTTAGGCTGTGACTTCTTGTCAAAATTGCCGCTGGTCTTTCAATTGCACTTTACAGGTCTCGCAAGTGCTCTGGGATGCTTACTCTGATCATGCTATAATCTTTGTCATTTTCTTTCGAAAGCTCCCATCCCCACCCTCAGTTCGCATCATGGCTGCTGCGCAACCTAGACCGTACAGGCGAATTTTGACTTCGGCGCTGCACCGACGCTTTGTTCACGCCTCCGCGCTTGCGCTTCTAGTCTGCTATGTCGTCGCAATTGCGATTGGGGACAAGTCGTCCTGTAAGTCTATCGTCGTGTCGTGTGGTCCTAGAGTTTCGCGTTCCTTCTTGTTTTTAATCGAGCAAGTCCCAGAAGCTAAAATTTCGATGTCTCTAGTACTTTGGTCATGGTTTCCAATCGGAACATGTGGAATTCGCACCCTCTTACTCTTTGTTTCGTCCCTCGCCGTCTTCGTCCTCCGCGTTGGTCAAATGCACATCGGCTCAAGGACAACTCAATCCTCACTCGGCACATTCCGATACCTCTTTCCTCTGAATATTGCTCAAACCTTTGGCTGGTATCTTTTTTCAGCTTGGTGGTTCACTGAGATCTATTTGTGGTCGTCATCGGCAAGTGCACACCTGGAATTGGTGAATCGGGGCAGGTATGTGGTGTATTCGGAATAATATTAAGATTGAGCTAATTATTTGAGCATAAGATCCCACGAACGACCAACTTTGAATGAGAGACCGATCTATCTCCATACATACCACATCCTCCTGGCTTGTGTGCAAGCGGTGGTTCACCTCTATTATGACTACGACCGTATCCCCGTGCCTGTCGCAAACCGAGTTCACAAGTCTGCCGACGAGCGCACACATACAGTACCTGCGGTTTCTAAATACCTTCAAGACACTCTGCCCGCAGCCCTTGTGAGCGGTCTCACAAGAAGCATTATTCTTGCTGGAGTCACTCCCGTGGTATACAAAGTATTCCTCAGGCGGGCTGCATGGAGCTGGTCCTTGTACTTTGCGAAGCTCTTTTGGAACTTTTCAAGGTCTTCTGCCGAGCCTGATACATTTCTCCCTCCGGGCTTCATCGGCTTGGTTATCCAGTGTTTCTTCTCCGGAGCGTTACTGGTCCTTTGCTGGCAAACTGCCAACCTGTTCTTCTCTATCTTCATTGGCAAGGAGCCTCTCAAGCGAGGACAGCCACTCACATCGGAGGCCAAGGACCCCAACGGCAGTTTGCTCACTGGCTTGAAGGCCAAGAAAGAGGTGGTAAAAGCTTTTGCATTCTGGGAACTCAGTCTTATCAGTCAGCGCTTGCCCGAGCGTCGAAAAGCCATTTTCAACGAAATTGATCGTGACAATGGTTCTACGTGGTCTCAGCTTGTTGATTGCGTCACTGATGTAATTAAGGACATCAATACTCGCATCGAAGAGAGCAAAAACCCTCCGCCAGGCGTGAAGGTGGCGCAGCCCGAAGCATCCAAACCGGTCCTCCAGACCCTGCCGAAGTTGACCGAGCCTCCCAAGGACGACAATGTCTTCGCGGCTGCCCCCAAGGCCACCTCACGCCAGGCTAAGTTCGGTGAGGCTTTCGGTTCGACAGCCAAATCATATGGGCAGTCTGCGGACTGGACACCGACCGCGCGGGCTCGGGCTCGTGATGTCTTTGATCGGGCCTCGTCAGCCATGTTGAGTCCTGAGCGCAAGCAGAAACTCCTTGCCTCGTCTCAGGAGCTGAAGTTGCTCACCGGGGGTCCCTCAACGACCCATAAACCGGAGAACGTCCACCCGATCATCGCACAAATCCTCCGTTCGCCGATCGGCCAGCCTATTCGGCAGACATATGCCCGGCGAGCGTCGGGCATTGTTCTCGGCTCGCCCGATGCATCGCTCTGTCCAATTGTTGACGCTGTCGAATCGCTGACCCGACTCCTGATTGCTAGTCTGACAGAGGATCAGTACGGCAAAGTGCAAGCAGACGTGCCAGCCGTGGTGCATCTTTTTACACAAACTATCATCGTTCTGGAGGCGTTTGTCCACAAAGGTGGCTTGGATGCCCACTGGACCGATGTTTACTTCCCACCTTCCAGTTACCCCGAAGCACAGGCCGAAGCACGTCAAGTTCCCGACGTTGAGCTGGTGCTGGGGTCATTAAAGAGTGGTCTTGGGGACCTGCTGGCGGCTTTCAAGCCCTACTTGCGGGATATCGGCCTCGTCGGTAAGGAATTGCGGTTGGCCAAGGAGGCCGCTGGTGTCGAGGAGGAAGATTCATCATGATCTACTAATGATCCCAATCTGTTTTGTTTTGTTCAAGCAACCGATGAATAATGGTTTCTTGAACAACACGTTTTTGTATTGCTATTCTCATATCCTGCCAGGGTTGGTCTCGGACAAATGCATGGTTCGGCGTTACAGTGCAATTGGCGTGGGTATCGCCTGGAATTGTAGCGAGATTCTTCCCATCCAGTAGACCCTGCTAGTACTTTTAAAAAAACAACCGCCCTTTCATCGGAAATCTGATGTGATCCATACTTGGATCACATGACAACAGGCTGGCGATAACGGTTGAGCCCATCGTTGCAATCCAAGCCACTCAAGAAGCAGCACTCGATCACAAACCCCAGATAGACCGCAGTGGATTTTCCACGATCCCTCGTGGTGTATACTGTTTCAAGAGATTCACCATGTCCTTGACCAACGTCTATCATCTCCGGCGGGTCGCAGATACCAGCGCAAAAGCATGTTTCATCTGCTACAAGCCGTCGACCAGCGTGTTGATCACGCCAGACAACAAGGTAAAATCCACCAGAGGGATAGCCCAACTATCTGATTATGTTGCGTATATTGCGGCTAGTACTTCAACTCGACTTTTTATACATGCAATGGCTCACCAATCCCCCGCAGGACTTCTTCTACGTGTGCCTCGCACACCTACAAGACCGCCACTTCTGCTCTCCTATTGTCGACACCGAGGGCCAGGCTGCGCGCGCCAAAGAAGAGGCCATGGCGCAGGAGATTGAGAAGGTGAAAAAGGAGTACGAGGAAAAGCAGCGCCGCAAAAAGGAGCGCGAGAAGGAATCCAATAAGGACGACAATAACAAAGACAAAGACACAGAGAAGGAGAAAGAGAATGAAAAAACAGACAAGGAAAAGACCAAAGAAGCCGATGCCACGGGGTTCAAATCTACCGAAGAGAAGGAGAGAGATGATAAGGTATATTCCCAGTTAACATCCTTGATCTGAATACCTCGCTAATGAATCTGATTCACAGATCGATGCTATTCGGAAGACCGGGTCAGAAACCAAAGCTGATGATTCACCCCGAGTATTCTCTTTACACAAGTATGCGCCCCTCGGGTCTTTCTACTTATTGTTAAGTGCGGTAAGTCCTGATGAGTACGCAGGAACTTTTATCAGATGCGAATCGACCGGCTACGGAACATCGAAATGGCCAAGAGAAACCAGGAGCGGTTCAAGAACCCGTCATTGTTCCCTTCTGCTCCATCTGGCGATCTTTAGACTCTCGATCTACCTCTATAAAAAGGGCGATCCGCAGCTTCGCCAGGACGTGCTGGTTTGGAGAACTGACTCATCATCAGTTACTGCCAGTGATGACCTGACGATTCCTTTCGAGCTTCTTTTTCTCCGGAACCTACAAAAACGCGAGACTGACATCGTCATCCCCAAAATCGCTCCGGAGGAGCTGGCACAGAACGTTTGGGACCAGATAGAGAGGTCTGAGAGAATCAGTCAAGCAGAGAGAAATTGAGTAAAAGGGTTTCGAATACTATGATTATGAATGCTATTTTACTTATATATAAGCTGATGACACTTGCTCTTATACAGCTTTAGGTCTCATTATCAAGATATAATTCCTACAGCTCTACTGCCTAAATTCTCCTCTGCTTTAAAAATTCTATTATTTAGATAGAGAGCTATAGTTCTACGAATATGAATACCTAACTACTACTTTTCACTGCTTTTTTGAACTGTTTTTTGAACCCGTTTTTTGTCTCTTTTTGTTCTATATTTTCTTAATAATAATATTTATTCCTCTATCTTAAGCTATTAGTGATTGCCATATATCCTTATATTATGAATTCTAGCTTATACTAACTTGAATATTCGTATTCACGCGCACTCCGTCCGACGTTCCCACCGGACCGTGGCTGGCTCCATTGCCCGCGAAAAGAGAGACTGTAGGAAGGGTCAGTTAAGCTCATAGCATAGAAAAACACGGAGAAAAAAAATACCGAATAGTCAGTCTCCGGCACCCCCGTCCGGTCCTCGGGGTTATAGAAACGGAATTCACGAACCAACGTCGCAACAATTACCTCGAGGTTTAAATACGCAAACTTCTCCCCAATGCAGCGGTGGCGGCCCGCGCCGAAGGGCAGATAGGGGCTCTTGGTGCCCTTGGAGACAGCACCATACCCGTAATCGATAGTGTCGGTTCCGTCGTCCTCGACTTCCGCAGGCCGGGCCTCCCAGCGGTGCGGGTCCCAGGTCAAGGGATTTGGGAAGTAGCGGTCGTCGCGGGCCGTGACTCCAGGCGATGAGAGCAGGGTGTGGGAGGTAGGGACGACGAAGTCAGAGCCAGGAACGGGGAGCGGGTTCTTGACCTTGCGCATAAGGGTGTGGATAGACGAGTGGATGCGCAGGGTCTCGCGGACGACATGCTGATGCAGAGACAGCTTGTCGAGATGCGAGTATTGCAGCGGCGGCAGATCAGCGCCCAGCTGAGTGACTTGCTCCTCGTAGAGTTCATTCACTACCTCCGGCTGCGCCGCCAGCCGCAGCAGAATCCAGCAGCTGATCGCCGACGACGAGTGCTGACCAGCCATCAACAGCGTGATCATCATGTGCGCGATCTCCTTGTCCGGGATGGGCGTGCCGTCGCGGTACACACACCGCATCAGGTTCCCGATCATGTCCTTTTTGTTTTGCTCGGGTTGAGCACTGGCTTGTCGCCGCGCTTGGATGATCCCCAGGTATATCTCCTTCATACGGGCGTGCGCGGCGTCGCGCTTGCGATTACGTGGCAGCGGCGCCCAGGGGAGCATGAAGTTGATGGGCGTGAACCCCCCATCCAGGTCGTGGTAGAGCTCTGCGAACTCCGAGGTGAGCTTTGCGCGCACTTCGTCACCCTGGAGGGTGCGGCCGGCTGTGAAGATCGTGATCTCGGCCATGGCGGCTGCTAGGTCGATGGTTCCGGACGGGCCTTTGAATTTGCCGGATGTTTTGATGTATTGGTTGACTTCTTCTTCGATTAGGGGGACGTAGGATTCCAGGGCTTCTTGGCTGAGGCCGAATTTGATGAACTATACATCCCGAGTTGAGATTAGTGTGATGTAGGAAGAGAGAAAGAGAGAAATCACCTTCTTCTGCTCCATCAGCTTGCTGTTTGAACAGTCGTATACCACGTCAGAGCCAAACACCGGGGTGGTCAGCTTGCCATAGACCTCTTCGGCATTGACATCCCTGAGTTTCCCATTGAGAATGAACTCGTTCCCCTCGACGCCGAGATAGACAGTGGTCTTTTTGCCCAGCAGAATAAAAGTAAAGATGTCTCCGTACTAAAGGCAAATGTGAGTTCTTCCAAGAAGCCCTTGTTTATTCGCAACACCAACACACACCTTTTTCCGACAGGTGAAAAAGAACCGGTAGGGATCCATGCCATAGCTCACGGTGCTGCCCACGATGGGAAACCAGTGAAACACAACTGGGGGCTCATTCTTCTTGTAGAAGAGGAACTGGTTGAGTACATTGAGGAGAACCGAGATAAAAACAATGGCGGCGGCGTAGCAGGCGATGCGTAGCAGTTGGCCCGTAACCAGTTGCACGAGGAGCTCCATTTTAACAGAATTGGAGTAAAAAAAAACTCAATAATTTGCTCAATCAGACAACTCTATACACACATACTAAAAGAGATGGGTAGGGCCATTTGTACTTCAAATCAGAAGCGCGGCATTAATCATCTCAGGGCTCCGGGGGTCACGCCACTGCAGTCCCCGGCTTCCGACAGGCACCCAACACAATATTGCTATGCCACGACTCTGGTTGGGTTAGAAAGAGCCCCTCTGGGGTGGGACAGGCATCCTTCGAGCTATGTAGGGGATTATGTAGCATTCGAACTCGAATATTAGGGGGAGCTATGTCCGACAAATGCAATGTGCAAGACAGGAAAACTCAGTGAAACCAACGCTATAAACAAATGCCACCAACACCCAAAACTGTGGAAGTAACTATACCAAAACGCAGAAAGACAGTCATTAACGTGAAAGTCGAAACGAAAAAGGAAAAGAAAAGATCGTCGTTAGCCCGAGGTGGCCACCTCTCGTGTCTCCCACATCCGGCGGATCATCATCTCGTTCTCGTTAACTCGGTAATCCTCGAGATCGGCGTCCCCGCTGATTCCACTGGGGCCATCGTATGAAGTGGAGAGGATACGATGAGATGGATGAGGCGACTTGGCAGCCTGCGCGGCATCGGTCGACTCGCTATTGGTTGTGGGGTTTTCGGAAGCGGAGGAATTCTGGTCAGCCAACTGAGACTTGGAGTTGACTGAGCGACTGGGACGTTTTCCATGTTGGAGAAGAGGCAACGATGGGGCTGATTTGACGGTTTTGCTCAGTAACGATGGCTGCTCGGGTCCATCGGGGGCGGTCTTAGATGCCCGCGCAATCGATCGAAGTCGAGCGAAGCTGTCGGCGCTGGGGGACTGAAACCGTCGCACAACCATAAGTTCCAGCGACATCTTTTCGTAAGCCTTGCGGACATGCCGGGCTTCACTGTCATGCCCGACGGCGCCGACCCGGCCCCCACCATTCAGTCCACGGCCTGCATCGTAAGTGACAGGACCCGGGCGTGCATGAGCCGGGTCGATCGCCGCTGGAGATACAGTCGCCGACACACCATGTGTATCGGGAGGAGAATTATTCAGTGTGGCGGTGCGTTGAAGCCAGAGCTTCTGCTGAGTCCGGGAGGGGAGCTCGGCGCCGCGTGGTCGCGCAGGTGACGCAGCAGGTTTACCAGCGCCACGGTTTGGTGATGGAGGGGTTTGCGGATGGTAGTGGGGAAGAAATGAGGAGGGTGTGTTCGGATCTGAATCGGTTCGAGGAGACGCCTGTGCGCCAGATTTGTTGTTGACGATGAATCTAGAAACACCGCCTTCGATGGAGGACGAGGTAGCTTGGGGTTGATTGCCAGGCATGCTTGACAACCCAAGATTGGATGTAGAAAAAGTTCGCCGAGTACCATCCTGGTCAGCAGCCAGATTCAAGGCACTGCGCGATGCAGGGTCTGCGACTGATGGTTTCACCATAGCGGAGATCGACGACATTGCGGGAGGTGCCTTAGCAGAATGTGAGGGACTGAGAAGGCGGCTGGTGATATCGCCTTGTTCAAGCGGTTGACCGGACTCGTCGCGCACTTCATCGGCAGAGTTGTGTTCTCCCTGTTCGTCCTCGTCCTCCTCGGTATTCTCTCGGACTAGTTTGCTGGTAATCGATTCCGGAAGGCTAGTAGCTCGCGGCATTTGAGGCCACGGACGCTTCACAAAGGTGAGCGGGTCGACCAAGACAGCGTTGTTGGTATTATCCAGGCTGTGGTTCGAGGGCACGACGGAGTTGCGCCGTGTGCTTTCGGGTGACTGGGTGGTGTCCTCCCAATCAGCGTCATCGTTTTCAACCTCACCAAACTCGAATCCGACAGTTTTCTTCTTTCCCGCGCTTGACTGAGGCCGGTCGACCACCGGCGCCTTCTTCCCAAGACCCGTAGTACTCCGGCGTAGCGCAGGGGTCGAGTTATTGCGTTTCATCGAAGGAGCGGTCTGGTGGTCATCCAAAGCACCATCCCAGCGAATGTGACCGGTTCCCTTGGGACTCGCCACGGGAGTTGCTGGGGCAGACTTCTTGCGCTGGTGATGTCGCCCGGTAGACTCGGCGCCAAATTGAAATCGCTGGAGTTTGTTCAGGTTCTTTCCAAAGGAGGGGTTGCGGTGGTGGTTGCGGTGGCCACCCACGACATGGGCGCGATGCGGCTTATGATGCACGGGGGCCTTTTGGGTATGAGACTCCGACAGGTCATTAGGATTGGCCCGCGTGACGACCGCGTGAGAGGACACAGCGCGACGCCCGAGACCGGGGCGCTTGACGGGGGATGAGGTATTTGTCGGCATAGCGGCAAAGCCAGAGCCAGGTAATCAGCGACCAACACGGGGCATCGAAAGGTGGGGATTGGCCAAGGCAAGAGTATCACAGCAGGTCGGAAGTCATGCAGGCCAAAAAGCAAAGTCGCCCAAATCGCATGCGGCGTTCCGCACGAAAGAAACGGAGATTTGGGGCGAAGTGGCAGAATGTCCCCGGGCGTCACAATACGGTCATTACCACGCTGGAGCTATATCGAATATGCTATTTCATGAAGTATCGTGGTATTGCGCGTAACAACACTCTTCGAGAGCAGAGAAAGCAGTATGAAACACCAAGCATCAATCCAAAAGACGTGAAAAGAAAAAGGGCATGGTTTAATCTCTTTCCCACTAGTCGAGCACGCTGAAGTAAGGTAGCACTGCACAACTTGTTTCTCGAGTTATACAGCTCTTGCAAGCCCACCTCGATAGCGGCAAAGTCTCCGCTAAGATATATAGCCCAAAAGAATAGAAGAAAATAGAGGGTCAGGAAGTAGACGGAAGGAGTGAATATCAATTCATACTTCACCAGGCGATGACCATATACTTGGACATTCATAGGGTTGCTATTTTCAAGGTCCTGCCGTCGTCTTTGGGCCCCTTCACTGTCTCTGATTAATTAGGACGATGACTCTACCATTTCCTAACCACTCAATAGACTAAGCAAAGTTTATCAATCATTAAAGCTAAGTCTGTGATGCCCAGGTAAAATTCCCAATGTTATTCAGTAAGCCTAGGCCTAAACGCCTTCAGAAAGTCCCACTTGAAAGGGAAGAGCCAGTACATATAAATGCAGATCCCAAATTAAAAAAAAGACAAGGCTATAGTTCAATCAAGCTCTCCTCCACCGGCCGTGTGGGCTGATAGGCCGGAATCTGTCCGCTTTGCGGTGCATGCGTGCCCGGTGGGGCAGTCGCCATCTGCGGGTATGTTGTGGGCGTCTGTGGTTGTTGCGGTTGATAGTAGTAGGATTGTGGAGAAGCTCCAGGTGCTTGCTGATGGGATCCCGGGCCGGGCGGAGGCATTGAATATGTAGGTGATTGCACATACTCGGTGGGCGTGGGCGGTTCGGGCGCACTTGGGGCTGGGACGCCTGGCGGGGCGCTGGGCTGGTATTGCGAGTCTCGCTGCATGATCGGTGATGGCTGATATGGTGGTTCCGTAAACGGTGATTTGGTTGGGTCTTGATCGGGTTGGGCTGTGTAGTACTGCGCTGGAGCTGGAACATGGTTGCTGGGGATGGCACTGCTGGGTGGAGGCGATCCCAGAGACGGGTATAAATTTCTTGCCCAGGCAGTATGGTGTGGTTCATTTGGAGCACCCGGAGGAGCTCCGTGGGGCGCCTGGCCTGAATATGCAGGGCTCACGACGCCGCTCGGTGTCCCTTCGAAGCCACCGCTGTTTACTCGCGGTGGCGCATAAACAGTAGTGGGCGGGCGAGAGTTGTCTGTCGGGTTTCCGTAGTAAAAATTTTCGGCACCGGTCCTTGCATCTGGTGCGTGTGAAGGCAAGGAAGCTTGCACAGTCGGATACTGCGGTGCTCCAGGAACGGCACCATATCCGATAGAATAGGCACTGGATAGGCGTTCTTCTAGCATTCGATCGTAGTAGCGAACCACAGTGGAGAGTTTTGAATGCAGATCCAGCAAAGTGTCTACAGAATCAGTATTGACACGAGCCCATCGGCGACAAGGAGCACTAGACTTACCGTGCTTGCTCATAGTCTCTCCATAGCTGCGAGCCAATTTGGGCCGCAATGCCCCGATACTATCATAAAGCTCCTGTATCTGGGGCTCTCGGAGAATAGTGCCGGGAGGCTGATGCTGTAACCGATCGACCAGGGAAGAAAAGAGATGGATGTTCTCTGCCTCTACCGGACTGAGCTCGTATGGATTCTTAGGTAAGGGAGTCGGGGTGCTGGAGGAATCACGCAATGGAGAGCTTGGGTTAGGGGCATTCTTTAACGCAGCCGCATGGTTTTGCTTGTGCTCTTCCATATCCCGCAAGGACGCCTCGATCGCAGCCTTGAGATCGGCATCCTCTTCCTCCACGTTTGCTGGCCCTGAATCGGTCTTGGTCGTATCTGGAACATTGCCAGTTTGCGGCACAAAACCTGAAGGACCTTTCCCTTCAGCTTCTTCGAGGCTCATCTGCAGCGCCCGGCGCAGATCTTCATCGAACCCTGTATCTGCCTTGGCCCCGCGAGGTTCCATGGCGCTGGATTTGGTAATAGAGTGATTCTTGAATGAAGACCTGTCGGAGAGACCCGACGTTAAGGGCTTCGATGTTAACTTAGTGTAGCACCCGTCGTCCACTCGAACCGGCTGCAGGATCCCAAGATGCGGTAATGGCAGGGTCTTGCTGGAACACTGAGCATCGAAAACATTACCACAGTTCCGGCAGTGGTGCTTGCGGTTCATAAAGCTAAACAGAGTACGGCATCGCATGCAAACATCGGAATCGATCCACTCCGGTGGCTGATACAGGCCTAGAGGTTAGCACCGCTTTCGCAAATCTGGTGTAGATACACTCACCGCGCTGCTTTCTAGCATGCTGCCGCTCATTTCAGTCTTCGGTGGAAATTGAAAACCTTCGCCCTGTAATTTGCGATACGTCTCCCCCAGGTACGACAGATCAATCCGGCCCTGAGCAGCCATGGCCCAACTTTGGACTAGTTCCAAGATCTTCCGCTGGACGTCTGGATTGAGGGGCGCGCCTTCGGCCTTGAGCAGCGACACAAGGTTATCCATGAATTCACGAGAGGCAATCTCTGCCAGAAAGTGGGTGCCGCCATTCTTCACGCATGTATCGGTCAACTGATGGGCAATCGAGCTTATCAGCATCTGACCCGAAACCACGATTCCTAATCAAGGTGCCTACCTTCAGTGTTGCCAGCTGGATATTGGGATTCCGGTTCTCCAATCGGCGTTTCAGAGACTTCATCGCGTCTTTGGGCTGGACACTCTTTGATCGGACGAGGTCGGATATCTCCAGGTTGAGGGCGATATCTTCCCTAGGGATGTGTCAGTCACTAGCCCGGTAATCTCAGAAAAAGCCGGACTATTGTATATGACCCCAATCCGAGGGTATATACCGACGGGCGCGCACAACATACAGGGAAGAAGAGGTTGCCCGCTCGACCTGCTCATCGAGCGGCGAGGTAGAGGAGAACCAGCCTGCCATAGTAACGGCCAGGGAGACATCCAATAGTAAAAGGCAGTGTGAGGGAGCAAGGCGATCAAATCCACACAGCTAGTGATGAAAGGACAGGAAACTCGCTCTGTGAAGGGAAGTTAAGCATCGCAAGATACGCAAGGTGAGCCTTGGATAGTTAGCTCCAGGCACCAATGACTAAGCCCCTGGCGTCATAGGCCGAGGGCGGTGAGGATGTATGGTCACCGTGTTTCGATACGGCGCATGGGCGCTCCTGGATGTTGTCCTTCTCCCATTCCCTTATGATTCTATTCTTTCAGGATTGCCTGCTGTGTGATCCATAGGCGGCACTATTTCTTGACTTGCTGCAGACACACAGCTCCCAAAGTTGTTGTTCCCCGCGTCGGGACGGAGTGAGCCATGCGCTGAGCCCCCCCCCCACCTTCCCTCCGGATCTACCATGTCCTCCGATGCGACGACGTTGCCATCTCCACCAGATATACCACCGTGGAAGGGTGCCAGACGTCCTTACTCGGTGGGAAGCAACATGAAATCTAACGGACCAGGCTCCAGCCCCGATTCCTTTCCAAATGGCACCCCTACACTCTCGCGACGAGCCCGGTTCCCCAACATCAAGGACCTGCAGGATCAGGCCGCAGGATTGAATGTGAATGACACTACTTCGGTAAGTAATAGGTTTAATTGTGGGCTTTGAAGTTTACGCTTGCTCATTTCAAACATAGCCCAGTGTTTTGCTGAAGACAGCAGCCGAGGCGATCGAACAAGCCAAGTACCTTGTAGATGGCCAACCGGACAAGGCCTATGTCCAGTACCTGCGAGCCTCCGAAATCACAGTAAATACCATTCCTCATCATCCGGAATACCGCACAACCATTACTCAGCGACCGGGATGGTATAAAGAGTTTGCGGATTTGATGATGGTACGTTGTTCTCCGACAGGCCTTGCCCGGGACCGGTGCTGGATTAATTGTTCTCTTCTTTATGGGCATGCTGGCTAATTTGGCATTGGTAAACTAGGCTGTCAGGACCAAACAAGGATCAATGGACGCCATCAAACGACAGATTATCGAGGATAATTTGGTCAACAACACACAACCCACTGGTTTGTTTGCTGCGAGGTCCCCAGAACATCAAGCTTCCCCCAGTCTAAGGGGACAGGAAAATGGTGGATCAGGGACCAACTCGGTTAGAATGCCGAGTCCGACACAGTTCCATCGGACTGCTGAGCTCCAAGCACAACCCAAACGATTCTCGAGCCCCGCAGAAGATATGCTTGCGCAACGTTTTGCCAAGCTCAAGGCATCTCAGCCTCCTCGCGAATATGAGTCGAGTTCCGATATGGCTGGTCCCGACGGCTCCACTATGGGATCTGCAGGGCAGGTCCCTTCTCAACTATCAACCCACCCGCCACAGGGACCGTATAGTTCCCCTCCGTCAAGGCGTCCGCTAGGGCCTCGCAGCATGGAGTCTTCGCCAAGTGTACCGACCCTTCCTCCGAAGATTCCTCTAACTTCGTCCCTGCCTCGCGCTCCAGATCCAGCGTACAGCCCTATATTCACAGTGCCCTCACAACCCCCGCCAAATCCACCCCGGACCTCGACCGAAAGCACACGATCTGTCAACCCTCGATACTCCCAATTTACCAACTCCCCTCGTGGTAGTCCAAGTCGGGGTGGTTTGGATGACAATCCGTATAGATCACTAACCCCCAACGGTGTTCATTCGGTGCGAGAGACACGAAGCAATTCGCCCGACTTGCCTTACCATTCGGCGATTACTGCCCAGAGTCTCCTCGAATATCTCCGTAAATTCAACGTGTTGCTGATTGACATTCGCCCTCGCGATCAGTATGACAGCGGTCATGTTTATGCAAAATCCATCATTTGCATTGAGCCTGTTGTCTTGAAAGAAAACGTGTCCGCGGAGGAGCTCGAGGAGCGACTCGTGGTGTCACCTGAACATGAACAAGCCTTGTTCGAGAAACGCAATGAGTTCGATCTCGTTGTTTACTATGATCAGAGCACGGATTCTGTCAGCTATCTTGCGGGTTCCCCCGTAGGGACCTCGGCGCCGCACTTGAGAGCTTTGCATGATACTTTGTACGAATTCAATGCATACAAACCGCTCAAAGCCGGACGCCCTCCGGCACTTCTTCTCGGTGGCCTTGATGCTTGGATTGATCTTCTTGGGCAGCATTCGCTTGCCACGTCTTCGACCACAGCAGTTATGGGATCCCTTCAAACCAAGAAACCTGTTCCGAAGCCAGGGCGCCCTCTCGGAAGAGTTCCTACCATGGCTAGCGCAAACTCGAGCCTGGAAGTGCGCAAAAGAAGGCTTCGCGAGTTCACGCCGTTGGATTCCAAGGAGCTTTCGGAATGGATGGAAAAGTCTAAAAACGAGGAGATTGACACCAGTACCTACGTGGAAGAAGGAGCACTTACAGAAGAACCGCAGGAGGTTGTCGGGGCAGAGCCCTCTAGTCCTTTTGTTCATACATACGAGGACTTCCTGCGCCGCTTCCCTGAGCCACATCACATCCAGCAGTCGATGATGCATCCTGGCTTTCGCCCAGCTTCGGCACCTGTCCCCAGTTATGCTGCCCCTATGCCAGCACCTCCCTCGCGGCCTCCTCCCGCCGTTCCACGGCCCAGTTACAGTGGGGTCTCAGATGGCCGCCAGATCCAGCCTCACCTGGAACGTCAGAATTCGGCCTCCCGTACTGCTTTGTACCCGTCAAGCTCGGCCCTGGCTCGCTTGAAACTTCCGCGGACAGGGCTTACCAATTTTGGTGTGACGTGCTACATGAACTCCACCCTACAGTGTCTCAGTGCGACGGTGATGCTCAGCAAGTTCTTCATCGACGACCGGTTCCGGTACTATGTACAGAAGAATTGGAAGGGGTCACAAGGTGTCATGCCCGGACTCTATGCGAATCTGATCCGATCGTTGTGGAGAAATGATGTCGAGGTGATCATGCCCACCTCGTTCCGAAATTTCTGCGGCCGTTTGAACCGGGAATGGGCCATTGACCGACAGCAAGATGCCAAAGAATTCTTTGACTTTGTGGTGGATTGCCTGCACGAGGACCTTAACATCAACTGGCAACGCACACCGCTACGGCCCTTGACCTTTGCGGAGGAAATGCAGCGGGAGCGAATGCCTGTCCCCCGCGTGTCGAGAATCGAATGGGACCGATACTGTCACCGGGAGGAATCCTTCATTTCGTCCCTGTTTGCCGGGCAACATGCCAGTCGGCTGCGCTGCACAACGTGCCGCCAAACATCGACAACCTACGAAGCATTTTATAGCATCAGTGTGGAAATCCCACCCTCCGGCACGGGGGACCTATATCAGTGTCTCCGCAGCTACTGCCAGGAGGAGATGCTCAGCGGCGACGAGGTGTGGAAATGCCCGCACTGCAAATGCAAACGCATGGCCACCAAGCAGATCATCATCACGCGTGCGCCACAAATCCTGGTGGTCCACTTCAAGCGCTTCTCCGCATCCAAGACCCAGAGTGCGCGCAAGATCCACACCCCCATCGAGTTCCCCTTACACGGGCTGCGTATGGACGACTTTATCATCTCATACCCTAACGCGGCTCCACCCCCGGACGCCGGGGCTGCTCCACCCACTACGGGCGCCACCGTGCCGCCGTTCACCTACGATGCTTTTGCAGTACTCCGACACATTGGATCGTCGATGGGCAGCGGGCACTACATCTCGCTCGTGCGCGATGCAGAGCGCCTGTGCTGGCGGCGATTTGATGATGAACGAACCACTGACTTCAATCCACGAGATCTGCGAGCGCGAGACCGGATGCAGAACGAGCAGGCCTACATTGTGTTTTATGAGCGAGTGCCAGCGAAATAAGCGTTTCCATGTTTTCTTTCTGCATCTCACGATAGCCACGATTGGATACTGGATAGAGAGATTGGGGCGCATTGGGCGTGTTGGATATATACTAGCAATGTTGCGATGCCAGCGTACGATATAACGAACACTTTGACATATGACACTCTTGGTTATCCCGTTGGAAAGACTACTACTAGACCTTGTGTAGACTGGATTGGCGAGATATTCCTTGCAAATGCGCATCTGCGAGCCCAAAACCACCGCCAAATAGAGCGAGCTATCGGCAGATCCACAACCGATATTCACGATTCAGATATTCCAATCTCAATATATATACACTTTCTATCCCAAGTTCTTCTCGTCCCTCCCCGATTCCTGTAATTACCTGCCAACTACAGCGTTCCTGCCTGCGCCTCTACACTCTCCTTCTCGCCTTCTCAGGGGTCTTTCATACCATATTCTGTCTCCAGCACCGTGCGCAACTTGATTTGTTTTTCAAGCCAGACAACTCAATAAGACTATCATAGACTCCCGACGTAAAAGCGTAGACAAAGACGGGAACACCCAGGTGATATTGGTTCCCAAGAGGAGTGAAGTAGGGATTGTTGCTATTCCAGCGAGAGGGAATGAAGGCGCTCTGGCCCTAGTTAAGAAAGTCGTATTTGACATAATCTGTGTTATAATTATGGTTTTTAGGCAGATCTTCTCTGGCCTTCCTGCTCATATCAACCCATGCTAATAATAGAAGTATACAGCGAGGCAAAGGAAGCGCCGGGTCCTCTTCCTTAATTTATCAGAGCATCACAAAATCAAGAGTACCGCCTGCTGACTCACCACCGAGCACAATCTGAGAAGCTTGGATCTGAAGTGTCTCTAGAGCATAGACGTAAGTAGTGAGTCTACCTTGAAGTGCTGCTGGGAATGTCATATTCTCGTCCCGAGAGAGGCGGTACTGAATAGAAAGTAATGGCCATCCAGATACTTCACTAAATTTATTGCAGCCCGTGCTAGCACCATCGGAGGGACGTGGACCAAAGATTACTTAGGCACTTGGGTGGAAATGGATAACCAGTCGTCGCGGGGTTTCAGCCGGAGCATTTGGGTACCAGACAGCGCCAATGGGCACGGAATTCTATGAGAACGTGATCGATAAAAGCGGCTAAGGTAGCTGCTTGAGTGCGTCTATCCTCGGAATCCATCTGGTGGGTCTATCATGCCCGAGTTCTTCGGCTTCCGTTTTTTGTCGTTTCCGGACTCTACACAGAGACATTCTAATCGTAACTCACATTACGTGAGATCAGCATGGCCGGGCACGAAAACGGGGGGGAAGACGAAGATGTAGGACGGGCGACCGGACGAAAACGGGAGGATGTGTAGGGTATGCATCATACACAACGCGTTAATCAGCTTTGGTTGGAGAGCAGGAAAAGGACGTAGTCGCGAACTCCGACCGGAAAAAGGGGGCGAAGAGGACGGGCGTCTTCGGAGAAAACGGGATGAGGGCCTACCCATTCCCTCTTCGTCTTTTATCGCTCTCTATCTAGTTATTCCTGGTCATTTTTTGCACCCTCCCAATTCTATGCAATGACTGCGATCTCCGAAGTGAAGGCATCCAATGTCCGAATCTCGGACGAGACGGCGCCTCAAACGGTGGTGATGACTGGAGCCACCGATGGGATTGGAAAAGCCACGCTCATTCGGTTGATTGCGACCAAGGTGCCGGTGAAGGTTTATGTTATTGGCCGCAATGGCGAGAAGCACAACGCATTCCTGGATCAGCTCCGGGGATCCAACAAGCTTGCACAGATCATCTGGCTCGAGGGCCAACTGTCGCTCCTTGCAGATACTCGGAGGCTCTGTGATGAGATCCAATCTCGCGAGCAGCACATCGACGTCTTGTATATGAGCGCGGGCTTCATTGCATCGGGAGAGCGAATCGGTATGTACTTACACTTACCCGCGGTCACGCCGGACCACGGCCACTCACTCGTCAACAGAGACGTCCGAGGGCAACACGATCTGGCTATCGCTGACCTACTCTGGCCGCATGTTGATGATCACCCGACTCCTGCCCCTGCTCAATGCCTCGCCGAGGAGCCCGCGCATCATCTCGATTTTGGCCACGGGCTACGAGTCGCCTTCCATCCACCTCGATGATCTCGACTTGAAGCAGCCCGGTCGTTTCACCCTAACTGAGCTTATAAAAGCGGGGGCGACCTACACGACCCTGTCCATGTCACGTCTGGCGAAAGAAAATCCGCGTGTCGTGTTCATCCATCACAGTCCCGGTGGAGTTGACACGGGCGTCTTTAGAAAGGCGTGGGGTGACAAGTGGTTCTTTCCGGCGCTCAACCTGCTAATGCGCCTAGCTGCAACTTCGCCCATGGATGCGGCCGAGAAGATCATCTACATGATGACCAGTGCGAAATATGGCGGGATTGGCGTGCCGTTGACTGCGGGCCAGAGCCAAGGCTTGAACATGGCAAAGACCACCGAAACAGGATCGCTGTTTTTGGTCAACGACAAGCTCAAAGAACTGCAGCAGGAGAAGATTATGGCGAAGCTGCATAATCTAAATGGTGGAGAAATTATCTGGCAGATGACGGTAGAGATGATCCGACCATATGTTTAATTAGTTGTCCCAGTTTCACTGTAAACTACGTGCATTCACTGTGGCAACGAACAGAAAATGTTTATATATTTACTGAACAACTTAACTCGAACTAAGCGTGCTATATGTCTCACGAGTATCCACGGAGGGAACGGTCAAAACGTATATATGCCTAACATGCCCTGTGTACCAGTCGCATTGTTTCCGAGATTCTCTAACCCCCCATTTTTGACTTGTCCTGAGTTGTTGGTCAGGTTCGGGAAATATCGACGACATTGCAACATTATTAGAAACATTGAAGGATCCCCACAGTTGCTGTTACCAGTTATTAAAGCTATCCAGCATCAGAGACTCAGAATGAAAAATAGAAATCGAAAAAAATTAAGAGAGCCCATGACGCCATGTCGAAATTTAAACCTTGGTCGTTGATATTTGAAAACACGCTAGCAGATGACAAGGGTGGTGTCTTGGATCTAGATAAAAGAGTTACACAACAGCGCGAAACCCAACCAAAGTACAAACCTTTAAACGAGAACGATGGGTTCAAATTTGACAACCGCTGAGTCTTTGCTGTCGTAGTTGGTTGGTAGGTATGCAAGGGTGATGTCGTGTCCTGCAGCTGGCTCCAAACTTGGAATCTTTACGTCAATCAAAGCAATTGTTAAAACATACTGCCCGGACCTACAGTACCTTTTTTGCTCTAGCCCCGATCATCCAAGCGTCATCCTTAATTACTAATCTAGATAGATCTGCAGGGCTTACTCCTCGCGTGACTAGTTTGTGACACAGTGTAGATCTTCTCTTGTCTAGCTGCTCGTGAGGTTTGTATGAAGAGATCTCGCTATTTGAGTCCTAGGGTCGTCCAAATACGGATTTCGTTGCATTAGTTGCGTTACACGACTTGAGCACTACTTCAACGTAGTGAGCATCCTTTCTTATTCTGATCTCAGGCTTAGGTTGAAGGTTGACGTGTCCATGTTGCGCTATGAAGCGGTGACGCAGTTAGCATCGGCATATCGTTCTTGGGTCAAAGGTATATTATACTGTACTTAGTTAGGGATTTAAGTGCCACCAGTACCCAATTGGCGCGCTACCATCAGCGGACGACCGTCTTCCATCATCCTTCACAAAATTTAAACGCTTGGTACGCATTCGAAAATGTGCTTCTTGTTCGTACAAAAGAAGCCAGCAGCTAAAACAAATAATCGACATAGATCAATATGGCAGACGATCTTGGAACGAACCTTGTCCAGCTACAAGACCTAAAGAACGGGGTCCTATTAATCAAACTCAACAAACCACAGTCAGGGAATTCTTTACACCCCGTTCTCCTTGCCGATTTACGTCAAGTCATTCAATGGGCAAATCAACAAAACACCGTCCAAATTATTGTTTTGACTGGAAATGGCCCTTTCTTCTGTACCGGCATGGAATTAATAAGTGATGAGGAGATCTCCTTTGCACTAGGTGCAGACTTCCATCAACTTAATAAGGAGCTGATCTTATCTGAGAAGATCTTAATCGCTGCGGTAAATGGCCCTGCTGTAGGATATGGTACCACCTGCCTTGCGTTATTTGATCTGGTCTATTCCGTCCCAGAGGCTTACTTCTTCCTTCCATTTATCAAATGGGGATTTCTTCCGGAGGCCACTGCAAGCTTCAGCTTTGGGAGAATGATGGGCCACCAGAGAGCATCATCATTGTTTCTGACAGGGGAGCGCATCTTCGCCCCGGAGGCAGAACGGTTGGGCCTTGTCAGCAGAGTTCTTCTATCTGAGAACTTCCTAGGACAGGTCCTAGCAATTGCAGATAGTATCGACCGTTCGCCTGGTGGCTCTCTCCAAGCAACAAAGCGATTGATGAAACACCCACTCGTGAAGGATTTGCTGGACACAAATGATCGTGAATGCCGTCTGCTTCAGGAAGAGAGAATGTCCAGTGATAATGTCAAATATGCAAAGGAGCAATTCAAGATTGAACGAGGCCGAAAACGCCGGGAGAGACAGGAGGTCAAGGCGTCACTGTGAGATGGCTCGCAGCAGTAATCTTCAATTCAGAATTTGAGATCGAGTATTATTGGAGATACTTATAAGCCCTTTGAGCAGATTAGATATTTTCAACGCTTAACAACTACTGGATCAAATGTGTATCACTCTTTTTCACATGCAACCCAACTATAACCCTCATCGTTTGTGTGTTCCTTTGATTAACTTGCCTCATACCATGATCAAGTGTTTACCTTGACGATGAGCTTCGATCCTTCGATATGAACAACGCCCCAGCGCCTGGCTCTAGCTCCACCTCGGCGACACTCCTGAATCCGAAAATAGATCTTGATCTCGAGATCACCTTGTCGGGAGGCTCCAGGATCTTCTCTCGCCTCCCTCATCCTGACGATCTCCCTCCCAGAACGACGCCCACGCCGCTGATGTCGAATCCACGATCTCGAGGTCATCTGAAATGAAATGTCTAACAGTTCATGCAGTCGGGATCCGTGCAATTGTTACGTCCCGATTCCAGCCATTCCAGCTCCTGATGTGATGACGGTATGTAAGAGGATCATTGTTCATAATGCGAAGTAGAACATAGAAGTGTAAACTAGAAAGCCAAAAGCTTGGTTTAATCGGCCTGTACTGGGACATGGGGAGGATCACAGAGGGGCAGCAACAGTATGAAAGAGATCAGAAGTCAGGATTGTAGTTAGGGCTGCTTCTAGGGAAATAATCATTTCTACGGATTCACCCACGTTGGAGACGATATGCGGAGACGTGTCACCCCACAGTTCTTCATGTCAATCACACCCCCGTGCTTACGATCAAAGATCACCTCATCCGAGGTCGGGACTATCCACATATTCTGCCACGCTCCAATTCCGCGGAAAGCGGATCCCGACGGCGCTACCCGAGCGTGGCACATCCCCCGAGGTTACGGCTATTCAGGCAACGAGGGCGGGATCAGACGCAAGGATTCCGATCGGATCTGTATATTGGAATTGCAGGGATATCCTAGGTGTTAGGGGTGTGATAATCTCAGTGTCATGGATATTCGAATCTTCTCTCCTGCGGACTTTCTATACATTTGTATACCATGTCTCTTTGCCGAATCTTCATATGCGCCGAGGCCCCCCCAAATAAGCAGCCGCTGATTCGCCCATGGCCGAGTACACCTTTTGTCCCTTGGGATTCGTATGTTTTGCTCTGAATCTCGGTGGAAAGATACCTGGACAAAAATAAATTTAGAAGTATATAGTCAAGCAACATCTCTCTCACGTTAGATCTCCCAACCCCGCACATTCCTGGCCCGGGTGGCAGTCACGGCATCCGCAGTCCCTGGTACCTGGCCCACACTGCGGCGAGACCACCTGGCCGCACGTACCAGGTACATTTCACCGGATCTCTCCTCACTCTTCATTCCCATCTTTCTCTTTCTCTCTTCTTCTCCCCAACTTTTTCTTTTTTTTTTGGCTGTCCGAATACTCCATTCCTCGCATACTCTCTCTCTCTTTTTTTTTTTTTTTGAGATCGTCTATTGAATTACTCCTGTTAGCGTCTGCTTCTCAAGGTGAGTTTTTGAGTTTCCTTTTTTTTTTTCTCCTATCGCCTTTTTTGTTGAGGCCTGTCGCTTTCCCTCAATTGTCCTTTTCTGCAGCCACACCAGAACTGACCCCTGGATGACTCCCCCGCTGACTCGTTTCTTCTTGCTCCCAGGACCTACACAATGTCTGCATCGAAGGAATTCACCCTCCAGGAGGTCGAGGCCCACAATACCAAGAAGGATGCGTACCTCGTTGTGCACGACAAGGTCTACGATTGCACCAGCTTCGTGGATGAGCACCCGTACGTTTATCCCTGAATCTGATTATCTGTCGTCAATCCCCCTTTATCGGACTGTGGCTATCGCTGTCGCAGTCCCCACAACCCACAACCCCCCCCTCGATCCACCAGTCCACCCCGAACACACAAGACCACGCCGAATGCTAACCAGTATATTTCCCGCATAACAGTGGTGGTGAGGAAGTGATTCTGGACGTCGCAGGCCAAGACGCCACCGAGGCCTTCGAGGATGTCGGCCACAGCGACGAGGCGCGCGAGATCCTAGATGGTCTGCTGGTCGGCACGGTCAAGCGCATGGTATGTACCAGCCCTAATTCATTCTACTGATTACTTTTTTTTTATGTTGAATTTCCATTATAATCGAATATCCAACTAACCCCCCTTCAATAGCCCGGCGACCCCGAACCCCGCGCCCAGGCTGCCACCACCACTTCGTCCTCGTCCTCGACCGATGCCGCCGGCTTCGGCGTCGGTCTGTACGCGGTTGTTCTCATTGGCGGTGCTCTCGCCTACGGCGCATACAACTACCTCCAGGCCCAGCAGCAGCAGCAGTAGTTTTGTATTGGAAGGAGTATGTGGGGAAAGAGAGAGAGAGAGAGGGCAAAAACGGGCGCCATTCGGAGAGAAAGATCATATCCAACTTGTTCCTTTTTTTTTATTATTATTTTATTGAATTCTTGGCCTTCGAATTTAGAGACAGCGAGGCCCGGGATTTGGATGTCCTGATTCTTGGGTATTATTATTTTATTGTCCGAATATATCTTCTTCCAAGACTACCTGATAGTACCAAGCACTACAGTACTACAGTACTATAGTAGTAGCACCTGTCGTAGATGGCATAGATAACACCAATATCAGAATCCCATTATCACCGTGAATGGGCAGTTTGTGGATCTGGGATGTCTTTCCTTTTTGGGGCGCACCTCTCGCCGCTTTTGACTCTACTACTTCACTACGGTATACACAAGATTTCAAATTTGATTCCCGTATGGAGAGTTCACTATCTTCCCTGGCTTGACACTGTTGAAAATCATGAATATCGAGTTGATTCGCCTTCGGTTACACTTGACTCACTCCCACAAAGCGGCGATAACTACATAGACAACCGCCAAGCTGATAGTGGTCGCGGACTTCTTTTCTCTTTTGGGGGCGTATTTCCCAGTCGGACAAGTGTTGGCGCGAGGTGGAGTTATTATTCAACTATGACCATCTAGAAAGAAGAGAAGCAAGGTTCATGTATCTCATAAAATAGTCGAGGGGGAAACAGTTACATGAGGTCTCTGGAATCCAATGCAGAATGGGAGAGGAGAAAAAAAAAACATTCTTTTTGGAATAAATCACCGATAAAAACAATAGAAAATACCAAGATGAATATGGAAAATCAATTCCAAAAGGGAAAAAAAGTGTATGTCGGCTCCTATATTCTGGGATCATCCTCCGCTCAAAAAGGAAATGGAAACAAAAAAGAATAAGAGAAAAAAGAAACCAGATTCAAATCACCGAGCCCCGCTCAGCCCGTTTCGTACCGCTTCGAGGATCATCTCCTTGGCCTCCTCCAGACCGGCGGAGCTGCCACGAACCTCGATGGCTTCGCCACGGGCTTGGTCCTTGGGCACGTTGATGCGGCAGCCGGTCTTTTTGCGGATGGCGTTGATCTGGCTGCCACCCTGGCCCACGACGTAGCGGTAGGTCTTGGGATCAGGCAAGATCAAGTATCCTGTGGCGGACTGCTGAGACGCCGAGGCGATGGACTTCTCAATAGCGGCCCGGGCCTTGGCGACGCTCTCGGGAGAGCCGGTAAGCACCCAGGGGAACGGGGTGGCGTCGGGAGCAGCAGAAGAGCTGTTATCAATCACCTTCCACGAGTGGGCGTCCGTGGCCTCGCTGGGGTCATCAGTAATCAAGGGCAAGGCGGAGCTCCCGTTAGCGGCGGAGCGAGTCTGCTTGGCGGCCAGGTTCGATGGCACATTCTGGCCGGCATGGTCGACAGTGACCTGGTGGTCGTTGCGCAGACGACGGAAGAAGGCGCCGTTGTCGGCCACAACATGGTGCAGATGGCGCGGGACGTTGACAGTCTCGGCATGTTGTTCCTTGAGCATGGACTGCACGTGCTCCTTGGCGCCCTGGACGGCATTGCTAGGTCCCTTGAGCTTGACGTCGGTGCGGCCCGAGCCCTGCTTCGGAATGTCCAGGGTGACGTTGAACTGGGACTCAATACCCCGTCGCGTTTCGCCGCCGCGGCCAATCAGCAGCCGATGCTGGGCCGTGGGCACGTCGATCGTTTCCATGACCTGATCCTCACGCTCCTTGACAAATTCCTGGATAGCCGCAATGATGCTCTCGACAATCTTGCCATTGCCTTCCAGGCGAATGGTCGACTCAGTGCTCTCAGGGCGCGGGAATCGGACCATCCGGGCAGCACTGCCATCGTTGGGACCACCGGCATCAACCACAATCTTACGAATGTTGGCACCTAAAGAAATCAGTATATAGGAGTCAGAAAAGAAAAAGCAGATAAAACTTACCACCTCCACCAATCAGTGCCTTGTGGTACTTCTTGTCGACATCAATGGACTTCGTGACAGTTGCGTCAAACTCGGTAGTCCGCTGCTGGAGAATCTTCTTGGCCTCGTTGACCTGCTGCTTCGTGCCCTTGACTCGAATTTGCACACGTCCCGATGCATCCGGTGCATCGTTCGCACTGGGAACATCGATTTGAGCACCGGTGTCCGCGCGAAGCTTGTCCATTTCACGGCCGCGCTGACCGATCAGTGATGCAACCTGACTCTGAGCCACGGAGATGGTAGCACTGTTCGAGTGGTCAATGACCCACTGCAGCAGGCTGAGGAGCTCGTCGCGAGCGGAGTCAGCACCCTTGCTAGGGCCCTTCACCAGAACCTCGTCAGCGGCTTGCTGGGGACGGCTAGGCCGAACTCCACCAGCATCGCTGCCAGTGTCTCCGACCGACTGGTCATCGCCAGCGACAGTCACACGGGGGAACTGCACGCGAACGGAATACCGATCCTGGAGTCGGTTGACCTGGTTTCCTCGTTGTCCGATAAGCTCGCGGTGGTACTGAGCTGGGACCTTCAAGATGTGGGTGGTCTCATCCTCAAGCTTCTTCCCCAGGTTGATGATGCGCATGCGGGCAGCGTCGGCCTTGGCCTTGGGCCCCTTGACTTCAACCTTGCCATTTTCAACCTTGATATCGACATCAAACTCTTCCCGAAGCTTGTTGATGTTCTCCCCGCGCTTGCCGATTAGGAAATTGGCGTACTTCTGAGGGAAATCAAAGGTGTTCGTGTAGCCACGCTCCAGGTCATCCTTCTCCTGCTCCACAACGAATGAATCGATCTTAGAGACGAGGTCTGCCACCAAGCCAGTCGGGCCTCGGAGCGCAATTTCGGACTGAGAGCCCTTGGCATCACCAACAATTGCACGCACAGGAATCGTATCCTCGCCCTTGGCATCTTGCTCGCGGATGATAAACTTGCGTGCCTTCTCCTGGTACTTGGAAGGGACCGAGACCGACTTCGCAACAATGTTCTGCTGGTCTCCCAATACACCAAGGAGATACTGCTGCGCCTCTTGCAGTGCCTTCTCGAATGCCGAAACCTCCGCTGGCGAGGGGCGTTGTCTGGGGACTTCGAAGCGGGAAGCCGTTGCGGACGGACCCTCATACACAAGGACAACATCGGGGCTGTTGACATCGTCTGGGACCAGAAGATGGACCCCGTAATCATCCTGGAGCGTACCCGCACCTCGGGAGCGGAGATAGGAGTGGAAGTAGGGATCAACAGGAACGTGACGAAGTCTGGATGGGGGATGAGCTTGAATCAGATTCATAATGTCGGAGCGAGCGCGGATAGTGTTCTTTCCATCACGGGAATACACTTCCCAAGTCACGGGTCCTTCCGCACTGGGTGGGATAGCAATCCTTGCGTCGTATGTCGATTCAAGGTCCTGAATGATTTGGCGTCGTCGGAGGTACTGAGTCAGAGCGCGTGCATGGGCATGGGGGCCGGCAGGGGCACCGGGGTGTTGACGAGACAAATCAATGCTGGCCATCTGCATGCTGGTGGCAAGGTCCATGGCGTGGTTAATGCCGGTCTCAATCTGGCTGAGCGGGCCGGTGATGGTGAGGAACTCGCTATCATCTGATGAAGGAGGAAGGACGATGGCGCATCCGGTCTGTGCGAGGAATTGGTGCAATGCATCGGCCTCGTTGCCCAGAATGAATTGGTGCTGGCCGCGGCTAATCGCCAGCTGGCGGAGGGTCAGCTGGCGTTGCAATTCCGCAGCCACTCGCTCAATCTCTGCACGAGCCTCCTGGGCCGCAGCGCGCTCGCCAGAGATGAGAATATGCTTGTCCGACACAGGCACAAACTGCACTTGACCCGGGTGGGCTTCCTGTGGCGGCGGTTGGGTCGACCAGGTATCATATCTTGGGACATGAACCTGGGCCTTGGTACGCTCTTCAATGCCTCGCAGATTGGCATCGTGTGCACCTGCAATGAACGGGAAGAACTCCGGGGGAATTGTTTTTAGCCGCAGGCTCATGTTCGCGCCTCGCTCCTTCACAATTGCCTCGATTTCACGGCGAGCCATCTCGGCTGCAACGGCATCACCCTCAATCAAAACGTCAATGGTGTCACTGTCGTCATCGTCGGCAGCAGCATTCTCCTCTGCCCGAGGGACTTGCACGCGGGCGTTTGTGCGGGTCTGGATATCCTGAACAACAGCACCCTGGCGACCAATGATGTGGGGTCGTGCAGAAGTCGGGATGGGGACGCGAACCGATTGCTAGAAAAAGACAAAAAGTCGGGTTAGGCCAGAGACCCAAGAGCAATAATACACATCACGCACCTTGGATCCAACTTGTTGTGCCACTTCCTTGAGCGCCTGTCGGACCGCATCCACGGATCCCTTTCCTTCGAAGATGATAGAGCCACCAGGGCCACCTCGCATATCGACATTGGCTTTAGATCTGCGGGAAATATCTCGGAGAATATCCCGGAGAGGCTTCTTCAGTTGCCCACGCGGAAGCATCTGAGATGGCGCTAAACGGAGCTGTTCCATGTGCTTGCCGGGAAGGGTCATGACTCGAGGGACATCTGTCGCAATTTAGTCAAAAGCCTTCCTCCCATTGAGTAATTTGCATAGAGATCATTGACATACCCATTGGCTGGGGCGCCAAGCCATTCGTAACCGCGGCCGCCGCAGAGGGCTTCTTCGCACCCCACGTGGCTGCAGCCGGAGCGGCGGGCTTCGGTCCGCTGCCCAATGCCGGAAACAGTTCTTCAGACCGCACATCGAATGCCGGAGACTTTTTCGGGGCAGGCTTCGGAGCAGGCGCGGGGGTTGCGGTGGCCGCGGGGGTCGGAGGCCCGGGGGCAGAGGCCGCAGCTGGGGTGGGTTCGGTCTTTGGCAGGGAGGACGGAGGAGGGTGTTTGAGGTCTTCTTCATCCACAACATCCTCGACAGTGGCCTTGTGGGCCTCATCATGGGAATGCTGTGCCTCCAACATGGCAGCGAGAGACTGCCCGCGATTGGCAGAGGTCGACGCTTCAGCAGCCATGATGAACCGGTGGGAATCGATGGGATTGGACAAGATCGGGGACAGGAGAAGACGGGCGACACACGAGAAGCCTGCAATCAGGGCTGGTTGGAATTAGTATGTAATATGGACAGATCACCGTGTATTGGGGAGGATCGGGAGAGTACTGGAGTGTTGAACGCACAGAATCACAGACAACCCTTTTGAATAGAGACGGGAGAGAATTGATTTATCCGAATTGAGGCTCTGCGAGGTTCAATGGACCCAGAGATGGTGCAATGGAATCTGAAAAATGCAACGGCGCGGGATAAGCAAGCGCCAAGCGGGGACAAAAACACCACGCAAACCCCGGGGGGAGACAAATGATCACAGCGGGGAAAGGAGAAGATGAAAGGGAGGAAGAGAGGAGGGGGGGGGGAGAGAGAGAAAAGAGAGCGATAGTCCGAAAGAAAGAGAAGGTGAAGTCAAGCAGAAGGAAGTACACCAAAAGGCCAGCTCGAGGGCTCCGGGGGGGTTTTCTCCGAGGCCGAGACAATTTCAAGATCTTCTTTTCTTCCACCACAATGCTTTCTGAATTGGGTAAAGATTGCCTTCACCTTAGGATCATGCTTATATACTCTAAATGCTAATTCTGCCTTTCTTCAAGAGGTCCGTGGTGATCTCAATGGCACCGGGGCGTGCCGGGCACATGCGAGATCCCCATGGGCGACCGTTGAATCCCACAAAACACAACCGGCAATCTTTGAATGGAGCAATAGTAATAGGTAAGTTGTTTCGTTGCTGGAGCCAGGGTTCTAAAAACACCATGTGTGCTTCAGAATTCACTTATTTTTGGTCAACTGATATCAACTGAGCCCAACTGAGCCGATGAGTGCCCCCTGCACCAAATTCGCCACCAGGTGGTTAATAGACGAGGAATGAGATAAATACATCTGCATGGATGTTATCAGCACAGTATACGTCCAGTTCACATATCGACAGAGATGTTGATTTGTTTACTTGGAAGTATCCACAGGCCAGTCGGTAATCAATGCCTCATCCGTCCATGTTCCTGGAAAGAAAGGATTTACATTCGAGGAATAAAGTTGTCATATAAACACGATCGAATCCTTTTCCACTCCTTAACCAACCCCACCTGACAAAGAATTTTTTCCGGGGTGATCTCTATGACCCTTATAGGAGTTGAGACAACATGGTTCAGATTAAATACTGCGCATGCTAATAGATGCAACCTGAACACTCGAGGCCCATGCTTCATAATACTGGATTTAGTTGAATTCATATTAATGCTATGAATGTCACTGTCAACCTCGATATAGTTGAACTGCGTTAATAATAAAATCCACTGCTATGAGGAAGTTCCAAACCAGAAAATAGATACCAAATCACCCAACGTACTTACTATGGCCTTTATATAGGCGTCGGCTAATAAACATAAGCTACTTCAACCTTTATTAAGAACTAAGATCACAACTCTAAACGCAATGCTTGAATCCAGGCAGCTTCGGCGACAAATGGTTCCAACACCTGATTCACCCAGAGACACCAATCATTATCCCTCGCATAGAATGGGAGGTTGATGGTGGTCATGGTTGATGGTTTAGATATGAGATGAAGAACAAAGACCCAGGCAGGGGATTGAGGCTGGGGCGAGTCAACAATGACTATCAACTGTTTGATCGATCTAATCTGATACATCGTGCGAGTTTGTTCGAACAATTAGACTCAATACCCGCTACACTTCCATTACTTGACCAACAACGGCAGAGGCCATTTCTACAAGCCAGAAATCCAAAATTAACCAGTTTCCTGAATTATCATTAATATACCAGACTAGCCACAAGCGATCCAAGATGCATGACAGCAGCCAAGCGGCATGGGTATCGAACGAACGAGCCGAGGGCTCAAAAATAAGTATGAGAAACCAACCATTGACACAGAAAGAAGCGAAAAGATCGGCCTCGCAGCCCTGCCACGAGAATATGTATAAAGAGATCTGATCAAATCCAGGCAATGATGATGGATCGGTGGCAGATGCATGTCAGATTGCGACCACCCGAAGGAAACAATGACTGAATATTTCATTTATTTCACCACGGGCCATCCGTTCTCCCAAGCCAGCTCGTTCCAGCCGTACGCGTAGCCGGAGGTGTCGGGCTGCTTGTTCTCGTTCTTCTTGTTCAGGGGGTAGTAGTGGTAGTACAGGACTGGGCCAAGGTGCTGGTCTTGGATGACGCCCCTAAATAGAATGTGTGAGTGGTGTTCAACGGAACGAAGTATAAGATGACACATACTGTCCACCGGGTGCGTAGACTTGGCCGTGGCTCGAGAGCAGGTTCGAGCCACCGCTCTTCTGGCAGGAAGTACCCTCCTTGTCGACCTATATGTGACAAAGCTGATTAGTCTCGCTCCACTGAGTGCTTCCAAGATGTGACAACATACAAATTCACCCGTTCCAGTCTTCGACCGGCACACCTTGATCTCGTACTCGGCGCCGGTGGCCGGGTAGTCAGCCGTGTAGCCACCAGCCAGGCCAGACGAGTAGGTGAGGTAGTAGAAGTCACCGTGCTGGAACATGAAAGCAGCCTCCTCGCGGTGGTTGAGGGTCTCGTTGAAGGCGATCTGGTGGGGAGTAGCGGAGCCGATCTTGAGGGGGCTCTCCATCTCGACCTGGTAGAGGTCGTTCCAGAAGGAGCCGAAGTTGAGGTACTGCTTGCCGTTGATGGTGATCCAGTTGGGGTCAATGCGGTTGTAGGCGTCGTTGGCGGGGATGCCCACGGCACCATGGTCGGTCCAGGAGCCCTTCTCCATGGTCTTGGAGGTGGCCACGCCAATCTGCGAGTTGCGGGTGCCGATCTGCGAGGTCACATAGTACATGTAGTAGGTGTCATCCTGATAGTGCACATCGGGAGCCTGCCGTGGATACTAGTCAGTTTTGTGATCCCACGAGATTCTTGTTTCTATGGGTTCTTACCCAAAGGTCCTTCTTGTTGTCGACGCCGTCCAGGTGGATCTTGGTGCCATCGGGCAGGACAACACCGTCAGCTTCCCACGGCCCTCGGAGCGAGTTGGAGGTCATGATTGAAATGCCATTCCCCGTGGAAAAGCGGAAGTATTTGCCATCCGAGGCCCGCTGGATCATGCCCGGGTCATGGGCAAAGCAATTGCCTGTACAAGGACCCCGGTTGGGGTAGGCGCAAGCCAGCGCTATGAAGAGGAAGAGGAGAGCAAACATAGTTAAGGGAGGGGGGAGAGTGAGAGAGAGAGAGAGAGAGAGAGAGAGAAGGAACGGAAAAGAAAGAAAAGGGAAGGAGAGAGGGCAAGGAGCGAATTCCTGAGTTGAATAATGAACTATGATGGCGAGAATGCCCGAATTTATATTGATTTCGTTCGGTACCTGAATCTCATCCACCCCTCACGGCGGTGTCAATGTGGTCGCAGCCTGGGAAAGGATGGAAGTATAGGATGGCCCAATCATGGGCTCACCCTCCCTGCAAGTCATGTCTTTTGAATGTAAGGTATATCGCCGTAGTAGGTCGACAACGACTTGGCTCTTGGCCCCAACCAGATCGCGAGGAGCAGTGGGTTCTGGGACCGGCGTTGATTGCATATTTTCCAGTGGGTCCTCGACAGGAAATTCCAAAACAGAGTCATGTTGGGGGACGAATCAGGGGCATCGGTATCCCTTTTGTGATGTCTCGCCTCGGAGGTTCGATCCTGTCTTTTCCCCACAGCTCCACTCGGATGATCTGCTGTGTGCCTATGGCCCTCTCTCGGCTGCCAGGGGAATCGAGTCCACGACATGCAGGACCCAGGCAAGGGGTGCATCGGGTCCTTGGGACACTAACGATTCCTTGGACCATTGATTGCGCATCGGGTCAGGTTCTCAATAATTCGGAGAGAGGAAGAAGTGTTGACACCGAACCACAGCTGTTTCCCCTCCAACGACTTAGCCCCCCCCTGGTTGATGGACATCCACTTTGACGCGTCTTTCTTTGGTTCTTTGATCCAAGCGAGGATGATGATGATGACTGCAGTTGGCGTTATTCGCGCCATGTGGATCCCATCTTGGGCTGAGCTGCACACGCCGTCATCCGACATCGACCAGGAACTGCAAATCGACTCTTGACAATTTTGACTTCTCGGGGAGATCCTGTGGGGCTCGCTTGGCTAATTCCCAGGCAAGGACTCAAAATCAATCCTTGCTGGATCGAGACAATAACAAAAAAAAAAAAAAAAAAAGAGCGAGAACCAAAGAATGAAGGGGCCAAAAGGAAAAGGAACTGGACAGTGCACAATCCATGGACATCGACATTCTTCAGCCTTTGGTATCAGCCTGGGGTGGTAATCAAGAATTATGGCACTGTTACTCCCATGGCCTTGGCTGAAGCATTTGGATCACATCGGATCCCACGGCACAGGTGTGATTTGATAGCCTGTCCAATGCGTCTGCATCTTTGTGTAGCGTCTTGGGTTTTTGGTCTCCACGTAGGGCTGGCCATGCCACGTCTGCGAACGCGGCCCAACCCGACATTCTGACGCTAGACAATACGAGAATTCTTGTACAAGGAATCCATTTCCAAGATCACTGGGTATATTATTTGCAGATATAGCCCACGATACAGTATCTAGGCTCCTGCGAAGTTGCGAGGCCCAAGAGAGAAGCCGAGTTCATAGTATGTACATCGAAGAAGAAAGAAAATCTCACTGTACGGCTGAGAGACAAGCCATGCTGCCACTCAGTCCCAGTATTCAAATGCCCAACAATGAACCACGGAGCCGGCGACTCAATTTTGCGCCGCCCAGAGCTTGTTCTCCTTCAAGATGAACATCCGACCATTGCGGCCCAACGAGAAGGTAGAAGTGCCCGTTTGAATGAAAATCTTCCCCAAGGGGATGCCCCGGGGGGACCAGACGTTGATCCCATGGCCACATCCAGCATACACATTCCCGTCCATGTCCAGCTTGATTCCATCGGGGATACCGGTCCCGGGCATAGCGAAAACACGCCAGTTGATGAGAAAAGGCTCCCCTTTGGTAATAGACAGATCGAAGAAGAAGAAGAAGAAGAAGAAAAAAAAAAGGTTGGCTACATTTGATTCAAATGATGTCAGAAAATCCACCTCTCTGCAAACCTCGATGGATGTGGAGCTGCGAGATCGTGAACCCCCCGATGGTCTGTCGATCTCCACGGTCCCATTCCGCCAATGTTGTGTCGAGTTGAAACAAAAAGTATCAGCATTGAAAGGAAGGGTCAAGTCAGAACTAGAATCACTAGCAGCTAGCTAGCCATATAGTGATACAGTCCTAAGATAGTAATCGTAAGGACACTACTGTGGCTGATCATAAGTGAGAGTTATCTCTCATGCTCGCCATTTGAAACCGGCTGGCATGGGGCGATGTCTCCTCATGTTTATGATGAAGTAGGTAAGAGGTTGACGGCGGCAAATCAGAGGTTTCTGGCTCGGAAAGCAGCCAACGGACGAGAAAGAGTGCTGTGGGAAGAGGCCTAGCCGTTTCATGATCATACTGGGGAGTAGGGTTATCCATAAGACGTTTGAAAACTTGCCGGATTGACTGTCTGTTGTAACTAGCTTTTCTTCGAGGGTGTGCAATTAATTGAAATAAAATATTATCGTTGGTAGAATGCATCCATGGATAGGCACTACTAGGCGTTGCTCTATGCACCGCATCTGATCCTATCTCGGACCGGATGGGCTCAAGTAGTAACTGTAAAGCGTATGTGAGTGCAGGTATGAAGTCCAAATATGCTAAAGCATTATTTCGCCTGGTCATCCACTGAATGTGCGATTTTTTGTGCTGGTCAGTTGAAATTGAACTCGGCAGGCAAAAAAAGAAATTGGCATTGATGAGCCCACATACACATACACATGCAAAAATGCAATAAGCGCGGAGAACATCCAGGTGGAGACAAATTTCAAGCTCAATCCAAGTTACCGCCAGGACCAAAGATATAGGCATCATTATCATAAACGGCATCGGGGGCAATCGGATCAGGATTTGGGCTTCGACGGTTCACTTCCGGCCCGCACAGAACAGACTTCAATGTATCCACCGTCGAAGAGTTGATCAGTTCCGGCATCGCCCATTGCTTGCAGGAGATCAAGTTGATCGGCACAGCGGCTTCACCGGGCAGGGAAGACGTGAGTCGCATATGCTCGGTTTGACACCGCCACGCACCATCAGGACCATGGGGCTTGCTCCAGAACGTAAGCGCATAGAGAGAGGAGCCCCCAGGCGGCGCAGGCAGAGGAGTAACCTCGAAATCATGGATGCGGACTGACTCAGGTGGCAGAACGTTCTCGTCGGGGACTGTACCGGGTGCGAGATGGAGGTGTTCCTCTTCGATCTCCATGATCCGGGAGAAGATCGCGTGGTAGTGCTCCGTATCGAGCATCCATTCACGCTTGGGGACGCGCTGTAACAGGTCTAGGGCCCTGCGGCGGAGATGCGGCCAGCGGCATTTCCAGGCGACCCCGTGAAAGGGGAAGATGACCCCAAAGTCGAGGCTTAGTGTCTTGGACAGCTCGTCGGGGTAACGGTCGGGGTCTGAGATGATGGACTCGACGAGTCGGAAGAGGCACTCGAAATCTGGCCGGTAATGATCCCAATCGCTCTCGTTGTTCACCTGGTAGAACCGCAGTCCAATATCGGCGCTCAGTGACATGATGCGAATCACATCGGCGGCGTGTTGCTGCTGCTTGTTCCAGCTGCCTGCACACCGACGGACCATGTCCTCGAAGTTGGCTTTCCAGCAAATGAAGTTGTTCTGCATCAAATTACAAACTCTGAAAATGTCCAGCTCGGGCAATCGGCCGTTGCGGAGATCGCTGTCATATCGCACGACGAAACAGGATGCCGCCGTGATCAGATCGACGAGTGCGATGCGGGCCTCTCGCAGGGTCTCAAAATGATCTGCCAGATGGACCCCGTCCTGGTCATCCATGGCGTTAAGAAGAATCCTAGGGCGCCGGCCTGGACTAAACTCGGCTGAGTTGGCATTGAAGAGACTGAGGAGTGGCGCGACTTCGGTTTCCATGAACTGTGATTCAAAGGATGAATATCGCTGGCCCCACGGTCCTGCGGGCTCTCCTCCGTGACCAGCTCGCCAGGCTTGCAAGAGCTTGATGCCGTTTTGGATGTGCGCGACCGAGGCCGCTGCATTGCCCTGGAAGCATTCGAAGCAAGTGAACAGAATACTTGCCGTGGCAATCACGGGAGTTGAATGATTGGGGTCTGATGCGGCCTTGTCAATAATAGAACGGATGGCTCGGTTATACAGCTGGATAGGGAGCTCTAACGGCCATCTGTTCATGCCCGAAGAAGCTGATTGTAGACCAAATGGCCCCTGTTCATGGAGAGCGCCTATGGCAGCAATCGCTTGCCGAATGGCGGGCTCCGCCAGACTCAGCTGCAAGACAGTTCCTTGGAAGAACCCACCCTCCAAAAAGCCAGCGAGTTGAGGCGCCGACTTTTGAAAGAAGAATTCCAGGACCCGCGGCTCCATGGGAGACGTGGGCGCAGTAACCGGGGTCACTGGTTTGGGCATCACCACGGACGACTTCAGCGGCGAATAGCCATCGCATACTCTCCCAGCATTGATACATCTGGACAGCAGATTAGCAAAAGGGTCTAGGATAGAGAGGCATGCAATCCATACCGAGTACATGCTGGCTTACCCTCGTCACACTTGATCTTCCGAGCCCTGAACGTTGGTTAGCCATCTGAGCATAACAGTGACTTTAGGAATCAACCAACTTGCAAGTGAGGCAGCCCGTCCGAACTTTGGGCCGACTGGCGCGAGTTTGCTTTGCGGCTTTGGAGAGGCTCTCAGGGACCATGGCAGTCGAATCCTTCAACGACGCATCCATGCCATCGGGGCTTCATCCCTGAGGGCTTTTCTTTTTCTTTGTCAATGTTCAAACCAGTACATGTACTCAGCCTGTACTCAGCCTTGTGTCGTTGAAAATTGGTCAAAGGCCCAAAATGCCGTTGGGGGCGAAAGAGGCCTGTGGGGCGACCGAGTGGGTATGGGGAAAATCTCCTTGCAAAAGCCAACTGGTCAACTCATGGAGATTAGCAGGGCTAAATAACATGGAAGTTGCTAGATGGTTTTTCACTATTGATGCTTTTCAGGGGTTGAGAATCAGATAGAATCAGATATATTTGTTACCCATGATTCTGAATTGTTAATATGCCCAGCTTCTACGTTAAATACCCTTGTTGAGTGCTTGGCCGATATATAGTCCTATTTTCTCTCGCATTGTATTTTTAACGTAGCACGTCCAGTACAATCTAGACAGAAGGAAATAGATGTTCGAGACTCAGGACAGTATTCGCAAGAAAATTCCCATGATCAACCTATCCAGCCAGGACAAGGCTCAGGAGTCAGGTATATATCCCTGGAGGGCGATACGGCACAAAGAGGTTTCTTGGCTTGAGGGTAATTCCATGGGATCTTGAATCCAGTGTCTCCTGTCTCCTGCCACATTTTTTCCAGACATCGGAGTCAAGTGTGAGCGGGAGGTGATAAGCTTTGGCAACAATCGCGTGGGTCTGCCGATTGTCATTCCCAGCCCGTGCCGGTTGTCTGCCTCTCTGCTGGATGGGCCCGTACCGGATGGAAACAGCATTGGTTTGTGCAGATCGTCTGTTTGATCATGCGGTAGACGGCGTTGAGAAAAGACGGTCAAATTTCAGAGCCATGGAGAGAATCATTTGAGAGAGGTGAGGAAGGATTGTCTTGGGAGAGTTGGGTCCAGGAATTATGGGGCGAAAAACGGTGATGGGCCTGAAAGACCAGTCACCCGAGGGATTTGAAACACAGTGTTCTATTTTCTCTTTCTCTTTGCTGATGATGCTATATCGGAGCCTGTTCATTTGTGTTTTATTAGAGAGGGAAGTAACCATTGATTCTGGTCGAAATATACCCTCTATTCATGCATTAATCAAGCCATGTATTGATGAGAATAGTCCCGAGAAGACCTCGCTGGATTCTATTCTGATGTGTCCGGGTGTAGAGATACCCAAATATTTAAATATTTAATTAGTTAAATATATAAATATATAAATATAAGTATAAATATAAATATTTGGCAAAGAGTCCAAATGGCCTCGAGTATACCCACCCTTCAGCCGTTTCTCCGTCATCGCCCCATGTCAACCAGCCACTCCTTTTTCATTCCACGTGTGGCATTTCTGCTTTCCCCAACTCCTTCATTTCTTGTGTTTCACCATTCTCGTCTTTTCTTTTCGTCTTTTCGTCAGGTTCTCTTTTCAAATCCATTGGGCAAACCAACTTCTTCGGCCCAATTTCAATCTGTCTCGTGTAGAGGCAGATTCTGCCCATCATGAACCCGGACAATTTCCCGTTGAAATTCCGGCGACCGTCCAGCAAACTGCACAAGGAAGCCCCTAGTTTCAGTTCGCGCATTCTTCGCAGCCATCAAAGCACCACCTCGCTGAAACGACACCCCTCTGCCCCCGTCTACCCACGTTCCTCTCCCAGTGGCAGTCGCGAGCATTTTCGATCGCGCTCCAACGCAGCTTTCGGCTCCTCTTCCTCATCGCTCGAACAACACAGCGGTGGTCCCTCCCCCAGCCACGACGAATCGAGTTATTTCCCCAGCTACAACTCCTCCCGCTCCCGCTCTCGCAGTTCCCACCGCTTCTCCTACGGTGAACACCATTCGGATGAACTGACCACCCCCTACGAAACGCGGGGCATGCTCAGTGCGTTGGATGAGAACAGCGCCGAGACTGATCCCCGCCCCCAGCAGCTTCCGACTTTGCGATCGCATCAGAGCCCCGATCATCGCGCCCGCCACTCCCTTCGTCAGTCTGCCAGCTTCACAGCTCTCGCCCACCGGATGGATCCCTTTGCCCACCGTGAGACCGAGCGGCCCTCGCCCACCCAGCGCTACTCCGATGAGGGCAACGGCGTAACCCCGCGAACGGGGAGAAGCAAAAAGGCTAGTTTCTCCAGATTCGTCGATAGCATGCTGGGTGCCCCCCGCAACATCAAAATCTCGGCCCCCGAGAACCCCGTCCATGTCACCCATGTCGGCTACGACAACCAGACCGGTCAATTTACCGGTCTTCCCAAGGAGTGGCAGCGACTGCTACAGGAGAATGGTATTTCTAAGAAGGAGCAGGAGGAACACCCACAAACGATGATGGATATCATGCGATTCTATGAGAAGAATACCCGGGGCGACAGCGATGACGAAGTCTGGCACAAGTTCGACCATGCCCATAGCCCGACCGGGGCGCGCAACTCGCCACCGGGGAGCCCACGATTCCCCCAGAATCATGAAGGCAGTTTCGAAAATCCACGGTCGCCGCCCCCGGTTCCTCGGCCAGCACCAGCCCCGCAAGGTATGTCGCCGCCCGTGGGGAGTCTGGTGCCTCATCGTGCACCTCCGAAACCCCCCACCAGCATGACACCGTCGCGTCCTCCCCCACAACCCCCTGTGTCGAGTCCGTACGGTGCTGTCCCGCAACGCCCGGTGCAGGATGCCTATGGTTCTCCCTTCAGCACGCCGCCCATCCCCGAAACAGAGGCGCTCCCCGTATCGCCGCATCGCAGCCCGTCTACCTCTCGGAATGGCACTCCCGCGCCCAAGGCGCCGAATATGATTGCTTCTCCGACGCAATACCAGCAGCACCAGGAGCAGGTGATGGCGTTCGCCCAGCAAGCGATTGCATCCAAGCAACTGGATCGCAGCAACAGCCAACGGCAGCCAGCACAGCAACCACCACAACCACCACCGATCTCGACGAATGTCGGGGCTGCTGCCGTCGATCCCTCTGCGACGGTGTCGCCGGCCGCTCGGGCCCCGCCGGCCGCCCGGCCCCGCCAGCCGCGCCAGCGCCAAAGCAATGCGACGGATATCAGGACACGACTACTGTCGATCTGCCACCCAGGCGACCCCACTCTGATCTACTACAATCTCAACAAGATTGGCCAGGGTGCTTCCGGTGGTGTGTTCACGGCCTACGAATCGGGCAACAATAATTGCGTGGCCATCAAGCAAATGAACCTGGATTTGCAACCCAAAAAAGATCTGATCATCAATGAGATCCTTGTGATGAAGGACAGTAAACACAAGAACATTGTGAACTTCCTGGAGAGCTATCTGCATGGTCTGGATCTGTGGGTGGTGATGGAATATATGGAAGGTGGCAGTCTAACGGACGTGGTCACCTTCAACATCATGAGCGAAGGACAGATTGCAGCGGTTTGTCGAGAGGTAAGGTGTTATCCCATGACTCTTGTGACTCGATTGGATCAGTTGTGCTGACCTTGGTGTCTTTTCAACCAGACTTTGAACGGCTTGCAGCATCTGCACTCGAAAGGTGTCATCCACCGAGACATCAAGTCCGACAACATTCTGCTGTCCATGGAAGGCAATATCAAGCTGAGTAAGTTTTCCTCGCCTTGTATTCTCAAGCTGATCAAGCCATGCTGACCGATTCCAGCCGACTTTGGTTTCTGTGCCCAAATCAACGATTCACACAACAAGCGGAACACCATGGTCGGCACCCCCTATTGGATGGCCCCTGAAGTGGTCACTCGCAAGGAGTACGGCCGCAAAGTCGACATCTGGAGTTTAGGTATCATGGCCATTGAAATGATCGAGGGCGAGCCGCCATATTTGACGGAATCCCCGCTCCGGGCACTATACTTGATTGCCACGAACGGCACACCTACCATCAAAGATGAGCACAACCTGTCGCCAATTTTCCGCGACTTCCTTCACTTGGCACTCAAGGTCGACCCGGAGAAGCGGGCCTCGGCGCACGACTTATTGAAGGTAAGTTTCCTTGACGCTGCTTGTTCTGTGATTCCCATCACTCATGAATTTCTAGCACTCTTTCATGACCTTCTGCGCGCCCCTGTCGCACCTCGCTCCTCTGGTTAAGGCTGCTCGAATCAGCAGAGCCCAGGAAAAAGCGCAAAAGGGCGGCGCCTAGACGATTCGACACGTTTTCTGTTTGGTTTTCTTTTCTGCTTGATCTCTCTTCACGTCTCGTTCAGATACCCAGTCACACCCGATGTTTCTTCTAGATTTCGACATGCAACGTATCTCATGTCGTTGGATTCCTGTTTATGTTCCGCTCCGACCCCCCCCCCCCCCCCCCCCTTTTTTTTTTATTCCTTGACGAACATCCATTTCGCGATGAAAAATGATCTGATCTTACGACCCGGTTTTCCTCGATATGCTGTTTCCCAGTTTTGCCTTTTCCCGTGGATGTCTTGATGTAGCCTTCTGTAGTCTTACCCTGCCTGTTTCTCTGTGCTGGTTGGTAGCTTCCGGTGATGAGCTACCGAGCTTTGTTGACCCTATTTTATACTGCTTGTTGGATTGACGATGAAATTGGGAATGCGGAGTCGTCGCATTCGGCGTTTGGGTTACTATGCAGGACCTCTTTATTCAACTCTCGTTCTGATAGCATCTTCAATACGTTGTACTGAATGAGTTCTCGTCTTTCTCGTCTTTCAGGGTATAAGCTCATCTTGGAGGCTCTGCAGGCGGAGAGGGTCAAGAAAACAGCAGCCTGCAGAGTGGACAATCTTGCCTAAATCTTTCTGACAATTCCTCTGGATCGGGGCCAAAAAAAGAATAAGGCCGTCGAAATCATATCCAAGGCAGACGCGATCCTCGGGCAGTCTGACAACCCATTTATAGCTGGACTCCACCGTCGTCATCGTGTGCTGACTCAGGCCGTTTCCGCCCGTTCACAACTGCTCAGCTCTTCCCTGTTCATCACCCTAATATTCCCTTGGTTGCTGCAAAGCCGGTCCTGCAATAAGTCCAGCTTGCTCGAATAGTTGTTCACTTTGATTTCCTCGCCCTTAGCACCTCGAAATACCCGCCCCTTTGCTCAGCCCGCACCGGTGACCTCCATCGACTCCCCGCATTTGGGTGCTCGACCACCAAGTTACACACTGGACAGCTGGATCTTTTCGCTACTTCCATTCGACTTGCTCCAATATTTCACTCCCCGGGATTATAATTGCCCGGAGACTGAGTGAGCGACCCGCTTGTCTAAACCCGGAAAACAGTGCCGCCCCGGCGTTCCTCGTTTATTTGTATCGCCCTGACTATTTGGGACCTTGGAAGGGAACACACTGGTGATGTTTCGTGTACAGCAGAACGCTTTCGACGATGCCGTCGGTAAGCTCTCTCGGTCCCTCCATCTGGTGAATTCACCATGTGCCCTGCGAGCTGGTCTTACTTTACTCTGGGCAATCCGCCGAGTGGCCCACCACAAGCCGTGGCGTGGTTTACGATCTGCGATTGCTGACCCCTGCCTTCTCTCTTACAGCTAAGGCGACGGACGAGAACCTGACCTCCGAAAACTGGGAATACATTCTGGTGCGTCGTTCCAAAATACACACCGATACTTTTTTGCACAATCAAGCTTGGTGGTTGCGACACAGGGAACTGATTTGAATCGGATTTGTTGTACAGGATGTTTGTGATAAGGTTTCTGCGGAAGAGTCGGGGTATGTTGCTTTCTCCAGCCCGAGATGCTATCACTACATCCGAAGAAGCTCGACTCGATGCTAACTCCCACTTGGGTCATATAGTGCCAAAGAGGCGGTCGCTGCCATGATTAAGAGGTTGGCTCACCGCAACGCCAATGTGCAGCTCTATACACTCGAGGTTCGCGACTTGCCCTCCGTGCGCCTGGAGCGCAACGAATTGTTTTTTATATGCATTCTGCTGACTTGGGATGGTAGCTCGGCAACTCGTTGGCGCAGAACTGTGGTCCCAAGATTCACCGCGAGTTGGCATCGAGAAGTTTCACCGATGCACTTCTGCGTCTGGCAAACGATCGCGTAAGTAGTGTGGGCTTCATGGTCTGACTTACCATTGCAATGGCTAACGATATATGGACCAGAACACGCATCAACAAGTCAAGTCGAAGATCTTGGAGCGAATGCAGGAATGGACGGAAATGTTTGCATCGAATCCCGATTTTGGTATTATGGAGGCGGCTTATATGACGCTGAAGACACAAAGTGAGCACACGGGGTTTCTCGCCAGAAACAAGTTCGTCCGGGCTGGACTAATCTCTTCCAGATCCGAATCTCCAACCGCCATCCAAGCCGGGCAAGAGTGCTATCACAGAAGTTGATCGTCAGAAAGAGGAGGAGGAATTGCAGATGGCTCTGGCGCTCTCGGTCAAGGACAAAACTCCCGCGGGCCCCGCAGGCCCTGCACCTCAGGCTGGGTCTTCTTCAGCGGCCGCCGCATCATCTTCGGCCATACCAGCAGCTGCCACAACCGCAGCTGCAGCGAATCAAGCACAGCCCGCCGTGTCTCAACCCGTTCCCTCGGGCACTTCGGCGGCCACTGTGTCGCGCGTGAGAGCCTTGTTCGACTTCCAGCCTTCTGAACCTGGCGAGCTCCAATTCCGGAGAGGTGACATTATTGCTGTATTGGAATCCGTTTACAAAGACTGGTGGAAGGGCTCCTTGAGAGGCCAGACGGGCATTTTCCCGCTCAACTATGTGGAGAAACTTCCTGACCCAACTGTGGAGGAACTGCAGCGGGAGGCGCAGATGGAAGGAGATGTGTTCGGTCAAATCAAGAACGTCGAAAAGCTACTGACGCTGCTGAGCACCCGGAGCTCGGATCTTAATGTCCAAGAGAATGAGGAAATCACCGCCCTTTACCACTCTACACTTTCGATTCGACCAAAACTTATTGAGTTGATTGGGAAGTACTCACAGAAGAAAGGTTCGTGGTTCTAGTGTTTCTTTTCCTTTCGATCGCTGCTCACAAGCTCTCAGATGAGTTTACCCAGCTCAACGAGAAGTTCATCAAAGCCCGCCGTGATTACGAGTCGCTCTTGGAAGCCTCGATGGCTCATCCAGCACAGCCCCAGTATGGAATACCTGGCCAGCCGCAGTACGGGTATCCTGGTGCTGCACCTGTTGGATATCCTTCGGGTCCCTCCCCAGATCAGCGATATTTCAGACCGCAGCCGCACGGTTTGTAGAGCGCAAATTCTCTCTCATTTGACAAAGTTCTGATTCCTTCATCTCAGAGTCACAAAATGCGCAGGCGAATGCATCAGCGTATTACGGCGCAGAGCAGACGATGCCATACCGCCCGGCCTCTCACTCCCCAGATCCTCGCAACCAGGTGCCTCCTGGTGGCCCACCTGTACAGCAGCAGCCGCAGCAGCCACCTCCCTCTGACTCTTATCCGCCCATACACCATCGTCCGCAGTCTACATATGAACATCCTCAAGAACTCGGGACATCCGTCTATGATTCACCTATCGAACATGCTGGCCACGGTCAACGTCTTCCCTACCAGCCGGGTGCTCAAGTGCCCCCTCCTGCAGCTCATCAGCAGTTCCAGCAGCAACAGCAGCAGCAACAACAGGAGTACTCTCCTTCAGTTTATTCTACCGACGATACGGCCAATGTCCCGTCTGCGCCGGTGGCTCCTCAGCAAACTCCGCACCATTTCGCCCAACACCAAGCCCCCTACCCCGACTCGCCTGCCATCCACCAAAACCCCCCGTCGCACCAGCCGCCCCCGATTCCTGGCTCCGGGGCGCAGCCTGGGCAGTATACCGCCTTCAGCCCGCCAGCTGCACCACCCTCTGGAGAATATCAAGCATACCAGCCCCCACAAAGCGGTGCACCTGCCTCGAACCCTGCTTCATTTTATAGGTGATGTGGAGAGGGCTGGATTTTGTCAAGGACAAGGATAGGGCTATCAACTTAGGTAGTTTCAAGGTTCAAAGCGATGACCAGAAACCCCCAGACATGCCGTCTTTTCCTGCTTTCTGGATATTTTTTTTTCTTTTGGTTTCTTATTTTTGTTCTTGTTCCTTGCTTAGCTGCCCATGATTGCTTGTGTCTGTCTTGTATTTAGCCAATGCCGGAGGCCCCAGTGCCAGTTCTATGCCAGTACATATGCTTCTTGTACCTGGGTTTCTATCTGAATTGTGCAAATATTCGTGGGTTAGACTAATGGGCTTGGATATATCTGGCCTGTTATCCCAAACAAAGTTGCCATGGATGATAACATATCTACACAGCAGACTCGAGACAAGGTTGGTATCAAGTCTGGTACTGTGTGTGCAATTTAGAGCTCATCCTCAGCGCTCAACACTGTCGGCGGCACTTGAGGCGGCTAAACCACCGCGAGATGTTGTACAACCGCATTTATTTGGCTTCCACAATAAGCAGAGAATGAATACTTGCATAAGCGCCAGGCTTCACTGATGCCCGGGCGTCAAAATAGCCCATTCCTCATTGTTAGGACCAGGCAATTACAAAAAGCTCTCATAGAACTTCCATCCCTCGATGCTCTAATCCACCATTCATCTTTCATCATCTATCATCTACCCCCATGTCTCCCCAAAATCTCAAACTACAAGACCCAGAATCTCGCAATGCTCCCGCTACAGAAATCGCCACCGAGTTCAATACCATGCCGGGCTTTGAAACCCAGCCACAGTTCGCCGGTACTGCAGAGTACAGCGATACAAGACTCTTTGCCATTCTTGACGACTTCCTCCAGTCCAACAACAACAACACAGAAACAAGCCATGACTCGGCAGTCAGGTCGATTCTCAGGCTTGTTCCTGACGGGGTGCCGTTATTACAGGAAGTTTCGAATGTCGGCCAAGTCATCTTGGAAATTGCGGAGCAGATACCGTATTATCATCCAGCTCATGTCAAACTTGCTCGTGTGCTGGAAGAGCCGAGTATTTCGCCTAAGTTTATGAGTGGGCCTGGACTAAATGTGACTCTGCATCCTCATCTATATATACACGGAACTGCGTTCAGAGAGTATAGATATATATTGAATTAATGGCTGATATGGTAGGGCCTCTATCAGCGCAGTCAGCGCTTCGACCGAGAACGAGAGATTCGATTTGAGGGTGAGTTGATCAATATTTATCTCTTTTTCTTCTCATTCCATATATATTTTCCCATATACTAACAATAACAGACCCAGGTCCATACTCTGATCATAAAATGGAGTAGGAAATTTCAGCGCCTTTCTGGCCCATGTATCATCCGCGCATATTGGACGCCATGATCCAAGTGATGCCTTGATGACCATGCAGAATGCCCTGGAAACCCCTCTTGACGGCGAGACTTTGGCTGATCGAAAATTAGAGATCATTACTGCGGCTCAGTATATTCTCTGGGATGGTCAGGGGTTGTTCAAGCATGCTTTATGCCCTTACCCTAACGATGGGAGAGGGGATTGGAAACCTGGCCTGCTTTGTATTGGTGAGCATGGGCTTACTTTGGAAAGGTGGCGGTTTTGGAAGAAGAAGTTTGAGAGGATTACGGCTGGTGATAGTGGAGTGGATGAGGAATGTAGGGAGGTATCAAGGAAAGCGGTGGTGTTGATGGATGCTATTGAAGAATGACATTCTAGATATACCCGAATATATATGTTTCATGCTTTATCCGTCCTCAACGGACACATCAGCTAAGATGAGAGATCTCTTAAGAAAAAGCCAGTTATCCTAAACCTGTTATAATTGAAAATGCTTCATTTTATCTTATTTTATCATTTTAAATGATTATTGTTATTCTCCCTGCTTCTTGCTGTAGGTGTTGTATCATATCACGTGATACCATCGGCACATCTGTCGGCGGCCGACAGCAGACCTCTTTCGGTCGGAGCTGGGCAGTTCCTTTGGAGCTTCGCATCTTCAGTCCATTCATCTAATCACTTCTATCTCACCTCTGCTCTGATCTTCGATCTGGTGTCCGACATCACGCCTGCTTTTCGCCCCAGCGCCTTTCGATAGCTTCCCCGCAGTCGCGTCCTCACCCCTCCGGACGATGCCCGACTTCGGTGTCTTCCCGCGCGGGTGAAGACAGCCGATCTTGAATCATCTCACACAACTTGGGACCAAACCTACTTGACGTACTGGGCATCTGCCCAGGTAGGCCATTGCAACCATGGAGGCCGATTGGGAAGAGCTGTCGCGCATCCCAATGCCTCCGCCCAGTTCGCATGCGCTCCCAACAAATGCGACAGCAGTGGCCTTTGACGATGTCATGGAACTTCTGTGGACTGGAAATGAATATGTTCGTGTTAAGATAAAATGTCGATTGCGAGGATGCTATGCTGACTTGTGTTGTCATCTGTTGCCAGGGCCGACTTACCTCGTTCTACGGACCAGAGCTACAACGATATACCTCAGTCCGAGCCCATCCAGTCTCCGAGGGCCCAATACGACAGATTCTCTTTCACGAGAGAGGGGTGATCTCCCTGTCCGGGAACAGCGTGCACATGATTACTCGGCGTGGCCTGACGCAATGGCATCTTACCCACGACGAAATGATTGATCTCCGCTGCATGAGTTTCACGGCACAAACCAACCGAATTCTAGTGGCTGGCTGTCAGCGGCTGATGTTTACGGTGGACATTGACAAGGGCACCGTTGTCGACAAGCTGCCCACCGAATCCAATTACACGACCATGAAGAAGAGCCGGTATCTCTGCGGTGGAACAGATACAGGGCTGGTAAATGCCCTCAGTCTGTCAGATTTCAGTATTGTGAAGACATGGAAGGCCCATGGAGCCGCTGTGAACGATATGGATGCGCGCAATGACTTGCTGGTCACCTGTGGCTTTTCCGTTCGGCATGGCGGCTCCCCGATTGTCGACCCCTTGGCCAATGTGTATGACTTGAAGACATTGTCCCCGTTGCCTCCGATTCCCTTCCATGCCGGAGCCGCTTATGTGCGCATGCATCCCAAGCTCCACACCACTAGTTTCGTGGCTTCGCAGAGCGGCCAGGTCCAGGTAGTGGACCTCATGAACCCGAATGCGATTAACCTGCGACAAGCCAACGTGAACGTGATGCTCGGCATTGACCTGTCGCCTTCTGGAGAGGCTTTGGCCATTATTGATGCTGAATGCTCCATTCACCTTTGGGGCTCACCGACCAAGATTCATTTCAACGAGATGAGCAAGGAGACCGAGTTCGCAGACGTTCCTACGCGGCCACCCCTGATAGAATGGTCTCCGGAGACACCCCTGAATATGGTGGGAATGCCTTATTACCATGAACGCCTATACTCGGCGTGGCCGAGTCATCTTGTCTTCGAAGTTGGCAGCCCGCCTGCTCCCTTTGACCAATCTATCCTTCCATATCTACGCCCCGCAGAAGTGGGCCACTACGCCCCCAACTCACGCAAGACACGCCGGTACCAGATCGAGAATACACGCGCATTGGCTACGGCAGAGCCGGCTCTCATTGCGCCGAAGTTCCTGAGTGAGAAGGCTCGGGAACAAAGCAAAGCCAAATCAGAGGGCTCGGTCGGTGATACGGCCGAGGCCCTGGCAGGTGCGAAGATTAATGGGGAGAGTGACGATGATCCCCTCCTCAAGTATAGCAACGTCGAGATCAAGTATAGCCGATTTGGCGTCGATGATTTTGATTTCCGGTACGCAGTCAATCCCATTTCAACGGAGCTAATGGTCTTAGCTAATTGTGGAACCGCAGGTTCTATAACCAAACCACATTTTCTGGCCTTGAAACCCATATCGCCAACTCCTTCACCAACTCCCTCCTTCAACTTTTCAAGTTCATCCCGCTGTTCCGAAATCTAGCGCTGCAACATGCGGCTGGATCTTGTATTTTTGAGCAGTGTCTCCTGTGTGAACTGGGCTACTTGTTTGACATGTTGGAAAAGGCCAACGGTCAGAATTGCCAGGCGACCAACTTGTTGAAAACTTTCAGCAGCTTTCGAGAAGCGTCCAATTTAGGCCTTCTGGAAGAGAATCTCACCAACAAGTCTCTTTCCACTGCCATCCAAGCTGTCAACCGGTTTTTCCTCACACAGATAGCTCACGACTTCCGCATGATCCAGCCCAGCGCGGAGGATCTGGACCACTGCCTAGCCACGATTGCGTCCGAGTCCATTCGGTGCATCTTCTGCCAAAATGAGACTGTTCGTCCGGGTAATTCGCTCGCTAACGAGCTCATCTACCCAAACATCGATATCAAACATGCTCGACGCAACCCGGCATTCCGATTCTCGAACATCTTGCGTGCGAGTATTGAGCGGGAAACACAGAACCGGGGATGGTGCAATTACTGCCGTCGCTACCAGCAGGTGATAATGCGGAAGACCATCCACCGAATGCCGCTCGTTCTCATGCTCAACGCAGCCCTGACCAACCCAATTTGCCGCCGGTTGTGGACGATTCCCGGGTGGCTTCCTGAGGTTGTTGGCATTCTCATTGATGGAGGCCAGGTGTTGTGCTTTGAAGGTGAGGATCTTCGATTCAGATTGCAGAATAACACGCCAGGTCTGTTGGTGTATGATCTGGTTGGTGTTGTGTCAGAGATCGATATCCCTGAGCATCAAAAACCACATTTGGTGTCTTTCATCAATGTTTCTATATCGGCTCGTGAAGCCCAGGAACAGAGCAGATGGCATCTGTTCAACGACTTCTTAGTTACGGAGTTGGACAGAGATGAAGCACTCCGCTTCACGCAGCCTTGGAAACAACCTTGCGTGCTGGCGTATCAGGTGAGAGATGCGCGCCATGCCGTCGACGACTCCTGGAAAAAGCTCCTTGATACCACTTTGTTGTTCCGCGAGTGGTCATTGAAGTAAGTTTCTCGCGGGGACCCATTATTTTACTATATATGTGAATATTAACACGGTTTGGTTATCTCAGTGGTGGCCGTCAGGCCGAGTCGTGTCGGACCCTCAACGAAGAGGAAAAACCACAGCCCGGTACCCCTCTTGCCCTGGATACCGAATTCGTCGACCTCGAAAAGGCCGAAATCGATGTCAAGGCAGACGGATCACAGGAGATTGTACGGCCTAGCAAAAGCGGGCTGGCCCGTGTTTCAGTTCTGCGTGGATCGGGTGTTTCCGAGGGTGTCCCGTTCATCGACGACTACATCACGATTCGGGAGCCAATTGTTGATTATGTTACGCAATATTCTGGCATCAAACCTGGCGACTTGGACCCGCGAACGAGCGAACACAATCTGGTCCCCTTGAAGGCCGCCTACAAGAAGCTGTGGCTGCTTCTAAACCTTGGCTGTGTGTTCGTTGGCCACGGTCTGGCGTCGGATTTCCGCAAGATCAACATCCAAGTACCCAAGTCCCAGACCGTGGACACCCAGTACCTATTCTTCCACCCGAGCAAGAACCGTCGCTTGAGTCTTCGGTATCTTGCATGGGCCGTATTCAAGGAGTACATCCAGGAGGATCCCACTCCAGACACGGTCCATGGCCACGACTCGATTGAGGATGCCCGCATGGCCTTACGTCTCTGGAAGAAGTTCCAGGAATACGAAGACGCGGGTATCGTTGCTCAGATGCTCGAGGAGATCTTCCGTGAAGGCTCCAAATTGGGCTTCCGTCCCCCGCCGCGGAATGGAGGCGTCGCGACCGTCCTCTCCCGCCCGGGCACTGCCGTTACAATGCAGAACAATAGTGGTCGCAATACGCCCAGCACACCCGATGCTGGGGCTGCTACGACAGCGGCGGCTACAGCTACAGCAGTTGCAAATGCGGCACCCACCAGTGCTCCTACTACCCCACGCCAGGCTTTCCGGCGATCTATTGCTTTGACTCCGAGTAATGGGAGCTTCACTGGACCCGGGGCGGGTGATTTCTTTGGAGGAAGTCCGCTACAATAGATAGGCATTCGATATTTCTGTTGCTTTTTTAATTTTCTTTTTCAAACATGACCTAGATGACTGTTTAGCTCGATCCTCATAGAATGTAGCTAGTAGGGTTGACTCACCCATCTCCAAGTGGAGAATGACGTGGTCCCCCACCAACAAACTGCTCTTCCTTCATCCCACTCGACTTCTGCTTTGGATTCTCACAGCTTCCAGAGTATTTCGTCTTTTTTTTTTTTTTTTTTTAAATTTTCTTTCTCAATTCAAGTCTTTGAGCCTCTTTTCTTTCCCTTCCCTAACCCCCGCTAGCACCTATCAACCCCGCCCCGCCAAGTCGCGTCCTTTTCTTCTTCTTCCCCTTCCTATATACCGTCACCCCGGCACAATGTCGAAACACCGCATGAAGAATGTCAGCTATGATGACGATGATTATGAAGATGACGGCTATGACTCGCCCGATCCTGAAGAGCAGGAGTTCCTGCAGCAGTGTACCGCCGCGGTCCTGCAACGGCTCCGCGCGGGACATCCGTCGGTGACGGCCACGAAGGAAGAAGTCCAGGACTCGCTATGGCACTACTATAACGATGTGGAAAAATCGGTGAATTACCTACGAGGTACATGAATTCAACTTCTCTTTTTATCCCATGGATCGTCCAAGGACTCTCTGTCGTGTCGAAGGACCTCTCCTGCAAAGACTGACACTGGAATTGTGGTTGCTTGGGTTAGGTAAACGCGAGAAGGAGGTTAAGAAACAGCAGGCGTCTGCTGCATCGCAGAAGCCGAAGGATCAAGTCGGTAAGCAACTATTGTTTGAGGAGGGTGTCGGTTGAATGGGCGTGTCGTGGCTGGGCTCGGGCTTCATATTCGAATCAAGCCCCCGTGCGCGTCTTAGCGAGGGCTGCTTTTACTTCTATTTTTTTTACAATTTCTGCAAGGTGTGTTATCCAAGCTTCCAAAGCGCTGCAATGACTGCTCCTCAATCTCTCAAGACTCGAAACTGACGCCGTTTGGAAGCTTGGGCAATGTTCTAACAGGTCTACCAGTGCCAGTATATCCTGCTCCCTGCTCCCCCCTAGAGCACATTTCTCCGCTGCCGACTTCTTTCGCGACTGTCCTTGGCTCAATGTCCCTGCCCAGCGCAAAGCTGATATTCTGGTCGAGCCGCTCTACCCACGACTCGGGCTTCTGGGTGGTGCACCCGATGGCGGCGGGAAGGTATCCAAGCTCGCAGCCTTGGCAGCCGCCCGCAAGAAGAAAGAGGGAGAGAAAGCCACATCAGGACCGGAAGTCTCGTCAACTTCCCAACAGGAGAGGCCAGAGACGACACCACCCGAGCCACGAGGGGCCCCATTATCACTACGGGAGAGACTCGCAGCGAGTGGCAAGCCATCGAAACCATCCGAGAGCAATGATCGTCTTCGAAGCTTAGGAAAACCGGGCTTGTCTGCACCATCTCCAGCTCAGAATCAGCCGTCTCCTGGGCCCGAGAAACCCACTGGGCCATCAATGTCCGAGTTAACACAACCAATCGTTGCCGAACCCAAAGAAACACCAGAGGACCAGCAGCCGGCACTCGACATTCGCGCTTCGCCGTCTACATTTGCTAGCGCGATTGTAGGCGAGGCCGCAGCTCCAACATCAGCCGAGCCCAGCCATTTGCACTCCAATAGCGTAGATCTGCTCGGGATCTACGGACAGAACCATGCTGAACCCTTTGACTTTGCAGGCCCCAGCCCCGACGATGTCGTCATCAATGCACAAAATACCGCGAAAGGTTTGGCGATTCGCAGAAAGGTTTAAAGCTGCCCACCTAATAATGTGCAGGGTTCAAGTCAAAGCTGGCTGCTTCGAAATCGGCTGGAGATAAAAAGGCCCACGCCGAATTGGCCAACGGGGTGAATGGTTTGTCCGTAGAGGAGAAGGTGACTGTCAAAAGTAAGAATCTAGACGTTCTGGCAGAGTACAAGAAGTCAACCCGGAAGAAGTCTGCGAATTTTGTGGTGATCGGTGAGGCATACTGAGCCGGACATCATCTACCCCTACTTACTGATTAATCTCAGGTCATGTCGACGCTGGGAAGAGTACTCTTATGGGGCGATTGCTGGCGGACCAGGGGGCAATAGATCAACGGACGTTGGACAAGTACCGGCGAGAGGCTGAGAAAATCGGGAAGGGCTCGTTTGCTCTGGCTTGGGTACTCGACCAGGGGTCGGAAGAGCGAGCGCGAGGTGTGACGATAGACATCGCTACCAACAAGTTCGAGACGGATACGACGGCCTTTACGATTGTCGATGCGCCAGGTCATCGTGACTTTGTGCCGAACATGATTGCCGGCGCCAGTCAAGCAGACTTTGCAGTACTGGTGATCGACTCGAGCGTGGGCAAGTTCGAGTCCGGCTTGAAGGGCCAGACAAAGGAGCATGCCTTGTTGGTGCGCAGCATGGGCGTTCAGAAGATTATTGTGGCTGTTAACAAAATGGACGCAGTGCAATGGGACCAGGGACGCTTTGAAGAGATCGAGCAGCAAATCTCATCGTTTTTGACCACCGCGGGCTTCCAGGCTAAGAATATTTCGTTCGTGCCATGCTCCGGGGTCTTGGGCGATAATATCACTCGACGCAGCGACGACTCTCACGCCTCCTGGTACACGGGTCGAACGCTCATCGAAGAGCTGGAGACCTCGGAGCCGTACACCCATGCCCTCGAGAAGCCACTGCGTATGACCATTGGCGACGTCTTCCGGGGTGGCGTGCAGAACCCGCTGGCAATCTCTGGTCGTCTAGACTCCGGCAGCTTACAAACAGGCGACCCGATCCTCACCATGCCCAGCGGAGAGACGGCCACAGTTCGCAGCGTCGAAGTGGACAGCGAGCCCAGCGACTGGGCCGTGGCGGGTCAGAACGTCGTGCTGAACCTGGCCAACATTGATCCCGTGCACCTTCGCTCGGGTGATGTCGTCTGCCGAGCATCTTCGCCGATCCCCAACATTACGACCTTTACTGCCAAGGTCCTGGCTTTTGAGCACCTGATGCCCATGCTGGTGGACGTTCACCGTGGCCGGCTTCATGTCCCTGGCCGCATCAGCAAGCTGGTCGCCTCTCTGGACAAGGCCTCAGGTGCGCCCATCAAGAAACGACCCAAGATCGTGGCCCCCGGGACCGTGGCCCGTGTCGTGGTCGAGATGGAGCAGGCTGTGCCATTGGAGGCACCGACTCGCGTCGTCTTGCGCGCGAGTGGTTCGACGGTGGCGGCAGGACTGTTGGAGTAATGATGAAAAGACCGGAGCTCTGTGGCAATGCCAGATCACTTGTCCCGGTCGTATAATGTCTGTTAGGAGTGTAGTTGATTTAGAGAAAAAGGATTAGAGTGATTCCCTATCGTTTACTGTGACGTATATCGAAACTCTGTAGTAGAAGTCCATGGTCTGGAGACGATCAGAGGGTCTTTTAGGTATGAAAAAGCTATATATAGCCTTCAACCGGCCGATTTAATACGAGAGGTTCTAATAAACATCCGCCTTCTATTCTAGAGGAACATCCGCGGTCATCTCTTCTTCATCTGGGTAGATATAGTCACGAGAACGCCAGTCGAGGTGTATGGCTGCGAGCCCTGTTGATCCTTGTTCCATGCCCATACCTACGATCATGCCGATCACTGGATTAGCATCGATGGACAGGCCACCTAATAATCGCTGGCGATCAGCTCGTAGCAAGGACTGGGTTAAAGCACGCCACTAAAACAGCTAGCGTTGGAGTAAGTAGCTCAGAGAAGATACGTGGCCTTAACACCTGAGAGCAATAGCGCGATCTAAAAAAAAGGAACGGAACAGGGGCTCGTGGCCCCTTTCTAGCAAATTCGATCGGATGGCGACTTCTGATTGGTGGACCTTGCAGCGCAGCCACGGTTGGCCCCCAGCCACCACACCTGATTTGGCCAAGGGCGCCCAAATTAGGCCGGCACCTTACCAACAGCAGCAGGCGGTGATTCTGCAGAGGCGTGTATGAGTAATCCGTTGCTGAACTCCTGCCAGCCAATCAGCAGCCGAGGAGTGACCTGAACTGGGAAAGGCGAAAAGGCCAGCATGGCCGCTGCGCTTAATCCCGCCATACAAGAACTCCTTCGCCTTCTTTCCTCTTCTTCCTCGATCGTTTCTTCTTTCATCTCCTTTCGGGTGTGTCCGTCCCGCTTCCTGACCCTCGCCTCATAGAGTCTCAGGCCTAGAGTAATCCACTCTGGTGTTTTACACTTTTTTTCTTGCCCCGGACGGCACGCGTTGAAGCTTCGATAGCTTCTTTTTTTCCTTCCTCTCCTTGGTTGTCCTGGAGTGAAGACGTCTGATAAATCTTTCACATACATATATTTTTTCCCTTTCGCCATGGCGCGTCTATTGAACCGCGACGGCGCGTCCAAGTCCTTCACTTGGACCACCGTCTTCTACCTTCTCCTGGTCTTCATTGCGCCCCTGGCGTTTTTTGGCACCACGGCCCACGCCGAGGAGGAGACTGCCGCTGAGAACTATGGAAACGTTATCGGTATTGACTTGGGTACCACCTACTCGTACGTGACTCGTGTTATTTTCTCGTGTGATCCCTGAAAAAGCTGGGTGGCTAACTTGCAGTGCAGTTGTGTTGGTGTGATGCAGAATGGCAAGGTCGAGATTCTCGTCAACGACCAAGGAAACCGTATCACCCCGTCCTACGTCGCCTTCACTGATGAGGAGCGTCTGGTCGGTGACGCCGCCAAGAACCAATACGCCGCCAACCCTACCCGTACCATCTTCGATGTTAAGTAAGTGTGATCTGGTCAATTGGACAACAAAAGAAGCCCAGTCACTAACAACTTCCAGGCGATTGATCGGTCGCAAGTTCGAGGACAAGGACACCCAGAAGGACGCCAAGAACTTTCCCTTCAAGATTGTCAACAAGGATGGCAAGCCGCACGTCAAGGTCGATGTCAACCAGACCCCCAAGGTCCTGACTCCAGAGGAGGTGTCCGCTATGGTTCTGGGCAAGATGAAGGAGATCGCCGAGGGATACCTTGGCAAGGGCGTTACCCACGCCGTTGTCACTGTTCCCGCCTACTTCAACGACGCTCAGCGTCAGGCCACCAAGGATGCCGGTACTATCGCCGGTCTCAACGTCCTCCGTGTCGTTAACGAACCCACCGCCGCGGCTATCGCCTACGGTTTGGACAAGACTGGTGGCGAGCGCCAGGTTATTGTGTACGATCTGGGTGGTGGTACTTTCGATGTTTCCCTCCTGTCGATTGATGACGGTGTCTTCGAGGTCCTGGCTACTGCTGGTGACACCCACCTGGGTGGTGAGGACTTTGACCACCGTGTCATGGACTACTTCGTGAAACAGTACAACAAGAAGAACAGCGTCGATGTTACGAAGGACCTGAAGGCGATGGGTAAGCTCAAGCGCGAGGTCGAGAAGGCCAAGCGTACGCTCTCTTCGCAGATGTCCACCCGCATTGAGATTGAGGCCTTCCACAACGGCGAGGACTTCTCCGAGACCCTGACCCGCGCCAAGTTCGAAGAGCTGAACATGGATCTGTTCAAGAAGACCCTCAAGCCCGTCGAGCAGGTGCTCAAGGACGCCAAGGCCAAGAAGTCCGACGTGGACGACATCGTTCTCGTTGGTGGCTCCACCCGTATCCCCAAGGTCCAGGCTATCCTGGAGGAGTTCTTCGGTGGCAAGAAGGCCAGCAAGGGTATCAACCCCGATGAGGCCGTTGCCTTCGGTGCTGCCGTTCAGGGTGGTGTTCTGTCTGGCGATGCCAACCTCCGTGACGTCGTTCTCATGGATGTTAACCCCCTCACCCTGGGTATTGAAACCACCGGTGGTGTGATGACCAAGCTCATCCCCCGTAACACTGTCATCCCTACCCGCAAGTCCCAGATCTTCTCGACTGCCGCCGACAACCAGCCGACGGTGCTGATCCAGGTGTTCGAGGGTGAGCGCTCGATGACCAAGGACAACAACCTGCTCGGCAAGTTCGAGCTGACAAGTATCCCACCCGCACCCCGTGGCGTTCCTCAGATTGAGGTCGCCTTCGACCTGGATGCCAACGGTATCCTCAAGGTTAGCGCTAGTGACAAGGGAACCGGCAAGGCCGAGTCCATCACCATTACCAACGACAAGGGCCGTCTGTCCCAGGAGGAGATCGACCGCATGGTGGCCGAGGCCGAGCAGTTCGCCGAGGAGGACAAGGCGATCAAGACCAAGATCGAGGCCCGCAACGGACTGGAGAACTACGCCTTCAGCCTGAAGAACCAGGTCACCGACGAGAAGGGTCTTGGTGGCCAGATCGACGAGGACGACAAGCAGACTATCCTGGACGCTGTCAAGGAGGTTACCGACTGGCTCGAGGAGAATGGCGCCACTGCCACCACCGAGGACCTCGAGGAGCAGAAGGAGCAGCTCTCTGGTGTCGCCTACCCGATCACCAGCAAGCTTTACGGCTCTGGCGCTCCTCCCGAGGGCGAGGAAGAGGAGCCCGTCGAGCACGACGAACTGTAAAATTATCTCGAGGCATTACCCATGGAGTTCTTTTTTTTTTTTAGTTTTCCCCCCTGTGTCTGTTGTCTTAAACGGGGCGGTGTCCCTCAAAGAGCTTGGCTTAACTGGCTCAAGAGAATACTATGATACCTATACTCAGGACCACTCAACCAATTGTAAGATTCTGTAGTGTAGATACTATAGACTTAATGCCCCTGCCCAACAATTTCACGCACCGTCTCCGCAACAACCTGATGATCATCCTCCTGCTTCAGCCCGCTAACCACCACAACAGCAACAATCCCCTCGACCCCACGCACGCGGATTGGGTACGCACCACCATGGATAGCATACTCATCCGCAACGGCACCCCCATTGGCACTCGCCAGCGCATACTTCTTCACAAACGCGCTCTCGATATCCGCAGCCGTCGCATCCGCCGACAACCCCGCCACGGTCTTCTGGCGCATCGCCCAGCTGGACACGCCCCAGCGCAGCACGGTGTTGCGCTTGCGTCGCACCCAGTTCTCGTTGTCGGGGATCGTCCCGCTCTCGGTTGCGCACTGGAAGACTACGTGCAGTGGGCCGCCGCCTGTGGTGGCTGTGGCGTGTGCGATTGAGATGAGCGCGGGCTTGCGTTGTCCGGCTGGTAGCGAGAGGATGCGGGTGCGCAGTGCGGTGCCGAGGGTCCAGGCAGTGTTGGTTGTGAAGGTGCAGAAGATGTGTTCGTGGCTGGTTTCTTGGGTGATTAGGATTTGGGGCTGTTGCATTTGTTCCGAGTTAGTGGGGGGAGTGAGTAGTTGATGCGGCGCAGAGTTGGAGAGACGTACGTCCGTGCTTGGGGATGAGAGGCTTTTCTCTGCCATGGTGAAGGTTGATGTGTTTGTTGGAAGAGATAAAGAAAGCTTGAAAGATAGAAGCGGAAGGTATATGTTGGATCTGGGGAATGCTTCCTAAATACTCGAGCAGAGATGTGGAGCTCGGCCGTTCACCGGTGACGTCGGGAAGGTCCAGCCTGAAGGCTTGTGGAGACTCGACAATTCGAAGAAAGTCTTGGAGTCATTTTGGAGTCGCCATGATTATTCACCCAGGATACCTCAAGGGGCCATCTCACACTTCATAGATGCTAGTATGGCAGCACAGAGCATCCTTGTATACGCACCTGTAGCACCCACTCTTCAAGTACTAGTTAAGCTACAATACCCAGGGGCTCTCTAGCTCGTTTCGGGACTCAATTGAAAGAATATCACTTTGCCACAGACAGCGATTCGAGGGACAGAAAAATAATGGATGTAAGTACAGTGCATTGGTAAACCTGCCGAAAGCCCTCCGCTCCGATGCTCGCGTCTCCGCATCCAAGACTCCAACCCTCCTCCGCCTCCATGTCCCCCAAACGAGCCTGCGATTCTTGCACCTCCCGCAAAGTCAAATGCAATGGCACTTGGCCTTGCGATACCTGCCGCGATGCGAACAAACGGATCCCCTGTACCTACTTGAGGCCTGCGCGCAAGCGAGGCCCCAAGGTCCGACGGCAACCAAGATCGAGCCCAGATACTGTTTCAAGACTGGTCGACCAACAAAAGGAACAAGGGGACAACGTGGATAGCCATGGCGAGGGCTCATTTGACCGACAATCTGTCGAATCATGCTTTTCTCAGCGCATCCCAAAAACCATTCTTGCATCAGTTATACGCCTCTATCAGCAGTATTCCTTCAGCGTGTGGCCAGTTGTCAGTGCAGACGCCGTTCTACCAAACCTCGAGGATATAGACCCAGGCAAGGTTGGAAAAGATGATGAGAATACAGCCTGTTTGATTACGGCTCTTTGTGCCGCAACGATGGCTCAGTTGCATCTCCAGCCGTTCATGGATGGTCCCCGAGCAGTGGATAGTTCAATAATGGCGAAGGCGTGCGTCCAGATGCGGGGAAATCGCGATAACCACAATGAACATCTCGACTTGAAAAGTGTCTTGGTCTCTTTTTTTCTGCATGTCTATCACGCCAAGGTCAACCAGCGGAACTCGGCAATGATGTTCATACAAGAGGCTATTGCAGGGGCTCGGGTTCTGCGACTGGATGAATTATCGTGCCAGCAGGGGAGTATATCCGGGTTTCCGCCGCAAGACCATACTATTGCCAACAAAGAATTGGTTTTCCCGTTGCTTTGGGTTTCGGAAAGGTCAGCTGGGTTCTGCCTATTTACCACAATTGGGTGCTGATGTGTTTCAAGAGGTTACGCTCTACACTTGGGCCTTTCACCATCCTATACTGACCCAGTGTTGTTACCTGAGCTTGGCAACGACTCGATCACTGATGTGCACGTTCAAGGCTTGCTGGATCTGGTCAAACTTTTCACTGCCTTTGACCGAATCTCAGTCAGCCGCAAAGCACGCGTAGGGAATGCTTCTATCACAGACCTGATAGCCACCGAAGAAGCGCTCTCTTCCGTGCTGCTGACTATAACTGAGCATATTTCTACGAGAACGGCCGACTGCCATATAACTCGGGAATGGATGCGGACTATTCTTTGGCAAGAGGCTTTATCCTTGGGTTTGCTGTCTTCAGGGTCTGGAACTGCCGTGATGACATTCGGGTTCCCTGCGCAAGTCAGTCGAGATTTGCTGCGAGCGTTGCGACATTTCTCGGAAACAGATTTGCTGCCGTTGGGGCGAGATCAGGTAGGTGTGACCTTGATAGTTTTGAACTATTCAAGGTGTTAACCAATATATCCACCAGCTGCTCAAGTGTTTTGAGGTCGCCAACTCGCTGGCAGATACGGTTCTCTTCACTTCTGCTACGTGTCATTCTGGGTTTGAACTGGGACCACAGGACTTCCTGCATGCGCTGTACCAGAAACTTTTACCTTTCTTGGAGCAAGACAGCGTGCTCAAGTCAATTCTCCGAGCTAAAACCGCCGAGATTCTTGTTATGGCTCCCGCTCGACTCCTTACAACTGAGCTTGGTTACACAGGATTGCGGTGGCCTAGGCCCCATGCAATTGATGGGGAGAATAATAACCACTACACAGAGACCCCGGCTCTAAAGGCTCTATCGTGGGACGATCTGGAAGAAGGATTGCTATTACCTATCGCCAACCCAAATTGGATACTGCAGCCAAGTATATAAAGGATGTGAATCAGTAGCAAGAGATCATACATACATGGTGCTTTCATTCGGCGACCTGGAGCACAATCCGTCCAGCAATATCGCCTTTTTCCAAATCTTCATACACCTGGGGCAACTCCTTGAATGGGCGCACCTTGATTTCGGGTTTGACCACACCCCGCCGCACCAAGTCGACCGCCTCCATGCATTCCTTCAACGACCCAACCAAGTTACCTGTGATCCGTAGACCCTTGATCACGATTGTGCAGATCGGAGTCTCCAAGCAAGGCCGACCTGGTGGGATGCCTACACAACTCAAGGTGCCTCCAACCCGCAGCATCTCGCAAGCATGCGCAAACGCTTTCGCATTACCGGCTGTGACAACCACGGCGTGTGCACCGAGGCCTGTGATCTCCTGCACCGTTTTGATGGGGTCTTCGACTGCGAAGTCAATGAACTTCTGCGCCCCGAGACCAAGAACAAAGTCTGTCTTGCCGGGACCCGTGTCAATGCCGATGACGAGGGCACCTTGTGCTCTTGCATATTGGACTGACCAGTCATTAGTCTTAGTTTTTTCAGTCATTTTATTATAGGGGGTATTACCTGCCAAATGTCCCAGACCACCCCCGGCCCCGACAACCACGAGCCAATTTCCAGGACGAACATTGGCGTTCAGCACTGCCTGCATGACCCTCAGCATCTACTACCAGGCTACGAATGAAAAGAAGACTCACCTTGTATGCCGTCAAGCCAGCACACAAAACCGGCCCCATAACCTTGGGATCGACATCATCCGGCAACACAGTCAAGTAATCCGCATCGAGCGCAATATACTCCTGAAAGCTGCCGTCTTCGTGGTGCAGATGATTCGTACTCTGCACACAGTACTGCTCCGTTCCCGCAAGACAGAACTCGCACCGCCGACAGATGCGACTCGAGAACCGAATCCCAACGAGGCCTCCGATTTTAAGTCCTGTGTTATGCGTGATGCCTGGACCTAGCGCTATAATCCTGCCGATTCCTTCGTGTCCGCCTACATGAGGCAGCTTGATCTTCGTGATGGGGTTTCCGTCTGGTCCGGCGGCCGTGCCGGATTTGGTGTGCAGGTCTATGGGAATATTCGATTGTGTGTTAGACTGAGACTCGTTGGGTTTGTGGAATACAAGGAAGGAGGAAACTTGCCACTCTGACAAACACCTGTGTATAGCACCTTTGCCAGGACTTCATTGCTACCTGGTACCGGTACGGGGTAGTCTGTCTTGAACTCGACCTGGCCGCCAAGGTCGCGGACCAAAGCGACGGTTTGGGTTTGAGGTATGTCGAGAGAGCCCATTTTTAAGGTACTTCAAAGGATCTCAAAGAATATTGGCGGAAATATTCACGGATAAAAGAGTGAAATGAATGACACGAGACGGGATTCAAGTGCCTCCTTATATCTTCGTCGTCGAATATTATTTAGTGTACCGGATGCAATCCACCTCCCATAGCTTCTACTCCGCATAACTACTTGTCTTTGTGTTTGGTATTTGAAATGCCCTGATGTATAGTCCCGGAGGTACTGGAAGTGGAGGCAATGCAGTGGTGGAGATGTGCGATGAAGTAAGTGTTGCCGTAGTCATCGTGGTCAGACTCGGAGAAATACTGCATTTCTCCAGAGTCACGCCATTTTCACTGCTGGATAGCCTGGGGAATTATGTTGATCGTCGCGCTATTTCTCCGAGCCAATTCTCCGGAGTGGAGATGGCCATCTCTGGCTGGCACTGGCACTGCAGATCCATCTACCTGGGGGGGGACTTGAACAAATCAGAGACGAGAAAATAAAGAAAAAGAAAAGCCTTGTTGTGCAAATCCAACGTACAAGGTTTGCATCATTTGTCATCTTAAATATGGATTCATGGCAGCCCTAACTCCGACATCATTCACTCATACACCATATGAGCCCTCCCAAAGTAACGCTATGCACAGCTCATAAGCTCAAAGTCATAAGACCGTAATATAAAAATAACATCCACAATTCAAAGAGTTTGCCGGACCAAGATCCTCGGCACCGAGAAGGACTTGTCCGATTGCACTAGTTGATGACTGACGACTGGCGCAGGTGCTGCCTCGACATCGTAACCAGGGCTTCGATCTCGCTGGTGAATAGGTGGGCTACCAGGGCTGGTAAGTGGGATTTGATCAGTCGCCCGTTTGCTTAGCCAGTATGTGCGCAAGCCATCGAGGGCGGTCTTGAAGTCGTCCAGAATGACTGTATCGCATAGGCATTTGAAGATAAATGATAGCTATTTCCAGTAGGTTAGTTGCGGTAGATAATTTCAAGGTCATAAGTATTGACAAATATTGCGATATATGACCGGAGATAATGTAAATATACCTTCCAGAATGGTTCGATGCCCGTAGGCAGTGCATCACTGAAGGCATTCAGCACACTGCATGTATCAACGATGATAAATGCAATTGAGAGACACATGGAAGCAAGCATGATCCCGAAGCGTGGGCTGACGAGGACTAATTCCCAGAGACCGAAGTTGTATTCGCGTTTTATAGTATAGAAAAGGGAGATAGTCGTGAAGACCCACCACGGGTCCCTTGGACAAGTCAGCACAAAAGCGAAAGGAGAAATGTTATTAAAATAATCAGTACCGAAATAGAGGCTCCAAAGGCCGGGTGATGAGAAAGACGCGGTTGATATTGTTGAAGTAGGCGAAATTGGCGTAGATCTCCACCACCCAGTAGGGCCAGCAGAGCACTACAGTGGTGATATAAATCATTGACACCTTGCGTGACAAGAATGGGCGATTCTTCATCCACGCGATGAGATTGTGCAGCGCCCAGGAGATATTCAGTCCGATCGCCGTGGCTGAGAGATACCATCCGTAGGCTGGCTCGTGTGCAAAGATGAAGGTGCCATGTGGCATAGCCAGGATGAGCTATGAAGAGAGGAGTTAGTTGCTTTGCTACCCTGCTGATTTGTCTATCTATGGGATGGGATATCCTTGAAGACTTCGCGTCAAGTCCAGCATACCTCGGCCAAGATCAGTTTATGCAGCGCAATGTGCTTCTTCATGTTGGAAAGTGTGATCGCTGCCATGATGACCAGACTGCCAATCATTAAGCCTTGGCCCCAAGCCTCGAGGACAAGTCCCTTTGGATCGACAGGCCGAGCAACGCGGTCGGAGGACATTGTTCAGGGTTTAGTGCATACCATAGAGGATGAGATGAGATCGACGAATACACACAGAGGCCCAAGAAGCTAGCTCAAATGCAGGCCAAGGATTTGATGAATTGTGCAAAGAAAGAAAAAGGGGAATCTGACCGGGCAGAGGGTGGTGTTCATGCAAAATATGCCGATTATCTACTCGGTTGCACACCCGCAGCAGTAGGGCCTCACATCCCAGGAATTTGGGAGGAACAAAATACCCGATTGACTATTATAGGATTGAAGTACAAGAAATATTGAATCAACACGTGGGAAGAAGGCTGATCAGGTCGTCAGCTTGGATCAAGGCCACCAATTAGTTGCCTCTATCGCAATATACAGCCAGACGTTGTACTTGGTCGCCTGAAGTTGTCCTGGATACCACATTATAAGCCCGCATAGTACGGAGGATATAAATGAAATAATCAAAGCAAGATCCAACAAAGAATGTACAAGAAAATACCTACATAAAGAAAAGCGCTAGGTTTGTTCAAACTGCTGTGGAGCGCCATGAAAAGCCGATATCCATCAGCGAGGACCAGTATCTTCCTATGTGTGAGGTTCGACTTGACTTGACTCGAGGCTTACCTTGAATCCTTCTTTCAGCTCCTCAATTTTCTCCCTGCTGCGCACCCGTTTCCGTGACTTGCGTCCTTTCTCTTGCCCCAGCGCGTTTCCCTTAGACCTGCCGATGTCAATGAGCAACCAAACTATCCGAGCAGTTGCATCTTTAGCACCATGTACTTCTCACCATGATGGAATTTCAGGGATTTAGGGCCGTTGCAACGTTGATCCCTAACCCTGCAATCGCGTGGCGTGTGTGAAACCTCCCGAGAATACGGAATTTTGACGGTCAGCAGAGTCGTTCGTGCAGACTGAGCTAAGATAAGAAGCAGTCCAAAAGTGCGTCGCGCCAGAGAACTGAAACTACACGGCCTCAGAAGTACTATTTGGCGATGCATATTCTCGGCCCCTCACTGCGGCTGCGTTCGAGGAACCAGCGTAAATACGACCAAGAGTGTTGAACGGTTGCCACCGTGGGCTTCACAGGACCCGACAGGAGTGAATTGACTTGGGCAATTTCGCTCCACGGTACTACCATGCTTGCTGAAGGCTCGGGGGCTTCTTCAAAAACGACAAATCCGCGGAGGAAGCCACGGGAAGCTCAGGCCCTCTTACTGGCGTTGTCTTTGGTATTGATCTTTTCCACCGCCACATATTTTCGTGTCCTTGGCTTTCGACCCTGGCTTCTAAAGCTCATTCCTTTTATTTCCATTCGATAAGCTACCATGTCTTCATGGTGGCCCTCAGCTGGCGTCTCTCTGCTTTTGTCGCTCGGAGGTCTTGCGTGGCCATCTTCGATTTTCACCTCGACCGACATCCAGCCACCCAAGCTAAAAGTCAACAAAATAGGCACAAATGCCCCTGGCTACATCTTCATTGCCCCCCACGCAGCTTCTCAGTTTACAGATCAGGCGGCGCTCATTATGATGATGCAGGCAGCCTGGTATACAAAAGATCTGATACGGTAACAGCCAATTTCAAAGTCCAACAACTATTCGGTCAAGACGTGATTATCTACTGGGCAGGGGATGTTCTGAATTTGAGGTTGACTATGGCACAGTGCACATTCTGGATAACACCTACAAGGAAATTTACAATATTACCTTGACCCGGGATTTTGATACGCCAGACAGCTCACCGAGGGAATCCTATATCGATATGCATGAGAGCTACATCACTCCGAACAACACGCTGCTGGTGCCAGCATACGATATCACCCAGCACGACCTCTCATCTGCGGGCGGCGATGCCTCAAACTGGATAGTGGATAGCGAGTCCTATGAAATCAACATCACCAACAGTCAGATTCTCCACTCATGGCGGGGAATTCACGCAAATTGGCTACACCGGCTTCTCGTGGCAGCATGATATGCGAGTGCACAACGAGACGGAGCAAAGCCTGGTTCTAACACTATTCAACAACGCCAACAATGAGATAGCAGCCGGGCCTGCCACTACGGGCCTTGGCCTAGCCATCGACCTTGTGAATCGCACGGTGACCAAACTCCGCTCACTATTCAATCCAAACAATTTGATCCATTCCGTCAGCCAAGGTAATTATCAACTCTTGAGTGGGACGAACGGCCATGTCCTCATGGACTACGGATCCATTGCTAAAGTCAAGGAGTTTGACGGCGACGGCAATGTGGTCTGCAGTGCGCAGTTCGGCGACCATAATGCGGTCGCCTCCTACCGTGGCTACCGTTGCCAGTGGCATGCCGCTCCGTTTTGGAAGCCCTCCCTGGTTGTGCGACGCACTGACACCGGGGCAAACGTGTCTATGGGCTGGAATGGTGTCACGAATTATGACAACTGGGCTGTATACTCTGTTATCTCGGAGAAATCTGTCGAGGGCCGATGGATCAGGACTGTTTCACGTACTGGCTTTGAGATTACTGTCACTTTGACGGATGTGTCTTCACATTACATTCAAGTTGTTGCTCGCCAAGGAGAGACTGTTTTGTCCAAATCGGAAGTTGTTTCTTTCTAGGGGCGTTAAAAAAATTGGATTCCAGGAGTATCTCAAGGAAGCTGCCATCTGAAAATGGCAATTTGCATTACAGTGCTGGATAGGGCTAATGCTCCAACCTTGCAATACAGGCTTTGCCATAGCACAAGCTTAGTGACAAGACTACTTCCAGAGATATCATACCAATGTTCCTACTGTCTTGGTAGCCGCCAGATCTAGTCCACTATCCTAACTAATGGTCGCTCTCTCGGGAGAAATTTCCACTTGACCATATCCGAGTTAGCAACGACTATATTGAAATCAACATACCATAGCCGTATCAACTCCTATAGAAATGTTTGGCTTGGCCAGGCTGTTCCAACATGGATGTGGCGCTCACATTCTTGATTGTCGCAAGATGTGGAATCAAGGGAGCTCAAGCCGACAACCATCGGCTTACATGTCCCCATCTCCAGTTGGAGATTGCTCAGGGTGTTACATTCTTCGGATGTTTTCAATCAGCGATTGGGTCCCCGCTATTTGGCGGTGACATTGTGGGACTTGGGTATCCCTTCATTGTACACCATCTGTGCTTTCTACTGCAGCGTCTCTAGGGCAAGTGCATGTCGCGGCCAGAATGTTGCATCTGGTGACCCGGGTCGTATCGGATGGGGGAGATGGAATGGGCGTCTGTTGGAGTCGGGGCTGCAAACTTGGGCAAGAGTATAAATACCAGGCGATGGCAGGGATGTTGGAAAAGGGTACATCGAATATCAAGAAATATTCCAAGTGAGCCAAGTTTAACCAGACAACAAAAAAAACAAAAAGAAAAAACACCGTCCAACATGCTCATTGACAACTTCCTCTCCGTTTCTCTTCTTTCCTTTGCCACACTCGCGCTCTCCCGGCCACCCACTCGAGCAAGAGACCACGTCGACAATGTCTCATTCGGAGCATTTCCTACGGTATCCAGCGCAATGCTCCCATCCTCCACGTCTAAGCCAGCCTCAGCCTCAGCATCTCTTCTCGCTCCACGCCGCGGCCGAGCCGTGATTGTCAACCAATGCTCGCATCCAGTGTACCTATGGTCCGTCGGCACAACTGTGCGGCCAGAGGCTATAGTTCAGCCGTATGGAAGATACTACGAAACCTTCCGTCAGGATACGGGCACAGGCGGTATCGCCATCAAAATCAGTACCGTGCGCCACGGCCTGTATAGCAGCGCGCCCATGACCGTCTTTGCCTACAATCTTTCCAACGAACAGGTGTGGTATGATCTGTCGGATATCTTTGGAGATCCGTTCCGCGGCCACCCCGTCCGCTTGCAGCCGGCTGAGCCGCAGATTTACTGGCGTGATGGGGTGCCGCCTGCTGGGAGCCAGGTTCGTGTGCGGGATGCGTCGGTGGATTTAGTGCTGACGCTGTGTTGATTGGGCGAGTTGCATCGGATACAATGGGAATCTGACAAGGAGGACGAGAATGAAGAAAGGTGGGGTGATTTTTAGGACTTTTCTGGATACCGGGAATCCGTATGATAATCATAATCTTGGGCGCTTCCTTTCATTGTTTGAGATTGTAGCTATGGCCTTCACAATGACCTGCAAATTTTTGAATTGCTTTCTGCCTGAAAATGTACTTGCCCCTTGGCCCAAGGCCTTAAATTGCACCGCAACCTTTTCCCTCGCGCCTGTTCTGTTCTTGAATTTCAAGCACACCCTCCCGTCTTCACTGGGTATCTCCGGCAAGTGACTTGACAGTCCCAGTGCATTGCCTTCTCTACAGCATGGCCCAGGTACGTGAAGATCTTTTTATCCATGAACCTTCCACTCTTGATATGCGTCTCCGAGGATCTTGCCTCGTTGAAAGCCCGCATTCGCAGCCTGCTTAACCACCTCCGTCCACAAACTCCAACCGCACCCATCGGAGACTGTTCTTCTCTCCATTGTCGACAATTTCATTCCACAATTTTCCCACGTTTTCACTCGCCTGATTCTGCACAGAGCATCCAGGTCCGCATGCAAATGATACACCATCCAGCTCTGGCACTGATGACCACCGTATACCCGTACCACAAAAAGCAATGAATAAGCATGGGACCTGAATCACGAATCCAGATGCCAAGAATGGTTAGTTTATGACCAGTGTCTGAAAAGCCGGCGGTTATTGTCGAGAACTTTGTTGACACTCGTTGAGCGTTTGGTGGATAGCAGCTCCTTCGCAATTACAACAGGGATTTCCCATATCAACTCTTGGTTCTTCCCAGAGCATTCTCCATTGTCTATCTTCAATCTACCCTCCGGGTTCAACTTCATCGATTCGTTCCATTCCCCGTTTCGGCCCCATCAAATATGCGCCTCGGCTTTTTAGGCCTTGGGTTCATGGGAGTTCCTATGGCCCGCATTCTCTCAAGAAGGTTTCCTCTTATTGTCTGGAATCAAAGTCCTACCAAATATGTGGCCCTCAAAAAAGATAGAGGCAAAGTTTCGATTGGAGAAACACATACAAAGGTGGTTGAAAACTTAGACATTATCTTCATGATGCTTTTCAACGCTGCGGCAACCAGTTCAATCCTCAGCAAAGATTTGAAAAAAGACATCCGTGGCAAAATCCTGGTCAATACTAGCTTGGTGACTGTCGAATTCAGCAAGTCTTTTGATGAAGAGGTTCGGGAAGCTAGCGGACAATTTCTTGAGATGCCCGTGAGCGGCAGCAAAATCCCTGTTGAACAGGGCCAGCTGGTTGCAATGATGTCTGGTGACCCGGATCTCGCCAAGCTCGTTGAGCCCTTTGTCGAACCTCTCAGCTTCTCGGCGATCTATTGTGACCCTATAGGCTCCGGTCTCAAAGCAAAGTACGCGGTAAACACTTTGCTTATCACTCTGACTGTTGGGCTGGCCGAGTCAATGAATCTGGCTCAAGCCCAAGGTCTTAATTTTGAGGCCTTCGCAAAGGTCTTGGATGCCTGTCCGATGGCGTCGCCCTATTCCAAGATCAGAGTTGGCAAGATGCTGAACCAGGATTGGTCTCCCCAGGCCGCAACCAAGGACTGTTACAACAGCACGCAGCTGATCCAGTCTGCTGCAGTTGCGGCGAACAGCCGGTCACCTCTTACGGCAGTATGCGGAGAGCTGTACGCCAAAGCGATGGGCACGGGCATGGGCGAGGAGGACATGATTTCAGTCGCTAAGCAGATAGCAAGTCATCAAACATAATCCGTCCTTCATTTCCATTATTTCAATATAAGCAACTTATTATTCCAGCTGCGTGATTTCCCCAGAGATAGCAATTCAAAAACGCGTGGGAGGATCGGAATACCAGTCATTGTGGGCCGTATGGAATTTGGTGAATCTCGAGTTGTTGTCCATACAATCGTGATCACTGACATCTAGTGTGCCTGCCTGTATAGGGAGGCAGCGCCCAGCTTGAATACTGTAGAAAGCAGGCAACAACAAGACGCGTCTTATACACGCGTCACTAGCTTACTTTAGAAGTGTCTTCAACAAAATGAATCGCGAAATTGCCACGCTAAAACTTAGCTGCATGGCTAGCGCCTTTTAGAGTTTTTACCCCAGATTTTAACTGACACCCAGCAACGCAGGCACCCACACATGCCAGCTCTCCAAGGCTTCAAATCCAAGTGTTTAAATTGCCCCTTGGTACCATCACTTATAACTGATCTGATAGCATAGCCTTACATCTGGAGAAACCAACCCATCAGATTATGAGCCGCCCTCAATGGATCAAATGGCACACTTCCGACAACCAGTTTTTCGATTTTTAGCTGAAAGATATGACATCCGACTCTCGGTAATTACATTTTTGGTTTATTCCCAGTCAATAAAAAAAAAAGGTGTATGGTTCCAGTCGGATACTTTGCACATGAGTATGTCCGACTTCAGAATTCTATTCTAGGTCACTACATCTCCGGCACACTAAGAGATCTGCCACAACCCAGATCTGACAAGGACCATATGGGGGCCATAGCTCGAGGAAAAGATTTTTGGTTTGGACATTTTGATGCTATTTTGGGGGTCTCAGACACTCCTCCGCCAAGAGCTGTTAGGCATCCCACGTTCCGCACCGCGTGGTATATCCGAAATAAGTCGCGAATCCATTGTCATATCTCCCATCAACTGCAACCAGTGACAGGGCCTCAAAATGCCATATTTTCAGGGAAATGTCCCTGATCTTCCTACCTTCCAGGGCCAAGCGTCGGGAACGCCGGGTCTCGAGACACTACCTCGCATCTTCACATCCTCTGAGGGGGCCGCATCCTCTAACATCCTCCCAGGGCAAGTCTTTCCTTATTCGGCCAAAACTGCACCCGGCGCCGTGTCATAGTCCACCTGCATTTCTGCGAAGGATAGTCTAGGTCTAGTCCAGAGTCCCCTCGGTCGACTCGGGCCTGCGAGGCAACTTCCAGGACTTGAAAACTGACTAGCAAAATTCCGAACAACTACTCAGGCCACCCAGCTAGGGGAGCCAATTGTCTTTTCAGGATTCACCCACGCACTGAAAGTTTTCTGTAATCGAGATCCAGCTCTCCAGATTAGAAAATAAGATTGACTTGCGCATTGACCCTGCTGTTTCTCGCCTAAAGCTTGGCGGTGCATCCTACAAGCGAGCCAGTCCGGTATATATGCAATTGGCGCCATATTACGGCTAACTTTTCCATGATCCCTCACCGATCCCTTCCTATTATCGAAATACCCGGCGCTGTTTTATTCCTTGGATTCCTTGGTGCGCAGATGCTAATCCTACCCGAAAGTTTCTTGAACCCTTGATATTCAGCTCCTGACACGCACACCCCACAAAAAGGTGGATCACCGTGCATTAGCCGTGCGCAGGGACCTTGTCCAGGGCTTTTTAGGCGTAGCGCCAAGTTTCCACGGCGCACCATCCCGCCAAAAATAGTTAGGGCTGACGCCGAAAATAGACGCCAAATGGCCTTCTTCCCGTGCTGGGCATGTTTTCTTTGGCTCGCCTCAACCGGATTTTGATGGGATTCAGGGTCCTTGGGGGATCGGATCGGGGTGCTATGTATAGCTAGATCGAAAGAGGTGCAGTCGCGAAGGTTATTTGTAGCATGGTGATGTGTGATGCTGCTTGGCAATCCTGTCCGCGTGCTGGGCAAAGGGGGTATATATAAAGGGCGTCGGGGCATCGTATTGAGCAGAATAGCATCGCTGCTCGTTTGTTATTCCAGTTCAGTTACTGCCTTCATTAGCTGGGTACCTGTTTGCCAATCTGGAATATCTTCCATTTTCTGTTCTCTTCTTTCATTATGGGTAAAGCACGACCTGCCATTTTTGCAGCTTTGGCACTATCAATATGCCCAGCACTCGCGATTCCAGCGCACGCAGATTTGGAGATGCTAGGGGAAAATGGAAATCCCCTGCAAATTTTCAATAGGCGGGCCGACGACGACTTCGACCCGTGGGATCTCTCGTCGATCAAGAAGATCGCAGCCATTGGAGACTCGTATTCAGCGGGGATTGGAGCTGGCACGCGGATCAGCGAGGAAGATGATCCAAAAGCAAAAGAATGCAGTCGCTATGACCATTCCTATCCCTACCTGGTCAACAAAGACTCTGCCTTGGGCGATTCTTCCAAGAGAAAGTTCCAATTCTTGTCCTGTTCCGGAGCCCTGTCGAAGGAGGTGGAGGATGAGCAGGTCGGTGAGATTGAAGATGGACAAGACGTTATTATGCTTTCAGCTGGTGAGCAATCGAGTTGTTTCTTGTTTCTTTCCTCTCTTTTTATGGGGCCCCTGGCGATTCGGTCAAATGGAGTTGGCTGACTTTCACCTGTCTTTCCTTTGCAGGCGGCAATGATGCTGGGCTCGCCGATATTCTCAACCAGTGTGTCTTCCAGATCTTTGCGCCGAATAAGGTGACTGCAGGCCTTATGCAGGCCTTCCCAGCCATCAAAGCCATTGAATGGCTCTCCGGGGGCGATCTCAACAAGTATGCCCGCAGTTGCGAGGAAACCCTGGCAGACTCACAGAAGACAATCGAGGACGGGGGCTTTTCAAAGCAACTTGATTCTCTGCTTAGCAAAACCAAGAAGAAACTCGGCGATAAAGGTACCATCTACTATACAGGGTAAGTTGCCGTTGACTTAACGAACACACCACTAAAAAGACAAGCGGAAGGGGAAAGCTGATGCGATGCAAAGATATGCCCAATTCTGGGACGCCGATATGTCCGATGGCGACCAATGCAGCAAGACCGATTGGTCTGTCCTCATGTCGGTAAGTTGTTTCTGTTTTGTTCTGCTAGCTAGAGATCCCAGGTCGCTGATCAGTGGTAGCACATGGACAAATGGTCATTCCAAGAGCCTGTGAAGCTCACCGTGGATCGACGAAAGAAGATGAATGATTTGGTGTCGCTAGTCAACAAGAAGATCTCCGAGGCCGTGGAAAGGGCCGGTCCTCAGGTTGTGTTTGTTGATTACGACTGGTACATTCGTTCAAGTGGTGGGCAGTTTTGTAAAAAGGGCGTCAAAGAGCCCAATCCCAGTCGGTGGGTATTTCTCAGAAATAAAAAAAGCTAGCAGGTGACAGAGAAACTGACTTGACACAGGGAGGGATTGAAGTTTTACGAGTTGGACATCAAAAACCCACAGGGAACGAGTCCCTTCAAGAGAGACGGCAGTGACATTTACGAAGGCACCTTTGAGAACGATATCAACCGGTTTGGACTGCTTGCGCGGACTGTCGGCTCGAAGCTCAAGGACGATGCATTGCCGGACGAGAAGATGGGCGAAGAGAAAGACAAGTCGGGCAGAACAAGGGCGACAAATCCGCTGCCCGATGGCTATGGGTATGTCTGCGACTGAACCGAACATAAGGTTGTTGTTTACTTTTGCTCACATGATTTTTCCAGGCGTATCTTCCACCCGACAATCTCCGCCCACAAAGACATCGCCTCATACCTCGTCTACAACATCGTCCTGGAAAATGGCGCCAAACACAAGAAAGAGGCCAAGCCCAAGGAGATTGACGTGAAGTTTGACTGGACCTGCCCGCTTCACCCGGAAGTCAAGCCTAAATGCGAGCAGTCGCTTACGTCCGGTGTCTCGTACAAGATCTTTGCCGACGTCTACGGCGACTTCTGCAAGCAAGTCGACAAGAAGCCAGAGAAGTCGCTGAATTGGACTGTCGATTCCAAGGGCAAGAAAATCTCGGACAAGAAACGAGACCTTGAGGCTCGAACCCCTCCCCGGGCCCCGATGATGCCAAGGGCGTCAAGTTTGCATTGAAGTGGGAGCCAGAACAGTCCTCCAAGCGGGACTCTGGACTCCAGCCGCGCAGAACGGGCTGTGAGGCCAGCTGCAAGGAGGCATATCAGGAGATATCCAAGGCCTGTAAGTGCGACAATCTCTTTTTGATGGATGTGCATGAAGGTACAATTCTAAGCAACGACTCGTGACGACCACAGGTGGCCATACCGCTGGAGAAGGAGAATCTATGGCAGCAGAGGCTGAAGTCTCGGTGGGCTGCGGCAAATACAGCTACGAAATCACCGGCCCAGACAGCCCGGACAAGAAGGACGCCAAGGATGTGAAACGCAAGTGCTACGATGTCAAGGAATGGGGCGACAAAGAGCACAACACAAATGACAAGATCCAAAATATTTTGATTGAGCGGATGTGCGACAAGGTCAAAGACAAGAAACTCAAGGCCGGCGACGATACCCTCGAACTTGGACTCGAAGAGGGCCAGTATTACTACAGCATCAGCTGGATGGACAACTGCAAGAGCACGGTTGACGAGGTCAACGTGGGATATCCGCTTGGCCGGGACGAGAAGAATAATTGCTGGTCGCTGCTCCGCTACGCCTACAAGATGTGTGAGGGCGAAAATGATGGGTATGGAGGGTGGTACGAAGTGGGCTGCTTGAAGTATGAGTTCGCCGCTCATGAAGCTGACGCCAGCTTGAAAGAGTTCGGCGATCCTGCATGAGTTTTGTTTTTACTTACTTTTCCTTGCTGTTTCACGCTGCATGAGGTGAAGGCCGTCGGTGGGTCAGAGTATATAGAATCGAGCTATGAGCCAATGTATCAGCCAGTCTGCCAGGAGACTATGAAGATCAATTGGAAATGAATTGGCGAACGGCTATGAGAGACAGTGGAGACACTGATGTCATTCGTGTTGGACCTCGGCTCTGGCGCATTGTACAGAGACCCGAAAATGTGACGATCTGACTGCCTACCGTACATCAGTTCGATCTAGAATCTCTCGGTAATTCGTGATCCCGCCATTCTCAGCGAGGATCTCCCATGCAGTGTTCGGCCACAAGTCCGACGATCCCCGCACTTCTCCAACCGTCCCACCTCCCTCGACTCCGGACTTTCGCCCACTCGGCCTCTCTTTATTTCACCCTTCTCTCTCATCTATTTCCCCCCCAGCTACTCTTTTTTTTTTCATCGACTGAAAGAAATGGTGGCCCCAACAATCCGGGTGGCCCCCTCGGCCGCCAATAGAGCCCTGAACCTGTTGCGCACCGTCCAGTACACGCACCCGCCTAATTGCCCCTGCCATTCCAACCCCAACCACCACCACCATCATCGGAACCCGTCCATGATGAACAATGTGCACCGCCATCTGGCCACCCCGGTGGACCCGTCGCGCGAGAAAGAGTATGCTTTTGAGATGGCGGCGTCCAGCGTCCGGTTCGGACCCGGCTCGACCAAAGAGGTCGGCATGGACTTCAAGAACATGGGTGCCAAGCGCGTGTGCATCGTCACCGACTCCAACGTCACTAAGCTGGATGCCATGAAACAGGCAGTCGAGGGCCTCACCCGCGAAGGAATTGAGTTTACCATCTTCGACAAGGTCCGGATCGAACCCAAGGATAGCTCGTACGTGGAACCTTGAAAGGCTGGAAATAGGCACATCTGCTGACCTGAAATTCTGCAATCTAGTGTCAAAGAAGCCATTGCCTATGCCAAACCGTACAACCCCGACGCCTTTCTTGCCGTCGGTATGTATTGGAGCCCTTTTGGAGCAAGGCGCTCTCGCTGACATCAATTGACCAGGTGGTGGTTCCGTCATCGATACCGCCAAACTCATGAACCTCTACACGGTCTTCCCCGAGGCCGACTTCTTGGACTTCGTCAATGCTCCATTGGGTAAGGGTCTCCCCGTGAGCAAGCCGCTGCGCCCGCTCGTAGCCGTGCCCACCACGGCCGGCACCGGGTCTGAGACGACAGGAACTGCAATCTTCGACCTGGTCTCGAAGAAAGCCAAGACCGGGATCGCGCACCGCAACCTAAAACCAACACTGGGTATCTGCGACCCACTGAACACACGCACAATGCCATCAGCAGTACACGCAGCGTCCGGGCTGGACGTGCTGTGCCACTCCCTGGAATCGTGGACAGCAATCCCATACAATGAGCGCACGCCGCGACCCACCAACCCGATCAACCGTCCCGCCTACCAGGGCGCCAACCCGATCTCCGACATCTTCTCCCTGCAAGCGCTGCGCAGCACAGTCAAGTACCTCCCACGGGCGGTGCGAGATCCAGACGACCACGAAGCGCAGTCACAGATGCTACTAGCAGCAACACTAGCCGGCGTGGGCTTCGGCAACGCCGGCGTGCATCTCTGCCACGGCATGAGCTACCCGATCTCCAGCCAGAACCCGGGCTACCAGCACGCTGGCTATGCAGTCGACCACCCGATCATCCCGCACGGCGTCTCCGTCGCCGTCACCGCCCCGGCTGTTTTCCGCTTCACGGCTGCGTCGAACCCGGACCGGCACTTGGCTGCCGCCGAGGCCTTTGGTGTCGATATCTCCAACGTGAAACGTGAAAGTGCGGGTGAGGTGCTGGGCGCCGCGCTGGCCGACTTCCTGGTTAAGCTGGGTGGCCAGCCGCGCGGGTTGAAGGATCTGGGGTTCAAGGCTTCGGACGTGGATGGGCTCGTTGAGGGCACTATCCCGCAGAAGCGTGTGCTCATGCTGGCACCTAACCTTAGTGAGGAGTTGCAGGCAGAGAAGGGCGAGTTGAGACGTCTTCTTGAAGAGTCTTTGGATTACTAGGCTTACGTTCTCCGAAGCATAGCATTTTGTATTTATATATGCTGCCTACGTCGATATGAATTTGAAAAATTGGATACTCAATGGTGAACAAGAATTTCGTGAAGTCATTTCTTTTCTGTTTTCTTTTTTTTCTTTTCTTTTTTTTTTTTTTTTTTTTTTTTTTTTTTTTTTTGCTTGGGTTCTATACCGAGAAAACGGAAGTGGAAAGATATATCAGCGCTAAAGGCATCTTGGCAAATTGTCTGTTCTGTGTCCGGTCATTCACAAATATCAGTGCTACACCTGCAATTTTCCCAGAGAAAGTGAGTCATCCTTTCTCAAAGATCATCTTCACCAGCACAGCATTCAAGCGACTTACACAGCCCAGCCCCACAAGGCTTGGGTGATCTCGAATGCCACCGAAGCTCCGCCTCCAAAGTACACAGCCCTGTCACTAGCGGATGTTTAACTCTGAAACATAGTAGCAAGTCTGACAAGGAATACAAATATGGTCTAACGAGGAGAATCATCATTGCATGTCCCATTGTATAGTATCTTAACCACAAGTGCAGCTCTAGAGCCAGCTAGGATTTACACGTGCCGATCTATACCAGGCGGGTCCATCAATACGAGCTCGATGTTTCCGGAGAACCACCCGCGTCAACACTGCCACTGGAGCCCTCTTCGACTGGAAGAACCCTCGTTCCTAGCACGCCCATGGAGGAGGCAACACGGTCCAACCAGATAACCGCCCGCGGGTCATTGCGATCCGAAGTCCCCGAGGGACCACGGCCGAGCTCGGAGTGGATGCGGAAGGGCAAGGTGAGTGGCCCTGGGCTGGAGGCTGCAGATGGCTGAGAAGCGGAATTGACGCTGCCTTCGCTGCCAGGCGTGTCGACGAGTGACTCTGGAGAGAGCTCCTCAATCACGCGGCAGCGCAGCCGGTCGTCGAGACGGTCGCGTAGCTGGTCGAGAGTCTCGAGGATGTTCTCTGCGCCGCGAAGGAGCAGCGAGGGGCCGGTGTCTGGGAAGATTTCTGGGACGGGTCCGACGAAGCTGGCGGGGCGCTGGACGATGCCTTGTTGGCGCTGGTTGTGAGAGCCGATGCAGGCGCGGAGCTCGATGCTCAGGGCCGACAGTCGAGTAGAAGTATCTTGGATACGATTAATGAGGTCTGTAATAGCCGCCTGATTGGTTTCCGCTGTACCCGAGAGGACCTCACGCGCCTCGCTGAGATATCGCGGGCATTTGGTGATCTCCATAAATGCCAGGTCAGAGATGTCTGCATAGTCGGACCACTCGCCGGGCTTCTGGGCGTCCTCGACTTTCACCTTGGAGGCAAACCGCTGCCATTCGTCCTCATCGAGAAAACAAGGCTTGCCCTCGTATACTGCGGTCGCGATTAAAAATCCCCGAAATGCGATCCAACATGACCTCCCAAACCCGGATTCATGGAGTGCAGTGCCGCGACTGATCATCAGCCGCTTCACCCCGTCCGAATGTACGACCCAGGCGTCTGGAGTAGTCTGCGCGTACATTTCATAGACGCTGAGCATCATAGCTGTGCAGAGCATGTTGTCGGACGTTGCATGTTTGGGCTTGGAGAGAGCGCGAATCACCTCGCCCAGAGACATCGCATACATATGCCGACTTGTCTTGAGTAGGGCCTGATCCTGAGTCAGATGGGCCAGGTAGACAGAGCTCAAGCAACAGATGGCCGAGTCGAGAAAAGAGTCCATGCCAAAGTTCATGATGATATTCTCCGCGAAGCCTGGTTCATTGCCCGCCCGGAACCGATTGTGGAAGTAAAGCGTAGGGAAAGATGCGCTAATAAAATCCAAGAAGAGCTGCGGCTGTGCCGCTTTGAAGGACTTGCGCACGAGCGACGGCGACACGCTCTCGTCCAATGCCGTCAACGCCTTGTGTCGTTTGATGAGCGCGACTGCGTGTTCGCGTACGACAGACGCCGCGCCTCCATACTCACTAGAAGGAGTAGCGGGTTCGATGGGCTCGATTTGTGCCGACGAGGCTGCAGCAGTGGAAGTCGTTCCCGATGCCCTGGCTCTCCTTGCACTTCTCCCTCTTTGGCGTGGCCCACGGTGTCGCATCGCCAGGGTTGGACCCTCATCTTGAAATCGGAACGTGCGACGATAGCCAGGACAGGTGCGGCCATATCTTTGACATTGAGTGCACTCGGGGACCGTCTCGTCGCACTGGAGTCGGGAAACATGGTTAGCCAACTAGTCGCTACTCCGCCCCAAGTATCGGTCATGATTACTTCCCCTGACTCACCTTGATATGTCTCTCGCGACAGAGAGCACAGCCAGTACTATGCGGAACCCCCACCATCGTCGTCGTATGTCTTCAGAGGGGCATGGCGGTCGCAGAAGAGGGGCAAAGTCGCAGGAATACTCAGTCCACCACACGCGCCCGGGGTCTTATGCATGTACGGTGGATTAGTACCGGCCGTCTGGACAAGTTGCAACAATCGCGTAGCTAAAAACAACCGAGGTCGCCAAGGGTGTTGAAAGAAGAACAAGCCTCAGCCGTGGAGTCAGAAAATGAGTGTGAGTTACGACATCTTCAGGGCACACACGACAGGGCTGACAGTAATCGGACGCCAAGCGAGCGGCGTAAATTGGCGCGGTCCACGCTCTGTTGGAGCGGAGAGACAAGATGCAAAATAAATGAGGCTTCAGGGGTGGAACTCCCTAACGGTGCAGACGTTGCGGCTGTGCGGAATCCACTCGGAATACGGGAGATCCGCGATCTTGATCGTATAATCCGGGGGGCAGTGTCTTGGTCCACTCGACTCGAGCGCCGATCTCGATGGGACGGGGAGGTGGTTAGGGTTGCGGAAAACCCCCCTTCTTCTTCGATGTATCTGCAGAGTACCTTGAGGAACAAGTTCCCTTCAGGAGAAGATCTTCTACCCCGCGCTTTGTGCAGCCAGTGTCATCCGGGGCTATTGGTCGTCGATGAGCGCGCCTGCCGCGAGGAGGGGAACCCCTCGGGGCTTTCTTTTGGGTTGAACACATCTCGTTATCTTCTTCTTTCAATCTCGTTCAAATCCTTAGCCATGCCTTTGCTCAAAGATCATCGTCCGAGGGTCCTGGTGCCTGAGAAGCTGTCCTCGGATGGGTTAGCTCTCTTGCGTACTTCACTGGATGTAGATGAGCAAAAAGGTCTGAGTGCCGACGATCTCCTTCAGATCATCCCGAACTACGATGCTCTGCTCGTGCGATCGGAAACAAAGGTCACTGCGACGATTCTTCGCGCTGCTCGACGATTGAAGGTGGTGGCCCGGGCCGGGGTCGGGGTCGACAATGTTGGTATGTGCCTGAGAAACATGGCAGATGACATGGCGATTGCTCACCTCCAAGCTAGATGTGGAAGAGGCGACTAAGTTGGGAATCGTGGTGGTTAATTCGCCGTCAGGCAATATTGGTGCGGCCGCTGAACATACCATCGCCCTGATGATGGCGATGGCGCGGAAGATCCCTGAAGGCTGTGCGTCCTTGAAGGCAGGGAAGTGGGAACGAAGTCAGTTTGTCGGGATCGAAGTTAAGGGAAAGACGCTGGCCATCATCGGTTTGGGCAAAGGTAACCCTTTCTCATTCGCGCTGGATTGATGTTCCCTCTGCATCAGAGAAGATCTGATGGCTGTTCTCAGTGGGATTAACGGTGGCCCGTCTGGCCAAGGGCCTGGGAATGACGGTCAACGCGTTGGATCCCTATGCATCGCCAGCTGTTGCCGCCTCGGCTTCGGTTACCCTTGTCACGTCGCTTTCGGAGCTACTTGCGTCGGCGGATTTCCTGACTATCCACACGCCACTCATTGCCTCGACTCGTGGCATGATTGCAGAGACCGAGTTGGCCCAGATGAAGCCTGGTGCCCGTATCCTGAATGTTGCCCGGGGAGGCACAATCGACGAGAGTGCACTACTTGCCGCCCTGGAATCAGGCCAGCTAGCTGGCGCAGCCATCGATGTGTTCACCTCAGAGCCCCCAACGCCTGAAACGACGGCGGCACGACTGATCGCACATCCACGAGCCGTGGTCACACCGCACCTAGGAGCGTCTACCGTCGAAGCTCAGGAGAATGTGTCGGTTGATGTGTGCGAGCAGGTGGTCGAAATCCTCAAGGGATCGCTGCCGCGCAGTGCAGTGAACGCACCACTTATATTGCCCGAAGAATACCACAAGTTGCAACCATTTGTACGGCTGGTTGAGAAGCTTGGGAGCTTTTATACACAGCACTATGTGGCCTCGCCGGGCGGATCCATGGCCCGTAATACTTTTGACCTCATCTATCAGGGTGAAGTGGCAAGCATTAACAACACTAAACCGCTGTTTGCCGCATTGATTAAAGGCCTTCTGTCGCCAATCAGTAGCGCCGAGGGGATCAATATCAACATTGTCAATGCGGAACTGGTGGCTCGCGAGCGAGGTGTCTTTGTCTCGGAGCAGCACTCGCGCGACCCAGCTGACCATTCCTCCTATTCGTCGTTGGTGACTCTCGTTGCACGTCCTCCCTCTCGAGCATCATCTCAGGCTCCTGGTGTAAGCGATTCGTCCACCGGGACTCCTTCGACCCAACACCAGCGAATCATTTCGGGTACTTGCTCCGGTGATCGGCTTTTGATCACTCGTCTGGGTCGATTCGAGGCATCTTTTGAGCCTGAGGGAACCCTGCTAATCTGTGAAAACTATGATTCCCCGGGGAAGATTGGTGTCGTGGGCAGCATACTGGGCCACGAAGGGGTGAATATCAACTTCATGACCGTTGCCCCTGTGTCAGTCAAGCTCTCAGCGGTTGGATCGACCGATCCTAAACATGGCAGGGACGACACTATTGACTCCAGTATCCAGGACGATCCTGGTTCGAAGGAAGCCCTAATGATTTTAGGGGTTGACAGAGGGGTTTCTTTGCATGTCACTGCAGACTTGGTAAAGGAAGGAGGCATTCTTAGTGCCTCTGCCGTAACCCTATGATGACCCTTCTTTTGTTCTTCTCTTCTCCTTTATTTCTTTAACGTGGCAATGCACTACTTCACGAAGGGCGGGCCGGGATCTCATTCTTCATGCTCAACGATGCGGCATAATTTTCGGACACTCTGCTTTTCAACCATGGCAGAATATCAGGCCTGACTGGATCAGGATTTTTGAATAATAACACGGAGAATGCGGTGATCTCATACTTCAGACAGATCCATCCAATTGATTTACAGTTTTCATTCTATCACTTCTGTCATTTTATGCATCTAACCCGACCTCAATGAGCAGGAAGTTGGAGAAAGCAGTCACTTCTAGATCTATAGGTATCTTATGAGGTTTCAGCCAGTACCGCCTCCTGTCTATGCCTGATCATGTTGTATGCGAGTAGAGAAGAAATCAAACGATTCCATCTGATCTAAAACCATTCAGAGCTTTAATGCTCAAATGACCTTCCGAGCTAATTGAATCATGCTTGATACGACTGTCGACCCACCTCGATGCTAATTCCCTAGTGGAGGACATCGAGCTCTCAAATTTGTACGTGTCATCAGAGTGTGCTTGGCTCCGGCAAGAGCGAGCTTTTCTTCGTGCATTATCCATCCACGTATGTCTTAATCTGATGAAGCCAACCACGCTTCTCCCCAACGTGTAAATACTCGGTGTCTTCTGACTCTTAACTATGCAAACCACCTTTCCACTGGTCATTTGGTATGCATTCTGCATTTAGTTTATTTGTTCTTGGAGGAAGCGTCATCTTGACTGTGCTTTCCTGGCAGAGAGAAAAGCATTTTTCGGAAAGATGAAGGGAAATCATGATAATCATATCCGAGAAGAAGACGCTATGAGATAGGATAAACACCGATGCACCAGGGTATCGCAGAGCCAGAGCCCAACAAGAGAAGAACAGAAAAAGAAAATCAAAACATAGAACTACGCTTTTTCTCCAGCTTGGTGGCATTGCTCTCCTCTTTGCTTCGACGGAACCCAAAGAAACTGCTCTTCTTCGGCTGCACCTGGGCAGTGGGCCGAGATCCCGGCTGGAGGGCACCGGTACTGGTAGGCTGGGGAGAAAACCCGACAGTAGACTGCGGACGAGGCTGCATAAGCTGCGCGGTGGATTGAGCACGCGGGTCCACGGCGGCGGAGGGGTTGAGGTAGGGGCTGTTTCCGAAGGTGGGGACCGGGCGAGAGAGGTGTGGCGGACGCGGGGACTGCTGTTTTTGAGGCGGGAGATGGACGGCAGACTGGGTGTGCTGGTGGCCGTATGGACGAGAGGGTCCGCTGTGTCGGGGCGGGAGATTTGGTCGAAGGGATGACGCCGGGTTGGGACGCTGCGCGCGCGCTTGCTGCTCTTCTCTGCCGTAGATCTGCTGCAGGCGCTTGGTTTCCTGTTCGACCTCGGCTTCGCGGCGGCGCCGTGATTTTTCTTCCGCCGCGAGGAGCTCTTGTGTCCGTCGCTCTTCTTCACGTTTCGCGCGCTCGTCTTGTCGTCGGCGCTCCTCTGGCGCCGGGGTCCCGGCAAATGGAATACTGAGGCGGGGCGGCGATGGGTTGCCGTTACTTAATGCAGCTCCCGAAGCCACAGGCGCTTTTTGGGGCTGGGGGCTATTGCCAGGTCTGCTGTTCATCGGCGTAGCGCCGGCGCTGGCAGGTGGTTTACTACTGGTCGGGGAGGGTCCGCTCGCAGAGATATGGAAGGCCTCTTTGGCTGGACCAAAGAAGATATCTCGAATAGCAACGGCTGCAAGCAGTAGAGCGACCTCGAGACCCTTAAAGTCCTCCATCTCAACACGGTACATATTGGGTTCGTAGAGGGTGAGCTCGCGCAGGCCCTGGAATAGGGCGACGGTAATATCAGGCTCGCGACTCTTCGTGCGTGTGTCTGGGATCGTAGAAGACTTTCCATGCAAGAGACACGACAGATCCTTTGAGAGCTTGCCATCCTTGCGCCAGCTGAACCGCAACTTGGGCGTGATGTCCGCCGCGGCGGGGTCGCTCTGGGTGCGGTCGAGGGTCGAGGCCGATGGAACGCGAAAGGTGTTTTGCGGCATCTCAAATTCCCAGCGTGCTGGAGTATTCCACGTTTTGGGCTTGTGCCGCACAACGATCTGCTGGTCCGGATTATACAACTGGATGGTAAACTGCGTGGGGAGGATAGGTTCAGGCGGGGGTGCTGCGCCGCCGTTGGCACGAATCGAGTCGGCCGACAAGCTGGGCTGGGTCCATTCTGGAATTACGGCAACCTCGCCGTACACCACGCCCGTCACGTAGGGGTCGTATAGGGCGACGCCGTAGCGGTTCTGTGAGGTCGGGGCGTCGGGGTCGAGGTAGCGCAGCGAGTACGCGGGCTCGGGGTCGTTGCCATGGTGGCGTTGGTAGATGGTAGGTTGTTGCTGCGACTGCGAGGTGTTCTTCAAAAAGAACGCTGGACACGAGTCAGTAAGCTGTCGCGTTGTGAAAGTGCAAAGACTCGAAGCAGGGACGATGACGTAGGGGACAGGGGACGGGCATATATCCTTACTGGGCAAATTCTCATCGATCATTTTGGTGTTTTTTTTTTTTTTTTCCACGGCCCAGTGAGAAATACTCCCAGAGCTTTCAGGCACAAGAAATGGTTCCGTGGAATGGCGGTTTTATAAGAAACACGAAAATCAGAAAAGCATCGGCGATGGCCTGAGGTCTGCGCCACGCGGTGATCGGCGCCTAAAAATAGTGAAGCCGCCCGTCTTAATCGTGCACTCGTTCTGCCCCCGTCCTTGCTCCTGCAGACTGTCAGAGCTATTCCGAGATTGCAAGGCCTTCAGAATAAACTAGTTTGCTTATTATTATTCCGACTCGCTAAGGCACCAGGATTCCCCGCCAAAATACCTCCAACCCCCCCAGTTCAAGGCATCTCCATTCCACCAGGAACCCGGGAATCTCGCTGCCTGTCTGCGCGTCCCAGCCGCGCAAGCTCGGTGAGCTCCCCGCTGCTTGTCTACTTAACTTATTTCTACTTATATCTGGCTGGAAAATCCCCGAACGGTCCGTCTGAATAACTTATATCTAGTCACGTCGGAGGAAAAGGCGATCACCCTGCATATCACCGGCAGTCAGCATGAAGTTTGGATGGATTGAATGATTTCTTGCATGGGGAATGGACCACTCACCAATTCTGAGGAGATCATAAGCCACCATCCTCCACTCGGCTTTTCCTGGCCACGCCTCTGCCAAGCGATGGCACAATTGTCCGGTCAGTCTTCGATTGATTGCGGGGCAATCGATCTGCGAATTTGCGGAATCAGCAAGACCATTGGGACGGGTTGACGTACCTGGGTGCGCGACGAGACTTTCCATGGAAATGGTTGCTGCGAAACCGTGTCCTGGCTCCCATTGGCATTCGACAGAGTGAAGGGTCACTTACCGTAGACCAAGCATGGTCGTCCCGTTGTTAAAGCTCTGTTAAAGGGCAAATATATCTTCTGGATGTGGGCTTTTTATGCAACCGCTCCAATCTTGCTGTTTCCATTAGTTCAACCGAGGACTGAGACAAAGACCTACCTGAGCAGTGGGCTTCGGCAGAGAAAGAACCTCGATGCACCTAGAATGTCGTTAGTAGAACTCTGAGATAGTCATAGAGGGGAGATGATCAAAGAGCTCATCTAATTATTCGTGTATAGCCCCGTGGCAGGATCTGTCTCTGTCGATAAACTAGCCCTAGCAAAGCAGTCGTTAGTAGTAGTTAGCCCAGGGAAGGCGGCCCAGCCGACTTGGCGCCAGTGTACAACAACTGATATATAGATCTCCGCGAGGTCGATGGTTTGTATGGATGACAGTCCTGGGTGCACTGTTAGCTCGATACTTTTGCTGATGAAAAGCTAGGGTACTCAGCCAGAGCTAGTGTGCTTAATCTCAGAAGACAATGCCATGCAATATCTTAAGTCGTGAGGAATGATATACAGGCTCGGATTGAATCGAACTGAGCTGGATGATGTCTACTGGACGAGGGTATCGAGGTGGTCTTTATATTCTTCAGAGACCCCAGGAAAGAAAGCTACGATGTTTACAGTTTTTGCACAAGCCCTTTGTCAAGACCCCGGTCGAAGGCTGTCACAGTCTGGTTCGATTTCGAGACGAGTGAATGGAAATTGTACACGAGAGACAAAAAGACTCAAAGCCTTCGATATATCCACCTGCTAAGTTAACACGGGTCCCTCAAAGACAGGGAGGGTCCATTTTTGTTCTATTTCCAGCCCTGAAACAGCAAGGGACAGTGGTGGACAATAGCCCTTGTTCACATCTGGCAGACCAGACAAAGAGAAAACAAAGCCCCAGGTGCCTTGAGCCGTTTTAAAATCATTTATTTGCATCCAACGAGTCTATCTATCTCGATGTTCTATCTGTATAGCCCGGTCGAGACATGCGACAAACCAAAAAACAAGGACACAATGGCAATGTCCGTCAAAGACCCGTCTCATACCCGCACACCCTCGACCTCCTTGCCGGCCGGCACCTTGGCGGCCTCGCGGTCCGCCGTGCTGAGCTGCAAGCCCTGATCATCCCAGCCCTGGGTGCCGAGTTTGTACAGCGATCTCTGCTGCTCGCGGTTCGGGGTGGGCCCGTCCTTGCCGCGGCGGTGTCGTGACTCGATGGTCTCAACGAGCGAGGCATTGTCGTCGTCCAGCTCAAAGCCTTCCAGATCGTCCTTGTGGACCTCGTCCGAGAATTCAAAAGTGCGGTATTCGGTGTTGGTCCAGCCGGTGCCTGCAAGTATGAAAAAAAGAACTTAGCCTGGCAATGTCTTTACATTGAGAGAATAGTAGTTACCCACCCTGGTATTGACTGCTGTCTTCCCAGTCCTCGGTGAAATAGTGCAAGAAGCCGCCGTGCGTCACTACGACAATCTCCTTCTCGGGCCGAGCTTTCAGCCAGCGGCGCGCTGCGCGAGCACGAAGTTTAAGAGCCTTGTTGGTGGGTGCATAGCGATCTTTCTGTAGTCGCACGGAGAATTAGCCACCCAGAAGAACCACTGAAAGACAGACTCTCCTGACAATGAACGGAAAGGATCCGATCCATGAGAAGACAAAAACGCACATTGTTATTCCAGCCCTCCTGTACCAGCTCCAAATCAACCGGCTGCCCCTCAAACTCCCGTCGCAAAGCCGAAGGCTCACTCCCCGTATCGCACGCCACGTCCGAAGTCTCCTGCACATCGGGCAGGGCGATCAGCTTCAAATCCGGGTGTACCTCAAACACAGGCTCGAAGCTCTCAAGCGCCGTGTAGATGGTGCGCCGGAGCGGCGACGCGGTCACCAGCTCAACCTGGGCGTGGTGGGGGAAGTTCTCGCGCAGCTTGCGGCATTGTTCATGGCCGAGGTCTGTGAGGAGCGGGTCTGGGATGACGTGGTTGGCGGTGGTGAGGTTGTGCACGCCCTGGTAGAGACAAGATCAGAATGGGGTTTTTTTTTTCTTCGACAGAAAATAGAGGCGTGGGGCTTGCGGAATCAAGTGCCGGTCTGAGTAGCCTATGGCATTCCCGCAGGAATATATTGAAAGAGAAATGCATGGACGTACTTGGGCGTGGCGAACACAGTGGATGATCGGAGGCATGATCAACAGCACGAATTCCCCAGATCTGAACTATGCGTGCAGGGTTATCAGTGACACTTGCAGAAGGATGACCCCCGAGGAGGCTTTGGTCGGGGAAACGTGGGGCGGCGGGGAAAAAGGCGGGCAGTTGGCGTACCGAAGGATAAGAAGTAGAGGGCGCAGTAGACGAACACCTTTTCCCCAGTAAGATGAAATATAGAGAATCAATAAATCGTACAGAAAAAGAAAGACCAAAAGAAAAAATCAGAAAAGAGTCATCGAGGTCGGACGTCAGCAGCCCGAGTCCCTGGGCGTCGCCACACCCGCGATGTCAGGGCGAACCACATTTCTGCTGTGCCAGTTCATGGCAATTTCTCCCGTCTGACTGGCTCGACGCAATAGACGGGGCCCGCACGCAGTCTGACCGGGGTTACACTTCTAGCATGTTGCGGGCCGAAAGGTTGAATATCAAATATACAGAAAAAAAAACATTTTTATTTCCTACTCTGGTCCTGCCAGAGTGCTATAGCACAGGAAAATGGATACGTATAGACCAGTCCAGTCCCTAGAACCCCTTAAGAACCCTCATGCAACGCCAAACCCCCGAGCATTTTCTAGTGCCTTGTCCAGCTTCTCGGCCAACGCTTCTTTGGACGAGTACTCCGGGAGAAGCAAGCGCCCGAAACACGTCAAACTAGTCGGGAGACGCTAGAAGTAGACAGTTGTCAGTATGATGAACACAAAACAAAACCCCATGGACAAGTAGATGGTATCACTGACCAGATCGCCGACGCCGTTTTTCTGGATCACGAACATAATACTCGAAATCCCATTGACTGGGACCCGGTCACTGGCGGTGACGAATTCCAGGAGCTGCGCCCTCTTCTCGGCCGGATACTGCTGTACAACACTCCAGAAGTCACGGATGACGCGATGGTCAGGACCAAAACCACCTTCGTACCGCGCATGGCTCTCGAGCTCTTGCACGTCGATGGTCTGAATGCCCTCGACAACGGTCTTTAACGCTTCGGGAGTGAAGATTGACAGAGCCGAGCGGTCAAGGCATGTACTAAACCCTCGCGCAAAGGCATCAAACTGTGGTCTGATGGATTTATCTGTGAGCCAGAAAATATAGTCCTTGACAAATTGTTGTCGGTTGTGGTTGGTCACGAAGGCGGCCTCGTCGGCAGGTGGTGTTGGAGATTGCAGAGACAAAGAGTCCGGCATCGATTTAGCTGTTTCTCCTGAGACAGAATGGGAGGGAGTAACGTCGGCTGCCCCGGCCGCCATGGACGACGGTGGGCTCACCGCTGCAGGGTCACGATAATGAGACACGTCGGACCAGGCACCGGAAGATTCAATCGGACCCTGATCAACCACCTTAGCGAGGAGTGGCCCAACGGCATCACGGCCGACTTTCTGCATGTCGATGGTCTCGATGCGGCCAAACCCTTGGAAACTGAACTCGTAAGTCCGCATAAAAACATCCCCAACGTCGCCCTCTTCCCATCCAAGTAGCGCCTCGAGACCTTGTGTAAGTTCCGGCCATCCGTCTCGAATATGGTCCAAGTGCTTCACCTTAAGCCCCAGCAGCTTTCGGTAGAACGCCATCGGGAAGTTGATCGGGAGGGTGAGTCCATTGTACACCGCGATTGACATCAGAAGACCCAAGAGTTCGAATTTGTAAAGAGGCTCCCAGGAACAAGGGCGGAACCAAGACACACGATGGCGAGTATCCATGGTGAACATGCCGAAGAAGGGATCGAGGGCTTCAGCCATGAGCACACGGAAGAATTCCTGTTGAACTCCACCGTGGTCCAGCCCCTCTTCTCCTTCGTCCATCCCCATCTGTACTTTCAGCGGACGCATCAACTCTCGCTTCTCTCGCCGCCATAGCTGATTCAAAGCATCCATGAGAACATTATCGCGACGGACCACAAGGACGAGGTATGTAGACATGGAGGTTTTCATGCGGGCCAGAAGTCCGCCATCGTCGGCAATGTGGATGGCCCCGAAAGCGGTCTGGGTGACATGCCTAGTGGTCGTCATGGCAGACTCGTAATATTTGGACATGGCGGAGTAATTCAAGGCACGGAAGTAGATGACAAGGGATGACGGAGGAAACAGAAACGAGTATGACAGTAGATGCATGGTTCGGTTGTTTGATAAGCGACCCACCCATGCCACGGGCGTTTCCAGAGGGTCCAGCCGCTCTGCGAGAAGGGGGGTGTGGAAGTCTTCAGGAACAAGGCCGAGCCGGTTTCGCTCCTTGTACATTGAAGCAAGGATCTGTACGGCGCCCCCGGGGGGCTGCTGCGTGGCATCTCCGGTTTGCCGTCCCATTCACGCAAGAAGAGCGTACGGAGCCATTCGACGATGAGAGAGGCCGGGCCAGCTGAGTGAAATTCTGTGTCTTGAGTACTAGAATCCACAAAATTGTGATGCTGACTGAGGTTTTCCAACACAAGGTCGAGCACGTTCAGCCGTCGTTGTTTAGGTATGTCCATATTGTAGGCTTGGCGCGCCTTTGATATCTCATGATAAGCAAGACGCGCAGTAAGGGCACGAACAAGTCGATTAACCAAGCGAAGGCCCAGTTCATGTTCGAGCTTGTCGGTAACCTCGACAACTTGCTGGGCATGTTCGGGAGGGAATTTGCACATATCCGCGGGTGCAGCAGCAGTGCCCGCGGCACGCATTTGAAGGATACTTCGCCAAGTACCTATGTCAAGATTGGGTACAGAGCTGACCAAAACGAAAAGAGCAATGGTAGCAATATGAGCAGCCTCGGCGTCCGACAGATGCTCATCGGGAACGGATTCAGACAGTCGTCGAACGACTGGGGAAGCAGCGGGCCCGATCATGGTCGAACTACGAGATGAACGACGCGAGGCCCGAGTAGAGGATATGAAATCCTCCGGGGGAGCAAATAACTTTTCCAAGGCGCCCCACAGACTATGTAAAGCGATGTCCCATGGGCAAACAGTGAACAGCCGTTGTAGGGATATGCGCAGTCGCGGGATATCCAGACGAATATCCATCAGGCTTTGCGTTGATGGACCAAAAAATGTGCGGTCCATTTCAAAAGAATGCAGAATTTCCTTCGTGCTGCTGAACACAAAAAAGACACTTTGGGCAATGAACGGGAATACCTCGCGTTGGCGAAGAGTCGCATATCGCCAATCGGGGTTCTCGAAACTCCCAGTAAATTGGATTCGATCGATTTCCTCTTTCCAGCTTTCAGCTTCCTCTTCGGACTCGACTATGATCTGGCTTAGTCCATCAATTATCTCAGGCGTGAGATGGGTGACGGTCTGTACCGACGGGGCCGGCTCTCGTGGCGGACGAAGGGAACTCTTGACTATTTTGCAATCCCTCGTGGGTTCAGTATCCAGTGAAACTCGATGAGACAGAGGAGGTTGCTTCATTGGACTTCCCCCAACAGCGGCGTGGTTCAAAATCTTCTCCCCGTCCCAAGAAACGCGGCGTTGATTTTTGGGTTGCTCTTTCGTATAGACGCTATCCGCATTTGCCGTTCTCCCGCGATGCTTTTGTGGGCGGTGTTTCAAGACTGGCGGAGAAGGCAGGCTGCACTCATTGGGGGTTGGATGAGAGCTAGCTGGCAACTTCTTGTTCTTGTACTCGGGGCGTGATTTGTCCTCAAAGCTTAGCTGTGAGTTTTGACGGCGGTGCTCGACTTCGGTGACTGACAGTCGTTTGACATTGCGGTTCTGAAATTTCAGTTCTACCGCGGAGTGATTGGTGCCTGTGGTACGCGACGATGGCGTACGGGGATGGGGATTTGGTTGATTCGACTGTACGAACTGACCATGACCTCTTTCAGGCCTTTCAACCACTGCATAGTCCCGGCTATTGCGGTTTTCCTTTTTCAACGGTTCCGCTGCAGAGCCAATCGGTGCGGTCTTATTCTTCGGTTGAGACGGATCCGATGCCCGACGAAGCGGAAGCCATTCTACCATGCGTAGGGATATTGTATCAAAAAGGCTTTGTGTGAAAGACTTGGGATCCTTCAGTTGCTGCTCGACAGCGAAATCAAGCTCCTGAAAGTCCTGGACACTCGGTTGCAGGTCTGCCGATGCGATGTGGCGAGTCTCCCCGTTTTCCATTGCCAAAGGATCGGCTGTGGTGACTGAGTCCAACGCATTCTCGGTATTCCTCTCAATCTGGTTTTGGTCCATCTGCGGAGGGCTGTTGGTTTTTGCCGCCGCCGCTTGCGCCTGGTACGCACGAGTTCGTTGCAAGGAAATTCGATGATAATCATATATCGTCAACTCGGGCGAAGACTTCGGGGTATTGCAGCATAGACCACTCTCCGCATCATCCAAGCTGGCAAGGTAGCAGGCTAGGGTTCGCGCGCTTAGTTCTGTGTACCGGCGGTACGGTCCTTCACTGGTTCGTTTGCGACGACTGGCGCAAGTTGGAGTGCGGCATCCAGGATCTTCACAGCCATAAAGGAGTTGATTCTTGTACCTGACTCAGGAGTCCATCGATTAGCGACGCTGGCGACAGAGAGGGAAATATTGGGGTAAAGTGCGCAGGATGGCAACTCACCGTCGTACCAACAAGTTGAAACGCCGTCTGCGCTCATCTCGATACAGCGGTAGCACTCGAGCGGTATCAGGAACGTCAATGGTATTTTGAACAATGATATCAGGCGCGTTCAGCGGAATCTTGGACCGGTAGAATCGATGTCGTTCACTGCCTCCGGAAGATCGCGCGACATCCGGAGAATCCATCGAAGCTCCTCGGAGCCTGGTCATGCTGGAAATTTCAGGCCCATTCCCGGGAAAGAGAAGGGCGAATTTGGGTCGGGAAAAAAAGGGGGTTTGGGGCCAGTATCAGAATGTTGACCTTGCAAGATGCATGCGAACACCACAGGCTCAGCTTACCTGATATCATCGGGGTGATCGTTGCCTCAGGCGCCAGTCTCCGGAACCCAGGAGAAAGGTTATCCCGGTGGACAGTCTCCACGGCTGACGTAATTGGGCTGAGCGCTGTAGTTAGATATTTTGTGTGGTTTGGTCGATAAGCGTCCCTCAGGTCAACTTTTTTTGTTCCAAGGTCGACTCGTTCATCAGCCTACGCTCTTTTAGTTTTCGGCCCTCTCAAACCTTCTTTTCCTCATCTCCCCCTCTATCCTTCTTTCTCATCTTCTCATCCTCCCCTCTATCAGAAAAAAAAATCGACTATCAACACACCTTTCCATACCCCGCCTGCGACACATCCCACAGCCGACTTCCTCTTTTTCTTAGGGAAGACCCCACCTTTGAACATAAAAGTTTCTCGCGAAATACCGACGACCATGTCCTCGACCACAGGGCAGATTGCATCCGCCTCCTCTCTTCCCTACACCTGCAACACCTGTCTTGTTGCCTTCCACCGCAGCGATGCCCAAAGAGATCATATGCGCAAAGACTGGCAGTACGTGGTTTATGGCCTAATGTTTCTCCCATAGTTCTGGGACGATAACTAATCTAATACTGCAGTCTGTACAACATGAAGCGCCGCGTTGCTTCCCTGCCTCCAGTCGCCCTCGAAATTTTCAACGAAAAGGTTCTTGCTGCCAAAGCCACATCCAGCGAAGCAGCTGCCAAGGCATCCTTCGAGAAGACCTGCGATCCATGCCAAAAGACCTTCTACAGCGAAAACTCTTACCAGAACCACATTAAGAGCTCCAAGCATAAGCAACGTGAGGCCCGTCTAAGCAAAGACGGCGATGACGCCTCGGTGTTGAGCTCCACCTTCTCTTTCGGAGAACCTGTCAACAAACCACATGAAAACGACCTCTATAAGGTCACCGATGACCTCAAAACTGCCACCATCGAGGAAGAGGACGAAAACAATGACATGCCTACCGACAAGGACGAATACTCCGCATCCCGCTGCCTCTTCTGCCGGGTCGATTCATCTGATATCCACACCAACGTCGAGCATATGTCCAAGAACCACGGAATGTTCATTCCTGAAAGAGATTACCTGGTCGATCTTGATGGCCTCATCCACTATCTCTATCGCAAGATTACCGAGAACAATGAGTGTCTCTACTGCCATGCCATTCGCAATAACGCTCCCGGCGCCCGAACCCACATGCGCGACAAGGGCCACTGCATGATTGCCTTTGAGGCCGAAGAGGAACAAATCGAAATTGGTCAATACTACGATTTCCGCAGCACCTACTCCGACGATGAAGAAGAATCCGCGCCCGAGATCAGTGGCGTCAAAGTGAACAACTCGGAGGGCGACGACGAGGGATGGGAAACTGAAACCTCGGCCTCATCTGTGGACGACGACGAAATCGACTCCCACCGAAAAGCACCCGCCATCTACCAGGACGAGTACGAACTGCACCTCCCGTCTGGAAAGAGTGTCGGCCACCGTTCTCTCGCCAAGTACTACCGCCAGAACCTTCACAACTATCCGTCTGCCGACGAACGAGTTTCCCGCCAGCTTGCCATTGAAAACGGAGAGATCCAAGAAGACGAAGAGAAGCCCCGCGGTCGCAATGCCAACCGCGCTCTCATTTCCCGTGGCAATGGCGGCACAGGCATGATCGGTGCCACCGAGGCCCAGAAGCACACTGCTGTTACCTCCGAGCGCCGTGAGCGCACCCGCGCTCTTCGACAAGAAAACCGATACACTGCCCGCATCCAGCGCGCCAACAACCACCAAAAGCATTGGCGGGTATGCGTCCTTTCTGTTTCGGTGGTCATTATTTTCTCCATTTTCTTTCATGCTAACCCTCTCAACAGGACCCTCTCCTGCAGTGATCGCTTCCAACTGCCACGTCTATTGTTCAGTTCCGCCTTTTCGCATATATACGACAATCACTACTGGAGAAGGCAGCCTCCACGTCTTGGGTACCATTTCGTTCGACAACCGTCTGAAGAAGCGCGTCCGGACTATCGACAACCGAGTCAACGTTCAGGCTGAAGAGCCCCCCGGCTTATCGACTTTCGTGGGATGCCAGCAGCACTCCCCCCCCGATTGGACGCGACTTCGACAAATGGGGTACTCTTTTCCCGTACTGGGCCATTTTCTCTGCGGAGTTTTCCAACCTGGTCGGTTTTAACGAGGCCTCATCGTTCCCGCTTCCGACGCCATACGCCACGCCAATGGACGACGAATTTCTTTCCATTTTTTGATGACTGTGTCACGGCAACAAACCAACTATCGCCATCCATGTCTTGATGTTATCATGTTCCACGGCCATTTTCTGTATTCTGGCTTTGGTGTTTCATGTCCCCTTATCTTCAAACCCAAATTCAAATTTTGTTCCTGTCGTCCTACGAGCCACTACATCGTAGTATTGTAACAGTCGTAGACCCTGTCCACACCGGCTGAGCGGTTCATCCATCCATATCGCAGCAGCCGTTTTTTTTTTTTTTGTAGTCAAAGTACATTCGTAGGGCATCATAGAGCAGCAGGCCTCCTTCCAGTGGTTTCTCAAGTAGCGCAGTCACCGCGAGATTCTTCAAGTCTACGAATCTACAAGTTCGAATTGGCAAGAAAAATGCAATGAAATTCTCGCCCCAGGACCCCACTGCTGTGCAGTATGCCGAAAACAGAACGAGGTCGTGCGCGCCGGTGTGTCCATATTGAGGACGCAGGGCCAAGGCAACGCAGAGATAAATGAATGAAACAAGAATAAACACCATCAAATGAATATAAAAATTAACAAATTGAAACAAAAACAATGAGGAAATCATTATGGAAAAATGATCAAAGTGGAAAAGAAACCTCGGAAAGCCAGGGAGAGAATGCCGACTCTTCATGGGCATAGTAAACGGCATGTCACTCGAAATTTCATTGTAGGAGAGGCTGGTCTTCAGAGGGACCATCGTCGGTGGATTTTGATTGCTGGCCGCGCTTCTTGCGGCGGCGACGTTTCTTCGAGTTTGAGGGGTTAGAGTCGGAATGGTCGGGTTTTTTGTAGTCATTGCCGACAAGGACCCCATCAGAGTGGCCAGAGGATTTGCGGAGGTGATGAGGACCTTGAGCTTCGCCCTCAGAGGAGCTTGTACCATTTGTGTGAAGTACCACTTTGCGGATGCCATTAACATCCACAATTTGTTCAGTGATACTCCCACTGCGAGCCGGTACAGGATTTTGGTAGGAGAGCTCAGCCGGAGAATCGGTGGAGTGGATGCTGCCAGAGACACTGCCGGCCTTCCGCGTCGAGCCAGAGCGCGGTTGGTCTTCATGCTCTTCATGAACAGCTTCAGGGATCGAAACTTGGGGAAGGTCTTTGTATTGCTGAGCAGTTGTGCTCTTGCTGATATTGTCATTGGAAGCAAGGGCGCCATAGCCGACCTTTAGCGCATGCGCGCCATCTTTTGCGTCTGTTCCAGCGGAGTTGAGAAGACCTGCGCCGATTCCACCCTGGTAACCGACAGCTTGAGGAGGGGGTTGGGAATCCGATGTACTTTGCCCGGATTCAAAGTCTGTCTGCGCAGATCGCGACGGAGAAGTGTTGCTGCGCTTGATTTTGACTGTGCTATAGCGGGTTTGTCGTGGTCGACTCGCCAAGTTCGATGGACCCAGATGCTTGAGATGCTGGCGAATTTCGTCAGTGGTACCGCGTTGGGTAATCCATCCGTCAGTTGAAGGTGAGTTATTGTCGGTGTTCTGTTTCCGAAGCTGAAACCGGGGCGGAGGCGCCTCCACGGAGCTGCGTCGTCGCATGGTTTCAGAATCCCTGGGGGTAGAAGAAGGTTGTGACCCATCCACATCAATCAACTCGCCCTCTGTGACAGGGGCGGTCAAGGGGGTTCTTCAACAATCTTGCCCTTTGGGACGCGAGCTCGTGGCGCAGGCGCCATCCGGCGAATGGCTTTATGAACATCAACGAAGACGTCGGATTCATCAATGATTTCTCTGTAGCATGCATGGTCAGTGACAAGATTCCAAGGGGCTCAAGGTGTGGTGTTGACCAGGAAACATACTCGCCAATCAACTCTTCAATAACATCTTCCAAGGTGACTACTCCGAGAACACCACGGTCTTCACTTGGATACTCCGAAACAAGCACCATGTGGGATTTCCCTTCCTGAAAGAAGTTGACAATATCCAGGCAGCTGGTTTCTGGGCGAGTTTCGGGTAGTGTGGCCAAGGCAAAATCGCGGACCCGTTTGCAGTCCTCGGGATCGTATGTGATAAGCATTTTGACGAGAAGCATGCCGACAAAGTTCATCTGGTTATCGGGAGCATGAATAGGAATGCGGGAGTACCCTTGTGAGAGAATAAGGTCCATGGTGCTATCGTCCAGCACAGTGTCGGCGGACATGGTAAAGACATCCTCCATCGGTGTCATAATGCTTCCAACGGACTTTTCCTTCAGGTCCAGGACGGCACTAATGATAGTGACTTCGTCCGAATTCAATTGCTCTCCGGCCTCCCCCAGCGTCTTGTGAAGGGTGACTAGCGTCTTCAATCCCGCTTTCTTGTAGATGGTGCCATGGTCTTTTCCGAGAAGCTTGTCGAGAAGCTTCGCAACTGGCCACGCGACAGGGGACATAATGTACATCAGAGCCAACACACAGGGTGCCATCCAGGCTCCGATGGGAAGACCGTAGCGAACACAGATTGATTGGGGGACGACTTCGCCAAAGATAACTAAGGGTGTGTCAGGAATTGTTCAGGGCCAGGTCGGAATAGAAAGGAGGACAAGCCATACCAATCAGGGCCGTACTACCCAGCACCGCCGGCCAACCACCACCGAGCGTCCGATCCAGCACGATGGGTAATGTTTCATTTGTGATCACATTGCTGAGCAGGAGAGTGACGAGAACCCAATGTTTCCCTCGCTTTAGAAGGTTCAGGACACTGGCGGCGTTCCTTTTCTCGGAACCCTCGCCAGACGTCTGAATCACTTGCAAGTACACCTCATCCTAAAATTTGCAGCCGAAATGGTTAGTTTCTCATTTCTTCTCGGGATCAGCGAAGGCGGGGTTCAAACCCACCTGGCCCATCAATGCGATCGTTAATCCGGCAAATGCTCCTCCACTCAAAACGAGGGCAGCCGACACTCCCAAGTAAAGCCATAAACTCGGCTCATCAGATCCGGTTGGCGATTCTGACCGCGAGGAAAGAACAAATGGTGAGAACACGGGAGCGGCAGTCGTAATTGGTAGGTGAGAGAACGCGAGAACGAGGAGCTTGGCCAGCCCCAGCATCGCAGGCCGGGCGGCGAACAGGCGGCTCGAGGGCGAACTCATCACCGGGCGAAAGCGGAACAAAGCGAAGTAGTATTCAAGCCATGCCGACGTCGAGACACGAGGGAATCGGGGAGGCAAAATCAGAGAGAACGCACTATCAAACGCAAGGAGAATGCGATGAGGGAACAATAGGCAGCGCCACGACAGTCCGAGGGGAGAAGATGAAACGCTAAAAAAGAATTGGGTTTCGCGCGGAAATCCACGTGCGTCGGTTGCCTGAGGCACCCCGCACACCCAACCCTCGGTCTCAAAAAGCCCCAGCTTGATGACCGGAGGCGGAAATCGAAAGCTGGGATCGCTTCCCTGGCTGGAAAAAGTATGTCGTTCCTTTTCGATGTAGATCCAACTGTTAGTCGGAATGTTTCTCTCACTTGTCTCTCCATCACCCAACACCTTCTGAAGCAAGGTCGATCGCAGAGTTGGCCGGCGTGGAACACCGCTCACTGCCAAACTCCTTGCCCTGCACGGTTTCAGAACCGATGGGACACTGCCCAGCAGACCGTCATCACGATCACTCCAAGTTGAGCCCCTTCATCAGCACTGCGACCTCATCAGGGGGATCCGGCACCGCTTGGGAGAATTGCTTGATAACGTCGATCAGGATTTTTTGGAACACCTCGACGTGTTCTTTTTCCTGCTCAACGCATTCCTTATCAAAACTCTCTATGCGGAATCGCTGCTTCCACTTGCCATGCTTGGCACTCTGGACCGCAGTCTCGAACTTCTGTTCGTCCAAGCGAATCTTGAGGTCCTCCACTTGTTCCTCCAGGTGCTTGTTCTGACTCTGAAGGGCCTTGGTCTCGATCTCGAGCTCCTCAACTCGCATGGTCTCATACGAAGGGAGCCCGTCGTCGACGATCCATTCGCCCTTGTCAAAGTTCTGAGCAACTTCCTGGCGGTAATTGTGGAGTTCTTGGGTGATCGCGTCCTTGTCCTTCACAACCTCGGCCATCTGGCGATCGCAGTGCTCCTTCAAAGCCTCGAGTGACTCGCGGTGGCCCTGTTTCCACTGCGCCTCGAGATTGTCCAGAGCCTGCTTGCGCTCGTAGTAGGCTTCTTCCTTGACTTGAACAAGGATCCGGTTGTGTTCGCGCTCGTAATCACTCTTGATTTGGTCAAGGGTTTTTGCGTGCGCGGTGGACATTCCCATCATGGCCTGACCCTTCGCGGCGGCGGCATCCTCGGTGACCTTAGCCTTGACCTCCTCCACGATGCGCTCGTGGTCTTCGGTCAAAGCGGATCGCAGGTCACGGAGGGCGATTTCCTTTTCTGCCTGGAGGGCCTCGCGCTGCTGTGCCAGCGCAGAGGCCATACGCGCCTCATGAGCTTCAGTCATGAAGGTCATTCGCTCCGCCAAGGTAGTCTCGCAGTAACGGACTGCCTGTTCCTCGAGTTCCTGGGCGAACTCCAAAAAGGGGCGGGCTTCCATGAGGGCATCGACCTGTGGAAAGGTCGAAGAAAGACGGTTGTAGAGCTCATCGCACTCGGACGATTTGGCGTCGTGTTGTTCAACAAAGCCAGCCTCATAATCGTCGAAGTGCTTCAGCCAAGACGAATTAGCCGTTTCCAGCTTCTTCGTCAGGGTACCGACCATTGCCAGCGCCTCATCGCGCGCGATTTCGGTTGTCGGAGCATTTTGGTAAGCTCTTGGTCGACGCGCGGGGCCGGCAGCGAAGGCTCGGATTCCTCGATCTGGGCAGGTTTGGGGGCAGCGAGCAGGCAGTTTCGGTGGCAAGCGCGGGCAGAACGAGCCTCTTGCTTCGCCTTCTCCAGAGACACAGCGTAATCCCGGATCAACCGGTTCTTCCGCTCAACTTCTGACTGCAGAGCGCTCGAGAGCCGCTCCCCGTCTTGATGCCAACCATTGGGCTTGGCATTCTGCTCCAGGTGCTTGGCGTAAGCTTGGAATTGGGCGAGATCCTTCTTGGTCTTGTCGAGCTCTTGGGCCTGGGCCAACCTCTCGGACTTCTCCTTGGCGAGCTCGGCTTCCAGTTGACGGTGAGCGGCCAGCAAACGTGCCTCGGAGGAAGACGGGATCAACCCGGCAGGCAGTGTCCCATTGGACAGGTGAATCGACGTGCCACTATGTTACAGGTCAGCTTGGTGTATAAGAAAGCAAGGTGGGGTAAGGTGAGGTGATGTGATGTGAGATGAGATAGGTGAGTGAGGTTGGATCTCGAAAAACTTACCCCTTCTGGGTGGACTTCTCACTCCACCACTTGGCAGCGGAGTCGATGGCAAAAGCCACCGCGAGGGCAAGGGCGAAAAACAGGTATGGATGATCATCGTCATCCATATCCTCGATGTCCACGTTAGGACAAAACAGGGTTTCGAAAACGTCCCAAAGGACGCGCAGGAGGAAGGAACAGAAATCCATCTTTCAGGTAACAAAAGAAAAATCTCTCGAAAGAGGTTTGTAAAACGAACTGAAAGAAAGCGGGGGAAAAAGTCAACGAACGGTTGGAAGAGGAAGAAAGTTGTTTGGGGGGTGGGAAGAGGGCTTTTTTAGTGGGAGGTGTCAGGTGGCCTAGGCAACCCTCGTTGATTTGATTCACTTCGACTCGCTTGATTCGCTAATCGAATCGCTGCCTGTTTGCCTACGTCCAAGTTGATCCTCCCATTGAAGCCCTTGATCCTCCAAGTGACTAGCCTAGACTTCCCAAAACAGAATGTTGTCAACACTCTTCTCCAAATCAACGCCTTCCAGATCAAAACCTCTTAGATCAGCGCATCCAATTGGGGCCTCTCCCCTCGCCTAACTTTTGACTGATTCCACCACGTTGATTTGATTTTCCGTATGACCCCAGATCACACCAGTAAGCGAGATGTGACTCGATCTGGCAACCAACTAGAGGTGCCACACAGTATCCAATTCTGATAATTATAGTAGCTTCAATGAAATCAATTGCTAAAGCAATTATTTAATATCATTTATCAACATTGAATGGCCCGTGGTACTCGCTGATCGGAATGTGTCGGATACTTCAGCCCTGCCAAGCTTTGTGGAGCCGCGCAGATCTGTCATTCTCCGCGTCTTGGCACGTCAACTTTATTTCTGTACCTTTTTTGGGTTCCTTCTAATTGTCGATACATTGAAATAATTCGCTTATTTCTTTTCTTTTTCTTTCTTTCCACTGCCATTCCCCGTTTTTATTTGGGCGGGTCATGGATCGACAGTTTTCGTTATGAAGAAGAAACTACAGAGCGAGTCGCGCGGACGGACCACAGCATATCTTCGGTCGGGACCTGTCTTCCGATGGATGCAATGGCTGCTTCTTCAAGTGCAACCCTCTTTTTCTCATGATACGAGTACAGAATACTGATTGAACGGGCACATACAGGTTTTTATTTACGATCGCCCCGGTCGGGTGCTTGTCCGTTGATACTGCCGACGGCGATCTTGGTCCCGTCTGAACCATCCAACCACTCCATCTGGGCATAACGGTCGCAAAAATGGGCCCTTTCTCCGAACGTGCAACTCCTACAGCGAAGGGCACTTCCTCAAATTCTCTGCTGCTTCTGTTCGAGGGCCGGCAACAGATTTTGTCCCTGCCGTCTCAGTACAGTGGCCTCTTGGCAGCTACGGCCTTTGACTAAATCCCACGTCAATCGGCCGTGCAGCATCCTGATCAGGGTAAGCCTTCCTTTGGTCATTGTTGTGACAGGCTCCAAAAATCCCATGCTCATTGCTGTATTCTGCGTTACCATCGAGCAGACAGAGCCAATATTCCTATAACCCACACGCCCGACCAATCGATCCTCCATTGTCGTCTTGTAGCGGCCCAAAAATCCCTTGGCTCAGATCCACAAAGCTTCGATATTTCTTTCGGGCGTGGAAAGAACACCTACGCTGTGGGTTCTTGCCGCAGCGCTTCGACCAACGGATACACTACTCAATGGCCACCATACACACTGCAGGGTTCCTCAGACTCTCGCTCACTGACTCTGTTTGCAGGCTACGAGTTTGACAAAAACTCAGTAGTCATGCGAGCGTCTTGTCACGCGATCTTAAGTGCCCGGAACCGTCCCTACGTCCTTCGACTCGGGCGGTAGATTGTAGTCAAGGCACGCCTTGAGCCTATCGTCGCACTGTTTGTTGCAATCCATAACGAGAAAATGCTTTGTCTCGTGGTGTTTTTGCGTACTACTCGACAGGTAGTTAGCGGCATGCCAAGTTAGCATCGCGTTTATACAATTCACCATCGAGTCCAACGCTGAAAGGGAACTTTCAATTCTGTACACTGCAATATACTGCTGCTTCTGTTAATCCCGTGAGTTACTTATTGCTCAACCGTGACGAGGCAAACTCCCTTGCGTCGGGGCCTCCGTTGACGATTGTCTTTCAATCTTTGAATCTTTTTCTTTTTTTTTTTTTTTTTTTATGAAAATAGAAGTTGAATATGCCTTATCCTAGTACTCATCGCAAGTCGCAAGATATCTAAGTTTTTGAATGCTGGTAGAGAGAATCTATGCACTGTATTTGAAGGCATGTCTCCACAAAACCGCCGTCCGGTGTCTGCCAGGATATATATATCGCCACAAAGATGAACGAGAGGGGGAAAAAGACTATGGCAGACACCCCACAAGCCACAATTTTTCTTTAGGTTATTTCCTTTGTAACAGTTGTACCCTTGGACAATGATTCTTTTTCCCTCTACCACTAAGATGAAAGGGGGAGAAATGGTGTCAAGACAAGCCCGCTAAATTTATAAAATGCAAGATAAATTCTACCAAGGAATATTAATCGGTCCTCCCCAGAGCAAGCCCCTTGGAAATTATCTTCGGACTTTCTGAAGAAGCGAGACTTTGGGAACAGCGCGGTGTAGGTTCGTCTATAATATCAATTCCATGAATCCTTGGGTTCAATATTCAAGGGTTTGTTTGATCGCGTCGTAAATCCCTTAATGAACCACCAACGTTAAATTCTTCGCAAAGGGAACTACGGGGATAATCAGGGATTGACTTACTCGCCACGTCAGGCAAAATGAACTGCTCATATGACAATCCCGTATGTGTGCTCCATCCTGCAACCCGCTTGACAGGGGCCTCGAGACGTAGGAAGGCTCCCTCTTGGATGGTTGATGCAACCTCGGCACCCACGCCGTAGTTGATCATACTCTCGTGCACCACAATGGCCCTCCCTGTCTTTCGCACACTTTCGAGCACTGCCTGACGATCCCAGGGGTAGATGGTGCGAAGATCGATCAGCTCCACGTTCACCCCTTTCATGGTCTTTTCGATGGCGGAGATGGCCGCGGAGCAAAGATAGAGCGGCTGGCCGTACGAGATGATTGTGATGTCTTTGCCGGGCTTGATGACCTCGGCTTTGCTCAAGGGAATGGTATAATATTCGTTCGGGACGTGCTCCACTGCTGCTCGGTAGAGGATCTTGGGTTCCATGAAGATGACGGGATCATTGTGGTCGAAAATGGATGAAAGAAGCAGCCCTTTAGCTTGAGATGGTGATCTGGGTATGACAACCCGCAGGCCGGGGATGTGTGCGAAAAGAGATTCAGGTGATTGAGAATGGTATCTGCGTTGGTCATGGGATTAGAACCTGTTATTTCAAGAATATCTCGGAGACAGTTCACGGGAACATACAATGCGCCGTGTCCCACCGCGCCGCATGGCATTCGAATCACCAAGCCACCCGCGTTGATCCCCGTTCCACCTTCTCTATACCGAAACTTGGCAGCTTCGTTCACGATCTGGTCGAATGCAGGGAAGACATAGTCGGCAAATTGGATCTCGGCCACGGGCTTCATGCCTTCTGCAGCAGCACCAATGGCAAACCCAGCGATTCCCTGTTCTGTCAAAGGGGTATTGAAAACTCGATCTGACCCGAACTCGGATTGCAGATCCATCGAGCATCGGAATACTCCCCCGAACGCGACATCTTCGCCGAAGAGCAAGACCTTATCGGAGGTGGATAGAGCAGTTCGGAGGGCTGAGTTAATAGCCTGAAAGAAATTCAATCGTTTGCTCGTGGCGGCTGCTGGGAACTCGGAGATTTCGGATAATGAAGACGGTGTGTGATGCAAAATCGGTGTGGATTTGTAGTCAATCGGCAGGTTTAGTTTGGCCGCGGGCGAGGGTGCTCCCGAGTAGAAGCGGCGAGAAATCTGGGTGAGACCCCGTAACGGAGCACGCGCAAGAGCCATTACTGAGAGGTCGCGAATAAACCATCTACGGCTTTCGTCGCCGCAGGGGTGGTGCTCTTTTAAAGTCGTTCCATCGCATTGCGGGGGGAACACCGCGAATAACCGAGGGTGCAAACAGACCAAACACTATGACGGAGTGGGCGATTTTCGAAGGTCTCAGGTCGCAGGCGTCAACCAGGCGAGGATATTCGATGAGTCGATTCTGGAGTAGCACAAACATGCCATTACTGGTCTACTTTTTTGCTGGTTGGTTTTTTCAATGCGCAGAGTGCATAGGTATGATAGGCAAGGGCGCAATTATTTATATATTGCTTCTTTCTACAGCCATATATTGTACTCGGCTGGGAGAATATTAAACCACTCGTTGAAAGCAGCGTAGTTTGGTCCTCAGTTTCAGAGAAATCGAGGTATAAAAAGAAGCCCGGTGCAATCCAATCTCCCCTCACACCATAAAATCCTCCTTATCTCTTATCACCCGGTGTCGGCGCCAAGAAGCGTGACTTCCCCGGCCCGCACCAAAAAAGCGCCCTGCGCCTTTTTTTCGGTGACTCAATCTTCTCCTCTCCACTCGCTCCCATCGCTCCCAGTTCCTACATTTTCAATTCCATACAATCTTCACAATGGCCAAGGGCAAGGTAAGTCTTCTCAATTGCTCAGCGCTCGTCCCAATGCGTGTTTCAGTGCTACAATCCCCCTCTCCACCCGAGACCGCTATTTCAACCCCACCGCACTTTCAATTGCCTGTCCGGAACCTCTAACAATTGAGTCGCACAGGTTTGTCTCGCCTACTCGGGCGGTCTGGACACCAGCTGCATTCGTATGAACCCTCAAGTATAGCCATTCTTGAATCGTGGTGGGTGCTGATAGCGAGTTCAGTGAAATACCTCATTGAAGAGGGCTATGAGGTCGTCTGCTTCAGTAAGTTGCGCCCCAGTGATGACCCAACAACTGAGTGTTCATGCTAACCAATATTCAGTGGCCGATGTTGGCCAGGAAGGTATAGTTCGGAATATTCGCGACACAACTCGGTATCTAATCGCTGTTTGCAGAGGACTTCGAGGCTGCGCGTGAGAAGGCCGTGAAGATCGGCGCTCTCAAGTGCGAGATTGTCGATCTCCGCCGTGAATTCATTGAGGAGCTCTGCTTCCCCGCCATTGCTTGCAACGCCGTGTACGAGAACGTTTACCTGCTGGGTATGTGGCAGCTTCGCTGATACGCGTTGTCCCGGCTATTGACTCAAGTTCTAGGAACTTCTCTGGCCCGCCCCGTCATTGCTCGTGCCCAGATTGCCGTTGCCCAGGTTAGTGAAAACAGTGGCGTCCGTGAGGAATATGCGCCGGCTAACTTTGGTTGATAAATAGAACGAGGGCTGCTTCGCTGTCTCGCACGGCTGCACTGGCAAGGGTAACGACCAGGTTCGCTTCGAGCTTGCGTTCTTCGCCCTGCAGCCCAACATTAAGGTCATTGCCCCATGGCGCGACCCTGTCTTCTACGAGCGCTTCGCCGGCCGCAACGACCTCCTTGCCTACGCTGCCGAGAAGGGCATTCCCGTCACCTCGACCAAGTCCAAGCCCTGGAGTATGGACGAGAACCTGGCCCACTGCTCGTACGAGGCCGGTATTCTGGAGGACCCCGACACCACTCCCCCCACCGACATGTGGAAGCTGACCCAGGACCCTCTGGCTGCTCCTGACCAGCCCGATGACTTCATCGTCCACTTCGAGAAGGGTGTCCCGGTCAAGCTGGAGTTCACCGAGGGTGGCGCGAAGAAGACCGTCACCGACTCAGTTGACGTTTTTCTGACTGCCAACGCCATTGCTCGCCGAAACGGTGTTGGTCGTATTGATATTGTAAGGCGTTCTTCCACCGTTTGCCGAAAATCAAATATTAATTCATCGATAGGTTGAGAACCGTTTCATCGGTATCAAGTCGCGTGGCTGCTACGAGACTCCTGGTCTTACTTGCCTGCGCGCTGCCCACATTGACCTCGAGGGTCTTGTGATGGACCGTGAAGTCCGTGCTCTACGTGACCAGTTTGTCACCTTCAACTACTCCAAGGTCAGTGCCATATGTTTTGACCCCAGTTAGCAAACCTGATCTAACATCGTGTAGCTCCTCTACAACGGTCTGTACTTCTCTCCCGAGCGTGAGTTCCTCGAGGGCTCCATCACCGCTTCCCAGAAGTCCGTCAACGGCCAGGTCCGTTGCCGTGCCTACAAGGGCACCGTCTCCGTCCTCGGCCGCTCCTCCGAGACCGAGAAGCTGTACGACATGACCGAGTCCAGCATGGACGAAATCGGTGACTTCTCGCCCGCCGAGACCACCGGTTTCATCAACGTCTCTGCCATCCGTCTCAAGAAGTACGGCCAGATGAAGGCCGCCGCTGGTGAGAAGATGTAAGCGGTGATGACCATGCAACGATTCTTCTATTTTGATTTGATGTGATTGGAATGTGCTCGGATTTTGAATGATTGTATAATGAAATAGAAAAAAGTTGCCACGATGGATATCTCAATACGTGTGTTCAAGTTGTCTAGTAGGTTCTTTCTTCTCTTCTGATTTAAATTGTATTTTGAATGAAAGCCAGAGAAAAGAAAGAGTCTGGCATCCTCAGGTAAGCCCAAGGACCCGAGGGGGACAAAAGATTGGCGAGTGAACCACTTGGATAATATTAACAACTTTTAGTCTTTAACAAAACAAAGTCATGCCAAGCAGCGCGCCAGTAATGAAATGAAACACAAGAAAGAATTCCAGCCAACGCCATATTATGCCAGTATCGAATCCTGGTAACATATGTATATACAATCTGTATTGAAGGAGGAAGTGGTGTTCAGGGTGTGAACATAAGCCGCAAACGACTGGGCCCCTTCTTCTTTTCCTTGGGCCGTTTCTCCGAGTGAGTCACCTGCGTCGGGGTCTTGGACGACGCTCGACTACTAGGTGCTCTACTGGGAGCCCTACTGGGGGCCTTGGAGGGAGCTTTGGAAGACGACCGGGAAAAGAAGCTCGATGGAGCCTTAGAGGGAGCCTCTGGTTCGCGTTTGGAGTGAGTACGAGTCGGGGCGCGGGATGAGCGCGAGCGGCGCGAACGACGGGAAGATGCGACAGAGACATCGTCCTCGTATTTGAATCGGGGGTCTTTGGCAGCCCGGGCCGTGGTGACGTCGATGCCAGACATGGCGGCGGCCGTCGGGGTGATGAACTCGCCATCGACCGAAGTGCCGACGCTGACGGCTTCCATGTCAGCGACGCCGCGTCGCCACCGCTCCACACTGCTCAGCTCCTCGACGTTCAGTTCCATCATGTCATCCATGCCGGCGGACTGTTTCTCGGCGTCGGCGTTGCCGGACTGGATCTGCTTGACGATCTTGTAGCCGCCGAACATGACCACGGTCACGCCCAGCCCGACGCCGGCGGCGATGAGGAACTGCGGGCTGGAGAGGAGTGCGAAGACAGTGGGCGCGGCGGATTTGAGCGCTGTCAGGGCCGAGGGCGCCATCTTACGGGCGAGATTGCTGATCTCGGCCAGGGTTAATGCGACGGCGGCCATGGCATCGGGGTTCTTTTGCAAGTGGGAGATCGTCGCCGTGGCACCGTGCTGCACACAGTGGGCTTCCTCGAGGAGCCACTGCGCGCGGTGGACCAGACCATCGAGCTGTTTTTGATCGGAGACTGGCTGCTGCTGCTGCTCGCCGGGGTTATAGCGAGACAGCGCTGCGGGATGGGCGTCGCCGTACGCCAAGTCCATGTCAATATGAGCGTCGGACCTAGACCGGGCCGTTGTGGGGCGGGCGGGCGGCTGGCGGAGTGTGATATCGTGATGCGTGTGACGGCGGGCAACAGCATCTGCGGGGATCCCATAGTACGACTGCGGCCGTGAGGCGACCGAATGCAAATCCTGTTCATAGTGAGAGGAGGCACGATGGCGGTGGTGGTGACTGCGGCTAGAATGATGCCGGGACTTGGTGCCGCGGCTTCGACGGGACGCTACCGACGGCGAATCATCGATCTGGTAGTTGGCGAGCCCCTGCAGCGCCTGCTGCTCGGCGATTTTGGCACTGCGCTCTGATTCATACTGGGACTTGCGTTCGCGGTAGGCGGTTTTGGCTTGGTTGAAGACGCCGAATAGTTGTTTACTCTGGCCAAAAGTGAGAATGAGACTTTGATGACAAGGAGATAGAGGAGTCCATACCGTGCTCACAACTTTGCCGGACTTGTCAATCACGGCGATCGTCTGACCAAATGGCGCCATGCCCAAGAAAAAAGTCGTCTACACGACCAGATCAAAATCAATCATCAAATATGTGGGAATCGAGGGTGAGGTAGCGGTGTAGAAGTATCAAATTGTCGATGGAGGGTGGGTATATAGATCATGAAACATCAAAGCGGGACCATAGAAAAAAGGGAGAGAGAGAGAATGAAAGAATTTTAAAAGCAACGGCAGGATGATTAAGGGGACTTCTTTTTTTAACCCCAGTAAAAAAGAGTGATCAGCGGAAAAGTCCGATCGGGGGGACTTGGGAGAACTTGTGGAAAAGTGATGCCCCAGCGAAAGAGAGGCTGGCAGGGCATAGCCAGGCACACACGAGAGTTGGGCACAGGGAAGACCGCAGGAGCCGTAAGCTCAAGGACCCGTAGGGCAGAGAGGTTGGGTGCCGGTGATGCGAAGGCAGCCACAAATCGAGTCTCGGCTTGAGCTTTGATCGGTTGGGCGCGAAGACAGCTGATCCGTGGGGCAAGTTGTTGTCGAGCTCTGATTGCTGGGATTGAGGTCAGAGGAAGAAGAAAGCCCTTGCTAGTGAGACTGATAATACTGGCAGTGCCAGACATGGAATTCACTAGATACAAAAGGGAAAATAGCTCAAACACCCAGACTCTCAAGGCCACAAGGCCACAAGGCCACCACTTTCTGGATGCCGCTTGGCCCCAGGCAAACCAGCGGTGACTGCCGATGGCCCACGTGATTGGCCAAGCTGGTGACCGCCACTGTGGCTGGTACTGTGGCTGTGCTCATCCTGTCGCACTGAACTTGCCGGTTGACCGAAGCGGAACTACACTGAGAAGAGCAGAGGTTGGGATTCGGCACGGAAGAAACGGGGGTTTCTCTTCAGCTGGATGGCTGGCAATGACGGTAGATGGCGCGATCTCCTGCGGTACCACCCGAGTCCGATGAAATCGACTGCCAGGAAGATGGACTTCCCCCCAGACAAGGAAAAATGACTGTGGCGTGTCTGCAGCCGGATCTCCCTAGTCCAGAGCCCAAGCGCCGAGAGAGTCAAGAGCGCACGGTGTAGGCCCAAGAGGCATTTTTGAAAAGACAGGTGAAGTCATGGCACAGATTGTCAGTCTTATCTTTTTTCCGATGCACGCGAGGGGATCAGGATCGGTGAGCCGACATCCTTCCAACGCCCCAGTGAGCCGATGCACATTGCAGTTCAAAAATCTGCTTGAATCGAGTCGCATTGGGGTCACAGCCCTGGATTTGGACCGTCATGGCCTTTGATCGATCCAAACCCCCTTTGGCGCGATTGCTGTGGGAGCCCAGGTGAGTATAAGAGAGATCGAATGTGCGACCGGTGTCATTGCCATATACAATACTTGCCATGTTTTGTTATTTTTGTTATTTATTTTTATTTTTATTTTTATTTTTTTTTCAATTGTCAAAATGAGAAAGAGAGAAAGCAAAGCAAAGAACATAATCACTTCAAATTCATCTCACAATCCAACTGACCAGCATTCAGGTGCCAGAAGGATGCCAGGGGTGAGTCGAATATTTCCTCGATGGTGCAATGTGGTTTTCTCTTTTTTTCTATTTTTGCCCGTTCCGCCCCCTCGATGATTCACATCTCACTCTGAATCTCCGTGAATCTCTGTGATTCTTTGCTTTTTTTTTCTCTCTCTCTCCAACTTCGACAAAAACAGATGGAGTGAACTTACAGAGAAAATCATCCATTCCGTGGCTCAATTGCTTGGCGTGTGGGGGATCTGAAGACTGCGCAGAATAGCTTTTTTTTATCTTCACTGTGGCTGACTGTCGATCGCCTGCAATGGACATAGTGGATTCAGAAAACACCTCCGACGTCGAAGATCAGACCAAGCGATGGGGTTCTGATTCTCAGCCCGTTGTTGTCCGGGGGTCGACGACGCCAGCAGCGCTCATCCGCAGAGTGACTGCGGCATTGGCCACCGCGTTCTAGCGAGCCGCTCCGTGCTGGCTCTGGTCGTTGATGAGCATTGCGTCTTTGCTGGTCTCCAAGGCGGAGACATTGTCGTAAGTCTGCTGCATTTTTAGTCTGGTTCGGTCTAACTGTCAGTGTCAAGGCATGGTCTCTCGAGACGTATGATCTCGTCTTGTCAGTACACGCCCACAAAGAGAGCGTGCTGAGCCTCTACCTGTCAAAAGACGGCAATCTGCTGTTTTCCAGTGGAGGAGATTCTGTCGTCAATGTAAGTCAATTCCTCCAATTTAGAAACAGAAACCCGAGTGGAGCTAATTCAGTTGGGCAGGTGTGGTCCACAAGGACATTTGAATTGCTCTACTCGATTTACTCCCACCATGACGTTGGGGATATTTTCACGACAGTGTACTCGTCGAGCAATCGTACTATCTACTGTGGCGCACAGAACACCAGTATTCAGGTATGGTCCTTGAAGTCCTGGTTCTGGTGCAGACTTCTAACGTGTCACAGTGGTGTGATCTATCTGAAGAGGGGGCGACCCTGAATCAGATTTCGGCTGCCCATCCATCCAAGCGGGCACATCGATTTTTCGATTCCCGGGGCCCTGATGGTTCTCGTGCTCCAAGACCATCGGATGGCGAGCCAGTATCCCCCGGAAGTCGCGTGTTAACCTTCAAGCGGGACCATCATAAGCGTTTTGGCCATCATGGCTACGTGTATGCGATGCTTCTCGTCAAGGGCCTGATCGAATCGGCTCCGTCAGAGGAGGCTTTATTGACCGGCGCAGGAGATGGAGTAGTCAAGCTGTGGCGCCTGGGCCAGGAGCCGGGAGCGACACCAACCCAGATCTCCAAGCTTCAGAATGGAGACCCGGTGCTCTCGATTGCAGTCGAGGGGTCATTGCTCTACTGCGGTCTGTCTGGCGGTGCCCTCAATATTTGGAATCTCGACTCCCAACAGTTGGTCAAGCGGATTGTCCGACACACCGGGGACCTGTGGGCAGTCCAAGTCATCCAGGGTGTCGCGATATGTGGCGACTCCAGTGGATCAGTTAAGGTATTTTCGGCTTGGCTTTGCCGATTTTTGTTACTCTTGATGCTAACGTACCCAGAAATTCAATTCTCGGTTTGAAGAGCTCGGCGGCTGGGTGGCCCATAAAGGCACGATGCTCGCTTCCGCGGCAGGTCGGTTCAAGAACAGGTGGATCTATGCCACTGGAGGAAATGACAACAGCGTAGGAATCTGGGATTTGACCGAGTTCTTCCTCGTTCAAGAAGACCTGCCTCCCATCAGCAACGGTACGCCGTCCTTGACTTCCCGATAATGAACGCTAGCTCATTCATCACAGATGAAATGGTCAACAGCCTTGCCAAATTTGTCTCCTTCAAGACAATCTCGGCAAGCCCGAAATTCTCCGGAGAGTGCAATCAGGGAGCGGCGTTCCTGCGCCGGCACTGCAACTACCTCGGTGCGAAGACAAAGCTGTGGACTACGGGCGAAGACACAAATCCAATTGTCTATGCCAGGTTCAATGCTACCTCCATTGACAAGGTCGAGAAGACGATTCTCTTCTATGGTCACTACGATGTCGTGGGAGCCGACACCAACCGGCCCAAGTGGAAAACGGATCCTTATCAGCTCACCTCCATCAACGGGTTTTTGTACGGGCGTGGTGTCTCGGACAACAAAGGCCCGATTCTGGCGTCATTGTATGCCGCAGCAGATCTTGCCCGGTCAAAGTCTTTACGGTGTAATGTCGTTTTCATAATTGAGGGTGAAGAAGAGTCTGGATCCCAGGGATTCCACCAAACCGTGCGAGACTACAAGGACCAAATTGGTCCCGTGGATTGGGTCTTGTTGGCCAACAGCTACTGGTTGAATGACTACAACCCGTGCTTGACCTACGGACTGCGCGGCGTGGTGCATGCCAACCTGGTCGTGACGAGCGATCACCCGGATCTGCACAGTGGTATTGATGGCAGCGCGTTGTTGGATGAACCCGTCAAAGATCTCTCCATGCTTGTCTCTACCCTTGTTGGGCGCAAGGGCCGGATCAATCTGCCTGGCTTCCACGACGCTGTCCGCCCTCTCACCGACGCAGAACAGAAACGGTTCGAGGCCATTGCAGATGTGCTCCTCCCGCAACACCCGCAGATTCCCGACAGCCAGTCATTAATCAAGTCCCTCATGTACCGTTGGCGTGAGCCGTCCCTTACCATCCACTCACTGGATGTTCCCGGGAACAAGAGCGGGGCCACCACCATCGCCCGCCGGGCCAAGGCGAGCCTCTCGATCCGCATCGTCCCTGATCAGCAGGCGGACGATGTTGCGGCAAACCTGACAGCGTATGCACAAGACCAGTTTGCATTGCTGGAATCCCAGAACGATCTCACCGTGGAGATCACTGGGAAATCCGATGCCTGGCTGGGAGACCCAGACAACGAGATCTTCGCAACTCTGTCCGAAGCCATTACTGTCGCCTGGTCACCAGACCAGCAAGCCCCAAGTCATCTTTACCCTCCGGTACCCCAGATTGCAAATGGACAACCCCCAGTCAAGCCCAAACTCACCGGCAGTCCTGGACCCAAGCTTTTGCGCAAAGATTCGTCCGACAGTCTTGCATCTCACGTCGACCGAGTCATCACTTCCACAACCACCTCCTCGGCCGGAAAAGAAGCCGCCCGCAGGCGATCTGCCCAACCCCCCGCCACCATTCCGACATCATCCACCCTGGCACAAACGGCCCCAACGACCCCCGAGCAACCGGCCCTCCTCCCTCTGAGAGGAAGGTCGGACGCTCAAACCGAACCCGCTGGCTCTGGACGAGCCTCTCCATCCCCAACAGGATCACAATCCCCCGTCAAGCCAATCTTCATCCGCGAGGGCGGGTCCATCCCGACGATTCGGTTCTTGGAGAAGGAGTTTTCGGCGCCTGCTGCCAACTTACCGTGTGGACAAGCCAGTGACAATGCCCACTTGGATAATGAGCGCATGCGCGTAGAGAATCTGTACAAGAGCCGGGAGATCTTTCGGTATGTGTTTGCCAATTTGGTTGACAAAGCATAGAATGAATCTGGAGCATCGGCGGCTGTTTCTTCTTTTTTTTTTTTTTTTTTTGGAATATTTTTGGTGTCATTGCTGTAAAAGTATAGTTTTATTAGCATCTGATGCATTTTGGGTTTCCATGACTCTCCTGATGAACACTTAAGCATGAATCTCGTTTTGAAGTCCATGGTTTGGTTGCAGCATGAGGGTGGATAGCCTTCCTCGATGGCAGTAGATGTACGACTCCAACAATAAGACAATGCTTCGGCGCAATCTCGGGCCTGTGACTCCATCGCCCGGTCACAGTATCTGCAGTCAGTCTCGGAACCTTCATATTAAGTTGGGATCAAGGCAGCACGTATTGCCCAGATATACACCCGAGCATAAACACCAAGCTCGACCACCAAGTTAAGACACAGGAACATCGGGTTATAACCAAAAATTAGGACTTGGAATTCTATTTACGATTCAATTCTAAAACAATCGAAGTCCTTAATCCACCCGACACAATCCACTTTCATCCCACCGGTCACTCCCAACCCCCTTGCGCGTAATAAACAAATCATGCGGATCCCTCTTGTGCTTAATAGCTCTCAGACGCGGATAATTCGATCCCCAGAACGATGTCTGGAAATCCGCCTCATTGGCATCCGCCTCGTTCAAGTACGCGCCCATCTTGCCCGGCTCCAGCGCCTTGAGCCGCGGCACGTCGCGTTGAGTGATGTTCGCGGCGACGGCCTTCTGTTCTGCAAAGGTCATATTTGCGCTCAGCAACCGGACAGAAACCACATGGAGCAGTGTGTCTCTCCAGGCAGGATTGAGCGCGGACTCAATGTCGCGGTTTCGAGATACTTGGCCTCCGGACAGAAGCATCCCCACGACAAGCTCTCCCAGACCGAGCTGCATCTCAGACATGGCGCTCGTGAGTTTCGATGAATCTCCGGAATCAAAGAGAGAGCGCGAGATAAGATGTGAGCCAAGGAGCACTTGCGAGCCTGTGACATCACTCCCCTGGAACAGCGTCGTATACAGGCTCGACAACGTGGGGAAAGCGGCGACATGGTACGCCGGCGCTACGCCCGTCGCATTCTTCAGATCAGCCAGTAATGGTACGAAACTTGCGTTCACGGCGCTCGTGCTCGTCTGGTTGACGAACATCATGTACAGCAGGAACGTCGACACGGTCTGGTTCTCGGATACCGGTGTGAGCGGGATCGCGCTGTAGTAGCCGCTGCCTCCGTTGTCATTCAACCGCGGAACGTGCCGATGGAATGCATCGACGCCGGCCCAGAAAGGATCGTCGGGGCTGGTGGTGAAGTTTGCTGTTGCGTAGACCACCGGGTAGTCCGGGTGTGCTTTGACGGTAACGCTTACGACGACGCTGAAGCTGCCGCCGCCGCCACCACGGAGGGCGAAGAAGAGGTCTGTGTTTTGGTGGGCGTTGGCGATGGCGAGTGAGCCCTGATAAGGGAGATGGGGTGAGTAACCCGGATGATAAGTAGAACAAATCGATGGTTGGATGGGTGGATGGATCTCCTAGGAGACACTTACATCCGCCAGAACAACTTCGAACTCGAGTGCATTGTCACTCGCCATTCCATGCAGCTGGCCCAGCACCGAGTGCCCGCCTCCTTGGATATACCCGCCGGCAGCGCCAACCGTGCTAGACGATCCGCCGACGATCATGACGCCCTTGGATCTCAGATACACGTACACGTCGTGCAACTGTACCCCTGCACCGAGAGTGACAGCCTTGACACCGCCAGGGGCATCAACTCCAGTCGGCACAGTGGGCACAAAATCGTCCACAATAGAGATGTTCTTCATCCAATGGGTCATAATCTGCAATGAGTTTGGCGCCGACGACCGACCCAGGAAGTCATGGCCCGTGTTCTTGATGACGAGCTTGAGGTTGTGATGCGCGGCGAACTTGACGGCCGCTTGGATGTGCTGGGATGAGCGCACCTCTGCTGAAAAGAGGGATACGCGGCCCTGCCGGCATGGGGCTGATTGTGGTGCGTTGATGTAGCACTGCTCCTCGGCTTGAGGCCATGCTTCCCAGTTTTCCCATTGAAGTGCACCTAGCATTAATTAGTGAATGTTGCCAAAGATGGATTGGTACCTTTGCAGTGCGAGAATGCTCACCTGGCTGAGATGACCGGTAAGAGGAGTTGCGAGCATGGTCCTGGACGATGGCACAGTCGGCCGCGTTGAAAGTGGTGTTGTGGCATGGCGATGCGAATGGCTTGACAGCGACTAGGCTTCCCCCGATTGTTTTATTCAAAGCAGCCCAATTGGTTTCACTTGGCCAGCAAGATTGTCCTGGTTGGCAGCGACAGAATGTCGCGTCCACTGGAAGGCCCCCTGCGACGAGGCTGATACCCCAGAGCCAGGTCTTCATTTTGAATGTGAGCAACAGAACTGCTTTAAATTTACTACTTGACTCTCAGATATTCTCCAGGATTGAATTTTAATCAACACCATTCAATTGTTTACTCCGCTCCCGCGAAGAATGTAGAGTGGACGATCATTGCTACAGTGGCCAGCGACATCGGGAATTCCAGCGACAAGCATCTAGAGGATTCAGATCATGGATTTTAGCCAACGATGAGCTGTTGATTTGAATATCCCGAATCATCTTCCGGTTCTTTGCATCGGCGTTGACCGATGTCAATCTATACTTCATGCACCCCGGCTTAGTTCGGCGATCCCCTCACAGACTGGTGGAGCATCGTACTTTAGTTCAGACAATTATTCAATCAGCAAGGACTTGGAAAGTATTTCTGTTTTATTTAGCCGCTGTCCATTGTCCCTCGGCCCCTTACTGTACCTGCAGCAACACCCTCGCATCTGTGATCGACAATACTATCGATGCGGCAATGATCAACGCCCATGAAGCTGGGGAGCTCTCTCGACCACAATTCGAGTGCAGTGGTGATTGGGTGCTTTGGTAGTTGATGACTCGTCATGTCTTGTCCAAGATGTGCAATGTTGATACATCTATTCAGGTAGCAATTGTCCGGAAGAAAGTGAAACGCATTGACATCAGACTAGAGAAGTCGTTGGGAACGCCCAAGTATAAAGATCTGGCATTGCACCGCAGAATGAGGGTACCAAGCCGCAGTCTAAACTACCAAACTACCAAACTACCTTGAAGCCCTTGAAATATCCTCCTACTGCTTCCGAAACATCAAAATGCAGTTCTACCAGGCTTTCCTCCTCTCCGCTGCCATCTGCCTTGCGACAACCGCGCGGGCCGACACAAATGTGTGCTCCCAACCCTTCATTGTGCTTAAATATAGTACACAACTAATAGCCTCCAGGACGACCACCGATGCCCCGTCGACTGGCGTCCCACCGACTACCGTGGAGTCCGGAACTGCTGCTACGGCACTCTGTACCTCGACACCGACGATCCCCACTGCTGCGTTGTTGACCACGAAGTCGCCGACGCTGTGACTGACACCATCCCCGATGCCGTGCCCACCTTCTCGGACTGCTTCCCATTCTGCAGCGGATCGACTGGTGTCAACGACGTCCGTACCGCTGCCAGCAGCGTGCGCACTGCCGCCCACAATGCCCACACCTCGGCCATCTCTTCCTGCATCGACAAGGTCCCTCTGTCGGCCAGCGACTATTCTAGCCGCGTTTCGGCTGCGTCGTCCTCGGCTCGCCGCACGAGCCCCTCGACCAACGATGCCAACCCCACCGCCACGGACTCTGGCGACCGCTGGTCTACCAATGCCGCCATGCCCATTGCCACGGCTGAGGGCGCTGTGATTGGAGGCGTTGCTGTTGCGGCCGCTCTGTTTGCGCTGTAAAGTATGAGGCATGATTGTCGCATGGCTGAGATGAAAGAATATGGTCTGATGTCCTGAATGCCTTCCTTGGACATAATAATGTAACCTATGCTTGTCGAGTTTCTAGTACAATGTCATCTGCCGACTTTGTCGGCTTATACATATAACCCCTGCTATCTTTAGTGCAGCATAGAATGGAAACTGAGGTACTGAGGATGCTCAAGGGTATGCTACTTTTCGTCTCTTATACTTCTGTTGTGGTTACCGTATGCGGTGAACTAGTGGATACTTCGATGAAGTCATCTCCCCTCGGCCTTTGCATTTTTGTCCTTTCAACACTCACCATGGCTTCCATGATCGCCCCCCAGATGGCTTTCCGTGCATTCACAGCGGCCCCGAAGGCTGCGCCATGGGCCCGTCTCTCCCTGCCCCGTACCCAGCCCGCATTCCGTCGGTTCTTTGCCGCGCCCGCCCAAGAGCAGCCGCGTCTGCGCTTGGGGTCGACCGGTATAGTCCCGAAGACAGAAAGCTGTTGCATGATCCCAATGCTAATTCAATTGCATAGCTCCCAACTTCAAGGCACTGACCACCAAGGGCGAGATCGATTTCCACGACTTCATCGGCGACAGCTGGACCATCCTGTTCTCGCACCCGGCCGATTTCACCCCCGTGTGTACCACCGAACTCGGCGCCTTTGCGAAGCTGAAAAATGAATTTGAGAAGCGTGGTGTCAAGATGATTGGACTGGTTCGTGCCTAATACCCCTTTGTTTGGTCTTGCATTGCGCGAAATGGCGTAGCTGACCCCGCGTCACTCCAGAGCGCCAACGACATCGGTTCCCACGGCGACTGGATCAAGGACATCAACGAAGTCGCCTCCACGGACGTCCAATTCCCCATCATCGCCGACGCCGACCGCAAGGTCGCCTTCCTCTACGACATGATCGACCAGCAGGACTTGGACAACATCGCCCAGAAGGGCATTGCCTTCACCATCCGCTCCGTGTTCATCATCGACCCCAGCAAGAAAATCCGCCTCACCATGATGTACCCTGCCTCAACGGGCCGCAACTCTGCTGAGGTTCTGCGCGTGATTGACTCGCTGCAGACCGGTGACAAGAAGGGTGTCACGACCCCGATCGACTGGCAGGTGGGCGACGACGTCATCGTGCCCCCCTCCGTGTCGACCCCTGACGCCAAGAAGAAGTTTGGCGAGGTGCGCGAGGTGAAGCCGTACCTGAGATACACCAAGGCCTAAAGGATGCGGACATGAAGTGATCGACACTTGTATACAATTCAATTGGATTATACGGATACCGTGAACCCCCTGTAGACTCTTATGTTCCTGATGCGTGGTGATGTCCTCATAGACTGCGATGGTGGAACCGGGTAATCCTCGGTCTTCCAAGTGATGTCAATGATTCAGGGGAATTCCTCATCGGCGCCTTTGCCAATTTTGGGTGTTGCTACCCCTGACGGATTCCCTTATGAGGCAGGGATAATCCTCGGTGGGGAGTCGCTCACAGACGATGCCGCGAACACTTGCACAACTTTGAATCCTGCGCGCCAGACTTTTGCCGGTGCCCTATGAGCATTGCGAATTCCGAGCAATTGTCACTCGGCTATGCAAGCGAGCCCATGACTATCGTTAGTTTCCCACAGGGATCGGCCTGCGATGTCAAGAATTCACCCAAATAAAGCACGTGGACACGGCATCTTCTCCGTTGTTCTCCTCTTCGGGCACTGTCCCTCGGTCATTTAAACGGACTGAGCGGTGAATTCTTCAATTAGAATGAGGCTCTGTCTTTCTGCATCCTTCTGACCAGGCATTGGGACTTCTCCAGTCACAACAATGGCACACTGGACCCGTCTGGCCCTAGTCCCCTTGTTGGCGCAGGTCGCACTCGCATCCCCCGTGCCGGATGGCGACCACAGCTCTGTACACCTGGATCAACGAGACTCAGACTCCAGGGACTATGCATCGCCCCCCTATTATCCCACGCCGCCGGGCGGGTGGCTGTCCGACTGGAGCGACGCGTATGAAAAGGCCCAGAAAGTGGTCAGCAACATGACCCTGGCAGAGAAGGTCAACATGACCAGCGGCACGGGTTTCTTCATGGGCCCCTGTGTCGGCCAAACCGGCAGCGCGCCTCGGTTCGGGATCCCCAATATCTGTCTCCAGGATTCGCCGCTGGGGATACGGAACTCGGATCATAACACCGCGTTTCCTCCGGGAATTACCGTGGGCGCCACATTTAACAAGGAGCTCATGTATGCCCGTGGAGTGGGGCTAGGCGAAGAGGCTCGGGGAAAAGGTGTTAATGTACTTCTGGGTCCGGCGGTGGGACCGATCGGACGCAAGCCGCGTGGGGGACGCAGTTGGGAGACGTTTGGCGTGGATCCTACGCTGCAGGCTATTGGTGGTGCGCAGACCATTAAGGGTATGCAGAGCACCGGGGCAATTGCGGCTCTGAAGCATTTCATTGGCAACGAGCAAGAAATGTACCGCATGAGCAGCGTTGTTTCCAAGGGGTATTCCTCGAACATCGATGATCGGACTTTGCATGAGTTGTACCTCTGGCCGTTTGCCGAAGGCGTCCGAGCAGGTGTCGGCTCTTTGATGACCGCCTATAATGATGTGAGTGTCGTCTTCTTGTTCTCTGTGAGGACTCTTGCTGATATAAAGTAGGTGAACAGCTCTGCGTGCAGCCAAAACAGCAAGCTTCTGAATGGGATCCTCAAGGATGAGCTCGGCTTCCAAGGATTTGTCATGACCGATTGGCTGGGTCACTACAGTGGCGTGGGATCCGCGCTAGCTGGCCTCGACATGAGCATGCCGGGTGACGGTGCCGTCCCTCTCTTCGGGGACAGCTACTGGGCATCCGAGCTGTCGAAGTCTGTTCTAAATGGCAGTGTACCGGTCAGCCGTTTGAATGATATGGCAAGTGACATCCACGCCGTTTCAACTGTTCAACGGCAAAACTGACTAGACTCAAGGTCACTCGAATCCTTGCGACATGGTACAAGTTGGGCCAGGACAAAGACTACCCCCTCCCGAATTTCTCTACTAACACTCAAGACCGGACTGGTTCCCTGTACCCTGGCGCTCTTGTCTCTCCTTCAGGGGTCGTCAACCAATATGTTGATGTACAGGGCAACCACAATGTCACAGTACGAGCTGTGGCCCGCGAGGCCATCACGTTGCTGAAGAACGAGAAGAATCTTCTCCCGCTGCGACGAAACGACTCCTTAAAGATATTTGGCCAAGACGCTGGTGGCAACCCAGACGGCCTCAACAAATGCAGCGACCAAGGATGCGACAAGGGTGTTCTGACGATGGGATGGGGCAGTGGCACCGCAAGGCTACCGTATCTCATTACACCGCAGAAGGCCATTGCCAACGTCTCCAAGAATGCCCAGTTCTATATCACCGACTCGTTTCCGTCGGACGTCACGGCAAACGCCAACGACATCGCTGTTGTGTTCATCAATGCGGACTCCGGCGAAAACTACATCACTGTGGAAGACAACCCTGGCGACCGCACTAAAGCTGGCCTATATGCCTGGCATGACGGCGACAAACTCGTCAAGGCGGCCGCCGAGAAATTCTCCAATGTCGTGGTCGTCGTGCACACAGTCGGCCCTATTATTATGGATGAATGGATCGACCTGAAATCCGTCAAAGCGGTTGTCGTCGCGTATCTGCCGGGTCAGGAAGCGGGCAACTCGCTCGTCGATGTATTATTTGGCGCCTACAGTCCGAGCGGTCACTTACCCTACACGATCCCACGCAGCGAATCCGACTATCCGGACAGCGTGAGCTTGATCAAACAGCCTTTCGGGCAAATTCAAGACACTTATACCGAGGGACTCTATGTGGACTATCGACACTTCCTCAAGGCCAATGTAACGCCTCGATACCACTTCGGCCATGGGCTCTCGTACACCACATTCAACTTCTCTAAACCAACATTGTCCAAGGTCACCCCCTTGGACAGCGCCTACCCTTCAGCACGACCGTCCAAGGGCGCAACACCGACATACAGTACCAAGATCCCAGATGCCTCCGAAGTCTCGTGGTCGTCCACTCATTTTACCCGCATCTGGCGCTATCTCTACCCATACCTGGACCACCCAGAGTCCATCTCCGCTAAAGACAAGTACCCTTACCCGGATGGCTATACCACCACACCCCAGCCTGCCCCCCGCGCCGGTGGTGGCCAAGGAGGTAATCCCGCACTGTTCGATGTCGCCTTCTCCGTGAAGGTGCAGGTTCAAAATACAGGCAAACGCCGTGGCCGAGCTGTTGCGCAGCTTTACGTTGAATTGCCCAAGGACTTGGGACTCGATACACCTTCGCTGCAGCTGCGCCAGTTCGAGAAGACGAAAGAGCTGGCTCCCGGACAGAGTGAGACTCTCACCCTGGATATCTCTCGCAAGGATGTCAGTGTGTGGGATACCAAGGTGCAGGACTGGAAAGCTCCTGTGCACGGCAAGGGTATCAAGGTCTGGGTGGGTCACAGCGTCGGGGATCTTTCTGTCGTTTGTGAGGTTGGTGGTCGTTGCTCGACGCAGTAAGTGGAGGCTTCTACTTACCATCTTTTCTTTTTCTTTTTCTTTTTCTTTTATCGTGTTTAATATCCTTTTCTGTTATCGTCTTTTGCCTATATTTCCTTGATTCCGTGGTCAGCACCGACTTCTGCCATCCACACACATGATAATCCTTTATTGTTCATACTGTACATATAACCTTCAATTCATTTATTGAACAAGTATTCTTATTTTAAAATCTAGCCCAAGTCTTGCATGTTTGGCTCGCCTCAACGATAACAATCACAGTTTCAGACCGAAGGAGACTGCACATTCTCCACAACAGGCTGCTTCTCAAGATTGAGCCCCGTCCGAGTTTCCACATGCTCCTTGTTCAACTGCGTCTTGAGAATAAAACCAGAAAACAAGATCCCCACGGCGGACATGCACGTATACATAACCCACATATTCCGCAAACTCCACGAGAAAGCCTCTTTCACAGCGCCCAGCTGAGCCGGGTCCATGATCGTCTTGATAGTCTCAACATTCGCCGCTGCCGAGTCACCAGAAAGCTGCGCTGCCAAGGCCTCAGACATCCCAGTGGCCAGTAGCTTCGAATGCATACGCCCCATACTATTCTGAAACACGACACCACCGATAACAATCGACGACGCGGTCGCCATATTCCGAATAAAGCCGAGAGTCGCCGTTGCCGTGGCGGTTTCTTCTTGCGATACCATGGCCTGGATGGCAATGATGGGGGTCTGGAAGACGAACCCAGCGCCGAAGCCGCTGAGTAGCTGGTAACCGACGATTTCTCCAAGTGACGAGGAGCTGTTGAAGTTGATGTATAGCCCATTGCCGATGGCCATCATGATCAGCCCCAGCCAGATTAGCTCGAGATATCGTCCGGTGTGGTGGATTGTGGCGCCCGTAATCATGCCGGCAAATGCCTCGGCGAGGACGATGGGCAGGGTTAGGAGTCCTGAGCGCACAAATGCAAAGATCACGTCCCTGTTGGGGTGTACACATCCTCTATATAACTTGACCCTGTTTCGTTGGAGATGTTTCAATCAATATCAAACGCACTTCCCCCCTCAACAATCCAATTAGAAATTCTGCTGAGCGTTTTCAATCTCAAGCAGACCACGATGCTCTGCGAGCAATTACCTAAGGAATAAATGCTCGAGGCATCTTGCCCATTTTCTCAACGGCCGATCGAATGGCACCCGAAATGCCAAATTGGCTGGGAATGCCCTCCACACGATGAGTAGAATTGATATTCTTGACCAGCACGATCTGGTAGCATGTTGCCCCACCTTGACGAGAAACAATAGTAGCCCAAGAAAGGAAGAATTCCCAGATCTATTCACACATTAGCTCACACATTAGCAAGCTCCACCACGAATTCCAAGACGAGATACTCACCCGATACCATTTCGGCCCGTAAGTGGCCTCCACCTTCTCGCGATTGCCAAGCCAGTTGCGATACCAGCGCCAAAGAGTTGCAGAATAGTGCACACCCACGGTATCAATACCCTTGACTTCAAAGCCGGTTGCTTCGAGCTGATCCACAACCCAGCCAAGGGGCGTGCTTGCATCTGCACCAGGGAACACATATTTGTTCATGAACAGGCCCCAGATCAAATCCTCGTACTGCCAGTACTTGCGTAGACCAGAGTATTGCAAATAGAAGACACCGTCATCATCCAACATATCATGAACTTGTCTCAAAAATCCACGGAAATGGCGAATGCCCACATGTTCCGACATCTCCAGACTGGTGATTCTCTTGTATCCTCCTGGGTTACGAGGTGAGTCACGGTAGTCCATGCGAAGTATCCTACTCTGAGACTCGGGGATACCGGCATTTTGAAGAGTCGTGTTGCCCCATTTTGTCTGGTTGCGGCCAAGGGTTACGCCAGTGACATGGGCCTTGTAATGAACGCTGGCAAAAGTAGCCAGAGTTCCCCATCCACAGCCAATGTCCAACATAGAATCTCCCGGTTGCAGGCCAATCTTCTCACAGACAGCCGTTAATTTGTTATCTTGAAGGTCTTCGAGGGATTCCTCCTGGTTGATGTCGCCGATGATACCAGAAGTGTAGATCATGCGAGGGCCGAGGAACCACGCGTAGAAGTCGTCGCCTCGGTCGTAATTGCCGCTCACCTGTTCCTCGTCTGGTCATATATGTTAGCCATTTGGTTTTTGTTGTTTCCTTGAATAAACAGGGTCATGAATGGGGTCCACATGTGGTAAGCGTTACCTTGAGAGCGGGAATGAACAAGAAGCTCGGGAACAAACCCCAGCAAAAAGTGGCGGAATACGCCCCAGGAGAAACTGAAGCTTGCCCAATCGTGTCGGTATTCGAGACTCTCTAGACAGTCCCCGTTCTTGAATTCCACCTCGCATCTAAAGTACTTTTCGTAGAATACTTCGATGGGGATTTTCTTGCTACCGCTGTATCTGGCGCGATCGCTTTCCCTGTGGAAATGGATGTAATGCTCCACAGGCCGACCCGGAAGCTTTGCTTTTTCGTTCATTCGGGGAGACATGGAAGAGAAGATTGTCCAGAAAGCCATGAGGATTGGGATAGCAGTGCATAGCGCGACGAGTACGGTGACGTATAGACCGCCACCCAGACAGTAGGATATGAACCACGGAATGGAGGTCAACAGGAATAGAAGTAGAGTATTGGACCACGAGTCATTGCCGGGGCCATCTGCAGGCAACGGGGCATTTTTGATGGCGGGAGACTGTAAACGAGTGCGCCATGAAAAGCATGAGAAGTATGCTCCCCGGGGTAAAGATAATAAAGATAACCAACTTTACTTACCGTGGTAGTTCGAACTCCGCAATCCTTGCTCGCAGGAGCTTGCAAGGCTTCTGGGGTCACTATGAAGTCGAAGAAAGGAGGCGACTCGGGGTGCTTTTGAGACATGGTGAGAGTATAATGTAAATTGAAGTTCAGGCAATTTCTTTCTCAAACAATCCACGGTTTGGGACCCTGAGCAGATATAAGTTTCTTCATGATCGACAATTTAAACGAGCATTGGAATCCACTGGAGCGTACCAATGGTATATCTCATTCTTGTCGTGAACCCCAATCACACGCATCTATATTTTCCTGAATAGGGCAATAGATCAGCCTCTCGGTGGCCGCGGGTCCCGCGCACTGAGGCCCTCTCTAAGCGATCAGCCTGCTTCCCATGTTTGTTTTTCTTTCTTTTTTTCTTTGACGTGCAATTTTGACTCTCGGCTCCAGAAAAATTGCCAGCGGAGCTAGGTTTTCTCAACAACATATTGAAAGCTGGCTTCAACAGCTCGCGCAACCTTTTTCTTATATCCATTTTCTTAGCTTCATTCGGCTCGGTAACTGATGCATTCCTTCGTGTTTCTTCTCACTGACCCCCTCATGTTTAATATCTTCGCGCTCTACTTTTTCCCCATGGCCACTAGATAGCGGTTGGGCCGGTTTGCGATCTTGGGTGGGATCATGTGTTGAAAGAAAGCGAATGATCAACATTCTTTAGCTCTCCTTAGGAAATCGCATTTACTCCCAGTTAAGAGGGGAAATGAATTGAATAGCGATGGGATGGCCCATTTAAAGAGCGAAGTAGCTAAGGAGTATTGTCCTCCAAGTTCAGTCAGAGGGAGGTGGCTTCGGACTTTGAATTCTATAGATTCTTGAGTTGGAGACTAATAAGAGCGTCCGTTTCTAAACCCAACAACACAGAGACACCTATGCTTGGCTTTATGCAATAATATGCATTGTGGATAGTGGTTTATAGGGTATTAAATTGAATTCAAACCATAACCAATATACCAGCTTATTAGTGGGGTGCTTTTGTACTAGTAGACTAAGCATGACTCGTAGTAAGTCAGTAAGCTCAACTCTATCTCCGCAATGCACAAACCAAGAACTAATACAGATTCTTAGCTACTATGAATGAACGCATATTTCATCACCTAGTCCCTCCATTTGTTGGAAATGAAGTGAAGACTAAGCAAGTATCCACGGAATGACGATGCTGACGTGGGCACTCGCATCACATCTAGTAGCCTTCTACTTGGACCTGCTATCCGATCAGCATGACAACAGCAAATGCCTCATTCTTGGCGTGGAAAATCTCATGCTGTGTGATATTCCTGTACGGGGTCAGAATTGGGGAACGTGCCGAGGATTCTCTTGTTCAAGCAGAAACGGCTTAACGAGGGGGCAAGACAACTGGGGATGGAGCTCCAGAATGCCTATACTTTTTCCGTTGACTTGCTGTCATTATCATTAAGTCTCAAACTAACTCACTCTCTATTTCTTACCCCAGGATCCTTTTCGCGAGACCTTCTCCATGGGGTGCGCCCCGTGGAGAGGGCCCCAACGGGGCCCAGGGTCAGACATTAGTAACCAAGAAAACACTCTGCACTGTTGAGATCAACGCTTTGGACAGCTTAGCCTGCCAGTCTGAGAATCTCAGGTGTGCCTAATTTAGTGCGACTCAGCCACTGCCGCCGCGTCATTGCCCCGGTATTCCCATTGCCCCGTATCATCGTTGCCTTTTCTCGTATATGAAGGGGTGAGATGGGGCGAAAGGATCGGCTCGTCGATGGGGATCAACTAACTTCGACAGGGCACACAAGGATCATGGTGGAGAACATAGCTACGTAGTTGGACCAGGACTTTGTTTGACTCTATCGCAAAGTTTACAAAGTAAGTTACCCGACACTGTGAAGACGACGTGACGCGCATTCTATACAAAAGTATCATGTAGAACCTGGGGGATGAGAGCCTTGTTGACATCATCTTACGATGTAAGCAATTGGGGATGAATTGCTTCGTTCTTAGTCTATCCTCGCAAACCTATGCTTGAGGTATAAAGAGTACGAGAAATCCTCGCCAATCTCACTCCCTCAGGACCAAATCAGCCTTTCTCTATTATATTCACTGTCCCAAATCTTCCAAATACAGTTACTCCCAAGAAACTAGCAACTTCAACAGCATGAAGGTCTTCGCTACTCTCTCCACCATGGTCGTTGCTCTGTTTGCAATGGCCGCTGCCAACCCCGTGGCTGAGCCTCAAGACGTAAGCATTACTCCTTCCTTCTTCCTGGGAGAATGTCCATTGCACAAGATGCTAACCATATAGAAATTAGTGGTGTCCTCATGGATGTGTCAAAGATGGAGGATGCTGGCCCGCTGATGACCCTCACTGCACTAGCTAGAAAGCCAGGACCCTACCATGCGATGTGTTTATAAAGCTATCACAAGGTGTTGGATAAACAGAAGACTTTTACAAATCTCGCTCGACAACGCCTCTTTTGTTCCGATATTGGGTTTCTTGTTACATATTTTGTATATACGGTGGCAGTGTCTTTTTCTTTGAATGAACCATTTCCTTATATGTGTATATCCAGTTGTCTTGAGGTAACTAGATCTCTGGGGACGGAAATGCCTTGTAGAATCTTCATTGAGTCAATGCACCTCCCGTATACTGAGCTTGACCTTTGGGCAGAGGGCTGATATGAAACGTTCAAGCGTGGACTGACAAGGACGATCTGCCTTTAATGGGGCCAATTTTGACGACTGCTGGCTATCGTTAGATTGGGTCTTAGATCGAGCTTGATCTGCCCTATTTTGGCAACGATGTTCGCCTGTATGTGTCCACGAGTCATGCGAGACAGGCTAGTTTTATAAAAGTGTAGTCCAAGACCTGTTAGGAAATATGTTGAATGAATTCATTTGTCACTCGCTTTCTTATATTAGAAAATGGCACAAGACGAGGATGAGAATTGCCAAACTGGCGTTATACTTCAAGGATGCCTTGGACACCCAACGCCGCAATTAGTAGCATTAACGTTTATCTTCCTTTGATAAATATTCATTACCACATTGTAGTTGGAGTTTCTGCTTGACGTCCTATCTTCCCAGATTTTGCCCCAAAATTTTTCTTTGTTGTTGAGGCTCTCTTCAAGTATATTTGGTCAAGAGCTTAATCATGAGATGAGATTTGTTGTGCTATAGACTCTTAATCGTCTCGGCAACCTGACGATGGAGAGTATAATTAAACTAATTTCCAAGTATATGGTTTAATTAGCAGCGTGAATATTCAGAGGTTGGTTTATTAATTCATCGCGTGGAATGAGTAGACCCTTGCATCGGAGATCTCATGTGGTGACGTCACGCGATTTGGGATCGAAGATGGTTGCGATTATTGAGATTTTCAAAATCAGGAATTGACCAAGAACCGATTGCTACAAAAGCCCAGGAATCCGATCTCAAGCTGTTTTGGGCAGGCATCTCTGTTCTAGTCACAATATTCCATATGAAACCTTCTCCTTCCAACCCCGTGGTCCTATACTGGCACCGAACCGATCTGCGCCTCCACGATTCACCAGCACTCCACGCTGCATTGGCCTTGAAGCCTGCCGTTTTTATTCCGGTCTGGACCTGGGATCCTCACTATGTTTACCGGGCTCGCGTTGGGCCGAATCGCTGGAAGTTTCTTCTTGAATGCCAGAGTGATCTGTCTCAGTCCTATAGCAAACTGAACCCGAAACAAAAGCTCTGGCTTGTGCGCGAGGCACCGCAAACAGTCTTGCCCAAGCTCTGGAAACAATGGCAAGTGACCCATCTCGTGTTCGAGAATGACACCGACGCCTACGCCCGAGATCGCGACAATGAAGTAGCCCGTCTGGCCGAAGATGCAGGCGTCGAAGTCATTGTCAGAATGGGTCGCAACCTATTCGATCCTGATCATCTTGTTCGAAAGAATGGCGGCAAGCCAACTATGAGTATGACGCAAGTCCAAAAGGCCGCTGAGAAAATCAACAACGGACAGCCGGAAAAGCCGCTTGAGTCGCCTACCAGCATTCCCGATCCCTGGGACGAGGGCAAGATGGACCTCAGCAATCTTCAGCAGGACATGGCGGACGCCAACCTAGATCTTAATGCCGTTCACCGCACAACCAGCGACAAGCAGTATTCACATATCATGGGACCACAAAAGAACTTTTCGGTTCCCACGATGGAGGAAATTGGCATTGATCCTTCGCAGGCTGAATCACCCCATCGGGGTGGAGAGACAGCGGCACTGAATCTTCTGGGCAGCCACATCCAGAACGAGGAGTATGTCGGTACATTCGAGAAACCCAATACCTCCCCGGCAGCCTTTGAACCGCAGTCCACGACACTGCTCTCTCCACATTTACACTTTGGATCCTTGTCAGTGCGGAAGTTTTGGTGGGATGTGCAATCCGTTCTGGAAAAGCGAAAGAAGCAAAAGAAAAACAATTCGTCAATTCCCACCAATATCCCAGGCCAGCTGCTGTTCCGCGACATGTACTTTGCCGCCCAGGCAGCTATTGGCCATCGTTTTGCTCGGACGTATGGAAACCCAGTTATCAGATTTATTGACTGGCACTTGCAATCAAGCGATCCCCAAGGCAATGATTCAGAGAATGAGAATTACCACAAAGACTCAGACGAAGCGGAAATCTGGTTCCAACGCTGGAAGGAAGGACGAACAGGATTTCCATGGATTGATGCATTAATGCGGCAGCTAAGACGCGAGGGGTGGATTCATCATCTCGGAAGACATAGCGTGGCATGCTTCTTAACTCGGGGAGGTTGCTACGTGAGCTGGGAGCGAGGCGCCGAAGTATTCGAGGAACTACTTCTGGACCGTGAGTTTTCTTTTGCATTGACAGTGGGTATTCATAATTTAACAGAGAAACCAGATGAAACTGCCTGTAATGTGGGCAATTGGATGTGGCTGTCTTGCACAGCATTCTTTTCCCAGTTCTATCGCTGCTACTCACCAGTGGCATTCGGCAAAAAGTGGGATCCCGAGGGTCTTTTCATCCGGCATCACTGCCCGGAGCTATCTCAGTTTGACAAGAAGTATATCTATGAGCCCTGGAAAGCCCCCATAGCAGACCAGAAGAAATGGGGATGTCGTGTGACTGGGGATGGCACCGACTCGGTCCAGCATGGGAAGGTATATCCGAAGCCGATGTTTGATTTTGATAAGCGGCGGCAGATATGTCTCGACAGCATGAAGAATGCATATGACGTTGGCTTGCACGGAGACGATGAGGAAGTGAAGAGTGGTGCATGGAAAGAAAGGTTCGGGTGGCTGGATAACAGTGAAAATCAGGGGAAGAAACCAAGCAAGAGACAGAAGACAGATTGAAGAAAACATTATTAGGTCACTAAGACGAAAAGTACGAAAATGACCTCGGGGGGCAGTCTATACTGCGATAATAACCACAGATCTATTTCAATCCCACCCATTTCAATGATAGCAGCCATAGCGAGTGCCTCCCTCCGGAATAACATCGCAGGGAATACGACTCCTGCAATCCTGACACCCGTTCAAGGTGATATGACACCCATTATCAAGGTAAGTCGAGCCGCACTCTTCAACATGATCAGTCTGGTACATATTCTCAACACTGCACGGAAGATTAGCAAAAGAATTCCCGGAAAAGATCACATACAAGCCAAAAAAGGAAAAGCAAAAGGAAAAGAGAGAGAACTTGCGCTTGCTTGATTTGGCCACCCGTGAGACCAATGTTGTAATTGTCGCACCGGAACATCGCGGTGCAGCCATTGTTTGCGAAAGGCAGCCAATTGACAGGGTCGGCGTCGCCGGCCGAGGCGACGTAGGATGTTTCGCCCTTGTACAGGAAGTCATCCACATACTGCCGATATGCCCGTTTACAAGCCCCCGAGAGATTCTTGCAGAGCGAAGAACCCTTGTTGTTGCCGTCGGTCTCGTGTGGCATGGGTGGTGCCTTGGGTGTAGGCGTAGTCGCACCATTGTCTTCGCCGAGGATAAGTGGGTTTTCGGGGTATTTGCCATTCTCAATGATATAGGTCTGGTCGCCTTGGGTGTAGGTACCACCGTAGTTTCGATTCTGGTTGATACAGGTATCCTGGATGGCTTGGAAGGCCTTCTTGCAGTGGGTCAGGGCTACGGCACTGCTGCTTCGGATAACGGTGACTGCCAAGTCGCCATGACTGAACACCTGGTGGGTGGAGTCGCCGGAGCCACTGTTGAAAGTTCCATTGCAGGCATATCGGAGGGTGTTTTTCGCGTTGAGCGCATTCACCACGTCAGATGGCAGTGGTCCATCTGTTGGGATGTTCTGCTGGCAGTTCAGAGTCGGACTGGAGGCAAAAGAGGATGATGAGGCCGAAGATGCTGCCGACGACATAGAGGAAGCTGAAAAAGAGCTTGAAGGGGTAGGTAATGGTGAGGTGGTTGGCGTATCCTTGACCCGCGTGGAGGATTTACTTAGCTTGGCGGACACAGGGAGAGACCCAGATAAAGGTGGATTGGTCGTCAAACCGCCGACAGTATTAGCAGTCAAAGTGCCAACATCGTAGGTGATTGTAATGGAGATAGACGTCTTCGCGGAACGACTCCTTGACTGGCTAGAAAAAGATGATGATGCCGACGTCTGTGACGGAGACTGAGACAGGGGTGGCGAGGAAGACCACGACGAAGATGCGGACGATTTAGAAGACAACAAAGCAGAGGATGGGGAAGATGAATGTGAAGAGGACGGGTCATCATCGCCTTTCTCATCGTCATCTTTGCCATCATCCATTTTCGAAATTTTATCAGGTGCAGGGAAAAGGTCTGGCGTCAACCAGGCTGGCACGTCACCCAGAGGAATCACCATACCACCTGTCGAGTCAACTACCACCGGGGTTTGAACACCTCCAATGTTCAAGGTCATCGGGAGCAGACTGCCTTCTGGGACGGACGGCAGGTGACCTTTCAGATCCGACGGGATATCTTGCTTGACGAAGGTCACCGATTCCGAGGAGTCCTGGGGGTTGCTGACCACTCCCTTGGCGGAGCTATCCGTTGGTGTAGATAGTGTATCGATTGAAACCGAGGTCGCGGTCACAGTAGTTGATGCGACAGACTCTGAGGCGGGCGTGAGCGAACCTGGGCTCCCGGTTGGAGCTGCTGAGTTGCCCCAAGAGGAGTTGGATGCATTGCCCGTAGCAGGCCTATTCGATGAATAACCTGAAGATGAACCCGATGAGAGTGCAGACGACGTATTGTCTGCGGAGGGGCTGTTTGCACCGCCTGCGGAAGAACGGCCCGGGGACGATGAGGACGACGCATTATCTGTGATAGGAGGATTTGCAGGAGATTCTGAAGAGCTGGAAAAGCCCCTAGATAAATACTCCGAATTCACTAGCCTTTGGGAATTTGCCACGGGGATTGCAGAGGGCGATTTTGTACCCGTGCTGCGATTCTGCCCCGGGGCTTTGGATGTCGTCGAGGAACCAGCGGCAACAGGAACTACAGGTTGAGTAGTTCTTGACGCAGAGTATCCTGGAGGTGGAATCGACTGCACAGAGCTGGGCCCGGGCAGCCGTCGATTCGAAGAAATAAAACTTGCTGCACTTGAAGGCAACGCTTGCAAAAGCAGAGCGCTACACAAAGCCACGGATACCCAGGTCATACTCGAAATAGAAAAGGAGATTGTAACAGAGAGTATACTTGCAGTCCAGGAAACAAGTCAAGGACGACAGGCAGTTAACAGTAAGTCTTCAGCGGCGAAAGATCATCCCGCGTACAGAGGATTTAGAGCCGTGGAGAACGTTCGTGACAATCAATATTCATGGATCCATTTGCCCATTCGAGTAACGACGATCGCGGGGCACCAGCCAACCATGTGCCTTCGGGCCGAGGAATAGTGGAGCTGAGGCTGTGGTTCCTGGCCCTAAAACCGGCATGCCGGATGGGGGCCGTTGCTAGTGGACCCTTCATCTGCCATCTTTCTCACGCTGGGCCACTCACGTAGTCGAAATGCTGGAGTCTGGCTGAGTAGATTCTTCGATGCCGAGACACCCTTGCATCACCCACGGGACTTGACCGAACCTGCGGTGTATTCGGTGACCGGTTGAGTATATGGCTGATTGATCTAAAAAAAAAATGGTTCCGATTCTGATAGTGGTCGCTTCTTTTCGATTGTTTTATTATCACCGGGTTCATCTTCTATAATCCCCCCTGCTGGGTGTGCACCTGAAGGTGTCAACTCCTTACAATCATGCTGGCACATACTATCCTGGTGTCTCTCGCGGGGCTTGCACTCGCGGTCCCCTTTCCAGATTCCAATCATCATGTCGCTCCACGAGCAAAGCGTGATGACACTGCTATCATCGCCAGTAAATGTGATTCACCGTGCGAGATACGGTTTTCGGCTATCACGACCACCATGACCGTATCCGCGCCGCCGCAGACCATGAACATTGACGGCATTGACCACCCAGTCACGGTAACATTCACGCCAGTGACCACGGCCACCACGCTTCAACCAGTTGCCAAAACAGTGGAAAACACCGATCCGGCAGCGACGCCAACCATCTCCGTCGATGCAGTGAACTTGGGGTCCGTGACTCTGTTCGGCTCCGCATACAATTATAACTGGAACGTGGCCGCGCACGCGCAAATGTACACCTCGCCGCATCCATACGTTCTGGCCAACAGCATGAATCCATACCACCTCGACAGCAATTGCGCCTTTGTCACAATGGCCAAGCTGATGAACATGGGTTTACACCCTTTCTTGAACATGATTGGCATGATGCAAAACGCCGACCATGGCATCAGCACAACTGAACTCAAGCAAGCTTTGAGTGAAATCAGATTGCACGGAAACTTTATGACTTGGTATGTCCTCACATTGGCCCTTTCCGCTTCGTGAGTCTCTTTCCGCGGATGGCTGACTCTAGACTTGACGCACAGGTACGAGGAGATTGAATCTGGTGACACTCGGACCGACCTCGAGCACAAGATTCCCTCGCCCGATCGATTGCTGGGGGTGGGGTATATGCGGAATGATGGAAACGGACACGTTGTCGTTTATGACAAGCTATACAGGAAATTTTTTGATTACCAGAGCAGCGACAGGCCATCGGGTGTGTTGAAAGATGGAAATGGTCAGGATATCGAGGACTTGATGCAACCAAGACCCTTGGGGGGTGGCCATTGGGCGACTGGATTTGTGTTTGGCATAGAATGAGTGGTCTCATGTACGTTGCACATTGCATGAGAATTCTATATGGATCAGCCGTTTGATGAAACAATGCTCAACGCGGCGTGGCATAAAGCCAAGAAGCTCATGAGTGTGGTGCTGGTGCGGTCAAAAACACACGTTGAGACTTTGTTCCGAGTAATGGCGAGCTATTCTGCTTCAGGAAGGTCTGGCCGATGGAGGAGTATCCGTGGGGATTCAATCCACGCATTACCCAATAATTTCTACGTGGTGTAGGTACCGGCCCGGGAGTTTTCCTGCTCATCAACAGCTTTCGTCATTCGGCTCCATATTTTCCAAGCTTCAGTCTCGGGCGGGTCAAAGGTGTTCTCTGTGCGATTCCCACTCCACCAAACCCCACACAGCAATTCGCTCACATTTTCTCTTGCACTCGCTGTGGATATGAACAACGCGGGGGAGGGGCTCTGTACCGGCCCGGCGAATTGCGGGGACCCCACGGAGAAAAGCCGGGGGAGGGAAGCGTGTTTACATGCTGAAGCTATACATCTTAAATGATGCCATGCAAGCAAGACTTGCTTTTATTCTTTCGTCTTGCCCTTCCACTATCTCGTTCTTTCCGGATCATCTTTTTCCTTCGCCAAATAACCAGAGATGGGCCCCGACGATGAGGTCACCAGTACACACAATCATATTGAAGATTCTCATTCGGGGAGTCCAAGGCACAGCCGCCAAAATGAGCGTGACGTTGATGCCGAAAAGCACGCCGGTCATGAACCGAACGAATTGCCAGACTTGAAAAGGAGGCTCAAAAGCCGACACCTGCAGATGATTGCAATTGGTAAGGCGGATCAACCACAGCAATCAATATATCAGCCACGCCCTTACTGACTTCTATATAGGGGGTACCATAGGAACCGGCCTCTTCATTGGCAGTGAGACAGCAATCGCCAACGCAGGTCCCGTCGGCGCTCTCATTGCATATATTTTTGTCGGCTCCCTTGTCTATTCAGTCATGACCGCGCTGGGAGAAGTCGCGACATATCTTCCCATCCCGGGAGCTTTTGCTTCATATGCCGCACGATTGGTCGATCCCAGCCTCGGATTCGCGATGGGCTGGATATACTGGTTCTCGTGGGCATCGACCTTTGCTCTAGAATTAACCGCGACCGGTCTCATTATACAATACTGGAACGAGACCATTCCGATTGCGATCTTCATTGCTATCTTCTGGGTGCTCATTATCATTCTGAATATGCTACCGGTCAGCTTCTTTGGCGAAGCAGAGTTCTGGATGTCAGCCATCAAGGTTATCACTGTCATTGGATTCATGATTTTCGCTATTTGCATGAACGCAGGAACGGGCAAGGAAGGGTATATCGGGTTTCGGTATTGGGTGCATCCCGGCCCATTCAACGCATATCTGATTGAGGATGAGAGCAAGACTGCCATCGCCAAATTTGTTGGATTTTGGGCTGTTCTGATCAAAGCCGGGTTCTCATACCAGGGCACCGAGCTCGTCGGTATAGCTGCGGGTGAAACCGAGAATCCGGGCAAAGCTATTCCGTCGGCGATCCGCAAAACATTCTTTCGAATTGTGTTTTTCTTTATTTTGACGATTTTCTTTATCGGAATCGTCGTCCCATCCTCGGATGAGCGTCTTACCGCCAGTGAAGGCAGCGGTGCCAGTGCCAACAATGCGAATTCGTCACCCTTCGTTATCGCTGCAAAACGTGCCGGCGTCAATGTGCTATCGAGCATAATTAATGCCGTGCTGTTGACTGTCGTTCTTTCTGCTGCTAACTCCAATGTCTACAGCGGCAGCCGCATTTTGGTCGGATTAGCCCACGAGGGCTTCGCGCCGCCTTTCTTCGTGCGAACAACCAAACAAGGTGTCCCTTATTGGAGCGTTGCATTTACCTCTCTTTTCGGGTTGCTAGGCTTCTTGAATGTGTCAAATGCTGGCAGCACGGTCTTCAACTGGCTGCTCCAGATTGCTGGTTTGGCCGGGTTTATCACTTGGTCGTCGCTGAATATCTGCCATCTGGCATTTATGAGGGCGTTGAACGCCCGTGGAATCTCTCGCAATATCCTGCCATACAAGGCAACCTGGCAGCCCTATCTGTCGTGGTATGGTCTTTTCTTCAACATCTTGATCATCATCACGCAGGGATTCACGGCCTTTATTCCAAGGTTTAGTATCACGGACTTCTTTATCAACTACCTCAGTCTCATTTTGTTCACTGTGTTATATATCGGGCACAAAGTGGTTTTCCGGCCGATGTTTGTGCAGCCTCTGGAAGCTGATATTGACACGGGACGCCATGAATTTGAAAACGAATAGAAGACATTAAATGAAGTACGTGACTTCAAAGGCAAATCAGCATCACAGAAAATCTCTAGGATCGAGGTCCTCATAAAGTTTAGCCTCCTCCCACTGCCGGACCAACATCTCCTTCGCGCCCGTGCGCTCGAGTCGAGACGCATCCCACATCACATACCCCCAGTTCTGAGATTTATCCTGCAAGTAATATCCATGGACATTGCTATATGTGTCTTTCCACATCAGTGTCTACGCCAGGGGTGGAAGAGCCACGCCGGAACTAGGGTCCACATCTCCCTGGAAAGGCAGAGGATCTCGCCGTTGCTCCTTTTCGTTTCAAGCCGACAGAGGTATCCGACGACGCTTGTGTTGGGCACTTTCAGACAGGGAATCGTCATCCAGAGCGGCGCTGTGGGGATATGAAATGTACTGTTGCATTGTCGAGACAAGCTGGTCGTGGTCTTTGATGTTGAAAAGGACGGTGTGCAACACCCCGAGACCACGCGCAATGGTTCCTTGTGCAAATTTATGGCTACCCCCTGTGGAATTTTGAATATACAATGAGTGGGATGGAAATGGTGACGGGTATGATGATGCGTAAGGATGCTCACTCACAGCTATTGTCAAAATTGAAAGCGCCGTCGGGGGTTGGCGGTCGCTGCCCATCGAACTTGGGATTATTCTCATTTACATCCCAGGGGGCATCAGGCCCAAAAAGGTTGCCATGAATCTGCAGACGATACAGGGCGCGAACTACCCGCGTCTCTTCCGCCTTGCTCAGAGTGTCACGAGTGAGCGGGCTAACAGACTCTTGAGCGAGATTTGTCAAGGCCCAGTCAGTATACTGCCGAGCGAGAGGTTCAATAATCGAAGAGTGGAATTCCACCATGCTCGCAATATCTTCCTCTGTAACTCGCTTGTCGAGAATTGGAAACTCGTCCAAGGAGTGCTGGTACTGGTAAGAATGAATAAATTCCGTGACAGTTGCACTAGTGTGCTGTTTGGAAAAGTCTTTCATGCCAGACCTGTAAGCAGCAAGAGCGTCAACAGAGACGATGTGCAAGGTTTCCTGGAGGCATGCACGGAGGAGGAATCGACGATCGAGCAGATATTGCTGGTAGAAGACAGGAGACGCACGAATCAGGGCCTTTAGTTCTTGAAGATTCAAGGCAGAAAGAAGAAGGCGGATTTCTGGAGGGAGGTTTTCCAGTAGCATATTCATTATTGGAGTTTTCTCTTTGGCTGTGCACTCCCTGATCTGGGAACTGGTGCTGGTCTGTTCGGATGGGTTGGAGCTCGGGGCGGTTCAAGACTAGCTGCTGGTGTTGCTGTGAGAGGTGTGAGAGGATAAGTTGCTGAATATGCCTTGGAGACTATTGACAGCCGCTTAGACAAATCTTTGAGTTTAGCTAGAAACTTGTTGATTCCAAGCATCTTGGGTAATTAAAGGATTGATTGATGAAGGCGATGATGGCGTGACAGGTAAAACAATAACCAGGCTGAGGAATGGAGAGGTTAGAAGGTAAGCCAGTGATCAAAGTGAATTTGCATCTGGGGTGACCAGAGCCGGGAATGTCCGGTGTAGGGGAGAAGATCAAAGTTCTGGCGAGAGGTAGATGACCACAGGTGAAGGTTTCACGGGGACACTTGACCTCAAGTTTACCCTACCCCCTTAGTTGATTAATTTTCTGTTAAAGCTTGCTTAATGTCTTCGTTTGATTGCCATTCTATTCTTTTTATTCTAATTGATTTTGATTTTGATTTCTAGTGTTGAGAACTACTTCCTTTCTTTTAGTCCCCTCGATTGACGTCACTACAATAACTGTTGTTTAGCCCAGTCCTAACTATCTCTATGGGCAGTTTCAACGCAGATAGTGAGTTTTTCATGGGCTTTTATCGTAGGTCGATACTAATCAACCTCTTTATGAGGAAGTCTATCGATACCTTCTATCAGTGCCATATCAACTTTCAATCCTGTTTTTTAGGTCCTTGAAAGCTAGTTTTGTTGTGTAGACTCCCGTCCAGTAAGTGACTGCTATGCAATCATTTACTTTGACTTGGAATCCTCATCTTTAGTAGGTTTCTTTGGAGAGCAGTACCACTGGAGTCAATAGAAACCGTGGTCAATCACAGAGAACCAGGCTTCCAGTGTTGCCATCCACTTCAAGCCCTTCGAACGCTTCTTTGATTTCAATCGAATCCGTGGCTACCATCAACTTAGTTCACACACGGTCATCAATCTTGAGCAACATCAGCGACGAGCTCTTTGCAGATGACAGACTTGTACAGAACCTTCGAAATTGGTTGAAAACCGTGGATCCCAAAGCCTATCGTCGAGAGCTCCCCTGGGAGCCAAATGTGCAAGCTACCTATAACGAGTAAAAGACACGAGCTGATAACAACGGCATAGCTCATCAAGCCTTTGTGAGATACAGGCACCAAAACCTCAACAACGACACGGTTGAAATCCACCTGGAGCTTGCTAGATTGGCAGTTGTATAGGGGTGAGGCTGCAGGGAGGTATGTAGATATGAGTTTCTCTATATTAACTTCTCTCTAACTTTCTCTTTACTTTGCTGTTGGTCAGTTCTTATTTACTATTACTGACATTGCTGTCTAGTACTGCTGAAGGTCGACTTTCTCTTATCAGAACCTACCGGAATGCTTATAGCTCCACCGCATCGATCAAGAACCATATCGATGAAGGGTGAACGCAATCAAAAGTGGCAAGGCTGCTTTAGGTGATTCAAGACAACACTACAACAGTATGTCTTTCACTACATGACCCAGACTCTCCGCAAGAAGAACGGTGATTTGCTAATATACTAAGAGTAGAAATCTGGGAGACACATGCACGCACTGTCAATTCAGAGGTCTTTTCCTAGGTGCCGGATCAGACTCTTCAAGATGGAAAACAGATTGGCTAGCCTCGGGATCAGCCTCAAGGCACCTGCTCTTTTTGTAATGTTGGATTTCGGAAAATACCCCTCAGAGGACGTGTGAATACTATTCAGTTGAAAATTGCATTTGAATCGCACTTGAAAGAAGTTTCTTAGCACACTGGCGCTCTATATACATACGGCGCTATCGATTTAGGAAGTGGTACGAAAGTAGCTGCCTTATAATGGTATCATTTTACAAAACAAATGCCAGAAGGAGAAGAGTGTTTAAAAAGAGACATATGAACACAATTAAAAAAAAAACACAAAAGAAAAGAAAGCATTTGGTCTAGAAACAGAATAGGATAAATACTGTTATGGAGATCCTGGCTGGTGAGTCACAAAATATCACGAGGGGCTTGCCTTTAATATGTTCACCGGTCGACTTTCTGCATTCCAAACATATGATCGCTAGTGCTCTTTTTCCTCAGGATCCTCCCCGTCATGTCCAAGACATTCTATTCCACTTCCTCTCCGTACGAAGAGTCCATTGGCTACTATCGCGCCGTTCGTCACCACAACCAGATCTTCGTCTCTGGGACTACAGCCGTCGATCCATCTTCATCAACAAAAGCACCCCAGATCCTCTTCCCGGGCGATGCAAAGCAACAAACCCGAGTGGCGCTTGAGGAATGCATCAAGGCCGTTCAAGCCCTAGGTGGCAAAGGAGCCCAGAGTATCGCTCGGGTCAGGATGTTCGTCAGTCACCATGAGCATTGTGCTGCTGTTGGAGAGGGATTCAAGGACATACTAGGGAAGCAGAACCAAGGCGAAAATGACCTTGTCGGCGCGGCGGCTACCATGATTGTGGTACAAGATGGGTTCATCAACAAAGAAATGTTGGTCGAGCTGGAGGTGGATGCTATCGCTGATGAGTCTAGCTAGAATGTATGGCATTCAATCTTCGAATGAACTACCTTGTCTTTGCCTCCATTTAGTGCGCATCTTCATGATGTGGGTCCGAATGCTGAGCACGTAAGATCCACACCTCCATCGATCTCGCATGTGGATCTTCAGCTTGCATTTCATACATGGCACTATCCCCAGCCAAGTATTGATCCGTCATCCAAGTTGTGACGTGTGTCCTCTACCGAAGAGCACCACTTAAGTGCGACTTGGTGAAAAGCAGCGATATCTGCATTTTTCAGACAGGATGTGGATCACGAAATGTATAGCCGAGCACGGTTGATTATTGCGACTATATCTCTGGATAGGAGCTCATGCTCGCATGCTACATGCATGGCAAATCTCGGATTTAATGTCTAGAATACAACTCTGAGCGACAATCCGAGGACCGCTCAGCGTACTTTGCTTCTGTATAGTTCTGGCAGCATCGTTGAATTCCTGAAGGCATTGGTAGAATATAAAGCAAGTCATACCAAGATACAAATCCCAATAGTAGCCCCATTTTCAGCATGTTTCAGTTAGTCTCTGAATCAAAGATATAGAGAGGGTACGACATCCCCACTATACTCCATCGCATATTGGCCGCCTACCATCAACAGGCCCCCACCGCGGCTGGCGTCGGCGCACCCAATCTCACCAGACACGACCACCCACCAGCGCCCTTTTGTCGCTCCCACCAATTCAATCTCGTCCACCAAAAAGAAAAGAAAAAAAAAATGCACCACAAAATCGTCGCCCTGGACGCCTGGCACGTCCCGATCCCCGCAGACTTAGTCCAATTGCTGAATGGCGACACATACGAATTAAAAAGCCACCACACGCGGCCGACATCGACGAAAGATATCCAAGCCAGCGTCAAAGATGCCACCATCATCGCAATCACCGTGTCCCCACTGGACGCAGAAACCTTGTCACCGGAGTGTACGCCCAACCTGCGCCTGGTGCTCGCCGTGGCGTCGGGGACAGACCCCATTGACAAGCAAAAATGCAAAGAGCGAGGCATCCGCGTACTGAACTCGCCGAATGCGAACTCGGATAGCGTGGCCGAGCATGTGCTGGCGTTGTATTTTGCGTCGCGGCGCCGATTGCTGCGAGTGCATAATTCTGTCCTTGGGTCCGATGAGTGGCCCAAGCGGGGGACGCTGACCCATTTGATGAATTCTGTCGATGGGCAGTTGCCGTTGACGTGTAGGGATGAGGTTGTTGGGGTTGTTGGGAATGGTGCTGTTGGTAAGATTGACCTTATTCTCTTTGACTCCAGTTATAAAGATATCTCTGTTCTTGCTAATATTATATTGTCGTTTCTCTGCCGGCAGGCCAACGGGTTGCTGCGCTGTGCCGCGGTCTTGGGATGACCGTCATGATTTCCTCTCGAAAGGGCGCAACAGATGCCAGCAATGCGGATGGCAGAGTCTCATTTACTGAGGTTCTTGCTCGGTCTACCGTCCTGGTTCTATGCGTCCCGCGAAACCCAGACACCGTAGGCCTGCTCTCCACTGCTGAATTTGCTGCCATGTCACCCAAGACGATTCTCATCAATGTCTCTCGAGGAGGCATTGTGGACGAAATCGCCCTCCTTCAGGCTCTGAGAGAAGGGAAACTCTCGGGGGCCGCTACTGATGTGTTCTTGCGCGAGCCCTCCGGTGCAGGACAGCATTGGCAGGAAGGGGACAGTCCTCTTCTGAAACTCGATGCAGCCGAAGCAGACGATTTGAATCTAGTGGTGACACCGCATGTGGCGTGGTACACAACCTCAACTATCAACGGGTACCTGCGCGCCTTCAAGCAAAATATCGAGCACTGGTGTGAAGGGAAGGAAACAAATATAGTTGTATAAAGGGACCGCTCTGCGCCCGCATTTTTTTATTTTATATTAGACAAGAAATAAAGCAAAGAGGAAAGATTCTATAATTTCGTTTTGTGGCCTTGTTCATGACTTTCCAAGGGTGTTGCCGAGCTCCGCGGCTCGGGCTGTTGCCGCCTGCACGGCCTTGTTCACGGTTTCTTGAAAGCCGAGCGACTCGAATGTTTGAAGAGCGGCATGCGTGGTTCCGTTGGGGCTGGTCACGTTCTTGCGCAGCTGACCCGGGCTATCGGACGATTCAACCAGCATCCGGCCAGCACCCTGGCAGGTTTGTGTCGCCAATCGAGTGGCCTGCTCGGCGGGCAATCCCAAAGCAGTGGCGCTGGCGACCAGATGCTCGACCATGGCGAAGAAGTATGCGGGACCAGATCCTGGAAGGGTTTTGGTTAGTGATCTCTTCATAGCCGAGACCATAAAACTCGAGGCCGCAAACTCACCAGACAACCCTGTAACAACATCCAGCAGATCTTCTTTGTCAACCCACTCAGTCGCCTTGCTAACACTGCTAAGCAGCGCATTAACAAGCTCCTTGTCCTCGGCCGTAACATCCTCGCCCGCAAACACACCCGACGCGCCCTCGCCAACGAGCGCAGGTGTATTCGGCATAACACGAACAATATGCGCGGACCGGCCATCACCCGTCCGCAGCCACTCCTTCAAGCTTCCAAGAGTAATACCCGCCGCAATGCTAACAACAACGGGCAACGTCGCGCGCTGCGACCACGCCGCGCCGAGCTCCTCACAAACGCCCTTGGTGACCTGCGGCTTGACGGCGAGAATCACCAGATCGGCATTGCCGCCCGCCTCGATATTCGACGTGGTGGTGCGCACGCCGAGCGCGGCCATCTTCTCGCGGTTAACGTCCCACGGCTCCGACACGTAGATGTTCTGTTTGTTGACGCCGCGGCTGGCGAGGCCGCCGATGATCGCCGAGGCCATGTTGCCGCCGCCAATGAAGGCGAGCTTGCTATCTTGAAGGGCGGGCATTGTGTCGACGAGAGTGATTCAATTGTTAGAGAGAAGCTCGAGGGGAGGGAGAGGGGATCGCGGGCTGAAATAAAAAAGAAGTTCCCACCCCGCGTTGATGGGAGGCGGGGCAGCCCCGAGCTCGGAGACCGGGCCGGTCACTCTTCCGGGTGGGCTATCGCCGGTCTACTTTCATTGCTAGTTTTATACTGTTCGAGATAAAAGAATAAAAACATTGCAAAACGTGGAGGCCACTGGAGGCCATTGTCTCTGTATGTGCTTCTAGCAAAGAAATGCGTTGAAACCCCATTATTCCATGAGGGTTTTGCTCGGCATGGCACGCCAATGTAGTAGGGATAAAGAGAACCCGAAAATACATACAATGTAAAGATTCTTGACCGTAGCTGGGTGAGAGTAGGACTTTTTATACAGAATATAGAGTTGAACATTCAACCCAGCTCCTCGTTGCGCCGCTCAAGTTACCGTGCCCCGATAGACCAACATCCCTTCATCGAAGCAGAAAGCTGGTGATCGGGCCCATAAATATCAAAAATGGCACTGGAGAGGGTACCTATGTAGCCGAGTATCCGTGGCTCTGTCATGATTTTCTTGCACCATGTTCAAGGAGTAATCGAACAGCCGCATGATGTGCAATGCTCTCTGCACAGTACAGCGGAGTTAAGCCATATTTATCTTCAAGGTCGGCATCAGCATAGCCCTCTTCCAGTAAGACCCTGGCAGGTGCTCTGCTACAGTTGAGAAATCAGAAATCGGCTGCAGCAATGTCGAGTCAAAGACCCGATCACGGTTCGCGCCTTCGGGCTTTCAGAGAGGGTCGTGTCTGCAGAAGAAGTAGGCAACGAGAATAGCTCCATCTTGAACATAAAGGAGCAAGTCGTCAATCATGTTTGCCAGCAAAACAAATTTCCCAGACCTGAGCTTGCCAGTATAGATGAGTGTGCAGGACTGGCGGGTCTGAGTCTTCCATTCCACGTACCCAGGGCATTTGCGAAAGATATCTGCATTTCCAGCTTTTCAGATTTGTTTCCACGTCGCCGTGTAGTTATAAGCGGAGCAGAAGTCTAGCACGCGCTGCTTAGTCTGAATCTGCTGAGCATATGAAGTGGATTTGACAAACTTTGTTGAAACTGGCCGGAATCGGGACTTGGCGTCGGATTCGTTTGCAATTCTTTATGCTATCAGGAAGCTGACTTCATCGTTGATCGTGTTTGCCCAGGTGTCAAGCTCTGTCTGGTAGGATTTCGGGTCGGAGTCACTGAGGGTAGACCCGACTTTGCCCAATGTGGACTTTTGGGTAAACTTCAACATGTCATGACACAGGCGGACGACCACTATGAAGTATTCACATAAGGACGACTGCAGATCGCGGGATCGAGGATACAGCAAGGCCAGTTTCTCGTGGCGAGGGGCATGACGACCCACGGCCATGAGCAGCGTCGACAGTTTCTCCAGGTAAGAGAAGAATTTCGTAGCCAAGAGCAGCGAGAGTCGCACGATGGCCTACACGCCGCATGCCAGGAGATTCTGTGAGCCTCCAACAATGATATTCCCCAAGACAGCGAACTGCTGGGCGGCCTGTAGTAGGTTTGTGACCCGGGGTCCCAAACACCGGCTCCCTTTTCTGGTCATACGGTCGATCTCAGCCGTCAGCTGCATGACATCTTGAATACCAGGAAGGGATTCCAGTGCCTTGGATCTGTCAGCACCGAAGCCCGCCTTTTGCCTAGAGGACAGGTCTGCTTTAAAGTGCGAGACGACCTGCGCCAGTCGCACTTCAGGTTTCAGGCGTGACGCCGTCGCTACCGCTTGGGTCATCCTGTCGGGCCCAGATGACGCGCCGTCTGGAATGCGTGGGGTGGGGAAACGGCATCCCCGCAAAAGCTTTGGGTCGACTTTCGGTCGAACCATGCCGGCCCCCGGTCGGTACAATCGGACCTCCCAATCCCGAGTTGCGAGTTGCGAGGCTTGGAAGGACCATGCAGATCGGCTGATATTATAAATCAATGGATCACAACGCAAATAAAACCATGTTAGGGACTAAGATGGTCGGTGATAAGGGTTCCGTGAATGAGGCTATCTCCGACGACCCGAACTATATAAACCTTAACATAACCGCAGGAGACATGGACTACACTCCCACCAGAACATTGAATGCAAAGAAATTGATCACAATGGCCACCCAATCCAAATACCTCTCGAAGCTCGCCGACAAGCGGGTTCTGATTTTGGGAGGAACCTCAGGGATAGGATACGCCGTCGCCGAAGGTGCTTTGGAGCATGGCGCTCACGTCACCATCTCCGGCTCCAATGCCGCCAAACTCGACAAGACCGTAACTCGACTGCGCGAGGCATATCCGTCGCAGACAGCAAAGCAAAGCATCACAACCCACGTCTGCGATCTCTCCGACACTGCCAACCTCGACGCTAATCTGAAAGCGCTGTTCGAGAAGGCCACCGCGGGCGGCACAACCAAGCTCAACCACATTGTCACTACCGCCGGCGACGCCTTGCAAATCCAGCCGCTGTCCGAGATGACGCCAGAAGGTATCTACGCAGCTGGTACCGTGCGAATTGTGGCCCCGATGATGGTGGCCAAGTACATCCCACAATATGTGGAACAATCGCCCGCCAGCTCTTTCACCTTGACGAACGGTGCGCGCGGCCACAAGCCTGCGCCCGGCTGGGCCGTGATCTCTGCGTGGGCCACGGCAGGGGAAGGCCTGGTCCGCGGATTGGGACTGGATCTGAAGCCCGTGCGGGTCAATATCGTATCTCCTGGTGCGGTGGAAACTGAGCTATTCTCGCACTTCGGCAGTGAAGCCGAACAGATTCGGGAGCATTTCCGCAAGAATTCAACGACCGGCACTATTGGTCGCCCAGAGGATCTGGCAGAGAGCTATCTCTACCTCATGAAAACCGAGTTTGCCACGGGTAGTGTTGTTGATGTGAATGGAGGCACGTACTTGGTTTAGGAGCTGACATGAGGGGGATGGGTTGAAGCTATTATATATATCTATCCATGTCCAATCAATGTACCAACCAGATTATATGCCACAATGGAGAAGGCCTTGCCAGGTTTTTGGACAGTCGATGAGCTGGACGTGATCAGCTTGACTATTTTTGCGTGTTTCGCTCCTACCCGGCCCTGGAGGGATAGAGTGCTGAGTAATCTGTCTTACATCCGCTATCTCCGTCCCGCCACAAATTCGACGATTCAATGACACTTGACTTCTGCACTGCACTGTGTCAAGCCTTACGGCCCGCAACAACCCTGCGTCTTCATTTCCTACGCTGCTCTTAGCCAAGGGGCAATATTCCAGTGATTCAAGATGCAGGGGTTCAGTAAGTGCTCCCCTATTTCGCTCGAGAGCACTCCCTGGTAACAAGAGGCTAACATTCTGACTTGACAGATATGGGACGGTTAGTCACAACAAAACGCTTCAACTCCGTACATGCCATCCAGATACTGACACATTGTGCAGCTATGTCCCCCCGGACCAAGAAGGCCTGACGTCGGCCAACAAGCTCGCCGGCAAGCACGCGCTCGGAGCGCGGGCCCGCCACCTCCATACAACCGGCGCGCTGATCGTCCGGTTCGAGATGCCATTCGCCGTGTGGTGCACAACATGCAAGCCACACGAGACGCTGATCGGGCAGGGCGTGCGGTTCAACGCCGAGAAAAAGAAAGTCGGGAACTACTATTCCACCCCCGTATACAGCTTCCGCATGAAGCACACCGCGTGTGGCGGGTGGATTGAGATCCGAACGGACCCGCAAAACACGGCGTATGTGGTTTTCGAGGGCGGGAGGAAACGAGATACCGGGGAGACGAAGGAGTTGCAGCCGGGGGAGATTGCCATCCGACCCTATGGCATGGGAGAGCAAGGCCCCGCCGAAAAGGACGCGTTTTCTAAGCTCGAGGGCAAGGTCGTTGATAAGCGTCGTGCGGAGACGGAAACCACTCGGATTTTGGAATTGCAGAAACGCCAGAATCGGGACTGGGACGACCCCTACGAGAAGTCCAGGCGTTTGCGGCGCGCGTTTCGTACTGAGAGAAAAGGTCTCGAGAAGGCGGATGCCAACCGTGAGGCCTTGAAGGACAAAATGAGCCTAGGGATTGATTTGGTCGATGAGACTGAGGAGGATCGCCAGCGAGCTGGGCTGGTTGATTTCGGGGATGATCAGACTGCCGCGGGAGAGCAGGCTGCGCGGACTACTCGCGTTCGGCCCATGTTTGAGCAACGGACTCAGACAGCTATCCCCGATTCCCGATCACGCGACAAGCACAAAAGCTCTTCCCGGGTACATCGCACAGAGGGTTTGATCGCACGGCGCAAAGCCAGCCTTCGCCATGAGCTGGCTGGGAATACTCGCGCGGCAGTTGACCCTTTCCTGGCGGATGTGGCCGATGAGCAAAATGCATGGCAGCCGGAGATAAAAAGGAGGAAGACAGATTCTCCTCTGATCACTGGCTCTGCTAGGGATCTCAAGAATCTCACTGCCAACACCACTGCTACCGATTCATCGACAGGAAATACCTCCGTATTGAATTCACCAGACGTGGGACTGGCCGATGGTACTAAAGGGTCGTCGACTGCGGCAACACCAACAGCACTGGTGGACTATACTTCTGATACCGATTGACTGCACGCTTCCATACTTTTTCTACGTTTATGTTGATATTTTATGATACCCGCATTGGCAACTGCTGATTCCTCTCTGGAGGTGACATCCACCGAGCTGTCCCCAGGTTGGTCTCGCATTTTGAATATACTATATACCATACACAAGAACAAGAACAAGACCAGCTTTCTCATTTAGACTTCCGCTCATCCGTCATTTTATGGGGCCGAACACAACAAATTGCTCGGTCAAGCAGTTTTGACATGGTGATAATAACAACTTACATTTTTCAAGTACCTAAGACATGATCAGTTTGGTCATTTATCCTGGTTTCGTCCACGGCGCATTGGTGTGCAAATCACCAGTCGATCCAGCCGGGGCTGTCGCTGATGCCCGAGGAGCTTTGGTAGAACCCAGGGGCCCGGGCTGTGGCCTTGAAATCCCTGTGGGTGTCCTTGCTGGACCACCTAAGGTAGATGTCGGAGGGCCTTCTCGTCTAGTGGCAGCCCAGGGGGCGGCAGTTGGTCCCATCGGAGGAGCTGCTCGTGTCTCGGGTCCTGCACTTGTCCAGGGAGCTTTGGTTCCAGCACCGGGCACAGGCCGTGGGGTAGCTGATGCGGGACCGGATTCTGGGGCAACAGGCCGCGCCTGTGGGCCGGATTTTGTATGGGCGGTTGCCGGAGGACGTATGGCGCTGGGATCCTGCTCCCAGCTGAAAAGTGACCCGAATGGGAAGTGCTGCACAACAGGGAACTTGGACAGAACCTCTGCATTGTACATTTTAAGCATTCCCTGGTAGTATCCAAAATCAGCCCTGTACATTTATCACTCTTGCTCGATCAATCACCAACTTTATTGATTTTCCCCCATCCGGCTCGAATGCCCGAGATATCATACAGCATGGGACTGTGCTCCCAAAAGGGCCCCTTTTTCACATCATTGATAAATCCGATGGCTGAGAAGTAGAGGTTCGTTTCCCTCTCTCGTTCCACGATGTTGGCTTTGACGACTCCGCCCGGGTCAGGTGCATCGGGTAATGAGCCCTCTTCTGGGGTAAGGTCGGTGTCGTTGATCGCCGGGGAAAACTGCGCAGAACCGAAGATGTATGGGACAAAGGAGTGATCATCGAGTCCCCAGACTCCGTGTGAGCCTGCAGGCTCGAGAGTGTACGTTTTGATTAGAGATCTCACGAGGTTCAAATACCTAGATAGCGGCGTCAGAAATAATTAGCAACAAGGAGGGAGGGGGTTCCAATATACATACGGTTGGATTACCCCGAGCACGATAGCTCTCTCCTCGACACCAGGCTCGCTCTTTGAAAACCCATTTAGTTTCCAGAGAGCACCCAGAAAAGCCAAAAAGCTCAGTTCATGTCCTGTCCCATAATCCAACCTTTGTGCACTGCCCCAACTGCCGAGGAAATATGCCTTCAGTTCCGCCTCCGCTGTGAGACCCTCTGCATCTGCTGTCCGCGCTTGCAAAACTTCAGTCGAGAGGGTCTCTTTCAGCAGATCAGACACCCGATCCTCCACAATCTCATACCATCGACGAAAACTGATATTTCCGAACCGTCGTGGACCGGTGTCGGGCGGGGCTTCCTTCATCATATCCTCAAGTTTCGCAAGCAGCTGTTGCAGCTGGCGGACCGGTGTAGAAAACTGCACCGCATCGGTATTCAAGGGCCAGGTTTGTGTAGATCCATCGGGGAGTTTTGTAGGAAACATCGATCGATTTAGTTGTAATAAAAAGGTCATAATATCGGTATAAGCTCGTGAAGTCAAGAAGGCGGACACATCGTGCGATTCGTTGATCTTCTTGCTAGGTTCGACGAAGCGATGCCCGACAGGCAAGTCCATTGTAGGTAGAATCCGAACTGTATTGCTTTGTGTGGTCATTCTGGCAAGGTATACTGGAGAAAAGAAAAGCAAGGTGAGGCAGGCCAGAGGGCGGCTGCAAAGCGACGCGGGACGCGGTGGGGCCGACCTTAGCTCCTCCAAACCTCCTAAGTGACGCAACGAGATCGACCACTTCTCTTGCTTCACTTTTCCTTGACTGTTCAATTGCAAAAATGGCCCGCAAGCGAAAGACTCTTCAATCTACCTCGCACGCCGTCGATCTCCTCAATGACCTGAACAGACCTGGCGTGCAGAAAAGGAGACATACTACCCACGACACGACCGTGAACACTACGCCAGACCCGCCAGCAAAACGCTCCCTGAGGCCCCGGCCGAGTGATCTTAAGCCTCTCAGTGCCAGCTCGCCACACACGGTCAACAATCAATTAACGCGGCAGCAGAACGAGTCCGACGGGGAAAGCGACGCGCAGTCTTCCGGTGATGAACCACACGAGGAGTCAGAGGACTCAGAGGAACCAGATGAGGGGGAACAGGAAGAATCAGGACAATCAGGTGTCTCAGAGGAGGAACCCTTAGCAACCCATAATGATGACAATGATGACAATGGACAAGGGGAATCCCACGAGGAGGTAGACAACGACAGGGCCAAAAATTCAGAGGATTCGTCGCCATTGAATCTCTTCTCGGACGGAGCCTCGCAATCCTTACCTCACGGTTCGCCCGATTCTCAGAGGCAGCACGCTCCCGCCATCGGCCAAGTGGAAGTTGTCATTTCAAACTCAACTCGGGACTACCAGAAGGATAGTGGAAATACACAGAACCCGGTGGACAACGATACGAGGCACTCGCAGCTGTCTTCGCCGACTCCCAGTCGTAACCAATGGCCCAGCGCAAACCACAGTCTAGAACCCCATGTCCCAGAGGCACCGCAGACCCAACTATCTCCAACTAACCCCGAAGGGCCAGATAACTCCATTCACGCATGGTTCCTGGAGGCCATCTCCGGCTCTCAGCAAGAGAGCAACTGGAAAGAGCTCCCTGAAAAATCAAAGACGTTGCGACGGCGCGTTCGAAAACGGATGAAGAGGCACTTTCAAGGTTGCACCATAATAATCAAGGAATGGCGGAGACTCTACAAGAACCTGGCCGATCTATTACCCTCGGAGTCGCGGCGAATAGGCAGTATGCTACCCGATTTTGTCAGCCTCGGCGAAGCAATCTACACTGAATCCCGCCGTATTTTCGAATATGCGGCCGAGGTGGCCGATGATGAGAATGGTTCGGACTTGATCAATCAATATGAGGCCTATGTCATCACAAAAATCATTACTGTGGTCATGGTCGCCTTCAAAGCCTTCAAATTGTTGGGACAACCGGGAAAGCGTCATTTACGGGTAGCTCTGGACATGCTCTTGAAATGCTGCGATCGAGTCCTTGATCTACAGAAGTCAAAATGTCTTATTCGGTATCAGGGCTGTCCCAATACCCTGGCTACATCTCGGTCCCTTCGGCTACCTCTGAGACGCATCATGGCGGCCCTAGACGCTGGCGAGTTGGACGACCCACGCGAACAGGATGTCAAGGCGGAATCTCTCATAGAACGCCTTCCAAGTACTTTGCCGACACAACCAAGGTGGACACAAAGCGAGGAACATGCACTCATTGCTGGGCTAAGGGAGTTTCGAGGTGAGCGCTTTCTTGTTCTTATGGGGCACACCACGCCTACTTTCCTAAGCCCCAGCATTGACGGTTCATGTAGGGTCTAACCGATGGGTCAAAATCAAGCGTTACTATGGTCTTCGACTAACGCGGTGGACTCTGTCAGATCTCCAGCACAAAGCAGAGGAATTCCGATAAGAGCAAGAGAGGTTTTTGTTTTACTGATGGGCGTGGAACTGGCGTTACTTCTTTCTGGCGATCACGGTGGCTCCGACGGCATTATACCCTTTTTCTCGACGCTGGGCACTTTCTTTGACTTGGATGTGGCAGGTTTCTTGTGGTTCGCGGCAGCCGAACCATGGATGCGCTTGTTTTGGTGGACGCGGGTTCGGTGATCCTCTGAAGCTGCAAAGAACTTAAGAGGGTTCGTTCCATGGCATTACATTTCATGTAGATCATACAAGGCAATATTTTGAGCCCAACCGATCAAGTTTGAGTCCTGATTGACTCGGCCAAATGCATTCTTTTTGTGTCGTTGTGTAGTTGTGTAGTTTTATAGTTTTTGTAGTATACGGGACAGGGACAGCACACCAAAAACAAGATTATATGCACCATCGAAGAACCTCGGGTACCAACATTCTTTTGAAAAAAGAAAAAATAAATAAACGAACAAGATAGGTTTCTCCAGCCTCTATCCAAGCTGGTCAGACAGGGTGTTAGACACGTTCTACACCCCGTGGGCCATGGAGCAGCGACGATCTCCCCCTCCACGACACCGCTTTCTCTTTTTCCTTCCTCCTTTTCTCTTCGGCTCCCCTCTGCTTTGCCGCGGTTCTTTCCCTCTGCTTTTCCCTCTTTATTTTTCTGCTTCTTCTATTTTATAATTCCCTCCGACGGTGCAAATTGTTGGGTGAGCTTCGACGCCTCGACGTCTCCGTGTTCAAGCCCCTGAAGCTCTCCTGCAGCTCTACGCGACGCGTGAGTACAACCCCGGTTCTCCGCTCAATACTTCATAGACAAAAGAACATTTCCCATCTCCCAAGAGACATTGCTGTGGCATCTGTGTAATCCAATTGGTCGTCTCTGCCATGCTTGCAGTTGGATTGTCTCATGCGTGCAGGAGACTGCCGTAGCTTGCCGCGCGTTGGCACTTTGTCGCATCGAGCTCCCACCACGGAGTCAATGGATTGGCATAAAGCAGCTGTTCATGCACTCGATACTGTTGCTCGCTTTCAAGGGTTGCAATTTGGACTTGCAATATCATGCGCGAACCTCATATATTTGACCGGCGGAACGCTAATGGATTTTTTCCCCTCCCAGGCCCCTTTTCTATACACCTCATTTGCCTATACTTTGCCCTATAGTCAGCACTCGGTGTTTCTCTCCCTGGCCGCATACATTAATTGGACTTGATCAGCATGGCATCCACTGAGGAACCTGTCCCTGTCCCTGCTGACATCCCCGCCGATGATGTCGAAAACGCGCCCCCGGCAACTCCGGTGGAGTCAACCGTGCTCTCCGGTAGTGAAGACGTCGCCAGGTCCAGCCCGGAGGCTTCGAAGGAAAATGTAAAGACCTCTCCTTCCAAGACTAGCCCCGGCGCTACTACGACCTCCAAGCGGCCAGGATCGGGGACGGCAACTGCGAAACGGCCCACGTCTTCGTCGACTACGTCCAAGACCCCGGCCTCCTCAACCACACGTAGCACGACTAGTTCCAGCACGCTGAGCAAGCCTCCCACGCGCCCGACAACTACATCGGCTACGCGGAAGCCTTTGAGCACCTCGACTACTTCGTCTCATCGGTCCCGGGCCTCCGTCAGCAGCTCCGCGGACGAGAAGCGATCCTTGGCAAGCTCCGGGGATGAGAAGCGTGGAATTTCGAGCACGGCCAAACGCATGTCGATGGCGGGAACGACTTCCACTCGCGCCCCGTTGAAGTCGGCGTCTACGCTTGACCGGAGATCAAGTGTGGCCGGTTCCGCCACCGAGAAAAAGACGACCCCTACCACTACTTCCCGCGCCACAACGTCCACCACCAGGCCGGTGAGCAAGCCAACTTTGTCGGCGACGCCCGCTAGCCGAACGACTACGTCCACCACTAGCCGGACTGCCACTCGGCCGACGTCAACCACCTCTGCTGCCAGGCCTTCTACCGCGTCTGCATCGGATCCGAAAAAGCGATTGAGCACTCTCGGTGCTTCTTCAGCTGCGCGCAGTGCGGAGGGTTCAGAAAAGTTGCAATCCCTCCAGACGAAGCTCTCGGAGAGCGAGGAAACCATTTCCAACCTCAAGGCCGAGCTGGAGACTGTCACTGAGAAGCTTGGCCAAGTTTCTGTGTCTGGCGGGGATTCGGCCAAAGATGGCACTCCCAGTGAAACCATCCGCGCGGAGCACGCCGCTGAGATCGAGAACTTGACCGCTTCTCATACAGAGGAGCTCCAGTCCCTGCAGGCCCGACTGGAGGAGGCCGAGGCTCAGCGGAAAGAGCTGGAAGAAAAGTCCAACAAAGACCTCGAGGACGCCAAACAGTCTGCCGTGGCCCAAGGAGACGACAAGACGGCGGCGGTGCTCGACAAACTCAAGGAATCGCACAGGGTCGAGCTGGAAGCCCTCGAGAAGGAACTGTCGGAGCACAAAACCGCTGCAGCTTCTTTCCAGGAACATATCAACGCCTTGAAGACGGAGCTTGAATCTCAAAAGTCTGGTCTGGAAGAGGAAAAGGACACTGCCGTGAACAATATTGAACGAGAGCTGAAGGGACGTGACCAAGTAATTGAGAATCTCAACACGGAGATGACCAAGTTGAATGCTTCCAAGGAGCAAGCCGTTCAAGCGGCCGAGGAATCTGCGAGGCAGTCCGTTTCTGGGCTTGAGGAGAAGATCACATCCCTGGAGGCAAAACTGGCGGAGGCTGAATCTGCCACCCAGCAAAGCTCCGAGCAAACCACCACATCCCTCGCGGATAAGGACCAGGAGATCGTCGACCTTAAACAGGCCGCCGAGAAACTGCAAAGCGAGCTTCAGGAAGCACGCGACGCCGCCGCAAATGACCTGGATGGCAAGGTCAAGGATCTCCAGTCTGCTCATGAAATCGCCATTGCCAACCTTAAGGGGGAGCACGATGCTGCTTTGAGCTCCCTTTCGACCTCGCATGCAGAGGAGCTTACTATCGCCAAGGCCGCGGCGGAATCCACGGGGACGGAACATTCTCAGCAGCTTCAAGAGCTTCGTGATGCACTGGATGCATCCAAGGCCACTGCCCAGAAAGGCCAGGATGACGCTCTTGCCGAATTGAAAGCAGCACACGAAGCAGAATTGAAGTCCCTGCAGGAGAAGCTTGATGCCTCGGAAAAGTCTCTTGGCGAATCTCGCCAGGCCCTAGATGAGGGCCATGCTTCCGCGCAGGAGGTGGCTATTCAGGAGATCGAGGCCCTCCGCCAGAAGGTCGAATTCCTTGAGTCACAGTTGTCCACTGGCACTGGAGAAATCAAGGCCCTTCAAGAGGAAGTGCGCAGCAAGCAGGCCGAGGCCGAGGCACTGCACCACAGTTTGAGAAATGTCGAGGATATCTCCAAATCCAAGGATGTCGAGCAAGATGGCAAACTGAAGGCGTTGGAGGACAAGGCTGCGGAAGCGACTCGTCTCCTTGAAGAACACACAGCTCAGGCAGTCGGTGTCTCAGAGAAGCATAAGCAATCCCTGGAGGCGTTAAAGGCCGAGCATGCCGCCGAGTTGGAGAAGGTCAAGGCCGATGCTTCAGGCTCTCACGAAAGCGCATTGGGCGACCTTCAGCTGAAGCACGACGAGCTTGTCGCCAAGATCCAGGAACTGGAGTCCGGCCACGCAACTCGCGTTGAGGCCCTTGAGGCTGAATTGAAGTCGACCTTGGAGCGTCATTCCGGTGAAATCGCCGGTCACCATGAATCTCGTGAGAAGGAAACCGCCGAACTTCAACAACAGTTTGGGGAAGTCAAAGCAAAGCTGCAAGCTGACCTCGAAGCTTTACAAGCTTCCACCAAGGCCGATGCAGAGCTTCACGAGAAGGCTATCTCGGAACTCCAAAATGAGTTTGAGCAAACAAAGGCCAAGTTGCAGACTGAGCTCGAGGCCTCCCAGGCCTCCAAGGCGGCCGATGCTGATGCCGAGCACGGAAAGGCGATCGAGGAATTGCTCACACTTCAAGAAACCAAGCTGTCTGGGCTGAGGGATGAGCTGGAGGCGTCGAACAAAGCCAAGCTTGACGACTTGCAGAAAGCCCACGATGCTGCCCTCGCCACGGTTAATGAGGAGCTCGCCCAGGCGAAGTCAGCCGTTCAGGATACCTCTGTTCTCGATGCCTTGAAGGCAATGATTGCAGAGCTTGAGCAAAAATTGGCCGACTCCGAGAAGGCCCACGCCGCCGTCCAAGAATCTGCCACGACAGCTTCGCGGGACCTCGAGGAAAAGCACGGTTCTGAGCTGTCAAAGATCCAGTCCGAACACGGCGAGCTTTCGGAGAAGCACCAGGCGGCCCTCGCTCAGGTTGAAGAGCTTCAAAAATCAGTCACTGCCTCTGGCAACAACAAATCGGAACTCGAGTCTATTATGAGGCAACTTTCGGAGTCTCGGGAAGAAATTGAGGCGCTGAAAACCAAGAACACCAACACCAGTGAGGAACTAGAGAATTTTCGAATCCAGAAAAAGACAATCGAAGAGAAATTGGCCGCTGGTGAGCGGGACTTGAACGACCAGATCGACAAGAACATGTCGCTCCTCAACCAACTTGGTGATGTCGACTCGGCAGTTTCCGCCAGTCGTAAACGGGTTCGCGAGCTCGAGGCTGAGCTGGCGGTTTTGAAGGCCGACAACGAGCAAAAGAGCAGTTCATCTGGCTTGGACGCCAGCCGTTGGGCGACGGCCGATGAGGAAAGCGAGAAAGCTGAAGATGGAGGTCCAGCCGCAACGGAAGGTGAGGACCTTGGTTCATCCATTGAGGGAACGGTGGGAGATCCCCGTTTAAAATCTTCCTACTCCTCAGACCTCCCTGCTTTTCACCCATTCACATGAACTTCAATGTACAATTCCTTCAGACAGAAACTGATCGGTTTCCGTAGATGGCCAGCATTCATCAACAGCTTAAGAACCTCCAAGGAGTCAACGATGAATGGTTCCAAGAGCATCACAGGTGAGTTCTAGATCACTGTGGCTTAGGTGGAAGAAAAGCACACAAGTATACTAATCCATGTTGCGTTCCAGACTCATTGGTGAACTTGCCAACCTCTCACGACGAGCCACTCCCGATCCTCGCAGCCTCTCATCGACTCCCCATCCCGAGACCACGGCATCAGCCCACGGATCGGAAAGTGGCCACAGCCGCTCTGACGAGGTGCCCGCCGCCCATTAAAGCCATTTATAGTTGCAGCGAATATCAACCTCTCCCTGCGCCAGCTATTTGATAGCCGGTGCAGCATGATTCTCCTTTGTCGGATCCTGTTTCACTCGCTTTTTGTTGTATTGTCATTCTACTGTATGTAATAAGACCCAGGATACCCTGTTTTTTACTCGGTCGGGATTTTCCGGCCTTTCATGTTTAATACCGTTTACTTTTTTGCCTTTCATACAATTATACGAGTTTCCGATTTTTGAAGCCACCAGCCCGATGTAGACACTCGAGAGAACAGTAAACGCTTAGCTGGAGGACTCCAGTATATACCTAATTTCGACGCAGGTAAGGCTTATGATTTTATCCCTCAGAAATGCGCGATTTTCTTTTCGAAATCAGAGATTTCATTTAAGATGAGGGTGATATGACATACATAGGGAGGGAAGAGTTACACGCGCTTCAAATCCCAGGAATCCTGCCAAGCATCCTACATAAATACCCTACAATAGAGTATAAACGTGATGAGTCATGATAATCCTCAAAAGAATACGAATCATGAGCATAAATCCTGTCTGACAACCGATTGTCACAAGTGATGGGGGTGATCTAAGTTATGCAGACCTGGGGCTAAATGAAACCATGCCGTTGCTGTGATTGTAGCAAGAGAAATAATCCAAGAAGCTGAGAAGGAGAAAAAAAAAGGGGGAAGAATAAAAGGCTACACTATACTACACTGAACTTACTGGACGGAGCAAATTATAAGGCTAGTTCATGAGTAACTACAGTAGACCAAAGCAACAAGAAGCTTTTAAGGATTTGCATTTGCGGCTTGGTTATCAGAACTTTCTCCAGGACTCGGCCTCCTCCTGGTTCTTTTCTTTGGTTGGTTTCTTCTCGTTCGGCGGTTCTGGTTCACTCAGAAGATAAGCCCTCGTCCGAGTTTTCTATGGAATTAACGAAACGGGCTTGGTTTATATAAGAATCGGCACGGGCTGTCCAAACCGCATATTTGACTTGGTTATATCTTTGGCTCCTTTTTTGATTGATTTTTCTGTTCGTATTTGTTTTATTATATATATATTTTTCTTTCACTTTGATTCTCCCTTGTTGCAAGACCATTCGGAGATCATTCTAGGAGTGCAATCGAGACCTCTGCCTGGTACATTAAGTCCCCTACAAATGATAACCCTTCCCGTTGCAAAGCCACGGGGTGGATATGTTAACTCATTTGTGAAGAAAAAAAAAAGACAGGAATCGAACAATCTCAGCAGGAAATAACCCAGCTAGAGATACGCGGATTCTCATGGAGCTGGCAAGTGAAAAAGGGGCAAGAAGATCGTCAGAGATTGCAATCAACCGGGGCATTACCTCGACGATTTGGGGGACGCGCAGCAACCGGATTATTATAGCCTGGGAGATCCGGCCCTAAAAAAATGGATGACTCCAGAAGACCGTGCCGTGTCCAGATACATCTCTCTGCTTGAGGCCGCCGGCGACGACCTGGCGACGTTCCCACCGAATACGAGAACGGTTCGACAACTCGGATTAACGCCCGATCAGTCTGAAAGGAGAGCCATGGGAGTCAATCCCCCGCTTCCGGATCTGCTTGGGTTTGGTTCGGCCTCAGATGCCACTGTGATTCTGACACGGGGGCTGCTCAATGGTGATTCCGATCGCATAGCTGCTTTTGCCCATGCTCTAGCAATTATCTGGAGACAGGCACGCTTCCGTCAGCGCCGTGGAGGGGGAGGGATAATAAAGGTGCCTTTGATGACGATTATGATAAAGCTTGACAGCGAGGAGGGGGAGAAAGGCGCGAGAGATGCAGTCGCATCTATGAGAGGCAGCCAGAGTGCATGAAACATGTTCCAGTATGGAACTGATGCGTATTCCGGTTCGTTGACCATCCCGGAGACTGAGGCTATCTCTTTCTTTCTTCGGGAGAAGTTGAGATTTGAGAAAAACAGTTTTGAAGAATACATGTATGACAAACTCGGGGTCGGTGCAATCAAGATAAACCCGAGGAAAGCAATGATGATTGCGGAATTGGAGGCCTCGTGTGGTGACGCGAACAATCGAATGCACCTCCCTGATACGATTCTTTAAAACGGGGAGGTGCATTGCAAGGGAGGAAAGAAGTGAATATTCGTATTTTAGGAGTATGAGGACATGTTGTCTTATTTTGGCCTTGTTGGTGTCTATGTGATATGAGTTTTCCGTGATGGTACGTTGAGCATTCCTTATCTGAATCATTAGCTATTATTCAATCCGATAGCTCTTCCGCAGCCCCTGGATCTTCCAAAACCACGACTGGATTGCCCCCAGACTCTTTACTGCTTAACCCTTTTGCGTTCTTGTTGGGCTCGGTGTCTCTCCATCCAGACAGAAGGGCCGAGGATCTGTGGAGGTGGCCGAGGCGAGGTACATGCTGAGTATGTGCCGTCTGCACCGGGGTCTAGTATCGTAGGATTATTTTTATCGGAATCTGCCAACTCTGAAACTAAGCTAGCCCTCTCTTCTGTATGGCTATTTCTCGAGGCAGACTCTTGCGATGCGTTGTCAATAGAACTGGTAGCTGATGATACCGATTCCGAACTGGCGAAAACATTGGCTGTAGACATTGACCGTGTCCATATTGAATGTGATTGTGCTTTGCATTCACATGGGTTCAAATTTATCGAGTTGCCTTGGTATCCGTCGATTCCACTTGTGGCAGGCTCTTCCACGTCCACCTGAGTGTCTCGATCGAAGCACATCCTCATATCGAACATTCGCTTTGGTCTTTGAGGCCCAGTCAGGGTGAAATCTTGACAGTATGCATTATAGGACTCATAAAGGCAGGTTTGCTGTTGCGGTGCAACTGCAGCTGGTTTCGCGGCTTCAACGTCCTCTTGGACTGACTCAAACGTCGTCCTATTTTTGTTGCTTTCCTTCTCCACACTGGCACCCTTGCTGAAAAGGGATGGGTTTTTGAGGTCTGAAGTTGTTATAGTGTTTAGGTCATGCAGATTTTTCTCACTCAAGTTACTCCCTTGAGGTGTCTGCTGCAGTGATGCTCGCGAGATCCTTTTTGAGACCCATCTTGTCAACTGTGACGCGGTCTTTTGTCGGCGTAGTCGATGTGCTGGTCGCTCTAGGGAGTATTTTGCTGTAGAGGAAGAATTGCTGGAGGTAAAAGATGCACTGTCATTGATGATCAGGATATCGGGCATCTTCGATAAAAAGTTGCCTGAAGTCAGGTGGAGTAGATACTCTTAAGATATATCCTGCTCCAAGGAGTACGTAGCACAGTCGCTCCTTTGTTCCTTTTTCAGGTGAAAGAATACATATTTGGATTCAAGACAGACTCAGAAGTGAAAATAAAAATGCTGGGGTCCCTATTGAAATAGCAGGTGGTCTACCACAACAGAGGGGCAGCAAAAATTAGGGCTTCGAGAGTCAGGCGACAGGTCTCTCTCTTATGTATACCGGCACCCATGCAACAACAATAGCCTTGGAAGAGATCAGAGGTACAACTAAGACACAGCATCAAGTGTAATACGGCCTTCTCCTCAGACAAAGGACATGTGCTCTGCCCAGACACACAAGTACCACGAACGGTTGCCCACTTGGCCGTTGGTAGCTGAGGGCGTACCACCGCAGCAAGCCACATGCACGATGCAACTTCGAGTACGTAAGAGGCACTGCTATTGGATGGTGTGCCACATAAAGGACTCTAGAAGGGGGTTAGATATCTCTAGGGGACTGTCAATATATTTTCTCTACCGGCTCTAGTAGGTGAGGTCGAAGAACAATACATAATGGGCTCTTGAATTAGAAATTCATATAGAACCCTAGGTAGAGTGCTCTCTTTCATGTCTGATTCAATCGTGAACCGCTAAGACAGGGTCGAAGGGAAGATGAGACATCGAGGTCACCTTCCATCCGCCATGGATGGAGGCGTCCCTAGGAGTTAGCTAGCCTGAGACATTCTGTCCACAGCGCGGAGGCACAATTTTGTCCATTGATTGGTCCTAAAGGATTTTATATTTCCTTAGCTTATGAGTATTTCTGACATTTCAAGGAATACATGATTGCTAGACTACGCTTGTTGTAAATTGATTGCAAAAGAGCAAGAAGGGGTATTATTAGTCAAATCATCGATACATGGATTCACGTCAACTTACCACTCAGAAAAAAAAAAAAAAAAAAGAAAAGAAAAGAAAAGGTATAGAAACATGATATTGCAGTAAAATTACAGACATGACACCTCATCCAGACACTCCATCTCGGCCTAAGCCCCAGCGGCCAACCTCGCGCATGGCTTCATCGCCTCCCTCGACCAGACGCCCGTCTGCATTCGATGGGTTATCGTTGCCCAGCACACCGGCAACACATTGCCAGCCATTTCGGCCACCACCCCAGCGGAGAACTTCATTCTTGTATCGCTCACCGGCGGCGCGATCAACAGCTGCGTTGCCAGACTGAAAAACGTCCTGCCAAAGCTTGTTGGCGATGGCGCGGTCGAAAATGTAGCTGTAGTATGTGGCACCGTATCCATAGAGATGACCGAAGAAGCCTTGCCACGAGGTGCGAGGCCGAACATCGTCTGGGTCCGGCAGACTGGAATGTCGAGAGAAGACTCGGTGGTAGATATCCGTGGTATCAATACCATTTGCCAGAGCGTTGGCAGGGATTGAGTGGTAGGCCTGGTCGACAAGAGCCATCAGGATCTGGGCCTCGTTCTCCACGGCCCCATAGATAGAACCGTGTGCAGTTCGGTCCAGCGCCATGCTACACATCATTTCATGAGACAGGGGCTCGTCCGTCTTCCAGTGACGTGCGTATAGAGCAAGCACCTCTGGCGCAGTTGCAAAGCTTTCCATCAGCACTGAAGGGAGTTCGGCAAAGTCGGTGGCACACCGAGTCCCAGAGATTGACTGCAGAGGCGTCTGCCCGAGGATAGAATGGACGGCATGGCCCATTTCGTGGAACAGAGTGCGCACGCTGTGCTCACTCAGAAGAGTGGGCCGGTCTGTGCCATCCGCTCGAGGCTCCTGGAAGTCACAGACGAGGGCAATGGTGGGCAACTGTCGCAGAGTTTTCGTGTGCGGGTCCATCGCTGTCGCCATACCATCATTCGGGTGAGCAGACTGGTTCATCGACGCGCACTCGGCGATCTCTTCTGCCGAGATCTCCCGAGAGCAGCGCAGCGTAAAGTGGGCTGGGTTCGGGTGTTTACTGGGCCGGGTGAAAAGGTCACAGTAAACGACTGCAATGTGCTGTTCTGATTCGTCCACCACATCCAGGCGACGAACGTCCGGATGCCATGTCTCGCCCAGTGATGTTTCTTGTGGGACGAGACGCACACCGTAGAGACGATCAAAAAGCCGCGAGAGACCTTGGATAACCGTACCGAGAGAAAAAAACTCAGGAATGGCACTCAGTTGCCGAGACCGGCGAGATTGCGAATACTCCATGACTCGTTTGTGCACATAATAGGCGTGGTCCCACGGCTGAAGCGACGAGCTTCCTTTCATCTGCTGAAGTTGCAATAGCTCTTCACGTACAGGTCCTTGGTTGCTTGACACAAGCGATGTCAAAAAGTTTGAGACTGCTTCGGGAGTCTTGGCCATCTTGTCGCTGAGGGCCATGTTGGCGAAACTACTGTAGCCCGAAAGTTGCGCGAGCTCGGCCCTCTTCATCAAGAGTCTCTCAAGCCGGTGTATTTGACGTGTGCTGGATGTCCGAGTCGCAAGATAGACCTCCTTGCGCACCGCTTCATCACGGACAGACCGTAGTGCAAGCCGAGGAATGATACCCATAGTGGGTACTGGCGCTTTGTTGTTCCATCTTTTGATCTGTCTGACCACAAGGGGATCCATGCCTTGAAGATTGTTGGCGCTAAAAACAACCTGGGACCTGGCCGGCTCCGCGCCATTCATGAAGTCGGAGCCAATCTGGCTCACGTCATTGGAAAGGTTCACGAATCGCTGTCTCTCCGCGGGCGGCATATGAATCGCAGAGTTGGAAAAGTCCTTGATCAAAATCTGGGCCACGATCATTTCCCCTTCGGTCCAATGTGATGTTACTTCGGGATTGGCCATGGCCGTGTTGAGTTGGTCATGAAGCCCGGTGGTTGTATTAAGGACGTTCATATATTCAAACATAAGAGCGTACGCCTGCGTCGCTGCTTCCTGAAGCTGAGGATCTGGGTGAATCGTGCGAATGAAATCTGACAGATCGATAACGCGACACAGGAGGTCGCTGAGCCGGTCCAAATTCCGGGCCATTGCCCTGTATTCTTCCAGTGTTGACGCCTGCAGCACCTTGGCCACGACCGCCTGGCATTTCTGAAGCGACACACTGGCAAATGCCCTAAAACCATCGGGACTGGTCAGGTATTGGTTCTGGACTAATCCGGCGCGCTTGGGAGCTGTCGCGGTCCGCTGAGAGAAGTCTCTCCAGAATGGCTGGGAGTCGAACACGCGGCGCAAAGTTTCATCGTCGGATTTCTTCTGCGGCGCGCTATTGTTTGCGGGGACGTATTCGAAGGGCGTTCGAGGAGCAGAAGATGCAGCGCTTTCGAATGCCCGGAATTGCAGTTGGAGACATTTGTGGCAAGTCCAGGGCCGCCGCAACGGGCGGAGCATATCTGAGGATGAATGAGACCAGGAAGCAAAACCGTCAAGAAAAGCCGACCCAATAACGAACAATTAAAAATCACAAAGAACCGCCCATATAGAAACAAAAGGTATATTGGAGCACCAAAGCTGAGGACGGGCGATGACGGAGTTTTCTTGGGGTTCCGCCGAGCCGAAGAATTCCCGTCTTGGCCTCGACACGACTTTGCTTCCTCACCTCTCCCCTTCCTCTCCCCCACACACCCCAACATGTCCTTCCGGCCGATGTTGCAGCAGGTATGTGCTTGTTCTGCTGTTCAATTGCAGGATGATCGTTCAATTCCCGGTGCTGACTGATGTCTAGCGGGCTGTGGCTCCGATCGCAGCCACCCTCCTCGCGGGAGGCATGGCCCTGTACCCCAAGCAGACGGCCTTTGCGGAAGAGCCCCGAGACCTTGTATGACCAATTCGTCCCATGATCCCATGGATACAGCAAAGCTGCCCCAGTTGTATTTCTCTGACACACGACTGCTATCCCGATATAGAGGAAACCCATCTATGACGACTTCCCAACCGACATCCCCGAACCCTCCCAACCCGCTTCCCCGACTCCCGAGCCGATCTCTCTGCCGTCGACGCCATTGGCACCTTCTTCGCCGACCCCTACAGAAATCCTGACCGCCCAGGTCCGACAAGCCCGGCTCGTCTTGTACTCGAACTCCCTTGCCGCAGAGAACAGCTTCAACGCCTTCCTGTCCCGGGCCCTGCACATCGAAAACGCCTTCACCAACACCGTGGCCTCCCTCGCACCCTCGGCCGAATCTGGTGAGCGTCTGCTCCCCGGAGGTGTGTACGTTGCTGTGGCTGCCATGGCTGGCTCGATCGTCTCGCGCAACCGCGGTATTTTCCTCCGCACTGCCTCACCGCTCGCGTTCGGCACGGTGGCCGCTTGGAGCCTTCTGCCTGTCACTATGCGGAATGTCTCTGACCTGGCGTGGGAGTACGAGAAGAAGGTGCCGGCTGTCGCGGAGAAGCACCTGGCTATTCGGGAACGGGCGGAGCACATCTGGTACACTGGTATCGCGCACAGTGGTATGGCTCGCCAGATGATGGAAGAGAAGATCGGTGACACCCGGAAGAAGCTTGAGGAGCTGGTGAGCAAGGGCCATTAGAAGTGACTTGTTTTGATGTCTACCACTTGGACGACAGTCGGACTTTCATCTGTTGCATATGTACGTTTAGAACTCGTAGATCCGAAGACATAACCCGGACCAGTTCCTTTGTTTGCCAGAGCCAGTTCCAACCCTAGGACCAACCAACTATGTGCGAATTACAGTACAAGGGAAACGGCTTAAAGACACTGCAAGTGGTATAATGGAACTCGTGATACTCTACAAAATAAGCCTTGACAACAATCAATTCCTCATCCTTGGGCTGTCGCCCCCTCTGTTGCTTCGGTTGCAGGTCCCGGACTCCCCTCATCGGATGGTGAAACCCCCAGTTTGGGCGGCGGGGGCAAAGGAGTGCCCTTCCGCGAGGGAGCATAGTCCTGCTCTCGACTCTTCTGCTCGCCCTCAGCAAAGTATTCGTCAAAGGCTCGGTGAGGCGAGACGCCAGCATTCCGAGGTTTCCCTCCACGACGGCCCGCTGGTGATTTACCCTCTGGGGACGGGGAAATCCCTGTCTGTGGAGGAGCAAGAGGTGGCGGCGATGCCATGTTGGCAGGGACCAAAAAGTTCCCTGACGGCGCTCCCATATATGGAACAGCAGTTGTAGGCGCCCCGGCCGGCGCATATGTCCCGTCATCGCGGGTTTCAAAGACAACCTCGCCAGGTCCTTCCACTTCCTCTCCAAGGCCAACAGGTAGCCGGTGCAGCGCACCGTATCCCAATTCGGCGCCGACTGCACCCGCGCCGCCCCATCCTCTCGTCGGGATAAGTTCCACCTCACGCACTACATCGAACTCGCTGTTGTAGACCCAAAGTACCAAAGTCCGGTCCAAATGGTCCTCTACCAATTCCCCGAGTGCCGATTCCCCGCGTAACGTCCCGCTCGGAGTGCCGATGATATAATCTGAGTGAGGAAGCAGGCCCGCACGATATGCCGGGCTCAGCGGGGAGGGAATCGACAGGACGTGCCAGATATGCTGAGTGGAGGTGAGGGGTGCCAACTGCAGCGCAAGGCCGAGCGACGTACTTCCTGCCGGTACAGGAACGGCAACTGTATGGGTTCTTTGGCCCTATGTATTGGAGTTCAAAATTAGCTCTTGGCCTCGCAATGGCTGATCGTGTAGCCTTTCTCATACCTTTGCGCTCCATATTTCGAGGGTCAGGCTTGACCCGGCGCAATTGCGGACTTCTGTCACGAAGAGATTGGGGTCTGGGTCTTCCTATGGGCAGAGGTTAGAGCAAATTCAGACTTAGAAGTATCTCTGCGCAACTCACAATCATATGGCCATTAATTCCCACGATAAAGTCGAACCACGGCTCCAGCGGCAGCTCAGGGTCCTTGTTGCGGAGGACCTGAAACCCAAAGGCGTTGTCGCTGGGCCCATTTCGAGGCTGTTGGTCCGGCTCCCCATCCAACCGGCCAATAAAGCGATTCAATGCGCCAAACATTGTGTCAGCCGATATTCAGTGAAGCCAAACGAAGTTGAAGGTGGCGTGGTGTTGATGAGTAGAGCTGGCCGGATGGGGATGCAAACGGGACAAACACCCGTTTATCGGTTATCGCGCGCATCTCGATGAACCCAGTCTGCTCTGCTTTCAATGCGCCATGGCCGATGAGGAAGCGCCTCCTGAGGTGCATCACTACAACAGTCTCCAGGAGGTCCCCTGGGATATCCAGAAGTAAGGCACTTACTCTCGGGAATCAACCAGTGCTAACCTGCCACTAGCTACTGGGCCCAGCGCTACCGGATTTTCTCCAAGTATGACGATGGGGTCTGGTTGACGGACGATGCGTGGTTTGGGGTTACTCCAGAGCCGGTAGCCGAGTATGTGAAAATTCTCTCTCTCCTGTTCTCACTTACGCTGGTAGATATCAAATTAACCTGTGCAATTTTCTAGTCAAATCGCAAAACATATCGCCGATGGAGCGCCCGCCGAGCGCAGCATTCTGGTTGACGCTTTTGCCGGAGCTGGGGGTAATACAATTGCATTTGCTAAGACGGGGAAATGGAAGCGCATCTACGCGATTGAGAAGGATCCAGCCGTGCTCCAATGTGCCAAGCACAATGCGAAGATCTACGGTGTCGAGAACAAGATCAGTTGGTTCGAGGGTAACTGTTTCGAGATCTTGAAGAACCAGCTCAGTGCTTTGGCTCCTTACAGCATTATATTTGCGAGTCCTCCGTGGGGCGGTATGTTGTTTTTCCCCCCTTATGATTTCCAGATCGTCCGAGGACATGACTGATCTAAATAATCAGGCCCTGGGTACCGCTCCGACACAGTGTTCAACCTCAGCACCATGGAGCCATATTCCCTCGCAACATTATATCGCGAATACTCTGCATTCAGTAAACACATGGTTCTATACCTCCCCCGAACCTCAAATGTCAAGCAACTGGCGAAGTTGGTCCCGGACGAGCAACCGGCGACGGTGATGCACTACTGCATGGAAGGGGCCAGCAAGGCTCTGTGTATCTTTTACGGCAACTTTAATGTCTCATGATTGTTCCCTTGTTCTATTATCACATAAAAGCAAATGTAACGAGCTATTGAAAACGCCCAAGTTGGACCTCGTTTCTGCCTCAGTAAAGCTGATTTCCTGATCGGGTTAGCGCGGTTCGGGGGCAACCTTGGAACTTGGAACCCGCACGACTCAAGTCTCATCTCTCTGTCTCGCTCTCCGCCATCCCACCCCTCGACTCTCTTTTCTTTGTGCTTTCTACGATTTCGTCGCCACGCCCCTTTTCTAGCCATCGATAGAAGTACCATCTCATCCCATGAGCGCATCCTAATACCGTGTCGTCGCCTGTCTGGCCAGCGCCCACGCCTTTCAGAACACCCTTTTTCGCAGGCCCTAAGGCGTTGTCCTACCATATTCGTGATCCACGCCCGTGATTTCCGCCCGTGTTTCTTCGCTGAAGATGCCTCACGCGACACAGAACCCAGCCCTCGAGGGCGAGGAGGATGCGGACTTTGATAATGTGATGCGCCAACTGAATAACTACGAAAGTGGCCCAAACTTGGACTTTTTGTCGCGCGACTTGGATGTAGGCGAGAAGGCGGACGATGCGATCGACTATGAAGATTTCGAGGATGACGATCTGCCCGAGGAGGAGCTGGCGTCAGCACCAGGCCTGCTTCCACCGGAGGACTCGACTCAGGATCCTTTCGCGAACCTTGGTGCTGAAGAAGCAGATTCTTTCCCGACTGGCGATGATATTTTTGGGGGTCCGGAAAATGGACTCCAAGCTCCAGAGGACAATCTTGATGATCTCTTCGGTGAAGGGCCGCTCTCGCCGCCCCCTGCTGGACAGGTGGACCACACAAAAGATCTCTTCGAAGATGACGAACCGCCGTTGACGAGTGAACCGGTTGAGCTACCGCCGATCCCACCGGCGCCTGAATCACAACCCCAGCCGATGGTAGTGGAAGAGGAAAATGATTTTCCGGACGATGACAGTGTGATTTCCGAAGAGATGGACCCGGTGACCCTCCGTGCATGGAAGCTTCAGCAATCCCTGTTCGCCATGTCCGGGGTCGGGATGGATAATCCACCGGCACCACCTGAGAATCACGAAGAACTTCTTCAGTCTCTGTTCCCAACCTTTGATCGCAACACTCTTCCACGTTGGCTTGAGCTCATTCCGCACAAAAAGGCGTTCTATCTGGGCAAGCAACCCTTGAAACCCCCCAAGCCTGTTCTACCCACAAAGGTCAACATCGAACTGGCACCTGATCAAGAACGAGTCTTCCGAACGGGTCAACCCAATAAGCGAACTCTTGATCAGGATTCTCTGGGCCTAGTGATGATCACCGAGGCAGCTCAGGAGGAAGAGGAGCCTAGCGAAGATTTTGAAGTGGGAGACATGGATGTGGACGAAGTACTGCCAGGGGGGTTCACCATACAGGATCTTCGAACCATTTGTGCAGACTGGGACATTCACGATGAAGTCACACCCACACACGAGGCGAAACCACCAGCGCAGACCGAGGGTGGACTATTCGAGGAAGATGAGGCTGATTGGCTTATCGATGCCACTCACCCTGCGAAGAAGCGCAAGACCGGCCCGACTGCCATGGATGTTATTGCGCTGTCTCATCTTGATATCCCTCTTCTGGACGACCCCGAGCAAGTTGCCATGCAACACGCAAAGAAGGTCACTATTGACATGAATGACCCCAACATCCTCGTCGACGAATTGAGACCAGATGCGGTTGCTCACAAGCCGAAGCACGCGGCCCCTCGCACCCGGGATGAAGTCGACCTGAACCTCACACGCCGACTCACGCAGCGATACAATATCTCAAACGATTCAGCTTATGACATGCTTAAACAAAATCACCAAAATAAGATTCGGAGCACTCTTGGCAATGTGACTCTGGAGCATGCGCTGCCCGCCCTGCGCTTGCAGTGGCCTTACTACAAAACGGAGTTGGCTAAGGCTGAAGCTAGATCTTTTCACCGACCAGCTATGGCTTTCCGCCCTGGGCAAACCTCCTGGTTCAAGAATACTTCCCTTCTCAAACGCAAGCATCAAAGGGGCAAAGACGCCAAGACTGTTTACGACTCCACCAAGGCGTTGTCCCTGTCAGATAACTCAAATGTTCTGCTGGTGGAGTATTCGGAAGAAGTCCCTATGTCCCTTGCCAATTTTGGGATGTGCAACCGGTTCATCAATTACTACCGGCGGAAGAGCATGGAGGACCCCACTCGTCCCAAGGCGGAGATTGGGGAAACAGTCGTCTTGCTGCCTCAAGACAAAAGCCCATTCTCTATTTTTGGTCATGTGGATCCGGGTGAGATTACACCTGCAATCTCCAATTCTATGTACCGAGCACCGCTGTACCCACATCAGTCCAAACAAACCGATTTTCTTGTGGTGCGCAGCAGCACTGGCTCTGGAGGCAGCAGCTATTATCTGCGCAACATTGAGAACCTCTTTGTGGCTGGACAGCAATTTCCCTCGGTCGACATCCCCGGGCCGCATTCACGGAAGGTCACCACGGTCGCCAAGAATCGTATGAAGATGCTGGTATACCGCTTGCTCAAAAAGAGTCCCGACGAGCGATTGTCAATCAGCGATGTGACAGCCCATATCCCCAACACTACGGATATGCAGAATCGGCAAAAGGTCAAGGACTTTCTCCAGCACGACAAGGATACCAAGTACTGGAAGCCCCTTGATCCTGTCCTGCCAGACCAAGACACTATTCGATCCTGGGTGCAACCTGAAGATGTGTGTCTTCTAGAATCGATGCAAATTGGCCAGCAACATCTGCACGACACAGGTTTTGGAAATGATGCTGAGACTGGTGGTGATAACGAGGAAGACGAGGAGAGCGAGAGCTTCGAGCAGCAGATGGCCCCTTGGAAAGCCACTCGCAACTTTTTGCTGGCTTCCCAGGGCAAGGCTATGTTGAAGCTTCATGGCGAGGGTGATCCAACCGGTCGCGGTGAAGGTTTTAACTTCATCAAAACGTCCATGAAGGGCGGGTTCAAAGCCATTGGTGAAAGTGTGGAAGACAAATTGGATGCACAACGGCTCAAGGAGCTCGGCGGACACAGTTACAACGTCGCACGTCAACAGAAATCCTACGAGACGTCCATCCGTCGGATCTGGGACGCCCAGAAAGCCAGCTTGTCTTCTACGATTGAACACTCGGACCAGGAAAGCGATGTCGACCAGGAAGAGGAAGAGGTATTTAACAAACCTACACCACGGTCCGAGGCACCCACACCGGGCCCGAGCCGTCGCGATGACGAGTCAGCCAGTCAGTTCAGCCGAATGAGTTTTTCGAGCCAACGCGGCAAGGCCCTGCGCATCACCCGCCAGGTCAAGGACCCCAGTGGCGAAATTGTACCAAAGGAACAGATCATTCGGGATCCGCGGGTGATCAGACACTACATGCAGCACCGCCACCGCACGGCAGCCCTCACTACCAAGCTGGAGTCCCTCCAGCCCACCGGCGATCCGGAGGTGGACGCGCGCAACCGCAAGCTGATCGAGAACGAACTGAGCCGACTGAATCGCAACAAGGAACGCCGCTTCGCCCGCGAGAAGCAGAAGGGCATCTCGCGTGCTCCCGGCGACTCTCCCGCAGACGGCAAGCCCGCGGGCACACAGCGCAAGTGTGCCAACTGTGGCCAAGTGGGCCACATCAAGACCAACAAGAAGCTGTGTCCCTTGCTCAACGGGACCATGAAGCCCGAGGACCATGTCACCGACTCTGCCTTCTCCATGAGCGCTCCGGTCCTCTAGCTTGGGAATCGCTGCCACTGTCATGTCTTCTTTCGGATGGTCTTTTTTTTCTCGCAACATTTCTCTTCATTTGATACCCTCTCTTAATGCATGCATTCCTCCGTCCAATTTGAATACTCAATTTTTGCCACGGCGCTGGTCTGGGTACAGTCTTTTTTCTCGTCTCTTATCAAATTGATGTGAGGTTTATTTTTGGCATTTATTGGTTTCGGCACTGGAGCAGATCACTATGTGTCAACTACCCACCGCTTGGTATCTCTGTTCATGTACATTATAATACCCTGTTCTCATCAGCAAGACTGGAATGACAATCACATCGATGGAGCCGAGTATGAGTCTACGTAGGGAACGTCTATGTGTATGGAGCATACTATCATGCTATCGGCATTCCTAACCAGGTAACTAACGTGAGTTTGCTGGCTATGGAAATTATCTCCCTCTTTTCTTTCATACTGCAACTTCATACTACGACGATCAAAATTAACATGTCAAAGACAGGATTGATATGTGATATCGTTATTAAGAATAGCTACACGAGAAAGAGGGTAGGGCATTCCGACAGCAGTCGGAAGAGGATTGGGGACCGCCTCAATGGGGCAGAGGTCTCCCGACGAGACAAAGAAGGTTTGTGTATGAATAGGGTGGTTCGAATGAGAGATGGTATCCTCGGAGGGACAAGACTCGACTGTTCTCTTCCAAGTCAAGACATCGGCTGGCGTTTCCTTCCAGCAACGCTCTCACGGTGCATACAGATCAACCAGCTGACCGCGGGCAAATGGCTGGCGTCCACGCTCAGCGGTAAGTGCCATGACAGCGCCCTTTGGGCGACGATAGGTATATCCCAAAAAGGCGCCCTTCTTGCGCATTTCCAAGACTGTCTTGCCCATGTCCTTATCACGCAGAATTTTGTCTCGCGGCCTTTTCTTCTCTTGCTCCTTTTGCTTCTGCGCAGCTGCTTTTTGCGCCTCTGCTGCGGCTTTGGGATCTGTGGAGGGCACAACCGGCTCAGGGGACACATTGGGTGCTGGGCCAGGTTCCTGAGGCTCGGAAGTTGCAGGATTATGCTCCTCGTTAGCATCTTCCGCGTCCTCTCCCGGCTCGCTTTCTTCCGAGGGTTGGTCGAGGTTTCCGACAGCCTTCCAATCATCAAAATATCGGGTGTCTTCCCAGCTCTTGACTCTCGGGATGAGTGGCGGCTGCATCAAGTGGAGGTCGTTCCACGGAATGCCTCTGAAGAAAGGATGGGCTTTGATGTCTGTTGCGTCGTTGGGGTACACATAGTAGCTGGGGACGTCCCTGTACCGCGGATCCATGGAGTACAAAAATTGGATTGGAATTGGTCGAGCACCCAAGATATCGTTGGCCTGGTACTGTTGTGAGCACAGGCGAAACTCGCGCTCTTGCAGGATCCGGGTGATCAGGTCTTTGGCTTCTGGTGATATCAGTTTATCTGATGGCTTTGCTTTCGGGAATTGCAAGGCTCGAACATGATGCTTAAGTCGTGGTTATTAGAAGACAATCCCAAGGCGGGCTCGGAGAGTGGTACTTACCAGAATCCTGATCTTAGTATCCCGTCGGTTTTCACAGGCGAAAGGAGTAAAGCCATACAGGCACTGCAAGGTCTGTTCTTAGAGATACTTCATCCAAAAAGACAGGCTCTGGCACTCACCTCGTACAAAATGATCCCCAAACTCCACCAGTCGCATCGCCCGTCATATATCTCACCACGAATGACTTCAGGCGCCATGTATTGGCTGGTTCCCACAACACTTTTTGCAAATCGCCGCCTCTCCTTACTGTCACGCCAACTTAGAAGAGACGGCAACGGTACATGGGGATGCTGAGATACGTTAAGGCCGTCGGGTGTGGGCTCTTTCTGATTCTTTGCAGCTTCCTTTTGATCCGTAGAATCCCCCTGCACATCGATGCCGAGTCTTTCCAGAAGGGAATAACGATGATTGTTGTAGTACACTTGATCATGAGACCAATGCCCATTGAAGGCAAGACCAAAATCGGAAATCTTCAAGTGCCCCGACGCCGAGATGAGGAAGTTGTCCGGCTTGATATCGCGGTGGATCCAGCATAGTCGATGGGCCTCCTCGATGCAAAGGACCATTTCAGCGACGTAAAATCTCGCCCAGTCTTCACGCAGAATATCACGGCGAATCAACAGTCCGAGGAAGTCTCCGCCCACCATGTAGTCCATGACGAGATAAAGATGGTTGGCATCCTGGAAGCTGGTAATCAAAGGGACGATCCAGCGGGACTTTTCTGACGCAACCAGGAAGTCTCTCTCGGCTCGAATGTGGCCTTCTTGACAGTTTCGGATCATATTTGATTTTCGAATGGCCTTCATTGCGTAGACTTCCTTCCTTTCCCCGGACATCAGCTTGCGTCGACTGCTCCTATTCCCCTCCATGGCTGACCTCAGAAGGCTGAGATGTCTTGCCCTACCACTGGGACTATCCCTGTCCAAGAGCATGAATTCATCCTCATCAAGCTCCATATCTCCACTTCCCTTTTCTCGGACCAAACGCACCACGCCAAAGCTGCCTTTCCCCAGAACTTTGATAACTTCAAATCCCGCCAGTGAAACTGCATCCTCACTCCGAGAGCAGCATCTGTTGGTCTTGAGGACACGGCACCGACGCAGGTGTTCGTTTTCTTGCAAGGCCCAGTTCTGCCGGGCAACCGCCTGTTCCTCAGGGGTGAGTTGAAACGCATAGATGTGTTGCTCCAACTCGTGTTGGCGCAGCAGACGGGGGTCTACATTCTGAAAAATCGAGTTGAAGTAGAGTTCCAAGAACACCTTCGCCGTGGATGCTGCTTCTACCGTCAAGATAGATGGAGAAATGGCACGGTTTGGGTCCGGCACGAGGCTCGCCTCTTTGTCAGGCTGAGACCGGGAAGACCATTCAATGGCTGGTGATAGTGGTCCGGCTATGGGTTCATATTTGGTCGTAGAAGGAGATGGTTCTCCAGATGTCACAGGCGTCGGGGGTGTCGACCGTCCACCGATGGGAGAACTGCCGCTGCTTGGTATCGTTGAAGGATCCGAGCTGTCATCCGTGCCGTCCACCTGCTTGTTCAGACTGGCGAGTACAGGAGAGTCGATGACAAGAACGCTCGGTCTCGAGCGCAAGTGCGCCCGACGGATGACTGTGGGGTGGCCGAAGGTCAAGGAGATTCTTTGCGAAAAGCGATCGACAAATCCTGGATTCTGCAGAGTCTGGAATTCTTCTGCAGGCGTACTCTTTACGTCGTCGCTATTCTCGACGTGTTTCTGTTCATGTTGCCGATCCTCCTCTGAGTTTTCTTCCTGCTGTGTTATGGGTTCCGGACTTGCCAAGGGTTCAGGTAGAATATGCACATCTTCCGGCTGTAAGTACTCAGAGCATGTCGCCACTGGAGGTTCATCATTCGGGGGTGAAGAGCCGGTGATAAATACAAGGCGGCCATCTTCTGCGCCAGGAGATGATGCATCTGGGGAGATGTCGGGACTGGGGGCACTCTCACAGGACACAGACTCGGTGTTTGATCCTTTGTTTCCTACATGGAGGTCAGTTTGAATATCCAGAAGCAACCCCAAATGAAGGAATAGCGTACTGTTGGAAAAGCTTCGCAAGCCGAATAAAAATAGGACCTTGGAGCGACTGCGGTTCAAACGAACCCTGAGTCGGTCTCTACTCTCTTCGGGGATAGCAATGGGATCAGATGCCGGGCTGTCAGATGCTGCCGAATTTTTCGGCGATGTATTGACTTTGTTGGAGAACACGACGGGTTTTGCTGGAATCCAAAGACCAAACAGACTCCGTCGGCGTCTCTGTTTCGGTTCAAAAAATGCAGGCATCGTCCAACGGGTCGCTAAACAATCAAGGGAATGGATGTAAGCTGTAGCTGGAGTGAGAATTTGAATGCTTTGCGAGCCCGTTAACGATAAAGAATGGTGCGCTTGGAAATCGACGTGGTTGGGATCGCATGATGGATGACTTGTGAGGGTGTTCTCAGAGAATCAGACAACCAGCAGAGGCAGGCGCCATGGAGGTTGAGACTTTTGGCTGCCGACAAAAAGGGAATCGGATCATCATCGACACGGAAATGAAGCAACAAAAGAGTATCTAGTGTCTAGTATCTAGTATATTGACTGTCCAAGCCCTAACTTGCCAATGAGAACTAAAAAAAGCCATGGCGCCTTGGCCCTGCACCATCGATGATCGGCACAGCCTCCTCTCTGCACCGACACGACAACGATGCGCGTTGATGCGAATTCCTGGCGATATCTGAGTTCAACCACTCCGACTCCCAACAGAGATGACGGCCGACTCCAAGATTGGCTACAGCCGGGTATCCAGCTTGATGGCCTCCGACGCCGATTTGGGTATCTTCCGCGGCTTCAAAGCGCTGAACACACGAAACATCCTCTATCTTCAGTCAGAGCTGGCAGAGCTCGAAGAGACATTGCAAGACTTAGATGAGATTCACAATGATCGGACGAAAGGCAATGATTCATGGAGTGTGCCGAGGAGCTGGCGCGCCGTGAAGAATCGAGGTGACGAGTATTTGGAATGTGTGCACCGACTGAGACAAACATCCAAGGAATATTGTACGTATAACGTTTAATTTCCATTATTTTTTTTTCTTTTCGGCCTTTTATGCTCATATCCTTTCAGATAAAGCGCTACAGGCACAATCGTGGCTTCTCAACCAAAAAGGCCCCGCTACTCGGGCTCGCAACAATCTACGCGGCTTCTTGGACGCTCACCGATCCGACATGTCGCAAATGGATGCCAGTTTTATCCTGGATGATCGTTTCCAGGAGGATTTAGTGACGGTCTCCTGGGAGGAGAAAGAAGTGCTCTCCGAATATATGGAGAAATACTTATACAGGGCATTTGAAAACAGGGTAGCCCCTGATTTACATCTCGATTTCTATTCTGATATTGTGGTTCTAATATTCTCGTTTAATAGCGTATTGCCAGCCAAGGAGGCGAAATGTTGATCTTCTCGAACCAGCGCATCCGGTCTGTGGTCAGACTGCTGGCGATCTTGATCTCATCGGTTCTGCCCATCCTCTCGATTGTGGTCCTGTATGTCATCAAAAACGAGCAGGTCCGTCTGGGCATGATTGTCGTGTTTTCTGCGCTGTGTTCAACGGCTCTTGCGACTTTGAGCAGTGCAAAGAATTCTGAGATTATGGCTGTCACTGCGGCGTAAGGAATGCCACCGTTGAATCAACTCAATCTCCCAGAGCTAATTAATTGCCTTTTAGATATGCCGCGGTTCAAGTGGTTTTTGTAGGTGGGAACCCAGTGCCAGGATGACCGGCTTTGTACAAATTTCTGGATTTGAAAGTTATCAACGGATCAATCGACACTTCATTGAATATCTCAATCTAGAGTTTGGGTCAGTTGGCTTTTGACCTAACAGTCTTATATCTCCTGCTCGACACACATTGTCCAACAATTCTACGGTGGATCCTCATGGCATGATTCCCCGAGTAAAACTCCTACCCTTTCTTACCCAGAAACTTCTTGAATGCTTCTCTCTTGAGACCACTTGTCTTGTCCGCCGCTGAAGTTGAAGTACCAACCGATCCGTCGACCGAGGACGCGTTGGCGGGACTAGGGGTGGCAGGAGAATTGGTCGATGATATGGGTACGCTCGATGAACTGGAATTAGGTGGCCTTTGGTGCTTACTGTCCCAGTCCTGGCGGCTTCTATGCTCTCGCTCGTACTCCACCTGGAGTGCATCTAAAGCGACAGTATTTTCAGGCTGCATCCGGCAAAGACGAAGACGCCTCTCGTAGCTGCGATCCCAATTGTCCCGTCGGTTAGTTTCTTGCCACTGAGCCGTCTCATCATCAAAAGTAGCTATCCCAAAAGTTAGAGCCTTGGGTTTGACCTCATGCTGATAGAATTTTACCAGTAGGTCCAATTTGGTCAAATCGTTTCCATTTCGATCCCATCACAATCGAATCTCCTATATATCGGAACAGATATGGGCTCACGCTGGCACTAAAGAGTCGCATCTCGTGGCTCGTCACTAGTAAACCTCATGGTTCATTAGCAGTGGAAACGTGTGAGCTGCTTCGACGTTCATCACATACACATCTTAGCCTGGTTCATCGGAAGCGCCGAGTCGGACAACACAAAGTTGAATATCTGCTTCGAGCCACCACTAAAGGAAGTATCAACGACGAAAAACTCGGCCTGCCATTGCGCATCGACCGCATCCTCAAATGCCCAGGTACCCCTAATCGACCCAAGACATGGAAAAGTCCCCGATGGAAGAACCAGTTGCGACGCGGCCGGCTTCGAAGAGAAATGCTTCCAGTCACACCATCGACTTGAGACGAGATTCAAACCACCGAAAGAGTCGTTTTGCACAACAAGAGACTGGCCAGACGGCGTGCTACCCACGAACCCAGGCCGTGACTTGGTGTTGGCAAGGCTATCTGGAAGTTTCCAGTCCGGCGGGTTTTCGTGAATTTCATCCCGGCACAGGTTCGCACGCAGATCCAGGTAGTTGTAGTTACCGCACAGGCCATCTTTGATAGCTGCCATGTAGTCTCGGAAGGTCAGTCCGACTTGGTATGCGGTGGAGGCTGCGAAGGTGTCCCATGGGATAAATGGGACAGTCATTTTTATGGAATGCGGTCCGGTTGCTCTGATTGTGTAGGCCTGCTTTCGAACTTTTCGCTCGTTTCCGACATATTCCACACTGTAGGGACTAAGGCAATGATACTTTGTTGTCCCATCTGCTGCATTCTCGTGTGGTTCATTGGGCCGGTCGGCTGTCTCTTTGGTGAGATACCGGCATGGCAGACGGACCACCATCCATTCCGAATGACTGCGACGTAGATTCTGGAACCTGTACATGTCCTCTGGCAGAGAAACAGAGTGGGCTAGACTCTGTTCGAAGGAGATCATGATCAGCTGGAAGGAAAACCTATACCGTAGAGGTACTTTTCACCCACCAACACAAATTCCCCTTTGGTATCAACAATATCATCGGGGAAAATCCATAGACGGTGTGTCTTGGAACCCCGGGCCATTGCCTGCGCACGCAGATCGTATTGTTGATCCCCCCACGCCGAGAGGATTCTCCAATCATTAGCCGCATGAAGTCGACGCAACACGACCATGAATTCGGTGCTACTCAAAGCCTGCTCTTGATCGACATCTGCGAACTCGATCCGATCTGGGTGCACAGTCACAGCAAAAGGTAGAGAGAACATCGGATCAGTGGGGTATACTCTCTTCATGGTCACAGCGTCCCATGTTCGACAGTACGTGCGGCTATCCTCCCAGTAGGCCGAAGTTTCCGGTGCACCCACATTAGCCAGTTGGCCCTGTGCACCTGTTTCCTCAGGGTCAAACCCCCGAAAGATATCGTCCGGTGAATTTGCTCTGGTCTCTTTGATGGGACAGCGGCATTCCTGCAGCACAACCTCCAACTCATCGTATTTTTGCGAAGCGATACAGAACTCGAGGAAGTCATTCATAAAATTGACTTTTTGTGCATCGAATTTGCCCTCTTCTTTGGTAATCGACTCTTTCCAGGCCAAGCAGAATGACCTGAGAAGCGGACTAATGAAGCTATTGAGTCGGTCATGTCGCTCGTTATAGAACCGCCTGCGCGCCTCGAAGAACTCTTTGATCGTGGCGTGGGCATCATCGACACGATTCTGCTCGAGATGCCCTCGTACTTCAGCATATTTAGCTCGTAGTTCAGCCATGGAATTGTTGCTATAAGGGGAGGTCAGAAATGAGGATCTCAGGAGCTGTCACGTCAAACATTGACATACCTTGGAGGTTTTGGGGGTGGATCACCACGGGGTCTCCCGTGAGGAAAGTATCAAAGTCGAATTCTTCAAGTTCTTTTGACACCTTGGACGCCATGAGGTGTTGGTTTGCCGCTGTAGGAGACAGTCTGCCCACAAGAGAGCTCACTTATGAAATACATGGACATGTTGACCAGAAAAACAGGCCAACATCAGGGGGCGATGGTACTTGTGGCGAGCATGGCGCAGCCAAAACTGAGCGATTGGTCATGGCAGAGAGATCGTCGCGCCATGGCGCTTGGGCCTTAACAAATACGAGTGTGTTTCCTCGTTTTCAGAGGAAATGTTGAGTAACTTGAAATGAAAAAAAAAAAAAGTTTACAAAAATGGACTCGCGGGGAATCGAACCCCGGACCACCCCCATGCTAAGGGGGTATTATACCACTAAACCACAAGCCCAATTGCGTCGTGGGTGCCTGAGAAATGTGTCTCAACAGCGAAATCACACCAAAATGATCTTATTTTGACATTTCACCTCGGATCGCATACAGTAGAATTAAGTAATTGTTTTCTAGTGGACTGGTAATTATACTGCTAAATGAAAAGCCCGATGGTCCGAAAAGTAAGACCCTAGAATGATTCTACAGCTAAAACGATGGGAAAGTGTCTCTGAGTCTCAAAATGTTGGACATATATATCTTCGCCTTGTAGTCATAGCAAGGAAGCAACCTTGGGAAATTTCGTCACCCCCCTGAACAAGCTCTTTGCTAATTGTGATTGATCTTACCGAAATTCTAAGCGCAAATTTTGAAAACCCAACCAAAGATCTACAGACCGAGGGCAGGCATAATAATACAAGAAAAGGAACGGGCCATTGATCTATATCTCCATCTCCCCAGGGTTAAGTAGATGGATCGCGCTAAAATGGGTATCATTGCAGTACAAGAATATACACTCTCAGTCAAAATCCACGGGCGCTAGCCCTCTCGCCTCTAGTGCAGCCTGAATACTCCCCTGCATCGATCCAATCGCCTCCACCCAAGTAGAAATGCCTTCGGCTTGCCCAGACGGTGGGCTATGCCGAGCCGGCCCTTGTTGACAGGCGTCCTCGCCAACGAGCCACATCAGCCAGCGTACCACCGACACCGCCTTGTCCATGTCCCTCTCCTCGCCAATTACGCGTTCAAGGTATGTGCATAAAGTCGTGACATCTTCACTGTAAGGGCCATCGCCCGCAAAAGCCGAGTGCCATGCGCTGACGGCATCTCGTAAGTCAGGTAATTTGGAGAGTCGTTGAGAGGTGAGAACAGGGCGCTGGGGTAGTGGAGAAAGAGGGAGACGTTTCTCGACGGGTGGCGCGGGGGCAGAAGCAGATCCCGAAGCCTGTGGTTGGGACGTGGGTCTCGGTCCTGATGGAGCAACTACCCGTGGACGCTGGAGCATGCGGGTGCGCTTCTGCTCTTCGAGAACCTCCTGTCGGATATCTTCTGGCAATGCAGCTAGGAATTCTGCAGAGACTTCTGGCGAATCTTCCACGGGAGGGGATGGGTCCCCGGTCGCGTTCCGTTCTTCAGAAGCAGAGGGGGTTGGAGCGGTAGTCGCCGGTCGTGAGAGGACAAATGACTGGGTCAGGGTCTTGTTTCCAGTGCTTGCGTTCTTGGGCGGACGGCCTCGCCTTTTCTTCGGTGGGGAGGTTGGTCTCTTGAATTGGAGAGACCCAGCCGAGGCTGGACGTGATGCCGTGGCTAAAGGTACAGATGGTGGTGCAGATGGTGCAGAATTGGAATCTGGCTGGTTATAATAACCTAAGACCTCGTTCCGCACGTCTTCTGGCAACGCAGCCAACGTGTCCGGATCCAACTGTGATTGTGGGGGCAGGTCCGCTGTGGTAGGCTGGGGTCGGCGTGGAGGACATGGAGAGCCAGAGCGAAAATCCAGTCTGGGTTTGGCTTGAGCAACAAGCTTTGATCTGATATCCCCCGGTAACTCAGACACGACATCGGGGTCTGCTTGGGTGGGCATAATGAATTGGGAGCCAGAGATGTTCAGCGGCTTGTGGGCACTATTGCTGAGCACTGGGTCGACTTGGATACGAGTAGAATCGCCTTTGCATGGACTCTCCAGTTCATCAGGATCTGCAGCGGCCACTGGCTTCTTGCGAGCCGGCGATTTCTGAAAGTTGAGCTGCCGCTGACTGCTCTCGAGGTTTTCCGATGGCCCAGCTTTGAGCGGCTCGAGCTTGGTCATTTGCACACCCAGTCCTCGCAGATCGCCAGGAGAGAAATTGAAACTCCGCAACATCGAGTTCGCCTCCTTGGCAAGAACATCTGTTGCATTAGTAGCAACGCCAATAGCAATGCTCTTGTTGAAAACATCACACTTGCCATGACCAAGATGCTTGACCGGCTCTAGTGGCGCATCCATCGACCGTCGCATGACTTTGAGTGTGAGTTGCTTGCCCTTCACCAGGTTTTCCACCAGCCGCCGATTGAGTTCCTCGCACAATGACCGCACGAAGTCTTCAGCTTGAGCCTGGTTGACAAATCGAATGCCCCAATTTACCTCTGCTGAAACTGATTTCCTAATGACTTGGTTGCCAACTTCAGTTTTGTCGATGCCCCGAGCATATTCCCGCATTCGAGCACCGGTCTTGGGCCCCAAGCTGGAGATGAGTTTCTCCTGTGAAAGATCTCTGACGTCCTTGACGAACCTGACACCGATCTCTTCCAACTTGGCTCCAAGGCTATGCCCCCACCCCGGTAAATCTTGAACGGTGAGGTTTCCAATGAAATCCAAAGCAGCCTCTGGTTTCAATTGAAACTGCCCGGCAGGCTTGGCCTTTCGCAAAGCAATCTTAGCAAGCAGGATGTTGCCGCCAATACCAACAGATACTGCACATCCCGTTTTCTCCTTGATCGAGTCACGCAAGTGTTGGGCGATTTGATCAGCCCTAGCCTGTTCACGGTAAATCGAGCCCTCTGAGACACCTCTGCCATCTGAGCCACCAGCTTCCAAGCACTGGTTGGTGATGTCAATTAAGGCTTCATCAATGCTCACACTTTGCACCATCCCGTCGATGGAAAGAATGGAGCTGTAGAACTTGCGGCTTGCATCTTCGTAGGCCGGAAAATCATACTGCAAAACTTTCAGTTCCGGGCACGATTGCAAAGCGCCCTTCATCCACATCCCATTCTTTACACCTCGTGCTCGCGCAGCGTAGTTGCAGCTAGCTATTTCAGAGCCCGAGCCCGGACTATGGGCGACGGCGACTGGCTTATCGCGGAGCTCTGGGTATTTGAGAAGGGATACGGCCGCAAAGAATGAGTCAAAGTCAACATGAAGGATGTATCTTCTACCGCCAGACACCGGTCTTTTTGGAAAATGCAAGACTGCGTCTTTTCCTTGGTTGCTGCTTGAAGTTGGGCTTTGAGGTCGGCTTTCCATGTCGACAAGTGGTGGAGACGAGACTCTTTGTAGTATTGCTGAAGGAATTCTGGGTTGACAACACTCGACTTTCTCATCCGAGGATCGGAGAGAAGTTGTGCGTTGTGATCCTCTGAGGTCATTTCGGTTTTGGGAGAGCCCGGCTGCTTCGAATTATACGATACCTCGGCGGTGTCCATCAGTGGCGCCACGGAAGGCCGTGATGGATCATAATGGGTAGCCAGAGATTGTGCCTCAGAACTAAGCAAAGTCTCTGCTTCTGGGCGTGGAGACGGAGCCTTCTCCTCCTTTCCTTCGAATGTGGTAAAACTAGGAAAGTCGCCATAGTCCGACTGAGACGGCTGACTTGGCAATCTGTTGGAGCCTTTGGCCGGAGCAGGTGTAGTAGCAGGGCTTGGAAAAGAGTCAGGACTCCCATCAGTGCCAGCCATTACTTTCAACTGAGTGTTGTACCAACTCGCGCGAGACTCTTCTTTGTAGCCCAACTGGGGACTGTTGGTCTGGCTCACAAAACGCCCATCGTTGAACTTGAGAACCTTCTGGGATTGTCCTTCATCTACCACCCGGAACTCATCCCAGGGCAGCAGGCGTCCAGCCCGGATGCTTTCCGTCACCCATGCCGGCTTTACAATCCGGTACCGACGGAACTCCTCTCGTTTCTTAGGCGTAAGAGAACTTGCAATGATATGAGTTGCAGCCGTTTTCCCATCAAGATATTGAAGAAAACCACCGCCATGACTAACAATCATGCGGTGGAGATCTTGCAGGGAGGGCTGGGTGTATCCGTTAACGTGCGCGACAACCCCGCGGAAGATCGGTGGACAATCGACAGCCGTTGCTCGAATTTCAGCGTCTAAATTCTGAAGCTTGATTTTCTTGCGCCGCATATAGTCTCCGAACCCGCCGAAGCTGGACGCTTCATATTCCTCCCCAGCTTCATTATTGAAATCATCTAGATATGGTCGGGTTAGGACGAGGGCTGATCAAATAAATGAAGGGAACCTACGATTTTCGATGCGTTTACGAACCGCACTGGCATTGGCATCAAGACGAGAGCCCATTATGGGCCAGCAGGACCATCATGACCGACGTGGCAATCAGCGCAAGACAGACCTCGGACAATGTCAAGCGGAGATGAGGCAATTCGCGCAATCACGCGTCGCCGGGCAAAAGTCAGGTGGCCGACGGGCGGTGAACAAATCGGTCAGTGATGGCAAGAACAATAGGCGGTGAACGCTAAATATCATCTGTGATTGGTCGAAGTCACCTCGAGGCAAAAAAAAAAAAAAAAAGTAGAGCTCCGACGATCTTGTTGCTTCCTCAGGTCGCATCCTCTCTCATTTTTCCTTTCCTCATCCACACCTTGCTTTCCTTGTGGTTGATCCCATTCCCTCTTTTTCTGCTGTATTTTATTTCTTGCGTTTTTTTCCTCTCTTCAATTTCTCAAAATGTCTGCTGTGCAGCCTGTCGCAGTTTATGCCCTCCGGGTTCCTCCCGGGGCCATGATTCCCGCCGTGCCCAATGCGGCCGCTTCGGTGAGAACCGCTACTGACCATAATCAAAACGCTTATGCTGACTCCATTTATAGTTCCGTGTGAGCATGGCTGCGATTGACCCCGACGAGGCTCCCGAGTATGAGGACGATGCCGAGTCGAGCAAGCCTTCGCGCGCAACTCTGAAGATCGTTCGTCCCCCTCCGGGTCTGGATCTCGATGAGTCCGATGAGGACTACAGTGATGAGGACGATGATGAGGACTCCGAGGACGACGAGGAGGTCAATGGTGGTCCTAGCGATAAGGAGAAGGCCCGCAAACTGAAGGCGGCCGCCGCCAAGAAGGACCTGGAAGACGCGATGGAAGACGACGATGAGGAGGACGATGACGATGATGAAGGGTTTGACTTGAAGGCTGCCATCTCCAAGCTCATTAAGGGCAAGGCTCCCGCTACTGACGATGACGAGGACGATGAGTCCGAGGAGGGTCTTGATCTGGATGAGAATGTCATCTGTACCTTGAACCCTGAGAAGGTAAGCCCTGCAATTCAAAACATCCAGCTCAAAATATCAATTGGCTAATTCCCGAAACAGCACTACCAGCAGCCTCTGGATATTACTGTCTGCGAGGGTGAGCGTGTCTTCTTCAAGGTCACCGGCAATCACACTGTTTTCCTCACTGGTAACTACGTCATTGGTGTCGATGAGGGTCGCCCTCCTTTCGACGAGGATGAGGAAGATGATGAAGAGGGCGACTACGATCTGTCGCCCGACGAGGATGAGCTGGACATGGACGATATCATGGCCATGGAGGACGACGAGAGCGATGATCTGGATGGAATGGATGACCCCCGAATCACCGAGGTTTCTAGCGACGAGGAGGCTGACGCCCCCAAGCTCGTTGAGGCTAAGGGTAAAGGCAAGAACAAGCGCGCCGCGGATGAGGAGCTCAGCCTCGATGACCTGATGGCCAAGAGCAAGGATGCCAAGGCCGCCAAGGGTGAGGAGCCGACCTTGACCAAGGCCCAGCAGAAGAAGCTCAAGAAGAACAATGGTGACGCGGCCGCCCCGGAGCCCAAGAAGGAGGCCAAGACCGACAAGAAGGTCCAGTTCGCCAAGAACCTGGAGCAGGGCCCCACGCCGTCCGGTGACAAGCCCACGGGCAGCCTGGGCGTCAAGGAGGTCAAGGGCGTGAAGATTGACGACAAGAAGCTCGGCAAGGGCGTTGCCGCCAAGAGCGGCAACAACGTCGCCATGCGCTACATCGGCAAGCTCGAGGACGGCAAGGTCTTCGATGCCAACAAGAAGGGCAAGCCCTTCTCCTTCAAGCTCGGCAAGGGTGAGGTCATCAAGGGCTGGGACATCGGTGTCGCCGGTATGGCTGTCGGTGGCGAGCGCCGCATCACGATCCCTGCCAACCTCGCCTATGGCAAGAAGGCGCTGCCCGGCATCCCCGCCAACTCCAAGCTGATCTTCGACGTGAAGCTGCTGGAAATCAAATAGATAGCATTTCTGTTTGTGTTTGGTTCAGCCGGGGTATTTTTTTAAGGGTCTACCGGTTTTGCTTGCATGATTCCCGTGATACCGACTTGTGTCTTTTCTGCACGATGCATTCAACAGAGATGAAGGTTATCACGAGGCATTCGTGGCCCTTCATGTAAGAAAAAAGGTGTTCTTTGTTATGTGAATGTCGAGATTGTATTTTGTATCCGCGTTGCACTGAATCTACTGCTACATGGCGTTTGACATACTTAAACCAAAGGTATCAATGTCCTAGATCTACCCAACCACGATGAGTAGCTGTAATTTTAAAAAGCCTAAAATGCAAGAAACAGTGAATGATCATTTGATATTCACCAACATTCTTGCCGGAAATACCGCACCAGCTTCTCCACAAGGCCCTGGTCCAGTGGTAGAGCATTTGCCAGAGTAGACGAAGAGCGCGCCTTTTCTGTCTGCCATGTGAAGCTCTTCCTCGGCAAATCTGAGTCATACTTACCAGCAAAGAAATCAACCAGTTTAATTGGCGGGTTGGTCGCAGGGTCAGGATTTGACGAGCGCAGCCGCCGCAACCACTCGCGCTGATCAAGTTCCTCAAACTGCAACCCGGCCGCACGCAAATACGGGAGCAAGTCGCGGGTCCAGTGGAAAGGATGCTGGCTAACAACATTGAAGATGAGACTCGCCGCAGGATCGGCGCCGGAGATAACCGTTGACGAGAGGGAGAGGTCGATGATGGTGCCGGCGACCAAATCGACCGGAAGCCACAGCAGCGACTCGTCGAGCCGGGGCAATACACCGATAGTTGTGGCGCATTGCAGCATTAGTGGGATGGCCTCGGTGGCATTCCAGATGCCGTGCTGCGTGTCGCCGATGACTTGACCAATGCGCAGCACGCGTGCGGCTACCCCCGTCTGTGCGGCGGCTCGCATGCACAGGTGCTCGCCGACCAGCTTGGCCTGTGCGTAGCCCATGTCTTGGGCGTAGCTTAGCTTCGCTGGGAGCGTCTCGGGGACGGTATAGGTGGCTGTGTGCGCGACGGCGCTGATGGACGAGCAGAAGTTGAACGAGGCCGGGGCTGAACGCTGCGCTTTGAGACTTAGATCGAGTAGGTGCTTGAGTCCTGCGATGCTGTCGCGCTCAAAACTGCTGAGGTGCAGGTTGAAGTTCACGGACCAGGCGCTATGGACGATATCCGTGATTTCTGAAGCGAGGGTGTTGTACGTTGAGGCGTCTAGCCCTAGTGTGGGCTGCGACAAGTCGGACGGGAGAGGGATCAGTTTATTGCGCGCCGAGGAGGAAATACTATCGTACACGCGGCGGGTCCGCATGGAATCAAGCAGCCGATCGTAGGCTTCGATGGTGGAAGCAGCTCGCACAAGACAGTAGACCTTCCGGACCTCTTCGTGCGATGAGAGCTGCGCAGCAATGTGGCTACCGAGAGAACCGGTGGCACCGGTGAGAACCTGGATATTGTCAATTCACTGATCATCTGTTGTTCACAATTAAATTCTAGACCGCACAATACATTTGCCGCCCAGACCGTTCGCCATGGGCCGGTGCGTTTCAAACTGGCTGTACTTGTCTATAAGCGCCTGCATCTGGTCCTCCACGGCATAAGCCCCATCGGTGACACCACATGCCAAGGAGCATAGGTGACGAGCGAGCTTATTGATCGAAGGGTGCTCAAAAGCGACGTTCAATCCAAGTTTCTGCCCGTTCGTATTGATGTTCTTCACCAACAGAGACCGGAGCTGTGTAGCATGTAGTGAGTCCATCCCCAGGCAAAAAAAGTCCGCATTATCCGTTAAAGCAGACGGATCTTTGAGGGGCAACATCTTCCGGAGATTCTCGCGCAGGAACACCTTCATCTCGTCTTCCGACAAGTTGAGAGACCCAGTAACAGCCTCTGCTGCCTCATACGCCTCTTCGATAAGATCACGGAACTCTCGGTAGAAAGCCTGTCTGATGACAGTCCCCTTATCTGTGCGAGGGTACTGCGTGGCTGCAGGAAGTATCTTCACCATACACCGGGAAAGCTGTCCAAAGGCGGGCAGTACTTCATGAGCCTGTTCCACGGCCGGCCAGATATTATCAAGGAGCGCCTCGTCAGTGTGACTCTCCGCGGCAGGAGAACGGATGACTGCTAGCCCAATGCAGGCCTTTCCAGCACCGAAAACAATAGCCTCGGAGACGGCGTCGTGCTGCCGGACACTTCCTTCCAGGTCTAGCGGGTTGACCTTCTCCCCGTTCAGAAGGACGATAGTGTCATCGAGTCGCGCGTAGTACTTGTAGGCCTCCACAGTCGGATGCTTAATGAAGAGATCCTTGGTGGCATAGGAGCCATCCGGTCGATTGGATATCACCTTGGACGGCCATCCATCGAGACAGAGCAGCTCATAGAGGCCGGGGCTCCGTTCCTCGAACTGTAAATATTTCTTCACGGTGTCTGTGGGCCGCAGCCAGTCCCAGCCTTTGTCATCTCGAGGTCTCGTTGACATCATGAGCTGACCGGTTTCGGTTCTATAGAGGTCAGCAAATGAAATGCAGAAAAAGCCGAAGCAAAATAGATCAACCAGCACTTACGACCCATAGTGGCCGATCAAATGGACACCGTTATTGACCAGCCGATCACCCAGTGAGTCAGGGCACGCTGAGCCCCCGAACATGACAGCTTTGAATTTAAGCAAGACGTCAACCCCTTCCTGGGTCTCTGCTAGCAACTTCAAAGCGTAGGGCACTCCGTAGAAAATCTCAAAGTCGTGCGATCTCATAATGTCGATCAAATACCGTTTGGTGAGCGGCAGCTCAGCATTATAAAGATGCAGCTTCTTGCAAGAGTAGATCGTGCGAAACAAGACGCTCATGCCATGATTATGATACAGCGGCAGAGTGATAAACCCGTTCATATTCATGCTCCCGACGTAGTTCTTCAGAGCCGCGAAGTGGGTATGAAAGATCGGCTTGGGCAGACCCGTCGAACCACTGGAGTGAATGATCCATGCAATATATTTGGACTCCAGTTCAGGGTCTAGGTGCGGAGTGAGATTTGTGTCGACCTGGTCGACGATGGGATGGTTGTAAACATCTTGCGAGGGGATCTCGTCGATCTGAAGATGGGGGCGGTGTTTCTGCAGCTCCTCGGCTGTACCACGAAGACTCGGCTGAGTGATGATATTGGAGGACTTAGTATTCTCCAGGAGGGAGAGGTAGGCCTCGATGGAGATGCGCGTCGAGAGTAGTAGTCCTGTGTGACCGAGCTTGGCCAGGGCCAGAACTGTCACGAGGTAGTTGAGATCTGATAGTCCGAGGAGTCCAATCACCGCAGGTGTTTCTGATGAAGACGTGCGTGGAGGGATGTGCTTTGCCAGGTGCTGGGCTGCTCGGAAAGCGAATATATCGAGCTGGTGCATGGAATAGTCGACATATTCAATGCCCGTCTTGGGGTAAGAGATGATCGGCTGTTGAGACTCATCCAGAGAGGCCCTTTGCCGGACAAACTCATCTATTGTGCGTGGCTCGGCCGGGGTCCCTTCTACCAGAACCCCATGGCTGGTGTTGTCGGCCGATTTGGCCAACGGGATAGGGTTTGGCTGAGCGGGTAGAGTGGCCAACATGGTAGAGTGAAAGGGGCATATATTTCGACTTCTTTCTCTGAGAAAATGTGAGATTCAAGCAATCTGCTGAATCTTCAGGAAGGCCCCCTCGTCATCTATTAGAGCAGCGAGGTTTAAATTGCGTGTCTGGCACCTCCGCCTCCGCGTCAGACGGACCAGAGTGCGGGGATGCGGATATGAATCCGATCGGAAAAGAACACTGCGAACCACATCTGAACTGGAATGAGATCTTCATGATTGTGCATTGGTCGGAAAATAACATGTGGAGGCATCCTTTGTATTTTCCAAGGTTCCCTGTGGGAGTAAGAAGTCAGCCGGAAAACCTCCCGCGACCAGTGAGTCCTGAGCCGTCGAGTATTGCAAGTACCAAACTGCCAAGATATAAGAGTATCTATTTGAGGCAAACAATCTTCCAGCAGTCACTGGATACTTTGTCTGGATGTTTATTTCTTTTATTCTTTTCATGTATTCCTTGTTTCCCGAGTGCCGCGAGATCAGTAGTTGTTAAGTCACTAGAACATCAAATATGTCAAATATTTGAGAAAACCTCACGACATAACAGATTTTGTGCCCTTTTTTTCTCTATAGATTGTCTAGCCATTGGTGTATGTTTTATCAGATGGGTTTTGGTCGTTTAGCCTCGTGAGGCTCAAGTTGACTAAAAATGCTCCGTAGTCGGCTTTTAAATCCCCCCACCTGCTGCCTGCAGCTGTTACCTCTTCTCCCTCCACCAAGCACCGGATCGAGTTGTCCAGTCGGTGTAGTCTATCCATTTTATCTGCGCTTTAGAGTTAAGTGAGGGTGATTGAGAAAAGAATCAGTGCCCAGCATGTCCAACGTGCCAAACCAGCCCCCGGCGGGACCACCCAACCCACCGGGCGACCCGGTCAACTCCCCAGACTCTGAGATCTACAACCCCAAAACAATCTCCGAGGACCGCAGCGCGGCGAGTTCAGACCCGCAGCGCAAGCTGCTGGCCCTGCGTGAAGCCGGCCACGGGACGCCAATGGCTCCCGCACCGCCGCATGACAATTCCGCACTGCAAGACTATCAAATGCAAATGATGCTGCTGGAGCAGCGAAACAAGCGACGCCTCATGATAGCCCGACAGGAGGAAGACCGGCTCGCGGGGCAATCGTCCTCGCCAGGGCCCAGCGATCAGTCCATTGTACAGGAGAACATCGATTCCGGTACGCCTGGCAACTCGGAATTCCCGTCGGCTGAGGCGTCTCGTCACGCATCAGCTGGCGGGCCTTTCGTATCAGAAACGGACCAGCTGCGCGCCCACGTTGCCTTGTTGCAGGACAAGGTGCGCCGGCTGGAAGCTCGCTCCGGCAACGTGGTGCCCTCGAGGCTTCAGGTTCTCTACCGCATCCAGAGCAACGACGACGACACCGACCATTGGACCGGCCCGTTCTTGGATCCCCCGGAAATAATCCATGGTCAGAAAGGCGCACTGCAGTTGCGATGCAATGCACCCCTGACGAACTTTGAGCTGTACCTCGCCGTCAACCCGGACATCTCGTTTGTGGTGTTCAAGAACTTCAGCAGAACCGTAGATCTCGACAGCTCTCGTCCCGAAAGTGCGGTTTCGGATTCTGCTGTGACCTCGCACAAGCCGCGGCCCATCAGTGAGACGGTTCGCCCGGTGTCCAACGATCTGAAGGCCGCCTTGCGAAAAATCTTGAACAACAACACCGAGTTCAAGGAAATCACTCATGCGTATAATCGGACGCAGGAGCTCGCTGCGCCGTATCTGTTCATCTACCACAGCCGTGGGAAATTACCCGACAGCCAACAGGGCCCGGTGACGCCGGCAGAGAAACAGCTGCATCTCTTCATCCAGTACGTAGAGGAAAGCCACGGCGCACATTACGCGGCCGCAGACGCCTTGTTCGACAGAAACAAGATTCGCCCGGAGTATGTGGATTACCTATTCAAGCCAGGCGATGTCCTGGTATCAAACAAAAACAACGAGCACACAGGATACGTTGCGGCGTCGTGGCCAACTCGAGACCAGATAAAACTTGGCGCACAGAAGTCGACATGGACGGTCAGAGGCTGGACGTGGAAATTCGATGGCGGCTTTCACAGGGAAGAGGAGACCCTCACGTTCCAGATACCTGATGCACGGGCTCCGAATCAGCGAGAAAAGCTCGATGACTTTGACCGAGAGCCGCAAAGCTTCTATCGCGCGCGAGCAGACCAAGGCGGTGACGTTGGTGAACAGCCGGATGAGATATCCATCACAGAGCTTACCGTGTTACCCATTAAATATGCGTCGGACGAGCTTGTCAACAAGCTGCGGCGGCGTGGAGATACCTTCTGGAAGATCCGCAAGCAAGGGTTTGTTTCATACCACGCCATCGAACAGGAAAGCTTCCAGGCTATGGTATGTTGTTCTGCAAATCACGCTCCATCAATATTCATTGGCATAGCACAAGCAAAGCTAACCACTGCCACCAGGCCGAGGATCGATACATGATTGACATGAAAACGTATAAGAGACTGCACCCCCATCCCTGGCCAAATGTGGCTTACCCCATAAACCAAAACGGCCCCGAGACTCTCACTGAGCAAGAAATGGACCGGGAACAGCCACCGGACGAGAAGTTCCGGTTACTGATGCCAACAAAAGTGATAGGATACAGTCTCCGGTTAAAGAAATGGTTTGATCTTGCCACGGACCGCATTTCGGATGTCACGTGGAACAAAGAGGCCTTCCAGAGCCTGGCGATCGACCCCAAATCGCGGGATCTAATCCAGGCCCTGGTTAGCAACCACCTCGAGTCTGAGTACTCGGCCGACCTGATTGCCGGTAAGGGCAACGGGCTGATCCTGCTGTTGCACGGCGGGCCCGGGACCGGCAAGACGCTGACAGCGGAGAGCGTGGCGGAGATTGCCGAGAAGCCTCTCTATCGAGTGACCTGCGGTGACGTGGGCACCAAGCCAGAAGAGGTGGAGACGTATCTGGAGTCGGTGCTGCATTTAGGCAAGATTTGGAATTGCGTGGTGCTGCTCGACGAGGCGGACGTGTTCCTGGAACAGCGCAGCCTCGAAGACCTGGTAGGAATTCCTCCCCCGATCTCGAGAAAGATTGTGAAAGAAATATTGCTGACTATACAATGAAAGCGTCGGAACGCACTGGTCTCTGTTTTCCTGCGCGCCCTGGAATACTACGACGGGATCCTGATCCTGACCAGCAACCGGGTCGGCACCTTCGACGAGGCATTCAAGTCGCGAATCCAGCTGGCGCTGCATTACCCCAGTCTCGGCGAGGAACAGCGCCTTATGATCTGGGAGACGTTCATCTCGCGCCTAGAATCTGTCGACGGCGAGGCGATTGACGTGGCCGATCTGCGGGCGCACCTGGACTTGCTCAAGAAAGAGAAGTTGAACGGTCGCCAGATCCGGAATGTCATCACCACCGCTCGCCAGTATGCGCGGTGGAAGAAGAACACTCTCACGTACGAATACCTCAAGGATGTTATCGACGTGTCGGGGCGGTTTGATACCTACCTTGACCGGCTTAATAGCGATGAGGTTCAAGATTAAGTGATCTGAGATATGATAAGTATACCGGTATGGTGATTTCGTAAATGAACGCGAGTTCTCAAGGAATGAATATAGGTGATATTTTGAAACACCCGTGGATCGCAACCATCCTGCTGGTCTCAGAATGTAAACGTGGATGGATCATTCGGGAAACTAGACAAAGCCTGTAGATAGAAGTTAGCAATGCAGAAACAATAACGAGTGGTTTCAGCTTCACTCTTACCCATGAGTCAAGTTGCGTCCACCAGATCGAACCCTCAAGGCTCTCAAGAAACCCTATATCATCGCCGCGATCGATGGGCGACTCACCCAGCTCAGCTGGCTGAAGGATACCGGGTATGGGAGGGAGAGCCATAGCACCAGGATCAAGAGCGAGGGGTCGATCAGGACCATTCGGCGAACCGGCATTCTGCGCCGCAGGGTCTTCAATGCCAAGCCGGACAGCACGCGCCTGTCCAGTCGCAGAAGCAGTATCGTCCGAGCCGATCTGGCGTCGAACCTCGCGGCGCAGCTCCTCAAGAATAATACTATACCGACGACTCGGACAGTTCTTGCGCGTAGCCTCCGCAAGATGCTGCTGGCAAGTCTCCGCCAGCGAGAAGAGGTAGCGCTGCTGCTGCCGGGCATCATCGGCATCATCCCCAGGACTCGGAGCCAGGGATTGGCGGTGTTGCTGGATAGTATGGATATAGACGACGAGGATAGCGCAGAAGGTCACGTAGTGCGTGAACCAGAACGACTGGATTAGAATGCCTTGCTGGGCCAAGCTGTCGACTAGGGTCATGACATCCTGGGCGGCCTCGATGCACTTCTGCACGTGCGTGCTGACTGTCGGGTGGTGCGGGATTGTCGGGCGCCGGCTGAGATCTGTAAAGTCGTTTAGAAGAAACGAGCGTGTTACGTGGATCATGGCGTGCGAGTAGGCTAGCTGCAGGACCTGGCTTTGGCGACAGAGCGGCGGGATTAAGCTCGAGGGTCGGACGCTGTTGAAGAGTGGGGGCACGCTCTCTTTCCATCTCTCTAGTTCTGAGGTGAGGCGCACGGCGGTTTCTAGGGCTGAGTCTCGAGAAAACGGGTTGATGCTGTATAGTTGCCGGGAGATGTCGCCTAGAATGCGACCAAGCCTGCGGCAATGGTTAGTGTTAATCATTGCATATCGAAAAGGATAGGGAAGGAAGAAACAAACCGGTAATGCAGGGCCGAAGCAATCATCATGCTATCTGCAGAGCCAGTGCGTCTTGCCGGATCCTCCTCCAACAGATCCTCGTCGTTCATCTCGTCCGGCAGCTCTTGATCGAGATCCTCGTCACGGAGCAGCCGAGACCGTCCAAACATGATGCTGAGGTATTTATCCAGGGTGTAGGCGCTCCAGAAGATTCGCTTGCGGAGTTCCAATTCAAGGTACGAGCATTCGTTCTTTGAGAGTTTGGCCGGCCACTTGCGGTGCAATCCAAGAGCTGTGACGACCTGCAGGGCGGTGCCAAACGAATACCAACATTCATTGGCGCGCGAAGATGACAGCAAGTACAGACATTGGCCGAGTCGAGCTTGAATAGTTTCAAGTCGCGGGGGACCTGATTCAAGGGACGACATGTACTTCGAAGCCGCGTACCATCGTTCACTATGGTGGCTTGTTTGAGTCAAAATGGAGCTCTTTCTTGACATTGGGTTTGACATGTTTACTTACCTTTTGCTCCGCTCGTCTACTGTCTCACCCGGCTGCAGCTCTTCATACAGCGTGCTCACAGCGAAGACCATCAGAACAATAGCCGTCCTAGCAACCATGTTCCCAACCGGCGGATTCGCAAGCGAGATATTGTTCCGATAGACATACTTGACCCATTCCTCGACACTCCCACGGTGCAAGAAGCGGTACGTCACAATAGAAAAGTCGAAGTAGATGCCCACAAGCTCCAAAGACTTGTCAAAGGACGGAAGCGTGAATTCAGCTTCCTGGTAGTCAGAGTATGGCTTATCGCCAAACATGAACACAGCCGTGTTCCGCGAGGACTCCCGCTGCAGCTCGTCGGGGATGTGAGTTGTCTCGTCCTGGTGCAGACGACTCCAGACCCGGTTGATGAACGACACACCGGACGCCGGGCCGAGATAATTGCCCTCGAAATCGGTGGACCCAGGCTCGGGCGATGTCCGGGGTGATGATACTGCAGGACGCTGGCGGAGGAGCGACTGATGCTGATCGTCCTGGGTCGAAGCCCTGATGCTGCGGGAACGAGGACTGTTGGACTGGCGAGCATCTCCGGATTCCCGACGCACAGCCGAAGTTGAGAAAGAGCGCGAGGATGCCGGTGGAGGTTCTGGCGGCAGTCCTCTGGAGTAGGCAGCGTTGTATTTGCAGGGCAGCGACAGCCGCGTACATCGCGTGCAGGGCAAGGTGCCGTTGCACCGCGTTTTCTTGAGTTTGCACGAGTCACAGGCTCGGGTGATTTTCTGACGGGCCGTGGCTGGTTTATTCGACAGCTCTGATGCCTTTCTCTTGCGACTGGCTACTGCATCGTCGTCTATCACGGCCCGCATTCCGGACCGCGTAGACCCTTGCGTGGCCACGCTTGTAGTTACCATGTCCAGGATCGGACCAATGCCAAGCAACACATGGAAAAAAATAAAAAAAAAACCCCCTTGGGCATAGGTTTTCCGTCTCGATGGCAAGTGGTGTGTGTGTGGAGGGGAGTCCTGGCAGTCAGAGGAGACAGGGCAGGATAAATATCCGAGATCTTTGGAGAGTGGAGTCCTCGGGCTAATTCCGGCCGCGGGGTTTTGGTCCACTCCCCGGATTTCCAGCGAAGGCGATAACATCGATCAACACTGCAAAGCATTGTTAGGTGGATTTCCATGGAAGGCAAAGACGAAGCAGTCGTTGAAAGAAGTTGAGGCTGCCAGAAGCGATACCAGAAAAACAAGACTTCTGGTAGAAGTATAAACTGTACGAAAGAGACCCCGCTAATACACTGAGATTTTTTTTTATCCAATTGTTTATCTTTTGCAATTAGGTATTTCTTTGCAAGAGTAAGCCTGGATAGGTCTGCGATACCGGAGGATCCAGGTCGGTAAAATGAGGACGGCCATTGTCCTTGCTACGGGCATGAACGGGAGGCCGAGATATCGGTGCCACAGCAAAGGGACCTAGCGACAGTGTGCCATACCTCTCACAGAGGGCGGTTTTGCCAACATCTCGGCCGCAAATAAAAAAGCCCGGACATCATGAGCCCGATCAGATTTCAATCGAGAGAGCCTTGGTGAACTTCATGGCAGGTGACATTGGAATCAAACATCTTCTGACAAGTGAACTTTTCCACCTCAGCCGAGGACCGCAAGAGCGGGGGTTTCCATCGAACCAAACCCGGCTTCACGGGCTCAAGGTTGAAGTCGCATTCTGGTATTCTGTGGACAGTTCATGACCACCTTGCGAGGACCAATCCGGCACCCGCGCCCAGGGGATAGAAATGCAAGACAAGAAAAAGAAGAGAACAGCAGTCGGCCCAGATGTGGTACTACCGGATAGTCTCGTATACCTGCGCAGAGGATCGGGGTCGTTTCGGGCCATTCTGGAGGGCTTGTCTTCTGGTAGCACACTGGTCCACAGACGGGGGCGCGTGAGAATATGCAAAAAGATAATACATGACTAGTGCCATCCTGGAAGGAAGAAAGAAAAAGAAAATTTGTTTGCAGGCTCTCAGTAGGAAGATTGCAAACGTCACCGTTGGCATACCAGGACGCACGAGTCAGTCAAGAATTCATGTTGACCTTGCCCGGGCGCTCCTGGCCAAGGATATAAAAGAGCAGAGCAGAGGAGAATGTGGAAATAGAGCAGGAACGGAACAGAAGATAATATTAAAAGAAAGGCAACAGGCTCTTAAACAACCAACCAGAGGTCATTGAAAAGAATTCGATGTCCGAATCTCGCTTGATGTGCGTGTAGTCCAATATGACTCCAGGGAAGATGCAGCAGCAGGATGGGGATCTGTTCCCACCCTCGAAAGAAAAACAAGTCCTTTTCCCTTTTTCTCTTAGCGCGGATCAAAGAAATTGCCCATGGCTCTGCTCATGATATTCGGGTCCATCTCGGGGTTCTGGGCGTCCGGGACGGGAGGGTTGGGGATTTGAGCTAACAGGTGGGAGACGGTGGCGCGGATGTCGTCCTGCGAGGCGCCGGACCGGATGGTATGGAGGAGATGTTCGATGCCTGGGTAAGTACTATATCGAAGCACAGCCAGCATCTGATCCACGAAATCTCGGAGACCCATCAGCTCTTCCTGGGTTCTTCGGGCTGATGCTTTGCGGCGTCTGTCGGAGGATTCATCGAAGACGCATTCGCGGCCATGAGCCAGACATTCTGTACAAGGAACTCCGCTGCACTGGATTGGTGAAAAGAAAGCAACCAAGCATGGAAAACAAACGGTCAGAAACTATCTCGGCAATGAAATTGAGGTGGAGGGGGTGGGGGTTCAGAACACCCTGGTGGGGGAGGGAAAGAGAGAGAGAGAGAGAGAGAGGAAGATTGAGTGTGAGGGGTAGATGGGAGTGTTTGTATATACCCTTGTCCGACGTCGTTGGCACTCTTTGCAGGCCGTCGAAGCCCTTCTCATGCGACCATCCTCTGGTGGTGGCCCTGAATTTGAACCTCCATTGCCCCCTGGTGCCAGACGAGGGGCAATGGGCCTGAAAGGCATTGTCCCTTGGTCGCCCATGCCCGGAGCTGCATAAAGCACCACAGGCAGGGAAAAGAACAAAAATAGAAAGGAAGCGAAAGAAAGTGGGCAAAGCAGATCAAAAAGCTGGATCCCCCAGCGGAGCCTCTATTCGAGTAGCCACTATGTGGAAAGCTATTATTTTTTTGGTTCAATGCAAATCACTTCGAGGGGAGCCTACGAGAGAATAGGTAGTCTGGGACGCTAGTCACGTCAATGAATTCTGCACGCCCTGCCGAGACCGAGCAGAGAGAAGGTGGAGCAGAGAAAGATCGCGAGAAAAGAAGGAGAGAGAGGGGGCGGGCAAGGATTGAGAGAGAGCTGCGTGGGTGGCGCAGAAGGTGGGCCTGGCACTGACATTCCTCGAAAAAAATCAAATGTAGATTTCGTGTTGGGTTGCTGATGATATTATACTATTATATCATTCTCTGATTAAATTATCCTGTTCTTCTGCGCTTGACTATTTGCCATTTCTCATTTTATCCATTTTGGTCGATCTATTGGAGTACGTGGAAGGTCTGGAGTGATTTCCATGGCAAAAGAAAAAGCAAGAATCCCATGAATTGGCACCTCCAACAACTAATCCCATGGAGAAGCAAGCCTCGGTGATAGCTTGTATACCCTGTATACATCCATTCCAGTCTATTTCTTTCCTCGGACATCAAAGTGGAGCCCGAACGTAGGCACGAGAGATCGATAATCGGGATTTCCTAAGAAGAAAAAAATATTAAATAATAAAATCATGGCACCAGATTAGCTCTGATTTACCTCGAGATCATGACTCATACTGTGATCAGCCCAACCCAACTGTCATCAGGCAAAAGGCCCAAAGATCATGAAGGTGGACAAAAAGAAACAGGAAGGATTGGCTCGGATATTTGTTCCGGCAGAACTGATAGGCTGTAGCCGGTACCGCCATTGAGGTATTCACGCTCGATAATCTCCACAACCCACCAGGGCCCCAATATCGATTGGTCGACCTAAGAGCTTCTCACTTTGTCGTCCCGAGGCTGCCCCCCCGCCCCGCTGCTTCGACTGTGGTTTAGTTGGATAGTGTACTGGTAATCGCGTCATTTCACTTGCTGTCAGTGATAATGGTTAACAGTAGTGAACAACTTCAATATACGATCCCTCTCATTCAGGTTGCAGCACAAGATATACTCATATAAACCCATCCCTGGTGGATGATCATGCCGCGGGCCCCGCCGTACCGGGAAAACCTTGACAGGTTAACCGCTGCATTGCAATCCCCATTATCTGCATACCCGGCGCGCACGGCACTAGGGATGAAAAGGGGGGTCCCTCTCCAATGGACAGTGCAGCTAGGCGAGAGTCTGGACAATCTCCATCTGCAGCCCCCTTTCTCCTCTTTGGAGATTTTGCCACCGGGCTAGACGATGAGAATCGCATGCAGAGAGACGAGAGACGAGAGACTCTGTGCGAAGCATCCATGCCCGACTGCTTGATCTCCATATTGGTGAAGTATCTCAACTGAGCACCGGAGACAGAAAACAGTAGTATAGGGGTGTCTTAAAGACATATAAACAGAAAACACCCAGCAGGCTGGTATGTTAGGTGGACACCATGCCCTCGGGGGCCTGACTTGGGCTACGCACAGCTTCTCCGCTCTCTCTCGTTGGCCGGATACTTGCTCCGATGGAGTTTGGCGAATGGAGGAGAGAAGAGAAAGAGAGGGAGAGAGAGGGGGGGCCAAGAGACAGTCGCCACTGAGTCGCCACCGAGTGCTCCAACGTGTTTGAAAGGGTGGAATTATCCGACAATCTACCGGGGACTGGGCTCTTCTCAACGCGGATGGACATGTGGTCTATCAAAGTTTTTCTGCTCATCCTTTGCCCTGCGCGGGACACTCAATATGCTCCAACCTTGGGGGTGATTTTTAGTAATCATATCAAATAGTGTAACCGATCAGGGTGTAAATGTAAATATTTGGAATATGCTATCTAAAATATCAAGACCCAAAAGAATAGCGGCATGTCTCTGAATATGGTCTCAATTGTTTACCAAACTACTGTACCTCCCCGGGTTTAGTTCCTGAACAGTAAAATAGTAATACCAAGTACCGGAGCCCAGTGGATCCCTTCTGAGGGCTCTGAGTGGTGTCGGCGATGGGTTCCATGTCTCCAAGAAAAAAAAAAATCTCGATTCCACCTTTCAGAGATGTGGTGAAGTCCAAAGGGGAACGTGCATCTGCCAACCTTAGGGTAAGTTAGCGCCCAAGCTTGACAAGTTGATCCCCCAAAGCTTTCTCTCTTTGAGATACTGTTTGCCGGACAGCTTCGAGAAGCATGCCTTTTGGGGTCAGGGTAAGCATACACATCAAAAAACGTACAGCTTCAGAAACACAAGATCTTAGGGTTAGGGTTAGATGGTTATAGTACTGAGTAGTACAAAAACAGGGATTAGCAGCGACCCATGTCTACCTAACGAACCTCTATACATACAATTTTCTCTAGGGCAATAGTATCTTGAGTCATGCAAAGCAGTAAAAAAAAATAAAAAGAATGGGCAGATCGATGTCAGTGTATCCTAATCACAGATTCCTCTCCGAGTCACACACACACACACACACACAGAGAGAGAGAGAGAGAGAGAGAGAGAAAGACAGATGCAACCCCAACCAACACCAATTAGTCCAGCCCGCAGCTTTGTTCCGTTGATCGTCGTTTCTCGCCACCAGCTCTGCCTACGTGGTTCCGGCGGATCGCAGCTCAAGCCTGGATCCGCGGGATCGGCCATCGAGGGGAGACATACATACAGTAGCCAAACAGATTCTCTTTGTTGAGGTGAATTACTATAAGCAGCTTTAGGTGGGTGGCGAATGTCAAGGATGAGGGGGCGGGGCATGGAAGAAGCGGTCAAATATGCCCAGTGCCTCGGGTGGTTGTGGTAGAGACTAGAGATTAGGGCTTACGGTCATAGCTATCCTTGTTGATAGATATTGGACAAAAGAAAAAGAAGAAGAAGAAGAAGAAGAAGAAAAACAATTACCAAATACTATAGCTGTAGATAACGAATGAATAAAAAGAAGAGAAATAAAAGAAACGAGAGAATGTAGGTTTGCCTACGACAACCCCAAGAAGTATACAACCATTACTGGATAGTTCGCCCGACAATCAATGCTCGGTTCGAGGATGACCCCTGTCAATATACATGTACGGTTGATAGCCACTATTTCCTCACTCTCTCCAATCTTTTTCACAAAGAGCGAATCCTACCACACTCAGCCTTTGACACACCCTGGCCCAAGTTGTCGATCCCCGTCCCCGACGACGATCCTCGCGGCACGCAGACCCAAAACTGATGAATTCGATCTCACAACAACACACAGCATGCATGCATCTTTCCCATGCACGATGCATGTAGGGCCCGAGATTCGGACGAGAATGCCGGGTTTCTGGATCGCACCTGAAGCGATTTGAGTCGAGTTTGTCGATCATCGTACATAGACGGGGAATCCATCCATCCATTTCTTTGGGGGCGCTACAGGAGAAAACAACACACGACCAGAACGGGGAAAAAGAAATTATAAAGGAAGAAAGGATTGTAAAACCAAGTAAATCAAGTTCTGACAAGGGTATTGCACATGAAGAAGAATGGATATAGACAGGGATAGAAATATGTACAGAGACCAAAGGAGAAAGAGCAAGACGGCAAAGGCATGGCATATCTCATACCTGAGAGCTAAGGGAAGGATATCAAAGCAAAAGCAAGTCCCAAGTCCAACCCCCAACGATCCCAGGCGCATCAGTAAATCGGACGTCCCTCGTCCCAGCGACGAGACTGTCTCGGGCTGGTAGCAGGGTCGGGCTTAGTGTCGTCGGCAGTCATATACTCCAGGGCCCCGGGACTCGAGGGAGAAGGCAGAGAGAATCGAGCACTGTCGCGGCGCGCACTACCCTCAAGATCGGCGCTAGTGCCGCCAACACTGCCAATACCGCCGATCCACTCCCAGACCCGGGCGACGTCGCCGCTGCGGCCTTCACGGACGGCGGCGCGCACATTAGCGTTGCCCTCGACGACGCGGCGGACGCGGCGCCAGAGCTCCTCGCGTCGCTTGCCCTGGAGCTCGAAGCGCAGGACGTCGTCGCGGAGCTGGCCGATGGGGATGTACGGCTCTCGGGCGCCGTTGCGGGCATGCAGGGCGGCCTGCGTGGCGAGCCGGTCGAGAGTCGTGGCAACGAGCTCGGGCACGCGGGCGATGTCTGAGCGGCGGGCACGTACACGGGCCCGAGCATACACAAGGGCGGCGGCAGTCAGAATTAGAAGTGAAAGAGGGAGTCGATACGCGAGGAGAGCGAGTCGAACGTATCGGCGGACGGCGCAGGTGAGGGGGAGTCGGGCGATGGAGGTGGAACTGAGGACGAGGACGGCGGATGGTCTGTGATTGCCAGGGCGTCTCTGTTAGTTCCGGTACACAATGTCAGAACCAAGAATCTTAAAGAAAATTCGCTGCTGAACGCCAAGTCCAGAGCCATAAGCGTAACCAAGGAGATACGGAAATGTCCAAAGGACGAAGAGGATGAGAGATCACTTACTGCTGGACTTTGCTGACGACCTCGTCCTTGTCAATAACCTCGCCGATGGCACCTTTCCAGAGATCCTCGAATTCGCTGTCACTCATGCCCTTGCGACGTCTCTTTGCAACCTCTTCCTTCAGGTCTGGTTCGCTGATATCAGGGGAGCGAGCATCTTTCCCATCTTTCTTCAGCTGCCCGCATTCCCACTTAGCACGCCGGCTTCGAAGTTCTTCCACTGCTTTATCTGCAACAGCCTTCACACGACGAGCCTTCTCGCTGTCGGGTTCACAGGTCGGTGGCAGGGGAACCAGACCACCAACGGCAAGAGGGTGGGGCTTGAGAATAAAGTCATGCTCGCAACGAGCCTCGAACTCCGGGTAACAAAAGGCATGGGGTGGACACGGCTCGCACCGCGGCTCGAGGACGTTGGCCCACTCGGGTACTTTCGTCTCAGCCAACGACCAGGTGGGCTTGCCCAGACCACAGAACCCAATCTCGATCTTCTCCTTGCGCCACCAGGCGCCAAAACTTCCGAATATAGAGAGGATTACCAGCCAAGGAGCAATGCGGCCAAAAGCACTGGGCTTCTGCGGCCGTCGTCGTACTGTAGTTTCCGGCGCGTAGTGCTCGCTCTCCAGGGCAAGCTGCTCTTCCGGAGTGAACTCCTCGCCAGCAATATCACTCTCGTCGTCTTCATGATCGTCATCGGATTCTTCTTCTGGTTCCTCCTTGGTGGGCCTCAGCTTAGAGGCAAAGTCAAACGAGTCTCTCGCAGGAGCCTTGTATCCATCATCTTGCCTGACGCTGGTAGGAGTAGCCGACTTGCGCGATCGTAACCCTCTCTTCAAAGCCGGGCTCTCAGTCGACAACCGCGACCCGCTCTTGCGCTTCCCATCATGGCTAGCAGCTCTACTCCCCGGGAACTCAGAGGGACTACCACTCTGGAAGGGATTGTCGTAGGTGAAAACACTTTCATCCCGGGATTCTGTCTTGGTCGATGGCGTGTATTCTTCGACCTCAGTCGATGGGAGCACCTCACTGCGCCGCAGCTTTCGAGAGGTAGACTTCCGCGCCGTGGATCCAACAGCCGCAACGGGCGTTGCGGCCAAATCATCACCGGTTTCCGTATCCGAGGCACGCGGGTGCTTGCCCACCGATCGCGCCACGCTCCGCCGTTTCGAGGCCGTAGCGGGTGTAGCAGGAGCATGGCTGTCATCCGTGTCGGCAGTCGAGGCTCGAGTACTGCGTCTAGTCCCCGTGCGTCGCGGCCCCGTCGACGAGGACACCGTCGAGGGTGTGGCGGGCGGAGGAGGCATGGACTCGCGATCGTCCGCGTCACTCGCAACGGACGTCGCTCGACTTCCCATATCCGTGATACCCGCGCTCGTCCTCCTGACCCGTTCGCGGTCCCGTAGAAGCTTCCGCGCCTGGGGGAGAACCTCGTCTTGCAGGATGCCGATCAGCTGAGCCTTCTTGGCTGAGGCAGGGTACGGCACATCGTGGTTGACGAGAATAGAGCGCAAGCGAGGGACGGTGAGGGAATTGAGGTCGAAGTCTGGATTCAAATAATCCAGTTCGTCGGCCATGTTGTAATGTATTGTTGCAGGTTTTCCTGGGTTGCGGTGGAAAATTTAACCTTGCCAACACACGCACACCGCGCGACCGAGATCGTCACCGCAAGGTTTGGCGACAAGGTCCTGAAGAGAAGTGGTATCAGGATCTTCTGCGCAAAGTATCCAGTTCGGTTTTAAAATGACGGGGATGAGCGATGATCACGCCTTTCTTTCGGCCTCTGCTTGGAGAAAACCTGGGTGATTGTTTTTTCTCACTTCCTACTTAACCGGGGCAAGTTGGTCAAGTCGGTAGCCAGGGCAACAGGCGGGGCGAGGGATCCGAATAATAAGGCCAACCCAGTCTATAGGCCGAATAAGAAGGAAATGGACACAGGATTGACTTGGACTAATTTTTTAGACGCACTTCGCCTGATCAAGAATCCAAAACAGAAGATCAAGCGAGGGAGAGAGTGAAAGGATGACGAACAAAACAAACAGCTCTATCAACACGTGACTGTCTTGCCACTGAGCATGCGTGTCCCTGTGAGTACAACTAGAGTATGATGTCAACCAGCATGCCGCCATACCTATCGGGGTAGACACGAGGCCGATCGGCCAGATCAATCAGCAACGAAGTCCGAATAAGGTATAATAAACGAGATTTTAGGGTCTATATGTAGTATTTGTATAGTAAATTTTCGAGAATCAAGGACTGTTTTATATATATACTTCTAGTATTGATATTAGGGTAAATCACCTAATTTGTTAGTTCGATAATTATAAGCCCGGTTCGTAGTAAATAAAAAATAGATATTAAAAGATTTTTAATACTAAATTCGCCTAAATTCTACCGAATTTATTTATTTATCTAAAATACCCCTAAATTTCAATATCCCGATAATATCGAATATTAATTATACCAATATAAAGTGTTTACAGAGATGGTGAGGCATGAAGCTATTCCCAACTGACGGAAGGGGTGGATCAGGTGATATCACATGATCTCAATAGAGATAGAAAGTTGGACCCTGTTATCTGGCCCACCCTACGATAGAATAATCACGATACTCGGCAGAGACCTAGTCGTTTATATTATCGATGATACGTGGAGTTATAAAGATATTGTATGATAAATTGATACTCTCGCATCAAGCTGGAAAGACAAGATTCAGTCTTGACAGCAAGAAGGATATACCTTTTAGTCTATCACTATTCTATTTGTTTTCTTTACCTAATCGACAGGTTTTATACCCTGCCTAGTATATTCTTTACAATTTTCGCTGAATTTATAAGCGAAAGAAGGTGCTCCTAGAAACTTGGTTCTAAAATATACGCGTTATTAGCGATTAGATAGTCCCTAAACTTTAATAGTCTATTTTCACCTGGATAGCTTCTTTATATAGACATAATACAGCCTATAAATTATACTCTATATCTAGCTATAGTGAATAGTGATAGATAAGATTCCTAGATTGTACTAATATCGAGTATAGAGACGGATTTTGTGTTTAGAATTCTGCTAATTAAATTATTTATCAATATTGTAGATAATAGAAAGAAAAAAAAAACAACGGATACTAATTAATTAGGGGGAAACCTTATCTCTTGCAGCGGCGGATTACCGTTATTAGGAATAAGTTCGAGTAGATAAACATTCGAAAAAGGTAGAATACAAGACTAGAACATTTTTTGCTCTAAGTTCCTAGGAACGGCTCTAGGCAGCAAAGCGCTTATCATCAAATGAAGTGAGACAAAAAGAAGCGTGACATAGGCCAGCCGGAGCATTAGGGGGCAAGCAATCACCATGCTCAGGGACCGGCTCTGGGAGCACTCCGGAAGCGCTCAGGGTGACGGGGAGACTAACTTAGGTTGCGCTCCGGGAGCTGATCGCTTCCCGAGGCGGCATTGTTACCCTCACTTAGACTACACAATATATTCACAACTCACACCAGATACAAAGCCGAAGAAATCCACCGGAGACACAAAATACAGGCAGAAAATCCAAGGGGAAAAAAAAAACAGAAACAGGAAAGACCACCGTGGCTCCATGTCCTGATGCTTCATAGATCAGAAAAACAAAACTCCCCCCACGCGGAAAAAAAAAAGAAACGCCGTCAAAAAATCAAAAGGAGAAACAAAGCGCACAAGAAAACAGGCAAGAAAATGACAAAAATAGCCAACGCGGCCAAAAAGAAAAGATCAAGGTCATTATTAGGATGTATGTATGTATAGAGAGCATAACAGAATCAATGACCACTGCGGGCCAAGTCGAACGAGCGGGGGGTATCAGAAGGGCCGGGAAGTTGCAAGAAAGAAGACGAGGCAGAAGAAGCGAGATTGCTGTCCAGGCTGCCAGACGAGTGCATAGAGACGCCGCCGTATTGAGCGGGGGGAGGACCAACATTGGGACCGACGGCGCCGACGGCAATCTGCTCTTTGAGAGCCCGGTACTCGGCGAGTTGGGTTTGGAGCTGCTGCATCACTTCGCCAATGGGGACGGCGTGGTCTTGGAGAGTATTGCCTGACTTGAAGGGACGCATCATGTGTCGCAGAGAGAGTGTGTTGATGGTGACCTAAGAGAGATCGATCTGTTAGAAACGAGAACCAAGTAAAGGATAGTTGAGAGGTACGAACTTCAATACGAGTAACCTGCTGGTCAACCAGGCTCAGGACCGTTGAGTCATTCAGCTCGCCTCCGTACTTTTTAACCGTGTTGAAGAGAGCGACATTTGGCTCCCGCAGTCGCGCTTCACCGGGGTTCTCCAGAGCGCCGCAGATGCGTTCAAGACGAAGCGTAACCTCCCAAAGGCGCCAAATCGCCTCAGTTCGAATCTCCAGTTGCGTGTTCCGGCTCAGGAACGCCTCGGGACCTTCCTTGTCTTGCTCTTCCTCCAATGTGGTTAAGCGACCGGCAAGCGAATGAGGGAAGACAAGGTAAAGTGGCTCAGGATTTTCCAGGCCCTTCAACTTGCGCTCGCCCTGGTCCTTGATGACGAAACCCTGACTGTTGAGCTGCTGCAGCTCGCGGCGGATATGGTGACCAAGGCTATCGCCACGGGGATGGCTGTCAGTCGAACTGGTAGATGCAGAACGTTCGCTACCAGCGAAGAACTCAAGGTTGCGATGGACGTCGCTCATGAAGTCTGACGAGACAAAGATCTGTCCTCCGTCGGCAACAGCGGAAATTCGAGACGCCCGATTCACCATGGGACCGAAGTAATCCATACGGTTGGTGACGGGATCTTTCTCACAGACAGGCTCGCCCCAATGGCCACCCATGCGGACGGATAACCCACGGAAGATGACGTTGTTTTCCATGTCATACACAACCCGACACTGCGGTTGTTCCAGAATCTCCGTCGGCCATTCGGCCTCGAGGAGCTGATTCTGGCAATTAAAACACCAGAGCAAGGCAGCGGTAGTGGTTGCGAAGGCCACCATGAAGGCGTCACCTTCTGTCTTGACCTCGTAACCACCGATGATCCCAAGTTGTCGGCGCAAGATATCATTATGAATCTGGATGGCAGAGCGCATTGCATCTGGACACATCTCCCACAGGCCCGTTGACTTTTTGATGTCAGTGAAGATGATAGCCAGTTCGCCGGTCGGGGCATCGACATAGTCGAAACGAGCCAGCCTAGAATCACCTGGGTAATCACGAGTCTTCTTGGTGCGCTTGGTGCTTGGAATGATCTGCTCTTCGGGGAACGCAGATGGGCCGAGCTGCATACTGGGACGCAACCACTTCTTCTGTCGCTTTTGAAGCTCTCCGACACCAAGGATCATCACCATGAGTTTATTGGTGGCACCAAAAGAGATGGCCAGATCCCGCAGTTTTTGAGAAGCGATCATCAAATCCGGGTGTTCGCCCCGTGTGATATCGACCACCAACTCAGGTGACACGTAATCCCACAGTTCCTTCGAAGCCAAGACAATCATTTCATCTTGCTCGGTTAGGGTGGCGTGCATGGTGCTAGGAGCTGCAATGACGGCAGGCATCATGGGGAAGTGCCCAAAGCACCGCGACACAGTAAGAATATCATTGAGCTTGCCGTTGCGAGATACGAATCCTCCCGCAGCGCGAATGCGCGCTCGCTCATTGTCCTCGGCAGGGTCATGGTTCTGCGTTAAGTAACGCAGAGAACCATTCGATTTCACGAGAATAGCCTGAGCATCACCCACATTCGCGGCATACAGATCCATATTGTTCAGATACAACACGGTCGCAACACCTCCTGACTGGATGTCGTCCTGATTGAGCATCTTCGCTGCATTCGACCCACGCTGGTACTGCCTGACCTCGCGGTCATCAATAGACCGGTAGGCAGACCCCGCCATGTTTTTGTTCAGCGCCAAAAACGTCCGCCGGAGTGCGTCAAGCGGCGTCTCATCTTGTTCTGGCTGGAGCCTCTTCAGCTCATAGGAGAATGTTGAGGTAAAGTTCTCGTGCAGGTACTTCGCGACTCGGGAGCCGTCACTGGACAAAGTCTGGCCATCGAACATACCCATCAGGGTTTCCACATTATCCGGTCTCAAACGGGGGACGATCATGTCAATAATGGATAGATGCTCGGTCCGCCCAAGCGTGTCAGCCATTCCATAGGCGAGCGACCCAGCCAGCGAGGCCGAAGTTCTCACACGGCGGTCTTCTGTCTCCTCCGGGATCGTTGGAATCGTGAGAGTCACGTCCATCAACCCCAAAACGCGAAGATGAGTTAAGGAGTTGAAGTCGGTCAAATCAGCACCACTGCTGACTGGAGGCCCCAAAGAGGCTATGTTGGGTTTGATTTCCAGGCGTTTGTTGCCGGAGAAATTCAGGTATTTGAGGTTTCGGTTCCAATTCCAATTCCAGTCATAGGGCCAGTTCGACACGTTGTACTTCAATCCGTTGCTCCCCACGTCCAAAATAGAGAGCTTGCTGACCTTGCAGAGCTCTGCCGGAAGAACTTGAAATCGATTGGCGTTGATGTGGAGGACTTTAAGATTGCTTCCCTCTTCCAAATCGTCGGATGGGAGCGAAGTAAGCTCATTGCCCGAGAGGTAGAGCTCTGAAAGGAAGGGCCATCGCTTGAGGAGACCCTGGGGCAACTCGGTCAATTCATTGTAGGAAAGATTGACAATGCGCAGCTCTGGTATTAAGGACAGTTCACGGAAAACGTCGTCCTCGAGTCGATTATCAGCAAGGAAGAGGCTTCGAAGAGATCCCGCAAAGGTCATTGCCACATGTTGAGAAAAGTTTGAATCCTTCCGAGAAGCGGAGCTAACTTCAGTAGCTGATCGCGACGCCGTAGACACCTTTCGTCCGCCTGGATGTGATGGTGTGATCGAGGGGTTTCGATAAGAGTCGCTTGGTGATCCGGAGCTTGTGACACCGGTTGACGTTTGACTAGGGCGGCGAAACTCGGGTTCGTCGAGCGGGCCAAGTTCCTCATAATTGGGGATCTCTGAAATGCCTGGGGTGTTCATAGGTGTAGTGGATGGTTCACCAGGGAACTGAGGAACCGGTGCACCATGCTTTGGAAAGCTGGACAGAAGATTAGAAGAGACGTTGAGAGTTTCCAGCTTGGCGCAATGCCAGATCTCCGACGGCAAGGAAGTCAAGTTACATTCTCTCAAATTGAGATACTTGAGCTCCGCGAGGCATCCAATAGTGATGGGTAAGGAGGAAAGGGGGTTCTTGATGACGCTGAAATGTTCCAGTCGCCGGAGTTTGCCGATCAGTGTTGAAACCGACGACAGATGGTTTTTGTCAAGAACGAGCTTTGTGACATTCGGCAAGTTCTCGAACATGGTATCCCGGACCTGCGAGAGCTTGGCAGAGGCGACGTTGAGTGAGGTCAGCGTTGGCATCGGAGCATCGATATCGAATTGGGTCAGGGGACAGTGATCCATGTGCAGGCTGCGCAACTTTGGGAAGGCACCACGGAAGCGCGAGATGAGATTGTGGCCGAAAAACAGTTGTTCGAGGCGTGGCAGGCGAGAGAGGTGATCGATATTAGTGATCTCGTTAAAACGTCCGTCAATTTCCCGGAGATTGGCGAGATTTCCGAAAGACTCGTCAAGGGCTCCTCTCAGGTTGTTGTTCGTCATCCAAATCCGCTCGAGGGTAGTCAAACGACCAATATTAGGAAGCTTTTCGATACTGTTGAAGCTGAAGTCGAGATCGACGAGACTCTTCAGTTTGCACAGAAACTCGGGGAAGACCTTGAACCCATTCGATGACATGTTCAGGCTTCTCAGAGACTGGAAGTTCGCAAAATAGCTGGGCAGTTTTGTTAATCGGTTATTCGCCATTTTGATGCTGACGAGACCCGTAAGTTGGTCGAGGTTCGCATGATCCAATTGCTCCAAGCGATTGTTCGACACATCCAGGTAGGTCAGCCGGCTAGCGAGACTGAAACTCGCGGGAAGACGCAACGCCTCGTTCCCAATGAATTTGATCTCCCGCAGGTTGATGCAGCTTTGAATGAAGTCCTTGGGCACGTCCAACGACAAGTTCCGTGAGAGATTCAGTGAGATAATTTCCGAGGCCTTCTTGTACAGGGTGATTGGAATCGTGACCAGACTCCGCCCTTGCAAGTCCACATGGCTGAACTTTTGCATCTTATTAAACCCCGGGTCACTCTCAAGGCTAGTGTAGCCGCTGAGCTTGGTCGGTAAGAAGATAAAACGACAGAGGTAGCTGTGGTCTTCACGACCAATGTCCTCAATGTGATCTTTCTCGGTGTAACCGACTTGCTCGAGGAGCTGCTTCTGCATCAAAATGGGGCGCTCTTTGTGGTCAAGTTGTCGCGAAAGATCATTTGTCCGCAGGACAATCTCGTAGTTGTTGAGATGATCTTGCAGAAACGATTTGCGACCAAGCATGAGCAGTATCTCTGAAACACTCGCATTCACCCCAGCAGATAGCGTTGCAAAAGTTGAATCAATCCGGAAGACTCGTATAAAGTAAGAGGTTCCATCGCGGTCGCGAAGCCCAGAAGTAGGCTTTGGAACTGCTCCTGGGGCTTCCAGAACAAGATCGTGATGCCTTTTGACATGCCAACTCTCGGGGGCGTTCCAATTCCCCGGTCCTGAAGAATCGGGCCTCATCGCATCTTCGTGAGGGGTGACTGTCCCGTCTGGCCCAGTCGGTATATGTCCTTGGGAAGTCGTGCGAACGATGTCCTGCATATCGCCGAGGTCGGTGTCAAGCGTCCAAACGTGTTTGCCTTCTTCCTGGGCCCGTTCATCCTTGGGACCATGAAGGTCCCCGGCCAGATTGCTGAAACCCCGACGGTTGCGAAACTTGCCCGGTCCAATACCAAGACCTTTCCCAGATTCTTTCTTTCGGTCCGAGTCTCCCGAGTCCTCGATGCTGCCTTGCCTGCCTCGTCGAGCTGGAGAGCTGTCCCGTTTTGATTTGTCGTGGGGCTTGTTGGACCCTGGCAGATGATGTCGGATTTTGTGCAAAAGACTCCGCTTGTGCGGCGGACCCCCAGGAGAGTTATGAGCGCCGTCGCGAAAAATAGCACTCTGTACGCTGGGGGTTGGGCTCGTTGACCGACCGCCGAGGGTCGTGGACGAGCTCATGGCCGTCGACGAGTTTAGATAGGTCTCATTGAATGGCCGTAAACTAAGAGACGTGTCATCTCGGCCGTTGCCGGTTTGAGATTGGTATCCGGCGAGATCCCCGGCAAGGGTCGGCTTTTCCTCTTTGCTTCGGGAATAGCGATGGCCATTATGCGCCCTGCGACTTGAGTCTCTGCGGGAAGAGCTGTCTGTTTCCTGTGGAGCGAGTCGCTGGCCGTCGGGGCCGATGGGTACTTGTCGCACGGGCGCTTCTCCGTACTGAGGAATATCATTGAAGCTTTGATACACCCACGGAGCGACGTCACTCGAAGGAAACGGGCCCTTGGCGCGTGGCCGAGACTGGCGCTGCGACGACCCTCCCTCCGAACTTTCTGATCCGTGACGTGAACTGTCCGAGTTGGCTCGTTCACGCGCCTTTAACTGATCGACCGGACCCCCGCGCCTGGTCTGGGAACCTTCCTCGGGCTCCGGTCGATGTTCACCAGGAGAGGAGTACTCATCACCAAAAAAGCCCTGCAATTTTTTCTTGCGAAGCTTCTGGCCAATGCTGGACCTTGACCCTTGGCTGCTCACCGTGGTTGCACTTGCGACAGACGGTCTTCGATGTTCCCCGTTGTAATCCAACTCGGCTGGTTCGCTGGATATCGTGCGACCAGTTGCGGGGCGAAATGTAGCTGACGCAGGGGACGGCTCGTGCTCGGAAAAATCATTATAAAACGTACCGGGGCCATCCGATGCGCCTGTGCCGGGGGCTGTAGCCCATGGGGCAATCGACTCCAAGTCATCCGGGTCGGGGCGAGACGGGTTGAGGGGCTGGGGTCGGGGGCTCGACGAGGACGACTGGGACGGATTATCTTCGTTGCCTAAGACCGCCAAAGCTTTGCGATGGTTGCTTAAGCCAGAGCTTTTGCGCTTCTCAACGGGAGAGTTATCCGGGGAGCTCCATGACCACATGGAGGTTCCCCAGTCGATCTTGGGGGGCTGCGACGCGTCAGGCCTGGAAGAGGAGAAGGTAATTTAGCATCATTGCAGTCACAAGGCAGGGCCGGTACTGAACAGAACCATCCCTCGGCTCTTTGGAACAGGAGTCCTTACTTATCCATGCTCAAGCGACCCGGGAACGGGTCAGCGAGACCATTGGAAGGCTGTTGGTTTTGAGCTCGACGTGGATCCTCGTTCCGGACGGTCTTTTGGGATACCAGACTGCTGTTTCCAGAGCTCTCGGAGCCCTGTCGCCGGTCGGGTTGCTCGCGGTCCCGCACTGGCATGGCCACAGACTCGGCCGAAACCCGCCGCGCCGACCTGGATCAAGTGGCGACCTGAGTGTGTCGGGAAGCCGAGTCGTGTACCATCAATACTCCCGCAGTATGATCAGAGGCGCATCGAGGACGGGGAGGGAAGAGTTGTGAGGGGTTGAGGTCGCGGGTTTTCGGGGACGCCACCGTGCGGAGGCTGACTCGGTGACGTGGGCAGTAGCAGCGGTGCAGGATGGAGATCGGATCCCGCAGTGTGATGCGCAGAAATCCGGAAGCTAAAGGAAGGAAGTTGAGGGGTTCTAGCGTCGGGCGCTGCAGAAGTGTGAATGATGCATTCGATCGGAAAGCGGTCGCAGTCGAAGAAAAGGGTGGGGGATGGGAGACTGACGAGCAACACTCTTGGAAGCCGTGGAAGCCGTGGAACTCTGGAACTCTGGAACTCTTGGGAAAGATGAACAGAGAGAGGATCAGGGAAAAAGAAACAAGAGGTTATTTCTGAAACGGGCTTCCAGTTTCGCGGGTTTATGGGGAGTTTTGGGGCAAATATGGTCCGTGAGGTTGTCCGTGCTTTTGGGGTGGAGCTCTGGGCATTTCGATACTTTTTTTGCCTTGGCGCCTTGCGTCTTAGATGTGTGAGATCGGGGATGGGCAACAAAGAGAATCCCTGTTTCTGGATCGATTTCAAGTGGTCTGACCCTTGTCGCAGTATGTTGCTTTGAGTGGGATGTTTCATCTTTCTTTTGTTTTGTATACATATATTTAAAATGTGGAATAGCTGCTGTCTAGGCTATGATAATGTCTCGGAAATAATATATCCCCAGACCAAGAACCAAGTCGCCATATAGGAATATCACAAAGACCGACTCCGAACGCCTGCGCTGTGGACTTGAGATGACACAAAGAACTTGAAGTGATGGAGGGTATCGAGCTGCTTCCCCGTAAACAAAGTGAAAATAAAACAGAATAAAATAACACCAGGTCATCCTAAACAAACCCTTCCAGCTCGGGATATACCTTGATAGTGTCGGCAATGATTTCAGCCCAGAGCTTCTCGGTGTATTCTTTGCCAGCTGGCTCGCCGAGGAATGGTGCACCGCTGCTGACCATCAGTCTGGGGCATCAAGTTAAAAGCCTCGTTGGACAGGAAACCCACCGATCCATCTTGCCATTCTGGACAAATTTGCCATGGCTTTCTTGCCCAGCGACAATAGCGGCGCGGATAATTACCCGGCCACCCTCCTGGATAGTGCGAGCCTTGAGTTTGAAGAAAATATACATTCCCGGCTTGAGCCACAGCGGGAGGTTGCGCAGAATGTCGGTGGCCACCAAGCCCGGACAGACGTTATTCACGATGACCTCGGAAGGAAGTAGAACGGTCGCCAGGCGTTGCACAAAGGCATTGATGACCAGCTTGCTGTTTTGGTAGCGCCGCCGTCCCCGACAAGCCTTGGGGTCGTCATGGTGGCCCAGCACACTTTCGCTTGTAGCGATGGGGGTTCCTTGCAGACTATGCTGGTGGTGACTATAAGATCCGACAAATGTAACGCGCGTGGGGGATCCACGGGTTGCTGCAGTGGCCCGCAGCAGGGACAGAAGACCCAAGACTATGAGAAAGTGGGTATAGCAATTGACTGTGGGAGGGTTAATTCCACAACAAGAAAGCAGAAAATCAATATGGTTGACTTATAATAACCGGATGGACGCACCTTGCATGATTCTCTCATGACCGCTTTTACTCGTCTGATATTGGAAGAAAGTGACGCCGCCATTGCACAGGAGTAGATCAAGTTCTGGCACATCGTGCTTGACTCTGCGCACAAATCGCATCCCAGATTCATAGTCGTCGAGGTCCAGATCAAAGAATTCCACCCTCGCAATTGGGTTATTCGTATTGACCTCGGGATCGGCCAACAGCGCTGCAATGGCAGCCCTGCCCTTGGCAGGAGAGCGAGTGGTGATGATTACGCGCGACGCTTTGAAGACTAAGGATTGGCGTGCAACCTCGAACCCCAATCCCGAATTCCCCCGGTCACAATCACCGTCTTGCCCGCGAGATTTGTGTTCGGGGGGATCGGGAGGACGGGCTTTCGCATGGTGAACAGCTCGGGGTGAGAGGACGGGAGGGTTGGGTGTGTGGACCAACAATTTTGCAATTCTCTCCGGAGTGAAAAAAAAAAAAAATGGAAATTGGAAGAATCAAATGAGGGTCGATGTTTTATGGACACCGTGGCAGAGCATGATGGCAAAGGGTTGAGTCAGACGAAGGATCGAGGCTCTCTGATCAACCCCCGAAATGGGCTGGTTGACTTGGACCCGCAACACCTGTTCGCCTCATCTCAAGTGATGAACAAAAAATATATACGATGTGATTGATAGTCTACAGCGAATGATCCTAGATTGGTATTTTAAACTAAAGACTGTAACAAACAGCCAGTTGCTTGCCCAGTCCCAGATGGGTATGATTCTTGAATCCGCTAGCTAACAGCAATTCTATAGATAACCCTGGAAAAACCAGCAAAGACAGTGTTTGAGTGGGGGAGATCTCGAGTCCCGAGAGATGCTGTGTCGCGTCCGATCTGTGCATGGAGGATGCCGTGTAATGGGCTCTGGAAAGCCCCGAACGGGAACTGCTTTGCAGCTTCGAGAAGATCATGTTCTTCCATTCATTCCTTCTGGATGCGCCCGCAGTTGAATTGACGCCAGCACCTCTGCCGACCCAATCGTACGGTCAGTCATCGGGCAACCATGTGGCCATGGTGATCTGCCATGCATCGACATGGGGATCGACTTTGTTCAATCAACCGGGCGACTGTGAGCAAAGCTCTGGAAAAATACTGGATCTGGTGTCCCCGGCCAAGACGTGGCTTGTCGATGAATCCCCGTTCGTTCCAGGTCACCCCAGCCAAAAAAAAAGAGAGGAGTGAATGTTTCAGGGGTAAAAAAAAAGATGTCTGTCATGTGAGCGCATCCAAAACCAGGCTGCTCAGGTGTGCCCGGATGTGCCCAGAATAGAATTGTGTTGTCTAGAGGTCAAAACCGAGGAGGCTGGGGGGCGGGGCTCCACTGGTGATCGCAGTGTGTTGACAACTTTTGATCGAGTTCGCAGAACAATATCAAAATCTGAAGAGAATGAGAATAAACCAATAAATAGTACTATTTCAGTTAAATACTTAACAGTGTGTATATTAAAGATAGAAGTATACTAAGTGACTGTAGTATACTATGGCGCCCAATGACAGTGGGCGGGTCCCACGGAGCCCAATTGGGAAGGCACGAAACGGAGGAGGTTGGCGCCTTCTTTTTTCTTTTCTTTTCTTGCTCTTTTCCTCTTTTCCTCTTTTCGTCTTTTCTTTTTCTCTCCTCCTTCTTCTCGTCTCATTCTTCCATCTGCTCTGTATTCCATTCCCGTATATTCTTCATATCGCAACTTTACCGCATTTCTTTCTTCAGCAACTATGCGATTCGGCTTCGGCCTGGCCTTGGGCCTCTTGTCGTCGACTGGCCTGGTTGCGGCCCAGACGTACACCGACTGCAACCCAATGGAGAAATGTAAGAGAACATCATCCGGGTGTCGTGCATCTCGCTAACTTCCCCCAGCCTGCCCGGCGGATCCTGCCTTTGGCAAGTCCGATCATACCTTTGACTTCACCAAGGGGGGCTCGACGGATTTCAAAGCCACCGGGAACATTGATTACGATGACAACAACGGTGCGGCTTTCACCATTGCCAAGCAGGGCGATGGGCCCCTGATCCAGTCCGGCTGGTACATCATGTTCGGCAAGGTCGAGTTCACCATCAAGGCAGCACCCGGCAAGGGGATTGTCAGCAGTGCCGTTTTGCAGTCTGATACTCTCGATGAGATTGACTGGGAATGGCTGGGTGGCAACAATGCCCAGGTGCAGAGCAACTACTTCGGCAAAGGAGACACCAGTTCCTACAGCCGTGGCGCGTACCATGACGACACTGGAAACCACGATGACTTTCACACTTACTCAATTGACTGGACCAGTACCCAGCTTGTGTGGTCCATCAACGGTAAAACTGTCCGTGTTCTCACCCCGGAGACTGCGGACGCCAACAAGTACCCCCAGACCCCGATGATGATCAAGGTCGGGTCATGGGCGGGCGGGGATCCCAATAATGCCCAGGGCACAATTGGTGAGTGAAAAAGAATATCAAAAGAAATCCTCGGCGGTGGCTAACTGTCAACGCAGATTGGGCTGGTGGCGAGGTGGACTACAGCCAAGGACCCTTCACCATGTATCTGAAGTCGATGACGGTCACCGACTACTCCACCGGATCTTCATACAGCTACGGCGACAAATCGGGCTCATGGGAGTCGATCAAGGCCAAGGACGGCAAGATCAATGGAAACAGTGCTGCCGAGCCCAAGTCGACCGAGTCTGCACCCACCGTGACGGAAACCGCCGATAGTATGCCCATGCCCTGGAGTGGCACACACAAAGAGACTTCGAGCTGGGTCACTCCCAATGTCTGGCCCTGGGTTCCCACCGGCTCGCCGACGGCCACTTCCATGGACTGGGAGTCTAGCTCTCATCGCATTCAGCCGCCTAGCGGGGGCTCAATGAGTGAGCCCACCCCTACATCTTTTTGCAGCACCCCCCTGGCCTCAATCGCTAAGACCGGAATCTCTTCACAGTCTTCCTCCCGCTCTACCTCAGCACGTTCGGCTTCCTCCTCGGCTGTCTTCTCCCGTTCTGGCATTGAGTCGCCGTGGAGAAACACTACTCGCCTGACGACCAGCACCACTTCGGAAGCCACCCAGGCTACGGCCGACCTAGCCGGCACTTTCACCATGGAGGCGAGCTCTACAAGTTCCACGGCCCGTGTGGCACCTTCGGCTGCCAGTGGGGGTAGCATCAACGAACTTTCATTCGTTGGGGCTTTCTGGGCACTTCTCTGCAGTGTTTTTGCTTTGCTGTGATGTCGCATCTTTGTTTACTTGTATTTTTATTGATGACCAGACGGGCAGGACACGGCGTGTTACTCCTTGGACATGACGGCGCATGAGCAATGACTTTTTATGGCCTGCGATGATACAGGGCCACAGCATATTGGCGCTTATGACTTTTTTTTCTTTCTCTTTCTTGTGAATGGTATATTCTTACGATGGACATGCACAGTGGGGCTTTCCTCGGGTGTTCGCGAGAGTGCTCGAACGGCCACTTTTGTTCCTGCATTGATCCTTGGCGGTGACATTGAACAAATTATGAAGAAACGAGGATCACTGAATTTCTCTATGTAGCATCGGCCTGTGATTGGTATCTACCAGTTGTAATTGTATACCTAGATATAGTCTGTGGATGTCAACACGTCACGGTGACTGGCACCAACAGCCTCACCGAAGATTGGGGTCGGCTCAAGCAAAGAAACACCCTACACACCATTAGCTCTTTCTTAGTTCCATGCAACTCTCCAATTCAGATCCCTTCAGACCCACCATGTCCCCTCCATTGTCCAGCTACAACGCCCGCAAAACCGGCGAGCCCTGCACCAAGGACTTCCGCATCTACCTGGCAACAGGCGACGAGCTGATCTCGCCCTGGCACGGTGTGCCGCTATTTCCATCGGCGGCCAAGCCTCATGTGGTCAGCATGCTGGTGCAGATCCCGCGGTGGAGCAACGTCAGGCTGGAGGTGGGTCGAGTACACCACGCCTGTGGAGAAGCGGATATCAGACGTGATGATCGCTGACCGGGATCCACTGTGCATTATCTCGCATGGGATGCGGACATCAATCACCATATTCCTTCCTTGGGCCATTGGATTACAATGATTTTGTGACCCTTTTTCCTTTCTGGTTTGGACATTGACTGATACTTTTCTGTGGCATGCAGATCGCCAAAGAGGAGTTCTTGACTCCTATCCGCCAGGCCATTCAGAATGACCATCTCCAGTATATCCCTAATATCTTTCCGCATAAGGGATATCCCTGGAACTATGGCTGTCTTCCTCAGGTAAGATATTTTTTTCTCCTCTGCAACATCCTTGAATTACCATTCAAAAGAAACATTACATCCTCTAACAATAACCACTGACAATACTCAATAGACATGGCAAGACCCCAACCTCCCAGACCCCCACACCCAAGTCCCCGGCGACGGCGGCCCGCTAGATGTATGCGAGCTTGCCGGCGCAGTCGAGAAACCGGGGATCATCAAGCAGGTGAAGGTGCTGGGTGCCTTTGCCGTGCTGGATAACGGGCAGACGGACTGGAAGGTGATTGTGGTAGATGTGGCGAGCCCGCTCACAGCGATGCTGCATGGTATCGAAGATGTTGAGACGCATATGCCGGGGTATTTGGCGACGATGAAGGAGTGGTTTCGGGTTTATAAGATTCCCGAGGGGAAGGGGGAGAATGTTGTGGCGTTTGGGGGGGGAGTTGAAGGGGAGGGAGTGAGTATTTTCCTTTTCCTATATTGTTGGTCTCTGGCGTGTTGGGTTGAATGCAAGCTGATTATATCTATCAGTTTCACGCTGGCCCTTATCACCAGGTGCCACGGCAGCTGGAAGAAAATCCTGGCAGAACCTGGTATGGAGACCAAGGTGTCAATGTGAGTTATATCCTTTTCACTGATATTTAATTGTATTGTGTTTGGCATTTGCTAATCCCAAACTGACAGGTCCGATATTGACATCAAAGACATCAATCTCGCCCGACAGCTCCAAGACGAATCACACAGCGACAGACTGCAGCTGGCAGACCGGACAGAAGTGGAGAAATACCACTTCCTCTCGCCGAATTGGCCGCTCGCAGCATCGTGCCCGAACCGGGCTATGGAGGTTTAGGCATGTCGTGCTTTTCTGTTGCTTCTACTTGCTCTCTATTCTTTAAAAAACCGGCGATAATGAACGGGATTTCAACGAATTAAGAGTTCGATGAAAATAGATCTATTATTAACTCAGCTGAAATGATCCCCAATAACTCCTCTCCCATCTTCGCGTATTTCTCTGCAGTTCTACAGCGTCCGATCCGACTTGCCCGGCTTCCGGCCTACTAAGATCGCCGGATGATTGGGATTATCGTGCTCGAAACTAGAATTGTATAAGTTAGTGAAATGCCAGGTATTGATTATATGAAATAATGGTTCATACCCCAAAACAGCCACACCTCCCGGCTCGAAAATGAGCCGCATATGCCCGGCCATCAACGACGACCCGACCCAGCGCAGCGCCAGCGCAGCCAGAACATGGCCATGCCCGACGCAGACAATATCCTGCGCCTGCTGGCTGCGGGCGCCTTCAATTTGCCCGCTTGGCCAGGTGGTTGAGCTTTTCTCGATGAAGGATTTGATTTCTTGGATGAGCGAGTCCAGGCGATCGCTGACCTGCTTGGGAGACCTAGTTTAAAAAAAAAAAAACTTGTTAGCCAAAGGATTGGAGGACCAGGGAAAAAGAACAGAGAGCGAGAAAAGAAAAGATATACATACTCCCCCCAGGGCATCCATCCCTCCAGATATTCCATTCCTGCCTTTCCTGCTCCTGTGCCTGTTTCTGGCGCAGTTGGTGGATATCCCTCAGCGTCAAACCCTCATAATCGCCGTAATCCCATTCCTGGAGACAGGGTGTCACCTGGATGTTAGGCTCCGCCGTCTCGACTCGCATTTTGGACCCAGTCGTCTCGCGGGAATTGCTCTCGCGGTCGTAGAAGTGCTGATGATTGTGGATGCCGAGTTCGAGCAGCTCGACCGTACGACGGGCGCTGCATCGGGGCGAGCAGTATCTATACCAAACAAGCAGCTTATTATCGGTATATGGACTGATCGAAGACAATGCGAATATAAGGGGGCGGTTGGGGTTCTGTGATAGAAGAAACATACACCCTCGCCACGTTTTGAGGATCAATCAGAGCATCTGGGCCCACGAGAAACTGCTGGATCCGGTCCACCTCTCTCTCGCCGGTCTTGGAGAGTGGCACTTCGGTGCGACTGTTGTGCTTGCCGCCTACTATCCAGTCCGTTTCGCCGTGGCGGACGAGGAAGATGCGAGCCGAGGCCGATGCCATTTGCTAAGAAGAAAAAAAAATAGAAGCAACAGAATGAGAATAGGGCTTGGAGATAAGATCCCTCGACGAGAGCCGAAGTAGTTCAATCACTAGAAACAGCCACGCTGCGACGCTGGCTGGGTAATATGTCGGGTGAGCGAAGATTTCTCTTGGGTGAATGTCGACGGTATTTCGGCGAGTGATTTCACCCGCGCATCATTATGGGGTTGCGTCATGGCGCTGTTGTGTTGGCAGAAGAACTAACTGTACATACCTAATGTTGAGGTCAGTATGGTGGGAGCGACTGACAAGATGCGGAACATTATTCCTCTCCACAGGACCATCAGCTGATTTCCCATTTTTGGACTGAATACATAGTACTGGTGGTGCATTAAGCCAAAATAAAATGATTTTATGATGTGTGGAGAGCAATCGTTCAATGAAGAGTATAACACCGTTCACTGCCTCCTTGAAACTCCGACTATGGCCTCGTGATTGAAGTTGTGAGCCCAGCAAGCACAGACTGGATTACGTCTCGGGCGACCCGATTGCTGTCGCGTAGGGCTATGCAATGGTTATTATCACTGCAGAAACTATAGACTCTCTGTCATGTGCCAGTGGGAGTTTTCGACTGGTAGATGCTGTACTCAGTTTTCGAGTGCAACCCGAGTAGACAGACAGAGTGCCTTGAGTTGAATGGTATGAGTGATACAAGGGAAATGAGTACACGGTACAAATACTACAGCATAAACCGCATGGAACTACTGCTGTTTTGACGGAAAACGAGGAAATCCCTAATTTCCTGAGTGGTGGGCGCGGTTGATGCAGGTCGGTCTCGAATAGAATTACGTCGTTTGTGTTCGAGAGGCTATGCCACTGTCGAAACCATGCAAGCCAAGTCTCATGGGCAATTTGAGGACTGCATAAGACAAAGGAGGGAGCTACGTACCAAAAGGGGGGAAAATGATACTGGAGCGATACTCCCATTTACATACTTTTCCCCCTTGTTCATGGGGCACTGTTCAGAGTAAAAGTAAAATAACACTTTTTGGCTTGTTTATTTTCCAGAATACCCTGTCAGACTGGGTTCTGTAATACTACGTGCTTCCGGTGCAATGGCCCTAGCAGCCGCTTGATTCCCATCCAGGGCGTGTTGATTGGACTGTCCAACCCGCTATACAAAAACACATCATAGACCCAACCCCCAAATGTACAGCCCAGGAACGGTGCAACCATGGGGATCTGACCAAAGATATAAATCAGCACAAATAACAGTATGCATGAGCACCAAAAGACAGAAAAAACATACCCAGAAGTAATAATTGCCCGCTTTCCATACCTCACTTCCATACCCCAGCATGTACGACACCAGCCGGGGCCCAAAGTCGCGTGCCAAGTTAATGGCATACCCGGTCTCCCACCCAAAACAAGCACCAATACCAAAAATCACAAAGAACAGAGCCAGGGGCGTCAGTGGCCCTGCGCCGAAATTAACATCATCCTTGAGAGCAAAGATCATGAACATCAGCACGGCACTAGCCAGAAACTCTGAAAAGAACTGGCCCGTTTTGGTCATGAACTCAGCCGGGTATGTGCAAAAGATCCCCGCTGTTGCTGTCGTCGAGTACCCCGGCACAGTGCGAATGCCCGGCCCGCCCTCGAAGACATCGATGGCGGATTTGTAGTTCCCGTAGACGATGGCGGCACCACACATGGCACCGAGGAGCTGGGCCAGTGCATAAACAGGCAGCTTGCGCCAGGGAAAGCCACGAAATACACAGTTGGCAAAGGTCACGGCGGGGTTGATGTGTGCTCCAGAGGTGCCGCTAGCATAGACCCCGAGCATGACGCCTAGCCTGAAGAAAATGGACTGGTCATTAGGCAGAGGACAGAGGCATAACAGCACAGATAAAACACACTCACCCCCAGCCCCAAGATATCGACTGATAGTCGCCTTTCTGGCCGTGGTTGAGCAGCACCTGGGCGACCACCCCGTCGCCAAACAGAATGAGGATCATGGTCCCGAAGAGCTCGGAGAAGGCATCGCGGCAGTATTCCCTCAACTTGAACCAAGACAGTGGCTGTGGAGTGGACGGAGCGTCTTCAGTCTCTAAGGTAATATCGTGCAGAGATGGTTCATGTTTGGTCCCGAGACACGTGGAAGCACACCCACTATTCTGGCTGCCCGGTGGTCCCATCTCCTTGGGTGTGATTGACATCATATTGATCGAGTCCGGCTGCCAGGAGGCCATGAAAAGGACCTGACTGGAGGTATGAATTGCCTCCCGAGACATATAAAGGACAGGCGATGACCACAGCGAGGTCTTCAACCGGATATATCAGTGAGTGGTAACCAGATGCCGCCGTGTAACCCTTGTCCACCCGATTTTGCGCCGCTTCTCTTTTCCAGAAACAGGCAGTGGGATTGGATAATGCAGGGTCCTCGGAAGAGACGGTGCCTTTCCCCTCTCTCTGTCAAAAGGCGCGTGTTCTCGCTTGCAGGGAGCAGCTTGCTTGACACAAAGCCGGAAAAGCCCGAGAATGAAGCCAAGATGTGCCCAGAGTGCCAGACTGCCCCAGATGCTCAGACTGGATGGAGTCCCCTTTTTCTCTTGCGAGAGCAATATGACCAGACCTTTTCTTGATTCCCTTGGCTCATAGTGGTGGTTTCGTTTGCATCAAAGAAAAAGCGTGTTTGAGCTGGGGCAGACGGAAAACACCGGCCCATTCTTCTTCTTTTTTTATTCCCTGCCCAAAACTGTCTAAAGTGTCACCGCAATTTCCTCATGGTGTCCATCCCGTAAGACCGCCATTTGGGAATGGGCACTGGCAGCAGACAGAGAAGCTTTCATGGCTTCTGTTACTCGCTGTCAGACTGTCGGGAAACTCTCCACATCCACAGACCCGACTGCAGTTTCTAGAAGCTCAAGTCGTGCAACCTCGAACCTGGGGGAGGTTATTGCGGAGAGAAAGCTGGCAGGAGGACAGGCGTCATGGTGGAGAGAAGAGGATTGGTGGCCCTCAATCTGTGCGATGATATCCAGCGCTGACGGTAGCAGTTTTCGTGTCTTGTGGTTACGCCTATCGACGCGGCGATGGCACACCTGGCTCTTCGTGTGACCACCAGCCATATATTTGTAGCGTCGCCAGGGTCATGGTAGACGGGAGAGTGGGAAATTGTGTACTGGACTTTGTGTCGGTCAAGGGCAGAGATGGGAAACGGAAGATTGTGGTTTTCCACGGCGAATCTCTCGGTTACCGCCGCAGCAACCAGATTCACCGACAACCAAGGACCAGCCAAGAAGGTGCAGGGTTTTGATTCCAACCAGACTCGATTGCAATTTCGACTGGGAGTAGTTGAGAAGCCGACATCTCGTACGCACTGCTGGCTCCTGGGGACATGACGATCCCGGGATATAGACTCTTCGCACATATGTCAGATCGATCGCATTCGGGTGGAGTCGTGTCAACCCTCCACTGGCAGGCGTGCACTTGGCGCTAGAGCCCTTCGTCAACGCAGCCGAGTCGTCCGTCAGCGTCCACGCAATGTCACGCCGGCATTAGTTGACGCGCTAAGCAAATGAGCGGGTCGACGGTGGGGGACCGTTCGGCAACGATGATGCGACGTGGTCACACAATGGGGTTCTTCTGAAGAGGGAGCCTCCTGTCTGTTGAGAGAGGTCGGCAAAAGCCCCAAACATATCGATATACTCTTTTGATACTCAAACATGCATACAGGGAAGGCTGCTACTTTGCTGCGAGTCGAATAGCTTCAAAAAAGTGAATGCAACACCAAGTATAAAATCCCCTCGAGTCGCCATAGCCTCAAAGCAAGGTGCATTGGCCCAGTCTCTTCCAAGCCCTCCGCGAGATGCTCACTCCTGGTCCTCTGGATCGGGCCCGGGGAAATCCCACCAATCTTCCCATGTCTTCTGCTCCCCCGCGCGGGAGGATGGTGTCACGGCGTGATATTTAAGACAACACGGAGGGTTCCCCTGACCTCGATGCACTGCGCAGGTAGTTGTTGCTACTTTCTTTTCATTTTTTTCTTGATCTCTACTTTTGGTCTTTCTTTCCTTCCTCTCTGTATCCTACTCGATGAACCAATAAACTGTTAAACCTGTGTTCTGTTTACCGCGAGGAGACCTCAGCGTAAAGCCATGCAGCCCTCCGAGATCTTTGTGGGATCCATCGACCAAGGAACGACCAGTACCAGGTTCCTCATCTTCAACCGTGACGGTGAGCCGGTAGCCTCACACCAGGTGGAGTTCCGTCAGATATACCCGCATCCGGGGTAAGTATAGGACTACAGGACCTATCATCATACAATAAAAATCTTACATCCTGACTATCTCTGGTAAACAGCTGGCACGAACACGACCCACTTGAGCTGGTCAGCTCCGTGGAAACATGCATTGGCGAAGCCGTCAAGCAATTCGAAGACAGCGGATACACCCGTTCAAGCATCAAAGCCGTCGGAATCACGAACCAGCGCGAAACAACAGTGGTATGGGACCACGAAACCGGCGAACCCCTCCACAATGCCATTGTCTGGACAGACACGCGCTCGCAGTCCATCGTGGCCGAGCTGAAATGCAAACCGGGGGTATCGCAGCTCCAGGGAATCTGTGGCCTGCCGCTAGCGACATACTCCTCCGCCACGAAGCTGCTCTGGATGCTGGCGCATGTGCCCAAAGTGAAGGAGGTGTATGAACGGGGCACCTTGGCGTTTGGGACTGTCGATGCCTGGCTCGTATATCGTTTGAACGGTGGCGCGCGCGCCAACGTCTTTGTCTCGGATTCGACAAACGCCTCGCGCACGATGTTTGTCAATCTGGAGTCGTTGCAATACGATGATACTCTCCTGGAATTTTTTGGGATCAGGGGCAAGATCCATCTCCCGGCTATTGTTCCCTCGTCAGACGCCAAAGCGTACGGCGCTATTGCCTCGGGGGCCCTGGCTGAAGTTCCGATCATGGGATGTCTGGGGGATCAGTCGTCTGCTCTGGTTGGGCAGAAGGGATTTTCGCCTGGAATGGCGAAGAATACGTATGGCACGGGGTGCTTCCTGCTTTACAACGTCGGCGAGAAACCCGTTTTCTCGACGCATGGCCTGCTAGCCACGGTGGCATACAATTTTGGTGGCAAGGCTGTCTATGCGCTGGAGGGCAGTATTGCCGTTGCAGGGTCAGGGGTTATGTTCCTGCAGAATAACTTGGACTTCTTCCAAGAGCCCAAGGAGGTCAACGATCTCGCTCTTTCTGTGGAGGACAATGGCGGATGTGTCTTCGTGACTGCGTTCAGTGGCCTCTTTGCACCCTACTGGATTGACGATGCAAAAGGAACTATATGTACTTCCCACTCTAATTCAACCCCCCAGCCCCCTCTCTCTGGCAAATCTAATAGCTTCATTGGCAGTTGGCATCACTCAATACACCCAGAAAGGTCATATCGCGCGCGCAACATTGGAAGCAACCTGTTTCCAAACTAAAGCAATCCTCGACGCAATGGAGAAAGACAGCGGCCACGCGCTATCCGAACTAGCCGTCGACGGGGGCATGAGCAACTCGGAGTTGGCAATGCAGGTATGGAGTATTAAACCCTGCTCAAAAGTCAAATGTAGCTAACACCAATCTTTTATAGACACAAGCAGATCTCATCTCAATCCCCGTTTACCGACCAGGGATGCGCGAAACCACCGCGCTCGGCGCCGCGATCGCAGCAGGTCTCGCCGTCGGATTATGGAGGAACTTCGCCGAACTGCGAGACATCAACCGATCCGGCGGAGCCGTCTTCGAGCCCCGGATCACGCGCGAGGAGAGCGCATCAAAGTTCAGGGAGTGGGAGAAGGCTGTGCGGATGAGCAAGGGCTGGGTTGATTCTGGGCTTGCGCAAGAAGAGAAAAGAGACTCGCCGACTAATGGGCCGGCTACTTCATTACCCGAGAGTCGTGGAGCTTCCACGCTCAAAGCTGTCAGGCATCTGGACCAGATGCCCTTGGTGTCCGAGGTTGTCAAAAATGGTCACGCCGCCGCGACGACGGTGAAAGTGATAGCGCAGGCGTCGAATGGAGACGGCGAGTTCCCGCCGGCCAAGATGCCGATGATAAGTATTTCGGGGGAGCTGGATGGTGCTGATGAAGAGGATTTGTTTCTGGAGCTTCGCAAGGTGGAGATCCTGCAGAAGCTAAAGAAGCTGCAAAAGCTCAAGTTGAGCTACTACTGATGTATTATTGCTGGTGATGTGGCCTTTCCCGGTGTTGAGGGTTATGAGATTCATATAATGATGTCTCCGAGTTACTTCTCAGGCCTTTGAAATAACTCCAAGTCTATGTATCATCAGCGAAGGTAACAATTAATCGTAGAGTGAGCAGTTCATTGGTCTCATATACATAGGGCGGCCTCGCAAGACATCACGTTCAGAATTCAAGCTCAAACCCACCATAAAAAAATCATATCCAATTCAATTTTCCCTTAGACAGCACCTTCTGTAGAGGCTTTCCGCGCGGCATCTTCACCATCCTTGACAAAGACACAGTTCAACTCGGAGCCCGGGCTGAGCGTAACCTCGAACCTCAACACAGGGTCTTCGACCTTATCCTTCCCACTGACCGGCAATGCAACGATGCGCTCATACGCCTGCAAAATGCGAATAATGGTATACCCCATCTCGATGGTCGCAAACTGCTGCCCAATACAGATACGCGGACCACCATTGAAGGGAATAAAATGCCAGGGACGCGGCTGCCAGCCGGCAACCCAGCGTTCGGGGATCCATTTCCCGGGATCAAGGTAGTTCTTCGAGTCGGGACCGTCATAGAGATCCGGATCGCGTTGCATTAGCATGGTCGAGTAGATGATACGCGAGTTTGCGCGCACACCGACGGGAGTCAGACCGTCTGGGCCACCGCCGCGAGGGAGGGTAGTATCGCGCAGCGAGTAGCGCACGTTGAATGGTACGACGGGGTAGACGCGCATGGTTTCGTTGATCACAGCGTTGAGGTATTTCATTTCCTTGAGGTCGACGTAGCTCGGCCTTTGCGCATCTGCGCCAACTCCTAGTCGAGAATGGATCTCTTCGCGCAGCTTGGCTACTACTTCTGGGTGGCGGGACAGCTCAAACAAACAGAAGGACAGGGTGCCGGCGGTTGTATCGCGACCCGCCAGTAGAACTGCAACGAGCTGGTCACGCAGAACCCGGGGGTCGCGCGTGAAGCGCGCCAGGGCATCCAAGAATGTCTCGCGCTTCGACAGCTTCTGATCGAGCTCGGCGGTCGAAAGCGATAGCACGGTTTCGATGTACGGCTGGATAAAATCATCCATGACCTTCAGGTTCCGGCGGAAGTCCGTCCGCGACATGAACACATTAAAAACGCTTGGTGGGACAAACTCGATTAGCTCAAGCTTTTGAAGCCGATGGCGACAAAGCGTCTGCGTCGCCCAAGATCCCAGGAATATGCTTACCCGAACCGGAACAGCTCAGCCTGGCGCTGCTGCACGAATCTAAAAGCCTCAGCAAAGTTCGTCGCCGGGTTCTCGAGACTGTCAGTCCCATGGCCGAGCAGGTAGTCAGTGGCGGCATCGAGGGTGTAGCGGAAGAAGAGCGACCCGACATCGACCACCTTGCTGCCAGTCGCCGACCGACTCCCGCCGAGGAGAGGGATGAGTTTCTGGACATGCTTCTCGAAGATCTCGGTGTCGACGATGCGCTCGCGCACAAACATGGGCCGGATGAGCTGGCGCGAGCGTGACCACAACTCGCCGTCGGTGGCAAAGATGCTGTCGCCGAGGAACTCTTTCCACTCGCGATGGAAGGGCTCACCCTTGCCGTAGTCGGCAAACTGCCCTGTGAGTAGCGCCTTGATGTTCTCCGGGTCGGTGGTCAGGATGATCCGAGACGAGATACCCGCGTCGAGCTCTGCAGTCTTCACATTGCTGAGTCCTCCGGCGCCGGCGATAGAATGCTGCCAAAATTCAAGGTCCCGGCTTTCCAGGTTGGCCTGGTGGCCTTTGGAGATGAAGTCGAGAGCTGTACATCATTGTCAACATTGTTTTATTTCGCACAAGACTGAACAACATACCATATGGGAGTCGGAACGAGATCTTCGGGGCTCTGGCACCGAGTCGCGCAATTTGAGTAGACACCTGAATCTTGCGCAACACACACACCAGGGAGAGGAGTGCCAGGAGCCATAAAGACACCTGGCCGGGCGTCATCCCAGCGAGCAGGTCTTCAATCATGTTGACCAGACTGATACACAAATATCGATTCTGTCTGTGTGCAGTCGGGTGCTCAATCAACGTGGGACATTTACAGCAGGTCTGAAGAAGGAGAGAATGCCAGCGAGAGACTTGAATATGGTCGACTTGAGGTATACACCTCTCGTGACGTGGGTTTTAACAATCGGAACGACCATCCCTCCGGCTCCCCCAGAAACACCCTCGCGACCAGTGATGTTTGTGCGGATGAGCTCCATCGAGGCATTCTTGCGAGCCCCGCTTGGGTATGACTTCATTTGCTGGGCCTCCACTTTCTGTATCCGAGATCCACCTCTGCCTTGGTGATTGTGATTCTTTTGTGACTACTGTGATGCCCAGTATTTCTGCGCAGTGTCCCTTGGAACCCGCAGATCCCGACTCCGATATATTTCTGGTCTACTGTGTATCTCGAATACCCTCACTGTCGCCTATACCGCCAGTGTTGACATTCCGGGGAAGAGGTCTTGTGGTAGCCGGGGAACCTCGGTTGCGGTGCATATGATTGTGTTGGCACGTATAGTGCATTCACCTTGTGCATAGACTAGCATGCCTCGATGATCGACATTCATAAATATCTCTTCTGCTTGGCACCGTTGACCAACTACTATTAGTCACGATACATTGATTGATCGTCTTCAACTTTTCATCACATGGTGAGCAGTCGAGTTTCTCTGCTCGGGGGAGAACGATAGCATGATTCCATTCAACCACACCACGCACCCCTACTGTATACCATATTGAGACTCTACAAGAAAGTGCATATCAACAGCTGCACTTGCTCAAATTGCCAACCAAACCCATGAACAGAACTTCATTATCAATTGCTGTCCCATCAACGTAGTTCTCGAGTATAGTCCTCTGAAGTATAACCACCCTCCACAGCTACAACCAACTAATCCCCACCCCTCTCACGTCCTTGCAAAACTCATTCTACTGCATACTGCCACACGCAATCGACCCAAAATTGATCGGAGACCAAGTCGTAAGCCACGGTCGCTGACATTTGAGAGAAGGCCGAAACACAGTGCCCTCCAGCTTCGAGCACTTCCGATCCTTGAAGATCCAGCACTGCCCAGCATTGATATAATACGACTTGGGCTTCCAAAGCTTAGCCTCAGAACATCTAGTCCACGAGGAACCCCCATTAGTATACCATCGGCACGAGGAGCCCTTTTCGGAAAGCTTGTCGGTGATATCCCCGTGAAGGTCAATACACTCTGACCGGTCCTTGGTGTGGCCCTCGAGCAAGTAGTAGTTGCCCGAACACTTCTTGTCCTGGTAGATGGTGAACTGCCAGGTCGGAATGGGGGCAATTTCGGTGGTTTTTGTGACCTCCGTCGTTTTGGTGACGAGCGTGACTTCTATCGTATGTTCTGACTCTGTGGTTGTGGTCTCGTTTGCCTTTTCTTCGGTCTTGGCTGGCTTTGTGGTGTCGTCTCGCGTGGTTGTCTTCATTTTGGGTTTCTCTTTGGCAGCTTCCTTGCCCTTGTCGCAGTTGGAGATGCAGCCCTTGCCTGCTTCACAGAATTCGGCCGTCGTGCCACACTGTCCTGATGGGCCGCACTATACAGACGTGTCAAATCCTGTCAGACAAAAAAGAAATTGATTTTGTGGTCGGGACTCACGCATTGATCCTTAGGGCACGGGTTGAGCTTGGCCATATCCGAATAATTGTGAGGCCTGGCTGTGCCCGGCACCTGGGGACCGCAGACTGCATTTGGCAGAGCAACTGGCATCGGAGGTACACCGGCGCTCAAACAGATAAAGGTACCTTGCTTGAGTTTGTCACAGCCACGCCAGTCGTAAGCCTTAGCGTTGTAGTCCTCGATGTTCTTGACGGTGATCTTGTTTGCCTCGGCGATGCTTTTGCAGGAATCCGTACCCTGCACAGTGTAGGAGTGGCAGTCGGAATCTCTGGTCGCTATCTGTGTAATGTTGTGTTCCTCGATTGAGGTATTGTAAGCAGAATCATAGATGTCGTTCAACGGGTCAGCCGTTGCAGAGATCAGCAAGAGGGTGAAGAAGGTGAACAGTTGAATGAGCTCCATTTTGCAAAGATGCACATGAATATAAACATCTTTCTTGAACGTAGGAATATGCCTTTATATGCATTTCCGAAACCATCCAGCGATGGAGGGCATGATTAGGGTGAGCGGCGCATACTCCTCGAGGGACGTTTGATGACAGGGGTGGTGTTGATGTAAAACACAGCAAAAGCCATTTTTAGCATCACATTCATTGTTCATTTCCAGTATCCGGGAGATCATGGAGTCTTGACAGGTGAATACCCGATCTTCGGGTGTTTATAACAAAGACCAATATCTCACTGGCGTCCGGGCATCCTCGAACCCTTCTTTGTTTCGCAAGTGTTTACACCACCACATCCCAAAGCTGCCATCAATAAGCCCCGTGGATTCTTTCGCGCTTCCGCGCTTGCGGCCGACGCCATGTCCGGGAACGGGGTTCAATAGCCCAGGGAATCACTTCTCTCCCTCATCTGACCTCGACGTCAAAGAGGCTCTTTCAAACACCCAAACAGTGGACCCTGTTGCCAAGGTCTAATTGCGCCCTTTCTGTATATGAATCAAATTAGATGGTGTTGACAGGGCTCTTGATCCGGGGAGCGGCAATATTTCTTTGGGCTCGCAAATGACTCTCCCTTGGCTACGATCCAAGGACTATCAAGGCCCAGGACTGATTAGGCTCTTAAAAATTCTTTGCCCTGTATGAAAGATGTAGTTGGATATACCCACTCAAAAAATATAATACACAGCATGTCTGGATTCTAAGGGCTCATAGAGATAAAGAGTGAATAAGGCTGAGGATGCATGACTAGGGTCCTATGAAATCATATTTTTCAACACGAGGTAGGACCACTAAGAGGGTCTGAGTAGCAGATTGCCTAGCTCAAGGAGAGATGATATTTTGTTTGAACTTCTTTTACATACATACACACCTATCCGTACACCGTTGCCTGTATACTTAGGGGTTGTTGAGCTCACCCTCAGCATCTAAACGTAGGAATAAACCTTCTATCTCTTTTTCACCCTATATCGTTCTCTAACATTCGCATAAGACTCGGGCTCTTTGTACTGACGACAAACAGTTTTATGCGTGACTTATTCTTGGCGGGGAAGCGGTATACCGCTTTATTTAGATTGTTTGTGCATTTGAGATATATAGCTAGCCATGGCCTTCCTGTCTTTCCCGTCCTTCTCAATTCTCCCGCTACCCTAAGCTGTGATATTAAGTAACAGGATCGACAATATTTCGACGTTTCTCCGAGTTCATATTATCGATCGGCGTGGAGAAAACTTGGCGAGTGCTCCGGTGAATCGGCATGTATGCTTTGAAGCGGAGGTCGGCCCGCCGGCCTTCCCCGGACTCGGCTGCCAGTGAATGAAGTGGCGTCAGGAAAGTTCGACGTGCCGCAGTGCCGCCTTCTCAAGTGAGGGTCAATTGGTAAACAGCTGCCTTCGAGGCGTTGTATCCTGCAGTATCCACGCCCTAATAGTGGTCGGCACATTAAAATGGATTGAGATATATTATGGGATGGTAGAAGCATACCTTGTTGGATACGAATCCACTCATACTGGCCACCAGCACCATGCTGCCGGTTGTGTTGGTTTTGATCAACTCGTTGGCCGGAGCTCGAGCAATGAGGAATATCCCCGCCACCCACATTAGTATTCGGTACTCGTCGAAAGTCCCCGATTGGGAATTCGGTGGCTGGGCCGTTTCGTGACAGGCCGGCGCAAGCAACCAGTCCCTTTAAGGGCAATCGCAGGGCGGGCATAAACTTCGCAAAGGTTTCGCGGACAGCGTCCTCGTTTGTCGCATCGGGAGAGCAATAGGTGAGCCGACGGTCGTATTTCTTCGCTGCATGCTCGACCTCGCCTGTTCAATCAGCAGACTTACCCCAGTTCGCGGCTGTGGGGGGTGGGAGGAAGATCCAGACAGACCACATCAGCGCCGCTCTCAATGATTGCGATTGCAAGAGCTGTTCCAAAGAATCCAGTGGCGCCGGTGACCGCGTCACTGCTTGTTAGTTTGATTCTGCGATTGTGCGGCTGGGCGAAACTGACTGATGATCGTGCGGTTGTCAAGCCTAAAAAGCTCTGACACGGGCCGTGGGCGATCACCCTGTGATGGCTTCGCCTCTCTCACATCGAGGCCGTGTACATTGCCATCGCTTCGTTGGTGACTCATTGTGAACGGTTTAAGTGTTCGGCTTGTCTAAAAAGTCAGGAGGTATGCAAGATCTTGGTGTCTCTAGGGACGGCTTCATATTTGAAAAACAATGTGGGGTGGTGGCTTTCCCCGAGGAAGCTTCAGACAGCATGCATTCCACCTTGCTCGAACGAACACTGCCTGGAAGTTCTGACGGGTAGGCGGCCCGCCATATAGTCTTGTTGTGGGCCCAGTGGAGCCCACGGAGTCATCGGCGGCTGGTGGCCCGACGGTGCACTCACGCTGCAGCGGCTTCTACGTCGCTCAGGAAGGAGGGGTATTCAATCTGCTGGTATGCAATTGTCTGTGGGGCAAGAAATAGGTGGAGTAGAATCAGCTCTCATTTTTCCTATGGTTGCTGGATTTCAATTATCCCCGTGTTTGCATTGATTCGAACCTATCATGTGACCTTCGCTCACCAGGTTGGATCAAGCATCACGTGACCTCGCGTGGCATTTTTTCGCATGCCCCTTAATCCATTTCTCTGGTTTTATTTAAATGCTGCATTGTTTTACCTCGAAAAGACCAATCAGCGTTGAGATTGTCTCACTTTCCATCAATAACCATTATCTTATGTATAGCCTGGAAAAATGCGCGGTCACGTTGTTATGTCTGCGTTGAAGCCTTAATGCCCAAGAAATAAGCTTAATTGATATTGCAGCTGAACTCAACGTATGCTCCCTAAACCTGCTCAAGCGCCATGCGAGTTGTTCGCTCCGTCAAAACAAAGTAAAACACAGAGTAGTCTGATCGAGATACAAAGATGAATGAAATAAAATGATTTTCCCCAAGAGTTCTTCCAAAGGCAACTTTCAGGGGTGGAAATTGCCGGGATAGCACCCCCCACGCGGGGTGTGGCCTTGTGAGCCCTTCATAAACCAAGGTACACAAGAAAGACCAGTGGTGGTCAGCCGAGCCTTGCACTGCTCGGGGGTCTGGCAACTGATAGGGACGCCCTCGTCATTTGATACGGCATAACACCACGGCGTGTCCGGTTTCCAATATGTGCCCGGGATTACTTTCTCGCCGTCGGCCTCACACGGCATCCAGCACATCTTCGGTTGGTCCACGCTGGCACTTCCGCAACCAGGGGCGTTGTCCAACAAGCCTGGGCCACCAGTTAGCACAGAACATTGACTAGAAAACGAAGAGCAAATGATAGGGGCCTATTGAGATATTCTGTGTGTGTGTGTACTTACCGACGGCTGAAACAGTGCCGACAGTCAAGAAAGCGATGCCAAGAAGGGTGGTCAAGTTGAGTTTCATGTTGATCGCAATTTATTTGGGGAAGAACAAAGGAATTAGGCAAGGAAGTTGCATCCAGATAAAAGTGTCAGACACTAAAAAGTCCACGAGGATCAGCCCCCATATTTATGCAAACTATTGCGTCGAGCCTATAGAACCGGATCCACAATATCTTCTATTTATGGAAATTTCTAATGAATATCCTCCCGTTGCCCATCGAATTTATGTTTGATTGGCAGCACGCTTCTAAGCGAGTAAAGCAGCAGTCAGAAGAATACTCTGCTTTCCTGACACTTAACGTCTTTCTTAGGTCGCCTTCCACGATTGTGGCAATTCTTTCACTAGCGCTCCGTCATCCTGTTACGTTAGGAAATGGAACAGCCAATGATAAGAGAATATTTATGGCCTTGGTTTATCCATTTGACAATAAACTCAACCATGCGTAGCATATGTAATTCGCTACGTTCATCGTAGGGTGTGTCCAACTCTTCCAGTCAATATAGGCTAAGACTATACATAGACGCCTTACAAAAAAAATCCGTTCCATCCCTTGCCACGTCATCAAAGCCGCCCGAGCGAGGCGACGGCTATGGGTTTATGCGTTTTACGGGCATAGCACGACTGCGCATTGCGATCTCAGTTAAATAGCCATGAAAATAAAACATCTTGCCAAAAATGATTCTGTCATTCCCAACCCTTTATATCAGGGCTTGTTTTAAATTTTGCCCTTTCCCCTAGTAGCGGCCATTAATACATATTGCCATCTCATGAATCAAACAATGTGCACAAATGCACGCCAAACTGGTGACACCTTCCGGTGTCCGCTCGAGCATCTGGAAAACCTCATCACAAGGTCCCGAAGCCCCAACACGGTTGATCCCGAATTGCTGGTGAGGGAGGTTCTGTCGTTCGAGGCTAGCAGCCGCTTGAAGACAAAGTCCGACCTCAGATCCAGTGGAAACGAGGCTAATGGCAGCGTTCGGCGTATCCAGGACAACATAGCCCCCTTTCAAAGCCTTCTCCACAGAAGAACCCTGAAGCTGAGACATCTTCTGGTGCGTAAGAGCAAGCAGTTGGGAAGAGCGCGGAAATGAGCAAGTATTTCGATCGGTTGGTGCGTGGAGCCATCTTGGCCTAGAGCAATGGAATCGTGTGTAGCGATATGAATCACCCGAAGCCGGCTCAATGCGGCAAGCCGGATTGCCCCTGTAGCATAGCTGGCAAAGTTGAGGAAGCCACCGCTCAGAGGAATGATCAGATAAATGCACACCCAGTTGCCAAGCTTCAAATGGCCGGCAAGCGAGGCAGATTCACTAGCGATTCCTTCCAACGACTGTGGATTAGGTGAAATTCCCTGGTTTTATTCAATGTGACAGCATCTCATGATTTCTGACTCCAGGTCTAAGCCATCTTCCGACACAAGTGAAGCCCAAACCCAGTTCTTGATCCGGCTATGCTGGGCTATTTCCTTTCTTGAACGGTGAGTCCCCCAATCGCTCTTGGTACATTTGTAGCTGACCCCAGGGAAGCGACCTCATCGCAAAACATCATTTACCGAGAAGTGGGATCGAGAATCTCGTGGATCGATTACATCTTCCAGCCTGCGGCGATCCACCCAGTCTCTCTCTACTTGCCTGGCTAGCCGAACTGTCTGCCCTTCGACTACTGAACTGAGTGCACCACGCCATATACGCCAATGATCAAGAGTACCTGCTTGATGTAGATTATGTGATCAAGCACGGTTCCGACGGAAGAGAAGAAGAGGCTATCCAGAGACTGATGAGCCCCAGTCTAAATGTCTCAATGGAACTCGACGCCCAGCTGAACAACTGGTATGACTTGATTCCGCAGGTGATCAAGCCCGACTTGATGCAGACGCCTGGCACTATCCGAGATACTCTAATGGTCCTACGGTACCATTCATCAAAGGATATAATCTTTCGGCCGTTTCTGCTCTTTGCGTTTGTCTTCCGCCTACTGTGCTGCCTCCACAGTCCCTTCTGGAGATATGCCACACTACAGTGTACAGCCGTCACCAGTATGTTCGGTTTGCTGCGATTAGGCTGAGTGAGCAGTCTGCGTCGACGGAGATTGTGATACACTCGTGAGTCCTGGTTCATACCACTTGATTCAAGAGCTCCAACTTACAATGGCAGGGTCTTTGCCTCTACGGTTATCATCACCATCGCCGCTCTCAACCCCTGGCTGGTGGGGCATGTTCCAGACATTGAAGACCTTCAAAAGTTTGCTATCTCTACGATGGGGCGTTGGGCCTTTCTGGGCTCTTGCATCGAGGCGATGACTTTGATGCTTGGTGCTATTCAGAATAAGAAGAAAATGTTGCAGGCAAATATTGTAACGATACAAAGGTAATTAATGCATGGCTACGATTACTTTTGATAGAAATGAAGTTATCACATTTCCTGATCTTACTCTTGCATCATGAGCGGGATCTACAAGCCGCAAATACCGTTCAAGGTATGAGGGCTAACGCCGCTGATAATTTAGTCATGTTGTACAAAGTGTATTTCCAGGCATTGAGTTATATAACTCGCTTTAATTGAAACCAGCGATAATTCAATGCTATGGCAGAAAGTTAGCGCCTATTCAGCCGTAGATATACGGAGCGTTTGACTTACCTTCCTACTCGCAATTCTCCACTCCCACGCCCGTCTCCTCCACCCTTTCATGCCAATAGTAATAAAAATAATCCCATTCCACAGCCCTCGCAACGACCCCAACGCACTGACAGCAACGAGCAGCGAATACGACAGGTGATCATGGCGAATAAATGACGACACGCGGTTGATTGTCGGCGTGACCCAGGTGGCCAACAAGGCCAGGAAAAAGAGCGAGGGCATAAGTATATATTGCTTAAACGACACACGCCGCTGTTTCGGGGGCTTGTGTGTTAAGGGGATAGGATTGGAGTTGAACGGAGGAGCGCGGGTGGTGGTGGTAATGCGCCCGGTGGAAGAATCACTTGCCATGTTGGACTCAGAGATGTGGCCAGGGTTCTTTTGGGGATTTGCTTCAATATTTGTCGTTGTGGTGGCGTTGGAGTTGTCGAGGGAGGGATTGTTGCCGGAAATGGCGGAGGTTAGGGCAATGTGGTCGTCTTCGGTTAATTTGAACTCGTCGCGGAGCCTTGAGATCTCGATGCCGATTAGGCAGTAGAATAACATGGAAATGGCGATGATGAACCTGTTGGAAAGTAAATGTTAGGGAAGGGCGTTATAAAAGTGTGGACAGCACGAACCATATAGGACCGTAGTAGAAGGCTAGACGGATGAACATCCAGTCCTGAGATATTGAGCACCAGATCTGTCAGAAAGCCCAGATTAGTTCCTTCGCTCATATGACATCTAGTTAAGGAAAAGTACTTACTATCTCACTGCCATAGATATACCCTCTGTCGGAAGTGTGGATAAAGAGAAACACCAAGGCAGGAATGAATGTAAGTCCGGTAATGATTCCAACATATTTAATCTCTAGCTTGCGCAGAGACTCAGCATCGAAGTGATGAAAGACAACAAGATACGTGTCCAAGGCCATAGCAAATGTCCAGAGCACATCCGCTAGTGGAAACCTGTAGTGGTTGTCAACGATACTAGCTCATAGCCAGCCATAAAAAAACAAACGAATAAGTGTCGATCTCATACATTTGAAGGGCAAAACCCTGGAATTGACACAGTGATGAACTGCCTCCAGCTTCCGGCCCACTGACAGATATCATGGTCGCAATGGAATCGGCCAGGTTGTAAAAGGAATTAAAAAAGATAATACGATGTATGGGGCTGCGAAAATGTCGTGAGAAAATAAAGCCACCGATAATCGTAAAAATACCTAGAATAGAGAGCACCGAGCAGACTCGCCCCACGGTGCCTATCGTGCTGAGCTGCTTATGAGAGAGCGACATGGTGCAGGATGGTGGCCTCCGTGGAGGAATAATGCCATTATCAAAAGATCGAAGTCCGGATTCAGAGGTGTTTTATCCACAAGCCAAAAGAAAAGAAACCACGATCTCATGGCCGTGCATGATGGCAATTGCTTAGCCCAAATGGCGTGATTATGTGAAGCGGAGCCTGCGGCAGCGAGAGATCGCTCAGGAACAACAGTCAATCGTGCCATCTGTCGATCGCCTGAGTTGTGAGCCCCAATCACTCTCGTGTTCGCAGATGCGTATCCACCGTGGCATCATCTGAGAGCTGACCGGAAGTTCTAGGGTTCTTCTACCGCAGTCTCAACCAGAAACACAACCGCCCTCCTTGCCCTCGATCTATGTTTATTTCTACTAAAAAAGACATACTGATGAGTCTAACTTTTGTATAACTACTTGCTTCTCTCTGTCTTAGCCTTGGGCCTGGCATTTACAGCATCATAATGCATACGTAGATGAAGAATACCTAATGCTCCTTCGGCTCCAACCGATCTTGTAGGAAAAAGCAAGCAATGCGTTCCACTTGCAACCATGCACATGATAAATTGCCTAATTGACCGCGCTTGCCGCGGCATGAAAGATAATTCTCAGTCGTGTGTTCGGATACCCATATATCTAGCGATAGGACAATTTTCATAAAGCCGCGAGTACCAATCATTCAAGGGCAGTCGATTTCTCTTCTCGATGACGATATATGACTTACCATATTGACCTGTTTCTTCATCATCTTATCACAGTCTACGACAGCCAACAAAGAAAACGTGTCACATGATCCATGCAATGTTGTTGATGCTCCGCTGCAACACATTGCTAGCTTCTTTCTTAACTTCGTCCTCGATGCCAGCAAGTCGGTTAGCTGCTTTTCCATCCTGCCACGCACAGGGCTTTCTCAATGAAGCTTCAGACCATTCGATCCTTGTTCCAGAAGCACTCAACCTCTTTCCAGATTCTGTCTGATCCTCAATCTCGAAATAAATCAACAATACTCTTCATTTGAGGTACCTGCCTCCTCAAAACACCTCATTTTAGCAGGCGACATTGGTCGACTACATGGTTATAACGACTACCTTGCTTTTCTCGAAAAACAAATAAGCAACTTTGAACTCGCCTTTCTAGTACTCGGAATCACGAGCTCTACAATGCGTCCTACGAAACAGCAGTCGAGAAAGCAAAGCAGCTAGAGCAGGAACCTTTGTTACACGGACGGCTCGTTCTACTTCATCGACGTAGATATGATATCCCAGACTCGCCGATCACAGTGCTAGGCTGCACTCTATAGTCCCAAATTACAGAGGAATCAAAGGAAATTGTCGAATCCAAAATCCAGGATTTTAAGAAAAATCGATAACTGGACAACTGATCAACACAATGCGGCTCACGACTCAGATCTGGCCTGGCTGTGGAGTGAGGTAGAGAAGGTCAGCCAAGAAAATGCCCAAAATACTCTCAAGGCCGATACCCGATCTATTGTGCTGGTCACCCATCATGCGCCTTCTCTTCGCGGTACCTCAAGCACACAACATTCCCAGAATCCTTGGAGTGTTGCCTTTGGAACGGATCTGTTGTCAGAGAAGTGGAAAAGGGTCAAGGTCGGGGTGTTTGGGCACACACACTACTCAACCGAGTGCAGGGGAAATGGCATGAGGGTTGTGAGCAACCAGCGGGGATATGTTCTTCCGTGGAGCATAGAAACAAGGGAGTCTGACGTGGAGAAAGTGATATGGGTATAACATACTTGACGAATAATGGTGATGGCGCCCGAAATCTCTATGTGTTTTTTTACGCAGCGATATCTGCCTGCGCTTGACATTCCATAACTTCTCAGGTCGTAGGTTCTTGAAGACTAGAAGTATCATTAGAAATATTCAGTGGACGAATATACTAATCCAGCGGTCAACTCCCTTGAACTACACCAGTGCAATATTGAAAATTACTCGAAGGATATTGATCTCACAAATCATTAAACCACGAGGCAGAGCCATGCTATTTTAAACGGACGTTTGTGTTGTTTGCACGGAAACAAGGCACAGTCATGTGACATTTCCATTTTGGTCTCCGTCGCATTCATCGCATCAACTTCTTACCTAGATCATATCTCGCTACCACAACGAGATCTGGTCCACAAAACAGTCACCTCCCGGAATCCTTACCATATTCCATTTTTAACCCCTCCTACATTCATCTTTAGTCGAGCCGAATCACTCAACACAACGTCTTTCTTCCGGTGGCGCGCGACACCGGCCCTTTTTTTCACTGCCGATACGTTATCCTTTGTCGCACATCGTCTTCGCAAGTCACCTCCTCAACATGCTTCCTGAAATCTCCCCAAATTCGCCGCTCGCGCTGGCGGTGGCAAATACCATTCGACCCAAGTTGGTGGAGATGGGCTGGAGCACGGAGGATGGTCAAGAGTCGGCGCTCATCGATTACATTGTCTTGATGCTCGCCAACGGAAAGACCCAAGAGCAGCTTGCAACTGAGCTGTCAAGTGATTTCCTGGGTTTGGAGGAAGGCGACACACAAGCTCTCGAGTTTTCCAGATGGCTTTTTGGGCAGGTCGAGATTCTCAACCAGCAAATCAACGGTGTGCCTGTATCAAACGGCCCGATCGTGGAACAACAAGTACCTTCATTCACAGGCCAGGAGTCTGTCGGCCCCGCATCGGGATTCCAGGGAGATGGGCAGGATGCGGAGATGGGTGATGCGACTGTTACCAACGACGGGATGTGAGTTTCTTTTTTCCTCTCTTCTGGAGATACTCGGAATACTGACCCTGTTCGTCGATAGACCAACGGGACCCAAAGCGATGCGCAACGGAGGACCGGGCGGTCGAGGAAGAATGCTCAACCAAATCAATAGGAACATGGACCGCGCGGGCGACGGACCCCTTCATCGTGTTCGCGGACAACAAGGCAGTGGTCGCATTGGTCGAGATCAAATGAAAGGACCCCGGTCCCAGAACATGGGTGGTCGCGGAGGTAGAAATATGGGCGGCATGGGAATGCACGGCAACATGGGCCCCGGGATGGGCCAAATGAGCCCCGAGAACCAGATGCAGATTATGTCGATGTTGGAGGAGCAGGCAAGAATGATGTCCCAACTCATGCCTGGCTTTGTGCCTCCAGCCATCAACCCCGCTTTCCAGCAAAATGGTCAGCAGAACGGTCGTTCGCTCTTCGATCGGGTTGAACGCCAGGGCCATCGTGGAGGACAAGGCCATTTTTCCAAACGTGGGTTGCAACAGAGAAACAAGAACGCAAATGGAGCGGACGTGGATATGGACACGGCGATGGATGGTGAACAAGACGAGAACAACACCGACAGTACCTGTCGCTTCAATCTTCGTTGCACTCGAAAGGACTGCCCGTACGCCCATCAGTCTCCTGCTGCCCCGGAAGGCACGGGGATTGACGTGGCCGACATCTGCTCGTTCGGAGCGGCTTGCAAGAACCGAAAATGTACTGGGCGTCACCCGTCCCCAGCAGTGAAGTCTGCTCACCAGGCAGAGGCGATGTGCCGGTTCTTCCCCAACTGCACCAACCCCCATTGCACATTCAAACACCCCGACATGCCGCTCTGCCGCAATGGAGCCGATTGTTCCACCGAGGGGTGCAAGTTCACTCACCTCCAAACGGCTTGCAAGTTCACCCCCTGTCTTAACCCTAGCTGCCCGTACAGACATGCCGAGGGCCAGCGGGGTGCTTTCTCCGACAAGGTGTGGACACCACAGTCGGGTGGCCATGTCAGCGAGCGCAAATTCGTGGACGAGAACGCTCCCGAGGAATTGATCAAGCCCGAGGACAACAACGAGGGCTCACAAGGCCAGGAGTTGACTGCCTGACTCCGCCTGCTTTGAAGCCCATTTTGAAAAGGAATAATGTGTACAATTTGATCTGAGGATGACGACGAATAGCTCAGCTGGTCGGGGAGGGCGTTGGATATTATTTCATGCATTTGCTTGTATCTTTTCGATGTTTTGAATGTGTACATAGATATCCCCTCTGGCAAGAATGCAAAGCGAAACAGCTCGCTTGAAGATGAGATTTAAATCCGTCAACCTTGGGGACATGGTCGATCCTCGGGATTAAGTAAGAGGCCGAGGACCCCCCCCCCCCCCCCGGATCTTCCTTGGATCCGACCTCGGGAGCTTCGTCCTCAGAGAACCCACGCTTGATTCAATTCACTCATTCAATTGTCGGTCGCTGAAATGCGGTTACCATGTGTCGCTAGTGGACTTCGCGCAGGTCGGCGGCCATTGGTGTCCGTTCTTCATGGCCAACATCGCACGTACAACACCGCGGTGATCGGAGCTGGCATCACCGGACTCACGGCTGCTTGGCAATTGGCGCAAGACCCCCAATGCTCCCAGGTAACATTGTACGAGAAGTCTTCTCGGCTTGGTGGCTGGCTGGACTCTGAAGTCATCCCCGTCGACGGGGGAGAAGTGGTGTTCGAGTATGGGCCACGGACTCTCAGAAGCGCTTCACCCGCATCCATTCCCTTTCTTTCCTTGGTAAGTGCACACACCGCCCGTGCGCAATGATCGCGTAAGGCTAATCATATGTCAAAGATTGTGAATTTAGGTATATTTGACGACTTGATCGCGACATCGAAGCTTAGCCCCGCAGCGCGCAATCGCTTCATCTACTATCCCGATCGTCTTGTGCGCCTCCCCTCGCTAGACCGCGAGGGTCTCCGCAACCTCCGCAGCACTTTGAAAGAACCGGTATTTGAAGGGTTCTTACAGGGACTCCTCTGGGAGCATGCCCAACCAGCCCGAGACCCGTCGGAATGGGCTCAAGATGAGTCTGTCGCAAGCTTTATATCGCGCCGATTCAACTCCCACGTCGCCGACAATCTGGTTTCATCGGTCTATCATGGCATTTATGCCGGTGATATTGATCAATTAAGTGCTCAGACTCTCATGGGTGGTATCCGCAATCTCGAAGGTACCGGGATTCTGGCTGGCCTCGGCCTCAAGGCCTTCACCGGCTCGAGTACCAGGTTGATGGATGACTTTATGGCACTGGATGCTGCTCCACGGTCCCGCGATGTGCTAGACCATGAGGACGCCATTCATAGAGTCGCTAAGGAGTCAAGTACTTTCACGTTCAAGAGAGGGGTTCGCCAGCTTATCGAGGCTTTGGTCGCTGGGTTAAAACAGTCTGGCAAGGTCAATATCAGGCAAAGCACGAATATCCGAGCTTTGAGCAAGAGGGAAAATGCTTCTAATCTTGATGTACGTTGATTCATTGATTCAACCGGGCCCTACTATTCCCCTGAAGACAGTGATGCTAATTTGGGCCAGATCATTACTGAAGACAAGCGCCGCGCGACGTACGACCGGGTTATTTCTGCTATCCCCGCACCTGCTTTGGCCAAACTCATTGCTCCTACAAACCACCCAACCAACGTGAACCCGCAGAAGTCTATGGCACTACTACAGCAACATAATTATGCCACAACTGTGATGGTGGTCAACCTGTATTACTCTGACCCCAATATCCTGCCCGCGGAGGGCTTTGGATATTTGATCCCACGATCCATCCCGTTCGAACAAAACCCGGAATGCGGGCTGGGTGTTATTTTCGCTTCGTCGTCTAGTACCGGCCAACACCCCTCAATGCCATCGCTCTCGGTCAGTCAAGACAGCGCGCCAGGCACCAAGCTCACTGTGATGCTGGGCGGCCACTATTGGGATGGGTTCAAGGAGAATGATTACCCAGACCATGACACGGCCGTGGACATGGCTCGCGCCATGCTTCGAAGGCATATCGGCATCACCCAGGCCCCGAAGGTCGTTCGAACCCGTCTGCAGCACAATGCTATCCCACAGTATACTGTGGGCCATCTGGATCGCATGTACGAGCTGTCCGACGCTGTGCGATCGGAATTTGACCACCGGCTCGTTCTCGGTGGAAACTGGTACAACGGCGTGGGTGTGGGCGAATGTGTCCGGCAAGGCATCTTGGCTGCTACGTACGGTGTGGGCCAGCGTCAGCTCCGAACTAATATTGGCGATGGGAACTCTCCGTGGAAGGAGTATGATTACCACAACTGGGAATTGGAGGGTGGCATCACCATGCCCCCCGTGCGACTTTTTGAAAGCACTAAAAAGGATTTCGCTTGATTGGTGGATACGGTTCCCTCTATCTGAATGGTACATATCTTGCCAGGGAGTGGTTTGGTGTACAACAGATGGGATGATTGTTCTCAAGTATGTATGCATTAGATAGTAGAAGCCTCGAGTGTGTAAATAGATCGCCACATGTTGCGACAATCTTGTTTATTTTCCAGACCCCATTTTCTGCAAAGTACAGGCTGGCAATGGTTCTCTGTTTCTGCGCTGCTAGTAACAAATTGATGAAGCCCTTGCTATCAACCCACGACCAAGCATTTGGCGCAAACGAACCAAGTGGTGCCCATCCTCCACAAGTCATGCATGTCGAAACACCATCGAGTCGCCGCTTCTCATTGCGTGGATAGTTCGCAACACCATTGCTCGCCTTGGGAGTGGATGGGCATGGGACTGTGATGGGCCGCCGCAGTTGGGTAGTGAACGTTGCAGCTGAACACTCGAACTGACTCCAGGCGACATCGAACCAATTGAGTCTAGCGGCAAAAAAGCTTCCAGCATGTATAGAAGATCCGGTCTGCGTCTTGCTGTATGGAACAACCATCGAGAGATTCTCTAAGGGGAATTGGGCTCGACTCCAGTAACCTCCAAGTAGAAACCAAGACATCCCATGGTTCATTCAGGCGTTCTCTTTACCGTTGGTGTCTTTCTTGTCGCCATTGGCGTCAAAGCCCAGCGAATCCAGCTGACGAACCAGTTCTTGGATCTTGATGATCTTCTCCAGTTGCTCGGGCAGCAAGGCCTCGCCCTGATGCTTCTTGTCGCGAAGGTCCCGCGCCTGTCTCAGCTTCTTCTTGAGGTTTCGGGCCTTTTTCTCCTTCTCGGCTTCGATATCCACGGGTTCGTCGGCAGGCTCTTCGTCCTTCTTACCAGCCGACGCACGCCAGTTCTCTGACTCGAAGCCCTTCTTCTCGGCGGCAGCAGGTTCTTCCCCTTCCTCCTTGGCTTTCTTCTTCGCCTCCCGGCGCTTGGCGTTCTTGTTGCTTGCGGCAGTCCCGGCTCCCGGCGTAGTCTTGTCCTCCCCACTGCTCAGTGCTTCTGCACCAGGCACCCCACCTTTCCCGCGATTCTTGAATGCAGCGGCAGCACGGTTCTTGTAGAGTTCGACATCTTCCGGCGGCTTGTATCCTGGGCGCACGCGGATTTCGCGACGCTTGGTCCCATCAGCGCGGACCGAGGAGGGAATGTACCGTTCCCCGGTCGCAGAATCGGTGGTAATCCCCGAGGAGGAAACGTTTGAAGCCATGGTAGGCAAGCGCAGCGGAATCAAAGACACCAACTGCTGAAGAGAGCCGTGCGATGCTGAGGGAAAAGGGAAATCCAAAAGGAAAACAAATGTAAATTCACAGTGGACGTCGCGGAAGCCCGGGGGCGGGTGGGCCAATCAGGGCGCCGGGAATTCCCGCAGCTTTTCAACGCAACTTCGCAGATTCCACTCTTCTCTCACTCTCGCCTCGACCTCATCCCACCCCCCGTGCCAATCTCCCTCTCTGAATTGCCCACAATGGCTGGCTCAGTATGTTGCTATTCCTTTCCTACCTCATTCGAGTCTCGATGCTCGCAGGAACTGACCCTCTCATGACAGATCTCCAACGTGATCTACCAGTCCGTCTTCCCTTCCGACCGTGATCGCAATGGCGCCATTGGATTCTAACCGCCGCTTTTCACTACTTCTAGGACCTTCATTCGCAGGAATGCCGTTTTCCTAACGACCATCTTCGCGAGTGCTTTCGCGTTTGAGCTGTGCGTTACATTCGGACCCTCTCTCGAGTCATACAGAAGCCCTGACCATGCAATTGCGAAACAGTGCCTTCGATACCACTTCCAACAAGATCTGGGATTCCGTCAACCGCGGCGTATGTTGCTCTCCCGCACCTTTTACCCCTGGTCGGACCCACGGCTGCTCCGGACAGAACCCTCGCTAACCACTATTTCGACCTACAGCGGCAATGGAAGGACATCAAGTACCGTTATCTGAACAAAGACGAGGAGGAGGAAGAGTAAAGGAACCCCGGTTTTGCTGTGGTGTAGATCTACGCTGGTACCAGGGGGGTGCGATGGAACCGAATGGGTGCGATGGACTCCATGTTATTATCCCTCTCCCCACTTGAGGGCTTGTATGCGATAGAATTTGGACATCTATATTTTCACACACAAGATCTCAGATCTCTCTATTTGCGTGGTTGATTTGCTTGAAGGTGGGCTGAGGCGTAGCGAGGATCGGTGTGGCGCTGGAGACCGCTGGAGACCGCTGGTTCCATCGATGTCATAGTAAAAATGCTCAATCCCTCGACTCCGATCTTGGTGATTTCTTCACTCTTTCCATCTCTGGTCTTCAGGATTGGCAGAGCCCTTTCTTTTCTTTCCTATGGCATTGTAGCCGATTTATGATTGTCCCTTCTGATCTTCGAGGTCGATCTCTTTTTCGCCCGTCACTTTTCTCTCCCCCCACCACGAGAATCGTCCGTGAACCTGAGCCGAGAATAGCTCCCACACCAACCATTTGGCTGCCCTATCGCGATTAACTCTGCTCGGGCTTTTACTTGGCGACTGCATAACTGGGGCGATCCCACACGCTCGTTCCTCGCCCCATTAGCGCCTTGTCGCCAACGGCCTCCCCGTCACCTGTGACAGCCGAGCGGCCGCGGACACATCTTGCATCTTCCTCAACTAAGAAGTCATGCACATGCTCACAGAATGCGAGAGGATACTCGGTGATGGTCTTCTCCGTTTGCCCTCGCAACACAACTACCGATACAGCCCACAGGCTGAAAGAGACCTCTTAGAACTTCTGTTCCGGTCGCTGGTGGCACACAACGAAGAGCTGGTACATCACTTGTTCCCTGATGGCACACCAGCAGGTGCATGGAAGCTAGCTGAGGCCCAGGGTGCCAGAGAAGGAGCGGAATATAGCGAGGCAGCGCGGGGCAAGCGATGTGGTCACATCTTCCGAGCGGGGGAGGCCACATACCGATGCGTCACCTGCGCCGCCGACGATACCTGTGTGCTATGCAGCCGATGCTTCGATTCCTCCGACCACACCGGACACCAGTATCAGATCTCGCTATCTTCGGGGAACTGTGGCTGCTGTGACTGCGGCGATGACGAGGCTTGGCGCCTCCCACTCTTCTGCGCCATCCACACCGACAGCGACCAGGCCAAGGGGAAAGAGCGCGAACGACGAGAGCTGCCCTCAGAATTGGTGGCCTCGGTCCGACTGACCATCTCGCGCGTGTTGGACTATTTCTGTGATGTCATTTCGTGCTCCCCGGAGCAATTGCGCCTGCCGAAGACCATCGAAGGTATCAAACAAGATGAGGAGGCATCTCGACTACGTCCAGATTGGTATGGAGCGGGCGACCAAGCCGAGGAAGAGCCTGAGTTTGCGCTCATGCTGTGGAACGATGAGAAGCATACCATCCGGGATGTCGCCCGCCAGGTCACTCGCGCTTGTCGCGAGCGGGACAGCTTCGGTGTGCACCGGGCACACGAGACAAATGATATTGGACGCAGTGTGGTCAAGTGGTCGAAGGATCTGCATCGGCTGCTGGCCGTGTCCAAGATCATCGAGGAGATCAGGGTCACCGTCACCGTGCGCTCTGCACGCGACACATTCCGTGAGCAGATGTGCGGGACGATCGTGGAATGGCTGGCCGATATTGCCGGATGCAGTATTCTCGAAGACAACGAGATCTTCCGACAGGTCATTTGCGAAGAATTGCTCACTCCCTGGCGAAAGGGCAGCGGCGGCTTCAATGCGGATATTGGAGCCAAGGGCATTGATGATCACCAAAGGACTGAGAATATTACGGGCCGAACACTTATGCTCAATTTGCCTGTCCATGGTCAGGTGCTTTTGGCGACTGATGACGACGACGATGATGAAGATGATGCGGTCGACGATACCAACGAACAGGATGACGATGAGGACTATGTCGAAGCGCACGATGATGCGGATGATGAAGATGATGAAATGGAAATCGAGCTCACCCGTCTTCAGGCTGAGGCAGAGGAAGACGAAGATATGGATATGGGCAATGACGACGATGAACTCGCTCTGGCCGAGCGTATTCTGGCAGGGCTTACTCGTCCACAACCGCCGTCTCCCGCCCCACCACCTGAGGCCACGGAGCAGCTACCGGCTCAACCAGAACGGGCCAGTGCTACGCCCTCTCGCGAGCTCAGTACCCAGCCATCTGAACCTCCCGGTTACATCCCCATCCCCCGAACACCTTCGCTTGTACGAAAACCGTCACCTGCGAGAACGGAAGGTCACTGGCAAGTACGTCCACCCATGCCAGCTGCAGGCGAAAAGGTTCCTCCATACGAAGACCTCTGGCAGCGAACTCGCTTGGACTGGCTGGTTCTCTTTGATCTGAGATTGTGGAAGAAGACGCGTACCGATCTGCGCGATCTTTATATCAGCACCGTCGTCAATGTTCCTCAGTTCAAGCGCATCATGGGTCTTCGTCTGTCCGCCCTGTATACGGCTCTGGCTCAGCTCTATCTCATTGCAGATCGTGAGCCAGATCACTCTATTGTCAATCTCTCTCTGCAGCTTCTCACGACACCTTCCATCACCGAAGAGATTGTGCTGCGAGGAAACTTCCTCACTAAAGTCATGGCCATTCTATATACATTCCTAACCACCAGGCAAGTTGGTGAACCGCAAGTCGTCAATCCAAACGCCACGCTGGCATTCGATGCTGGCTCTGTGACCAACAGACGTCTCTTCCACTTCTTCCTAGACCTCCGCTACCTCCTGCAGTCCGAGTATGTTCAGCATCGTGTGCGAACCGAGGAGCAGTATCTCCCCCAATTCCTAGACCTAGTCAAGTTGTCTCAAGGTATCTGCCCCAACGTGCGCGCCGTTGGTGAGCATGTTGAATATGAGACCGACGCTTGGATCAGTGCTTCAATCCTAATGCGGGAGATCAACCGGCTCTGTCGACAGTTCTGTGAATCTTTCCGCGACCCTGAGCGTGATAACGGTCATAATCTTGTGAGAGCAATCAGAACCACAACGATGACTGCTATTCTTCACTCCGCGGGTGTGGAGCGTAAGCGCTTCGAGCAGGCAGAAATCAAAGAGGAAGTCAGGTTCAAAACGTTGCCACCATTCGACTTTGAAGTTGGTCCCTCTGGTCAGGTCCCATGTCACCGGGTGGTCGAATTCGTTGTTGAGCGCGGGTCGATCAGTTTCCACCATGCCCTGCACTACACTCTGTCCTGGCTTGTGGAGTGCGGCCGCAATGTCAACGCTGCGTTGATGCGCAATGTTCTCTTTGAAGCCGCCTGGTCGGCCAGGAACGAGATTCACGCTGCCAAAATTGCAAACAAGCCCGTTGATGATAACCTGCTTGCTCTCGGGCCGGAGGATCTGCTCCTGGTCATGTTTGACTACCCCTTGAGAGTTTGTGCTTGGTTAGCACAGATGAAGGCCGGTATGTGGGTTCGCAATGGTCTCAGTCTTCGACATCAGATGTCGCAGTACCGCGGGGTCTCCTCCCGTGACTTTGCCTACTACCGGGACATCTTCTTGTTGCAGACTGCGCTGGTGACGTGTGATCCCAGCAGAGTCCTTGCATCCATTGCGCATCGATTCGGCGTGGTTGATTGGATGTCTCGCAACTATCTGCCTCGTCCTGGCTACGAGGATGCCCAAATTGTCGATGTTGCTGAGGAGTTCGTTCATTTGTTGGTTATTCTGCTCACGGATCGAACCTCTTTGACTGCGATCGATGACAGCACGCACTTGACGCATGACAACATCAGCCGTGACATTGCTCATGTCTTGTGCTTCAAGCCACTTTCTTTCTCTGATCTTTCAACTCGTCTGAGTGACAAGTTGCTGGATTCGGACATGTTCCAGGATGTGTTGGAGGAGATCGCCAATTTCCGTCCGCCAGAGGGCCTGAGCGACTCGGGCACCTTTGAGTTGAAACCTGAATACCTCGATCTCATTGATCCGTACAGTGCGCACTATACAAAGAACCAGCGGGACGAGGCAGAGAACATATATAAAGAATGGGTGGCCAAAAAGACTGGCAAGAAGGCTTCCGACATTGTTTTTGAGCCGAAGCTGCGACCCATCAGCTCCGGCTTCTTTTCTAATCTGCCTAGCTTCACGGGGACTATGCTCTTTGCCCAAATAGTTCACCAATGCCTGGAGTATGCTCTCTCATGCCAGGAATGTACTCCAAGTATTCCTCCGACACGTGTTGAGACTTTCCTTCAGGTCATCCTGCATCTAATCCTTGCCTCAGTTTTGGAAGACAACTCCCAGGAAGGAGAAATGACTGAAGACTCGAGTCAGTCATTCAACTGGCATGCCTTGTCAAAGACCCGAGAAATCAAAGCGGGCAACTTGACTATAGTTGGTCTGTTGGAAAAGATCTCTGTTATGAACGAGTTTGCTGCCTGCGGCCCTAAGATTCGCCATATTCTCAAACGTCTCTGGCAGAAGCGCCCTCAAACCTATACCTCAGCAACTGCCTCTCTCAAATTTCCCTTCGACCGGATCGACACCAATTCCCCTGCCATTGACGTGGAAAATGAAAAGGAGAGCAAGAAGAAGCAAGCTCTGGAAAGACAGGCGAAGGTGATGGCACAGTTCCAGCAGCAACAGCAAAACTTCCTGAACAGCCAAGGCGATATCGACTGGGGCGAGGAAGACTTCAGCGACCTCGAATCTGAAGGGGAAGCCACCCCTGAGACGAAAATCTGGAAGTATCCCAGTGGAACCTGCATTCTTTGTCAGGAGGAGACGAATGATTCGAGGCTCTTTGGCACTTTTGCGTTGGTTCAGGAGAGTACGATCTTGCGACAGACGGACATCAGGGACCCCGATCGAATCCGTGAGGCTCTGAAGACACCCTCAAGCCTGGACAGATCTGCTGAGGAGGTGCGGCCATTTGGTGTGGCCGGGGAGAACCATACCACAATCCGGCGACTGGACTCTTCCGGGGGTGAAGTCATCAGCGAAAAAATTGGGTTGAGCAAAGGCTTCAATCCAAAGAGTACCCTGCGTGGACCGGTGACCACCGGCTGCGGACACATTATGCACTACTCCTGTTTTGAGGTCTATTATACTGCCACTCAAAGGCGGCACAGTCAACAAATCGCTCGCAACCATCCCGAGAACACGATGCTCAAGGAATTTGTGTGTCCATTGTGCAAGGCTCTGGGGAATGCATTCCTTCCCATCACCTGGAAGGGCAAAGAAGAGTCCTATCCCGGACCACTGAACACCACCGTTTCATTTGACCAGTGGATCACTACCGGTCTCAGGAACGCTTTGAATCAGCCGCAAAATTTCCCTGTGCTCATGGAGAAAGAAAAGGCTCATCAGCAGCCATATTCCGATCTCTTCATCGACTATCTCTCCAAGACTTTGGTCCCTCCCCTTTCCACTAAGATTGATCAACTCATGGCTTCCTCGCTTCCCTCAACTACCACCGCGCATTATCTTTCGTCATCGCGGATGGCGATGCCGGGTCTTTTCCCTACCGCCGACGACATCTCGCCATCTAGCCCTCTTCAACAGGTGTCTAGCCCTACGGACAGCCCTATGTCGGAGCTTGTCCAGATCTACAACCGGCTGAAGAAGACACTCAAAATGAACCACATCGGTTCGATTTTCAACGCCGGCCCTGAGGTCATTCACAATGATGACCTCATACATACAGACTCTTTGATCCGGAGTTTTGGGTTTAGCATCGCTGCTGTTGAAATCGCGCAGCGTGGTGTTGAATCGGAGCCCGGATCTACTTTGCTGGACAAGATACCTCCGCTGACGCTAACACATCTACGTGTCTTGGCGGAGACGGCACTGACATATGCCGCGGTCGGCTGCCTTCATTCTTCTGGCGCACCCAAGAACCGCGCGACGCACGAATTCCAGGAGATGCACCGCCAGAGGATCTGTCAGCTGCTTGTCGGTCATCCTTGCTTGAGTGGCACGCCACTGCTGAACGATGTCCGGAACATCGAGCCCCTGCTTGCCGTAGACACCTTTGTCTTCCTGGCGGAGTGTTCGCTTTCCTTGTTGCCGGTGCTTCGGATCGATGTGCGCCATCTCGTCCAGATGTGCTACGTGGCTGAAATTGTCAAGGTCGCGGTCACCTTCATTCTCTGGCCGCTGGGGCTTAAGGAAGAACTTGCTGGTCAGGGTGAGAGATATCTGTCTGGGTCTGAACTTTCAGAGGAACGCTATACGGCGACAAGACATTTCTTCGACTCGGTCGTCGCCGAGCTCAAGGCAAACTCAGTGGGACGTGCCGAGGGCTCCTCATTCCCTGCTGAGAGTGGCTTCGTGAAAGATGGAGAGGAATCCGCCACCCCCGGTATAATCATTGCGCTACGACGACTCGTTTCGAGCTACGCTTTGACCTTCCTGCGAAAGACCACTATTCTTCTTCGCGTCCAGCACGGCGTTGAATTTCCCAACACAGGGTTCACCGATGTGGGTACGTCGGAGCTCGACCGACTCACAGCAGCGCTGCACCTGCCTTCGCTCGATGAGATCTTCACGTCGATCAACCCCGCGCGGAAGAGCAACAGCCCCTTCGACGCCGTCATCTCGGGATGGATCTTCCACTGGAACGCGTCGCGCTCTGGGGTTCGTGTCGAAGACCATCGACTGTGGCCAAGCCTGTCCCACCCCGCAATTTATGAGCTGGTCGGCTTGCCCAAGTACTTTGACAGTCTGATCGAAGAGGCAAACCGACGCCGCTGTCCCAACTCCAAGAAGGAGCTCAGCGATCCCAGTATCTGTCTTTTCTGTGGAGATATCTTTTGCTCGCAGGCAGTATGTTGCATGCACAACAAGCTGGGCGGCTGTAACCAGCATGTTCAAAAGTTTGTCCACCCCTCCACCCCACCTTCCCTTTTCTCATCCAATCCTATCTGTAGCAACATTGCTAACAAACCCGCTTTTCACCCCACAATAGGTGCGGCAAGGACATTGGTCTCTTCATCAACATCCGCAAGTGCACCGTTCTCTACCTGCACAACCGCAACGGCTCCTGGCACTATGCCCCATACCTGGACCGCCACGGCGAGGTCGACCCAGGCCTGCGACGCAACCGCCAGCTCATCCTCAACCAGAAGCGATATGATCGGTTGCTACGAGATGTCTGGCTCTCGCACGCCGTCCCGGCGACGATCAGCCGCAAGCTCGAATCTGAGATCAATAACGGCGGCTGGGAGACTATCTGATGAACTCGACACAAAAACCAAAAACCAAAAGGGAAAGAGAATTCATGGCCGGGGTATTAGACTTTCTCTTTGTTTTGTTTTGCTTTCGCAGGCGAATATGAAAACGGCGACCTTGATTTATTGTCTTTATTTTTCTTCTTTTTTCGTCTCTTGTGTGTATCTTTCACTTGGGCATGTTGGATCTATAAGCAGCTGCTCTCCGATATAGCATTAGTTGCAGCTTTGCCCCCATCGAGAGCGGTTTTCATCTGACTACCACTTGATCATTTCTTAGCCTACCCAAAGTTTGCAACTGCCAAAAGATTAAAGTCTCTCCTCATTTGGAAGTGTAACGATCCCTGGGCCGAGAGAGATGCCAAGGGCCATCTAGAAGACATTCACGTCTCGTGGCAATTCATGAATGACGCGTCGCGGTCCCGGTGACTGTTGCTGGGGTCGATCATCCAGCGCAAAGGTTGCAGCTCGGCACATTTTATTCTGTGACTTATTGAGATGAAAACTGTTGAATTGCAATCACAGCACTGATCGATTCTCGACTGCAGACCCCTCGAGAAAGAGTGGGTCCTGGATGTATCTTATCGGTGCCAAGCCGGATCTGCACCTCAACGCCTGAGCCTCTTCCAACCTCATTCCTGACCCGCAACCATGAATAACGAACAGTTCCGGCGCCTGCTGGTGGAAAAGTCGCCCTCAGGCTCCAAGGAGAGCGCCACACCCCGAAATGCCGCTCCTGGGGGCGCAACGCCCAGCGCGCTGGGCTCGCGGATGCGCTCCAGCATTCCCATGACTCCGTACGGTCCCCTTTTCGCGTACATCCACAATCTCTTGTCTTACATTTTCAGCACCAGCTAACATCTGAAAAATGCAGGCGCTCAGTTACCGGGTTAGATTTTGCGCGCCAGCTCGCAGAGCACCGCCGCGAAGGCGACCAGCGACCCTCCAAGCGATTTAAGTCTTCGGCCGCGCCCAAAGGCACCAAGCTGCCTTCCGGATACCAAGATCGCGCTCAGCAGCGCAATGCCGAGGCAGATAATCAGCCCGGGGAAGATCTCCAGGCCCGCATCAAGGCGCTGGAGGAGATGGTGAAGCTGGGACAAATCGACCAGGCGACCTTTGAGAAGCTCCGCGCGGAACTTGGGGTGGGAGGTGATACTTCAAGCACGCATATGATCAAGGGACTCGATTGGAAGCTTCTAAAGCGTGTCAAGGCTGGCGAGGATGTTTCGCAGACACCGGAGAAGTCGGCTCCGCCGCCTACAGAAGAAGCACCAACCGAGAAAGATGACGATGAGGAATTTGAGCGTCTGATGGAAGAAAAGGGACTGGAGGAGATTCATGCAGTACCTAAACAGACCAAGGAAAAGAAGAAAGGCACGATGGCCCCGCCGCCTCCCCCGAAAAAGACCCGGGATGAGATCCTACGGGAGTTGAAAGCTGCCCGTGCTGCAGCTGTGGAAGCTCCAGCACCACTGCCCGAGTCGACGCTAGGCTCGAGATTCAAAAAGCTTGGAGATGGCAAACCCGAAAAGAAGCGTTTCGTCGAGCAGGACGAGAATGGCCGCCGGCGAGAAGTGCTGCTTATCACGGACGCCGCAGGGAAAACCAAGCGAAAGGTGCGCTGGCTTGATAAGCCGGGCGAGGCAAGTGGCTCCGCTGCTACTACCATGCCAATGCCAGGTAAGGCTGCCAAGCCGCTGGGCATGGAAGTGCCGGCCGAGATCGCCGCCCGAGCCGCTGCCGATGCCGCGGCTGAGGAAGAAGACGATGATATCTTTGCCGGAGTTGGCGACTACAACCCTCTCGCCGGGCTTGAGGAAGATGACGGGTCATCTTCTGACGAGGACAGCGAGATTGGCGATGCCACTGCCAAACGCGAGCAAGCTCCCATCAGCGAAGCAATTCAGCAACCACCTGCTCCCGACGCCGCTCCTGCCAAGCCGCGCGACTACTTCGCTTCGGGTGCTTCCTCTACAGTCGCTGAAGAACCAGAGGACCGCTCCAATCCCCTCACCAAGGACCCCACGATATTGGCTGCGCTCAAGCGAGCGGCGGCATTGCGACAAGCGTCTCCATCGGCCGGTGATGAAGAGGGCCAGTCTTCCGATGCGGACCTTCGAGGCAAGCGCTTCCTCGAAGAGGCCCGGCGACGGGATGCTCAGGACGCAGCGGACATGGATCTCGGGTTCGGCGGCAGTCGAAACGAGGACGAGGCGGAGGAGGAGGGTGTACTGTTGGAATTCGAAGACCAGCGCGGCGGCAAGAAGAGGAAGCGCGGGCCGAAGAAGAAAAAGGGCGACAAGGACAGCGCGGCAGATGTTATGCGGGTGGTCGAAGGACGAAAGAAGGAGGCAAACTGATCTAGGCTGCTCTTATTTTCTAGTTCATCCTGAAGCTGCTCTGGATACCCCATACTACGCAATAATATCAACCATAGACCCTCTCCACCCATACCATGGTAGCCTATTCCCAATATATCGTCGGCGATCCTCTGCTGCATCCCCTCCGCAACCCGATCTGGCGTCGGCGTCTGCCTGATTAGCGATTCTCCTGGCGATTAGCGAGTCTCATTGTGATCCGGGAGGCTGGTGTTTGCCTGATTAGCGATTTTTCCGGTGATTAGCCAATCCCGTCGTGAGGCGAGAAGTCTCGTCAGATCACGCCTTCCTAATTCGGAAGGAGCCCTAGCCCTCAATCGCTGCCTTCCTCAATAGGCAGCGGCCTGATTCCCTGAGACTTCTCCCACACTATAAATACCCTTCTTCCCCTTCCCATCTCTTCTTCCCCCAACTTTTTTTTCTTTTCTTCATCCTCCCCACCCACTCCACCTTGGACTTTCCATCATGCATCTTCCCTCTTGTCTTCTCTTTCCCACTTATAGGCCTTCTTGATTTTCTTTTCCATCTTTGCTTGACCTACCTTCTGAGATTCGTCACTCTGTTGTCACATCACAGGCGAGTACTCTAGTGGTTTTTTCTCCCTCTCCTCTCTCTTGTAGACCGTATTTTCGCTGCCATCACGATGATGAGTCTCGCTCAGCTGAGGGCCCCGGCTGATGGATACTTCTTTTCCCTTCCAGGTTCCAACATCCACACAACACAACAAGATGACTTCTTCCATGCTCTTAATGCATGATGACATCTCTTGGGCACTTGTGTCTTCAAGGAGCTGTGCCAGGACTATCTGGCCTGCTTCACATTCAGGTGAGATGGCTCGAGCGATTCCAAGTTCATGTCAGACCAAAGCTTGAGCTTCTTCGCCTCTTCGCTCCTCTTCTCTTTTCTACCCAACTCCTGCTGTTTTATCTTTTCCCGTTTCCCTCCCTTCCTCCTTTTCTTCCCCCTCTTCCTTTTCACTCTTCTTTACTGAATATAGGAATGTGTCCACTCTCTTCTTTTCTGACCTCCGACCCTCCGATCCTTTTCTTCTCTTCTCCTTTTCTGCATATTTTGTTTCTTCTTTCCCGTCCTACTCTCTCCTCTTTCCTTTTTCTTTGCTTTCTCTATTTCCCTTTCTCCTCTCTGTTTTGGCATTGCATCGCGAAGACAGTGGTTTCCTCACCAGCAAATGCTGACGCAGGGTCACTTTGGTTCCTCTGCTCTAGGACACGGCTTCTTTTCCGCTTTTTCAGAATTTCTGCATCATGGCTCTTCTCAATCACTTGCATATATACCTGCAAGTGCACAGGTGAGATGACTAGGTAATATTATATAACCTTACGAAAAATAGGAAATTAGGCCTTATTACCTAATCTACCCTGTAGTAGAATAATCATAATATTTAGGCGTATTTCGTACTACTTGGGCGCCAAGATTATGCAAGTCTTTTCGTTTTGGACTCAACATAAACATGATTGATTCACCGCCGAGCATGGAAGTTCGATATATGATAGCAAATCCCATGAGGACGCTCATATAGCCGTTGCCACTCGCCCCCCTCGCCCATCTGTTGATATCCTTCTAGCCCCGCGTCACATAAAGCCACTTTCATCCACCCGACATCCTTCAAAGTACACCCTTCGACGGAATCATAGCCGTCGTCAAGTAAGTCCTCTGGCTGATCAACATCCTCAAGTTCTTCTTGACTGAAATCTTCAATAGACTCTGGCTTCCACCAACCGTACAACATATTCACAAATGCATCTTTATTGATACAATCATCAATCGGTGCTCGGAGAACACTCTGCAAAGATTCTTCGTTCACAAAGAGACAGAATCGATAACGGGCAACTCTGACATTAAACGTCCGAATCATATCAGGTGAACCCCCTGACTCCTGAATCGCGTTCATTGCCCATTTTTGGAAATGGTCTCGGATAGTCGCTGTACTCGCACCCTCAAATAGAGATCTGTCCTCAAAAACTGTTGCCTGGTAGCTATCAAGCATATCTAGGCCATTATAGTATTCCAGCGAGTGAGAGACATGCCATTGGTACCTACGCAAAAATTCGGTCCAATTGGCGTCATTCTGGTAGGTACATCGGTAAATAGGGAATCCCCATGTGTGCAGGCCAGCTTCTTGTTGAGCTTTCTCGATGCGATCAGCGATATTATTACGAGATTCCTTGTTAGCGGTCCGTTTAGACGGATTTCGAGGTGGATCGCGCCTAGTCAACCTCGCAAGTGCCGCTAGTGCTTTTTCATGCGTGCTTTCCGAGGAGTTCGAAGCCATTTTTCGAAACTGCCAGTGGTATCTCTGTGTAAGGGGTGGAGAGGATTTAATTGGGGAGCCAGTCGCGATGTTTGCAATTGTAAAAGCCGATTTGAGAGCCTTTGGATTTCTTCCGATGAGTTTTGTAGTGGTGGACAACATAATCTGCCCAAGTAGCATGCGGTGGTGAAATATTTGGAAGGGAAAGGGTGGGATGTTACTGTTTTCTCTTCTGGCCACCGGTCCAAATGATACCGGGCGTAACGTATTGTAATGGGTCTTGGCTACTGGAGGTACATAGGTGAGGCCTCCTAGAGTATACGGAGCATCCAATTGAACCACCGACAACAGGCCCAGAGACCCCTGGTCGCATCTAAATCCAGTAATTAGTCTCTGTATGTTCCAGGGTCTTATTTCATGAAACTCCGCTGGCCAGGCGGGCCTCTCCGCACGTCCAAACTGATGAGCGCACCTCATCCCAACGAGTCCCGGTCAATCATGACAGACTCCAAACCCAACGCGCCTCGGCTGCAGCCTCGGAAACCAGCGCTGAGGGGAGAAAAACGCACACCGCTCACGCATTTCCTCTGTCTGCCGCTGGTGAACGCCTCTTCGCTGCCGCAGCTGGAACAGTCGCTTGTGGCATTCAAAAGGACTCATCCCCCGGTCCATGGCTCGGCACCTGCAGGAACGCAGCCCGAAGATGCACCGAGTGCGCTTATTCCGGATGGTGCCGTGCGACCTGTCGGCACGCTTCATCTCACCCTCGGGGTGATGAGTCTTCCGACGCGGGAGCGGCTCGCTGAGGCAGTGGCCTTTTTCCACTCGCTGGATCTTGCTGGCCTTATGCACGAGGCGGAGCGAGTCGCTGCTCAGAAGCGAGCGAAATCAACGCGCTCACAGCCTTCACCTGCTGCTTCGAAACCTGGTCATCACGATGGCCAGCATCTCGCCCACCCTGGGTCAGATACGACGCAACCGCTCACCGTCTCCCTCGAATCATTGCATGCGCTTCCACGCGCCAAAGCCGCAACAGTCTTGCATGCGTCTCCCGTGGATACCACAGCACGCTTATACCCGTTCTGCGTGATGCTGCGAGACAAGTTCCTCGAGGCAGGGTATTTGGAAGGCGAGTCGAAAGACAAGCAGCCAGACAATAAACATTCTGAAATTCCACAAGGTTCCCAAGATGAATTACATGTCAACCCCAACAAATCGCAAGCAATAACCCACTACAACGAGCCGGTAGCAGAAACTCACCCTCTGCTCGAGGAGCTCCCAACACACCTTGCCGAAGAGGCAGCAGCAGCACAAATAGTCACATCTCGACCCTCCTCCCACGCTCAACAACATGCGCCAGCTCAGCCAAAGCTATTAGATCCTTACACAGCAGCGCTGATGCGCAAACCGAAACCGCGCCCGCTTTTGCTGCACGCCACGCTCGTGAATACAATCTACGTCCGAGGACGACGGCGCGGCGAAGACGGAAGCAACCCCGGAAAAACGAACGGGCCCCGCAAACAACAGCCAAATAATGGCTCCAAGCGTCTTTTCTTCGATGCTCGCGATCTGCTTTCTCGGTATCGGGACTACTATGCCGACGAGGAACGGACGACGCCTCGTGCGGCTGGGTTCATAGCCGCTTCTTCTTCTGATGCTGATACTATTGGCGAGGCTGAGACGATAGAAGCAACAGAGCACGAACCCTTGAATAACGATTCTCCATCGGGGTCTCCATCCATCTCTACCGAATCCTGCGAGGGAACCGGCTCCAAGCGCAAAGCCCCATCCTCAACACCCCCGCAATATCCATTCGTCTGGGCAAAGGATATCCTACTGGACTCGGTGTGTATCTGTGAAATGGGGGCGAAGAAGCTGAGCACCGAGTCAAACCCCAACAATGGTGATGATGGTCTCTCCCAAAGTCACGAGCTGAATGCCCGACTGGGAGAAAAGTATACCGTCGTCGTGCAACGGAGTCTGGATTTCTCGCGGGGGTCGCCTCGTCCGGTGTCATCGGCTTCGAGTGGGTTGACTGAGGGCAGTGTGGATGGGGGTGTACATCTGGGCTGAGGTGTATCAATAGAAACTGTGTTCATGAGGCTGTTGGTTGTATGGTGAGATTTATGACAATGTCGATGACACTACGTGAGTGTTTATGGAGCATGAATTTCCAAACTGGTGGTGCCTAGGTACCTGGTTCTTTGAATAAACTTGGAAGCTCATGACATTACGTGGCTCTACTGCTACCTCGCTGATCAAACAAATCAAATCTTGTATCCCAAGCCTGCTTGGGATTCCAAACACATGCATTATGTATAGTCATCAGAATGGCTACCAGTCTCAGCAGCAAACTCTTGCGTTGAAACAGGCATCGTTAACCTCGGTCATTGTCCCGCTGCTGCTTTTTGCCAAGATGTCTTGTCTCGGTATCTTCAAGATTGTGGAGCGAAATGATAACTCGCTCCTAATATCTTGACTGGGGGAATCTGGTGGTAAGGGACTGAGCGAGCAAGTCACCCAATTCGCATTGCGAATAACCTCGAAGAGTAGTGACGCAATGACCAGTCACTTCACCATGAGAGCCATTCTTGCGGATTGACACTGAACAATCGAAGCTACATGGCATGGGGGCATGACAAATAGTAAACGAGTCGAGCAGGTTTCATAAAACAGCGACAAAATCACCGCATTCGGCTCATAATAGTCTCCATGCCCCGTTCAACCGACAACTCAGCAGCCTTGGCCTTAATAGAGCTGACCATACTGCGCTCAAAGTCGTCTCGAGTACGCAACACAGCCTCGACCCACGAGAGCTGCAGATCCCAGTACTCGATCTTGAACGACTCGTAGACATTGACCAATGGCGGGCCCTTCTCGGCCTCGAGCAGCCGCACCAGCCAATCCACCAGCCGCCACTTCTGTTTGATGGTGCCGGCAAAGGAATCCGGGTATTTCTGAAAGAAGGCAAAGACGGTGAGGACGTCGTCCTTGAATTTGTCTGTGTATGGGTCGACGTGGCGACGGAACTTGACGCCTTTGTTGCGCACGGCCGACAGATACCGCACCAGCAGCTCGTCGGACAGCTCCTCGACAAGGATATCTGCCAGCGACGGGTGCAGCACTGGCGTGTAGTCGGCCATGTAGTCCTCGAAGGTGGATGTGATGCGCTTGGAGGCGTACTCGCCGTACCACCTGGGCGTGAAGAAGTCTGGAATTACCGAGCTCAAATCCACGCTGAAAACCACGGCCACAAACTGTGCCAGACAATGCGTGCTCAGATCGACGTATCCGTCGCGAATCGCATCCAGCTCCGATTGGGCTCGCGTTGCCATATACTTGGGTGTTACCAGAGGCTCGAGGTCCTGTCTGAACCGCGACAAGTACCCCAACTGCCCGGTCTCCTCGTTGTCGTCGATACACGCAATCTGGTCGTTGGCCACTCCCACCAGATAGTCCTGCAACATCTGGACTCCCTCGGCGTGATCGCCGCCCGCCTTGTGCTTGGCGCATTCCTCGTCGATCAGCGCCAGCCACGCGCTTTGCCGGCCCTTGAGGGCTCGGAACATAGCATCGATCACGCCTTCGACGACGTCCGCCCGATCCGACGCCCCGGATGCCATCACCTGCTCGTGGAGCATGCGCCACATATCGGCCAGCGTCTTCGTCCGGAAATAGCCATCGGCGTTGGTGTCCAGGGAATCGGGCAGCCGCTCGACGAGCCCCTTTTTGTCGGCTTCGAAGATCCGGTCCATCCACTCCTCGACCGCATTGATGATCACACTCTGCCACTGGCGGACGAGCTCGGGCTCGCGGTCGTCCAAGATGTTGGGGTGGAGGTCGGTCGGCGTCCAGCCAAGTTTCTTCATCTTCTTGTAGTACTTCTCGCTCCAGTGGATTATGGTCAACAGGTTGTCGGCAGGCACGTCCGGATCATCGATCATGTTGACGAGGAAATCGTGCATCATCCGATGATAGATATTTGTGTAGGTCTTGTAGATCTTCCATTTCTTCGGAACCAGATTTTGCATGCCTTGCTGGACGGTGAACAAATCGTTGAAAAACCACCGGAAGCTCTTCTCCAGATGCTCCGGGTCCTCGAGGAACTCCTCCTTGGTATTCTCGAACTGCTCCTCTGCGTAGAGCTCGATCGCCTGGATGAGCTTCTCTTTGTATCCACGGACGGTCTTGGGACCAATGTTCATAGACTTGAAGCGGCTGGCCAGGTCCTTGTGATCCTTCTGGGCCTCCTGTAGTGCCCGCACCGTATCGTCGTTCTTTTCCTCGTTCATCACCACAACTGCGAGTCGCACAACCATGCTCCTATTATCAGATTGTACCAGCGGAATGAGGTTCATGCACGCGGTTCCCAGGTGCTCATCGAACCAATCGATCACCGAGTCCAGCCCTTGGAAATACTCCGTCAAGGTCTGCTCGCTGCTAGCGTCCTTGGCCTTGCGAATCTGATCAATAGCCTCGTCCCGGAAGTCGCGCAGCCGTGAGATCTGCATGTGAGCTCGAAGCAGATTCGGCTGGTTCTCTGGGTCCTCGTCGTCTTCTTTCAATAGTTCCTCCACCTCCTGGATATCTGAGCTGAAGCTCTCCAGGCCCTTCTTCATCATCAAAGTGGCTTCGAAATGACGCTGGATCCGGGCCAGCTGATCAATCTGCGCGAAATCTTCGACGCTATCTTGGGACTCAGCGCACAGCTTGTCGATGCCCTGGAGCTCGTCTTTAGTTTTTGAGACCTGTCGCTGGCCCTCGGTCAGAGTCCCAATGCTGCGTTGCACAGCCTCCAGCTGATCCCGCAGACCTTCTCGAAGCCGTGAATCGACGGCCGCCTTCTTGCGCAGGTATTCGGCCTTCAAGCCGCCGATCTTGTCCAGGTCTTCCGGATGTCGCAGGATATCCTCGAGCCGCGGCATGGCCACCGTCGCCTCCGTGTTACTGGCTTGCTCCATAATAGCGGTATGTGTTTCGACGATCAAATAACGTCGATAATTATCGGGGTTAGTTGGGGAGTAGCACCCCAGTCTAGCGCGGTTATCGGAATGCCCCGTTGAGAGGTGTCAACAACACGGGCATAAGACAAGGTCGAGCTGTACACGGGAGTAGAACAGCCTAAACAATGAGATGACCAGGCTGTCACATCCACACAAAGCACCTCATCATCCCAAGTCGTCGAATGCAGAAGACTCCAGGTCCTCCAGCTGTTGTGGATCATCCTGTCGCTTCCTGGCAGAATTCCCACGTGATATACCGCCCGTGGTTTTGCGGGACTCCAATCCACCACCGCGACGGAGACTCGCGCAAATCAGCATTGCGCTGCAGATCCAGTGTTCCTTGACCCTTCTTTTTGGTTCATATACCCCCCAATTGGTCTATAGCCTTCGACCGCAATCACTACGGCCATCGCGAAACCCCAATCGGGCAATCCCTCCACAAGCCGAAGACCAAGAAAAAAAGAAGAAAAACGCAACCTTCTATCTCCAACCCGATCGATCCCATTCCATTCTATCTCCTGTCAGACCTCTCCCGAGAGTTCTTTCCCAGCTTAACACCACATCCTCTCTCACACTCTGAATCCAACACAATGAGCTTCTTCCGCATCACCCTCCTCCGCTCCGCAATCGGACTCCCACGCCGCTCGACAGACGTCCTCAAAGCCCTAGGACTCAAAAAGCGCATGGGCACTGTCTTCCACGCCGTGTCGCCATCAGTGGCCGGTCAGATCATGAAAGTCAAAGAGCTGGTCTCGGTCGAAGAGGTGGACCGGCGACTCACGAAACAGGAGGTGCATCTGGAGCGCAAGCCCGATCCGGGGTATTACCTGGAGAAGAGCTGTGTTGCTGAACGGACGGAGTTGCGGGGGCAGTAAGATGAGAGGAAAGGGGTGATATAATCTACTTCCATTTCCCTCAAGAAAACGAGGGCAGTCATGGGATATGATGGACTCCTACAAGGCTCCTCCTACATGGTGCATTGTTGTATCCATTGCACTCGGTTCTGTGGGAGGGTTTCTTTGCTTACCTTGCCTTGCTCTCGATGCACCTGAGTGGCATTGGTGTTTTTATTTTTGTCATTGGGTTTCCTTTTGTTTTGCATGGAGCGATTTTATTTTCTTTCCCTGTTTTCTTCCATGGCAATGTACTCTACGCCCACATGGACTTCCCCGATGGTGGGCTTGTCTTTTTCTTGCACTACTGTATTATATGGGACAGCTTCCAATCTACTGACCAGAAGCCAAAGATCAAATCAAAATATGTGCAATTTGAAAACTCGGTAAGAATAAACACGCTAAACACTCTCCAATCAGCTCCACATGCATACAATGCATAGGGAAGCCCTCGGCAACACACCGCAAAACGCCACTGCACCAACAAGAGGTGGTCAGGTAGAAGATGGTGAATCTCCATCGTGGATTAAACACGCTCAGGCCCCAAAAAAGAGAGGTCGAAGCCGCTGATGATGTACAAACAAAACAAGAAATGAATAGACTGTGGGTTTAGGCTTTGTACAGGGTGTCGAGGAAACCTTCTGCCAGACGACTGACAATGCTCTTGTCAGGGATGCTGCCGGCGACACCGTAGAGCGCCGAAGTATCGCCACGCTCCAGGATATACGCCTTGCCCTGTCGCCGGCGCTCCTCGGCCTTGTCGAGCTCCTTCTGGACGACCTCGACCACATCACAGGTCAGCTGGTCGACTGCCTTGGCAGTGGGGATGGTAAAGGCACAATGGATGGCAGCAGGGGACTGGAGGGCATTGAGATGCCAGCCCTTGACAGAGAGGTCATCAGCGATATCGTAGATATCAATGGCACCGTTCTTGCTGTGGAAAGCGACAACGCTGACCATGGGGTTACCCAGGACCTCGAGATTTTGCGAGATCAGCGGGTGCTCTCGAATAGAAGCTTCGAATTTGCGTGCGGCGTTCATAATTTCTGTGCAGCTGTTGATGTAGCCGTCCTCGCCCACACTCATCAGACTGGCCCAGCAACCGGCAATCAAAGCACCGGGACGCGAGCCGGCCACGGAGGGAGAGGCGTAGACACCACCGGACCAATCCGGGTAGATAAAGTACTGGTGACTGCGGTACGCCTTGTTGCGGTAGAGCAGAACCGAGTTACCCTTGGGCGCAAATCCATACTTGTGGGTGTCGACACTGATGCTGGTGACACCGGGCTGGCGGAAATCGAAGCCACCCTCCTCCTCGTACGGCGAAGCGAAGCCGGCCTTCTTCAAGAGAGCCACGACAAAAGATCCCAGACAGCAGTCAACGTGGAGAGGGATCTTGTACTTGGTTGCAAGGCGCGACAAGGCGGGGATGTCATCAACGATGCCGTGGGGGAAATTTGGCGATGAGCCCACAAGCAGCACGGTGTTGGGGTTGATCAAGCGGCGCACGGCCTGAACGTCGACCTTGTAATCGGGTTCCGGGCAGGGTACTCGGTGTAGCTTGATCTTAAAGTAATTGCAGGCCTTGATGAATGCGGCGTGTGCCGTATCAGGAATGATCCTACCAGACTTGTCAGCCAGTTCATGCAACCATCACACGATAAATTGAGAGCTTACATCTCGGGCTCCGTCACTCCCCGCTCCAAAAATGCCTTTTGTCGGGCAGCCAAGCAAGCCATAAGAATGGATTCGGTACCACCGCTGGTGGTCACACCAGCGCCATCCGAAGGGGCATTGAACAGAGCCAAAACCTATAGCGAAAATTAGTGCCAATGAACCCTAAAGAAAACACCAAAAATATCAAAAAAACCCCCCTACCATAGCAACCACCTCAGCCTCCATTTTCCGGACTCCCGGGAAAACATCCGGATGGATGGGGTTTGCGACACCAAATTGTCCAAAGGCCTCGGCCTGCAGCTTCAAAAGATCCTCGCCTCCATGATAAACAGCACCGCTAACGCGACCGTCTTCCCAGCGAGTATGCTTCAAGCCAGCCAACTTATCAAGCTCGGCGCGAACCTGCTCCGGCGACCAGCCCTCCTTGGGGAGGGTGAGGTACCGATTCACATCCGGGCCGCTGGAGACGAGTTTCGACTGGAGGTTCTCGATAGCAGTAGAGACCTGCTTATCAACCTGGCCGCGCACGCCGGGGGTGCGCAGGAAGATGGAGTAGCAGAACAAACGGGCGGCAATGTAGATATTGCGAACGGTGCCGACCAAGCCATATCCGCGAAGGGAATAGAAAGTCTTGCGCGTATACCGAAGAACAAAGATTATAAATACAATATTGCGGAGTCTGTATGCCAGGGGTTTTTTTTTCCCGGGATGGGTCAACGATGATCGGGATGGGGGGGGAGAGATTTTGCGGGGGGAAGGATAAAGACTCACAGGTCCAGATTGAAGGCGGACAGATGCGCGCTGGACGCTCTGCCGAAGCCCAGCAGCTTGCTCTGTAGAGCTACTGGCAGTGTCGAAGAGCTCATGATGCCCTAGGGATGGTCTAGAAATAACGAATGAGAAGGGACCAGGAATGGGAGTGGGAAAAGGTCGGAGGCGCGGCAATCCGACGTGGAGTCCGTTAGCGTGCCTCGGCCGCCACATGCAGAAGGAACCCGCTCTACATCAACTCCACTTATCTACGCTTCCTACTCTACTTCCCTTAGAGATATTCTACATAATTTAGTTTGTGGACACGACACCTGCAAGAAACTTGAAAAACATGAAATGCTCAAAGAAACGAAATCTGCTGCCACCTCCTAAGGGGCTTCTGTCTTCTGCACTTATATACATAGAGAGAACTCTCTCCTAACACCAGTTCTTTTTGGTTTCCAGAGAGAGCGAAGACTTTTTTTTCAAACCCAATAAAAAAAGCAATGTCCCAAACACGTAAAAACATCAAATCATCAGAAATTCCACTGTATGTATCTTTCCGCGGAAACCACAGAGCAGATAGTATGCGGGTGGCGGGAAATGATCTGGAACAATAAGCACGCTATTGCGCACAGAAAATCAGTCAAATAGCGCCCAATTTGCGAGCCACTTAGGCGATCTTGCTAGCTTGGGCCTGGGCCTCAATTGCCAGCTCCTTTTCCTTGGCGGCAAACTGGGCCTGCTCCTCGGCAGTCAGGTCCATCAAAGGCTTGTCCTCGCCCGACTTGAGGTTGCGGTGGTAGGCACGGATAATGCTGTCGGCATCGTCGACAGCAATGGGGCGGATGTCGGCCAGAGCCTTGATCTTGGACGTGCACTCCTTGTACTGGTCGTCGGTCATCTCAATGTTGAGCTGCTGCGACCGGGATTTGATGGCGTTCCAGCCAGTCAGGCGCGAGGCAAAGTGCACGTAACGGGTCATGCCGAAGTCGGCCGGGTTGATGATCTCGTAGGTGCTGGGGTTGTTGAGAATGGCCTTGGCGTGAATACCGGCCTTGTGGGTGAAGGCACAGAATCCGGTAATGTAGTTGTTGAAGGGGATGTTGACCTCGACGGCCTCGGCCACGAGATCCTCAATGTCCTTGATCTTCTCCAGGCGGTACTTGCTCTTGACGTAGTCGGGGTCGGCGACCATCATGCGGGCCATCAGACCACCCAGCGGGGTGATACCATTACGCTCGCCAATACCCAGAACCGAGGTATCGATGTGGGTGGCACCCGCCTCCAGAGCACAATAGGCGTTGGCGATGGCGCAGCCGGTGTCGTTGTGGAAGTGAGTCTCAATGTCACAGCCCACAACACCACGCAGGACACGGACGAGCTCGTAGACTTGGCGAGGAGAAGCGCAGCCCACGGTGTCGGCGATACCAACACGGTTCACGCCAACCTTGTCCACGGCGGAGTAGATCGACAGAAGGTCGACCAGGTCAGAGCGGAACGAGTCCTCGCTGGAGAAGCGAATCTCAATGCCCTTGGACTTGACGAACTCGATGACCTCGATCGCGGCGTTCTTGATGTAGGTCATGTCCTTGCCGTGGGAGTGATCACGGAGATAAGAAGAAGTGCCGATGACAACGTCGCTACACACAATCAGTCCACGAACTCCGGTGAAATGGTCCCGTATAACTCACACTCCGTCAACACCAGTCTCAACAGCGATCCGGGCATCATCCATATGGCAACGAATGTGAGTAAGAATCTAGAACAACACCATCAGCCTTGATCCAACAAAACATGGCGCAAAACTATGTAGACCAAGAAAACGTACCTTGGCCTTCAGGCCGAGCTTGCAGATGGCCTCGCAGTCCAGGCGCGACTGCTCCGAGGCGCAGGGGCTAGTAAGCTCGATCTATAGAGAGAAGCAAGGGTCAGCTCCCTGTTGACGATGTGGAATTTTCCCGAGTTGCCCGTTATGACTCACGTAGTCCACGCCAAACTCGTCCAGAGCCTTGGCGATCTCGATCTTCTTCTGGGTATCAAAAAAGGCATTCGCGAACTGCTCGCCCTCGCGCAGGGTACTCTCGATGATCTGGAAGCGCGAGACATTGCTCAGGAAGTCGGTGACGCCGACGTTGTGGCCGTAGGGATTCCTCGAAACGGATGGGTGGGGGTTCTGGCGGGTCTCGATGCCAGTGAAGCCGGGGTGTTCACCCTCTACTTTAGACATTAGTATGAAATCCCATTATGTTGCTTGTCACGGGTCAACATACGACCATTGGCACCATTGGTTTGCCCATTGGGCTCCGAGTCGGCACCGGGACACATTGTGCGCAGATGGTGGGGTTGGAGGGGTAGAGTCAGTATTCCAAGGTCGGATCGACGAAACAGGCCCGTGACGGAGTGGTCAGGTTATTGGAAGCGAGAAACGGCAAAGTATCGTTAAATATGATTTCTGGAGGAGAAAAGAAAAGAAAGAGTCATAAGTAGAGTGGGCGGTGTGGTTCGGTGCGTAGTAATCGTCGCTCCCTGTCGGGCAAGACGAAAAATTTTCGCCGGTGGGGAAGGCCGATGTTCGCTCAAGCCAAATTGCGCTGCAGAACGCCAATGACTCAAGGGCGATTATCATTGCCGGATTCTCTTGAGTATGTCAACTTGCATTTACAGCTAACTTTGCTTTTTCTTATTTTTCTTATGACTCAGTGGCATGTTCAGCGCATTTCTTGTAGTTCGTGAGAAGTACAGAGGGACCCGACATCGGCCCTCACTCGACTCAACCGGACCGATGGGCCAGCCCCTGCGATTGATAATCAATGTCTACGCATCTCTCTATACTCTTCTATCATGTGGGATTGGTTCTAGAGTGATAATCATACTCAGCATCTATGAGATGCTTTCTTATAGTCCGATCTACGTCAACCCTGTTTACTCTACACTAGTGGCCCGGGACTATATTTTCTACAAAGGAACACGCCCAGAAACACAATCCGCGCGGTTGGTATTCCACCATCTATAGGACGGGTTGAAATCGCCCCGGCACAAACAATCCCAGACTCCCCCTTCCCTTCCACCCCAGGCCCAACATCACACAAGGGGGAGAGCATCCAGCTCAACCCCCTCGAGCACCACACGCGGTGGTCGTCGGCGGCACCAGTCCCAGCTGGCGGCAAAGGCTTCCTTCAGGCGGCGGGGGGCGGCGGCGATAGCTTCCGTCAAGCGGCGAGGAGCAGCAACGACAGCTTCCCCCAGGCAGCGGGCAGCAGAGACGAGAGATCCCTTCCAGCGGCCGGAAAACTCTCGAATCTGTGCCCGAAAGGCGAGGGTCACGAACACGCCGACATATACACAGGCAAAGACTGCCCATGTGATATAGCCGGCGATGTCCGTGGTCGACGTCCTCTTCTGCCGGGGAATGGCGTCTAATCCCAGCTTAGTTAACCCTCGGAAGTAAACCGGGGATGCTTCATTTGATGCTTACCTTTGGCCGGGGCACCCGGCACCGAGTCACGGCCGACCTTGGTGGCGATGGGGGAGATAGCTTTACTCGCATATCAGCTCGTTGATCATCCTCTCGGTTTGAAAGCATGCCAGTCCTCTCTTTGCTCGCAGATCCACGTCATTTAGCACTTACTCAGGCCGGTGGGGATGAGAGAATTGGCGGGCAGGGCCACGCCGGACACAGACAGTATGCTTCCAGCAAGAAGCAGGACAAACACAACCACCGCAAACCCGATCTGGCAGGCGTTGGTTCCCTTCATTTTGGAAACGGCGGCAACGCGCAGACGAGGGGGGAGATTGAGAGGAGTAGGAGGGTATGAAATAGAAGATGGGATGCATCAGAATAAAATACTTATCTTATTCGTGGGAGATCGGGGTTCACGCCCTAATGAGTCGCTGGCTACATGCTGAGTCGTGCGACGACTCAGCATGTAGGGCACCCATGAAGGTATACTTGATGCCTAGAATCTCAGTATTCAAATCATCTAGTTTTCTATCTTTTAAATTTTCTTATTTTTCGTGAATCATTTGCGTGAATGATTTACGTGAATAATGACTTAGTATACAGGGCAACTATAAAGATTGTGTTCGATGTCTAGAACTTTAGTACTTAAATCATCTAGTTTCTTATTTTTTATGATCTCATTTTGCGTGCATGAATCCATGGAAAACTGCGTGAATGGTCCTATAAATGAAGCCACAGCAGAGCTACATCAAGGAGACAAGTAGAGCAGGTTGATATCCATTCATCATAGTAATAGGGTTGTGGTAGGCCATATGCTCTCAGGCTGCTAGGTCCATTGGCAGATGGAAGAACTGAATTCTTTTCTCTATGTTTTTGGTTAGCTTCAATGTGATATCTGATAGGAAGGGAATGATTTAGGACCAGACCCCAGACCTCGATCATAGGGTTTGTGGACGAACAGCCTAGATATCAAGATTTGAGGCATTCAATAAATTACCTCTACCAGGCAATAGCAAATAATTTATCCTTGGCCATATTGACGGGCTCCTGGGTGGGATATCATAGTCAGGTCTAGAACATATCAGCCATGCTGCATATATTCCGGGAATTTCTCTGATCCCAACCCAGTGAGGGCTTACCAGAAAGTTATTTCTAAAGGAATGGCACCAGACTAAACAAGACAGAATAGGATATGAGATATGCTGCTGCTTCTAGCAAGGCCACTATTAGGATAGGTAGCAGCTGGAGGTAAATATTTATCGCTTCCAATTGATCATAGTTAAAAGTAGATATGTTCACTCATAGTTAGAGTCTGTACTTGATCAATCCAGCTGGCAAGAGGGAAATTGCCGCGCGTTGTGCACGTTAGGTCTGTAGTTGAAGTGTGGAGAAAGCTTCCTGGCCTCCACTGTACCCGGTAGTGTTGAATATAGGAATTTAACCATTGGTAATTCAGAATAGTGAATATCAGTCCTAGGAAATCTAGTATTATCACTAGGCATATTAAAAGTAGCAGAGATGTGGTAACCAGCAGTAGATCTCCCCGCGAAATGTGCAATTTGCAGCAATGTGGTTGGTGGAACGCTTAGGCCAGCTGTCCCCCGGCTCATCCATTTCCTCCTTTCTTCCATTCCCTTAGCCATTGCAGCATTCAGTCAAAGGTACGTGTTGCGCGTTTGATCTGGGCTTGTTTCTGACGCGTTTGCTTTTGTATTTGCATTGCCATCATTTACTCAACTAATCCCGTACGATACGCGTCGCAGTTACCACGATGCGTCTCACGTCAATCGTCGCTCTTCTCCCTGCCCTGGCCCTGGCCCAGGAACAGGCACCCCTCGCCGACCGTGTGCAGGGCTGGTTCAACAAGGCCAAGGAGTACCTGCCGACTGCTGCCCCTGCCGCCCCTATTGAGAAGATGGCGGAGAAGGTCACCGAGAAGCGCGTCACCCAGCTCAACCTGGGTAACTGGCAATCCATCCTGACCCCTGGTGACAAGCAGCAGGATTGGTTTGTCTTTGTGACCGGTGGCAACAAGACCTGCTTTGGCCGCTGCGAGCGAGCTGACAAGGCCTTTACTGTAAGTGTGGCGCAACTTTGCCGCACCATCAGCCTAGAAACATAAAAACAAACACTAACATATTTCTTCTCCCTAGGAATCCGTGCTGCTGTTCTCGGCTGACCCGACTGCTCCCAACCTGGGTCGCCTGGACTGCGAGTCCAACCCGGTTCTGTGCGCCATCTGGTCGTCTGGTGCTCCCACGGTCTACCACTACCAGGTGCCTCAGGCGCAGCTCGGCGAAGAGCGTCCCCCGACTCCTCTCCATATTGTCTACTTGAACTCCACCACCATCACCCCGGAGCAGATCTACCAGATCCACTCCAAGAAGCTCTGGGAGAAGGTTCCAGTCTACGAGGGTGTCCTGCACCCGACTGATGGCTGGCTGGCTAAGTACAACCTGAACGTCCCTGTGGGCTACGGCATCTGGGCCCTGAGTTCCATCCCCAGCTGGCTGTTCATGGTCCTTATCAGCTTCTTCAGCCGCACCGTGATGTAAGTGCTCTAATACTCTCGTGTTTTTCTTCATTTGAAGTCTATCGTCATTCTGACCTCGATGAATAGGAGCCGCCGCATGGGCAACGTTGGAGCTGCCCCGCAAGGCCGCCCTGCTGCTGCCACCGGCAGTGCGAACTAGAGGTGTATCATGGGTGTATTTTTGGGTTGTATATAATGAGCGGTAGTTTATGGTGATGGGTCCCTGCACTCGACTTGGCTTGTGCACTTGGCTTGGTGGAAGACGATGGTTATGGATCTATGGCGTTAGCTGCCTAATTTAATCAACTCTCCCAAAAATTGCTCTTGCAATCTTCATAGTGGTTCTATTCTCTCTATGGGTCTGATATATCCACTGATGCGTGCCGAGTGGGCATATATTAGCTAACCTCTAACCTCTGCCCCGGAGACATAACAACATTCAAGCGTTATATGGCGGTCTATAATATTTGTACTGCATTTAGATTACAATATTACATTGCACGGACAAAGAAACTGTTGTCGGGCTTGATAGCAGTAGATGCAATTCGAATAGTTCTTGCCATCTACTACCCAAGCAGTGGATTTTCTGAGAGAAGAGCAGAAGCGTCGGTGTGGTAAAAGCGACCAAAAATCCTGACATACCAAAAGGTATTCTTCAAATATATCTTCAACGGTATATACAAATAATAAATAAAAAATCAGTAACATAGAAACGAGCTCTGTCAATGTTCAATGCCAGTACGCAAAAGCGGCGAGAGATAACCACCAAAACGGGAAACCAAAGCTATCGGCCCAAAATCCAAATCGCAAGTCAATCGCATAAAACAATTCAGCTTCAACCCACCTTCCTCTCCTCTCCCCACCCTCCAGCAAGAACAAAAACATGGCCGCTCCAGTACCATTGGATCGCATACCCCCCACGACAACCGCCTACGTGGTTGCGACGGCTATTGTTGCTGGCGTCACTGGATACTTCATCGGCCAAGGCGCATCGCTCAAACTATTCTCAAGTGAAAAAGAGGGCTGGCCCAATAGCTACAATGTGAAGGTGCACCGGGATTCATCGGACGAAGAATATGAGGAAGGGGAGGAGTCTGGCGACGAGAGCGAGGAAGACGAAGGGAATGGCGAGGAGCTGGCCTCTTTCAAGGATAACACCGAGGAGGTGAAGCTGGTGTTGGTTGTTCGGATGGACCTGGGCATGACCAAGGGTATGCTTCTGACTTTTATTATCCTTCTAATAAGATCTCTGGACTTCATTTGCTTGTTCAAAGCTAACGAGTTTTCTCTTCAGGCAAAATCGCCGCCCAATGCTCCCATGCCACCCTCGCTTGCTACAAATATTTCCTCGCTCACTCGCCCGATTCGCCCATCCTCCGGAAATGGGAACGCGGTGGCCAGGCCAAGATCGCGCTGCAGGTCAAGTCGGAGGACGAGCTGCTAGTGATGCAGGCGCAGGCGATCAGCCTCGGGCTGTGTGCGCGTGTCATCCAGGATGCAGGACGGACTCAGATTGCCAGCGGCAGCCAGACAGTACTGGGAGTGTTAGGGCCGAAGAGCGTCGTGGACAGCGTGACGGGGCACCTAAAGCTGCTCTAGGGTTTTGGCATACCCTTCATGTGTTTGTGTGTATAAGAATAGGCAATGATGACCATGATCTTGACGCTCAACCAGCATCCAGCGCCGTGAAGACGTACTTGCGGCGCAAGTATTCCAACAGCTTATATGGAAGATTCTTCCATAGCAATGTAGCAGACAGTTTTCTGCCTGTACGGATCACAATGATCACAAATCCGACTCTCTACATCTTAAATCACTACATATATAAAGCTATAATCAAAAGTATGTTGGCCAGTCATGGTTTTTCCCTAGCCTCACCGGCCAACGGCCATTCGGCAAAGAGATCAGGAATATGACGCCGTCTGCAAACCAGGCCCTCAAGTCGAGCTCACCAAGATGGGAGCTCAAGACCCGAGATCGCCCAGCGCAGACCTTTCTTCTGAGATCTGTCGACCGGAAACCGCAAGGTACCACACATGTTGAAAAGTGCATGGCTCCGTTTATCGTCGAATTGCCCAGCTCTCAACCGAAACACAGACATCCCAGTCAGACTGGAATACCATGAACAGGAGTGCTGGACACAGATCCGTGGTTATGTTCTGAAGAAAGAAAAGAAAAAAAAAAGAGAAGAGGAAAGCCGGCGCGCGACGTATTTATGGGCGGGTCAGAGTTTGTGGCGCTAGGCCGCATGGGGAATGGTCATGTGATCCTGTCTTGGTATCGGAGATTCAGATATCGCTGGCGCTGTCCCATCTCTTAACTGCTCTCCCACCCACCTTCCTTTTCCCTGTTCGAGCCGTCACTATGGCGGATGCTCTCTCCGTTGAGCAAAATAACAAAATTCGAGTGGCTCTCGGCCTCAAGCCGCTCCAGGTTCCCGGTGCCGAGCCCGACGCCACCGGACCCGTCTTCAAGGAAGACGACGAGAGCGCATCCGAAGAAGAAGACCCCGCCAGCACCCTCGAGACCCGACAAGCGCAAGGATACAACAACTGGAAGAAACTGCAGGATGACGCCGATGCGAAGCGCAGGCGAGAAGAAAAGAACGCCGCCATCAAGAAGGCGCGCGATGCCGCTCAACGAAAAGTGAAGCTGGAGGGGACTACGCTGGGCGACTCTGCCGGCCCCGAACTCGACACCAAGAGTTGGTTGATGCAGTCGAAGAAACGCCAGAAGAAAATCGAGAAGGAGCGCGCGCGCAAACTCGCCGAAGAACTGGAGGAGCGGGAACGTGCGGCGGCTACCGAGTACACGGCGGCGGACTTGGCTGGAGTCAAGGTTGGACACGGAGTGACTGATTTTGAGGGCGGCGAGGATCATATTCTTACGCTTAAAGATGCGACCGTGGATGACGAGGAGGGCGATGAACTCCAGGACATCAACTTGGTCGAGAAAGAGAAAACCGAGGAAAAGCTCGAGCTGAAAAAGCGCAAGCCCGTCTACGACCCTACGGCCGAGAATCAGGGCATTCTCTCCCACTACGACGAAGAGATCGAGGGCAAAAAACGAAAACGCTTTACGCTAGATACTCAGGGCTCAACTGCTGAGGAAAGAGAAGCAAAGCGACAAGAAGTGTCGGGTCGGCTGAAGACAAATATCATCAACCTCGATTTTGAGCCGGAGGTTCCGGCTTCGGATTACATGGATATCAGTGAGGTGAAGATCAAGAAGCCAAAGAAGAAGAAGGCGAAGGCGACTAAGCAAAGAGCCGTCATGGACGACGAGGATATTTTCCCCGTGGCGGAATCGGCAGGTACCCCCAATGGAGCCTCGTCCATGGACATTGACTCGGCGAACGGAGCACCTGCCCCCGCGCCTCGCAAACCTGCCAACCAAGATGTTTCCTTTGTGGATGACGACGACCTCCAAGCCTCTCTTGCCGTCCAGCGGCGCGCAGCGTTTAAGAAGCGCAAGAAGATGCGCCCCGAGGATCTTGCTCGGCAACTTCGAGAAGAAGAATCACAAACCCCCATGGAGGTGGAAACTCCCGAAGAGGGTGCAGAGGAACCCGGCCTGGTCATCGACGAAACATCGGAATTTGTCTCCAATCTGCAGAAACCTACACTTCCCGAGAGGGACAAACGCCAGACAGAAACCTCGGCCGAAGAGGCTGTCAAGCCGGAGCCCGAGGAAGAGGGTGTGGATGTGGATATGGAGCGAACATACAACGACATTGAAGATGAAGAGGATCTGAAAGAGCGCATCCAGCGGGAGGAATCATCCCAGGCCAAGCAAGAGCTTACCGGTACCGGGCTGGAAGAGGAGACCACTCTGGATCAGGGTCTGGGAGCTACGTTGTCAATGCTGAAGCAGCGTGGGCTGGTCAAAGGAGCCGACAACGGTGATCAAAACGCGCTGCACCGCGATCGCCAACGCTTCTTGCAGGAGAAGTCACACCGCGAGACCGACGCCGAGCGACGCGCACGACAACAGCGCGAGCGAGACCGCGCGTCCGGCAAGCTCGACCGCATGTCGGCCCGTGAGCGCGAGGAGTACGCACGCTGGGAGAACAAGCAGCGCGACCAACAGGAGGCGCGGCAGATGGCCGAGGTGTTCAACCGCGAGTACAGGCCCGACGTGCAACTCAAGTATGTGGACGAGTATGGTCGCTCGATGAACCAGAAAGAGGCGTTCAAGCAACTCAGTCACCAGTTCCACGGCAAGGGCAGTGGCAAGATGAAGACCGAGAAGCGTCTCAAGAAGATTGAGGAGGAGAAGAAGCGCGAGTCTATGAGCACCTTGGACAGCAGCCAGCACACAGGCATGAACAATGCCATGGGCGCCACGGCCCGCAAAAACCGCCAGGCTGGTGTGCGGCTGGGCTAATATTCCTGTATAGAGCCATGGAATTCATTTGACAACATTCTCCAATTAATTTTTTTTTTAAAAAAATTATTATTGCTTCATATTTCTGCATGGTTCTGCTAGCTGTTTCGGTCATGTCCTGCCAATGTCACGTAAAAAACACGAAAAGATCTCCGCGTGTGGGGGTGAGGTATTTAACCGACGCCCATTTTCGGGTCGCACGGTTTGGTTGGAATTCGAAGAAGGAAATTGAAGCCTTCAGGACAGTAGAAGTATACCTACGAGGTTCCTGGCTAATTCTTACGTTGATAGACCAGTGCTAGGTGCCCTCAGAGTACCCAAGTATGTGTATATCAAAAACTAACCGACTCCAGCTTTCCCCAACTGTGCGTGAGGGGAAAATGTCAAGTGGAGCTGGCTGAATCAGTTCACCGAAGCCTTGCATCCCGATGTCGCGCAATGTCGGGCTGTCAAGTAGATACAGAACAGATTGATATGGTGCTCTTTCGAAGCACCTCAAGTATACGGCTTCCCGCCATAACACAAAGCTTAGCTACACTATCTCCAACTCCTAGTAAAGAAATAAATACCCACATCGTCAAATTCCCAAATTTGCCCTGCTTTCGCCCCAATTTCGTGCGGAGCAAGCAGCCAATCCGACCCGGTCGCACTTCTCGCCGGGCGTCGAGGTACCCGGTACCTGTCCCACCGCCACTCGCCATACCAACCCCCAAGTACTCAGTACCGGTATCACATGAGTCAAAAGCCAAACATCTCCGACCTCACCTGGAGTTCCTCCCTACCCATCCCCTTCCCCAGCAATCCACCCATTGCGGTCCCTAAGATCAGGTTCGGTCGCTTTGATCTTCAATTCCATTTCCATCAGTCACTATGCTCTCCACTCTGAGAGTCGCCGGCCGCTCGGCTGCCCCCCGTGAGGCCAACCTGCGCACTGTGGTCATCGGCGCGCGACACGCCTCGGCCTGGTCCAACGTTCCCCAGGGTCCTCCGGTAAGCTTGCAATTAAGCAGTGTCATGGATTGGGAGAATGGAAGGGCCAATGCTAATCAATTGGACTTGACAGGATGCGATCCTCGGTATCACTGAGGCCTTCAAGGCCGACTCGTTCAAGGAGAAGATCAACCTGGGCGTGGGCGCCTACCGTGAGTCCTAACCTTGACATTGGCACACCATAATCGCGGACGATTCTAATGCAGCTGCGTCGCGGCAGGTGATGACAAGGGCAAGCCCTACGTTCTGCCCTCGGTCCGGGCCGCCGAGGACAAGGTCGTTGCGTCGCGCTTCGACAAGGAGTACGCCGGCATCACCGGTGTCCCGGCCTTCACCAACGCGGCCGCCGAGCTGGCCTACGGCTCCGACTCGCCCGCCATCAAGGACAACCGTCTCGTCATCACGCAGACCATCTCCGGTACCGGCGCGCTGAGAATCGGCGGAGCCTTCCTGCAGCGTTTCTACCCCCACGCCAAGAAGATCTACCTCCCAACCCCGAGCTGGGCCAACCACAATGCCGTCTTCAAGGACGCGGGCATCGAGGTCGAGAAGTACCGCTACTACAACAAGGACACCATTGGTCTGGACTTTGAGGGTCTGGTCGCCGACATCAAGGCCGCCCCGGACAACAGCATTATCCTGCTGCACGCTTGCGCCCACAACCCCACCGGTGTCGACCCAACCGAGGACCAGTGGCGCCAGATCAGCGATGTCATGAAGCAGAAGGGCCACTTTGCCTTCTTCGACATGGCCTACCAGGGCTTTGCTAGCGGTAACGCTGACAAGGATGCGTTCGCTCCTCGCCACTTTGTCAAGGAGGGCCACAACATTGCTCTGTGCCAGAGTTTTGCCAAGAACATGGTAAGTTGAGCTTTGGGGCGAGGGATATGGTGCAAGAGAGCATGGCGGGTTACGAAGGAGCACATCGCTAACAGTATTGCTCGGTAGGGTCTGTACGGCGAGCGTGTCGGTGCCTTCTCGCTGGTGTGCGAGTCGGCCGAAGAGAAGAAGCGCGTCGAGTCGCAGATCAAGATCCTCATTCGCCCCTTCTACTCGAACCCGCCCATCCACGGTGCGCGCGTCGCTTCGGCCATTATGAACGACCCCGCGCTCAACGAGCAATGGCTCGGCGAGGTCAAGGGCATGGCCGACCGCATTATCGAGATGCGCGCCCTGCTGCGCAAGAACCTCGAGCAGCTCGGCAGCAAGCACGACTGGTCCCACATTACCAGCCAGGTGAGAGATCTCGCATAGGTTTTTTTTGGGGGGGAAGGGTGTATAACGGTTACTGACTTCTGCGTAGATCGGCATGTTCGCCTACACTGGCCTGAAGCCCGAGCAGATGGATTCTCTTGCCAAGGAGGTAAGCTTTGTGATATTTCATCCTCTGATGTTTCGAGCGCAGTGGCTAACTTCCGCAGCACTCCGTCTACGCCACCAAGGACGGCCGTATCTCGGTCGCCGGTATCACCTCCGGCAACGTCCAGCGCCTGGCCGAGTCCATCTTCAAGGTGACCGGTTAAAGGCCATGCGAAAACGAAGCGACTGGGGAATTGGAAGATACGTGAACAAGAATGGAGCAAGGAAAAGAAACGGGGCTCGCGCTAGACTGCGTGCTTTTGGACCGGTGCATCTGTACTGATATCTAGTGTCTCTTGTGTTTTATAATTAGCATCAAACGGAGATCGGATTGGCTTGATTTTGTTTCAGTTGTAGACAGCTGCTCGTAGGGATTCTTGGTTGGAGTAGGTGTGGAAAGATATGTTGTCCCAGGCTTAAGATATATATACCTCGACCACCTGCCTATGCGAAGAACCACGCAAGCATTTATAATTCAATATAACGATATTGTGTAGGCAAAAATAACTTTTATTCTATCATGCCATACAGAAAATAAAATTAAATAATGCCTATAAGTTGTAGACTACAGATGTTGCCAACCATGGAAAAACAAAAATGACGAAAAAAAAAAAAAACGTCACCAGTGAGATTCGAACCTGCCATCGACAACAACACCCCAAAACAGAGGCAATGACACCAACACCTCGAAGAGGCTTGTGTAAGGGGAAAAAAAACTGGTAGCTTCTCTTTGATTGAGCGTGTCATCCTTAGTGCAGGGGCCATGCTAATCTTCTCTGTATATTTTCATTTGACCAAATGCCCCGAAGGGCACTTGGACTTCTGTTAAAGTTGTTGATATACCCTAACATGTGGCAGAATTGTACCGCCTGATTATGTGATCCACGTCTGTCGGGAGGGTATTGATAGGGGCACCCCAAAATTTTCGCTATTGGCACCCCGGGAATTGATCCGGACACATCAACTTTTCGGCTATTGGCACATCATTTTCTGACATAAGCAAAATCGCTGATATAATCGATTTTCATCCAACTTCTATCACTATAGCAACCATATACTGCATATATGCTAAATATTCGACTACTTCTCTTCTTCTCTTCTACCACTACCCTGCTAGTTCTTCGCTTTCTGCCTACACTGTCTGCTTCGTCTACCATACCATGCATACCATGCAAACCAACCTCGCCATGCCTACCCCCAACACGTCTGCTGCTGCCGTCGAGTTGTATACTGATTTATATACTGATTTGCCTGCTGATTCGCCTGCTAGACCCCCCGCTTTGCCTACTGCTGCTACTGCCGATTTGCCTGCTGATTCGCCTGCTAGACCCCCCGCTTTGCCTACTGCTGCTACTGCCGATTTACATGCCGATTTGCCTGCTGATTCGCCTGCTGCCCCCGGTCTGCTGCCCCCACCACAACGAACCTTCCCTAATCGGGATGGATTGGTCGAATTCGTGCGCCAATGGGGTATAGCGCAGGGGTATGCTGCCACTATCAAAAGCTCATCAGCTGATAGGCAGATCTATATACACTGCGATAGATCTGGGGTATATTCGGACCGAATCCAGGCACCTGCTGGCGCTAAACGGCGCAGAACGAGTACTCGGCGGCAAAATTGTCCATTTTTAGTATATGGGAGTCGCCAGAGGAGTTCTGATTGGCTGCTTCGGGTAAAGAACCCCGCGTATAATCATACAGCTGATACTAATATGATAGCACACCCAATCGTACGTCAATTTACCCTACCGTAGAATACCTTAATTCAACATCTATCTGCTACTAATATCAGACCTCGGCATATTATTGGTGCGCTACGCAGTGAGGCCCCAGCCTGCCAGCCAATTATATCGCGCGATGTCTATAATATACGAGCACGAATTCGACGAAATAAGGTAGGGGAGCAGAGTGTTCTTGAATATCTTCAAAAATTACTTAAAAAGGAAGGTTATAAGTATTTATTCAATCAAGATAATACAGGCTATATCAGATTTTTTATTTTCTCTCATCCTCGCGCAATTCAATTAGCTAATAAATTTTATAGGGTTTTTATCATGGATTGCACATATAAAACAAATCAGTTTGGTATGCCTCTATTTCATATAGTAGGTATGACGCCGTCGAACCATATATTTACTGTAGCTCTATGTTTTATGCCAGATAAGGTTGAAATAAGCTATATATGGGTGCTTCGAACTGTTTTTGATTGGTTAAGTCTCCCTCCCAATTTTCGTCCAATTTTTGTAACTGATCGCGAATTAGCTTTGATGAATGCTATATATAGTATCTGGGGATATGATACCCCGCATTTACTATGTATTTGGCATATCAACAAAGCAGTTTTAGCGAGGGCAAAACGAGATATCAGCCAATCAGACAAAGATAATCCTTTTATGAAGCCTCAATTTGCTGAATTTATGCGCGTATGGAACTAATTGGTCCAATCATCTACTGAGGATGAATATAAGCTTAATTTGAATAAGCTTAATCAGACCTACGGGAAGTCTCATCTACTAATAATGCGCTATCTTGAAGACACATGGCTAATCTATAAGCAGAGATTCGTCTATGCATGGACCAAAAATTATACCTATTTTGGTAATAATGCATCATCACGTGTGGAAGGTGGCCATTCAGCCTTAAAAAGATATATGAGTGGCTCTACTAGTGATTTATTTACTGTATGGAAGTCTATTCATGATTCTATTGGCTGCTAGTATGATGAGGTTGATCGCCAGATCAATCTTGATCAGATAACCCAGCTTACTTTGCTTGTATCTGATTGGCTATATGTCTATATAAATAAGCGAACATCTCGATATTCGCTTAATTGTATTGATATGCAGCGATTTTATGCTAGTCAAGCTACCCCCCACGCCCCGCTTGGTATATACACTAATTACTGGACGAGTACTATGGGGCTGCTATGCAAGCATCGAATTGCTGATTTGATCGCAAAAAATGAAGCAATCCCATTGGCTGATATTCATCCTTTCTGGCGAATTGGGTTTAAAGATTCAGCTGATATTGCCTGGCGGCCCTTGCTGAATCCCCGAATTCAGCCTGCTGCTCTCCCAAAAAGGCAATCTACGCAGGTATCAGATAGTAGCGAGGGGGCTGGGCCAATCAAAAAAAAGAAGGCCCTACCGAAGTGTTCGAATTGCGGCGAAATTGGGCATACATGTCGAAGTTGCCCTGTTGCCAAATAGGGTAATCTGTTTTGGGCGGTTGGGATAAGAGAGTCATGTGATTAGTAAAATTTGATTACATAAGTCAAAAAGTTGATTATGTCAGAAAATGATGTGCCAATAGCCGAAAAGTTGATGTGTCCGGATCAATTCCCTGGCACCCCAAAACGCTTATGTAATCTTTTTTGATCTATTTTCTAATCACATGATAATTTTCAACCACATCTCTAATCACATGATCCTCTTATCCTAACCACCAAAAACAGATTACCCTATTTGGCAATAGGGCAACTTCGATATGTATGCCCAATTTCGCCGCAATTCGAACACTTTGGGGGGCCTTCCTTTTTTTGATTGGTCTAGCCCCCTCGCTCCCATCTGATATCTGCGTAGATTGCCTTTTTGGGAAAGCAGCAGGCTGAATTCGGGGATTTAGCAGTGGCTGCCAGGCGATATCAGATGAATCTTCAACCCTAATTCGCCAGAATGGATGAATATCAGCCAATGGGATTGCTTCTTTTTTTGCGAGCAAATCAGCAATTCGATGCTTGCATGGTAACCCCATAGTACTCGTCCAATAATTGGTGCATATACCAAGCGGGGCCTCTAGGGTAACCCTACTAGCATAGATTCGCTGCATATCAAACTAGTAGGGTAATAGTAGAGTAGAAAAAGAGATGAAGCAGAAGATAGAGTATATATGTAGTATATGGTTGCTATGGTGATGGAAGTGGGAGAAAAAAAAAGATTACATAAGAAAAAATTATGTAATCTTTTTTGGGGTGCCAATAGCGAAAATTTTGGGGTGCCCCTATCAATACCCCTGTCGGGAGTGTCAGGGTGCCTGCAGTGTGTTACGGTGAAAAGTGGTAAATTTGTTTGTGTGGTGGTGTCTTCGTTGGTTCTCTGGTATTCTGTGTCGAGGGCATGGGTGATGTGTCTTCTTTTCCCTTTCTTCGGGTTGCTGGTTTCATGGTCAGGATTCTGTGGAAACTCAGGGCTTGAACGCCGCAGGTTAATTTCCAGTCAAGAGGAGGGCCCTGCTCTTCTGTTTGCAAAGTCTGGAGTCGACGAATTCGAGTACGGCAAACCATATGGCAGCAAACAACCGAAGAGAAAAAGCAGGGACACAGGAAAGAGACAAAGAAAAGATGCAGAGGAGGGCACACAAAAAAAGAGGGGGCCTTTTGGTAGCGACGGGGGTCCACACCCCCGCCGGAGGCCTATCTATTTGTGCCATACAATTAGACTATATACATCATGTTCTTATGTCTTTGAGATGCCACTTACATACAAGTTATAAGGTGTGGCGAACCAGGCTTCCTACCCTCTCAACTGTATTTCAGTCACATCATCTACTCGTCCGGCGACTTGAAAAAAAAGGCTGCAACGTTCACAATCTACGTGACTCGAAAAGAGCCCAAGTGTCCAGCAGAGCCGGTCAAATAACAGTTCATCGAATTTGACCTATTCTCGGTTGATAGGTCTCCAGCTCTCTTTTTTGCCCCTCGTCTTAAGAAAAAGGCCGTTCCTACCCAGAGACAATACTAGACAGCGTTTAGAATACCCATAGCTTCGAAATATTCCAACTACATATAGCCAACCCATATAGCGCGGCACTTTGGAGATCCGAAACCTTCCATCTTGCAAATTCTGTCGATAGAAACCAGGCCCCGAACACCAAGATTGGGCGTTACCATCGTGAGTGGCGCAAGTTTCTCAACCAGATACCTCAACCAGATAGTTGACGAGACTCTCTCCCTCCAGCCGATTCAGTGGCTGATAAAGAAGCCGTCAAACAAGGAAGAGGAAACCAAACAGCGCGAAGAGCTATACGAGCTCTATGAACTGGCCGCCGATCGAGCGACAGCCCAGGAAAATATGCCGAGGCCACTTTGAGTTCTATGCGCTGGATCGTCTCCCCGAGACTTATTACTTCGCCCAGGACAAGATCGAGTCACACACCCTGCACTTCCTCCGGGAAGGCAGCACCGAATTAGATGGTCGTCGAGTCTTAATTGTAGTTCACCCGGCCATTGCGCACAGATGGATCAACGAGCCTGATACCGTCGGACACGAAATCAGCTGCAAGGGTTATGCGGTGCTTGAGAATCCGGAGAGCCTACAGGACCAGGAATCTATGGAAAAGGAGTTGTGAATTAGAATTGGATCCGCCGATGTTGGATTGATGTTTTTTCCTTTTTCCGTTCCTGTCTGCCATGTTTTCAAGCTGAAGATTGTAGGCTTTGGCCTGCATCCACTCATTATGTAGGTTGAGTATCTTCGCTCTACTCAATATATGATATTTTTGTTGACTGATTCTGCTTGATTTCACTTCCTGATTGCTTGAGGCCTTGCTGCCATCCTCCCAAACCAGCTCAAGATCAGCTGTATCCTCATTGAACATCATAAATCATGTTGTGTGGAGATACTAAGAAACGGAGAGATTCAGACTAAGGGGCACCATCTCATCCATTGCATTTGATTTCAATTCATCTGAGTGTCTCATAGGATGATCCTTACCTGGCTGTCCCATGACCAACTTAACTATACATGTCATGTGTCTTTATAGTATCAGGTACATACGACTACAGGCTATAGAAATCACAGCTATATCCCGGATCTGGATCAGATGGCCTAAATGCAGTCTTCTGGATTCGGGGAGTGAGCGGTGGTTTGAAGATGTATTGGACAGGGCTGTCTACCCTTGAATAGTGTACCCGAGAATCGAAAATTGAAAGATAATGACTTATATGCTATTCCAACGTAATGATAATCAAGATAAAATGATGATGATGATGATGTTATATTAGAGCCCACACCAGGGTAAGAAAATATCCATAAGAAACAAAAAAAGACTTTGTCCAAGTAACCCACAGACACCCCACGCCAGCCCGCCGTTTTGCTGTACAAGAGAAGAACCTCTGAAGCCCTAGACCAGGCTCCCACCCCCCAAAAAGAAACGAGAAGCCATCATATCCCCATTCCACTGACTCCCATACCAGACCCGCCCGCAGCCGGACCCAAAGACGGACACAGACACCCCGGCGGAGCATTGGCCGGTGAGTACGGATACCAACCAGAAGACGGGGACGGGGCGACGCCGCGACCGAAAGCACGGGCGAGAAGACGCGATGGTGTAGCGGTGGCGCCTTCACGGGTGTGCAGCAGGCCGAAGCGGAGGAAGACTTCGGAGATGGTGACGATGATGGAGATGAGGATGAGGACGATGATGATCCAGGTTTGATCTATACAAAAAAACGTTAGTGAGTGGAATTCCACTGGTGTTGTAATGCTATGTGGGATGAGAGCAATGTAGGGAAAAAGAAAACACGTACGAGATGTCCGGTTGTCCGCAATCGAGTCGGACAGAATCTCCGCCAGATCCAAAAACACGCGGCACCGCTCATTCAAGACCTGGATGCGCGGCTTGATCTCCAGGTACTCGCGCACAGCAATGTACAGCGGGTAGAGAGTCGGCTCGCTTTCCCAAAAGAAATTCGGGACATCGAGCATATTGGAAGCTGCAAAAGAATCAGCAAAGGTCGAAGCAAGAAGTAAGACAAATCGATGAACAACATACAGAGATTCACCTCGACACGACTCTTGAACAGCCGCCCTAAGATCCGGAAGACCTCTTCCCGCTTCATGCCGAGCTGCCCTGTCATGGCGAGCCGCCGCGGAACGTCTTTGGCGTCTGCCATCTGGCGGGCCATGACCTCTTCAAAGAAACAGAGCTTGGTGCTCTGCGAGATGCCGTGGCTGATCGCGAGCTTGATCATGTGGTCGCCGCTGCGCAGGGTGATCATGTCGTTGTAGACGCGCGGACGCGAGATCTCAGTCGAGTACTCAAAGTGGAACTCCTCGGTCTCGAAATCTTCCTCGTGAAGAGGCATCGTGGCCAGCGGGATTGGCGTGCCAGTCGCGGACGACGTGGCAAACGCCAAATCCGCCAAAAGATCCTTTTCCTGCCTTTCTGTAAAGTTCCAGAAGACCACCACTCCGTAGCTGAACACAAACATCTCAGCGACGTTGTACAGGGTCCGGGCTGGGAGTTGCGCGGACGAGGGTTGCGGCGACGGCAGAGAAGGGCGGTCGCGCAGCAGTGCATGGCTGTCATCTGTACTGTGTCGGCGACGACGAGGGGGAGGGTCGGGGGTTTCTTTCTCTTCGCGGGTATCTGATTGCGGGACATGCATCCCATCGCTCTCGTTCGAGCTTGCGGCATGCTCGTGCTCTTCTGGGTGTTCCTCAGAGATGCGATTCAGAAACTCCTCATGACCATGCTCCCGCGGGCTGTGATCGCCAGAGTCTCGAGGTGACGCCTCGTGGTGATGATCGTCTTCCGGACGGTTGTGACCACCGACGGAGTGCTCCTCCGCCTCGCCCATGTAGTCGTCGTGGTGATCACGGAGCTCGTTCCGCTCAATCTCCTCATCCAGCAGCGATTTCCCACCGGGGTATTTCAAAACTGGACTGCTGCGCAAGCGATACCCTTCGTGGCCGGGTAGTAAAGGCAGGTGATAAGCCGTGTAGAGGCAGTCATCATACAATTTCGTCCGAGCACCATGCCGTTCCTTCACAAATGCCGCAACAGAGCCCATCTTGTACGCCTGGGCCGTACAATAAGCAGTGACGCGCGCCAGCTTTTCAGTGCGACGGGCCTTGGGCAGGCGCTCAGCATAGCTCTTAGCCCGCTCAGGCCCGACGCGGCGCCTACGCAGCAATTCCTCCTCAGCCAGCAACGGGGCAAGGTCATTATCGACCCCGAAATCGCCGCCCAGCCGCTTCTGGATCAGCAACTGCTGTCGCACCATATCCGGGTCCAGATCCTTCTCCTTAGCCAGCCGCGCAACAAGCTCTTCGTCCACGAGTTCGCCACCCAGACGGCCGTCCACATCATTATCCTCGTCCTCGTCCTCTTCCCCGGTATCCGGCTCGCCAACCCCTCCAGTGTCGGGCAAAAGAACTAGCTTCTCGCTGACTTTTGTTGTTCGAGGTGGAAGCCGTGGCTGCGCCGCCAATCGTCCAATCGTGCCCGCCGCATTGGCTGCGGTGCCGCTACTGGTGCCGCCCGAGCTCCCTATGAGCCCGCCAGCAGCAGAAGCAAGCCGGCGCGAGCGGGAGGTGGGCGGCGGATGGCGCTGCTGCATTGAAGGGATGTCCGAGGCATACTGCAGGACGTTATCGACGGTGATGAACCGGGTCGCAGGCGATCGACGTCGGCGGGGTGTCGAGGGAGGTTGCTGGTCGCGCGAGTCTGTGACCTACACTCATTGCCATTTGGATTAGAATTTGAGTTTCCTTTTGTCCCTTTATGTTTTGTTTTGCGCCAATTGGTTCCACAACGTCAAATCAATATCTTACCAATACGGTCGGGCTGCGCTGGCTAGTCCCCCGTCCGCGCGCGGGGGGCGTCATGGTTAGAGAGACTCAGCCCAGCTGAGCCTTCAAAGAAAATTCCCCCAGAGAAACAGTCGGTTCAAAAAGTGGCGAGGGCAATTGTTGCGTTGATGCTGGCGGCAGATGGGGTTACTTGTCTCGAATCGAGCCACCATCGACCGCCCCTACGCCCAAGACGGAATAGCCCGATGACGTGAAATATATCACGTGATAGAAGCTGTCATCCTCTTGGATCCCGTGACCGGGCCACGTGTCTGTGCACCAATCAGCGCAGACGGAAAGAGCCACCGCGGATCCGGGGTAACCCGGGTGATCGCCTGGTTGGGCTGGTACGGTGGTTGTAACCGAGGGAAACTCGGTAAAATAAATAATAAATGAATAAAAACAAAAACAAGAGCTACTTTTATCTCGGATTGATTGGATTTGCTTGTCATATTTGGTTTAATTTGTCCTATTTAGAAGGAGCTGATGCTTGTGTACGGGGTTCATAACTATGTCCCGAGTCGAAAGTCGAACGCAGGTCTATACCAACAAGAAAAAAAAGAGATCATGTACGAATGTTTCGAATGGGGGGACAGTGAAATGCATGCAAGAATCAGAAAAGATATCCATAAAACGCCGAGAAGGTTTTATCCATGGACCCATCCACGGGGCCTTTGTCAGTCTCGAGGGCGACCACTCCAGGCCGTCACCATGCAGGAAATATGCACGAGATGTGCAAGGGGGAAAAAGAAACCATAAAACTCCGAGATATTGTGGGAAGATTTGTCACCGTCCATTCCGAAAACAACCTGTTCAAGTCGTCGCCATGTTGGAGAACACAAGATTAAGAGAGAAGACCACTCTGCAGTCGGCGATCTTCATCCCAGATCTCCTTTTTCATGCGTTGCAGCCGGGTGTGCTGGCGCTGCAGTCGATCCAGATCGGCCTGTGGGGGATCGGCATGGGCCTCCAGGGTATCATGCAAGGAGCGGTACTTGGCGTAATACTGCTTGAATTTCTGCGACTTCTCGCGCAGCTGCTGCCGCAGGAGTGCATGGCTCATGGGTGGAGACGCACTCCCCGTGCTGCCTCCGCTCGAGGTGCTCACCGCTCGGCGTCGCTTGTGCTCCAAGTTCCCTGTCGAGCGCCCCGCTGAGGGTTGCGGCACAGACAGGCGATCGAGTTCGGCCTTGCGCTTCAAGGGGTTCACGGTGGACGCGGGCTTGGAAACCCCATTGGTCTGGACAGGCGGTTTCGCGGCGCGAGGTGCCTTGGCACCAGCCTTGTTCGTCCGCGAGAGTTGGGAAATGAGCGGAGAGGACGAGGACGAGCTCGAGGAGTTGTTCTGGCTATCGGAACGGTTGCGGCCAAGAACCTCGGAAGCGTTGGTTGGAGGTGAGGAGCCGAGCGGTGATGGCTTCTGGGGAGAAGTGGAGGGACGAGAGGAAGGCCGTTTGGAAGTTGCATTCTTGGCAGATGGCTGGGATGGCTCGAGTTTCGGAGTAGGTGCTTCAGCCTTGGGGACCTTGGGCGTAGGTGCAGGCGGCGTGTCGGTCGATCGAGCCTTAGCCGGCGCCTGAGACTTGGCTGGAGCTTGTTTGGCCGGCGGGTTGGCCGGCGCGGGAGCAGGTGCGGCATCGGGCATTTCATCGTCTTCATCGTCCGATTCATGAACGAATTCCGCAGATTTGAACTTGCCATCGGTTTTGGCGGCGGGCTTCCGCTCTGCTTTCTTTGTGACCCGTCCCGTCAGCGTGCTGTTGGTGTTCTTGGCTTTGGCCGATCGCTTGGTCGCATCCTTGTCGGTCGCTCGTGGCTTTTGGGTGGTCGCGTTGGACCGAGGCGCGGGGGCCTCCGAACCCTTTTGCTTCATGCTGGAACCACTCGCTCGATCGGTCTCGTTGCTGGTGGTCGAGTCGTCTTTGCTTGGGTCCTCTGACCCGTGTGCTTGGATTCGCGGAGTGAGAGGTTTCTTGATTGGACCAGTGCTGAGGTTGAGTCGTGACAGGCACTTCCCTTTGCCGCGTTCCTCCTTGGGAAGAAGTGACTGCCAGAGTTTGTCGGTGCGAGAGATTCGCATGCGATCGTAAGCGGAGATCGCGTTCTCAATCGCCTCTTGTCGGTCCTCCGGCGTCGGGTATGGAAAACTCCAGACGTCAAGGTCTTTGTAGGTTTTGTCTTTGAGATCAAACTTCTCTCGGTTGAGGCGGTTTTCGATCCCGTATTTCTGGGCGAGGGAGTGGCAGTCGTCAACCGAGGCACGAGTCTGGCGAGCGAGGAACTTGGTAGACACGGCCCGGACGGCAAGCAAGTGAATAAAGGGTGTCCTAAGAGCCTCGAGGCGAATGCGATCTTTGTTTTGAGGGAGGGGAACCGAGGTCGGAGTGGGGATGGGGACAGGAGACTTGGGAGCACCGAGAGTTGGGCTCGAAGTGAGAGGTCGGTTGGCAGACTTGAGGAATCGATCTTTCTCTAACTCCACCTTACTCGCAGGACCTCGATGAGAGGATCTGCCTCCTCGGAGAGCCTTCAATTCATCCGGGTGTGAGATGATGTGAGTCTTCTTCGACTCCTTCCCTCTCTCGAATGCATTGAGGCTCTCCTCCAAATTAGCCAGTGCTTGATCGGTGGACGCGGTCGCCTCCTTGGCCTTTTCTACCTCTAAGCTGTGGCTCAGAACACCGGTGAAGTAGAGGGTTTGTTTATCGGGCGAGCTATGGTAGATCTCGGAGCGGTGTGTTTCGGGGTAGGTGTGGAAGGACTGGGACTTGCCCCCGTAGTGAAGAGCCGGGTGTTTGCCCAATCGAACTCGAACGGGCTGGTCATTTCGGAGGTCCTGGATCAGCTCATCAAGGGTGTGCTGAACCAGATTCAGCCGCATGATCTGGGAAGGCTTGGCGGAGGCCGCACCGGACTGATCTCCAGGACGGAGAGACAGCCCGGCCTTGGGGATATCCAGAGCCATCGTCATGGTGAATCAGACAAAGGAGAGGATAAGGAGGGAGGGAGAAGGTTTCGAGGTTGTGAGCAGGGTCGGATGGCAGCGTGAGAGCTGCGGGTCAGGCGGCCAACTGCACGAGGAAGCGAGGTAGAACCATACGCCATAAGATCAGGCGGGAAGAAGAAAACACTCAGAGAGAAGGGTTCTAGACAGGATATAGACAAGACAAGACAAAATAAGAATATTGGGGAGCAAAAGAGAGTGTAAGTCAAAATGAAAATGGAAGTGAGAGAGGAATGAGGAGAAAGGAAGAGGATGAGCAAGGCGGAGGGAGGAGTGGGGAGAGCTGGACGGGCGATGCCCGTAAAATTACAGGGGATTCCCGGTGTTTTTCGTTTCGAATAATTCTAATATTATAAATCTTATAATAATTAAGGTCGGGTTTCTTCTAGTAAAAAAAAAACATGGCTTAAATTATTCGATTATTCCCTAATTCTTTGATTCCCTTAAATTACAGGGATTTTCCCGTTGCTTGGTGGCGACTCTGCCCTTTTGTTCTTACAGTCGGAGAAGCGATCCGGGTTGTCTTGGAGGATCTCTCTCTCCCCTTGGCCCCAAGGCTATAAAATTAGCAAGTTCAGTTCTTTTGTTCTGATTATAGCTAGAGTAGAAGAAACAAAGAGATCTCAAAGGTACTCACAGTCTATGGGGACTACCTTGGTAGATTACACCTGGGGATGTATCATACATTTATAATATTATAATATATTACTATGGAGATCCATGGATGTACCGCAACAATACCGTAGCTGAGTCTCCAAGAATGAGGCCCGAGTCGAGACGTTCGGCAAAACGGGTGTGGCCGGGATGTTCCCCTCATATAATTATATTATGATATTATAGAATATTGTATGATATGGAATTATTACAGGATTATTATATCGAGAGTGCATGTTAGCCTAAAAAGAAAGAAAAGAGCCCAAACCTGGTATGAACATACCAGTGACAGCCGATCATCCAGACTGCGGAATGTTCCTTGAGTGGCAAAGTGATTGGTATTATCTTTTTACTATACTATTACTACTACTAATATACTAATACTTATATTCTAAATCTATGCAGTATTATCAGTATGTAACAAAACAATTAAAAAAGGGCCACCACTAGCGCGATGATGTGTCTCGCCGGGAGTCGCACCTGGTTTGAGTCGGGCACTTTTGATTGGCTTGGCCGCTTTCACGGGCTTCGTTTCTTTTTTTTTTTTTCTTTTTCTTTTTCTTTTTCTTTCTTACAGACAGATCATGTTCTGTGAACTAGAGCATTAGGGGTTATATTATTCTGACTTCCAGTGTCCGTTCACGGAAACTAGAGAGGGGGCCCGTGGATCCCCTTGCTGCAACCCAACCATTGGATTGATAGTGCTGAGACAGACATTGGCCGTGCTTGGCTTGCTTCATTTATTGTGTCCACTGCCAATGGTGCGTACAACCCTCGGTGGCTTGATCGATCGTGATATCGAGAGCAATTCGGATCGGTAGACTGGATATTTGAATAGAAAATAAATAGAACCCCATTAATCAACCATCTCTCCTATACTACCTAGGTAAATTACCGTAGAAGAAAAACCAAAATCAAGAACAATGTCCACCCAAAACACCCTCGTGAACCACCACTCGCTCCACCCAGCAACCCACTCCTCGTCACCGTCCACGACACCCCCCCCTTTGCGTCAATCATCGCCGCGCTTCCCGCCCGCATTCTCACAACCGCCTCCACCCTCGGCTATCCCAGAGTCCGCCCTCGCCCAAACCCTAGAACCTCACAGCGGTCGCAGCCATCCAAACCGTTGACCGTTAATCTGCCAGACGGGGACGGCGACACTGCTGCCGAACTAGCGACCACGGTCAAGGAAGTCATTGCGCTTGCTGCAGTGGGATGGCACACCGAGGACATGGAGAAGAGGCGCGTGCGGATCATTAGAGCGGCGGTTGGTGGTGGGGTTTTGTGGTCAATGTTTGTACAGACGTGCTGGCTTATGAGGGGGGCGACATTGAGTGCGGGAGGACATCTAGGGAGCAGACCAAGCCGTTGTTGGCTTCGTAGAGCCCTTGGTGTTATCCACAGATGTAGGTAAATAAGTAGCAGGGAGGAATTATTGCTTAGGATGAATAGCCTAACACTCAAATCCAATCCATACTACTACTAGTCTGAACATTTGCTAAATCAATCGATTGCCCAACAGCACAGCGTGTATGTACCCACCCTATGGCCGAGTGCAAAGCCCATCAACACACTTGTTCCCATAACAGCAGTTCTCATCAACAAGGCACGGCCCCTTGTCCTCCCTGCAGCCAGGCCAGTCCGAGTCGGTCGACCGGCACTTGGTGGCAGCGCAGTAGCCCGAGCAGCAGCTTTGGCCGGAGCCACCGGACTCGCAGTTTTCTGGTGTGGTCAGAAGGAGATGAAGCAGGAAAAACATCTGTAGATAGACAAACTCTATCCCTTCCGGAGAAATCAGCATGACTTACCATAGACCCCGAGACAGGTAGCGGTAGGCACACAGGTGGTCAGAGTCGTGGACGTAGGCGTCGTGAAGACAGCCGTGGTGCAGAACTCGGTACCGACACAGGCATCGGCATCACCGCATCCAGCGGCCGCTACGAGAGATGTCAGTTAGGATCCTGAGTTGAGGGAGAGGAATGAGTATAGTAGATACAGACAGCCCAGGGCGACCTGAGAAAGGAGAAGAGCCAAAGGCGTTGAGAAATGCATAGCGACGAGAATAATTCCAAGCTTTTTTTGAGTTACCGTAGGTGTACAAGGTGACTGATTCTCAGATTGTTGAGTTATGTGTAATCAATATTCCCATCAACATCTGTAGGTTCAGGACTATATATATACCCATCGATTCCTCATACACATCAAAATAACCACCAAGATACCAGCAGTGGAACCGAAAGCAGATGAGCCAAATACGAAGCTGCAATACATCACCACACTGCTTTTGGCTGGGCATACCTAGTGCTGGGGTATGTTGTTTGCCGTTCGCGGGAGGGAGAAGATATCCAACCGCGGTCACTGCCATCTCTCGCCACGGGAATACGGGGCGTGACACGAACTAGATAGGCGTGCCATGGCTCTATTGGCAATTTTTTGAGACATTGACCAGACGGGATAGGAGTGGGAATGGAGGTATATTTAGAAGTATTTGTTGGGTATAGTAGACACCAGCTTGAGTATGAACCGGTTCAAGTTATATAGTATATCTCCTTGATGCATAGGAGCACAACGAGGGCATTTTCAACTACAGCAAATACAGACCTAAAAAACAAATACAAAGAGCTCACCTCTATGTATAATCCACACCTATTCTCCATTGGGTCAACCCCGGATTCTGTCTAGGCGCTCGACTATCTATCCTTGGTCGCCTAACCCGGCATACATGATAGTTCAACAAAAACCATGTTAAAGATAAGAGCCTCTGTGTATTACAGAGAGAGTCCAATTGTAAAAAAATCCATCAAATTTGTTCTGATAGGGGCCATTTTCTATATATTGGGGGCTATGTATTTTCGCATGATTCATTTTTAAGAGCTTGAAATCTAACAACTTTTACTATCTCAATTGTCCAAGTCAATACATATACAAAAGTATACAAAATTGACACTAATGAAATCAATAGAATTGACCATAATTATTGCTAACATATTTATACCCATATAAAAAAATCCTGTTCGTAGGCACCGATCCACGCCCAGCCTCGTGGGGCTTAGACACGGGAAGGAAGCCGATTCCCGCCCTATCGGGCTCTATAAATAACTCCACTCTCACTGCACATACTGTAACTATAGTCTTCTACCCATGGAAGCTATCATATTTAATAGCACATCCCGGAAGAATCATATATGTATTATATATCCCAGGCATATCTTCCAAGTCTTATTCAATGGTAATTAGAAGCAAGGTTCATCCACAACCTGATAATTCATTCCAATAACTAGTTTTCGGCCCCCCGTGGATCTAGCACTAAAACACAGATTCGAGCTGGAGCTAGCGGCTTCCTTTGACTCTGAAACACCGGCTCAGACCACGTCTTGGGATCCTTCAGCTTTTCGACTTTGTTGTATTCGAGTTACTAACTACAATAAATACAACGGATTGTTGTGTACATATTGTATACTAACCACACTAGTAACCATGCTGATGCCTGCTCGGTAGATCCTCATTAATACTAATTATAGAACAAAGACCATTGTCTAGAAAGTGAATGGTATATATGTATATACCCTGGTAGCTAGGAGCAAGAACCATGGATTGTGGGTTATTGAGCTGTGGCTATGGGATTCCAGATTTCGGGTCTTGAGTCTGAGGAACTACGGTTAGATTGTCACTGACAATAGTCAATCCTCTTTGAATTGCTTCTTTAATTATAGCTTCATATTTTATTTGATTTGATTGGACTTGATTGTATATTAGAGTTCTATCGTACACTGATCAGTAAAACAACCTCATTTACACGGTGGTATTCGGTGCAAAACACGAAAGGAAAAAAAACTCAGAACAAAGCAAGCACAGCAAAGAAAAAAAGCAAATAAAACACAAGAAAGAAGGTTAGCAACAGAGAAAAGAAACAGATATTAGGGGTAAGCGGTATGAAACAAACCAAGAGACAAAGGAAACCAAAAAAAAAGATACCAACCAGACACCATAATGGAGAAAAGCAGAAAAGACAAAGCAAAGCAACGAAAAGAAAACCCATTCCCTGATCCCATATCCATATCCATACAATGTTAGCCCCATGAAGATCCGGTTCCCACGCTCTATCTATGCTGTTTTCTCGTCTGGTCGTGTCTCGGTAAGCCATGTCATCCGCACGCAAGCAAATCGAAAATCAAATGTGCGAGGACAGCTGGGATGACAATCCGAATCAAAACCCATAACCCCTCCTTTCCAAATACCTGGGACACGATCAGACAGTCCCGACTCCTTCCCATCGATATAAGTACAAACAAACATTAAAAATGCACAAAACAAGCCAAAACGGAAGGAAAAAAAACTTGCTTCCATGGGAATCAAGGGGAGGGAATTGCATCGAAACAACTTAACAAAGGAAATTGAACAAAAAAACAAAGTGAAATTCGTCCATGTGGCCCCGCATCATACCGGGGTCGACCAAGTGTGGTCACCCATTCTGGGCCTCGTTTCGTAGTTCTCTGGCTCAGTGCTGGTCGGTCGACGGATGGTGGAGTTGGGGAAATACATGTGTGGGGGGCATGGACGTTGGGTAGGCCGGGCCACTCGGCTCGGGATAGGTGAAGTCGTTGGCCGATCCCGGCGAAGGCATGCCGGCATGAGATGGCGAGGCCCATCCCAAACTAGTCATGTGAGGGCTTCCGCTCACACTGTTCGGCCGGTGGTCATTGTTGGCCGGCGGCTCGAGAGGCTGCGGCGGAGCATAAGGATGCGAGGTCATGGCTGGCCGGGAGTGGGGTGCACTGCCGAAACTTGAAAGAGAGGGCGAAGTTGTCGTGGGAGATGCCCGAGGACTGCCTTGTGAGAAATCACCTCGCACGTGCGGCGGGATAGGACCACTGCCCATATAGTAGTCTCCGCCTGACCGGTGCATATTCAGTGGAGGAAGGTCACCGCCGGGCGACAAGGACGGGTGGTGTGCAGGAGACGGAGTCGATTGGATTGAGCCATGATCCGGGAACATGCCCTCCTGTCCTCGCCCCCGATCCTTGTTTTGGCGTAGCTGAGCCTCAGTTTCAGCGGCCGCTTCCTCGATTGTCCCAGTGTGATGGTTTTGATGCCGTGTTAATGTCGTGCGTCGAGTGAAAGTTTTCTGGCAATTGGCGTACGGGCACTTGTAGGGTCGCTTCCCGGAATGAATGCGGCGATGTCTGGCCAACGATGAAGAATCACTGAAGGGCTAGATGGAACACCGTGTTAGACTCGATTATACAAATTTTAGGCACTGGGAGAGCATACCTTGCCGCATCGCTCGCACATGTGCGGCTTTTCTCCGGTATGTACGCGAGAGTGTACCGTCAATGCTGAGCGTTGGATAAACTGCTTCCCACATCCAGGCCAGTCGCAGGCGTGGGGCCTGATTCCAGTGTGGATTCGCTCTACAAGCGTCCAAGGTTAGTGGCTTCGAGTCTCCAATGTATTGGGCGAGACACTTACCATGCCGTGCAAGGTCGCTACGTCGAGCGAATCCCTTTGTTGCATGTTGAGCAATGAAAGGTCTTCGGCGGTGGATCAGCACTGGCGCTCCCCGGAGGAGGCCCCTGATGTATCGGAGTATCGCCAGCGTACCCCCCAGGGACATAGGCCATATTCCGGGGCGTGGAACCCGGAGGCTGTGCATAGTAGAAGGGATCGGGCATCCCCGAGTCCATGTGGACGGGGGGCGGAGCATGAGGAGGATATGTGTTGACAGGAGTGTCCGAGGCACCCGGTTCGGCCTTCATGGTTGGAGAGGCCTGGGGGTGCAACTGTGCACTCCGCTGCATGTAGTGTTGTTGGAGTTGCGCTTCGGCGGCTGCGGCTGCGGCGACAGAGTTCTTCCTGTTCAGGATGGTCGTGATGTCCATGACCCGACCCAGCGAACAGCCGAGAGACGGTAGTCAAGGACTGCTCTCAAGCAGACCGTTGGAAGATTGTAGCTTAGAGTAGATCACTCTTGAATGTTGACTGTCGACCGATTCATCCACCGTATGGTCGGTACGCGCAATGATTGGTTCCAGGGCAATTTCAGTCGTTCCAGATAGATTGCCAACCACTGCGATCCTGCTGTATCGAGGTTTTCGCCACTTGACTGTCGATCAGCCCGAGGATGGAGACGCGTCGGTAGCGGAGGATTCTCAGGTTTTGGGCCAACGCCGAAACACAGATCCAGCTCACTGTGTTGTGGCAGGAAGCAAAAGTTTGCCACAGGTTCCAACACCTGGTTTCGCGATTGTTTAGGGTATTCTGCCAGGATGAGGGTTGGGCGGCAGAATTGTACACGTGCTTTCTCGTCTCGGAGAACCCTTGGGAGCTTCTTGGGTCACGATTCTCGCGGAAATCAAGTAGGATTCGATAGAACAGTCGGCTCGAGGGGAACCGCGCGACGGGGTCTTGGGAAAGGAGAGGTATGTCGGGTCGATTGGGCGGGGATTCTGGCAGACACAAGAAACAGTCAGCCCCAAAAATCAACTTGGAATGGCAAAGACCTTGCCCCGGTGAGATTGCCCGAGCCCAGCTGAGTGATGCTGCGATTGTTAATCGCAAGGTGACCTTGTCGCCCCTGGTACTCCGCAGTCTTTGGGATGCTGGGCCATCTACCCACGGGGTTCCAGAGGACATCACGGAAGACAAGACGCCCATGAGGGCTTGCCTGAAATCAATGGCAACCACCAAGAGAAGGCCGGCTTGGGGATAGCATTTTCGTCATGACGATTCCATGGGAAATCACCAAGATCGTACCAAAAGACAGACACGGACATACCTTCACAGAAAACCAAGACTCCCGCCTGCAGGCAACCCAGGGACTGGCGAGAAGAGTAGATGAAGAGGGAAAGGGAAATCGCGCAAACAAAGTCGGTGGGGAGCCGAGTCGTGCCGGCAGAAAAAAAGTGCGCGGAGATTTGCGAGAAAGGGGAGATGATGTAGTTTTATGATTGTGATTTAATAAATATATAAATTAGATCAGAAATATAAATCATAAATAGTCAATAATAATAAAATCATAAAATCATAATATTATTATTCTATTTAGGTGTGGTAGGTGCCACTCGTGTCGGGCCGTCTACATACATCATTATTTACATTTCCTGTTGTTTTTCTCTCGGCTTTGCAACTCTTCTATTCATATATCCATGGATAGCATGTTTTTTTACTCTGTGCATCTATCAAATTTATCAAATTGAATACTCACAACTCATATCCAGGACTCACTTTTCCTGCCAAGTGTACCCCCAAACACCTTTTTGCCCAAGAGACAAGAATAGTCGCACTAAAGCCATGTCCCTGCAAGGTCCAACCGTACACTTCAGCCTAGTTCTCCTAGTCGGACCCAGCGAAGCCCGCTAGAAGGGAAAACCTGGCACCAGAAGCCCCGTCAGCAATGCCGGCTCCACAACGTGCGCCTGCCTCCCTGTGGCCGTGCGAAAACTCGATGGATACGAGAGGGTGACGCCGATCCGAACGAGAATTTATTTCTTTTTCTTTTTTATTCCTTCTCTGGATTCATTTTTGAATTAAAAAAAAAAGCCTTGAACACGGAGGAAACCCGAGAAAAACCACGCTTGTAGATTATAGTTCGAATATCTCGCTCTCTCTACTTGCCTGATCTTCACTGCCCAATCTCCCTCCCCAAATGAACCTAGTGCAAATAGAAAGAAAAATGATTCGAGAATATGACGCAAGTCGCATTTCCTTCAGGAGATGTGATCGGGCCAAAAAATAAATAAATAAATAAATAAAAAAAACCAAGTGGACTCCGGGAAATCGGTTTCCCAGATGCATAAAAGGGGGTTGCCCGAAAGACGCCCCTGAGGAAGATAATAAAAAGAGGTGTGACCAGACGCCCGAGTTATTTTTCTGTTTTGATTTTTACATTCGATTATTATTATCATATATATTTATATTTATATAAAGAAAGGGCAGGGCAACTGGAGGAAATCGGTCCAAATACAAGATGGAATGGTGCGACACTAGGTCTACAGAGTATATACAGTATGTTGAGAGGCATTATTGTCTCTGGATCTACCCCCCGGTGCGGAGTTGCTTCACCATCTCGATAGTCTGTTCCGACTATTGCTAGCCGATCCCAAACGGCGGAAGGCTAAATCCCCGATGATCGTTTCTAGAAGGATGAAGAATTCGATTTCCAGACATTCCCAGAGTTGGGCTGAAACATGAAATCCTTCATGTTGCAAATGTCTGTACAGCCATTCCACTGTAGCTGGATGTAGGCAATCCTAACTATGATGATTTCTTGCTTTTTTCATGTTCTTCCCCTAAAGTAAATAAATGCAGGTATGTCAACAACGCCATCTTGATGACGACGATCCCACGAGTGGGCCCTCCACCCCCTGGTCTGCTATCGGGTCTATTTCTTACTCCTCCACCCCCTTTTTTTTCGTTTCTTGGAAGACACTAGCAGACGCCGGCAGGATTTCAGCCTCCGAGAAAAAAAACCACAAGAATCCCACTGCCACACGGGATGGGTTCGCGATCGCTCAGAACTGGGTCCGCCAAGCCTTTCTCCTGACCTTCTGGTGGCCTTCCAGAAGGATTGCGTGAAAATAGAAAAGGGCCAAGATACCGGTTGCCTAATGCAGCTGCGCCTGCGCCCTGTACTATGGATATTCCTTGGGTACTTGGGTACGTACCTATTGTTCTCGAGCCGAGCCCGAGCATATATGCAACTATATCAGAGATCAAGTCACTATTGACCCGTGAGCGATCAAAGCGAAGATTTATCATTTATTTATTTATTTAGTGCCCAATGATGGATGGAAGATGCCTAAAAGGGGGTAAGAGAGGTTGGGTACCCGGGGAGTACTGTAGACTCCCTAGTATAGTTGTAGAGTAAGTATAGTTACCAGATTGTTTTTACTCCTATTGTTTGTCGTGATCGTCTTGTTCTCATTCCCTCCTTGGAATAAACCTCCACCCCCTCCCCCTAGTTGTGACGACATCATCCGGAGTGCATATCATAGTGTATAATTAATATATTATATGGTCGTTGCTCATCTCGGGGCGTGTCTGCGGGGGTTTGCGGAGATTATCTGCGGCTGTAAATCCGTTGGCCGGATAGTTTCCACTTGCTCATAATCTCATTGTGTCTCAGGTTTTTTTCGGCGAGCCAATCATCGGGAATAATCGCCTATTGTCTGATGATTGGATGTATCACCGAGTCACACATGGGCAAAAAGGGGGGAAAGATAGAAAGAGAAAGAAAGGAGGTGGTGGAACCCACGTTGGATGCACAGTACTATACGGATAGAGTATGGGGCAATTTGCCACATGGTTTAATCTGTTTTGTTCTTTTGTAAGGGTTCTAACTTTATGTTAGTAGTTAGGGTTATATACTGCCCAGCTACTGCTCGTACTTATTAGGGAATTTGTATACTCCCCGAGATTGTATCCCTTGGCTTTTTCTTTACTGGGATATGTTTACAAATAACCAGACAGCGCAGACAATGCACAAAATAATTGTCAACAAGCAAAGCTATGACCTACTTTCCACTCCGATCCTGCTGCCGCCATCTCCCCGGGAAATTGAGCACTGGCCCATTGATGTTCATCCTGAAGTCTTAGCGAAGATCGGTCAATCCTGCTCCTTTGCGGTTGCGGTAGAACCACCGAGACTAGTGGATCATTGCACTCTATTACTGGGGTCAAGATATGGGAAGGATAAAATGCAGGCGAGGTGGACGAAGTATTTGAATATACCTAGTATGCAAGAGACTGATCTGAGTAGGTGGGTTGATCGTGCAATGACAAATACCTATACTAGACACTTTATCTACAATGGTAAGCATCAATCACTACCACGTGGAGAGAAGAATACTTATATCAAGAGCATACAGCTACGAGATACTAAAGAATTCCATGTCACATGAGGAATCAATCATCCCACGGCATTAATATCAAGTATGCGTAAAGGTGTATCTCCGATCTATAAACAACCCCAAAACCCCAAGCAAAGTGCTTACGCCCAGATAGATGCCCATGCGCCGTGATGAGAGAGGACGGGGTATAGCCAGCGAAGAAACCCCCGAGTCCTCCCCAATGAATATAAAGCGAGCCGATACAAGACAGAAATAATACACGGCCTTTCCTCCCCCCCATTTTTTTTAGTCTTTTCGTCTTGTTTTCTCACCGTTTGCGCCAAGATAGCTCCAAAACCCGATCACCCTTGTAATGAGGGCGGACATACCACTGAGTGACCCGGCCATTGGGTTCGAGCACTGCATCCCGGAGCTGGTAGGTGACCTTATCGACGTCCTTGTTGCGCAGCGGGCCCAGTTCATGGAGGTAGTTTTCGTTGGTGGCGCCGTTGTGGGACTCCCATGTCTTCTCCATGGTCACATCGCCGGGCTCTGGATCCCACGAGTAGTGGATGATGGAGTATCCGTTGGTCAAGATCCAGCCGTCGCTGAAATGCCACCGGCGCAACAGACAGGTATCACCACAGATTTCTGAGATCACGCCCAGCTTGGGCATGTCGGCCTTGAACCACGACTTCCAGTGGTGCACGGAGAGCGGCGGCTCGCGGCCCGACTCGAAAAAGCCCGAGGCATCGCGCATCAGATCCAGCTGGTGGAGTCGGTGCTCGATAGTCAGGCGCGTGGTGGTGTATTGGTAAACACAGTTGGCGACGCGGCGGTCGCCCGTCAGCGGCATTTGCTGGCACTCTCCGGACACCGAGTCTAACTCGCGCAGGAGCGGTCGCGACAGGAAGATACCGCCGCCACCGAACGCGATCAGCCCGAACACGGAGATCTGCGGCACGCCCTCAGACACGCCGCCCATGTAGATCGACTTGGTGTGGTCGTAGTGGCTCAGCGTTTCGACCAGGTCCGACATGGACAGGAAAAACGTGTCATCGTCGATCATGCATGCCCACTTGGTCTGCTCTCGGGTGTGACTTTCCAAAAGTGAGATCAGAGCAAAGTATCGCGTGAGAAAGTCGTCGTCGGACTCGGTGACAATGAGATTGATCCCCAGCGCGTCGGCCTTGGCGCGAACCCGCTCGATTGCGTTGGGGGTTTCCTCGGGCTCGACTAACGCGAAAATCCGAGTCCTGGTGTACCCGGCCCAGTGAGCCATCTGGTCGAGGGATTCGTTCAACCGTTCTACGGACGTTGCGACGCCAAAGTCGATGTGGGAGGCATCCACCATTTTCGGGGGCTTGGGGACCTGGACCGCGACGGGGATAGGGATCGAGCAGCTGTCGTGCGGCCCATCCTGCATGTCGGTAATGGGCTCCTTGGGAGGCTTCAAGTCCATAAAGGCCTGGTCCAGTCGTTGTGTCATGGGCACGGGGTCGTCGGTCACGTCCACCACAATTTCACGGCGAATGTATTGGCCCACTTTGCGAACGTGCAGCTTGTGTAACATGTCGAGGTTGAGTTCGCATTTGATGTCTGACGATATCGTGATGTTGGCTCGGCCCAACACGGTGTTTTGTGGCTCGGACGACGGCCAGAGGAGAGCGACGAATGTCGCGCTCACCACAATGATGAGCACGAATCGCAGCATCCTCCTGCATGCCCAGGAGGCACCTAAGAGCGACCCTTCGCGACCGTTCAGCATCCTCCACTTGTCTAATGTCATCCACGGCTGTTTTGTTTCTTTTTTCGGCTACTACCTCATTGCTGAGACAGGCACTCCTGCGCTGGACTGGAGCAGTTCGAGGGGTTGAAGATGGGCGAACAGGGGTGATTTGAAGGGAGGAGGGAGGAGGAGGGAAGGGAGAGTATATGGGAAAATATAAAGGAGAAATCCAAGAAATCCAAGAAATTGGGACGAGGCAGAGAAGTGGAGAGAGAAGAAAAGGGACTCTCCCGTGGAGTGCAGGCCAAAGCGAAAAAAGGGACGGGACAGCGACGATCATGGTTTTCCAGATGGCCATGACGTGAACTCACGTGTGCCTCTATGGATATGATTACTCTATATTATTAGTTACTTGATACTTATTTATGTAGTATATAGTATATAGCCAATTATTTATTATTTATTATTCTATTATTATCTGAGTATCATAGTATCATAGTATAATCGTATACTCTCTAATATCTGATTCCTGCGATCTTCCCCAAACTCTACCAAACGCCACGTCCTGCGTATCGCTCAGCCAATGCTCGGCCTCGTCAGCCTCTCCGCCTGCTCCACGTCCGCGCGTCACCCATCCTTACACTGCCTTCAGCCTTCATGTGCAGGCAAAAATCCAGGGGTTTTGACCATTTCCCCGATTCTTCATCCCCGGATATCTCCAGGCAAGAGAGCATCTCATTTTCTGGTTCCACAACACCTCGTTCGACTTTGCAAGGACCGATCACCCCCTGTCGATGATCTGGGATTCTGATACTTTGTATCCGGCCCCACAGGCGAATAGGCTTTTCAGGGTTCAAGTTGAAACTGGCCTGTTCGGATGTACACAGATCATCTTAGGCCGCCGCGACAGATCACCTGCACCGCATCAAATTTGCCTCTGGAAGTGCCGATCGGGTGGGCTGTGTACAGCTGTAAGTTGAGCCTCAGGCGCCCCGAGGACATAAGGGGTTCGACAGGGCCCTTCTGCACCGGACTAATTATAGTCATGCGAGGACGGTCCCAGCTTGAAATCCATGCGTAAATGGGATATTCGAGTCACATTATAGCCTCACGTCATCCCACAGTAAGGCACATGGTCGTGGGACTTGGCAGCTATAGGGTGGACAGGGTGGACAGGGTGAAACCCAAGACCCCGCTGATGGAAGTCTATGTCGGTGAGTGTGAGAGATCGAGTATCACAACACGTAGGCTTTCCAACATGAGACTTGGTTGAAACAATCATTGTCTGGTTGAGCCAGAGTGGGTGATCCAAGATCTCCCAGGGAACCCACCAGGCAATGCATTCTGATCCACGGATACCCCGAGGGAGTTTCCGAGAATGGTAGGCTGTGATACCTGAGGCGGAAAGGCAAGAATATCCACGTGACTACTACGGCAGACCATGTGGCCCCTACACGCAGAAATTCCCCAATGGGGAAAGACCATTTCCACACACTGGAGCGGGACACATCTCAGCAATTGCGCCTTGTTTCCCCCCCGGGACCGAGTTTGGAGTGCCAGACTACGCCAGTCTGATCTCAGCCTTTGATTCCATTCCCCACCATGGTTGCGCAGTCGTTGGCCTCGCTGTTGCAGCAGGCGACGATTGACGATCATGAAGAAGTGCTTCAATCCTGCAATGCCGTCCTGTCCAAGTCCCAATCTGATCTGGATGCCCAGCACATCAAAGTGGTTGCCCTCCTAAAATTGGATCGCTTTGAGGATTGTGTGCGCGTGGTGGAGGCAGGAGGCGATGCACTCAAGAAGAGAGCCGGTCTGGAATATGCATACGCCTTGTACAAAATTGGAAAGTTGGAGGAGGCCACTGCCGCCGTGGCTCGAGCAGCTGCTAGCAGAGGGACCAGCCATCTGAAGGCACAAGTGGTATGGGATGATTTTCGTTGATATTCTTTCGAGGCCCTGCGCTGACTTTCCTCGTCACAGAGCTACCGCGCCGAACAGTTCCACCGAGCCGCCGAGATCTACGAAACCTTGTCACAAGATAGGAGCGATGAGCAAAATGACTTGAATATCAACGCGTGGGCTACCGATGCCCAGCTGCAGTGGAAGGGACAACCGGAATTTGTGCGCCATGACCGACTGTCAAGGGAAGAGCTGGAGTCATTCGAGACGGCCTATAATGCCGCCTGCTTGAATATTGCCAAGGGGGCCCTTGGACAAGCCGAAGTGCTCCTGTCACGCGCTAAAAGTCAGAAACCCACTGCATACGTTTTGCAAGAATCATGTTTGACTGATTGCACTGTATAGACGTTTGCCGGACATCGGAGGACCTCACCCCCGAAGACCGAGCTGCCGAGCTTTTGCCTATCGCTGTCCAGCAGTTGTATGTCCTGAACCGACTGGGGAAGACGGAGGAGGCCGAGTCAGTCCTTCAGGAAATCAGTGTGGAGGAGTAAGTTTAATTGACATTTCTTTCGTGGAGTCGTCAAAAATAAATCGCGGACTAACTTTGATGTGTTTAGTATCCCCGAACTCTCGACGAAGAAGATTGCGCGGAATAACATTTTTTTGGCTCGCCAGACGACGATTAACCCTTACATCCTCTACAAGGCCCTCCACGAGACCCCAGATGCCATCAACAATGACCGGCTATTTGATTTCCAGAGTCATGATCTGGCGGGTAACTCACACGCTGCGGATCTTTTTGTGCAGAAATACGACGGTATGATCCGGTCCACAGCTAAGGGCCTTGCACAAAGCCCATGTCCCTCCGTCGAGGCCACCCCCAACCTCCTGTCCGTCTACAACGCCGCGGCCCACGCACAAGGGCAAACCGGCCCGAAAGCTTTGAAACAGATCCTGCCACTGTTGGAACGGAGGCCTAAAGATTTGGGCCTGCTCCTGACGGTGGTCCAACTTTACGTCAGCGTGGGCAACACCACCTCTGCCATCACAGCTGTGGAGCGCTCGCTGCACAGCCTCGAGGAATCCATCTCCGAAGCCGACCAAGACGCTCGCTTTAACCCAGGCCTTCTCAGTGTTCTGGTGTCATTGTATCAGCTTGAGGGCCGCAAGGTCCAGATCCGCTCCACCCTCGCCCAAGCGGCCTCGTACTGGCGCACCAAGCCCGAGCCGCCGGCATCTCTCCTGCGCGCCGCGGCTGCTTCCCTTTTTTGTACTCGGAGGACCAGTCTGACCTGGCCACCGCCCGCGATCTCTTCCGCTCCTTGCACCAGAAGGATCCTAAGGACCGTATTGCAGTCGCCGGCTACGTCGCGTCGCAGGCCACGCTGGACTACTCGCAGGTGGAGTCGCAGATCGACCAACTTCCTGCCGTCAGCGAGCTTATCGCTGGCGTCGACATCTCTGCCTTGGAGTCCGCGGGTATTTCTCCTTCCGCCTCCTCGGCTGCCGCTGCAGCCGCCGCTTTCGCTGGGGCTCGGAAGCGCACGGCAGCCGGCAAGGAAGACCGCGCTGCCAAGCGCGTGCGCAAGTCCCGTCTGCCCAAGGATTATGACCCCAACAAGAAACCCGACCCCGAGCGCTGGCTTCCTCTGCGTGACCGCTCGTCCTACCGCCCCAAGGGCAAGAAGGGCAAGCAGCGCGCTGCTGAACGCACCCAGGGTGGTGTCGTCACGGAAAAGACCGAGGAGGCTGCGAGCCAACAACAGAAGTCCTCTGGTGGCGGAGGGGCCAGCTCCAAAAAGAATAAGAAGAAGGGCAAGCGGTGATCTTGCTTTGGACAATGGGCGGGGAATATATGGTGGAATGGATGGATCTTTATATCCATGGATGGTTCGCATCCATCAAGAAATAAAAGCCTTATGGCTGAATGCCTGCACTGAGTGCAGAATAACACAGTGCATTCTCGTCCACTGCTTTAACAGTAGTTTCAAGGTTCTTACAGTTACATGGTAGAGTTAGTGTGGCCGATTTCTACCCACAATAGACACATCCATGGATAGAGCCACACTGTGCCAAAGCAATCCCAGCACCAAATATCGTCCCGCGTTCACCAAGCGACTAGCAAGTCCACTAACCCAACGGCGTGCGAATCGTCCCGCACTGCCGATTATAATGCTCAAAGATCAAGCGCAGCAACCTCAAATCCATCAGGGCATCCCCGGCATCCGTCTTCCCCGCCGTGTTCCCCTCCACCAGATACGAATACAGGGCAGCAAGTTCCTGTCGATACGCGTCGTCGGCACTGCTCACTATCTCGGTTCTCTTGACACGGGCACAGCTGTCGGTGTACCAGCTGCTGGCAATACCATTGCCATGTCCATTGCCATTAATATGGCCATGACCACTGCACACAGCAGTATCAGGTTCGGCCTCCTCAACAACAACCCGCACACACAACCCCTCAATCGACCCCACCTCACCAGGACACGGAAAATCATACTGCACGCTGATAGTCTTGTTTGCGCCGTAGATAGTAAGATGCGCATCGCAGCGCGGCACGCCGTCCACACCGGCTTCATAGAGAAGCGTAAACGGGTGCCCTTGTCCTTGTCCCGCGGTATCGGTGTAGTGGAACACAACCGAGTAGAACGGGACTGTAATCGAGACGCTGGACACGGCGTCTGGCAGCCCGAGACACTCGCGCATCAGCGATAGGTCGTGGCCGCCGCGTGTCCCGAGGAAACGGCAGAATGCTGCGCGGTCGGGGGTGAGGTCTTCTTCGGGTCCACCGAAGACGTCTGCGAGGAGTGCGCGGAATTGGGCGGTTGTGTTTGGGTTTGTGGCTGCTCCGTTGGTGCCGTTCTTGGTGGGTTTATTGCCGTTCGTGGTTGGTCTTGGGTTGATACTCGGCGCGCCTGCGATGTTGCGACATCGTGCGTAGTATATTCGGTCCAGACTGGCGAGCTCTTTCTTGAATACTTCTGTGAAACATGGTGCGTAGCGGTACGCACAGCTGACGAAGATCTTGGGATTGTTCTTGCTCTCGACGCTGTTGTTGGTATCCCCATTGGACTGGGTGGTGACACCGGTGGCGGTGGTGGCATTTCTCTTTTTGATTGCGCCGCGGATGTGCTGCCAGCCCGGGATGCTGAGGCTCAGAGGCGCTTCTACCATCACATGCTTGCCTGCCTTTAGGGCTGCCACGGTGTATTGCTCGCGGTCTTCCATGGGTAGGAGGTTCAGGACTAGATCGATCCCTGCATGGCGCAAGACGTCGTCTGCGACGCTTGTGCGGTATGGGATCTTGAACTGGGCCTGGCAGTGCTGCGTGACCTCGGGGTTGGGGTCATAGATGATGGAGAGATGGAAGTGGGTTGGATCGGAGTGTAGGATGGGTAGGTAGGTGGCTTGGGCCGTGTCAGTGGCGCCGAGGATGCCGACGCGAAGGACCGGGGTGGACATAGTGACAGCTGTCAGGGGTAACAAGTATAGAGAGAGCTGTCAACCCTGATGCGGATAGACGCAGAGGGAGAAGCGATGCGTGATATACTTGACACTGACGTTCTTGTGTGGCGCACCGCGATCAAGGGCACTTGGATGTATGTGTATAGAGTACAAGGGAAGCAAGGTCGGTTCCAGGGTTTGCGAACGTAGCTTCCAGAAAAAGAGATCAACGTTTCCGAGCTGCCCTCATCCTGTTGATTGTGTTAGGTCGTGATGGGCAAGAAAAGAAAGCAGATACTCGCTCAGGCCCTTGCTCGTTGCCCAGCCGTTCCCTGTCAAGGGCCAACATGCCAGGCCGTGACATCAGCGGCCCCCCTAAGGCCCGGCTTGGTCCAGGGACCAAAAGGGTTGGGTCCAAACTTTCCCCAGACAGGATCCATGGGCCAGAAGAGGGAAACCAAGTTGGTGGCATTGCTGAAGTATGCAGTTGCTCGTCGATCGTGTTCAGGTGGTGGGTGGAGTCTGGGGGTTCGTGTTCGATGTCAGGTGGACTCGATGCTGGGATCGGCGTATCTCTGCAAGAATTAATTCTTGATATGAGATTCTTCTGAATATTCCTGAGTACATTCTACATTGGTATTTGTAGCAAATACTACCAGTATACGTGCTCTGGTAGTACAACACTAAGTATAAGTATAGTACGGCACGGTACATCCGCTGTGGTGGGGGCCCCGGCAGTGTGGAAAGTACAGGTACAGCCTCAGCCTTGCCGGGTTGGGACTGGCGGCATCCACCAGTGACGAAGGTGCTGACTGCGGCTCCTTTTCTTTTTCTCTCCGTTTCTACTCTTTCTACTCTTTCTCTCATTCTTTCTTCTTGTACTTCCCACCGAAAGAATATGGGTGTAAGTGTCTTACCTCTGCCCCTCCACGAACACCCCCCAAGACTCTGTCTTTCTCTAACCTCATCCCCAGTTTGCTTCGAAGCTCGCCGCCAGCCAAAACCAGAATATGACCAACTCTGGCACTCCGGGAGGCGCGCCTTCCTCGGGATACCCTGGGGGTCCTCCTGCATCACTGCAGCCTGGTGGATACGTAAGTGCGATCACCTGCCCACTTCCAAGAAGCCCGACGTCATACGAAGAAAAGAACAACACTCACCAGCAACTCTCTAGCAACAATACCAGGATTACCCAGGCTCCCCTTCTCCATCTCAGGGATCGGTAAGCTGCCTTGTGTATCTAGCCTTCGCTTGATTCTTTTGAGCTTTTGGCTTTATTTTCTTTTTGTTTTCCTTTTTGTTTTACCCCTCCACACGGTTTTCTGCCTTCGGCTTTCTCGAGGCCTTCATCGACAATGTCCGGGTACCCGGGCTATCCTCCGTACGGCGGCTCACCTCACCCGTACCAGCCATGCAACTCATCGCCGTCTCCTGCGTCTGCGCCTTACTCCAGACCTCCCCCGCAACAACCTTCGCCTTACCCCGGAGCCCAGCAGGGCTACTCGCGTCCCCCGCCGCCCCCACCTCAGGGACAGCCCTATGGTGTCTCGGGATCGCCATACCCTGGACAACAGCCACCTTATGTATTATACTTGTCCCACGTGTTTTGTACTGCTGCATTGTGCTTTGTTTCGTGTTTTGAGCGCGTCTCGGAGTTTGCGTTTGTGAAATGATGAAGAATAAAAGGCTGACAATTAAACAAGGGCCAGGCACCGCTTTATCCGCCTCAGGGGTCTCCTTATCCTGGACCACAGGGACGCCCCGGACCCTCACCTGGAGCTCCTCCCGACCAATATCGGCCACCGCCTGGCCCGTACGGCCCGCCCGGTGGTGCGCCTGCGCCCCCAGCTCCTCCTGCCACCCCACAACAGGTTGCCGCCTACCGACAGCTGTTGATTAGTACCATCCAAGAGAAGAACCTCCAGAGCTTCTATCCTTTGGAACGGTTGGACCGACTCGTCCAGTCGCTTGCCAACGATGCACCGGGCAGGCTCAACAAGCTGACACACGAGTGGTCCGTCCCCATGGAGGTTGCGACCGATGTCATGAAGCTCTCGCTGTTCGACGTGATTCTCTACGTGGATGACAGCGGGTCCATTGAGTTTGAGGAGAAGGGGCTCCGAAAGGACCAGCTGCGACAGATTCTGGGCATCGTGGCTACTGCGGCCTCGACCTTTGATCAGGATGGAATCTCGGTGCGGTTCATGAACTCCATGGAGTTGGGAGACGGGATCCGTAACGCTGAAGACGTAGACCGACTGGTCTCCCGCGTCCGTTTCTCGGGCCTGACTCCGCTGGGTACTAGTCTGCGGAACAAGGTCCTCGATCCGATGGTGCTGGGCCCGGCCCGTGCCAACCGCCTTGACAAGCCCGTGCTAGTCATCACCATCACCGACGGACAGCCGGCTGGCGAGCCTCACGGTGCCGTGGGCGACTCCATCCGCTTCGCCGTGGAGGAGGTTTCGCGCACCCGGTACGGTCGTGGCGCCGTCTCTTTCCAGTTCACCCAGGTGGGATCTGATACGCGTGCTCGTGATTTCCTGTCGGCGCTGGACGAGGATCCTCATATTGGCCATCTGATTGACTGCACTTCGAGTAAGTTGTGTGCGTCATGGTCTACAGTCTGTATTTGGAGCTAATCATCTGGGGTTCATTAGATTTCGAGGTTGAGCAGGATGAGATGTCGCGTGCCAATCCACCAGTGCACTTGACCCGGGAGCTTTGGGTAAGTTGATTTGACATTCTTCTCTTCTTGTCTTTCTTTGCCAGCAGGAGCTCGGCTGACTGCTTTTGTAGTGTGCCAAATTGATGTTGGGTGCGATTGATGCTTCTTATGACACCAAGGACGAGAAAGATAGCGGGCGGCGCCCTGGCGGCGGTCCCCCGCCTGGACCACCGATGGGAGCACCCCCGGGAGCACCCCCGTCTGGCCCTTACGGTGGGTATGGCCAGCCTCCGCCGGGCCCGCCTGGATCTTACAATGCACCCCCGGGACCACCTGGACCACCTGGACCACCTGGGCCCTATAACGCACCGCCAGGCCCGGGCTACCCCCGGGACCGGGTACCTACAGTCCGCAGCCCGGCTACCAGCCGCATCCCCCTTACCCAATGGCGAACCGCGGGCTTGCCTATGGACAACCGCCGTATGGGTATGGCACTTCGTCACCGCACCCGCCACCCGGTGGACCAGGAGGCTATCCGCCGTCTGGACCATATGGGCATCCACCGCCACGTTATTAGCCGTTGGAACATGACGTCAGATTGTTTTCCCTCGATTGCGGGTGGTCTTGCAGGTGGTTTTTCTTTTGTTCTCTGTTTCTCTTTCTTTGATTCCTTTCTCTTTTTTACGATTTTTTTTTCTGCATTCATACGATAGAATGGACGGGGAAACTGGAACTGTATCTTTAACTCCCTTCTCCACTCCATAGCATTTTTTGAAACGGACCCGGGGAAACTTTGTGGACGGTTAGATCGTAGCCATGGGAAGGGATCGGCATCGCCTGGTCTTCGCCCACGGCACCCAAGGCTGTCCAGTGGCCCAAGGGCGTATGAGTAGTTTGGACCCCACGGGCGCAGTACGGTTGGGGATGTCCAGGGCACGGATTTATTTTATTTTATTTCAACCTTCTATTAAACTTTCTTTCATTCGCACAGGGTTTTCGCCCGTCTGCACGTTGCCTGAGGGTGTGGGGCGAGTGGCTATTTGAATGGCTATTTAAAAGCGCAGTGTTCTGCGCGTGGCTGTGTGTCTGGTTGCATCGAATTGCGCGTACCCTGACATTTCCTGGAGAATCCCCCCCCCAGTTTTCTGAGCTTGGTGGCCCTCTCATAATCGCTGAACACAATTCTATTCTGATTCCATAAAAAGATTTAAAAAAAAAAGAAAAGAAAAAGATAAAGAGGCTATAGTCAGGCGGCCACCTTGCCGGATTCGGTGGTTTCGCCTCCATCTCCAATTCTAGCTTTCTTCAGTTTCTTTTCCCTCGCCTACTCTCTCCCTCTCCCCTTTCAAAATCACTTTCAAAATCAAGGACACCTCGACGCCCTGCCACGGTTCTATACTCCCCCCCGTTGGGATCCTTGATTACCCCCCTCGTTTGAGCTTCTTATCCTTGCATCTATACGGGATTCCTTTCGCTTTGCAACCCGCCTTGGACGTCCTTCGTTTGAATGGGAATACTCGCCTCCCACACACTTCCCGGACAGATGTCTTGAATTTTCAGCGAAGAATGAATTCTCGCCTGATTGTTTCGCCTCGTTCGATTGATCATCTCATTCTATTGTGAGACCAGAGAGGGAAAGAAAAAAGTGATTGTCGGGGTCTATCCCGCACAGACACATTCCGCGCAAAGATTTTGGCCCGGTCGCCATGTCGAACCACGATGAATCCATCGATGCAAATCGCCCAGAGCAGCCCGACGTCGTGCGCCGGCCGTCTCTTATCTCGTCGCGCACCTTTTCCGACGCTGGGCGGCGAACCTCTCAACAACATGTGCGCTTCTCAACCGATCTCGACCACCCGTCCGCCGACGACCACCGCCGCACGAACCGGGACGGTCGACGGCCCAGTTCACGAGGCCTAACTATCGATACAACGCTTGCACCTCCCAGTGGTTCGCCTGCCGGTCGATCGCCTACCTCTCCGCTCTCCCCGCGCGCCGCCAGTGCCACCCTCTCCCCCATTTCTCCGCCGAGTCCGGATGCGGGCGGTCGATCCCGATCGCGGAACCGTGGGTATTCGCTTCGACGCTCGCTCTTCAACAAAAATATCCAATCGCAGGCCGAACAGGATGATGAGACTGCGGAACGGGGTGAGGCCCAGGGCCCGTCCACAGACGAGGCGCTGGAGCCAGCACCTGCTGTTCCGCATGCGCCCAGTCCCGTGGATGAGAAGCACGAGTTGACGGTTGCTTCGACGGCGACCGTCGAATCGACCTCCCGAGAAGAGGTGTCGACCTATTTTTCGTCCGAGCCGTCGGAAAAAGGGTTCAAAGACCGCTTTTCCATGTCTGTTGCGCATGACCGATGGCTGAGGCGTAAAGCGACTTCGGCAATGATCGTCGGTCGCATCGAGGGTGCTCTCGCTGCGGTTCGGAAGGTGATTTTGCGCATCAAGGAGATCCCGCCTACAAAGGACGGACGCCATCTTGATTTGAATCCGTCTTTGGTGGATACTTTGACTGATGAACGCACTGGCAAGCCCTACATTGGCAATTCCATTCGCTCGAGCCGATATAGTTTCTGGAGTTTCTTCCCCCGCCAGCTGTTTGCGCAGTTCACGAAATTGGCCAACTTTTACTTCCTGATCGTTGCCGTTTTGCAGATGATTCCTGGTCTGAGTACCACAGGAACGTATACTACCATTGTTCCGCTTTTGATCTTCGTTGGCATCTCTATGGGCAAAGAAGGGTTCGATGACTGGCGTCGGTATCGCTTGGACAAAGAAGAGAACAACCGGTATGCCTCGGTGCTTCGCCCGGGTCAGGGCACTCCCTCCGATGGCACCTCCGTGGCCAGCAACTGCCAAGATTGGGTCGATGTCAAGTGGAAAGACATTCGAGTTGGAGACGTCATCAAGCTTCACCGTGATCAACCAGTCCCTGCCGATATTGCATTGCTGCATGCCAACGGCCCGAACGGTGTGGCTTACATCGAAACTATGGCCCTCGATGGGGAGACCAACCTCAAGAACAAGCAGCCGTCTCAGCCCGTCTCCAAAGCGTGCTCCACCGTGGAGGACATCAACAGAAACTCCCTGCACTTTGTGTTGGAGGATCCGAATATCGATCTTTACAAATTCGACGGCCATGTCACGGTCAACGCCCAGGAGAAGCTTCCCTTGACCAACAATGAGATTGTTTACCGAGGAAGTATTGTGCGCAACACCGAGCGCGCCGTCGGAATGGTCATTTACACAGGCGAGGAGTGCAAGATCCGCATGAACGCCAACAAGAACCCGCGGATCAAAAAGCCTGCCCTTCAGGACAAGGTCAACCGTGTTGTCATGTTGATTGTGGTCCTGGTAGTCGTCCTGGCTGTTGCATGCACTATCGCCTACAAGTATTGGTCGCAGGACGTGGAACAATACTCATGGTATCTCGTTGATGCCAAGGTGGAATACGGCCCTGTGTTCACTTCGTTCTTGATTATGTTCAACACCATGATCCCCATCTCACTCTACGTGAGTATGGAGATTGTGAAGGTTGCGCAGATGCTCCTGCTGAACGACATCGACATGTACGATCCTGAAACCGACACCCCGCTTGAAGCCCGAACCTCGACCATCAACGAGGAGCTCGGTCAAGTGAGCTACATCTTCTCCGACAAGACCGGTACTTTGACGAACAACTCCATGCGCTTCCGCAAGATGAGTGTGGCCGGGACTGCTTGGCTCCACGACTCCGATATTCAAGAGGAAGCCGCTCGCGAGCCTGATCACAGCAAGTTGATTCACAAGAAGCGAAGCGTCAAGGGAAAGAAAGCCCTGTCCCGCAAATCTAACGTATCCGAGGTTCGCATGGGCCCGCGGCCTTCGAATGTCTCCACGGGCATGGATGGCGTGCGCGGACTGGGTCGCTCCAACACTTCCTGTCGCACCACTGAAATGCTTGAATTTATCCAGCGCAAGCCCTACACAGTCTTCGCTCGCAAGGCCAAGCTTTTCATTCTGGCCATGGCACTATGTCACACCTGTATCCCCGAGGAGGATGAGACTGGCTCTACCTCCTTCCAGGCCGCCTCGCCGGACGAGCTGGCCTTAGTTCTTGCGGCTCAGGAATTGGGATACCTGGTCCTGGACCGACAGCCGAACACCTTGACTATCCGCACATACCCGAATGGCCCTAAGCAGGCCGCTTGCGACGAGGTCTACGAGATATTGGACGTCATCGAGTTCTCGAGTGCACGGAAGCGCATGTCTGTGGTGGTTCGTATGCCCGATCAGCGCATCTGCCTATTCTGCAAGGGTGCCGACACGACGCTCATGCGTCTTTTGAAGCAAGCTTCACTGGCGCAGGAGAAGTCGAGTGAAATTGAGCGTCGCGCGAGCCGGCGCAAAGCCGCCGAGGCAAACCAGGTTATTCGGCGCAACAGCGAGTACCAGAGCCGGAAGGACAGTGGAGTCCGAAGCAGCATCGGCCGGCCCAGCTTGAATCGTCGGCGCTCATCTGTCTCTGGCCACCAGTCGTCGACGCTGCGGGACAGCATTGATTTCTGGTTGCGTGACCGCGAAACGGACGGCGGCATCTTGAAGAAAGAGGCCGACAGCGCGTACTACAGTCCCCGGCCCTCGGCGCAAATGGGACGGGTTTCAGGGGCCTTGTCGGACTCTGGAAGCTCGACCAACGGCGAGGAGGAGGACGAACTGGTCGAGGAGGCCCTGGTGGTGAATGAGGCCGCTGTTTTCGAGCGGTGTTTCCAGCACCTGAATGACTTTGCCACGGATGGATTGCGAACCTTGCTCTATGGCCATCGCTACTTGGATGAAACGACGTACCAGACCTGGAAGGCAGCGTACCATGATGCCTCCATCAGCATTGTTGACCGGCAACTCAAGATTGAGCAGGCGGGCGAACAGATCGAGCAGCAGCTTGAGCTGACTGGCGCCACTGCTATCGAAGACAAGCTGCAGAAGGGCGTGCCCGAGGCCATTGACAAGTTGCGGCGGGCCAACATCAAGATGTGGATGTTGACTGGCGACAAGCGCGAGACTGCTATCAATGTTGGCCACTCCTGCCGGTTGGTCAAGGACTATTCGACTCTGACTATCCTTGACCATGAAAACGGCGACGTGGAACAGACAATCGTGCGCCTCATTGCGGATATCCGTCGTGGCCGTGTGGCCCACTCTGTGGTGGTTGTCGATGGCCAGACTATGGCGAATATTGAAGCGGACGAGCCAGTTCGGGAGCGGTTTTTCCAGCTCGCCGTCCGCGTGGATTCGGTTATTTGCTGCCGCGCAAGCCCTAAGCAGAAAGCTTTCCTGGTGCGATCCATCCGCAAGTATGTCAACGACTCGATCACTCTGGCCATTGGCGACGGCGCCAACGATATCGCCATGATTCAGGAGGCCCACGTGGGCATTGGCATCACTGGCAAGGAGGGTCTTCAGGCGGCGCGTATCTCGGACTACTCGATCGCGCAGTTCCGGTTCCTTCTCAAACTGCTTCTCGTCCACGGCCGCTGGAACTACATGCGTGCGTGCAAGTACACGCTTGGCACGTTCTGGAAGGAGATGCTGTTCTATCTCACCCAGGCGCTCTTCCAGCGATGGAACGGCTACACAGGAACCAGTTTGTACGAGCCGTGGAGTTTGAGTATGTTCAACACGCTGTTCACCTCGCTGCCCGTGATCTTCCTGGGTATCTTTACCAAAGATCTTGCGGCGTCGACGTTGCTGGCCGTGCCAGAGCTATATACGAAGGGCCAGCGACACGGCGGGTTCAATATCAAGCTGTACCTGGGCTGGACGTTTATGGCGACTTGCGAGGCCATGATCATCTACTTTACGATGTATGGTCTGTTCGGCATGGCCAAGATCAACCCCAGTGACAATGGAACCTATGCGCTTGGTCTGTTGACGTTCTCGGCGTGTGTCACGGTGATCAACCTGAAGCTGCAGGCGCTCGAGGTCCACAACAAGACCTGGCTATCGCTTGTGGTGATCATCATCTCGGTCGGTGGCTGGTTCCTGTGGAACATGATTTTATCCCAACGCTACAACCTCGGCGCGGGCAAAGGCGTGTACGATGTCCCGGACAACTTCCTGCACCACACCGGAGACAACCTTCTTTTCTGGGTCGTTCTCTTGATTGCCATCATGGCGGTGGTTCTCTTTGAATTTACTGTCAGCACCTGTCGCGCGAATCTGTTCCCCACCGACGTCGACATCTTCCAGGAATACGAGCAGAATCTCGACATCCGCATGCGTTTCGAGGAAGCCGCTGCCGCCGAGCTGCAGCAGGGCTGGGACCACGGCAATAAGAAGTCGAGCTTCGAGGTCGATCGTGAAACTGCCGAGATGGATGCCCGCGAGCGCCATGTCCAGGAACTGCTTGCTCGCCCGCGTGTCATGACCGATGCCAAGCCCGCCACCCAAGAGATTGAGATGGACGGCTATACCAGCACCAGTGCCAGTGCTAGTGCCAATGCCAGTGCCAGTGCTCTTGGTGCAGTCCAGTATACTCGTCCTGCGGCTGCCGAACCGATGTCCCCCGATGAAGGCGCCTCGGCGCGCCGCCGCTCAGTCGAGATCCACGAGCTGTTCAGCAAGGGCTTCGGTGCTATCCGAAAGGGCCAACTTAAATAATCGCCTCCTATATGTTACGGTCCCGAGTTTGCCTGTGTGTTATTATGTATATGTATTATGGTGTGGACTTGTGCTTTTTTTTTGTTTGTGTTGTCTTTTCCCTCATAGCGTCTGTTCTCTCCCTTTTTGTTTTGCACTTGGTTTTCCTCCCTTGATATCCATCTCCATGTGCTTGATCATTCCTTCGGTGCAGCAGCGAGGGCTAAAAGGCGTTGGTGTTTTTTTTTTTTTCTTGTCTCTTTTTCCAGCTTGCTCGGTCCTTTTCACATACATAGATACCCCGACTCAGTTGGCAGTCCGGTTTCTGTTTTTGCATTATTGCAGAATTGATCAAATTCAAATTCAACAAGATTTCGAATAATTTAGGGTAGGTTTTTGGCTGTTCAGTCAATTTGTGAGGTGGAGATATTCATTTCCCAGGGAAGATTGATGCCTAGTAGCTGGAGTATGCAAATACGTCCTTGAGCATGTTAGCCAGCCCTTGTGGCCTAGTGGTTATGGCATCGGTCTGTAAGTAATACGGTGTCTCCGAGTTTCATCTGCGCGATGGACATCCAGCTGATTGTGGTTGAAGTGTAAACCGGAGATCGCGAGTTCAAATCTCGTCGGGGGCATGTGTCTACCTATCTTTTTTTCCTTCACTAAATTAATATCAACATTATTGTTGCCCTTACTACTATTCTTCTTTTCTTCTATTTTTTGAATTGCAGAATTACTGTGTGCATAAGGTTCTATGGGTGTATGGATTTGACTAGCTTATTTTGCTGCCATGCTAATAATCATTTACTGGGATTTCTCTAAATTATGTAGGTGTATGCAAAATTGAGGTATCTACGTGTAGATAATTACTTTTTCTTGACCCTTCTATTCCTCTATTCCATGATTTTTATTTTTCTTGATTTTCATCTTTGTTATTCAGATGCATGGGATATTCGATCGAAGGGTCAATTGTATAAAGATTTATAGAACACCATGATCCTCAAAAAGTCAGGACATCACCCCACCAAAGAAACAAGAATATTCTCAAGCCGCAATAATCAACGCAACCCAATCACCATCGAGACCCACCAGCGTGCCCTGCAAAGTACCTGGTCTGGTATTGAGACCAAGCCCTCGGTCATCAAGTTTACCAAAGACACTCCTCGTGTTGTGCATCAAGCTTTGAGCCTCGCCCAGTGTCACTTCAAGAGTCTACAGATTGAGAAGGCTTCGACCGTATACCAGAACGCTTTCAAATCCGTCTTCTCTTCGGTATCTGCCAAGGACGAGCTGGTCATGACCGCGACGCAGGAGCTCGTGTCGTTCTACGAAACGACCTACCAGTTTACGAAGGTGATAGAGACATACCGTCGGCTGTACAGCACCCTGTCGGCCCAGCTTGGCCAGACCGACGACCAGGCTATCCAGGCATTGTATGCCTAGGGCGACCGGGCCACCAAGTACCACCAGGTGGAGGAGGCCGAGACGGCTTATTACCAGATATTTATGGCCTTGAGCAAGAAGGAAACACTGGAATCTCGAGCAGTCTGTGCCGCCCGCCAGTTGTGTACTATCTATGAAGATAGCTAGCGTTGGAAGAAGGCCCAGCAGGTGTACGAGGTCCTGTGGAAGACCTTTGTGCAGCACGGCCAGGACGGGTCCGTGGATAGTCAGGAGATCGAGGCTATCTACTCACAATACTCGGCCCTCCTGGAGCACAAGGCCAAGGCCGACATAAGCGTAATCCACGACCGGGCTGCCAGCTACCACGAAGTCTGTGTGCGAGTGTATGGTGCCTCGCATGTCACCACCTACAAGGCCACGATGAGACTGGCGGAGATCAGATACTTAAGCGAGAAATACAAAGAGGAGTCGCTGAGTCTGTACGAGGCGGTGTTGAAAATGAACGAGAAGTTCTCCTCGTCTGTTTTGACGCGCGAGGTTGTTAAGAGCAGTACGACCACAACTACATCGACTACCAGCGTCATCAAGCAGCATCTTGCTAAGCTGTATTCCAGCAACAGTAAGACGGTTACCAAGTATCTCTCCTGTTACCAAGAAGACTACCAGAGTTTGGTCAAGCAGGAGGGCATCGCATCCCAGACCACCCTCTCGGCGCTGCAGGAGCTGGTGCACTCGTATCACAAACAGAACACGGCATCTTCAACAACCGAGGCTGTGCAAACTCTACAGTCGGCCACTGTATCAGTATTTGAGAAAGAGACCAACTCTCAGCACCTGCACAAGGCTGCACAGTCACTGGCCCATCTGTACACCACGCTAGGCCAGTCGGACATTGCCTGGACTTTGATGCAGTCTCTGCGGATCCGGCTAATCCGCGAGACACCTGGCAGCCAGAAGGAATCAGCACTTTCGCGCAAGGTGACCGTGTTTATTGTGGCCTTCGAGGAGAATTTGTACCAGAAACGGACGTATACGTCGATCATGACGGAGCTCGTCTCCGAAATCAACCTGTACGTGTCGTTCTATGGAGCCAAGGAGAAAAGGGGGTTTTTCGCGATCTTCGTCAGCGGTGTCCGTCTGCTCAACTTCCAGCGCACGCGCAACGCCACCGAAGAAGTGCAGAGACCGACGCCGAGCTCTTCCGCCTGTTCTTCGAGCACTTCTCCGTCAGCAACCAGACCAAAAAGGGCAGCGTGCAGGCCTTCTAACAGATCTGTCTCGCTGAGATATCCAAACGTGACTATGGCGTGCACATCATTGGCAAGACTGTTCGGACTGTGCACCAAGAGGTTGAGCAGGGCCATTTCGCCGAGGCCTATGAGCTTGCTAGTATCCTACACAGGTTTATTCAGCATGTTGATGGCTTCCGCACACACATCAATACCCGGGAAGGCATCCAGCTCGCCAAATATTTGCTTGGTCATGGTATCAAGAAGTCGCCTGATGCTAAGCTGGCGAAGGCAATGTCGGAACTGTTGCGCGCGGTGCTGCAGGATATTCTGTATGTGTACCGGGTCACCGGCGTCCGGTTCACGGACCTGGACGTGAACGATGTCAGCGAAGTGACGTTGCTGCTGGGCGAGCAGAAGAACTTTGAGGATCTGGAGGTATGTAATCCGATATTTCCTCCTCATTCAAGCTTTGAATTCAGTACTAACCCACTCTCCAGCTTGTTCTCACAGACCTCTGGTCCTCCCGTATCGTTCAAAAGACCTGGTCTTCCGACACAATCATCTGGATTAGGCGACGCCTTGTGGAAGTGCGCTTCTCCTGTGGCCGCAAGGAGCAAGCCATCCGGCTGTGCAGCGACCTTTGCTACAACATCGGGCGCGTGTGGGGATCCTTCGATCGGATTGCACTGGAGCTGACCGCGCTGTTGTCGGAACTGTACACGGTGACGGGCAACTACACAAGCGCAATGGCAGTGCATGAGAAAGCACTGCGTCAGCTAGCCCACGCGCACGATGGCATCTCGTCGGCCGAGATGGGGTCAATCGCCGTGCAGCACACGGAGCTGCTAAAGCGTGCCTTCCAGCGCAACGGCGGCCGGGCTAAGGCGCCGCATGTGTACTAGGAGCTATTGCCTAGAGATAGCGACCAACTCAAGGCCGAGAAGACCTAGTCGCAGGCTTCATTCGAGCCTGTTGACAAGTGGAAGCCTGATTCCAAGTCTGTTGATCACCTGGGTCTATGGCAAGCGCCTTCCAGCTATGGGTTTTTGACTGCCGGGAGCGCCAACAAGCGTCAAAACCAGTTGCGCAAGATAAGTACTTCCAAGATACTGGACTCGGTGTTCGCTAATTGAAAGTGAAATTGAGTTCGCAGCGAGTTTCGGGGAATTTGTTCAGTTGTTGCTCGGCGTTGCCTCGATCCCTGCCCTGTAGCTATGCATGTGCGTCTAGATAATTTGGCTGAATCCCGTTTGTTGCATCAAAAGTCAAAAAAAAAAAGTTACTGGGACGTCCCATTCCACAAGTTAGATTGTTGATGCTGTGTATCTCCGGTCCAAAACCCTAGCCCCAGAGATGCTTCTAAAGTCCGAGTACTGCCCTCCCCCGGGTTTTGGCAAATGATTGATGCGCCCCGTTTTATTTTGGTTGCGGTGAAATTTTAATTTCGAAAATAGTCTCTTGTGTTCTGCAACACGAGTCAGTCTGCGCTTTGTTAGTCCTTGACTTGCGCTCGGTTTTTGGACTTCGGTTAAATCCGCCGCCTCGACTTGCGTCTTGCGTTTCTACGACAGCATGCTTACAATTCAAACAGAGATTCTTACAAATGTCGGAATATAGATCTCGGAGATCGACCTCAACATCCATATGCAAATGACATAAATAAGGGCTCTCTTCTCATGTTGTCATATCAACAACCAACAACGACCACTCCAACAATCCATCGCCATGTCCACCAACACCACCGCCCGTCTCCCCAACCTCAAAGACCACGCCTTAATCGGCGATGCCGACAAAATCCCCATCAGCCCAGCAACACCCGTCATCTCCATCAACCCACTCGTGCTCCCAGCCCCAGACCGTATCATCGACCTTCACATCCGCGTCTCAGTCCCAAGCACAGGAACCAACCTTCCGATAATCCTGCTATCCCACGGCCAGGGCCAATCGAACAACCTCTCGTCCCTAAACGGCTACAGCCCCGTGGCGAACTTCCTCGCCGCCCACGGCTTCGTCGTCATCCAGCCAACGCACCTCAGCTCCAAGACCCTAAATCTCGGCCCCGAAGCTGGCGTCGACGCCCCTCTCTTCTGGCACTCGCGTGTCCTCGACATGAAGCTCATCCTCGACCGACTCGACGATATTGAGGCGGGCTTCCCAGTCCTCAAGACGCGTCTTGACCACGACCGCGTTGCTGTTGTCGGCCATTCGATGGGCGGGCACACGGCGAGCATGCTCCTCGGCGCACGCAAGATCAATTCTACCACCGGCCCAGAGGGACTCGATCTGTCAGATCCGCGCATCAAGACCGGCGTGTTGCTCGCTCCACCCGGAGACGGGAACGGCGGCGAGGGACTGACGCCGCTCGTGCGTGAGAATTATACTTTCCTCGCGGAGCACAGCCATGCAGAGATGGCGGGGCCTGCGCTTGTGGTTGTTGGTGATAGCGATGCCTCGGCGTATTTGTCTACCCGTGGCGCTGAGTACCATGCCGATGCTTATTACCGTAGCAGGGGTCCCAAGGCGCTGTTGACTGTTGCGGGGGGATGTCATGGGCTGGGTGGTGTTTCGGGTTATGATACCGCTGAGGCGACGGATGATGAGAGTCCGCAGCGGTTGGCGATGGTGCTGCGTTTGACTTGGGCATATCTTCGCAGTACTCTTTATTCCGGGGATCAGGCTTGGTCGGTTGCTTGTGGTGCTTTGGAATCGCTGCCTGCTTTGGGAAAGGTTGAAAGCAAGTGATGGTCTTGATTGGGGGATTGTGAATTGGGGTGTTATAGCTACAACACAGATACAGCCGCTAGAAGGTTAGCGAGTGTCAATCTAGGTATACTAAACCTTGATCAAATGATATAATTGGTAATATTCGCAAGTTAAGAAAATAGCTCGACGTACAGGGTATCATATAACTTCACAGCATCGCACCAGGAACAGCATTTCAAAAAACCGCACTACTCCCCTTTCTCTTAATCTCAATAGACTTCATCACCATGCCCATGAGATTCATGAACTTGTCTTGAGCCAAAAAGACATCCTGGTTATGCCAATCACTCGTGGCGTCCACAGTTGCTTCAGACGGCTCGGCTCCATGAATAGGGAAATAGGAATGTCCCATAAGAGAGGCCACGTTGCGAAATCCCTTGTGGTTGACACCAAACGGCAGAATCTCCACCATGGTGGACAACGGTGGAAGAAAAATGCCATGAGTCAACCCGGCACCGTGAACCCCGACGAGGACGTCGGTGTGTTGGATAATTTCCAGCTGCTTTTTCAAGGAAAGGGCGGCCAGGTCAAAGGATTTAATAGCGGCCTGCGGGTAAGCCTGTTGTAACTCCTGCAGATATTGGGTCTGGCGGAGGAGCTTCCGCGAACCAGCGCGGTCGATAAAGGTGATGTTGATCTCAAGGCCTGGTCGTGGTTGGGTCTCTCCCAGGCCATACACCCCGATAACCTGATGTGAGAACGCGTTGAGAAGAGCTGAGCCTTCGCACGGAAGGGATTCCCAGTCCCCCTGCCACAGTGGATTGCTGGCGCCGGCCAGCGGGACGATGATGTTTTCAAAAGTGGTATTGGGAGGTAGATCGTGCATGCGCACGGTGGGCTTATCGCCAAAGATAGACCACAGGTCGATATACGGGCCATCGGCATGATCATCGAGCAGAATGGCCTGGGTATTACCCTTGTCGGCCGAAGTAAAAAACGGACGACTGTCGCCTGGCCGCGAGCTCATCTTCAACACGCCCATGGTCAGAGCCACGGAGAAAACCTCCATGAGGCAATGCCAGAGATTATCCACGCCCTCTCGCTTGACGAGGATAGTATAATTCGGCGTCTGGGACGGCACGGAGTTGCCGGGGTCTGCTGCTACATACACATACCGATACAGCACCTCCTCCGGGCCGGTGTCATACCAGTAATTGTGGAATGAACCAAATGGCGGCGGCGCCACAGGAGTTTCCGGGTGAGCCAGATCACCCAACTTGCAATCCATGCGGAATAACGTCTTGGTCGGCGAGAACATGGCGTTCTGGCCGATGCACATGGTGTCCACGCGCTCACCGGCGGTCTGGCTGTGGAAACACGTCAAGGGCGAAGAGGAATTGGGCGTACAGTACTCGGTCGCGGAATCACGCAGGTTCTCCAGGTATCGAACGCTAAAGCGATCGGCACAGAACCGCACTTGTTTGGCCACTGTCGTATATTCCTGGGGCAGAGGCGGATGCGACGCCACCAACGGCTGGGCGACCGCGGTTGGAACGATTGTATGTCGATCTGGGGGGTCCAGGGGCTCCTGAGGGGCGGGGAGATCGGGGAGGTGTTCAAACACAGAGTCCTGGGACTTCAAATCAAACTGGACCTTCGAATCGAATGTGGACAAGTCAGGAGATAAGTCGGGAGAACCGGCGTTCTGTGGTGAGGTAGGGCTGAGCAACCAGAAGATGACAAGGAAAATCATGCCGATCAGGGTGGCCCGCAATCGCCATGATGCACAACTCCACATTTTGACCAAAGACACAAAGACACCTCCTCAACCCGGTCTGAAGGTGCGAGAAAGTAATCTCGAATCGAGAAGAGTACGGAGGCGTCCGTGTATTTATGTCTGCCCTGGAGAACAAGGGGCGCTGTTGGCTCAAGGCCCCTTCCAACTTACCTAGGTATGCGCACAAGGATGCCCCCTTTGGAACGCTCGAAGCGTGATGTGGTTTAGTGTCATCAGTTGTTTTTCTCCCCAGCTGCAACTAGCAGGGAAGTAGCAAGGGTCAGCAGCCTGAATCCTTATATGTACTTAGGTAGACACTTACCCCATGTCAGCTATTTAAGGGCGTGGGGGTGAGCACATATAGGTTGAAGAAAAAAGGGGATGTAAGAAGAAAAAAATAAAAAGAAAGCAGCCAAGCTTACAAGAAATGTGGCCAGCTTTTAATGCTGGTTTCTTTTAGGGTTGTCTGGGAGATGTTGAAAGTACTCAACCCCCCGAGACCCCAAAAGGAAAGAGCCGCATAAACACAACGATCCCGCGAAGTCGAAACGTTGATCTCTATCACTGGGTCTTTCGATTGAAAACATGCCCTGGCTTGACCGGAAAATAGGACCTCGCTTTATAGCCGGGCACTGTCTCTTCTTCAATGGGAATTCCCGTGGGAAGCTCCGTCCCAGCACCGTAGAAAGTTGTGCGGTGCTTGCTGGCGAATGGAAGCTTGAAAACAGAGACTGTAAGGACCGCTTGGCCATATTCACATTAAATCAATGTGGACTCGCGTCGGTTGTAAAGACGATGGATTCTGGGGAGGTGAGGTGAGGATGTCGGAACGTGGGTTGATCCGCGTAGCAGGCATGTTATTGAACCCATCACAGGTTGCCAGACAACAAAAACTAGATAGTCTGTCGGTTGGAAACAACTTGTACACACCAGAGTTAAATTTAGCTAACGCAGTGACGCCCCATCCAACTTGCTTTTCCACCGAGTGTATACATCTCGCTACAGGGAAATTTCGACCCCATGATGCACTACTACTAAATAAAGGAATCCATGAAAAAAGGTATATTTTCAGAGAGAGTGACCTGACATACCTATTGAATAATATTATTGATCTGAAGTTGGTTCATTTGCCAGTAGAGATGATCCCTCCCGAAAGAACAGGGCCAAATTCAATCAACACATCTGACCCTATATTTCCTGAATTATCCTCCATGGAAGACTGGTCACCGTCTGAGTTTATTCACAAGTATGTCTGTTCAACCCTTTCTTTCTCTCTCCCCAAAAACCGCTCGAAACTTCCCAGCTCCAAGCCCCACGCCTTGATCCTCTCCATATCAACAAACTTCGACATGTCGCGCAGCGCAAGCTGCATCCAGATAAATGGGTTTGTCTGACCTTGCTCCTTGATTTCCTCATCCGACAAGAAAGTCGCCTTGAATTCGCGTCCCGTCGCACGCGACAGTCCCTGCATCACCTCGTCCACTGTCAGAAGCTCCGACACGATCTCAACCTCCTCCTGATGAAATTTGACTGGGTCCAAGGTGGCAGCGGCCCCAAATTGACCGATGACATTGGGGTCCACCATGGGAATCAGGGACCCCGGCGTCAAAGAAGTGGTGAATTGGCCGGTCTCGGCAAGTCCCTGATACATTTGGACATGGGGAGCCAGGTGGTTGGTCATGAAGTTACCTGGGCGAAGAATTGTCCAGTATTTGAATCCACCCTCTCGGACTTCTCTTTCAATGACCTGCTTGGACAAAACAACCATGCCTAGGGCGCTGTTGGGATCCCAGTGTGCGAGACGCTCGGGGTCGTTGACGGCCAGCGCGGTGGAATAGATGACATGCTTGATTCCGGCTTTTTTGGCCACAGAGAGAATCATCTGTGCTTGTCTAACTTCCTTGGTAGAATCGGTGAAGCTGGGCATCAGGTTGAGGAAGAGGGTTGTGCAGTTGGTCATGCTGCGCGTCAAGCATTCTTCGTTGTCGAAGTCGCCTTCGGCGATGGAGGCCCCAAGGGACTTCAGCTTTTGGGCGGCAGGCGAATTCAGATTGCGGGTGATGGTATGCACTTGGGCGCCCTGCTTAAGCAAATTGTAGGTGAGGGCGCCTCCCTGGGTGCCGGTGGCACCGCAGACAAAAACGGTTGGCGAAGACATTACGAAATGGTAAAATAGTGAAGATAAATGAAACACAAAGCGACGGTACTCAAAGTCTTGTCTATACAAGACCAAGGTCCTTTATATCTTTCGTTAAGTCCGACGCAAGTTGTATCTACGAGCGGAACTCCACCTTCCCGACCGGGATATTCTTTTAGCGTGCGGAATTCCGCTAGCCGATCTGGATCCACCGCAACGCCTCCTCGACTTTGCTCGTCGCACGGTTTTGCTCTTCTCCATCCACCCGCCATGTATGACCCACTGCATCAAACCACAGCCCCGCCACGGCGGAAGTCCTGTGAAGCATGCAAGACGGCCAAGCGGCGCTGCGACCTCGCATTTCCCACATGTTCGCGATGCACTCATAGGAACGTGCCGTGCGTCTATCCTGGAAGACAGCCTCAACCTAACCTGGATATGATCACCGAGATTTCCTCAATTCTCGACTGTCCCGGAGAGCTCCCACCTCTAGATTTAGTTGAGTGCACCGCCGAAGCCGACCTAATTTCTGGGGGCATCGAGGCACAATTAAATCATCTTGACCCGCTCCAAATGCTAGCGACAGAACCAACCCTAGATCTAGAAATATCACCCAGCTTTGAATTGACCGTGCCAAGGGCGGCCCCGCCGAAGTCACTTTCGGGTATCATAGCTTCGCGGCTGCAATTCGCCATTGATTTGATCAAGGATGCCCCGCGGATGATGGTCGCCGAGAATCAAACTCCGTGGTGCCATCGTCAGCTGTATAAAAACGGCATGCCGAGAGTGATGCAAGGTCAGCCCGTCACAGTATACTCGGGGAGACCAATCCACCGTCAGATCTCTTTCAAAACTAATCCTCGCTAGATGCCTATACATGCTGTTCTCTCCATCTCAACAAGAATGAAATGAATGCGCCGGTGGTCATGTCGATACTGGAGTCCCGCACCCGCGATCTTCTATCATCACCGATCCCAACATCCCCACTCGACATCCTCGCCCGCACGCAGGCGATTATCCTTTATAAGATTATGCATCTGTTCGATGGCAATACCCGGTCCCATTTCGCTATTGAATCGCTCTCTGCAGCATTAGACTCCTCAGCAATGTCACTTCACGGCTATCTTCATTTCCCCGATCCCTCTCACCCGACACAACTCTTCCCGACATCCATGGAACCAATTATGAACTTCTGGGACACATGGATCTTCCAAGAATCCGCGTGGCGGACTGTCCTGCTCACACTTTATTTCCATCAAGTATATAATGTGCTGCAGGGGAGGATACCGACGGTCTGTGATGGGAAACTGGGACTCACCCACGCGTGGTACCTTTCCGCGCATTTGTGGAATTCTCAGAGTGCGTTTGACTTTGCAATCGCCTGGATGGAGAAACCACATTTTGTGGTTTATGATGCGGATTTCTCGAGCGTGTTGTGCGATGCGCAGCCGAGTGATGTGGATGTGTTTGGTCGGATGTGGTTGGTTACTCTTCTAGGCATTGACGAGGCCAAAGCTTGGTTTTATTCACGAGGGGCTCTATTGTGAGATTGAAAAGAACTTATCATCTAATTGAGTGGTATTAAATAGAAAGATCAATAACACATAGGCACTGTTGCTATGAGCGAGAATGAAGTATAGACTCAACCCATCATATGCAATATTTCTCAAGTCTCCCACAGAACAGTCCAAGTACCCAGAGGCTCAAATCATACTGCGCTCGGTTCGAGAATGATCCATCAACCTGCGGGGCAAAGATGGGCACTTCCACGATAGACCGCTACAAGGCCGATCGCAGGCAACAGCTCCACTGAGGCTCTTGCGCGAGGCTGCAGAGTCATCGTCCATAAATTGGCAGTCGATTCTCGTTTTTACGTGACATCCTAAATTTTATTTTGTTTTGACTCTTCCTATTTTCTTTCTTCTGACAAGACAATCTAGCATTGGAGGTGGGCACAATAAACAATGCCGCCCGCCGACTCCTACCTATCACGAACCCTCCAATCGCTAACCCAGAGCAAGATCCACGAGCTGGGCAAGCAATGCGATGCATACGAATCGCAGAAAGCAGAAATCCTCGCAGCTGCCGCACAGTGTCACAGCCAACGGGACCGCGTGGCGCAGATCCTGGCAGGCACAAAACGACTGTTCCCGCGGGCCAGGTGGGACGAGTCCGTTCGAAGCATCGAGCGTTGGGTCGACCAGGCTCGCTATGACTCGACCATCACACCCGAGAAGCTGGATGGCTTCGAGGCACACTTGCTTGGCCGGCTCGATGCCCACAGTCGCAAAATGAGCATGGCGGACCTCTATTCGCGTCTCCTGACCGAGTGGATAAGTCCGCCTTCGAAGGAAAAGGAGAATACAGCTGGCAGTCCAAGCGATGAGGAGGATTTTCTGGTTGTGGATGAGCGCCAGAAGGAGAGGCTGAAGCAGCTGTGCGATCGGTTTGAGGCGACTGTCTTCGAGCCGCGTGAGGCTGATCCTACGGAAATTACTACGTTTCTCAATGGTCTTTTCCCAAGTGAAGAGAGCCTCAAGCCACTTGAAGAGATGCGGGAAACTATTCGGACTCGCATGACGAATATCTGGGAGGACAAAGAACCTTTCGACATCGCGTCGCTCTCCCAATGTATTAAGGGTCTTAGAAATGAAGATATCCTTAGCGAGGAGAAGCAAGAAACCCTCAAGCTGTTTCTCAACAGCAATGTTGCTCTAACTGAAATCGCCGACGTCCTGAACATGCGGTATGCCGACCTACGGAACTGGGATTGGCATGCAGGACCAGACGGTGTCCCTGTGCTGCCCCGGCAGCAACTGAACGGCAAATACCGAATTTGGATGGATGAGGATGTGCTTCAAACTATTTTCATGGAGCATATCTGTATGCGGCTCTGCGGCATGCTCAAAGAAGTCCTCAAGGACTTCATCCGGACACGCTCGGTGTGGACGTTTCATCAGCGGCAGCAGATGGACTCGAATGATCGCCTTCGACGGCAATACTACTGCGGCTATAGCGGCCCGAGTCAGAATGTGAAAAATCTCCGCCGGGATGAATTCATCGACACCTATTTCCTCTCGCAGCTGCCATCCGACGAGACTTCGTTGGCAGATCGTGGAGGTGGGTACGACGAAGACAACGAGGTCGGAGACCAGAGCACTCCGCCAGAGGCGCGGCGAAGTGTCAAGCAGGAGCTTCTGAGGAAGATTGTCACTGAGACCCTTCTCCAGCATCGACTCCATGGACAGGCAGCAGTAGTGCAGTCGGATCTGCAGTGGTACGCCACGTCTCTTCCACACAGCACTGTCTTCACCATCTTACAATTCCTCGGTTTTCCCCCTGAATGGGTCGATTTCTTCCGCAAGTACCTGGAGACCCCGTTGAATATGGACAAGTCCTTCGAGGGCCATGAACAGACGGGACCTCGCAAGCGTCGAACGGGTATCCCCATCGCGCACGCGTCGGAGAAAGTCATTGGTGAATTGATTCTGTTCTTTATGGACCTTGCAGTCAATCGCGAGACGGGCATGCTTTTGTACCGGCTTCATGATGATGTGTGGCTCTCTGGCGACCCAGCCAGATGTGCGCAGGCATGGCAGGTCATGCAGACGTATGCCAGGGTCACTGGCCTACAGTTCAACAAGAGCAAGTCTGGATCAGTCTGTCTAGGAGATTCGATTGATCCCCATGTTCTGTCTCTGCTGCCTGAAGGCCCCGTTAGAATCGGGTTCTTGATGCTGGATGCCGCATCGGGGCGCTGGGCAATCGACCACTCTCAGGTAAATGCGCATGTGCAGCAGCTCAAGACGCAGCTCGAGCACTGCGACAGTGTGATCTCGTGGGTCCGCACCTGGAACAGCTGTATCGGACGGTTTTTCAAGAACACCTTTGGCCAACCTGCATACTGTTTCGGGCGACCGCACGTCGACGCGATTCTTGCCGCGTATGAAGATATGCAAAAGACTATTCTTGACACTAACGGCACACACACCCAACAAACCTTGACACAGCATCTCCGAGAGATGATTCAGGCCCGTTTCGATGTATCCGATATCCCCGACGCATTCTTCTTCCTGCCCGAGGAGCTGGGCGGGCTGGGCTTGCGCAATCCGTTCATCTCGGTCCTGTTAGTGAGCAACCAATTGAGAGACCCGCCTCTCAAATTGATCAAGGATTTCGTGGCCGAGGAGCGTCATGAATACGCCATTGAAAAGAAACTGTTCGACGACCTCTCCAAACAAGCACGCTGGAAACGGCTTGATAATATCCATCCCCACGGCGCTGTCAACGTCAAGCCAGTTGTCAGCCAACGAGAGATGGACACCTTCATGAGCTTTGAAGAATACACCCGGTTCCGTGAGGAAACAAGTCCGCAATTTACCAAGCTCTATCAACATCTCCTTCAAGTGCCAGAGCCAAATGGTGTTGAACTGAATGACTCGGACAGGGTTCCCATGGCGGTGAGGGACATTCGTAGGCGGTTCCGTCTCAAGAATGAGGACCCGGAAATGAGGTGGATTTTATATCTGTATGGGGAGGATTTGCTGTCCCGCTTCGGAGGGTTGAACTTGGTCGACAAGCAGTTTTTGCCTATGGGGGTGTTGGATATGATCAAGGGAAAGAAGGTGAAGTGGCAGATGGTCCTGTAGCAGTGGCTCGGTTTGATCTATGCTCGAATCCCCGAAGGAACAGCTTCTTATAATGGAAATATAATTCACGCATCCGGGGCCCTATTCACAAATAGAAATACATATGGGAAAGAGAAAGTATCTGTAAGTATATATAAACAATGGATGCATACATTTCCACCCGATTCCCTCCCATGCTGGGCTCATAACCAAGCCCTCCTTCAGGCAAGCAATTGCCTTCTTATCCAGGGGATCCTTCTTGTTGAAGCTTTGCTTCTTGCGTTCAGCACTGGACCAGGTCGTGGTATCGTAACTATTACCCCCGATAGCACCGGGGACCGGTGTGTACATGCATTTGTAACCCCTGAAGTTCTTTGTTCATTGCCAGGGGTCATTATTTCTAGCCTCAGGTGCAGGGAGCTGGACCTTGCCTACGTTTGCCTGCAATTCCTCAAGGCGGCCTTACATGCCCGATCCGGACAAGTCAATGCCGTGCTTAGTGGCATAGGCATAGACCCGAGCATCGGCATTATCAAAGCCGTCCTCCCACGTCGAATCATTTGCAAGCTGGATCCAAGACGCCATGGTTGCGCGGAGACTCTTGATTTCCGAGTCCGGCTTCAGGAGATCGTTGCGTTCCAGAGTGGCCAAAATAGCGAGGAACGTGGTTCCAAGCAGCTAGCAAAGGAACATCACATGGTCGCCATCCTCAGACCTGGGTGATTCAATTCCGGATGGACATCTTCCGGTGATATTAAGACGAAGAGGTAGACATGGAAAAAAAAAGGGGGAGTGGGGGAAACACATATACATTGGGTCGGCCAATCCACGGAGGAAGAACATGACTGTCCCTGTCCCCTCACAGACAGCCCACTGCTCTTTCCAGTTGTACTTGGCCTCGTCGAAATCCAGCAGCACGTTTTGCACCAACTCGGTGATACCGTAGGCGTAGAAGTCGTTGTAGACATATATGCCGAAGTTGTCCGGATCACGAAAGAACGTCTGGTTTTGCAACGCGACAAACTTCTTGAGGCTTGCCGAGGTCATGACCCAAATATGCTCGGGGTTTTCGGCCGATGGCTTCATGCAGACACAAGGCTTGCCGCTATTGCGAGTCCAAATAGCATTCTTTTGTGGGGCTTAGCGTCCAGATAAAAATGATTGATGGAATGTTCATTACTAACCTTCTGCGGGTCGCTGGCCTTTCCTGCACCACCATCTTCTTGTTCCTCTTCCTCTTCGGCCTCAGATGCAGGGCGATAGCGTGGGCAGATTGCGGAAGGTCCTGCACACAGAGATACTAAGCCTCCTCTGGATCGCCCGTCGCCATCCGATATTCTGCGTCTGCGTTTCCAGAGGCAGATATCTTTTCTCAACGAGCGATCCGATAACGCGCTGCTAGGGCTACAGTGTCGTCACCATCGGTTTTGGACTTCTTAGGCGCGCCGCCGGACCCTGTATCCGACTTGCGTTTAGGAGGCATGGTGAAGATTGATTGCGCAGCAAAACAAATGTGAGCGTGGAAAGCAGCGAGTCGGCAGTTTAAGACGTTAGACGGAGGATTTTGTTTCGCGTAACGTCATTAATGATCGTCAGGGGAGACGCGATATCGTGGCGTACGCGATTCAGGCCCTAAACATAGTGGCAGAACAAAATTATTAATACCCGGCACTATAACCATATATTACCTAGTATTCCACAGTTCTTCTATTTAAGAACCCCTATAAATCACTTACTGATATCTCTCTAAGTATTGCTTTACGATATCAATATATGTTAATTCTCTTGGCTTATAATGAAAGATTTTTTATTCATGGACAGGAACTCCCAACGGCCCTAGCCATATTAGGTTAGTGTGGCCGAGTGGTTAAGGCGATAGACTAGAAATCTATTCCGTTCGCGGGCACAGGTTCGAATCCTGTCGCTAACGTTTTGATGGTTTTTTGGTTGAGGTAAATATTCTTTTTCTTACTATCCAAGGCAGTTACTTTGGTTTAAGAGAAAGGAAGTTTGGTACCCGGTATCTTAGTCAGTGTGGCCGAGTGGTTAAGGCGATAGACTCGAAATCTATTTCGTTCGCGAGCACAGGTTCGAATCCTGTCGCTGACGGTCGTTTGTTTTTGTTTTCTTTTCTTCCCTCTCCTATGTATTTAAAAATTTTGTTATTTCGCCTTTTTCATCACAACACCGCATCTAAGACGCTTGCTTCGATATCCGGGTTACGGCAATATAGATACGGGATAAGGGCCGGGCGCTATAGGAAGTGGGTCATAAGGAGCTTCGACGGCACTCGGCCTCGGCTCTGGATAGTCAGGCGGAATTGTGGCTGAGGTACACTACGCGGCCAAAAGTCTGGGTACACTCTATAATTCAGATTTACCCCACCATATTAAAAACTGAATAACTCCCCTAATATTAATTAATATAAATTTATACTAAATATACAAAGAAAATAGGTCAATATCTAGTATACCAACCCTTCGCTACGCATATAGTAACTATTCTGCGAGGCATAGATCGAATTAAGCTATTAATAACGGTTTGATTAAGTAGTTCCTATACTTCGTATATAGCATTTTTAAAGATCTTTTAGTCTAATTTAGACCTTCTATTACCTAGCTAAGGGTATAATTGAAGAGCTTTAATCTTCAGAAGTCGCTATACTAGTTCAATAGGGTTAAGATTAGACAAATACGGAGGCACACAAGCCTGCTTTCGAACCGAAAATAAAATTCACCAGACGGCACACGATCCTGAGAAAGACTTTAAATATTCTCATTAATATCTAGTATCGCAGAAATATCGTGATGGTGTGACCATTATGAAAATTGATTTCGTTGACCCTGAGAGATGGGATAATGATTATTATTGGCAGCAGATAGCACTTACCGTCGGTATCGGGGATCTTCATCTATACGCCAAGTGGGACCAATATAAAGCTGCAGGCATGAACAGCCGGTCCAATTTTATCAAAACCTGCGCTGAAGCGATGCGTTTTGTCTGTCACCGAATGCTACTGGAGCATAACAGTATCAAAAATATATGAGTGGAAATGGAGGATGATTTCGAAATAGATGTCCTCAAAAAAATTCGAAGAGTGAAAGAGAGAAGTCGCACAATCTGCAGGGGTGCACGAAAGGATGCCGAGTTCTTTGCGTTGAACGCTGGGCTACCCGGGATGATTATCAACAAGTTCCGCCCAATGGGCCAGAAATTCCTCTACGCAAAAGGGGAGATGAATTGCATGACGGCTTGGTATCCTCTTCTTAAAGAGCTCTTGTGGGTCTTCTCTTTTGGAGGAAAACCAAAGACTGAATGTGAGCCGCTGCCTCCGTATCCTGGGTTTGAATAAAATGGCCCAACACTGCTTAACAAACAATGCTATTCGTATAAGAAAACTGGAACGATATAGAAAATAAACCACTGATCGATTTCACAAGCTGATCCCGCCAAAGATCATAGCATTGTGTAGTACGATTGTATATTTCATTCTCGAGATCCTTCAGTGGACTTTCACCTTTTCCTACGGAATATTCGCTGGGGATTGCCGTTTCGATTCTATACTAAGGACCTTCAAAAATCACACCTCGAAGACGACCCCCACCTTCAAATAGTGCTAGAATGCGGTATAGAACCGCAATATCCCCGTCGGCGAGATACTCGCCGTAATAGTTTCGAAATTGTTGTCGAGGGTGCGAATCCGGAACATCGTATTTCAGTTCTGATGCGATTATCTCCGCATCGTAAACATCACTCAAATACTTTGCCCAGACAGCAATCACCACTATATTCTGGTGGCCTTTGTTTTCTTTTTCCTCTCGCTATTACATCGCCCGGCTCCGGCTGCAAAAGAAGGACACTAATTACGTTGGTATTTTCGTCTATAGAAGATGGCTGCCGAATTATTGCGGCGTTAACGCACCGATATTAGTTGTCCTATACGCACCCAAAACGAGTATTGCGGCGAACCTCCACACGGAAAGAGAAGCCACAGTACCTGGTCACGGGGTAGAGTACGAAAGCCCCGCCTGGCCATATTGACTCGGAACGGGTCACGCTAGGCTTAGGGGTTATCTTCACCGGATTGACTAGAGTGATAGTGATCTTTGTGTTTTCTTGTGTCGTTTTGTGTCGTTGAACGCGAAGCAGCGTCATGTGTCCTCTATTGCTCCACGCGGTGGTGAATAGCAACGCACCTCAAAAGTTAAGATAAGGATTGAGTTGTTGAAGCGGCTACTACATTTACAGCGGGGAATAAAAACCGAGGGATGATAGAAGAATGTACAAGGTAGTGAAGATTCTCGCTGCTGAGAACCGACTAGGTATACGTATTAAACGGAGCAGAGCACATTACCCAAGTTACTGTATACAGCCAAGGTCAGTAAAAAGAGTAATATGATCAGGGAATTACTATGTGCAATATATTGTTGATGGGGAGACATACAAGTCGCAATTAGGTAAAGAAAGCAAGATATTCATACCTTGCCATCTTCATGAATCTTTGATATAAATAATTAGGAAACAGAGTGCTTGCCTAGGTAGAGGTTCCTAATATGTTTAGGCATTTATAAGAAGGTAATAATTACTGCTCCAGACCTCTCGGTCAAGGTGATGTTCGCTGGCCTGTCAGTGTAGTGCGCGTGCAGGCAGAATCTAGGATTAGGGCTGGTAACCTGAGTAAAGGTAGCAAGTCTTAGGTAGTTAAAATTACGAAATTATTAAGTTAATTGAACTATTTCTTTTAAAGAAATAAAAGAGAATAAAAAAACGTCAGCGACAGGATTCGAACCTGTGCCCGCGAACGGAATAGATTTCTAGTCTATCGCCTTAACCACTCGGCCACACTGACTTGTGATAGGTTAGCTAAAAGTCTAGCCATATAAGGAAGGATATGAGTCTACCCAGATAAAGAAGAAAATTCAGACGGTCTAGGACACCTGCCTAGAAGTGTCTGGCAAAAATTCAAGAATTCATCGTCAGCGACAGGATTCGAACCTGTGCTCGCGAACGAAATAGATTTCGAGTCTATCGCCTTAACCACTCGGCCACACTGACTAATACATTGTTGAGTTAACTTTGTGTTCTATCAACCAATTAATACAATTAATAATAAATCAGTGTTCGCGCTATCTGGATAGTCAATAGGAACCCTTAGTGACAATAACCTTGAACTTTTTCTTTATTATTATAAATCTATAGTAACCACCACTATTAATTATACTTTTAAGCTCTAAATACCAGACAAAGCTAGTATTTCGTTAATAGATATACTAATACTGGTAATATTGTTCTAATAAAAATAATTAATAAAAATTCAGAACAAAAAGAACGTCAGCGACAGGATTCGAACCTGTGCCCGCGAACGGAATAGATTTCTAGTCTATCGCCTTAACCACTCGGCCACACTGACTAAGGATGAAAAAACTTTGCTAACATAATATGATAGACCAAAACAACTTTTGAAGTCAATCTATAAAGTTGCACCACTTTCTTTGGACTCATAACATCAACCACAATGCTATGTGTAGAATAGGTGCTCGAATTTAGCCTGATACTATTACCGCAGTTGCCCTTTACTCTTTAGTACTCTTTATTTTGTCCTAGCTACAGCTGTTGACGCATAAATATAACAAATATATTCAATATTCAAAGCAGGGTGACCCCGGTGAATGCCCGGTCCTCGGGATCGTTGGCTGAGTCTCAGCCTGGGGAGACCGCTGCGGATTAACCTGAGTCATTGCGATACCCCAAGGCCGCTGGTGACGGATATTCTCAATGACATTGATCGCATATCCGAATCCTCGCTGGCTGAGTATGTCCCCAGCGATCTGCCGAGACTAGCACAGAGTTTTGGATCATCTTGATCGAACTGATTTCCAAGCGCCTCCGACTTAACAAACTTGACATGTGTATGTTGATATTGGAAGAGCTGCAAAAGATGTACACTATCGCGTCGATCTATCTTGCAATCTTCTCAAAAGTCATCCAGCAAACCTGTCCTGGGTATCAGATAAGCACGGCCGAGTCAATCCAGACTGACACTACGGATGATGCTGCAGCTGGGCTTGCCGTGAGCCACTTAACCGATAACTCAGTTCCTGCCAACAACCGCATGGGGCAGGATGAAGCTGTGTGTCTGTCCTGCAATATCGGAAGACTTTATCAATGCTGTGATGGACGAGGCCTCAATTTTCGATTTCTGGGAAACGTGGAATAAAGGATGAAGGATTGACTTGGGAATAGAGATTTGAATGACTGAATTCTTTCCCTAGAACCAACCGAGTTGAGGGGGGACAAAGTAAGAAATAAGCGACTTGTAATAGATAAGCATTTGTATATTATCAGAAAATAAAGTAAATACATCTATCAAACCATAACTCGTTTCGTGTCTATCTCGTTCATGTCCCATCCTCGTGACAGTCAGTATCGCAGTAGTCGAATTTCATATGGCAGCCATTTTCGAAATCCAGTGTTCCACAATGCCCAATTCCGTTGTGGACATCCTCGTCATACGTCCAATCGGCACTATCATTTTGTAAGTGATGGACCAAAAGTGCGAGGATATCAATGGGAGTCACTTACTAGTATTCGATCTGTTGTCTAGTGAACCCGAATACGTTACTGTTGTCACACCAGTATTTGAGTAGACACGATCCAGGGTGAGGGCTGCCATTGCCAGAATGGCCATAGACGGTTGAAGTCCACCGCAACCACTTGTCGTTGTTGCCTACGCCGCCAAGCGCTTTCATAACAGGCAAATTACCCGCAGCCCTTTTGCAGGCATCTGGCTGGACCTCGTCACACATGCTGGACCCATCAGGGTTTGTGTCCGGGGTTTCCATAGGCAGTTCCTCCTGCACAACGGTGGATTTACCAGCCGGCGTGAGCGACCCTAACCCGTTGGTGGTTTGGGCCGTGTAGTAGATGATCTTGGCCAGGCTATCAGCCGACACAGCGGTGGGCTTGAATACAGTCGAGGTTGCGTAGGGTGTGGTCCAGGTGATCGAGCCGGGGTATGTCTTGTACTGTTCGCAATGTCCCTCGCTGGCGGAGACCGAAGTGAACATGGTTTGTGTGTCGGTCCTATCCCCAAAGGTTGTTGAAGTCACCAAGGAGCACTGGCAGCTTCCCTGGCCAGGACTGCCCTGGTGCAAAAAGTCGGTTGGCCCTCCGTTGTAATCGCAAGGAGGGAGCCACGTGGAACTGGGGCTAGGGCTAGCACTCGATGTGGAGCTCGAAGACTGGGACGTCTTGGGCACAGTCTTGAAGGTCGACGTCCTTTTTTGGCTACCTGTACTGCTGAGATCGCTCATGTCACTGGTCATCGAGCCGGTAGCGAGACTGAGCGAACCAGACTTGACACGACGGGAGCTTGCACTCGCCGATGAAGGAGGACCGGTCGTCGAAGATTTGGGGGTTTTTGATGTCTCCGATGCCTTTGAAGTCTTTGAAGGGTTGGATGTATGGGGTGGCGTGTATGTCCCTGACAGGTTGAGGGTAGGGGGGCTCGAGGTAGGACGGCGAGTGCATGCTTGCACGGACGAGCTGGGTGTCGAGGTCGATGATGTGGATGAGCGAGAAGACGACGACTTGCTGGACGATGTAGATGACGACGACTTGCTGGACGATGTAGATGATGTGGACTGGCTGGAAGATTTAGAGGATGACGAGCTACTGGACTCGGATGATGAAGAGCTGCTCGACTCCGACTCTGTCGATGACGAGGACGAATCGCTGCTGCTGTCATTATCATTTTCATCATTTTTTTCGTTCTCAGGATTCTTCTTCGCTTCTGTGGTGCTAGAACCCAGACCCGCCAGAGTCTTTCCAAGGCTGCCGAGACCGCCACCGATTGTGTTCGCGATGCTTCCGAGAGTGCCGCCTCCACCGCTGATGCCTTTGGAAATGTTGTCGGTCCAACCGCTGATGGTGTTACCAATATCCTTGGCCTTGCTAATGGCATCGATGCCTGCGGATCCCTTGAGAGCATTTTTGCCCAAGTTGAGGACGCCGGCCAAGATACCACCACCATCGTGATTATCACCGCCGCTGTCGTCTTTCTTCAGGTTCTTCTCCACGTAGTCTTTCACCTTTTGGGCGTTTTGTTTCGTTGGGCTGTCTTTGAACTTCGCGAACAGCTGCGAAGCGGAGCTAGCCTTGGATCCAAAGGCCACGAGCATGTCGAGGTCGTGCTTGGGTCCAGTTGCCGCGGCAGCCACTGCAGAAGAGGTGATTGTCGAAGGATTGTGATCGCCTGCCTGGGTGATCACAGTTGGAATTGCCGTAGTGGTGCCGTCGATGGTTTTGATCGTGCTGGTGTGAATTGTCTGGCGTGCCGAGGCAGCAGCAGCATTGTCCGACGATTGAGATCCCTTCTGCGTGCCCGAGGCGGAAACACCACTGTCCGAGGGTTTAGATCCACTCTTAGTGGCCGAGGCGAAGCCATCGTTGTTCGATGGCTTAGGTCCATTCGGGGTGCTCGAGCCGGAGACAGAATTGCCTGATGGTTTGGGCCCGTTCTGGGAGGTGCTGTGATCGTTGGGGTTGTTAGGGCTAGGGCCCCTTGATGATCCTGCGGCACCAGCGGCATTGGTGCCTGCAGCAATGTTAGTATCCGACTTGGTTATGAAAACCAGATTGACCAGATCTTACTGTGGGGCTTGGGCGGGTTGGACGTGTGCGCACCGGCACCAGCTAGGGGGTTGGAAGTAGCCTTGGGAGGGCCAGTTGGTGCGTTCGAAGGGGTGCCTCCCGGGCCGGGTGGTTGAGTACCAGGTTTTCCACCGGACTGAGTGCCAGCTCGTCCAGTGCTGGCAGGGTTAACAGGGCCATTTGATTGTGGACCACTGTGAGGATTCGCCGTGGGTGTTGAGGAAGCATTCCCAGTGTGGGCATTCGCAGAGGCCGATGGAAGGGGAACTGATCCGCTATTGCCAGCCGAGTTGGCGCCGGTAGCCTGGCTATCAGAGATCGTTGTGAACCTGCCGGCAGTCGTGAGATATGTGTCCCCAGCGAGAGCGAATGCCTCGCTGGCTAGGAACAAAAGAGCCACTGAAACCCTCATGATCCGACTTGGACGTCCCTTGACGATGGGTTGGGATATTCGGTAGTCGACAGAAGACTATAAGACACTACAAAGTAACAAAAAAGGATCAAAACGGATTTTGCTTGGCTTTATTTCAAGCACCATGCACGGTCCTTGGGAATGGGGCTCAATTTTTCGGGTATCAGGTACCAAATTTCGTCTTTATCCATTTACAGCATGATATACGACCTCAGCATCTTCTCATGCGATAAATAGTAGTGATCGGCCTGCGCTTTCTCCCACAACAACACTAGCCTATACTTAGTGACTTATTAGCGTACAACTTTCCAAAGTTTGCTTGCTCGCAGGCCCCCACGTCGATTAGAGTACGTTTAGGGGGCCACCGGGGGCCACCGGGGGCCACTGGGGGCCAACTCGACTTGGAATGTGGGCTCATCTGAAAATATCCTGCCTATTGACGAATTTCTGGAGAAACGTGTCTGAAGGGTGAATGATGGATCCGACCTCGTCACCGAATGCACCACAGGCTGTAGACGGTATATCAAGACAATGGAATCAAAGTGACCCAAGAGCCTGACGTGTTTTTAATGCAAAATCCACTTATCCAGCCTCGTGTCCCCAGCTATGATTGGTTGATACTATTTTAGGGTAATACTAGGGTAGTCTAAACTCGCTCGGGCCCTTTAATAGGCCAGAAACCCTAGTAATTAATGTATAGCACAAAACTAAAAAAAGTATCCACTACGCTAGTGAGAAACATCCTTGATCTGGTTTTTGAAATAATATCGTGCATGTGTTTAGCATCTGCGCTTTAGGTCCCAGAGTGATAATAATTCCCATTGACCCACGGGACAAGTATGACCATAGTCGTCTTACCTGACCCTTGCATTTCTTAGAATATACAGATTTATAAGTTGCACAAAATACTCCGATTTATTTTTAATTCTATCCATGTCCTGTGGCTAGACAGCCAAGAATTCCCACAATAGAGCTGAGTTGCTTTGATTGCACGAGTGCTAATATCTAAATATGGAGTGCAGAGTTCCACGTAAGAAGCTTGGGGGCTGTTCACAGGTATGAGGGCTGTGTGGGGGGATCAGGACGCGCAGATGCTAAGCTCGCGATCAGGTGATGCTTCGAGGTTATTACCCATCTGGTGAGGCCGCTCAGGAACGTGCTCGATTCTACGCCGTGAGTAGGAAAAAATAGCATTTTAAGATGGATTTAACGCAAGATCCCCGAGGCGAGGGCAAAAGGCAAACCTATCCCCTCAAAATGACCTGTAGCCCACAGCTTCTATATTAAGGAATTCTAGTTGGGCCTTTTAATATTAATTATTGTGTGAGCTCTAGTAAGATTCTTAAATGCTGATTCCATATATTTCAGTATTATAGTGAAAAGAACGTGAAATTAAATTAAACTCTTAAAAATTTTCTGGTATGTGTAGTACGCAGGAACCCTCCACCCTTGGAAGATTACACTCCCTTAGGTATGTTTTCTTGTCATTTTTATTTTCAATTTTTATTTTTAGCAAGTAGGTGTTTTCACCTGGGCACGGCCCTTCTAAGGATAACACTCCATTAACGGTTTCCTCTGCTATATCTATTATTATCATTGTTGTTGTTGTGGTTGTTATTTAAATCTCTTATATATACTGTCTAATGTGATATTAGAGTGGGAAGAGGGGCCTAAGGGTGGAATGGCTGAATCCTTTATCGAAGATCGTAAAATAAGAATAATCCTTCAGAGAAAATAGAAATTTCTGCTGCAGCAGGAAATTCAACACCAAAAAGGTTGCATTTTGAACTATTACATTAATTCTTCTTTTCAAATAGACTAGTTTTTTAAACGATATAAAGAAGGCTTTTGAATGGCGTTTTTTTCAGGGGTAAATGGAGTCCTGAGGCAATTTCTTATTTGGAGCGGGGTAATCCGGATTACTTTGTGGGTATTTCTTCTTCCTTTTCCTCTTCTTCTTAATGATCGAAAATCAGCTTGACCTTTAAAGTTACAATACTCTCCCGCTTTATATAGTCGAAGACAGATATTCGCTGCCATTTTTATCAAACTATCATAGCGACATTTTTCGTCGCACCCATAGCTGACAATCCTCCCACAAAGGATCCATGGTCCCTAGTTCATCCAGTAACTCTGATACCAAAGCTCGACCGGAGTTCCGAGCCCACCAGTGGCTCCCATCCAGCTCACCAAGAAGGACACCCCAGTACATAAGAACCAGCAACGAGAACGGTTGGCGACATTGTAGGCTATTCACAAAATTCTTATTCACGGCAGCAAGCCACGCCAGCACCGGAGCAGGATCGGCGGAGTGACCGAACTTCATGAAACAGTGCCGCAAATGAGAAATGACCTCTTGGTTGATGCAATACTGACTAGCATCAACCTTGCCAACCACCTTATCGTTCAATATTGTGAGCTGGTTGAATGCCGTCTCTGTGTCAGCATCGAGCTTTGTAGAAATTCCTTTCCAGAATTCACCCTGAGAGAAAAGCTCGAGGTTGATCCACAACTGGCCAACGGAAAGAATTTTCTTCACGCCTTGGAGGAGCTCAAACACCGTGATGATGTTCTCGGTCATCTTAGGACTGGTGTTCCTCGTGGCCGTTAGCTGTGGCAAAGCGATGCTAATCGCGATGGTTATGACAGACTGTGCAAAGATGGCATCGCAGTTCTGTGGAGCGATATTGGCTATTGCCGTCCGAAAGGGGGTGAAACTTTGGTTGTGGTACCGCAGGCCTGTGTCAATATAGACCAGTGCCTTGGGCGGCGCCTCGAGCGTCGTGGCGATATGCAGAGACGCCAGTGCCAGAATTCCGTTCATTAGGTACCGGTAATCAAGCGCAAGACGCGGCACAATCATTTGCCAGACATGGATTTCCGATTCACTGACGCAGAGGCTTCGATAAGTCTCTGTGGAGAACTTGTGCATCAGCTCGAGGGGGTCAACAGTGCCACTGCTGGGCGAATTTGAAGTGCTTGGTGAAATATTTTCTAAAACGGCTGCGGATTTGAAGCGTTCTTTGGAGGGAGAAACGGGGTCCTCTGGATTTGCGCGTCGGGTATTTGCCAGAAGACGCGCGGGTGGAACTCTGGAGAAGGTGCAGCCATCCAGTCCCCGCAAAATGCAATTAGTGCACGGGGGACCGGTTTCATCGCACTTGACCCGTCTCTTCCGACAATTATCGCAGCCGTAACGAGACTTGGTGTGGGGTTTACGAACAGACATTGTAGGATCAATTTGAGATGAAGCTGTTCAGAGAAGTCCAAAGAGACTCAATATGCCAAGTCACATGATACATGCTCCGTCGTGCGGGGGGCAAGTGACTTGGAACATAAGAGAAAAAAAGAATCGTAAGTAGATTAAGAGATGAATAAATCATAAAGTAAATATACATATGGGTACTGAAAGCTCTAGTTTGATGGATTCTTATCTTATTTTCATTCTGCTTTTCACAAGATTGTTTTGTATTAAAGCCTTGAAGTACATCTTCTGTGACAGACCGCGAAACCAACACCGATAAATCTTCATAAATTATGCAAAGAAGGCAATGTACAGAGAAATGCCGACAAAATATAGAGAATAGAAAGATACATCCAAACCCACCCCGAAAAATATCAATGTCCAGGAAATGGCGAGCTGTAATCTCAGGCACTTGTAACAATTAAACCAGCATAGCAGCGGCCATGAAGACACCCCCCAAAACACTGGTCATCATGTCTGATCTCTTCCCTGGGGCTCCATTGAAGGAGGAGGATGGCATCATAGAGCTAGAAGTCATAGAGCCAGAGGTCATAGAGCCCGATGGCATCGACGAGGTGGACATGGCCGTGCTAGGCATGCTCATGCTTGACATACCATCCATTTCCCCCATTCCACCCATCTTCTGCTCTTGGCCAATCTGTTGAATTAAGCAAGTTAGAGCTTTTAGAAATAACACAAAAAAAAAAAAAAAAAAAAAAAAAAACAAGCATCCTCAAGATGGCCAGGAAACTTTTTGTTTCGTTTTAATTTACCTCGACTATAGCAGGGCCCGCCACAATGTTGTCATCGGTAGCCTTGGTGTTGTCCTTGGTGAGAACAACATAGGACTGGCCGGCAACACCCTTGGGAATGGTCACCGAGTATTTGTTATCGCCGTTGTCTTTGAGTTCCGCCCAAACCGGGCCGGTGACGGTAATGAAGGCGGCATGGATGTCCTTGGCACTCGAGCCATCGAATGACTTGTCAGCCATGAGCTGAACCATCGATCCAGTCATGAGAGACTTGTCAGAGTCCATGGTCAGTGCTGGGAAGGCCTTGACAGGAAGCTTCCCGTTGCTGGACGGGCAGGAGGCAATGAAGGGAGATGCCACAGTGTAGACTTCGTTCAGATCCAGGGGGTTGTCGAACGGCTGGGCAAAAGGCACCTTTTTCAGGGCGGCGCGCAGGTAGGCGCTGTGGCGGGCCTCATCGGTCAAGATGCTGCCGGCAGCAGTCAGGTAGGTCTTGTTCATGATTTCGCCGGCGGCACCTAGGTAGGCACTAACTCCAACACCTTATACACAGTAAGCGTCTAGTAGACAGGTACACAGGACTCAAGTATCGCTTACCTTCCAAGACACTGGCCAGGGCCAAGAAGCTCTTGGGGTCCGTTGCGGGGAACGAGTAGGTGCATCGCTCCACGGGGTGGGCACCAGCAGCTAGGAGGAAAAACACAATCAACATCCAGATCTAAAGATAGGCTTGTCTCCCACACATACCCTTCAAGGCCTTGGTCAAGAATTCCTCATGCATTTTCTCGTCACTGCCAACCTGCTTCAGATTGGAGTAGAAGGGATCCTTGTAGCCAGCTTTCATGAAGGCTTCCTGAGTATAATTCTTCAGGCCTTGCTCATAGAAAGTGGCTTCCAGGTGTTCAAGGGTTAAGGCATAGTTGAGAATGTCCGCTAGTAAAGGAAAAGGCGTCAGTGTGCTGTTACATAGTTTCTTGAGTCACAATAACATACCATTGGTGACTGCGCGCTTGGCCATGGGAGTGGCTTGGGCAAGGCCGGTGATCGCACCGAGGACAGTAACGTGGGATAGCTTCATCTTGTAGGGAAGACGGAGAAAATATTGTAGAATAGCAAAGAGAAAATTCAGTTTTGGGATGCATTTCAGGACGGGCTAACCGAGCCTTTTATAAGAGGCGTCAGAGCTATTTGTCATGGTGCCGAGCTGTGTCTTTCCTTTCCCTCCCTTCATTTCCGGACTTTCTTATGGTTCTGTCGTCTGATTCCTATGGATAACATACCGGATATAGCGATCTACAATGGAATTACTCGATCTAGTGACCTTGCAAACAGGGTCGAGAGAGGGGAACTGCTAGATCGAGGTGATAGCTGTATGAAAATGTGGAGATGCTGCAACTTCCACGAGTAATGAACCTTCGGCAACCTTGGCATGCGGAGAAAAGATGGCGATAGCTCACTCCGGAAAGCTTTAACTAAGGTTCAGTCAAGTAGCCGGCCTTCCGGCTGCATGTTGATAAACCCCCGATCTTCATAGTTCTTGAGAAGTGGGTCATATGTGAGCTTCTGCCCAATCAAGATGTTAATTAAACGAGCGAGACCGAGCGAGACCGAGCGAGAACGAGAAGAAACGAGCAGAAACGAAAGCGATTTAACGTAATCCACAAGCGAGCTGATCATACAAGCGACGCGGTGTAGTGAGTGCTTTGAGTTGGGGCATAAAAGAAACCAATTCCTAAGCGAGGTCAATCTTAGTTTCTTTTCTTTTTGTATATAGGCGTTATGGTGAATATATTTGGGTGGCTGGGGGTGTGGCCGGGTAGGTGGTGAAATGCATTTTTTTTATAAAGGTATTGTAATAAGAGTAGATTAATTCGGATTCGATATAATCGATATAGTGAGGCACTCGCTTGTGGATTACACTATAGGGGCTGACTATTTTTGGCAGGGGTGCCGCTATTTCAAGGAAGGAATCTAGATCAAATATAGGCTGACACAGTGGCACGGTATTAACCAACCTAATCCACAGGCGAGTAAGACCCAGATGATGTTATATTTCATCGGGAACCATGGTTGACAATATATTTTCCCTGGGCATTGGATATAAAGATACATCCTGATTGGTCGGATTGGTCCATTTAAGCTCAATAGGAACTGGTATCGTCATCACTTCGAAATGCAATGTCTGAGAGGTTCTAGATTACTCTTATTCTTGCTATCAATTCCTGTCCTTCGGTGCTATATAATGCAACGAATCGATCCAGAGCTCAAGCATGCTAGCTCACCCCGTCCCCTTTCTAAATCACCATGAGTGAACCCAAAGCTCAAGTAAACCGCTCCCCGGAGCTGACCGAAGCCTGGATCCTTGGAACAGGAACAGCTTCGTTCGCATCAGCGCTTCATTTGGTGTTTGAGGCCAAGTTACCTCCATCCAAGGTACATATTTTGGATTCCCACATTTCAATGGGTCAAGCTGTGTACCACAATGGAGATCCTGTCAATGGATACGATCAATTTGCAGCATGCTTGCCCGTTCCATCAGGGGAGCCTATAAAGCAACTTTTCGATTTGGTTCCCTCTGTCAGAGGCCAAGGAAAGAGTCTTTGGGAAGAAATTCAATCGGCAGAAGCCAAGCATGTCTCTACAAAACATGGGAACGATACCCGTTTTCTCGTCCAAAAAGATGGCTATCTGAAGGATATTGCTACAACAAAGCTGGGCATGAGCACTAGGCACCGACTAAGATTGGTGTCTCTCATGTTTAAGGGCGAGAAACGTCTAGGACGAAATCAAATACGAGACTTTTTGCCTAATTCGTTCTTTCAGAGTCCATTTTGGGCCATCTGGAGCGCACAGTATGTATATTTCTGCCCTGTTATGAAAACTTTTGGCATTGGTTTCTAAAAAGAACAAAATTTTGTGCAATCAGGTTTGGCTTTCAACCCTGGCATAGCGCAGCAGAGTTCAAACGTGCTGTCCGCGAATACCTACGCGAGTTTCACACTTTGAGTATTATAACATGTCTGGACATCACGGGATACTACCAGTTCGAGTCGATATTCCTCCCATTATACGTTTATCTTCAAAGCCTCGGTGTGGATTTCCACTTCGACACAACAGTTACGGATATTTTGACATCTGGCGAAAACAATAACAAGGCAGTTTCCCAGCTGAATCTGATTCAAAATGGATTCCCAGTGCAGCAAAAAATTGGCCAGCATGATATTGTTATCATCTCAATAGGATCCACTATCTCAGGCGCAACCAGGGGAACAAATAATAGTCCACCTGATGGACAATCGATAGAGCCAAATGACAAGCTCGACGAAAACTGGTCCCTTTGGTTGGAAATCGGCACTAAGAGTCATGCGTTTGGTAATCCTTATAATTTCTGCACTCGTCAGGCCGAATCAACACTACAGTCGTTCACAATCACTACCGCGGACCTTACCCTGTTCGATCACTTACAATCAATATCTCACAGCAACCAGGCTGGAGCATTCATAACTCTCCCAGAGAGCCCGTGGAGGCTAAACTTGTGTATCCCTTGGCAACCAGTTTTCGACCAACAACCAAGCGACATTCGCGTTCTCTGGGGAAGTGCCCTCGAACCTAGGCGCAAAGGGAAATTCGTCAAAAAGCCGATGACGGATTGCTCGGGTATGGAGGTGACGATTGAACTTCTTGGACATCTCAACTACCCTTCCTTAGTTCACCACACAATCACCATTCCACGTGTGATGCCACGAATGAGCGCTGGCTTACTTGCGCGTTCGTCGAACGACCGCCCTGGGGTTATTCCTCAGGAAACTTGCAACCTTGGTTTAATTGGACCATTCGTGGAAATTCCGAGGTATTCTTGTGTGGACGTCAGTTATGGTGTTCGGACCGCACAGTTAGCTGTGTCCCAACTCATGGGCTTGCACCGACAGCGTGATGAATCGAAGAAACCATTGATCTTCGATATTCTCAGGGTTTTGTTCTGGGATTGATTCGCCTGGTAAGGCACAGATTACCTTCTGAACTTTTATTACCAGAACAACTAGGGTAACACGTCTTTTTAAAACTTTCCTTTCCTATTTTGTAGGACTGATTTTGTGGGTTGGACTTCCAGCCGGAAACCTCCGAGAGAACTTACTTGAAATTGGACGAGGGTTTTATCGGCTTGTCATCCAAAGCATGTTATCTTAGCTACCCTCCATATTTTTGAGCCACTGGGAAGTTGGATCATATTACAAGATTGTGGAGGACCTCTGCTATAGGCATGGTTATACCACTCTGCCGAAAGTTATGTGTCGACCGGCATGCCTCGATACCTATCGGGGCAGATGCGAAGGCCGATCGGATTCATGAATCAGCTACGCGCGAAGTCCATAGTTATAAGGTAAATTAAGCGAGACTGTGGGGTCTATGTACAGTATTTATGTGGTAGAATTTCGAGAATTAAGGACTGTCCTATGTAGCTGCTCGCAGTATTGATATTAGGGTAGATCATCCGTTCGTCGGATCAGTCAGTTCGACATTATGTTTAGCTGTATATTATATTTTATATCTTAGTTCTTTGTTGAGATTTCTAAAATTCTATAATGGTTCCGATTCATAGACAAAGTTAAGAGCCAAACGACTTATGCCACATATATGCCACGTTTACATGCATGATGCGGGAGGCATATATGCGGCCAGAGAGACCAGGGTACGCTTTAGTTATGTATATAGCCGACTCTCTTGCGGGTTAGTACGCTATTTTACGGATATATCACATGATCAATACAGCGTACCGAGTAGCTCAGTATATTAAAGCGGTGGCACCTAGAATAGGACAAGCCCCCCGCCCTGGTAAGAGGAAATATTTTATATGGCAGCCCACTTCTAGCTTAGTTAGATAGAGATAATACGTTATGTTTCATTTTAAATAAACTTTGCGTCATAATTTGCTTTGCGCGTGAAGGCCTAAGCAATAAGTTTGAGTAAGCAGTAATCCACTAAGTTAGTTATATACTAGGAATCTTTTTGTTAATTACACGATCTAATAACGGTTTTAAGCTAACATAGATTTAATAACGTCATATTTAGCCATTCTTGGGGATGTGCAGCTGTGTTGGGCATTATTGCTGCTTTCGTTTACAGGGGTTTCATTAGCACTGCCAACACCTCTACCCAACTGTACTATTATATATAAGCCACCAGTCATCTCTTATAATAACTTAGACATTCTATTCAGTATCCCAAGTCATTAATGGTTTACTATTGTGTCTAGTTATGGCGTGTTGTGATCTTTGCCACAGAACCTTCAACAGCCAGAAAGCTCTCAAACAGCATACCCGAGATTCGCCAACTCATAACATTTCTTTCAGCTGTGACCAGTGTAACCGATTTTTCAACAGCCAGGAAGCTCTCAGGCAGCATAACCGAGACTCACCGGCCCACGTTCCACAACCTAAAACGCCTGTAGACAGGTTCTTCCAGTCATTCCCAAGATTCCCGTTTGACCGAACCTTGCATCCATCGGAATCTTATGCCCGTTTACAAAATTTCCATGGATGGCACAAAGGTGACCGGGAAGCCGATTATGCTTGGAAAAATTATCAGATAGCCCTTATGGAAGAAATCAATTTGTGGTTTGGATCCGCCGATGATCTCGATTCGTGGCATTCACTTTGTCGCGCTGTGCGGGTTGAGCCTCTCCCGACCACATCCTCCGAGTTCAAAAAGGTATTATGCTTGAAAAGTCTTTAAATATACGTTGTGGCTAACTCGGACTCATAGGCTGTTCGAGATATCCACGTAAATATTGTTGATCTTATTGAATGGGCTCGTCATAACGAGAGTGGTCAGGTGCACATATTTCCGAGCGTTAAAGAGCTACGCAAGTATACAAAGAAAAGCGGGAAAATATTTCCTATGATTAAAAGGTCAGATGGTGGCAATGTTGTCTTACGGTACTTGCTTCGACCCATATTTCTGCAATGAAATAATTCCCTTTTTGAGTTAGTCTAATAAAGCCTGGAATATATTTTGACAACCATCATAGTCGAGTAAGTGGTTAGTATCTGTCCTTAATAACATTGGGCGGAATCTGAGCCCGGTAGTTGGGCCTACAGCATTTCAGCTGTTGGTAAAAGGATATTCTTTTATTCTTGTTTGGACTTTTCAATCCTGATGGGTCGACATAGTGAAGATCCTATTCACCTTGTAGGAAGTTTGACTATTTAAGAGACTACACTCATTCACTTGGCCTAATAGAATGTCCTTGAAACAAATAGGATCCGAGGGGTGTGGTTGCATTGGTAAGATTGTCAATACAGGAGCTTGGATTTGTTGATATATACAATGAGCATTGCTTTTCGAAGTTAGGCTGTAGAAAAAAAGAGACAATCACATTAACATTATTATTAGTGGTCGATGGCAATATTTCGTTATATCCGGATTTGGGCAGCCTTTGATCAAGGGGGAAAAGTCATACAGGCTACTTTGGCTTATTTAAATCAGTGCCTGGTTTTATTTTCTCTTTTTAAGGTTTGCAGCTTTGAGCTAGCTACGTTTTAAACTGCTCCTCAGATCCGCCATCGATCAAATAATGGATCTGGACTCACAATTATCACATGATTTTCTTGATGCCCTCACTGGCTGTCTTAAATGATGCCCTGCTTCTTATTTTGATGTTCTGCTATACTCCCTTCGGTTACTTGTTTAGGCACGCGTAGTATTGTCTTGCTCTTTTCTTTTTCTATTTGAGCAGCCAAACAAGAACACATGCTGCCATCCCACATGTGATCAACGTGATACCAAGTATAGCGTAAATATATAGCTTGTCTGGTGATTCTGGTCTGGCTGGTGGCGGTGGAAGCATGCTTAATGCCTCTGTTATGCTTGCGTCCTCGCTTGTGGCTGGAGACAAGGAGGGTTGACTAGTCATAGTCTCCTGGGTGGTGGGGAAACCTGAGTCCATTGACTAGGCAATTGCTTGTTGGCAATGTAATTTTCGAAAATCGAGGTTCGCATTAACGGTTATATGATTGTTGGGTCTGTTTGTGCCGTCGAATAAGAAACCCTTTTCTGTAGGTAGGAAGAATTATAAGCGTTAGCATATCTCAACTACCATCACGATGAAGGACGGTTTTAGTGATATTTGGTATGAAAACCACCAAGGAGAGTGCAGGAGCATCTACACCTGTGGCTACCTTAGAGAGTTGGGGTTGTGTGAACGAGAGTCTATATCATACCAGTGGTGGGCTTCAGAAAGCTCATTCAAGTATGCCCAGGGAGAAATGAGTGAAATAACCAAGCGACAAGGCCCTCTTCTAAAGTGAAATATCGAAATAACCAACATGATTTAGATTAAATTAATCTATTAAGTTGTATATCCCATTGTATCACGTGGCTTGCTGTTTACGAGTCCAGGAATGCTGATCCCGTTAGCGTTGCTCCTATTCATTTCAACTTAGGCTTAGTTTGAGAATGATAGTACCGAAATAGCCTCCAAGATTCAAGAAGGTCTCATACCAAGGTACTTGATTCTCATTGTATGTATACTTGGCATAATAGAGTACCTAATCTTGGTAGACAGGACGCATTTTTCAACACTATGTATCTACGAACAAGTGGGTGTATTAGTTTCTACGTAGGCGAAAATTAATAGGCAGAAGCTTTCACCAAGAAGTATTACCTCACAAATCCCTCTATCGTCCTTTCCTATTCTTTCTCTACTATTGTTATCACTAGCTATACGTTATACAATTAATCGAAAACTCACTGTTTGGGGTATATTGCATGTCTATATTTATACCTCAACATGGCAACAAGATAGAAGTAGAAACAAAATTTTACAACCTCAAGAATGATCTTCTCCACAATTTTATAGGTGGCTCATAGCCCGACCAATCAAAATAGATATCCTGGTATGACAGAATACGATGTGTCAGTATTGAAAGTACAATATTTGACAGCCGAGGCCAACTGCGAAGGAACCAATGAGGGTAGTCTTTGGTTCTATACCTAAGAAAGCTTGCTGGATAAACAATATATCAATTGTCAGAATCATTATACATTTATATATTATCTGGGTAGGTCTTCTGATTAACTAAACAGTCCGATCTATATATATACGCGAAAGTTGCTCAATTTTTAGCTTAATGTTAAAAAGTATTATTAGTGCTTTTTGGACTCATAGTGTGCGTAAAGATCTAATGTCATTCGCATAGTTTTAACCAACAAGCTGAGTGGTCATTAATAATAAATCAGATCCAAGGCCATATCTAGCAGTAGAGATATATGAGATATGATCCACTAAAAGCATATCTCAGGCGACCCGTAATCATAACTTAGTTGGTGCGATAGAAGGCTATGCGGGGCTCCTAAGCTGCTATGTTGGAATGCATACAATATCAACAAAGCAAAAGCATGAAAAGACTGATCAAAATATTCGGCCAATACTAGTCAAGACCTAGAAATATTATCGAATGACCCTAGATATGGTGGTGGCTTGAGGAATATACAGACGATCATTGAGTATTCATCCTGCACATTTTTATTGATAGGTGTAAGCTAGGGATATACATAGCTGACAGCTCGAAGACAAGGGGGAGAATTTATCCCTGCCATTTGTGACCAGTCAGAGCAATCTGTCGTAATACGTAATTAACTAAGTTATGGAAACTCCTTCATACTGCTTCTACTACCCCACTTCAATTCAAGAAAGTATATTCCCTACATCTTGTGTGAATTTATGAAATATGTATAATGCACTCTTCAAGAGCTCTTTTAATCTATAGATATCGTCGTGTTTGCAGAATTGGTGGAGTATCGCTAAAGCGATTAAAAGACTTTGGTACTTAAATTTTGGGGTTTTTCTTAACTAAAATAGAGATCAGACTAACTGCCCTTAACCTTAGGAGTGACAATTCTCACCAGGTTTTATAGCCTGCCAAGTATATTCTTTACACACAGATTGAATCAAGCTATTAATCACGTTTTAATCAAGCTGTTCCTATGCTTCATATATAGCCTTTTTAAAGACCTCCTAATCTAATTTAGACCTTCTATTATCTAGCTAAGGGTATAATTAAAGAATTTTGATTTTTAAAAGTCGTTATACTAGTTCGATAGGATGATTGTCAGACGAATACGGAGGCTAGCCGATTACCTAAATCCTATAATTTTCGAACTATTCTTACAAGGTTTCTGCTATATAAATCCTCGTATTATCTTATTAGAATATCGATTATAGTTTATATATTAGTAAAAGACCTTCTTTAAGAGTATTAAGATAGGAGTTCGTAGTAATGTTTGACACGGTGAGCGGGGCGCCAGAAACGGCTCCTATTGCACCGTTTCTCTGCCACCACCGACCGCCTGCCCGACACTGCTTATTCTTTACGGTATGCTGCTGGCAACCAGGCGTTGTTCTTATTGTCGCTGATGCTGTGAACAGGATCTGACCACTCTTAGGCCCCCCCCCCCTACGTCGTACTTGGCCTCAAGCAAATTTTGGACGACTTCTCTCTGGTCCTGGAGTTGCGGGACAAAATCTATTTCAAAAACGCGGAATGGCTCCTCACAAAACCGGAGTAACATATCTTTATAGAAACTGACTGTATTGTTCGCCGAGTTTCATTTGCACTATGTTTAATCAAGTTCTGATCCGATACGCGATGTCTCAGTTATAACAAAGAAAATTCAGAATTGTCATTGTAGTCTTCTCCGCGAGGTTTTTCACCGCTTTACTCTCATAATTCTTTCTGGAACCCTCTCCAGAAACGCGCTAACTTCTTGGTAGTATTGAAGTACATTTATAAATAACAGTATAAAAATATATCGTATTAGCCTTGTATGATGTGTTTGGGTATCCAGAACAGATTTTTGTAAACATGCCAAACAAGAGGGGCGCCTGCCTGGTCAGGCTATCTGGCCAGATTTCATATTCTCTCCTTCGTTCAACCTCTCATCATACATTGATGAGTGAAGTGTATAGGGACGGTATCAGTGGGGACGAACACTTTCCTATGCGTCGTGCAGCAATGCTGGCCTTCTGATTGGGGACCCAGTATTCGGCGAATTTATAGGCAAAATTGTGCTGACGTTGGATTCATTAGAGCTTCGGAGCAAGGACGATGGCTACTAACTAATCTTTTATACGCAACACGAATTCATCATTCCACACATAGAACACAAACCACATGCCCAAGATGCCACATGGCCTAGCGTCCCATTACCTTTCTGGGGTAAAAGACACCTCCCGCCTCTGGCTTTGCCGCATTTTGGGCACCTCCGTCCCATGTTGAAACCTGAAGCCAGTCCGCGTCAACAGGGTTGTCAAGAATTTCAACACCTCTCGCGCCATTTTCGTTATCCAGTGCTTGTCTTGTTTTTTGCCAAACGTCCAAACCACCTGGACTTTTGCCATCCTTCCAGGTCGACGGTGCTGTCCCATGGGTCACGACTAGCCTGTCGTCGTCAAGGTGCAGCGTTGTCACATCAATGTCCAATTGTTTGAGCCAAACGTGCTGGACATGCTCAAACATTCGAGGAAGGTACTTTGCGGCGTAGAACTTGTCCGCTTCGGTGTTCAGCTCCTGTGACGGATAACCAGTGATCATCACAAGTTGAGCCGGGTTATTGATATCTTGATACAATGCATGCATCCGAGGTGATGCGGTGTCCGGGTTTGTGTAAGATGAACATAATGTGAGGATGTCTGCGAGGAGTTGAGTGAATTCGGGGGAGTCTGTGGATTTCTTATCCTTGAGAGTACTAAGCCAGAATTTCGTGATGGGAGGCATATTTGGAAATAGACCAAGGTATAAGCTTTTCAATATCTGAGAGATGGATTGGAATGGTCAGGGAATGGGGTCTCGGTACAACCCAAAGGCATTTATATCCTTGAAACTAGTAATCCATGTCAGCAGAGAAGGATGGAATTTGTGTCATCTATTGGATTGAGATGATCCACATGCGTCTTCGCCCCCAGCCAATAAGGTCGCCGCTTGATATGCATATCCAGAAAGAGGGCTGCAAAAGGAATAAAGGAATATGAATACCCGCCCCCTACAGTCGGGCCTTCCACAGTCTAATCATCATTCAGTTAACATTTTGGCCTTCCACCTCGTTTGAGCGCGAACTGGTGGCATAGTGGGTGGTTTGAATAGGGAAGGAAATAAAATGGTGCAATTAAAAATTACTTCTTGGTATTACCACACCAAAACCAACTTACCTTCTCTCTCTACCCACCTAACCTACCTATCTAATTTTTCCTTTTGAGTACTGCAGCAGGGTTGAATCGTCGCACAAATAGCGCCAGTACAATTTTTTGCTCCACAAGCGACAGGCTATTAGAAATGTTCGGTGAAATCAGAGAAAATATGTAGGGCGGCTCTTACTTCTGTCCTATGCATTGTCGCTTGCCCTTTGAAAATGGCTGGAAGTAAGCCATCATCTTCTTTCTCTGCTCACCCTCAACCAGCCATCTGTAAGGTTTGTACACTGCCGGATTGGGAAAAACGTCGTCGTTGTGGTGAAAATACCACGGGGACGTACAGACGTCCGCCTATGGGTGATTTAGTATCAGCCCCTTCAAGGAGGATACGCAGAGGGAAAACGCAGAGCTTACTCCCGGTGGAACAGAACGCCCTTTTGAAAGTCCAGCCGCCAGTAGGGACTTCTCGTGGAAGCCGACATTGAATAGGGGAGGAGAGCCGGAGAGCCGCAACCCTTCTTTGAGACATGCGTCCAGGAAAGGCAAGGTATCGAGAGCTTGAATCGTTAGGTCTAGATATAATATATATAATATACTCTTTAAGGGCTTTTTATATCTTTAACTTAGTAGATATTTTTTATAGGATTGATAGAATATAAATAAGTAAATAAAAGGCTCTAGTATATAAATTTATCTTTTTGAATAGAGAAGGATTTACCTCTTACTTTTAGAGAGTAATAATTCTTACCCTATTCTTATCTCTATTATCTTAGTCCTTAAATTTCTTATTTATATTACCTATACTCACCCTATGGTCGTATGTACTGGAAATCACATCTAAATGGTTTACGTAGTGATCAAGCTAAGTGAGATCACTGCCAATGCACTTCAGTATCTTGGAATCCTTATGTAGCCACTACCTTATATACAAGATCAAATGAGGCCATAGAAAAAAATATCTGAAAGCTCTCTAGGCCATTGAGAACGAGATATGAAAGACTGCTAGTTCCACGTGATCGGGTCGGTTCGGACACGGTCCGCCAACCGGACCGTCCACGATGCATATATAGTCCAAGTCTCAATTGACTGATAAGCTGGTATTTTGCTCCAAGTGCAAATAAAACCTCAGCATATTTATCACCATCTATATTCTTCCTACCCAGAGCCTCACAGAGACTGTTCCATTGAGCAGCTGCCGAGACTTACTTTCTTGCTCCAGCAAAAACTTGTCCACGTTCTCGAGATGGCCCCACATAACCCCTCATACCTCATTATCGGCGCCGGAGTCTTCGGTGTGTCAACTGCCTACTATCTCATCCAGAAGTATCCCAATGCATCGGTGACGCTGGTTGACCGAGATGCATATGATGCCGAGTCTCGCGTGGCTGCATCATGGGATTGGAATAAAGTTGTTCGCGCAGACTACGACGACAAGGTCTACTGCAGACTCGCTCTTGAGGCACAAGACATTTTCAAGTCGGATCCTTTGTGGCAGCCTTATTTCCACCAGACTGGCGTCTACTGGACGTGCCGCAGCAACTACGCCCAAAATGTGATCACGAACCACAAGGAGCTCGGCCGCAATGATGATATTATTGCCTTACCTGTTTCTGAGGCCCGAAAGCTGTACGGTGGACTTTTCGACCATGCGGACTATACCGGCGTCAAAGAGGTTCTCATCAACAGAGCTAGTGGTTGGGCCGCCGCGGGAGATGTTCTTCGAGCGGTCACAAAGAAGTGTCTGGAACTGGGCGTCAAGTACGTGGCAGCTGATGTTGCCACGCTCGAATTTGATGGCCGCAGTTGCACGGGTGTCAAGACAAAATCCGGTGAGATCTTGTCGGCCACACATGTTATCGTCGCTGCTGGCGCTTTCACGCCTACATTGCTGGAATGGAGCGCTGCAAAGAGCGGAAATACCGGTCTCCGTGCGGGCGAACGAATTTTGGCCGCTGGCATCACGACGGGAATGGCACAGCTGAAGAGGGAGCAATATGAACAGTTTAAGGATATGCCTGTTGGCTTTCAGGGTTACACACCCGATGAGGGTAAGTAGCGTGAGATATTTGCATGAACGCCGTACTAACCTTTTCCCAGGCAAGCCATTTATTGGTAGCCTCCCGCCTACCAAGGATGGGGAGCTCAAGTGGTGGGGGTCCAAGATCTTCAAAAACACTCGAGAAGTACTTCCTGGCCGCTACCTTTCTTCTCCTCCACCTACACACGACTACAATCAATGGAAGGTACCGGGTCCCCTTAAGCAGGACATTATTGAGTCTAGAAATCTATGGTACGGACCAGAGAGTGCGGATTGGGAGATGACGAAACATCGGATTTGCTGGTGAGTACTGCTCAATAAAATAACAGCTGAATAATATAACAATCGAAATCTAACACTCACAAGGGACGCTTTCACCACCTCATCTGACTTTATCATTTCGCCTCATTCTGCCTCCAAGGGACTCTACGTTGCAACCTGCGGTTCATTCCACGGCTTTAAGTTCTTCCCCGTTCTTGGCAAGTACATCACACAGATGCTTGAGGGAGAACTGGAGCCTGAATTGGTGGAGAAGTGGGCTTGGGATAGACAGCGATCTGATTCGTCCCAAAATGTCGAGTATCCGAATTCGGAGATGAAGCATCTCTTGGGGGTTACAGCGAAGCTGTAGGGAAGCTCCAAGGGACTCTTACTTTAGTAATTTAGATCTCAATCATCTTGTTATTGAAAGCATGAATGCAGTCAGAATCCATGGTCGACTTTGTTTATATCAGGAATGAGCCCCTGAGGTCGGATCTGCCGAAGAGCTTGAGAAGAGATTCTCTCAAAGGGGCCTCGCAATACTGTGAGACCATCTTATAGTAATGATGAGATATCCTGCCCATATATCTTAATAATACCTAAACAGTCTAATATCTGCATATATCACTTGCGGATCATTGCCGAAAGGTAACCGCAGTACCATGAAGGCTGAAGCACGTGGGGGTGTAACATAATACTAAAAAGTTGAATTCTGCATAGGATTCAATGAAGTGAGAAGGTTGAAGCTATCCGGGCATTTGGGATACTGTGGGATCGACACTACCACTATGCCTGTCGAGGAAGTCAATGAAACTGATCGACATCCCTTTTCATCGACGTTGGAAGATTCCAAAAGGGTAAAGTTAGAGAGAGCTAGTGTGGATGCTATATATAGTTTCCATGTGATATAATTATAATGATCAACAGGTGTTCATCCGAAACTGCCAGTCTTTACTCTGTATACCAACGCGAATTGTCGTCTCGACTTTAGGCGATGCTACTAGATCCTTAAGCCATATTTCCCCCTCAAAACAATCCGTGGGACTAATCTATTCGCTAGCTGGCCACTGTTTGACGAGATCAGCGACCGGTTCACCAAATACCCCTCAATCTATCTTACCAACTACACGTCACTATCAAGACATCATGCGATTCCTCATCCCGATCGCTCTCTTCTCCGCCCTTGTGTCGGCAGATGGAACCTTTAAAATGCTCGCCAACTGCATGGGTTCGTCTCATACACACGATGATTACCCTGTCGGGCCAGTGTTTTGGATTTGATACCAGTCCTGATCATTTGTAGTTTGATGGTGACGATGATGTAAACCTCTGCTGGTCTCCGGACGACCACCGCAACACTCGCTGTCAAATTTTACTCGGCAGCGGCTGCGTGATTTGAAGGGAAGCGCGAAAAAGCTCAAGGTAAACAAATCCCGCAAATTCCGCCTCTCAATAACTAACTTGATGTTCCTCATAGGTCGTTCCGCATGGTCTGCAATGCAACTACTAGAGCTTCTAGGAATATCAACCAAACGAGTTAGGGTATGGGGGTTATTATGGGTCGTGCCTTTTGCTTCGCAGCTTAAAAGCTCAGACTCTGTTGCCATTTGCTCTCGTTTTGCTTTTCGCCTGTCGGATATAGCACCTTGTGACAACATTCATGGACTGGACGTGGGAGTGAGCCCGGAAATTTCGTGTACTTGCTTCCCAGGGAGGCTCTCTCTCACTTCGCTCTTTTGTCTTCATCTTCTTTGGCTCCCAACCCAGTATTTCCGTTTTTGAACGGGAAGTCTTCTTCTCTATACCCTTGGGTCGTATCTATAGATGTACGAGTTATTTATAATCACTGCAACCACAGTATTGAAATATCGTCGGTTGATTCTCTTCTCTATTTTTTTGAATCTCTTTACACCATGGCACTCTCAATGATTCCAAGCACGCACACACACACACACACACACACTGTATGACCTACTAGGCCGAGGGTGTATGAGTCGTAGGATGCTCAGATGCCGGGCGGATGCTCGAGGGAAGCCTCGCTGATAAGCCAATCTCCAGTTAACTCCGATCTCTATCACCATGAATAATGACGCTTCAAACCCACGCAGGACGCCCCAGAATAAAAGTCCCATCTTAATCTGAGAGACAGCTCCTTTATATTGCAATAAAATCGTTATAAAAAGATGCCACCAACTCCAAGTCAGCTCAACGCTCAGCGCTGTCGAGAATTCGTCTCTACTCTCCACACGACACCATATACCGCCATCGACCCCTCGCAAGTGAAACTCCCCTCTCCATTTGTGGTGTGTATCATCGGAGGCCGAGGCGCCGCTGGCGGCGGTCTTGCTCGCGCCTACGCCCGTGCAGGCACCTCCGGACTCGTCCTCGCCGCCCGAAATCGCTCCGCACTCGAAGAGACTGCCAACGAAATCCGCTCAATCAACCCGGCGACCAAAGTCATCGTTGCCGAATGCGATATTACCTCAAGTGATGCCGTCGAGGCGTTGGCCCACACCACCAAAGCCGAGTTCGACGGACATCTCGATGTCGTGGTAGTCAATGCCGGCTACACGGGTCCAATCACTGACGTCGTGGAAGAGTCACCCTCGGACTTTCAGACGGCTTTCAACGTAAACACCGTGGGTGCTTTCCATGCGGCTCATTTTCTGCTGCCGTTGCTTCTACAGACCGAGTCTGGAGCACGGAGCTTCGTTGCGATCAGCTCCATGGCTGTCCCCATCGTGACTGGGTTTGCTGCTCACTCTCATTATTGTGCCAGTAAAGCAGCGCAAGCGCGATTGGTGGAGCTTATCAACGAGCAGTATGCGAGTCGGGGAGTTTTCTGTGCCAGCGTCCACCCCGGAGGCTTGCGGAGTGAACTCTCGAAGGACGTGCCGAAGGCTTTCTTGCATTGTAAGTACTTCCTCATAACAGGATTCTCCTTCACAGCGCTAACTTTCAAATTAAATAGTCTTGTGTGATAGCCCGGATTTAGTTGGTGCCTTTGCTGTCTGGCTGACAAAAACCGGCGGATCGCGACAGAAAGAAGTCTTGAATGGCCGTTTTCTTTCCTGCAAATGGGATGTGACTGAATTGGAAACCAGATTCGACGAGATCCTGGAGAAGGATCTGCTGAGACTCCGGGTTGCTGTCGATTGAGGCGTTGGGTTGCCCTGTGCGTAAACCGACATTGCTTTCTTCTTGGATACACCCTTTGGCCGACTGGGCAGAGATAATATGACCTCAGGGCACTGCGGGGGAATGCGTATGTCTCGGGAAAGACCATGAACAGTCATTGCTGCCAAAATTCCTCTTACTTAAAACATTTGTAAATGATTGTAGGTAGAGCCGATGCACGGATGCCCTCAACTCGCACTGACATGTCGATTCATCCTTCCAACAACAAACACTTGAGAACCATGTATCTCATGATCCCCGATAGACTCGGCTTATCGCCATTGGCATTGATTATGAACAAGCCAGAAGCCTATCAGGTCCGCATTTCCGTCAAGTTAGGTGGGTCCGACTAACATTTCCCCTTCGAGTATGGATCTCCATCGATAACTATCGCGATCCCGAGTGTAGGACAAGGCGATGGTCACCAATCACGGCGAAGTCCTTGGGATACAGCTTGCTGGAATGATCACATCTCTTTTCAAAACATCTAGCTTGGTCTTGGTAGCTTGGCAGGGTTCCATGGTATAAATTCAGCTCCATCCACGCTCTCAGAATCCGCATCCGCTCTTCATAGTTCCTTCTATTCTCACTGAACTTCGCTTTAAACATCACAATTCCAAAGCTACTTCAATATTGAGTCTACCACCATTATGGGCGACTACCAGCCAGAAATTATCGCTCCACTGGCAACAGCCACGGTCGAAAAGGCAGCCGAGCCCACGGTTGCCGAGGCACAGAGTGGCGTCCTCTATCGCCAGCTTCGCCAGAAGCCTCTGAACATTGTCGGGGGCAGAGGAAGCTACCTACTTACAGATGATGGGCTTGAAATCCTCGATGCAACTTGCGGGGCAGCTGTCTCTTGTCTGGGCCACAGCGATGAGCGTGTGCATGCGGCCATCCTGGAACAGCTGAAGAAGATCCCCTATTGCTACTCGTTGTATTTCACCAACAGTGCCGCAGAAGATCTTTCCAGGTATTTGGTTGAGTCTACGGGGGGAAAGATGTCCCGCGCATTTATTGTCAGCTCAGGTAAAGGGCTTTGTGTATTTTGAAGATGTCGACGACTAACAGTTTCTATCGATAGGAACCGAAGCCGTGGAGGCGGCGATTAAGATGGCAATTCAATATTTTACGGAGGTGCCAGTCCCACAACCTAAACGGATCAACTTTATTTCTCGCAAGCAGTCCTACCATGGCAATACGCTCGGATCTCTCGCTGTTGGTCATCACGTTGCCCGCCGAGCCATCTATGAAGGGATTATGTCGAAGAACATCCACCACGTCTCTCAATGCTACCCCTATCGTGGAATGATGGCGAACGAAAGTGTTAAGAGCTATGTTGGTAGATTAGCACAAGAGTTGGAAGACGAATTTCAACGCCTTGGCCCCGATACTGTGTGTGCCTTTGTCGCAGAGACTATGGCGGGTGCTGTGAGTATACCCAGAAAGCTTGATTGGACTGATTACTTTGAGTTTGAAATTCCATGTTTACTAACATAAAATAGACATTAGGATCTGTTCCTCCTTTGCCTGGATATCTCAAGGCCATGAAAGAAGTCTGCGACAGACACGGAGCCTTGTTTATCCTCGATGAAGTCATGTCTGGAATGGGAAGAACGGGAACGCTCCATGCCTGGGAGCAAGAAGACGTTGTTCCAGACCTGCAAACCATTGCAAAAGGCCTCGGAGCAGGATATGCCCCGATCGCAGGGCTGCTGATCAACCGGCATGTCGTTGACACATTGACCAAGGGAACGGGAGCATTTGCTCACGGCCAAACATATCAAGGCCATCCCGTTTCGTGTGCCGCAGCATACAAAGTGCAGAGGATCATACAGGAAGATAATCTCCTGGAAAATGTGCGTGCAATGGGGGAGTATCTTGGTCAGCTTCTGCACGAGCGACTAGCCAACCATCCCCATGTGGGCGATATTCGTGGCCGTGGTCTGTTTTGGGCTGTAAGTCTTCTCCTCTATTGGATTAATTTGGACTATCGCTTATTTTCTCCAAGCTTGAATTTGTTCAGGATAAGAATACGAAGCAGCCGTTCCCTCCTTCTAGGGCATTGGCTTGGGCTCTTCATACTACCGGGTTGAAACCACAGCATTCAATCTCCCTGATGCCTGGCAATGGTGGTGCCGATGGTATTAATGGTGATCATATTATTCTGGCGCCACCATATACCACGACGCGTGCTGAAGTGGATTTGATCGTTGATCGGACGGCTCGTGTCATTCAAGAGGTTTTAGGATGAGAGTCTTTTTAAAGACTGCTATTGTCAATCCAATCAAGTCTCTGTGAGTTTAATGACAAGGGAATGGATATAGCCGATGGATCTTGGTATGTCTGAATGCGAAAGATCCTTCTCAAAAGATTGGTGGAAGGATATTTTTTTTATTCATAAACTCCTAAAACCGACAACTGTTTCTTAACCCCGTGGCACTCCACCTTATAACTCGATGTCAAAAAAAATGTAAATAACGGGGGGCAGATAGCTATTTTCTAGTATAACAATAACTAGAACAACAATGGAGGCCAAGCAGTGTATTTTAGGCAAGGCTGTAGCAACTAAATAGGAAAGAGATATACAAAAGATGTGGGGTTTCCAATAGTAGATACTGTTGGCGCGCTCCGGAGATACGTGAAGCAATACGGTCGCCTTCTTAACTCCATTTACATCCGAGGGTCCTTTGGGAGACAGTCTTGACCCACAACTCTATATATAAAAGTAAACAAGCTATACTATACCAGAGAACATCACAAACATTAGAGCCTTTTATTTCACGAGGTGATCAAAAAGTCAGCCAAAAATACCAAAGAATCTTCACCGAGCCCGATCAGGTCGACCTCGAACACACACCCGATTTCGACGAACAGCCTTCCATTCTTCGAATTGAGATGCCTGACATTGCCGAATTTGTCCGTCTGAACAATGCACCGGCACACCTGTCCTTTGTTGCAGACCACCACGACACTTACCCCTACATCACACCCACAGGATCAGAGCTATCCGGCAAATCTATTCTGATCACCGGTGCCTCCAAGGGCATCGGGCGCACCACGGCAATTCGATGCACCAAGGCCGGATGCTCGAGGATTGTGATCGCAGCCCGCTCCCAGCCCGGCCTGGGCGATGTGGTGAAGGAGATCGAGGAAGAGGCTCGTAAATCCAACCTCGAGACACCCCATATCCTGCCACTGCAAGTCGACGTGACCTCGGATGAATCCGTCCGTGCCGCCGCCAAGGTTGTCGATGAGGCATTCGGAGGCAAGCTGGATATTCTAGTCAACAACGCAGGTTATCTACCCGAATTCAAGACCGTGATTGAATCGGACCCAGCCGAGTGGGTGAAAGGCTGGGATGTCAACGTCAAAGGAACCTTCTTATGCTGCCATTACTTCCTTCCATTCGTCTTGAAATCGGAAACGAAGCTTGTTATCAATCTGTCGTCGGTCGGGGCTCATACCTTGACATATGGCGGGTCGTCGTACCAGGCGTCGCGTTTTGCAAATTGTCGGTTGACCGAGTTTCTGGCCCGAGACCACGAGGACGAGAATCTTATTGCTATCTCGGTGCATCCCGGTGGGATCAAGACCGATATGCGCGACAACTTCCCCGAGATGCTCCATTCTGCTCTGGTTGACGAGCCGGCCCTCCCCGCCGATGCCATTATCTGGCTTGCTAAAGAGCGGCGGGAGTGGCTGAATGGTCGATTTGTTTGTGCGACTTGGGACATGGAGGAGCTGGAGGGCAAGAAGAATGAGGTTGTCGACCGGGATTTGTTCAAATTCCGCATCACCGTCTAAGCGAGGTCTAGATTTGGGTGTGCAGGATGTCTGCTCGCCTTTGCAATGAGAAATATTGCTTTTGGATATAGCAATGTATCATTATTCGAGGAGTCTTTAAAACACACATAATCATCATAGCCATGAAGAGATACCGGTGAGGTGTGGCTTGGACCCGTAAATACTATCTCAGTCGGCTTTCATCTACCACTTTTTCTTTCTGTAGATATCGCATACTACAAGGGATTTTTCCCGTCTTGGTGGCAACAAGACCAGTTCCAGATAGAGCCCTAAGGATTATGATTAAATAGGCAGAAAAACCAATTTGTCGTTTAGATCCACTGCTCAAAACATTCTCTCGCCTTCGCAAGCCTGGAATCAACCACTCGCTCCATACAACAACTTCCATGATTCATTATTTGTTGCATCCTCCGTGAGGCCGCCCAGCAGCGGCACAGGGGCCAAGCGGGGTGCTTTTGCTATCAGGATCACAGATGGCCCAGTTGTCATCAGTCTCGTGGGTCATCCAGCACCAATAGTCACCCTCATTGTAGTCATCAGCAGTGATCCTGCCCTCCTTGCACGAGGCCCGTGCCACGTAATCGCCGCCATTCATCAGTTTGCAGCCAGGCGACTCGGTGGATCGCTTGTCCAGGGCGGGAGCACCGGGGCCTAGTCGAGGGGCTATTAGAAACACATTCGACACGAGCATTGGCGGCTAGAGAGTATTCATCAGAAGCGCTTGCGGCAATCGAGACAGCCTGCGCACTGACAAGGAGGATATCCGCGTTGAGCTGCATGTTGGAGAGGCAAGTGAACCATTCCCAGAATGACAAGTCGATTGATGGTGGAAAAAAGGTCCAATCCCAGATATGCTCTCCTAGCGGCTATCAATAGCCGAGGGATCTAAGGTCCACTCAAATCGGCGTTCTTTCTCGGTTCTCCCCAAAAACTTTTGTCTTTGCGAATTGGCGTTATAAAGTCGGCTCTATCTACCATGACAATCTGCTCCGCGGCTGGTCAGCTAGGGGAGATGCGGTCGAGGAGACATTAAATCCCAGCAACGGAAGCAGATCCTGCTACCTGCTTGAGGAGAGATTCGTCACAATGATTTAAGGGGCCTTGCAACTGTGTTGGGCCTTCACCAGCAGTTTGCTGAACAAAATAGCGTCTTCGATGCTTGCTGTTGATCTGGTGCTCATTAGTCGCTAAGTACCAACGGTCATCTCATGAAAAGGCCAGACACGTTTGTGACATGATTTCAAGGGGAGGTTCCTTTTGCTTTGTTTGGGTTGGGGGAGCGAAGAAGACACGAGTTCAGCTGGAGGGGAACGAGTCAACCCTGTGGGCGCTAGACGCGAGCTCAATTTTACTCGGCCACCACAGGCCAACTGAATGAGGCAGGCGTTCTTCATTGAAATAAATAAAATAAAATAGAACAACAAAAAGGAACATTCAGAATCTAAAGGGGTCTTATCACGCACGGAACTTGTAGGGAGCACAGAAAGGCGGAAATTCGGTCGAGCGTTCTCCAAATATATACTTCTAGAATGAGCATGTCCGCTAGTCAGAAATATGGACTCACTAAGACTCTCCATCATTGACGTGGAGGCCCTTGTTGATATCATGTCTCTATGTTGTTGAATAATTTGACCCAAAAAATGGATTTATATTGACGCCCACAAAAGAGAGGCCTTGGGAATACAACCTCCTATGATTCCAGAATGCTGCAACAGACAGTTTCGTCATAGCAGCAAACATGCGAGAAATGTAATTTTAAACCCTCATTCACCCAAGATAGCACAGCCTTGGCAAGACTATGAGGCCAAAAGAAGCCAAGAGCAGCTTTTCAGCTCCAGGCACCTATTCATCCTCTCAACAACCACCCCATCTTACTGGGTGAAGCGAATAACGTAGGGACACGGCTGCTCCCCGAACCCCTTGATGCTATTCTCCTGGACCTTGTTGACGCGATCGTTAGGAGCATTCCACATACGATCGCCCGAGTCCCTGTTGAGTGTTAGCAATTCTTCGAACGCAGCATTTGCACTGAAGAAACTCACATCATCAGCCCAACATGGTGGATGCTTTCGGTGTCCTTGCAGTCACATTTGCCACCAAAGAAAACGGCGTCTCCGGCCTTGCGCTGCGAGTAGGGGTATTTCCTATAAAGTCAGTTCGTCAGTACTCGAGACTCGATTCAAACTGGAAAAAAAAAAAAAAAAAAAAAACCACGCACTTGTACCCCAACTTCTTCTCCGAAGCACAGTACATGGACGACGTGACGCGCAGCTCCTCGCTGAACAGGTCCCGGCCCGTCACCTTGCAGACGGCCCAGCACACCAGTCCTGAGCAGTCGTAGCCCACATCGCCGTACTGGTAAGGGGGCTGGTCATGACTGGGACCTTTGCAGGAGCCACCACCCCAGGCGTAGGGAGTGTCCTTGGCCGTCATGGCGGTCGAAAGGATCTTTTGGCCGACGTCCGAGGCCGTGTTGTTTGATGGGGCGGCAATGGCACCGGAGACCAGGCTGGTCAGGAGAGCGGCGGCGAAGAACTTCATGGTTGTCTATCGGAAGACTTTTGACTTTTGAGAGAATGTAAAGATGGAAGATGTGTTTGAGATGTCCTTTAATCCAGATATCTGGGTGCAATGGGCGTTATTTATGTTCGAGTTGAGTGTTGTGGAGATCTTGAAAAAGATACATTGTGGAGTTGGGAACTTGTCGATCTAAGGCTATGCAACATCGTATTCAGATCCAGTGGCCGGGAAGCCAAGAGAGTCGATCAGCGTCTGCAAAAGTAGGGACAGAGTCCGACGTATCGTCTGTGCAAATGAAATTGATTAAAACACTTCGATCACACATGTGCACTGCCATCTCTTGAGTATCGCAGATGATGCAGACTGACAGCGCCGAGTATAGATCACGAGGTTCAGTACCTCGTGAACACATTATTGAGCATCGAAGGAGGAACAAAGTCAACCGACCAAGGGGCAATGAACACGAGAAGTGGAGGGCCAAGATCGCTTCGGTCAATCACAGCCGGCATTCTCTGGGAATAAAGTGTGGCTGAAGGCTTGGGGATCGGCATTCGTGTTCTCTCCGATAATTTTAGCACCTTCGCTCTTTTGAAACTTGTCCCTTTCCAGCAGGCTTGGCAGCCGATGCCCCGCTCGTCCTTAGACTCGTCGAATGCCACTCGATCGGGAAATCTGGAAATCAGGAGAAATCAGACGTGCATCCCTCGCTGCATATAATGCACGTGATATTTGTGCCTCAGGCAGAAGAACCCAACCTAATATCCACGCTAGCCCAAAGAGGAAATGCTACTCGGGCTTCTTTTCATTGGCGGACACATCCATCATGTGATTCTCTTCAAGTAGACCTGCGGGGAGTCCAGAGTATCTTCCTCTGCGGATCCTCGAAGACAAGTCTCTGAAAGCTCTCATTCGATGTCTCTCTACAGGAAACGGCGTAGATAGCATGCCTCGCGGAGAAGGATTCTCACGCTCGCGGACTGGTATGACGGCTCGACCCAGCAAGAAAGCAGAAGAAAGCAGGCACTGATATTTGGAGGTGGGGGGTGCGAACAGGGTGTCTTCAGTGCCGCAAGAAGCACCACAAGTGCGATGAGATCCGCCCCGCATGTTCATTCTGCGTATTGCGGGACGTAGACTGCAGATATCCCTCGGGCCTGAAATGGATCCGGCAGACGGAGCCGATGCTCTCGAGACACAGGCCTCGTTCTAAAGAGGCCCGCGAAGCCTGGTCTGATACTGACCAGATCGGCAGATTGCCAACACTTTTTGTGGATTCTGTATTTGGATGTGCGGAGGAGCAATCGGCCTGGGAATACTGTAGGTGTTGACACTATATCCGAGTTCGAGAACTTGACTGATCAAAATTGCTTTTCGCATACTCAGATGTCAGGCTCGTTTCGTCGAATGTGCCTGCATTGGATGGCCCTGATAATCCTTACCGACAGCTGTCGATCACGGCCCTCTCGTCGCCGGTTTTGCTGCACACTATTCTATGTATAGCCACAGAGCACATGCTCAATTTTGGATTCGGCAGCGTTTCTCTAGCAGCAAAACGGCAACAGCGCATGCTGAGAACAATTGGACAGAAACTGTTGGGAGTTCACGCCGGAGATCCCAATGCAGGGGCTATCGTCGACTACCACAACCATGAACACGAGGCTCTACTCGCTGCAGTGGTCCTGCAGGGTATCGTAGTTGCCCAGACCCCGGATGGTGTACTGGAGCCTCATGTCAAGTGCGCGTCATTCCTTCTTCAGACACTGGGTTTCTTCCAGAACATCCCACAAAACCCTCTTACTCGCATGGCTGTGCAGCGCTTTGCCATGGTCGACTTGATGCTGGCCATCTCCCGACAACGCCGGCCCTATGCGCCTGGCGACTTCATCATCTACCAGCCGGACCCGACGCGGTGGGACACCATCGAGCCATCCTTCCACAAAATGACCGGATGCCCCCAGCCGTTGATGTGTTTTCTCGTGCGGATATCCCATCTAGCATGCGACGTGGACGAGCGACATGAGCACGGTACGGCCACGAACGACATTTTAACTGAAGCATTGCGTCTTGACAGTGAACTGCGTGCATGGGGCTGTCAATACACGGGGAATATCCCCCAAGACGAATTGCGCGCGCCGCTAGATATTCTCACCGAGTGCTTTTACTGGACCGCGCATCTGTTGCTCGCGCGCCGCGTCTTTCGAGACGCAACCTGCTCCCTTCGAGTCCAACACCTGGCTCACACCTGCTTCGGACTCATGGATCATTTGTCTACCGGCTGTGGTCCGGATTCTTCGCTGCCGCAGCCTTTTTATCTTGCAGCGCGAGAAGCTATTACGCTCCAAGATCGCAATTGGGTGCGTCGCAAACACGCGTCGATGACCGCGTACTATCGAGAGCCGCAGCGCAATCTGGCGATGGAGCTTACGGAAAGGATCTGGGACACGACTGATGGGTTACGAGGACTGGGACCTGATGCGGTGACGGCAAATGATGAAAGTGCGCTTTCTATGGCGGATGGGTATATTAAAGCGCTGGACAGGGAGTCCTGTTTGTTTATCTTCTGACACATAATTTTTCTGTGACCTTTTCTTACTGAGTCGTTGTAGTCCTCGCCGTCTCAAGTCACCATTTCTTTTTTTTAGTCCGGGTTTAGTCGGCAACTAAAGCACCCCTGGAAACTAAAAACCACTTTTAGGAATTGACGTGAGGGCAAGACCCTTCCATGTGAATCAACTTACCCTGCTAGGAACACCATTCCCAGATAGGCAGCCGGACAAAGACCCTGGAAGTATGAAATCATGCGTGTTTACTGTAGTCCAAAACTTGCCCTGAGTGAAGACTCGACTCCCACTGCGGAGTTTCTTCGGAGCTTTCCGTTGCTGTTCGAACTATTGTTGAACGGGAGCGACCTTGACATTGTGAGATTGTGTTTTGAATTCGAACCGTCGAAGATCATTCGGATGTTACGGAGGTGTGCACGGTGGCCATTGTGTGACGTGCGGACAGGAACCCAGGATTGCCGTGTCCCCTGAACGACTCTGACGCGACCAATCAGACGGAGCAAAAAAGAAAAAAAAAGCGCAAGATCCAAGACTACCCAAACCCGGGGGGTCGGCCGGGCCCGCCTGAATGCCTGAGACCGGATTGCAACCGGTCTGGAATGACCTGTCATGCTGGCAGCGCCAATCATAACCAGCGCCAGGGCGGGTACCTGAATGGGGTGGTTCTTGTCTCTCCTGACAGTCCACACCCTCGGGGGGTTCCGTGGGTCTCGGTGTCACGGTCCGCTTATTGGCCTGCGCAGAGTGGTTCAGCCCCCTGGAACCTTGGACCATAAGAGGTTCCTGAAAAACCAGGAGTTGAGACTGGAAAGACTGGAAGAATTCGAATCGCCTCAGGATAGGGGAGAAGTAACAAGTCATTAGCAATTAGCAAATGGAATAGATAATTAGTAGTCAGGGTTGGGGGAAGAAAAAAAAATCAATGCCTGACCATGTTCCGGTGGACAGGAGTGCCGGTGTTTCAGATCCCCACGGATCTCACGTGGAGGTTGCCGTTCGGCGGCATTTGGCGACGATCAGACGGCTGTGGGATGCGTGAAAAGAGTTTGCGTTTTGTCGACGCCACGATGCCCTTTGCCCGGGTCTCTCCAATGCCCACTTTTTCTCTCTGCGTGTCGCACAATTTCCAGTGTGGGACAGACTTGGTGGGCGAGTACAGCGCGCAAGGAGAGAGACTGACCGAGAGGCTTGGGATTCTGAAGGTGCTTGGGCGCATGCAGGCCGATGCAGGGGCCAAAATAACCAGGATGGTCAGCCTCTCTGGTTCTGTGGAAAACAACGCGCCCTCGAGGTGTTTGAATTACGACATGATGCATTGCCACGGTTACCGGAACAATAAGAAATGATAGACACGAGTAGAGAGAGTGTGTGTATATGTGTAGACAGAAAGAGAGAATGAATGAAGCCCAAGTAAGAATCGAGGCCCGGTGTTTGGCCGGAAGCGCCCCACGAGGCCAGGTGCGCTTCTCCGTGCGTAGTCAGCATCTCCTGATCTCCTCTTCTTCCTCTTCCTCTTCCCTCTCTTTCTCTGTGTGTCTCTTCATTCCTTGTTATCTCATTCTTTTTTCTTTTTTGCCAGGTCGATCGTTTCACTCTTTCGCGACGACCATCTCGCTCTTTCTGTCCCGTCCTTTCGCTTTCTCGAACGGTATTATCTTGGCACCGTTCTCCGTTGATCGATTCAACCCCGGGATCGCGATTTGATCGACTCGTATACTCGGGGACAATCGATTTGCCCTTTGATTTGAGCTGCTTAGGCCAGCCTTTTTTTTTTCTATACATATTCTCTCGTTTTTTTCCCTGGGCGCCTCTGCGACGCGCCCTTACCACCCAACCCCCTCAGTTTCTGACGTGGACGGCTTCCAACGCGAGTCGACCCTTACGCCAGAGCGCTTTCGTTCTTTGACCCATTCCAGTCCTCTCGCGCTTGACGCTGCTTTGAGAGAATTGGGTTCTGGAGACTACCCGACCATTTTTTCTTTTTCTTTCTGCATCCCCCGCATCGCATCCATCACCCGTCGACCGGATCGTCATATCGTCGCCTTCTCTTCCGAAGAACGTACATTTGAACAGAAACATATCGAACAACTCCCAGAAAGATCTTTGCAAATTCGCTGTATTCTGGTATATATATCCGCGCTTGAACGATGTCGGCATTCATCCAAACGCCTGACCTCTCGGCCGGCGCGGTGACGACGGCATCGTCCTCGCCCCCGACCTCCACTCCTTCGCCGTCGACTTCGAGTGCGAATACGGCGCCCTCGTCGGCCACTCGTCGCCCTCCTCGCAAAAGCACGTTGACTCAACAGCAGAAAAACAATAAGCGACAGCGGGCGACCCAGGATCAACTGGTTACCCTCGAAGTTGAATTCAACAAGAACCCCACCCCCACAGCGGCTACCAGAGAGCGAATCGCACAGGACATTAATATGACCGAGCGATCCGTCCAGATCTGGTTTCAGAATCGGTAGGCGTTTCTAGAGTGGTTTGTGCCGCGTTCTTTTTGCTGATTTTAGCAGCCGTGCCAAAATTAAGATGCTTGCGAAGAAGAGTATTGAAACGGGCGAGGGCTGCGATTCAATCCCCGAGTCTATGCGCCATTACCTTGCGATGCAGATTGACCCCAACAAGCCTGCCTCGAGGGATTCCTTCAGCCGCACACCTAGCTACGGGGCTCCCAGCATGTATGCAAACGACGCAAACCCGTCCAGCAAAGTTGGTATGTTTCTTGGGTTCACCGGAAAGCCAGGTGTTGGGTGAAAATACTAACTTTGATAGTGATCTCCCATTTCACCTGCCGTTCCTTGACCATCGGTAGCTGGCGGCGCATTGGGCAAAACGCGATGGACCTGGTGGTCTTCTACTCGCCCGACAAGGCCTGCATGACTTACTACATCAACAATGACGCAGCCGGCTATAAGATCGAGTATCCCTTCTCCTACATCAAGAACATCTCTCTGGAGACTGGTGATCCGACTCCTGGGCCGAACGGCGCCCCGCCTCGCCCTGGTGGCCTTGTTGTGGAACTGAACCGCCCACCGATGTTTTACATGGACTCCTCCAACTCCGGCGGCTTTTACCAGTGTGGAGACTTCACTGAGGAGCAGCAGGCGAGCCAAATGATGGTTCATCACCTGGGAGGCCATCCCAAGGTTTTGAGTGTTCAACTCGCCAAGCTGGTGTCCTTGGAGTCTTTCCAGAATCGCCTGGCGTACAACAACGACAACAACGCCGCCAACAACAATTTCGCCATGTCGGCCACCCCCGCGATGTCACCGCCTTTTATCCAGCGCTCAGCCTCCCAGCCCAATCACTTTGCCCCTCCCGCCTACATGGGACTGTATCAGGACAACAATCACCTGGGACTGAACATGCCTCCACCACGTGGACACAAACGCCAGCGGAGTCGCTCCGTGCCTGCCGCTGTTGACATCTCGACGTTGCAGGCTCCAATGCCCTCTTTCCACGGCCCATCGCCCTCGGGGCCGTTCAGCAGTGCCGACTCGGGCATTTATGCGCCTGTCCCGCAATCGACCCATGCTCTTCCCACGGATCTCCGCATTGATACCGAAGGATATGGACTAGACTTCCGCACAAACTCTATGTCTGCGGCCACGGCCGGATCACCGTCGGACTTTGCTAGCCCATCCATGTTCAGCAGTGCCGCTCAGGGAGAGTCAACCCCAGTTGCTAGCATGACTCCTCAATTCAATGTCCCCTTCGTCCCGGGAGGCTCGACGGATGCATCCACGATGGGATCGCATGCCGCATCGCCGTACTCTAACGTCGGCCCGGCCGATCCATTGATCGCCGATCACTCGCCTCCGCTGTCGAATATGTCGCATGCTCCATCGGACATGTATGGGTTCGCTCACGATCCCCAGTCTGCCTTTGTTGAGGATGGCATGTCGATGAATGAGATGTACCCCAAGCATCACGTCCAATTTGGAGTTTCGCACGATGGCCCCAGCTTCGAATTGCCTATGCATGGCTTGCCGGGCCACCCCTCACCAGGGTTGGGTGACTACTCGCATGGTATGGCCAACCTCGACGAGATGAATTCTCACGGTTTGCCATCTGGGCCCTGAGTTTTTGCCGGTGAAGGCTATGCGTTCCTCTTGATTTTGATGTTTTACGGCTTTTGGCGTGCTGGTGGCGCTTTTTGGCGCTAGAGCTGGTTAATGGTTGCTTTTTTGATACCCTGGCGGAAACCGTTGCCCAGTGGGTGAACTCTCAGCCTGGGCCTGATCAAGGTTCTCTGAGAAGTTCGCTAGCATTGGCCAGGAAAGCTGTACCGATGGGATTCGTTCTTGTGTTTCTGTTTTATATATCCCTTCTGCCTTGCTGTACTAATACCCTTTTCATTCTGGGGCGGGTCCTGACGCGTTTTGTTGTTTTGACATTCATGCTCATGGGTTCCTGGATGTTCCGGTTGAATATTGAGCTCTTTCTTTGTTTCTTGTCAGTGTTCTCGATTCGGAGATTATTGGCTGGGAGCACTGTTTTGTCTTGCAGTGCCCTGGCTTTTTTTTTGGCTTTTGTTTGTCTGTTTTTCTTTTTACGTGCTTATGCCAAACAGATCGACTTGGACGGCGACTCCATTCCCCTCAATTTTTCTTCTCGTGCTCTCTTTTTTGTGATTTACTTTTGAGGTGGTTGGTTCACGCACACACTACTTGGATCCCACCACCTCGTTGCGATGGCCATCCTTCTTGCCATGGGTCTGGAGTCGGTCTGCGCGCAGTGTCCTACCGGCACCTGTTTGGGTCTGCTATTCTACTGGCGTTGCTTCTGCTGTCTGCTCAGGGTTGTGATATCCTCTGGGTGGGAGCAGAAGCCGGATGAAGGCGCTGGTCTGACGGTAAACGAGCGTGGGGGACTGACACTAGGCCTGAAACAATTCATTTTGTATCGCAAACTTCCGCGGAGATGATTCGTAGTTCTTGATTTCAATAGATTTCAGTAGATGCATAATTATACAGGGTGACATCTGAGTAGGATGCCTACCTCGATATGTCCATAGACTACACATTATCGACACAACCATATGCCCATAGGCATTCCCCAAAAGTGATAATAATCAGTCAGTATCCCACCCCCTTGGCGCCGGCGCCGAATACCCCTTCCTCTCACGCAAATATCGCTCAACCCAAACCTCCATCTTCTCCAGTATATTGCGCTCAGGCTTCCCTTCCTCGCCCGGCTCAAATACCCCCTCCTTACACCAAACACTCCAAGACCCCATCATACCAGCCATCAACACATCCGTGCCCAAGCGATCACCCACAACCGCAATCTCACCGGCCGACCCGATAACCTCGCGCTCCTGAAACCAGCGCACGACCTCGTCACCGCAGAACGGCTTCTTTTCCGCGCCGGCCGGCAGCCGGAATACAGGGATGCACAGGTGTGCCAGCTGCGCCTCGAGGTCGCGCACCTCGGCGTCGTAGGCCGGGTGGCTTCCGGCACGGTTGGAGACGATTAGGATTGAGTGTGGGTGCCGCGTGGCATGGAAGGGGGATGTTGGGGAGGTGCGCAGTTCGTGAAGTTTTGTGAGGATCTTGGGTGGGAAGGTGGTTGTTTTTGGGGGGCACAGGGTGTTGTCTTTGTCGAGGACTAGGGCTCGGATTGTGGGTGTTCGCGCTGATGGGGTTTGAGGGTGCTTTTCCGGGTTCGGTGGGGTGGTGTTATTGCGCGTTGACCCTGTTGATACGAGGTGGGGTCCAAGATCCTCGGGCAGGTGCGTGAAGGTTGGGATGGTGAGGTGTGGAAGGAATTGGGTGGGCTGTTTGAGGAGCGTGTGGACTGCGTGGTTGAAGCCGCGTAGGTTGGTGTTGGGGGAGCCGGCCATGGTGAACGAGTGTCTGGTATTTGGGGAGAGAGGAAGAGGGGAAAAAAAAAAGACCGAGGCTATATGCTATGGAAAATGCATTATAAAAACAAAATCCAAGAAGCGCAGATGCGAAAAACAATGCGTCCATAAAAACCACGAGAGTCGAGTAAGGCGGAGACCATATCTTGGCCGAAGGCGGAGAAGGAGCTTCGCAAACTTCACCTTTCTTCTCCCCTCGACTCTCCCGCTAAACCACCTCACCCCTCAATTCCTTGGGCTGCCTCTGCTAGACTTTTCTTTGATGAGCAGATTGCCGCTGTGATTCCGTTCATATCGTCTGCCTCCTTTCGACACTCGATTCGTGTCGCACACTCAAGATGGGCAAGCTCACCAGCACCATCGGCATCCCGATCAAGCTCCTCAACGAGGCACAGGTGCGCTTGGATCTTCCCAGTATTCTGACAGGGACACACCGTGGATACAGGATCGTTATGAGGGAATGGATAAGGTCGTTCGTTGGGCAGATCGCTAATTCTTCCTCGAACAGGGCCATGTCGTGACGCTCGAGATTACATCGGGTGTTGTCTACCGAGGGAAACTGCTTGAAGGTGCGTGATATCTGGATCTCTTCTTCTCTTGCGCTTCCACCTTGGCTTGACTTCGAAGACAATTTCGATGCTATCTGGCCGAGTCAACCATTTCTCCGATATTTTGGGCTGATTTTCTCCCCTACAGCCGAAGACAACATGAACGTCCAGCTCAAGGATATCACCGTGACCGCACGCGACGGCCGTGTGTCGCATCTCGACCAGGTCTACATCCGGGGAAGTCATGTGCGATTCTTCATCGTGCCGGACATGCTGAGGTGCGTTGGACTTTTCCTCTCCACAATTCTTATCTACCCCCTATGCCAAGTCGCGCATTTTCTATGAGTACCTCTGACCACTCTTCTTTTTATAGGAACGCTCCCATGTTCCGTTCACGAGGCCAGCGCGGGCGCGGTGTCGGTTTGGCGCGTGGTAAAGCCACGGTGCAGCGGGCGCGCGGCCAGCGGAGGGGCTGAATATAAGAGGATGAAGCGGAGACGAATGGGGCAAGGGTATGATTCTTTTTTCTTTCTCAAGACCCGGCAAATTCCAGTGGTTGGCGTTCATTCTGCTTTTTTTTACTTGGTCAATGGAGAACAAAAATGTCCCGGGCTTTTGTGGCTTGCTGGGCCGTGGCTACATATTAGCATTTCTCCTTGGAGCTTGTGTCGTACCACTCTAGATCATGAATCAATACCCGGCTCAGTGTATTCCGGAAAGGATCAAGATATTGTACTATATTGAGGCTGGACGTTAAATCGGGTCTCCAATCCCACTACGAGGGCTCATAAGTATCAATTGGCCAGTAAATTGTGTTGCAATAGACCTCCAGCATGAAACTGATTGTAAAAATCGGCTTTTCTTGAATCCGACGTAAAAAGGACAAGAGAGACGCGATCCAGGCCTCCGATTCTGCGATGCGGGACCGAATTCCAACTGCCCACTTCCACACCTCAACCCACCCAATGCCAGCCATTGCCTCAGCCAGGACAGCACCCACGGAACAGCAATCTTAAGCTTCCCTGCTTTCTTCCATAAAAACAGATCCTCGCGATGGCTTCTCCCGCAAAGGCCACAACATCCCCCGCAAAAGTGCGACACATCACCAAGCCACGCCGCCTGCTCATCCTCTCGCCAACTTCGCAATCAATATCGATAATCCCTCCCCTTCTACACTCCCTCACCGGCGTCTCAGTCCAAGACCCTCCCCAGCAACAAAAGACTCACTCCTCTTCCTCAGAGCCAACCGCCCCGCCCCAGTCCACGCCTACAACCACCACGTTCGCCGGGTACACAACACACAGCCCATTCCGCATCGAGACAAAATACTACAGCGCCGAGGTCCCAGTCTGGGTCGACGAAATCCCACTCGAGACCGAGCAACCTACCACTACGACTACCAGTACCACCGCCACCAAGACAAATGCATCTACAAACCCCACGGTGCAGCAGTGGCAAACCGAATTCCTGAGCGAGGAAGCAGATATCGTGCGCGATGCCGTCGGTGCACTAGTTGTGTGCGCGCACAATCCACAGAATCCAGATCCAGATCCGAGTGGCGGGACGACCACCGCAGACTCGGTAGCCAACCGGCCGGATGTGCGCGCGCTGTGCGAGCTAGTGCGCGGCGTCGGCGCCGTCAAGGAGCGCATCGACGAGGAGCGTGGGGGCGTCGGTGATGTGCCTAGTGTGTTTGTGCTTGTTGGGGGTGGGAATGGCGCTGTGTCGCGGTCCCAGCAAACACCGTCGAGTGGGTCGGCGCAAACGCAGCCGGATCTGGATCTTGGGGTGGATGACACGGATCTCGGGGGTGGTGCAGAGGATGCGCCGCTCTCAGTGGGGTGGTGGGAGGACCGGTTGTTTGATATGGGGTTGTTGGGGTGGGAGGTTGTGGAGTGGAACCCGAAGGAGCAGAGTACAGAGACGAGGCGGAATCAGTCTGGGGGTGAGTTTTGTTCTCTGGAGTCATTTGCCATTTCCTTACTATGTTATTTCATTGCTGACCCATTGCAGAACTCGAGGGCATGCCGCGCATCAAAGAGGTCCTCGAAACACACGACTGGACTGCTTCCAGCGACGATCCCCATCTGGACCCCGATGCTGGAGCTGATATCGACGATGACCTCGAAACAGAATTGCTGGGTTTTGGTGGCTCTACACATACACGCGGCTTTAATGACGAGGTGCATGAGCTTGAGCGTGAAATGCTCGGTTTGCGCATGGCTATTGAGCGGGGTGGAGGGGACGGCGAGGAGGATCAGGCCGGGGGCGATGACGAGATCAAGGTTGAGTCTATGGAAGGGCTGATGATGCGGATGCAAGCAATTCGAGGTACGTTGTTCCCCTTTGGTTTACCTATCCATGGATGGGGTGGTGATCGGCTGACACTCCCTAGATATGAGCTTTGAACTGCCGGAAAGCGAGCGCAAGAGGTTCGCAGCCAAAGCTGTGCAAGATATTATGCGAGAAATATAGTAACTGGCTTACATCTCAACATATGTTGCGTTTTTACGCAGGCACGATGATAATTAGAAAGACATCTTAGACTTATATTCAGCCCAAACTAGACATCATTAAGACATTAAATTCGTCGAGTGCATATTGTATTTAGTATCTATAAAAGTAGCTGAGCATATAATTACAGGAGACATATTATGTCTTTTGGCCCTATCGTCTGCAATCAACACACCTGCTGGCACTCCCTCACCAGTTCATCGCCCATAGACTACCACTACCACCATTAATCGGCGCGCTGCTTGCCGCGCATGACCTTGCGCCTCTGCGCAATCATGTGTGTGTACAGGATATACGAGCCTAGAAAAGTCAGTGGATTCCATATCCTCAGATAAGTCGATATTCATGGACATGCATCAATCCACGAAATAGGAAGACATACCAGGCACATAGATCACAAGGATGGCAATCAGGGCATACTGGAACAGCGGGTTGAGCTCCGCAGCGGGACCGAGGGCTTGCAAGATAAGGGTGCACTCGCTGGAAATGCCAATGGGGTAGAGGACGTAAAAGGTGTTGTACCTGCTAGATGTTAGCTGGTTCTTGATACTGATCTGAGAAAGAAGAATGTCAACAACATACCGCAACCAAGTCCACCACGCAGGTACCGAATTCCCCGACAACGTAATCGCAAAGAACCCATAACGAATGACTTCCGTAATCCCCCACGCACCCACACACCCCAAGTACGCATAATCACCCAGCTGCGCGCTCCCCTCCCGTCCAACAATCTCGCCGCCGAACGGCGCCATAATGCCCCACACCAGCAGCAGCCGACTGGCCACCTGCATAGCGGTAGTCAGGAATGGTGCGCGCACGAGGCGCACCAGGCTGTGCAGGACCTCCAGCGTGGCCAGTGACTGCGTTGCCAGCAACAGAGGCGAGAAGGTACGCTTGAAGACGGCGGGCAGATTGTTGAGGCCGAGGGCGAAGGGGATCTGGCTCGCGGTGTAGACCACGCAGGATCCCCAGAGCACGAGGTTCAGCGTGTTGTAGGCGAAGAGGTAGGCCTTTGTTGGGCCTGTCGGGGCGGAGGACCGCGTTGTGGCGGTGGTTGTTGACGGGGCCATCTTGAGAAGTGTGTGATGGTGGTAATTGAGCTTAGCGTGTGGTTTAGAGATCGAGTCTGGGGATTGCTTGGCTTGGATGCCAATTGGCGACGGGATCGAGGTGCACAGGAGCTATGCAGTTTCCCCAGAGGAAAAAGGGACCTCGGTGGATGACTCAGCATTCCAGAAGGCCCGTCGAAGCTTTGAAGTTAAACATCGATAGATCACCTACGCCGCTGTCCACGGGTATGTCTGCGGTTCTTCTTATTATTCTCTGGCTTTTGCGTTGCATGGACTCCATTGGGACCACTAGCGTATACATCATGTGCTAATTCGTGGGCTCAATGTGGCGCCTCGCTTGGTTCTCTCTCCAAATCTCACTCCTGCAGGGGAACAAGACGAAGCCGAGTCCATGGTCCTGGTTGCCAACAACGCGACGTATTTCTCCACTGATCCGGGCAGCACTGCGTGCTAATCTAAATGATTCGAAGCTTTGTGGTGACGGCACGAAAGAAATAACCGACTGCCTTACAAGGACAACCTACTTCTCGCATAGCCTCGACATAAAAGATAAGAAAGCCCCGCTATAGTGTCTCACCCAATATCCAATCCCTGCAGAAACGCAGGGCCTGTCACTTCCATGGCGTGCTGATAGCAAACATCTGCATGGTGGGTCCACTCGGGCCACGATTTAGGGCGAGATTTAGCGGGCGTCCAAGGCGTCCACAGCTCGAGTCAGGTGGAATGCTCCTCTCTCCTTCTCTACTACTACTACTACTACTACTATTTCTCTGTATACGTAGTATGGTAATCTCTAGTAGATTGATCGGCAATATCTAACTGTAAGTAACAAATGGTTGGATATCTGCCGAAGAGCAGACTCCGAGCCTGTATCACCGCCGAGGTCACACATCTCAGCCCCCAACTGCCTTGTAGATGCCGTATGCGAGGTGACATCATTAAGCAGAGATACAATTACCCTTACCCCTTGCCAGACCCGTCAACTGGACAGTCTACAAATTACACGGTATTGTCAACGTGAATACATGACATCACCGGTGATGTCATTTCTATTGATTGGCGGAGAAAACTCAGAACCAACCACACACAAAATGCCCATCTCGCTATATAAACACCCGCATGTCGAGAGGGATTCCTTGGGATCGAATTATTTAGACGGTTTCCCCTTTTTGTTTCTTTGTCTATTATGTTTTCGAGGTTTCCCCTCTGGTCAGACCTAGACAGAAAAAAAAAGTTGTCTCTCAGCAATCGTCATCGGTGACAGCATAATCCCTCGGAGCGCGAAACCCCCCTGACCCTCGCCTTTTTTTTTACTGCCCCCGCAACAGCAAGCTCAAACCCACTCGGCTTAGAATTCCAGAACCAGGAACGCAGATTATATGCAGTCTGACTCTCTTGGATTCATTATGTTGGTGCGCGAGGGGCCAGACCATTGACTGGGTGCCGACGCCGAAGATTTACAATCCTTGTCTTACACGATGTCTCTCAAGTCCCAATCCAACAGACTTCCAAGTGGAGATGTCTTTTTTCTTTCTTGTTCGCCTGGGCTTACCACAGGTTCGACTGGGTCTGGACACGACGGTTCCACGCGCGGCTGGAAAAGAAAAAAGTCGCACACTCGGGAAAAAGGGGAGACAGATGACGTCCCTGGCACTGGGATCGGCGCCCCGATGATGTCGTTTCGCGGCTCGCCCTGCCAGATCTCGTGTCTTGGTCTAGCTTGGTCGGTCACTTGCGGTCAAAAATACGTGTTCTCTTTTCTTTCCTTCTATTATTCTCTGACTGTTATCCCCCCCCCTCTCCACTACTCATCTCCCTTTTAGTACACCTGCACAGAATCCGCCTGGAAGGCAGTCCCGATGCGCTCAAGCGTTGTGGAGATTCCCGGAGTTTCTGCCACGGTTGCAGCTGACCAGATATGATTCAGCAATGATTTCAGTGCCCGACAGCTCGAGCACAAAAGCATTGCCTGGGTCTGGGGTCTTGGGGTGTAAAAATCTACATGTCAAGAGGAGCAAAGTAACTAACTATACAGACATTTGTGATACGGATTGTGACTGCTACAGTATTAACTGGGAGACATCCTTGGCAGAAAAAAAAATATAGAAATAGATTTTTCTCTCTATCCGACTTCAATGGCCCCAATGTGTAGGGATATTGTATCATCGGACTCCATCACAGACCCATTCCATGCTTTCCCCTCGCAAGCAAAATCGGTGAAAGTGTCGCTTTTTTTTTTTTTTGAAGCTGTGGGAATAGTTTTGCTATTTCTTTTTCTTAACCATTTGAAGAGTTTTTTATTTGAGATTTGTTTTTTTTTTTTCTGCGATTGTCATCTCTCCACTTGTTCCTTCGGGGTCAGGTCCCCGTTTGATTTGGCCGTGAGTGCCGATGCTCGTCTCCATCGACTTTACCCACCAACCGTTCTCCGCCCCTCCGTTCCTCTCTCTTCCTCTTCTTCCCCCTTCGGAGTCTCCGTCTTTTCTTTCTTGTTGTCTTTGATCTCCCTTGGGATTCGCTTCTTTTTCTTCGTTTTCTTCTTCTTTCTTCCCTTACTCTGGTGGTGACCTTGAAGCCAAGAGCTTCGAGAAGGACAGGTCGAAAAAAAAAGGTGGGATGAACCCAACCCCGAGACGCATTCTTTCTGCCCCTCCATTTTTTTTTGTTGTTTTGCCGATATAAATCCCCCTACACGCGATACCCGATTGATAGGCAGCATATCTATCGTTTTTATCTTTTCTTGCCATTTTTTTTGGTTTCTTGCTGTTGCGGAAGTGGAACCCGGCTGCAGCAGTGCGTTCATTGCCTTCTCCTCCGCCTAGTCTGGTCGAGTATACGCCAAAAATGAAAGGTGGATGGGCCCCAAGATTTATTTGATCGGAGCCCTACTTTCTTCCCACATCCCCTTTCTTTCTCTCCCTGGCATCGCACCGTAAGCGGTTTTGGCATCTACCCCTTCTCTGCTCTCCCTGGGTCGACTTCCACGCGGTGTGTTTGAACCTCTTGTGTGTGATATGATTCCCTTTTTCTGGATATGATTGTCGCTTGCATACTTCCCCACCAATGAGCCCAGGCATGACGGTCTGATCCTGACCTGGGTGTTGTGGCGTACAGCAACTCACCTCCCCGTGGCATAGATCGAGATCTTTTGCCCTTGATCTCTCGACAGCCTCTCAACCCCTCCGTCTTGCATTGGTGCCTTGATCTGTAATCCACCTACCACCCTTGGCTCTTTTGTAAGGCACCGGATCCGTGGATTGTGTGCGGTTCTTCCAGAAGCACAGACACCGGTGCTATAATTCTCATCATCTTTGCTTTTTGCTGGTTTGGGCTGTGTCGTGCAAATTGCTTTCGCTGCGCTGTTTCCAATGAAGACGTGATATTTCCATGGACTCTCGGGCTAACTGGACTTGCAAGCAGATCCCTCGAGCCATCTTACTGTTGGACTGTCTAGGCATCAGACCGGGTCCGTTCAATCCAACCATCATCCGATAGTCTGCACTGGGATCCAGATCTCTTCCTCACTATCTCTTCTTTTCCCTTTTCTCTCTCATCTCCCCCACATTCACATACCCCGCCATGGCACCCACCGACCCCAAGAAGGCGGCAGAACCTGTGAGGACCTTTGCAGCCCGTCATCAACTTGTCCATAAGCTCTGACTATCCATACCAGGCCAAGACCGAGGGCCCTCCCCAGCTCTCGGATGTCAAGGAGCTGATTGATGCGAGCACGTTCGAGCAAATCCTGGAAATGGACGATGACGACGACCGCGACTTCAGCAAGGGCATCGTCTACGGGTTTTTCGACCAGGCCGAGAACACCTTTAACAAAATTGAGAAGGCAATGTACGTGCACCGATAGTTTCTTCTTCTTCTCCTCCTTCATATCTCATACTGAATCTATTACTAACTCCCAATACAGCAAGGACAAGAAGCTCGACGAGCTCTCGTCTCTGGGCCACTTCCTCAAGGGATCGTCCGCCACCCTGGGCCTGACCAACGTCAAGGACGGCTGCGAGAAGATCCAGCACTACGGCGCCGGCAAGGACGAGACGGGCGCCGTCGACGAGCCCGACGACGAGGTGTCACTCAAGAACATCGACACCACCCTCAAAGAAGTGAAAGTCGAGTACGCCAAGGTCGAGAACTTCCTGCGCCGCCTCTATGGCGAGGATATCAAGCCAGTGGAAGAGGAGGCCAAGGAAACCAAAGAAACTAAGGAGACCAAGGAGGCCAAGCCGAAGGCTGAGTCTAAGGACTCGAAATAAACGCGAGTGCGAGTTTATCCATGGATGTGTGAGGGCGTAGCTGCATGATATGATATGCGCCCATTCTAGCGGTTTTTTTTTTTCTCTTTTTGTTTATTTCTCTTATTTTGCTTTTTTTTCTTTTTTATTTTCTCTTAGCGACGGATGGAGCATTGCAATGGGGCTCTTTTCTTTTCTTCCCCCCCCCCCCCTTCTTATTCCCTTTGCTTTCCTTCTCCCTCTGGGCTCTTCTGTTTCCCCATATGACGTACATAAAATCCTTCCCCCTCCGCCTCTTTCCCCTCTGCCCTCATCCCCTCGCTTCCGTTCCCCCTCGGGCTGGGGCTGGGTCTTTGCATGAACGGATTTACCTGGTTCTGGACACGTAGCTGTAGTCATGAGATTGCCATGATACTTTATCCAGGCCTAAATCCTCCATTCCCGATTCGAAGTGATAAGAGACCAGGCAGAATTCAAGAACTAGACAAGCCTTCCGGTGCCGTCTTTTACCTACGCCGTCTAGGCTTCAGCCTCTCCTAAAACCGTGCTCGAATGATGCTTTGGGGCTATTTTCGACCTGGGATGTATACTTACAACCTGTGGATGAAACCCGCTGTTTCTGAGCCAGCTATTGGCGTCTTAAAAAGCCTCCTTCAGCCACATGCATCGCCATTGGCAGTAGTCGATAAGCTTGAATTGATCTATCTGCCCTATTCCACTTTGGCGTTGGTTGCGAGAATTATAATTCTTGCGGGAACTTTAGGTTATACCAATTTATCTATTCGGCCAAGATAATTTGAGAGAGCATTTATAAAACTCCCCTGGCAAATCCTTCAAAGATCACCTTCCCCATTCTCAACATCATTTCTCCACCCAGTATCCGATGTACACGCCCCCGAGCCTCAGTCAAACGCAACACCGCCGAGAACGACGAACGAATAGCCGCTGTTAGTGAGGAGAGGCTGGGGAAATACTGCAGCTGCGATCCAGCCTTGCAGTGGCATCGGGGAGAAGAGATTGAAAACGCGCATCGAGAACCTGCAGCGGCAAGCTTGTTTGGGAGACAATGTGACACGGATTGAAATAAAGTAGAAATCCAACTCTGACTTTCTTTCAGATAGGAGAGACTCTGTATTTTTTCCGAAGGCACTCCCATGATATTTTGGTTTTGCGTTCCTTTTTTTTTTTTACAAATATCTCTCTGGATCGATATTGGCAGATGATATGCCGCAGCCACAATATCTCCCCCCTCTTCGTGGGATCGTGCAGAATCAGAAACTTCATAGATGACGTGCATTTATTTCATCCGTGCCTCGTGCACGCTTCCCGGTGTCATCCGTCTTCGAAGAGTAACCGAAGGCACAGCGAACGAGGAAAAGCTCCGACACGGAGATTAGCCGGGGGGGAAGACTGGTTCGCGTTACCCTCTCCATGCTTTCATTATTCCTTGTTTTTATTATTATTAGTTAAGTTGATTTAAATTATACTTCCATTTCTTCCTTGTCCTTCTTACTCTGTTGCAATCTAGGTTTTTTCGCACGTGTAGTCACCGTGTTTCAGGAACCCGGGACTATATCCTTTGCACGAACTCGAGATGATGGATCTTGTAGTAACTACATATCTCTTCTAATGGTAGCTTCGATTTCAAATCATGACCGGTTTCCAAAATTACTTTCTCTTTTTCACAGATACCTCTTTGTAACCTCTGGGGATATGCAAACGAGGGAATCAGCATCGAGTCCAGCAGTCCCTTGCGACGAACAAGACTTTTCCCCCGCAACGGATGCAACTCCTCGTTGATCGCAATATAGCAGCATGCAGACTGTTAATGCAGACGCAAGTACGCTGGTCGTTTTTTACAAATTGCCTACCCATTGCATCCTGGCCTGGGCTTTCCGGCCTGGCGTGTCGCACGGCATTGCCAACGAGTCTTTCTTACCCTCGGGCCGGCGGGCAGGTACATATCCCTTTCTCCATGAAAAGAAACGAACGATTCAATTTATTCCTGGGGGAGTTCAGTGATCCTCGAGATGTCGAGTTTACTCTCCAAATGCTCCCCAGATTTGTGCCCCGTAATAGCCGCGCGGTAGTGACATGCTTTGTTTACTTGAATGTCAACTTGGAAGTACTTTCGCAAGTCCAGATTCTTATATATTGAACTTGCTATTCTAGGCTCCGGATACACACATCGATGTGGGGAACTAGCTATGGCCTCCAGCCACTTTTTCTCACTTAGCGATCCGAGGTATATCGGTTGGCCTCGAAGACTACTCTCCCTCCTTTTGTTCATGCAATGCACCTATACCTTTACTACATATATCTCCTACCCGTCTGTCTCGGATAGCAGACTCGACATCAAAAATATCTTCTCTTCCCTCCCTCGATGATCGACGCTCAGTCCTCGACCCTTCCCCAACAATCTTACGGAGTCTGTTTGTCTTTCGGATAGAATCACTTCTATCTCGCCAGCGACAGTGTACAACCGCGTATCTTCCTGTAACGTAACCCGTGCTACCGTTTGCCTTCTACTCAAATCTTTTATTTTATTTTTTCATTACTTTAATCTTATTACTATCTTTTATGTCTTATTTCATTCTACCAGAAGAAGTACAGTCCATATACTCCTATCCACTCAGAACCCTCTCATCTGCGCAACCCTCCCCGGCCCGCGACACGGTTTGAGGTACATGTAATCCGGGGTTGGATCTCTCTGGGGTGGTTAATGGGCAGGGAGAGGCAAGAGGTGGCCGAATAAGAGATACCTTGTACTACCTATTTCAAACCAAGCCCCAGTGCCCAGTGAACCGCAAACCCCAAGGATCAGTACCGTACTTCCGTCTCTCTTGGTCTAAGTATCTTGGGAAATGGAGTATCTGAAAACACACACGAGCCACCTGGAGGTCCTCGCCCCCACACATACCCTCTCGGCTCCGTCTCAGCACCCCGATCCTCTACTTCCCGGTGTACACATGCGCGCATGCGAAGAGTAAAAAGATAAAACAAGAACCGGATAGTCTGCTGGTCATCGACTGACCTCGACCATTTTAATTTCATGGGTTCTGTGTCAGTCAAGTCTTTGCTTGCCCACCTGGATGGATTACGGATTGCCTGCGTCCGTCTGCGATTGTTTCTTTCCCTCGTTCGTTCGCTCTCGGTCCTGCTTCGTCCCGGCGTGCTAAAGCGCATCTGATTGCATCGGCTCTGTCGACAGCAACAGTCCCCTTACCCCTCGTGCAAGAACGCAGAAAAGAGGTTAGTGGCCGTTGGATCTCTCTTTCGTCCGTGCCTTCAAAAGAGAGATATAAAGCCGGGCTTTCCTGCCCGTTGGCTTTGCCTGGCACAATTGTCTTTCGTGGATTCTTCATACTCGGAGTTTATTGACTCGAGTACCTTTTCCCATATATTTGTTGAGACTTGTCTTTAATTTCTTTTAATTTGTGTTCTGCATCGCAGCAGTCTTATATCACCACCACTTATCTATTACCCATCTATATATACTCAGTTATTCCTCACAAGACCATGGCACCCGTCGGTCCACGCGTGTCCAAGGAAGAATTCATGCACGCCTTGGGGCTGAATCCACACGACCCCCAGCATGAACAGTACTATCGCGCTATGCGAGTAAGACGGCCCTTTCCCCTTGCCCTAACCACCAAGCCTTTCCTTTCCACACCCCAATCCAACCAACCAACAACAATTATATATCTATGGATAAATCTATGAATACATCCATTGCTATATAACTAACACAAACCAGGACGAAGCAATCATGGTCTACAACATCCTAAACCAAGACACCTCGCACCTCCTCGACAGCATCCACACCGACCCCAGCACCCGCCCCCCGTTCTTCTGGCACCACATCCGCCCGGACCACCAGCGCTGGGCTGTCCTGGAGATCTGGCGCAATGCCGGCCCGCTGACCCGCCCGCTGTTTGACCGCGGCGGCACGAATGGCGAGTACGGGCCGAACTGGGTTTCCGGGTGGTTGCTCTACAGTGTGTTTCGGTCGCGGGATGTGCGCAATAATCGGAATCGAAGGAAGGGGGAGAATGGGGGTGTTACTGACGGTATGTTCTTTTTCTTTTTCTTTTTCTTTTTCTTTTTCTTTTCTTTCTTCCTCTTTCTACTGCTCTGGTTTGTTGCTTGGATCAAGAATTGATTCTCTATAGACAGACGAACAAAGCAGGTCGAGGAGACGGCGCCGCCGAAGAAGGGTTACTATGACCCGGTGCGAAATGGGACGCTCTAGATGACACATCTGCTATGTTGTATTTCCTTTCTTTTTTTTTTTTTTGATGTGGAGTTTGTCTATTGCATTTTGTTTCCTGTATCCCTTTTTGTTTCCAATGTAAGATGATCATCGCCGAGGTATGACACGCCCAAAATGTAATGCAAATCTGAATCTCAGCCAGCCCTGTGCCTACATAAGTCATGCAGCAGACATGGTAGAATATCCAACCAGACCATTAATCGTCATCATGGCCATCTTTATCTTCCCCGCGCTGGCCCTTGCCATTCTTCTGACGACGCTCCGACCTGAGCACTTTGGTCACCCGGTCATCCTGCTCGTCGGCACGCTCGTCCCACTCGGCGTCGTATTCAGCGGCAATGCTCTTGATCTCGCGGCGCAGCAGGTTCCCCTCGTCAATGAGTGACTCCCACATGTGAAGATCGACGTGATGGAGCTGGTAGAGCTTCTTTTGGCGTGCGCTGATAGTAAAGTCCAGCGCGGACCGGTATGAGATCTCACGATTGTGGTACAGGAACCACAAGTAACCGCCCATCAGCGTCGACAAACTGACTAGGTACGTCACCGGCTCCATGGTATCCCAACCGAGGTCCGTCTCGAATGTGAGTTTGTAGACTGTGAACCACCACGTGGACAGAATGCCGAAACCGCCAATAGCCACACGTTGCGCGCCGCGGTGGGCGAGAGAATCGCAGGTTTGTTTGACCTCGGCGATGCGCTGAATTCGGCGCGAAAGCTTGCGCAGCCGCATCCGCAGGAAATACGTGCGCTCATTGAACGACGGCACCGCCACACGGATATGTCCGAGTCCAGACGGCGCGCCCTCGATCGTCACAATGAACTCGCGCGTGCGAGCTGCGTCGCGGATGAAATCGCCCACCTCCGTGGCCTGGGACCACCGCACGAATCGATCAGCATTTGCGTCACTGGAATCCACATCTGGGTCGGCCCGCCGCGGGTAGCTGTATGTCTCGACGTCTTCTTCTCGCGACCGTCGCCGCCTTTCCCACCGGGGACCCGTGGTTCTCGCTAGCTGGCCCGCTGAGGTGGGGCTCTTTATCGCCTTCCAGCTCATGGTCATCTTCAATTCGCTTTTTGGGCTTGATTGCATTGTCCTCATGTTGCAGCGCGATAAATGACACTGCTGGTGGCCGAAGCCTCTCCCTTTCTCCTTCGATGGGCGGCAATTCTGACTGGATCAACCGCTCCAGATATGAGAGTGGCTGCTGCGGGTGAACCAGTATGGCAATAGGCTCGATGCCTGTGGGGTTGGTCAGTGTACTGCACAGTTATGCAAACTGGTTAAGGGTTCTTACCCTTATCTTGGCCTTGATTGCTGACAATGGTCAAGGGGATAATCAATTTAAAGAGCCGGGAAGGCGTCGTCAACATCTTCCCTGTTTGAAGTTAGACGTTGTGTTCTCTGCGCACTAGATAGTCTCATACCTTGTGTTATCCCTTCTGACCATTGATCTGTCTGGGTCCCCGACTGAGACCGCCGCCTACCCTCCTCAAGCACCTGGCGCTGAGGCTGAGTATCGTGCTCATCCTCCCTGACCTCGAAACTCTCCAGTAGCTCTTCTGTCTTCTCCTTGTTACTGGTAGATGGTCGATTGGCCTTTGTAAAGCTCCGTGTCTGTTTCCACCCACACCACTGTCGGGGACCAGCAACTTGCTGGCGAGAGCCCGGTTCAATTGCGGAATTCGTAATTGGAGGTGACCACTGCCCCTTGCGATTGATGAAGGAATTTGAGCTGCACCGAGGAGAACCACGGAAGCTTGATCCCATAGATCCCACTTGTCGTGATAGCGTGCATGACCTCAATCTATCCAACGCCCGATGAGATCCCATTGGCACGAAGGGGGCAGAATGGCACGTCGAAAGGCGCATCATGTTATTTTCCAGTCGGAATTCGCTTTCTGAACATCGAAGAGCAGAGGTATCGTCCAGAGGAAGGAAACCAAAAGGCAGGGGGTTCAACACATGACGCAACGGCGAGTCTGGATTATTGTGGAGTGGACTGGGGATAACGTGTCTGAACTAAGAATAGACTGTCCATGTCTAGCAAGCTTGGGGCGTTTGATGACAGTCGTAATTCGTTAAAATCCAAGAGCGGTCATTGCAGTCTTCAATTTCCCTGCTTGACAGATCGGTCTGACGTCACTGAGGCGCAGCGATCTAGTGATCGGGCAGAATGGAGGCGGTGAAGAAGCAAAGAAGCGAAGCCACACGCGCCACAGAAACATAGCGACTGCGCCACTCGATAAACAAACGGGCAGTTGTCGGTGACTTCATCTCTTTTCACCTTAATCCGAACAGGACCTATAACAGATATTGAATTGTTCTTTTGCATCACTTTCTCCTGAGGATTTTGAACACCTGCCAGCTTCATCGTCCAGTGTGTACGAGGATGGGCGATGCCGCGCGCCCAAGTAACGACGAATTCAGCCGTGTCCTTCAGGAGAGCCTCAATACATAGTCCTCTTATCTCAATACCGGCAGTGATAATTACATACTTTCCCAACAAGCTATAGATCTGAAACCTCTCGTCAGTTACACCCCGCCTTTTCTCGGTGACAGTGTTGCTTCCTTTGAGGAGCCGACCTCGTTCGTTTGTGAGGAGAAAGGGCAAACCCAAATATTTGAACAAATGTCTGAACAAATGTCATTACCAAGAGTACATTCACGCTTATGAAGTGGTACATGGCGGTAGGTCTCGGAAATTACGCCCTTGTTTTTGTGACAGATTTTGACCATTAGGGGCTGATTAGATCTACACTCTAACAACATTCTCTTCGAATCTCAGGGCTTTGACAAATTGACTGTCGATGAGCTTTATCAAAAGGAAAATGGACCAGAGGTGCCTCGATATTGTGTGCCACCTGCCTTAATTTGTAAATCAAGTGAGGACGTGACATCTCCTCGACTGATCATCTCCGAATTTGGCGAAGCGTTCATGCGCAACGAAGAACCAGAGGACCTCCATACACCAATTCTCCTTATCCCACCATAATTGGTCTTTCATGAGTCCCTAGGACAATTCGTCGACGTATGGACTTTGAGCTGTACCCTTTACGAGGTTCTCGGCGAGAGCCCCTTGTTCGAGGGCTTCATGCCCGACAAAGACCACGTCGTCGCAGAGATGATCAGTACACTAGGACACCCACCTACACGTTGGTGGAACCGATGGCTCAAAAGATCGGACTTTTTTCTGGAAGACGGGTCATGGAAAAAGGACACGCATCGCAGCCATGCACCGTATTTTCGGCCACTTGCAGAGCGGTTGCGCATAATGGGCAGAGGAAAGGATCCCGAGACCTGCGAGTTGGTCGACTTGAAATGGCTTCTTTGGAGGGTTTGTTGAAGGACATACTAGCTTATGAACCTTCGAAACGCATCACTGCAAGCGCGGCTGTTGCGTCAGACTGGATGAGAGAATGGGGCCCGAAATAAGGGCGTGAATCTGAGGTGTGGTATATATTACATACCTCTCACTCATGAATAGACTTAAATGACTTATGGAAATACTGTACACTGTAGTCTTCCAATTGCTTCTAGCTTATTTATATAGAAAAGAGAAAATCTACTTGCTTAGAACAGCAAATATCCCAGGTCTACATACTTTTATTTATTTATTATTTTTACTGTTTGTATTCTCAACGTCTTGAGATAGTTCCTGGACATCACGTTCCATAGTAGACACAAACCCTGAAACATGGTACTAACAGTTGTTAGCGTGGCTCAGTTAAATTGAATAAATATTCTCGGTTGTCACTTGAACTTTGGGGGGCAACGTCTTATCAGTCATTTTGGACTGTCTAGCGGCGTGAAAATAGCTAGACCAGCTACTATACAGTAAAAACAAGAATACGGAGGTTCACACCGCCTGTTTACTCCAGCGTCTCTCCTCCCGAAATAAATAAAACCTGCATATAAGGAGTGTTCTTTTCTCCCATCGGAAATTTGCCCACCAATTGACAAGGAGCGGCAAAAATGCAAACAAAAATGTGCCCTGACGATATGGCCTGGGAGCAAGCCGAGGAAACATCGGATAACTGGCTGGCTCAATTCCTTGAACTCGATATTTTGAGACCAATTGCAGACTTCATCCTTAGTCATAACAGAGGCAATGGTACCGAGTTCGCTATACTCGGAAAAGGCTCTTACAATATCTCCCTGCGTTTAAAATACCGAAGCAGTGCTACTGTGATCCGGCTATCGCAGCCCGGTGCCACCCTTTTCCCTGAGGAAAAAGTCGCGAATGAGGTTGCTATCATGCGATTTCTCTTGGATCAGACGTCGATACCTGTTCCTTTCATTCTTCACTCGGGGACGAAAAAGGACAGCCCCCTCGAGCTTAGCCCATTCATTATGATGGATTATATCGAGTATGAAACGAAAATGTACGATGCTCTCAATACGCCGGGATGTCCGAAAGAGCAACGCGGGGTTCTGAATCCCACTATCGACGAAAACAGGCTTGAAATGCTTTATCAGCAGCTCGCAGATATTCTGCTTCAACTCTATACCCCCTCTCTGCCTCGCATCGGATCTCTCAACCAGGTAGATGACTTTACCTGGGAAGTCACACGTCGGCCTTTGTCAATGAATATGAACGAACTTGTCCGACTAGGAGGTTTGTCTCGGTCAAGACTACCTGATTTATATACTACATTCGACACGTCTTCATCATATCTTGAAATGCTTGCGAGTCTTCATATGGAGCATTTGGTCCACCAAAGAAACGACTCTGTGGAATCAGCAGATGACTGCCGGCGAAAACTCGTGGCGCGGTATCTTTTTCGCAAGCTTGCCAGGGATAAGCGACTCACAAACCCCTTATTCGAGAAAGGCCCTTTCAAACTCTGGTGTGATGATCTACGGCCGGCCAATGTGCTGCTCAATAAGAATGAGCAAATTACCGGCGTCGTAGATTGGGAGTTTACATACGCCGCACCCGTTGAATTTTCCCACGCGCCGCCTTGGTGGCTTCTTATTGAAAAACCTGAGCTTTGGTCAAAGGGCCTCGAGGACTGGACAAGGGTGTTCGATTATCGTCTGAAAACCTTCCTCAAGGCGATGAAGGGTTGCGAGGACTCAGTCATCCAGAATGGTCGGTTAGAGAAGACCAGCGACTCTCTGGTCATATGCACGAGAGTTGGAAGAATGGGGGTTTCTGGGTCATGTATGCGGCAACGCACAGCTTTGCCTTTGATGCAATCTACTGGCAAAAGATTGACCCGCGCTTTTTTGGATCCACTAAAAATCCCGAGGAAGCATGGAGAGAGAGACTTCATTTACTGGATGAGAAGGAAAGGAGTGAGATGGAAATACTAGTGGCTCAGAAACTGAAAGAGATGAACACTAGAGTTTTGTCATGGGATCCGGATGACTATACCTTGGCTTTTCGTCAACAGCTGAAGGGTCGAGAGCAAAAGGCAAATGAAGAGAATGCGAAGGTCGAGAATGATGAGTTAAAGTGATCCATGAGACCGAGGCCGTCTCTGGCGGAGCATCATCAGATGTGACTTAGTCCTTCTCTACATGACGCCTATTGAGAAATTGATTGTTTAGAATGACATGTATTTGTGAAAATCAAAAGTAGAGAAGGGTTGGGGAAAAGAATAAATAGAAGGAATTATATGTAAAGCTCCCGGCGCATCAAGGCACACAGGTTTGACACCACCTGCCTCCTCCCAGACGAAGAATCCAGGTCAAACCAAGGAGTGGTGTTCACATATAAATATGACCTAGGAGAAGGTGATTCAAAATCCAAAAGATATTCTTCACTGATCTCAAAGTGTAGGAAGCACATATAGTGCTGCGTAGCATTAATCACGATGACTCTATATACCATTGTCAGTATACGTATGACCTTTATTAGAAAAGGGTGAGATTTTAGATATAGCAAATGTGTCTAGTACCCATTTGGCCGCAATTCATCGAATGGATCGGCAATGCTGGCAACCAGAGCTTCGCAAGTCATCTGGGCAAGACAGCCATCCGAAATGATCGGCTGCCCATTCTTCAGGCACTGAAAATGTCTTTTACCCTCAAGGATCGCCAGATGATTTTTGAAAAGTGCAAAACGGCCGTTTGATTGCTTCCGTAAACAAAGGCCTCCGTCGTCGATGGCTACTAGCTTTCGATTAAGTATAGGGGTGTATCCGGCAAGTCTCACTTTAGCATCTCGGAATTCGACAACGGTCGGCAAGTCCACCGAGTCCTGAGGGGCACCAAAGTACAGGATATGTCGAATGACGCACGATGCCAGACGTAACGTTTCATCTTCCGGCGAGGCCAAGAGCCTATGTGACTCGGGGTCGACATAGCCGATAGAAGATATCCCCGGAGAACTTGTATCCTGGGGACTGCTTGAGCCAACTTGAATCGTGCGGGAATCCATGAAGCTTTCTTGAAGAGTGCTTCGCCGGGGCCGCTTTGCTCTTTCTTCCCTTTCATCCACTTCATCATCAGAGCCGGCTTTTAGTTCTTTTCCGCGACGCTCCTGTCCACCTTTAAACATTGCCAACGCCGCCCAGATCTGTCCAAGAGACATCCCATGGCCAGAGCTTCGTACAAGTCGATGCTCACTTTGAGCCATATACATCGGGCCGGGTGGCCCGTTCACGAAGTTGATAATTTCCGCTGAAGACTTCAAATCCGAAGGCTGTGTATAGTCTGACAAGATCGGAAGAATAGGGCGCTGCGTCTGTCGTCGGATCACACGACATGCAAATAGATGATCTCTCCCCCATTCGCTCGCGGCGACCAGTTCAAGATCAGAAAAAAGTTTCCCATTATCGTGTTGAAAGTATGCCTGGAAGGTTGATTCGTTGATTATACTGTTGAAATATGAGTCAGCCATAGTGTATAGGTACCTGTAGAGAATACGTGAGGGTGATGAGGACCCGAAGGCGGGGGGATGAGTGGGGCCCATAGTTACTACAGGCACCCAAGACGCTAATAGCTGAGCCACATGCCACTTGAAGAGTCTCTTTTTCCATGCCGACTGCTCGAGTAGCGCATGAGGTGGAGGATCGGGAACATTTCTGAACTCATAGTGGAGAGTAGACATGGACAGACCCGTCCCATGGGTCAAAGATCTTGACCCATGACCCAAACCCACGACCCATGGGTCGGGTCAATAAAATCCTGACCCGCCCATGGGTTGACCCGTGGGTTAACGGGTCAACCCATTTTTGACCCATTTTAGCATAAATTTCTTAATTAGGATAGATAATTTGCTTACCTTTTTTAATAATACACTATTGTTAAATACTGTTTTTGTTCTAATATAACTTATAATTCTAACTCTTTATAAAAAGAATATTATATAGTAATAATATATTTAGAATATATAATATATTAATTTAATAATTTAATACTTTAAGGTAAGAATTATATTTTATAATAGGTAGATATAGGCGAAAGAAGATATTAGTTAACTATTTCTTATACTAAACCTGAAAATATATATTTAAAGTCTATAGTAGTACTTCTACTTTTTATATAAATAAACTATATATATTAGAAATAATAAAATAGATATAAATCTAATATCTAATATTTCTTTATTAATATATAAGTATATTATAGTCTTATTTATATAAAAGAATTATTTTAAATATTTTTTCTGAATTTATATAAAATAATAATATTGGCTGGTTAGGTTGAAATTTTTTGGGGATAAAAAGAAAAATCTTAGGGTATTGCTCTTATCTAATTATTTGGGTCAACGGATTAGCCTATAGGTTAACCCGTTAACCTATTTCTTACTATCTAATAAACTTTATATATATTAGTAGAGCCTATTTGTTACGAACTGCTAACTGGTCACGGTGAGTAACGTCCGCAAAGGTGATACTTCTCTAGGAGTACTGCAGGCCTCAAGCGTATCCGCAACCGTACCAATGCCTCGGGGGCCTTCTATGGGCTCGGGTCTCTAGGGTGCTTGCAAGGTGTGCCAGTTAGAGCGCCGGTCAAGTCAGTCACTTAGGGATCGAGGATCACTAAGTAAGCTCCCAAGACCGTTGGAGGGTTGTCGCTATGTTCGAACTGTGAAGTACCAAAGGGTGGTTCCAAGTAACAATGATGGGATTGATCACGAAGAACTAAATACATGTGGTAAAGACTGTCCTTATATATCCCTTGCCCAGTATTCCACGCCCTCGTTTGTGGTATACTGCATGCAGGCATGTAGTAGTCCCATTGATATACCATCCGATATACCATTCCTTGGCGATGGATCGTGGTATATTGTCACGTGACTTATACCCTTGTTGTCCTGCATCATCACCGCGGGGTTGGTTGGCTCTGGTTTCCTCTCGTACCCCTGTTGGCGCGAGTGAGGTGGCTTGGTTCGTAACACTATTCTGATTGGTTATAAAATTCAGCACTAGGATAGTGCTGAATTCTACCTATTAATAAGAAATAAGTATTAGACCTATATATTCCCCTAAATCTACGATGATTTACCTTAGATTATTTTTCTATATCTCGAGTCTCTCGCTATAAAAGGATTATATAGTCCCTCTTTTACTAGATATAATAAAATATATATCTTTTTATAGTAATCTTTCTATCTCTATTAAAATCGGGGTTTTAATCTATCTACGCGATTACTTAAAACCCTGGTTTTAATCTATCTACGCGTTTATTTATAGCCCCGGTTCTAATATACCTACGTAAAAAGGTTGGCTGATTAGGTTGAAATTTTTTGGGGATAAAAAGAAAAATCTTAGGGTATTACTCTTACTTAATTATTTAGGTTAACAGATTAGCCTATAGGTTGATCTATTAATCTATTTCTTACTATCTAATAAGCTTTATATATATTAGTAGAGTATCTTCTGATTAGTTATAAAATTTAGTACTAGAATAGTACCGAATCTTACTTACTAATAAAAAATAAGTATTAGACTTATATATTCCCCTAAATCTACAATGATTTATCTTAGATTATTTTTCTATATCTCGAGTCCTTTATTTTAATATACTATTACTATATCTCTTCTATATCTTAATTATCTATCTTGTACCTTCCCTCTCTTATTAAGAGTAAGGGGTTTAAATCATCTATTTTCTATTCTGATCAACTTCTCGATACCTTTTTAGAACCACTAGAAAGCCAGTAAACTAAGAAAAGCCTCCCTCCTATTATATTACTAATACTAAAACGATCCGATAATCGGAAAAAGATCTAGGTGATTTTTAATAGTATAAATAAAACAGAGTTTTTAAACTAGTAGCTTAATACCTAAATTAGTGGTTTTTATAATACTATAAAGAAGATAAACTAAGAGGGTCCACGATAGACTAATATATAGTTATATTTTAATTAAATTATATATTTAGTAATAGGAGAGCTAAAGCTCCTATATAAGCGATATAGTAAGGTTATAGACTATCTAGTCTATACTAAGAATAGGATAATAGGTCTCTAACATTACTAGAATCGGAGTATATACTAGAAAGGCTAAAGTACTACTAAATATTTAATAATCTAACGTCTTATAGAATATATAGTATATTATATAGCTATTATTTAATTTATAGGCTAATCTTTCTTAGGCTAAGAACTCTTTTTAAATAGCCTAGCTAGTTACCTAAGAGCTATAGGAGCAATAGTTAATTACTATAATAATTACCCTACGGCTTCTTTTTTAAACTATCGAGTATCCTAAATTTTAAGCCCTTCTTTAAATAACCTAATTATTATTGTTTATCCCTAGTTTCCCTTCTTATTAAACTATATAGCGTTAAATCTAGGGAATAACCTAAGATTAATAGAAAGATTTACTTTAGAAGCTTCCGCCTAAGGCTAAGCTCTCTATTAGTCTTAACTATTAGATATCACTATTTTAATAAGTATTTATAGCTATCTCTAGCTATTTTATTAATATAAACTAGAATTATCGAGAGGTTTTACTTAGCTTTGAACCTATTTCTAGTATATACTCTAGATAGAATCTTAATATAACCCTTCTTGATATCCTCTAGAAGTATTAGATCGAAGACTAAGTATTTATAGTAACGATTAATAATATATTAAATAACTCTACCCTTATTTTAAATATCTAAGATTCTATTTAATTATTAGATATTAACTCTAAAGTAATAATTATTTAGGTTCTATATATTATATATATAATTTAATTAAGTTTAAAGTAACTATTTAGCTAGATAAAAGTAAACCCTTAGAATAAGATAACTAAGACTATTTAGTCCGAGGAATATACCTAATATATCTATCGAAAAATATAAAAACGAGATATTACGATAACTCTTATAAAGGTATATATCTATACTCCTTATTTATTAGTTAAAATACTAACCTATTTTATATTTTAGATTAGAAACCTTACAATCTTTATTAATATAAGCCCTTAACGTCGGGAGTCCTTCCTTAGTCTCTAGCCTAACCACCCTCGATTAGTTCTAATTCAAAATATCCGAACTAGATAGAATTTAACCTTTTTAATACTCTAGCGTATAAAGCGGTTATAATTAGTCTTTAATCGATTTTGCTCTAAATATAATTATCCTTATCTTAAAATCGATATAGATAAATAGCGCTAGATCGACTACCTTCTTAATATTACTTAGCTATTTTTCTAATTTACTATAGTCCTCTTAAAAATAAAGGATATTACTATTTATACTATCTTTACTATCTATAATAAGCTATTTAATCATCTTAAAAGGTTAATTAGATAGCTTAGTAAAAAAAAGGTTAGATAGAAGTAATAGATATATTAAGCCCTTAAATTAGCTAAAGATAAACTCTATAAGTATTACTTTATAATAGATAATAAAAAGCTTAGTAATATCTATATAATTAGTACTATCTTAGCCCCTTAGTATAAGATTAAATTTTTTTAAACTAAAAACTAGGACTACCCTTAGATAGATTATAGTATCTAATACTAACGAAGTCTTAAGGGTCAGTTTCTAAGCTACTAAACTAGTAATATTCTAAGCTCTTAATCACTATCTAAAATAAAATAGTCCTATTAAACTAATAAGCTTAATATATTTTTAATAGCTAATTCTTCTATCTTAAGCTCCTAATCTAAGGTAATATAGTATATTAAAAGAGGTAAATTTCTATATATATCCCTATTAAAACTAGGGTTCTAAGTAATCGCTTAAAACCCTAGTTCTAATCTATTAAGTTTCTATCTTTCTATTTTTATTAGAACTAGGGTTTTAAGGCCTATCTTAGAACCCCGGTTTTAATAAAAGTGTTAGTTCTAATCTATCTAAATATTATATTAATTATTATAATCCGTCTTCTATCTAGATACTATCCTAATCCTACCTTATTAGTTCTAGAAGGATCATTAGTATAAATTTCCTATATTTATAAGCCTTGTCTATAATCTCCTCTTAATCCTAGCTATTAACGCTAGCGTTAAGCGATTATTTAATTCCGCGTGTAATATTTATTATTATCGATAAGAGACGCTAAATATATCTACTATATAGAATCTAATAATATTTATATATATTACTAAATTCGAAGTCGAGAAGAAGTAGCTTATATTTATTTAAGAGCTTTAGGAGTAGGATAAGTTAGAAATTATATAGAAGGAAAAAGAGACCTAAAAGATTTATAAAGAGATTATACTAATTAATAATAATAAGGAGGAGAATACTATAGATCTAATAATTATAGTCGATATATCTTATTAATTATAGTAAGAAAAATTAAGGAGTGATTATAAAGATAATTATAGCCTCCCGCGGATTTCTAGTAGGGTTCGTAAACGCCCACGAGTACTTAATAATTATAAGCTTTAAAATTGAAATCGATTAATATTTAAAATAATATTCTCTAGAATTATTTTTTAAGAATTATTCTCCTAATTACTATAAAAAATTATTTAACTAAAATAAATATAATACCTAAAAATATAGCTAAGAACAATATAATTTATAAAAGTTATATAGTTAATAAAGTATCTACCTAAATAGGTTAAATAGGTTGACCTATTGACCCGCGGGACGGGTCAAAAAAATCTTGACCCGCCCACGGGTCAAGAGGTCTGACCCACGACCCGCCCATGGGCTGACCCACGGGTCGACCCATATGGGTTGTCCGCGGGTCTGTCCAGGTCTAGTGGAGAGCATCGTGGCCAATCTTGATGTATTAAGATAGCAGAAATTGGAGTAGCATGATACATTGCCAGACACATGCCCTTTGTAGCTAAGACTCAATAAACCCTAGAAAAAGGAGGATGAAGACGCGTTGGCGGGTTGAAATGTAGGGAAATTGAGCGCCTTAGAAACCAGTCAGCAATATACGTGCAAACACAACAAACCTAATATGAAAAGCGGTCGGAAGGGCGGTCTAACCAAACTTCAAAGTTGCCGGCATTATTAAACCGGGCCGCGATTCCTTGCCTTCTCTCCATGCCATGACTTCCAGCATGCCGGCCAGCGACGGTATAATATCGCTCGCTGAGCTCATGAGAAATCATCGTGGGCTTTTAGTGGATCCATTATTGTGGACATCTCATCACCTGGAAATTATGGGATGTCAGTTCCAGCACATTGACAATGCTCGTTCAATGGAGCAGATCCATGATCAACGACCCTCTGGAGACCTACCTGATGAAGCAGTGACCGAAGTGCAGTCACTAGCCAGGAGCTTTTCGCTCGACGTGAAGTTGAAAGCTTTAACAAATATTCTGCTGACCAAAGGAAGCATATTCGACAAACGCAGGTAAGATACAGCCCGACCTCCCGTTAAACATATTAGGTCCACGGGGATCACTGACATATTATGTCAACAGCAAGGGACCTAGATTTTTTTTCGCAGGCCAGTCTGTTCACCGACCGGATTACACCGTGTTCTATCGCAGCGACCAACCCAATCAATCTGCCTGTCAAGATCCACTGCCCGTGGTTGGTTTTTTGAACTACACAAACGTTAGTGGTCCTCGTTGGCACAAGTTTCAACCTCGTCCGCATCGTGGTAGAGGTGATAATTCCGCGGTTTTGCGAATTTCCAAGAAAAAGCTCGCCCGGGTCACTCCAAATGAATGGAAAGAGGACCCCTACTTTGTGTGTGTTCTACTGTCTCTTGCTCAACTCCAGGAGCGCCTTATAAAGCAATCAACGCCAACCAGCCATTTGGTAAGTTCCTCGCTGATCGAGCCTGTCTATACTTTCATCGTCTCTGTTTTGCCATGGCTCACATTCTCAAGACTCGTCTTATCGTTGCAAGCCCTATAGATCGAGAATTCATCCATATTTACGAGGCCCAAATCACCTCCAGTTTCCTTGGAATGCTTGACAACCCGATGAAGGCCACAATCCAAACAAAGTTTCCTACCATTCGGAGGAGGGAAATCCCGTTCAGACCCTTTGAGACCTTCCAGAACCGAATTTGGACTGCATTATTGGACAACCAACTTCCGGCGCATGCCTCGGATAAACTAGATGGAACTGGTTCTAAAATTGTCAACGAACACGCTAAGCGACCACACGAGCAAGAAAATGATGATACACGCAAACGAGGCCGAACGTCATGAAAAGCTTGCAGTAATTGAAGACACTCAAACTTACTTCGGAAGAACGGTGTTCACGAATCCCGCGTCTATTGTAGATGCACGGTCTGCCGAGAGAAGAGTGAACACGGCATGAGCCTGCTAGCAGAAGAAAAGAAGCGGCTCCAAAGCACAAAAGCGTGAAGGTCTTCGTCGCCAGGTCGTTTTGATTGATCAAGCCGCCACCACCCATTCAACCGCCCTAGGATAGAGGCCAGGAAAAGGATCGAAAGCCTCAGCAATGACTAAACCACCCAACAATCCGGCTAGTCCTTGTGGCTTCCAAGAAACTAAAGGATCCAGAAGAAAAGAGCTGATTGTCATTTAAAAAGATCTCCTGGCCGTGAGACCTGGCAATAAACGGGGTGTGGGATAGATCTCCGACTTACGTGCGAGTGTTGTCTGTCGGGTCAAAAGCACTCTTCACGGAGGCCTTGTGGAACTTGTTTCAAATTACACGTTAAAGAAACTTTCCAAAATGAACTAAACGCAATAAAAATATCAACAATATTCTATCCGGCTAGTTCAAAACCAATGTTCTCGGGAAGGAGATTGCATGCAGACCCCGAAATCGCGTGCAGATCCTGAAGCGACCGAGCAGCAGTATTGGAACCTCGATCTCTTTACCTCGATATCGGGAGACCAGTTTGTGGGTCAATACAAGCCTTGCAATTGATCTTCATTTCGATGATCAAGGGGCCGATTAATTACCCCGTTCGCCGTACCTCGGTAATTTCCACTTTCGGAACAATGGAGCTCACCTCAAGTTACTTCTACTGGATATTATAAACCTAGGAAAAAATTAAGAAAAACACCCACAGCAATTCTCCATCGAAAACCTCTAACCACCCAAAACTCGACACATCATGGTGCGAAGTGAGAACGTAATGATCCCAGCTTCAGGAGTCGACCTCCGCATATCAGCAACATATCTGATTCCCGAGAATGCACATCCAAAGCCACCTCTTATTATCATGGGCCTTGGTATTGGAGCTGTCAAAGCTGCAGGACCACTTCCATTTGCTGAGAGATTTGTTGCTGCTGGCTACGCCACTTTGAGGTTCGATTACCTCTTCTTCGGCGAGAGTGAAGGCAAACCAGCAAACCTCATGTCGATTCCGCGCGAGCTGCAGGATTTCCTGGACGTGGTAGCCTGGGCTCGTCAGCAAGACAATCAATGGGACGTAAACCGTCTTATTGTCTGGGGAACGAGTTTCGGTGGCATGCACATCACCGCGTTGATGGCCGAGGACCACGGCCTTGCTGCTGGAATCATGCAGTGTCCCTGTGTGGATGGTCTTGCGGCAGTCATGAAGGTGTCTTTGTGGAGGACTCTCCGAATGCTACCGTTTATATTGGGTGACTAGCTCTTATCTTTCTTCTCTTTCAGCCCTATCTACCTCTCACTCGTTGACGGAAATCCTAAATCGCCGCCAGCTATCATGACCGGATCAGAGGTCGTGGAGGGATGGCATAGACTTACCATGGACTCGGACGCATATTTCCCCAACAAGATCACCGCCCGCACGCTGCTGACTCTTCCGTTTTCCCGTCCCGTGTCGAGGGTCCATTGAAGCGTGAAGCCCATCCTGGTGGTGCTGCCGACGTGGGATAATGAAGCTCCTTTGAACAAGGCCCAGGATGCTGTTCGGTTGGCGCCGCTTGGGGAGGGACTTCGGGTCCCGGGTGGGCATTTTGATCTTTATGCCGGGGGAGTTGGCTTTAAAAAGAATATGGAGGGACAGTTAGCCTTTTTGAAGAAGCTGTTTACCTAATCTGCCTTTTCCTTACTGTTGTGTCAATACTTTGGTGTTTTGATCTGATTTCTGGGGGGGATGTTTGATGGCCTTGATATCCGATTGACCTCGCTGGTATTATCCAATGCATATAAATGATATTAAGTAATTACAGTCAACTTGAACTCTCGTCTCTAGCTCCAAGAACAACAGGGCCATATATCTGATAGTATTCTCAACGCTGTGGTACTAAAGCCCAAGAATGACCATTGACCGGGGAGTGTCGACTTACCATTTACCAAGTATTCTGCTGTATTCTTTTGTCCACCTCTCTTGATGAAGCTTTTGATGGCTCTAGACGTAGATCAATATTCCAGCACTGGGTGTCTAATGTATCAGAGTCAGGATATTGCTGAAGAAGATACGGAAATACTTCTGGATATACTACCAGAACTAAGAGCCGAAGTCATTCCACTCATAGTGGTCAAATCCCTTCCAATTTTCCAAGAATAACAATGCAAGGACATAGGTAGATCGCTGACCTCCGCTAGAAAGACACAAAAGCTCACAAGCACAATCTGGGGTTCGACCCACTCCCACCCTCTATGCATCAGAATTCTGGTCATAGCCCATCATCGACAGTTATAAACATCCGGGCTGCCGCAATCCCATCTATCAAATCCAAGCCATGTCTCAAAGGTACAGGATGGAGTCACAGTCCGTCACAGTCATGTCACAGTCATAGTCGTAAGTCGTAAGTCGTAAGTCGTAAGCATCTCCCCCCAAGATATACCCCACAAATATTGCAAGAGTACAATGCCCCCCCCCCATCTTGCAATTGTTTCCCTCCTTCCACACAAGGCATTCTAGACATCATGCCCAGCGTAATCAAGCACCCCCGGAAAAACAGTAATCGTCACCGACACCAGGCCTCTCCACAACACCAACGCGGTCCCGACTCTCAGGACTACTCCCCCCACTCCAGCTACCACGACTGCCACTACTAACCGAGGCATCGGTATCGTCGTCGCGACTCGACTTGCGGCCCGTGCCAATCGCCACGGGAATGCCCTGCACGGGGCCGCCGTGCGCATGGCCCGTAGGGTACATGCCATCGTTGACGGAGAAATTGCGGCAGATCAGGTACGCGCGCATGGCGGCGCTCTCGCGGGCCAGAGTCTCGGAGGGACAGATGGCGTCGGTCTGGTACTCGCGGTTGTTGACGCGCACGACGCAGGTATAGCCTGCTGTGCTGGGACTGGATTCGTAGGAGGGTTCTGGCCAGCGGCGCCGGCGACAGAGGCCTATCATAAAACAAAATTGTTAATTGCAATTGATTTGGGTCATTGGAGTGCGTGATCGTTCTCTGGGATTGTGCTATGCACGATAATATCGTGGCAATACATACTTGCCAGGTACAGGATATAGTACATCCTTGGAGAGACCCCCGCTCTGGATTCCCAAGAAGGTGCAGCAAAAAGAAAAGAATGACCAACTGGCCCCGCTGTCGACTCGTACCGAATCGTGGCTACGCCGGCACCATTGAATGGATTGGTTGGGTGTGCGACGAGGGAGCGGGTAGGGCTGAGGCGGAGGTGCAGATGGTCAATTATGCGGATTGCGATGCCCAACGAGTGTCTCGACTAGTCAAGTGGTTGCCTTTGCTTGAATGCTGGCAATGGACGGTTCGAGATATATCGGTATATTCTGCTCGCGTTTTTGGTTTCCTCGCTAGATGCTTTGGGGGGAATTGTTAAAAAAAAAATACCAAGGCAGTATAGTTAGAGAGACAAGCGAGGAAAAGAAGAAGTAGAAAGAAAAGATTGAAAACCAAGAATAAAATGGAACAGCCCGCATCCACCAGCTTGAAATACACCCCATTCCCTTCCCGTGCGGAATCCGAAAGAATCTCCCGAAAAATCAAAATTGCAGAAAATCAATGAGCGGGGGGCAATGTGCCAGATGCTGTCGAGCTCTCAATGCCCATTATTCTTTTCGAGGAAAACCGGTGGGGCTTTGCGATACAAGCCAGAGTCATACCGTGCGCTGGCCATTTGTACACAGATGGTAAGTACCATGACACGTCGAAGGGAGGTCAATTGAAGTTGAGACGAGGATCGAGCGAATAAAAAGCATGGGATTTCACAATTAAAATAAAAACTAGAGTAATGACTCGCTTCAAAGGGTCTCACGCCGGTATCACTAGTCTCTGGACCAGGGCAGGGAGATGACAGCACCGAAAAGAAAAAAGAATAATGAACCGTTTGGTTTCCTCAACAGGGTATTGGAAGGGAAACCAAAGCTTTCACAGACCCTGGGACATGGGTCTGGGTAGAGACTACATCCTGCGGAGGTACATCTGGTATAGAGCGTACAGACCGAAAGGAATTGCCCGGACACGCTGGCAGGAGATTGGCTCAAGGAAGGATCAGAGGAAAAAGAGAAAAAGCCCCGCCTACCTGGACAGGTTACTCTGATCAATACCTAGCTGGTTAGGAAGAGAGAGGGGGAAGAGGGGAGAGGGGAGCATCTCGGCAGGTTTGATGGACTTGCTGCGCTGGCATCTCTCGCCGCCAGTCGAATTCAACCGAATTGAGCCTTTTCTTTTTTTTTTCCGTGTAGAGAGGTAAGAAGCCAGGCTGTTCTTGCGTTTGCGTTTAGTTTCTGCTTAGTTTCTCTTTTTCTCTTCCCCCGCCTGCAATTCGCCGATCGATTCAGAGACAATAAAGGGCCCGCTGAACTAAAAACGGGCACGCTCATGCACAAGCGCTGCAGAAGAAGAGAACGGATCCTAGCAGTATCCTGGGAGGAGTCGTTGGATTGACTTAGTTGCTGCATCGTTACTCTTTTGGTGGTTTTGAGTTTAGGCTGGTGTTTTGGCCATGATCCTTTGTTCTGTGCCCCGCAGATATCGCCAAAAAGAAAAACATGTTACTTACCTCTAAACAGAAGGAGAAGTGAAATTGCCGCCCTCAATCTCCTGGAGGCGCGCTGCAGGAATCCACTACATCTGCAGCCTGATTGGTGCCAAGCTGGGCTGTTCATATTGTGCAGAACGCGTCGGGGAGGTTGGGAAAGCTCGGCAGGGCTTAGGGCTGTCTCTATATCATAGCTATTGGAAAGAAAATATTATCTATAGAGAAAAAGTAAAGAAAAACAACGAAATAGACAATATCAATTCATTCAAGTATAGGAATATACAATAACAATGATAATCACAATAACAGGAACCCTACAATGTAAGACCAAAGTTACGCAGACGCAAGGATGAGTTGGCAGATGTGGGGGGGGGTCCAAAAGGGCGTTTTCTATGAGTTCACTGACGCTTGCCCCGTTGGGCGTGCTGCAGCAAGTCAGTCTTGTCCGGGAAATCAAGATCGACAAGAAGCAGACAAGTTGAGATTCATCCACTCGAGCTTGAACCAAGATCGGTGAAGAAACTATATTCCAGAAACACCATATCCCAGCACCTAGCCATTCGCTCTATCGCTTTCCATTGTTTTCTCTCTCTCTCTCTCTCTCTCTCTCTCTCTCTCTCTCTGACTAGCTCTAGACCAAGGTATCAACCCCTTGCGTCTTCTCCACGCTCCAGAACAACTCATCAGCATGGCCACGGTGGGCCCTACCGATCGGAGAAAAAAATGCAATGCCCACACAGAGCTCCACAGTTCGCTCTGGACCTCCTGATCGCATATCCAGCTGTACCTGAAAGTAGCTTGAAGGCTCGCTTAGAGTCTGTTCACTACAAATCCTGCCGACTCCGGCCGAGCTTTGCTCTACTACGCTTCTAGCCACTCATAGCAATCGGGCACGTCGTGGCATTTCTTGCCTTGTCTCAGACTCTGCTCATTGTAGCAGTCTCACGCCCCTTCCGCTCACTAGACACGGAGGGGCCGGGCTTCAGACCAGAGCCGCATGTTCTCCACTGCTCGGTGTGGGATCACATACAGCGGATGAACCGGGGACAGCCGATCGTTCTTCTCGAAGACATTGTCTTCAGCGCGGATCGGCGACGACCGCCAGGAGAAGGCCGAGGAGAATGTCTTGCTGGAGGAGACACTCGAGTTGGTGCGGTAGTGGTGGTGCTGTGTTGCGCTCAAGCCTGTCAGCACGTAGCAGGTGTGATATGAATCGGCATGCCTAGGTTCCCGGTCAGCGACATCTGCAACGCCCAAGCAACGTGCCACGGGGCCAGGAGAGAAGGGAGATAAAACTTACTTTCCCGGTTTGTCACGAAGCCCCCCGTGGTGCGATTGGCAGCATCCCAGGATATAGCGGGTCAGTCCCTCACGGCTAAAGAGACTGCCTACGGAGGTCTCGGGAGCACCCGTCTGTGGCCGCCCATCGAGAGCCGACTGGAGTAGGGGCCAGCAGCCACCGACCCAGTGGCTGTAGCAGCCGTCGACTAGCTTGTTCGTTCGTCCGGACAATCCTCCCTCGGGGGCATACTGCCGGGCAGATAACCAGGACAGGAGTAGAGGAATATTCATGTGCCTGGCGAAAGATGGTCAGCATTGCGAGCTTATACTGATCAGACGCGATTCGCACCGGATAATTGTCTCCTCGGGAGGTCCCAAGATTGACAGACATGCCAGTGCGCAAAAAGCGTACGCCCCATGCGCCTCGGTCCCGGGACTCCCGGAGATGCCTCCTTCAAAGGTTTGGCCTGCAGCGCCGTCAGCACGACTCGAATGTAGGATGATCTTATGCAAAAAGATGATCGAATTTCCTCACATCTTGATAAATATTCAGCAAGACCACTGTTGAAGCTCTCCAGTCCAGCGTTGCGCGCCTCGGCATCATGAGGCAGAGACAGCGGCAGATCGAGGAGCGAGATGATGGTCATCGCGCAATATGCACCACTGACCCAGCCCCCAAACGTCAGTTCCATAGTCCACTAGATGGCTCACATGGGAGGCAGAATGCACGGGGCATTACTTACCGCACGTCTTCCTCCCCACCCTCGCAAACACGAAATCCTCCGTCGGCCTGCTTCAACCGGCCCAGCCATCGCCACCTGGGGTAAGTCGGTCAGACGCACCGTGTCTTGCATATGCATTCTGCAACCAAGCAACAACAACAAAACTGTCGACAACTCACATTGCTTGGCGATCGATCAAGGTAAATGCGTCCTCGCCTCCAATCATGGCCAGCGCCAAAACGGCTGCATAACTGCCGGCGCAGTGCGATATCTGGCCATGGCCGCCGCCAAAGCCGCCTGTAGGGTTCTGCATCGGCCGAAGGGTTACAATCACGCTGGGACGATTTAAAATGGATGCTTGTTAGTGTCATGTCGGAGGGTCAATAGATGCTGCGAGGGATATATACCCGATTGAGATCATGAACAGGGACAAAGTAGAAGTAAAAGGTAAAAAGCAAGAAATAAGAGATAGGAGAAGGGGGGGGGGAAAGTCAACACAGAATACAAACTCACCGTTCTCGAAATCGCGTAGCATCTTCTCCGAGCAGAGACAACCCCGCCAGCGCCCAGTACACCATCCACGGGCGACTCGAGTCCATGGCCACGAAGCCGGCGGGATAGTCCTCGAGGGAGTCATAGAGATAGCCTACATGATCGTCGCGTTGAAGGGTAGGCACCCCACATGCATTGAAGGGCTCCTTCTGGCTACTATGGATGCCCTTGAGGAACGGCAAACATTTCTCCCGCGTCGCGTCCTGCAGATCGATGGTCTCGGTGACCAGCGGGTCGCGGAGGGGCGGCGGCTGCGTGAACAAGGCCGGGACCCCCGGGCGCGGATCTTGGCTGGGGCTTGCCATTTTGCCGATCGAGGGAGATGAGGTGGCACGGTTGACGGGACGCGTCTTGTGCGCGGTGGCGATGGATGATTTTGCTGGGAGGTTGGTGGTTGGGAACCGAACTTTTCGTCGATGGCCCGTTGCGGCGATAGGTGGCATGAATTGGAGAGAGAAAGGAGTGCCTTTGAGATTCCTTGAGGTTTTATGTTGATGGCAGGCAGGATTTTTTTTCTTTGATGGCATCAATGCATTGGGGATGATATTGTTGCTATTGTTCTTCCCCCACTCTGCGGGGTCTTTGTGTGCTTTTTTGCCTCGACATTTTCTGGCACCCATGGATACTAGAGCTACTAGACATAGTACTATCCATGGAAAGATGGATGTTTTGCATCTCCATGCGCTTACTTTTCTTTTCTTTTCTTTTTTCCTGCTTGTTTTTTGCTCCAGATATAGCTAGTTGTGGAGGAGCACAGACGCAATCATGGCTCTGGGTCAGATGCAGGACAGATCTAATTGCAAGTGTCTGTCTTATGTTTAGTTTGAGGGAATTTTTGGTTATCGGAGATTCGATCTGAAAGTCGTAGTGTGGTCTTCGAGGCAAAATGGTCGATTATATATATCCGGGAATATATAGTTGGTCACACTATTGGGAAAGATGGTCCGTGATTAGTTTCTAGGTCGAGAACTTCCAAGGTTATTTACAAGAAAAATAAAACTAAGATAGATGCCACCTAGCTAGCTGTCTATATCATGGCAGCAAATGTCTGCCCGAGGGTTCTGCATGTCAAGTCCCACAGCGGAGATGCGATGTGATAGATCCCACACTGCCATGCACACGATGAGCTAGCGGGCACCCTGTTCTCCCTTGCTGCTCATTGCATGTGGCAATGTGAACAAAGGCCATGACCTGTCGATTTGTTTATATTCGATTTTTTATTTTTATTTCGAGGAATAGTTGAGATTGTCGAGATGCTCAGGAAATGAAGGGCAGATGCCAGGCAAACCAGGCAATCCCTGCACTCCCCCGCCTGGTCAGCACGAACCCAACACTCAGCGAATCACGGGACTGGGGGTCGGCAGCCTCCGATATGATTGGATCTGATTACAGTATGGACAGGACTGTCCAGGCATCACATCATCCGATCGCGCTTATTGCCACGGCCTGTCTAGGCGATAACACTTTTTTTCTCTTTTTCGGCTCCACTGATCTCCCCGTCTTCCCGTATGTCTCGCCAGTTCCGTGGTTCTCAATATTGAGATTGTACCTTGGTATCTTGTGTCTTTACACTTGGATCTATGGGTATACTACTGCCTAAATGTAAACAAACAACATTAGATTAGACATAACTTGAACATCTCGGTCAGAACCTTGAACTACCTTGGACTCCTTGGATTCCTTGGATCCCTTGGACTCAGACTCACAAAATCCCAACAAAGAAAAAGCCGAGATGACCCGCTAAAGACATTCCTAGTAGTCGTTGGGAAAAAGCAAGAAAAAGAGCGTGGCACTAACAGTAACAGCACTAAACAGCCAGCCTCCACTCTCCACACGATCAACTCCCCTAGCGCCGGCTCACCGCTGCTTTGTCCCCCCCCACCGCCTCACAGTCTCCTCTTTCTCCATGGCCTGTGTGACTCTTCTCTGAAGAAGGCCCTTTCATCCAGGCCCTTTTGCCTTTTCCCTTCCCTTTCATCACGAAACGCAATGTCCAATGTCGATATATCAAGTGACGGCCTCATTGGCGTCGATTATGACTCCAGAGGCTATCTCCAGCCTCAAACATGGCCAGTGGCCGTAGACCAAGCCCCACGGTCTGAAGAAGGCCACGGTCTCTCGCCGTTGCAAACCAGCGGTCACACCCTGGAACAGTCGGTGGCCCAGGACCCGAACCTCATGGTCGACTGGCAATTCCAACCATTGCAACAGACTCAGCAACATCAGCATCTGTCTTATTCGCCTGAGGACCCCTCGTCAGCTCCTCAGTTCACCAACGCCAGCTATGGCATGCCTATCCAGTCGTCGCCCGTGGATCTCATGTCCGGGCCCCAGGGCCAGATGAGCGCCGGTCTGCTCGATGGTCCCTATCTGCCGCTGTCTGCGCCAGTCGACATGGTGCCCTTCACCTATCAGGACTTCCAGGCCGATCTGATGGCTTTCCCTCCCAGTGACCTGCCCGACGTGTCGCCCTATGGTGCCCCGCACCCGGTCCTGGAAAGCAGCTCGCCCACCGATACCTATCTGGAGGTCCGTTCCCTCACTAGCTCCAGCAGCGACAATGGCTGGAGCACTGTCGACCACCGTCGCTCGCTGGATTTCGGCTTCCCCGAACAAGGCGTCTTTGTCAACCCCACCCAGACGCTGCATGACCGGAGTCTCTCCGAGTCGTCCTACTCGACCTCCTATGGCAGTTTTGTGGATATCGCCAACCCCAGCAGTTCGCCCATCTCGGATACCAACCTGGACTTGCCCTATAACCACCACCCCGTCGGTCTGACAGGCACACCTCCCACAGCCAGCTCAATGCCGCGGCATGTGCCGGACGAGCACTCGTCCTCAGGGTCTCGCTCCCCGTCAGCCGTCAGCCCCAGTGCCATGGTGCGGCCGATCCCGGTTCCCCTCAAGAAGTCCACCTCGCCCACTCGCTCGTCTGGCTCTTCTCACGCATCTTCCGCATCACCTCCCAGCCGCAAACCCTCCCGTAAGAGCCCCATTGCCGCCAAAACCGCCGAGACCAAGGTTCGCAAGCAGTCTCAAGTCGGAAAGCCCGACTCCGAGAAGCGCGTCGGGAAACGCAAGGGTCCCCTCAAGCCCGACCAGCGGAAGCAAGCCAGCGAGATTCGAAAGCTGCGGGCATGTCTGCGCTGCAAGTTCCTCAAGAAGACTTGTGACAAGGGTGAGCCGTGTGGGGGATGCCAGCCGTCCCATGCTCGGCTATGGCAGGTGCCGTGTACCCGGATTGATATCAAGGAAATCGGGTACTTTATGAAGGATTGGAAAGCGGACTATGAGCGCCACATCTCGATGGGCTTCTCGGTGGGCAACATCAAGGGATTCTCGGACCAGGAGCGCACCCTCTTTATCACCCATGGGTACGGACAGGTCCTGCCCATCAACGCTCGTGAGGTCTACGTGCGTGACGAGCAATGCTTCAGCATTGACTGGGTCGAGAGCATGCACCGCGAGCCGACGCAGTACGATGTCGAGACAGCCAAGCTCTCCGCAGGCATGGAGGGCATCTCACACGCGACCCTGTCGGACTATCTGGACCGCCACATCGATGGCAACGGCACCTTTGAAAAGTTTGTCGATGACTACTTCGAGGGCACTCCCTTCCTGACCCAGATGCTCAAGACCGCCTTCCGATACTACTACCGCACCAAGCTGCCCGTTATTCGCAAAGCACTCAAGCTCATCATCGCTTACAATCTGACCCTGCATGTGACGATGGTGGAAGGGATTGGCGAGGAAGAAGGCTTCCTGGGCAAGATCAATAGCGCCAGCTCCAAATTCAGGGGCAAGACCATGGCCCCGGTGATGATCAACTTCCAGATCAAGTGCGCCATGGCGAGCATGTGGCGTGAGCTGCAGAAGGATGTGCTGGAGGAGCTCTCATCGCTCTACTCCAGCGTGTACAGCGGTGACAAGCTGAAGAACTGGCCGACTATCTTTATCTTGGCTTCGATTCTGTTGGCCGTGTGGGAGGAGATGCAGTTCGACTGCCACTACCGCACGCCAGACCAGTCTGCCGTGGAGAAGTTCTGTAATGACATGGAGACTACGCCCGTCGGTGTAATTGTTGGCCTATTCCAGGCTATCTCACAGAAGCTGCCTCCCTTCACCGAGTGGGACTCGCAGAAGCACCACCAGCTGCTGTACTCGAACCCCGATGTGTGCAACACCATGACCGAGGTCCGCCAGCATGTCGAACAACATGGTAGGTTCTATTACAACGACACTTTTGTTTCATGTTGTTCCCGTTCAAGGCTGACCATCTCACAGAGAGCTACCTGCGTGGCCGCACCAACTCCAAATTCAACCGTAACGACTTTGACTGTTTATCCAATAAATTTGTGTCTCGACTTGTGATTCGCGCGAACTAGAGACGATCCCACGATGCGCATGCGCATGCGCATGATGATGACGATGATACTTTCCACGGTCTATCACTTCCAGTGTTTTCTCACAGCGAGTGCCTCTTCCAGCAATTGAAATTCCTTCGTACGATCTGGATGAGAAAAATGCGAATGCATGGTCGTGACGATGCGCGAGCGCGTCTGTTCCGGTCCTTATGATTTCCAGGACGAGACTCCGAGCGATATCTCCCTTATGTCTGTGTCTATGTGTTTTGCGCGAGTGTTGTCTGCATGGTTCCTGTGGAACCGACTTTCTTTTATTTTTTTTTTCGTTACTCTTTACTGTTTTCCTTTTCCATATCTCTTGTGTGTTCGATCTGGTGTTTTATTTCTGAGCCGAGTTGTTTTCTATCTTGTTTTTTTGTGGTATATTCTTTTTCTCTTTCTCGCATAGTTTTACACCAGCGATGAACGAGGATCACGACTTATGACTGTGTACGGCCGAAGGTGTTGTTTTCTGTTTTGTTTGCAATGTTTTTCACTTGCGCCTCTTGAGACCCAGCCATATCCCGGGCAGAAGAATTTCAAAAAAAAAAAACCAAATCAACAACCGCCGAAACCAAACCAGAAAATCCCCCCAAAAAAGACACAGAAAGCCCAAAAAAAGATGACGAGCCTCAGAGCCGAAGACAGGTTGTTGTTTCCTGCACCGGTTGTCACATTCTCTGTGGTTGATCTTGAATGTTTTGGATCCGGAGCGCTGGAGGGAACCCGGCGTCGGACCAGGGAGGATTTGCCGATCTTTTTTTGTGATATACTTTCCGTCTTGACCGTGCATAGCCAATACCTCAATTGTTTTTCGACTTATGCGATGAGGTCTTTGGGAGAATATGGTAGCCCATCAGTAGACTGGCACAGATCGAGGCAGGGTGTACTCTTGTGCCTGAGGTACCAATTAGGCAGGTTTGCCCGAGTGCCGGATCTGGTGATCACCGGGTCACCTGATGAGTACAGGCCAAGTACGGGTACAAAGGGGCGCAGGGCGGCGGCCGTGTCCAGCCCCGTACAGGTACCTCGTTAGCGCGCTCCATCAAGGTCCACCCCCCTCTTTTTGCGATAAGCCGCTCACACGTCATCGTCTTGGAATGGGGAAGGCTGCAACCAGGCTCCCGAGATCATTATGGCCATCCATAGTTAATTTAGCAGGAACAGTGGCGGATGGATAATAATAGTACTTGAAAGGCACCGCCATATTCATTATAATTATTTTATTTTTCTGATTGGGTTGTCGGAGTTTTCAGTGGTGGCGTCAATGAAAGATAGGTAGAAGCCGGAAAGGCCAGGCACCTTGACTCATCCGGGTTTCTAGCAGTTTCCCATCGCCAGCCCATCTCGCGTCACTCTTCTGACTAAGACCCTTCGCCCCCTCATCCGTACTTAAACCTCATTTCCCCCTCTCTTCCTGCCACCGGCTTTTCTCTTTCCCCCTTCTTTGCGACTATCCGCAATTCCTTTCACCCTTCCCACTCTTCTAACCTGCCAACTCCATCAACTCCGAATCACTCTTCATCTCGCCATCATGCAGATCTTCGTCAAGACTCGTGAGTTTTATCTCCAGCCTGGATGAGCCTCCGAATCAGGAGTCTCCCATCTTTCTTTGACACCTGTTCCCCTTTCTGACTTTCTCCCTCAGTTACTGGCAAGACCATCACCCTCGAGGTCGAGTCCAGCGATACCATCGACAACGTCAAGTCGAAGATTCAGGACAAGGAGGGTATCCCGCCTGACCAGCAGCGCCTGATTTTCGCGGGTAAGCAGCTGGAGGACGGCCGTACTCTGTCCGACTACAACATCCAGAAGGAGTCTACCCTGCACCTGGTCCTGCGCCTGCGCGGTGGCATGCAGATCTGTACGTTTCCCAGCTATCCACCTCTATTATTTGGTTCATACTGACTTTTGCCACAGTCGTCAAGACTCTCACCGGCAAGACCATCACCCTCGAGGTTGAGTCCTCCGACACCATTGACAACGTCAAGTCGAAGATTCAGGACAAGGAGGGTATCCCGCCTGACCAGCAGCGTCTTATCTTCGCTGGTAAGCAGCTGGAGGATGGCCGTACTCTGTCCGACTACAACATCCAGAAGGAGTCTACCCTGCACCTGGTTCTTCGCCTGCGCGGTGGTATGCAGATCTTCGTCAAGACCCTCACTGGCAAGACGATCACTCTAGAGGTTGAGAGTTCCGACACGATCGACAACGTGAAGTCCAAGATCCAAGACAAGGAGGGGATTCCCCCTGACCAGCAGCGTCTCATCTTTGCTGGCAAGCAACTGGAGGATGGCCGCACCTTGTCCGACTACAACATCCAGAAGGAATCCACTCTGCACCTTGTCCTGCGTCTCCGTGGTGGTATGCAGATTTTTGTCAAGACCCTGACCGGCAAAACCATCACTCTGGAAGTGGAGAGCTCCGACACCATCGACAACGTCAAGTCGAAGATCCAAGATAAGGAGGGTATCCCCCCGGACCAGCAGCGTCTTATCTTCGCTGGTAAGCAGCTGGAGGATGGGCGCACGCTCTCTGACTACAACATTCAGAAGGAGAGCACGCTCCACCTGGTGCTCCGTCTGCGTGGCGGTCACTAAACTCCTGATCTGATTTACGATGCTTCTCTCGACTACGATGGGTTCTACATGACCTGCATGGCGTTTGGTCGGTTTCGAAGCCAAGGCTTCTCTTTTCTTTTTCAACACGGTTGACCTTGGGCATACTTCTCTTTCTTGCCACCGAATGTGGTATTCCATAGTTTTCTTATCTACGAATTGACTCAAGGCCCAGTTGCTAGTCATTTGCGTTCTTCCCTCGTAATTTGTAGTTGGCTTCTGTAGCCTCAATATTCGGGCATATCATGGGCTTCTGTGGTTACATCTAAACGCCACAACAGAATAGGCCCTCATATAAGCCGTTGACCCTCACTTCGCTCGGGTAGCTGTAGGAGGCATGATAGAGAGTAAGAGTTAAATACTATAGGCTTATTCTTTAAAGTTCTTTTTTTAGAGAATTTCTCTAATTGTTTCTCTAGATATTCTTTCTAATATTTTTGCTAGAGCGATTTGGGGGGTGCGCTTTCCAAAGAGAATACTCAGGGTTACTTAATAAATGAACGTCACGTATACACCAAGAAACTCAAAAATCAATATATCACGTAGTCTTTTTGTGGTACAACAAGCACGCTTTTACATCTCATATTATAAATGCCACCCTAGTTTTGCCTCTCGCCACCAACCGACTTCCTTTCTGGGAAGGCTACAACGGCTTAGCTAAGTACACTGCTTATCGCCTATCGGTGGGTCAACCGGGACACTTTTCGACACTTTTGGCTTTCATACCCTCCGGGCTTTTCTGGGGGAATAATGTGAGCCATCGCCCGGGATGCCCGCTTACTTCTATCATCTCAGCCTTGAACTCCTTCTCCGTCCATCTGACCACACGAGCGCCGCAAACTCCCTGTCTCTGGCCTTAGACTCCGCAAGGGAAGCTCTGCTGCCATTCCAGACGCCGATCCAATTTCGCTCCAGTCGTGCCCCGCCAGGAACGGGACGCGAACCGCATACTCCCACTCAGAGCTATATTCCTTCTGGCGCAGCAACCCATCTGTCGCAGCAGCAGCAGCAGCGCACGCGACACTCTTCTCATACCACCGTTCCCCACACCAACTATCCCACCCCCGCTCCCTCCGACACAGATTCCTCATCCTCCTCCCCATCCACTCGACCCTCAACTAGCTCTGGCACCATAGAGACCGACCACCGCTTCGACGCCATCTCCATCGAATGCATTGACATGGTCGCCCCGGACGCTGGACCCCCGAAACGCAACCCCAGATGCGGCAATGCGCCCGCTGCCGTCGAGGTAGATAACCTGGTCGCCGCGGGCATCGGCACAGATATCCTGGGTGGCCTGCGCACCAAGGGCCGCTATATCCCGCTCGACCAGAAAGTCGCCGACAGTATCTGGGGCATCGTGCATCTGTACCGCGATGCGGAGGAATCGCCTTACCTTGCCGGCAACGATGACGACTACCCCACGTACCTGAAGGGCTCTGCTGCGGCCGCTCGGCATCCGGGTGAGCAGCAGCAGCAGATTACTGCCCCGGCTGGTGGCGCGAGCAGCGGGCTGTCTCATGTGGGGAATAATAATACTTCTGGTCGTGCGGCGTACCCGTTTCCTGCCACTGTGGCATCGTCTGCTCATTCGGAGAATGCTGATTGCACGACGCTATGCATCCTCGCTGTGCCCTCGTATCTCTCTCCGTCGGACTTTTTGGGGTTTATGGGCGAGCGAACGATGGACGATGTTAGCCATTTCCGTATGATCAGGACTGCGCGCGCCAATCGGTATATGGTTTTGATGAAATTTCGGAGTGCGCGGAAGGCTCAAGACTGGCAGAAAGAGTGGAATGGTAAGGTGTTCAACAGTATGGAGGTAAGCTTTGAGAATTCCCGCACTCTTCGCTGTCTTCTTTTTTTACTGACTCGGCTAGCCTGAAACCTGCCATGTGGTGTTCGTCAAAACGGTTGAGATCCAGGTCGTTGACCCCGGATCTCCGTCTGCTTTGTCACCCGCTGAACTGGGTACTCTTCCTCCCTCCCAGAACCAGCCACCGGGGCCACGCCCATCGGTCTCGGGGACAGGACAGGCCACTCTGTCTATGAAACCTCTTGCGCCACCCACCCCCGCATTGATCGAGCTACCCACCTGTCCTGTCTGCCTTGAGCGCATGGACGAGACGACGGGGCTCTTGACGATTATTTGCCAACACGTTTTTCATTGCACATGTCTTCAAAAATGGAAAGGAAGCGGCTGTCCCGTGTGCCGGTACACGCAGGACGACTTCCGGAAAAGCAGCGCCGGCATCCAGCCTGAGGATGAACCTGCCGAGTGCAGCGTATGCCACTCAGAAGCAAATCTATGGGCATGCCTCATCTGCGGGAAAGTCGGCTGCGGTCGATATGACGGAGCGCACGCCTTCGAACACTGGAAAGAAACCACACACGCGTTCGCAATGGACCTGAACTCGCAACGAGTATGGGACTATGTCGGCGACGCCTACGTGCACCGCATCATCCAGAGCAAAACCGACGGCAAGCTCGTGGAACTCCCAGCCGCCGACCACAGCGCCCTCGACCCACCCGACTGGGCCGACGCCGTCCCGCGCGAGAAACTCGAGAACATGAGCGTTGAATACACCCACCTCCTCACCAACCAACTGGAAAGCCAGCGCGCCTATTTCGAAGAGATCGTTGAGCGCGCCGCCGACAAAGCATCTCAAGCCAGCGCCGCTGCCACCGCCGCCGAGGACGCCGCCAGCGCCGCCAGCTCGCAGCTCACAGATCTACAGTCCCAATACGACACTCTGACCACGGATACTGTTCCTGCGCTGGAGCGCCAACGAGACCGCGCCCAGAAGCGTGCCGACAAGTTCGAGTCGCTAGCGCGCCAGATGGAAAGGAACTGGAACGAGGAAAAGACCATGAACCAAAGCATGCTGGACCGGATTAAAACACTTACCGTTGAGGCTGATAAGCTCAATGCCGCGCATGCGGACTTGGTTGAGCAGAATCGCGACTTGACCTTTTTCATTAGCGGGTCGCAGCGTCTGCAGGGTCAAGGCGATGATGTTGTGCAGGGCACGCTCAGTGTGCCGCAGCCTCCTGCGGGTGGGAAGAAGAAGAATAACAACAAGAAGAAGAAAAAGAAGCCTGCGGAGAGTGAGAACCAGGACTAGATGGAGGGAAGGGGGGGTATGTCAACCTACGTTGGTAGAACCTTTTTGCATCTTTTACTGTTGGCATGAGTTGTTTTATGTTCATGGTGCTGGGATGGGCTCGGGCGTTGATTGGAGTTTAGCACTGGGGGTATCACTGTTCTTTGTTTTAAAATAGTTTATGAATTATGGACAGGAAAAAATCATCATGCATTCTATCCTCTCTTTCCCTTGCCATCTACAGTTTATCTCTCCAACAATCCAGTATATAGTCGTGCTTCCGAGATTGGCCCCAAGATATATGGCATTATCAAATGTGATGCCATAGCAGTTAGAAGTCGTTGAGAAATGCAATATAATCAACCCCTACATTCAACATGAGAAGGCACTTCAATGTTGTCTATTCAAATAACTATTTCAGTACAGTTTAATCAATCTACTTGCGGTAAAGAGCCTTGAGAACCACAGGCGAAGAGAAAAATTGCCGAAGATCAACCACAAACAGGTCCGGTCTCTCCAAAGACGAGAAATGTCCGCCTTTCTCGTGCTCTTGCCAGTACTGAATGTTGGCCGCCTGTGCAGCCTAGTCACAAGAACACTAGATGTAATCAGTCAAAACTCTCGCAAGACATTTAAGCCCTGACAAGGGTACTTAACGTGCAGCTGCTCTTTCGCATACATACTGAACCCCGTGGGAGTCGACACGTACGTTTCAAATGTCTTCTCTGCCTCGCACATGCCACGCCCAAGGGCTTCTCGATAGAAGCGCAAGCCAGGCGTGGCCCCCTGATCCAGTGCATCATCACCAGCGTAATGATATGTTGGTGTTGCTGTGTCGCTGGGTGCCTTGACTTGGACTTTTACTTCAGTTCCACTCGCTGAACAGTTCGTGGTGAATGCTTCAGGCTGGGTTACTGGGCTGGGCTTTGTGAGTGGAGTTTGGGGATGGCCAGATGCAGTTCTATAGGCTATGTGTGATGCTCAAATATCCAATGGTTTCTGATAGTAAATGCGGAATTTTATGCGCGTCTATGCTAATTAACCTAAAAAAGACAAAGTATGAGATATTGAGATATCCAGCTATTTATACAGGAGCATCGCCCTTCCTCACAGCCCAGAAATAATTCCCCCACTCCTCAGCCCCGGGCACCATCTTCCACCCCAAGCCAGGCACATACACGGCACCTACACACTTCCATTGCATACCCTCCAGGTCACTGGGACCACCGCGCCTTGTCGACGTATCCGCCGCACGCATCAGTCCCTCTTGCACCCAGCCATGCACCTCGGGCGGGTTCACAAACTTGTTCCACTCATGGGTCCCGCGCGGCACGACGCCGATGGGCCAGGGCGCCTCGGCGATGACCTGGTTCAAGACAAAGGAAGGGAAGGTGCGCGAGATGGTCGAGCCGATTAGCCAACCGCCTGGTTTGAGGGTGCGCAGACAGTTGGTTAGGAAGCCGAGGGGCGACGAGGTCGTGGGGTCGATGTGTTCGAGGACTTCGAAGAGGGTGACTATGTCGAATTGGGGTGAGGGTGAGGACGGAGATGAAGAAGAGGATTGTGGTGAAGGTGCGCCGGGTGTAGATGCAGACGTGGAAGATTGCGGTGCAATAACATCTTCCAGTGTTGTGTTCAGATACTGGAATCGGCCGCTGCGCAGGTGCGCATCGACCGCCGGGTCGGTTCGCGCGTGGTCGCGCGCGATCTGGATGAGTGTTGTGGAGGGGTCGACAGCGGTCATGGAGGCGGCGCGCGTTGCTGTCGGTGCGGAAGCAGAGGAGTCGAGGGGAATGGTGCGCGCGAGTGATTCGGCGAAGATGCCGCCGCCGCAGCCAACGTCTAGGTAGTGGAGGTCTGCCGGATTGGTGGAGTTGGAATCAGAGCTGGGAGGCGCAGGCGAGCCGTCTGCGAGACAGGAGGCGATGAATTCATGCCGGAGTGGGTTCATCAGATGCAAAATGCGCGAGGGGCCCATTGGGTCCCACCAGGAGCTGGCGAGCGCGGAGAAGTGGGAGAGTTCATCGGCGGAAACGGAGGATGTGGAGTGGGTGCGGGTGCTTGAGGTGCTGGTTGTCATTGAAGGTCGAGGTCGGCATAATGAGGATCGAGTTGCTGCGACTATTGGCGCAGAGCGACGTGCCCGCAGAGGCAGGGACCGAAGTCGCAGGGAGGCCATTTCGGAGCCAGGAAGAGATCGGGGTGAGCAATGAAGCCTCAGAGCAGAATTGGCCTGCTGGGACGTTGTTGTAACGGACTTCTCGAAATTGGTCTCTGTAACTTTCCTAGTCAGCAAAGCTAATGAATTTAAAAAAATGTCAAGGCAATTCCTACCACACTTGGACCATGGCGGAAGTTCAAAAGATGAAGCTAGAATCTCCGATGCCGAGACAAACACGCCAAGCCCGTTTGATCTCGCAGCTACCGCATCCTCAAGATCGATCGTCAACTGCACATCTATTTGCTCGAATTTGTTTGAATTGGCACTTGATTGAAGTACCCAAGGAAATGCCCTCGATGCATCTTCGATCTCCAATGCCATGTACAAAAATCAGGTCTATATAAACTCCGGGTGGTATCATAACACAAAAACAACATCGAAACACTGACTGCTCATTTCAGCAGACAGGCTTGAAACCCCATGCCTGGCGAACTTTCTGGCGCAGCGGGCAAATGAGGTCCTCGAGCCCTTTCTTGATCAATGGGAATATCCATGTCATCAGGGCCGGCAGCCGACAAAGGCCACTGATGCTCGCCAGACCACGAGGCCAGGTAGTCAAGCTCGGCAGCCCCCAGAGTCGGAAGGAAATTGCCTATTGTGATAGTGCAGTCCAATCCTAGAACAGTTTTACAGCGCTCCAGTAATGACGGAAACAGGTAGGAGGGCGAGCCGCGGATTTGAGAGAGGGTTTGCAGGATTCCCCAGAGTAGCTCGTGAGGGTCGATAGCCGACTCGGCCAGTCGGTGGACTGATTTCGACCCCAGGGACCGTGTCACATCGGCGACGGAGGTGCCCATGTCAAACAGCTTTTGTTCCTGTGGTTCAAGAATACCACGGTCAGCATGTGAGTCTGGCGCTCGGCCGCTGGGCAATCACTTACCATACCAATGCCGTGCGCATCGACCGCCCCTTGGGATGCGGCTCCGATGACGCTCATTACGGCTTTGCCAACCAGCACTGGTAGATGGAAGGGAAGGACTGCGTCGTCGCGCGAGCCGGGTTGTGTGGCATGGTTCATCGATAACTTCCACATCATCGCCTGCAGCCACTGTTGCGTGATCAAGATATCAACTTGCTGAATCTCAAGGACCCCGTCTAGTGAAATTGTTTTGCACAGACTCGATTGGATGGCGGATGTGGGTGGTCGCTCCAGGATCCCATCGCCGCCGCCGGCTGAGACCCAGTCATAGAGGTTGACAGTCAGTTGCTCGAATATGTTGATCAGGTTGATGAAGCCGTAGGCTAGAATAGGATCTTCGGAGCAAAGCACATGCGGCTTGTGGATGGAGCTGCGGAGCATGACTGGCTTGGATTGTTGGAGCGCATATCCTCTGCGGCGATGATTAGGGGACTATGGTGGGAAAGTACCAGATGATGGGATACTCACCTTTCTGTAATAAACAACAGCCAGAACACGCGCCGCCTCTCCTCCGCTTCTTCCGCACCGTATCTCGCATATGTGGATTCGCGATGGAGGCCCAGGGTAAACACCATCGAGGTAGCCTGACACAAGTAAAACCACGCATGGTCCTGCTTGTCAAGATTCCCATAGGCAGCGAAAAGAAAGAAGGAAGTCAAAAGAGTTTCGAGGCTCAGATCCTCCACCACATCGCATTCGCGCTGCGCCCGCACAGCTTCTGATAGTAGCTCTTCTCCTGACATCGCCGAATGAGCGCTGCCCAATTTCTGCAGTCGGATCGGGTCCGGAACTGGCGTCGCTCCATCTAGCTTCAATTGAATATGCGTGGCCGCACACAGAGATGCCAGAAAGGCATATCGTCGCGCCGATAGCCGCCCGGGCTGATGGCTGTCCAATCGCAGCTGCTCACTGCGCACGACAGGCATAATCGGGAATAGGTACTTGAGGTAGACATTGACGTGCGCTAGTAGAATCTGAGGCGAGAGACGCCGCGCATGTGGCAGGGCATATCCATTGGTCGATTCCACGGTTGAATCGGTTGAGTCTGGCGACGAGACCAGATCCGGCGGCAATTGCGAGAATGTTTCCGACAAGTCGGGCGTCGAGTATTGCGGGTCGGGCACGGTGAAAGCCGGTGAGGTGGGTGAGCTGATCCGGCATGCGGGTGGATCGGTGATGTCTTTGTCGGGATGGACCTGCTCGGGGACTGCATCACGCCGAGACAGCGGATGGATGGGAGCCAGGGGATAGAGAGTGCGGAACTTGGGACCTTTTCGGCGCAATACGTCGCTATAGGAGCAGGAGAGTAGCAGATGTTGGCATTTGTCGCAGGGCAGCTCGCGCGAGCATTTGATCTTTCGTCGGCGACAGTTGTCGCACGCCTGTTTCGATGGTTTAGGGGGTGAGGCAAGGTCCATGATGAAATTGAGGGCTAAATTGACACGAGAGGGCGCATGTTAGAAAGATATGGGTTCAATTGTCGTGGACAAGATAGACAGTCCAGGGCAAGTTTCAAGGAAAAGATTAGGAGGCAAGAAACCAGAAGAAACAGAACCTGGGGAAGCGCCGGGTGTAAACCCCGCAAAGACATCGACTTAGGCCATTTCATCTCGTGTCAGCACGACTACTTTGCTTTGCCATTGACATCTACAAGGCCCTAGGCCCTTACATTCTACTTGTTGCAGGCTACCTTGATATCGGTATGATTTCCCCGTCCATGCTCATCTTTAGTCTCCACGCTATGCCAGCCATAACTCTACAATCATTCTGGAAAGAGAATGATCGGGATGATGTCAGTTCACCAGGATCATCCAGAGTTCAGTCGGCACCTAAGCGAGGTCCCGGTGAGTCCCCGTGCAATACACCTGGGCGGATATGGACCGCGCATTTGCCAGCATTGGGCCACAGAGCAATGACGGACTTTCGCCAAGCGCCTGAGCCCCGGTGGACACTCCACTCGAATTGCAGCTGGGGGTCTAGCGGGGATGCGCGATTTTCTCGGATTCATCTCAGCAGTGGACACCCCTGGACTGGCCTTCTCCGCAGTCTTTCAGGACTGTCCATTGTTCAGGGTAGCATCATGGCTGGTCCAATCCAACAACCTTCCATGGCCCTTCTTGCGCCAAAATACTTCCCGGGACATGCATGAGATCCAAAGTGCCTGGCGATCTCGCCCCGTGATTTGTATAGACGCATCCCTTGGCTCGGGAAGCCGAGAGCGTGGAACAAGAAACCCCGCATAACATTCCATCATTGTGCCATCAATGCACATTGTTCGACGCAGAATACTTGTCGGAGGGCACCGCTCCCCAGGATCCAAAAACCCCGAAGTTCTTGCGGCCCGAAGCTGTTTCTCGCGTGTTGAGAGAGAGCACGGTCTTTGCTAGGAAGAATGCAGTCACCGGCCCGGTATATCCCGTACGATACGTCACACCTTTGGCTGTGTCGACCAGGGTGATAGTGTGTATGGTATGGTCATCTCGGCCATTTATCGGACGACAGGCCAATCGCGATGGACCTTTCGTTCTGCATCGATTTGGGTTCTGCAGTGGAGCTGGAGAAAGCAAGAAAGAGAAAGAGACTCTCTCCTCCAGAATGCCCCCGAGACGTAAGGGCCTCCGTCTCCGCAATGCTCCCCCAGTTTTCGCATCCCCAGCCCCGCAAAAACATTCAGTCGGATCTATCCATGGATGTTCCACTTTGCCTGCCCCGGACATTCAACGGAGATTTGGCGCTTTGGATACGCGAATATCTTCAGTCCTGATTTTACGAGGAACCGGTCCTGCCGTACCACCATAGCCAGTGCGTCAACCCCCCGTAGACTATAAAAGCGACCATCGTAGAACTTCCCCCTGGAATGTTTGGTTGATTGGAAGTCTTCAACGCCACACTCGCCCAACAACCTTAGCACGAAGACAGTCGTCATAATGGGCTTCGCCAATCTTCTTGTCGGCGCGTGGCTATTGCCGGCAGTTTACGGAGCGAGTTCAACACCCGCAGCTACCTCCTCGGCCAGTGCAGCACACACCCAGTTCACCATCCCTGCCTCTGCAGACGTCGGTGCCCAGTTGATCGCCAACATCGATGACCACCAAGCTGTGAATGCTCAATCAGTCTGTCCCGGGTACAAGGCGTCCAATGTGAAAAACTCGACTCGCGGGTTCTCGGCCACCCTGAAGCTGGCTGGCAAGCCGTGCAACGCGTACGGAACAGACGTCGACTCGTTGGATCTGGCTGTTGAGCACCTCGCAAAGGACCGACTGAACATCCAAATCACGCCAACCCATGTCGATGCTTCGAACGCGTCGTGGTACCTGCTCCCCGAGGATCGGGTTCCTCGGGCTAAGGCCGACAAGGGCGTGTCGCGTACGCACGGCGATCTCGAGGTCTCGTGGTCCAATGACCCGAGCTTTAGCTTCAAGGTGACCCGCAAGGCTACTGGCGACGTGCTGTTCGATACCACAGGCACTGTGTTGGTGTATGAGAACCAATTTATTGAGTTTGTGACCGCCTTGCCCAAGGACTACAACCTGTACGGGCTTGGGGAGCACTTTCAGCAGCTGCGACTCCTTGATAATCTCACCCTGACCCTCTATGCGGCGGACAGTGGTGATCCAATTGACAGGTGCGTCGCTTTATCATACGTGGCGGTTTTAATACATACTAATAGTCGATGTCTTCAGCAATATCTATGGGTCGCATCCCTTTTATTTGGATACCCGCTACTATGAAGTTGATTCGCACGGGGCTCATACCCTCGTCGCGAGTGACAAGGCGGACCCCTCCAAGGAGTACAAATCTTACTCGCATGGTGTCTTCTTGAGAAATGCCCACGGGCAGGAGGTTATCACAAAGCCTAAAAGCCTGACCTGGCGCACCCTGGGTGGTAGCGTCGACCTTACTTTCTATTCGGGTCCGACTCAGCGCGACGTCTCCAAGAACTACCAAGTCAGCACAATTGGACTGCCAGCGCTGCAGCAGTATTTCACATTCGGCTTCCACCAGTGTCGCTGGGGGTACGAGAACTGGACGGTGCTTGAAGAAGTTGTCGCCAATTTCGATAAATTCCAAATTCCGTTGGAGACTATCTGGTCAGTGAAGTCGTTGACATTTGAGATCCAAGTATCATTTCTAACCCTCTTCTAGGACCGATATTGATTGGATGCATGCCTACCGAGATTTCGAGAATGATCCCGTCAGGTTTGGTTATGACGAGGGTGAGAAATTCCTGGACAAGTTGCATGGGAGTGGCCGCCACTATGTACCCATTGTGGATGCTGCTCTATACATCCCGAACCCGCACAACGCCTCGGATGCGTAAGTCGTCCTTCCATGAATCTTTTACAGGCAGCTTGCTAATACCCATATAGTTATGACACCTACACCCGCGGTGCGAAAGACGATGTTTTCCTGAAGAACCCCGATGGCAGCCTCTACATTGGCGCCGTCTGGCCCGGCTACACCGTGTTCACAGACTGGCTGCACCCCAAGGCAGCTGACTTTTGGTCGAATGAACTTGTGACTTACCGAAAGAAGCTGGCGTACGACGGCATCTGGGTAGATATGAACGAGGTTTCGTCGTTTTGCGTCGGCAGTTGCGGGTCTCACAATCTTTCCATGAATCCGGCCCATCCTCCATTTGCGCTGCCCGGAGAACCCACCAACCTCATCCTCGACTACCCGGAGGGATTCAACATTACCAACAAAACCGAGGCTGCCTCGGCTTCGGCGGCTTCATCTAGCCAAGCGGCGGCCTCCAGCTCCGCAACATCCAGCTCGTCCACATCCTACCTGCGTACGACTCCCACCCCGGGAGTGCGGAACATCAACCACCCCCGTACGTGATCAACAACGTCCAGGAAGGCCATGACCTTGCTATCCACGCCGTATCTCCGAATGCCACCCATGTTGGCAATGTCAAGGAGTATGATGTGCACAATCTCTACGGCCACCAAACGATCAACGCCACCTACAACGGCCTGCTCCAGGCTATTCCCGACAAGCGGCCGTTCATCATTGGGCGCTCAACCTTTGCGGGGTCCGGGAAATGGGCAGGCCACTGGGGCGGCGACAATTATTCCAAGTGGGCGAACATGTACTTCTCGATCTCACAGGCGCTGTCGTTCTCGCTTTACGGGATTCCCATGTTTGGCGTGGACACCTGCGGGTTCAACGGCAACACAGACGAGGAGCTCTGCAACCGCTGGATGCAGCTGTCAGCTTTCTTCCCATTCTACCGCAACCACAACACCCTGTCAGCGCTCTCGCAGGAACCGTATCGCTGGGCGTCGGTTATCGGCGCGTCCAAGGCGGCAATGAAGATCCGGTACGCCATCCTGCCATACATCTACACCCTGTTCCACGAGGCACACACCACCGGATCGACCGTCATGCGCGCTCTAGCCTGGGAGTTCCCGCATGAGCCACTGCTGGCTGGCGTCCACACCCAGTTCCTGTTGGGGCCCTCGATCATGGTGATCCCCGTCCTCGCGCCGCAGGTGGACACCGTGAAGGGTGTCTTCCCGGGCGTCAAGCACGGCGAGGTCTGGTACGACTGGCACACGCAAAAGGCCGTCAACGCGAAACCCGGCATTAACACAACCGTCCCGGCTCCGCTGGGTCACATCCCCGTCTACGTGCGCGGTGGCAGCGTCCTCCCGATGCAGGAGCCTGCCCTGACTACCCAGAAAGCCCGCAAGAGCCCGTGGTCGCTGCTCACTGCGCTCAGCGGCAACGGCACCGCATCTGGGAATCTTTATCTCGACGACGGTGAGAGTGTGTCGCCCACAGACACGCTCAAGGTCGACTTCAAGGCCTCGGACTCCAGTCTTAGTGCCTCGCCTCGCGGCACTTGGAAGGAGAAGAACTCGCTGGCGAATGTCACTGTGTTGGGCGTGGCTAAAAAACCTCTCTCTGTCACTCTGAATGGCAAGAAGGTCCCAGCCTCATCTGTTCAGTACAATGCCACTTCGCGTGTGCTGTCCGTTGGTGGGTTGCAAAACTTGACCAGTGAGGGGGCGTGGAGCAACAAGTGGATTCTGAAGTGGTAGATTCCTAGATTGCTGAGGTAGATTTTCGGGACTTTGGCTTCTGGTGCTTGAGTATGCTTCTGAGCCCAGATTTTATATAGTTGACATTAAAATGGTTGGTCGATCAGACGGATCTATGCTTTTCTTTTCTTATCCCTAGTGACCCAGTAGGTCCCTAGATATATGAAAAACATTCGGACCATGGTTTCGCATATTGTCTCAGACCTGGATTCAACAAGTCCCACATTCTCAGATCTCTCGCCATAACGAACTAGACCTGTTCAAAAAGAGCCCGTCGCAGCATCCACGAATCCCGATCTATTGACGATCAGAGGGGTTCAGGCTCAGGCCGAATCACGACCGAGGCAGGTAACTCGATGTAGATGTGTCTACGATACTCAACATGTATCCCGGGCGTAAAGATAACAAGCATTGGTTGGCTATTCCTCATTGTTCCTCAAATGAATTTCCGAGTTCAGGTAAGGCTATAAATCCTGCCAGGTCCCTCGGTCAGGTCCCGATCGATAGCTTTTTGTTTTTTCGCCCCCGCGATGTCTTGCTGCGACGTCATGCAGCTGGGCCCGTTGGCGTCTGCGAATCTGGGTGCTGATTGCTCAGATCCCAGCGCAGCTGAAAGGGCCCTGCAGACCAGGATATTATTATTTTTTTTTTTCTTATTGTCATGAGTCGTGGCTCTCTTGGCCCCCGCCCCCAGTCAACATGCGTTTAGATACCCTGTTTTGTTTTCTCTTTGGTCCTGCAATATCTTTAAATCTAAACGGCCTGCAGAGTCAAAGCGTGCAGGGATCGGGATCTCACCGAATTAATCCCCCTGAAGCATTCTTATTTAATCAATCTGAGTTCGCGATCTCCGCGCGCCGCTCGCATTAGGGTTTCGAGACATCGCAGTTGCCCAGGTGCGGTTCTATCCGCTCGACTTTTAGTTGGTTTTGATTTTCGCCCCCTTCTTAGCCGGTTCCATTCTTGTCTTGCTTGTATGCCCTGCTCTGTCCGTGACCAGGGACGGAGATTGTCAGGGAAGTGCACGCTGATCGCTCCATCTGATCGTCAGGTCCACGTCCAGCCGTTGGATTTATTGGCTCGTGTCCCTCTGCGAAGCACTGATCACCAGAATTCCAAACAACCGTTGAATTGAACTGTCGAGTTAGATCTCTCTTGGCTGTTATTTATATAAGCCCGGTGTCGGTCGCTTGTGAGACTTGAGTATTTCCTGGACCGAGACTCAAAGGAAAAAGAGAAAAAGACCAACACAATGTTGCTCTCGCGCTTGTCGTGGCTTGCATGTCTGGCTGGCTCGGCGATCGCCACTTCTCCGGAGCAATGGCGCTCGCAGTCGATTTACTTCATGCTCACGGATCGGTTCGCGAGGACGGATGGGTCGACGACCTCTCCTTGCGATACTAGTCAATCGGTGGGCCCGCTCCCGTAGATACTGATCTTGGGAAGAAAAAGTGTATGGCTAATGCTCTGGCTTTTACTTTGGGCAGAAATATTGCGGTGGTACTTGGAGAGGCATTATCAACAAGGTAAAGGCTCTGTCTCATTGCCAGTTTGAGTTGTATTTACTGACACCATGATAGCTCGACTATATCCAGGACATGGGATTCACGGCCATCTGGATCACACCTGTGACCAAGCAAATCTCCAAGACAACCAAATATGGGGATGCGTACCACGGCTACTGGCAGCAGGATATGTAAGTCCAGTAATTCAAGGGGAATGCGTATACCCAAGATCCAGCTGAACTAATCTATTCAACAGCGATTCTCTGAATTCGAACTACGGCACCGAAGATGACCTCAAAGATCTGGCCTCGGCCCTGCACGACCGTGGAATGTATTTGATGGTCGATGTCGTGGCCAACCATATGGTTTGTCATTCCAATGATATATATAGCTCTGTCTATTTCCACATAGCCCGAATCAACTAACGCGTTCTCCAAATAGGGATATGCCGGCTCCGGTGACAATGTCGATTACAGTGTGTTCAAGCCATTCGACTCCCAGAAATATTTCCACCCCTACTGCAAGGTCTCGAACTATGACAACCAAACCGAAGTCCAGGACTGCTGGCTCGGCGACTCGACGGTTGCCCTGGCAGACCTGAACACGGAAAGAGAAGATGTAAAGAAAATGTGGTACGACTGGGTTAAATCTCTTGTTTCCAAATATTCCAGTAAGTGATATCTACCCTGTTATCCAGTGGTTCTTTTCTCATGGGGACGAAAAACTGATTTGTTGATTGTCGCAACTAGTCGATGGTCTACGTATCGACACTGTCAGACACGTCCAAAAGGACTTTTGGCCAGACTTTAACAAGGCTGCCGGGGTCTACTGTGTTGGCGAGGTCTTTGAAGGCGATGCAGACTATACCTGTCCTTACCAAAAGGTTATGGACGGGGTGCTCAACTACCCGATGTGAGATTTCTTTTTCTCTCTGTTGTGACATCCTATAGAACCAAGGCTGACTGCGAGAACAGTTATTTCCCTCTCCTGAAAGCCTTCCAGTCGACGAGTGGCAGTATCAGCGACCTCTACGACATGATCAACACCGTGAAATCGAAGTGCGCTGATTCAACCCTGCTGGGCTCTTTCATTGAGAACCACGACAATCCTCGGTTTGCCTCGTAAGTGTTTCTTTTTACTGCCATCATCCGTGGCATTCCCAGTCCATTCTACTATTCTACAAGCACACCCACTGACTCAGTCTAGATACACCGACGATATCTCCCTCGCCAAAAACGCCGCCGCCTTCACCATCATGGACGACGGAATCCCCATCATCTATGCCGGTCAAGAACAGCACTACAGCGGCAACAGCGACCCAGCCAACCGCGAGGCCGTCTGGCTGTCCGGATACAACAAGGACAGCAAGCTGTACAAGCTGATTGCAGCGACGAACGCGATCCGAAACCATGCCATCAACCACAACGATAAATATTTGGACTACAAGGTATGATTCTGAACTACATATACCCAACCCTATGCTGTTTTTCTTTCTCATCTCATTCTAATAAAATATGCACAGAACTACCCCATCTACCAAGACAAATCCACTCTGGCCATGCGCAAGGGCTACAAGGGCACGCAGACCGTCACCATCCTTTCGAACCTCGGTGTCCAGGGAAACAAATACACGCTTTCTCTCTCCGACACGGGCTTCGATGCTGGCACAAAGTTGACTGAGATCTATACCTGTGCTAGCATTACCGTGGATGAGAGTGGGAAGGTACCTGTTCCAATGGCTGGGGGCGAGCCGCGCATCTTGTATCCGAGTTCTGAGCTGAAGGGCTCCAAGGTTTGCTCGTGATTTCTGTGGGAAATGATGGTTAATGTGTCTATGATTTTGGATGAACGTTCTCACATGGAATTTATCCTTCGATGGTTCTGCTTGGGGTGGATGGCAATAGTAATACGTTACTATGCCCAAGGGTTTTCCTCACCATGCGCGACGGCTTTAAAGCAATATAAGCGAGGATAAATAGCCCAGTTAGGCTTATACTACTGATTTCTTGTCGAGATAGTAGGTCTTCTGACTGCAGCTGGCTATTTCCGGCTATTATGATAAGTGTTACCAATTCATCCGAGTCTGGCCGAATGAAAGCGACTTTGATGACAAGCGCCTGCAGCTCAAGTCAGCAGCAATATGCTCAGGTTGGTTGGTTGGGGGTTTGGATGGGCAGAAAACGGCAAAATTCGCGAGACGACCACAGTCTATTGAATCAATTCATCTTCCGCCGGGAAATTTTCAATGAGAGATTCAACAAAATCCATATGTATCACGATTTTGTGGTGAAACTGAGATTCTCGATGGGACTTCATAAAATCCAATCACAGCTGCTCAATCCACAATATCTGTCATTGCTTTCGACCATCCCCGAATCTTTATATAACCCGCAGTAATGAATAAACTACGTATCCCGGCTTTTCTGAGCTGCACCGAACTTGCCTCGGTCCCACCAACCCAACCCAGACCAACACCCCATGAGAAACCCATACACAGAATCGTTATCATCGTCACCATCAACGTAAACCCCAGGTATGCACCACATTACCAATCATGTAGAGCACGCGGTACCAGGCCGATAGGCATTGCGCCGCCTGTGACCGGCACAGGGTGCTGCTGAAACAAAGAAGGCGCCTCGAAAGCAGGCTGGGGAGATACATAGCCCGGCAGAAGCTGATCGAGACATCCGTACCCATCGATGAGGGTATCCATAACCCCCGCAGTGGGCATAAGCTGGGCCATATCGAGACTGGTTGCCCGAGGATTATGGTGCTGGTGCTGGTTCTGGTGCGATGTTGCAAAGAGACTGTTCTTTGGCACTTCCGTGGTTGGCGATGAGGCATGCACGGCTGTCGCCTCGGAGTACCGGCGCTGGACCTCGGTGACAATGCACGCAATCCGGTAAGCAAGATGGTCGCCGCCTGGGGCGAGTTGGAGCAGGAAGGCGCGCACTTGGTCGATGAGGGGGTCGGAGAGGTTGTAGTCGCAGAGCGTGAGGGCAGCGTAGCAAACCATAAAATAGACATGATCGATCAGCCCCGGTGCAGCTGAGAACCTCGTCTGCAGGAACTTGGTGATGATCAGGCGTGCGTTGCTGCAGATCTCTGGTTCCAGTCGGTCTGAGTCTGGTTGGAGACGCGTGGCTGTGCGCTGCAGGAGGAGCTGGCAGAACCAGAGGCTGAGCTCTAATGTGGGTTGCTCGTCGTTGGCTGTGATAAATGTTGTTAGAGAGGTAACTTCCAAGGGTGTGCGCTAGGGAATCAAGGTGTTGTACTAAGAAGATGGGCCCATTCCATTTTCCATCGCTCGATCTCTTCGTACTCGGCTTCGCCGAATTGTAGTCGCTGTTGACTGTTCTGGAGTTTTGACATAATCCGGTGCAGTTGGATCTCTGCGACTATTTTCCCGTCTTCTTGTGTGGCGCCCGCATGGTCCAAGATGCGAGGGCAGTGGTCAAGGTATTGCGGTTGGATATTGATGGCGCGGCCATTCCCAAGCGCGGAACTATTCGTCGTTATTAAGACTGAGCCAAAAACAGAATGTCAAGACTTACTGCAAATGAGTCAAGCATAGAGTATTCCACAATCGTAGCTGGGCAACCACCTTCTCGGTCATGACAAGCTCAGTGGGTGCGATGTTTAGAAACCCAAAAGAGAGGAGAGCATGGTTGACTGAGATCCCGCTCAGTAACCAGCCATCCATGGGCCCTTCTTTGTGGACTGAGGTAGAATAGAGACATAAAAGTGTCAGTGCCTGAAGCATATCGGTTGTTAAAGGCGGCGGCTTCCACAACGTCTTGGCGACGGCGTGCTGGACCCGGAGAGATATATCACGGACTGTCTGCGGAGGTATGCCGGGCAGATATCGAGATGCCAAGAGGCACGCGGTATTGAATAGAAGAGTGTTGGTCGGCTGAAGACTAGACGCATGGTTTATTGAGACCCAGGGACCAAAATATTCCTCAAAGCTTTCGCGTACTGTTAGCAAGGGCAATAGATAAAGAGAGCACAGAACTACTCGGGTGCAGAACCCACAGTTCAATCAATTTCAAAGAGAATTTATAGTCTACGACACCTTGAGTCACTAGGTCACCCAGGAGATCGGCATCGGTGGAGAAATGATTTCTCTCCCCGAAGCATTCGGCCTGCAGATCTTGGATCAACTGTGCGGGTTTCAGTGTGAATAGCGAAGTGAGCCCGCTATCGCACGACGATGTATCGTCTATACTGTTGTTGCGTAGGAGTTGCGAGGTCGGGCTGCTGGACAAATTGGGAGATTGGTTCACTATCTGTCGCATGAGGTTGATCATTTCCCCCATGCCCCGTTCGAGGGAGACAAGCCGCTCTTCGATGGAGGGAATGGCTGCGTTTGCGTCAGACCATATGGACGCGCTATCCTGGAACCGCTCCGGAGTCTCTGGCAGCTCGCAATCAAGCCTGTGAAAGAACTGATTGTCAGCGCATAGTTCAGGACCAGAGAAAATGCGGACGATCAAAGATAGGGCTGGCTCAAGTAATCAAGAAGTGACAGCCTCAACCACAGGAAATTCATAAAAGCTGAGAGACGAACCTGAGCGACAAACAGCGGCGACAGGCATGGCCACGAGGATCCAGATCGCACCGAGTCTTGAGCTTGCGGCAGGTATTGCACGCAGTCATTGACCGACGAATACGACCTCGAGGCCGAGCAGCGTCGTGGCTGACGACCGAGTCAATTCGACTGCCATCATCGGGAGCGACACTGGCAGTCTCCCACGAGGATGTACCATTGGCAGGGCCGGTTCTCGTCATGGCATTGGTAGGGGTTGAGCACTGGGCATAACAATCATTTACAAGTAGACAAGTAGACAGGAAGATCGACAGGGAAAGATGGGCAGAGTCGAAGCTGATCACTGATCAACACCTGGACCCTGAACAAGCCAAGGAGATTTTAACGCATGGAGATCATTCGAGAGGAGATCCAGCCTTATAGTAGCGGATCTCGGGCAATTGCGACAGGCCGCGGATGACTGACGATATCAACCCATGCCAGCTGCGCAGGTACGTGATTGCGGTCACCCGTGGACCTGGGGTAATTGTAGAGGAGTCCACCAATCTGAAGTCTTCCCGAGGGTCTCTCTTCTAGAAAGCTAACCGGGTCTGCAGATTTCAGCAAAAGAGAGGAAAGAGGGAGAAGGAGGGGTTGATAGTGTCGCGCATTGGCTTCCCCCTGGTCCCTGCACGGTATTCCCCCCGGCGTAAGCCGACTGAAAGAAGAGGGGATTTTCGAAACCTGGACTCTTTAGGTGAATGCACTGACACTAGCTCTTTCGTTATCGTGAGAATTAGAAAACCCCTAGGAGATCCCCTATCTCGTCCATCACGGATAGGTTCCTACGCCCAGGGTCTCTATGCTTCGGAGATATCCGTTGCCTCTCCCCCTCTGTATAAAAGGGGGTTGTATGCAGGTCAGATTTTCAAGCCATTGGTTTTACCACTGTCGGAGCAGATTCACCAGAGTCAAGTGGGGGAGACAAAATCATATCATGCATCAAGTGGGCCCCCTGGATAGAGGGATTCGGGCAGAAGGGGGAGAGCAAGTTGGCATGTGCAAGAATCGGCCATTTTCCCAGACGAACAATCGCCTATTGGACCTGAGGATGCAAAACAATGTGACATTGAAACTTTTCTAGACCCGGTTAACAACGGATATGTTGCCGCTTAATGCATAGCGTCCCCCTAGTCTTGTCCTGCTTGATATCGAGCTTGAAAATACCCAGGCTCTCCCCCGCTTCGTAGAAGTGTTCCGCTCTATGCGATGTTTTTCTTTTCCCTCGCATTATCGGGGTTATCGTATGACAAGTGCCGATCGCTCGAATCACTTGCATTTATTCTGGTCGGGTTGATTCCGCCATGCATAGCCAATATCAATAAAACGCCCGACTCGCACGCTGACTGGCCCACAGAGGAAATTATAACGGCCTCCCCGAGGCTGATGGGCCCATCTCCACTCTGTTCCCTGGTCTCCACTTGGGCCTCAAGCCAACATATAGTATCATCACCTTCCAATTTCGGACCCAACCGCGGCGTGTTATTATTTCTTCATTTATTTGTCTTCCTCTGAAGATTAAAACAGCGGTCAGGGCCCATCTCGGTGGCTTATCGTAGTGCCTTGGCTTTCTCGCTGAATTCTGGGGTAGTCAAGCCATGGGCACACCCATTATCCAGGTCGAAGGATCTAGTGTGCATCCACCACTCAAAAATGAGTTCGCTGTCCCCTCTGTGTTTGCAATACAGGATATCACCTGCTTAAATGTATCACGGTCAACATCGGATATGCCTAGCCGTGTGGCAGTCAGTGAATCTAGATAAGTGATCTTGATCACGCGTTGTACGTTTAGGCGGATAGCATTTGCGATGACACAAAAGAGAAGATTTCGTAGCGTGTGAATGTGTCCTCGCCATTGATTAGCTCCGCGACAAGACCAAACAAACACATCGGGATAAGCAGAAGTCCCTGGAGATCATGACACTCTGGATTTAGTCAACATCTTTGTTCAGTAGTTGCCGTCCCCAATCAATGAGAATTATCTCTAGGGTTAAAAGGGGCTCTGGATCCAGCAAATATTCCATAGACTGGGTCTTTGTGTTGGCAAGAATGTTTTGGTCATCGAGTCTTCCAATGACCGAAGGCCCTTTGTCTGCCGTTTTGATTCAGTTCCCGGCACCCCAGGACGTTCAATTTAGCCTTGGGTGGATACGGCAATCCCACTGGCGGACCAAGCCCTGTATGTCTCAGAGATAAGACCGGGTGTGAAATTGGCACTTTCAATCACCCGAAGTCGCTCTTGGTATTTGGGAACTGACTCGCGCAGGCTTGGGCATAGACTGTTATGCTTAGAGCGGAGCGTATATAGATTCTTGGCATGTAGAGAGTTGTCACTTGGTTAGGCCAACACTGTCGTTCTTGGTGCCAACGCATTTGGGTATTACGTTTCTTTCATTTACAGAATCCTTGCTCTGATAAGAATAAAAGAAAGAGAGACCTATCTAGCGGATAAAGAATCAAGTAAAATAAAACCGATCTTCCATAGTGACCCATGAGACTTTAGCGACAAAGTGTGGATAAAGAGGTGAACAGAGTAAGCTTTGAGATTTTACTTTTCTATACTTTTCGTAGTTGATCTTCTTCTTTTTCTTCTTCTTCTTTTTCTTCTTCTTCTTTTTCTTCTTCTTCTTTTCTTTTCAGTCAAGTCTATTGTAACACCTTATAATAAACCAACCGAAACTACCAATTTGGACTCCAAGAGCTTAATCAAAGCTCATTTATCATCAATAATCTTTTCCTCGTGCTTGAATATTTGTAATATATGCGTTTTTCCTTTTCTCCTTGGTCTTTTGCCTGATGTTATGCATTCCAGTATCTTAGGGGTTAAAGTTCCTCGCTATAGATTTGCTGAAGTAGGATTAAGGACTGAATTTTATGTCAAGGGCTTTGATATAAGCAACCCGAGAAAAATCAATAGGCATCAAACAGTATGCCCTGTTAATGATTGGTATTAGACAACACTTAGACCTAATAAAGCCCAACTATTCCTTGAGATTTCCATAGCAAGTTGGTCAATAGCAAGTATATGTATAATGTAATATTGGGACCTGTGATTTACTACATCCGGTTAGTTTTGCCGTTCCTGGCCTAGCGCCCCAATACATCGTCTTGTCACCTCTCCCTCCGTCGCCTCGACATAAAAGACCCGACCTGCCCTCTCGTCCCCTTCTCCCCTTCTTTTCCCTCCCTTCAACTCCTCTATCTTGCACTCATCGCCGGCGCCTTTCTTTCACTCTGGCCCCCACCGACCGCTGCCCCTTGGCTTTCAGCCCGACGCACTGCCCCTTTCATTTTACCGGAGATGCCGCTCGATCCGACGCCTAGCTCGTTCTCGCCCCTGGAATGGAGCAGTCGCCCAGGAGCAGAATCGCTGGGATGATCTAGCTCGCAGCCGCATTGGTGTGATTTCGTGTCGATACTCCTAGTTCTTCCCAAACCATCATGCTACGAAGCTATCTAAGTCTCCCCCCGATAGTACGCCTTGCTCGTCTCTGAGCCCGCCGCCCTCCTTCGCATCTGCAATGTGCCAATATGCATTCGATGCCGCATGCCCCGCTCATCTGAGGTTACATTGCACAGCCCCGGCGTCGCAGAATGGCTCGCGGTTGCATGGTCGCAAATACCGTGGTGCGCAGTTGTCGTCATCGTCGGTTTCTCTGGTTCCTCTACACCCAGTCGATGAATCTTCGAAATCCAAGCCCAGTGATGTGGGCCAATAGCGAAATACCGCACACGCCCCTGACCTCGGCCGATGCTGCACCTTCTGGTCCGTGTCGGGACTGCGACTGCGAAAACCATGCCATAATCCCACCGCCACCTATCGATTGACGAACGGGCTGATAACGGCCTGATGACAGGTGTGGGTATGCATCGCAAGGTTTTTAGGAAATTTGGGAGGAAAGTGACATAGAAGCGGACCCTGCTGATAATAACGAGACTTAAAAACTTGGCGGACAAAATAAAGCTTAAATTAAATCTTGGCTCAATAAAATTGGGTAACAAGATACCTAACTGGCTAAGCATAAGTTCTTATATATACCTATCTATCTTTTTGGCGCGCTATGGAGTTCTGATCGACCCCTTTCCTGCCACACAGTCTTACGAAGTTTCACCACGTGGAATATCGCTTGTTGACATCCAATCCTCCGGGATACCTCCAGGGTGAGCAGAACAACGCTTGCAGATCCTATAATACAATCCGTTGCAGTCGCTAGGAGCTGTGCACCTCTTCCACTGAACCCTACAGTCCGGTGAGCGGCATGTTTCGTAACGATGGAGCCCGGTCCATATAGGTCATCGTCGGGTTGACCGTGCTCGTCAGCGTGGAGGGATGGTCCTCGCCGAGTTCGGTCTTGTGTCTCTCCATCAACTGCACAAGGAGCTTCTCGGCCTCATCCCATCGGCCTTGAAGCCAGTACGCTATTGCCAGTACCACTCTCTGTGTCGTTGACTTTGATCCCACTTCCCTAGCGCCCGAGGAATTTCTCAGAGTTCAGAACATAGCACGATTCAACGGTTATGATGAGTTTGGCCAGGTCGACTGGGCCGTTCGGTCTAGGGATTCCGGAGGAGCCGTGGAGCGAACACCTTGAATATCAACGGCATGGATTCAACGTGTAGTTCCCCAAAAGCGGCGCCAATCTCAGAAGAACGTCCAATTGCAGCTTCATCTCCCGGTAGAACCAAGTGATTGACGAGACACAGCCAACCTGGGTGGGGGTTTGGGTGGTGAAAGCAGAGGGTGGAACAGCAGAAAAAGAGGGGAGGGGGCGACGGGGCCTTTCCGACCACACCTTATCGGCTCCCAATCCCCTCCTGCGAAAACTGGCGGAACTTCTGGTGGACCTTATACATATCTAGCTCGTTAGGCCAAAGGACTGATGACAGAGCTGAAGATGGGTCTCGACCAATCAATGTCCCGATGGTTACTGTACATTCTGTATTACTAATAAATGCGGAGCGGAAGTTCATATTTCATTACGATACTCAGGCTGTTTTGCTGTTGTCCCTGCACGTCGTCCGCCATCGTGGTACCACAGAATGCCCGCTCCTTATCGCAAAGCCTGCTCCAACTGTGTCAGGTCAAAACGAAGATGCGACCTGTCCTTGCCCAGTTGTTACCGCTGCCGGGTCCGATCCTTACAATGTCAATACCACCAGCCCCAGTCAGCCGGTGCTCCATTGCAAGCTATGACGCCGCCTCTCTCCATGACCGCCCAGGATGCGATGCCAGGAGGAGCCATCAGTACTACCCCTCCGGGACTGGCCTCAGGGCATAACCTCGGAAGACCCGGTCAGATGGCGGAGGGGGATATCGACGTCAGCATTAATGATTACCTGATAGACGAGGCGTCCTGTCTCCCGCCATTCCCAGATTACAACCTCGACTGGGCGGATATCATGAGAGATATCGATGTCTTCCGCGTTCCCGATCGGATCGATCTGGGTAATTCCCCGGACAATACCGTGCTGGCAGGCGAGATATTTCAAGAACGGATCGTGAATGCAGTCAAGCGTTTAAAGGCATACCCTGACCTGTTTGTACGGGAAGGCAAAACACCCTTTATCCATCCAGATCTATACCACGACTCTCTTCCTGAGTCCATTCAAGACGCTATGATGCTTTGCGCTCTCTACAAGGAAAAGAATGAGGCCAACGAGGCGTGGGTTTTCCGCTGTATCAATTCAAAGACGGCCAGTCTACTGGACAGATTAGCGCAAAGTCCACAGCTGGTACTTGAGCAGCTGGCCGCCGTACAAGCGTTGATATTGTATCAGATCATCAGGTTGTTTGATGGTGATATTCGTCAGAGGGCAGAAGCTGAAAGAGCAGACCGAACCATGAGTAGCTGGATCAAGCAGCTCCAGCTCTATATGAACCCTGCTGATAGTGATCTGCAAGCAGAGGATTGTCCAGCTGTGGAGAAAAACAACGACCGTTGGCAGAACTGGCTACTGGATGAAAGTGTGCGACGCACAGTTATTACCTGTTATACACTACAAGGGATGTACAGCTATCTCAAAAATGGGTGGGATAACTCGCACAATGAGTTCAAATGTCTATCTTTCTACACTCAAAAAGCTCTGTGGGATGCCTCTTCAGATTATCAATAGCAGACCGCCCTGCAAAGCTGTCCCTCATTTCCTGTTAGGTTTCTGAGCTGGGATACCGATTTCAGAGATGTGAGACCAACTGATGTGGACGACCTAGGCATGATGATGATGGTGTTGATGAAAGGGGTTGATTTCTGCTTGCGCTGGGCAGGTCACCAATATAGTCGGCGTCTCGGCCTTGACTTGTGATTCTTGATTTATTTTCTCATTGTCGGGACGTCGACCGAATATCCCCCCCAGCTGATAGGACAATTTCATCATTATCGAGCGGTTTTTATGATTTTGTCTCTACTTTGCGATACCAGATTCTTCCATGCCTCTGTGTTTTACCTATATCTATTTTTTTTTTTCAGTCTATCTGTGCTTTGTTATTTGTAATGTCAAGATTCAAAGTTCATTCAAGCTCTGTGTCTTTTTTTTTTTTGCAGAGTTCACCACCCCCTCTGTAGCCACGCAACGTTCCGGGTGTACATCACAAGAGGCGCCTTCCACCTTTCCCACCGAATTCCCTGCTACGGCCATCGTCTTGAATACTACAAAACAAGGCTCCACACTTCAAATGATGCTGAAGCAAGTGATACTGTCGTTATTCAGCTGCATTGCAGCTCTGGTCACGTATTGATCAACTCTAGGAGGCTTTCTTCCACCTTCTAGCGAAGTTCCTATATAGGGTAGCCGTCCCCTCGAGTCGGACCCACAGCATTTTCAGCTGTTGGTCCTCCCCACCGATACGTAAATTCCCACCGATACGTAAATTTTTCTTTTTATTCATCTTCTTCATTATATACTCAGTATGCCAAAATTCGACAAAAATACCGAAAATCGCCTTAATCAGGCCTACGAAGTAGCAAAACGCGATAAAAAACCAAAAATCGCGTCGCTGGCGCGCGAATTCGACGTTCCCTATCATCGACTTCGCGTTAGAATTCATGGTCGTCCACTAAGAACAGCCACTACTCCTACTAATAAAACACTTGACGATTCGTAAGAAAAGGCAATTATTCGCTGGATTCGACATCTTGACTCTCTACAAGTTTCGCCTACAATTAGTATGATTGAGGATTGTGCGAATCAAATTTTGAAACGGAATTCTACGAACGACGCGTTCCCTATACCACGCGTTTCGAAGAACTGGATATATCGCTTTATCGAACGTCTCCCACCAGACCTACAGCTAATAAAACAAAAACCAATCGAGAGAAGCCGTCTATAAGTAGAGGATATTAGGTATTTAGTAGCTTGGTTCGATCGTCTAGAGCTGTATATAGCTGAAACTGGGGCAAAAAACATCTATAACTTCGATGAAACTAGTTTCTAACTTGGTCAAGGTAAAACGCAAAAGGTCGTTACAGCCAACCCACAGCGAGCACAACGAGGTAATCCTTCGATAGAGAAAGGCGAATCTCTTATATCTATCGAATGTATCGCTGCTGACGGCTTCGTTCTCCCTCCTTATCTCGTTTTTCGCGGCGAATATTATCTTGAACGATGGTATATAACGACTTCGCTCCTAGACGATTATCGCATCGCTACAAGCCTAAAAAGATATATAAATAACAAAATCGTATACGACTGGCTTCAATAGTTTCAAATTCATACTGCTTCTCGCGCGAAGGGTCAAAAACGGCTACTTTTGATGGATAATTACAGATCGCATTTAACGTACGAATTTATCGATTTTTGTCAACAATTCGATATTATTCCGATCTGTTTTATCTCTTATACTACTCATTTTGCTCAGCCGCTCGATAGAACACCCTTTTAAGCATTAAAACACTATTTTCGAAGTCGAAATAGTGATCTTTCGAGATAGGGTAGCAGCGTGGATAATAAAGCAGATTTTCTTCGAGAACTGCCCCGAATTCGACAGCAAGCCTTTACCCCTCGGACGATTCGAGATGCTTTTAAGGATCGAGGTATTTACCCTTTCAATCCTCAGAAAGTCTTCGATAGACTCCTAAAATTAGACTCGCCAATCATCGAAGGTCTAGAGCCTTTCGATAATAAGAATATAACTCCCCCACCTCCCTCTAGTTTAACAAACTCGCCTCCTTTATCAATTCGTCGTATACGGCGAAATATTAATAAAGCGAAGGGTCAAATCGATGAGAGTCCGCAGCTAAATAATAGCTATCGACGTCGCCTTGATTGTCTATTCAAAACCTCTATCGAAGCTACTGAACTCGCCTCGCATTCGCAGTCGGTTCTCGCCTAATATCTTCGTCAAATTTAACCCAAAAAGACACCTAAAAGTTGTAGACGAATCCCTACATTAGGACCTCTCTTAGTAAAAGATACAAATCATCGAATTACGGACCGTACGACAAAAGAGATACACCAGAATATTCGACAAGCGAGAAAGCAGGCAGTTTCGCAGCCACCCCACATCCCACAACGAGATCAGAATAGGGAGATATTGGTATCAGAAGAAGGCGAATTGACTACTGAGGACCCTCCGCTATTTTTTTTTGATTCAGTTGGTGAAATTGTTGAATAATTGATGAATAAAGAGAAAAATTTGCGTATCGGTGGGAATTTGCGTATCGGTGGGGAGGACCAACAGCTGAAAATGCTGTGGGTCCGACTCGAGGGGACGGCTAGGTTTTAAGCACTTTCATCCAGACCGCTTTCTATAATGATCCGTGTACATTACGGTACGTCGTTAGGACCAGGATGGATGGATGTATTTTACACAAGATTCCAGTGTGATTTAATGGACATTACAGTATTATTACCATAATTCTTGCACTACGGTAAAGTCTTACCACCACAGTTCTGCCTAACTAATAGAGCAGTGACCCAAACGGGATTAGCGTATTTCTGATTTATTTTCCGGGAATCAATCCAAAGAGTTTGGGGTCAAACTGAATTCGAAAACTACTGTATTTGATTTTTTGCTAAACAAATGTTCAATATGTCGTAATGAGTTGGCCGATTTCGTAACTACGGTACAATATTACTACGAGTAAGGGATATAAGCTTCCACCAGTCGGTCTGCCAAGGATGAGCAAAGCTTCCGCAAAGTCTTCCGCCGAACCTTCTGCAGCAGCCGCTGCAGAGGTTTGTAACAATGGAATGCCTAAAATATTATCCAGATAGTAGAATTATAATTTCCTGAACTTCCCCTCCTACATATATCACTCGCTCTTTACCCCGATACAGATTACTGTGCCACAAAGACATTCTTGAAGACTGGAACGATGGCCGACTTCACGAAAATCTACCACCGTCATTCTTATTCAGCGATTTCCCCCTCCGCACTTCCTAATTCCCAATCTGGCAGAACCGTTCTTATAGCGGGTGCCTCCACTGGAATCGGCCGGTCTATTTCTCGCTCTTTCGCGGCTGCTGGAGCAGCTCGGACTATTCTAGTTGGTCGTACGCTGGCTACCTTAGAGAAAGCTGCTCTCACAATCCCCAATGCTGAGGCGCGTGTGTGCGACATATCATCCCTTGAGAGCGTGGAAGGGCTTTGGAACAGCTTAAAGCAGGATGGCATTCACGTGGACACGCTGATATTAAATGCAGCGGCGGCATCTATTGTTGGAAGTTTAAAGACAGGATGGAGAGAGATTTGGGGGGTATTTGAGACGACAGTACTGGGAAATCTCAGAATGGTGCAAGGCTTTGTTGATCAGATGGGAAACAAACAAGGCCATGTAAGATCAAAACATGCCTTGAAAAGTGGAGATTGAACACTAACAAATTTAGGCACTTATCTCAATCTCCTCATTTATGGCGCATTCCAACCCGGCTCCTGGACAAGGTGCATACTCCGCCTCAAAAGCAGCGTTGGCAAATTTGCTCCAGCATCTTGCGGAGGAGATCCCAGCTATTGATGCACAAATCATCAATGTCCACCCGGGAGCCATCTTAACTGACGCAGCCCGTTCAGTGGGCATGACTGAAGATTCATTTCCTTGGGATGATGGTATGTTGCTAAATGTGAATGGTACTTTAAATAAAGACCCGAAAGCTAATTTTATCATTAAAGAAAATCTGCCAGGAGATTTTTGTGTTTGGGCATCTACGAAAGCAGCTGCATTTTTGCATGGCCGATTTGTGTGGGCAAATTGGGATGTGGATGAGTTGATGGCAAGGAACACTGAGATCTGCAGTCAAGCCGGAATGCTGAAGATCGGATTACAAGGTGCTGAGTATGTTGACATACGAAACATCTTCCAGAAGGTTATTGAAAAGGAGAAATCCACCGTCTAGGTGGTGGCATCTGATGGCAATTTTATACTACTTCCCTCTCCCTAGCAGGATATTTTCCCAATATTGCTTTTTGTGAGGATGACGATCACATAAGTTAATGCTAGTCGGCCTCAGTATTCTGTTTTGATTTAAGATGCTTCCTTAGGACACAGTTCTGTTCAGATGCTGCCTGCCCGAGTCGCCGTTGAAGAACATGATATGTCTCCATTACGATCTAGACACCTCAATAGCAATTCTTTCCCCAAACTTCATTCTGCATGAAGGAAATTTCCTGCCGTCCCGCGCCCTCTCATGAGCGAAAATGAGGCCCTCAACTGAAATGGCCGTAAACCGCGATTATATTCAGGGTACACCTCAAGCTGACCATCTAATCACAGCGGTTAAGCATAATGTATAGCGTGCATTGGCTGAAGACATGGATGCACACTGATTCAATCTCTCCTTTTTGCACATTTCAGCCAATGGTATTCGATTGGGTCATTTCAGCCTAGCTACAACCAACCACGATATAGCGTGCTGTGCCGCATCACCCCCGGTTAGACCTTTCCCTCACTCTACGATGCGCGATCAATTAATTTTACTGGCGACAATTTTGACGATTAGCAGCTCTGTATTGATATCATGGGCTTCTGGCATTCCGATAAGGATGAGTCGGCACTGATGGTCTGGGGCCAACCATGGAGGTTAAAGGACTGGAAACTGTCCGAAGCATTTGTCAAGAAATGGTGCTGGACAATTCAAGAGGGCCATGAAATATTCAAATATACCAATTGGGGGTGAGCCCTGCGCATTGAAAAGCAGCTTTCCTTCAAAGAACCCGTTCTTGACCTCATTCAGCCAAATGCCTCCAACGTTCACAGTCAATTAATCATGCAGGTACCCTTGATTTTCAAACAAGACAGCAGTCGTATGGGGCAAACTTAATTTATGCATATTCATTTTAGTGATTGTACGATGTGGTGGCTAACAACTAATATTGAACATGGGGAAGAGTGTGTGTGAGAGTGAGTGAGACATATCATGTAGTCGAGCCTGAGCCTTAGGCAACTAGGCTACCAAACAGGTTGCGACATCAGCCTCATAACGAATTGACAGTTCACTTAGACTGCGACCATCATTATTCTAAGCTGAACGGAAAACTTCAGTTAACTCCATCAGTAACTTCTTTCCATCAACAATGGCCACAGTCGCCAAGGTAACAGTTGATTCCCGCTTCTCTAGACCATTTTGCTTATCCTTCAAAATGAATGTAGATATATGTGCAACCGAGCCCCCGCTATTGACAGCCTCACTTGCCTCGCGAGTTGCAAGCAGTTCCCGGTTGCTTTCGAGTGAAAGTTCATACTGTGCACGGTTCCTGGCGATGGCATTTTTGTAGTCCTCGTAGGCCAGGGCGGTGCCGTTGATCCTAATGTCACCGTTAGGAGGCCTTAAACCATGGACCAACGAAGATGCTCTGGGGGCTGGGAAAAATTCACATACCTTACTTTAAGATCACGACTGAAGCTGGTTTCAATCGTCTGTTCGGATAGTTCGTCATCGGGCTGAAAAAATGCGAGATGGAGGATATGATCAACCCATTCACCCAAAGGAGTGGTGTTTTGTGATGGTGAGGACATTTTGTGCCGTGTTTGTTGTGAACCTGAGAAAACTGGTACAGACGCTTAAATATTGAATCTGGAAAATTACAGGAAGGAAAACTGTAGTTAAGATCAAACTATATATACCCATGAGTATATTAGCCTTTACAATAAGTCTCATCATAACGTCCCTATGGCAAGGTCTGCCAGCAGCGGAAGACAGTTCCTCCGGTTGTTCAATACACGACTCGATCTGCAAGGCTGCGGAAGTGCAACCGTAACAATTCAGTGGGTGCCATCTCTACTGTGGAAGACTGTAATATGACGTCATAAGTAATTACCGCAGCGGACTTGGGTGGGGACTGTGGAAGAGCCTCTTTCGATGTGCTTGCGGAGCTCTGCGTGAGGAGCAGAGGATTAGTCAACAAACACTGGAAAAAGAACCAATGACCAGGTGCTTGCCCTTTTCTGTTACAAAGTCCCGCCAGGAGTTCCGCCAGGTGTTCCACAAACTGGATTCGAAGCCAATCAGGGATGGTCGGAAGTGCCACATCGCGCCACGGGTGCCAGGAAATCTTGGCGACGAATAAGGACGGGATTATCTACTAGTTAATTAACGTAGTACATAGGGCCGAGCGACGTCTTCCGCAGAGATTCTGCACGAAAGGAACGTTAGCCAGGGAGAGCAGTATGCTCACGTATAAAAAGCGTATAGCAGACCAAGTCATCTTCTACAGCTAGCAATCATCGTGTGATTCTTCTTTTTCGATTTATTTCTTGTCTCTGCATTTACTCTCTGCAATTTCGGTTTGCAGTTTTCATACCTTATCTATCTAAAATATGCCTCCAACCGGAACCTGCTCCGTTGACTCGCATGAACCAAAGACAATGTTGGCCGTTTCTGCCACGGCACCCAATGCTGAGAATCCACTATTAGGATTAAAAATTGACCGCGTTCCTCTCCCAAAAGTCCCTAAGGGTTGGGTTCGAGTGAGATTGTCTGCTGCTGCACTCAACTACCATGATATTTTTACACTTCAGGGAGTTGCAGTTCATCCTCTCAAATTTCCACGAATCCTGGGATGTGAAGGTTGCGGGACCCTTGATGATGGCACGCCGGTTATCTTGTATCCCGTCATGAACGATCCGGACTACCTAGGCGACGAGACCTTAGATCCCCACAGACATGTCTTTCATGAGATCACCGAGGGTACTCTGGCTGAATATGTCATTGCACCTTCACGAAACGTACTCCCGCGGCCATCTGACCTTGATGCCACGCACGGTGCGGTGCTAGGCATTTCTTGGCTTACCGCGTACCGCATGATCTTTACAAAGTCTGGTCTCCGGCCAGGTCAGACAATGCTTGTCCAGGGCTCATCCGGCGGGGTTTCCACAGCGCTGATTCAATTAGGTGCCGCCGCTGGAATACGCGTCTGGTGCACCGGTCGGTCAGCGGAAAAAAGAGATCTTGCTGTGAAGCTTGGGGCAGAGCGAACATTCGCCCCGGGTGAGCCCCTTCCTTCCCAAGTCGATGCAGTGTTCGATACATCCGGCGCGGCTACTTGGGAACATTCGCTGGCATCCGTGAAGCCAGGGGGCTCGATTGTCACTTGTGGTGCCCATAGGGGATTTAAGGTCTCGATGGATCTACTCCGTATTTTCAATGATCAAATCAGCATCCATGGAGTATATGCAGGGACACTGAGGGAGTTCAAGGATCTCATTCAATTTGTCATTAGCAAAAGGATTTCTCCCATGATCGGTGCTGTTGTCCCACTATCAGACGCCCACAGAGCAATGAAGGATATTCTCGAGGGTGTCACATCGGGCAAGACTGTGCTAACCGCATAGGCGTATGGCCACCTTGCATGTCAAGCAGATTGGGTCAGGGTGCTTATTTCATCACCGTGTATAGCCCAATTTGTTAAAGTTCCCGTCCCCGTCCTGACCTTTTTATACGTAATCAAGACTGTTCATCATGTTTTGTGCAATCTAAACCATGAATGCCATTACGTTGAGATTTCCATCCATTAGATCTATTAAGATATTGCGTTTCTTTAGGCCCTACTTGATGACATTCGCTACATGGTTGGGGTGGGCGTCTAAATGGCTGGGAAAATGACGGTCCTGGTTCCGCCAAGGTAGCAAGTTACCAACCCCTGGATGATATGGGGAAATCGTAAACTAGGTAGCGGAAATTCAATACCAAGGCACTGTAGTAACAGAATTGTTCGCAGTAAAGGACTAAAAGCACCTCTATTTTGTGATGATGATGCAAGATATGAAAGGTCAGACTCTGCCATCATAAATCTCGCGGTTTGCCTAGGCTACGTTCAAGGGTTCGTTTTGGGGTAAAACCAGCTCTCTTCACGCATCCTTGCTTTTATTCATCCACTGTGCGCTAATTACGTTTCTGAATGCAGAATATTCCGGCTATTCGGAGATCTCAATCAATGCCGACACATCTTTTTCGCAGGCTGCCACGACACTGGATTTTCCTCTATGTTGACCCCATACAAAGGGAGAAGTGGCACGTTACGCTCATCAAAGCCGCTTCCTTTCATCGTGAATTTGAAGATCTATATCTACCTATCAGAGGGCTACCATCTGTCTTCGTGTCGAGCCACTGGCTTGTACTCCGCCAACCGGCACTCCGATTATGACAATGAATACCACAAATGGTGGCACAAGGGCTGTCTGTAAACATTATCAGAAAGTATAATTTTGCGCCGCTCTCCCCTATTTTTTGATCTTCATCATTTGAAAGAAAGCTCACAATGGCATGAATGATTTGACTAGAATATTAATTCAATGATTACGATGGCGAAGTGAAAATGTCGCCCCAGGGCACCAGATCAGTTGGAATGATCTTCACATAGTGGGAGCTGTACAGATCTACTCGAGATTAGTTTACCTACTTCATTTACCTTCGAATAATTCTGCAATTCTAGATTAAGAGAACTCTATACCTATCGCCGTTACCCTGGTCCCAAAATACTCTCTTGGCAGTGTGTTGGTACGATGCCAAGTTATAACGATAGGTGTCGAGGAAATGGACCCGTTATTTACGCCCGCAACTGATTGGTTCGCCAAGTGTGGACCACTCTTGTATGTACTACTATAGACTTTAAATATATATTTTTAGGTTTAGTATAAGAAAGGGTTAGCTAATATCTTTTTTCGCCTATATATACCTACTATATAATATAATTTTTACCTTAAAGTCTTAAATTAATAAATTAATATATTATATATTCTAAATATATTATTACTATATAATATTCTTTTTATAAAGTATAAGAGTTATAATTATAACTTATATTAGAACGAAAATAGTACTTAATAATAGTAATTTCTAGGTTTTTTACTATTTTTACTCTTTTTAAGTAATATAGTTAAAGATACTATAATATAAGAGAAGTTATAGATAAATTATTAATAGAAGTTATAGAACCTAATAAAGATTTAGATATTATAGTAGCTCTTAGGTTCTAGCTATAAAATAATAGTATTAATCTATTATTAGTCTATCGATATACTATCTAAATTTATAATAAATCTAAGAAATTCTACTCTTTTTTAGTAAAATATATATTTTAAAGGTTTTATAAAGTCCTATTTCTTTTATTTTTTTAAGGATTTACTAGATATAACGAGTATATAACTCGTGGTTTAATAAGAATATTAGAATATTGTCTAAATATATAAGATAGGAGATATTAAATAATCCTTATAAAATAGTATAAATATAATTCTAGAAGGTAATAAGAGTATTAGTTAAACTAAATAATATAATTACATACTTAAAGTAACTATAATATATATAAAATATAGTTTTTTATTCTTTACTCTCTTAGATATAAATATAGTAGTAGATATTCTAGATATTAATCTTATTAAAGTATTTTACTTCTAAAAGTATATTAGTCTATAAAATAATAAATAGTTATTTTCTAGCTTAATAATATAATTTTATAAGTTATTAGATTAAAGGATTTATAATTATTTCGCTAAGAAGATATCAATAAATTAATATAGTTCCGGTAGTATTTCTAAAGGATAAATAGTTAGTTCTCTATTTTTTTATAGAGTAATTAGACTTCCTTTAGAAGTTTTATAATAATATAGATAATAACGCATTATAATATTTTTTTATAAGTTTCTAAACTAGTACTAATTTAATATTAGTAGCTTTAAATTACTAACTTAGTTTTATAATAAAATATAGACGCGATATTTAATAAATATTATTATCAAGAGTAAGATTAGATTTCTTTATTTATAAAAATCTTTATTAATCGCGAGATAAAAGCGAATTAGTAATTTAGTAGTCTCTTAAGAGTTAATAAATATAATAAATATCTTCTATGTATTATATAAAAAGATTTCTTAATTATCTATTATTCTAAATAATATTAATAATAATTTTACTCTTTATAATTTATATTTTTCTACAAATTTAATTAATAATATTAATTTTAACGTAGATATATATATATTTTAATTTTTTTCTATAGTAATACTAGAATATAAAAATAAATTATAGTTCTTATTTAGAGTAATAGAGTTAGCTATGTAAGATTTAGACCAACTTATTATTATTTTCTAATTTAATCTAAGTAGCTATTTATATACTAGCTTTCTTATTTAATTTATTAAGGTAATAATTAATAAGAAAGGTTTTATTTTAATAAATATAATATCGAAGGTTTTTTTATTCTTTCCAATTAGGTTCCTTTCCTTTTTTTAGATCCTTTTTTTAGGTCTTTAAGGTTTATAGTTTAATTAATATTAATTTATCCGAAATTACTTATTTATAGGTTTTTTAAGGATTTTAGGGCCTTTTCGTTTTTATATCAATTATAGTAATCTTTAGTAATATATAGCTAGGGATATTATCTTATCTTGGTTTTTAGATAGTTTATATATATATTTCTATATATATTATCTAAGGTTATAAGTAAATTTTAAGAATATTATAAATACCTTTTTTTTCTTATTTTAATAAGGGAAATATCGCTCTAATAAATCTAAAAGGATATAAAACTCTTACGGATTCTATTTTAGGCGTTAATAAGCCCTTTATAGTTACTCTATAATATCGATTTTAAGAGTTATAGTATCTTTAATAAAAGAGAGGTTTAAAAGCTATTTTTTTTATTAAAAAGAGGAATAAATCGAGAATATTAGAATATTTTAAATCCTCATCTTATTTTTATCTTCTATAGAAGATAAACCCTAATTTTATTATTAATTTATCAAAGATTTAGTAATATTCTTTTATTTAATCTAATTTCTTATTTATTAGACTATTTATTATAACTCTTATAGATATTAAAGTTTTTTAATTATTTCTTAGGTAATCTATAGGTCTTTATCTAGTTAGGTTTAGTTAGTTTCGGATAGAGGGGTTTACGATATCTCTTTAGGGGTATAATTCTAGCGTATTATAATAGATTAGGTTCGTGGGGTTATCTTATTTCTTTAGGTAATCGAAAAAGAAGATTTAGAATTATAAAGAATATACTTAGTAAGGTATAAGGCCTATCGATTAGATAAAGAAATAAGAGAGAGAGAGAGTAAGAAAATTTAATATATCTTTATTACTATTAAGACTAAATCTTATCTTACTAGCTAGATATAAGAGTATTAATTTATTATACAATATCTTTGTAACTCCACGTATTATCGATAATATAAACGACTAGGTCTCTATTATATATCGTGATCATTCTACTATAGAGTGGATCAAGTAATAAGTTCTGACTTCCCTCAGGATCATATGATGTTACCTGATTCACCCCTTCCGTTAGTTGGGAATAACCTCATGCCTCACCATCTTGGTAGACCCTTTATATATTCACACCGCTGCTATTCTTGTTAACCTAATAGGGTGAATTTGAATAAATAATTTAAAGCTATTCTTGATCTTCAGATTACTTAGTCTCTTTAAAAGAAGCTTCAGTATCATCTCAAAGACGTTATAATAAAATCAAACCCTATAATCCAGCCACGCATGATGACTATTACCTAAACAGGAAACCCCATAGAATCATCCACCTTCCAGAAATCCACAGATAACCCTAGATCTAAATAGCTACCAGGGTTTATCGACGCCACTCCGCCTCGGGTCTGCAGTAGATGGCGCCATCCGCGCCATGGCCTGTCAGGCTGTCATTTGTAAGCTTGGTCCTGGGTGGATATAACCTTAATATGGCCCCCTTTCAGAAAAAAAAAAGAAATGTTCATATTTGATATTATATCTTAAAGATCGTTCAAAGCTTGAAAGAGTTGGTAGGTAGTACAACAGATTGATCTGCAGGCCAAATGCCAACGCCCCCTTTCGTCAGTGCAGATACCAATTCCTGTGTCCTTTGCTGCATTCTTTTACTATCATGCAGATTTAATGCCTTTGTGTGAAAACAAAGCAGCAAAAATAGAATAATAGTGGATTAGGTAAATGCATTATGTACAGATTACTGAGCTGTATAAGAGGTCCTTAGTGCTGGCCCGAAACTAGAAATCATGCATGGAAGACCTGTAACTTCGAGTTTGACGATTCGAACTGTGGTTGCAAGTTAATCATTCTGCATTTAGTTTAAGCAACACCATCCCTTTCCCGCTGTAAGCGACAATATCCAGCCCAAAGTACGTAGTCGGAATCCCGAGGTACAGTGGCTCGCAGAAGTACAGAGCCGAGGAATCTGAGTCACCAATAGCCAACTGTCAAGGTTGATACAAAGTTAATGCTGCATAGACAACATTACCCACCCGGCGAGTATCTTCCCCTTCCGGGTACTGTTGGACGTGACACCAGCCTGCATTCCTGGGGATGTGATGGGCCAGTATTCCAGAAGAGGTTGGGCTATAGGCGTGCTACTCGACACTAGTGATTTGTGATTCTGCTAGACTGCATAAAAAGAGAACGGTGGGCCTGTCACTATCATGAATCAATAGTCTTGTACAAAGCTTTTATAGGGGGCGTTGTGCACCTACCTCATAAGTACAAGTGTGCATCTGAGATGAGAATCTGATCTCATATCATGTATTGTTCCCTTTTCATTGGGGACATTCACGTTCTTTCGAATATACGATGCGAGGGTGAAATGTATCTAGAGTGTATGCGACGGCTTCTCCGTGTACTCCATCTAAACACAAAGAATGCACAGACGAACGCCCAATCGCCCCACCCGATCGACAGCAACCTGACATGAGACACCTCGCAAACTCGCGCAGATGACAGCTCCGACTGGAAAACCAAAAAAAAACACCCCCTCGCATCAGCGGTAACGTCGCATCATGCGCCTCAACATCATCGAGCAGCATATAAAATGGATTGCTTTTTTTTTTTCAATTGTACTTTGTTTATTTGTGGATTTTGTGGATTTTGTGGATTGAGTTTGATTATTGATATGTTTATTTTTTTTTTCTTATGCTAATTTCACCGCTATATGATCGATCGGATCATCCGATGCAGGGCTGAATCAATCGCACCACCCAGGGTTGGGCACGTCGATCGAGGAAGGGATCATGCTTTTCCACACCGGGTGATTCGGCACTACGGCAGCCTGCATACATTGACAATGGATATATCTGTAGTGGCAGAGGAGATCGGCGGCTCGTGCTAGGGGCTGCATAGCCGCAGTCTGGGGCTGGGCGAGGAACTCCTGCCTAAGTAAGTAGGTCCTAAACTCTGAAGAGTTTAGGGCATGAAGTATATACGACTGGGTACCCAATGTCCATACATTCAGTACATCCAGTACGAGTATGGTACATAGTAATAGGCACGGAGTCTCAAAGTTGAAAACTGGACATGTCCAACCCTGAATTGTTGGAGCATTCCGATTTCTCTCTTCCGAGACGTGTGTCTAACCCTAATGATCCTGTTCGGGTGCTCGGCCAAACTCCAACGATCGACAATTTTTCTGTCACCGAGGAGGGGAGTTCATAAAGTGCAGAGAAGAAGAGTGTGTCTAATACGAAAAGAGAAAGAGCTGAAAAAGAGAGAGAAAAAAAAAAAGGTACGTGTACCTTTCAGCCCAACATGTCTCAGAACAGCGAGGAACAGCAGCTGAATGTTGAAAAAAAAGGGGCCCCCGCCGGGCCCAAGCTATTGTACACAAGAGTGGATTGGCCTCAAATTCCGAGTTGTCATTAAAAAAAAAAAAGAAAAGTCTCCGAGGTTCCTCCGTCTCGGCAGTAGATCACCCATCCTTCCCCCGATATCTGCCTCCGATCCCAGAAATCCGGAGGATTCACGTGGCGAATGGTCCCTCCATGGTTCCTCCAAGGGTGTTCACATCGTACCATACCTATCTTGTTAACAACAGGATTAATGTTGGGTATACAATACAATCCAATGTACGGTAGGATTTGGGGGTGGGGAAACACACCCTTCTTATGATCTACGAAGGAATACGACATACGAATCCTCTGTAAACTTTAGAAAATTCCCCCCCCGGTGTGTGCCTGCGCCCCGTGTCAGGGTCCTAAAAAACATCATCTTGAAGTCGCGCAGGATGAGCATCCCAGCTGTCTCCTGCCTGTGTAGGCATAGTTACTGCCTACTACAGTAGGTAAGGATAGTAGTATAAGGCAATAGGCAGCAATGGAGGTCTAGCGTTGCCCCGACTGTATTCAATTTTCTTGTTTTCTTGTTGAATCGAAGAAAGTGGCGAACGGGCAACAAAACCCATCTACGCACACACACAGACAAGACAGGCGAGTGGGTTCACAAGAATGGAATCTCTCCGAAAGAGAAGCCTCTCCTGAGCCCTGAGGGTTTCGGCAAATGACTCCCGTCACCCTAACCGCGCGGGCTGAACACTAAGCGCTGTCAGAAAAAAAAAAAAAAAAGGAAAGGAGGGGGGGAGTAAAGTTAGAGCGCGACGTCATGTAAAAAAGAAAAGAAAAGAAAAGAAAAGAAAATAGTTGGCAATCTCGATCTCAGCTGGAATTTTCGGGTCAATCAGCGTGTGCAAATCCGTGGATGTAGTGGGTCTGATGGAGAAACTGGCAGGTGGAAAACGAGAAGAAAAAAAAAAGGATTAAATATTGGAAATTGCAAATTGCAAGCACTCCATCTAATTATTCCCATGGACCCGTCCTCCCCGGGCGGACGAATCTGAGTCTCAAAGGAGAGATAGGGAGAGGGACCCCCATCCATGGATATCGTACACTTCCGACGATGCTACAGAAGTTGCCCTGAGAACACGTCATGAACGAATCAAGGCTTCGACCCCAATTATTGGGTCCGACAGCGGAAGACCGGCAAATTACCCTCATCGATTTCTTTTACTTTTAATTTTACTTTTAATGCGGATTTGCATTTGCATTTTTGGGGGCGGGCAAGTCTTTTCCGATCCCCTAGAAAAAAAAAGGTGCAAGTTCGCGAATGATCGACACACTCCCTAAAGGAACTGCCAAATACAATGATCATTATAACAATATAACAATATAACACCTTAACCAAATTTTCCCTACGTGTAGACTCGATATCTCTCCACTAGTAATACACTGTAGACTGACGGGCCATAGGATCGCCGTGACCGCGGATCGGCACAAAAAGTGGTGCCCGGTGCCACTCACTGGTAAGGCCAGATCCACGTTTCTCCATGATGCGTGCAATCATAGGGATCGACCAGTGTGGCCCATGTTGGTGGGGAAAGGCAAGGAAGGTATAGCGTGCATATCAAGTCTTGGTTTATGTATTCCAGGGATAGGCAGTATAGCACATAGGTAGTATGTATAAGTAGTATCAGGAAAGAAACTATAACCTTGAGTCATTGTATGAGTTGTATAAGCGAATTTAAATTGTAAAGTGTAATCAAGTCCAAAAAAAAAAAAAAACACGTATATGCTAATAAAACCTCACAGAAAACACCTGGTAATGCAAAATGTCGCAGGTAAATCGGCAGGGCGCGACGCCATGCAATGCGCTGCGACAAGCGCGCCCGACAGATTGAGATCAGAACCATGACCACCCAAAGTAACAAAAGTCCCAATTCCCAGAAATTCCCATAGACCCCTGTTGCCCCATTCCATTCCAAAACAGCCCGCTTAGTCGAAGAAATAAAAAAAGGAAATAAAAGAAAAGAGAAAGGAAAAGAGATAATCACAAGAAAGAAGGGTATCAAAAATGATATCTGATCAAGGTCTCCGTGCCTGCGGGCATTGGGACACATGAAAGTTCGTAAGACTTGGAAGAAGGGAAGAAAAAAAAAGACTCAAGAGAAAATGCCACAGAATGCCAGTCTATCCAGACGTATAATCAGCCCCGTAAACTCATGATAATGGTAGAAGAGCGAGGAGTTCCCCGAACGTTCCCAGTCGTGATTAGAAGAAAACGCTTGACGTTGCCAATGCAGTGTAACGTTGGGTTCCGGACGCAAAAGCGAAACCCAGCAATGCTCATGATCGATCGGCGTCTATGGGTGCGAGAGAGACTCGGAGCCCTGGTCGACATCGCTAAAGGGAGAGTGCCGTCCAGACTCGGAGTCAGTGCCGCCACTGCGCATTTGATTCCGTAGAGCGGGCAACTGTCTTCGGCGCGCATTGATAAACCAATTGCTGATCTGTGTGGTATTAGAGACAATTCCCCAAGAAATACGAGTTGGTTTTGTAAGCCTACCTGGCTGATAGATAGACCGGTCCGGGTCATGAACATCTGCTTATCCTCCTCACTGGGATACGGATGATCCAAATGCTCATGGAACCAGGCGCGCAGGATATCAGTGACAGGTTTGGGGAGGTTGCCGCGGCGACGCTTGGTTTTCGGATCGATCGGGTCGCCCATGATGCCGAAATTGGCTTGATGGGGATGCGTCAGCATCTGCGGCGAGATCTGTTCCGGGTCACCGGCGTAGGCCATGGGATGGCCGTAGGGCGACTGGGGATGCATCAGGGCTGGCGGGTAGTGGTCGCTGCGACGGTCCATGCCGGACAATGGGGATGGTTGGCCCGCGTGGTACTCTTGTGCGACGAACGGGTCGGACCGCGGCGCCATGCGACTATCCGGGTAGGCGGCTTTGGTGGGCGTGGTCATGCCTCGCTCGGACACGGATTGCAGGTCGCGGATCGGCGGCAGGATCGGGCTCGGGCCTCGCGAGGCTCCTTCGGACAATCGCATGGGCAGATGGCCCTGCTCCATGGGCCGCTGGTCGCCTGGTCGCGATACGGTATATTCGCGGTGTGTCTCCCCATATGCCATCTTTGGTGGCGCAGGAGACGGATACCCCGGGATAGACCGCGGGTCGGCCATCTCGTGGCCTGATCCCGGGCGCTCCTGTGACTGATGCCGCGGTGACGTGTAATAGGATGTCGACTCGATTTCATCGTGGAGGTGTGGAGGGAGAAGCTAGGTATTGCATCAGTACTCGATCCCGAGAAGCCAACCTCTCTGTCCATGTCTCACCTCTCGGAATGACGGCAGCGTTTGCGAGTGGCCAGTCGGTGGCCGGCTTGCGTATGAAATGGCCATATCGGTGTCTTCGTCCAAGCTTTGGGACTGTGACATAGACAAGGTATTGCGGGGAGGGCACAAGAGTAAAACACCAAAAAAGGGAAAAGAAGAACCAAAAGAAAAGAAAAAGAAATGGAGGGGGAAAAGAAGAGAGAAGGGAACTATAGCATTCGCGACACAGTCAGAAACCAGATCTCACAGCCACACATCCAGATGAAGATCATTGAGGGGGGGAGAGGGGAGGAAAGACGGGCAAACTTACCTGGGGACAGTCTGATTTTACGTTGTCATGGCCCCGAATCTCCCAAGGCCAAGATGATATGCAAGGTTGGAGGAATGAGGAACTGTCTTCCAAATAATGCAGGGCCCGTACATTTTATTTTAAACCAGAAATTAAAAAAAAAAAAAAAAAGAAAAGAAAAAATTTATTCCAAAGAGGAAAAATGGACAAAAGAAAAAAAAGAGACATCCGACCCAGCTGTTACATGTCCATGGAAAGGGAAGAACAGGGGCCACCGAAAAAATGGCGATCGTAGTGAAGTGGGGACGACGAGCCCACAAACTATCCAGCGCTGTTCCGAGGTATGTAAAAAAGAAGCCTACGGTTCTTAAGGTTGACCTTTGACAGATAGCGCCAAGGGATCTCTTTTCTGGTTCCTGTCAACATAGTTCGTCGGCCTAGCGCCCGGATCTATCCAGCCAGGAACTTGACCCCGGTCTGCTATTTTTTGGGTCAAATGGGGGGAATCGGAAAAAGCAGATCCCAATTCACGATTCCTATTTTCAGGACCCGAGGTCTCATGGTTGATGCCAGGCATCGAAATTATCGAGTATCATGGCAGCCCTTTGCATGCCGGGAAGCTGGGGAAGGAGATCACAGGCAGGGGGTTGGCGATTTGCCACCCAGGTTCACCTGAGTCAGTCCAAAGTTAATAAAATCAAATCGCAGTTGCTTTTTGCCGTTCGATGTTTTTCTCTTTTCTCTTTTCTTTTTCTGAATGAATGAATGAATTCTTTTTTCCAGTGGGTCTTCAAAGGATCATGGAACCGCCCTCGTATGGTAAAAGTCAAACCAGAAAATCATGGATCATCCGGTCTCTCCAAATCCCAGGGAAAAGATCGCCGGTCTTGGGGAGGGAAAGAAAGATCCACTTGTGGCCCAAGGAGAGCTTAACCCGATTGGTATGGGTATCTGGGTGGGTAATGCTAGGGTGTACCTAGGGTAATACATAAAGAGACCCAATGTCCACCTCGGCTCGATCCCAGATGTCGCCTCTGATCGGAGAGCCCGGAGATCGATCGACCAAACATGAAAGGGAGCGAACTCGAGGTGGGATCCGTGGTATGGTAGGCTTGGCACACATCGGACAGGGATGAACAGATCCTAGGGAGAGAGGTTCTTCCATGGTGGCATTTTCACTTTCATTGATCCGAGAGTATGGATGCAGGATATGGTGATGCTGCCACAGACTGAACAAGAAACCCCAACCGAATGATTGTGATCCGGGGGGGTGAATGCAGTGTTGGTGCATATGATATCTCGAAAATGGCACACGAGAAGGGGGAGGAGGAGGGGGGGAGGTGACGTGGGAGCGGGATTTGCTTACCCCTCGATGTGACAGTCTTTTGTGGCCCTGCTAGGTTGATCTTCCCATCCTTCGGCCCTTTTTCCCACAGAGAGTGAGAGTGACTAGTTCGCCCCCATTCCAAAAACAAGACGGGCGTCGAGACCCGCAGGAGAGTGGAGCATATTCTGACAATAATGGCGCAGAACCTTCCTGTCTGTGATCGGAGATCCATGTGGGGCCCCTTCCGATGCAAGCTGAACAATTTTGATGTGTGATTCAAGTCATATTATGGGGGTGTTGACTGGTGATGACAGGGGTGTTATACCTAGGTTAACTTCTATCACGAGAGCAAAGGGGAAAATGAAAAACGACAAAGAAGAAGAAGAAAAAAAAAAAAAAGAAAAGAAAAGAAACTTGAAAAGAGGAGTCAGGATAGGACGCCGGTCTAATTCATCTGACACCCATCATGTCCCGACCCTGATTGCCGTGACATCGGGCAATCTCGCATGAACTACTCGGTCAGGCAACCCCAACTTCCAATTTTGAGGGTGTCTGTCAAAAAGATCGGTTCACTAGACTGAACAGGGCAGAGGGTTCCTGGTTCTCTGGGTTCTGGTTTCACTGGCGATGTTGGACCAACGGGAGAAGTAAAACTGAGGCTAAGATTCTGGTGATCCACCTTTTTTTAATCCCCTTCGGTCCTGGAATTCGGAACCAGCCTCGTGGAAGCTTTGGATCCGCCAGGATTGGCTCATCATTCTAGGAGTTCAGCGCTTAAAGCTGATCTGGCAGGTTGCTCCTTGCGCCGTGACGTTTCCCTGGAGCATAGTCAATGAAACATACAGAGCATGCCGAAGACAAAGCCGAAGATAAAACCGAACATCTATTTCTCTTCAAATAGAACTAGAGAATAAAACCACTAAACTGCCAAGGTACTCTGTACAAATATTCATCAGATCAGACTCAACACAATCACAACTCGAAGTTCCAGGGATATGCAGAATTGCAATCCTGGCGGGATCGTCATACGTGCCACGCCCCAACAAGGTCCAATTCAGATCCCCGATCGTGCATGAAAATGGAGGAATGCAGATCATCGGATCTCGCAGAGATCGCTCCGTGTCTCTTCTTGACCGGGGAATGGGTACCGCGTAAACGGAGGAATTACTTCACACCCATGGGAATACATAGCGCAATGCGCCATGCACTAATTTGTCATTTCTCAATCCCCCCTTTTCCCGGTCCCTGGGTTTTGAATCCTCATTTTTGGGGGGCTTTCAAAAGAACCTTATTTACTTCCGTGGAGAATCCGTGGAGAAGAACTGAGAAAAAATGGAAACAAAATAGAAAAAGTGAAGGGCGAAAAAAGTTGGGTAAAGTTGAGATCTCAACCTCCCGGTCGCTCTCCCACTTAGCCCTAAATGCCCTAATTAGGGGGTTACCATCGATCCCCATCACCACTTTTTCTTTTTCTTTTTTACCCCGGGGAGGAATCTTAATTTCCGGGCAAGGCGTGGAAAAAGCAAATATGCGCTGCCATCCTGCCATCCCTGCTTTTCTCATGAACTGGTGGGGGGTGTATCCCCTAGCAAACCAAGTCCAACGTCCATTAGGCAGCGATAGTATATCGCAGACACCTGGCCAAGTATTTGAGCAGACGGTGACCATCGTAGGCCATTACCAAATTCTTCTTCAATTATTACGATTCTCGGACACCTCTAACGCATTATTTGGCGATGAAGTCCAAATCATCTCCTGTTACAGTGTTGTCCAGTCTTCGTGATAGGATTGCATCCATAACCTGTCAGCACCCTAGCACCCCACGACTGGCAGTGGAGACGCTATTGATCCAACATGATCCATTGATGCACCCATATGCAGCCTCGGGGTCTGGCATGATTCAAACCCATCGTATTTTCTAGTTCATGACTTCCATGGTTTCTTCAAGGTTAATTCCCGGTGATTTTCTCGGCACGCCGTAACCTACTTTTCTACTGACGCAATGTCGGATAGGACTAGATTGAACTTCCGCCAGTCTTCCGTGATCGGTGACCGACGTCGATCATCCCGAATGCCGAATCATGATTGTAGCGTCTCAATCGAAGTTATCAAGACTTTGAGAGCGAACCTATCGAATCTCTTGCGGATCTTAATTCCCCCTAATGCCTTCGGACCCCAATGGAGCCCACCCCATTTGCACTCCACCCGCCCCTCAAACTAAGGACTACTAAGTCCAAAAACTAAGGTTAAAACCTGGGGCTTTGACAAATATCACATCTGCGGACTCCTAAGATCGTCCACGAATCATGGTGCCCTCCAATCACCCAATGCCGTGTCAACAGCACACCTTAAAAGGGGTGTGCACAGGTCGATATAAAGGAACCGTGCCATCTCCATCCAAAACTATCAAAGTCAAAATCCCAAGTTTTTGCCACCAGCCACTCTCCTTAAGATCCTTTTCCAACTATGCTGGTTTCTGGAATTTTCCTCTGGGCCCTGACGGCCGGTGCCGTCTCTGCGAAGACCTGCCACAACATCACCGTGGAGGTCCCGGTCACCGCACGGAACGGTCTGTTCGACAAGGTGCAAACCCCCAAGACGAACAGCGAGGCCACCGCATTTGCCATTTCCGCGACCAAGCAGGGTGGCAATGGAACCCAGGCCGCCTTGTCGGGATACCACACCGTCTCTGGCCACTACAACATCTCGGCCCAGTATTGCGTGCCCAAGCAGGCCAAGGGCAATGGCCACACGCTTCAGATCCTCACTCACGGTATTGGATTTGACAAGACGTGAGTTGCACCCTTACTTATATTTTGCAATATCGTCGGACTAGTCCGCTAATGCTGTGGAATATAGATACTGGGACCTGCCCTACAACAACTACAACTACTCTTACGTGGACCATGCACTGTCGCGCGGCTACCACACCTTCTCTTACGACCGACTGGGCATCGGCAAGTCGTCGCACGGCGAACCGAAGAACGAGATCCAGGCCTTCCTGGAAATCGAGGCGCTGGCCGAGCTCACCCGCCAGCTGCGCAAGGGCACCGTGCCCCAGATCCACGAGAAGCCCGCTAAGATCGTGCACGTCGGCCATTCGTTCGGCTCGACGCAGAGCTACGCCCTGAGCGCCAAGTACCCGGACATCTCCGACGGCCTGGTCCTGACAGGTTTCTCGACCAACGCCACCTACATTCCTTACTTCCTCGCCGGCGCCAGCTTCCAGCAGGCCCGCCTCAACCGCCAGTCCCCCGGCAACCTGACCAGCCGCAAGGGCCTGGACTACAGCCTCGGCTACCTGACCAGCGCCGACACCAGTAACAACGAGTTCCTTTTCTTCCAGCCCCCCTACTTCGACCCCGGTCTGCTGCTCTTCGCCGAGCAGAACAAGCACCCCGTCGCTGTCGGCGAGCTCTTGACTGTCGGCAGCCTGCCCATGCAGAGCAAGTTCTCGGGCCCTGTCCTTGTCCTTACCGGCTCCAGTGACCTCCCCTTTTGTGGTGGTGACTGTCTCGCTACCGGCGGCGCCGCGCCTTCCATCCCTGCTGAGGCTAAGCTGGCTTTCCCGGCTGCGAAGCCCTTCGCGGCTCACATCCAGCCGAACACTGGCCATGGCCTTAACATGCACTACAATGCTACGGCGGGCTACAAGTACATTTCCGACTTCTTGGGTGCCCACGGCCTTGCGGCTGAGAAGAAATAAGTGTGCAGAAACCACTGGGGGATTAGAGTCAAGCCTTCAGGTTTGAAATGACTCGAACTGGGGATCAATAGTTATAGATCCTGGTCTTATATGGACTTTACATTCTTTGGATATAATGCTCTTTCGAGTTTAATAGCGTAACCATGACGAGAAACAAATGCTCGTTCCGCTTATTTGTATAGATCTTTGCATTAATCGTGTTGGAAGTTGTATGTTCTTCGAGTCGAATGGCGCCGACGCTGGTCCAGCGCCCTGGTCCGTAACAAGACCACCAGCCGTCCAAATTGCAGCTGCGAGGCCTTGGCCAGCGGAGACAACTCCGGCGTGCCTTTCTTGAAATATAACAGTCAGCCATTCTGACTCGGTCTCCAGGCGATCCAGCACCTCCATCTCCTGGCGTCGAGCCTGGACACGGGCCTGACGGCGCTCCACCGGGGTCAAATCCTGCAACGGGATGGGGGACAGTTGAGCAGGACGACCCGGGTAGGCAGGCGAAATGTTTTTTTTTTTTTCTTTTCTTTTCAGCGGCGGAGTATTGCTTGTGGATTTGCATCGATCTTCCTGGCTGCGCCAGTGGCAATTGGCGCAGCACTGGAACCCGAGAAAGTCGTCCAAGAGCATGCATTTATCCCAGGGCCCGTGGTGGGCACGGCATGAGGTGCAAGGGTTCTCGGACCGCTTGCCGTCAACTTGGATCATGATCGAGTAAATCTTCTGGGTTAATTTGTTGACGGCCTGATGCTGGGTCTCGTCATCTCAGTCCTGGTTGATTTGGGCGACGGACTCCCGTCAAGATGGCAGCCCCTTCAGATGATGTAGGAGCTCTGACATGACCCGGAGCCTTTGGGGTCTGTTGGCCAGAAGAGCCGGCGGGTTCTTGGCTGGGTCTGTGACGGTAGATGACATGGCAATGATCGAGGGAGAAGTGAATAATATAGAGAAGAGTAAATTATAGCAGGGTGAGTAAATGATAGTGAGGCAGAGTAAGAGAAGATTATATATAGGTGAGAAAGGGTCAAGGCCCAACAATACCTCTTGCAATCGAAGACAGCCCACTCTTAAATGATTGAGTCCCCGGAGATCTCCATGAATTTTATCAGACTTGGAGCTTACCGCTAAAAGGAAGTCGATTGGCACATGTTTAGAGCTTACGACTTAAGTGTTGAAGCTTGACTTTGGTACTTAAGTACATATCAAAGACATTGAATGCTATTTTATAACGAGGTTAGGCTTTCTAACTTTCAATAAACCAAGAAGATAGCTTAGTCGATTTTCTTCTAGGGCACACACTAGTTCCTGGTTTGCTCTAGGTGCCTAGACCTTTACTTCATCTTGGGATATTGAAATTGCAGTTTTCTTATATCCAAGCGCAGTACACACTGCCTTGAATTTATTAAATACACTAACCATAGCAGGCCGGATATGATTTGGGTATATATAATTTACATACTTCACCATCATCCTCTTCATCTTGTTTACGCAAGGCAATAAAAATAAACTCATACCCCGTTATTTAACGCGCTGCTCTTGGACCTGGACATCCCCCTTCACCTGGATAGGCACATTCCCAGGATCATGCTCCTCCAGATCACTCTCGCCTCTGCGCAACGAATCCATCTCAACGCGCGCCCCGCCAGCCGTCAGCTCCGCCTCGTCGTCATCATCCGTCCGCAAGCGAGCACCCCGACTGGCAGCACGGCGTTCTTCAGCCGACAGCTGCTGGAAGGGCCCGTTACCATCCTTGCTGCGACTGTGTCCATGACGACCGAAGCGGCGCGACGAGCTCCCGAAGCCGCGGGCGCGCGAAGATCCGATCAGGGTTGTTAGCGTAACCCGCAGCAGGGGTTGCAGGGTCGGCAGACAGGCGCAGACAACGGCGACGCACACCTCGATCTCGGACCACAGGTACACGTCGCCCATGATCCAGGTGATGTCGGGCGAGCGGGCGAGGAAGGTCATAAAGTAGATACGGATGATACTGGCGACACAGACACTGAGCGAGAGAAGCGGTTAGTTTAACTTTCTTTGGGCTGCTGGATGGGTGTCATGCTGATACACTTACAACCCGCCCAGGAAGAAGATACCACACACCAGCATCTTTTGCGCATTGCGCATTTGCAGCCTCCAGACGATCGGGATCGGGACCAGGAGGATCAGGAAATCCGTGAACACGTTGACGGCGGCGTTCCCGATATAGAACCCATATAAATTGTAGACGCATTTCCCGCTCTGCGGGTCGGTGTATTGCGTCCAGAAGTAGGATAGTGGTTGGCATGCCACCAAAAACGCAATGATGCAGCCTATTCCCCAGCCAACGGAGAGGAAGAGACACACCCACATCTGCCAGTTCATGCCGAATACTCGCCGGTAGAAGAGGATGATCGAGACTTTGATCACGGGCAGGCAAAACAAGTAGATTAATCCATAGATGAACAGAATCTAAGATCCAGGATGAGATTAGTCTACCCATTGAATGACTCAAAAGTGTCATAGAAATGGAACCTAAGCCAGCATATTCTCAACATCGTGCACGCTTACCTTCTCCATGCCCACAACATCGGCCATCGTTGCGGCCCACACATGCTTGCCCAAGCCATAATACCCGCCCGTGATTGTCGACACAAATAGTGCAATGACTGGTATCTGCGCGCGAAACCCCGTGTTAATTGATACGAATCCCGGCCAAAAAAAAGAACAACTTGACAAGAAAGATTGAGACCACCCACCAGCGCAGCCGTAATTGTCCAGTCATCAGCCTCGACCCTGGCCTTCTGGATACGGAGTCGCGCCACGAACCGGAGAATCACCGTGACAATAGACAAGATGAACATAGCAATCACCACGGCATTATTCCGAGGCAGGCGATCATCGGCCAGATTGATGCCCGGTGGCGGCGGACCAAAGACTTTCTCGACGGCGCTCATGGTCCAAGATCAAGAGAGCAGGCCACTTGCGAAAAGTGAGAACATGCCAGCACAATCATCGAAAAGAAAAGGGACCGATTGCCAGCGAGTAGCCAAGGAGGTACTTTTCTTTCCCTAAAGGATGGCATCGGGTCTTGCGTTCAGGGTTTCAATTGCCTGGGTCTGGAACAAGGGTCTTCATTCCTTCTTCGCGCCCCCTCTGGGTCTCGTGTGTGGGATTCATTTCATTTCGAGTTGGTGCAGCTGCGGGGATTTTCCGGCGTGCAAGTTTTAACGGGGCGTAAATGCTGGGATATTGTTCCTGGGGCCTGTTGGGGCGCGCGTGGTTGGAGAATTGTCAATAGCCGTCTCCACTGTGGTGGAGACGTGGGCCGTGAACTGGACACTATTGTTGTTGCATTATTGGAGTTGGTTCGATCGCACTTCAAGGGCTCTTGCATCTTAAGCGTCGAGGAAACTATCAATCACTTTATCTTATACACATCAGTGATATATCAGTCTAACTCTTCGCAAAAAGTTATTGGAATGCCATAATATAGATCATATACACACTCGGTGGTGAGATCGATCAATCGGAATCCGAAATCGAACCGAGTCCCGAGAATCTGGGAATTAATAACAAGAGCAGATCCACTGCTGAAGGAACAAGCTGCAAGCTGCACTTCGCAAGCGTGAGATTTCGGCCCCCGTGGAATCCGTCGATCAAAAACACTCTCGAGCCAGGGTTAAGCGAAGGAACAGCTATTATTATTTGTCTGGGCGTTTTTTTCACATTATAAGGATTACACAACTGTCAATGCAGACCCGTTGGGGCCGTCAAGAGCCTTTTTTTTTGGGTCCCTGGTTTTGACAGGGCTTTTTAATAGGCGGGAGAATGTGTCATTCGTGCCCTATATTCCACGACCCACATACATATATGTACTGTCGACAAGGGAGGTTTGTGGGGGTTATTGATAGGGCACAACTACTAGACAATAGACAATAGACAATAAAGAAAAAGAAAAGAAAGACCGCTCAGATCAATGCCTTTATGCTTAGCTCCATCCGAGAGGAGGGTTCGTGGGAAAAGCCACAGTGGAGACACGAGATATTCCAGCGGCCCCTGGGTATCTCTTGGCGATCGGATCGGTGCTGAAGTGGAGAGCAAATTGCTCAATACTGTGCACTAAGGGGTTGGATATCTTGAACATTAGAATGATGTTGTTCGCCTGTTGTCTGACATATTCCACCACCCATTCGCAAAAAAGGGGGAGTTCGTTTATATTAGGTGGAAGAAGTATCCATCTCCGCTGCGAAACGTGTCAGTCTACCGGCAGAATTTCTCATGCGGGGAAAGCTGACAGCATGCGGAGTATGGACGCGTCTACAGACCCCCACAGGATTCCAGCACCAAGAAAGGAAAAGAAAGAGTAGCGGACCAGACGCTCGGGATGCCTAACATAACCTGGAGCTGTAAATGAAGACGAAGGATCGCCCGATACATCGACAGGCTTTGCACGAAGTTATAAAGGAAAAACCACAAAAGGCAAAACTCGGGGTTAACCCAGAAATGAGAAAGCAATGCATCAGAACAATAGACAGAAGACAGAAGACCACCCCGCTAAAAAAGACAAAAGAGACTGAGGAAGAAGACTAGTCGAGGACCTTCTGAACGAGTTTGGTCTCGGTCTTTTCCCAAAGCCCATGAAGAAGACAGAAACGAATGCAAACCTTCAAGACACAGATGCAGATCATGACACTATATACAGTCGAAGCCGAGAACAAAAGAATGCCAGTGGGTGAGAAGCAATAGTGGAATGCAATCAATGCATTACCAGGTTTCCTAGCAGCATGTCAGCCAGAAATTCGGCAAAGATAATAAGAATAAGAATGAACAAGGGTATAGAACTTACGGCAATGTATTGCCCCGCCTCTTTCTTGCGCTGCCAGAACAGCTCCGCCTCCTTGGAGTTCAGGTTCCCCTTGGCCATGGCGACATCAACCAGAGCAGCCTCGACGCCCTCGCCCATGCCCTTGCCACTGCCGCAGACGAAAACCCGGCCATCCAAGGCATTGATCACGAACCAAACAAGATCAGCCTGGTGGCGGACCTCCTCTTGGACATAACGGCTCTCGCCACGACGGCTCTGTACGACGGTGCGCACCTTGTCCTCGTGGACACCCCACTCCCCGCTGTAGAGCTCGTCGAGGAGCGAGTCGCGCACGCCCTGAAGCACCCAGACCTTGTTGGCGCAATTGGCCGACTGCAGGCGACGCTGCACAAAGCCACGGAACGGGGCGATACCGACGCCGGCGCCGATCAGGAGCATGGGCCCGTCCGAAGCGAATCGCGTGGCCAGCGGGTTGGCCATCAGGCCACGGAACATGGGCACGTAGAGCTGGAGGTCCTTGCCGGCTGCTTCGGCGTCAATGGCTTGCCGAGCCAACCGCTCCAGGTATCCGGATCCCACGCCGGTGCGTGAGCCACGCTTCCAGTCGTCGGACTCGGCGACCGTCACGGCGACTTCGATCAACCGGCGACACTCGGTGCCCTTGAACTGGCACGAGATTAGGGGATCTTGGGACAGCGAGTAAAATCGCGGCATCAAGGTGTTAAGTACAGAGAGCAGGTGGTCGAGCGGGGGTTGGGTGGAGGGGAAGGCGTGCAGGAGCTGCGAGAGGCTAATGTGCAGGCTCGTCCGCAGATCACAAAAGGCGCCTTGACCCTGTGCCGAGGAGAGGTACTCCAGGATCTTCTTCTCGTTCTGTTCACTCGCGTACTCAGCCAGTAGTCGGAATAGAGGCTTGGTCGGAGCATAACTCTGGATATCAGAGCACCAGCTCAGCACCTCGCGGCGCGTCGTGATCAGCTCGCGCGGCTTATCGTCGCCCCAGATGGTGGGCCACCGGCCCTTGCTGGTCCGCATCAAGATCTTTTTATCACGCATCGACTTGGGCACACCCAGTTTATCTAGGATATCCTCGACCTCTTCGTCCTTGTTCTTCGGGCACACGCCAATGGCACCACCGACCACGAAATCCACCATCCCGCTCTCGGCGGGGTAATCGGTGACGTCGATATCAAAGTGATAGGTGCGCTTCTCGGCGCCGCCCTTGGTCAACTCCCGCGCATGGTGAAGCGGTGCCCTATAGACCTCATACGGGGGATGCGGCTGCACGAATTGAGGAGGGTGATCCGCCGGTCCCAGCGGGGTATCGACAACAGAAGTGGGGGCCGGAGAGAACGAGACAGTCTTCTCTGGGATCGGGGCGATGTTGGAAAGCTTACTGTCCAGCGTGAGGAGATTCAGGTTCAACTGCAGGCTGTCAAAGGCGTGGTTATCCGAGGGCGGCGTGATAGAATTGAATCCGGAAACAGGCCCGTCTACGGGCCGCAACGCTTGACCTCGGCAGCATCCCCCGCCACAGCAGAGCGATTGGATCTTCTGTGTGCCACCTGTGCCAACATTCTCTAGCACCCGTCGCATATCCGCCGAATTCTGCGAGATGAGGACCGTCGATGCCCGTCGCTGCCGGCCATGGTCGGATTTGTTCAGATGGTATTCTTCCTCGGGGGGACCGTCGCTCGGTGGCGTCAGTGGGGTGGAGGGGGATTCGGACGAGGTCGAGTCGGTTTCTTGGGAACTGGCCGTGCTATTACCACTGAAGTTGATGTCGGTCACCGACAGAGACCGCACGCCGCGCGGCTCTTCGGGAATGGGGTTATCGGGATGGGAGGTGACCGACACGGGGATCTCTTGGTGAGTGCCCTTGCGGGCACGCGAGCCCGAGGTGATCGTCGCCGATGGCATGTTAGGAACGGCGTGGACTATAGAATCGAGAGATGGGTGAGTTTTGTCGAGGGCATGGAAGTCATGGATGGGTGATTGCCGAGGGAAATCACATACCCATGGAGTGGAGTGGGCCGAGGGTAGTCCGGATGATCGGGGACCGCGAGGAGAAAACGGCAGACTCTGTTCGAGAGGCGATCGTGACGGCGTGCAACGTATTTGTAGGAAACAATGGCCCCTTTTTGAAAACTAGTGCAAAGGGTCGCAAGCGAGGGAAAACTGGAAGAGTGGGATGAGGATGGAGGGCGTGGGCCCGAGGAATTTCGCTGGGGTCCAAAATGACGGGACAAGGCCTTACAATCAGATACCAAAATTCGAACTCTTTTTTTCGCTATCAGATTTTGCCACATTCCGGGACTTGGCATGGAATTAACTACTGGATACGGTGCTGACTTCTGCGGTTTCGGGGAATCGTATCCATTTGTGAAAACCTCCCCCCAGATCGACGGTGCATGACTGCAGCTAAGGACTTCCTCGGGTTATTCGGAATAATCATCATTTGACTGGCGCGTAGCCGACGCCTATTGCCGCTAGTTTCTGACCCGGATCCATCGGGAAAGTATTACCAGAAGTTGGAGATAAGGGGACTACTTGAGGTGTATAACTGCAGCACACCTTGGGCAGATAATCACCGAAAGCAATTTACAATTTACATTCGGGCATCTTTGCAGGGGGACCTTGCCGACACTCCTTTCTATGTTCCGGAAAAGGCCGATGTCGCAAACGCGGCTGGGGCTTGGCGTGTAAATTACCGGGTTATCATATCAATCAATCAGATACCGGATCGCACGGACCCTCCCTTGCGAGAGATTTGATTATTCCAAGGCTGCCCGTTTCAACATCGGTATTCCCTATGCCGTGCTACTGTGGTTATCCATGGATGCACAGTCAGCTTACCCAGAAGATGATTAAAGGTCCCATATTTTCAACACATCGACATATTGTATACAGAGGATACGTCAAGTCTATATATGGAGGATCTACTTCAATGTCAAAAAAAAAAAAAAAAAAAAAGGAAGCGCCCCTGACCAAGGCCTTTCTGGAAAGCTGAACAGCTGCGCCCAGCTGAACAGATACCTCCACATGCCGGTCCTCCGGGTTCGTAGATGTCTATATTGACTGGGTACTTTTATTGCCCGTTCATCACCCGTTCAAGAATCATTCCCAGCCACCGGGGAAGAAAGGAAGTCCGGTGGGTCATTCTAGAATAACCCAGATCGGTGATTCCTGCACAGAATGTCTAGGGGGAAGTAATGCATACATATCCATAAATAGGGGAAGTTTTGAGACCCCTGTCTAGTGCGATCAGATAACTTAATCCGGGAAAATGACGCCCCCTTTCCAGGGGAAAGAATACTTCCGAGACAACATTTCAAAACCAACGCTATATGTATTGATTGTCGATGATTTACGTACTCACTTTAATTACCGACAGACCCAGAGACCAACTATAAATCACGAGAATCAACCGGAACAAGTGGGGTGTGAATTCATTATGTCATGATGCATATGGAAACAGCTGGTGTCCGTCCCATATGAGCTATATATACGTCACAAGTCATCGAAAAGAACAAAGCATCCACAAGAAAAGAAATCTTCAAAAATCAAATATAAAAATTAGCCAAGGAGATTGACCAACCTACCTACTTTCCCTCCTCCCGCTTCACGAGAGCCACCGGCGGAATGAAATGGTGCCGGCCGCGGACCAAGTAGTAGGTGGACGCCGATCCGATGACGCCAACGTACATGACCACACTCCAGTTCATGGTTTCACGTGTCACGGATGTTGACAGAGGGAAGAAGGCGAAGATGAATATCGGGAGGAGAAACGCCAGGGCTCCCATGTTAACCGCCATGCCGAACTTGCCTAGGGACCAGCGGTGGTGCGGGAGCGGCTCGCCCCGGAGGCGTTTGAGGAGTACGCAGCCGATTGAGACTATGTATGCTGACAGCAGCGAGGTAATCGTCAGGGATATCACGGCATTCAGCGCGACCTGGGACCCGATGTTGATCATGGACAGGAGAATGGTGACGATCAGGGATACCATCACGGAGTTCAATGGGATGTTCCATCCAGGGGTGACCTGGGAAGATGTGGTCAGTAGGATTATTCGGAGAAAAAGAGAGCAGAAAGTAATCAGACTGCGAGGGACTAGTGTGACCTACATATGCAAAGAAGGAGGAGAATGGCAGTCCCTCGTCCCGGGCAAACGACCACAGCTGCCGCGACGCGGTCGCGACTTCGGTGATAGTGCTGGCGGTCAGAGTCACTACCAGCACGGCTGTCATGGCGTTGGTAGCAACAAAGCTGCCCGTGGTGTTGTAGAAGATTTGAATAAACGGGAACCCCGTTGGGCTGTCGAGTACCATGCCGACCTCACCCAAAGTGAAGCATAATGTGACGAGCATAATAAACCCCAACACGCCATTGACCGCGACAGAGGACATCATGGCCTTGGGCAGCGTCTCGGACGCGTCTTTGATTTCCTCGGCTGTGTTGGTGTTAGCGACACAGCCGAGCCAACTCGTGTGAAAATCCAAGGTATATATGATGGACAGCTTACACATATGCACCGAGCAGTCGTAGCCCAGCATGGACGTGATTGTGGTGGACAGTCCGACCAGGGTTGCCGTGCCAGAACTGTCCCAACCACCGCCATTGTTGAACTGAGTGAATACGGCGTGAGCGTTGTTCCGTGGTGCCAGCACCCAAAGTGGGATGATGATGGCAAAGAGCCCGACAACATGGATGATCAAGATCAGTCCCTCCACGAAGGGCAGGTTCTTGGCTAAGAACGTGTTGAACAAGATCGAGAACGTTGAAATGGCGATCACCAGCGTCGTGCCATGCCAGCGCTTGAAGTCATAGGTGGGCTGGTTCAGGACAATTAACCCCTGGATGATCGTACCGGCAAGGTATGCAATTGACACTATCGCGCACTGCCAACCCATCGCCGAGAGCCACCCTGAAACAGCGAGGATTAGCTTCCACCGTTATCAGACACATATATGGGAATCTCCTACCGGTGATATAGCTCAGAAACTTTTGGCCTCTGCGAGGAGCAAATTCAGATACCCAGTGATACTGACCTCCGGCGGTGGGTGCCCTGATGATTGTTAGTAAATTAATTGCAGTGCAGATCCAACGCAACTTACATCGAGGCCATCTCGGCAATGCTGGCATAAACCAGAGAAAACCCAATTGAGACTGCAACAAATCCCCAGATCAAGCCAGCCGTGCCGCCATCGGTCAGTCCTGCCGACAATAGTCTGTTTGAGGGTCAATTGGATGGACTGATTTGAAGGCATACAGCAGATGTTCACTAACGTTAGGATCACCTCCCATGTGCAGATCAATGTACACCCAAATCCGACAATAGATATAAACCGGAAATTTCGCTTTGCGTGTGTCAGTACGGACATTGCCATAAATGATATAGTAGCAGCAGAAAGAGCAGTCACTCACTCGCAGTACTTGGACTCGACCCAAGGCATTCATATCCCGCTGATCAGCCAATGTGCCCATATAGCGGGGCGCAACAAGGCTCTTCTGTGCATACTCTTCATCATCGGGACATGCACATGTCGTCTGAGAGTCATGTCTAGAGACAGTCATGCTGGAGGACACGAAGCCACCTCGATCAAGAGCCAGTAGCCGGATAACCAAAGAAGATTAATAAAAGGTTGCAGCAACTTCCTCTGTTATGAAAAGTATGAGATTCAATTCCCGTTCCGAAGAATAAAAGATATAAAAACCCGCGACAGTGGAGGGACCCCAAGAAACGGGCGTAACCCAAAGAAGCAGGTATCAGGAGAAAACCTAGCGAGGTAGGATCCAAAGCGTGGAATTGGCGTGGGAGCAAGGCATGGCGTAGGAAAAATTCTCGCGCGCCAGCCATGTGGGAAATCCCTCCCCCCAAGACGCAGCCCTGGGAAGATCAAGAAATGACACATCGGATGTTTGATCGGGCGAGACAGCGCTGCAACGTCCCTTTGGAGAGTGGACACTTGGGGGACTCATTTTCGGTGTTTGATGGGCCATCCCTTGAATCCTGGAGAGGAATGAAACCATCAACCAAGCTATTGGCGCCCTGCATGCCAAGGGGAGGGAGGTTGCATCGTGGAGGATCTGGCGATCAAAGCTTCGATATTTATATTTTTGTCGAGTCTTTTATTTTGGATTTTCTATGAAGGTACTTCCAAACAATCAAGAAGATATGATTATTGCCTGCGAGATTTGCTGGAGCTTAGGGGGTTTAGGGATCTACGCCTGTCAACATCATCCCTGATTAGGGCATGGATTGGCATCGGCACGCTACCGATGCCTTTTCTGATCCATCGCCCCAAACTCCCCCCCCATGATCCTGGTGCAAATCATCCCTTGATGCTTATTCCTCCCCATCAAGACTCAAATTCGCCCTACATCCCCCTCGCATGCTTGTTCGAGGGCAAACCACATGGCCCTATCGGATGGCTGCCTCCTTGAGATCCGACATAGTTCCCAAGGGGCAGAACTCATGCTGATCGCCGACTAGGCACAGGATGTTGGCAGCGGCTGCCCGGTTGATTATGATCATGCTTGCTCGGTCGGAGGGCCGAGCCCACCCCCTCCGACGTGAGGGAGGCAGCAAATAGCCTCTCGTCTCCATTCTTTGAGAGGATATCAGTGGAATAGTGGCTGCACACATGCACGCACTTATCCATAGTGGAATCCGACACGCTATATGAACTCGGGTTGTTCGTTCCGAAGAAAGGGATGGCGCTTGGATATCTATGAATCTTTTTCCTCCCCACTTATGAACGGCGATCTTGCAAGCCCTACCGATGCCCGCTACTCGAGGGCGTCCCGTGGCACCGGCTGCTAGCATCTGCTTGCCCCGGTAATCATTGTCCGATAGCTCAATGCCGCCGAGTCTTGAAGCCGCATGCCTTGGGCTTGTATATACCCGGCCAAAAGCTACCGTCCTTCTTTTACTCTGTCTTTTCTTTCTTTGTTTGGACCTTTGGATGTGTCATTCTTTGGTACATGCAATCCGTGCATGTATAGCCCCAAAGACGCTCACCCATAACCCCCAAAGAATCCTACCGCCACATCCACCTTCTCTCCAATGGTAGCTCACTGCACCGAATATCGAATCCTTCTGGTCCCCGTCATTTCGGAAGGCCCCGTTTGTGCTCTGCCATGGGCCCATATGTGCCCCCGGGCCAGTCGCCGCCCTTCGAGGTAGTCGACGACGACCACCACTCCGCGTGGGTGATCATCACGGCCGCCTTGGGGCTGGTGGTGTCGCTGGCCTGCTTTCTCATCCGGCTGTATGTGCGGCTGGTATTGATCCCGCCATTTGCGCGAGATGATTTTGTCTTGCTGGGGGCGACGGTAAGCGGACCTGAGTTGATTACTTACAAGATATTCACACTCTCCTCGGTGACAAACTAGAGCTGACATACGAATTTGTGATACAAGATTCTCGCCGGTATCCAGTCTACACTGATGTTCTACGCCTGCTCGCGCGGATTCGGGACGTCAATTACATTACTGCAACCCGGCCGACTCGATCAAATCCAGACTGTAAGTACACGAACACTATTTAATTGCATTTTGATATCTTTGATATCCAGCGGGTAGTTTGTTGAGCCAAAGCTGATCGGATAGTTAATCACCACAAGCGACGTCTTCTCTCTACTAATCCTTTACCTCTCAAAATGCTGCGTCGTCGCCATCTACCTGCGGCTGACGCCGCAGAAACTACACAACCGCGCCTCGTGGGCCACGCTCGCCCTCTGCACAGCCTGGCTCGTCCCGGCTGTTTTGATCTTGCTTGTTGACTGTGAGCTGAACAAGCCGTGGCGGTCTCAGGGCGGGCAGTGTCGCAATTTGGTATGCTGAATCACTATGTCTTGTGTTGAGCGAAGATATACATATGGAATATATATGTGTATAAATTCCTCTAGAGTGCAGGGTGGCTGATGATGTGTATAGAATACACGATGGCAGTTCATCGCTGCTCTGGATGTCATTACCGAGCTGATTCTATTTCTGCTGGCCGTGGTTCTGCTGAAAGGTCTTTTCATGTCTGTGAAGCGCAAGCTGGCTATTGGGTTTGCGTTTATCTTCCGATTTCCGTGAGTCCACACCTCGAGAAGAAGAAGAAGAGAAGAAGAAATACTACCCAAAAAGCCCAAGCTAATCAAATAATCCCACAACAGTTTGATCATCTTCACTCTCCTCCACATCTCTACCCTCCGCGCCGCCCTCCACGACCCCGATGTAACCCTCGCCGCTGTCCCCCCAACCGTCTGGCTCCAAGTCGAGGTGCACTACACGCTGGTCGCCTGCAGCGTATTCTGTCTGCGGCCGTTCATGGCAGCCGTCAGCACGTTCTACGGTACGGCGGGCGACTCGACGCTCGAAAGCAGCGTTTCGGCCTCGAGGTCGCGCGGCACGAAGGGGAGTTCCGAGTCTGGATCTGGGTCAGGATCGAACTCGAATTCGAATTCCGTATTGCAGTCTATGTCCCGGTCCAGGGTTCAGAGGAAGAGGGCGGGCACGGCGCCGTCTTCTTCGTCAAATAAGAAGGAGGATGGTTTCTGCTGTGGAGATGAACATATATACAACCAACAGAAGCAGAAGCAGAAGCAGAAGAAGAAGAACCAGCTTGCTGGTACAACTCCCAGTCCCGATGGAAATACTCACCAGACTCGCACATTTCATCGACGGTCTATATTTTCTCTCGCTTCCCAGAGCAAGCAAGCCAAGCAGGGCATTACAAGGCTGGACAAGAAGATGAAAGGGAAAGATGGAGAAAAAGAAGAGGAAGAGGCGAGCTCCTCGCATCCGGATGGAGATCTGATTGAACTTATGCCGCGGCTGCAGCGGCAGCGGGCCCGATCAGGGACCGGATCGCACTCTCACCAGGACCAAAACAGGGACGAGGATGGACATTCGATGGTCATCCGGAAGGAGGTCCAGTACTCGGTTCAATATGAGTATGATGAGGCGCGGTGGCGGGAAGTGGCGACGCCGGAGAGTACGTCGGATGCCACTGTTTATGTGTAAATGTACTTATATAGAATAAGAGGTATAGAGAAAGCAGGCTTAGCGGAGTCTATGGTCCATTATTCCATTATTCTTTTGAACAGTCTGAAAACTACTATAAACGTATTCTGGTGAATGACCTCGGGTCAAGAACGCCGCCCGCCTCAATGACACTATATATTTACTCAAGACATGTAATGCAATTTGTACACGCCAAATCCAGATTATGAAGGGCCAGTCGGCCGCTTGAAGGGGTGAGCCTCGGTGCTCCTGCAATGAATGGTTAGCCCATGCACGACACAAGAGATAAGGGGATGATTTTAAGGGGACGTACAGCACGTATTCGTCCAAGCTGATATGGTTGGGCTCGGAGAAGATGAGGTACAAGTACTTCAGCGTCTCGGCCAACCAGAAGCTCTCCATCTTATCCTTGAGCTTCGGCTCCTTGTCGCGCACATCGGCAATGGAGGAGTGGCCGAACTTGGTGCGCGTGGCCTTCTCGATGTTCTGGAACATCCGCCACGCAGCATCTTGAAGGGACTTGTCGCCGGTGATTCGGTACATGATAAAGAGAGACTCAAGAGCTTCGGGTCTGTGGTTAGGATGTTAGCATGTGGGATGAGAAATAACAAATGAAAAACATTTTCGTACCTGAGGCTATACGATGGGTCCCGAATGTCAGTTATGCCGGGCGGCAACCTCTGGGCATCGACCTTTTGTTGCGCTCTCTGGCGCTCTTCGTCCAATTCAATATGGCGCCCAATGATGTCCGCAAACCACTTGTTTTGGTCCCAGGGACAGACATCAATATTCTCACAGGCACTGACGCGGAACGATTCCGGCATGACACCCGTCGGGGTCACATCATACGCCCAGACACAGCCGTCCGTCAGCCCGCGAGCGATCGGCATGTCGTCGGGGCGGTTGAACACCTTGGCTCCCAGGGCCACCATACCACCCATGAAACACTTGAGATGGTCCGGCGCATACCGCAGGGATTGAGAGTCGCCGCCTCGAAGCACATAAACGTCGGCAGCGAAGAGCGCGCGACGATCAGCGTCCTTGGTCATCGCACGGAAAATGACCTTTTTCTTGATGGTCTCTATGGCATCCGCATACATCTTCTGATACTGGTCGGTCTTGCCGCCCAAGAGAATGTGCTCTTTAGGGAAGTATTCGTATGCGGAATCGGCACAACCTCCCACACTGAATGAAGTGTCCTCGAACCGGAGTTTCTCGGCATTGATAAAGGTCGGCCACATTCCAGGCAGTCTGGTTGTTGCCTGGCCCTCCTGCAGGTTGTTCGTGATCCGCTGAACGGCGTCGAAGTATTTCGGGTCTTTGGTCAGCTGCGTCAGACGGGTAAATTCAACCGTCAAAGAAGCGATCTCCGCCAGACTGGTGCGCGGAGATGCCCAAATTCCCTCGCCTCGGGCCGACCTGCAACTTGTCAGTCCCGGATCATCGCGACTAAAGAACCCCGCCCAGGACTAGTGCGCAGTGAATATGAGGGACACTTACTTGGCCCAGTTCCAGCGCATCTGGGGCATGCGATTCGGCGTGTCAAACGCATTGAAGATCATTTCACCCAATTCGACCGCCTTCTTGAGAAGTATCGGGTGTTTGCCATTGGTCAGGTCATGGGCTGCCAGGAAGCCTCCCATGTACCGAATAACGATCTCAAAGACGTTGACTTCCCGACTGGTTGTCGTGGTAAAGTCGATTTCATTCAGAGCCTCCAGGGCGAGTTCGAGCTCGTCATCCAACCCCATGATGACCAGGGCGTCCAGCGAATCGACCAGAGTGGCCCCCCAGCCGCTAAAAGTGTCCTCGAACTGGCCGCTCGTGGGCGCCACTTCATCGCGGAGCCATGCATGGTCCTTATATCCATTCCAGGCGTGGAGGAAAGCGCTCTTCACGGCCTCCTGCTTGCGAACTCTTTCGGTGCGATCTTCGGGGGATTCAGGTGGGAAGTCGAACTGGATGCGGGGAATGCTCCCCGGGCCGTTGGGCAGAGGAATATGGGCGGGCACGGGGTTGAGCTCGGGGTGTTTGGTTAAATGGACGGCATCTTTGGGCGGTTCGGGGTCTTTCCTCGAAATGGGCTTTCCAGGGCGTTTCTGCTGCTTGACAGGGGCGGGCGAACTGCGCGGGAACCAAACGAAAAGAAAATACACCACGCAGACGAAGACGATTGCTTTGGCGATGGGCCGGCCTTTTCGGTTGAAAAACATGACGAAAAGGAAAGTCGAAGGGGAAAGAAAAGAAGAAGAAGAAAAGTGGAAATTAGAAAGGAACGGTCATCGGGAAATGAAGTCGAAGGGGACAGGTTCGGAGAGAACCGATCAAAGAGAGTGGACGAGCAGGAAATCTCAACGTTTGGAGGTTTCTGTCTTGTTTTCTTTTTTAGGAGCGATGTGCTAAAGTGTCATTAGGAGAGAGGTGGAAATGCCAGAGAAACGGGCCACGATCGGGGGCCAAGTTGGAAGGATTGGGGGAGAGGCAGTGTGGGCCGTTGATCGTCAGGGAGGCCTCACACCAGGAAAGTACTGAGTAGCGATTGGCGCAATGTGGAATGTCTTGGGGGAAGATCCACGTAAGGAGAGGGCCTTAAACTGAGCAAAGTGTGCGTGTGAAGCTTGTGAAGCTTGTGAAGCCAGGATGTTCGGGGACACCTTGTTCTCTGGATGCCAGAACATGCGCAGGGTCCGGGGGGAGAAGGGTCCACTGGACAACTCGGGAGATATCGATAAGCTGGCATAGAATCTCACATTTAGTTTATTCAGCTTATTTATTCCATGTCTGTTATTTTACGTTATTTTATTTTAGTCTGTTTCTGTTTTATTTCTTATTCTTACTTCTAGAATAAAGTCGACGCCGAGTGCTTTCTACAAGGACAAGCCTTGGATATCGTCTTTCATCCAAGGGTGTCATATTTGGTCGAGTGACAAGAGCGCAGCGGTGCAAGCAAAGCAAAGTCCCTTCATACGGTGTTTGTCGTGTTTGCACTGGATAGATCAGATCCAACTTCCATGCTCACCTTGTACCCTGTCGACACTCGGTAAGTGGTGTTTCTCCTTTCAAGCAATTGTAATTTAATAATGAAATAGACTAACTGAAATAAAGATACACTGCTTGTGACCACCTTTGCTATCGTGGTTGTTCCAAGGATCGGACACCGGGCTATTGTTGTATGGCATCACATACGACGAGTCTTCATTGTCTACGCTTGCAATTAGCTTGGCTGGGCCAGTTTGAATCCCGTGCTCCAGCGAATACTTTGAGACCGTCTTTCTCTGGCCACCCAGTCCCTATAAACATCCCCACGATATATAAGGCCAGAGAGAGAAACCGGCGTCATGCCTCTCACAGGGTAAATGCCAAATCCTCTTTTCTTCTCTTGCCTCTCACTTATCCATGAAATCTCCCACGGTCCCAAACTAACTCCAACAATCAAGCGTCTACTTCATCCCCTCACACCCCAATTCCACCACCGCCCTCGCCACCATCACTGAGCGCCTCCGCGCCGCCTTCGTGGATGACGACCTCGTCCCCGTGGGCCGCTGGAGCCTGGAGCAGAAGCTGATGCGTGACACCCCAGGCCTGCTGCCTGCGTCCGCAAACTCCGCCCAGCGACCCGCCAAGCCGCGGTACATGCAGTTTCTGTCGCTGACGCACTACCCGCACCACGGGTTTATCTACGCGTCCGAGCCCGCTGAGAAGCCATTCCATCCGCCCGGCGCGGCATCGGCCAGTCCCGCCGGCGGGGCGCCAGCCAGTGCATCGCCGCCTCCTACCGGACCCGGGCCAGGGACAGGCGCCACAGCAGTAGACTCAGCCGCCATGGTAATGACAACCGTCCCGCCGTCGGCATATGGAACCCTCTTCCAGCACTTCACCTACGCGTGCCAGCCGTTCTGGTGCCACCGGCTGACGGTCGCCGTGCCCAGCGGCGTCGTCTACGACGTCGGCGACTTCCGCGTGCGGCTCGGCGACGTGCGCCAGACCTACCCGGCCGCCCGCGTGCGCGGCACCGTGGTCGAGATCGAGTGGCGCGGCCCGTCTGTTGTCGGCTCGTTGCCTACCAACCCTGACGACGCCATAGGTATGGGTGTCTCCGACTCTTCTTCGTCTTCTTTTCTTTTCTTTTCTTTTCTTTTCCTTTTTTTTTTTTCTCATGCTCATACTTGTGCTCGTGCAGTGTCGGAAGATGCCGACTCGGGCATCGATGTCTCGTTCTCCGCTATCGAGGACGCCGATATCGACGCCGAGTATGCGGCTACCGCGTCGCTGATCCGCGAGTTCTGGGGGCGGTTGGGATTGGAGGGTGCTCGGGAGGCTATTTTGGTTCCTGGGGTTGGGAAGGAGGTAAAAGAGCGATTACGTCGGTATAAGAGCCAGCCCCGGCATCCGTCTGTTTCTGGGACTCTTTCGGATGAATTGGCGGGAGTGGTGGGTGTGAGTGGCGCGGAGGATGACCCTGATCCGCAGGCTGGGGCCGATGTCGCTAGGCAGTTTATGGAGGTCCTGCGGTTTAATCGGTAGTTCGGGCTCAGGAATTAGAACTGGTAGATGCTGGGAGGGGTCTTTTGAGTGTCATGACGCTGGATGTTACTCCGACATGATATCTATAGCCGGGCAATTGGTTCAACCTATACTTTTACTCGAATAATTGGCATAATACAAGCTTACTTGGCTGCAACCAAAATCAATATAATACTGTACTGGATTATAAACACCAGCTCGAGCACATGTTTTCCACCTGCATTTCAAAGTGCACGCTTGATCATGAATCATCCAATCTCTCGCCTAAGGCGAATCGACTACAGAATACCAGCATGGGACACTGAGATGGGAAAGGAAATAATGGAAAAGGCAAGAAGAGAAAGAAAGAAATAGACATCCTCGTTGAAAACAACTTCAGCTAGCATTGACAAACATGGGGAACGCGGGAGATCATTTTTGCATCATGAGCTGGACGAACTCGTTGTCTGCGGATTAGTTAGCATAAAACGGCGACGGATATTTCCCCAGAATATTGGAGTCGTTCCACATACAGTCGATCCGGCCATCACCATCCTGATCCGCCTCGCGGATCATCTCATCCACCTCGTCGTCGGTCAGCTTCTCGCCGATCGAGGTCATGACGTGGCGCAGCTCAGCGGCCGAGATGAAGCCATTGTTGTCGCGGTCAAACACCTTGAACGCCTCCCGGATCTCCTCCTCTGAGTCCGTGTCCTTCATCTTGCGGGCCATCATGGTGAGGAATTCTATCGCACGTCAACCATTTGCCCATCCAGCATTACAATAAGAGACAGCCATACCAGGGAAATCAATGGTGCCGTTGTTGTCGGCATCGACCTCGTTGATCATATCCTGCAGCTCAGACTCGGACGGGTTCTGGCCCAGAGAGCGCATGACGGTGCCCAGCTCCTTGGTGGTGATCTGGCCTAGTAATCGAATGTATGTCTCAGTAAATGGATGGTAAATGGGGTTCTCGAACGCTCGAGGGAGGCACAGATAAACCCGACCGAGCTGTCAGGAGAGATCGCACTAACCATCGCCATCCTTGTCCTGTAGGTCGCAAGAGAGAAAACCATCAGCATGTGTCCCCGGGGCTGCACAGAGCTCAATCGACATGGAGAATGCTACTCACAAACAGGGAGAAGGCCTCCTTGTACTCGGAGACTTGCTCTTCGGTCAGAGAGTCGGCCTGGGCAATGCGATGCGAGGTCAGCAAAAGTGTCCTGGGTTACCAGAATCGGTGCCCCGCAGCGTGGGGAGAGTGTTTCAACCCAACAGGACAGAGGGGCAGAAGGAAGGGGGAGAGCCAGAGGAAAGGAATACCATTGTGAATGGATTTGATGATCAAAAAGTTGAAAAAAGAGCGAGAGAGAATGAGACAATTTGATGATGGTGGGGGGGAAGAGATGAGGGTTAAGGGGAAAAGACGATAGCCTTACCGGCCAATGGTACATAGTACCGTACACAAAAATAGCGTGTCTGGCTAGTACCCAGTCACGCGAAAGGCGGTCACAGTGTACCCGCCCCAGGGCTGAGATTGTCACCTTTTTCAACTGTCCACCAGCGCAGTCTAGAACTCGGTTTGTTGGCAATGAAGGTGGTAATTGCGTCTAGAGAATGGTATTTCGTGTGTAATTTTGTGCATTTTGCGTTTAGATCCTCTCGACCCAGTGTTGGTGCTGTTGGGCTGGTGAATGGATCCCCAAAAGCTTGGTTTCTGCCTAGATACGGCGATTTTCGATGATCGAGTTTGCTATCAGATATGGTTTGGGGGTTTAGTATAGCTGATATTTGATAATCTATGGCTGCAATAGCATCATAAGGCAGATTTGACTTAAATATATATAGAATATCTTTAGTTCCATACTACTATACCAATCAGTCACCAGATACTTACAGTAGTGATTTGATTACCCTTCCAAAGGAATAATCTCACTCATTCTAAACTAAATAACATCCATGAATATGTCCTATCCTATCTGATACTGTACCTATCAAGATATCTATCCTAGCGAGGTTGACAGTAGCTGTCACCAGCCCTACGATGTCCAAATACCGTGAAATCTGCAACAGCTTGATAGCTGCATTGACCTATGCACATCACATTGATCTCGGACTGATCTACCTAGCTCCCCAGAGACCAGAACAGGATCGACCTCAAGATCTACGAGATATCTCCAAGACGTCAACAAGCCACTCGGGACTCGGACAAAGCATGAATCTCAGGTACCCGCCATGACAGAACCAATACACAAAAGCCCCCCCATAGCCATGTGGAGACGGTCGTAAGTTACACATTGAATACCGGGCCCGACGTTGCCCCTTCTTCGAGCTTCTCATGTCACTCCATTCGCAGACGATCGGCTTGCACTCGACTATCAAAGACTCTCGACTTCAAGCTTGCGGCGCTGATAGCTTGAACATGAGTATCGATCCATCCACCATCCACCTATAACCCTTGACCTGCTCCCATTCCTCACGCCCTCTCACAATGTGGCGGGATCGCACCAACCTGTATGCTTGCGCAATGCGCCTCCCATCGAAACCGCTTGGTTGACAAGAGACAAGCTAACACACCTTGCCCTTCTCTCTTATTGTATAGCTACATCTCCTACCGCCAGTCCTTCACCCACCACCCCGCCAAGAAGCCACGTTTCCTCGGACCCTCCAATGGCTTCTCCGACATACCCTCCCAACCCGAAGAAAGCCGGCGGCTGATCTCCGAGCCCGGTGGCCAGGACGAAGATGGGGACATGGTCATTGAGATGGACCTTCTGCCCCCGCGCTGGGTTGACGTGCAGGAGGAGGTGTCGGAGCTGCTGACGGAGATTGCACAAAAGTCGTCCCAGCTCGACAAGCTGCACCAGAAGCATCTGCTGCCTGGGTTTGGTGACGAGGACGTCCGGAAGAAGGAAGAAGGTGTTATCGAGCGGTTTACGCAGGATATCACCCGCGGCTTTCACGATTGCCAGAGGGCTATCCAGCGCATCGAGATGATGGTGCGCGATTCCAAGCAGCAGGGCGGTATCACCGGCGGCGAGGAGACTATGGCCAAGAATATTCAGATCTCGCTTGCCTCGCGTGTCCAGGAGGCGAGTGCGCGCTTCCGCAAGAAGCAAAGCACCTATTTAAGGAGTAAGGACCGGCTTTTTTTCTTTTTTTTGCTTCTGCCCATGCGTTGGGCCAGCTAATCATCTGTCATAGAACTCCGAGATCTTGAAGGCCTTACGACGCCGTTTGACCGCGCACCTACCCCGGTTCAAAACCCATACACGGATCCCTCTCTAATGGAATCGGATGCGGACCGGTCATTCTCACAAACCATGTTGATGCAAACCTCCCAACGAGCGACAGGCCAGAATGACGCCGCAATCGCACAACGAGAACGCGAAATCAACGACATCGCCAAAGGCATTATCGAACTTTCTGACATCTTCCGCGAGCTGCAATCACTGGTCATCGACCAGGGGACTATGCTAGATCGCATCGACTTCAACGTGGAAAGAATGGGCACCGAGGTCAAGGCAGCCGATAAGGAACTGAAAGTGGTATGTTTCTGTACAATCTTCTTCTTCTTCTCCTTTTGAACATATTCTCATATCAATACCCGCCAGGCTACAAACTATCAAAGCCGCACCACCAAACGCAAAGTCATGCTGCTCCTGGCGCTGCTGGTCATCGGCATGGTCATTCTGCTGGTCGTCAAACCCAAGAAACACGGCTCCTCCCCGAAGCCCGAAAACGAATCTTCTAACAACATCCGGTCGGTGCTGGCTTCCATAGACCGGAGGCGGCGTCACTCTCCGAACCACTTTGCGCGAGACCGCTGGATGGATCCTGATATATTTCGATGAAAGCCTCTGCAAAATACCCCATAATAGTTTTAATGTGACCGATAAGCAAGGGCATCTTGGATTCCGTCTGTCTTGTAGAATACGACTATAGATCCTGGTGGATGTGTGAAGTTCGTATCCTGTCCCCTTCGGTGTTCTTATTATCGCTGCATCGGGAACTGCCGTAGACCATGAATAATTACTGAATGATTGAATGACTGGTTGATTGCCGAAAAGTTTCAAATGGTATTCAAACACTTCTAGTCGAAACATGGCTCAAATGGACACGAGAAAAGAACCCGAGGTCTTGGAAGATCCCTTCCGATGAAACTAAGCATTAGATAGGGGAAAACATCATAGGCACCGGCTACGGCTGTTTGCCCTCCTGCGCCAGCAGCTGGGCCACATCATCGTCCAAGTCTCCGCTGGCAAATTGCGAATAGTCTTCCTCGCCGTGCGCGACTTTGCGTCTCTTAGCCCCGGCTCCATTCGTACTGAGGTCGAAGTCGTTGCCGCCGCCCGGCGAGATTGTGGATGGATCCGGTAGAGAGATTCCATTGTCAGGCTGCTCGAGGCCAGGGAGAGTAAAGTTATCCGGAAGCGGCACATGTGCTCCTTCTGTGAACGGCGCGGGTCCGGTCTGCTGCTGTTCTGGCTTCGGGGACCCTACGGGCGTGATGGCCTCGACGGGAGGTGGAGTCAAGGCCTCGACTTGCGGACGGGCGGGCTCCTCACCCTGGCCGCTGTGATCACCATGCGGGCCGCCACTGGGGTCCTCAGTCGAGAGACCTCGCATGATGGCGTCCTCGACCTCGCGCTTCTTGACGTCGGTCTGCGTTTTCTTCTCCGAGAGCTGCGCTGCAAGAGACTCTTCCTTCGACAGCTCAGAGCGGTTGGTCTCCAGCAACTTCTCAAGGCCGTCAATCAACGCACGTCGTGACTTGATCACCTCGGAAACAGAGCTCTCTGCGTTTGCAAGTGTTTTCAATAGCTGACTGAGACGCGCGGCGTGCACTGGAGGAGTGGGTTGTGGGGTTTTGGTGTCGTGCATCTTGTCGTACTCTGTATTGGCGGTTGTCGCCGACGTATTGGTGGTCATGGCAGCTTTCGTGAGGGCAACTTGCAAAGGGACGAGGGGCTGGAGCTCCGAGGGAGTAGACCCCGTTGAGGAGTCCCTGAAGAAAGATCCGCCGAGTGGTTGTTTCTTGGTGGTGGAGCGAGTCTTGTCGATTTCTAAGAAACAAGTCAGGCTTCTAGTTAGCACGTTGTGTGTCGGAACTGGTCAATGCGACATACCATTCACACGAGCTTCCACGGCCTCCAAGATCGGAGCCTCAAAGACATTGCGCTGTCGCCACACTTCAACAACTCGGCGAATCTTCTGCTGAACATCATTCGACGACCCTTTGTAGGCCGCCGCTGTTGCGTCCACGACGATCTGGTCTCTCAATTAGTTTGAATCTAAGCGTCATGCACTTCGATGGGAACTGACCGGCGAGAAGGCAATAAGGAAATCATCTTTCCCTCGGGCTTTGGACTGCTGTGCCACCTCTGTAACTGGGTCAATAGACGAGTAAGAGCTGGGCGAGGGGTATTCGTACCATTGGCCAAATAGACCAAATTAAGACGCTTGGGGGGTGCTGAGTCGCGGATCTTTTGGAGCCAGATCTGCGCAGTCCGCTCAGCGTGTCGCCTGCAAATTGCGACCATGATTAGTAGGGGTTTGGCTCGTTTGTGTCCAAGCTAGGTATTTACTTACCTGTGAAACATAACCCATTGCGCGACAGTAACAATGCTCTCCTGTGTCTCATTCAAAGCTGATAGCTTTGCTTTGACAGCATCATCGGTGTATGCCATAGTGGATGATTCAGGGGCCTATCGCAGTGGCCGGGCAAGTAGCTTTCAAGTGATCAATTGAATTGAAGTTAGGTCGCGGTTGCGACAAGGGTAGATAGGATAGGGCAGTGGTAACTGAGAGCAATTGAAGCCCAACAATGAAATCAAGAAGGGCGCAAGAGATTCAAAAGAACTAAAGAAATGCCTGGCCCACGAAGTCAAACAACGCGTCCAGCCGGGGTTGTGGAGGTGGAGTCGACGCTGGTGAAGCTGATCAGTTGCAACATTGAGCTGCTGACCGCCCCCGCCAGCGGCAGAATCGGGGGCTCCGAGCGCGCTCCGTCAACATCTGTCAACTCCTACTGCTACCACTCTCACTCACCACTTCTCCCTGCCTTATCACTCACACTCGGTCATCATCTCCTTAAAAACTACGAAACATTCTGATACCAACGAATACTTGCACAATGGCTGACCGTTTCCCTTCTCTGGAGGACTTCTCAGAGGGTATGGACAACCCACTTCCACCGTTCTACTCCCCAACTGAGCTACCATAGCTGACAAAACATATCCAGGCCAGACTGGAGTTGCCGAAGGCCAGGATGCCCCCGATGATGATTTCCTGGCCCGTGAGCGCGCTGCTCTCGGAGAAGACGCAAACGAATTCGCTACCCCTCAAGACCACGTTGCCGCCCACGAGAATGTAGATACGGGGGATGACTTGCTGGGTGGAGAAGGCAACGCTGCGTTTGCGGATGAGAGTGGTCAATTCGAATCGTCGTTCCCCTCAATGGAGACACAGGCACAGAACGAGGTACGCATCAGCTCCTGAGTAGACTGACAAACCTGCGACGTACTGATCGATGGCTTTGATCATTTAGAAAGTCGCACCCGGAGGCACAATTACTGGAACTGGCTCCCCATTTCCGCCAAGCGGCTACCCAAGCACTCTGGAGCCCGAAGAAGAGCCCGAGGCTGTCAAGTGAGTTCAATTCCAGTCTCGATCAACGAACCCATGACCTTTCACCTGCGTTGATTCTCTCATGACTTCTTCCTTTGACTGACATATAACTCAATTATCTAGGGAATGGCGTGAGAAGCGAGACTCCGAGATTGCGCGCCGTGCCGAGGTTTCAAACGAGAAGAAAGAGGCTACCACCAAGAAGGCTCGTGAGGACATTGACGACTTCTACGTTTCCTACAACAACAAGGCGGACAAGCACCGTGGCCAGACCCGTTCTGAGGCCGAACAGTTTCTGGCTAACCGCGAGGATACCTCTGCCGGTGGCACGAGCTGGGAGCGCATTGCGAAATTGGTCGATGTGTCCGGCAAAGGTTCCACGGGGGGCGCCAGCGGCTCTGGCAAGGAGCGTTTCCGCGAGTTGTTGATCGACTTGAAAAAGGACCAGGAGGCTCCCGGTGCCAGCGGGATCTAGTTCATTTTCCTCGGTTTCTTCAAGTTGATGGCTGCGGGGGGGTTATTAGCCCAGTGCTGAGGCGGTTTGGAGGATTGCCTGATTCAAAGTCGAGCGCATGCCGCCGGCCTTCTATGGTGCTACCCCGTCATGTCCTTGTCATCCCAAGCACTACTTGTCAATCGCCGTTGCGACGTCTTTTTTTCTCTATTTCATTTCACTCCACGCAGCGCAGTCTTCAGGGGGTTTGTGTAATTTAAGTATTTCAGATTGATAGCATCGTTAATACCAAAGATTCCCAATCTCCCGTTCGCCCGGCTTTATATTTGAATGGAGGTCGCATTGATAGATGGCAATACCAATGCCCAATTGTCTAATAAATACCTGCATTCACCGAATAGTTCGGGAGCAGTCTCGAGGAAATAGCCCATCTAATAGCTTGAGGGGGAGCAGGGTCGGTGATTTCTGACAATAGACGGGAAAATATCGCAATGTATTCATTCATTTTGTCTCATTTCAATCGAAGCGTGGTTGCAGCTCAATCCAGCTCCGTCACGTCACCTCCAGGCTCCCCGACCTCCTGTTTGCCTTCGGCCTCCAACTCCGCCAGCTTCTTCTGGCCTTCGGCCGTAGTAGCATCGACAATACCTTGCTCCAGACTGAGCATACCACCATCGCCCAGCTGCTCGACGACCACCTCTGCCTCTTCAACAGACATCTTGCCCAAGACCTTGTTGACTTCGTCCAGGGATTCAGACTCCAGCGCTTTTTGGAGATCTGCGGGGAAGGTGTCGAAGATCTTGCGCGATTCGACCTCGGTGGGCTCTTCGCTGTTGGCGGCAGGGATGTTGATGGTGATCTTGGTACTCGGGTCCACGGCGTGCAACTGAATTTGCTCCACCCCGGCCGGGTCATTGGACGCGGACTTCTCTTTACTGAGCTCGGCCGCGCGAGACTTGATTCGGTGGTAGGTGTCATTCACATCGTTACTGAACAACGTTGCGGCACGGTGGTCCTTGGTGGTAATCCTGGACAATCAACTGTTAGTTGGATGCTGCACACCGACGATGACATGTACATACCGGGTGAAGAATAACTGGATGCCGTCCCGGCCCAAGGAGCGACAGTATTGCAAGAGCAGGCCCTGGTGGACGCACTGGCGAGCGTAATCCTCCTGGCCCTTCAGCTGGCTGTTGAACGCCTCAACGAGCAAGCCATCCGTCTCCTTCTCGGCAATAATTTGCGGGTGTTCAGAGATGAATTGCTGGTAGGCCCTGTAGTCACCAGGCCTAATGCGGGCAAACTGCTTGCCCAATTCACTAATCTCGACATTGGCAGGGTCATCGTCATCATCCTCGCCGGCCTTCGCTGCCGAGGCCTGATTCACGGCACCAGGGTTCAACAGCTCTGTCGAACTTTCCTGCGCTGAAGCAGCGGCCTTTCCTTTGTCGGTCGACTTGGCAACATGTGAGGTGTTAAACCCATCATGCAATCCATCGCTAGTAATCTTGGTGCCTTCTTCCTTTTCGAGCTGTGCCAGTCTCGCCAGCAATTCCTTCTGCAGGCCCTGCACCTTCTCTTTGTGTCCTCCGACACCCTGGATGTATTCCTTGAAGAGATTGTCTGGCGTGGAGCCCTCGAATTCCTTCTTCACCTGATCCACCAGTGCGCCCATCATCTGCGAGTACTTGGGCTGTTCCTTTTCATGGGTGTGGACTCCCTCCGGGGGAGGCGGGGCTTGGTCCTCGGCGGGGTTGCTTGCGAACTCCATGATAGTCTGGAAGATGAATTCATCGGGAGAGGCAGACGAATCCTCGTGCTTCTTGAGAGACTCAAGGAGCTTATCGATGCGCGACAGCAGCCCATCATTAATGATGCGCTCGTACTTTAGGGTCTTGATGTCATGGCGGCGCTGTTCTCGCTGTTGGTGAATTTGGGACTGCTTGGCTCGGATGAACGACCGCTTATCGACGTTGGGATGAACTTCAATATCCGAATCGTCTGACAGCTCCAGCGCATCCCATTTGCTGTAGTCGAGCACCATTTTGACAGGAGTATAAAATTCGCTCTAGATTCGGCGGGCAGGTGGGGTATATCAGCCGCCACAGGAGGAATGACAGCGATGCGAGGAGTGCAGATTGAGAAGAAAGAGACAGAAATCAAAATAATTTCCCAAGACTTCACAGGAGCCTCAAATCAAGGCAGATCCACCGGAGCCAAAGTGCCACCAAACAAAAACCTTCATCGGCGCAGCTCGATCAGCTTCCATGGGCGGTGGAGCATGGCAGTACCGCTTTGCCGACGGCCGCGGACAACACGGGATCGTCCCATCTGCCGGATTCCTTCCTCGTACCCCCGAGTGAACAGTCGAGACGGTGCTATGGAATGTGCTGCTCGATTGATTTCTACTCGGTGAGATATGGCACTGTCTGATTTGTTCCGGTGACATCCTTTGACTACTTCGATTCTACTAAGAGCTTCTCCGATTCACTTCCGACATGCGCGGTGCCAGACTGCCCGTCTCCTGGGCCCCAGGTTTTGGCCCCAGACAGTTTTCCAACCCGCAAGGCGCCTTTGCTCGCGACCTCATCCCCAGAGCAAATGTGTCTACCATCCGCTCTGGCATAAATCGGTTATACCCAGCCACCTCGGTCCGCTATTCCTCTCATCAGGCGGCCAATGTCCCGCTCTTGGTTCGCTATAACAGCTTCATATATACACGCCCTGCGTCGCCTATTGTTTCTCAAGCCAGGCTGCTGTGTTCAACTTCACGTCTACTGCAAGCAAAGCCCCCATCCCCGCTCCCAAGCGCTCCTGACGCTAGCGGTCAATCGGCTCCCGGGAAAGAGGACGAAGATGTGGACAAAGGATTCGAGTTGTCTGAAAGAGCTGCACAAGCAGCACAGGTTAATCTGCGGGCCAAATTGGCCAAGGATGGCTCGTCGGGGAAGAAGGCCGGATCCTCCGAGATCTGGCGGCTGTTCAAGATTGCACGGCCTGAAACCAAGGCGCTCGGGTTTGCGTTCTTCTTCCTGCTGGTCTCCTCGTCGATTACCATGTCTATTCCCTTCTCGATCGGTAAGATCATGGACACGGCCACGAAAAGTGCAGCTGAAGGAGGCAGTGAACTGTTTGGTTTGAGTCTTCCAATGTTCTACACTGCTTTGGGTGGAGTTCTCCTTGTGGGTGCCGCAGCCAACTATGGTCGCATCATCATCCTCCGAATTGTGGGCGAGCGCATTGTTGCGAGGTTGCGCTCCAAACTTTTCCGGCAAACATTCGTCCAAGACGCCGAGTTCTTCGATGCGAACCGAGTTGGTGATCTGATTTCACGACTTAGCTCTGATACCATCATTGTTGGCAAAAGTATCACACAGAATCTGTCTGATGGCTTACGGGCGGGTGTCAGCGGTGCCGCTGGATTTGGCTTGATGGCATACACAAGTCTGAAGCTCTCCAGCATCTTGGCTTTGCTGCTTCCGCCACTCGGCCTTGGTGCTCTCTTCTACGGTCGGGCTATCAGGAACCTCAGCCGTCAAATTCAGAAGAACCTGGGTTCCCTGACCAAAATTGCCGAGGAACGCTTGGGCAACGTAAAGACCAGCCAGTCCTTCGCAGGCGAAATCCTCGAGGTGAATCGGTACAACAACCAAGTCCGCAAGATTTTCAACCTCGGCAGGAAGGAGTCTTTGATCAGCGCGACTTTCTTCAGCTCGGTAAGTTTAATCCTTTCTGCCTGTATCTGCACTATTGGCAATATCCACTGATTTTCTTCAGACTGGACTGATGGGCAACATGACGATTTTGACGCTGCTCTATGTGGGCGGTGGCATGGTCCAGTCAGGAGCTATCAGTATTGGAGAGTTGACCTCATTTTTGATGTACACTGCCTATGCTGGCTCTAGCATGTTTGGCTTGTCAAGCTTCTACTCGGAGCTGATGAAAGGTGTGGGTGCGGCGAGTCGACTCTTCGAGTTGCAAGACCGCGAGCCCACGATTCATCCCACCAAAGGACTCAAGGTCGAGTCTGCCCGTGGGCCAATCCGTTTCGAGAACGTCTCTTTCAGTTATCCTACTCGCCCTGCCGTGGAAATCTTCCGGGATTTGGATTTTGAGATCCCGCAAGGAACCAATGTTGCAATTGTCGGGCCCTCGGGTGGAGGCAAATCGACCATTGCTTCGATTCTGCTTCGATTCTACAGTCCCACCTCCGGGAAAGTACTGATCAATGGGAAGGATATCAGTGGAATGAATGCCAAGTCTCTGCGGAGAAAGATTGGTGTCGTTTCACAAGAGCCTGTTCTCTTCTCTGGAACGATTGCCGAGAACATTGCCTATGGCCGTCCCGAAGCGACACGCTCGGAGATCATTGCTGCTGCGCGCAAGGCTAACTGCCAATTTATCAGTGATTTCGTAAGTCAACTCATACTTCTAGATGTCTGTCAGTGAATCTCGGCTAACCAAAAATCCCCAGCCGGATGGCCTCGACACTCACGCAGGAGCTCGCGGGGCTCAGCTATCAGGTGGACAGAAACAGCGGATTGCTATTGCCCGCGCCCTGATCAAGGAACCCGATATTTTGATTCTTGACGAAGCCACTTCTGCTCTCGATGCGGAGTCGGAGACCTTGGTCAACAGTGCTTTGGCTGCTTTGCTCCGAGGCAACAACACGACAATCAGCATTGCCCACCGTCTTTCTACCATTAAGCGATCTGACACCATTATTGTACTTAGCCCCGACGGCACAGTCGCCGAACAAGGCTCCTACGAGGAGCTTAGCTCCCGCCCGGACGGCGCTTTCACGAAGCTTATGGAATGGCAGATGAGCGGCGGCGAGTCTACGCCTGCACCTGCGAAGGCAGTGGAGGCCGAGGAGCTCTGGCAGCTTCAGAAGGAGACACAGCCGAACCTAGATGAAGAGGAGGAAGGTAATGACCATACCCGCAAACAGGGGTAGTGGTAACCCCGACGCTGTCTGCTCGAGGTTTGGCCAACTGATTATAGCTCCCTGCCGCGTCTTTTCTTTTCTTTTCTTTTCTTTTTTTTCGCATGCACACTCAGCTCTTTGGGATATTCTCTCTTCTCAGTGGCATTTTCTGCTTTTTATTTCCCGATAGATGGTCGTTGAACTTACTGTCAATTACCGTGTATAAATTTCTACATAATGGACATTCAATTGCCATAGACATTCATGGTGAATCTGCATTTCATAGATCACATTGCTTCTATTAGTAAGGGCCGCGGGATCAGGTCCGGCTGGCTCGTGCTTAATCATCTGAGCTGCGACCTCACTCACAGCTCTCCCATAAACAACCTCTTTTTAAATCTACGGCATCTCATCTTCTCGCCGGAGAAGAACCGGATACCATCAGTGACCATGAACCGTGTGCGCAGTCTCATCGCCCGCCCCGCGGTGTACGAGCCGCTCAACGACTCGACGGAGGACGATGCCGACGAGATGGTACATGCGACGCGCCAGCAAAGGTCTCAGTTCTCGCAATTCGAATATAACATTTTCTTCCTCCTCGGAGTGGCGATGCTATGGGCATGGTAGGTGGTCTCAGCTGCATTGTGGACCCTGCCGCGCAACTGCGGTCGACCGAGTTAGCCATGCGATCTAATGCGCGTGGATCATGACAACAGGAACATGTTCTTGGCCGCGGCACCGTACTTCCACAGCCGGTTTCAATCCGACGACTGGGCAGCCGCCCACTACCAGCCCTCCATCCTCTCGGTGTCGACGGTCACCAATCTTGCGACCGTCAGTATCCTAGCCAAACGGCAGCAGAATGCGTCCTATCCCTGGCGCATCACCCTCTCGCTTCTGATCAACTGCTTCGTTTTCACACTCCTGGCTTTCTCGACGGTTGTATTGAAAGATGCGTCGGTACGTGTGTACTTTGGCTTTCTCATGGTCATGGTGTTTGGGACGAGTTTGGCCACGGGCATTAACCAGAATGGCGTCTTTGCGTACGTGTCGGGCTTCGACCGCGAGGAGTACACACAGGCCATCATGGGTGGTCAGGGAGTTGCCGGGGTGCTGCCATGCGTTGTCCAGATTTTGTCTGTCTTGGCGGTGCCCTCAAAGGACCAGGGTGATCAGAAACGAAGTCCGTCCATGCCGCAGGGATCGTCGTCGGGGTCGGCGTTTATCTATTTCCTTACCTCCACAGGGTTCTCGGTGGCTGCGCTGATGGCTTTTCTTTATTTGGTCCAGCATCGGCCCCACACGAGGCCCAAGTTGACCACCGAGGATGATGAGATCGTCTCGGACAGCTGTGCGCACGACAAGACTGTCGGTCTGTGGACTCTGTTCACCAAACTACGGTTCCTAGCGTTGTCGGTCTTTCTTTGTTTCTTGGTGTCGATGGTTTTCCCCGTCTACACCGCTGAGATTCAGTCTGTCAACGACCCGGCCAAGTCCCGGATCTATGACCAAACAGTGTTTGTTCCACTGGCATTCCTTGTTTGGAACGTGGGGGACTTAGTCGGACGCATGGCCGTGGCGATCCCCTGGCTGTCTCTTGCTCATCGCCCCTCGATGGCCTTTGCCTTGGCTATTGCCCGGGTTGTGTTCATCCCGCTCTATCAGTTGTGCAACATCAACGGTCGAGGGGCCGCAGTACACAGTGACTTCTTCTATCTATTCATCGTGCAGCTGTCCTTTGGTGCCACCAACGGATACTTGGCCTCCAGCTGTATGATGGGTGCCGGCCACTGGGTTTCGGCCGATGAAAGAGAAGCCGCGGGTGGGTTTATGAGCATGGCCCTCGTTGGCGGCTTGGCAGCCGGGAGTCTACTTAGTTTCTTTGTTGCCGGGGGATGATCGTGGCTCCATCTTTTCTAGAAGCACTTTAGCGAATCATGATTGATGAATGTCTTGCATTTATGCGGTGTGCGTTTATTTACTTTTGGTCTGCGCTTTCATCTTTTGTCGGGCGAGGGCCTGCTGTTTGTTCCGAACTTGGCGCGCATGAGTCTCTCGACGATAGACGGATGTCCCCTACAAACTGTGCTTGTTGGCTCCAAGTCTTAAGTATGGGCCCTCTTTATTTCTAGTTCGAGCCGATAGACGACTTCAGACCACCATTTTGAGTCTTATTCCTTGCCGTAGAACCGGTGAAGAGCCACCATCTCCCTCACCCTCTCACTTCACCTGCATCCTCTCACCCTCGTTTTCTTTTCCTAGGGCCTATTCGCATCTCAGAGATTTGGTTTGGATTTGGAACTTGCCACATCCTTCATCTCTGTAATTGAATCCCATCGAGGTCGGTTTGTGGGTTTTTGATCCTGCAACCATGAGGTCTGGCCTGTACCAAGCCCTAACTACCATGTCGTTCTGGGAAATGCTGTCTGGTCTTCTTTTTCTGGTGAGTAAATAATCCAGAAGACGTGCTCGCTTGAGAGTCTCTGGCTCATTTCTGTCTACAACTCCAGGGATTGGTCTACTTGGTGGGCTGGGTGGTCTACACGCTGTATTTCCACCCGCTGAAGCATTATCCTGGCCCCAAACTGGCGGCAATTTCTCCCTTGGTGCATCTACTGTGGGATATCCAGGGTAAACAGCATTCGATCATAAAGGAGCTACACGACAAGTATGGCGATGTTGTCCGCATCGCCCCCAACACGCTCGCGTACCGGGCAGCCCCAGCCTGGAAGGATATCTACGGTCACCGCAAGAAAGGCCAGAGGACCTTTCTCAAGGACCCGTCCCTGTACTCGCCAACGCCTAACGGGGTAAATGCCATCATCACAGCCACGGAACACAACCACTCCCGGATGCGTCGACTGCTAACCCACGCGTTCTCGAACAAGGCTCTTCGCGAGCAAGAAGGGATTCTGCACCGCTACGCCAACCTGCTGATCGAGCGTCTCCAGGACCAGCTGGGAGCGTCCCGCTCGCAGGTGATCGATATGACACGCTGGTTCAACTTCACCACCTTCGACCTGATCGGAGACCTGGCCTTTGGTGAGCCGTTCGACTGTCTCATCAACAGCACCTACCACTGGTGGATCCTGATTATCCTGGACGCCGTCAAAGCCAGCGCCTACCTCAAGATCTTCTGGTTCTACCAGTTTCTGCTGCCGCTGGTGCAGGTCTTGGTTCCGAGGCACTTGCTGCAGAAACGCACGGATAGCTTCGCTCTGAGCGTGGACAAGGTGCGTCGTCGTCTCAAGCGCGGCACGTCTCGCCCGGACTTTACCTCGTACATCTTGAAGCACAGCACCGATGGCAAGGGAATGACGCCGTCCGAGATGGATGCCAATGCGGCAGTTTTTGTGCTGGCCGGAAGTGAGACCACTGCCGCTCTTCTGTCAGGTTGCATGTACTATCTGCTTCGTCACCGGGAGAAATACCGTCGGCTGGTCCAGGAAATCCGCAGTGCTTTTGAGAAAGACGCGGATATCAAGCTATCTTCTATTGCGGAACTCCCGTATCTCAACGCTGTGCTGACCGAAACTCTGCGCATCTATCCTCCTATCCCGGCTATGCTCCCGCGTCTGGTACCGGAGGGAGGCGCGATGATCAATGGCCAATATGTGCCTGGAGGGGTGAGCATATCGCACTCTCAACTCTACAAAAGACTAATCCAAAGAAAATAGGTCTCTGTTGCCATCTCGCTGTACTCAACCTTCCGCTCAGCCACCAACTTCAACGACGCAGACGCCTTCGTCCCTGAGCGTTGGCTGAACGAGCCCGAGTCGAGTCGCTTTGCTACAGACAAGAGAGAAGCCTTCCAGCCCTTCTCCTATGGGCCTCACAATTGTCTTGGGCAGCAGTAAGAACTCCCGAAGCCCCAATGTTTTCACATACATGCATTTAGATCTCCACTGTGCCTGAAAACTAACACTACTCGCATTTCAGCCTTGCAAACGCCGAAATGCGCCTTATTCTCACCAAGCTTCTCTGGAATTTCGATCTCGACATGTCGCCCGCCTCTCTGCACTGGATCAACCAGAACTCCTATTCCCTTTGGAGCCGGCCTGAACTGAAGGTGAAATTGTCTCGCGCTGGAGTGGAGATGTGATATCACTTTTTTTGGGCGATCCACACGTGGATCATGACCGCGACAATCCTTTTTTTCTATCCTTCTTTCTTCCCATTTCTCCTGACTCGTGTCTTGGTGTTTACCTCCCCTTTCGACTCGCGCGTTTGAGGGTATGGTGCATCACTGCTGGGGTTCTTTGGGCAGATGGTAATGTCTAATAGGGGGTGGGCGTGCGTCGTTTGTGCATACAAAAGTCTTCTTTTCACGCTTAGAGTAGACCAAAGACCAAAGTTTTTCTTTTCTTTTCTCCTGCTTTTCTTTTTGTTTCTCTCTTTCTTTTCAAATATGAATTGAATCTATAAGATTTCGGTTCTTCCCAGTCATAACTATAAACCCCCCCCCCCCAAAACAAGAAGCTCCCTACTTTGGTGCCCTGTCTGTCTCCTGCATACGAATTGAATCTTGCGACAAACTACTCGTGTCCAAATCCCCCTATGGTCGGGTCTAGGTGGGTCTTTCCAGCTGCCTTGGGACAGATTTTGTGAGGCCAATCCACCTACGACTTTCCCGACAACGAATATCCCAAGTCATGCATAGCGTGGTTGGTTTTGCCCGATGATTCATGGAGCGTGTGTCTATACTCCGAGGGCTTAGAACTGCCAATGGAAGTGACAAACAATCCATCGTAATCCCTTGCATCCCCGAATACTCTAGAACCATGGGTGATTGACATGCCAGTCTATATATACCTTGGCCCCATTTCTTCCTTGGCGACTGTGGATGGTCTGGCGCGCGAAAGTAGTGTACACGCCAATGAAATGTCTTTCAATACTGATTAGTGGACTATCTGTGCTGAGACGTCCAGTGGAGAGTAGTTATAATCTGCCAAAGCGATCCAAGCGTCGACTTCCCACTTTTGAATAGCGCCGATCTTTCTCTTGGGCTTCCTCGCCCTTCCCGCTCCTTTGAATTCTAAGTAGTGATCAAAGCCCCCCAGTCACGCCATCCGAGCTTTTCGCTGCATGGAGGTCCCCGTGTACTCCGTTTGGGGCCATAATTCGAGGGGCTGTAATCACTAGTCAGGTACAGTAATGTCATAGTAAACCATTGAATATCCAAGTATCGGAACGAGGGTGGCTTAGTGCTGGGCAACTTCTTGTACCTAGATACAAGGAAAGGGACATAGCAGGCTCACATGTCACACAAGAAGAGACGCATAAGCCAATTGTGCTTGAAACTCATGACAGCGACCAGTTAGTAATGTCGTTGATAGAGAAAGCGCGCGTAATCTTGCCCATGACCTACAGTACAAGCCATCGTCTTCAGAATCCGCCAAGAATTTAATAATTCAATTATCTAGTCTTCATCGTCTCCGTTTTCGATACCACTATGTCAACCGCATCGGATCCTTCCCACCGACCCTTCTGTTTTAGAGAAAGTGCCACCATCTCGTGACGAAGATATCATCTCCGTAGTATATGGTATTTAGGCCTTACTCACGGCTATTTCTCAATTACAAGTATCTTTCTTCATACTCCCCCAGACTCTCCATTTTATACTACATAGTAGAGGATACGACCTATGATATCATATTTACTCTTATTCAAGAAGAAACCAATTGAATTACTACTGAAACCCACAAAGTACATATAGGAAGCAGGTAGGAACTAGGTAACTAAATTCTATGATGCGTCATCTTGAAGCCCAACTAAGACTATCAAAGATGTTGCCTGCGCTTAGAACGTCAATAAGATGGCGTAGGACATGAAGCCAACCATAAAAAGCAAAAGGTGAGAGGAGCATGCATGCGGCGTAGGACTTCAAGTTAACTACGAAGTTCACAGTGAGAGGTTTTTCTTAATACTACGCCATTTGAGGCTCAACTTAGGCTCCAGCAGGCAGTGGCAGCGCTTATTGTGTTCCAATATGCATACATAGTTACCACGCTGACCGCCGTTTTCTACTTTTAAAACAAGAGCGACTGCCGATATCCCAAGAGCTTGCTCCCTTATTCACATCCCCGAGAGCCTACTTTCCTCACATCTTGAAAAACTGAGTCTATGGTGGTTCCCATCTACTCCGCCGACAGCACGATCGCTGAATTTTTGCTACTCATGCACCGGTAACCCAGCAACAATGTGACGAGTACACCGAGAGTCTTGTCGGTGGCACCGCAAAGCCTGTGGATGTCCAGGGGTCATTCAGCCACACCGTGACAGCAGGTGAGGATCAGTCTCTCATCATTCAATTCCGAGCTCCAAACTCAGACTTGGACAGGAACATCCTAGACCTAGCACAAAAGATCTACCAACAATTTGTACCTGCACATGCATACCATGGCTGGTTTCGCGAGCTGTTTCCCGTATATGAAATGACTCGAGTCCCCGGAAAGTCTTATGTGTATACCAAACCCCTGGCTCTCTCGTCGGAGACGGGGCCAGCCCACGCTACTAGTGTAGATGACTTGGCAAGGTCTGAAAATTCAGGAATATATCTCCACACACCGGTCTGATCTTGCTGATCCTCTGTTCTTAAATCTCAGATTCTCCGCATTGTCATGGAAAGGGAGAGAACATGCCGATAATTACAACGTCAACCCTGACACACCCAATGCTCTTTACCATGAGTACTGCACGAAACTTGAGACTTTGTCCAATAGCCTCCCAGGTCGTTTCCAAGAGAACCTGCGTGTAGTCCGTGACGGGCTGTCGTTGCTTTTCACAAGCTCGTATCCCTGGACGCTCAACCACGGCGATTTTTCAGGGATGAATGTTTTTGTGGACCCGTCAACGAGTCATATCACGGGGATCATCGACTGGCCCGAGGCGACGGTGGGTCTTTTTGGACTGTCGCTCTAAGGCGTAGAGAATTTCCTGGGTATCATGAATGCGACCGGGTGGCATTATTACTGCAATAGTGAGGCCCTTCGGGCCCGGTGTTGGCAGACCTTCGAAGGCGATGTACGTGAGCTTGTGCCAGATGAGATGATGCATGGGATCCGCATCGCCAGGATGCTTGGTTTGTTCCATCGCTGGGGGTTTGATTGGGGTCGTGGTGGCCAAGAGGTTATAAAGGAAGACGACACCTCTTTTTGGTACCTGGATGCATTCTGTGCGACAGTCGAGTAGATCCTGTCAAATTTCTATAGAAAAAAGAAATCTCAAATCAATGCTGCCCTCGGTGTTCCTCGGCATAGGCGACAAGGTGCTCTCTATCGAAGCGGCAACTAACGCTACCACCGCATGTTCGCGCTCGAGCATGCGATCGTCTCTGAATGCATGTATGAGGAATTTGTCACGTCGTGCCTGGAAGATCAATTGGGTTAATTGATCAATTGGATCTATCAATTAAGCACAGAGATACACATTCCGCCCCTCCCCAACTATTCCAGAAGAACTATAGAAATGCCAAACTCATGACAAATATCACGGAATACCCAACATGGGTAATTCGCCGCTAGATATGCAGGCACAATTTTCCGGGTTTTCCTTAGTGTGCTGCACGGGCAATAATGCGCCTCTCTGGAAATACTGCGGAAATACCGTGAGAGGTATTGGGGAGGTTAGGGTTATCAACCATGAGAGTCACCAATAATGGGTTTGTGGTGCCCACGCGAGTGGCAGTTTCAGTCAATAGCACCGATAAGGCGCAAAAAGAGGAGATTCTAGAGAATCATGAAAATCATTGATTGATTGCCCCCCCCCTTATCGCTTCGATCTAGCCATCAGGGGCGGGTCGTGCGGAATCCTTCCCACTGACATCCGGGACCCAACGGGGAGAATAGCGCTCCTTGGCCTACTGACGGCTTGCAAATCGTTGTAACTCAATTGTCGATTCAGCCCGCGCGTGGCCCTACTATTGTGTCGGGATATGCAATCTGCATTCCTTTGGGGCCGAGTCTCTGACGTCGGGGGCCGACCCTCTCTGGTTCGCAGTGGATATTCCCTGGTTCGACATCAATATGGCCCCCTCTTCTCCGCACGGACCATTTGACCGTTCATCCTGTGAAATCCTGTGGGGAGTTTATGGCCATACCTTATGGCTGCATGCGGCGCTTGTTTCTTCCCTTTTTCTCTCTTTTCCTGCTGTGGGCGATCTAGGAGGCCAGGAATATAATCCTGGAGTCTTAAAAGGTTGTTGGGTCCAATTTGTCATCCTGAAGGATCATCACTTCTTCACTTGTCTATCATTGTTCACATTGTTCATTGATCTATTTGAGAAACATATAGCAGTTCGGTCTCCTTGAAGAATCGGTTCCCTCCCCCCACACATGCCTGTTTGAATCTTCCCCAGATCCACTGCATCTTTCTGGATACACCATGGCAGACAAAAGTGTGGCCGTGAGGGCCGTCTCGGCCACCCTGATGTCGGTGGCCATTGTCACTGTGGCCTTGCGCTGTTATGTGCGGGTACGCCTCATCAAGTCCTTCGGTGCTGACGACTGGACCATGCTCGGTGCCCTGGCTTGCTACATCTTCCTGGCGGCCTGTATGATCGGGGGCAGTCTACATGGAATGGGCAAGCATGCCATAGATCTGGCACCAGCCGAGCAAGTGGTCGCAAGAAAGGTAAGTTGAACAAACTCCAGAACAATAGGAACCCTGGCAAGGACAGCTTCGCTGACTCTCTCACTAGTATTTCTGGTTCTGCGAATTCTCCTACTGCTTCGCTACCGTCGGGTGCAAAGTGTCGGTCTCGCTGTTCTTGATGCGTGTCACGATCCGTCGTCTTCATCGCTGGATTCTAATCTCTGTGATCTTCCTGACGGCCGCCACGGGCCTCGTCCTTTTCTTCGTCCTTGTCTTGCAGTGCTCGCCTCTGAACGCGGCGTGGAATAACCCGACTTCGCCGACATGCATCGATCCCAACATCATTATCGAGGTGCTCTACGTCTACAGTGCCCTCGTGGCACTGTGTGACTTTACCGTGGGAATCCTGCCTGCGTTCCTGGTCTACAACCTGAACATGACGTGGAAGAACAAGGTTGCCGTCACGGGCATTCTGAGTATGGGTTGTGTGTAAGTTTGGATCTTCTTTCTATATGTTGCTGCCAAAGATTATCGTTCAGGAAGCTAACAACTCAGTGCCTCTGTCGCCATTCTTGTCCGCTTCCCTTACGTCAAAACCTTGCGCGAGCCTGACTTTCTCTGTGAGTACCAGAAGCCAAGCAGCCAAGCAGCCATGTCCCACAAAATCCCGCTAATCCACCAACCCCAGACTCCATCGCCGACCTCTCAATCTGGTCCAGTGTCGAAGCAGGCCTAGGAATCGCAGCAGGTAGCCTGGCAACCCTACGCCCCCTATTCCGATGTATGCGCGAGTCGATCGTCGACAAGAACAGCCAGGGCCAACAATGGCCGTCCGACGCCCCAAGCAGCAACCCCCAAGACACCCGGAACCGGCACCGCTTTCCGATTCCAAAGAGGTCATCCCCCAAATCAACCGACTATGACCCCGAAGCCACGCTGGCGGCCAGCGATAACTGGTCCGGGAAGTGCATCTTGACCGAGAGCAATACGCCCAGTGAGCATGATTTCAAGGTCGGGCAGGAATCTGTCATTGAGCTCTCAAGGAAAGATTAGAACAGCCATTGGTAATCTGTCGTCGGTTTGTTCCGTCGATGAATTGAACCAGACAGACTGTCTGAGGAGGAAGAATAGTACTGGAGAGAATATGCCGAAACGCCACATTCATTTCGAGGATTTTGTATATACGCATTTGAACACTAACCGTTATAATTATTTCTTTTTGTACAAGGAGGCTTAACCTCATATCTCAAATCAAATACCCATGCATCAGTGAATCAATGTATCCATATTCTATGTGTAAATGTAATGCCCAACCCTAACCCCGATGCGATCCAACTCCACGCAAAGCTATGCCAAATATGAAATGAAACAAAAGAAGACAATCCCCAACACCAAGATATATCAGTCTAATCATGCCGCAGAAAATGCAATGCTAATCTCCGCAGCTCAAAAAAAAAATTAAAAGAAGTCCCTCTCGTCCAGCCACTCTGAATCCATCGCATAGGCCACCAAGTCAGCAGCACAGCACATGTCCTCATGCCCGTTCTCGATATCCAGAAGCCCAAGAACAGCTTGCAATCTATCTTCGAGTGTTTGTTTGAGAGCCAAAGATCTTACCTGCATGTCTTTGGTCTGCAGTTCTTTGATCATCGAGCCGGACTTATCACCGGTTTCTGGCTTCGATGCCTGGTGTTTCGCAGATTTCTTCGCCATGGCCAACCGGTTTGGCGAGCAGGGCGCAAGAGGTTTTCGCTGTGGCTGGACAGGGGACTGAAGGACCTCCGGCTTGCGGTTCTTGAGAAGATTCTTGAGCAGAAATAGCAGCCACACCAGATTGGTTTGGGGCGCATACTCGGCCCAGATGCCGGGGATATCGGGGACTTTCTCGGTGTCTGCCGGGTTGCCCGTGTAGAGACTTGCGCGCATGCTAGTCATGGGTCAGTCGTCTAACTCGGAAAGCATCTTTGGACATGAATGCACATACTGTCGATAGGTGTTTCGCAACAGAACCTCGTCCTCATCCTGACCGATGGCATCGAAAATCTGCTTCTTGTCCAAATCAGACGATGCATTCTCAATAATACAATCGGGTCCGTCTGCCAGTTGCAGGTCCGCGCGAGAGAGTGAGTAGTCGATGATGGTTGTCTCGAGAGTGCTGATTCCGAAGCCACTCGAGGATGGGTGGCGCGCGACCTCAAGGTCCGTCGGAGGATCCATGCAACCGTCGGCTCGAGTGGATCGAATACAAACGTTTCCCAAGTGAAGATCTCGATGCTAGCAAAGTGTCAGAATGCGATAAAAACCAACTGGGCACATCACCGTAGAGACATACCTCGAACAGAGCGTACTCTTCCGCCCGTGCCAGCGCCATGGCGACGCCCCAGAAAATATCGTAGATCTGGAAAACAGACGACCAATAGAACTTCTCCAGCTCACAACCCGCGTCATCCATCTCCACAATCGCCCAGAGCTGCGAATCCGGGTACGCCTTTTTGCTGGATGGGTTGGGGTTCACGCAGTCATCCTTGGTCTTCTTATAATAGTCCCAAGCACCCTGAAACGAGTCCGGAAAACGTCCTTGAACCACATGGATCTCCCGGAACCGCGCAAATCCAGGGATGGGGTCCAAGTATTTGAGCATCTTGACTTCCGAGACAATTTCCTCGATGCTGGTGAACTTTTTGGATCCGGCCCCTCTTTGAGCTCGCAACGGCACCACTTTGAAGACGCCGTCCCCGTATTTTCTCAGCTTAGCCATCTTGGATTTGGAAACTACTCCTCGACAGGCCTCTTCGCGCAAATGGAGTTTGTAGACCTCGCCGTACGAACCCTCGGCCAATTTCGCCACGTTGAACATATTCGCGGACCGCGACGCCCACGTCCCGAACCTCTGAATGTTTTGTGCCGCGATAGGGGAAAAGGCCTCGTTGAGAATGGGTCGCACATAAGCATTGGCCTTGGTGTCGTGGACAAAGCCAGAGGATCTTCTGGGGACGGGGGTTTTCTGCCGCGCCACTCTTCTCTTTTCCGTCGAGGGGACTTCCTCTTTTTCTTGAAGCCCCGGAGTTGCCGCTTTTGTTTTGCCAGAGTATATCCTCACTTCGACCATGGTTGCATATTGCTTTGGTTCCTCTGGCGTGGGTTTCGGGGTGGGTTTCGGAGTGGGCTGCTGAGTCGGGGTATCCGGCGATTTCTGGGAAATGGCCGAGTTTTGCTGCTTATTAAATGATCGTGAATCCTCGACTTGCGGTTTTGGGGATGCAGGGAGCTCGGGTTCTTGTTGCTGAGGCGTCGGCTCGTCATGGATCGTCACTTCGGCCAACTTGGTCTGCAGGCTGCCCACGGGGTCGACATCCTGGGACTTCTTGGACTCTCCAGTCTCCTTTACCGGACTTCTTTGGTCAAATACCGCTCGGGGTGCATCGGCCCTTCGTTTGCCATAGACTCGCCGGTGCGTCATCGTCTTGAGTTTTCGGTCCATTGGTGTCGCGTGACCGGCGCATGGAGAGGCTGACGGGGTTGACATCGTTCACTGAGTGAAGAGCAAACCCAAGACAATGGTATACTGGTATACTAACACAGCAGCAAGGGCTAGAGTGGAAGTGAAGATAGGCTTCCAAGTAGATGATGTCTGGGTGAAACGAAAAAGCAAAGGTATTGACATTTATCCCGATCGGGTTAGCCCGAGTTGCCGCGGGGACAGTTAGCCAATCAGCAGTGCTATATATACTTGGCTTCAAATTCCAACATCAAATATTCTGCTGGATATAATAAAGATATTTTCATATTAAAGGCGTAGAGAGAAATGTCTTTGTGAGTGTTGTAGGTCCAGTCATTCCCTTGTGTCCCTCCATCAGCTTCATTTTATTGTTCAAGGCAGCCCGCTGCATAAGTACTGAATCACTCGGTCTTGAGCTAGTCGGGATGGATCTGAATCCCAAGGCGCAACCAGACTAATAATATCGCCGCATTTAACAACTTCCAAGGTCATGCGAACCTAAAATTGTCAAGTTTGGGAATAAGGGGCACTGGGCAACACGTCCGTAGGCGATCGACATCAAAGTAGTACAGGCCTAGCGTTGCAGATAGATAAGTGTCTATTCCGTCATTCTTGCAGATATTTCCTACTATCTGTCCACCGACAAATGGTCCGTAGCATATTTATCCAATGGCCATCATGAGTGGGCATAATAATACTATCCGCCTTTCACATATAGAAATCGAACCGTTTAGTTGAGAAACAACACGGGCGCAATTCGAGATCTGCAATGGCCTGGTCGTTTCTGGCCCGCGTAGTATTAGCGCGTGGGCCTTCATTAACAAGACTCCCCCGAAGCCCCTTTCTCCGGAATTGACAGCGCAAGACATGCATAATCGTGGGGACTGGTGGATGGCCCAGAAGTGTGGGAATGCCTTCGGGGCTGGTCGGAAGGGGTGGAGCCAGCCCGAGTGCCGGCTGTGACGTCGCTTCCAGTTTTTTCGAAGAAACGAGCTGGTGAGAGGTACAATTTGGGTATTTTTTATAGAGAAATAATTAATCGAACACGTTTTCAAACCAAAGAAAAAAGAGAGAAAACAAAGTAATTTAAAAGTTCTGAGAAGAGTGGCGCGCATCTGATCGGAGCACGCGAGGGCCTCGGGTCGCTCTTTTTTTTTCTCGTTCATTTTCCTCCTGACTTCGCCTCTTCCCTGCCGCGTTTTTGGTCTTTCCCACTCCTTCTTTTTCTCCCTGGACGTCCATCTCTTTTCTCAATGCGCGGGCATGGCGTTCAATTTCAACTGGTCGCCACTGATGGCGGACGCGAGTTTTTACACTCGCGCCCAGGATCTGCTCACTGCCGCGCTGAATAAATCGCCTAAACCCCCCATCATCGTCGACGATATTATCGTCACCGAACTGAATCTCGGCTCGATCCCGCCTGAGCTAGAAATCTTGGAGATTGGCGACCTGGCCGAGGACCGCTTTCGTGGCATCTTCAAGATGTCTTATTCTGGCGACGCCTTCTTGACGCTCAAGACCCGAGTGCAGGCAAACCCGCTCAACACTTACCTTCTCACCAGACCCGCCTTTGCTTCGCCTTTACCTCTTGCTGCAGCGTAAGTCATGAGAGTCGCGCATAAAAAGAAGAAAAGAAAAAAAAAACCATTTTGCGACGGTCGGCTAACTCACTCTCGTCGCGTTTTTTAGTACCCCACTCACCATTCCGCTTCAAATCACCCTCTCCGATTTCAAGCTCTCTGGCTTCGTCATCTTGGTCTTTTCGAAACAAAAGGGCATTACAGTCGTATTTCGCAACGATCCGCTCGAGTCGCTCAAGGTGTCCTCGACGTTCGATTCCATCCCGTTCGTGCGCGACTTCCTACAAAAAGAAATCGAAGCCCAGCTTCGGATTTTGTTCATGGATGAGCTGCCCGCCATTATCCATCGCCTGTCTCTGCGCCTGTGGGTTCCCGAGTATCGCACGGGTGAGGAGATGAACGACCAGACGGACAATACCGCAACCACCACCAGCGAAGGCCCTGGCCAGGATCCTTTGGCGAGCCCCCCGCAGGACCCCGTTGATTCACTCGGAAATGCCTTGAACGAGTCACAGATTGCATCGCTTTCGCTGGATTCATCGGTCGAGACCCATTCTCTCTTCTCGCAGAAGAATTTGCTCCGCTTAGCCGCCCTGACGGACTCGCAACGGACGCTCTCTCTGTTCACGCCTTCCATCCAGGAAGTGGTGTACCGGGCCTGGACCTCTCCCACCGACCCCAGCGAGTTCCAGGGAAGTGTCATTTCGCCACTGAGCCCGACCCTCTCCCGGACGCATTCGCAGATCGGCAGCATGTCGTCCTCGTTCCATGAGACCGCCAGCACCGTTTCGATGCAAAGTCGACCCTCTCTGCCGGGGCATTCATTTAGTGGGTACGGATTGAGCTTGGGCTCTGGACGTCACTCCAAAGCTCACTCGCGGAGACGCAAGAAGCGTGTGGTGGATTTGCGTGGGGATCGATCCAAGACGACCGACGACGCGGTGAGCACGAGCGATGATAGTGCTCTTGTTTCTACGAGTTCTCCTTCGATTTGCTCTGCACCCCTCCCCGCGGTCAACGAACAAGACGATCCAGTGACACCACCGTTATCTCCTGAAACCGACTCTTTGCCTGCAATCCCAGAGTGGCACCGGATGAGTATCTCGCGTCCGGTGCGACTCAGCAACCTCACGCAGGAGAAGGGAGATCCGTCCTATTCCGTGGAAACCATCCGCCCCTCTAAGGGTGAGGATCTCGAAGCTACCCCTCGTGCCACTCTGCGCAACCACCATGATAGGGCAGAGGCCGGTTCATCGTCCAGCGCAGCACGCCCGCCTTTGCCTGCTACGGTTCTTCCGTTTGCCAAGGAAGACGCCGCCGAAGACCCCGTCGATCCTGTCCTCGTGGAAAAACTGGCGGGCGAAATTGCCCGTCGCATGCGCAACGATAAGCTGATGGGCACCAATGCGTGCAGCAACTTCTGGAGCCACCATCCAGATGAAAGTCCCCCGGCCTACGGCCACTAATTCTTCTTTCTTTTGTTGCTTTTAACCGTCCTCGGGCAACTCTCGAGGATTGATGACCGGCACGATTTTTTTTTCCTTATTAATTGTTTGTGAAAGGTCCTGTACGTCCTTCTGCTTGTTTATTTCTTTCTTTTCGTCTGTTCATTACTTGGAAGAGGGTCTGTATAGAAATTGGAGGTTTTGGAAGCTTTGGCGTTCAGCATGTGGGTTTGGTTTTGCGAGATACCACACTCACTCGTGAGTCTTGTTTTTTTTTTTTGGTCTTTTGGGGATTCTTCGATATGGGTATAAGATGACTTTGGAATTTTGTTTGATATGGATCCCCAACTACAATTCGATCCTTGGCTCTTTTTGGCATGACATACCAGACCAGGGTATATCCCAAGGCCGTCTTTTATGACCCCTGTAACAGAAATATTATGACTGCACGTCATACATGTACAAAGCAGTCCTGAAGGCTTCGAATCAACATTCGATCACAGGAAATCATATCCAACGCTCATTTCAGGCCGGTCTAGTGACGGGTTCCATAGTTGGTCAAGTGCCGTGATATAGGTCAGCCCTGCGAAGCTGCCACCAGCCATGACAATCTGCTTTTTTTTTTCGCAGGAAACTGGACAGGTTATGGTGTTGTTTCCGAGAGATCGAGTGATGAATCGATTGATGGCGAGACAGAACTACTAAACTACCAACAGAAAGGCAGCCCTATAACTAGTTGTCTGAGTACACATCCGGGCTACCTTAGACTGCCCGGAATTACTATTGCAGCTTCTCGGAGTTATTATTACTTGCCACCCTCATAATCTATGCTGTAAACACTGGTGTTATCGCAGTGGGCATCTTGAAGGATTGATTCCCTCGCCCTTCACTCGGCCCCGGCCCCAGCCCCCTACGTCTTTTTGAGGGACAACAAGAAATTCCGTTCATTCTCTGAGACCCATTGTCATGGCACTTAACACCGAAGCAGACGCAAGGGCCCCGGCCGTGTCCCGCCGCCAGCGGCCGGGTCCCGCGTGTGATGAGTGCCGACGCCGCAAGCTGCGCTGCGATGGGCAACAACCCCAATGCAGGGTCTGTCAAGAAAGAGGCGTGGTATGTGAGGTGACGCAGCGTGGTGTTCGAGGACCAAAGAAGGGGCACTTGAAGGCCCTGAAGAATCGGGTCGTGCATCTGGAAGCTCTGTTAGAGAATCGTTTTCCGGCTCAGCAGCAACAGCCGCAACAAGATATTCAGGACAACACTCAAAGCAGTAATGAGTTGATGCCCTCGGCATCGTCTATCGATGTGGCAGATACTGCTGTGGTTGATACCTCGGAGCCTTGGTTGCCAAATGCTACAACATCCTTCCCAGGTGCCATTTCGCCTGACTTTTCTTCTTGGTTTTCGGCGACCTTGCCTGTCTCCAGCATCAATATTCCTCCTGATGCTTTCTTCCAAGATGAACTGTGAGCAGAATCTTCCTTTATCTTCTCTCTTGCTTCTCTTGTCAGAGTCAATTGTACATGGCGGCTAATACCTTTCTGCTTAGATACCAGCTCTACTTAGACCGAGTACACCAGTCAATACCTATCCTTCACCAACGGCGATACCTATTATGGTCCAAGTCCAGCACCAAGACAGCCCAGCAAAGATGCTTGCAGTATGCCATGTGGACAGTGGCATCATTACTTTCAGCCCAATTCCGCGACATAACAGAACCTCTATACCAGCAGACAAGGCAGATGCTAGAGTATCTTAGTGTCGATGGCAATGAGCACAACAACATTAGCACACAGCTAGCCCAGGCATGGGTGCTTGTCGTGACATTTGAGTCAATGCGGGCCTACCACCGACAGGCGTGGATGAGCGCTGGCCGGGCTTTTCGTTTGGTTCAGGCCATGCGCTATCATGAAATCGACAGTCCCATTGACAAGCGTGGTTTCTCATCTCCTCAATGCGGTGACTTGATTGAGGTCGAAGAGAAGCGGCGAGTGTTCTGGATGGCCTATTTCCTCGATCATGTCATTAGCATGCGCGATGACTGGCCCATCACACCGAATGAGCATGCGGTAAGGATACCAAGCAGGTGAGAGTAGTGGGGAGGGTTTATGAATTAGCTGATGCCGCCTCACAGATCTACACCAGACTACCAGCTCCAGACGCGGAGTTTCAGAGCGGACAGTATGAGCTAGGACTTTTCCTATCCGAAGCCATGGCCGAGCCTACTCTCAACGTCCGGTCTTCATTCAATGAGTGCCTCATCCTGGCTACTATTTGTGGGCGCAGCCTGCTCCAAAGCCAAAGGTATCACATCGCCGAGGCGTACGGCGACATGACCCTCGACTGGGCAGAGCAGCGCCCATGGCTAGATACTCTCCTGACAACCCGGCTTCAGGTGATGATGCAATGCTATCCATCCCCAGCCAAAGCATATGACCCGTTGCTGCTGTTTGTCCACATCCTGAGCCAGGCCAGTATGATCTACTTCTACAAGACCATGGCCGAGTCGGCGGCAAGACGCAGCATCAACACTGTACAGGGAAACAGTGGAGTGTCTTGCTATAAAAGTCGAGCTCTGGAAGCGTCTGCAACTATAATCCGCCTCGCCATGACGCTGTGCGAGCTGCCTTTTTCCAAGGTAAGCAGTAGACTTTGATTCAGCCATAGTTTGCTAACACTCTTGGTTTTGGGGGTCTAGATCCATCCGTTAATGCCCATTCCATTATTTCTCTGCGCTGAGTTCCTTTACGCCAACGTACATAGCGGTGAGATATTCCAATTGCGTCTCCAGGAGCTATTGCATATCTTTCGCGAACTGAAAAACGTCAATAATCACCAGCAGAGCTACTTGGATCTGTTGCCGCAGTTATGCATACCCAAAAGCAATGAGTTATTTGGCCATGGTGTCGCGGGGAGTGATCTTAACTAGTAGATAATATACTGAACCTCGCTAGTCGGATCAGAAATCCAGCACAATAGATCACACTAGGAAAAAAGAAGCGGCTATTGATGTTTGATACTTTAGCCTGAGCTCCACTGTCTGTCGCGCGGAACCACAGATCCACAGATCCACCGCTCCATAAGCACCGCTATCTACATTCCTTCCTTTTACCATCAATCCTTCCGTTTTTATCACTTGACATTTTCCAAGTCACCAACGGATAGCCTGGAGATGTAGGCTGGACTTCACTTGTTCATGAGTAAGCGGGTTTGTTTTCGGATCGGAACTTTGTTAATCCTTTGCTTAAGCGTAAACAAACGCCCACGCTGGTTTGTACTCTTCTCGAGGTCTCCCAGTGATTTCTGTTTTATCACGCTGAATACCGCCATCATGGATACACAACCTCCTATGATATTTCCTGCAGAGGATTTCGTTATGCAGCAGAACCGAGACCTTGTGCAAGAATTTCAGAGAGCACTTGAGACAAATCCGGCGGCTGATTTGATGGCTCTCATTCCTAGTTCCTACCTTCAACGGCATAGGAACGCACACATAGAAATGCTGGAAACGGAAACAGCCAAGCTCAACCAAAGAACCTTGAATAGGCTGCAAGACATGCTTCGAGTAGAGCCTGAAGTGGACCTCCGCGCAGCCTTTCCTTCCAACTATGCTCGTCGTTTAGGATTTGCAGCGCAGTCCAGCAAACCAAAAGACCTCAAACCAACAGAACCAAGAGGCCCTCCAGATTTCCGAAAACGCCTCGATCTTGTGGAGACAGCTTCAATTATTTTTCCACTGTCTGATGATGCAACTACCGTGCTAGCGTCATTCTCGGATTTTCCTAGTGACCCTATTTGCACAGAGCAGTCGCTACTATCGGCATTGCGAAAAATGACCTGGGAATCCGAAAAGATATGGGAAAGCCCTATCCGAGGCGTCGTCATGAAACTTAACGACGACCTCGTTGTCAAAGTCATCACAAACAAGGGTGATTATACCGAGTATACGGCGATGCAGTACCTTGCAGAACAGGCACCTGAAATCCCTGCTCCGAGGCCCCATGGCTTGATCAGATTCGGGTCATATTGCGCCATTTTCATGTCTTACATCCCGTCCATGACCCTGACTGAAGCATGGCCGAATCTCCCCCACGAAGAGAGGGTTTCTGTGCAGCATCAGCTGGATTGCATATTCAGTAGGCTCAGAACCCTTCGCAAAGATGACGGCCACTGCCTAGGAGGAGTCGGCGGCGAGGGAGTCAAGGAACCCACGACCAATACAATAATCAGTACACCTGCTGGATTTGAGGATCTCAAATTCTCTGCTCGCCATCATGGTAGCAATACCTACATTAAATTGCTCCGCACTTTGCCTACAGAATTCACGCAGGGGTCGGTATTCACTCATGGTGATGTTCGCCAGGATAATATCATGGTGAAGCTGGATCAGGATGGTGTTTGCACGGTTACCGGGATCATTGACTGGGAGGATAGTGGGTTCTATCCGGAGTATCACGAGTGTACTCAGTTAACGAGGACACTGAGCGTGGTAGATGAAGATGACTGGTATCTGTACTTGCCGGCAAGTATTTCCCCGTTGAAGTTTCCTCTGCATTGGCTTGTTGATCGATTGTGGAATATCCACCTCAAAACCACCTGAATGCCACAGCCACGACATGAATTATGTTGGATTATGGCAACCTGGAACCTGTGAAGAGAACGGACAGGATTTCCTAGGATATTATGAGGTGAATCCTACATAACTTGAAGTTATGCGTCGTCCAATCAAGTCCAAACTTGCTATGATTAAGTACAGCCAATGACGGTATTTATATTTTATGTAAAGAAGCAGCTTACAGTTAACTCGCGCCATAAAGCGAACGCTATAATCGTTAGGGTGCGACCTAAAGACCATAACAGCTATTTATGAAAGGTGCAAGAGCCATTCTTGACTATCTCTCTCTGTCTCTCTCTCTTTCCTTTCCTTTCCTTTTCTTTTTCTTCTTCTTTTTCTTTTCGTGACTCGAGCAAAGCGAAGATTAGCTGCTTGTAATATAATAAGAGAATACTAGGGGTTCTTGTATACAAATACAATAACTATAATAACATCTATTAAAGCTCTAGGTGACTAGGAATAAAATAATTGTTAGATATAGGATTCTCTTAGCGTTATAAATTACCTACAGCCCTAGAAGCCAACAGGATAGATATCCTAAACAGCCTGACTAAGTTTTCTAAACTAACTCTTAATGATAATAAGAACATAGGAACAACAGGAATAACAGGAACAAAGGAAGAAGAACCAGACTAGAACACCTCCTAGGCCAGTCCTTCCAACTGTGCTTCAAGATAGGCTTTCTGCTCGAAATAGTGCACATCACCCCCCACAAGTCCTTTTTCTTCCAAAGCTTCGAGAAGTTCAAGCACATAGTCCTGGCAGTTCCAGCCCCGAGACTCATTTCTCACAATGACTTGGCCCGCAACAGCCTTGATTTCGCTGATCTTGGCGACATCAACGTTACAGAGGTGGACTAGTTCCACAAGGCTTTTTGAGCGTCGCGCATCCCTTGTCTCCGGCTCGTAGCGAAATCGACCATCAGAGCCCTTGACATGAAGCAAGGCCTTGTCATTGATACCATCGATGAAAACAGCCCAGTGTTTATAGACTCCATCGTCGTCGTGGATAGAGACAAAAACTCCAACACCTGGCATGGCGAAACCAGAAAAGTGGAAAATATATAGGCTGGGGATGAGGCAGCTAAGTGTTAGAATGTTTCAATATATATGGATCGGGGTAAGGTACCTCAACAGGCGCAGAATAGTTCACCAAGTTGGAAGCTGGTATGCTGGATGAACGTTGAGTAGAATAGAGCAAGCATCCCAGAGTTGGGACGGCTAGCGCTGATATATATACCTTTCATAGAGCTTAGTTTCTCTATCCAACGGCAGATCTTTTTATTAGTTTAGCACCGATGACCAGCGCTTTGAATCTTAGTGATATCAGTATATACCCAACCATGTGCATTGCCTACGTAGCAGTTAGCGCGCGCTAGACTGCGACAGACGTGGCGCTATCTAATGGCCAATGAATAAAATTAAAATAATCTAGGCCTAGGCGATACTAGGTGTGATTGATTGATTTTCTAGTTTCAACTTTTGATGGTGTGGACTAGCGACATATCCCTGTAAAATGTGATCAAATGTGTATGATCATCGTCTCTAGTCAGTTACGCCACCTTATTTACGCCTATAGTAATCTACAATGGGCTAGATACAATTGATACAGTATCTATTTATAATAATTGAGGGGAAACAATATAATTAACGTAGTTGGAATTCTAAAGGTACCATATCATCTAGTATGGTCTATAGGTTCGTACTCGCTTGAGGTCTCCTCTTTACTAGTGTCTTCTATGGCATTTGGCCCTATCATACTTATACTAGGTATTGTGAAGATTGAATCGAGCCAAGGATAGAAGAATTACTCTTGAATGTGTGTTATATAGCCGCTCACTTACATCACTAGCGCCTTCAATGTACTCCTGCGTGTTTCCTATAACCTACCCGACACCGAGCAACGCCATAACGATTGGTTATAGTACTAGGCAAGGTAAGAACTATTCTTGGTTTATAAGCGCTGGATTGGTTAAGGCAGAATGGTGCTGATTCTTGTCGATCAGGATTTCGGATGCCCCTGGGAATTCCTGTAGCCTTCATACTTTCCAAGCCACAATTACTTCCATATTTTTTTTGCCACGTCGATATTATTAGTTCTCTGTTTCTACCTAGAGTTTTTTTTTGCGGGAACCAAGCAAAAAACCCGATCAGCAATAACCATCAGTATAAAGTGTTATTGAGGGGGGGCGAAGAGGGCTCTTCACCTTTAACACAATTTTTGGGGCTCGTCCTTACTTATGTGTACATCGATGAAAGCCGCAAAGTCGCTGCCTTTCTTCCAAGATTGGTGTGTACCGTGCTTATATCACCTTTGGTAGGCTGGGAATCTCTGATGGGTGCTTTACCCTATCATTTTCGCTCTGCTTGATAGCGGCAACCACACTGGCGTTACCATTGTCCTAATTCTGATCTGGGTTTTGTGGGTTGTCCTTCACCCGTAAATAGGATTATCTTAAGCTGAAAAAAAATTTTAGTGGCATCCATTCTACTTGAGAGAGCGAAGCTGTGGTGAAGGAAGCTAGCTCCCTTGGCTACCGCTAGTATTACCTTGGCTGAGATAGTGTTCAGAGGGACATGCTGTCAAATGTTCGGGCTTTTAAACCCAGGGGGGGAGATATCTGCGAAGACCTACCACATGCGTGCTGTCTTGGGAAAAGTAGTCCCGAAGAGTGGTCTTTGCTCCATTCATCCAGTGGATTCCCATGATCGTTCTGTTGAAAATGTCGATTTCATTGCCCTGGTATGGTGTCAGTCTCATATGGTCTTGAAAAAAGAAAACTATGCGTCATACATCTTCCTTGTCCGGATCGCCGCGATCTATTGATGTTATGGAATCTGGCGCGGTAACATAGGCGCTTAGTAGGATAAAATGAGATCTGTGGGCACAGTAAACCCCACATATCCTCAAAAAGAGATCAGGGATATGCAGCTGGGTATATAGACTTGGTCGATCTCGGCACTATCCATTAGATCTGCAAGGCGGGGCTTCGAAAATGTGTATCCAAATCACTAGTTCAGTGGGTTGGTTCAGCTTCAGCTGAGCTTTATCAAAGTTCTATTTGTACTATTGGCCCGGAAACTACTTCAGACGATATTTACCTAAATCCCACATGTGCCAATTGCGAGTATTGAGGGTCCATTGGTCGAGAAAGTCGAGAGACTATACTTGGTAGATGAATAGCTACACCAGCCACTCATTCTCGAGCTTATATTGGTCAGGAAGATGCATGTCACCCTCATAAATCCCTTGAAAAGGAACGATGTGATAGGCTACTAGCTAATTTTCTTTTTTCTTTAGCTCAGTGATGAGGATGTGGCGGGGATGATCAATAGTCTGGCTTTTTTTTGTATACCCACTTCGTCCATCTATAGGTTAACTCGCTGTGACTTAGAGATTTTCGGAGGGATATGCTGTTGGATGCTTCCAATGTTCAACTAATTTAGTTCTTTCCTGTGTATTTCCTCTTTTTCTATAAGATTACCCCTTGTTGAGATATTATCATAGAGGACCTTGAACAAATTCATCTTTCATTTATCTCTCAACCCATCAAATAATCTCTTTATCATCTCTTTCTTTGGCAACCTTACACATATCCTTATAACTAGAAAACCTGATGATTGATCTACTTACTAACCATCCCTGGGGCTAGGTTATTCATGGTGGTTTGTGATAGCGAGGGTAATGCTAATTGCAATACTTTCCAGGAATCTTTGCTACTTAGCCAGCAAAACATGCCAAGCAGCTTAAGCCTGTTGTCGGGAACACCAAACAAGGAAGTCTGAGAGAAGGCTGGCTTTCACTGACAAGGCCACAGCCAGAGCTCAAAGAAGCCAAACAAAGGGCAAATCATTTCAAGACGCAATAAAGGAATTGTGGGAGCGACTATGCTCAGTGATTCTTGTCATGTTTCACTGATGAATATATTAAAGGCCTTGACTCCCTGCTTAGAGCCAGCATCTCATCAGCCCAGGGCATTTGACAAAAGCATGGAGATGCTGCCCTTATCCAATCTCTATTCAAGATGAGCAAACACTACGTCAATATCTTCTTCGACCCCGGCCATCGGCAATTCGATAATGTTATGCTCATGCGAGCAGCCATCCTTTCGATCGATACTGGTTTGGCCACTATTGGCATTTATTCCATGGGTGATATACTATCTCTGTGCTTCTCTATCCGAATTCCCGGTGAGTTCATCAACACCAATGCCAGCTTCAACATGGCTAGGAGCATTGTGGGAAACCTGGAGATTCAGGCCAGACATAGAGGGATGGCCAGTATTGACCGCGCTCAGTTTTTCCGCTAATTTCTCAAGCCAGATCAATCTGAGGGGACTTCAAATGGCGTGGGCTATGAGAGAGGGAGATCGGCGCTGTTAACTTGAGTTTCGGTAGTGACAGGTGCACTGCAGGTCTGGCATGTTGTGGCTTGCCTGCGCAATGTCATGTGAGTTTGTATTTTCTTTCCTTTTTGTGTATTTCTTTTCTGTTTTGTCTCTTGTTAGTAGAAGAAAGGCTGGATTAAATGTTCAATTGAAGGTCGCAATTATGTAGAAGAGTAGAAGACCAGAAGAGTGTAGAGGCGAGGCCCACCGTAGACCGGAACTGGAGATGGGGCGCCAACAACCAGCTTAGCTCCCGCCCACCTCCTTTCCTTTCGCTTCCATCCACCTCTCTCCCCCTAAAACCATGGCAGGTGTGCTCAAGAACGTCTTTGGCTCCTCTGGGGGTGCCAGATCTGATGATGGTAAGTTGGGCCATTGCCTGACTCCTTGAGCTCCATCTGATGCAGCTCGATCGCAGATTTCGCCGACTTCGTCGAGGCCCCGAACCCTTCGCCTGCATCCATCATCCCCGACACGACCTCCGTCCCGGCTTCCAATACCCAGCGTGCCGGCACTGTCCCCTACACCAAATGGTACCGGATCTGGGAACGGGCGTCCCCCAAGGACTTCAAGCAGGAGGCAATGATCATGCCGTTCATCCTGCTCATCCTGCTCTTCCATGTCTGGGGTACTCGCAAGAACCGGAGGAAGGCCCGGGACTGGGCGCGGGCCCATGCCCCGACACTTCAGAAGGAGTTTGCCGTCGTGGGTTTCGACGGAATCCCGCGCCCGGCTGCCGGCGAGGATGAATCGGTCGCGGCGGAATTGGTCAACCCGGACTCATTGTTCAAGGAGAAATCGGCGCACGAGTTCACTTCGTATGCCACCGGTCGCCAGAACGTGGCTTTCCTTGATGTGGCGCTTAAAATGCCCAAGCGGTACAACCCGGTCATCTACCTCATGGAGTACGTGTTCAGCTTCTTCTTTGAGAGTTGGGAGCCTCCCAGCGAGAAGTACGAGGCTCTTGTGTACGCTTTCGATGGTAAGGAGAAGGATCTGGTACCGGTCGTGGCCAAGGATGCGACGCCTGTGAAGGCGCCCAACTCGACTTACGACGGATTCATCTGGGCTATTGTTCACAAGAGCCACATGCGCAAGTTCCGCAATGACCGCTACGATGCGTCGATCACCTTCTCCAAGGACAACCCCAAGCTCCCCAATTGGGCCACTGTGATGACAGAGAGTGCCGAAATCACCGATGCACTTCTCACCCCGGAGTTGATTCAGGCCATTGAGCAGGCGGGCAATGACTTTGAGTACCTGATTGCGACGGACCAACCCCTCGACAAGCCCACCAAGTAAGCTATGCAGGAACTTCTTGTATTGGCAACAGCGCTAATGAGTTCATCACTAGGATCGATGACACCGTTCCGAAGAAGCGCATCCAGCTCTCCGTCAACCTCTCCACTGGCTACGCCTCGACTCTGCCGCTTTTCTCGCAGTTCCTGCGCTTTGCGGACAAACTGGTTGCTTCTGCCCACTTCCGTGGCGAGGTTATGCGCAAGGTCCGTACTGTTCGCGAGGGAGAGATCAAGAAGATCCGCCGGGCCGAGGAGGAGGAGAAGGCTGAGGAGCGCAAGATCGCCGCTGAGAAGGTCAAGAAGGAAGAGCGGGAGCGTCTGCTCCGTGGCATGAACGCTGAGGAGCAGCGCAAATTCCTCGATCGCGAAAGCCAAAAGGGCCACAGGCGCTCGATGAAGAAGTACACCACGAAAGGGTGAAGGGGCGAATTGGTCGGGAGGATTCTTCTTCTTGCTTCTCGTCTTTTAGTCTCTGTTTGACATTTGACAAACAGACTGCCAGTCGAGGGAATGTCTTATTCTGCCTTTTTCTGATACCTTTTTCCGAGATGTATCCATACTTCATTTGGCAGGACCTGGGGGCTGGAAATGCCGTTTCTTGTGGCAACCTCCAGTGTTCCTTCTATAAAACTTACTCTGACAATTGATGTGTTTCGACTCTGTTCTTTCTTGCAGCTCGAGGCAGTGACGATGCTTGCCCTCGTCGGTTTCTAGTCTTTTCTGTTTGTCATTCTGGGATGTTCGTGCATCCATCCTATATCAACCAGGGGACTCCCCATTCCACTCATTTGTCCATCTTTAGCCACTGCCTTCGTTTGATTCACCATGCAGCTGCGGGTCATTCTACCGCTCCTTCTCTCCGCGGCGAGTTTGTCTTTGGGCGCCTCAGTCCCCAAGACCTGGCCAGCATTCAACCAGACCAGCACGAACACCCAGGTCTCCGCCGTGCCCATCGGGGCCATCATTGATCACTGCGCCATCCCGGGGACCATTGCACTTACCTTCGATGACGGGCCATACATCTATACAGCACAGATGCTCGACACTCTCGCCCAGCGCGGCGCCCGCGCAACGTTCTTCCTGAATGGCCGCAACAAGGGAAGCATCGACGCCTTTCCAGACTTGGTGCAGCGAGCCCTGGCCGAGGGCCACCAACTCGGATCTCACACGTGCGTGTGTTCATTGCCCAATCTCCCCGTGGCTTTCATTCATATCAGAACGAGGCTGTACCTCTATCCAGATATTAACTGAAACATAGATGGAACCACCCGTACCTGCACACGCTGGACTACCCAGAAATCGTCGCACAAATGACCGAACTCGAAGCCGCCTTCCTGCGCATCGTCGGCGTCTTCCCTACCTACATGCGCACCCCGTTCCTGATGTTCAACGGCCTCGTGCTGACCGCCATGACCGATCTGGGGTACCATGTCATCGGGGCCAGTATCGACACCAAGGACTACGAGAACGACGACCCTGGTCGGAACTGGCTTAGTTTTGAGAAATTCCGGACTGAGCTCGACGCTGGGGGCACGATTGTTCTGGCCCACGATGTTCATGCGAACACGGTCGGGATCTTGGTGGACAATATGTTGGATGAGATCGAGGCGCGCGGGCTGCAAAGTAGGTGGATTTGTTTAATGTTGCTCTTCCCCCTTTCTTTCTATATGCTGACGTATTGTTTCTTATCTTGTAGCTGTTACCGTCGGCGAGTGTCTGGGGGATCCGGCCGAGCTGTGGTATCGCACGAAGCGGTAGACCTGGCGTTGTTTCTGTGGTTTTCTGTTGGTCTCTGCCTTGATTGTATATAGCTTATTCTCATCCGTGATACGAGTGAACCACGCAGGATGCACGCTGCATTTTTGATATCGTCCTGATTTAATAGCCAGCACTGTAGATCTATCTCAAGAAGATATATAGGTGACACGAGAGAGTGTTCCCATAACCCAGCAGTGTTTTATCAGAGATAAGCATCATAGGATACCGATCGGCGTGATCTTCCAACGATAGAGCTAATCTCCGCAGAACAACGTCACCACCGCGGACCCAGTCAAAGACCCATTCCTCAGATAATTTCAACCTCAGTTTAGCTTTCCCCCCCCTTCAAGATCCCAATTTCCATGGCATCCCTGGGCACAAGACTCGGCCATGTCCTCGCAGCGCCGTTTCATGCACTTCGGGGCTGCTTTGCGGAATGGGCTGTCTTGATGCCGGCCAAGAGCCACCTGGACGACGAATACAATTTTCCGGCGGGAAGGTGGGCCGGGCAGGGAGTAGATGAAGAGCTCTCAAGTGATAGATAAAAACAAAGTTCGGTTGCAAGATGCATTTGTCCCTGAGTGGTACAAGCTCACGCCCAAGCATGTGTTGATGTCACTAAGAATCGATTGCAGACCTACGTCTATAGCTATAAGGCAACGCCCATACGTCTATAGAATACATGGACAGACATGAGAACAGAAAATCTTCCCTGTGCCTATACCAGATAACAACCATTCGATTTGTCCATGCGAGTTCATCTACTGCTTGCCAAAGATCTTGACTCGCTCCTCAGCCGGCGTCCGCGTCTTCTCGCCGGCCGGCGCCTCGGGACTCCCAAAGACGAGCTGTGCGACGAGCCTCCACTCGCTGGGCAGACCCCATTGCTTGGCGACGGGGGCGTCGATGAGCGGGTTGTAGTGCTGCAGGTTGGCGCCGAAGCCGACGCCTTCGAGGGCGGTCCACACTTTGAGTTGTTAGATTTCCATACGAGGAGCGAGAACATCCAAGAGGAAGGAAATGAGAAACAACATACAGAAGTACTGGTGCATGGCATTGGATTGGTCCGCCCACGGCTGGAAGTGGTGTTTGAACACGGGGAATTTGTCTTGGAAGGGCTGGATATGGGTTGGGTCTTCATAAAAGAGGATCTGGTGTGATGTCAGCCACTCCAAGATCCTCGTATGGAGACGAAAGACCTCATTTTATGGAAGTTGGACTGCTATGAGGGAAGGGCGGGACACCTACCGTACCAACGGCATTCTGGAACCCCCGCAGCTTCGGGAGAGTCTGGTTCTTCCACAGCTCTTCAGGCACGGCACCCGTCTGCACGAGCATGCCAAAGGCGTCAATGGCAATATCCCACAGCCGCTCATGCTCGGCATGCAGCAGCACGACCAGACGCGTGGACTGTGTGTTGAAGGCACTGGGGACATTCAGAATGGCCGCATTGACCAGCTCCTCGACCTTGGAGTCTGGCACGGGGCTGGTCTTGCCCAGCTTATAGATGGAGCGCCGGTTCTGGGCTAGCTGGACGAGCGCGTCGCTCGACGGTGCTACCGGTGAAGGTTGTGGCCTGGGGCCAGGCGACGAGAACGGGCGGATGGGTGCTGAGGGGAGATGACCATGGGATTGTGCCGGTTGAGCTGCTTGCAACCTGCGCATCCATGTACTGGTACTCCTCGTGGGTCCAGCGGCGCGGCTGGCCGAGTGGAGGAGTGTGGATGCTGGTCGGATATAGTGGCTTGCCATGGCTTTTGTCGGTGGTTTGATAGTACACGTGGTTCTTTTGTGTTTCGATCCACACGGCAGTTTCGCTGTCTTATGAAGCTTGCAACGGTTTCAGAGAAAAGCAGGGGCGAGGGCTGATTATCAACAGATCGCGGAATTACGGCCCCCGCTGAATAATGTGGAAGGGAGCTGTTCGGGCTTAAGGGTCCACTCGGCTGAGTAGCATGCGAGTATTTCTTAAAAGTGGATGGGCGATCATTTGAAAGTATTGTGCATGGATTGAAAATTCGTATCCTAGCTAGCCCTGCTTCAAGGCTTTCATTATCGATCGACATGGTACATATGATGCTATCTATCAGTGGATGATCGATATGGTCGGGATAGTCGATATCTGTTGAGACCATCCAGTTAGCCATCAACTGCGACAAGTGCAAAGATACAATGTCCAAATTAAATCAATAACACTCCAAACTCAGAGACCCGTCTTGAAACATAAAAGGAATGGGAATTTTCAGCATGATTTTTGCTCAGCCAAAAAGGTCAATCATCATCGAGGATGTGGAGTGCCGTGTAAAACAATAATAAAAACTCATCATAAAGTGATAGAAAAATAACCTCGCATACCTGGATCAGTCGGAGGGTTCCCTGTCGGGGGATGACGAACACCTGTCGGAAATATGATCCTGCATCGGCCATACGATGGAAGAATCCCTGGAGTCGGATGGTTAGTGCATGGTCTTACACAGTCGCGGTCGCATCAAGATAGCATTGCAACGCAACCCATGGGGGGCGTAGTCAAGAGGAAAAGCAGGTTGCAGAAAAAGGACCACGCGTTTGGCGTTCAAATTTATCGCATTCTCGGGGCTAGGGCATCGGCCCTATTTGTTTTGCTTGTTTTCAGGTATGTCGTCATTGATCTTGGTGCCCTACTGGAGGTATTCGAGAATACATCTACTTACTTGGCTCTTCTCTTTTGTTGATGTTGGATGTAAAAAGGTATCTGGAAATATTTTCTAGACCTCTTTCGAGAGGTCTAGAAAGATCTCTACTTGAATAGCATTTAATGAAGATATTGTAATCCAAGATCTTTGACATCGCTCTACAGTCTATTGCTCTCATTTGGTCTTTGCCTTGAATTCTATGACTTTCTCTACAGGGTCGTGAGAATATCCTGCCTCCAGTGGGAAGAGATCTTTTCGTGGTAATGCATCTCTCTACCAAATATCACCTTCAGTATGTGTATATATTCGCTATGTTATTGATAGACCGATGGAAGGTGGTGGAGTATCAAGAATCAACAATCAAATCTTCGGGTATTTCTGTGGATGCAATTAGATATATTCAAGTCGAATTAACAGTATAGCAGAAACCACACAAGTTCATCACGCATAGTTTGACACTCTGCCATCAAATCAGCCAAATACCTTTCATCAGATAGAACCCCAATAAGCAAACTTACTCGATGAGATTACCATCCGGGTCTCTCACATAGACACTTCGAATCTTTCCAACCGCCCCAGTCCTCTCAACAACCCTGGCCCCTTCCAGAACCTGCCAACATATCAGCACAGATCCTATGAAAAACAGTCACCCATGGAATGGGGGGTATTTCAACCTCAATCTTAGCTTCTTTCAACACCTGAAGGACTCTCTCCACATTCTCCTCCGTTAGAAAGCACAGATCGGCACTCCCGGGCATGACATGTTGGGCCTTGGGCTCAAACTCCTTGCCCGACTGATGGAGGTTGATCTTTTGGCTGCCAAAGAGAAGAGCATGTCTGTTAAATATCTCAGCTCAAAGCCTTTCAACTTGTAGAGAAGATGTATGTTTCTTGATGTACCTTTGAACCACTTGGTTGGCGGGAGACGTGAAGATCTCATGGCGCATGCCTAGATGTGTAGTATAGAAAGCCACTGTCTCTGGGATGGACCGGACGGTCAGGACTAGATGGTCAAGCGATTTGACTGCAAACTTGGCCATTGTTCTCGATTAACACTGAATGATCCTCAGGTGCAACAGAGAGTATTAGAATGATGCCTAGGTGCTAGGTGGGACACCGAGGGGACCGAGTGAGTCAGCACGACAGCCCCGGTTTCGCTCCAACAGCCCACGAGCATGTCACTCAATAGTAATAGAATTAGAATTAACCAAAATATAAAGAAGCCAAGGTGGTATTTGAAGGAATCTGTCAGTCCATATTGTGATTTGTGATGGTATCGGACTTCGGCCTTGGGCCCAGCTGCACATCTCCCACTCTATAGTTCTAGCCAACACCATTTATGTCGACAATCAACTAAGCTGACTATATACGAAAGTCTGGACGCTGCTGTAGCAAATTCACAAGTGGCAGGAACATCTTCCGTCCCTGAAACTCCGACTCGGGGGAGTTCATCTGCTTCGCAACATAATCCTGGAACTCGTCCCATGACACCCACTCCCAAGCCGAGCACTTTTCCGGTTCGACGATCTGCACGAGAGGATTAGTCCTAAATTTTTTGAAGTCTTTATCTCATGGATCCACCAAGGGTATGGGTAGGGTGATATACACCCGTGGATGCGATCAAGGGAAAGGGAGAAAAAAACAAACGCAGTAAGAAATCAAAACTCACTTGAGGCTGTGCACCCGCTTCACTAACAACAGCCCTCATAAAAATCGTAACATAGTGCTTGTCCTCTTTTTCCATAACACTGTTCGTCGCCGTTAGAAACCGCAGCTCGCGGATCTCCAGCCCGGTCTCTTCGAGCACCTCGCGGACCGCGCAGTTCTCGAAGGACTCGCCGAATTCCAGGTGTCCGCCTGGAATAGCCCAGGTACCTATATAAAAAAAAAAAACCATGAAAATAAGAAGACTGGGCACAACACAATGCTATTGTGCGAGTAGAGGGGTAGCTCTGTCTCACTCACCTGCGCCCATACTGCCTTGTCGCTTGCCCAGCACGAATTCGCCCTCTTCATTGCAGACGAAGACTCCTATCCCCACGCGAGCTTCCATGGTTGAATTGGATTGGAATATTAAGGGATGATGCAGGTAGAAAGAAATGTTGGTCAAAATAAAAAAAAGGGTAACATCGAGACATGACGGCCTGAGGCAGCAATAGTAAGCCTTGGGATTGATCGACCGCAGGAAACAGGTCAGGGGGATCCGCTTGACCTCTCAGTAGTATGTGCTGTAATAAGCTTATATAATATCGGTTATAGTATAAAATAGGTGGTATCTAGGGCTGCTACATTCTTAGAATATTATATTTTTATCTATAGTATCTAATGAATAATGTTTGTATTCGTTTTTTATTTATTAGATCTGTTAGGATCGCTACTAAGCGAGCCTGTGACTGTCCGCGGAGTCACATTAAGCTATCTCGTAGGCTACCAGAGTCTATGAACATTTAACAAAAGATACCTAAGTAATATACCTAATAGTATAAAAGGCAAAAGGAAAATAATAGTAAAGAGCCTAAGAGAATATCGCTACTAAAGATATAGCACCGAGTATTAGACAGAGCCTATAAATGTTTAAGATTACTAGATAGATGTAAGAGTAGGACGGACCTATTGAGGGATGAGTTGGTGTTGCAGTAAGCGCCTTGGGGTTACCAGATGCGGGCTGAGATAAGAAAAAAATAGGCCCACTCTTATCAGCCGGCATGTTACCTGGCTCCCCGCATCAGCTCCCCGATCACCAACGATGGGTGAAGCGGTTTTCTCCTCGAACCTGAAAATGGCGGCAACGGCAGATTCAGGTGCCCCGATACGAGTGTCGTGGCTCAGCAGATTGGGAACTAATTAGAGAGCCTGCAAGCGCTCGGAGCTTCGGTCAAAATGCAAGTCTTCATCTCAGCGTGTAAGCGTCGATCGAAGGGGTCCATTGGCTAGGTGGTGCTTTCATGACCAATTGCAGTCAGTATGTCGCCGCCACTCCGGAATCTCCGATCGGGGTCCTCTTTTACGCAGGTTGGGAGGAAATGGGCAGCTCTACCGTACTGTTGGTGGCATAAGTTCTCTCCGGCTCTCGAAGGCCACGTGAGCTGAATCTATTTGGTCATGTGACGTAACCTTTGCGCCTCCGCGACTTATTCGTAAAGAGTTCAGCGAACAAGTTTCTACCCTCCCTGGTGCAGCGTCCCAACATTGCTCACATTCCTTTTTACTTTTTCTTGTCGACTTTTGTATACAACGCCGCGACTCAGGACAAAACGCCAGACATGGCGTCACGCTTAAGCGCTTGGAGACACGCCCTCAGGAAAAAGCCATACTCTAAAGCGATCTCTAACAGCTCTTTCACCACCCTACCAGCGGAAATGCCCATTGATGAGGAAACCCTCCCTTACTATGACCCTGAGCAATTCTACCCAGTGCACATCGGAGACCTATTCAAGGATAGGTATCAGGTCGCGGGCAAGCTTGGCTACGGCGCTTACTCGACGAGTTGGCTATGCCGAGATCTTCGGTACGTAACCAGTATTCATTCGAGGAATTATCACGTTAATAATGCTCTAGAAATGATAAGTATAGGGTGCTGAAGGTGTCAACCTCGCTACGAAAGTTTCCTACTGCGACCGATCGCGAATTCAAGATCTATAAGCATCTCGCGAAACTCGATTCGGCGCACCCAGGACAATCGCTAATCCGAGAACTTTACGACTCATTCGATCTCCAGGGGCTTGCTGGTACACATCGATGCCTCATTCTTCAACCAATGTACATGACAGTACATGAGATGATGAGATTGAACCCGAGGCCATTCGACCTACCCCTTCTTAAAATGACACTAAGACGACTACTTTTGGCGCTTGACTTCTTGCATAGCGAAGCTAGCATAACTCACACTGGTAATTAGCCCCAATTCGAATAATAAATTTCTACTAACTTAAACTAGATCTAAAGACCGACAACCTAATGCTTAGTCTAGAGGATGGCACTATGTTAGCCGATTTCGCGAAAGAAGAGGTTGACCAACCCAGCCCTCGGAAGAAGATAGATGAGATACGTACCGTTTATAAAAGCCGACATTTTCGCCGGCCCGTTGGAGGCAAAGGGTATGGTCTCCCAATTCTTTGTGATTTTGGCGAGGCAAGAATTGGGAAGAATCACGAATCCGGTCCTTTTGTGCAGCCCCATATATACAGGGCACCAGAGGTTATATTCGAGATGTCATGGGGAAGTGCTGTTGATATTTGGAACCTAGGAGCTTTAGTAAGTATAGTGCTACCCCTATTTTTACGCTATACTATCTCACTAATAATGATTAGATTTGGGACCTCTTCGAAGGAAAACATCTCTTTGGAGATATCTTCGACAACAAAGACGGCCATGACCCATTCAAGCACCTTGCACTTATGGTCGCCCTGATTGGGCCACCGCCGACCGAATTTGTCCAGCGTAGCGAGACAACGGAGCAATGCTTTGATTATAGTGGTAAGCACCCTAACTTCGCGTTGAGCTTTTCTTTGGCAGAGCCGGAACCCTTGTGCTGACGTGCTTGTAGGCGCTTGGATTGCACATCAAGACGCCGCTATACCGCTGGTTTCACTAGAAAGTTTAGAAGTGCGACTTTCGGGCAGCGAGAAAGAGCTGTTTATGCGTTTTATGAGATCTATGCTTAAGTGGCTGCCAGAGGAGCGCAGGACGGCAAGACAACTACTCGAGGATCCATGGCTGCTTTAGGTTAAGTCAAGATTTTCCTGGTCATCAGGTCCAAGAATTGCAACCGTGATTTTTCTCATTAGTGGATCTGCGCAAAAATTCCACATAGATAATATGAAACTGAAAGCACCCGGTCCGGCGCTTACACCCTTTTGTCAAGTTCGAGCCCCGGCGAGACGCTGAAGCCTACTCCCTAGTTTGCTCAGACAGCAAAATTGGTTGAAAGCCCAACTTTGTAACCCAAGTAGTCAGCTCTTCTGCTAGATTACCGCTCCGCTGCAATATTTAAGAGCAGCGCTGACCCTCCTCGTCCCATCAGTGAAAGCAAACCACAACGTTCTACTCTAATCATTCCAAGCCCAAAGTATAGCTATTCTTATTTCACAATGTCCCATATCATCCGTCGGTTTATTACCTACGTTGGGAAGGTCAAGTTGAGCGACTTCACGGTCGCAGAGCACATGACCCTTGTTGACAAGTATTGCAATGATCAGGAAATACGGGTATATCATCCTTCACCACTCTCTGCTGTATCTGTTTAACCGGTTCATGTTAGGATCCTCGTATCAAACAAGCCTCGATCCAGGGAACGGAGTTACACCCATCGCACAAGGATCCGACCGACCCAAAAGAAGGTCATCTCTATCCGGTTTATGGACGCTGATGGAACGAGGGTAGGAACGGGACATCTCCATGATGATGGAACCTCGAAGTTTCGCTACAAACAGAAGCCGCCCCCTGAATCGCCCTCTGGTGGATTTGAGTAGTTATAAGCTACAGGTGGCAAAGGGTAGTCCAACAGCATGATATCGCGTTGCTATAAGATCGCGCCATCAGGCTCAACTATCAGCTATATTTACCACCTGGAAGGGAAGGGTATATAAGGACGCTCATTCATGTACCTAGTTGAATCTTCGCAATCAACCCTCTTTGTTATTAGGGACCCAATCATTTCTCGTATCTGTGTGGTCCGGTCACGCAACCTCAACGTTTGCTATCAATGAGGGTTGACGAATCGGGAACAGGGACTTTCGAATGTTTGATCAGACGAGGTTGCGGTCTAAGACAGGAGGATCCAGCTGCTTGACTTTCACTGGTTTTTTCTTCTTTCATTGTTATCCAGACTCGTCTCTCTCTCGAAAGTCCCAGATTCTCCTCCGGAAAAGCGACCGATCTCTATTCCGTACAGTATCCAAGACTGACTGGAGTATACGCTCGAGCTAATCAAAGATGACGATTTCCCAACCATCGACCAAGTTACGCGCCAGATCGTCTTGACATCGGCAAAACTTCAAGCCAAGAGCGGGTCCTTCTGGACAATCAACAATCGTACATGGAATGCGAATGACCAGCAGCGGAAGGGAAGAAGAACCGATATGTCCTACTTGGTGCAGGTTTACAAGGATAGAAACCGGGCCATCCAGTTCTGAACCGCGTGGGCTGGGATCCACAGTTCAATGTCTACCCTGCTAAGATGGGCGAAGTGATTGACATCATTCTTGTCAACGAGCCAAATGACCAAATGGGTGGCTTTGATACCCATCCCTGGCATATCCATGGAGATCACGTTTACGACCTCGGGAGTGGCTATGGTACATACAATGCAACTGCAAACGAGAAGAAGCTCAAAAGGACAGCCAAAATACAGTCAGAATTAATCTATAATGTTATAGACTTTCTCTTTTCTTGTCGTTGATTCAAGGGTATATCTAAGATGACAGTAAAGAAGTTCTTGAGAGCAAGTAAGACGTTCATGGACATGCATTAGCCAATATCTCCATTCCGTTCTTTCAAAAGGGGTAAAGCCGGCGAGAAATCGTGTGAGCCATAGAGAAATAAGAAGCCACGTTTATTCCGCCTTCTATTGGCTTTGTTGCTCATACTATGGACGGCTCATACTTTATGGTAGAGATTGTGTATCTTTTTGTTTGATTCGAAGGAATGATGCCCATAAACATGTCTTCCTGTAGCTGCGCCTAGCCCTAGCTATTTTGTCGTATTCTTTACTATATCCTAACAATGCCTAATCTGCACGGCCCTCTATTTCAAGACGGCTTCTCTCCTTTCAGACACTTTTCCCAATTCTTGTCTTTGGAAATCGACTTCGCTGCATCAGCCATGCTTTTGGCGTCTTTGGCCACTGCCTGTCCCCGCTTGGCAATGCTCAAAGCCCCACGCCCCTGTGTTGCTAGTTTTGCAAGTCTTCCTGAGAGCGAGGTAAGTCTCAAGAACGCTGGCACTGCTCGGCCCAAGAAGGCGAGGATGATTTCGATGAGGATTTGGAATTGGCGCCTCTCTAGTCCACCGGTTTCGGCGAGCTCCGTTTCCCGCACCACCAGGTCGCTAGTTACCACCGGCGGGTTGCTGTCAAGTCCACGCGGAACCGCGAGATCCGTGTTTTTAGAACTGTCCGTGTTCTCGACGTCGTCAATGGTGTCGTACGACCGTTTACAACCAATGCCGTGGGGGTTGCCACAAGCGCCCAAATAGGCAATATCGTTTTTCTGCTTGACCTCAGCCATCCAAGGATTGATGAAGTCGTCCGAGTCGAGATCGATGCTAGTATTCACCGCATCCAGAGACAGAGACGATGGCCAGTACTGTAGCATATCGTCCGAGGTGACAAAGTCATGATCGAAGTAGTTGGAGCAATAGTCGAGTGCACTGTCATCATCCATCATCAATGGCACCACGGTTAGACATTTTCCCATTCTGCTCTTTTTCTCGTGGGCTTCTTTCGCTTGCTTCTTCTTCGCCTGTGCGTCCTTGTACTCCATTCTCTTCTCGTTCTTGACCTCCTGATATCGCTTCTCCTTCTCTTTCCCCGCGGACTTCTTGTACTCCTCGATCTTTTTTTTCTTGGTTGCCTGATATCGCTTCTCCTTGTCTTTCTCGTCCATCGTAGGGATGCACTTCTTTTTGCTTGCGTCGGGCTTCTGATTCTTTGGGCAAGCTTGGCATGATTTGCAATCTTTCGAGGGTATTTGGTCTGCCGGGCATTTCTTGCATTTATCGCACGACTTGGAGCTTCCAGAGTCTCGCTTCCCGAAGGGGAACGTCCAGGAACGATGGGCTTTGTTCGCAATGTGGAGAGACAAAAGTCCTGTCAAGCAGGAAACAGGATTGCCCGACCCGGATGAACATGGCGGATACTCTTGACTCGTCGAGGTGGATTTGGACTTTCCCCAGATAGCGATATAGCTGCCTTTCGGATAACCTCGATCCATGATATCTCCCCTCGCCAACCTCTGATGCGTGGACTCAAAGAAGAAGATTGCCCCATCCTCTGCGTGAATTTGATCCTTGTTCTCTTTGTATCGACCCATCTCACAATTCCATTTTGGCGCTTCCTGTCGATTCTCGAAGATGTATTTTGATCCACCATCTTCACCGTGCTCCTTAGAACGGGGCTTGGAACTTATCCAAACTCCATTCCCTGGGACATACAAAGCAGCAACCAAGACAACACCATTTCCAGGTTGGCCAATTCTCTGGAGCTCTCTTCCTATATTTGCATACCCTTGCTTTGCGAATTCCAGCACGTATTCCGCGATATAATTCACATCTTCACGATGTTCTTCCGGGGGCTCCCACGGCCTTTGCCCTCTAAATGTCTCCCAGCCGCGAAAGGGAGACATTCTGGGCGATGGGATCTCCACTCGTTTGTCAAGCTCGGGCTCAATGTCGGTTGGGGCAGCAGCCACGAGCTGACATAGGGTGTAGAGGGTAATCCATGATTGGATGAGAAGCGCTGATAGAAGCATATGGTCGAGGAAAGAGCAACAAAGGGAGATAAAGTAGAACGGTGGTGCAGTGATGGTTGGGTTGAGCACAAGTGTGAGTGGATGGAAGAAACGGCCAAGGGTGTTTTCGTATCATCACAGGATGGATATCTCCATTTATGTATCCCTTTCTCCATGACTCGATATCTCTCAGACAGTCCCCCGAGGTTGCATTCATGCCGGCACGGCCACCCGCTGAGGATTATGGCTTTGAGACAAGCCACGGCAATCCTTCGTATTCCAAGCTTATTTTATTGCTTGGTTATCAGGCATTGGCAAAAAACTTTCTATCAGGCATCCAGCGGAGCCTAGGGCTGAAGATATCAAAGGTAACCAGGAATGCAGTCAGCACGGGAGAATCCACTGTATAGACGACCCCATCGAATCACATTTGGTAAATTCGAAGATTCGCCGCCGATCGCAGTCTTTTCTTGGCTCGCGAAGCTTATATCTTCGCTAAATGATAACTGGAAGTAGAAATTTAGGCATCCCATCACTTTTGGCCCCTTATCAATCCCATTTGTCATCTAGAGACAAGATCTCACGAATGTTACATCCCTATTGACAGCGCACCACCTCTGATGGATATATAATCCAACGCCGAAAGCAACACTTGCAACCTCTCATCATGATCCTCCCGCTGTACAGGTTGTTTTTACCAAGTCCTCCGCCCACGGCCTTCTCTTCTCGGTTCCTCAATCATGCTCTTCCCAAGGGCTTTCTGCCTCGTCGCCTTTGTCCTGCCTCTAGCTCAAGGCTTTCAAATGAGTTTTTTCTCCGGTGTCACCCAGTGTAGCGGAGAGCAAGTCGACCGCCAAGTTGTGAAACCGTCTGACGGATGCCAAAAGACCGGTGTCGGCCACGCAGGCGGCGTCATTATCCAAAACTCCGACGATAGCGATGTCAACAACTTTGCCGTCTTTTTCTCGTCTGATGACTGCAACCCAGACAAGGAGATCGTCCACAGTGACAACGGTTGCCAGTCCCCAGCCTACAGATCCTTCGCTGTCTGGGACGTGGGGAGTGGGTAAAGATGTCTAAGGGGCTGGTCGGCCCTGATGAGTGGGCGTTTAGGGCCAAGATTGGAGTATAATTGTTGAGGCGAGACATGTATTTTTTTTGCTTTGCCCAATGGGGCACAACTCTGGTTTGATCTGTCATCACAGATATGAATCCATGGATGACTGGGTAGCGGCTTTGAAATATCTAATTAGTGAGTCAGTCTATGTGAATACCGTAGGGTCCAGTACGAGACAAGTTCGGATCCTTATTGTGCTCTCCATATATCACCTCTGGGTGATCTATAGCTCGAGTAGATTCCACAATATCATAACTAGGATATTATACAACGGCGGGCCTAATTCAACACGGAAAAAAAAGAAGAAGAAGAAGAAAGACACTAATTTTCACTGCGTCATGTCAAAGCATTAGGATTAGGATTAGGTCGACGCGGACCCTGCAAGGCGCACTCGCTCGGTGTCTGGTTGTTGCATCCTCGATACCAGCCGTGATTGATCAGCTGCGTCTCCATATCTCGCCAGTACTCGGCTTTGCCACCAGCCCCGATCTTCAGGTCGAGGTCGCCGAGGCGGATTTCCACGGGTGACTTTTCATCTTGGGGGATCTGTCGAATCAAATAGCATTATTATTGCAAGATCAAATCATAACCATGCAAATATTTGACAGACCAATACTCACTTTGACGAACATCGTGCAATCCCGCAGCGTCATGGCCAGCGACATCTCCCGCGACTGCGGCGGCGGACCATGCAAGCCAACATCTCGTCGGGCCTTTTGGTGTGACTGCAGTTTCAGGAGCGTCGGGTTCCGGTATAAGATCCGCGCCAGCCGCGTCCGGTCTTTGCACCCCTTGATCCTGCCCGTTGCGTGCAGGACATTCTCGAAGCGATCCGAGACCAGGTCCAAGGGACAGAAGGACCGCTGCTCGTTCTGGCCGCGCCTCCGCGCGCGCTGGTTCTTCATCTCCCTCAGCGCACAAGTCCGGCACCGGAGTGCCGTCGCCGGCGCCGAGGGCGACTGGATCAGCCATTTGGGCTTGAGCTCGGTGAGCGTTGCGCCCGGGTCGCCGGCGGTCGTCATGTCCGTGATGAGGAGACCGAACGGCTCGGTCAGGCAGAGAGATGCGCCATGCCGCTTGGCTGGGCGTGCGCCGCTCCGCTCGATGGCGCGCAGCTGCTCGTTGCAACGCGCCAGGAGCCCCTCGGGTAGTCGCACTAGTGTCTGATCGACGAGCTCGTCGGGCCGGAAGAGCGGGCGGATGATGGTGTCGAAGTTGCGCACGATCTCCGTGTAGGGCAGGTCGGCTGCGGTCTCTTTGCGCAGTCGGAGCAGCTTGCCGTGGAAGCGGGCGGGCAAGTTGCCATGCTCGGTGCTATTGATAGTACTAGGTGGGGGGATTGAAATATTCTTGGCGTCTTTCTTTATCCCACTCGTCGGCTTGCTGGGGGCTGTTGCGACAAAGCGGAAAATCACATTGGCTCCGCCCTCAGCGAGATAGACGAGCTGAACTCCCGGTGGGAGCTCCAGAAGACTGGGTTTGGTCATCCGTCCAAGGAAAGATGATGGGATTGTTGATCTCAAATCTGCTAACCATGACGTGACTGGTTGATGATTGATTGCATCGACTTTTTCTTTTGATCAATCGGTGCCCCTCCAGTCCCGTTGATTCTGTGCGGTCGAAATCGAACCGACGATTGGCCAGGCAAGACAAGCTACCAGGAAGATCGCCGGTGCATGCGCCGAATCCTGGAACTAAACTAATCTCGACAAGCTAGGCTTGGGTTGTGCAGGGAAGAATACCGGGGCCAAGTGGTGTGGCAATTTGACTGTGGATTCTGGCAACCCCGCAGTGCGAAGGAGCCGAGGGGAGAAGGAAAGAAAGAAAAGTCTGGCTCAGGCGGCCCGAGATGGCGACACGATGGGAGCAAGGAAAGGGGACAGATCGAGGAATCCCGAGCCCGAGGGGGAGTTGTGGAGGGAGTTCATGACAGCATCGGTCTTGGGAGTTGGCAATTACAAAGTGATGAACCGTGGAACACAATCCTCGATGGTGATCCCAGAGAATACCAAGTTTCAGCCGCTGTTTCAGCCCTGCGGATAAGCCGCTCGCCGGACAGGGGTGTGTAGTAAAGGGAAAAAGTAGACATTCACAAATACCCCGCCATCGGATTTCTTCTCTTCTCTTCTGCATCTTCTCCCTCATGGACATCCCCACGCCCGCCCACTGCACCGCCGATTTCTGTCTGATTCCGGTATGGTTTGTGATCTAGGGTCGCTTGGTTTCTGGTTTCTGAATTCCTTTTGATGACCCAAGCTGACTTCCCCAGATCGGCACCGGTTCGCCCTCGGTCTCAGCCCAAATTGCTGATGTTCAGCGGCTGATCGAGCGCTGCGGCCTCAAGTACGTCATGCACTCGGCAGGGACTACACTCGGTGCGTAACCCCCGTATTCTGCAAGGGGTGTATGACATCTCCCCTGTTCAGCGAATACCTCTCTGCCTTTGAAGTTGTGTGGCTGACGTGCATCCTTAACTCATTTCTCCCCTCGTCTAGAAGGCCCATGGGATCGAGTACACCAGGTGATAGGCCAGGCACACACCATCCTCCATCAGCAGGGGATTGTTCGGATTCAGACCGATATCCGGGTCGGATCTAGGTGTGTTTTATTTTTACCCCATTTACATAAAAGTGGCTGCCTGGGGTCAATCCCTTTAGCTGAGGTCCCCTCGCATGGAGACGCTAAGGAGGGCCCGGGCCACGGAATGGTTGAACTAGGGTTGTACTAATGGATTGCTGCATGTAGGACGGATAAGGAGCAGTCGTTCGAGGACAAGGTGAACAAGGTGCGGCATTTGCTCGGAAATGAATAGGGGACGCAGTCCTCTACCAAAAATGACAATCTACTTGGTAGATCTCGAGGTGGAAGTACCAACAGAAAAGGAGAAAAAAAAAAGTTATAATCAAATCATTTCATTCATGTGCAGGTCGAGGACCGGCTATACCAATACAACTGGAAGAACTACCTAAACAACCGTGCAAAACGCCGATGCCGTTTTTGCTTCATGGGGCCAATGCGCCCAAACACAGCTCAGCCCAATGCCCAGAATCCATGCGTTATGTACGGGCCCAGCCCGGGTGAATCCCCAGACCCGTTTTCCTGAATCAACCTAAAGAATGTCCAAGATCGCTGCATAACATGACAGTAAACGAAAATAAAGTAAGGACAAAACAAAAACAAAAGAAGACGGGAAAGGGTCAGGCGTTAAAAGGAAACGCCTCCGCCAAAGAGACTGCCCCAGTTTCCACCAACCCAGATCCAATTGCCCATGCTGGGAGAGGCCCCGCCCTTGGCCGAGTTGGCCAGGTCGAGCAGGTCCTTGAAGACGTTCCCGGTCGTGGAGCCGCTACTGGACTGTGGCGTGTCAGAAGTCGAGAGCGACTTGCGGCCGATAGGATTGGAGACATTGTTGAGGTTGTCGACGGTCTCGATGGCGGGTCCGCGGTTAAAGAAATCTACCAGAATAAACGTCGGCTGGCGGCCGCCCCACTCCTTCTTGCACTTGGTCGCGGTGCTGCCCAGGTTCCCGGTGCCACCGGACGCGGCGTTGGTCGTGGCCACATAACTGGCGTTGGGGAACTCGACGTCGAACATCGACAGGTCCGTCGAGTACAGGAAATGGTTCATCAGCGGCAGTCGGTTGGACGCCAGCGCCGTGGATGCTTGGCCCGACACCTCCTTGGGCCGTTGCGGGTCGCAGGAGAATTTCGTAGGCGATGTGACGTCGTACGGATTCTCCCACACGAACGAGAACTCATCGAGCAGGTACGGCGCGTCCGTATTGGAGCCCAGTGATGCCACGAACACCACCAGTCGCTTCTTGTCGTCGATCATCGACTGGAGCGTGGGCCACGACTTCGGCGCCGAGTTGGACGTGGGCTTGTACGCATAGTCGACGATGTCGGCCTTTTTGAATTGCGCGTCGAGATCCGAGGCCGATGCGCCGTCCGAGTTGACCAGCAAGATCGTGACCACTGCACAAGCCATAGATAGTCAGCATTTTCGGTCCAGAAAATAACAGATGAAGAAGAGTAAACACAAGGGATGGCTCACCGTCATTTGGATTGTCGTCCAACCACTTCTTGACGTCCTTCAACCAGTCACTCAACGTCCCCGCGTCCATCAAATCACACTTGGAATGACAGAGGCGCCATTCCGAGTTACTCTTGTGGACTTGAGCTGACACCAGCCGAACACCGGCGTCGAGCTGGGTGGGGGTGTCATAGTACCTAGCAATACTTCATTAGTTTATGTGGGGGAGAGAGAGGGCCTCAAAATCCGGGGTAAACAGACTGGTCGCCAGCCAACGAAACACCGGAGTTGGAATCGCGCACGAAAGCGCTATCGTGGGCACCCAAATGGGTGATCTCGCCGTAGGACTTGGAGCAGAGGTCGGGAGAGTTGTTGCATGCTGTGGTACGCGCGTTCAATGGGTTGCCGAGGACTGCAGGCAGCAAGGCCAGGAAACCAAACGCTCGCATACTGGAAGATGAGAAGATAAATAATAGATAATAAAACAAGTGATAAGAAGACCGCAAATAATAAACCAGGAGAGACACAGAATATAAAGAAGAATCCAAGTCAGGAGAAAAAGAAGAAAAGAAAAGAAACAAAAAGGTGACGACAGACACATGGAATGTCTAAGACGATCACTGCTGGGTCCAGGCCGCGTTGCCGTCTCAACTATTCTTAGGTGGATCTCCCTTGCCTGATCTTGCCTGATTTGGCCTGATTGGATCCTGCAGATGGTGCCTACTTGCCTGAATCGGTTAATAATCGATTAATTCCATACATGATTTTAATATATTACTAAGGTTCTCCATACATCTGACACTCATTCGACACATCTCTAGGGGCTGTGCTCCGGGTGGATCAATTATATTGTATCGCATTGTATTTATACAATCCAAGTAAATATATGTACAGATGACAGATTACGCCCTTCAATGTCGTCGAGAAGATGTACGCACCTTCATGGAGCGATGAAGCGATCTGCGAGACTGCGACGGGTTCACCAATCCATCCCAGTCCAAAATCTCAGACTCGCTAAACAGCGGTGGTTGACCCCAAACCCGAAGAATATCTCCGGCCACGCGGGACGGATTGTATGGGTTCATGCGCCGCACCATGCGGTTGATGGGCCGTATGGAAGGGCAATAGTCGCCGAATAGCATAACCAATCGGTATCGAGTCGCTCGTCTGATTTGTGGCACATGGAGACGAAGGCCGGCCTGCTCCATCTCCCGTAGAAGAAGAATCCCGCGCACCCAGGGAACAAGCCGGTGGCCGGTGACAGGGTGAGGAATGCAGGCTGTTGATTCGGTGTCATTGACCACGCGCAGCTTGAATCCCCAGGAGACTACCGCACACTGCATCGTAGGTGTGAAGATAAGATCAAGCATGCGGCCGTCGCGGTTGGTCGCCGTCAGCGTGTGCGGATGCAAGGTAGAACGTGATGGCGAGCGGTCCCACGCCTTTCCACGCTGCTCGGGGATGTTGCGATACTGAAGGACCAGCCAGTGACAGCATTCCCGGAGTTCATCCCAGTGATTCCCCATTCCCAAGCGTTTGAGAATCTCGGCCCAGAACTCGGCGCTGACATACGCTCCTACCGGGACCAGTCGTTGGAGAACCCTGAAGACAAACATCACTTCATCGGCGATAGACATACCGGAACTACCCGCCAGATGGGGAGCATGTCCGACCTCACGAGGCGTGAAAATCTTCTCAGCCATGAAATCTATACTTTCTTCAGTCAGAGTCTTGCCACGAAGGGTCAAGTCATCCACAACTTTAGACGCTCCTTGGAGTTCGCGCGCAGTGATGTGTTTTCGAAAGTGGATGTTGGCCAGATCCGATGTGTCGGACGAAATTTCGGTCAGAATCGCCAAGCACATGTTGTACTGGCGCCAATCCCGACTCATATAGTATCCTATCAGAAGTGACTCTTGCATGTGCACGTCTTCAAAAACATCTGGATGGAGATCGCTGTTGAGAATGTCCGAGAGAAGAATGTCGCGGTGTTGAACAGCTAGCTTCCGCACCAACCGCGAACAGACAGAATCCCCGGCAGATATTCCTGATTGTTGAAGTACTTTCAGTTTCTCCAAGATATCCTGACCGCCGTGGGCTCTGACGGCCATTTCGCGGAACATGCGGGGGCCCAGTGCGGTTACACCAAGCATCTTGAGCCCGGCCACTATCATCTCGAAATTCAGGGCCGGAGTAGCAAACAACCTGGCCCCGATATCGTCCTTGAAAGGCGTCTCTTCCAATAGAGTTTCTTCGGTGGGTTCCTGGTCTGATTCATCTACCGAGTCGTCGGCATCAGACTTCTCCTGGTCAACAGGTTCCTCCGGCTCCGGCTCAAATCTTTTTTCGTAATAGGCCTGAACCTCTTCGAACTCCTCTTCTGTTCCGTATTTCTTGGCATAATCCAACAGAGGTTGTATCTCCTCAGGAATTTGTGGGTGGTCTCCTCGTCCAACAAGAAATTTGTGCAGTGTCAACGCTTCATGGCCATAGCGGTTCTGCAACAGGATAGATATCACACGATTGTAAATGCGGTGGTCATCAATAGTGCAGCACATATCCTTGAAAGCCTTTGCTCCTGGAGACAACGATTGTTGCCGGGCATCGATGAGATACTGGAGGCTAGTGTTGGTTGGAAGATGCTTTGGACAGATAGCTGACTGGAGGACCCGGAAAATATCATTTGCGTGTGTCAAGTGGGGGTGCTGGAGCCTTTTGTGCCATTCAACGGCCCGCTTCCTCATGCCACGATCGAGAAGTCCGCCCACAACACTCTCGTACAGCCACGGCCAGCGAACACCTTTACTCTCCCATAGGTCGTCTGCATAATCCATCACATCCCTGAGGAAAAGCTCTCGTTTCAGGCCCAGGTCCACAAAGCTCCGCCAGAAGAAGTCGGCGAGTTCCCCTGTGGTAGGAAGGTGTACGTCATCCAGTCGCACCGTCAGCCCCTCCCAGATATCCAAAGTACCTTGATCCCCGTAATGGCGTTGGCGAAAACGAAGTAGCTCGGCCCAAAGATCGAAGTTATTCCTCGAGGCTGGGTGGTCTACTAATCGGGTTCCAATATCATCGCAGTGACCGACGTCAGATTCAAACTCAAGTTTCTCTGGTGATAGGCTTAGGGCTTTGGTGGAGCTTTGAGCTGTATCGCTGTGTCCGGGATTCCGCGCGGTAGGATGGGACTTTGCAGAACGATGCGCTTTTGGTGGTTCAATCTCGTAGATGGGAAAGCTGAAAGGCGATCTCATGCGCTGGGTCACGCGAGACTCAGTTCCGGTCGAGCTGTGCTCGGGATCGTCTAAGGATAGCGTTGTGTGGGTATCGTGGGATTGGCATCGTATGCAAGTATATCTGGACTCCAATTGCTCGATTCCGACCGGTGTTGACGCGAGGGTGTCGAGGATCGAGACGGCGGACGGCCTCTTCAACAATCGAAGAAGAGCCGGGCGCATGAGTCGTTGAGGAGTGGAGACCAAGGGAGAGAACTCTGGGCGTAGACCATCCTTCTCCGGGTCAAATTGAGTTGTAAAGGAGCTGCTTCAAGTGGCCGGTTTGATGGGCGCTTTTTCGGCGATGACGCTTTCCCCTTTGGGTGCATTACTCAGCCCACCGTCTGAAAGGTCACCTGATGTCGACACCTGCAGCTGCCGGATCCAACGTCGACTTCCTCCTCCATTGCCCTCTCCCCTCCAGCTCCCTCGCTTTCCTCTTTCCAACCGCCAAAATGTTCCGCACTGCGCCTCGCATGGCTGGGTAAGTCGATTCCCTTGAAATTGCGCCCACCAATCTCTCGTACACACCCCCCGGGTGGGAGCGCGACCATCGAATTTCCTCCCGCCCTCTCCGGAACTCAATTGCCATCGACAGCCCTCTAGCTACTGTGCTTTTTTAAGATAGCTACTAATCTCTCTGATTTCTTTGGCAGGTTCGTGTTCCGTGAGAACCGTGTCCCCTACTACCAGCGTCTGTTCCAGAACCACGATGGCAAGCGTCAATGGTGGAAGGTTAGTCTCAGCCGCCCACACCAGACCCGCCTTCAATTGAGGCTCGGCAATTATCTGACATGACAATTTTTGTCCAGACCTCCCGCAGTGGCTACATCATGTACCCCTACCTGATCTCCGTCTACGGTCTCGGTGCTGGTGAGTGGATCCAATCTGAGATTAAGAGACCTTCACCCACCAAATACTAACTTTGATATAGCCACTACCTACGCCATGTGCCGTATGCTCTTTGTCAGTTTTTTCCCATATCCATGGCCCGCTCGATGCCAGCTGAAGCATCGTTGACTGGTCGTTTGAGATTCATGAACTAACTTTCTTAACAGGGCCACAAGACCTGGTTCGGTGAGAAATAAACGACGAATCCAACGTGATTTGGCCGTTTTATAGACGGCTTGGGGATTTCTTTCAATTGGCGGTGTATTTCTACTCCAGTGATGGGCTAGAGGAGTTGGCAGGCACAAGGATTATGGGGCTGTATATAAGATCAATCCCAGCGCCAATCCAAGAGTCGTTGCCTTGTTTACGTTAACCTGCACAGGCTTCTTCGTGGGAGAACTACTGTCAGATGTAGATGTTGTCATTGAAGTACTCGTGGACAGATTGAGCTACCGTAATGTCCAGTCGACGATGGGATTTTCCACCGACCATCTTTGGAAGGACTTCATTCAAAGGCTTTGTCAGCCAGGTTTGGCTGAATATCTTGCTGTGAACATAATGCCTTATAGTTCTAACATTGCCCGTGCTGAGAATCCGCACTTGGGTAGGTATAAGCTATCCATATACAGGTCCAGATGTCCCGTTGAGCCAGTTTGAACTGCAGTTAGCTAGGGCCCAGTCATCACAATTTTTTTCTCTCGTGACTATCCAGGAAATACACATGAACTGCTGAGGATGACTCTTATAGTCCCACCTGGGTAGAGTCCAGCGACCCAGTCAAGTATTGCTTAGTCAGTTTCTTCCGCCCCAGACAGTTTAACCGGAGAGCAACTCGGATAGAGCAACCCATCTACAATACTGGACCAGTTTGCCTTTCAGTGATAGTTGTCATCCACGGACCCATTTGTTCTATTACGATGCCAATATCTGAATTTATAACATCAACTCAACTTATTTATCGTCCAAGACCATTGGAAGCGGTCCTCTGAGGATGACAATCAAATTGATATCTGCTTGGATGACGGCTACTTCCACCGCGGACAATGGAGGAGACTGACTCGGCGCTAACTGAGCGTCCGGTGAAGCGGGTGCGTCAGGCCTGTGAGCCTTGCAGGTCAGTGTTTTGGCAGAGCCAGCTGTTCGTAAGGATGTCTCGTTAACTGCTTCTCTAGACGCAAAAAGGCTAAATGCCCTGGAGAGCAGCCGATCTGCACTCTGTGTGCCAGACTGCATCAAAAATGTCTGTATGCCGAAGAACGGCGTCGGCCACCTGCTCCCGAGAACAACTCAACTCTCCATGTTCCAGATCATAGCACCTCGCGGGCTCTGGTACTGTCAATCTTTCAACAACATTTAAAGAACTGCGTTTCTAATTAGTGTATCACTTTACAGGAAGATAGACTACGAAGCCTTGAAGGAAAGGTGGGAGAAGTCCTTGATGTGCTTGGGTATGCTGCTCCATTCAATCCATGCTGATATTGATTGCTCACCTGCTGTCCAGTGGCAGCTCAAGAGCTGAGCCACCAATGGCGACGGAGACTCTCCTGCCTACAGTCATATTACCTGGATCAGGTCCATCCGCTGTCTTGCCACCATGGGAAGAAATCGTGCCCATTGCAGAGCTATATCTACTCTATTGTGATTCCCAGCCTCTGCCACTGTTTCATCGGGGCACATTTCTTGCCACTCTTCAGATGCGTGAGCCTGAGATTATTTACGCTATGCTGGCTCTAAGCTTGCGGTTCTCAGATGCTTATACCGATATCAATGAACTCATCGAACTTGTGAATGGCTACGCAGAAGTGGCTCGCGGTCTCGTCATGAAAAGAATCGCCGAGGGGCCAGTAGAGCTCTCGACACTGCAATGCCTATGTCTTTTGAGTTTGGTTGACTTTACGAGTGATTATTTCCCAGCCCGTGTCGTAATAAAGCCGAGCTAACATTACCTACTAGATGGCAGCACCCATCGTTCAAGTATCCACAGTAGCCTTGCAATGAACCTTGCACAGTGCGCGAACCTTGGTTCTGAGTCACGCTCCTCGATGAGTGCGATGGCTCGCGAAGAGCGCCGGCGCTGTTTTTGGAGCATCTGTCTCCTCAAACGACTACATGGTGGCGAATTCTCTCTTCTTGATGTGCCCCAGGACGGAGGCCCTCCTTATCCAGCAAGCCCAACACTTCCAGCCCGGCTTCTTTCTCCAGGCCCGTCCACTCTAGAGATGCGCAGAAGCGATATTCAGGATCAAGGCATCATCACCTACGTGATAATGCTGAGCGAGGTATTTGCCAGAACGACACGATATGTTCGGCTTCATGGCCGACCCAGCAATGTTCCACCGTGGTCTCCGCATTCTGAATACTCCAAAATCCTTAACTTGCTGATGGAAATCGAGACACGCGTGCCTTACACACACCGCTTCAAGCCCGCCAATCTCGGTGAGCGGTCTCTCGAGGAACTACAGGCTAATCGGGAGTACTGGGGCCCATGGTTCCTGAACCAGCTCATGTACCACACTATTTTGTGCCTCCTGAATCACCCCCTTCTGCTTTCTCTGAGTCTTCGCAATTTCCGAAGCACGATCCCTGAAATCTTCCTCCAGCATACTTCCGACTTGATCTCCTCGCACACGACCTGGATCCTTCATTTCCTCAACTACTTCGAAGAGAAATCGTTTTTGGTATCGGATCCGCTACTGGGATATTGCGCTGCCGTCGTGGCAACCATCGAGCTGCAGCTGAGCTTCACCGAGAATCCCACGATCAGGGAGCAAAAACGAGATAGGTTCGCCAAATGTGTCAGATTCGTACAGCAAACAGGTGAGAGGTGGCCCCATATGGCCCGATTGGTATGGATTTCCCTTCCATGTGTCTTTCCTTCAACTCCCAGACTGGCATGAATCAACTAACATCTTCTGGATAATGCACACAGGCACATCGACTGCAGCGGCTGGAAGACGCCGTCTCAGCAACCTACCAGTCCGACCCAGGCGCACAAAACCAGAGCCTCCTCATCGATCTTTCTCGATTCTGGGAAATTCTTGAATATCCGTCCAACAGTGACTCCGACTCTGCTCGGCGTCTGTTTGGAAACTCGCTCTATGCCGGGCCTACCTCAGCCGCTGGAGAAGTGTCTCAAACGTCTCCCTTGCCTGCTCCGACTCGCTTGAATGCCCAGGAAGATGCCCCATCTGGCCTCCGGCCTGATGGATTCTCTACCAATACTGCTTTCCCGAGCTCCCAGGTTTATTCGGGCAGCTCGATTGTCTCGCCACAGCAATTGAGTCTCTCGAATGATGAGTTTTCTATTCTTGCGACGAATTTCTTTTCGCAGGGGCAGGAATTTCTTCGCAGTGGTGTCAATTGGGAGGAGAGTATTGGCAATTTCTAGCGGAGATGCGTTATGCCATCATGCCTGAATTGATATTGATTTTTCTCTTATTACATTTCATACAAATCTACCATATTTATTTCATGACTAAATGTGTATGATACCTAAGTAGGCAGGAAGATTATTTCATATGCATACAATACCTCTTCTACTCCACTACACTCAATGCATGTTGTCCAGTCACGAAGCCAGAGCAATCTTAAGCTCCTCGACAAACTTCCACACCTCAGAGAATGTGTTGTACAGTGGCGTCGGTGCCACACGAACAACCCCAGGCTCTCTCTTATCGCAAATGATCCCCGCATCCTGCAGCCGCTGCGAGACCTTGTGCAACAGTCCAGGCTTGAGCAAGAGACTCAACTGAGCACCGCGCGCATGGGCGTCAGCCGGGGTGATGATGTCAAACAGGCGCGTCTCGTCGGTAGCATCCTTCAGCAACAGGTATTCCAGATATGCTGTGAGCTTGATCGACTTCTGGCGCAGTTCTGCCATCGAGGTCTGATCAAACACTGACAAGGCAGCACACAGAGTGGTGAGGTCGATGACTGAGGGGTTTGAGAGCTGAAAGCCCCCGGCTCCGGGGATGGGCTTGAATTCTGTCGAGGATGAGTACATGTTCCAATGTTTACGGTAGGGTAGAAACATACTATTGTCCATCTTGAATCTTACGGATCGGTCGCCCCCATACCATCCCGTCAACCGGTGGCGGAACTTTGGAGAATCTTCGCCAGCGCTGTAATCCACCTGACCATGCTTTTCGTGCACAAAGAGACCGGCCATCGCCCCGGGTCCAGCATTGCCGTACTTGTACGTGCACCAAGCGGCAAAGTCTACATTCCACTCGTGCAGCTTCACCTCGACGTTGCCGTACGCATGCGCCAGGTCCCACCCGACGGTGAGATTGTGCGACTGTGCGTACTTGGTGATTTGCGGAATATCGAACAGTTGCCCCGTATAGTACTGGATACCCGGGAGAAGGAGGAGTGCCGCCTCATCCGCGTGCTGGTCGATATAGGACAGAATCTTCTCCGTCGAGATTACGTATGTGCCTTCGTCTGGACCAATCAGGACCATGTTCTCATTCGAGTCCAGTCCGTGCCAGGCAATGTGCGACTCGACGGCATACTATAGCGGTGATTAATAGACGCACATATTTGGCTGGTTGTCCACAACTGTAGCCCCAGCAAAGGAAAAAAGAAATCAGACTTACATGATCACTGGGAAATGCCTTCCAGTCCATTAAAATCTTCCTTTTCGTCGCAGTCGGCCTATAGAAGCTAGCCAGCAACAGGTGAAGATTCCCAGTCAAGGTGCCCATTGCAGCAACCTCTGCGGGCGCCGCCCCCACAATCTTCGACATGGACTCGGCTGCCTGTTCTGACAACAATTGCCACTGCTTCATTGGAGAATCTTCGAGATCTGTGAAGTGGCCACACACCCCAATTGAAGACCAGGTGTCCAGCTGCGCTTCCATATACTTCGCAACAGCCTTGGGCTGGATGCCCAGAGAGTTGCCGCAAAGGTAGATGCTTGGCTCAGATGAGAGCCCTGTGATAAGAAATTAGATGATAAAAACTAGAAGAGAGGTTATGCTGAGAGATCATGTACCTGGTTTCGCCAGCTTCTTCGTCGCGAGATTGGCCTTGGAAGGAATGATGAACTTGTCCCGGAACTCCCGAAGAGGGTCTGCTGCATCGAGAGAGGCAGCGTACTCCTTGGATGCGGCCTCAGCTGGGAATATGGGCTTGGGTGTTTTGGCGCCGGTCATTTTGGCGGCAATGCTGTCTGTGTTTCTGGGTGGGAAGCTCCTCTTCACAAGGTGTGTTTTGGTACTAGGAACGCAACGGGATGGCAACAAAGAACAGTCTGCGTTCGAAGGGGAGGGGAGGTCAGCTGCTGGATGAGATAAGAAGCCATGCACGTTCTTGCTTTTTTATAAATACGCCAAATCGGAGACGAGGGAGCTCGCTTCAGCTCAACCCGGATGTTGTTCTCCGTCTTCCGGTCCTCGTTCCGTCCCCACGTCTGCTGCTTCAGTGACTGCGTTGCCGGTGGTGAGGATGTCTCCGTACGTCCTGCGCTTGGATGTGCGTATGGTTGATATTATAATGGACTTTGACGAATTGATAGGATGGTTTGAGATATTTGCTAAGGGTTTCGGCCATATTAATATGAAGTAAAAAGAAATAACTCAATGAAATTACGTGGGTATCTCGTACTTGAAATAAGAAAATAAGACTAAAAGGCAGTATAATGAAAGAATAGACTAATGATAGTTACTGGTTATAGAATACTTTCTTGGGATAGCATTGATCTTTGTAATATAATCCTTGATCTGAGGAATATATCTACTACAACGGTGACACCAACGGCCGAGTCCCGTTGGACACGGAACACGGATAGCGATCCGGGTGTGTTCCGGGTTGTATAGATGCGAGACTAAGTTAGGCCCGATGCAAGCCGCATTGGTATACCCCATCTATAATACTCTCTGTTATTATGGCTGCTTGGGGGGGAAATCTAGTATTTTAATCCCATCCAAGGCTGCCTATTCAATTGTGATGCCCCTCCCTACCCTCGAGCCTGCGACCTAAAAGAATCTACCTACGTTGTGATTGTGGATGCGCAAAAGCCATCCCCTTTTTTCCTAGTACTATCAACCATGTTACAATCACCAGAAGTGGCTCTTGATGAGTATGCTGTTTCATCTGAGCATGGTTTCCTTCCCGATGGCCTGCCTCTGCCGGCGCTCAATCAACCCTACTATGCACCCTGGGAGACTCTGGCGTATCGACTTCCAAGTCTCATCCAGACAGGCCAAATTCGATACTTGATTAATGACCTTCCCATTCTTTCTCCCTCATGGCTGCAGACTGAGGCAGAGTGGCGTCGGGCTTATGTCGTCCTCGGGTTCCTCACCCATGCCTATATCTGGGGAGGAGAGAAACCGCGCGATGTGAGTGAGCAATACTCAGATTGAGAGACGCTCGTCCGCACCAGAAGAAGAATCTCATAGCAATAAATCCACAGGTCCTACCATCATCCATCTCAAAGCCCTTCCTGGAGGTTTCATCCCACCTCGAACTGCCTCCCTGCGCCACCTATGCAGGCCTCACTTTGTGGAACTTCACTACCACCCACCCGGAAGCAGACATCACCAACCCAGACAACCTGACCCTCCTCACCTCGTTTACTGGCACGAAAGATGAAGACTGGTTCATCGCTATCTCCGTCACCATTGAAGCCAAGGGCGCCAAGCTCGTCCCCTTGATGCTTGATGCTATCGCCGCCGTCACGGCCAGTGACATTCCGCGCCTAACTGCGCTGCTATGTCAGTTTACCGACAGACTCCAGGACCTCAATGACACTCTCAAGAGGATGTATGAAAAATGTGCGCCGGCGGTGTTCTTCCACCAGCTGCGCCCCTTCTTGGCCGGTAGCAAAAACATGACCACGGCGGGGCTGCCATATGGCGTGTTCTATGATGTGGGAGATGGCCAGGGCGAGTGGCATCAGTACAGTGGAGGCAGCAATGCACAGAGCTCTTTGATTCAGACATTTGATATCTTCCTTGGAGTCAATCACTCTGCCACTGGTGAGATCAGACCACCGGGGACGGGATATATCCAGGTAAGTCTATTGCATTCTGGTTTACTCTTCAGTGTGCAGAACTCCTAGTCTAATAAGTTCCAGGAAATGCGCAACTACATGCCCGCTCCTCACAGACGCTTCCTCGAAACCTTCTCTGCTCTATCCAACATCCGGCCCTACATTCTGTCTTCGCAGGCCGAATCCCCCGCCAAAGAAGCATACAACGCAGCCGTGTTGACCCTCAGCTCTTTCCGTGATACTCATATCCAGATCGTCTCCCGGTACATCATCATGCCGTCCAGGACTCGCGCGCCGGTCGAACTCGACCAGGCGGCACAGGCCCATCGGGTTAACCTTACGACGGCCAGTTCTCAGGTCAAGGACTTGGGTGAAATGAATCGTACTGGGCTTTATGGGACGGGGGGACGAGCTTGATTCCTTTCCTGAAGCAAACCCGGGATACGACGAAGTCTGCTACCTGTTGACGAGGCTGAACAAAGCCTTGATGCCGTGAAGAACTTACTTTATTATCTTGTTGGACATATCTATGAGAGTGGTGAGATTAAATGATTTAATGGCTCAGCCTTTAATGGTTTGCTATCATTTGCAGGTATAACTCAATAAGTGTACTGCATCACATGGTCCGTTCCATATTTGTAGCCGGGAAATGTGTATCGGTGGTAGGTGTTATCACTTCACGACCTCCAACCACGCAAACCCATCAAGGCTGCGACTGGTGCTGTGGCCATGGGAAGCGGATCACGCGGTCTCGCGCCAGTCATTCGAATAATCTGACAGGTCATGTCGAAACTCAGGTGTCACCATGGACACCAGCAGTGAAATCAGGGTCTTCTGAGTGTAGACCATCGATGCAGCCTCGCTCATGGTATAGTGACACCGAAATAGCCCCTAGAAACAGGCGGAAGATGGCAATAGGACCACGGCTGCCTGGGGCTATGCAGCCCACTCCCGGCAGACCAGCTTCCGGGACATTTAGCAGAGAGGCAGTTGGTGCAGATCCGGAATGGATCGGGGCGCGTGCCCCTCGCAAGTTTATCCCGACGGGATCTTTGAAGGCATGCCACAACGGGCCTTCGCGAGATCGAAGGTAGAAAGTAATCATCTCTTCTTGGTCGTAGCAGGAACACCCTCACTTTCACGAAGCTCAGCCAAGGTCTTTTCGCGCGCAACCAAGCGTTCTTTTTCCTCTTTGATCATCTGCTCAACCGTTTTGGTCGCCTCGGCCATGCGATCGAGCTCCTTGTTCTCGGTCGTACGACTGTACGCATTTTTGGGGCCGTCATTCAATGGAATCTGCGCCGTTCGGCCCTGCCCGCCCTGTTTGGCATTCTTCCCCTTCCCTCTCGCCAACTGGCCTGCCGCAGAGCCTCCGGTGAGGACTTCGTAGAATGGCTCTACCGGCTCGTTGAAAAGGATCTCCTCATAGTTCTGGCTAACCACCACCTCGCGGCGCTCCTTCATTCCCTCAGCATCTGGCCCATACGGATGCAGTTTCAGGCTGTGCCACAGCGTCTGCGGCTTCTCGTTCGACTCGGGCACAAAGTAGAGTTTGATCTGGATCTCGAATTCTCCCCAGCCGGTCTCGACGACCTCGAATGGAGGCTGCTCGATCGTGCGTACGTTCTGCGCATACGTTTCGTGGAGCTTGAACTGGACCTTCTTCAGCCAGTAGGAGATGTCCTCGCCGTTGATGCCCTTGACAAACACGCGCCATTGGTGGGTGTGGTCGACAGGGGCATTGGCCGGCTTTTTCTCGGGGTCGAAGAGTTGCGCTTCGCTGCCAAAAACTGTGCTTGTCAGCTAAATATCTTCCACCTGATTTCTTGTCGACATACTGAATGGACGGAACACCGAAACGCCCTGCGAATTTGGCGGGTTAGTTTTGGTTGCATTGTGGTTTTCAAGGGGGTGGGCTCACTCACTCGGACGCGCTTGTTTCCAGTAGCAGATGGCATATTTTAGAGTCTTTTGTTGATTCTGTAATTTTCGAGGGGATTGAAGTGATGCAGAGGCGCAATGAATGAGGCGATTTGGTTGCGATAATCGTGAAAGGCATTCGAGGAACACGTGACCCAGTGACGGCATGCCATCGGAGCTACCAGCGGGACTCTTACGAGCTCAATGCTCCATTATATTTCACCCACCATTGGCCAAAATCAGAGACTTTCAGTTTCAATATCTGCAATTATCTGACTGTGGGAATATGACTGCCAAAAGACTAGTCGTCGCTGGAGGGAGTGGGTTCTTAGGTTTGTGACGCCACATTTGATACGGAATGCGATTGTCAGTGTTGCTAACTTGTTGTTTTAGGGTCTAGAATCTGTAAATCAGCAGCAACCAGGGGCTGGTCGGTCACGTCATTGAGGTACTCCTTTCTCGCCGAGACCCTTGACATGTTCAATATGCTTAGAACTCTTCTAGTCGATCCGGCGAGCCGCGGTGGGATGCAGTCACCGAGTCCCGAGATCGCCCCATCTGGGCAAGCTCGGTGGAGTGGGCGAGGGCTGATATTCTGAAGCCAGAGAGCTACAAGCCATTTTTGAACGGTGCCTCTGCTGTGGTTCATACCATGGGTATCCTGCTCGAGGCCGACTACAAGGGCGTGGTTCAAGGCCGGGAACCGGTTGTCAGTGGGCTACAACGCGCCTTTAGCTCGTCCAAGCTGGGGAGTCAGAACCCACTTTTGAGGAGCGAGGGCGAGGCACTAGAGCCCAAGGAAAAAGATGGACAATTGACTTATGAATTGATGAACCGAGATTCAGGTGCGTGCAAATGCGACAGAGCTAAAATGGTCATAGGCGAAAGCTAACACATTAATTCTTGAAATAGCTATTGCGCTGGCCCAGGAGTCTTCGACTGAGCATGTCCCAACCTTCGTCTACATTTCCGCCGCTGCAGGGGCACCAATTCTTCCGGCTCGGTATATCACCACCAAGAGAGAAGCAGAGGCAACCATCACAACAACGCTTCCTGATTTGCGAAGTATCTTCATGCGCCCGGGATTTATGTACGACTCCAGCAGGAAATTCACACTGCCAATCGCACTGGGCGGCTTCGTGGCCTCCGAGTTCAACACCCTCCTCGGGAACAAGCTTCAATTCCTCGGGTCTATGGCGGAAAAGCCCCTCAAGGTCGATGTTGTGGGTGAAGCAGTGGTCGAGGCACTGGAGGACGAGTCCACCAAGGGTGCAGTGGGAACAAAACAGATTGAAGCGTTGGCAACAAAGGCCTGGAGAAAAACAATGCTGTAGTTTGGCCGGTTTGTCGAGGGGTTTTTTCAGCAGCTGCAGGAATTTCCGCTCGCTGATGACCCAAGTCTTGTTCCTTTGGGTGACTTAAATATCCAATCCATGTACAATATTGTTTTCATAGTCGCATTAAATCATGGTTCCACGTTCGAAACTGTCCCGGATCTCGGTCGTGTACTAAACCAATGTCAGTGGGCATGCGACGGAATTGAGAGCACCAAGAAACGTACCTTGTTGTAGAACCGAGACAGTTTCTGGTTGAACTGCTTGTTCTTCTCGTTGATGTATGTCACGTCCGCCTCTTCGTCGCCGCGGCGCTCCTTGCGCTTCTTGAGGCGCACCTCCTCGGCCTTCTGGAGATCGCCCACCAGTCTGTCCACCGCCGCCCGGTCTGGTTTGTTGTCCGTGAAGCCGACCGTATCTGCAGTGGAATAGAAGCTGCCGTTTTTGTCGACCGCGATCATCTCTCCGTCGTTGGTCTCCACGATCTCCAGGTCACCATTGGCCGCAGCCCTTTCGATTGCAGCCATCTTTTCTTTCTCGTATCCTTCCAAATTTGGCTGCAGCTCTCTCATCTGTCTCTTGTACACCTTCCGGGCATCCTGAGTGTAGTCCTGGAATGCCACATCGTCCCGGTGACGTTGCTTCTTTTCCAAGCGCCTGTCCCATTTCTCGGACTCGTCCACGGTCCAGTCCCATGCGCGTTTGCGCTCAAAATCTTCACCAGCAGCTTCCGTATCCGCTTTGAGGAGGTTGTGCGACGCAAATGCATGTTTGCGCGACAGAGTATTCAGGAGTGCCGGGTCCGTAGCCAGACGCTGGGTTTCGGCTGCAGTCTCTTTCAGGTTGCGCTCGGCGCCGGATTTCTATGGCCGAGTCAGTAATGCGACACGGGACCAAATCGGTTCTTGAACCACTTACTGCTCTGGCTTGCAGGGCTTTAAACCTTGCCTGCCTTTCGCTCGCCTTTGAAGCTGCATCGCTCTCTTTCTCGTTCACATTTTGTTCGGATGAGTCTTGAGTTTCTGTTTGCTCTTCGGGGCGTTCTGTGCTGGCCTCATCTTTCGTCGCATGCTCAGAACTTCTGGTACGAGGCATTTTTGGTCTGTATTAAATAATTTCCCACAGCAAGTCAAGGATTTGTGGTGATTTGGATGCTCGTGAGGGTGATGAAAGAGACAGAGAAGTTGGTGGAGGCTGAATCGAAAGTCAGGAATGACCTCCGCCTCACCGCCATATTCACCGCTCTCCCATCTGCCGGACGACCCCGGACTGTCAGGCCCCTTATCGCCTTGTTTATCTCCCCCATCTCCACTCTCAAGAACTGGACTGAACTCCAAAGCTCTCTCTGTTCATAATGGGGAGATTGCATTCTCGATCTCTACTGCAACTTAGACAACAATGCAGGACCCATTGTCTAGCTACACCATCTGTCCGCAATCTCTACACACGGGGCCATACTTTCCGGAAACAGTCTCCGCACGACCCATCGCCTTCGGAATTGCTTCGATTTACCCTGACAGGGTCCCCAGAGCCATTGCATGGGTCTCAGCCCAATTCATCTTTGCGTGAAAGGTTGTATGAGCTTTTCAATCGTGATTGGCCATCGAACAGCCCGCCCACTGCTCTGTGGACATCTCTTAAAGGTGTTTCTCCGGGGCGTCAGCAAGAATTGGAGAGAGGACTCGATGAGAGAATAGGTGATCTACCAACGCTGAGAAGTGCCATTGAGAGGCGAGTGGTCGATGCCCCAGGGGCTGAGCTCTTACAGAACAACGATTGCGAGGAACTGTACCGGATTCTGCAACGTTGTCAACGGCAAGCCTCATTAGCGGAGATCCTCTCGACGTTGAATGATGTTGCCGCAAGGCTTGTCCGTCTCGACCTTTCGATTCAGCCTCAAATATACGAACTTGGCATGTATTATGCAATGCTAGATCTTTCAGCTCCGGCTCTCAAACACTTCCTTAATGGCCACCACGCTTTGGGTTTTCCACCAATCAGCCCGTTTGCGAGCACTCGGATGGTTCAGGCCTGTGTTGATGCTCTTGATGCAATGGCTTTTGAGAGCCCAGATTATGATCCAGAACCCATACTCATGGAGATTACGGGAGAGGGAGACCCCTATCCGCAAGATCGACCCAGATTACACGATGTCCTGAGTTGTCTGCGCAACCCAAGAGGTTACTTCTACTTACTTGGAAAACTCCAAGGTGATGAAACACTTTTTGCCACATGGGATAAATTCCTGGAGAGTTTTGACTGCAAATCTAAGGCAGCCTGCTTCTCTTCCTATGGTGTTGTGGAGGCCCTTGTTCAGAGCGGTCGTCCAGAAACAGCTTCCAAGTTCCTCGAAGACATTTCTCAGCGCTGTGGGGATAATCTACCTTCAATTGCAAGGTTTCGAGAACTACCGGTTCTACTCAATGATCCCATTGTGGGTGAGGCGTTACCCGACTTGGTCAGGGGCGATGACTATCTCAGGTTGCTTGAGACTAGCTTACATGACATGGAACTGAGGATGGGCATTCGATGGGAGTCGGATCAAGAGGCTCATGTCGGTCTTGCCTCTGAAGTACCGTGGGAAACCTTCGAGGACCACCCATTGTTCACGATGGATGGCGAATCGGCTGGATATGAGCATCCAGCCCGCCTTCATTTCGAGCTTCAAACTTATGGTCGTTCCAAGTCACCAGTGGACTTGGGTCGGATCGTGGATCTGTTGAATGATGGCGAGGCAACCTCGATCAGCGTGAATCCCATGCTCGACTTTAACATGCGTCGGATAGAGGCCTTTCGCACAAAGCACCCGTCTCTCGAATTTCGCTGCACGTTCGAGCATTCGCCAATCGAATTCACCGACAGTCGGCTCCCAACTTTGCACGACTCGTCGTGGTGCTGGACTCCATCCACTCTTGGCTTGATTCGGGCTCGCTTGATCATAAATGGCATCCCCCAGATGGGAAGGCACTGTCTACATCTTATGCAACTGGGCTCTATGGATATGCGATCCGGACCCGACCAACCATGGCAACCATCTGGATATATTGTGACCTGGGACCGCCAATTCGGCGGTATGCTTGGTGTGTATGTTGGGAAGGGCCATGGAGTTGTCAATCGCGGACCAGTGCCACCGGATGCGCCCTTTGGAGCTTTGATGCATCTGCTGCCGTCAGAGACCGGCCGTGGTAGGGCATCCGGTCGCGACAGGCGCCCAACCTTCCAATCTGGGCGGGTATATGATGGACCATATTATTTGGATGTTGATCCCAGCCGAGACCTTGTCTTGTGATTATGAACGCGCTTGGCTCGGGTATGAAGTAGAATTCTGGGACTCATGCGAATACTCTGCAGGTGCAGGGAACTTTGAAGACATGAACGACCTAAGGGACGATCTTGCATGTAAATAGGGAATTGTACATAGTTGACCCTGGTTTTTTTTTTTTTTTTTTTTTTTTTGGCCAGCATTGCAGCATGCCAGGGATGAACACCCGAGAGTCTGGGAAGAGGGACACTTCTCTTCTGCACCTGACTGCTCCATCCCAAACTGGTACTCTACATGTCCATCGCTTCTTGCCAACGGGGATTTTCCCTGGTAGCAACGTCTCGGGATCGTCGTGATCAGCAGTTTGTCTGGATTTTCATCCCTGCCAGGATCTTCTGGGTCTCTGGGTCTCTGGGTCCTCGCTATCGCCCTGATTCCCACGACACGCACTGAGCTGGCTGTTTCCACCGGTCCTTGAGCCAAGGCATCGGGTCACGTCATCCCAGGATCGACGGTAAGGATGGGAACAACGTTCAATTGCCACAGTATGGGGCGCACAGCGTCACCGGAATTCTTCTCAGTACTTCGCTCTGCACGGCAAGCCGTTCGCAGGCCGTTCATCAGATAATCCTCTGCTCGCGAACCATGAGCACATGGAACCGCCCAGTGCCTTGGGATGCAGCTCTGCACTAGGCTGAAGCAGTGGAGCGCTCCGCAAGGGCTCAGCGCAGCCACGACGCTTTATCGATGGAGCCGAGCAGCTCCCAACAAATGAGCACTCGATGCTTTCCAACACTGGCAAGTGACGACAGCCATGGGTGGCTCACCCCCTTGACAGGCTCCACTGGTGCTTTCCAGGGTTTCGCCCCTCTGGTCCGTGCAAAGCAAACTCAAACAGCAACTTGACAAGGCTTGTCTCCATGAACTGGCACGTCTCTCAATGACTCGCCGCTGGGGCCTCTGTTGAAATCTTGAAAGTGATTCGCGTATTTCAAATCCACCATCTCTGCTTTGCTGCTTTGAGAACCAGAACCTAAACAAATAAGGAACATCTGTCGCTACATTACCTGCCAAATCCTGCCGAGATCCACCGGAGGACCGAAAATAGGACCTGCCATGCAACGGCGCTGAAATTCCTGGTAAGCTGACTTGTTCCAACAGGTCCGCACGGAGCTTGACTGGGGCCGACTAGCAGAGAGCCCACTCTCGAGGGACCACTTTGACGCAGTTCCCAAGATCCGCTCTGTGGGGTCAGAGCAGATCGTCCAAAGGGGAGGAGAAACGCTTGCCAAGCAAATAGCCACTCCCCAATCACCAGTGGCAGTCTCGCAGACCCATCGCGGTGCTGGCTGTGATTCGAACCGGGAGACACCAGCTCAGCCCGTCCAAGGGTCGGTCAGCATCCGACAGATCGACGGTTGCCCCCGTTCGTTACACAACTTCCAGGGAAGTAAACCAACACCCCTAAGAAAGAGAAGCCCTCGCATGGGATGCCAATAGCAGAGTCCCACAATTGACCGGCTTTCTATCCGACCGACCCTTTGACTGTCTCTTTCAAGACTTCGGAAAGCCTCGGGGCGAGGCATCAGTTCTCTCTGTCAGGAACGCGATCTAGTTCGACCATGTCCACACGCACATTGGCAATGGAGACACATCCACACACACCCACACCACTTGCACACACACAGACCTCCTTTCTCGTGGCAAATTCATGTCCTCTCGGCCCGTCCCCCCGGCTCTTCCCTTTTTTTTTTTCATTGTTCATCGGTGGGCACAGCACCAATGGTAGCCCATGGCCAGATGGGGTTCTGCTCCAAAAACATTCTATAATTTTTGATTTTTTTTCCCCTCCATCTCTGTTGTTCCCACTATTCCCACCTCCCCCGTTCCCTGTCATATTCATTTTTTTCAAGTGATTGGACAGCTCGGGGAGGCCGGGAGGGAGAAACCCCAACTGCCCGTGGACATCATTCTCGAAGGGACTCTGCACCGCTGCACCGAACAGAAGAAACAACAGGGAAAAAAAGAAATATATCCCCCGTTTCAGGCAGGTATAGATCCATTCCCTCGGGTCGACTTCTGGCGTCATGGGGAGTTGACTTTGCCAGCGAGTTATCAGATGCCTCTTGACCGCAGGCAGATCCAGGATATGCATTTCAATGTTGACGTGTTTCTTCGGCATACTCTTCTCCATTGACATACATGTTTAAACTATCCATCTGAGGCATCCAGCCCCGATTGCTCGTGCTTTGCCTGACCGCTTCGTGGGTCGCATCTAATGCCTGCGAGCTAAAAAATACGGATACAAAAAACAAACAAATAATAATTTTTTTTTTTTTAAAAAAAAAAAACAGGCAAAAAAGAAAAAAAAAACCCCCAAGAGACAAAACTTCCCCCACTCCCCTTCTCAAAAGACAACAGTTTCTCCACACCGGCAATTCCTGACTATACAACGGGCAGTTCTCCATTCAACAAAGAGCTGGCAGAGGGCCCGCACGGGTCCCAGTTGCGATTTGGCATAGATGTCGAGGCCGCCGTCGCAGCAATGGGGACATCCCACGCCAGACAGGCCGTACCTCGACCCGGCCTCCCGTTCCCATCCCAGCGGCCCGATGCCCATGCCCTATCAGCCCTATCCGCCTCATGAGCCGCGACATTTCGGACAACTCGCCTTCGATCGTCCCGTGCTAGCCTCACCACCGGGCCCCAGGTTGCCAGCCCCGGGCCAGTTTGCCGACCCCGGCGCCGACCCCAGATACCTACTCGCCTCCGACAATGCCTACATGGCTCGTCCTGCCATGCCGCCCCAGTCGCTTCCGCTACGATCCCACCACCGTGGTGGTGCCCCTGCTGATCCGCGCACCTACTCTGGCCAGCTCGACGATGGCTGGAGTTCGTTGTTCGGCCATGGCCGCGGTTATGATGCCCCCCCAGGCCGGACGTACGACCTGGAGTCCCAGTAAAGTCCCTTTCTTTTTGTCCGTTGTCCTTGTGTCGATTTGATCTATTCCTCTATCTGTCAGTCGTCCAGTGCCCTGGCGCGATGTTTCTTTTTTTTTTTTTTTTCTTGTAATGATGTTCGAGCGTGCTTCTCTTTCCCTCCCTCTCTCCAGGATACACATGGAGCTTCAATCCATGTATGTCCTGGTTTGGGAAGAACTCGCACGAACAAGGGAGACATCGGCACAAGACATAACAAAATGAGCTGGGTCTGACACCTCAGAAACACCATGTACACAGGCACAGCAGCAGCTCGACGACAATACCCAGCCCCGTCCACTCAGAAACCAGCGCCGCCGCCGCAGCATATGCGCGCAACCCAGCAGCACCCAGCACGCCGCAAGACCCCCCAACCCCGAAAACGCGCACCGCCAGCTCGCGTGTCCCGCACGGCTTCGACAAGCTCCTACACCACGACTCGGACTCACTCCCAGCGCTATCACCCAGGCCACCACCGCGGCGCTCCGCCCCAGAAGACCGGTACCGACTCCACGTACGGCAGCAGCCCCTAGCGGCACGAGCCTGCGGCGCGGGAGACCGAGACCGGCGGCCCGTCGACCCACCGCCCATCGTCCAGATCCTGCTCGAGGACTTCGATTCACACTCGCAGGACGACCACGACCTCCTCCAGAACCCGCGCCTGACCGTCGGCTGTCTCCTCTTCCCCGTCGAGGCGTCGTCGCCCTGGTCGCAGCCCTCGGACGCCGACCCGCGCGACCCAGACGACGCCTTCTCCACGCCCCTCTTGTCCGGCAAGGCGTTCATGTCCCCGTTCTTCGTGGACGCAGATCCGGACCCCAACTCGGCTCCTATTCACCCCGTCTCGGGTGCCGATGACCCTGCGAGTCCTGCGGGCCAGCCACCATCCTACCCGCATCCCAAGCGTGCGTCGCTTCTCCATCAGCCTGCTACGTTCTTTATCTTTGCGGATCTGTCGATTCGCTCGGCTGGGCTGTATCGGCTACAGTTCCGGTTGATGGACTGGGGCTCCGTCGAGGATACGGGCCATGAGATGCCCATTCTCTCGGAGGCTTGGTCTGATCCCTTTCGCGTGTACCCGGCCAAAGATTTCCCGGGCTTGCAGGATTCTTCGATTCTGGCTGAGGGGTTGAAGGAGCTGGGGTTTGTGGAGCTGAAGACGAGAGGGAAAGGGAAGGGCAAGGGTAGAAAGAGATGGTGACATCTCTCTCTCGCTCTCTCTTTCTCTCCACTTGTCATTTCTTTTGTTTGTTTTTCTTGGTATGATCTCATTCCTCATTGTATTCGGTTGGTCTGTTTGGGTCGATTTTATTTTTGGTATTCTGTTGGGCTGCGCTTGGGGTTGGGGACAAGATGAAAACTGGATTCCACTGTGGATTGAACCGGGGCGTTACTTTGTTTTCTTCTTTTCTTTTGTTTAACTGTCTCTCTCCTTTCCATGACGAGGTGAGATGGGACTTGGTGGTGCATGACCGGCTGTGGTGGCATCATGTTCTCTTTAGATATCCAGCATGGTTGGTGGCGGACGGAACGGCGAGAGTAGAACTCGAAAGGTCTTTATCAAAGAAAAACCACAGGGAACGGTTGGGGTAAAAAAAGCATATTCACAATAAATATACAAGGTATATAGAACACAGAATAAAGATGGTATGAGTACAGACAGTAGGCGTTATTCAGAGAAGACAACAATCTTCAACTTCGAAAGAGATAGACAGAGAGAGATATTTAATCCAAATTCAATAGATCCCGAGTAAAAGGAGATTTAAGGTTAGGCTCATGCCATCTCTGCTTCATCTGCGTCATCCTTCTCGTCCAGAGTCGCGCATACTCTTCGGCATGCCACGAGTCCTCACCCGGTTTCAGGCGTTGAATATCTCCTGGTTTCTTCTCCGCCATCTCGAGCAAGTGCAGTCCGGTTTCCAGGTCGCCGTCCTCGCGCATCAGAAACGCCAGGATCAACGCTGCTTTGGCATTTTTGTGTGCGTAGGCCAGTTCATACCAGTCGACAGCGAGCTTGCGATAATTCTCGCGGGGCATGGATTGGTTGAAATATGAGGAAGCCCAGCCAGTCATCGATTTGAGGGTTGCCATGACAAGATTGGGGCCGCTGGACTGCTCGTCGGCTTTATTGCTTTGGCTCTTCGGTGGAGGTGTGCCGGCTTTTCGCTCGGCGCGGGTGGGATAGTATCCCAGGGCGGTTGCCAGGTAGAAGTTGGCTAGAAACAGGCAGGGGTTTGCCAGGCCGGTCGTCGCAGCCTTGGTCATATACTCCTCGTACGCTTCCATGTCACCCTGGACGCGCATCATGGTGGCTTGTTCTGCTAATGCCTGGCCCTCTTGGTACGTCATCGCCGCCGTACGAATAGCCTTTTGCATGGCCTCGCCGTTGCCTTCTAACCCTGTACAAGTGGCATATAATCTCCAGGGAGAGATCAGCCGCCCGCCCAGTGTAATGTCCTCCCACGAGGTGGGCGCACGCTGGGTTGAAGAACAATAGGGAAGAACATGTTCCTTGAGGAGGCTAGCTGCCTCTGCGGGCCGGCCGCGCGCAAGGAGAATCTCCGCCTGTAGCAACATGGCGGGCGGGAATTTGCTTTCGGTGGCCATCTTCTTGATCTCGTCCGTCCACTCCGTGTGGGGAGGGACTTTGATGTGGTCCATGTTTCTTTTAGTGATAATAATAAGAGGGATGCGCGCTTTCGCCATCGCGCAGGACGATGTGACCCATTCCCAGAAGGGCCGGTCATCGTGAGACACAATATGACCAAGCCGGTAGACCGCATCCACGTCTATTGTTAATCAAGTTAGTCAATTGACCCTTCACGGAAACAGATTCTATCCCCATCACTTACCAGAAGAGATCGCCCGGATCGCTTGCGCATTCGGCAGAGCCCGATGTGAAGCTACGACCAATTTTGTCCCCACTTCCTTGAATTTCTGGAAGTTGATTCCCTTCGGCACCTGGTTTCCACTGAGAGCAAGGCGGAAAAGAGGCGTTGCATTCTGTAGGAATTCCTTGAGATGCTCTTCGTGGCTGTCTGACAGGAGGTGCAAATAGAAGCCATTCTTGTCCATTGGCCCCGCCGGTGTTTCCCACGCATTATAGGTGACCTGATTTTGTGCCCGCATGGCAGCAGGAGATCTCGCTCCTGGACCCCGCCAGGGTCGAGGTTGAGTACTGTGAAATGATTGTTTTGTTGTCGGGGCGGTTTGGTTGTTGGGCGGGTGTGTTTTTCGCGCTGAGAGGCGGGTCGTCGCGCTCGAGCTAAGGAGAGTGGGAGGTGCTGGTGAGAGGGATTGATGAGGTCTCAGCCATGACAGAAGAGAGCCGGGTGGCCTCGACATGGCGTGGTGGGGGAGAGAGAAAGGCGAGAGAGGGAGTTGAGGTTGAGGTGAAAAAGTGCGGAGCGGAGCTTATCCGCATCGACGGTGCTAGGAGCGCACATCACATCGTCAATACCAAGCTTCCTACAATTTACAACAATCTACAAAGCAAAACCAGAAAACAAAAGTCCCAAGTCTTATGCTCAAATGCATCGATTAAATCAAACGAGCCCTCTATACCAGACGGGCTCTTAACACAATGCGTATAATGTACAGTACATTTGCCCATCTCTCCCTCCATCATCTCTTGCTCTCTTTCGAACAGTTTTACTCCATGGTCGCCTTCGCGCCAAGTCCCTTGAGCGTCTCAATAATCTTCTCCGCCTCCTCCTTGGGCACCGACTCCTTCATGACCTTAGGCACGGCCTCGACGAACTTCTTGCTGTCCACCAGCGACAGACCGAGCAGGGTCTTGATCTCCTTGATGACCTTGGGCTTAGAAGCCGCCTCGAACGAGTCCAGTTTCAAGTTGAACAGTGTCTTCTCGGCCGCCGCGGGCGCGGCCTCTTCCTCCTCCACTGGTGCGGCGGCACCGGGGGCTCCGGCGCCGGGGGCCATGGCGAAGCCGCCCACAGGCATGTCGGGGATGTTCAAGCGGGTCTGTCGACGGAATTATGCGTAAGTCAATTGTTCTTACGGGAAAGCATTGAGGTATATCGATAGCCATGCAAGTGCGTATATGTTCCCCAATCATCGGCAAGTCATGGATAAAAAAGAAAAAAGTAGATCACATACCTTGAGAGTAGACACCAGGTCCGCCGTCTCCAGCAGCGTCAATTGGCTGATCTGATCAACAATTGGCGCGATCTTCGGGTTCGCCGGAGCGGCAGCTGCTTCGGTCGACTCCCATCGCCGGCTGCTGGGCGTGCTGCGGGCTGTGGGCAGATATGTAGCGGAGGTCGCGATGCGCAGGGAGGACGGGCGGACAGAGCCGGAGAAGTGTCTGCAGCAGCGGGCTGCAGCTTGGACGGGGAGGGCCATGGCGATGGAATTGAGTATGAAACTCGAAAACGCGAGGGAGAATTAGTTGATGGAGGGGAGGGAAGTCGAAGGGACAGCTTAACCGCGATCTCGCGAGCAAAAAGAACGAGTTTCGGGGAAAATCTACGCGTCACGTGGTGTATTAGATAAGCGAGTTTCGATGCCCATTTGGGAAGAACAAATACATCCATAGATTGAGACTCAAATGATCCAAAACCCATTGGAATAAGATATCAAATCAAGTATAAAGCAGCTTTAGACACTCTTGTAGTGATATTCTACAATAAAAGGGGGGAATCAAGCCCAGAAACCTTGTATTATACTCAGCTGTACACACCACAGATTTTTTCTTTTCGTGAGATTCGTCGTATGGAGATCTATCACCGTGCTCACGGTCTACCGCTTAATCCTCATCCCAGTTGGGGTTCGGTCCCGGCGGTTTCGGCCCACCAGCCTGGCGAGCGACGATGATCTGGTCGACGCCAAGTACCGTCCGAGCAGCCTCGCTGGCCAGCCGGATGGCCCAGCTCTTGGACGCCATCAAGTCCAAAATGCCCTCCTCGACGGCATCCAGCGTACCGGCCGAGGAGCCGACCTCAAGATCAACACCCGTAGTCCAGTAGGGCTCCTCCTCGTCAGACGAGCTACCCTCCTCTTCCTCTCCGGAGGATTCGGACTGGCCGTTGGCCGTGGTGGTGCGGTGGTGCGCGGTGTACAGGCGGGAGAGCACCTCGGTGGCATCCAGACCAGCAGACTCGGCCAGCGTGCGCGGGATGACTTCGAAAGCCTCGGCGTACTTTCGGATGGCATGTTGCGGCAGGCCCGGGGTCTTGTCGGCGAAGTTGGAAATGCGCTCGACGAGCTGGATCTCGGTGGCACCGGCGCCGGGCACCAAGCGCGGGTCCTTGGTGATGGCCTTGACCACGTTCACGCCGTCGTCAATGGCGCGCTCGACATCTTCCAGGTGGTTCTGCGTAGCACCGCGCAGCACGATGGTCGCCGTGCGAGTCACAGCGTTGGCATCCTCCTGTCGGAAAACGGTGACACGATCTCCACCAATCTCGGTCGTCTCAACCACATCCACGGCGCCCATCTCGTCCGGCATGGGAGCGCCCAGGCGGGCCAGCGGCGTCGCACCGACCACGCGGCACAGACGACGAAGCTCGAACTTGGAAAGAATCTTGACCACCAAGATGTTAAACCGGTTGAGGTAATGCATGGCCAGTTCGCCGACAGTGGAACCTGCCACGACCACACGGAGTCCGGAGTCGTAGAGCTCCTTGATCGCAGTTTCCAGACGCTCCTCCTCGCCCTTGGTGTAGTCGACCATCTCCTGTGCGTTTTTCAAGAGTACCGTGCCCTTGGTCTCGGTCTGGCTGACGTCGATGGGGCAGCTGAATACGCCCACCTTGGCCTTGCGGGCCTGCTTGACAATTCCATCCGGCTCCCGGCCGAACACCATACCCTTGATCACCCGAGACTGCTCCAGGCTGCCACCCATGATCTTGACGACCCGCACATTGTCGACGTTGAAGTTGAGGGGGTTCTTCGGCAGCACCGCGAGCACTGCCTCCGCAACCAGATTCGCCAGGATATCCTCCGTACCAGACTGCTTGCTCGCCACGACCGTCCGCAGAGCCTTGCTGAGCTCCGTCTGCGACCGCATCTCCTGGAGCCGGTCGACTTCGAGTTCTATCAAAAACCAAGCTGTCAGTCAACACCATCCCACACTGTGCAGCTGGGGGGAAAAGAGAAAAAGAAAGGGGGAAAAAAAAGAAACATACCCTCTAGAACCTTCAAAGCAAAGTTCGAAGCCTTTTCATATCCCTGCACAATATCACTCGTCTTCAACCCCAAGCGAATCAACTCCTCCGCCTTCTTAAGCAGCTCGCCCGCCAGCACAATAACCAGGTTAGTACCGTCCCCCATCTCCGCATCCTGCTGCTGGCTCGCCATAACGAGCAGCTTCGCCGCGGGATGCACGACATCGAGCTCGCGCAGGATAGTGGCGGCATCCGAGGTTAGAATCATCTTCTGCAGGTGGTTGATGACGATCTTGTTGCGGCCGTACGGGCCCAGCGAGGTCTGCACGGTCTGCGAGATGGCCTGGCAGGCCTCGATGTTGCGGATGACGGCTCCATCTTCGGCGTCGTGGCTGTATTTTCAGAAAAAGACACATGTTAGTCAATTGATTCATGGCCAGTCTTCCCCCTTCCTCTTTTTCCCGCTATGGTTCAGGGGGAGAGATCCAGATAAGGAGGCGTAGTTTGCGGTGGGGGATGGAGTCCGCTGCCTTCGTTTTTATTCCCACTCACCTCTGGTACCCAGGCTTGAAGAGACCCGCTTGCGAGGGCCCTGGGATAGATAGCGACATGGTCAAAGGTCGCGTCCGAGATTGGAGGCGACGTAATATGAAGGTGTTGATGTAGAAGGGGGGAGATTGGGCTGCTGTGCCGGGGAATTTTTGGAGCTGTGGTGGGTTTGCTCTGTTTGCACGAGGGGGGAGCCCACCAGTTGACTCCCCCTCGAACTTGAACATACAGGGAAATTTAGAATATATTACAGGTATTTCAACGGGTGATTATCTATTTGATACGAATAATTACAAATAATTACACTACTTCCCTCTCTTGGCCTCCCATCACTCCCAATTATGCGACTCATGCGCGCTATATGCATCCTGGAAAGCGGGCACTGCGCAGGAATAAGATCAGCAACCCGGCGTCGAAGGGCGAAGAACTCTTGTAAGAGACTTACTTATAAAGCCCAAGGCTTCACACCCACTGTCTTGGTAGATTGCCATGGCCTTGAGCATCCTGTGCAGTGGATTAGCAACCAGTCAAACCGGGCGGAAATATGTCATCTTACCAGCCTCGAATGGCCTCAAGACGGTTGTACGTCTACAGCGGTGTCAGTGGCATGTCTTTTGAAAGTATGCCTACCAAGGTAGGTATTTGCGGTGCTCTGGGATCTTACCGCTGGGTGGGTGGACATAAATTGAGGCGGGGCTTGTTTTTCTCGTTCTTGCATCCGGGCCCAGCTAGGACACAATCAGCAGACACTCGAAGATATCCACGGCTCTTATAGATCCACTTACAAATCTGCGGCGGCCTCGGGGTTGTAGCATGCCTTGGACATCATCGCTAGTGATTGTCAATTCATATCCATGAGTCATCAGCGATCGTACATACTCAGTCCCATGCTATCTGCTTCGGCCTGTACACTCAAGTTAGAACCATTGAACGAACAACAAGTTGTGTGTCAGGCGACAGGAGCAAGGCTGACCTCTTGGATTCGCGAATTCGGCAATTTGTATAGTATGTCCATAAACAACGAGGGGAATTCCCCCGAAATATCAAACAGGAACGAGATGAGATATATCGCTGCGAGACTCAAAAAGCGGTGGCTCATACGCTCGCCGTAATGGTGGGCGATGACATGTGCAATCTCATGTCCCAGGACGGCGGCTACTCCGTGCATATCTCTGCACATGGGCATGATACCGGTATACACAAAGACTTGACCACTGAAAAAGAAAAGTCAGTAGCCATATATATCGGAGTACTCAAGGCCCGAGTTCTCAATAGGACCAGGTTAATCAAGCTTACCCAGGAAGCACAAAAGCATTGGCAGTGTTGTCGTCGTTGATAACATGGACTTTCCACTCGGCGCCCTCGATGCGTGCTTGTGGAATCAACCGCTGCAGTACTCCATCAATCGCCTCTGTCAATGGATGGTCGTCTGGGAGTAGTCGGCCGCGATTCTCATCAAGTATCTCTTGGTAGATTTCAGCGCCCATCATAAGCTCCCGTCTGTGGGAGATGCAGTTGAACCGTCGCCGGCCGGTCATCTGGTAGTCCCAAAATTGTCAGAGCAAAAGAGCCAACCATGGCACATTGCGCATCCAGCCAGGTCATACTCACCTCGACTTCATCCGTGTTGTATAGATAAAGACCCGAAGCGATAACCCCAACCACTAGATAGTGCTCCGGTTTTGCATTTCGCAAGAACCGGAAGAGCAATGTTGTGACTCCTGTGCCCGCGAAACGGTTATACTGATTTCGGTAGTAGTGGAAGCGTTGGCCAGAGGAGAATGGCCGGCGGCTCGCTGGGAGGTTTTTGGTGAAGGTGGACGCGGGAGGGCCTCGATAAGCACATTTGTGTGGCCGAAGTCGTAGAGGCTCTTTTATGGAAGACAAGCCGGTGGCCCATCGCGAAAACGGTCGAGAGGCTGGCGTTTGGGGTGCGAGCGATAGTCGAGGGTCTATCGGAGTATGGAGACAAGCAGGATGCGCCTGCTTCAATCGCCACAGAGGGGAGCGCACACTGTGGAAAATTTGCATATTCGGCTGGCTCAGCATTGTCAGGGGCAACTTGGCATTGAGGGGGCCCGAGTTCGAGTGACCCTGAAGCTGTTTGAGTGAAGCTGTTCAACTCCGAGCCCGTGCGTCCACGTGATGTTGTATTTGTATGGCCTCACCCTTATCGCCAAATGTATACACAAAGGATAACAAGAAGCATTCCACTTAAATAGTCCTATCCCATAATCAACAAATGATAGCAGCAATTACCCAGTAAGAGATTTTCGAGTTTCAATATAAGCAGTAACTTCATCACGTTGAGCAGTAAATTAGGCAAAGGTTATCAACAAAGTCCAGAGTCATGACAGTATTTTCAGAAATTCAAGTAAAAATAGAAGGATATAAAACCCATCCCACCCAGCACACCATATTCAAGACGGAGCAATTAAATAGAAACAGATGTATGTCCAGAAAGGTACAAAATCCAAATGGAAACACATCAAACCAAAGCCTCTGGTATCATGCCGCGCAAGTCATGGTGGGAACAAAATGGTATCATAGGAAATAGATGAAAAAAAAAATAATAAAAAAATAAGGGAGAAAGAGGGAGCAAAATCACTCAGCCGACTCCACGGATAAGTTTGCATAAGCCCAAAATGCACACAAAAGCAAGAAGAAAAAAAAATAAGTGACGTGTCGTTTATTCTTCGGTCAGTGCATCGTCTCCGGTCTCCCGCCAGTCCTTGGATCGCTCCGTCAACCTGCGGACACCGCTGACACGCTGTGCCCAGTGGGCTTCAGACGGGGTGCGGTAGGTGTACGCCCGCTGCGACGAGATAACGCCAATGCTCTGCAGCACAGCTTTGCGGGAATCACGGCCAAACACCGCCGGGTGGTTGATCCACTCCAGGGAAGATTCCAGGTCGGCATTGAGAGCAATCATTGTCTCGGCATCCACCGCAGACGCCGGCGTGATGGTCGCCGTGTCTGATGCGGAGGAAGACTGGCTCTCAGCAAAGGTTGAGGACTTGGGGGAGGATGAGTTCGGAGTGTCAGTACGACTCCCCGGCTCGCTGTGGTTCGAGGACCGGGGAGCTCCCGGAGGCAGAGGGGGTAGACCGCCCTTGCCGAGACCCTTGAGAATGCTACGGGTCTCGTTGAGGAGATGCTGTGCGCGGTCATGCTGCCCCCGAGACACGAGAGTGAGCGCTCGAGTCAACATATCCGAGGTCAGCAGCTCCATGCGACGCTGCACAATCGAGGGGTGAGGGGGAATCGGAGGCGTCATCGGACGCTGGTTCTTGGCCTTGGGGTTCGGCGGCAACATGGTAATAGCAAGGAGCGACGGACGGGGCGAGTGGGTCAAGTGACCATCGCGAAGAAGGTCGCCATATGTGAGGTCGGCCTGGATCAATGGGATCTCTTCGACGCTGAGCACCCGCTGCTCGTCCCCATCGGCCCCACCGCCGAGGGCCTCCAGCCCCGAAACCAGGCTTTCCCATGGGTCCTGAGGCATGTTCTCCTGCGTGGCATTGTCTGGCTGGATAACAAGCTGCACGAGGACATCGCGTTTGTCTCCGAATCGCAGATCTCCCAACGCAGCCTCGGCATCTCTCCCAGTGGCACGCTTGGTTGTGTGTAGGGCACCACTGATTTTGACGAATTTGGCCGGCGATCCTTCTGGCAGGCGGAGCTTGAGCTTGACGTTTTGGTGGGAGGTCGTTTGTAAAGAACCCAAGCAGCCGGCGACACACTCCCGCAGCATCATCCAGTCCTTCACGTACAGATAGGAGCCTTTGGTTCTAGTAGACAGCTCGATCATCGTGTCCGGCTTGTGAGTCAGGCCCAGGCCAAACGAGTGAATGCTGACCTTGGCAGCCTCAGCGCGGGACACCACGAAATCCACGCTTTCTGGATCCGAGATGGACGAGTCGCTGATCAAAAGGATTGTCGACACAGGGTTGTTGAACTTGCGCTGCATCAGAAGATCCATCGCCACGTTGGCCCCTTCGACCACGTCGGCGCGGAGGCTCTTTTGTCCTACTGGCCGAATGGAATCCAGGACCTTGTTCCATCCAGCCCAGGACTTGGTGGTCATGCCCACCAGAGGCACTCCTCCACCACTTGAACCAAAAGTGACCATCCCCATCCGGTCCCGAGGTCCCAAATTCTGCACAAGGAATTTGAGGGCATCACGCAAAAGAGTGATCTTAAGCCCCTGCATGGACGAAGACACGGGAATAACCACGACGATGTCGAGGGGGATGTGAACCGTGTTGATCGAAGGGGTTTCCATGTCCGGGTTGGTGTAATCGGTGATGGCCGTGTTGTTCGATTTGCCAGCACCGTAGGAAGAATTGAGGGACGCTTGTCGTTGGATTCGGCTGTTTCGGTAGTCCTCGTCCTCGGCACCCGAATTATCCAAGTCATAGTCATTGGGGCGCGGTAGATTCTCCACCGGGTGCAAGTCCATCAGGGCACGGCGCCACACCTCCAACTGGCTGCGACTCTGGAAGCGAAGGTAGAAGCAAGGGAGTTCGTTGACGGAAAGATTCAACGAAAGAACGGGTTCCTCGGTTTCCGGCTCGATCGATTTCAAATGTTTCTTGATGAGGATCGATCCCTTGAGCGTGCAGCGCGGAGGTTTGCGCTTCCCTGTTTCGTCGTACTGGTTCGGATCGGCGTTCCTCTTCTCCTTGACACATATGAGCATTTCTGCGAACAAATAGCATTCCAGCTCCTGCCAGGACTCCCGATCCTTGCCCACGCGCATCTGTCCGTGCAGGCGTAGCTTGCCAAACCTGCGGTATCGTCAGCGTGGGGTCCCTCAGAAGAAGACAAAAGTGAGAATATCATACGTACCGTTGAAACTCGAGACCATGCCAATTATCGACGCGGTCCCTCAGTTCCTCGGCAATTTCATCCAGATTTTCCGTCGGCTCGTACTGAATGGACCGCGCATCCTGTGCGACGAACGGCGGCGGGTAAAGATCCTCCGGTTGCGACTGTCCAGCAGACCCGTGCCGCAGATCCTCGGCGTCGGGACGCCAGTTGCCTTCCGGCACCTCGACCGTAATCAGACATGTGAGTGACTGTTGCTGGCGGGACCGGTTCATGGTGGGAAACTCGCTTCGCACGGTCACGATGGGCGCGGGGATGGGATTCTTTGTGACTCCCGGACGAGGACTCAGGTCCGACTCCATGGCTTGCACATCGTAATCATGTCGCCGACCGCTGCCGGGGTGCTGGCCCTCCTGGTAGTCACCCGACGACCCGGCCGCACTGCCGTTGCGCGAGTGTGGTTGGCGTTGCGAGCTGGCCGTCAACCGTTCGACGCGCTCTCGTTGACTGCCGGCGTCGCGGCTGTCTCGGTGAGCATAAGGTGGCTCCCGAGAGGTGTATCGGCTGGCCGTGTCACTCGGTGGCCGTCGGGTCGTTTGCTGCTCCCATGGGGTGGTTGGGGTCGCGGCCGTTATGCCACTCCGCATCGTGGCGGTATCATTCATCGTCACCGAACGAACAATATTGCTTATTTTTTCTGCCGTGCGATCGCGTCAGTGCCGTCCACCTTTCGTCCACGCAGCGCAACATACCGATGTCCAAAATATTTCCACCCCGACTCGTGTCCAAGGCCAGCGGCGCATTGCACGTGGGGCAATACTGCGATTCAAATTCCCGGATAAACTCATAAAAACAGGCCTCGTGGGACACATGACTGCATGAGAATTGCAAGACTCGTTCACCCCGCAGGGTATGCTCCAGCGGTTCCTCGCACACAGCGCATTCGCTCCCGACAAAGGTCCTCTCCCTCCGAGTGCGGGACCGGTCAACCTCCATGGGACCGGTCATATCTCTACCCGATCTCGAGCTAAAGGAGACTCGGGATCGGTTGGAGTGAAAGGCTTGCCTGGAATCCGGATGTGCGGAATGCGGGGGGTCCGCGAGTGTGGGAGGGGCTCGTGGCGGAGCGATATCAGTATGGTTCGAGAGACTGCTTCCGGGTCGGTCTCCTGAGCGAGTAAAGGAACGAAAGGAACGGAGGGTCGAGCGAGATGGCGAGTCCGGGCGTGATTGAAATTCTGGACGTCTGCAGTTAGCGACGTAGAGGAGTTGCGAACGAGGCTGAGAGCTGAGGCTGGACGAGTAGCCTGGCCATCCAGGATACCAGGATACGTGGACAGAAATGCAAATAAAAGAGAATAAAAGAAAAGACACGCACACACACACACACACACACACACGCAAGACAAAGAAAGAAGGGAGAAAAGAAAAAGAAAGAAAGAAAGAAAGAAAAGAAGACAGCCAGTGGGAGTCAGGGGACCGGGGGGCGGGTTTTAGATGTTGACACGACGCCATATGCATCTAGAACAACCGCCTCACAGTCGCAGATCTAAATGCAAGAACCGAGAATCTCATCAAAGAAAAGGAACTTACTCGAAGTGTTGTATTTCTTCCGAAAGCGTCCTAGAAAACCGATCTCAGGGAGGTGATTGGAATCAGATTTGGAATCCGATCTGGGCGACAGATGTTTCCACATGGAGATTCTCCCATTCGAACAAAGAAAGACACGGTGGGGGCTTAAAAAGGAGAGGAGAGAGAGAGAGGAGAAGGGTCCGAAAGTTTAGCAGAGTCACTACTATGTGTAAATGGTAAATGGTAAAATAATCCAATCGGGGCGAGAGAGAGAGGGGGCGAGATGGACAAGCAGAGGGGAAGAAGATCGCACTAGTTTGGAGGATCGCAGGGGGGGGATATAGTGGTATAGAGAGTACAATTGTAGTGTATCCATGGGATGCGTAGGGGGGAAGCTGAGAAGGGAGGATTAATTACCAGCCTGACTAGCCAACGCGTGAATTTGGAGAAAACATACGCGGGCAAAAAAAAAAAAAAAAAAAAAAAAAGATTGTTGCCACTAGAGGAATTAGAGGAATGGCGAACCATGGGAAAAGGGAACAGGGAACAAGTTGGATGGGGTTACGTGGGTCAAAGGCCCCCTGAACTCGAGATCTTGTGAACTGTGAATTGTCTAGTTGTATAGTTGTATACCAGTATCAATGTAAAGTGTATAGTTGCTTGAAGCCTGAGAAACGTGGTTGATCAAGTACTCGTGGGTATCTTGATGCCCCCTTACAGGAGACTAACCTCCATCAGGTACTTAGGGGTACATGAGGCCCTGCACCTTCAGCTGGAAGCGGAAGGTGTCTCGGAACGCGTGGAGTGGAGTTTTCAGCTGGATTTCTTTCCTGAATGATCATTAATTACATAGTTGCAGTCACCAAGAATATAACCAGAATACTACATAATAATATATTATGTGGTATCTAGTCATGTCAATCTACTTGCGATGGCCCCCTTACCCCCGGCTGACCCGACACGTTGGATGGCGGGCGTTGCGAAATCCTGAACTGCTAGAAATCGAATCAGATACTCTGATCCTGAATTCCTGCACGGAGTAAGCCTACGAAAGTTACTATTATTTTATTATTTTATTTTCCATGTATTAATGGTTGACTTGGATGATGGGATATCCGCAACTCTCCAAGAACTTCAACTTCACCCAATTCCATCTTTCTTCTGCATCTCCCCAACCCTCGGCAAATCAACTCCCGAGTTGAGGTTTAACTACCTCTCAACCTTGGAACGGTCTTTTCTTTTTCTTCTCTCTTTCTTCCAAGGTTGTTTTCTCCGACATAACCTGGCTGACCTCAGCCGGACAATTGCCCTTTTGCGGAAAGCATCTCTCGGTTAGCCGAAGTGTCGATCCTCCAAACGTTTTCTGTCACCCATTTGGCTGAAGAAAAATCGGTACCTTTCGGTCGAACCAAAATGAGAGGTTCCAATGACGACGTTTCCATTTTCTGCAGATGTTTCTCTCCCAACGGTATACATTTGCTGGTCTCAGATGGAGAATCGGAAATGACTCTCGGATTGCGAAACATTTTATTGATCCTCGGCCTCGCATAGACCGGGTGGCGGTCCCTCTCCGCAATGGCCGATCGCTCCTCTCTCTTGCTCTTTCTCTGTCTCTTCTTCTTCCCCCTCCCAGATTTGCGAATCCTTTCACTTGGCTCCTACCACTCGCTTCGTGCTTGCCGCTGTGCTAATGTCAATCCTTCTCCACACTGACCTCGTCCCACCCTCTAGCGCATGGGTGATCCCAAGAGTTATAGGGGGGAAGATGAGGAGCTAGGAGAAATTATTTGCACATCTCCATGGACGATCATGCCGTCCCGTGACTAGCGTCGGCTCCTCTGGTCGCGGCGATCCTCGCGGTCCTGCTTTTTGAGGTGCCGCCGAGAGCTTGCTCAAGCTCTGCCGCTTTGGAGCCGGCTTTGCAGAGTGGACCCTGCCGGCTGGGTCCGCGTTCCCTGTCATATCCCCAAGATTAAGCACTTTTGTCTGGGTGGGACGCATTGCTTTTGCACGACTGGACCTGTCCACGTTTAAAGCGAGCCTACCAAGTCGGCAGAATGGCCTAGGTTGAGGACTAAGGGATTTGGTGGACTCGACTATGGGTTCTCTGCAAGACTGCAAACTGTCTCAAGCGTGCTGCGTGGAGTAGCTTGGCCCAGAAGAGCTGTCATAAATGCCCCTGTAACAACTCCAGCCTGCTGTGGTCCATTTCCCTCGTGTGGGCCAGGCGAATATGACAGCTCGTCTCGGGAGACCACCAGTAGCTCCATTGCTTGTAATGAAACTATACACGTCTCCATCGCAATACCAGGACTCGAAAATTCGGCACATTCCCTGTATTTAGTCTCGTAGGGTCATGATCATCGCCGTTAGAACGTTAAGCGAGCGGGGACCCAATGCACATCGACGTCTTCTCGGGATAGCTTGGTGTGTTGTGCTCCATTCCCAGGCCCTATCGCCCACCGGTGTTTCAGCTCTCCTGACCGGGTTCAAGAACCACACCAAAACAAATAATCCCGAACTTAAGGTTTACAAATGAAACATGAACTCTTAGCTGCTATTCTCATAAGACTCACCCGAAACCCGACCGGCATTAGTTGTATCAAATACTCGGGAGTTGTCTCTGGTGAGGGCTGGGAGCTTTTTCCCAAAAGAGAAGTATACCCATCCTCTACTTTTTTTCCCCCGTGACATACCCCCCTTCTAAGTTACTCTTACAAATGTTTCAAGGTATGTTTCCCTCAAAAACCAAATCCTCCTGGAACTACGCATCCACATCAGAATGTGTCTCTGATAGGGAGATTAAACGATGAAACCACACATGAAACATATTGGCCCCGGAGAAACAAAGCCTACGAACTATACATCCTCTTGGAGCTACAAGTCCCAGGTTCTTGGGGCGAGCCCAGACCACGCTGGAATATCCGACCCATCTTGTTGCTGATCGGTATTTCACCGAACGTGTCGATGTTTCAGTTCTGCTCTCAGGCCTAATGCCAGGTATAGTATGTAAGGCTTGAAAACTCAACATTGCAAATTTGGAACACTTATTTTTCGTGATCCTGATGCGAATAATATAAATATGTAAGTGTGTGGGTCAAGGCGCAAAGGTAAGGCGGCCACGTTCATGATTACAATGTATCGGGGATTTATGCACGCCTGATTCCTATCTGACATATAGGGCTGTTCGAATCTATTAGAACAATCACTTTCAGAAAACCCGGGTGGGCATGTGTTCACCGACTTTTTCATGTGAGTGTGGTATGGTCTATACATAGGTTGAGTATATGCACGATGCATCGACTCTCTATAGTTGACTGGTCACTGTCAGCTGCGCTTCTCGAGTCACAACGTGCTGGTGATCAATACAGCATACAACGTGCATGCGGCGTAGAAGTCTCATACTTTTGCCTCATTTGACACAAATCGCTGACCCTTGCTTTGCTCGGGCAGTTTGGGAGACATAGTAGAAAGAATTTTATGTGAAAGGCGTTATCATTTGCTTGATATCCGCATTACGATGTTTACTCTTTCCGAGTATCTTTCTAAATATCTTTGTGGGGGGTTTTTTTTACTACTTCTAATTTTATGGCGCCCTAGAAAGAATAAATTTTTACCCAAGCTAATTGCTAGATGAACGTTACTAAGAAACTCGCAAAACGACACATCGTGTGGTTTTTTGGGGCAACAGTTATACTATCACATATCCTTATGTTATGAGTAGTTGACTGATCATCTGTCATTCCGCTTCGCGGCACACGATGTGTCGAGTATGCCGTTGATCAACACAATGTACAACGCACAAAGCAGAAGTCCCGTACTTTTGCCTCATTTGATACCCCTCCAGGACCATTTCCGACTGGTTGCGGTCACGGTTCATTTCTTCCAGTTTGGATCCAGCCCTCCACACATTGCATGGGCCAAGAAAAGCAGATGTTGGCCCTATGGGTGGGTACTAGGCACACTGGGTTCTGTTCAATGGAGAGGAAGCTTAAACACTCCTCTGTGTAGCGAATGCCAGAACATTGTGTCATTTTATGACAGTCATGTGCCGTTTTATAACAGCCAGCGGGCGACTTGAATAGTAGTTCCAAGTCTTGGAGTACCTGGAAAGCTATTTCTGTCGTCAGTGCAAAATAATATTGCGATGAACACCACATCAATTGCAATGTTGTGAATGTATATATTTGTGATGTTTTGGGGTCACCGTGTCTTTCCGATATCGGGGTTGCGCTCGAAGGGCAATGTCGGTCCTGTACCCTCCCAACCCATATTCTCGAAGAAGTACCAGATAATTCTGACTATAACCAGAGCCCTTGAGCATTGCAACTGTGTATCTCTTGTCGCTGCATGGTAGAGTAGGCGTCTTCGGAGTTTGGCCTGTTTGCAGCAGCCACACCGGCGGTTCCCGAAGGGGAAGCGCTTAGCTCAGCAGGGAAAGTTTGTTCCCAACATCTTGCGGGAAAAGAAGCATCTCCCACTCCCCTTCCATCTCCAATTGGGCTCCTTCTGTGCATCATGCTCTTCCGTACTGCGGTCCGCCAGGCTGCGCCTCTGCGGCGCCAGACCTTTACCCCTCTGACCCGCCGCTCCGTCACCACCGACGCGGCCTCGTCGCATGCCGAAGACATCCCGAAGGTTTGTTGAGCCCCCATTCGGAAAACTGGAAAACCTCCACGGACGACCGCCGGACTCGATACTAACCCATGCCACTTGCGCTGCAATAGGAGGATGACAAGCCGTTCACCGTCCGCCTCTCCGACGAGAGCTTCGAGACCTACGAGCTCGACCCGCCCCCGTACACCCTGGAGACGACCAAGAGCGAGCTGAAGCAGATGTACCATGACATGGTCTCGGTCAGGTACGAACCATCCCCCCCCCCACTTTAAAGCGTATTTGTGTTGCTGGTTGAAAAGTTCTGACGGATTGCTTGGTTACAGACGTATGGAGATGGCCGCCGACCGGCTCTACAAGGAGAAGAAGATCCGTGGTTTCTGCCACTTGTCGACCGGCCAGGAAGCCGTCGCAGTTGGCATTGAGCACGCCATCAACCGTAAGGACAAGGTCATCACCGCCTACCGGTGCCACGGTTTCGCCCTGATGCGCGGTGGCACTGTCCGGTCCATCATTGGTGAGCTCCTGGGCCGCCGCGATGGTATCGCCTACGGCAAGGGTGGCTCGATGCACATGTTCGCCGAGAACTTCTACGGTGGCAACGGTATCGTCGGAGCCCAGGTGCCTGTCGGTGCCGGTCTGGCCTTTGCCCAGCACTACAACGAGGAGCCCAATACCAGCATTGTCTTGTACGGTGACGGTGCCGCCAACCAGGGTCAGGTGTTCGAGTCGTTCAACATGGCCAAGCTGTGGAACCTCCCCGCTCTGTTCGGCTGCGAAAGTATGTCTTGAAACACCCGTGTCTTTTTTTTTTTCATCTGATATCGGCGACCACGGACTAACCAACTCGACTCAACTAGACAACAAGTACGGCATGGGTACCTCCGCCTCCCGCTCCTCCGCCCTGACCGAGTACTACAAGCGTGGCCAGTACATTCCCGGTCTCAAGGTGAACGCCATGGACGTCCTGGCCACCAAGGCGGCCGTGCAGTACGGCAAGAACTACGCCATTTCGGGCAACGGCCCGCTGGTCTTCGAGTACGTGACCTACCGCTACGGTGGTCACTCCATGTCCGACCCCGGTACCACCTACCGTAGCCGTGAGGAAATCCAGCGCATGCGCAGCACCAACGACCCCATTGCCGGCCTGAAGCAGAAGATGCTCGAGTGGGGTGTCACCTCCGAGGATGAGCTCAAGGCCATTGACAAGGCCGCCCGCACCCACGTCGACGAGGAAGTCGCCATCGCTGAGAACATGGCCGTCCCTGACAACAACAGCCGCATCCTGTACGAGGACATCTACGTCCGTGGTTCCGAGCCCCGCTGGATGCGTGGCCGTACCGTCGATGAGACCTTCTACTACTAGACGAACTCTTGTCGGAAGAGATGGGGTTGATGCAGCCTCTCCTTAATCGGAGTCAGGCTCTTTTCTTTTTGTCCGCGTGTGCTTCACGGGCTCGAGGATGTTCTTGGTCTGGAAGCACCGACGAACCGAGTCGGGTGCATTCCCGTTCCTTCCTACCACTTTCTGTAATTTAGCCCTCCCGATGACTATTCTTTCTTATGTGAGTCTTTGGTTTTCAATTAGAGTAGAGAGCAATTGTCACTGTGCTTTATACACTCATTGTATGCATGACATACACTATTTCTAGCGGGCGCAGTAGCCGCCATCCACCAGGATATTCGCCCCGGTAGTATAAGAGCTAGCATCGCTCAGAAGATATACGCTCACAGCTTGCAATGCCGTTGTCTACTTTGTTTTTCACCTGCTTCTCCGTTCCGCGGGTAGAGCATTGGGGCCGGCGAGGACTTATGCTGCTGTCCACCTTTGGCCAGTTCCTCTCGTTCTTGATCATCACCATCTTGTTGCGCTTTACAGAGACTAGCGGGAAAGGCTCGAATGTGGCCTCTCCGTCCATTGCCTTCTTCTTTTTGTTTTATATTTCCTTTGGTCTGGGGATTCTCGGTATCCCCTGGCTCTATCCCACCGAAATCAGCTCGCTGTCCATGCGGACTAAAAGCACGGCCGTTCCAACCGCCACGAACTGGTATGCACGAACTCGAGATAATCTCTCGGGAATCATCACCCAATGCTAACATTGGATCGTCTGGTCCAGGATTTATTTGTAACTTTGTTATTGTCGAGATTACGCCCATTGGCATCCAGAGTATTGGATGGAACTTTTGGATCGTGTGGACGGTATTCAACGCGGCTTTCCTCCCCGTGCTATACTTCTTCTACCCCGAGACCGGTTCGTTGGCAGCCATTCGTACCCGTTTTCGTTTGGGATGATAGGTGGAAAACATACTGACTTTATCCCACATCAAACGCACTCTTGAAGACCTCGATGCTTACTACCCGCTCCAACCCGCCTTTGATCGGCCTCAAGGATCCCAATGCTGATTCTATCCGACGCCCCCTGAAGTACATCTAACACGAGGAGGAAGAGATCAAGAAGAATTCAGACCAAGGGGGTGCTAACATGAACAAGGGGCATGTAGAGCATGCTGAGTAGAGGTTTATTTGAAAGAAGTACAGGGACTTTGAAGTATACCTTAGTAGCACACTTAACACTCTTATGATGGGCCGTGGCAGCTCCCACACAAAGGTCAAAGTATTTTACAATGTTTTGGAAATTGAATTGTTTGACTTAAAGTAGTCTCACGGGGATTTTTGTAGAAAATTTAAATACGGGACTGGATTCTCAGTAAGATTAAAATCTAAGCACGTAAATAGTCATGGGTATCAAAAATGGGAATGCAAGTGCAGCAGGGAAAACGCCCAACTCCCCGAATCAAAATAATGAGTAAACACCATGCGAATTTCAGACAGGTTCTTGTCTCAACATTTCCAGGATCATCTCCTGGGTCCGTTGCACAGAATCAAGCCTCTCTTCTAGTGCCGCTCGGTCCCGGTCCAGCTCACGCCGAACTTCAGCCTGCACTTCCTGCCGAAGCTCTTCTTTCAGATGGTCGATATCAACTGATGATGGAGTATACGAAGGAGAATGCCTTTGGGGTTGTGGCTGTTGTTGAGGGGGAAAACGACTCTGGATGTTGTGCCCTGAGGCAGCTTGAACCAGACCAGAGATAACCGGTGAGCATCGTGGGTCTGATCCATCGGGCCCAGACGCCGCATCCAGGTGCTTGTTGAGTTTCCCGAGAGTCTCAAGGACAGTGGTCACCATGCTGCTATCTGAAGATGGTCCTGGCGTGGTGGAGACAGGGACGGACGGTGCAGTTGGTGTCGGGCTTGCGTTGGAGAACATCGATTCAAACCCCGGGGGCAATCTGAGTCCTGCAGGGGCTGAAATTGAAGGAGATTCGAGCGAAGGCGCAGTGACAGCCGAGGCTGGAGCAGAAGCAGGAGTTGGAGTTGTCCCTAGGACAGCGTCACCAACCGGATCTGCGTCCTCATCATGAAAGGAATCCCCGCCGTCGACGTCCATCCCAGGACTGGTGAGCACCGAGACCCGATTGGAAGCCGGAATACGCCAACTAGCTGGATCTGCAGTCTGTGGAGACGACTGTTCGATGGGCTGAGATTTTCGGCGCTTCCGGACAGCATCGCGCTTTTCAATGCGTCGAGCCTCAGCCTGCTCCCAGCGCTGCCAGGTCGGGATCCATTGATCAATGGCCGCACGCCATTGTGGATTCATGAGTTCCTCTACAGGAACAGAGCCTGGCAAAGCCTGACTTCGTTGCTGCTGGTCTTCCAAGCTCTTGATGCGCTGTTTTGTAACCAGCTCCACCTTGCGGCGCACCGAATGCCACGAGTAGGGGCGACCAAGCGCGCGTGTGAACGCTGCAGCGACAGTTCTCCACCAATTGCACAGATTGCTGCGACTCCCGAAATTCTCCGCGTGGCGGTTGCAAATGTCAAAGAGCGCAACCTCCTCCTTGGTCGTGAGCCGCTTGCTATGTTTCCGGGAAGTATCGCCGTCGATTTGGTCGTTGTCCAAGGAACGGCGCTTCGTACCCCGTGCGCCTGATCTTGTTTTCGCCATCAGAGAATTGGTCCCATCTTCGTTACCGATTATGCCCGGACCCATCGGCATTGGCATATAGTACAGGTCTCTCTCGGCGGTGACGCCTCCAACTTCCCGCTGATTGCCTCCATTGTGTTCATCGGAAGTCCCTCCGCTGCTCTCGGACGCTTTGTCGATCACTGTGGGCTGGTTCTTTACTATGACCGAGGCAGAGTGTGAGCCCGAGCTCAATACCGAGCGCAATCCTGCTGCTACTGCTGTGAGATTTCTCTGGTGAGACAAAGACGACCGGTAAGGATAAGAGGTGTAATTCTGGTGCTGCGACTGGGAGTGCGGCATCGACGAGGGCATCCGTTGATGCTGTGGCATTGCCTATCATCAAGACCGGGGAGAGAGTACGACGCCGAAATGCGCGTGGGAGCAGCGAAATAATAAACAAGTTGGTCGCGGCGCAGAGTTTGAGGTTATGGCAGGAGAACCAGAAAAGCATGCAGCTCCAACAATAAACAGGCGCGGGAAACGGAGCTGAGGGGGTTCTTTGTCGATCGTGTGGGGGATGGATGGGGTGTTGATAAGATGAAGTGAAAAAAACGGGAAACAAAAGTTGCAATTTTACGGTGCGAAAAAAATACCGGCCTACAGCTTTTTGCAAGAGACAGACATGGCCACAGCAACTCTCAATATGACACATTATTCTCGAGGCTTAATAGGAGTCATTTAGGATGATCAAAGGATCTGCGCGGTTAGTTTACAAAATGGCAGAGTAGCTAAAAGTTCTCACGGCAAAAATAGTTCCATTTACAATCATATAGCTATGGTGATACAGGGAGACTAGTACAGGAAACAAAGATACAGACGCCAACACCATGGCCTGTCCTGATACCGGCCAGAGAAAAATATGCAGTGGTTAGAAATCCAAATCCAAGAGTAATACAGTCGGGGGAGGAGGAATGGCAGAAACACGGCAAAACAACACGAGGCACCTGTATGCCTAGAGGCATCTACGGCGATGACCTCTCTACCACCGTCTCCTCAGGTACCAGCCGTAGGCCGGGGTGCTGACCTCGTCGCCAAAGGGGGTGGCACTTCGGCAAGCCCGGGTCGGGCAACAGGGTGTCGTAGATACACGGCTGCGCAAATGTTCTGGTTGACCTCGAGATAGCGCGGGATGAAGGCAAATGCGGACATGTATTCACGAGGCTGCCAGGGAGTGGCGTAGGGCTTGGTGCTGTCGAGAGGGTTGTCGTGCATTTGAGCAAGAGCGCGCTTGAGGGCGAAGGTCTCATGTTTCGTCAGCCCCGAGGAGTCAACTTCCTCGCCTTGGGCAGCCTGCTGGAAGGCCTCGGAGAGCTTATCGCTCGCAAAGGGTTCCTCCTCCACCTCTCCGGGCACGGCCTCGTTTTCTTCCACCTCGGAAGGCCGTGGCACGGGCTTCTCAGCCTTGGAATCTTTCGGCTCAGCCTGCTTCGTCTTCAAGAGTAACGTGAGCTCCGAGAACTGGGCTTCCAGACTGTCAGTGAGAATGGTGCTCCTATCGGAGCGAGACAACACCCGGCGCACAGCCTTTTGGAACCCGCGCAGCTCCTGCTTGCGTTTAGCGGGAAGCTGATTCTTTCCACGGGACAGAATAGACTTGGCTTGGACCACCAGCGCCTGAAGGTTGTCCCGGGAGCTCTCCTTCGCGTCCGCTTTTTCCACTTTCCCCACTTTCTCTTCTGCCTCGGGGTTCACTGTTTCTTCGGCTGCGTCCTTCTGTTTCAGCTGCCGGGACTCGCGCCGTTCATATTTATTTTTGGGAGCGCCCGTGGCAAACATGACCCGTTCCGGATCAACCTGGAAAAGATCGCCCGGGTTGAGCAAGTAGCTGGGATGTCGCATCTAGCAGAGGGATATCCGTCAGTACCACAGGATTTCCCTCGAAGCCACGCGCAATTTCATGTCCCGGGGTCCATACCTTCTGTCCATTCACCGTAACTGCGCCATGAATGACAAACTGTCTCGCTTGTCTCGCACTGCTGGCAAACATAGCCCGGAAGATTGCGACATCCAAACGTCGCTCTAGGGGAGCGAAAGCCATTTGCGTGTAGGGCGTGATTTGCGGCTGTTTGGCATCACCCTCGAGGCCTGAACCTCGACCCGCAGATGCCCGGGAGCCATCGTCTGCGGCAAGATGGAGGGGGTTCATCGGGATAACACTGCGAATACGGTGGGAGAACATGCGCTTCCATTGACTTTCGCGAACCTGCTCGCCGTGGTAGGCGCGAGCAGTTGCCTTGGCAGTCCATTTTTGCTGGAAGAAACTGCGATTGTGGTTGAATGGCACACGGTATCGATGCAGGTTAAATAGGTTGTATTTGCTCCATGATTGACGGATTTTCTGGGACACGATCAGAGTGAGTTTGGGCCGATGGGAAATAGTTCAAAAATGGGCCATTGGACGTACTCCTCGGGACAGGCTGTTGCTGGCCCTGTTCCTCATGGTGGCGATTCAAGAAACACGACACTCAGGGTGGATGGGCTTTGACGTGGTCCGGGGACTGGATACACAGCGTACTGCCCGAGTCTCAAATCTTCTGTTGACACGTGACATGTGTTTGTCTTGTCGCCTAATTTATAAGGCATAAGTGGAACACGTATCTTATTGGATGAGGCCATCGCTCGCTTAACACTAGCGTGGTTTCCCAAAGTATTTAAACCTGCTCTCTCCCCCGCCCTTTCCCCTTCTTTTTTCTTTTCTTCTTCATACTTACCTTGTTTGGGTGGCTGCGATCATGAAGGCGGTCCACCACAGATTGGTCCCTGCATTGCACAGCGCGGCGGAACAGTTTGTTCAACGGCTTTCGGGTCATTGACAGGCGTATTCTTTGGCACCTTCCACCTTGTGGATCCTTTTCTTTTCATCAGTACTTGAGCCAGTGGCTCGAGGTTGGAGAAGAGATCTTGGGATAGTGAATTACATGAAAGGACAATCATCGCTTGACTAGTATTGAAATCATGTCTGAATCTAAAGACATGGTGGTCCCTGTCCCTACGGTCGGTGCAATCCCAGGCGTCAGGACAATGTTTGTAGTTCTTAGCAGTGGATATATCCATGGATGTTCTTGACTCGGAGCTGCTTCATTCCAATGTACCAAATAGAACCCATAAGTCAACCTCCCTGTGTCCTACTAAATCTCTCACTGCTTTCCATTCAGGCGATCGGAGAAGTGAAGCCCTCCAGTTTATATAGACACATAGATTGAATGGATATCTGATAACGCAATGCTCAACTCTCGAAGTAGACGCCTTGCCACATGAATGCAAAATAAATGTCAAATCATCACAAACAGCACTTCCATTCATCATTCCCTTCGGGAACTGGGGAACGCCTCTGCCAGCGCCTCCGCCTCTTGAGGGTTGGTCCACTCTTCCAGCAACTCGTGGGCCATGTCGACGGTCTCGTCGTCAATGCCAGCCTCGAGCACAGACCCATCACAGAATGCCAGTCGAGTGAGAACCACGAGATGTTTTTGCTTGCTGCCAGGAACACATGCCAACTTCTCTTGCATGTTGATAGAAGGCCCGTGACGGCGCATGACCCCGAATATCAACCGCATCAACCCGTTGACCAAGGAAACACGCAGGTCCTGCTCGGGTGGGGACGAGTACAGTGCGTCAATTTCGTCATGCATGGAGCGAAACAGGCGAGCGAGAGCATTCGAATGCGCTGCAATAATGGCGCTTCCGTGCTCCCGCGAGGGGGCCACAGGGTTAAATGCCAGGGCTTCCAGAAGCAGCAAGACTTCGAGTCGCATCGCGCAGATATCGTACGGAGTGTAAGGCTCGATGCCCTCGTCTGGCTGCGCTGACTCGCTTAGCATGAATGTCAAACGGTCGATGATCCACTTCTGCACGTCGGCCTGGTTCTCATCAGAGGGCATAATCGGGCCGAATGAGTCGGGGCGGATGCTGGTCGACAACAGGTTCAAAATGAGCACGATGTCCTTGAGCGGCTGCGAACCGTGCAGCATCACGAGAATAAACGTATGTCGGATCTGCCGCCAGAAACTTTCGAGGGCGCTTTTGAGGTGGAGAGTTTCACACGCAATATAGTAGAGCAGGCGAAGGGCCTCCGTTGAATCAACTCGCGGTTGCAAGTCAGACTGTGGTGTCTGTCGGAGCACCCGTGCCTTTTCCCGAGCAGCTGGGGAGTATCGAAACCTCGGAACAGCATTGACCTCAACCGAGTCTTGCAACACTCCCAGTAAAGAAGTCATAATTTCAGGCAGCGGGGCGTCATCTAGCGTCAAGACATATCGAACAATAGCTGCAAATCGAGGAACGGGTTCATAGAAGCGCTCTGTCAACGCTCGCTGCCATAGCGATCCGACTGTTTGCGTATAGTCTAATACAAAGCAACCCGTTTCAAGATGAGCGATTTCATCCATGATGAAACTGGATATAGGTCGACGCGGAGCCGAGGGGAAAGACAGCTTGGCCATCGCCTCGAGATCGGTCTCCTGGTCAGGAATCATGCGGTGATTCAAAAGTCGTTTCATCAACCGCTGGTCGCGGCTGGCAGCTCCTGGCGATCTGCGATCTTCATCGGCAATAATTTCGGGGCCATCGGGGGCATCACCCATCACAAGCTCCCCTACAGGGCTTAGTTGTAACGGTGTTGGGTTATCATGGCTTGCTTGTCGCTTCCGCTTTCCGGGCACTGTTGGCGTGACTCGTCTAGAGCGTGTCGCGGACTTGCTGGGCGACTGAACAGCAATCTCCTCGTCGTCAAATCCATCACGGAAGGGGAGCGCTCGGGACTTCCGGGGGGTGACAGGTGGCGCTTTGTCAGTCTTTTGTTTCGCTTTATAGTTGCGGAGCTGGTAAGTTTCTTCCACGAGGTCTTGTTGAAGGAATATGTTTTCTGTTGCCAGCATCTTCCCTTCAGACATGGCTGCCTCCACCTGTTCTTTATGCTTGGCTGTTTCGTCGGCCATGGCTTTCCGCAACGTTGCCAGTTGCCGGTCATAGTCTTGGGTCATTCTCGTTTGTTTAGATCGGATTATAGCGATCTCGCCGGCCTTTGTTTCGGCTTGTGCTTTGGCTGCAGCCAGCTCTCGCTGCATCTGCTCCTTTTCCTGTGCCAACTGTCGGGGCATTAGCCAAGTCTGTTGCGGTCCTCGAACCCCAGAAGAGAAAAACCCACCTGCTCAAGGCGTGCATGGAATTCACTGTAGGCGTGTAATTGGCCGGATTCGTCGTCCACATCCATGGGATCCTCCATTCCGCCGTTGATAGTCCATCCACTATCCTCGGCCATGACATGATGACCCGGCGGCAAGGCTGAGGTCATAACCGCATTGTCGTGCACCTCAGCCTCCAACTCCCCCACTTCCAGTGTGTCATACTCGTTTGTTAATCCGGTGTGTAGGCGAGGTGGAGGCTTCAGGGTCGCCTGGTTCTGAACAGTCCGCTCGTTTTGCACCGGTTGAGCATCGTGCTGTGTGGCCGAGGCCTGAGTGGCCTGAAAGGCATGTTGTTCCAGTTCATACAACGTACCCGGTGGCAGGGCGTCGAAGTCGTCAGAGAAGTAGTCATCGTCGTTGTCTTCCATGCCCCCGCCATGAATTTTATGCCCACTGAAATAAACTTATGTTTCGTGGGTGTAGGAAATGGTCAAGTCATCCTAGACGGGGCGAAGAGGAGCTGTAAGCGCTGTGGTGGATACACACTTTCACACAGACTGCCTTGAACCAAGTATCCAGAGAAAGCAGTCGAGGGATTGAGAGTGAAGCGGCGTAGATCCAGGAGACATCGCAGAAATCGCGTAAACATCACGCTGACCGCTTTCGGAATTCACATGAGTTGCCTATTCCACGATCTTCGCTCTCTCTGCTCTCTCCACTCTCTCTCCTTCTCCCAGATTTATTTCTGGTTCTCCCTCGTTGTTTCCCTCCATTCCCCTCCACTTTCACCTTTCTCGCCTCGTCATGTCCAGGTCCCGCCGCAATGTGAGGTTCCCGCACCGGGCCAACGGTGAGCGGCGGCTCAGCGTGTCGTCCGACGTCAGTGATGCGCCCGCGGATCCCTCCAGCTCCGGCAAGAACGGCAGTGTCTCTCAGCCATCCACAATACCTGAGGAGGTGAGTTTGATCCTAAGGAGCTCTTGGGCATGATAGCTGACCGGTTGGCGCCTTGCAGAAACCCGCCCAGTCCGAGTACGAGAAGAAAAAACAGACTTTCATCACGCGCACAATATGGACTCTCGTAATGATTGCAGGCTTCTTCATCGCTCTCTTCTCTGGCCATATTTACATTATTGCCCTCGTGACCGCGATTCAGATTGTGTCGTTCAAGGAGGTGATCGCCATCGCCAATGTGCCCAGCAAAGAGAAGAACCTGCGGTTCACCAAGTCCCTCAACTGGTACTTTCTCGCCTCGACCATGTACTTCCTGTACGGGGAAAGTGTGATATATTACTTCAAACACATCTTGCTGGTGGACAAAGTGCTCCTTCCCCTCGCAACACACCACCGCTTCATCAGCTTTACTCTCTACGTCATGGGTGAGTGACTCGGGCTGCTTCTCCGTTGACATACGCTGAGATCTTTTCTTAGGATTCGTGTTCTTTGTCGGGTCACTGCAGAAGGGACATTACCGATTCCAGTTCACGCAGTTCGCCTGGACACATATGGCACTGTATCTGATCGTGGTCCAAGCACACTTCGTCATGAACAACATTTTCGAGGGCATGATTTGGTTCTTCCTCCCTGCTGCGCTTGTGATCACTAATGATATTTTTGCTTACGTGTGTGGCATCACCTTTGGGCGTACGCAACTGATCCAGCTCTCGCCGAAGAAGACGGTCGAGGGTTTCATCGGCGCATGGATCTGTACCATTATTTTTGGTTATTTCATGACCAACATGCTGATGCGATACAAGTACTTCATTTGTCCCGTCAATGACCTAGGCTCGAATGTTTTGACGGGTCTGGAGTGCATCCCCAACCCTGTTTTCGTGGCCCATCCGTACTCGCTTGAATGGATCGGCCTCGACAAGACCTTCTACGTCGAGCCGATGCAGTTTCACATTCTGGGATTTGCCACGTTCGCCTCGCTCATTGCTCCGTTCGGTGGATTCTTCGCATCTGGGCTGAAGCGCACCTTTAAGATTAAGGACTTTGGTGAATCGATCCCTGGCCACGGCGGTATCACCGACCGCATGGACTGCCAGTTCATCATGGGCTTCTTCTCCTTCATGTACTACCACAGCTTCATCGCCGTGTATAAGGCGAGCGTGGGCGATATCATCGAGACTGCCATCAACGGCCTGACGGTGGACCAGCAGCTCGAAGTGGTTCGCGGCCTGGGCAAGTACCTGTACAATCAGGGTGCCGTGTCAGAAACGGTATGTGCCTCTGCAATTTTCATCCTGGATCATATCACTAATTTGTCTAGATTTTGGACTGTCTTTCTACCGAGCTCCACCGCCGATGAGCCAAGATCGGTTTCACCCAGAAGACAATTTTATGACTTGTGTTTTTCTCTTTCTTTCACTTCCATGATCAAGCCCCGAGGACGATTTTTGACTCTCCTGTATCTCTCGCCTCGCAATTGTACACCGATGGTGTCTGCCGTGCCGAGCTCTCTCCCTTGTATTTTCCTCCTTCCAGGGAAAACCGCCTGTTCTCCGAGACCACATACACGCGGAGGTCTATGCATACCTTGTGTACTTCGTCTCCCCGCCCTTCAACACATGGCATCAAAACATCCTTGTCAAAAGGAAACAGACGATTCTCAGGTATACAACATCCCAACTCAAAACCGAAAACTCGAAAAAAGACAACCCTCTCGCAAGGCACGAAGAACACCGGGACAATCTCCCTTTCCAATCATGGCTGCTTTCTTGTCTTATTTCCGTTTAGTACTCTCTTCTTTTCTTCTTCTGTCTTCTTTTGCTGCCGATTGGCTCTGGACCGAACTTGGAATTCGATACGTTCGATCAATATGGGCTGTGAGCCCAAAAGCAAACTGGCTCTATTCCATGCCGTTTCTGCACGGGGAAGGATTTTTTTCTTTCTTTCTTTTCCAACTCAAAAAGCCGGTGATAGAAGAGGTGTGGGACGATTACGATTCTTCGCTGTCTTGGAGTAACCCTTTCTCTTGGCTGGTGTGATGTGCAGACGGCAGTGGAAATGGTCTATAAAGAAAATATGTACATAGCTTTCAATCCATTGATGAAGCTGATACTAAAGCTTTTCTAGTTCCTGTGACCGCTTTAGGCTTGACTTCCTATCGAATTTATTGCTACTATACATAACTAGGGTTCAAGGTCACCCGTAGAAAATGAATGGATTGCACTGAGATGAACCATGCAATGCGGGATCAACTCGACCTCCCCCCTCCTTTCCCCCGGTTAAGCCCATATTGGATGTTTTGCTGAACCAGGTTATGTCGAGGATAGACCAAACCTCGAATTTAGCGAGCAAAATCGCAATCCACCGCATTGGAGCTCGTCCACCTGATCCAGGCAGGGTGTGCATGGAAGCAGGGCATGTCACTGAGCTGAGCGTGTGGACAGGGTCCAGATAGAGGCGACCGGGGTGGGTTGACTCAGAGTGCTGGCGTCCCTGATGTGTGTTTGCGCGCGAGCGTCTTCCAGATTTTATGCTCAGGGCGTTCCTTCTGGGATCCCGGTCTCCTCTCGTGCCCAGGCTGAGCGCACACCACATTTGAGCTGCAAATGTGTGCGCCATTAAAAGTCGAGGATGGCCTACAAAACCAGGCGAAACTCGCTTACTCTTCCACTTCAAACTCCTCCATTTCGACCTTGAAATACTGCGCGACCTGCCTCTTCTCGTCTTCCGCACATATCGGATCGAGCATGTATCGAAGGGCCGCATGCCGACCACGCTCTTCCTTACTGAAGCGTTCACCGTTCGCGGCAATGGGCGTCAAAGGGTGGAGTGTTCGTGCTGGGACATTCGATTGTTTACCGCCCGCGCCGTTCGGCGGTTTGACAGTCTCCTTGGGGATGCGAGGCCGGTCTTTCCAGTGCGTGTATCGCGGGGCTTGCAATTCAGCGGCTTCTTGGTTGAGTGGGATGCGGACAGTCAAAAACCGGTCCGCTGGAAACTGAGGCCCAACGGAAGTTGAGGACCGATGATGAGTGTAGAGTTCAAGGAGATCAAAGAGGGTCTCTGGGGCATTTTATCAGCATGCGCTGTGGGAAATATGCGTGAAGAGTAAGATACGATAGGTGACATACCCATGATCTCTTCCCGGCTGGTATTCCATTGTGCATAATCTCCGACGGATTCTGCTGCCTCGAGACGCTGACCTAGCAGCCGCCCTGCGAGTTCAAGACAGCTAAATGCCATGGTCGATGCTGTCTGTTTGAGGGGCGCGAATGTCCGGTACAGATCCAGTGAGATCCGATACGCCAAGTTGGAGACCTCGGACCCGGTAGGGAGCCCGTATTGTCGAGCGAGCTTGAGCAGGGTTTTCTGCGGATGACGGGTCCGGAAATCAAACCCAGACGCCTCCAGCATGAGTCTCTCAAGGCCAATAATATCACGGGAGCGTGCTTCAAAAACCTGATCATTGTCAGCGGACTGGTTCTTTCTCTCTTTCTCCCCGGTTATCCATCCTTACTGGATCATCGGATGGCAATTGCTCCGATGGTGACATGTTCAAGTTGTATGCTGAGCATACAATCTCTCGCGACTTTTTGAGTGTGTCCTCGACCTTGCATGCGGTGAACAAGGCCGCTGTTGCCGCATCCTGCGCGCCAGTCAGATCCAAACTGGCCAGAAGGTGACACAAAAGAGCTTACCATGAAGCTATATTCCCGGTCTGGATGGACCAGTCGAAACCGGTGATAGTATATCACTGCGGTATTGAAAGTGCGAATCGGACTGTGCCGTCAGTTTTGCTTATACAAACTTCTGGCTTCTAGCCTTGCTTTTTTTTCGAGGGAGGCTTACAGATTAAGCACTCTCCGCATATTGTCAAGCCAGTGAACACCCTGCAAACGCAGGGAATCTTCGCGCGTTGGATCGATGCCCAGCGCGGCGAGGCAGTCCTGTATCGTTTGCTCAAAGATGTATGGTCTGGCGACCTGGATAAATGATGGGTGGATTGCGGGGAGCTCTGGGGCCCCGGGCTCAGGGGCCGATCGGGGCGATCTTTCCCCATCAGCCATCGCGAAAGAAAAGCTCACACAATTCTTGCCTTGTCAGAGGACTTGAAGGACGATGGCAAGATGCATCGGACGGGCGGGATGGGTCATGTGATATCGGGGATAGTTTACTCCGAGGTGCTTGGTTGCCTATTTCGGACGGTGAATATACTTCAGTTTTGACAGCGTGCTCGCACGACGGGCTATAGGTGCTGTTGGTAGAATATCCATGATCCATGTGATCAAAATATACAAGGAAATTGTTTGGTTTCCTTTTTTTCAAATGAAGTGTAGAACTTCAGCCGTGTGTCTCCTTAAGTCGGGACAAATATATAGTCCACGAAGCTTTCTATCACGCAACCAAGATGAAAAGTCTGTACTCGTCCTAGTGGGCTACATAATTTAAATGTTGCGTACTACAGCCACACATTACTTGTAGTATATCGATGAACATGAGTTGAAACCCAATGTTTGGGGTCTCTCGGTATTCCTGTCAATGTATAAAACCAGAACTACCCCCCACCCCAAAGATCCAGAGCCTAACAATCAAGCTCTTCATGTCGGTGTCGAGCGGATCTACCAACCTCCTATCAACTTGGTAAACAAAGCAGTGTTGCGGCCTGATATACACTGCAGACCTCCCAGTCCATCAACAGACATTCTCACGGCCATGGCTTTGAAAACGTCATCGCACAAGATGACTCCTGCCATTGAAAAGCTTAATCCGATAAACTTCATTAGAGGGTGGGTATGTCTGAGCCCAATCCACTCTGGCCCTGTGCCTGAGATAGACCAGACCTGGGAAACTCAGGTGATCGACGCTTCTGCACATTGTCCTTCTTTCTTCTGTATCAACAAAGTGGAGAAGCCCAGAGATCTGGCAGGATTCCAATGCTTCTAGTGGCTCACGATCGGCGATGGTTTATTTCAAACGACTCCAGATAGAAACCTTCTAGGGCTATCCAAGAGACCTCCAGCGCCTGAGCCTTGTCGGAAGCAAAGCGGTCCAGTTCGGGTGGAGCCCTGAGATCTTAACAATTATCCCTGAGTCGAAATCTCTTTGATCTATAAAGGCGTCGTGTTTTCCCGAGGGTTCGTTTCGACAAACTATACACTCATCCATTCTTTCTTTACCGGTCACTCCTTTTGAAAGCCCACTTTCATTTCCACCCCTTTCTTTTTCTATCCAACCATGCAGCTCAAGCTCTCTGCCGCCACGGCCCTGTTGGCCACCATCGCCCTCGCCGTGCCCGTCCCGACCGGCCAGGACTCTAGCTGTGCCCAGGTGATGGTCAAGACTCTGAACACTCAGCTGCAGGGCAACAACAACCCCGTCGAGGTAGGCCCGGTAGGCTACATCTGATCTTCCTTCTGCTTTTCTGTTTTCTAACAGCCCATTTCTTTCACAGAAAGTCGTGACTGGCACGAGACAGACCGTCGCCACTCTCACCAAGACCCAGCCTCAGAGCTGCCAGGGCAAGCTGAGCGACGAGGACCAGAAGCAGGTCTGCGACGCTGCTACCAAGGTGAGTTTTATATACTCATTGAACATGCGGATTCAACATGAAAAAAAAAAGACAACCGGGAACTGACTGGCTCGCTATATAGTTCATCAATGAGGACGACACTCTCGTCAAGCCCGTCACTGACAAGCAAGATCTCCTTGCCAACATTCCTTTGAACGCCCCCATTGCTGCCGTGTCTCCGAAGGCGTGACCGATGTGGGTTTCTTTTGATCGTCCTAATATCCGCCGAAAGTGCATATGGCTGATGGAATCCTAGGCATACCTGCAAAGCGTTATCGAATTTGCTCCCAACTGTGGCCCGCAGCTCACCGAACTGATCAAGAACCTGGACAAGGTCCTTAGCAAGCTCGCCGGTGCCTACTCCAACTAAAGGAACTATTGAGTCGGTCAAAGCAATCAAACAAGGAAGAAGCCATATCTCCGTGGATGTGGCTCAGGTCAGGGACGAGACGTAAAACTCTCGGCCTTGAGCCCCTGGAGGAGCGACTGTACTTCCTAAATAGCAGTTGATATACATGTATATGGGCATAGAGCCATACCTCTTGCCTTGATGCATAATATTGGCGACTGCCACAACTTATACCTATTTTCAATGTACATGTATGCTTGCTAGCCCATGGGAGAGAAAAGAAAAGAAAAAGTCACGGAACACCTCGTCCTGCCCTGATCGCTTTTGCCAGCTCGCTCTGCGGGGAGCAGGCGTGGGCCGTGCGTTCGATATGCCTTTTCCAGATACTCCAGGATCCCGGTGAACTTGTACAATGGCCGTGCGTGTGGGTCAGCCGGATATGAGAGTGGTGGGATGAGGCCGCGCGGGTTGAGAAAGAGAAGTGAGGCGAGCTTGTTGTACGGGTTGACTTCGATGTACTCGTAGGGGATCTGTTTCTCCCCCAATGCGAGCCAGACTCGTTGGACTCGTTGAGCTCCAGGTTAGCCTGCATGGCACTTGAGTCAAGTCAATAATGAACTGGGTATGGCAATACCGGGTCTCACCGTCGGTTGGCGTTTGGTTGGCTCATGGCTGGCGGTCAATAATAACGTACGGACAGAACCCGCATACAGCTTCAGTGGCTGCTCCGTTCAATGCTGGTCAACCAGTGCTTTTGCGGGGCCAGTGCTCTAGGTGAAGGTTGGAATCGGGATGGACTGGCATCGTAAGAGCAAAGATGGTCAAGAGTAGGTGGGAGAGAAGAGAAGCTGGGAAGATGCGGAGGAACTATGTATGCAATTGAAGTGACATGGTTTGGCTAGAAAGTGTCACTATCCATGGCCTACTCTTTTAACCATCACAGTCACAGATAACATAACGTGCCTCTAATAATATCAAGGCCAGACAAAATAGGTATCATCAAATTCTACTTGCCATCGCCATACTTCCGGATCAGCTTCTGCATCATCGACACCGCGCCCGAGCGATACCCCCCGAGAAAATGGCGTGATGGTTAAGATGGTGATATCTGAAAGAGATGATAAGTCGGCGACAGCCCAGATAGACAAAAAACAGAAGCAACTTACAACTCATACAATTCCACGCGGTCGTTGTACTCTTCCACTGGCTCGGTCTTGGGCACAACCCGATGATACTGATCGAAGAAGCGCGGCGAAAACCCACCAAACATGTGCATAATGCCCAAATCAAACTCACTGTGCCCATAGCACGCTGATGGGTCGTACACCACGTCGGCGGGCTTGTCATCGCGACCGCCGACAATGCGTCCGCAGTCGGCGTTTCCACTCCATAGATCCCCATGCACCACTACAGGCACTATCCTTTCTCCCTCACCACGGGAATTATACCCCAGGTGATCATCTCCGAGCAGTCGTGGCACAACCGAGTGGGCAGTTTTCTCAACGAGGTTGCGCAGCTGGGGATCGCGCCCATTGCGTTCCTCCGACGTAGCCAGGATCCGGAGGAGGCGCTCGTTCGCGTAGAAATCCGCCCAGCTATCAGAAAAATGGTTGGGCTGCTTTGTGTCGCCGCAGAATGTCGGCACCGGAAAACCAAAGCGCCGGCGCCCCGTCTCCGGGTCCGCGGGTGCGGGCGTCGTATGAAGCTTCCCGAGTCGGTGTGCCAGTGTGGTAGGGGTGGTCTCGTCACCAGTGGTGCGGCCCATGGCACCACTAAGATCAAGGAATTCCGTTGCAAGGAAGAATTTCTTCGGCCGACTGCTGCCTTCATCCAGCGCGCCCCAGGCCAGCGCGCGCGGACAGAAGCCTGGAACGGAGCCGGCAATCGCGTTCAGGGACTCGTACTCTCCCCGGAACATCTCCTCGGCAGCTTTGCCGTTGTTCGAAGTTTTGAAAAAGTATCGTCGTTCTTCTTCGGTGCCATTATCCGTCGGGACGAGTGCTCGGATGGCGCCTGTGCTGGTGAAGCCGGACCCTAGCCCGGAGGTGGAGAGGCTGACCTTGGACGGGTCGGTTAGGGAGAGCGCGCGCAGGATAGGAGCAGGGACAGGAGACATGGCTAGTCAGGATGATATTCGCAATGGGTATCGGTCAATCATTTGGAGAGGGGTTTAACACATTTTAGGAATGAGGAGGACCGGTTGGGCGTAGGATGACGTTGTTTACTCCACGCGATCGATAAGATACCAGACCGACTTGTTAACAGACAGAACCAAAGAATAGAACAAAAATAAAGAATGGAATATAGATTGACAGTAGATTTTCAAGTCAGAAAGACAGAGGGAATCCCACAGTAAATGTACAAGTCGAGTGACTGAACGTATACTTGTTGAAAAGGTCAAGAGGACGCGCATTTAGCGCCCCGAGTACACTTGATGTGCTTATACTGAGCGTTTCAAAGAAGGAAAGGAGCATATCTACCAAGTCCATGAACAGTAACTCGCATATGTTGTATGCACAGGTGAGAACTCTCATGTCTACAACCTCCCGGTCCACCCCCCAAGCACTCGATTACGCCGGAGCCAACGAGTTCAGAAGATGAACCGCCGTCTTGGTGCGCTCCTTGATATCCAGATCCGAGTCATCTTCAAGACTAGCCAGCCGGTCCGCCACGCCCAGGTGCCGTAATTGGGCCGCTCGTTCTCGACAGCCCTCGCGGTCACTCTGATCCTCTTCATAAATGAGGTTGATGATCACCCAGACGCAATTGACCCGCACTTCTCGGTGACTGTGAGTAAAATAGTTGGTCAGCGAGCGCAGTAGGTCGCGATGTGAAACGAGGAGTTCTCGGTGGCGCGGAAGTCCGGCAGCGAGATGGATAATAAGTGCGGTGACCGAGGTTAAAATCTCCACTGGAACGTGCAGTGACCGGCTCGAAGATTCGCGCCGATGGGGAAGCTGGATCGAGCGTGGACGCAGGTTGTCTGCAAGTGCATCGAGAATGTCGTCCTTTCCGATTTCTTGGAAGAAGTGGTCGATCATCTCAGATGCACCGGGGCCGCAGATAATATTGCGCAACAAATCAAATGTTTGCTCCTGCACGGCAATATCATCTTGTCGAGACTGAGTAGACTGCTCCAGACTGCCGTGCAAAACGAGTTTGCGCCGACGCCTGGCATCGGGCAGAAACATCTCCAGACTCATTTTTGATGGGGGCATGGTGTCGGTCATCTTGAGATCCTCCTCCCGCTCGCTGGCATCTTCCATGGGATTCAGAATGTCCACCTGTTCACCAGCCGAATTGGATCGGCCCATGGCAAGCCCGGCGCCGTGATCCATCTCTTCTTCCATTCCTCGTTTAGCTAAAGCGCGGAGTGGGTCTTGGCTGATAATCTGTCGGATCCAATCCGGGCCCAGAGCCTCGACAACCTTCATCCTGATATCGTTGGCAGTGTTATAGACTACATGCTTGAGCGCCCACAATGACTCAATCCGTAACTTGGTGTTAGACGAGTGGGCATGCTCGCAAAGAATGGGGATAATGTCGGCGGAGATGATGGCCTGTAGGAACAAGGTAAGTATACAATTCTAAAAGGCAGAGAATGAACAATATCTCACCTCTTTCATGGGGCTAAAATCTAACGCCAAGTTACAAATTGCCGCCGTTGCCGCGATCTGTACCTCGAGGTCGGGGTGGCTAATAAGCACAAACAAAGGCTGAGCCACCCCAGCATCGATGAGGCTGGTTCTTAGCACACTGACTGATCTTGTCAACATACGAGCCGCGCCACAGGCAGCTAGCAGCGTCGGAGTTGGATTGCCATCGGCCGCGGTGTTCTTAGGCATTGAAGTGTCGGCTGGGGCATCACTCGGCCGGGGCTTGAGAGAGTCGATGATGTATGGAACCACGCCATTCTCGCAAACTGCTTTGCGGTACTCATCCTTGAAAGGAACGAGAGCTGCCAGAGCTTTCAGAATCCCTTCGCGGTACCGCATAACATGACAAAGTGTCGGGGAGTACCCCGGAGGACCGAGCCGACACTCCGGTGTTAACGTCTCGGGATCCGAGACCGGACAGCCGCCTTCTGCCTGCCACATCGGCCGGGAACTTTCCGGTACCGGGTTGTAGGTTTCTTTAAGGAGTTGTGACAGCCTTTTTAGCGCACCGCCTTCCACCGCATGTTTCTGCAGCTCTTGGTCGTCCATCACTAGGTTAGCCAACACGGCCGGTGACTCCTCTTTCATGCGTTGTGTAGGTGAGATTAATCCGTCAGAAGTGACATTATCCTCATTCGGCAACCGAAAGTCTTTGTCCAGCATTCGAATGAGGATCGGAATCAACAAGTAGCTAAACATCGAGACTCGATGCTTCTTGGCCAATCCCAAGCGGAAAAGAACAGTGACAAGACGGGCTGCCATTAGCCGTGACATGCCACTTTCTGCGCGGAGGATACAGAGGAGCCATGGCACAATGGAATTCTCATCCTCATCCGGCGTTGACATATCGGCAAACGAGAATGGGGTCGGAAAAGAGTGGCTATGACGACGGTGCGAGCCCCCATGGCCTAGAGGTGGAAAATTGGCTGCGCTGGTGGATGACTTCGCATGTGCTAGTGGAATTGATGGTAGAAGATAATCGACGGGGTTTGCACCCATTGGGCGGGGCACCGCTGAGCCCGATAGGTATGTCGCCCCCCACGGTCCCTTTTTGACGTCGGACGGGGCAAATCCTGGAACTTGTTTGGGAAATACAGTGACAATCCCTGGAGACGAGAGAAAATGCTCAGCACGCCACTTCGACTGCTCGATGATCACGGTAATTGCACGAAGAATCGGCGCTAGCTGGGCGGATGCAGGGGCCGGCGATGGCAGATCCCCCAATGCGCCAGGTTCGTGCAGATGGGATTCGGCGTCGGGCAGGACAAAACCTTGGGCGACGACAAATGAGGCAATCTTGACTGCCAATGCATCCAACACTCCAGACTCTGCCAGGGCCGTCTTGTGGACCTCTTCCGTACATAACTTCCCAATAAGGCCAGCTGCCAACTCGATGGATGCTTGATTTCGTGGGGAGCTATAGTCTTGCGCAACAATTCGTCGTAGACAACTGATATTCTCGGTAGTAAACACCAGATCTGCCAAGCGCATGTCCCGGGGCCATTGCTCCTGGCTCTGCAACGGTAGTCGATCCGCAATGGTATTTAAGAGCCGGAGAATCGGAAGACCGAATGACGCAGGACAGTCTGGGGAAGAGAGAATGGATAGGAGGGTCGGGAGAATATTGCTGGAGAATATAGGAGCGAGAAAGGTCGGGCCACCTGGTTGGCATTGTCAATTCCTCGTCGATCGGCGCATGGGACGCTGGGTGGTCAATTCCCACGTACCTTGTGCCAAGCTCCCAGTAATGAGAATCGCCTGGAGACAGGCATCACAGTCCTGGGGGCTCTGGCCCACGACAGATCCATTATATCCAGCTTTCCCCGGCCGTTTCGAGATCAACACCTCTGTCAGGATGGGGATAAGGCCGCCGGTCACATAGGATTCCTTGCGCTGGTCATGGCCAATGACCTCATTCTTGAGGGTGCGCAGGGCATTAATCTGTGAGGATACCGACTCCGAGCTGTGTAGCTGCAGCAGAATCGGCGGTGCGGCCGCGCGCGTCATCGTCCGGAGACCACCGCCCCCGAGTGGGAGGTTCTCCAGCAATCCACTTCGCTTACTTTTGGAGAAGAGGAAGAAAAGTTCCAGGATATTTCCTTCAGGTAAATCTGTGATGGCGCAGGTTGGCGTCAGTCTCTGTGGCAAGCCGTCGGGATTGCAGGGCCGGGAGAGAAGGTCTGGATGTATTCGGCCAAGTCGGGCGAGGGGTCGCGTGTGTTAGGGTTTGGGGGGTGCAAGCGCTGTTTTTTGTTTCCCTGCTGGTTTGAGAGCTAATGCCCGTGGGGTCTGATAAGCGTCAGGGTGTTCAACCATCGAGCCAAGCCACTCACCAGAAAGCTGACGATCTGCTGGACCTGACGTCTCCGACTCCGCATGGGGATGACTTGGTGGTTACGTAAGGCTTTCTGCCTGAGGCGAGAAACTTGAAAAGATGCCGTACTTCCGTTTACTTTGTGGCACATGACACCTGCTGCAGTAAGGAAGTAGGCATCCAGTTGTCTAAGTATCTAAGAAAAAAAGATTTTTTTTTTTAGTTATCTCTAAGCTAGATCAATACGTATATGTTTTTCTCTTAATTTTTTTTTTATAAAAACAGACCTTCAAGGGGTAATTCTCCCTTTCCTGAGGCACCCACCTTGGGGGAAATGGAGCCACATCACATGATGCTGTTTCAGCCCTGCGTAACAATACGAGAGCCACGCCACCCCCGGCCAATCAGCCCTGGCGAAAGCCACAATGTTCAGACCTTTCGCAGGCCTTGCCCTCACTCCAACTGGATCTGAAATGTATTGCCATGTAAATTACGTGAACAATCAGGATCTTTCCATGACTTCTCCTCTTCCCCTTTCACTTCGCTTGACACTTACAATTCTCCTTCCAGATTCTGCTTCCACTGTCACTCTGCCCGGTGACCCCTCGACTTTGAATTCCCGACTGCTGAGGATGCGGCCGTGCGCCAGCGCCATCCAGGTTCCGCAGCGTCAGCGTCCCGTTGACTCGTGCGCCCACGTGGTGCCAGCGTGCAATCCGAGCGGTCGATTTGCTTTGGCTTCGGATTCCAGCATTCCTTACAATTAAACCATGTTGGCGTCTTCGCCCTCACCTTCCTCTGCAGCCCTGCGCTCACCTTTGCAGACGTCCTCGGGCGCTGCCTCTCACCCTCCCCGTTATGAACCCACTGGCGCTCCCCACTTCAATAGTCCCCGTTCCTCGCGCCTGGCTATTGACGAGCTCCGATCGGCCTTGAATCGGCATACCGTCGATCCCTCATCCCCTGAATTCTCAGGGGATCTTCACCGGAGACGTCTATCCGCCTCCACGGCTGCCACAAAGACCCCTGTCACCCACAGTTCCGCTTTGGCCTCTGCATCCTCGTCACAGCCCGACTCATCGGCCACTCCGTCCTCAGCCACCCCTAGCACCAAGGTGGCAGCATCGTCTGTCCCGAACCCACCAGTCCCCTCCGTCCCCCCCTCGATGCCCGCCCCCATCGGTTCTGGGTCCAACAAACGCAATAGCCAGAGCGATGACCCGCCGGATGCGACGGACCCGGAGCTCGAGGGCTCCCAGTCGAAACGGCTGTGCTCCTCGAAGTCGGAAGTCAAGGTCTTGCCCGCGCAGTACGAACTGGCCGAGCCGCGAGACTTGGTGGTATTGATCTCCAGCATGCTGATGGAGTTGATTCGGTTTAACGACAAGATCCCACTGCACCAGGGCCGACTGACTCGGTTCCACTCGCGCTCGCCACCCCGAATCTCCGTACAGGATTACCTGCAGCGGCTGACAACCCACGCCACCCTCTCGCCCCCAATCCTTCTCAGCATGGTCTATTATATTGATCGGCTGTGTGCGCTTTATCCGGCCTTCACCGTCTCGAGTCTGACGATCCACCGATTCCTGATCGCCAGTGCCACGGTCGCTAGCAAAGGATTAAGTGACAGTTTCTGGACCAACAAAACCTATTCTCGAGTTGGCGGAATCAGCATGACAGAGCTGGCCATGCTGGAGCTGGAATTCCTATTCCGGGTCCAGTGGCGAATCGTCCCACAGCCTGAAGTGCTGGTCGACTATTACCAGAGCCTCGTCGAGCGATGCGAAGGCTTCATTATTGAACGCACTAGTGGTGGTTCCAATGGCGTGCAATTCTCGACCGTCAACGCTACGTCTATTTCATGATGACCTGCTCGGGCCGGCCTCGAGTTGCCCGTCGATGACGAGGCGCTGGTCATGAATACAATTTGCATGACAGGGGGAACCGTGGCTCTGTAGCCAGCTATTCTGTCTCCCTGTTCTAATATCGAGGAACGCACGCATCAAACAGCTCGGCGCTCCAGATATATATACCCTCAACATAAACCATGGTCTATGGGCGGTGCTTTGTTCCATGTTTTCAGCGATCCATTTACAGCGGAATGAGGCGTTTGATGTCTAATGGGATGACGAGATACTATCTATGATTCAATTACCCACTAGTTCCATGTTTGTTTTATTGAATTACATAGTTTCTTTCTATTTGTTCGAATAGTATGGAATTTATTCAAATCTCCCTACTCAAGTACCCATCAACTGTAGTTTCCCTGTTGGGAGTTAGGGCATAGGGTGTGGGGTCTAGGGCATCCGTAAGCCTTTCGCAACTTCAACCTCGACACTGCCACTTCATATCCAGAGCCACTCCACCTAATCCCAAATAACCTCCCTAGCTATGAAACGAACAGATTGCTTCTAAAGTCTCCAGTCCACATAATCGGCCGCCACGTCCAGGATCGACTGCGCCTATGCGCTAGCTGCCAAAGGATTATCAGCGGGCAATGGATATCGAGCAGACCATCAGAGGCATCAAGCCTCTCTGCGGGCGCATAGTCCCCATTCGAACGATACAAGAGACACGACCACCAGAAGAATTCGGTATGTGTCGCGAATGCTCTGTGGTTCTGCCACACACCGGCTGACATAGACACAGCCGACGCCTACGTCGCAGAAGTCAATGTGAAAGCCGCATCCAAAGTGATCAAGTAGGTAGCACTTTTCGCATCTCAAGATGCCAGGCAACTCATAATTCCCAACTTAGAGCTCTCGATGCTGCCTTCCCTCGAGACTCGTCTCTTCAATTGTCCCACCTCCGTCGTTTCGCCAAGCGAGAACTATTGCCAGCACCTTTGAGATCAGTGATTGAAGAGGGAAGCTCCTCGCCAGCCACATCCGCGCAAACCATCTTCGTTCTCATCTCACCTCCCTTGCCGGACACCAATGCTCTTCAGGCCCTTCTTGCTCCCTTTGCACCGCCCGCGACTCCGGTTGCGGTTACACCATCGGCCGATGCGCCATTAGATTCCTCGACCACCGGCCCGGCTCTCTCCAAGATTCATTTGCACACCACTAAAGTCCCTCTCTATCCTCCATTTAACACGCACCAGGCCGAAACCTGGACTAAATCTCTGTGGCCGGTCATCTTCAATCCCGCCGCACCGCGTGCCACCATTGCCCCGCCGCCTCAGATTCTGGGTCGTGCGCAAGACTCCATTCAGTCCCGAGCAGGGTATTACTTATCTCTTGCACAGAAGGTTGCCGATGAAGCGAGTCAATCGGGGCGGGGCCGCGGCGTGGGCGCGGTGATCGTCGATCCTGCACTCGAGGCGCAAATCGATGCCGTCAACCATGAGCTTGATCCCGACCGTCCGAGTCGGTGGCCAGAAGCTGTCCTTGCCGTCGCTGGTGATGCGCGATACGCCCGCCCAGAAGCTGGCGAGCCGTCCCAGGCGGCACTGCATGCCGGTGTGGCACCCAACCCAGCCAGCAAGACATACAACGCTGACCTGGAAGGTGGACCAGAGCTGCATGCGCTCATGCGTGCTGTGGAAATGGTTGCTCGCTGGCGCCGCGAGGAGGACCGGCGGGACCAGGCTTCCCTGTCGGAAGAGGCACCCCATTCATGGCTAAGCCCGCTGGAATCATATTTCTTGTATCAGTCGCATCCCCCCTCTCGCTCCCCAGCCCCCGACTCTCCGTCCTCCCCCAGAAAGAGGAAACACGAAGCCCCCAATCCGGAATCATCTGCCTGTGCATTAGACCCACAGACCGACCTCCCTGCTCCTCCGCCGTCGAGCGTCGCCCTACCAGACCCTACCATCACCCACTCTACTCACACTGAAACTGGGAACCCTCTTCCTGCATCATCAGCTTCTCCTTCTCATTCCGCGCCCGCTCCTACAAGCTCCCGTATCCGCACCCGTTCCCAAGGCGGCTATCTCTGTACAGACCTTGACGTCTATATCTCGCACGAACCCTGTCTATGCTGCTCGATGGGAATGCTTCTTTCCCGCTTCCGGGCTGTGGTCTTTCCTCGCTCCGGGAGAATGGAGAGTGGTGGACTTGCATCGGAGCCTGTTGTCACTCCTACACCCGATGATCGCGATGATCAACATGGTGGTGGTGGTGGTGCGACTACGGGTGCAGACGCTGAGACGGGGACAAACGAGAGCCTCGACGAGAGGATTTACTATGGCCTGCATTGGAGGAAAGAGCTGAACTGGAGGGCCCTAGGATTTGAGTTTCTGGAGGATGAAGAGCTTGAAAACAAGACAGCCGTGGTCTTCAATGCTTGAAAGTCGATTATTTGTAAGATAGTCATGACCACGAGAATACCTCTTATGTAGTAAGTATAGGATTTCTGAAATAATCTTCCTTTGACATTTTTTTGGGGTAAAAAAACATGCTTTTTGATATGTGCCATGTTTCCTCCTCTTCCTCTTCCTGTATATTCCTCCATAGCCATAGCCATTTCCTTCTTTCACCCTCCCAGGGCGTGAGTTGGTCACAAAACCACACACGGCGCACTATCTGCCAATTCCAGCACATCCGCCTCCCTCGCTGAATCACCCACAAGCAGTCCCACGTCTGCCTTCTCGCCCAACCCCAGGCCGGCATCCAGCCTTGCCCGGATCGCCGTCTCCTTGTCCACGGTCTATCAAATTGGGAATCAAAGCCAAGGAAATTCATGACATCGTCATAGACCGCTCCCTCGTCCACGCCACACGTCAAATGAGAAAATAAAAAACAAAAGAGCCAGACGGGACAAAAATATGACACCAGTTCCTCCTGTCGGAATCTCGGAATCTCATGCAGGTAACCAAATTGGTCGGGAATGTATCCATGAGAAAAAAACAGAGGGGGTATAAACCGTAGTCAACATCCCATAAGATACAACCCAGAAAGCAAAAGACGCATGAAATCAAGGGTGAAAAACGTTGACCGACTGGCCCAGAATATAGCAAGAGTAATGAGTCTGGGCGTCGTGAAAATGCAAAAACAGCAAAAATGATGAAAAAATGTGTTCAAGAGAATATCGGTGAAATGCTTAACGGTCCTGGAAATCGAGCCACGGTGGGCAGGCCGTTCGAGGGTCCGCCAGGCGATGCGCAGTAAAAGAATTTGCTGTACCCTGATTTGTATGTTCTCCCCCAAAAAGGGCCCCGATCAACGCCATGTGTGCATGAGATCATAAACACAGATGACTTGGTGCAGACTGGCCTGTATGAACATGATATGTACAGCCAGTCAATGCAAGGGAGGGATGAGCCCTGTGAAGTGTCCGAATCAAATGTATGAAATGGAGATGAAAATGAAATACTTGCGGCATCACAAGCAGTCGGCATAGTGCTGTTAGGGTAGATGTCGATGAGAAAGGAAAAAGAAAAGGCCAGCCTTCCTGCGAGCCATAGAAATGTATGTTCGATGCGTGATACAACCAAAGTCGATGCGGTTTCATATTTTTGTTACCGTCAAATGACTCAAGCCATTCGCTGGTAGAAGAGCAAGTAGGCGACTCGGTTGTCCCGGCTGCCGTATCGACCCAGGGGAGTGCGTACCCCAGACGAAGGCCCAGAAGAGGGTGTTATCCCATTGACTGGCTTCTTGGTTGCGTGGCTGCTGGTACCGTTTCCATTGACCTGACTCCACCCCTTCTCGCTGTGAGCCGACTCCACATCATCTTGATCAATGTGGGCGAAGATGTTGGCGCTGGGGTTCTTTTCCTGTTTGTGTTGCTCAAGGGCTGCGGCGAGAATCTTGGGATCTTCTTCGCCACCGGCTTCCGCCACATCCTCGCTACGAACGCGGCGAAGAACGGTGTCATCCATGCGGATCCATTCCCGTCCTTCTTGGCGCCGAACATCAACAGTGTAGTGACCACCACTGGCATTCTTCCCATGGTGGTAAATAACCCCCATGAGACGGTACTGTGGGAGCCCCCCTTGGGCTGTTATGATATTGCGCCTATGAGCCGGGAAGACCTCCCGCGGAATCTCCAAATCCAGGGGATATCCAACCTTCTTCCAAATTTTCTGAGTGGCCCCGGTCAGATTGTCGTACTGGAAGCGCTTGAGGTGAAGAATGAGGACAGGCGGCAGGGTTTCAATGAAGACCTGCTTAGTTGCCGTGACGTTGGGGCCGCGTGAGGAGTTAAAATCACCCTGAATGCTTTCTGGCTTGGTCAACCCTTTGAGCGCATCGACAATATTATGAACATCGGGCGACCCAATGTCGAGTTGCAAAGGCTGATAAGGCTCAAGAGTCACAGAAGTCTTGTTGCCTGGGACCTTAAATTCTGATCTGATCTTTCCTCCAAAGATCTTGGTGACCGGGGATTCTGTGATTATGGCGCCAGATGATTGAGTAACTGCCGCCTTTTGCTTATGACCAACTTCGAGCCATCCGTCACCAGAAGCTCCATCGGCGGCACTAGCATCGCCGGCGTCTTGTGCTTTTTGAGCCTTGTCCAATGTATGCTTGGCGGCACGAGCACATTCCTCGTGCATTTCCTCAAGAAGGAATCCCAGAAACTCTTGAACATCTTGCTGATGACCACGTCGCATGTCCCTGAAGCGTGGCAGCTGTCTAATCATCTCGTACACAAACTCAGGAATGAAAGCTTCTCCGTATTGCTCCAACTCGTTAGGCTTCAGTCTCAACCGCAGCTGCTCTTCTGAATTCGCGGCGTCAATGACGCGAAACTCTCTCATGAACATGATCATCGAGTCAATCAAGGGAAGGTCGCTTTGGAAGCTGTGCGAAGCCCGTCGACCAACATGGTCAAGAAACTGATAAAATGGTACGCAAGAAACAAGGACTTGCAGCACAGAATTCATGTAGCACATGTTCCCGGTGTTGACGAGTCCACGGGGTTCCAGGAAAGCGATTTTGTCGCTGTACTGGGTGACATCGTCGCCGAGACTGCTCAAGACTTCGGCAAGAGATTCATTCCTCTGTGTAGTCATTGCACTTGACTCAGCTGAAGCAGAGGCATTTGCGGAACGCGCAGCAGCCTTTGAGCGAACCAAGTCAGCCCAGGATTTCGGAGCGGCGCGAGAAGGCGAGGCTGGTTTAGTTTCAGCAGGGGCGGAGTCTGAACTAGTCTCCGGGGCAGTCGCCGTGCTTGATTTCGGTGTTTCCGATGCGACACTGGAGCCATCTTTTGCTTGGCGACGCGGAGTTCCCGGGAAATTGGGCACAATTGGTACAACAGGAGCCAAAGGAATAGCAGGTTTTGATGCTTTGTTTTGAGCCTGAGTCTTTGCAGTAGAAGGAGTCGTAGGCTGCGTGGAGTCGGCGTCCGATGGGAGCAACGAAGTAGTGGGGGTTTGTGGCTCAGAAGGTGCTTGGGCGACTGATTCAACTGGCTTTGCATCACTCTGAACCTCTCCTTCAGTGGTTCGCAATCTGTCCCTACTAGGAAGTTCGACCGATGATCGCATCACACGGGTCTTTCGACGTCTGTGTGGAGCTCTGGCGGGGAAGGGAAGCTCTGGGACAGAGAGCCAAGGAAGCTATACCATCTGTTAGCACCGGACAGAGGAATAAAATGCATTGACTCCATGATCACAGTTGTAGAACTTACTGGTGCGGAGAAAGCAGGCTTCGGGGCAGGAGTGACCTTCGGTTCCCATCGCGGGGGCGGAGACGCGACAGGGTAAGTCTGGTGTAGCTGAACAGGTAAGACAGTGGGGTGGTGCTCCTGAATTTCGGGCTGAAGATGCGCCGCTGGGACAGATGGAGACATTGTTGGCTGCAACGGAGTCGAGGTTCTCGGTTGCATGGGTAACGAATGAGGTGGAATATGATTGGGTGCCATGATGGGTTGCGAATGAGGATAAGAGGATACAATCATCGGACCATAGGGTGGCTGATAAGGTCGTGGAGGAACCTGCATATGGCCATAGGGCGGATACCACTGCGGATACTGCTGTGGTGGGAAGGCGGGGGGCATGTGGCCATTCATGTGTGGTAAATATCCCATGTACGGGGGAGATCGCATGTTGGGAAGACCAGGGTTGTAAGGGAAATCTTGCTGCCGTCTGGAAGGAGGCATCGGCGGCTGCCCATGAGGCATCGCAGGCAAATGGTGGTTCATCTTGGCCTGAGAGACAATTCGCCTTCACGGTTCAGCCATGCGCCGAGGGACTCAAGCGAAGTTAAAACCTGAAGGCTCAGGCGCAATTATGCGGCCATAATGGCCTCGGAAAGAGATGGGAGGGAGGGCGTCGCGGTGTGGATATACTGCAAATCGGAGCAGTTGGCGGCAAATGCTAGAATAGAAGGGGAGTAGACATTAATGCAAGTGCGCCACAAAAATCCCACGTAAGAGCCAAATACCTAGGAAGTATACTAAAAGGATTCAAGGGAATAAGACAAAGGCTCAGTCAAAGACCGAGAAAAGGGAGGGATGGGAGGAGGGGATGCGGGAGAAGGCCTCTCATTCACCTCGAAGCTGAAGTGAAGCGAAATTGGATTCCAGTTCATTCAATGACTGACTCAGCGCCTATGAGTCAGCGCCCGCACGTGCCGGCTTTGGAATCAGTACTCGCCCCTCTCCGACCTCTCCCTCTTCCTCGGTGGGCTGCACTCAGGGTGCCCTTCTTGGTCAGGTCTTCGATTCTCTATTCTGAAATGGCCCTTTGGGACTCTGTATACTTGTTTCTTGTGTCGATTGCACCGAGGCCGAGTCTTCCCGGTTGATGGGTCCCCTGTCTGCGCTAGCTGATTGACCGCCCACCTTATCAGGCGGCAAGTTTATCCAGATTCCAGGGAGCCCCTCAGTTTTCCTCTCCAGCCGGTCCACCGGTCTCTTCACCCCTGCAGTGACCAAGGCCGACAAGCAAATATTGAAGGGATAACCCAGGGAGATGTCGTCCAGTGCAGGACAGAACCCAGCTCCTTCAAAAGCGGTGAATGTTTCGAATACCTCAGCTTCGTCTGCGACATTCCACTCGACACCTCCGGTCGACAGCAGCTCTCAACGGCGTGTAGGAGCTTCGGGAAGCTTTGGTGCAGGATTATCATCGAGGAGCTCGCCCACCGCCAGAAATAATCAGGCGCGGAAGAGTCAGCACAAACGACAGAGGAAGCCGAGGTTGTTGGACGATGACGAGTACAGCGAATCGGTGGGTTGCTTGGGTTCACTTTGAATCGAGAGTCACCTACTGACCCGCAGGGCTCTCAGGCCGTCATGAAGTCGACAACCAGCCGCAAGGGACAGACGTCCATCACCCACCTCATGAACTTTTCTCTCCCACCTCGCCCGCAGTATCAGCCCCCACCTCGCAATTACCGACGCTATGCAACATGGGGTGCCGGCTCTGGCTACCATGCAATAGACAAGGCACACTATGTTCACGCTAACTACCGCTTTATCGTGGCTCCGAATCAGAATTACCATGCACAGGCAGCCAATGCCGATGTCCACCTGGACTGGGCTTCGGTTCTTCAGGTATTGGTCTCTGCTCAGACCCAAGCTGCCAGTTGCCCGATTTGTCTGTCTACTCCAGTTGCGCCACGAATGGCGAGGTGCGGCCACATATTCTGCCTGCCATGTCTCATTCGATATATGCACTCGTCAGACGATGACAAACCAGTTCCCGAGAAGAAGCCTCGATGGAAGAAATGCCCAATATGCTGGGACTCGATCTATATCTCAGAGACTCGACCTGTTCGGTGGTTCCGCGGTCAGGAGGGCGACCTCCCCATTGAAGGCGGGGATGTAGTGTTGAGGCTGGTGAAACGAGAGCCGGGCAGCACTCTTGCGCTTCCCCGCGATGGTGCCGAGACTCTTGGTCCCAATCAAGATATTCCGTGGTATCATGTTGCGGAAGTTGCCGACTATTCTCGGATGATGAAAGGAGGCGAAGACTACATGACCGCTCAGTACGATTGTGAAATCGAGGACCTTCGCAATCAGGAAGCCGAAGATGAGCTCTTATTCGGCGATGAGAACACCTGGACACAAAAAGCCATTGGTATTATTACGGATGCGAAAGAAAAGTCGAAAGGCATCGGTAACCCGCCAGATGTCTCGCGACAACCCGCTGCCACAAATCCCGTCAAGGAACAGACTCACGAACCCGGTGATTCAGCACAATGTGCTGCCTCCTCCGCCAATACTTCTTCTGCGGAGCCGGTCCCTTCCTCGGCCGTCGATGCGCCAAATCAGGTCCGAGAAGTCTCTTCGACCCTAGCCACGTATGACGAGGTGGACCATCTCTCTGAGGCCGTGAGTAAGATTCATGTGGACTCTGACTCCAACACCAGATCCAGACACAAGACTTGGAGCAAGGAAGCGCAGTCCTCCCAAGTATCAGACCAGCCATACTATTTCTATCAGGCCTTGCCTCAATTCTACCTTTCGCCTCTAGACATTCGCATTCTCAAGGCTGCGTTTGGCGAATATAGTCTATTTCCTGCGACTATTCTACCTCGGGTGGAACATATTTCCACCGGGCATATTGTTGACGACGAGCTCCGCAAACGAGTCAAGTACCTCGGGCATCTTCCGCAGGGGTGTGAGGTCAATTTCTTGGAGTGTGATTGGAGGGATGTGGTTGTCCCAGAAGTCCTAAGGCATTTCCGCGCCGAGATCGACAAGAGACGGAAACGCAACCGGGAGAAAGAGGCTCGCGAGGAAAAAGATCGCATCCGTGCGGAGAAAAAGGAGGATGATGAACGGTGGGCTGCTGCTCGGCGCAAGCGACCCAGCGTTGGGAATGCTAGCGAGGCCCCGTTCTCTGCCCATGATTTTCAACCGCTGCCCAACAATGCCGACTCATCAGTATTTGACTCTGGCACCTCTTCGGCCTCTCCACCGCGCCCATCCTCCCAGTTTGGAGCATTAGCGTCACCCTCTACCAGCCCTCCAGGTTCCCGTACAGTCTGGGGAACCACGGTGGTGCCGTCTCTTTCGCCGACCTTGGAGGCCCAGCGCCCCAGTGATGGGTGGCGACAAGATTGGGAGGAGGAGCTCCTTGCCCAGCGGGAGTCTGAACTGATTGCACAAACTGCTGCTGAAGGACCTACTCCTGGTCCATCAGCCAGCGCTGGAAAGAAAAAGAAGAAAAACAAGATTACATTGATGTCTACTAATAGTCAGAGAGGAGCATGAGCTCCGGAAATCTTCGAGTACAGAGGTATGGTCAATACAGTGTCGAGGGTTACATGCATTGAAGAGCATGGGTTGGAGTCTTGCCAGGTCATATATTGTTTCTTATATCCCTTCCCTTCTCGTTATGTTCAACCGAGTCCCTGGGAGGCGTGGGGCCCACATTCCCTAGATTTAGTGTGGAATATTTGAATAAAAATAAACATACACAGAGAGCATCTGGCAAGAATGAATATAACCATATATGGATTTCAGTCACTCATCGAACTCGCCTGTACCTACTGCAGTACATAGTACCTACCGAAGTAGATCTTCCTTGCAGGGAACGACAAGCTTGGCATGATGATCGTAGAAATTAACTTGGATACAAAGAATAATCATAATCATAATCATAATCATAATCATAATAACAAGACCGGGACTCGGGACATTGACACAGGTTGAACCATGGACCAGCTTAGTATCTAAGACCCATTTGCATATTCCCTTCCATGGATACTCCCGATTCCCATAGAGACTGGGGCTTTTGTGGGGAAGAGACAGGGGAAGAGTCGTATTCTGCAAGTAACAGCGAGGTATTTTTGATTTGTTTTTTGATTTTTTTTTGCCGGGGCCGCATATTTGATGTGGGCGGAGTGGTACCCGCCAGGTACAGGTGTAAACATATCCTTGTTTTTTTTCCACCCCAACCTCCTCTCGCTCTCACCTCCCTCTCTCGTCTTCCCATCCTTTTTGGTGGGCCCTCATTTTCCGAATTGGTGATCATGACCCTGACGCGCTCCCAAACGGGGAAAACCCCCAAGTAAGTGGCTCCTGATTCCCAATTGCGCCCCAATTCGTGTCGGCTATATCTTCGCTCGAATCCCTGTGGAAGCTGGTTTTTCTCCCCATTAACTGGTTATTTTCCTTCTGTGATCTAGAAAAATGGATCGACCAGGCTTCATTGAGACTCCAGGTCGTCGCGCCACTCGCAACAGCTCTCACTTCGAGGCCAGCGAGAACGACGCGTCCGACTCTCCGAGCCAAAACAGATCCAAGTCGGCTACTCGTCGTCGCACCTCTGCCAAGGTCAAAACCGAAGAGGAGGAGACTCCGATCAAGGTCGAGACCAATGGAAAAACCGCCACCCCCAAGTCGAAGACTCAGTCCAAGTCCCGCATCGTGGACGGCTGGGAGGAGGGACTTGACCCCAAGATCGACTACAGCGGTCACTTTGAGTTTGGAGGCTCTCTGGGTGTCTTGTCCATGATGATTGGGTTCCCCTTGCTCATGTACTACATGTGGATTGGGGCCACCTACTACAATGGCAAGTTCCCTCGCCCCGCTGAGGGCCAGAGCATGCCCGACTTTGTCGCGCACCTGGGTCATCTGGTCTACACGGGCGCGTTCCCCTCGCTGAAGGCGTGGGCGATCTACTGGGTGTTCTTTCTCTTTGAGGGAGCCTGCTATGTGCTTCTTCCTGGGGTGTCGGTTTCCGGGCGCCCGTTGCCGCACCTCGGAGGCAAGCAATTGCCGTACTACTGCTCTGCCGTGTGGTCGTTCTACACTAGCATCGCGTTGGCCCTTGCGCTGCACGCCACTGGTCTCTTTAAGCTGTACACCATCATTGACGAGTTTGGTCCTCTGCTGAGCGTTGCCATCCTGTCGGGATACTTGGTTTCATTCGCGGCCTACTTCTCGGCTCTGGCCCGTGGCGCTCAGCACCGTTTGACCGGCTACCCGATCTACGACTTTTTCATGGGTGCGGAGCTGAACCCGCGTATGTTCAACATCCTTGATTTCAAAATGTTCTTCGAGGTTCGCCTTCCCTGGTATATTCTGCTGTTCCTTTCCATGGGTGCGGCAGCCCGTCAGTATGAGGTCTACGGCTATGTGTCCGGCGAGGTCATGTTCCTGGTGATGGCGCATTTCCTTTACGCCAATGCTTGCTCTAAGGGCGAAGAATGCATTGTGTCTACCTGGTGAGAACCACCCAAGACTCTGACTGAGCGGCTCGAACTGACATTTCCATTTCATCAGGGATATGTACTACGAGAAGTGGGGCTTCATGCTGATCTTCTGGAACTTGGCTGGAGTGCCTCTGAGTTACTGCCATTGCACGATCTACTTGGCCAACCATGACCCGGCCACCTACCAGTGGAACCGTTTCTTCCTCGCCTTCCTCTACATCGGGTATCTGTTCGTCTACTGGGTTTGGGACACGACCAACAGCCAGAAAAACCGTTTCCGTCAGCAGGAGCGTGGCACCCTGGTTAACCGCAAGACCTTCCCGCAGCTCCCGTGGCAGACGGTGCAGAACCCCAATACCATCACGGGCCCCGATGGTTCCAAGATTCTCGTCGATGGATGGTGTAAGTGTCCTTTCTTTGCGGCGATTCTCGTGTACACTCCGGGTTGTAGATTTTAATAGACTGCGCAGATGGCAAGGCTCGCAAGATCCACTACACGTGCGATCTCTACTTTGCCCTCAACTGGGGCCTGATCACCGGGTTTGAAAGCCCATTCCCCTGGTTCTACCCGCTCTTCTTTGCCTGTATGATCAGCCACCGCGCCCTGCGTGACATCCAGCGGTGCCGAACCAAGTACGGCGAGGCCTGGGTTGAGTATGAGAAGCAGGTGCCCTACCTGTTTATTCCCGTGAGTGACGGGTCTCTTGATCATATCTCTTCTGTATTCCCTGTACTAACACATCTCGCAGTATGTCTTCTAATAGCAGCCTGATCCCAGCGCCATTCCTCATAACTGTCAACCCTGTACAGCGGCTCCGAGGGTCCTCTTTTCCTCCCGGCAGCCGACTAAAATGTGTTTTCTACCTGGGATTTTTACTTTTGACACAGGCCGAGATACCTTCTTATAATGCTTGCCATGGCTCTGGTGTTCCGGGACGTCTCTACACACATCTTGGGGTGCCCATTATTTTTTGTTCCATGTATATTATTCAATGAAACCTTCGAGCCCGGAACTGTTCATGGTAGCTTTCATCGCCTGTTCAACCTCCAAGACTATACTTCGGCATGTTCAGGATGTTTACCCCAGTCCCCTTTGTCAGCGTCCACATGACCCCGCGTCTTATCGATAGACACAGTTCCTCTCGTAGTTGCTCTCGCACAATTGTCCAACGTGCCATTGACTCTTGATTCCGCGACATAAGAGAGATCACTTGTCGAAATTGACACCAGAAATCATGCTGATCCAGGAATCCCACCATGATGTCCCCACCACGGCCGATGGCCAGGGGACGATGCGTATGTATAACTCCCCCAAAATAGACCAGGGGATCGATACCATTCAACGGAATTTTAGTGCGATATGACGGGCAATTGCGCATACAGACTGACTCCTTGACCAGGCATCTATGTTTTTCACCCCACAATCCCGGGGTATCCTAAGGCTCGGTTCCCGGGTGTCGCCATCTTCAGCGAGATCTACCAAGGTGCGGGGGAAATGAATCGACAACACTTTCCACGCTTTTCTTTTTCTCGTCGCTGCAAGTCCAATCCATGTCACTGATGATTGTGCGCAGTAACCGGCCCCGTGGCACGTTTCGCCCGCCAGATCGCCGGCCAGGGCTACATCTGCGCCGCCCCCTCGAGCTACCATGAGTTCACCGGCCCAGAGCCTCTGCAGTACAATGCAGAGGACACGGACAAAGGCAACGCGTGGAAGATTGGCAAGGTCTGCGTGGCTGCCGAGACTTTGCATTACGTCTCTGGGGGTGGGGAGGCTAACCTTCTTTTAGAAACTGGCCGCCTACGACGAAGACGCAAGCCTTTGCGTTGATTATCTACTCTCACTTTCCACCTGCAATGGCCGGGTTGGCGCCACCGGCATGTGTCTTGGTGGCCATCTGGCGTACCGTTGTGCCTTGGATAGCCGGGTCAAGGCGGCTGTGTGCTACTTCGCCACGGATATCCACAGCAAGACCCTGGCCCATGGCAAGAACGATGATAGTTTGGCGAGGGCGGGAGACATCAAGGGCGAGCTGTTGATGGTATGTCTCTGTTCTTTGTGCCTTCGGATATTTATGATCATCATCTCTTTCCATTCTTTTTCTTCCTGTCAAATCTAGGTGCTGACTTTCCCAGATATTTGGCAAGAACGACACCCACGTCCCTCCCGAGGGACGCGATCTCATCCGCAAAACCCTGCATGACAAGGGCGTCTTGTTTGGTTTCTATGAAGTTGCTTGGGCACAACGTGCGTGCCTTCATCCCGTGGACCGGGATCCCGGGAGCGGAGATTGCTGACCGTTTCTATCTAGATGCGTTTATCCGGGATGAGCTCAGCAAGGGACGATACGACCCGGCCATCAGCAAGGTGTGTTTCGAGATGCTGCTGGAATTGTTTGGGCGCACGCTGAAGCTGGATCTCGGGGACCATGACGGTCAAAAGTTGGTGGTTGAAGATGTCTGCTAAGTATAAAATCCATTCTAAAAAGTAGCCAAGCCTGGAGAAACATCGCCTAGCAACCATCATAATAATGCTTGACACGATAAAAATCCCCCATGCAGTGCCGCAAGGGAGAGAGAGAGGCTGGGCCGATACTTCAACACTGGGCCAGGGATGCCTGCGGGTGCCCGGAGAAAATCCAATAATTGCGCTATTCTTAGCCACCGCCACCCATGGGACTGGGGGGTCTGGTTCCTGGGCCTTTCTGGGTTTAATCAATTACAACGTAAAGAACGGAAACAGGAGAAAGAGAAAGAACAAAAGAGAAGAGAAGAAAAAGAAAAAGAAAAAAAAAGTAAGATCCGACTAGTCGACCAAATCCTCCCAACCCGAATTTTCAGGCGAACGCTTCCCACTAGCGTCGGCGACCTCCCAATTCGTGTAAGCCGTCTCACACACTTTCTCTCCTCTCTTCTTCTCTTTGTTCGCGACTTCCGCTCTTTCTTTTCTTTTCCCACTGCCTTTCTCGCTGTCAACCTCCAAACACCGCATCTGGTCTTCCCTCCCCACCCACACCCTCAGATCCGCCGCCGAGCGATCGAGAGCCGGTCCTCAGCGCGGGTCAGGGGACTCCTCCCACGAATCCCGGTCTCCCCCAAAGTATCGCCAGCACTGTTATTCGCGCCTTTAAGTGTTGTCCGCCCGTGGATTGTCTTGATTCGCCATGGGTTCGACTCAATTCGGGAATTTCCACGTGAGTTCAAAGTGATCATCCATACCTGAATACCACGCTCGTCCAATAGGCAGACACTGACCACACGCCCTTGGGTGGGTATGACAGGACTTCTGTCGCGACTCGACATTACCCGTCTGCAATGTTCGTGAGACCTCTCCTGGCGCGTGTGTGGACGTCAACTGACCCGGTTTCTAACAGCTTTTCGCCGTCAACCAGCCTCCCAACAAGGCTTTTGATGGATGTGTGCTCACCGGGATTGACCTGAGCGGGGGTCGGAACCTCAGCAATTTAGGTATGGGGACACCGATTTCGAGACAATCGAAGAGGACACACAAAAGGGTTCCCGGGCGACAGTCGGCTGATACGCGACAGGCTCAATTTTGCTGGCATTCATCGCGATCGTGGTCTCGGCGGTTTTGATTTGGAGGTCGGACAAGAAGCACGCCGCCGTCGGGCGTCGGTACGCGTCCCCCCTCTGAGAGATTTGAGATGAATACCACGGAAATTTACTGACGCGACGGCTTTGATAGGGAGATGCAATTGTTCCTGGCGGGGTTTATCGTAATAGAGATCTGCGAGATTTTCACCGTGGGTGGTATCCCACTCGATGATTCCGTTCGAAAGGTGAGCCAGAATATTCTTCGGGTCAACCTCGTTTCCCGGCTGACGGAGTGCTCTAGGGCTTTTCGGCGGTACATGTTGCCGCAATCACCGCGACGTGTTGGATTCTTTTCTTAAATGCGCTGGTGGGCTTCCAACTTCTCGATGATGGCACACCAGCCTCGCTTGGCTTGATCGCCGCATCTGCCGTGGTCCTGTTCATCGGTACGGGGTACATTGCCCTGGACACTGCATTTGATTGGACCGGCCATTTCCAGCCCAGCGTGACGGGCAGCGACAACCGTAATATCGGTCTCTACGTGCTGTACCAGCTCTTCCCGCTGATTTGCCTCGTCTTGTTCTACTCCTTCGAGGCCGTTCTGGTGCTTCGGGTGCTGGGCGAGTTCCGGCCTATGAGTATGTGTGCCCTCGAGGTTGATAGGTTCATTTTTCTTTTGCACAAGACACTAATTTTGTTCACAGTGTACCTTTCGGGTGCTGCAGTGCTGTTTGCCATCGGTCAGATCTTTACCTATGTAATCAGCACTCACCTGTGCCAGGCCTCGGGCGGAAAGATCAACGGTGCCCTGTTCGAAACTCTGTTCACCCTTCTGGCGGTTGTTGGTCTCTGGACCTTCTGGAGCAGTATCACCGAAGATGACTGGCCGCTGCCTGTGGGAGGTGGATACAACTAATTTTATTTCTATTGTTTCTGTTTGATTTATGGTTTCGCCTCGGCTTCTTGCGCGCTGATCTTTTTTTTACATACATACCAACTCCGGTCCTCACGATGAACAGGACTTTTGACGTTGTGATACCACACCGTTCTGAGTTATGTCTCACGATTCACCTTTGATCTTTCTCGATTTGCCTCGACGGTTGCCATGTCCTGTTCTCTCTAATTTCTTCCACCCCGTTTATCGGTCAGATAAACCTCCGGGGAGGCTGCGAACTACCAGGTTTGTCATGTGGTCAGTGGCCTCCCCGCTGGCATATTTCGCGTTCATTTCAATTGTCAGATACCTCTCTGCTGTGTACTTAGTTATAATCCATGTCAAATAATCGACTTCACCAATCTCGAGACACCTCACCTCGCCGGTCTCTTCGCACAGCCGCCACAATTCACGGTGTGCAGCCTGAGTGACCACAGCCTTCACGTAGGATTGTTATATCTACTTGCACTCTGTTCACTTTCTCTCTCCTCGACATGTTGTATCTGATCCCACCTTCCCCCAGCACACAGATCTAAGGACAAGGACGGGTGCCCAATGCGACCCGGTGTGACCTTGTTCTATCTTAATTCGCCTCGTTTTGCTAGCTATCCGTCTGGCATGAGTATGACATTGACCTGGAGAGTTAATTGCTCACACAGGGAGAGAGATGTGGTTTGTATCCCTTTCCATGAGAAAAAAACAAAGGCAAAAGATGAATATAAATCACCCTCGAGCTGGATATAAATAACCTGCCGGGCCAACTAAGCTCGTTCGATCTAGCCCACGACTCCAAAACATATACACCGAGACGAAACCGACTTTCATGCTAAATACTTCTCCACACTACCAACATGCGCTTCAACATCGCTACCCTCATCCTCTCTTCGGGTCTGGTCTCGGCCGTGGTCACGCCGAATATGTCTGAGAACAGAAACCAGACTTCTTGTATTCCACCCTTCTTCTATACTCATCCACCTTACTCCACCTACTCTTCATTTCCTTCCAATGTATAAAAAAAGATATAATCTGTGGTATTGAGTATGCTGATTCAACCGGCTCTATCTATCTAGTCCTGGAACAAAACAGAGCCCTCGTCGAGACTCTTCCACCTACCTGCAACCTCGGCTCTTGTATCAACTTGGCCGGCCAGATCAGTTGCACTCTGTCTGCTGTTGCCAGTGGAGATCCCACTGCTCTGCAGAAGTGTCTTTCTAATGGGTTGACTCAGGTTCGTTCTTTTCTTTTCTTTTTCTCCCCTTTGTATCAATGCTATATGTTAATAGGTCAATCATGATCAGATCTGTACTTGTACTGCTTGCATTCCCTTGTTAGCTAATGTCTTGAGTGCACTGGGGATTTGCGCTGCAACCTAACCTGTCGAAGGAAAGGTTTGTTAAGGGCTATCAGGGTATCCAGTGGCTTGGCCAGAGCGGCTATGTTGCTCAAGGGTCTATAGGTGGACATTGATGACGATCATGCTTCTCCAAAAGTTCGGGAAATTTGCTGGAAATACCCAGCAGCACTCTCTTTTTCAAGGCTATGGCATTTATGAAGATATTCCAATCTGAAGCCTTCTTGAATGCGTGATATGCAGACATCTAGTACCTCCAAGGTCGGAATCATGGCCTATCGTAGCATCATTCATCTTGCAGTTGTCTAAATCAATCAATCAATATGTACAGTGCCTGCCCATGAGTGTTTAGTGACTACCAATCTCCCCGATGGACCTCAAGAAACTACCCAAATCCATAATACGCTAACCTTTGCCCAAGATGGCTGCATGACCCGCCCAGAATATGACATGACAAGATGTAATAAGAGAAAAGTCCTTCAAAAAGTCCCACAAAAACCAGCCCTGCTCAACGAAACAATTTTTGGGGAGTCCCTTTATAATTGGACCTTAACATCTACACAGGGTAGAGTCCATTCACGTCGTCCAAGAAGACTCCGCAACCACTCCAAACCCATCCCTGTCCACTCTTCCGCTTGTGACTCCGGTCCTTCTGGGGCTAATTGTCGCTGAGCACCCTCCAGCATAGCACCCGCCAACGCCTTGGTAGTTGAGTTGACTGTCTCGAAAACAAAGTCTGCTAGACTGTCGTTGGGAGCCATCGCAACAGATGTGCCGTTGCCTGAGATGGGTCCAGGGGAATCACCAGACCCTGAGCTATAGCGTGGAGCAAACCAGTTGCCACGAAGATCGAAGATGCAGCGATCTGACCAGTGACATGAGGAAACAAAGAGGATGAGGAGTAGCGCAGAGCAGTAGATGCACGGGCGGTGGATGACGTAGGTCAGAGCGACGAAGGAGATGATGAATAGAGGAGATGCGTTGGTTGGAATAAAGAGAAGAGGTAGCCAGCTGTAGAATGATTCGAGTGATTAGTTTGGGATCTGGGTCTTGCACTTGGACAAACTCACCTGCGAAGACAGAACATGGTGGATATGCTTCTAGGGTAATTGCGCCCCTTGAGTGAAGTACAAACAGAGAAAGAAAAGAGACAACAAACGTTCGAGGGCACCCAAAGGTGTGTAGGATGGGAGGATGTGTAGATTGCCAAGATGCGAGGAAGCTGTGGATGACGGTGGCCAACGGCGTATTGTCAGGTATTGTATGGGCCACACCAGCCACGCTCCATTTTGCTTCTGCTTCTCCAACCTCATCTTCTCTTCCTCTCACTTTCTTCTTCCTACCCTTTTTCTCCGTCAACTCTCGTTTCCAATTCTACAGCTCTTCATCCATTCATTTACTGCATCTGCCAACTTTAGTGGTCCCTCCCTTTGCTTTTCTCTCCCTCTCGAAAGAGAGCTCCCGAGAGCTTTGCATAAGTTTGGAATCGTGCGGAGGTCGCCTCGGATAGGCGCACGACAGAAATGTCTACCCCCAATGATCTCCAGGCTCTCTTGGCCAGTATCCGGCCCCGTCCATCCCCGTCCAATTCTTCGGGTCCCGACAATCTCCAGCCTCGTCAGCCGCACTACCAACCGGGTTTGTTCCCGCCGCATCCTCAGCAGCCATACGACGGCCAGAGCTTGCCCCATCCCCAGCTGCATGGCTACCATAATCCCTCGGTCTCGACAATTCAGAGTCCTTCCCCGGTGAACACCCCTCCCCACCATGGTTCTGATATCCTGAGTCCCAACATCCCCACCCCTCGTGGCGACTGGCCCCAGCAGCCGCAGTCCAACAACCCTGACCGTGCTACCGATCTGTTGAATCTCCTCAGATTCAGCCAGGGCTCAGCTGCTCCCTCCCATGCCCCGGCCCCAACTCCGACCGCAGGCCTTGAACAGCTTCGGTCTCCGCTGGGCTCGGAAGCTGCCACGTCGCATGGACGAAACATTTCTGCGTCAAACTTGGTTTCCTCGTTGTTTGGTCAACCGGCGCCTGCTGCTCCCCGGCGGCGCCGCCGGTTGGCCCGGGAGAAGGGTTCCAAGCTAGCCAGCCTGGCGGCCCGAGCGAAAACACGCAAGAGATGCTGCTTCGTCTGCTCAATCGCTCCCAGCCAGGACCCGCTGTGGTGGAAACACCAGCTCTGGTTGCAACTGGCCAAACTTCTCGAGCGACTGTCGATAAGTCCCAGGATAATGGAGCGGACGAGGCGCCTTTGGAAGTTCTGGAGAAGGGTTCTGAGGAACCTGCGAAACTGGAAACGGTCGCACCCTCTACTTCCAAGGACTCCATGTTCACTTATGTCAACCCTTTCGATCAGTTGGCGGCCATCTCTCCACGCAACAAGTCCCCACAATCCAAGTCGGGGAGTGCAAGCCCGGCTGTGGAATTGACCAAGAAGCAGAAAGTGAATGTTTCGGCGAATTTGGAACAGACACCAACTCCTGCACCGGCGGAAACCCAACAGCGGAGCAAGTCTCCAATTCTCGAGGATGGTCAGAGAGACGCCGTCAATCAAGTTGTCGGTCGTCTCGTGAATGAGATTGGGCGTTCTCTCAGCGAGAGTGAATCCAAATCCACGGCGGACGCGAAAGCGGCCGCTCCTACCGCCGAGGAATCCTCCGAAGCGGTACTCTCGTCCATCGCCAGTCATTCGCGAGATACGGCTGCCGAGGCCCAAGAGGTGGCCGCCCCAAACCAGCCCAAGGAGCCTTTCAAGGAGGAGGTGGTGGATGCCACTGCGGCTGTTCCCGCTCAAAGCGGCGCTGTTCATGCCGAAGCCCTTGTTGATAGCTGGGAGAGTGCTGAAGACAGTGCTGAAAAAGAGGAAGAACGGATTGTCTCGGTCCAGAATTTCCCCCTGAGACCGTTCATTTCCATTGCCGTGAAGCCCCAAACCGGAAAGTTTCTGGCATTCCGCGACGATGGAGTTATGGATATTGCTCGTTTGAAGAAAGAGTTTGATCAATTGGACCGCTCTTTGACTGCCGCAACTTCCGAATACATCGTTTACGCTCTTGCGAAAGTGGGAGGAATCCGAATCATTCGGCAGGATGACGGAAGTGACCGGCAGGTCTTCCGCTCTACTCGTGATCGCGTGTTCAATGTCACCCTGTGTACGTCGTCCTCCACAAGCGGCGCCTCGGAGGTGCAAGCGATCCTTGGCATTGGCATCAGTGGTGCGGTATACTGGGCTCTGATTTCCCGCCCCGAAAAGGACCTGTTTGATACGGACGCCCTGGAGAGTGAGACTTTGATCTTCCCGCCTTTCCCGGCCTCAGATGAGAATACCTCTGGCGGCCAGCTGAAAACGCGAGCCAAACGGAGCGCTCGTCACCCTGAGTTATTTGCGATTGGCCGCGGTAAAAACATATACGTGGTTTCCCCCCAGGCGGCCATGAGCCCCAGCTTTGGTGTCTCCGTCTCTCAACGCACAGTCAACACGGAGAAGTTCTTCAAGGAGCGGGCCCTGAAGATCTCGACTGGCAAGGCCGGCAAGGATTTCGCTTTCAGTGACGATGACACCGTCATTGCCTCGCTGGATAAGACCGGCCGACTGCGCTTCTGGGACATCCGCGATGTGCTGGATGACCCGAGCTTTATCGAAGGTCCCGCTCCCAGTGAGGTTCGGATTCCCTTGAACACGTTTGTCACCGGCTCTCCAACGGAGAAATCCTGGCCCACCTCAGTGCTTTTCCTGGATAAGCTTCGCGCTTATTCGAAATCCATGGCGCTCCGCTATGTTCTGGTTGGGTTGAAGCAAAACCACACCTTGCAGCTCTGGGATATTGGGCTGGGTAAGGCTGTGCAGGAGCTGAAGTTCCCTCACGAGAACGAGTCGGATGCGATTTGCAGTGTCGCGTATCATCCCGCTTCAGGGATCATCGTGGTCGGACACCCTACGCGCAATTCGATTTACTTTGTTCACCTGTCTGCGCCGAAGTACAACCTGCCACAGATGTCCCAGGCGGCATTCATCAGGGCCGCCAGCGAGAAGGACAGCAATCTGCCCAAACCTGAATCGACCGCATGTTTGAGTGGGATCCGTGAAATCTCGCTTGGCTCCAAGGGCGAGTTGCGCAGCCTGGAACTCTTGCCTATCAATAAGTCGGCAACTGAGAAGCGCGGATCGGAGGACACTGCTCTGTTTGAGCTATATGTGATGCACTCACGTGGGGTGACGTGCCTGAATATAAACAAGGAAGACCTGGGTTGGACCCCCGAGAACAAGGTCATCCGTCCCGTGGATGCGCTGGGTGCGGGCTTCATTGAAATCAACGAACTCCAGTCCTTCCCGAGCTATGTCACCGATGATCCATCAGTCAATGGTGATGCGGCTTCTATCCCATCCCGCGCAACGATCAAAGAGCCTGTGAAGAAGGCAGACATTGGTGATTCGGGTGCTGTTCCTTCGCGCAACACCTCGCCAATCAAACCGTCCAAGAAGAAGGGTGATGAGTCCGTCGAAGCCGTCTCCACTTCCAACGGATCTGAGAAGCCTGAGAAGAAGAAGAAAAAGAAGGCTGCCGCGGAGGCTGCGGCGAAGGTCAAGGAGCCTACCGCCACCACGGGCGTTGAGCCTCTTTCTACCCCTGCTACCCAAGCCAAGGAGCAGCCGGAGAACGAAACTCTTGCTTCATCTGCAGCTGCAATGAGTGCGACTCATGCAACGGGCCATGCACTGTCTGCTGGGCTCATCCCTGGGCCGCCTGGTGCCGGCATCTCGAATGAAGCTTTGAACAAACACCTCGAGTCGCTGCAAAACAGTGTCTCTGGCGAGTTCAACAAGAGCCTTGGCCGAGAAATTGAGGCATTGTATCGCCGCTTCGATGAGGATCGTCGCAACTGGGACGCCGCCTCGGCTGCGAAACAGGACCAGGTGCTTCGCCTGGTATCCAGTACTCTATCAGACAATGTTGAGAAGAACTTGGCCCGCATTGTCTCAAGCAGCATCCAAACCGATGTGGTTCCGGCCATCACTGATGCCACCTCGAGCACGGTCAACAAGCAGCTTGGAAGCGTCCTCGACGACGAACTGCGTCAGTCTCTTCCCAAGGCGGTCACCCACGCTTTGCAACATCCGGCGGTCATGAAGGCCGTGTCGGATTCGGTGGCTCAGAAACTTGCTCCTCGCATTGAGATCGAACTGTCCAAAACCGTGCAGAGCTCCATCGCCCCCATGATCGAGAACCTGACACGCAGCACCAAGAAGGTCGAGGCAGATCTGGAGCAGAAGTTCCAGGCGCAGATCAAGCATTACGAGGCGCAGCGTCAAAGCAACAACGCGAAAATCGAAGAAATGTCAGCTCTCCTACGGGGTCTGTCGAATACTGTCTCTTCGCTGGCTGCAAACCAGGGCCGCCAGAGTGAAAGCTCCATTCCCCAGCGTCCCTCGGCTGGACGGCCGAGTGAGACCACTGCACGCGTCCCACAGGCGCCAGCGCCTCAGACTGCCCCAGCAACACCTCCTGTGTCGAGGACCGCGGAGGAAGCCGAATTGGCCGACATTGCTCGAACGATCAATGCTGGTCAGTTCGAAGAGGGTACGATTAAGGTTCGTATCGGTCCTCTATCGTTAATGTTTCTTGAGTACTGACTTGGATTTTTCTTTAGTGGCTTCAATCGAACCAACAGGCCGACCTGTTCGACAACTTCTTCGTTCGCGTTTCTCCGAACTACCTAGCCCGACTCTCTGCAATCCTCACGCTCTCTGTGGGAGTGGCTGTTACCTCCAGCCTACAGACGAACATCATCCAGCGTCTTGGCTGGCTCGACGTGGTGCTGCATAATGTGGATGCCCGGGTATGTTACAATCATCATCAATAATGGTCTCTGAAGTTTCTGTTTGAGAGTTACTCATATTGTGATTTCTTAGGATTCCGACCTCCGCGAAGTCGCTCCTCGGATCATGGAAGTTCTGACCCAGCGCCTGAACACCCTGTACATGACGGTTGCCGAGCGCAACCCGCACGACCCCATTCTTCGCTTGATCGCGCCCCTGTCTCGTCGAGCCCGGGAGCTGCACGGTTTCTAGGGTGTTTTTTCTTTCCCAAATGGAAGTTTGTCACGAGCTAAGCATAAACGCACACCAAAGGAGCCATCATTCTGGCTCATGACACGACGTGTAACGATATTGGTTTCATGACAATTGAGGAATGGAGAAAATCGAGGAACGCATCGGATGGGGATGGAGGGGAGTGGTCGAGATTGACTTGTCAGACCGGAAGCCCCTCCATTTCTTTTCTTTTTCTTTCTAGATGGATAATTAATAGCTTTCGGGCGTTGGATGTTGATGGACTATTTGGACATTGATCTACTCGGATTCCTCCCAAGGCCGTCGAGGTCTAATGCTGGCTGTATCTGTTCTGCACTTCGGGTATTTATCTTCGATGTTTGTCGTGAACACATCGCATTATTTGTAAATTGATGGGGCTTGTTGAGGCCCTAACTTTGTCGAATCTATACTGTTCTGGGAATTGTAATAGAGAGTGTCGGGAAATTCTATAATAATATTTCTTCTCTATTTCCAAGGTCACTTGGCTCGCTAGAGATGTATATAAATCGTAACGTGCCAGCAAAGACGGGAACTACAATCTAGTCCTCAACTCCGATCCCTGCAGCTCCCCACCTCCAAGAAACTCGACCACAATCTTCTTGAAGGCTTCCTCATTCGCCACATGCACAGGAGAACTGGCCTCCGCACCGGCAGATGCAACATGCCCCGTGAGAACATCCCAAATGCGATGGAGCTCGTCGGCCGTCAGGCGGGCTACATCGGCCGCGTTCCCACGCCATGCGACGTGGGTATCCGGACGTACCAAGACCAGGTCTCGTTCCCAGATGCGGTGGGCGTGAGGCTCGTCGAGGACATGGATGTGTTTCAGGGGAATTTGGCGGGACTCTGCCGTGGTTGCGAAGATATCACTGACGTTATTATCATTAGTATTGGTGGTGGTGCTGCGCTCGACAAAATGGATCAGGGTAAATTCCGCCCCGAAGAGATCATAGATACTCGTCGTGCCGTCCTTCAGAAACACGTGCGGCGCCCGCGAACCCGGCCGCGTGCTGGGCACATATCGACCGGTCTCCCAGTGCGGCTCGGGCGACCCGTCTTGCCAGACCACGGGCGAGTGGTAGAGGCGGAGGTCCAGCTCGATGCCCCGGTCCAGCGTCTCGGGCCCGGATTCTTGCAGGAAGGCATGCACCTTCTCGCGGAGCGCGTCGCCCTGCGGCGTCGCCGCTTCGAGGAGACCCGGGTCGTGCTCGTAGATCTGGGCTAGCTTGATGTGTTCCACGAGATGGCGGTGCGCGCGCACCAGGGCGCGGACCATGATTGGTCGTCGCTCCTGACTATATGTGCGGAGGAGCAGGTCGCCGCCGTATCCTTTGATCACGGCCGACAGTCGCCAGCCGAGGTCGACGGCGTCGACTACTCCGCTGTTCATGCCGTAGCCGCCGTGAGGAGGGTTGCGATGTGCTGCGTATGGTGGCCTGTGTCAGCTTGGCTGTTTTTCTTTCTACCATCCATGATCATATTTCCCTTGCAAGGGAATACCATATTGAAGGGGTGCTGAACAGGCAATATCAAACTCACCAGCATCTCCTGCCAGGAATACCTTCAGGCTGTCGGTGTTATATTGCTCGGCCACACTGAAATTCGGCGTCCACTCGCTGTCGACCAGGATCTCATCAATCTTGAACCGGTGCGGCTGTCCCGCACCACCCAATGCCCGATATACCACTTCTTGGGGCTCAACCTTGTCTGGCCCGAGTAGGTGGACGGGGAAATGTGCCGTAAATGTGTCATCATCGTCTTGATCAATTAGAAATCCCCCGTTGATGGGAAACATATGCCAGAAACGGCCAAAAGGGAGGTTGTTGGCCAGCTCGCGGGACTTGAAGTGCACCAGGTGGAATTGCATTGGCCTAGAGAAAGGGTCGGGGTGAGCCTCTCGTCCTGATCCATGAACTGAGCCAGCAGGGCATACATCGGGCCTCCGAGCATATTTATCTCGGCCGTGCGGCGTACTCGACTGCCGCCACCGTCACAACCGACCAGATATCGACCGCGCACGGTATGATGCTGACCGTCCAGGTCGGCGAACTTGGCGACGACGCCGGTCGCATCTTCCCGGTGCGACAGGTACCTCCAGCCGAATCTGCTGCTGATGTGCGGCTTTGCGACAACGATTTTCTTCAACCACGCTTCGAAGATGATCTGTGAGCATCGCTGCTCGGCCTCGGCGGGTTGGCTGCCGTCATTATTCGCGTGGATGTAAGCCCGTTGCTGTCGGGCGGATGGGAGTCTCTAATAGCAATGACATTGATCGAGTATGAGTCTCTTGCACCGTAAAATTGAAAGGAGACCACCATACCCAGGAACTCAGCAGTCGACCCTTGGGGTTGATCTGCGTCACGAAGCCTGTATCGAATCCAACATCCTCGTTCACGGCGTCAGGCTGTACGCGATAGTCATCCGCCAATCCCAGGTACCGGAGGAGCTCCATGGAGCGACAGTTTGTTAGGTCCATCTTCGGCCATCTTGTCGTTTCGAGATTCTGCTCAGCAATGAAACATGGGATCTGCAACCGATCAAGCTGGTACGCGAGGACCATGCCCACGGGGCCAGCTCCCACGATGATCACAGGCGTTTCTTCCGTTGTCATAGTGAAAAGTTGGTCCGTCAAGCTAGACAAGCTGGAACCAGCATGCGAGCTAGACATGGAAACCAAAGTCATATCTCAACCCACAGGAGGGGCTGGGCGAACCTGCAGTATATACCTCGTAAGTGGAGAACAACGGGGACCAGTTCACCATGTTCTTACCGAGACCAGCGAAAGAGGCATGTGGGATGCAGATCAGATCCCACCAGAGCTAGTTGCATATAGCTAAGATCCACTTGCTTGACAATGCATCTTTGCTGGGGCCAAGGGTGGTAGGAAAAGCAACAAGAGCTAGAAATGCCGAAATGAAAAATAAAGCATACAAGTATTTATGTAATATGGAACTCATCCCCTCTTCGTTTCTCAACAAATGTAAGCAGAAGGTGTAGAAGTAGGAAAAAATAAAGAAGAAAAATAGAAAAAGAACAATCTCAGTCTCGTCTCACCGATAACCGGGGCAGCTTCTCCAGTTCTGGCCCCCAATTGCGCTTGGGGCGATCCGATCCAACTTAGCTCGCACGCCGTTCAGCCCCGGTACTTTTGTCATGGGCAATCAAATTCACGGGTCTCTCTGGCTCATCCGTCTGTCCCACACCTGGAGTCTGGTTCAATGGGGACCGCGAACGGACCACTGGACGGTCGATGCGGAATAATGGCAGGTGTGTATCCCGTAGATTGCGTTTGCGGCTCTGCTGGTCGAGGACTGTGTCCGTTAGAGGCGTTGCCGTGCTGTGCGTATGACGGATGTTGGAAATGGGTATCGGATCCGGTTCGTCAACAGTGCCGGTGCTGATCACACTGGAGATGGTCCGTGGAAGATGATAGCCAGCCTTTCCGACAGGGACCGACAGACCATGTACAACCTGGGTCAAGTCAGTTAGAGAGTGAATAAGAAAATATGGCTTGGAAAACTCACAATACTGCAGACAACCAAGAACCACACCACGACCTCAATGGCCTCGATCACCTGCTGCACATCCTCTCGTACCTGGCCATCGACCTTGATCTCCTGGAGAAATTCAAGACTGATTGACAGATAAAAGATGGCACCCACTCCAATCGGGCCAAAGAACCCGGCAAATGCGGCCTGGGAGAAATTCTCGATCTGGCTGATGTATTTGTGCATGGCAAGGACGATCGGTAACCGGCGAACCAGAAGAATCAAAATCCCCAGGAAAATCAGCCGGTAGATCGGAATGACGTTATTGTTCAGGAAAGATGACCACGGGCAAACTGCACCGAACCACATAAACATAGCCAAGTTGAGTAGCATGTCGATAGTCGGCTGCAGTGAATCATCTATGGTCTCGAGCCGAAACCAATCACTGGCCCTGTCAGCTTTGATCTCTGTCGCAATATCCAAAGGAAGCCTACTCTTGAGTAAAGACATTTCCAGCAACAAAGCACGCCAGAAGGTCATCCGTTCCAATGAGACCGCAAGTTCCCACAATGAACAGCTGCAATAATTATCAGCGATAACCTTGCCAGAGTGAAAAGTAAAGACTCACCGCAAGAGCAATTGCAAACACCAGAAAGCTCTCTCGGTCGACATAACGCCTTTCTTCTGCCCAATGGAGCAGCCTTCTCGACAGCCAGCCAACCACAACGCCGTAGACGATGCTCAAAAGGATGGTGTACACCCATGTCTCATAGAACCACAACCCCATTGCCTTCCCTGCACCGCCACTGAAACCTTCACCTCCCATGCCAGTGTATTTGAGCAGGTAAATAGCAAAGAAGAGAAAGGGGTAGCCAAGTCCGTCGTTGGCACCCGACTCGGCGACAATGATCCTTTGAAGTGGAGGAGGAACATGCTTGTCTGCAAACTTGCCCTTGACGATAGAGTTAGACAGCACGGGATCTGTCGGGGTCACGCAGGCCCCGACGACCAAGGCATGAAGGAACTTGAAATTGGGGACCATGGCCCAGATGATTAAACTGCTGCACATCCACATCGCAGTCATGCCGGGCCCTAGCAACAAAGACAAGCTCTTCCATTCGATCTGGAGATAGCGTTTGGGGAGCTGCACTCCGGCCAAGACAAGCTGCACCCCGAGGACCAGACGGGTGAAGTGCAGAGTGACAGCCTCTAGATTTTGCTCGGAATGCAGTGCATACTCCTCGGGCCTGATGAAATTGGCAGCATGGGGCGAGAATGCGACTCCGGCCAGCAACGAGATCACTGTTCTTGTGTGTCAGAAACAGCGAAATTCCGAGGGCAAGAAACAGAAAATACATACGTGCTTCGGACAGGTAAAATCGATCCTTGCACAGATACGACACCAATCCGAAGAGGGAGACAAAGCCGCCCAGCGTCGCACAGACAATGTTGAAGTTGACTATCGCGAGAGTTGGCATTTTGCTGCCAAATCTATGGATACACTTGAGATTCCCCTGAACGAATCCAGTGGGCGTCTTGAAGTGGATCAAAGGAGATGTTGGAATATCAGGGTCAAGCTGTCACTAATTCTTCAGTGATAGCCAAATGTGAGAACAAGCGAATGTTATTCAATCATAATTTGAGTGTGCTGGATGAAAAGCAACGAGATCATAGGGAAAGCTTGAAGAGAGTGTCGAAGATTGAACAGCATGGAAGCTTCAAGACCTTTTAGTTCAAGTGAGAGAAGACCTCTGAGGCAGCGGTGAAAGTGAACGGTGTTGGGGAGGCAAAAGAGAAATGAAGTTGCCAGCGGTTTGGTGGCGGGAGGTTTGGGTCTTGGCTTCCCCTGGGCACTCATGCATCGATCCATCTACAACTCTCTACGCCGATCTCAGGAACAGGATTTCATTATTCGTGATCGTCATGCCAATGGGAATAACTCAGAAGTCCTCGTCAAATACTTCATCGGGAATTTTCCGGCTCACTTCCAGCGCCTCGGCCTTTTCCGATATACCTCTGTGAGCTCCATTAACCGCCAGGCGATCAGCTTCCTCGTTGCCCAGGTCCTTGTTGTGTCCCTTGACCCACTCAAACAGGGTCTTGACTTTCAGCTCGGCACGCTCCTCGATCTTGACCAGAATCGATTCGACCAGATCTCGGTTCTCGACCGGCTTCTTGTCCTTGGTCATCCAGTTGTTGCGGCGCCAGTTGATAAACCACACCGTCACACAGTCAATCGCATACCGGCTGTCAGTAAATATGGTGACATCTCGATGGCGAGGAGCGATGTCGATCGCTCGGAGGATGGCGGTCAATTCTGCACGTTGGTTTGTCTGGCGATTGCCCTTCAATGGCTCGGAGACATTCCTGCTGGGAGAATCGATGTGAGTCAGAAGGACCGATGGCCGTTTTTTTTTTTTTTTTTTTTTTACTCCTACCACGGGGAAACACACCTTGAGTCACCGGGACCGAAGTACACGCCCACCCCGGCCGACGCCAACTTGGTTCCATTCTTCAGCGAACTTCCATCGGTATATATTCGCAGCATGCTCGGGATCCCTGCAGTTTGTGTCTTTGTCGCTGTCTTCTGAGGAGCTGTCTTGTACACCACCTTGCCCGTGGTCGGGTCTAACAGCACGTTGGGGTCAAAGCCATCCTCGGCTCCCCGCGGCAAGGGCCCGTCTCCCGGTGCAAACTCGACACCCTCTGCATCCTTGGGGACTTCATTCACGGTTCCAGGAGGCTGCTGTGGCACTCCGAATCCCACCGGGGGTGGGAGGCGTTCCTTCTCAGCTCCCACAAATTCCTCCGCCTCTTTTCGAGTCGAAAATTTCCGGTATCGCGGTCGGGGAAAACCGCGAATCTGCTCCTGCGCGGTAGCCCAATCAGTGTAGACTCCGGGGACCCGACCTCGCTGTATCCCGTAGAATCTGGTTTGCTCTGGTCCCTGCGTGGAGACGCCGGATGATGGAAGCTTGATGCCGGTCAAAAACGCGTTGGCTTCTTCGAAAGAAGGAAAAGATTGAACTGGCATTCATTCACGTCAGCTCCGGCTCTCGGTCACGGTGTAGTATTCGCGAAAAGCACACTCACAGACAGCTCCCTTGTACCCCGTGATTTGAGCCAGGCAGTCATTCCACCCGTAGTAAATCCCTGGCTTGAACCCCGCCTTTACAGCATAGTATTTGGCAGGGGCACTTCGCTTGCGCTTTGTACCGGCGGTGGGCGACACTTTGGGCACGGGTGCCGGACTGGGTGAGGGGGTAGTCTCATTCATGGTTACGCGGTCGTCGCAGGCGGTCGAATAGGAGAATTTCGGAAAATCAAAGGTAGGAAGTACCGGTTGAGAGGATATTTGAGGGGTGCGATGGGAGATCGAGCTTCGCGTGGCGTAGTCAATCGAGTGTCGCGGGATGATTCGCGACTGGCAGCTCCGAAGGGAACTCAAAAGCCCCAGATGTGGAGCTGAAATCCAAGCACCGCGAATTGTTGAAATCCCCGGGTGAAGGCGGGGGGGTATCTGAGAAATATGAACGGAAGAAAAGAGGAAGTTGGAGGGTTCAGATTTGGAAATGCGGTAGAAGAGGGGGGGGAAGGGGGGGGGGGGGGGGGGGGGGCCATGTCTGATTCGGCCTCCGTAGCAAGCACTCGAGCACATAGCAACATCACTCTTTATTCTCGACGCCGGCTCAAAATACTAGCGAGCGGGTGTATAATATAAATATTGCGGTTATATATATAAATATATAAATATATATATTAGTCTCTCTTTCTCTCTATCTCTCTACATCAAGCGAAGCAGAAGGTGTGATAATTGCCCGATTTTCGCAACTAGAAAGTAGGAAATCAGTGGGAATACCAGAGGTTACTAACTCGGGGAGATGTCTATATAGCTCGACTCCAGGAGCATCTAGAGGTCTGCCTTGAAAACCAGCTAGCTGGGCTTGTGATTTTGATGAAGGGTAAAAATGTAATCCTCCATCCACTGGATATCAAAGTAAACATAAGAATCAACTTCACATCCATCGGAATCATCTTATTAGCCCCAAAGTATATAGACCTTAACAAACCCAATGCGAAGGATGATCCCACGGGCCATGGACCTGCGTAGGTTCTCTTCTCATGGGCCCAAAATTCGGAGTCTCCAAGAATGGACAAGATCCCACAAAATTCCTATAGGAATTCTCTATAGGTAGGGTTATAATCAAAAATAGGCCTCCACTAGCTGCACAACCTGAAGGGCTATAGTACCTTCAGCCAAAGTGACAACGGCCACGTGATCCAGGAAGGTTGCGTCGAGTGCTTCAGCGTGGTAATTTGAACGAAAATAACATTAGGATTAGAGAGAAACATGCAACATGGTTGGCCGGATGGTGTAGTTGGTTATCACGTGTCGTTAACACCGACAAGGTCCTGGGATCGAGCCCCAGTCTGGTCATTTTTGCCTCTATTTTCATCTCGTTTTTTTTTGGTTCTTCTGGATGATATCTTATTTTTTAGCCAAGATGTAATTCGATCGCCAACTCGCACTTGATACCTAGAAGACTGAAGTTCAATTGATTATGATAGTCTACCACTGCCATTTTTCTGGATGAAGGTACCAATCTCTCTTTCTGCTTGGCTTCGCCAGTCCATACTCGGCGTAACGAGCCTCTGACCATTCAAGTTTACTGATAATTGGCCATCCGCTTGGAAACCCCGAGATGTAACTGCAATCTGTTAGGATATACTCCACGCATGACAACTCGCTTGAAGTGCCCCAAGAGCATTACATGACATGTCGGACGCACAGATTGCCTGCAGACTGATCAAAGATGATCTTCGATTATTCTGGACTGGCCTGGTGCTACTCCGCAACCAAGCATCTGTCTTTTAACTATATCAATATCCCCTCTAACTGCCTGGGACCTGCGTCGACTTACTCGTAGGCGGCACGGAACTTAGAACGGATATCTCTGTGTGCGGTGTCATCCAAGCCCCAGAAGAATTCCTCAGCCAGAGGCTCCCCGGGAACCTTTTCCCACACAAGGGATCCGATTTAGCCGCCAGGAACGAGGCCGTTCTCTTCTTGGGTGCTTTCTGTGTGGCCAAGAAAGCGAGGAACAGCGTTACAGCGTCCACACAACCATGTTAACACCGGTCAGGTTCATTTTTTGTTCTTTTCTCCTAAGAATATGGGTTTTTTGATGATATTCTTCGTAATATTCTTCCCTTGCTCCTCGGATGTTAGTTGCCTGGAGATGCTGAACGACAGGTCCATCTCCAGACTTGAACCAGGCCTCGTAGAGCACATCCTAGTAGCCATGTGCATGGATCCAAAGAAGCGAGATATAAGCCACGGCAGTGATGATAGCAAATGCCGAGCAATTTTCCCTCAGGAGGACTGATACATGTTGAATACGCCAATGACCGCGGCGCTGGTATCGCATGTAGGCTCCTGAGAGTGCTCCAGTCCGGTGAGCCAGAACCAAGCACCCAAGCCACTGGCCGCACAACCGAGGATATTCTGCAGGACCAGGGAGACATCTGGTTTCAGACTATAGCGGAGTTCACTCTGCTTGGTTACCTTACCGAAAAGGTTGTAGGCATCTTGGTAGAATAGCGTGGCAATCAAGGAGAACACTATCAAATAGTCTGGTGTCAGGGCTCTAGCGTGCACAATGTCGATAATGAGCCTGGTGAATATTGTGTAGCCGATCAGATTGATGCTGCTTCCAATTCGGGAGAGCGTCGACCACGGCCCGTTGGATAGGCGCAGAATCAGCAGCGCGCCCCAGAGCAAGGAGAGCCCAAGCCGAATCCCAAGACCGTAGAGCTCATTCGAGGTCTGGGTGGTGCATTCAAGTGAGCTCATGGTAGCGTGGAAAAAAGAAAGAAAAGATAAAAAAAAAAAAAACAAAAAGGATGGGCAAGCCTTTTGACAGTCGACGATTGTGGCAATGATGTCGATCCTATCCATACAAGTTGGGGGCCAGTGATGGCCATGAGTCAGGTCAATTGAAATACCTAACAAAATAGATACTTTGTAGATATAGAAAAAGACACAAAATGGTATATCATGGACAAAAAAGTGCGATTTTACATGTTTCCCAAGCCCCGAGGTATTTAGACGATTCACAACTTCGCTCGGAAAACACGCTGTGAAGGTTCAAGACCCGAGGGACCGTCATAAATTTGCTGGTCGACAATGCGGGTATTAACCTGAAGTAAGGAAAGAAGCAAAATCAGCGAATCGGCCCAGAAGTAAGAATACTCGCAGGGTGCATACATGTTGAGGTCCTAGTTCATCGACCCGTTCCACCCCAAGCAGACGCATACATGTCTTACTTTCGTCGGCCAGAACTAGTAAGAAGTTAGCACGGAGGTTTTCAACTCAACCGAAGATTCAACTTACTTTGTAAAGTTCGGCGAACACCGTTTACTCCGCCTGCCGCGAGGCCCCAGAGAGCAGGTCGTCCAATACCCACCGCTTTGGCGCCCAGACAGAGAGCCTTGACGACATCCGTGCCACGACGGATACCTCCATCCACATGAACCTCGAGCTTGTCAAAAACCTCGGGGGAGTATTTCCGAATTTCTAATAGGGTGTGTACCGCCGGTGGGGCAGTGTCAAGGGCCCGTCCGCCATGGTTGGAGAGGATGATGCCCTTGACTTGTGGTGCGTGCAGCGATGCAATATATGCATCCTCATGAGTCTGCAGGCCCTTGAGAATAATGGGAAGACTTGTGTGCTTGGCAAGCCAGGGCAGAGTTTCCTTCCATGTTAAGGACGGGTCAGTGCCTGCGAACAGCTGCTGGCCCACTCCACCAGATCCTTGATTCACGTCAGGAGTATCATCCGCCGTTCGTTCCGCAGCTTTCACACCGCTAGTCACGGCCATTGAGCCTCCTACAATACTGCTTCGCTCATCATCTTCTCTTTTCCCCGGAACGGGGGCATCGAGGGTGAGAACGATGAACTTGATAGCCTTGAGTTTGTTGATGCGCGCCAGCATGGCTTCGCTCTTCTTCCGATCAATCTGAGCATAAAGTTGCCAGCCAAAAACCTGATCGGGTGCTGCGTCTTTGACGATCTGTTCTGGCGTCATAGAGGCATTGTTGGAGATGACTTGCATGGCTCCGAAGCTGCGACATGCCTCCGCAATGCCTGCCTCGCCGGCTGGATGGCCCAGCCGTGCCATGGCTGCCGGGGATACATAGATAGGCATTCCCAATTTGTGGCCCAGCGCAGTCGTATCTAGGTCGCATCGCGTGCAATCAATGAAAACTCTCGGCCGTAGGAGAATGGACCGATAAACCTGGGTATTGAAGTGCTTGCTGAATTTATCGTCGGATGCCGAATAGTAATAGGCCCAGGCCTTCTTGCTCACTTGCTTAGTGGCCACCTCTTCAATCTCATCTAGGTTGAGGAGGGTGTCGACGGGAGGCGGCCCCTCGGCAGGCTCTTGCGTCTCAGCTGGTGCCTCTACCTTGGGCAATGTGTTTGCATCCACGGTCCCCAAACAAGCCTCGGGCTTGAGTTCTTCCTCGAGGATCCCCGGAGGATGAATTGGATCATATTCTTCTGTGGCATCCTTGCCCGCAAGTTTCAGGATAATCTTCGCGCCGCCGGGGTGACTGGACAGGAAACCGGTCACCTAATGACAGAATTAGCGGCCATCGCAAAGAATTGCTACAGACAAGGAAGATGAATTCGTACATCATAAACTTTTCCATATAGAATCACCCAGCAGCTGTCCCGGGTGTTGTGTTTTGCGACTGGATTGGCATTGTCAGTATGGATCGACCGGTGCGGAGGAGAGAGGAGAGGACCAGACCTTCTGTCGCATCAATAACTTTGGCCATTTTCAAGTACAAGAAATTGGCGCGACCACAATAACCCCCAGAGGTCGACACAGGGTATCAGGGTATTTTAGAACAGAGTAGAGGTGCCCGGACGAGAGTCGGAGAAGACACCGACCTCATGGAGCGTGGGGAACAGCGGCGACTGGACTGCCGCATTGGGCAAGTTGAATAGCCGAGGGGTTGGAGAATTGGAATTGGGCCAACGTCATTGGTGGGGAAATTGTCTGGTAAAATTGCACCAAGAAGACGTGAAATTGCAAGTCAAATAAACAGAGCAATGAAAATAACCAGAATGACATACTGCGAATACTGCGATGAATAACAAGCGAAAAAGCAAAAAAGCAATGGACAACACCCTCGCAGTCCACGTGAGCCATGTCCGTGCCCGCTTCTCCTCACGGAACTTGACTTCCTGTAGCTTCGAACATCTCGTCGCCTTTCATCAGGACTCTTCGTCATGTTCGAGGTTGGTTGGCTCTCAAATACCCCCTCTTTTCCCTCGATGAGATTTTCTTGCCAGGCAGTATATTCTAACCAGCACAGCGACGAGCCGCGGATCGATATCGCCTTCGAATGCACCGAGCCCGCTCGGCCGTGCTGACCTCAGACGAAATCGTTGAGGTGCGCGCAGCCCAGCGGACCTTTGAAGGTGCTTATGTTCGGACCGCTCTCTCCCAGTTCTCCTTTGCCCTCGTCGTACTCAAGATTTTCACCGCCGAATTCTACAGTATTGGGGCGCTGTTTGCCATTTACGGGACCGGTGTTTTGATTATCGGCCTCTTCCGCCGTGCCCAAGGAAACCGACAGTTCTTCTCGGAGCTAGGAGAAGATGGGATTCATCGCCACAAATTTCGGACCAGTGGGAATGCCGTGGTGGTGTTGACCGCGCTGAGCATTGCAGCATACGCGTGCTTGATCGGTCTGACCCTGAACCTGGATCGCTGATCCCGAAATATCCTGCGGGAGATCACCTACCGCGTATTTCAGATACTCGGAGCCTTGGGGCTTTGGTTTCCTGCGCTATGTGTTACCCCCTGCGTTACCGCCAAGCGCCAAGAGATTCCACACTAGTCCACGGGGAAGGAAGTCCTCCAGCCGGGACTTGCAGCCGAAGGGATCGCCTTGAATGGACGGTAGTTTGCAGTTGGCCGGAGATTGATCTGCAGTGCTGAGAGCCGAGAGCCGCCAAGGACGCCGAGGACGCCCCGAAGGAAGGGAGGACTGGCCCGAGCGGTGAAAGGCAGGTTGCACCTGCTACATGCGTCGTCTGGTTCCCAACTTGCTCTCTGGCAAGCTAGGTTTTTCTAGACCAGACCAGAACCCGGTCACTTCGTACCAGCATTGGCAGTGATATATCGCTAGCTGCTCGCCCAGACGGAGATCAACAGCACGGTCACTTGTGGTGGCACTGTTTCGGTGAATATCAAAGCATCGCACGTCTGAGAGACAACAGGGATAGCGTCGCGGCAAGTGCTGATCCACTCCGGCGTGTTCACTGGGTCTTGGGAGCCAGGGCCAAGCATTCTGGGCTGGAGATCGAGTGGATGTATCCCTTATGGACTCGCAAGACCTTCCTCACACCACTAGTGACGCATGTATATAGAGAGCCTGACCATCCAAGCCTTCATAAATCCCATTGTTAGTGAGCTGGCTTAGAACCTGTTGACTTTGACATCATAACGTGGGTGATCCTGGTGCCCCAATGATCCACTATAAGCCTGCATAGTGTTCTGTGACTTTATAGGTTGATCGACTGCTTTTTATTTTTTTTATTGACTCTATATTTACTGGGCAAATTGACTTGTTCTCCGCAATTGCGCTCGGTTTTTGCGCTGTTTGCCCTGAAAGCATTTGGTGAATGATCAAGGGATCAACACCGAAAGCACCTAAATCCCTCCTACCAGAACCCAAGACCATCTTCAACCATCTGAATCCGGGTGTTTGGTCGAATCAACCCTCATCGCTCTGAAGTTGAAGTGACGTTGGGTGGTTGAGTCATCCACCTTTGCCCACATTTCCTCCCCTCTCATCTCTTTTGACCGCGGGGCTTTCATCAAACCCATCGACCTGAAGACCCCTTTCGAGTTCTCGAGGAAACCAGTGATTCACCTATTTCTTATCATCACAGCCTCTGATCCCCTGCCGGGGATGGCGCAACATTCCAACATTGCACGGTCGGCCCTCATGACGTCGGCCGCTTCGCCTGATCCTTCAACGCTGGACCAGAGGAGTAATAATAACCAGCCCAACGGTGTCAGTTCCAACGGACCGAGTGACGGCTCGGGGAAAGAAGGAAGCCTGATGCCTCCCCCGAAAACCGTGGTCGGACGAGCGCTAGGAAATGACCTGCATTCCGACAAAAGCTCGCAGCTGCACAAGGGCGGAGTCGGAGCTGCCCTGACTGACACTCCGATTTCTACCGCACCCCCGTCTCCACAGATGTGAGTCTTGCCCATTTTCCAGTCCTGTTACTCGCTGGGGGGTAAGAACCTTGCTGCCAACGTCCTTTTCTCCGATAATCTGGGCTTATGAAGGGTGTGACTGATCGGCGCGATAATACGCGCCGACAAGTCTAGTCCCGAGGCTGAGAAGATTCCCTAAGTTTGTTCCGGAGTACAAGCTCGTCTCCCTGTCTTACCCCAGACGCTTTGACTTTTCATTAGTTCTTTCTTTCATTATTATTCTTTCCACCTTGTGTCGCGTGTCTTGATTCACAGGCTTGGCGATGAGTTATCTAACATGTTTCTACCGCCAGATTGGGTCGTACTCAGCCCGGAACTCCCAACCGAGTGCGAGCAACTACTCTTGATATTCCGGGGCTGACCAAGTCCAAGGTCTCCCCGGATGGTCGGATCGCCCAGCGCGATGTTGGCGCAAAGCTGGTGATTGTCATGGTTGGCCTCCCTGCCCGAGGCAAAAGTTACATCACCAAGAAGCTGGCTCGGTACCTGAACTGGCTTCAACATGACACCGAGATTTTTAACGTGGGAGAGCGTCGCCGTGTGGCGGCGGGAAAGTCCCCATCGCCGGCTAAGCTTGACCACGGTCAGGATAGGAAGCCGAGTTCTGTCCACAGGGACCTGGTTGACTCGGTCCGTCGATTAAGCGTCAGCGTCGGGTCTATGAACCCGGCTGAGGAGACGCCGCCGGAGAATGATCCCCCCTTCCACCGCCCGTGGTCCCAGCCAAAATTCTTGTGAACGGCGAGGAGCCTGAGTCGGTTTCACAGAATAGGAGTACTATCGTGCCGTCGTCCATCGATGCTGGCCCCGCCCAGTCGTATCCAAATGACGAAAGCATCAAAGAAGCTTCTCCTGAGCCAATCGACCAGAACGCCAGTTTCTTTGATCCTCAGAATCAGCAGGCCGTGAAAATGAGAGAACAGGTGGCCCTTGACACCCTTGATGAATTGCTCGAATACATTTTGGAGCGAGGCGGCAGTGTTGGAATCCTTGATGCGACCAACAGCACAATGGAGCGTCGCAAGGCGGTTGTTGATCACATCCGCAGCCGGGCCGGCCCCGAGCTGGGAATTTTGTTCCTCGAAAGCAGCTGTGTGGACGAAGCCTTGTTGGAGGCCAACATGCGCCTGAAGCTCTCTGGGCCTGATTACAAGGGCCAGGACCCGGTGGAGGCGCTGGAGGATTTTAAGAAACGAGTGGCCCTCTATGAGAAATCCTACGTGCCACTTGGAGAATACGAGGAGAAACACGACATGGCCTACATCCAAATGATCGACGTTGGTCGCAAGATGGTCTCCCACCAAACTCATGGCTTCCTTTCTTCTCAGGTAGTCTACTATCTGCTCAACTTCAACCTTTCCCCGCGCCAGATCTGGATCACTCGACATGGTGAGAGTGTCGACGACCAAGCTGGCCGTATTGGTGGAGACTCAGACCTCAGCGAGAACGGCAGACGGTACGCCAAGGCCCTGGCTCGCTTCGTTGATCACCAACGGCGCCAGTGGGAGCTGTACCAGCGACAGAAGGATATGCTGAAGCACTTCCCTCCACGCCCTGGTGACAGCACGCCCCCGAACCCGTCATACATTCCTCGGGATCGGCCACGCAACTTTTGTGTGTGGTCATCGATGATGCAGCGGGCGATCCAAACCGCCGAATATTTCAACGAGGAAGAGTATGACGTCAAGCAGATGAGGATGCTGGATGAACTCCATTCTGGCAAGATGGAAGGCATGACGTACAAGGAAATCCAACACCAGTACCCAGAAGAGTATGCCAACCGCAAGAAGGACAAGCTCTACTATCGATACCCGGGGCCCGGTGGAGAAGGCTACCTGGACGTGATCAACCGGCTACGGACTGTGATTGTCGAGGTGGAGCGTACCACAGATCATGTACTGTTGGTCGGTCATCGCTCTGTTGCGAGGGTGCTCCTTGCCTATTTCCGTGGCCTCAAGCGGGACGAGGTCGCTGACTTGGATGTTCCGATGGGCATGTTGTACATGCTGGAGCCCAAGCCTTATGGGGTGGACTTCAAGGCGTACCGCTACAACACCGAGAGTGACTGGTTTGATTACCTCCCGGATTATGAATTGCACCAGGTGGGTGCACAGATGACGGGGTGAATGTTGCCGACAGGGGCAACCAATTTGCTGGCTGAATTGCCCTTTGATTATGACTTGCTATGACCTTTGATGACTTGTTTCTTGACATACTTATGGCTCTGGGCTTGCTCGCTTCGAGTCTCTGTTTATTTTTGGTTGCTTCATAGTTCCTTCTTCTAGGCTTGTGTGGGAACGTGTATACAAATTTCCCCGTCTACATCCTGGTCTTGTATTATCATGCCGAATCTCTTTTCACTTTGGCTTTGGATCTCTTCTTGCTTCTGTCTTGTTGGGGATGGAAAGTTCTGATGCATGAGAGGCGTTTGAGTGTTTGTTGCTTTGTTCTTATGCTCTTGGGGCTGGATTACTTGTGATCCTCAATAAACAATAAAACACTTTCAGTCCGAGTTCATTTCGATATCAGTTTCCAATTTTGTTTAGTATAAGCCATCCCCACTACTCTCTTCTATTCATCCCGCTTCACCCGCTCAAAGACCTCCAAAAAGCCTTCAGGTTCATCCGCTCCTTCGACACTATACTTGTCCTGCACCAAGAAATACGGTACCCCTGTCACCAGGCGCCTAGACGCCGACTCTGCCTCCAGATCGACCTCGGGCCCACCAGCATCAGACTCGAGCCACTTCCGCACCGCCTCACAATCCAGCCCGGCACCCGCAGCCGCATCAGCCAGCACCTCCCGATCCGTAATATTGCGCTCTTGCTCAAAGTATGCCCGGAACAGATTCTCAACGACACGTGTCTGCAGCCCACCCACGGCAGTGGTAGTAGTAGCCGTGCTCAGCGGCTGCGCAGTCTCATCGGCAGCAGCAGTCATCCGCGCCTCTTCCTGGCCCGCATACCAAACTAGGCGGTGCGAGTCGCGCGTGGAACCGGTGTTCCCACCGAAACGGAACGCAATGCCGTCGCCGTCGCCGGCGGCCGAGAGCCGTGAGAACATCGCCGCCATGCGCGCGGCCCCGAACTTCGCCCTGTACATCTCCTGCTTGTTGATGCCCGGGTACCCCGGAGCTGTCGGGTTGAGGTAGAAGGCCTGCCAGTGCAGGGTGAAGGTGTCTGTTGGGTGGGTTGTCTTGTGTGCGGTGATGGCGCGTGTGAGCCGGCGGTAGCCGACGTAGCACCACTATAGATAAGAGTGGTTAGAAGTGAATATGAGAGGTCTGTTGTTTTTTTTTGCTGTTGTGTGTATGTATGTGGATTTGGAGATGCCTGGGGCTACACTTACGGGACACACATTGTCGGAGATGATCTGGATCTTGAAGTTGGTCATGGTATCAGATGAGGTGTAGTGGAGGGAAGTATGACGGCAGAGTTACTGTCGCGGATTTGTTCTGGCAGGGATGGACCAAAGCCAAGGAGACTATCTAGCTCGAATATGAAGAAAAATAAAAGTAGAGTAGAACAAAAGTTCTACAGAAGAGCTCTCTCCAGCCCTGGAGAGCTGCTTAAATACTTTGATCGATTTGTCAGCCGATCTATGCCCGGAGACCTCGGGAGTATAAAATTCACGAAGTCTTCGGTTGCTGATCCTTAGATACTAAAAATACAGCTTCTTGGAGAAGGCAAGATTGGAAACAAACAATTGTAAACAAAATACGGATGCAATGCAAAGTTATTCTCATACTACACACGCAGCTATAAACTCCGTTCATGACTGGAATGAAAACAAGCACATCCCCATCAAGACAGCTTTATAAATGGCAAAAAAGCACAAGAGTCCACCTTGACACGGCCTGCTAGGCCTGATTGACCAGCCTCAATGAGGCCCCCGAGTCATGATTGACTACAAATGAAGCGTTGGAGGGAACAGGATTCCCAACCGGCGGCACATCGTTTCCACCCTTCTCCAGCACCGAGGAGTACTGTTGGCCAAACTTAGCATGGAGAGTCAACCCGCGGAAGAGATGAGATGCCTTTGCTTACCTTGAAAACAAAGTTCAGAACGAGGGCGATCGCCAACCCGATGCAGACGACGATCGGACCAAACATGTTGTCCAGGTCCTTGCCGCTTCGTTGGTGGATAAGCCGAGCCCGTTTCTCATAGATGAACCAGCCCCAGGCTGCAGCAAAGATAGCAAAGAAGGTGTAGACAACAGCCAATGCTTGGGCCACCGGGTTGTGCTTGCCAGCAGCGTTGTACAGCCCCAGTGACAAGCTGGACAAGAGAATGCTGATATGCAACCATTTGATGAATGTTCGTTGGTTAGCGAGCCACACCTTACTTTCCACGCGAACAGGTCCCGAATCCTTAATCCAGATGCCAGGGTGTCGTACCCCAGGAGGCAGGGCTACGGTATCTCGTTGGGCCCAGCGCGGACGGGTGACTCCCAATGATTGCAAGAAAGTTCCGAAACGAGACGGTTGCGGGGGTTCTTCCACCGCAGCCGTCGAGAGTTCCGGCTCATTCTGCTGGGGCTCATGACCAGGGATCGAGGGACGGACGGGTCGTGTCGTAGATTCGACAACCCCAGAAGGTTTCCGTATTGTTGAAGGTCTTCGCAGCGTCAAGGGAGAGCCGCTTTCAGAATACTGGCGCAAGGGCGACCCGCGGCGACCGCCAGGGCTGCTTGTCGTCCCCATGAAGCTCCCGACTGCCATGTCATCTTCCGCTCGCTTGGCCAAACGTTCCTGTTCTTCGTGGAATGCAGTTTCAGGATCACGGCGGATGTCATTATCCAATTCACCCAGCCAAAAAGGGAAGCTATTGACGTGGTCTTCAAATAATTGGGCAACGCCATGGACGAATTTGGAAAAACGTGGCGCGTCCTTAACTAGGTGAGAAGCCATCAGGTCATTCACCCACTCGGCATTGTGAGCCTTTCCCCGAAGCTTGATCTCGAGTAAGGCGTGGGGAAAGCGGGAAATTTCGCCAGTTCTGACCGCATTGAAAGGGTAGCTCACGGCACCGTCATCAAGATCCGTGCGATGCCATTCGCTCGGATCACGACAAGGACGCTCACGGTCAAGCGCATCTTCCCGGATCAAGGCAAGATTGGTATCGAGAGAAATACGAATGCGATCATCGCCGGGGATCTGGAAGGCTGTTCGTGTATAATTGGCTCGGAGCATAGGCTGCAGATTGTGATCCTTGATAAAAGATTGCAGCTCGTCCACGTCCCTCTTCAGGGCATCTGCTTGTCCCGATTCACCATGATCCATGCCCTCCATGCGATGAACCTTTTTGTCGAATCGGTATTCGCCATCCAGAAACTCTTTGACGTGCTTCTCTTTGATTTGCACCTTGACCTCCCGGCTGCCATCGTCGTCGGTAACAACCTTCTTCTCCAAAAATATGGCCGGTTTGTCCTGGAGATGTCCCGTCCAGCGCAATCGCAGAGACCCAGCCTCCGGAGCTCGGTCAACCTTTTGATTATAGAGATCAAAGTGGGGATTATCAAAGTAGAGCGAGCTAATGGTCGGATCCTCGGTCAGCGTGTCCAGGTCTTTCGAGGTGCCGGGGTTATAGATGAGGACGGGTAGACGGCGGAGAATGTAGGTCTTGACTTCCAAAACGTTGTCTGCATGCACCCAGAACTTGTAGGAGGAATAGGCGTCCCGACCAAAGCCACGTTCGGCCGGGTCCTTTGGCGGCACGATGTCACGACTGAGGGCCTCCCGAACAAAGGAGTACATCACCGACAGTCGATGAACCAGGGGCGAATAATCTTCCGAGTTGAAAGGTAGCTGTGAGAGACGTACTTGGAGCAGAGGTCTCACACGGTATCGAGCTCCCCGCTTGCGGTCGTGCTTTTTTGCGGCCTTGAGGAAGCCGGTGAAGTTGATTCGGCTGTATTTTTCGAGTTCACTAACTTCCTTTGCGATGTTATCCAGCTCTTGCAAGACCTCTGAGGCAATAGTTCTCTTCTCCTGGTCGTCAAGGGCGGGACCTTCTTGCTCTGAGGGCGGGGCTAATGGCCGCAGCTTGGCTTCGCACGCCGACGTGCGATCTCGCAGCTGCTGGGAAGTTTCAGATTGGAAGGCATTAACTTTGTCCAGCTGCACATTGATCAGTTCCTGCACAAATGCCTCTTCGTCTTGTTCTGTCCACTGGCTGTCCTCCGAGTCGCTGGCGTCTTCTCCGGTGACATCATGCTCTCTCAGAAGCGTCTTCAGCTTGGTGTAGTCGATGTATTTGCCCTTCCAAGGCGGGTACACTGAAATCCGAAGAGTCTTCCCGAAACGCATAATGTAGCCGATCCAATTGGGAGTTGGATAACGTTGTAGCTACTTCGTAGCTCGGTGCGTGGGAGCTATAAGCTAGCTGGTGGGGAAGGGACAAAATGGAGAGAGAAGAGACCAAGGCGTCAAGGGAAGTAAAAAGGGAGATGAGATATGGCAAGTGATCAAACGATGCTCTGCGTCATCTCGAGGGAGCTCGGAGAGTTGTGAACGGCGCAAAAAGAAGGGGAAAGGAAGTTCGAGACTTGAACCGCACGTGCGTCGATGTCTGGCCAGCGATTGCCGCATGCAGCCAATCAGCGGGGGGTAGACGGCAGGATCGGGTGTTGGTTATTCCGATGTGGTATTGGTATTTCAAATACATGGTTCGGTATCGGATGCCTCTGACCTTTCTCCCGAGGCCTCTTCGTTGATGGACTTGCACTGCGTGGATGATGGAGTCTCCCACGTCGGACGCATCGAGGGGGCTGTCCCACCATCTCCATCAAGTTCTTACCGAGCTGCATCGGCGGCCCTATCCTCATATCCCAAATCCACCCTCTTGCAAGAAACGTGCGTCCGTCGCTTTGATTGTCCGGGTTCGGCCGACTTATCACCATTGGCCAAGCTCGACCCCTGCGAATGATCCTTCTCGGTCTGTCCCACAACAGCTGGATGATTTCTTTTCGCAGCCATGGGTTAAGCAGGGTGATCCGGAGGTTCTGTTTATCAAGCGCGCTTCGCGAGTGGGCGATCGATGGACGGGTCATGTTGCGCTTCCGGGTGGAAAGCGAGACCCCGAGGATCTAGATGACCGCGCAGCGGCAGTTCGCGAAGCGGCAGAGGAAATTGGATGGGATCTGACAACGGAGGACTGCATCAGTGTGGGCAATCTACCCGAGCGAGTTGTCACGACGAGCTGGGGTTCTGTTCCGTATGTTTCATCCACCTTTTTGCGATGCGATCTATGCCCTGGCAAGAGAACTAACCGATAGCGGATCTAGACTCATGGTACTCTGTCCATTCGTATTTCTCACCACCCGCAGCGACTCTCCTACACTTCGATTACAACCCTCCGAAGTGGCATCGACGCATTGGATACCTCTGCGAGCACTGCTGTCCCCATCGCAACGCACGGTGGAGTATGTGGACATGTCACAACGGTTCGCAAGTCAAGGCGGGTTTTTGACTCGCTTGGCTGTCCGGTCCTTGATTGGGTGGATGCAGTTCTCTGCCATCCAGCTCCTCCCATCCGAAACCCAGCAATGCACCTCGGTCCCAGGGTTCGTCCCGGAGAAGAGCTCCCAGACCACCACGCTCCAACGTTTTAAAGCATGGTGTTTGAGCAATCAAGCAGATTCAGGAGACACAAGTCGTCCTCTGCTTCTCTGGGGCCTGACCCTCGGCGTGTTGGCCGACTTCTTGGACATGCTTCCCCCTCACACCACTGTGGCGCTGTGGCAATACCCGACCTTCACGGCTCCTGACCTGCGCTTGATTGTGAGCGTGGTAACCTACCACCTGCGGAAGCGTAATTTGCTCAAGGTAAGGACGGGCGCTCGCCCTAATGCTACTGCAATGGATAGCGAAACAGCCGTGCTGCCGGCCACACAGGAACCCGACTCCATCCAGGCTCACAATGAAGTTGGCATTGGCGGCCTAGGTGTTGGACGCTATTATGGCCCGACTGATCAGGCCCCTGATGGAATTTCGTACGCGGTCGGCATTATGCTTCAAGGATATTATGAGAAGCTACGGATGGCTATGTACGTGTTTGTGGCCTGGCGTATGGCTGTTGGATCGGCGGCTGCCATAGCCGCATGGCGATACCTGCACCGACTTCGGTAATATAAATATAATATAGCAACGACTTACGGTGCCTTGGGACCTGAGGAAGGGTGTGCCTCAGGTATACCGAGGGCACAAGCAAAAGTTGCAAAATGTAAAATCATTACGTCAGTAATATATCCCCTGTATCATTACCACGTATTGTCAGATTGACAGCTCCCCACTTTTGGAGCTCTGCGATAAACACGCTTCGTAAACGCCCTCATCGACTACAATTCCCTCGCCATGGCAGCAACCCAGAAGCTCTATCCGCGTGGCACTGTCAAGCGCATTGTCAAGGCGCACTCAAACCGGAGTGTTAGCAAAAATGCCGATATCCTTGTCCGTCGTAACCCCGTCGCATTACAACGGTATCCCATGGCTAATCAACGTGTTTGGGTGATAGATCTTTTTGGACTACATGCTGTTTATGCAAGAGTGCGTTCCCTCCCGTCTAGTTCTCCATGTCCTCGGACAAGATCGCGTTTCTCGCCCTGCTCGTACCGCCCTCGATGACCCAGAAATAACAAGCTTATGGCTCTTTGTAGGCTGATGCGCGAGGCTTCGATCCGTTCGCGCAAGTCAGGCGAGAAAAAAACATCTCGGCCAACACAGTGCGCAAGGTCACTGAGGTGCGTGTCTCTCCTAAGTTTCGACATGATTGGCGTGTCTAGCATGCGGGTTGAGAGATAGAAGGTCTAACGACAATATGCTGTCCAGAAAACCTTGCGCAAGTTCCAAGGGTAACTTAGGGTTCTTGTCTATTCTCATCTCGTTTTTTTTCTTGGCCTCTTTTCTCTCGAATTAGGCCTCGGGCGCATGGTGTACGTGAATTTTGAGGGCAATAACAGGCGTACGGCGCTTAGTGTGATACCCAGAATCAGTGTGGGATGGGACATGAAACAGGCGAATATTCAGCAAAAGAATCCTTTCTTCCTAGATTGTGGTGATAAAATTCCCCTCAGCAGATCCGATTCTCCAGAGGTATACTTCGGAGGGTCAAGTACCTTAAAAAGCACCTTAAAAGCCTTCAGCGCCTTAAATTGCTGCAGGCCCACCAAAGGGTTCGGGTGACTTCCACCCGCGTCGATTCTGCTCCTCACCTTCTCTCTCTCTCCTCTCTCCTCTCTTCTTCAATTCACATCCCGCTTTCTCTTATCTTCTCTTTTCGCATTTCTCTTCTTTCCTCAGATTGTACAATCACATCCCCACCGATTAACTTCAGCTGTGTCACCCACATTCCATCATGGCTCCCATTTCCGCCAACCAGAAACTCAAAGACCCCAAGAACAAGAAGCAAGATCTTTCCAGGGCCTCGAGCATCTCCAAGCCAGAGCCTGAGAGCCCTGTGTCAGATGCGAATGGCAACGAGAATCCTTACTTGAAGGACCTGCAAAAGTATGTGAGCTGGAGCTTGCGATCGCGTGAGCTTGCCGCTTCGGCTCTGACCTTCGAGCTATGGATTCCAGACCAAAGTTACTAATTTGGTACATCTACAGGAACCTCCGAAATGCCGCAAAGAAACTGGTGAGTGATTTTTCTAATCGCTTTCGCATCCAAGGTCACTGACAAGACATCTCATTGAAACAGAATGCCACCTCCAAAGTCGATACGATCCTCGCCGAGAACCCGGACAAGTCCCTCGATGAACTCGTCGCTGAAAAGAAGATCAATGCCGACCAGAAGGCTCAGGCGCTGAAGAAACCTTCTCTCCAGGCTACCATTTCCCAGATCGAAGAGCAGATTGGCCACTACAAACAGTTTGCCGCCCAATGCGAGGAACGGCTGGCGAGCCAGAAGGCTGCGTTGGAGAAGACCCATCGCGAAGAGCTGGATGTTGTGCGCGGAAACGCCATTGCCGACGCGACTGAAGCTGGCACAAAGGTGCTGCGGGAGCGACTTCTGACTCTGAGTAAATTCCTGTGCGCGGCGGCGAATATGCGACGTGATGGTGACGCCGAGTCCCTCGAGAGTCGTGCATTTGAGGGCGTTCTTTTCCAGGTCTACGGTGGCTCCCAGGATGCTGTCAATGCCATGGTGAAGTTGATCGATGGTGCGGACGAGAAGGTTCTGGGCGTCGAAGGAGAAACGCTGGAGCTCAACTGTTCGTGAAGGTGCCCTTGCCGTGGGACTTGGATCACTTGCTGATGTTCTAATATAGATGGCGACGTGAAACAAGCATCGAACAAGTATGCGCCCGTCGAGGAGACCCCGTCGGAGCCCACTACGGCAACAGTCACCTCGGACCCGACTCTGGCCAACGCGGGCCTCACCGAGCTTCAGGATACTTCGATTGGTGGCGAGGCTGCAATCACTGCCAATGTCGCACCCAGTGCCACCGCGCAAACTGACCAGGTGGCCCCGCCTGCCCAGACCCTGGTGTCGGATGCTGCGAACCCTGTGGCGGAGTCGACTTACAATCCTAATTCGTTCACTTCGTCGGCAACTACCAACGGCTTGGTCGAGATCCCTCGTGACCCCGCAGAGACCGACACTGGCCTTCAAGCTACTCCGGCAACTGTGGACATGGGAATGAAGAACAACCCGACCGCCGCTGAGGCGTCGGGTCACGGTGCGCAGGGTGCTGGCTCCAAAGCCCAGTCCGGGGGACGGGGCCGCGGTGGACGTGGACGCGGACGTGGCGAAGGATTCCGCGGTCGGGGTCGTGGTGATTTCCGGGGTCGTGGACGTGGTGGACGTGGTGGCCGCGGACGCGGTGGAAGAAACAGCCCGGCGGGAGAAGCACCCGCAGCCGACAACCAGTGATCGTGCTAGGATCTCCTGCCTCAAGCCTGTCCTCGATGCCGCCTTTTCTTTTCTTTTCTTTTCTAGCATGATTTCTGAGCCGCCTTGCTGCCTCTTATGGGACTCTTGTTCTCGGCCGCCGGGTCTGGGGTGATGGATCACGAACGCAACGAATTTTCTTTCCGAGGAGCTATGGTCTTCGATATCTTTTCTCTGGCTTGCCAAAAGTTCCTTGACCATGTCCTGCTTTGATTTGAGCGTGTATATTTCCCTGAGGTGCTTTCTGATTTGCCTCCCCTACATGTATTCTATGACTCTTTCTTCTTCGGCGCGTTGTGACTGGACTGGACCGGCTCAGGGCGGACATGGGCAGATCATAATGAATGTGACACGCAGAACCAAGCATTCTTGATCTGTCAGGTTTTATATCTCTTACGTAGAAGTCGATGCGGCTGTTGGTAGACTGTCTATTGCCTCGTATTTGTACTATATCAAGTGGATTTCCACCAGCTCCCCCAAGCTATGTTGAACCAGAGGCTCCATGACATCTGCTGCCTTGGGTGCCAGTTGCTGGCACTCTGCATTGGCCCTACTTCCTTCGACTGCAACCAAGGCTTTCTGCCAGAATCTCCATCTCTCCATACCTAACGTTGGCCCGGTATAGAACAGACCACAACTAAAGCTGCTGTCTGTCTCGTCCTCCGCCGGGGGCTCTTGAACCACAGTACGAAAGAGACACGGCGCTGGGTAGAGGAACCAAACGGTGGCTCCACTGATACGTTCACTATAGTTTTCCGGATTTTCAGAACTGTTTTCTTCGAGAGTCTCGCACATGGTGGAGACGGCCCATGAGGGGCTACTGATGACCCCGTCTGCTGTTAGGCGAGCCAGAAAGGCGCTGAGGTCAACGTAATATGCCTGCGCAGAGGTGGAAGGCTCAAATTGCGCTGGATGGTTGATTTGACTCGCGTGAGCATTGTCTTTGTGTAACTTGTTGGTAGATACTAGAAAGACTCATGGACGTACGGCCATACTCTTCCTGTAGAGTCCATATCAATCTCTCCAGGACGAGTTGAATGGCTTGTTACTGATGATAACATTATTAATGATCATTCTTTTGGTGATATCACGATGAATTTCCGTGAGTACTTCATACCTGAGGTTTCTCGAGGTCACTCGACTGAGTGGATTGTGTCAGGCGCTGTATCAGCCGCGCGAGATGGTCTTTGGCCGGATGTGAATGAGGAATTTGTTGAGCTACCTCGATGACAACATGCCCGAATGCGCCCCGGGGGTATTCAATAGGTTTCCCTGGGCCCACCGGGTCCAGCAGCTCATGGATCAAGGCCGTGGCGTGCTCAAGAGACAAACCCGTGTTTGGTGGATCCAAGTAACGTTGAAGCACACCAAATGCCTGCGAGTCCGACCGAGTAGTGGCCATATACTTCATTCACGGCAGAGTCTGTATCATCTAGATGACAGTTTAGAAAGACATTCTCGTTCTGCATAGTGATAAGCAGGAAGAAACGAGAGAAAACTGTTGAGAGAAGAGAGGAGTATACATGGTCGGTGGAGCTACCCGCGACGATCAACAATCGAGGGATGACGCGATATTGCCTCTTGATCTTGCTCTCCTCCTTTCACTCACTCTCTACACCCTACACCCCCCTTTTTCCTTCTCTTTTCCTGGCGCCAGCATGGCAATCGCTGGCGCCCAGCGTAGGCAGGTCCTACGCGTGTTGATGATCTCCTTGCTGTTGGATCTGGTGCGCATCTCCATGCTCTCCACGTCTCCATCCCACTTTACTGACTGCTCTAGATCTCCTTTACCTTCATCCTGCCGCTCTTCCCGTCGCTCCTGGCCTTCTACCACGCCCAGGACCCGTCTCCCGACTCGCTCCTCAACCGCGTATTGCATTACCTCAATGCCTACAAGAACGCCTTTGCTCGTCCTATCGATGCCCGCTATGATATAGTGCTCCTGGGGGGTGCCCTTGGTTCCCTCTTCTCTCTGCTGCAGGCCATCGCAGCACCTGTCATCGGCCACCTGTCTGACCGGCATGGCCGTCGTCGTGCTCTGCTTACCGCCATGCTCGGGAATATCTCCAGCGTCGCGCTCTGGGTCTCGGCCACCGACTTCCGTACCTTCCTGGCCAGCCGGGTCGTCGGCGGCCTAAGTGAGGCCAATGTACAGATGGCCAATGCGATCGTCGCCGATGTCACCGACGCCACCCACCGCGGTGCCTCCATAGCCTTGGTCGGCGCATGCTTCAGCGTCGCCTTCACGTTTGGTCCTATGCTCGGCGCCGCACTGAGCTCTGTTGAGATCGTGGCTGCCAACCCATTCATCGCAGCTGCTATTGTGTCTTTGGCCTTGATCTTTGTTGAGACCCTCTACCTGTGGGTGTGTTTGCCCGAGACGCATCCACGACTGACAACACTCCCGCGCGAGACCGAGACCGAGACCGAGACCGAAGGCAAGAATAAGGGCCAAAGCCAGGCTGCTGCATCGACGACAGAGAAGAATCCCAAGGCTCAGGCTCCCACGCACATAAACCACCCTTCTCTTCTCAATGCCCTGCACTTTCTCTTCCTTATTCCTTTCTCCGGTCTGGAATTCTCCCTCCCCTTCTTGACAACAACCCTCTACGCCGGCACCACCATCGCCAGCCCCGCCGCCCTAAACGGCCGTCTCCTCTCCCTGATGGGACTGATTGCTTCCCTGCTGCAAGGCACCGTTGTCCGGCGGCTGCCCCCACTGGTCACTCTGCGCGTGGGCGTCGTCGCCTGCGCCTTCTCATTCTTCTTCCTCGCCCGCGTCTCCTCTGTCACCGAGCTCTATGCCGCCGGTGGCCTGTTGGCTGTTACCAGCGCCACGGTGGTCACGGGCTTGAACAGTCTCGGCAGCTTGGAGGCCCGCGACGCCAATCGTGGGGCCGTGCTGGGTCGTCTGCGGGGCTGGGGACAGGCTGGTCGTGCAGCTGGTCCCATTCTGTTCTGCACTTTGTTTTGGTGGGCTGGTCGTGAGGTGGCTTATACCGTCGGTGGCGTTGCAATGTGTATCGTTGCCGGCGGAGTGTTTGTTTTGTTGAAGTCGCCTTCCGTACACCGGAAGAGCGAATAAGTTGGGAGGCACAGAATGCCTTATTGTGCTTCACATTTCCCTGGTGTAGGTTTTTGTGGGCCGATATAGTTTGGAGAGGCATTGTTCATGGGTTGGAACTACTCGGGTACGTGGTGTTGTTGGTGTTGTCTGCGTGTATACAACTTCAACAGTATATGAAATAATTCAGCTCGAGGGTATAATACATGAAGATTTAGAAAAAAAGAGTGGTGAGGATGTAGATGGCTCAATGGTCCTGCCGGGACACAAGTCTGAGATGGCAATACACAAAACAAAAGGCAGCGTCAATCGTACAGACTTTCCTCGAAATGAGGCCGAGAATATATCGCCAAAGAGCATTGTAATGCCCGACCATGGGACTAAGAGAAAGAGAGAGAGAGAGAGAGGAAGAGAGTTCATAGGACAGAATCACGATCTCTGCCGGCGATACCCCGAAGGATGCGAAGGCAACCCAGAGGGTTGGCAGGATTCCATCGCCAGCTCGGGGTTTGGGTTCGTGACAGGATCAAGCGAGCCACGGGCCTTGCCAATCAACCAGTCCGTGAGAGTCACGAACTTGGCCGTGCGTTCCCAGCCATCGGCCTCATCCGCATGCTCGATGGTATGCGTCAAAATGCGTCCTTCTTCATCAAAAGCGAAGATGAACAGCCCCGTGAATTGTTCTTCCTTGGAAAGCTTGAAAATGGGCTCTTCGCCGCCCAACAATACGCTGAGACCCTTGTTGGTCCCGTTTTTCGACGATGAGAGATGGCTGTGCTGGGCCGAAGTCCGTGATGGCGCCGGGTCGGTGTGGGACGAGAAAGGGGTCTCGTGGAACGGACGGCTTTCTGTCCGTGGCTCCGTCTTCCATCGCACTACTAGTCGTTCGTCGCCGCAGTCGTGATGGTCGCCGTGTCGCTCTGGATCAAGAAGTGTCCCGGCGCGTACGATCCGCTCGCTGAGGATCTGCAGCTTCACGTTCCCGACAAGCGGGACGCTGCTCCATGCGACGGGGACCGTCCATAGCGCCGCGCGGTACAAGGTACGACCTTTGACGATGGGGAGATGTGGATGGGTCGACGGGAAGAGATGAAGGTTAACGCTGGGTGCGAGGATCTCGGGAGGAAGGGTGTTGTACAAGATGGTCGGCAGGAGAGGCGAGAGGGTGCAGAGAGCTTTTCACCAGGAATACAATCAGTCTACCTATTCTAGATTGGACGCAGCAAAAAGAACAGACTTTAGTGGGCAACACTCACTTCTTCCAAGCTTCAGGACTCGCTCATCGGGCGGCTTATGGTCATTGTTTCGGTTGCCGTCTAAGCCACCCAGCTCCCTCCGAGTCCGTGTCGGCGAGAAGTATGCGGTCGGGTGCGGTATTGGCGATGCTGGAGGAAGCCAGGGCTCGTTCAAGATGCCATGGCGGGGCTGCGCTAAGGGTTGTCGTGGCGAAGACGTCAAGGTCCGGCGGCCCAACCGAAGACTCGACGGGGGCTTATGGAGACAAAGACAGAGTGTGCACGGGTAGGAGAAAGCCGGCGGCATTCTGCCAGTGCAGTGAGTCCACAAAGCGTGTCAAGCCATGTAGAGCCGAGGGGAGTTGCAAATGCGAAGTTGGAGCTGGCAGGTTTTCCGCGATGACGTCCTTCGGGAGCCAATCATCGTCTTCGGATTTACTTCATCTACGCGGATCTCCAAGATACGGGGGATTTGGGTCAATCAAGTGCCAATTCACGCCTGAAACTCGTGTCAATGTAAATTAATACTCTCTTGCCTACTCACGCCAGTTCATCATCATCGCCCATGCCCATCACCCGCTGCTCAGCAAGGTCCCGGATCTTGTCCTCCAAGACTCCACGCCCGTATCGCTGTGCTACCTTGGCCGCTGCCTCCAGCATCTTGCCATTGCGGTCCGTCATCATCGTCACCAGCTCCAGTGCCTTCATGCCACGCTCCTCGCCTTCTCTGCATTCGACGGCCAGCATCTGCAGCAGGGTCTTGTCCAACTCGAGCTCTTTGCGCGCCAGCTCCGAGCGCTGACTAGAGGTCGCATTGGTTGAGGACAGAAGGTCGCGGAAGAGCGACAGAAGCACATTGCTACGCACAAAGGCTTCTTCGAAGCGAGCCCCTTCTTTGCGCTCGGCGGCTGCTTCCTCTGATTCGCTGGGGTCCTTGGGAGGCTCATTTGAGATGGGGATTTGGAAATCGAACTCGCTGAGCAAGGGCCGAGGGAAGTAAGGATTCTTGTCACCGCCCTTGAGGATGATACAATGAAATTTCTCCTGCGCAACCGCAACAGGCCAGTAGGTTTCCTCTTTGCGACCACCCGCTAGTCGTGCCAGTTGCTTGGTATCGAGAAGAGGCACCCATCGGGCTTGGCCAGGCGTACGCCAGTGCTGTAACACTAGTAAGACACCAGTCGAGTCATAGATACAAGGGTCCTGAGTGGGAAAAGTCAGTTTATGGCACATGGAGTCCACAATACTTGCTACGAAGTACATACCCCGGTGTCAGAGAAGAAAACAGTCTTGAGTTGCACCCCTTCTGGAAGGGCGACTTCGTCCTCATTCTGACAAATTTCATCGCGCTTGACGTTTTCAACAGTATATCGTAATGTCGTGTGGCGGCCGTCAATTCCCAACGGGCCGTTCCCAATACTCATGATGTAGTCTCGCCATGCGGCACATGTCACGGCCTGACTCTTCTGTCGGTAGACTCTGAATGGGGTTCCAAAGAGCGTGTACACCCGGACATAGTCTTTGTTTGTAACAGCGACGATGTATGAATCACTGAGTGCCAAAGCTAGTTGAGATTGTCAGATGAAAACCCCCACATTTAATTTTCAGTGATACTGACCTCGAACCATTTCTCCCTCGGGTAATTGAGTGCGCCAGTCGGCGCGCGCAGTCCACGTCTCATGTGGCCGGTAAAAGATCGTAGCAGGGCTGCCATCGGATGGACTGTTGGAGAAGAGGGTTCCATTCTCGTCTACGTTTGGTCAGTATGTAGGTGGCCAAGATATCGAGGAATACACTCACTCAGGCATGCTTTGTCATACAGATAGGGATCTGTGAAGTGGAAATCCCGATGAAGCTCGCGGTCGTAAAACTCGACTGTCACAGTATGGTGTGTTTCCTGGTCGACAGTCCAGACTGCACCAGTCAAGTTCAAGCCTGGAATCGTTAGCAAAGACAACCATGTATATCTCACGGAGAAAGCTGGCATACAGAGATAACGCCGACTTCCAGCCCATGGCGTGCTGCCAGGCTGAATCGCAGGATGGGCCTTAGGTTGCCAGGAGCCAGAAAATACACGTTTGCTGTCGGACCCGCCGAGATCATCTAGATGACCATTGGTCCTCTTGCCATACAGGTTGAGCTCTTCTTCGGCGTAGCCTGCTCCGTCGTCATCATCGACGAAATCTGCCATTTCTTCATCCCCACCGAGAATATCGTCCAAAGAGTCCGCAGACCTTGCTCTCGCCGCTCGCTGGACTGCCTCCTTGGATCGATCTGTCAATGTGCGCGCAACATTGTTGGAAATCTCGGTCAGCGGCCCAGGGAAGATAGGGGCAGCCTGTAGCGGTTTCTGTAGCAGAGCTTCGTGATCCTTCGGCACAAAGTTATCATGAATAAAAAGCTCTCCATCCGAAGTCGTAAAGGACAGCGAGTTCTGAGTCGGGTGCCAGGCGAGGTTGATGACGTTTCCGAAGTCGTAGCGTTGCAAGATCTTTTGTGTTTTCGCTTCCCAGAGCACAATCTGCCCATCTGCGGCAGCCGACGCCAGAAGAGTTCCATTCGGCGCCCAGCTGAGGGCCGTGATGTCGCCGGTATGTCCACCAGAAAATGTCTTTTCTTTCTTCCATTCAGAGGTGGAGTAAATAGAAATATCCCTGGTCACTTCTGCCGAGGCGAATGCGGTTCCATCAGGGTGCCAAACTGCCCTCGAGGTTGCCTCGGCGTCCGGCTCCAGCCGTCGAATCACGCCGTCAAGTTTGCGAACTAGCTCTGGCTCGTCTTCGGTCAACGAGTAGATGTAAAGGATTCCGTCTGTTGCAGAGACAGTAGCGTATCGACCGGTGGGATCAAACGTGACGTGCTTCGTGCCCTTGGCCTGCTCCCGGAGATACTTGACTTGCGTCATGTCCTCAATTTTGACGATTTTCACGGTGAGCTCGCTGGTGTCGCCCTATTAGCTCCCTGCTTTCCCTCCAGGCAATTCAATACAGATTGTCGCACTCACTCGCTCGCGACTGCAGCCCATTTCCCATCCCTCGACACCGCGATATCCCTCACTGGCAAAGCACAGCGAACAAGCAAGTTCTGCATCTTTCCCGACGCAATATCGTACTGCCAGACAGTTCCATCCTCCGCGCCCATGATAAAAGACTCATTCTGGTGGAATATATCAGCTCTGCTGGTGGAGAGCTCGAATGGTAGTTCGACCTACTGTGGCGCCGATGCTGAAATGCGCGTCCACGCCCTCATCGACGGTCTTGGGCTCTCCATCTTGGCCGACGGTGTAGATGCGGATCGCCGAGTTGGAACCACCTGTAATGACCCGTCGCCCATCTGGTGTATACGCCAGTACCGTTGTCCCGGGGGTGTCTAGATAGCAATCGAAGTGTCAGCAGACTGGAGCATAGACAAGAACCCCGCGGGAGACTCACGGGCTGGACGGCCCCGAGGGCGATTTGGATCAAAGCTCATCGCAAACTAGATTCGAATGCGACCGTGGTGTATGGCTCCCTCTAGGTGCCGGGAATACAACAATCGGGTTGTCGGACGGACAACCGACAACGCGTCGGGCACGCGTCGCGCAGGGATTTAACCCGATTAGGCAGCTTATAGGGCTCAGGGCTCAGGGCAAGGGCCTATGCTCCTCGCAATCAATTGACAACCGGTAACAGTGATTACAGTGGCCACAATGAAAGTAGGGTCTTAATTTATTCTTCACATAAATCCCTTGAGAGGCCCAGATGCCGCCAGGAAATCAAAGTCGGCGCCTTCCTGCGCTTGGTTCACCGACCGCTCGTACAGCCCCCGGTACCCCCTTTGCTTTCTCGCCACTGACCCTGTGGTTCCCTGGACACATCGTCTTCGCTTCTCGATTCGAGCTTGCAGGACTTCTTCGGCAACTTCCAACTGTAATCTGCGGGTGTTTATATCACAGGTGATCAAGTCGCCCGTTTCGACTACCCCGAATGGTGACTCCGGCAAGACAGACTCGGGCGAGATGTGGAGAATAATGGTTCCCCCAGCAGTCCCGGACATTCGACCATCAGAAAGTCGCAGCATATCCTTGACACCCGCTGCGGCCAACTTTTTGGGGATGGGAATCAAGCCTGCCTCTGGCATTCCTGGGTTCCCAATAGGGCCAATACCCTTCAAAACTAACACACTGTCCTTCGTTACAGCGAGCTCTGTGTCGTCAATTCGTCGAGCAAGGTCGGCGGAGTTTTTAAAAACCACCGCGGGCCCGGTATGTGCGAGTAAAGATCGATATTTGGAAGCGGATGCTTTAATGACCGCACCATCTGGGGCCAGGTTACCGCGAAGAATAGCCAAAGACGATGCTGGAAAGAGAGGGTTCGATAGAGGTCGAATAATCTGCTGCGGGAACGAAAGCCGTCTGGACTGCGATGCATCCAGCACTTCACCCAACGTCTGCCCGGTGATCGTCAAGGCAGAGAGATGAAGGAGGGGACGCAAGATCTCCAGAAGTGCAAGCATGCCCCCGGCATTGTGGAAGTCGTTCATGTAATTATCCCCGCTTGGTTTGAGGTCAATGAGCAGCGGAGTCTTGCACCCAATCTCGTCAACTGTCTGCAACGTGATCATGCCTTGCAGGGCAGGGTGTCTGTTCGCTATAGCCATCAAATGGACAACTGCATTCGTGGAGCCGCCGATGGCCTGGAGAACTGTGATAGCATTTAAAAATGACTCCTTTGATAGAACGTCTTGAGGCTTTCGAGCAAGCTTCGCTACTGCCACTGCATTTGCACCGGTTTCTTCGGCAATTCTCAGTCTGGCAGACGATACAGCCGGAGCGGATGCCCCTCGGAGCGACATCATTCCCAGGGCAGCAGTGACACAGGCCATAGTACTGGCAGTGCCCATGACGCCACATGTTCCGATCTAAGATACCCTCGATCTCAGCAATCCCATTTTCGGTGACTCATCCGGAGAAGACATGTCAGTACATACCGTTGGGGCAAGCTCTTCGTTAATGGCTGAGATCTCCTCCACATCAATCTCGCCTGCTCTAAGTGCAGCCCAGTTGTTTCGGCAGTCAGTACATGCCCCAATTCGCTGACCATTGTGGCTCCCTGGCAGCATTGGGCCGGTGATCAGAGGTAAGACCGGCTTGTTCGCGGAAATACCACCCATCAATTGCGCTGGCACCGTTTTATCACATCCTGGACTTCTTCATCAGCAGTGCTCGCCACACCTGGGAAGACTTCAATCATCACTAACCCCCGATCATAATACAAGCATCCAGTGGCTGAGCCCGAATCATCTCTTCCGTGTCCATGCTCATAAGATTTCGCAGGAACATGCTGGTCGGGTGCGAGAATGACTCATGAATGCTGATCGTAGGGAACTCCACTGCGAGCCCGCCATTTAGTTGTACGCCGCGTTTAGCAGCTTCGATCAGCTGGGGCACATTGGCATGGCATGGGTTGAACCCAGAGAAGGTGTTGATGATCCCCACGATCGGACGTGACAGGGCATCTTCCGAGTATCCCAGAGCCTTGATAAAGACTTTTCGAAGAAACAATGAAAAATGCGCATCGCCATAGGATGTCAGACCCTGGCGTAGACCAGACGTGGAGGTAATTGGGGTGGTGAGATCATAGTCCCGGTTGGGTTTTGCTTGACCATCCTGCATTTTTGAGAGATTCTTTTTCGACTGAGTCTCCTACGGCTGGACTATTCCTCCTCTCCGTCAATTACTGCTTCACGGTTGTCTTTATAATGCCGCCTCCCCCCTCTCAGTGGATGGTGTCATCGGCTCATCTCCACCCGGATAAGATTCCGTGCGACGGATGAGCCCCGCGTGGGGGTTGCGATGGGGACAATTCTACTGTAAGAGGGACCCATGGATATTGCCTGGGGAAGTGGAAATCACCAGACAAGTCGATGCTATGGAACGCTTTTCTAGAACATGCAAGTTATACAGCCAGCTTCATCTTCACTCGAACATCCTTCGCCGGCCGGAAAGCACCCCAAGTGGTCTTGTGGCCCGGGACAGCAAGACTCTTGCCGCTGGTCGATTTAATTTCCCACATCGACACGATGCCTGCAGTAAAAGCCAAAGTCGCTCTCTCGGTAAAACTGTTGCTCTTTGAACTGTAAAGCCCATCTGCGAAGGGAGTAAGAGTGCGTGCATCGGCCCGCTTTGCGCCTGACGCGGAATCGGTTACGATAAATCGGAGTGGGTCGTACTGGTCCGGGTTCGAGAAGTATCGGAAATCATGGTGGTGGACGCCATGGAACAGAATGGCCTTCTCGCCCTTTCGGATCCGGTACGTGCGAGGTTCAGTGAGGTTGTACGCCGCTTCGTCTGTAGACTCAGAGAGAGTCACATCGGTCTCCATCTTCCTGAATGATATGCCCGCCGAGTGTAGACGCATTGCCTCATAGTAACATGCCTTGAATAGCGGACACAATGTGAGCACCTTCTCAAGATCCAGTGCGAGTTTGGGCGGTTCCTCAAATGGAAATCCAGTCTCCTGGCGGCTTGGTCGGGAAGATTTCACGTAGGGTGCTATCTCACGGCGAATATCCTTGAGAAGTGCAGGGTCGGCAAAGATATGGATGATCATCCAGAAGGTGATCTTGGTCGTGTGTTCCATCAAATCCCAATACAGAGATACGTGGCCCGCTGCACTACCAGCAGGGGACAGTTCTAGCTTGCGAAAAGTGCGCATCCGCTGCTTAACCAACTCAGAAACGTCGTCAAGATCGCGGAGCTCAATCCCGGGGTCAATCCCGTCATCCCAGGCAGTAAAGGCTCGATAGAAAACGGCCATGATATGGAGCAGTCGGTCACGCGCAGCGTATCCTGCTGAAGCTCCGGGCAGGGGAACCCAACGAGGCGTCCCTACGAACAAAGTCACAAAGTTATTGTCCAAGGTCCAAAGGTTTTCAAGCGCGCCCGGGAAAGCTTCCACAAAAGCCTCGCCCATCAAAAAGGTCGTAGTGATATGACCAACAAACCCTCTCACAAGCGCAAGGAGATTGACCTCACAAATTGACTGATCGCCAGTCTCAGGCAATTTCACTAGGCCACTCCGTTCCCAGGGGGCCTGGTCCACGGGACTTCGACAAAAACTCACCAGATTCGGGGTGTTTTGTTGAGCCAAACGAACAAAGGCAGCTGAAGCTTCGCTCACGAATGGGCCCCGGTTGAGGATGGAAGGGACGTCGTCACTGATCTCTCGGTTGTGGTCCATATTGAGATTTCGCACAAGGGTGCGGTCGCCAAAGACATTCTGCAGAGCCTGATCCAGTGCCGGAGCACTTGACGAGTCTTGTGAAGACAAGATACTTTCTATCATGGACGGGGACACAACAGTATCGTGCTTAATGCCGCGCAGATAGACGCCAAAGACTGGCTCATTCATGGAGTCTCTGTGTTTCTGATTAGCCGAGTGCGCTGTCTGTTATTTGAAGCGGGGATGCGAACCGCAATCGTGTAAACAAATTAACATGATTCCACAGAAAGGAAACACCATGTCCCATCCAGGGGAACCAATAAGGTGCTAACCGCGCTGTCCGTGGCTCTGTGGGATCTTGTTCATGCTGGCTGCTCTGAAGCCCGGTGATCAATCGAGTCGCGATGCATGAAAGAACCACGACAGCAAGAAACATCGGCCATATCAACTCGGATGTTCCATCATGGACAGCCTGCACAAGCCCATGGGTCGAGGTTTCATACCTCTCCATTATCGACGCCGCGTTGGGGGGTTCAAGTATGTAATGGGGAAACGTGGCGCGACCCGGGAGAATCACACGATATTTTTATAGCACCCGCGCAAGGCAGGTTATTCACGGAGGCAATCAGTGCAGATTGACTCGAGGACGTGTCCGGGGGTTGATTTTTTGCAAACGAAAGGGAGCTTGAGACGGCTGGAGGTCGAAGTTCCCTGCTTATCTCATCATGGCATCGAGGGCGATTTGTTTATTTTTGATGTTTGACTTTTCCTTTTGATTTTTGAATGGTGAATTTGTCTTCAATTCGACTGGAGATGTTTAATCCCGCTGATCGATTACACTGTGCAAGAATGGGGCAGTTTCTTTATGGTACATAAACCTATGGCCGCATCATTTCTGAAAACCACACATCAACTCTCGCTCTGGAGGATCTTCTGTAAGGAAGCACTCTCGCTCTCATACTTTAGGATCTTGGACTGCGAGTTGTGCACTTTGCGCAGAAGCCATTCAATCCTCGAAGTGAGCTCCCAGGGATACTTGGGCAGCGAACCGAGCAGCCGCAACTCCTCCTCGTGTTTGCCGATGCTCTTATTCTCGTTGCTAATCAGCTGTGTCAGAATCAGCAGATCAAGACGGCTCTCCAAAGTCTTGTTCTCGGTCAGCCGTTGGAACGCGGCGCGATAGACCGGCTTCCCCGGCTTAATCCATCGCGGGAACCCCTTGGTGGAACCAACAGAAATCAACTCGGCTTGCTCCAAGGCTCGCAGGGTGGCCTCGCCGTTGTCCTTGAACAGGTCTGAGAGAAGAACTTTGTTGTACAGGAGAGATCCGTCCTTGGATTGAGCTAAGGATTTGATCAAATGCCACGCCTGTTCGCGCGTCCATTGAGGGGTGACCGAATCGGTTCCTAAGATGAAGATTTTCAGGATCTCCGAAGCCGACTGGTCGATAATGCGATCCACGGCCGCTGTAGCAGAGGTAAGTAAAATCGTTGCTTGATGAGAGCCGGGGGTGTACCTGAAGGGGTTTCTCCAGCTTCAATGCGGTGCGCCATGAACTCGAGGTCGGTGACCCTACCACCCAAGACCTTAATGCAGTCATCCAAGCCAGCAAGTGTCTCTTTGCGCTTTGGTTTCGGGTCATTATCGTTGTCTGTTGCCTCGGTCTCTAGGTGCCTAAGAACGAAACGACGGCCAACGTCAAGTGAGCAATCACCCAAACCGATCGTTCGAAAGACCTGGTTTGGAAGGGCCCTGCTCAGTGGTTTTGCGAAAGAGGAATCCGTCGTCAAGAAGATGACATGGGCAACATTTGCCGTTGTCAGGCCAGCCGCCCATTCGGTCAGCTTGTCAAGTACGACATTTTCCTCGGCTTCATATACGAAGTTGTCAATGACGACCACCGGTCGTTTCTCGGGATGGGCCTCTAGATACTCGTCATCCGTGAGATTCGCATCTTTGTCCTCCTTCCGTCTCCCTTCCAATGAGACTTGCTTCATGGCAATCGCTGTGTTTTGCCAGATCTTGCTTAGCTGCGCATCAAGGGTCTCCGAGAACCCAGCCTTAGTGCCAATCATTCCTTGTGCAGCCAGGTCAATGAAACTGCTGATGCTGTTCATCCAGGAGAAGATCGGCCGATAGCCGACCTGAGCAGCGGCCCGAGAAATTTTGGCCGTGTCACCCCGAGCATCTTGGATTTGCTTGCAGTCGATAACCACTTTGTATTTGTGATTTTTCAGGGCCTGGTCCAATACCAGCTCCCTCTTGCCTGAGCCGCGAGGCCCATGCAGAACAATGAATGTTTCCGCAGTCTCAGTCAACCAGGCTTGCAGCTGGTTGATATCCTTCTGTCGGTCTTCCCAGATGGCCGCCAGGCCACGAGGATCGGCCCTGCGCCCTCCAAAATAAATCATATTGGCCTTGCTGGCTTGTCTGCGAATCCACTGCAAGACTGTGTTCTCTTCCGTCTGAAGAGTTGACTTGATTTTGATCTTGATGAAAAACGTGCGGATTGGGTCGAAGACAATCACCGTAATTGCCGCTATCAGCGCTGCTAGAGCTGGAATCACAATTCGCGGATGATTCAGGACCCAGTCCTTGATCATGGATAGTTTTATCCTGCGTTCGTAATTGATCTTGAATTTGGTCCCAGCCTTTCCACCTCCTTCCTCCTCGCCAGCAATGAAGCCATGCATGCAATTTCTGGCCATCACAGAAAACCGCGGGCGATTGAATCGCAGAGTCGCGTATCTTGGTTCGATTTTAGAGTCTGAGGGCTGTCTTTGGATGTCCAGCAATTTCCCATAAGGCCGGAACAAAGAGTACAGCGCTTCTTGGGTCATTTCCACGGCCGATCCATCTGGAGAAGTCGGCAAGAATTCCACCTTCAGAGTCTGGCTCGGAATTCGATACAAGTCTTCAATCCATGGTCGTCCGCGAACCAGGTCTGCATCGGCTCTCTGGAATGGGTTGAACCAGGGCTTGATGGGGTGTTTTGCCAGGTAATCTTTCGTCGCGCTTCTGATTTCCTCGTCCGTGACGTCCGGTTTGCGCGCGTATTTGACAAAGGCCCCGCCTTCTTTGTACCGCGCGATCACTTCCTTGGTTTCAAGATCCAAGCTCTGTGGCAATGATCGCTGGACTATATGTAGCGGATCAGACGCCGCCAGAGCAGGATTCCCAATCCGTTTCAGTAATCCCTCCAACGGTTGGATATGGCTGAGAGGGCCCCGTAGCAGCCATTGTAGTCTATGGGGGAAGATGTCTGGAGTGGGTCAGAGGGAGGTACAGCATCTCTGGCACTTAGCACTCACTGTTGATATAAAGGATTCCCTCGTTTTCTCCTAGCCGAATATGTCCCGACTGAATGGAGGAGATTCCCCGTATGGCCACTGGCGAGCATCTCCAAAGCGGAGGTCTCCACGCCCGGCCAGAAGGATTGGCATAGATCCTAGAGCGCAACGGTGACCAGGTAGCCACCGGCACTGGTGCAAATGGAACCAGTTTCATCTTGACAGCAATTCATGCCGAGGAAAGAACAAAAGTAGAAACACCAAAGCCGTTCTCAGGGCCGTCGATCGCAAAGTGAATGACGTCGTACCGCAATGGTCATGTCACGTGGTTGTTTAGACTTTCGCTCGATCTCCGATAATCGATAACCGCCTTACTCGATTTCACTTGCTCCTCCCCCATAACCACAACAACATGGGCTGGTGGTGGCGATCAAGTCCCCAAAAAGGTGACTCCCAAGACCCTGCATCTACCACTGCTTCGGAAGCCACGAGCCAGAATGCACCGCCGAAGCAGTTGACTCCCGACGAGCAGGCCAACCTCGAATTCAGCCAAATCCTGGCCGGTCTGCGCGAGGAAGAAGCCGCATCAAAATCATCATCACCTACTACACCAACTGTCGCATCAGATGGCACCTCTGCCGCAACACATCTCGAAACACCTTCCTCGTCTATTGCCCCCGAATCCCTCTACCAAGACACCATGTCCTGCCGCACGGCCTTCGATTACGCCTTCTTCTGCCAATCCTTTGGTGGCCAATTTGTCAATGTCTATCGATACGGAGAGCTGCGTTCATGCAGCGAGCATTGGGATAATTTCTGGATGTGCATGAAGACGCGGACATGGTCGGATGATTTACGAAAGAAGGCGGTTCGCGACCACAATCGGAAGAAGGCAATTAAGTACAAGACGGGTCCCAGCAGTGAAGATGTCTGGGATGTGCGATTGGAACCCGCCAAGGAGGCGTTTCAAGGAGATTTCGCGGCCCTTGAGCGCGAGATGAAGGCTGAAGAGGAGTCGAGACAAAAAGCTGCTTCATGATATCCCACTCTCCTACCCTCCCTCTGTCCTCCATGTAGAGATAGATACCATTGTCGATCACGAGATTTTGTACAATATTTTACTGCTTCGGGGCAATTTGCATCGAGTCTCTACTCAATTACTCAGATATACCACATGTTCACTGCAGCTCTTCAAGTCCTTTGGTTTGTGTTTACCCGAGAATTGGTCGATGGTCTGGGGTTCATAATAAGAATTAGCGCTCGCTAGATATAGAGAAAGAAGAAAGAGGAATTAGAGGCTTGCAAATGACTAGAAAAATGATAAGAAGAGGGATTAGAAGATAGAGATAAAAAAGTATTAGTGAACCAATCTCTTAAATAAGAGAACATTTAGTTACAAAGGTTTGAAAATCTAATCCGGGCTCCCTCTCTCTACTATGTCTCCTAAAGCCCTCTGAGCGAGGCGAGGGTCAGCGACTTGTCATATGAGGAAATGATGATTTTCTTTCCAACCAACAATTTGGCTGTTTGAAGATAACAATAGGATGAAGAACACATACAGCCCGAGACCAAAGAGAGAAAATAAGAAACAACAAGCCAAAGGAAGAACTTTTTCGTCGTCAGCGAGTCACTTTCTGTCTCCCTTGTAACCCTTTTAGCAGTCAATTTGCACGGATAAAAGCTCGCCTGCGAGGGTCTCTAGAGCATTGCTGTGCAGGCTCTCAGGTCAGCAGAACTCAAAGAGAAGCGAGGCTTGTTATTTATGCTGTTTCTTTCTTTGGCGCTGGAAGGTCTCCTGAGGTCACGCTGGTGATGCTCCCCAGACTCTGATTTCTGTGTCTCAGATACTGCGGACAAGCTTGACCGCTGCATCATTCTTCTTCTTTCCCCAGGAGCCCCAGTCCGAGTCTAGGGCTTTGAGGCAGTGGAGTCTGTCAGGGGCAGTGGCGAACAGTCTCTCGGCCAGAGACTTGATTTCCTGATCGTTAGAATCACAGAAAGCTCGGGGGTTGCTTACCAGGTATTTCGTCTTGGATACACTGTTGTCCTTCTTAACGCGATAGGAGAGCGGCCGGCGCTCGTGGCTGTTAATGTATCCGGGGAGGGTAACATAGGGCACAGAGCTGACAGAGATGCTGGCGCGCCGCTTGCCCGTGCAATCTTCTGTGAAAGACACGTTTTTTGGTCCCCTTGGTTTTGATATTGATCTTGTCCTCGGCTTCAGCACGAGCTTTCCATTCTTCCAGTTGGTCGGCGGCGGCTTTCGTTGCAGCTCTTTTCATCAGCTCCTCTTCTTCCTTGAGCACCGAGTCCAGTTCCTCTTGGTATTCGCAGCTCAGAATGTCATGGTGGAAATCCTGTTTCATCTCAGCTGTGTGCACTAGATTCCACATGTTCTTATAGAATATCTCCTCGTTGGAACGTGCAGGTTTCAGGATTCCCTTTTAACAATGCTGGGGCATCTTTGTGGTGCGAGGCGGAAGGGGTCTTTCCAGGGCTTTTATTGTCGAAAAAGTGAGCTCTGGATGGACCTCAGGCGATCAAGGGTCTTCCCTCCTCGCCAGTCTCACCAGCCATGTTGGGGAGGGGGGCTGGGCAAAGAGAAGAGAAGAGAAAAGAAGAGAAAGACGAGGGGGTGGTCAGCTGTTGTACAGAACGAGGACACCTGGGGGCTTTATATGTTTGGTCTGATGTTCGCCATGTTGACAAGATCCGTCTGATCGGACTGCAAATGTCCAAGATAAAGACATTATGAATGGTGATTCCTTTGTCCACTTCGAGAACAAAGACCATTGTGTCTTATAAGCCAAAAGAACTGGGTGTGATTGTCAAAGACGAGAAACATAGCTATGTACAAGAACTGAAAGAAAACTCCAGAGCAGACGCTCCCAACACCTTGCACACTTGGAGAAACGCTGCGCACAAACAAAAGAGAAAAGAGAAACAATGCCACCCGATTCTGGGACGTTATTGTCAGTGAAAAGCCTCCCGGTCCATCTAAAAATCATTCACATTTATCCATTTTGGAAACTTTTCTTTCACGAAGTGAAACTTTCATCGGTCATGGCGTAGTTGCCGTAGGAAAATTGCAGGCACATTAAGCAATGACCTGAGTCTCAGTCGCCTGAGGAACGGAGTCGATAGCAGGGCGGCGGACAATGCCACCAGTGACAGGCAGCTGGGAGCTGGTGCCACTGAGGAAGGCATCGACCTCACGGGCGCACTGACGACCTTCGTTGATACCCCTAGAACAAAGTTAGTAAGATAGCCATACAAATCACTAGAGCTTGTAGCAACGTACCAGACAATGAGGGACTGTCCACGACGGCAGTCACCTGCCGCATAGACACCGGGGAGGTTGGTTGCGTAGTGCCCCGGGGGTGTCTTGACATTCTTGCGAGGGTCACGCTCAATTTCGTCACCCAGCATGCGGTCCTCGGGGCCCAGGAATCCCATGGAAAGAAGAACTAGGTCGGCAGGGAAGAACTGCTCACTACCCTCCACAGTCTTCATGTCCCAACCACCAGTAGCACTCTTGGTCCATTCCACACGAACGGTGTTGATGCCCTTGACGCGACCGTTGCCGTCATCCGTAAACTCGGTCGACATAACACAGTACTCACGCGGGTCGTTACCCATGTGGGTCTTGACCTCGGAGTGGCCGTAGTCGACACGGTAGATACGGGGCCACTGCGGCCAGGGGTTGTCACGAGCACGCTCTGGCGGAGGCTGGGGCAGCAGCTCAAAGTTGGTGACGGACTTGGCACCGTGGCGGACCGAAGTACCGATACAGTCGTTGCCGGTATCACCACCGCCAATGACAACAACATGCTTGTCCCTGGCGGAAATGTACTCGCCGTCGGAGAAACCGGAGTCCAGCAGGGACTTAGTGTTCTTGTGCAAGAACTGCATGGCGAAATGCACACCATCCAGCTCACGTCCGGGAACCTTGAGGTCACGCGCGACAGTAGCACCAGTGGCGATAACCACCGCGTCGTTCGTGGCACGGAGGGACTGCAGGGAGATCTCATTTTCAGGACCAACAGCGGTGCTGGCAACAAATTGAATACCCTCGGCGGCCATGAGGTCGACACGACGCTGGACGATCTTCTTGTCAAGCTTCATGTTAGGAATACCATACATGAGAAGGCCTCCGATCCGATCCGCACGCTCGTAGACAGTCACACTGTGACCAGCACGGTTCAGCTGATCAGCAGTGGCCAAACCAGCAGGACCAGATCCAATGAGAGCGACCTTCTTGCCGGTGCGAGTCTTGGGAGGACTGGGGACCATCCAGCCCATCTCAAATCCACGGTCAATGATGGCACACTCAATCGATTTGATGCCAACAGGGTCCTCGTTGATACCCAAAACACAGGCACCCTCACAGGGGGCCGGGCAAACACGACCAGTGAACTCGGGGAAGTTGTTGGTCATGAGCAGGCGGTTCAGAGCATCCTGCCATTGGCCTCTAAAAATTAATTCATTCCACTTAGGAATGATGTTGGAGATGGGACAGCCCGTGTCAGACTGACAGAAAGGAACACCGCAGTCCATGCAACGTGCCGACTGGTACTTGAGCTCGTCCTCACCGAGGCGATTAGAAATCTCGGCCCAGTCGCGAGTGCGGGTAGTCGGGTTGCGGTACTTCTCGCTGTGACGGCTGTACTTCATGAAGCCGCGAGTCTTGTCCAAAATAAGCGCAGACCGCTTCTTCTCGGTCTTGGAGTCGCTGATGCTGTCCTCGATATCCAGCAAGTCGGCCTTCTTGTCACTGGTCTGGGCCTTGGTCTTATCAGCATTCACGGGGTTGCTGGGAAGCTGAGGGAGAGCAAATTCCGCCTTTTTCGCAGCCTCTGCCTTGGCAGCCGCTTCCTCCATCACGCGCTTGTAGTCGGTCGGCAGAACCTTGACGAGGTGGGGAAGAGCACGAGTGAAGTCGAGAAGAATACGGGCAGCCAGCTCAGATCCAGTGTAGTGGTGGTGATCCTCAATCAGGCCACGGACAAAGGCAATTTCAGAGGGGTCCTCGATACCGGAAACCTCAACCATCTCCAGATTGACCTTCGAGTGGAAGTCTTGATTCATGTCCAGCACATAGGCGATACCACCAGACATACCGGCAGCAAAGTTGCGGCCGGTAGAGCCCAAAACAAGGACACGACCACCGGTCATGTACTCACAACCATGATCGCCCACACCCTCAACGACAGCAGTCGCACCGGAGTTACGGACAGCAAAGCGCTCGGCCGCAACACCGCGGAAGTAGCAAGCACCACGGGTAGCACCGTAGAGACAGGTGTTACCAATAATCACGTTCTCTTCGGCCTTGAAGGCTGCGCCACGGGGCGGATAGATAATGAGGCGACCACCAGACAAGCCCTTGCCGACGTAGTCGTTCGCATCACCTTCAAGCTCCAGGGTCACACCTGGGGCGAGGTAAGCACCAAAGGACTGGCCAGCGGAGCCCTTGATGTTGGCGTGAATGGTGTCTTGGGGCAAACCAGTGTCGCCGTAGCGTCGGCTGATTTGGTATGAAAGGGTGGCACCCAGACCACGGTCAGTGTTGACAATGTCACACTCGATGCGGCAAGGCAGGCCCTTCTCTAGAGCAAGCTCAGACTCGGCGATCAGTTTGTTATCAAGGCGAGTGTGCAGGCGGTGGTCCTGCTTCCTGACATTGTATGTGGCGACTCCAGGGCGAAGAGAGTGTGCAGGAGTAAGAATGAGCGAAAGGTCCACCCGCTCCTGTTTGACGTTCCGAAGGTCTTCCCGGATCTTCAAGAGCTCAGCACGACCGACCATCTCATTCACCGAGCGGATACCCAGCTTAGCCATGATGGCACGCATCTCGTTGGCGACATAGTAGAAAAAGTTGATGACGTGCTCAGGGGTACCCTGGAACTTCTTGCGGAGTTCGGGGTCCTGCGTAGCGATACCGACAGGGCAGGTGTTCAGGTGACATTTCCTAAATTTCCAGAGTCAGATTGAGAGCTAGATCGTATTAGCTGACTAGAGAACATACCTCATCATGATACAGCCCATTGCGATCAGCGGGGTTGTGGCAAAGCCATATTCCTCAGCTCCCAGCAGACAGGCAATAGCAAGGTCACGACCGGTACGGATTTGACCATCAGTCTGGACAACGACACGGCCTCGGAGATCGTTCAGAACAAGGGTCTGGTGAGTCTCGGCGAGACCCAACTCCCATGGAAGACCAGCATACTTGATACCAGTCCAACGCGAGGCACCAGTGCCACCGTCATGGCCGGAAATCAAAATGTGGTCCGCCTTGGCCTTAGCGACACCAGAGGCAACGATACCAACACCAACCTCAGACACGAGCTTGACGGAGACACGGGATCGAGGGTTGGAGCACTTGAGGTCATAGATAAGCTGCTTCAGATCCTCGATGGAGTAGATATCGTGATGCGGAGGCGGAGAGATGAGACCGACACCGGGAGTCGAGTATCGAGTGCGAGCAATGGGACCAACCACCTTGTGGCCTGGCAGCTCACCACCCTCACCGGGCTTAGCACCTTGGGCCATCTTGATTTGCAGCTCATCGGCATCGGCCAGGTAGTTGGACGTCACACCGAAACGGCCCGAGGCGATCTGTTTGATAGCAGACCGCATGGTGTCACCATTCTCCATACGCTTACTGCGCTCGGGATCTTCACCTCCCTCACCCGTGTTGGACTTGCCGCCCAAACGGTTCATGGCAATAGCCAAAGTCGAGTGAGATTCCATGGAGATTGATCCGTAAGACATGGCACCCGTCACAAAGCGACGGACAATCTCGGTCCATGACTCGACCTGGTCGATGGGGATGGGAGTTCGCTGCTCAAAGTCGAAGTCGAGCATACCACGCAAAGTGCAGTTCTTGATTTGCTCATGCTCGGCCTTGGCGTAGGCTTCGTAGGACTTGTCATTCTTGCTCCGAACAGCATCCTGCATGTTGGCAATGCTAACGGGGTCATTGACGTGGGACTCTCCGCCGTCGCGCCAGTGATACTCACCCGATTCAGGGAGACCGGGGACTTCGACGATAGAACGCGACGGGTATCCGCGCTCGTGGAAGGCAAACGCATCCTGTGCAATCAAATCAAAGGTAATACCCCGGATGCGGCTCGCAGTACCAGCGAAACAGCGGTCGATGACGCTGTCATCGATACCAAGGGCTTCGAAAATCTGAGCACCCTTGTAGGACTGGAGGGTGGAAATTCCCATCTTGCTCATAACCTTGAGGATACCACCATCGCAAGATCCCTTGTAATTTTCAATGACCTTCTCGTCGGGGATGTTTTTGCGGATCAGGTTCTCCCGGTTCATCTTGAGAATGCACTCCAGGGCAAGGTAAGGGTTAATGGCGTCGGCACCGTATCCCAGCAAGACGCAGTGGTGGTGCACCTCGCGAGCTTCGGCAGTTTCGACTGCCAGAGCAGCGAGCGAACGCCACTTGTTACGAACCAGGTGGTGGTGCACAAGACCGGTGGCCAGCAGTGCAGAGACAGGAACGCGCTCCGCCGAAGTAGCGCGGTCGGAGAGAATGATGACCTTGTCACCGTTCTGGATGGCCTCGGTAGTGGCATCGCAGATGGCATCGAGAGCTTCGACATAGCCTGCGGTCCCCTTCTTCTTTTCGAAGGTGATGTCGATAGTCCGGACAGTCCAGTCCTTGTGAGCCCGGTTGATATTCTTCAAGGCATTGAACTCAGGAATGCTCAAAATGGGGGAGGGCAACAGCAAGCGGTGGCATTGCGAGGATTCCATCTCGAGCAAATTACCTTGAGGACCGACGTAGCACTCGAGAGACATGACCACAGCCTCACGGATGGGGTCAATGGGCGGGTTGGTGACCTGTGCGAACAGCTGGCGGAAATATTCGTAGAGCAGGCGAGGCTGCTGGGCAATACAAGCCAGGGGCGCATCATTGCCCATGGAACCAAGAGCTTCCTTGGAATCCGCCGCCATAGGACCAAGCAGCAGGCTGACCTGCTCGAAAGAGTAACCAAAGGCCCTGAGGCGCGGGTCGTTCTGAATGGTGTTGTCATCAAGAGAAAAGGAAAGGTCAACATTTCTCTCCAGCAGCTTCTTGTTGATGGCAGGCAGCTTCAGGAGTTCCTTGTCCAGCCAGCTGGCAAAGTCCTGGCGCTTGGCTACAGTCTGCTTCAGTTCAGTATCGTCAATGATCCGGCCGGCCACCGTGTCGACCAACAGCATCTTTCCAGGTTGCAGACGGCCCTTTTGAACGACTCTCTCGGGGTCGATGTCGATCGCACCGACCTCGGAGGCACAGACAATGCGGTCATCATCCATGACATAGAAACGGCACGGACGCAGACCGTTTCGGTCCAGGTTGGCACCACAGTAGCGTCCATCGGAGAAGGTGAAAAGAGCAGGGCCATCCCAGGGCTCCATCTGGCAGGCGGCCCACTCGTAGAAAGCAGACTTGGCGGGATTCATGGCCGGGTTGTCCTGCCAGGCCTCGGGAATCATGATCATCACCGCTTCGGGCAAAGACAGGACGCCGTTGATCATCAGCAGCTCCAGCACGTTGTCGAAAGCCGCCGAGTCCGAACCGCCTTCTTCCACAATCGGATACAACAAGTCAAGCTCGTTGCCGAAAACCTCCGACCGAAGAACTCCCTCACGCGCACGCATCCAGTTCTTGTTTCCCCGCAACGTGTTGATTTCACCGTTGTGAGCAGCCCACCGCAGGGGCTGGGCACGGTCCCAGGAGGGGAATGTGTTGGTAGAAAACCGGGAGTGGACGAGGGCGAAGTGACCCTCGTAGTCGACATTGACCAGGTCATGGTAGTATTGATACACCTGGACGGGGGACAACTGACCCTTGTAGACAATGTTGCGGTTGCTGAGGGAGGACAGGTAGAACCAGTTGCCGAGACCGATGACATGTGTGGCACGCTTCCGCAAAACATACAGCTGGAGCTCAAAAGTACGCTCGTCGAATTTGTCGGTGTCGGTGATTTCGGGCTTGCTGCCCTCGCCGTATGCCGACTTCAACACGACAAAGGGCTGCATAATGATCGGCTCTCGCGAAAGGGCGGCCGGACCAAGAATGGTCGAGTCCCGCGGCACTTCACGCCATCCCAGGACGCGCAACCCCAGGGATGTTGCCAGCTCCTCGAAGCTTGCAGTGGATTCCTTGAGGGCCTCTTGGTCGGGTTTAAAGAACAAGTTGCCGACCGCATATTGACCCAGCGGGGGAAGCTCCACGCCCACCTCGCGGGCAAAGTTCTTGATGAAGAACTTGTGCGGGATACTGGTCATCACACCAGCACCATCGCCATCTCGTGCGTCTGAGCCCACGGCTCCTCGGTGTGTCATATTGCACAGCAAATTGCGCGCTATTTCGGTTCTCGTCAGTCCCCATGCGATCATTGGTGTTGGGTTTAAAATTGAGCACTTACCATCGCTCACAATCTTGTGGCTCGGCTTGCCCTTGATGTGACTGCAGTCCAGGCGTTAGCGATGCTGGAGATCAATTGGCTCCAATCTCATGGTCACTCACGCTGCGAAGCCTACACCGCAAGCATCCTTCTCATATTCTGGGTCATACAGGCCCTGCCGCTCGGGCAGGGTGTTTGCCCATCCATAACCTTGCTTTGGCTGGTATTCCGAGTACTCCTGTGGAGGCTGGTCCTCACTTAGATCTTTGCCATAGAGCTCCTCCAAGTTGAGACCCATTCTTCCGCCGGTAGCCGACAGAGAATGGACACAAGTGAGGGGATGGATGAGGTCCGAGGAGATCTCCGATGATGGGGACGTATCGATCGGGAACGATAGGGCAATGTCGTCACTGGTGTCGCAGCGCGGGGTTCAGGGAGAGAGTAGATTTGGGGACCTCGTCTGCGAAGAGGGAGATGAATATGGGAAGAAAAAAGAAGAGGGTGAAGAGAGGGAATAGGAAATTGGGGGAGGGAGGGGGAGGGGGCAAGGGGGGAAGGGAAGAGAGAGAGAACTGCGATTACGGCGGGACAGGCTGTCCGGGGATCGCAAGCGATGGAACAATCCCCAAGAGACGGAAAAAATACAAGCTGTGGGGTTCGCGCTGTGGCAAATTTTGGGAATCTTGATACTTGCCCAGATTCACGGGATTGCGCTGATATGCTAGTCTAAGAGAGAATCAGAGGTTTTTTACCAAAAGAAAAGTAAAGAAAAGAGAAAATGAGAGCCGTGAAGCATACTGGACGAAAGCAAAGCAGAATGACTCTCCGAGCGTAATGGCAATCATTCACATTACGCGAGTCGAGATAAGCATGGAGCCAATCAGCGGCAAGGCTTTACAAGCCCAAACGATTAGCTTTCTGCTACGTCAAGATTCTTTCTGTTACACAGTATCCGTATAGAGAGATAGAGAGATATGAATCTATAGGAATGTAGACATTGAAACTAGTGGGAACGTACAATACAAGCTAGAACATACATTGATAGATAGATATTATTTTGATTCTTATTATAACCAGAATCAGGAATGACTATGTATAGGCTGCTGTGGGGCAGTGCAGGGATACAGTGCTTAATCCTTGACCAGATCCTGTCGAATATACATATACATAACATAGATTGATATATCTATATCTATATATACAATATTATATTTATTTGTACTATCTCTATATTGTATCTATATGATATCTATCCTCTATATGATATGTGATCGAGATATACCGAGAACTTGGCAGGCACCACCACCAAGATCGATGTTCCACTGAAAACGTGCACGGTGCAACCGGTGTGTTTCTTGGAGATCCCCAAATCCCCACAAATGGTCATTTGCTTCGATGTGATTTGTTCATCCCAAGCTTGGCTTTCCGGGATCTCCCTTTTACTCTCTCTCCCTCTCTCTCTCTCTCTTTTAAGATCTCCCGGTGGAACATGGACTTGTCCCCGAAATCGGGGGTTTTATCCCAAACCCGCATGCGGATTCCAAGGGTGGCAGTTATCCCCAGCTGATGGAATATAAAATATATTCCATGGATATCCCCAGATCCCCCTTGATTTGCCCCCATGTGCAAGAACCTCGGAACTGTGAAGATCATCGGAAAGTCGTCCGCGCTAACACGTGAAGCGGGATTATGATAAGGGGGTTTGATGATGATAATAAGAATACATAAATGATTCCTCACCTCCCCTAAGCCCTCGTTTCCTGGGACATTATCACATGACCCACCCGGGATTTTCCGAGGCTCGTCTCTGGTATTCCGCTTTGGGTTCACCGTGCGGGAGATCTCGGATCCCCCAGTTGCTCGCATACTTCAGTTCCAGTATCCAATTCTATCCCGGTCTCCTTCCCTTCTACTTTCTTTTGATATTATATATTCCATTTGCTTGGTGTAAGATTATAGTTATATTATTTAGAAGCAGGGATCTATGCATATACACCCCCACCCCAATCCCGTATCCCATCTTGATCATATCACTCACACCTATCAACCTATCTAACGCTCAGCATTCGGGTGCTGCGAAATACTCCTGGATCCTGGCAGACACACCATTCCAGAGCACCTTATTCTGACCATGGATCACTCTCCCGTCCCTCTCTGTCACACTAGTCCCACTCGGCCGCTTCCATTGGGCCACATCCTCGATGAACTTTTTCGCTGATCTCACAAAGTCTTCTCCTGTTTTGCCGTGGAACGGCAGCATTGGGTCATTGGTAGACATCAAAACAGCGAGTTGTCCTGCCACAAGAGGGGCCGCTATGAAGAACAAGGTTAGCTAGTCAGAAAGAGAGAGAGGGAGGGAGGGAGGGAGGGAGGGAGGGAGAGAGAGAGAGGCTCACAGTAGGACGTTCCAGATCCAGGGAGTCCGTCATCTTTGCCATATTTATCCAGACATGTTATGCCAACCCCCATGGCATGAATCTGAACCAAAGCCTTATCCGGGTTCCTAATGGAGTCGTCATCCTGGCCCTGCGAGCTCGGACTTGTGGTCCCATCCCAGTTGACATTCCCAACCACAATCATGGGAATTTCGTTCCCCAACACCGGTGGATAAGTGTCAACAGCCTTTCGCAGGCCACGGTTGTTTGCGCTCTGGGCACTGTTTCCGGCGGATGCAACAATAGGGACACCCATCTTGACTAGTTCCTTGAGACTATCGCGACAGCTGTCGATAGCACTGCCGGAGTCCATTTCTTTCTTAAACCCTGATGTCAGGAGCACAATGGCTTTCCCTGCTGTTTCATCGGACTTGATAGTGGAGACTGCCGTCTCAAGGCCCTCAGCGACGTTATCAAGAGTAAGTTTTTTGCCGATTTTGATGGGCTGCACTGTAGCCTTATTGGCTGCCCCCCCGGTTGTCCCCGCCGCTCTTTGAATGACACAAGTAGAGTGCGAAGGATCTCCTCCTTGGGGAGAAGACCGTTGAAGCCCCTCATCCCCAATTTTCTTGAGACCTTCGTCCTTCGCTGTCTGGGTAAGAATGGATTCGCGAATACGTGCCGAAGGATATTCCTATGAGTAAAAGGTCAGTATCACGAGCAGACGAAATAATGGATATCAACGAGTCTGACCCTTCTGAGCTTGTCAGTTCTCGATATCCAATCCTTATTCCTCTTGCCTTTCTTATCCTTTCTGAGGTGCCAGTATTTTTTATAAGACGTACAGCCCTGTATGGTGTTAGTCCAGTCTATGACCACTCCCAATATGTTCTGTCCCAGCACTAACCATTTCAACATGGTAGATGATGATGCCTTCGCCTGCTTCCTTCTGATAGACATAGTTGATAGGGTCCAGGGATGGATCCATATCTTCAGGAATGCCAATCAGCCTCAGTTCAGCGGCTGCCTTGTTGTGTCCCCGGTCTGGATAGGCCGCATAATCGCTCAGGTCCTTGGGGGGAAAGAGTATCCGTCGTCTCTTGGGTGCAGCAAGCCGTGTGTCTCGTTGTGGGCGTGTGGGTAGGATCGCTCGCCCAGGGTCAATTTCGTCTGACCGTCAGCCCCCGTCGGATTAGTTACAGCTGGGCCAGCCAGCAGAAGAGCAAGCGAGGAAAATACTGGGGCCAACGGGAGCCGCATCTTGGATAGAGGTCAAACAGGGGCAGTAGAGCATGGAACAGAAAGAAATTCGATCCACAACCCCTTTATACAGTGGTGACGGTCACTCCGAGCCCTTTTGTTGCCTGACTCGTGTCTCTCGGGACTAGCCGGGGTCCAAAATATAACCATGTGGAGCTTGTGTTTATAAAGGGGAATGTATCTACCCACGCTACCTGACTTGGATTATTTGGCGGGCTCAGGACCATGTATTGATTCTTCGTGTACTTCGGGACATCGTGAAAAGGGGTTTTTTTTTCTTCTCTATTTCTCTATAGAACTCATGCCTGTTTCTAGTTTTGATAGATGCCTCAGGGGTTGTGTTGACATAGGTTGAATGGCCCCTGAGTTGGGAAACTTGGTGGTAGTCACGCTAATATTTAGTAACATGGTGCCCAGGTAATCTGTTACACTATGTACACCTGAGACTTTCTTTTGTTCTTTGTGGGGTCCATAGGGCGTGGATCCACTATAATCCTTGGCAACTCCAACTTCCCTTTTTGGGTTGTAACATTACATATTCCTATACAGATGTATGTATGAGGCTGCATTTTGCAACAATGAGCCCTGTGCAAGTGGGCTAGTCCTGTGGATCCCTTAGACACTGCTCTCAAGGCTTGGATGCGTTAAAGGGTAAGACCGAGTGAATATCCCATCCTTCTATTTCAGCTCGTCAAATTAACATATTGATAATGGGGACTCCCTGCTGCTGTTGCCCCACAAACCCTTCTTTTCTGATCTTCGGTGATCCAAGGTTGTGTGATATGGGGCCATATTCAAGTGGGTCTACTATGTGTATTGCTACGGTTTGTTCATGACTCGCTCTGCTATCCCCGCAGGGGCTCGGTTTGGGCCGATGAAAAATAAAATAAATAAATAAATGAATAAATAAATAAAAATAAAAATAAATAAATAAAAATAAAAATTTAGATGAAAAATTCATAAACAAGGTAGATATCTAGATCAAGACTTTGACACAAGGTTCAAAAGAATGTAAGACAAGGATTAAGGATTAACGTTGGGCGTGAGCCTATCTGCGAGAGAGAAGTGCATTATACCCGATGATGGCTCTTGTCGGGGTTACATGACTCGGAACAGAGTCATGTCCCCTTGATGATTTTCCCAATAACCAGTCTATTTTTGACCATATATTCTTGGCCTGCCGGGATTTTCGGGCTTGCATGCCGATGAATTTCTGTTAATATTTGGCCACTAGTCGCATACTACAATATTAGGAAGATAAGGAGAAGATCAAATTATGCCTTATTTCTACGCTCAATGCTCAATATTATTTGTTTCGAGCGTGATTTTCTGATCTATTGCACCTGATCTATTTTACCAAAATCTTGGTCGTAATGAGGGAAAAAGGAAGTGATTGATTCAGAGATATTCCCATTACCTTCCCAATATAGTAAAAAGGTTCTTGAAGGGTTGAGGCATACAATTATTATAAAGAGGGCCGGGCGACTAAGGGGAGACGAATATATTATTGTAGTTCTTTCAATAGAAATACATCATAAGATATTTAAGATATATGATGTTAGAGTAGTCGGGATCTCCCCGCATGGCGTCAATGTTATGGCGGAGCGAACTTTTTCCTCGAAGCTCCACATTTCTTGCTTAAGAGCTTCGCGACTTCCACACTATGACCCAATCATTCACAATATCTTGAGTTGTTTTAGCTCAATTTATCTCTATGAAGACGAATGCCTGCGGTGGAATTCTTTTCGCATATCGAGACACGCGATAAACAACAACCCCCTCGGTGGACGACCGAACAACCCACCACGCCCACCACGCATCAACACCTCCGAACAACTCCAACTATCAGCTCTATCCAATCTCAACCCCACACAAAAGAAACCTGGTGTTCAGCTCAGATAATCAGTCGGCGCGGCCATGCTTTCGCTTCCATTGATCACCCCGAGCGACGTACGTCTGCTGGAGGTCGCCATTCCCTCAGAACCAAAAGTTGCCAGCTGCTAACCTAGCTTCTGATTTGCTATGCTTTCCAGTCTCATGAATTATGGTTTGGGTCCTCCCAATCGTACCGTTCGTCCCCTTCGCACCAAACTCCCGGCGATCCAGCTTCCAATCACCCGTCGCGACGCAATGCCAACCCCAGCAGTGGCCACCGCGCATTCATGCCGTCTCGCGCACCATCAAACACGCTTTCTGCCTTACTCGTCGAAGAACGGGCCCTCCGCGCACGGAAGCAAAACATCGCGTCGTTTGGATACTCGTGGATTCGGCCGGCGGGATGTGCCAAGACGATGCTGGGGATGAAAGAGGAGGAAGCCGAGCGTGAAGAGGCGCTCGCTGCGGCAGAGGCGGAGATGGCTGCTGCTGAGGGGCAAGGGATGATGGATGAGGATGAGACAGGAATGGACCGTCCCGAAGGCGAGGAGGACGAGGAACAAGGCATGGAGCGCGATTTGGATGACGATATTCCGGACGCGGATGCCGATGCCGAAGGCCTGATTGAGGAAGGAGAGGAAGGGCTGGAGGACGATATCGCGGATGAGGAGGGATACATGGAACGGGACCTGGATGACGATATCCCCGAGGGCTATCCCGATGATGACTACGGCGGCGAGGGGCTTTATGACGAGGACGACGAGGAGGATGAGGACTTTGATAACCAGCCTGACCTGGATGCCGAGATCCCTGCCGCTAGCGAGGGCGAGCCCATGAGCGAAGAAGGCATGGTCCGTGACCTGGATGACGATATTCCCGACGCTGCCGAGGACGGGTCCGAGCAGGAAGGGGAATGGCAGCATACAGATACAGAGGAAGAGCTGGACGATGATGATGACGATGATCCCAGCATCCCCCACTCTCGTTTTGCAGAGAACTTCCGGACTAGCACGCCCAACAGTCGTGGCGGCTTGCCTCCGCCGCTTCGCCGCGAACGCGGGACCGAAGCCCAGCGGCGGTTCCTACAACGCTGGAGTGGTGGGGGTGATGCCCTGGACTCGAGCAGTGTGGTCCTTGAGGAGGAAGATCTGCGCACTTCCATTACGAGCCAGGGGAGTCGACGCAGTGGATTTGGACGACGGTTCCCACGGCATCTCGGTGGGCCCAGGGATAGTCTCAATTAAGCTATGCACAGGAAAAGTTGCTCTTGTACTGAAATCACGGTGTTCTGCATTGAATTAACGGCGTTCCGGTCAGGCCAGAAGGGGCGGGATGGGAAGCCAGGTGGGAATTCTGATGGCATTTGATACCGACACCTGTGGTCAGTTTCCAATTTACTGAATACTATCATTCTGCTCTCTTAAATATCCTTGTAGCAAGATGAGAGTGTAGTACAAGAAGCTTTTGGTGTTATTTTTCCCCCCACCAATGTAGCCTCTGTTTAGCAGCTCTATATGCAGTATGTACTCGGTGTACTTAATACATTTTGGAATGAAACAATCACTCAGCCAGACTCAATTCCCACTGGCCACTGCTCTAGGCAAAATAGGAAGAACTCGATAACTTCTCAAGGACAAGGAGCTCAAAACAGAGCCAGAACCTAGGGTTCCGAGCAGATCAAAAGCGATAACGCCATAAGAGCGTGCCAGAACCGATACCGAAATCATGTCCAAGCCAATCAAACATGGTGTATGGACTGCCCTCATCCCTCAATATAAAATAGCCCCCCAAACGCCGTGGCCTGAAACTCATGTCGAATGTCTCGATAAACGCTCGTATGTATGTGCGCCTCCCCAGGTCGAGAGGAAGAATGGCTTGTTGTCGTGCCTGAAAGGTCGAAAGAAAGATTAAATGGAGATGGCGAAAAGAAACAAGCGACGTTGTACTCTTCAAAAGAGCCATACATAAAAAAACAAGAGGAAGACGGCGATGAAGAAACCCAGCCACACCCGCCAACCGACGCCGGTGCGCTCAGCCATACGAAGCATGCGAGTCATGTTTCCACGAAGCCGAACTCGGGTGCTATCGAACGAGTCGTTGAGGTCTGCGAGGTTCGAGGTATCGCGGATTTCGTCGCCGATGGCAAGAGTGATCTGACATTGTCATCAGTAACTGGCCACACGCCTAAAATTCACAATGGCTCCATACGTCCTTCAACATCTTGACCTTGGCGGTGATCCCCTCCACTTCGTTATCATTTTGTGATTCGAGAGACGAGAGAACTGCGTCAGAGTAGTGTCCTCTTGTACTCAAGTTAGCATCTGCGCTTATGGCCACTGGTCGGGGGCTGTCCCCCATACTTCTTGTTTGGCGTTGCACTTCGGAATCCCGCGTCATTCGGACTGCCATTTGCATAGCCATTACCCGCCGGACCGGGGTATCCGTACCCGCCGGCAGGCGCAGGCGATTTGCTAGCCGGGCGAGAGTTGCCACCGTACGCGTCGAAGAGAGATGAGGAGGAGCGAGGATCACGCTGTCGGGGAAATCTGTTGGTTGTCACCGAGATCGTATTAGCCACATGCGCTGTCCCTGGAAGCTCCCTCCGAGAGGAAACGTAGAGAGCAGGAACTATACCGGGAAGCCATGGCCGCGAGAATGACACTGGGCAGGATTTGAGATGTCGACTTCTAAGTCAAGAAATCATCCAGGAGTTGATCAGCAGTGATTGGGGAGCATGACGCAACAGAAGAGAAATCACCAACCCCCGTTGCCCTGTCGTCGATGGTTGCAGAGACAAAAACACAAGGTGGCCATAGCGTTAACTTCGACGCACGTGATATCTCTCAAGAGATCGAGCTGCTTTGGCTACAATTTCGAGGTGATCGAGGTTGACTATAGAGATATGATCTCTTGTGGATAACATTCAATTTGATTCCACAAGTTTACAGGGGATCAAGGATAAGTCAATGACTGGTAGATTGCGCTTGTGAAAAGCATGAGCAGAGATCAGAAGCGAGGCTCATAGATTCATCGTGGTCACCAAAAGAGTAAAGAAATTCCGAGACACGCGAGAAAAACCTCCCTCCCCATCGAGTCCGTGGCGCCGATCATTTTAAAGCAAATCCCATGCCTCCTGTGGGTTCATCAAGACGCGCTTAGTCGCGCATCTGGTCATCATCGTTGTTGTCGTTGTCATCGGGAGCCTCGAAGTCGTCGTCATCGTCATCCTCTTCCATCTCGTCGCCCTCGCTCTTGGACTTCTCGGCCACCTCGGCGTAATCGATGGCCTTGCCACGGGTGCGTCGGCCACCCTGGATGATGTTGCTTGCGGAGATGGGCTCGAGGTTCTCATCTTCCTCGTCGTCTGAAGCAGGGAGAAAATCAGTCAGTACATCAGTTAGAAAGGAAAAGAGAGGGAGAGATAGTATGCTTAGGTCTTCGAGTCCATCGAGGTCGAAGCCATGATCGCGAGGGAGCGCGTACCGTTGTCAGCCTAGAGATGCGCGACATGATCAGTAAGAGTAGGCTAGTGAGTTGTTTGAGAGAACGGTCGCAGACTCACCATCTCATTCTCACTCTCCGACTCGCTCTCGTCCTCGTCCATGCTCAGCTCCTGCGTCGGGTCCTGGGCCTTGCCCTTGCCCTTGTCCGCGAAAGCGGCATCGGGGGCATTGGCAGCAGGGTCGTTGCTCAAAGTCGCGTGGTCACCCATGATGAAGAATGTGGAAAGAAATTGGGTTGAATAGCAAAGGGTAGGAGATTTGGGAAAGAGAAAGGGAGAGAGAGAGAGAGAGAGAGAAGAGCGAGGGGATTTAAACCAGTCTGCAAGTAAGGTAACCTTCTAACCAAAACAACCCCAGTAAGGGACCCGATCCCGTGATGTGATTGGCGGGGTGGACGGTCACCCCGTGACAAGCCTTGCCCTGATCTTCACTTGGCTTGACCAGGTCGCTGCCTAGCTATTTGCATGAACGATATCAAGAAATTCAAACAACTACAACTTAATCTTGTTAATCTGTGTTGCTTTAGCTTTCCGAAGCAAAACACCGTTCCACCGACTCGGCATTATTGCCCCACCAGTGCGGCATCGAGATTTGCTTGCCTGCACCAAAAAAGAAAAAGATGAGTAGCATGTTGAAATTAAACCCTGCATCGAAAGCAGCTGCCACCAAGTAATTGTACCGCTTCCATACCTCGAATCGGTGGCGGTAAGCCCAGTACATCACAATGTACCCGCCGATGATGGCAGACGTGTAGCCAGTGCTGATATTACCGTAGAACATGGCCATACCCCCAAAAAAGATACTGACATTCCACAGGTCAATCCGCAGCCAGGGGAAGATTCGATGGAAAGTATACAAGATGGGAGGAATCGCTGCACCCACGAGGAATGACCAGGGAAGAGCGGCCATTTCTTCTTGCGCGAAGAGTCTTTTGGGACCGAGAACGGCATACTGGACACCCATCGTATTATATGACTGTAGGCTTTGACCAGTCCATTGATTGAGGGGATCGTTTTTCTTGCCCGTCAAGTAGTCGCCTTTGGTGTCCATGACCCACCGCACGACGGCATAGTTCATCGGAACCCCCAGGATGGTGCCAAAGATCTGGGAAAAGAACACGGTGCGTGGTGGTATATGCATATAATGACCAACCTTCTGGTCCTGTAGCATATACTGTGCGCGATACCAGGCATCACCTGCGATGGACCCGTAGACGGAAGGGCCGCACGGGTGACGATGGCCCTCGCCGGCCTTGGTATGAATCATATAGCCGTACATCAGCTCATTGAAGGAACCGGTTTCAAGCTGATAGTTGGAGATGGCGTAGAGCCAGGCAAATGGAATAACAAAAATTCCGGCACTGGCCAGCGCAACGAATAATGTCCATACAGGAATGAAGAGGTATCCGCACGCGAGGATTGTGATTAGAATGACGAAGGCGGCAATAAACAAAACAAAGTACCACCACCATGGGATCTCTTTGTACTGTCTTTGAATAACATTGAGGCGGTCGTGGTATTGATGATGAATCCCTTGCTCGCGCGTAGAGGCACGAGCCTTGCGAGTGGCTAGGATTTTGCGGATGTTGCTAGCGACCTGGGTAAACCCGAATGTTGCAATCCAGGTAACTGCGGCTGGAAGCTTGGCATAGTCAAAGAAGGTCGCCCATACGTTTTGCAGGCCCATGTACATCGGTCCATAATCCTGATATGCTGTCTCGTTGAGGCGAAAATCCGGGGTGAGCACATCGAGGACAGGATACTGCGTGCCATTGGCCATGAAAAGGCTATTGGACATGAGACCGTGATGATAGGAGCCTATATTTCCCCACTTTGCTGCAGGAAGAAGGACCCAGCAATTGAAAGCAAAGGCTAGGAAGAGGATGACCTGCGTCCACCAAGGGGTGAGCATTATCGAGGACTGATTCCAGTTGATGTTAGACCAGTCCAGGGAGAGATTGAGAAAGCCCATGCCTCCGAGTCCAGAGCCGATAAAATTAGCCACCTTGTTTCGAGGCGCCAACCAGCAGAGGAATGCAAGTGACGAAGTAAAAGGAAAGGCATATTCCGGGAGAAATTGCCACATAGTCATGCCCAGGAGTGCAAAGAAAAACACCTTCATCTGGCGCCGTGCGAGAGGCGACGAGGAGTCTGTCTTCCGAAAGGTTTCAAATAACGTGGTTTGCATCAGAGCCTTGGGCCAGATGTAATGGGGATCCGGTAGTAGAATCTGCCGCGCAATGGCAGCGAAAGCATACCCAATCCAAACAATGGCGAGCATAAAGAAAATACCGATCGCTGGATGGAGGCGTTGACCATACCAAAGCTCTGAAAGTACAATTGGGGTGTATCCTATGTTGTAGGTGGCTCCAGATGCCGCCGTCAGAGTGACCAACACATGCTCTTTGATGTTCCAAGGGCCTGGATTCAGATTAAAGGCATATCGCTTGCCGGGCAGTCGGATTACCCAAGCCGGGAGGACTCGTGCAAGAAAGTGACCTGCATAGTGGCATGCGATCTGCACAAAGAAGACGGAGTAAGGTGCAGTCGTTGTACGGAAGTAGCTCATCTGGGAGAGAAAAGCTCCAGGAATGACGAAGAAGGCCGAGAGAACGAAGTAGCGGAATGTGATTGTCGGCAAGTCTGGATCATCGTTCAGGTTGATCAGTTGACGCACTTGATGAGGCAACGCCGCGATTTCGGGATTGTCGTGGCTCTCGAGCTCAATAGCCGTTGTCTCCGCCTGAGCTGGAACTTGTCCCTCGTCCAAAATGCCCGACTCTGATAGCTTTGGTTCCTTTGCTGATTGAATGGTGATGTTCTCTGCACCTGCGCCCGTTCCTAACGAATCGTCCCTCTGGGTCTGGGTTTCCCGTCGTCTTCTCTTGATCGCGTTTAGTAGGGCCATTTTGTACGATGGATGATCAGAGATCCATGCTGGTCGAGCCAAGAGGGAGATTTTAAAATCCCGATAGCTGATGGCGTGCGACCCCAGTCCCTCATCGCCATATCGTCAACAATGAAATTTTTCGTAGACGGTCCACTGCCACAGATGGCTGGAATATAGACAGACCAATAAAGGGCCGGAATGAGAGCTCAGTTGCAGCGACTAATGCCGGAGAGTTACATTCGATGAGCGCCAAAGAGCTTGATCGCCCGTAGCGCGGATGGCGTTATCGCATCTTTGAGCTGAGCTCCAACAGGCCATTTCTTGGACTATTATTCATATGATTTCTGACTTCTCGAGGGTTGCAAGACTCGTTTCTTCGAGGACAATCTTTTGCAGGGGGTGGGTGTAGCCGGTGGCAGCGCCATGTCTTGGAATGGCCTCTGAAAGACGGTCCACTTTGTTTCCAAAAGCAATCGAAATGGCTGCCTCATCTTGGGTTTTCTCTTCTTGATTTCTTTGCCAGATACTTCTTGACACCTCACATAGCAGGCAGTCATGTAGTCACCTGATCGGCCTACAATCGTGCTATGCCTTCTATAGTCATACTTCACTTCGATAACCAAAGCTGCCCTTATTTTGCATCACCAAATGGCATCAGAACCGATCCGATCATTACAAGGCCACCCCAGTCTCACCACACTCAGACAACAATATCACCGTAATGGAATATAGTGACCGAGTCCAATATCGATCTGGTCATCCCGCGATATTCATAGTAAGAGGTTCACTCTGACAATTCTGGTGATACTTTCCCCTTGCTTGTTATTTCTCAGATATCTCCACCTGGGCCTGTAGAGTCGATCAATAAGGTAGACACCTCAGGCTCTCCATCTCTATGAGCCAATTCAGCCTAAGGTATACCTTAATGAATGCCTCAGGCCTCGAGAAAAGCCTGCATCATCGTCCCACCCGATGAATTCATGATGACGCCCTGTCCAGCTGATGACCATACGAAACAGGCTACCTGGGTCCAGTGCCAGGGCTGACTCGGGTGAAAATTGTAATTATGTCCGGTAATTACACCATCCCACTAAATTACATCATGCAGTGCCCCGCCAAAAAGAAAAAAAAGACACACAACACTATACATCTCATAAAGAAAAATTGCATAGAAATTGGAACTTGAAAATAATACAAATAAATGAAGAATCAATTCGTCATTTCTCTACTCCACTGGGCCCATCTCGAACCGTCAGGTCGCTTCGTGAAGGGTGGAAACTGCCTGTTGCTGGGGCATCGAAGCCCGTGGAATCTCATGGATGCCCATAGAAGCTGCCCCTACTAGAAGCTTCTGAGCCATACACCGCTCACTATATAGCAGGTTTTGGTGCCCTCTCCCACTTTTTCTTTCTTTCTCTCACTTTCAAATACCCCAAAATCCCATAACTCTTTCCCCCCCTCTTCCACCCTGTACACTACACTCTTCTTCTTCACGAATTTCCTTTTCTTTGACCACACACACCATGGCTCCCGCCGTCGGTATTGATCTGGGAACCACCTACTCCTGTGTGGGTGTCTTCCGTGATGACCGCATTGAAATCATTGCCAACGACCAGGGTAACCGTACCACCCCCTCGTTCGTTGCCTTCACCGACACCGAGCGTCTCATCGGTGATGCCGCCAAGAACCAGGTCGCCATGAACCCCCACAACACCGTCTTCGACGCCAAGCGTCTTATCGGTCGCCGCTTTCAGGATGCCGAGGTTCAGGCTGATATGAAGCACTGGCCTTTCAAGGTCATTGAGAAGGCTGGCAAGCCCGCCATCGAGGTTGACTTCAAGGGCGAGACCAAGCAGTTCACCCCTGAGGAAGTCTCCTCCATGATCCTGACCAAGATGCGTGAGACCGCTGAGGCCTACCTCGGTGGCACCGTCAACAACGCTGTCGTCACTGTCCCCGCCTACTTCAACGACTCACAGCGCCAGGCCACCAAGGACTCCGGTCTCATTGCCGGTCTGAACGTCCTGCGTATCATCAACGAGCCTACTGCGGCCGCTATTGCCTACGGTCTGGACAAGAAGACTGAGGGCGAGCGCAACGTCCTGATCTTCGATCTGGGTGGTGGTACCTTCGATGTTTCCCTCTTGACTATTGAGGAGGGTATCTTCGAGGTCAAGTCCACTGCTGGTGACACCCACCTGGGTGGTGAGGACTTCGACAACCGTCTGGTCAACCACTTTGTCAACGAATTCAAGCGCAAGCACAAGAAGGACCTCACCACCAACGCTCGTGCTCTCCGCCGTCTTCGCACTGCTTGCGAGCGTGCTAAGCGCACTCTGTCCTCGGCTGCTCAGACCTCGATTGAGATCGACTCGCTCTTCGAGGGTATTGACTTCTACACCTCTATCACCCGTGCCCGTTTCGAGGAGCTCTGCCAGGACCTCTTCCGCTCCACCATGGAGCCCGTTGAGCGTGTCCTCCGTGACGCCAAGATCGACAAATCTTCCGTCCATGAGATTGTCCTGGTCGGTGGTTCGACCCGTATCCCCAAGATCCAGAAGCTCGTCTCCGACTTCTTCAACAAGGACGCCAACAAGTCCATCAACCCTGACGAGGCTGTTGCCTATGGTGCCGCTGTCCAGGCCGCTATCCTGTCTGGTGACACTTCCTCTAAGTCCACCAACGAGATCCTGCTGCTTGACGTCGCCCCGCTGTCGCTCGGTATCGAGACTGCTGGTGGTGTCATGACCCCGCTGATCAAGCGCAACACCACTATCCCCACCAAGAAGTCTGAGACCTTCTCGACCTACTCCGACAACCAGCCCGGTGTCCTGATCCAGGTCTTCGAGGGTGAGCGTGCCCGTACTAAGGACAACAACCTGCTCGGCAAGTTCGAGCTCACTGGCATTCCCCCGGCTCCCCGTGGTGTGCCCCAGATTGAGGTTACCTTCGACCTGGATGCCAACGGTATCATGAACGTCTCCGCCCTTGAGAAGGGTACCGGCAAGACCCACAAGATTACCATCAGCAACGACAAGGGCCGTCTCTCCAAGGAAGAGATCGAGCGCATGCTGGCTGAGGCCGAGAAGTATAAGGCTGAGGACGAGGCCGAGGCTTCCCGTATCCAGGCCAAGAACGGTCTCGAGTCGTACGCCTACTCGCTCAAGAACACCCTGGGCGAGGGCAAGCTGCAAATCAGCGACGACGACAAGAAGAAGGTCGAGGACAAGATCTCGGAGATCATCAACTGGCTCGACAACAACCAGACCGCTGAGAAGGACGAGTACGAGTCCCAGCAGAAGGAGCTCGAGGCGTATGTGTCCCTTTAAAACATCTCATCTTTCACTACACACATGCTGACTATTTTCTCTAGTATTGCCAACCCCATCATCTCCGCTGCCTACGGCGGTGCCGCTCCCGGTGGCGCTCCTGGCGGTGCTGGCGGTGCCCGCTCCGCTGACGAGGTCGAGGAGAAGCCTGAGGAGCTTGACTAAATGCTTTCGCTCTGTCTCACGCTTCCTTTTCACGTCTTGTTTTACGAACTAATGGGATATCGAGGTTTCTTTTCGCGCATTGACTGCATAGATACGAGGTTATCTCTGGCCGGGTGATAAAAAAAAAATCCTGGCAATTCAAAATGTTCTAATTGACTTGGCTCTTGTCGTAAATTACTTGGTATTGGTCTACATGATCCCTCTTCTCTACAGTTGGATGTCTTAAGGTCGGTGTACATTGTTAGGGGTCTTCTCTCTTCACAATTGCAAAGGCTATCGTAAGCTGTTATCAATGCATAAGTTCGTACAAAGGATTGATGCAAGATAATTTACAAAACCCGGAGATAATACGATAGGCGCCAGTCTATTGAAAGACATCAGCATACGGCGTCGGAGAAAAAGATAGCTGTTAATAACTCCGGTAACTTACTGTAGACAAGACACCTTCTCCATTATGCCCAAACCCGCGGTATCTTGCCAAGGTACCCTCGTGTCGAAAAAGAAAAAAAAAAGTAAACGCCAACTCCCGGACAGACAGAAAACCCCCGGAATCAAGCTCGTCTTCAACTTAAAGGCCTTGGAAATCCCCATTCCACCACCGCTGCAAGCGCTGTCCGCCCATTTGCACCACAGTCCCGTACCCAATCTGCGAGGCCTGCTCCGGATTCTTCTCTTGTTGGTCGCGGCGGATGCGGGTCATGGCGGCCGTGATGCCCATTGTGAGGGCGAAGAGAGGGTCTCCGATCCTGTTGAGGTACGGCGTTAGAATGGGGATGCGATTGGAAGGAGATGCTTGGGATGAAATTGCAGGTTGGAGCTGCTTAGGAAAGGGAACATACCGAGAAATGAGATAGACGGGCATGATTGTCTTCTGTGCAGGAAGACCTGAAGTCTTGCAACTCGACAAGATAATGCTAGTCACGTGATGGCATCACCAGATGCTGTCCGGGGAAACTGATTCGCTCGCATCTTACTTGATTGTATAGAAACATTAGACCCGGTTGAAATAAATACGTCGCTTCTTAGACTATCCTCTAGACCCCGAAACAAAATAAACATGTCTATGAAAATACACAATCGGGCCCTCCCTGGACAAGAGGAAACGTCACACACCCGAACAAGAAACGAGAGAAAAGAAAAAGAGGAGAGGTGGGGTGACACCAGGGAAACGCCAAGATTATCAAGTTCGTTTGCATCTATACAACCTGGCCAAAGGCAGGGATCAATGTCTGTGCCAGCCAGAAGCTGAACACCAGCTTGGGACCCGTCATCAGCAACTTGGGGGTCAGGCCCTTGAAGAAGCTGGTAACACCCTCGTTCTTGGCCATGTTGGAGATAATTCGGAAGCCCGACTCCGGGTTGTCGAAGTTGCGGTTCTGGATCCGGGTCTTAATCACGTCCAGGGGCGCGGAAACGACCAGCGAGGCGCTGGCACCGCAGACCGAGGCGACGAAGTTCTGCGCCCAGCTGGCTGAGTTGTAGTCCTTCAGGTCGTAGATGTATTCCTTGGCAAACGCAGATCCACCGAAAAGCTGCCGATTTCTTGTTAGCGACTTCATCTGGCGATGCAAACTGCAGAGGGTGCCATACCGCGAATGAGCCGGGAGCGTTGCGGGCGGCCGTCCAGCCGGCACCCCGGTACAGTCCCATACCCTCATCGGAGATGATTTTGAAGAGGCCACGGCCACGGAAGGCCTCGGGGTTCGTCTGGCGCTTAATCTTCAGAACATCCAGAGGAAGCAGAACAATCTCTCCAATGCCGATCAAACTGGAGTGGGTTGGGGGGGATCAGCGCTATACATTCGATTGACCTAGGGAGTGCAAATTTTCTCACCTTCCAGCAGTCGCATGCATAATGGCCTTGCCAGTTCCCTTTCCGAATGCATTATCAAAATCGGTACCGTGGTGCTTGGCCAAGTAGTCTCGCGCAAAGGGTTGACCGCCGTACTTGTAAATCCGTTGAAGGACCTTCAATTTTCAATGCCATCAGTAGGTGATCTTTTGTTTTCGTACCGTCCCGGGTTCACGAACCTTGTAACCAGCAGCATATCCCAGGCCAGGGAAGAGAGAGGTGAACTTGCGGGCGACCGGCGCATTGGCGTACTCTTTGAAAACAACTTGTTTGAAAGCGCTGGCGGAAGTTATCTGGGGCAGCCATTCGGTCAGCAATGCACTCCATCGGGCGCAATCCTTTCCAATCCTACCCGGGACTGGTTGCTCATCAACCGCTTAGCCGTGGTGTCGACCTGTGTGGGAAAATGTCAGTGTTGGGTTTCCAGGGCACTGGAGGGTATTATAGTCGTACAGGGTGGAAAACCATCAGCTCGGCGATACCAGCAGAGCCTGGGAAAGTCACACATGAGCATTTTGATCACTTTAATTCTGCAGGACTCGCCTACCGGAACCGAGAAGACGAGCGGTCGCGGATTCTCTCTTGACATCCTTGGAGGCGGCGCCAGCACCGGCTTGGGCAATGGGAGACATCTTGGGTGAAAGAAGGGGGGGGGGGAAGAAGAAAAGGAAAGAAATCAAGACAAAAAGGACCGAAAACCAGGGGCGCAGAAGAGAACCGGGGAAAACAGTCAAAATTTATCACAGCACGCGGGCGCTAATCCTGATTGGGCCGGCCGGAGCAGGTGTCCAACTCCGGCCCATTTTCATATGAACTATGAAGGGCTTCTATTATGGCTTCATATTCATAGCCTTAGATGGTCTTCATATTTCGATTTGTAGCTATCACTGAGCATGGCTGTCAAGCGACACTGGAAGAAAAAAAATGCACATAACACCGAGTCGAACGCCAGAGTGACCGAAGAACCACATATCCCCAAGGTTGGAGACAGTCCTCTCATCACCCAGCACCTCCCCTACTAACCCAGACAGGTCACCAAACCAAGGTGCATAGAGCGACATGAGAGCTGCAAATCCACCTTTACAAGTCACCAAACGTGTTCTCGCCCGAATACCTAGCAGTGTATTAGCATGGGAAGATAGATCTCTTTAGATACGAAGGGGAAAAGGAATGGCCACATACGTGATGTACAAGAACCCATCCTCGTCCTTGTGCTCTTCGTAGATGCTGCTCATGAGTGCCGCCGTGGGTGGGAGGACCTCATCGACGAAGATGAAGATGGCCTTCTCGGGGGAAAGCTTGATGCGCTTGCGGATCACATAGACGAACTGACCCACGGTGAGGTCGGCAGGCACCAGATACTTCTTCTTGTCGATGGTAGCGATGTCCGACTTCTCGACCTTCTCACAGATGACCTATCGATCGAAACCCGTTAGCGACCGAACAAGCGGTGAGTCTCCCAGTGCATCGAGCTTGGTCGCACCCCACGAACAGATGCAAGAGTTTCAGAGAATAGGGACCTACCGGAATGCGATCAGCGTACTTTTGACGAATACGCTCAGCTTCAGCCTTTCGCTTCTCGAAAGGGTGCTCGTCCTTGAACTTGGAACGCATGGTGGCTGATAAGGTGGGTTTGATAAGTGAAGCGGGTCAGGTGGAGCAGCAAGACCCCAGAGGAGCTCCAGGGGGTTAAGATGGCAGTGGAAGAGGGGATTTCTCAATAGAAGTCTGGGAGCGGAAACAGGAAGATTCTCAACGTAGAGAAATCAAGAGATGGAGAAGGAAGAAGAGGGGTGATGGGGAATGAGATGACAAACCCCGCTGACGTTACCTGTTCGAACATCACGGGAACAGGCGGTGAGTCAGGCAGAACCGTCAGATGCGCACTGTATATATAGTCACATGAGCTATAGTATATGCCTTAGGTATCTACATTGCTAGGTTCTTATTATATCGTAAATATTGGCATATTGTGGTTTTATTAGTATTAGTATAATAATATATTATATATAGAGTATATTATATATTATAATCAGGACCTATACCTTATATAGTATATTTTCTTACTGTAACCTCCAGGGGTAAATCTAAAATTCCTCACGATGCATGCACGTCCCCTGATCGACAACAAACAGTGCAAACCCATCTGGGGTCGGATCGACCGAGGCTGCATTCCCTTTTGGCCTTCTTCCTGCACCCCCTCTCCCCAGAATCCTTCCAAGTACAAGCACGGGCACCATACTTTTGACACAAAATGGCCTCTCGATCATTGATGCCTCTTCGGAGGTCCCTGGCCCAATTGCCAGCTCGAGGGTCTCGTACCGCTAGGCGCCATGCCGGCACGCCATTCCGGGGTCTTTCCACGGCACAGAAACCCCAGAATGCACCGCAGTTCACTGTCTGGCGGCCTTACTTGCGGCTTGCAATTGGTGTGCCTTTCATTGGTGCCATTATCTACTCAATGGTAGGTCATCAACCCTTCAATATGTTTTGGCCCCCAATGCCATTGCGACGTGGATTAACCCCGGATGCAGATGACTGAGGAAGTCACTGAATTGGACTCCCCATCCATTGCTGAGCTGGATGAAGCCCTGAAGCGATCCTCAGCCATCAATGAGTCCTCCCCGATGCGATTGCGGATGGAAAAACTCATCAAAGATGAGCAGCAGAAGATTATTGAGGAGCTCAGCAGAATCGATGGCAACCAATTCCGAGTTGACACTTGGGACCGTCCTAGTGGCGGTGGTGGGATTTCGTGTGTGCTGCAAGATGGGAACGTCTTCGAGAAAGCCGGTGTTAATGTCTCGGTGGTCTATGGTGAATTGCCACGGCCAGCCATTGAGAAGATGCGCGCCGACCACAAGTCCTTCGTGGGTGCGGACGTCGAGTCCCTGAACTTCTTTGCCGCCGGTCTCTCACTGGTCTTGCACCCACACAACCCCATGGCACCCACGGTGCATCTGAACTATCGATACTTTGAGACGTCCGATCCCAAGGATCCCATTAACGGGGACAAGAACTGGTGGTTCGGAGGTGGCACGGACCTAACTCCAACCTACCTCTTCCCCGAGGATGCCCAGCACTTCCACAAGACCATCAAGGATGCTTGTGATCGTCACGACACCACATACTATCCCAAATTCAAGGCCTGGTGCGACAAGTACTTCTACATTCCCCACCGAGGCGAATCCCGCGGCGTCGGTGGCATCTTCTTCGATGATCTGGACGCCAATTTCCTGCAGACTTCTGCCGGCTCTTCGTCCAACCCGCAGGAGACTCTGTTTTCTTTTGTCTCGGACGGTCTACGCTCCTTCCTTCCATCCTATGTGCCCCTTATCGAGCGGCGAAAGGACATGCCGTTTACTTCTGCTCAGAAGGAGTGGCAACAGCTGCGCAGGGGTCGCTATGTCGAATTCAACCTGGTGTATGACCGTGGTACGAGTTTCGGCCTGCGCACTCCCAACGCTCGTATTGAGAGTATCCTGATGAGTCTCCCCCGCACCGCCAGCTGGGCTTATATGGACCCGGTCTCTGGCACGAGGACGGAGACCACTCAGGAGGAAGAGGAACTGGCGGAAGATAAGGTCAGCGAAAAGGAGATCATGGATGTACTGAGACACCCCCGGCAATGGGCATGATCGGCCCCTCTCTTAGCCCCTTTCCACATTTGGCATATTGTGTATCATTTTTGTCTAATTGGTCTCAAGGACCTGGCCGTGTCAATAGCCATGTATAGTGCATAGTACAATATTCAGTATATATTTTCGAAATTGAAACATCTATTGGTGTATCTGACAAGTCTATCTTGAGAAACGAAAACCCCCGTTTAACTCTTCTTGCTCCCTTGCGATTAAAGGATATCAAGGAGCCAAAAGGGCTCAAGCTGATATGGACACAGGGGAGATAAAAACAAAAATGAGAATCATATCCGAGAGACAACAGATAACACTTTATTGCGGGTGAAAGGCAATCAGGTGGGAATATAAACCAAAAAAGGGAGGAAGCGACGATAAAAAAAAAAAAAAGGCAGCAAAACAGATAGTACGGACATATGAAGCTATACACTCATGAATCACACTCACGGAGAATGGCCTACTGGCCAGCTACCATGCTTCTCTGCTTCGCCAGCCACCCTCGTGCATCAGCCATGTTGGCACCATGGCGATAGCGAGATACCGTCATGTTGTTATTCTGCCAACGGCTCTGAAGATGATACCAGGCTGAGCCCACGAGGCTAAGCTCGCGGGCTTGGTCATCGATGATTCTCTGGAGCTCAATCTGAGCGAGTGACCCGATGGTTAGCATAGGTCTGGTGGTTGCCGACAGCAACCCATAAAATAGTAGCCAACTCACCTCGTGTTCTTTGGGAATGCCATCATCCAAATTCTCCTCGTAGTTCTTCATCCGCTCTCGGAGTGACTTGATGAGCTCGTTTTGCTGTTGAATATACTGCACAGCGAGGTGTGTTAGCATGCCCAGATACGAAGCAACCAACGACAATGACCAAAACTGACCTCTGCGCGCTGAGCCAGCCGCTCCACATTCTTCTCCAGGACACCCGCACACTGTTTCAGGAGCTCGAAGCTCGATTTCTGGGGAGCTTCGCCCTCACTGTTGTGGGTCTCAAACTCGCCAAGGAGCGTCTGCATCTCGTTCATCACCTCTTGGTCCTCGGCGCTGATTTCATTTTGCTTATTGTTGAGCATCTTGCGAAGCTCCTCCCGCTCTGCGCACACTTCGCGCACCAAGGTCTGACTGGCATCTACCTCGGCCTCCAAGTGATGAACATTCTGGGAGAGGCCATCCCATTCGCCACGGAGCTTTGTCAATTCAGCCGAGTTGTGCTCATCAAGCTCTCGAAGCACGTCTGCTTTTTCAGTGTTGACAAGGCCAACTTTGCAATCGTAAGCATTCTGTCAAAATGACTCAGGGCATGGCATTGGAGATAGAGACTTACTTTGAGTCTGTGCATCGGACAGCTCCTTCTTTGTCGTTTCGAGGAGATCCTGAACGTCCGCAATCTTCTTAAGCGTTCCGGTGTAGCTTTCATATAGTTTCCAATACTCCTCGCTGCAGGGCACATTAGCAATGCCATGCACGTTGTCCAGGCTTGGGCTCACCTTTGGCTGGAATTGGCCCGCGCAAGCTGCACAGACGCGGCAAAGTTTTCAGAAAAGCCTTCTGAATGGGACCCGGGCTAGTAGTCATCAATATCGGGATTGCGCCTGGTAAGTGAAAAGTAAACATACAGCTGTTGAGGGCGCCTTCAGTGATTCCATCTCTCGTTTCAATTCATCATTCTCGGATTTACTGCCCGCGATTAGCCTTCCAGGCCATTGCCAAACCACAGTGGGTAATACATACAGCTGAGTTTCCTTGACACCGATCGCTTCGAAGTCCTTGTGTAAGGTGCCTTGCATCTTGGGTGTCTCAGAGCCAGGAGACGGACTTTCCGGCGAGCCTTCCAATTCCCGGAGGCGTTCACGTAGCTCACTAATCAGGGCATCGTCCCTCTCATGTTGCTCGTCCGCGCTTTCGAGTCTTTCCGTCAAGGCATGATTGTTGAACTCAAGCTGCTTTTTCAGATTCTGGATTTCGTTGCACTCTTGTTCAATGCGAGGCAAAAGCTTGCGATACTCCTCCAGCTCCACATCCTGCTCCGATGACCAGCGTTGTTGCGAGTCCGAATCTTTGAGCTGCTGCTGAAGGTCTTTGATTTGGTTCTTGAGGGTCTGGTTCTCTTTCTCAAAGTCCTGGCTGGCTTGGAGCTTCTGGCGATACTTCTCCGCCGCATTTGCCTTGCGTGCAAGCTGATCTCTGTCGGTCCGAAGTTCATCATAGTCGTCTTGTAACTTTTGGTGGCGCTGGTTCTTGACTCGGAGGGACTCAACCGTCATGCGTAGGCTGTCAATTTCATCTTGAGCCGCGTTCAATTTCGCCTCCTGGGACGCGATCAAATCATCCTGTTGGCGGGTTTTGCTCTCCAAAGCTTTCGCATTGAATCCCAGGTCACCCTTGCCAGACTTCAATGTGACTAGCCGATCTTCGGTAGACGCAAGACGGTTCTGCAGGGTATCGTTGTTCTCCTGAAGACGCGCCAATCGATTATGCAAGTCCTCCAGCGCCTTCTCCAGTTCCTTCTTCTCGTGGGTAAGACGATCGTTCTCCGCAAGCACCTTCCCCACGCGCTCCTCGAATTGCAATTCCAGGTCCACGGGCCGATCGTGTTTGGACAGGTCCTCCCTGAGCTCGTCGGCGGCATCCATCGGCTCGTGTTGACCATTATGTGCCTCCTCAATGATATCTTTGAGACCTTCCTGGGTCGAGGTGCTCAATTCCTGGAGGGTCTGCACGTATGTTTCCGCGTTGGGGGAGCTGATGGCCGCGATCAGGAGAAGTTTCAGTAACTTGTTGGTTTCCTTGGTGGTGGCCTTCTCTGCGACAGCTTCGAGATCGGGAGACGGGTCAAGGCCGGACGGCAGGGAGTCATCGTTCTGGTGCCGAATATAGCTGAGCAACAGCTTGTGGATGTGCTTCAGGTTCTGCCACTTGGCCACCCAGTGGTCGGAAGGGTTGCGCTCGGGGATCTCGTCGAGAAAATACTGCGGATCGATGTCCTGAAGGATCTCCCACAAGATAACCCCATCGGTTAATTCATCGGTGGCCCGGAGAGTTTTGCCCAGGGAAAAGCTGTTGATCCATTCCAACAGAACCTTGGTCACCGTGTGTTCCGACGCCATGTTGGCGAATGACGTGTCTGAATCGAATGCCAGCAGGGGGGATACCGATGCCAATTCAACAGAGAAATGTCCACAAGGAAGAGAATTCGAGGATGGGATCCCTGCTGGCGGGAGTTTGAGGATGCACGCGTGTGTTTTGGGGCCAACACCGGCTCTAAACTAGCGGGGGGATCGTCCCGATCTTGGAGAGATTCAACACCCTCGACTGCACTACATATGGAGCATTTTTGGAGTTCTACTTTACTGGTTTGTGGACACACTACAAAACATAAAATCATGGAATTGATTGGACGAAACCAAATATTCCCCTAGATCTCTAGTTCCCAAGCAGCCCTTTCCAATTTCTCCGAAACAAATCGCCAGTCGCAATCCAAGAACTCCTCCTAAAACTAATTCCAAGCGCCATGGCAGTACTTTGCCCTGCCCAAGTCTCCTCAAGAGACTGTGTATCCCGTTTGGTGTATCACGGCCTGGGCAGCCAGGCCCTCAGCCGGTGCTTGCCATGGGTTACCCCAGAACCAGCTGCGACATAGAATTCATAAACCCCATAGATATTGCAATAGCACTTTAAAAGCTGTGCTCCTCACCCACAGAGTCTCGATTGATCGTCACGGTCTGATCTTCTTCGATATTGGGTTTGTGGTCGTCTGACTGGGTGGATACAATATCAAGAGCCTTCGCGGGAGCCTCAGCGGCAAACCCTCTAGATGATAATTAGATGGGCACTGCAGGGAATGATCAAAGAGAGGCACCATACTTGATCAGATCTGCGTGGCAAATGGTTAGCATACAAAGTCTCTTCACGGCCTATGAAACAGAACTTACTGTATTCATGAGTGATGACGCCACCCTAAAAGTATCAGTCAATAACAACTGTCTTGTTGCGCAGCAATGACCAGCGTACAGAAGCCTTCAGGGACTCTTTGGCCTGGTCCATGACCGAATCAGGTGTGCCCTGGGGATAAGTAATAATAACAGACTTCAGGTCCTTGGCAGCCAGTGCCAGTGGAAGAAGATCCACGATAGTCAAAAAAAGCTTCATTGTGTATTGCGACGATTCATCCAGGAGAGTTGAAGAAGTCAGAGAGGGACGAGGCGGTATCCACTAAAGAGCGACTGGCGTCATGGTCACGGTCACGGTCACGTGGTCGAGGCAGAATCCCTTTCTCGGTATCCGTGTTTCTTCTCCATCTTTCTCTCTCTCTCTCTCTCTCTTTCTCTCCATCGTCTTCTTGCTTCAATTCCAAGACGCCTTTTTGTTTCCACCCATCGAGCACCTTTGCTGTGCTCATACTTCCTTAGCTCTTGCACCCTTAGTGGTTTCATCCAGGACGTGAAGGAAGATAGACATACACAGTGGATGGTGGCAGGTTACTGGGTTGGACTGAGGAGCGTCTGCATTTGTTGTCTCGAGTCTCGCCATAGCTAGCAAGCATTGACAATTTTCGAGTTTTCTCATCACTTTCTGTGGATTGTCCACGAAGGGTTCTACTCTGCGAACACGGACAAGAACTAAGAAAAGAGAACCAAAAGAAAAGAAAGAAGAAAAACAAACGAGAGAGAAAAACAAGGGTGATATCATCACCGAAGAAGAGACGGAATCACCGGAATCGGTCTTGAATTCATCATGTCAGGGCTGGTTTCCGATGAGGTCGCCGAGGACTACAAGAACTCCTTGGAGGATCTAACCACCAACGATAGGTTCCAAATCAGCAACCTGACTGTCATAGCCAAAGAAAACACCGAAAATGCTATGGCTATCTCGCGAGTTTTGGAGAATCACATTCGATCAGTACGTGCTCTCCTGTTCCCCTCCCCTGTTTTGCGCCGTAGGCCTCGATGGCCTCTGACCACCTTGTAGACACCACCCCCGCAGAAGCTGCCGGCGCTTTATGTAGTCGATTCGATCGTCAAGAACGTGGGAACACCATACACGCTCTTCCTGGGACGAAACATGTATCAGACCTTCATGAACGCGTACACGCTGGTCGATTCGCAGACTCGCCGCAAGCTGGACGAGATGCTCAAGACATGGAAGGAGCCGGTGCCAGGCTCCTTGGATACTCGCCCAGTCTTTCCATCCGATATCACCCGCAATATCGAAAGTGCTCTCATCAAGGCGCGCACGGCAGCTCTGCAGCAGCAACAGGCCCGAGGCCAGCCGGATATCCTCAATCGCGGCTGGGGAAGTGCTACCCCGACAGGATGGACTAATAGTCCTACGCCTCCCCAGAATATCGCCCGACACCCGCCAATCCAACCATATCTGAACAATGGACATGGACTTGGTACATCGGTAAGGATTCTATGCGCCAGCCTCGGCGGCAGTGCTGTGCTAACCCAATCCACAAGACCCCCCCCGCAGCCCCATCGGCCCGATGCCAATCTGGACTCTCTCAATAGGGACTTAGATGCGTTAGTCGCTTCTGCGCGAACCGATTTCGCCAACAGTCCCTTCGACCCGGCCTCTCAACAGCGCTTGAAGGCCCTGCTGGATCTCCAAGGTATTCTACAGCGACAGCAACTCACTCAAGAACAATTCAAGCTTGTCCGTGATCAAGTCTCTGCACTGGCTGCAACGCAGCCGGCATCCACCACCCATAGCCCTCCTACGAATGGCCCAGCAGTATCAGCTCCTCCCGTGTCCACCTCCACTCCGCCTGCACAACCCGTGTCGCAACCGTTACAGCAGCTTCTCAATCCTGGCACGCTAGCGGAGCTCATCAAAGCCACCGCTGTGCGCCAGCAGCCCACTCCTCCACCACACATTCCTAACGTCCTCCCTCAAGTGCCTCAGATCCCTCAGCCCAATGCCACACCGCAGCCTGCAGTCGCAGAAAATCCTCTAATCGCGGCCCTGAGAGCGCGTGGTCTCTTGCCTGCGTCATCGGCGCCGCCATCTCTCGCACCGTCACCGGGGACACCTGTTGCCGGAGGACCTGGCTTACCATTCCTTATGCCGGGTCAATCTCATTCTACGCCCCCAGTTCCGAATCCCCAGGCGCCTCCACCGTCCAACGTTTCATCTGTAGTCCCGATGAACACTGCATCTATGAAAATGTGAGTTCCAACACCATTGCTGGATGTATAAAACTTGCTAACTTTGTATAAAAAAGACCTCGAATGGCTCTTATCGTCTCTCTTTATGAAGCACGTCCGAACCGATGTGGAACCTGCGGACGCCGATTCCTCACGACGGAAGAAGGTAAAGAAAAGAAGGCTCGGCACTTGGACTGGCACTTTAAAACCAACCAGCGCATGGCAGAAGCTGCCAAGCGGGCCCAAACCCGCAGCTGGTATGTCGACGAAAGAGTGAGTGCACTACACCGTCTGAATTTCCTACTTCAATGATTTTAACGATCGACAGGATTGGATCAAATCCCGAGAAGATGGCGATGACCAAAGCTCTGTCGACCCCGAGGCCACTGGAGCTGTGGGAGTGGATAGCAATGCGTCCAAGCAAGGACCGCCCAAGCCGTGGATCCGTGCCCCGAACGACGCCATGCTCCGCAACACGCCGTGTCCCATCTGCCAGGAGAAATTCGAGTCAACATGGTCTGAAGATGTGCAGGATTGGATTTGGCAGGATGCGGTCAAGGTTGGCAGTCGGGTGTATCATGCCAGTTGCTATGCCGAAGTGACCAAGGAAGTCCCAGTGCGCGGTGGAACGCCGCAAGCCCGGACTGGCACGCCCGACTCGGTGCTGGGCAAGCGCAAGGCTGAGGTATGCATATGGTTGATCGATTTCCAAGGGTGCAGGGCTAATATTTCGCAGGGTACGGAATCTCCTGGACTCAAAGTGCGCGTCAAGACGGAGCCCGCGTGATCCTCGACTGTACAGTATATCGCCTTCGTGTCTCAATTCTTTTTTTTTTCTTTTTCTCTTTTTTCGTTGCATTGCGGGGGAGTCTCATCCTAGGCGTTGTCCATAGCGAATTTCAACTTGACTTTCGGCATATAATATATGGTCTATAGTACAGTATATTTTGTGTACTGTATGTATACCTAGGGGTTAGTTGTAGCTGGGTGACTTTGTATTCTGCCCCCGCTCGGTGCATCTCCGGCCCTCCATGTTTCTCCAACTGCACGACCAGACGCCATTATAAATCCGCACCTTTCTCCTCTACATCTCCTCCATTCCTGCACAGTTGAATTCCCCGACACCGATTATCATGGCGCACACTATCCGTTGGGGCATCATGGGTACGAAACCAATCCTTTTCCCGTTGAGATGAAGCTGACTTCTTCGAATAGCCACTGGTTGGATTGCCGACAGTATGTTCTACTTGGACCCATCAGTCAAGACAAAATCATCGAAAACTCATACTTTAGACAGTGTTTGTACGCGATCTCCTCATTGACCCCAAGACTCGCGATGCCTCCGACATCGCTCACAAGGTGGTCGCCGTTGCCTCGTCCTCCGCCAAGGACCGCGCCGACCAATTCATCTCAGCCGCCGGCATCCCCAGTCCCTGTGCTGCATATGGGTCCTACGAGGCTCTCGTGGCGGACCCGAATGTCGACGTCGTCTACGTTGCCACCCCACACTCCCACCACTACCAGAACGTGAGGCTGGCACTGGAAGCGAGCAAGCATGTCCTATGTGAGAAGGCATTTACGGTCAATGCAGCGCAGGCCAAAATCCTGTGTGAGATTGCCCAGCAGAAGAACCTCTTTCTCATGGAGGCCGTCTGGACGCGGTACTTCCCGCTGAGTGTCCAGGTGCGCCAGCTCATTCAGAAAGGTGAGATTGGCGAGGTGCTCCGCGTCATCTCGGACACCAGCTTCGGCGATGATGTCGAGGAGAAATGGGGTACAACGCACCGCATGGTGAACCCAGATCTGGCGGGTGGCAGTCTTTTGGACTGTAAGTTATTTCCCCCTCCCTCATTCTGGGCAACCAATGCACTTACTGACTTGAGTTTAGTGGGCATATATTCCCTCACCTGGGTCTTCCAGACGCTCTATCACACCCTGCCCCGAGAACAGAGGAAGCCTCCCACTGTGACCTCGCAAATCACCCCTTACCATTTGACTGACGCCGACGAGGCTACCACCATGCTTCTGAGCTTCCCAACCAGCACGCCCTCGAACGGCGCGCACCCACACATCTCCCAGGGTGTGGCCATGACTAGCATCCGGGTCTCGACCGACCCGGATGAGAAGGGCACCTCTGGTCCTCCGATCCGCATTCAGGGCACCAAGGGTGAAATCCAGGTTTTTGGACGAGCATTCCGCCCGACCTCGTATCGCATCATCCCCAAGAAGGGCGGCGGCGAGGTCCGGGATGTCGAGTGTTCGTTCCCCGGTGACGGCCACGGGATGTACTGGGAGGCGGATGAGGTTGCACGTTGCCTGCGGGACCAAAAGCGGGAGAGTGAGGGGTTGCCATGGGAAGAGAGCATTGTGATTATGGAGGTGATGGATGAGGTGCGCAGACAGGGAGGCATGACTTATCCTCAGAAGATCGAGTCGACCGAATATCCGCTGCATCTGTGAAGAGGTGACTGGTGAACATATATACCTCGGTAGATATAGCATCCCAAGCATCCTGCACGTACAATATAAGAGGCCAACTATAGTTTCCTACAATAGATTTCCTACGATATATTTCGCAGTTCATAGCATGCCGGTGACGATGTATTGGGTACCCAGAAGAAGTACACATACTATACAGGGCGGCTTCGAGGGGGTTCAGCCCAGATCTATCAAAGGACACAACGCCATGCTTCCTGCGTGATCCCGACAAAATAATAATAAAAAGGTACCCCGACAAAAGAAAACGGGCATCACACAGCTCAAATGGCGACTCGTCCCTCCCAAAAGTCCTTTTCGTTGCTTTTTTTTTAAGGGAATTGACCTTCCAAGGGCGGCCCCCCTCCGGCTCGCTTAGTTTTTGTGGAAAACACCGAGCAGGCTCTTCCACACCTGGCCAGGCTCCTGGCTGGCGTCAATGCCCCGCCAGATACCAGTCTTCTTGTAGTAGCCAACAACGGGGCTGGTCTGGTCGTGGTAGGTAGCCAAGCGCTTCTTCAGGGTATCGGCGTTGTCGTCAGACCGCTGGATGAGCGGCTCACCCGTCACGTCGTCCTTCATGTCATCCTTGGGCGGGTTGAAGATCTTGTGGTACGAACGGCCGGAGGCAGGGTGGACCAGACGGCCAGTGATCCGGGCAACCAGCAGGGCGTCATCGATCTGCAACTCCACCGCATGCTGGAGCTTCTGCTGGCGCACTCCAAGCATGTCATCCAGCCGCTCAGCCTGGGCAACGGTCCGCGGGAAACCATCCAGAATGAAACTATCCAATGTCAAGTCAGTCGAGCGCAGGTAGATCAGCTTTCAAGGGATCGACGAACCCATTCTTGCACTCGGTGTTGTTTTCCAGCTCGCTCTTGATCATGTTGACCATGATCTCGTCGCTAACCAGGCCACCCTGGTCCATGATCTTCTTGGCCTCCTTTCCAAGGTCGGTCTTCTTGGCGACTTGTGACCGCAGCATGTCTCCGGTAGCCTGTCCCAGGATGAAGACGATATCTGTCAGCCAACCAAATCATGTGGGACGCGAACCGAGGGTCAACTCACCAGGTGGCACACGCAGAACTTGTCCTTGATGTTCGGGGCCTGCGTGCCCTTGCCTAATAGGAATCTCAATTAATAACCATGGGCGCATAAAAATGCGACCATCGCCTACCTGCTCCTGGAGGGCCCATGAGGATCATGCGCATCTGCTCCGTCACCGTCTTAGGCTTGTTGCCATTGGCAAGACGGTCCTCCAGGTCGACCACCCGGGACTCCAGCTTGCCAATTGTGTCCTTCAGTCCGGAGACGACATCTTCAGTGATGGGAGCCATTGGGAATGAAAGAAGAGGAGACGGATCTGAAGCGACTCAAGTAGTTGCAGAGCAAAGGGGGAGGAACAACAAGGTAGACGGGGAAATGGAGAAATGGAAGGGAAGAGAACATCTTAGCGCCCGAGGTTCGGAGCACAGACACGCACCGGATCATGGATGGTACACACCGGGAATATCATGTCTAGTCCATTGACATCCACACTGAGAGATACGTAGCTCTATCTGCCGAATAAATCTATATCTATCGATTTATCTATTTTGATTTATATATTTCTACAGCCATATCTAATGCCAGTAATTCGAGCTCTGGTTTATGAGTGGCTGGTGGCTTACCTAACCCGTGGCGCAGAGCTCTCCAGGGCTCGGTCGTCATCTGCACCGCGCGCCATTGACACCTTCTCTACTCTTTGTCGTTCTCGGTGTCTCATATCATTTTTTTTGCCATTCTGGACCTGCTTGGTCTTTTCTCTGGTTGATAATTCAGTTCCGTTTCTTTTCGTTCTCCCTTTCCGCGATGCCTGCCACCACGGCGGACACCCTATCCCTCGTCACCCGCACCGTCACGGTCGCTCCGTTAGTCCTCCTCTCTGTCGCAGATCACTACGGGCGAACGGCCAAGGGTACTCGAAAACGTGTGGTTGGCGTGTTGCTGGGTGAGAACACGGGCCAGAATGTGCGGGTATCAAACAGTTTTGCTGGTATGTCGGAAACTTGGGAAGAACCAAATCCGCTTTGACGATGAGCTGATGGATCGACGTTGGCAGTCCCGTTCGAGGAGGATGAGAAGGATCCATCGGTGTGGTTCTTGGACCACAACTTCGTCGAGTCGATGAGAGACATGTTCAAGAAGATCAATGCCCGTGAGAAGCTTGTCGGGTGGTATCACTCCGGTCCCAAGCTGCGTGCGTCAGACCTGCAGATCAACGAGCTCTTCAAGAAATACACCCCCAATCCCCTGTTGGTGATTGTCGATGTGCAGCCGAAGGAGGTCGGCGTTCCTACGGATGCTTATTTTGCCGTGGATGAAATCAAGGATGTGAGTTGGTCTACTTGGATTGGTTTTGAAAGGACTGGGGGGTGGCTAATCAATGTACGTGGATGATTGCAGGATGGCACAACAACCTCGAAGACGTTCGTGCACACCCTTCCATAATCGAGGCCGAGGAAGCCGAGGAGATTGGAGTGGAACACCTTCTGCGAGACATCCGGGATGTGGCAGTAGGCACACTCTCCACCCGCATCACGTCGCAGCTGCAATCTTTGCAAGGGCTGCATCTGCGGCTCCGTGATATCGGTCAATACCTCCAGAAAGTCCTCGACCACGAACTCCCCATCAACCATGCCATCCTGGGCAACCTCCAGGATGTCTTCAACCTTCTCCCCAACCTGTCCACCCCGCCGACGACGCCGCGGATCAGTGGCCAGGAGACGCAGATTGAAAACAGCGAGCTGGCCCGAGCCATGAGCGTCAAGACTAATGACCAACTGATGGCCATCTACATCAGCAGTCTGATCCGTGCCATCACGGCATTTCACGACTTGATTGAGAACAAGATCCAAAACCGACAGCAGCAGGAGGAGAGCGATTCAAAGCGGGAGCAGGAACTCAATGCCTCCAAGGGCGACGAGGCTAAGAAGACCAACGGATCGACGAACGGCGACCAAAAGGAGGAGCAGGATAGCTCCGACAAGAGCAAGAAGAAGAGCTGAGCTGCTTCTTTTGTTTGCAGAGAATCCAACAATCGACACCCGTCAATTCAATATGCCCGCTTAGATTGGATTGATTCTGCCCTCTGGATAAAAGGCTGGGATTGGCGTGCCTGTTGTAGCATCTTCGCCTCATAGATGAAATATGGTCTTTGCATATTCCAAGATGGCCCCACTGTGGGAAAGCCTGCTGGTTGCTCGTGGCTTATAAAGGTTCGTAAAGCTTGTGCGCCAACCACGGAAGTATAACGAGCCATGGCCAGGCATCTGCACAAGGCACCAGCGGATTGATCTGGTTTGAAACAGTAGTTGAATCTAGTTCATCGACGCGTAGCCGAGTCAACCACCCCAGCCGGCACACCAGCCAGCCAATTCCTCCATAGAAACCAGACGTCTCCCATCGTGGTCAACCCCGAACAGCCCCGGACACCGTGCACACAAGACACAGGCCAGGATATGCTTGCACACTGGGGGCGATACGCGGGCCGGGGCACGCGTCAGGGACCCGCCAAATGGATAGACAATGGACCCGTTTTGGTCTTGCATCTCCGCCGCGTGTGGCTGAGATCTTGCAAGGGAGTCGGGAATCGGACCTGAATCCCGATATGCCAATAGTGAGAAGGAGGGACAGGTGCAGTTCCATGCTCGCAGACGCACTTCGTAGCCCTTTTCCTGCTCGCGCGTTGGATAGGGAGGGGCGGCCGAGGCAGAGGTCACGAGGAACAAATCCTCGACGACATTTTTGTGGTCGGTGTTTTGCTTTTCGGGCTGATCACTGGATGGTTCAGCATGGTCGTTGTGGGATGCGACGGCATGGAGCCTGTCGGCGCGCACCAAATGCTGCACAAGTTTCCTGTCCAGGATGTCTAGGGCCGGGAGCAGGTCATTTGGGAACAGGCAGTGTAAGGTGAGGATTAATGGTTTTATTTGAGCTAGCTGTGGTGGCGGCAGCCTTTCGAGGACATTTCGAGGCTGTTTCTGCTGCGCGGCCTGCGCCCGCGGCTGGTCTTCTGCATTGACCTGGGCACTGACTGCTGGGGCTCTATATTTGGCCAACTCAGAAATGAGTTGGTCGACGAATGCCCCGATGGATGGAGGGCTCTGCTGGAGGGGGTCCATGAAATGGAGACGTTTGGGGGATGGGGTTTGGGCGGTTGACGGGGAGAACCATCCGAGGCGGAGAACTGGGGCTACAACGCTGCGCAATTATTTATTTGCTATCCACGAGAAATACCTAGGATTAACAGGGCACAATATATCGATTTCTTCGATTATTTCCAGGGACATGTCCTAGGAGCCTACATGTATCCAAGTATTTAGAAGGGTGAACAATGAAAAAAATAAATAAATATACCTCAAAATACCGGGCAAGTCATAGCCTGAGTATAGTTCATTGCCTTGATATTCAACTCCACAGTGGTCTAGACAAGAGAGTCCAGACAAGCCGAAATCGAGGATATTAATCTCGTTCCGTTGGGTAATTTCTTAATTTCTCGAACCGGTTCCTGTCAGTTTCATGAGAGTGGAACCCCGGTGACAGCCATTTTTCAGCTGTGCCACTGACATACCATGGATATCCAAGGTTGGGAGTATAGGATCCATGGATAGCCATAGTCAGGACCAGAACAGCCAGAACAGCTATAGCAGGATGGACTGTGGAACCAGAAGCAAACCATCACGGGCTCGCCGAACCTCTTCAGGATCGAAATAAATGAAGTGCATGAAACGCGAGGAAATGAAGCCAAGAAAATCGCAGGCAGAAAGGTGGGCCGGAGTCGACGTGTCGGACATTTAGGGATCAATCAAAAAAGCCGAAATCCTTCGGGCGCGATGATCCAACGGTTTTGATTTTTGATTTTATTATTTTGCCCCCTCGAGGTGCTTGTTTCTTCAGGCTGTGCAGCTCGTCACGTCGGATCGACTTAGTGTTGTGATAGCCTTACATGTGCAGACCGATTCTTTAGTAGTAGTAATAATAATAATAATATTCCATCAATATTTACAAAATATACCAACCGTCTCGGGGAATAATATATATATATAAATATATATAATATATAAATAAGAAATAACGCTGATCAACGCATTGACTGCACGGGTGTTTCAGGCAAAGGGATCATCCCAAAAACCGGCCCAAAGAACCCGTGTTCGAGGGCCACCGCCACTTGGGTGGCTGTCTGGTTCATGCATATCTTATATTAATATATATTATATTGTATATTACCATACTACTATATTACTGACATTAACCCACGGGTAATCCATAATCGCTTTGTTTAGAGAGGCAACCGACCCACCGGTCCCTTAATCTTGCCCCTGGGGCCCAAGTCTTTTTTGTCAATTCCCTTGGATATTGAGAATGAGACTCGTCTTTTTTTTTTTTTTATATTCTTTTTTTTGGCCCCCGAGTTTGCGCAAACCTCCCCTAGGTCCTCTATCCCTAAGGTAGCTCTATTCCGATCCAGCTCCGAGCAACGGCCCCATGGGATATCCTCGTGTAATGACAATCAGGCCAAATAAGAGGAACAATGTGATACAACATCAAGCTTAACCATCCCGATTTGAACGTTCCGGAAGCACCTCTTCTGGGAGGGTTGTCTAGAATCCTGACGATGGGGAACATAATAGGATATAATAATATAATAAAATAAGAAATCCGAGTGGAACGAGGAACACGCAAGACCCCGGATCCTAGCACGTTAGGGGTCTTGGGACTCTTAGGGATAGAGCTCAAGCTAAAGTGAAGAGAAATTGGTGGGGCAGGCCGTTGGTTTTAGTCGCAACGGCATGGCATTAGGGCAATAAGCGGAGCCCTTAAGGCCCATTACCTTCAATTTCACCCAGGATCAATGCGGGTCCCTCGTTTGGGCTCTCTGGCAAACACCTGCAGTGCTCCGATAGTGGAGAGGGAAAGAAAATAGAAAATAGAAAATAGAAAATAGAAAATAGAAAATAGAAAATAGAAGATAGAAGATAGAGAAGAGACAGAGAAAGGACAAGACAAAAGGTAGGAAAATAAATACTATAGAAATACCGTAGAAATACAAGTATGAAAGAGAGAGAGACAGAATCAAAACCATCTCAGTGGACCGGAGATTTTATAGGTTTGTTACTGTAACTTAACTGGTCTAAGACTCTCTTCTCTTCCTCTCTCTCTCTCTCTCTCTCTGCCTTCTCTGCCTTCTTCTCTTTTCGCCTTTGTCTCCATATTGGATTCGCTGGATCAGCTGTCATGTTGATCTCCAGTTTCATCTTGCGTCTGGACTCTTCCCTCTCCTCTTTCTCTTGTTTTCCTTCTTTCTTTCCCTTTTCTTCCCTCTATTCTTCCCTCCCCCTCTACTGTGACCTTCATCTTTATCTTGTCACTGACCTTTCTCTTCTCTTTGTTTCCCATATTTTGGCTCAGAGCTTCCCACGGTACCATCCCGTAGTCTGCAGAGCAGCCTCGCCCTGACCTCACCATTCGTTGCACGAAAGCCATTTCACTTTGTCTGGAACCCCCCGAGAGCTGGTTGATCGCTGGATTCCTTGTGTTTGGCTTTTCTTCTTTTTGTTTGGGTGGCTTGATTTATTTCTTTTCTTTTCTTTTCTTTTTTTTGTTTCCCCTTATTCAAGGGATTTTACTTTACTGTCGTCATTCGAGAGAGACTGTGAGATCACGAGCGCTCTTGCCTTTCCCCCTCACCCAGAGACCACCTTTGGGGCTTTGTGATCTCTTGACCCTCTCTCCCTCTGCTCCTCTCTATCCGAGACTCGGTGTCCATCGCGCATATGATTGCGTTACAAAACCGGCCTATCTTGCCTCCCGCCAAAGTGGATATCTCACTGTTACTCAAGCCCCAAGATGAGGAAGAAGCCCCGAGGAAGACGACGGCCAGCTACCCACCCAGAACTATCAGCGGGCCTCCCCCGGGCTCCATGGCACCTATCTTGACCACGGCTCCCGTGGCCGTCGGGCCGTTGACCAAAACTGCTCCCTCTGTCCCGGCCAAGCGTCTGCAACCCGCGCATCCCGCTGAATCCCCGGCCAAGAAGCAATCCAAGTGGTCCCCCGAAGAGGATGCCCTGATTATTGAGCTGCGGGGCAGTGGGATGAAGTGGGAGGATATCAGCAAGCGGCTGCCGGGCCGCAGCGCCATCAGCTGTCGCCTGCACTACCAGAACTATCTCGAGCGTCGGAGCGAGTGGGACGAAGACAAGAAAAACAAACTGGCCCGATTATACGAAAGGTACGAGAGTTTTGACTTCACCCTGTTTCGTCGTAACTGTGATAGCTAACCGCGGTTCCTCTGGCAGGTTCAAGGCCGAAATGTGGTCCAAGGTCGCCGAGGAAATGGCCATCCCGTGGCGTGCCGCAGAGGCCATGCACTGGCAGTTGGGAGAGCAAGAGATGGCTCGCCGCGCTGGCGTGGTGCCCTTTTCACTGTCAAGCACCGCAATCGATCCCCCCACTACCCGAACCCGCCGGGCCAGCACATCTGTGGCCCGGCCACGCAAAGCGTCCGTCTCTCGCGCCATCCCAGGTCATCCGCCGGGGCTTCCTCCTCAGCTTCCATCCCTCGAAGAACTCACAGCGGGGGTTCCTGCGTACGCTCCAGCCCCGCCCCCACCGAGAGAGTTCTATGGGGCTGGACGACCCTCGGAGATGGGCATTCCCCCGCCCAGTCTCATGGGCCCCCATCTCGGACTGCCCCCTCGCACTCTCCCCTAGAACGAGAAGATGACGAAACGCCTATACCGCTTTCTTTGGTTTCCTTTGTTTTGTTTCGTTACGAATTGCATAGCGCCGGTTGGAGGTATACCGTGATTTGAGACGGGGCAATGAATCGTATAGAAGATTTCTTCCCCTCTCCATTTTGGTGTTTGTTGTGTTCCCCGCTTCTCTTTCTTTTGGAGAACGGGCTGGCGGGAAGGAGGTGAACGAGTCCATCTCCATTTCTCCGGGACAACTTCGTGACTGGTTTTTTCGGGGCATAGACACCGCCCCTCACACATCAGCGGTCTTGGGCGTCGCGATCGCCCACCAATTATCCTTGTCATACCCGGATTCCAGCACGCGGCCACCAGCGCTGCTAATGTCGTGCTCCAGTTCACCCGCCTGATACAGGTGGTAGTAACGATGGAACGTTTGGGATTGCTCCGGGCCGTCTTGGGATGGCGCGCCCTTACGGACCCAGGGGACCATGATATCCTGCTTGTCACCCTTGTCCCAACCCCTACGACTGGTCTTTTGCTCCAGAGCCCAGACGTAAATCAGGACTCTCCCACCCACATGCGTCTCAGACCCGGGCTTCAACGTTCGCAAAATCTCGGCGATGGCGTCGATTCTCCGGGCTGGGGTCGAGAGGTGGTGCACCACCGCAATCGAGATGGCAAAGTCAAAAAAGGCGTCTCGATGTGGAAGACTGAAGATATCGGCCACCACGGTACCATGGGGCTGATGCTGGACGGCGAACCGGACCAGGTTTTCTGATCTGCTATCGGGTCAACACCTGGCCACCACGCGGGAAACGAGCGGGAGGAAAGGAACAGAAAAGAAGAAGAAGAAGAAGAAGAAGAAAAAGAGAAGGATATTGCTCGGAGATGTAGCTCAGGTACTTATCATGAGAAAATCCGAATGAAAGGAATCAGATCTTCTACCAGACATACCGATCGGAAGCAATGATAAAGACATTTCGATTTACAGTGAGGTACTTGCCATTGCCGCAGCCTACATCAAGACCGACGGCACCAGGATTCAATTCCTTGAGGAATCGTTCCACGACAGGCCATGGCTGGGACAAGAAGTTAGTTTGTGGGCAGTCATCAGTCCCATCGCAACACACCTTGTAGCGGGTGGCGGAGAAATGGCCGGCGATTTGCTGGTATACATCATGCACATGTTGCTGCTCATACACTTCATCTGCCTCTGGATGGGCCATGACGAGGGTATTGGGAAAATGGACAGCGTCGAAAGGTCCCGAAGATCCGAATACCCAAGCGAGTGGTCACGTGGTGCTTGACAGCTTCACAGATGTTGATCGTTCCATAGATGTTCTCTATCTCCATCTCCATTTCTCTCTAATTGTCTCTTCTCATTCTCTATAGGTAGGGACCTTTGTTTATCTTACCTTCAGAACTATAGCTATCCATCCATGATGATCCACAACAGATGGACTTTCCAAGGTTGATTGAAAGTCGGCTGACTCATCCCACTTGTAACGGGCAGCGATAGGGCCTCGTCGATCTCGCAGCAAAGAGAAGTCTGGCGTAGTGGAAAAGGACTCTGCTGGTTTTTGTTACCGCTGGTTCTAGATTCTGCGTAAGTGAAAAATAAAAAATTAAAAAAACAACATTGAGTCCCTGACTAGATTCTCACACTGGAAGATACCCCCGCTTCATCCCAGCTCTTACTAACGAATGATCCCAGATTCCCCCCTAAACTCCAAATCCAAGGGAACAATGGCTTACCAGCCAACACCGGCGGATATCTCCGTCGTCATCACCACCCCGGCTTCGGCCAGGACGGATGCGGAACCTGGCTTTGTGACAGAGCGCCGCATCACCCCCACCTGGACTGTGATGCAGCTGAAGGGGAAGTTGGAGACCATGACCGGCATTCCACCGGGCAGCCAACGCTTACGAGTCAAGGTGCCGGGCCGTCCTGATCAATGGGCAGACGGAGACGACCAGGTCATTGGGATTTGGGGATTGGGGAAGGGATCGGAGATTGAGGTAGGTTTGATTCTTTTGCCTCGTCTACTTTCCCGTCTTTGTCTAGTTGAGAGATCATTTTCACCTAGACTGGAAAAAGAACAAGGATACTAAACCATGACCCCCTTCCAGGTTCATGACAGCCGGCCGCAGTCAATGCGGCCCAACTTCACCGACTTGTCATCCGTCGAAAAATATGAACTGCCTGCTGAAACATACGAGTCCCTGCCGAACTCTGTCCTGGCTTGGAAAAAGAACCAGAAGCTGGGCCGCTTTGATCCCAATGCTCTGTCACCAGAGGAATCTCTACGCCAGCAAGTTCAGAAAGACCAGGCTGAGGTTGCCACGAAAGGTACGTGTGTGTGGAGGCAGCACCGAATCTTCTTGTTCACTCTGACCCCCCATATTGTAGGAATTGACGTTGCTAAGCGGGCGATCATTCTGCCCTCATCGCCGCCGCACATTCGACGAGGGACGATTCGTTTTGTTGGACCTGTGCCAACGATCCCTATTCCAGGGTTTGAGCCAGATGCCGCGATCCCGGCGGATCAGCGGTCCCTCTGGGTGGGAATTGAGCTGGACGAGCCAACGGGGAAGAATGATGGCAGTGTGGGCGGTCAACGCTACTTCGAGTGTCTGGACAAACATGGCGCGTTTGTGAAACCGGACAAGATCGAGGTGGGAGACTTCCCTCCGCTGGGGCTGGACGACGAGCTCGACGAGCTGATGGAAGAGATCTAAATTTGCATTGGGGTAAAATAAGTGCATTCCGTGTACATGAAATCCTCATTCCATCTTCCCATTCCATCGCCAATTATCACAAATACATACTGCATGGGGTAAGAAAGAAAATAAACAAAAAAGTAACACCAATCACCTAATCATCATGGGGAGGAGCCGCTGGAAAGGAACAAGACTTGGTAAAGAAAACAAGAGCGAGGTAGAGCCAGATTACTTTCCGGCCTTCTGCTTGCCCTTGGGGCGGCGACCTCTTCCTTTTCCAGTAGTGGGAGCAGGGGTAGGAGCATTGACCGTTTCAAACTCGCTCTCAGGACCGGTCTCCTTGGACGAGGGAAGCGACATATCGTCCTCGCCAGGGACGCAGCCCTGCGTGAAGAAGAGTCGGGCTTCCTTCTCATGCGGGTTCGCAAAACTATAGTAGTTGCCTGCCCAGGGAATCATGTCAGTCAGACCCGTTTGGATCTCCCCCCGGCCCAAGGAATCACGACTCACCTCGCGGAACCTGGAAAACACATCCCTTCCCGGCGCTGAACTGAACTCCCGAGATATCGACTTGCACGCGCCCGTGGCAGACATAGAAGACCATGTGCATTTTTTTGGAGTTCTTGGGCTTCTTGACGCCTTTGGACGGAAGCTCAACAACGCCAGACCCAATGAATGTCGAGCTGAGTAGTTTGGCGAACCGGAACGTAGAGTCTTTAACCTCTCGCGTTTCGATACCAGAAGGAGCGTATGCAATGTCTGTGCAAGTCTCGGGTCAGCCCATACAACACCACCAGATATCAGGGAATACTTACCAAGAACCTCTTCTTCTTTGGTGCTGGTTTGTGTTTTGGGGTCCCATTTCAGGATGTACCCATGCAGGACACCGTTGCCTTCTTTCTCCCATAGATCAAATTCCTCGTCCTCTTCGTCCGAATCCTCCTCCTCACGCCTTCGAGACTTGGACTTCCGAGGAGCCGCGCGTTTGCCTTTCTTTTTCTGGGTGGGTTCAAGATCCTCCGTACGAATAACTTCCTTGATGGTCGAGAGGGGGTATCGCTGGCCTTCAGCCGCCTCCCCATCACCGAACACGCACCGTTCATTGCGCCAGTACGCGAGGGGCCGGACTGATACCCGACCAGAGCGGGTGTGGGTAGCACTGTTGGCTGCGGGATCTTCGCGTTTGAGAATATACAAGCTTCGTCCCTTCAAGGGACCCGTTCGGTTGGCGTAATTTTCAACCACACGGTCCAGTTCGGGTTCTAACGGTTCACGCGCAACTTGAGCCCCCTTGCCAGATGTCCTAAGTTTCTTGGTCGGTCTCGGGTCAGCTTCTTCTTCTTCAGCAGGACGTCGGGATTTGGAAGGTCGTCCACGTCTGCCGGAGGGGTTCGCGGGGTCTTTGCTCTCTTTGGCAATTTTCGGCACAGCGCCTTTCTTAGTCTTCTTGGACTTTTGGGCGGGCTGTTCTGCCAGGTTGGTGCCCCTCTGGGCCAAGAATGAGTCGCTACCGGGGCTGTCATGGTCTTGTTCGGCATGGTCGGGCAGGTTTTCGTCGTCGCCCACCACAGTATCATTGACAGTATCAAACTCATCCACAGAGTCATGTTGGATTTGTGCAAAGGAATCCGCATTCTCGTCACCCTCGTCATCGGAAAAAGCATGCACAACCGGTGGCTCGGGCACAGCGACTTGGGCTTTTGGGTTTCGTCGCGAGCTATTTTTCTGGCTTGGACGCCCTGCGTTGACCGAGCGAGTAGTGAGCGGCGAGGGATCTTGACGCGAGTTTCTTTTTGCCTCAGCTAGGCTTTTGCCATCAGATGGACTAGATGCTAGGTCATGTTGCGGGTCTGGGGAGGATCGCAGACCGGGGGTCCTCCGAGGGGAGCCGGTGAGACCAGTTTTTACAGGAGATCGTGCGACTGGCGGTGGGAAATAAGAATTGCGTGATCCATTTGCGCCGTTGAGAAAGTCCATGGGACCAGGCGCGTTGCCTATCGATTTGCGAGATCAGCACGGAGGATGTACAACTTCGCTTGCCAGGGTAAATCTTCATCGGTGTACCTTCGTCCATGGACATCCCATCTGAGCCCATCGAGGACTCATTATCTGCGTTGCTGAACCCATTCAACTTGGCGGGCGACTTCTCAGGAGACGAAAACAGGCCGTCAACTTCCTCCATTCCATGCTCATCGCGTCGCCCCTCCTTCAGAGTGATGCCGGTACGTCTAAATTAATGGCGCAGGTTAGTGCCTAGAACCCAGAGCGTCGAGCCCCGTAGTCAACTGTGGGGGGAGCTCTCACCTTCCAGCGGTTCCCACATTGGAGTAGTCGAAGTCGCGAGCCTTTCCGGGCCCTCGAGCCATTTTGGAGATGAATTTTGATAATCAAGCAAGAGCAGGAAATCTCAGCAAAGGTGGTCTGGAAAGAAAAGAGAGTGAGATGCGCAAGAAAGGACAAGCGAGTGAAGAAGGTGGAGGGGAAGAATGCGACGGAATTTGGGGGAGAAGCAACACGCGCCCGTCCGCTAACCCCGAACGGTCGACGCGTTTTGCATACTTCACCCACCTCGCTCGACTCGCTGCTCTTGCTTCATCGCCGTCCACCATGGAAGAAGAAGATCCCGTATCCGATGTTTCCAAACAATCTCTGGATTCAACTTTTATCCCTCCCAGTGTAGACACCGCTCGTCTACTGGCTGGCGAGTCCTACGCCTATTACACGCCATGCCCGACGGCAGTCATCCCTCAAGATATATCACCCACTACGCGCGATCAAGTCCAGACTACACCCTGTGTTTTGGGCATTGATGAAGCCGGCCGAGGTCCCGTTCTTGGACCCATGGTGTACAGCGCCTTTTTCTTGCCCAGCGAACTTCACCATTCCCTGTTGGCTCGCGACCACAGCTTTGACGACAGCAAGGCGCTGACTCCTGGGGTGCGCGCAAACCTAATGCGGTGCTTGAATACCCCGGGGCACCCATTATTCCAGTCGTGTGGATACGCAATCAAACTGTTATCTGCTCGCGATATATCCTCGGGCATGATGCGGCCCGGCGCCGCGGCCTACAACCTAAACGCGCAAGCAATGGACGCGACAATCGAGATCGTCCGCGGTGTGGTCGAAGACCGAGGGATAGATGTACGCGAGGTCTACATTGACACAATCGGCAACCCCGCCACCTATCAACAAAAGCTGGAGCGAATCTTTCCATCCTTGAAGATCACGGTGGCCAAGAAGGCGGACTCATTATACCCGTGTGTGAGCGCTGCCAGTGTGGCAGCCAAGGTGACCCGTGATGTGGCTCTAGAGGTCTTATACGAGGCAGTACTTCGTGCCCAACAGCCACTCGACGACACGTCTAACCCTGGTTGGGGCAGTGGTTATCCCTCAGACTCCAAGTGTGTCGGCTGGCTCCGACGAAACATGGATCCTGTTTTCGGATGGGGTAATGAGTGTCGATTCAGTTGGGGTACGGCGAAGGAGATGCTCGAGCTGAAAGGAGGTGCGCGCGTGGACTGGCCGGCCGAGGAGGACGATGGGGGCACGCGGCTCAGCGAATTTTTGCTGGCGTCGGGCCCGGGAAAGAGCTCTACTCGAGAAGGACTACGGGATTGGTATGGTCATAAGCAAGCAGAGATCCTCTGATATTGAATCTAGTCATGAACACCTAATATAACATGGATGATACCCTATGGACTTGCGGTCAACAAGGAACCAGGAACAAAAGTCAAGATTAGCCCGAAAAGGGGGAAAGAGACAGAAAAGGAGAATCCGAGTCACGAATCGAAATAAGTATGCAAAATAGTTGGGGTATCTTGAGGTGAAAGGAAAGTTTAGTACGCGAGGCCGCATCACAAGGTGGCAGTCGAGAAGTAGTAGTTATCCCAGAGGTATTCATAGTCCTCCACGAAGCTGCCGACCAAGTCCAAGAGCGGTTTGCCCTTCATCTTCCCGGTGATGCTTTGCAGCCACGACCTGAATGGCGTCAGTCTTCTGCGAGGCCCAATGGAAAAGAGAGGGTTCATACTTGGTAATGTTCTCATAAAATGCACCGCGCAACAGCCACCAGCCCATGGACCACCCACGCTTTCTCAGCTCCTCGCGCTCAAGCCCCGTGAGACCTCGAAGTCCACCTGCAACTCGTTCACGGAAATCGCGCTTTGCCAGCTGCCGACAGCCATACTCCATTCCAAATCCGACAAGCCAGGGTCGCCAATTCCGCTTATCTACGCTCCACCTTTGCATTGCCAGTGCGTATACCACAGGCCGAAGAATGTAAAGGATTTCCGCCAGCTGTCCTTGGCCCGTCACACGATGGAGCAGTGCTTTGGGGGGTTTGATATCGTCCGCAGTCAATACCTTGGAAATAAGGTAGTTGGACACGTCATTCGCGTCCGGGAGAGACGGGAGAGACAGTCCTGTGCGAGGCATCGTCCAACTGAGATCCGAAGATCGCTCGCTCACCGGAGTCTGCATACCATTCCAATCGCTCTGGTCCTCCTCTTCCACAGACCTGGGATCTACCTCGCGCTCCGGCAGAGGAGGACTGACCAGCGGTCGGGAATTGGTCAATCGAAGCAGAAGCAGGCGGCAGATTGCTTTGGCAAATTCGATGAAAACCACAACCCGCCAACGAGCTTTCTGGCCCCGCCGTCGCGCGGCCATTTCCCACAGAAGCTCGGTATATTGGAGCATCTGAAGCGCAAGGGCGACTTGCCGATACAGCGAGGAGCGAGAGGTCCAGTGCTTGGTGTATCGGGAATGAGGGGTTGGCACCGGCCGGGGTATATTCGATGGAAGCCGAGAGATGACCCGCGACACTAGAGAGTCATGATATAGCGACAATAATTGTACACCGGAATGCACTGCGCGATCAATGTTAGAAGTTGGACTCATGGGAGGGGGTCCGAACCGGCACTGACCACATTCTGAAGGTATCTCGGACTCGCGATACCGACCTTCGCAAACGGAAAGTATATTGAGTTAGCAGGAAATCACTGGGGGGTTAATCCATTACCACATACCGGGAATGATGTACGTTAAAGATCTCAGCGCAGACTCGACCTGACCGACCGAGCTGGCGTTTTTGGTCACGAAGTCTTCATAGAGCGATAACCACTTGGACGGCTGCAGCATAGCTGGAGGGATAGGATTCTGGATATTCCGCACCGTCTCCATGATGGTTGCGATGAAGCTCCCTGGCGAGGCGAGACGAAGTCGGGAAGAGCCAGGGGGGCACGTGTCCCGCGCCAAGCCGCGAGAGCCGAGGTTGATGGCTGCGTCACTTGGTACTTTTATACTTCCACATCACACTACAGTCTGAAGTTATCGGACCCCAAGATGGCTATTCAACGTTTCATGTTAGCAGATTAATTCGTAGAGGCATTGAGGATGCATCTATTCATCGGCCCACGTCCACATCCCTCCTGGTCGCATGGCCTCACGGTATCGCTCTTCCACTTTCTCCCGCTCTAGCTTGCCGGCGACTTCACGGTCAGCTTCCGCCTCCTGCGTGTCAGGCATATCCGTCCTCCAGAATCCCGGAGGAGTGCGAGGCCGTTGATGTTGGTGTCTATGTCTTCCATACTGATTGGCAAGATCCCTAGCCCTCGCTTCTACCAACAAACTCTGGCGATCGTCATCGTTCAGCCTTTCCAGTAATTGCTGGTTGTCGCCCACGTATTCCTCTAGGATCCTTCGGTCCTCTGTCTCCTGTTCCTTCCCGCCAGAAGGAACAGGACCCCCTCCCAGGCGAGCCATTGCACGGAACCGATCTCCGCAACAGCCGGGGCGAGTACAGCCGGCCATGCATTTGCGGTCGTCTCTCTTGCGAACAACTGTGTCAAAGGCAAAGTCCAACCCCTGGTTTCTTGTGGGATTAATCTTGAAATGGTCCAGTCTCAACCGATGAAGAGGGCGTGCCCGATAAGGCTCGTCGTCACGGTCCACGTCTGGGCATTGATCGGGATCTGTTCGTGTGGACTTCTGATCGGCCCGTGAACCGGCGCGCCGGGGACGAGTCGCGGATGATAGAAGGCTGCGACGTGGGGCAGCATCTTCTCGAGATGGTTCTTGGGGAGAATCGAGGTGTGATTTGGAGGGTGCTGATCTTTCCAAAAGGTCATGTAGACGTCTCTGAGCAAAATGGCCATCGGTTGTCGTTTTTGGCCCGTTGTCCAAAGTAGACCTGCTCTTCACTGGTTGCATTCGGGAAGCTGAGTCCCAGTCGCCCTCGTCCCCATCGTCCGCTAACGATGATATTCCCCGTTGGTCTGCACCTTTTTGGCTCTTCATTTTAGGCTCGCGGTCTGAAAAGCCTAAAGCTCGCGCGTTGCCATCGACAAGTTGAAGAACAGATGAGTGTTGGCCCTGCCGTTCCGGCGGAATCCACAGTTCACAAGAGGTCCGACTCGGATGATCCCATAGACTGTCGGGATCTTGCGGGAGAGTTTCCACGGCTTTTTTTTTGGTCGGTGTTTGCACTATGTCGCCTATCTCGTCTAGGTCTTGTGTGCTGGGGAAAAGCTGCCTGAGATGCACTGGACTCGAAGATAATGTCTCACTTTTTATGAGCACAGGACGCTCGGTAATATCATCCATTGGGTGACTATGGGACAAGTTGCGGCTATTCGGCGCCGGTACTCGCCTTCTTTTCTGAGTCCGCATATCCGGTAAAGCGTTCAGTTCATCGGATGGAGAAGATACCCTATCGTGTCGAGAAGAACTGGACTGTGTGGGAGTTGGTTCTGGAATTTGCTCGGGAATTGCCCCTTGGCTTTCCTCTTGTTTGAAGTTGGTGGTTTCATTCTCCACGTAGGCTTGGTTTGATGGCCCAGGGCCCTCCCGTAACCGTTTCCTAGGCGGATCCAGGGCTTGGGACTTTCCCTGGCGCTCGACATCCCCGACACTGGTACTGGCGACTTTTTGAAAAGTGACTTGTGCACCATTGACCACAAATGTGAACTCGTCTCGTTCCAATTGCTTTTCCCATTCGCGCAGCTTCTGCTTATGCTGCAAGACTCTGAATTTGAGGCCGTTCCAGGTTTGGATAAATGTCTGTAGATTGGTGTAAAGTGCCGAATATCTGCTCTCCACTATCTGTCGCAATTGGTCCACATCTGGTTGAGCGTGGTCAAGGCCACTTTTCCAAATATGCTTAGGGTCAAACTCATCCTGCAAGTGGGTAAATTGCCGGGGAAGCTCGAGGCTGGACGGATCGAGTTCGTGTTGCATTTTTAACTCCTCCTGGAGCCCTGAAATTTTGCGCTGGAGCTGCTGCACTTTTGACTCTGCTGCACTTTGAGCTTGACTGGCTGACAATGCTCTGTGCTCGGCCTCCCTCACAATTGCATCACGGCGGGCAAGCTCAGACTCCATGAGCCTATATGCATTGTCAAAGGCATCATCCCAAGCCTTGGCAGCTGAGACATGAAGCTCCCTAAGAACCTCCATTTAGATCCATTCGCTGCCCAACCAACAACGAAATAATGTTGAACTAGAGACGCGACTGCACGTGTAGCGTGTAGCAATGAATGGCCGTTCCTGACCGCCTTTGGGGCCACGTGATGGCTTATCGGCCCCTTTCGATAAGGCGACTTTTGACGTAGCGAGAGGTCACTCTTCCACAATGTTTCTTGTTGCACGGTGAGAAACTCCTACGTCCATTTCTACATTTATTGTCTTGAACAGCATGCCCAAGCGATGTAGAGAGCCCTGGTCATCAGATCTCCTTTCTGCAAAGCGCACTCGGAAAGATGGCTCTGTGGATCACTTGTCTTGCTTGAGCGATGAGCTCCTGCTCCATATCTTATCCTTGCTTCCAATATCATCACTGAATGTGTGTCAAAGGTTAGTTGGCTCTTTGGTCTGTTATTGGAAGAATTGGGACTTACTCAACCAGGTTATCCCATCGTTTCCATGCCCTTAGTGGGGACTCGGAGCTCTGGAAAAGACAGTATTATTCGCAGTGGGTGCGACCGCAAGCCCATCGACTGGCAAATCTTCGGCGTACTACACTTTCAGCCAAGACAGAATACTCACCAAAGGTTTCCACTTGGCTTGGCCATGGCCACTTGGCTGAAGCAAAAGTTACGAACTGGAAAAGGCAGTATCGTCTTCGGCATAACTGGTCCAAGGGACTCTGTCGTATGACACAGGTTGAATTTCCAAAGCCACAGTGCCCAGAACTGGTCAAGTTATGTGCCGGGCTTGTCCTTACAGCAGACAACACTTATGGACTTCGGGCCTGGACGGCCAAAGACCCGGCCGCTTGTGTGGCAAAAGTTGCATTCTCTGCAGAATCGAGGCTGTCTGGTGTAGCTCCAACAGCTCTGGCAGTGAGCCAGGTTCTTCATGAGCTCGAGATTGTGGTAGGATTTGACAACGGCTGCATCAGCCTCTATACCCTGGATCTCCGAACATCCCAGTTGAGTTTGCGGACCTCCTATGTCGGGTCCAGTGATGGAGCCATCACCGCAATAGCCTTGTCCTCGCCATACCTCTTGATGGTTTCCCAGTACAAGATTCTGTCGCTGTACAACCTGCGCCCTGGATCTCAGCGAGCAGGGAAAGCCGGCGCAGCCAAGGAGCCTCGCCAGATTGCCTCTCTTCGGGCAGATAACATTGTTGCACCGGTGAATTTGTCCCTTCGAGTTTCTCCTTTCGAAATAATTGCAACCATTGTGTATAGTTTCTTCCACATTGGATGCGGGTGGTCCTTGGGGATCCAAGAACTGCGGTTGGACAAAGACGGCCAACAACTTGGCTCACGACTTGCCACCACGGTAGACTCTCAATATGGAACGAGGATTATACCAGATCCATCACCAGAAGGCAAGCGACGTTCGGCAGAGACTCAAAATCGCCAGAACCTCGACAATCCCGGGGTGCCATCTATATTGCATCAGCATCCACCGACCTCGATGGCTTATTCGCATCCGTATTTGCTGACCTCCCACGCGGACAACACATTGACTATGTACCTTGTGGTGTCTACGTCTGGTCATCTGTTTGTTCGAGGTGGCCAGCGGCTGTGGGGGCACACTTCCTCTGTATCGGCCGTGCAAGTCACCAATCGCGGGAAAGCCGTCTCCGTGAGCTCCCGGGGCGATGAAATCCGAATCTGGGAGCTTGAAATGGCCATTTCCTCATTAGGCACTCGCAAGCCTTTAAAGGAAGAGAACAGCATTCAGGTCAGCCCCGGCAATCAACCGCACACTGCATTAGGGCTAGACGATATGTCTGAGTCCATCTGCTCGCCCAACAGACCAGACCCAATCCCCGCCACGCCTCCAGAGTTATCACGGATGCACAGCTGTGTGGGATTTGATGATGAGCGAGTCCTTTTGCTTCGCGAGAAGATCGGCACGCAACTACTTGAATGTTATGATTTCACGTAGCTCCCGCCAGACACAAGCTGCGATGTGATGTAGATCCAGGAGTTCCAGTGGCAGACCTTCGATGTATGGCCAGGGCAATTTTCCGAAATGCAACCTTGCAAGCCCTGGAGGTTTTGATACAAACTTAGTGAGCCCCGTGAGATGGATGGAGACTTGCCGAACAAGGTGCTAACCCTCGCCAGGAGCCCGGTCGCATCAGGGCGTAGCACAAGGTACTCAACCCCCCACGGGCTGAGGACCCGGGCGGATCCTCACGCATGAGGTATAAAACCCCCATTTGCCCCCCAAGTCTTTTTTTTTGCATTGAATATGCGATGACTCGGGGCTTGTCTCCACTTAATTTCCTCCCTTATATAAAGGGTGTTAAGGCTTGGCCATTTTGACGGGTTCCCCAATCTGCCGATCAGCCTCAATGGCAGAATGCAAGCTGGTGCAGATTCCCTCGGTTTTCCATCATGAAAACCACAAAGAAACAAGAGCAGACAATGAGAAACATGAAAACTTGATCATGATCACCTTGAATTAGGTGCCAGGGTCTTTCATGACTTTTTTTTTTTTGGAGAGCAAGTCCCCATTGAGGATTGTTTTCATAGACGTTCCTCATCGGGTTCTCTAAGAGAACTCGAACAGATGAACGGGCAAGAGAGGTCTCTTCCATTGACCCATGGGTGTAGCTTGGTTGCGTTAAGCGAAATCGCCGGGAAGGAAAGTTGCGAAGTGGCAGACCGCGGGAAGTTTTCTCCCCCCGCACTACAAAAATTATTTTCTACCTCTCCGACTTCTTCTCTCCAACTCTCTCGCTCTCTCTCCATCTCTCCATCCCTACCGTTCCTTTTCTCTTTCATTCCATTCCTCTCGTTTCTTACCCTTTCAACCTCGATCCGAACGTTTGCCAACCATGGACGCTCCGACCGGACAGAACTGCTACAACTGTGAGTAACTCAGTGCTCTGCTACTTGGATTTTGGCTTGCGATTTTTGGTTTTTGAACACTCGACCTCTGGTCAACCCCTTGGTGCTCTTTGTGGCTATATGTGGATCATGATATCCTTTGGGCACTCGAATTCGATGTGCTTTTTTTTCGCTTTTTGATACTTGATCGGAGTCACTTGACTAACTCTCTCTACTCGATAGGTGGCGACCCTTCGCACCAGGTAATTACAACCCCGATGGTGGAATCTTGTTGTTTCACGTTTGCGAAAAAGTACATCAAGCTCATTCGGTCACTTGGGATCTCTAGCGCAAGGACTGCCCTAACCAGGGAACCCCGACTTGGTAAATTCCCTATTTTTCTACCGCTGGTTTCTTAATGCTGATCAATCTGAAACAGCTACAACTGCGGTGGTATGTCTTACATTTGCATTACCAGGGAATTTTGATAGGTCGATTGAACCCTGCTAACCCAATTTCCCGTACCTGCAGGCCAGGGTCACATTGGTAAGCTGCCTGCGAACCTCAGACCCCGTTTCTCTAGGCCCAACTGATTATTTTCTAGTCCGCGAATGCCCCGCCCCGCCTAAGGAGAAGACTTGCTACCGCTGCGGTGGCGTTGGTCACCTGTCTCGCGAGTGCCCCCAGGCTGGTGACAGCTACGGTGGCGGCCAGGAGTGCTACAAGTGTGGTCAGGTCGGTCACATTGCCCGCAACTGCCCCCAGGGCGGCAACTACGGCGGCGGCTACGGCGGCTTCGGACGTCAGCAGACCTGCTACTCGTGCGGCGGCTTCGGCCACATGGCTCGCGACTGCACCCAGGGCCAGAAGTGCTACAACTGTGAGTGTCGCCTGGAATGTATTAGGCTCTTGAAATATACTAATCACTCCTTTAGGTGGCGAGCTCGGCCACGTTTCGCGCGACTGTCCCACCGAGGCCCGGGGTGAGCGTGTCTGCTACAAGTGCAAGCAGCCCGGCCACGTCCAGGCTGCCTGCCCCAACTAGGCAATGAACGATCCCACGACGCGAACGTCTTTTCCTTTTCTGGTGGTTTGATCTGAAGCACGGAGATGCATGATACGGAACTTCAATTTCCTCAACCTGTGTATTATCACGACACGCGATGATCTACATTTCTTGTTTTTTCCTCTGGTACTCCTGGCATTATGACTCTTCGATGTCTACTGCCCCTGACCCTTTCCGGGAAGAAGTGCACGAGGCGGCCTGGTTTGCAAAAATACCATCAAAATTCGCCTTGTTCTTTTTTTTTTTTTTCTTTTTTTCATGCTCGTAGAAGTTTTGCATATTTCTTCCTACTCGGATTTCGTACACTATCGGGATAGCAGGATTCTTCTCATTCCCATCTTCCGATATAGACCTGCATCCCTAGCTAGATATGTATCGGACAGACGATTCAGCCTTGGTATTCCGGGGATTATGAGCTACAACTACACAGCAAAGCTCGCTTGTATTTGGGCACGTCCCCGCAAAATCGCTCCTCTTCCTCCTTGTGGAGCCCCCATTCCTCGTTGAATGGGTTCAAGGACATGTGCATGACCCGCCCCAGGATCTCTCGGTCTCCTTTACGCTCAACGCGCTCGATGACCTCGTCGAGGATCCAGCCTCGTGGCACAAACTGTGAGCATATGTCAATAGTCAGTCATAAAACACCCGGCCAAAGTGAGAATAAGAGACGGGGTCTCACGTTAGGGTTGACTGCTTTCATGGCCGCTTGTCTTTCTTTGTCGCTGCTCGACCCCCAGTCTTCCAGCACGCGAGTTCGCCAGCTATCCAGCCATTTGGCAATCCGGTCTCGAGCCGAAGCTTCAGTGTAGCCAATGCCACCAAATCCTTCAGCGTGGAAGAAAATCGATGCTGCTTCAATGCGCTTCTGGTCCGTGTCCAGTTCAGACAGTGAAAGGCCCGAGAGCCGGCGGAAGAAATGGTTGAAGTCCAACTCGAGCGCCTCGAGTGTATCTAGCATCTCCGAGAACAAGCTCTGGAAGTCAGACTCCTTTTCAGTCTTCAGCCCAAGTCTCTGGCCCATCAAGCGCTTGTACTCATTCAAGAATACAGCTCTGAACTCCTCACCCGTCCGCTCGATGATGTTCTCTGCACGCTTGATGAATTCCGTCTCACATTCCTCACTGACTCCATCCTTCACGAAGCCTTCGTCATCGACCCGATTTCCAGCCCCAATCAGCTCACCCAGGGACTCACCGAGCCGCACCAGATTCCACCAAATAATGCTGGGCTGATTGCGGTAGCAATATCGCAGCAGCTGGTCGTCGTGGTTCGGTGTATACTGGGGATCAAAATTGTCCATAAAAGCGAATGGGCCGTAGTCAAGTGATAGGCCGAAAATAGAGGTGTTGTCGGTATTCAACACACCATTCATGAACCCATACGCCTGCCATGCAGCGACGGTCTTCGCATTGCGCCGGGCAACCTCTCGGTACAGCCTCGCAAATCGATTCTCCTCAACCCCTTGATGTTCTTGCACATCATCCCCTGGAATGTCCCTCTGAGGGTGATCCATCTCTGCTGAGGACTGCTCTTCACGTACAGATACAATGGCGGGGAGAGTTTCCCACCCACCAAACACATCTTCCGCGGCATATGTAGCAAGTTTCCTGATCAGCTCCCGATCTCCTCGGACACGAAGAAGATCGAAGGTCCCAATTCTCAACCAAGATTCAGCAAACCGAGCCACAATAGCCCCCGGTTCAATCCGTTCTCTTAGCACCTTGGTGTTTGGTAGCAAAGTAAGTGAGAGCGCACGGGTAGTCGGCACACCAAGGGCATTGAGAGCTGTACAAATAATTTTTTATCAGCGTATGAAGGGGATGGTCGGAATCATTGAAGCACACTACCTTCGGAAACGATATATTCACGAATGCTAGATCGAAGAACAGCCTTCCCATCGGCAAAGCGCGAGTAAGGTGTTCTGCCGGCACCTTTCAGTTGTAACTCATATCGAGTACAGGTTTGTAGGTTTGTGGTTTCGAACAAGCTGATTGCACGCTGGTGCATATATGTATTGAGCTTAACGGTTCCGTCCTGTCTGGCTTAACTGACCACTTACCCCGTCTCCGAGCTGTCCGGCCCATGATCCACTGCAGATGGTTAAGTACCATAGCCTCTCGAGGGCCATGCAGTTACTTACAATTGCCAACCTAACATGGTCAACCCTTTTCTCTCTTTTTTACGGGGAAGTCATTGGGAAAAACTCACCTCCATAGCACTGAGCCCATGGATAAATTCCTCCCTTTTCTTCGCTCCATCCAATCTCATTTCCGGCGACCAGCGCCTTGAACTGCGACGTCTGCTCCTCGCCGGGTTTCAGTCCCAGATCTTGCATTGCTTTGGAACTGACGCCCAGCAATTCGGGCTCGTCCGTTTGCTCAGGGCGCACATAAGTATATAAAGCGCCACGGACCATACGAGGTCCGAGAGTCTCCCGGGGAGCTTTGTGCGAAACATCGGGGGTTTCGAAAGCCGGGTCCGGGGGCAACTTGGACGTAAAGACATTCGATTTTGGTAGTTCCGCCAGGGAGGTCCCCCCAGCCGTTGAGAAATGCGATGCCATTTGGCCCAGACGGTTCCGAAGCGGATGAATGGCTTGCGAGAACATGACCGAGGTGCGAGTGTCAGGAGTGAAGATGCCGAAACTCATGCAAATGATGTCATCTTCTATTATTAATCATGTGCTCCACTACACCTACATCCATGGACAGATACACTCATGGATATATAAGAACATTTGCCGTATTGCAAGCAACTAGAGAGATCTGTTCCACCGTCGATTCCCATCTCTTCAATTCCAATTTTAGGGCGTGAATATTCGTCATGGCACCTTCTGATAAGGCGATCCCCACATGCAAGCTCAATGATGGTACCTTAATCCCCATCGTGAGTGCTTCCCCCAGTTCGATGTTGACAGAGTCGGGTGTTTGACGTTGTTATTAAATCTTAGCTCGGGTATGGTACTGGAACTGCGTGGTACAAGACATCACGCGATACCGGGATCAATCGCGATTTGGTCGAATCGACCAAGACCGCCGTGCAGCTGGGATACTACCACCTTGATGGAGCTGAGGTCTACGGGACTGAGGAAGAGCTGGGCCTGGCAATTCACGAGAGTGGAATACCTCGGGAGAAGTTGTTCGTGACGACCAAGGTCTACACCAGTGTTAGCGACATTCCCCGTGCGATTGAAGCTAGCTTACAGAAGCTTCGGCTTGAGTACGTTGACCTGTAAGTGGATTCCATAATACGCAGCCGATCCCCTTATGTGCTATTCTCTACTAAATTCGATCGTGAATCGTCGCAGGTACTTGATTCATGCCCCGTTCTTCGCGCACACCGAGGGCGATCTGCAGGACGCGTGGGCCGCCATGGAGAAGGTGAAGGAGATCGGACAAGCCCGCTGCATTGGAGTGTCCAATTTTTTGCAGAGCCACCTGGAGACGATCCTCAAAACAGCCCGGGTTATCCCAACGGTTAATCAGATCGAGTTCCACCCGTATCTGCAACATGGCAACCTGCTGGCCTTCCATGCGAGCAAGGGCATCCAGACTGTCAGCTATGCGGGCCTTGCACCCATCACTCGGGCCAAAGGGGGACCGCTAGACCCCTTGCTGTCAGCCCTGGCTCAAAAATACGCCGTCAGCGAGTCCGAGATCTTGCTACGCTGGACCATCGATCGTGGCTGCGTGGCAATCACCACCAGTAGCCGGGAATCACGCCTGACCAGCTACTTGCGCGTCTTGGAGTTCAAACTGACTCCTCAGGAGGTCGAGGAGATCTCGGAGATGGGCCGGCAGAGACATTACCGCGCCTTCTGGCGGGAGAAGTTCGCGGCGGATGACCGGGCCTGATACATCGACCAAGTAGAGACGAGCAGTCAACTGTACCAGAATATAGATTGCCATATACCCAGTGTGCCAGTATACTTGTGGACTACTCTATCTGGTATGTGTTGTATAGATATTGAGAAGATTGTAGCAAGTCGGTCGATTCGATAAGCGATAAGCGTAAATGGGTCTTGACATCGCACCCCGTCAACCTTATGTCTGTCTCTCTCTCTCTCTCTCTCTTTTGCTTCCTCCCTCATTCTTCTCTCCACCACAAATCCCCTTTCCTTCAATCCCAGGTTTATTTTTGCACGGGGTGTTTTTTTCATCTGTTTTTCTCTCGGGAAACTCTCTCCTTGAGGGTTATGGGATTATGAGTGATATGATGCCCTGAAGAGAGCGAACCTCTTCCCCCTCCAGACCACTTCTTGCGCCTCTTACCATTCACGCTCGACTCGATGGTTTGACGATTCCTTGGTGACTTGTCATCCTTTATTGGGTGGAGAAAGTGCTCTGGTGGCGCCCTCTTGCCCGGTGACTTTTGCTCGAAGCGCGACGTCGCCATCGCTAGGAGAAACATCGCGAAATCCGCGGACTGCGATGTCGGTGAACGAGCAGCGCCCCTCTGCGGACACCAACCCTCAAAGTGCGAGCCAGTCCTTCGCGTCGGACCTCGAAGCGCTTGATCAACGACTGAAACGTCTTTCCGACGACGTCCTACCCCTTCACCCTTACCTCCTCACCCTCCCGACGAATGCGCCTTTTCGTCTGGGCGGCCGCTTCGTGGACAATTGGGCGGTCGGCCAGGACAGACCATTTAGTCTCGAGGAAGAGCAGCTGCAATATATGACATTCTTGACCCATCACGACGCGGATTCTTTGCTTGTCACGGTTGGGGATTGGTCCGATGAAACAGGCCGCATGATGGCCGATCGATCAACAGTCCCGAGCTTTACCAATAACTCAAGGGATAAGGCCACCAAGAAGAAAATCAGCTTGAAGGATTACAAGAGCCAGAAGAGCAGCGGCGCTGTCGCACGCCATGAGCCAGGAAGCCGAGGTGGAACGAGCTTGGCCAAACCCGAAGACGTGCAGCACAACCCCGGTGCAATGAAGAAGAACAACAACGAAACACCTCAGATGTCATCCAAATCACCCCCGCGGCATTCGATCGAAAAGGGAGGCCAGAAAAGACCTTCTGGATCCGATCTTGAGCTTCGCATTTCTCATGGAAGGAAAGAGGCGGGTGTACATTCCCCCAAGAAACCGCGATTATCCCCCGAAAAAGAAACACGACGAGAAGTCATTCCCTCCAAATCGCACTCACCCAGACTGCCTGCGCTTCTATCCCCGACTCTCCCCCCAACCTCAGGCGGCCCCAAGCTTCCCCGATTACTGTCACCCACTCTTCCGCCCGATATTGAAAAGGAGTTGGCTCGGCTGGAGGATCGTTCGCCCATTCGCAATCTCTCCCCTGAACGTGACAGCACGACGGGCAAGTCGAGACGCGATGAACCGGTTCAATCCAAAGCGCCGCACTTGGCGAACAGTGGCAGCTCGAACTCTTCTGGTCGAGCAAGCGGCACAGACCAGGCCCTATCCAACAAAGACAGTAATTCTTACGCCAAACCGACCAAGTCGCAACACATTGTCAAGCTGCGATACGGAAAGACGAATCGCCGACGGGTCGAGGCCCTCCTCAAATTTTCCGGTAAAAGGAAAGCACTCCAGTCCGATTCAGCAGGCATAGACATGAACCGCGAAGGCTCATCTCATCTCAAGAGGAAGGAAGAGATTGGTTTGGCGAGCCGAGATGCCCTATCTGGTCGAGCGAGAAATAAGAACAAGACCGAGACTGATGAGGCGCTCGGCCCTGCGGACGGTCGCTCAAAGGAGCCGAGAATCGCCATTGAAAAGCCTCGAACACCGGTCTCCCACTCTCCTGCGCATGAAAAAATTAAAGCAACATCGACCACACCGATGAAAGAGCCAAAAGGTTCTGCCTCACGTCGAAATGAAATTGGAGACAGTGATGATAAAACACCATCCCATTCAGCCAACAAACGGCTCTCCGTCGACCCTGGAACAGGCACGAAACTATTCCCTTCTCAGCCTGATAGCCGCTCACGCAATAACGAGCGCCGGGCTTGGCGAGATGATTACCAGAGATTTGGGAATATTGGGCGAGAACTGAAGCATGCCGCGGAACGATATACCTCCACGAATGGTGCTTCGGTCACTGACGAGAAACTTGCCGCGGTAACTGCCATCGAGGCCATTCTATGTTTTATCCTGGCTTTTGTGGCAGACGATCAATCCAAGGTGGTGGCTCGCCAGGTCGGCGATTCTTCAACTTGGCTGTCCATTCTGGCATACTGGCGCGTGGTTAAGAAGAAAAGTGCAGCATATCCCGCCTTGCACAGCCTATGTTCAATACTCGGCGCCGTCTCTTACGATGCGATCCACGCGCTTGATCTCGAACGCCTCACCATCAGCCCGCTTCCCGGGGAACCAACCCCAGTGCCCACTCCAGGTAGTGATGGCAACACCGTGTCCTTGGACGAAAGCAAAAGGAGCCGAAAGGAGATTGTGGAGCTGAAGAATCGGCTGCTCGAGTGCTACAAGGATTCCCAGAAACTGTGGTTAGAGGGCACGCGGAGCCTTTCGGAGGAGATTCTCAGTCAGGAATTTCCCAATACCTGGGCCGGGCGGTCTCGCAGTTATTCAGAGCGAGGAAAACCGCCACTCAAACCCGGCGAGTATTCCGGAGACTATTTTCTCCCGCTGGGTGGCCCGATCCTGCCTGTCGAGGTGGTCCGTTTTGCCTGGTTCCTCCTGAAAGAGTGGTGCACCAAGGAAGGTGTGCTATGGAATGGACGCCTTGGCCTGTAAGCGGTGGGATTCTCCTTGCCCTTCTCTTATTCTATTCTCTTTTGAATTTTCTTCTTGATCTACTTCTTCTTTTTCTCCTTTTATTTTTTTAAAGGGGCCTGGCTGCGGGCCCCCGGGGTAATCTGGCGTCCCAGTGTATTTTTTGCAAGTGATTGTTATCTATGATACCACGAGCCCTGTGTTTTTTATATAGCTATTTGAAGGTTCAGAATATATCAACGGCCAATGCAAGTGAAACCCAGTCCTTACATGGAAAAATAGACCCAGATTGGTTTTAACGCTGCCAAGTTCATTCAGGTATAAACTGTCATGCCCGCTTAATTATACAGGGGAGAAATGGGGGAGAGAAATGGGCCAAAGCAGAAGGTCATAAAAACATGGGTGTCATCACCTATATACTAAACTTCTCGAAAGTCAGGACTGGAGTCGTCAAAAAGCCAGCCGGCTTCCCGGCAGTACCGGGCTTCCCTGCCATAGATACCAACTTCGCTGGCCCAGCAGATCACAGAGGCGTCCACAATGTCCGCAATGACACCTTCCATGGCGCCCAGAATGCTCCAACCAATGGTTCCAGCAATGAGGCCTACCACATAGGCATAGAGACTGCCTCGGATAGTGCCACCTGTTGAAGAGGTGGTCATACTTCTGGCGGTAGTTACCCAACCACCGAACCCGAGAGCCAACGACATCATCATACGGGCGGCATGAAGAATCAGCTTCGAGAGGCGGTACGAAACCAGTGACGCAGGGCCTCCAGGGGGGCGGGAATACGCCCGGGGATGCAAAGAAGTGGAGGCCACTGACGGAGCAAGAACAGCCATCTGGCTCAAACCGCGCGCAGAAGCAGGGAGTGGTTGGGAATGAATTGCCGCGTAGGTGAGTGAAAGAGGGTTGGTCAGATATGCGAGCGGCGTGGGAACGAGGGAATAGGCAAACAAACTAAGAAACGAGGCGAGACGGCCGGGAAGCACAAGTAAGGGAAGCCGCATCAAGAGCCCCAGAAGTCGGGAGAGACAGACAGTCCCAAACAAGGTGGTGGTGGCATGGACGACGGCGGCTTGGATTATCTGTCTCGACGTGGGTGCCGGGGTGGTCAAGCGGTGGAAATACCATTGACTCACTGTCGCAGCCGTAACGGCACGTTGAATCCCCGCAAGGACACCAATCGACCATAGATAGACCATGACGAAGTACACACCCAACCACCAGCTGCTCAGATCCACCACGAATGACCTAGGGGCCGCGAGATGCCCGCCCAGAAACACACGAGTGAACATCAGCATCCAGATCCATGTCCACGACACGACACAGACCAGGACACCCAATCCCAAGGCAAGCAACCCAGGGTTGGCCGCTAGGATGCGACAGGCAAACTCAAGAACACTTATCGCCTTTCCGATCGATTGACGTCCCCGAACAACGTTGTAAATCCACACGCTGGCCATCAGAAACGGGACCATAGAGCCCCATCGCATCGCCCTATCCTGGATGCTTGACCCGTGCCATTCTCCCTTGAAGCTTGATATAAATGGGTAAAGGGAGAAGGAGTATAGAATGATGGGGACTGCAATGAGAATCATGTAAACCAGAAGTCGCACGTACGATCGCAGTAAGGCAAGCCAGATCAGAGACACAAAAACCGAAACAACAGTGTAAATCCCGAGAAGGAAGAAAGACCGGTGAACAGTCAAATATATCGTGTCACCCCATTTGGATTTGTCTCCGGGGGGAGTGGATGTGTTAAGGTAGACAAGGAAAGCGGTGGCAAAGAGACCTGCAAGAGATATCAAGAACAGCTGGCCCCAGAAGCCATCATGTGCTGAAGATTCGAGGACCTGGGGCGAGATTGACGCCGGAAATGAGCTTGTCGAGCTCGGCGATCGTGGAGTTTCTCGAGTGGCGTGTTTAGCCTGTTCTGTAGAACCCATAGATGGAGCGAGCCCAAAAACATCGTCCTCGACTGACGGTCGTTCCCGAAATCGTTGGATTGGCGGGTGGTCACCAACGGGGCTGAATGGAGCCAGTTCCTCGTCAAAATCGGCACGAAGAGAATCCTCGAGGCCAACGTCAACCAGTCTCCCTCGTGGCCTACTGGGGCTGCTGTGAGTCCCGTACTCGTGCTCGGTCACCTCGGCCACGGTCTCAATACGGGAATTTTGGACCACGGGAGCCCCCTTTTCACCGCGCCACGAGCTTTTGATCCCTTTTCCATTACCGGGACGGTCATCATATGGGGACTGTCCTTCATCCAAACCCCCCGAACGTTCGGAATCTTCAAGTTCAGATGATTCCTTCAGGGTGCTATCGCCAAAATGCCGTCGTGAATGTTGTAATGCATAAAAATCGGCAATTTCCCGCTCCCGTTCTGTCTCGTCGTCTTCTTCGCGGAATTCATCGGTGGCGCTGTAGAAAAGGGGAGCCGGTTGAACCGACGCCCGCGAAGCAAAGGGAAAGTTAGAGACCTGGGACACACCCGGTCGGTACGGATCACCGGTTCTCAAAAAAGACCGCGAGGAGGGGTGTCGAGAGTTGCCTTGAAGGGGATTCGGACGACCACGGCCCGTCCGCTGAAGCTCATCAGGGCGAGATACTACTCGCGACTGTGACTGAGCCAGAAATCGCGAAGCATCTAGCCAAAAGAAGAATATGGTCAGCACAGCACAGGAGCACCCAATCCTACGGTACATACATTCCGAGAACATGGCCCGCTATCGGGGTGATAGGGAAGTGAGGCTGGCTGAACGGAGAGCTTATCAGCTCCAACGTTAGTGTTCAAATCCTTCTTCTTCTGGTTTTAAATAGTGAGACCGAAGCCTTCAAATAAATCAATCCAGATTTCCAAGAAGAAAGAGAGAGGAAGATAAGAAAGGCAGAGAGGGACAGTAGAAAGGCGGTCATCCTGATGCAGGCGTCATACGGACAAGTCAGGCCTGATAGATGACTCAGCCGCCGATAACCTCGGGCAGTAAAGCGCTCTTCATTTCCCTCCGCAACACATTCGAGACCTCCCTCCTGCTCTCTCTCCATGTCACAGCCATGGGATTATATTGCTAAGCTTGTCTGTATCGGTGACTCTGGCACCGGCAAGTCCAGCGTAAGTACTGTGTTCCCTGCATCTAGCCCCAACCCTCGCTAACGAAGCCGTGTGTAGCTCACTATCCGACTCTGTGAGGGCCGATTTTCCCCTTCGCATGATGTCACCATCGGAGTCGAGTTCGGATCGCGGATTGTCCCAGTGGGACCCCCAGCCTCGTTGGAGCTAGGGCTAGATGGGCAGTCTCACAGCTCTCCGCTCCCAAGCCCTCCCGATGACGCATCTGCAGAATCCATCGCATCGGGTCTCCCAAGTCCACCACGAAAGCCACCGGGCTCCCCTCCCCAGAAACGAATGAAACTATCTCTCTGGGATACTGCAGGTCAGGAAACCTATAAATCCATCACCCGCTCCTACTTCCGCGGCGCATCCGGTGCTCTTCTCGTCTTTGATATCTCGAGACGCTCGACCTTCACGTCCTGTACCCAGTGGCTCCAGGATCTACGGCAAATTGCAGAGGATGGTATCGTTGTTATCTTGGTTGGGAATAAGACTGATCTGGCCGGTGATGATTCTGGTTCAAATAAAAGACAGATTACTCGACAGGAGGCAGAGGAGTGGTGCCGCCTGAACAACATTGTCCGCTATGTCGAAACAAGCGCCAAATCCGGTGATGGCGTTGAACGGGCTTTTCTGGAGGTTGCCGAAAGAATCCACCGTAATATCGAGGCTGGACGATACGACCTCAACGACCGAAGAAGTGGAGTCAAAGGATTTGGGGCTTCTGGGGGGGCCAACGCGGGGATGCCTCGGACCATCACTTTAGGAATGGATGATGCGATGCGCAAGGGTGGTAATGGCTGGGCCGGTGGGTGTTGTTAGAATCAGGCCTGTGACGAGAGATGATAAATATAAAGATCGCCGCAGTTTACAAGCTCTGGCAACCTGCTCAAAAACATTTCCACTGAAAAAGACCTTCATATTTCGTTACTGAGGACATCTGCGGCCCTTAGGAAGAACGGCAATTCCCGTGGACCCAGCTGGCGAAGGAGAATAGGAGGGGAAATATCAAGTAACATTATGGATTGTGTTGGTACAAAGCCCCGTTGTAAACGCACCGAACCTTCATGACAACCTTGGAAAAAGATCAGACAAGTTGACATAGCGAACTCTCAGCACCTGAAACGGCTTCTTCGCCCGTCACTCATATTCAATTCGAGATCCTCCAGCTAGACAGCCACTTGAGATGACTCCACTGTTGGTTCGACCCTTCCATACCAAACACGATGGCTCGGAAGTGGATGAAGAGCCCAATGACGATTGCATAAAGCACGATATGGACTGCCGCTGCAACTCTCGGGCTGATTTTTCGTGAAGCCCAGTCCACACAGAAGCCAAATGTGAGGATAGCATAGTAGAGGGCGGGATAGTAGTGGTGAACGTATGTCACTCGGGCCATGATGATGAACGGAAGATAGTGCAGGACCCATCCAATCGCAGGGTACAATCCCGAGTACTGGATATGACGGATCTCCTCTTTGCTGAGATCCTGGTACCCTCTCTGCCAGCGCAGAAGGTACCATACCAACAAAAGACCGAAGGCAACAAGACTCGCCGTACTTCCCCAGTAGACAAAAGGATTTCCCAGAAGGAAGTATTTGACAACACTGTCATCCCAGGAGCACATCCGCAGGCCAACGTTCAAAATCGGCCACTGCCAAAATTTCGAAGCCAAATCGTCTTGCTTGTCTGGATCAGGAATCAGAGCATTGTTGGAGGTCATCATGGCCACGTTGAGGTGCACAAAGTCTTTTAGGAAAGGCGACTTGTATGAGCCTGGATCACCAGGAGGCACTGTACACGCAAGGTCAGTGGTTCCGTTCAGATCCATCAAGGAAAATGACAGGAAGTCGGCTTAAGATACTTACGGCGTTCATTTGTGTGAGACTCGACGTTCCAGTGAGTGTAGACGTCGCCGGGTTTATTTTCCTTGACGCAGGTTGTTTCAATCTGCTTAAAACCCCACTGGGGTAAATTGACGTTCCCAGCCCGTAGATAGCAACCCAGGACCGGATGGCGAAGTCGAAATGCCGTGGTGAGCGTTCGGATCTTGGAGCGGTCTCGGGATGCAGCATCATCTACCACCTCCACCTTCCAATGGTCCTTGTCATCTCCAATGGTAAGGTTTCCATAGCAAGAGACTTCGTTGTGGGACTTGGTCACAGGTGCCGGAATGGCGTGGGAATGCAAATTTCGGCCCGTTTGTGCGTGGATCAGACGAATAACTTCTCCGTCGGCGATGAACTGGAGTTCACCATCAGGGTCATACTCCGGTGCATCACGGTTGGGATAGATAAACCAGTCGTTGTTGGCATCCTTATGATGGTAGCAAGTGACCTGTTGCTGAGCGGATCCCTCCGGGAATGTCTGGATATGAGAGTGCAGGAGACCTCCTCCATATCCCCTATTCTTGATGGTGACACGCGATCCAAGTGCGAGCTCAAGAGGACTGTCTTTGCCAACCTGGGTACCTCGCAGGTTTGCCTGGAAGAGAGAGCTCATCTGAGCATCACCCGGGCCACTGTTCTCCAAAACCAAGAAGTGCACGTAGAAAGAAAACATATAAACCAAAACCGGGATGACTATCAACCCTACGACGCGAGTAATCAGGTGTTTGGCAAGCACCGCCTGGCACAAGGACACAATCAAGTCAGTAAACGAGTCGATGGAGTGGGCAGCGGACCGATACTCACTTGAGGCATCTTCAGATCACCAAATTTATTCCATAGATCCTCGGCCGTGTAGAGACCGACAATTGCAGTGCAGAAGCAGCCGACCCATTTGACACTGCAGACGCAGCCAATGCTTAACCCGGTCAGGCAAAGCCAGACATACCACTCCGCCGAGAAACTCGCATGCTGCAAGCGATGGAATCTTGCCCAGCACAATGTCGTCGTAAAGGTGAAACAAAGCAGCATGGAATCCAGAAGAATGAATCGGGAGATCGTCGCATAGGAATTCTCACACAGCACCATCAGACTGACAAGCCAAACTGTGGAACGGCGAAAATTCAATTCCCGGGCAGTATAGTAGGCAAGTGGAACGCATACGACACCAAAGGCGGCATTGAAGACTCGCATGAAGGCGTAATTGACCTCTTCTGGGTACTTTTCACCTGACTTGAATTCAAAAGACCCATTGTAGCCAGCCAGATAGCCAGACAGACCAACCAGCATCTTCCCCAGCGGCGGGTGGACGTCGAAGTAGAACTCGCGTTTCAAATAATGGGAGCCAAATTTGCCGAAGCTAATAAAGAATAGTGTCAGACGCTGCGAGGACAGGCTAAATCCGGAATCATAATGGAGGGTGGTCTTACTGAGCTTCATCCCAAGTGACAATGTTGGAGCGGCCAATGCGGTACATGCGAGTGAAGAGAGCGAAGGCTGTGAAGATAATGGGAGCAATGATCGGCTCCCAGCTAGCCAACACATGCAGGGATGAGGGGGACTAAATTCAAAGCTTAGCAAACCCAGAGAACACCATGGATGGGATAGGCACGCACTTGTGGTCTGGTCTTCTTCGAGTTGTCATCGTCGATATACGGTGTCGACGCCGGTTGGTTTCTACCAGCATCTGGGACATTTCTGCGCCGCAGGTCGGAATCAAGCTTGGTTCCTGTGCTGACAGCGGTGTCTATTTCCGCCATGATCGCACTCGTGGGCTTCTAGACCGAACGGGGACTGGCGTTGGACGGCAATGGAAGACGAATAGCAGTAGCCCGGCACCTGCTCGATGCGCAAATTATGTAAAGGAGAGGGAATTCAAGAAGAAAAAAAAAAAAGGGCGGCGAAAAGGAAGTGCCTTAGAACATGGCTATCCCCCTTTAGACCAACGAGTGTAAAAGAAGGGCAAAGCTGACGGCTATACCGAAGGCAATTCCAGGATTAGAACACACAAGTTTCAAGGGGAAGAGAGAAGAAAGAAACGTCAATTGAAGGGGTGGGGGGAAAAAGAGAGATGAGATGAGCTGGCCTCAGCATAAACAGTTCAGAGAGCATTGGGGCCGTTTTCGGGAGAACGTGGCCCTTCGTATGTAATCAATACCTATACATCCATGGATCCACATAGATACATACATGTACAGTACAGGTGGGCTGTAATAAACCATCTTGGCTCTGTGGATCTATAAGCTTGGAATGCCATTGTACTATATACATACTAGATCCATGTATGGATAGGTACAGTAGGGATATACCTAAACACAAGAATCTCAAATGAGTCAAACCCTGGAGCCAGCCTTGGAACAAATCGCTCGATGCTTTGTAAGTCAACCTCGATATCCACGTAGATAAACAAGGACTTTACGTATGTAAGACTCCAAACCACGCCGGTATTTAGTGCGTGTGAAAACAAATTTTCAAAGAAGACGGGTGGTGACGTATTCAGATATACAGGCGATCCTCGAAAGGACAAATACAGATATCAGAAGCGATGGAGCCAAAAAGAAAGAAGGGAAGGGGGGGGGAAAGAAAGAGAGCATCAATCGTCTCAAGACAACCTTGGAAGCAAAACATCATTCATGTCCGTCTTCGCCTTGTTCGAGACGTCTGTATTGGCTGCTGCTTCCACCATGGCCTGCTTCCCGATGTCGACTGACCATGTTGGAAATCCAACCACCAATCCCCTCGCCTCGAGCACTGCCTGGATGGTAATTCGGGCGACCATGTTTGGTGGTCCCTTCATGGCTCAAGGATTGCGGGTTAATGTCCAATCCGGGGATTGTATTCTCGGCACCGGATTGGCTATATTGCCGGCGAATATCAAGTGAGGGAATGGGTGAGCCAGCGCCCATCAAAGATCCACGCTCGCCCTCCGTTGTGGGGGTTGGCATGGCAGTAGACGCGTCACCGAACAAGACGTTCATGTCTTCTAGACGAACCCCGCTCGTTTCGGGATAGAGAAAGTAAACTGGGCAAAGAGTGCAGTTCAGTACGGAGGCCCGGGGATGATACAAAGTGGGGGGCGCTCTTACCAAGGACAAAACTGCATGCGCAGAAAAAGGCATGGACCAAGTACAACCGCCACTTGATTGCCCCTTGAAGAACGGGAGTAACCTCGCCCACCAACCAGTTGAATGCCCAGTTACTCGCAGTGCTCAAACTCGCACCTTTTGCGCGAATACTCAGAGGCAAAATCTCCGGAGGATACAACCAGGGAATAGGGCCCCATGACGCTCCAAAAGCTGCATTGTAAACCATCACAAAGATGACGGTCAGCGTGGGTGTCGCGGGAATCTCGATATAGATAAAATATGAGATCAGAGACAGCGAGATGATCATGGCCACGGCCCCCGAAAGCAAGATTGGACGCCGGCCCCAGCCATCGACAAGATACCATGGCGGAACGGTGGAAAGCAGGTATGAAATGCCATTTATACCGGTCATCAGAATTGCATCACGGCCAGCCCAGCCGGCCGATTCAAAGACCAGGGGGGCATAGTACGAGATCACATTGATGCCGTTCAATTGCGCTAATGCCTGCGCCGACATGGCAATCAGGACTCGTTTGCGGTAACGATTGAACATATCCATGTACGACCGCTCGCCCTCCTGCCGCTGGATGAGGACGTTCATTTTGATTTCTCGGTACTCTTGGCGCGCTTTATCATTGAGGAGATCTCCTTCGCCATAGAGATTGGCAATCACAACCATTCCTTCTTCGTCGTGGTCGTTATCTAGGAGCCATCTAATTTGATGGGACAAATAATTAACCTTGTACGGGCCTTTCAGGGGGTTTCCGGTCTCACCTGGGCGATTCGCAAATGATCATACTCCCGACGCCAAGTAATGCACCCATGATGCACTGGCATAATAACGGCAAGCGCCAGGAGTAGTCGTTGTCGATAAAGCTACAAAAGTAGTCGACCCACACACTGGCTGCATATCCTGAGATATTACCTGTAAACTCGATGCATGCCAATTTACCTCGGTTGTGGGGAGGCTAAAGGAGAGGTATCAGCAGATGGAACACAGTTGACGCGGTACCTCGAATCATGCGTGCACGAGATAGATGAGGGAAAATACCGATATTTCAGATTGATATACTGGCACAATGGTCGACAGCGCCCCAACACCGAGACCAGCAATGACACGACCAACCATCATCATGGGTATGCCCGTAGCAAATGTTTGAAATGCACCACCGATGAAAAACACCATCGAGCCATAGAGGATAGTCTTTCGGCGGCCAATTATGTCGCCGATGCGTCCAACCAACAATGAGGATATGAATGCACCAATTTCCAGAATTGCGACTACGGTTCCAATCGTGGCCCGGGAGGGTTGGTTGAAGTAGTCCTTAAAATACCAGCCTCTAATTGTCATTAGTCACGGCCAAACTTGTCACTTGCCCTTGCAACAAGGGAAGCGATGTCGAGGAATGGAAGCACGAACGTTATAATGCCAGACATCACACCCTGATCATAGCCAAAGAGGAAGACCCCCAAGGATACGAACACACTCGTAAAGTAGCTATGTAGAGGTCAGTAAAAGCGGTGTTGCTCCACGGACCCGTTGAGTCGATCGGGCCACTTACAGCAATGGCTTTCCAACGAGACCATGCATTTGCGCATTTTGTGCATCACGAGGGGACATTATGGTGGCTAGCAACCGTTCAACTCTCGAAATTTGTCGTGGCAGAGGCTTTGGGATTCTGATCTTCTCGATGTCGATCTCGCGATCCAACTCCCGCGGGTAGTGTACACGCTTCGACAATTTGGTTCGGCCGCTTCGCCCCACGATTTTTTGGTCAAAGGACTTTCGAAGGCGGGCCTGAAGCGGATCTTCCGCCTCGGCAAGCTGCTCGGCGAGGTCGCCGGTGTCTGACCAGATCGATAAGTCCGACTCTACAGAGCGAGCGGATGAGTGGGAAGACCGGCGGCTGCCCTTCTCGCTGGCAGATTCAAGCACCTTGATCGACTGTGCTGAAGAGGACCGGGAATCAGAGTGTAAGGGCCGCAGCGGGATGCTTGGGGCGTGTGGGGAGGAAGTTGTTGGAGGAATGATGGCGGTAGTGACGGGCTGATCTTGGCAGCCCTTTCCACGAGGAACCGAAAAAAAAAAGGAAAAGAAAAATGCGAGGTTGATCTTCCAGATGCCGATAATCGATAAGAGTGTCTCTACAGGGATGGGAGGGGTTGGAGACCAGGAGAGGTGCCACAAGCCCCTTTGTGTGATGTGAGGTGCCGAGTCGCAATAGGACGACGCCACGCAGGCGATGTGGTCACGATAAGCAGCGAAGGTACGCACGGGCTACAGAAGCGAGTTGAAAGTTTCCCAGCTCACGAGATCAACGCGATGATGGGAGTTCAGGCGACGGTCAGGCGGAGATCCGAGAGGAAGAGAGGAGGGGGAATGCTTGGATCAGTAAGGGTGGCTTCGGGTCATAGCAAGCAGAAAAGCAACAAGATCCCTCTATGAAGTTGTTCGGTAAAAGAGAAATAGCAGATGATGAAAGGGCAGTATAATCAATTCAATCCCCATTCATGAAATCATAGACGGGGCAAGTCGGATATTGGGAGTGGTTAAGGGGGGAAGATGTGTACACCAGGGGGGTCATTAATATAATTCATTACTTAGACACTATGTATAGATGGCGGCTCTAGGCGTCCAACCTAGTCAGATGATACGAGGCTGACCCGGCCATCTTTCATGATTATTATGATTGGAATATTAGAATATTATCATAATCTTGTTCTTACATTGAATTTCTACGGTCTACATGTCGTCATCAAAGGTCGGATCCACTGTGGGGATACTCCCACAAGCCTGTTCTTAATGTCGATCAAGGATTGAGGACCAGAAAGAAGAAAAAAGAGGATATCAATTTATATAGATCTATATACAAAACATGTGCAATGTCCTCTATATATACCTCTCCCAATTTCTTCACAAATCGACCAGGATATCATATAAAGGCAGGGAAAAAAAAAAAAAAGAAAAAAGAAAATCAAGTGCTCTCTTTTGCAAGCAATCGCCCGATCTATGTCAATAGAATGTCGTATCCATCCTTCTGGATATGGATGGCATCGGCAAGACTCGCGTAACGACGCCGTACCAGCTCAAAAATGACAAGACCAGCACTGGTACTGGGAACTTGACGAATGGAGCTTCCCACAAATCCACGAAACAGCCATGGGCGCCAACCCCCCGCCCATCTGGCCTTCCGCTTGCACCGTTTAAAAGTCTCCTGGTAAGCGTGGTAGTACAGACGCAGCATCTGTTTTCGGGAGGGATCGAGGTTTGCTTGATGATCGAGGTATTCCAGACGACCAAGGTGTAGGTTCTGAACCATACTGAGAGGATGCTGGATAGCTTGCTGTGCAACAGAAGCCACAATACCCGCCAACATGAGGAAGCCCGGTTCCACAGCATAGTGTGGCTTGATCAGGGGAACGCCTCGATCACTGGACCTAGATGACGGAAGCATTTCCAGATGGTCTGCATGCAGGGACCCATAGTACCAGGTGATGAAAGAGTAGTAGGACTGGGACTTGACGTATTCAAAGAAGGAGAAGAATACAGCATAGCCGAAGGAATCTCGCAAAAAAGAGAGACTCCAGCCAGCAAAGACCCCGCGGAGACCAATTTGTTGGAGCTTGTGATGGCCATAGTGCCACATGCTCCGATACTGACCCTCGAGCATGTCACTAGTCTGCAGACGAACTTGCAAGGCATCCAGAGGAGCGGCGACAATGGACTGTATGGTACCAGCAGTAAACCCGGCGGCGAACGTATCTGATGGGGGTGCAGGCGGCCAGACTCGCTTAACCCCCTGCGATACTGGTTCATGGAGAGTCCCAAGGACCTGGAGATACGACGTGTAAAGAACGGCACCAACCCTGGTGGCTATGGTTAGAACAATCCGTGAAAAGGGCCGTGGGGGTAAGCCCACCCTGCGTTGGCTAGTAAAGGCGGCAGAACTTGATTTGGAATGAATCGCCAGCCATACGTCCGGACCGCATGGACTAGCAACCCGGGTGTTGTAGTATGAATGGACCATTTCCCGTCTGCAACACGAGGGTGAACAGCTCTTGCAAATGCCTATCACAGAAAAAATAAGACGAGGAGAGGAGGTGATTAGTGACTCGGGGTTTTGGTTTCTCGGTTGAAAATCATTGGAGGATGTACCATGTAGCTAGGATGGGTCAACACAATCAAGATCATTTAGAGGAATCATCAAGCATTACGCACTCAACACGCGTACGAAAGAAGGCTTTGATGGGAGCGCGGAAATAAAAGGCCACCATTTGTGCACTGATGGCGCGAACACCTGCCGCCGAAGCTCCTGTTGCCGCATCATTTCGAGGGTTTTTTCGAGAATTACCCGGTCCACTGAAATGAGGGTCTAGGTAGATAGGGTTCATTACGGATCTCGGTTGTTAGAGCCCGTAAGAAGTGCACATCGCAGGGGTGTAGGAGGATTTCTCGGTGAACATCACAAAGGAGGACTCGGGTAAAATAGCATGGCTCAAAAGAAGGGGGGTAAAAAAGAAGCATCAGGCAGGAAGAGACGAAGAGAGAGATATATATATGAGCGCTAGTCTCAGAGAGGTAATAGTTGATTACGGGAACCCATTGCCACCTCTTCCGCCAAAACGCGCTTTTCGCGTCCGCCCAAAACCCCGTCGACCGTCCCTTTTCTTGACTGCGCCAGCCAGTGTCTCTGGACATCTCCTCCACCCCCCGTCGCTGTTTTTGATCTTCTTGTTGATCTTCCCTTCATCTCTTTTTCATCCATCTCCATCTTCATCGATCATCTAATACGGTTTTACTCACGTCTGATACATCTCACCTCTGTCCCTTGATCTATCTGCCTTGTCATCAGTCTCTCGCTGTTGCCGGCAGATCCTGCTCGCACCAGATTGCCACCATGGCCGAGGAGATTGCGGTTGACAAAAACGCCTTTTTCAATCGCTTATCCAACTTCTATGCAACATGGAAGGCGGACAAGCGCTCGGGGAATGCTCTATTTGGCGGTGCAGGGTCCATCGTCATTCTCATGGGAAAGACCGACGAACAGAATTCTTTCCAAAAGCATAGTGCGATGCATGTATGTTTCTCGAGTTCTGAGTTGGAGGACCATCCATGTCCATATGGCTAACCGGGCCTGTCTCTAGTTCTGGCTTCTCGGATACGAATTCCCAGCCACGCTCCTTGTGCTCACCACCGAAGCAATCTACGTGGTGACTACAGCCAAGAAAGGTAATTGAAATACACCTCTAATATGGTGCGTCACAAACTAAAAGAGATGATCATCCAGCAAAGCACCTGGAGCCATTGAAAGGTGGGAAGATACCGGTTGAGATCCTGGTGACCACCAAGGATCCAGAGTCGAAGAATAAGGCGTTTGAAAAATGTCTGGATGTCATTAAGGGTGCAGGAGTAAGTACTGAGCAGCAATCCGCCTCCTGGACGTGTCACGTTGGATCCTTTGAACTAACCGTCGAAATCATAGGCAAAAGTTGGTACCTTACCTAAAGACAACGCCTCTGGGCCCTTTGCAGATGAGTGGAGACGCGCTTTCGCCGATGCCTCAAAGGAAATGGAGGAAGTAGACATCACACCCGCACTTTCCTCCGCCGCGTTCTCAATCAAGGATCCGGAGGAACTGGTAGGTCGACCCGTGCTCTATAACATTAAGGATTTGACTAACTATGCATAGGTTTCTATCCGCAATGCCTCGCGAGCATGTAGTGGCCTGATGTCAGAATATTTCGTGGATGAAATGTCACGATTGCTTGACGAGGAAAAGCAGATGACACACAAGGGCCTCGCCGCAAAAGTTGACGCGAAGATTGATGAAGCCAAGTTCTTCAACAAGCTGGCCCGGCTACCGGCGGAATTCGATGCTCGGCAGATCGACTGGGCCTATGGGCCTGTGATTCAGAGTGGAGGCGCGTATGACCTCAAACTCACGGCGACATCTGATAGCAACAACCTGGAGCCAGGCATCATCCTTTCCAGCTTTGGAATCAGATACAAAACGTATAGCTCGCTCATCGGGCGCACGTATTTGGTGGATCCCAGCAAATCGCAAGAGGCGAATTATGCTTTCCTGCTGAATCTTCATGAGACGGTGATGAAAGAGATTCGGGACGGTGCGGTTGCCAAGAACCTGTACAACAAGACCATCGGCCTCGTCCGATCGAAGAAACCCGAACTCGAAGGCCATTTTGTCAAGAACATTGGCGCCGGTATTGGAATTGAGCTTCGTGATGCCAACATGGTCCTCAATGCCAAGAATTCCCGTGTGTTGAAAAATGGCATGACTCTGTCCATCACGGTTGGGTTGACCGATGTGAAGGATCCGGACTCCAAGGGAACCAAGAATGGAGTTTACTCCATGGTCATCACTGATACGGTCCGAGTTGGGGAAAATGGACCTCATATCTTTACCAAGGATGCTGGCATTGACATGGACTCGGTTTCGTTTTATTTCGGGGACGAAGAAGAGCCTCAAAAACCGGCCAAGGAGAAGAAGGAAGCTAAGCCCAGCGCCATTGCCAGCAGAAACGTCACAAGGACAAAACTCCGCGCTGAGCGACCGACTCAGATTAACGAAGGCGCTGAAGCACGCCGACGTGAACATCAGAAGGAACTGGCCTCGAAAAAAACGAAGGAAGGCTTAGAAAGGTTTACTGGAACCACCGGCGACAACAACGGTGTGGCCCAAAAGAAGTTCAAGCGCTTTGAATCCTACAAGCGAGACAACCAATTGCCTGCCAAGGTCAAGGATCTGACTGTCTACGTTGACCACAAAGCCTCGACCGTCATTGTGCCCATCATGGGCAGGCCAGTTCCGTTCCACATCAACGCCATCAAGAATGCCAGCAAGAGCGATGAAGGAGAGTATGCCTACCTGCGAATCAACTTCCTCTCGCCAGGCCAAGGGGTTGGCAGAAAAGACGACCAACCTTTCGAAGACTTGTCAGCTCATTTTGTTCGCAATCTCACGCTCCGGTCAAAGAACAATGACCGACTTGCGCAAGTTGCACAGGATATCACTGAACTTCGAAAGACTGCCTTGAGGCGGGAGCAGGAGAAGAAGGAGATGGAAGATGTCATCGAGCAGGACAAGCTGGTTGAGATCAGAAGTAAGTACCCCTGAGCCCAAGATGCCACTTCACTAATGCTAACATCCACGCAGACCGCCGCCCCGTGAAGCTGCCTGATGTCTACCTTCGGCCTCCGCTGGATGGAAAGCGAGTTCCGGGAGAAGTGGAAATCCACCAGAATGGTCTCCGGTACCTGTCACCTTTCCGCAATGAGCATGTCGATGTGCTTTTCAGCAACGTAAAGCATCTCTTCTTTCAGCCATGCGCCCATGAATTGATCGTCCTGATCCATGTGCACCTGAAAACCCCCATCATGATCGGGAAGAGAAAGACGCGAGATGTGCAATTCTATCGTGAGGCCACAGAGATGCAGTTTGATGAGACCGGAAACCGCCGGCGCAAGCATCGATACGGGGACGAAGAAGAGTTCGAGGCCGAGCAAGAAGAACGACGACGAAGGGCTGCTTTGGATCGTGAGTTCAAAGCCTTCGCGGAGAAGGTTGCGGATGCTGGTAAAGATGAAGGGGTTGATGTCGACATCCCATTCCGAGAGATTGGGTTCACTGGTGTTCCCAACCGCTCCAATGTCTTGATTCAACCGACGACGGATGCCCTCGTGCAGCTCACGGAGCCACCCTTCATGGTCATCACATTGAATGAAATCGAGATCGCTCATCTAGAGAGAGTACAGGTATGATCCAATTCTCACCACTCCCAGACTATCCAACCTTGGCTAACGCCACAGCAGTTTGGTCTCAAAAACTTCGACATGGTCTTTGTTTTCAAGGACTTCCACCGGCCTCCGGTGCATGTCAACACGATTCCCGTTGAGGCGCTTGAGGGTGTCAAGGACTGGCTCGATTCGGTTGATATCGCGTACACCGAAGGCCCACTGAACTTGAACTGGACCACGATCATGAAAACGGTCGTGAGTGACCCGTACGGATTCTTCGCCGACGGTGGCTGGTCATTCCTGTCAGCCGATTCTGATTCGGAGGGTGGCTCTGAGGAGGAGGAAGAGTCGGCTTTCGAACTGTCCGATTCTGAACTTGCGGCAGACGAAAGCTCCGAGGAAGACAGCGAGTACGACGACGACGCCAGTGCTGATGCTAGCGAGGATTTGAGCGGTGATGAGGAGAGTGGCGAAGATTGGGACGAGCTCGAGAAAAAAGCCAAACGAAAGGACAAGGAGAGCGCGCTGGACGATGACGAACGAGGCACAAAGCGTAAACGTTAATTGCGCCCATTTTGTCCATATCAACCACGCTCTGTCCTTTCCTAGGGTTTCTACTTTGACTCGGCCAAGTCTGCCGCTCGACCGTCTGGCCTTTCGCCATCGAAGTGTATGGGAGGGAAGGCCTGAGTTTTACTGATCCTTTTTCTTTACCTTTTCTTCTTGTTTTACGAGGCTATGGTTCTCGTGATGTATTTTATCAGGGGAGAATGGCACCACGAGGGGTGATTCAGAACACGATTGTAGTTATATTGCTTGAAATTAGGGGGTGGGCGTCCTTGAGCCATCATGTCGGATGCGAATAGAGTACAAATGACGAGGTTGACCCATGTACACCAAACATCGAAAAATAAAGCCCACCATATCACTGGATCACTTCCCTTCCCGCATAGACGCCCACATATTCCGCATGCGCTGGCCTTGGCCGGCAGTGAAGCTTTCGTAGCACACGTCGGAGGAATAGTCCATGAAGTCATGAATGGCGTCCTTCCCAGGTGAATCTGGGCATGAATCTTTTTGGGCAGGGCACCCGTCCGTCGGGGTGGATTGCAGCGGCGTGTCATCAATATAATCGCCCGGGTTGTCCGGGGAGCAGGACTCCCCCTGGAAGGTATGCAGTAGACCGTTCCAGTGACCAATCTCGTGGATGGCGGTACCGCCACGGTTGTAGAGATCCAGCGAGCCACCAGGCATTGTATTTGCCAACACATTGCAGCCATCCTTGATATAGTCGGCACGGGAACTGCTGGCATTGACACTTGGGTCAGGCAGAGTACAGAATCCCAACACACTGGACGATAGGTCGTTTGACACACTGGCTCCCCTGTTTCCGATGCGTCCAGCTTGCCCTGGGGCAGCCTGGAGATTCGTCTGAAAATACACATTCAAAGTTTGGTAGCTGCCTTTGCGGAGTGCCCTCTTCATAGCTAGGTCATCTCCGTTGCGGGCCCAGGTGTCGTTCACGTGTCGGGTAACACCTTGTAATCGATAGGATATGGAGGTATCCTGGTACGCTTTTGCAGAATGGAAAGCTGCAGCATCATCAGCATAGTGGAAGCCTACAAAGTGATGAGAGACTGAACCTGAGCGTCGACCATTTCATCGGAAACCTGATCGGCCTCGGACTCGCCACTGACGAGGTGAAACCACGTTTCAATTTCAATGGGGGGTTTTCTGGCTTCAGAACCCTGACCAGTCTCGCCTGATCTCAGGTGCAAAACTTCATGAAGGAAGGAGGCATCGGGATCCTCGGTGGCGCAGACACCACGTTTCTGCAGTCCAACGGGGCTGCATCGAACACGGAAAGATAGGATTGCGACCAAGACCAAGAGCTGAAAAAACGAATGACAGACCATGTTGGTGTTGGAGAGCCCCGGTGGTTTCTTCCCCCGTCGCAGACCAAATCCAAGAAAGGGCCAGGGCGGGCGGTCACTCTGGGGCTCACAGCTATATGATCAATTAAGGGCAAAATACCATCAACATGGCCCGATTCCCATGAGCCCGAGGAATGCTGCGTCGCCTCGGAATGCATGCTCCACGCAAGGGAGCGCTCCGGGGCATGTCGAGGATGGCCAAGGCGGAGCAAGACAAGAAAACGTCACAAGACCATTGGCGTTTCAAGATCCCAGCCAATTCCTGAGGGACAAGATGAAGTCACGGAAGGGGAGGCCATGGGAAGAATGTTGATTTAATAATATCTGCAATGTTGGTTAGATACACGAGGAGCTTTGGAACTCCCGGAGAAAAAGAAAACAAAAGAAAAAAAAAGTAACACCTTGCTCCACAGCCAAATCCTGAAACAATCTTGTTGGTATTTATCCACAGTTACAGCCCATTGAAAACACGGAAATCTGAAAAAAGAAAAAAACCGATTCAAGGGGCACTGGCACCAAACCGATCATCGCGCCCCGTTGCTACGGCGGTACTGGGTTGGTTTGAATCCCAAGTCAAGTAGGTGTGATCGCCAAGTTTCCTACATCCAAGGGGTCAATCATCATATTAAAGATCGTCGCATGAAGGGCTGCCTACCTGGGTCGGACCAAGTGCGCAATGGTGAACAGAGCCCCGAGAAGCACACAGATGCCACCGACAGCCACATAGGCAATTCCCATAAATGGATTTTTGCCACCAAGGGCGGTCCGCGTGGATATCAGAATCGACTTTGTGCCATCGTACTCGGTAACCTTGAAACCTAGTAACATTGTTAGCTGACACGATGACAAGGAACAGTAGAGGCCCGCGTACGATCGACGATATCCAACTGATAGGTTCCTTCTGGCATCGGATGCGAGTCATTTCTGCGATAGAGTTTGCTGAAGGCTGGCAAGCCAGCCGTTCGCATCCAAACCATGAAATCCTCCTGTTCGTTGAGGTTGGGCATGTTTTCAGATGTATAGCGACCACCATAATCTGCCCAGTTTGGTGGCGGAACCACGTCCTCCGGTTTGTACTCAGTCTTCTTGATCAGCTCCTTGTCGCTGCTCCAGGCAGTCCCATTTGTAGTCATGTTATAAAAGGACTCATGGGAGCCTGATAAGGAACGGGGATTGTCAATGGTATCATTGAACTTGGAGTTTGCAATGAGCCCACATGGGTAGTATGGCTTTTTCGTTGCTTTGTCCGTGGCAAGGGGTTCGCAGGCTCCGCTGGTGATTGACGCTTTGGGGACAGCCGAGCCTTTCAATTGTTCCAGATTCAGGGACTGAACGTATCGACGATGGTTCTGGTAAAAGTTTGTCAAGCGGTAATACATGAAAACCGGGGGGCCCATCTGTTCCGGGATATGGAAAACCAGCGAGCAAGTAGTGGTGTTTTTTCCGGTATTGGGCTTCTGGCTCCAGTAAGGCTGTTGCGAAGCCTTTGTTTTGAATGTTGCAGAGACTCGGTCACTAATGGGCTCGGTGCCATGAACTGGCGCCTTGGCCGCACATTCCGAGTAATCTATCACGATTTCTTGCACCTGGCAAACATGAGCCGTCAGATGAGTTGGAGGAACATCGAATCGAAGACGAAAGCTGGACGTACAAGAGAACTGGCCCATAAAAGTACACCTCCAATAGGGGCGAACACAATCCCGACGATGAAAAAAAGCGGGAGGACGCTCTTGGGAGTGAGAATCGGTCTAGCAGGACGTCAGCAAGTCAGTCCAGGGAGGGTTCTCTCCAAGACGGGACGCGCTCACTGCCAGGCCTTCAATCGTTGCTGACGGAAAGCGGTATCTAAAACACAATACAAATCAGCTTAGATGTGCCATGGGGAGCGTTCGACGCCAGTTTTAATGGCTTGGGCGTACTGGCTGGTCTCCGAGACTTGGGCTTCTTGTCACCATCCGCTTCCCTTGCGCGTTCCTGTTCGTCAATAGACTCGGCGCGGTCTACCTCAGCCTGAGACATGCTGAAGATGTGGTTTGGCCTCCCCGATAGCACGAGAAGAGACCAGGAAATAAAATCAAGAAAACTAAGATGGACCACGATGGGGTGGAAGGGGAAAAGGGAATGTTCGCAGGAAGACGTCAAGGAAAAGTGGCGCCGGGCGGAGCCAGTTTTGACTTGAACCCCCACCCGGCATCTTGTGATTGGCCTGGTTGAATACTGTCTTTTGGTCGCAAGTAGAAGGGGTATAAATATACAAAGATATGGATTATAGTTATAGATTATAGATTATAGAAGGAAAATAAAAGAAAATCTACCGGTTTATAAATGAATGGAAGGGTATGCCATTGCATGAACACGGGGTATCGCGACTATCCTATCTGCCTTGGCCAGAGGGCCTTTGGAATCGAGGATGGGAATAAGAAATCAAATCACGCAGAAACACCCAAGCAACCAAGCCTGCCATTCTAGTCGTAAGCAACCAAGAAGAAAGAAAAGCATCGCAACACAACGCCACCGCGTCCGAAGGCATAGAGAAAGCCATGCCGCAAGCCAGAAAGCAACCGTGAGCCGGAAGGAAACTGAAAGACTGGAAGAGGGGCGATTGCAGAAGGACATCATGAGATGCATAGCAGAGATGGAACGATGAGATAGAAGTGAAAACGAAAGGCCCAAGATGGGAAACCATCCAGTAAATCATCTCGAGGGCAGATGCGGCAATGCTGGGGTATCAATGTTCATGGGTCGTGCCCAAAGGGTAAGTATGGTCAGTCATTCCAAGGGAGGAGGGGGAGGTATTCCTAATCGTGGAGGAGAGATGTGATCGCCTCCCCAGGAACGCGTGGGATCAACGAATCCACACAGATTATGTGGGCGCGGTGGAGATATTGCCGTCATTCAGATAGTTGCCAAATCACCTCAGATATTGATGGAAGAATTCTGGTTTGAACCAACCAACGCGCTCATAGGCAGTCCAGAGCTTGCTGGCTTTGTTGACATCAATCTTGCAGGCTTGCTGGGCGTCCGTTTTACGGAACTCTTTGCCAACTCCAAGGGCACGGACTCGAGCTTCAAAGATACGGCGCTTGCTGCAGAGATACGTTGCGCAGGATAGTCTCAGGATCGATGCAAGATTGAGCTCGGCGGAACTCAGAAGATGTCTGTCCGGGTCATTGCTCAAATCCAGCATCTGCCCCTTCCAATCTGCCTTCAGGGCTTTGGCGTTGCTCCCTAGAGTTTCCAGGGGAGGGGAGAAGTCCTGGATGGCGTGAAAATCTGTGTCATCCCGGGTTGTTCCCAAGGCACGCGATGCCTTCGAGGCCGACGGAGGCGAGTCAAAGGTATCGAGGACCTGTTGCTTAGGGGTGGATTTAGGGGTCCGCTTGACTCGGGGGGCACGCTGGGTACGCGACTGCATAGTCCCCGCTTTCTTGGCCGGCGCCGGGGCGATCTTTTTCAACTTGGCCTCCGACTGTCCCGGGTGGTAGCGATTCATCAAAACCATCTGACGCTCGAGCATCTCGCGCTCCTCTCGTGCCCATGCCGCTGGGTTACGATTGTACCCAGACGAGACAATAGGCACACATGAGAGAGCCAGAAGATATTCATCGTGCGTGGGCTTGTTCAGCTTGTTCTCAAATCGCGCCATGTGGGAAGTGATATGCTGCTCGACGAGCGCCTCTGCATTGGGGGGAAGAATGGGACCGAAGAGCGGCTCCTCGGTGGCAACATCAGTAACAGAATCATGGCGAGGGAAGAGGACCGGATCTCTGGAAGAGACAGTATCACTCTCAATCTGTTCGGAAGTTTGAGATCTTCTCTTCTTGTTCCCCGTGTACGGGGTCACTGGTGGCGACGGAAGATCCATCTCTGACTGTGTTCGCTTGCGATCAGCTGAGATGGGTGGAAGCTTGATATCACCACCGGGGGTAGAGTCCCGGGGCTTTGCAAATGGAGAGTGTGATGAATCGAAGCTCTCGAGCGGCTTCGACTCGGGAGGAGACATGAGGCTAGAAACAGAGGGGAGGCGATTCATGGTGATCAGGTGTTTGCCCGGGTGCGGCAAAGCAAAATGTGAGGTCATTCAAGATATGCTATTTGGGGGAGGGGATCCTGCGGGGTATGTAGAAAGACGAGTTGGGGAGGGGGGATGGGGGGAGGGAAGAGTATATTAATGGCGCTAATCCTTCACGAAGACGACGAGGAGGACGAGGATGGGAGAGGCTGAGTGATGGAAGTCAATGGAAGTGATTTGTCAGGTGGTCTTTGTTCAGTGACGATAAGCAAAAAAATGATCGGTGTCACCTAGAATCAGGCACCAATTTGACGATTTGACCAAGTGAGTCAAGACCTCGGGTGGAGAAAAAAAAAATAAAAAAAGATCAAGGGAGGGGAGGGGGGGTCATAGGTTTAAGACTGGAATGAGTCAATATAAGCAGGATCTTGCCAGGGGCTCATGAGACGAAGGCGCAGTACACAGCTGATGCGGGACACACAGATCACCTGGCCACATGACAACATTGCCAGCGGGCAATCACCTCATAGGACGCATTGGAGGGGGGGAGGTGGGGACAAGGCGCCAATGGGTCCTTGGGAAAGACACTCCAGCTCCAATCGGGGCCACCCCTCCGATACGCCTTATTCCTGGTGAGTAAGAGCCTTTCTTGTATCTGAAACTTGGTGACATCATCCTGAGATCTGTGATTTTTCTTATCTGTTATATATCCTTAAAATGAAGTACAAATTTATTCCTTTATATTGATAGTCTTATATCTATAAGTATCTTTATGAGGTGGCTATAAAAGGATCTCTATAGAGATATATTGTTCTAATATAGGGTAGTTTAGATAGAACTATTTAACTTTTCTTTTTACTAGGGTTATTTATTATTATCTAACCTCTTTTTCTATAAATTATAAAGAACTATTTTATATTCTACTATTTTTTATGAATCTTTTAGAATTATCTTTTTTTCTAAGGTTACCTAGTTCTAGATAATATACTTTAATTATTTAAGGTTTCTAAATATCTTACTATTAAAATAATAAAAATATTTATAGTTAGGAGATAAATAAAGATATTATTAAATTATATACTTGAGTTTTTAAGATATAAGGATTATATAATTCTATTATTAATAGAATAGTATAGGATTTATTATATTATTTATTATAACTAATCAAAGACTTTATACTCTAATTAATATACTCTTTATAGTTCTTTTTCTATATAGATAGATATATCACTATTATTAGTATTATTAATAAGCTATATTCTTTATAATATTTAATTAATATCTAAATTGTAATAATATAGGAAGTTAATGTAAAGGGTCTATCAAGATGGTGAGGCATGAGGTTATTCCTAACTGACAGAAGGGTAGATCAGGTAATATTATATGATCCTGAAGGAAGTTAGAACTTATTACTTAATCTACTTTATAGTAGAATAATTATAATATATAATAGAGACCTAGTTGTTTAAGTTATCGATAATATATAGAGTTATAAAGGTATTATATAATAAATTAACACTCTTATATCTAGCTAGTAAAACAAGATTTAGTCTTAATAGTAATAAAAATATATTATTTCTCTTACTCATTTCTTTTATTTCTTTATCTAATCGATAGATCTTATACCTTATTAAATATATTCTTTATAATTCTAAATCTTCCTCTTTAATTACCTAAAGAAATAGGATAACCCTATAGATCTAATCTATTATAATATATTAGAGTAATACTTATAAAAAGATATCGTAAACCCTTTTATCTAAAACTAATTAGATTTAACTAGATAAAAATCTATAGACTACCTAAAAAATAATCGAAAAACTTTAATATCTATAAGAATTATAATAAATAGCTTAATAAATAAGAAATTAGATTAAATAAAAGAATATTATTAAATCCTTAATAAATTAATAACAAAACTAGGGTTTATCTCTTATAAAAAATAAAGATAAGATTAAGATTTAAAATATTCTAGTATTCTTAATTTATTTCTTTTTTTAATAAAGAGAAGAGTAACTTGTTACGAACCAAGCCACCTCACTCGCGCCAACAGGGGTACAAGAGGAAACCAGAGCCAACCAACCCCGCGGTGATGATGCAGGACAACAAGGGTATAAGTCACGTGACAATATACCACGATCCATCGCCAAGGAATGGTATATCGGATGGTATATCAATGGGACTACTACATGCCTGCATGCAGTATACCACAAACGAGGGCGTGGAATACTGGGCAAGGGATATATAAGGACAGTCTTTACCACATGTATTTAGTTCTTCGTGATCAATCCCATCATTGTTACTTGGAACCACCCTTTGGTACTTCACAGTTCGAACATAGCGACAACCCTCCAACGGTCTTGGGAGCTTACTTAGTGATCCTCGATCCCTAAGTGACTGACTTGACCGGCGCTCTAACTGGCACACCTTGCAAGCACCCTAGAGACCCGAGCCCATAGAAGGCCCCCGAGGCATTGGTACGGTTGCGGATACGCTTGAGGCCTGCAGTACTCCTAGAGAAGTATCACCTTTGCGGACGTTACTCACCGTGACCAGTTAGCAGTTCGTAACACATTGATCACCCTGTCATCGAACCGTGAAGTCCAAGCATCATGGCGTCGCACGGCAGTAACAACAAGGGCAAGGCGATCGAGCCTCTGCCACCGAAAACGCAAACACGACACACCGACTTGGATTCGGACGATGAAGATGAGAAACGAGTCAGGGCACTGGAAGAACAGATTCACACCCTGATCAGCCAGCTCAACACCTTTAGCAGCAAGCATGACCACGACATTGGAGACCTTCGAGACTCAGTCGAGCAAAGTGCAGCCCAAATCGCCGCCTCTGCACCAGCATCTTCCGTGGGAATCAAGTTACCCAAAGCAGAGAGCTTCGACGGTACTCGATCTAAGCTTCGAGGGTTCCTCACCCAGATGGATATGCACCTTGACATGAACAGAGGAAGGCTAGTCAACGACGCCGCAAAAGTCATCTTTGTGTCATCATACCTACGAGGACAAGCATGGGATTGGTTGGAACCGTACATTCGAGAATACTATGAAAAGACTCCAGACGCCTGGTCTGCCATGGCCCAGGGCATCTTTTCGCGATACAGCAGCTTCCGACAATTGCTTGAACGAACCTTCGGCGATATCGACGCGAAAGCAACGGCTGAACGGAAACTTGCACGAACTCGACAAACCACCTCCGCAACAGCCTACGTTGCCGAGTTCATGGCACACGCCGCAATCCTAGGATGGGACGACTACGCTTTGATTCCACCATTCTATGGGGGGCTGAAATCACACATCAAGGACGAAATCGCTCGAATCGGACGACCTACCACCATGAATGAATTCGTCGACACTGTTGTACGAATCGATAACCGCTTCTACGACCGACAGCGAGAAGAAAGCGAACTTAAACAATGGCGCCGTAACCCAGGACGAGGAAACGGCGGACGATTCCAACAAAGACGGAACTTTGGGAGAAGGGACAACGACCCCTACGGACCCAAACCAATGGAACTCGATGCAGCAAGGCTGCCTACCGAAGAACAGAAACGACGCAAAAACAACAACCTGTGCTTCAACTGTGGTAAGCCAGGACACCGAATCAAGGACTGCCGAAGCAAGAGGCAGGAGAAACCCCAACAATTGAACGCGACCCAAGAACGAAGAGGTGCGTACGACACTACTGGCACCGAGAAACCAGAACAAGGGAAGCCTCAACGGCTCTACGCGACGCAGGAGCGCGACTGGGAAGGCCCCATGATTGTGGATGGGAGCAAGCCACCAGGACTGTATCGGGATGAGCGAATGCTCTCCGAAACAGACGACGAAGAATTCCCAGAGATCGACTATGAAATCATCGAAAACTCGCCGCAGATGTACGCGAAGGATCATGCCGCGGAACTGACACAAAACAACGAGGTCTATATGGACGACCTAGTCCTTAGGACGCCCGCGCAAGCTGGTAGCGCGGAGGAACACTTTGAGCGCTTCAAGCAAGGCTCAGAAGATATTGAGAGTCAAGGATGGACCCAGTACGGTCCCTGGAACACCATCGACTCCCAGGAATTGTCGGACGATTCCCAGGAGTGGGGCACAGGTATCCTGAGGACACCAATTGAAATCCCAGGAACGCCGGAGATCCCAGAAACTCCACCCACACTCCCAGAAACGGAAGAGACGATCCTGGAAACGCCTCAGGAAAACCCCAGGAACAGAGAAACCTCGAGTGACGAGACAAAAGGCCAACAGGATGAGTCGGCTCGGGAAGAGCTATCCCAGGACCAACCAACCTGTCCATGTGAGCATCCACGATGCGCGTGTCGAGGATACGCACGACACCCGAAACATGACATCAGGGCGGTTGTAGGATGCTACGACGACAATTGCATGCTCCACTACCCAGGGAAACTCAACCTTGGAGTTGAGCCGAGACCTTTGCGATGGGAAAAACGACCCCAGTGGAAGCCCGAATACACAGGAACATGGCACGGCAACAAGAAAATTGCACCCACACCACAACTCGCAGCAACACAGTGGGGGGCACATATGAAAGTCTTCGTCAACGTCGCATACAAGAATATGCGAGCGATGATCGACTCAGGAGCCAGCGGAAACTTCATGAGCCCACAGTGCTGTCAGGAATATACAATCCAGCGGCGACGAAAAGAGGAGCTCTTACCTCTTACTGGACTCAATGGAGAACCACTCAGCACGGGAATTACGCACGAAACAGGGGACCTGCCGATGGTTTTGGGAAATCATTTTGAAACAATCAACTTCAACATCACCAACCTCGGGCAGTACGACGTCGTGCTAGGAGTTCCGTGGTTACGAAGACATAACCCAGCTATCGATTGGCAGAAAGGACTCATTGTCTTCAACCGATGTGAATGCCGACAAACCAGTGAGACATGGACCGGGAACAGATACAGACCAGCACAGGGACCTAGTCAAGGGGTGACAGGTGGCCCTCGAGGCCCTCACGAAGGCAAACTTAAGAGGAGCACTCGGCCCAGAGGCGGGGCACAGTACAAGGCAACGGAAGCCAGTACC